TATTACGCTTTCCTCTTAGATCGATTATCTATCTACTATAAGATCTTCTTTTTATATATTAACTATACTATTATATAAGTAAGCTCTTCCTCGTCTTTATTAATCTCCTTATAAAGCTAGGTCTAAGTCTTATCTAGAGACTCTTATAAAAGATTAATATATAGCTTATCTATATATATATACTCTAAGTACTTAAGTTATAATAATAACTCTATTATAATATACTCTTTTCTAGATAAGAAATATCGGTTATAAGGAATAGAAGAAAGATAACTATAGTTAAGAATCTCTTATACTAGTCGAAGTCTATTTTAGCTAGTATATAATATCTTATAATATAGTCGAATAATTTAGAATTAGGACGATTCTAAGTAAAGAGAGAATAGTATTATAATATAATTAGTATAGATATAGCTACGTCTTAGTACTTAATTCTTAGTAAGTCGAGCTAGTAGTACTTAAGATATTAGCTCGACTACTCGCTATCGAGTATAGCTCGATAGCGAGTAGAAAGCGACTATTAAGTATAGCTCGATATAAGCTATAACGAGATATAAATCTCCTTTATATATAATAGCGATAGATTTTATAGTTAGGAGTTTATATTTAACTTATATTATAAACCGACTAATTAGAATTAACTTATTATCTTATTCCGATCTCTTATATCGATTATACTTTAACTAAGTAATACTTTACTATCGACTACTAGACTATCTAATAAGTACTAACTCTACTTATAATAATAGAATTACCTAACTTCTATTATATAAGTATAATAGTATATAATAGTAATTATATACTACTATAACCTACTAGAAAGAGGATATCTAGGAGTTACTAAAACAATAAAGCTAATATAATAATGCTTTATATTTCTATATATAAAGAAATATATAGCGAACTATATTAAGAAATATATCGAATACTAAATAAATAAGTTAGTATAATATATAACTTATAGAGAACTAATAATATAATAACTACCGACTAAACTATAGAAAGAAGTTATAATAGACTTTATTAGACTACTACTAAAGTTATAGAATCTAGTAATAAAATCGATATATAACTCGATACTTATTATAGTTAATAGACTTATAAAGTATATATACTTTATTATATATAATACTATAATTACGGCTAAATAGTAAGCCTACTTTATTATAAATAGGCTATTCCGCTACTATAGATACTTAAAAGTTATTATCTCGAATAGAGGACTAATATTTCGCTCTAACTATTAGTAAATATTTATCTCTAACCTCGGAATTAGCTATAAGCTCTTAACGGCCTTCTAGCTATAAATAGATAGATAGATAGAGTATATAAACTAGACCTTAGAAGCCTATCTATAAGCTTATATTAACTATACTTAAGATAACTAGTTACTACTACTTCTAATAGCGTAAATAGTACTAAATAGCTATATATCGGAAATAATAAAAGTATTACCTTATAAAGCGAACTTTATATATCTATCGAGACTAGATATAATACTAGTCCTAGGACTAAATATAGAAGCTATAAAATAGTATATAAAAAACTTATAATAGCTCTATTATAAAAATATTTATATATCTTCCTTTAAGACTATAGCGAGATTAAAATCGATTATAGGTTCTTAGCTTAAAAAGGGAGATAAAGTCTATCTCTTTACGAAGAACCTTAAGATTAGAAGAAATAGTAAAAAGCTTAATAAGATTAAGGTCGGATCTTTTATAATCTCTAAGAAATAGTTACTAGTTAATTACTAACTCGAACTCCTAAAAGATACTAGAATATATCCTATATTCTATATCTCTCTTCTAGAACTAGTAGACCTCGAAATACTCTACTAAACTACGTTCTATTATAAAGACTAAGAAGAAACTAAATAGAAAGTTAAGAAGATCCTAAAACGAGAAGGTTAGAATTACTTTATTAAGTAGAAAGATTACTTAGACTCGGACAATATATAGGAACTACTTACTAATCTTAAGAACTACTAGATACTTCTATACTAGTTCTACTAGAATTAGAAGGGAAGTCCTAGAAATTACTCTTAAGATTAAAACTACTATTAAGGGCGTTCTAAGTCTTAAGATCTAAATAAAGAGATAAACTAGTCTTAAATAGAACTAGATTATAAGGAAGGTCTAACGACTCTAGTACTTCTTAATTCTAAATACTTATATTCTCTATAGTAATTATATTCGCTTTATATATTTCTAGTAAGTTAAGCTACTACTATAAATATATCTCCTTTATAAAACTAGTATTTAAAACCTTATAAGCTTTTTCCTAAGCCTTATATACTTCCTTAATATCTTTATAAAGACGAATCCGCTCTTTCTTTAACTACTTCTATTTTAATTACGTTATATATAAGTTATAGTACTAACCTCGATATATATATTCGCTATACTAACTAGAGTAAATATAGATATAGTAAACTCTCTTATACTTCGTATAAGTAGCGTAAGGCTTAACTATAGTATCTCTAGAGTATTTAATATATTCTATAAGATAGTAATAGTAAATAGTACTAGATTTAGAATAGATCTTAGATATAATAAAGAGCTATAAGATAGAAAGTTCTTATATTAGAATAATATAGGTTAAAGAGAGGATAGTATTATAGCCCGCTAGTATCTAGAATACTTAGCTAGACAAACAATATAGAATAATTAGATAGTAGAGTAAGCTATAGTACTAATTAGAACTTTAATTAGTTAATTAGCTTAATTAAGGACACTAATTATATTAATTATACCGATCTAAGAATAGTAGATATAAATCTCCTTTATATATAGCTATAATAGATTTTATAGTTAGAAGTTCGTATTTAACTTATATTATAAACCGACTAATTAGAATTAACTTATTACTTTATTCCGATCTTTTATATCGATTATACTTTAGCTAAGTAACACTTTACTATTAACTACTAGACTATCTAACGAGTACTAACTTTACTTATAACGAAGGAATTACTTAACTTATATTATATAAGTATAATAGTATATAATATCTATATATAGCCTTTTAGGCTCTCTACTCTATAAGTACTATACTAGCTATTATATAGTTCGCCTATAAGGAATATTACTCTATATAGGACCTTACTTTCTTCTATATAATAGAAGTCCCTTACTAATATAAAGATTAACTCTAATATATATATAAAGTTATAAGCCTTCTTTAGAGTTTTTCCTTTAAAGGCTTTAGGCTCTTTAAGCCTAAAGTAGCTACTAAAGTTACTATCTATATATATAAAGTATATACTACTTATAGAGCTTTTACTATCTCTAACTTCTTCTTTTAGTCTTACTACTTCTAGTATTTAACTAGTAGTATAAATATAGTATATAGCTATAAGCTACTATTTAAGCCTCTTAATCTCGATCTCTATTTAAAGGTAGTCTCGTCTTTCTTACTATTATTCTATCTATATAGTATTAACGACCTCGATATCGACTATTTCTTTATTAGATATCTCTATCTTAAATATTATATCTATAGATATATCTCTATAGCTCCTTATCTATACTTCGATATTAGAGAGATTAATATCTATCTTAGGCCTTATAGGCTATAATAGAGAGAAGTTATTAGAACTAATAGAGGAATATAAAGAGTTTTAGACTAAGTATCTTATAGTATATAAAGCTCTATAGACCGATTATTAGTTACTAAATAGAACTAATAACTACTTGTCTTTTAGAAGTATAGGCTCCGAGTAGTTAAGAAGCTTTTATACTAAGGCGTTATATATCTTATCTATAGTATATAGGCAATATTCTATTAGACTACTTTATATTCTATATATCTCGCTAGCCTTCTTCTATAATAATTTTATAGTTAAGAGTTTATATTTAACTTATATTATAAACCGACTAATTAGAATTAACTTATTACTTTATTCTAATCTCTTATATTAATTATACTTTAACTAAGTAATATTTTACTATTAACTACTAGACTACTTAATAAGTACTAACTCTACTTATAACGATAGAATTACCTAACTTCTATTATATAAGTACGACGGCATATAATATAGCGCTACTATAAATAAAAGAACTAAAGTATAAATATATTTCGAATATATATATTATATTCTATAGTATATAAGTAGACTATAACCGGTCACATTAACCTAAGAAGACGTCTAAGCAATGCGTCTGCTTACCCGCTTACCTGTCTTGTCGTAGTAGTAGATAGCGGCTTATTACTACGTACGAATTCTATAGTGATGCCTACCTGCCGGAGCTGTTTGCGATACGGTCGCGGACAGTGAAGCTTGGCGAACGCTCGCTTAGGGGGAACTACACACTTCATGACAAGAACGCTTACACTAAATAACATACCGATAACCGTCAATATGCGCTGCGTGCACCTCGTTCCAGCCTGTCCGACGATCGCAACAAGAGGCTGTGGCTTTTTCGCCACCCCGACAGTCACTCTGCAAAACCACGGCCTCGCCTTACTGTTGGCGGCGCACAGAAGCCAAAAGATCTCCCCCTTGAAAGAGTTCAATACGTACAACACCATCGGCATTCGTACCTTCGCTACCACTGCATTGCTCGCTTATCGTGTTGCCCACAACCTAGAACTCCCCTCTTCGTTGCGAGGATATACAGAGGCTGCGTCCCATGCCACTTTGGTTTGACACTGATCATTGCAAGCGAGCGCCTCGCCAAGGCAGTGAAAATCCCACGTCTTGTCCGTGTGCCGTCCCATTCTCCACGGTTTGCGAGACGAAGGTTAAGAACCGTATATCGTCGTGCTGATGGTGACGGGCGTTGCACTTTGCACGAGCCTCATGCGCCCAGCGACAAACCAATCGCAGCTTTGGCAGCGGAATCTAAGCGAGCCCATGCATACTTCGACTGCAGCGTTGTTTTAGCCAAACGCCACCACCTTGCACGAACCTTGTCAACACAGCCAGCATGTTACCAGACCGCGGGACCTGCTATTGATCTGAGTGGCTGTCGGTGATGAGTACGGCAAACATGCCACACGTGCCTTGACATCGTACTACCTTACAGACTCTTGCTCCAGAAAGATGCCCTTGCTGCAGAGCCAGCTCGGTGCAGGTGGCAGTAACAGTGAACCACCACGATCTCCCCACAAGAGGACATCTTCGACCACCTGTGTTGCAGTTCGGTCAAAACCATCTATTTCCGAACGATCTCCTCTCGCAAAGAGACGAAGCAGTGCTACTTTGATAGAGACGTCACCTCGATCTGGACGCAGAATTCCTCCCGCAGTTTCAACAGCCCTCTGTTATACCGCCGGTTGATGACACGTCGACGGCAGGACCATTTGTGCAGCCTTGCAGCACTCGTACCCATGACGTTTCGGCACTGGAGTACGGACCACCTCCGGCTTGCGAACGTGGTCAGATCCTCGCAAGAGGAACGAGGCATTGCCTAGGGCGGAGCTCGCAGCGCTGAACTTCCGCATGCTGGCATCGCTCGGGTGAATACGAGCTACCACAGCAGTAACCCACCGCAGCAGCCGGAGGATCCCCACCAAGCGCACGTAGAAGCTATCGAAAAGCGTCATGAGATACTTGATCCCGACTTCGGACCATCGCAACAAGTACCGTCCAGTTACGAATGCGAAGTCGCCGAGGACGAGGTCACTACGTTTGTAGGTGCTGACACGGATTCTCAAAGTGAGACCTTAGGCCATGAAAGCGAAGCGCTTTTCAAATGTTGTACACGTCCACCGTCCGACCAGTAGTGACAACTTTGATGTAGTCAAGAGACCTCGAAGGGCACGCTCAAGTGAGCCAGTGGAGGCTGCCGTAGAGGAAGCTCGCACGCCGAAACGGAACCCGATCTTCCATCTCTGCGCAGCGTGAGCGGCCGCAGGTAGACATGGCGGATCACGAAGAGACTGAGAGCGACCTTGATCCTCCACATCACACGTCTTGCTCCCCGCCCAATCGGCCGATTGAGCACATCAATAGCGGATCCCGGGATGCGACCATGTCCGACGCCGTTACGCATCTTACCGTAGCAAATACAGAGGCGGCAGCAGAAGCCAGCGGGTCCGCTCTCTGTACAGAGGCAGCCATTGGCGCCCAGCCTCCGCTCTCGAATGGACAGGAAGAATTAGTATATTGACCGCACGCGGAGAGAGCTGGCTGAGACGACATGGTCTCCGACGCAGGCGAGCACTTCCTGCGAATGGCAGCCCGAGCAAAGGCGAGTGGCGACGACGTGTGGATCTCATTCAGTTTGGGACCTGTACAAAGCGTCCGAGCCTGAAAGATGCTCGCGTCTCTGTCTTTGATCTCTCCCTCTGTGGTATCCCGAGAGAGCAGATATCTACACGCCCACATCGTAGGCTACAAACAGACGCTCAAGTGCCCGAATAAACAGCAGTAACACCCCTCCCGCACTCCACCCTCTGCTCCACACTCACCCGCCTGCCATCTCCCAGCACTGCTGTAGCGCGCGGCGTAATATGAAATCGATGCTCCTCCTTCCCACCCGTACTCCTCTTCGCCCGCTTGATCTCCGCCTCCATGTCCAAGGGCTGGAGGTACGTCGGACTTGACATGTTATTCCTCCTTCCGGTGCCTAGCTGGTAATGCTCATTGCCGCCCCAGAACACGATATCGGCGCCCCAGTTGGTCGAGTCGTCGCTACTTGTAAGATCAGTGGACGCGGAAGTGTGCGTGATGTTCCTCATCACAGCCGCGGCATGCGTGGCGCCGACGCTGAGATGCGCTAGTCGGATGGGCACAGTGGTGTTGGTGCGTTCGTCGTACTCGAACAGCCCGGATAGGCTTGGTATCTTGATTGGAGACGGCTGGACGTGTGTCCACCTACTGTTTCCCAATCCACCGTAGATTCCCGCCCCGAACGCAAAGGTATCCGCAGTCACTCTACCAAGACCTCTATTCGCTTTGGCCTCGTCTTCAGTCAAGAGTCTGCCCGTTTGTGCGGCGACTTTGGTCGCATCAACGGTGATGTAGGAATTGCTGCCGCCTGCGGCTATGCTGGTGATGGATGGGACTTGCGAGGTACCGCTGTACAGCTTCTGAGTTGGGATGAGGGACGGGGCGTCGACGATACTCGATTCGGCATTGAAGTCGAAGCCGAGCTGGCCTGACGAGTTGTCGCCCCAGGAGAATACGCGGCCGTCTCGATCAAGCGCTAATGAGTGGTAATCTCCGCAAGCAATCTTCGCAATACTGAAGCCGCGGAGGGTAGTGATCTCGTGAGGTTGGTCGTATGGCCCCTCTGGTCTAGTCAAGAATGTCAGGCCTGGTATACCGAGCTGACCGCGGGTTGGGAAGCTGTCGGAGGAAGAAGCGGTGGAGAAAACGCGGCCTTGAGAGGTCAGTAGCAAAGCATGTTCGAGACCACCATCGATCGACGTCACTTTCTCGGGAGATTTGAGGTCCTTGGGCGCGATCAGTCGGTATGAAACGGGACTTGGTGTGGTCCAAAAGGGGAGCCATGTTGACTCTGAAGGCTTGATACCCGCAGCCTGGTCCTCGGCAGACATCGGTAAGCTGTACACTTTACCACTGCGTGACAGTGCAAGTACACGGTCGCGCGACATTGAGAGTGCAACCAGGTCCTTCCCTTGTAATGTTGTTGCCGGCGATTTCGTGTCCGGGGCGTACGCAGTCCCCCACTGCAAGAGATTGCCCTTCTCATCGATCGCCGCACCAGCGTTGCGATCCAGCTTGATGTCTCGCAGCAGCATACCATCAAAGAAGTTGATGCGTCGTGGCGTCTTGATCACATTCTCGGTGCTGTCTGGAGCAGCTACTCTGCCGCTGTTGCTTCCCCAGGCATACACGCCTGGATTCTCCCACGACCGCTTGACTTGGTGATGCTGACTTGAGATCAGATCTCGATTCTCCTCCTTACTCAAGCCTGCTTTCTTCCGCGAAGCCTCGAACACCAACGCGTTCTCTTCGTCTTTCGGCGGAGCTTCCGCATGCGCGACCCTGAGCATTCCATCGTTCAAGTAGTGTTGCGTTAGTGTGGCAACACCACCAGCAATAGCGATCGCAAGGATCGATCGTAGTAGTTGTTGCTGTTTCCGATACGCTTTATCTTGATGTGACGCTGCTGCTATCCTTGCCGGTGCACTTTGCCTTGCCAGGAAGTCGGCACGTGAGGATGCTGCACGACTACATCGTGGAATAGTTCGTTGCGCTGTACGTGACAGCATCGTCCTCTCCATCGCTACACTGACTCAGGGTGAGACTGTTGTCAAGTTATGACGATACAAGAACAACAATGCTACCAGATCGACCAACGACCATTATCCAAGACTGAGCGAGTGGTGATCTCATCGGCATACAGCGGATCTACCCGAACAGCTTGCAGCGGACCTGTCTCCGGCGCTAGCGAACCTCAAGCCAGACTGAACAAACAGTGTTCGAGGCAGTTTGAATCCAATTGACCGTTAATCAGTTCGCAGTTGATCAAGCCGCGGCATTCCCGCTTGAAATAGCTGACCTTCTCAAACGGCCATGGTCAAAGGTGAATCGAATTGTGTAGCATGTCCACCAAAGCCAATCTAAAAGCCGCCAAAGCCGCTCTCGACGCCGAAGATTACGCAAAGGCTGTCGTAGAGGCTCAGATCGTGCTAGCATCTGACTCGCAAAACTACTTCGCTCGCCTTTTCCTGGCTCGCGCTCTCGAAAAGCAGGCCAAGTTCGACGACGCAGCAAAGACTTACCAAGCGGCGGCGAAGTCCAAGCCGGACGACAGCCAAGCATGGCTCGGCCTCTGCAGCGTCTATGAAGCTCAAGGTTCGAGCAAAGTCGACGAATACCGAGAGGCTGCTGTGAAAGCGGCCGTAGCTTTCGCGAATGTCGATGACAAACACCGATGTCAGACGACCATCGATAAGCTTACCACGTTTGTTAAGCAGAATGGGACAACTACGCAGTATAAGCGTGCATTAAAGGTCTTGCTGCCTGGAGGCCCGGTTTACGATTACTTGGAAGGCCGTATTCCGCATCCCTCACACACCTACTCACGCTTGGTGGAGATCACCGAGGATGAGGAAGCGAAGCGTATTCAGCGTGAGATCAACGAGCGACGAACGCGCATAGGTGCGAGACTAGGCCAAGTCACTGCCGATGTGAAGCGAGAAGTGCTTGGCTCGAGCGAGCTCGAAGGTTTGTACCAGCAAATCATCAATTGGACCAACGACGATGAGGTGCGGCACCAGTACGAGGAGAAACTACTGGAGCGAGCCTATGAACTACTGATCGTGCTTCCGGCTGAGCAAAAGCGTGCCAAGCTAGATCAGGTCCTGACGTTGGCGGAGGGAATGGTTATTGTAAAACACATATACCAGAACGCCTGGGATCTAGTGCTTGAGACGAGAGATCTTGACGACTTGAGGGGTCTTGATGTCAACATCTTGAGAGAGTATGTTGCATCTTTCCCGGATGCTGGGCTTGCGAAGATCTTGCAGGCATGGCTTAGCAGCGAGCTGTCTCCGTTCCCGCCGGCCCCGAAGAACGACAATTCGGATACGGAGGCGAAGAAGGAGATGACCGCAGAGGAACGCTTGCTCTTAATGAACGAAGGACTTTCGGCCTCCGAGCAGTCACCTTTTGCGCATCGCTTAGTTGCAGACTATTACCTTCACCTCGATGAGCACGAAACAGCCGCCGAAACCGCTCGGGCGGGCTTACAGGCTACCACGGCCGAGTCGCAAAAGCTTGGTATGACCTTTCAGAACACCCGTGATGCATTGAACAGCACCTTGGCCACGGCTCTAGTTTACTTCCAGGCACCTCGCCACCACGCAGAAGCTCACAGGCTCTTTGAGGACATCCTGCAGCGGAGGCCGATGTGGACTCCTGTACTGATAGGCCTGGGCTTGATCTTTGAGGAGACTGAAGACTACTCGGATGCAATCAACTTCCTCGCGCAAGCGCTAGAGCAAGATCCATCGAACGTACAAGTCGGCACCGAGTTGGCGTGGTGTCGTGCACTGTGTGGCGAGCACGAGCAGGCACAGCAAGAGCTAGAAAGCTATCTTCCCAAGCTAAAGGCGGACGATCCACAGGCCCGTGACCTCCGCGCTCAGGTACTGTATCGTGTAGGCGTCTGCATCTGGAATCTGGACACTTCAAAAGCCGCCCGCAAAAGCCGCGATGGCGCCTACGCCCGCTTTCTTGCCGCCATCAAAACCAACGTCAACTTTGCCCCCGCCTACACAAGTCTGGGCTACTACTACGCCGATTATGCCCGTGACCGTAAGCGTGCTCGTCAATGCTTCCAGAAAGCCTTCGAGCTATCACCAGCCGAGACGGACGCAGCGGAACATCTCGCCAAATCCTTCGCCGACCAACGCGACTGGGACATAGTGGAAGTAATCGCACAACGAGTCGTCGACTCTGGCCGCGCACGACCACCCCCTGGCTCCAAGCGAAAGGGGCTTAGCTGGCCTTACTCCGCGCTTGGAGTGGTTCAGATGAATCGGCAGGAGTACTCGCAAGCAGTTGTCAGCTTTCTAGCTGCGCTACGCATCAGCCCGGACGACTACCAGTCGTACGTCGGTCTTGGTGAGAGCTACCATAACTCGGGGAGGTACAACTCGGCTTTGCGGACGTTCAACTTCGCTCTGAACCCGCCGGAGGGGACACCGATGAAAGTCAGCGGCGAGACATGGTTTGCCAGATATATGCTTGCAAACGTGCACCGAGAGCTTGGCGATTTCGATGACGCTATTGCGGGCTTGAGGGAGGTGCTTGAGGAGAGGAGTGAAGAGTTTGGCGTGCTGGTGTCGCTGTTGCAGACGTTTGTGGAGAAGGCGTGGAGATGCTTGCAGTCGGGGCTTTATGGGCAAGCCGTTGAGAGCTCTTTGCAGGCTATTGAAACTGCCGGGGTTGTTGTTAAGGACCGGCCAAACGCTTTTAACCTTTGGAAGGCAGTCGGAGATGCCTGCCTTATCTTCTCGTGGGTACAGGCAGCCAGGCAGCGGTTTCCAAGCTCGGCAGTGTCTGGGTTGCTAAGAGCAGATACTGGGGAGGCGACTTATACTCTGCTTACAGACATCGACTTGCTGAATGCTGATACGCTGTCGCAACTGGACACGCACGGCGAGGTATCTCCAACTGCGTCCAACGAACCGATCGTGGCCGGCATTCTCGCCTACAAGCGCGCCATCTCGGCGTGCGCAAACGACCTCCACGCGCAGGCCGTCGCTTGGTACAATCTCGGCTGGGCAGAACATCGTGCGTGCGTCTGCAGCGAGCCGAAGGCGGGCAAGCATTATCTGAAGGCCGCTGTGCGCTGTTTCAAGCGTGCCATCGAGCTGGAAGCCGGCAACGCCGAGTTCTGGAACGCCCTCGGAGTCGCAACTACCACGCTAAATACTAAAGTCGCGCAGCACGCTTTCGTTCGGTCGCTTCATCTTAACGAGCTGAACGCGAAGGTATGGACGAATCTGGGCGTGCTGTATCTTCTGCAAAACGATCATGAGCTCGCGCATGCGGCGTTTGGAAGGGCGCAGTCTACTGATCCCGAATACGCTCACGCTTGGGTCGGCGAGGGGTTGATTGCTCTGCTCGTTGGCGAAACAAAGGAAGCACTGAATCACTTGACGCACGCTTTTGAGATTTCAGATGCTGTGTCTACGATTACAAAGCGGCAGTACACGCTCTCCAGCTTTGATCACATCCTCTCCGTGCAGTCAAAGTCGAGCGACCTTGCTAAGCTTATCCAGCCAGTGTTTGCGCTTGAGCAGTTGGGAACGCAGGCGCCGCAAGATCTGCCCTACCGACACCTCTCCGCCCTGTTCCTGGAGCGCGTAGGCAACTACAGCGGTGCTGTGGAAGCGCTCACGGAGATCTGCACGGCTGCTGAAGCGGAGTACGAGCAGTCCGAGAGCCTTGGTGCGCTTGGGCGCTACGCTCATGCCAAGTCTGATCTTGCCCGCTGCTTGCTTGCCTCGGCCACGACGTATGACGAAGCTACGGGACATGCTGAGACGGCGCTGGATCTTACCTCGGACGCCGATAATAGCGGCTTGGATGTGGAAGGACGGCGCCGCCTGCGGCTGTCTGCACACCTTACCGCAGGTATGTCGTTGTATAAGCTAGGCAAGACGACTAGGGCGATTGGAATGTTCCGTACGGCTTTGCAGGAAAGCAAGAATGATCCCGATGTTGTTTGCCAGCTTGTACAGGTGCTGTGGGCGCACGGCGGTGGAGAGGAGAAGAATGTGGCGAGAGAGCAATTGGTCGACTGCGCGGAGAAGCATCCTGAGCATGTCGGAAGCGTCACCCTTCTAGGAGCTATTGCTGCGTTGGACAATGATGGCGAGACCGCAAGTGCTGTCAAGGAAGACCTTGCGAACCTGCGCTTGAAGGATGACTTACAGCCTCACGAACAGGACCGGATTGAAGCTGTGCTCTCCGGCTTAGCTGCGCTCCAGGATCAGGCTGGAGTTGGTGACGTGCTGGAGGCGCAGTGTGCTATTATGCTCAGACCTGAACACTCGGTAGCGTGGTCCGAGCTATTGGAGTCGTCGGGAGATGCGTGTGTGGCGGTGATGGCGCTGAAGACAGCTCAAAAGACTTTGCCACCTCTGGGCGAGATGGGAACGGCACAGCTGGCTAGAATGTATGCTGGTGTCAGAAACTTGAGTGATGCGCAGCGTGCCGTCTTCTTAGCACCTTGGGAGAGAACGGCTTGGGTGGCAATGGAAGAGTCGTTGTCGTGATCGTGCTGCCTGCCGCGAAGTGAAGTGAGGCAACGCCGCGCATGATGCTCGAATGAATGCATGTGTAATGGCGAACAGCATAGCGATGTCTCAAGTGACTTAAACGCGGCCGAGATCATTCTGGTGAAGTGAGAGAGTGCGGATACACCGGTAGTGACCTGACGCACGCAGCTACTCACAATCAATGTCGCAGCGGGATCGTGTCCCAGATCCACGAGCCATGAAGTCCACTATGGCATCAATTATGTCATCTGGAAACATAGAACGCCCAAGCACCTCGCTAACAAATCAATATCCTCCCCAAAGCATCCGTGTTGCAGCAACATTAGAAGTGATGCCGTATGCCGCCTTCATCACCATCCACTAATTTATCGCGCCGTCAAGCCCACATACCCCATCCCCAGCTTCCATGCGTACCGATTGCAATGCGGTGGTAAACACCAAGCCACGTGAACGCGTACAGCAGCCCCATTAATACTGCATTCCGCCACTCCCGTAACCCTGTCCGACACTATCGTCCAGAGACCGGTAAGCCCCCCTCCCACGCCCTCTACCACCGCCCGCACCACGATGAAAGCCGCGATTCTGGGCGCCGCCTCTGCCGCTTCGACCGCCGCCACGACCGCCGCCGCGCTGAGCAGCAAATCCTATTCCGCCGCCAGCTCTGCCGGCGTAGCTCGTATCGGCACCATACGCTTGGCGATTCATTTGTGGCTTCGGCTTGCCTGTCGAGCCTAAGGAAGGGAAGTCTTCTTCGCGAGGGTGCTTGCGGGCATGACGTGCGTTCGGGAAGGACGCTTCGTAGGCGTCTTCGTTCCGCAACTCTTCCTCAATCCGCAGTAGCACTTTCTCGCCGACAATGGTTGCGAATTCGAAGGCTTGCGATTCGGGCACGGGCTCCCAAGTGCGGATGCGGGATGCTTCTATCGGCTTCGCCTGGCGGCGTGTTGCAAGAACGACGCAGGGTGTTGCGTTCTCCGTGTAAATTCTTGCACCCGGAGTCGCCGGCTCCACACGAGCAGCCCAGACTCTGTTCTCAAGATTGGCGATGCCCGTAACGCGCCAAGACAGCTTCGCTCCGATTCCGCCGACCTTATCGAGGATGGAGTGCGGTGCCGGACGAGGTGTGATCAAAATGTTGTTAGCAAGATGTTTGACCTCGTGATCTGGGCAATTGGGTGGCAACTTGACAAGAGTCTTGAGCTTGTCTGTGTCTGACTGGGAGATAATGTAGCCGGTGTAGAAGACGGAACGCTTGATCTTGTACGGGATCGCGTGTCGTGGCGCTGTGCCGTCGAGGATGGCCTGGTTGTGATTGTTGATCATTCGTTGGACCTCGGAGACTTCGGAGACGGGATCCATGCTGAGTTCCTGCTCTGATACTTGGACAACCTCGGCGTTGATCGGTAGTCTATCATCCGGCGCAGCTACACTCAGCGAGGCGAACGACATATTAAGCTCCTCGAAGTAGTCACGGAAGCCTTTGGTATGCTTAGGTCGGTCCTCATATATGCGAATGTCGGTGGCATTACGGTAGGTGCACACGATATCGCGCAGCAAGATCTGCTTGAAGTGCATAGTGCTGGAGAAGAGCTCGCCCATGGGGCTGACGTTAGGCTTGAGACAGACCATGTCGAAGTCTAAGCCTTTGGCAGTGATCATGCGGGAGACGAGATCGGAGAAGCCGTCCTCCTTCCGGCCAGTGATCATCACACATAGCGTGTCTTCCTCATCGGTTGAAAGCTCAACAAGGTCAACAATCTTCTGATTCCAGCATCCCTGCCACGCACGAGGTTCCTCTACGGAGACACCTTGGCCAGTGGCGGCAAGAATGGTTGGATTATGCCACCAGCCGCCGCCATGAAGGAAGTCTTGTGCTTGGAGCAAGCCGCAGGTGCCGGTGTTCCATATCTGCTTGTTAGGTAACGGAGACGCAAATACTACAGTACACGATTCGGTATCAGCCTTGTATCATGAGCCTAGTTTACTCAAGAGCCAGCCTACATGTATTGTCGAAGTCGTAGACGTGGATGTGCTTGATATGCTCAATTGGTGGCAATTGCTTGTCCTTACAGCTCCAGCGCCTCAACGCCGTAACACTGCGTCCCACCCCTCCGTTCATCATGATTTGCTCACACTAGCAGGGACATGAGGGCAAGCGACGTGTCTAAGCATCCATATCGGCCAACACCTACGGCATTCCCGATGCCGCCTCACGAAGTGCAATCGAGACACAATCTTTCGGTAGCCGGCAGAGCGGAGGTATCGGGCCGGTGACGGTGCGCTAGCGCTGGATGCATGATTAGTAAGTCGAACTAGGTGCTTTCGTTGCCTTTGGCAGAGACGAACAGCAGGTCGATCATCAACACGCTGTCTACAAGATCAATAACACGTCTTACTGCTCAGTGTCTCATCCACACACCAGCGAAATACCTTCTCAAGCCGATCTGGTCGCGCCACACGCTTGACGCCACTTCCACCCAGAGGAACGCAAGTGCACGTGCCTACCCGGCAGGAAAGCGTCCTGCTGCAACGGTCTAGATACCGCCGCAACCATTCACCGCCTCAACGAACGCATCAATCCAACAAGGCTTGACCTTCTCGCCACTACGACTTTTCCGACTCGGCTCTGATCGAGATGGAGAACGAAAAGATATCCAACCTGCTCGCTGAGCAGCGCGACAACGCCCCGGAAGACTTGCAGCACTACTTCCTCAGCTTTGAAGATTACTGGGAGCGAAAGCTGTGGCATGAGCTGACGGACATCCTGGTGAATTTTTACAATGAGCCGGAGAGTAAACCGCAGCGGTTAGTGCTGTACGAGGGGTTTGTGAAGGGTTTCGCGGACAAGATTAATCAGTTGAAGCTGGTTGAGATCGGTCTAAGTGCGGCGACGCAATGTGAAAGTATGCTGAACCGCCAAGCGAGGAACGAGAAAGGGTTCTAACATTGTTGTGTTTCAGACGAGCAAGACCGCCTCTCATTCCTCACCTCCCTCACATCCCGCGTCGACAAGCCTGCTTCACAAGACGCCTACGTCTTCGCGCTCGCACACGTCGCCTCCGTGCGCTTACGGCTAGGCCAGAAAGCCGAGTCTCGCACAGCCCTAGACAAATGCGAGAGCGTCCTCGACACCTTTGACGCCGTTGAGACAGTCGTGCACGCCTCCTTCTACCGCGTTAGCGCAGACTACTACCAACAACAGCACGACTTCGCAAATTACTACCGCACCACTCTCCTCTACCTGGCATGTGTGGAGCTCTCCGATCTTTCCGAACCAGAGCGACACCGCATAGCCTACGACCTTAGCATCGCAGCACTCGTAAGCGAAACGATCTACAACTTCGGCGAACTGCTTCTCCATACCATCCTCGACAGCCTGGAAAACACAAAGCACGCCTGGCTCCGTGATTTGCTGTTCGCCTTCAACCGCGGCGATCTGCATGCCTACACTATACTGCAATCACATCTTTCCGAAGCTCCACTACTGGCAGAGCATCAGTCCTTCCTTTACCAAAAGATATCTCTTTCCGCCCTCACACAGCTCGTGTTCTCCCGTGCGCCCCAGGACAGGGCCATGACGTTCCAGACTATCTCGCAAGAGACGAAGGTGAAGGAGGACGAGATAGAATTTCTGGTGATGAAGGCGTTGAGTCTCGGATTACTCAAAGGCAAGATCGACCAGGTTGCACAAGTCGCACGAGTATGGTGGGTGCAACCTAAAGTGCTGGAGCGGACAGGAATCGAAGGGATGAGGGGACGATTGAAGGAGTGGATGGGTGGGGTGGAGAGACTGGGAGGTTGGGTCGAAGGCGTCGGAGAGGGCGTTTGGGCGGCGTGAGGTGGGGAATTTGCGCGGTTGTGTATGCCTAGCCTCGTGGCGGTGTCCAACGAGCAGCTTGGAGAGCACATGTAAGACCATGGCATGACTAAAGGCTTGCTTCACAGCGCACGGCCTTTGTGCCTCAGGCCTGTTTAGCCGACGACGGTCGCCTCGGACCTTTCGGTGGCGCACTTGTGCTGCCCCAGGTGGAGAGTAGAAGATAGTGATTGCACACAACGTGCAATAGTGAATCATGATATAAGTATGCCAATATGCTAGCGGCAAGTAGACTGCCGCATCGCAGCTTAATGGGTGCCAGCTTATCAATCCTCTCATAATCCGTTTACAAGATTCTCGATCACCTGCGACTCTTGCAAGAACCTCGTCTACTTACAAGCAAAATGGCCGATGGATACCGCCTCACCAATCTCTTCGGCGGCGCGGTCCAATGTCCACTCCCCGCCACATTTGCAGACGTCAGCGAGATTCGTCGAGTCCCTGATAATCAAGAAGTCTGGCTTGACACTAATGGCTTAACCTCCGTGGTGTTCGATATACTTGAGCGGGTCGATGGGATGAGTGATGTGGACGCATTGCAGTTCCATCTCGACGACATCACGGAGGAGAGTGGTGCGGAAATAGATGGGGAGGTGACAGTTCTTATGAAGGGGGAGGTGCGCTTTCAGAAGTTGCCGTACGTATCTAGGCTCCCTTCTGTTTGCCCCGTTTGACTCTGTAGTGGGGAAAGGGCTGGGATGCTGACGCTGACGATATGTGCATAGGCAGGGCACGAAAGCATACGGGCTGCTGGCTACATCACTGCCCGGCGAGAAGCAGCGCGGACGTGATAACGAGCCCGATTTTGTTGCCTTGCTCCTACTGCTTGTAAGGCTGGTGGAGCAAGCGACTGATTTGATTATCACCGTCAATGTGCCGCATGTGGCCGGCACCTATGATTCTGGGGAGGTGAAGCCTGAGCAGGGCAGGTACGGAGGGCTGTTGCTGAGGGGGTTGGAGATCAGGGAGAAGATCATTGAAGGGTTCCAGATTGTGGACTGGGGCCTTTTTGGGGAGGATTAATGGTAAAAGTTCTGCTCCGAAGGGCGACTGTCGACTGGTGAGCTAGATCTGGTGACCTTTGCCTTCCAGAATCTTGTCGGACATCACGTGGACCACTGTCGTGCAGCCGACACACTCCAACTGCAAACGCTTCGACAGCCATCTCATACCAATGCTGAGCTGGTGAGACTATGCCATTCCACATTAAGAATGAGGGTAGAGCCGTTGGCTTTGGAGAACCGTTAGCTGGAACATTGATGTTGGCTAAGACGAGCAAGACCTTTCCGTGAGACTGCTGCAGCTCAATCATCGCTTAGCATAATGGATTCCAGCGCTCGGGAAACGATCTCAATGCTGTCCTCCTCTAGATCAATCACCTCGACCTCGCTCGAAACTGGTAGTTTCGCATCGCTCGGGACAAGGGATAGTGGCACACTGTCCGATTTATTTCCGCCCTCGCTCAGACTGCTCGCCGCCTTCTCAGCCCGGTATCGCTTTGCAATGGCCTCCATGACCTCCTTCTGCGTCGCACCACCTGGCAAGCCAGCCTTCACACTGGCAAAATGCGCTTTCACATACGCCGCATAGCCTTGACCCGCAGTCTCCTTCCTCGGTACCGGTTTGATCTGCAACAGCTTCCCACGGCACTGCCCACATTGCTGACGCGCAGGATCAATACTTTTCGAATGCCGCTTGAACACGGCTTCGCAATTTTCACCCTCACAACGCCAAACGTACTTGTATTCGATTTGGTAGCTATGCTTGGTTGTCACCTCAATTCCACGAGGCGCAAATGCGCGTGTGCATTTGACTCCCCAGGCCTTGAAAGAGCGGCCATGCGGTTGGTCCTTGATGCCAGAGATCATGAAGTTGGCAAGATGGCAGAACTCGTGCGCGAGGACGTTCAGGAGACGAAGCTCGTCGTCAATGACTTTCTCGGCTAGTTCAACGGAGGCGTGGTGTTTGTGGGTTGTGGTCACGCTACCGTCGGCTTGGCGCTGTTTGGTCGTCTCCCGCCGCCAGTTCGCTCTTCCGGCGGTCGTATTAAGTGTCTTGCTCCAGACAAGCTTCACACCGCCTGTTGACGCCGCAAGTTGTGCGATCTGCCTATTGGTGATCTCTGCATCCAGCTCAGCAAGGAAGCTTTCTGCGAGCTGATGCTTCCGGCTTTCCCAATCTCTACGGACACTCATCTCAGCTTTGGTGCGCTTCGACGGGCTTTGAAGCTTGCGCGGCGAGGAGAGCGGCGACGTGGAATTGACATCGCGCACCTCTCTGAGCTTCTTCGGCGACCATTCTTTCCGCGGCGAGTACTGGTCGTTCCAGTCATTGACTGTCTCTGGGTTCCAGAAGGCATCAATACTTGGTCTGTGGGGTGGCGTGGGTATTCTTGCTGTACGCTTTAATGGCGAGAGCAGACGGCCTTTAGGCGCTGATGTCGGAGGTGGCGTCACTAGCCGTCTAGGTGTGCGCTGTCTCTGCGGGCTGTAAAGGCGAGGAGGTGAAAAGCGCAGGACGGCATCGTTGTTCTCCTTGTCTGAGGAGCTACTCGGCCGTGACAGTATATCACTGCAGCTCGTCGTACAGTCTGGCGCTGGGTCTTTCTTGCTTGGTTGCTGGGGAAGACTCAGTGCATCCAGTCGCACGTTTAGCTCTGTCACGCCCAGCCCTGCATTCTCCGGTAAGAGTCTAGATGGTAGCCCGATCAGCTTGCGTGGGCTGGGCAGCTCATCTTCCGAGCCCTCAGATGACGCGTCGCTTCCGCACCAGACACTCTGCTCAACATCCCTCCCCGAGACGCTGTCTTCGACGACCAAGTTGGAATCTTCAGATCGTACGTCTGGATGAATTTCCTGTTTCGGCGAACGAACACCATCAAGGACAGTTCGCTTTGCTGGGCTGAACTTCAGGGTTTCTCGCAGTACTGAGACAGCCAAGTCCGAGGATCGCGAAACGTTCAGTGGCGCTAGCCGGATGTGTTTGCTTCGTGGTATGGCAAAAGAGCCGCGCTTGGGCACGAGGTCCAGAGAATGCACATCGTTGCCGCAGTCCACATCCTCGACCTGTACAAATGTTTTCGAGGCTTGTTTGCGAGGCGATCTTCTTATGGCGTGCTGTACTGATTCTGTGGAGTCGGTGTTTGTTTGGCTGTCGCTTAATTTTGGCTTTGATGTCGTCGGCTCCCAGTAATTCTCGGTACTACGACGTCGCAAACGCGCCATGTTACAACAGGCTCTGGGTCTCAAATGATGGTGGTAAAGTCATTACTGCCTTCGAGCAGCCAGAAGCGTTGATATTGGACGCGCGAATGCCTTCCATCGATGCGTTCCATCGTGAAGTTCGCGGAAAGCGGTTCGCCAAACCTCGGCTGTTGCCAGTGACAACGATATACCTTCCTTAATCTGCAAACCACTTCACTTCGTTCAATCATTAGCATAGACATGCTCTTTACATGCTCGGAACCATGCACACGCGCATGTTTCCTGCCCTACACTGGAGACCGCTCTGCTGCACCCACTTGATCTGGCGCCTCCCGAAGAATTCTCCCTGCATGATCGAGGTTCGAGGCGGTTTGCTTGGGCGACTGCGAATGTGTCTACCTAGTAGGAAGGAGCCCCTCGCCGCAGAGCCCGATGTAAGTCGAAGTATGTACAGTAATGTCGATCAGTTCAGTACAATGTATGAAGCCACCGCTCCTTGCTGAAGCGCTACGTAATGCACTCCCTCTGCTCACCCTGCGTACACATGTTTCACCCGTGGCATGCCACAGTCTTGGCGTTCATCTAGATCGAGTCTCGATAACAGGCGGCTTCAGATGAAAACTGCCGCCCTAGGCTCACTCGGCATCGCTGCCATTCTTGTGCTTCTCTGGAACTGGCCGTCTGCCGTAAGTACAGTTTGAAGCCTAAGGGTACCCTCCGGGCAGCCTACATTGCGCATTCCGCAAGACACATCCCGAGTACAGAAAGCACTGGTCGTTCCTAAAACGCGCTTTGACGACGTCCGCTGGCTAGCTGGCCTAGACCCGTCAGCCAACCTTTCCCAGTTCCACTTATGCAGCTGACCTCTTGCGGCTCCTTTACTGCCTTTGTGTATACTACAGACGTACGACCTGAGTTGCAATACCTCCAGCCGAGGGTGATTGCGGGTCTCGAATTCTGCGCATGTCTGTCGTATCTTCTGGACTACTACGACGCCTTACCGCAATACTCACTCTTCCTACACGCAACTGAAGATCAGTGGCACAATGATGTGTTCTCTAAACCCACCAATCAACCAGATACGTTGCGTAGCTTACGGATGGAGAACATTAACGCAGCCGGTTACGTCAGCTTGCGGTGTAAGCCACATCCGGGTTGCCCGCCAGATATCGAGCCCACGACCCCGGCGGCTCCTGATGGACATGTCTGAAACATCAACAAGACACAAAGTGATGCACCGCCGCTTCTCGGCGGGCCGTGCTGCGCACAGTTTAGGGTGAGTCGGAGCACGATTCTCCAGCGACCGCGTGAACAGTACGAGTGGAATGCTTCGTTGAGCTTCCGAGGCTGGTAGGGTCGACGATTTCAGGACCGGGTGGATGTTCGAGAAGCTTTGGCATATTGTGTTGGGGATGGAATCCGTGCAGTAAGTATCTCTCCATTCAACGTTTCAACGGCACTGACCGACTGTGAACAGCTGCCCAAGGTACGAACAGTGCCGATGCGACAACTTCGGCTGGTGTGGACCATTGGCTTCTGGAGAGTTACTGACGCCGGCGGTATCGAGCTGACGGTATTGAGTGTTCTTCGGCCCATAGTGCGGAGCTTGCCAGGGCTGAAGAGCTCTCAATGTTAGACTTTTGATATCGCGCTGAACGATACGACAAGAAGCGTAAGCTCTTCAACGTAATCAACCGGAACCAATGTTGCTGGCCCAGGTTATCGATGGGTGCCCGCAAGTGCTAGGACAGCGGACACGGTGAGCACAACATAGCGCTCCATACAGTGTTGCCCGCAGAAGCATCCGACAGACTTTCGCAATGGCCGTAAGGCTGCAGGACATTGCAATTGAGGCTCTCGAGCTGCCCATTGAGCGACACGGTATCGTCCTTCGTTTAACGCCTAGCTGCCCTGTTCGCTCGTGGACTTGATGCAGAAGCGATGTTGTCGGCATCAAGCTCGATTATCGTGGGAGGGAGACCCATGTTCGCAATGCAGCAATCGCATATGCCGGCCCTGAGCTGAGAAGGATATCATTGTTGCTCACGAACGTGGTAGGAGCTGAAGCACTCCGCACAAATTCCGCTGTTGGGGTTGTCAAACCCTTTGCTCGCTGTTGGAGACGCTTGAGAAGTACTCTGGAAGTATTGCATTCTCGGGTGATCGGAGCGTTAGTTGCTTTCACGTGCTGCAACTCACTGTTATGGTTAACGTCGGCCTCTGAGGCACTACAATTTGCACAGTGGATCATGCGACTCTTCGACACTGACGGTGATAAGCTTGTTCGTCGGTCTCCGTGGTGGTCTACACCTTGCAGATAGCAGGCCGCCAGGTTTGAGCCTTCCAAAAAGGGCCATCAAACCTCGTACAATAGTGCCTCGGATACTCGGTAAGGTTCCTTGTATGGCCCGAAACTCTCGGTAAACATGGGTTAAATTACGGCGCCGGCTCTATGCTCGTTGCGCAGCCGGTCAGCACAGATACTGAACGCGAATTCTGCGAGCGCCAGTGATGGGGTACACGCAAAGCGTCAAGGCGGTGTCTGTGTGCACGATAGTATGCTTGCTTCCGCCCTTTTTGTTGAAACCTGCCTAACCCGGCAATTTCAGCCCTACGAAGAGCGCCCTACTAAGCAATATATGAGCTAATGACGGAAAGGATCGCGGGATATGGCGCGGTACAGCCAGGAAGGCTCGAAGATTGAAGCCGGCCCTAAGTAGACCAAATGCATGTGGGGTAGATAGTAGTCACTAAGTTAGACAGCACTCCGCACGTGGTGCGGCGGTGCCCGCAGTCCTGTCAGAGACGGAGGGATATTGAGCCATGTAGACGTCGAAGCAACATCGAAAGGCGAACCACAGACCTTGTGTCGATTTCGCGTTAGTAGAAGTGCTCTATGCTTGTGGATGATTGATCGTAGTCGGAGCAGAAAGGCGCTGAGGTCGCTGTGCATTTGCTTGGTCACATGAAGGTCATACGCTGAGGAGCGAGGCCGGCATCAGTGGCCACTCAGCCACATGGGTCTTCCAGCCCAGAGATTTGAGCGCGACAGCTTGGTAATACTTCTTTGCCGGCAGGGACACTACCATCCATCCCGTCCGAGGTTCTCGAAATCGTTGTCGGTTTCTCGGGACGCCGAAGCTCGACTCGGAGAAGCGTGAGCTTGGTCTGAGCAATCAACTAACCACAGAGGGTTACCTGCCGCTTTCAGCCCTACCCGTTAAGTCGCTGCAAGCTGTCATTGGACGGCTCAAATAGCATGGCACCGATCTCCTGTCGGTCGCTCATGTATGCGTGCATTCTTGCATCCAAGGACCCGTGGCATCAAGCGTACAAGCTCAGCCGCACATGCAAGGCCATACTCGACCGAATGGCCTCAACACGGTCAAGTGCGATGTAGGGGAAATTCTTCGGATTTTGACGACCTGCTACGGTTCACGGCCTGGAACGGCTACGGCGAGCACCAGATGCTTCACCGAAGCCTTAGGGTACATGAAGTTGCTGACTGAGCGATTTGTTGGTGGTCGAGACTCCATGAATACCCATGCGGGACGTCAAACGGACAAGGTACCGACAACTTCGCCCTATGAGACCCTGCTGCTGGTGCCGATCCTTAACACACCTAGGGACTAGCATGCCTAGCTTGCACATCATTGACGGTACTCGACCGGATGTAAGCTCCTACAAGTACGCAGCTTGTCCTGCAGCGGAGGTAGACAGGCTATTTCGAAAATCTGTCAACGAGACCTGAAGAGTGTGTTGTTTACGCGAAGCTTCTTCTTTTTTGAATGGTACAATCACGTATCTGCTAAGCTTGAAAATCAACAGCCTCCTTCGCATATATATCCTAGGGCTCTTTGGTAGGCTGGCCCAGCAGCCTAGTACTCGAACAGTAAGCTGGATAGGCTACCTGTAGCCCGCTCCCGCATAGCGTACGGCCAATCACAACACGTCACGGCACCTACTGCCAACGTCTTTCCAACACTGTTCTGTTCGAACAGACCCTTTAACAAGAGTTAAGACGTTGGTTGCAGCGTTGGGTACTGGACCATGGCTGCGGCAGACGTTATGACTCCAACGATGATCGATCTCAAATCTGTCGCTGTTTGGGAAGGCAGATCAGTACGTATGACCTGAGAAGAATCTATCTGCTGTCCAGTCCCACCTTCTCCGCTTGCATGACGATAGCGTCGGAGCGCTATTGTGTCTGCTTGCTCTGCACAATGCCGCTCTAGTGCACTCATTCCCACGAGGACTTCAACACTCCCTTATCCCATCGTCAGCGGTTGGTGGCCGAGCGTTTTCTGTTGTGACGCTCACTGACTGTACTAGGGCACACCGCCTCTCTACAGAGACTGTCGAAAAGGGCACCATTCTGCATGCGTGGACTTAGATCGGTATACCATGTCGAACTTTAGTCTATTGCTTCCTCAGGAGCAAGAGGACCATGTATATCTCGATCCGAATCTTGAATTTGTTACCCACACCATCGAACCTCCACAGACTTTAGATGTCTATGCTGAGCCACTACTGGCACCGGGCGCCGGGTTTGGTTCGTCCTTCGATGGGTCTCAACATTTGTACCCTCAACCGAACACATCTCAACCGCAATTCGACGCGTACTTGGGAGCGGATGACCCATTGATGCAGCCATCGATGACTACGGATGTGCTATCGTATCCTGCAATCAATCCAGCCAGTCCGCAATACCGTGACGATTATGCGTGGCCGCAGGATTTTGTGACGAGCGGTCCGTCCACCCTACCGAGATACCTCTCGCCGGAGGAGACTCACACAAGACCAACAAGATCAGCGTCGTTTGCCTCACTCCCAGGTTCCATGGCAAGCTTCAGTACACAATCGGAGGTTTCCAGAAGTGTGTCGCCGAATGCAGGTGAGATGGCTCGATGGGTGCGAAGTCCGCCGTAACACGAACCCGAGACGGCGTAAGCTAACCTGATTATCTTAGGGCTACGAGGTTGCGGAAGGTGATTGGAAGTGCTCATACCAGGGTTGCACGTCTAAGTCTACGTTCACCCGAGGTTGCGACTTGCGTAAACATTACAAAAGACATACCAAGTCTCTGTTCTGCCGTCACGAAGGCTGCCCTCAGTCGATGGGAGGCGGCTTCTCCAGTAAGAAGGACCGCGCGCGGCACGAGGCGAAGCACAATCCGACAATATCCTGCGAATTGGATGACTGTCCGCGATTATTTAGCAGGGTTGATAATATGGTGAGTTCATGGATCCGCTATCCGAGTAGGGAGACAAGTGACTGACGAAGCGTGACATGCAGAAGGACCACGTAAGGCGCGTGCATAAGCGGAGCGCGGTTCACCAATGAGCCAACTCCTTTGGAAACCTGACGCTTTCGGAAGCCTATTCTTCGCGACGCACCTTGTACGCTGGCCGGACTACCCAGTATCTCTATGTCCTCTCTGGAAGCATACTTCATGGCCCCATCGTCAAGCATGTCCACAATGCTACAGCTCCTTTGTGCCATTCCAGCTTTTGCGCACACACAGTCCATCGACCGCTCTGCATCATCAAGGTCATGTTCAACGGCAGTCGCTGTAGAGGTCGTCGTTGCAACAGGATGTTCCGCTTGCTCACGTGCGAACCGCGAACTAGGTCCCGAAAAGCTACGTAGACGCAAGTGCTGGCAGTCAAAGTACTGCTCGATTGTCGCGTCACGTTCGCCGGGAACTTGTGGCCTTGCCATGACTAGCTGTGGCAGGGTATCGCTGTCGAAGCCGCTACCCATACCCTCAAAAGCAACTGGCCAAGCTATGGTGGTACTACTCGCCCATGGATGGGCGAATTGCGAGTTGACACAGAAATGTAGATCGGTAGCTGAAAACGGGGTGCTTGGGTGTGGGAGGCCTTACCGCAGAACTCTAGCGCTAAGTTCACCGATGGCCCAGGCCAGCGCAACCTGACGACGTGTCCATCTGCCAACTGACTGGTGAGGGCTGGAGTATCTGGTAAGCAAGTAGCCCTGAGCTAGATAATATCGGGAAATGAACTTGTAGTTCGCCTGTGGAAGGCCTTCGTCTAAGCATCTCGTGGAAAGCATGAGCCCTCCGTCGCTGAATCAATTTTCTTTCTTAGCAAGTTTCGCAACGTGACGAAAGGGCTAGCGAAGAATCATTGATTTGTGAATAATGACCGCTTGCGGATCATCGAGGTTCGGGCTTGATGTGCTCGAGGCCACGACGGTTAGACACTCAATCTTCATCGAAGGCATCGTTCCATCTTATTACAACTTGTCACTCAGTCCTCTGTAGGTGGTTGCTGCACGTTCTCTGGCTGGCGGATCGGTCACTTGTCGATCATGCCATCCTTCCAATATGTTCGCGACAGAGAAGGTTTTCAATACGAACTATAAGCCGAATGCAACGCTATGCACCCATTCCATTCCTTTGACTCCCAAATGCAAGAGCTATCCATCAATGCGTTGTCTACACAGCATCCCCGAGAAGCGTACCCTCGCGCCTTGCGGCAGCAAGACTCGTTCCAGCGGTTACTCAGGCCTCTAAGATGGTGCGTTGCCAAGTATGCCCCAATAGTGCTCAGCGCCGAATGTGCCCGGGTTGTCATGCTTCCAGTAGTCATTGAAGGCACTGAAAAGCACGATATTGTTCGTGAAGGCAGCCTTTAGCGAGTTGATGGCGGCCACCTGATTCTCCGGACTGGGTACTGCCAGATTGTTGGTTTCGCCATTTGAGGGCCAGCCGCTCTCGGTAATCATGGTGTCCTTCCCGCCACAAGCCTCGCTAACGCGCTGTGCTTGAGCGAGCACGAACTTACCAGCTTCATCAGCAGTCACACCGCCGTCGAAGAAGGCGTGACAATTTGCGGCGGCGTAATCCGATGCTTGGCAGAGCTCTGGGTTTGCAATCATTGCAACGAAAGTGTCCACGGTGACCACATTGCCAGTATACCCTGCAGCTTTGAGTTGGTTGCGGGCTGAATCGATAGCAGCAACGACCGCTGCAACGCTGTACGCCCCGTTATTGACACCTTCATTCCCCACAGCGACTGTGTGGATCTGGTTCCAGTTGCCGTTCGCCGCATCGATGATCTGCTGTACTTCCGAGTTCACCTGTGTGATGTCGTAGATGCCTGCGAAGACCTTCATGTTCTTCGAACCAGCAGCGCTTAAGACCGTGGCTGTCTGATTGCAGTCGGTGCCGTAGATGCGAATCATGCCGTAGCCAGAGATGGCATCGAAATCGGTTGTGATTTGGTCGTGAGATTTGCAAGATTGGTCTGTGTTGTACGGACTGTATGATAATGAGTACCCTTCGAATGGTGCCCCCATGCTCGATCCAGCAGTGGGGATCATGGGAGAGCTTTCCGGTTGGGTCGATGAGGAAGCCCGTGCAGGCTGAGCGGGTGCAGACGCAGCTACGTCTGGAGTAGATGTTGGCGCTACGGGCTGATCAGGACTGGAAGTAGCAGGAGCTGCCGGTGTCGGGTCGCTGCTACTGAATGAGGTTGGCGCGGCTTCTGTGGCGGCCAGGATAACGCTCGAAGAAAGAGCTTCCGTTGGTAAAGCTTGCCCCTGGTATGAAGTAAATATGGGATGTCCTTCCGCATTGACGAATACGACCGTGTCCGCCACGGTCGCCATCACATAGTCGGTCACGACGACGATCTCTTCTCGCTTGACCGCATGCTGGTGCTGATGGTCGTGGCGATGGTGGGGCTGTGCTGCCGCCGCCGCACTAAGACCCGCAAGACAAAGAAGGCCTGCCTTCATGATAGCAATGGTAGTAATGATTAGCACGTTGTCAAGGTATCCGTGTGTTGTGAGCGATCTGTTTCCGACCAGCGGCTTAGCGAGCGTTGTGTGGCCCCTGGTGGCCTGCAATATGTGGATGGTTTGTTAGGAATTGTGCAAGACAAGGAGGTAAGATGTAGCGAGCGCTCGCTTTGAGGTCTTTTTATTGCCGCTTTGTCATGGCCGTGTCAGTCGCGAGGCTAGCCCACAGTGCATGAAGCGCTGGGGTTTCGGATGTCGGGAAGCACTCACAATTTGATCACGAGGGTGTATGCTGTGTTGCAAAATCTGTCAACAGATGTCGTCGAGGAATGTGGAGTCGGTGGAAACGATTGGCTGGTATCCTCGTGGCAGGAATGCAAGGTAGTCGCAGCAAAGGAGTGTGTGGGCCCTGTGGGGACAAAGAGACCTGCTTTGTCGCGGAGCTTGAAGGAGTGTCGAAGTCACCTTGACTGTGAGAAGATGTTGTTGATTCCGATTATCAAGTGTGCATCGCTTGCTATTGTCGCGCTTTCCCGAGTCGGAGAACGGGTCCTTCGCAGCCAATGAGCACGCAGCAGCTACTTCTGCGGTAAATAAGGGCACACATAGGCAGGTGCGACGTTGCAGAAAGCCAAGAAGGTCGCCTAACATCGTATATGAATTGGTGGAATAGCAGTGTAAGTGATGTCAACCGGGAGCTGCTCAACACCAATACCTTTGTCAAAGTCGCCTTTCGTCCATCTCTTGCACCGCTTCATTTGCCACGCGCATGGACCTCCCCCTGTAAGTCTCTACGGAGCCTCTCTTCTGGTGATATGTACAAACGTCTACCATGGGCAAAGTAATAGGCGTTCGCAAAAAGTACCACAGCGCCCAGTAATAGGCACGCCCAGTTCATGGAGCTCGCCGCAACCGGAATAGCCACCGGAAAGAGTGTGAAGACGAAGAGCGGTAGAAGCCAGCAGACTGCAGCAATGTTGATGGCCAGGCCCCACCGGCCGAGCGACCAAGCACGAGGGGGTAGCGGCTCGCCGCGGAGTCGCTTGAGGACCAGGCAGCTTCTGCAAATGGTGTAAGAAGCCAGTAAAGCAGTCAAGTCTAGAGCAAGAATAGCGTTCAGCGCTGCGGATGAGCCGATGTTGATGAGCGACAGAAGAATGCAGACGAGCAGGGAGATGAGAATGGCGTTGAGTGGAATGCTCCATTTCGGATGAACCTGGCATTGAACACGTTTAGCTTTGCCAATTTGGTTCAACCAGAAGGGATGTATCTACTTACGTGTTGAATGGTGGCTGAGAATGGGACGCCATTGTCACGTGCAAAGGCCCATATCTGACGACTTGCAGTGCAAGGCAGGCCGTGACGCTGCCGAACAGTGACAGGATCAGTAGAAGTGACATGGTGTCGGTGCCAGCAAGAGAGTTCGTCGTGTTGTAGAAGACCTGGATGAACGGGTAGCCGGTGGCGCTAGCTGAGATCTCGTCTAGATCACCCATCGTGAAGATCAGGGTGACAACCACTACGAAACGCAGGAACGAGTTGAGATACTGCGGCCACATGATGGCACGCGGAAGAGCTAGGGATGCACCAGATATTTCTTCTGACAGGTGAACTGCGCTGTCGAAGCCCAGAAGGGAGAGTGTCATAGGTAACAGGCCGACGAAGAACGCCAGTCCGTTAGAGGGCCAGCCGCCACCATTGGCAAGCTGTAAGAAAGCGTCATGCGCATTGTTCTAGGGAGCCAGTATCCAGAGCACAATGATTACTACGAAGAGGCCCGCGAATTGGAGAACGGCCAACCCGCCCTCCACGAGCGGGAGTTTTCTGGCGACGAACGTGTTGAGGCTAGAGAAGCAAGATTAGCACAAGTCGCAGCCCGGCAGGAGACACACAGGGCTTACAATATGGCAAGGGACACAACAGCAATCACCAACAGCGTTCCGTGCCACCTCTCAAACACATAGTTCGCGTTGCCGAGCACCATCAGTCCTTGGATGATCGTAGCGACTAAGAAGGCAATGCCAGTAATGGCGGACTGCCTAGATGACACGCACAGCCACGTCAGCATCCGCATCATGGGAACTCGAGCTCTGTCTTTCGCTCACCATCCTGTGAAGCACGCCATCTGGTGATGTAGCTTAGGTAGCGCTGTGCGCCATCTGGGGCAAAATCACTAACCCACGAATACTGGCCCCCTGATGTCGGAGCCTGCGCACTCTCCAGTTAACTCAACTTGCACAAAGCGACGAGCGAGTGGAAATACCATAGATGCCATCTCTGCCAAACTTGCATACACCAAGGTGTAGCCAATGACGACAAGTATATAGCCCCAAAAGAAGCCCGCTGTGCCTCCGTCGATAATGACAAGCAGTAGGCTGCCCAAGAGGACCTACCAGGTTATCATTAGCGTCGAGCTGAAGCCCAGCATAGAGATGAAGCCGAAGATGCGCCGCGTTTCCCGCTCGCGCCCGAGTACTTTAATCAGGGATCGGTCTTTTTGAGTTCCGCGATGCTTCCACGGGACTGGACCACCTTCGCGGTCTGAAGCTCAACATCCTGCGCCACGTGAGTCTGCAAAGCTTTGACGACGGTGTCGTACTGGGCAGCCATAGTATAGTACCGGCCACAAACCAGAATGCGTTGCAGAGGGGGAAGGGAAGAGAACAGATGTGTAGTCGCGGAAATACCCAAGAGCGAAGCCGGGCAGTGATGGTGGGCTTGCCCTCAGGTTATTCAGCGCCGCCTGCAGCCATGACCGCAACATGATATCCCATACAAGCAGGTCGACGTGCCTGGCTCATGCAGTCTAGATAGATGAGGTTTGTCGCGGGGCACATCTTGCGCAGGTCATGAAGGTTACTGCACGCTTCAACACACCCGAGCCAAAGCCAAAAGCCCTTGGCATTGCGCGTTTCATTTTACTCTCCTCTTACTCTGACAAGTCCTCGATATATGTTGGTGCACAGTTCTTGACGCCGTACATATCATGGCTAATCATCAATCGAGCTGAGTCACCATGGTATAATTAGCTGATATATGGTGATGTAGAAGGGAAGAACAGACGAAGGAGCTTGAGCTTGAGTCTTGAGTTTCGTGGGGAACGGAGACTTCCGTGGGCCACGTTCCAGCCGGCCGGCCGCATTGCTGTGGATGCGTGAGTCATCTCATGGTTAACCTCTACGGCGATCTTTGGGCCAGCGAGTAAAGCTGGCCCCAGATTGATGTCCCGGGTGCACTCGAAAATCTGCCGGTTCAGCAACACTGCTTGTTCGCACGCTGACTTTCGAGGATACGCTTCGTCTCAAGCCTTGAGCGACATCGCAAACGGGCAGCTTCCAAACCTCGCGTGCATCTTGTCAACATCCGCCCGCATCTCTACGCCACCTTGCTTCTCCGTCCGTTTTGGACCCACCTCAGCAATCAAGTAGCCTTGAGGGTAGTACTTCTCACCATCGTCGCCAGGAAGCTTACTACCCTGCAACCTCCCAATCCACGCATTTGGACCCCAACGTCTCCAAAGTGTAGCTTTCACGTACCAAGGGTGCGTGAGCCATTCCTCGTTCGTGTATCTGCCACTAGGCTCCGGCTTTCGTGAGATGTTTACCACACGGAGAAATTCGGGCCTGGGTAGCAAAAGATACCGCAACACCAGCTTCCTCAAGTACATGATAGTCTGAAAGCCGATCACGTAAACCTGCGGTGGAGTTGGCAGCATAGTAGCTATCCTCAACCGCTCCGGCACAACTGCTGCAACGACCAACGTACCGATAGATTTGATGCTCTGCGGCATCCCGTCAAAAAGTATGTCGACAAGGGCACGTGTGAGCTTCGCATTCGGCTCGGCCGCAATCATGTGGTTTTCTTCGTACTTCTCGCCCCAGACTCGCATCTCTGTGAGCCAGTGCAGCCCATCCTGCCAGCCTTCGCTAGCAGAGGGTAGTGGAGAGTAGTCGATCTGGAGGATTGGTTGTTAGTAAGCCTCGTTCCAGACGACAGGTAACGATTTGACCCTCACCTCCATCTTGTCACCAACGTCTTTCCAGAAGGTGCCCAGAGCGCATAGCTCAACATCTGTTAGTTGTCGCCACTCATACTTGCCTATCCAGCGAGTAGGTTCTAGGGCAAACAAGCCTAAGGTGTATACCATGTCATCGTTGCTGATCTTGCCAGCCTTAATGTAACGAGAGTGCAAGTAGTTCATGCGTGCAATAGCTTGCAACGTACGAGGCGAGGAAGACGGATTGAGTGTCATTTCTTTTATCAGTACGCCGGTGTCAGCGACACGTTTAGAGGCGGTCTCTGTCCCTTGTAGTTCGGAGGTGTTTGCAAGTAATTGCGCAATTGTCGGAATACCGTAAGTCTTGAAGATGGCGAAGATGATGCTCTGGCGCCAGAGTGTAGGGAACTCTATCTCAATCAAGTCGCTGAGGATGGCTTGCGCCTTATCGGCGGACATCTTGGGGAAGTCGCTACGGTCGACCATGCCATATGTGCGAGGTATCGAGTCCCTCCGTTGGTATCGCAAAAGACGGACAACAAACAGGTAGACTGTTACAGCCAGGCTGGTGAGTAGGAAGACATGGTGGCGCTCCATCGTCGAGGCTGGTGGAGTAGTCGTCAGTATATCGGTTGCCCAAGATCTGGCCTGGCGGGCTCATATACGTTGTAGTCCGCGCGAGAGCATTGCGATTCGCAACGGAATACTTACCTAGGTGGGCTCGGATGATCATGCGTGAGCCGGCTATCTCTTTGTCAGCGGGCGATACGCTACCGGATGCCGCCTGCCTTGATGGTGGAGACGGAAAGATCGTTGCGTTGGTTGGTTCGTATTCAGCTGGCGCCAGCGGCAGCGCCCGCCGTACACCTTATGTTGCACAGTTCTGACGTCGAAGGCACAGCAGTTAAGGTAAGGCTGCACATTTGGAGCACTGGCAGTCTCGCTCCTTAGCAATTACATGTAGCTGCCTTTGTCGCAGCGACGCACATCAGACCGGCAACGGAGGCGCTTCTTGCGTTGATAGCCATAGCATTCATTACATACTGGTGCCCCGGTCCCGAACCAAGCTTTGCCACCATTGGGCAGAGAGCTTCCACTCTTGCCACTGGCAGAGGTGCAAGCATGGCATGGAGATCAAGTGGTGCCTCCAATGAGGCATTGATAGAGAATCTAGCTCGGCATGGTCTCATCACCAATGCTCGAGTCAAGCAAGCAATGCTGGGGGTAGATCGTGCCCACTATGCACCTTATGCGCCTTACCAGGATAGCCCGCAGACCATAGGCTATAGCGCCACCATCTCAGCGCCGCATATGCACGCGTCCGCATGCGAGTCTTTGTTGCCGTACCTTAATCCAGGATCTAAAGTATTAGATGTTGGGTCAGGTTCCGGCTACCTTACTCATGTGCTGGCCGAACTGGTCAAGCCTGGTGGCAAGGTTATTGGGATAGAGCATATCCAACCACTAGTCGACATGGGCACGCAGAATACTCGCAAGAGTGCCGAGGGTAGAGAACTGATGGATAATGGGGGTATCCGTTATGTCAAAGCCGATGGCAGGCTGGGGTGGCCTGAAGATGCACCCTACGATGCCATCCACGTAGGAGCAGCGGCAGCTGCATTCCATCAGCCTTTGATCGACCAGCTGAAAGCGCCGGGCCGGTAAGTCTGGACTGCAACACTCCCGTTTCCCTCGCCAGGCTCTGACGGGCCCCTTGCTAAACTTGTTCATTGCCAGATTGTCAGCCCACAATGCTGACAAGATTGTTCAGATTATTCATGCCTGTGGAGGAGAACTACGCTCAACACATCTATGTCATCGACAAGAAAGAAGATGGCACGGTCACAAAGACGAAAGATATGGGCGTGCAGTACGTTCCGCTGACAGACGCTCCGGCTGATTGAACAATTGTCGGTCTCGTGCAATGTTTCTTTGCATGATTGCAGCGGAATCGAGGAGCATAACGTCACCAGAATCTACGTACGATGCAGTACTGAAGGCAGGCGCAACCGGCAGCACCCCCGTGTCTGTCAATATTACGGTTGTTCCCCATACTGAGGACCCAGGAATAACGGTAGCCTGCTGCATGCATCCGTGACTATGAGAACACTTGATGCGGTATAGCGAACTCGAAGTCGATTAGCACAAACGAGCGTTCGACAAGGACGATCGCCAGTAGCCTTCTACATCGAAGCAGCTGCTGTATGATATTGTACATATGGATTATCACACATGATATGATGGGTCAGCGATCATTGATTTCGACCCTTCCGACAAGGTCTCTGCCAACTCGCGCAATCTCCGCCAGCATAGCCTCCCTGTTTACCACGGCTTGCACTTCCTGCGTTTTCGACTTCTTGTGTGGTATTGTAGAGTACGCTAGATTGACCTTCCACGCCCGCGGTGCCGTCTGCGGGCTCCACAAGCCAGCAATGACAGGCCGCTCACTGCTTCCCGAGAAGAACAGTAGTGCCGAGCCATACAACGACTCCAGCTCTTCCAGCAACGATTGCGTAGGTTCAAAGCCAACCAAAGTCTGGTCGCTTAACGCCGCCAGTTCCAGGTTCTTGTACCTAGCGGCGTCTTTGCTCCGCTTTCCGCCCGTCATGCTTGGGTGGAGGTGCAGTACAAAATCGAAGTCACTGACTGGTGACGAGAAGAGACTCGCTGGATCCACTTGAAGGCCATTCTGTTCGACCTCTGCACACGCAGCCTTGGCCAAGGCCGTCATACGTCTAGCAACGACCTTCTGCGGTCGCCCATCAGACCACGTCGTGCCCTCTTTGTCGATGTTCGACGCAGCAAACAGCACGATTCGGGTCAGACTCGGATCTAGCTTCCTCCACGCCTCGAACCGCGTCTTGATAGCATCGACATCGGGTATCCTAAGCTCGCCACTCCCGCTCAGGTCTACAATTAGCGGGTCCGTCCGCCAATCCCACCGTGCAAGCCAATGCAGCGTCCGCAGAAAGCCTGTCTGAACTGAGGAAGGTGTTTGCCACGGCCAAGGCTGAACGAAAATACGTGCAGCCATGAGCTCAATGACCTCTTCGCCAACGTGATTTGCGAGCAGGTGTGAAGCGAACCACTTCTTCAACAAGCGAATGGTACCACTAAGCGCAGGATAGCGGCTGCAAAGACGAGCAACCGCTTGCGTATGCGGTGGAGCTTTGAGGTAGAGGCGCTTGTAAGCTGCGAGCCCCAGCGCCGCGGCCTCTTTCGCTGATGGCGCGAGCGACTTGTCTCTCATCTGCCGCTCAAGAAGGGTCTGCTCTCGGTCATGGTAGACTCGCATGCGGAAGCTTGTTCCGGATTCGTACATGATGTCAAGGTAGGCCTGGTTAAAGATATCTTGCTCATGGTTCTCAAGGCCTATCCGAGTTTTAGGTTGATCATGAGCCTCCTGCAGCAGCTCAGAAAGCTTGAGTAAGAAAGCGAGTTTCGTCCGCTGGATCGCAACCAAGTCGTCAGGCCACCTCACAGAGCCTTCAAATTGAATCGTGACGTCTGCCGGAATAGATTGTCGTCCATTCGCAACGCCAGCCGAAGGCTGGATTGTGGCGTACCGTAGCTGAGCGGAAGCAGGCATGATCTGTCTTATGGACAAAGGCAAGCCATCCAAACCCCGAATGTCAGTCTCGAGCTGTTTGAACGAATCCATGATTGGTTGGAAAGCCGAGACGCTGAGGCTACCTCTCAATAGCCGATTGAAACCCCCACCAAAAAAAGTGGCTTCCCGTTCAACCCGGTCGCTGAAGTGCCGCTCCAGTAGGTACCGAACAATTTGCTCCACAATGGTCTTGCCGCTTGCACCCCAGACAAGACTCTCAAGGATCGACCCATCTTTGAACCTGCGCATCTCAGCCTTCTCACCCCAGAACTTGCGGAAGGATGCTGCCTCTGCTTTGCTTTCTGCCGATGGGCCGTGGTCGACGGTTCGATTGACAGTGTCCGGGTCGTAAATGAGCCCAATGATAACAGACGCTTGCACATGGTCTCGTGGCCGTGAAGAGTCTACATCCCACGCGCCGGATTCAGGAGGCCGGATACTGATCTGACTAACACGATCACCAAGACCGCGGCTCAGAACGTCGTAGAGCGTACGATAGGCCGGCCTGCCATCGTCTACAACCGTGAGAGCAGAAGCTGGCACACTAACCACGCAATCGAACCGCATGAGGGCATCATCGGTACGGAGGACAAAGGTGGCGTCAAAGCCGTCGAAGAGCTGATCACCAAGCATGGCGATTGTAGTCTTCGCATCTTGCCTCAACCGAGCATAGCCCCAGGGTGCGACTTTATAGAGTACATTGTGAACTCTAGCAGAGTCCCAAAGCATGGGCGAGCCATTAGCAACCGACTTGAAGGTACCAGAGCCAACCACTATAGGCTGCTTGCCCAGATCGCGCACAGCAAGGACTTGCAGCGTACCCTTGAACAGCTGGTAGCTGCTATAGCCCTCACTTAAGATTGACTTGCCGTTCGGACCGCCTCCTTGCAGTAATAGTGCTACAAACGTAGCCCACTCGAAGTGTCCAAAGCCGCCACCTGCGATGTGTGAGCCAAAGCCACGCTGCCGTAGCCAGGTGCTGCCCAGAAGACAAGCGTCTTTGAAGGCCGCGCAGCTAGTCTCTGCACCATGCAAGAGTCTGAGGTACGACAGCATGAGCATATCCGCCCGCAGCGAGCTGTTGTAGAAAGGCGTGGGCTCCGGCTTTGCGTTATGGGTAGGTCGAACACAGTTTTTCTCCGATGTAAGCTTCTCCGCCGGGAAAACTACAGAGTCGGTGCACGGAATGATGTTGATTCGCCATTTCGGGGACGGCTTTAGCTCTTCACTGACTATGGACTTCACCGACTTCGAGATGACCAGTATCGGCTTGAGCGGGTCACCATGAAAGTCGTCGAAGCGCACATTACACGGCGTTGCGGCTTCCCTCAGCGTAGATGCGAGACACGCCAGGTAATAAGCTCGCTTGTAGAAATACCGGTAGTTGAGGTAATCCTTCTCATGAAACAGTGACGAAGGCATCGCAACAGTCATGTCAATCACAAGGTCATCGCGGGACCGGCTAATCGTCTGCATAGCATAGCTGCCCACCACGTTGACGTTTGCCGGCTTTGCGAATTCGAGCTTGTATTTGGCATCGTCTGGCGGCCGCGGCTGTGGAAATGGTATGGCGATCTTGTTGCGAAGTAGCTCACGCTCCGCCTCGTCTATTGATAGCGCAGGCTTCGCAGTACTCTCGTCCAGAGCTGCTTTGAGAGCGTGTAAGGCTTTCTCGGCGGCGTCTTCGCGCTTGCCTCGACGCGGCCGGATCTGCTGCAGAAGCTCATCAACCTGCAGCCTGAACATGTTGCTCCGGGATGCGCCAGTTGTATACGCCAGGCCATTGGTCGGTGACATGTGCTGAGCAGGCTTGGTAGCGCCTGTTTGCAAAGACCGTGACGGGCCCCTTCGGTCTGGATGTCTGTAGTCCACTTCTTCCTTCTCGCTCTGCGCCCCATCGTCCTCTTTTTCTTCGTCGTCATCATCAGGAAGGTCCTCCTCTCCATCTCCATCTTCAATGTCATCATGTTGGGGAGCGACACCAGTGTCCCCGTCCTGATAGAGCCGGGTCGGGGTTACAGCGTCTACCACAACAACATGGTCAACTTCCGCCTCACTGAAGGAAGCGAAAGATGCCTCGTCATCGTCATCATCATTCGACGAAACGTGCTCCAGCTTCCGCCTCTTGCTTGCCTGTACAACCATGCTGGTTAGCGATGTTGGTAGCGAACATTCGCGCATGCAGAGAAGTTCACACTCTGCGCCCAAAACCCTTATCGATAGCGGAGACCCTCCTTCCGAATGCCGAAGGCACGCTTTTTTTGGCCTGTGCTCGCGTGACTCCATTGAGCAAATACTGCTGTATCACTCATCTTCCACCGGAACAAACATACACGTCGAGACATTACATCTGCACGCAGTTTCGTGCCACACGTCAGCAGTACTATTTTCGAAATGCCTGGCATACCTAGTGACCTTCCTTGGAATCAGACGCTTGGAGAAACGGTGCCACCGAATACGCCACATGCTGTGAGCGTTTCGTTACCGACATGGAAATCCAATGTTGCCTACGAAGAGGGCGAACGATGGGTCCTCGATAAAATGCAGTGCGGCTATCCAAGGTTCTTCATTCATCGATCAATTGAACGCCTTGCCCAAAATATCGTCCAACAGCACGGGTCACCAGACATTGACAAGGTCATGCTATTTCCGACCAAGAATGCTGCCCGTAGATGCAAAGACTTCTTCCAGCGTCAGGACCCGGAAACAGACCTGTCCAACATCCGGATACTTGAATTCCTACCGAATCCCGAGAAGATGCCCTCTGCCAAGCGTGTCCTGCCCAGAGTTGTAGCGTACGTCTACTCTAAGGAGCTCTGGCCACTAGCCAAAGCATTTTGGCAACATACAGGCGAGGGTATCTCATCTCGACATGCAGAGTTCTGCCAGCGCGCTCTCGACGACGGCTTGATGGTCGAAGCGAGCTGCATATCCCGACCAGACACTCCCCGGATGTCCAAAGGTCCCCGACGGTACCAACGCCACGTCTCCGTTGATCACGATGCTTCGAACGGCGTCAATGGTCACAGCAACCTTCCAACCCCAAGTTCCACTGAACCTGGAGTGCCAGACTCTGCACAGTTTGTTGAGGAGCGGTTTGGCAGGCACCTCGACGTAGAATTTGCCGCACAGGCCAAATTGGCGATACGCAGACGCATTGCCGGCTCCCTAACTACCGACGAAGAGCTACCGCAATCACTCCATACAGCCGCAGATGCCACCAACGAGCGCGGTAAAGACATACCTGGCTTCTCCGTCGACGACGTCTATCTCTACCCCGGCGGCATGAATGCAATGTTTCACGCTCACCGCTCACTGATGCTAGCGCGCGGCGAGCTTCCGAGCATTATGTATGGCTTTCCCTATGTCGATGCTCTCAAGGTATTGGAAAAGTTCGGCCCCGGCGCAACGTTTTACGGCTACGGCAGCCAAGCCGAGCTGGACGACCTTGAACACCGTCTCGAATCCGGCCAGAAGTTTTTGGCCCTGTTTTGCGAGTTTCCGAGCAATCCCCTCCTCCGCTCACCAAACCTCAAGCGGATCCGCGCACTAGCGGACAAATACGACTTCGCTGTCGTAATCGACGAGACCATCGGCAACTTTCTCAACGTCCACGTCCTACCTTACGCCGACATCGTCTGGAGCAGCCTGACCAAGATCTTCAGCGGTGACAGCAATGTCATGGCAGGCTCCACAATCTTGAACCCGCAGTCGCGCTACTATGCTCAGCTGAAGCACATCTTCAACGCTGAGTATGACGACACGCAATTTCAAGGTGACAGCGTCTGCCTCGAGCGTAACAGCCGCGACTTCATTACCCGCATTCAGCGCGTGAACTGCAACGCCGAAATCATAGCAGAAACCCTCCGCTCCCATCCTGCCATCAAACAAGTCAACTATCCCAAGTACAGTGACACCCGGCCATATTACGATGCCTGCAGACTGCCCAACGGCGGTTATGGCGGCTTGCTCAGCGCTACCTTTCACCATATCGAAGATGCGCAAGTCTTCTACGACCATCTGCAGACGGAGAAGGGCCCAAGCCTAGGTACCAACTTCACGCTGGCTTCGCCATTCGTGATCCTTGCACACTACAATGAGCTGGACTGGGCAGCGCAGTTTGGGTGTGAGGCGAACCTAATCAGATTCAGTGTGGGCTTGGAGGACAAGGAGCAGTTGAAGAAGGCTTTTGCCCTTGCACTTTCTGCTATACCGCCAAGAGAGACTGCGGCATAGCATCTGCAGCGTTTAAGCTGGACGAGATGTACAGAGTCACATCTTAGGCGTGCCTAGCAGTGAAGCAAGGTGAATGCCACCGCCGTACCTTGTGCTGTACGACCCATTTACGCAAGCCCTCATTCACGCAAATGACAGCCTCACGACTGCGTAAACGGCAGAACACCCTGGCCCCTCTCCGGATCACTCATGCGATGCACCCGCACATCATCGCCCATTTCCACATTTCCCATGCTCTGCGGCGTAATCAGAATGAACTGCCTCCCCACGCTCCTCCGCGCAGCCTGAATCATCATATTCATACTCGTCGCCCGATTCACACTATCCATAAACACATCGAACTCGTCCAGACACCTGATTGGACTGCCCATCGCCTCCCAGATACTGAGCAGCAGGCAGATGGTTGAAAAAGACTTCTCGCCACCGGACAGGGTCTGCGCTTGGCGGCCGTCGGCAGAGACTTTAGAGAGGTCGGGCTCGATAGCAATGTTAAGGGTTCGGACGGTATGGTCGAGCAGGACGCGGCCGCGAAAATTGCGTTCGCTGAGAAGGTATTTGAACATAAGGCGGGCACGCTGGGAGATGAATTTGCGGAACATCTTCCAGCGATAGTGGCGGTAGGCGAGGGTTTTGGTGAGTTGCTGTCACAGGTTAGCTGGTTCCGATATTGTTAGTTGTGATGGAGTCGGCACCCACGTCTTTGGTCTTGAAGAGAGACCCGCACTCCTGTTGCATGTTATCATAAGCGATCTTAGCTCTGGACCAAGCCTCCACAATGTCCGCCTTCGAGCCGCCGGAAACGCGTTCTCGGTGTTCGATGTCCTTGACCAGCTTTTCGATCATCTTGTCAAGCTTCTCCGACGTCATGCCTTCGTCAACTTGCACACGCCGACAGATGCTGGATGCTGTTTCGTTGAATTCTGTGACTCTCTCCTGCTGTTTGTCGCGCTTCTCCTCAAGCTTGGTCATAGCACGCTTAGCAGAATCGATCTCCTCCAAGGCCTGGTTCTTCACTAGCAGTGCCCGATGCCTATCATCGTCAAGCCGCATTAAGCGTTGGGCAGCTTCATCCACTCGGTCTTGGGCTTGCTTCAACCGAGCATCAGCTGCATCGAGATTCCTCTTAGCTTCTGCAGACTTCTCATCATCCCTTTCTCTCTGTTCAACGCTGTCCTGATACGATCTGCCGTACGCGTCATACTCATCCTTGGCTTCCTCAAGCTGGCGTTCCAGCTCCTGCAACTTGCCATCCTGAACTCGATTGGTCTCAATCTCATTCTTCTGCGCTTCGACGGCGTCTTCGGCTCTCTGCACGTTGATCTTCAGTTGCTTCAAGTCTCTCTCGAATCTCGTCCTCTCCTGGTTGGCTTTGGTCAATGCGGACTGCTTCTCTCGGACAATGTTCTCGGCATTCTGTACGGCACGCTTGTGCTGGTCGACAATGCTTCGCTGGTGCCGGACTTGCTCTTCGCGATCGGTCTGCATGCGAGCAGGTCCTTCGTACTGGAAGATCGGTGTCGACTTCTCTTGTCCTGTTCTCGAGAGCTCCCAGCGAATACCTCTTCCAATGCTTTTCTTGGTGTGAGACATTACGACTTTCACGTTCCGTTTCCGTGGCCCCTCAAACATGAAGCGGCGGGCCTCATCCATATCCGATATGAGAACGGTCTGCTCAATGGTCTGGTTGATGATGAGCTGGTTCCGGACGAGGTCATTGTCAAAATTGAGTACGGATAGGATGGTGTCAACAGTCTGATCCTCTGGTGTTTTGCCATTAGTGTCCAAGGGTTCATTGCTACCAACATAGATGGGCACGTCACTCTTGCTGCGCTGGAGAATGCTTCGAAGCAGTCTCTGATCCTCCGAGTTGGTCACAACGAATGCGTTCAGCGCGCCACCGAAGGTCTTCTCGACCTGTGAACTCCATTCTGGCTTGAGCAGGCGGACGTGACGACCCATCGGACCAACGGGCTTCTGACGCCAGCGAGTCTCGTTGTCAATGGCACGAACAAGGTTGTCCATGTTCGGAGGGTACGCATCATACGGTCGGCCTCGTGACCGCTGCATGCCGCTCAGGTGACTCTCCGCCTTACCAAGCTCGTTCCTCTCCCGTTCCAGGGTCGGCTTAGCTGCTTCATATGCTTGATGTGCGTTATCATGGTTAAGTATGAGCTCGGCAGATTCAATGGAGCGTTCTGCGTGGTTTGCCTTTGCCACCTCAACATCTGCCTTGAGCTCACCAAGCTTTGTTAGTCGAGCGGCGTGCTCTTCGCCCTCAGCGGCCGCAATGCGATTGCGTTCAGCCTTGATCTCATCTTCGAGCTCCAGCCGCCGTTTCTTTGCAGCTTTAGCGTGCTCCCGAATGCTTCGCTGATCGGCGTTGGTCTTAATCAGTGCTGCCTTAGCGGTTTCGAACTTCTCCTTCTCAGCATCGCAAAGCTCCACAACAGGCGCAAGTTGCTCTTTCAGCGCGTCGAGAGTGTTCTGCGCCGCTTCACGCGCCTGATTATGGCCATCATAAGTGCCACAGACCGTCTCGGCTTCTTCCTCCTTCTGACGAGCCTTGCGGTGTGCGACATCCACGTCATTGGACATGGCTTCCAAGAGCCGCTCCTGCTCCTCCACTTGCGCCCACGCGTGCTGCCACTTCAAGCGCTCCACACGCTCTCTAATGGTATCCACCTGCTCGATCCGCTTCTTCCTCTCTTCAGCCTCAGTGTACCTCAACTTCAGATCTTCCACGGTCTCTTTGACTGTGTCCAGTCTGTGGACAATGCTATCCAGGTTCTCCTCGATCAGTTGATAGTCGTGGTCAAGGATCTCAAGCTGGGTACCACGGATGAAGAACTTGTACTTGTCGTTCGGAGTGCTGTTGGACAAGAACTGACGCGCCATGTCTTGTGTTAACACATTGATCGGGTTGTCAAGCTGCAGCGCAAAAAAGTCCAATATCTGAATCAAGTCATCTTTTTTCGTCGTAATGACCTTGTCCTCTGCGTTTTTGATCTTGAAACCGCTGGTGCCGCTTCGTGAGAAGTGCCGCTCCACAATGATGCTCTTGCCGTAGAGCTCAGGCTTATATGCGCCGTCGCCTTGGTTCTTGATCTTCACAGCGAGCGACGCGCTTTCCTCGCCATGCTTGATCATGCCTTTCAGACTGGCACCTCGATTGGTGTTCCGCGCGCTCTCGCCAAGGCAGATGGTCAAGGCTGTCATCACCGCACTCTTACCACTGCCATTGTGCCCGATGATGAAGTTGATCAGCGGCCCGAGCTTGACGCGCAGCTTGGAGTGGCACATGAAGTTGCGGCAGAAGACTTCCTCGATGATGCCTTGGTCCGATGCGAGATTGTCTTTGTACGAACGAAGGTGCTTTTCCACCAGCCGCGTTGCCGCCAAGTCATCGCCGTCCGAGTCGTCTTCATCCTGGCTTTCGTTGAAGTCGAAGGTCGCATCCTCCTCCTCCTCTGTGTCCCCGCCAAGGTCTTCATAACCGGCGTTCGTTAAGCCGCCTTCTACCTCATCTTCGTCGTCTGACACAACCGAACCGCCATTAGCTTGAGCGAGTGCGACGCGCGATCTCTTCGGTATGTTTTGGCGGAAGCTGGAACTGGCGCTATCCACCTCAACTTCGCCGTCAATGTCGTCCAAGTCTCGTGATCGCTTTCGCGACGGCATGTCGGCGGTGGTGGTGGTGCTATCTGAGCTGAACGGAGATTCAGTGGCCGCCCGCTGACTCTGAGTCCCACGAAACCGAGCGAAGAAGCCTTGACTCATGATTGCGGAAGGCACGCGCATGCATTTCTATCCAACACATCGGGCAGTGACGCGTGAATCGCGGGAAGGCGCGTCTCATCAATTGGATGCCTAAGGTTGTCATTGCTGGAGTGGGTCGGTGCACACTAAGAGTAGGGTTCGGTTCCGCGGAGTATGTTTTGGCTACTGCAACTCGACCTCTTGTGTCCTGGCACACTGCAGGCATACTGCAGGCATACCCAATCAGGGCTACCGACGGCCTAGCCTCGTGCATTGCCTGGCCTCGAGAGTCACCAATATGAGCATTGCCGAAGCGTGCATGGTGCGCCTATGCCCATGGCCGGGCAAAGAATTGCTGCACAGCTGGCACACGATGGCCATCCGGGGCTGTTGGACATGATTGTAGGCGAGTATTTACGAGTGAAGCCATCAGTACTGATCAGTGTCACGACCGCAGTCGTCGAGTGTCCGGTCTCTGCATGTCGCTTCATCGTTGGTTCGCATAGCCAAGCGAGTACCGCTTTACGAACCCGCCATCACTCATCAAACCAGGGTGTGCAATACTGCCGTCCAGGTGACTCTGACTTTAACAGCTCGTTGAGTGGCCACGAGTACACCGCACCATTTGTGCTCTTGGTAAAATCTTATTCCCGATCTAACTTGGCAGTGTGCGGGGGTTCCGCGCATGCGTACCAGGCGCGCCAGCAGCAGCGCCATTTGCGACCCGCTCCGGCTCTATGGACTCCTGACAGCATTGGATTCGAGGAACCGAAGACCACACTAGCTATGATATGACCGTACCGCAGCTCCCTCCCTTCTTCGCTATTGCTGCAACTTCGACGCGCACACGAGCCTTTCCGTAACAGCATCTGAGGATTGTCGTGTTGCGCATGATATCCATCGAAAATCGCCGTACAAATCCGCAATGCACTGCTCCTTGGCGTCATGGCAACATGCCATTAGGCTCAGACTCCCCCGTGTGCGGACGTTTCAGCAACGTGCGGAGAGAGGCTGTGCACTCCACTGCTAACCATGCACTCCGTGTCGTGCCTCGAACGCCCACTCCGTAAACGGAAACCCGAACGGTCTATCCAACCCATACAATGCAGGCATTGCCAGTCGATATAGCTATTTAACAAGCTCCTGTTACTCTACAATGTTGGCTCCCAGTCTCGTTTCTTCCATACCCACCTTCTCACTGTCCTCATCTACGTGCACCGCAGCAAGATGCGTACCTGTTACGGCCGCGGCGCTCCCCTGCGAGCTGCTATCTACGCCGCCTGCCTCAGTGCCTTCCTCTTCTTCGGATACGGTAAGCGAATGCAAAGCATACCGTTTACTTGCTGTCTAGAGTACCACTAACGGCTACGTGTAGACCAAGGTGTCCTTGGCGGTCTTCTCGAAAACCCAGCATGGCTTGATCAATTCGACCACCCTCAGCCAGTCATAATCGGGATCACCGTGTCCTCCTACTGCCTGGGCGCCCTCTTCGGGTGCATCCTGACTGTCTTTATTGGCGACACCCTCGGCCGCCGGAGGATGATATGGCTAGCGATGGCACTCATTATCGTCGGAGCTTCGTTGCAAGCGTCTGCCTACGGCCTAACACACCTCATCGTTGGCCGAGTGATTACCGGTCTCGGCACTGGCATCGACTCATCAACTGTGCCAATGTACCAGTCCGAGCTGTCGAAGAAGGAGTGGCGTGGTCGTCTGGTTTCATGGGAGATCTGGTTCATCGGCATTGGTATCGTTGCTGCCTACTGGATTGACTACGGGTTTTCCTACACCACCGGTGCCGTGGCCTGGCGTACGCCCATCGCTATTCAGCTGATCTTCGCCGTCACGGTCACGATCGTCGTCTGGGGTACGTGGATGATAGGTTTATAATCTTCCCTGCTGTTCAACAAAACATCGCTAACGGTTTCACCCTTTGCCTGATAGGCTGCCCAGAGTCACCCAGATGGCTTGCAAAACGAGGCCGCGAAGCCGAGGCCATCGAAGTCCTGTGCGCCGTCCACGACTTGCCAACCGACGATCCATACATCGTCGGGGAAATCGAGGCCATTCGCGCCGCCATCGCCCTCGAAACCAGCCTAGGCGCGCAAAGCTTCACCGCACTCTTCAAGTCCGACATTCTTCAAACCCGCCGCCGCGTCATCCTCGCGTGGTTCGGCCTGTTCATGAACCAGTGGTCCGGTAAGTAACATTCAAAATCAACGCAAGCTTCGTTGCTAATCGATGATGCAGGCATCAACCTAGTAGTCTACTACATGCCCACCGTCCTCGTCCGGAATGTCGGCATGTCCAGATCCCAAGCCATCCTCATCGCCGGCTTCGTCCAACTCATGTTCCCTATCGGTAACACCCTACCCGCCCTCGCCCTTGACCGAATGGGCCGCAAGCGAACCATGATCATCGGCTGTGGCTGCCTGTCCTTCTGCATGATGATGATCTCTATCCTTCTGAGCTTTGGCAGACCCAACACCTCCGCCGCCTCCATCGCCTTCTTCTTCCTCTACATGCTCATTTTCGGCGCGACGATCAACGTTGTACCATGGGTGTGGGGACCGGAGATTTTGCCTTTGGAGGCAAGAGCTAAGGGAACTGCTATTAGTGTGTCGTCTGTGAGTCACTCCGCTCTACCGTATAGTAATAACTTCTGCGGAACACATACTAATGTATTATTGTTGCCTAGCACTGGATGTGGAACTTCTGCATCGTTATGATCACCCCCGTTCTGATCGAGCGCGCTGGCTGGAAGACGTACCTCATCTTCATGATCCTGTTGGCGCTCTTCGTGCCCTTTGTTTGGTGGGCTTACCCCGAAACCAGCGGGCTCAGCCTCGAAGAAGTCGACAACCTATTCTTGCCGGCGGACAAGCAGAACCATGTTGCGAGGCGTGTTTCTATCTCGGGTGGCACGGATGTGGAGACGGGGAAGATGTGGGAGGAAAAGGTTGAGAGTCTGTAGGGATGTATGCGCAGTAAGTTTGATATGTTTGATGCATTGTTATTGTCGTGTTTTTAGCGGGAATGTATGTGTGGAGACGAGAAGGTGGGATCACATTAGGTCTTTGGCTATGTATACGAATCGTACCAGCATCCGACATGTAATCACAAGCAAAGCCCTAATATATCTATGGCTTTGGCACGCGCAACGTCCGACTGACCATCATACAGCCATGCGCAATGAACAGTCCCACAACTGGATGCACCTCGAACATCGACCCTTGTGCAATGGTGCCGAACGGGAGGTTCTCCTGGATCCAGTTCTGAGAGTTCCAGAACGCCATCACCCCCACGATACTCAGGCTCATGGGTATCGGCACGCCTTCGAAGTACGCCGCCTTGCCACTCGCATTTTTGGGTATGCTGCCGGAATTTGCGGTAACATTGAAGCGGGCCAGGCGGGCGAGACCGCAAAGTACGAAGGTGGTGAGGAGCAATTGATCGAGAGGTGTGCGCATGCCGAGTGCGAAGGCGCAGGCCGCTGGGGCGACGCCGAAGGAAATCTAAACCAACCAACTTGTTAGAAAGCATTCTTCGAGCATTGAGTAGTGAAGAGAAGAGAGCATGGCTTACCAAATCAGCCAACGAATCGAGCTCCTGCCCCATCAAGCTGCTCTTGCCCCTCCACCGCGCAACCTTGCCGTCAAAGAAGTCGAAGAAGAGGCCGAACGGCATGAAGACGAATGCAGCCCATAGCTCTGCCTTCTCTTGTGGCGGACCCAGCAAGTAGCGCATTGAGGAGAGGATGGACATGACGCCGCAGAAGCCGTTCATGAGGGTGATGAGATCGGCGAGGTGGTAGGCCCGAATCAGGCTGCAGTGGCCGGGGTTGGGGTCGTTGAGGAGGTAGTGCTGCTTGTCTTGTGCTGCAGCCGAATGGTTAGGAGAAGTGGCACTTAAGGGGAAAGGGTGGAATCAATACATACTCGGCTCCTTTGCTACTTCTTTGGCTTCTTTGGCTGCGCCATTGGCCATTCCCGTTCGCTTCGACATAATGGCTGTGTGCGGTAATCCTTCTACCGACGCTGGGGTGCTTGGAGGAATAGGGGCAGAAACTACCGCATACGCAGCTTTGACTGGTGGGCAGGAAAGCAAGATTGTTTGCTTCAAAGTCCAACATTAACTTGGCCGACGTTGGTGCTTCGCAGCTTTACGGGGCAACGCGCGACGTCACCCCGCGGCGAGTGGAAAGCCACTCGCACGTGACAGCGCGTCGCCGGCGGAACGTCTCCGCTGAGGAAGGCACGTCTTCGGTGGACTGCTTGTCGATACAGCCTATTCAAACATCTCGCCGAGCAACGTTATCACAACACATCGGGCAATGAGGCTCAATGGCATCCGTGGCGGTTTCAGGCCACTTTACAACCCGCCATGATGTGGCTTTCAGGTCGGTGTTTCCACCCACCAATTTCACCACCCCAACGCCGGAGACTACACCAAATATAGGAGTACTGGCATCCCCTGGCAGAGCGTTCGGCGGCTTCAACATACAGTCTAGCCAGACACTCCCTGACGCGGTCAAGGCCAGTCGTGCATGGAGCTCTGTAACACGCTTCTTGAGTCTCAGTCTCGGCAACCCAGAACGGCAGCAGGATGTTCAGGTCTCCGGCGATGTTAGAGATGGCATCATCTATGTATCTTCAGAGCCACCTAGACTTGATGACTTAATCAACTGGACCGACAACGAGATCACGGTCAACTTCCGACACTTTGTCGCTCCTGCCCTTTCCGCGTGGCAACGTCCTGTGCCACTTAGCCGCGCACAATCTGTGCTGGAGGAGACCATCACTCTGTTACTCAAAGCCAAGAATTACTACCTTCTCAGACTGGAAATGTTGCTGGGAGATGCTCATCTCGCTCACGTACAGCCTGCGCTTAGCCGGCTGAGAGACCGCGCACAACAAGCCCTGCATACCGTGGCCAGAAACACCGTACCCTCGCAGCGCCTCGAGAAGACATTAGGCTTGCTTATTTTCCGCTACGTACAGGAGAAGCTTGCCCTATGTGGCGATCCGGAAGACTGCGCGAAAGCCAAACATTGTCAGTGTGGCCTCAACGCTGACGACCTCCCCTTCGCTCAACTGCGTCACATCGGATTCGGCGACGCTATCGGTGAACGTGCGCTCGCACTCGCAGTGGACAAGCTTCTATCCGGCCCGGCGTTGGATAGACCGTGCTATCGGGTGGACTGGGACAATGACGCCCCTGTTGCGTGGAAGCTAGACTGGTGGACGCAGTTTTGTCTTTCTGAGTTTCTAGAGAACTCGGTAAACGCTCTCACTGGCGACTCTAAATACTACTTGAACATGAATGAACGCACTGACGTCCTAGCCAACGCTGCCGGTAAGAATTTCGCACGCCAGCGTACGGCTGCCATATTCGAATACGTCAAAAGCTGGCCTAAGGGTAAGGGCGCTCTGCACGACATCGGTGTTTATAGCGCCTCCATAGAGGGCAAGGCATACGTTTGCGGCGCCTTCATCATCCAAGTACAAACGCGCCTTTTGCATGCTGGCGCAAGCACCATCGAAATCTTGAGCATCTACACGAACGTTATTTATGTCTTCAGAGAGCTTGACCCTCGTGGTGTGATGCTGGAGAAAGTGGCAGGGCCAATACGCAACTACTTGCGCACCCGCGATGATACCGTCAACATCATCGCAGCAAGCTTCCTGGCCGCGACTGTGGATGCCGAGGGTGTAATTCACATCAAAAAGGCGGATCTCGACAAGATCTGCTTTCGCATTGCAGTAGAAGCTGCAAAGTCCAGCCTTGCGAATAATCGGCAGCAAAAAACACTCGACTGGAACGACATGGCATGGAAGCCTGAACCGGTCGACGCGGGTCCAAACCACAAAGCGGCCGAGTCTGATGATATTGTAACGTACATTCTGGGTCTCTTCGACCCGGAAGACTTCATCAAAGAAATCACGACCGTGCTGGCGCAGCATCTCCTCCAAGCGACCGATCCCGAGTACGTCAAAGAGACAAGGCTGGTTGAGCTGCTAAAGTCCCGCCTCGATGCGACAAAGCTGCAGGCTGTGGAGGTCATGCTGAAGGACATGAGAGACTCCGTTACGCTAAACAAACGCATCAGTATACGGTCCGGCGATGTGGACATCCAGCCTCCTGCTCCTGCGGAGATTCGCGCAGCGATGCCGGAAGAAGGCATCACTTCGGCGGAGCTGTACAAACGCTTCCAGCATCGCATGAAGCAAGCACAGTTCATCGCCATGCTGAAAGTGGTCGCCAACAAGCGCCACGACCTGTATTATCCGAAGCGAACCCGACTGCCACCGGACGCTGCCGCACGGGCTTCGATCGACGTTGGCACCGTCAACGACACGATCGACAGCCATCCCGACATCAGAGTACAAGTGCTGTCAAGCTTCTTCTGGCCGCAGATGCGCGCAAACGAGTTTCACCTACCTCGTGCCTTGGCAGATTTGGAGCAAAAGTTCAACGATCGGTTTGCAAGTCTTGGCAATCAGCGGAAGTTGCGGTACAGACACGCTCTCAGTCGCGTCACAGTGCGGCTGGCGCTGGAAGACCGTAATCTCGAACACGTCGATGTTCCGGCGTGGAGAGCGAGCGTAATCGACGCTTTTCTGGAAGAACCCACAGTCACCGCCGAACAACTTGCGCAGGGCCTAGGAATGGAAGAAGACCTGGTCCAAGACGCGCTAGCGTTCTGGACAGCCAACCGGGTCCTTTACCAACCGACTCCAGGCAGCTACGCCGTTCTGGAACGTCTGGACATGGACAACGGCGATACTGATCCGACAAACCAACAGCAACCACAACCTGTCGAGCCCATCCCATCAATAGTATCGCAAGACGACATGCTCAAAGCCAGCGCTCCTATGTTCGAGACTTTCATCGCGAATATGCTGCGCAATGGCGGGCCGAAAGAGGTGGGAGGGATGATGGGGATTACGAGTATGATGAAGATGGTACTTCCGACTTTTACTTTCGGGGGGGAGGAGACGAAGTGGTTGTTGCTGCGGCTGGAGGGCAGGGGGGAGGTGGTTAGGCATGGAGATACGTGGGCGGCGGCTGGGTGAAGGAAGTAAGTGCTCCATACGCAGAAATGTGAACGGTGGCGCCGCCTAGATTGCCTCCTAGTCCGGTTCAGCTGACCAACAATGTCCGTACGTCAACTGCTGTCGCTCCTCATTTGAAGATGCCGCTCCCGCATTAAGGGCTGGCAACAAGTGCGCGCCGCAACTTTCTCCGCCTCTGGAAGCGACGCCTGCGACCGGAAGCTTCGAAAGACAGGACTCAATGCAGAGCAATGGGGCCGATAGCCTGAGATCTGAAGGTGTTTGCTCGGCCAGCCGCAGATCTTCTTGACGTATATTACGAGGAACGCTACGACGAGCTGTGTTGCTTGTCTCATGCTCAGCGAAACAAAGGCGTAATGGCCCGACCTGCTGAAGACACAACTTGGACGCCCTGCGTGTTTCAAAACAAGCTCAATGAATCGTTGTTATGTCTCATGTTTGTTGGTCATCTGTGTCATGGAGCAGATATCAGCCAGCGCCGCCTTACAACAGGGCATGATGTCTTCAGAGAGTACCGCAGTCCCAACCCGCTACGATATTGCATCATGTCGGCATCTAGCTACCACAAAACTCTGATCAGTTCAACCACTGCCGCTAAGCCAAAGGTCATCGGTCTGTACGGCCTTCCTGGAGCGGGAAAGACGACCCTGCTCGATACGCTACTGCGGGAGGAGAGTCTTCGCAACTATCTGTTTGTTGAAGGATCCGAACAAGTCGCAAAGATCACGGGACTAGGCGGTATCGAAACGTTCAAGAAACTCCCGGAAGCACAGAAGCTGCAGATCCGTGAGCAGGCGCTTACGGCTGTCAGAGACCAATGCGTCGCAGACAACAGAACAGCGGCAGTTGTTATACTCGTTCCTTGACGAGGACACAGGGAAGCTCGAGGTCGTCATGAGCGAGAAGGGTAAGCAGATTGTCACTCACATATTTGTACCTCTACGTTTCTCCTGATAAACTCCACGCAAATCGTGCGAATGATACCACTCGTTCTCGGCCGCGCGTAAAGTAAGGATCGTCTGGAGGAGTGGCAAGACCAAGAGGGAAGCCAACTGCGAAAGCTCTGCCGCGAGCATGACATTCTGTTCACGACGATCATTGGAGAGATTGAGACCGTGCACTCAAAGGCCCTGCGACTTGTGCAAGACTTTGGCGTTCACGATGAGCTCTACAATCTTCAGCAAGCCGAGAAAGCGCTGGACGACGTTGTCAGCGCGCTGTCGGCATCGATACCACCTGGCGGGATAGAGACGATGCTGGTTCTCGATGGCGATAAGACGCTGGGTCCGTATGATACGGGAAAGCTGTTCTTTCAGGCCTACCAGGAAGTCAGAGGTTCAGCGCTTCGGGAAAAGAACCTGATCAAGGCAGCAATCAACGACCAGTCGAAGCTGGATAAGCGCATGACGGCTTTGAGTGGAGGGGCGGGCTCCACGGAAGATCCGCTGAAAACACTGTTCAGCAGTCCTCTCAAGTACTCGTACAATGCGTTCCGCCAAGCCACGCTCATGTACGACGAGACAGGGCCAACATGTGAGACGGTCTGCATGCGAGTTGCTGGCGTAATCAACATGTATCTCGAAATGGTCGAGCTTTAGAAAGGCATTTCGAAGCACACGCATAAGAGCGTAGGTGCTGTAAGTCTGTCTGGGAGGACGTAATCAAGAGGTAAGCAGAGCAAGCTGTGCACCTGCATTGCGATGATGTGAAATACCGCTGACTCTTCTGTCCATCAATTCTAGATACGAGCTTTCCAACCGGGTCAAAGTGATGGGCGGTGGGCACATCACTGACGGACTGGTGATGATGCAAGGGGTCAAGGGTGCGCTTGTGCACCGCCTGAGGCACCACCATGGCGCATACGTGTGGGCTTTCGGAGACAGCTCGCTTGACATGGACATGCTTAAGGAGGCCGACCAAGCCCTCGTCGTTGTTGGAGAGGAGAACCAACGCAGCAAGTCAATGGAGGAATGCCTCCGCGGACCCATCGACCACGACGGCCTTCGTGTGCGCCAGGTACTGCTTCCGGAGGGTATTGGCATTCGTGGCTTGCTCCATCCTGTGCGCCTTCCGATCGTGACTATGCAAGATGTGGTCCCCAACATATTTGACCTGAAGGATGTCGACTTGGAGGATGTTGTCGTCGACTTCCAGTTCGCCACCAACGAAGGCGCAGAGAAGTTAATGACGACGCCCACCCGCAACGCCGCTCTTCGTGGTGTTCCTCTCCGTGAAGCGCACCGCAACATCGGAGAGTATCTCGCCCGTCTGTTCCTCCCCGAGAAGCTCGGCCTTGAGAAATATGAGATGACCCGTGTTCAGCAAGGCAAGATCACGGAAGGCCATCGACTGCGTGACGAGGAGAAGACTTTGATTGTAGCTCTCATGCGTGGTGGAGAGCCCATGGCGCTCGGTGTCAGCAACGTCCTACCTCTTGCTGGCTTTCTGCATGCCAAAAAACCAGAGCAGGTAACGCCGGGCCACGTCGCTGGGCAGTCCGCGGTCATCCTAGTCGACTCAGTCATTAACACCGGCGCAGAGACCCAGCAATTCGTACGTCACGTGCGGAGCCTGAGCGCCGACATCCGAATCGTGGTAATGGCCAACGTCGTGCAGGCCGATTCCGTCTCCGCTGATGGTGTGCTTACAGCGCTAGGTCGTGAGCTGAAGTTCAGTCTCATCGGCTTGAGGACGTCGGACAATATGTTCAAAGGTAAGGGAGGGACTGATACCGGCAATAGGCTGTTCAACATCACCCAGCTTGACTGATAGGCGAGAGGAAGAGTTTGTGGAATGGCTTGCATGGCTGAGCGCACGACCGTGGTCTGGTTCGCGATTCTCATGAGACTGGCTGTTCTCCAAGGTTGTTCTTTCGGCATCGACCACATTGTACAGTATGCTCTGGCGAGCAGAGCTTGTCGTGCCGGTACCGGAATGGATTTGCCTTTGCATAGGCATGTGGCGTAACAGTTCGGCTGACTGCCAGCAACAGTCATGTACGGTACTCATCAGAAGAAGCATCTTCCGTCAGGTGTCAACCAGGCTGTTGCTGGTTTCTGAGGTAGCCTTCCAGTTTCAAGAGTGCAAGCTGTAGCCTGACCGTCTTCGCGTGCTTTTTGACAGCCACATATCGTGCTCCTGCCAGCTGAGGCACTTGCTGGCATGTTTCCGGCACCGCATCTGGGTCAAGGATGTCATGGCCGTCAAAGATCGGAATCGTTGTGTTAGTCAAGGTGGGACCTGCCTGCAGTGCGATTAAGCACGACCACTCTTCGCGCGAAGGATCGTTACCGATCATTTGATGCGGAACAGGTATGACAAGGTCCGGATGCTGGACAAGCAAGGCATCAAGCAAACTGAACACTCTGGATCGAAGCTTGTCAAAAGTGAATTCTGGCGCTCGCTCGTCCCACGCGTAGTGCTTCCGCGCATCAATTGCATGTGCTTGGACGCCCAGCTTGGAAGCCAGCCAACGGTGCGTTCGCTCGGTGCTCAGCTGGGGCCACTTCTTCTTCCGCTTAAGATCATGCAGCACAGACTGACGAGCGAGAAGGTAAGTGTGACCACGCCACTTCGTCTGATCGTCAAAGCTGCGATCAATCTCAACGCCAATGTCAAGAGTTGCTTTTGGCGTGCGTTTCGCTGAGTCCTCATCGCCACTCAGCGGAAGCAGTCGTGTAGTTACGGGCAAAAGGAAATGACGAGGTAGTCGAGCTCCCGTGATCTGACACTGCCTGACGTCTGTAGCTAGAGCGCGGGCTAAGACGACATCAGCTGTTCGTTCACAGTGCTCGATCATGGTATGCTTACCGTAAGGGTTCATCTGAAGTTGCTGCTGTAACGCGGTTTCTGGCACGATCGCCTTCGGTGCCTTTGATACTCTGTGCCGTGCTTTGGCCGCAATGGCTAGTTCATCCATAATTGGCGGGAGGGGCAATGGCTTTGCGCCATGTTGGCGTTTCCGCAATGGCGCATAACCATCCTCGCCGATGATTGTGGGCTGCGGTTGGGGCGTGATGGGTTGTCTGACCGTCTGGCCAGTAAAAGAGCGCCTACATGTCGACGCTGTAATGCGGAGTACAGCGGATCTGCGGCAATCTTGACGAGTGCGAGATCTCACATGGAGCATTTGGCGGTGGCAGTCAGTCTGTACCCCCAAGTAGACTGAAGTCATGAACAATGCGGAGGCTCTGCGGGATGCGGCTCAGTGCGGGCCCGCGGCACGCGGCAGCTGCAGGGGTTTCGTCGATCACTTCGAACTCTCTTCGCGCGTTTAGTGAACTTCGAACATACCTTCTTCGCTTCTCACCTTCTATCTTTCCTTGGAATTCGGCGGCTCCTTGCAGTGCACTACAGCGTCACGATGCAGCCGAAGCATCGTGACGGCGACGTGGTGGCTGTGGTATGCGAAGACTCTCCACCTCCACCTCCCTTCAATGCTGACACGCGACAGATACCGGGTCAATGGATCACTCACGCCCACACTATCGCCGCATACGCCGCCTTCATAGGCGCATTCATCGTTGGCGTCAACCTCCACTACCATAAGATTGTCGAAAATGAGCATTTCGGCTATCCGATTGAATGGTTCCCTTCCGTTTCCGCAACAATCGGCGACCGCTACCCGGAACGTTCGGTCTTCCAGGTCTTTATCGCAATATGTTCGGGACCGCGCTTCCTTCTGGTCTTTCTCTTCTACTGCTTGGTCAATCGTCCAGGTCAAACGCTGCCAAAGATTGTTGCTGGGGTTGGCGTATTCAGGACGTTGACGTGTGGAGGTTGGACGTACGTGACTAGTACGGATGACCACAACTGGCATGACATCTTCATGATCAGCTATCTGGTCGCGACATTGCCCTGGACGCTGGGTTGCTTGGCACTCAGTCCCCCGAATCCGACGACCATTCGGTATAGGAAGTACCTTGCTGGAGCTTTCTTTGGGACGTTGGTTCCGTTGATCTATTTCTTCATCCAACACAAAGTACACCGGAAGCCTGGAGGTAAGTGAAAGCAAACACTGCACGGTCCACGGACTGCGCTCTGACCGGCAATGTAGCCTACACCATTTACGCCTTCTTCGAGTGGACCCTGGTGCTGCTCGACGTTGCGTTTGATGCAGTAACCGCGCTGGACTTCCAAACGTTCGATATAGTCGTCAAGGACGTCAAGGGCCTTGCAAGAGGGTACGTGCAATGGCTTCCAAAGTAGCTGGTACGACGTGCCCGCTTATGCAAGTGATTAGGAAGCGTGGCTAACGACTCGCTTGCACGGCTAGGGACAAGAAGCGCGTGCAAGATTCCTTCCTTGAGAATGAGAAAGACAAGCCTGTTGGCCAAGTCTTCAACACACGATTCGACTGGCAGGAAATGCTTGACGCGGTCGCGGATGTCTACATTGGCGTGAGTGCGACAGCACCCCACGACCGCTAGATTATGACTGACCACGTTCAGTTCACCTTCTGGTCCATACTCACATCGCTTGGTCTCCTGGTTTGGTACTTCCCACTCTGGCACATGGGCATCTCCGGATACGAAGTTGCTGTGATGTCTACGATCTCACCATTTCTGCTCGAAATCCCGCCGTTGAAGCGGCTGATTGTCGGGAACTCGACGACGGTGTATGCAACAATGGGAGCAGCAGGCTTGCTATCCTACCTCGTCAAGACTCCAGAGAACAGGTTGGGTTCCGTCAGCTTCGGCTTATGGCAAGGCTGCTTAGCGTTCGCGTCGACTCTTCAGCGCGATCGCTCCGATGCGGCCAGGCTGGAGGCGAGGATCAATGCCTGGCTTATTGGACTGATTGCAAGCAGTATCGCCAAGTTCGCGTTCTGGACGAACAACCCAATCTGGCCGATCATGAATGAGCAGAATGGTGGCTGGAACAAGACCGGCGTCGCACTCTTTACGCTCGCTATTGCGCGGTTGTATATGCGCAACTCACAGATAGCGAGTAACGGCGCCGCACAGAGTCTTGGGAAGCCTGCGCAGGGCTCGTCCGCGCTTGCAGGTTTAGGTCTGGCCGGCCTTTTCTTCGCCCTGCACTCTCTGCTTTCAGACTCCAGCACCATGATTCTTTGGGTATGGGAAGGCTTTCCGGTCCGCGGGCCATTAGCCGTCCCACATGGCGCCGTGACCATCGCCACCATGGGTCTCGGTCTCCTCGTCGGGCTCTTCTACCCCAACCTTATCCGCACATGGACTGCTTTCGGAGTCGCCTCGCTTGGTGCCGCCTTTCTCACAGGCTTTTCTAACTGGACCGGCTACTACGGCGCATTGGTGCTGACGCTGTACCTGACCGCCGCTACGCCCATGCTGCTCTCAAACGCCACTCGCTTCCCGCCCGGCCGAACCTTCTTTCTCGGCTTCATGGTGTACAATGTCATGGTCCTCTTCCACGTCTGGGTCGTCGCTTACGCCTTCGTCCCTGGCGGCCCCCTCGTACGCGAACATACCGACTGGGTCATGGCCACCACCATGCTACTCATCGGTTGTGGCGTCTTCTCTGCGATACAGAACAATCCCACCTCTTCCAATTTAAACAGCAGCAACGAAAAGGCCTATTCTCCGCCTCCGAACCCTGCCGCGAGAAGACAGCGAAGCTACTACATCTACATCCTCCTCACCCTCCAACTCCTCAGTATGAGCGTTGCCTACCTTCGCTTCCCCTCGTACAACTACGAACCCTACCACAAAGACAGCAAAGTCATAACTGCCGGCATCTGGACCATCCATTTCAGCATCGACAACGACATGTGGTCCTCCGAACGCCGTATGGTATCACTGATCCGCGAGACCGAGCTCGACGTCGTCGGCTTGCTCGAAAGCGATCTCCAACGCATCATCATGGGCAATAGAGACACGACGCAATACTTGGCCGAGGAGCTGGGCATGTGGGTCGACTACGGCCCTGGTCCCAACAAACATACCTGGGGCGCTGCGCTGCTGAGCAAATTCCCAATCGTCAACTCGACGCACCATCTGCTTCCTTCTCCGGTTGGAGAGCTGGCGCCCGCCATCCACGCCGTCATCGATGCATACGGCGAATTAGTGGATGTGTACGTCTTCCACTCCGGCCAGGAAGAGGATCCGGAGGATCGAAGGCTGCAGTCCGAGTACCTCGCCAACCTCATGGGCTCCAGCAATCGTCCGGCCATTTTGCTGAGCTATCTTGTTGTCAAACCAGGAGAAGGCAACTACAACACCTACGTGAGCGAGAAGAGCGGGATGAAAGACATCGACGCCAGTGATTGGGACCGCTGGTGCGAGTACATCCTCTACAAGGGCTTAAGGCGTACGGGTTATGCGCGGTTATCGAGAGGCACGATTACAGATACGGAGTTGCAGGTCGGCAAGTTCGTGGTGGGGCAGGAGGAGGGGACGGGCGTCAATATTGGTGAAGAGCTCGTGCCGGACGATTTGAGGTTTCCGGCACTGTTCAAGGGTGAAGGTGTAAGAGGGCATCGGTATCACGTCTTTGATGAGCCTAGGTACTTCGCTTGAGCTTCGCAATATGGCTGGGAGTGTAATGAGCGGACTGGGACTGGACGTGCAGTGTACGATATGCCTGACGGTTCTTGGACGAAGTCGACAGGCTCGCCGTTTCGTATCGGAAAGGCGATCAATGTGCGCTTCAGATATGCACAGGGCATGAGAAAATGTCGAGAACGCTGCTACACTTATCACAGCATGCACGAGTAACCTCCCAACGCTATGCACCCACACCCCACAACCGTAACCAATCTCAGGCCTTCCCCCCCTTCTTCGCCCCTCTCGCCCCCCTCGCCGCCTTCAGCTTCTCCGCCCTTTCCAACCGATCCATCTGCTCCTTCTTCTCCTTATCCAACAACTCCTTTTCCTGCTTCTCCGCCGCCTTCATCGCCGCGGCCTCCTCCCGCTGCTGCCGCACCAACTTCAACCTCTCCATATCCGCGCGTGCCTCCTCCGTCTTGCCCTCCGCATGCAACTTCTGGTAGCGCTCTTTCGCTTGCTGCGCTTGGAGAGCCTCGCGTTCTCGGCGCGAAAGTTGAGATACATCCGCGTCCTTCTTTATCTTGCGTGGTGCGGGGGCCTCGGTAGGTTTAACGGCGGCTACGGCGGCTTGTTTGGCGGCTGCGGCGCTGTGGTTGGGGTTGGCGGGCATGTCTTCGTCGTCGTCGTCGTCGTCATCGTCGTCGTCTGACGAAGGTAGGTCGCCAGGGGCGGCCGGACCACTCTGTTTTCGCTTGATGGCCGCCTCTTTCTTGGCCTTTGCGGCGGCTCGCCGTTGCTCACGAGTCATTTCTTGTTGGGGTTGTGCGGGTCGGGCGTCATCATCATCCTCGTCGGAGTCGTCATCGTCATCGTCGTCGTCGTCGTCGTCGTCTTCTTCGCCTGCTTTCGCGGGCTCGGCCCACATGCTGCGCTCCACGCCGTCGGCATCTAGTGGTCGGAGGTTCTTGGAGAAGTTGCGGCCGCCTTGAGTAAGAGTTAGAGTGGTACAGTGCGTAATGTACGCGGTGGGCTCTTACCTCCTCGTTTCGCCTTCGAGTACTTGCCTGCTCGACCTCTCGTCGAACTCGACATGATCGACCGTTTGCGGTGATAAGGTGCGGGTGAGGGTGGACTGATCTCGCCTGAGGATAATTTGGAGTTTTATTCAAGGCGCCTCGGGTTTAGAGCAAGGGATCACAGCAGATACGGTCCTTGCAATATCGAGCATTCGACTCACGGCGAAGGCGTAGTGGCATGTGATTCGCCCACTGTGTGCCCCGCCACCACCAACAGTGAAGTCTTGGCAAATCCGCCTTATTACTTCTCTCACGCGATCTACTTCCTCTTCTCCCCTTCCTCCTCCATGAAAACGACACCCTTCCTATTCACTCTGTCTACTGCGACCTACTCCCACGGATAGTCTGGAGGGGAAATGGAAGGGCAGACTGAATCATTCTGCCGTCCGCTTACCCCTAACCTCTTTTTCGCGCTGTAGGAGGGCGAGGAAATACTTAAAATGACGGCACATGCGTGTAGATTTTACTCGGCGAGCATACTCCCGAGATGGCGTCAAGTACTGCAGCCATTCTCAGTCTTGACCACAGTCTGAGTGGCACCCATCAGCATACGTGCTGTGATGTACCGAAGGGTAGGCCGCTCGACAGTCGATGTACGGGAGCGCAGAAAATTGGTAGTAATTGTGTGTTAGAACGAGAAATATAGAGGAAGGAGGGTTTGTAGGCAACCAAGGGTGCATTGCCCTCGTCACCAGAGAGCCGGACTACTGGACTGCCATTACTGCGGAACCGCGATTGTTAAACGTTCAACATGGTAAAAAGAGCTTCCGCGCAATGCTGCAGCATCAGCATTGCATTCGAGCACGTACGCATTGTCCATATATCGACACTCGACCATGTTGTCACCGACTCCCCCGGTTTGCTAGAGTAGTCTGATGAACGGTGCGCCTCAGGGGCCCCAGTGCTGAGCTCTGCCCCTGGCCATCTCACGTAAGTGCTTGGATCGTCTTATCGGACCTACGATGCGAGCTGTCCCTCTCTGAAAAGGCCATACTTCCGTCTGCGGAAAGCGTGAATGCTGGGGTGATTCTCACCAGGCCGGAGTTGAATTCCCTCGTTACCTTGCGGAGGAGCTTTCGATAGACTCTCAAAAGCACTCCTAGCTTCGTGTTTCCAGTAACGGTAATGGTGATTGTCGCAAGCTTGCCGGAAAAGTTGTTGCCATGCCGTACGAACAACCCTTCGAAGCCGCGGCAGTCGGATATTATGATTCTGACCTTTGTTTCGCCAGCCACAGTTCCGAGAGCTCTCAACGGGACCATACAGAGGACTGAGTGTGCCCGCATGAAGTCAGAAAGCTGTGTGCGAGCCGACACTAATGGCGCGTCGATGCGAACTTCTATGTCGCCGTTCGTTTTCTGCCCGATCGTGGACTCTCCCGAGTATTTCGCAAGGGCAAATATGGGGAAGTCAAGCATCATCAAGAGCTTCCTCAGCGTGGCTGGAAACACCCGGCGAGAGTTGCCCGTGTAGCGAGCGTGCATTGCAAGCATCAGAATCCGTCTCTGCAGTTCGTATGTACTGTCGACACTGGCACGCCACGTGCGGCTGACAAGCCTCAGTGAAAAGACCTTTATGAGTGCTGCGCGATGAAGCTCTGGGCGGTCTCTCTCCTCAACGTGGGCGACTTCGAGCAGTACCATGTTTCGAAGCTCGGGCGTAGCGAAGACCGTGCGAACAGCGGTAGAACTGCGAGAAGCCATAGTTGCCAAGGACACAGCTCAAGGCTGCGATGCTGCTGTTAACGATCTGAAGTCGAGGAGAAATGGTGTCCTCGAGGGTTTCTTTGACTGGAATAGGTGTTGCAAATTTGACATGACAACTGCGTCAATGTTTGGGAGGGGTTATAGAAGAGGCTAGGCGTAAGTGAGGTGAAATTAAGGTGAAGTGTGAAAGTGAGGTTGATATGAGGAATGTTTTGCCTGACTCTCCCGTACGACACGTCTACCTCGTTCTTTGTCGACACGTACTCATAGGGTATTGTCTGCGCCAACATCGCAGGGCATCGCTATATCACCATTTTCCGCGTTCCTGATGAGCAAAGAACTCCTAGCCACTTTGCGCAACGCTTTGAGAGCTCGAAAGACCAGCCACACTTGATCATGGTGCATTCAGCAGTAAATGTGATGGTTTAGGCACTGGGTTGCCTTGAGCGTCCAGTGATTTACCCTTAGGCGTGAGGCGACGAAGTGATGGAATACCTACTGTGTCGCAATGCGTGCTTGCCCGGTCTGGAAGCTTTGAAGTGAACCTGGGAGTGAAGTGATGTGCATGTGCCATGTGGGCGCAGACACGCAGTGACGGAGGCCAAGCAACGCAGCCAAGCTGGCGCTTTCCAGGTTCCAGCTCTGCGTGACGAACTCTAGCGTGATTGACGTGCAGCTATAAGAAGCTCAACTGCACATTGTCAACAGAACACATCTCTCCAATCAAGAAACTCCTCCCCTCACAATCACAAAACTATCAACCGTACCACAGCAACAATGAACAACCAGGGAGCCGCCAGCGGACAAAAGGAGGACTACCTCGACAAGGTACGTCGGATCTGAACCATCGTCTCAGTTCAGAGTTGAGTGCTGACCGTCACGCAGGGCCTTGACGCCATTGAGAAGAAGGTCGGCCAGCAGAGCGGGCACAACATGGACTCGACCAAGATGCGGGGCACCAATGAAAAGATCGTAAGTGACAAGCCAGCGATGCTCTCATTCAGTGGAACTTACTTGGTTGTTAGACCGACAAGGCTCGCGACATGTTCGAAAAGGCGACAGGCAAGAACGTACCCGACAAATTCTCCAACTAGATGGCGAGTCCTGAATGCCAATGCATAGGCGATCCAATGGCCAGCAGATAGCCAACATAATGAAGTAATGAGCTCGATGCAATCACCCCGTACAGTACCGGAGAGTTGAGTTCTCCATTGCAGTGCAACGTATGTTGGCCATAGAGCTCTGCAAGTGTGCTTACCTGGGCAGCCACGCTAGCCCAGTGTCGGTTGCTCTGCGGTAGAAACCTTAGTATCCCGTTCTCCGTCAAGCCTCCGATGCAGCTCCAGCTCCCTTCGTAAGAAGTCTTGCAGCAAAGCTTCCGTGCTCTCCGGGTCATTACTTTCCACCCGCTCACGCCAAAGCCGCCACACCTCAAACACGACCTCGATGCTGATGAGGAAGATGATGAGCCACTCCAGCTCCGTACTGTGCTTCTCTGACAACCGCTCGCGAAGCACGGCCGCAATCTCCGAAGCATAGTCCATCCGCTCATTCAGCAGCTTGATCCTACTACCCACATCCAGCGCCCGGCCCACCTGCTCATAGTAAGATTCCAGACCAAGCTCGTGCGGTGAGTCCCAGAAAAGGTCTGGTAGACTGTCTGTAAGCTCGCTGTATAGGTTCAGCTGTGCGCGTAGGCTGAGAAGTTCCCCAGTCTTGCGCAATATGAAGGCTCGGCTGAACCGGAGACGGCTACCAGCTGACAGCGTGGTGGCAATGCTCCGTGTCGTATTGAAGTAATTGCTGAGCAGATTCTCAAGCACAGCCAACTTGGTACTTCGCGCGAGCGCCGAAGAGAAGGCAATCTTGGCCAGCACCGCGTCGACTTCGCGGCGCTGGTCTTCCCCAGATGCGCTCGCTTCAGCGTCTGAAGCCTCGGAAGACGCCTTGGTCCCGAGTATGATCGTATCTCCAATGATTTTGCTGTTCTCACGGGAGGTATCTTCCACATACTCAAGGTCTTCAACCTCTAACTTGTCAAGGTGACTGTTCTCAGCGGCCTTTGGAAGCAACCGTTCAACGATCCTGTGTGCCAGAGATTCCGAAACGTTCCAGGTCACTACGGTGCCGGAGGGGAAGACGAAGACATCGCCCGCGCCCTGCTCCTTGTTCTCGCCGGTCTCTGTGTCTTTGACCACGTAATTCGGCGTCTGCACGTGCAACACTTGCGGGTACAGATCCGTGTTGAATGGATCCGGCAAGTAGCCTTCCTGCTTCAAGATATGTCTCACCACGTGGATGTTGTAGGTCTCAGCAGCGCAGTAGGCCGTCACATCCTTCGTTCCGATGCCTGGGTCGACATGAGCCCGTTTGCCGCTGCCTTTGATGACCTGCCGTGACCGTTCTGCTTCGATAGCTGTTCGTTTCAAGGAGGTGCTGTTGACTTGAGCGCGAGCTGCCTTGCGCTTCGCAGGCTTCGGACTCTTGCCTTTGCCGGCATCACCGGGAGCTTCGTCTGGTTGACAGACAATGCGAGTCGTGCTGAGCGCGGAGTGATGTGACCATTGTCTGCATGGAGGTTCGGCGCCGACAGCCAGGCAAAGGGAAGACTTTGAGCTTTTCACTTTATTCGGAGTCTTTTGTGGCAAGCTTAAGCCCCTTACGACAGACTGAAATGCTAACCAGGTAGCCTTCCTCGATGCCATAGCTTATACAAGGTTAATTGCTTGTTGCGCATCCTGAGTCAAGCACAACATTCGTATCGGCAAGCCGAGCTTGACATCACCGAACCGCAGCAACACCACCGATGTAATTGAGGCATCTGTCTTCGCTGCCAACAACCGCGCCAAATGCATGCGACATGTCCGCCGATGACAAGGCGACAGGCGGACATGGTCTACAGCTTCCACCGCCCGCGGTAGCAGGGAACGGGGATGGGCAGGTTCACGATGAGGCCAAGCCCGCAAGTGTGGACGGAGGCGCCGCGGCGGATGGCGAAGAAGAAGAGGAGGAGGAGGAGGAGGAGGAGGATGAAGAGCCCAAGCTGAAGTATGCGAAGCTCACAGCAGGCTTGACCGGCGTTTATCGCAACAATGATAGCACGAGTGCTTTCTTGGCCGCAGGGGACAAGATGATCATTGGCACGCACAACGGAAGCGTACATGTGCTTAGCGCACCCAGCTTGCAGGGCTTGAGAAGTTGGCGAGGACATCAGGCGACGGTCACTAGTGTTTCAGTGTCGCCTGTCCCACCACCGCCGACTACCGTCCGCTCTGAGCGCGGAGAGACATCGATCGTGTCAGTAGGTGGCCCGGCCGCAGCAGCTAGGGCAGCTTCGGTACAAGGACAGAGTCGCAGTCAGCAAAGCCCTACGACAGGCCGAAGCAGTGCACAGCAGCCTGCGTCGGGTGTCCCAAACTTGCCAAGCAACCAGATATACGTTGCGACTTCTTCGTTGGACGGTCATGTATGCATTCAATCGCTCATCGATTCTAAGGATGTGCAACTGCGCAACTTTGCCCGCCCCGTAAACGCTGTTGCTCTTAGTCCGGACTACAAGAATGATCGTAGCTACCTTTCTGGTGGTCTGGCCGGGCAGCTTGTCCTTACAATTGGCGGCAAAGCGGGAGTCAGCGCAGACGCCAATACCAACAGTGCTGCCGCAGCGGCTTCCCACTGGCTGGGTAGCATCGGTATTGGCGGTGGTACAGGCAAGGATCAAGCCTTACACTCAGGCGAGGGCAGCATTAGCACTATCAAGTGGAGTCCAAGTGGCAAATGGGTCGTTTGGGTGAATGAAGAAGGCATCAAGATCATGCGTTCGCACCTCAGGTTGGGCAGCGAAGACAGTGAGGATGCATGGCGACGAATAGCCCACGCTAGTAAGCCTAACAAGAAGTACTGGGAAGGTATGGCGAGCGTGTGGAAAGCGAGATGCGAATGGGTCAGTGAGAAGAGACTAGAGGCCGATCTCGTCAGCGCTGAAAACGATACCGAAGTCAAGGTTAATGGCACTGCAAATGGAACGAGCACCAACAAACCCACTGTCACCGCGAAGAAGGCGAAGAAGGCGGAACAGCTCGTCGTGGGCTGGGGTAACACAGCATGGATCATGCACGTCCTCGAAGGCGGCACATCACACAACGGCCAAAGACAAGTCGGCAGTGCAGATATCGTACACAAGCTTCACTTCTACGACTGCATCGTCTCCGGCATCGCACTTTATACTCCGACCATGCTTGCAATCCTGGCATATCGGACGAGAGACGATGACGATAATCCGATTGAAGCCAATGATACACCTACCAAGGGTATGCAGCGCCGCAAAAAGACCGGGCTTGCCCCTCAGCTCAGACTCGTCAATGTCAAGGACGGCGAGGAAGTCGACGTGGACGAGCTCTCCATATCTCGCTTCGAGACGCTGTCGGCGCAGGACTACCATCTCGACACCCTTTGGATGCCTTCTCCTCTGCCAGAGAAGGCGCTCAAAGACCAAGGCGGTCGGAACGCACTGCAAGCGGTTTGGGAAGCTTCCGGTGGCGGCTATGCCGAGCGCCTGTTCAGCTCTGGCGCAAGCGTCATGAGCGGCAGCAGTAGTGGACGCGACGAGAAGACTGGTCGACTATCTGTCCGAAGCCCGCCGTCGAGCATGCAGGGAGTGCCAGTCGCACAGTCTACCAGGCGTCCGGTAAATTCACATCCGTATATGGAGGCGCAGGGCATCAAGTTGGTAATCCAAAGCCCATATGACTGCGTACTTGCCATCCGACGAGATCTTGCGGATCACCTTGAGTGGCTTGTCGAACATGAACGCTACGCACAGGCTTGGCAAGTCGTTGACGAGCACCCAGATATCGTTGACGCGTCCGATCGACAGTCCTACGTCGGTGGTTCAGATACTGGCACACCGTCTCGCGGGCGGAACCAGAGTCTAGCAGACTTCTTCACCGACTCATCTGACCCGCAAACGACAGCAGACGGTGCGGTAGCGCATACGGCTGCCTCGCAAAAAGAAAAGCGAAGGATAGGCGATTTATGGCTTCAGCAGCTCGTCTCCGCCGAGCAGTGGGCTGAAGCCGGCCAGATTGCGGGCAAAGTGCTCGGTACGAGCTCGAGATGGGAGCACTGGGTCTGGACTTTTGCACAAGCAAACAAGTTCGACGAGATTACACCTCACATCCCTTCGACGCAGCTCAAGCCGCCACTGCCAAGCCTAGTGTACGAGGTCATTCTGGGCCACTACATACAAACCGACTGCGCCAGGCTGAAGCAGTTGCTGGATGCTTGGGATCCTGAACTATTTGACGTGCGCTCTATCGTCTCCGCGATCGAGAATAGATTGCAGTCTGGGGAAGTAAGTGAGAATACTGTAGAAGACGGCGAGCCTGGCCGAGACTGGCGGATTCTTTTGGAAGCGCTCGCGAAATTGTATCTGGCAGATGGTCGCTCACGAGAGGCCCTGAGATGCTACATTCGTACGCAGAACGCAGATGCGGCGATGCAGTTGATTAAAGATGGTGGTATGGTCGAAGCCATTGGCGATGATATTCCGGGTTTGCTCACAATGAGGGTCAGTAAGGAGCAGTTGCGATCTGCGCCGCCCAGCGAGCTCGAGGATGCCAGCAGCGAAGCGGTGCAACTTCTGGTTGACGAAGCGCTGCGTGGAACCATACCGCCTGCGGCCGTCATCAAGCAGCTCGACCGCAAAGGGCCAAGCTTTCAACCTTTGCTCTTCTTCTACTTCCGGTCCCTCTGGCGCGGACCGCAGGATCAAGAACAACAGCCTGCGCCTAGACGCAAGTTCGATCGGCGCATTGACGAAGGTCATGCGCTTGTGGAAGACCATGCCGACCTTGCCGTCCGTCTCTTCGCGGAGTATGATCGCGATGTGCTCATGGACTTTCTCCGAACAAGCGAAGTCTATAATTACGATAAGGCTGCCACCATCTGCGAACAACGACACTATATCCCTGAACTCGTATACATCCTCTCGAAGACCGGCCAAACCAAGCGTGCTCTATCCCTTATCATCGGCGAGCTCGGCGACGTCAAGCAAGCCATAGCCTTCGCGAAGGAAAATGGTGAGCTCTGGGACGACTTACTCGACTACAGCATGAACCGGCCGCGCTTCATCCGCGGGCTGCTGGAGGAAGTGGGCACGGCCATCGACCCTGTTAAGCTGATACGTCGCATACCGAACGGACTTGAGATAGAAGGCCTGAAAGAAGGCATACAGCGGATGGTGAGGGAGTACGAGATCCAGTACGACATCTCCGAAGGCGTGGCACGGGTGCTTCGAGGCGAAGTGGCCGTGGGAATGGACACGCTCCGCGCTGGCAGAAAGAAGGCCGTAAGGTTCGAAGTCGTGCACGATCGACATGAAGCTGGTGATGTCGATCTCAGCGTCAAGGATGTACCGACGAAGGTACCAGATGGCGAGGTATTACCGGTCGGTAAGAGGAAGGTGGAGACCAAGAGCGTCAAGCCTGGGCATTGCGTGGGCTGTGGTGACGCTTTCTCGGAAGACGGTACGCTTCACTACACCCTTACCTTTATTGAAATCGTGATCACTGACTTCGCAACGCAGAAAGAGAAACCCTTATCGGCTTCGCCTGCGGTCACGTCTACCACCTCTCCTGCCTCCTCCGCGCCAACCCGGACACGGCGGACGAAGAGACCGTCGACCGCCTACTCGCCGAGCTGGGCAACAAGGACGACGAGCCGAACGAGTACAGTGGTCGCAGCGTCGGTGCCAAAGTCGCCCACGCTCACATCATCAAGAACGCCGTCCAGGGTGGGTGTCAACACTGCATGGTGCCGGAGGGAGCGTAGCCGAAGCAATAGCATTCCCTTGTCCGTCTAATTTTGACCGCTTAGCGTGGCGCACGGCGTTCTGACTTGCATATGGAGAGGCGTGGTTGTATATCATGATAGGGAGTGTACAGTGGCTTAGATACCCTGTCGGCACGTAGCAGCACAGACAAGGCGAAGAACTGGCAGTGTCTAAGTATTGCTGTCGTAACGCGATCTTGTGCGCGCAGCCCTTGCTCTTCGTTCAACGGCTGACAAGCGGCCCGAATTCTAGATACATTACATGTGTTACTACACTGTAGGACTAACCCGGCAAGATTGCGCCACCATGTGTGCCACGTGAACTCACAAACGCCGCCTCACCATCGCCTTAGCCGTCGGAACGCCCACAACCCATCACCGTCACCATTTGACGCCCACAGCCACAGCCAACGCCATACAAACCATTAACATTTGAATCTCCAGCTTACTGCCCCCTCTGCACCTGCCACTTCTTCCCCTTCATAACATTAGTAATCGCATGCCTGACCACCCTCCCCGCCGCCTCAACCTCTCTCTTACTCAACCCCGTCGTAACACACACTTTCAACCCCGGGCGGGGCTGCCACTCCTTCTGCGCATCGCGCGCATTCACCCCGAGTGCGGCGGGCATACTCTTCAGCCTCGTCACCAGCACGCCCTGAGCTAACGCCTCGTCGACGCAATCTTGCATCACCGCTTCCTGCTCTTGGCGGGAGAGGTTGCGGTCGGTGACGTGTTGGTCTTTGAGGACGAGGATCATAACGGGATTCTCGGGGGAGGAGGTACACCGGACCCATTCGCTGCGCGGGTCGAGTTGGGCGCGCATGGCGCGGATGTTTTCCCGTAAGGTCTGGATGAGACTGGGTTGCGTTTGTAACAGACTGACCGTCTCGCTCGCCGTCGTAGCAAGGAGCGCGGGCAGGGCGGCGGAGAATGTAAACGCCGCGGCGGACAAGCGCTGATGTTCGACAATCTCGTGCGTGCCTGCGCAGAAGCCACCTCCCGCCGCCAACGCGCCCGCGAGACCACCCACAATCATATCCACCTGTGTGGGATCGACGTTTTGGTGTTCCGTCAGTCCCCTCCCCGTCCGACCCAGGACGCCATAACTCCACGTTTCGTCCAGAATCATCCGAAACTTGTATTTCTGCTTCAACTCCACCAACCGTACCAAATCCGTCATCTCCCCCGTCATCTCAAAAAGCCCTTCGGTAACGATAAACCGTCTCGTCAGCGGCTTTCCCTGCCCCTCCTTAACCACCCTCAGCAACACCCGTTCCAAATCCTCCATATCATTATGCTCATACCACCGCACCGTACTCCGACTGATTTGCAACCCCTTGCGAATGGGGAAATTCACCGCCTTATCCGCGACAATAATATCCCCCCTCTTACTAAACGCCGGAATCAAACTGGAGATCGTGCTGAAGCTCTGCGCGTAAATAATACAAGCCGCGACGCCCAAATGCGCCGCAATATCCGCCTCACTCTTCATATGCACATCCTGCGTTCCATAAAACCCCGGCGGACTACACGGTCCAACTCCATACGTCTTCACCGTAGTGATAGCCTTCTGCGTCAAGTCCGGGTTCGAAGCGAAGTTGTAGTGATTATAACTCGCCAAATTCACCACCATCCTCCCACTCCCCGCCAACTTCACCCTCGCGCCGACCGGCCCGCCCACCAGAACCGGCCTCTTCTCATTCTCCAACCGCTCCCACTCCGTCTCCTCGCTCGCCAGCGGCTCGGGCGTCCAGTCCTCGACTAACTCGTCAATCTCATCCTCCGTCAACGGGACATTCTTGACCTTTTTCGTGGAGTAAGTGGGGGCGAGTAAGTAGCGCACGGCGAAGATGACGAGGAAAAGCTCGACGAGGGAGCGGATGGGGTCGTTTTGGTAGGAGGAGCGGATGTAGCGCGTCACGATGGCGGAGCCGGGGATGCGGTGGAAGGAGGTGATGGCGGTGTCGAGGAGGGCGAGGAAGGTGGTGGGGAGTTCGGTGTTGGCGAAGGGGGTGGTGGTGGAGGTCATGGAGAGGGGGAGGGAGGTGTTGGCGGAAGGGGGGCTGAGGGTCGCGGTGGCGGACATGGTTGTATGTGTGTGTGTGTGTATGTGCGGTTGCTGGGTTATGGCATGGTGGGTCGTGGTGTGGAAGGTTGGAGGTGAGAGTGTGAGTGGGAGCTGCTGCTGCCGATGAGTGTTTCTCGAACAGAACAAGGGAAGCGCAACGCGAACCCTGACTTCATCTCGGCACGCCCATTACCGAGGCGACCCTGCTTTCAGCCCTACAACCGGTAAAGCTTAGTCGCGCAACTAGCGTGCCACTTCCGCGCCAACCGACACGTTTTCCCTATTAACCCGCCTCGGGGTATAACCGGCGACGGTGAGGTCAGATTGCTAGTCTATTGCGAAGCTCGATCACAGTCGCTATATACCGCTCCCTTCATCGCTATGCCAGCATCTGCGTAGTGTAAGCATGTACTAGGCCACGCAAACATGGATCGACCATCTTCAATAGGAAACGCGTGCAATGTCGAGGCGTGTCGCGTGAGCAGATCCATTTCGTTTCCATAAAGGGAGACCTCCATGCCATATTGCAGCGGGGATCAGAGCTGTCGTCATATCCCTTCAGCGCCCCTCCTCCCACACCCTGCAGCATCCCATATTGCAGCTTCCTTCCCATTAAGCAGATGAATCCCGCCCATATTGCCTCGCCCCGCTCCGTCAGAGCGTACAGCCGCCACAACAGTCCATCAGAAGGGTATCATAACATTCGTAAAACGCCGTAAAACAGTAAACAGTAATGCCTCAATGTTGCTTTCCGTTCGCTCCCGAACCGAAACCATTCATTCACGAAACAAGCTCGCCCCCAAGTTCCATCCCCAACCCCTCACCCCTCCCGCTCCCACTCCCACTGCCAACCCGCGTCAACACGGGACTACTGCTGTTATTCGTAGGCGGCACGAGGGAATCGAAATTCAGTCTCCTCCTCGCCTCGCGCGCCGCAGCCGGCGTCCTCCCCGCCACCGGCGTCCGCGCCCACGCTCCCTGAGCCGGGCTCGGCGTGACGTTGACGAAATCCGCGAAATTGAAATTACTCGCGCTCGGAGTCGTCGGGCCGAATCCTAGGAACCCGGCTCCGCTCGTGCTGGGGGTCATGTGCGAGGAGGGCAGCGGGGTTGGCTTGCACGGAGGCGTGGAGGGAGGTTGGATGACTGTTTTGGTTTGGCTTGACTTCGCGGGAGATGGAGAAGTGGCGAGGAACATGAGGAGATCCGCGCCTTCTTCTCCGTGTTTGGGTGTACGAGACCAGGAGATGGTGTGCGCTTTGCGCATGCGCCTGTCTTGGGGCGGGGTTTGGGGTGGGGAGGAGGTGATGCGGGTGGAGGCGTTGAGGTGGAAGGAGTGGACCGGTAAATCGGCGTCATCGTCTTCGCTGTGGGCGGGGGAGGGCGGGCTGTCGGGGATGGTGGAGGATTCGGAGATGAAGGAGAGGTGGTGGGTGAAGTGGTTGTTCGTGTTGGTGTTGGTGTTGGTAGTAGTGGTGGTGTTGGAGGAAGGGAAGCGGGCGTGTTTGGTGTGGTTTACTGGTGAGGATTCGGGAAGGCTGTGCAGGCGCTTCCAGGACGCCGAGGCGGAGCGGGCTGATAGACGTGGGCGTCGGTTGTTGCCGGGTAGGGCGTTCGAGGAGGCGGTTCGGTGGATTTCGAGAGGTCGGACTCGCTTGTTGCTGCTGCGTGCGCTACCGGAGCCGGGGAGGTCGTCGGAAAAGAGAGGTGCAGTGAGTGGGGAGGAAGCGAAGCCGCTGCTCGATGGCACACGACTTGACGCTGTAGAGGCAGTATCGGAGATGGTATCGTTGCTCGATGCCGGCCGTTTCCTCCTCATCCGCGCTTCGACTTGCGGTTCGATAACGTCCAGACTCATGTTCTCCCAGCCATTCTGAATCTTAACGTTGGCGAGGGCGAGACGGTCTTGGAGGGCCCGAGTCATCTGTGAGACACGCAATCAGCCTTCTTGTCTTACATCAAGTACTGAGTTGTTCTTCTTACCTTCGAGACTTGTGCCCGCCTCAACACCTTCTCGGCAACATCATCAGGCCTCTTCAGCTCATACGTTGCCGCCATGGCGGAGAAAGGAGGGGTTCGTGCTTTCGGAGCTGTACCAGATGCGGGCTTATCGCTGGCAGTGATGTATTCGACAATGCTATGCCAAACACAAAGTCCTGCTACTCAGTCATACACCAACAACACAATGAGCAGAGAAGGCGGCTAGCAGGATGCATACAGTAGAGAGCTAGAGAGCAGTCCACTCGGGTCGCACAAGGAGTTCTTCGCCGTCTCATTCCAACCTGTCGGCTCCAAGCGTGCCTTAGCTTTCCAGATCGATGATCGCACCTGCCGTGCTGTGAGCTACACGCACATGTACTATGCTGTACGCCCGCAGTCTCACAGCTTCCTTGTGTTTCAGCCCCGCTATTGCTTGGGGCATTCCTTGGAAGGTCTCGAATAGGCGCGTGCGTGAGCCGTTCCTGATGGAAAGTGAAGTGAATAATGAGGCTTTGCTGGCATGACATGGCGAGACCACCTACCAACTTCTAATCAAATATGGATGGGAAGATCGGGTCGTCGCTCTGCGCGTTATCATTGGAGAGCATCCTCATTTCACGCTGCACATGCACATCCCGCAGCAAGCCACAACTCCCAGAACCTCGGGCGGCTATCCATCGCTACCGCACTTTCCAGTGTCTTGCAAGTGGGCGTGAGATGCGCCCGAGGTAGTCTGGCAAACTTCCCTCTCCTCCGCGTGCCTGCCTTGTCCGACGACAATGCCCACGAGAGACCGTGCAAAACCGTACCGTTCGGTGCGTTCTCTATTACGGCTTACTGCCGAGACCCATCATTCGGGCGATTGCATTCGGGGGTTACAGCATGGAGTAGTCTCTCGGCGCCGTAGGTCGGAGAATCAGGAGTTGACGGGCATAACTAACGGTACCATTGAAACTGTTCTGAAACCTCTCCATACCGGTTCTCTGTGTGGATGTTTGCTCAACGAGTCAGCTATCCACCTGAAAAAGTCTTGGCGGGCTGGTAGCAATATCAGCGCTACGATGGTTTTGCCTTGCTTGCTGCACGCACTTAACCCAACTTAACTCTCCGGCAAAGCGCCACGTTTGGGTCACGCCGCTGCATGCTGCATCCCACCGTCCAGCGCCAACCCGCTTACGACTAGAAGCCGTTCGGATACGAGGGAGTGGATGCTGACGTTGATAGCCGCCTTGGCAGGTTCTTCGGAGTCTTCACACGGGCGTCACGAACCCGAGGCGGTGCTTGACAAGCAATCTAAGAAGTACAAGCCTTTCTTGTCCACAGTCACTGCAAGCACGAGCCCGTCCGGTGTACGCTGTTGACAACCGCCTTCCCTCTCCTCCACCAAAGAGACCGAAAATAAGCTTGCGCGCGGGGACTAAGCCAACTAGTCCGGCCGCGGCAGCTCCCATGCTGGTTGAGGCTGCAACTACGTACCGCATCTCGTACTTCGTGCCTGTCTCTGCTCAACCATCGGGATTATTGTTGTTGCTTCGGGAGAGTCAGCAACACCCGGCCCTTCGCTGTTACCCCCGTCACTAACAATCACTATGACCATCAATTCGTGACAGTCGCTTCTGCAGAGTAACGGCAGGTCACGCTCGCTTACACCCTTATCTCCACCTAAACGAACAGCCAAGCCGCTGATCGACACGAGAATCACCGTTGCGGACAACTGCCATCGACTCCTCCCCCCCATTCGACCCTGCTCCGCTTTGCCATTGTACCTTTAGACACAAACCTCACCGCTACGGACACAGACACCTCACCAGTGACGACAACGTCTCTACCCCACCACCTGTCCGGCGGACAGCAATGCCTTCGTTCTTGAAGGATCTCACCCTCCGACGCCGCTCCAAGCACAGCATCCGGACCGACGACACCAGCAACTCCTCCGGTAACACTTCCAGCACCGACGCCACCACCGATGCGACGAGCGATGACCGTCCGCCGCCGATCAACAAGTCATCGTCGACGCTGAGCTCGTACTTTGAAAAGCACTCCGAGAGGCAATCTCCGCCGACATCGTTGTCCCGGTCAATGTCCAGGTCGAAGTCTAACGGACACCTACGGACCATGAACGGCAACAACGGGCAGATGAGCCCGCCAGCAGTGCCATTTGGTGGTAGGCCAAGGCTGCCGAGCAATCAGAGTAATCGGTATAGTCTGAATGTACGTATGGAGCCGGAGCATACAGCTTGTCGGGAGACTGACGGCATGTAGGGCACACCCCCAGCAAACGGTGGACCCTACCGACCACCACCACCGCCACCACCATCAGCAGCAACCTCACCACTCGCACCACGAGTCATTTCGGTCTCGGACGGCTCCTGGGTGCATCAGAAAGTCCTGCTCGTTCACGGCGAGTGCGCCGACACGGCACGACCTATCGATGGCAGTCTCACTGTCTGCCATCATCAAGAGACCTTCCCACCCACCCAATGGCCCGTCTGCGACTCATATTTTAAAGCATTGATCTACCTCCAGCCAGGACCCAACCGCATTCGGTTAGATTTCACTTCGCCTAAACTGTCTTCACCAGACGGCCAGATGGTCGTACACACTTCCTGGATCAGCATCAACTACCTGCCGTTGATCTCCGCGCCTCCCCTGCAACTGTGTATACTAGTCGCGAAAGATTCGCCAGAAACGTTCGATGCTACGCCGGAAAGAGTGCAAAAGGAAGGCAATGGCTTAGACGTCGCAATACGGAAGTTCAGGATGGCGGCGTACTTATGGCAGGCATTCACCGCAGAACAGATGAACCGCAATGGCTTTGGTAGGAGATGCTATCGATATGAAGAAGAATGGCAGCCAGGAACGCTGAGTGTGCGAGATGCGGAGACGGGCCAGATGCGGAACGAGGCGAAGATTCACATCATCCGGATGGATAAGACTGTGGCGGAGATACGGGATCTGAATATCGCGCAGCAGTACGAGCCGGCCACGAACAAGGGTGACTTATTCAACATCGCCTCGGACGCAGTAAGAGCGCGGTTTGCCCCTCGGTCGGGCCAGCCACAGTACGTCTCCTGCATGTTCCTCGATGCGCATTGGGATAAGGATGTTGGCACGGTACGAGGCCATGCGGCGCTCGGTGGTGGCGGTGACGACATGAAGCTCGCCATCTTCGGCTCCCACTGCCTCCAATCCTACCCTTCACACATCGAAGAAGTCGTCCCCTCATTCACCGACTGCACGCGCACAAACACCGATTACGTCGCCAACGACTGCGGCGAATCGGGCAGTAGCTGGGAAGCAGCCAACATCGGCATCGGCGCCCATCTCCACGAAACGGGCCATCTCCTCGGCTGTCCGCACCAAGAATCCGGCATTATGTTGCGCGACTACGTGACGCTCAACCGCTCTTTCATAACCCGCGAAGCCTACTCCACCCGAACCCAACAGCAAGGCCAACGCCTCTGCCTCCCCAAAGACGAATGCGCCTGGCACCGCCTCGACACTCTCCGCTTCCGCTTCCACCCGTGCTTCCAACTCCCCACCGACCCCGCGCAGCCCGCGGATAATAGCGTGCAACTTTGGACCGTCGATAGCGGGACCGTCCTTGCCACTTCCGCGACAGGAGTGGCCTGGATCGAAATCTTCCCCGAAGACGACCTCTGCCGGCATTGGCTCGAATTCCTGGATAACTCCCCCAGCGGCGCGCCGCGACAGGTGACACTCACCGAACAAATGCTACGCGAACGACTCCCCGACGATCGAAGGAAAAAGAACCTCAAGCTCAAAATCTTCTCCTGCGGCGGGGGTGAGCTGGAAGTGGAAGATTTCTCCAAACTCGCGTCGAGCAAGGACTCGCGCCTCAAACTCCCCGACTCCCGCCCCGCCTTCCGCAGCAGCAAACTCGGCTTCTCGCAGATGGAGAACTCGACCCCAACGGAAATCATCCTCGGTTCCTGCCAAAAGCCGGCGAGGTTGTTACGGAATATCCGCGTGTACCACGGCAATTGCATGGACGGACTCGAGTTTTTTTATGATGACGGCGGGAGCGAGTTATTTGGGAAACGGGGCGGGGCGGAGGGGGGGAGCGATTTCCCGCTTGACAAACGACGGGGGGAGATGGTGTTGGGGTTTTATGTGCGGGCCGGGTTGTGGATCGATGGGTTGCAGATTTTGACGACGACAGGGCGGAGGAGTGTCGTTTATGGGAATGCGACGGGGGGGAGTGGGTGAGTTCGACCCGTGTTTATTCGTGTTCTACGTTTCGATTTCGTCTTCCGTTTCTTCCGGGCTTTCGGCGAAGCTGGAAGTATATGGTGGGAATTTTGCTGACTCTGAGGGATCAATTCAGGCACACGCTTATTCCACCCCGGGGGTATAGCGTCGCGGGCATTTATGGGAGTTGCGGGCCTTGGATGGACGGGTTCGGTTTGATCATCACACGATAGCGAAGAGACGCGCCGACGTGCATCCGGCATTGCGAAAGAGCGGCGGATGGTAGCGCTCCGCGTACCAGACGAGCATAATCTTGGATTCCTTGAGCGGCCGCGGCAGGTGGGATGGTGGTGGTTCTTACAAAATCACATGCACCTTTCTTACACCTCGCGCATAACGAAAGCATCATAATGGAAACGACCATGTACTCTTTTTTGGCGTAGCGGGGCGAGGCGAGGCAAGGCGAGCGAGTGGCCCGTCTTTTTCTCGGACACAGGGGGGCACGGGCCTGAACTGTTTGCTTGAGGATTTACCCATCCTACATGTAATTGCACGGCTAGAGTGCCAGGGCAGGCAGGCATGAAGAAGCCGCACATAGAGAGGTGTTACTAATGTACATATTGGATGGAAAGAAAAGAAAAGAAGGATGGGTTCCATTCATTCGTGTCTGCTCGTGGTCGTGGCGACGACAGACAGACAGACAAAACACAACACTTCCGTTTCGTATTCTCATTTCAGTATGATCATTACCATTCGTCACCGGCCCCCCGCAGGCATAGGCGGATGTCTCAGCCGCCACACCGCGCCCTCGATCCCCGCCCGTGCGGCTTTACTGACCCACGGTCTTCCCTTCACGTCCTCGAGCTCTTCTTTGCAACGACGCAGATCGTCTTTCGAATAATAATCGTCGTCGTAATATCCATCTTCGTGTAAATGGTGCGCTTTACTCTGCAATTCCTCGAGGTAGGCCCAATCCGGGTGATCGAAGCTACCGCGGACGAGGGCGAGGGGTTGTCGGGTCGTGGCGAGTGGGGCTAGGAGGCGGTCGGGGAGTGGTGTTATGAGGTGGATTTCTTTGGTGATGGGGTCGATGGCTCGGACGATGGCGAGGCCGATGCAGGCGCTGTGGGTTGGGTGGAGAGGGGTGGAGCAGCCGATGTGGTCGGAGCCGAGGTAGGGCAGGCCTTCTGGTGAGCGGCGGAGGTGTTGTTCGAGGGGAGGCATGGTGGGCGAGGCGGCACCGCCAGCGTTGTCTTCGTGGTCGTCCTTGGTGTTGTCCCTTGGTAGATTATACGCTTCGGCTTCGTGCTCGCGGTCAATCGTCACCAGCGCAACGATCGCGCCGTCAAGCACTTCGGCCAGGAATTCCAGGCTCGGTGCTTGGCCGTACGAAAGCACCGCTTGGATTCCCGCGTCTGGACCACCATATTTGACGATCCACGCACGCACGGCTGATAGAGGTTTGCCGGACCATCGCTGCTCCTGGTTTGCCCTGACATGCCGACTGTGGAAGTACGACATCATCTGCATGTTCCTTGCCTCCGCCGGCGTCCTCATGCTGGCGTGTCGTGGCTGGCGACTGAGCCTTTCGAAGATGGTGCCGTCAGTAGCGACTTCCTGCAGTTGGGCTGCCAGGCCGGCATCGATTGGTTCTAACAGGACGACGTTGGTAGGCTTGAGCAAAGAGCAAAGCTCCACGAGCACACTTGCGCCGAGTCCACTCAACCAGCCACAGGTGTTTATCACAAGTGGATGCTTGTTACTGGCCCGTCTAAGAAGATCGTGGACGCAAGCAACATAATGAGCGGAATCATCTTTGAAGCTTGTCGCTGCGATCGCGTGAGAACGTAGGACTTTGTACTTTGTAGGCTGAGCCGATGCGGGATGGGTGAAAGGAGGTCCGAGAATAGGCGCTGTAATTTCGACGAGCGAAACGATTCCGGGCGGTCCGAACTCAGGTTGACCAGGATCAAGGTCCAGGTACTGCACCTTCGTGACGCTGTTTCTGCTCAGAAGTGTGTTGCATAGTAGGCGGTTGAAGGTAGACTTTCCGGAAGACTTTGCTCCAACCGCCATGATACGGTAAGGGCGTCCGTTAGCGCGAGCATGAGGCGCTGAGAGCTTGTCTAAGGCAAATTCTGTGGGCTTGTCGACTTCCAACGTATGCAGTGGCCGGACTAGGTCGTCATGTCTTGCGTTGTCGAGTAGTCGAAACGATCCCGGGGCTTCCCAATGTTTCCAGAGATTGTGGAAGATCGGTGACATAGGCTCCAGCTTCTCCAGTTCATTGTCGCAGCTGTCGAGCACGACAATCGCATCTCTGCCTCGCGCAACAATGCGAGGTAACGCATGTGTGCCGGGACAATAGACACGATGGGGACCGGATTTGGGACGGATAACAGCGCCATTGACTGTGACAACGCCGGTTTTCAACCAGAGATCGTACACGCCAACGGCCACAACACATTCATCAGGTGAGAGCCTAACGCAGAATCCGCTGTCTTTGCTTCCTAGAACTGATCTGGTGGAGTAAGTCGAGAATTGAACGGCCGGAGTGGATGTCGCTGATGAGGGAGAAGAAGAACCCTCGCCTTCAGACTCAGACGACGGAACTTTGGCGTGTTCGCTGTCGTACGGAGTCTCGCCGATCTCGATCGCGGTGACACCCGCTTCATCCGTGTCTCCCTCTCGCTGAGTTGCAGCAATGTGTTTCGGCTGCTTTGCGAGGCGCGCGGCGGCGAACGCGCTGAGGGGCGCTGAGATACCATTAGCTGTTCGGTTTCACAGATATAAACCAGCCTACCGAGCTACCTTGCGGCGTTCCAAATGCCTCTTGGGCCTTCCGTTTGCTCGACATTACAGTGCAATATATGTCAGGTTAAGTAATGTCTCCTTTGAAGAGTTCGAATGTACAGCAGCGGACTTGACTCCGCTTCACCGCCCGCGTCAAACTCTCGCATTCTGCCGCTTGGTATAACTTTCTCCCGTATGGATGTCGCATTCGCTGTGAGATAAGAACATGTCACTCTCTGAATATGGTGACTCCTAGTAGTAAACCAAAACCCCAGAAGAAATCTGTGAAGCCGAAACAAGCCGTGGACAAAGCTGCGAAAGCTCCTGTAAGCCAGCAATATGTCGTGGACTCGGACGACGAGGATGCAGCACCGGAAGACCGCAGTGTAAAGAAGGTCAACGTTCCGGTCATTAATACTGTCTCGAAGAAAGCACCGAATGGATTCAAGCACAAGAAGCCCGAAGCTGAGACTTCTGTCAAGTTCAAACACAACAATCATGAAGCTACTAAGTCTGAGCGCAAGAACGAGGTATTACCGCCAAGGAAGCCTAACAAGGTGCCTGCTCCGGTCAATGGTGTGAAGCGATCCTCGCCCGAAGCAAAGCTTCCCACCGATAGCTCTGATGAGGAGAGCGAGGAGTCTGCGGAGGATGAGCCTCCTGCCAAGCGGCCGAAGGTGGAGAGAGTGCCGATGAAGCAGGACGTTGAAGGTGTATCCGAGGAGGATGCGGAAGACGAAGATGACGAGGAGGACGAGGATGACGAGGATGACGAGGATGACGATCAATCCGAAGAAGAGGGCGAGGCATCCGCCAAATCTACGATTCAGACCAAAGCTGCGGTGACCGACACATCCAAGCGCATTGATTCTGGCGATGGTGACGGTGGGAACGCAGAGATGGAAGATGCGGAAGACGACGAAGGCGAGGACGAGGAGCTTGGAGATGCTGTACAGGTAACGAACCGGTCTACGGCCGCTGCGGAAGAAGAACACCAAGTCCAGGACAAGCACATAGCGGCGAAAGAGTTCAGACCTCCACCAGGCTACGTCAAGGTCGATACCTCCAAACACAGCGCGACGCAGACATTCTCCGACCTCAATCTTTCAGGCAAACAGATATGGCACATTAGCGCACCTTTTGATCTACCTCTGTCCACGATCACGGAGGTAGCAATGGATGCGATCGAGTCAAGGATGCCTGTGCTCAGTCACAAGGGTACAGACTACCTTCTCACCGAGGCGGCCATATCGTCAAACCACAGTACTGTTTTTACACCGGACTCGCAAGGCTTCAGACCTCTCGGTGTTCCGGTAGCAAGGTCACTCAGCATTCAACAGAGCATCTCACTACCAAACCTGAGCCTCAAACAAGCCAGCCAAAACACTGGCAGCTCCGCAGCCGGCAATATTGCTCGGGCGCCTGTCAGCACTGTACGCCCGCAGCCGAAGGGTCTACGAATGCGATATCGGCCGCCTGGCTACGGTATGGGCGACCCCGGCAGGATAGGGTCTGGCTCGGACAGTGCGGATGACGAGGAGGAGGAGGGCAAGTCTAAGGGTGCGGCGTCCATTCAATTCCCGAAAGCGCTGGGCGGTGCGCAGGAACAACAGACGCCGGCGACTGCGAAGCCCAAGAAGAAGCGGAAGAGCGAAACGAGAAATCTGACAACGGCTTCAGGAGGGGCGGTGGAGCAGCGGACTCCCGCAACTCCGATGCCTAAGAAAAGGCGGAAAAGTGACATTGAAGAACCAATCACTGACAGCCCGCTGGTCAACGGTACTACGCCCAAACCGAAGAGGGCTGCGATTGAAGCATCGCACCAGGGCGGCACCAGTGCTTCGGTTGCCGCAACTCCAGCGCAAAAGGTTGTGGCGCCGGAGGCAGCTGAACTTAGCATGGCGGACAGGGTGACGCCGAAGAAGCTGAGCAAGGAGGAGAAGGCGAGACGGAGAGAAGAGAAGAGGTTAAGACAAGATGCAGATGTCAAGATGAAGACAGCATAGTAAATATCACTCTCTCCGTGTATGTAGTATGTTCGGAAGCACAGTTTCTCCGGTTCGCCGTTCAGTCTCGTGTCAATGATGCTTTGAATATGAAACTTGACCCATCTCACAGCACTCATGAGATGACATCGAAATGGCCGAGCAGCCTGCATGCTGTCTCGTGCATCACATCATCATGCCGCCGTGCGCCCACTTCCATCCACATTTCTCCGTTGAGCATCGCCATCCGGCAGTATGCGCAACAGCCGCCACGCTTCGCCAAAGCTGAGAGGGCTGCTTCACCGAAGCCCACACCCTCCATCGCCAATGCTGCCCTCGTAGCGATTGAGTCGCGAAGCGCCATCGACCCAGTGAACCCACCCTTGAGTACTTTGCCGCCGCCTCTCGACTTGCCGACACGCAATGGCGATATTACGTTCAGCTACCTCTGGAACCTGTCACGAGCGTACGGGGGCTTTTACAAGGAAGGTGTCAAAGCCGTGTGGTACAACTGGCGAGCGGCGAGATTGCTGCGCGAACGTTTGGCGAAGGAAGCGAATGTGAAGGATACCGACGAAGCTGCGATGAAGGGATTGCTTAAGCGGTCTGAGTGGCAACTTCTTCAGCGCAATGACCATGATATTGGCAAACTCCCGTTGTTCGGTGTGATGGTACTACTCTTCGGCGAGTGGTTGCCACTGCTCGTGCCCTTCATTCCCACCGCGGTACCGAGCACGTGCCGGATACCGTCGCAGATTCGTGGGATGAGGGAGAAGGCTGAGGCGCGCAGACGGGTGAGCTTTCGAGAGGGCTATCCGGAACCATCTAAAGAACAGGTTGTCGCAGCGGAGGAGAGCTCTGCCCCTTGGCCTACGACCACAGCTCCGTACGTGCGTTCTCTACTGGGCAGGCTACGCAGCGATCAATTACTGCATCTGTCGTCTACATTTGACCTGCACTTCAGACTCTGGGACTGGCTGCAGCTACCGCCATCTCGCTTTCTGATGCAGCGATCTCTGTCGAAGCGCTTGCAATACATTGCCGTTGACGACCGGTTGTTGGCTCAGGCTGGCGGCGCGGCGAAGCTGACCGGCCCGGAGCTGGAACGAGCATGCGAGGAGCGAGGCCTGGATGTGCTGGGCCGGAAGGATGCGGTTTTGCGAGATAATTTGACCTGGTGGCTCAAACGGCAGGAGGAGGATAAAGGACGTGGACGTGCCATGCTGGCCATGTTATTCAGACGGTTAGCGATTCGTGATTGGGTTAAACTGCATGTTGAGGCTAATCGTTCGCAGGCCTAATGTTTGGAAACCAAATGTCGAGGGCGGATGACGAATGTCACGATGATCTTGTGTAACAGTAGGTGTACGCTACTCTCCAGCTCCAGCACGTTTATGCCATGTCAGCACGTCAACGCGCTATCGGCACCAGAGCGTGATTAAAAAGGCGATCGCTCGATAGACCGAAATACAAGGCCCGGTAATGCTTCATGTACGTCAGCATCATTCTACCCGTCTCACTCACCACCACATTCTTCCATCTCACATTCAAATTTGTCCGTCTTACAGGTCTGCTCTTCGCTACAGAGAGCGTGTGATTGGTTACAAACCGGCGCTGCAAGCTAGTGCACACTTGCATTGCCCTTGCAGCAGGATTCAGGGGTCGCGTGAGTGATGGGAGACACCAAGCGAAGAAAGCTCTGTTTCAGTGGGTGACGCGGTCTTGTTACACGCAGCAGTACAGAATGTGGTCGAAGTTGACATCTCAGTGCGACCACCTGACGTTCGATCGCCTGCAAGCATCCGTGATGGAGCAACTGCGGCTCGCAAATCGATGTGCACAAGGGTCAATCTGGTGGCGTTCCGTTAGCGCATTGCGAAGCTGCTATCGAAACGTCTGCGGAACCGGATATCTTGTTTCGAGAGCATCCGGGATTCTGTAGAGAGCGTTTGTAACAGTATTGGAAGCTCAACTGCTGTGTCTGGAAGAATGTTCTGCGGTGAACCTGCACAAAGACGTGACGCTGAAGAGTCTCGCGACCCCGGCCTGTCACCCCACGCGTTCGATGTTTATAAAAGATGAACCCTGGTCCATAGGCTCAGCCCTATCTGACCACCCCTTCCTGCGCCTCTAAAGGCCCCTTATACGCACGTCGTACTCCCTCTGCAGATAGGCTTTCCCAAGAGCGTGCTGATGCCCGAAGGTTCAATCCATCTTGTGGGACGCCTTGTTTCAAGCGCCTCTAACCCTGTTTTTGATCCGCATTCTGATGTCGCTGGATGTGTAGTAGCCTATCACCTTCGTCCTGCGGGCAAGCAGCCATGCTTTTTTCGCTTGATAGGACCGCAGGCTGACCGTTTCGGCTCACTGTCATCAAAGCCCCATACAGTAGTCGGATAACGCAAGACCGGGGGGTTTACCGGCAGTCTGCTGCCGCTGTGGGTTCGTTCCAATCATTGGAGTGGAACTCAATGCGCCTATACCCGCTACATTCTTGGAAGTAGGAGCTGCATCCTGCAATGGATGCGGGCAGTAGCGCGACTGCAGGTCCATCGCAACTTCCTCCGACATATCCTCACTCTCCGCCCATTGCCCTCAGCAAGCGCACGAGTTCGCGCAATGCGCTGAACTTCACATATCAGGAGCACGCGGGCAGTCCGCCCACTACACCCCCACCTAATCGCACCAAGGCGTCGCGCAAGGGGAAGGAGCCCGTCAATGCGCACAGAACGTCACGTAGAGATCAACTAAGAGGAGAGGATAGGGAGCGGAAAGGGCACGAGACCAGAGACTCATGGTCAAGCACTACACGAGATAGTGTCGTGGACAACCTGCTATTCTCGCTCGACAGCTTCTCCAGCCAGGCTCTTCCGGACGATATGGACAACGATGTCGACTTCGACAAGGAGAAGTATCGCTTCCCGCAGATTCCAGAGCTGCCTCAGTTCCTGGCAAGCAAGCCTTCACAGCGTCCGCGGGGCCATACCTACTCCTCCTCGTTGTCTTCCGGGTACGAGAATGCGAAGACTGGCGGTACACCAGGCAGCAAGTTCTCTTCGTCAAGTAAGAACAGACGTAGCGTCAGCAGCTCGCAGTTTGGAACCATCACCAGCAAAACACGCGCTGCGCGGACAGGAACCGGAGTCAGCCAGGCAAGCTCGGATACGCAAAGAAAGGTTACGAATGGCGCGCATGCGAAGAACACGAGCAGCGATATCGATAGCCTAGACTATGGGTACAGTGCTGTGATCGAATCTACCAACAGGCTGCCCAACCGGAGATCTGTGAGCATGGACCACCTATTCGGCGGAAACCCGACAGGCCAATCTGTGCTTGACCGTGGCCGGCCGGTACCATCTGTGTACAGCAAGTTCGAGTCTGGCGATGACGCCGCGCCGGAACCAGGCGTACCAGCTGGGCCGCGCAGGAAGCAGAATCCCACTGCGACTGGGCCGGTGTATGTCAACGCCGCGCCGACAAAGCACAGCATCCGCAAAGTGCATACGCAGAATGACCTACGAAGCGCAAACAACCCGCTGCCACCCGTACCGCACCATGTGCAAGAGCAGGCGAGCGACTTCGTACGTGCGAATAGCTTGCATAGCAGACTTGCCTCTCCAAGCCCACGCGAGCAAGCTCCGCCTATGCCTGGTCCCAACTTCCCAAGTATTTCTCGCAAAGACACACCTTCACCTCATCGCGAGAAGCCTGGCTTCTTCAAGCGTGTCTGGGGAGCCGCGAGCCGTACTGCAACGGGACTTTCAGATCGTAGCGACTCAATGGACTCATATGACCATCTCGACAGAGCCAAATCCCACACGTCCACTGACACCTCCCGCCCTAGCGATGTGCGCAAATCGTCGAGGGATCAATCTGCAGCAACGCGCCCACCTCCAGCGCTGAGTAAGAAACCCTCGTCTTTCTTTCGACGACGGAAAAAGTCGAACACGGAGAACGATCGCCCACCTTTGCCTTACTTACAGGCCAACGTGAAACCAGCGGAGCCGAGTCCAACAGTGAGCAGTCTTCGCAAAGTGATGGATCCTTTCCTAACGCACGACGGTGCCGCGGAGGCCTTGCCTGGCGAGCCTCTACGTGTTGGTAGAGAGGCAGCTGTGCCAGAGTCTCCAGCCGACGACTCTGATGACCTCGACTTTTTCCATTCCGGCTACACGCCGCCACGAGACGCTTCGCTTGGGCGACGCGATCCTATGAGGAGAGATGTCACGGTACGGGGCAAGCCCAAGCAGAGTACGGACCGCGAGGAAAGTCCGAGGATGAAGATCAGGATGAAGAAGCGAAACGCAGAAACAGAGTACTTTGAGCGGCTTAGGGCGGACGCCGCGCCTACGAGCCACCCTGCGCTTGCACCTGGTCAACCCAAGATCTCACCCATGTCCGAGACGCCAAATCTGGAGGCGCCACCCGTGAAGGAGATTGACCGCCCAGTGAGCCGCGCCAGCACAGGTGATAGAATCATCGCGTCCCAAGGCAACAGTCCGATCGAGCCGACCGAGCTAATGAACAGCTTCAACATCCCCATGAACCCTGGCGCGAATGGCGTCGATGATGGCTGGGTCGTTGTGCGTCCAACAGGACCAAGCACGGAACGACCAGACTCGAAGAAGTCTGAGCGCTTATTCCTTAGGCCCACAGAAGCGGAGGAGAAGCTTCCAGTACCTGCCGATGAAGCACCGCCGCTTGGTGAAGACGAGCGCGCGGCTTCGATGAAGTCCACGGGTGTGTTCACGGAAGCGGCAGAGTCGATGGAACAGTCGCCACAAGGTACCTCGAGCATATACCACTCCACAACGAGCCTGCAGCTTCCGAGTTTGCAAATCGAAGGCTTGCCACGACTCTCGGGCGACACCTTTCTCGTCCGTGAAGTCCCTTCGCCCATCGAGGAAGGCGCGGAGTATCGAGAGCGGGCACGCAGGATATTCGATGGCGACGAGACGGACCCCACCCCAACTGAAGCTGCATCCTGGCTTGGGGAGAAGACGACGCTCAGTGCGAGGACCCTGCAAGCTTACATGGGCTTGTTCGACTTTGCTGGCATGAACATTCTAGCCGCATTGCGAGCATTGTGCGGCAGGCTGTTGCTGAAAGGCGAGACGCAGCAGTTCGATCGTATCATCACTGCTTTGTCCGAGCGGTGGTGTGAGTGCAACCCAAACCATGGCTTCAAGGCGCAGGACGTGGTGCATACAATTTGCTATTCACTGATCCTACTGAACACTGATCTGCACATGGCGGACATTGGCGAGAAGATGTCGAGGGCTGCTTACGTCAAGAATACGCTGCCTACGATCCGACGCGTGGTGGTGGATGCTGCGCCCAATGCTTTCGATGATACGGTCAAGCCTAGCCCGAACTCATCGAGACCTTCGCTACCGTGGCTGGACTCACAGGCATCCGCACCGGGAGCTTCGGCTGTTACTGCGGTAGAGTCGTCCGGAGAACGGCCGTCGATGGACCTACCGCGGCCAAATGCCAACACTCTGAAGCGTCTCTCCATCCGTCCCGGCGTCTTCAGATCGGAGTCGGATGGCTGGTACAGCGATTCTTCGGGAGTCACAAGCGCTTCGAATGCGCTTGTCAATCAGCCCTGGACCGGCAGTTTGCGCGGGTGGGAGTTCGAGGTCGAAAATGTCCTCAAGTCCTTCTTCGGATCCATTCGTGCGGAACCACTGCCTTTGGTGGATCCGCCCCTGCCTACTACGACGCCGTCGTCCGAGCGCAATCTGTCCGCCCCGAGTAGCGGTGCCTTGAAGCGCACGGGTTCGGTCGTCAGTAAGGCGCCATCCGAGAATATGTCGTACCGCTCGAAGCCCGGTGCGAGGACGATGATGGGGGGATGGCAGAACAGGGCGAACCGCTCGCGGCCGAAACTGTACCCTGCAAGCACAGTGGCGTCGTCTCGCACTAGCTTCGATGAAGGGAACAGCGCGTGGTCGCCGGCGCAGAGTAGTATGTGGAGTAAGAACTCTGTCTCGAAGACTCTGACTTCCGCTTCGATGAACAGTCTCAGCTACCATCTCTCGCCCGTGGTGGCAGACTACAAGCACTCTATCGGCTTTGCCAATGCGCTGTCACAGGCCATCATCCGCGAGGAAGGCGGCAGCATCGCGACGGACGACGGCGGGTCGATGTCCATACCCGGCAGTCTCCTCGAGGATGAGTCGCTGGCGCTCGAAGGCGCGCCATGGGCGAAGGAGGGCTTGGTGAAGCATAAGCATCACCTCGAAGCACCCGATCGCAAATCCCGCGACCGGGACTGGAAAGACTGCTTCGCCGTGATCAGCAAAGGCAGGCTGACCCTCTTCGCCTTCGGCACCACTACCAAATCCCTCTCAATGGGTCGCAAAGCCCACGCCCGGCAGACGGGTGGCAGTCGCGCACCCAGCCTCGCCGCCACCAAAGTCGGCGGCGGCGACTGGATGGAACACGCCGAGCAACTTGACACCTTCATCCTCCGCCACACCATCGCCTCGACCCTGCCTCCACCCGGCTATAGTAAGACTCGGCCGCACGTGTGGGCACTCAGTCTCTCCTCGGGCGCGGTCCACTTGTTCCACGTCGGCACGCCGGAGATCGCGAACGAGTTCGTGACAAGCGCTAACTACTGGTCTGCGCGGCTCAGCAAGGAACCGCTCAGCGGTGGTGTCAGCAACATCGAGTACGGATGGTCGGATCAAGCCATTAATATCGCGTTGATCCTACCTGACCGGCCTGACAGCAGCGCGGCGTTTAAGAGCCCGCCGTCTACCTTGCAAAATCTTGCGAAGGCGGGCCAAATGCATTCCTCGGCGGGCGTTGGCTCGAGTCCGCCTATTGGCGGGCCACGGACGAGCTTCCAGTCCAGCATGCGTGGGAGTTTCGATACGGGTTTCGGTGCGGGTGCGCGGAATCGCTTGCCGGGGGATAAGGTGCAGATTGCGGAGTGGCAGCCGCCGAGCCAGAGTATGATGGCGAGTCAGTTATTGGAGGTGGATCAGTTGAGGCAGTTGACGGAGTACGTGAACGGAGTGGAGGGGGAGTTGGAGCGGCATGGTGAATTGAAGCATGTCATTGACCTTGCTGTGAGTGGACTTCTACTGTTCTAATGGGAAGTGATGTTGCTGACAAAATGGAAACAGTACTCCCCTCGCCACCCCAACCACACCCGTGCTATGACGAACTGGCAACGCAAGTCGGATTACTTGCTGAGGGAGATTGTCAAGTTCCGGACGTACATGGACTCGCTTGCTGCCGCTCAGACTGCGAAGGATCGCTTCTATGCGAAGAAGGTGGAGCAGCAGGAAGCTGCGTCAGTTACTGCCACTAACAAGAGTGGCAACACCACAGCCAAAGAAGGGCCGACCTTACTGCCAAAGTCGCCAGCAAATAGCAGCCGCACCCGGAGCCCAGCGGGCAGTGGCAAGTTTAGGGAACAGCTAGACCCGGTGCCAAAGACGGCTGGGTAGGGTCTTGCTGTCATTACGAGCCGGGTTATGGCCATCGCGGGTTGGATCAGTCGGTCTGGTTCAGCTGTATGAGTACCGGGGCGTTTCGGTCTATTGGGATTTGCAAGAGAATACATGTATGAGTGATGGGTTGGGTATATGGAGCGATTGGCAAGCAACGCATAGGACTGGTTGGTGGTGTAAGATACCCGAGCGAAACGCACATGTACTACCAATGTCCACGTTCTTGACGCGCAGATCACGAAGGGGCCTTGTTAGCCCTTTGTATATGGATATGAGTGCATTAGCTGTGTCTACCGTCCTTCCACTGAGGTGGTTAATGCCGACGGAAGGCCAACGAGGGTTTACTCGAATCGAAAGTGACCATGTGTGCCGTCCGATCGATCCTGTCCTAGTCCACGATGTGAAAAGAATATGGTTGAAGTCAGACAGAGTGAAGAGAAGGCACGAGTCGTTGGCGCACTGATGGCGGGGTCCAGAACGCATGGGCACGCGATTTCAATCCAGAAAATATATGTCGTCCTTGCTTCCCTTCAATCACTCTGACTCTCACTGCCGTGCCTCTTCCACTCCTCTGCTCGATCCCACTATACCGAATACATCGCCCAAAATGAACGGCACAACCACGAATGGCGACCATGCCGCCACCGCCACCAACGGCATCACGACGAACGGTGACCACGCCGCCACCAACGGCACTAATGGCACGACATCCCACAGCTACGCCCTGCCCCAGTCACACATGGACATGATGCAGCGCTCCCTCGCCGATACCGACCCAGAAATCCGAGCGATCATGGAGAAAGAGATCAAACGCCAACGCGAGTCCATCCTCCTCATCGCCTCCGAGAACGTGACCTCCCGCGCCGTCTTCGACGCCCTCGGCTCGCCCATGAGCAACAAGTACTCCGAAGGCTACCCCGGCGCCCGCTACTACGGCGGCAACGAACACATCGACGAGATTGAGTTGACGTGCCAGAAGCGGGCGTTGGAGACGTTTGGATTGAAGGAGGAAGAGTGGGGCGTCAATGTGCAGTGCTTGAGTGGCAGCCCGGCGAACTTGCAGGTGTATCAGGCGATTATGCGACCCCATGAGCGGCTGATGGGGCTGGACTTGCCACATGGTGGGCATTTGAGCCATGGGTACCAGACGCCGTCGAAGAAGATCAGCGCCGTGAGCACGTACTTTGAGACTTTCCCCTACCGAGTCAACCTCGAGACGGGCATAATCGACTACGACAGATTGGAAGAGAACGCGTTGATGTACCGCCCCAAGGTTATTGTCGCAGGGACAAGCGCCTACTGCCGCGAAATCGACTACGCCCGCATGCGCGCCATCGCTGACAAAGTGGGCTGCTATTTGATGGTAGACATGGCGCACATCTCCGGCCTCGTCGCCGCCAGAGTGAACGCCTCACCCTTCCCTCACGCCGACATTGTCACGACCACCACCCACAAATCCCTCCGCGGCCCCCGTGGCGCCATGATCTTCTTCCGCCGCGGCGTGCGCAAGACGGAAATGAAAGCCGGCAAAGAATTCCAAACCCTCTACGACCTCGAAGGCCCCATCAACTTCTCCGTCTTCCCCGGCCACCAAGGTGGTCCCCACAACCACACCATCACCGCCCTCGCTGTCGCGCTCAAACAAGCCCAAACCCCCGACTTCCGCCAATACCAGCAGCAAGTCGTCAAAAACGCCAAACAGCTCGAACATTCTTTCAAATCGCTCGGTTACAAACTCGTGACGGATGGGACGGACAACCACATGGTCCTGCTCGACCTCAAACCCATCACCAACCCCTCCGTTGACGGCGCGAGAGTTGAAGCAGTACTAGAAGCGGTCAACATCGCCTGCAACAAGAACACCACCCCTGGTGACAAGTCTGCGCTGACGCCGCAGGGCGTCCGAATCGGCGCGCCGGCCATGACGAGTCGGGGTATGGGCGAGAAGGATTTCGACCGCATCGCACATTATATCGATCGGTGTATCAAGCTGGCGCAGAAGATCCAAAGCGAGTTGCCGAAGGATGCGAACAAGCAGAAGGACTTTAAGGCTGCTGTTGCTGTCAAGGGTGGGATTCCGGAGTTGGCGGAGTTGAAGCAGGAGATTGCCGCATGGGCTGGGACGTTCCCACTGCCGGTGTAATTGTAGACAAGCAGTCTTTAGTTTTCGACCGGCGTTTGTTAGTGGAGTGCATGTTCAACTGGCGTGTTAAAAGCATGCGTCATGGATGGATGGAAGGAAAGGGAACGGCATTCAACAAAAGAGACTCATTAGCGTAGGTGTTCCGGCTCGCGAACGGAGGGGACGGCGGCGCAGATTGGGATGGCATCACAGATCGGCAGCTTCAACCAATTGTCATCTGTGCTCCAAGAAAACAGTCTCGCTCTCATCCAAAATGCCGATGAGGAGTAGTCATTGCGTTGCTCGTATAAGGGATGGTTCATTGCGTGTTTCAGCATACCTCTGCGCAGCCCATCTATACTGTAGGAGTATCCGCACCGTCCTATGTGCAAGTTCATCACCGTTCTGCCTCTTCTCGCCCAAGAATCTACTTCCCGGTAACATACGCCCGTGCTCACCCGACAGCAGCATCAGCATCCTCATTTCTCCCAGCCAAGTGAAGCATCTACATTCATGATGTAACCAACAAACTCGACCCGGTCATCTCCTTCGGCTGCTCCACGCCCATAACTTCAAGTACCGTCGGCGCCACATCCCCCAAAACGCCATCCTGCTTCTTCAAACTCCACCCCTGCGGCGCATTCGCCATGACAAAAGGAACGAGATTAGTCGTGTGACTCGTCTTGGGCGTCTTCTCCTCCGTCAACATTTCCTCCGCGTTACCGTGATCCGAGGTAATGAAGAGGACGTATCCCTGCTCCTTACAGCATTCGTAGACCTTCCCGATCGCGGCGTCCGTCTCCGCGCAGCCCTCGACGGCGGCTTTGTAGACACCCGTGTGGCCGACCATGTCGGGCGGGGCGAAGTTGTTCATGACGAATTCGTATTTCCCCTCCTTGATGCGCTCGCACATGCGTTCCGCGACGGCCATGGCGGACATTTTGGGCTGGAGGTCGTACGTCGCTACTTTGGGGGAGGGAATCATGTCGCGGTCTTCGCCGTCGAATTGGATCTCCCGCCCTCCATTGAAGAAGAAGGTGACGTGGGCGTACTTTTCCGTCTCGGCGATGTGGGACTGTTTGAGGGATTGCTTGGCGAGCCAGTCGGCGAGGACGTTGTCCATGACCTGCGGGGCGAAGGCGATGGGGAAGGTGTAGTCGGTCTTGTAGCGGGTCATGGTGGTTACGTTGAGGTTGGCAGGGTAGGGGAAGTCGGGTTTCGGGGAGCGGTCTTGGTCGCCGAGGAGTTGGGTGATTTCGCGCACGCGGTCGGAGCGGTAGTTGAAGAAGAAGAGGGTGTCGTTGTCTTTTACTCTGCGTTCGGAGCCGCCGACGATGATGGGTTTGAGGAACTCGTCCGTCTCGTCTTTGGTATAGCGTTCTTCTATCGTTTTGACGGGGTCGGAGGAGTCTTCGCCTTCGCCTGTCACGACGCCTTTCATGCCGATCTCGACGCGGTCCCAGCGCTTGTCGCGGTCCATGATGTAGTACCGTCCCACCACCGTCGCGACTTCACCGATGCCTTGTTCTTTGCAGAAGGCGAGGAGATCCTTCATGTGCCCCAACCCGCTCTTGGGGTCGGTGTCTCGTCCGTCACCGAAGAAGTGGATATACACGTGCGGCACACCCATCTCCTTGGCCACCTTTAACAGCTCCTTGAGATGCTTGATATGACTGTGCACGCCCCCGTCACTGACCAATCCGAGCAAGTGTAACCGTCCATTCCCCTCCTTCGCATGCTTGAAGCTCTTAACGATGTTCTCCACCTTGTTAAACTCCCCTTTCTTGATCGTTTGATCGATGCGTACCACATCCTGCCATACCACCCGTCCAGCGCCAATATTCAAGTGTCCGACTTCACTATTGCCCATCAACCCCTCCGGCAGACCAACGGCGAGGGAGGAGGCCTCAAGCTCGGTGTAGCCGGAAGTGATCTTGCTGTCCGGTTTGGCGAACTCGTCCATCCATGGCGTTTCGGCGTTGAGGATGGCATTGCCGTCGGGCGCGGAGTGGTCGGAGGGGATGCCCCAGCCGTCGATGCAGATGAGGGCGCATTTGTGCTTGACTTGGACCATCGTGGCGGAGTTCAGTTGAGGGGGGAAGGGTGGTGGTGGTGGTGGAGGAAGAGTGACACCAAGGTGCTTTTCTGCTGCCGCCAATCCCTTTCACCTTCACCGAACTTTTTGTTGACCGAAGCTCAATGCTCTCAATGCTGCTTGCCCCACCATCATCATCCCGCTGTGCCCCGCTAGACTCATGGACGGGCTATTGGTGGAAGCTTAATGCAAGCTGAGTCACCTTTCGTTAATCTATCAATCAATATCCTATCCTCCACCCTTGAGCATCACGGTGAGCTTGCTCGTAGCGGAGATGGCTCCTGATCAAGCGACCGAGCCATCCGCGAGTGGTGTGACAACGACACGCCCACAGCTCCCTCCACCCCAACTTTTCGACATCCTCCCCGCCCTCCACGAGCTCCTCTCCCGCATCGACCACGCCCCAACCGCAGCCACCCTCGCCGACCCCGGCGAAGAGAGCGAGATAGCCTACACCGGCTCGCAGCCTCTAGACCCCAAGGACCTGCCGAGTGCGGTGCTACCAATCAAGGCGCAGATACGGAAAGGTTTACGTGAGCTGGAGACGCTGCCGGATATGGATCGCTCGGTGGAGGAGCAGAGGGAGGAGATTGCGGAGTTGGAGACGAAGATACGGCGGCAGGAGGAAGTGCTGAGGGCGATGGAGGGGAGTGGGAAGGGTGTTGTGGAGAGGTTGGTTATGGGAGGTTAAACGACGTATACGCCCACTGTCATGCCTAACCACCGTTGGTTGGCCTCAAACCCACTTCATGCATGTGTCAAGACGCAGCTGTCGGTGCTGCACATAACACTGAACCTGGACGGATCATTCCCTGCGCGGATCGACCCTACAAGCAGCTGTAGGGAAGCTGCAGCGCCAAGCCAAACAGCCCACGACATAAGCCCACGAACACCGTACGAGAGCAGAGTCCAGCTGTCGAACCACGCAACGCTTCGAGCCGAAGAAGTTTGACGTCTTGCACCTTAGCAGACCATACTCACAAGCAAGCAAGAGTCGCGCCGAGACGACTCCGACTAGCCTCCGAGGCAATCTGTGCGCTCTGCGCTCGATCTGGATGTAACAGCACGCTCGCAGCAAGCCAATCTGACTACTGCAAGCGCATTTCAACTCCATCACCTCGAGTCGGTCCGTCTCTCTGGCGATTTGGCGGGAAACGCTCCACACTTCTCCGCCTCGCACGTTTTATGCCCTGGCTAGTGTTGCGGGGATAAAGTACGATTACCTCATTGCACTTTGGCGCGCTGCAGAACAACTCCGCCTTCACAGCGGCGGTCTTATTACACAACCTTTCAGGCTTCTGGCAACCGCAGGCGACGCTCCAGATACGCATCGTGACAGTCCACGAAACCTAGTTCGAGCCTGCTATAAGGTGGGTTGACGTCCTCCATCTCCTCTGCTTTAATTTGAGCATTATCCCGCTCTGCAACTTCTTGCCCAAAGATGAAGAGCACGACCTTGCTTTCCAGTCTTCTAACAGCGCTGCCATTGAGCTTTGCTCAACAGCAATGGGGTCCGCCATCGTACGGCCATCCTTCGGGCCCATGGCCAGTATCGTGGCTCGGCAGCTGGGGACCGGACTCTGCAAGCACAGCAGCTGCCACAAGTACCTTCCGTACCAGCACTGCATCTGCCGCAGCGTCTACGTCCAGTGCTGGTAGCAGCGGCAGCAGCGGCAGCAGCGGTAGCAGTGGCAACACGCAAAGCTGCAATGCAATCACTACCAGCCAAATCGAGTCGATGGGCAACAACTCGCTCTTCACACGCTGGCGGCCTCATTACCACTTCCTGGCGCCTGCGGGATGGATGAACGATCCGAATGGACCCGTCTACGACCCGAAGACGGACACGTACCACATGTTCTATCAGTGGCATCCGGAGCATATCAATTGGGGCAATATCTCGTGGGGTCACGCCACAAGTAAGGATCAAATTACATGGACGGACTTTGTACGTTCCTTTCCCGTCTTCATCATACAATGACAGTCAGACTGATTTGCGCGCAGAACGGCTGGCAAGACTCTCAAGCACTCGCCCTTGGCCCAACAGGTTATGGCAACTACAACGGCCTCGGCATCTTCTCCGGCACCGCTCAAGCCGTCAACCTGCACGGCCAAGCGGACGGCACCCTTCTCATCTTCTACACCTCTGTCGCGCACCTGCCCACCTCATGGAGTATTCCATACACGCCATACACCGAGACGCAGTCGCTCGCCTACAGCACGGACGGCGGAAACACCTGGCAGGAATATGCTGGCAACCCCGTCATCAACACTACTACCAACCTACCGCCAATGAACTGGAATCTCACCGGTTTCCGGGACCCGTTCTTCGAGGCTTGGCCCGCTCTTGACGCGGTGATTGGGGTGAGCGAGCCGCACTACTACGCCGTCTTCGGGTCTGGCATCAAGGGCGTAGGACCTCGGATGCCACTCTGGACTGCGCCAGCCAGCGATCTAACGCAATGGACCTTCTTGGGTGCGCTGTGGGAGCCTGCCGACAATACATCTCTCGGTCCCGTCCTATCTACCGGCAGCTACGGCTTCAACTTCGAAGTCTCCGGCTTCTTCTCCCTACCGGACAGCGAAGGCGAGCTCCACTACTTCGTCAACATGGGCACAGAAGGCGCCAACGTCTCCTTCCACCAGAGTGCACACTGGGCGCTGTGGAACGAGGGAGTCGTCTCCCGACGTGCGAACGGCAGCGTGGAGTTCACGCCTACTGCCGGTGGAGCCGGCGACTGGGGTCTTGCCTACGCTCTACTGAGCTTCAATGACACGAAGCACAACCGTCGTGTGCAATGGGGCTGGGCACCGGAAGATCTCGTGGGAGCCGGTGGACTCTTCAGTGCTTCGCAGCAAGGGTTCCAGGGCTCCTTGACTCTGCAGCGCGAGCTCTTCGTCCACGAAACACGCAACGTGATCAATCCGAACGGTACGCTCTCCACCAGCAAATCCGCCTCGCTGCGCCAGAACGCCAACGGTACCTTTACGGCGTACACCCTCGGCGTACGTCCATTGTCCGATGTCGTCGCCGGCATCACCGCGAACGCCACACACGCGTCCTACGGCACCAACACCGCATACACCAGCTCCAAAATCCTCCAACAGCAAGGCGACACGCACATGGCGCTCAAAGCCACCGTCAGCTCCGCCACAGGCGCCTGCGGACTAATCCTCGCCGCTTCGCCAGATATGACGGAATACACAACCATCTCCTACCAACCCTCCAACTCCACCATCCTCGTCGACCGCAGCCACAGCAGCTCCCTCACCGGCTTCAACAACGCGACGGTAACCGGCTACTTCGCCCCTTACACCTACGCCAACGGGCAGCAAGAAAGCATCACGATGACCGTTTTTGTCGACGGCTCGCTGCTCGAAGTCTACGTCAACGACCGGTTTGCGCTGGCGACGAGGATTTATCCGAGCATGCAGTGTTCCACGGGCTTTGGCGTGTATGTTGCCCCGGGCGCGCAAGCCACTTTCGCGAGTGTGGAGAGTTGGGCTGGGCTACTTAATGTGTGGCCGTCCAGACCGCTGAATAGCAGTAGTCCGCTTGTGTGGGATTCGGCGGCGCAGACGGCGAATTATACGTGGTGGAGTGGGAATTAGGTGGGTTTACTGAGGGGACGGTCTGGTGAGGTAGAATAGCTGAGACGAGGTAGAAGGGATTAGTGATCAAGTGTGTCATGATCTAAGGAGCTGAAGGTCTTGTGCAGACCAGAGCAGCTCGCTCTTATGTACACACATATCTGCTATGAATGTCTCTCTAAGATATGAATGCAGCAGCGCATGGTTCACTCCTCCAAACCCAGCTTCCCAAAATCTGCTCCTGTCGTGATTCCTTCTCCTCATCACTCGAATAATGGTATACCTACAAGAGCGGCTTCTTCGACAACCTCAGCGCAACATTAATCACGCTCGCCGTCGCCAACACATGCGCAAGCGACCTCGACGGGCCGACATTCATCAAATAACTCGGATAGTAAAGGAAACACTTGCTCAACACATGTAAGCCCAACAAATTCACGACCGTCTGATCCGTGGGCGCGACCGCTTGCGCCAACGCAGCCGTCAAGCCAAACCCACCAAACATCTCCATCAAATTGTAATGCGCACTATGCAGTCTCAACGGAAGTCCCCTCAAATTCGCAACCTGAGCACGAGGGTAATTGTTATCCCGACCTTCCTTGTTGCCAGCATCGACGCCCGCGGCTGCCCCGGCGCCGGAGAGGGCGTAGGTCATGGTGATGTAGAGGGTGCTGAGGGCGGCGATCTTGCCGGTTTGCGCGACGCGGCTGTTGGAGCCGGCGGAGCCGATGAAGGCGATTGCGCTGCAGGTGCCGTTGATGGCGCGCTCGAGGAGGCCGTTGGGTTGGGCGAGCCAGGAGGTCAGGGGCACGGCGGCTAGGAAGAGGGCGCCGAAGCCTGGGTGGTGGAAGCGGGTCAGTGAGGGTGGTGGAGGTGGGTGTGTTGGAGGAGCAGGTCTTACCGGCCATGGCGAGGCCTTGCGGGTTGACGACGCCATCTTCCTTCAGCTTCTCGAGGAGGGTGTCCTTGCCCTCCTGGACGCGGTCTTCAATCTTCTTCTCGTCGGCTGATGACATCTTGACCGCCTGGATGAGTGCTGAGGTGAGATGAGGATGGTACTGGTTGTGAGCTGAGCAGTAGAAGGAGAATGACTGATAGAAGAGAGACGCGGCGATGAGAATCTGCCTTACTTGATGGCCTGCCTACACTCTGCCCAGTGAGGTCATTGAGCTCTAGACTTCAAGATCGCGACTCCTCGGTAACAGGGCGAAAGAGAGTTTGCCCCGCTGTTGAATTAGAGACGGGAAGTTGGACGATCAAAGGCATCACGGCCTCTGCCTTTGCGGTAAGGTGAGGAGGCGATCCAATGTGAGAGCGGCGATGTGTCCATCGCTTTAACAATACGTAGGATTGAAGGACGGAGTAAGCGTATGTAGTCGTCTGCAAAGACGAAAGAGGATATCGAGGAAACGAGAAGATAGAGTGGAGTGGGGCAGCGAGCTTGCAGCGTTGGTGGGCAAGAATGCTAATCAGTCTGTATGCTCCTAGATCATGCAGAAACGCTAATTTGAATGCGAAGACAAAAGCATCAACAAAGGCGGTCGCACTCGGATATCGATTAAACGTTCAGCGGTATCTCCATCACCGAAACCGACGCTGGAAGTTTCATTCCCTCCAGCCGCTTTAACTCGTTCTCCATCATGATCTTCTGGATCGCCACCCGCTCCGGCACGACATGATCCCTCGTACCTTGGATCTTGTAATCAATTTTATCTTTACCAAGCGCAGCCATAGTCTTGCGTTCGACGACGCTATACTGGCTCTCGTCCTCCCGGCTGAACCGGAATGGCTCCTTGAGACTGACGGGAGGGTTGGTAATAATGCGCAGGTTGCGTAGCTTGTTATTCGAGGTCGAGTGAAGCATCAGCGGATGTAGGAGGTAGACGTCTCCAACCTTGCCTGTCGTCTCCACGAAGGAGTCTCGGGGCATGCTCTTCGCAAGCTCGTTGAACCATTTCAGGCCCTGGCCAGGCTCTGGACCGAATGTAGGGTTCTGCGCGCGAGGGGTCATGCGAGGCGACACGCCTTCGGGATGATCGTGGAGATGCTTTGCTACATGTGGAATGGCAGCCGGGCAGATCATGGTGCCACCACCGCCTGCAACGATATCCGTGAAGAGCGGGATGACGAGCAGACCTTGCTCGGGCGAGTCGAGATAGTGTACGAAGAAGTCGCCGTCGACATGCCAGCCTTTCAGATCTGAGCCGTGGATGTCTTTCATGTGGCCTTCGGTTGTGCCTAAGTTGACAATGAGGCCATCGTTCCATGTTCGGTTCGTCTCTGCCATTCGCTCCTCACCACCTGTGAGGTCACAGATGGCCGCCCATGCCTTGGGTGCAATCTCGCTTGCTAAGTATTGGTTGTGTGCTGGCATGTTGACACGCTCGGCGGTCCATGTCGTCTTATCTTCAGGTGACATGCCCAATCGCGTCCAAAGATTGGCCGTCATCTTGTCTACAAGCTCTTGGCCGAAGCAGCCAGAGAGCTTGATCCAGCCATGCTCCATGAAGTGGTCCACATCTTCTTGAGTGAGCTGTCGGTACTGTTGCGAAGTCATGATGCGTAAGTCGGTAAGGATGAAAGTGCGCGAACGTCGTCAGATCTTGAAGTGGAAGTCAAGGACATTGAAAGTCTTGCAGGCAGATGATGCTTATAATGTCTTTACCGGCAATTGCTCGTCGCCGCATTCGGTGGAAAGCGGCTCGAGTAGCCGCTACAAGCCATCCGAGTGGGATTGGCTAAATTGCCGGTTAAACTCGTGCCCATGGGGAAGCATGCACGAGTCGTGGGTTTGCATGAAACGCTCGGAAGCGGTGCCGGCTTGGAGATGTTGTCTGCGAGGTGTACCGGGTTGGCGCCTTTGCCCGCCAACATAATAAGATGCACGATGTTTGCGTTGGCCGACACGCAGCCCATTCGCTTGGCATGATGTCTGGAGACGTCACAGACTCTGTCACCCGAAGCCATTGGTGCCAGACGCTGAAGCACAGCTTGAGTGCTCTCGATCTTTCTGCTGCTGCTCGCGAACCTCTCTGGCGGCATTGACGTTGACCTTGCTGCCCTTGACGGCCGTGCAGTAGTCTCTGGTATCGACTAAACCTTTCCCACCAAAGGCTGCGAGGTCAATGATACCCTTGAGGTAGGGTCGTAGCGCGAACACCAAACTGCTGCGGCCACAGGGATTGCCAACGACTCTGTGAACGCCAGCTCGGACCCTGTTGCGCAGCAAGGCTCGGGTCAGGTCGCCCACCAGAACTACCGGACCGTCCACGTCGACCCACGTTGGGGGAGTGGCGATAGACCTATCGAGCACTTGCAGACCTTGACCCTCGCCTACACATAGGGTGAGTAGGCCATTGTCGACGTGCTGTGCCGCAACGCCGCTGTCAGGAAGATAGCGAAACATTCGTAGCAATGAGGTGACGGTGTCCAGACTGCTGTCATCCGCGGGCAGTTCGAGTCCATGCTTCACTAGCGAGCTCCAGGCATGTACATTGTATTCGCCAGCTCTGCTTATATCGCAGAGTACGCGGTGCAAGTAGTTAGCCGCATCACGCCAGAGCAGCCGCGCACATTCTTCCAGGTAAGAGGTCGCATTAGTGTCATACCGAATAGTAAGGTATTCTTTTTCGCCAGGACATTCGTAGAAGCCGCATTCTGTACCTCGTCGTGCCGGATACTGCGATCTTTTCAGTGACACGTGCTGGTCAAAGAAAGCTCTCGCAGCTTGGGAGAGTCGCGTCACGGCATCGTTGAGGTGCACCGGCAGCGTCAGCGGAAGCCATCCATGATAAGCGAGATGAGTGATCTGCTCCGGAGTCAGTAGTGGCGGCGGCTCGTCGGGTCCGAGGACGGTTGTGATGTCGCTCATGTCGTGGTCGCTCTTAATAGCATATCAATCCACGCCAAGGAGTTAGAAGGGCTTGGAAGAAGCTTGTACTCAGCGGAGACTGCCGGCCGGCGCCTGAAACGCCACTTCGCTGTTTTCCACCGTCTGAGAAATATCGTACTACAAGTGCTTCGGTTCGTCCCATCTCCGAGATGGGTCCGGGTGTTGGTATCAGTACTGGGCACGTTGAGGAACCACTGGCCGAAGGGGTACCAGCAAATGGCGAGACTCCCTTGCCACCGGACACGGCAAACCCAGCGGCTCAGTCGAGCGAAGAGTACACTATAGTGCAACCTACGAGCCGCAGGCCAAACAAGGGAATCGAAGTCGTCGACGACGATGGACCGTTAGTCGACACTACAGCAGCTCTAGCAAAGAATTCCAAGAAAACGAAACGTCTTCAGAAACAAGCACAGAAGCGACAACAGAAGGTCGCGGCAAGGGCGCGTCCACACTCTTACCTCGACCTCCCAGCAGAATTGTTGCAAGAGGTCCTGGCCTGCCTCCGGCCTAGCGATCTATTCCGCATGACGATGGTCAACCGTGCCACCAACGACTTCATCAATCTTCATGAACGATTTATTGCTCAGGACATCCTTAACAGCAGATACTGGATACTGCAGCAGTGCTTTCCTTTACCTGAAGAGTTACAACACGTCGACGTCGACACTGCTTCTGCGCTTCGAGATCCGCGCCGACAGAAGATGACCGAGATCCATAAGAAGCCATATCAACACATCAAACCTCCGGACTCAGACAAACTCTGCACTTGTCCATTCTGTCTGCTCGCTTGGAACAACCTCAACGTGGTCCTCGATATGGCCCACTTCCAGAGCAGTCTGAACCACAGGGAGCCGATTCCCATAATCGCAAGAGGCACGAATCCAGCGTGGAACGTCGAGCTTACGGAGGCTCATGCAAAGACTGTCGAGCGAGCCATCAGTGATCCGCTCGCATACGCAGCGATACTGGAAATTCATCTCAATACCATCACGGGAACTTTGCTTAGACAATATCGATTTCCGCCACGCATGCCGATGCACCGCCACAACAAGGCGCCGTTAGGGAAGACAGTACATCCCAGTATACTCTACCATCTTACCGAGAGGGATGCCGCGAAAGGGACTGATCAATTCTTGGAAAGGGCAGGCAAGCCGTCCTACGAGTTCCCATTCTCCCGAGATAACTACTACTCACTGCTGGCATACGTCCCGTACCGGAAATGGGGCACAGAGCAGGAGCGATGGATTTACTATGCTGCTGGAGGGCACGAACGAGACCTCGAGTGGATACGGAGGTGGTTTGTTCCACGGCAGGACAAGGAAGGCAGGGAGGAGCCGCAAGTAACGAGCACCAACTCTGCAGCAAAGGATAGCGAGAAGTGGGGACAGATCTTGGTTAAGCCGTTTTAGCCCTTGGGTGCCGCATCATGCAATGAGCGCTATATTTATACGTACGAACAGTTACTCAAGGCTGACGGGGGTGACTGTATCCAACACTAAATGCACCTTTTCATCCCAGTCGTGCCTCATACTATCAACTTTTACACCTCCCACCGCTATGCATTGCAGAACGCTCGAACGCTAACAAAATAATTCAAAACACACACTTCTTCGACTATGTCCACGTATGGTTGCCTCTGACCATCTGTACACTGTGACCGCTGAACTTGAGCTTCGTCGTGAACATGGCGCGGATATTACCCTGCGGCGCGGACACTCGAGCGTGGAAGGCCATATTGTACGCCCCGTGGCCATCTTCATGTATACCAACCGAACCTGGCGCACTAAGACCCCAGCTCCCCGTCCGCAGTAAAGGCGACGACGCTCGCACATAAGGTCCGTTGACGTGAGTCGCTGTGGCATACTTCACGTCGTAGGAGGGCGAACGTGTGCAGCCCGAAGAGTAGAACAAGAAGTAAATGCCTTCGCTGGAACGCACAAGAGCCGGTGCTTCGACAAGGGGCCCATCTGCGGCGATCCGGTCAAGGATCTGAACAGGGTTGCCGTCTGTGGTGACACCGTCTGACCTCATTTTCTGGAGCATGAGTGGCGTGGGAACAATAGGATTGACGGTGTTGCCGCACAGGCCGCCATTACCGATGTTATTGCCGTCAACCTTGTAGACCACGTACAAGGTGCCATTCGTGTTCTGGAAGCCGGCTGCATCAATCGCACCACCTTGGAGGATGGGACACGCCAGCGGGTCGTCGAGCGGGTCGTACGGTCCGGCGGGATCTTGACCTCTCGACACTGCGGCACCGATGCAATGCGGTATCGGGTGGTTCCAACCAGCCGGCGTGCCGTTGTTCATGTTGGCACTGTAGTACAAGACGTACTTGTTGTCGGTCGGCCGCTGGATGATCGCAGGAGCCCACACGTTTGCTCTTGGGATTCGAGGAAAGCTGCTAGTTAAGCCTTGGGTCACCCAATCGCCGACTACCGGAAGGGGATCAGATCTCGCGTCCAGCAATGTCCAGTTGACAAAGTCCGGTGATGTAGCGAGTTGAACATTTGACGCGCCGTACTCGTAGGCTGCGGAGGTGTTGGATTGCTGCAGAATGCCGGCTGCATTATTCGTTGCGAATGCGTACCACGTGCCGTTTTTGTACCAAATAGAGGGATCGGCAAAGTTGGCGTCTAATGCTGCCATGATTGGGGAGGACTGGTTCGTGATCGTCTGATTAATGGTCGGTATACTGGCTGAAGGCGTGTAGTGAGGACGGCGCTTGATAGTGACAGCTACAGCAGCCGCAATCACTGCGGCGAGAAGCACCAACATCATCACGACGCACATGGCAAAGCCAAGCGACAAGAATGAGAACCTTCTCCGGGGTGGTGGCGTGGTCTCCTTCTCCGAGTCAAGTATTGTGGCAACGGCTTCAGCCTCCGTCGTGAAGTACTTCTCATAGAAGGTAGGGTCGAGCTCTCCGGATCCCATGGTGGCCGCATGTTGTGGCGTGGAGCGAACGTTGTTTGTCCGATTAATGATGCGTTTTGGTGTAAATGAGAGTCTTGCGAACGGTCTTCTCCAGGAGTGTTTCAACAAATCTCGTTGTGCTTCGTGGTTCTCGAACCTCGCATCTAGCGCAAGCACGCTCGATGCTGAAGAGTGCACGCCATCTGTGCTTGCAACATTGATTGCGATGGCAAACTTGGATTTCAAGTCCATACTTTCCTGCAACACCATTTCGTTGGAGTACAGCCGGTGCTGGGACACCGGAAGGTAGTAGCGATGGCTTTGAGAGTAGCCATCTTCCGGTACTGAGGGCGCAGGATTCAATAATAAGCATTCTAAAAGCTGAAGGCCTGGATTCGACCCGCATCTTGAATGGGACATGGCGCTTTCGCGGCAAAGCTTGTGTATTGCGGCATCTCCACCCTCATAGGCTCATGAGTACTGCTAGTCCTCGGCAACGTCCTAGTTGCAGCGTTTTAGTGGCGGAAGTCGGCAATAGTAGGACGAGACGAAGACGGGTCGAGGAGTTACCGACGGAGCTGCTCTTTCTTGAGCGCCTATGATGTAGCAATAATATACAGGACGTGTTGTTCAAAAGCACTCTCCCGACTGCGGCAACGATGTAGATGTTGAAGTGCACTGTAATGCTGGCTTCAATGTCAAGAACAGTGGTTGGTTCTAGATCGCGCTCCGCTCATTTGTGGAGCCGGTCCACACTTTCCGCGTCAGCAAACATCGTTCTCGAAAAAGCATGCAGCTTGTGCAAGCGCATCGCACTCGATCACCAAGTATCCGTGGACAGGGCACTTTTGGAAGACAGGGCACAGCGGAGACCTGATGATAGGCTTGGACACGATGCGTACTCATGTGTTGTCATCTGTGACCGTTGCACCTATGTCACAACTTATAGGGTTTCGGTTGTCGAACTGTGCAAATGCTCATCACTATATCCTCATCACTGCTATGCTCTCCTCAGTAGCAGTAGCGCGCAGCTGGGAGCGATGATCAGCTTGTCAGTGCTACCTACTAACTCAAGCAGCCGTTTGACGGTAAGCTTCACGGGGTCCTCATCTGTGTTCGCCTTCTCAGGATGAGCTTCGCGCCAACGAATTATAGGACTCGAGGTTGCCCAGGCCGCCTCACCCTGCGCAATTGTCATCTTCCGCTCGAAGAGGAAAGGGCCGGGCGTGCCGTCAGGAAGCGGCGGCGCCGAAGGTACACCATCTCGGTCCCATTCGCAGCGCTTGAAGGCTGCCTCGTCGAAGAGTCCATGCGTGTCCGGAATCGACCACGGCAGCGGTAGTGTCTCATAGCCGGTTCGCGCCAACATGCTGCCGGCCTGCATGTATGGGCTGAGGAAACCCTCCTCAAGCCCATCGAGGATGGCTTGAACCTCCTTGTGCTTAGAGACTGACGGGTGGCAATACAGCGAGACAGGAACCCACATTGCCAGTGTCCCGCCAGGCCTCAGTACCTTTGCCGCGGAAGCGTAGAACGCTGGCATGTCGAACCAGTGAGCCGCGGTCGCAACGGTGATCGCGTCGACTTGTGACAGTCCGGCTTCAGAAACAGCACTCGCGCAATCTTCGGCGGATAAAGCGCAGAACGTCGTACGGTCTGCGAAACCGTGCTTGAGAGCATCCTTCTTTGCCTGCTCGATCATGCTAGCGCCGGCGTCGCAGCCAACTGCGCGCTCGAAGTACTTCAACAGATCCCACACAGATTTGCCTGGTCCCGTGCCTACATCGAGAACTACATTCCGCTTGCCTTGATGGTAGTCGATGATGCTCTGATAGATCGGTTCAGGGTATGCGCCTCCTCGTCCAGAGGCGTACGCAGCAGCCTGTTCCGGCGTAAAGTTGCGGAAAGTCGTTTCTTTCGAGGCCATTGTAGATATCGGTAAGATCTGCGGAGTTCGACTGAAACTTAAAAGAGGCTGCATACTTCGCCTTGACTCATATAATGACCGCCACGGATCGTGTAGGATAGTTTCGCGCTTGCGCAAATGGGCTGCAAGGTACAAGGTAAGGTCCGGATAGCTTCGGCCGAAGCTGCAGCTTCCGGCACGCGTTAGTGACAAAGATATCCACCCCGTTGCCAGCACCACGAGAACCAGAAGCCTCGTGCTCTTGACGTGCAGCGGATAAGTCCCGAGGGCCTGCGCAGACTCAGTGTTCACGTTCCACTGCTTGACCGTGTCGCTAGCTCAGCGCCTGTCTCAACTCATATGGACGGATATCCCTCTGTTCTTTGCTTTTCACATTCAACTTCCAGCATAGCAGCAATATCGTCAGCCCGCTGACTTAATCGAAGCGCCATACATGCTGCCACTAATGTAGCTCGTCGCCCAACGATCAGCTTCCGTCATGTAACATGCCAGCAAACACTCCCCTCACTTTGTGCTTCCTGGTAGGAACCTTCATACTCTGATCAGTCTAGAGCTGGTGGATAATGTAGATTCGCCGTCTAACGGCGTCAAGACGAGAAAGTGCTTGTGTGGTGAGTGCGGTTGCTTGGTTGGCACCTTCCTCGCTGAGCCAGCCTTTGGAGAAGAGCGTTCCTTCCCTACTCACCAGTGAACGCGTCACGCAATTTGCACGGGACCTGCCTTCCGTCAATAAACACGTCCGCGTGAAAAGTCTTCCACTTCCTCGCAACCATCACTCAGCACAAACACATTCGTTAAGTCTCCATCTTCGCACAGAGCTGAGCTCATCCACTGTCGTTGACTTGCCCACACCCACCACCATCCCACCAAATCACGTCCGCCGTCATGCAGTTCAAGTACCTCCTCGCCGCCGTGCTGGGTGCGGCCGCAGTCGCAGCGATTGGTATGAGGGAGACGTCTTCGGCTTGATGAAGACTGTGCTAATAGCTTCGCAGGTGACACTCCGGCCGTTGCGGTTGTTCATGTCGTCACCACAGTCAGCGAGTTCCCAGCCGTGTCGGTCTCCACCGTCTACTCCACTAGCGAGGTCACCGTCTTCAGCTGTCCTTCCAATGTCACAAGCTGCCCTGTCTCCGGCTCGGCCTCCATCTACACCTCCGTCGTTGCTGTTTCAACCACAATCTGCCCAGTAACCTTGACTGCTGTCGGCTCAGCCACCACCACGCCTTCGAGCGGTATTCTCCCCCCGACTCCATCCCCCAGCAGCTCCACGGCTGGTGCAGAAACAGGGTCCTCATCAAGTGGTTCGGCTAGCACCCGGACAATCTACTCAACAGTGACTCAGAGCGCAACTTCCACCGTCACACTCGGCTTGTCATCGGGCAGCGTGTCTAGCACTTCATCATACGGATCTGCCATTCAGTCAGCCCCGTCGGGTAGCCTTTCGAGCGTCGGTCCGTCTATGCCAGCCAGTGGCAGCACGTCCAGCTCACCTCTTACTGGCTCTTCAAGCTTGACTTCAACCACTCCGGCGAGCCCCTCAAGCGACAGTACCTTCAGCGGTCCAGCCTCCGTGGGTTCGTCGAATGCATCACCTTCGGGCTATTCGTCTTCTCCTAGTGCTTCAGGCAGTGCCAGTGATTCCGCTGCTGGAAGCTCCTCTCATGCATCCAGCTCAAGCTATGCCACGCCCTTCGTGCCGTACCCTGGCATGATCCCACTGTCCAGCAGCTCGGCTGTCGGCGCGGTAACCGGATCGTCGAGCTCTGCTGGGTCCACCACCCATTTGCAGCTCACCGTCACCCAGACTGTGATCAGCACCACCCAAGTCTCGGTCTCAACAAGCTCCTCTGCTCTGTCTACGTCCGGCTCCAGCGCTGAGGCTGCGAATGTAAGTCAGCCGAACGAAGTGTGATGAACGTCAGCTAAAACAATTTCAGAACGGCACGAGCGCTTCTGCAACCACGCCGCTCAGCCCCTACACCCCTTACCAGCCGGGAGTCGGTGCTTCTAGCAGCAGCAGCGCCGCAGCGGGTGCCATCGGAGCCACGGGAACCGGTGGTATGCCGGCCTCGACTGCCAACGGCACCGTCGCCAGCCCCTCAGCTACCGTTCCTGTCTTCACCGGTGGCAGCACTTCTGCTGACTCGATGAACTGGAGCCGCTTTAGCTGCTTCGCGTTGGCCATGATCACGGTCATCGTGGTTTGCTAAGCATGTCGACACAACACTCCTAGCAAGAAGGACGGCTCGAACCACGCGTCGAATCACGTTCTACTTTTTTCGAAGCGCTGTCTTGAACGTCAGCGACGGCTAACACGCGATGCATGTGCTAGAGTTTGCAGCATAATGGGCGGATGTCGTTTCAGTTTTTGTGCACAGTTGATGCATGTCAGATAATATGGATAGTTGCGGTACTGATCCCGTGATCCTACACCACCACCTCGCGTGGCATGAGGTCTTCATAAGGTCTCTATGCTCACAGATCTTCCTGACTTCGCAGACCGAAGCAATTTGAAGCCTCATGGTAGAAGAGAAGTTGGAGCTGGCGATATTGACGACTTTTGTTTCCGTCAACGCGTTTCCGACTGGTTGTGCGTACATTGGGTCACGATTTCAGACTTCGCGCAATGGTGAGGTCACTCGCTTCACATGCACGAGATGAACCGCTCATGCACTGGCCGCCTTAATTAGTACAGCTCACAATGAGCACTTCACTCCATGACACGGTAGGTTGAGTCTCTTGCCATCAGTCTGCTCCCATTCAAAACGATTGCACAAGCATGTCCAACGATGCTCCCTTCCACGGCCTCCTCTTCTGGTACGCCCACTTCTCCACCATCCCGGATACCCAAACAATCCGCCTAACCGACTCCCTCCGCGGCAACCTGACTTTAGGCCTCGACTTCCCTGTCGCTCTCGCCGTCGCGATAGGCCGCCATCTCTTCCTCCGAAACACCAGCCTCTTCTCCCTCAACGTCCACGTCCCCTCCGTCTCCGTCACGAAGACGCTGCTTGATGGCGTACCGGTCGACGAGAAGCGCGAGTACACGCGTGCCGAGATCTGGAATGTAGCGGCCCAGAATGGGATTGCGGGACAGATGGATGCGTTGGGGTTGTGGGCGCTTGCGAGTGATGTGGAGACGGGCAGGTTGAGGGGGAGTGATGTTGTGGCTTTTCAGAGGGGGACATTGTTTGATGAGGTTGAGAGGAGGCGGAAGGGGAGGAATCAAGTGTTACCGTTTTGGCGAGGGGGTCCGATCTCGTGAGTTTCCTGGCTGAGCTGGCATGCGCGTTTAAGGCTTGCTAACATCAAGGCGTAGTGTTGCTGGCCATTCCTGGGCTGTCAAGAGATTGCTCGACGTGGATGTCTACCGAGCGGACTCGAAGCATGACTGAGATTGATAGCTGGCTCTCACGTTCACCTTATCAAGGATATGTTTCGCTTTCCTGTTGACACATGTTCCTGCGGCTTCGATATACCATGATGCGCGTCTTGGCGAGATCTATTCGCCATGTCAAACCTGGTGCTATCACGTCTGCTAGTATGAACGGACCGTATTGATCATATGGTATCATCTACGCACAATGGAGCCAGCTATGCTATACCGCTCAAGTCTCGTCCCGCTGCGTGCATGCGTTGTCGTTCCAATGATCATCCGAACGCGTACCCGAGCCAGCTGCGAGACGCCACTCAAGCCCCATTCGCAAGCCTCGCCGTCCCAGCCGCAGCTTCTCCGGTCGCAGCGTTGGAGTTCCGTCGAACTACCGACAGCTGTCGTTTCAGGAAGACTACTCGTACATTCGCCGTTACTGTTTGCCGATCTACCTGGGTGGTTGCCGTTGTCACCCTGCCTTCCATCGAACAAGCGACCGTATCCGAGCCAGTATAAGATACGATGGAACCTACTGGGAGGTATCCTTGCACGTAGCGCAAATCGTACGTCTGCAGCCCTGGCAACTCGTGGACTTGCGCCAGGTTGCCGGTGCCGCAGTTGCCGCAGCGAATGAGCGTGCTCGTGCTAGTCATGAGCACATCGTTTGGGTGCACGCACGGGTGGTGAACGACGCCGTCTGTTGCAATCATGTTGGTGTTCTGGCAGCAGGCAGTCGGTATAGAGTCATAATAGGACTCTTTGTACCTTTATAGCAGCGTAGGCTGAGTTGCCTGGACAGGAAAGGAGTTCAGTGGATAGACGTTTTGCGGATGGAGCTCCGTTCTGCTTGGTCGGCAGGTCGGCTGTAGGTTAGCTATACAACAAAGTCTCGCTCATATACCTTGGGCTGCGGCAGTGGATGTTGTTCGCAAGAGCCGCTCGGTTCTCAACAGTGTCTTAGACTCTACGCGCGTCTTACGTTGCCCGCCGACTCGTCATCAAACAAGATATTGTCGCTTAGGCAGTGACACCTGCACCGCCAGCCGCACCGCCAGTTCCAGACCCATCACCTTCATCACGCCTTTGAGGCGGCCCATTAACGTTCCACCTGGCCACCTCGCCTGTGTGAGAGTTTCCCATCTCCGCGCCAAAGACTCTGATCCCGAACGCGATCAAGTCGTTCGCCTCCGCCGTCATGCCCAGCTGCACAAGGCGGGCGTAAGCGTCCGCGAGATGGTCGATACAGCGCTTGCGGAGCGTCTCCGGACTCTCGAACAGGGACTGAGACTACCGGCGATTTGTCAGTAGTATGATCGCTGCGACGTTGCGGGTATGGGTTGACGGATGTGTATGCTCGGGTGCGGTCGGCGAGAAAAGCGAGAGCATACCATTTCCACGCCACTTGCACAATCGTGTGTGTCGCGCAGGTCTGAGGCTGATGGTCGAAGTGCTTGTGGTCAGGATGGGTAGCTCCGACCAAGAGCGGGCTTCGAGTTGCGATCTTGATCAGGTCGGTCCCGGGTGCAGGAGCAAGAAATGATAACAAGCGAGGAAAACGTGAGAAGAGCACGTTTTGTGCGGGTTTGCGAGAGACACGAGGTGAGAATACAAGAGAGTTTTACGACTCAGAGACCAAGCCTGATCGGGAGAGAGATGTGCTGTGAATGAGAGATCATGTGCTCAGCGAACGGCGGTACAAACTTTACAGGTCAATGTCGCCGCTGTTTGCCGAGCGATCGTAAGAGGCGTTGTCGACAACCCTGTCACTCCTACCTGGTGAACTTGTAGAGCCTTTGATCTCCCTTGACGGGGTATGCGTTGACACGAGGCAACAACCTTCGCGTTGTGGCGCATAGCAAGCGGTCGGTTGGTGGTTCGTGGGTGAACGCTCGCCATTGAAGCTAGCTCGCACTGGCGTGTTGCGTGACATTCCAGTGGCCGGCCATGGCTGCAAATGCGACCTCCATCACGTCCCCTCGCCGCTCTGCTCACGCCGATCGAGCACTTTGTCGACAATGCCCCAGTCTAATGCCTCCTCGGCACTCATGAAGAAGTCACGCTCCATGACCCTTGCAATCTCCTCCAAGCTCTTCGTACCGCCCTCTTTGGGAGTGAGATGCCGCTGATAGATCTGATTGAGCTGCTCTCGCACACGGAGAATCTCCTTTGCATGGATCGCAATATCTGACGCCTGCCCATGGTAGCCTCCGCTTACCTGGTGCACCATGATGCGACTGTGTGGTAAGCAGTGCCGCGAGCCTTTAGCACCGCCACAGAGTAGAAGGCTCCCCATTGATGCTGCCTGGCCCATGCATATGGTCGTCACAGGCGACCGTATATACTGCATAGTATCGTAGATGGCCAGGCCCGCCGTCACACTACCGCCTGGACTGTTGATGTACAGATTGATTGGTTTCGACGGGTCTTCGGCCTCCAGAAAGAGTAGCTGTGCCACGATCGATGCCGACGAAGTCTCTTCGACTTCGCCATTGAGGCAAATGATGCGCTCCTTCAGCAGCCGTGAGAAGATGTCGTATGTGTGCCAGCCGCCTCCCTAGTCGGTCAGTACCGTGACACGACAAGGAGGTGGCAGCACATACAACAGTCTCTGTTACGAAGGGCAAGGGTAGCGCTGAGCTAGGCGGTCTTCGCTCTGAACTTCGATGCCCATACAGATCGGAAGATATGGAATTTGACAGAGCTCTGATATGCGTTCTGGAACCATGCTGGACCGGTGTCAAGCGAATTGCACGCTGTGCTGCTCTTGTGAGAACCTTCATCATTGAAACCGCAACGAAAGATGCGCGCCGAGTAATGGGAGTCTGTTGCGGCTGCGCCTTCCTAATGGGGATGCTTGGAGCAGTTAACATGAGGGTTAGTGTTTGGGTGACTGACCATTGGTGCAGAAGTACATGGCATACTCCTCCCTCGAACGCCTACCCTTGAAGATTCCTCGGAGTATGATCTTCCACGACGTGATCGCTTCGTCGATGTTGTGGCCACACTCGATGTTTGACGGGTTACGGGCGATGCATGTGTGCTCATGACCGCACAGTCTGATCCAAGCTAATGTGGATGATGGTGACCTTTGCAGATGACGCTACTGCAATGGTATGCCGTTGCACATGAAAGGGTCAGGAACCAGAATTACTTTTGCAATGCTACCCGGCCGCTCGGAGGCCCATCCAGCTCTTGGGTAGGATTTCCCATACAGTCCCAGCAACGGCAAGAATCGTACAAACCACGATCACCGTCCAATCAAAGATCAACTGACTCCGAGGTATCTGACCTCGAAACATCTTCAAATGAAACAAGACAGGCAAGATCACACATATCAAGAAACAGAACGTCGCGCCCATGATCGCAGAGATCACCTCGAACGAAGGTACAACAAGCGCCAGCACAACGATGATCACATTCACTCCGATGCGGAAAACTGCCTCCAGCAACCTAGACAGCACAGCGGACTGATTGAGCTTGTTGGGCTTAACGGTCGCGGCTCGTGGCTCAACGCGGAAGTGAACTTCCAATGTTGATATGATCGGCGAGCAACCGTCGTCCTGTCAGCACTACCTGGCAATGTCATCACCGTTGGGTTTCACACACTTGAGCGGGAACTTCGTCAGCGGCACGATGGCCACAAGGACGAGCAGCAATACGCTGAGAGCTTGAGGATAGCCGTCGGTGGTAAGGATGTTGGTTGTGATCTCGTCTTTGGTCAGGTTGCCGTACAAGAGGTATCCGATAACGGCCATCGTGACGTCGACTAAGGCCACGAAGCTGAAAATCAGCCTGAGCCCGCTTTCGTATTTGTGCGGATGTCGCATGCTTAAACCTATTAGCGCCTCACAGACAGTGATACGACTCAAGGACGCATACTCTCGGTAGATGTTTGGAAACACGCCATGACCGCCCCAGACCGCCATGATCAGACCGAAGCTCAATGGCAGTGCCTTCCAGCTTTCAGGGAACGCGTACGTCGTGGCGACCTCCAGCAACGAGCCAGGACTTGAGCTCTTCAGAAAGCCTGCCACAAACACGCAAACCACCAAAGCGAACCCGCAGAAGATGCCTAGGAAGCTTGTGAAACTCAGGAGTCGCATTGGCACGAAGTTGAGCGGTAGTAAGATGCATCCGCAGAGAATCTTCCAGTGCGCGTCACTCGGTCCTTCCATCAAACTCTTCAAGCTGTCAGCAAAGAGGACGACAAGACCCACGCAAGCAGCCGTCAGCTCAAGAGTGAAGAGTATGCTCGTTGCCAACCGGCCTTTCTCGCCAAACGCAATGTAAGCAATGTCCGCAAAGTTTGCCAGCGAGCTGTCAGCGTCGAGAAACTTCGCTAGAAGACTGGCGGTATATTTCGTCACCAGAGCCGAAGCAATAAGCGATCCGAGACCGATGATCCACCCGGCGCAGCGAATACCCAAGGGCAAGCTGAGCATGCCAACCCCGATAAGCACGTTTGAGCTGTTGAAGATCGTCTGCGGGAGCGTTGATTGTCCGACAATGACCTCGCCCTCCGTGCCATCTTCACGCCGGATCTGCTTTGTTAGAAGAGGCTCCCGTTCTTCGTCCTTTTGCTGGGCTCGTGACTCCTTCCGCCGCTGGCTAAGCTGCATGACACGATTTCTGGACACCTCATGCAGCTTAGTGTGCAGAGGTTCGAACCCACCGTGTTGATGGCCTGGTTGATCTTGCTGGACAAGTGGCGAAACATCATCCGGTGGCGGTTCGCTGTGGTGAAGCTTGCGTGGTTGGCTAGATAATTGTGTATTGTCGCGCTCTTCTTCGACGCCTCCATCCGTCGGTGGCCGATCTTCATGCTCACGGTGTCTATGCTCCTCAGTCACATGCTCTCCATCCCTGAGCACTACAGTCCTCAGCGCTGGCTGTAGCCCGGCACTGTTAGCAGCACGCCGTATGGATCGCAAGAAACCTTCCAGGCTGTTGAGATTTGCCATATAGACATAGAACAGGACAGGACAAAGAAGAGTAAGGAAAAGTTGTTACCGCGACGCACTACAAAGGGTGTTCTTTACCTGCACAAGCCTACCACGACATCATACAGTATTTGGCGGGGCTTGCAGGACGTGCCTGGTCTGGCAGATGCACACCTCTGAAAGATCTCGCTCTCGTGGTTGATATCAGATTCTGGCAATATGAACCTCGCATATGTGCCGCTGCAAGATACCACAGCTGTTCGCTTCGATTGGTTGCTGGGCCCACCTCTTATCAGCCACTTAAGACTTCCTGTGCGACCGGTGAGGCTATCCCAGAGTTCGAGCCGTCCGCTGCGCATACAAGTGTTTCGCGTGTAATTCCATATTTGTTCATAACGAGATCAGAAGCACGCATGTATTCGCTAAATTTCATGCCAAGAGCAGTGATCTGTTCGGGCGTTGCCGGCTTAGTCAGCATTCCATTTAGTTCACATCAGGACTTGGCGATGTTGAGGAGAGCAACACCAGCTGGCGGCAGCTCTGATCTTTCCTTTGGCTAGATACCTTCAGCAGGTTGGTGAACTCCCATGTCAGTGCGATCAAAGGCGAGGAGTGAAATCGAGAGAGTAAAAATCCCTAGCGGAAGCGAACAAAATTCACTATTCCGCTCGGACAATAAGCTCACAGCTTACCGGCCAATGGCCTGCAAACAAGATGGCTCGACCATAGCAGACTTTGGTGGCTCATTACTGTAGGATAACGGCCAGTCACTTCAAGGGCGATAATATCAGGTTCCGTTTCGCGAAGCCGTCGCGCCACGCAGTCGCGGATAGATTCGACTTCGCGACAGCAAAATGAGCTTCGTTCAGCTCTAGAGATCCGCGAGTGTCACAATTACGGATGCGACCAGCCTCGGGTACTCTTCTACGGGCACGCTGTAGTCTGTTGTTCCGGCGTCCATTGGCATCGACTCGGTGATTGCGTTTCTGTTCCGCAGACCTCGCAATCAATGTGAGTGAAGCGAAACTACAGACCTGGCCTTGACCATCAAGATAAGGTAAATCTGGCTGGACCTTTCTTCCAGATGGACTGTTCGAATAGCACAGACTGATGAAGCGGTGAGATAACCCTTCGATAGGTTGGCGCACTACGACGGACACATCGACAGCTGTTGTGCATATTAAGCCTGTCATGCCTGGCATCTCCTAGAGAATTGTACGCAAGCGATGGACGAAGAGTCTGCCGCCGTCCGCGCGATGTGTGGAAGGCTTGCGCGCCAAGTCCGAAGATTAGGGGCCCGGCGTACAGTGCAAAATCTCGGCACACGAAGAGTAGCTTGATGTCGCGAATGTCGGTAACGCCTGCACGGCATCATGTGGCACTCGTGAGGGTCATCTGACCCCGAGTGAGCGTGCGGTATGCGCTGGTTTCTGTGTTGACCCAGCGTATGGAGTAGGGATAATAGCATCCATGGCGGCGATCATTGCATGCGGCTTGCAAAGACTACAGACACGAACACGGCGAAAGGGGGACGAAGAACAGACTGATTGTTTTGATACTCAAAGGTGGTCCCAGCGCCCGCCTGTTGTGATAAGGCAGCAGGTGGGGACTATAAGAACGTCGCTTCCCCGCGCGCGCGCCGCTTGACTGCTACTTCGTCGCAAACCATAAGCTCTTCCAACGACAAATTAGCTGCCATCGATACGACCCACACATCATCGTGATCTCCGTTGTCTAATCCATCAAGTTATCTACTCAGCGATTCAAGATGGCGCCAAAGAAAGCAAGCACCAGCACGAAGAAGGCAGCGGCTGCGCCTCAGCATGCCTCGTACCAAGGTGAGCACAGCGAGCGGTCGCCACGAGCGCATTTTTGCGTTTCGTGGAGATGCAACAGTATCTAGCTGTAGAGCAGATGCTAATCCTCGTTGTGACTAGATATGATCAAGGAGGCTATCATCAATGTAAGTTCCTTCTCTCCGGCGCAAAACATTCGGTCGCGATCCGGTTTGCGACAACAACGCGTCCTTCAGCCTACACGTTCATACAACCGGCTCTCGATTTTGAAACTCTTTCTGACATGCTTTGTTGCCATCAGCTCAAGGATCGATCAGGTTCTAGGTATGTGTCATCACCATGTCGTCGCCGTCATCGCCGCCGAGTCGAGCGGTGTGCGGCTCGGCTTCCGTCGAGCTTCCGCTGATCAATGCACCCTCAACTCTAGCCGGCAAGCCATCAAGAAGTACGTGCAGGCCAACAACAACCTGAGCGGCGTCACCGATGCTCAGTTCACCGCGCAATTCAACCGCGCTCTTGCCAAGGGCTCTGAGGCCGGAGTGTTTGCCCGCCCGAAAGGTATGCTCTTCCTATCGCTCGATCCTTTACAGTTAAACCTCTACCCAGACCGCGCTCCGCTCGAAGGCGCTTTCCTTATCATCGCCGTCGCTGCCACTGTTCTGTTTCTGTAACAGCAAGTCATCTTCGCACCCATCAAGCTGACCTTGCTGCCGCCAACAGGGGCTCCCGGACCCGTGAAGCTCGCAGGCCCGAACGACAAGAAAGCAGACGCGCCTGCCGTCACCAAAGCTGCCCCAGCGACTAAGGCACCTGCCAAGGCTAAAGTGACTAAGCCCGCCGCCGCGAAGAAGGCACCGACCAAGGCTGCTGCTAAGAAGCCCACGACCGCGAAGAAGGCTGCACCAGCTAAGAAGACCGCAACCAAGAGCAAGGCGAACACGAGCAAGGTCCGCAAGACATCCGCCGCTGTAAGTACTTCTGGAATCGAAGCCGTCTCGTCCTACGCTCACGTCGTTGCAGGCACCCGCGGTTGAGGCACCCAAGGCCGTTGTCCTCGGCAAGACCAAGTCTGGCCGCGTGACGAAGTCCACTCAAGCCCAACCCCAAAAGAAGACTGCTGCCAAGCGGAAGGCTCCGGCGAAGAAAGCAACGCCGAAAAAGACCGCCACGCCAAAGGCGAAGGCTTGAACGCCTTACATGATCTTCTTTCCGTCATAATTTTCGCTGCATGCCGTGACGGCCTAGCGTTGCCGAAGCAGCGGCGAACGGCGTTGGTGAAACGAGGAACGCTACGAGTGTGATACCACTGAGTTTATGGCTACATTATTTGGGATCGCGTGTTAATGTTGCTGGGTCTGGTACGGCGCGTTTTCTGCTGTAAGGCCCGTTCGTTCCGCGAGATGGCGTTCTGGCGACCATGGACATGATGCAGATGTGCTGTGAGGTACATAGCTTGACACGATGTGTATTTCAATATCTTTACGATGCCGAAGTCTCACTGCAGACTCATGGTCACACAAGTTGCACCTTTGTTTACCTTACTCAGGCTGCTGCCCATAACCTTGGCACAAGCCACATCTGCCAATCTTGACTGTGCTCAGCCAACTTGTCTGTCTTGAGTTACAACTCTCGTATGGACAACTCACACATCTTACGATCATCACCATTATAACGACGACAGTTCTGAGCTCGCAACGCGTTGTTGTTCTTGTTTACCGTGACGTAGGGCCCAAGAGACGGCAGCGGCCCGACAATTCAGCGTTAGCGCAGGATAACGTCCGAACTCCCGGATCGACAGTGAACACTTCCAAGCTCACAACGGCAGGATTACCTCTAGAAGTACAGTTGGTGAGCCTCGATCATATCGATCAGGGACGACCCCACGGCTGCGTATCATCTCATCTTCGGCCCCAACAACGAGCGAACGGCAAGTCTGAGGAGGTCGAAAGGCTGGCGACCACGGCTGCCGCCAGGCCCCTCGAAGGGGGAGACCATGACCAGCAACAGCAGCAGCAGCAGTTGTTGAGGAAGTCGCTGGAGCTCAATGCCGCCACACGTGGAAGCTTCTACATGGTTAAGACCATAGACATGCCAGGTGTGCTTCACAGCGATGGAGGCTCAAACACTGATATTACCAACCTTGCCAAGCCAGCCGCGTACGCCAATCGACCTTCGACTGAGGTGCAGCGAAAAGAGTCCTATGATCGACCAACGCCAGCGGTAGATGCTCTACCTGGAGGATGGCCGCAAACGCCGATGGGGACGCTGAACGGTGCTGGTGTCAGTCCGACTGGCAGTGGAATCCTGGGCGTACCTAATGGGTCTGTGGAGAAGGCTCCAAGTGCCAAAAGTGTGGCTCTTAGTACGCGGACAAGAAGGGGTAGCGGTGTGGATAGCGGCGAGAAGAAGTCGGGCGAGGTTGTGAAGGACCCTATTCCGAGGCCAGGAGCTGCGGAGGAAGGGTATTTCACCACCGTACCGACGGGAAAGCATGCCGCAGCGCCGGTGAAGCCGACACTACCAAAGGCACCTACCGCCCTAGCCAGCGGCAGTTCTGCTCTGCAGCAAACTGGCCGTTCGGTGAGCGGACCGATAGCCATACCATCAACGCCAGTGTCTTCGACTTTGCCGCCAGTCACAGAGAGCTCACCCACGCAGCCTTCTACTTCCACGGCGCTAGATGGTATGCTCAAGCCACCTGCTTCACATCGGCACCGAGCTTCGTCACCGCCCGCATTCACGCATACCCCAGCCTCACCTCCTGCGACAAGTGAAAAGTCTCCAGGTCCTCCTCCTGTCCGTCCGGACCGTCTTCAGCAGCGGCATACGCTCGAGGTACCTAAGTTACATCCCGTGCGGACTTCTGTAGATGGTCGAGACTCAACAGATACCGCTGTCACCACCGGACGCTTCTCACCAACTACTCCCAGCCGGAGGCGTGGTTCTCTGCAGCTTGCCAGAAGAGTGACTCGGTCGCTGCACTCGCATTCGGACATGCAGCTTGATCAGGTGCCACAGGACGAAGACGCCGAGCGATGGGCTGAAGCCATTAAAGCAAAGCGTGCGATTCGGAAGAACCGTGTCGACACTGACGACGATAGAGTCGTAGTCGGTACGAAGGTCGACGAGCACCACCAGAACTACGTTCGCGCGTATAACATGCTTACCGGGATCCGCTTTTGTGTTAGTCGCATACACGCCAAATCTGATCGCGAGTTGTCCGACGCCGACTTCCTGGCCGCACAGAAGTACAGCTTCGACATAACAGGTAACGAGCTGACACCGAGTACAAAGTACGACTTCAAGTTCAAGGACTACGCGCCATGGGTATTTCGGCATATACGAACCATCTTCGGTATTGACCCTGCCGAATACCTGGTGTCGCTGACTGCTAAGTACATCCTGTCCGAACTTGGATCGCCCGGCAAATCAGGCTCATTCTTCTACTTCTCGCGAGACTACAAGTACATCATCAAGACGATACATCGTGGTGAACAGAAATTTCTGCGAAAGATTCTCAAAGAGTACTACAACCATGTCCGCTTAAATCCAAACACGCTGCTTTCACAGTTCTACGGCCTTCATCGCGTCAAGCTGCCATATGGCAAGAAGGTACATTTCGTCATCATGAACAACCTCTTTCCGCCGCACCGCGACATCCACCGGACCTTCGATCTCAAGGGTAGCACCATCGGGCGAGACTTTCGGGAAGAGGACCTGGAGAATAACCCGCGTGCGACACTCAAGGACTTGAACTGGCTCCGACGAAACCTGCACCTTGAGTTTGGCCCTCATAAAAAGGAGATTTTTGTGACGCAAATGCAACGGGATGTGGCGATGTTGCAGCGGTTGCGAATTATGGACTACAGTCTGCTGGTCGGCATCCATGATCTCGAGCGAGGTAACGAGGACAACCTGCGAGACAAGACGCTGCAGGTTTTCCAGCCGGGTGGTGACAAGCTCCCAGACCCAGCAAACTGCCCGCCTGGTGTCAACCCTGGACTGGCGAGGACACCAAGTAAGCTGGAAACCGCTCAGCGCGCTAGAGAACTCAGGCAGACGGTGAAGAGTCAGCGGCCGATCCCAATGGCGCAGACTATGGACAAGATGCCGGACGAGAGCAGCTTAGTTCGAAAAGGATTCTACTTCTACGCGGATGATGGTGGGTTTCGTGCGACGCACGAGGATAACAGCCCTGGAGATGAAATCTACTATCTCGGTATCATTGATTGCTTGACAAGGGTAGGTTGTCCACGGGCTTGGAGTTAGTGAGCGTTGCTAATGTGTCTGACAGTACAACTACGTCAAGCGAGCCGAGCACTTCTGGAAGGGCATGGGCGGTCACGAGTCACAGATCAGTCCCATACCGCCTGACCGCTACGGTGATCGGTTCATAAAGTTCATCTCCGGAATCACGATGTCACGTGAACGCGCAGAGAAGGAAGTTCTGACCTCGACACTGGAGAGTGCCGGAGTCAAGCTCCAGTCAGGCGTGAAGCCACCGCTCGAACCGCCCATCAACGATCCTCGATTAGGCGGTGTGAACATGCACCAGCTGCCGCAAGGAGACATTTCGGGAAGCACTGGTCCACGAGACCTTGACCGAGACCCCTACAATCCACCCGGTACGGAGAAAGTGATTGAGGCGGCTGAGCATCAAGCGCTGAAGACAGTACGCAAGGGCGCGGACGAAAGTAAGGTTCCGGAGCGGACTCTGACCGCTACCAAGGGTGCCGGGACTGAAGCGGAGGCGACATCGTTACCCGTGATTGGGGAGGCACCAGAGACTGCGAGCAATGCGTCTCAGCGTGCCACACCTGAGCCAAGTCGGGAAGAATTGAAGCCTGTTCTTGGCAACGCGAATATGGAATCCCAGCATGTTGGGAATGTATCGCCACCTACGCCGCCGAAGGAAGATGGTAGTTTCGAGCACTCCCGACGAATGCAGCCCGCCCCTCCGACACCGCCGAAGGATGATAACCTGAGGGGCAGAGGGCTTGATAAGGACTTGCCTCTACCGCCTATTGCAACGAAGGTCTTCTCAGCCAGTCCGAGTCGATTGGTTGATGGGAGTATCGATGGCGCCTCATGATGCGCATTGCTTCGTTTGTTTATTAATCTGTTAGCTGGTTTAGCGATGCGGCGCTGGGTGGTGTTGGCATCGATGTGTCGTTCCACTGTTACGATAATTGTTCAGCGGGCAGCAAGATACCATTGACGGCTCGACTTCGTCCTGTAGATGGGCTGGGAAGTTACTATGTGTACATCATAGACATGGCTAGGGCCAACAGCCTAACCGTATGTGGTCGCAACCTCAGCTTCAACCTTGCATACTCTGTAATAAGATTCTGTGATGTGCCGACTTGCGTGGCTTTTATCATAGGAACCGATGTGTTTCACAATCCTTGGGTCGACTGTATCGCGCATGACGTCTGCACCTAGCAAATCGTATCCCATTCTCCGAGCCTTTGCTGATCCCCGACCGGTAAGCTCGTGCGCTGCGTAAGCTCCTACAGATCCTCTGCCTCCACATGGGGCCGACGCTCTGACTGCAGCTGAGCACCTGCAGTCACGAAACAAGCAGGATGGTGAAAGGGTACAGGTACGCTTGCTCGGACTTCTTGTCACGTCTTGTTTCATCCAAGCATCGCCACTTTCACCTCAACTAGCCTCTATACAACCACGCCAAGCTTAGGCACCCATATCAAGCATCCTCCAATTCTTTCGGAACAACAAGCGCATACCGGCGGACTCAAGCCTCCCAATAACACAGCTTGAAAGCCGACAGTGAAGCAGAGATGGCAGCCTCAACAGACCTAGCCTCCGCCATCTCCGCCTCCTCAACCTCTTCCGCCTCCGGCGCCGTCATCGCCGTCCTTCCCCTGAGCGGAACAACCTTAACCGCCACCGAAGTCCCCAGCACCACCGGCCTCGCAGTCCTGGACGGCACAACCCTCACCTGGCACGCCCCTGGCATCACGCTCGCCAACGGCGCCGTGGTAAGTCTAGGCCTCAACGGACTGGTGCAGAGTAGCACTACAGCCTTCTACGAGACTGTCACGCCGGCTGCGGGTGGAGGTGGAGGGGTTGTGACGCTCTCGAGCACCACGAATGGCATCGTTACACTAACTCCGTCGAATTCCGCAGCATCTGCGGCGCAAGCGTCGAGTTCGCGGGCGGCTGCGTCGAGTTCGTTGTTGGCTGGCGTTTCCATGCCTGGTGGAACGGCTCAGAATGCTACATCTGTCAGTGGCAATGCGAGCAGGGTTACGCCGGTGCCGCAGCTTTCGAGTACAACAATTGTTAGTGGGACGCAATCGCTCACGTCTGTGGTAGCTATAAGCTCGTCGGCTAGCCGGGCTTCTTCGGGTTCAGCAGTCGGTGTGGCGGCATCGAGTAGTGGCGCGGCTGCGAGTGCGGGTGCGAGTGCGGCGGCGTCATCATCTCGCGCTTCTTCTGCTACTGCCGCTGCCTCGAGTACCTCTTCTGCGGCGGGTCCGACGATGAGTGCTGGCAAGGCGGCGATGCTGCTAGGTGCTGCCGGTATGGCTGTTGCGGCGTACGCACTGTAATGATAGCAGCTAAGCAGCTGATCATGCGAGTCTGAACGAGATCAATGTCGGATCGTGCACCTTGCTTGTATGGATATGGTTGGGAGTAGCGGTAGACTGGCGTTACATGCGCAGACAAACCGTTGATGGTATATACATTGATTCGGCAAATTGTAACAATTCCCAACCCTTCAATCCGATCCGATCCGTGGTATCATAAGCATCATCACCGCAATGCAAGCAAACAACCATCACCATCGCCATCGCCACGCGCGAATGCACCGCTATAATACTACCACCCACCGCAACGCAACCATGCGACGCCACGCTAAAGCCGCCCATGCCTTGCCTTGAACACCGCAACCTTATCATCATAGAACAAAATCTCCCTTAACCGTAGCCGAGCAGCTGCATGACCGCCGAACGGCTCACTCCCGCTCTCGCTGCCAGAATCCACATCCTCCTCGCTTTCCTCTTCACTTTCAGGCTCCACCTCCACACCGTCTTCATCGCCATCCCCTTCATCCGCACCCTCCTCATCGTCATCACCGTCACCGTCATCATCGCCATCGCCATCGTCATCCTCCTCCCCATCACTCCCGGCTTCCATCCCCGACCCCTCACCCCCTGCGGCGAACAAATGCCCGTCCCCTCCATTCGCCAGGTCGGCGGGGTGGGTAGGATTCCGATTCTCCAGAATCTCAAAACACTTGGCTCCAATGCCCATATAACACAACTCCACTTCCGGCCTTAACGCAACGATATCGAGTAGACTCAAGGCCAACTCACGTGGATCCAGACCCGGCGCAACGCCCCCACCACCGCCGGCCGCGGCCTGACCGGCGTCCGGGTGGAAGAGGAAGGGGATATACAGCGACCGGAGATGGGGGATGGAGGGGAGGTGTTGGAGGAAGAAGTGCTATTCATCACGCCAAGTCAGCAAGCACACCACATAGGGTGGGGAAGGGGAAAAGGATGGGGTTGTATGTGCTTACCCAATCCCGCCACTCAATACAAACCCCCAACTCCCTCAACCCCGCCATCTTGCCACCAAACACATACCCCGCCAGCAACTCACGGGTCAGCATCCAGCGTCGCCACCTCCCACTTCCTCCTCCTCCATTCCCACCTCCTGCTCCCCCCGCAACCCCGGCATGACCACCTCCACCCGCGCCACCATTACTACTCCCAAACGACTTATCCCCCGAACTATCAACCATCAACCTCCTCAACCCACCCCGATGCCTCCTCACCGCGCCCCTGAAAATGGCCTCCACGCTCACACTGGAAATATACCCTCTGGTCTCCTGCAAGAAAAGCGTCTCGAGACTATCCGGCGCCAGCGTCTCCCTCAGGAAAGATATCAAGGTTGGGGAGACAGTGTTGGTATGTATCTTCTTCAATCGAAGAGGATACACCCACTCCACGACTCCCGCATCGGCATGTTGGGCAGAGCCGGGGGTGGAGTGGCTTTTGCTTGACTTGCGGGGAGAGGGAACGACGGATGTAGACGTCCTGCGCGGGACGGGGTAGGTGGGTGACTTGGGTGTGGGTGCGAATTGGCGCCGGAGGGTTTTGAAGAGTTGTTCGTGGTTATGGCAGTGGAGGAGGGTGAGGGAGGTCAACTTGGTCATGTCGATCGCGCGTTGCAGGACCGGTATCGACAATGGTACCCGCTCCAGCTCCAGCATCTCGAGGTGAAGTGTGTGATCAAGCACCGGTCGGCTCGTCGGTGCGATGACGGAGGGGTTCGAGGTGGAGTCGAGATGGTGAGCCTGCGCTTGTTGTCCTTCTGCTTCTGCTGGGTTTGCGGGTGGGGTATTTTGGTGTAGAGGCGGGAAGTAAGCGCTCACCTGCTGGTTCGTAGTTTCCGGTTCCGGAGTGGCCTGTCGACTCGTCGCTATCAGTGGGTCGTCATCTCCGTATGCGGCTTCTGGGCTTAAGGAGTCGTTTGACGACGACCGTGGCGGCTCCGGTATCTGCGAAGGTGGAAGAGCGTCGGAGCCAGCGGTTACAACGTCAAGCACGTCGGTGATGGCGTTGTCCGTCTCTGCTTCTCCCTCTCCTTCCTCCACCAGAGCGTCCGAAAGCAGCGCAGGCGCAGGCGCAGGCGTAACGTTAGTCGCCGCCACCACCACCTTCCCCGCCGCCGTACCCGACTTGCGCCTCGTCCGCTCCGCCAATTCCACCTTCGGCTTCCTCATGTCGTGCACAAACCCCGTCAACACGCCCAACACACCCCCCGACCTCTTCTCGCCCACCGTCACGACCCCCATCGTCGGGACCTCATAATCCACCTGCACCAACCCCTCCCCCTCCCATACCTTCACCCACTCCCTCGCCACTGCATGTCTCGCGATGCCCACGCGTAACTCGCGGAGTTTGTCGAGGGAGCGGCCGATGAGGACGGCCATTTCGTCGAGGTAGGCGAGTTCGTCGATATCCAGGACGGAGAGGGATTTCAGGGGTGGAAGGGTGGAGAAGGAGGGGTGTTCGACTCTGTCCAGCGCTGCTGAATTAAGGGGGAGCGGTGGGGTGGTTGTAATTGTTGGCGCTGTGCTCCCGCTGTGGAATTGCGGAGGCAGATTGGGAACCGCATTGTGGAATTGCATCGGCGGCGGAGGAGGAGGAGGGATGGTAGGCGGAAGAGGAGGCGGCGGAAGCATCACCGCCTCCGGAGACGAATTATCATGCCACCTCACCCACACCTTCTCCAACCGACACGGCCACCCATCATCCCTCTCACCCAGGTACGCCAACGCGCTCCACACATCGCGTAGAATACCAGTCGGCATATCCCACACAAACGTCTCGAGCGAGCGCATCCGCGCCACAGCAAGCGCAACCAGCGTTCCCAACATCTTGCCGCCTTCTTTAGTGATGAGGTACTCCTGCACCCAATCCACGGGTCCATTCCCCAACGAGAACTTGCGCGTGTATTGAGCGTAGTGATTGCCCCTTCGTCGCCTAACGGCCATGTCACTAGCCCTGCCATATCCACTACGCAGAAAGCGATTATTGCCCTGCCGCTGCGAAGGCGCCTCCCCAAAGACCTCCTCCGCCATAACCAACGTCGCGAGTCCATACGTCAGCGCATCGACTCCCGAACGCGGTTCAGAGTGCACGCTAGCGTCGGGCCAGACAATGTCGAAGCGGGAGTAGATATGGGGGATGGTGAGTTGGTGGAGGGCGGAGTGGCAGAGGGCGAGGGAGGTGAGGTCGTTGGTGTGGGTTACTTGGCTTATGATATCGCTGAGGATATCTACGGGAAGGTCCAGGAGACGGAGGGGTTTCTTGAGTTCGGGCGCTGGCAAGGCGGAGCGGAGTCTGCTTCTGTGGTGGTGGCGGGTGGAGCGGAGGCGCGGGCTGGGGAAGGCATCGGCGTCGTGGTGTTCGTCCGGAAACCTCGTCGTCCCACCGGTCTTGCCTTCCTTGCACGATCCCGTTCCCGCTCCTCCCTCTGATGTCGGACCGAAGGTTAGAGCCGGCGGAATTGCAACGGTCACGGGAACATGCAGATGACTGGTGGTAGCAGCATAGCTCCTGCCGTCCTCCTCCAACGAACCCGGAGTAGTGACTTCCGTCGATGAGGCAGCCAGAAGACTAGAGCCTGCCGTCGCCATCGCCGTCTCCATCGCTCCTTCTCTGCTCGTCCTTATTTCCTGGTTGCACTCCGGTAACGTCCTCTCACTCTCCGTCTCCGTCTCCGTCACCGTCACCGTCACCGCCGGCTTGACGGGAGATGTTATTGCATTCGAGAGTACCTGTTTATTGTTTCCGGTTGGAGAAGAGGATGAGTGGCAGATTCGATAGAACAGCTAGAGGGAGGGCGGAGATATGGCCTCGGTAGGTTGTTGCGCTCTTCGAACAGTAGGTGTGAGGTAACGCAATGGTGAACGTGGATGTGGATGGGGATGTGAGCTGCGTACGCAACAGTCGCATAACAGCTCCGACCGACCAATCGGAGCTCGGCAGCTCGCTGCACTGGTAACGGTCGCCAAGGTCTGACGCTGAAACGGAGCTAAACCCGTTACACTGAAACATGATATTCACTTACTGATATTCACTGAAACATGATATTCACTTGGCAAACATGATATTCACTTGGCCTTGTGCCAAGATGACGACAACGTGAATCTGTAAGCAGAACGAGCAACAGCAAAAGAGAAGAGAGAAGTACCTCGATATCGAAATAGTACCGCGAGGTCTCTTTGTACAATAGCGCATAACGCCATCAACACTTCATCTCAACCCCCCTCCTCCTCTCCCCCTCCCTCCACTCAAACATCACCTGCACCCCCACAAACAACGTCGCGCACGCCGCCACAAAGAACACCCTCCCGCCCAAATTCCCTACGATCCCCTCCACCAACCCTTTTAACCCATCCAACCCTACAGCAAACCCCACCAAATTCGCAGCCATAAGCATGAGAATATTCCCCACCGCGCCCACGCCCGCAAGCCAACGGTAAGCGTTCGGTCGGGTTTTGAATTTGCTAGCGGGGAAAGCCAATCGTGCAAGAGTTTCCGGCAAGACAAAAACGACGACCAACCAGCCCCAGATAAGCAGGCGCAGGTTGATATCATGCCATAACGCCACAAACGTAAAGACGGCTGCGTAGTTGAGCGCCGCTCGCCACCCACTGCCCTTCCCACTCTTCTGACTCCCACCAAGCGGAATGAAGATGTATCGCACAATCCACCGATTGAAACTGCGATGCCACCCCCTCCAGAACGCGAGCACGGAGTAATTGTCCGACATACACCGCACCATATTCTCCGGCGGGTCGATGCCGTCGAGTAAACTCCAGAGACGGAAGAAGCGCCAGGGGATTAGTAATTTGAGCCAGATGATGTGGAGGTTGAAGTAACCTAGCATGCTTAGTTGGAAGGGGGTGTAGGTACTCCAGTCCGGGTGGGATTTGGAGATGGCAACGGCGTAGAGGTGGTGCAGGACGAATTCCATGGTTAGGAGGCAGAGGGCGAAGCGGAGGGCGTAGGGAGCTATGGTTTTGTAGCCCACTATACGGGTCCTGCCTGGGTCGGAGGGGGAGGGGTGTGAATGGACGGTGCTGGGGAGCGGGTACCGGGATTGAGCGATGTAGTCGTTGAAGTTGATGATGGGCCCCGTGAGGTAAAGGGGCGAGTAGAGGACGTAGGCGAGGTAATTGAGGAAAGTGAAGTCGCTGGATGAGGCGCCGACGGCGACGCGATCGCGTTCGGAGAGGTGGGCGGGATCGAGGTTCTTCTTCTGGAACGCATTAGTCACTTCATACATACATGCGCAATGCATGAAGTGTAGGGACATTCTTACCTCCAATGGGTCACCTGCGCGGCGGTCCATGCTCCAGAGGTAGTCGAGGTTGAACGCGATCAAACGTAGGACGGTGATGTTGAAGAGGATTTCCCAGCGCGGGATGAGGCCTCCGTACCCATCCAGCCATGCTCCCCAGCCCGCTTCCGCCTGCTCACCTGCCAAAGTCGTTTGAGGCGGTAGCACGAAAGCGGCAATCTCCGCAAACCGGTAGCCATGGCAGAGCTCGTTGGCAAACAGGATGGTGATGTTGAAAGTCCAGGTGGCGACAGCTACGTACTGCTTGGGCAATTTCGTGGGGATTTGGAAGTTCAGCCAGAGTATTAAGAGGACCTTCGCTGCCGACAAGCCATGGAATACCATTAGAAGGGCGGCAGCGAAGACTACATCGAAAGTCGCACGCCGTTGAAGGCGGGTGTTGGGGTTCACTGAAGCAACGGACTTGGCTTGGTCGTCAGTCAGCTCCTCCATTCCTACAAAACTCCAATGCTCAACATACCTTGACACCGCCAGAATCTTTGCCGAGAGCATTGATGACATACTCAACGCCCCTCCTCAACAGTGGATGAAGGATAGCCACAAGGAGCAAATACGGCACATTCGCCCGAAAACCACGATACTGCGCATCACTATTGTCGACTTTGCGGCCAAAGATCCACCCGTCTTCGAGTAGACCTTCGTACTTCGCGAAGCCTGGGTGACTAGGTTGGGAGACATCGTGGACGGATTTGAACATTAGAATGGGAATGGTGAGGAAGGCGGCGTAGTAGATGTAGTATTCTGCCGTGTTCCATCTTGAAGGTCGCGCGGTGGGCAGTGGGGAGGAGTCCTTGGGTTCGAAGCGGTGGTCAAGGGTTTCGACTTTGAAAAGATCCTTTATTTTCATTGTGAGGGTGGAGGTGGCGGAGGTGGGAGTGTAATCGAGGGGAGGAAGGGGAGGTGGTGGTTAGTTTGCCTGAGGCATGATTTGACGCGGATCTTGCGCGTCTTCACTTGCGGAAAAGGCATGTCAGTTATATGATCATTGGAGACAGTGTGAGGAGGGAGCAAGTGACCGAGAGTCCGGACCGGCAGATGTGAGGATCAGGTCAATACCTTCGCCATGACATCCGTTCCGCCCCAAATTCCGCTCAAAGAAGAGTACGGCGGCGACGAGATCAACGCCCTCGTGCTCGACCCTGGCAGTCACAGCATCCGCGCCGGCTTCGCAGGCGAAGACACCCCCAAGTCTGTCGTGCCCACCCACTATGGCGTCCTCTCCTCCGGCCACCACGTCTACGGCGAGAATGCCATCCATATCCCGAACGCCGACATGGAGATCCGCAACCCATACAACACAGACGGACTGGTAGAAGACTGGGACACCGCGGCCAAGATGTGGGAGTACAGTATTACCTCACGACTCACGGGCGCGCGGCAGACACCGCCGAGTCGCAATGGGCTGAATGTGGTGAAGGATGGGGAGGGGGATGTGGAGATGGAGACGGACGAGACGAGTAAGGCCAAGGCGGAGACGGAGAAGATGGAGGAGGAGGAGAGGGATAGGGCGCTGGCGGAGTATCCACTGCTCATGACGGAGCCGGCGTGGAATCCGGTCAAGGCGAGGGAGAAGACGATGGAGGTTGCGATGGAGGAGTGGGATGTGCCTGCTTTCTTTTTGGCGAAGACGGGACAGTTGGCGGCGTAGGTGAGGTCCGTCAATCAATTTAGAAGGCGTTGGTGGAGCTGACATCTAGTATAGATACGGTAATGGCAAGGCTACTGCGTTGGTGGTCGATGTGGGACATTACAATACCTCGGTGACGGCATTGTGGGAAGGGATGGTGTTGCGGAAGAGTATGTCTCTCTTTTCTCTTTGTCTATACTCGCATTCCATGATGATTCTTAACATATCTCACGACGGTCGACATAGCCAACAGGCATTGATGAGATGGCCCTTGACCGGGCCTCAGCACTGACAACCAACTTTCTCCGTCCACTTTGCCCGAAGCCGAATCACATTCTATTGCACAGCTAACAGACTGTTATAGGCACCACCCACAGCCCCTTAGCCTCCTCCTTCCTCTCCGACCAGATCCGGCGCATGTTCACCACCACCACGCCCCCCGTCCCACTAACACCCTACTACCTCATCGCCTCCAAAATCCCCGTCGACGCCGGCCACCCCGCCTCCGCAACCTACACCAACTTCTCTTCCCCCCCGTCGCCCTCCTTCCGCCGCTTCGAAGAAGACCGCGTCCTCACCGCGTTCAAAGAAAGCGTCGTCTCCGCCTGGCCCGGCCCCGGAAGGTTGGAAGCGAATCTCGAAGCGGTCAAACTCACGCCGCCGCGCCCGTTCGAGATGCCGGATGGCTGGAATAATGTGTTTGGAGCGGAGAGGTATAAGGTTGTGGAGGGGCTATTCGACACGAAAGCCGCTTACCCTCCCCCTCCCTCCTCCACATCCTCATCCTCACCCTCACAATCACAATACACGCCCAAATCCGACGACAGCATACCATCCATGATCCACCGCTCCGTCAACGCCTGCGACGTTGATGCGCGGCCCGCACTCCTAGGCAACATCATTCTGACCGGAGCGGGGAGTTTGATTGAAAAGCTACCGGAACGACTGCAGAGTGATGTCCAAGCTATGTTTCCGAATCCGCGCGTGCGGGTTATTGCGGCGGGCGGGAGCGTGGAGAGGAAGTTTGGGGCGTGGATTGGCGGGAGTGTGTTGGCGAGTTTGGGCACGTTTCATCAGATGTGGATTTCTAGGGAGGAGTATGCGGAGTTTGGGGCGGGGTTGGTGGAGAGGAGGTGTAAGTGAGTGTTTTGTCAAGGGGTCGACGCCAGCTTATGGCAGACGGATCGGACTGTTCGTGGCTGAGTAAATCTCAACCCCCGTGCAAGATCACGATATGGTAGATGCGGCTGTACGTTTCACAGAGTGCCCGTCGTTGCGGTTGGCACTCCAACAGTCACACCGGCTGTGCCACTTCAACGCTGTTCTACATGTATCAACCGCTTTGTCAAGCTCGACGTGAATCATCCCGTGTCACAATGTCATCCAGCAGCGCGTCATGAACCTTCTCCTTCTCGCCATCATCGCTCTCGCGGCGCTATGCTCACAGACCGCTACCGCTGAGACATCTATCGACAAGGCTTCACACAAAATCCCAACTATCCTCCAAGACCTCTTACTCCATCTCGGCTGCGCCTGGAGGGACATTAGTACCTGGACCGAGCAGGCAGCGAAAGCCGTCAGACACGAGCTCGACAGAGTTAACCTAGACCCTGCTGGCAAATGGATGAACCGAGCCCGGGCAGACGCTGGACGCTGGGTCGAACAAGCTGCCAAGAATGTCAAGACTGAGACGGACAAGATCGATCTCACGTCGGTCAACGACTGGATCCGAGCAGCCGCTGCCGATGTCCAGCAGGAACTCAGTAAGCTAGATGGGCGAGTCGGTCTCCGGAGATGGCTTGGGCAAGCCAGCAAAACCGTCGGCATCGATGCCGCGCTCCGTGACCTTTGAGTAAAAAAGCTGGGATATCTGCCCACCGAAGCGTACAATTACATCCGCGACAATCCTGGGCCAACCGCCCTCTACGTCTCAAACGGCGTGGCACTCTTCGCTCCCGGTCTGATGTACGGTCCTATCCTGAGCCTTTTCGGATTTGGCGCCGGTGTGGGGCCAGGTACGGTGGGTGCCGTGTTCGGAAGGGCATATGGTGAGCCGATACCAGCCTTAGGAGGTGGGGGTTGGTACGCGATGCTGCAGAGCGCGGGGGCTGGAGGAGCGAGGGGCGTGACTCTGCTGAACGGTATGACCCGGGCGTGTGCGGCGGTGGTGGGTGTAGATGAAGATGGGTGTGGGTTTTGCCCGTAATGCCACAGAGGCCCCTGAGGTGGCGTGAGGTGGACTTGTTACATGCCGGCGTGGTCGCAAACGAGAGGCTAGATCCGAATTGGTGTGCCATGGTGTGCCACGATGTCGCCTCGAAGAGCATCGACGCTTGAGCGCAATTGGAAGGTAGCCGGAGATAGTCGTATGATGGCCCTGCCATGGCTCTCTTTTGTGTTGAGGCTGTTGTCTCCTCTCTGTATGATCTGGCTTGTATGGTACCTCGTACTCCCACATGCCTGCGTTGGCCAATGCAGAACGCAAGTGCGTACCTTCACTGTAGGCGCTTGAAGGCAATCTGGACGAAGCATATTGGCAAAGGCTTGGATATACAGCAGCGCTCGTTACTACTCCTCCCCACCCTCGTCCCTCGGCATATTGATCCCCAACGCCCTCATTATGTTCCCCGCCGGCCCCGCCAAGCCCGCCTGCCCTTTAAACGACTCCAACATATTCTTCGCCAAGCCCAAATCAATATCGTTGAACTCTTCGTCGTCCGAGCTGAGCTCTTCATCACCCGGGCCAACATCTTCGTCCTCATCAACGCCACTTTTCTTGACCAATGCATTACCATGAGCAGCCATTGCAGGCGGTCTTTCAGGTCCAAAGACCGGCTTTGGCTTCGCAGGAATATCGGACTTGTGCGTATCATGCTTTGTTCGCAACGCATCATGCCCCTTCAACTCCTGCTCCATCAACTCCATCACCTTCTTCATCTCCTCGTCTTCGTCGGGCTCGTCGCCGCTCTGCTCATCTTCAAGCGCCAGCCTTCTAGCTTCTTCAAGCAGACCGCTCTTCTCGACTTCTTCGGCAGGCATGCCCATCATCTCCTTCATTGCCCGCTCGAAATCCGCGTCATCGTAGCCGGCGTCTCTGTCCTCTCCTGAGTCTAGGTCTGAGACTTCTTCGTCAGGTTCATCGGCATCGTCATCGGAGACCTCACCATCGTCAATGCCTTCAACGCCGGCAGAGTCGTCGTTGAGGAAGTCTTCGAAGCGAGACACCATCTTACGTAGGTTGTCTTGCGCTCCTTGATCACCGAACCCGCCCTCGGCAGTCTTGTTGCCACCCTTCTTCCCAGACAATTCGTGCTCAAAATCTCGGTAGTCAATGTCAAGCCACTTCTCATCGTCCTGATCCCGTGGCCAAGAAGCAAGCTCAACATCCGACGGTAGCGGTTCTTCACCACTTTCAATATCATTCAACAACAGCTTGATTTCACGCACAACCCGCTTGTCTTGACTCTGAGGATCTGTAAGCAGCATCTCAAAGCCGCAGGCCAGCTTCATGCCAAGCTCGACCTTGGAGTCGCTTAGCCGCGGAATGATGCCCGTCCACGCAGGTGGCGTGTCGAAAAGCTGGCTTCGCAGCTGCGCATAGCCTACTTTCGTGAACTTGACACTAACCGTCACGAAGTCTTCTGGCGGGAGATGAAGTGTTGCTGTATCCTTGGTTGCAAGCGGCTTGAGGCTGATTGGGTCGCGCAAGTAGAAAGCCTCGATGGCTGGAGAAATGTACGTTGGCTTGCGGTGTAACAGGTATGCTAGAGGTCGAGGTACGGTGATGAGCGCGCGATGCATCGATGTGGCAATGGCTCCAGGATAGGTGCGGAGGCGGTAGAAAGCTTCTTCCTCGATGAACGGCGAGACGATGAGCTTGTCTGGTGATTTCCTGACGAATGTGAGAGCGTCCTGCAATGAAAGGCTCCTTGTGCGTGAGCCCTCATCGAGCGGCACGATGCGCAGATGGCCGTTGTTGATCCATACTCGACTCTCGGACACGTCTGGGCTTAGCCATTTGGGCAAGGCATTCGCGGCTTCGATCAGTAAGAACTCGCCATCCGTGTCATACACCCGGATCCAGGCGTCCGGGCACTGTTTGCTGAGCTCTAATAAGAGATACACAACAAGCCACTCGTCGGCGATAGAGTCGCCGAAGTCTGTTCGTCCTCGCAGATGGGGTGTCTGTGGCGAAGACTTTTGGCCATTGGCTGCTTCCTGGTCGGAAAGTGTGGGCCGTATCTTCAAGTCAAACTCGCCGCGCTGCCATATGTAGCCTGCTGTGTGCTTTCTGCAGATTTCGTTTGCTTTCTTAAAGATCGCGTTCAGCCTTGCGCGGGTGGCGGCAACATCTTGAAAATGCTCATTAATCACGTAGATTACGTACTCAACACAGTCTTCGGGCAGACGCTTCGGAAAGCCATCAAACCCCTCACCAAACCACTTGAGCCCCTCATCGTGAGGAGCACCTTCGTCCATGATGTAGTGTAAGAGATGAAAGGAAGTGCGCAGGTTCTGACAGGAAATTGATCCAGCCCATCAATGTTGCCACCTACCTATTGCTCCCACGGCGTAATATGCTTTGCATGATGTTATGCTTCCGATTACAAGTAAGAGTTCAAGCCGCTGAAAAACGCACACTCATACCATTATCAAGGAGAGCGAGATAGCCTGCAGTTGAGCATGCGGTCGCTGAAACCTCGAAGTAGGTCCGGCTCTTGCCGTCTAGGTATGGTCTTGGCAGACGTCGGCGGTTGCAGATGCCGACTGTTTTGATCTGACAACAAACGCGGCTTTTCGAATCAACCAGCGAACATTCTACTGGATCATCTTTCTACGCCAGGACTTGGGGAGGGTGAGAGTGAAGAGGGTACTAACTATAGCACTCGTACTCGAAAGTCATGGCGGCTCACTACATTGGCACTCCCGGCACCGAGCGCGGCGATGCCACAGCCCTGTCCCACCACCACCTGGACGAGATGTCATTTGCGCAACCCTTTGGTTCACCATCCAAGAACCCGTCCGAGAACTTGCGCAACCACATGAGAGGCATGCGCAGTATCTCGCAGCCGACCAAGACCCCTCGCGTGCGCAATGCGCTTGTTGATAGGCGGAATCCCGGCGCAATGAAGCAGCAGGAGTTCACCCCGTTACTAAAGAGCGCGGCGCGAAACCGCATGCTTCAGCAAAGCATACTCGAAGACAAGGAGAATGCCGGACATGGCGGGGTGCTGGCGACACCTGCTGGCTTCCGATCGAGCTACGCGAACCAGGACACGCAGTTACCGGTCAGCAGCTCGATGCTCGATGGCGAAGACACGGGCGGATCAGGCGACGGCAAGCGCGAAGGCACCCCCATAGTCCCCACCACGAGCTCGTCGATGCTTGACTCGACACCCATGCCACAGCTCCCGCAGCGAGGCGACGAAGGCGTGCTGAACCAAGGCAACGGTCTGACTCTTCGCGACCAAGAAGCCAAGCTCGACCAGATTCAGAAGGACAACTTCAGTCTGAAGCTCAAGATCCACTACCTCGAGGAAGCATTGCGCAAGAACGGGACATCATTCCAACAGCAAACGCTGAAGGAGAATGTGGAGCTCAAGACGGAAAAGGTAACGCTCCAGCAGGATCTGAACAAGCAGCGCAAGCGGTTACAGGACGCCGCGCATGAGCTGGAGGAGTATCGGCAAAAGTACGAAGAGTACCAGAAGTGGGTGAAGAAGCGCCATGCTCACGAACGCGAGTCGGAGGAAATTGAACGTTTGCAGAGGTTGGCTGAACAGAGTCAGAAGATGGCGGAGAAGCGGGAGTTGGAGCTGGAGGGCATGCGGCGGAAGCTTGAGGAGGCAGAGAAGCAGGCGCAGACAGATGGCGATGCGGAACAAGCGCAGCGCTTGAAGGATGATGTACAAGATCTGGAGGCTGAAGTAAGAGACCGTGACCGGCAGCTTGACGAGAAGGATGAGGAGCTCGAGAAGTTGCAGGAGGAGTTGAAGGCTGCCAAGTCAGATACAGAGCAAGCGGAGCATCTCCAGCAAGACATCGACGAGCTTGAAGCGGAGCTCAAAGAGAAGGATGAAGAGCTTGATGCTAAGACCGCGAAGATCTCCGAACTCGAGGAGCGCGTCAACTTCGCCTACGACCACGAAAAGTCAACTAAGAAGCTGCGCGGCGATGTGGCACAACTTGAAAGCCAACTACGAGAGAAGTCGCAAGCGCTCGATGAGCTTCAAGATCAAGCTCAATTGCAAGAGAAGCGTCTCCAATCCGTCGAAGCAGCCAACGCCGCTGATCTCCGTCGACGCGAGGACGAACTCCGCAACGCCCAGCGCAAGTTAGCCGACAAGGATGCCGAGATTCATGCCCTGCAAGAGCGTCTCCAAACGGCGCGCGGGAGCTGGGACGCCGAAGCCCACGAGACTGACACTCGCTTGCAGGAGAAGGACCGGGTGATCCAGGAGAAAGAGGCCCGGTTGCGCGAGAAGTCGCGCATCATTGAGGAGCGGGATGAGGAGTTGGGTGATTTGCAGAAGCGCCTGCGCGCAGCAGAGAGCAGCAAGGAGGAATCGGCAAGTAGGCAAGCTCGTGAGCAGGCTGAGCAGATCCGTGAGTTGCAGGAGAAGGTGAGAGTTGCGGCGGCGAGTTCGCAGGCGAAGCTCAACGAAAAGGATGGGTTAATTCAGGCGCGGGAGACTGAGCTGCAGACGCTGCAGAGTCGAGTCAGCGCGCTTCAAGGTAATGAGAGCGCTGATGTTAGGCTGAAGAGCGAGCGCATCCGTGAGTTGGAAGCTGCGCTGAAGCAGCAAGAGGTTCTGGTCAAGGATCAGTCGCAGCAGATCACCTCGCTCAAGGCCCGACTTGGAGCAATGGAAACGCCGTCGAAGAAGGACAGCCTCCTCAAGCAGCAAGCCGAGCAAATCCGTACCCTGCAGCAACAGTTGCAGAAGCTAGAGCAAGAAAAGGATGCTGAGCTCGATGAGCTGGAGCAGCAGTTACAGAACGTTGAAGCGGAGAACGCCAACTTGCACAAGCGCGTTGCCGACTTGAAGAAGCAGGGCGAAAGTGCTGAGCGGGAACATATTGTGTTGGGCCATAGAGAAGAGGACCTGAAACACAAGCAGATTCAGATCGAGGCCTTGGAGGAGGAAGTCGAGAAGCTCCAGGGACAGCTGCAAAAGGCTGTGGAGCAACGACACGCTGACGTCAAGGCTCTGGAGCGGGAGCTCGATCTGGCCAGGCAAAGCGGTCAAGGCGACGTTGAAGAAGTCCAGCGGCGTCTGCAAATGCTGCGAGCAGAGTTGGAGGCGGAGCATGCCGAGGCCAAGCAGGCATTGGAGGACGAGATTCTGGTTCTGGAGTCGACGTTCGATGATCTACAAGCCGAGAAAGCAGCCTTGGAGTTGACAGTTGGGGAGCTTGAGCAGGAATTGGAGACTGCTCGTAAGGCGAAGGATGACGGCACGCCTGCTCGGGAGCGGAATGATCTTCGACTCAAGCTCAAGACGGCCGACAGTGATCGCGAGGCGCTCAAGGCCATGATCAAAAGTCTCGAAGCAGAACTGGATGCCATGATGCAGTCTAAGGCCTCCGCCGCGCCGGCGCAAGAGCGCAGCGACCTGCGTCAGAAGCTCCGCGAAGCTGAAGCGCGTAGCACACGGCTGCAGGCGAAGGTCGAGTCGCTTGAGTCCGAGCTGGCGTTTGCGCAGCAAGAGAAGACGATCGCTGAGGAGCGCATGGATCTTCATGAGGCTATCAAGCAGGCTAAAATCGAAGCCGAAGAGCTGCAGCTGCAGCTTGCAGAGCGCGACCGTAAGGCCGCACTATCTGCGAAGAAGGAAGCCGATTTGCGCAACCAGTTGTCGAGCTCGAAGGCTGAAGTGGAAGACCTCAACGCTCATATCGCTGAGCTAGAGGGCAGCCTTCGCTCAGCAGTCGACAAGCAGCGTGACCTTCGCCACCAACTGCGAGATTTGAAGCACGCCAAGATCCAGCTCGAAGACCTGGAGACGCAGCTCGGTGACCGCAAAGGAAGCTCATCCGGACACGCGAGACGTGAGACCGAGCTGCGCTCGCAGCTCCGAGAAGCCAAGATCGAGCTGGAAAGCCTTCATGTCGAGACGGCGGAGAAGGAGGAACGTCTCCAGACCGTACTTCGCAAAGAGCAGGAATTGCGCGATCGCCTGAAGAAAGCACGTTCGGACGATACCATCCAGCAGGACTTCCAAGCCCAATTGGACGACGCGGATATGGAACTTCAGACCGCGCAAAAGCAGCTCCGAGAGCGCGAGAGCAAGCTTCAATCCTCTATCAAGCGCGAACAGCAACTTCGCGAGAAGCTGCAGAGCCTCCAGAGAGCGGCTGAAGGCGACCGAACGCTAGATGAGAAGCATTGGAATCACCAGCTCGTTGTCAAGGAGAAGCGACATGAGGGCGAGCTAAGGGGACTGGCGAAGCAGATCCAGTTCCTGCAGGCCAAGTGTACGCGTGAAGAAGCTTTCCGGGCGGATTTGGTATACACGAAGAAGTGGTTTTTGTTGCAGGTGAAGATGTACAGTCAATGGTATGCTTTGCGTCCCTTTCTGATCCGTGCGGTGGAGCTGTGCTAACTGACTCGCAGCAACAAAGCCGACCTGACGCTCTTGGAGGAGATGGGCATCACACCGGACATCTCTTTCCGCCAACGCAAACCCTCGGTCAAGACCGTCGGGCTGATGGTGATGGCGTGCAACCGCATGCGGAAGATGCAGCAGGCTTGGTCGGGCCAGAAGAAGCTGCAGGAGAGCCTGATGCGGAAGCTGGAGGGCTTGAGGCGGAAGCAGCAGAGCCTGAAGTGAGTGTGCTCGAAGTATTGTTACCCCCGTATGCGCTCGTTTAGCGTGCCATCCTTTCCCGAAGACATGAATTGAGAGCACCCATGGTGTGCACGCAGGAGAGAGTGTTAGGCTTCCGAATGTCCTTGGACAGGACAGGAACGAACCAAACAGTCGCTGTACATTCCTAAAGAGCGTACCCACTAGGCCCAGTAAGCGTAGTAAACGCTACCATCTTCCACTCCTCCCACTTCGACCCCTTCTCCCACTTGCAAATACTCACGCTTTCCCGCACAAACCCATCGTGACCCTCTCTCGACAAACCTTTGATCCGCGCAGTAAGGTGCACGTTAAACCTTTGATCCGCGCAGTAAGGTGCACGTTAGCCTTGCCATGCCGCTCATCAACGTCGGAGCTTATGCACCAAACTTCAATCTGACTGCCGGGATGCTGCTGTTCCTGATGCTGAAAAGCTCGGTCCCGCGTCTGAACGGCAACGTCGTCGAAGTCGTTGCGGGCGATTAGGCTGCTGGAGACGTGGTTCCGGATTGCGTGGGTGTCTAGAAGGCCGGCGTTGCGGTCTCGGACGATTTGGCGGGTTAGTTCTTCTAATATCTCTGCTGTGGAAGCGGAGGATGCTGGGTTCCGCAATCTTGATACCGGTATTTGCGGTTCACCCGGATCTTGTATGGCCATCTACGCGCGGTATCTAGTCCAGTGACACGGCGTTCACGATGGTTGTCCCATTGGTGCTTGGGGAGCAAGGGCTGTCCGCCGAAAGCAAATATAGATTACAAAGATACATCTCCTTGGCTCACAGAAGCTACACTCAGTACAGTGGCGGAGCTCATCCATACTTTAGTGTCAAAGAAGCTGAGGTCTCGCTTATGATTACATGAGTCCCGGCCACCTACTGGCGAAGCATGTAGGAGTGTTATTAAGCGGACCGCCAGCCGATCACTGGAGCCCAACCTTACCGGTAACCTTGGCGAACGGCTGCCATCACCACTGATCCGTGGATAATATGCATAGCAAGCTCTCCAAGCAGATTAGTTGTGGGAGGGGACCAAGGCGTCGTTCGTTCATGGAGCCTGCATGAAATGGGGTGCTGGTAGCCGTGTACTTCTCAATAGAGCTGAGAATAGGGCAGGAGGGTGGAGACGGTCATAGCGCGCTCCGCTTTCGTCACGTGGCCTTGGCGCAACACGCGCTTTTGGGTATGGCTAGCTGATTGTGGAGCGTCGTTTTCAATAATTCCATCAGCCCAGTATCTAGCGCGCAGCCAGGACCAATCCCAAGGCCACAAAGAGCAACTTCGACTGTCTCCTATCCTGTCTCGCGAGGCTTTAGAAGCGAAATACAACCCACACTCGTTTAGGAGACAGTTATCACCTCTCTCGCCCAAGTTCACATCACCCGCTCGAGTCCAACCAACAACAAAGCACCCCGCCTTCACGTGCCGTCAGGATCGCATACAGTAACTAGTCGCATGCGCCGCTAATCGCGAAGATTTGCGTGCATTTCAAGTAGCAGGAGTCTCCGAAGGCAGCAGGTACTGCAGGCAGTTCCGGGGTAGTCAGATTCAATTCTACCTGACGTACACATTAAAGACCAATCATGGCGAGCAACATCATAGGAGACCGCAACAGCACGCCTGCGGCCTCAAGCTCTACCCTACGACCACCCACCTCCCGCACCGGCTTTGGCTCTGGTCACCAGATCCGGGCATCAGCTGACATGGGAGCTCTTTCCAGCACGTCTCCGCTTGCCAATCGCGGCATACGTCCGGCCTCTGAGGTGTATCTCAATCAGTTTCAGCAGGGTGCGAATGTTGGCAACCCCGAAGATGCCGCGGAGAAGGCGGCGCAGCAGTGGATTGCGGATATTGACCAGTATGAGACTACGTTAGAGGAGATGGCGGCGGCGACGCTAGATCAAGATTTCAAGGATGAGCTTAGCGCTATCGAGCAGTGGTTCCGGGTGCTCAGCGAGCCGGAGAGGACCGCTGCATTGTACGCTCTTCTACAGCAGACGACGCAGGTGCAGATTCGCTTCTTCATCCAGGTGCTGCAGCAAATGGCCAAGAGTCACCCAATGTCTGGCGTACTATCGCCCGCAGCCTTTGATCAAAAGGACCCGATGTCTTCAAGGATGAACGATGCGATGAACAAGCTGAACGTTGAAGGATCGAGAGGCTCCTTCGGTTTTGGAGCCAAGCCGCCGCCTTCGCCTGGTGCGAAGCGCAACTCTGCCTTGGATCCGAACACAATCAAGAGCATGTTCCCGGATGCAGCGAATGCGATTGAAGATCAGAAGGCCGAGTTCCAGAAAACAACGGGTACAGCACCCCCGAAGTCGAATCGGAACAGTACAATAGGCGAGCGCTTGTCGTTAGCTGCACCCACGATTTCAACACCGGAGGAGGCGCCGAAGAGAAACGGCATACCTGACGGTCCATGGCGGAGCACAAGCGCGAGCGCGCATTCAGAAAACCAGCCGCCAATCAGTCGGCCAAAGTCTTCATCAGGTCAACAGGCTTTCGCACAAGCGCCAATGGGCCAGCTTGGTATGAGCCAACCGCCTCCGTCTGCCGGCTTGAGAAGCTCACGGCCCTTCTCGCTTTCGAGCGACAACAACATCCAAAACACCACCGTACAAGCCAGCGACTCGAATGCTCCAAGCATGCCACTCTTCTCTCCATACGCGCCAGGCGGGAGCTGGGCTTCCGCCATGAACACGCCCATGGTTCCGAGCTTCAACACGCAGCAAGGCGCAAATCAAGCAGACATGGTGGCGAACGCGACGGCGATGAAGCTTGCCGCTCTATCTACCGTCAACAACCGGATCCAGCTCGATGACGTACGCAAATACCGGCGAGCAAGATCATCAGAGGGTCAGGGTTCTCAACAAGGACTGACGCCGGGTATGCCATCCAACATCCTCATGACAAACGAGCTGGGCCAGATTCTGTCACCACAGCAAGCGGCGGCGCTACAGCAACAGCAGATTCTAGCAATGCAGGCAGGTCGCTCACGGCCAAGCTCACCCGGCATCGCCATCACCGGCCCTTCGGGCGGCCTCTCCGCGACCGGCATACCAATGGCACAAAGCAACGGCTTCCTCTCCACCTTCGACGGCCAAATGGGCGCCCTCAACAACAACTTCGCCGGCATCAACCTCGCCAACTCCGGCTACGCCATGATGGGCGGTGAAGGCTACCTCTCCGACGCCTCCGAAATCGCTCGAGGACGCTCACCGCGAGGTCGAAGAGGCAGCTCGAAACCACCGGAAGACCCTACGGATCTGCATCTACTGAAGGATATCCCGAACTGGCTGCGGAGTTTGCGGTTACATAAGTACACTGATAATCTGAAAGACATGCGATGGCAGGATATGGTCATGCTGGATGAGGAAGGGTTGGAGAAGCGTGGTGTTGCGGCCAAAGGCGCGAGGAGTAAATTGTTGAAGGTGAGCCCTCAAATTCCCGTTTCTGCTGCGTCGTGGTACGCGCGTTTGATTGGCCGAGAATGTTCCGCGCTAACCCCGTTTGTGTTTCATGCAGGTGTTTGAACAAGTGCGGGAAGCGATGGCAGAAGGCAGGATGTAGAGCTCGCTACTACTACCGTGTTTCCGACATTTGCGACATGTCTTCCTGCTTCCCATTGCCATATAACTCTGGCATTGTTTGACATTTACTTCTGACTGAGCGTGCTTGAGACAAGCATAGGTGCGGTCATTACTAGCCCGTACTAATGCCCAGGACCTCACGTACCTTACGCTAGCGGACATTCTTCTACCCTTCCTGCAACGCATGATCGTCTATACTAACCTCGACTAACCGTATAGCCATCATCTTCCCAGTCTGCCTTTCCCATTGTATACTCTGCTTCCTTTATTCACGCCGTCGCCTCTTCTATAATCTTTCTTTGTCCGCAGCATTCTTCTAACCTTGGACAGCCGGTCTGTTCTTCGGCTTTCTTTGTCTGGCTTCCTTTTACTACGGTACAAAGACATTGTGTGGATATTCAGCACGGTGCAAAGTGTTCTTCGGCGGCAACATCAAATTACTGGACTTTTGATTGGCATTGTGGCTGGACCGCATATAAACCGCATACCATCGCTCCTTACCGCAGCTTTCCTTCACAAACATTCGACCACTCGTTAGCGATCGAACTTCGGCTTCTTCTGGAAAGCAGTCACCGCACTACCGTCACACGAGCCTAACGAGCATAGAACTTCGCTCCCAAACCCTGCTTGGAACAACAAACTCGCAACGTGTCCCACCAGCATTCCGACCGTCTCTACCAACCCAACCATGACATTTTCATCATTCTTCGCTGTGCTCTGCACCATGCTTTTGGCCCTTACCACCTCCACCACGGCCACATCGAACTTCAGCCTTGTCGCGGACTACTCCGGGTCCAATTTCTTCTCTGGCTTCACGGCCTTCACTGGTGCTGACCCCACGGTCGGCACCGTGCAGTACGTTGGACTGGAGTACGCGGCTTCGAAGAGTTATGCTGGCTACATCTTCAATGAAGCCACGAACTCCACGAACGTCTACATCGGCGCGGACTTCGACACGGTCACCGCCAATCGCCCTTCGGTCCGCTTGACGTCAAAGCAAACTTTCGAGGTCGGCACGATTGTTGCGTTCGATACCGTGCATGTCCCTACCGGTTTCGGCGTCTGGCCCGCTTTGTGGATGTTAAGCAGCAACAATGAGACGTGGCCGGTTGGTGGTGAAATCGACGTCGTGGAATTCGTACACAATTCGACCGTCAATGCCGCCACACTACACACCGCTCCCGCCTGCACAGTTAGCAACTCGACGTCTGCGTTCCAGGGTATGCTGCAGAACGCCGACTGCAACTCCGGACAGGCTGCAAACGGCTGCTCCGTCCAGGCGCAGGGTCAGAATGTAATCGACGGAAAGACGATGGCGACCGCCGGCAAACCTTTCAACGACCAACAAGGCGGTGTCTATGTCATGGCCTGGCTAGAGACGGGCATCAGCGTGTACCTCTTCGGCCGCTCCCAGCTCCCTTCGGACCTCGCCTCAGACAAGCCTGACCCAGCATCCTGGACTGCAAAGCCGATGGCCCAGTTCTCTGGCTCCGGCTGTGACTACACCAAGTCCTTCCAGTCGTTGGCCATTATCACCGATCTTACCTTCTGCGGACAGTGGGCCGGCAATGTCTGGGCCAGCTCTGGTGCTGCAGCGGCGACTGGCGTTGCAACGTGCGCAGCTTACGTGCAAAACAATCCCTCTGCGTTCAAGGATGCTTACTTCGAGCTCGCTAGTATCAAGGTGTACTCGATGGATGGCCAGAAGCCTGGGATTGCCGTCACTGCCAGGGATGTTGAGACGCCTATCGCCTTCCCAACGATCGACAGGCGGACACTATCCAGCGACGATACCGCTGAAGACACCAGCACGGACAGCAGCGGGTTCAGCGCTCACCGCCACCAGCACCATGGCGTCAACCATACCCACTCTGGCTACGGCGACTCCCCTGTTCGCAACACAAGCGACCACTCGGAAGCCGAAAAGCTCGAGGCGCGCGATTTGCCACAAGTTACGGGAGGGTCAACCGTTGCGGTGGTACTGGCTCTGGCAATAGTGGTCATCATTGTGGTTTCGCTGGCCCTTTGCATGTGCATCCTGCGGTCGTCGAAGAAGTCGCGAGCTCAGGGCACCCAAGCGTAGAGTGGAAAGGGCATCCAGGATTGCTAGAGGTGTTCTCAAACGGCGCATGGGAATAACATAGCTATAAAGCATCAAATATAGAGTATCATTCTCTACCAGAACTCGTTTTTCCTCGTTTCTGACCTCTTCTTCTCGTGACCGTCTCGCCGCGAACAACGGTCGTAATGTACAGAGCTTCACCGAACAGACTACTCAACTGTAAAGGCTGAGGGAGAAAGAGCATCGTGTCCCACCTGTAGCTCCACGGACGCTTGAGGCAGCGGGCGCCTCACCATGCTACTCACCGATGCAAAAATCCCAGCAACCACCCAATCTTGATCGTGACCCTTGTAATCGTATTAAGAACAGCCCTGCCATACCCTCCCATCGCGGCGCTAACCAAATGAGCGAACCAACCCCGCGCAGGAACATACGGACCGATCATGGACTGCAGCAGAGCGGCCACCGATCCTATTAAAAAATCGACCATGTCAGCCACACATGTCCCATCACGCAGGAGCGAACAAGAACTCCCGATAGAACTTACTCGCTCTAACCCCCAGCCGACCAAACCCAAGCACCCGAAGCAACGGGATATACACACCGCCCGGGACGAAGAAAACCACAGTCTCCACGGCGAAAACCGCCGTCTCCAACGGGTGTTCCTCGATGTACTTCACCGTGTCAGCAGGTAAACTCTTGAAATCGACCGCTTGCAACTGCTTCAGCGCTTCCTCTAGTCCTTCTTCGGTGGTTTGAACTAGCCATTGCTCAAAGGCGGTGATGTTGATCTGGGTTAGTGCTTGCTTGATGCTGGCCGGGATCTCGTCAAGGTGACGGTCGTGGCCAATGAAGCCGATGTGGTCGAGCGCCGAGTTGAGGCGAGTGGCGGCTTGTTTGGCTTCTTCGGTGAGAGCGTTCCAGTTTTCGCCTAGGCGAGCGAAGGTGTCGTTGTAGGTTGGCAAAGCAACAATGGTGTGAGCGTTAGTGTCGACGAGCGGATGTTGCGCTTCGCTTAGGACACTGGAGGGAAACGAAGTGATGGCGAGTAACGCGGCAAGAATTGCGGGAGACCACATCGTATCTGATTGCGTTTTCCCGAACGAGGTGTGGAATGCGATATGTGAAGGTTGTTAGTTGGGTTGTTGTGTCGAATTATAGCTAGAGTGTCAAGGCGGCCTCGTATTGGCTGCAGGTAAGTGGCACAGTCAACCCACGGCGGCTAATGAGGCAGGAGCGACGGACCGGTGAGACAACTTGCGCTTTGAGCTTCGGGCTAGGCTTGACAAAAGGCGACCGAGTCTGCATCACTGCATACATCGTTATCGTAATCCCTCTAGGCGTTACCGTACCTGTCCGCTGAACGATCAAATAGCGCTACTTCCCTTTCATGCACCGCATCCCTACCCATCTCGAAGCGGAAATACCGCCGTACTAGAGCAAAGCAGAGCAAAGCGAAGCAAACCATGGGTATCGTCATCATTCTCATCCTCACTTCCCCGGCGGCTGCGGCTGACTCATAGCCTTATACCGCAAAAACTCCTCCACATTCTTCGCCGGCATGTCATCAACCCTCGGATCGTCTGGCTTCACCTCCTTCGGCGCGGCAACTTCCTCCTTCTTCTCGCCCATCCCCACCGCAACCAACACACTCCCCGACAACCCCTGCACCTGCTCAACCGCCTGCGTCGCGTAACTCTGCGCCTGCTCCATCATGCTCGGCTGCTGTCCCTCCCCATCCCCAGGTTGAGGATACTTCATCGGGTGTTCCTTCGGCGCCTGCCCGACGGTGTTGGGTTCCATGATCCCCTGCCTCTCCCCCCGTCCGTCGACTTTATAGTCCGGCGTCCCATGCGCCATTTGTCCCTGCGCGTGCGTGTTGTTTTGTTGTTCGAAACGGGTACTACTCGTTCCCTGCCTTGAGTCTGTTGGTGGACTGGCGATGTCTTGGTCGATGTCTGTGTATGGTACCGTGTACGCTCCTGTACGGGAGGAGGGTTGGGATGATGCATGAAGGCCTTTGCCGATACTGTAGTCGGCGTTGTTGGAGGAGGACATGTTGTTGTTGTTGTTGTTGGGAGCTGGTCTGTAGGGAAGTGCGGTTCCGTTCGGTTGTTGTTGTTGCTGCGGTGGTGCGCTTGGCGAAGTCTTTATCGCTCCTGTTGCTGCTGCTGCACCAGAAAGACTGCCGACTTGCGGGTTAGCGTTGACGCGGCCAGGCGAAAGCGCCAGCCGTGCCACGCCAGCTTCGGGATGCAGCCCCGCAATGACCAGCGCCCTGCGCTTTCCATGCTCGGTTCCAATTGCCGTCGCGACCAAATCGCCTTTGTCGTCATACTGCCATCTAACAGGTCCTTTGGGCAGTGTTCTGTGCCCCTTCTCGCGCACATCTTCTTTCCACCGGAGATTATCCGCGATGGCGGGCTCGAGGAAAGGTCTGTCGCCGAATTGCCAGTCGAGCCTGCCGCCGTACTTTTTGGGGATATTGTCAACGTCGACGTACTTGGAGAGGGTTTCGAACATGGTTTTGTCGGAGAGGATGAAGATTTTGGACTATACAAGAAGCCTGCAGTCAGCATTGTTCATGCGTAGTAGTTTGATGGCCACGACGTACGACGGTAATGGGATCGAACCACTTCTTCGCCCACTCCCACACGGTCGGGAAGAAGCTCGGCGCGCCAATGACGAAGATACGATCCAGCGTTTCCGGGTAGTGTGCGCTTGCCAGCTTCGATGCGTCGCCCATGTGATTCCGCAAGCTCCAGAACTTCGCGAAGCCAACTTTCGAGATGTCGACGATGTTGTTACTCTGACTGATGGGTGATTCGCCGTGCGGTCGGTTTGGGAGAGCCGAACACAAAGGTAGGACGAAACGACATAAATTTTCATACAACGCGAACAACCGCAGTAGATGACGAGGCGTGGTGGCAGTCGTCGCTTGCTTCGCGTGCTTGGCGTCCTTCCCACTGGCATGGGCGTTGACATCCTTGGAGTCTACCTGCGAAACCTCATATACGTAGAGGGGAATGCCTCGCTTGTCCCGCCGGCCAGTCCATTGCGGGTATAACCTACGCGTTTGCTCGTACTCATCAACATCGATCGTTTCGTATAACGTGTCTAGCTGGTTCTCGATGCGCCAGTCTTCGGTCTCCCTGAACTGGACAAAGGCTTCTTGGGGTATCCATTTGCGTGCGCGAATGTAGCGGAGGAGCGTCTCGTCGTCGTGGGATGAGGGTACCTTGCCATCCTCCGATGCTGGGGTGTAGTAGCCTTTCTGTTCGCACAGCTTCTTGAAGTTCCCGAGTGCGTCGATTTGATGCTGCGTGAGGTGTCCAATGTGTCCCGCCGGCCACTGTAACATTTACATGTGAGCGTGCAATGCGGTGTTGATAAGCGTGACGGAAGAACCTACTTGGTAGGACTCAACGCGCTCAAGCTCGCCGCCGTCCTGGGGTCTGCTCATGGTGGTGCTAGGGGGAGGTGGAGGTGGTGGAGGTGGTGGTGGTGGTGGTGGTAAGAAAGTAAGTGGATGCAATGAGATGGCGATCACATCGCTAATGTACGGATCTACCAAACATAGTGAGCGCACAATCCTTACCGTGCTTATGCGATCTCATGGCTACGCGGGAATACGTCAAGCCGAAACATCCGAAAAGCCGACTCGGACAATGCAAGGCAAGGAGCAGTTATGCCGACGGCCTTCATCCACCTGCATGTACTACAGCAGCCAACTCCTCCTCCGACCCGCGACGCCTGGCAGTCGAGACGTACATGTACAGTACATGCCGCGGTAGTAGAAGAAAGGCGACGGTCAGATGCAGACGGCAGCATAAAATTAATGGTCCGGCGCACGTGACACCTTGCATAACCGAAGCGTCCTGTCGTCATTCGGGAAGTTGCAATCCAATCCATATCCGACGCCTCCAACACTGAGTCATCGCTTCTTGTTCACGACAATCCTCTGAATCGTAGGAGTGAGTCGAGGGGCAAGACCTAGTTTCCAGCATGGACACCTCACTCCTCTCCCGCCTCCCGGACGAGCTGCTGGAAGCGATCATCTACTTCCTCCCGCCAGACGATACAGTGGCGTTTGGCTCTACATGCACGCGTGGCAACAAGATCACCCACGAGCCATTGGTATGGCGGGCGCACTGCATTCACGAATACCGCTACTGGGAGCCGCGTCACGAGATCAAGGACAAGCTCGCCCGACCACCGGTGCAAACGAAGTGGCAACGACTGTTCACGGAACGGAGAAAGCGGGATAAGGATGCTCTGGACCTGTTTGAAGCGCTACTCCAGTCGCAGCAGCACCGCGTGCAGCGGATGGAGCAGGTCGCGAAGGGTGGTTACGATGTCAAAGACCTGCTCCTGCGGCAGCGTGACGAGACGCCGGATGATGCGGACGATGTATTGGCGAGACGGTATCATGCCAATGCGATTCTGGGCCAGATACATCGAACCACGGCGTTGGAGAAGTGGATGAGGCTGCAGAAGAGTCAGATGGTGAGGCTCGAGGAGGTGCTGGGTGCGTACGACCTCTTCGTGTTGGCTGGTAAGAAGGGTGATTTGAACGACATCGATCAAGAACTTGACCGTATTGCTGCCAACATCAAATCGCGAGATCCAGACTTCGACTCATTAAGCACGCGGAAGAAGGCGATTCAGACCGCGCGATTCCTGCGGTCGGAAGATCTGGTCGGCAACACGAGTCGAGACGACTACCACGCCCTCCGCAACAACTTCATCAGCATCGCCCTCTTCGACCCCCCGCACACCTCCCTTCCCCTCCAATCCGTGGCCATCTACTGCGCCGTAGCGCGACGCCTCGGCATCAACGCAAAACCCTCTAACTACCCCCACCACGTCCACGCCGTCATTGAAGCCACCCCCGGAACCTCCCTCGACGGCGCCCCTCGCCCCAGTACACCTCGTGAACTCGACCCCGAGGACCCAGCAGACGTCATGCACATCGACCCCTGGCGCTCGAGCGAGGAAGTGCCCCGCGAACACCTCGCCATCCGCCTCTCCCAAATGGGCGCGCCCCCAGCCCAACACCCTTTCCACCTCAGCGCCACATCCACTCTCGAAATGGCCCTACGTACGGGTCGCAACATCATGAACTCCGTGGAAGAAGCGCGCGACCGCCAACGCGGCACCACCAAACGCCTCGCCTACCCGGACGTCGAAAGCGCGTGGTACGCGATGTTGTGGTCCATGATGGTGCTCGGCGATACCTCCTCGGCCAACACCCTCCACCGTCGTCGCCAGGTCCTGCCCCATCTGATCAAACACTACCAAGCCCACTGCCCGGAAGACTTGTTCTTGATCGAGAACACCATCGTGCCCATGTTCGAAGGCGAACGCGAGCATCACGTGCTGATGCACCTCATCACCGCCGCCCGCACAGCGGACGCCAACAAACCCGCCCCTTCCTACCGACCCAGCCGAGCGGATCTCCGCTCCTACTGGATCCCCGGCGACCCGGGCGTGAGTCACAAAATCGGCACGTACTTCCAACACAGACGGTACGGGTACGAGGGGATGATAGTAGGGTGGGACACGAAATGTGCGGCCGAACCGCGGTGGATCGAGCAAATGCGGGTCGACGAGCTGCCGAGGGGGAGGGAGCAGCCGTTTTACAACGTTGTGTATGACTCCCCGTCCGACTCCCCATCCGCCTCCCACCCCCACTCCCACTCCCCCTCCCACTCCCAATCACAAAACCAGTCCGAGCCGGCGTGTGAGAGGAGAATGGTGGTGGCGCGGGAGGTGTACTACCACGTCATTGCGGACCCGGCTGACGGAGACCCTAGTGCCGATGATAAGACGGTGCGGTATGTGGCCGAGGAGAACATCCGCCCGATGACGGAGATGCCGAAGGAGGGGTTGCTGGCGTTGGCGGGGCGGTGGTTCAAGAGGTGGGATGGCGGGGAGGGGAGGTTTGTGAGTAATTTGAGGGAGGAGTATCCGGATGATTGAGCGTTAAGGAACTGGATGGGATGGGATGGGAGGGGAGGGGATGGGATCGGTCGTGAATGTGGATGTGATTGTTTGTTTGCGCGGAGTTGGTGGGTTACCCCGACCACGCACGGAGGGTGTGTATGTGAATGGGAGGATGAACACGACATTGTTCTGCAGCAAAGCTTGCTGCGTGCGCGGGCAAAGGCCGGCTTTGTGAAAGCATTTCACGTTACGCACACTCTCTCTCTACGCTGTATAAGTTCGACTTCTCCATCCAACCGACTGCAAAGATCTCATCGAAACAGTAACGTACGCAACCGGGCCCTTTCCAGATACAGTATATACACAACACTCCCACTGCCTCCCTCAACAAGGCACTGGATATAAAGTACGCACCGCCGCTCTGGCAGGGCAGTGGGATGGGGAAGGCTGACTTCCCTTCCAAAAGCCTTGGTCGCAAGACTACTATCAAGACAGCCAACATTCCCCACCCCACGTCTTTGAGATCTGCTCATATGGTACGTACAGCCCCCTTCTGGATAAGGCAATGGAATAGGGAAGGCTGGCTGCTTACTATGCTGACTCTTCAGGCTTCTGAGAGCGAGAAGGAACTCGTGGGGCAGGCGGTGCGCCATCTCGCAGAGGCGTACGCGTGTTGGATCTAGCTCGGGAGGATGGGGGCCGCGAAGGAGATATTGGAGGTAGGGATGAGGGAGCTTAGGGAGGGAGAGAGGCAGGAGGGGACTGTGCCCGCTAATGGCGTGACTGCGGAGGAGTCAAGGAAGCCTCCTCAGACTGGTTGAGGGTGAATAGCCAGCTGTAGGTGGCTGATGAAGGTGCTGGTGGTGCCAGCGATTGATATGCGCGTTTAATGGGGTCATGGTTTTGTGTTGACCCTCGCATTCGGAGAGCTATAAAGGGTAGACGCGGGTAGTGAATAGTCAGATCTCTGATGATCTTCATGCCTAAGGCACTATGAGCTGCGTTCGACTTCTCGGCAGCCACCGCATCCGCTAGCCGCACCTCCACACCGAGCCGCTTCCCGCAGAGCCTCAATCTCGAAATCTTGGCGCGTTGTAAACCCTCCAAATTCAGTAAGCCATCTTTTGTCATCCCATCAGTACTTCGACATAGTGTCAACATGGCCGCGGCAGCCGATAAAGCGCGCTTCTACCTCGAACAACACGTTCCCACTCTGCAAACCTACTCCCGCCTCTCCCTCTTCACCCGCGCCGAAATCGCCGCCATCACCTCCAAACGCAGCACCTTCGAACACATCATCAATAGCCGCGGCGGCAGCACTCCGGCCGACTTCGCCCGCTACGCCGAGTACGAGATCAATCTTAATGCCTTACTCAAACATCGCTGTCGCCGTCTCGGCATCAAGGACAGGAGGTTGGCGTACGATGGGAAGAAGAACGTGTTTTTCATCCTCGAGAGAGGGACGAAGAAGTTCCCGGGTGATATGGGACTGTGGATGCAGTATATTGATTTCTGTAAGAGGGAGAAGGCGAATAAAAAGTTGGTGAAGGTGTTCACGGCGGTGTTGAGGCTGAAGCCGAGGGAGTGGGGGTTGTGGGTTTTGGCGGCTAAGTGGTTTGCGGAGGAGCAGATGGATATGCAGAATGCGAGGGGATATCTGCAGAGAGGACTGAGGTTTTGTAAGGATGAAGTAAGACTATGGTTGGAGTACGTCAAGCTCGAGATGGTGTATCTTGCCAAGGTGGCTGCGAGGAGGAAGATTTTGGGACTGGACGAGAAGATGGCCGGTGACGCTGCTGAGGTGGAGGAGGATGCTGTCGCAAAGGCAGATGGTGACGAGGATATGATTGCACTACCAACCATCACCGCTGCGGAGTTCGAGCCAGAGCCGAGTAGAGGTACGGATGCAGTGGACTTAGAAGCTCTGCAGAAACTAGCACAAGCGCCCGTCTTCTCCGGAGCAATACCCATCGCCATCTTCGACGCCGCGATGAAGCAATTCAACAACAGCGCGCAAATGGCTGAGCAGATCTTCGAGCTGGTTGCAGCATTCGACCAAACACCGGCTTCGAGCACTGTACTTGAACACATCCTGTCGCACCTTCGGTCGACATCACCATCATCTTCCGAAGCTATCATGTGCGAAGCGCGGCTATCAATTTTCGGCACTGACATGCTCTCACCCGACTTTCCAGCCGCGCTTGGCACGTCACTGTCTTGCGTGCGGAGCGGCGAGGTTGCGGTATCCGAGAAGCAGAAAGCGACATTCGCGGAGAAGGTGGTGCTCATGCTTCTGCCGATGTTACGGCTGCGCGGGGAGATGGATGAGGATGTCATCAAAGTCGTTGCCATGAGCATCAATCGCTACTTACGCGTGCTCGCTGCTTCTCCGAAGACTGTCAACGTCAAGTCAAACGTTGTTAGAAGACTGGTGAGCCTGGTACGGAGTGGGGAAGCGCTGGATGAGGATGTGCTTTGGCGAGTAATGGGAGAAGAGAGGACCAACGACTGAGAGCCAATTTTGTGGAACGATTACAATTCTCATGAGACTGTCCACCGGACAGATGCCGATCTGAAACATCTTTGCCACCCCAAGCGGCCCGCATCGGTATGCAAGGCCACCGTCTCCAAATCGCAACGGAGCACCCCCGGATTTCCACACAGACTCAGAGCTCCGCATGCCCGGCGATCATACACTCGCTCCGTGGAATGATCATTGGTATGGTTGTACTTCTTCCCTCCACCCGAATTGGAGTGATCGTCTTAAAGGCCGCGTTACTTTTCCGCACTTGGCAGCTAGTGATGATCTACGAGCCGGTGTTGCTTTTCTGCCGGACCCGGGGTTCAGCAAGAAGTTCGAGAAGGGATGGTATTGCGCCGCCCTGCAAGCTTCGGTACTCGCCCCTGCGACTATCCTTTCAGACCCCGGCGCGACTGCAGCGTAGAAAGGCCCCTGACACAGCGCCGGGCTGCCGCTCGAGGGTGGATGGCTGAGCTGAGGCGATCTTTAGCCGTTTCCAGACAACCCAGGCGGAGGAGAGAAGGTGTGGAGAGGCGGTTACCGAAGTAGACTCGCAGTCTGGACATCCGTTATCGACGGTTGGAAGCGAGGCGGTGTGCTACGGTAATGACGAGTAGGGGGATGAGGAGACCATGATGGTGCATCGCAAGATCGACGTCTGCGGGAATGTGGAATGTTGTAGTCTTGTGCTCCCTCTACGATGGCTATTCGAGTTTAGTCTGCGCCAACGAAGGGCAGTTGACAGAAGCTTTGCGTACCGTTGCCTTCGCAGCCCGTCGACGGAACATTTCACGACCATTCGTACCCGTCATGATCTTGCATGTCTCACGGACGGTGGTAGGCCACCGACTGCGGAGGTCACGATGGGCCACCAGGCACTCTCTGCTGCCGGTCACGTCTGGAGTAATGCTACACGTCAGATGACAAGCGGCAAGAAGTTGCGCCAGAAGTACAATGAGGTACGACTTCTACGGAAGCCGGTGAGAGCACTGGAGTTCGAGGAATCTCAGCCCGACTGTGTTTGACTCGTACTCGGCAGGTTACTTCGAGGGCTTGTCTCCGGCCACACACCGCCATCACCACGCCCTCCGGAAATTTACTTGTAGCCGCCCAAACCACGACAACATTTACATCCCCGTCCGAACTCATTCCAGCACAAACTCCTAGTTCGAGACTTCACAGCCATACACGTTGTCGATGAACACCACCGCGTCCGCCGTGGAGACCGATGCATCCGCCACGCCAATGGTGAAGTTTTGCAGGTTGGTGAAGCTGTACTCCGCCTGGGTAACCTCGCACAGTACCATGCTGGCAGGGTCGGAAGCTGGGGCGAATGCGCATGTAAACTCCGGCACCTGTTGGCCGTAGATGGTGTAGCCGGTGACAGCGACGGTGCAGCCCTGAACCGCGCCGACGGCGGTGTTGGTGGAGAGGCCGCAGGCGAGGTAGAAGGAGGAGATGCCGAAGGACTTGGTGCCCGGAGCCACTGCGGAATGTTAGTTGGTGCTAGCGGGGTTTATGGGTGGAAGGGATGCTCGATGATTTACGTACAAGTGATGGTGCCGACTGGGTTAAGCGTGACGGTGGTGCCAAGGAGGTCGGAGGTCAATTTGGCCGCGGCCACGTTCGCGGAGCTTTCAGGGATGAACATCTTGACGGTTGGGTTGATCGCCTAGATCATCGTCAGCACGGGTACGGTAGGAATGATGGTGGTAAGCTTACATCGACATCGAAGTAGTTGAACTCCAGGCCCTTGTATGTGCCAACCGGGCTCAGGTCGTCGGAGACTGGGTTGGCGGTCAAGTCATCGAACTTTGATGCGGTTAGTGAACGGTAGGAAGTTGGTGGAGCTTTATGGGTTACTCACAGTGGCCAGGAAGGACCTGCAGTACTGGGGAGGAGTCCAGAGGGGAGTGGCAAGTGCCAGGGCAGGGAGTACGAGAGCGAGGAGACTGGACGCCATTGTGATGCTGGAGCTTGTTGATCGGTAGGGTGTTGGGTGGGGTGTGTCTGGAGTGTGATTATTGGGGAGGCTTGTGGGCTTAGAGCGTGAAGAGGAAAGGGGACCAGGACTGGCGACGAGTTTATATACACGTTATATGCTCAACCCGCTGGACCCAAGATGAAGCCGATGGCAGAAGCCGTGAGGTCAGAGACGAGACCGTGACTGGACAAGATCTGTACTTGCCTCAATTGGTGGCATCGATGCTGATCCTGAAGCCGACCTTGTGCGCTACGGGAAGCATCTTTCCTGGTCCGCTCACTATACCTGTGAGCTTACTATAGGCGGTAGAAACGATGCTGATCGTGAAGGACGAGTATGGGAGATATGCAGAGTAACAGCTTCACCATCTCTGTGAGCTTCGAAGAAGCGTTGGGAATGGTGCTGATCACCAAAGCTATGGGCGCTAGGGAGAAGATGATGCAGTCCGAGGCTTACCACGACGAAGTATTGCGCGTGAAGCTCACGCTCCGTCTGTTAATAATGCTGCAGCTTCTCCAGCGCATTTTGCGTGTGGAGAAGGGGCGCTGATTGGCAAAGGCCTAACTGCGGCGCCTGCGAGGCCTTAGATCGTTGGTGATCCCTCAGCACCTCGACTGCATCGTTTGCGATGTTTGTTGTTCGAGACACTGAGGTGGTAGCTCCGGGTCTTCAAAAGTTCCAGCGTAACATGCTCTACGATGGACTCCCAGTATCGAGAGTATGTCGTTGGACGTTCATAGTATTAGACTCATGCCTGTGTAACTTTTCTCAAACGATTGGTGTCAATTAAGGTCTCAACTTCAATCTGGTACGTAACGCGGCCTATAATAGGGACTCTGGCGGTCTGCATGGCGTAATGTTGTGCGTGAAGTGTGCTGAAAAGGGTACTAGTATCAAGCCATGCGGTCAATAGCTCCGCAAGCTCCGTCGATCGTACAAACAAGCGTTGTGGGGAAACCCAAGCACCAGGACAAGCATCGCGGCAGTGGCTTGGAGAGCCCTCCTTTGATCTCGCCTGTTCCAAGCTTGAAGATCGTCAGTTACTGTAAACCAGTTTGGACACCTAGCCCCGCTTAGTATTTCCAACCTCATGTTTGTCTCCTTGCTGTCCAAGTATACAGGCGTTGTTCCCCTCTGAGGTGGATGCCGGTCAAACTACCGGGACTACCAACTTGCTGGACGAACAGTGAAGACGCCAAAGCCTCCATTGACGATCTGCATTCGTCGCGCATTGGCGCCGGTTGTGCAGTTGTTGGTCAACTAGCCACTTAATTGCGCAACCATGGTGAAACCGCAGCCAGCAAGGTACGCAGCTACTGTACTGATGATGCAGTGGCTCAAGCCCAACACTCAAACGTTGCGATTTCCGCCACCAAAGTAGTACCGAAAACACGTACTAGAGTCATCTGGTATAGTATTGCAATCTCTTCGTGCGGACGAGATTTTCCACGACTTGCGTAGAAGCACGTGGTCGAGATCGAAAGGTCATTCGCTCGTATGCAATGTTACTTCGTAGGTGGTGCTTCGGAGGTGCTTGCATCGAGTATGATTCTGTTCAGCAATCTGCCATGTTAGCAGCTAGGGACGCGTCAGACGCTGGACCGCCTCCACAAACCAGAAAACCTTGGTATCCGGTGAGCAAGTCGGTGGGAGGTACAGCACCCGTGATGCCGTTGGATGTGAGGTTCTCAAATTGGCAAGTGTCCTGCTTCAGACCGTCAACTGTACCTGTGTCTTGGCTGTAATCTTACCGTGCAGTGAGCGTGCAGAAAGCTGTATGCAATCACCTTGCGATACCAACGCGCCAGATGCATCTGAGCAGACGTCGCGCGCTCTATACAGGTGATACTAGCGCTTGCACGTAGCGAACGAGCACAGTTGGTGAACATTTAACGTCGTTGCTTCTTCCGGGCATTGTCAACCAGCTCTGACAAAATGCGCTCCGCTTCCACTGGCAGACGATTTCCAGGTTCTCATCCTTGCTTGAGGCGTATCTTCGGAAGGACTGATGCTGCTCTGCGACGAATTCTTACAAAAATATCTCCGCATGCCCACAGAGATGGTCCAGCCCCTCCGGCAGCCGTGTAGCTGTCAGTGGGTACGTCCACGAGATTATTAATACGGCGTTCATCCTTGTCCAATGGCGCCGTAAGTGCCTGACTCGATGTGGCAGTCGGTAGGCACCGCAGTCAGTCGGTCTCAGAAGCGCTACTAGCCATACGGAATGTCAATCGCTACCCACGAGATACAGCTCCATTTGTATCGAGCTGGTAACAACATTCATGTGATTCCGATATCTGAAGCAGTAGAATGTTGCCACTGAGCCCTCAGTCGCACTCCAAATGTACAGAAGTTGCACAGACGGAAGATCCTCGAAATGTCATATATGAGATACGATATTCGAAGACAGCCAAGGTGATTCCATGACTCCTCGAGTGCGGGTGAGGTCGTAAATAGCGCTCGGGATAGTACTGATGTTCGTCTTTGTTAGGCGACAAGAGTGTGCATAGGACAGCACTCATCTAAAGTTAGAAGATGCATAAAGGCTCTATATAGTTTTGGGAAGCCGTGCGGCGCTGACTCTAACTTTGTCCAACAAAGCGATAGAGCTGCTCAGGCGCATGATGTTGTTGGATGATGTGCGATTCGAAGGAAAAGGCGAGCACTGGCAAGCGGCTAAAACTCGGTTGATCTGACGTGTGTATATATTTCCAATTTAAACTAGATCATATATAAGCTGAGACGGTCTGAAATTGACTGTCGAAGCCATGCTCTCCTTAGCTCAGTTGGAAGAGCGTGAGACTGTAATGGTGGATACAATGTACGATTGTAATCTCAAGGTCCCTGGTTCGAACCCGGGAGGGGAGACATTTTTGCCGTTTGTTTTCTTCTCTTTTGGGTCATAGTGAACATTTTCTCCAATCGAGCGAGGTATGGCGGATTATATGTTTTGCGATATCACGTGGCTTGCTTTTTGCGAACCCCGACGACGGGCAAGCTATTCTCTGCGCTGCTCGTGGTGGGGCAACTTAGCCGAGTCGCGCATTTTGAACTTTGCGCGTCGAGCTTTGAACGAGGCACGAGACATAATACCCAACACCGCCAGCTATATCCCACCGTTCCCCAAGCAATACTATACGACTTCCGACGGTCTTCCTCTGAACACGAAACTCTCAAGATTCAGCGTGGTGTACCATGTCATTTGGCGGGCAGACGCCCACGATCATCGTCCTAAAAGAAGGTTAGACTCATTACAGAGGTAGACAAACTGCACACTGTGCTAAAACATGCCATGCAGGCACCGACCAATCGCAAGGCCGAGGACAGATCATATCAAACATCAACGCATGCTTAGCTGTACAGTCAACAATCAAAACCACACTCGGCCCGTACGGCGGTGACCTGTTGCTCGTCGACGAGAATGGCAAGCAAACGATCACGAACGACGGCGCGACTGTCATGAAATTGCTGGACATAGTACACCCTGCGGCGCGGATCCTTACAGACATTGCACGATCACAGGATGCCGAAGTGGGCGACGGCACGACTTCGGTGGTGGTGCTGGCGGGTGAGATACTAAAAGAGATCAAAGAGCATGTCGACCAAGGCGTGAGCAGTCAGATCATCATCAAGGGTCTACGGAGAGCAAGCACGATGGCCGTCAACAAGATTAAGGAGATTGCTGTGGACACGAACGAAGGCAACCAGAGGGAGACACTGAGGAAGCTGGCGGCGACGGCGATGAGCAGTAAGCTGATACATCGCAACGCCGACTTCTTCACCAAGAGTAAGTTATATACAAACATCTTACGCACTGGTGGTTGTGCTAATATCTTACAGTGGTCGTTGACGCCGTGCTCTCACTCGACCAAGACGACCTCAACGAGAAGCTGATCGGTATCAAGAAGATTACAGGTGGCGCCCTCCAAGACTCGCTCTCCGTCAATGGCGTAGCTTTCAAGAAGACCTTTGCTTATGCAGGCTTTGAGCAACAACCGAAATCGTTCAAAGATCCTTCCATTGTCTGCCTGAACGTCGAGCTAGAACTCAAGTCTGAGAAAGACAACGCCGAAGTCCGCGTAGAGCAGGTGTCCGAGTATCAAGCAATTGTCGACGCCGAGTGGCGCATCATTTACGACAAGATGGAGGCACTTTTCAAAACGGGCGCCAAAGTTGTCCTCTCGAAGCTTCCCATCGGCGATTTGGCCACACAGTACTTTGCTGACCGTGACATCTTCTGCGCTGGACGTGTCGCATCCGAGGATCTAGAACGTGTCTGCCAAGCCACGGGCGCCAGCATACAGTCTACCTGCTCTGACATCAGAGAACAACATCTTGGCACCTGCGAACGCTTCGAGGAGCGGCAAATAGGTGGCGAGCGCTACAACTTCTTCGAGGGATGTCCGAAAGCCAAGACCTGCACGCTGGTGCTGCGAGGTGGCGCGGAGCAATTCATTGCGGAAGTCGAGCGATCATTACACGACGCCATTATGATCGTAAGACGTGCCATCAAGAACACCACGATCGTAGCCGGAGGCGGCGCATGCGAGATGGAGGTTTCCGCATACCTCCACAACTTCGCGGACAAGAACGTCCCGCACAAGCAGCAATCAATCATCAAGGCTTTCGCCAAGGCGCTAGAAGTCATTCCTCGTCAGCTATGCGACAATGCGGGCTTCGACGCAACCGACATACTCAACCGGCTGCGGGTTGAGCATCGGAAAGGCAACATCTGGGCCGGAGTGGATTTTGACCACGAAAGCGTCAGAGACAACCTCGAGGCGTTTGTGTGGGAGCCAGCGCTCGTCAAGATCAATGCGATACAAGCGGCGACTGAGGCGAGTTGTTTAATCTTGTCCGTAGATGAGACGATCAAGAATCAGGAAAGCCAGCAGCCGCAGGCACCGCAGAGAGGGCTACCTCCTGGCGCGGCGCAGCGGGCTATGAGAGGGAGAGGTAGAGGAATGCCGATGAGAGGGCGGTAGTTGTGTAAATACCGCCTCATATGTGGAAGGCGTAACGGAAAGCGGCAAAGCATCTATATCAACCTTCAATACCATATATGACCCAGCCGAGGCAGGCTTGGGTCTTTGCTCGCAGGCGGCCGGTTCGTCTGGCCTAATTGCAAACGCTCCTGCACCGCGTCCATGCTACTCTTCGCAATGACCCTTGGACTTTCTGTCCGGTTTTCGACTGATGACCGTGATGATCCTGTCGCATCGGAACTTCTCGGGCCCAGCAACCTCCTCTCCACCGAAGAACGAGATGAGTCCGTGTCGACGAACCACTTTCGCTCGGTCGTAGGCATGGCCGCTTCAACGTCCGACTGTCTCCGCTGCTTCTCCCGCCGCCAGGCAATTACTGCAAGTGTAGCGGAACAACCGTAGAGTACGAGCAAGCTGGGTACAGCCCAAACCGGCATTGACCTCGTTCCAACGTATTGCACTCCATAAACGTGGAATCTGCTCGTCTCAAAGATCCGCGGACAATATCCGTATCGTGCCAATGCGGCTGGACTACCGGCGAAGAGGCACAAACTCCATAGCACGACCTGCGCGACCCAGATGCATGGCGCGAGAATAGAGACCACGACGACGTAGAGCGGATTGAGCCGGTCAGTCCATAGCGCGTAATTGGACGAGGCGGCTTCGATCAAGGCGAGCGCCGGAAACGTGAGGTAGAAGAAGATCAGATTGCTGCAAGATCGTTTCTTATTAGCGTGCAGACTGGCGGTCCGTTGTGGACAATGTTGGCTTACGCTCGCGTCCGCATTTGGAAGTTGTCTAGATATGCTTGTCCCGCTTCATCTTGGGGTACGAAATGCGTGCTTGCGACCGTGATCAGGGCCAGGACGAAGGTTGTTAGGTTGTTGAGAAGTACAAGCGAAGATGTAATCGGCATGGCTATCCTAAGGAAGCCGGTCCATGGCTCCCTTATTGCCATACCGAAGTTCATGTAGACGCTAGTTAGACAGGAAGAGGAAAAAGTAGACAAGTGAAATGGTGAAGCTTGAGAGTATACCTACCTACTCCTCACATCCCTCCATGGCTACTGTCATTGTCATATTAGGCACTCACTGCCAAGTGTGAAGGATGAAGGCTCGTGGCTGTGGCAGGCTTGGAGCTCACAATTAGCTGCTTAGCGCCACAGCTTGTGCTGCAAGCGGTCCGCGGCCATGTGGTTTGAACGTGCCTCAATCCAATAGGCAACATGTTCCTTACGTCTGCCATTGATGCTGTGAGGTCACACCAACGCTGACGACGCCAAGTATGGGTGAAGGTTGCGGCTCTGCTTCCTTCCTCGGAGACTGAGATACTTGGCGGACTTGGCGGCGGAATTGCGGCACAGCCGTTGATCCCGTCCTTAAAATTGCGCCATCAACGACGGAAAGATGTTGCCGCCTTCCTTGGCGGTGGTTGTGGCATGGAATGGGGAAGACTGTGGGTGCGAGCAGTAACGGAGGCTGCGGTAGAGCTGCACGATGCGGAGACACTCGGGGCTGAAAAGGCAAGCCGCGAGCCGCATATAGATTGCATTCGACCCGTAACGGCGTAGATCGCCTTCTCACGTGGCTGCTTGGCCGGAGATCTTTGCACCACGCGTAAACACGTTCGCCGGCGACTCGATACACGCGTATGCTTGCCCTCGACCATGTGACTACCTTTGCGAAGCGGATCGTCTTGAAGTGGCAGTATAAGGTTGGACGGAAAGCCGGAAATCGTCGTGATAGCTCTCGTGCTCACGATGTTCATACCCGGAAACGGTTGTCTGAGATCTGATCGGGATCGGAATTTTTACGCCGACTGCCAGATCGATCCTAGTGTGGCAGATTTGCGACGGACACCCCTGCTTTCTGCACTCCAACTCACCAGCTCGCTGTTCGCCTCCTTCTCGTCCTATCGCGGAGGTTTCTGGAAGGGTTCCTTGGTATCGTGACTTCAGCTTCCGGCCCCGCAAACTCTGCGTTCTCTTCCTTCTCCGGCTTGTTCTCTTCATTACTGTAACATACTTTCATCATCTCCAATTGGTCGTGTCCGGTTCCTGCGGCGTCACATCAGCATGCCGCAAGAGAACAAGAAGCGCGGGCGGCGCATGAACAAGCGCAAGGCCGAAGACGAAGGCTCGGCCATCCAACAGACTAGCAAGCGGCAAAAGTCCAACGAGGATCTCAACCAGCAAGCCGACTTTGTCCCTCTTCAGGCGCAGGAAGAATCGGTCGACAATGCGTATCCTGCGGCTGAGAAGCCTTTCTTCGGCATGCTTGATGCTGAGGAGCAGGAGCACTTCAAGCAGGCCTACGAACAGCTCGACCCTACTTCTTTCGGCGATCTCGAGGATCCAGACACTTTCCTCACCAATGTCTGGAAGGATGCCGAAGGCAAAGAACTCAAGATCGCTCAGAGCCAGTCCTGCTCGCGGCTCATGGAGCGCTTGATCCAACTCTCTACGGCGTCGCAATTAAAGAAGCTCTTTCAAGCATTCAGCGGAAAGTGTGTCGAGCCCACCCAAAAAGCCTTGTATAACGCTTGCTGATCATAGTTGTAGTTTCATCCATCTCGTCTCTCATCGTTTTGCGTCGCATTGCTGCGAAGCACTCTTCCTCCGCGCCGCCCCCTTGGTGACAGAGGAGTTGATTGCACCCCGACTGGCAGACGGCGTCAACACCAAGGACACCACTGCGCTTGATGAGATATATGTCTCCATGGAAAACCTGTTCTTACATACCCTTGCGGAATTCGAGGGCAGCTTTGGCTTTCTCATGACCGACTCCTTTGCATCTCACGCCCTGCGCGTCCTGCTCCTTGTGCTGTCTGGTGAGCCAACCGAGTCAGCGTCTGCCAAGCGCTTGCTGCAAAGTAAGCGGAAAGAAGGTGCGTTGATGCCTGGCACTGGCGGTACTGGCGGAGAGGCACAGGAGAAGACTCGTACCGTACCAAAGGCATTCGGTGAGAAACTAGAAAAGGTTATTGCCGACAGCATTGCTGGCCTCGACACCGACAAGCTCCGCGCACTTGCGACTCACCCTCAGGCAAACCCTACCCTACAACTTCTGTTAAAGCTCGAGCTCACCCAATTCGGCAAAGAACGCGCGAAAGACGAGAGATCAGTGATCCGCACTCTGCTCCCTGACGAGCCAATTACGGCCGAGAGCGGTAGTGCGACGTTCATCAACGGCATCATTTACGACTCTGTCGGTTCACATCTAGTCGAGCAAATTGTACAGCACGCGCCCGGAAAGACGTTCAAGAGCCTGTACAGAGAGTTCTTCAAGGAACGTCTTGCGTCGTTTGCCCGCAACGAGGTTGCTGGCTATGTCGTCTGCCGTCTGTTAGAACGCATGAGCCGGGACGACTTATACGATGCTCATGAGGTGCTATTACCGACCCTACCGAATCTGTTGGAACGCAACCGTACAATGGTCATTGCGACGCTCATCGAAAGGTGCGCCGTTCGCGATATCGATACCACGGCACTCGCAGCCGAGTTGGACAGAAGTGTCCAGTGTCAGGACGGTTTCGATGTCAAGAAGTTCCTGAAGGTGGAGCGAGCGCAGCCGGATGGACATACAAGGACGAGCGAAACACCACATGACAGCGTGCAAAGTAGCAATGATATGGACGAAGTTGCTGCGTTTGTTCGCCCTACGGAGCCTGCCAAGGTCCATTTCAACTTGTTGGCGCAAGCCATGCTTCGCGTGCCTGGGCCGATGTGTGGTCTCATCCTCGACTCTCTGGTCCAGCTTGACCCGCCTACTCTGCAGCAGATGGCCGCAGACTCGATAGTCACCCGCACCATGCAGGCAGCGCTCACTTCGAAGAACGCATCCATTATCCAGAAGCGGAAACTGATACAGCTCTTCTATGGCCATATCGGCGAAATGGCGGTCGAAAGATCTGCATCGCACGTGGTGGACTGCATCTGGGAAGGCACGCACGGCCTGGCGTTCATCCGCGAGCGTATCGCCGAAGAGCTCGCAGAAAATGAGGGTACGATCCGGGAGTCCAGCTACGGCAGGAGCGTGTGGAAGAACTGGAAAATGGATATGTACAAACGCAGGAGAGCGGAATGGATAAAGCAGAGCAAATTCAAAGCGAGCAATGACGGGTTCCAAAGCTTCTCGGAGATCGATTCGAACAAGAAGCAGGACGAGACGGGGGGAGCGGTCGGCAAGACTCCACTAGAGCTGGCGAGGGAGAGGCATCTGAATAAGAAGAGGGAGAAGGAGAAGCAAGAGAAGAAGGAGAAGAAGGGCAAGGAGAAGGAAGGCGCAACGGTTAATGGGACGCGATCTGGTAACAGTGGCACTGCGCCAGCACCCACGCCGGCCGCGGCTGCACCAGCAACAGCGACCGCGTCGAGCTGAGCGGAGCGGGCAGGCGTTAGTAGCAAGCAGCCGTATACGCTTCCAGAAGCGATATTGGAGTGGTTAGGGAAGACGGCGTCCGAGGGGTCTGCACGGCATGAAAACATAAGTGGAGTTTGATACCCCAGATTTCGCAGCGAATCTTGCATAGCGGCGGCTGATGGCATCATCTGAAACTTTTACCGTCAGCTCTTACCAAGACCAGATGACCGGCAGCAATTACCGCTACATAGGTCGTTAAAGAAATATCGTATAATTCACTGTAGGTTGTCAATACTGTAAAGGGTTCAATTCAGTCTCTCTCTTACCATTCATCCAGTCTTCTCCTGTGCCTCAAATCTGAATCCAAGCATGTCTGCTAACGGCACGATGCAATCACCTGAAACTGCAAAGATGTCGAAGTTATTATGCAGAGCAGACGATGCAGACGACGTAAGGCCATCACCACTATAGCAACTCGTATATAGCCTAATGACGGTTCCAGCTCCTTTCCGCCGTCAAAGACTCCGTTATCCAATTCATTCGAGCCGCAGACGACGACGCCTCAAGCAAATCATCAGGCCACGGTCTCCAGCAATCCGGCCAAGGACCCCGAACAGTACTCGTCGAGCATCATCCACCCAAAAAGCTGCAGCAACTGCTCAACGTCGACCTACCGGTAGAGGGCCAAGGCAAAGCCGGCCTGCTCCGAACCGTGGAGGAAGTCCTCCATTACAGCGTCAACACTTGGGACCAAGGCTTCATGGACAAACTCTACTCCTCCATCACCCCCGTCGGACTGGCGTCAGATCTCTTGCTCAGCGCTTTAAACACGAATCTGCACGTCTATCAAGTTTCGCCCGCGCTGACCGTGATTGAGAAGCAGACCGCGAAGGCGTTGGCGACTATGTTTGGGTTCAAGGGTCCTTTTGCGGGTGGTGTGAGTCAGCCAGGTGGCAGCGCGGCGAACCAGTCTAGCATTGTCGTTGCACGCAACTGCCTTTACCCGGAGACGAAGACGAAAGGGTATGAGGGGAGGAGCTTCGTGTTGTTTACGAGTGCGCATGGGCATTACAGTCTGGAGAAGGCGGCGCAGATGTTCGGGTTTGGGTCGGAGGCGGTCAAGAGTGTTTCCGTGGACGAGCGGGGGTGTATGAAGGCTGACGAGCTGGAACGAATGATTGAGCAGGCAAAGCGGGACGGCGAAACGCCGTTTTACGTCAACGCGACCGCCGGGACGACGGTTCTCGGCTCGTACGATCCACTGGAGCAGATCTCGGATGTGTGTCGGAAGCATGGGCTCTGGATGCACGTTGATGGGTCGTGGGGCGGACCGGTGATCTTCAGCGAGAAGCAGCGACATAAGCTGCAGGGGGTAGAGAAGGCTGACAGTATAGCGATCTGTCCGCACAAGATGATGGCTGTCCCGGTCACGTGCTCGTTCCTGCTAGGGAAGGATTTGCGGCAGTTTCACAAGGGCATGACGCTACCTGCAGGCTATCTCTTCCATTCGAACGATGTGGACGAAGGCAGCGGCGTAGCAAACGGCCACCACGACCAGAGTGCCGTTGATACCGATCACCCGCACGCCCATCCGAACCAAGAGGAGGACGTGAAAGAGTTCTGGGACCTTGCGGACCTGACGCCTCAATGTGGACGACGAGGGGACAGTCTCAAACTCGCACTTTCCTGGATCTACTACGGGACCACCGGCTTCGGAGACATGATTGACCACGCCTTCTCAATGGCCGCCTACCTTGCATCCCTGGTTGCCTCGAACTCTAACTTCACTTTAGTCTCAGACAATCCACCGCCGTGTTTGCAGGTCTGTTTCTACTTCAACGGACAAGAAGGTGTAGGCCACCGTAACCGGAATTCGAAGATCACGGAAGAGATCACTAAACGCTTGATACCGAGAGGATTTATGATCGACTACGCTCCGGGTGATGAAGGCAAGTTCTTCAGGGTGGTGGTGAATGTGCAGACGCGGAAGGAGACGGTGGAGGGTCTCGTCAAGGCTATCCAGGAAGTGGGAGACGGTCTGGATGTTAAGACTCTGGGGTGAGCTCCCGGATTGTTAGTTCTGGTTAGTGAGGCGTTCAAACCGGGCCTTGCGCTACGCTCTGCGACGCGCGCCATAGGGAATCAGAGCTCGCCGTCTCGCGGAAGGGTGTCGACGCTGAGAGCACCTGCGATGGTCTGCAGCGGTGATTGGCTTGGCTGTGCCGAAGGGAGGTTATGGCTACGGCGCTCATGTCGTGCCATGTGATGTGCCAGACTGGGTGCCAAGGTGTGCCGATGCGGGTGTTCTTCAAACGCGCTCTACTGGAGACAAACCTGAACTGTATGCGAAATATGCGAACAGCACTGGAAGGAAGCCTCGAAATGTAAGTTAAGCGGAAGGGCAGCCTTCGGTAAGGCCTCGCTATGCAATACTAAGTCTACAACAGCCCGTGCAACAAGCACGTTGCTATATGCGTCCGGCAAACATGCCATCTAGTGTACAACGCTCAATGCGTCACAAGCCGCGCCTTTAGTCTACTTGTAAAAGTCAAACTTGTCCGCCTCACTCGCGCCCTTAACCTGGCTGGTATACGCGTCCTCCAAATCCTGCTGAATGATGTTGTACCGATTCTTCCTCACCGCTCTCAACCCAGCCTCCTGCATGATAGCTGCGATAGTCGCACCAGACAGCGGATCATTGCGCACGATGAGCGAGTCCAAATCAACTTCCGGAGCCAGACTCATCTTCGCCGCGATGGTGGTGAAGATGAGTCGCCGCTCGCGCCTATCGCGTAAGTTGGGGAACTCGATCTTACGATCTAGCCGTCCCGGACGCAGCAAAGCAGGATCGAGCGTGTCCGCGCGATTCGTGGCCATTATGACCTTCACATTGGACGTCTGATTAAAACCATCCATCTGATTCAACAACTCGAGCAGGATACGCTGCACTTCTCTGTCCGCACCTGTCTGCGCGTCGAAGCGTTTCGTTGCAATAGCATCGATCTCGTCGATGAAGATAATCGCTGGACTATTCTCGCGCGCCATTCGGAAGACGTCACGGACCATGCGCGGCCCTTCTCCGAGGTATTTCTGCACGAACTCCGAGCCCACGACGCGGATGAAGGAGGCCGTTGTGCTATTTGCAACCGCCTTCACCAGCATGGTCTTGCCCGTTCCGGGTGGTCCGTAAAGCAGTACACCTCGAGGAGGGTCGATGCCGATCTGTTTGTAGAGGTCGAATTGCGTGAGTGGGAGCTCAACGGCTTCCCGGATCTCCTGCTTCTGCATGTCCAGGCCTCCGACATCCGCGTACGTGACGTCTGGCTTCTCATCTGCGCCTAGCATGGCGATACTGCTATCCGCCTCGGGAGGGAGGATGTCGACAAGGCTGTTGCTGTGTCGATGTAACGCCACTGTGCTGCTCGGCTTGAGCAATTCCCGGTCCAGCGTGCTTAGTATTCGCACTACATAGTTGCTCCCTGTGCTCGATTGTACGATGCCGGTGTTGTTGTCTATGGCTTCCATGAATTGTCCAATTACGAGCGGCACGGACTGTATCCGCTTGATTTCCTCCTGAGCCCGGACAAGCTCGCGCTTGAGAGATCGTTGCTCATCCTTAATGTACTCTTCTTGTAGCTTGATGTACTCAAGCTGTCGTTGAAGTTTCTTGTATGTGGAGTACTGGTCGTCCTCCTCGGCTGATGGCTCGAGGTTGTCGACAGTGTGTGAGGGTGTATGTTGGCCGATTCGATGATGGGGCGCTTGAGTGTGGGCAGGGTTAAGAGTATCAGCGGTGGCCATGTTGTGTCCTGATATCTGTGTGCCTAGGAAGTGTTCACGGTGCTGGTGGAGGCTTGGGTCGTGCTGTCGGCAAGAGGGACGGCGAGATGGTTGTGTGATGGCAACTGAATCCACGAAGCTGACGCTGGTGAACGTGACGGAGACGCGAGGCCTGAGGCTTACAGACTTTCCGATCTACGATTGGTTTCGAAGCACGGCCGCTAACGGCTGGCTGCATGACGACACATGATGTATGTTCTCTCCATTTCTCTGTCTCGCACATTCACCACTGACTGCCCGCTGTCAATGGGCGTGCAAACGTTTCGCTGTCGCCACTTAAGCCACTAAAAGTCAGCAAAGGGCGTAGTTTGGCCTTGTGGTTCAATCGTCCACTCAACACTCGCCATTTGAACCGGAACCAGTAATGATCATGAGGGGCTGCACCGAAAGGCTCACTGCCTCCTACCATAGGTGGCCGCTGCAAAGCACCGCTACTAGCTGATACTGCTTGACACCCGGAACATCGCAGCGGGCGTAAGTATGAGAACAAGACATTTCTTTGTAGAACATGTCGCGATCCTCGCTGCAACCAACGATGCTATACCGGTAAGAAGCGGCGGATGTCCCACTTAGGTGCATCTTCCTCTGTGCTCTCCAGGCCCGTTTGTCCAGATCGAGTTACTATGGCGGCCGTATCTCCATGAGCCTTGGTGGAGCCGCCGACATCTTGAGTCCATGTGTCAGACCATCAATGTCTTATTGGCGCTGATTGCACATACAGCTCTCACTCGATTGTATGAGCGGCATTTCTGGATCGAGATAGGTATGACTGTGAGCCAACACTAACAACAAAGTACGAAGACCAGATTTTAGGATTGAATTTCAATACTGTTTTGACAATGCTAGGGACAATGCGCAGGACCAGGTCGGCAACCATCTCTCTTCTCTTGGTTCAGCTTCAGATAGAACATCACACCAGCACCGCAGAACAGCACTGCCAAGAGCACATCGCAACCAATTCTCACCGCAAGATTCCATTCAACACAAAACACTACTACTCCATCAAAGGGGTACAATCATTCTCATCGGACACTCGAATAGACCATCAAGTTTTCGTGACAGCAACTACAGATCTCAGCATATCACTCAACATCTATTCCACACGTTGACCCTTCTGGCACGCAGAATAACGGCAAACATATGGCAGGTATCGGAGGCGGCCTAGCTGGTCTGGCCGTCGCAAACTACCTCCTCGCCAAAGGCCTCAAAGTCACACTGTTCGAGAGCAAGAACGCTGCAGGGGGCGTTCAGAATACCGACCAAACAGACCACCGGCCAGGTCTAGTATGTAACTATCGTGAGACCAACGTCCCGCAGAGTCTCATGACCTTCTCCGACTTTCAGTGGCCGGAGGGGACCTCACTGTTTTCCAAAAATATCACGGTGAAGCAGTATATGCAACAGTACGCAAACCAACACATGCGGGAATGAGTCTGCCTTGTCCAATTGATGCATTGAGTACGGCACAGTGGTGCTAGATGTTCACAAGGAGCCTCTGTTGGCGACGACGGCCACCCCCCTCCAGCTTAGTGCGAATGCCTGAACGAGACTCATATTCAGAATATGCTCGTGTGACCATCGACCGCATTTCTCATGTTGTCAGTCTCTGGGAATTAGCCTACCGGATGCTTGTGGCGTCACGTATGTAGAAGTTGAGAAGGAAGGTTTTGAAGCCCTCAGGAACACCGACTGGGGGTCGTTTCCGCAGCTGCTTCGTTGGTCACTGATGCCCGCAAGTGCGTCCGCAGAGCTGAAACCGGTGATCAGGAGGTACGAACCGCACCGCACGTCCGCCGTGTCAGGAGCCAAAACCTGTGAGACAACATTGGCAAGCAGTAGCTGCTGCTGCGCTGTACACTGGCCCACCAAACTTCCAGTTTGCGGAGACGACACTCCTTTTCCGGCGCCGAATGTCTACGATGATAGGGGTGGCGTTTGCCGTTCTCCGACGTGGCTATGGGCGCTAGTATAGATACATAAAGGTATGCGCGCTGGCACGCCGCACATGAAACCACCAGCCCAGCCTAGTGCACAGTACCATACTGACTACCATGTCTGTCGAGCTCGTACATCGTGCCATCGCGACTCCGGTGGCACTGCTGCACGTACCAGTTCCGCCATCAGCCTCGCATGCCGGCGACGCCACCTAACCCATCAACCGATTATCCCAATCATCCCCAAACAGTCCACTCTCAAGCCTAACCCTCCGCCCCTCCACCCTCCTCCCCGCATGCGCCTCAACCGCCTTTCTCTGCCCCACCGCCATCCGCTGAGCCTCGCCCAACCGTGCCAAATCCGCGTCACTCAGCTCCCCCACCGTAGCATCCCTCAACTGCTCCTCCAGCACCCCCAGCGCCCTCCGCTTCAACCGCTCAACCTCCTCCCGCACCCTAGCCTCCTCCTCCACCCGGATCTTCTTCCCAACGCGCTCCTCCATCTGCAATTCTTCCTCCCGCACTTTGCGCTTCTTCGCCAGCAACTGTGCCCGCCGCGCCTTTTCGGCTAGGTAGCGCACGCTGTGACCCTTCACGCCCACTCCGCCGCCATCAACAGCGACAGCGACAGGCGGGGCGGTGAAGAACAACACGCGGCCTGTGTCGTCCTGCTGGTACTGATCCCGGATTTCCTTCGGGATGCTGAGATTGGCTTGGTCGGGTAAGACGTAGACTTCTATTGGCGGCGGATCGCGGTAGCTGCTCCCTTGTTGCGTGCCTGGACGCGTGGGGTAAGTGGCAGGGTTTGGTGGGATGGAGGCCGCGGCCGGTGTCTGGTAGTTCGTAGTGCTCTGCGCTATGGTCCGAGGTAGAGCGGCAGGGGCCGGTTGCGGAGTTTGAGGCGTCGTGTAGCTACTCGTCTGCGACATGGCTGAAGGCGGGCGTACGGGCGCGGGAGACGGAACGGAAGGTTGCGTGTATTGCTGTGGATGTGACGCTGTATATGAGGAGAGTGGTGGCCGGCCTACCGGTCTTGGACCTGACGGTTGGCTTTGCGGAAGAGGTGTGGCGTTGTAGGTCGACTGCGAGGGAGCAACCTGCCTTGGTGGCGGCGTCGGCAGTTTCGGTGGCGGCGGTGGCGTCGGCTCTGGTGGTGCGCTATCTCGGTCACCGCGTGGTCGCCTATGTACAGCACCAATCTTCGGCGGCGCACCATCAGCACCCCACTGCACCTTTGGAAACTCATCGGTCTCCTTCTGCTCGTCCTTCAGCAAGTACGCGATCGGTGACGGGAACTTCTTCATCTTGCGCGAATGGTCGAAGAGATCCATCTCGTAGTCCTTGTCCCTCACTTCATCTGGCAAGCATGAAGCCCACGTCTTTATCTTATTGAACTCGTGCTTGGCCTCGTTATAGCGAGCTTCGCAGACATAGATTTCCATACCCTCCGGCAGTCCGCGCGGTCGGCCTTTGAAGTACCGAGTGAAGAACATGATGAAGCACTTGCCTTCAACCTCTTCGATGTGGTGATCGCGGTACCTACCCGTTTTGACCACTTCATTTGGGTAGAAGTGCTTGTCGAAGCGGTGTACTGTCTGCTCCGGACGGTAGTACCAGCACACATTCACCATGCTCTGTCCGTTAGATGCCTTGTATGTGCGGTAGATCTGCGCCGGGATAGGCTTGGTAAGATCGTTGGGGTTCTGAATGTGGACCCAGTCGCCAACTTTGTAGAGATCGCCATTATGCAGGATACCGTTTGGCATCGGTATCTTGCCTTCCTCGTCCGCGAAAGTGTCGTCTGGCTTCGCTTTCTCATTGTCATACAGTCGGCCGGCCTCGATCTGGAGCGCGGTGGCATGCTTGTAGACCTGAGAGTCGTCCTGATTGTATTCCTTGGCATTGTTGAACATCAAGTTGACGTCTGCCATGAACTCTTCGACGGAACGGTACTTCTTGCGCTTCACTTTGCGCTTGAGGACATCGTACGCAATTGGATTCTTGATTTCGACGTAATATTCCGGCATGGCCTGCTTGTCCGGCAAGCGATCGAAGTCCTTGATCATCAATGCACCTCGCTGATTCTTCGGCTTCCGTATGCCTTTCAGGATGGCCTGTATTCGCGCCTCCGTCGGAGTAAGTAGCTTCGGGGGCCTACCCCTTGCCTTCTTCTCCACGGGCACACCATCGTCCGCCGCCTCGCGCTTCACTATGCTCGACGCGCCTCGTCCGCCTTTTCGCTTCTTACGAGGCCTCCCTTCATCATCTAAATCGTCGACCTCGTCCTCATCGTCCTCCTCGCCCTCTTCGTCGCTGCTCTCCTCCTCCGCCTCGCCCGCCTCCTCCATCGGCACATCCTCGTACGTGGGAATCTCGCCGAGGTATGGCAGTGTAGCAACCTCCTTCGTGATGAGTCCTTCGTTCACCAGAAGTTGTAGCTGCTTCTCCAGTTGCGCTTTGATCACGAGCGCATCCTGAAATGCACCGCTGTCGGGCCGGTTGAAGACTTGTGCATTATGCGGAATGAGGGCAAAGTCACGCACGAACTGCGCGACGTCTCGGTAGTCTTTCCGGTGTATTTTGGCCTTGATGGTACTCAAAGCAATCGGTTCCTTGATGGTATCGTAATACTCGGGTATGACGCGCTTATTGACCTTGCGGTGGAAGAGCTTGGAAGGGTCAAACCCGTCTTCGGTCCGGTAGTCGTAGATGGCGTTTAGGACACGTGACATGGCATTCCACGTCTCGTCGGGGAGTTGGGAGCCATCGTTGCCCGATGCGGCTTCTGTTGATGGGATGGGTGTCGAGCTTTCTTCCCGCTCCTTGTCTCTACTCTCCTTGCCCTGCTGGTTTGCCGCGTGTCCCTTCTTGAACGGCATCGCGTGTCATTCGCCCTTCACACAGACTGTTGTTGGTGTTGTTGTTGTAACTTCGGCGTGGGCCCGGCCGTGCCAGCGTTTACTGGACATTCAAGGAAGACGCGCCGAGAGGAACGGACCCTTAGCGGGAAGGCACGAAATGTCGCTGACTAAGCAGAAATTGTGGAGCATGTGCATTCTGCGTGCCATCATTCAACAATTGATGAGATGAGGAGATTGCTGCAAAACTGCATTTGACTTGCCAATAAACAACTACATAAGTTGTCGTTCGTCGCTGCTTGACGTCAACAAGGAACTTCTATAGCAACTGCTGTTAGCTTTTGCTCAAGTGCAAGACTTTCCTTCTAACTGTAACCGTATATCATTGACGACCACTACTTCCGATCCCGAACACTTAGCAAGGGCTGCAGAGGCATTTCTAGCCCTGACCTGGCCACGTAGGGATCACAAACTGCGCCGAAGAAGCTAGTGGCGACCATGCGTCTCCGAGTGCGTGGGCCGCAAGGAACCGCTCAAGTAACGATCGACGCCAATGCAACATGGTCAGACCTGAAGCACGAGATCAGCGAAAAGACTGGTGTCCCAGACTTTGATCTCAAGTATGGCTACCCACCGCAACCCTTCAATACCGAATCCATAGACGGCGCGATGAAGCTCGCTGATTTGCCCGTCAAGCTCGAAGGCGAACAGCTGATAGTGATGCCTCGCAACATACAAGCCTCGCTCTCGAGCCCCATGTCTGGCACGAAACCACCATCAGAGGCTGTAAAACCTTTGCCGCCACAAGATCTCACTTCGCCACCTAAGCATCAGCTCGGCGACTTCCCAGACCAGCAGCTCTCCCTACAACGAGCGAAGCGAAAAGCGGGCGACGTTGAAAGTGAACCCCCCGAGGTGCCTGTCCCTATGCTGGAAGGTGTGATGGCGTTACGCGTGATGCCCGACGACAACAGCTGCATGTTCCGCGCCTTGTCCTCTGCAGTGCTCGGGTCAGCGCTGGATGGTATGAACGAGTTGCGCTCAGTCGTCGCTCAGACGATCCAAGCGCAACCGGAGCTGTACACGAAAGGCATGCTGGAGAAGGAGCCGTCAGACTACTGTCGCTGGATCATGAGAGAAGACAGCTGGGGCGGCGGCATCGAGCTTTCAATCCTAAGCCAGCATTTCGACATCGAGATCTGCAGCATCAACGTCCAGGACTTGCGCGTTGATAAGTTCAACGAAGGGCGACCGACTCGTTGCATCCTGGTCTATTCTGGCATCCACTACGACGTCTGCGCCGTCACACCCTTCGCCGGCGCCGAGCCCGAGTTCGACCGGAAAGTCTTCGATGTCATCCGGACGGGCGACGAAGAAATGGACGGCGGTGCTTTGGAGGCTGCGCGCGAGCTCTGCAAGATCTTACAAGGTCGGCATTACTATACTGATACGCATGGTTTCGACATCAAATGCACGCAGTGCGGTCAAGCGGGTAAGGGACAGCAGTGGGCTGTCCAGCATGCGAAAGCTACGGGTCATGGCAGCTTCGCCGAGCCTGATTAATGATGTCCAGAGCTTGAGAGCGAGTTTCACTAACGGTATGTTTATGTGCCGCTGGGTATGCGTATGACTCACACTAAGTGAGGCTATGCAGCATGCAACCTTTCGAGTCATCTCCATCTACACGGTTTTCGATTGGACATCGGCATAATCACGGCAATGGAAACAAGTGTATATATACTGTTTGCGCAAAGCGTTTGATCAGGGAAGTAGCTGTACCTTACATTGGAATCAGACGCTTGCGTCTACGTCTCTTCGGAGATCCTTCCCTTTTTGATGAACATTACTCACCCAACAATCTAATTTCATTGGATGACTCGAAATTTTGATTGATTATTGATTTGTAATTGTATTTCGTGCTGGCTACGATGCGTTGATTTGATTGTTCGCTAGACGGGACCGCCTCAACCACCCACCCAACACTACGTACACGAAACAGTTGCGATCCGACCGATTGTACAGATTGCCACGCCTTTACCGCCATCAATGATATCCTGTCAAACAGTTGCTGCTCGTCGCCAATGTATTGCACGTCACATAAAGCCCAGGCGTGATCCCTTTGCCACGGAAAGCGTACGTGTGGCCCTGCTGAGCGCCGCCGCTCACCTCTGCAAAAAGCCTGTCAGCACGAAAGTCCATCGCTTGCGTAACGAGGAGAGTCAGCACTCACGTCCTTGACATCCCACCGCAGCATAAGTGCCATCATCACCGCTGCCGCCTGTGGAAAGGTAATTGTAGATGAATACGCCAGGTCTGGAGGTAACATAGCTAACCGTGAAGTGGTACGTCTCATTTGCCATCCCTTGGTATCGTCCGAGGTAATACTCATACGTAATCCCCGTGCTGTTGACCTGGTAGAAGATGCCTTGTGCCGGGCTAGCTGAGCCATAGAGATACAGATCGTCCAGCCACGGAGCGACCGTATTGTTGGGGATGTGACTGTCCGGTAGCCATTGATTCTGATACTGCGCTTGGCCGTAGCCGATGGAGATGTATCCGTTTGTGCTTGCGAAGGATTTGGTGGAGGTGGTGGAGTATATTTGCATGGTGAAGGGTAGATCAATTTCGCAGTAGGAGTCGTCTTCGTCTGTGCCTGCGGGATCGCCGAAGTCGCAGGGAGTTGGAGAGGGTAGGACGAGGTAATTGGAGGTGGATAATGCTGCGGTGCTTGACGATGACGAAGATGATGTCGTCGTGGTAGTCATTGTGGTCGTTGTTGGTGGACTCGATGAAGTTGAGGTGGGGGTGGTCGTTGTTGTGGTCCTTGTGCTCGATGTTGCCACCGTGCTTGAAGTGCTAGAGACAATGGAGCTGACTGTCGACGACGTGCTCTGCATGATCGTCATGCTGCTGGATGTACTTGTTGAAGCCGTCGGCATACTGCTTGACGTGCTCGACGAGGCCATCGTTACGCTGCTGGACGTGCTCGACGAGGCCATCGTTATGCTGCTCGAAGACAAATCCGGCCCAGCCACCATCACCGCACAGTTCGTCGTGCCGTCATACACCAAGTAACTGCTTCCAGTCTTCATATAGCAGGTGCCTGGCCCATTGCCACCACTGTACGATACGCCAGAGCAAGTAGCAGTCTGATCGCAGCTGTCCAGGCACTGCTCGAAACTTGGGCAATTCTGTACTATGCCAGCGCCGTTGGGGATGTCCGCTGCTCTGAAGTCGGAACCGCAGCCGATCGTGTATTTGCCGCCGCTCAAATCCGTGTAGACAGTGTTGTTGTCTGTCGGACAGATTGGTGGTGTAGGCGTTGCCATCATGCTGCTGGAGGTGGACGTGGACGACCAGGCTTGTGTGCTTGTCGAGGTCCGCATACTCGGGCTTGAGGACGAAGATGTCTTTGTCTTGGTGGTTGTAGTGGTGGGGTTGTGCATCGTGGACGACGTTGATAAAGCCGTTACGCCTGGCGAAGACGTCGAGATCGAGATCGTGCCGGGCGCTGACGATGTGGATGAGGAAGCCATCGTCGCGAACGACGATGAGGAAGATCCTGTCATTGTTGCCGTAGATGACGACGTGGAATGAGCGGCAGGATTACTCGAGGGCGGCGTAGAAACAGCGGGCGTGTTGCTGGAGGAGCTGCTGCTGCTTGCCACAGACGCTGTGTAGACCATGCTGCTCGAAGTGCTGCTAGCCATCGTGCTGGTTGAAGGCGTGGCATACGATGTCGTGACCGCGTAGGTATACGTCACGCCGTTCACCACCACCGCACGTTTCTGCAGGTGTGCGAATTGTACATTCGGCGTGAACGAGCCGCCACCGCCTTGGACCTCACTGCAGTACTCATAGCAGGTATTGCTGTCGGAATCGAAGCCAACAGCCTCGCAGTTGACGTCCGTTGAACAGGCGTTCAGACAAGATGCCATGTCCGGCTCTGAGAGCGTGTCGCAGATGCCACCGGAGTAGGTGGTGTTACATTGTACTTGGTACTGACTCCCGGTGGACGGGTCGATATAGTTGTAGCTTTGCGCGGTGGAGTTACATCCCAAGTCTGATGCCGGTGTTACCGCTGCCGGCGGACTGGAAGTGACGGAGCTGGCTGCATCATGAACTGAAGTGCTCGACCCATACTGCGGCTGTACTGATGATATTGGCGCCGTGTACGGAGACACCGTTGACGGACTACTTCCACTAGAACCAGATGAGTACCCTACTGGCGTCGCTGTCGTAGTGGGCACGACCGCACCTCTCGCAAAGGACGTGCTGTAACTGGTAATCTGTTCTGGTTGCGATGGCTGGGACGTGGAAGAGCTTGGCGGAGAGCAGTCGCCGAAGTCTGACTGACACCCGCTTCCACAGTAAGCGTTGCTAGTACCGCAATAGCCATACGAGCTGCAACAGTCCCCCCAGCCTGAGCCAGCGCATATCCAGCCGCCGTTATCAGCGCCGCACAGCCCGTTCTGCGAAAGGGAGCTCGCCGGAGATGTGCCTGTCGGCGTTGCCATGGTGCTGGATGATCCCGGGCCGTTCGAGCTTTGGTACACTGGATTGCACTGACCATACTGAGCTTGACATCCTGTATTGCAGTAGTCGGTTGAAGTTCCGCATACGCCATACTGGCTACAGCAGTCTCCGAAGCCGGAGTCAGTGCAGGTCCAGTCGCCGTTCAAGGCGCCACATAGTCCGTTTTGAGAGGTGTAATCACTCGGTACCGGAGTCGAAGAGCTATCAAGAATGGTATTGGTTGCGACAGATGTTGATTGCGATGCATTCGACGATATGCCAATGGAAGACGCTGTAGTCAGTCAGCACAAGTACGTTCAAAGAGCCGGAGGCCACTTACATGGCATAGCCATAAGCGCAACACGTTCCCACTCAGCGCCATAACTTCCAGAAAACCACGCAATGATCTGCGCGTTCACTAAGGTAGTCGATGGGTTCTTGTAGAACTCTGCCGAGCCGCCTTGAAAATTGTTAAAGTCCGAATTGTTCCAATATAAAACGCCACCCTGTACGCTGAACGTAGTACTAATCGCCGCAGGCATGCTTGCCAGAGCGAATGGTTCGTTCTCTGTATACGGTAGGGTAGACATGTAACCTCCGTTAACGCCTTGGAGCTGCGAATTCGATATTCGATACTGCTGCGCCATCGTGCTGTCTGCCGTCGTGTTACCGTTCGCCATGAGCCATGTTGCACCGGGTGTCTGTCGCTTCGTCCTGGAGTACGAGCTCCCTGTGATCTGCAACACAAAGGGCAAGCCGCTGTTCGCATCCGCGTCCGTCCATGGCACAGGTTGCACAGTTGCCGTAGGATGCACGGTCCTGTATACTGCGCTACACATGCTCGCATACTCGGTAACTGTAACCACTTGGCCATGGACAGCTGCTAGCAAGCTCGCAGACGCGAGCGATGTGGCTACGGCATCACGCCAATACATTTTGCTGTCGGCCTGCTCCAGGGGTATGACACGATACACGTGCTAGTGATCCCAAAAGGAGAGCTCGTAACCGTGAAAAAGGAGGGAACAGTATTCAGATGGTGACAATGGACGGTGTTAGATCACACATCAGAGAGCGTTTGCACCGCGTGCAAGACCTCTTCTGATGTGGTACGGCTCAACGTGCCAAGAGTGGATGGAATGAAAACACGCTTACCGGCCATGTGCTATTGGGTCTCTACTGTATTGCCGCGGAATGTGCTCAAACTCGACTTCATCTCTGCTCGCCTAAGCGTCGTCGTGAGGGCCAGTTTTCATGCTTGATCCTCACCCAGTCGCTCAGTCCAAGACGCTCAATGGGACCTGGGAAACGGTAAGGTTGTCAGCCACAGCAGCATTGAAAACACTGGTCAGGCCAGAAAGCCGCAGCACTAACACCCTACCGTGGAGCGGCCACACGTGCGTTGACGAAGAGCATACCATAATCAGTACGTGGAAGGTATTCATTTCGACGGCAGCTCGATCCTCGAACAAAGCTAATGTGTCAGAAAGCCTCCGAAGAAGAGCCTTCAGGTTCGAGCGCGAAGCCTGTGTCAGGTGATGTGTTACACCGCGGATGCTGGTATAGCCTTAACGGCAGCCCAATGTCGATGAGTCTGAGAGTGCTCGTGTAACCATGTTCAACCAAGACATCACGGAGTGCTCTAGCCTGTAGCTGCTTGGTCGGGCGGTTGGGATTGCATGAAGGCCCGACACGTAGCTGGCAGCCTCAACGCCTGGGTGCCGTCGAAAAGCACCCCAAATCTAAGCATATCAACGTATTGGCTGGGCAGCCATCTCTTTCAGTGCATATCGAAGGACTCTGGCCCGTCGCTTACCCATGTAAGTTCACCTGCCAGCAAAAAGAGTTATGGAAACGAGGAATAAGGTCCGCCCGTTCCTGTAATTAGCCCAACGCACCAGCCGCAGCCTAGCGCAGGACCAAGTGCGCGGTAGTAGATGCACGAATCAGATGCGACACGTAACGCCACGGCCGAGGTGCCCGGCGGGTGAGATCGTGTGCGTGTGACTGACGACTGAGGCCACGGCGTTATCAATCAAGCAAGGCTCCGCCGTCACTCGGAAGTCTACCTGCTTCCACACAACACCCTCCGCTTCCCGCTTATTGGGTGACAATTGCCATCTCTATCACTCCAACAGCGTTTCCTACGACATCCGCCTTATCTTCTGCAATCTCCCTCGCCCCTTCGATTAACCGCCGTACCACCTCACGCGACCATCTGCACCGCCTGCTTCAGCACCTACGCCTCGCCATCTAGAAGAGAAACAGCGATATCAGTCGCCAACATGCGCTCCAACAGTATCTCTAGCATCTCCTCCGTGAGCTCACGTGGTTCATCCGTAGAGCCCGAGGAGACGATGCAGATCTTCGTCAAGACGGTTGCTGGAGACAGTAAGTTTACAGCGTAGGACTTGTCGAGAGAGTCCTGCTAATTCGGCACAGCTTTCCCAATCACCATCCCTCAATCGACATCCGTCGGTACTCTTCGTGCCCTGTGCGCCCTCCGCACGAACATCCCAGAGACCGACCTTCGGATAGTCTACGCTGGCAAGCACCTATCGCTATCAGAGCGCCTGACGGCATGCAATGTCACCCAGGACAGCACGCTTCACATGGCATTACCACTCCGTGGTGGTGCACCGAAGAAGATCCGATGCGGTGCCAAGGATTGCAAGGACGCGGCGCAGAGGATAGTGGGTGACTGTGGCTTCTGCCAGGGGCACTTCTGTGGCAAGCATCGCATGCTGGAGTCGCACAACTGCCCCGGTCTTGAGGACTGCAAGAAGGAGGAGAAGGATCGCAACACGCAGAAGCTGGAGAGTGAGCGGACGGTGGCGATCAAGGGTATTTAGAGCGGACAACGTCGCAGATGAGCCCGACTATGTCTTACGTACATTCTGCTTAGCGATGGCGTACTGATGCTGAATAGATGTTTTAGTGGTTTCAACGATGCGATTCACCCGTCTCAGATGTCTCTTCTTTGCTTGTCAGTGAATGTCTACATATGGCAATACCGCGGTAAGCCTAGAAACACTCGACGACAGACATAGGAGGCGAAGGTGAGCTTCGGAAATCGAATTTGGCTTTACTGTAATCACATACTCGATCCAGCTATGGCTTACCATCTGTGTTTCCTGGCAAAAATACTACTTAAGAGGCTACTCTTCATCTCATCGCAACTGCAACCCACCAAGCAATACATACTGCAAACAAACGATACCAAAGCCAACCTCACCACAGACTCTCGTCCCGACCTGCTACTACCCCATTCCCAGAACCACAGCCCTACATCAAAACGACCCGGCACCACCAAAGCAGCACAATGTTGGTCCATCGCGTCGGGAATAGCAACACGTGTACCACCATTAAGATCGAGCCCGAAGATGAACCCCCGGTTCCGGCCTCCAAAACCAAGCGAGAACCCTCCAACACCCCGACACCACCTCTCGCAGAGATACCAACGCGAGACACCGTTCGCGAGCTCTGCGACCGCTGGCAAGCCGCCATCCCAGATGTTGACAAATGCGCCGACTATCTCGAAGACCCGCACCTTCCAGACGGTGCCGCAAGGGCCACGGCACTCCGCGGCGCTTTCATCGGAGCAGGGGAGTCGGTATGGAAACTCTGTAAGCTCCAAAGGCGCGAGGCGCGGGAGGCGAGGAAGCGCAAGCGGGAGCAGCGGGAGGTGAAGGAGGAGATGGGAATGGAGTGGAATACTGTTCCCACTACTGAGGTCCGGCTGCCGAGAACGGACCTGCGGGGCCAGCGGAGCTTGAATGGGGTGAATGGGATTGGGAAGTCGGTTACACCGCGGTTGGTGTTGACTGATGAGCAGATGCGGGCGCGGTACCGGCTCTCCCCTGAACCTAGGTGGTGCCATCCCAAGCGCGTAAGGTGTCAGTAGATGGCTGTGGCGGCCACAACGGCTGCAGGCGGTAGGAGACAGGCTTTTGGATCAGTGGTTGGTAGGCTGTAGTATGCAGCGCTCTCTTAAGCCCATAGAGTGTCGATGGGCGGCTGTAACCGCCATGTGCTACCGCAGGCGTTTGGCGCCCTTACTTGGGATAGATAGTTATCTGGTAATCTGGTCATTGTTCATGGCATATTCCCAACCCGCATAACGCTGTAATAGTTGGCTACAACCGCCATTACGACTTTACGCTGCAACCAAATTGTTCTTGATTTGGGTGGTTGATGTAGCATTACAATCATAGGTCATTCCAAGAGCGCAAGGCGCTCGCTATACAAATCTCATACAAGTCCCACGCGCGTACTACCCTCATCTCCTAGAAATGCAGGTCATTAGGTGCCTATCGCCTTAAAGAAACGCACATACTATAATTCTGTCTTCGAATCCAGGGTATAGTCAGTCCTGTCTTTTTCATCTTTCGAAACCCGCAACGCCTGATCCCGACATTATCAACATCCAAGAGAACGATAGCCTCCCCGTCAGCATCTTGAAAAAAGCATCAACCAGCCGGTCTTCCCACCGGCCATCCACTTTCACCTCACACTCTCCTCACCACCCCCCGCAACGCGATCCGTGATTGCTGGTTATCCGACACCACGTACATGTACTTGGTGGACGCGCGTCTCCTACCAATCCGTCATGTCCACATCAGCACTCAACATGCCCTTAATTTCCCGCAATACTCTCCGGACTAATCATAGCCGCAGCAGTACCAGTCTCACCCTTCCCTGGCTCCTCCACCACACCATTCTCCGGCGGCATCTTCAACTTCAACGCGCCCACCGGCTTGCCCAGGCCCCCCAACCTCACCTCCGCCCTCCCCTCCACATCCAACTTCCGCTTCTTCTTCGCCGCCTGCTGCTGCTCCCGAATAGGCCGTTTTCGCGGACTCGAGATTTTACCCGTAGGCGGCAACCTGGGCTTCGGAAACCGCTGTTTCAACGGTAACTCTTCGTCCTCCACCAACCGAACCACCCCTTCATCGCCCTTGACGCCCGCAGTGCGTAGTCGGGCCCGGAAGAAGTCCTGCGCAATGCCGACCATCTCGCCCAGATTCTCGCTCGAGATAGCCTCGTAAGGCTCGGGCGGCGGGAAGATAAGGCCAGTGCTTGTCGTAGGGCCTTGATGTTGGGCTTGGAAGGCGCTCTGCATGCGGTTTTGAAGTAAATGGAGAGGGACGGACAGATTTTCGAGGCCGAATTCGGCCGCGAGACCGAGTTCGCGGAAGCCGAAGAAGTCTTCGTCAAGGTCTTCGGCGAAGTCGCCACCGACAAATTGTTCGCTGCCGTCTTGGAAGGCGCCGACGCCGTCTGCGCCTGCGTGGTCGCCGAGGGCGGGTCGCTAAAGTAACAAGTCAGTAATGATCATTCACAAGGCTAGGGCTGGTACGTACGAGCAAGTCAGCTAGGTGGCCCTTCATCCTCTCATGCACCACGCCCAACTTCGTGCCCAACCGATCCACCTCATCCTTGACATAGCCTTCCAAGTTCTCCAGATCCAACCCACCTTCCTGCAACGTATGCAGTACCTGCTCTTCGAAGCTAAACTTGCCCACTGCCTTCTCTCCCTCAACCATCCGCTTCGGCTGCTCTCTATAAACCTTGAATCCCTCAACGAGCTTGCCAAAGTACTCCCCAGCCAAGTCCACCGCCGCATCCAACGCACTCGGCTGAAAGTCCTCAAACCCCGCATGGTAGAAGATCTTGCCAACGGACCTCTGCAGCGCCGCGCGGTTAAGCCAGGGCGCAATAAGCGGGCCTTCCTCGCTCACGACGACGGTGCCAATGTCCTGTTCCACAAACGGCTGGGGTTCGTATCTCTGGAACTGGTTCTGGTACGTCTGGCCTTGCAATTGCATCTGCTTGACCAAGCTGATCTTGGAGCACACTTTACGTGTTTCCTGCATTTGCCTCATGTTGGCTTCCATTTTGCGGGTCAAGATGCTGCCACCAGTGCCGCCGGAAGAAGACGATGAGACGAAGCGCTCACGAGGGTGCATGCGGAGCCATTTCTCGGATTGCTGGATTGCATGGCCTGCCGAGTCGGTCGTCCACATCCACCGCTCCTGCAGATTGGGAATGGCAGAGAGAGGGTTGTAGTAGTCCGGCAGCGTGGAGTCTTCATCTTTTTCAATGCCTTCTGCGAGAGTCTCTCCGGTTAGGGCGGAGGAGTCGGCCGCGTCTGCGTCGTCATGAGCATCAGACTCCGCATCACCTTTTTGCGACTGCAGCATCTTCTGCTGTCGCATCCATCTACGCATCGCAGCTTTGCTTCGCAAGAGTGCCGGTTCATCGATGTTAAGCCTTTCGCCTCGCTCGCCCTGAAACAGTCGGTTTCGTTCAGTCGCTGCAATCGCTCGATCCTTCTTCGTGACCTGCTTCCACGTCTTGAACTCGGTGTCATCCTCGTCCGGATCGTCTTGCGGCGCGTTAAGAACGGACTGTTGCCCGCCAAAGCCATCCACTTCCATGACGTCCGGTTGACTACCTACGCCATGCACGCCATTCACCAGCGGCGTAGCTGTACCCGGCGGAGGCGTTGAGAAGCCGGCAGAGCTTGCATCTTGCGTCTCGGAGTCCGCTCGCAGAAATTCGTTCCGCAGATGCGACGTCGATGCATGCATCAATGGCTTGACATCCGGCGGCGCAGGCGAGTCTGTTTCGTCGACCGCCACGCTCGGTGCTTTGCGTGCTGAAGACGGTGCGCCCTTAACACCCTTCTTCGGCGCCTTACGCCCACGAGAAGCGAGCGGCGCGTCATCTTCCTCGTCGCTTTCGTCGGCGTCAGCCATATTCATCTTACGTTCCTCGGCTTCCACCTCCGCGCGGTCGCGGACGGTGATCTCTGGAATAAGCTGCGTGAGTTTGTCGGTCTCCTTGCGCATGTAGAGCGCCTTTTTCCGAAACGGATGATCCGGATTGGAATTGTACTTCAGACAGTTCGACCAGATGAGGTTCAGATCATCCACGAACTCGCGCTTGGACTTGTACGCCATTGTCTTGAGCTTCTTCAGCATAGTACCGATGTCCATGGGGTGCTTAATGATTTGGAAGTAGTCGGGTGCGTCACGCTTGATGACGCGGTTGAGGAATGGTTGCGCATACTCGGTCTGCGCTTTGAGCTCCATAAGCACTTTCTCGGCGGCCTCGTAGAGCTCCTCTTGACCAACGCGATCTTCGGACGCCCACTTGGAGCGCCCCTTGCGTACTTCGGAGATGAGGGTACGAAGCTGGTTGTCGGACGCTTGAACCAGATGCCGTTTCGCGTCGATGCGCGCGATAAGATGCTTGAGTGTCAGGCTTGATGCGCCCAGGTCGGCACTGCCAAGCGTGCCATGGTTGGCCACAGATGAAGCACCAGCACCAGTACCATCATTACCAGCAGAAGTCTCGTTCTCGACTTCGCGATCGAGCTCGTCAAGTTTCTGCTGTTCCAGCATGGCATCCCGGTCGTTCTCCCATGTGTAGAACATGGTCTGGAAACTGCGCTTTGCAGCATCGGCAGCAGCCTTCTTGTCCTCCTCCAGTTGCTTGCGTACTTCCTCCGATGACTTGGCATGTCCAGAGGACAAGGTAGTGTTCGACCGGACGGCAGTAAGCTGGACAGCGGGTGCAGGCGACTGAACAGCATGCGGCAGCAAGCCATTGGCAAGAGCAGCCTTTCCTTTCGCCTTAAGCGGGGTATCCTTCTCCGCTATACTGTCCTCATCCTCATCGTCGCTATCTCCGTAATCGTCGTCAACCTGTCGCGCAGCTTTCTTGGGCGGAGCGGAAGTCTTGGCACTCTCCGCTGCAACAGCAGGACCATTAATTGCAGTCAGACTTGCCGCCTTCTTTCTCCGCTTCAATATCCTCCCATCACGGTCAAACAGCGTCGCGATCCTTTCCTCAGCATCTGCCCACCGCTGGCCCAATAACGCATGCGTAGCATCTTCCTCCCGTTCCTCATCTTCACCCGCGGCCGATGCCGCGCCCAGCCCGCCACCAATAACCGCGCCATTGCGGGTCAAACTCGCCTGCCGACGGGACAATGGGGTATGGAGGCCATTGGGGAGGGGGCGCGATGGATAGCCGTTGGAGAGTCCTCGCTGGGGCGTCGAGGTCATCCCGCCGCCGAGTAGCTGCGCTGGTCCTGCCCCTCCACCTCCGCGGCACCTGATTCCTCCCACGTCGCGGTCCAGTCGGGAGATGTGGGTGTCATCAGAATCGTCGGCGCGCCAATTTGATGGATTCGTCAATTGTTTGATGGAAATGTGCGGTGATGTGGTGGTGTTGGGCGATGGCTCTCGCTCTGATGTCGTTGCGCATGCGCGGAGGTCAGGACCGTTAGTGGGCTTGCAGCGCTGCACTGTCGGGCTTCGGCTTGCCGACCTGTGCCCTTCCTCGGACCTTGACCTCTCCATCACCACATCTTGTTTATTGTTTGCTCACATAACCACGATCATGGAACTCTGCCGATGATTGAAAATGTCATTGAAGCGGCGCAGAACATTGTGTTAGTGAATCAATGCCCTCAATACACATTCGCCAGCCCTTTGCGGGTAAGTCCAGCGCCGGCGCAAACAGTGCGCCGCAGAAGCTCACATTCGCAAGCTTGCTGACATTGTCGTCAAGCCGCCTTCGGAGTCCTGGTCCTCGCTTCTGCCTACCTTGGCCTGTCCACACAAAAGATCCCTTCGTATGGCCAGAGCGACAAGGGTCTACACTTCATCACCTTCTTCCTGCTAACCGTATGTCCGACCTCCCTTGCGCAAGGCAGCCATATCATGTTACTATCCCACACAATGTACTAACGGTCTTTATACGTACAGCTCACGTTCTATTGGATCCTGGAAACGTCCCGCCGCCGCGTCATCCACCTCACCCTCCTCATCTGCACGGCAGCGCTCGGCATCGGCTCCGAAGTCGCACAAGCCTTACTACCCAACGGCCGCGCCTTCGACCCCTTCGACATCCTCGCCAACGTCTTAGGCTCTGCTCTCGCGCTAGTACTATGTGCGTGGTACCACAAGCGCATGCTGGAGCGGAGAAGGAAGAACAAGCACTACGATATTGTACCTGGAGAAGACGCGGACGAGGAGGGCGGAGAGGCGGATGTGGAGCTTGGTGAAGGTGTGGGGAGAGGTAGTTTGGCGGAGCAGGAGACGGGTGGTGTGCCGGCGGATGCGAATGGGCAGGCTGCAGCAGGAGCACCGATCAAAGAGACTAATGTTAGCGAAGAGCTGGACAACTGGGACGAGAATGAAGAGGACTGGGACGATGGTGCAGGCACTGTTGACGCAGCGAAAGCGGATGGCAAGGCTGTCGAGGATGCTGTTGAGGCGAAGAAGCGGATAGATTAGGTACGATGTTGAAGCGTGCGTTTATAACGCTCAAAGCCGCCACCATACACGCTCGTCCGCATACACACTGACGGCTCCTGCGATGAAGATCCAGATGTCGATTGAGATGAGCTTTGCTCATTAATTTGTTTGCATACCGCCAGTCCTGCCTGCTAAAGCGGTCACGGTGACGCGGTTGATGCATTTGCTGGTTAACACTGCGAGAATGCATCCCACTCGCATTTCTGGAGGCAGGTTGGTATCTCACAGACCGCGCTAAAGACCGCCATCCTCAAACGCCACATCATCTTGACACCCATTACGCCTGGGCACCAGGAGCCTTCGGCGCGCCGCCACCGGCCGCAACCTGTGGGTTGATCTTCTTGCCATCCTTGTTGTACCTCACTCTCGGCGGCGGGGCACGGTTGCGACGACCTTCGCGCGAGCGGACACTATCCTCAACATCAATGACTGCGTCTGTATAGACGACTCCATGCCGAGACTTTCTTACCGAACGATCTTGCCGTGGATAGCACACGAAACGCAGTACTGCAGCTTCAGGTACATCTTCGGTACTGCGTATTCCGCAAATACTGAGGCATCGGAGATATCACCTGCCAGATCCCATTTGTTCAGCCAATCCTCATCCATGCTTGCCCATCTACGCTTGGGTATATGAGTGTAGACTTACGGATAGCAGCTGACTCAACCATATTCCTGATTGTGAATCTCTTGATCGCCTTATCCTTGGGTGTACATCTTGAGCAGTTGGAGCATCTGATCGGCTTCACGTGGCCACGGCCCTTCTTGTTACGTCCGCTATTAACGCCCCGTTAGTATGCTATGTCTTTCTTGCTGCTCTTTGGCTTCATTCTGTGATCGTACTTGGACGCCCGCTTCTTAACCATCTTGGCGATGTGGAGTGTGTGATATCAGCAAGTGCTCTTGACCTGCTGATACTATTGCTGTCGACGGAATGGTGGTCCAAACACTGGATATGAGTGACTGTCGACGTCGGCTTGAATTGGGAGCGTGTGTGAGTTTTGCCAAGATTGTCGCCTAAGGCGAACAGGAGCGGTACATTTCCGCATCGGATTGTTGCTTCCGAGACCCTCAAGCGCGCTTTCCAGCAAGGCTGAGCGAGCGTCTGTTTACGCGAGTCGAGCTGGTCCCCTTGATAGGAACGACATTTATTGGTTTAACCATTACAACGCAATTGGAGGTACACTGCGTGGCTTCGTCGCTATGTCGTCCACTGGCACCTTCAGAGGCACGCCCAAGACGGCTCGCTCGCAAGCAGGTTACTCTGACAGCCCATCGAACATCCCAATTCCCAGGCCGAAGCTTGAGACCCAAGTCAGCGATGCCAACACCTCGTTGAGCGCAAGTAGAGCTAAGCAGACAAAGCGAGATGAAGTACGCAATCACCATAAGAACGAATTGGGTACAACATCAGCAAGCATTGTAGGCTAACTCGCACCAGGCAATCCGCAACAAGCTCGAGAAGGACCTGAACAAGAAGCGCGGCGCCGCAGGTCGTGCACGCCAGACGCGCAAAGCGCCACCTGGCACGGTGCTGGCCCTCAAGCCGAACCAAGCACTACAGATCAAGCCCAACACAACCGTCACGGAAGCCGCTCAGTTGATGGCCGCGAAGCGGGAGGACTGCGTGCTGGTCACCGACGACGATGATCGTATTGCCGGTATTTTCACAGCCAAGGACCTTGCTTTCCGCGTGGTGGGAGCAGGATTAAAGGCAAACAACGTCACTATCGCGGAGATCATGACCAAGAACCCACTATGTGCGAAGACGGATACGAGTGCGACCGATGCGTTGGACTTGATGGTGCGCAAAGGGTTCAGGCATCTGCCGGTGATGGATGAGAATCATGACATCTCCGGCATCCTTGATATTACGAAGTGTTTCTACGATGCCATGGAGAAGCTTGAGCGGGCGTACAGCTCATCGAAGAAACTGTATGATGCTTTGGAGGGCGTACAGGCGGAACTTGGTTCCAGCCAGCCGCAACAGATCATTCAGTACGTGGAGGCGGTGCGGCAACGCATGTCTGGACCAACGCTAGAGTCTGTATTGAACGGACTGCCTCCCACAACTGTTTCCGTGCGAACAAGCGTGCGGGAGGCCGCGCAGCTGATGAAGGAGAACCACACTACAGCTGTATTGGTTCAGGATCAAGGGCAGATCACTGGTATCTTTACATCGAAGGACGTTGTGTTGCGAGTCATTGCTGCCGGGCTGGACCCAGCGAATTGCAGCGTCGTACGCGTGATGACGCCGCATCCGGATTTCGCGCCCTTGGACATGAGTATCCAGCAGGCGTTGCGCAAGATGCATGACGGGCACTATCTCAATCTTCCTGTTATGAACAAGGAGAATGATGAGATTGTGGGCATGGTTGATGTGCTGAAGCTCACCTACGCCACGCTTGACCAGGTACGTTCTCATCCATGTCGAGATAGAACGATATTTGGGTGCTGACATTCTTCAGATCAACAGCATGTCTACAGGCGACAGCGAAGGTCCCGCCTGGAACAAATTCTGGATGTCCATGGACCAAGGCGACACCGAGTCCATGATGTCCGGCGAAGGCGGCAGTCACGCCGCGCACACTCAAGACGGCCGCTCGGCAATGATGTCGCCAGAACATGGCCAACGGCCAGGCATGGACCGTCTTGATAGCGTCCTGCCTGGCGACTCCGCTTCCCACAATGGCGTCCCGGAACTGGACGAGCACTCCGCCCTTGCTGGCGCAGTCGAGGATACACCGTTTACCTTCAAATTCAAGGCTCCGGGCGGCCGAGTGCACCGGCTTCAGGTCGTGGCTTCCGCTGGTCTAGCTGAGCTCATCGCTGTTGTGGCCGAGAAGCTGGGGGCTGAAGTCGATAGTATCGGCGGTATGCCCAGCTTCGAAGACGGCCGGTTGAGCTATACGGGTTTTGCGTTGAGTTATATGGACAATGAGGGCGATACTGTCTCTTTAACCACCGACGCGGATTTGCTCGAAGCGATTACTTTGGCTCGTCAGGCGGGCAAGGACAAGGTGGATCTCTTCGTGCACGATCCGGAGAAGCCAGCGATGACTGCTACGGTGGAGCCGCAGCCGGTGTATGCTGCTAATCCCCCAACGCCACCGGAGAGCGCGATTAGGCAGCGCAAGCGGGTAGATGAGGAGGAAGATGAGGAAGACATGCCTAACGTCACAGAAAGGCGCAAGGAAAAGAAGTCTGCGCAGCCGAAGCAGCAGGAGCAGATCATTCAGGGTGTGCCGAATGAGATGCTGCTGCCCGGTGCGCTTGTGGTGTTGGGCGTGGTCATTGTGGTTACCTTTGTCATTGGACGGGCATCTAGCAGGTGAATATGATAGGCTGTGGGTGACTGTTGGCTGCATGGCGAAGGGACTCCCGGCTTTCATGATATTGTGATACCATCTGTACCGGTTAAGTGTCGCTAACGATGTGCCTTCCAATCATATTGAAGACGAAACGTATTTGCTCATTTTGTCGTACGTACATTGTCCGCATGTCAAGTCCCTCCGTCTGCACCTCTCAGCAGAGTGTACAGATCACAGGAAGACGGGGGTAGATGTATGACAGTTGTATGACAAGTCAATGTTCGCTATCAAAGGATTCGCGCCCCCAACGTGCTGCGACGGTATGGGTACGGCAGCATCGCAGAAAGGGCACACGATCTGTTAAGCGGAGAACGCCCGGTTCTCGTTTCATGGTCTCAATGCGGTAGGCACGGCGGCGATCCCTGCGGGCTACCGGTGCGGATGACGATGCTTCTGCAGCTTCACCACGCGCTGTTGATCACCATGTCGCTCACCGCGCGATGTGCGACAATGCTTCACAAGCAGGTAAGGTGCTTTCCGCTATTGCTTCCCCTTCTTACTGTCTTCTGCAAATCCATCCTCATCATCTGTCCTCCAGGGACTTTCGCATTGCTTGAGTGATTCGAAAGCTACGACCTGGGATTCACCACAGTCATGGAGGACGACAAGAAGGACTCCTACGACGGCTCGTACATGCCTTCGTACGAAGATGCTTCAGAAGGCCAGCGTGCACACCAGGCAGACATCGAGAAGCAGACATCACAGCATAGCCGCACCTACCACGACGGCAACCGGCGTCTCAGCACGTTCGACAAAGAGGACCCATTCGGGGACGAGAGCGATGCAGAGATCAAATACCGCACGATGTCCTGGTGGCAGGCGGCGATGGTTATGATCGCGGAGACGATATCGCTGGGTATCCTGTCATTGCCGTCTGTCCTCGCAAGCATTGGCTTGGTACCTGGTCTTATCTTGATTGTGAGCCTCGGTCTCATCGCGACATACACGGGTTACACGATGTATCAGTTCAAGCTCGTCTATCCCGGCGTACACAATATGGCTGATGTTGGTGAGGTTCTCATGGGACCTATTGGCCGAGAGGTTCTGGGTGCGGCTCAGGTGATCTTCCTCATCTTCACCATGGGAAGCCACGTCTTGACTTTCACTATTGCCATGAATGCTATCACTGGGCATGCGACCTGCACTATTGTTTGGGGCATCATCGGTCTCGTCATACTGTGCATTTGCTCATTGCCCAGAACACTGAAGAAGGTCTCATATATGTCTATTGCATGTAAGTCCTGCAGCTCGCCCCTCCAGCTACACTGCAAGACTGACTCAGGGACAAGCATTCATCTCCATCTTCAGTGCCGTTATGGTTACCATGATCGGAGTTGGCATTGAACAACCAGACCCAGTCGTGCACGCCACCGTGAAGACGGGTTTCGCCTCGGCGTTTGCGAGTGTGACGAACATTATCTTCGCCTACGCAGGACACGTGGCGTTCTTCTCCTTCATATCCGAGCTGAAGAATCCAAAGGACTTCCCGAGAGCCCTGATCTTCCTACAAGCTTGGGATATCACCCTGTACATCATCGTCGCACTCGTAGTGTACCGTTATACGGGTCCAGATGTCAAGTCGCCCGCGCTTGGTTCGGCGAACAATGTTGTGAAAAGGGTTGCATATGGCATCGCATTGCCGACGGTAGGCTTTGAATTTGGTCACCCTCGTTTGTGGAAATAGCTAATGTAGCTTACAGATCATTATTGCTGGCATCATTTACGCCCATGTCGCAGCAAAGTACATCTACGTGCGCATCTTCCGCGGCACCAAGCACATGTCCAAGCGCACCTGGCTTGCAGTTGGCTCATGGGTCGGTATTGTGCTCTGCCTCTGGGTCATCGCATGGATCATCGCAGAGAGCATCCCGGTGTTTAACGACCTGTTGTCACTGATCTCGTCGCTGTTCGCTTCGTGGTTCACATACGGCCTTTCGGTGCGTTTGAGGTTTATCAAGGATTGTGAAAGTGTGATAACTGACTGTTTCCAAGGGCGTGCTGTGGCTGTACATCAATCACGGTCAGTGGTTCAAGAACTGGAGGAAGACGAGCTTGACGGTGGCCAATTCACTTATCTTCTGCCTTGGCGCTGCAATCTGCGGCATCGGGCTCTATGCGAGTGGAGTTGCGATCAAATCAGATGCTGGCAGTGGAGGCAGCTGGACTTGTGCGGACAATCAATCCACTGGCTGAGTTCTAATCGCATGTATGGCAGGCTTCTCAACGCAGTTTCATTCAAGAAGTCGTGAGGAAGCGCCTTGGTACTTTCAATGCGCCCGGAACCTCCCTGGCCATAATATCACAAGGCGGCAGTCCGACATGGACGAGACGGTCGACAGCAGCTCAGCCAACCCTCACCCGTCCGAACCAGACATCACTGGCTTTGCAAGTGATGCCAGGTCACAAGCCCGAGCTTTCCCGTAGCGTCCTGCAAAGAGAGACCACCAAGAGCGCCATACACAGCCCCTACGGACATATTCCCACTGACTGGTAACCCCGTCTTTCCCACCCGATTCCTTCCAGAGTGTCCGCCACGTGTCTTGGAGTCGCGAATTATGTGTGTCGCTACCTACGCCACCAAACGATCCAAGAGTTTGATTCATCCCGTGCGGATTAGCATTGACGAACGCTGGAAGGGCGTGGAGAGGCGATTGAACTTCGTCGACCTTAACTTGCACGGTCTGGGATTCTGTTATACAGAGCGGCGGCCCTCGTGAGGCAGTGAGCGGTGACAACTCAAATTTCCGCTAAAGTCTGTGCTAGCCCTGCTTTTCTGAAGCGGTCTCCGAAGTGTTATACCGCCATTCTCGATACTGAGGCAGCGAGCATGAAAATTCAGGAGATCTTGTTGGATACTGGTGTTTAGATCAATCTTCGTTTCCAGCCAAGGCTGACCTATCTGAGAGCTACAATACTTTCGAGCCGCTGTCGCTCATAAGGCAGAAACTGGATAGGATGAAGGAGTTCGATTATTTCTCACTCTGGTATTGCGAGATCCTCCTCGCTGCAGTTTCGGACAGCTGTATAAATAAAAGGCACAATTACAACATTGTGAATTCGGCGGAATAAGGCAAGCAACGGTGATCAGTGAGTGCAAAGTCAGCTGTTTGCTAGCTAAAGCGCCAATCTACAAAAACGGGAGGCTTAGATGCGACGAAGAATGGGTCGCTGTACTGCGCTCAAGCCCTTGATACCCGCATATTGCCAGCGGTTGGTAGGATGTCGGCTTCATGACGTAGGTTGCATGTTCATACGGCATTGTTTTCGACTGGATCATTGAAGATTTCCCGAAAATCATGGCAAAACCACACAGGCCCAACAACTTGTCGATACTTGTTTTGTGGCCCATTCCGCCAGCGGCACCATCATCCGTTGACTTGCTCCTACTTGGAACTCTGCACGCCGTCTATCACTCCATAGCTTCGTCCCGGCAGCGTGCAAATGCGACTGCTGCAATATCCACGCCGTGAGGCTCAAGAGGATGGAGGAAGTTTTGATTTGCCATTCGCGGCTTGTAGCGCTTCATACAGCGTCAGGTACAGCTTCCCCAAGGTAGTGTTGCCATCAACCACCATATTCGCAAGCCCTTTGCGAATATGGTCACATCCCACCAAAATGCGTTCATGATAGCTGTGGGAAGATCCAATGACCTCCATATTGAGGATGGGATGTCCGGAGATGTCACGGAAAGAGCTAACGGGCACGTTCGTCCAACCAATATGAGCCTGCCTAAACTCTGAAGCTCACGTCATTAATAGTTCGAGTGGGCCTCTAATGGTCAGGTTGAGAATGCCGCCTCCCTCTATTGGCTTCGAGGTGGTCCTTCTGAAGTCAGGCTCGAGCATCGAGAGTCGTAGTTCGTGCAAGATGCCTCTAGCGGGCTGGCATCAGCATGGCTCCGCCGGCCTGTCCACTTAGCGCGCCATAAGCCGATATAGAGATTGAGCGTAAAACGTTGTATGAGGTGGCTGTTGTCGAAAGTTGCTTTGAAAGCTTGGTTGACTAGTCTGAGCTTCAGATACCGCCGTAAAAGGTTGATCCGGCTGAGGCTTAACAAGTTGATGCAGGATCTGGTGCTCTGAGCTCTGCAATGGCGAACACCTTGGTGCTCGCTCTGACGTGCGAGGTTGAAGTCGCCGTGGTTGGAAACATTCAGGCTGTTGTTGAGCTGCAGTGAAAGTGAGAGCGAACACCTGGCAAATGGAGCCATACATGGAAGGGACGGAGTTTCCGAGTCCGAGAGAATTAGAAGGAGCGACCCTTCATTTCGGAGCTCTTCAGGTGTCTGCTTGGCGACATCGATACCTGCTTATCCCTCATGCCTCGAGTCGGGTCGCTTCATGTGTTCCTCTCCCGATGCATCTCCCGCCACTGCTCGGTCAGCTTGTCGCTCTGCGAGCTCATCACCGTCGCAACGACCTGGTCGAGACTCTTCACCACCTCGGTAGGCCTCCCCTTCTCGCCTTCAACAAGCGAGTCCTGCCACCCAGTTCCCGCTCTGTCTACCCACACGGCATTCATGCCCACAGCTCTCGCACCAACGACATCGAAGGGATTGCCAGATACCAGCCAAATTTCCTTCATCTGCTCTTCACTTTGTGGATCCTTTCCTACCTTCCTAGCCAGACGGCTATAGACTTCAGGCGCTGGCTTGAACTTCCGCACTTCCTCCACTACGATGATGTCGTCGAAAACGTCGGCATGCGGAGACAGATCCGGCGAATTCTGCACGCTGCTTGATACCATCTCATGTGTTCCGTTTGAGAAGACGACAGCGCGAAGATCCGGTGCGGTCTTGAGCGATTCGAGCGTTTGCTCGACGTCCGGAAAGCATGAGAGCGAATCATAGGCTTGCATCAGTTCATCCGTCTGTCCTCCACTAAGATAGCAGGACGATTCAGACAGAGCATGCTTGAGGGAACGGCGTGTGAGGGTGGAGAAGTCTTCGTATTGGCCTGCACACGCCGATCAGCCTCTGACTCTTAGGGTGCAGGTGTGCCATACCCATGCTGTTCATGCGCCATGTGTACTCGAGTTGATACTTCCGCCATGTTGTGGCCACCGTGTTTGCTTTCTCTTCACCGATATGTGACGCTAGCTTCCTGGCAATGGATTCAGTCGAAAGGAGAGTACCATAACCATCAAATGCAAGCACGATTCTGCGGTTCCTATCGTGCTTCTACATGGTGGAAATAACAGGAAATGAGAGTGATAGCTTAGTCTTGTGTTTTCATGGCACCGCCTGCCTTCATTGTCAGGCTGCTACGGTATCCAATGACATTCGACTTGGAGCGAAGAGAGTTTGTTGAAAGTGATGTAATGGGTATTGTGAGTTTGGGTGCTCCACATGCAGAGACGGGAGATCGACACTTGTAGGCGGAGACCGGACGACTTTCAAAGCGTCAGTCAGCCAGACTAAGGTCAAGCAAATACTCTCGTAGACGTCAAACCTTACGATCAGTCACACGAAGCATTCTATATGGTTCTATGATGGCCAACGAACGGCGCAGATGTACTGGCTAGGGCGTACGCTGCTCACGGACACCGCAGGCCATCGACAAGAGCATAAAGCGCTTGATAGTGGCAACTTGAATGTTGTGTTCGAATCATCGCATCTAGTAATTGCGTGTATTTAGGCATGATTCATGACAACGAGGTCGTCAGCCTCGACGCTTTTCGAGATAGCTTAGGCACCACTGTCATTGCCAAGCTTGCTCCGAGCAAAGGTCCGCGTCGACGAGCCGTCAAAGGCAGGAAGAAAGAGATCAAGCCAGTTGCCAGAGTGTCTAATGGTGATGGCGAGGATCCGGACGGCAGCGATGCTGGCGAGCTGAGCGACTTCATCGAGGTGTGATGAACCGAACAAAGCTTCCTCGATCTCGGTTGACGACGTCCAGTATCTGGCCGAGGAACTCTTCCTCTCCCTGCCGTCAGACTTGCGGACCTTGTCATTCGCAGCCATCCAGGATGACCCTTCCCTGAAAGAGAAGTACTCGACTCCACTAGAGTCGACACTTTTGGAGTCCGTAATCGAGCACCTGCCACCAACAGTAGCAGACTCCCTCCATACCTACGGCCTCATTGACCCAGACGTCAGCAATCTTGATCGCTTCCTTGAGCCTGTGCTGGAGAGTTACATCAACACCACCACATCGGCGCCTCCAGAGTATACTCCCGCCCTCACAGCCACACGCCCTGACGGCTGCGAGATCTGTGGCCGAGAGCACCTACCGCTGTAAGTGTGCGCCACCTGCGTAGTTGCCCATACTTGTCCTTCAGCCGCACGAAGCTTGGCTGAGATGCATCATACACCTGTGTTGACACTGCCGCTTTCGCTTGTAGGACATACCATCACCTGATCCCTAGACAGATGCACGCCAAAGCCGTCAAACGTGGCTGGCACAAAGACTGGGAGTTGAACAAGGTTGCGTGGCTCTGCCGAGCGTGTCACTCTTACGTGCATCAAGTTGCGACGAACGAGGAGCTAGCGCGTGAGCTATATAGCGTGGAGCTTTTGATGGAGAGAGACGATGTGCAGAAATGGGCCAATTGGATCGGCCGGGTGAGGTGGAAAGCTCGATAGGCAGAAGATAGAGCTGAAGTCTGTACGTGGGGAGGCTATACCTACTCAATAGGACATAGTGCTGTTTCCTTGGAGTGTCAAGCAGGCTTCATGGTTCTGCCAGAGGGTTTGTTCTTGCCTGCCGTCACCCTGTTAACACGACTGCACTGCGAACCTGGAAGCGCATGCGAACTATTTTGGCCTTGTTGAAGATCATGGACAAGGAGTTGCCGGAGTATGCTGCACCTCGATTTGCTTGCATGTCGTCGGCGTGGTACGCTACTCGCTCGCGGCATGCCACGTTGCGGGCAGGCATTTGCATGTAACAGTATACCAGAAGAGGTCTACTGCCTTGTGGAGGCGGGACGCTATTCTTTACAGCAACCGTATTGGGTTAAGCATGATTGCAGCTGCGGCTGGTATTCTCCGGAGTGGACGCGAAGCTTTCACAAGCGAGGACCACTAGGGGCGCAGCCATGCATAGGGCTCTACCACGCCTTGATCTCGATGAGCGACATCATTGCAGTAGCTCGTAGTCAATGGCTGTAATATGACCGAAGCTTGGAAGACGAGCCATGCCATGGTCATGTGCACAGCGTTGTGAGGTAGTATCGCTTGTTGCTGTTAGGACGGAACCTTGGGATAGCTGCATCGAGAAGCTTGGAGCAATCGATCTGGTGCGGCGCTCGACCATAGAAGAGCGGGGTATTGTTTGGCACAATTGTTCTGGCGGGCCGTTGCAGGTCACCTCGCAAGTCCCGCTCAGGTGCGGTACCTTGCAGTTTGCAGTCTCTGCCAAGGCCATGCACGATGGCAGAGACTGTAGGGCATTTAACAACATGCGTGCAATGCTGCTGGCAGCGCAAGCCACTGTTCTTCATCGCGGTATGGCCCGTGAGGCGCTGTGGCTTCCACCTGCAAAGTCACGTACAGTGGAAAGCTTAGCTGGGTACTGTGATATTGGTACTCTGCAAGATCGGGAGCGGTGAGGTTATAACCTGAGAAAGAATGTGGGTCCACACGTGGGCAGTACACCAAAGACGGCACAGGAAAAGCTTGACTGCAGCTGCGCAAGGGGCATGGGGTTTTGGTGTGCATGCGAGGCCGTCACGGCAGGGCAAATGAATTCGGAGAGTCCGGCCAAAGCGCCACAGAATCGGGCCAGCGCGTGTGCCGGGATGGCTTCAGTAGGTGATCGGTATGCTTGCACAGCCGATATACCTTGTTAAGATGACAGAGTATGCATGTTGTAGTCAAACAATCGGCGCTTGTGTATGAGGTGAAGTCGTTCTGAAATGCCCAGAGTGATCGGCGTGATCACCGTCTAGAGCGCGGATTGGATCCTTCAACGAGCCCAAGGTCCTCGCACCCCTGCAGCAGATGACGCTCGGACCTCTGACCCCCACCCCGAAGTGTCAAACTTCGACGTGCATGCTGCCTGGGTGAGCCCTACAGCGCTACTGTCCTACACCATCTGCACCCCTGGGAAGGCTTGGCCGATTGTGTTTGTGCCTGCGAGATACGGGGGCTTGACGCGACCCTGAAAGTACTGACGCCGTCGCGCCACCGTCGTAGAGTAGCGTTGCTGTCCACTCACACTCAACACAGCCTCTCCGCACCGATACCACTGCATCATACTATAGTGATACCACCTTCGCTTACAGAGCGCGTGCGAGGATCGAGAAGATATATTCCGCGTCGTTTGCCTCAAACAGAAGTGATCAACATTTGGCGCATAGTCGCCTCAGAACTACCCAGCAGCGCATCCACTTCAGCTGAAGCTATAACTACCTAGCTACGGACTCCGTTGGGATGTCTTTCTATCCAGGCCAAGGCTACCACAACCAGGACCAGGGCTATCCACCACAGCAATACAACGGATATCCTCCACCTCAGCAGTACCCGCCGCCTCAACAGTATCCGTATGCTTCTACCGCTCCTATCTCTTGCGCGTTATCCACTTACTCATATTCACCCGCAGTCCATACAGCGGCCCTTCACCTCAACCGCCCTACAACGGTGGGTACGGTGGCCCTCCACCGTCAAACTACGGCGGCTACCAACAGACACCCCCGCCGCAGCAAGGCTACGGATATGGCCAGCCTAATGGCTATCAGCAGCCTCCCCCACAGCGTATGACCGCGATGTGCTCGTGTCTGCGCGCATACTGACACGATACAGAGTATGGCCGACCTCCACCACCGCCTCAGCAAATGCAGAGCTTCGGCAACGGTGCGCCGAGCGGCTACCAATTCCAGTACTCGAACTGCACTGGCCGCCGCAAAGCCCTGCTGATCGGCATCAACTATTTCGGCCAAAGAGGACAGCTGCGAGGATGTATCAACGACGTGAAGAACATGTCCACGTACTTGAATGAGCATTTCGGGTATAAGAGAGAGGACATGGTCATCTTAACGGACGATCAGCAGAATCCAATGAGTCAGCCCACCAAAGCGAATATACTACGCGCTATGCACTGGCTCGTCAAAGAAGCGCGGCCTAACGACTCGCTGTTCTTCCATTACTCCGGCCACGGTGGCCAGACTGCCGATGTAGACGGCGATGAAGATGACGGGTACGATGAGGTCATCTACCCTGTTGACTTCAGGCAAGCGGGACACATTCTGGATGACGAGATGCACCGCCTATTGTAAGCTGCAAAGTGCGCGAACTCACAACACACGCGGCCAGCTAACGCTACGATAGGGTCCAACCGCTGCAACCTGGTGTGCGGCTAACAGCAATCTTTGACTCCTGCCATTCCGGCTCGGCGCTTGATCTACCATACATCTACTCCACGCAGGGCGTACTTAAGGAACCCAACCTCGCCAAAGAAGCGGGACAGGGTCTTCTCAGCATCGTTTCGTCGTACGCTCGCGGCGATATTGGCGGCATCTTCTCCACCGCTTCCGGCCTGGTCAAGAAGGCCATGACTGGCGACGATGTGCGCGAGCGGAACATGCGCACCAAGACATCTCCGGCAGATGTCATTATGTGGAGTGGAAGCAAGGACTCTCAGACATCGTACGTTGACTTTGCATTTCCTTCTGAATCCGACTACCTGAGCATGCGCCACGACTCGATCGTGGCGCCGATATTGTTATTGGAAGGATGCACTCCTCCTTCGATGGAGCTGTGCGACTCGCCCTCGAGCAGCGCATTTGTACCTCATCGGGATATGGCAGGCAATATCCTGATCTGAGGATTTGATGGCTGCGTAAATGCCACTTTTGGCGATATGATACCCACTAGCGCTTCAGGAAGCGCAGGGCCGGCAGTATATTAAGCGTGGTAATAGTGCAACGTAATGTCTCTGCGTCCCTTCGCTTTGGAGAGCCTTTGTGGCGGCTCCTTAGCGTAGGGACGACGAGTTACGTTGGCACCACCACGCCAAGATTGCTTAACACACGACAAATACTACTCGACTGCAGGCTAGGATCCACTGCTAACTTGTCCGTCTCACAGATCCGACGCGAACATTGCCGGCCAAGCCACAGGCGCCATGTCCTGGGCCTTCATCGCCGCCCTTAAGAAGAACCCGCAACAGAGCTACGTCCAGCTCCTCAACAGTATTCGTGACGAGCTGTCGGGCAAATACGAACAAAAGCCGCAGTTGAGCTGCAGCCATCCGCTTGGTAGGCCGCAGACAGCCATCAAAGTTGAAACGTAACTCGATTGAATGTGCCCTAATGAAATTTGCGCAGATACGAATCTCCTCTACGTGATGTAATATGCAAGACTCCTCAAGGTACGAAACGGTGGGAACGGGCACCCGACACACTTGTGCATGGATGTAATGATCGGAATGGTACAGCATATGCGGGCACGGGAACGAATCGGATCTACGGATACTGTACAGTGGGATGCAATCTGGGACGAGAAGTCGGGTCACTCTCTACGGTCGTTTTGTCACCGTCCATACGGCAGGGTTCTGAGGCCCGGTTCATGGTAGCATGCGGGAGAGGCGTTCGGAGCCTCCAGCACTTTTTCTGCTCAATAGTGAGCCGTTGTATAGCCGCGAACGTCGAACCTTGAAAAGCTTGAGTGTTGTTGGTCCTCGGAAGCTTATATTCATTCAAGCGAAGCAGCAGTCTGGTGATTCGCGCTGTCCGTCTTCGCACCCACAATGTGTCACCTACCCAGTCTTGCGCAACGCGCAGACCCCTGGAGCGATCCAGCTGAGCACCCTTGATGTAATAGCGATCCTGCTCCTCAACTTTGTGCTTCGTCCATGCTCCCGAGCCGTGAATGTGTGCCGCCGATATGGCGGTAGAAGCAATGGCACGTGCGTAGATGAGCTCTAACCGCGCTATCCCAGGCCTCGCTTGCAAGGTTGGAACGTTGCCAAGACGCTATGAAAAGCGATGCGCTTCGGCAAACCACGAGGTGTGGCACAGATAGTGGCACGTCACAAGCCGGGACATGGAAGGAATCACTGGTCATCGGACACTAAGCTCCATGTAGTTTACAGACGGCCCGGAACATGTGTACCATGAAAACCGATACCCCAAGAAGCATCGCCCTCCGCCCTAGCGACCTCGGTCATCGTAGCAGCATCAAGGCAAAGCAGGTAGCTTGTTCCTAGCTCGCCGTCAAGGACACAGCTCAGTAGCCATCCTCCGTCCTCGTGATCTGGGCGACGAGGGTCTACCACAAAGATAGCCTCACCCGGTGTGTGCTTGTCCCGGCTCCAGTACGTAGTCTGCTGGGTCTGCATGTCCGTCTTCGCGATACCATCCGAGAAGCTAGACAATCCACGATCGCAGATGCCGTATACATAGCGGTGTTGCTTCGTCTTAAAGTCCGGGTGCATGGTTGGAAGCTCACCAATGGCATTCCCATCGATGTAGACAACGCGCTCTGTGACAACGGCTTTGTCTTTTGCTGCGTTCCAAGACTGAGCATTACTGATGTTCGAGAGATGGTATCGCGCAATTCGCGGTCTGCTTTGGTCTCCACGGGTCGTGCCTGCCCATGCTTTTGCGCCCGCAGAGTTCGAGACCAGATTGTCGTAATACAGCTTGTGTAAGACGTCAAGCGTAGGATACTCGATAAGGTCGGCAATGATTCCTGTCGAGCCATTCCCCTGAGTCTGCTCGAACGCATTGATGGTATGGAAACAGAACATGGCAGGGCTCTCGAATTGCTTCACAAGCCCGCGTCCACCTTTGCGATCGATGACGAACCATTGAGCCTTGACTTTAGGATCGAAAGGGTTGATGGCATCGAGTAAATTGCGCTCCCATAACAGCTTGAGACTCGTATATTGAGCTGTCCAAAGGCATAGAACAACATAATTCTCAGTCAGCATGAAGGAGTGCACATATTTTGGCACGCCGGTAAAGGTAGCAATGATATCTGTCTCGCCTGTCTGAGCACTGGTGCGGAATACGCGGTACGTTGCAACAAGGCCGAGATGCAGATTGTAGTTGTAGCTGTCACCATTGGCCGGATCCAACTGTGCATGCGCGCATGACAAGGGGCCAACAAGGTCTGGATGAAGTTTTGTTTGATCGGAGAGCCCAATGGGTTCCAAGGTCTCCGAGTCGAGTATCTTGGATGTGGCGCTGTCAGTTCTGGCTTCCAGCTCACCGTCAGCACCGCGTGTGGAAGGACGTATAGTCACGCCGATGTTCAACTCGTTCGGCAAGCCGTCTGTTCCGGGCTCGAACATCGCTTTCAACTTGCCAAAGAAGCCGACGCAAGGGTCGCGTTTCTGTCCAAAGGTGAAGCCTTCGAGTCGACCAGTCTGACGAGCCTTCTCTAATTGTGCGTCGACCTGCCGTCTCGAGTTGAACATGACTTTACAGCTACCGTCCGGCTGCTCGATAAGCTGGAAGCGGTATACTTGGGTGAAGCCATCGAACCAATGCGACAGCCGCATCTTGCCGGCCTTGTATGATGACGGACCGGTTCGTAAAAGTGTACCAGCGGCAGCAGAAGGGAACTTTCCAGTAACTTTGAGCTCGACGGGCTCACGTTGTTCTGCTTCCACTTGGAACTGTGTTGAAGGTTAGTGGCGAAAACCTCTGGCTTAGCGGCCGTCTCAGCTTACACCAGCAGCATTGGGCCAGTTGTTGAAGTGAGTCGACTCTGTCGCCATGATCGTTGGGGGTGCGGTTGTCGTGAACAGCAAGTGTTGCTTTGCTTCGTGATGGCCTGTCTGCCGAAGTGGCTGCGTGATGTGGGATAGATAACTGTAGGTGGGACTACGCAGAGAACGAGTGCGCAATTGACGTCGTAGCATGGGCTGACGTGCTCGTGCTGATGGCGATGGCCCTAGGGTATGTACAGTCTATGTTTTGAAGGATCAAGTTACGCAGTACTGTCTGTAAATGAAATTGACGCGCATACAGCACTCTTCTTGCAAGGTCAATTTGTCGTGCTTCATCTTTCCAGTCACGTTTACGGACGGCAGCTCTGATCTTTTTCTCAATTGACCAAAGACGCCGTTCTATGCTCAGAAGCATCCGGCGCAACTCGAAGCCACACTGGCTGGCTTGTGAGTACATGTATGTCGGCGCGACATTGTCAAGCACGGTCACGTGCATTAGAAGCTCTACGTCCGTAAACGTAACCCTCGATTAGAAGCTCCCAACGTCACCACATCTCCTCTTCAACACGCTCCGCAATTCGATTCAACAGCATTGTGTATCTGAAGCACTTCCTGTCCCCTCAGCAAGCACCTGCTATGGTCCGGTCTCGCCTCGATGCCTCGGTCTCGGATCCTACGGTTATATGCCAGCCGTGCCGTTCCCCAGTGGCATCGTTATGCATGGTTTCCCCGCACCTTCGAGCACCAATCTCGACAGCATACAGGAGTAATACGTCAACACCGCTCTGCCATGTTGCTCTTCGGCAAACCGCGTTGCTTACCGTAAACAAGCAGTGAGCCGCTTTCCGGATCGACGCGTCTTGGATGCTTCAAGCTCCTCTCAGTGCTGAGTCTCAAGCACTGTCTGCCCAGCCGAAACCATCCAACGTCTCGGTGCAAGTCCGAAGTTCACCGCATTCCGCTTCTGGTGGAGAAGGTTCCCTCGATCTAGTACTCCACTGCGCTAAAGAACGGGTTAAGGCAGGTACGGTGGCAGCCACGCGCTCTCCGCACGCATCATGAGCATCGTCTCCCAATCGAGGAAAGTAGGCATCTCACAACCGCGGCTCAATCGCGAAGAAACTCTGTATGACACGTACCCAAGGTTAAGCCATGCCGTCAATCAAAAGTGAGTAGGTTAACTTTGTTCCATTGTCCCACTCTTCTCTCCCTCCTCCACCATCCTCCATCACCAGTCATGGCTCCCAGTATTTCTGGTTTGGCTATTGCTGCCTTCGGCATATGGCTAGCCGGTAGCGTGACGGCTCAAAGTGCAAACGCATCACTGCCTGTTGTTGATCTTGGCTACGAACTACACCAAGCCTCCTTCTACAACTCCACAGGCGGATTCTACAACTTCAGCAACATCAGATACGCAGCTCCACCGACTGGTGCGAACCGCTTCCGTGCTCCACAGCCACCAGCGACGAACCGCACTGCCATTCAGCAAGGCACTCCAGGACGCATTTGCCCACAAGCTGGCGTGGCTTGGGGTGCGATTGCAACCCCATTCATTGCCGCCTACCTCTCCGGTCAAACACAGTTCAACTCGTCATCCTTCAACATCAGCACTGCAAGTAGCGGCAGTCTTCCAGTGCAGGATCCTCGCTCTACTGAAGACTGCTTGTTCTTGGATGTTGTCGTGCCAGAGGCGATTCTCAACAATGCCGGGAAAGGCTACGGGGCTCCGGTTCTGGTGTGGATCTACGGTGGCGGCTACACCATGGGCGACAAGTCTGGCTCCGGCAACCCTGCTGGTCTGCTGCAGCAGAGCGAAGCCAATAACGGTGGGGGTGTTATTGTAAGTGATCTCACACTATCTTCCCTACGACTCCTGCTTACACAACAGGCAGTACGTCAGCATGAACTACCGTCTTGGCGCTTTCGGGTGGCTTTCAGGCCCAACTTTTCAGACTAATGGAGACGCCAACGCTGGTCTGCTCGACCAACGCTTCGCGCTTGAGTGGGTTCAACAACACATTGCTGCCTTTGGCGGAGATCCAAACAGAGTGACCGTTTTCGGCGAGTCGGCCGGTGGCGGGAGCATCATGCACCAGATTACAGCCTACGGCGGCCGCAATGGCTCAGCTCCGTTCCAGCAGGCCATCCCGCAATCTCCCGGCTTCGCCCCAATAGTCTCAAACCAGCAGCAGGAGCAGATCTTCAACGGCTTTCTCTCGCTCTTGAATGTTTCGACCATCGAACAAGCTCGCAATCTCTCATTCACCGCTCTTCAGACGGCGAACATTATCCAAGTCGGCGGCTCACCGTACGGGGGCTTCACGTATGGCCCGGCTGTAAGTCTAACAGAGCCCGCTATACTCACCCCTGCTGACCGTGCGGTCTATAGGTCGATGGCAACTTCGTTCCAGCCCTACCAGGCGAGTTATTGCTGCACGGGCAGTATGACAAGAACCTACGCATCATGGTCGGCCACAACGCAAACGAGGTACACCGGCCATCTTCTACCAAGCCTGCCTTGACCGAAGTATACTGACTCTTCATCAGGGCCTACTCTTCACCTCCCCATTTGTCCAGAACGACACCGCCTTCGTCACCAACCTACAGACGACTCTGCCGACTCTGCGCGCCTGGCCGCAAATTCTCAGCTACATTATGAACACTTTATACCCACCCGTTTTCGACGGCAGCCAGGCAATGGGCTACACCAACCAGATCGCCCGTGCCGCGGCGCTGACCAGCGAGCTCGTCTTCACGTGCAATACCTTCTACCTCGACAAGGCGTACGGTAACAACACGTACTCGTACTTCTTCACTGTCCCGCCGGCGCTGCATGTAAGTCTGCCCTAGGCCCAAATACCCACCGGGTAAGTGTACGGAGTGGCTGACGTATACTGTTCGTTTGTACAGGGCCAAGACGTAGCCTATACCTACTACAACGGCCCTTCGGCCTCGGTGCTGAACAGCACAGTGGCGGTCACGCTGCAGCAATACATCACTCGCTTCGCGGAGACGGGCATGCCGAATGAGGCCGGCGCGCCGTACTTTAACATGTACGGCAGTAATGCGACGGTGGAGGTGCTGAATGTGTCGCGCATCAGCGCTGCGATGGATCCGACTGCGAATCAACGGTGCAACTTTTGGCAGAAGGCACTTTACGTATAAGTTGCGCAAAGTGGTCAAGGCAGAGGCAAGAGGTTTGGTGTAGAAAGGTGGAGTTCTGGAAGTGCCGAGTAGCGCAGTCGGACAGAAGGAAAGCCTGTGCATCCTAAGTGCTCGCGGACGCATAGTGGCTCGCGGGTGTGGTGCGTCCACTGCTGTACCCAACAGTCTTCGTAGACGCATCAGTCAACGTATATCTTCCACCCATAGGCCTCGCCGAACCACCTCCTCGCAAGCCGCGTACCAGCCTCGGTCGGCTGACTGAACGCTACGTCCTGCTTTTCGACGTGAAGTTCGTGCCGCACTCGCTCGCAGCGCTTTTCAACGTCTTTCGGGTCGTGATGTCGTGCACGGCAGGCCTCTACTTCCACCTCGGCCCGCCTGTTCTGGTGCTTAAGTGCTGTGTCTAAGAGCTGCAAGGCGATGCCCTCCTTTCGGGCTGAGGCCAGAGTCCAGATGCGGGAGATGCCGAGCTTGGCTGGGAAGGATTGTAGGGATATTCGTAGCGGCTGTTCTGCAGGTTCTAAGCTGGGTGGCTGCTCCGTGGCCTTTCTTCGCGCTTTGATCAGGGCTGCGGCGGAGTAGCTGGACGGCTGCGGTGTGGGCGGGGACAACCTTGCCGGCCCTGGTTCCAAAACTCGTTTGGCGTGGCTGATATGTTGTGTGAGCAGGAAGCCGATGCACCGGTGACCTCGGATGTACATGTATGCGGCATATTCGGGAGGCTGCAATGGGTCGATCGACTGAGAAGACCATAGATCTTTCCGCGGGATAGGTACTGCGCCGAGTTCCTTCTGCACGACCATAAGTACATCCTCCGCTTTCCTCTTTTGTACTGAACGAGCGGTGTGGTCGACATAGAAAATGCGATCTGTAGCGCCTTCTACATCGTACACAACGTTCTTGGTGTGTCCCTGGACGAAGCTACTCTCGACGTCGTAGCCATCGACGATGTGCTTATGGTAGATGTTGTGCCATTTGCGGTCCACGGCAAGCGATGGGACGTAATCCATACCGCATTCTTTACATTGCACCTGAACCTTTTGCCCGAGACTCAACTGCATCTGAGTAAGCTGCTTCGGTATTGAATTGGTCTCCTTCGTCGCCGCTTTCTTCGTTGGCCTAACATTGTCGCTTATGCTTTCGAGAGCCTTTCGTTTAGCAAGAACCGCGAATGCATTCAGCTTGTTGTCCGCCATCGCCATGGGTGTGGTGTTGTTACCAGCTGCATCCCACGGGAAGCCTGGAGGTGAAGAGGGCGGGCTTGATGCGCATGTTGCCGGGTCAGAGAAGATGGCATTGTCGCTACGCTGGCTTGACGGTGCAATACCGTCCGAGGAGGGCAGCATACTGATTGTGTTCTTCTTCGGCATAGCTGTATACGGAAATCAGTCCTTGAGCAACCTTCTTCTTCGTCCTTAGTCGAAGATTGTAAATATCGGGTAGACGCGACTGAGAGACGCGTCAGCGGAGCCAGTTCCGCCCATGACGCAACAACCTCACAAGAACCCTGTCGTTTCACATGCCATCGGGAAATTGTTCACCCCGCCATCTCTTGAAGCTTCAGACGAGGCATTGGAAGGAGCATGTCCGAGGAAGAAGGCTCGCTTCCATCCTGCAGCAATCTCATCCTCATCCTCAAAGCCGCTCTCCGCAAACTCTTCGTCCGCGATGGTAGCCAAGATATCCGCCTCGAGCCGCCTCATCCCCGTTGAACCGCTCCACCCCTCGGCCTTCGCTCCCTTCGGCGAGGTCATACAGAACCCCGCAACACATGACAATCAGCCCAGCCTGAGCACTGTAGAAGCAAATCAAGGTTCTGCGACAAAATGCCTGGACGTGACGAGTATGCGAAATTGGTACGAGCTCAGCCAGAGCAAGAAACCCGCAAGCGTGAAGATGAATATGTTCGTCTGCCGGCCACGCAAACTACAGAAGCGAAATGGAGAGGAGGTCTTCGACGTGAAGATCCTGGAGCGCCATCCCTTCACGCCGCAGACCTTCGTGCCCCTAGGACTCGCTGGTGGAGACAGGAGCACCAGCTTTCTGGTCATCGTTGCACCAACGCTACCTCTCAACCCTCGCCTTCGAGAAAAGGAAGGCATCATAGACCCAGCATACCCCGTTCCGGCACCACAGCGGAAACGCAGTCTGCGAGAACGCCTTTTGGGAGCGCGGCCGAATCCTTTCACCAACGACTTCATGACCAGCATTACGGCCACCTCCGAGCCACCGCTCGCTCATAGACCCAAAGGGCCCGGTCTGCCCGACCTAGACAATCTCCGCGCTTTCATCGCTAGAGGTGATCAGGCTGTTACCTACGGAGCCGGGACTTGGCATGCGCCTATGGTTGTGCTTGGCGAGCAGCCAGTCGATTTCGTGGTGGTTCAGTACATGAGTGGCGTGGCGTTGGATGACGTACAGGAGGTCGAGATCGAGTCTTCTTCGGACGGACTGGCTGTCAACGTCCACGACATGGCTTTCGCAGATGCTGGTGGCGTACGAAGCAAGCTGTAACCCGGTTGCGGAGATTGTGCCTGAGCTTAGCGTTGGTGTCCAGGAAGGTTGGTGTGGTTGGCGTGACTGGCGTGTTGCGATCCGCTAGTGCGAAGCCTGAGCAAGTTTCGCTGATATTGCGTGTAAATGTATGTTAGATGGCGAACATTCGCGCCTCGAGGTATTCCTGCGAAGCATGTCATCTCCATCTCCTCCTAAGCATCCACCACACTCCGCCAAATCCTCTCATGTTGGTGAAGTAGTACAGCAGCCCGAACAGTGACCCACTTAAGTGTGCCGCATGTCCAATATGACTGGTCTTGGAGCCCAGCAAGTACGTGTCCAGCGCCGCATATCCCACAGTCGCCACCCACAAAGGAATCGCAACGGGAATGAACAGAATATTGATCGGAGCGAAGGGCATGAGGCAAGTCGCCGCAGCACCCATGCCCAATACCGCACCACTGGCTCCGAGAGAGGCCTGGTTCTGAACGCTCCCTTGGCTGCCACGAGTGACTCTACCGTGCGTGCCCGGTCCAAAGATTTGCCCGCCTGCTCCAGTGATCTTGAGCAGGTCCTCCCGAGCCTTTTGCTGATACAGCCACCCACCCGAGCCAGCAAGCGCGCTTCCTACAGAGAGCGCAAGGATATGCCCTCCACCTACTCCCGGGAAGAAGGACAGAATACTTCCAAAAGCGCGAAGCGACATCATGTTAAACAGAATATGCCACCACTCGGTATGAGAGAAGGCGGCGGTGAGGAGCGTCCAGTACCGTCCTGCCTCAAAGTTGGCTAGTGAGAGGGTGGCGTTTTCTTTGAGTTGTTTGATCAGTTTGCTGTTTTGAGTGTAGCGAGCGTACTGCCAGGTGCCAAAGACGGCAATGTTAAGGGATATGAGGGTCCAGATTACGTTTTCGGCGGAGGTGTAGGTGTCTGAGGAGTCTCGTCCTGTGATGTTGCTGTACGGGCGGCGGAGGCTGTACGACTGACGTTTCGACTGGATGCTTGACAGGGACATTAAATTCCTCGATCCGAGTCCGACGGACAGGTTGGAGGCTGACCTTTGAACTTTAGGCTTTGAGAATCTGAACAATGCCCGTCGGATGAGATGGATTTGAGTGCTTGGTCGTAACGCCATTATATTGAATGAAAGAGCAATCCTGTTTATAAAAGGAAAAGACCTCACGACCTGATAAAGTGCAAAGTGCTCGTCGTATTGACAAGAGGCGTAACACTAGGTGGGCGAAGATATTGTGGCGGAGGGGACCCCTCAATGCCGACAAGGCAGATCAATGATGAGATGTCGGGCCCTCCATTCGGCTCACAGGTTCAATACGGCGATGCAGTGACTTGAGCTGTGTTGAAGATCGTCTGCGAAGAAGAGAACGGATGGAGCGTAGGCCGTAGGCTTTATGTAGATGTACCTGTAGTTAATAATACCACTGACCTGTTCTGCCTGACTGCCTTAAGGCTGTTAAGTTCCAATGCGAACCGCACAGAAACGTCCCACCTAACAACCCACCAAACACAGACCGTTTCGCCTCACTCTGCGCCGCCCATTCCGCCGCCCATTACTAGCCGGGCTCATATTGATCGCCAGTTACCAACATCCGTTGTGCTCAAACCAAGCTTCACCTCTTCGCACCACTCCAAGCTGTCCAGTCCTGCTGCGAGACACACACACGCACACTCGAAGGCCCAGCACCGTAGGACATACCGGACAGCTATACTCACTCGCTCGCCCGCCCCTGCGCACTCTTTTTAAGAGAGAGCGGCGACTACGCCCAAACACACCTCGTAACGCCAAAGTAGTGCTTGAATAAGTTGCGGGCCTCTTGCGACAGCCGCTTAGGCCAGTTCTTCACATTCACGACCACCTCCGTGCGCGCATCTAGCTGGTATTCGGAGTCACGTATAGCAGAATTCACACGCAATGGCTTCAGAGCTTGCCAACAAGCTCGAGGCGACAACACTCAACGAAAGCTCGACGAACAATGACTGGAGAGCGGGGCTCAAGGCGCCGCCGAAAGACGGCCGAGTGCAAACTGAGGATGTGACAGCGACAAAAGGGCTTGAATTTGAAGACTTCTACCTCAAGCGAGAACTGCTCATGGGCATCTTCGAGGCGGGCTTCGAGAAGCCGTCACCCATACAAGAGGAAACGATACCGGTAGCACTCACCGGGAGAGACATATTGGCGCGAGCCAAGAACGGCACCGGCAAGACTGCCGCCTTCGTCATACCTACACTTGAGCGCATCAACCCCAAGCTGGAGAAGACACAAGCTCTGATTCTTGTACCCACGCGAGAGTTAGCGCTGCAAACATCGCAAGTATGCAAGACGCTCGGCAAGCACCTCGGGATCAATGTCATGGTTACTACCGGTGGCACTGGTCTCAAGGACGACATTATCCGACTCAACGAAGTCGTGCATATCATTGTTGGTACGCCTGGACGCATCCTGGACCTTGCATCAAAAGGCGTCGCCGATCTTTCCGCCGCAAAGACGTTCGTCATGGATGAGGCGGATAAGCTTCTGTCACCCGAGTTCACCGTCACTATCGAGCAATTACTACAATTTCACCCTGCAGATCGGCAAGTGATGCTCTTCTCCGCTACCTTTCCTATCGTTGTGAAGTCATTCATGGACAAGCATATGCGCGACCCTCATGAAATTAATTTGATGGACGAGCTCACACTGCGCGGTATCACGCAATATTACGCCTTCGTGGAAGAGAAGCAGAAGGTACACTGCTTGAACACTCTCTTTAGCCGCCTCCAAATCAACCAATCGATCATCTTCTGCAACAGCACGACACGAGTCGAACTATTAGCGAAGAAGATCACTGAGCTTGGCTACTCTTGCTTCTACTCACACGCCAAGATGCTGCAACAACACCGTAACCGAGTCTTCCATGACTTCCGAAACGGTGCGATGCGCAACCTTGTCTGCTCCGACCTTCTCACTCGCGGCATCGACATCCAGGCGGTCAATGTTGTCATCAACTTCGACTTCCCGAAGAATGCTGAGACATACCTGCACCGCATTGGCCGGTCGGGTCGCTTTGGCCACCTTGGTCTCGCTATCAACCTGATCAACTGGGATGACCGATTCAACCTCTACCGGATCGAACAGGAACTCGGCACGGAGATCCAACCCATCCCGCCGCAGATTGACAAGAGTCTGTACGTCTACGAGAATGCCGAGTCCATCCCAAGACCCATCAACACTGCTCCGGCGCAAGCGGAACAAAGGCAACAGCACGACACACGAAGGCAGCAGGGCAACGGTGCAGATCTGGCAAATCCGGCCAACCGGACAGGCGGGTACCGCGGTGGTCGTGGCGGCGGCGGCAGAGGAGGAGGCGGCTACAGAGGCCCACCACGCGATCCTAACCAGCAAGGTCAGAACGGCGGCTACCAGGGCCAACAGCGACAAGGTGGCTATCAACAGCGGCCGCCACCGCAGCAGCAGGCAATGCCGCAGTCTGCGGCTCACGCGTAGAACGCTTAATGTGCGTATCTCCCTTCCTGACACGACCTAGTCGCACGGATTTGTCAGATTTTGTACATGGAGTTTGGCGCTTTCAGAAACCAGTGGCCGGCGAGCCCAGTGCTTTTGCTTGGGGAGGTGGATGATTGCTGGGTTGTTGCAATGTACGATTGACGAGCACGCTGGTTCTTAAGCTCCGGCATTTCCTTATCACCACACCTTCACTTCCACGACCTTGATCCGACTCGATTCGAGCGCTCATGCTGCGATACCTTGGAGCTTGATGATCTTTCGACCTCTGGAATGGATATGAGACACTTTTTGCACATGAATCATAGTTTGCGGCGCTTACTGCACGCAATACCCCGTTTCGACTGACTGCATGTTTTATCAAGTACCGGTCTCCGGTCGCTGCTCTGGGTCTTGCCGCCCTCCCAAGACTCACCCACGTCACTACTGGACCTTGTTCTGTCGCTTTTTCGAAGAGCTTGCCGTCCGCTATAACATGGTCGCTACGACCCGCGCCCACGCCAACAACGTTGATCACATCCTTCTCCACTCCTTTAGAAGGATGCCGGATCAGTCCGAATCACCTCAATTCAGCGGCCGCAGTGCCTCCAACGTTTCATGGCAAGTGCTGCAAAGCGTACCGTTGGAGCACAATCTATTCGATGGTGTGTTGGAAGGTGGTTCGGTAGAAAGAAATCAGAGAAAAGCCTTTCGGAGGAGTACCAGATTAAGTGGCCTGCTATGGAACGCATGACAGTGCTCACAGGATGGCTGTTAGATAGCTGCACTTAATGGCAAGACTCATTCTCCTCCGACTCTTACTGAGCTCCTAACGTTGCTACCACCTGTGCGTAGCTTGTGGCCCCCAGGTCCAGTGCTTGCTGACATATCCTGCGAAAACTTGCGAGCTCGCCCAACGCAAAGCCGGTATAATTCAACCACTTCCGTGGTTGACGCCGATCCCACCGCGTTGCTCGCTTAGTCGCCAGCAGTCTTATGCTGCTCCACGTAGCGCAGCAATGCGGCAAACCTCAACGCCGTATCGCACATGCGTCGAGTGCAGACAGCCACGAGCGGACGGTCAAAGGCTGCGTCGCATTCTAGACGTTGGAAGAGCAGGATGTTCTCAGATCGCTCAACATTGCGACTAAATGTACATGACCAACAGCTTCCCACTCCAGGCGCCATCGCTAAAACTCTTCAACTAACTGTGCGCCTTCATGGCTACTCAATGAAAACCCAACCTCTTCTGTCCCTCCTTCCACTGCAAGTTGATTCCCGGCTTAGCATACGCACAATACCGATCCTTAATGGCCACCACCTCGTACGTGCCTTCCTCGCCTGCCTTGATCCGCATACTATACTCCTCACTAACCTCATGCCTCATGTCAAGAACCACACCGCGCTTCTTCCCACCCTTCTCCGTATTCGAGCTCCGCGTGTAAGTGAACTCAAACGGCGGCACACCGCCAAAGGTGAACAGGATCTCCGTCTCGCTGCCCTCGTGTATGTCGACGTATGACTCGCGGCCGCCGGAGACTCGCACCGAGGGCATGCCATGGATGCGGCGAGTGATGTTCGCCGCGGAGTGGCAGGAAGAGGCATTGTCTTCCACGCCGGTGACGGTAAAAGTACCAGGCTTCTCGGCCAATCGCCTGAACGTCGTGCCGGTCGCTACAGCCTTGCGCTTCTTGCCCTCGAACTCATAGTAGACATCGAACGGCGCCTGCCCGGAAAGTGCGAAGCTGACATGATCGCCTACGCAGACGTCGTCGTGGCTTTCGAGCGGCGTGATGGTGGGTGCATCGTGCACGGAAATCTGCACGCGCGGCGTGGTGCTGTCGAGCAGGCGACTGCAGCCGCGGCTGTCACTGACTCTGCGCAGCGACATGGCTGATCTGCCAAGCTGCACTCTGCTGTGCGGAATCTTCACGTTGTGCTTGTGCTCCATGATATCACTCAAGCGAATGAGTTCGGGCTTACCACCGGCAAGCTGCTTGATTTCGAGCTCGACATCGAATGGAGGCTTGCCGTGCAGAGTGATTGGAATCACCTCCTCGCCCGCAGATTCTACGGAGCAGTAGCTGTACGTCTTGCCTGGGTTGGCAAAGGCCACAGACGGCCGAGGATTGACGCGCTGTTGGACGGTTATAGGCGTGAAGTGCTCCTTGCTGTGGTCGTAATTGGCATCTTCCAGCTTGCTGAACTCATACTCGTGTAGACCTGCTTGAGCTGTGTTCATGCGTAGCGTTGCCACGTTCACAGCAGCCCGAAGCTCCTTGTTCTTCGGAGCGGTGACGCCGTGGTCTGGCTTAATATGTTCGACATAGTACAAGCTGAACGGTGGCGAGCCCTTGAAAAGCACCTCAATCGCGTCGTCTTCGCCCTCGCACACTTCAGTTTTGACGAGCTTGTTGCCGCTGTGTGCGGCGACTTGATCTTCTGGAACACGCACCTCGGGTCGCGGGACTGTCTTAATTTCGAAGGTGTTGGCTTGGTCGTCCACTTGACCCGGACAGCTGGCGTCCTTCACACTCAGAAGCTCGTAAATACCGGCCGCTGAAACCTTGATCTGGTCATTAGGCGTGTTCGCCGCTATGTCGTGAGTCTTGCCAGCCTGATCCCGAAGAGCGACCGTCCACGGTGCCTCGCCGGATAGTCGAAGCGGCAGCTCTACTGACTTTCCTTCCAGGGTATCTAGCGTTCGGCGCCCATCTATCTGGCCAAAGGCGACTCTCGGTTTCTGATGCCGGACGGAGATCTTCGTCTCGCCCTTCAGGAACTCCTTGCAGCCCATCTTATCGGTGACACTGATGAGCGCAATTGTATAGTCACCACCTTCATGCAGGTGCTCGGTCGCCAGCGCAAGCCTTTTGCTCTTGATGTCCGTTAGAGCATAGTTGGCGCGCTTGCCATTATGAACGATTTCGTATTCCAGTGTGAACGGCTCTTCGCCCGTAAAGCCCACATTGAATTTGGCAGTCTCGTCGATGCATGCGCTTCTGGTTCCTTCGGATCCGATGAAACGCGCGGAAGCCGCGGGTTTGACACTTTGATTGAGCTTGAGATCCTTCAATGGCCGGTTCTTGTAAACGGCGTCGCTGATTTGGTAGAACTCGTATTCGTATGAGCCAGCTTCTCGTGGCGTCAACTCAATCTGACCACGTTGCCCAGTGACTCTCTCCGTCGCTGACGTGTGGTGGCTCTGGCGGTCCTTCACCACGCGGTAAGAGACCTCAAACGGCGGCGTGCCCACCAAGTCGAGGTCTACACGCAAACCTATCGGACTGCCGGCGCACTTGTCGAAGATCTCCTCTTTAGTGATCTTCAGCTCGGGTTCCGGCGGGTTCTGTAGTAGGCAAGACGCTGGTTCAAGCACCTCGCCCCCGCAGTAGTCGGTGGAGACACCGACAATGGTGTACAATCCCGCTTCTTGGATTGTCGGTCGCTGGCTGCTATCTTTGATCTTGAAGTTGGCCTTCTGTGCGTCTACACTATGCTCGCCCGTGGCGGAGATGCCGCTCTGCGGACTAAAGATGTACTCGAGGTGGTAAGGAATGTCCGCAATTGGACCCTTTCCTGTTGAGCCCAGTTGCACCGGCAGCTGCGCAGTGCTGCCTTTCGCCACCTTTAGTGGGTTCTGCGGGCTGCAGCCCTTCAGATTCACCAACGGCCGCTCGTGGACTGTAATGACTTGATGCAGTGATGGCGATTTCGAGCCATGCTTCTCTTGAGAGTCATGGTCTTTTTCCGAGTACGATACTTTGTTGCCGAAGCCATCAATCACCTCAGAGATAGCGTAGACCCACTTACCCGCCGTAGTCATGCCCTCGCTCAGCGGTACGCGAACCTTCTGTGGCCTCACCCAAGCAGGATCCAAATGTCCTGGCAAAGCCAGGGCATGCTGCCGCTCACTCTTGGTAAGCGGTGACACAAACTCTTCGGGTTGTATGCTTTCGAAGGTAGCCTCTTGCGCTTGCTGGTTGACGGTCTTCCGGTATCTAACACGCATGGGTGGCGTGCCTGTCACCTCAAGCTCGATGCTGGAGAGATCGCCTTTGCACCGGTCGGTTGTCATGGGTCGAATTGCCGCTTTCGGACATGGCACCACAACTGTGTGCTCGATACGCTTACGGGCAACCTCGAGGTTGGACTCATCGACTACCTTAGTAAGGGAGTATATTCCGGGTTTCCGGACGGTGTAGTAAAGCGTTTTTGGCTCGTTCGGCTTTTCGCTATAGGACTTTAGTCGAGATGCATCCTTGTGCATTGTCCGGATCTGTGACTTGCTGATTCGGATGGTCTCACTCGCATCGGTCTCCAAATCAATGCGCAGCAGATCCATACTGATGGGATTAGTTGAGTTGATGGTGATGGGCAGCTTCGCGTCCACCCTTGTTGTACCATCAATGCAGAAAGTCTCCTTCTCTGCATTGAGCACTGCTGAGCCTTCGGGCAGGATGTGGATGATCTGGCGACCAAGGATGAGCGACTCATTGAATTCGATTGATCGCGGATTGACACTCCGCTCTGCGATGGCAATTTCTGAAGCTCCAAATATGCTCCGACCCAAGATCGCGAACCCTGCGGCGACCGGGATTGGTATGCGAAACATCATCATGCCGTCTGCGAAAGCATGTGCGAAGAACAACAGTATCATCGTCATTGAACTCCACTCCAGCCATGGTATTCGCATCGTTGGCAGGCCGAACAAGAATATGCCATCCAAGGCGACCCATTTCATGAACAGCCATAGACTCTGCTCTTCCAAGTCTTGCAGTGTCGTGAAATCATAAGCCTTCCAACTCCACAGGAGCACCCATATCGCAACTGCCCAAAGTCGTTGTGAAGGCGCGTCCAGTATGTGCTCCGGTACCAAAGGTTCTCCGGGTGGGGACGAAGAGAAGGTTGGCCGCAGAGAAGGTAGCTCTGGTAGCCGCTCTGTGACTCGCTGTATACCCGCGCTCTCGCCCAACCGCCCACTCCTCCTGTCCGTCTGTGGCGTTGCTGGCCATGCGCTCCCCAAGCGCGGAGTGCGCGGTGTACCCTCCATAATCCAGCCGGTCGAGTTGAGGTTCAGTCTACAAGCGAGAGGGTGGAGCGTCTCGTTCTCCGATCGTCCAGTACACAGCCAGCTCCCAATGATGTCCAGGAGCGCATGAGGTGGGAGAGTTGCTGGAGTCTCATAATGAAAGCTACCAAGTGTTAGCTGTGTTGTCGCACACTCCATTCGAAGTGCCTCCACATCGAAAACACGCGCCTCGACGCGGCGCCTTTTCTAGCCTAAGGCACCGACTGCTGTGAGGGTACCGGGCAACAGTCAAGGAACCTCACTTCCCAGCAATGGCAAGACGAAACTGGCTGCTTAGTCCGACGATGGCCAGCATGCGGCTTGTACTGGCTATCAACCAAAGGAACGCCCCGGTCAGCTCGGTGCTGTGTAGCAAACAGCATGCTGCTGGGGTTTGCCAACTTTCCACTCCACAACCTCCATAGACTGTTCAACGTCCATAATCTGGACCAGGTCATCGACCCTACTACGCTGGTTGAGACACGGTCAAACAATCACACAACCGTTCAAGACAAGTCCAATTATCAAGCATGGCCCAGAAACGCAGCAAGGTGAGAAAGGTGGCAGCCGTCTCTAGCAACGCCGCCGCCACCACCATCGATGGCGAGTCTGGATCGTCCGCTCCACCTGACCGCGCCACATGGTCTGGCTGGGTTGAGATGGAGTCCGAGCCAGCATTCTTCAACGTCATGCTCAAAGAGATGGGCGTCAGAGGCGTTAAAGTCCAGGAAGTCTACGATCTCGGCGAGGAGTTTCTTGCAATGCTACCACAACCGGTGCATGCGCTCATCTTCCTGTTTCGCTTTCGCGAGACCGAGAACCCGCAAGTCCCGGCTGACGGCTGTCCAAAGCACGTTTGGTTCGCCAACCAAACACCTGATTTTGCATGCGCCACTTTCGCATTGCTCAACATAGTGAACAACATCCCCGACCTTGAGCTTGGCGATGAGCTACGCCAGTTCAAGGTGTCTACGCAGGACATGGACCCGTTGAGTAGAGGTGACGCGGTAGATGGCTTTGACTTTGTTCGGCGCATTCACAACTCTTTCGCTCGTGACAACGACATACTCGAGACCGATATCCATTTGCGCGACAAAGCGAGCAAACTCAAGAAGCGCCAGGCACTTGCGAAGGCCCGCGAGACTCGTGAGCTAAAGAAAGTCGGGAAGACCGAGCCGGCAACGCCACAAAAGCGTAAGTCGGAGAGTGAAGAGCCGCCTACCAGGTCCACACGTAGGCGCAAAATCCAGTCGCCTGGGGACGTCGACCGCTCCCTGATACCAGCCAAGGAAGGTGCTAACGCTACTGGACGAACAGCAAAACGTGGCATTACCAAGAGTGGCACGACTGCCAAGAAAACTTTGCCCACTAAGAAAGCGAAGAAGTCGCCGAAGGAAGAATCTCGCAATGGTGGCTCAAACGCTGAATTTGAGACACCTTCCACGGCGAGAGTGACCGACGAAGCGCAGACGAATGGCTTGCGCCGCTCCGAGCGTGCACCCAAGTCGAGGAAGGATATCGCGACCGCTGCTGCTGCCGCTGAAGCGGCGGCAGACGAAGGCTTTCATTTCTGCGCCTACATGCCGATCAACGGCCACGTGTGGAAGCTGGACGGCCTTGACCGCTACCCGCAAGACATGGGCTCGTTCAGTGAAGACGATGGCGGCAACTGGATGCATGTCGCTCAACCCACTCTTATGGGTCGGATGGCACAGTACGAGGCTTCTGAGATACAGTTCAACATTATGGCTATCGTCCATGACACTCTGAGCACAGATCGTGTGGCATTGCTTCAGAATGTCAAGACGCTGCGTACCGTTGATGCCAAGCTGAGCGGACTCTGCGAGGACCGGCACACGATGGAGGGTGCCGAGACCAAGAAGGATGTCGTTACGGAGTCAGCTTCAGAGCTCAATGTCGCTGCAGCGGACATTGAGTCAGCACAAGTGCCGGCGGAGATGGCAGCCAGGATCAAAAAGAAGGACGATCTGCTTGAGCTGATCGAACTGCGACAGGGCGTAATTGCGCAGCAGGTTGCTTTGAGAGCGATGCTACGGGACGCTCTTGAAGCCAACAAAGAAGATGACAGGAAAGCCAGGCACAGAAGGCACGACTATGCAAAGTTCATTGACTCGTGGCTTGGTGCTCTGGCCGAGCAGGAGCTCCTTACTGATCTCATCGATGCATAAGCGGGAGAGGTTCCGGGGTTTAAGCCTGCGCTGAAGGCTACGTCTCTGAGCACAGCGTATGGGACTGTAAGCATATCTATTGCCTGAGAATTTAGCGTGGCGTTGGAAGAGGAGGATATCGGTGGCGTCACGGCATCATTATGTCGTATAGAGCTCATTGTTCAACACTAGGCAGAGCATCGACTAGAAAGCTAGCCTTGCGCAAGCTGACATTTATTACTGGTGGCCTTGTTCGCCGTGACAGAGTCGGCTGACGCACAATACGCTCTCAAAGCTCCATAGTGACCCGCAACACGTTTGCCATCGCCTCCATTACATGGAATACACATACCTGGCACAATGCACTTACGCTGGCGGGATGTCTCAATGTTCAGGCGCGTCCTTCGTACTCCAGCACTCGTAGACACACGGAGCCCGTTTAGAACACAACCAACATGTGTAAGAAGTACACCTTCAAGTACGCGCAATGTGCCCATTACGACAATGTCCGACTCGCCGGGCTGCAACGCTGTCCAGTTCGGCTGAACGAAGCGGGCTCGATCACTACTTGTCAGAGCGTCCGCAGCGGAGAGCAGGTGGTCGAGCTTGAGACTGTGGCACTCCTGGGCTTCTGCCTACGGTGCAGATTGAGCAAGCTTGAAGTGGCGAGGTCCAGAAAGTGCGTACTATGCGAAAGTGTCGTCAGATAAGAGAGCTGCCTGACAGTGATCGCAGTGACAAAGGCATGATTGTAGAGACGTTGGTGCTTAAGAAGTGACTGTCGCACAGGACCTTGTACGATTGATGAAGACAATGCATACGAAAGCAGGGCTGAGACATGAAGGGACGACATTGGAAGACATATTTCGTACGCAGAACGGCGGATCGGCGGCGGTGGCGGCGTCAAGTCAGCTATACTCTTCGTTAATGTACCATGCCCATATCGACATGTCGTCTCACCAGATCCCAGTACTTAGTTCTGTTCATCTCCCGTAGAGCCTTGCCTTTCCACGTCATGAGTAAGAAGACAGCGCTCGCTGCCAGTCCAACAAAGGCTGCACTTATGAAGCAATTCTGGTACCCAAGGTTTTCGAGCCAAGGAGTGATGCCGTAGCCAATGGCGAACGACATAGTATTGCGGATGATGATGAGGCTCGTAATGCCATCGCTGCTGATATCTCGGTAAGAGTCGATCATGTAATTGACGCTCAATGTGATACCGCTCGTATTGCAGAAGGAGGTTCCCAGCATGGCGACGATAAGGCCGAACCAGTGCACCTTGTGGGCAGCGCCAACTCCCCAGAGCAGCAAGCTGGCAGGCAGCACGATCATAGGGAGAAGGAAGCCCCACAACCTCTGCTCCGGCTCGAAGATGCCCTTGTTGCGTCGTGCAAGCTTGAGCACCATCCAGTCGGACAGGTAGCCTGTGTAGAGGGCCGCTGCAATTACTCCGAGCAGGCATGAGACGTAGGATAGGCCGACCATACTGGAGGAGAAGTTGTAAGGCGCACCGCCGAGGATGACGGAAGCCGTGGCGTTCAGAACGTTGAACCAGATCAAGTACGAGCCATACGAGAAGCCTGCGTAGAAGATGACAGGCCAGGTAATCAGTTTGAAGGACAGCCAGATACGGTACGGCATTCGCTGCTTGCGAGGCTTGTCGAATAATGAGAGCTTTTGCAGGAAGCTCTTCTCGGAGTAACTTGTTGTGCCTGCCTCGACCGAGCCAGAATCCGGGCTTGTCGCCTGAAGGGCGAGCTTATCATCACTGCTGAGGCTTTCCGTTGGCTGAACGGATATGGGTGACGCCTTGTCGATCACACCAACGTGAGTACGGTCGAAGTTGGTCTCTTCCATGAAGAAGAAGAGAAAGACTAGCGACGCAGCGCAGAAGATTGAAGGGTAGTAGAACACTGCGACCATCTGTTAATGTTGGTCTTGCACTTTATCGTCGTTAACATACCCCACTTGTAACCCGCATACTCGTTGATGAACCCGCAAATCACGGGTGCGAAGAAGTTCGATCCGGCAAGCACGAAAGCATATACGCCCATATAGGTTCCACGTTCGTGAGCGAAGAAGACATCAGATACTGAGATCTCTGGCAAAGCCTCAATGGGCGCGGCGAAGAAGCCGCCCAATACGTTCTTCGCTATCCATTGTCCGTTACCTCTAGCGTACGGTCCCCACATGGTAAATGCGAGGGTGGCTGCGGTTGAGATCAAGTATGTCGTTCGCTTGCCGTACTGTAAGGCGAATGGTTGCCAGAAAAGGAGGCCCCAGCCCGCGAGAAGGAACAGATACCCTGTGCCAGCATTAAGATCGCCTACTGAGAGGTCAAGAGCTTCGGACAACGGGACGAGGACAGAGTAGACGACGGAGTTGGCAATGCCGGTAAACTGCGGTTACTGTTAGCAGTGGCGAGCGAGAAGTCCCGAACAGTGCAGTAACATACCCAGACATACACGCACATACAGATCAACGACATCAACTTGCGGCGTGGGCTCCAGTTGAGCTATCGAGTGTTAGCACAGTTACTCTCCAGCAGCTCTACAGCACGGCCTACAGGATCATTTGGATCGTCTGAAGGCGTTGGTACTAATACAACATCCTTGCGCGCTCGAGAGTGCTTGGCCGCCATGTTGTGATCGAGGTCGACCATGTGCACAGTGCCGGGAACGACGCTATCATCGATATGGCCATGTTGCACATTGCTGGCGGCCTCCAGTCTCGTAGCCATACCGATGCAAAGATCGTTCAACCGTACGTGGAAAATGCAAAATTTCCTGATTATCGAGTCCGCATATTGGCCAGATGTGAAACGAACATAAGATTATGTATCGCTTCCAGGCATCGAGGTGCAATGCATGGGAGCAGATGCCCTATCATTTGTCTGCCGGTCACTGATAGGCTCATTCGGCACGCATGTAATGATACCAAGGATACAGCGCGCAACCCCCCAATCATAGTAAGGATCTGCACGGAGTGCTGCATGCGATCCACACTGCGAATGCTTGTTGAGAGGTTACTGCATGGAAGATGGTCGCATTGCATACTGTCGCTGACACCCGGGATTAGCAAAGCGGTCTGCCGCGGTCTCATTGGATGAGTGTACGTTGCGTCGTGAGGCGCATGACCGTTCTCTATGCTATGTGTCCCAGCTACAGCATGCGACACGTTAACGGTGTGAGCGTGTTCGCTTCGCTGTACGCTGGACTGAGAGGGACGAATGTTGGCGGCTTCAGATAAAGCCAGTAGACCTTCTCCTACAACCGCCTCCGCTCACTAACCTCCTCATACGTCTGGATCTGATCACCGGCCTCGAACAGCTCCCACTCCTCGAAGCCCATCCCGCACTCAGTGCCTTTGCGCATCTCTTGGACGTCCTTCTTCACGTTCTTGAGCGAGTTGATCGTACCTGCAGGGTTGTCAGCATCTATACACAAAACTCTTCTCCACATAGGAGAATCCGAAACTCACCATCATAGATCTTCTCGCTCCCCCTCAACACCCTGACCCTACTTCCTCTCGCGACGACTCCGTTGCGTACCTTACATCCAGCGATCTTGACCTTCTTCCTCCCGCCCACACCGATCTCGAATACCTGCCCCACCTCCGCCTCACCAAGTACTCGCTGCGTAACGATAGGAGGCAGCCGCTCTTCCATGACTGCTTTCACGTCATCAAGCACGCGATAGATGATGTTGTTCTCAAGCACTTTGACGCCTTTGCTCTCCGCTTGCCCCTTGCTGCCCTCGTCAGAAGGCAGGTTAAAAGCGATGATGTGCCCTCCCGCTGCGTCCGCAAGTTCGATGTCGGAGGGGTTGATGGGTCCGACCTGTGAGCGTAGAATCTTCGGCATGATGAGCGGCGATGACAGGGTCTGGATGTATGCCGATACTGCTTCTGCAGATCCCGAGACGTCGGCCTTGATGATCAAAGGCACAGTAAGCTGACCGCTCTGCTGTTCGGCCTCCGCACTCACAGCACCGGCACTGTTTGCGCGAGCGAGAGTCTCGGAATCCTCATCATCAAGTCCACGCCGTTTCGCCGCCTCAGCTGCCCGCTCGGCCGCACGTTCACGCTCCCGCTTCTCACCCTCAAGCCTGCGAGCCTCGTTGATAGCCTCCATATCCTCCGCCGTCCGCTTAGCCTCCTCCTTCTCCAGCCTATACTCCACAACATCCGTCGCCTTCTGCTCCGTCGGGGCCTGGAGTACCTCATCACCCGCAGCAGGCTGATCTCTCCACCCATCCACTTCAACAGGCATACCTGGCCCAACCTCGGGCACCGTCTGCCCAGCTTCATTCCGCAACGTCCTAACCCTCGCCCACGTGTGCCCAGCAACCAACACCGCGCCAGTCCTAAGCGTACCCCTCCGTACAAGCACCGTAGCGACTCTCCCCGCCTTCTTCGTCGTAGCCTCCAGCACCCACCCCTCCACCGGCCCCTCAGTCTCAGCCCGGTGATCCAGTATCTCGCTCAGCGTAACCACATTCTCCTCCAGCTCCTCCATTCCCTGCCCGGTCTTGCCACTGACAGGCACGACCTGCGTCTCGCCCCCAAAGTCCTCAATCTCCACCCCATGCCGGCTCAGATCCTGCTTCACACGCTGCAAATCCGCCTCTTCCTTATCAATTTTGTTCACCGCCACAATCATAGGCACATTCGCGGCCTTGGCATGCTTGATCGCTTCCAGCGTCTGCGGCTTGACGGAATCATCCGCCGCCACGACTAAGATGACGATATCCGTCACGTTCGCACCGCGCTGCCGCATTGCCAAGAACGCTGCGTGACCCGGTGTATCGAGGAACGTAATCGTCTTCCCACTACTCGCTAACGGCACAGAAAACGCGCCGATGTGCTGCGTAATGCCTCCCGCTTCTCCCGCCGCAATACTCGACTTGCGTAGATAGTCCAGAATAGTCGTCTTACCGTGATCGACATGGCCCATAATCGTCACAACCGGCGGACGACTGGGCACGAAGTCCTTATCCTCGTCCGAAAGCGGCGGTCGAGCTTTGAGATCTCTTTCCTCTGCCTCAGCCGCGGCACCTTCTTCGCTGCCGAAGACAGGCTCGAAGCCGTACTCCATAGCAATCATGCCGCTTGTCTCCGCATTCAGCACTTTGCCGGGAAACAGATCATCGTAGCCCAACCTCTCGAGCCGGGTGACGAACTGCTCGTACCGGACTCCCAGCGTTTGTGCCAGTGTCGCTACGGACACGTAGTCAGACAGGTGAACGAGAGGGCCTTGCTCCGCTCTTCGCGCCTTCTCGGCTCGCTTCTCAGCTGCTTTGACCGCCTGTTCTTGCGCTTTCTGCGCTTTGCGAGCGGCTTTGCGCGCATTACGTTCGTCTCGCGCCGCGGCGGCCTCGTCCTCTTCCTCGTTGTCATCCTCATCCCTACGACGCCCAGCACGTGCCTTCTCGCGCTTCGGTGCTTCCTCGGCCGACTTCCGTGCGCGCGCCGCACGCTCGTCTGTTTGCTCGTCCTCGTCCTCTTCTGCAGCGAACCGGCCGCGGCGAAGGACACGGTCACGTATATCGCTTACCGCATCTTCCCTCGGTTCTGTCCGCTCAACCAACTGAGGCTCTTCTCTCAACGCATGGCGGTTCGGTGGGACAGCATGCTGCCGCCGATCAGATGGCCTTCGCTCCTCGTTCGCCGCGAGTGGGTCAAATGCCACTGGCTGCTTCCTCTCCCGAGACTGTTGAGCGGCTGGCTTTCTTTGGCTCCAAGGCTCGCTGGCCGGCTGGAACGTCACCATCCTCGGACCGTTGACAGGTGGCACCGACTGCCCTCTCGCCTCAACCGCAGGCGCCGCAGCATTTCTCCGCTGCCTTTCAGCTTCGTATTCATGCCGGGGCTTCCTCCCCAGCCTGGGACACTCAAGTGACGAATGCCCGGATTCACCACAAGCATTGCACTTCGCCGTATACGCATTTGTGCAGTCTCGGGCTACATGGCCGGGCTGCCCGCACCGGCCGCACTTTCGCGACGACAGGTTCAGAGGAGGAGCGACGGAGCCTCCATTCTGAGCCTGGTGTTGCTGTAGATATGCAGGTAAGCCTTGTTGGTGCTCGGCACGTTTCTGAAGATGGTCGCGGAACTGACGGTCGATCCAGTCCGTGTCCTGGTTTTGTTGTGGTGGTGGCGGTTGCTGCTGTTGGGCTTGGCGTGGTGGCGTAGCGTCACGGCGTCGGAGGTGCGGCCACTCAGCTGCGTGAGCCTCATTGAAGTCCTGTAGAGCTGGTTGGATATCCTTTTGGTTCAACAGTTTTGCTTGGTAGCCGCTACTCCTTTCCGGCAAGTCATGGCTGAAGAGCGGTGCAGACGGAGGCGGAGGTGGCTGAAAGGAGCCAGATGCGCTGGGTGGCGGTGATTGATGAGACGGATAGGGGTTGCGCGACAGCGGGTCTCCTTGCCCGTGCTCCCCTTGGTCCAAAGGAGGAGCTTGCATTGAAGCCGGCGGCAAGCTGTTGTCTTGCCGGTGTGATTCTGACCGTCGATAAGCTGGTGGCGACCAGTCATCTTTCCAGTCCGACTGCAACACGCGATGAACACTCTGCCGAGGATTCTGGCTATCTAAGCGAAATAGCGACCGCTGCGGGTGCGTCTCAGGCGCAGGCGCATTCGGCGGCCCATCTACGTTACTTTGCTTGCGTGTCTTCGCCAAGTGATCCAGCGGTGCTCGACTAAGTGCCTGGTCATACGAATACCCTCCCTTAGGATGGTGTTTCTGGATCTGACCTGTACCACCAATACGTTTCTGCACAGTAGCCAGAAAGTCGTCACCACTGCTACGCTGACTCTGTGGTGCTCCTGGCGGTGGGGCTTCCTGGCTACCCTCCCATACCTCCACAGGCTTGCGCTCGCCTTTCACTTCGTTCTGTCTTTGCGCCTCATAGTACTTCCGGCGCTCTCCTTCTGCCTTCTGCTGGCCGAACGGTCCGTCTCTGAACCCATATCCAGCTGGGCCATCCTCAACGGTCGAAATGTTGGGGTTAGCTGCGTACTCTCGCTGTTGCGGCTGTCTTGTCGATGGCGCATACACCACAGATTCAGGTTGCTGAGCTCTCCGCTGCGATGGTGCATAGGTCGCCGCCTCTGCCTCCTGTGCTCGGCGCAGAGCTTCGGCGTTTGCACTAGCTTCTTCGCCATGTTTAAGAGGGGCGCGCTGTACCGCTCCGGAGCCCCATCCATCATCCCGTGCAGGCGAGACCCGAGGTTTACTAGAAGGCGGACTGCTGAAGCTGGGCATGGAAACAGCAGGCAACGGAGGGAACAGCTGCGCCGACTGCCGGTTCTCACTCTGCGCTTCCGCTCGAACACTGGAGCCACGTTGCTCGTTGGTACCAATGTGTCTCTGTGTAGTACTCGTACTCTCCTTCGTTTGCCTGGAGTTGTGGGACGCAGCTGCGTCCGAACGCTGAAGATTTGACGCTGTGAAAGGACCCGAATCAGTCGAAGCTGGGTTATATCGAATCACTCTATGACCCCTTCCTCCCGTCACATTACTTTGGAGCCCGGGCGCAGCTCGAGCAGCCTCGAATCTCGCCTTCTTCTGCCCTCCCTGCCATTGCGCTTTTGACCGATCCAGCCCTTCGCCTGGTGGACGCTTCCCGGCCGGATGTGCGTGCAGCGCCGCGCTCTCTGCCTCGAGGTCGGTACGCCGCTGCGATTGGTACGTATCTCGCTGTTGCTGTTCGCGCTGCTCTCGCACTTGCCGTAAGCGGGCCCGCTCTGATTGCTCGTTAGCGGAGAGGGTGGATGTGGGGTCGAAGTCGGATGGCTGTCGAGGGGTTGATGCATGGTGAGAAACGCCATCGCCGTTAGACGGCACCTGAGCTACAGCAACGGCAGCTGACTGACGGGTACGCGGAGTGGTGTGAAGACGTCGACGTGGCTGTACAGAAGATGCTGCTGCTGGTGGTAGGAAATCGCCGAGCAAGCGATATGTACAGAAGATGCAGACGGATTGCGCTGAGGATGCCTGGTGGTCATTAGCATTTGCTTAGATACTTTGATGAGCATTTGACATTCCCTCACTAGGCGCTGTGGTCTCATACTATGTCAAACAGGCGTAGTTGGTGCTGATCGAAGAAAGTGAGTGAGAAGCGTGCTATATTGCCCGATGCGGCACCTCGGGGATGAAGCCGCATTCGCAGATGGTTGCTTGCACCATCTAGCTAACAGTGTGATATGTTCATGACGCCGACCACTGCTTGTCGTGTCATCTCACCTTACACAAAACCTTACCAGACGCCATAGCAGAGCCTTGATCATGTCGCGCCAGGTGAGAGGCGATTAGACTGCTCCAATCGAGTGCGTGCGCTAATTGATCTACTAGCAAGTTATCCAACACTACACTCGCCTCCTCACCCGCTGGCCAGTGGACCGTCTACGACCCGAAGACCGCCACTTACAACACCTCCTCCGTAAGCGCATCGAAGTCACACCAACCAGTCACGTAGACGAGGGTAGGGAAATCAATGCCGCTTACTTGCTCCTGGACAACACCTTCACCAAGCAGTACCCGCTCCCGGATGCTATGATGAATCCCTCCAGCAACCCCACCCACTATACCGATCTGGCGCGCGAGCTTGACGAGGCACCGGACCGGAGTTGGTGGGGAAGCTTGGTGAAGAGAGTGCAGGGGATGGTGAGGTTTCGTTGAGTGGCGCTTGAACCCAAGGCCACGAGCGGCCTTGCAGTCGCGGCTTGTTTGCCGTGGCTTCGTGGCGTCCATCAAGCGCCATATGGTCCAACCACGCACTTGCTCTGGACCTTAGCACTGGATTGCGTCCCTTTACCAGCACTTATCAAGCAGTTACTGGAGGATTGCCACTTACGCAAATGGCTCCTTTGCGTAATGACCATGATTACAATCCATCATGGGGCGCAACAGTGACTATCCTGATGACGGTAGTGTACCTTCAGGACGCCTAACCCAGGAAACTGTAACCAAGTCTGCATCTTCCCTGCTTTCCAGCGCTTGAAAATGCAAATTCTAAGCATGGCATCATCTGAGACGGTGGGAACAGTCATCATGCAGAGCCCATTATCAACACAACCGCAGCGCACCCCAGACATCGACTGCGACCCTGTGGCAATCTTCCCGCTCATCAACTGCTCTTACGCAGCAGCCAGGGTAGGAATCAAGCTCGGCAGGCGTGACGCATTCGCAGTTCTCCTCTCGACACCAGGCGTCACCGTCACAGCAGCCGATCAGATCGGCTGGGATAACGCCGTTTGGTGGCTCGACGAGCGTAGTCTCCACACAATGACCACTTCAGACGTAACAGCATACGGCGCACTAATCCAACACCAAGATGACGACACGAACGGCAGGGTCTGGCATACAACACTTACACCACATCTCCAAGCCCAGCACCAGCGCGTCTTCCACGAGCTCGGACTGGACACAAAATCTGCAAGCGAAAGGAAGTTCCAGCGGCTCGATGCGCCCCTGACGAGTCAGGTCAAGACGGCGCTGCGGGAGCTGGAGGGCGTGTATAACCTTCCCATGAGTGCGCTGAATACTCCGGATAGGGTGAAGAAGCGCATGTTTGATGGCTGGGATGTGCCTCACTTTACGGATAGTCTACCGACGTGGACGAAGTCGGCTGAGCCTTTGCCACTTGTGCCTGTGCCGGAGGATACGCTTCCGAACAAGGCGAACTCCGATACTTACAGCGGATGCTGAGCACACGTAACTTAGTACAACGTTATCAGAGTTGATGGGCCTGGGCTTCGATTGGTTCGCAAGGTCTTGAAAGCGGACAATCGACGGAGGCTAGACAACACGCCTATTCGACTCCTCAATGGCTCAGTTCACCTTGAGAATGTCGGCACTCAGCATTAAGGAGGCCATCACAAACGAGGAGAGTGAACCTGAGCTAGTGACAAATGGTCGGCCACTGCTCGACGAAAGCTGATCAACACATCATGTTGGCAAGATATGTAGACGCGCTAAAGGTTTGGATTGAGCTGATCTTAAATGGGCAAGGCAGGAATCGATGGTGAGACAAGGTGTTAGCACCATGGGCGTGTGCAAAGCTGATCAAGCGAAAAGTGAACCAGGAAAGAGCGCACGTAAATGCAAGAAGTGAGCAAAGGCTTCCGCTGTATCTAAGGCCTTACAGAGCTGCTGTATGCGACCACATGTCAGGCTCCTCCATGCTTCCATCTCCCGTGCGATGAAGTACCTTTCCCGTCCACTGATCAATGACAAGCTTCGCCACGTTCATGCCCATCAACGCATTGGTCTCCATGGTACTGATGAAGGCTTCCATGCCGCCCGTATACCACACGCCGTCGTCGAGCTGGATATCCTCAAAGCTTGCCCTCGGAACCTCATACGGGTACGAATCCCAGATTTTCCGGTGCATCCACGTAACATCGCTGTCACGTACATGTTTGGTCACGTCCAGGCCAAGTATGCCGGCCATGAACTCCGAGGTGAGCGCTGAAGGCGAGAAGATCTTGTACAGGTATTCTGGCGTTCCGGTCTGCGGGTTGAAGACGGGAGAGAGAAGGGAGATACTGAAGAAGCCAACGTGGCCGGCACCAGCTGGGCCTTCAAGAGGTTGCTCGTTCGGTTGCAGAGTGGTCAGGATAACTTTAGGTGCAGCTTGTCCGGCCGCCATGTTGAAGTACGCGGGCGACAGCAGATGAGGCGAGGTGAAGAGTGTGACGTGCAGCTGGACGTACCGTATAGGGTCTGGTTGGCGCATTGAACTGTTCTGCGTAATCTGAAGGCTGGCGAACTGATGCGGTGCAGCCAAGATGACTGCGTCGAAGGATGCGGTTGGAAACGTCGCTTCCGAGTAGTCATGAGCGGGTGCGTAAGTCAACTCATATAACCCGTCCTGCCGCTTTTTCAGCCCCGTTACATTAGTTTCCAACATGGTTGTTGCTTTTGCTGCTTTGATCATCTGGTCGAATATCTGCCAGTTACCGCCCTCTACGGACATCGCGCCGTCTGTGGCCATGCACACCATAGACACGAGACCGTTGATGTGTCGCAAGTTCTGAGCATAGTTGACCCTCGTACTGGCTTGAATCACATCGTGTCCGAAAGCGCCGGTGATACCGTTCGTGGCGAGATACTGCTCGCCTGATACCGAGGTCGCTGACATCAAGTCCAGGTTGTCCGCAACCCGTGACAATGATGACCACGGGAAGTAGGCCTCATCATACATCTTCAGAAACTTGCCGACTGTTGACTTCATGAGATTGACGGTACGTACCGGCGCAAGGCCGTACTTCCACAGCATCCTCGCCGTGTCCCACCAAGTAGTACTCTCGCGATCCTGAACAAATGCGAAGTCCTTGCCATCCCATACAGCGAGTGCAGCGCCTGGGATATGCTCAAGGCTGGCGATCATGCTGCCTGTGGAGAGGTTGAACTCGTTTACCGCATCGACAAGCACCTTGTTGACCGTCACGAAGATGCTTGCCCCCAGTTCTACAGCGTACTCAGACCTGTTATAGACGTTCACAGTCGTTGAGCGGCCTCCAATATAGCCATTTCGCTCGAAAACCGTGACGTTGACCAGCAAGCCAGCAGAGGCGGCAAACTTGGCCAGATGGTAAGCCGACGAAGAACCAGCTGCCCCGGCACCTAAGCGGTTTCAGTATGCTTGCATCGCGGTGCGCAGGCAACACACGCCTCACCAATAATCGCTACATTTATTGGCTGAAGCCTCGCCTCTGCTTCACCATTTAGTACCACCTGCTCTGTGGCAGCGAGGACAGGCGAGAGACAACCCGCCAAGGCAGTGGTGAGCACGATAGAGAGTTTCATACTTGGTTCATTGAGGGTTTCGGTGCGCTATTGGCCCCAGGTTGAGCTTTACATAGTTGCTATTGTTCGACCTACGAAGTCTCACGTGAGGTTCGCATTCACCCCTCGCCTCGCTCGGCGTTACTGCGGCCGACATCCAACCCGCTTTGACGGCTGCTTGGCGGAAACGTCTGGGATATCATACTGACCTGATGTCGCGAACGATTGGTCTCAAGGAACAAGGCAACTTGATTGCGAAGCGATCACCACGCCATATATCTTTTGATAGCCGCTGTGAGCTTTGGGCTTCACCTGTCCTCCGTCGTGTGTTGTCGGTATGCCAGTGTGTGATGGCCCTTCAATATTTGCATTCTTCCAGCTGATCCAGACCTGACTGGCTCTGTTCCGTACCCCTTTCTCAGTCTGCTATGTCCGTACGAAGCGTTGGTGTTGTGAAGAAGTCATTTGATTTGGCCGACGAAGCGCTTCGGCAAAAATCGCCTCGCGTCCACCTCGCGTCAGTGATAACCCTTGCTGCAATACAGAAAGTCCAATCCACACTCGAGCGACTAATGACGGAGACATGTCGATGATAAGTTCTCCGCCAGGGCTGACAATGCTGCCGAGGCGTCTTGCCTGCAGATTCACCCTGGATGTTGCAACGATCGACGACCGCCAGTATGTCATGTAGATTATCCGACACTTACGGATAAACGCAAGAAGAAGGCCAGGTGGCTTCCTGTGGCGCTCGCCTGGGACTCATCCATCTTTAGATACAAGGTCAGCTACGTATCAACTGTCTCGCCGTTTCCCATCTTCCCTTGTGTTTGCACCGTTTTCGGCACAACTTTAAGCGAAAAGTCGACGTGCTTGGTGCCCTGGTGTATGCTCGACGAACTGAGGATATCAATGTCATCGCACACATAATCTGCAACGTTTCCTTCCGTAAGACCGCCCGAGACTTCGATGAGATAGCTGCCTCTACCCCACCGATCCTTTAGATTCTTGGAAGCCGTCCGCACCCCCTCGGGCGAGAAGTTATCGAGCATGACCACATCTGCTCCAGCTTTGATCGCAGCATCGGCTTCCTCCTCCGACTGACACTCAACTTCCACCTTTACCGCGAAGCCAGCTGCAGCTTTTGCAGCGGCGACGGCAGTGGGTATGCTGCCGCCGCAGGCCCAAATATGGTTGTCCTTCAGCATTGTCATGGCGCTCAGATCCTGTCTGTGTGGATCGCAACCGCCCACGAGCATACCATACTTCTCCACGAGCCTGAAACCAGGTGTGGTCTTACGTGTGCCGGCCAATGTGTTCTTGAAGCCTGCTCTGCGTAGCAACTGCAGCAGTGAATGTGACTTGGTTGCTATACCTGAACACCTCGCTAGTGTGTTCAGGGCGACGCGTTCGCCTAGCAGTACGCATCTTGTTGGTCCCCTAACAGTGGCGATATGCTGCTTCTTCTCCTTAGTTCCTACCTCTTCGCCTTCTTTGATATGCCACTCTACTGTGCAGTCAAGCTGTCGAAAGACTTCGTCAAAGAAGGGTACACCAGCAAGTATACCTGCACTTTTGGCTAGCAAGCGAGCTTCTGCAGGACTATCACCTACGACGAAGCCGCCGTAGTCGAAACTTGGGGTGTCCTCATCAAGCCAGGCCGTGACACTCCGTTTCCACGATGGTGGCAGGAGGTGCGCAGGGTTACCATGAGCTGGCGCGCCTTCTGAAATCGGCATATTAGCGACTGTCTGTAAAGCCGCCTTTGGGAAAATGCCTATCGCGACACACGAAAGCGTTGATGTATGAATGTCGCGTCGGTTGGATAGAAGAGCTTTAGGTCACAGTCATGAGGGCCGAGGATCTACCGAGCATGCAAGTGCATCCTATGTTGGCGGACAACACTCGCGACATCATGATATGATATGTAGCCTCTGTGGCATCCCTTATGTTGGATGTCAGCAATGACGATAAGATTCGGTTCCTATTTTCGCTATAAACCATATAGGGAAGAAGAACCTGAAAGCGACGCGGCGCGTAGCAGAAGCTCATGACATTCGTAGCACTATAGGCACAGGATAAAAGTATCCTGGCTCAGACAACGAACCGCCATGCTATTCGACGAGGGTTCTGGTTTGGTCTATTCAGAACGCCTAGGAAGCCCCTGTGATTGTTTGAGACGCTTTCTTCGATCAGCACCAGGCCAACATGGACGGCTTCGAACGCGGTCTCCACACGGTGCGCGCAAGCTGTATGATATGTCCACGACGCGCCTGCTTCTCAAGCTTGCAAATCTCGACGCCAGCTGCTTGGTTGGGGTACCACCTCACCTCCTAGATACACTGTGGACGCTGATTGAGCACGAAAAACGTGATAGTCTGGCTGTATGGAAGGTTTTCGCACAATCGGCCATCACGTCGCTCAAGGTGCGTACTCGCGAGGTGACTTACACCTGCACATCATGCCGGAACTTGGGAGGGCTGTTGAGCCTAGTGACGAGTCCACAAACCCACTGGATGACTGACATAACGCTGGACGGAAAGACTCTGGAACCGACAGATGTTGTCCTTCTAGCAGACTTACATAACGTGCGCCAGATCACAGTCAGAAGCTGGACGCCGTGCCTGGTTACCGACCGCATCCTACGCTCGTGGTCGGAAGCTGCAACCAACAGAGGTGCCTTCTCTATGCTGGAATGCCTGACTCTACGCACATGCCCTCGACGTCAATGTGAGGATCTCAGCACGTATGCCTTGGATCATCTGCACAGCTTCCCCAAGCTGGACGAGGTCTGCATTGAGACTTGCAACAACAAGCTATCGACCGGAGCAAAGGTTTGGGCCACATGCAATGGCTTCGTGCGGGAAAGTGACTTCGTCACGCGCGGAAGCACCAGCCACATTCCGGTGGTACATGTTAGAATTGGGCTGTCAGTCGTAATACACCGTAACAACCAGTTTAACAAGACGATTTTGAAAAAGTCATCGAACGATCGTCCTCCGACCAAACACAAGATAAGCTCAACGAATGACTACGCTCCCGAACGCAAATCTCGGAAGGTCACAAAGTCAAAGACGTTGGCAGAAACGCTTGCAGGGCTCGATGCACTTTAATTGCAGCAGTGACGATAAATGATTAGTGCTGTCCGCGTGGCGTGCTGAGTGATGGGGCAGCGAGAGATTTGATTAGCGTCCATAATCTCGACGTGTGCAAGCGGCCGTTCACATCATGCAAAGCTCATGCACCAGGGTATAGCACGCATGTTGCAAATGCACCAGGAGCTCAACCAAATCCTCCCTTGCATACCAATGATTCACAGCGCCCTTGTTCGGCGGAAACCGCACGGGCGAATGAGCCGTCACCCCAGAGACTCCACCCGAACCACGGGTCATACTGGGGTGATCGATCTCCAATGTCCGTAGCGTCCGCGCTATCTCGCTCTTCACATGTCGCGATGCACGGAGCGAACTCCTTCGCCGGTTGCTACAGACCGAGATCTGACTAGGATCTGGGCGGCCGCGGGCCCCTTGCCGTACCTGCAGACGCTTGTCCGGCTTCGTTTAGCGATCGGCCTTCGTGGTATCATTGATGGTTGTGCGGCCTACATGCGGATTATGGGCGTGTCGCAAGTGAGTCATGGTCTGCAATTCAATTGCGCAGAACTTACCTACGGGGAGGGACCATAGCGGCTTTGCAGAATGCATAGCGAAGCCCACCACTATCGCTACTGTACGAGTGCCGAAGCGGCGAGCAGAGGGCCGAGGCTTCTGGAGGCTCCAAAGCTGGACTTTTGATTGCAGAAATCGTCAATGCTGACCGACGAATGGGAGATCAGGAAATACAGACATGGAATGAGATGAATGGAGTAGAAACAGACCTGGAATAAAAGCAGATACGAACAGTTGTGATGTTGACACTCAAAGATCGTTCTTCATTTGGATTGTTTGAGCATGTGCTTAACTGCTGCGTTCAATGCAGGTTTCGCCTGGTTGAACTACACCTTTGCGAATCTATCATCATCCTCTTCATTGACGCCTCTTTCTGTGTCCATAACTTTCCGCTCTACGCCCAATAAGTCAAGCCTTACTCCTGGAAGCCATCCACTCCCATGCCGCTGTACAGACACTATGACTTAAGAAATGTTTTACATGCAGGCAGCGCCGTCAATGCCAATGACCTTGCCGTTGACCCACTCGCCATCCTGCGAGGCAAGGAAGCAGACAACGCGGGCAACATCGATAGGCTGACCGACGCGGTTGAGCGGGGACCAAGTGGCGGCGTACTATATCATAGTTAGCACAGTGAAGCGCGTAATGAGCGTTTAGCAATAACGTACCTCGTCGACCTGGTCGTCGGTGAGCTGAGCGCCGTTGGGGATGTACTCGCGGCACACGGCGTGGTACATGTCGGTCTTGATGCCACCTGGAGCAATGCAGTTGACAGTGATCTTCTTGTCACCGGCGTCGATGGCCATGCAACGGACGAAGGTCTCAATGGCACCCTTGGAGCCGGAGTAGACGGTGTGCTTGGGAACACCCTTGGCCTGGCCGGTGATGGAGCCCATGAGGATGATGCGGCCGCCGACAGACAGGTGCTTGTATGCCTCGCGAGCCACGAAGAACTGGCCACGGGTGTTGATGCGGAAGACGCGGTCCCACTCCTCCTCGGTGACATCCTTGAAGTGACCGAAGGAAACAACGCCGGAGTTGGAGCAGACGATGTCGAGCTGGCCGAAGTGCTCAACAGCCTGCTTCATCATGGCCGAGGTCTCCTCGACGTTGGCAACGTTGGCCTTGATGGCGATGGCCTCACCACCGTTCTTCTTGATCTCGTCCACAACCTTGTTGGCCATCTCGGCGGAGTTGGCATAGTTCACGACGACCTTGGCGCCGCGGCGGGCCATCTCGGTGGCCATGGTGGCACCCATGCCACGGCCTGAGCCAGTGACGAGGGCAACCTTGCCGTCAAGGCGGGAAGTCTCAACTGTTTGCGGGGCCATTGCGATTGATTGCTGTAGATGTGGGAAAGGATAGATGTTGTGGTTGTGTAGTTGCTGAGAAGTAGTAGATGGTTGAAAAAGCTCAGTGGGAAGCGGAGACGAGAACACGGCGAGCAAAGAGCGGTCTATATACGCTTACCATTGCGTCCACAGTGGGGAGCTCTGAGCAGATAGCTCCATGGCAACGATGGTTGTCCGAGGCCGCTCAATGCCCGTCATCACCCGCCGAGATACACTTTCAAGCCTCATGAAGCCTGCGAACCTCACGACCTGCCGCCGTGAAGTCGTGCAGTCCAAGGCGCTCTCGGCCTGTTGTCAAGGCCGAGCTGTGGTACCTGGCTCCTCAAAATTTGTATCAGAGGACCCTGAAAGGTGCCCCGGCCGCTGCCATGCACAAAATTAGACGCTGCTTATGCAGGACATCGCGCGGCTGAGAGCACGAAGTGAGCCGTGCACGCTGCTTTAGGGCAAGCGGGCAGGCACAGTGCCGACGGACTTGTGGGGGAAATCATGGAAAATGTACATCGTCTGCACATCCGGTCGGCCTTCACAAAGACATCGAAATGCGAGCAATGCTGAACTGAAGTCGAGCCTCAGGACGCGACAGTCACCGCCGTCGAAGTCATGTGAGCGAGCAAGATGGGTTTTCGTGTCGCTCAGGGGGACGGGTAGATAGAGTAGCTGTGGCGCCCCACGTACAGAGCGGTGTATGGATACAAGCTATCAATGCACTCAACAGCAGCAATACCTCCGACCTCCAGCGCTCGGCTCAACCGTCTAGGCCGAGACGCTCGTATATAGTACTGTACTTTCTGGCATGGACTGGCAGTGCGACAGCATCTCACGCTCACAATGCGAGGATTGACAGCAGTGTGACCTTTGAGGCGAGTTGATGTTTCCATCACCGCCATCACTTGGTCTGGTAGGTAGACTGCCACCAGCAGCATGAAGATTGTGCCCGCCTATCAACATAGCGGTGAAGATGCCAAGCAACTTTAAGCGCCTTTCCCTAGACTTCGAAAGCTGCCAATCCCACCGGTGAGAGTTACTCGAGTTTCCAACAGCATCCGACACCGGTTCTGAGTGTGGGCCAAGCTATAGCAACTATGGCACAAGCGTGAATGGCTCAGGAGACCACAGGTGTAGCGGTACAGGTAGTGGGAGCGGCTGTTTCAATCGGCCTCGTCTTTCAAGGCTCCCACGAACCCTCTGCCCAAGCGGTCTGTTTGTCTGCAAGCTCATGGTGCCCAGAGTGAAGTCGGTAGTCGTAAAGATATGGCAGGGGTTTTAAGAGTCCCGGTTTCGGCTCTCCGTCAGGCAAACGTAGTGCCTACCAGTTTGAGGCAGGCAACACGAATACCGGAGGCCGACGTTGCTGTCTCACGCTGAAACATGGAGAAACAAGGCTAGGATTGCCCGAAGCAGTCCTTGCGATCATGTGTAGCCGGCCGGCACGACGCCAGACTATCACCACGCTCAGAGGGGATCCGTCAGGCGGACATTGGTAGGGGCCGGTAGTGTAAGCGACGGAGACGACGGGAAAGCACAGATGATAAGTTGGTAAAGGACATAACAGTCTGTTCCCACTACAAGGTAGATCCATATACATTTGCTCTGTCGCAGCATCGCTGCATTACTTCAGACATTACCAAACGCGCTGTCGTCGGTCGTCGGCCGTTCAAAACGCATAACACTGTCCAGATGACGTCCAATTCATATCCAAGCTGCAAGAGCTGCGAGCTTTGAGCAGCAACCCTCTATCAGCCGGAGCTGTACCCCACCGAGACCGCGAAACTCCTCGCTCTTTGATCAAAATCCTCCCAAAAACCGTGGTATCAAAGAAGATAAGAAATCACCCCAATGTACGCAAGACATAGACATGTAAGAGAGAAGGTACACCCAGGCATGCCGGTCGTATTAGCGAAGATGGCCGCAGCTTGTTCGGTTTGAGCAGATCGAAGGCTGCTACACCAGCAGCGTCATTGGTCAGATGTGCGGGGGCTGCGATCGTGAGCGCGAGAGACTTCTTCGTGAAGACTGTACACTCTGCTCTGGAGAAGGAGATTTCACCGATCATCCCCTAGCAAGGCGCTCAAGCTTCGACCTAATGCCGTCGGAGAAGCGTGTCACCACGCCTTCATCGATGACTTCGAGGCAATGTTGCAGGATTGGAAAGGCCTGATCGATCGCCATCTGAGAGCCGTCTCGCTTGGTAACGCACGGCACACCTTCACGCTTCGTGAGGTATCGCACGATGAGTGGGTGATCCGCAGGGAGTGCGTCGATGGCGAATGATGGGCCAGGTACGGGGAACATGCCGTTACTGTTGGGCGTGATTGACTCGCGATGCAGAAGACTGTCGGTCCACAGAATGAGACCGGCACGATAGATCGCGCCGGCCCACCATGGCGGTCGGATACCGCGAGGCATCGAGCGGACGAGCCTAAACACCTGACCGCAGTGGAAGACGGCCTCCTCCACGTCGGAAATGCATCGTTTGTGGGCCCAGACAAGCTGCTGGTAAGTACCGTCAACGTTCTCTCGGCGAGCAAGACGCTCAATCTCCGGGAAGTTGGTAACGGCATTCAGGCTAATAAGATGGAAGACCACCAGGTTGGTTTGCATGATTGGGCACATTGGGTTGGCCTTGAGATACCGCTCTGCGAGATCATACCACCGTTGCAGCAGCGTTTGTACTTCCTCAAGCCGAGTACGGGTCGATGCAGCTGTCATCGCGCGAGGGCTCTTGTTGTTGCTGTTTCGGCTTGCCGGATCAGAGAAGCAGCTGAGTAGCTGACCGCACTGACAAACGAGGGACTGCAGAGGGTGCAGGAGTAGCCTGAGTTGCAAAGGTGTCATCTCAATGCCGAGTGGAATCATCTCATCATCTAAGAAGTGCCGGAAGAGGTCACGCAGTGATAGCGGCCGAGCGCCTGAGCCAACCGAGGAGTAACCACCAGAGAACTCATGCACTTGCTCGAAGATCGAAGACCATTCAGCAGCACTTTTAGCATGCCACAGGCGGTCAGCGTCAGGCATCGGGCTCGCGAACTCGGTGACTGAGAACAAAGGCGCGGTATCATGGAAGAGCGACATGTCCTGGTCTACCATAATCCATGAGTGGATCAACCGGCTTCGGCTTTCGTTCTGTATCCATTCGCTCCACAACTGGTCGGTGTTAGATCGTTGTTCTGGCGGAAGGGGTCCGATTGGGCGGTTCTCCAGTGCACCAGAGTGTCTCAACATGGCGAAATACATGCCTCGCTGGCCCATGGCAATGTCCATTTGCCATTTGTCGCCGCTCCATGCAGCTTGAACTGTAAACAGCAAGGCCGAGTGCAGCACGACTGGATCGCCGGACATGATGACGTTGCGCTCAATAAGATCGAAGAGCGATATGCGACATGCTTCTGTCAAGCCGCCCGTTAGTAGCTTGGACTCTTTCGATGGGATATTCATTGCGCCTTGCGCTATCATCATCAACACTAATAGACTCGCCGCTCGGTCGTTGTAGCAGTGCAAGAGCTCATTCGTGTCAAGGATTCCGCGCGACGTGAGTGGGTAATATCTCTCGAAGCAGTTCGCATACGAGCGCAGAAAGTACTCCAGCACACGCGCAGGCGGGAGCAGAACGAAGTTCGATCCACTGTGCGACGCTGGCGAACGCAGACCGCTCGGTGGTGATTGATGAGGGTTAACTTCACGATGGATCTCAAGAGCTTTATGCAGGAAGCTTTGCGTGATAGCGAGGAGCTTGTCGCGCGTGCTCTCGTGGAGTTGCATCACGGTCAACAACTCGCCGGCTGCGAAATCGGCTTCATCCCACTGCGGGCTCCAAGTACTCCAGCCGTCATGGTTGCGCAGTGTCTGCTCCAGCATCTCCAGGTTCAAGCGAGCAGTCTTGGGACAAGAAGTCGACGGAATTGTTGGCGTGCACCGGAAGACGGTCCAGGCATCCCGCGCTGCCATGATGGGTGCGATGTCTCCTTGCGACTCCACGAGCGGCGGTACCGAAGCCATCGACATATGTCTGCGTTGAGAATGGAACGCCGCTGCGGGTCCACTAAGTTCCATTTCCGAGAACTGACGCTCGACCTTGGGTGTTTCGATTGGGGTGATCATAGGCGGGACACCGTGATGTAGGTCTGACATGACTGGCAACATCGCGTCTCCCGAAGGAACAAAGGTCATGACATTAGAATCTGCAAACGGCATGTCGGGCTGCATTAGCAGGGTTGGCTGGATAATGCCATCGTATCCGATGGGCATCTGCATCTGGCTCCAATCGAGCATGAATCGAGGGCTCGAGCCATCGTCAGAGCCGTCGCCAGACTCGAATCGTGACAGTTGCGGTGGTGCCATACCACCAGGAGTCTGCATAGGCGGAGACAGCACAGGGAGAGCGACCGGCGTAGGGCCACTTGTTGGCTGCTCGATCATGGAAGCTGGCGGCCCATCAACCATTGGTGCCGCTGTTGGAGGTGTCTGCTTCTCTTCCGCGATCGTTGACATTCCGGTCTTTGGGCTCGCAGGTTTCAGTGGAGGAGGCTGTTGAGATGGGCTGTGGTTGGCTGCATGGCCACCATTTTGCGGACCCAGCTGTTCCGTGTACGGCGGGATAGCGACTGCGCCCTCAGGCGGTACTCCCATGCGAGCAGCATTCTTCGAGGATCGACGAGTCGGTCGCAAAGTGCATCGCAGATTTCTTCCCGCACAACGTGAGCATGGAAACTTCTTGTCGCACTTGGTCTTCGTCTTCGCGCAATTGCTGCACGCAATTGGTGTTCGACCTGCTGATTTCGGGATCATGCCATTGGCGGCCGGGATGGGCTCTTGGTTCTCATTTCGTCCATGAACAAGATAGTGTCGCTGCAGGAGATCACTGTCTCGGGTGTCAGCATGACACAACCTTGCGACGGTACTCGCCGACTCACCGTCTCGCAAAGGACATATGGCAGGTGAAGCATTTGAAGGGCTTGACATTAGTATCTGGCCAGGAAAGGTCAGCATGCTCCACCGGGCACAGAGGCAATCAACCACGGCTTACGCGTAAGGATATGCCTTTCTAGATGCTCGTCTCTTGTAAAAGACTGCCCACAGTACGTGCAAAACACCATGATGACTCTGGTATCGTGAGAGTATGTTCTCAACCGAGCAGAGCCAGACGGAGAGTTACCGCTGAAGCTGATGTTCAAACGAGCGGCTGGCTTTCACCAAGGTGGAGTCGATCGAGAGGTGACAAGGTCGGCGAAAGGCAATAGCATTAGTATGAATAAGACTGAGCTCGGGCGGAACGGAGACTGTATCTGACACGATGGGGAGAGATAGGCTGGAGCCTCGTCTCTCAGCTGCAGATCTTTCGAGGTTTCATGATCTGTCGACCTCGCAAAGGTATGCAAGTTCCACGGACGCCTCCCTGTACGAAGGGTACGCTTCCATGATGTGACTCCCTAGCGTGATGCCGTTCCACCAGCGTCCCGCACATGCGTGCACTCGGGCATTATTTTACAACTAGACTGAAGCTAGCAGATCGCGAACCCTGCCTCCTGCGAATGCACTAGCAGCCGGCTTGCCAGGAACCCCCTTGAATTCGCGATTTGCAGATCAGGGTTATAAATAAAGCGCCTCAGCCAGATAAGCGAATTCGGTTCGCTCCAGTCTCCTGTGGCGGCCAGCGCACCGTCCGCGTTCGCCAAGGTTTGGGCAACCAGATACGGGCAAGCGGGCAAAACTGCATCCCAATCCGGCTTATACAGAAGCCTAATGCAATGAATGGCGCGCCTGACGTGTGTGGTATCATTCGTACAGACGCAAACGTGCGTTCAGGCGTGATAAGACGCTGTGCCGCACCGTACAGTCCAATCTAATGTGGTTATCACAGTCAGTGGAGGGGTAGGTTGGGACATGTCTGCTCGACCGGGGCTGGAAGCGGCAGGCCGCGGACTGAAAGAACAATCCAACGGGCACGTTGTATGTACATGTACGTGTAAAGAGGCATGAATGGTTGAGCGTACAGTGTTCAGCCACACTGCAGTGCATCCTGCGTGTGGCTGGTCTCTTCCCGCTCATACCCGCTTCCACCCGTCCAAACTAGCCCGAGAAGGTCTGCATCTGCTCTGTATACCTAACTCGCTAGCTCCATGATACGATAATGAGAATTGTTCGTAATGGTAGATTGCTAAGCTGGGAGTTCAAGTCGTTGCGTGCCCGCCCGTTTCGCAAAGTCACAACGCTCCATCAGCGTTGGATGTTCTTCAGAAGCCTCGCTAAAGCCAAGCGACCAAGCACAAGCAGCCTCGTATAGTCGCAGGGATCGGCAGTAGTCCCAATACTACCCTACATATCTTCGTGCTCACCCGTCAGCACAACCTCTCTGACAGTTCTCGTCAGTTGCCTTGACCGCGCAGGAACTGTCCAGCTCTTCCCACATTCACCGAGCTGGCTGTGCCTCGCTAAAGGCAGACATGACATGGAGCCTCGCTATCTGACGCAGCGGTGGCTGCTGCAGAGCGCGATACCAGCCCCGTACCAAGATATCATCCCATCTTTGACTTTAATGGTTGCATGTTCTTACCCTTTCAACTCATAGACTGCACGATTACTCTGCAGGTGAAACCAGCCTTTGAGATTAAACCCATGCGCTCAGCGAAGCCAAATGCCTCCTGCTCGATGGGCGAAGAGTGGCTGCGAGCAAGTGTCCAGACGGAGCTGCGTTCCAGTCATTCGCGGGCGATGTGGCGTCAAGGTCATGATCAATCGACCGTCAGTGCTTCTCAGAGTGTAACCAGGCACAGACAGCTAAGCTTCGAAGCTGCATGCTTGACGAATCGATGAACTTTCCAAATCCTCCGGTTGGACTGGCTACAATCCGCGTAAACCAAGACTAATGCGGAGAGATCATTCTGGAGGCTGCGAGGCCAGGACATGGGAACTGACATGTGGGTATGGAGTGAGGTAGAGTGTGCGGGCCGGCACAAGCGCTTTCACATGACGCAGACGACATCCCATCAAATTCAACCGAGCCGGCGATCCAGAATGTGTTGAGACGCTGTCTGGTTCCACGCACATTGACTATGTTCAGGATGCGCAGTCATGCGAGCTGTGCTCTGATGCTCGCCGTCAGCATCCCCACCTCCATACGCCTCCGTATACCAAGGCTGGGCAATAGATACACCGGTTCCTTCCGCTCGGTCACAAACACATTCGGACATTGAGGCTTTATCTCATTGGCAGCTTCGCATGCAGGTAAGATGCTAGCCGTATTCGGCACGCTCAGTCATCAAGGCTGCGTTCATCTGCGGTAGTGAACCCCATCACCTCAGTGGCCGGCTTGCAGGTTTACGAGATGATGTTTCGAACCACATTTTCTGGATTGAATCTTTGTTCTCTGCTCCATATACTTTTCGGAACGCAACGGTAGATGGACCGATGCAACGATCCCGTCTACGTATAGCTCTCCGACCAGCTCTAGGACCGCCGTATTTGCCGCATACAGTTCGCCAAGCTGTATCTGGCTCGATAGTTCGGTCTACTTGACGGCATGCCATGGAAGGCCATTCGTAGTGCCAATGACTTGTGCCTGCCTCTGTGTAGTCCACACTGTGCGAATATTGAATGAACAGTGACGCCACGATGCCGCACCACTTTCATTTTGCTGCCGATGACTATTGAAGTACCGATAATTACGGCACAGAACTTGATTTACACAGTACGGCTTGGGTTCATGCGGCGCGGATCTGATGCTTGACATTATTTGCGGGATGTTCCAGGGGGGAAAGCATGTTTTCGCGAGCCTCATGCCTGCTGCCGTGCGCATATATTCGCGCCTACGGCACTAAGGGCATGCTTAGACGACTTCTATATCCCGCGCCCATATGCAGATGATGGCAATCGTCGTAGGCCAATCCTCTGATGAGCTGACAAGATATCTTTATCGAGTAGTTTCAGAGCAATATCTAAACATAAAGGAATAGCTTCTTCTGGACTTGCTGCTGGAGTGAAGCGTAGTGGCTGCCTGATTGTCAGGTTTGACCAACACTGTTCCGGCTCCACGATTGACTGTAGTCATGCCACGTGGCCGAAGAAAGGAGCAATCACAAACATGCCACATGAGTCCATGAAGACGACCTCTACGCGCGCGGTTCAAACCGACGAGAGAGCGTACGGATTCCTTGCCTCCATTCTTATTGAGACTCTGCCACCACGTGTCTAAAGTGGCTAGTACTGCGCCTTGTGCGACCTGCTGCCGTGCCTAAGTTGTACAAGATCGAACTCTTGCATGATGCGCAGGACATCTGAAACCAAAGGTGCCACAACGACGCTTTTTCTCCGAGCGCAAAGTCCAGCACTCAGCTGCATGGCGAGGATTAGTCAAGGCGGTGACGCTATGCGGGCCCGATCTTGCATAGATCGCTCGCGTGGTTCGCACTGCTCAATTCGAAGTCAGGTCGGGAAGGTCTCACGGTGTTATTGATTCTGTGACGCTGGCACGATCAGCGACAACTGTCGACGTAGTGGTTGGTACCACACCGACCAGCCATGGGAGACTAGTCTTGTTAGCGCCATATCATCTGATGACACCATGTGCAGATTAAACATAATAGATAAAGAAGGATGCCCCGAGAGCGTCCAGCAGCCACTCAGCCATAGAACACGAGACGCTGTTGTGAGATAGCCTGCTGCACAACGGTAGAGATCTCACGGTGTGCTCCATTCTCAATTGTGGCAGCGCAGCGGCTCGTGCTGCACGACGCTTGGCCGACGTTTCTAGCTTCAGGAAGCGCATGACATCGGTGTGTCATGAACGTACAGGGTAGAACCAGTGCTACTGAATGCTTTAGTACGAAACTTGTACACCGGTGTTGACAAATCCACCTCTGTTGGTGGTGTTGATGAGCTTCTCGTACATCCAGAGCCCAACATCTTCACGGCTGATGCCAAACCCTACGACTGGATGCTCTGCTGTACCTTGGCGTACTGCTTCAAGACCTTTACCCGGTGCATCACTCAGCACAGCAGGTCGCAAGACGAGATATCCTCCCTTCGGCTTCGCACTTTTCAATGTCGCCTCCATCTGCCGCTTGTCGTCATATACACCATTTAGAAGCCAGCGGTAGAGCGGCGTCAACACTAGAGGGTAATCCCGTGGTGAATCATTAAGGACACCATTTGCTGAGATGACAACTAACAGAGGTTGTGGGTCCAAGTCGGCCTCTGCTGTAGCCCTCAGTATTGTCTCCGTTGCTGCCGAGCATATGTTTGGCACCGTCATGGTAAGCGGCCGTATAATGCTCAGCTGAGGCGTCGGTATGCCGCCTGTTTCGCATCAGCTCCGACTAGGGGAATCCTGCGCTCACAACCATACCAATACCGCTAATAATGGTATCTACGCCTTCGCTTCCGTAACGCAGCACTTGTTTTACTGTTTCTACATCTCTAACGTCGCCTTGTACGATGTGAAGTCGCTTTTCCACCACATTGTTGGATATACCGCGCTTCTTCAGCTGCTCTTGCAGCTTCTCCGGCGACCTTACAAGAACACTTGCATAGTGCCCGCCTTCTAGGGTGTTGAACAGACAGGCGTTGGTACATCCGCCAGTAGCACCTTTTGAGAGATCATAGGTAAGCGTATCCTTCCAAGCACAGATGCGGACATTGCGGCTTACCAAAGAAAGCAACTCTTCGTGACATGATCGAGTCCACAAGAACGCACGACAGGTCAACCAAGGAGACAGAGTACCTCAGAACGACCTACCTGTCGGCGCTCAGAGCAATTATATTCCACGGCGCCGGATGCTAGATGGTTGTCAAGATTACCGGTCGGCTACTAGCATTGACCGGCGCGAGCACCTATCATTCTCTTAGTAGCGAACGCGGCACAGAGAAGCGTAAGATGACTGTCGCGCAACGACGATCGCAAGACGTAACGCTTTGAGGTAGTCGGTATGTGATGCAAGCTATCGGTTACTAGACTGCGAGTAGCCGGACGCCAAGCACTGAGTAGCCGGTTCAGGTCGTCCAGTATCCGGCTTTAAGTGTTTCCAGCTAGCATGTAAGATGTGGATAAAAATCGAAGAGGTCGATTCGATTGAGGTTACGGTGCGGAAGGCGCGTCGCTGTTGAGATGCTCTGTACTCGTGGCACAGGATATGCTCTGTCGAAATGCGGGCTTTCCAATTGCGAAATCTTGCCTGACCGAGACCACACGCAAGCCGTGAGGATACACCAATAACGAGGTGTCACAGGACCGCAAGCATCAACTGCATATGTCATGAGAACGTAGAAGGGTGAGCCAGCTGTCCATCAATGACCAAATATGGCAGAAGAGAAACCCGGCTTCGTCATTTCGGCGCAACCTTGGATTGCAGCCAGGTCAGTATCATAGTCGAAGCGCACTAAGTGCTCCGGTGGCCTGTTCGTCGTGAACAAGGAGATATGTGCAATGAGACGAGCCTTCGAAGGTCATATGGGCGGCCCGGGACATGTTTGCACGGCCACCAAGCCGCCCAGAATCGTTCCCTCACGGTAAACCGCGTGTAGCTTGCGAACACCACACAGCATTATACGAAACTCGCTCTATCCGGTGAAGAATGGTTCCCACTGCTCGTTGGACTTGGATGGGGGACGGCACGCTGCTAAACCCTTGACAGAGTCGACCTTGACAGCGCCCGCTTAGTGCATTGTCGGAAGTGGTTGATAGCGCATCAGAGTCGGTCATCCTGCCGAAACACGGACGATGCGTTCTCACACAGCTCCCAAAGTACGTTTCTCTGCTAGCACGGCTTGATGGGCTTTGCACAGTTTGGAGGCGCAACCACCAACGCGTGTTCTCGCAAACGTAGGTCGCGGGTTCACCTCTGCAAAGGCGATGCTCCAGTTCGTAAACCCTTAGCATCTGATACGCTACGTAGCACAAAAGTATGTGCAGCAAGCCAGGAAGAAGGCACGACGAAAATGTCTTGATGTCATGTATGCGGGCACTGGGCAGAACCTTGCTCAACCACGCTTCCGTTGCCTTGATGATCCTTGTCACATTGATCAGCATTCATTGATCTTTAGTGTGACTCTCTGGGAAAGAACTGTTCTTGTCATTGATGGGTGCACACTCGCTAATAGGGTGACACATGGAATGTCAAAGTCTGGGGTTGGCGAGCCTGCTTAACGGCAATCCGAAAGGGCTGCCCATACTATGCGCGTAATGTCCGCCAAACTTCGTTTTGATAAGCCTACAATGGCACTGTGCCCTGATGAGGAAGCCATCAATACTCGGGATACGTTAAGCGTTGTCGAGTGGAGCCAAGATCGCGGCTTTTGCAGATATTGTCAATCTCAACTGATACAGTATCCGGTTTGCCCGTTATCGGCATGGGCAGATGGCACCTTTTGGGAACAGGCGGTGCGGTTAAGGATTTTCAGCAAAGATCTGGTGCGGCGACAGCTCCTACGCCTGGCTCGTGCTGCCATGCAGCGCTCACCCGAGCACACGCCACACCCTCTTTTGGCTGTGCGGGAACGATTGTAGGCAACGAGGGGACCGTTGAGATTAAATGAACGTTCGGGGTGGTAATATTGTAGCTAAACGTCGCCGACAAGCAACATCAGAGCCGTTGTAGGTCTGGAATGGCGATCAGTGTCAGAGGCAGCTGCAGTCGGTTACGAATCTTTTAGCCTGATGCATGTAAGATAAGGAACTCCTGACCGTTATACCAAAAGGGGCTATGCTGCATGAGGGAGTGAAGCACACGAGCAACACCACATTCAGGCGCGGGCTGTGAAGTAAGCTTGCAGACAGCTTTCGATAGGTGTACATTCACCGCTCATGAGCGGTAGGAGTATACTGTTGGTACGGCCCGTCAGCATAATCATTGATTACTGGGTCGTGTAAGGCTGAGCGAGTGGCTGATGCAGGAAGGATGAAGCTTCTGTAGCCTCCTGTTGAAAATAGAAAGCCCCGCGCCAAGATTTCGAGCGAATAGTCGACTATTGTTTGCAGGGCTCTGAAGCAAGGTCTTCGCGTGTCTGCAAGGTGATCCGGCTGCGCGAGCAATACGCGGAGTAGTAGCGACACTCGACGCGGAAGCTATGATGGCGTCGATGCCCAGTCGCGAGTGCAGCGTTCCATCCGTCCTGGCTGTCATCGCGTTGGATACGGAGTTCGTGTATCTTCGCGAAGCACTAGGCCGAAACGGGACCAGTCCAACCGTTTCAAACGATTATGGGGGATCAGTCAGGAGCCAACAAGGTACGTACTTAGGACAGCAAGGCAGGACGTTGTGGGAGCGTTAGGCCGCTTGCCACGAAATCTTCAATCATGTACTCGAGCATCACCGTGCAGAGTACCGCAACAAGGACCGGTAAAGTTAACAACGCCAGGCTTGATTTACAACCGCCGAAACGCAGGCAGAGTGGCGGCGTTGGGTGGTGCACCGCCTCTCACAAATCGTTATCGAACCGGGGTCATGCCCCTTGTTGCTCCCAAAACGGAAACAGACGAAGCTTGTTCCCCAGCTAGAAGCTGGATTTCGCGCACGGCGCGCTCTGCGGATCTGAGGGGCCGGTTGTCTTCGACATCATCTCTTTGCGGGTCGCTGCAAGTTACGGGAGGGCGAAAATAGCATTTCCTTACCGTTCACTAATTGGGAGGTACGCTATTCGTTCAATCCCTGAGCTGCCGTGCCGGACATTTCTCATGCATGCCATGCTCGGCTCCCGAACGTGGTGGAGCTTAGCGTGTGGATATTCCAGATGAGCGTCAAGGGGCATGGCTGAGAGCACTGACACAGCGATCCGCTGCGGACGGCTATCCAGCCCTGGCACTGGGATATGCTCGATGAGGAGCCGCCCCTGATGGCATGCGCTGCTCATACATATTGCCAACCGCTGCGCTCCCAAGGTATCTGTCTCGTCCCAATCAATCCCCTTCTGTTGCCTTCGTAGACTAGCCACCTACGCTGACAACATCTCTCACACCTCTTCACCCTACTGTCTAGTTCTTGAGCGTTCCTTTGCTGTGTATCAGAACTCTCTAGCCAGGAGTCTCCTCTTCCACGAACCACTCACTCAAGTATTCTGCAACCTGCTTCGTGTCTAGCCACCACGGACCATAAAACGCTGGAAACAACAACAACCGTCTAATTCGCACTCAAGTCAATCAGATCGTACCTTATAACCACCATTGCTAATTGGAGCGAAACCGTATCTCCAACAAATCTCACCAAAATGGCGAACGTTCTCCTTTTCGGCGATCAGACCGCCGAACAGTACACTCTCCTCCACAAGATCATCCTCCGCAAGGAGGATGCGCTTGTTCGCAGCTTCGTTGAGCGCATCTCAGTCGTCCTTCGTGAGGAGACTAGGGCGCTCCCGCGCAGCCAACGCGATGTCATCCCGGATTTCCTCACGCTCAATGACTTGGTTGAGGCCTACTACCAGAAGGGCTCGAAAGTGCCCATGCTGGAGTCAACCTTCGTCACGATTGCTCAGATCGGCCACTACATTGGCTACTTCAACGTCAACCGCAAGGAGCTCCCAGCCACCAACAACATCCGCGTCCTAGGCCTCTGCACTGGCATGCTCGCCGCAGCCGCTGTCGTTTCCGCGAAGACCATTGAAGAGCTTGTCATTCTAGGTGTGCAGTTCGTCCGCATTGCTTTCCGCTCTGGCGCGGCTGTGGATGCCGCTCGCGGCGTCCTCTCTCAGATTGGTGAGGAGAAGGCACCGTGGTCTACCATCGTCACTGGCACGACCGAGCAGGCTGCCAAGGAGGCCTTGGCTGCGTTCCATCAAGAGAAGGGCATCCCACAATCCAACCAGGCCTACGTCTCCGCTGTCTCCGTGATGGCGATTACCATTTCCGGCCCGCCCACCACTGTGAAGCGTTTCTTCGAGGAGTCTCCAGCTCTTTCGAAGAACCACCGCGTACCAATTCCGGTGTACGGCCCGTACCACGCTGCGCATCTGTTCAGCGATGCGGACATCAACAAGATTGTCGAGGGTGCGGTCGCCGAGGAACTCAAGAAGTTCCAGCCGATGTCTCTCGTTCACTCTGCCTCCACTGGCAAGCCGGTCGTCGCTGAGAACTCTCTCGAACTTGCCAAGCAGGCGTTGGCCGAGATGCTTCAAAAGCCAGTCCGCTGGGACCACCTCCTGGAGGAGGCTGTCTCCCAGATGACTGCCAACAAGTCTCCCGCCAAGATCTACGCCATTGGTGTCAGCAATGTTGCCAACAGCCTTGTCTCCGCTCTCAAGGCTGGAGGTAAGACTGACGTTTCCGTGATCGACCAGAGCGCCTGGGAGGACGCCCCTGAGATCAGCAACGGCCGTACTCAGAACGACAAGATTGCCATCGTCGGTATGGCCGGTCGTTTCCCGAGCGCCGCCAGCCACGAGGCGCTGTGGGACCTGCTCATGAAGGGCCTTGACGTCCACCGCAGGATTCCCGCCGACCGCTTCGATGCTGACGCTCACTGCGACCCATCCGGCAAGGGCAAGAACAAGTCCCACACCCCTTTCGGCTGCTTCATCGACGAGCCTGGTCTTTTCGACCCGCGCTTCTTCAACATGTCTCCTCGTGAGGCTGCTCAGACTGACCCTATGGGTCGTCTCGCCCTCGTCACCGCCTACGAAGCCCTCGAGATGTCTGGTTACGTGCCAAACCGTACACCCTCCACCAAGCTTCACCGCATTGGTACCTTTTACGGTCAGACTTCCGACGATTGGCGTGAGATCAACGCCGCCGAGAACGTCGACACTTACTACATCACTGGTGGTGTGCGTGCTTTTGCCCCAGGCCGCATCAACTACTACTTCAAGTTCTCCGGCCCGTCGTACTCCGTCGACACTGCCTGCTCATCCTCTCTCGCTGCCATCCAGCTCGCTTGCACTTCGCTGTGGGCCGGCGACTGCGACACGGCCTGCGCTGGTGGTCTTAACGTCTTGACTAACCCGGACATTTTCTCCGGTCTTTCCAAGGGTCAGTTCTTGTCCAAGACCGGCTCCTGCAAGACCTACGACAATGCTGCCGATGGTTACTGCCGTGGTGATTCTTGCGGTACTGTCATTCTCAAGCGTTACGAGGATGCCATTGCAGACAAGGATAACATCCTCGGCTGCATCCTCGGCGCTGCCACCAATCACTCAGCTGAGGCCGTGTCAATCACCCACCCGCACGCTGGTGCCCAGGAGTTCCTCTACAAGAGAGTCCTCGCCAATGCTGGTGTTGATGCGCACGAGATTAGCTACGTGGAGATGCACGGTACCGGTACCCAAGCCGGTGACGGCATTGAGATGACCTCGGTCACCAACGTCTTCGCTCCTCGTCATCGTCAGCGTAAGCCGGAGCAGACCGTCCACCTCGGTGCCATCAAGGCCAACGTTGGCCACGCCGAAGCTGCCTCGGGTATCAACTCCGTTATCAAGGTCATGCTCATGCTGAAGCACGGCAAGATCCCGGCCAACGTCGGTATCAAGGGTGAGATCAACAAGACTTTCCCGGCTGATCTGAAGGACCGCAACGTCCACATCTCCACTAAGGAGGTGCCATTCCCTCGCAAGGGTGCCGCCAAGCGCAAGGTGTTCCTCAACAACTTCTCCGCCGCTGGTGGTAACACTGCGCTGCTTATCGAGGATGGTCCTCTTCGTGAGGCCCCAACCGGCACTGACCCGCGCAGCACTGTGCCGATCACCGTCACTGCTCGCTCCATTGCCTCGCTCAAGCGCAACATTGCCAACCTGCAGCAGTACCTGGCTGAGAACCCGGAGACCACGCTCCCATCGTTCTCCTACACCCTCACGGCCCGCCGCATCCAGCACAACTACCGAGTCTCTTTCCCGCTCGACCAGATCAGCAAGGCTGCCGACGCGCTTCAGGCTCAGGTTAAGGAATCGTACAACCCGGTTGCTATGGTTCCATCCAAGGTGGCCTTCTGCTTCACCGGCCAGGGCTCCCAATACACTGGCCTCGGCCAGAAGCTCTACCAAGACCTGAAGAGCTTCCGCGACGACATTAACCAGCTCGACAACCTCGCCCGTATGCAGGGCCTGCCTTCCTTCCTTGAGCTCTTGGACGGCACTGACGTTCAGACTCTCTCCCCGGTCAAGGTCCAGCTTGGCATGGCCTGCATTCAAGTTGCTCTCGCTCGCATGTGGGCTGCTTGGGGCATCACTCCTACTGCCGTCATCGGCCACAGCCTGGGTGAATACGCTGCTCTTCACGTTGCCGGTGTCATCTCGGCCGCCGATATGGTCCTCCTTGTCGGTCGCCGTGCTGAGCTGCTGGTCCGTGACTGCACTCCTCACACCCATGGTATGCTTGCCGTCAAGGGCAGCGCTGAGGCTATCCGCAACACTCTTGGCTCGCGCATGACCGAGATCGCTTGCATCAATGGCCCAGAGGAGACTGTCCTCTGCGGTAGCGGTGAGGTTGTTGGTGCTGCCAACGAGGCTCTTACCGCCAAGGGCTTCAAAGCCACCAAGCTCAACGTGCCTTTCGCCTTCCACAGTGCCCAGGTCGACCCGATCCTTGACTCGTTCAAGAAGATTGCTTCCTCGGTCACCTTCAACAAGCCTTCCGTCCCGGTCCTCTCCCCTCTCGAGGGCGAGATTATCCGCGAGGCTGGCATCATCAACCCTGAGTACCTTGCCCGCCACGCTCGCGAGACCGTCAACTTCTGGACTGCGCTCACCAGCGGTCAGAAGGCCAAGGTCTTCGACGAGAAGACTGCCTGGCTCGAGGTTGGTGCCCACCCGGTCTGCTCCGGTATGGTCAAGGCTTCTATCGGCGCCACCGTTACCGCTCCATCCCTCCGCCGTGGTGAGGATGCATGGAAGACGATCGCCAGCAGCATGTGCACGCTGTTCAATGCTGGTGTGAACATCAACTTCGATGAGTACCACCGCGAGTTCAACGATGCCCAGGAGCTGCTTACCCTGCCAACCTACTCCTTCGACAACAAGAAGTACTGGTTGGACTACCACAACAACTGGACTCTCACCAAGGGTGAGGCTCCGCAAGTCAAGGAGGTCATTGTCGAGAAGCAGGTTGCTGGCGCCGCCGCCGCTGCTGCTCCAGCCATCGAGGCCCCGGCCAAGCGACTCTCCACCTCCTGCCAGAAGGTCGTTTCTGAGGATATTACCTCCACCACTGGCAAAGTGGTCGTCCAGAGCAACCTTGCTGACCCCAAGCTCTACCCGGTTGTCTGCGGTCACTTGGTCAACAACTCGGCTCTCTGCCCATCTTCACTGTACGCCGACATGGCGCTCACCGTTGCCGACTATCTCTACAAGGAGATGCGCCCTGGCCAGGAAGTTCCGGGTATCAACGTCTGCAACATGGAGGTGCCGAAGCCGCTGATTGCCCAAATTCCTCAGCCCGCTGAGGGTCAGCACATCCAGCTCGAGGCAAACGCTGACCTCAACACCGGCTTGGTCCACCTGCAGTTCCGCAGCGTCAAGCCTAACGGTCAGAAGCTCCAGGACCACGCTCACTGCACGGTGCGATACGAGGACAAGGCCTCGTGGGCTGAGGAGTGGTCTCGCTACAACTACATGGTTCAAGCCCAAATCGAGCTTTTGAACCAAAAGACCCTGACGGGTGGTGCCCACAAGGTGCAGCGCGGCATGGCTTACAAGCTGTTCAAGGCTCTTGTCAACTATGACGACAAGTACCGTGGCATGTCTGAGGTCGTCCTCGCCAGTGGTCAGACCGAGGCATCTGCGACTCTCGACTTCCCAACCAAGCCCGAGGACGGTGACTTCTACTGCTCGCCATACCACATTGACGGCTCTTGCCACATTTCTGGCTTCATTGTCAACGCATCCGATCTGCTCGACTCCGACCAGAACGTTTACATCTCACACGGCTGGGGTGCGATGAAGTTCAGTAAGCCGCTCACCTCCGGCATGAAGCTCCGCAACTACGTTCGTATGCAACCGCAGCCGAACAACGTCTCCAAGGGTGACGTCTACATCATGGAAGGCAATGAGATCGTCGCTGTCTGCGAGAGCATCAAGTTCCAACAGATCCCGCGCCGTGTCCTCAACACTTTCCTGCCGCCGAACAAGGGCGCCGCCATGCCTGCTGCTGCACCTGCACCCAAGGCCGCACCAGCTCCCAAGGCTGCGCCAGTTGCTGCTCCTGCACCGGTTGCCCCTCGTCCCGTTGCTGCTGCAGCCGTCAAGGCTCCTCCAGTACCGATGGAGAACTCCCGTGTGTCAGACAAGGCTGTGTCGAAGCCGAAGAAGGCCGCTGCTCCTAAGAAGGCATCCGGCGGTCTCACTTCCAAGGTCATGAAGATCTTGGCAAAGGAGACTGAAGTCGATGAGGCTGAGCTCGTCGATGACGCTGCCTTCGAGAATCTCGGTGTCGATTCTCTCCTGTCCCTGACCATCTCTGCCATCTTCCGTGAAGAGCTCGACATGGAGATCAGCTCCACCCTCTTCACTGACTACCCAACCGTTGGCGACATGAAGAAGTACTTTGCCAAGTTCGACAATGGCGCCGCAGCTGCCGAGCCAGAGGAGGAGGACTCTGACGAGGACTCTATCCCACCATCTGACGCCCCGACCCCGCTAGAACCCGTCGACACCCCAGCAAGCTCCATTGCCCCAAGTGAAGCTGGCAAGCCCGAGGTCGATTCACCCACTCGCGAGACTCTTGCCGATGTCGGTGATGTCAGCCTTGCCCGTCACATTGTCGCGCAGGAGATGGGTGTCGACATCTCTGAGATCACCGACGGCGCCGAGCTTGCCGAAATGGGTATGGACTCGCTCATGAGCTTGACCATTCTTGGTGAGCTGCGCGAGAAGACTGGCATTGATCTCCCAAGCACGTTCTTGACCACCAACCCAACCATCAAGGACATTGAAGATGCTCTCGGTATGCGCCCCAAGGCCAAGGCTGCGGCCCCAAAGGCTGCGCCGAAAGCCGCTGCTCCGTCCCCGTCGAAGAAGACTGACATGAACGAGGTCTCCGCACGGCTGGCCGCTCTTAACAAGACGGACATCAGCTCCTTTCCCAAAGCCACCTCCGTCCTCCTCCAAGGCAACCCGAAGACCGCCACCAAGAAGATTTTCTTCCTCCCTGACGGCTCCGGCTCCGCCACCAGCTACGTCTCCATCCCGAACATCGGTTCCGATACCTGCGCCTACGGCCTCAACTGCCCTTACATGAAGGACCCCACCAAGTGGGAGTGCAGCCTCGAGGTCTGCTCTCTCGTCTATCTTGCTGAGATCCGCCGCCGTCAACCTCACGGCCCATATATCGTCGGTGGTTGGTCCGCAGGTGGTGTGATTGCTTACTCTGTCACCCAAGCCCTCCTTGCCGCCGGCGAGACTGTGGAGAAGCTTCTGCTACTTGACTCCCCTTGCCCGGTCAACCTCGACCCCCTTCCAGCTCGCCTTCACATCTTCTTCAACGAGATTGGTCTCCTCGGCACTGGCGACCCAGCAAAGACACCCAAGTGGCTGTTGCCTCACTTCTCAGCAGCCATTCGCCAGCTGTCTGACTACGACCCGAAGCCAACAATCAAGCCTGTTCCAACGTGAGTCAAAGTACAACTCAGTCCACAGTTCGATTGCATGCTGACCAGAAATTAGTTACGCCATCTGGTGCAGAGAGGGTGTGGCTGGAAACCCCGGTGACCCAAGACCTCCACCGTCCGAGGAGGAAGAAGATCCGGCGCCAATGAAATGGTAAGTAACAACAGTCGTTATGTACGTTTATAGTTGCTGACTTACGTTCCTAGGCTTCTCAACCACCGCACCGACTTCAGTTCGAACGGATGGGACCAGCTTTGCGGCCTCGAGAACATGAAATTCGGAGTGTATGCTTTCGTCCTCTCAACCTGTAATGCGATCTCTGTGCTAACTCTCTCTTAGAATGGGCGGTAACCATTTTTCCATGATGAAGGATCCTCACGCCCCAGCACTGGGCAAGCTCATCCGCGAAGGTCTTGACTGGCAAGCATGAAGACAAGGCGCAGTCTTCGATATTCTTCGCTTCGACAACACCCTGTGGAGGTCGAGTCGTTTCGGACGCCTTGGGCTGAGGTGGTCCTGACGGGAAGCCTTCAAGGGAGCACACAAGCGGCGATTGGGTTTTCATCCACCTTGGCCGGTGATGGATCTTCTCTCTCGACCAACTTTGTTATAACTACTAATCTTTATTGCATGGTTTGGATATGTGCATGGCTTGGAGCGTAAGATAGACACGGGCGCACACACTGGCATTGGGACTTGTTGGGATTCACATTGTAGTTGTGCGGCTTTTATCTTTCGACCTGATAGCTTGGACGAGGAATGGGTTGGCCCCCAGAGTACTCACCGTCCTGTAGCGTCAACAACTTCAACTCTATCAATCTATCTCCTTCCACAGCCTGACACTACAACACCACGCAGCCACGGTCGGACTTGTGACACTGTCAAGCAGGCCTCCGAAAGTCGGACTGACAGTGACGCACGCTCGACTGCAGTGCCTGAGCAACTCACGGCGCCATGATGTACTTAGACCGTTACACTCTGGAAGGGAATGCTGCACCTTGGACTCATTGACGTACAGGGTGATGTTGATTTCACTTTACCTCGGCTGATTTAACAAGAGTCGGCACCCTCTCGCTCACGACCGAGCTGAGTATGCCCATGACTGCGCGGTACAAAGTAGTATCGTCAGACAGTACATGTATTGATTCGTAAGTCCCTACGAGCTGTATATACTGTCAGTCATTCGCAGAGTTCTGGGCCCGTTCGTGCATTCATGCGAGCTTCCCCACCGCATGGTCCCTTTCCGCAGTGTACCTGACAGAAGTATCCTCTTTCCGTGGATGAGAAGACCAATACGGAGCACGAGCAAAATGACTGCTCCGCCATTACCGCACCTGCCCGAGATTGAACGCTTGAGTCCCAGGGTTGTCCGGATACTAGGTGGCAATCCAAATAAGTTCACACTGCAAGGCACCAACACCTACCTTATCGGACAAGGGCGCAAACGGATCCTCCTCGACACTGGCGAAGGCAATCGCACATGGCCCGAGACGCTTCGAAAGGCCCTCACCGATGAGGACGTGGAGATCGAGAAGGTCCTACTGACGCATTGGCATCCTGACCATGTCGGCGGCGTAAGTGATGTCTTGCAGCGTTCTCCGCAGGCCAAGGTCCATAAGAACCAACCGAGCGAGGAGCAGCATGATATCAGCGACGGTCAACGCTTCAAGACCGAAGGCGCAACGCTACGAGCATTTCATTGTCCCGGCCACACGACTGACCATATGGCATTCATACTCGAAGATGAAGATGCCATGTTCACTGGCGACAATGTGCTCGGTCACGGCACCGCTGTTTTCGAAGATCTGCCCGCCTACATGGACAGTCTAAATCGGATGCAACACCAGTTCTCTGGCCGTGCATATCCCGGCCATGGCGCAGTGATCGAAGATGGCAAGACTAAGATCCAGGAATATATTGCGCACCGCAAGGAGCGGGAGGACCAAATTCTGGGTGTGATGAAGGACGAACCTCCCAACAGTGGCGGTGAGGCCGGCGAGGGCTGGACGAGCATGCAGATCGTGAGGGTGGTCTACAAGGACTACCCAGAGAGCTTGCATATGCCGGCTGAGAGGGGTGTATTGCAGGTACTGAGTAAGTTGGGGGGAGAGAGTAGGGTGAGGAAATGTGAGGATGGCAGTTGGGCGGTGGCCGCAAAGAGTGCACTATAGATGATACAGCCGTTGCCCTCCAGCTCAGTCTGCTTCTGTTTGGTGTTGTAGGATATCTCATAATTTCTGCGCTCGAAGTCACAGGGTATCAGTCGGAAACACACCCGTGCTGCTGTTTGGGACATTCGCTGGCGCAGCATATCTAAAGGCTAATTGGGTGGGAAGACCTGCACATGCACCCTGACGGATCCCCATATACCTGTGACGACAGTGTAGGTTATTGCAACCCGGACACTTACACCTGTCCAGCTATCTCAGACTCCGTCTCGTGCAAGTCCACTTACTCCGCTCGCAAGTGACGCGATAGTTTGCGTCCGCCTTCCTTGCTCGCGCTAATGCAGCACTCTGTCTGTAACCCGACCTTGCAACATGCCCAATGAGCTCCACTCCTCCCTGTCGCGCCGTAGATCATGGAGAAGGCACTTGCCAGCAACAGGCATTTCTCCAGTTTTGTGCATCCCTTCATCACGCGCTATACAGAGCCAAGCTGAGCCGTCTCTGTTTCATGCTTTCTCTATGAATGGGGGGCTAAATGCAGGCACGGGACGATAGTTGTGCAAGCGGTTCGATTATGGGCGAGACGCAGGTATGGTATGCTTTCCGCTTCACGCACATTTTCATTGCTCTCGTGGAGTTAGCAACAATGCATTTCTTATTCTTGTCTTTCATTGCAGCAGCGGTATGGGGCTTCGCACAAGCCAGGGTTGTACCGGCTTCGCATTTGCTTCATGAGAAGCGAGAGCATGCCGGCACTGGCAATTGGGTCAAGCGAGCGCGAACAGCACCGCACGTCAAGGTGCCAGTGAGGATAGGTCTCAGGCAGAATCAGTATGCGCTCAGTCAAGCGCAACAATGGCTCATGAACGTCTCGCACCCCGGAAGCGAGAACTACGGCCAGCACTGGTACGATCCTCCTGTCAAGGTTTTGTCGCAAGATGCTCGCTAATGAATGATACAGGACCCAGGAGGATGTCATTAATACATTCGCGCCATCGGATGACAGTACGGTAGCGGTGAAAGAGTGGTTGGCAACTGCACTCCCAAGCAGAGAGATCACGCATACCAAGAATAAAGCTTGGCTAGCATTCGATGCTACGGTTCAAGAGCTGGAAAACCTCGTCCACGCTGAATACTACGAGCACCATAATGGCGATCGCGCAATGATTTCCTGCGAAAAATACCACGTCCCGGCCTCAGTCAAGGAACATATCGATTACATCACGCCAGGAGTAAAGGGCGTGCATTTTGAGTCAAAGGATCTGAAGAAGCGCAGCCGGAGGCCTAACCAGGACGGTTCCGGGTATGCGAGTCGGAATGGCCGGTACGGCGCTGTCATACACGCACACGTACGCACAATACTCGAGCTAATATACGACTCAGGCAACCCCCGCAGATACGGCCGGCTATAAACACTCCTTTGCAACAAGATCAGTTGGATACCTGCGATCAAATCATTACACCAGCCTGCTTGCAGGCATTGTACGATTTCGAGCCGCTACCGCCTAACGCGACGATTAGTCCGAACAATTCGCTGGGCGTCTTCGAAGAAGGTGATTACTACTCGCAAGCGGACCTTGACAGCTTCTTCACAAACTTCACATCATACATCCCGAATGGCACTCACCCAGTGCTGGACTCCATAGATGGCGGCATGGCTCCCGTGGTCATAAGCTTGTCTGGTGGCGAAAGCGATTTGGACTTCCAGCTTGCTATCCCCGTCATCTATCCGCAGACAACCACGTTGTTTCAGACGGATGATACGTACTATGGTCTGCAGTTAGATCCCAACGTAACTGGGATATTCAACACTTTCTTGGTAGGTGCCACGCGCACAATGCCTATGGTAGCGGTGACGTTCGATGTTCGTGCTGAGGCTGACCATCGGTAGGACGCTATCGATGGGTCGTACTGCACTTACAGTGCCTATGGCGAGACCGGGGACGACCCGATTTTGGATCCTGTGTACCCAGATCCTAACCTGCCGCCGCCGAACGGATACCAGGGCCAAAGGCAATGCGGTGTCTACGCGCCTACCAATGTCATCTCGATCTCGTACGGGGAGCAGGAGGAAGACCTTCCGGCGTATTATCAACAGCGCCAGTGCAATGGTAAGGCATTTGCAACCTGCTATTTTGACAATGAGTGGGTGCTGAGTCTAGACAGAGTTTCTCAAGCTCGGTTTACAGGGCGTTTCGATCTTTGTCGCAAGTGGAGACACTGGCGTTGGTGGGCTAGCAGGACATGGCTCGGCAAACGGCTGCCTACGAAATGGAACTGTCTTCTCGCCTACACATGTACGACCCTCATTGATAACGAACCGCGTGTTTTGATCGCTGACTGTCACCAGCCTAACAGCTGTCCGTGGTTGACGAACGTCGGCGCAACGAAAGTGGTGGGTAGCTCTTATACTATTATGCCATACCTGCTGTCTGTGACATCGCTAATAGTTGCACCTCCGCCTTGCAGTATCCCGGGCGTACGGTCTACGAGCCAGAATCTGCGGCCAACGATCCTGCAGGCCATCCATACCACAATGCGTTCTCTTCTAGCGGAGGTGAGGCGCTCGAAGTTGTGAACGATTTTATTGTCCGAAGCAGTGCTAATAGTCGTTCTCAGGCTTCTCCAACATCTTTACTGTTCCCGATTACCAGGCTTTCGCTGTCCAAACGTACTTCGCCGACCATAATCCACCGTACCCATACTACAACGACGGTCAGTACAACACTAGCGATGGGCTTTACAATCGCAACGGCCGCGGAATCCCTGACGTTGCGGCAAACGGCGACAACATTGCAGTCTATGCCAGAGGTAGACTCGCCACTCAAGGAGGCACCAGCGCTTCGGCGCCTATCTTCGCGGCACTCGTCACGCGTATCAACGAAGAGCGAATCAGTGCCGGCAAGGGCCCGATCGGCTTCATCAACCCCGTACTCTATCAGCACCCGGAGATCCTGAACGATATAGTCAATGGCACGAACCCAGGGTGTGGGACTTCCGGCTTTGATGCCGTGCCTGGGTGGGACCCTGTCACTGGCCTAGGGACGCCTAATTACCCGAAGATGTTGAGCTTGTTCATGAGCCTGCCATGATGCGTGGCGGCTTGGTGTCACTATATTGCGCCATGAGGAATGATGCTGCTTTGAAGATAGTGACAGGATCTGATGGAGCGACCCCACCGGACGGCCAGTGAATAGCTCCATCGAACAAAAAGGCCAAATAGGGCGCTTGCCACCATATTGATCACGCTTTCTCAAATACGACTCTGCAACCCTAGAAGGCTTTCACTGACTATCTTGAGGACTCACTAGCACTACGATCATCTCCCCCATCGAATACGTAGACACCTACAGCACGGAAAGCCTAACACAATGGCTGGCGCTTACAACATCGAAGAGCTACGTGAGCAGGTCGCTCGGGACACCGAGATCTTCAAGGCCGAGAAGGCTCGCTTCTATCGCCTCCAGGACATGGCTTCAGCGGACATCACGGAGACCGATCGCAATGCCATCATCAACTGGTCGAGAGCATCCATCTCCGACTATAGCTCGGAGCTAGAACGCATGGAGCTCAAGGCAACACCCACAAAAGAGGAGAAAGAGGTCATGCGTGTGCTGAACCAGTTGATCATGCTCGGAGATCAGATTGCCGAGTTCATGTCCCACTTCGTCGCCGAGTATGAAGCTAAGTTCGGGCGTACGGGCACTGATTCTGCCACCTTGCCGGAGGGTGCTGTGGTACGCCCGGACGGCAAGACCATGGTGCCGAAGACGATTAGAAACGCCGCTGAAACAACAGCTCCACTGCTCGAAGAAATACCTATCACTGCGTCTCACACGCTGTCTGCAGCTTCGCAGCGCTTGATCCAGCCCGAAATGTCCGCGAATCCTAGCATTGTGGTACAGCCGCCGTCGCAGTTCGCTTCACCACCATCGGCACCGGATGTCGTGCACCCAGAGAGACTTCCCAAGGTTGTCACAGCCGGTACTGATCCCAAGGAAGCCAGTGATCACGATGCTGAGTCGGAGAACGTGGTGGAGGAATCAATAGAACCTGTCGACATACTCAACATGGACAATGACCCTAAGGGCATCTACAAGATCTTGGGCCTTGCGCCGGACGCGACTATGGTGGAGGTCAAAAAGCAAGTCGATTGCAATAATGTCCCTTCCTTCTGACCAGACAGCTAACAATGCTGGTAGGGCAATCAAGGTCAAGACAACTCGACTGCACCCTGACCGAAACCCAGATCCCGATGCGAGCTCGCAGTTCGCCGATTTCCAAGCACTCTGTAGGGAGACCGTGGAGACGGAGCAGAAGCGGAAGGAGTACGATAGCATCAGAACCCAGGATCAGCTTACGAACCTTACAAAGAGGGTTAGGCAGTTGACCACCGGCACAGGTCTGCGCACATGAGGTTCCTGGCGGCCGGACGGTCAGGCGTGGCTGAAGCGATCAAGGTATACACTGTGTGCACTGGCGTTTGGTAGGCTCGGTCATAAGCTCAAAGACTTCAACAGTCACCGTAGGCTTGCTTGCTCCTGCAGGCTACCATGAAGATATCATGCTCCAATGACTGTAGCACACATACTGTAGGATCTGCTCTCAGAGTACCTTGCACTCAGCAAACCCCGTCTATCTTGGTAGAAGTACCGGTCTCTTGCAATAGGAGCAGCACAAGCTATCAAAGTCAACATGTCCAGCCCAACGTCTGCAGCGGGCGCAAGCATGGCCGACCTTGCAGACCTTATCTACAAGCACACCGAAGAGAGCAGGCATCTTCAAACGCAGATTGACCAGCTGCGCCTTGACATTGCGAATAACGTGCCCACAGCCGGTGTTAACGCGCTCGGACAGCTCGAAACCCAGGGCAAGAAGATGGTTAAAGATCTTGTCCGCCGCATCGAAGTTATCGAGAACAAGCCCAGCCAGACGGCAACGGATCGCCAGTATCTGCAGGGCCTGAATCGACATCTGGTTGTTTGTGACAGGCAGGTGGATCAGCTTGCTGAGCTCACAGCTCTGATGCTCGAGGCTCGAGGCAGTGTCGGAGAAGGACGTCCTAGCCGCTCGGAGCTCTTGGAGCCGGAGGAGGGGCTGTCACCGAGTGATAAGCCGCGCATGTACAAGGAGAAGGCACCGCATGTGTACCCAGTCGCACCAGCCCTCGCCAACAGTCCAGAAAAGCACGTGCCATCGAAAGGAGCGCAGCATGCTCGCCAGGGTTTTACCTTGGGAAGCCCTGCAGAGGCACTCGACACTCGCCAAAAGGCTGATGTTGCCGATGATCCCAAGGCATATGAGGAGTATCGGCACGACTTTGACCCTGACGGCGGGGACGACGACGAGGTAGATGAAGAGGAACCAGAAGTTAACAAGTCAGTCTGGTGAGTTCAAGCATCCTTCGTCCAACAGCGCCGACTAACGCACTGATGAGGCCAATCTGTTATCGCATCATGGATGTCGATCCAGCGACAGACCCATACTACTTAGCAGACGCTTGCAACAAGTAAGTCGAGGTGAACTTCACTCCACTGCCGCTGCTGATGTCTGTCAGGGCATACCGGAAGCTCTCGTACCAGCACGATCCGAAGTGTCTACCAAATGACGTGGATGCGCCGGCACGCTGGGCCGCTATTACCAAGGCGTATGAGACGCTGAGCGATCCGGAGCGCAAGAACTTCTACGATATACATGGTCGGACGCCGGCCGAGTTAGAGGACTTTGATATATCGAGGCTGCGGATTGGTGGTTGATCTGCGAAGCTGACGGTCGGCTGGTAGTACATCTCGGGCCTTTAGAAAGATGATAGTCCCATGGAGTGAGTGCTTGTCCATGATTTTGGTATAGATAATGTGTACTGCGAGCATTACCATCACGGACGAGCTGTAGGCTATGGCAGTAGATGTATATCTTGTGTCAAGCACTCATTCGACCTCCCCGTCTCATTTGCTGGCATTATCACCCCATCGGCCATTTTAGCAGTATCAGCAGGGATGATATCCTTGAGATGCGGCGTGAAAATAGTGTTCGAGTGCTTATGATCTCCTAGCACCATCCATGCTTCACGGCAGGTAGTGATTAAGAAGATCAAACCTCTTTAGGGCGTGATGCTCAGAAGGTTTGCTGAATAGCTCATAGCTCCGTAGATAGTGACTCGCAAACACGGCGACACCAACGCAAGCTCACGCTTTGCAATGGTGTTTGAACATCGTCAAACCCGCTGTTCCATTCTATATCACAGCCATAATAAAGCATCATGTCGGACTCTCGAAGAGTAAGCGGCATCTTCGAGCCACCAAGCGACCATGACTTGCATGTCGTTAGCCCCATCGAGCCGTGTAGTCCTCGCATCACAAGCGGCATCGAGCGCCAACCGACCGGGCTCATGACCACAAGCCCGTCACAGGGTAAGGGTAGTTCTGCTTGGAGGCTGATCTCGTCCAGCGATGAAAGGGCCAGACAGCTGCGGGTCCGTTGCAGCCTTGCCCTCACGAGATTCAACGAGCAGGACCTGACAACGACAGTGGCCGAGTGGACAAGGGCTTGGTTCGAGTATGTCTCCGACTTCTTTTCAAGCGCCTCCTTTGTTCCTGAGGTTAGGAGCTCTGACACCCAAGCAGACTCATCAACAACGGCGCCGACGGCACTCTTTCGAGCGAGCGTGGCGAAGCTCCACTGGTCAACAGCCCCTTCTACATCGACTACGGCATCAATGTGCACGTTGCTCCGTCTGCCTTCGTGCACCGCAACGTCTACTTCGGAGACAGTCCGCATCCGGACTGTCCGATTGTGGTGAACGAGGGTGTCTTCATTGGGCCGAACTGTCAGATACTGACCATTGCACACGACATGGATTGGAGGCACAGGCATGGACCGTTTGGGCCATGCTGGACTGCTCCAGTCGTGATTGGCGAAGATTGCCATGTTGGCGCAGGGTGTACAATCATGTATATATCTTGACATGTTCGCAGCGATTTGGGGATAATGTTCGCTAATTACAGCCTATCAGGCCCGGTGTGACTATAGGATACTGCGCTGTTGTCGAGGCCGGCTCCATAGTCACCAACGATATCCCGCTATATCATGTCGCGGAAGGAAACCTTGCCCGTATGGTCAAGAAGGTGGCAGCTGATACGGCTACTGCCCCGGATTTGCTGTATAAGCGTCGTGGCATGGAAGTAATGGTCGTACAACCTGGCAACAGAGCGGCTGAGATGAGTGCTGCGCTCATTAACAGCGCTCCACAAGAGCCCATCCCAAGCCCTCCATGATGCGATACACGAGCTTGCCGGAGAGCACATGAGGCAGGAATCCCATCGATGAGATGTAGCCTCAGCAGTACCGCAGAGCTCAAAGCCGGTCCTACGGCCAGGGCAGCCGACGAGTGTTAGATTTGCTGTGGCGACGGAGAGGCTGGTCGTAATGGACGCCATGCTATTCGTGGTGGCCATAATGGTGGCGTGGATGATCGTGCATGTCGTGCTTTACTGAGGGCCTGAGGCAAGAGTCTCGGCGTCTCGATCAAAGCTAAATCAGGTTGGTAGAGAACCCGTGGTTGGGAAGACCAGTAATCACGCGTGCCTTCCGTTTTCGACTGATGATGCATCATCGAGCTCACTTCACGTCGTCTCCTCCACCATCTCCTCGTCACGGTCAGTCTTTCCGTTGTCCGTCGTTAAGCCTACTGCAGCCTCGGCTTCCTTCTGGCTGTACGGTTCGTCCTTGAGCTGACGCAGACGTCGCTTGTGCGGCTTTCCCTTGGCATGCTTGATGAGGTTCGTCTCGCTCTCGAACCACTTAGCACACTCCACGCAATAGTGCTGCCCGAAGCCTGGTAGGTCCTCCGGCGCTTTGGTCTCGTGGTATTGCTCTAGATGTCGTTTCGACTTCACGTCTGCATGAATCTGGTCCAAGTCACGGGTGTGGCGGCGTGTTTTCGAGCGCGACTTGGGCCCACGGATGGCGGGCATCTCGTCTTTCCTGCACCCAACTGTAGCCGGTATATGATCACAGTGGTCTGCGGACTTTGATCCTCTTGCCGTCGTATTGCCTTTTCGTCGCCGGCATCGGCGTGTCGACCATAAGACAGAGGCTTTACCGACCGTCCGAGCGGGAGCCGTTTAAGCGTGCTTTTTCTGCGTGCACAGGCCACCTGAATAGCCTCGGCGTCATTGGCTGGTGTGGTCTGGCTTATCCGTTTCCGCTGCAGCGAGGCGAGGCGAGCAAGCTCTCGGTAACAGCTCTGCAGCACTGTGACGTTCGAACAACCACTTCCTACACACCCACCACCACCACCACCACCCCCAACACTCCTCCTGTCCACCTGAGCCGTTGTTGTCATTTGGGCCAGGTCTTGGTGTGATCGACTGTCCATATCATCATCTTACATACACAGCAGCACATCCACCACCACGATGTTGTCGGCACGGGCAGCGGCGCGGCAACTGGTATGCTTCCATACCTCCTCCCTCGCCATACTTGATAGTAGTGTGTTGCTAATTCTCGATATGCTAGCCGCGGATGCTCGGCCGCCGCACCTTCGCTACGCCCGCTGATGCGCCTCTCACGAAGAAGGTCGAGATGGTACGTGGTAGAAGGGCGTGAGGCTGGCTGTTGAAGAACTTGCTAACCGTGACACCCTTGGCTTTGTAGACCAACTGGGAGAAGGGCCACTACCTCAACTATGCGAAGATGAATGAGAACCTCAACATTGTCCGGCAACGGCTGGACCGGCCACTCACCTACGCAGAAAAGATTCTCTACAGCCACTTGGACGACCCTCATGGCCAGGAAATCGAGCGCGGCAAGAGTTATCTGAAGCTGCGGCCAGACAGAGTAGCCTGCCAGGATGCCACCGCCCAGATGGCTATCCTCCAGTTCATGAGCGCCGGCATGCCAAGCGTAGCTACACCAACGACGGTGCACTGCGATCACTTGATCGAGGCTCAGATCGGCGGAGAGCAGGACTTGGAGCGAGCGCAGCAGATCAACAAGGAGGTCTACGACTTCCTCAGCACATCCTGCGCCAAGTACAACATTGGCTTCTGGAAGCCTGGTTCTGGTATCATTCACCAGATCGTTCTCGAGAACTACGCCTTCCCTGGTGGTCTCATGATCGGTACTGACTCGCACACACCGAACGCTGGCGGTCTCGGTATGGCTGCCATTGGTGTCGGTGGTGCTGATGCGGTCGATGTCATGGCCAACCTGCCGTGGGAGCTGAAGGCGCCGAAGGTTATTGGCGTCAAGCTCACCGGCGAGTTGAGCGGCTGGACGGCACCGAAGGGTACGCTTCCAAAGTACCAGCCCTCGTTGATTCCGCTAATGGTTTGTAGACATTATCCTCAAGGTCGCTGGTATTCTTACCGTCAAGGGTGGTACCGGCGCCATCATCGAGTACCACGGTCCCGGTGTCAACAGCCTGAGCTGCACTGGTATGGGGACTATTTGTAACATGGTATGACTTTCGAATACAGAATAGGCCTGCAAACAGCTGATCAACATATCTAGGGAGCTGAAATCGGTGCCACAACATCGCTCTTCCCATTCAACGACCGCATGTACGATTACCTAGCGGCCACGAAGCGCAAGGAGATTGGAGACTTCGCCCGCTCGTACGCCGCAGAGCTTCGTGAGGACGAGGGCGCGGAGTACGATGAGCTGATCGAACTCAACCTTTCCGAGCTTGAGCCGCATATCAACGGACCTTTCACGCCCGATCTTGCCACGCCCATCAGCAAGTTCAAGGACGCAGTCTCCTCGAACAAGTGGCCGGAAGAGCTGAGGGTTGGCTTGATTGGCTCTTGCACAAACTCGTCGTACGAAGATATGAGCCGTGCCGCTTCCATTGCTCAGGATGCGCTTGACCATGGCATCAAGGCGAAGGCCATGTTTACCGTAACACCTGGCTCTGAGCAGATTAGGGTGAGCAGCGCTGTGTGTGGAAGGCTCTGAACATTGCTGACACTTCTACCTGCACACACTAGGCAACCATTGAACGGGTACGACTACTTCCGATATGATTTACCGAACCTTCATTGACCTTGTGCAGGATGGCCAGCTCAAGACTCTTGAGGACTTCGGCGGCATGGTTCTGGCAAACGCTTGTGGCCCGTGCATCGGTGAGTGCTCCCTCTCAAGCAAGCGCGCTAGTTATGCGCTTCTGACAATATCAACGTTGTGCTAACGCTATCTCAGGTCAATGGGATCGCCGGGTACGCTAGACAATGCTTTGTTGTCCAAGACTTCGCTAACCACCTGATTATCCACCTAGGACGTGAAGAAGGGCGAGCCGAACTCGATCATTTCGTCATACAACCGTAACTTCACTGGCCGTAACGACGCCAACCCAGCCACCCACGCTTTCGTCACCTCTCCAGATCTCGTGGTGGCCATGACACTCGCCGGCACCCTGAATTTCAACCCGCTAACCGACTCTCTCAAGGACAAGGATGGCAAGGTGCGCAGCTGCAGGCATACTCCTCGCCAACTATCTGAGCTAGTGCTAACGCTTGTACCGCAATGTGTAGGAGTTCAAGCTAAAAGCGCCAACCGGTAATGGCCTTCCTGCGGACGGCTACGACCCAGGCCGTGACACTTACCAGGCGCCTCCGGAGGACCGTGCGTCGGTCTCGGTAGCCGTATCGCCACAGTCCGACCGTCTGCAGATTCTGGAGCCTTTCAACGCGTGGGATGGCAAGGACGGTATGCATGAACATAGCCTTTAAGCCTCTCCTTTCAATAATGCTAACCGGTGACACTTTCCGTGTAGCTCTTGACATGCCTATTCTGATCAAGGCCAAGGGCAAGACCACGACCGACCACATCTCCAGTAAGTCTTTGGACCAAGCGTCTGCAATCAGATCAGAAGCTAACACTCTCCACAGTGGCCGGCCCGTGGCTCAAGTACCGTGGTCACCTTGACAACATCTCTAACAACATGCTCATCGGCGCTATCAACAGCGCCAACGGCGAGGCAAACAAGGTCAAGAACTTCACCACCGGCGAGACCGACGCCGTACCAAACACCGCTCGTGACTACAAGCGGAAGGGTATCAAGTGGGTCGTCATCGGCGACTGGAACTACGGCGAGGGCTCGTCCCGTGAACACGCCGCACTTGAGCCCCGCCATCTCGGTGGCCTCGCCATCATCGTTCGCTCCTTCGCCCGTATCCACGAGACCAACTTGAAGAAGCAGGGCATGCTCCCCTTGACCTTCTCCAACCCGGAAGACTACGACAAGATCCAGCCCGACGACAAGGTCGACCTCATGTGCACGCAGCTTGCAGTTGGCAAGCCGATGACCCTGCGGGTGCACCCGGCGAAGGGCGGCGAGCCCTTCGATGTGCAGCTCTCGCATACGTTCAACGAGGGCCAGATTGAGTGGTTCAAGAATGGCTCCGCATTGAACACGATGGCGAAGGCGCATAAGTAAAGGGCGCTGACATATGCATGGTGAAAAGTGCTGGAGGGAGGCGCAACGAGCTGAAAGCGAGGGCACTGAACTGTTGTGAGATCAGGTGGGGCGGCAGTGGAGGAGAGAGCTTGAGGGACGATGAAGACGTGCTGTGGACTGTGCATATATGTGCTATGTTTGCTCGGCGTTCTGTAGGCATGAGTAGCGAAGCAATGTACGTTTGCAATAAGCCCATCTGTCAGCCAGTGATGCGAGGTCAAGATGTCAAATCAGGCTTCGAGAAGTGAGCGTGGCCCTTGTGGAGCTGAAGGCGTGAAACGCTCAAAGTTAGACATTCTGGCCGAGATATCCGAAATACGCGCCAGACTGACCAACACACATACTGAGCTTTCGAATATGGATGTTGAGCTGTTCGGGACAACCTGGCTCTTTGCATTGTTATGAACGGACACTCTACCAACATCCTGTAGTGGTGTGATGTATAGCTAAATCACACAACGCCACCTTCCTTACCTGAGGTGACTTACCTGACAAGTTTGTACAACGCAAATTGCCGATATAATACTAGCATATCTACTGAAAGGAGCACTAGGGATGCCAATTGGATAGCTCTCATTCTTTCGTCATCATACAGTCAGCTGATTCAGCCTTTAGTTTTTACTGCATGTGGTATATCATATCGTCATGAGTCTCTATGTACATATTGTTCCTTTCCGTCCGAAACCTAGCATGCTTTTATAGTGCGTACAATGCTGTCACTTAGTACGCATCACGGGCACGGAAGTGGTGACCCTCAGCCCAGGCGTCCGCCGGAGCGCCCTGGAAATCCAGGGCAGCCCACCAACCACCTGGCGCAGCTGGGTAGCCGCCGGGGCAGTCGGATGGGTTGGGCGACCATGACAGGGATGCACTGACTGGGGCGGCACTAGGCGTGGTGGAAGCAGAGGTCGAGCGGCTGACCGACGAGCTGACTGCAGGGGTAGTGCTGCGAGTCGAAGAAGCTACGGCGCTGGAGCTGGCTGGACGGGTGGAGGAGGCGGCCGGGCTGGAGCTTGCTGGGCGGCTAGAGGAGGCGACCACGCTGGAACTGGCCGGGCGGCTGGAGGAAACAACGCCGCTGGAGCTGGCTGGGCGGCTGGACGAAACAACCGCGCCGGAGCTCGCTGGGCGGCTGCTAGACGAGACGATGGTGGTCAAGGTGCTGCTAGCACGGCTAGAGCTGGCGACGGTGCTAGAGCTCGTGGAGCTGCTGGTGAAGTTCCTGACGTAAGGGGCGAGGCGAGAGCGGATGGTGGACTGAGCAGTGCCGTTGGGCGCATCGTAGTCGACAGTGAAGACAGAGACGGAGGCGAAGCAGCCCATGTTGAGGATGGTCGTCTCGCCCGGGAGGGAGCAGTCGCCGTTGATGCACTTGTCTGAGGTTAGCAGAGATTATAGTCGGGGGTGAGGGAATATGCTTACAGTGTTTCCACCACCGACTGGAACAACATTGGCATAGTTGAAAAGACCGGTGTTGTTGTTGAACACAGCCTGGTCGTAGGTCGCGCCACCAGTGAGACGGGTCTGGTAGAAGGTTGGGTTGACGCAAGAGGCGTTCGTCAAGCTGCTGATGGTGGGAGTGTTGACAGAGAGACCGTAACCCTGGGGAAGGAGTGGGGTGCCGGCAGGTGTGTTATTGACAAGAGTCTGGACAACGTTCACCGCAAGCTGGGCCTGGATAGTCGCCGGGTCAGGGTAGCCACTTGGTGTGGTCTGGTTGATCCATTGGTAGCTGCGCTGCTCGCTGTTACCGCCGGAGAAGGCGATGGCAGGAATGCCACGGCCGACAGAGAAGTAAGTGTAACCTGCGGTACCAGAAAGAGTCCAGAGGAACGGGCCAAGGTTGGTACTAGCAGAACGTCAGCTAATCAACGTCTTGCCCACAGCCTTCAGGTATCAAACGTACCCAAAGTTCGGGCCTGCGACGACCAGGTCGATGTGGGTCCAGTTGGTGAAGTTGGGAATCACGTAGTCGATGCCAACAGCAGCAGAGGCGACAGGAGTGCCGTTGTAGTAGAAGATGTTGGGGTTGAATGGCGCGCGGCCAAACGATGGGGAACCAGCAGGGAGGATGTTGTATTCCGAGGCAACGGGGAGGGAGCGGTTGTTTGTGAAAACCGCACGACCACCCTGGCCGGATTCGTCTTTGGCGAGTAGATCAGTACATGGTCAGGTTTGCGTGAAGCATTGTTTGAAGACTTACTGTCGGCCTGGGAGACACCAATCACGCGGTGACCAGCAGCGGTCAAGAGACGGTAGGTCTCGGTAAACTGAGCGCTGGCAAAGCCATCGTCGTTTCCGAGGAGAATGTTGAGGGCAGAGGTCTGCGAGGTGAGCGCGAGAGCCGCAGTTGCGGCGGCGGCGAATGAGAAACGCATCTTGACTTGAGGTTTTGGAGAAGTGAGGTAGAGTCAAGGACAGGGCACTCACGGTTCATGTTTGAGGGAGTGGCAGGATGATATACCTAAGACCGCAACATGTCTTGGCCAGCAGGCTTGGTACAGCCATCGTCCGAACGTTGACGGGTGTTGAACGACGTTCGTCCCGTCGAGTCCAGCAGTAGATCTTCAGCCAAGGCTTCATTGACGTCGTACCTGCAGAAGCGCACGGTCCACGTGAGCCGGTGAACCACTGAGATGGAGTCAGCCGCATCACGTTTTCTTCCCACGCTGCCGCTTTCTGCGACTCGTCCAGGGCTGCCACTTCCTTTTCCAACTTGGCGACGCACACCTTGAGTCAAGTCCGATGCACAGATGGTCGTGACGTTTCCAATGATGCATCTCCCTCCATTTGTGGCGGACTTTCTCCGAGTCGGCGGGAGAGCTCATGGGCACACTCACGTGCAGCCCACTTCGAAAACGACCTTGATGTTCACGACTTGATGATGGTTGGTTGGGCGGTTAGAGATGCCGCGCGTGTCTTCACGACGTAACGTGGAACGGCACGATGAAGTAGATGCTCTCTCGCACTCCCATAGTATCTCTATTTCACAAACCAGTGTTCCTTTGTAGCCTGTAGGTGCACTCTACAGCCATGGCTGACCCTCCATCCTACCGCAAGCACAGTACGCTGGAAGAAATGACCCCAGAGGAGCGCCTTCGCTCTTTGCAGGAGTATGCCGAGGGGAAGAAATATGTCACTCCAGGTGAAGACGGAACGATGAATGTGGGCATGAATGGGATGCGAGCGCTCGCGTTCGGAGGGGCCATGTATCAATCAAATACTTACGATACGCCGCTTCCGCCACCTTCGTATGGTGAGCCGTCTCAAGTTTCGAGCTCTAAGAAGCCTGGACCTGTTAAGAAGTGGCTCAACAAGCAGCGTGAAAAGAAGCAAGCGAAGGCCGCAGATAAGGAAGCCAAGGCTGGGCGCTCACGCGACACTGCCGAGCCTGCCGATGGCTAAGCTTTTCTGCATGCTTCTGTCCTTGCTGTGAACCAACAACATGAGGATCGAGGAGTTCGTCGCTATGTCGCCAATCCGCTTCGATCTGGCATTGTCGCTAACACACCCACCAGGCGCTAGTCTCGTAGAGAGGTCTCGTGCGTTAGTGGAAGGCAACCAGCCTTGACAGCCGCGAAAGATGACCGCGACAAGGTCTCTTTCTGGCATACCGCGAGACGCTGGAAGAGGCTCTGGTACCCCGTACCGCCTCAGAAGAGGGCGGCCAGCGGAAACAGGCTATTTGATGAGTGCTTGATGGCATGCGGCTATTCCCAGAGCGATGGAAGTCCGATAATATCTCACGGCCGTCTGCTTCCAATATTGAGTTTGAAGAATCAGAATTCGTCAATCGAGGTTGCCCCCTGGGGGGTAGTGGCATGCGCTGCCTCTCCGCGCGATAGGTCTTTACATCGCGCGTACTGGGCTGGGAAGTCTGGTGTCGTCCGTACCCAGGCAGATCTGCTGGGCTACACGTCAACATACGCCGGATTATGTTGGTGATATTTCTACCCAGTCTGATGAAGCTGGCATCTCGTCCCATTCAAGCTCACCGTGGTAGAAGCACAGGATACCTACAGCACCACCTCCGTTGCCCCGAACATAGGCGGGTGCAACCTGTTTGGTGCCGATCTTGGTGATATAGTCAGCCAAGAAGCGCACTATATTGGCCTTTTTCTGCTGGTAAGCCGCATTGACTTAGTTTCGATATGAGATACAGGCCTGCATCTGGACAGCTGTCTCGTCTGGAACCGCTAGATTGACGACTTTGACTTGCCGAGCTGTGTTGTAAGAGATCCACCTCCGCAATGCAGATGGACATAGTGCCCTTCACCATCTGCGGGAGGTACGAAGTGCTTGTGGTGCTAGCGGGCTCATTCACATCACTATCGCGATACCGTTGAAGCTTCTCGTCGAAGAGGTGAGCAATGCCTGCGCAATGTCTCAACACGCCGTCATCATTGGTGCAGTCACCAAACGCAGACATGTGCATTTGAACGTCAAAGACTAATCGAGCAGTAAGCGCATGCTTCACACAACGCTAGATCAGACACTCTCAAACTCATGAAGGCCTCTCGAGCGAAGTCCTCAATGCTCCAGCGAGCCACAGCGTGGGAGTATCTGACTGCCCAGCAACCCTGATTGCAGTGCAACACAAGCTGTTCACAACGGCACAAATTACGACGCATTTACCGCGCGGAACAGAATCGGTGCAAATGGGTACCGAACACGATCCCAGAGGTGGTCGACATGTCGCATTGCTCGATCATACCCATCATTTTCCATTGTATGAAGACCATTGCGCAAGTTGTTATGGCATAAGTCGACCAAATGTGAGGTCATTGTCTCCCAGAGAGCGATGTCGGATGTCCGCACAACAGAGGCTGTCGCCGCAGCTGTAGCGCATATCTACTACTTGACGATTCGAAGCAGCTCATGAATCCGACTAGCTTAACAACGATTATTACGGCTAGAAAGGATGTTCCAGTAGTGAACATCACGAGCCAGAAGAGGTGCTTTACAGACCTCGTCCGTCTGATTATAAGGGGATAATGGCCGAGCATAATGGAGATTAGCTGACTGCGACATCACTACTTCGTCCCGTCTGCATCGAACATCCCTGGGACCATAATGAGTTTTCACATCTGTTCAGCAGAATCCGCTAACTATTGACACAAGATGTATGTAGAGGGCCCGTAGGCGCTTGGGAACCTTCTCGCAAGAATTCTTGTCAGTAAACCGGGCGGCTTCCGGCTTTGAGGTCAGTCATGCGGGTATGAAGTGCACAGCTCCCTCCACCATGTCGTCGGAAAAGCTATCAGTCAGCATACTCATCAAGCATTGCTGCACCCTTCGAACGGGAGAATATCTTGTCCGTCAGATGAACAAGGGTCTCCTGGGTTTCTCCAGATCACCTTGGATGGATAAGATTGCTGCCAAATTGTTGATATCAGACGCCTGAACGCCACTCATGGTTCTGCTATCGTCGAACATATCTGCTTCTCGACAGAATCTGGTACGACTTGTCAGCTGCCAATCAAACCAAAGCGCTAACGGTCACAGCAAAACGCAAAACATGCAGCAGCGGGTATTCCCACGTCGTCACCGACCGCAGTACTAATCCACCGGTTCGCAGCTTAAGTACAGGAGAGCGGACGGGATCCTCTGTTCTCTGCGACCTATGGCCGTATGTACCATCCAGGGGAGCTTGCAAATACATATAGCCGTTGTGCTGACTCCGAGCTCTGCGTCGAAGCGGGACAGCAGTCATATTTGTATGCCAGCTTGGGTAGGATGACCGAGAGCAGCATGGTTATTACCGTCTTAGATACATGTACCAAAGGCGGTGTATTGGCGATGAAGCACTCAAAGCCCGGCGGAACATACTCCACGTAGCCTCTGTGAAGCCGGTGTGCTAACTGGCATGACTTGATTCAAGGCTGAGACGGAGTCAATGCGGAAGCTGATTACCTCAAAGGATGCGTGAGGTAGCTTCCGGCAAGCTTCTAGAGTGCCGACGTGCGACGTCGCTTTATCAGAAGCCGAGCTCCTCTTCGGTTGTGCTGCAAGTCTTTGAAGCTTCTTTTTGGTCATCGAGCGTTCGTATATCAAGTGAATGACGGTTCGAATCATTCCAGATCTCCACTTCCAGCGATTGCGGAAACACTCCTCCCGACCCGTACCCTTTCATCCCTTCCAAAACACGAGATACCTTGCTTCAGCGCGTCCACCAACATGGCTACGCTCTTAGTTCCATAGAAGTCGCCCGCAGATCGCAGCTTATCGAGATCATTTGCAAACTCTTTGGTCGCTCGTCGTAAATAGAATTCCGCAAATGCAATTTCTGGGTTACTGGTTGACTCTACTTTCTTCGTGAATACAGGCTCAGAAGACACGCTCCGATCGTCCTCATCGTAGTCCTCGGTTCCAGTGACGTCTGAAACGTCGGCGACAGTATGCTCGTGCGGGACTGCTCCAACATTTATTTGCACAGTGGCGGACTCATGACCGCTCTCGCTAGATGCGGAAGACGGTGACACTTTGCCAGCACAATTAGTGGCAAATTTTCTAATGCATTGGGAAACGGAACACTACCCACCTTCTGTGCGCGCCTTGCGTTTACGCTTGCGTATACCGTTGGCTTTTGATCCCGCCATAACTACTTTGTTTGTGTACGGTGAACCTCAAGATGCACTTGGAGTCTGTGAGAATCTAGACACAGACGTGCAGCGTGCACGGACCTGACATTACTACGCTTCATACACAAGCCTGGGAGATGTGTATTGCCAGGTAGCCAGGGTTCGCAGCGTGAATGAACCTCGCCTCGTGATACGTTGTTCATCAGGACCGCTCGTAGCCTACATACAGATTCCCGTGATAGTACTCAAAATCATGCGCTAACAAAGAGGGTATCCGCTCAAAATTGACCAGAAGCGCAAGTCAACACCATGCGCTTCACCTGCACGTGCTCAGAAAGCACCCCTAATTTTCGAGTACAAGTCAGTATCCAAGAAATTGAAGTTTGGATCAAGAATACAGAACGGTGCACGCAGTAGCGTTTCAGCCGTTGGACGCTCTCCGGGGTCACTGTATTGCATGTCAGCCATCTGCGCTCGTCACCAACGACAAAAAGATATACTTACATCGTGAAGCAGTCATACATAAAGCTCAGTGCCGCCGGCCCAACAACACTGCTCACATCATCCGGGATCGGCGGAGCCTGATAACTCCCTAGCTTGTAGATAGCGCCGATGGCTTCCTCTTTACTCCACGGTCTACAGCCCGCAAACATTTCGAGAACGACGCAGCCAAGCGACCAGATATCGACCTTGGCGCTGTAGCCTTGATTCATAGCCTGCCGCGGGTCCATCGAGTTGGGGTCTTTGTACGGCTGAGACTGCGCGCGAATGACTTCGGGCGCCATCCAGAAAACGGAGCCTTGCATGCTGTTCGTGATGTCGTTGTTGTACGGGTTAGCTGAGCGCTTGGAGATGCCGAAGTCGGAGATCTTGCAGGTGCCGTCTAAGTCCAGCAATATGTTGTCCGCTTTGAGATCACGATGTAAGATGCCTTCGCTATGCAGATAGGCCAAGCCGTTGAGAGTCTGGCGGGTGAGAGAGGAGACGACAGGTTCCTGGAAGCGGCCGTGTTTGCGGAAACAGGACCCTACGCTGCCACCAGGGATATACTCGAGGAAAATGCTTATGCTGAACTCCTTACGCTCGCAGCCCAGATACTGCACGATGTTGACATGGTCCAAATGCTGCATGGTGTCAATCTCCAAATCGAGCGCTTTCACCATCTCCCTGATCTTGGCCGGGTCTGCATTTGCCGCTTTGGGATTGACCTCGACTTGCTTTACGGCCAGCAGCTCACCAGTTGTAGTATTCATAGCCAGATACACTCGGCCAAAGGTACCCTTCCCAATAAGCTGACCGCGCATCCACTTAAAGGTCGGTTGACGCTCCGGAGCCTGCTTACTGACGTGCTGCACATTTGCCTCAGGTATGGTGTCCTGCGGAATGGTCTCGAGGCTGTTGATGAGCCTACTCCCACGGGACGGCTTGACCTGTTCGATTCTGGCACCGAACATCTTCGTGCTCTTGCGACGCACGACGCCACCCGCAGCGTCTCCACGAAGCGTACTTAGCCGGTTTGGAAGTACAGCCGGCATGTTCGCACCGCTAGGCGCTCGGCTTGATGCACTAGATGACGTGGACGGAAATTGCGACGTGGCCTGCATGTTATAATTGTTCTTGACCACATCACGGATACTCTTCGTCCTGCCCAGACCGCCAGATTTCCGCATGGTACGCTGCGCGAAGGACTGGTAGCCAGCATTCAGCAGCTTCAGCGTGCTCTCATCGCTGCCAAGGGTATCCGACTCGTCGGCGCTAGAGAAGGGTGTCGTGCTACGACTTGACTGTAGTAAATCCGAGGACGAACTTTTGGTGATAAGCGTGGACGGCGCATTGGTAAACTTCGGACTGCTGCTTTCGCCAACGCCTTCCTCTGCCTCGCCCATCGGTTGATCGAGATCGACATTCGGAAAGAAGTCATCAAGGTGCTCCACGATGCCTTCAGCGGGAGGACGATTGGCCCACATATCGCTTGCGAAGCTCTCACGCCGACCGATACCGTTGGAATCATCCGGCGAGTCCGTTGACCACTGGTTGTTTGACCCTGCCGACTCAGGCGCAAACTTCTGAATCTCCGGTATTTGCACCCCGCCCGTCTCCTCCGCCTTGTCCGGTACACCCACATTCGGCGAGTCGAACCGCACGTTCGACTTTGAAGTCTTCAGCTTCAGCTCCGGTCGACTAGGTGATCTGCTCGCGGAAGCTGGCGTATCGCCCCGAAGGCCCAGCATCTTCTGCGCTGTACCACTCGCTGAAGCCGAAGTCGGCGCGGTTTGCGGTGTTGGTTTGCCTCGCAGCGGGATAGCGAACAAGTTATCATCGCTGTCCTCATCCTCGTCGTTCTCCTCCACTTCCGGCATGGCGGGTGACGGTGCGAAGTCAACCTGCCGGGATGGTAAATCGAAACTCGGGCCACGCTTGCTCTGCACCCTGGCTAGCTGACTTGGCGGAGGAGCAGAGCTAGGACTTATGTGTTCCATGCTATGGCTTCTGCCGCCATCTTTGAGTTTACCAAGGGCAGGATTGGAGGGCATGCGGAGCGAGAGGTTCGGACGGCCATTAGCCTTTAGCGTATCCTCCTCATCGTTGAGACCATCCTCGTTGTCAGTATACTCCGGCACCTTGAACTGTTGCCCACCCTTCGACATCGTGAACGGACTCCTAGGCGCCCCGTTGCCAGGGCTCTGCCGCCCAGCTGCAAAGTCAACGCTTGTCATCGCCCTTGGCACGGCATGCGTAGTTTCTTGGCCAAGCTCAGGCGCCGTCATACTCTTGTGCAGACTACTAGGCGCAACAGGCGCACTGGACGGTGTGCCGACAGCGCCTGCAAGCTTGCCAGCCGCAGCAATGCCTGCAGCAATACCACTGCTGGCGGGCCTCTTACCGTCTTCTTCGGGGATAGATCCACTAGAGATACGCTTCCAAGGCTCCTCTTTTCGATGTGGCCAGCTCGTGCGTGCATTGACGCCCTGCTTCTTCGTCAAACTGTTCGCCTTAACAAGGGTAGCTGTCGGGTCCGGCACCGGCGGCGGCTTTCGCATGGGCACCAGTGTGTCTGTCTTCCTCTCAAAGTCCGCAGAGCCGGAAGAAGTGGGCCTTTCCTTCTCAGCAGTATACGGGGAGGCCCGAGGATTGTCGAAGTCATGAATGCGTCTTCCGGAAGCCGAGTCCCACATCCGGCTTCTGCGCTGCTCCAGGTAAGCCTGCTGCTTCCTCTCCATGTCTTTCCGGTAGACCTCTTGCTTCGCCTCCAATAGCGCCCGCCGCTCATGCTCCGGTAAGCTCTGAAAGTCTTGCTGCAGCATAGTCTCCTGCAGCGCCGCATTCCGATCCTTCATGTCCAGCGTGCCTTCTTCGCCGTCTTTGGTCAATCGCTGCACCGGCTTTATCTTGTCCGGGACAAGCGTGCTCTCGCCCGAACCCATGGTGCTCGTCGAGTCAAGTTGTCCAGCTTCTGTGAGCCTTCGGTACATCTCCTCGTCCAGCGGTTTGTCGGTGAAGTTGGCCTTGGCGAATGGACTCTGTGGGAAGCCTAGACCCAATCCTGCACTCTCAGCTGGTTGCAAGCTATTCGCACCTTGGCTCGGAGCCCGCAGATACAGTTTTAAGCTGCCACTAGAGTCTGCCATCCGCGTCAATGCTGCCATGAGTAGTTGATCGTGCAGTGCCTCGTCATGCTCCACCTGTCCAGGGCTCGTCATGTGGATAGCAACGTCAGGACCTTCCGGTACACCAAGATTGTAGCAGATCACCGTACGAAGCTGATCTGCTGACTCAACATCCGTAATATCGATCAGTCGGTAGTTCCAGCCGTCAGGTGTGACAAAAATGAACTTCTTATCGCCATCCCGAGTGACAGGCCGACCTCTCGTTTGTGGCACAGGCGGTATTGAATCCGTAGACTCCGTGCTTGCGTGCGGAGACTTCCTGCTTGGTGGTCGATCGGCCAAGGAAGTTTCGGAAGATGCATTTGTAGCCTTTGTGTACAGAGGCGGGCGTGTGGCCTGCGGTGAGGCTGGACTCGTCTCTTCTCTGTCATCCGCAGCGGCATTGTCTTCCTTCTTCTTGTCGCGCCTGAACTTCGCAAGGAAGCCTTTGTGCTCTTTTGCACTCGCAGGTGTTTCTTGACTAGTTTGTCTCGTACCGTCTGAAGGCGGTGGTCGCGATCCTTCCGTCGCGTTGCGCCGCTTGTTACTGTCTTCTGGGGACGGTTTGACAAACGCGGACTCCGCTTCCCGGCTGCCTGCACTAAGACGGCCACTGCTCGGCTGAGCAAGGTTACTCTGCTCTCCACTAGCATTCCTAAAGTGGCCGTAGTACCGTCCGTTGCCAACACCGTTTGCGACCGCCGGAGTGGGCCTGGCCGGGCCATTGAGGCCAGGACTCTGCTGCGGGCTAACATACTTCACCCCACCTGCAGGCGCAAACTCGCCGCTCGCGTTCGGAGAATGTCGCCGTGGCACATCACCGACAGCACCTAGCGCGGCAGACGAGAAGCCGCTTCGCCCATTGTCATCCAATGCAGATTTCGACAACGAGTCGAGAGTGGCAGAGCGTTGCTGCGAGAACCGTCGCTGCGCAATCGTTGGTGGCATTGTACGGCCAGGCGAGTCCGCATCTGCTGTTGTTGGTGTAGAGCCGAAAGCGCTCATCTCCTGCCGCGATAGGTTCGGTGAACTTTCGACTCCGCCATCGGTCCCAGCAGACTGCATTAGCTGCGCGCTCTGTCTCCGATTGTGCAGAGGGAGGCTTGTGGTACTGGCGGAATTGGCAGTCGCTGGTGTGCCAGTGCCGCCACCTCCAGTCCGCAAAATGTCCCTCACTAGCCTGCGGATACGCCTCGACTCCTCACGCTCCTTGGTCTGCTCCCACGGAATGCCATTGTTAGTACACTCACGCGCAATTTGCGGCAGTATCGTCTGCGGCATGAACCCTATGTTTCGCTGATTCCCGCTGCGACCGATGTCGAGAAAGAGCGAACCATGCACATTCAGGTGCTGGAAAGCAGATTGCCACTCGTTGCTAAAGCTGTGTGCCGCGAGCCATATGAGCACGCGGTCCAGCGGCCAGTTCTGGTCCTGGGGGCTTGCTGGCGTGTCTCCGGAAGATGAATGATCGCGGTTGGCTTGAGTTGCGGAATCGTCGGATTTACTAGTGGGAGGTGCGTTGAAGGAGTACGGATTCTGCATCTGAGCCGGCGACGGATGCTCCTGGGTCTCCTTCGCCGGCAGAATGAGCGTTTTCTGCCGGGTTGTGGGTGTCGGAGGCGGATAATTGTTCGGTTGTGGTGGCGTCGGCGCTTGCTGTGGATACGAATGCGGTGGCTGATACATCTGGCCTGGTGTATTGCTGAGCCATCCCTGGGCCTGCTGAGTGTTCATGTTGATACCGTATGCTTGAGCTTGATTATACGTGCCGTCCCCACCATACCGTTGCTGTGACTGCATCGCAATTTCGTTGGTCGATGAGAACTCGCCTGATGCACCGCGGTAGTAGCTATTCTGCTGCTGCAGATGAGGTCTGGACGGTGGCTGCAGACCTGCGTTCTGCCTATCGTGTGACGGATGGAGTGACGGAATGCCCACACCAGGTCCAAAGCTGTCGCCAGTTGGAAAGTAGGTGGCAGACGTTAGTGGCTGGTTGTCTGGCAGAGGTGGCAGCATATACTCAGAGTAGGCCATGGGATCGTACGCACGCGGCTCCCTTGTTTGCGGCGCGTGAGGAGGGGGGTAGGTGGTGGGCGTCCGGCTCCAGGCAGCATATCCGCCATTCGGCTGGCTTGGTGGTGGAGGTATCATCATGTGGGTCTGGCCCGCTGCGCTCATGGGAGGCCTCGGCGGTGGTCCGGGAAGCTGCATGCCCTGCGATGCGGATGCATGTACAGTAGGCGGTGGAGGTGGGGGCGGGATGTACTGACCTGGCCGCTGCTGGTCGGACACATGTCGCGCACCCGGGACCTGCCACCCGTGCACCGCTGTCCCTCCCGGCGTCACCGGCGTGCCTCTTCTGTATTGTTCTTGCTGCTGCGCTGCCTGCATCCTCGCGTCTTCGAACGTTTGCGCTCTCGGCCGGATCGGCGCAGCATACGAGACAGGGCTTGCGGTGTTCGTGATTTGCGGATATGGGCTGCTGGTGCCAGCTTGAAGTCTCAACAATGAGCGCTCGTCTCCGAACCCAGCACCCGGTATGTCATTAAGCACGATGCCAGTGGGGACGCTCAAGTTGTGGGCGCGGAAGGTGGTGGTGGGCGGTGGTGGAGTGGAATGCCGCGAAGGATCGTCCGGCGTGCCTGGGCGATTGCTTGCAGAGCGGTTTCGCGCATTGGCGGCAATCATCTTGCCATCGATCTCGCTCTGCTGCTTCTGCTCCGTCTGCGCCGCCAACAACGGTGCAGCTCACGTCATATCCAACCTTCAACTCCTGCGTGGGGAAGTATAGTCACTCGATGACCCTCCCTCCAACATCCAACCCTACAACCAAGGTCTCTCCTCGTCTTGATCAGTTGCGACGCTGTACGCCAGTCGAGCAGTCCGGAACGATGTGATACTGACGCCTCGGCTTAGGCTTCCTAGTCGCATGCGCGTACGAGTAAATACCAGCTTCGCGTCGTCCCGGAGAGCCTGAATTTGCTACACAAAGTATAGTATCGTCAAGCTAGTAAGATACTCTCTACCACCGAACGACAGCCACCTCACCGATGGCACTGTAAGAGGGAAACGGTCTGCCTCCTCCATCCAATAAGAGCGAGGTCAAGCCACTGCATCCACCGAGGCGGCACCGGCTATTTCAGCCCTACGGATTCGGGACGCAATACCAAGCGGATTGTCAACACTGCATGCTTATCGTCGTACAACATGCTCACACCCGACAGCACAGCACAAGATAAGATGTCATGATAATGTGGAGACACAGTCTGAGGAAAAGCAAGCTACTTGCTCTCTTTCATCGCGGACGCGTAGCCTTCTGGTAGCACACGTACATCAACAACGACTGCCTTGCCACTGAATGCTTGAGCTGCAGCATCTTTCAATACTGCTGCAAGCTTGCTTCTCTGCGTTACCTGCTGCTCGACAACGGCAACGCAACCTAACCCTTGAGCAATCATATGCACATCCGGTGTCGGATCTTCCAACCTCATTCCAATCCACTTATTGTCCACCTCGCGCCCTCTCCTCTTCGCCACCCGTTCTTGGTGCACTTCATCGTTGAAGTAGGATCCGTTGTTCGCCACAACGACCAACAGCGGGAGTCTATAGCGCGCAGCTGTCCACAGTGCTGACGAGCCCATCAGGAAGTCTCCGTCGCCCAAAACGCCCACCGCGAGGAGATTAGGCGCAACATCGCGGAGGGCTAGGGCGGTGCCGACAGCCTGACCGGGACCCGATGCGATGCCGGCCCCGCCATCCATGCCCATGAATGCCAGTGGATGCGTTGCGCGGAGGTCCGCGCCTTTCCATCCGAGCGGAACACGAACAAGGCATATATCTTCGGATGGGATAGCAGCGTGAAGTGCACTGGCGAGGTCCGTCATGAAGATGTCTTCGCTTTTTGATTCAGGCGCTGCAGGCGTGCCATGATTGCGAGCAGTCTGGCCAGATTTTGACCACTCCGAGCTATGTATCTCCCCCATGGTCGAAGTAAGGACGGCAGTGAGTGTCCGATCAACATCCGCATATATCGAGATGTCCGCCGGCGGAAGTCCGAAGTGGTCCTTTGACCAGCCGTTGTGCAGCGCCGAGTCCATACTAACATGCACGACCGTAGCCGCAGGCTCCTGGCCAACATCATGCGCTGCCTTCAGCGTCCCAGCTAGATCGACCCAGTCAAAGGAGACAATGACATCTGCTGAGCGTATCAATCCGCAGGCTTGCGACGTGATGAACACAGAAGGCGGACAAGGGTGCAGAGTATGATTAGTCGGAAAAGTGGCCGCTTGCTTGATATCTGTTAAGACCAGCGCATCAAAACGCTCAGCGAGCTGGATCCGCTCTTGCCAGCAATTACTCCAACCGTTCATTCGACCGAACATAAACAGTGGCCTCTTCGATTTGTGCAGTGCATCTATCACACGCAAGACCTCATCCGGCGATGGACCGGGCGGCTGATGCACAGGATGCAGGTAGCGCTCCGTATCCGGGAGATGTACAGTCTCCGGGTCAATTTCATCTTCCTGCAAAGACAGGTCGAAGCAAACATACGTCGGCGCGCAAGGCTTTGCACTCGTAGCAACAGTCGCATGCACCACACTCGCAATTGCCGCATTGACGGAATGCGGCTGATCGTCCCATTTCACAAACTGCCTCACAAGCGCGCCTTGATCCTGGGCCGTATGCGCCCAGTCGATCCAAGGCCGTCGCCTCGTCGCATCCAGCGGTCCGGTAGCGCCCAGTATCAGCATTGGGACGCGATCACACCAGGCATTAAAGATGGCCATGGTGGCATGCATGAGTCCTACGTTGGCGTGGAGTCCGACAGCCATAGGCTTCTCAGCGACTTTGGCGTAGCCGTGGGCAATGGAGACGGCATGTTCTTCGTGTAAGCAGACGAGCATTTCGGGTTTGGCGTTGCCATTGTAGTTCACCAATGAGTCGTGGAGGCCACGGTAGGATGAGCCAGGTACGAGCGCGATGTAGTCGAGATGTAGGCGGGAGAGCTGCTCGGCGATTGCGTCGCTGCCGTAGCCTATTACGGCCTTGCCCGTGTTGACGTTTCTTGGTCGGTCGGAGAGCTTGGGTAAGTGGGTGGCCATGGTCTGCAGGTTATTGTCTTATGCTATACTGGCTTAGAGTTAGTGGCCCGGTCGGCTACGTTGAATATTGCTCAGAACCTGAGAGTGCGTTAAGGAATGCTACACGACTGTCGTTAAGCAGTAAACTCGGATCAACGTTACGACGCTCTATGTTCAACCCTCTACCGTATCATGGAGTGTTCTTAGCGAACTATGAGCCGCCAGCTGCAGCTTCCATGTTCGGCCTGCCTTCTCCGCACGTGGGGCAACGGCGGCGTACATGATCGGCAACAGCTTGCTAACCCACCGTAGCCATCGCGTGCGCAGACAGAAGCTTGACGATCATGCGGGCTGGAGAGTACTGTAGACGACTTGCAAGAAAGCGAAGGTGTGGTGAGTTTCAGCTGATGGATGAACAACATCACGGTGGTCAAAGCGTTCCTCCTTCTCCGGCAAATGCCCACGGCGGGGGCAACCCCATCTCGTTCACATTGCCATCTTCATTCGAAGAACGAAAATGGAGCAGGCCGGCACACGCGGCATGGCAGCTCTAGCCCAGCTATCTCCGCAGGGTAGATGTAGGTGCTGCCCTCCCTCTCGTTTGATCCCAGACAAGTCTTCCAATGTACAGGCAAGCATTTCTCGTTCTCCCGCACTCATAGTGCTACTCTGGAGGTAATGTCCCTCACACGAGGACGTTGACCCAAAGCTCGTCTTCTAGAGTGACCATGGCACCCTCACTACCAAGTATACAAGACTCGCTCCCAAAGAACAAATCACTCTATTACAACGGGCAATGGCACGAGCCTGAATCCGGCGAAGTCAAGGAAACAATCAACCCTGGCAATGGTCAAGTGATTGACAAAATCAGCCAAGCTGGAGCCAAGGACGTCGATGCCGCCGTACAAGCAGCCCACGAAGCATTTACAAGCTGGAGACTTACAACGCCTGCTCAGCGAGCGGCCATCCTCCGCAAAGCAGGGAATGTAATGCGCGAACATGCGGCCGAGCTGGCCTTGCTCGATGCACTAGATACCGGCAACCCTGTAGCGGAGATGCTGAGCGATGCAAACGTGGCAGCGGCGAATATGGATTACTTTGCCGGTTTAATTCCCATGCTGAAGGGCGAAACGATCCCGCAGTCTGATGACACCTTCCATTACACGCTGAGAGAGCCGTTGGGAGTCGTTGCTCGAATTGTGGCGTTCAATCATCCAGTTATGTTCGCTGTAAGGTCATTAAAGAAGTACAGGTTGGCAAAGCTGACATAGAGTAGGGCGCGAAATCCGCCGCACCTCTCGCAGCCGGTTGCACTGTGATCATCAAGCCACCAGACCAGGCGCCACTGTCCTGTTTACGGCTGGCAGAAATCCTGAGCGATGTGTTCCCACCTGGCGTGTTTAACGTTCTGCCGGGAAGCGTAGAGTGTGGCAAGGCTTTGTCCACACATCGTCTGATTCGCAAAGTCACTCTCATCGGTAGTGTACCGACTGGGAAAGCAATTGCTCGGGCGGCTGCAGATACCTTGAAGCCGACGTTGTTTGAGCTAGGTGGTAAGAACGCGTTAATCGCATTTCCCGATGCAGACATGGAGAAGCTCGTTGTCGGTGTGGTAGGTCTCCCCACTTTTGCATTACGAACGCTCACGCTGACTGAACCGGATTCGTCCAGGCCAGAGGCATGAACTTCACATGGGCCGGACAAAGCTGCGGCTCAACATCGCGCGTCTTCCTGCATGAATCCATCCATGACGCCGTGCTTGAGAAAGTCGTCGCTTACGTCAAGCGAGAGTATAAAGCTGGCATACCTACCGAACTGTCAACGACCATGGGTCCGGTCATCTCGCAAGCCGCCAAAGACCGCGTGATGTCGTACATTGACTCTGCAAAGCAAGAAGGCGCAAAGCTGGCATGCGGTGGCGGAGCACCAGAAGGTATCGACGGTATCGACGGAGGCTACTTTATCGAACCGACAATCTTCTCGGAAGTCAAGCCGCCGATGAAGATTGCACGAGAGGAGATCTTTGGGCCAGTAATGTCGGTGTTCAAGTGGAGCGACGAGGCGGAAATGCTGCAGCAGGTCAATGATACCGAATATGGACTAACGGCCGCAATCTTCACTAAGGACATCGCCATCGCGCAGAACGTGGTGAAGAAGGTCGAAGCAGGCTTCGTGTGGGTGAACCAGGTCGGGCGACACTTTCTGGGCGTGCCCTTTGGCGGCTATAAGGAGTCTGGTGGCGGCCGTGAGGAGTGCTTGGACGAGCTGTTGTCGTTCACGCAGACCAAGAGTGTCAATATTAACTTGGCTAGATCGTGACGATGTCAGAGACCCAGTCTGATCTCATATCACACGACTTTCCGATCTGCAAGCACATGCTGTTCAACTATAGTATGTTATGCCGTTGTGTGCTCACAGGAAGATAGGGTGATTTCCATACGATTCGACGTTCATCTGGTCATGTCCCGGAATGACTGTGGTTTCACCTACCAAGGCGCGCTGAAGAGAAGCCAATGTTCAATCTTGGTGAGCAATCGGCGTAACAGCGGGCGGTTCTTAATCACATATAGTCATGCCGCCTGCACCTGCTCTGGAGGACGGCATCTTTCAAAACACCACTAATCCTCACACTCTTTAGATCAACAGCTACTATCACTGCGCCTTGATTACTACAACCCTTCCAGCACGATTCAAGAACTGAACGTCACACATAATCTCACTTCCTTGACTTCACTGGCGATCTACTAGCCGAACGCTGATCCAGCGACTGCAGAAGCCTACAGGGCTAATACTGATGCCTAAACCGCCGACGACATAACAGACGCATTAACCAATCCGCGATACCAGGCCAGACTCTTTGTCGAGGTGATCTGCGCTTCTTTCTAATAGGACGGCTTCCTCGAAAGTAAATGTGGCAAGCCTCAAGAGATCTCCGGGGATGGCAATGAGGCTCAGGGAGCGTCAATAATCTGGAGTATAACCGCTAGTGGACATGCCGTCGTTGTAACCTTCTGTCTGTCCCTAGACACGACCGATCCAAGACCTCCCAAACCAGTCCACCCCGTCTGCAGCTGGGGAATTACCGGAGCGACCGTCACCACTATGATCCAGAGATGCTCCAGCGTATCTTGAGGCGTATGCTCGGGTTCTCGACGCCGCCGATATTGGCAATGGCACACCCCCCAACGGCACCACCGCGAAAATTGAGCTTCATCCTCGCTTCCAAGCAAAGAATAAGCTGCCCAAAGGCAACCTCCTCTGCAAATGGGTCATGATTCAACAGTAAAGACCACTTCGCGGCTACTCACGACTGCGAGAAGCTCAAGACCTTGCGTGCTACTATCGAGCCCGAGCAGAAAGCTGCGGCTGAGCTTGAGCAGACAGCTGCGGCCGAGCTCGAACAGAAAGCTTTCGCCGATACCGAGCCACAAGCTGAGGCGGATATGACGGTGGCTGAAGCAGCTTCTCAAGATCCGTCAACCCAGCTAGCCGACCAGGATGTTCCAGAGGAAGAGCTACGTGATCCAGGCACTGCTTTCGACGCCACTACACCCAGCATCCGTCAGAAGGTTGTCGCTGCTAAGCAAGCTGAGATAGAGGCTCGTATCGCTCTTGAGGAAGCCGAAACAAGTCTTGCCAGTCTAGAGCAACAGATGGCGCCGGGTGATGCGAAGAAGGCCAAATTGTTGTCCGTGACGGAATGCATTACTGTGCACCCTCTTCACCTTGCTATGATGCTGACTTGGGACGAGGACGGTCTTATATGTCGTCCTACTTGCACGATGCCGACCTACGAGGTGCTTGACAGATTTGGCAGCGTGCCTGTCTTACGCAACTCCATCTACCACGCAGACATCCAAGCCGTCTTCGACCAGAACGTTGCATTAGCCGAGCAAGCCAAGCCGCTCGCGGAAGGGTTCATGAAGTTTATGGAATCGGAGGGGCGATGGTCGCGTGCTGTGGATCGAGCTTGCAAGGATATCGAGGAGAAACGTAATCTCCTCCATCAAGCCTCCTGAAGCTACAATACACCAAGCTGTCACCCGAAGACAAAGCAGCCCGTCAGTAGCAGAAGGCACAGCGCGCTGAAAACGAGGGTAAGGAGCGTACCAAGTGGGAGCGAGATGTATATACGGCGGTTGCAAACCATAAGAACGAGCTCCTCGAGCATGCGAAGAAGTTGCACAGCGGTGCGTCAGGTGGTCAGGACAGATGTTTACACCTATCGATGCCAGCGTAGCCGAAGGCAAACCTCGTTGTGCGTGACGAAGACTTCCTTGATGACGAATGGGACGGTACTCTGCCCAGTTGGACTGCCAATCAGACTTCTGGTGCCCAAGATATGGTCGAGTATGTTAAGCTCGACGCTTACGATATCGAAGGTTCCATCACTTTGATGGGCAGCTTACCGACATACGACTTCCGTAAGGAGTTTCTTGCCAAAGCTGGCGAGAATGCAGACTTGATCTCGCCACACAGTGTGGGCAGAAACGAGAAGATGGTGAAGAGGGGCATGAACAAAGTCGCTCAAACTCATTGCCAGCTATTGCTACCGAGCGAGTCGGATGTCGAAGCGGGCGAGCTGCTACCACACCGCGATAGCAGTCAGACGGTACAAGACTGGGACGGTCCAAACCTGAAGCTCTCTATCTTCCGTTCTGATATAATGCCCTCTTTGCGCATAATTCTGCAGTGCTTGCACACACGGTTTGCTCCCAACACTGGTCATGTTCACTTCTACTTCGGAAAGCTACAAGCACCGCTTCGCATGGTTGATGGTGAGCTGGAGTATAAGGAGAAGCACGGAGTCATCGACTTCTACCACGACTTCGACCATAACGACGAGTACTGCGACATCACTCTAGGTGTGATTACGGTGGAGCAACCAATTTACGAGTCGGGCACCTGGCGAAGCGCGACTTCTCCAACACTGCGAGTGAAGTGCGGCTGATCGAGCAACTCGAGGATCTTTGCGAGCCATGCGAGAAGCGTGTAATCAGGCTCCGCATCGTCCGCACCGATGAAGAGCGCCAAGCTCGAGCGAGCGATGCCTTCCACGATCTTGGCATCTTGCTCAAGATGATGGATGAATGGAAAGGCGCTCCCAACGAAGCGTACGTGGCGGCTTGTCCTGATAACAAGCCATGGTCGGACGATGGGCTCTTCTTGGAAGCAGCCGCTATCGGTGCTTCGAATAATGAGCCGTGGACGACCAAGCTGCATCCTATCACTGAGGTGTTCCGGACTGAGGCTGCTGGAATTCCAAGACCATTGCAAGAAGTCGATTAGCCTGCCGTGTCAGACTGGCATACTGGTTTGGAAAGCCATAGCCGAGGTAGCAGCGTTTCCTATGGTGACGCTGAAGGGATTTTGTCCGTCAGAATGATTGCCAGTTGCTTACGCATTCAATAGGTCCAAGGAGGGTTTGGAGGCTTGAGAGAAGTTGGCTTCTTAGCCGCTAGGTAGCGTTGAGTTCAGGCGCGTGCTTACATGACGGCGCCACCGCGATCGCATAGTGACCAAGTCCGGCTTCTACGAGAGTCAGCGTGAAGGTCGAAGGCCAGAAAGAACATATCAAGAGCAGACCGATAGCAGAGGTGATAGTGCGTCGAAAATGGCTAGATATCATGGATAGCGCCAGACGGACCTAGAAGGCTTGACAGCCACTAGCAGACGTACTGTAGCAAGATGAAGGCAGCGATCGCTGCCAACCCCAATTTAATAGAAAGCATACTGCCTGATAGATGGTCGATCGCTTTGTTCATCGCACATGGAGCACGTCTTGCTCCGCGTGACGTTTGGTAACTTCAAATGGGCCGATGGTCTGCATTGCAGATTGAACGCGAAGCGTAGACTGTTTCATAGAATGTAACGGTAGATGGTATCTCGGATGGTACAGTTACAATCGGCGTTGGAGGTGCATATCGCAAGCGCTGCTACAGACGACAGATAATACTTCGGTGTTTCGTCTAGGACATCTTGCCCTTCATCTCCTCGGCAGTGCCTTTCGCTTGGCCAGCCTGGAAATTTCTTGATCAGTAACACAGACAAATGCGGATGGGGAGTAGGAGTCCTTACCATCTCATTTGCCTTGCCCTTGGCCTCGCCCATTAGCTCGGATGTCTTGCCCTGTCCTTGACCCATCATCTCCGAGGCCTTACCCTGTCCTTCACCCATCAATTCCGAAGCCTTACCCTGTGCTTGACCAGCCGCCTCCGAGGCCTTGGCCTGCACCTCGCTGTTGTGCATGCCAGCGGCCTCCCTGGCCTTCTCGGCTATTTGCTCTATACGCATCGGCGTCAGCGAACATGTACAGCTGGCACAAGGTCCGGGTTAACGCACCGGCAGCCTCAATGCCGGCTACGGCGCCCTTGGAGACGGTCTTGTCGACAGACTTAAGGGCATCCTTCGCCTGGTCGATGGCGGAGTTGCGAGCACGAACGGAGGTGCTGAAGAGGCGGGCTTGCCGAAGAGCGACTTGGCGGTACATTTTGATGGTCTGTTGGGATCGAGACTGGGAGGTGATTTGGTGTTATGGGGGGTTTGATCGATAGAGGTATAATATGAGCGATGCAAAAACAGTGCTGCATTCACTCCTCGCAACCGAACTTGACATCATCGCAACGTATGGAGCTATGGCCACGCCACGCCACGCTCGGCTCGAAACGCCACAAGCCTTCCCTTGCCACGTGTATCCATGTTTCTCAATCCAAGATTTCATCCGATGTGATAATCCACAACTGACACGCTACTAGAGGAGAGTGTCGTCGAGCTTGCGCACAATAGACACGTTTTGAGAATATCTTACCAGAATCCTCCGGCGATGGGGTGTGCTCGCACGCTTTTCTCAAGCTCCCGGGCCGCCCCTTGATCAATCATCATTTCCTCGACGTATCCTTCATCGTCTGGCGCGGTACAGTACTTTGCATTGCTTATCAGGATATGCACATCATGATAGCCGACAATGCGTATCTGCAGACTGTTGAGTGCCATTAACCACCCGGTTGGGTGAATCTACAGCCAGAATCAAACCATCCATGTAAAGCTCCTTCAGCCTCGGAAAGGACGTCCCAATATCTGCAGAGAGGCGGTTAGGTTTCAGCATCCAGCGGCTGAGTCTTCATCTGGTCAGCTGGGGCAGCGCAACGTTCGCCAACATCAACTCTAACTCCTCTCCTTGAGTCGTTCTGCGCAACCCAAGGCCAGTGTTTGCAAGCGGGAGTCTCGTGACGATAGTCATATGCGACAGGATGTCGTTTTAGTACCCTGCTGCTACTTGGACAGAGTATAATCGAGCGATCCGTCTCCCCTTTCTGTAGTTGAAAAGCGACCCAGCCCGCATATATCAAGCTCTAACGTCCGAAACAGTGCAGCCCGCTGCGCCCAAAATGTCTCGGTGTGAAGCATATCTATGCTGGAAAACCCGCCAACGCCGAGCCACGTCAGCCCAACCGAGGACAGGGTGTGTGAGGTGAACTCCGACCAGACGCGCCGCTCGTCAACCAATCCATTGCCGGATGTCTTAACCAGCCTGTCGACAGAGCTGCTGTACCTTCTCGTACAGGAACTGGCCAGCGACGGCAAGGACAGCTTGACAAGCGACGGAAGGCTTCACCTGCAGCCCCTACTCAAACATGCAAGATCTTCCCAGCTCTCGTCATACCGATACTGTACAAAAGTGTACCGCTACGCCTCAACCTGTCAACTACGGTTTCTGACGATGTCTACCCTTTGCAGAGGCAGCCTTCGAAAATGCAATGCTGCCTTACGCACACGCCCAGCGGCGCGGTGAACGCCAAACTTGTCCAGGAAATCCAGGTCTGCGTCGAGCCTTTCCCGGTCGAGAACTGGAATAAATTTTGCTACATCGAAAGATAGCTCGTTTAAGCCGGCATCAACCCACAACAAGATTGAGATTAGATCACAGTCCCAGGCTAACGGACCAGCAGGATACAATGCAGGCACATCTGATCGGCGCATACGCGGACCCCCTCTCTGGAAATATGTTCGGCGCTCACTGGGAAAGGCGCACAAGGTCATGGCGTCACTCTTCCGATGACCTGATAGCGAACACGGATGGCGCCCTAGCTTTATGTCGCACCTTGGGCATCTTGAGGTGGCAAGTGGCGGACAAAGTACGCTTCTATACCTGCTACACCATCGTCGAGGTGATTGAAGGGCAGAGTACTACTGCAGGGGCAGCGTGTACTACTCAGCCATAGCCTGTCTGCCCGGCGCAGTCCGAACTGTCGTAGTGTACAGCCAAAAGATCTTATACTATCACCACACCTTCCACCAAGGCTTGCCACCTCCGCCATCCGTCTTCATCGTCTGCGCCTGACTTAATGCTGCAAGCTGTGTGTCTTGCTCTACATCTTTCGCTGCCCGCCTCTCTTCTCTGATTTTCTCCTTTCTTTGCTCCCTCGCTTTGCGATCGATGTCCTTCTTGTTCAGTATCTCAACTGCTCTCATCATGCCTTCCTTCTCCGCCTTCCGTCTGTACAGGCAGTATTGATACATAACAGCGGAGCCAAAGCAGAACGTTCCGGTAGCCCACGAACAAGCGGTCCATACGGTAGCTGCAGCACCGATCAACACTCGCGTTATGTCTCACCATAGAAAAGTCATTCACGTACCTCCAAAGACAGCCCTTACACCCCCGAACGCAGCACCGCCCCCAATCCCCGTCAGCAGCGCATCCCGCACACACGGCCTCTTGTGAAATTCCGTAAAGTCATTTAGCTTCGGCAGCGCATTCCAAACGGTGACCTCGGGCGCTTTCCCTCCCGCCGTGTGCTCAGTGCCTCCAGGCATGAGGTTGGCATTCTCCGGCGCTCGGTAAGGTGTCGCTTTGCCACCCTGCCATTGCGTGCCTGCGAACGCCTTGTTCTCGGGATGAACATTCAACGCCTCGCGACTGAGGTCTTCTTCTACTTTCGCAGTTTGTTGTCTTGTGTCGTCCGCCATGCTGTGATGGTTGACAGAGGGTAGATTCGTTCATGCAGTCTCACCTTCATACACGGAATGGCTCCGTCATGGGAAAGCTACATGCGCCATTTGGCCTGCGGTGAAACGCGTCTTGCACCACTTTACGCGTGGAACGACTGACTTGGTGTGGAACATTACAATTACATTCTTTATATATGCGATTCATGAGAGACCGAATGGCGAGGGACACAATGTTCATGCGACGCTGACATACACTCACTTCGGCCTCCGCGGCCACATCGACTCGCAATGCCTGTTCGAAGAAAGGAAGGGCCCCGCCGTTTTGGCAAAGGTCCAGTCAACCAGCGCATAACGAAGACGAGGACCATTGGTGCTTCAGAGCTCCGCAGCTCGGAAACCACAAATCAGAATGAGCGTCTTGAGGCAACGCGGTTGGCAAACAGTATTGACGAGAGTCAAGGCTTCGAACGATTTGAAGCCGGCAAGCCCAGAGTGGGATGGCTTATGAACATGCATTCCACTACGCTTGAAGATGCCAAAGTTCCGGGTGGACGAGCGGCAGTGGACTTCTACTTCATCGGGGAGGATGGACAAGGGAGGTTCAAGGCGAGCGTGGAGTATGATCCGTACTTCTTGCTTGCGGTCAAAAAGGGCAAGGAGCCGGAGGTGGAGGAGTGGGTCAGAAGGACGTTCGAAGGTTCGGTCAAGAACGTGAAGAGAGTCGAGAAGGAGGATCTGAAGATGCCAAATCATCTGCTTGGCTATCGAAGAACGTTCTTGAGGCTGGCCTTTGCGAATGTGAACGATCTCTTATCTGTACGGAAGGTGGTGCTACCGATTGCGGAGAAGAATCGAAGCAATGTTAGCCCAATGGATACGTATGCGGAAGTGGCGAGCGCAAACGCTGGGTTCGACTTGTTTGATGAAGCTCATCTGGATGATCGAAGACCGACTACGCTGGCCGATGCCTCAGACTTTATACTCGATATTCGAGAGTACGACGTACCCTACCATGTCCGCGTAGCTGTTGATCTCGACGTTCGAGTGGGCAAATGGTACACAGTCGAAGCGAAGCATGGCCACGTCTCTGTCTCCTGCATCGAAGAACGCCTAACCCGTGCCGATCCGATCGTGATGGCCTTCGACATCGAAACGACAAAGCTCCCGCTCAAGTTCCCGGATGCAAGCATCGATCAGGTCATGATGATCTCGTACATGATTGACGGCCAAGGTTTCCTGATCACGAATCGAGAGATTGTAAGCGAAGATATTCAGGACTTTGACTACACGCCTAAGCCAGAGTTCGATGGGCCCTTCTTAATCTTCAACGAGCCAAACGAAGAGGCTGTGCTAGAGCGGTTCTTCGACTGTATCAAAGAAGCGCGACCGACCATTATTGCCACCTATAACGGTGACTTCTTCGACTGGCCGTTTGTGGAGGCGAGAGCGAGCGTCCATGGCATCGACATGTACCAGGAGATCGGCTTCCGGAAGAACAACGACGACGTCTACCAATCTACACATTGCGCCCATATGGACGCTTTCGCATGGGTCAACAGAGACTCTTATCTCCCTCAAGGCTCGCGAGGTTTGAAGGCTGTTACCGTGGCAAAGCTAGGCTATGATCCGGACGAGCTGGATCCGGAGCTCATGACACCGTATGCCGCTGAGCGACCTCAGGTGCTAGCTGAGTACTCAGTTTCTGATGCTGTAGCGACGTATTACCTCTACATGAAGTACGTGCATCCATTCATCTTCTCGCTTTGCACCATCATTCCGCTTGGACCGGACGATGTGCTGCGGAAGGGAACCGGTACGCTCTGTGAGATGCTGCTCTGCGTGCAAGCGTACCAAAAGGAGATCGTCCTGCCGAACAAGCATGTCCAGCCTCGAGAGTCATTCTGGGAAGGCCACTTGCTGGAATCGGAGACCTATGTTGGTGGGCATGTGGAGAGTATCGAAGCCGGTGTCTTCAGATCCGACATACCCTGCAATTTCGCCATCGATACGACTGCGGTTGATGAGCTTCTCAACGATCTTGATGCGGCGCTCATCTTCTCCATCACGGTTGAGGAAAAGAAGCAGATGGAGGACATCGCAAACTACGACGAGGTCAAGGCACAGATCGCGGACCGACTCAACCAGCTGAAGATCACGCCGAATCGGCAGGAGAAGCCTTCAATCTACCACTTGGACGTAGCATCAATGTACCCCAACATCATGACCACTAATCGCCTGCAGCCCGACAGCATGATTGATGAGTCCGCATGCGCAGCCTGCGATTTCAATCGACCTGGTAAGACTTGCGACCGCCGCATGCCGTGGTCCTGGCGTGGCGAGTTCTTGCCGGCGAAGAGAGACGAGTACAACATGATCCGGCACGCTCTCGAGAACGAAAAGTTTCCCGCAAAGAATCCTAATGGTCTTGCACGGGCGTTCCAGGACTTGAGTCTTGATGAGCAGACAGGAATGGTGAAGAAGCGGTTGACTGATTATAGCAAGAAAATCTACCACAAGATCCACGATGCCCGGACTCTCGAACGGGAAGCCATCATCTGTCAACGCGAGAACCCATTCTACGTTGACACAGTCGTCAATTTCCGGGACCGAAGGTATGATTTCAAGGGCAAGCAGAAGGTATGGAAGGGCAAGACGGCGGAGCTGGAGAAGGCGGGAGCCAGCCAAGGAGAAATCGAGGAGGCGAAGAAGATGGTCGTGCTCTTCGACTCGCTGCAGCTGGCGCACAAGGTCATCCTCAACTCCTTTTATGGGTACGTCATGCGCAAAGGCTCAAGATGGTACTCCATGGAGATGGCGGGCGTGACCTGCTTGACCGGCGCCAGGATCATCCAGATGGCTCGTCAGCTTGTCGAGCGTGTCGGTCGGCCGCTGGAACTTGACACGGACGGTATCTGGTGTATTCTTCCAGCCACCTTCCCGGAGAACTTCGCTTTCACGCTGAAGAACGGGAAGAAGCTGACCATTTCCTACCCCTGCGTTATGCTCAATCATCTGGTGCATGCACGCTTCACGAACCACCAATACCAAACTCTTGCCGACCCGAACATGTTCCGGTACGAAACGCATTCTGATAACACGATCTTCTTCGAGGTCGATGGACCGTACAAAGCCATGATCCTGCCGACCAGCAAGGAGGAAGACAAGAATTTGAAGAAGCGGTATGCGGTGTTCAATCACGACGGCACGCTTGCCGAGCTGAAAGGCTTCGAAGTCAAGCGAAGAGGCGAGCTGAAACTCATCAAGATCTTCCAGCAACAGATCTTCAAATTTTTCCTCGAAGGATCAACACTGACCGAGACGTACGCGGCCGTAGCGAAAGTGGCAGATAAATGGTTGGACGTCCTCCACAGCCATGGTGCCACACTCGCCGATGAAGACCTGATCGATCTTATCTGCGAAAACAAGAGCATGGCGAAAACGCTCGAAGAGTACGGCAGCCAGAAAAGTACGGCCATCACCACAGCCAAGCGTCTTGCAGAGTTCCTAGGCGAGCAGATGATCAAAGACAAAGGCCTGAATTGCAAGTACATCATTGCCTCTCGACCAAAGAACGCCCCTGTGACCGATCGCGCCATCCCCGTTGCCATCTTTTCGGCAGAAGAGAGCATTAAGCGCTTCTACCTGCGGAAGTGGATGCGTGGTGACCCCAGCGACGATATGGACCCGCGGGACATCATTGACTGGGAGTACTACCTCGAACGGCTCGGCTCAGTCATACAGAAGCTTATCACTATCCCTGCGGCCTTGCAGAAGGTGAAGAATCCTGTACCTCGAGTGGCTCATCCGGATTGGCTGGATCGACGTATAAGGACGAAGGAGGACGTGATGAAGCAAAAGAAGATGACTGATCTTTTCCAGAAAGCGCCGTTAGCGGAAAGGCATCCCAACACGCTCACTCAGCGCCTAGGTGGAGGAGATATAGAGGACTTCGGTGCCACGCCTATGTCGAAACTGAAGCCTGCGACCGCTGCGAGAATCGTCAAAGCCCAGGCGCGGAAGCGGAAAGCGGTCGAGCCAGCACCTGCGACAGTGGACCCGTATGACTCTCTCCCTGCAACTATGCCCAGCATTACTGAAGACTACAAAGGTTGGCTGAAGTATCAGAAGAAGAAGTGGAAGATTCAGAAAGCGGCTCGCAAACGCCGGCGTCAACTCTTCGGAGAGAAGCGTGGAGATGCCACCGATGCCATTGGTACCTTCTTCCGCCAGCAGGCAGAGCTGGTCTACACCAGTGACTGGCAAATCCTGCAACTTCGAGAGACAGAGACGCCTGGCGAGGTTCGAGCCTTTGTCTTGATCGACAAGAAGGTTCACCATCTGAAAGTCATAGTGCCAAGGCAGGTGTTCCTGAACCTAAAAGAGGATGAGCTGCCGGACGTTGAGGTTGAAGGCGTGAAGGCGGAGAAGGTGGTGAACTGGACACTGCCCAACGGTCATCCGAGCAAACATCTCTTCAAGTTGAGCATGAGCGAGCACACCTACGTGCAAGAGGCGGCGAAACTGCGACGACTGTTCGAGCACCCGAGCGTGGAAGGAGTGTATGAGCGTAATGTCCCGCTCAACGTCCGCGCGATGATGGAGCTGGGCTGTGTCTGCACCTTCGACCAGAGCCAGCGTGGAGTCCTTGGCAGAGGGCTGGAGCAAGGCTTCGACCTGTCCACCCTCCGCACGGTGCCGCCTAAGCAGCCGTACATGAGCACTGCTGCATCCCTGAGTTATCTTGCGCTGTACCACATCAGCGCCGGCGAGCGGCAAATATACGCCCTCTTCTCGTCCAAGCGACCCGAAGCGAAGATTGTGATCCTCAATCGAGCGCGCAGCGAGCAGAGCATGCCAAATGTCGACCGTATCTACGAAGAGATAATAGCGCGAAAGCTCCAGGAAGCGGGTGGTGAGCCGTGGCAGAAGGTGGTCGAATACCAAGACTTTCTGCACTTCAAAACCGTGCAGGTCACAACGCAGCGAAGAGCGCTGCAAGAACTAGGCGATGCCATCAAAAAGATCCAGAAGGAGGATTCGGGGCCAACAGTGTTGGTTCTGCAATCAGGGAGCGCGCAGATGCTCGCAAATGACCTGCCGGTTCTGCAAAGCTATCCTCTGCTGCAGCTGCAGCCAGAGGAGAACGACAAGGCGTTGCCGCCATTGGGATGGCAGTCGTTTGTCGCAAAACGCTTGGTGAGTCACTACCTAGATCTGGGGACCTGGATCTCGCATCTCGTGGAATTTGCTCGGTATGGCAACGTGCCACTCTGCAACCTTGAGAAGGACGACCCACGGTTTCTGATCGATATCACATACGCTCGGCGGCTCCAGAAAGAGCGCGTTGTGCTGTGGTGGTCTCAGGGCGCTCGGCCTGACCACGCGGGTCACGAGAAGGACGACATATTAAGCTCGATGGAGGTGGTTGACACGCCAGCGGTCAATAACCCAGGCACCTACTCCTCGGTCTGCATCGATCTGAGCATCAAGAACCTAGCCATCAATACCATCTTGTCCGCGGCCGTGTTGAACGATGTCGAAGACAGTGACCCCATTGGTATATCGGGCGCCAGCGCCAAGGAAGACACGCTAGAAGACGCCACGCAGGTGGTTGCCTCCGAGAACGCTTTCGCTAGCGCAGGTATCAACGCGCTGCGAGAGATGCTGCGTGTTTGGTGGCAAGAAGCCTGCAACAACAATTCCGGCAACACAATGGCGGATGTGCTCGTAATGCACCTTGTTCGGTGGGTAGAAAGTCCGTCCTCCCACCTCTACGACCGGAATCTGTTGTACTATGTCCAAATGATGTCACGCAAGGCCTTCCAGCAGCTGATGTCTGAGTTCCGGCGCGTCGGATCGCATGTCGTCTTCGCCAATGCGGGCAGACTGCTGTTGCAAACGTCGAAGGCGGAGGTCGGAAACGCCTACGCTTACAGTCAGTACATCCTTAAGAGCATCGCATCCAAGCCAGCCTTCCATTTCCTGGACTTGGCCATTACGGAGTACTGGGACTACCTGGTGTGGTATGATGAGTTCAACTATGGCGGCAAAGGCTGCACCGAGGTGGTGGAGGTTGAGGAGCAACGGCTGGACACCATTATGCATTGGCAGATGGCCACCTTCTTGCCGCCGATCCTTCAGCCGAACTTCAATGCCTGGATTGTGGAGTACATTGAGCTGATGCATCAACGCAAGCGACCTGCAGGGGCTGTTAACGGTGTGCAGAGAACGACACAGCTGCCCATGCATGCTTCGGCACTCGACTCGGAAAAGGACGACCAAACGACGCCAGGCACCGTACTCGCCAAGACCTTCTCCAAGCCGCTGCAGAAGCAGATTGCGCAGCTTATACGGCGCCAGCGAACAGAGTCTCTGCACGAAGATCTCGCGGGGGACTGGCGCTTCCCGGCAATGCCAGGCTCGCATTTGAACCTACAGAATCCGGTCCTCGAGCTCGTGAAGAGCATTATGCAAGTCCTCAGCCTAGACAAGACCATCACGCTCGAGGCACGACTGCTGCGCAAAGAGCTGCTCCACCTGTTCGAGATCCGCGAATTCAGCGCTGAAGGCTCCTTCGCGAATCCGAGTACAAGTCTCACACTCAAACAGCTGAGCTGTGCCGAGTGCACCATCCCTCGCGACATCGACCTTTGCCGTGATAGCGACCTCAGCCACACGGATGATCTACAGCGGACTCTGGTTGCCAAATGCAGCAACTGCGGCGCCACGTTCGACCGGCTGGCCATCGAGGAGAGACTGCTGGCAGATGTGCAGAAGGTTGTCTTGCAGTGGATGACTCAAGATCTAAAGTGTAAGAAGTGTGCCAGGATACGGAGCAATGAGTTCATGGACCATTGTGCTTGTGCGGGCGAGTGGACGACAAGCATGAAGAGGGATGATGTGGTAAGGCTTTTGCGAGTGCATGAGAAGGTGGCTACGTTTTACGGGTTGAGGATGCTGGATGGTGTCTTGACAGGTGTTATGGCTGGGCTATGATGGGTTTGTTGAGAGGTGCACAGCGAAGGCGTTGGATGTGGGCTGTTCATGACTGTAACGTGGTTGTATAGAGCTGAGCGTTGCATGTGACAGCGGTTTCACCCGGCGCTAACGCAGGGCTCGACGTCACTGGCCGAGAGCTGCATGCGTCCCCTCTACAGAAGCATAACAATTATTTCCCTTAACACTTTCGTGTACCCTTATTAGCAACTACAGAACCGTCAACAACATCTACGCAATCGCAGCCATGTCCGCACCGACCTTGATCAACCTTCCACCACCGCCCTCAGACCCCGTCACGCCCTCCGAGGTACCGTAAGTATTGCCCTACTCCCTCGCCTGCTTCACCAACTCACCAAACAAATGCAGCTCCCGTAGCGGCACCCCCAACTCAACGACCACCTCCATGTCCGAGCTATCCACCGTCGCAATCAAAGATGGCCACCGCGGCCACCTCTCCCATCATCATCACTCCGGCTTCAACCAACCCTCCTCCGGCATGAGCAACCTAAGCAATCAACTTGACGCCGAGCGCGCAGATCGAATCTCCCGCCTGGCCGGCCTCGAACGTGTAACCACAGCTCGCAACCCCACCCCGCACAACCTCACACCCGGCGCCGCCGCACCGCCAGCACAAGGAGGACACAGCTACTTCGACTCCACCGGCAACCCTGCCATGGGCCGCGAGCGCAGCACCGTAGGCAGCGCCTCCGCAACCGGCAGCGTCGGCGCACGAACAACATGGGCAGGCAGCGAAGCAGGCGACAGAGACATGGACAAGATGAGCGAGAGCCAGAACGCGGACGACGTGGATATGGACTCTGTCGGCCCTTCGGAAGAACAAGAAGATACAGGCAGCCTTGTCGCATTTGGCGAAGGTGCACGCACGCCCGCGCGGCAAAGCGTGATCAGTGTTCCCGGTGGGGGAGCGGGAGCGAAGACGCCTCGCGACGCGAAGATGATCGATGGCATGACTTACGATTCCAATGTGGTGGATACGACGGCCGCGGAAGCTTCTCGGCGTCATAACTTCACCAGCCCGAGTGGCGCGGAGCAAGCAGAGCGCATTGTGAGAGATCATATGGACATGACGAGCAACGATCGCATGCGTGGTGGCAACGCGCACTTAGGCGATTTAGGCAAGTTCGGGTTTGAGAAATAGTGAGCCTGAGGTCCGATCCTGTGCTCTTGTCGTGAATGTGTGTTTTGGAGCGGAAAGACAGCTGCTGTTCAGTACGGCGATTGCTGCGTATGGCGCTGGAGCGTTTGGGGGTGGTTGTAGGGCGTTATGCATTATCACTCTGACGGCGCATTTTGTGACCCGGAATTGCTGCGGAAAGGGACGGGACGAAAAGCATGGCCAGGTTGCGCGCGTCGGTGCCGCGATCAAGTCACATACTGTAACATTAGCTATGACCAACACTCGCTGTGAAGCAGAATGCTTCTGCCATGAAAAATTGTCTTTGACGGAGACATGCCAGTGGAGGCTGGTCAAGTCTTCCTCAAATCCACAACCTCGAACTTCAGCCCCGCCGCCTCAACCACATGTCCAGGTCTCAGAGCATCTGTGTAAATGTTCGGCTCAGCGTGCGGATGAAACGTCGCCTTCTCCCGACAGTGCAGCACTGCTTGCAAGCCAGGTGGGTCGGTAAGTCGAAAGATACCCCAGTCTGGGTTATGGCGTGGCGAACAGACAATCGCAATAGCTTCAGGCAACATGATCTGATACCCGGAGCTCGTGTGGAGATCGCGACTGCTCAGGAAGCAACTCTGGCTCGGATGGGTGTGGATCCATCCGCAGACCAGTAATTCGTGCGAATCGCAGTAGTCGAAAAGTGCGTTGTCGCCCCTCTCGGTTGTGTCGCAGGTGTCGCTTGTTGAGTGCTGGTCCGGTATGATCAGGTGGGAGATGAAGAGCGCGTTGGAGATTAGCGTGCCGCAGAGGATGCCGCAGGTTTCGAGGTTCCGGGCTGTATTTGGATGGGCGAGGTTAAGGAAGCTGCGACGGAGGTCTGGAGGGAGAAGCACTGTGCGGAGGGGATGGCCAGCTTCAGTGGTCGCAGTAGGTTGGAAGGTGTATTTATTCGTAGAAGTGCGAGCGGCTGGAGGAGGAGACGGTGTCGCAGTCAGTGATCGCCCGTCGGGGCGGGCTGTCACAGATGGCGCGAAGTCTTGGTAAGCCTCTTTCGCTGGTCTGGCGGGTGGTGCTCGTTCTGTTGGACTCTGTGGTTGCGTTAGACTGAGCGTAGGCATCTTCCAATCGATCGTTTGCTCTTTCGAGGGCACTATAGGGTAGTGATAGGTATGGCTTGGCGCAGCTCGCGGTGCTGGCATTTCGCCGGTCCAGCTCCGGCGGTCTCGGTCCATAGGCAGATGACGTCCAGCTTCCCGCACGTCCGCTTGGAGCTCATCACTACGACTTCCTCCATGACCGTCGAGCATCCCATCAGAGTCAGGCGGCCCGACAACAATCCCTCTGCGCCTCGCCGCCACCGTACCCGGTGAGATACCCGCCTCCCGCGTCGTACGTCGAGTAGCATCTCGCCGCCTAATCTCCCGATGTGCAAGATCGACAGCAAGCTCACTATACTCGCTAGCCTTCAAGGGCATCATCCCGTCATCATAAGTGCCATCCTCAGACTCCGCAAGCGAACCACGGCGAAGATGGTCGGCCAAGTCATGCCTTTCAGCATGAACCCGTTGCGTCTCGGCATTCCGTCTCTCCACAGCTTGGAGGTAGCGCTCGTAGGCTTGTTGAACCCGCGGCTTCAGTAACTCCAGTTTCTGGATATTCTTGCGGACAGCTCGCTGCGCCGCCACAATATCAGTCTGAAATGCCGGGTTCCGAAAGTCCGGGTGCTTCGGTATCTGGACCATGACCAAATCTGCGTGCCGGTAGAGGTACAAGAAGGCCATTTGGACATCGCCATCCTGTTCGCAGATATTCGCTTCGATTAGCAATAGTTTGGCGGCACGGAGCCATCGTTGAAGTGGAAGGCTTGGGTGGAAGTTGTAATTCTCCGACTCAGTGATGAGATCCTTTGCGCTGAGTGGGTGTCTGGTCCTGTTATGATGGCGTGAGAGCGCCATATTGCTCGATATATTTCGGGGTGTTGAACGTGACGCCTGAGAGACGTATTTGATGGAAAACCCTTTAGATCATTCCATTCCATAACGTCGGTTCTGGCTCATGGAACATCGTGAAGTGTGCATTTGCCCGAGCTCAGTTCTTGGCTTCGTATGAAGTCATCCAGACAACGCTATCAAGTGCAGATGTCGTTGCGTGCACGTGTATTCGTCTGATGCAGGTGTTTGTCAACGAGATGTGGCGCAGCTCAGCGACGCCACAAAGTCTGATCTTCGGTACCGTGGCGCTTCTCTGCCGAGGTGCATACATCAACGATCTGTATTGGACCAGCACTCTGCCGCAGCTACCAACTCCCGTGACTGATGGTCGTACTCGAGGCCGCCAAAGCAGCAAGCAAAAAATTCGCCGAAGCCGCTGTTGATCCTCGCTACCCTATCACGAAGCAGCTTGCCAAAGCATTTCCACCGAGCTCGAAGAACGCGATCAGGAGAATCAGACCAAGAGAGAGCGAACCAGTATATGTTCCAACTTTCACCGAGGTCGTTAGTGAGCAGCTATGCGGCAAGCACTCCCCTTCACTCCTGCATTGTCATGACCATGTAGGCGAACGACTAACGGTTGTGCTAGACGACGTGATCGGCTACTTGGCTCCGACTCTGGAACAGCACAGAGGATGCACCATCATCGACGCAAACCCGGGCGCGTGCCTGTGGTCGGCCAAGATACACGACTTTCTCAAGCCCAAACGTCATGTACTTATGGAGCCAGATGAGCGCTACTTTGACCCTTTCATTAAGCCTCTACTTGAAACACCAGGATCGACATACCGCCACGTTCCCCTAACAGGAGCGCATCGCATGAAGTTCTTCAACAACTACAGAATAATTCTCAACGACCCAGACCTAGTCGCACGGCCGGATCTCCCAGTAGATGACCCTAGATGTGGCCAGTTTGACCCAAGTCTCCTGTTGATCGGCAACCTGGCAAGGGATTACCATAGAGAGAAGAATCCTAACTCGCCTACCACGACGAGTAGGGTCCTACAAAACATGACTTGGGCGGCTGTAGCCCATGAGCTCTTCCACAATCGTGGACTTGTCCGCATGCTCTGGTGGATCCCCGAATATGAGCGCTATGCATTGTTTCCTATGACGGAGCTGAGGAGGAATGCTGTCAACGCCAGCTGGAGCATCACGTGCGAGATGAACAGGGTTGCCGGCTGCGACTATGGTACCCCGACGTTCTCTGCGAATACACGAGGAAGGCCGCGACCTGATATCATGGAAGCCTACACCGCTAAGCGAGTTCGTGATTCGATGCAAGCACTTCGTATGCAGATTCCAGAGCAACGAGCCGTACCGATTGATTTACCAGATGTTGATGTCTCGAAAGTTATATCCCCGCTGGATGCTAGATTCGAAACCATGGATCACTTGCAAGCGGAGATAGAAGCGACACGTGAGCGATTCACCCTAGTGAAGAAGTATTCGACCATGATGCCGAAGACAGGAGCGAAGAGTGTGCCAAGAAAGCAGCTAGAGGACAAACTGATTGACAGTCTTGCATTTCCACAGATGCTTTATGCAGACAAGCGAGAAGGCGTCACCTTCGGGGTTTTGACTAAGACTCTGGGATTCCGCAGCATTTGCCTGAGAGCGGATCTTGGACTGCGTGTTGTCAGGCTCGAGGTCGGTCTGAAGGTGCTAGAAGAGCATGGTACGGCTGTTCCAGAGCTGGACAGACTCCGCGCCCAACTTTTGGAACTTGGCGAACAAGTTGAAAAGACCTTCGAGAAGACCGAACGCAACAAGATGCTGATTACGCAGCTGATCAACGAACAGATCGCAATGTTCGTAGATCCTCCCGTATTGGCAAGGGACGCCAGAAAGTACGAACCGCTTAATGCGAAGGTAGAGGAGTTCTGGCCACAGTCCGAGCTCATGCTTGTAGACGTGATGCCAACCACGCGCGATTTGTCGGTGCCAGATCTTGCGGAGGCGAAGGAAGGGGCAATAGTCTGCCGTGGGCTGCTTGCTAATCTGATCCAAGCCAGCAGTCAGTCCTTGCCAGACATGCTTGACCGCATCGCGCCGAACGCGGCCAAGGATCTTATACCGCAGATTCCAGCAGCCACGGATCCACGGAAAGGTGGAAGGCTCAATCCGAAGAACGTCCCAACCAGGATGTTGTCGCCGGATATTATGGAGCAGCTGACAAAGGCCTTCATCGAGTGGCCATTCAAGCCGTCCAATGTATCGCTAGAGCTCGCAGCGGAGAGTGCAGCCTCTGGCGAGGAAGAGAATTCGGAGAGTACGGAGGCAGTGCCTGGGGCCGCCTGAGGTACGCTTGAGGAACACCCGAGCCTGCAAAGCGGCAGTGTCCTCCTGCAAGGATGTGTATTGGCAACGGGGCGGTCGCAGGATTGTCATGCATTGCCAGTTAATGCAACAGGGACGCGGTCATATAGTGCACGTCATGATCATCGCTTAGGCTTGCCCTTCTTCTTCCCTCCAACACCCTCAGCGCCTGACTTGAAAGCTACATGCTTCGGATGATCTTTGAGATGTTGGAAGAGCCTGCTCTTCGTTGGAAATGCAGCATCGCAACCCACGCACTTGTGGTTGACGTCTGTTCCGTCACTGCTGGCCGTTGCTGCAGCCTTCTTCGCTCGCTTCTGGGCCGCCTTACCCAGCTTCTTAGGTGCATTAGAAGCCTCTTCAGCTTCATCGGAAGATTGGTCGTGTTGGTCGTCGTCCTGGCTGATTGTTGAGGCGGCGAGTCTGTTCTGGATGGCTTCAGGCGACGCATAATCGTCATCTTCGGAGTCTGCATGACTGCCAATGGTTGGCTGCACGGGCTTGCCATCACCCTCGACTACACCGGCATGGCGCTCACTGGCTTCGTGGTGGCGGCTTAAATCAGGTAAACCCTCGTCGCGGGTTTCTGCATTGAGTGTGCCATTCGTTCTGATCACATGATCCTCTTCCTCGGCGAGTATCTCAACTGGCAGAACTTCCTCCTCGTCTTCACGAACATTGGGCGTGGCAGCACCACTAGCCGCACTGTCAAGATCCAATCGCACATCGTCCTTGCGCATCTTTTGCTGCAACGCACGAACGGCCTTCTGGTGCTTCTTACTCTTTTCGTGGGCTTCCCATTGACGCTCACTCTTGAAGATTTTATTGCAGGCTACGCACTCAAAAACATGCTCCTCTTCTTCTTCCTCATCGAATGTACCTTCCATCTCCGCAAGCGGATCTGGCTCGCGTGACTTCGTCCACTCTGGCACCTCGGCATTCAGCTTCGCCTCGTTCGCTGCCCGAGCTCGAGCGGCTTGTGCAGCCGCCGCATCACGCAAGACCTTTTGCCTCTCTTCCTCTGTCTGCGTGGAGGGCTCATAGCGTGGGTCACGCTTCCGCACGAACGCTACAAGCGAACGGACTGCGTCGTTGAACTCACGAACGCCATCCTGCCTGCATTTCTTGTTCTCCTGTTCCATACGTCTGCGGTACCACCGGTCAGGCGCCTCAGACAACCTATACTTATCCTTCCAGCTGTAGTTTTTCACGGTGGAGAAAGAGGACCATACCGTATAGAAACGCTTCGCAACATATTCGTAACTGTCGTTTTGGTGACCGAATGATGGATACTCTGGCGTTTCAGCATCGTCCCGATTGGCAGCAATCTCTTCTTCCCTTGCCAGCTGGTTGAACAGATCTCGCAGGAAGCCAAAGAAACCGGAGGGAGAGTCAGTGAACTCCACACCACTGTTGAACTTCCTTACCGTGCGCGCTAGATCGTCCGCTGTGGTGAGCCGGACGTCTTCATACGTGGGTACTCCATCTTCATCATCTACATCGTCGCCTCGCAGAATGGCTGACTCATGGCTATCATACCATGCCCTTTCCTGTGGGTCAGAGAGCACCTCGTATGCGGACTGCACCTCTGCAAAAACCTTTGTGGCATGCTCCTCATTGCCATAGTTCCGGTCCGGGTGCAGTTCCAGCGCCTTTCGGCGATATGCCTTCTTGATCTCTTCTTCAGTAGCATGACGCTGCACGCCTAGCAACTCATAGTAGCTAGTTTTCACTCCTTGCGCCGGCTCTTCGCCACCAGAGGACTGGCTGGCGCCCATGACCACGTCTACAATGCACGCGCGACAATGGCCTCATGACCAGTACCCGCCTCCATGCCGGCCCCAAGTTGTCTCAACACGGTTGATGGCGTTCGGACCGAAGACCGAAGAAATGTTGTAGTAGCTTCCTAATCGAGCCAAGCGGGAACCTCCCACGAAAAGTCAGCTCCGCCACGCGAGCAAAAGCTCTGATCTTTGTCAAAGCCCACCGATGTTCGGAGGCCACCCGACGAGTCGGCTGCGTTCCATTTCATACTGCATCTTTGCCAACCAATCGCCACACCGTCTGCTGCACTCCAGATTGCAGGTTGCGAAAGTGGAAGGGAAGCACACGACCGCATTCCGGATAAGGCGTGCTGAGGTATAAGTACCAATGCGTGCCGTGTGAGGTCACTCTGCTCTCACTTTAACGGCTCCAACCTCTAGACGATCTATCCGCCAGGTAATACTCTGAACACTTTACAGTCGCTCTTGTCGTCTGTCTTCCGTATCCTATTCCTAAACCATCGTCTCTTTCTTTCATCCCAGCACCTTCTGCTAAGCTGATCGCATGTGCCTTCAACAAGAGCCACCATGAAGTTCGGTCACGAGTACCAGAAGGCATTGGCTAACGAAGGCTTTCCCGAGCAATGGCGTGGAAGCGCCATCGACTACAAATATCTGAAGAAATGCATCAAGAAGGTCCACCACGAGATGGAGGATCTGGGCTTAGACGCTAACACGATCCATCATCTAAGTGAGCCATTGGATGATACAATGAAAGCCCGGCCTATAGTCCGACTCGACGGCTTCTACTCTGCGGCACAGCCACATCTAGACACCATAGTTGAGGAGTTTACGCCGCAGCTACGAATTCTTGTGGATGCGAAGACTGGCACGCCTCTTGATGCCACTTTAACGTCGGAAACGAAACAGAGTCTGCGCAAGCTGGCGAGGCATGAGAGAATCTTCGCCGGCCGACAAGCGCACCTTGGGCGCCATGCTGTGCACGAGATTCACGGAAATGCGCACGACTCGTCCGACGGACGTAAGAGCCCGCTCACGACAGAGACTTCTGATGCAAAATGGATCGAAGTGCCGCTGTCTTCAGCCAGGTCTTTCTTTGACCTTCTAGCACCGAAGCTCGATCAGCTTGAGGAGCTACGTGAGGCGGAGACACGTAAGCTTGAAGCGGACGTGCTCAATCTTGGCGATGCCGTTGAAGACGTCGTTGAACCAGTTCGCGAAGGCTTTGAAGCGAAGCGAGACGTCAGTTATCGAGACCTTTACTTCTGGCGTGAAATGTTCCGTTTATACGTTGAGAATCCCGTTTTCTACTCACCGACCGAGCAAAACCGTGGAGGCTTTACGTACGCGGATGCTAGAAAGCGTCTGGAGTCCTACGATCAGAAGCTCAGGGCCACGGGTTTGTATGCGAAGCTCAAAACGCCACAGGCCAAGCGAGCAGCCAAGCAGTTCTTCGACCTGAACGTGGACATTCTCAAGATCATGCATTTCCAAGAGATGAACGCACAAGCTATGCGGAAAATACTGAAGAAGTTCGACAAGCGGACTCACCTGGAAGGGAAGTTGTTCCTCAAGACTCTGCAGACGAAATATCCGGCCTTACTGCCGCCATCAAACAGGAGCGCTGTAGGCGGCGCTGCAGGCTTTGCGAACAGCATAGCTCGCGACATGCATGCCGAGCTATCGAGCAAAGTCCTTTCGATCGTGCCTCAACTGGATGACTGGAACTGTCCAGTCTGTATGGACATGGCGTGGCGTCCCGTCAATCTTGGCTGCTGCCAAAGTCATTTTTGTATCCGCTGCGTGATCAAAATGCAAGACGATGGCATGGTCCGCTGTCCAACTTGCAACGCAGAGACAGTGGTGATGGCGAATGGGACAAATATTGACTTTGAAGCCATGGACTTCCTCGAGAAATATTTCCCTATGGAAGTCAAGCGCAGGCAGCGCGACAATGAGAAGGCCAGTTTGGAGAGGCAGTATGGCGAGGCGTTTACCAAGCCTGGGTGTCTGGTGATGTGACGGACCACTTATTTTGGAGTTGGCGTTTGGAAAAGATGGCCAGTTTCGGTCCGTTTTGGATGGCGTAATAATCATTGATGTGTCAATGAACACCATTGTGATACCCCGCATACGTCAGGCATGCATATGAAGTTTGGTTGTATTATAGACAAGACGGACATACGGACATACAGATATATATTGAGACTACATTTGAGTAGAAGGAGAGGTGTCTCTACAACACACTAGACATTTTATAGCCTGCAGAGTTCACAGTATGGCAACGAAGCAAGATCATCCGGACTCTAACCTCTTCCCACACGCAACAGGCCCTGCAAAAGCCATCGTGGACAACCATCAAGCGGAACAACCACTGAAGCTTTACTCGGGATGGTTCTGTCCGTTTGTACAGCGAGCGTGGACTGTGTTGGAGGAGAAGAAGATTCCGTATCAGGTAAGGGCCAACAGTTCGCTATAGCCTCTACCCCGAGAGCTGACTCTTCTTTCAGTACATCGAAGTGAACCCCTACCACAAGCCAGATAGCCTGCTCAAGCTAAACCCGCGAGGCCTAGTGCCGACCTTACAGTACGACAACAAGCCGCTGTATGAGAGTACCGTCATCTGTGAGTTCCTGGAAGACGCTTACCCGGACCATGGACCACATTTGCTTCCCGAGGACCCGTAGGACAGAGCGAGGACCAGGATTTGGACGGACTTTTGCACGAGCCGGATTATCCCCGCCTTTCATCGGTTCCTTCAGTATCAGCCGATGGAGGACAAGGAGGGTTTGAAGGAGGTCAGAGAAGACTTTCTAGGGAAGTTGAAAGAGCTCGCCGCGGAGATGGATCCTAATGGTCCTTTCTTCTTGGGTTCGGAGCCGAGTTTGATCGACTTCGTAGTGGCCCCGTGGGTGGTAAGTTGGGTATGGTCGTCCCTACGTCGCGTGCGTCGCTGACTGCGGCTGTCTCCAGATGCGCCTTTGGGTATTTGACCATTTCAAAGAAGGACTGGGAATCCCGGAAAGCGACGCAGACGACAAGGTATGGTCCAGGTTCCGGAAGTGGCAGAAAGCTCTTCAAGAGCGGCCAAGTATTCACGACACGACTAGCGAGACTGAGCATTATCTGCCAATCTATCAGCGGTACGCGGATAATACTGCGCAAAGCGAGCTAGCGAAGGCGACACGAAAGGGTAGAGGGGTGCCGTGAAGTGCTGGCTCGTCGGGTGGAAGCTATCGATGTACGGTGCAGAGTGGGTTCACGAAGCTGGCCACCAGAGCCGGGTCCTACGGCACCTCCTAACACGGGCCCACGTGGTGGTCAGAGAATACGCCTCAGGTAACCGCTGGATCGTTGGCATGGGAAGACGGCGGCATGCGCCATACTCTCTTTTGAGCGCGACCCGAAAACTGGCATTTCATTAATGCATAGCGGTCAGCAGCCAATCGGTGTGTGTCTTAAACATTCACTCTGGCATGATCGGGTGTCAGTGGCTGAACATGTGAACAAACGGAAGGTCTAGACCCGTGGCTGCTGAGTAACAACCCGGATACCTTGCCCTAATCACGTGACATTGGAGCTAACCTCTTCTCGTTCATTTCGAGGTCCAAACTACCCGTCCCTCGTATAGCAGTTGTAGGAGCGGACAATCGAGTTCGATTCGAAGCTGTCGAGGCGTCATGGAAGCGTGCATTTGCTTGATGCGAGCGTTTTTGCTGAGCCGTCAAGGAGGGTATAAAAACGTGCGCTGCCCACATTTCAGGTGATACCAACACACTTCCATTGACCTATACTTTGCTTGCAGCTTTCGAGACGATACAAAATTGTCTTCGTGTTAGTGTAGCTTGACCATGACTCCGCCAACCAAGCAGGATACCATGGCAGCTCGGCACCTGACGTTCTTGGTGTTCGGCGCGACGGGTGGGACTGGCAAGCATTTCGTCTCGCAAGCTCTCCAAGATGGTCACAAAGTGAGGGCTCTGGTAAGAACGCCATCCAAACTCCCACCAGGCAACGCCAACCTTGAAGTGCGCCAAGGCTCGATCACGGACTTGACCGACACCGATATCGATGGCCTAGTCAAGGATGCCGACTACGTTGTTTCTATGCTAGGCGACGTCAACTTGCAAAAGCAGGCCAAAATCAACACAGCTTTCGTGAAGAAGCTGGTCCCGTCCATGCGGCGACAGGGTGTGAAACGCTTCCTCTATCAAGCCGGAGGCTTGAGCAAGCCTTACGGAGGCCAGCTATCACCTCTGCTCTGGACGATCCGATACACCATCGCTCGCGGCTATGCTGGTCAACACGAAGACAATGAGGCCGTGATGGAGTACTTAGCGACAGAGGCTAACGATATAGAATGGATCGTTCACCGTGCTGGAATTGGAGGGGACGGACCTTCGAAGGGCGAACTGAATCGCTCAAAGACGAATTGGAGTGTGGCAACGTTCCGGGACTGCGCGGCGTACACGTATCGAACCATCTCAGATGCTTCCGCCGTGCATACAGCTGACTTTAGCTGTTATGGCACAGCTTAGGCTGCGGTCGGCAATGTCAGACACTCCGCTAGGTCATTTCACTTGGGATCAGCATCAATCTGACAGGGTGGTACCGCTGCGCGGTGACGATCGCTGAATGTGTCAAGAACAAAAGCGGGAAGTAGTGATGGATCTTTCTCCACCAACCGCGCGAGGTCAGTCGGAGGAGTTACGCTTTCATACAGGGGTAGCGATCCATAATGCGTACAAATTCCTCAGGTTCATGAAGTGTTCGCATTCGCATTGTTGTGTGACCGGTCGGTACAAACCCTGTTCGCTGCATCGCGGCTACCTTCTGTGATAAAGCGCGAGAGACTGGCTGGAGCAGAGAATGTGTACGCGAGGTAGAGCAAGTTGGAACGCTCGGCGGAGTGGCGTCATTGGCGCGTTTCGAGATCGACCTCTGTCTGTCCTACCGGCTTGACTTCATCAGCATTGGTAATTCTAGAAAACCTCACAACATGCGCGCGACATCGATACTCCGCGCCGTCCCCTCATCCGTTGGGACGCAAGGCTCTGGCCTTCGTCCACCGCCGCTTGCATTGCTCCCTCCCATTCCGCTGTACCGCCGGCTCCTCCGCGCCCACCGAAAGCACCTTCCCTCCGAGATGCGTGTGCTGGGGGACGAGTACGTCAAATCTGAGTTCCACGCGCACAAGAATGTCGAGAACCCGGTGCACATTGTGGGCTTCTTGACGGAATGGCAACTGTACGCACAGCAAGTGGAAGGCGAGCATTGGCGAGGGGAGAAGATGGAGAAGGGCAAGATCGACAAGATGAGTGGTGAGTTGACGTCGCGGGCTTGACCACATGTGTAGTCAATGGAAGGACCGCACGTGGTAGCTGACCACATGACTTGCAGACCAGCAGATCGGGCAGCTGTATGAGCTCATGAACAGCATTCGTGAACGTGAGCTTGCCGATAACGATCCCGAATACAAGCCACATCATCCTCCCGAGCCACCCAAACAATAAGTCCATGGGGTAACAAAGCATTTATGCGACAGCTCAGAGCTTCGCCTTCGCCTTCGCCTCCGCCTCCCAGAGCACTCCATGAATTAGATGGTGCTGAAGGGCACAGGATCAGCTTGTAGCTACATAATTAGCTCGAGGTCGGTCACCTGTAGAGGCAAGGATGTGTCGCACAGTCTTCTGGAAATCACCATATTGCGGCCATTGCTGGTACTTCTTGCTGTCCATACACCTTCTCGCCCGCAACTGACGAATGTATGCAGGCTAGAGCTTGATAAGCCATGCAAGGAAGGCATGAATCTACTCACATGCGCCGACTTCAGCGAAGACGAATCTCGCACAGCGAAAATGCCAGGATTCCCGGGACATTGGGCTCCTCCAGACGAGTGTCCACAGTGCGACTACAAAGAATATGACATGCGGCGCAGGAGGATGTGCCAGATGAGGCGATATGGCTACCGCATAGGTACCGGAGCGAGTAAGACGCAGCCCGGCTTTGATCTGATTTGCTGCAATATGATGTGAGTACATGATCCGACGAATGGGAAATAGCTTCGTAGCGGGCGCTCTCGAGCCGCCAACCTTCAGTAAAGACCGACCATGGGCGCACACCTTTCCGGTCGATTATGGAGACTCTTCGCATTCGCAGCGTGCAGCTGATGAATAGCCACAAGGTGATATAAAGACCAGAGAATGGTTTGAAGGATACAACCTGGACCCAGAGCACAAGATATACCTGCCGCAGTCACTTGAGTCACATAGATGAAAGTAAGGCAACTGCTGCCACGTAACATCTCCCGGCCATCGTGGGTGTACTGCAAGGTGTACTGGTGAACCTGCGGATTGTTTCGCCATGCGGACCTTGGCAGTCTTTGTTTACCAACAAGCCCAACTCGAGATCAATTAGTACCGCCAGCTATGCTCGAACCATTCTGACTGTACGACATTGTGATAGCACGCATCAGCATTCGCCTCCGCCGGGCAATATTCCGCAACCACAGCAGTGCACGCCACCAAGCAACTGCTCTGAACGCTGCACAGCGTGCTCGTTCATGCTCGCTCTACATTCCCTTGCCCACTGGCGCTGGATGGCACTGATGGGAGCGGCCATTGCAGAGGCTGAAGTATCGTTCATCCTTCGTAGCCCGCAGGAGTGGTTTGACAACGCACTAGATGAGATAGAGGTGCTGCTACTAATGGCAGTGTTCGTGGTAGACGATATGGTCTATATCTTTGGTGGTACAATGATCATAAGACGTGGTATCTTCTCCAACGTATTTGAGAGCGCCAGTGTGTTGTATACGAGCTGCTGGCGGTGTCTGAGCACCTTCTGAGACTCATTGGGACTATCAGCGGTGGGCAGTGAATGTCTCCATTCTGCACACTCTACAATGAGTCACCAATCCGTCGCATATATCGCGTGTACAGCACAAAGGCAGACGTTGTGGCGCGCCTATTTCAGCAAGCTTCCCACTCTTCACCTGCACAACTGGAAACACATAAGCAAACGCGAGAGGCTTCGATGTCGCTGTCTTCTCCCTCCGAACGTGGCATCTCTCTCACACCGACATACAAACACAGAGTGACATTGCTATCTTGGACGGATTCATCGCCTCAGCAAGCACGTACGATACCTCAGACGCCGCGCTCATCACGATGACCGCACCTGACCTTGGCTTCAACATTGTCACCTTCGCTTTGTGCCTCTTGGCCGCATTTGCGGGAGTCGCTTTGGCGATTCATGCACTCTACCTGCTGAAGGAAGGCTTGCGCGGAGGAACGGACATTCCAGGAGTGGGGGTGAATGCGACAGTAGCTGGTGATGTCGAGGATGATGTACTGCCTGGGCGGGTGAAGCTCATCCGTAGAGGTGACTTTACCTGAAGCTGTACGGAGTCGTGATTGCATGTGGTGAGCACTATTGATTGGGAAAAGCGTTGTATGACTAGGCCGTAGCGCTGCTTGAAGAAGCTACGCGGCCAGGCAGTCATCGGAAGGAGTCTAACGTTGGGGCTTGAAGCTCGAGGTCAGTATGCGCTTGAAGGGAGTATAACTCCGCTATCGACTGTGCTTTTGCCAGGCTCCATTTTCAAGTCTTACGCAGGTGGCAAAACTTGGTTCTTTGGTTCTCCTTGTAGCAGAAAGTCCCACGGTTGTCTTGGAAAGAGACGCTCTTCATATCGGAACTGGTAAAGATCATGGGCCCGCCTTAACAAATCTCGTTGCTGCAAGACATCTCCAAATAGCCGCTATTCACTGATCAGCCTCCATCTGGGCAAACCCTTCGCATCCTTGGGTTGTGATCAGATGACATCTGCCAGCACTAGGAGTTCGTATGGCAAGTTTTGCTTGCCGAATCTCGGGCCCGTAACTCGCGACTCTGCATCCGCTGATGGGTGCGCCGCGTAAGTGAGAGAGGTAGCTGCGAAAGGCCTTGACGTACCTCCTGACGTCCGTATAATGCCAAAGGCAACGCGAGCATCACCTCACGCTCCGCCTTTCGCAACTCTTGATCGTGCTTCTTAGCGGCCAGTCGTGCAAAGTAATCGTGATAGGAGGCCGCCGAGTGGATCACGTTGATGCCGTACTGCATCGCCCCGTCTGTCTTGTAGTAAGCCACAGCGTAAGGTGGCTGCAACCTGCCCGGAGCTGTGTATCGTGCGTAGAAGGTGTAGTCTTGTGGATCTTGGTCACAGTAACATGCGTGCGTGTCCATCGTCGCCGAGACGAGCCCATTGAACGCCTCCTATTGTGACAAACACGTGCAATTGCGATGATCCGGCTCAAACTTTCCTAGCAGAGACCTGACTTTGCTTGGGCTGAAATCAGGAAGGGGCGATCAAGCAGTCTCCCCAATACGGAAGGCGCTATGTCCCGGAATAAAGGTCGCAGTGTTGCAGGGCGCGGATCGTGAGCTGTTCGGGTTTCTCAGATCTGACCTTTGTGTAAACGCTGTACTATTCGGACATTTCTCTTTGCACATTCGGTCTCGTACCACCTCCTCAGTCATAACGTAGGCTCCGGGATGAGTTCCAGACCGCGAGACTGGGATCATAGACTTGCAATCCCTATAACCTGGGTTCTGGTTGTATCAAACCGCGACAATCGTTCGAAACCATACTACCGGAAACAGACCTGAAAAGCGTAAACAAGCGCCATGCCCTCACCAGGGCAGTTGTAGCGGTGTTGGCAGCTTGTCCTTTGGACCGAGCACCGACTCAGCCGTTCCAATATCTGCTGCTCCACGGGGCGCCCAGTACTGCCCCGTCTTGCTTATATCAAAGTCATTTTCGATCCATTCGATGAGCGACTTAGCAGCTACTTCCGGCGTCACAGCTCCACCATCATCCCAAAACTTGTCGAATCCAACAGATTTAGTCATCTCCGTACGCATGAAGCCCGGATGGACCATACCAACTGCGATACCTTGGTCTTTCAGGTCCAGAGATAACAGCTTGCCCACCATATTGGACGCGGCTTTGGATGCATGGTGGGCATACATCCCTCCGCCTTCGCTCTGATGGCGGAGAGTGATCGACCCTGACTCCGAGCTGACGAGAATGATTTGGCTACCCCGAGGCCCGGTCTTCAGCAAGCCAGCTTTGTGAAGATGGTGTATGATGAAGACAGGGGCGATTGCGGACGTTTTGTACATCGTCAATTCAGCCGCGAAATCGGGTTCTGCAAAACTCTCCTTGCCGAAGTACCCGGCTGTGATGATCACAAGGTCAACTTTCTGGTCCTGCAAGTCCTCCGCAAGTTTCTTGCCTGCACTCTCTTCGGCTACATCTATACCGGTGATCCAGTGGATGTTATCTTGACTATCTTCTGGTGGGCTGGACCTAGCTGTGCCTGTGACGAAGGAACCGTTGGTAGCATACCCTTTCGCAAGCTCATAGCCCAACCCACGCGTCGCACCTACGATGAGTATGTGTACCATAATGATGATGATACCTAGGATGGGCTTATAACGCCCGTCACGCGCAGGAACGGTCACGAACACAACCGAGCAACACCCAAAGTTCCAATCCCTCGTGTGCCTGATGGCAGTTCTTGACGAGTGTGAATCTATTGTTGTCGGAGTGACGAGTCAAAGGAGGTGAGCACTGAGAGATGGCTTGCAGAGCGAAAGCGGGGCTGAAATGAATTGGCCACTGGTGCAACCCCACTACGATGGGTACATTCCATGCCTGGCCAACGAGAACTACGTCTCCCAGACAAACTGCATACTGGGCATCGTGCCACGAGGGTGTTCGATGAACAGCAGCCATGGCGAAGATAGCGTCAGCATCGCTGGCGGAGCTGAAGAGGGTCATCCGTACGCAAAGTGTTGTGGACAATCATGGCCACAATATCCTACGGCCCGAGAAGCTGAAGTCTGCCAACTTCCTGACCATTACCACCGAAGCAGAGGGTGATGCATTAGAAGATGCGCGCAGATCCTTGCCACATCTTCGCGCCGCTCGCCAACTGCGGAAGCTCTATGGTCTGCCGTCTACCGCAGACTGGGCTACTATCCTTGGGAAGAGGGTAGAGCTGCTCGAGCGAGATGCTCATGGCTTGATGGAGAAATGCTTTGGAGGCACGCACACTATCCTCGTAGATGATGGCTTAGACAGCGGCGCCAACGTTGAATCCTACGAATGGCACAGTCAATATACTCTTTCGCCGTGCAAGCGCATTGTCCGTATCGAGTCGATTGCGGCCACTATACTCTCATCAATGGACCAGCAGGGCAACCTACCGGTTGGCGTAGCGACTGCGGATGATGAAGCATGCAGCCTTGCGTGGGTCACATTCATTACGCAGTTTGAGCAAGCCATTGTGGCGTGCATCGGAGACAGCGAGGTCGTCGGCTTCAAATCCGTCGTCTGCTACCGCACTGGTCTAGATGTGCAAGTGGGAGACGCTGTCGAGGTACTTGAAGCTGGTCTACGCTCCTTTACCCGCCATTACCTGCCAGACTGCGCAGCTCGAAGTTTCCGCGTTGAGGCTAAAGGCATGAATGACGCCCTCGTGGTCAGCGTTTGCAGGCTTCTCGAAGCAGACTGCCAGCAGCTTGGTGCAACGAAGCCTCTGCAATTCCATACCGGCCTTGGGGACAATGATATCGACTTGCTCGGTTCGAACCCTGCATTTCTGCAGCCACTGATCAAACACTTCTCAACCGTACCAATGGTTCTGCTGCACTCTTCCTATCCCTACACCCGTGAAGCAGGTTATCTGGCGACAGTATACAAAAATGTGTATGTTGACATCGGCGAGGTATTTCCGATGGTATCCCGCGGTAAGACTACAGCCTTACAACCCATGCTTACCGTTCGAGACTACGCTGACGGTTGAACTCATCACCTTGGCAGACGGTCAAGAGCAAATTGTGCGGCAAGCTCTCGAAATCACACCTGCGAGCAAGATATTGTGGAGCACCGATGGCCACTATTTTCCCGAAACATACTGGCTCGCTAACGTACAAGGACGAGAAGTGATCGAGAAGGTACTTTGTCAGTACGTGGAGCAGGACGATCTTACGGCGGAGCAAGCGATTCATGCCGCCCGGAACATACTGTTCGAAAACAGCAATGCACTGTACCGCCTCGGACTGAGCATCGACGCATCGGACAGCGCGCCGAGCACTCGGACAGCTTCCACAATGCCAGCGCCACCTGATCGAGTCAGCAATGAGCTTCCGAGGGCAGAGTCGACCGGCCTGCAGGTGAGTATTGCACCCTCATCGCTGTCTCTCAGCACTCTGCCCTGAATGCACCGGTTTAATGCCACACGTTCTTGGCTCAGGATCTCCTATCTCTCTTGCCTGAAGTCAACTGGTCTCCATCGACGGCTTAAGAGCGATGCATTTGTTGGGCAGCTGTCGTGCTCCTCCAAATTTCGCTGATCCTTCCGCTTAGCTGTCATGATCGGATTACATGTGTAGCCTTGATCCTTAATTCTAGCTGACGCTGCTTCATACAGCCAAAGCACGGGCAGGATAGCACTGAAGCGGAGGTGCAGAGTGCAACGTCGGCCATGAGCAATAATCCCGAGAAGACGTTGCTATCCAATGTTATTCAATCGACGGTGCTGCTGGCGGATGACTCCGACGTGCAGTTTATTGTGGTGCAGTGGCTGGATTTGCTGAACCAGCTGCGTGCCCGTTGGCTGCCTGTTGGTGCTTTCAAGTCCCTGATTGCCTCTGATGGCTCTATTGGTATATCAACTGGCAACCTTGGCACCTTGCAGAACGATCATATGACACCTGTCTGTGATCCGGTCGGACAGATCCTGGTGGCCCCAGTACTAGCCAGCATGAGATTGATGTATGCGAGTGCTGCAGATCAAGTACCAAAACAGGGTCGGATTGCGTCGGTGATGGCGTGCTTCCTTGATGAGGATAGGCAACCGCATAGTCTCTGTCCGCGGAGTCTTCTGCTAAACATGACCAACAAACTGCGTGTGAACCACCAAGTCGACTTACTGGTCGGTTTCGAGATCGAAGTTACTTTCTGTCATCGGCGAGTGTCATCTGAGAATAATGTCGAGACGTTCGAACCTTTCGACACCAATCACGCTTGGGGCACGGTCAGCGATGAGCAGATCACAAAGTCATTTCCAGTTCTGCTGAAGATGGTCACGGCTCTGCAGCAGGTGGGCATCGAAGTTCAACAATTGCACTCTGAATCCGGCGTTGGCCAATACGAGTTTGTTCTTAACCCAATGCCGCCAGTACAGGCCGTCGACGTACTCATACAAGCCCGGCAACTGATACAACATGCTGCCGCTTCGCAAGGTCTCCGCGCAACATTCCACCCCATGCCCTTTCCTGGTGTCGGCTCAGCCTCTCACGCCAACATTAGCCTCAACAGCAGTGTCCTCTCACCAGCCGACCTAGAGCAGCTACAGATGTCGTTCATGGCATCTGTGTTGGCCCACCTCCCCGCGCTCTGTGCTTTCTCCATGCCGCAAGCCGAGAGCTATGATAGGGTTGTCGATGATAGCTGGACCGGCGGAACATGGATCGCATGGGGCACCCAGAACAGGGAGGTCCCTCTGCGGAGAGTTGGTGCTGACAAGGCAGGTAAGGGTTCGCGGTGGGAGTTGAGGTGTGTCGACGGTGTGGCGAACATGTACCTGGCACTTGGTTGCATTCTTGGTGCCGGCTTGGCAGGTATCGAGAACCAGACCCGGATGAATCTGCAGGACTGCAGAAGTATGTTGTTTCTAGCCGTTCACTCATCTTCCTGCTAACCCTGCCTGCAGGAAATCCGACCAAGCTATCGGACGACGAGAAGCGGGCTTTAGGTATCACACAGCGCATACCGAATACGCTAACGCAAGCCCTTCAAGCGCTAGAGGACGACGAAGCGCTTGCCGCCAAACTGAGTTCAAGTCTCGTGCAACATTATCTGGCCGTCAAGCGAACTGAGCAAGATACGTTGAAACAGATGTCGGATGCCGAGAGGAGGGTGTGGCTGATGAACCGTTATTGAAGATCCCGATGGGGTAGCGTTGATTCCGTAACTTGCCGTGGGGTGTACAACAGCGTACGGTGCTAGCGATTCCGTAAAGAACAAGCCCATCGCATGACTTCTCGCGGGATCGTCGGCGTGTCGCTCCCTGCTGCATTGCCACTCCTCGTGGTGGTCGTGCAGCCTTTGGGCACACGTCTGCCACTCTTGGTCCTGGGAGGCTCCATTCGGTCGCCACCGGCCTCACTGTCGTCTCGTCGACGCTTCTGGACCGTTGTTGGCTGGGCGTCCACTGTCGTGGTGAGATCTAGACCGTCTTCAACTTGCTTGCGCTGCATTGGTAGGGGCTTGGGACGACGAAAACGACGGCGACTGTTGGTTTGGACAATTGATATGTACTTCTCGTACGCTACTGACTCTCCGTCGACATCAGCAGTGACTACTTCCTGCAATTGCGAAAAGATGACATTCTTCTGGTATACCGGCCAGCAGATCCGAAGAGGTCTCATGCAGAAGTCGTTTCCCATGCCCTCCAAATGGAGAGAGGTGGTGAAAGTATAGCCGACGAGCTGCGCAGCTTCGGTAACATGTGCTTGAGTCGACATTGCAACGGCGAGGAACGAGATGGGATGCGAAGCGTAGCGGAAGGGGCGTAGAGATTAGTGAAGCGTAGAGTATGCAATTAGCAACTCATGGAAAGAACGACATGAGAAACGAAGGTAGACGAAAACCGCTATCAATGACCGTTAGCGACAATAGCAAATGGACTGCGATGATTGATGTGTATAGTCAATGGCAATACACAATAGGACAAGGCACGGTGTCGCTGGGTTGTGGTAACGAGAAACTCACGTTCACATTCACTGGGCTTATCGTCAACCTGATTTCATGCCAGCTTCCAGTCGTAACCACCATCAAATTAGTGTACGCACTGTGCAGGAGGCGAAACTGAAGAACAGCACGTAAGCATAATGGGAAGATACGTCGAGGCTGTGGACGGGTGAACGCCGGTATCGAGAATCCAGAAAAAGGCCTCCATGGTAGAACTCGTTCTTGTCCGCGTTGACATCGTATTTAAGGGAAATCACGAGCTCGTAACCCATCTTGTGCCCATTGTCGAGGCAGAGGGTGCATGCTAGGCCAATCTAGCAGCTAGTGTCAACATAAACCATACGTTTCATTGCCCGAGTCTCCTGACGTTGCACTGCAAGGCACCTGATGCGTTCTGGCTTCAGTGAGGTTTGCGACAACGTGCAGCACAATCTGAAGATCGAGTTCCGTACCTAGGGTATCTCAACGCCGCAACGCCTTGGCTTGGCGAGCTGCACTGCTAGCGGACTTGGCTCCGATCGCAATGCCTTCTGATAGACTCAGGCCCACATTCGCTATGCCTCAAACTCATACTTTGGTCGTCGAAAGAAATGCGCCTCTGTGTTCAACACCCAGTCATCTAAACTCCACTTCTCCGCATCGTCAAACAGCAGATAGAAGTACTTCAGCGTCTCCGCCAGCCAAAAGCTTTCCATACTGTCCTTCTGCTCCGGCGCCATCTTCGTAACGTCGTCAATCGCGCTGTTCCCGTACAGCGCGGTCGTGTGCTCGTCGACGGCCAGGAACATCTTCCAGCCCATGTCGCGCCAGTACTGCTCGCCCGTGATGCGGTACATGTAGAAGACGGACTCGATGGCTTCGGGACGTAGGATGTATCTGCGGTCTTTGATGCGGACGAAGCCGGGCGGCAGGCGTTCGTCTTCGATCTTCTTTTGGACGAATTCGGAATGGGATAGTGGAGGTTTGGGGGTGTAGACTGCAGTATTTGGGGAGGGCACGGTTGCCTGAGCGGCCGGAGTGGTGGTGGCTCTGGAAGCGGCAACTGCTGCCGATGATGAGTCGACAGCGGCTTCACCAACATAGGGCAAGTCGTCCAGCTTCTCGAGCTGGCGCTTAGTAAAGCCGACGATCTTAGGGTTACTACTTGATTCGGATGAGCCTTGTTTGGTCTCATCTGTCCAGCGGGTGGGAGTATCGTCCAAAGCGGACATATCTGAACCACCAGTCTTGATCCACTCAGAGGCGAGCTCACTGCCGGTAGGCTTATCCTTGGCCGGGTTGTTGGACCAGCGATCCTCCTCCGGGATCTTTACCTCAGCCGACTCTGTCACTTCCGCCATCGCACTGGAAGTAGTGCTCGTTTGTGCAGCCACAGCGACTGAAGTGCTTGTATGCGCAAGCGCAGGAGCCGAGTTGGTAGCCGCCAAGTTAGCCGGAATCTTCGTCCTTGTCTCCTCGTAAGGATCCAGCTTCTGCCAGTACGCCGTTTGATTCCACTTGCAGTCACTCCAGTTCTCGCACTCAATGGCCTCGAAGATCTCCGGCATGATACCAGTTGTGGTGGCATTGTACGCCCAGACACAACCATCAGTGAGCTTGCGGCCGATTTGCACGTCACCAGGCCGGTTGAAGATCTTGCCAGCCATAGCGAACATTCCGCCTGCAAAACAGGTGAGATGCTCGGCTTCGGGAGCAAGCTCTTTGATATACTCGCCTGTCGTAGTGTTGACACTGACCTTCATCGAGCCGGAAATGAGAACATCTGTGCCATCCTGCGTCATCGGCCGGTAAATGAGATTGTTTATTACTGCATCGGCGCTTGCAATGTACATGTCTTTGTATTGCTCGATCGCTCCACCGAGCAGCATGTACTCCTTTGGCAAGTATTCGTACGTGCTGTCACTCTGGCCTCCAAGCGTGAATACTTCCTGACTGAACTTATTAGGCGAAGCGAGACCTTGCGGTTCGCATGGGTCCGTGCCCGTGAGATTCTCGGGCTCGTGAATCACCGGTGGCGAGCGCCGAAGCTCGTCACGGAACCTAGTGCTATTCCAAGCCGTCTGCTCGGTTGAAGCATTCCGTGCCGCATCTATCTGCTCGACGTCAAGCTGCCGCTTCACTTTTGACGAGCCGAGCGCATTCGTCACCTTTTCCTTCACAGCCTGTGCGTCAAGCTTCGCTTGTGCCTTGAGCTGCTGCTCCGGGTCAACCTTCTGTGAGCTCGTAGACACAATGTTGGCACTCGCACCGGGGACAGACTGCTGGCGGCTACCTGGTACAGGAAAGCCCTGCGCTAGTTGCGCAGGCTTCATACATCCGCTAGCATCGACATTGATCGGCCACATGCCCGGTAAGCGCGTGCTGTTCTGCCACTCGTCGAAAGCATCCGTAATGCGAGCAATAGCATCGTAGTATTTCGGCTCACCGGTAAGCTGTGCGAGGCGCGTGAACTCCAAGCTCAAGCTCCCCAGCTCAGCCATGACCACCCTTGCTTTGGCACGGTGTGGTTGAGACGCGAAAGCTGGCTTCCAGCGGTAGAATGTATCCGGCATGCGGTTCGGGGTGTCGAAAGCGGCGTATAGCACTTCAGCAAGGCTCGATGCCTGGTCGAGTAGGACGCGGTATTGCGCCCCAGATACGTCGTATGCTCCCAGTAGTCCGCCCAGATAGCGAATCGTCGTCTCAAAAAGTGGTATGTCTGCGCGGAGTGACGTTGTGAAGTCGATGTCAGCGACAAACTCGAGAGCATCTTCAAACTCTTCCTTCATGCCCATGATCCACAGCGTATCAAGAGAGTCAACGAGGGTTGCGCCCCACCCGTTGAACGGATTGTTATAGCGTCCAGATATCGGTTTGACCTCATCCATGCCCCATGCCATCTCGGCATAGCCATCCCATGCATGCTGTGCTGCCTGCTTGATGATAGCCAGGCGTTCTGTATCCGCCTGACCAGCATCTTTGCCAGCGTACTGTATCCGTGGGAAAGGCTTGCTTGTGCCAGTTGGCAACGGTATGGTTGAAGTGATCGGAAAGTGTTCTGGAAACTTCGTCCAATGAATGGCCGAGGTCGTGCTCACGACTGGCGCCTTATTCTCTATACGGCCTTCCGGAACTTCATTGCTCGTGTCATCGCCATGTGCACTCGGCGGTAGTGCTTGCGCCGGGAGGCTGGTCGTCTGGACAGCTGCAGGCACACCCGTACCAAGTGACTTTGTCGAAGCCGTCGTCACATATGTTACCGACAGCTGCGCCAGTCGTGACGAGGAGGATTTCAGCTCCTGGCCGCCGAGGACAGCAGCTGGGCCCGCGGTGCGAATAGCATCCGGGTACTCGTGGTACTCAGTCGCCCGCAGCGGGGCTTGTTGATCTTGCTGCTTCTCCCGCAGGACCGCGCCGCCTCCTACCACCCTCGCCGTCACATAGTCCCGGTACTCCTCGACCTGCGCTCTTCGCGTGTACACCAGCACTACCGCAATGAATACAAGCACGCCGAAGATCAGACGGACTCGCCGTCGCGGGGAAGGCATCGCGTTTCCTCTTGCGCGCTCCGGAGCAGCCCAACCAGCAGGCAGCTCTGAAATGATACAGTGTCGCCGAGCGAACACACTGCGGCATCCATGGCTGCCAGCGATACATCAAGAAGGGGCACTGGCTGCTTGGCGATTGACTTGGCATCGCAAGCGGCTCGTACTTGTCCCGCTATGGCGTCTCGCGTATGCAGGGTTCCCACTTGTGGCTGAAAGCGCCATCTCCATCATCACGTGAAGCTTACTCTCAGTATAACCACGTCGAGTGAATGGGTCACCCATGCGCACGTAGATGACGCCAGCCTTTTCAGACTCATGGATGTGCATGCGAAACGCAGCGCGGTAATACCGAATAACGCTCATAACGGCTCCACCTGCAGAAGCTCCCCAGCCGTCCACCAGTAAACTCATCGACAGACCCTCAAACTGGTAGAGGGGCTGACATGCACAAACTCATTGACTCTCTAACGTCACGGGTGGAGGGTTGCTCGGTCTCGTGGGGCGCATGGAGTAGCTAGACAATCATAACCATCGAGACTGCTGAGCGAGTCCTGACCTGCAGTCGCGCATACGGCGAGTATTGACCGTAGCATGCAGGGTACAGTAACAAGCGAAGCAATGCCGGCGCGGCTAACATCACCGAACATATATACCTCACTTGACCCATCAGGTAGTGTTGTTTCCGAGCGCTTCTCCCCACTCCCATACTTCTCATCTGATCGTGCAATATGTCTGGTCTACTGACTGCACTAGTAGCCTGCCTTAGCCTGGCAGCGTTTGCTGAGGCGAAAACTCCAAGTTGCCGCCGCGAAGATGTTCCTACCATTGACGTCTTCGGCCTCCAGGTGATTGATGTCCAGGCCAAGGAGGTGCGCAACTACACCACATGGATGTCGATACCTGGTCTAACCGCCGTTGCACCACCCGGGCCAATAGACTTCTGCAACATCACCGTGACCTACACCCACCCCGGTCTCCATGATACGGTCAACAACTACATCTGGCTGCCGCTTGAGAACTGGAATGGTCGATTTCTAGCTCAGGGTGGCGCCGGCCTCGCAGCAGGCGCTGACGGTTGGCTCGCCCCTAATGTTGCTAGCGGGTTTGTTTCCGCGAACACAGACGGAGGACATTCCATCTTCGGCGACATTCAGAAGGTCGGTGGCGATGCTGCGTGGTGGGCTCTGCCAAGCCCTGGAAACGTGGATTGGAACTTACTACAAGACTTTGCATCTCGTTCCCTAGATGAGCTACCGAAGATCTCGAAGCAGGTCATTGCAGGGTTCTATGGGAAGCCTGCGGACAAGTCGTACTGGAATGGGTGCTCCACAGGTGGACGGCAAGGACTCATGGCCGCTCAACGATATCCTGACAACTATGATGGCATCCTTGCCGCAGCCCCGGCAATCAATTGGGCAAACTTCGTGCCAGCCGGAATGTGGCCGCAGATTGTGATGCACAAGCTTGACTACTACCCATCAGCATGCGAACTCGAGGCTATCCGGCGTGCAGCCATTGATAGCTGTGATGCGCTCGACGGCTTACAAGACGGTGTGATCGCGGCGCCCGCGCTCTGCAAGTACGACGCCGAGGCAGCAGTTGGTGAGCCGTTCGAATGCGGAAACGTCACTGGCAAGGTAACCACTGAAGCCGCCGCCATCGCAAATGCGGCTTGGGCCGGACCTGTACGCGATGGGAAGCGCGAGTGGTATGGCGTTACGCATGAGAGCCTCCTTGGTTTTTCGGGAGTGCCGGGTATGGCTGGCTTGGTCATGACAGAGTGCGACGATGAGGTGAAGCGCATCAATTGCAGAGGCAAACCGTTCATCGTCGGTCAGAGCTACGTCCGCGACTTGCTGTTCAAAGACGCGGAGTATGACACTAGTCACATGGGCGAAGACGACTTTTGGAAGGCTCTACGCATATCAAGGAACGAGATGATGTCTATCATTGATACGTCTGACCCCGACCTATCCGAGTTTAGGAAGTCCGGGGCCAAGATGATTACGTGGCATGGTGTGTATGACACCAGATGACAGCGTTCCGATGCTAACCTATCTACAGGCCTGGGTGATCAACTGATTCCGTCTGATGGTACCTTGGACTACTATCAGCGTGTACTCGCACTGGATTCGAACGCGCAAGACTACTATCGCTACTTCGAGGCGCCGGGTGTGGGACACTGCATGGGCGGTGTTGGAGCGGCGCCCAGTCAGCCGCTCGATGTGCTCATCAAATGGGTACGCTTTCCGAGACATTAGCTGTCACCTACCGATTCATGCATCGCTAACAATCTCGCTCTTTGTCTGCAGGTCGAGGAAGGCATCGCGCCCGAAACGCTGAGCGCAGCCAGTCTGCCAGTCAATGGCAAAGCGGAATCGGCACGGCATCGCATTCTGTGTCCCTACCCTCTGGTGGCTGCGTATACTGGCGGCAATCCGAACGATGCTGCCTCATTCACATGCGCTGAGTCTTTCGATGCTACGAAAGGGCATGACGAGCTATGAGTGACGAAGGTACCATAAGGAGACAGAAAGATATCGAGATTCTTGATGGAGGTCTTCGTGAGTGCTACCTCTAGAGACTCTTAGCGGAACTACATCCTCCGCCCTGTCATCGTGTCATAGCCTCAGCTAACTGCGTCCTGTGCTCTCATCACACGCTCAATCGCTTCAGGGTCAATGCGTGCTTAATGGCTTGCAGACCCGCCCTTCTTGCCTGCCTCGCTGGCGGCGTGAGAATCAGGGAGGAAGGTGCCATCGGCGCGACGACCATCATCAACCTCTACCTCCAGCTCGCTAACCTTCTCCTCCTTAGCCAGGCCGTCGTGGTCGTGTGAGTGAAGGCCACCGAGATGTCCCGCTTCCTTCGCTGCAGAACTCCCCTTGACGAAGGTACCGTCCGGATTGCGGCCTTCGAGAGCGACAGAGTCCTTGCGCTGTGGTACGTCAGTATATGCTATGCTAGGCCGCGGAGACAGGAGGCCAACCTCTTCCTCGTGCTCCTTGTTGTGACCCCCATGACTCGCCTTACCACCCATGCTGGCGATCGCTTTGACTTCTTCGGTCGGGCGGTTGGCGAAGTTTCCTGGGTTGGTGGAAGCCATGTTGAAGCTGGTTGAAGTTGTCGTGGATGGATGTTGTGTGATGAGTGTGAGTCTGCTCGATCGGTCTGGATCTGGGCGTGATATTTGGAAGGAGCAGTTCGAATGGCGAAGGAGAAGGGCTTAAGAGCTGTCACGCAGTGTTGAAGTGACGTTTGTACATGTGACGCACTAACAGGCAGCAGCCAATGGATTTGAATAAGCTCCTGGTCAATCGGGAAGGAACGGTGGTTGGCAAGGGCGCACTTGCCACCTTCCGGCTGCTCAAATCCGGACACCTGCATTCACCCACCAGGCACAAAGACAAGTCGTTTCTTCACACGCATGAACCGCGTTCTTCTGCAGCACGCTGCAGTGCCGTGATTTCCGGGCTATGGTTGACTGTCCGTTGTGCGTCCAAGCATATCGTTCACCTTGAACATCAACGGCGAACAGCCACTAATATGCCAGCTGCCCCTGTTCTCCGCCGCATTTAGCAACTCGCAGCTCACCATCTCTGCTTGATCGTTTGATGCCGCTTCGATCACGTCAGACCAGTTCTGTCCGTACCGACAGACGCCATGCCAGCAGATCACTCTCCAGTACCTGTCCCCTTCATCAAGCAGCCGCCCAACAAGCGTGCCGTGCGGTTCATATGGCATGGTTGGATAGTCCCCCAGGCAGTGTACAGCGCTTCTGGCTACCTTGGTTGGTATTGCGAAGATATTGCGACACACGAACGGCAAGGCGACGTCCAAATGGTGCACTTTGTGGCCCATTTCGCGGATGACGTTGCAAAAGTGGTCCTCGGGGTGCTCATCGATCTGGTCTGCATACTGAGAATTCGGGAATGTCTCGTCGCGGTCAAAGTCCGGAAGCTTACAAAGGTGTAGTTGCAGATGTGTCACGAGTCGGAGAGCTCGCCGTAGCAGTGTGCTTATGGAGTCGAGGTGTTTGACAGGATGTAAACCTGTGCAGTTCGCGATCTCGAGCCGAGTAAGGTTGTGTGGTATGATTTCTGAGCCGAACAAAGAGTCCATGATGTCAGGGGTCAAGTACAAGATATGACCTATTGTGATACGCTTCATCTTGCGGAGTCCATAGAACTGCGAAGTCGAGCATTTGGGTCCATCACGGGCCGTTGACCTCCAATCAGGAGCTCCATACACCGTAGATGCTGTTTCAGCGGCGCCGTGGAAACTGGCTGAGTGAGCGCTTCGCCGTCCCGAGGTCACCGATCTGTGGAAGCGAACTGTTTGGAGATCGGTGAATGTTAAGCCTGAGAAGACTAAGTCCCAGATCTTGTGCAGTCCTTCCGTCTCTGCTTGAACGTCCGTTATCTGTAGGCGAAGCACTAGCTCCACAACATTTGGAAGGCCAAAGCGCTCAAGTTGGGAAAGGAATTTCGGCCAGCCACCGACGAGCGTAAGACAGATTCTGACGCCACAGCATTTTCGCGCGATGGCGCCGATGCAATTGGACAGTACCGCGCCCGTAATACGACTACCGTCTTTTGCGCGATCGAGCACAAGGTCAAGGTGCTTGATGTCGCAGTCACGAAGCTGTTCATCAGTGAGTTTGAACCATCGCAGCCGTTGTTGTTTGCTGATCGCGGAGACTACGGGTGTCCTGCTTAATGTGCTGACGAGCTTGATCAGTGAGGCATATCGCGTGAGCACAACACTGGCGTATAAAGGCTGTTGCACAGCAAGGTAATGGTCCCGGCTGACAGCGGCAAGCTGTGTCAACTCAGTAGGCTCCAGGTAGATGCCAAACCATGAGGTACAATTCACGTGGTAGGTCCAGGAGAGAAGTCATGTTGATGCTCTGGGGACAAGGGCAGTGGCACCGCTGAACAAACCGATGTTTACAGTGTAGTCGTAGGGCTGATCAGAGCGACAACGAACGTGCTATCAAGCAGGCAGTAGCGCGAAAGGGGAGTAGAGAGCTAAAAGGGTGGCGGAAGAGGAGAGCCACGGTACTCGTGCTTACACTTCGATAAGTGATGTGGAAACAGTCTACCGCTTCACGACCAATGGGGAGGTGTCACGGCTGAAGCCTAGGCTCACAGCAAATAGGCAGCCTTTTGCGGGCGGAAGTGCAGGTGGTTGGCACATGGACTGCATGTGGGGAAAGGTTGCGGCGCCGTCCGCCTGGAGCCGTACCGTAAACCCGAGCGCCGGGAAGGCGCGAGACATGCGCCTAGCCTACGTAGATTTGTTTGAAGCCTAGAATGAAGGTTTCCACGAACAGATGTGACACTCGATGAGGCTTCAAGCGGCGGTTTAGCTCCTTCACTCTCTCATATTTCGACTGCTTTCCGAGGCTATGTCTGGCCCACCGTCTGGGCCTGGAAAGACTGCACCCAAAATCCACCGAGACTTCCTAGACTTCGATCCGCTGAATGCAAGACAAGGCATCAATATCCTGACAGACCATGCACCGCCTGTAGGAGAGGGTCAACAACCATCTCAGCAGCCGAGCGCTTGCAGACATGATTACACCATCAAGCATGAGCAGAGCATCTCACCCCCGCTTGATCTTAGACCAGATGCTGCATCGAGATACAAGCTCGGCACCGTATGCAAGAAGTGCAGACTCCATGCGGTAGTCAAGATAGACTATACTAGATCTGTCAATCCATGTCCGAACTCAGAGTATCCGCTGCACCACTTCCAACGCCTGCCCGAATTTGATGTCAGAGACGAGCACCGTATAGCGTACGCCTGGCAATGCTCTGCTCCGCAATGTCAAGCCCATCTGGAGATCGGCTTCGGGAAGCAGCGGTTGTCTCCAGAGGATCGCGATCTGCTAATTAACACCGAGCTGCTGAAGAGGAGGTATGAGTCCGTACTGCAGCATGATCCCGGCAGGGAAGGCATGCGGCAGGCTACGCCGATGGAGGCTTTGTCGAGGCTGCGAAAATACATCAAAGACTCTCTGAACGCGGAACATACGAGGCGGAGCTTCCCAGCGAATAACAAGCGCTTTATGGAAACTTTTGGTGTGCATGGCCAGGATTGCGCGCAGCTGCTACAGCGGCTTGGCTTCAAGTACGCAGTAAGGATACTGTTACGAGCGACGTTGCAGACAGAAACAGACTAACTCGTGCTCAAGAGCGACATACTGGAGTGGTCGTTGCCTGACCCACCGACAATCGATGATCGCATAGAGGCGGATGGCAACAGCCTGCGAGAGCTTCTGGAAGATGTCGAGATAGAGCTGGTCGCACTGATGTACAAGCTCGCAGGCGATACAGGTGCTATTAACCCTGCAGCTTCTGAAGGATGGCCTTCTGCAAGTCGGGATGTGGAACGGGTACTTGCAGCTCAAGGTTGTACGTATGCAATGGTTGTGCAACTGTCGATAGGCTGCGCTGACGAACATGCATTAGACCCGCGTCATGTGTCGTTGAGACGCACCAACACAGCAAACGAAGAAGCTCCGTAGGTGATCCTGCGTGGCCTGAGTAAATATGCTTGTCTGACGGCTGGCGCAGGTTCTTTTCCAGTCTTGGCGCTTTGCCAGACTTCGCCGACAGCCTCGTCGAATTCGTACATGACCGACAAAGCAATTGCGACCCAGAGCAGCAATCCTACTATTTCGAATGCCTGCAAGTCATTACCGAGAGCAGGAATAGTGAGCAGCTGCATGTGAAGGTGGCCATGCTACAGTCCACCAACCTTGTCAGTCGTCGAGATCTGTCCTCGGCGTATCGGACATTCGGTCTTTCACCCACTGACAACTCAGCCGACGACTACATCCTCAATGTCTTCCAAGCGCGCCAGAGCAACGTTAATGGGGATGTGGCGGAGGAGAATCGTCAGGCACTGTACAAGATCGGTCTGATGAGGAACAGCCAGCTGCTGATTAATGCGTCACGGCAGTCCGTGGAAACGTATGAAGATGCGCTGGCATGGATCGGTAATGGTGCGACGAAAGACACGGACGACGAGATGCTCATATCTATGCTCACGCTGAAGGTTCGTCGTGGCTTCCGTATCCGAATGACAGTGCCCCACCTGCCTTGTCGCAGCTAACACCTCGCAGGAAGGTACTGCCGCTGTGCGAGAAATAGCACAGAAGGCAATCTCCGTCATCGCCAAAGAGCGCAGAAGCGACATGTTGAACAGCTGGCTGCAGACTGGTCGCACAGACGGCTATACCATGAGCGTAGACGAAGCGCTACGCTACATGAACATCGAGCAGAAGCTCGAAGACATCGATCAATCTGTGATCGGAGTCGCACTCAAGCTTGCTAGAACGGAACGTCCCGGCGAGCAGACCGAGAAGGCCATCGCTACCATTGAGCGAGCATTGGCCGGTAGAGACGTAGCAATGACACACGCACCCGCGAGCTGGCCTGTTGGGCTTGTAAGCCACGGCAACACATGCTACCTGAACAGCTTACTGCAGTATTACTTCGCTCTCAAGCCGTTGCGCGACATCGTCCAGGAGTACGACAAGTACAAGCTTGATTTGGCGACAGAGAAGGGGAAGACTGCGCGTGTCGGTGGCAGGCAGATCTCTCTGGTGGAGATAAAGGGAGGGCAGCGCTTTGCCAAGGACCTGCAACATCTCTTCGACGCGATGACTACGGAGCCGGGAACTGCAGTCACTCCAGATCGCGACATGGTATGCCGTGCTTTTCTGGAGCCGCAGGCATACCACATGCTACTGTCAAGCGCCATGGACGAGCGTGTAGGTGCTAATAGGACAGACCAAGATGTTGCAACTGACTCTGCCTTGGGCCCTGACGCAATGCTCAACGGCACAGAATCAGCGCAACAAGCGAACGGTGAAGACTGGGTTAGCCGCCAAGATTCCGTCGCTAGTAGCGCGACACTGCAGGCGGATGAGCCCGAAGACGTGCCGATGCAGCTGGGCACTGAACAGCCGCGACCTTCCAATACCGATGTAACCACAGACAATGCGCCGCAAGAGCCTCGGCAGCCGCCCTCAGCACCACCACTTCCACCACGGCGATTCTCAACCACTGAGGATGTGCGTAAGGCGCAGCGGGAGGCCTTGAGCATTGCCGAAGCCAAGGCACGGGAGCAGCAAGATGTCACTGAAGTCCACGATAGCGTGACCTTTCGTCTGCGCTCTGGGATGAAGCCAGAGGATGTTGACGACAGTGGCGAACAGCAAGACCGCATTCGTGCGCTGTACACGATAGGTTTGACGCAAACCGAACTGCGTAACGACGGCGGTGCAAGTAAGCCAGTACCGCTGTCTGATTCCGGCATCCAAGTGAACGTGCCGAAAGAGGAGACTGACATCTACTCTGCTCTCGATGAGATCTTTGATGCCCAAACGTTCGAAGGCGCAGACCACGAGACGTTCAAGAGCGTGCGCTCTCTGCCACCCATCCTACAGATCAGCATACCTCGGATCGGATGGGACAAGGCCCGCGGCACCTACAAGTCAGAAGCCACCGTACGTCTCGAAGACGAGCTGTACCTGGACCGTTACATTGACTTGAGCCATGAAGATGTATTGCCGAGCAGGAAGCGCTGCTGGGCGTGGCGGAAGCAGCTCCGTGAGCTTCGCAAAGAGCGGCTTGCGCTGAAGCAATCCGCTGTGGATATCGACTTGCAAGGCCCCGAAGCATTCGGCGAGAGTGTTCGCATCCTGCAGGACTTCAGTCAGCTCAACAACGACCTCGAAGAGGCCGGCGTCGGCGGTGTGGACATTGACCCTTCACTAACCGCCGCCCTCATCGAACTTGCCGGCGAGCGAACGCAACGTCTGCAAAAGCTCGAAGAGCAGATCTCGCACCTCCAAACATGCCTACACGGAGAATTCACAAACTTCAAGGCAATCAAATACCGCCTAGCCGCCGTCTTCTTCCACCGCGGCACCCAAGGCTCCGGCCATTACTGGGTCAACATCAAAGACTTCGATTCGAACCTTTGGCGTAACTACAATGACGACACGGTGCAGCAGGTGCAGCCGAACCAGCTCGAAGGTATCTACCGTGCAACGAGGTGGGAGCAGGGCACGCCAACGTACGCTGTGTATGTGCAGGATGATGCGAAGGAGCACTTGATCCAACCCGTTTGCCGGAGTCCGAGAGAACCGCCGCCTGTTGTTGAGAAGCCGACGGAAGCGGTGCAGACTGCGCCGGCTGATCCGACGCCGGTGCTGGAAGAGAGCGTGGCGGAGTGGGATAAGCCGAGGGAGGTGCCGCAGGTCCCGTGGTAGAAACACAAGGATCGGAAGGTTTGCTTTCGCAATTGATCATTGAGCGTACTGAGCGAATGCATTACGCTGTTCCGAGGGTTCCTAAGAGTGCAGGGAAGGATAGTGTACAGTATGATCATACGCTGCTTGAGATGCTGTCAGAGTAGCTCTGTATATTACCATGAGCGATTCCTGGCGTGCGACACATACAACGCGCATGAACGGCAGCGATAGCTTTACACGTCATAGCAGCGATCACAAGAACCACGCACATGCCGCTTACGCGTCAATTCTTAACACTGATACCCACCATGCTCAGAACCTCCTCATATCCCAACCCCTCCCCCTTCGCCATTACCTCCCTCCAAACCCCATCCCCCACCATCCCCATCTCCCCTTCCACCCCCTCCCTTACACCAATAACATACCAATTCGGACTCTTCTCAGCCCTCAACCACTTAAAGTCATCCACCTGCCTCCACATTTCCTCCCCTCCACCATCACCATCCTCGCTCCGCAGCCAAGACGGCAGCGCCGCAAATCCAATCCCCGTACACCCCTCTATAATCGGCCTCGAAGCCGTGTGGAGGTATACGGAGCAAGCGTTACTGTCGTGCATGCGGAATTGCTGGCTCGCGACCACAATCTTGGAGGATTGTATGTTGGTGGCGTGGACGGCGCCGGTTACGTGGCCGCAGAGGAGGAGGCAGTGGTTGATGTTGAGGAGGGTCAGGGTGGCGAAGGAGTGTGATGATAGGTCTACGACGCAGAAGCTGAGGTCTGACAGGGTCGCTGTGCCGGCATTTGTGGTGCTAGAGGGGGTTGGTGGGGGTTTCATGTAGGCGTGGCTCTTATTGGGGATTGTGATGGTGGTCGACGGACTCTGTACTGTACCGTCTGCTGTCGAAGAAAGCGCGGCGTGAGGTGTTTCGCCTTGCTCGTCCACCTCCCCCTCAACCGCAGCCTCCGACGCCGGCGACCTCAGCCCCGCCGGCGTGCCAGCCCAACTCGACTCCCCCGAGGACACATACCCCGGCGCGCCCCTCCGTCTCTGCTGCGCCAACTCCGCCGCATCCTCCAGACTAATCGCACTCGCATTCTTCTTCGTCTCGCCCCACCCGGCCAAAAGACCTCTCCCACCACCAGGTCGATTGCCAGAGCCCGACTTGAACGCAAACTTCGCTCTCGGGGCCTTGGCTTCCGCGAGACGGGTGGAGAGGAATTTGAGGGTGTCCGCGTAGGTCCGCTGGTCTCGCGCCGGGATAAAGGAGGCGGTGGCGTCTCTGACGGCGGAGGAGAGACGGGTCAGGCTTGCTTGAGCGTGTTCGAGGGCGTCTGCTCGGTCGGGACCGGTGGGGTGGGTGGCGAGGCGGTCGAGTTCTTCCGTTAGGGCGGCGGATTGGGCTAGGAAGTTGCGGTAGAAGTCGATGCTGAGTGGTGGGGTCGTGTAGTCATTCTGCGCAGGGCCGGTATGAGTGCTCGGGGCTTGATTTACGCTTGTGGAGGCCATATGGTAGGTCTACGCTCGGAGAAAGCTCTGCTGGTCAGACGGGATATCTTTGCTTGGCTTGAAACTTGAGGAGTGTCGTGATCGTCGATGGGAAGCTTAACACGGCGTGCTATGGTGTGAATGTGAGACGCGGAAGTGCACTGGAAGCTGTTCAAGGCTTCAGTTCGTAGTGAATATGTCGCGTGCCTCATGAGGAGCTGTTGGAAGAATGATGGTTTGATGCGGGGCTGGCGCGCTAGCTACCGCATACTGTACCGCCCAAATGGATCAATATGTGCTTGCGTCTGACCGAGCCTATGTATGGGTGGTGATAGCTGTCCCCATATGAGCTGAATCTGCCAGCCATGTTAGCAGGGCTCATGCAGACATCGAGATGCGTCTGCTTCTAAGGAACAGGTCGTCGTTGAATTTGTTGCCTCGTGCCATCATTGTACCACACCAACTCGCTGAACAGAGTACGATGGCCAGGGTATTTGCTGAGTATACATATCCTACAAACCCATCTACGGTGCCGCCTCGACGCCGCGCCGGGGTACATCAATGCCGTAAGCGTCCTTGATGCGCTGCGCTCGCCGCTCCTCGTAGCCCGGGCCGTACACCCCTGCGATTCAAGTTAGCGAACATAAACATATAAACGTAGACATTACCGAGTTGTTGGCACAGCACTCACCTCTCCCCTCACCAATCTCATTCACCGTATCCTCCACCGGTCTCCGCCTGTTCTTCCGCAGGTACTCTTTCCGACTCACCTCATCCACCTCCGGATCGCGCTGGTAGCCATTCAGCGTGCCTCCCGTGTAGCTAAAGGCGTATAGAATCGCGGAGAGACCGGCGCCGTAGCCGACGACTGCTGGTGCCGAGCGGACTACCATCTCAAATCAGCCTCACTGTCGCTGTAACCGTCACGACAGTCGGTCATACAGCTCAACCCCAACATCATTCCCGCAAAGCCCCCGCCTATCGCCGGGTTCCACGCATCATCCCTCTGCCTCAAATTCGCGGAAGCGTTCTTGGTGAATTCGTAGGCTCCGCCCATGGCAGCTATACCCGACAGTCAGTCCATCTGCAACCTCTTCCGCGTCCACATCCTCCACGCTTGCAGGGTATAGCATACCGTACACAGCAATCGTCGTCCCAAACCGCGAGAAAGCGCCCATGGCGCCTACGTTCTGCCTCGCCATTGTGTTCTGAATGGCCGCGAGGAAAGTCCCTCCGGCGGCGGTGATGCCGGTGGCCTGGATGGCGGCGCCGACGGCATCTTTGGGTTGGTAGATATTTTGGATTTGGTCTTGGGAGGGGGGTGGGAATGCCATTGTGGCCTATGGCGGCGTGCGATGCGAGTGAAGCGAGGGAGACGCTGAGTGATTGAGCTTCCTGTTCCTGAATGTGTCGGAACCTCGCGCCGGGGATTGCGGGAGGTGCCGGAGCCATTGATGCGAGGCATAGATGAACACCTAACCGAATCCCTCGTTCTCTCGCGCATACCACAACGATGCCTCTAACAAGCATCAACACCGCGTACACGATGTCGCCAAATCAAACAACCCGTCGATAGCGCTGGTGTCGATGCCCCGCCGCCGCCGTCCCCCCCGCCCCGGCGCCCTCGCCGACCTCTCGCCCACTCGCATCCTAACCCAAATCGCCCTCCTCCAGATCCTCTACTACGCCGTCGCCAGCATCCTCATCGCCTTCGTCCTCCTCGTCGCCGGCACCACCCCGACCCTCTCCCACCTCCTCGACTGGCATCACATCCGCGGCGACGTCACCACGGGGTGGACACTAGCTCTCTGCTGGATTCTCGATTCTCTAATCACAGTGATCCCAATACTATTATTCATTGCGCGGTCGAAATTAGTCCCGGATTTCGCGCTCACCATCCACTTCCTACACCTGGTCGTGGTGAGCTTGTACGCGAGAAGCGTGCCGAGTACTGTGTATTGGTGGCTGGTGCAGGCTTGTTCCGCCGCGCTGATGGTGAGCGTGGGGGTGTGGGCTTGTCAGTGGCGGGAACTGCAGCCCATGGCCTTCGGCGGGAAAGGGAAAGGGAAGGGAAAGCAGAGGGTGGTCGAGAACGGACACGCGCAGGGAGGTGCAACGGGCGCGGGCGAGGAAGCGGGTGAGGGATTTGCGGTGGGCGGTGGGAGAGGTGGGAGTGGAAGGGATGGAGGGGGAACGTATGAGATGGTTGGGATGGCGCCGAAGGAGCCAGGGTGAGCATATTACTGCTGAGTTTCCAAGATCGTGAATGCGAACAGACGGTATCTGCCATTGGAGCGGCAGCGACATACTGGAGTTCGCAAGGTCATACTGCTCCGATTACAGACGAGCCAAAAGTGGTCGTGATCTCGGAACTCCGACCAATTGACCAATCGTCCCATGAATCCGTTCATCTGGCCCAAGCAATACCATCCTCGACCTCTCTAAACATTACACCACCTCAGAACTCTTCCACGACTCCCCAAACCCGGCCCGCCTGCGCCAAGACATCGCGCAAGACATCTACATACCAAAGAGCTATGACAAAACCTACTCAGCGACACTCAACAGTGTCAACCTCCCTCCAGTTCCTCCTCGGACCAGCTCCCGCCCCCGCCCCCACTAAGCGTACCATTCCATCCCCCCTCTTCAACTCCACCGCCAACACATCCGGGTCCGGCACCTCATTACTGGCATTCCACTTGGGATAGATCGTACAAACCACTCGATCCAAATGCTCGGGAGATGCTATCTCGGGTGTCGAATGGATCAGTGTCGTGATCCGCGCGGTTTGCGGCCGGAGGGGGAGTTCGGGCGAGTCATCTATATCAGACAGCGCTCAGCGACGGAAAACTGTGTGAAGGATGAGAAGTGGTGAGGGGGGCGTAGGGTAGGGGTGGGGTTATGGGGACATACGCGTATGAATCATGCGTCCCAATGGCACCCACGCATGTACGACCTCGACGTCCACTCCCACCTTCTCTTCGTCATGGCTGCTAGTGAAGAGGATGCCGACGGAGTTTGGCGCGGCGTCGAGATGGCTTCGTCTCCTGCCTGCTGTAGAGGGTCGGGAGCTGGTGACTTCGTGCTTCCGCAGGGGGTTGGGCCGCCATTCTTCCGCGGCTGCGGTGAGTAGGGGTAGTTGGTGCGACGAGAGCTGGTGAGGGTGGAGGAGGGGAGTGGCGGCGCATGTCAGGGTGTTGCCTACGAGCTGCACGAGGAGCAGCGGCACTAGCGGTTTCAGGCAGAAGAATGCGCGCATAGCGATATATGCGCCGAGGAAGTTGGCTGAGTATGTAATGATGTCGTCGTTTGATGCGAATGCGCTGCACAATGTGTCCCAAGCGAACCATTACAAGGTCGCAACATTTGGTCGTCGCGATTGCTCACCAAGCAAACAAACCACCGCGTTTAGGCGAGGAATGCGCGAGGCGTGCAACTAGAAGATCCGTGCAGAAATCGCCCGTGGCGGAGCGGACACACTGGTAGCTTCCCGAAAACATGCCTACATTCCAATTCCCTCTATCATCACTCTTGCCTCGCGAGCATCAAGACTAAAAGCGCGCGTCATATCATCCCAAACACTCGCTACGTCGTACCAAAAAAACCACCATTCACGCGTGGGCCTCATGAAACTCGTCCCGTGCCTACCCCCCCCTCTCCCCAAATTCCCTCGCCCACTCCTCAAACTCCCTCAACCCCCCCTTACTAACACTCGGCCGAATATTCCCCAGACTACTCTCAAAATCACCCATCCCAATCGGGCGGATGTCATCGGGAGACATATGCAACAAGCGCTCCCCCAGACTCCTCAGCGGCCCCATCGCCGCATCCTTCGCCAAGGCGGTGATGTCACTGCCACTGAACCCGTCGGTCAGCTGCACGAGTCGCTTCAAATCGCGGTCGGAGAGGTTGTGTTTTTGCGCGGAGAGGAGGTTGCGGAGTTGCTTCTCCCGCACCCAGTCTTCCGGTAAGGGGATGTACTGACGGCGGACGAAGCGGCGACGGGCCGCTTCGTCTATGGCCCAGGGGAGGTTTGTCGCGGCGAGGACGAGGACTCGGGTGGCGTCGCCGGAGACTTTACTGGTGTCTTCGCGGCCGGCGGCGGCTTTTTGGAGATCGGACCATTGGATCAGGAATTCCGTCTTTATGCGACGGGTGGCTTCGTGTTCGGAGCTGCCTCCGCGAGAACCCAAGAGTGAGTCGATTTCGTCCACGAAGATGATGCTGGGGGCTAGTGCTTTGGCGAGGGTGAAGAGGGCGCGCACGAGTTTCTCGCTTTCGCCGAGGTATTTGCTCGTCAGGCTGCTGGCGGAGATGGCGAAGAAGACGCTTTTGCTTTCCGTCGCGACGGCGCGGGCGAGCATGGTTTTGCCTGTGCCGGGGGGGCCGAAGAGAAGCATGCCGCGTGCGGGTTCGCGGAGGCCCATGAAGAGATCGGGGCGGAGGAATGGGTAGACGACGGTTTCTTTGAGGGCGGATTTGGCGATTTCGAGGCCGGCTACGTCGTCCCAGTGGACCTCGTCGCCTTTGATTACAATTTCCGTGAGGATCTGTTTAGCGGCTGCTTCGTCGACGCCTTTGGGGAGGTGGGTTAGGATGTGCTGTATCCGTCGGTCCCATTCTTCGTCTGCATCGGCGGGCTCATTGCTGGAAGGTTCGGCGTCTTTGTCGGACTCGTCACTGCTTGGCGGCGTCATCTGCGGGTTCGATGTTCGCCAATTAATCAGCGTCTTCTGCGTAGAGTCGTGCCTACTGTCAGGCTTATGGCTGGCCTTGCCGTTGGTCGAGACGGCCACATCGTTCATCCGTTGACTGAGTTGAGCTTCGTTATTGTCCAACTTCTGCCGCTCGGCCATGGCGCTGACTACGCCTACTGCCCGGCCAACTGCTTTTCGCGGAATACCAGGCTGCGCCTGCGCCTGCGCCGTTCTCGCCGACGAAGTACGCGATGATCTGTCCGGCTTGGGCGTGCCATGACTCGGTCCGGGTTCTGCAGACTGCTCCGGCGCCGCGGGCGGCGCTCTGGGCCGTTTAGGAGGATGGTTGGGGTACTCCTTCATGTAGGAGATACTGCTGGTACCAAGCTCGCCAAGGGTTGGCGGCTTTGGTCTTGGCTTGTCGACTGCGGGTGGCGTAGGTTTGTGCTGTGGCGGTGGCGGCGGCGGCGGAGGTTTCACAGTCTCCAGTGACTCTTGGCTTCGCGAAAGAGGCTCGAATGGCGAGGAGCGGGCGCTTGGGTAATCAGGGTAAGGCGGCGGATGTAGAAAGTCGGACGGACTGGGTGGCCGGATGATCGACATTTCTGATCGCCTTCGATCCGTGTCCGAAGTAAGATGTGGCGGTTCCGAGGGCTTCTCGACCAGCGAGCGGGTGTAGGGGTCCCATGAAGTCGCATTATCCAATGGCCGCCGTTCCTGCGAGGGTGTCTGTGGCTTCTTTGTACCAGTCCATACTTGGGTTGCAGCTTTCGCGGCGGCGGGTGGCGGTCTTGATCGCATAGTCCTTGCCATCTAATCCACGATGGTCAGTATTACGCCAATACAGCAGCACTCTCTTGGCGCAAAAGTGGAAACTTACGTTACTGCCGGACGGAGGCCGATCCTTTGCGGTCGGCCTGAGTGTTCTGAGCATACCCGACTTCTTCTCCGGACTCGGTGTTCTCGCTCTGGGCTGTTGGTTATGTGGAGGTGTTAGGCTCGTTGTGGACTGCAAACTCATCGTACGCGGACTATCAAAATCCGAGCTCCGCTTGCTGGTGTACGTCGGTCTCGGGGGATGAGGTGGCGGTCGTCGTTCCGGAGTGGGGGATGGCCGTGGTAGATCAGTATAGCTGGTAGGAGCCACTGTATCTGCGCCGAGCCACTGATTGCCCGCTGTTGCGGTGCTGCCAAACTTGTCCGTGCCTGCACTGGTATGTTGTGGGGGTGGTGAAGCAACGGGAGTCGCAGTCGCAGCACTCCCATTCGCGTCCTGCTCGGCGTCCTGCCTGCTCTTCTTCAGCGCTTCCAGCAGGTCCACTCGCTCTTTGCACTGCAGTTCCATCTTCCTCAGCGAGTCCGCCAAGGCCCGCTCCGTTTCCGTCCTCGGCACATAGCTCGCCGGCATCTTATACGCGTTGTGGTAGTAGATGTGGTCGAGAGCGTTGCGCCATGATCGAAGAGCCTCTGCCTCATTGTTCTGCCCTTCGAAGTATATCGCCGTGGAGCAGATGAGATAGCATTCGTCGTACGTCTTCTGCATGGACGTCGCAGGCGGCGCTCTGAACATCGTGGACAGCCGGCATAGACCAACGTTATTGTTCAATCAATTCTTTATTCGGTGACAGTTACAATCTTCGCTAAGCCTTGTCGAAGTGTGTGTGTACATGTATTCAGGTGGGCCATCGCCATGACGTGTGGGGGCTTTTGGGCGCCACGCCCGCGGACCTGCTGCGCCACAGACACGCGACTCCTTCCAACCATGAAAGATCAATTCTCGAACTTCGTACCGCCCAACAGGGGAACGGATGGTTAAGCGATGCGACGATGTGTTATTACGAGATATAGCAAGCAACTCACCCCAATCAATTACTCCTGTGCCTTCAGCACATTCAGCCAATGTAGGGAACGCTTAAATGTCTCCCAGCTTCTGTCCAGCGGAGCGGAAGCGAAGGATGCTGAGGTATACGGCTGGGTGCGATCGGTGAGGCGACAGAAGAAAATAGCCTTCGCTGCCGTGGGTGATGGCTCGACCATCGAATCATTACAGGCTGTGCTCAAGCCAGAGCATACTGCGAAGTAAGTGACCTTTTCCCCGTTCGGACTCGAGATTCATCTCTTCGGCGCCACCAAATCTTTTCCTTCGTGTGTTGAGCTGTTGCTACTGTGTACCGTACAGAGTATCAATGGCTCCCCCTCTGGCACCTCAGTCCTGAGCCGGCAGCAATGTAAGACCACCCAGGCATGCTAGCACAATTCCTTGTTTGACGCTGTTCACACGCTTACATCGCCTAGCCTTTCCACCGGTACTGCTGTGAAATTGATTGGATCATGGCAACCCTCCGTAGGAAGCAAGCAGAGCCATGAGCTGCAAGTCCATAGCGTCTCCGTGTTGGGGGAGAACGACGCAGAACACAACCCAATACAACCAAAATACCAGACAGCAGAGTATCTCCGAACTATCCCTCATCTGCGACCGCGCATACCACTGAATGCGCTTCTACTGCGTATACGATCCCAGGTCATCGCAAGTCTGACCCGCTTCTTCGACGCCCAAGGTTTCGTCCAAACGCATCCACCCATTATCACCTCTTCCGACTGCGAGGGCGCCGGCGAAGTCTTCACAGTCTCATCACATGCTCACAAAGAAACGCACGCAGACGGCGAACATTTGCAGACGAATGATGATCACTTCTTTCGGATACCAAAGTATCTGACCGTCTCATCCCAACTACATTTGGAGGCGCTAGCACAGGCCGTTGACAAAGTCTGGACGCTCTCGCCGACTTTCAGGGCGGAGAAGAGTGATACGCCGCGCCATTTGAGCGAATTCTATATGCTTGAAGCGGAGGTTTGCTTTACTAATGATCTCGACGATGTCATGCAGATCGTGGAGCAGATGCTGTCGGCTGTCGCTTCAGATCTGCTGAGATCACGTCACGGCGCTGAATTGTTAGGTGTTCGAGGCTCAAGTATACAGTCTGTCGACGGAAACATTAACAAGGAAGTGACAGCAGCCACTCTTGAGCAGAGATGGAAAGGTATGGCGGCTAATGGCTGGCCACGCATAACCTACGCAGATGCCATCAGGCTTCTTCAGAATGCTGTGGCTGACAACAAAGCTACGTTCACCTACACACCCAACCACGAAGACGGCCTACTAGCAGAGCACGAGCGGTACGTCGCCGCCGAAGTCGGCGGCGGCAATACTCCGGTCTTCGTCACCCACTATCCGCGAGCTCAGAAACCGTTCTACATGTCGCCATCCCTCACAACCGAAAACGGCAACGCCACACAAGACACAGTAGCTTGCTTTGACTTGCTCATTCCGGATCTATGCGAGCTGGTTGGCGGCTCACTCCGCGAGTATCGTCTGAAGGAGCTTCAAGAAGCGATGGCCGCTAAAGGTGTCGCAGGCAGTAGTCTGGAATGGTACCAAGACCTGCGTAAGTATGGCAGTGTACCGCATGGTGGCTTTGGGTTGGGCTTTGACCGGTTATTGTGTTATTTGACGGGCACGAGCAATGTGCGGGATGTTGTGGCGTTTCCACGGTGGTATGGGCGGTGCGATTGCTGATGTACAGATACCACTTCTTCGCTTGTTGTACATCTGACAGTTGGAACTGGGCCAATCTAGAGATGGCGAGCGTGAAAGCAAGGCTGATGAGCCACATTCCAACGCCAACACTAAGCATAGCTGGCCGTGTCCCTCGCTGGGCACGCAGTTGAGCATTCGCAACACCATGCTTAAACATGGCGAACCTGAGATGCACACCTCGCACCCGATTAAAGGTTGTAGCCGCTCATCCGACGGCTGTTCGGATGAGACATGTATCGGCCAGTCAAACGCCACATCACCTTCCTGCTCGCGACGACCCTGTGCATCATCCTCTTCATCATAGCGCAGTCCCGCCGGACAACCCATAGCTATCGATCAAACAAGTCGTCCGTGAGCTATCCGACGCCGGCATACGACTGGAAGAACAGGATCGAGGACTTTCCCGTCAAGAACTTCACTACCCTCCCTCTACCACCACGCCGACGATTACCCCGAGTACAGCACCGTTTCGGCTGGTTTGCAGGAGCAGCCCAGAAGCACCGTCAAGACGTGGTCAAGGCAGCTTTCTACCGGTGCTGGCAGGCCTACCGCGAGCATGCGTGGATGGCAGATGAACTTGCGCCTGTATCAAACGGAAGTAAGGTGCACTTCGCGGGATGGTCTGCGACACTGGTCGATGCATTGGACACCCTTTGGATTATGGGGTTGAAGGCGGAATTCGAAGAGGCTGTCGAGGCGGTTATGACGATTGATTTCTCTCTTACTGCCGTCCCGGGGTCGATCAGCTTGTTCGAGACAACGATACGATATCTCGGAGGACTCTTGGCTGCGTACGATCTTAGTGGCGATCCGAGATTGCTAGTGAAGGCGGTTGAGCTGGGTCATACGTTGTATGGAGCGTTTGACACACCGAATAGGATGCCACTGACGAGCTGGGACGTGCGGAAGGCGGCCAGAGCCAATGCAACTGCGCAAGCTGCCGGTGCTGGAGCGATACTTGCAGATATCGGCTCGCTTACGCTGGAGTTCACGAGGTTGTCGCAGCTCACGGGTGACCCAAGGTGGTACGACGCTGTTGACAAAATCATGCAAGTCTTCGCCGCGCAGCAGAACATGACGAGGCTTCCTGGTATGTGGCCACCGATCGTCAACCCATCTATCCCAGACTTCCATTCCGGCGCTGAGTTACTGTCGGCGGGCTGTCAGACTCCATGTACGAGTACCTCCTCAAGACCGCCCTACTCCTCGGCGGCTCCGGGTTCTACGAAGACATGTACACCAAAGCCGCAGCAACAATTTCCTCCCACCTCCTCTTCCGCCCCATGACACCGGATAACGCCGACATCCTCCTCCCAGGCAAAGCCAGCGTACCCCTCATCGACAGCCTCAACCTCCCACCCATCCACACGCCCGCAGCAGAGCACCTCGGCTGCTTCCTGGGCGGCCTCTTCGCGCTCGGCGGCCGCACCCTCACCAACCCCTCCCACATCACCACCGGCCGTAAAATCACCGCCGGCTGCGTTTGGGCGTACACTCACAGTCCCCTCGGTGTAGGGCCAGAAGACTGGACCATGCTGCCCTGTCCCAACCTCACCACCGCCTGCACATGGAACGAAAGCGCATACCACTCCGCCATCCTCGCCCGAGCACCGACGCAGTCATTCGGCGACCAATCCCACCTCGACCACTCCCTCCGCGCCAACAGCATCATAGCCGCCGACCGCTTACCCACGGGTTTCACCTCCATCGCCAACCGCGTCTACATCCTCCGCCCCGAAGCCATCGAAAGCGTCTTCATCCTCTACCGCATCACCGGCGACCCTCAACTCCGCGAGGACGCGTGGGAGATGTTCCTGCACATACAAAATGCGACGATGACTGCGACGGCCCATAGTGCGATTGCTGATGTCACGGATGAGGTTTCTGGAGGGGAGAAGAAGGACGAGATGGAGAGTTTTTGGCTGGCGGAGACGTTGAAGTATTTTTACTTGATTTTTGGGCAGCCGGGGTTGGTGAGTTTGGATGAGTGGGTGTTTAATACGGAGGCGCATCCGCTGAGGAGGCCGAAGGGGAGGGGGTGGTGGTGGTAGTGGTAGTGAAAGCGACTGGACGTTAGGTGGTGTCTCGTAGGATCGTGATATCGGCAAGCCGTGTACACTTTCTGGGCCTCATATCCACGCGACAGGGCCAGGTGCATGAAGCTCGGAATGAGACGGTAGCGTGTCTTCCCTATCAGCAGCGTCGCGTGGGTCGACTCCTATGTGAACTACATCACAGGCATGTGGTGTAACGAGACAATCAGGAGGTACTGTACACAGTCGACACTGCAAGCTCTCACGAGCTCTACTTCGTACATTCGCGCATATATACAAAAGCACACTGCCTGATCCACAACGGTCGGTCGCGGACGGTAGCTCATGAATGCGCCGGTGACCTAGTCGTAGGTCAATCTGTACGCACAAAACAGTGTGGCAGCTCCTTTCCCCTGTTGCGCAGCGCTCGCCGCTACCCTTGTACAAGTCAGTAACCTTCCGCCGGCGCCTCGCTGCAAGCAGATAGACACAGCCCACTCAGCCAGAACTCGGCCATCTCTCCGTGGCCGCGGCGCGGAAGCTAGCCCGCGCGATCCTGTGCACTCTCGCGGCTCTGCCTTGCGCGAGAAAGCCCCTCGGCCGGCTTGCAGCCTGCTCTGTTCTCAGTGAGTACGTCAAGCTCAACTCTCCGCCTCCACCCGAATGAAATACGCCTTAGCCACCTCATAAGCGCTCCAACAGATCGCCGTACTCGGTGCCGCCGTGACAACCCGTGCCTTCATCCCCCTGAAGAACCCCTTGGCGCCCTCCCGTCTCCAAATAATGCCTGCCGCGTCGAACAATCCCCTCGCATGCCGTATCTCCGCATCACTACTCGCGCCCTTGGTCTGCAACAATGTCTTGACCACATCCAACGGCGTTGTAGCAGCCGCCGCGAACCCACCCGCCAGTCCTCCAGCCGTGCAATGCGTGAGTGGATCGTAGACGGCGACTTCGCTTCGTCCTGAGTTCTTCTGCAGGAGTTTGGTGAGGGACTCGTAGGCGGTGAATTGGAGCGCGGTGAAGGGGACGGTCATGGTGAGGGTGGTTGGGTAGGAGACGTAGAAGGCGCGCAGCCCTTCGTTGTGGAAGACGGTGCGGGCGCAGTGGACCAGACTGCGGTAGGGGGAGTTGTGGACCTGCATGCGCTGTTTGATGACGTCGAAGGGATTCATGAAGGCGTCGGAGGCGATGGTGGCGCAGGCGCCGCTTGTTGCTGTACACAATAGGTTATCAGTGACCAGAGATGTGTGTACGAATTGGTCTCGTGACCACTCACCTGCTGCTAGAGGGTGGTGACCCGAGGCGTTGCCGCCCATGGCTTGCTTCACCACTTCGTAAGTTGCAAAGTAGACTGCGTGCGCCGGGCCTGATCATCACCTGTCAGCTCCTCCGCACGTTTGCCACGATTAGCACTATGATGATCTTTCGCGCACCTGCTCCGAGCACGACGCTCGACAAGCCTCGCCATAACGACGCATAGCCTTCCACTCTCGATATCGTTGCGATGGCATTGCCGATGCCGCTGTATATGGCTGTGGGGGTTGGGTTGACGACCTGCATTCGAGTCTTCACCGCTCTGTCAGCTCCCTGTCACCGACCGACCACTCTCAGCAGGTCTATCATACCTTGAGCAGGTCTATTGGGTACATGACTGAGTGCTCCTGTGCCATGCGTCAGTCTCGCCGCCCCCGTCCTGGTTTCACCCCATAGTCACATACTGCAATGCCAGCGAATGCGCCGGCGGCCATATTCGCTGCCAGCGAGAAGTTCGGTGGTAAGGACTCATAACTGCACATATCACCCCATTAGCACTCTGGCCGTCCTTGTCGCCATCGCCGTCCGTGAGAAGGTGTATGTGCGTACTCGTAATCTTCCGGCGGATCTACTACAAGATGCTTTTCCTGCCCGGCCATCCGCCCCGGCTGGGCTACTATTGATGCTGACTCCACGGCAGCCGTCCTCCCTACCAAAGACATACACGCTGCGGTCGTGTTCGCCTCGAGCTGAGCGGGTGTCTTTGCCGGTAACGGGTGTTATACGGGTCTTTTCCCAATGGCGGTGATTTTTTATCTGATCGAGGATCTGATATGTGGCGATGCGTGAGAATGAGTGTGGCAGCCCGTCGCTTGCTCACGCCACCTGCAAAGTCACTTTCTTCTCGCTAACCTTCTCTATATACTGACACTCAATTCCGGCCTCGGCTGCGGTCTGGAAGAAAGTAAGTAAATGGCGTCGCTGCAGCAGCGGAGAGGGCGGATGTAAGGCGATCCCCGTATGCGGTCCGAGGTCTGTGCTGCAGGAGATGGCTGCGAAAGTGTATCAAGAAGGCTTTTCTTGGCTCGCGCTGCACCACGAAGATGTCATCTTGACCACCACTTTTCTTCCTTCTTCTCCTCGGAGACGCTAAACCTTCGTCGATATGTAGGTACCTTCTGACAACAGAACAGTGTCACGTTTGATATCAACAAGCCGGCGTTCATTGCGCGTTCATCTACGCCAAGTTGGTTCGTACGAGCAGCGCACAGAATGCAGGTACCGCCCGTCAAGCCTCGCGCGAAGTCTCGGCGGTGTTTGCGAGCCTCGCCGTCGGCCTGCCGCTTTCGCACGACGTGATGGTACTGTCGCACCGTGTGCCGTACGAATAGTATCTGACTACGGGATAATCCTCGCCCTCCTCATCTCCTCAAACACCATGAGGTACCCCTCCGCATGTGGCCGCTCCTCCGTAAACCCAATACTGCGACTCGCACTCGCATCGTAATCCCGCCTGAACGGAATCCCAATGACATCCTGCATAAACTTCCACGTCGTCCCCTCCAACGCCCCCTCCTTCAACCCATACTTCTGCACCCACTTCGCCCAGTTGCCGTGCTGCTCCTCCATCCACCTCTGCGCGCTGAAAGGCTCCCGGTCCCCAGACTGCGGCGCAACGCCTCGCAGACCAAAGTACGCGCACACCTGCGGCCAGACTTCCTTCCAATGCGTCGCGGGACCGTCGACAACGTTAAAAGTCTTCTCGCTCGTCATCTCCGGCTTCAAGCTGGCAAAGATGTGGAACCGCGCCAAGATGTCCTGACTCGTATCCGTATGCAACGCTTCCCACGCTTTCTCGTTACCCGGGAACACCACCTCCGACCCCTCGCCATTGACGTCCTTCCACAGACTGAGAAACAGACCCAGAGCTTGCGCGATGTTCATGGCGTTGTTCTGCGGCACGAAGCCGACGATAGCATCCGGGCGGATCTCGCAGAAGGTCCATGGCTTGCCCGCCGAGGCGCGCGTCATGATGTCGTATTGCTCGTAGTAGAAGATGTTGGAGGCGTACGGTTCGGGGATGCGCGGGAGGGATTCGGAGAGGGGTGGGTTGTAGGGCACCTTGTCCGAGAATTCGACGCCGTATGCCTGTCATCTCTTCGTGGTCAGCGCAGCACGGTACAAGCGACGACGGTGTTGTGAATCTCACCTTCCCACCCGTCTGCAGTGTGAAAAACTGCATCAGCGGACAAACAATCTCACACGTGCCGACCGCATTCGTCAACAGCTCGGCATTGGTCCACTTGAGCTCTTCGTAGCTACTCCCATGGCCCGAGTACGCGGCGAAGTAGACGTGCGTCGTATGTTCGACGCCGGGAATATGCTGCATCTGCAGCAGGGTTTTGTTGCGGTCCAGCAGGTCGAGGTCGCTGTACAGCTCCAAGCGCTCATCTTCGGGGAGGAGGGAGATCTCTTTCTTGAGCGGGCGATGCGTGAGGCCGATGATGCGGGAGAAGGTTGTCGGGGTAGGGTAACGGGTGAGCTCTTTCATCAAGGCATAGCCGCTCTGTGGTCGTATGATGAGCTTGCAGTGTCACTAGAAGATTCTTGCGTGTCGCGACTTACGATACCAGAAGCGCCGAAGACGATCGCTTGCGAGACTCGCTGCTGGTTCGCCGGCGGCGCTTCAGAGTTGCCTTGCTGGAGTGCGTCCGCCATGTTGTCTAGCTTAAGAATGTTCGCGTGGATGCCAAAGGAGTTATCAAAGCAGAAAGAGGTCGACAATGATTGAGAGATTGACACTTACAGCCCCTACCTCATCTGTACAGCTCCATCGATTAGTAGATTACCATCGGGGCATTGTGCTCCATTCAGGCTATGTCATCGCAAAAGGCAGATACATTCACCTCATGCAGGGCGGATTTGGCGGGGTTGTCACCCCTCGATCCGGATGCGCGGAGCCGATGATGGAAGAAGTCACGCAGAGAGACGACTTTTCCCCAAATAGGGCTAGCTCGCTCCAGGCATGGCTAGCCGAGGCTTAGAACACGAGAACAGCAGTTAGCCGCCATGATGTTCTCGGGATCGGTACTAGGCAGTAGATATTTGTGATACATTCCGAAGCTCTTGCTAACATGTCTTTTGCGTGACAGTCTCTGAGCATCGCAAGTCTTACTGCCAAACGACATGGATCAACGGCGTACTATACCCAGCTGAACCAGCGTCAACTTTGGTGTAAGTCAGGTAGATGTCGTTCCCACTGCCATGATTCTTGCTGAGCCCGGGATGTGCTTGCTGGCTGTATGCGGGACAGAAAGAAGCGTTTCCTGCGACGCCGGTATAGAACGTCGACTGCGCATGAAGATAGGACCGTTAGCGACAACTCGTAAGACCAACCATCTGATACGCACCGGATTCGTCCAGTCACCGTACGGTGTAGGCGACGTAGCAATCTGGAAAGCAGCATTGCAACCAATTGCTGGCGCACCGATCCAGACGTAAGAAGAGAAGTACTCGCTGTAGTAGAAGGTGCCCTGGCCGCCGGTACCAGCGTTCTTTATTGCGGCATTAGCATCATTAAGGCCCGGCTTTGTGGTAGTCCAGGCTGTACCATTCCAAAACTTATAGGCAGTAGGATCCTCGATCTTGCCCACCGCCACCTTGGCAAGAGCGGGACCGCCGGTATTGTTCATTGCGCCATACAGGTAGGCGGTGCTGGAATTGATGACGAAGCCGTAATCTCCGAACGCGATGCTGCCAGCGGGCCAGAACTGCTCGTTTACGAGCGTTACGGGCGGCAGCTGGTTCACGGGTTGGGTGGGCACGAAGTCAGAGCGGTAGAGGCTCGTCGGCGGGTTCGGATTCAGCTCGGTTAAGCCGCTAAGATGGACGTTTTTGATCCATGTATACAACGACATGCTACCGTCTGTGCCGACGTCGACTGGAAGAGGTCTAGTATCCGGCCAGAGAGCATAGCGAGTTCCGTTGTTGCAGTTGCCGGCGGGCGCTGTGCCTGCAAATTGATGGGTGGGAGGGTCAGCTACGTCTCGGACTGTTGTATGAGCGTCTACAAAGCCTTGTTCTTACATTCATCCGCTTGTACAGGGAAGTAGGCATTATTGACGTTGTTGGTGCCATACATCGGCAGGACGCCGTTAACTACCGCAGGCGTGCCGTCCGAGCTGGCATTCGTCCAAGACGCAGTGGAGCTCAAGAAGGCCGTCTTGCTTTGGCTGTCACGGCATGTCCACAGCTCCCGCTTGCGTACGCGTGTCGAGGTGCAGGAGTCGCGATTCCATGTTGGGTCTAAAGCGACTCCAAGAAGTTGCGGCGTTCCAGACACGACTGGCGTCACTGCTCGCTTAGCGTGCTTGATGTTGCTGAGAAAAGAAAGGGGCGAAGCGGAGGTAGTGAGAAAGACCGTAGCCAAGCAAAGAGAGGTCAAAGAGAGCATCTTCTTGTTCTCTTGGAAGATCTGGGGACACGCGACTACTGAGCAGGTCGTTGATCTTTAGGCGGTTTCGCATTGATAAAGTATTCGCCATAACTCAAGCCGAGGTGTTGCAAACGCAAATTTGGCGGGTTGGAACACCGCCGCAGAGAGCATCCCGCGTGCGCAGCTGCGCAGTGCTGAGTGGCATATCTGAACTTTATGTGCTCCACCTCTCGTATAAGAGTTGGGGAAGCTTTCTGCGAAGGAGGCAGCGTTGCAGAAGTGGAGGGCGCAGACACGGCAGGCGGAGGCGGAACGGGAAAGGCGCGAAAGCTTACGATGGCCTAGCGTGCTCGGCAGGCTCCGCTCGGTCATGGTACGCTCACTGTGCGCTGTACGGCTCGAGTCTTCTATTGTTGCAGGTCGACAATGCATTGCGTTGCCCACCATCACCCGCAAGTTGTGGTGACATACACTGCGGCATAGTGTTGCGACGCAGTGACACATGAAGCATCGATGGGTACTAGACATGTTCCTATTCACATCGGCCAATCCACATTGGCCGGAACACGAACGCATAAACGGCCAAGCTTTACGATTGTTGGCGCGATGCCGTATGTCGCGCAGGCTTAGCCGTGGGGTCGCTGCTCATTTACCTACCAATCGCTTGCTTCAGCTGTTCCGGTAAGGTATGGGAACTGAAGAAGGGTGGTACGGAACGTCTTGAAGTGGCTTGACGGGCTTTGGGGGTTGGTTCGCTTGCTCTGCACCAGGTCCCTTCCCTCGCTTGTGCTCACGGAGTAGCAGGGGCACTGTGGAATGTTCGAGGCGGCCATAGTCATTGCATGTTGGATAACGGTAAGTCTCGTGAATGCTTCAGTCTACTATGTCAGCGGCTTGGGCAAGTAGTTGACCGGAGTTATGTGCGGATGCAATGGTGAGCTCTGGGGAAGCGTACTCTGGTGTCAGTGAGAAAACTTTGACGATGCGGCAGCGATAGACCACGTTGCGAATTGCGGGTGCGGTGCAGATTGTGGCAACGATCGTATTTGCAAACCGGCAGTACTGGACCGGACACGTACCACGTTGCTGGCTGTGCAGATCCCAACCTATTAGGACCCGGTCGTCGATTTTCTTGCAGTAGGGGCTGTATCCACAAGCAAGCGACAGACGAAGGCTGATCCAAGGCCTAGCGCATTACCTTCAGGCGTAGATTATACCGCAATCAGTCCTCGCAGCTGGTTTGCAGTGCCTTCTTCCGCGACGAACCCTGCCAATGTGGCGGCTACCGTGTCTGTGGTAACTTCTTCAGATCACCGACTGCGACGTCTACGAGTCAATCATGCTCCTGTTAGCGCTGCTGAGCTGAGACTGCACTGTGTACTGTAAGCGAGTCAGCACTGGCCAGGTCGTTCTATTGATTGCAGGTCAGCCTGCTGCGTAACTCTAATCTCGCGTGCGATGTGAAGTAGTGGTATCCACCGGCAGTCGTATGCTGATCTCTACCCAGCTTCAGCTTCAGCTTTCTTCCTTAGCCAACTCGTCACGTTGCGTGCCTTTGGTGCATTATGTAATCGGAATGCCATTGCAGATAACTCGATCCCGGACTCGTGCTTGTATGATCACCCAGCTGCAACCGCACTTCACAGTTCGCCAAAGTACCTAACAGACTTGCAAAAGCTGAACGAGCAGTTGCTACGCTGACCACAGGGCACCGTGAAGTCCCAGGCAACGATTTGGATCAAGAGGCCTGACACTGGTTTATCAGATGTCGTTACTAGACGCATTGGCCAGCAACCGGGAGCGTATCACAAGACAAAATCGCCCCATAGGCAAGCCCAAAGACGAGACGCTTGTCATTACGCGTGAGCTCATGTTTACCCCTTATGTGGTATGTGGGATCCAGCACGAAGGCCCCTGACTTGCAGATTGGACACTGACCTTTGTTGCATGCGCTTGCGAATGTATGTTGTTAGCGTTGAGTAACTGGCACGATCGATACGCTCCATGTGTACAATGTAGATATCATGCGAAATCCGCTCCGGATCTACTTCGTAACTGTTGACGGTGTCACAGCGTATGTGGGCCTCACAAATCTATCGCTGCGTGTCAGCGCCATAATCACAGTGTGTCGTGGCCATTTCATACCTGTCACTGTGATATACTCTGCTCTCTCCGCCCAACAGCTCCTTCTCCATTGCCTGAGCTGCGTAGTACCTTCTCACTTGGTCCCGATCTTCTTCTGCTTGTAACAATGGGATGAGGTGGATGCGCGACCACATCTTCTCACGCGCTAGCTCGCTGTCGGGCAGTCAGCTACACTTGAAGGCCATACACCTCGGATTACAGCTCACTTTAGCTCCCTAATGCCTACAGTTGATCGTCAGCAGTGTTCGAGACGACAAGGGGGCATTCGAGTACGCACCCTGTCCGACTCTGTACCACCCGTAACCCATAACCCCAGCGACTATGAGGAGATAGGTCGCTGGCCTGAAGCCTCGGATAGGTAGGTTGCGTCTGTACTGGACTGGCTCGTAGCCGCCCGTAGGCGGCATATCCTGAGGCATGTTGTCGGGGGCGCGTAGTGGTGAGGGGTGGTGTGGATAGAGGACAATGCTCGCTCGTAGTGAGGTGTAGGAGTTGTGGGAGGTGTTGCCTCGTGCCGAGGTGCCTCGCATCGGAAATGGCGCTGAGTCATCCACCAGACAACTTCAAGCACAAAAAAAGTGACAATTTGTCCACCATGCAGAACGTGTACATGATTTTCTCATGGGTGTGTCGACAGTGGAAGCAGGCGCAATGCAGTCGGACGAGCGACCTGCGAAGATGCGCAAACTTAGTCACGGGTCACCAAGCGAAGATCTTGCCATGTCAGCGACAGCCCGAGGACTGAGCGACAATGGCTCTCTTGCTCATACTGCTCCAGGCCCATCTGTATCGTCGACTCAGGATGACAATGGAGACACTACAGTGTTGGATCTGTATGGGCATCGTGAGGGGGTCTCATCATTGCCAAATCCCACTGAGATTGCACCCGTCGCAAACAGCGACGTGGCGGAGACTGACGAACAGCCACCGCTGTCTAAAAATGCACAGAAGAGACTCCGCAAGAAGCAAGAATGGGAAGCTAAACGCGAAGACCGCAAAATGATCCGCAAGGAGAAGCTGATCGCTAAGCGCGAACGAAAGCGAGAAGCACGTCAGTTGAATGGCGAGTCCGCACCTCTTCCGGTTACCAAGAAACTGAAGCAGCAAAAGCCGATGCAGCTGCCAGTAACCTTTCTGATCGACTGTGACTTCGATGATCTCATGAAAGATAATGAACGAATCTCATTGGCCGCTCAAATCACTCGGTGTTACTCCGACAACAAGAAAAGTATGTTTCGAGCTCACCTAGCCGCGTGCAGCTTTAAAGGTAAGTTAAAGGAGCGCTTCGACAACGTTCTCACTCACTACAAAGAGTGGCGCGGGGTCCGGTTCCTTGATTGCGACTTTGTGCAAGCTGCTGAGGAATCCGCAACTTCGATGGTGGACGAGAGCCGCGGCGGAAAGCTTGCTGCGTCTTTCTCTTCCTACGCAGAACTTGACGACGAAGCTCAAGGGAAGCTGAGAACAGAGGGCGAGGTCGTCTACCTCACTTCCGAAGCCGACGACACGTTGTCTGAGCTCAAGCCGTACAGTACGTACATCATCGGCGGACTGGTAGACAAGAACCGTGAGAAAGGTCTCTGCTACAAGCGTGCCAAGCAACGTGGTATCAAGACAGCGAGGCTACCAATTGGCGAATTCATGGAGATGCAAAGCCGGAAGGTGCTGGCTACCAATCACGTGAACGAGATCATGTTGAAGTGGCTGGAGTGCGGCGACTGGGGCGAAGCGTTCGTGCAAGTTATCCCGAAACGGAAAGGCGGGAAGCTCAAGGCAGCATCTGAGCAAGCGGACGATGATGAGCATGCAGATGGCGTTCTCGACAACAACGAGGACATGCCGAAGGATGGTGTCCAATCGGACCTCGACCCTGGTGCAGAAGGCCCTGAGTTGGGTTTGACCTCGGGAGCTAATCAGGCGAACGACGACCACGCCAACGGCGTGAACTACAAAGACATAGATTCGTCGGATCACCGTCCTCAACCAGCTTCCGGACCCGATGCAGAGCGTTTTGCAGCCGATGCTGTTTCGATGGGTTGATCTACACTTTCCGAAGGCGATACTGCACGAGCAAGACTTGACTACAACAACTCGCAACCTGATCAGGCCGAGGTCGGAGCTGTACACTTCATACTTGGTTGCCAATCTGAGGGCCATTGCTAAGGTCTGAGCGCAGCAGGTAGCTGGAAGGGCGAAGCATATGCATTAATTCGACCTACGGCAGCTTCAGTCTTTCAACCACTTTCCGTGCTTTTCTATACATGAGCCAGCATTCGCATCACGCGAACGTAAAGCCTCATGGTAACAACAAAATGCATCGGATGAGCTCTTGTGCGAGGCATCTGCGGGTTCGTGCGGACCGCAGCGATGCGCGTGCCGAGGCGGCCTTCCGCTGACGTGTCTTTGTGAGGTCTCACAAGAAGCGTTCAACAGTTGTCAGCCTCTCAAAGTACAGGCTGATCCGCAAAGGTGACAGCAGATGTGCCGCATCGAGACGATTGAGGCGATGCAGGTACGCGCTGTAGGGTGCTCGGACGTGGAAGCTGCTCGCCTGATTGGACGAAGCTGAACTTCATATGAACTCCTCAACAACAGCCTGACTGTGCCGTAAACATGCATCGTCCCTCTGCTCTGTCATGAGAACACCGTCGAACAGCATAGACAATAATGTGTCTCGGATGTATAAATGCTGCAAATTGCGAAGGTAGGTGATGCTCTCGCATTGTCAAACAAGTCGTCCCTAGTGTCTCGTGTCGAAGCACATCCCATTCGAGCATCCCGAATCACTACGTTGTGTACTTCTTCCTATAGGGAGTGCTGCAGTTATATACGCGACTAAACCTTCAGCAACTCGACGCTACCAATAATTGGAGTCAGAAAGCCGGGCGGTATAAACCCAGTCAACCCTCATCAACCCCAGCATCAAGCATGTATCAAGCGCCAATAGCCTGCATGTCTGCCGGGCCCTCTAAAAGCTCATACGTCAACAGAGTGGCAGCTCAAGCGGCGACAGGGAGTATCACACAGATCGACGAAGCTCAAGCGCTCAATGAATGCATTTATGGTGGTTTGCAGTCACCCGAAGACCGCATGATCTACAACCGGAATCAAGCAGACGCTGATGCCGCAAACACGAAAGGTCTTTCAAGCAAGCGTCAGCGAGCGCGTCATCGACGATCCAAGCGAAGCCACGCTGCCGTCGTTGAGCGCATCAAATCGAGCTGGAAAGGTCCAGTAGAGCAGTGGCTCTCAGAAGATATTACGCCGAGGTCCCAAGGTTCGCGGTTGTATGGCCAGCCACAGCGTTGGCCCGTCCATCTGCTGGAAGCGTTAGAGCACGTCTCTCGATTGCTTCCGGATGTGGCGGAGGCTCGCGAAGCGCTCGAAGGGGTCGTAAATGCTCGCATGTCAAAGTCCCACGAACGTAAGAGTATCATAGTGAAGGACGTAGAAGATGTCATACGGGGCTTGAGGGGCAAGCCTGAAGGGTTGACACCCAGTGCCCACCCAGCGGCGCTCATGCCGACGATTGCATGCGCCGATACGACCTTAACAGCTGATGCGACGTCCGCAGGCAATGCTATGCAGTACGACGATCTGCGACAAGTCACCGCGCCACTGACCGCCCGCCGACAGGGGAAGCAGCCGGTTCCAAGTGCTACTGACGCAATAAGTTCTGCAGCATCGGTGACTGGAAGTCCTATTGTCAAGCATGAAGCGATCACTGACCCAGCCATCGGACACATACCCACTACAGCACGGCGTCCGCATACACGACCTCCACTGGACTGGATTGTTTCAAGGATCGAGAAGCTTGCCTCGGAGCGTCAGGACTTGGTCCTGCAGCGTGCAGACTTTACTCGTAAGCTGGCCAATCTCGAGCGTATGTGGGGACATGGCGGTGCCCCCGAAGCGATAGCGGGTTATCAGAAAGACATTGAGAGCAAGACCAGAGCCATCAATGACAAGAACCGAGAGATTGGAAAGCTGAAGGCAGGCTTGGAAGATGGTTCCCGTAGGCAACATGGAGAAGGGCCGATCCTTGTCGATTAGTTAGAGACATATACCGGAGTTCTTTTTCACGTGAGCATGCGGTGGCACGGTAACTTGTGAACTGCATAGGGGCGAATGGGATGGTTCTGGTTCATTTTAGACGACTCAGCAATGTGATTCAGGGTTCGGCCAACGGATCGGCGTTCGGGCGTTCTATGCCGCGATGCAACTAATGACATTGCACTTCCCTCGCTCTTCTTCAATCGCATATTCATCGTTGACTGATAACACCTCGGATACTGTGGTAGGCTCCATAGCTTCTTCACTACGACAACGTAAGGTGTAGAACACTCCAGAGCAATGTCAACCGTGCCGGCTGCACTGCTGTATCCAAGCCCTTCGGCATCAGCGCTTAAGCAGCATTTCGTTGGCAGGCATATCCAAGACATTCAGCCCCCAGCTGCCATTCTTGATGTGGCGGTCATCCGTCGTAACTGTCGACTGATGCTTGAAGCAGTTCAGGCACTCAACGTCACCTTCAGAGCGCACGTCAAGACGCATAAAACGACCGAGTTGACGAAGCTTCAAGTTGGTGAGCATTCGGACTGCGTCAAGCTGGTCGCATCGACGGTCTCCGAGATCGAGAATCTGCTCCCATGGTTGCTCGAGTGCAAAACCGCTCGGAGAACAACAAGCGTTCTGTATGGAGTTCCTGTGACGCCGTCGTCCATACCCCGGCTGGCTAGCATTGTTAGAGCGCTAGGCGAGGGCACAGTTGGTGTCTTTATTGACCATCCGTCCCACACTACAGCTTTAGAGCAGGTTGATGCGGCTATATGGCCTGGTCAGATTCCCGTCTGGATCAATATAGATGTTGGTGGGTCGAGCAATGTGTGATCCCACCGGATTGTCAGGGGCATCGCTAACCCTCCCTCTAAGGCTACCATCGCGAGGGCGTCAGTGCGCAGTCAGGCCAACTCGCCGATATCGCATACGCTCTGAAATCCTCCGAACGCACTAAGTTAGCAGGCCTTGTACGCTCCATGAAATGCACAGACTGGGTTCGAGCACGCTAACCACTCAGTCCAGTATACCCACATGGGGCATTCATATGCTGTGACCAGCCCCAAGGAGGCGCTGGAACACTTCGCTAAGGAGCTAGAAGGTCTTGAGCAAGGCGCCATCGAGTTTCTCAAAGTTACCGGTGCGCACCAAAGTGCCAGCAGCGACGCGGAGAAAGTGACCCTCTCGATCGGCGCTACCCCTACAGCGACATCAATACAGAACCTTCTGGAAGACACGGTAGAGGCGTCAAATTATCGGGCAATGATCGAGAAGCTCAATCAGTCTTTCACCATCGAGATCCATGCGGGAGTCTATCCAGTATTGGATATGCAGCAGCTTGCGACGCGTGCAAGGCCGAGGCAAAGCCTATCAGCGCCGACCAAGAGTCTTCTGTCATTCTCAGACATTGGGCTGAGGACTCTTGTCGAGGTCGCAAGCCTGTACCCTGACAGAGGCGAGAGGCCAGAAGCTCTGATTGCCGCAGGCTCGATAGTCTTGGGGCGAGAACCGTGCCACAGCTATCCAGGCTGGGGCGTGGTATCACCCTGGCCTACAGCACACGGGCCACATTATGATCCCGAAGGAACCAGGACCGGCTGGATAGTTGGCCGAATCTCACAGGAGCACGGTGTTCTGACCTGGGAAGGTGACGCGAGCGATGTTCGTCCGCTGTCAATTGGCGAAAAGTTGCTGATTTGGACCAATCATGCATGCATCGCTGGTGTTAACTTCGGCTGGTACCTCGTTGTAGACTCCGACACGCCCGATCCTAACAGCATCGTAGACTGTTGGCTTAGGTGGCGTGGTTGGTAGTATGCATGAATCAAGTTCGTCTCATCGTCCAACATTATCGAGGTTGATGGCTTCTTTCTCTCGCAGAGCACTTGCGGCACGACTAGCTTCCATGTTCAGCTCTGCGGTAAGCTGCGCGCCGAGACTGAGTTCCCGGGTTTCCCTGGGCTCGTCTTTATCGACGTCGACGTCATCAACGTCAATGCCGTTGTACTCAGCAATCTTGAGAAGAAGGGCTGTTTGCTTCTCGAGTTCAGACTGCAGCTTCTTCCCCGCTGCCTCCCGTTCTCTCCGTGCCTGGTCGTGGAAAGTGGCGCTATTCGTACGCCATTTCTCCTCGCGAGCTTGACTTTTGTGAGCATTTGTCTGCCGGCAGGACTCTAGCCAAGGTATGAGCCTCGTGATGTTTGCAAGCTCAGACATGGCGGTCGCGCTTGCGGCGTTCATAGCCTTTCCGAGTACGTCTTGGGATGTTATTAGTTGTTTAGATGTGGCGACCTGGCCCTCTCTAGTCGTCTTCTCGACTGTGTTAAGTGCATCATAAAGCCAGCCGCCTTGTTTCACCCACTCGGTGTGCCATTGCTTTAGAAAGTTCATCTCAGAGCTCGAGCTTCGGTGTGTGAGTAGGGCGATTGTCTCCGGTAGTAAGCTGTTCGTGTCCGTTGTATGGTGGAGGGTCATAGGGTCAACTTCCGATTCCGTACGTGCACGCTTGGGTGGGGGCACCTCGATCACATCGTCATCGTCGTCTGCAGCAGCTCCAGACTCCGGCAAGACAGAAGGTCGTTCCGGCCCATTGCTACTCGTCGAAGACGGCGCGCTTTGTAGATCGCTTGCAGAAGGGAGGAAGCGCTGATTGAAAGCCTTAACATCGAGGTAGTTGTCATTGACGGTCACGGAGTAGGTATGTTCTTTGGCAGCAGGTCCGCCGACTCGGAACTTGATTTCCGCCACCTACACATTGATGAGTTAGTGGGGTCAGCTGTGTCTCACATATACGCAAAGGCAACCGCGTATCGTTCGGCTTACAACTTGCACGTTCCGCTGCTCGAGTCGCTGCACTGACTGCTGGAGAGTGCTTAGCAATTTCGAAGCTCGCCGCGACTACCGTACGTGTGGTTGAATATCTTGACGTCGCCATCAAAGTCATGTGTGATCTTGGGCTCGCTTGAAGACCCACTACTTGATGTCGGTAAGGGCGCCGCGGTGGACATGTGGAACAATCTCGTTGCGAAGCGATCAACGCCTATTCACTCCGTCAGGTGCCTACGCCCGCACGTCCATCTGATCACCTCAAGCGAGACGCCCAATATGACGTTCCTTAGCAGTGCGGAACCAGAATGCTTAGGCTCTGCTTGGCCGGGCGTCGCGCCACTCACGAGGTTGTACGTAGTTTCAACGGCCGCAGCGATTGTACGACTGCGCGATGGGTGAGTCAGTACGTCAAGGCAGACCCGCACTTTCCCGTGCTACCGTTGTCATGGATGCGATGGTTTGGTGCGTTTCATACACAACACGTCGTTGGAGCAGAAAGTGGAGAGGGACTAGTATGCATTATGCACGAGAGTGCGCTCGAATGGGGCAAAAGCAGGGTCGGCGCGCTTTTGGGCAATCCCAGCCGCAAGACAAGCCATGGCTGGCGTGGCGCTGAGGTAAAAGCGTCGATGCCCACGTACACGAACGAGGGGACCGTCGCGGCAATGGATCCGGTGGCCGCACAGGCTGCTGTCGGGGCTGAGCTCCCCTGTTTCGAATCTCCCACCAGCAGCTCTCTGCGTGCTGGATGAGATGTTGTCACACCGTCCTGTAACCTTCTGCTTGTGGGACATTGTATCACTTTGTCTTCATATTCCCTTCTCTCCTGTCTCTTAGTTATCTTGCTTGGACGCAGAGTGTTTGCTTGTCCACGGCGTTCGCGCACCTATCAGTGTTTTGCGCGTATGCGAGGCCGTTAGACGATCTGCACATTTTGATCGTCTCTGTAGTCTGGGAGGTGTCGACGACTTAGCCATGTTAAGGCGCTTGGCTAACGGATAACTGAAACCTGAAACCATACATAAAGCATGGCCCAGGTGCAGTCCAGTGACAGCAGTGATGAATATCACTCCCTTTCTAGTCCAGACCGTACGGATACCACCGATGATGAGGACTCGATAATCGAAACACCCGAACATCCTGTAGCTTCGATGCAGGCGGCCTTTGAGGAGAGCATCCGCGACTCTACTGAGGAAGCTGATGCTTCGCCTGCATTGTGCGACGTAGATGCGGAGACTCGACGGAAACAGCTCCTCGAAGCTCAACAATATGACGACTCTTGGGCGACAAGATGGAGACAACCCGCCAACACGCAGCATCATCCGGTCATGAAGCTCATGGCGCAGGTAGTATTTGGCCTGCATCTCCTGCAGCAAGGCCAAGCGAAATCAAACCCAGAAGTCGTGAAGATTCTCCAAATCCATGTGAATGAAGTCGACAGTTTCCTCGAGCGTACCTCGCAGGACTTCGACCTTGCTATAGCGGATATTGAAGAACGGCTACGACATCTTAGAATGCCAATGAATCATCTCGATGTCTTCAACAAATTGCTAGACGATAAGAAGTTCCGAACGCAGTTGCTGGACGGAAACGACAAGATCGAGGAGATCATTGACCGCACAGCACGCGCGATGAACGGTGCATTGTCGGACGTCAAACAAGGGCTCAAGGCCACTCAAGAGCTACGACGTTACCTTAGCAGTGTGGAAAGTGAATGGCCTCAAGGCGAAGACGACATTGCCGTGGTTTTTGGCGCAATGCGCGGGAACGAGCAGGGCTGGACCACGTACATGAAGGAATTGCAAACAAAAGGGAACAAGCTCGGCGACAGTCTCATACAGCTGGGCACCATTACCGGTCAGATGTCCAAACTCGCTGCCGCGGCAAGTCGTCGCAACAGGTCGCACAAACGATCCGTGTCGCCGACGCAGTCTGCGCGAACTGCCCCAGTCTCGCCAGTTTTGCGGTCAAAGTTTGCTAAACAGACTCATACCCCAACCTCTTCTGCTAGCCTCTCTCTCAACAAACCGCTGCCCAGAGAGCCCGATGTCGCAAGCAGTGCAGCAAGGATAGCCACTTCCAAAGCTCATCCGGTACCGTTTGCTCAGCGCTATGAGAGACCTAGGAAGTCGCCGGAATCGCCTGCGCATACGGCTAAACGAAGTGCAAGCGCCGCATATAGCCTTCCGCAGCGCCCAAAGACAGCAGGTACACCAAGGGATGCTCGAGTGGAGAACACTAGTACCGCTGAGCTCGCTGAGTTCCTGAAGCATACTAACCCCCTGCGGAGCAACCCGCCTGACCGCGCAACTGCTGCGTTGCGTTCGGGCCCAACGAAGCTGGCACGCTCACGGAGTCAAGCGGCGTACGAGACAGCAGCAGCCGCCGATTCCGCGGTGGCGCGATCCAAGAGCCATAGCACAGCGGTGTTGCTAAAGGGTTTCCGGGACAATGAAGGGCGACGCCGAAATGGCAGCCGCGCTGCAGATACGGTACTTGATGCAATGTCCGAGTCTGCTCCGCGAAAGGACTCTGTGACTAGGTAAGACTACACCACAACTCGTTGTATCAGAGCAATTGTATGCTGACAGCGCTTGTTAGCACTGGCTTCGCACGCCGCGTCTCCCACCGCATGAAGCACATCACGTCCCCGGATGACCTTCCGCCGGACGGCGCTGCTGTCGCCGCAAATCAGGACCGGCGTGTGCGTCCATCCACTGCCCAGGTTCAACCGCCCACTCGCGAGGCAGAAAGCAGAATTGAACACCCTCGCCCGCCATCGCGGCTTGGTCTGTTCCCGAAGGCTGCAGAGCCGCTGACTCCGCTTGCTGCAACCATGCGTGACAAGCCGAATGGCACCACGGCGAGCGCCAGTGTCGTGCACTACACGCCAAATGCGTCATCGCCGCCCTTGCCGGCTGGTATGCCCAGGGGTCGGACTCTGAGTATTCGCAACATCTTCCACCGCAGGGAGAGAAGCAGGCTGGCAGATTAGGTATTGAGATACAGCTGTGTGTAACTTCGATGTGGTATGTAGATACCAGTAAGCGTAGATGGATTCAAGTCTCTCCAAGGCCTCCAACTCCACGCTAATTTATCATCAACCATATTGCCAACCTTATAGCCCGTGCCTCTTTCCTTCAGGGCAAATACGCCCCACTAGCCATGACTAAGTTCATCTGCGTGAACTTGACTTTATACACTGGGCTCTTCTTGGTCTTGAAGTCACTGATCATGTCAGGAGTGGCTTGTTCCCTCCCCTTCAGCTTCCCGCCACCACCACCACTGGGCTTACTAACTGAGGTATTACCGCCGCCAACGGTAGCGCCATCGATCTTCGTGACATCGCCGTTGGTCTTCGCATAAGTCTCCTTTTGCGGCTGAACATCCCAAATCCTTACCGACTGGTCTGCGCCTCCGGACACGAGCACCGTACTCTCGACCGACCAATCGAGCGACCAGATACCGCCAGCACCGTGGCCACGCATACGCTTAATCAAGCGACCCGACCGGAGATGCCAGAGGATGATCGTGCCCTTGTCGTCCGCACTTGCCACGATATGGCCGTTCGGCGCACAAGCGATGGCCGTGACATTACCCGCATGACCAGTGAATATGCGGACTTGGGTGCCTTTCACCAAGTCCCACATCCTCACCGTGCGGTCACCAACACCAGCGCCGGTAAAGACATACGCGCCATTTGGATGCCAGGCAACGGTCTCCACATCGGAGTCGTGCCCGACGAACAGTCGTAGAGGCGCAATCTGCGGAGTGCTCCAGAGCCTAGCGGTACGATCTGCAGATGCGGACACGAAGTAGTGGCCATGCGGACAGAAGCGGACGTCCCAGACGGGAGCGTTGTGGGAGCGGTAGACAACTATGTTGCTCCAAGTATCGAGGGACCAAAGTCGGATGGTGGTGTCTGCTGAGCTGGACAGCATGTACCGCGGCTGTGAGTCCGGTGAGGTAGTTGTGTGAATGTGGCCGTTCGTGCGCGGTTCCGGCAACGCGGCTGACGGAGAGAAGGAAAGTGCGTATACGGGCCCGGAGTGACCAATCAGCCTGCGGGAAGCAGATGGCTGGAAGCCTGGGGGATCTTGCGGCGATGTAAGAGCGCGGTCTTCCAGCGACCACACTCGGATGTAAGACTCTGCCGTGCCGACCGCGACGAGCGTATTGTCGCCAGAGAACTCGATGCAGTTGACGCTATCGAAGGTATTATGGAAGGTGAACATAGTAACGCTGACGCCGGGTCCGACGCCTCCGGTCTTGCCTTCGATCCGAAAGCGGTCGCGGTTCTCCCTCACTTTCTGCACCTCCATCGCAACATCTCGGGCCGTGGACGCTGGAAACGGAATGGCATCTCTAGGCGGCGCAGTATCGTCAAGCGGCTCGGTCTTGATGCGCTGCTCGAACTGTTCCGATAGCGAGCTTCGTCCGGGTGGCGGAGGATGTAGTAAGTCTTCTGTGGTCAGCTCTGCTTTGACATCTTCCATCAGATCCGGCTCCATTGGCAGTGGTCCGAGCGCAAGACGGTTAAGCGCACTAGTAGCATTGGGGTCAAGGTTGGCGGAACCTGGGTGGTGTCCAGGTATGCCCTCATCCTCCGCTGGTGCTTGCTCCTCGCCCTGCTTTTCTTCCATCAAGCGTTGCAGACTCCGGGCGCCTCCCAAAGCCGCACGATCGACGGTGCGTAGCAAGAGGTGATTTGTAATAAGAAAAGTGATCTGTTTACCACCCTCGCTCTCCTTCGTTTCCAAGAACTCGATCAAGGTTGCAAAGGCCATCTTACTAAGAGTAAGCCGATACCTATTCTCACGATAGATCGTAGCAACCTCATTTTCCTGGACGTGCTCTGGAAGATCAATGCCGCTCAGAGCGCGCAGATCGTCGCTATGCTCCTCTTCGAAGAACTTGCTGTAGGTGGAGAAAAAGTCACGTGCATCACGCGAATAGGCATCGGCGGCGCACTGTAAGTAGCAGTAGACGAAGAGTGGCCACAGCAGCCGCCTTAGCTCGGGCTTGTAGATGTCAAGGATGTTGTCGATCCATTCACGGAGAAGCTTGAAAGCGAAGAACCACTGTTGGCCACCCAGACGGTCCGCAAAGCTCAGAGCAACAGGTTGGCCATGCTCATCGAGTGTCGCGACATTCGAACTTTCCTTGCGAAGCATAGCCTCCGTTCGGCTGTAGCCCTTCTTCGAAAGATACTCCAGAACCTGAAGTGTAATGTTAGCATACTGCTCGTGTAAGGCTGGTATAATGAATCCGTGGCGGGCACAACCGTGGTATCGTTAGGTCGACTTAGAAGCGCGCCCACAACACGGGCATAGTCGGTATGTGACAATTTGGACGCAAACGCCAATCCGCGACAATTCGAGGCCATATTGTGCAGAGGAGGTTTCTGGGGTTGCTCGCTTGGACGATCCGGACAACAAGTTGACTCCAGACTAACGACTCACAATCTGGTTCAGGTTTTGTTGCGGGTTCTGGCCTTGTCCACCAGGCGTTCCTGCGGGCGTCGAATTCATGCCGCCTGCGCTTGGAGGGCCAACGCTTGCCGTCCGCGCTGGCGGAGGCGGTTGCGCAGCCATGGCGTGTGATAAGCGTCAATCACATGGACTCAATCAGTGACTGCCCGAACAGACCGATGGGTGGCTTCGGGCGGCATTCATGGGAAGCGACACAGTGTATGCACTGAAGGTGTCTCAGTGTTTGGGAAGTTGAAGTGAAGGCTGACAACTTTATGCCTTAGGCTTCCACTTTACCATGCAGTGCGCCGGCAAGCAAACCTTCTGTTCTCACATACCGTCGATAAGCAAGTCTACTCACGTACCGCTGAGAGGATGCTCCCGGAGCAATGGCCGTCTTGGAGATCACGCCTGCGGAACGAATACGCGAGCTCAACGACATCAGTGCAAGCCTCACTGAGACGCTGAGACACATGAGCCAAGCGATCAATGCTCTCTCTCCCACCGCGCCAAACCAAGAGAACAGTGTCGACGCACGCACGGAAGTGTTTGATGAGCATTCGCGAGCGGCATATGTGGGTATCCAAGCATTCAATGCCAAGATGAAGAGGCAGGCTTATGCCCTCGAGGAGGCAGGCATTATCGCCGCAGAAGCGCCCACCATCGTGACGGTGAACCCACTGCAACGGGAAATCTCTAATGCTTCAAGCACAGCTGGGGTAGAGAAGATCACGAACGGTGGGCTCGGCAACTTTGATGTCGGTTGGCTTAACAGCAGAGGCAACAAGGTTGGCATGGAGAAGGAGGCCGAGCTGATGCAGGAGGCCAGAGGATTGCTCGAAACAGAGCTGAAGAAAAGAGGGGATGGTGCAGTGGTGGAATGAGGCCGAGGAGGCGTGACAGATATCGCACGTCTACCCTGAAACGCGTCTTGCAGTCAGCCTGCGCGAACGGCTACAAAAAACCAGTGCGTGCTATGCGTCAACAGGCTCGACGGTCGTCGAGGCAGACCTGAACTCTGGGCGAACTCAATACTTCATACTTGAACGTTGGTATTACGTGCAGACATCGCCACTGTTCCAGGGTACACCTAACGAATTACGGCAATCTAATCGTTAGTGCAAGCAATGTTCAGATCTATCAATTGCTGACTAGCTACAGAACCACCATGAGATGAGAAATTATGGGTATTGTAATCCGATTACATCTGACCTGCAGGCTGACAGCGTCAAGCATCAGCCCCACGACAATTGGGCTGCAGTAAGCGGGTAATGCCACCGCAGGATGAACACTGCAGATTGTCCACGCTATCCACTTCCCGCCGTGAGCGCATGCTGAATCTGTCAGATGCGGTTCAGAGACGATGCTGACCCGACGATACCGCCGTCGACCAGGCTTACTGATTTACGATAGCATGGCCGGCTGAAGCCCACCGTCTGCTCTCCACATTCCAATCATTGGAGCACTTGTTATTAGTACGCCACTATCGCTCGTGAGATCTCTTGGGACACCATGAGTGAAGTGTTTGGCGCTCTGCAGGAGTTTGCGTCCAATTTCCAGCTATACGACGCAACCTTCGAGCGGAAGGCTATGGATACCAACGTTGCGTTTGCAACGCCTTCAGATCCGCGGTTACCTATGAGGCGGCGCTTTGATGCACGACAGGAACTGGTTATTGTCGAAGTTGGTGACACGAGCGAGAAGTTTACGGTTCATCATCCTGTGCTGTGCAAGTCGTCGCGGTTTCTCGAGGCAAAACTCAAGCCTCAATGGTCGCCACACAATGCCAACGACTGCAAGGCATGCCTTATCCTCTTGCCAGAGCAGGACCCGGAAGCCTTTAACCTCTACGTGAACTGGCTATACATGGCTGGCTTGCCACTCGCCGACCCTTCGAACGATGACGATGAAGCCCATTACGAAGACTGGCTACAGCTGGCTGCCGCATACGTTCTGGGCGAGGCGCTTATAGACCCCCTGTTCCAGCATGATGTTCTGGATGCCATGAGAGCCAAGCTGCTCTCACGTAAGGGCGAGACCATTCACATTGTTGTTGCCGATATGGTTTGGCTTATATGCGATGGCACGCTTGAAGATTCGCCCGCGAGAAGGTTTCTGGTTGACGTCTTTCTGTGCGGTTCGCCTAATAACAGGTTAAGCCCTGTCGTGCTCGCGAACGACTTGCCGACGAACTTCGTCCACGAGGTAAAGTGCGCGCAGGCGAGAACTGGCGAGAGGGCGTTCTTTGATGTGATGAAGACAATGCCGAAACCAGCTTGGACGAATGCAAGTATCCCCTTCTTGCTTTGAGCGCGCCCTTCGATGTCGGTAGCGGATAGAATGCTTGCACTGCAGGTATCTGCAATGCATATCCGCAATGCATTTCCATGTATCAGGAACCGAGTCCAGAAACAACTCCATTGCCCTGGGCGACAAGAACGACGACCCATCATAGGTGCAGGGCCGGCGAAGGCGTGCGAAGGCCTACGAAGGCCTACTGTGAAGGCGGCGGCGTTGTGTTACAGTTCACTGTAGCTGGGGATTTGTAGTGCTTAGGGATTTGTAGTGCTTAGCGTTACCGGACTTTGTGAACCTTCCCACAAGCATCGGTGTGGTCTCGGCTGCTACGGAGACCATGGCACTGTACCACGCGGATGAGTAGACCATCCAGCTGTGATTCCAACTCAACCCTTCTTCTTCCTCGCCTCCTCCGGGTTCCTCAACGTCTGCAGATTCCACCTTGGATTGTCGCTCTCATTCACCGGCGCCCATCCCAGCTGGATTTGCATCAACTTTTGATCCCAATCCTTCGTAAAGCTCCTAATCCTGCCATCCTCCACTTCAAAGATTGCGGCCGCGCTCCACCGGGCATGGTTTCCATTCGGCTCAATGCCCATATACGGTTTGCCTTTGAAATTGCCTTCAGCCGTATATCGTAGTAAGACGTGTCCGTTCTTGGCGAAGACTTGATCGTAGCGTATAATGTGGAGGTCATTGACGGAGGCCATGACGTGAGCGTGAGATTCGGCGTAGTCCATGGGTGTTTCGCAGTTAGGGAAGGTGCTGGGAGCCCAGAACCAGGCGTCCTGATGACATAGGTGTTGCACGGACGAGGCGCCATTGTTGTCCGTCGGAGAGTAAGCGATGGACATGTATTGCTTGCAAATGTCGATGTTACTCTGCTCTTCCGACGTTTGGTCGGTGGACATAACGGTGGGTGGCTGCTCTGAAGGCATTGTGATTGGTACAGAACGCAATGCAATCCTACCTTGTCTTTTGGTTCACAAGGTGATGGGCACAATGTGGCTTCCCCGTTGGCAATTGTTCATAGGAAGATGCGAACACGACGAGGGTTTTGATCGAGCGTGTTGTGAATCTTGATGTCACCAGAATAATGTCTTGAGCACGGATCACAACTTGCTATAAGTGGGAAGCAGGTGACTGGCAGAAGACACTAGAGACCCAAACCGACCAAAGCGCCTACGCTCCCCCCTGCAGAGAACCTCACACATCAGCCCCGCAGTGCAAGATCCTCCCCATCAGGGCCTATCAACCTCGTCCGGCTGACGCTCCTTTCACGGCTCTCGTAGCTTGCGCCAGAGAAATCTCTGATCCCACCAGATAACGACCGCCTTCCCCTCATCACTAGAGGTCTTAAACCACCCATTTCCATCTCGGAATCATCTTTATTGTCAAAGCGCATCTGGATAGGTGTCCTCGCGGGAGAGACGTCGCGGCTATACCTGCCGCCGCCAACGGCGATCACTTGCGCCCCTGCGCCGCCAGCGTCCGCGCAACCTAAGCAGTTGTTGCACTCCGGATGCCTACGAGTCATGAGAGTTTCCACCCCAAGCCGGAAGAAGAACCAGACCTAGGACTATGTCAGCATTGTTCAAGTTGGGCTTAAAGTCATTAGTCTGCATACCACTTGCAGGAAAACCAGGTCCGCTACCAAGACGGAGATGAGGAGGTTGCCAATTGACTTGCGTTGTGGTACCTGGCACAGGTACGAGGCACTTAGTGTTGACGGTGTCGTACCCAAAGGCCCAGACTGCTCAGTCCCGTATTGCCTAACTGCAGGTCCGGGGTAGGCATTCGCAATATTATGTCGTGCTTCGCTGAAATTGGCGGTAAAGTATTTTAACTGATCAGGGTCCAAGAGAATGTTTGACCTTGCGGAAGACTGTCCCAGATCAGCAAGCACCGTGGAGTAAGCGGCCTTCGCAAGGATGTCAGCGTCCTGCCAGATATTAGGATAGGCTTGCATGCTAAGCAGAGTCGAGAGCTGAGTATGCTCCTTGTATTCGCCATAGCTGCCCGGATAGACTATGTCGTAGTTACCCAAGGATTTGTCGATGATGAACCGGAAATCGCACTGGAAGAAGTCGGGATCTGTCATGTTGCTGACGACTTTGTTGGTATTCGGGTAAAAGTACATCGTGCCTTTGCGGACGGCCGGCTGGTTGTTCGAAGTTTGGTTCGCTCGTATGTTTTGCATCTGATAGGTACTGAACGCCCAATACATCGACATCAGCGACTCGCCCCAGAACAAGCTCGACTTGCTCGTCTTGTTTCGTGACAGAAAGTTTGTGCCCAGGAACGTGTACAGCGTCATCGCGCTAACGTCAGATGGCACATAGTCGTACTCTTGAGTTACATTAAAGTTGGTAGTGCCATTCGTGCCGACGATCGAGCATGTGGCGTAAGTGCGGACGACAGCGCCCCACTCGGAGTAGGCAAACTGACTTGCTGTACGATCCATGGCGGCATAGTCAATTTCCACAGAGTTCACAGTGCAGTTCTCCAGGATGTTGTTGAAGTAGGTTAGGGATGGTGCAACACCGTTGCCAGCTGCAGCTCCACCACCACTCGGCTGCCATACATCGGTCAGGGTGTAAGTGAGCGCTGTTTGGTTGGTAAAGAGCTCGCTTCCCAGGGGCACGTTGACGGTTTGGCATGACGGCTGTACTTTGTTCGTTAGAAAAGCGGGTATGTGGCGGCTCCATACTCCGTTGTTGGCCATCGTCGCATTGGGGTCAGCCGACTGCTGGACTACCAGTGTATAGCCACTTGTTACAAGGTTCAGGAAGGAAAACAAGATGGTGAAGACGATGAAGCCCACCACAACAACCGGCGTAAACCACCGATATGGGTATGGTCTCGTGATTGAGTAGCTGAACGACGAAGCGTGCTGTGAGGTTGACATCCTGCCGTAGCCACCACCGAACCGCGCGAAACGTGCAGAAGCCGACATGCTTTCGAAATGTAAGTCCTCTCCTCCAGTTACCAGGATCCCTCGTACTCGCTGTCCGGAGGGGCGACTTTCGCTCTGGAGATGGGAAGGTCCAGTAGGTGCTCCGAGTGGGGGAGGTGGAGATGAGGGAAGAGAGGTTGTTGTGCAGGCACGGGAACTGAAGGCACGGGGAGTACTATACCATATCTGATGTCGAATCTAGCATTAAGCGGCGTCGAGTGCCAACAGCTGCGCCATTCCAGCTGAGACGCCATGGCTGACTTTGGTTGTGCCAAAAGCTGCGGTCAGATTCTGGAGCGCGGTTAAGGGGCAAGCGTTCACTCGAACAGTCGTCGTCTAGACCTAAAATAGAACGGCTTAGCGTCCGTCTCGATCGATGCTGTCGCTTAGTAAGGTCTTCTCCTCCACAACGGCTCTGCCTCATTTCCAATCACAGAGGTCATCCTCTACAGTTCCATACATGGGATTAACATGAGTCGGGCAGGCCAATGTCGCGATTTACTTGGGAAGCGCGAGTGGTCAAGCGTATCGGCTGGACAATGTAAGCTGGTGCACTACCACAACAATCTTACACGCTTAATTTGCGTTTGCTAAGTGCTCGCGGCTTTGCGCTTGGACGAAGCTTGCTCTTCCCTTGAAAATGAAGAGAGTACACTCTTGCAGCCGTAACGACTCCCGAACACGATAGGACATATCACCCAACTTGTGTAGCCACCGTACAGGCTTCGCAAAACCGGGCAGGGGCTGCTCCTCACCTTCGCTGCTCATTTGCAAGGCGTGTCTGGTATACGAGAAGTTACGAGCGACAAGCGCCCTTGTATCCTGGAACGTGATCGTGCGATCTCATCTAATATGCGACGCAGCTCAGATGGAACGCCTCCATGAACCACCAAAGACTACCTGCATCAAATGATTCGCCTTTCCTCGACCGTACAAGTCCTTGAAAACTAGACTTTAACTCGTCAACCATCCTGATGAGTTGCGGATGCTGTTCGGCGTAAGATTCGCCCTCGTCGAATTTGATATCGGCTTCTTTGAGATCCAGTACAACTCTGACCCACTGTCTTCGGGTCATATGTCCGAAAGGCAGTCGTGTCCAGCCGCACAATGCCAGCCTACGCAGACAAGCGACGTTCTGCTCGCCAATAGCGTACAGCCAGCGCCGTGCCGACTCCAGATCTTCGCGGAGAGATATTTCGGCCAAAAAAAGGTTGTTCGCGTAGAAGACGTCCAAAGCTTCCCGCCGAAGTTGGTGGTTGACAAAGGATAATGCGGGTTGAGTGGCGCCCACCTCAGACTGGAAACAGTGCGCATTGGAAAGCATCGTGATTGTGTTGCGGCTTTTGACAACGACCAATTCGTATATCTGCTGGCGTATCTCCGGCGGAAGGGTAAGTAAGCCTTTCTGGGCCACGAGGTCTTCCTCATGCAAAACGCGCTCCATGTAGACAATGGGTTCAGTGTTAGCTTCCATCAGTGTACATAGCGCTCCACGTGATAAGTCGACGTCAGCTGACTATCGACATGCCTGAGCTCGAACGTGCCAATAGTCTCCCCCTTCGGTGATGTACGTTTATATCAACGGCACTCAGTGTGTAGGCAGGTAAGTAGGAAGATGCCTGCCATGCTCCGAAATCAAGAGACCTCGGTTGAACTTCGGCCGCAGCACTCAGACTTCGCATTGCCAGACTTCGCTCGATCATGATTTACTGATCTGGGATGAGCGATGAACAATGGCTGATTACGATAGTGATTCGTCTGAAGCTGACGATGTCGCGACTAACGTACTACTAGGCTACGCCTCCAAGGAACCGACTTCGGACGACTTCAGCCAGCTAGGCGGACATCCAGTATGTCTGCCACCTAACAGCTATCTCCGATTAAGGCTATCAAGCTGACCCAGCCGGCAGAAATGGCTCGATGATATCTCTGCACCAGACGGCAAGCTCGCTGAATGTCTAGTGTGTCATGGGTTGATGAACCTACTATTGCAGATTAACGGTGATCTTCCTGCAGAATTTCCTGGGCATGAACGCAGACTCTACGCTTGGATTTGCAAAAGGAAGCCATGCAGACGGAAAGCAGGCAGTGTTCGAGTGTTCAGGGCGACGAGGCGAACCAGAGTAGATCAGCCGAGGCCAGCCGTCACGGCATCAAGCACCGAGTCCCGGGCAGTCGAGCCGCAAGCCTCCCGAGAACCGGCCAACGTTGGTGAGATGATCTTTGGTGTCAAAGCAAAGCGGGCCGAGGGCGCCAACCCGTTCTCATCTTCCGCGACAGCAACCGCAGCGGGTGCCAACCCATTCGTAAGGTCTTTGTCACCAGCCCCGGAATCAGCACAGAAGTCTGGAGTAGACTCGCTGTCCGAGACATTTGCGCAGAAGGCGCGAATGTCAAGCACAGATCTTCCCGCTACTACACGACGAACGACTGGCCCTGCACAGCCATGGCCGGTCAAGGCAACATTTCCGGAACCGTTCCCTGCGTACTACATCGATGCAGATAAGGAGTACCTCTATGCAACCTCGCAGGATCTGCCATCCAGAGCGAGACTGGATCCGAACGCGATGGAAACGGAACCTGGGAGTAGCTCCACTGATGAAAAGGCGGCTTTCGAGAGCAGTATGGACAAGACGTTCCAGCGCTTTGCTGACCGTTTGGCTCAGAACCCGGAGCAGGTGCTTCGCTACGAGTTCGGTGGGCAGCCGCTCCTCTACTCACGGACTGACACGGTAGGTAAACTCTTGGCACCTCTGCAGGACGTGGCAAGCATCAAAGCGCGGGCCGCTGGAAACGGGTCGCTGATGAGACCATCGCGGTTTCCACGGTGCACAAACTGTGGTGCCGCGCGAACATTTGAGCTTCAGTTGACCCCTCACGCAATAACGGAACTGGAAGCGGACGAGCTAAGCCTGGACGGCATGGATTGGGGCACCATCATTCTCGCGGTTTGTGGTGCAGACTGTCAGGACGGGCAGAAGAGCGAAGACGACATAGGCTATGTCGAAGAATGGGCGGGTGTGCAGTGGGAGGAAATAGCCGACAAGCGACGTTCCTAAGGGCTGGCCGCAGCCTGATACGTGTCCGTGCATAGACTGGGCGTCGCCGGTCCAGACCGCCCGCACTCAGTCCAGCTCAGCTTGTCGCGCTGTCTGGTTGTGAGATTTTCGGCCGTAGCCAGTAAATTCGTGTCATTGCTACAGAGCTCCTGGAGAATGTTAAGGACACACCATTGGAGCAAGGCAGCTGCGAATAACGACCATGAGTCCACTCTTGCACGTAGCACTTGACCAGCCGAGTAATAGACCCTTCACCCTAACACACGTACGCCGAGAGGGAAGGATCATGGAGAGGCGCCGGATTCTGCAGACCGAGCGATCTGCTGCCGCGGCTCATGGAGCTGTCTGCAACGTGCAAACGCATGGGGCCAAGCTGTGTCTAAGGATCGTACCGTGTCCGACGGGTTGGTACCGACGAATCACGGGGCCCTGGCGTGTCAATACTATTGGCGGTCTAGTATTGTCCCCGTCGACGACGTGAGCGCCTGAGAAGATGCCGCCGCAAGGGCAAAGATTCACTTCCGTGTACAGTCAGAGCCTGGGCTTCTTGACACGGCGGGAGTATTAACATTCCCGTTTGCTCTGACCACCCTTGCATCCTACCTAGGAGCTTCGCACATGTCGGGGTACACTCAACGTTCGTAGGCATGGCTGGAGCCCACCACTATGCCATGACGTGAACGCAGGCAAACACGTGCAGGTGGGGCGTGCATCAACGGCTATTTTGACGTTGTCGTTGCGTACAATGCCGAAGCTTCTTCATATTACGAATGCGGTGCACACGTGGAGAGCACGTGTGGACGCCACATCACGAACAAAGAACAAAGACAGAATGGCCACAATGGCTGCTGCCGTGATCAGAGAAACGGGCTGCAACTGACGAGCAAGCTGACATGTCTGTTGCTCGCTCCGCTCCCGAATGGAAAGAAGGTGCTCAAGCAGTCGCCAATCCTCGAAGAAATTCGCCAGATTGCGGAGACCAAATTAATCTCGACGATACCGAACATCGAAGGACGGGACTGCCGTGATGTCCGGTCAAGCTGGCGCGCTATCTGTCGCCTATACTCGGTGTGATCCACCTATCATACGCCGTCGGTTGCGATACCTCGCGATTCTCTCCGCAACGCTCCTCGTCGCCGCATGCCTGCCAACATCGAGACGCCCTGGCGCCGTAGCAGTCTGATAGCCACGTACTACTCGATCGCCGAGCGACTTGTGGCCAGGGTCATCATCGGCGTCCACCATCTGCAGCGAATGGCCCACGGATACACTGCATTCTGGTGTCTTACTAGTCACTATGTGAGGGTGGCCTCGAGCAGACACACGACAGCTGTAAGCGAGTTGCCCGATTGGATTACTCTGGCAGATACACATCGCCTGATTGGGCATATTCGTTCACTGACGTGGTTTAGCAGCATATGCAGACAAGCTGGCGACGCAGGCAGGTTGTACGTGCGCCTTCCGCATATATCTATCGCTCCTTCCCCAGCTGCAAAGAATTGTGCTTTTTCCCACAGCAGCAACGAAAGCACACTTACTCCCACATCCATCTACAACGCCTTCATTCATCAAGCAAGATGAAGATACTCTTCCTTTGCACAGCGCACAATTCGCTGTCTCAGCGCCTCTACCTTGCATTGTCTCCCGCACACGATGTCACTGTCGAGTACGCCCTTTCCGATGATGTGATGATCTCGGCAGTTGCTCTGGCAAGACCCGATATCATTGTCTGTCCATTCTTAACTACGCTCGTGCCACAGCAGATCTACGACAACTACCTCACTCTCATTGTACATCCTGGCCCACCCAGAGACGCTGGGCCAAGCGCTATTGACTGGGTCATCATGGGTGACGACGGCACCACTGACGACCCTACCCACCTGTTAAAAGCCCTCGATACAGGCCCTTGCAATCCTGGACGAAGTCACTGGGGAGTCACTGTGCTCCAAGCCATCGAGCATTTTGACGCCGGTCCTGTGTGGGCTTTCGAACAGTTCCCAATCAACATTGATGACATCGGACTCACCAAGTCCGAGCTATATCGTGGCCAAGTTACGCAAGCGGCTGTGAAGGCCACCATGGCAGCAATCTCACGTGTCCATCAGGCTGCTGTCCCCGACAGAGTCAATGCTAGGCGTCCGTCACTGTTCGACATCGGACTCAAGATTAACACGCTTGTGATCAGCCCACGCTTGAGCGCACGTGGTGAGTACGAGCGTCTCTCCGTCAGCGAGAGCCTTCCGTTCCAAGGCGGTCGTACCCACGAGCGACCACTCCTAAAGGCCGCTGACAGAGAGTTCGATCTGAGCCGGCACACAGCACGGCAAGTATCTCGCCGTATTCGCTGCGCTGACTCACAACCTGGCGTGCTCAGCAAGGTCTTCGGTGGCAGCTTATACATCTACGGTGGTGCCATTGAGGAGGACATCACAACACTGCCACAACACCCCGTTACTGTCGGCGCAGCAACAATTCTCGCTGCTCGCAACGGAGCAGTCTGCGTCGCAACGTGTGACGGCAAAGGCGTCTGGATCAACCATACTCGCCGCCCCAGGAGCAAGACCGACAGGGCGCTCTGGCCGAAGGTGCCTGCAACTTCAGGTTTGGTTGAGCTTGGCATGCTCAGTGCAGCCGCAGTTCAACAACTCGACTCACCGCTCGCTACAAACTGGTGCCGAAATAAGACGCAGACCTTTCAGGAGGTTTGGATTGACTTCACCATCAGTGAACACGGAGACAAAATCGCTCAAGTGCACTTCGACTTCTACAATGGCGCCATGTCCACAATGCAGTGCATTCAACTGATAGAGGCCATGGACTACATCTTGGCGCAGACGACCGCTGAGGAGCCCATCCGCGCGGTCATACTCATGGGTGGCACCTACTTCAGCAACGGCATCGCACTAAATGTGATCGAAGCTGCGGGGGATTCTTCAGCGGAATCGTGGCTGAACATCAATCGCATCAATGACATCATCTACTACCTGCTGCATGAGTTTCCCGTCCGCAAGATCCTCACCTTTGCGTCTATACGCGGGAATGCAGCCGCTGGAGGTGTGGCTCTTGCAGCCGCTTGTGACTTCGTCATGGCTGGTTCCGAAGTGGTACTCAATCCCGCTTACCGGGCGGTTGGGTTGTCTGGGAGTGAGTTTCACACCCTGTCCTACACTGGACGTTGTGGGAAGCCTACAGCAACACAGATCCTGCGGGAGATGCTACCGATGAGCCCGCTGAAAGCTCGGGCCATAGGTCTTGTGGACTTCGTCTACCCAGGAACGGGCAAGAAGCTTGAGGAGCACATTATAGCTCATGTGGGCATGATGGCAAGCAATCCGTACTTACGAGGCGGATTCTGGAAAGCCAACGTTGATCTCTCACCAGCGTCATTGGCTCGCGCGCGTGCTTTGGAGCTTGGCGAGATGTGCAAAGACTTCTGGAGTCAACGCGCGTCAAGGTATCATTCCCGGAGGTTTGACTTCGTCCGCAAAATCAAAGCTCAGCAGACGCCACTGCGTTTCGCTAAGCATCGACGGATGCCCGGTAGACATGACGAGGAGGAGCTCGATAGCTTCGATGACGTGGCGCACTTCGAAAAGGTAGCTCGGCAAGCCATGGAGGACGATGTGCGTGCCAAGATGTGTGCTGATATGACCTCCGTGGCGGCTGACTGGGCGGAGCAGAACGAAAGAGTTCAGTCGAGGAAGATGTCGCGGCATGAATCGGTGGCTTTAGTGGCACCGAGTGACGTGGTAAGAGTGGCTTTCCCAGCAGCAGGAAGCCCAAGGGTCCCAAAGGAGATGCTGTTTTCCTGCTACTATCAGCCGGTGGAAGTACCCTTGACGCCTCCAATGTCGCCTATGGAGGAGCGATCGTCGATCCTAGGTTGAGCCTCCGATGTGATCTCTTATGGCATATTGCGCTGTGAGTGTTCCTGATGTATTGTGGTCTCTAGCGTTTGCGCACAATAGTCAACTAATACGGACCTGAGCATCTGACCACCTAAACGCAACACCTTAATCATGACCGCAAGGCTGGAGCCTACCATCCCGCTTGCACGCAGTCCGGAGGGGTGACGAGGTATATCGCGTGAGCAAACAGAGACTGTGATGATGCCGCTCTTGGAGTCCTGCAGTGAAACTGCAAGGCAAGCAAAAGTGGGGACACTACAACGATGATCGGATACCAATATGCTCGACCTGAGTCGAGGCAATGGACGACGTCAGACGGTAGTGGTATGCACATGCACCGAAGTAGGCGTACCTAGGAGCCGGCTACCAAGTTTTGGCGCAGAAGTCAGCGAATGGCAGTGCAGAAGCGTGGAACTTGATATTGCGCATCAGTAGCAGCGCTGAGCTTTGTGATAATGCGGATTCAATTGCGGCGGACCCAGCAGAGCGAATGTCAGACGGGCGGATCTCGGAGATCCACGATCACACGACAGAGTCGCCATAGAAGGCGCCATCGTCATCGTCGATCATGGCCCTGAGTCTTGCCGCCTCTTGATTAAGCGCGCCATGCTCGCGTTCAAGCCTCTGCTTCGCCCTCAAGAATGTCTCGTCATCGATTTTGCCTTCGTCATACATAAGGCGAACGTGTCGCGCCTCCTCCACGTACACTACCATGCCTTTCTCAATGGCAGTCTCTAGCCATTGTGCTCGCCTCAGATCCGCTTTACCAGTGTCGAGCATCCTACGTAGTTCATCCGCAGAGCGTACGGCCAACTTCTTTGCCACGAAGCGCTCGTTAACCGTGATGGTATGTTCCAACTTCAGGCTGCGTTCTGAGGTTAACGTGCCGTCAGCAAGCGCATCTTGCAGCTCTCGTGCGGCTCGCGCTGCAGCATCTTTCGCTTTGAGCAGCGCACGTATGCGTTGTGGTGACCGCTGCTCACCGGTGTGGCCGAGGAACTCTTCTATAGTGTGTGAGAGGATGGCTTTGTCGCTTACGAGGTCTGAGACATCGGCTTGCCGCTTTTGCTCTGATCTGCGAAACACGGGTGTAGATGAGAAGTGGCGCATATTACCAAATTGGCGGAAACGCCGTCGTGCTTTAGCGGTATCGAGGGTCCTACCAGTAGACTGCTGAGTGATTGGCGCGTTACTTTCGATAGGTTTCGCATTACTTGCGATCGGCCTCGCCTTACTCGCGGTAGGTTTCACTTCCTTGCCAGGCAGTTTTGGTGGCGCAAGACCCAAGTCATACTCTTCGTCGTCTTCGATGATTCCAGCAGACTCACTGGACATGGACTGTCCGAAGCCTTCGAGCAGGTCGCGGAACAGGTCAAAGCCGGCAGCGTCCGCTGGCCTATCTAGGCTTGGCGAGCTATCCTTCTCCAGCGGTAAGAAGACGTTCGCGTAGCCTTCCTCCAGCGACTTGAGATCGTGCTGCAGTTCTGGTGGGCTGCGTGGCTTCTTACGAGGAGTTTCTGGAGCTGCCGGCAGTTCGGGAACTGGAATCGCTGCTCCCAAGCTTCTATAGGCCCGTTTGGAGTAGGATAAACCATCGACATCCTCCATCCCTTTCGCAATGTTGCTGTTGTCCTCGTGTTTCCCAGGAATCTTGACAGATTTCACCTCGGCCGTGATGAGAACGTGGTCACCCACAACGATGCTTTTGTCGACCAGCAACGAAGCGAGGACTCTCGCGACTATCGCACCTCGCTTGTTGACGATAGGAGGGTGCGCCCAGCGCCTATCTAGACGCACACCAGCATCCAGCCGCTGTATGACCCGGAACGGTCCGTCGGGTTCATCATGTGGTACGGCGAAAGCCTGTGTGATAGCTGCAGCCTCTGGAGTCGCCGAGAAGATATGGATACACAGCTGCTGACTGACACGTAAAGCATCCCATGTTCGTGACGGTAGCTTCAAGTTGAAGGAGACGATGGGCACAGGTTGCAATGTCACACTGGTGAAGGACGAAACGGTGACGCCGCGGCAGAGCTTCAAGCCTTCATCATAAGAGGGCGAGTAGCCTGTCGAAGGATAAGCCCGTGTTGTGATGAGCACGACTGGGTGCGTAAGCGGTCGGAGCACCGTGCGCATATCATTCGCCAACTTCTCAGCGCCTTGTGTCGTGGTAGTAGAATCCTGGAGAATACGCCGTGAATTGTCCTGGTCTTCATCATCCCGTTCTGCAGGAAGCTGAGTAACGTCACCCGTGGTAATGATCCTCGACAGCTCCATGTCCCTTGCTGCTTGTTCGACACCCCGACGCAAGGCCATGTTATCTACCCACATATGTATGAGCTTGGTGGCGCGCTCGATGCTCACCTGTGGCCCAACTAAGAGGTAGCTTCCCGTCTCGTGATCCAAACTCGTAATGCGACACCCACTCTCGGCGCCCAAGCGACGCAAGGTGTTGAAATGTAGATCTCGGAGCACACTTCGTCTCTTGTTCGGATCCAAAGTGGGAGCAAGGTGGACCTGCGTGAACTTCTCTATCGGCGCTCCTTCTGGTGCATTGGATGAGGTCTCGGAATGCAGTGAGCCTGGCTGCTCCAGTACCTCCGTCACCTTACCATCCACCTCCGACCACTTACCTTCCACCTGGAGTATGTCGGACCGCCTCAAGTCCGTTTCTGCCATCTGCAGAACGTGTCCCGTGAGTTTGTCTTTAGCGACTTCGACATGCTCCCATCTCCGTCCAATGAACCGGAGGAGGCCCGGAAAGACTGGTCCATCCTTGTCTGATGATTCAGAGATTTGGAAGCCACGTTGAAGAATCCGAGTCTGCGTCTGGAATTGCAGCCTCCGCAGCTCGTCTCCATTCTTTCTGAGTATGTACCCAAACACCGCCTTTCGAGCCTCGAATGTGCCGCGTGGTAGCAACAACACATCCATCACGTGCTCGGGCTGCGACTTGTTGCTGATCTCTTTAGTTCGCGCAGCAAAAGTGACAACTTCATTGACAAGCTGTGCCGCCGTAATCACGGCATCGGGCTTGCCGCTGACGTGGATCACTCGTAAACCTGCTTGATCTGCCACCTTCGTGCGGACCCTCACTCCAGCGTAGCTTTCAATCCACCGCCGCAGTTTGTTGCCTGCACCTTCGAAGTAGTTTTTCAAGTCGTTAGGCAGCTCGATGAACGTCTTCATCGACAGCCCATCGACGGAGGAAGATAACTCCTGCGCTGCGGCGCCGCTCTCTTTCCACCCCAAAGCGTCGTCCAAGAAGTGGTGCCCCTCATCATTGGACTGCTGCAGCGATGGTAACTGAACAGCCACCTGTGGGCCTGACCCCCTGGACAGGTCATGTGGGGGCTTGGTTACCAGGCTCTTGAATGAGCCGGAATGGCCACGAATGTGCTTGTCATTGGCAGGCGGAGAAGTCTGGCGCTTCTCTGAGTTGAGTACATCGGAACTCATGCCGCCCGTGCGCTCAATATCCTTTGCAGGCCCTGGGAAGCTCTCCGGGCTACCATGGCTGGACCCACGCCTCTGGCGCCTAAGTCCGTCACCATGGTACCGCACAACGCCCGCAGCCGTCCCGGATTCAGCGCTGGCATGCGTGGAATAATTGTAAACGAACTTTGAAGACTGCACAGGTGACAATACCGCACCAAGCGCTGAAGACAATGCCGGCCTAAACCCACGAGGACCGACTCTGACATCGCCGCCTGCGACAAGCTTGCGATCGCTGCGAGGCCCTTCCGCTTGACCAAGGATCTTGACCGCCTCCAGGCCATTGTTGGGCGGAAGCTGCTCACAGATCTTCTCCCTCATCATCTCAACAGCCTTTAAAACAGCCTCACGATTGGGGTCGCTGAGCCAGTATCGCCCAGCCGTGTGGCTACCAGCAACATCTGCGAGGGCATCGTCATCGGTGCCTTCACTGCTTTGTAGTTCCTCCAATTTGTCAGATCGCCAGAAGTATACATCGGTACGGTATGTGATCCGCCTGAGCACCCCGCCTAGAGGACGCCTAAGTCGTTCCGCAACCTCATGTCTGCGATTCTCGCTCGTGTCGGGCAGAATCTCGACCTCTGCCTCATAGAAGTGCTGATATCTTGCCAACCCGCCACCGTCGCGCGCCCGGACGGCTGCCTCGCGATGGTTCATTCGCTTAGCAAAACTTCGCACCTCTTCTGCAAGCTTCACCGCCAAGTCTGCGGCCTCAGGCGTGCCCACCATAAGAAGTTTGAGCCCGTCGTCTCGCTGGTTGGAGGACTGAACGCCGAGTTTTGCTCCTGAAAGAGCTTCGATCCATTGCCGTGTCATTCCTCTTCGACCGAGCACGGTGCCCTTCATGCCTCTGGCGATATCAACTGGTGCGGAGTATGGCCACCATTTGTGTACTTGCTGACCGCGCGGTATAAACGCACCTGACAAGACGTCAGACCGTGAGCTGTTCACGGGAGCGTCCGAGATCGATCCCACATCGAAAGGACCCGAGCCATCAGTCTTGACGCGTCGCACCACTCGTGATGCGACTTTAGTAAGTTGTGGCAAAGAACTCGTAGCATCAACTTCGCTCGTGGACGCTGAGGTTGCAGTCAGCGTTGAGAAACTCCGGCTGGCCATCATAGCCCGCGAGTCCGCAATAAAGCCTTCCCGCCTCGGGCTGATCGCTTCGAGACAGGCGTGTACGCTCGCGCGAGCTTCATCACCGTGGGCGGATGTCTCTGGCGTGATTATTGGCGACATCTCGTGTCCATCATCGGTACAATGACCATGGTCTTGCCCTAGAATAGTCTCTCGCGAGGTCCTTTGCAGCGCTGAATGGGGCCAGTCTGTTGTCGGGTCCCAGTGCGAGTTACTAATGAGCTCTCCTTTGGCTTGCGAAGGAGCAATGTCTTGCACATTCGTCCGAAACGCTTCGTCAATAGAAACGTGTAAATCTGCCGCAGCTGCATGATGAGGCGCCTCATTGCTGTTCGTATCAATATCTTGGAGCACTTGTGACCGCGCTGCAATTGTTCCCGTCGCGTTTGCAACATCATTTCCGCGTTCGGGCTCCAGAGGCTGGACCGTATCAGGAGGTACGGCTACCTCAGACACGATGTTCTTGACATTGCCGCCGAAGACCGCTCTCTTCGAGGCCTGCGGTGTGGATGAGGACGGCTCTGGAACCTCCGGCCGCGTTGTACTGCTTGATCGTGCAAAAGTCGGAGACCCTTCTTGCTCGGTAGCAGGCAGGGCTCCGAGTTGAGCCTCAATTGGAACACGAAACGACCGTGATTCTCTAACCGGGTACTTCCTGGCTTTGATGATAGATAATTTGTACGGTAGTCCCGACACTTCTGAAGGCTTGACATTCAATGAAATAGCCTGCCTAGCGTTCTCATGCCTCTCCCCGGTGTCAAAGTCCGACATGTCGCGACCAATGGGGGTGCGATTTGTAATGGTGTCATAGCGGAGCCCTTTCAACACCCGTTTCACCACGGCAACTTGGTCATATGTTCCGGAGATCAACACAGACTTCACGGTTTGACCATCGTCTCGTGTTAGCACACTACCGATCTCTACCCGAGCGCCAGTCTCCTCCTTCAGACGTTTCAGATTGTCACCGTATGCTGATTGTAGGGCAGCGAGCGCAGCCGGTGGCAGGGCCATCTCTAGCATCATACCGTTGTTTGAGCGGTAGCGGACAGCCCCGTGCCACGCTTCTGGTCGGGCGGAAGGTAGCGAGGTCGAATCTCGCACCTCCATGCGCCGCCAGCCGTTCTGAAACGTTGATCGGTCACCATCCGGCTCCCGCAACTCTGGGAGACCATCAAAGACATTGTCGTGCGAGTTTGCTGCTGGTGGTACGCTGGTTCGTCTTATGGTCACTCCTCTCCCATGCTTTCGAACGAGTGGTCGTCGTCCTTCGACGCTCTGCCGGAGTCGCGTGCTCGCCGAGAGTGCTCGAGAGTGGGACAGCAAGCTTCCATTGTGTGCCAGACATGGCGAGAAGAGTTGCGACCATTCGTAAAAAGCTGCATAGAAGCGTCTGGTTGCCGCATTTGGTCGCGACATGGAGGCAGTGCCAGCAAGGCAATGCACAGGACGTGTGGCATGTATGTCATGTCATTCGACCTCGATGTCAGTGAGCAGTATCCAACGTTTAGCCAACGCTGATGGAGGGCATCGGTATCAAATAGCCTACGGGACCGAGCCCGCCGCACTCATTGCCATAAGTCTCTCAGAGTAGGTACCATTGTAATATTTCCCTCCCACACTCAGAGCACCCGTTCAAATGCTCCCCACCACCACCCACCGGTCAGTGTGCTTTCAATGCGCCCTCCGTCAGCAACTCCGGCATGCCTCTCTCCTGCGACGCCCGAAGCGTCCATACACCTTCACCCAGATGATCACTCTCTCCGACGGCAGCACCTTCATGCACCGAACTACGTCCCCGCAACCGATATATAAAACTACTCGCGACACTAAGAACTCCATCATGTGGAACCCGAGCAGTCAGAAGCTACTCAATGTGGAAGAAGATGAGGCAGGACGACTGAAGCGTTTTCGGAAACGGTTCGGGAGAGGATTCGATATTGAGGGTGCCGATGAGGCGGAGGAGGTAAGTGCGACTAATGTGAAGATTTATCAGGGGTTGTGACTGACTAGTATGATCGTTAGGGAGACGGCGCTGCTGTTACTGAAACATCACAGCACGATGAGAGCCTGCTTGATTTGATTGCAGGCTATGGCCAGGAGACGGAAAAGACGAAGGGTGCCGCGACTGGAGCGAGAGAAGAGAAGAAGAGTAGTGGGAAAGGCAAGGGCGGCCAGAAGTAATGATCACGTCGTGATTATGCTATGATCAACAAGCGGTCTTCGTCTATATGAGACTGTCTGTTGCGCAGAGACGTTCACCGGAGGCTGTCATTACGCACGTACCCGAGCCGGGGAGTTTACCTCGGATTTCTCCATGGAGTCATAAAACTCTACAACGCCGCGCTAAGCCCACAAGGAACCACTGCTTCTCAAGATCCTTCGAACCCTAGCCGCCGGGATCGGTCATCAATGGCGGCCTTCAACCTCTCAACTACTTCCCGCCCGATCCACCTCATGCTCCCATCGCGTTGCTCGCTCACTCTTTCCGCCCAGGCAAACAGCACCCGCAGATTCCAAAGCTTGTCCCGGTCGTTGCTCTCCACCGCACGCTGCATCTCCAGCCGTTCGTCCACAACGGTGCCACGGTCACTGGTATTTATAAAGCTTTGCGCGTCCGGCGGCAATATAAGCTCAATGTCAGCTCGGTCTACCTCCCGCAGGGACGGGACGCTGAAGATTGACAGCCAGAGGTCGTTCATCGCTTGAGGTAACTTGGCGTCGTTGAGCGCCCGGAAACTGGCGGTGAAGACGGAGCTGTGCGCTTCAGAGACCGGACAGCGGCGAACGGAAATCGTCTGGTTTCTGCGGAACGAGGCGAGATGCTCCCGATTACCGGCGAAGTCGAGCGTCACCTTCCAATATGATGGATTCTCCGTCTCCACTTTGGTGATTGTGTCCAGTGGCGGTAAAAGACATGGCGTCATTCGCATTGTGGCTGGCTTGTTTCTCAAGCATACTTTCACCCGCATCGAGATAGGTCGCTGCGTGTCAACATCCTCAAACACGAGACACCGTGCTTCAGCAGCAAAAACCCAGAAATGGCGGAATGCCTGTAGATGCACTCGGTTGTCGTGAACGTCCGCCGGGAAGAGCGGATAAAAAGCGCATATCAGCGCCGCCGTTGCCAGATCCGACGTGCCCAGCGTATAGGTTCCGCCGCCCAGAAACAGTACGCCGATGGCGAGGTGAGCGGCAAGGTGAGAGCCGTAGGTCGTTTCGGCGTCGGTGCGGCCGTGCAAGCGACGCAGGTAGCGGAACGTGTCCACATCGCCTGTACCGGCCATTACAGTAGCGGCTGCCAAGGCTAGAACATCGACGCAGCGATCTACTGTCGTGCGAGCGAGGTGCGCATCGTAGTAGTAGGCTTGGCCACCGACTCTGTTGAATATCCTTAAGAGAGCTAGGATCTCGTTGCGTGCGGCTTCGTAGCCGCTACCGGCGTACCGGAGACTAATGGCCCAAGCGAGACCAGTGGCAATGTTGAGGAAAGGCACATCTGCCGTAGTGAATGGGGACATTCCATCCGTCTTGCGGATCTTCGCCAGCTTGCCCTTGTAGCCGGACGGCAGATTGCTCTCTATCCAGCCGTCATCGATCGCTTCAGCGCGGTTCAACTTGTCGGATTCCGGCACCTGTATCTTGTCCCACATAATGATATGTCGAGCCATTACCCGAAGCATTAGCATATCTGGCCGAACATGGTCATACTGCGCTTCAGTGTCAGGAATATCGATCTTGTGCGCCATCGCATTATCACCGGTCTTCATGTACACAAGCGCAACAGCTATTATGGCGCCAGCCGTGGCTCGATCGAACACGTGAACGGCTTGGACCGGTCGAGGACCGATTGCAACCGACAACAAGCGCTCGGGCAAGTGGAGGCCATGCAGACCACGGAGCTCCTTTCCCTTCCCAAGGTTGATCAAGCCGAGAGCGAAGCCGGCAGCGAGTCTGTACGACTCATTCCGTAACGGGTCAGGACCGCTGTCGGGATCCTCAAGCTCCATGTACTCGATCTCCGACAACATCATCTCGCTCATGCGTCGGTGCTGCGAGTTGTAGTAAAGCAACCCAATTCCCATTAAGCCTGCTGTCTGCGTGATGGGCGAGACGTTCAGCTCCGCCGCTCCAGGCGGCAGCATGCGAGTGATATGTACGGAGAGCATCCTCGTAATGAGTCCATCCATAGTGCCAAGCTGTGAGGCGGAGAGGCCGAGTAGCAGGCCCACGGAAGTCATCGTGTGCTTCGGCGTTAGATATTTGAATGAGAGCCACTTCGCAAGCGAGCGCAAATGGCCGCCCAGGCCAAGTGCGAGAAGCAAGCCGGCGTGTCGGTTTGTCAGCTCCGTCGGCTTGTTGAAAGCAATCCAGGAAGTATCGATGCCCTTGACCTTCTTCGACATCCGTAAGCCGCTGGAAACGCCAGCGTGGAAGTAGGCCCAGCCCACTTTTTCCTCGCTCATCGCAGTTCTGTCGATGTTCAGGGTGATGCCCATAGGCTGCATGACACACCGGGATCCGAAGCCATACGGCATGTACTTTTCTGTGAGTAACGGCGATATGCAGTCGTAGTGAATCATACCGTCTCCGGCAGGAAGTGCCCACATACGCACCGTGACATACTCTATCACGCGACGCTGCCGCTCGAAATGGTGCGCATCTGACCAGTCAGGCTGCTTCGCGCATTCTGCCTCCTGCGTGCTGTTATAGTGCATCAAGTTTGTAGCTTCGACAAGGCGGCGGTCGCGATGGAAGATAAGCTGCGAGACATCGTGCCGCGTAGCCTCTCTTGTCTTTGCCGAGTGAGTGCTGTATTCAAGCGCGTGGCATACAGCCTGCATATCGCGCAAGCCACGCGACAGTAGTAACTTGTCAGGGAGGGCTGTTCCATGACCGTTTGCGGGACCGTTGTTTGCTGTTAGCAAGTCTTCCCTCCCAACCAGCTCCAGCAATGCACCTGGCCACGATGTTGGAGGCTCCCGCTCACAGCGAGCTATGGCTTCTTTGAAAGGAGCAGCGATTGCACTTGGCAGGGTATCCATGAAGTATTGGTCAACACCTCGCTTGGAGAGCAACTCTACAATGCTAACGTCTCCAGCCGTCAAGCCAGCCAGTCTGACAACAATGTCCGATAATGCACAAAGCCTTGGTGTCAAATGTTCGGCAGCGGAGATGAGGGAACGTGAGACTGTTCCGTGAGAATTCAGACCAGCAACGAATGCTAGTGATGAGTACGGCTCGCTCGAGCGCTGTTTGATGGCATGCTCAAACCACTCGTACACGCCTATTGGGCGATCCATAAGCGGCATTTGAGGCTTTACGGACAGCGTCGACTTCACGAACGCCCAATGTTCCCCGGTTTCGATGACGTTGCCGTAATACGTGTCAGCATCCGCCGACCAGGCAGGAAGGTTCAGCCAGCCTCCTATTTGTGCGATCAATGGTCCCAGCCTCGACGACGAACTCTGTTGGGTGCTTAGTGTAGAGAGTTTCAGCTCCTCACGGACGACATGCAGAGCCAGTGTCATTTTGATCGCCGTTGCAATAGCACCGTCTCTCGATGCGTATTCAGTGCCCTTTGGAATTGTTTGCGAGAGTTCCATGGCCAGTGCTGCAGACACGGGAAGCAGCAGATCCTTCTTTTGGTCGAACGTGACTGAGTCGGATACGGTGTTTTGTAGAGATGAGGATTCACTCACCCACTCCCACGCTTTCCGCTGGAATAGTCGCCTTTCATGTTCTAGCTTGCGGAGTTGCAAGCCGCTGCTCTCCCTTGCCCTTTGCTTGCCACTGGCTAGCCGCGCTAGCTTGAGCGCCGCTTGCGCCTTCTCGTCCAGCAGGGGTACAGCAAAAAATAGGGTCGTCGTTGCCAGAGCGGTCCACTCAATCCCACATGCTGTAGCAGCAAGGCACTCGGGACGTTGGTCAAGCCAGCTGTAAGCCATACACCACACCGACCGCACCAGACTAGCCTGCTGAGTCGGCAGCACAAGCTCCAGTGCGCCTAGCAGGCGATGTATGAGTGGGTCCTCGGTTTGCAGAATTAGCCGTCGACGGTGATGCGTGCCGGACAGGTCAATCTCGTCGTACTGTCCCTCAGCACTTGAGTGCCCGAAGCTCAAGCCAGCATTTGGCACGTCTACCGTTCTGTTGCTGCCGTAATCCTCGTTTCGTGGCACCGCAGTAGCATCGTACTTTGGATAGACTCGGTACGCTGCACGTTGAGGCATTGTGCATACAACGTTGTCGCTGTTGGACAGCACTAGGCCACGCTCTCCCAGTAAGACTGCCTCAGTGGTAGGGCATGAGATCTTCACAATGTCCGATGCTTGACCAGAAATGCAGTCTGAGAGCAACACTGGTACGGCAACTTGCGTGGTCCGATGTAACTCTGGCCACAATTGCCTTTTCGTCACCTGGAGCACTAAGCGCCGTACCTCCTTCGTCATGCGATCAAGAATATAGACATTGACCTTAGTTTGTTGTTCATTTAGGTCAAGTCGGGTATCTCTCAGGACGACAACCTTCAGTCCGCTGGCAGCTGTTTCGCGATCCACACGATAGGAGTGCACCTTGCGGACCACGAGGTCGCGTCTACCGTTCTGATCCAGATCGCCGAACAAACTGTCTGCGCCAGCCGCCTCGAATGTCGCACGCATGTGGCGTAATATGACCTCGACGGTTCCTTCCCTGCCAGCGTTATCGTCGCTATCCAAATCCATTTCATCGTCGTCTCGACCAAGGCTTCTAGCGAAGACGCTCCCCGGCGTCGAGCCACGGCTCTTCCGAATACCAAGACTGCGGCGGTCCCCAGCGCCGCCAAACGATGCGTTGCGTCTTCCGCTGGCGAAACTATTCACTGCTGCAGTCTGACTTGTACGCATATCCGCATTCAGGGAGCTTATACGGCGGCCTTCTCGCAGCACTTGTTGTGACGCCGGAAGTTGGAACTCTGGGTCCATCTGCTTCACCATTGCCTCCTCGTCATTTGATCGAAGACCAGGTCGAGGTGCTGTAGCTGTTGAATGAGACGTATGCGGGTCGCCTGGCATCCGAATGGAGCCGGCAGCTGCGAAGCTTTCGCGCGCGTTGTGATCTCGAGTTCGCACAGCTGGTGTGGTTGTGCCCGTCCCTGCTGCGGTGCTCATGAATGAGTTTCGTCTTCTGGCTTGAGCAGCTTTGCTAGTAGCACGTTGCTTCATCAGAGTCTTCAAGCTCTTCTCATCGAGGTAATACGCATGCCACACATTAACGATCTGCAGGACTGTGTTGAAGGTAACGAGTAGCATGAGTTCTCCGCTTCCTGGCGGCGATGATGTTGCGACTTCGCTGTTGGCAGACACGTAGATAAGCTCCTCTGCCGCATCCAAGTACTCGAAGTCGACCGCTGATCTATATTCATGTCCGCCGGATACGCGCGCTTTCCGATGCTGGAACGAACAAGTCACAACGGCCATGTCTGACAGTGGATCACTCATTGTGTACAGCAAGGCTGAATTCAAATCAATGCCTTCTGCTGGCCGGCCGAACACTTCCTTCAACAGAGCGTCCAGACCGCCGGCAGTCCCAGGCGGATTTGCTTTTACAGCAACGGAACCACCAAGACTGCGCTGAAGGGTGGGTGATTGCAAGTAGGACGCGGACGTTTGCGAACGGGAGAAGAGAAACGAATTTGGTGGCACAGCCGGTACCTGTGGTGTGTGTGGAGGTTCCATGAGCGCAGCGGACTTTCTTTGCAAGATGCACCCATGAGGAGCGGGAAAGGCTCGCTCTACCTCGAATGGTAAGTCGATAATGTGCTGAGCGCCAGAGAGGAAGTAAACGTGCAGCTTCGTTTTGAGGACGACAACAAGAGCGCGAGAGGAGCCTGTCTTTTCCCCATTGCGTGTCTCGTCGTTGCTCAGTGGCCTAACACCTTGCTCCCTTCCAATCGGCTGCCAGTGAGTCTGGGATGTAGTCTCGCTTGGTGGGTGTACTTCCTGTGTGACGGATGGAAAGGAAGTCAGAATAGCCTGCCGAACATCTTCGCCTTCGAGTCCGAAGCGGTAGACGCTTCGAATATAACAACCCTGCGACCAGACCACACAGTCTTGTGTGGTTAGAAGCTCTTCGTCAAGAATCACATCACCGTCGTTGCAGATATAAGTCTCCCACCGGTAGCTGTCTTCCCTGGGATCCGGGGCCAGCAGACCCTCACGAATCAAGTAGGGAAGTGCCACAGGCGTGTGGATGCCGAGCGACTCCACTTTCGCCATCGTTCACTCATTGCTAGTATTGACTCTATCAGCATTGTTGTCACGACCTTCCCGTCTTGCTGTGGGATATGTGGCTGTTTACATCGCTGTTTTGTTCGAAGAGGGAGGTGAAAGCGAAGTGGGGTCCAGAGTTTCGACGCGATTTCACGCGTCGCCTCGGTCAAGCTTTCCATCACCAGCAGACACAATTCCGCGAACAGTTTGTGTAAACAACATTGTCGACAGCTGGAGACGAAGATGGAGCCTCACGTATGGAAGCGGGATCGCAAGCTCCATCTAAGGTGCGCTTGACCGCGTGCCTTCCTCCGTGAGTACTGCTAACGCACAGACCAGCTACGAGATACCACATCGGACAACCGGCGCTCAGCTGTATCCTGTGGCGGCGCCCAACGGCTCAGATGTCATCGTCTACGGACATGACAGGGGCGTGCGGATACTCTGGAGAGGGGGTCGAAGAAGGAGGCAGACCCAAGCCGCACAAGCAGCGGGAAAGGCGCAAACGAATGGCACAAGGAGCCGGAAGGATGCGGTGGCCTTGACAGCGGATGATGATGACGATGGGCAAGTAATGTTTGAAGACGAGGAGGACGAACAAGATCCTGATTATCCCTATCCACGCATCAACCAGGAAGTCGATATTGAGCTCGAAGCGGAAGTTCTGCGTCTTGCCTTGCCGATTCTACCACTACTTGCACTTAGACAACAGGGCCTGCTTCGAGAGCAGGCCTATCTGGCTATCGCGTGTAGTGATGGTAGCGTGCAAGTACTAAAGCTTGATCTGATACCTCCACTCGATGAGGGTAGGGTCGACTACGCAGAGACGGTACGGAGTACTGCACTCACCCTTGTAGCAGATGCAGCCGTCTGCACGGATCTGGCAGCAAAATTATCGATACGTAAACAGGACACTTTAAGCTCCGATGACCCGACTTCGATATTCGTGGTAGCGGTGTCCGACGAGCTGCGAGTCTACAGCCTTCCCTTGTCCGAGACCTCACCCGAGACGATCCGCAAGCCTCAGACTGTGCTTGTACCTCTACCGCATCCTGTTGTTGCAGTGTCATTGCATCCTTCACCTACCTCAGGCCTCATATTGATCGCAGACGTGTCGGGGGCCGTGCGAGTGTACGAGCACATCTCCGAGCGTGGAGATCTCGCGGATGTGACCGAGGACCTGCACTTAACTGCACAGACATCAGGTGGCTGGCGAACAGCATTCATGGGACCCTATGCAGAAGCCCAGACCGGTGTTGCACGGCGCAAACACATTCTGGACGTGCAATGGGTTTTGGATGGCAAAGCTGTTCTGGCTTTGCTGGAAGACGGAAGATGGGGATTATGGGACTTTGCACTAGGCACCCAATCACACCGTAGCCCTGGCGACTTCGTCTCTCACGGATCACTTGCACCAACCACAAATCTGGAAGCCGGACTCCCAATTCGCCAGTCAAAGAGCACTTCTCGCTTAGCACCCATGACTCCAAGCACGAGAAAGGCCAAGGCCGAGAAACTGTTTATCGGCCCTTCCAAAACGACAGGCGCCCCTGGCAGAGGTGGAATCTCAGTCTCGGCGAGCAGCAACCGCACAGGGAATATAGACGAAAGTGTAGTCATATGGTATGACTCCGAAGTCTACACCATTCCGAACATGCAGGGATTCTGGCAACGCAGCTCGGACAGCGGCAGCGGAGGCTCGGGCTCGCTGTACGCACCTGGCTTGACGCACATCGGCGACGTCAGACTGCGAAATGAAAACATCACCTCGATCTCGCAGTTTGCGCCGAGTGTCACCGGCGCTGGGGGGCAGATGAACACTCCTCGCGACCTACTGGTCGCCGCCGAGCATCGCCTGATTATCTCACAGAGCCTGCGATCGCCGACGCCCGTTCGGTCTCTGTTCGCGCAAGCTGCTCCGAAAAGGCCGCCGGTAGAAGATCAGATCATGCTTGACGCCGGGCAGCTTGATCTCGGCGGCATGGACCGCTTGCTGGACAGCATGGCACATGCAGACCCGAGACCACGTAAGGTTGGCTTTACGCACTGACATTGTACCATTGCGAGTTTCGATGATACCCAAAGCGCAGCGTACATGGAGTACCCGTACCGTTCAGCTTCAGTTCTCACTTACACACATCACATTCTGTTAAAGCACTCGCGTGGTCAGGTGGAGCACCTCCTCAAGAACAATGAGATCTGCTCAGTATTACACGCGGGAGATCACTGCCGTTCCCGGTCCTCGAAAAGCCTGCGCACTCGCTGCTACGGTGTAAGGGACACTTGGCCTGCCCGACGACTCTGGCTCGCCGCTTGCGGCAGTCTGATCGTGAAGTTGTGCTGAGCGGAATAGCTGGCAGCATTGCGGCTCATCGTAAGGTCTTTCGCATCTGCCCGAGAGGGTTTCTACACGCGACGGCCTCCTCCATGTAGAGCTCGCTGCTACAGACACGGCTACTGCTGCCAGCATAAAGGCCTGCTAGTTACTGATCAAGACAGTAGTGATTTAGCCACATGCTTCTGTGACTTTACCAACGAAGCCTTCTAGCCCTGCGACACCTTTCTCACCCCTCTCGTGCCCGCCGTACAGGCCAGGTCCACCGCCTGGCATGACGAGAACATGATCCCCGACCATGATGAACTCTTTGGCGGCGTCGAAGCTGAAGGTTACCAGCAAATGCGGTGCCGTGACAGCACCGGCAGTGGACGTAGTAAGCCTGTCTAATGATTTTGCCACATCGTCGAAGCTGAATGTGTCCTTCGCGTTGGATTGTTCGCGGTCAAAAGCAGAACGAGACACGTCCGGCGAGTCCGGTGCCCTGGCTGACACCACCTTCGCAGAGGCACGTACGCTGGCGATGTAGACGACTACGTGGTTTCCTACGGCCAGCGCTTCAAGGTCTTCACGCTTGAACTCTGCGACGAAAGTTCGAATAGCTAGCGGTTGCACTTTAGTGAGGACCATGCCTTTGCGGACTCGTGCAAGTGCTGCGCTGGAGGATCCTCGGCAGTTGGCATCATCAAGCACGATGGCAATCGTTCCGACTTGATCGCTTAAAAGGGAATGCACGGGCAGTCGAAGGTTTCGTATGCTAGCCGTCTTGACTCTGCGCCATTCTTGTCCCGGGAGTTGGAAGAAGTGCGGCGCAAAGTGCGGATCGCGCATCGCGCCCGGAAAAGATCGTGATGTAGGTAGATGAGCTGACCGTCTACGAGAGGGTCGTTCATCGGAGTCTTCAGAATCCTCCAGCTGCTCGTGGCCGGAGAGTGGACCTATGACCAAGCTATCTCCGACGGCAATCTGACCGCTCCGGACACGCCCGGAGACGATTATGCCTTCAAGCTCCGAAGGCTTGGTGTAGACGTCTTCAATGTGAAACACTGCGCTAGTTTCTTCCCCGGTTGTGTCGAATGTTGCCGGCAACGGCAGTTCGTGAAGCAGAGCGTGGAGGTTGCGTACGCCGGTCCCTCGTAAAGCGCTGGTCAAGACAATTGGCACAACATGGAGCGGATCATTCAGAAGCGGCAACGAGATATTGTACGCGCTCTCTATGTGACCAGCTGCCACGGTTTGAAGATCACTTTCTGACACGGGATCCTGTTCGTTCGCAAGCATCGCAGGCTTTCTCCCAGCTGCTTTAAGTGCATCCAGCACTCTTGACAAGGTGTCTCTTAAACCTGAGCGGGAAGCTAGATCCAGCTTGGTGATTACCACGACAAGAGGTACGTTCAGGGTTAAGCACAGAGCAAGTTGGGCGCCAGAGAGATCCATGTCGGACACTGCAGCGCCGAGTTTCTGCTGAGATGCGTTTGTACTTCCTCTCCTGCCCATGGTGTCCTCAGTATCGTCAGCAGGTACGCACAGCAACGTCCAGTGCGGTGCCCAGCCTACAAGGCTACGGATGGTCGTCCTCCGGTACCGTGGATGACCGGCAGAGTCAGAAATGAAAACAAGTCTACTGCTACATGCTTCGACATGGATGTCGATCCATGAGGCAATATTCTCCGCGGCGTAATTGATCACATCAACAGCGCCGGCAGCAGCATCCCGATACCCAAGAATTTCCTGAGTGACTGAGCTGGTGACTCCGGTCGTGATCTCGTGCCTGTGCTTCAGCATGCTCAGCCTACTTTTACCGCGGCCGTTGTCCAGAGTGGAAGTAGTCAAAGTACCTAGCAACGAAGATTTGCCAGACATTGTCGGGCCAGTCAGCGTAATGCGAAGCTGTTCGGTCTCCGGAACGAGACTCTCATTGTATTGAAGCGCTTCGAGCTTGTGTTTGCCGTTAGCTGGTGCTTCTTGCGCCGGCAGAGCAGGACTCTTGGCTTGTAAGTGCGGTTTGATCAAGGCTTCTGCAACAACAAGCTTCCCGGAGCGCCGTACTCTGCGCTCTTTGCCACCGACTGTCACATCTTCGACCCATTCACAGTCGCCGACAATTTCTTTGCGAAGGAGCTCAACAGAGCAGCCAAGGCAAGCAGCCATTGCGCGTAAATTGTTTAAACTTTCGAGCAGCTCGTCCTCTGCAAGTCCGACAAGTGTGCCATCATCTGCAACGCCAATCTCATACAGCGCACCTTGGCTTTCTTCCAAGCCGTGCAATAGCTTGTCAGGCTGTCGTGGTGCTTGCAGCTCGGGTAGAGCCTCCGGCAGAGACGGTATTATCATGTTTGTAGCGGATGATGCATGATGGGGCGACGACTGCTGTAGCCTCCACAAAAGCTGCGTTGTGAGCTGCTCCAACCTGTGCTGCCTGCTCTGTTGAGTGACGGCGGTGGAGACAGTACCCGAACTGCTAGGAACGCCAGCCTCGAGAGCCGATTCGGAGACGCTTCGAGTGGCCTGAGATACAGCGTAACGGGCATGTCTTGAGCCAGAAATATGATCACCTGTGCTGGTAGACCTGAACTTTCGACGTGGGCGAAGCAGAAGATGAAGCTTATACTCAACCGGCCCGAGTTGTGGTTCGGCTTGCAAGCGAGTTACCTTCGGGGGTGTTGTACCGCCCTTATCGATGCCTGGTGAAGCCATCTCACAAGAGTCCACATCATTAGATGCGCGAGACAGATCGGATTCGTCAACATCAGTCTGTACGCCGCTCAGCCAGGGAGACGCTACCCTTGGAGTCTCTGGCTCGTATGTGAAAACTGACGCCATTACGCTTGAGCTTGGAGGCGCTCCAACTGGCTGCAATTGCAGTCCCGGAAGGCAGGAATGTTTTTAGCTTGCCGTTCTCTACACTAACGGGCTATGACTGGCGAGCAAGCTTTTCGGCCTGTGACGTCCAGCAGATGGCCTGTACACTTCGCGTTGTCTCTCACTCAGCCCTTTAATATTCCATTCCTTGACTGCCTTTCTCTTCGTAATGCTCGAGTATTGGTATGAGAGAAATGGATACGGAACAGTTCAGACATCAGCGCGAACATGGCGGGCTAGTCGGCGCACTCCTTTAGTCTTGTCGGTGTGTCACGTAAGGTACTGTTATGAGGCTTAGATGGTCAGACAGTAGAGGTCATGGTGCCAGTAGATTGTGTCACTGATGACTCTACGCAGTATGTCAAGCATGCTGGCTTCTAGTGGATGAGTGACGTTCCGCAAACGCCAAGACTCGTCACATGATCAGATCATTGGCCAAACATAATGCGAGTGGCATTGTTTGTGTTGAACTCTGGCGTGTCCGCTAGGCTGCAAAGCATGTATATCGGGCGACAACTTAGACAAATGTCTAGCGACAGCCTACACTGCACTTGCAAGTCGGGGCTAGCGTCTTAACTGTGCGCCTCTTCGTCCTCCATCTAACGGTGAACGTTCCCGGTTGCAAGCGACGTTGCTTGGTTTTTCGAAGATGTCAAGCTAACCATAATGCTTACGGTTATTCGGAACAACATCGTCGTGTGTGGCTGCAGCCATCCCACTATCATTTGTCACCAGCTTGCTTGCAAGCCTGGAAGCCTGCAAGCCTTCATTGGAACATTTGAAACAAGACCCGCACAGCCTCAATATTGACAGAAATGGCACGCTTCGCAATCCGGGCCGCAATGAGCAGTGGCCCGCCTAGGAACGAGCTCGACCCGCTGTGTCTCAGCCGAACAATTAGGCCAGGACAAACGTCTGGAATCACAGCCGCATGTGTTCGATGCAACGCTGCAACGTACTTGGAAGATCTAGTGTGGAATTGATGTAACTATGATCGACATACCCAGAGTGGAATGCATCGCGCGTAACGAGCTCATCAATTCGTAACAGCGTCGGAGTTAGACCGACCGGCCGCGCGAGCGGTGCCAGCGAAGCCACGCTGCTGTAGCGTGGAGTTCCGCGTGCTGACTACTCACGTCTTGCAGCGCAAGCGTGAACCCAAACGTTCAGCCCCTCAGGCGGACCTTCCCCATAGTGAGCATGATCGGCAACAGCCCTCATTGCACCTCATGCACGCCTTTGCGCGGAACCGGCCAATGTAGGCGAGGATTGCAGGCCGACCGTCTTGGACCCATTTTCGACCAATTTGGAAGACGATGCTTTCCGGTGATGTCGGGGTCTCCGTGCATGGAGTCTACCAGCCAATGCGTTCGTAAATCTCCTTTGCTGAGATGGTCCGCGCCTCGCCAATGCTGTCAAGAGCATTATCACAACGTGGTGGATACCGTCAGACTTGCCATAGCTTCCACTTGCTGAGTTGTCAGGCTGGTGCACAGGTGGAGCACTTAGCTGTCATCAACGGAGAATCATCGATCGTTAGGATGCAGATCAATTCTCCTCCGATGGCCTCCGTTGCTTGGAGCACTTGTCGTGCGCTAAATGGCCATTTCGGGCTGTGGTTCTCGTGAATTCTGCGCCGCACTTGGGACAGTAGGACTTCGCTGCCGTGCCAGACTTTTCCCGCTGATGCCGTAGAAGGTTGCTGAAAGTAGAGAATTGGCGGCCATTGCAACCGTGGTCCCAGCATTGCGGCTTCGGTCGCTGGTTGAGCACTCGCATTGACGCGTCGCTTCCCAATGGTTTGGCGAGGACATCGTTAACACTGCTCCCGATAAACGGAGGTGGATAAGACATGCTCTCAGTGGACGCATAAGAACCGGCCTGAGTTGTCAGTATTTGTTGATACACGCCTGGATCGTAAATGCTGGGTGATCTGAGGGCTATGTCAGTACTAGTGTTCATGGGAAAGGCCGGGCAGACTGTATTTTACCTTGAGACGCTTGTAGCGTACTGCGACATGCCGTTCGCCCCAGAAGCAGCATTCATGTGGGGTGATGGGAGCGGACTGTGACTGAGGCCACTAAGAGATGGGATCCCCGGGCTGGTCACGTTCGAGTACTGCATGTTGATCGTGGTCTCATATGGATTGCTTGTGCGCCGGTAACCCTGCCCATAGGTCCTGTCTGGTCCATTGCTGGGTAGCTCGGAGCGCCTCCGGCTCTGATATAGTGCAGGGCTTGTGGAGTTAGACTGCGCATATGCTGGAATACCGGTACTGGTGGCAGGCTGTGTTATCTTCATTGGGGGTATGTAGTGTTGATCCATGGCGTAGCCTACTGTGCAAGTCAGCAAGTCGAGATGATCGAAGAAATTCTTGTGACGCACTTGTCGGCTCAGACTCGAACACAGTGGCTCCGTACTGAGAAGGTAGGAGCAAGCCCAGTGAGCTATAAATTCGTTAGTGCTGCTACATTGACCTTTAATGGACGGTTTACCTCATCTCCGAACACGTCGTTGGCTGCGTGAACTGAAACACTTCAGACGCGCTGATGCCGACTGCTCGGCAGTCTTCGTTGTTGAGGTCGAGAGAGACGTTGGGCACGCCCGAGTCTGAACAGGGTGGCGTTGGAATGGTCCAAGTAGAGAAAGGTTCAAGCGATGAGTCGGCAAACACGCTCTGCGGCTCTGGGGACTGTTGAGGTGTAATCCACTGTATTCCTGAGGTCGCAGAGATGGTCCCAAGATCGGAAGTACCACTTTGCTCCAAAGCTAGTTGGTGAAGTCGTTCGGCTTGTGAGGCAGATACCGAGCGTGGTCGCTCAGGAGTCCTCTTATGAATGGCACCGCGACGGTCGAGGATATGGGTGAGGCTGCTATTGGTCCGTACTCGCTGATGTGAGTCCATGATATGGGAGAGACAAACACATGAGCGGAGCACGAACCTTTTTCGAATCAAGGGAATAAGGCTGTCTTATGAGAGCGGAGCGCTCACACACAATCGCCAGAGCCTTAGGGCCAGTCTGATCGTTTTAGCAGCATGCTCAGGCTCTGCGCCTTGTAGCACCGATATAAGGTAGCCATGAAACCAACAGCCACTAAGTCAATCAGGTTAGGCAGAGATTGGGGGCCTAATTCTGAGGGCATGCACGGCTCGGGTATGGTCACTCGACGAAACTCTCGTGGGGTATGCAGCCGCCCACCATCCACAGAGCGCTGCCCGGACCCGAGATGAAGCACTATGACAAAGCGTGACTGCCAAACCTCCGATGGCGTGGTGGCATGGTGGAGATAGCCCTGTGGGCATGCTGCTCGATGAGGGGCGGTCCGTTTCGGTATACGCTGCGAACCTGATAGGGCCCAGATGGTCCGTCACGTCAGAAGTAATATTCCGAGCGGTCAAGCTGTCTGTTGCTCGGTCATCCTGCGGCAGACCTTCGTGCGATGCGTCATCACAGCCCTGGCGGAACGATACGAGTATAGGGTGAAGCCATGTGACAATGCTTGCGCGCAGCGAGCTCAAAGGGAAGTGATGGTCGCTCGGGTTTCTCCACTAGTCGATCGCCGCTTGCTGCTCCACGCTTCCACGAGGGTACAGACATGGAGTTTAGGAGATAGCACGCCCGACCCTTGCGAAGGGTGCCAGCTTCACCGTACCTTTGCCCTGCGTACCCTATAGGATTGCAGATCAGTCAGCCTATAGGGCTGGACGCCAGCATTTCAAGAGGCGTAATCGAGCACAAGGTGCGCAAAGTGCGGCTGACCGGTTTCCCGAGGTGCTGTTGTTATTCGTCGAACAAGAGCGCGCAAAGCATTTTAGACCCAAGGTCTGGGGCTGTGCAGCCAAACGCCGGTGGACGCTGCAAACCTTCTTTCCTGCCCTCCTTGCCGTCTCCGAGAAATGCAACCTATGCGACTAACAAGGGACCCTTGACACCGCCAGCCGTTGCTTACTCACCTCACCCTGGTTTTACACGCCGAAGCCACACCCCCGTGGTTCCTTCATCGGCTGCCGGCTGTAGAGGCTAATTGATCCTCTCCGGCTCATGTCGTCCAGCACCAGCCGGGAATGCTGTTCGCAGAAATGGCAATATGCTGCGCTACAGGCTCGTGGGTGGCATGCGGCATGCGGTAGGTATTGCGCCAACCGGGGAAGCACTGCATAATGATAGGCGGCGCCGTATCTGATGATGGAACGAGCCATTGACAGCTCGCTTTCGCGAGTGCCTAACCTTGGCCATGTGAGTTGAGGATCAATTACCGTGCGCAAGGGTTTAATTGGTTGCGTGCTGCGTCACCTCAAGTCACCGGCCGAAAAAACGTCGCTCGACCGGCGAACCTTGGCCGACGGTACACTAGCAGTATTCGCTTGAGCATGCGCTCGTCGCAACGCGATGAAACACTTTGGAGTACGCAAGATCGCACGTGGCTGTACTGGCAGCTACGTCCGGACGGAATGTCTGGAAGTCGTAGTAACAACTCTGCTGGACAGTGCGGACGTGAAGTATGTACTGCCTTCGATCGTCGAACTGCGCCAAACAAAAGTATCACGTCTACGGACGCCCACCTGAACGGGGCTGGCAAGTACCGCATCGCTTTCAGGACGACTCGGTTTATTTTCGAGGGTAACCAAGCCGCGGTGTTTGTTGCGCATGCAACCCCCGCTGTTCGACGGACTAAGCTTCCTGCTTTACGGCGAGAGCAGCACTGCTGCTCGAACCCTCATCTCGTGATTATGCATCGTCCCTTCCACGAGTTTACCGCTCCGCGACCGCTGTTCGATAGCATGTAGCATAGCAGCAGCCCATATCGTCAAATATGTCCGAGAGGTACATTGTAGCGAAATCGATTGCTGTGTGGAGTCAGAAGTGCGTCAACGGGACCTCCTCGCTTCTCCAACAGCGCGCTTTGGCAGAAGCCTCGAGTCAGGGCATGGTGCTGACTGCAACCATCGCACGGAAGAGCGGACCACCCTGATGTTTGCTGCCAATCTCGCACTAAACACTGCCACACGCTAGGCATGCGACTTATCGCACCAGGCAGAAACATGCCGTGTCTATCCGTAAGACAAATGAGCTGTCGCCTTATTCTGCTTCCACCAACACCTCAAACTCACGGCACCGAGCAGTGGGGAAAGGAAACTACGAAACTACGAAACACTAGCTGCTTTGTCCGATTGTGTCTATTCGAAAAATTTCAGTCCTATGCAAACCACTGCGCCCTCTGCCGTTGGGTATCACATGCATGTAGAGCAGTCCAGTTAGCGCCAACGTACCCACGCAAGCCATCTACGCTTCGCAACTGTGACCATAAAGCGGTGGGATGCGTCACAATAGTCCAACCAGAAAGCACATAGGGTGTCTCACGCAATGCGAGTTGGTCGATCGCATTTCCGTCCTCCAGCTTTCGACGCAGCCGCAGTTGGCCCCGTTGACTCACTCAGACTTCTGCTATACAGAATATCCCGCCATCGCAGCGATCGTTGACTGACTGCGGCACCCAGCTCGTCGCAGCGTATGTTGAGGCTATCGCGGCAATGCTGTACGCTGTTCACTGTGCATATGCGCAGAGAAAGCAGTCGTAGCCATCTCTTGCCCGTCCCGCAGCCCCTAATCGCCGAACAAGCCAGCAACATCTTCCAAGCCCGTCTCTTCTCCGTTCGTAATTGCTGGTCTCTGCTCAATTTGCATGTAGGCCTGCTGCCCGCCTTCACCCCTGCGGATACCCTGAGGCGGTGGCGGCCGCGCGATCTTGCCGGCTTCGTGAATACTGACAGCCCGTAGATCCTCGAGCAGACCAAGCACCAAGGCGCGTTGCTTTCTCTCACTCGGGACTCTGCTGATGTCTTCGATCGTTCTCTCGACCTTATGTTGCGTCATACCCGGCAATGACAGTAGCACATTGCGTAGTGTAGACGTACGCCTAGAATACAACAAGATAATGTTAGCAATAAGTGCAGCAAGATCCTTTTGCATGTCGGCGAAGTAAGGCTCATGAAGTGACGTGATACACGCCTTGAGTACCTCCGTGCAGATAAATTCGCGAACCTCTGGCATGGGCAGCGTGTCGGCCTGAAAGAACGGCACGACAGAGCGGAAGACACGACAGATGGCTGTGCAGCACCTCGTGTCCCGCATCCTCAGAACATGATTGCAGAAGACCAACATAGGTTCGAGAATAGAAGGATCCTGGAGGACAATGTCACGGATCTTGGGATGTGGTGCGGCGTCGGTACCGTTGGTGCCGTTGGTGACATCTGCTGGCGTCGGTTGGATTTCGAGCAATGACTGCACGAAACAAACCATGCTATAAGCGAGTTGCCGCAGGATGCTCTCTGCCCGCATCTCATTGCCAAGGTCATCCTCGTCTCTCGCATCGAAGTTGGTCGCCGCATCGATGGCCGCCCATTCCGAGGTGATCTTGTTGTCGAGTCTCGTCAACAGCGCCTTCAATAATGGCGGCAAGACTGTCGTCCGGTATTGTCCTGGACATCGCATCACGAGTCTGATCGTAAGATCGATCAACGGGTGCAAGTGGTTCGCCGGCAACGCTTCAACCTCCGAGAACAGGTTGTCCGCCAACCCTTCGGCAACATTGGGTATGCCATACAAGTCATCTTCAAACTTCGTCAGCATGAAGATAATATGGTAGCCTTGATCCCGCACGATACGCATTGTTGAGCGGACAGTGGAAGCGAAGCCTTCGTACGATGTCTTCGACCCGGAGATCCTTGCATAGAACTCGTCCTTGCTCTCATTCGATATGCCCGATTGCCAAAAGCGATCCTGCAATGTCCGCTTCATCACCGCTTGAAGCTCAGGGGAGAGGTGTGACCAGTTCTTCATGTCGTGGAAAGCCACCGCGTAACGCAGCGTCTGCAGAACACTCGGCAAGATCGTGAGGATGAGATCCCGCCAGACTGCACGCGCATTGATGAACTCTTCTGTGTCTGCATGCAGCCGTTCGACAGTCACTGAGAGCATGGCTCTAGTCATGCGGAGAGGTATGCGCTCAATTCTATCCTTGATAACCTGCTGCCTAGCTATCCCATCCAGGTCGAGTTGCTGTGCAGACCAGTCGCTCACTTCGTCGAAGCGATAAGCCTTCTGAAACTCAGCAAGGTTGCCGAGACCCAAAGACTGGCAAAAGTCTTCAAATGAGCTGAGTGAGGAGCTTGACTTGTACTTTTCCCACGCTAGTTGGATGGGTTGAAGCATCTGCTGCAATCTCCCAATACGAGCATCGTGCTCAAGATGTGGAGCACGGTGGATGATCATGAACAGGAACCCACGATAGCTCCAGACCAGCTTCGGGTCCTCGTTGTGCTTCTCGATCAGCACGCCGATACGTGGCTCAAGTTCGTGATATACCTCAAGCAGCTCAGAGGAGAAGGCAAGAGCGAGCCGTTGCAGCTCCATCACGCGCTGGCCTTCGAACACCCTCACAGCGTCCGAAAAGGCAGCGTGTCCGGGATTGTCGTACAATCGCATGGTGAGCAGGTGCTGCACCACCTTCAGAACGAACTCAGAGCTGGGCTTGACCGTCTTGACAACTGCTACTAGGGTGTGCAGGACTTTTGCAGCGACATCAGGGTCGTCGACATGCAGGTTGATCACACCAGAGCTCCACTCTTGCAACGCGTCCTCTGCTGTGGCACGGTCCGACCCTGCCCTAGCAAAGAGCGGGTCTTCATGGGGCAGAGCCTGCGTGTCGAGGCACCACATTGAGTAGCCCTTGAGCACGCTTGAAACCACGTTGAATTGGGCATCGAACTGCAAGGCGGGCAGTGAATTCTTCGTGTAACCGTCCGACGTGAACCCCCGGCCACCCGTATAAGGCCCATTCTCCAACATTAGTCGCATCTGTCCAAGAACGTGTTGCATGGCTTCCAGCGGTCTGGTTCTACCGATCGCCGTCAAGATGCTGACACAGTATCTGCGGTAGTTGCCGAGGAAGGCATGCCGCTCGGGTATGGTATCGGAATCCACGTCCAGAAACCGTACAACGTCGTCCTCGCTGTCCGGAGGTAGCTCTTCATACCGCAACAGGCGCTCGCTGCACGTCTGGACTAATGGTTGCAGAGCCCGCAGCACCATATCGATCACCGTCGTTGCCTGCACCCCCATCAACTTGCTCCAACTGTGCAGCACCGGCAGCGACACAGCAAGGCTTTTGCTCTGCACCACGACAACCAGGAAATCGAAGAACGCGGGTACGTCCACGGAGTCGCAAGCCAGGAGCTCAGGGTGAAGCGCGACATCGTCTGAAAGAACGGAAAGTAGCTCCGACAACTTCTTCAGCAGCCTATAGCTCTCGTCCTCTTCACCTGGTCCGCAAGATGTTCCCTCGAAGATTTGCCTGATAGTTCCAATGCGGTCATGATGTAGAGCTTGTTGGGTTAGCTTGACCCATGCCGTTTGCTCATTGCCGTTATAAGGACGACAAAGCAGCACATACAGAGTCTCGGTAGCCGCAGTTTGCAACGCTACGTCCTCCGTATCAAAAGGTAGGAAGAGAGATGGCACGAGATCAACCGTTAGTGCCGCTCTTATGGTAATCCAAACGAGCGTCGGTCGTAAAGCATCGAGCGCTTTGATGGCGCACGCGGACAGCTCGCTTGCAGTGTCAACATCACCTTCGCGAGTCACCTGGTTGATCAGCAAGACGAGGAACTCAGCGATCCGAGCAAGCCATCCTTCTCCATCACACCTTACTTCCTGCCTGTCTCCTCGCGTCCGCACGACATCTTCGTAGACATACCGTGGCACCATGATTTCGTGCAAGGCCGCACCGAGGACCTCCATCCGCAGTCCTGCCGCCGGATCCTCGTTGTTGATGATATCTTCACTCAGCGTCTCGAGCACGTACAGAACGAAAACGAAATTTACGGTTCCCTTCACACCGACGGACGTTTGCCACAAATTCACCAGCTGTTGATCCATATCCATCCACTCATCGCCCCAACACCGCTTCGCCACCTCCACCCACAGCTGGGCGACTTTGTTCCGGATAAACAACGGATCCTGTTTCCGAAGGCTTCCCGCTAGAGATCTGGTCCATTCCCGAAGTTGCTGCGTTTGCGCCAGGCCACATTCTGTCCAACGGTATCTGATCGTGTACTCTAAGATTTGCAGGCCGTAGTAGCGGACCGCATCATTCTGACGCCAGTCTTCTGCGAGATTGTAACCATGTTGAGGTGCGTTAGGCATCAGCTTGACATGATCGAGAAATTGTAGCGCTTGCTGACGGGTCTCATTTGATATGCCTGGGTCGTACGTCGCCGCAAGTGCGTCGCGAATTTGGTCGACCACGTTGTTAGTGTTGGTGGCCTCATAATAGACATCAAAAGCGCCGTCCAGGCCGAAGGGGCCGGACATGGTAGTGAATACGGCAGCGCTTCAATCGCGTGCAAAGTGTCTCGATTGTATGTTGGCCAACAATCTGATCCGAGTGACGGCTGGTATCACCCGTAGTACGCCGACTGGCGTGCGTCTAGGATTTCAAGCCCGCAACTATGAAGCGGACTCAAGACTGTTAGTGTGGATAAATGAAAGAGGAGACGAGAAACAGATTGTGACTACGACTGATGTGTGACGGCCGGAAGAACGCTGTACTTTAGAGAATGACTGGAAAGACTGTGAGGTGTTTGTATAGCTGTTGAACGAGAGGGTGTGCGCGTGACAGCGAACGCAGATAGGTCTGGTGCCAGGCGGCTATCGATAAGCGACAGGGAAGGAACGACCGAGACACGTAGTCACGAGGGTGCAGATCACGTACGTGGAGGCACTAGGGACGTTGACAACACGTTGATAACAATTCCCACAGGCACAAGCACTGGACATTAGCAAAGTGTAAACCATACAGTATTCGTACACGGTAGAGACCAAGGCCTTGTCGCGACTAGCACAACGCGCCACAACCGGCCAACCAACGCCGCGCTAAATCTTTCATTCCGCACGATCCTCACTATCCTGCTCGCCATCCCTTTGGCGCCAGATGTTCGATACCTAACCGAACGGGAACCCACCCGGAAACCCACCGCCGCCGCCACCGCCCGCCTGGAATTTGAACGCTCGCTGTCCGCCGCCTCCGCCGGACTGGAAGAACACGGGTTGACCACCCGGCGCGAAACCGAAAGGGCTACCTTGGAACGGATTCTGTTGGTTCGCTTGAGGGTCATTCGGATCCTCGCCTCTGTCAAATCTCTCCTTCAACTCCGCATCCGAAAGGACTTCGTACGCTTCATTAATGGCGGACATCTTCTTTTGCGCTTCTTCCGGCGACACGCCCTTTTGCGCTGCCTTATCCGGATGATGCTCCTTGGTCAATCTGCGGAAGGCTTTCTTGATGTCGCGCTCATCGGCATCGCGAGGGACTCCGAGCACTTTGTAGTAGTCTTTCTGCTTCGACTGCTTTAGTCGTGTCTGCGCCGTTTGCATCATCTCCTGTATCTTGCCGGTCATGCCGTGGTGGTCCTTTGCTTGGTTGAGCATATGGAGCGCTTGGTCGTACTCCTCTGCGTCTATGAGGCGTTGGGCCTTGTTAATCAGGGCGGGAAGACAATTAGGGTTGTAGGTCAGAGCCTCTTCGCAATACGGCTGCGCTTTCTTGAGGTTATTCATCTCACTGTAAGCTTCGCACGTCTTTTCCAAGAGGCTGGCGTACAGCCCGTCGCCGGCTTTCGGATGGATGTATCCCGCTTCGCGGAAAGCCTTTGTGTCATCTTTGACCTCTTGTAGAAGGCCGGCATCCTCGCCTTGCGGAACGAGTAGCTTGACCGCCGAGGCGAACTGCCGTTTCTCGAAGAGTTGGTTGAACTTCTTCAGCGAACGCTCGACTGCCTTCTCCGACTTCCGCAGCTTTGCGCAAGCCTTGTTGTCCGGATCGTTGTGTAGACACTTGGAGATGGCAGCGACACCCTTGTCCAGCTCGCCAAGAGAGTAGAAGGTCATCGCTGCAATCTGTAGGTGCGGCTCGGTCAAGCCAGTGTTGATTTGCAGCACATGGTTGAGATCGGAAACACCTTCCATCACTTCGCCCTTTTCGAAACGACATCTTGCTCTCCGTTGCCTCAGTTCCAGCGCCGTGCTCGCTACCATGATAGCAACGCCCGCTTGCGTCACACACGACTCCCAGTCACCTGCTTTCTCCGCATCTGCAGATAGCTTCGCCGCGCCCTCTGCCTCCTCCAGCTGAGCCCAGTCCGACGTGCCTTGCTTACCGGCTGCGGCGTAATCCTGCTTCGCGCCGGTCCAGTCTGCATTCCGGCCCTTGATCTTGGCTCTCTGCGTCAATGCGCCTTCGAAGCCGGGCTTGATGGCCAGCACTTGGTCGAAGTCTCTGCTTGCCTGGGCGTTGCGGCCTAAGGAGAGATACGTTGCGCCGCGCTTGAAAAGCGTCAAGTAGTTTGAAGGATCCCTCTGAATAGCGGCGTCAAAGTATGTGAGCGCGTCCTGTGCATTGCCTTGCTGAAGGTTGGCATTGGCGCTTGCGATCAGCTGTGAGACGGGCGTGTCCGCTGGGATGTCGCTGGTAGAGAGTGAGACGGTAAACTGGAAGCTTGATAAGCATAGCGCCCCAAGGGCAAGTGATCTGAGTATCATGGTCGCGACCGTCGCTAAACCTAGTGGTATTCGTGATGAAGATGGGTGGAACGTGAACGGACAACTTGCACTTCGGAGTCCCTGCAGGGCCCCGGTCGAGGATGCAGCCACATTCACATCAATGCGTTACCGTTGGCTCGGCCCGATGTTACAGTTGCGCCGTGTGGCTGTCGTGGCGCGCTTGTGTCATCCTCCACATGCACTGGGCTTACCATCCGAGACGTGCCATTCCTTCCCAATCCGCCCAACGGTGCTGCATTTACCGGCGTAGTCTCTTGATCCTCTTCCTCTACCACACGCCTCCCGCGCCGTAAGGGATCCATTGCGCGATCGATAGCTTATCCCCCTCAACCTAGCATCAGCGGCAAGGGTCGTCACGCGAGTCGGCATGACGAGGTGACCCTGCCATAGTGGTTCGATAGTCAGTCGCTGCTTTCAGTCGTAGTCTCCCCTAACAGCAAACCACGTCTATTTGCAATGGCACCACCTCGCTTATACATCGATGGTCAACGCCTCCGTGACAAGGAAGACCATCGCGAGTTCTACGCCAGCGGTATTAATGTCAGCGGCGACAGTAAACTGCCTGCCCATCCGCCCATATCCTCCCACGTTAAGGAACAGTTCTTCGACGGTGACAGCGTCTCCTTCGTCGACCGGCCTTTCAGCGTTGCCGAAGCACATACCCACTTCTCCCGGTTGAAACGATGGGGCTACAATACCATCCGCTACATCTTCACATGGGAAGCGCTCGAGCATGAAGGGCCAGGAAGGTACGATGAGGATTTCATTCAGCACACCGTCAAGATCTTGCGAATAGCTGGGCAGTATGGCTTCCATGTCTACATGGACCCGCATCAAGACGTGTGGTCACGGTATACAGGAGGCTCGGGCGCGCCGATGTGGACAATATACGCATGCGGTTTCGATCCAACCAAGTTTGCGACCACTCAAGCTGCGCTTGTGCAGAACACATGGCCGGTTCTTGCCGAGTTCCCAAAGATGGCTTGGGCGACTAATTACCAACGCTTAGCGTGCCAAACCATCTTCACCTTCTTCTTTGCTGGGCGGGAGTTCGCACCCAAGTGCATCATCGACGGCAAGAATATCCAAGATTATCTGCAAGATCACTTTATTGCAGCGTGCAGACATTTGGCAAAGCGGATAACAGAAGCTGGAGATCTGGAAGGCGACGTCGTGCTTGGGTTCGAAACTGTCAATGAGCCCAACAAGGGCTTCATTGGCCACCCGGATTTGTCGAAGCTACCCGAAGACCAGAAGCTGCGAAAGTATACGACTCCAACGGCATGGCAAGCGATGCTTTCTGGCTCTGGCAGAGCAGTCGAGGTGGATACCTACGACTTTGGCAGCTTCGGGCCTTACAAGAGCGGCACTCAGAAGATCGAGCCCAACGGTACATCCGCATGGTTAGACCCAGGCACGTGGGATGACAGCAAGTACGGCTGGAAGCGGGCAGAGAGCTGGCGACTTGGTGAAGATGTCTGGGCACAGCATGGCGTCTGGAATCCTGCGAAAGACGAGATATTACTGCCACATTACTTTGCGAAACACCCTAAAACCGGTGCGATTATGAACCAAGATCACTTCACGAATAACGAGTTTATGGACTACTACCGCAAGCATCGCGATGTAATCCGCAGCGTCTGGCCGGAAACCATTATGCTAATCCAACCCTCTCCATTTGAGGTTCCACCAATAATCAAAGGCACCGCAGACGACGAGACGAACATGATCTTCGCATCCCACTTCTACGACGGCATTACGCTAATCACGAAGAAGTGGAACAAGCTGTGGAACGTCGACGTGCTAGGCCTACTCCGTGGCAAGTACTCCAGCCCAGCATTTGCGATCAAAGTGGGTGAGACCGCCATTCGAAACTGCTTCAAAGACCAGCTCAGCACCGTACGGCAAGAAGGTATCAACAATATGGGCGAACACCCTTGCCTCTTCACAGAGATCGGTATACCTTACGATATGGATGCCCAACACGCTTATATGACCGGTGACTACAGTTCGCAAGCCGCGGCTATCGACGCGAACCACTACGCTGTAGAGGGTAGCCAGGCGGCTGGCTTCACATGGTGGGTGTACACCGTCAGCAACAACCATTTCTGGGGCGACAACTGGAATGGCGAGGACCTGAGCATCTACTCGTCCGAGGACCGGCAACTTCCGCCTTCTTCTTACGAGGAGAATGCGAGCAAGCTGTCGCTGGACCCGAGTAGTCCGAGTTACTCAGAGTCTCAAAGCGAAGCGAACGAGCTTGTGACGCCGGGGAGTCTGAAGAAGACGCTTTCCGTGGGCGAGATGGACTCCTCCGTGCGTTCGATCTCCGCGAGTGAAACGCCGGGTTTCCGCGCCGCAGAAGCGTACGTTCGGCCACATCCCGAACTCGTACACGGCTCCATCCTGTCCCACGGCTTCGACCTCAAAAGCTGTACCTTCAGTCTCACACTGAACTCAACCACCCCAACACCCCAAGATTATCCCACCGTAGTGTTCTTGCCCGAGTTCCATTTCCCGCAACAACGGTCCGGAGCGTCGGCTGAGCAAAGAACGACTGTAGAAGTGAGCGGCGGCAAGTGGGAGATCAGGATCGAGGAAATAATGGAGGATGCTCCGCAGCAGATTCTGAAATGGTGGCACGGTGAAGGTGAGCAGAAGATTGTGGTGAAAGGCGTGAAGAGGAAACGGGGCACTCTGCAGCCCAGGGAGGAAGAGGAGGGGTATATGGATGCTTATTGGCAGATGGGGAGGAATTGTAGGGTTATGTGATGTGATGAGCCAAGTGACGGAGGTGATTCCCAGTGCAGCGTGCTCCACGCGGAGACCTGGGTCGCAGCTTTAGGTCCAGCATCCACCGTACAGCTGGCGTTGCATTGCCGCACGGGTGCCCTGGCGAATGCGCGTCAACAACGATAATTCGGGTCAAGCAGCGCCCTTGCGAAATAGCATCTTCAATAAGCGCATCTTTAGATTGTGAGGGTATATGATCTCAGGTTCGAGGCCGCAACCACCCGTAATGCTGCCATTACCATTGCGTCTACCACAGACGCGCAGAAAGAAGCCAAGATGAAAGATGGTGGTAAGGGTGCTTGCTGAATGCGTGCAGCAAAAAAATGGGATTACAAGTGGTCCATTCCCTACGCGTGAATATGCCTACCAGACAGATCCAATGCCGTTTATTTACGAAATCGGGAAAGACAGAACAAAAGAGACAATGTCTCGCTGATTGTGCCAAAGATTGGTAACGCCGCTTTTTGTCCATACGCATAGTCATTTCTGGTAAACTGTAGCATTGTAAGTGAGAAAGAATCAATTAGCGCGCGCGCGTGTATAGTCTTACAGGCAAGAGATGAGTTTGTTACGCATAGGACGCGGTCTAAACGTTAAAATTTGCATGTTTGTATTATGTACATTGATACTCGATGGCCGAGGATCAACCGCCGTGGTTTGCTGCTCGGACTCGCTTACTTCTCCCGACTTTCCTGCTTCCTAGCTCGCTGTTTGAGCGCACCACCTCCGAGATGTCACGATGCATGTGCGTACGCGCGGTACAAGGAACGCCAAATTGACTAGGGTATCATGTCATAAACGAGAGTTTAACATGCTAACATACTCTCAATTAGCCGGCAAGCGTCTCCACATCGGTGGATGATCCGGCTGTATCTGAACACCAAGGCCATCCCCTCGATCCTCCACTTCGGAGGGAGGTAGCAAAACCGAGCGTAGGCCAAGGTGTCACGACTAAGTGCACAACATTTGACAGTAGGTGCTGCGTAGTGCTGCCACGGTAAGAAGTAAACATGTCGAAGGATATACCGCACCTCAGGGCAACTGCAACCTCTAAGCAGCTGATTGTTAATGGCGAGCCGTTCCTTGTACTTGGAGCCGAGCTACAAAACTCGTCCCTGACCTCTGCGGCATACATGCGTGGAGTCTGGGGCAAGCTGAAAGATGCACATATCAATACCGTCCTGGGTTGCGTAACGTGGGAGCACATTGAACCCGAAGAAGGAAAGTTTGACTTTGCAGAGCTTGACCAGATTGTCACAGATGCGAGGGCCCATGGATTACGCTTGGTGTTGCTATGGTTCGGCAGCTTCAAAAATGGTGAGCAGGGTCACTATTACGCTACGCGGAATGGCGAGTCTAACATGCGCAGGTTTGTCGACTTACGCTCCGTCTTGGGTCAAGACTAACAGCAAGCGCTTTCCTCGTGCCAAACTTCGGAAAGCTGGTGGTGAGCTAGCTATTGCGGACGTCGTTTCAATATTCCACTCTGAAGCGCAGCAATGCGACGCAAGGGCTTTTAGCAAGCTGATGGCGCACTTGAAGCACATTGACGAGGGCCACTTCACTGTTATCATGGTGCAAGTGGAGAACGAGTGCGGTTTGCTCGGAGATTCGCGAGACGGCAGTCAGGCTGCGGAGCGTTGCTTCAATCAACCCGTTCCTGCCGAACTTATGGACAGTTTGCACGAACGGTGGGACAAGCTTCGACCTGAACTGCGGCAGAATCTCACGAATTTCAGGCAACGTCAAGCATCGAATCAGAGTTGGGCAGAAGTCTTCGGCAAAAGCCCGCAAACCGACGAGATTTTTATGGCATACCACTACGCGAAGTACATTGAAGGTGTAGCAAGCGCTGGCAAGGCAGTGTACGAACTCCCACTGTATCACAATGTATGGCTACCTGCAGGAGGCGATGATGCCGATCCCAGCATGCCAGTGGTAGCTGGAGGCGGTCAGCGTCCGGGCGAGTATCCCAGCGGTGGTGGCACCCCTAATGTAATCGACATCTGGCAGATATCCGCTCCGACTCTCGAATTTATAGCACCTGACATCTACGTGGCGGACTACATCACCATGTGTACAAAGTACAGGCACAGGAATCAGGCGCTCTTCATCCCAGAGCAACGGCGAGACGAGTACGGTGCGAGGCGCATCTGGGCATCCATTGGTTGCTATGAAGCCATCGGCACCTCACCTTTCGGCATCGACACGGTTGACCTCGCCGACAACTCGTTTGTGCGTCACTATAAGCTTCTTTCGCAAGTCTCGTCCCATGTTCTACAGGCACAGCGTGAACACCAGTGCTTTGGCTTCTTTTTTGACGAGCTGCGTCCGGATGGCACCGACCCCTCGCCAGCCAAAATGATCTCCTTCGGATCGTGGAACCTGGTCATCGAACGGTCTTTTGTGTTTGGTCGTCCTAGTGCAGGCTCCGGCATGGTCATTCACAAGGGTGATGATCGCTTCTTGCTGCTCGGGTGGGGCTACCAAGTCTCGTACACACATCGAAGTGCTCCTTTCACTGGTTTGTTGCGGTTTGACGAGCTCGAGTATGATTCAAGCAGTAAGAAACTGCAGAAACTCAGGGAGTTAAACGGAGACGAGACTCGAAGCGGGAAGAGCACCGTCATGCCGAGTGAGAGTCCGGACTACGGCGGGTTCCCGATTGCTATCACTATTCCAGCGCGAACTGCTATTGCGATGGTCGAGGTATATGCACTGGAAGATGAGCAGGACTGACCAATTGCGAGTACTAGCGCTGCGAATAAGTTGTGACCATAGCCAAGAAAGTTTGTGGAAACCGGACATGCCAAGACGACTATTGGTTGTGTTCAGACGAGCACTCGTCGCAATGCCTCTAAAGTCGTTAAGCCCAGACTTGCCCATCTAAAGCCTGTGCAGTGTCTCAAGCGGAGAGTGTTTCCTCAGTATCTGGTCGTGTTTGTGGGAAGACGGAGGTGGAGATGGGTGCGCTAGTGTGCGGGACGCTCCAGCGAATGATGCATGACCAGCAGCTGCTGAGTTTCTTCTCGGCGGCTGAGAGCGCCTCCGCTACACTGTAAATGAAGTGGGTTATGGAGTAAACACTAGAGGATCACACTGGAATCTTGACAGCAGTGGAGGTCCAGCATAATCTCCTGATGTCTACTTAACATTACCGCTAGCAGTCACATATACATATGAGGCCAGATGCCTAGAAACGAACAATGCTTCCGACACCTCGAACAGCTCACGTTGACTACGATCGCATCTACGAACCAGCTGAGGACTCATATCTACTGTTAGACACTCTCGCCAAACGATCAGAGAGAGACTTTCTTCGGAAGCGCTTCCCACGTAACTCGCCTTCTCCAGTAGTTCTCGAAATCGGCACGGGCTCTGGTGTTGTTCTGGCTTTTGCTACCGCGCACGCCAACCACATCTTTGGCCGCTCAGACGTGTTGACAATCGGTACTGATGTCAACCCTTTTGCGTGCGTGGCAGCTCTAAGGACGGTCGAGCTTGCAGTGAGCGAAGCGAACACTGCTGGAACGAGTACTGGGTTCTGTCTTGGTTGCCTCGAAGCTGATCTTGCTACGCCCTTCGGAGGCCACGCTGTTGATGTAGCGCTCTTCAACCCGCCGTACGTGCCGACTGAGATGGTGCCAACCGCGCCTGGCGACAGTAGCGTCGCTACGCCATTCGAGCGGGAGTCGCAGCTGCTGGCGCTCTCATATGCTGGTGGTGTGGACGGCATGGAGGTGACCAATCGTCTTCTCGACCAGCTGCCGGGCATTCTCAGTAGGCGTGGGGTAGCGTACATTCTGCTATGCGCGCAGAACAAGCCCGCGGCGATAGCGCGCCGTATCAATGATGCATCTGATGATTGGGTTGCGCAGGTTGTAAATTCCAGTGGCAAAACAGCTGGCTGGGAAAGGCTCAGCATCCTGCGAATATGGCGCACTTGATCGCAGTCATGACGCTGTAGTCCTACTCAAGCTCACTCCGCTCAGTGCCGCCATCCCAGTGGAAGTCCGACAGTCCTTCGTTCCACGGCTCATTACTGAACACCGAGTCCTTGGAATCTTCGCCGGGCTTCGGAGGCCCGCCCAAACCTAGAAGCTCATCGGAGAGGACGTCAGACTGCCTCCTCTCGATCTGCTCAGTGGCACTAAGTGGGAGAAGGTTGATGTCGAAGTCTTCGCTATCCTCCGCTACACGATCCGAGACACACTTTGTCTTGTACAAGATGATGTCAGACAGTGCTTGTGCGCGATGCGCCGTCGCCACGTGCTCCAGGTACATGTCTGTTCCAGCATATGCCGGACTCTTGTCACCTAGAAACACGCAGAACTGGCACTGATACACGTACTGGTGATCCTTGACCTTCTGCTGCGGTACATGGGATTTTGCCAGGAACGCCCAGCGGAATTTGAGACCTTTCGATTGGACGAGCCACACTCGCTCCCAAATCGTAGCAACGTCAAGGCGACCGGCGAAGGCACATTTGGAACTCGCACAGACAAAATACTGGACGTGAGACTGCGAGCAGCCGTCGTTAAACTCTTTCGACTTCTGCAGAGCTCCTTTCCGGTCGCCGTTCTGCAGTTTCCACGCGGACTTGCAGAACCCGAGATAGTCGTTGTCGGGTGTAGGAGTTGGAATGGAGGTGGAGGCCGTCGAAGCGCGTGATGGCGAAAGTGCCGAATGAACCACGTGTGGATCGGAGGAAGCTGAGCGCGGAGTGTCAGGTGCAATATCAAGCGTATCACGCCGGTCAAGGCGAGGTGCGCTTATCGAGGACCTATGGTTCCGCATTGTCGTCGTATCGCCATCTTGATATGTGAACCTTGGATGGTCGGACGCACCCTGCTGCTCGCTTGCATTGCAACGAGGAGGTGGCTGGAAGGGCAGCGCCGAGGGCGAGGTTGAAATGTGTCGCACCTCTTCCACTTTGGGAATCTGGTCATGGGAGCCGGAACGGGATCGATGGTGCCTAAAGAAGCCTAACAACGAGCTGTGCCGCTTGCGCCCATGCTCGTTATTGTGAGCGTGGTGCAGATCATCCGGGCCAGGAGCGCCCGATGTCGTGTCAACGGTTTCCGAAGGCGACCCGCGAGAGTCGCCATATTCCCTGGTCCATGTCCGATGCTTCGGGTGTCGTTGAGTCGATGAAAGTTCCGGCGTAGAGTGTAATGCTAAGCTTTGCATGTGTCCTGCAATGTTTCCATCGCCATTACCATTGACTAGTGGCTCCTGTCGTTCTGGACCGGAATGAGCGTGCAACAGTCTCTGCCGCAATTCCAATAATGCCGTGATCGCCCTGTCGCGTCCAGTGTCTGCCACATCTACCAGCTCCATCCAGTCTCTGTCTGTACGTCCGTCATCGTCAAATTTCAGCTTCTCCAGCAATGTACTCTGCAACTGTATGGTGATCTGCTGGAGGGCAATGACTGCGAGATGATCGCCGTCTTGGAACGCTTTGCCAAAACGTGCAATACCTCGTTGCAGCTCCTTCTCAATTTCCTCGGGAGCCTGAGCGATGGTCTCCTCGAGTGTGGGCGGTGGCGCTGGGTCACAACGCTCCGCTCGCTTAAGTTTCAGCCGGTTTATGATAGCAGCGCCGTCATGGTAGGCGGATATGATGCCAGTCACGCACTCCTGCGTTCAATTGTCACTAAACCAACTGCCAATTACAATCTTGCCAGCTACTGGAGCCACAGGTGCGGATGCTGGGCTGATATTACGGGAGACTCACGACAATGCCTACAACCTCCCCAGAGGCGTCCATGCTTGCGCCTTGGCTCTGCTTATGCTTGCGATGTGTCTTTACAACTTCTGTCCTCACGATTAGGTAGCGAGGGCCGATCGGCACATCCGCAAGGAGCGTCTGCGCGACGTGCCATCTTACAGTGAGCTACTCAGCGATTAAGGCTCGTCGACACAACACATTCGACGACCTCAGCCTCGGCCAGATTTGCCATTCGCTGGCGGAAAGTAAGCCGCTGGCACGCGTCACTGCAGCTCTCCATCGGCTCCACTACCACGTGCTGTGGAGATGGCGATTGATGGTCCGAGCTCATAGTGTACGTTGTTACGTGTACATGTATATTAATGAGAAGTGCACGCGAAGGACGACAACTCGGACTATCCGCTCTCATGCACTCATGCGCAGGGTGTGGTGTTCCCTAGACCCATCTCACAAAAGCCATTCACTACTGATCGGCGCAGAGGTGGCGAAGGCACTGCGCTACTCCACCACTCTAGAAGTGAACCACAGGGTCAGACAGTGTGCTTGCAAGCTCAATGCAGCGTTCTACTTTTGCGCCAGAAGCTTTTTGAGATCGGCAAACTTGACGGGCTTGGGCAGGAACACGTCGACGCCCGCGGTCTGTGCTCTTCTTTGCGCTTCGTCGGTTGCCAGGCCCGTCAGCGCAATTATCCCTGAACCCTCTAGCCTGTTTTCCTTCTCGAAAGCCCGTATCTGTCGCGTAGCTTCGAGTCCATCCATGACCGGCATGGACAAATCCATCAAGACATAATCGAATCTTCGTGGGGGCCGACTGTTGGTCTGCGAACCAGGCAGGCATGACTCCTTGTAACGGTCCACTGCCTCCTGTCCGTTCTCGGCTTCCTGGTATGCGAAGCTGTGTTTCTTCATGAACATAGTGAGAAGCTGAATATTGATTCGGTTGTCGTCGACGACTAGCACGTTAAGGCTTTGTTTGACTTCAGAGTCGCCAATCTGCGGTCCCTCGTTCAAGGATGGCGTACCGGGATGTAACGGTGGTGGTGATGGAAACGTCACGGCTGCGGACAGTGGTGCGTCTGGAGCAGACGCCGGAGACTTCCGCTGCGCATCGTCTTCGTGCGAAAGAAGTCGCGAGTTCAGCGGCCCCATATGTGCTAGCTGCTCGTCCATATCTGCGTCGGCGCTCCCACACTTTTCCTGCGATTGATCCTGATGCGTGGAGTCGGCGCCATTCGTTTCCGGCTGGCGGCCATCATTCTCGTTGGATCTCAGTTCTTCTACCCTTCTCAATAGCAAGCGAAGGACCTTCGCCAGCTTCCTTGGTCCACATGGCTGCGCCACAACTTCAACGATACTGCCCAGCTCCTCCAAGGCTTTACTTTGGTGCTTGTTGACTTCAATGGCAGTATCTGCGTTCATGCAGATGATGATGATGGGGATCTCGTTACCTTTACTTGAGCGCAACCTGCCAGCCTTCTGATGTTCCAGAAGTTGTTCGACCGGAGGTGGTTCGCTGTACAAGTAGAGGTCTGCATCACCAGCATGCATTGTGTCAGCCTCGCTGACCTTCATACGCAGCCATACACTGCACACCTCAGCGATCGATTGCTCCAAGCGTACGAAAGGCTGGGTCACGTCCTTCTTCGGACCGTCGCCCGTGCATGGGTCCAGCATGACCAGCCGCATACCTGCCGTTTGGCGTATAAGATCAGACATCGAGTCGTCCTTGGGCAGCCCGACGCGAGAAGCCGGTTCGGAAGCCGTAAGGCTGAGATGTACTTGGATCTCGGTTCCGACATCCTGGTCGCTTTTCACGTCGATCGAGCCTCCCAGAGAATCTGTAATTTGTTTAACGATGCTGAGGCCGAGGCCAGTGCCAGGCTGGAAGCTGTCTTCCTGACTGAAGGGTACGAACAGCTTGTTGCGCTGAAATTCTTCCGACATGCCCTTGCCTGAGTCAACGACCCTGATAAGTGCCTCTACTTTGGAACTTCCAGGGATGTCCTTCGCTCGCAGTGAGACGGCTACGAAGCCGGACGAAGTATATTTCATCCCGTTGCCCATTAAGTTCATGATAATTCTTCTCAATGCGCCGGGTTGCGCCCGCACAATCCATGATTGTCTGGGACTTATGTCAAGCAGAACGGAGACTGGACCCTTCTCATCGGCTTCCGGGGTATCATCTTGGCTCCCGTTACGACCAGAGCCGCCGTTGATACTCGCAATGCCAATGGCTGTGCCAGAGCCAATGCTGGCCGTCATCCCTGAGCCTTGGAGATTTTTGAAAGCGTGGCCAGCAGTCACGGCCTCTACGACCTCCTCGACCAGCACAGCTAGGTCGACCTCTGCAGTCATATTGATGCTTTCGAGCGACGAGTCGGACGTCAGATTGACGAGCTTGTTCTGCCGAGCGTTTCGCCGCATCTGTGTCCGACCTAGCTTGTTGATTTTGCTGTAGTCGAGAACGTGATTAAGGGTGTCGAGCAGAGTCTTTCCGCATGTCGCAATGCTCGTGATCAAGCCCGCCTGGAAGGAGTCAGTAGCGGTATCCGCCAGAAACTCTGCAGCGCCTAGAATACCATGCAGCGGTGACCGCAACTCATGGCTCATTGAAGCGATAAACGTCGTTTTAGCGGCTTCATTCCTCGAAACATTCAGCCGCGCCACTTCGCTCATGATACTGTTCCCGAACGCTCTCAGGTAGGTCAAGTCACTGCCCAAGTCCATCATCCTGCCAGTTTCTGACGTCCAAAGAAAGCAACCCGCCAGAAGTCGCTCCTCGGCAAAGTCGTAGAGTGGGAGAAATGCAACGCTTTGAGCACCAGGGATCTTTTTCAGGAGTTCCTTATGGTCCATTCTAGTCTTTTTACGGCGCTTTGCATGCGCAGACGCTGCTTCCTCGCGCTTGACGTTAATGCGACCACGACTCACGTCCTGTTCACTTGTGCTACCTTCCTCATCCGACGAGATGCCTGAGCCTGTTTCCGTAAAGTAGAAGACACGTCCACGTGGATGGAGTTGAAAATACTTTTCCAACGTTCGTAGGGTGAGAGCGCTGCCTTGTTCAATGTCTGCTTTGGCTCTCTGATTTGCCAAGGAATACGCTAGTATTCTGCAAGGACGCCCTTGTGGGCTACCATCCGAATCCGAAGTATTGGGATCCGGGCTTGACTCGTTGCCAGGCGACGGAGATGGCGGACCGGAGAGACTAGTGGCACTTGCGAAGGGCTCAAGGGATGAGCTGCCAGCGGAGGCGCCGAAGATGGCAACTCCATCTGCTATTGTCGACTCGCGCAAGATCTCAGCAGCTCGTGCGTACATGTTCGCCATGTTGTCAATTCTGGCTGAGCGAGTTCGTGGCGAGGCCGCTGGTCGCCTACGTTTTGAGCGCGGGCTTCTGGACCCACTCGCAGAATCAAGGCGCTTGTTGCGCGATGCATTATCGACACTCCGTGCCTCCTGTGCAGAATGACGATCCGATGCAGGCGTGGCGGATTGGGGACCCTCTTCCTGGCTTTCGCGACTATCAAATCCGCTATGCAATGACGAGCAACCTTCAAGAAATGATGCCATGCCATGGACCATACGTTCACCCCTAAAGCGATCGACGCGATCTCTCGCCCACTCTAAATGCTCCATAACAGCCTGGGCCGTCTCGTGCATGAAACGCAACTCGTCCGCTGAAAGACCGTTCCTTGGTGACTCGTCGGATGCAGCGTATACCCCGATAACGACGCCAGAACGTGACACAATGGGAACCCCTGCGAAAAACCGCACTCCGGGCTCCGATGTCACATTAGGGCGGTCCCGAAATCTGTCGTCCTCTCGGCAGTCATTGACAACCATTCCAGACGTCGTCAGCGTCGGCTGTCCAGGCTCATCACTTGTAGTGTAAGTCGAGTTCATGCACCACTCGCAGATGCCGTCCTTCTTCGCCAGTATGGTACTACCAAGCCACAGGTCGTCGATGTCACGCACGCTCGTTGAATACGTCGCCTCGGCCAGTATATACTGGCTCTCATTGTCTAACAAGCTTACCATGCCCCGCTTCACATCTAAACGGATGGCTGCCAGCTGCGCGAAAGCTGTTAGTGCCTTGTCGCGCGAAGCACGGGGCTTGTTGCCGGCATTAACATGGTCAAGCTTAGCCGCTGGAGTGGTGATATGGTTGGCAAGGCTCTGCGAGCTGCCGTGGGCGGACAGCCATGGTTGATAGTAGCGATGCACCTCACGATCCTGTAGACTGGCGCTTCGATATTTTGCAGAGTCCGACACAGAGTTCCCTAAGGGCAACTCGACGGAGGCAGCCATTGTTGCCAGTGCGCCCGAGCTTTCGGGTCGGTGATGGCACTCGGCACCTTGCGGTCGCGAGGGTGATGGGAATGCGATCAATGGTAGACAAGGTAGGATGGTCGTCTTTGTCGCTCAAGAGCCAATGCACGGAGATAGGTCCCTTCCAAACACTAACATATGTAGTAATGATACCGCAGCGAGAGGCGATATAACCTACGCCACCGACTCCATGCAAGATGATTGTTCTTAGTGGAGGGTATACTTTGATTAAGCACGGTGCAAAGATGCCCTCTGCCTGGTCTAGACCACGGGCTTGCCCGCATTCGCAAAGAGCCGAGAGTCTGCCGACTCGCAGATGCCGTCTAACCATAACTTCAACGACCTTTGATGAACATTGAACAAACAGTCCATTAAAGCACGCAAAGCCACCATATGCAAGCCTCTCAGCTGCAAAGACGCGCTGCGCGGTCTGCTCCGAAGCTGTATCGAAAGCCGTCGATTTGCCAGACCACGACTACGTTTGTTTCCTCTTGAGACGATGAAGTTCTGGTACTCGACATAGGGAGGCTTACCCACGGCAATCGATTCCACAAGGTTGTCAAGTTGATCTAGCGTTACAAACTGTTCGACTTGCGCATCTAGGTGACTTGCGAAGTGATGGATGAGTTGCGAAGTGAACTAGTGACGACGATGTAGTGCGTTGAAAGGAGTGTCCCACGTCCTAGACTAAACTACTACTCGAAGCTGAGGTGAATGGCGCGCATGAGTACTCCCCCCCTCCCCCAAACACGATGCAATGGCGAGGTCGGGCGCGCTGGAAGGGGTTCTTCTTGACCCCCAGCAGGGTGACGTGTCCATACCAATCTGTGACGACCACCAGGGTGCGAGGCGCGGCATTGATGATGTACAGTCTATACAAGCTCACTCCAGTACTCTATCGCTGGATCTATGGCATGAATAGTCATAGAAAGTCTTTAGATCGAGTGCATCACTCCACCCGCCGAAGATACCTCGCGATGCATGGTATACGGTTCAAGGTCGCGCTCATCGCTTGGAAACATAAACGAGCTGCACGTGCATTGCTGTACTCTAAAAGCCGCTGTAGGAGATGCTCAGGCCCACGAAATCTCCAAGATTGTTGCAGCCCCGGTACTCCGTGGACGCTCCTGTCGTTGCACCAGTGCAATTCGCACCAGCGTAGATGATCAATTCGCCTTCCGTCGGTAGGGCGTAGATCTCGAGTGCCTTGAACGCGACTTTGCTGGTGGCGCAGGTGCCGTTGCCAATGCTCAAGCCGCCGACTTCGGTCGAACATGCAGAGTCGGCGTAGATGGCTATATCCATGGCGCTAACGCTAAGGGCGAGGCTGGCAAAGAACATAGCGACGGTCTTGAATTGCATCTTGGCTGTGTCAAAGTTGTTGTACTTGATGGAGTTGATGGAGTTGATGGAGTTGATGGAGTTGAGGGAGTTGATGGAGTTGATGGAGTTGATGGAGTTGTTGGAATTAGTTCCAGACGCGGTAGTGATGGCGGTGGAGAATATAGAGTGTTCTGTTGTGTTTGCCTGATTTGTTGTGGGACGACTGTCTTCGATTGACGGTCAACTAGCCGTCCTTATATGCACTCGCGACGATACAGTTGCCATCGTCCGGGAGCAACGCTGTCATTGTGATTCCGAGAATCCTTACGGACGTGATGGACACGGCTTGCGATCTTCAGCGACTCAGCTCTACTACCACTCTCCACGACATGCACACTTGGATCCTACGATACAACCGTCAGTGCGGAGGCTTTGCAGTGTCACTTGACGTCCATCAATATGCTGCAGTAACCTGTGGTGCTATTCAGGGTGCCGCGAGTGGTACTACGCTGTAACAAGCTCAAGCGGCACGATCCTTTGCTTCGTTTAAAAAAAGCGCCCTGATCGACGCAATCCCGCATCCTTCCCGCGAGGCGCAGATACGAAGTAGCAGATCTGCAGGAACACATGCACTCTTCGTGCGGAGTTGCTGCAGCTGGTACACTCCGCCGCGAGATCTACGGTCGCGATGTAACTTCGATGTTACCACTGAGCAGTGGATGGGATTTGCCGCAGCATTACGAGACTCCCTCTCGTGTCCATCAACTCTATGCTACCAAGGTTCTAAATGAATCCTACAATCGTCTTAGTGCGAGGAACGCCGATGGCAAGGTATATATGCCACGGCGCAGACGTACATTTGGCAAAATATCAAGCCTCCATCAACCAACAAGCTTCTTAGAACACCAAACAAGTCAAATCAACGCTTTCACTACAACAACTCGTTCACCTCAACCAACTTCAACCCAACATCTTCAGCCAACATGCACGCCTTCACCATCTCAGCATTCGGCCTCTTCGCTGCCATTGCCGCTGCCCAACAGTACACCCAAGTCATCACGAACAACTGCGCCGACCCTGTATACCTCACATACACCGACGGGTCCGGAAACGTGGGTTCGACACAAGAACTCGACAATGGCCAGACTTTCAGTGGAACATACAGTGGCAGCGGGAACAGCTTCGGCGTGACCACCACCAGCGACTACTGGAGTAGTGACAAGTTCGTCCTTGGCGCCACAGCAGCCGGCGACAGTAACCTTTACTGGTCGGTCAGCGAGACTGGCGACAACGCTCCCCAGAGCTTCAGCGTTGTTCCCAACAACCAGAACGATGCGACGAGCTGCATCGAGGTCGATGGTTATGACGGTGGTGCCACGCACGTCTGTGGAACGAACGATGAGACCTTAACCCTGACTTTCTGCTAAGCGTAGCAATTTGAATGAGTTATGAGGATTGAGGCATGTTTAGAAGCATGGCAGGGCGCATATAATAGCATAATCGGAATGCATAGCATGGATTGTAATGGCGCCCTGTGTATATACAAAAGCTCACTCTAGGTTGAACTTTAACGTCTCCAAGTACTTTCGAACGTTTGTGTTACCCCGAGGGGCCGAAAGCATCTCCACAAGCGCCACAAGCAGGCTCGATCAGTCCAATCTTCCGCGTTGCTTGACGATGCTGGCATCACCATGCTGTTGGCACATTCTCGTGCTACTTGCCGCAATGGCGTTGCTCGACTATGGTTGAAAGTCAACTCTAGTAGTCGTTATGCGACTTCCCTTTCCTCATCCATCAAGTTGAGCAGCGTTCCTGCACCCCATACCGGCAGCATTGCAGTTCTGTCCCTCAATCGCCCGAAGGCTCGCAACGCGCTCTCTAGGCAACTTCTGTCTGAGCTCGGAGGTGTCGTAGAGGGTCTTCATGCGGAGGCCGGGAAAGGCAGTACTCGTGCGCTCATACTGGCGAGTGAAAGCGACGACGCCTTCTGTGCTGGCGCAGATCTGAAGGAGCGCTTGACATTCACCCATGAAGAGTATGATATTGTACGATAGTTGCCCTGAGGATTACTGACACTATGAAGTACGCAAGCTTTCCTTAAGGCCTTACGAGGTACCTTTACGCGCCTTTCCACTCTCCCCATCCCCACCATCTCGGCCGTCAGCAGCTCGGCCTTTGGCGGCGGCTTGGAGATCGCACTATGTACCAACTTCCGTGTCATGGCATCCACTGCGACTGTCGGCTTGCCTGAGACACGGCTCGCCATCATTCCTGGCGCAGGAGGTACCTTCCGGCTTCCCGCTTTAATCGGTCCAGCTCGCGCGAGAGACCTGATATTGACTGGCAGGCGGGTCATGGGTCCTGAGGCATACTTCCTGGGGCTTTGCGATAGGCTGGTGGAAGTGACAGACGAGCAGAGAGTAGCGCCTGGGGTCGCTCGAGGTCTGGTGCTGGAGCAGGCCGTGGAGATGGCGAATACGATCTGTGAGGGGGGCCCGGTGGCGATCAGAGCTGCCATGAAAGCATTGAGCGGCTGGCAAGAAGGCGAGAGGAGTGAGAATGCTGCCTATGATATCGTGATGCCAACCAAGGATCGGACAGAGGCACTGAAGGCTTTCGGCGAGAAGAGGAAGCCCATGTTTGAAGGACGCTAGAGATCAATGATGGGACCTGGACATCAATTCCTTTCTTATCCCGCACCTCACATTGACGATGTGAATTTGGTGTTCCTCGTTTGTTTGTTGACGTGCGCTCCTTCCGAATTCGCCAACAAAATCTTAGCAGCACGCCACCAATATCCTTCACGTTTAGTTAATCAAAGGGCAAATTCAAAGCACAGTAACCAAGCAGCAGCGAGTTCGCATAACATGAATCAATACGACTGACTAAACTTAAGCTGACATCATGACTCCCAACAGTCAAGTCGACAGCAAAGTCTCCACGCCACGCAAGCGTGCCGGTAGTGCCAGCGAGCAACCAAGCAGCAAGAAGCGGCAGTTAATTAGCAAAAAGCCCTTCCAACTCCCCCTTACTCCAGCCAAGGAAGTCCAGAGTCAGAGTCAAACACCTACTTCCACCGCGGCTCGCGCAAGACGCAATGCTTTCAACTTCTACCCAGTTTCTGCCGCTCAGTCCGCAAGCGATCGCTCAAAGGGCACGGACAAGGTCGTAAAGGCTCATACCCCGTCGTCATACGACGAGGTCGTAAGAAAGGCCGTGGAAGCGCCGGAACAGCTTCCCGACCACATCAACCTGGCTGGATTCGAGGCCAGAATGCGTGAGCTGCAGGACGACAAGGAACAAATCGCGTGGGCCAATCACTTGATGCAAGGCGTTAACGCTGTCGCCCATCATGCCCTCCACGAGCGTAAGGTCGAACCCTTCATCGTGAAGCATGCCATAAAGCAGGTGTTCGGCGAGCTTGTGAAGGAGTTGATGGAGACGGATCCGGAAGGTATGACAGCGGCAATTCGTAGACAGAATGACTATGACGAGAGGAGGGCGGCTGCCAAGGAGAAGGCAAGGTATGAAGAGGCTCAGCGGCGTGTGGAGGAGTGTGAGTCTGCAGTCTGTTGCATAACGGTTGACAGATTGTTAAGCTAACGTTATGCAGGGGTTGATGAGCAAGCCAGCCATGCTGCTGGACGCGATTAAAGGTGATTCAACATTGCCAGAAGCTGCCAAACCTTACTAGGAGTCGCACGCCAGGTGCAGCTTGGGCGGTTCGGAGGATATTCAGGTTCACAATACGCGGCAATGCAGCAAATGGCCAAGCAGGAAGCTTTCATCAACGGGGTGCACATTCTCAAGCGGATCTACGACGACAATGTCGAAATAGCTGTCTTCCCACGTAGCCATGGAGTTCTGTTCCCGGAGTGATTGTAAGTCTCGAGCAGTGACATGCGATGAGAAGTGTGCATGTGAATGACTACCGCTACCTGCGCCAGTTTCAGATCTCACCGTCAACCATCGTCCACTGTAGTTTCTTCAACCCACCGTAATACGCGGCAGCGGTTGCGGCAGACATGCTTCGCCAGGCATATCGAGCCCACCTGAACGCGCAAAGCGACAAGACATCATTTGCCACTCATGAGGATACGAGAGCCGTGTGCAAGGAGCTGGCGTTCGTTTTTTAAAGGCGCAACAGACATTGGATACCTTTCTTGTATGTCGCTGTCGATGTATGCTCGGCGCCTTGACTCGGGAATGCCAGCGACTTCACAACGGTGAACCCGTCGCCCTAACGAAGTGAGATAAATGAGAGATCTTTCTCTTCGAGCCAGCCTTGAAATTGGTGGTTGGCCGGTCCACTGTGGATTTGGAATGTCGTGCCTTCGATGTATGCCGTTATGGTTTCGACATAGAGGATTTTGCTGACGAACGCGACGCCAGGAAGGCTGACCTCAGTGCGTGGACGCCCGTAGACACCGCGAAGGAAGACTGCGGTCTCGACTTGTTCATTGCATAAGTTGTGGATTTCTCGACGAAGCTCGGCGGGAAGGTCCATGAACCCTGAATGGCGGATGAACCCTGAGAAAGCGGTCCCATTCCTCCTTTGCGCGGCCTGCGGTAGTGTACCTGCCATTGTCGGACAGCATGACCTGCGCCCGAGGCTTAAAAAGTGCCCACAGTCCATTGTACGGTGTAGACGTACCTTTTCACCTACGAGCTTCGCGAGATCTTCTGAGATCCACTTGCTGTCGCCACATCGGATAAGCTGCGAAACCATCCTCAGCTTGTACGCTTAGGCGAGCTGTAGCCTGGATTTATACCTTCTCGCCTGCAGCTTGACGTGCCACCAGAGCCCAGCTGTAGGGTTTGTGAGCTGGCGGTGCGAAGGTTTCGTCCTCTGGCGTACGCGACGTGGCTGAAGATGGATCGAAGTAGCGCGAGCGGATCCAAAGGAGGCTACTATAGCTGCTGTTGTCCTCTTAGGGTCTTCGAGTTCCAGCGGATGTCGCTGTGTGGGGGGCAGAAAGCGCAGCTTCCAGAGAGTGCGAGGTGCAGGTTCTGGCGTCACCCCACGACACATTCACCAGAGCCCGGCCACCTCAATCGGCTACGTCTGTAAGTGACATCTCAAGTCGTCGGGAAGTGCTCACTGGCGGCCTCGGCGGGCTAGCGAGTATTCACTCTGCATACGACGAACCGTGAACGTCGCCCATGGAGCGGCAGCGTCAAGCCTGCTTGATTCGCAAAAGCCACGGCAGGCAAATCGGCAGCTCATAGAAGAAAATGCAAAAAGTATATATATACCAGGTTTGCAGTGTGTGCGAAATGTCAGTACGGTGGAGAGGAGGAAAACATTACGCCACCGCACAGAAGGCGGAAGGTAAAAGATCTGCCCACAGCTTATATTGTTCGTGAGATGCTTCAACTCTTAAGAGAAACAACGCGGCCAAGGGGTGGAGAGTAAGAGATGGCTTGTTGCTTGCTGCGCTTCCTGGTTGCATACGACAGATTCAACCGGAGTCTGTGGGACCGGTAAGGAGGCGACCTTACGCCATCGCGTGGAACATTGGATTACAGGTCGGCAAGTGAAGCCAAGCGAAGTGCTGAGTGAATGGTTCGACATGCTCCTAGAACTCCGTCGCTATGCAGGGTATACACTGGTAGGCACCGCATACCACAGAAACGGGCGAGCTGATCACGATTTCAGGTTGAAGACTGGTCATCGACCGCTGGGTCTCAGATACTCGGCATCGTTTTCTTTGTTGTCTGCACGGGCCTCTTCGAGCATCTGGTCGATACCACGTTCTTTGAGCGCTTTCTACGCGGCGTTAGTGTGCTTTGTCGCGCTTGCAACTCTTCACAAACCTACGCTCAAGCAAGTCTTGTATTGTTTGAACAGTGGCTCGCACTCATCTGTGGTAGCGCTACCACGCAAGTACTCTCACTACGGTCAGTGACAGCTCGTGCCAATCGCGTAAGGTATGCAGTACTTTCGCTATACCACTTCAAGAAGCAAGTATCGTAGCGTCTGACGTGTGCCATTAGCTGGTAATGCAAGAAAGGCCAGCCTAAGCGACTTACTCCTTCACATCGTTGCATTCTGGCGCTAGAGATGCCGACATGCTGTCCTGCAACAATGGGACGGAGAAACTACACGCAGATGTTTGTATGCAAGACACCAGACCGGCATAAGCCGAAGGACGCCACAGCTGGTCAAAGCTCAATATTTTGAGATCGAGTTTGAGGTCTTCGCATTCGCTTGACACATTTCCATCCAAACACAGACTTTGCGCGGCTTCTCTGCTGGCGCGAAGAGCCTTCCTGTGTGACTCTGAAAAGGCTAAGACAATGCAAGATGGACACCGAGGCCATCACTTCCGCCCTCTTGTCCACAACCCGTAGTGCCTCCGCTCTCGCAAGTGAAGATCTCGCCTTCCACCGCTCACTATCCAACTCCCTCGCTTCTGCGCTCGATCGCCAGAATGCGCGTCTTCTGGCTCTTTCGGACCGCCTTCTCGGCGTTGCGGCTCCGAATCCGTCGGCTGTACGTTCCCGTCTGAGCGACATCGACGCTGCAGAAGGCAATTGGCGGGCGGTGGTTGACGTCGTCGATAGCTTGCTGGAGCGCGCCGATACCGCCCTTGATGAGTTTACGGGCGCTGTGAAGCGGCTGAGTCCTGGAGCGGTGGAGCAGATGCAAAAGGTGGGGAAGAGGCAGGATGAACGAACCAAGTTAGATTGGAGGAAGAGTGACATCGAGAAGCCTCAACTGCTGTTTGAGAATGTGCCGACCAACAACGAGACGGGGCCGTTTTTGCCATTGCTGCAAAGCAAGCCGCATGCCATGCGTCCCAAGGAAGAGTCTGCACCTGGATTGCATCCATACCAGAGCGAGATCTTGGACTACCGTTGGCCTGCTGAGCTCTACACCACCGCCGAGCCGTCAATGTACACTCCTTTCGAAGAATCGACCGCAACCTTCGTCGATACTGAAGATGCCATGTACGAAATGCTAGAGGAGCTAAAGCAGGCGAAGGAGATTGCCGTCGATCTCGAACATCACGATCTTCGTTCATATGTCGGCATTGTCTGCTTGATGCAAATCAGCACACGCAACAAGGATTGGATAGTAGACACGCTCAAGCCATGGCGGCGGAAGCTGTCATGCTTGAACGAGGTCTTTGCCAATCCGAGCATTCTCAAGGTGCTTCACGGAGCTTACATGGATGTCATCTGGCTGCAGCGTGACTTAGGGCTGTATCTCGTCGGCCTGTTCGACACGCACTACGCTTGCAGAGCCCTTGGCTATGCTGGCGCAAGCCTGGCCTTTCTGCTCAAGAAATTTGCCAACGTGGATGCGCAAAAGCAGTATCAGACGGCTGATTGGCGGATACGACCGCTACCACAGGAGTTGCTCGATTACGCTCGTAGCGACACGCACTATCTTCTCTACATCTTCGATAACATGCGCAACGAGCTGGTGCAACGATCCACCTTCGGCAAAATGGATCACGAGGGCGACAAGCTTTGGGACGTACTCCAGAAAAGCTCAGAGACGGCTCTGCAACGCTATGAGCACCCTGTCTATGACTTTGACCTTGGACAAGGCACCGTGGGCTGGTACAAATTGTTAGCTCGCACTTCAGCAACCCTCAGCAAAGAACAGTTCAGCGTCTTCCGCGCAGTTCACAGATGGCGGGATAACGTAGCGAGGGAGCAGGATGACAGCGCCCACTATATCATGTCTAACCATCACATCTTCAGCATTGCCAAGTCCATGCCTACCACGAAAGCGGAGCTGCTAGGCATAGCATCGACGCAGAACGTTCGCTTGCGAGCCGACGAGCTGTTAGCTGTTATCACACAAGCGAAGGATGATGGTAGGGACGGACCAGAGTTGATGGACGTACTCAATAAAGTGGAGCCACAGGTTGCACGTAAACCATTAACGAAGGAGGCCATATCTCACTCCGTAGCTGCATTTGTACCACGGAGCTCGGCTGCAACCGTTAACGGCGAGTCAAGTCTGCCTCTCCGCAGCATGACATCTGGGTTCTGGGGTTCTACGCTCAGCGGTAACAGCGATCAGAAGCGTGCTTATTCAGCCGCGCAAAGTGTGGCGCTCACGGTACCTTTGCCACCACTCACCGCAGAAATCTTCGCGGATCCCGCAGACATCGTCTCTCAAAGAGCTACGCAGCCTCCCGAGGAACCCTTGTCTGCTGCAGACGGCGTTGTGGACACGACCACGGATATGGCGGAAGACGATGTCTTCGTGCTGAAGCAGCTTGGAAAGAAGCGCAAGCGTCCCACAATCGATGGCATGGACGGGCTGGCCGCCCAAAGCGACGAAGTGGCTATACCAGAAGATGAAGCAACTGAGCGAGCACGAGAGAAAGCGGAGCGGAAGAAGGCGCGGAAGGAGATGAAGAGGGCGCAAAAGGGAGCAATGTTCAATGAAAGCGATCCTCACTCGCAAGAGGACGGCGTAGTGGATGACGAACCCTTTGACTATGCGGCTGCACCGAGCTTGCTCAATCCTACTCCGTCCAAGGAAGCCCGAGAAGCGCGAGCAGGGCGGAAGGAGATTAATCCCTATGCGAAGTCACTTGATACGCCGAAGGGGCTGTCACGGACTCAGAGGGAGAAGGCAGGCCGGAGCATGACCTATAGATCATAGATCATAGATCATGACATGCAATGACCGCTGCCCGAGACACGACGTCTTCGAGAACGTTTATGATTAGCCATTGAAATGCTGACGCTAGCGGAATGTCATTCTCCCGTCCCTCTTGCGCTTCCCAAAAGCGTCAAAGTCCGTGCGCGTGCTGTGTTCGCGTTCATCGAGAGTCCCGTGCGCCGTTCAGTCGTGAGAGCATGGTAGTCGACAACACCTCGGGCTGCTACTTGTGTCGCCCGATTTGCCTTACAACACTATGGCCACATAAGAATCTGCACCTGTATTGTGTAGCCAATTCTTTATACTCCTACTTTTCTACTTACATCCCCTTCGGTCTTGTCATCTATCTTCAAGCGTCGCACACGTACCCTTTCCCATACAACCCGCGCTCTTGCCAAGGCTCAGGAGCTGTCGACATGACCTATGTCGAGAACATGCAACAGTATGCTTTGTCCTACGTTGACCGTGGCTCAGCCGTCATACCCTCTCTTCGATCCATCTCTGCTTTCGCGCTCTCAGCCCTGGACAGCTCTCAGCGACTGCTTGGAATAGACAGTTCGCAAACCACAAACCCTACGATGAACGCCATTGGAAGCTCTGCTGTATGCGTCGATGCCCAGCTGTCATGCCACAACACCTCCGCGGTGGAGAATCTTTGCTGCTTCAATTACCCGGGTGGTACCCTTCTCCAGACGCAGTTCTGGGATACGCATCCTGTCACGGGTCCAGTAGATTCTTGGACCATTCATGGTCTATGGGTATCTCCAACCTGGTCTTGCTTGTTCTATCAGCGGTGTGAAGCTAAAATCGTACTAGCCTGACAACTGCGATGGCACGTACGATGCAAACTGCGACGATGAGCGCGCCTACCGTATGCACATCCTTGCCTATGTGCCCTTCCTCTCTACTTCAATGACACTGACCTTCATCTCCACACTTTCAGGCAATATTACTCAGATTTTGAAGCATTCTGGCGCTTACGATCTGCTCAACGACATGCAGACTTTGTGGGTGAGCGATAGCGGCAGCTCTGAAACGTTCTGGGAGCACGAATGGTGCGTATCGTAATATTGCCTATGTCTCTCCAGACTTCGCTCATGATTGTTCTTGTTGTTCATAGGGGCAAACATGGCACTTGCATCTCAACGCTTCAACCCAGCTGCTACACGGACTACCAACCTACGCAAGAGGTGACGGACTTCTTCAACCGCACCGTTACCCTTTTTAAATCGTTGCCGAGCTATGAGTGGCTTGAGAGTGCAGGTATTGTGCCAAGCATTACTGCCACCTATACTCGTCAGCAGATTCAGTCCGCTTTAGGTGCAAACAGAGGCGATCGTTCTGTATACCTTGGCTGCCGGCATGGCGCGCTTAATGAGATCTGGTATTTCTTCAACGTACAAGGCTCAATACAGACCGGTTCGTTTAAGCCCTCAGACCTGGTTGGCACGGGCTCTACCTGCCCCAGCAGCGGCATCAAGTACCTTCCCAAGGGTGCGGCCGGCCCGTCTCCAACCAGCACCACCACGACTACTGGTCCTTCACCGACTTCCACCGGTCCTGTATTGAGTGGAAGAGGCTTCCTCGACGTCATAACCTCCGGCAATAAACGCGGGTGCATTATCTCCCGCGGGAGATGGTATACCAGTGGTAGCTGCGCAGGCTTCACCGCTTCTCCGTTGAGCGGCGGCTTCACACTAAAGAGCAGCAAAGGCTACTGTGGTGTAGCGGATGGTGCGCTCACATGTGGGGCTCGGATTAGAAATGCGCCCTTGTTCAACGCCACCAAGGACGGCACGCTTCTATACAACGGAGCGCAGACGTTTTATGCTGACGGCGTGCCACGTGGAAGAAAGCAAGGCATGGTGTACACTGACGCTGAGCACGACACGAGCCTGACGATCCGGTGGCAGAAGCGGTAGTCGTACGGGCAAGATGACTCGAAGCCTCAAATCTTCCACATGCGGAACCAGTCCATCACTACAGGTGTCGCATCGAAGTATGTCGGTCCGTGGCGCTGGTCGTCATTGTTCAACGGCCGCGTGGTAGGCCACCCGTGGCCGAAGCCACCAATACGATAGTGAATGAGCACTTCCCGGCTTGTTGCTTCTTGATCGCTGCTAAGCCAGGCGTATCTTGTAACCTTGCCACCATACAACTCCGTGCTGTTTGGTCTTGGATCGCAGTTGTTGCGCCTTGCCCAGATCTCGAAGAAGTCGGGCAAGCTGAACGTCACACCATCAGGCGTCGACTTGCCATCATAGTGGATCACTGGTCCGCATCTCCGTGGAACTCTAAGATTGGCACCGGGATGTGGTCCGGATTAGGGTGGCTAAATAGCGGCTCCTTCAGCGCCGAGTCTGTATATAATGCTCCAGATGCAATGGCAAAAGCTGCGATGCGCCCGCTCAAAGCATGATCGCCAGCAAGCAGATCCGCGAGACCGCCGCCGTTGGAGAAGCCGGTCACATAGACTCGGTGCTTGTCAATAGCATAGTCGCGTCCCAATTGATCTATTAAGATACCGATGAAACCAATATCGTTGATATCTTCTTGGGACGGAGCCTCTGGGTCGCCGAGCCACTGCAGCTGGTAACAGTCAATCATCAGCCTTTGTGTTGAAGGCAAGAACAGAGAGTACCTTTATACCCTCGGGATATACAACAATTGCTTCGTCCTGGACTTCTGGCTTCGACAGCTGTGTATGTTCCTCAAACTCCGCTGCGGGTTGAGCTTTTCCGTGTAACGCTACGATAAGCGGGCTCGGTTCGGTGCCGCCGTAATGCGTAGGAAGATGCAGAAGGGCATATCTGGGACCTGGGTTCAGACGAGCGTGCTCGACTCTGTAGACCTTGGAGCCCCAACGTGAAGGCTGCATCGTAGAGCAGGCACCAATTACACCCAACAATGGATTCGTAGGAAGTGCTGATCACGGTACTGTATATCACACCTACCTCTCTCGTACTTTGAGATCCGGACGCTGCTGCCACTCATATGCAGGGCCTCAGGTACACTCGCGAGACGTCATCGCTAAGCGCGTCTGCCGCAAAGACCGTGTGCATTATCCAGCCACAGTACATGTATCATGAATAAGGATGTCGCTACCGTTCGCACCGCGCGAAATGGCAAAGCGGACTCCGCGATAGGCACTCGGTTGACATCGACCTACCCTACAGCAGCCAACAACACCGTGCTAAAATCAACGCTCGATTGACGCCTCTATCACATCCTCGCCCTTGGTTTCACTATCGCAGTCATCTCCTGCTGCAGGAGGTTTCTCCAGGCCGTTGACACCTGCTGCGTTCCCTGCGCGAACGCTTTGGACCGACCCAGCAACTCTTCACACCTTGGAACGACAAACTTGCTGATAGATTTGGCAGCCAGCTCCGCGCAATCGACCACATCCTCGAACGGCAAGAGATGACCTTTGCCCTCCAGCAGATGCTGCTCGACCCTACCAGCCGCCTGACCACCACTGCCATCTGATGCCGTACCAGTTGTCTCCAGTGCGAGCGCACGTCTTTCTGGCGACACCAACCCGCTGCTACCACCAAAGATGAACAGTACGGACGACTGCAAGCTTGGGAATCTAGCAGTTATCTCAACCGAGCCTGGAACCTGGAACGCTTGGCCATCTTCTCTCAGCCAGAGATATGTGATGGCTTCCTGGTGCTTGCAAGTCGACAGCCGTACCTCTGTCGATTCTGAGCCAGCCTTTCGTACGGCGCGTACACCGTGAGCCATCCAACGATCGAGGACGCGGGGATCCCATGACTTCCACGGCGTGGTACGTTTGAAGTACGCCTTGGCGATCTCTATTGACGGCCAGCTATCCGGGTTGTTGATTGTACGATAGGCTAGGAACTTGGTTGGCAGGAGCACTTCGCCCATTATTGGCTCGATCATGACAAGATGCGTCAGAAGTCTCGGATGGAACAGCGCCAAAGCAATTCTGAACCCTACCCATCAGCGGCTGATCTTGACTAGCTCGGACTGCGTGATGAAGTTCACCTACAATGAGGTGGCACCAGTGCTGTGCCCTATGCCAACGATTGGCGCCGTCATCTCGTCCCGGAAATGGTTAATGATGCAGAGCAGGTCGCGCGGGTAGTCCATCCATGATGCTGATTGCCTATCAGTATGAGAGGCCAACCGACAACACGAACCGTGAACCGTCACAACGTACGCTGATCACCCAATACGTCCTCATTCCGCACGCCACTCATTCCGAAATGAGACATGTCGGCTATCCATATTCCCTTAACACGCACACCCTGCGCGTCCAACCGCGGAACGAGCTCGGCCCAGAGAGGTTCATACAGCTCCTGTGACCGGCATCAGCACCCATAGCAAGCCTCCGTAACCGCGGCATTGTGGCTTACTTTCACAAAGCCCACGCCATGGGCACCTAATATGGTGACGGTACGCAGCCGCTTGCCCTGCGACTGGGTATCGTAGACGGGCGTGTACCTCTTCACCGAGAGCATCAAAGACGTGTCGTCTCGTCCATCGCGCGTAGCACCAGCGTAGTGTCTCACATGTTGACCTCTCACCCAGAAATGGTCGACCTTCAAATCCACGGTCGGCGCCGCCATCACGCGAAGAATGCTCCGGATCCTGTCAGAGGCATCATCAGTGCGCAGAGTCCATCATATGAAAGCTGCCGTAACCTCATGATATGGTCTGATACCGCTCAGCCAGCCATATTCCCAGCGTTATGCTAGCCTGACGCCACACCTCGTGAGATGCGCTGTCCGCAAGCGGCAGCATGGTGTTCGCGTTCTTTAGCGAGATGGCCTCGAACACTGCGGTGTGTCGGTCAAGCAGGGTTGAAAGCGCCCAGAACTTGTGGCCTGATGGTCTTAGTCGTGCGGCTCGCTTATGCATGTGCTCCCCAGGATTCTCGTCTATTGCAGCTGGTGCTGTAACTACCCTGTCTCAGCTACGCCATGGTGTAGAGATTGATAACAGCTGCAGGAGTGATTACACGCGCGTTCGTGAGATGCACTATACTGCTCGAGCAATAAAAGTGATCGCCCAGAAAGGGTTGGTGGACTGTCTGTTGTCAAGGCTACTTCGTTTGCGTAAATGTAGCGTCGCAGCACTTCTAAAGGGCAACACTTTGGAACACATAGAAACGCCTCGCGATCGATACACTACTTTCGCAGCCTATAGACTGAACTCGAGCCGATTTCCTGCATAATCTCTGGCAAAGAAGCGTTCTGGGTACTCGACACCCTGATCGCCTGATCCTACGCATTAGCATAGTACGGCAGCTCGCTTTCGGTTCACAGCATACCAGAATTGATCTTCCCAGGTCTGTCCGCTTCTCGCGGTGCGGCTTTGCCACCGCGCTCGTAGTGATCCCATATCCGTTGCCGCAATTCGAGCAGCTTCTCTGGCGATTCAAGCTTGAAGCATGGATGTCGTGACGAGCGCTCCTCGTTCGGACCGAACGCGATATGAACTTGCTGGCCAGAGTCACCAATGTCAAACCAAGCGAGATTTCCCACCATGTGCGCCGGCACTGGTCTTGACTTCAGGCCAAGGGTACAACCGTAAAAGTCATCTGCCAGGTCGAGGGTCCCTCGTGGGACAAGCATGTTCACGTGCGCCAGACCAGAAATCATCTTCCCGTTTCCGATGCGACAACGACACTTGATGGTCAGAAACGAAGAATATGCCGACACCTTCGGCGGGGGTTTGCTGCTTCCCGGTCGGGCTTAGCGCGCTGCAATGCGATCCTTTGCGAAGAAGCGATCCAAAGCGGTCACCTCGGTCTTTCCGAGAGCGTTCAAATTCAGGCAGGCGATGCTGCGATGCGTGTTCAACGTTGGGTTCTGCGTCGTTGAATACGAAAAAGTTGGTGATTTTGAATCTTCGAAGGTTCAGGTTCCGTCCCGCATGCCTGCCATCTGCTTTAACCTCTCCTTCATCTCGCTCCTCCGTTTCTGGTCCCAAGTATCTACTTTACCGCCCAATAGCTCGACGCATTGCGGCTCTAATAAGCAGATGCCGCGAGCGACTGTGACGTCTCGTAAAACCAACTTCGAGCCGATCGACATTTGCAGGCTGATCTCAGCAATTGGGTTGACTTCGAAACCGTACACAAGCGTCCCTGCTGCATCTTGTAGGAGCAGCTTATGTGGGCCACACGACTTGGCCTCTTCGGAAGTGTTGCGCTCTGAGGCGTTCTCATCGGGCACTATGCGGATTACTTCTCGACCTTTGGTCGTTTCGCCACGCTCCCGAGCTTCGATAGCCTCAACTTGACTCCAGCGACTGCGGCCAATGTCCTCGATATCGAGCAACTGTACAGTCAGTGGGCCAGGCAGTTTCGTCTCCTTCACTGATGGATTGGAGATCTTGGTTGGTAAGCAAGTCGTGGCGGAGCGCGTCACAGACGTCTGGATATCAGTGGCCAGCATTCGAAATAGTGCTGTCTTCTGCAACGCCTGTATGGGCGTGCTTGGCCGGACAGTTGGCATGAAGCTCTGCAGCCATTCTTGCTTTGGTGGCAAGTTCTTTGATGCTAGATAAGCAGAAATAGAAGCGGACGACGCTTCACCAGTGCTGCCGGCCATCGCTGACATCGTTGTCAGCTGACGCTGCGATGCCATAGTCCATGTCGCCAGCCAGCATTTAAGTGACTGTGCGGTGATGGAAGAGAGGAGGGAGAAGACGCGTTTCGCGTCAAGCTTCTACGGCTCACGCCTCGGCTCGGGGCTCCTTCCTCCACTCATAACTGTCTCTCTTGTGAACCTTCATCGCTCAAACAAAACTGAACAGTAGGCCCGGTGCGGCGACGAAGGCTGGGATGTCGACTATCGCCTCTCCGCGCCCATCCATCAGCGCGTCGTCCCGCCGCACGTCGACCTCTACCGACGCGGACACCCGCTCTTCCTCTACTTCACGCCTTCCAGCATCAGCGAACAACAACCTGCGCCGTAATCGCGCGGCGCTCCGCGACTACTACGGCTTGAAGAATGCTGCCCCCGCAGATGCTCGCGACACGCCTTCTCCTGTAATCCATGAAGTCCCACCGGAGAGTGAGCTCGACAAGCCAGGCTTTGACGCGGACGCCTACGTCCAGTCTCTGCTTAGCAGAGAAGGGTTGGAAGGCGTACTCAAAGTGGAGGCGGGTCTAGTGGGCGAGATCAGAAGTTTGGATGGTGAGAAGAAGGCGCTGGTATACGATAACTACAGCAAGCTGATCACGGCAACGGACACAATTCGCCGCATGCGTGAAAAGATGGACCCGCTGACGCAGACAAGCACGCTGGTTAACGACATAGGTCGCATTGCGGGCACAGCGGCACAACTATCGGCGGACTTGCGGAGGAGTCATGGTGGTCGAGAGGGAGATCAGAACGACGATGTCGCTCGCGCTCCGAAGAAGAAGCTCCACCAGCAACAGACGGTACGATGGGTGGTGGGAGCACCTCAACGGTTAGAACAGCTTGTGTTAGATGGCCATCGGAACGAGGCCGAACGGCAGTGGAAAGAGGTTTCTGAGCTGCTTGACAAGTGGCAAGGCATATCAGGCGTGTACGAAGTTCGCCAGGCTTGTCGCTCCGCCATTGATCACATTGCTGGAACTTGAGCATAATCTTCGATTGACCAGATGTTTGTGAACATCTCGTTCGCACCAATACACAGCCCTTGTCGTGAGATGACGAATGCACTTACCAGGTCTGAGCTCGCCACCCCACCAAACCAGGCTTGAGGAAGGCACGACTACCCTCCGTAGCCCGGACCGGTGGTCCCAAAGCACGACCATGACGCGAGCAGGACAGTGGCTCCACACTTCAACCTGCACTTCTCTGCACTCGTCCACTTCCACAGTCTCGTGACTTCAAGCGAGTGTTTTGGCAAGCGACGAGATGGCTGCGTTTGGCGATTGGCAAGAGGTCTTGCGCAAAACTGACATCGATACTGCGCGCCTCATTATTGATCTCCAGCTACAGGAGCTTGATGCACGTCCCGCGTCGTTGTTCGCGCCCTCCGACTCCGAAATAGCAAGTATGCCTTCGTACAGGTGAACCTGCATTTGGGACGGCCCACGCTGATTGCGTACAGTCCGGATATACCGCAAAGAGCTGCAAGCCTGCCGGAATGACCTTCCCGGCCGCAAGTTGGGCGAGGACCTCGAAGATTGTGAAAACGCCCTTGAAGGCATTCGTGAGGCTGCCGCATTCGGCTGGAGGTATGATGAGTACCATGACCTTGTCAAGCGTGTACCAGACCCGCCGAAAGTGATTCGCGTTGCCTGCACTTCCTGCACCGACACCTTCCTGCCGCATTTGGTCGTGAAGGTACCATGCGACCATCATTATTGTGGAGGCTGCCTTGAGCACCTTTACACCTCATGCATGACAGACGAAACGCTCTTTCCACCGCGTTGCTGTCACAAGGATTTCCCGTGGGAACTCGTACGCCACATTCTCACGCAAAAGACAAAGAGCCTATTCGGTCAAAAGCGTGCCGAGCTGGAGACGAAGGACAGAACCTACTGCCATATCCCGACCTGCTCCGCCTTCATTAAGCCAGACACGTACGTTGGGAGAGCCGCACCTTGCCCAAAGACGCACTTTCATGGTTGCACGTGCACGTTTTGCAAACAAGCTCACCATCTGGGTCCGTGTCCTCGAGACGCGACACTAGAGCAACTCAACGCTACTGCCGAGGAGAAGCAGTGGCAGAGATGCTTCGCTTGTCACAGGATGGTCGAGCTGCGTTCCGGCTGCAACCATATTACATGCTTTTGCAAGACCGAGTTCTGGTACGCTATACTCATACGTCCGCTTTCAATCGCTAACACGTTCACTATGGTGCTACAGCTATGTTTGCGGCTTACGCTGGAAGCTTTGCAAGTGCCCGACTTGGGATGAAGTGCGCTTGCTCGAGCGCGGAGAGGACGCTGTCGTCAACGGCATGGCTCCCCGAGCCAATCCCGGTCAAAATCGCGATGAGCAAGTCGCTCAAGCAGTGCAGCATATTCGCGCCAACCACGAGTGCACGCACGCGGAAATCAGGATCACTCGGCAGGCGGGTTTTGACTATCAGTGCCAGATGTGCGACGAGACCTACCGCAACTGGCTCCATCAATGCCGCCAGTGTTGGATGACCATCTGCGGTACCTGCAGATACAACCGCCTGTGATCTGTACGGCGTACATTGAAACGAACACATGTGCTGCGCTGAGTTTGTGGACAGAGGATCCACAATCCGCTCATGCCACGGTGCAGGAGTCGATGTACAATAGCATGCTCCACCGTGAAGAACGCTCAGCAACTGCCGCTGACCTACCCTGCTAAAGTGAAGGATACAATGCGCGATCACTGTACAATGCCATCATGCATGGTAGAACGCTCACAGAACGCTGCAGCCCCTCTGTCTCGCACGTTAGCACACGTATCCACAATTCAATCATCGCCGCCCTTCCTCCGCTTTCCTCGCTTCTTGCGCCTCTTCCCACTAACCTGCTTAACCCCGTCCTCCGCATCCTCATCATCGCCGTTCTCCTGCTCACCTGCCCCATCCAGCAGGTTCGTCCGACTCCGCGAAGCCGGCGCATCCGTAGGCGAAGCACCACCCTCCGGTTCGTCGGACGAGCTTGTCGTCTCCAGCACAACCTTCTTGACACCGTCCACATCGACCGTCGTTTCCGTGATCGACCCCGACCGCGCAGTTCGACGGTTCTTCGAGCGCTCCCTGGACGGTCCGAGCTCACCGACGGTATCGGCGTCATCTTCAACATCGTCCTCGTCGCGGGGTGCGGTCCTACCGGGCACACGAAGGGAGTTGCGATCTTGTTGTGGTGAAGCTCCAGGGCTTGTGTGCTCTTCCGCAAACCGTGACGCCTCTTGCGCTGACATCCTATTGCCACCTTCGGAAAGGCCACGGATTCGTCCACCAACGCTGCTGTCAGTCGTGCCATACCCAGGACGCAGAGCCGCCACTCCCCTTGAAGCGCTAGTACCGCTGCTGAGTAATGGCGACGCTTCGCCGTCTCCTCGTGCAGTGTTGTCCAGCGAGCGGCTTCTTTCCGGACCGGGAGACGGGGACGTAGCATGACCCTCTGGAATGGTACCTACGCCCGGTTTGATCTTGACGCTCTTGTACTTCGTCACTTTCGGGTTGCTCGCCATGTTGCTGGGTCCAAGATGCTTGAGATGATGTCGCAGATCCGCCGTATTCGTATGACTCCTGATTGGCATCGGTTTGAGCGTGTCACGTGTCGAATCGGAAGCGGTACTACTCTTCCGTCGCATCATGAACGTCGTACCAGGTACCTGTGCCGACTGTGGGTTTGGATGCACGCCATTGGTTACGCTTGACTTCCGGCGCTCATCTTCACGCTGGTGTGGTGTGTCTTCACCTTCCGCCCTCTCGGCTTCGCGCTCAGACTCGCTCATGAGGGTGTCGTCTATCTCGACGAGCTTGTTGTTCTTGCTCATGCGGTAACGCTTCGTATCTGCGGGCGTCATGCGGCGAATTGCTTTGTGCACGTCAATGAAGACGTCAGACTCGTCCACGATCTCCTCGCCGATCAGCTCCTCGATCACGTCTTCGAGCGTCACCACGCCGAGTGCACCATGACTGGTGCCGGGCTCCTCCGACACCAGCACCATGTGGCTTTTGCCCTCTTGGAAGAAGTTAATGATGTCCAAGCACGACGTGACCGGCGACGTCTCAGGAAGCGTCGCAAGCGCAAAATCGCGTACTCTCTTGCCGTCTTCCGGGTCGTAAGTGATCAAGATCTTGACGAGTAGCATGCCAATGAAGTTTTGGTTGTTGTCCGGCGCATAGATCGGTATCCGAGAGTAGCCCTGTGAGAGGATCGTATCCATCATCTGCTCGTCGAGCACAGTGTCTGCACTCATGGTGAAGACGTCTTCCATTGGTGTCATGACGTCGCTCACAGGCTTCTCCTTCAGATCCAGCACGCTGCTGATGATATTGACCTCGTCCTCCATCAAGCGCTCTGCCGGACTGGTGCCGAGAGTCTTGTGCAGCGACACGAGCGTCTTCAATCCGGACTTCTTGTACATCGTACCGTGCTCTTCACCAAGTACATAATCCAGCAGCTTAGCGGTGGGCCACGCGACAGGCGCCAAAATCCACATGAAAACGAAGACTATAGGCGCCATGTACGCTCCGATGGATAAGCCATAGCGCACGCATACCGATTGTGGCACAACCTCGCCGAAGATGACTGGCAGACCTTTGCGTCAGTCGAGCTATAACATGGTTCGCATGTGAGTTGTTACTCACCAATAGCAATCGTGCTGCACACCACAGCCGGCCAGCCGCCGCCCAGACTCCTGTCCAGCACAATTGGAAGTGTCTCATTCGTGATGACATTGCTCAGCAGCAGCGTCACCAGGACCCAATGCTTCCCCTTCTTCAGCAATCTCAACACCGCAGCTGCATTCTTCTTCTCCGACCCTTCCCCTGACGATGCCATGACCTGCAAATACGTCTCATCTTGGCCCATCAGTGCTATCGTCAAGCCGGCGAACACGCCTCCCATAAGCACGAGTACGACGGCGATGGCCAGGAAGATCCATAGTTGCGGATCGTGCGGTGACTTGGGTGCTTCCGGGGCGTCTTCCCGTATGCGCACGCCTCCAGATCCATACAGCCCCAATGGCGCTGCGCTCACGATGGGCAGTAGCAAAAGCTTGGCCAATCCAAGCGCAGCGGGCCTGGTTGCATACCAATGGCCTGCATTCTGCCGGCGGGCAGTGGTGGCCGGAGAAGTGTTGTCCTGTGCAGAGACATTGCGCTGTTGACGAGGAGAGTGCTGCGTCTTGCGCCTCTTCACGGCCGACATGCGAGCCCACGTATACTCGACCTGGAGCTCCTGTACAGTGAGCGCGTCGTGCAGAAACCAGGAACCCGCACAATGTGCGAATGTCGGGAGAAGCTTAATGTCCGGCGAATGGCAGCTTGTATGCAGGGTGGGGCTGCGCTTGCGATTCCGTGGCTGTTTTTGGCGGAGTATGACGGTGGTGGATGTTATCGGAGTCAGTATCGCTTTGTGAGAATTGTTGGCATCGGGACTGTGTACTTTGTATACAATACTCTCTGTCACGATTGAGGTGAAGAAAACAACGTACACGGAGTTAGTGCGGTGCGGTTGACGTGATGCATACATGTAGCGCCGAATCGATACTGTGGATGGCTGGGGAGAGCTCGCTCGCTTGCCCCTGCCCGACGATCGGAAAGATCTGCGAGGGTGCATGAGCCGAGCCATTGACCGATCATGGTGTTTGATATGAGTAGTTCCTATCCATGTGCAGTGCAGCACAACAGTATACTAGCTTCGTCCACACACCGTGAACGTCTTCTCTCCGATACAGTAAGCCCACTCCGGCATGTTCTTCTCTTGCAAACAGACGTGCGCGGATCCCGGCCATGAACGTGCTGTTCAATCATCGAGCAATTCCCATCAGCACTCATATCGTCTTGTACTGCCATGCTGCCGACATACGGTGGCCTTCTGTCCCATCGCGATAGGCGGCGGACTGTATCACCGTCTCACTCGCAAACAAACATCCCTGACTCCCAACCATAGGCGTGTTTCAGGCGGCGTCCGAACGTACGCACCATCCTCGACGACACCTTATTGCCATGTCTAACTTCCTTGGGTTCGTGAAATTGAATTGGACGGGTCACATCAACCTTGCCTTCCTCACACTCACCATCCTTGATGGGTGAAGGAGTGAAGGACCATACACTTCCATAGAGCTTCTCAGGCTTCAGTCCGATCGAGTCCATAGCGCGCAGCAGCTCGTCCCATGCAACTTCAGTCCGCTGATGCTCTTCAGCTGTAGAGGCCGGAAGAAGTGCCGAGAAGACTCTGAAGTGTCGCTTGGAGATTTTGACAGTTCTGAGAGGCTTGCTGGGCTCCTCTTCCACGTCACTCGATGTGTCATCTTTGACCGCGTCCTGTAACGCCGTGGGCGTGCCACGAGTCTTGACCTTCAACTTCGTCTTGGGCGTGTCGAAGACCTTGGTAGGTGTGGCGGGCGCGGGCGTGTTGATGTCCCGCTGCTGTAATACGGTTCTAGGTGTAGGCGCCGAGGGTGGTGGTGGTAAAATCAGCGGATCCTTCCACTTTGGGGTTCTGTACAACTTCCTGGACTTCAGTCCGTGTTCACGGAAGACCTCGAGGATATCTTCGCCACCCTTGAGCAGTACTTCCTGCCCAAGCTGTTTCCAGTACTTATGCAGCGTGGTCTCAGCGCGCCGCATCTGCTCATTGTTGGCCTTGCTTGCACGTTTGTTTGCAGGGTAACGCCAGCACTCGTCGGATAGCTTAAGAGTCGACATGCCAAGTACGGCATTATGTATACTGTCATTGAGGTTGCGGTCCTACGTGGTGAAGGTGCAATGTTAGCGATGTTCCCGTGCACACGAAAGGGCATCTTCTTGGTAGTACACACCAGCGCGAAAATCATGCCAAGATCCATCTCGAAGTCAGCATCATCCCACACACACGCACGCCATGCTGTGTTCCAGGGCCTTAGATCCTTCATGCTCAAGATCAGCTCACTGAGTAGTGCCAGATCGGAAAAGTGACCCATTAGCCAAGAGTCGACCAATTCGCTGGCACCGGGTTCGGTCTCGAGCATGTACTGAGCTTCTTGGACAAGTGGGTGAAGCTGGTGCGTAGCGCGTAGGTCCTGAGTGTAAGCGGGTAGGATGATCAGCTCTCTCATACATCACCGACAAGGTCTTCACAACAAAGCACCTACCTCATCAGTAATTGAATGAAAGATAACATCAACACGGTGTGCAGCATCGTTATTCTTTGAATGGAAAGTCCAGCGTTTCCTTGGCGTGGCATCCTCTTCAGTGCCGTAGGGGTAGTACTGCCGAAGTCGTGGGCTTACTGGAAGACCACCCAGCAGACGATGGAGCGGGACCTGAAGGATTGCGGGTATGAGGATTAGCTACAACTCGGATGATAGCTTTGGTTTCTTACCAAGACGAAGAGATTGACAATCTCGTCCAACTCGGCCCATAGAAGTTCGTCGGCAGGCGCGAGACGCCTTCCAACATAGTCGGCACGCTTAAGCTGCTGTGCCAGCGACGGCATGATCCGCAATCTCATGTCTATTTCGTGCCAGAACAGCAGGGAGGAAAATGCATTGGCGATCGTCTCGCCGGCCACGGTGTTCCACGCGCTCGCACACTTGTGCTGAAAGTGTGCGAGTGCCCTATACGAGTGCTCCTTGAAGTCCAGTAAAGTCTCGGTGAAGTAACTAGGGTCCTAGAATAGCAAGGATGGAGAGAGTCAGCCATGTCTCGTCTCCCACAACATCGATGGGATCAGTGATGTATACCTCTCGAAGGTTCCATATGTGATCCTCGGCCGAAGCTCGACGCGCACTCACGAGCGACCTAAGCCGGTCAAGGTCGAGACCATGAGGCAAGCGATACGGCTTCTGCAGCATTGCGTCTCGGACAGAACCCCATTTGTGCGTACTGACATGATCTAGCGGACGAGGCGGTGGCTGATGCGGAGCCAACGTGAACTGTGACGGATCGATGTCGTGTAGTATCAAGGTAGCACAGCCCAACAAGAAGGTGTAGATGCCGGCTTGGATCTCGAGGCCGAGGAGTCCGAGACTGGGATGCACACGAAAGATATACTTCGTCACGTCGTAGTGACATGGCAGGTTCTCCAAAACACCGACAATGGATCCATAGGTGCGTGGTGTGCGCTGGTCACAGAAAAGCATGGCTTCGCTGTCACGGCTGGGCGCAAACTCCCAGCCTTTGCCGAGATGTGCGGCGTCGATATCGGAATCAATGAAAAGCTCGGGCAGATTGCGGCCACGGCTATTGAGAAAGATGAGGAATAGGACATCTTGCTGAAGATCCTCGAGGTTGATATAAGGCCACAGATACGCTTGAGATGGCATCGTGCGAGAACGCGGAGCCTTCTTGAGCACTTTACGAAAGGCAGCAAAGTCTGGCCTGTGACTGGAAGGAATTTCGCCCGCCGGAAATGCTTTGATCAGAATCTCACGCCGCTGGCGCGGGTTCTTCTTCTGCCATCGGCGTTGTATGGTGCCTGCATCCGTTAGCGAGTCTAGCGTTCCCAAGCACATAGGAGACATACCTTCGAATCGCTTCAAGATCGCGTTCAGCCTCGTCCAATCACGATACACTCCCGTAGAGAAGCGCAGCGCATGCTTAACCATCTCCTCCTTGCTAAGCTTGCTCGGACGGGGAAGATCGGTCGCGTAGACTGCTCGACAACACGCACAACCCAGACCATGCGCCTCGTCCCCCAGCTCGATCAACTCGTAGGTGTAAGACGCCATGCTCGGCGAGTGCAGCTACAGATCCCCAACAACGCATGTAGAGCTACGTTGAAGGCACCGTTCTGTGTGAGTCCGTGACAGCAAGCATGTGGTTAGTGCTGGAGAAGTGTTTCCTTCGTTTTTCCTTCGAGTGACGTGCGAAGATTCAAACGCCGAGAAACCAGGCAAACGCGAAAGTCGTCCATTCGGCTTCGCAGCCGGTGTGTTACACAGAGCATCTACCCGGAGCCGTGAAAGCCTCGACCAAAGTACCGGGACTGTGAGACGTGGCTTGAGGCGACTCCATGTGCTTCCTATCCGACTTTACTTGCCGTTCGCAAACATTTCGTACGCAACGGTCGGAGGATGTGCGCTTCGTGTAGGCGGCTCCGAGATCAAGACTATCAAGGAACGAGCGGCTGGCGTCTTGATTGTTCGTAATATCCTGATAGCGCCAAAATGGCCACAGTGCTGCAGGGACCCGTCTCGCGCACTCATCGTTGGTGGGTCACGTCCAGCAGCAAATATCTGCCCTGTCCAGTGTGGTCTTGCATTCGTGCAGAGACATCTGCTTCGGATTGTGATTGATTCTGCCATCACTCCGCGTGGAAGCACTGTTCGCGGACGTAATGAGTCGCATGTGTGAACATCTCACATACGCTGCGGGAGCCATCAAAGGCTTGAAGGTCACTGGCATGCCATACAGGGATTGTATAAAGGGTAATACTCTCCATATCGTCACGGAACCCTGCGCCTATGTCTGCAGCCCAAGCTTTCAGCTCGCCTTGTGTGTATCTGCAAGCCTTCCCGCCTTTTCCCACAAACTCCGTTGATGCTCTCTACTTAGTCATGTACTTCCTCGCGGCCTAGATGCGGTGAGTATACTGTCAGTAATATTCCAAGCAGCAGGCCCGCGCCGGTTTCAACATACATTAATCAGCAGAGGTGTGACGATAGGAGCAATCGTTCCATAGTGCTTTTGGCTAGAAATGAACAGTCAGCGTGACTCCTAAAGTGCGGATGCCCGACATGCCACTTACCCTTTGTCTATCAAGGGACCAAGGTCATAGCCGCCAATCTTCATCTCTCGAGGCGGCTTTCTGCGGTCCCTATCCCGATCGCGTCTATCGCGGCGGTCATCGTAATCACTCTCGTCATCCGAATACCTTCTTCGGCTACGATCGCGACGTCTCGCGCCGTCTCTGTCTCTTGCCGCAGCGTCTCTATCGTAGATTTCCTGACGCCGGCGTCGTTGCTCCCGGCTATCTGTGTCATATGGGCGATCGTCGTCCTCGTACCTGTTCCGTCTGCGGCGGTCATCCTCATGACTGCGGCGTCTTGGCGCGTCATCAAAGTCATCCTCGTCTTCATCATCATATTCGTCTCTGCGCCTACGCGGCTGGCGCGCGACGTCTGTGTTCCTTCGTCGAGCAGGTACGGGGTCGCTCCCGTACTCTACAGGTGGCGCCCGCCCTCCCCTACGCTGCGGTCGAGCAACCTCAGTGTCCTCGTCATCGTCATAGTCGTCATATTTGTCCCTACGCCTTCGAGGAGGATCTCGAGGAGAATCTCGCGGAGGAGGATCCCGAACATCACGGCGATCTCCTCGCCTTGGCTCATCATCGTATCGATCATCTCGTCTATCATCCCGTCTAGGGCGCGGTGGCTCCTGATAACGATCGTCCCGCCGTCTGCTTTCGCCTTCACCATAGCGGTCTCGGGGATCCTTCTGCTGGCGCGGCGGCGGTGGTCCGCCGTTCCGGTTCGGCTCTCGATCATCTCTGGGAGGCCTCCGGCGATCACCTCGGTCGTCACCATCGTCATCGCGATCAGCGCGGGCTTTCGCGCGCCTTAGCTGCTCACCCTCCTCGCTCTCATAGCCATCACGCTTGTCTCGGAACTCCTTGTGCGGTCTTCCTTGCTTGCGCTCTGCATCCGGCGCATTCGAGCCGAGGTAAGAAGCTTCGTCCGGAAAGTCAGGCCGCAGGTTAGAGGGTACACGGTTGCGACTGCCATCACCTTTCAGGGCGCTAGGTCGTCGACCTAAGGCAGCTCCCATAGGCGGCGGAGGAAGATCCCCAGACTGAGGAGGTGGTCGCGGGACATCGTCTTCGTTGTAGCGCGGCTGTCTTGTGCGATCGTTGGCGCCATATCGGTCTGTTTCGCCTGGAGGTGGGTAAGGGGGTGGTGGCGGGTATCCTGAATCGTTGCCATTCCGCCGGTGAGGCCTGGGTGGGTAATCGTCGTACTGTGACATGCTACGGACGTCGATATTGTCCAATGGAGTGAATGAGAAAAGCTTGTATGTAGACGACAAGAGAGTGATGGCTTGGTGGGGATTAGTGCAGAAAGGCTGCCGCGTGGTTGGATCAGGTTATCGCAATGCGGCGGGAGCGTCATCGTGGCGCAGGGCTGATGAGGGGCGCATGTGCATTTGCATGTGAGCGTCGGTCGGAGGCCCAGGCCTTATCAGGCCTTCCTATATCAGTTCGCTACACAGAGGTGCTAGGTGATTTTGCAATGCTTTCGCACGGTATATACACAAAGCAGCTGATGAGTGTCGAGGCTCAAGCGTTTGCAGCATGGTCGTCAAAACTGAGAGGAACTTTAGGCCAGACTTGGCTGAACGATGCTACAGTTTCTGGTGTCAACATTCAACGAGCGAATGACGACGAACAGCTTCCCAGCATGCACGATCCTAATTCAATCCATTTGACCTGTCCATGGACAACAGCGTGTCAGGTGTGCACATATGTTCAGCATGTCAACGAGTCGTTCCTGGACATCCTCCATACGCTTGGTGATTGCAGCACATAGTACTCAGATAGACTACTTCGACCTTGAGATGACATGGCTCCGAAACCGATGCAGCCGCAGTAAGGTCAACAGTGGGGTTATCGCAGTATTTCAAGGCAGAGAAGGCAGCGATTGAGCGGTCATCACCTGCAGTGCGGCATTTGGGCTATCTTGCGTGATTGTACCGACCGCATTGTTGGTGTCCTTGGGTTGCTGTGGAGTCAACAGACTCTAGAATATGATCGACGACGAGAGAACAGGTGTGCTGAATGTTTGCATGCGGCCTGACCCCAAATGGTCGACACGGCAAGATGCACACCTCCTACAATTGCTTGAGACAATGTTGACAAGGATGGAATGCCATACGTGTCCTGAGCGTTGTCTCGGTTGCAACTGATTCCGAATCCTGTCAAGGTCGTTTGAAGGGAGTACAGTGGTGACGAAGACTATTATACGACATCAGGTTAGCACTGCGAATCCTTCTGCAGCACAAGCGACTCGTGCTCCACAGCGCATCGTTAGAATGTTGATGCCTGGCCAGACGGGTGGTTTAGACCTTCCGAGTCATCAGAAGAACGGCCAGTGAAGGGCGGACCGGCGCTGATTCGCCGTATCTGATGGAGTTTGGTAGGTGAGTTTCGGCCGGTTGCCCTGTGTTCGTCCAGAAACCGGGGACGGCACTCTGCTTTGCTCCGCGCGCCGTTCGCTCCCTTCTCATGTCTTGCATAAGCAGTGTAGTTGCCATTGACTGCACTTCAACTTCTAGGCAGTTCGGTTTCGCACGACATCGAGCGTTCGGTACCTGCGTGCGCAAGTAACAATTAGGATCACAGATGTGTATGCCACCGTCCCTGATCGGTATATACCATCGGCAACGCGAATGATTGGCTTTCTCCGAACGTACATCGATGTATAAGCATTGGCCGGCTACTATGGACCTCGATGCGGCCGCCGACATCATTGAGGACGCGACGGACATTTCACCGCCAACTTCCGCAACAGATCCGCGCCCGGCGGCTCTGAGAAGCTGTCTAGTTTGCTCGAAAGCGAAAGCCAGGTGCACCCGTCGACCCGGACAGGACGTGTGCGAGAGGTCAGCCGTTCCGGAAGCGAGGATGCTTGGTCAAGGGTCGCTGACCTAGTTGTAGATGTGCGCGACTGAAGAAAGAATGCCATATGCGAGAACCGACGCTTCGGAAACGGAAAACCATCAAGACCTCGTAAGTCATCCCACCTCTTGGTCATTGGCCACGATGTTGCAATGGTGCATCGGCCTTCGTATCGGCCATCAACCTTCAGCATACCTCCTTTCAGTTGCGGACCGCCTATAGCGCTAGCCTATGAGGTCGGTCGGAGACGGATTGCAGCCAGCTTCTTCCCGAAGTCGCAGATTTATTGGCATCTGCCATCGATGTCACTTCAAGGACTTGTTGCATTAGTGCGGATAGAGCATCTCATCAGCACCAGTCGAGCCTTTTTAATTCGAACTATGATACCAGCTCCGGACCTCATATGACACTTCTGCGTCCAGGAATCATTACTGCTTTGAGAGATGACGTTGGAACCACTTGTGCTGACTGTTCTGCTAGACGCGCAGCTCAACTTGAGAAGCTAGAAAGCAAGATAGAACATCTCGTGAGGACGCTCTCCACAACACAGACTCTAGGTGGACAACCATCGCCGCCATTATCTGCCGTAGATGACGGCGCACTCGTCAGACGCAAGCGCTCAGATGTCTTCGAGGGCCGCTCTGGAATCCTCGACGGATTCTGCGCGGAGTTCGACAAGCAAGACCGGATGCCGTCAGCGCCGACCAGCAATGAGCCTTCGCCAACGGCATCTGTCGGCCGAGGCGACGGTGGAAGGCGGAGCCACCTAGACGCTCAAATGTACCTTGGTGTTTCTATGAGCGAGGCTGAGGTCCTCCTTGATCGCTATCGACGGCTCTTGGCGCATTCGATACCTTGGGTTGTGATAGCGTCCGATGCTACCGCGCAACAGCTGTACGACCAGAAGCCATTTCTACTGCATGCTATTGTGACAGTGACGTACTTCCACGATTTTCCCAAGCAGCAAACGATGGTCAAGGAGGTGATGCGGGACGTGAGCGAGCGGATACTCATCAATAGTGAAAAGAACATTGGTATCCTGCAGGGCATCCTAGTTCGTCCACCCAGCCGATTGTTCATGTGTTCGGTGCACTGACATGAACATTAGGTCTTTGTATCGTGGTATCACCCCCATATGTTTTCGGGCCAGCAGGGCAACAATCTGCTCCACCTCGCCATATCAATGGCTTTCGATCTTTCAATAGATCGCGCCCCAATGGCAAGCCATGTCGACTTCAGAGCGGTCGGTGCTAAGTCAAGCCCAAACTTCTGTCCGGTGGCACGCAACCCCACTACAGATGACCACCGGACACTGGCCGGCATCTTCTACATGACCTCTAACATGGCGTCTTCCTTCAAAAAGCTTGATGCTTTCGCATACTCCGACCATCTGCATGAGTGTCTGAAACAGCTTGAGCAGCGAAAAGAATACGAAAGTGACCTGTTACTCGTGCAGATGGTGCGCCTACAACGACTAGCAGAAGAGGTCCATACGACGGAGAAGCCAACCGGCCCGATTAACCTCTATCGCAAAGCCTTCGACGGTGAGCTTAGCAAGCTCAGAGAAGCATCTCCTCCATGCACAGCGGGCAATCTTTACCTAGGTATGCAGGAACTGTACATCGAAGTTTTGATCTCCGAGGCCTCGTTATTCGACGTGCAAGAGAATCGGGGTACGCCACTCCGCTCGCATCTGGACGATCTCTACCGACTCATTGACACCATCAGACGGTTCTGCGACTTATACTTCACCATCCCGGCCTCACAATACTACCTTATACCGTTTCAGGTTCTATCGCAATTCGCGCACACCTTCATCCTTCTCACTCGGCTCGCCTCGCTAGAAGTGGAAGGATGGGATGCGAAAACAGCCAACGAGTCGCTCGACTATATTGGAACTCTGGACAAAGCGGCAGACCGCTTCCAGGCGTCTACGCAATCTTCTCCAGACGGTCTGCGAGTGAATAACGACTCGTTTGGCAAATGGGCGCAGAGACTGCGATGGATGAAGAGCATATACGAAGCCAAATTTGGCGGCGCCGCCGCAATGACAGCTGCAGGTCAAGGACTCTGTAAAGAAGGCAGCCGAACCGATTTGGTGGGCCCACTCACCACGACGTGGTATTTGCCAGGAGGTAAGGTGCTGCAGCAACAGCATCAGCAACCTCAAGCTCAAGCTCAACAACCGTTACAGCAGCCACTGCAGCAACAGCAGCAACAGGCTATGCAAGCGTCGCAGCAACCGACGCCACCGGATGACTATCTCTATTCCGACTTCTTGATGGACGATGCAGTATGGTCGAGCTTCCTGAACGATTACGACCCCCTCAACTATCCCGCCTTCGGCGATGTACCCATGGGTGTGATCAGCCCCTGAGAGCCGTTTGACGGCCGTGGGGAAACGAACAAAATGAACGACATGATTATTGTACGATATTTAGCATCGGTGCATAGACACGGCGAGACAGGTCTTGGCTCAATGATACCCCACTCGAAAGATAGATCACGTAAAAGACGGTCAACCGTCTACCTTTACTCACTTAATATACCGCAGGCAATTGCGCCAGCCTTCCTCCATCAGTCACCATCGCCTCCCCATTCAAGTATGCGCCCGCCTGACTCGCCATGAACAGCACCAATCCAGCGAAATCCTGCTCGCTGCCCGTCCGTTGCGCCGGACTCTGGTCGGCGGGCATGACGTGAGCGTCCGCAAACGCCTCCTCATGTCCCTTCGGACTCGCGAATTTGTCCATCGTCGATGTCTTGCCTTGTGTCATTTCGCTGGGATACAAGCCCGGTGCTACAACCCATCAGCTCAGCCATCACATAAAACTAGAACCGCCAGTCGCAACTGATCGGTAGCAGAACTCACCAACGACATTACACCTTATATGAAACCCGTTTCCCGCCAAACTCGTACTCAACATCTTCGCCAAATGCGTCACCGCCGCCTTACTGGTACTATACGCGAAACTACTCGCCAACGCCCGACTGAAACCCGCAATCGAGCTGGTGATCAGAATCTGTGAGTCCTGCGCCACGTTCCTTCGCACGTTCCCCTCATGCAACAATTCCAGAAACGCGACGGCGGTGTAGTAAACACCCGTACAATTGACATGTAACGCTTTGGTGTAGGTCTCGGGATCGCTCTCCCAAAGCGCGGACTGAAAGGCCTGGAGACTTAACTTGCCATCCTTCTTGGCCTCCGCAACCATGGCAGCATCCTTCGGCCCTCCCACCCCGGCATTCGCGAACAACAAGTTCACGAACCCCTCCTCCCGCTTCACTTGCTCCACGATCCGGGCGAGGGAGTCCTTGTCAGTGACGTCTCCAACAATGGGTTTTATCGTCCCGTTGACGCCCGTTTTGGCAGCTGCTTGGAGGGTTTCCTCCCGGCGACCGACAATGTAGACTGCTTTGGCACCATTGGCATCGAGGGCGCGGGCGGCGTAGAGACCTAATCCGCTTCCGCCGCCCGTGATGACGGCGACGAGGCCGGTGACGGAGAAGAGGTCTGTAATTTTGTTGGAGGGCATGTTGGGTACGTCTGAATTGACTTGAATTACTATGGAGTAGTATTGATTGAGTTGATATTAGAGGGTAGTGTTGATGATTTGGAGGTTGCCGGGTTGAACGCAAGAACCGACCGGCCTTTGTTGAGTCGGCGAAAAGGTTCGTCAATTTCGGTAATGTTATTGTGTGTGCGCAAGAGTATCGTATGAAAGGTACGTCAAAAATCGTCCGTCAATTCGAGTTGTTGTCCAACCTTCATAATGACGATCGAAGTCGGAGCGATAAACGCCGAGGCTCGCTCGACTGTCTGGCGAATCCAAGAGCTCCACTAACAAGGGTGGCACATTGTACCTGCCGCTTCGGGCGGGCTGCCATCAGAATATCCATTCTCCCAATCTACTACCCAGATAGCTGTCCAACAGCCTCTCCCGCCCTACCTACTACACTCAAACCTTATAAAAACAAAACGCCAAATAAAACCCCGCCGCCTCCATCTCCTCCTCACTCACCAAACAACCCCCCGTCCCCTCCGCCCGATCCCGGGACATAACCCCCATCCTCTCCGCCAACATGCCCAACTCGCGATCCGAACTCTCATCGTCAAACACCTCCCTGAACCCCTTGCGATACAGCAACTCCAATCCGTAGTCCGACGCTAACGCCCGAAAGGCTTCCCAGGGGACGACGTATTCGGGGGCGTCGACGGCTTCGGCGAGGGAGTAGTGGTATTTCCAGCCGTAGGGGGGGCGGAAGGTGCCGTCGCGTGGGAGGTGGGTGGTGGAGGGGCCGGTTTGAAGGGGTTGGTTGTGGGGGAAGCGGATGTGGTAGATGCTGTTGCCCCATTCGAGGGGCGGTAGATCGGGGTTTGGGGGTGTTGTGGTGGTCCTTAACGGCTGCTGTGGGGTGGGTGAAGTGCCATTTGGATGGGTAGGGCCGTTCGTGAGAGTTTCTAGGGCTGGAAGGGCCGAGTCGGAGGGCTTTTCCGGGTCCCAGTCATCGTCACCGTCTTCGGCATTTTCGGCAGAGGTTGTTGTTGTGCCGTTTGTAGTGGCAGGCGCGGGATCACTAGGCTTCTCCGGATCCCAGTCGTCTGCCTCCACCTCCGCCTCCGCCTCCACCTCACCATTGGCATCAGCTGGCTTCTCCGGGTCCCATTCGCCGTCCTCATCGTCGGCTTTGACCCCGTCCACGACTCCATTCTCTTTCGGCGTCACAGACTTACCCACAGGCGTAGGCGTCTGCGTCTGCGTCTGCCCCGCCGCAACCCCTCCCTCCACCTGCAACAACCGCTTCACCCTCGCCGAAATCACATCACTATCCGGCATAACGCCAATAAACTTCCCCCCTTTCCTCAACGCCCCGGCCACATTCCCCAACATCCCTCTCGCCAACGCCTCGCTCTCGAAAGAATAATGCAGCGCGAACATCATGCTCACCACATCAAACCCGCCAGACATCATGCCCCCTTGAATAACACCCGGTCCAGGTCCCGCATTCGGATCGAAACCAACTTGTCGTATAATCGGAACATCGACGAGACTTTTGCCAAAGGTATCATGGACATAAAACTGTGCCTCCATCACCCCTCTTCCCCCACCCCCACCACCACCCCCACCACCCCGTCTCCCTCTTCCCGAACTCTTCCGCACGCTCTCCGCATACCTCTCCCTCGCCTGCTGAATACTCACATCCGCCACATCACACCCGACATACAACCTCGGCACGACAGGGGCCTTCTCCCACTTCCCCAAATCCCCTCCCTTCCCGCACGCCATATCCAACACCGTCATGCCATGCTGCGGTACGACGTCGGGGGCAGAGAACTTCTGAATCAGCGTACTCTTGATCCAGTTATTCAGTGACCGCAGTCCCTTGATTTGACTATCCGTCTTCCTCCACTCGCGTCCGCGCTCGGGGACGGCGTTGTAATGTTCTGCTACTAATTCTGCTCCCGAAGTGGGGAGGCGGTCGGAAAGAGCTCGTCTCCGCTCGTCATCTTCTCGTTTGCGTCGGGCGAGTTCGGCGGCTTCGCGTTGTTCGCGGGCTATGCGGGCGCCGGCGCCGGGGCGCTTAAGTTGGCGGGCGGGAGAGGAGCGGCGGTGGGTGTTGACCTCATCGTCGTCGGAGTCGATTGGTTTGGGTTCCGGTGGAGGGGTGCGGCGGGAGTAGGCGTTCGGGGTGCTGGTGCGGGCGGATTTGTTGGCGGTCAGACGGGAGGTGGTGGGTGGCTCTCGCTTGCGCTTTTTGATCTCACGAGGGGCTGTCACATTGGATGGTGTTGTTGTCGGTTGATCGCCCGCCATCTTGTCTTTGGTATCGACGTGAGAGTCCCAGGAGGCACGAAGGGGGGACGTATGCCAGGAGCTTTGGACTGTCAAGTCAATCCATCAATTCATGTTGCTGCAGGGTTCACTTGCACCAGCCACACATGTCCGCTGCTGTGGCTTGTAGCGGACCGTCACTCGCTTCCGCTTCCGCTTCCGCTCGGCGTACCTGCCATTCGCGAAAGCTGCAGGCAAGAGCGACACACGCATCTCGTGCTCACCTTCGAGGCGATATCGCGACACTCGAAACACCTTCATCGCCCCCTCTCGATCGACTACGGACATCATGGGCGACCCACAGTACTTGGCCTTCCCTCAGATGGCGCTGGCGCAATGCGTCTTCACCCTCGCCTCCCCCACCACCGACCGCGCCGCCAAACAGTCTTCCCTCACCACACTCCAAGGTGCCATTCGTGAGCACAAGATGGCCCCGCTGTACGCCTACCTCGCACATCCCACCACCGGCAAGCTCAATAGCACCGGCGAGTCCGGCTCGGCCGCCCTCTCCCCCACCACCTCCCGCTCCCACCCTCACCACCACCACCACCCCCACGCACATACCGGCGCACCTTCACCTTCACCCTCACACCTACTGCGACGCACAAGCTCCATCAACGCCCCGAGCATCGTCGGCGTCCTCGGCGGCAAGACAGACACTTCCGTGTCACTCCCATGGGACGAGGCCCTCTACGAAGAACTAAAAGCAGACAACGAGGCAGAACTAGCAACCATCAATAAAGAAGAAGAAGAAGCGGCAGAAAAAGCAGGCGACACCGAGATCCACTCCGCCCAATCCAAACGCGCCGAACTGTACGCGCGAATAGGCGACAAGGACAAAGCGCTGGAACACTTCGAGACGCTGCTCGACAAGACCGGCATCCTCGCCACCAAAATCGACATCTGCCTCGCCATCATCCGCGTGGCCCTCTTCTTCGACGACAAGCTGCTCGTCAGGAAGAGCGTGGATCGTGCCCGGCAGCTCGTGGAAAGCGGCGGCGATTGGGATAGACGGAACAGGCTAAAAGCGTACGAAGGCTTACACCTCCTCACCATCCGCGCCCACAACCTCGCCGCCCCGCTGCTACTCGACAGCTTGTCCACCTTCACCTCCACCGAGCTGTGTCCCTACAGCAGCCTCGTCGTCTACGCCGCTCTCGCCGGAGCCGTCAGTCTCCCCCGCCGCGAGTTCAAATCCAAAGTCGTCGACGCCCCCGAAATCCGCGCAGTCTTCGGCGCTCACACCCCGGAAGACCGCCTCTCCGCACTAGGCGGCTCCGCCTCCGCCGGTCCGGGAGCGCTAGACGAAGAAATGGCCGACTCCGACGCGGCGACAAATGGCACTGCACCCGCACCCGCCACCACCACACCGAAACCCACTGCCGTCAACCTCACCACGCTCGCCTCCGGCTCCGCCTCCGCCACATCACAAGCCGCCGCCGAACCCCAAATCGACTTCACCCCGCTCGCCACCCTCCTCCACTCCCTCTACAGCGGGCATTACGCCTCCTTCTTCCGCTCCCTCGCTGCCGTAGAGACTTCCTTCTTATCCACCGACCGGTATCTGTACGAACACAAAGGTTGGTTCGTAAGGGAGATGCGGGTACGGGCTTACGCGCAACTCTTGCAGAGCTATAAGGTTGTGGGGTTGGAGAGCATGGCGAAGCAGTTTGGGGTCGGGGTGGAGTGGTTGGACCGGGATTTGGCGCCGTTCATTGCGGGGCGGAGGTTGGAGGGGGTGGTGATTGATCGCGTGGCTGGGGTGGTGGAGATGAAGGGGGGCGCGGGGGGTGGGGGAAGGGGGAGGCAGTAAGTTTTTTGCATTTCTTATCTGCGCATCACGTCGAGTGAGGGGTTTGTTGTTGAATGCTGACCTTTGGGAATGTAGGTATAATGATGTCGTCCGGCAGGGCGATCAGCTCATCACCAAGTTGCAGAAGTACGGGCAGGTTGTGAGGTTGAGGGGGAGTGAGAAGAGCTGATCCAGCCCCATACCCCGGAAGATCGCAATGTTGAGCACGGTACCGAACTACTTCTGTACGAGCGCACGCCTAACTGCGGCACACGAGTACGTGGGCGCACGGCTATACTAAGATGTAACAATATGCATAGCGTGGCGCCATCTTACCTGTATCATCAAAGCCGGCCGCTTGAAGCCTTGGCAAGCTTTTTTTCCTGATGCCTCTGAGAGGGTTTGAGAGCTTGAGCTTTCTGACTGACTGGCAAGAGAGAATACATAAAAACGAGCCATTTCCCGTCTCATCGTTCTTACAAACTTGTTGGGAACATGGGGAAACACGTTCACCAACCCCATGCAATTTCGGTTACGGCGACTTGTGTATCACATGCATGACGTAGCCTCCTTTTTTCCACCGCTGGCGGTAAGCCTGACCGGCTTTTCGAGCTTCTCTCTGCAGGCGTACAACATAGTATGACGTCTGGTCTATCAAGCTCTAAGCTAAGCTAGAAGCTGAAAGGGCGGGTGGTATCGCTACCAAGGATGTTGATACGGCGGCTGCAGGTTCTTCGCCCCGTCGAAATAGTCGTATTCCGCGTGCTCGAGGTCGATGTCTCTGAATAGACTCGTCTGGACAAAAAAAGGTAAATCAATGTCAGCATTACATTTCTCGTCGAACACATCCACTTATCCGCACATCCCCGCCACCGGCATGGGTCGAGATCAGTTGAACGCACCAAGGAAGCAATGTACTCACGTTAATGGCAATCTTGCCCTTCATCTGCTCGATGGGGATATTCTGCAAATCAATGCAGACGCTGCTCCCGCACTCGCCGCAGAAGCGATGGTCGATGGTTTTGCTCCCGAAGCGGTAGATTTTCATCTTGTCCCACGAGGAGTCGACGAAGTGCACGTCCCCCACGGGGACGTGGAGGAGGAAGTAGCCTTTCACATCATCAGATCAGTTTATGTCGTGTCACATGCATCTGAGGTGGTGGGTTTGAGTGGTGGAAGTGGTGATCGCCTTTTGAGGGACGGGGAATTGGAAGGAAGGTGGTGGGTGGGTGAGCGATGAGCAAAGGGCTTAGTTTACCATTCTTGGTGCAAATGCTGCAACTGCAGCGGAGGATGTGGCGGGATCCCTCTGGGGCGAGGGCGTCGGGGACGTCGACGGTGAATTTGATGGCGCCGCAATGGCAGTTGCCTAGCAATGATGACGGTGTTGGGTTAGTGCGGTCCATTCGGGTGTAACAGATTACCTTTGCAGTTCATTCTTACCTTGGTAGGTCCTCGGTGCCATCTTAATTGGCTACTGTGTGAAGGTCGTTGCTTGGAATTGGTATATCGTGCAATCTTCAAGAAATGGTTGATCGACCAGCGCTGTGTAAACGAGCCTGCCGAATACCAGACTCTGGAGTTTCTATGACGGGACCTGCTTTCTATGCTTTATAGCTTCAGAAGCTTCCAGTCGTTTCCAGTGTCAAGAAGGGCTGGATGGTGGTTACGGTGAGCGGGCCTTGAGATGCTCCGGCCGGCGTTGACTACTTTGGTCTATGCGGTCACCCGGCGGGATAATGGATCAACTCGCTGTCTGGACGATAAAGGGCAGGCAAATGGGACCGCAGAGCTCGTCAAGCCTCGTTCGTAGCTCAAGGAGAAGACTTATTCGTTCATTGATACTTCCGTCGCAGTGAATGCACCGTCGCTCTGGATCCGGTTCGATGGAAGGCTTGCCCGGAGAGTGGGGCCGCTTGGCGGACCGAGTGGGTGTTGTTCGACTTCATCTTGCGACAGTATCTTTTAAACATCGTCGACTTATTGTAGTCAATAGCTTGAAAGCGGGTTGAAAGCCGTTCAGATATCCGCAGGAGGCAGGCACGCAACATGAAGTGAGTTTCGTAAGCAAAGGTAGAGGTCTCATCCATCAAGGTAAGGTTAGGTAAGGCGTGCTTTCTGGCCTATCAGCAGCGCGGCGGCACGACGACATGTTCATTAATCAAGTCGCTCCGTACGCGATGCATCGCACGATGACCCGTCATACTCTTCTCCTCGTCTTGGCTTCAAAATGAGCGGCGTCAATGGCCACGCAGACTCCGCCTCCTACCGCGCCTCGGGCTTCAACAACCGCATCGGCTGGGGCAGTCGCCCCGCCTTACTACTCATCGACGTCTGCAAAGCCTACTGGACACCCGGATCTCCGCTCGACACTTCCTCCAACCCAGCCTCGGCCGCTTCCCTGGACGTGATGCGGCGCCTCCTCACGGCAGCCCGAAAATCTCAGATCCCCATCTTTTGGACTCAAGTCGCCTACCGGAAAGGCATGAAGGACGCCGGTCTCTTCTACGCGAAGGCCAAAGCGCTGAGTGTATGGGAGGACGGCAATGACCGCGGCCTCGACGCGCTGGTGGAGGGTCTGGAGCCGACTGAGGGAGAGGAAGTTGTGATCAAACGGCACCCGTCTGCTTTCTTCGGGACGGAACTGCTTTGTACCCTGAATCTGCTCAATGTCGATACGCTGGTTATCTGCGGTGTCAGTACGTCCGGATGCGTAAGGGCTTCCACGCTGGATGCCATGTGTTACAACTACCGGCCGATGGTGAGACTACAACGAGCCCTACGGGCATTGTAAAGACTGACGGTGTGCTAGGTGGTGGGTAGTGCTTGCGGTGATCGCAGTCCTGCGATCCACGATGCGAACTTGTTCGACATGGATGCGAAGATGGCGGATGTGGTTAGCGAGGAGGAAGCGATTGAGCATCTGAGCAGGCCGTGGGTTGCTAGCTCGTAGGAAGCAGAGTACGTCTTCCGACTCGTGCCGATGCTAATGAGGCATCTCCGCAGACAATGACCATGCTGACTGCGGGCTGAGACCTGGAGAGTCGACACTGACAAAGAGAATGGGTTGAGTCCAGCAGTGTCTCGGATGCTGCAACACGTGTGCTGGCTGTTAACAGAGCGATGATGAAACATACCCATTGTCCTTCCAATCGTGTAAGTCCCGCTCTTGCCGGGTCTGTGAACGGGACGTAGTCCGAAACATATGCAAGCAATTCAACTTGAGCTTTATTCCACTTCCTGGCGTCACACTACTGCCCTCATAAAGTTCACTGCAAGCGAAGAAACATCCTTGTGCAGACAAGGCGCCAGCACGCTGCGTTTGACACAGCATCCACCTCGCCTTAACCAGCGAAGCTCTTTCTCTCTGGTTCATGGCTTCAACATCTGCTGAGCGCGGACTATCGCGAGACATCAGGTCACCTTCTCCGGCCGCTCATTGGAAACGCTGTACTTCACGGTCGCACTGAAAGTCGACGTGACTGTACGCAAAGTGCGAGAAGAATGGCTGCAATTGCGTGGATCGAAGCAGCCCGGCCACACATAACCCGTTGGCTGTTCGTGGAGATGAGGTGGCGAAGCAGGTGGGAGAAACTGAGTTTAAATTGAGTTTGCAGGTGGAAGAACTGCGTGAAACGGAGAAGTTCTTAATCGACGAATGTTTCCGTGCAGTTTTAGACCGACACAGCCGCACTGCTTCAAGCCGCAAGTCACCGCCACCGGCCACAGCTCGAGGAGAAGGGCGTGCTTTCACCACGAAGTCGACTTCGCGACGCTCCTCCAAGGGTTCCAGGACTCCAGCAGTTCTTCCAAGTCTCGGAGAATCACAGTGGATGGAGGCCGATAGAGGCGACGGTTACTTTGACTGTGAGCCAGTGGACCCAGATGTCGTTGCAGCTTCAAGGCTCCGTAACGAGCTTAAGTACCTTCAGCAAGATCTGGATCACCAACTGAAGCTGATTGCCGACCTCGACCAGCATCAGCGAAATGGTGTTCACAAGCACCTAGTCACGTTCACGGACTCGAGTCCGGCGTGCTCTCAGTCCGGTATAGACGCCGACTTGGCCTCCCGCCGTGAGGCTCTTCGACAGGTTGAGCGTGAAATAGCAGCAGTGCAGCACCCACAAACCCGAGACGAATCTCGGTAGGCGGCTAGAACAGCTTTCGAAGTCCGCGAGAAGTACGACCGGCTTCGTGCCGAATACGGGACCGCGGAAGAGGTCGTGATGTCCAGTCCTACTTCGCGTGAATGGGACTTCAGACGCCTTTATCCGTGGCGTGCTCAACTTGAGCCACAGACACCACCACCCGGAGTCTCGCCGATGACGCAGGAAGGACAGGACATGGCTTCGACAGGCTTTCTGTCATCCAGGGCCAGTATGAGTCCGGAGACAGATCCGGAACCGGCGATATTAGATGATGGCTTGGTCAAGAGACGTCGAAGAAGGGGCTATCAAACTCGCTGAGGTGCAGGGGTGTTGGATGGTTGGTTAGACATAGCCGAGCATGTATAGAATGCAATATGGAACATTGCTGGCTCGGTGTCATCTTGTATGTGGTGTACCCATGGTCTTGCAAGGCTTGCCTGTAGATCCTCCACTGCGTGTGTTTGTGCGAGTTAGCTACGAATACTCAGACGCACCCGGCAGGTCTCCACATTCCCGACAACCATCTCCCCAAGCGCCATCTCCTCCACCTTCCCCCTCGTCTCCAACACTACAGACGGACCGACTTCCTAAATTCTCAGCCTATCGGCATCCCCAAACACCGTGCGTTGGTGCATTGTCCTCGTGCGGCGCGCATGCACACTGTAGATCACCCCAGCCTGCCTTTCCGACTCCGCACGCCAAGAGCAAGAGGTGGAGGCGATCTCGATGGCAGAGATGATTTATTAATGAGCCGCATGGCCTTCACTTACCAGGTGGTGCAGGAAGGGAAGGGATAGGTTGTGATCATGAGGATTCTGCTTCTCGTCGCCGCAACAGCAGGCTTGGCGTTTGCCGCTGGACGTAAGTCACGACTTCCCGTCTTCACACGTGAAAGCACGCTGACAGTCGGGATAGCAATAAGTGCGAGCGGTTCGAACTTTACCTTGACTGGCAATGGCATGTCCTACTTGTTCCACGTGGACCCGTCGTCCCTCGACTTGTTCTCAGATCACTTTGGAGGTCCGGTTGACGATTTCATCAACCCTGCAACAATCTTCCAAGGCGGCTGGTCGGATGGCTTGACAAACGACCGACGGGAGTTCCCAGATATAGGTCGAAGCGACTACAGGCTTCCAGCGATCCACATATCCCACGCAGACGGCAATACGGTGTCCGCTTTCGCCTACCAGAGCTACGAAATCTTGCCAGGAAAGCCTAGCCTTCCTGGTCTACCAGCGACGTATGGTAATGCCTCGGATGTGTCGACGCTAATTATAAGGCTTTATGACAACTACTCGGATGTCTCCGCTGCTCTGTCATATTCCGTATTTCCCTCATACAACGCTATCGCGCGGAGTTTCCAGATCACTAATAATGGCTCCGCAAACATCACGATTGAACGTGCGGCAAGCTTCAGTATTGACCTACCGAATCTCGACCTCAACATGCTAGAGCTGCAAGGCGACTGGGCTCACGAAATGAACAGAGTCATTCGCCCGGTGCAGTACGGAGAGACCAGCTTCCGCTCTACCGAAGGCTACTCTTCCCATGTGCATAACCCATTCTTCGCGCTCATGTCACCTTCAACGACAGAGTCTTCTGGTGAAGCTTGGGGGTTCAATCTCGTCTATACGGGCAGCTTTGCGGCAACAACGGAACGGTTCTCGCATGGCTTCGTCCGAGTATTACTCGGTCTCAACCCATTGCACGCCAGTATTCCCGTCGGACCAGGTCAGACTTTCACGTCGCCGGAGGCAGTCGCAGTATATTCGTCTGAGGGTCTTGGAGGCATGTCTCGATCTTTTCATGATCTGTACCGGAACCATCTCTCGCGCTCGAACTACACGCTGCAGACTCGTCCAGTCTTACTTAATTCGTGGGAAGGCCTCGGCTTCAACATCAATCAATCCTCGCTGGACCAGTTAGCGCAAGAGACGGCCGATCTCGGGATCCGACTGTTCGTCAATGATGATGGATGGTTCGGCCAGACGCCTTATGCTCGCATCAACGATACCGCTGGACTTGGCGACTGGACACCGAACCCTGATCACTTCCCAAATGGACTAGGTCCCTATGTGGGCGACGTTGACTCCCTCACGGTTGAAAACTCGTCCCAGAAGCTCGAGTTCGGCATCTGGGTGGAGCCAGAGATGGTGAATCCCAACTCGACTCTGTACAACGAGCACCCTGACTGGGCTTTGCACGCGGGCTCCCACCCACGGACACTTACAAGGAACCAACTCGTGCTCAATCTCGGCCTGCCTGAAGTACAGGACTACTTGATAACCGCGATCTCCAACGTAATCAACTCTGCCGATATTCGCTACATCAAATGGGACAACAACAGAGGCATGCACGAGCTTCCTAACCCTGCCGCCGACTACAACTATATGCTTGGCATGTATCGTGTCATGGACAACTTGACCGGTAGTTATCCTGACATACTGTGGGAGGGTTGTGCATCCGGCGGTGGACGCTTCGACCCGGGCATCCTCCACTATTATCCGCAGAGTTGGACGTCAGATGATACCGACGCGGCAGAACGGCTGACGATACAGATGGGGACTTCGCTCGCATACCCGCCGTCAGCTATGGCGTGCCACGTCTCCGCGGTGCCCAACGGTATTACGCAGCGCAACACCTCCATCGAATATCGCGCCCACGTTGCACTCATGTGCGGCTCGTTCGGCTTCGAGCTGAACCCGGTGGAGCTGACGGCGGAGGAGAGGGCCGCCATACCCGGCATCTTGGCAGATTGGGAGCGGATCAACCCTATTGTCATCACTGGGTCTTTCTACAGGCTCGCGCTGCCGGACAACAGCAACTGGCCAGCCGCGCAATTCGTCAGCGCCAACCAGACTGTGGCGATAGTCTTCGCTTTCCAGCAGCGGGCGACTGTGAAGCCTGCACCTCCGCCCCTCAAGATTGCAGGGTTAAATGCTACAGCGAGGTACACGAGTAATCTGTACAATGGGTCGCTGAGTGGTTCCACGCTGATGAACGCGGGGATCAACCTGGCTTGGGAGACGGCTGATTACCAGAGCATGCTGATATGGTTGTACAGGCAGTGAGCCAGCGCTCAAAACTCACAGGACGGGACCTCTTCGTCCATAAATATAATTCACAAATCAGCACATGTTTGCTCAGCTCGAGACGTAAGGGCCTAGAACAGATGTGAATGTAGACAATGCCCACCTCCACACCCGTTCCGACTCGAATCTCGCGGCCCTCCGCTACCTGAATACTGTACCGCCGGATCTAGCCGAGTCTGTGAATGATTGTAATGGCCTCGCGTGCTTTCGCATGTCGTTGATTGCGACGGCCTCGGCAACCTTCTCGATGAGCCGCAACAACTGCTGCAGACTGCTGCCCATCCGCCTCCCTCCAGACTGGAACATTTCCAGATCGCAACGCTGTGCAATAGAATGAGTGTATCTGAAAGAAGCCTAGTGACAAAGTACGCACGTCACCAAACCATCAATGGCCGGACTATTATCGCTGGAAGACCCGAAGATGACTGGCCATCTTGCAAGCCAGACTCTGCACGACGAGTGGCCAGTTGACTCCGAAGGCGAGACGACCCCTTGTCAATCCCATAAATTCACGCCGTCCGTGAGATCCATGAATCCTGCACCGCCAGCCTCAGAATTACCGATACCTCATTCACCAGGAGATCCTGATGCTGGCCGCCAGCGCCGCAACTCGGTGCTCGAAAAGTCAGCACCGGCATGGATCCAGCAAACGACTACTAGGCAAGACTCCTGTGAACTGACAGACCTCGCAAGCGCAGCCGCAGGACTTCCGAGCACAGGGGCTCAGGTTGCTAAGGAGCGCGGGAGAACGACCAGGTTGAAGCGGCGCATGATCTGCCACCAAACCCTCTTAAAGCGCCAAGAAAGCGTGCTTTCCCCGAATTCTTATTGGACTCTCATCAGACGGACGCTCTGCAATGTACTAAGCACGGCAACGTCAGCATATCCAAAAGCGACGACCTACCAGGCTAGTCTCTTCCCCTGCCTGGAGTGCGCGAAAGCTGCCAAGATCAACAACATTTCTTGGGACGACTCTGGCATTCTCGACCAGCCTAGCGACGAGTTCGTTGTGTATACTGATGGCTCCAAACTGAACCCAGCCACGAGCGCAGTGACACCGATCGTAGGAACCGTGCCGCCGGAAGTGCTTCCATTCAAAACGCAGGGTCCTGCTGGCGCTGGAGCAGCATTTCGTTGCCAGGGTGCATGGGAAAGGTCGGCTATGGCGCTCGATCCAATGGACAATAACGTTGCCAAGCTCCATGCGATCTCGTTGGCGCTCCAGGAGTTCGCAGACAAGTGTTTCCAGAACGACTACAGGCTACTCGCCATCGCCACGGACTCCAAAGTTCTCTGTGCGATTGCCTTTGTCATTATGGCGAATCGTAGAGGTCAATGACCGTTCGATCTGTAAACTCGGGGTTCGGGTAGGGCTACGTTGCTTCTCCACGCGGCCATTCTGTACTCTATGAGATGAAGCGACACGTGCTTGGATTCGCTGTGGTGTGGGACTGGCCACACGTAGTGGTCGCGCCTCTCGTTTCAAGAGGCGGTTGAGGTTCTGCCAAAGGTCTGGCCACTGTTGCCAACGCAGATATCGCAAAGAGGGCATGATGATACGCAGAAAGAGTGGTGCAACGCATCACGATCGAGCTTGGCCAGTTGGCGATGTATGCCACAAGGTCTTCGTGGTCCATCTGCTTCGTCGCATGCAAGGAAGAAGTAAAGGCAATGAACGCAGAAGTCTTACTCACGAGAAAGGCATGGTGAGGATGAAAGCCATCAGTAATGGTCAGTGAGACTGGTATTGCAAGACGCGCGGTGGCTGCAGCGCGCAGAGACACAACACAGATACGGACACCGAAGGCTTGCGACCCGCAATTTACATGTTCACTTTTGTTATCAGAATCTGCATAGTGGTAATTGATGGGTATTGCAATGTAATGGCAAGTACGAGAGAGAGAGGTCGGGAAAAGGCGACGTGGAATTGTCCCGAAGATTGGCCGCCCTTACCTCAAGCGCATCGATCAACATCATGAAACATCTTGTCGAGAACGTGGTGGCGATGGATGGCTACCGATTTTCCAGATCATAGTCTTTGTCCGGGCACTACGACTCTCGCGGGCAGATCTGCTTTGAGTGGCAGTGGTCGCACCCGTACCTGTCCACAGGACGGGATGAATCTCCGGATTGTTGACCTCCCAGGCCGCGTACCAAGCTGAAGCCTCTTGACCTCCAACCATCGACAGAAGTGAGCAGCAAGACAGTTTCACAGTCTCTCGGCTGATCACTGGGTGAAGCGAAGTCAACAGAATCCAGAGCATCAGGATGGGCCATGGTGACATTGGCAGGCAGACACCATAGGCAACCGCCTTGGTGCAGTGTCCGGATGCGTATTGCTTAGGATTTAACTGTGCAGGCTGGACTAGGCTGAAACTTGTTAGTCCGAGCCTAATGTCGTATTGCTGTTTTTCAGTAGATGGAAGAGAAAGTAGATATATGCATCGCCGCAGCATAGAGCACACAGAACTGGAAGTGGTGGTGAGGGCATGTTCGACCCGACCGCAGCATATCGTACCTTCCTCATACCGCTTATTCGGGCGGGATGGACCGTGGTCAAGCCGCTACTCCGGCAGCACAGCGTTTTCGCCTTCACTTTTCACACAGCGGACTATATACCAGTGCTAAAACGTGATCAGCATACAAAACTCAGGGGCGAGTTTGACGTCTCGAAAAGGGGGCTTGGCAGTTACATTCGCATGGATCTAATCCGGGCAGCAAAAGCAGCATACCAAGTGGTCTTGCTACACTGCTAACGTCGCCACCCATGCAAGGAGGCTTTCAACGGGACGCGAGCATACAAACTCGCAGCATGACGCTCAGAACGATTAGGGCTGCGCATCGCACAGGTGTTGTTGACCTTACAAGAGATGGTCTGAGCGATGAAGGCATCGAGGCGTCTCCGCAAAGTGAGACCAAGCGCCAAAGACCTGCGCGGTCGCGCCGCCCTGAGCTTTTGGTGAAGGATCTGAGCCTAGCCGATGACGTTGAGCATATAGACATCGCTAACATAATTGGTCACGTGGGCTACAGGACTTTGTGATCCCGGCAAGTCGAACGCGGCTCAGAGGTGCAAGCGCGCCTAGTTGCACTAAGGCATTCAACTCGAGCGATACAGCCACTCCCAGCCGCACTGAAGCAGCCGATTGAGATCCATGACGGAGGTATTGTACCTTACCGGCCTAGCATCCGTGGTCCGCAAGACCTATACCGCATAACGTGTGTTCAGGGCAAGCACGGTCAGCTTGACATCGAAGTGGAGCGTAAGGTCCTCGCCAACCACCATGGCGTGTATTAACCGGACACGAGCGACTGGTCACCAATAGTCGTGGACACAGATGGATCCCGCCAGTCCAGGCACGCCGGCTGTGGCGTAGCCCTTACAGACGGAGACGATTGGCGTGGCGAAGCCGTCCCTCTGGGCGTGAAGACGCCAAGTGAAGCTGAGGAGCATGGACTGATGCACGGTTTGTACATGATGCGCAGGTATCTCGACACTGATGTGGAGCACATTGTGTTCCGCACTGACTCCTCGGGTACTTTAAGCTCTCTTGCTCGCTGCATGGAAGGTGAAGCGAGGAGCGAATGGACAAACACTGAAACGGTCCGCTTTCGCAACGAGCTTTTCAGCATGTATGCTTACTTGAAAAGGAAGGACTTCCAGTGGGTCAAAGCTCATCACTTTTGCGATGGAAATGCGGTGCCGGATTACTTTGCTGGTCATGCCTCGAATCAGTCTCAAGGGGGTGCGCCATCGCTCGTGCCTATCGTTTGCCCGAACGATAGCATAACTCTCGTCCACCTTAGGCAAGCAGAGATGCTGGCGCAAGGTAAGAGGCTACGTCTCACAGGTGACGAAGCGGAGAATCCTTTCGACGTTGATGGCGCCACACTCGCTAGCGCCGGGCTTCGAACTGTGCGGCTGCGGCTCACAGAGGGCGAAATGGACAAACCGTTCGACGTCGACGGACCTATAACCCCTGGCGCAGGGCTTCGGACGGTGCCCAACAGGCTTACACTCAAGCGGAAGAGAGGACAGGACACGGAAGACATTGCCAGTCCCCTTCCCGCTGAAACACTAGAGGATGCTCGGTCAAGGTACTTTCAGCATCTTGTCGCTCCTCAAGGCCGTAAGGTGGGGGCCCGGCCAAGATTGATCGAAGACACAGCACTACGGCCTACCGGCACTAGGGCGAAAGGCAAAGCCCTGGAGATGGGGTCCTCGCGGCGTCGTTTTCAGATAATCAACCGCGCATGCACTCCAATTTCTGGAACAGCCTCCGCGGTTTCGCTTTGCTGTGGAGCGGTTCGTCCGCAACAATGCCGACGAGATCGAGTGTGAGTGACGAGCGCTACAACCTTCCCACTCTCCCCGACCAATAAGATGTGACGGCTTGCTTGTTCGTCCATTGTCGGCAAAGCCTTTGGAGCGCTGGTAATCCCGCACCTTACCTCGCAGCACTTCACCTCGCAGCGCTCTGCCTCCCAACCCAGCCAGTTGAAAGCTGCGCTTTTGTGCGCTTTCTTGACGACTCAGCACTCATGCAGGTACACTGCCTGCAGGGTCCCGTGGTGCGTCACATTGCAGTGAGATTCCCACTCAATCATCCTCGGGATGCAGCGTCTCGGTATCAAGAAACCGTCTCGACAGAAATAGGTAGGGCCGAACATCATCTCACTTTTGTGTGAGCCTATACTGTCACCAATTTGAATCATTCACATCTTCAAGCCCGCTTTCTCCACCCCCGCCTCTACTAAGCTGCCGTTCACCCGAGACATAAAGTGACCTTCCTACTAATGGACATTTTTCAAGCCGCGGGTATCTCAGAGGCGGGAGCTCAGTGGCGAGGACCTTCTCGCTTAGGCACTGCGACATCTCGGCACAGAGGTAGCTTTCGGCTCGCATGGCGGACACCGCGATGCTTTTCTGCTCGGCGCAGCAGAGCCCGGGATCCTACTCATCGATACGCGCCATGAGACGACTGCAGTATAGGCAGTCGAAGCCTATACGATTGTTTGTGGCAAAGTTGATGTCGGCTTCGTGACGGCGAACAGCGGGTATGCCAGCCCAGCGGTGCATAGAGCAACGACCTGACCTGATCTTCCTCGGCCAGCTTTGCCAACGATCTACCGGGTATGTGACAGCTTTCGCGGATCGCTCACCAGGGGCGAGCGATCCGAATGTTATTGTCGTACCATATTACGATAATACGACACGAGCCTTCTATGAGGAACGTTGTGAAAGAGCGGGCGAATGGCCTCTAAGCATTGAGGCATACGCTATGACAGTCGGGTGCAGTGCCTTCAGGATTGTACGCGCCCCTTTCCCACCGTAACCACTTGGAGGCAGGGCTCTCGTGCTTCGCACTATTCTTCGCGGAGTCGGCAACTTGTCTAAAACCATTGCCAGAAGCGATCGGGGTTGCATATTGTGCTATCTAACCGAGCATCGTCAACAGTTCGTGAACTCGTCATACATCAAGCGTTCCCTGCCGCATTCCGCGAACGCCTCGCTAATGTAAAACTTGCCAAGGTCTTTGTGAAGCCGGCTGTCAAACGGGAGTGCAGAAAACAGCCTACCACATCGCACTCTTTTTCTTCTGAAGCTTATTCGCGTCCTCGTCACTCACGCTCCTTAACCCAAAAAAGCTCTTCTTGTGCTTCGCACCCGCAGGATTGACGTTCAACGAGCTCGCATGCGGATTCGCACCACTCATTACCAACGCATTAGAGCTGGCCGAGGGTTGCATATACAATCCATTGCTGCCTAGACTTTGGCGAGGACGGTGTTGAGGTACCGGGGGCGGCATAAGGCCCGTTTGTGCCTGCTGCGGTCTCGAGCTGTTGGCTTGAGGCGGGTACTGCTGCGAAGGTAAGGGTTGGACACCGTACATCTTCCTCAGCCGCTCGGTCTCCTTGTCGACTTCGGCTTGTTTTCGATATCGCTGCTTCTCTTCTTCCTCGAGCTGTTTCTGTAGGCGTCTCGCTTCGGCTTCATCGGCCTTTTCGCGCTCTCTGCGCCGACGCTCCTCGCGGCGCGCTTCTGCTTCGGCTTGTGCGCGCAAGCGGGCGGTCTCGGCTTCGAGGGCCCAGTTTGCGCGCGGGTCTGGCATCGGAGGGGGCCGTGCGCTACTGGGTTGCGGTGGCGTGGTTTGCAGTTTTGGTAGCTGGGTTCGCCTCGCATCATTCACAGCATTATGTGGAGGTGCAGGCTGCGAAGCCAGCAGGTTCGGTGCATTGTAGCCGATATGCGTCTGTTGCGGGTTGGACAGCTTCCGTCCACCTCCGCTCAATTTGCGCTCTGACGGCAGGTCTGCGATGTTGAACGTCTCCTTCATGTGATCCTTGCCGCCGAAATAGAGATCCGTAATGACGACAGCACTTAGCAGCAAAGTGATCTCCAGACCTTTGGGATCCTCCATATCTACTCGACCCAAGTTCGGCTCGTAGACGGTCAACTCCCGCAAACTCCGCCACAGCGCAATGGCGATATCTGGATCTCGCCGACTCCTCTTCTTCTCGTGCACATCCGTGCTCTTGCCCGTCATGAAACATGTCAAGTCCTTGCTCAGCTTGCTCTCCTTCCGCCACGCAAAGTGCACCTTGGGTGTGACAGCCAAGCTTGCTGGATCGGATTGACCGCGGTCCAGATTTGATGCAGAAGGCGTGCGGAAGGTGTTGATGGGCATGCTGAACTCATACGAGTCGCTGCCGCCCCAACGGCCTTCCTTCAGCTCTACTCGTACCTGCTGGTCAGGATTGTAAAGTTGGATGGTGAATTCATGGGGTAAGACCGGCTCCGGGGGCGGTGGGACGCCACCGTTTCGCTTGATATCCTCTTGCGACAATGTGGGCTGCGTCCAACCCGGCCGCGCAAGTACTTCGCCATACAGGATGTCTTGGTTATATGCGTCGAATATTGCCACCCCGTAACAGTTCTTGTGTGCGGGTAGTGGCGAGGCTGGGTCGGTCTGCTTCAAGGTGTATGCTGGCTCTTTCTCAGAACCACGGTGAGAAAGGAAAAGATTGCGGTGATGAGCAACGCCATCGTTTGCAGGCTTCAAGAAGAACGTTGGCAGGGCGTCGTCAAGCATGGCGAGGACGGCTGCGCAGTGACAGATAGTATGGAAGGGAAGGCGAGAGGCAATAGAAAGAGAAAATTGAGTTACCACCTGCGCATTCCTATACAGTGGTATGAGTGATGCCTGGCTTCGTTGCGTGTCGCAAGGCTCGAGCGAGGCTGTGTGCTTGCGAGTACCGTGACACAAGCACTTTTCGATTGCATCAGGCCGTTGCTTTGATTCACTTCGTCAAAACGTCCACGCATGCGTCGTGACGCGGCCCGCAAAGTGGAGACAGCTGCTTCCATAATTGGAAACAGCAATAGCAGCGTGGAAGATCCAAATACAAACGTTCAACTTCTTACAGCATGCGGGCTGGACATTTCACGGGAGTGACACATCTCACGAGACTGGAAGAACGACATTATGAGATGTTAGCACGGCAGTCGGGAAGGATGGACATGCAGTCTTGTAGGCAAGCTCAACACTCTACCCTGTACGTCTCACTCTGGCTCGCCCTCCACAACATACTCGTCCGCCATATCACCTTCTTGTTGATCCGCCTCTGCCTTGATCTTCGCATAAGCCGCTGTGACACCACGCAGAACCTCTTCAACGCTTGGCCTCGCCGCCGGTGAAGGATGCACCATGCGTTGCAACCAACTCTTGAGCGACGGAGAGTAAACGAAGGGTAGTGCATCCACCAACGCCGTCGATCCTCTCAGGCCGCCATCCGGAAGAACTTCACTCTCAGCTCCACAAAGTGCGGCCAACCTGTCGAATCTCTCACTGGCGTTCACACTCCGCCAATCTTCGTCTCTTCTCGACATCATCATGACATTGATGTTTTCAGTCATGACCAAGTCCCAAAGTGAACGACCTCCCAGCATCATTGCCACAGCCACAGCGCCTACAGACCAGACATCTGCGGATGAACCACGAATGCTGGGTTGAGGGTGGAAGCTGCTGAGTTCGGGCGCTTCGTAACCCGTACTTTCGCCATCAGTGTTTGAGTTAAGTAGTTCCAACAAAGTGACCGAATGGCGTGCGCCCTTGAACACAACGCAATGTGTGAAATTGCCAAGTTTGCAGTCGCCGTATGTTGGCACTCGAAAGCCGCTCGTCTTACCTGGATGGCAGTAAAAGATGTTCACAGGGGTTATGCAGTTGTGCGCAATAGGCTTCCAACCGGGCAGAGGCGTTGAGTCTTGTCCCGACTCCAGAGTATACCTACCAGTGCGTAGGTGGAAGACTGCTTGTAGTAGCGAGACCAGAGTGTGCCAGATAAGCGACTCCGGCAATCCCTCCCCTTGGTGGGCAAGAAGTAGCCCGTTAAGCGTTCCGGCATTGCAGTACTCCCAAGCCGTCTCCTTGCGCGTATACAACGTTCCGAAGCCGTCGTGCTCCACCATACGGATGAGGTTGGGATGGTTAAGGACTGTTTGCGTATCATTGGCCGCCTGCTCGTCGAGGGCGAAGTCTTCGTCGACAATCTCGCGACATGCAGTGTGCTCGAGCTTCGGAATATTAGAGGGTTCGGATCTCCACCATACATCGTCGTCGTCACCACTAGTCGAACGGTGCGCGTTGAGGCTGCAGACCCAGATCCTCGGAGTATATAGGGATGGACAAGGTACCTTGACAGCGTCCAAGCCTTCCCCGTTGGCGTGGCTTCAGCGACGAAGCTGCGGGTAAGAGTGGGCGCCGGACCGTATTCGGCGAAGCCCGGGATGAAGGTGTTGAAGAACGTCTCCTTTGTGGAGTCGATCGCCTGGGCCTGGCTCGCGGAGAGTAGCCCGTCCATGTCGTATATCGAGAGCCAGCAGGCAGCGGTGTCTCTGGGCTTGCCGCTTCTGAACTTGCACTTCCTGAGCCAACGCGGTTCGATCTCGAAGAGGGGGGGGCAGACGGTACTCTGAATCGGCCCCGATATGACGGCGAGTCCGGAGGGTTGGGATCTCCTGAAAGACTCCGGCTGGCCCTAGAAGAAGAGGGCGTGGCAGACGGTACTCTGTACCACATCGTTGCTGTGCCATTCTCTCTTGGTGACGTGACGGGCCAGGACTGTGTACGATTATTGGGATACGGCGGCGAGTCCGGTGGTTCATGAGTTACTGCGCCAGCGCGGCGTGATTTCGGAGCCTCTTTCGCCCATGATTGTGTTTGACTGAGTTGACTTGATGGTGAGGTCTGACGTTCTGGGGTTCCTGACACGCTTCTCGGTCGTTGACTTTCTTTAGGCGACACTATAGCCCACGGTGGCGGGCGGCTGAGTTGACTCGAGGGGAAATTCTGATAGTTGGGACTTTCTGATGCACCTTGGCTGGACGTGGGAGACGGGGTGATAGACGGTACCGCAAACCGCGCCATTGTAGTGTTGTGTCTGCTAGAGAATAGGGCGCAATTGAAGCTGCGTCCATGAGGTGTGAAGAACAAAAAAAACAGCATCTCACCATTCTCCAACCCTCTTCCGGACGACGGACAATGAACAAACTTGCGTCTTTGATCACTTACACTGTGCGGTTAGCTTGCATCATCGGATAGGTCGCCATTGGAAACGGTATTTGGTAAGCTGCAAAGCAATCCGAATGCGACTGCGTGAGCGGCATTCACCGTAAGAAGATTGAACCAGATCCATATTCCGCAGGATAAGATTGACTTCGTCATTACTAGGAGAGCGTTGAGCTACGCTAAGACCACCAGATACTGATAAGCCAAATTGACCTCCACAAACAGTTCTCGCTTGTTGACAGGTTCACAACGTCTTGTTCCATGCAGCGAACAGGCCGATCAAGCTGCTCAAGGTGCCTGCTAAGCCAACAATGCCGTCGTCGAAGTTAGCGTATCCCAGAGCGCTACTCGGAACGGTACAATCGCAAAGGTCGGACACGAGTTGTAATTGCACCGCGCTGCGTTCCCTATGGTAGATTAGCCTTCATTCGTTCGCCAAAGTTTCGACACAACTCACTTCTGCAGCTTCTTCGCCTCCACCGCTTTCTCCGCGTCCTGGCTATCAGCCTGCTTTCGCGCCGCCATCTGGAGGTTGTACAGCGTGTAGATGCCCGCTGCGACATTGCATAGCAAGCCCGCCAGCCACGCGCGATAAGCTTCTTTCTGCAATCTCGCGGCCGCCTCGAACTTCTTGATGCCGGACTGGTCGAAGTAGGCGAGGTTGTCCATGAATAAATATCCCGCATACCCTAGCTGTCTGCCCACTGCCAGGAATCGGAGAATCGGGTCCATCGATTTGGCATCGGCGGCGACTGAAGCTGCCTTGATATGCTCTACGAACTTGCCGAGGCGCATGGCCTTGCGCACGCTTCCGAAGTTCTTCTTAACCGCTTCAAAGATCGCGACGGTTGCTGCGGGGTGGTTGGTGCGGTAGGTGTACCATGCGAGGAAGCGGGCAAAGTACTGAAGCGTTCGGAGAGCCTTATCCCTGCCGACTATGTCACATCAGCAGCTGTTCTACGGCCATCGAATAGGGCCCTTACTCGTCGTCGCAACGAAGCGGTTGTAGTGGCTCACGGCCGGGTGGTAGACGAGGGCATCCATGACCATGGCGGCGGAGACGTATGATGTGTCGGGTAGATGTATCTGCTATCAATCTACGCGTCGAGTAATAGGCGCTAGCCGCTGGAATGAACGACTGGATGTTGCTGCTGTCTAGATGATGGAGTGGAGGTGAAGACGATGGCCATCAGCAGTGGTAGCGGCCCTATGTCGGCAATTCACATGTCTCTTGATGTGCCTCTTGCCTCGGCTTACTCTGCGATTGTCCCGCCTCGGGCTCTCCCGGCAGAGCTGCCGGTTGCTTGAGCGTCATCACGTGCTTGCGGAGATGCTACTTTCACAATGTGGTCTCTGGCACCTTGGAGTAGGACAACTATGAGGTATGCATCTTACATTAGCAAACCTTCCAGATTGGCCTACGATCATCGCGTGCTCGGCGGTACGTTAACGCGGGAAGCGCAAGAATAAGTACGCTGCGTGTTATTGATGAGCATGGTAATATTGTCTCAAATCTTCTTCTGCATGATGCTGTTCTCGACTTATTCCAGACGCTTACATCCAACTGAATTCACGGGCTCCAAAATCGAGTGGGTAATAAGCCGGCCTTCACGATACTCCTGCGAACGCCGCTGACACATCTCTCACGCTCACTCCCAATCATCCTCTTCATCGTCCTTCTTCAGGTCTCTCTTTTCTTCCCTCGGACTGTTCGCCGCGCGACTCGTAGCGCCAGAGACAATGTCATAGCTCGCATCCGAGCCAGCGACAGATTTCTCGTCTTCGTGGCTTCGGCGGCTTTCAGCGGGCTTCAGGAAGTCACTGCTGGCTGAAGCGGGAGCGTTCAGTGTCGTAGTCGACTCATTGTGCGGTGCAATGCTGGTCTTCGGAGCGGCGGCACCGGGTGTAGCAGCTTGCTCTGGCTCCTCGTCATCATCGTCCCAGCCTACCTCTTCATCTGCTGTGCCGGAAGCTGCTCCTATATACAGGTTAGTCTGCAATGAACAAAAGATCTCGTAGAATGAACATACCCCTCAGCACCTCTTTTCGCCGTCTCTCCTCTTCCTCGATAGCCTTCCGCAAGAAGTAGTACCGCATCCAGAACATCTTGTACTCGACCTTCTCCGGCACCAGCTTCTCCATCGCCCGTCTCAGCTCGTCATACTTGTCAAGATCGTGCGCAATGTCATCGGTCTTCTTTTCCGGATCGAAATCGCCTCGCCACGCTTCCCACTGCGGCCCTTGCGGGTCATCAGTGAAGGATGCGGCTGTTGTGTGGATAGCATGCAGTTGTGCATCAAGCCTCGTCGAATGAAAGACCTTCCTGCCCGTCCCCGGTTCGGAAGTCTCGAACAGCACTTCGTTCCCGGCACCATCGACGCCTTTCGGCTTGCTGGCGTCATCATCGCTTGGTGCGGTAATGGTCACTGCTTCCCGGAGGAAATCACGGATGTTCCTGCCAAACTTCAACAGAGCCTCATCCGCGGCATCTTCAGCTTTCTGCAAGTCTTTGAGTCGTGCTGCTGCTGTAGTTCGCAAGCTTGCAACCAGCGTACCGGCCTCCTTGACAATGTCTGCGGGCAGACTCTCAGGCTTCTCTACATTTTCTCCGCTGGTAGCGCTTGATGCCTCAGCATTACCATGCTCTGCGAACGTGGTGCTGGCTTTGGGTGCTCCAGGTACAGCCTCCTCCCCAGGCACAATAGCCTCTTCTCCAGGTTTCGCATCCAGGCTCAATCCTCTGGTTCGCTGCGCAACCTGATCTCTCAAGGCGCTCCACCCATGGGTTGCCTGTTCCTGCGCATCATGCGCTTCCTTCTGCAATTCAGACACGAAGCTCTCACCTTGCTTGCGTGCTTGGTTGAACCAGCCGCCGAGTCGTGTGCCCCATGGCGAGCTGCTAACGGCCCTGAAAGCTTGTTGAAGGTCGTTATTGAGGTTCTGCGATGTCTCCGCAGAGGCCTCGCGCTGTGCTGCAACTTCTGCGGGAGTCAACGCTTCGTCTTGCACGTGATCGTACGCGACGTCCATGGTTATACTATTGCAGTCATGACATAACGGCGCTCACTATCTGAAGATCAGCTTAGCCTTGATATCATCCATGCACGAGGTAAGCTCAAGCACGGACTCTATGGCGTACGTACATGTAGGCGGGCTGCGGCTTGCCGTACGGGACCAGCCACTAGGGCGGAGATCAATCAGATTAGATCTACAGCGGACACCTTCCGCACCGCATATCTTCACATGCAAATTTGGCTTGGAATCTGGACAAAAGCCTGGTACCTCAGATGTTGATATTGAAACATGGCGCCTCGGACAGGCAGTAAGCAAGATGGAGAGCAGGTCTTAGTAGACTTCGATCCAGAAGCGGACGACAGCTTCGGCGACGGCAGTGTTAGCGGAAGTCAGGATGAAGACGGAGTGGAGGTGGAAGACAACGCACGCGAGCACTATGTCGATGTCGACAAGAGTAGGCTACGCAAACCCAAGAATGCGCCACTTGGTTCGCAATATCGCGGCTCACGCATCAGTAGAGATGCAGTGACAGACGATGAGGATGGAGACGATCCGTTTACCAAAGGCTTCGATGATGAGGACAGCGCGGATGAAGAAGAGATTATTGTCGGCGATGACAGTTCTGAAGCGGAACTTGTCAATGGCAATAGTGAACTCGAGGACGAGACGTCTGGAACGGACCTGAGTGAAGATGCCGCGAATGAGGGTAGAGCCAACGAGCAAGCTTTGCGAGCGGAAAGGGTGCGCGAGGCGATGCAGCAGACCGCTCGTGATGCGCCCAAGATCGCAGCTACTCTGTCGCAAGCCAATCAAGCAGATGTAGAAAGAGGTCGGGCGGTCAAGAAGCAGCGTGCCGCTTTTGATGCCCTTCTCGGCAGCCGTATGAAGCTGCAGAAGGCGCTTGTGGGCGTCAATACCCTTGCCGGTCTTCCCCGCGACGAGCTGCAACGTCCGACAAACGATGCTGCAGCTGCAATGCAGGCAGCAGAGGCCGCAGCTTTCAAGTTATGGTCGTCTCTGGATAGCTTCCGAGAAGAGCTCCTCACAGCACGAACTGGTGAGAAGCGAAAGCGTGCAGTCTCAACAAGTCGGGTGCCGGTTTCGAAGCTGTGGTCGCACATGCAGACGCAAGAAGCAGAATGTGTCGAGCGTCGCAATGCTATTTTGCAGAAGTGGTCAAAGAAAACCCAACATCAGATAGCGGCACCCCGGCGTGGTCTGCTCAGTGGCAACGCACCGCAAACAACTGTCCTAGACTCGATACGGCAAGATCTCTCAGATATGCCGCGCCTAACCTCGCGGGCACGTAAAGCTCGCTCGTGCGCGCCACTTCAGATCGCGAACAAAATCACCGAAGACCCAGCTATCTACGACGATGCCGACTTTTACGGCTTGATGCTGAAAGAACTTCTCGAGCAGAAAAGTGCAGACTCCATTACCGCTTCTAACATTGATCTCAGTTTTCAGATGCGCCGAGAGGCGAAGGCGAAGCGCAATGTGGATGTCAAAGCCAGTAAAGGGAGGAAGCTGCGGTATACGGTTCACGAGAAACTGCAGAACTTCATGGCTCCGGAGGATCGGCGGACTTGGGGTCAGCGGCAAGCAGATGAGCTGTTTGGGAGTCTGTTTGGGCAGAGGGTGACTCTGGCTGACGACGAGCGTGAAGAAGACATGGAGGAAGATGTCGATCTCGCCGAGGCAGGCTTGATGCTGTTCAAGAGCTGAGTCGTGAATGCTTCCGTCGCAAGGTCCGTGCATCGAAATTGAAACGAAGTGAATGACTGCGCCACTTGTGATGCAAACGCGTCGCACGACTGAAAAGCGTGCATGCCGCCGAATCAAACTTCGGTGGACAGCAAATTTGTGTTGCGCGAACAGCACAAGAAAACAAGTATCGGGTCCATCCTCTCGGCTATCAGGTCCATCGACCATGGAGTCGACGGCTGAGTGGACGCGTGTTGTCGAAGAGGCGGACGAGGAAACTGCTAAGCTCATTTTCAGATGCAATTGCTGGATCTCCGAGAACTTGCGGCCGAGAATGGCCAGGATGGCTTCTTCGTCTCCGACGTAGAGCTCGCATTACAAAGCTTCGAGGCAGGGCTACGTCGATGCCGTCAAGACCGTGGACTGGCTGTGGAGGACTTCGAACCACTCGCACTTGCGCACATGGCAAATGGAGAGGAGGCCGTGGCTAAGGTCGTCAAGCAATCCAGATGCGTCACCTGCATCGAGTTTTTCGGCCCGGATCACTGCTACCAGGTATCATGCGAGCACTTCTACTGCAACGGCTGCCTCGACGATCTCTTCAGGAGCTGTCTGGTGGACGTCAGTCTCTACCCTCCACGCTGCTGTCGTGAGACCATCTCATTCGACGAAATCAAGACCCTTCTATCTCTGAACATCAGAGCGGATTTCCTGGTCAAGAAAGAGGAGCTTGACGACGACAAGAAGCTTTACTGCAAGGAACCGCGCTGCTCTGCATACATCCCTCATGGCAACCGCACTCCCATCTCTGGAACCTGCCCAGCATGCACGACCACTCGTTGCATCTCCTGCGAAGAGGCTCCACACGAGGGGACTTGCGAGGAGAAGAAGGAGTCACAAGAGGTCCACGAGCTTGCCGAGAAGGAAGGCTGGCGCAGCTGCCCAGCATGCAGCGCCCTGATCGAGCTGACCATTGGCTGTAACCACATGACGTACGTCTACCAGAACACTCAATCATCCCCTTTTGCTAACAGTTATTCCAAGGTGCCGCTGCAGCGCTCAATTCTGCTACATTTGTCGCCTGCGCTGGAAGACGTGTACCTGTCCGCAATGGGACGAGAATCGCTTGATGGCCAGAGCTCACGATGTGGCTCATCATGAGGACCCGTTTGCAGGCGCCGATGCTGTCGCGGCCGCTGCTCGAAACCCGAGAGAGCGCCCCGAGTGTGACCATGATAGCTGGGCTAGGATCAATGAAAGTGGACTGCAGAGTGAGGAGTGCCGCGACCATCTGCCTAGGTACATCTACCGCTGCAGGCAATGCGCTATCCAAGCGTGCTCCCGCTGTCGGTTGAACCGCCTCTAGGAAGCCGTAAGTGCTCAAGGGTTAGCGTGAGGAGGATGGCGTGCTGCCTCTTGGGCGTCAGCGAATGGATACACGCCAGTGAGAGCAGCTTGACTCGGTATTCTTAAAAGATCAGGCATTCGCAGCAGCCTGAGCAGCGGCGCAGGCCCCCCTACGTGCCCTATGCAGCGTCCGTTCGCATCACGATTTGGGAGCCGCCGCCGATGAGGTGACGAGAAGGCATGGAGCTCGCATAGTATGCTAGTGTTCGTGTCGAAATGAACATGAGAAAGAACCATCAACTCAGCGGCAAGATCACAGCTTACACCGCTCACCACATGGCAACTTCGGAGTCTGTACACTCTAATTCCTGACGTATGTTACAGGGGGCTGCTATGACATGAGCAAAAGACCGCATTAATACGCGTTCATTGCCCCTTCTTCAGCCAATCCTCCACCGCCTGTCGTACACCTTGCACCCTTTCCTCCGCCATTGCCAAGCCCATCTGGCTGTGCGCTCTGCCGGTCTCAATGAAGTGCCTTATGCTTTGGCTAGCCCGAAGATGGTTGTCTCTGACGACAGGATACTTCTCCTCATAGCTCCAGATCAAATTTCCAACGTTCTGCGTCGTGCGCGGAATGACATAGGTCGCTGTCCCTACTCCCGTAATGAGCGGTGTCACAGCGCGGATGAGGATGTTCCGATTCCGCGCGATGATGCTGCCGGCCATTGCCGCTACGAGCACGTAGATCGAACCCGGGAGCAGCTTCTCGTTGCTCTCCTTGGGCGGTGCTAGCGAGGCGACGGTGGAGGTGAAGCTGTGCTCGGCGGACATGAAGCGGTCCATTCCGCCGTTTACTGCGTCCTCGGCGCGTACGGCGTAGCTGTGAAGGAGCAGGCGACCGCGCCTTATCTCGGCCGCGAGACGGTCGGTGGGCGAGGGTCTCCGCGGCGTGAGGGGTGAAGGCTCATCTTGCGGCTTGTCTGTTATGCCTGAAGCGGGCGGTGGTGTGGTCGCGGAGATGTCGGCGGGAGTGGGCTCGTCGGCGGGGATATCGTAGATGGGTTTGCGCAGGCGCTACGTAATGTGAGCGATTGGGGCTATGTGCAGGGTGAGCGTGGCTTGGGACGTACTATTTGCTGGATAGGGTCTGCTACAGGACCGTCAGCGTGGACTGTCTTGGTAGGGTAGAGCACAAGAGCTGCACTAAGGGCAGCCAAAGGAGCGGCATGCGGCCGCAGCAGCTGGTGAAAGGCCATACACGCGATGCAGTGAGCTCAATCAATGGCTGCTCAATGTTTCAATGTTTCCGTCTGAAGCTTCCATTCGCTCCAATGCTTCCGTTCCGACCAGCAAGATCCCGGAGGTGCGGGCCGGAGCCCTACAACGCCGCTTATGCAGACGATATCTTCCACGAGAGAACATTCACGTCGTGTAGTAGGACCATGCTGAAGAGATGGGAGCGGCAGGCTTGGACATGCCCGCAATGCGCTCATCGACAACGGAAGATCGTTAAAAGGTGTCTTGTCACAAGCAGCAATGCCAAGGGTGCTGCAGCGGCGGCGGCGGCAGTAGCAGAAGAGTGGCAGCCAGTGTCGAAGGCATCATCCAGCGCCTCCCACGATGACCGGACGTTACGACACATCTTCGACTCACCCGGCTTCTGGAAGGATTTTTCGGCAAAGACGAAGTACCACTATGGCGGCAGACAGACAGGCTTGTTCCGGAACGGGTACCTCACGCGACCAGAGGGCTTTCAACAGTTTGCTTCGGTAACGTTGGCGAAGTGTGAGCGTATAGTGACAGCCGTGTTGTCGTATCAGACCGTTGAAGAGCTCAGACGAGTCGCTCGAGATCTGGATCGATTGAGCGACCTACTATGTCGCGTGATCGATTTGAGCGACTTTGTTCGTTCCGTCCATCCGGACCGGCGTGTACAGGCTGCGGCGAGCCAGGCCTATGCGACCATGTTTGAGTACATGAACGTACTCAACACGACTACGGGGCTGAATGATCAATTGAAGAAGGCCTCTGCTGTACCGGAGATCTACGACTCATGGAGCGAAGAGGAACGTACCGTTGCTGCCATATTGATTAAAGACTTTTCGAAGTCGGCCATCGACTTGGCTGAGACGGACAGGCAAGCATTTGTTGACATCTCAAACGAGATCGCACAAGTGGGCAACGACTTCGTTGAGAATATGGCGGCGGAGAAAAGCACGCTGAGCCTGGAGTCGAGCAGGCTGAAGGGCATGGATCCGCTGTTTGTTCGACAGCTGACACGATGGGGCTCCGTACAGCTGCCGACGGTTGGTATGCCGGCCACACTTGCGCTCAGATACGTCGAGGATGCCGACACCCGGCGCGAGATCTATATGGCAAGCCGGACGTCGTCACACAGCAATCTGCAAAGACTAGAGCAGATGTTGAAGCGCAGAGCAGAATTAGCGAAGCTCAGCGGCTACGATAGCTTCGCTCAACTGACGCTGGCAGACAAAATGGCAAAAACGCCAGAAGCGGTGACCTCCTTCCTGGATGCGCTCGCAAAGGAGAATGCACCTAGAGCTAGGGAAGAGGTGCAGGACTTGTTGGAGCTCAAAAGGTCAGAAGCAAGGGTCGGCAACTTCCCGGCCGAGCTGAATGCATGGGACCGAGACTACTACACAGCCCAGCTCATGTCCGGCATGCGCTCGAAAACCCGCGCGCCCGACTTCCTATCCGCTTACTTTTCGCTCGGCACGGTGATGCAAGGCTTGTCACGCCTGTTCCATCGACTTTATGGCATTCGGCTTGTCCCGAAGGAGACACTGCCGGGCGAGACATGGAACCCGGATGTACGCCGCCTAGATGTGATCGACGATCATGAGGGCCACATAGCAGTGATTTACTGTGATCTATTTGAGCGAGCTGGCAAGAGCCCGAATCCCGCCCATTTCACTCTGCGATGCTCCCGCCGCATTAGCGAAGAAGAGATGCAAGAAGCTGCCGAGCTCTCTTCGCAGTCTGACAGCCCGTTTGCGACCGCGCAGGAAGCCGCCAACGATGGCTTGGCGACAAACTTCAACCCTCGTGACGGCAATGCCCTCTACCAACTCCCCACTATCGCGCTAATCTGCGATTTCTCACTCCCTCCTCAGCCGAACTCCGGTCGGCCTACCCTATTGACGTTTCGTGAACTTACTACTTTATTCCACGAGATGGGTCATGCCTTACATTCGATCTGCGGGCGCACTGCCTTACAGAATGTCGCCGGTACGCGCTGTGCCACCGACTTCGCCGAGCTGCCATCCGTGCTTATGGAGAACTTTGCCTCTGCGCCCGAAGTGCTAGCGCTCTACGCTCGACATTGGGAAACCGATGCACCCCTTGACCCAACCCGGATCAAGGAGCGGGTGGAGCTCGACCGCAGAATGCAGGGTGCGGAGATCGAAAGCCAGGTGCTTCTCGGTATGCTAGATCAGGAGTACCATTCTGCCCGACCTTTGACTTGGCCGGAAGGAGGCATTGGTGAGAGTACGAAACTATACCATGAGGTCTGGAACAACTACTCCCAGGTCCCTGAACCGCCTGGGACTTGCTGGCAGGGGTTCTTTGGGCACTTGTTCGGCTACGGAGCGACTTACTACTCGTACCTCTTCGATCGAGCTATAGCGGGAAAGATTTGGAGGGATGTCTTTCAGCGCTCCGCAAACGGTGCCGTGGACCCGAATGCTGGCAAGCGGTTTAGGGAGGAAGTATTGAGGCACGGAGGCGGTAGAGATGGGTGGCGGTGCGTAGCGGGTGTGCTTGGAGAGGAGGGAAGTCCGTTGGCGGATGGGGAGCGGAAGGCGATGGAGGAGGTCGGGAGATGGGGTGTGCATAGCTAGGCACGCACAATACTAGGACCATTGACGTTCCCATTCCGGCGCATTCAATGCTGTCGGCCAACGTGAAACCGTCGCGCATAATGCGGCTAAGTCAGCCCTTAGATGCTGCCATAATCGCTGAACTGCGATATTTTGGCTATGATGAGGTCCATGGGCGTAGTCGTACTCAAACAAGCTTCAGTCTCGATGGAACGTAGTCCAAAGCGGTAGGACGACAGATTGCAAATTGCTGATAAGGCTCGGCTCGCTTCTCTCCCTCAGCTTGCGAATGCGAAACGGCGAGGCGTTGTTCCTGGAAACCGTTGAAAACACGACTCATCGTCGCCACATGGCCTTCTGTATTGCGCACGTTAACGAGAATCCGTCCTGTCTGACCAGTGAGAGGCACGGTTTCCGAACCTCTTCAAGGCAATCGCAACGCCGACTGCTCCGGCCGTGTTAGGCTTCCACCTGCATTTCGGCCGTAACGCTTGGCCACCAACATAGCGCTACTTGGGATGCAATGGCAGACTCGTGGATGTATCAGTACTCACAAGAAAACGTCGGCAGCCAGCAACCCATAGGCTCTGCTGGATCGACACCCGGACCTGGCTTATCTGCCTTCAGGGAGCCTAGTTCGCCTACCGAATCCTCTTCCAAAACACCGGTCCACAGAGTTCGGCGTCGTAACCGACTGATCACAAGCTGCCTAGAATGTCGTCGACGCAAGTTGAAGTGCGACAAGGTCGCGCCATGTACGAACTGTGTCCGCTTCAAGCGCGACTGTCTCTATGTCGCGACGGCGGATCCGACTAGTCAGGCCAAGCTCGCCGACCTCAAGGAGAAGATGGGCGCTCTTGAGCGTAACCTGGAGCTGGAGATGGCGAGTAAATCCGGCAAGCCGCATACCGGAGGCGCCAATGTGACGAGGATCGCACCTGTGGACAGCCACACTCATATTGACGCGGACGATACCGACGATGCGCCCGATGATGAAGATGTATTGGAACCTACCCCCTTGGCCGCACTTGACAACACGTACGAAGACAACGGCGACGACGAGCTGATGGATTTAGGCGTGCAGATGGGCAAGATGCGCATTTCCGAGCGCATCGGCGGTTGGGTTCGACCGAAGCTTGTGGACGAGCTCAACGACACGCTCAAGGACGTCACGGGTGGCAAGTCGAGATGGTCTAATTCGCCTTTAGCGAGAGACCACCGTGACATTCACCCGAACGTGCAGCAACAGCACGCTATCAAGGCGAGCCCCAAGAGCTACATCGGGCCTGGACCGGACTACATTGCTCCTGCTTCCAGCTTCTTCTTCCCTGGCACCAACATGAACACTAGTCTAGTTGACTATCTGCCGTCGAAGGCTGCAGCCGACCAGCTTGTTACGCAATATTTCTTCGCGGTGCACCAGGTGTGTCGCGCGGTGCATCGACCGACATTTGAGACTCAGTATGCTCTGTTCTGGGCCCAGATAGCGACCGGTAGCGAGCCTGTGCCTGCCACCCAAGCCGTCGTCTTCGCAGCCATGTTCTCCGCTGCTGTGAGCTTCACGGATGTCCAGGTCACGCAACGCTTCGGGACTTCAAAGGCAGCGCTGATCGACAGTTTACGCTCTGGCACGGAGATGGCAATGGCAAAAGCGAACTTCCTACGCACCACGAGAGTAGACGTGATGCAGGCATTCGTTATGTACCTCATCCCCCTGGTAAGGGCGGAAGTCTCACGTGCCCACTCGGCGCTTGTGGGTACGGCAATTCGTCTGGCAGAGTGTATGGGTCTGCACCGCGATGGGACACATTACGCCATGAGCCCGGTAGATGTGCACGTGAGACGGCTGCTCTGGCACCAGCTGTGCTTTCTGGACTTACGAACATGCGAGGCTACAGGGCCAAGACCGCAGATCAGACCCGGCGATTACGATACCAAGTTTCCACTTAACGTGAACGACTCCGATCTTCTCAACGATGCCACTGCGACCCAAGACAGACTATACTGGACCGATGCGACTCTCTTCCGTATCAGAGCAGAGACCGTCGAATTGCGGAGAGGGCTGTTCTTTGATATTGTGCAGATCGACAAGAAGAAGAAGTCGCTAACATCAACTATCATTAAGATTCAGAAGACATGGAATGCGCTAACGGAGAAATACTTCGCCATGGCTAATGACTCTGTTCCACTACAGGTTTTGGGCAAGCATGTCCTGACTCTTGGCGTTCAAGGCTGCTTCCTCGGAGCACTGCACCGTTACCTGTTCAGCACGGCTCAGAGAATGCCAGATCGGCTAAGACAGATTCTTATTGAAGCCGGTCTGATGCAGATGGAGACGGCCATCAAGCTCGAAACGTCTCCCGAACTAGCTCCTTGGGCTTGGTATAGGGGAGCATTCAATCAATACCACAGTGCCCTCTTGCTAATGGTAGAGGTCTATGCCTACCCAATGCGCAAGGATGCTCCGCGTATTTGGAAATGTCTGGACTACATCTTCGACATCCCACCGCATCTGTCGCCGAAACAGAAGGCGGAGCTCGTCATAACCGATTTGCGAGACCGCATGGAGGTGTATCATAACATGCGGAAGCTGAGGGCAACCACGCAGATGGAGGAACGGGTAAGCTCTATGAGTCACTCTGCGCTGCCCAACAAGAGGGGCTGGGACGTAACCGGCAGCTTGACCTCTCTGCCGTCAGGTGCGCAGACCGCAGTGACCCTACCACCCATGGACTTCAGCCCGCCGCCAGTGGAACCAGGCAGCTCCGAAGGCGCCAACAGCAGGCATGGAAGCTACGGGGGAGAGGACACTGACGCCGTCATGACGATGATGGATGACATTGACTGGGTACGTCGTTATTTTGGTCTCTTACTGAGTGCTTCTGCTGACAACGTCGACAGAACGAATGGGACAAATACTTTCCGATTGAGAATAACAGCGGTGAGCTTAATGTCGCAGAGTACGACTTTGCGAGTTTCACTGGCGGCTACAGTGGCGGTCCAAGTATGGATCCATCCGCAGCATTTGCGGCTGCTGCAGCCGCTACTGGGACACTTCCGATACCTGCAGCACAAGACCTGGCAGACGTCACTTTCACACCGGCGTACTACCCGTCGCACATGCCGCGGGGCCAGCCGGGCCTGTAGCTGCGTTGCATGACTTGCGAACCTTTACTTTACCGATGACCGTTCCCTGTAGCCTAGGCACCCTTCTCATAGCTTCTAAGCACCCGGCGGAGACCCAAGCTCGTTATGATACAGTCCGCTTGCTTCAACCTCGGCACACCATAGCTTCCACGGTCTGTATGCGTGGCCTTGGTTTGCAGTCCAGGCGTCTTTGCATTCGCGGTCGCTGAGGTACTTGATGTCCTCATGCTTAGCCGGACCTGTAAGAACAGAATGTCAGACAACAAAGTTGAGCATCGCACACCTCGACGTACCGGTCTCCTTCTCGCCTCCGCCAAAGCGCTCCCCGACCAAGCCAACATTGTAAGAGCCCTGCATCAACAGCGCCGTCGTCTGTATCCGGGCATTAGCGCATGTATAGATGGCACGCCAGACTGCTTCCTCGATGGAGGCGCCTATGCAGGTGAATCCGTGACCGCGCATTAAGACGGTCGGATTAGGCGGAAAGTCCGGCATCTGGGTTGCTTGAGACGTTACGAAGTTGCGGAGAAGGTTCGTCGTCTTCGAGATCATGGTCGATGGATTGAATCCGGCAGCCAGTCCCGCACCTAAATGCTCATTATTGACGAGCAGAGAGTGAAGATTATCCGAAGCCTTATAATGCTGTGATATATCGTAGATTGGACATAGGCTGCCTGTGGTGTACGTTTCAGTATTGAGAGATTGCACAGAATGTGGTTGAAACAGTACCTACCCATAGCGCCACCCATGTGATAGCTATGCTGGATTCAGCGGGTGGGCAGAAAAGGGAGAACGTTGTGCCGACTCACACTGGCCGTAATGGGACGCTGCTGATACTGAATGGGATGACAGCTTCATTGTGCGCGTGTACAACGGCCTGGACGCCCTTGTATTTCTTATAGATCTCACTATGGATGAAGCGTTCCGCATAGCCTCTGCCGGCGTCTGGGTTCACAGGGCTGGCATCTGACACTCGATATTCCTCAATGTCGTCTCGGCTCGACACCAACGCCGGCGCCAAGGACTTGGAAATGAAGAAGGTAGAGGTGTCCTGTGTGTTTCGTACGCTGATATGCCCGTAGGCATCAACAACATTGTGATAATGGAGGATGTGGTTTGCGGTTATCAAGGTGCTGAAGAGCTCTTTGCTCATGGGCTTTGATGCCCGCGCGAGCGCCGTACGCGAGTCTTCTGCCATTGATCTTGCCTCTGAAATGGTACTTTAGTATCTCTTGTGCCACAGCTGTAGCTGTAGCTGTATTGCATTGCCGGCCTTGAACTCGGCCATGACGCGCGCGGGGCGTACCGGCTCTGCATGATCGATGTGCGATAGTGGGGTCGTGAGCGGTGATGATGTCTTCGAGAAGACCATCTACGGTATCGCGGGCGTGCATAATGCTTGTCGAAAAACGTTGCAATTTACATTGAGACCTCGACAATACAACTCATTGCCTCGTCTTAGCTTTGGGCGACTGATAAATTCCAGTTAACCAGATTCATCCCTCGCAAGCCCGACAGCATCAGCGAGCCGACCAACATGCCTACGACCGAGATCGCCATCTTCGACCTGAAAGCCGGAGCAGACGTTGGAGATCCAGACAACCATGCGGCCTCCGTTGGTAAGAATACATTCGACACGCTAAGGACCATCGATGGCCACCACCAGACAAACTTCGGCTATCAGGTGTGTATGGAAGCTTGCTTGAGTCTCCGACACTGCTGATGGTTATACTCCCGCTTTACAGGTCGAGAACCCAACCCGCTTCCAGTTCGCCATAACATGGGACAGTCTCAAGCACCACAAAGACTTCATGGCCTCGGACACATACGGACCGTTCTTAGACCGGTTCAAATCGATTGTAGATGACAGCACGCACAAGCCGGAGATGTGGCACGTCGACTTCCAACCAGCTGGCGGCCTTAGTCGCGTCCTGTCTGCACCAGTGACCGAAAACGTAGTGTTGTATTTCGAAGGTGAGCCTCCAGCAGGATACCAGGAGGGTGTCTCAGAGTTCTGGAAGGCCCTGGAAGAGGAGACGAACCTGCGAGGATGGTGCGGAGGCGTGACGCACGAGACGCTTGAGCATGAGGGCGTAAAAGGGAAAGCTGCGATGTTCTTGGCCGGCTGGGACAGTGTAGAGGATCATATGAAAGCAAGAGAGGCGGATGGGTTTAAGAACAACGTAGAGAAGCTGCGAGGAGAAGCTAAAGGGAGGCGACTGTGGCATACAACGTTCATGCAGGATAGGTCATGAGGTGGCATGAACCGCCGTCCAGAGGTTAGTTGCTGGGTGCTCACTGAAGCCATGGCAATCGGTTGTATGAGGAGCACAACGGTAAGAAGACGAATGTAGAAACTTCATCTCAACACTGAGCATAGGTTGATTCCAGCATCATTAGCCAATCTCGGCGTCCTGCAGACTTTTGGCCTATATCTCGAGAGGCTTTGTCTGCTCCTGCTTTCATGTCTTGTGATTGCCGATTACATGTAATCCAACGGGGAGGTGTTAGCTCTTGCTACCTAGGAAACAAAGGTACCACCGTTAGAGTCGTCCGCGGTGGTTTGCAGCATCACGCGCAGCATGTGTACTGAGCTGCGTCTTAGCAACCGGTTTCTGTGTGAGAGAGTAGCAACGAGCTTGTTTGCCAAACAACATTGGCCACGCCGCCGTTTGACGCTACTACGTAAGAAGGCTGAACGGGCAAAGATCGCTCGGACTAGCAGCGGCTAAAGGCCATCTGTTGACGCGTCCTCAGCGTTGGTTCCGCAGAGCCGCATATAGATGCGAGCACGTTGTCAAGAGCGTTATCGTGATCTGGGCGGCCGGCCGGCGAGGCAGGACGACACTTGCAAGTTAGCAACTACTTCAAAGCCAGGGAGACCCAGAAAATTGTCCGCATAGGCTGCATAGACCTCCGGGGGCGTGTAAAGAGCAATAGGCGGTTTGAAGTAGGCAAGCAGAACGCCAACCAAATCTCTCGGCATGCATCCCGTGCGGAGCCGTTACGCCACTCTCTAGGGGTCTAAGATTAGCGCTAGCACGCTGTTGACTTCCTTGACGAGGCCAACGTTGAAACTCCGTACTTTCCTTCCAACTTCTTTGCTTCGTATTAAAGAGCGTGTGAGCATTTACTGGCGCCACCAAATAGTAATACTGTCCTTCGCTACCTTCTTGCATAATGATGGGCTCTTTCAAATCAGGCTTGGCATGGCTTCTATTTGCGAGTGGTATGGGCGGCGCAGAGGCGATTATCAGAGGTGTCAACCTTGGAGGCTGGCTGGTTACAGAACCATGGTGCGTTGACTTGTGCATGCGCAGAGCAACGAAACAGCTGTGGCATGATCATGGTACTGACCGGATCGCAGGATGACACCCTCGCTATTCAACGCCACAGCTACTGAGGACGAGTGGCACCTGTGCAACGTGTTAGGGAAACAACAGTGCCTCCAGACCCTTCAGCAGCACTGGTCGTATGTTTGCTACCATCACAATCCAATCGTACTCAGCTAATAATCTCGCAGAACATTCTATACGCGGGATGACTTCGTGCAGATCAAGGCTGCTGGTCTTAGTAAGATTGACTTGCAACGCATCGTGCGGGTATCACTGCTAATATGCTCCGCAGCCGGTGTGCGTGTTGGTCTAGGCTACTGGGCTGTTGATTTACTCGACTACGAACCATATGTGTCCGGCCAGGCAAGCATCTCCACCTCGTCTTGATGGCGATCCGCCTCTAACGTGCGTACAGTACCCATATCTGATTCAGGCCGTGCAATGGTGCAAGGAACTCGGTCTTACTGTTTTCATCGACCTGCACGGTGCACCAGGATCGCAGAACGGCTGGGAGGAGACGGGCCTCGTAGGAGCTATCGGCTTCCCCGACAACCAGTCTAACGCAGACCGTACCCTGCATGTTCTTCGAAACTTGACTACCGAATTCCAGAAGCCGATTTACGGTGGTGTAGTTACCAGTAGGTTGCTTTTTCGGTCACGAAACAGCTTTTACTGACTCTCAATACAGACATCGAGCCGCTTAACGAGCCCATCTTCGCCGATGCGCAGTTGAAGGCTTTCTACACTCAGGCTGCCAACGTTATTATTGCGTCCAACACCAGCGGTGTCAACTTCACGTACCACGGTTCGTCAGCTTGTTGAGATGCTTTGGATGTGCTTGCTGATATGTTTAGATGCCTTCTATAACCCGCCACCGTGGAAGAACTATGACCCCAACAACGTGAATGCAGTCGTGCCGGCCGCGCGCACAACGCTCGACACCCATCAATTCTGGGCGTTTCCACCTTTGACGAACCTTACCACCACGCAGATTCTTGAGCGCATTTGCCAGTACGCACAAACGATGGACCCGGCGAACAGCCACATTCCGCCCACGCTTGTTGGCGAGTGGAGTCTGAGCACTGGCTACACCGCAAACTCTACGACTGATGCATCCCAGGACCAAGCCAAGCGAACCTGGTTTCGAACGCTGTTCGAGGCTCAGAATGCGGCCTACACTCCAAACGGTCCGAACCAGGCTTCGATCGGCTGGTACTTCTGGGCCTGGAAGACCGAGTACGACATTGACGCATGGTCCTTCCGCAAGGGCATTCAGTATCAGTACATTCCATCCAATGTCAGTAACATGTCGACGTACGCTTTCCCGATACTGGACAATGGATGCATCAATACCAACTTCAGCTACACCGCACCTGCAAGCGTCACTCCGACGACCGCTTCGACCTCCGCAAGCGGAACGTCCGGCGCGTCGAGGGCTAGCGGTACGGCGGCGGCTTCTACGACCAGGCAGTCGAACGCTTCGGGCACTTCGACGTCAAGTGCTTTCGGCTTGTCAGCAACACAGTGGCTGCAGCCTGGACTTGCTGTTGCCATGGTCGGCTTAGTTGGCCTGCTCTAAGTGTGTACATATCGTGCAGCGTGTGGTTTTTGGGTAATTGCATGGCGGAGCGTTTGCATATTGGAGATCAGGTACACACCCGCATGGCATTGGGTAAGGCGGCGTAATGTGCCATTCGAGGCACGGAGTAAAGTTTTAGAAAGCCTTTGTCGGCATAAACACGCTCACTTGGCATCTTCGGCTTCTGTCATACATGTAGCCTTTTGGATATTTCACGAGATTCGGTAATCGTGCAGGTTCCCACTAACGCAAGAGGACGCGGGAGCTAACGGTACGGTTAATCGATGGCGGAAATGGGTATCTGCAATGTCACCACATCTCTCTTTCTACGCACCGCATCCAACAACTATCCTTCATTATTCCGCTTGACGTACACTTTGCGCATAGTCGCTCATTCTTGGGGACCGCTATACCGCATCACTTATACTGTACTTACTGCCCGCAACCAACCATTCCATTTGGGGGAGCGGGTGCTGAACAGGTCGAACAACATAGAGCGATCACTCCTGGATGCGCAATCCGATGCAGAAGTGTTTCGCGGGATATACTGGAGGTTATAAACGAGGTACATCTATTGCCCGAGCCATATATTGCTGGGATCGTCCTGGAGCACGCGAGCACACGGTCAGCTCGCTTTCCGGGCGAGCGTTGACCGAGGATGAACGGGTATACGTACAATTATGAGCCCAACCTAATAGGTCCGGGTGACCAATACGATGGTAATGATAGCATGATGATGGGCGGACCGGGTGGTGTTGGGGATGGCATGGTTGGTGGGCAGTCACTGGACGATATTGTCAACCAGAACGCGAAGGCGATGAGAAGGCAAAGCATGCCGCAACAATACGGAGCGAACATGACGCAGAATCATATGGACGGTGACATGAGGCGGATATCGATGATGGACTATAGCGGCGCGTCACCGGCAGCGCCAATGAACAACTACGGGTACGACCAAAATGGTATGGATCAAAGCGGCATGGCAGCAAGCACATCGCCCGCGCACCCTTCTCAAGGTCATCCACGCAGAAGTCAGAGCAGGCGGGAGTCCGGGACTGACCTTGCAGTCAACACTTCCTTTGCCGGTACCGCACCAAATTACAACGCCATGATACACCCTCACTCTGCGTACGCATCTCCTGCGCACCATCAGCAGCAACAGCACGGTTTGGACCTGGGTATGAGCAGCCCTTATATCGACACTGGCATGAGCATGTCAATGGACTATGGTGTGCAGTCAAACCAGGGCGCCATGGGTGCCGATGCAATGGATCTGAACATGTACAACCAGCCGCAATTCAACAATTCCGTCATGAGCTCGCCAATGCATCAAATGGCGCAGCAGAGCACCAACAGTACACCACGGGCGCAGAACCAAGAGGCCGGCGGTGGCAGTAACATGAGGCCGCAATACGGCAACCGAAGCACGCATTCCGGCAGTAGCACGGCGCGGAACCCGTCTAGAAGTCACAGTCTGCACATGTCCGACTTGTCCAGTACGGCAAATAACGGCACGCCAACAAATCAGCCCGCATCGAACAACCAAGCCCAGCAACAGTCGAACAGCTCGGGCGGCTTCACTGGGCAGCCGCAGAATCCTGTGCCAGGCTCACGACAGGATCGTCCCGTGCCTGGTCAGAATACTCAGAAGTACGATGGTCTCAACGGCCCGCTTCCTGTCGACCCATCCAATTACAACCCGAACAACCAAGGCTTCGCCTGGGAAGCTCCAGAAGGCGGCTGGCCGTCAACAATGATTGGAAGGCCCCACATGCAGTCTTCTTACAAGAACGCCTATTCATCGACTGGCTTTGATATGCTTGGTGTACTAGTACGTTCTGCCTCTTACCGCTATAGTGACCGTAGCTGACCATGCGCAGATGCGTGTTGCAACGCGCCCCAACGCAGAAATCAATATAGGTGCTGTTGACCTGTCATGCGCCTTCGTCGTGTGCGATGCAGAACTGGACGACTTTCCAATCGTCTATTGCTCAGACAACTTCGAGCGCCTGACCGGCTACACCAAGCACATGATCCTCGGTCGTAATTGTCGATTCCTGCAATCTCCCGATGGCAACGTTGCCCCCGGCATACGACGTAAATACGTGGATGACGACTCGGTGCTGTATCTGAAGAACATGATTAACCTCCGGCGAGAAGCGCAGATTTCGCTTATCAACTACCGGCGTGGCGGCCAACCATTTATGAATCTGCTCACCATGATACCCATCACTTGGGATACTGAACAAGTCAAGTTCTTCGTTGGATTCCAAGTTGATCTAGTGGAGCAACCGAATGCGGTTACTAATAAGAATCCTGGTGAGTGCATCACATCGTCTGAGAGGCTTTCAAGGCGAAAAGCTGCCTCGTCTAGTATGTTGATCGGGTGTAAACCCTACTAACCTGTGGCACAGACGGCAGTTACTCCATCAACTACCAGCGAGGTATGACCATGCCTCGTTATACGATTAACGCACCGGATACGTCGCAGAAACAGGACCTTGGGCAGACAGTACCACGCGACGATGTCTCGGCGATCCTATCCACGATTGGCTCAGGCGAGTCAGACTACGCCAAGCGCATGTGGGACAAGGTTTTGTTGGAAAACACTGACGACGTAGTGCATGTGCTCTCGCTAAAGGGACTGTTCCAGTGGGTGTCGCCTTCTGCACTGCGAGTGCTGGAGTATGAGCCGAGCGAGATTATTGGCACGGCGCTCAGTTCCGTGTGCCATCCTAGTGATATTGTACCGGTGACTCGTGAGCTGAAGGACACCTCGACAGGTGCTTCGGTCAATGTTGTTTTCCGCATCAGGCGGAAGAACAGTGGCTACATGTGGTTCGAAGGCCACGGCTCGCTCCACACAGAACAAGGCAAGGGCCGCAAGTCCATCATCATGGTTGGCCGGGAACGGCCAGTATATACCCTCAGCAAGAACGATATCGTCAATGCTGGCGGCATCGGCGAGAACGAGCTTTGGACTAAGATGTCGACTTCCGGCATGTTCTTGTTTGTGTCTTCGAACGTCCGACAATTGCTTGACCGGCAACCCGATGAGCTGGTTGGCATCAGTATACAGTCACTCATGCGAACGGAATCAAAAACCGAGTTCGGGAGGATCCTGGAACATGCCAGGACCGGAAAGAAGGCGTCAGTCAAGCACGAGATGATCAACCGAAGAGGCCAAGTCCTATCAGCATTCACCACCCTTTATCCCGGCGATGCAACTGAAGGCTTGAAGCCAACCTTCATTGTCGCCCAGACGCGACTGATCAAGTTCAGCAGAGGTGGCCAGACTAGTAGACCCAGCCTCTATCCGAAAGCCGAGCGTGGCTCGAACGACTCCGCCACCTCGACCGCGTTGCAGCCGCTCTCCGCTACGCCGAATGCGACTGGTGATCAAACACCCACCTCGGGCATTTCCGGCAGCCGTTACATGGCCACCGACGGTTCGGCTGCCACATACGCAGGGCAGAACGGGCTCGTCATTGGCCGTCAAGACGTGTCATTAGCATCCGAGGATAACCTGTTCGATGAACTGAAAACGACCAAATCAAGTTCGTGGCAGTACGAAATCAGACAGTTGGAGAAGCGCAATCGGATGCTAGCGGAAGAGGTCCAGGCCCTGATTGCGGCGAAGAAGAAGCGGAAGCGGCGAAAGAACGGCAGCAACTTCACGAAGGATTGCGCGAACTGTCACACCAAAGTCACGCCCGAGTGGCGGAGAGGGCCGAGTGGACAGCGAGACCTCTGTAACAGCTGCGGTCTGCGGTGGGCGAAGTTGGTAAGTCGCGCCAGCCTTGTGATGGGAATGATCTGTAATTCATGGCTGACACCGGGACTTAGAACGGCCGCGTTTCGCCACGGACATCGTCACAACATTCTGGTGGTGCAGCATCCGACAAAGCCTCGAAGGCATCTGCATCTCCGCGTCACGCATCAGGGATGAGTACTGCACAGGCAATCTTCAAGACCGAGTCGCCAACCAACCAGCCGCCCATGTCCACCGTCGCTACCCCTGGCATTGAGCCTAGAGGATCGCCCAAAGCTGTCAAGCCGCCGGAAGGGCATGGCGCGAGTATGGAGGGCGCTTCAGGTGTGCCGGACAAGATCGACGAAGGTGTGGAGCCGGACTAGGCGGCCGATACTCATGAGGAAGGACAAGTCATACAATGGCATATCGCATCTATGCCTCTTTATCTGGATGGCGGCGATAGCGTGGGCGCTTGGGGTTAGCAGCCCGGTTAGTAAGTGGGCAATTTGTGCCGAGAGGGTGGCTCTCCGTTTGCTTGCCTGGATACCCAATGTCACGTTTACGCGACTTTTCTGCGACGAGGATCATGACTGACACGGCGGGAAGCATTATCAAGGGTGGTTTGGCCGTTGACGATTGGGCGACACTCGTGTAGATACCTGACTTTGAGCTTTGGGCACTGCGTAGCAACGCGCAGGCGTCATGTTTTGAAACAAACCGCGAACAACCTCATCCGGTTAACAGACTTCAGTCGCACTCCAGATACTCGCCCTGTTAATCCGAGATCCCTTAGACACCACGCACGTGACCGTCCTTTGCGACTGAAGCTCATGCGCCTCGGCGTTCTGAGTAATGACGCGCGGCAACCAATGGTGTGCTTGTACTCCATATAGCCTATACAAGAGTGACTGCATTCGCTCGTCGTGGTAAACTAGCTCATGCGATCAGCTCCATGCTGTCAAGCCTCGGGATGTAGGTTACGAATGCCACTGGTCTAAGCCGGCATCCAGGGGCAGCTGTATGTCGTGAAAGGAGGAGGACGACTGTTTGCCTTCCGTCGATCGACCATGGGGAAACATTATTTCGAGCAGTCTGTGCAGCCGCAAACGGTGCGCTACTCACGCGCTTATGCCTTTCGAGCTATGGTGCCACAACCGTTGCACCCTTGTTCCTGGTGCTCCTAGATATCCGTCCTTTTGACTTCTTGCTGATCGCCCACGAGGCTTTTCGACTTTGGAGTCTGTTCGGTGCTGCTACTCGCCGGCAAGTTCGATGGCATAATGGCCTGTCGCCAGCCGTTCGCCTCTGGCTTCGACATTGCGACGGTCACCCACTTCCACGCAGCTTACGACATTCATATTTGTACTTGAGCACTGCGACAGAAGCCAATCTTCCGGGCCGTTTTGCGTAACAAGCTTTCTTGCATACAACCTGTCGTCTGCAAGCTCCTGGTCAGCATCGCTACTGCGGCACACTCCCTCTGCGTGACATACGGCGCCGATCCTGCGTCTTTCGTTTCTGTCGCTTGTGTCTCAATAGCGCATAGGTTAGCTGCAGCTGCTATTACGAGGTGGCCCTGCAACCGCTGAGCAGCCATCAGGACATTCTTCGTCTCCAACAGTGCAGAGGGTGGTGGAATGGACAACTCGCAGAAGATCACCATCACGGTCTGCGGCGATGGAGGGTGCGGGAAGTCATCGATCACGCTGCGATTGGTGCGCAGTCAGTGGACTCATGAGTAGGCTCCTCTCTCGCGCATGCGAACAATCTCTGACTAGCTCAGATACGATCCGACAATCGAAGACTCCTACTCGGTGACGCGAACGATCGATGGCATCACGTACTCCCTCCACCTCACCGACACAGCAGGTCAAGAGGAATATCGAGGATTATGGTCTGCGAGCAATCTTGGCGCGGATGCTTTCTTGCTTGTCTATGACATTACACGGGGAAGCTCGCTGCAGGGCCTCGAATACTTTAACCAGATGATCGAGATTGAGCGAGAAACACGCTTAGAACAGGGCCAAGTCCTGCCAGTATGCATCGTCGCTGGCAACAAGTGCGACTTGCAAGGGATGCGACAAGTCGGCGCGAAAGAGGGGCTGGAGTGGGCGAAAACAAGAGGTTGCGGCTTTATGGAAACCAGCGCGCGGGAGATGGTGAACATCGAAGAAACATTCGCATGTGCGTATTGAAGGGTGTGTTGTTCGATGCGTCTGCTAACACGGAATTAGTACTTGTACGAAGAGTACGAGATATGCGCAGAGATCATGCTCGAGGCATACAGCCTACGCTACCAAGCGCTGTGGCTCGGACGCAGCCTTTGGATCCCCTGCCAGTATCGAACGAGAAGGCCGAGTCAGTTGAGCCCGACACCTCCGCGCCAGATACGCCACAAGAGAAACCGAAAAAGCGGAGCTTCTGGTCACAGCTGAGATGTTGGTGAATATGTATTGGTATTTGGTTGGCCATCTGATTTTGTTTGCTCGTTCAAGCGTGTACTATCGGCGGTATGGCTAACGGGTGGCAAAGCATTGCCAAGGGAAATGTACGATAAAATGTTTGAGTATCGCAGGTCCACAACCACACCTGAGTCCCGGTTGCGGAGCCTTCACTACATAGCAAGAGTAAAGATTTACAGCTAAGCGCCCTGCGATGCATATCCCTATCGAACCGCCAGGCGCCTTCGACAAGCCTACGAGTTCCATAGTATGTCTCCATGTTAGGATGACGGTGGCGTTGGCTCTTATATAGGCTCGCCGCTTCATGCCACATAATAAGTAGTCTTTAGGCCGAGAGTTGGCGAGTACGTGAACCTGCGTTCAATTGTATCAGGCCTGTCAACTGCACATGCTCTTCCCCGCACCATTAACAGCAGGCATCAACGACACTTTCAACTCTATATATGCCACCAATACACCTTACAAGTCTCTGCACACTGACCATTGGCTGCAATGGCGACCAACCACCAAGGGACAATGGACAATTACCTCCTCCGAAGACCAAAGAACGTGGCCGCCTGGGCGTTGAAGGCAAAGCAGAGACCGTTGACCGTCAGCAATGCGCCTTACACAGCACCACCAAAAGGACACGTCGCGATCCAAGTCATTGTATGTAATTCAAGCCTGATCTGCCTTGTCAACGACGGCTAAGTGCCGTACCCGCCCTATAGGATGTGGCGATCAACCCGATTGACTGGATCATGCAAGAGTCCGATCTGTTCGGGCTTCAGTATCCGGCAATATTCGGCTGCGACGTTGCAGGAGAAATCATTGAAGTCGCTGATGATGTTCGTGATCTTCATGCCGGGCAGAGAGTTATTGCGTGCGTACCACGAGAGGCCACCTTCTCACTAGAGTCCAAGCTAATGGCACGTTAGGCACTGCAATGGTTACTCAGCTAGGGATGCATCGCATGGCGCCTTCCAGAAGTGTGCGATCGTTCCCAAGAATGCGGTTGCGGAGTTGCCTTATGGTTCGTCATTCGAACTGAGGCCGGGCGATAGGCGTGCGCAATGCTAACAGCACAAAGGCATTGCGACATCGATTGGCGTGGTGTTACCGCTTGGCATTTCGACAGCAGCAGCAGGACTTTACCAAAAGACCTTCCTCGAGTTACCCTTCCCATCAGAACAACCGGAAGCATTAGGACGGACCGTACTGATATGGGTGCGTGGAGTAACTATACCCGATGCACAAGCCCTAAAGCATACTGACGTTTGGGCTTGACTATAGGGAGGCTCTTCAAGCGTGGGATCTTGCGCGATTCAACTTGCCGTTGCTTCAGGGGCTGAGGTTATCACGACCGCAAGTTCGAGAAATTTCGATTACTGCCGCAAGCTTGGTGCTGCACAGTGCTTCGATTACCACGACAAGAACGTCGAGGACAGCATCATTGCCGCACTAAAGGGCAAGACAGTGGCCGGCGCTTATCACGCCGTTGGTTCTGAAGACGCCACAAGGGCCTGTGCGCGTATTCTTGATCAGTCTCAAGGAAAGGCTATTGTGGTAACAGTCAGGGGGGTGCCAAAGGGTCTGCCGAGCTCGGTGAGAGCGAAGTCAAGTGAGTCCGCGTACATGTTCCTCAAGCCTTGCGCAAGATTGCTGACATGCACCACAGTATCCTCGTACGAAAACTCTTGAGTGTTGTTATAGTAATCTAACTGGACAATCACTGACGTTCAATCACCACTATTTTAGGAGTACGATCTTCAGCAATGAAGTGGGCCCCTGTAAGTCTACAATGGTCGTCTAGGAGCTCTGCATGCTCTGCTAACCAGAGCAAAATCTTAGATATATGGAGGACGTTTCTACCTCGAGCTCTGCAGACGGGAACAATAGTTCCAGCGCCGGACCCGAAGATCGTCGGTGAGGAGTTGCGATCGGTCCAGCTGGGTCTCGACAAGCAGAAGGCTGGCGTGTCTGCGGCGAAGATAGTTGTAAGCAATATCTCACAGGCTGGATACCGTCACCGCCCCCTCCAAACCACTCCAGCCTGGCATTGAGCCTCCGCGTCGTCGATCTACCTACCTTATGCACGCCGAGTTCTCCCTCCTCCCCACTATCTGCGCTCCAGCAACCTTGTACCGTAGATATCGCTTGCACAGTCAAGTAGCCTTAGCTTTGGAGACTTCATAGGAACGCATTCAACGAAGCCAAGGCTATTGACCAGACACTACGCTGCTGTACATCGGTACGTGAAGTTACGATTTACTTGACCTAGTGAGCTTGCGCAGAGAGCGAATATCGAGTATGGCAAAGCTGCTCTAGGAGTTCTTCGACGGGATCCAGCTTCTTCGAGGGAGATCAAGCAGCTTAGGGTGTGTATGGAAGGATAAGAAGCATACGCACCGGATCGCATTGGAAGCAGCGAGCAAGCAATCGCCGGCGACAAGACTATCATTGAGACCCTCCAACTACACGGTTCAAGAGTTCGGAGCCAGGATTGAAATTGCGAATTGAGAACTGGCCATAGTCACGTGGCAACATTAAAGTCCATCTCTCAACCCACACGTTCATGCACATGCAGTCCCTGTGGCTGTGGCGCACCTTCAAGCCACAGCCGTCAGTGAGGCTGAGCCGAGGCCTAGTAGACCGAACGTGCATCGTCATCTGGTGATCTTCTTCTTGGTCCACCAACTTCTTGATCTGCAACATGACTTGACTCGTCTTCCCCTGCCTTGTTGCGCGCCAGGAATTAACCTGGAACTGACGCAATGCCCGCCTTCACAGCCCGGAACACGAGCGTCACCCCCGAAGATCGCCATCACTGAAACAGGGCAGCCTTCTGAAACGCGCAATGGCAATTGAATGTTAGCGACAATGTGACCAGAATGCTGCAATGACGTGTGATGTGCCAGGGAGTGAATGTTGCAGTCGAGATAGGTATAAGAGACTTTCTTAAACCGTTGTCTTATGCTCCAGTTTTCCTTCCTACCACACACCACATATTCAAACCAGTACTGTACCAGAAAGCACTCATCATGGGCATCTTGGGCAAGCTAGAAGACAAGCTCACGGGCTCTCACAAGCACGAAGACCAGAACAGACTGCAGAAGGAATCCGAGGCTGGCGGCCACCACGGTCGTCATGAAGCCGAAGGCTACGCTGGCCAGCAGATGATGGGCGACAATACCCCTGAAGGCAGGACGCACGATTTGAGGCATCCAATTCAGAGTGCAACCAGCCGCACTCACGGCGAGCAGTATGGTAACATGCCAGCCGCCGGTTCGGGTTCGGCTTCTTCGTACGCTGACGACGGCTATGGCTCCCAGCCAAACACCAACAAGATGCTTCCGCAGGAGCCGTATGATCCCCACACCATCAAGGGCCAGAACATTGCAGCAAATGCTGCTTCCAGGGATCATCACGGCCATCACGGCACTGGTATGACCGGTGGTCGTTCAGGTCAGCATAATGACCTTGAAAATCCTTCGGCTATCCCTTACGCCGGTAACGAAAGGGTTGGCGAATCGGGCATGCACCCGGGTTACAATGACCAGCACCATCATGGACGCGATGCTGCGATGGGCGCGGGTGCTGCCGGTGTCGGCGCGCATGAGATGAACAAGCACCACGGTCACCACTCGGGCCACGATACTGGTCGCAGTAGTCATGAAGCCAATAGGCACCACAATGGTCGCCACGAGGGTCGTGACGCCGCCCTGGCTGGCGGGGCTGGTGCAGCCGGTATCGGTGCTTACGAGAGTGGCAAGCATCACAACACACATCATCCCGGCCGCGAAGCTGCCCGACATCACAACGAGCCTCACATGGGTCGCGATGCTGCCCTAGCCGGCGGCGCCTACGAGACCGACAACCACCACCACAACCACCATCACGGTCGTGATACTGCCTTCGATGGGCACGACAACGACAGGCACCACAACGGTCAACACATTGGTCGGGATGCCGTGACGGCGGGCGGACTTGGCGCTGCCGGTGTGGGCGCATACGAAGCCAATAAGCATCACCGTGACCATCGTGGCGACACTGGGCCAGCTTCCAACACCATCGGTCCGCATTCGAACAACATGGCGAATGTAGTTGACCCTCGGGTGAAGCCTCAGCCTGATCAGATGAAAGACCGCACCACCGCTGGTCCTCACAAGAGCGATATGCTGAACAAGTTGGATCCTCGCGTGGAGTCCAACCCGGCAAAGGCGCACGAGCAAGGTCAACACGACCACCACTACGGTCGTGATGCTGCTGTGGCTGGAGGTCTTGGCTCTGCAGGCGCCGGCGCGTACGAGCACGAGAAGCACCACGGCCAGCACCATCAGGGCGGTTTGCCACATCGTCCTCACGAGGGTGCATCAAACACTTCTTACGGGCAGCCACAAGGCCAGGGTGCGATTGGAGGCGGCAGTGGGACGGGACTTACGGCATCAGGTCTTCCTACGGAGAAGAAGCTTGGTGGAGCTTACGAAGCTGGCTACAGAGATGCTATGGCGCATATTGAGGCTGAGAGGAAGTGAGGATTGGGCGCTCAATCACCGAAAGACTTTGCGCGAGCCACTGAAGGCTATCGACCTTAGTCCTGTACAATAACGACAACTATAATGTATTAATGAACTTACTAGTCTGCCAGCCATCTTGGTAACATCCCTGAAGTAATGGCAATGTTGCACCCTTCGGTTGTGATCGTGTGACGTGCCTACTATTTGTGGCTTAGCGCAAACCTAAGCGGTGCTCGCGGCGAGTTACGTGACGTCCTCGCGACCAGCTGTCCCTTTCATACGGAAGCCATCCGCCAGCTCTCATCACCTATTGCTCATCTCGATGATTACAACAGCAATACCACCGTTACTGGCCTCATAGACCAGCGCGTTCGGTCAACGCAGCAAGATGAGGCTGGCTTACTATGCCGGTGCCTCCACGGCGGCCGCAGCTGCGTGTCTGCTGAAAGCCTTCCATGAACGACCGAACTTCTACAGCGCCACCGTCTATCTGTCACAGTCGAACGCGTGTCTTCTCATCCTCACCAATCTCTGCCTGGTGCTGGCGTGCAGCATCATGTATGCGCTACAGCGGACGCTCTACGGTCCCCTGCGGCCCATCGAGATGGAGCAGCTAAGCGAGAAGGCGTGGTACGCTGTGCTGGACACTCTGCTCGCCATGCCAAGCTTCAGAGAAGACGTTGGTGGATGGCTGCTCTTCATGTTCGTCCTTCTGCTGGCAGGCAAGGTGTGGGGCTGGATCGGAGAAGGTAGGGTTGATATACTAGAGCAAGGACAACCGACACCAGGCGGTAGACACAGCGAGTGGTGGCTCCATGCACGATTAGCGACAAGTCTCTTACTGAGCGTGGTGTTCAATCTGGGCATGCTGGACTACTGCGTCGAGACGGTCATGGCCGACCCACGGCCAGGAATGATGGTCATCTTCACGTTCGAGTTTGCAATACTCAGTATCTTCTCAGCTTTTACCGCTGCGAGGTATGCATTGTGCTTGATGACGATCAGGGTCGAGAAGTTACAGCTCAAGGAGGCAGTCGAAGCGAGGAAGAGCGAGATCCGCGCGGAGAGAGCGGCAGCAAGACGAAGCCATATCGCAAGTGATCAGCCAGCATCTAACGCTCCTGCCCACGATGCGCCCATCGAGGTCGATGAAAATGAGGTGGACACACCAGGCTGGGAGGACAAGAGACGGTATCTGTTCGCACTCGAGCTTTTTACGGACTTCGTGAAGTTGCTCATCTACATTGTATTCTTTACCGTCAGCATAACATTCAATGGACTACCCATGCACATTATGCGCGATGTCTACATGACCTTCGCGTCCTTCAGCAAGCGAATTAGCGATTACGTTGCGTACCGGAAAGCGACGAGTGACATGAACACTCGGTATCCGGACGCGACTACGGAAGAGATTAGGGGCGATGCATGTATCGTGTGCAGAGAGAACATGATCGCTTGGGAGCAACCAGCCGCCGTACAAGGACAAGGACAAGCGCAGCCAGCAGCTGCTCGAACGCCACCACGGCGAGATGAGGGCTTGCGGGCGAAGAAGCTGCCTTGTGGGCACATCTTACACTTGCGGTGTCTGAAGGCCTGGCTGGAGCGGCAGCAAGTATGTCCTACGTGCCGTCGGCCTGTTGTTCAGCAAGCCGCTGCTGCACCTGGAGGTGCGCCTGGTCAGGCCGTTGCTGGTGGCGCTGTTGTGCCAGGTCAGCAGGCACAGAACGGAAGACCACAACGACCGAATCGAGCACGCATCTTCAACTTTGGTCCCCTGCGAATAGGATTCCTGAACGGGCCACAAGATCAGATACAGCAGGTTCTAAACAATATGCGGAACTTGCAGGCGGCGAACCAAGACGGGGCAGCTGGTGCTAATCAGCAAGGCCCGAACCATCTTGGGCTTCAAGTCCCCTATCTGCCAGGCGCGCAAAATGGTGCCGTGGGCTCTGCAGGTACTGCCGGCGGACCTCGAGCGACTGTGCCAACACAGGTACAGATGTTGCAGTTGGAGCAGCGGCTCATTCACGAAGCCCATAACTTAGGCATCGAACAACAGCAGCTTGCGACACTCAGATTGATGGAGGCGGAGCTTGCGAGGCTGCGCGCGCAGCATTTGCCTACGCACCAGGCTGTTGGCACCGGCAATGCAGCCCAGCGGCAGGTTCAACAAGGAATCATCAATCCAGGCTGGATGCCAGGCTTAGGCGGGCAGTTTGCATGGCACCCGCAGTTTGCGCCGCAGATGCCACAGCAGCACGACATACTCCAGGGCAGTGCCGGCCAAGGCTTGGGGCGAGGGGATTCAAACTTACCACAAGGATTGATATTGCCGGAAGGCTGGACCATCATGCCGCTGCGTAGGGCTGACGGTGGCAATGGTGCGTCTGTCGTTGCTCAGAACCAGCCGCCGATCCAAACTACCACAAACGGACCTATTGCGCACGAGAGTGGAGCCGCGGGATCGTCGTTGACACAGAATAGCACGGCACCGGCTTCTAATCAACCAAACGCCGTTCCAAGGAACGACAACGGCTCGCCCCTGTTCGTCCCGACTGCCACCACGTTGAATAGTAACGACGCAATTGCACAATCTCCGGCACAGCAGCCATCGACTCAACAAGCTCCATTGTCCTCAGCGAACAAGACGCCATGGAACGCGCAAGACGGCTGGAGCTTTGTAGGACAGAACGGTGAGTCTGCTACTAACGGCAATTCAACCGTGCCAGACCAAGGCTCTGCGAACGGTGAGCCGAGCGCTGAAGAGCAGCCCCTGGAATACACAGGGAAAGGCAAGGGCAAAGCAGTCGAGATCGAAGACGCGCCTGATCGCGAATCCTGAGACCTCCACACTGTATGACATAATCCGTTGGTTATTGGCATAGCGCATGGCGTTTGGGCGGAGTAGCTTGGCTGAGAAAGAGTCAGGCCACTGCCACGGCCGCTCGTGCTCACTGGCACGACACAGCAGTTGACGCTATCCCTGTACGACCAATGCGGACAGCTCCGTAGAATTGTACCAGTAAGATGATTACGAAGTGTGTCCACCTGTATCGGATGCCATTCTCTACCCAGCCAAGCCTTGCTAAGGCAGCATAAAGCGGGGACGAGCATCTTCCGAGTGTTTGACGGACCCAAGAATCCCATACACCTCGGCGACACATTACGCCGTATCCTGCTTAACGCCATCTTCTCCGCACATACGAATGCGAGTCACCTACCGAGGTGTATTAGAAAGCTTGTTTAACGGCAGCAATATGCATGAGACTGTCCGGTTCAAAGCGAGCGCGAGCGCCGCTAAGCCTACCATCACACGCCGGCCATCCAACGGGAGACTTTTCGCTTGGGAAAGCGTGCGGGCTACTGCTCCCTGCATGACACCGCGGTTTGGAAGATGACGGGTTGCCTGACAGCTTGAGGTCTTAACGAGCGGAGGGACTATTCTTGTCACGTTCTTACAAAGGAACCTTGGACGCCTTAGTCAGGACGCCTTGCTCCATCCCAGCTCCATTTCAAACGGCCAGAGTCTTTCTCCATTACTTGCTCGCGTCCAGGGTCATCGTCCTGCGAATCGACAAATAGGCCTCGAAAATGGATTATAGACTGCTGCTGCCGTTGTTCGGTCTCGTCATCTCAGCTCTGTACTACGTGGCGAACAATCTCAATCAGAAGAGGAAGTTCGCTGCCAAAGAGAAAGAACTTCAATGTCGCGACGCGCCTATGTATCCTGGAGGTGGATTCCTCGGCATCAACCATGTGAAGGAAATGATGGCCGCCGACCAGAACCAGGCTTTTCCTGACTTGTTGATCCGACGACAGGAGAAGATGAATGCAGTCACAGGCCGGATTTGCGACACCTTCCGGACGGATGCTTTAGGCCAGACGATGTACTTCACGTCGGACCCGAAGAACATACAGGCAATGCTCGCAACCCAATTCGAGGACTATGACCTTGGACCGGCGCGACGAGGCAATATGATCCGCACGTTGGGCGACGGGATCTTCGTCCAAGATTTCAAGCAGTGGGAGCACAGTAGGCAAATGCTACGACCAAACTTCATCAGAGAGCAGGTGTCAGATCTTGATCTCGAGGAGCGGCACGTGGAAAATCTCCTGAAGGTTCTGCCCGTTGGACCGGACGGCTGGACGGCGGAAACCAACATTCAGCCGCTCTTCTTTCGTTTGACAATCGACTCGGCATCCGAGTTCTTGTTCGGCGAGTCTGTTGATAGCCAAATTGCCGAATCGGGTGCCAACAGCGAGAAAGACGAACTTGCTTTCAGTAAAAACTTCGACAGTGCGCAACTACATATGGCAAAGAGCTTCCGATTTGGCGATCTGTATTGGCTCCACAATCCCAAGGAGTTCAAGCAGAATAACAAGGTTGTCAACGAGTTCGTTGCGTAGGTCTATGATTAGCCTTGGGAGTGCGGCCGAAGGAAGGCTGATGAACGTACAGACACTACGTCAACCTCGCCCTACAGCACAGTACGCAAGAGAAGAAAGCCGAAGAACGTGCGCGTGACAGGTACGCACAATTAGGCCTATGAAACTGGTTCTTGGTCTGAAGTGACACTGACGTTTACGGCCCTTATCCTCAGATACGTCTTCCTCGAGGCTCTTACAGAACAGACACGCGATCCCGAAGAGATCCGTGCACAGCTTCTCAACATTTTGCTCGCTGGACGTGACACTACGGCATCCCTTCTCTCTTGGCTGTTCAAACTGCTACTGCGAAACCCACAGGTCTTTCAAAAGCTTCGCTCGACCGTGATCGACACTTTCGGCACCTACGAAGACCCGCAAGACATCACCTTCGCAACCCTCAAAGGCTGCCAATACTTGCAACACACCATCAACGAGGCGCTTCGTCTGTGGCCTGTCGTTCCGGGAAACGCTCGGAGAAGCAACAAAGTGACGACACTTCCCCGTGGAGGTGGGCCAGACGGCAAGAGTCCGATTCTGATCCCACCGCAAACGGACGTGAATTACTCAGTCCATGTGACTCATCGTCGGAAAGACATCTGGGGCCCCGACGCCGACGAGTTCAAGCCGGAACGGTTCGCTGGTAGGAAGCCGGGTTGGGAGTTTCTTCCGTTCAATGGTGGACCGAGAATCTGTATTGGCCAGCAGTTTGCACTCACTGAGGCAAGCTACGTGACTGTTCGTTTGCTGCAACGCTTCGATGCCATTCAGCCCGGACAACATGAGCTTGAGGACGAACCGATGAGGAGCGCCCTGACGCTCACAAATAGTCCGGCGAGGGGTGTTATGCTTAGATTGCACGAAGCCAAGTCGTAAGGTGCGTGACGATGGGCGTCTGTTTTCAAGTGGGAGCTAGTAATTGGACGTTGTATGATCGCCACTCTGATCTTATGAGGGAGTACCAACTTGGATTGTTGTCCGCTGTTAAGGAATGATTACTTCCACAGCTGTGAGTGTGTATAGTCTTGCATTGGAGCATATCATTGCCATGGATATTCCCGTTCGCGTTGTGGGAAGTGCATTCGTCCAACAAGCGCATCAGCGCACGGCCAGTCTTGTCACCAGCCACGCCCAGCCACAGCTCCGGTCAATACATTCTACGTCAGGCATTGCGCATTCACTAGCCATTACTGTTGCTTTCCCTTCACCTTGTCAAACCACTTGTCCTGAGCAGCAGAGGCAGTATTATCATCATCATCTCGATCTCAAAGCAACAGATTCAGGTGGTCGTGCATCGAAGCAGATTGTCCCGCCACGAAGCTTCAACCCCAGATCGCCTCGGATCTGCACCTCGACTCCGCTGCAGTTTTGCGTGTCACGCTGCCATTGACTGCGTGGAACGAGACCACCGCCTGCTGGCTGGGCTTCGGTGCAGCATCCCACGCCACTCCGTAGCTAGGCGAGACCTCTCCCAACACCACACAACGCAGTGAAAGGGCACGCGCCGCCAGAGGGGTCCCGGCGCAACCGTCCAGCGACCATCATTGCAAGCAATCAACGACAAGGCGAGCAACACCGAGCGAACGAAGCGAGAGATCAGGCTATTAGCGAAGTGTTCGCGCCTGCTCTAGGTCGTCGCGTCGTATACAGCTACCCTGGCGAAAACCGACTACACCTCTTCTTCTTCCTCCTCCTCCGACGACATGGCTCGCTCCTCCGTCTCCCGGACGCGCGTTGTCGTCCGCCAGTCCTATTATTGGCCCGACCAACAGCTCAACTTCTGGATCATTATCATGCTCGCCACCGGAGGCGTGCTCATAGGCGTCTTCGCGGCCTTCCTACAAGACCAGCAGAGGTTTGGGCTGAAGATACCATGGTATGCATTGCCAGCCGCAAGTGGGTGGTTGATGGCGGTCCGCTGACTGTATGATACGCAGGTTATTCCCATACGGCATAACAGTCGGGTCACTGACCGTGATCTTCGTTTGGATCATGCTAGCGCTGATATACCAACGCCGCCTTCTACCCGGCGTTGTTATTATCGGTTCCTTCATCCTGCTCGTTCTATACATTACCGGTGTAATAGAAACCGCCATCCAGCTCTTCCGGAATACGAACGGCATCAACGGTCAATGTAACAGTCTGAATGCGAACGCTCCCGGGACTGGATTAAGCCTGAATATGCTGGCTTGGTTGGAGCTGAACAGCATATGCCAGAGCTGGCAAGCAGCTTTCGCCTTCTGGATAGTGGGCGCAGTGTTTCTGCTATGGATGATCGTGTTGGGCAGTCAAGTGGCAAGGAATGGCGGCGGCGATTGAGGGTGAGCAGAAGGTTGAACATTGCATATGATGGCATATTGATGATGAGACGGCAGACATGGCAAGGGATAGCGGCATTGCATGGCGTTCTTGAAGTCGCGCGACATCATTGTGAACTCTACATTCCTTCTTTGTACACAGCGTCGAGTCCTCCATAGACGCAGTTCGACGTCTGCTTCTTCTACGGCCACTTTGCAACTGAGTCGGCCGGAAGCATACTAGTCACATCAGGTTAAGACTTGCCTTTCGCTCACCCTGTCCTGCCACGCACACCAAAGGACAAAAGACCTTTACCTGCTTGGTGCTCATCTCGGAAGCCCATACTGTCCGAACGTTACGATGCGATACCGCTTCAGCTCTCTCAAGCACAACCCACCCGCCATTACCCAAAGCTTTTCAGCTCGCCGGCCTTGCGATCCACCCTGCCTGGCTCCAGCACAGCAACTTCAAGACATGCGATAGCACGAGGCAGCGCCTCAATCTCACGTTCATCATACCCCAAGGATTCCAGATCGGCCGCAATGAGCGCTCCTTCACCCTTCACAATCTGGAGTTCGGTATACTCGACTACCGATCCGAAACGCTCGCGCATCTCCTTCGCGAGCTCACGCAGCGACTTGTTCTGCGCGCCGCTCTGGCGACCTAGGATGATGCCTGCATAAACTTCCTGTTCGGAAAGCACCGAGTGCGCGACTGGAGAGTAGTGGTACATCGCGTCGAGCAAGCTCTCCTCGTAGCTTGCCCGGATGTCGCGGGCGAGCTTAGTTTGGTGGCTGTAGCCGATCCCATACTGGTTGGCCCACTTTTTCATGTAGTGCAGTAGTGAATTGAGTGGCGAAGACGAGCGCTCATGGGTGGCGGTAACAGCGCGTTGCTGGGCTTGCAAGTCTGCAATGAAACTGCGCTCGTCGATAGCGCGGTAAAGTTGTCCGAGCGCCTTCTGGCTTTTGTAGTAACGGTACGGGCGCTATTCAGCATCCAGACCCTCGAACGCCTCGTCGTCTACGCTTAGCTCATCTTCGAGGTCAAGGTACCCTTGCTCCGAAAGGAGTATACGTGGAGACGGTGCCATGAAGTCCGGTCGACAGCGATCATACTTGGGACATTGCTTCATGTCCACCGGTATGCCAGTTTTACTATAGTCGACCGCCGTACTAGCCATAGCTGCCAACTTGATACAATCGGGATCCCATGTACCCATCGGCCTCTGGTCGGCTAGCTGCATGTGGATGGAGCAGATCATCCCGAGCTGGTTTGTCTCCATGAAGGTGACGAAGAAGTCACTCATATCCTTGCCGGTGACGATGCGGTCGAGCTCCACAGGCTTGACTCTTGGATAATCTGCTGGCGTTGCGAACTTGGTTGGCCATAGGGTGCTATCCCAGATAATGTTATACAGATCGCCATCTAAGTCGCCACCACTCAGTTGACTAGGCAGGTCTCGGGCACCGTGCTGACTGAAGACAACGACGTTCGAAAGGTGCTTTAGCGGAGAGTCGGCCGGGACGGACACCGCATTGACCTGCTGGATGTCTCCAGGATGCATGGCCGGGCTACGCGTGATAAGAATGTTGTTGCGGATGAGCTCTTTGCGACCGCCATCGGGTGCCTTCTCCGTAACGACGTAGACTTCACCTTCTTGCAGATACCCTGTTTCGTCCATGATGCCGTACAGAGTAACGCCATCATTGATATGTATACGTCCGCGGTATTTGATATCACGCAGCTGGTGGACGACAGCCATCTGCGCGATGCCGGTCAGGAAGCGATCATGTCGGAAGTCCAGACGTGCTTGATCTAGCATATCGATCAGATCTGGCAGCTTAGCGGCTTTTGTCAGTTCCATGGTCTCGAGAAGGCTGGCGGTGTTTACGGCAGACTCCAACATGCACTGTAGCTTCTGCACCTCGCGGGTTTGCAAGGACAAAACTGCTTCCGTGGGTGTGCCCAAGTCCTCCAAGATCTGGACGGATTGCCGGTTGAGCACCATGGGAAGAGGTCGAAAGCCTGCGCCGCAGATTTCCAGCACCCTCGACTGGGACCCTACGAACTTCTCCATGTTGGTTCTCAGTAGTAACTGCCGTCCCTGAAGCCGTGAGTCAAGCGATACCATACCTTTGGCGCCCTGGAATCGAATCTGCAGCACTGTGGGTTTGAGAGCATTCCTCATACCGTAGACTTGCCAAACGTCCTCGAAAAGCTGTCGCGAGAGTGTCCCCACGCCATCAGAGAAGTCACGGCCATTGCGCTCGACGACCGGCAGCTTGCCGACTTCCCAGTCCTTAACCGAGACGGAAGCGGTCGTGTCCGTGAAGCACTGGCCTATCCTTGCTGCACACTTCGCGGGAGTGCGAATGTGGGTGAAATCCCCGAGCTCTTTGATAACCTGCGGGCTGAGCACAAGTGTTCGCGTCCTGCTGTCGATCAACGGCGCCATGAACCAGCAAGATCGGTTGCGCAGACTCGAATGCGAAAACCCGAGGAAGGAAAAGCCTTGTCCGGCAATGTTGATGGTGCCGTCAAGCACGCCCTTGTACCGGATGTGGTATATGGCTTCTTGCGAGGCGCGCGGATCATGATGCATTGATGAGCCGTCTTCATCTTGAAAGACCACTCTTATGAAGCAGTCCGTCTGAGTGGCATACTTGCGTAAGACACGGTTCGTAGGTTCCGCTGATGGGCCTTCGAGGTACGTCCCAGCCGGCGTGATCACAACCTTATGGATAAGATTGATGTGCATGTAAGCCTTTGCTAGCTCGTATAGGTTTCCTGGTTCGTACTGGTCGTATGCATCCGCGTACTTACGAATCAACGTTCGCATTGCACGGATGGAGCACTCTCTAGCTTCGACTTCTGGCCCTGGTCGCGGCACCTGCCTGTAGAAGCAACGTAGGGCTCCGACGGTGGCGTCTATTCCACACTGATCGATTACCTCAGCGACGGCTGGCAAGAGAAGCAATAGCTTGGATGGAGATATGCATCCGTTTCTAGCGAGCCGATCAAGCTGATAGCGGACGCTGAATGGTTTGCCTCCGAAGCGTCTTGCATCTGTCAGCTCGTGATCGAGCCGAAGCTTGCCCCGCTGCCATGCCACAACCGGCGCCATGACTGTGGTGGACATGGAGATCGTCGACACCATTTTGACAGAACTGTCGAGTAATCTCTTGACCATGCCGAGAGCGGTGCGGTCTGTGAGGGTCACCCGATAAACAAAACACACCCCTGCAACTCTGCCGTGCGCCTCATCTATACTCGTAAGGCGAATCTTCTTGACATCTTTCGATTGAGCGGCCGCTGGGCCGAGGACAAGGGCCGTCATCTTCGTAGAAAGAACACCCTGATCATTGATTTGGTAGAACTTTGGTAATATCCCGTCCAGCGCAATGGTAATTGTTGGATCATCGAAATCTCCGAGGACGATATGCTCACAATCGTAGTACTTGGCGTCTACCCGGATCTGGTCGGCATTCGGATTATCTAGTAGTATCCTGGCTTCCCGCTGACCGAACATGATAGTACCTTTGGAAGCGGTCTCGCAATGGTTCACAAAGGTAAGATTTTCACCGTGGTAGTCCCAGGTACCGCAGCGGACATCCTTGATCGCAAAGGACGTGACCCGCTTAGTCTTTACAACTTCAGACGACTTGACAGCTCGGTCCTCTTTCGTTTCAGCTTCGTACCTCAGAGATCTGATTGTGATGTCTGAAGGCTGGTTTCGGCTGATTGAGAAGTGCAGACGTTGTCCGTTTAGTTGGAGCGGTCGCAGCGAACTGGCGTACCTCGCAGCACCTTGCGGCACGCCGAACTGCTTGAGGAAGTCGAGACAAGCGCCTACCTCAAGGACGGTAATGGTAGCTAGCGGCTTGCCACGCATCTTATCGACATGGTACGAGCTGACGCCGCACTGTCTCAGATGACCATCAATGAGCTTCTCCAACTGCTTGTTAGTAGCGTGTATTGGCACGTTGCGCACGAAGACCTCCATTGTTAGTGGGACAACTGTTCGCACAGGTCTTGCAGTGTGACACGATTAGATGCTCCGCCGAGTGCGAGATATCTTGACGCTCGTTGAAGTTGGGCTAAATGTTTGACAATCAAGGTTTGAGACGTGCTGTTGGCGGGTTCTCCTGGCGAGATGTGAATGTGAAGTCTGATACATAAGGTACCGCTTGATCGCTTGCATGCGGGTATGAAAGGTTGGCTAGCGCTGTGTAACCATCCCAAACGCGTCATGCAGCTGAGCTTCCTCACATGTTTCGACAACGGGATGGTGGTACGGAGTATGTTTTCTCACCTGGGAGAAGACTAATCTGAGGGATCATCTCCGAAAACAGTGTGTATGCGCTTACTATGAGATTGGTTGAGCAGAGCTGAAGTGGCAAGCGTGTCTCTAAGGCGTTGGTATCTCATCAACCTGTTATGTGCGTCACAGGGTTCTTCTGAGGATGGACCTGTGGCGTGAGTAGATGAGGCTTCGAAGGCGTACAGATTCCCGTACCATAGCTTGTACTCCGCTCCCTTAGACAACGGGGCGAGCTCATCCGCGTCCTACGAGTAAGTGAAGCACAGCCAATGCGTTGTGAGCATGCTGGCAAATCAGGGATCGTGGAGCATTGGCACAGTCCCAGGCTCTCACGGAGCGTAGTGTTAGAGTCACATCTTTGCCTGCTCTAGGGCAGTATTGAGAACACATGCCACGTCCACACGGATGCGATCAAGGGCGGTGCAGCCTATGCCGAGTCAGCACCCCGTCTTCAAGCAATCGAGACCGAATAGCTGTAGAAAGCTACCTGGAAGATACGTGTATGCTCGGGACAGGAACTTCGCATATGGCGCTAGCCGGATTCGGGGAGCACTTCAATCATGCCAACGGCGACATTGACATTTTTGTTATGCTGGTCAATAAGGGACCACTGGATAATAAATTGACGTGCAGCGTGCTAGAATGGACATCCGCGTGCAGGATTACCTGGATGATAAGCTGCAGTCATTGGCAGACCTTGAGACTGTGGACACGTTACTTGAAACGGTCAAGCACCAGCAAGAGCTTTTGAAACGACAGTTACTCGACGCAAGGCGGGATCAAGAGATTGCCGTGCAGGAGGCAGATGAGCATGTCCGTAATGTTCGCCAATTGGGATCTCAGTTTCAGAAGGAGCAGGCTGGTGTCGACCACCGCTTGCTCATGGTAACGCAATCTGAGACCAGTGATGAAGCGGTGCGGAAGTTCGAAGCTAGTTGGGAGAAGCTGCGCAAGCTAGACATTGCAGCCGGATATGTTGAGCTGCTGAAGGAGGTTGATGTGCTCGAGAAGGAATCCACCGACCAACTTGGGAAATCGGATGAGGCTGCCCTGGCACCATATCGCCGGCTTCAGCACCTTGTCACAAGTCTGCAGCCTTTGCATGAAGCGGCAGAGAATGCGGCTCCGCAGCTTCTACACCACATAGAGCAACGTGTAAGAGTCCTGCGCGGTACTATCCGGCAGTCTTTCGCGCAGGATCTCGAAAGGACGCTGAAGAAGATGGGTTGGCCCAAGGCTACGGAGACCGTGCCCATTGCACTTGAGAATGAGTGGGCGAAGAACGTTGGTAGGTTGCTCGACCTGCAGAAACCTGAGCTGGAAGATCTCGAACACGGTATTAGTGAACGAACTTCTAGCTACGAGCCACCGAGTCTGCTGCCGTTGGGAGTGCTGGTACAACCGCTCGAACAGCGCTTCCAGTACCATTTCTCCGGTAATAAGCCTACCAATCGCCTCGACAAACCCGAGTACTTTCTGCAGCACGCGCTTGACCTTCTATCAACCTACTCGGACTTCTTGCAGAACGCACTGCAGCCCCTGCTTTTGCAGCACTTTCGCGGCTCAGGCCTCGCTTTCACCCCAGCCTACATTGACGCTACCTCCGCGTTCATCACCGCACTCCTGCCTTTGCTCCGGCAGAAGATCTTCTCTCGTGCCGAGCAAATACCGGCTGACCAGCCGCAGTTACTAAGCCATCTTGTGCATGAGGTTATTAACTTCGACACGACACTTCAAAACACCTACGCATATGCACCAGTGTCGCCTGCCACTCCGTGGCGTGGCTTGGCATACTATCTCCTTGACACTCGTCACTACTTCGAGAAATGGCTTGGCGCTGAGCGCGACTTTGCACTTTCGCGCTACCACTCTATCATTGAAGCTCCGGAAGCAGGTGAGCTGGACTACGACTCTGTTGCCTCGGACACAACCAAGCCCACCAAAATGGCGATTAACGTTAATGACTTGCTTGAGACGATCACGGACCGCTATCGTCACTTGTCAAGCTTCAGCCAGAAGATCCGCTTCCTCATCGAGGTCCAGATCGCCATCTTTGATATGTTCCACGATCTTCTATATTCCAGCCTCGAGGCGTATCTGTCCATGAACACTTTCGTTGGGCGCACAGCACACAGCATGAGCCGGGACGAGCAGGCTGAGCTCCAAGGCGTTAAGGGACTAGACCGGCTGTGTCGCGTCTTCGGGTCGGCAGAATATTTAGAGCGTGCCATGGGTGACTGGAGCGACGATGTCTTCTTCCTGGAGCTATGGGATGAACTGCAGGATCGTGCTATAACCCGTGATCGCATCAGCAATAAGCTAGGCGGTCTGCAAGAGATCCAGCAGAAGACCAGTCGCGCTGTTGGTACCGATGAAGACGACGGACCAGGCAGTGAAACGCAAGGGGCGCTTTTCGATGAGACAGCAGCCTCGTACCATAGCCTCCGCGTTCGAAGCGAGAATATAATTGTCGACTGCTTGACGCACAACGTTCGCGAAGCACTCCGGCCCTACACACGTATCACCACCTGGGCATCGCTGTCTTCGAGCACGGCGGGAGGCTCCATCTCCGCCGAACTCGACCCTGCTTTGCGCCTTCTGACAGACTATCTCAGCTTCTTGAGCAAAGCGGTGGGCAAAGTGCCGTTACGCCGCATCGTTCGGCATCTCTGCCACAGCATCCAGTCCCTTTTCTGGGACAACGTGCTCGTGGTCCGAAGCCATTCCTTTTCCACTGCCGGCGCTGCACAACTTGCCACTGATGTTCATGCACTGTGTGCATACATCGATCGCTACGTCGGTGCGGGACAAGCGCAGGCAGGTATGCGGAAGTTGCTGGAAGGTGTCACGTTGCTCAGTCTGCCGGTGAAGGGCGAGATTCAACGCGTGCAACCTGGCCGAGCCGGTGAGGAAGCAGATGATGGTGCGGCGTGGGACGATGATGCGCAGGAAGAGGTACATGCTGAGGAGAAGAAGGCGATGGGCTTATTTGAGGTGGAGAGGCTAGTGTATATGGATAATACGAACGCGAGGTACGCGCTCGAGCAATTGGCCTTGGAAGCGTTGAGTGAAAGCGATGCGAGGGCTGTGTTAGAGAAGAGGGTCGAGCTGGGTAGCTGAGACGTGTACCGAATGGTGCGGTGATGGCCGTTGTATCAATCGATCAATATGTTTGCCAATCTGATCACGCTTATACCATTGTCGTTCGCTATCTCCAGGTAGTCATATTTCGCACAGCTTCTTTTGCTTCATGTCTAGTTTGGAGATCCTCCAACTCCGGTGGCGGCAGCTCGGCTTCTGTCGCATGAGCGTGGCTTCTCCACGCGTTGCTGACTAACGATAGCCGCGCTTTGTTGACGTTTGTAAACATTAAGATACTGAATGCGACAACGACAATACTGCTCGGCCAAGCGGCACGTCTAGGTGCTGCGTTAACGCAATGTCTTCATCACCCGTGCGACCAGTACGGAGGATTGCATCGAGACGGAGAGTAGTCGTAGACGAGGAGAACGGCTCAGATGTCGAAAACACTGTCGCAAGCCGAGCACCGGAAAATGATGAGGAAGACTTCACAACTGCACCTGCGCGAGGCGCTCGCGCATCGCCAAGGCGAAAGACGACAGGAAATGCAGTATCCGCGATATCACCAGGAAAACGAGGCAATGGCGTACGGCGGGCAAGGACTGGCGAGTCAGTCGATATGTCTGCTTTGGAACCTTCGCAGATGTTCAGTCCGCCACCCGAGAGCGTTGCGGACGATCAGCCTCCATCGCCAACGAGACCATCACCGCCTAAGAGGCGGAGCGTGAAGGATGCGAGAGCGGCGCGAAAGAGTCGAGCTCCGCGAGTTTCGATAGCACCGGACCCGCCGCAGTTGGAGCATTCACACCTGCCGACTCCCGAGGCTACTGCTTCGCCTGAGCCTGTGCCGACACCTGCATCGCGACAAGGCACGCCTTTGACGGACATTACAGAGACGGCAATCAATGAGCGCACACCTACGCTTGCGCAGCGGCATGTTACGCTCCAGGAGGATGCGGCAGTAGAAGGCGCAGAGAACGCACGCACTCCGAAAGCCGAAGTCAACATGGAGGTGAAGCGGATCGATCCATCCGTCAGCAAGCTCGAAAGGCCCCTGGATATCGTAGTGCGCAAGAAAGCACTTGGCATTCCTTTATCGCAAGAGCCTGCCGTACGGAATGCGCGCATGACCATCACCTACTTGATTCTTACGAACTTCAAGTCCTACGCCGGCCGGCAAGTAGTAGGGCCTTTTCATGCATCCTTCTCGTCAGTCGTCGGTCCCAATGGTTCTGGCAAATCCAACGTCATTGACAGCCTATTATTCGTCTTCGGCTTCCGAGCAAGCAAGATGCGCCAGGGCAAGATCTCCGCACTCATCCATAACAGCGCTCGATATCCGGACTTGGACTTCTGCGAGGTAGAAGTGCACTTCCAGGAGGTCATGGATTTGCCGGGTGGCGGTGCAGAAGTGGTACCTGAGTCGAAGCTGGTGATCTCGAGACGGGCATTCAAGAACAACAGCAGCAATTACTACATCGATGGTAGGAAGTCCGACTTCACCACCGTCACAACCCTACTGAAAGACCGAGGCGTCGATCTGGACCATAAGCGCTTCCTTATACTGCAGGGTGAAGTCGAGAGCATAGCCCAGATGAAGCCCAAAGCGCAGGGTGAGCATGACGATGGGCTATTAGAGTATCTAGAGGACATCATAGGAACTTCGCGGTTCAAGACCCCGATCGAAGAGGCAGCAGCCAAGACCGAAGAACTCAATGAAGTCTGTCTGGAGAAACAGAGCCGTGTCCGGCATGTGGAGAAGGAGAAGAACGGGCTCGAGGAGAAGAAGAACAAGGCAGTGTCATTCATTAACGACGAGAACGATCTCGCCTTGAAGCAATCCGCGCTGTATCAGATCTATATCGCCGAATGCGGAGACAATATCGCTGTCACAGAGGAGGCGGTGGGACAGACCCAGGCGGAGCTTGATCAAGAACTGCAGCGGCATGGTGGTAGCGAGGATGAGGTCAACAAGCTTGAGCGGCGGTACAGAGCTGGTGCGAAGGAGTATGAGAAGCTCGAGGGCAGCGCGCAAGCCATCCTTACGGAGGTCGCGAAGCTGGACAAAGAAACGGTGAAATTCGTGGAGAAGGAGAAGTTTTTGGCTAATAAGCGTAAGAAGCTCGAGAAGAGTGTTGAGGGCGCGAAGATGGGCGTGCATGAGGCCGAGACGCTGGGTAAGCAAGCCGAAGAAGATCTCACGCGACTAACTGGCGAAATCGACACGTTGGAGGCGGAAATGGCAGACGAGGAGCAAGAGCTCGCACGGGTTCGTGAGAGCTTGAAGGGCAAGACGCAAGGTCTGAGTGATCAGATCGCAGCCAAGCAGCGACAACTGGAACCCTGGAATGCAAAGATCAGTGAGAAGCAATCTGCCATGGCCGTGGCGCAGAGTGAACTCGACATCTTGCGGGAGCGCGAGAATGCGGGTGCGACTGCTGTTGCTGAGTTAGAGGCTAAGATTGCGACCCTAACCGAGCAGAGAGATGCGAAGGCTGCGCAGTTGCAAGAGTGCGCACAAGGACGCAGAAGGAGCGAGAGGGAGATAGCTACCGTGCGGAAGCAAGTTGAACAGCTTGCTGCACGAGAAGTAAGCCTCAAGGTTCAGCTCACAAGTTTCAGAGCGAAAGCGGATGAGGCTAGGGCGAGCTTGTCGGCAACACAGAGTCAAGGCGTCGTACTGACCGGTCTCACTCGTCTCCGTGACTCTGGACGTATCGATGGCTTCCATGGTCGGCTAGGCAATCTTGCCAGCATTGACGCCAGATACGATGTGGCGATATCGACCGCTTGCCCTTCGCTCGACAACTTGGTCGTCGACTCTGTGGAAGTCGGGCAGCAGTGTATCGAGTATCTCCGGAAGAACAACCTAGGCAGAGCCAACTTCATCTGTCTTGATCGGCTCCCACAACGCGATCTTGGTGGGGTGGGGACGCCGGAGAATGTGCCTAGACTCTTCGATCTTGTGAAGAGCAAGGAGGAGCGCTTCAAGCCGGCGTTCTACAGTGTGTTGCAGAACACGCTCGTAGCGAAGGATCTTGAGCAAGCGAACCGCATCGCTTACGGCGCCAAGAGATGGCGCGTTGTTACGCTGGAGGGACAGTTGATCGACAAGTCCGGAACAATGAGCGGTGGCGGCACGAGGGTGGCAAAGGGTGGCATGAGTTCCAAGTTGACCGCTGATGTAACAAAGGAGCAGGTAGCCAAAATGGAGGTGGACCGTGATGCTCTAGAGAATGAGTATGCGGAGCTGCTCGAGCAGACGGGCGAGCTTGAGGCGCAAATCAAGGAGGGCGAGGCCAGCGTGCCGGAGCTCGAAACCACAGCGCAAAAGTTTGCACTTGAGGTGGAGAGCCTTGAGCGCAACATCGCTGACGCCGAGAAAAGAGTGAAGGAGCTGAGTGCTGATGCGAAGTCTTCGAAGACCGACACCGCGAAAGTCGCTGGCTTGGAGAAAACGATCGCGAAGTTGGAGGCGGAGATTAAGAAGTTGCAAGCCGAGACTGCCGGCATTGAGGAGGAGATCAGGGCGCTTCAGGACCAGATCATGGAAGTTGGCGGCGTCAAGCTGAGATTGCAGAAGGTGAAGGTGGACGGCCTGAAGGAGCAAATCGAGTCGCTCAATGAGCGTTTGAGCGAAAGCGAGACCTCCAAGGCGAAAGCTGAGAAGCAAAGAACGAAGTATGAGCATGCGCTCGTAGAGGCCGAGAAGGACATGGAGAAGGTGGCTGTTGATGTTGGAAAGGTGGAGGCGGAGCGGAAGACGCAAGGCGCAGAGACTGCGGGCTGCAGACGCAAAGCTGAAGAAGCAGAGCAGGAGTTGGAAGAGAAGAGAGAAGCTTTGGCGGAGGTCAAAGCTGAACTCGATCGATTAGTCGCGGAGCTCAACGAGACCAGAGGCGTAGAGGTTGAGATGCGCAATCGGCTTGAAGAGAACAAGAAGATTCTGCTCGACAACCAGAAGCGCTTAGCTTACTGGCAGGAGAAGCTGGGCAAACTTACTATTCTCAACATCACCGACGACAACGGCAGCTCGGAAGAGGAGAAGACGGCCGAGCCGGTGCCTGAGCTAAGCCGTGACGAGCTGGCAGACCTTAACAAGAACGACCTGAAAGCGGCCATTGCAGCGCTCGAAGAGCGCCTCGCGAAGTCCGCTTCGGTCGACCTTGCAGTCCTGACGGAGTATCGTCGTCGCTGCCATGAGCACGCCACGCGCCTGTCCGATTTGCAGTCGGCGCTCACAGCCCGGGACGCGGCCAAACGGCATGCCGACGACCTCCGGCGCGCTCGCCTCGAAGGCTTCATGGAGGGCTTCAGTATCATCTCGCTTCGGCTGAAGGAGATGTACCAGATGATCACCATGGGCGGCAACGCCGAGCTCGAGCTTGTGGACAGCTTGGATCCGTTCGCAGAAGGCATCTTGTTCAGTGTAATGCCGCCGAAGAAGAGTTGGAAGAACATTGGCAATTTGTCCGGAGGAGAGAAGACGTTGAGCTCTTTGGCGCTGGTGTTTGCGCTACACCACTATCGGCCTACGCCGCTTTATGTGATGGATGAGATTGATGCGGCGTTGGATTTCCGGAATGTAAGTCGCTCGTCTTCGGGCTTGAGAGGACCTGCGCATCGTGGGTCATCCTTGCTGACTGTTGTTGCAGGTCTCGATTGTTGCGGCCTACATTAAGGAGCGCACGAAGAATGCGCAGTTCATTGTCATTTCGCTGCGCAACAACATGTTCGAGCTGGCGTCGCGGTTGGTTGGAGTTTACAAAGTCAACCATATGGTAAGTAGCCTTGCTCGGCTAAACCCCTCTCTCATGACGCTGTCGCTGACGCTCTGAACAGACGAAGAGCGTTACTGTCGAAAACCGGGATTATGTTGTGCCTATAGCACGGTAATGACGAAGGGGGACGGCTCAGCCGCCATTGGCGTTGCGGCGCGCTTGCACTCGAAGGCCTGAGTGTAATACATGCCGGTCGTTCCTGCCGCAATGTACAGGGTACATGTCGTACCACTCGAACTCGCTCACCCCAGCAGTCCCAGTTCACATCTCGCAAACAATGGTCGTAACGCCCAAACCCGCTGATGCCGCTAATAAGTGTTCATCCAACGCACGTTACGCCCCTTCACTGCCGAACTCTTTCGTCCACTCCTCGTTGCGTTTGAGGTCTTCTCCGCTGACGGTTGGCCGCGAGCCTTTGATGGCTTTAATAAAGTCTTTAACTTGCAAAGGCGGCTCCAGTAGCTGATCAGTCTCGATTTGCGTCCAGCTCATCTCTATCGCGCCTTCATCGCCAGGCGAGCAAGGCGTCAGCTTCTCCTGGCCGTCAACCGTAACCTACATGACGCAGTCAGTGTTTGTAGCCCGTGGGTCACGTGCAAGCTTTCGGGGAGAGGGTACCTTCTTGTAGTGTGTTGCAGTCTGGATCTTCCGTACCGGCTGCATGAGCGCGTCTTGCACTGCTATACTGATGTCACTTCCCGAATAACCTTCGGAAAGCTTGGCAAGTGTCCGAAAATCGTCGGGTTTCAGCTCGCAAGGCGTAGAGCCAACCGCGAGTTCGAACATCCGCATCCGTGCCGGCTGGTCGGGTAGCGAGATGTGTACTCTCCGTTGGAAGCGCCGTCGAATAGCTGCGTCAAGCTGCCACGGAATGTTTGTTGCACCCAGAATAAGCACGCCTCTGCTGTCTCTGCCCACACCGTCCATCTGCACGAGCAACTCAGTCTTGATACGTCGCGAAGCTTCCGACTCGCCTTCGCCTCTCGGTCCACACAGAGCGTCAATCTCATCGATGAAGATGATGCTCGGCTTGTTCTCTCGTGCCATGTTGAACAGTTGCTTCACCAGCCGCTCACTCTCACCCATCCACTTGCTCACCAAATCGGAACTGCTGACAGAGAAGAACGTGCTGTTTGCTTCCGTTGCTACTGCCTTTGCAAGATAACTCTTACCGGTACCAGGCGGGCCATACAGCAGAATGCCCTTCCACGGCTGTCGCTTCCCGGTGAACAGATGCGGAAACTTGATCGGCAGAATCACGGCTTCTTTGAGAGCCTCCTTCGCGCCCTCCAAGCCCGCCACATCCTCCCACTTGATGTTGGGCTTATCCGTCAATATTGCTCCCGCAAGCGCACCCCTCAACTTCTTGCTCTCTGGGTCTTCGTCTCCGTCTTCCCCTTCTCCAGCCTTCCCACTACCGTTCGATACTTTTCCATTACTGCCCATCGCCGCCGGTTTTCGCTTATTGCTCTTATCCTGTTCTGCCAAGTGGTTCTTGAGCTTCTCGGCACGCTCCATGTACTCTGCCGCTTTCGTCCGAATCATGTCTTTCGACTTCTGGTTCTTCTCCCATTTGAGCGCGAGCATGAACAGTTCGAGCGCCGAATAGTACTGCTGATAGGCTTTCTCATACTCGCCAGCGGTATCCTGCTCGATGGCTTTCTTCACCATATCAATCGCGCGGCCAAGAAAGTCGGTGTTGGACATGGTGACGGTATTGTGTCCTGGAGGCTAGTAGAGGTCGCCACAGCGAACAGTAAGTCTTTCTTGTAACAAGAAGACTGTGCGAGTGTTTGTAGCTTGTTGATTGAGTGTAGGTAGACCTGGAAACGTCAGTGCTTGGAGCCAGCGGGGAGTTGGCGGGGTGCGGAAAGGTCCGGCGATGTGGCGGACTACGTCCTTACTTCACCGTGTAGGACTTTAAAGACTCACTTGTCCTGGAAAATCGACATGGGATAGATGAGGAAAAGTGCAATTGACTGCGTATACCATTTGAAGCATGCCACAGCACTTCTACATCGTAATACGGTATGGAGCAGCCAAGGCAACAACTGCAGGCACTCAGCGATGAGTATCAAGGCCTACAAACAGGTAAATGGCGTCGATCCTATAAGCGTGTATGTGTATATCGTGCTCATCTTATATAGAGTTGACCAGTCTCGTCTCTGCTCGTCAGAAGCTTGAAAGCCAGCAACAGGAGAACAAGACTGTCCAGAAGGTGCTGTTCAGATATTTGCGGTTTTCTTGATAGGAAGCACAGAAGCTCACTACTAATCCAGGAGTTCTCTACCCTGGCAGAAGAAGCGAAGATCTACAAACTTGTCGGTCCAGTACTGTTGAAGCAGGATCTCGCGGAGGCAAAAAGCACCGTAGACGGACGACTGGAATACATCGAAAAGGAGATGTGAGCCGTCCAGACTGAACTCGTGTCAACATGACCATCAAGCTAACAGATATCGTACATAGTAAGCGCGTCGAAAGTGGCATCAAGGACATACAGCAGAAAAGTGAGGGCAAGAGGACAGAGGTATGTTGAGCTCCTCTGCCACAATCTTCTTGAGTCACTCCGCTGATACCTTGCTTAGATCATCCAGATACAGTCGCAAATGCAACAGCCAGCAGCATAATCCAGCTGGTGCTCTCTGCTCGCTGAATAACCCGTCTAACCCTGGCCGGATCAGCTTCCCTTGACCGCCCCAATATATTCACCCGCTAAATCGCACCTTCCCTTTCTGCAATCCTCGGCATCATCTCGGCGGCCCTCAATATCGCCTCATCAATTTCAAGCGGACCTTTGCTGCCAAGATCAGCACGCTGGTTGAATGAGTTGGCTCAAACACCACGATTAAGTCTGATTGATTGTAAGCTTGCATGAGTGTCAATAGCATCTCGGATCCTACCTGTACGCGGAGTCTCGATGATTGCAAGCCAATGCGGAAAAGGCAAACATTCCTCTGCGTCTAAGTTTTTATCTGAACGGTCCAAGATCGTGCAGTTTCTTTTGCGCTTTTTGATCTCTCGCAGCTTACTCATGCTCCACGCTTGCTGTGTGTAATGAGGCTGAATGCTTATTTTTGCCGCCTTGGAGCTTACGGCTGCAAGAGGATGTTATCAGCTCTACCGCCTCCGTCCTGCACCACTACTCTCTCCTCCTCCCCTCTGCTCCAAAGCTACAACTTCGCTGATCCCAGCAGCCTCCTGCTCATCCTCCATTGCTTGGATCTCCTCACGACAATCCCACCACTTCTGCTCTGCGCGATCAAACGCCTTCTTCCGAATCTCCTTTACCGAAGTGTCTTCAACGTCACGCTGATACTTTAGCCATTCCAGGACCGTGTCCTGCCACTCGGTGGAGGTGCGAGCGAAGAACTCGCGCAATGACTCGAAAGGTCGCGGGTGAGGAAGTTTGTCAGTCAATGCAGAAGACATGGAAGCAGTGTCTTCCGAGGGCTCAGTGGCCGCCTCGATAGACTCGGCCTGTTCTGCTGCAGACAGCCGGTCCTCTTCCGCCCTCACAGACGTGGCAGGTGTGCTAGGCTCTGCGCCATCGCCGTCCTCTTCTGCATCATCGCCGTCTTCCATGTCATCATCTTCATCATCCTCGCTCTCTTCGTCTTCGCTACCTTGCCAGTCGGCAATCTCACGCTTGAAGATTTCTCTGCAGCCATCAAGCTTGCCAAGATCAACAACCCACATCTCATCAAACGTGTACTCACGATCATCCTTCTCAAACGTGCCACCGTATATGTATAACGCATCGTCCTGTACGGCTAGCTGAGCGTTAAAGCGTGGGTGTGGCATCTCCCAGATCGGAGGCTTCCCTACTTTCTCCGCCACTTCATCGTCCACAACAGTGCCGAGCACCCCATCTACATCACTCATCTCGACCTCTACGGCTCCTTTGCCTTCGATCAGCGCAAGGTTACGAAGCAGTTCCTCCTCATCTGCCTTTGCTCTCCCGCGCCGACCCTTCTCCGCTGCCGCCGTTGCCTTCTTCGCCGAAGTCCGCGGCCTTCGCAGACTCAGCTGGAAGAAGCGATTACGGTCGATGTTGCAAGCGAACAGCTGATTGAAGAACTCACTCTCAATCCCCTCCTCGCTCTTCTCAACGTCATGCACGCCACCGAAGCATATCCCACGGCCTTTGTGGTACGTCATCGAGGCACCAGCTCGTGGCGGGTTCGGAGTGTTAACTGGCCGCTTTCTGCGCTCCCATCGTACTGTGGGTAGGGTACTCGAGGGTACGTCGGGGGGAGGCGGTGTAATGCGTAAGAACCAAGCATCCTGGTGTAGGACCGGCTTCATTGTGATCCTGGAGCCCAGGTTCCCGCCCTTACTCGCCTTCGCCACGCTTGTCGCGATCTTGACTCTCGAGTAGCCACCGTATAGCATGGCACCGGTCTCATGCGGCAGAAGCGAAAAGGAGCTCCTCGCATCTGGTTTCTGCGCCGCAGGCGGCAAAGCAGGCTGGAACCAGGCGAACTTTTGAGTGTCAAAAAGCCACACATCCTGCAGATACTTCGTTTGACTACTCGTGTCTTGGAAGCCACCGAATAGGATAACCCACTGCTTGAAGTAGGTCATTCGGTGTCCGCTGCGTGCAGGTGGGCCGCCCTTCCCCTCTAGCTTCGTCCATTCTCTCGTGCCAGGCTCTAGGCGCCAGAAGTCGTTATAGTGATAGAATGTTCCCTGTTTGGGACTTGAGAACTCGCCGCCGAAAAGGTATATCCCGCCACTGTTACCTCCGTGGCACATAGCGTGTCCTGATCGGGGCAAAGGCGAGTTTGGGCTTGTAACTTTACGCCAAGAGCCGCTGTTGACCTTGTAGACGTATAGATCGTTATAGAAGGAAGCCACGGCGCCATTATAGTACTCGCCGCCAAAGAGGAAGATCTCGGCGTTGTTGTTGGGTGATGCTATGAGCGTCCCAGAAGTCCGTGGCGAAGGCGGGTCTGAATTGGTCTCGGTCACCTTGAGGAATTGCTCTTGTTGTTTTTGGTACTCGGCCAGAATCGCATCAAGGTCGTCGTTTTCGTCATCGCTGTCGTCGGTTTTCGGCTTCTTCGACAGCTTCTTGTCTTTCTGCTTTTCCTTCTTTTCCGTCTTGGCTGCTACTCTTGCCTTCTTCTCGGCCTTCTTCTTCGCCGCATCTTTCGGCATGTCGAAAGATTATGCTTTCCAACACTCTTGATTTAGGGGGCACGCTTCGTAGACGGTAGCCGAACGGATATTTTATAATACAGTAGCGAATTTCGAAGGGTTGCCTCCGGAGGTTGCGCATTACAGCGTCGCCACCATACCCATGCTTAGACTGAGTGGCAAGATGCCGACAATCTCACCAGCAAAGATAGTCAGTCAGCATTCGTATCGAGTGGCAGGTAAGTCACATCAGACGTTGATCGTCGGTAATACTGTAGCTAACAGAGTCTGAAGGCAAACTTCAGGTTACGGAACACTTCTTCGACGTCCCAAAAGACTATAACCACCCATCATCTGGCACACTTCGCATCTTCGCACGTTCCGTCCGTAAGCATGATCTCGGAATCGTCAAAGATGCCTCGCCTGAAAAGGATCAATTACCATGGATGTGCTGGCTCCAAGGCGGTCCTGGCATGGAGTGCCGAGCACCTCAGCAATATCCATGGACGCACCCCGTACTCGACCGAGGCTACCAGATGCTCTACCTTGATCAACGAGGTGTGGGACTAAGCTCACCTGTTACCGCAAGCACGTTACAGATGCGAGGTGACACTGACGTCCAGGCCAAGTATCTCAAGCTATACCGTGCAGACTCCATAGTCAAGGACTGTGAAGCCATCCGCCAGGCTCTGACGGCGGACTACCCCGAGGAAAAGAAGAGGTGGAGTATCATGGGCCAGTCTTTTGGCGGCTTCTGCAGCCTGACCTACCTCTCGTTTCACCCCGAAGGGCTCAGAGAGTCTTTCATTTTCGGCGGACTCGCACCGATTTCCGTTAGGGATCCAGACGAGGTCTACCGGCGTCTGTACAAGCAGGTCATTCGACGTAATGAGGCCTACTACGACAAGTTTCCAGAAGATGTGGCAAGAGTGAAGACAGTCATGAAGTACCTTTCTCGCTTCGGAGATGGCAAGATCAGACTACCGTCGGAAGGCACGCTTACTCGACGGCGCTTTCAGCAGATGGGCATTCTGTTCGGCGCACATGGAGGTCTAGACATGGTGCATGACATCGTCCTCCGTGCAGCTAACGACATCGGGAGCTTCGGTCATCTAACACGGGGAACGCTAACAGCAATTGACCACAGCGTCGGATACGATGAGCATTTGATATACTCTATACTGCATGAGCCAATCTACTGCCAAGGGCAAGCACCCAAATGGTCTGCACATCGCATACTCTCAGAATACGAGCAGGCGTTCAGCCTTGACAAGGATGAAGGTCAACCGATCTTTCTCACAGGCGAGATGATTTATCCATGGATGTTCGAGGACTACAGCGAACTTCGCAAGGTGCAGGATGCTGCTGAAAAGGTCGCCGCGGACGACAATTGGAGTCCTCTCTACGATGCGGAACAGCTGAGTCGCAACGAGGTGCCAGTATATGCTGCGGCATATGTTGAAGACATGTATGTTGACTTCGATATGAGCATGGAGACAGCACGAAAGGTGAAGGGCTGTAAGGTGTTTACGACGAATGTGATGTTCCATGATGCGATCCGCAGTAAGATGGAGGAAGTTGTCAAGCAAGCTTTTGCGCTTCGCGACGATGTCGTCGATTAATAGATGCTGGAGTCTCTGGCGTGTCGACTGTGGCGAGCATGCAGCGGCGGTTCTTAGATAATGTGGCCAATGTATGCCGCCCACAGACAGCATTGCATTACATTGTACATTGAGCAGCTCAATCCCAGCGTAAAAGATCGTTGGTCGTCATTTCCATAGGCTTCCCATCAGCGGCACGAGAATCAGGCTTCTGGCCACCACAGACTCCGCAGCGGCCGAAATCTCCAGCATTGACGTACTTGCTCCCAACACACGCCGCGCTTCTACAGCTCCAGTGGTCCTTCACCAGTGCAAGTTTGAGTACGTGCGAGCAGGCAATACAAGTCGGAGACGCGAGATCGTTTTCAAGCGAGCAGATTGGGCAGATAGTACCGTTTGGCCGATCTACTTCACTAGAAGCAGGGACGTCGGTAGAGGATGAAATTGTGTTGTCGTTGAGGGCACCCGCCCCAGGCGGTGACACACTTGTTTCCTGCTTGGCTTCTGCAAACGCAACAGCATCTTGTCCAGTATCACTTTCAGTATCAGAACCACTGTCCGCTATCATTGGCCTCGGATCGTTGACAGTGGAGCTGTCTGACAGGGGTGCTCGTACCGGGGTTCTAGCTTTGACACTCAGCAAACGCAGGGCGTCCATCTCGTCCTGGCCTCCATCCTCTTGATCGCCTTCACCGCCGCAGACTTTGATCAAGGTTTCGCCATCAATCTTGTTAATCTGTCCAGCCTTCCTTCTGAGAAGGATAGACGCAGAGGAAACGACGTCCTCATCGCTTGACCAGCCGGAGTCCGTGCCGCTGCCATCGTCATCGTCATCGTCCAGCTCTGGTGTCCGCTCTGGCGGTATCGCAGTTTTAGTCTTTGCCGCCTCGAAGCGTGCCAGAGCAGCACTGGCTCGCAAATCGCGGCCACGCTTGCTGTTCGCCACGCGTGGTTTGCCGGCGTGTCTCTTACCAGAAGTACGATCAAGGGCGCCACGCACTAGCTCATCGTCCCCGAGCGCTGAGCCTTCTCCGTGCTTGCCGAACTTCTTTGCGATCCGCTTCTGTTGCCTTTCCGCGTAACTCAATCTCGGCCTGTCCGCTGGGCCTTCTGCGCCCCTCTTCCTCTTTTTGCCTCTCGATCTGCGGTATGTGCCGCCACAGAGATGCTCAGGAATATCGACGTCTTCTGGCATACGGTCATTGACAAACTGCCCGTTCGTAAGATCCTGGCCCCGACCCCACATGCCTTCACCCTGGTAATTCTTCGCCCATAGCCCTTCCATCATCTCAGCGTACTGGTTTCTCACAGCCCAGAAATATCGAGAGTGATTCATCTGTTTACAATGAGCAAGCTCGTGCATCATCACCATCTGCACATATTTGAAGGCGAGCCATCTCCCCTTCTTATCCTTCAATACGAGCTGTATGCACTCGCCAGCATTGAAGTTCCGCCCTAGGAACTCTGGATTAGGCGCGTACTCTTCGAGAGACCTTACGAACAAGTGATCCTCTTTCATCACCGGGAAGCATTGAGCGGCAATCTTGGACAAGAAGTGCTGCGCGATCGCCTGGTCCTCCTCGCTTGCATTAGGGTCAGGCTTAATGAAGTCGATGTTCTCGTTCGGACGCTTTTGGCGCTCGTTGAGGCGCCGAAAGCCCAGCGTCATCTTACCCGTTTGATTATTGCTGTTAAAGACCAGGGGAGGAGCTGTCACATAAGAGTTGCGAAGCATACGAAGTCGATTGCACGAAACACGCTAAGCACGCGTTGACGCATGCCAAGATACCCGGGGTGCAAATGCGACTCTCTTGCTTTGACACAAATACCTCATGCTTTCTATGTCCGCGACGGCTTTCGATGACCGCGGATATGGCGATACCGCAAGTAAAGGACGCTGCTCAGGCCGTCAATGGTGTCAAACGGAAGCGGACCGTCGAGCAGTCTCCTCTGCAGCAGAAGCGCGTAAAGCTCTTAGAAACGAGGAAGCAACTGCCGATATGGTCGAGGCAGCAGGAGATTCAACAAGCACTTCGGAATCACAACGTGCTTATCTTGTCTGGCGAGACAGGTTCTGGCAAAAGTACTCAGGTACCGCAGTTTCTGCTGGATTCACCCGGCTTTTCTGGCAAGATCGCGGTAACGCAGCCTAGAAGGGTGGCGGCCATATCCTTGGCCCGCCGTGTCGCTGAGGAGATGGGCACGCCATTGGGCTCATCTTCTCCGGCGTCGAAAGTTGGCTATTCGGTCCGCTTTGATGAGTCTACCAGCCCGTCTACGCGGATTAAGTTCCTCACAGAGGGCATGTTACTACAGGAAATGCTACGTGACACAAAGATGGGCCAGTATGGCTGTATTATTGTGGATGAAGTGCACGAACGTAGCGTTAATGTTGACCTCATCTTAGGCTTCTTGAAGCAGCTGCTAGGCAGCAGGAAGGATCTCAAAGTGATTGTCATGAGCGCCACGGCTGACGTGCACAGCTTGCGCCGCTTCTTTGAGGCTTCCTCTGATCCGTCTAGAGATGGCAGACTGGTCAATGAGGCCTCTTGGGAAGGTTTCTCTGATGATAAGCCGAATGGAGACGCTCCGCAAGATCGCGCGGTAATGTGTCAGGTCGAGGGCAGGCAGTATCCTGTAAAGACGCATTACGTTGACAGTCCGTCAGACGACGTTATTGAGGCAGCACTTCATCGCATATTTCAGATTCATTGCAAAGAGCCAATGCCTGGAGACATCCTTGTCTTCATGACAGGTCAAGAGACCATCCAGTCGCTGCAGCAGCTTGTCGAAGAATACGCACTTAACCTATCAGCCGAATTTCCAGGCATCTCAGTTTTACCGCTCTTTGCTGCGCTCCCACAAGCGGCTCAACAGCGGATCTTCCAGCCTCCTCCGCCCAACACCCGCAAGGTCATTCTGTCGACCAATATCGCGGAGACGTCGGTAACTGTACCTGGTGTTCGCTTTGTCATTGACACGGGCAAAGCGAAGGTCAAGCAGTTCCGCAACAGGCTTGGATTAGACTCGCTGCTCGTCAAGCAGATCTCTAAATCATCTGCAGATCAGCGACGGGGTCGTGCTGGCAGAGAAGCACCTGGGCAATGCTTCCGACTGTACACCCAAATTGCGTACAATGCTCTTGATAACGACACCACGCCGGAGATACTACGATGCGACTTAAGTGCCGCAATCTTAACAATGAAGGCAAGAGGCGCGAGTGATGTTTTGACCTTCCCGTTCCTTACACCGCCACCAACGGAAGCTATGGAGAAAGCGCTTCTGCATCTTCTACAGCTTGGAGCGCTCGAAGAGCACGGTTCAATCAGTGCCCTTGGCCGCCAGATTGCGCGCTTGCCCCTCACGCCTTCTCTCGGTCGCGTAATCGTCGAAGCTGCCCGGCCAGAGATGGATTGTCTGCTTGAGGTGATCGACATCGTGGCGTGTCTGGATGTGGAGAACATTTTCTTGACTGCGCAGACCGAGGATGTTCGAGAGAAAGCGGCAGCGGCACGAGAACAGCTTCTTCGACGACAAGGTGACCACCTGACATACCTCGCAGCAATCCAGACGTACGCGGCTGAAAACTCGGACAGACGAAGATGGGCAGATGATCACTTAATCTCTCACCGAGCCATGCAGAATGTGATGGACGTCCGCAAGCAGCTCAGAGCTCAATGCAAGCACGCTAAGCTCTTACGTGATGACGCAAAGGCCAGCTCAGCACCGGATGAATCCACGCAAGAACGCATATTGAAGTGTTTTTTGCGAGGGTTCGGTGGCAATGTGGCACGGTTGTGCCCGGACGGCAGCTACAAGACGTTCGTCGGTAACCAGACGGTAGCGATCCATCCCAGCAGTGTGCTGTTCGGGAAGAAAGTGGAGGCCATCATGTACGACAAATTCGTGTACACGACTAAAGCGTATGCGCGGGATGTTAGTGTCGTGCAGTTAAGGTGGCTGGACGAGATGCTAGGCTAACAGATCGTGGGATATCCGGTTCCAACTTCGTCATCGGCGCTGCCGACTTGCCGTCAAGCCTTTCCAGGGTCAGATATGCAACGAGGAATGGAGCATTAAAGACGGTCACAGCATGCTTGCTTGCATGAACGTAGACAGTGGTCGTTCGAATAGACTTTCTACTTGGCTTTCTGATTGCTCGGACTTTGGCAGCTGACTCGCGTGTGCTCGCTTATGCACAGCACAGAAGCTCCGGCTAAACGCCTACGATTCGTGAGTGTCCGAGCAGATTCGGCGCGCAGTGTCGTGGGCCATCTAGTGGGTAGATATGCCGGCAGGGGCTACAAGCCATCTATCCGTGCATGTTTCATTGCGGGTCTACATGCCGTTAGTTTCGTGCGATCGACGAGACATTCTGACAGCTCGATTGGCAACACGGCCGTTGGGTAACAAGTAGAGTAGGGCTGCGCTCGATCATTCGCTGCGCTACATGAGGCACAGCTTGTTTCACACCCAATTCTTCCACCCCTGCTCCGAGCTCGCCGCGTAATTAGTGGCTGCTTTCGCTGTCCTCCCACATCATCCCATGCGTATTCCATGTGTTCACTTCGCCGAATTGCTCCGTTGAACGACCACTTGCATTTGCGCCGTCCACAAGTTCGGAGCTAGGCGCGGTTAACGTGGGCCACGCGCAGCCGGCGGCACGGCCACCTGCCTCTACTGGGCCCATCTCCATGAGCTTACTCCTTGGTGGGTACCAATTGCTGCAAGGAATCCGTCTAGGCCGATTATGTCCGCACGGGCGGCGTGGCAGATAAAAGAGGCATCATGGACGGTGCGTTCTATGCTTATACCGTCCACAATTCGTCTGGCCAGAAGCAGTACGCGCAAGCACGCCTTGCGGCTAATCGACACAAGATACAGCACGAAGTGGCTCATGGAAACGTAAAGGACGCTCATCTTTGGAGGACTGTCTCTGGCAACAATAGCAAGCCTGAGCTCGGAGTTCCGATACCTGTTATTATTACTACGGAACGTCATAGAAGAGACGACTATGGAAATGCGAGCATGGATGGACCCCGAGCTAACACAACTAGCTCGCGGTCAAGCTCTTCGTCGCTCTCGGATGCGGCGCACAAAACCTTATTAGACAATCCTTATGAGCTTCGACACGGACGGCGTTATTTGCGCGAGCTGCCTTACCCATTACCATGTGATCTACCTGAGATACAACGTCAAAATCTCAGGACGCTGTTGGGATGCACAGTATTCGGCGGGGCTTCTTGCTCACGCAGGACGAGTACAGACGTCCCGCAGAGGGTGCTGGAGCTCGGCTGCGGAAGCGCATACTGGTCTGCAATGTGTCATGATTTCTTCCGCTCGCTCGGCTATGCCAACGTCTCCTTTACTGGCCTCGACGTTGCACCCTTGGCCCCAAATCTTAGCAAGGAAGGTATGGACTGGACCTTCGTCCAGCATGACATTCGTCGCATTCCACTGCCTTTCGATGACGAAGAGTTTGACCTTGTCATGCTCAAAGACATGAGCTTAGCACTACCAATGGGGCCAGCGTTTCAGAAGCTGCTCGATGAAATCATTCGGATACTGTCTGATAATGGCACGCTTGAGATTTGGGAGTCTGACCATGTGTTGCGATCGTTGCTACCTCATCCGCGGTCATCTCCGACCACGCAACCAAAGGACTACCGGACTGCTGAGCAGACTGGAACGTTCATAATAGCCCCAGGAATGCCGTTTGGTTCAGCGCAGAACAGACACTTTCAGAGGGCCAACATGTGGATTCAAAACGCGCTGGACGTGCGTAAACTACCACCCACTCCTTGTGCGCGCATAGCGCAGATCCTTCTCCAGGAACCCGACTTGACAGACATTGGGTCCAGACGTGTGGCCATTCCGCTTGGTGAGCTTCGATGGGAGCGCGAGCAGTCTGGGCGGCCAAATAGCAGTCTCGTCGACTCACCGATGTCGCTAAAGGCCAAATCGAAACTCGTTGACGGTGCGCTGAATGAGAACCAGATGGCGCTGCGGCAGACAGCACTTATAACCATCCTTCAGGAAATCGAAAGCCTAGAACCTTTGCTCAAGGAAGCGAGTAGCAAGAACACAGAAGAGTGGAGCCACTGGTGGGCAACCATGATGAATGATCTGCTTGATCCGTCCAAAGGAGCGTTCTTGTCGGAGTGTCTCGAGCTTGGGGCGTGGTGGGCTACTAAGCGACCGTCTGAATGACGTCCGCAACGGAGAGAGGCGCACGATATTCAGGTTTTCTCATAGCGTTGCTTGAGCGTACGGTACCGCTTGAGGTAGTATCTAGGGCGGCGTTAGTGCTAGGCAAGCGATGGATATACCCTTGGTGGCTCATGATACGGGATACTAACAACGCTTCGATCTCTATCATTCTGTTAGTCATTCCGTTTTCGATAGCATCATGGAACGCATTCGGCTCAGACCTACCCTTCTTTACGTACTCGGCTTGCTCGATACCCTTCCGAATTTGACCTTCATCTTCCATGCCAGCCTTCGCGATGAAAGCCTTGTGCAGACGTGGTCGAAAGTAGTCGTAACCTAGCGGATACTCTCGACCAAGGTATAGGAGTTCTATGACTGATGGTGAGCATCTTAGGGTATGTCGAAGTAAGCTCGCGGATACCGACCTTTGTAGATACGGATCACTTGGTAACGGAGGGGAGATGCTGTCGACATTTAAACTAACCATCAATGGGACGTACTCGAAAGTGTAACTACGATAACAGCTTTCAAGAAGCATAATGTTCTGCTTAAGTCAATCGTTCTTGTAGTGCACATCATGACGAAAACGTGGAGAGGTTGCGGACTGGGCTCCGTTGATGCCTCGGCTGGCTCGGATGTTTCGTCCCTTGTGCAAGGACATATCTCTCCGGCTATCAACATCTTAGTGTGAGGTGCTCATCCTGGGTACAACAATCGGCGGGGGCAGCAAGTTACGGACGGCAGAATGCGCGAATGAGTCAATTGCGGCATTGTCCGCCGCCTGTATTCATACCATGGCTAGGGTGCCAGTATTGAGAGCGGCTCTCAAGCCTGCCGTATGCCCAATTACCAAAGCTTCCAGACGTTACCATTCGAATGCGCCGAAGACAGCCCATCTCAGCCCTCGATGGCTCTCGGACGTGAAGCAGCGCATTGGGAGATGCATCACTTTTGGCCTGGATCCCCAACAGACGGACAAAGCCGGTCGTATCCTCAAGCAGCTTGCTCTAGACTGGAGAGAGCTTGTGGCAGGCAGTGAAGGCTTCTTGACCGACCCGCAGCGGCGCGGCCTGTTCCGGCAAGAGGTTGTTTGGGGCGAGATGGACAGTATGGGACATGTGAATAATGTTATGTATGTCAGGTATGCGGAGTCTGGACGCGTCCAATGGGGGCGGAAACTAGGAATGCACATCGATCCAGCAAACAAGAAGGCTTGGAGTGAGCTGATGACTCCTTCCGGTACTGGACTAATCCTAAAAGCCATTACAACGGAGTATAAGTTTGTACGTAATACAAAGCTGTCGTGAGTGGTGTCGTGCGTTCTGCTAATTCTTGTGAAGCCTATGAAGTATCCCGACCGAGTTTCCGTATATCACAAGCTGCGGAGCATGCCGGATGACGGACAAGAATCCTTCATACTAGATGTGCTTATCATGTCTGATCTACAACAGAGACCGGCCGCAAGATGTATAGAAGATATAGTTATCTACGATTATCGAATCGGGAAGAAGACGCCTCTGCCTCCTTGGATGCTCGCCGTGTTCCGCGATACGTTCCGGCTGCAGGAAGAGGCGAAGGCGACCAACAGTCAGCGTGTCGGAACGTTGCTCGAGGAGGTCCGACGACTGGAGACGGAGACCTGGGACACAGATAATGCGGGCCGTTGAGGCTCGCACATCAGTGTTTGCACCTGCGCTGTTCTCGGACGCACCATGGTTTACTACTAGATACCCCGTAGCTTCACGCTGGTCTGATTAACTAGCAATGGTGGTCTCTGCCGCAATGGGGACCAGAGAGGGGCCGGCTACTGGTCGATATCGATCACCAAGCCAGTAGCGAAGAGGGGAGACGCACGCTCCATTCCGCTGCAGTCCATTCTACCTGACATGCCTGACACTACATCTGCCCAAACATGATCGGCGGAGAAGGTCTGGCTTGTCTGGGGATGCTACGGCTACGCCCGACGGTTGACGGATGCTAGAACAACAACAGTCTGTAAGCGCTGCGCTCCGGGGAAGGACGTTCCAGGCAGACAGCCGCATATTCAGTCGCGAGGCGGTGACAAGAGCGATAATCGCGATGCGCAAACGGTCGAAGCCGGGCTCTCCCTAAGGAGGAAGCATCATCTCCCCACAACGTTGGTATGATCGACAATCATTGGTTCTTAGATTGAGACTAGCGCCGCGTGACGTGCTTTGTCACAAATCGAAAGCAGCGTAAGAAACCTTCCATGCACCCTCAGACGAACAGGCATCGGTCGTACGATGTACGTTACCATTGCAGCGGAACTTGGCGGAAGGGTAGAGTTTTGTGCTGCGCGCGGAATGACAACGATAGCGAGCAGAGCTTGGTCTCAAAGCATCCTTACTACACGTAGTCAGCAGGTGTGCGGAGACGGATGCATGTGGTGATGATCGACGGCCCGCAGACGGCATGGCACTCAGTCGAAATCAGCGCGAGGCGGTCCAGATGCCGAAGCGTGCGGCGTGCTTGTGACTCCCGACTTGAAACGCTGTCGGCCATGCTTGGGAATGGGGATGGAACCAGAGTCCACTTTTGGGCGACAGGTCTTACGGCTGTACAGCTTGATGTCCGTCCAGTCAGCAGCCTTGTAGAGAACTAAGTTTTTCGGCCTGAACCAGACGAAAGTGAGGCTTGCTCAAGCTCCGGCCGCACCCGCAGGCTCTGTGCGCTCTGTGTTTCGGGCTGTGTCAGTCGTTGCCCGGAACAGTTCCTGCAAGTCTTCCACCACTCACTCGACCCGCATCGCATTGCCAATATCCTTCTCCACCACGCCGTAACCCCTCCTGGCTCGCCGTCCTGTACAGACGAGCCAAGCGGGGGTGGTACAGTAAACGCTGGACGTTCATCGTGAATGCCGCCGAAGAAGACGAAACAGCCGAACCAGAGGGACACCAGGCATGAGAACGGACTTGCTGCGCCGGGCAAGCGAGTCACACGGAAGCATTCGAACGGTCAACTCGCAAATGGAAAGCCTGCTACGCCTGCCTCGCCGCCTGCGCTGCCCTCGACGGGCTTAAATCAAGGCTTCCGCTTCTCGCACCCGCCAACTCTGGAGAATTGCGACCCCGAAGACGCATCGCAGACGCCGACTCAGGACTATGCGGCAGCGACTGACGCCACAATAAGAGATAGCACAGCGCCTGAGGCTACCATGGAAGAAGTGGCTACTCCGCTCGACACGGCAGACTGCGCGAATGAGCCTGCCTCCGCCGCAGCGCCGGCTGTGGAGGCTCAGGCGCCCACACGCAAGTTCAGCTACTCGAACTTCGACAATCCCCTGTCTACTGTCTCAACAATCCTGGCTTACTATCCGCTTCGGGATGCAATCTCCATCCTGATATTGTTACTGTCTCTGCCGCCTACCCTGGTTCTACTCATTCAAACGCTTTTCGCTTCGCTAACATTCGTGCCACCGACCGTCGGCATCTCACTCTCGACTCTGCCAAATATCAAAGAAATCTTCCATGCGTCGTCGGTAGGCTATCCGGGCCTAGTGACGGTCATGATAGTAGATTTGATATTCTGGGGAGTTTGGCTTGCCACGTCAAAAGCGGCGCAGAATGTTATGCTGGATTTCTCGCAAGCTGTCATCGCCGTGTCCTTGAGTGGCGCAGCGGCGAGTCCTGGTGGAGCGACGTACAGCATCGTGGCAAGCTGCACCATCGTCTGCGTAGTCCACGTTCTCCGATACAGGGCGATACATCTAACCGCGCTCGACTACCTACGCTCGGTGCTACACAAGATGGACATTGGCATACAGCTCGACGGTTTGCCGTCTGCGTCGTCTTTCATTGCACCACCCAACATCGAGCGTGGTTGGGTGTTTTCAGCTATTCGTACGGTCCTTGGAATACACATCGTTTCGCAGGGCGTCACGACCTGGGTTCGCCGCATCCTTGTCAGAGTTAATGAGCGCGATCAGACAGTACCAGCAATCACCAGTACAGAAGCCGAAGCGGCTGTTCCTGCCTCCGACCCTAGCTCGCGATTACCAACGGCCGCGCCGGAAGTCTCGCAGCCACCTCAGGTAACCTCAAGTACTGATGGACGGCCCCCGGGACCGTCACCGTCACAGCGTGACGGCAAGGTTCGCGAGTCAAGTAGCAAGAAAAAGAAAAGGCAGGCTACTCAGGTCAGGAGCCAGCAACCGCTTTGGGCAGCAATTGCTAGCACCAAAGTCACATTCGTTAAAGAAATGGAGCAGCGCGACGCAGCGGATGACGCTCGTGAAGCTGCTCTTATGGACACAAATGACACTAAACCAGTTTCTGCAAGCACTACAAACCATAATACTAACCGTGTCTGGATCTTCGAGGTGCTGGACACCGAGGTCTACTTTACTGTGGAGATGTCGCACGATGCGGCAACGCAGAGTGTGGAGAAGATGGAGGAAGGCGTGAGCGTGAGCGCGGGTATCGACAAGTCGAAGCCGTTCTTTGTACGTATCAACGGTGCGGCATGGAGTTCGACGCGCATTATGTCAAGTGCTACGGGCGAGGAGTCGGACGGCAAGCCTCGCTTTGACGGTGAGATCTTCGACCTCGCGCCCAGAGGCAACTACAGGTGCGAGATTGTTGGTATCGCCAGTGGCCAAGTTCTTTGTTCTATGAGCTTGATCACACAGGCTGCTCCCTCAGCAGAACAGACGGCAGCAACGCCTACGCAGCCCCAACATCCCGCTTTGCGGCCTTCCTCGCCAATCACCACGCTCAAGCAGTCGATACAATCTGCGGAGGCTAAACTGAACGAGGCTCGCAATCGTTCGAAGAAGAGTAAGAAGGATCAGAAAGGCGTCATTTCCGAAATCCGTCGTGAGATCAATACCCTGAAAGGCAAACTAGATTCTTCTGGCGGGCTTGACGACAAGCAAGAGCGGCGCATCCAGCAGATCACACAGCACAAGAACCAAGCTGAGGAGGCAACAGTCGAACTCAAAGCCCAGATCGATGCTTTTGGCGACATTCCAGAGAACGAGCAACGCGACTTCGAGGCTAAGAAATCCGCTTGGCAGGCGGCCGTGAATGCTAAGCGAAGGGCGGAGAAGGAATTGCTCAACGCCAAAACTGACGCCGATCGCGATCTCGGGAGCCTGAAGTCGGATATGGACGCTTCCAAGTCGAAGCACGAACGGATGGAGGCTCGTCTCGCTCAACGCATTCAGGAGCTCGAGAAACTCACATCCAAGCAGCAAGCTGACATGACCGCTAAGCAGAAGCGCGACTACGAGCGTGCTCAAGTCGTGCAGCGTCGCAACGAAGACGAAGCTCAGATCCGTGCTAATATCAGCTCTATGGAGGCTGAGACTAGCACGTACGAAACGAAGGGTCACGAGGCTAACCAACAGCTTGCCGCAATACAGAGCTGGAACGCTGCACCGCCGGCGTATCCTGGGTATTCGTCTCCGCCGACTCCGGAAGGTACAATCCCTCAGACTAACGGCTCGCTTAGCCCGCAGACCAATGGCTTCCCAACTTACGGCCCGCACGCTTTCGGCCACTCGACGTACGTCCCGCACCAACAGACTAACAGCTACAACAATCAAGGGCCGCGCGGCCGCAGCTCCAGTATGCTTAGCCAATATTCTGGCTTCACGGAGGGTGGGGAGGAACAGCCTCCGTTCATCGCAGCGAACCCGCAGCAGCAACATGGCAACACATGGCCCATGTACACTTACGGTCATGCTGTTGGTGGTGTCGATCGCAAGGAGAGCGAGGGTTCGAACGGTAGTACTGGCTCGAACTCCCCAAGACCGGATGCGAAGCCCTTTACGCCCAAGTCTGTGGGTACGATCGGACCGCCGAGCAAGAAGAGGGATCAAGCACAGCAGAGTCCGCCTGGCGCGGTTGGTGATGGTAGGTAGTTCACTTGCAAAACTGGTTGGTGTGTCTGTGTCATGACGATTGCTGTCTCTGTCATCCGCCTCATCGTACCTGTTTTGTGCCATTGCTTAATTCCAGCCGAATGCGTAGGCCAAGCGAGGCAACCCCGCAGATTGCTGGCCCGGTTTCTGCGCGTAAAGCGTTCCTGCATGATCGGCCACGATCACCCTGACTATACTCGTCCCGCATCGTGTTCGTGAGAAAGCTCGAACAATGGCGCAGAAATCCGCTTTCGACACACCTTGGTTCAATTCGCAAGGCAACGACTTCTTCAACTCATTGAACAAGTCGAAGAATCTCAACATCGTTCTGACTGCGGAGACCGAGGACTTCGACGAGGAGACGACGCAGCAGTGGCGGGATGAAGGCTTCGCTACCAAGTATGTCCCACTGCTGGACGGTGGGAAGGAGTACGTACAGCGTGTGCACCAAGCCGGAGACGCGTTCGGGGTGAGCGAGTACTATGGGATTGTAGGTTAGCTGCCCGACCACAGTATCTGCTCGTCCTTATTCCAGCAGAAGGGATTGGTGCTGATTCAGGTGTCTTTATCGTAGCCTTTGACGACGCCGCGTCAGTGATCCTCTCTGCTCATGTCAAACCCGCCCACCCTAAGCTCGTAGCCATTGTCGCTTACTACCCTTCTACCATCCCCTCAATCAACACCAAGTATCCACCCAGTATCCGCGTCCTCGTCCATCTTGCCGGCAGTGAAGTAGGTGTACAGCGGCATCCAGAGGTTCTTGGAATTCAATCGAACAAGACGAAGACTGTGAAGAAGCGCATTGACCCCGGAGCCGGATATGGGGAGGTGTTGAAGTTGGGATTCAAAGCGTATACCTATGCTGGCGTCCAGAGTGGCTTTGCTGAAAGTGACCTGGATGAGTTCGATCCCGTCGCGGAGAAAGTTGCCTTTGGGCGGAGTCTAGAGTGCGTCAGGCGAGGATTCAGAGCTGAAACGGATGTGGAGGGAGCGCGGGATGCGCTGGTTGATGCGACGGCAAGTGGCAATACGAAGAAGGCGCTGGGGTCGTTGCGGCCGTTTGCGCACGTCCTACATGGGCCTACGTTGACCGGCGGCATTGGGACGGAGGAACTAGGACAGTTCTACGGCAGCTTCTTCTACCCGCTGCCGCCGGACTTTAGGGTGCGGTTACTCAGTCGCACCATTGGTACGGATGGGTCGAGATTAGTGGATGAGCTTTACATCTCGTTCACGCACTCGCAGGAGATTGCGTGGATGCTACCGGGCATACCGCCGACGAAGAAGAAAGTGGAGGTGGCTATGGTGTCCATTGCACGCATGATGGGTGGTAAACTGGAGAGTGAGCACGTGTACTGGGATCAAGCGGCGGTTTTGGTGCAGGTAGGCCTGCTCAGTCCGAAGATGGTGCCGGACGGCTTCAAGAAGAAGGGCGTCGAAGAGCTGCCCGTTGTTGGAGCGGAGGCTGCGAGGGCCATGAAGAGGGGCAGTAGCAAGCATATGAACGAATTGATCGATGATTGGAAGGACTCATGAATATAGAAGCCTTCGAGACTCTCATCTTGGACATTAGTATGGTGTTCGTGGAGCTGAGCAACCCGTAGGTTTCAATGACCTTTGCAACTCCACATCATAGACCTACGTGTGGGTTAGTGCGCGTTGTCGAATGTGCGCCAGAGCATATCGCGGAAACACTGCTTCCTCTACATGTACTTGACGTTGGGTGCTTCTCTGGATTAGGCAGTTATGGATGGCCCAAGCTCATGCAAGGTGACGTGGAGCGAACGGAGACCGAGTTCGTTGGTCGCATGCCGCGGTGTTCTGGTTGCCTTCCATAATCTAGGGCTTTCACTCTTATCGTCGCCCTTCGCGAGTGTGACAACAAGAAAGAGTAAGTGCAATATCTCATCTATATGCATATCAGCTCGCTCATCTACCCGTCATTCTCTACATCGATGATCTTCACAAGCCACCATTAGCATTGTCTCATCGCATCCCCGCAAACGCCGGGCAGCCACTTGCTCAGACAGTCCGGACGGTCCGGCGGTGAAGGCGGAAGATCACAAGGCATACAAGCATTGTTGCTTTTACTAGGGAACTTCCAATCGCTAGTCTTGTCAAGCCTTAGTGACAGTCAAGAATGGCGGATTTCCTCGAAAACCTCTGGTCATCTGTCTTCACTCCTGGCGCAACGCCGACGCTACTCATCGCGACCAACGCTACCTTCGCCGCCTTACAATTTCTGCTGCTTGCTCTACTGGTCGTAACGTACAGCATTCACTTTCTTATCCTGTCAGTACTGTGCGGCGGCTTGTGGGTCGGGATCAATTGGTTTGCAACCGAGCTGCAAGCCGCACAAGCGAAGGAAGAGGAAGCGGAGCGCTTGCGCAAACTGCATGCGCCGGCCAAGGAGCCTAAGGGTAGAAGTACGGAGTGGAAGCGGAAGGAATTAGTGGCCGACAGCGAAGCGGATGACGAGGAGGAGGACACCGAAACAGAGACGGAGGAGAGGGGTTTGACTGACAGCAGTGTCGGTCTAGCAGATACGGATGCGGAGATGAGTGTTCGAGAGCAGATGCGAACGGCAGTAGCGGAAAAGGAAGGTGGTGATGGCACGAGCCCGGCGAAAGCCTCTGGCGCAAAACCAGGCGATGACAGGAGCAGGTTGAGACCGAGAAGGGTCGGTGACGGAGATCGGAGTGGAGAGGTGAGCAGTAGTACGGATAGCGAGTGGGAGAAAGTGGAGAGCGAGCGATAACAGATCTCTCGATACTGCAGCTTTCTTTGTATCGACTGCTCGATGATTACCCAGCATATGCGATATCACTGCCAATATACAAGATTTTTTAGCAGTGCCCAATGACCGTCACTTGCATAGTAGAGTGCTGCGACTGATACATCTATGACTCGCGGTGCCAAGCCCTGACCCTTCACCTCACAGTTCCGCGTGCCGACGCAAACGACGTGACATTCGCTCCAGATCACGGACACCAGCCACACCTCTCCTCGACACCCTCCCTTTAGTCGGAATATATCAGTGTTGATCGCGCAGCTCTGCGCGCGCAACTCCTGCCGCTATGAAGCTCGTCAGGTAAGCCAACCCCAACCGCAGCCTTCACGAAGTGTCGCGTGCTAAAGCCGCTTCCTCATTAAGATTCGAACCCGGCTAATTCACCTCGCCCGGCATGTAGATTCTTGATGAAATGCACGAACGAGACCGTAACGATCGAACTCAAGACCGGCGCCATCGTGCACGGCACTATCGCTTCCGTCTCTCCACAAATGAACACCAACCTCCGCGCAGCCAAGATGACCCCGAAAGGTGGCAGCCAGATCAGCTTGGATCAAATCAGCATCAGAGGAAGCGAGATCAGATATTTCATACTACCGGACAGTCTGCCGCTCGACACGCTGTTGATCGATGATGCGCCCAAGCCGAAGAACAAGGCCCGGAAGGAGACAGATCGGGGTGGTAGAGGAGGACCTGGAGGTGGCATGAGGGGAGGGCGTGGTGGTGGAATGAGAGGAGGGGGTAGAGGGAGGGGCAGAGGGCGCGGGCGAGGCTTCTAAAGCGGGCAAGGCATCGGTATCTTCCCACCAGAACAGGGCCGAATGGGTGGTTTCACGAGCTGCAAGTCTACGGACTGTTACATTGTTGCGGACGTTAGCTATGGTTGAGGGTATTATCGCGGCTATGGTAAAGGGCAATGACGGCGCTGCGACAGAATCGCGCCAATGGAGGTCGCTATGCAAAGCCTGGCAGGTAGCGCAAGCGGGCCGCAGAGTCAAGGCTAAGAAGAACAAGTGAGTGTTAGCGCGTCGACACCAGCGATGAGGAAGGCGCGGGTCAGGAGGTGCCATGTCATGTGAGCATGCGTTGAGACTCACTTGCTACCTTGTGTGTAACCTTGGTTTACAGTCACCCACAAAGCGGAGACCAGTGCTTGCTGTATTAGCACTTCACCTTCAAAGCCTCTTTAGAGCCACATTGTGTGCTCCTTATATTGCTACATAAACTCATCCTCATACTCTTGACATCTGCAAGCGCTCACGCCACTACGACGGCACGACGAATCCACAATCATGCCTCTCAACCTAACAGCAAAAGACCAAGAGATCCTAGTCATGGCCTTCCAATGTATGGAGAACACAAAGGTTAGTCCGCTCCTCTCACCAACACTCATGATTTGCAACACAGTGCCCATCCACACCACAACTCCGGTGCCACGTCCTTGCTAACTGTGAACCAGGTCGATAACGCCAAGCTCGCAGCCCTAGGCGGCTACAAAAACGCCAACACAGCGGGCGCCGTCTGGGGCGCCGTCAAGAAGAAGATGCTCTCCGGTGGCAGCGGCGGTGGCGACGCGACCGCGATTCCGACTTCCAGCAAGAAGCGCACCAAAGCAAGCCCGGACGCTGACGCTGACGCTGACGCGGGAACACCGAGCAAGAAGCCTCGTAGGGGCAAAGGCAAGGGCGCGAAGGCTGACTCAGTGGTTGAGGGTGTCGGCGGTGAGGAGGATGATGATGAGGAAGAGGGTGTTAAGCTGGCGAAGGAGGAAGGTGAAGAGGGGATTAAGGAGGAGGATGTTGTTGTTTACCCATGAGCCCCGCATCCGGGCGACTGCGCGTCTGCGGTCTTGTGTCGGTTCGAGGCAACAAGTGACGTTGGGGTACCCGTGGATGAGGGTAATGTGCACATCAATATGGCGCACAGGTGAAGCCAACGTGACGACAGCGTATCCGCTGTGATGGAGCTTAGTCCTCACAGCACGCAATGGCACAAAACAGTCCTTGATGGCAGACAAGTGCGTGTAGTGAGCGCTACAGCCCCTCATATCTTCTTGCCATTCACTCGACAGTACCGTAGCCTAACACTCAAAAACGCACGTGCTTGCTACCAAAAAGTAAGCCAATCCCGCACTTGTACTCCGAACGAACGCCCACCATCGCATCGCATCGCATCGCGCGTAGAGTTGAGCGTAGCATAGCCGCTCCTGCACCCGCCCGGTAAGCCTTTCCAACACAAGCCGCGGCAAGCAACGCCTTGATCGAGGAGATGATCAAACACCCTGTACAAACCCCGTACCCGCACCCACGCTCACCCACGCGCCTGCAAGAACGGATGAGAACAGACTCAATGCCTACTAGTCCTCCTCCCCGGCCCAAAATCCGCCTCCACCACCTTCCGCTCCCTGCGCCCCTTGACCACAAACTCCGCCATCAACGCCAAATGATCGCTCGGGAAGTGCCAATTCGGAAACCCGGGCACTTTGCGCATATACTCCGGATCCACCTCGCCCAACAGACTCGTCACCTGCAGGGTATTCGTACTATACCAAATATAATCAATCACCTCGCGGAACTCGGACGTGTAGTTGGTGAAGGGCCAATGGGCGATACTAGCGTAGGCGGATTTGAGGCTGAACGGGTGCGTCATGCCGTTGCGGGTGAAGTCGCCGTATTTCTGCGTGCCGAGGTCGGTGTGGGAGTTGGAGAGGGAGCCGAGGGTGATGAGGTCGTGGACGCCGGAGTCGGCGGTGCTGTTGAAGTCGCCGCAGACGAGCATGGGGATTTGGGTGGCGTCGTCGTAGTGCATTGAGGGGGCGGGCGTGGGACGGGGGATGGCGGGGTCGGGGGTGGGCTCGAGGCTGTCGTCGTTGGCGTAGCGGAAGAGCTCTTTGTCTTTGCAGGGGGGCCAGGCGGCGTAGGTTTTGGCGAGGTTGGCGAGGCGTTCGAGTAGGATGGCGACTTGGACGACTTTCACGTCGGCGAACCAGCCTTCCCATGCCAGATGCGTGTCGACGACGATGAGGCGGGAGCCGGTCATGCGGTTCTCTAGGAAAGCGACCACGGCGATGTGATCTCGTGGCATCACGCGGTTGAAGACGTCTGCGTCACCGCGCATGTCCGGCCGTCGGATGGCTTCCTGCGAGTAGTTGATGACTTGCTTGTCGAGGAGGATGTACTTTGAGTTCTTGTAAAAGATCGCACAGCCATCGACGGTCTTGGCCTCCTTATCGCCCATCGTCTGTGCTCTGCCTTTAGCCCAGAACATGCCCTTGTAGTCTTCGGTCGCAAGATTGGGTCTGAAGTACTCGTTGTAGCTTTCTGTGTCCACTTCCTGGAGGGTGAGTATGTCGGCTTTTCTGTGCGTCAGCTCGTCCAGAATCACGCCACGCCGGTGATCCCATGCGAGTGCAGCTGAAGGCGTATAGCCGTACGCAGCTTGAGTGGCCGCTCGGTCGCAAAGAGTGTTCCAGCTACAGACGGTAAATCTCTCCGACTCGTTCTCGACCTCATCGACGAGCTTGATCCAGTCGCGCTCGAAGGGCGCTGGTGGTGCTACAAGGGACAGTCAGCACATCTACATGGCAATTACTTTTCACACGTGACCTACCAGGCGCCTGCTCTCGTAGATACCGCACGAGCTCACGCGTGCCATGCTCCTTCACCCGGTCGTAGTAATCTCGCCGTAGCCGATTATTGCCATAAAGCCCGAGTACCTCGAGTTGATGTAGTGCGCCCAACTCGTACGGTAGATCGTAAAGGTCGTTTCCATAGAGAAGAAGCTTCTTCAAATGCGTAAGCATACCGATCTCCGGAGGCAGTTCTCGAAGGCCATTGTACGACAAGTCCAGCTCGGTCAATGACCGCATCGTGCCAATCTGTAACGGGAGCACCTCCAGCTTGTTGTTGGCAAAGTACAGCTTGCGCAGGTTCGGATAATGCCTGAAGACACTGGCGCCAATGCTCTTAAGGCCATGACCGCAGAGGTCCATCGCGTCCCATGCGCCGGCCTCTTCGACATCTCCATTCGCCACAGGCTTCCTACGCTCTCCGTGCTCATCCAGATCCGCGCGTATGCTAACTGATGACGAGCCATTGCCGCCCAACCGTGCTACGGACGGAGCGTTCCTGGCGTAGAAGTGTGGCTTGTCACCAGCACTCTCGATCCTCTTCGCCTCCGCCATTTGCTCGGCCCAATGCTCGTTCGGCGGGTTACTGAGCGAGTTCGTGTGTTCGGGTGTTCCATTCTGCAGATGCGCGGGCGTGAAGTGCGGGGTGGTGCTCGTCAGGGTGCTGCCGGAGATGGTGTGTTGGTGATTGCCAAAGTTGCCATTGCTCAGGCCGTGATCCTGTTGTTGGGTCACGTGGTGGGACTGTGAGCCAAACGTCTTGTGCAAGCCACTCATGCCACCGCCGTTCGGCACGCCATGGTTGTAGCGGTGACTGCCATGGTTAAACATGCTGTAGGGATTATGCGCGGCCGGGGAATGCGCGCCGGGCGACCGGTTCGGTGAAGGGGTGTCGGACGCTCCGGAGAAGAGGTTGCGGTTATTGTTGATGGGAGAACCACTGCGGTGACCGGGGTTGCGCGTGTTTCCGTAGAGATACTGGCCGCCAAACCGCCCGAACCCATCTGCCATGCCCAGTCGAGCGTGCGCACAGTCTCGGCCTCGTGTTGGTGGATATTATGGGGTGCTTTGCTCGTGATATCGGAGGTGAGGACATCGGCAATGGCTCGAGCGATGGTTGTATGCCTGCCTCAGTGCCAGAGATTGAAATGCAGTCGGGGAGCAATCGTGGTGATGGCTTCCTCAATGATAGTGTTGATTGACGGGAGAGATATGTGTGGTTGAGATGGATACACGAAAGCGTGGGAGCTGTATCGGTGGAGGGGGTTGATTGCGAGGGCAAATCGCTGTGTTTCGTGCTCGCTGGGGTTGTCGGCGGTTGCGAACGACGTATCTCATGCGCCGTCCGTTCTGCAGCGGAATGGCTGGAACGGGCCGACTCCGGGGCAGTAACACGTGACTGCGGAGACGCCTCCGCAAAATCCAAGCTTCAATCAAACCACAGCAACCTCCTGTAGTACGTAGTTCATCTTCCAGACTAAGACCCTGGATGGCTGGAAGACTAAGGTATACCCACACTCCTCCATTACACGTATCGCGCTATGCGCAGCAAGCCCTTCCGGAGCTGCCAAGCCCTGAACGAAGGGCCCTCCCGGAGGTAGTTCAGACTTGCCACGGAATCAAGCTACACTTTATCAAGCAAGCCACTTTCCAAGCGGCATCACATTTGGCGAGTCTTCAGCCGGCTTCGACCAGCCCTATTCGTCTGCAAGCTCTCGTCCTTTCTGCAGAGTCGCGTCTCGCCCGACGCTTGAGTTTGATTGTCCCGTGTATGGCTGCTCGGTTCGTAGGATGCAGTCAACGATCGTATATTACACCCCCTGCCCCTCCCACCCAATCAACCCTCTCCTCGCCTGCGCCCTCACCCAAAAAGAATGATAACTCGCATAATCCCTCCTTCCACTCATCCCCAACTGCGCCGCCACATTCACATACCCCTCCTCCCCCCTCATCAACCCCTCCCTCGCCATCTTTCTCGCCGCCTCATCACCCGCACTCCCACCTACCACCCCTTGCTCCTCCCAAGGCGTCCGACAGAATGGACATGTCACCGCCCCTCTCCCGCCGGTTTTCGTCGCGGCCCACTGCCGAAAACACTCGGCGTGGATGTTGTTGCCGCATGCGGCTTTGCAGTAGACGACGGACTCGCTGCTTTCGGGCTCGAAATCGACGCAGCAGATGGGGCATTCGCCTTCGATTGGTTTGCGCTTGCCGTCCTGCTCTGGTGGGCTTGCGGCGGCGGTCTCGGAGGGTAGGGGTGGCGCGTTGGCGAAGATGGAGCGGAGTTCGGAGGATGTAAATGCTAATTGGTACTCTAGTTCTGCCGGTACGCGCAGAACACGGGAAAGAATGTAGGCGATGTGTTTGCATTGGTTCCCTTTGCGCGCGTGGGGACAGTCACAGGAGGGCACTTGGTCGACGACGATGGTGTAGACGTTGCCGGTCGTGCCGGCGAGTGAGATGGTTTCCGTGGGGTAGTCTGAATTGGTGGTGCTGCGCTGGCGGTCCAGGACGAACATGCGCTGGGTTAGGGCGCGGTCGCGGATTTCGAGGTAGGAAGATGGGGCGTGTTTGCGCCAGCGACGGAGGCGTTTCTCCTCGTCCTTGGACTTCCTGACTTTCGACTTGGGCGCTTCATCGTCGTCTTTGAGCGGGGATTGCTTGCTTCGCTTCTTCGGCGGCCCTGCGCAAATGGCAGACCCATGCGACTTGCGCTTCTTGGGTGGCGTATCTTGGGTCAGGTCTATGAATGCCGGGCCAGCGTCGCCGACTTTGCGCTTCTTCGAGCCACTCGGCCTGGGTAGGGTGGTGGCCTCTGCGACTTCCGCGTGCTTACTCCCATTATTGCGCGCGGAGCCTGGCGCTACGTAGCCCATCGTGTTGCGCGTATTCTCCAGTCCTGAAGCAGTAGGAAAGAGTTCAGTCGAGCGATACAGATCGAGAACCGAAGTGGAGTCAGTAGCCGTACCTTACGCTACCGTCATCTTCCATGCAATCAAGGGTTCCAGGTTGTTGACCGAATGCCGCCTTTACGACTCGCCACCTCCGCAAAGCCAAAGCGCGCCGTGACCTTGTCTTCACGTGCTTTGAGTGGCGTCGAGCTGGCTGCGCCACAGATCAATGACGCGCCTTGGCACGTCACATGTGCACAATACTTTACTACGCTCGTGCATGCGCGGAATATGTTAAGCTTTACCATCTCTCCTCCTCCAAACTCTTCAATTTGCTCGGAATTGAAACATCTTTCACTACCCCGACAAATATACAACGCCAAGATGTCGGGCAAACAGCAGCAGCAGGACATCCCTAACGAAGCGCCGCCCAGCTACGACCAAATCACCGGCAACGGCTCGTCATCTTCACGTCCCACACCCAGCGGCAGCAATACTCTCCAAGTCCCAGGCGCATCCTCACAGCACAATGGCATCCCCGCCGCATCACGACGATCAATGGAGGACGAGAACCGTCCACTGCCCAAAGGTTGGATCCGGTCATTCGATCCACATACACACCATCAATTCTTCGTCGACACCACCAAAGACCCGGTAAGCATCAGCCATATATATAGCGTTCTACCGGCAGCCGAGAACAGTACTAACGCTCTCCATTCGCTGGACAGCCTCGCAGCATCTGGGTCCACCCATATGACGACGACCAATACCTCTCCACCTTGTCGTCGGAAGACCGCGAGCGCATAGAACAAGAAAGCATGGGCCGCGGTCACCCGCCCAGTAAGCAAGACATGATCGCGCACCTGACCGACGATGAAGAAGAAGACGACGACCAACGTCACGCAGGGGGCGCGTCCTCATCCTCCACCTCCAAACCCCACGCCTCCGTAGAACTGCCTCCCCGCCCCACGGACCAGGACAAGGACAAGGGCAAACAAGGCTTCGGCCGCAAACTTAAAGACAAAGTCACCGGCACCACGCACGAGCAGCGCGTGCAAGAACGCGAGCGTCGCGCCGCCGAGGAGCAGAGAATGTACGAGCAGCATCAACGCATACGCCGCGCCATGGCCGAGGCACAACGGACGGGACAGCCGCAACTCCTCGGCAAGGACAAAGACGGCAAGGATGTCTACATCGAGCCGCCCGCGTATCAAGGAGGTTATGGAGGGTATCCGGGCGGGTATGGGTATAATCCGTATGGGAGTGGTGGAGTGTATGTCGTCCCATCTACCCTGTCCACATGGCAGTGCAAGTTGAGCTAACGTGACTGTGTGATAGGTACACGACACCCAACGCGCGCTACATCCGCCCCGCAGACCCGTACTCGAGACCGTATGGATATGGCTACGGAGGTGGGTATGGTTTGCCGCTGGCCCTTGGTGTCGGCGGCGGGTTAATGGGTGGCATGTTGTTGGGTGATATGGCGATGGGCGGGTTTGGTGGTGGCTTTGGTGGGGGTGGGTTCTAAGCGACTGCTATGTGATGACGTCTTGAGGCCCTGGTGGGAGAGACGCTGCGGATACCCTATGATGTACGAAGTGACGAGCGATGAGTATGATGCATGAAGTAGGCGCTGCATGAGATGAATTGGCATCAGATACAAGCATAGCGGCACTGAATGGACTTCATTTCGCAGTTGCAATCCTTCGTACATAGCTGGTAGCTTGCCAAACAGAATAACGTCATTTGCCGGCGACGTCCTCGCCGCCAACACGCCATACTCCTCCCTCAACACCTCAAACGCCAAGCACACTCCTCCCGTATCAGGCCACTAGCTCTCCTCCCTGGTTCACTCCGCCTTACTCTTCTTCTTTTTCTTCTTGATCTGCTCCTCCGGGACCTCTCCCTTCACCAACCCCTCCCCATCGGCCTCCGCCCTTCGCTTCGCCTTCTTCTCCTTCTTCAGCTTCTTCGCCACCGCCTCCTCATCCACCTCCATTTTGACATCCTCCTCCGCCCTCCGCTTCTTCGCCTTCTTAGCCGCCTTCGCATCCGCCGCCGCATCAGCATCGATATCAGCCATATCTACATCAGCATCCGCCGACTTCGACGTCTTCGACTTCTTCTCCTTCCGCTTCTTCGCCTCCGTCGCGTTCCCGGTCACGCCCGGCGCGGCGATTTCTTCTTCTGCGCCGGCGGCGGTGGGGTCGTCGATTTGGATGGACGCTAGGGTTGCTTCCATTGCCGCTTTCTACGAATTCATCCATCATCAGCGAACATGAATCTCAAGCGGCGATGCATGGGTATTGACGTACCATGGCAACCTCATTCTTAGTCGGATTGATTCCCTCGGCATAAAACCTTAACCGCTCCTCCACCTGCCCTTTCAACGCTTCACCAAATTTACGCGTAGGTTGCATGCTGAAGTTGTCAATGCGTGAAGCGATGGATGCTTTGTTGGCCAAAAACCGGGAGATGCGGCCTTTGTTTTTCATGCCTGCTCGGCCGATGAAGCTGCTGTGGTAGATCAGACCGTATTTGGGCGTGTTGCCTTTCGTCTTCAGTGCTCGGAAGAGTGCCTTTTCGGCTCCTAGAATTTGCACGGTGGAGGCCGGGTATTTGGCAAGGTTGGTTAGCGAGCCGGCGTGCGAGATCAGTCGCGCTCCGACTGTTTCTCCTATGAGCGCAGCCAGATTGGGCGCGACGATTCCCATCTTCGCTACGAGGTAGTTGCCAAGAGTCTTGCGGTAGTTGGTCAGATCGACGGTGCGTTGAGCGAACGTCATCACGTTCTCCATATCAGCGTCAGAGATGTCTTGACCCATAGACACACGCGCGGCTTCAATGACGGCGCGCGCTACACTCTCGTCGTCATCCACAAGCTTGGCAAGATCGTGCAGACTGTCTTCAGAGAGTGTCTTCTTGTCGCCAATGAAAAGCGCGCACTTGGCGTACTTCTGGTTCTCGCTGACGATCTTGATGAGTTCCGGAAAGTGCCAGCTATACCACTCCCTCACCCGCATGGAGAAGGTGTTCACGGCTTTGTCGAGATGGTCAATGGTGGCAATGGCTTGAATGATGTGGTTGTCGTTCTTCTGCACGCTGAACTTCACTTTCGCACGGCTGTAAGCGTGGCCGAGACCCAGCTGTGCGCGAGAGACATCGCCGGTCTGCAGGCCCTTGAGCAGCTTCTCGGCGTGCAGACGCAGGCCTCGCAGTAAGTCTGCGACCAGCTCCGACGTCTCGCCCGTCTCGCACTCAATGCCTGGGAAGGCTTGCTTGATGCTGCCTGCCAGGTTTCGATCGCCCACGCCGAGTACGACTTTGTTCTTCGCTTTCTTGCCTGTCGTGGTAGGAAGGTTGCTTTCAAGTACGGTGCGTAGGTATTCGGACATGATACCCTCGCTAACGTCGTTCGCGTTTTCTAGTGCTTGGCTGGCTCCCTGAAACGGCGCGAATGACACAAGCTGGACCATCTTGCCGAAGCGGCCGAGGTCGGTGTGCGCATCCTGTACTTCCTTTAAGCGGGCTCCTACGGTGTCGCTTTGCATCTTCAAGGCGAAGATGCCAAAGCCCACCGGCGACTCGTGCAGAAGGTAGTCGACCGACATGCTGGGCTAGTATGGTACGTAACCAATAATCGTCCTTTTGATATGAGCGACCCGGCGCTGTTCGAGACTTATGTCGCTATCGCCTCATTGCTGCCGCTGTCGCTATGCTGCTGCTCTTCAATGTGCTGCTCCCAGCTTTATCCGCAAAATTCGAGCAGACGTCGGAAGTCGGAGAGTGCCCGCATGACTCGCGCTCGACGACCGGACCGTCGCGACTGTGTCGCGTGCCCCCCACATTCAAAGCTTCTGTGAGCGAGTGCAGTGTTTGGAGAATAACCGGCCAAAGTCCTCTTGTCCTCAGCACACCATCATGGCTTCTGCTGCCCAGTTGTTAAATAGTAAGGCTGAGTCGCGAAGGCGAGGCGAAGCCCTACGCGTCAACATCTCTGCCGGCGAAGGTCTGCAAGATGTCCTGGCGAGCAACTTGGGACCGACGGGCACACTCAAGATGCTCGTCGACGGTGCCGGCGCGATCAAGCTGACCAAGGATGGCTCGGTGCTGCTCAAGGAGATGCAAATTCAAAACCCAACGGCAGTCATGATTGCCCGAGCAGCAACAGCACAGGACGAAATCTGCGGCGATGGGACTACCTCTGTAGTGCTGATGGTAGGAGAATTGCTGAAGCAGGCCGACCGGTATATCAGCGAAGGACTGCATCCACGAGTCATCACCGACGGTTACGAGCTGGCGAAGACAGAGGCGCTGCGCTTTCTCGACACTTTTAAGATCGAGCGAGAACCAGACCGCGAGCTCTTACTCTCCGTCGCCCGAACCAGTCTCTCCACCAAGATCAATCCTACCCTAGGCGAACAACTCACCCCAGCCATCGTCGATTCGGTCTTGGCCATCTACCAAAAGCCAGCGAAACCTGACCTCCACATGGTGGAGATCATGACCATGCAACACCGAACAGCGGCCGACACTCAGCTAATCCGCGGTCTTGCGCTCGACCACGGCGCACGGCATCCGGACATGCCGAAGGAAGTCCGAAACGCCTACATCCTTACCCTCAATGTCAGCTTGGAGTACGAGAAGAGTGAGATCAATAGTGGCTTCTACTACAGCTCTGCCGAGCAAAGAGAGAAGCTAGTCGAGAGCGAGCGCAAATTCGTTGACGAGAAGCTCCGACGAATAGTGGAGTTGAAGAAGGACGTCTGCGGGACGGACGGCAAGAAGAACTTCGTCATTGTCAACCAAAAAGGCATTGACCCACTGTCACTTGACGTGTTAGCAAAGAACGGCATCTTCGCTCTCCGCCGCGCGAAGAGAAGAAACATGGAGCGACTCCAACTCATCTGCGGCGGCATATCGCAGAACTCCGTTGACGATCTCAAACCCGACGTCCTCGGCTGGGCCGGCCACGTGTATGAACACACCTTAGGAGAAGAGAAATTCACCTTCATCGAAGAAGTCAAGGACCCCAAATCCGTGACATTACTGATCAAGGGTCCCAACGCACACACCATCACGCAAATCAAAGACGCCGTCCGAGACGGCCTTAGGAGTGTCTACAATATGATCGTAGACGGCAGCGTAGTACCCGGCGGCGGCGCCTTCCAAGTCGCCGTCGCCTCGCGACTAAACAGCGACGACTTCCAGAAATCCGTCAAGGGGAAAGCAAAATGGGGTGTTTCTGCTTTCGCGGAAGCTCTGCTCATCATCCCAAAGACTTTGGCGGCGAACTCGGGGCATGACATACAGGACTGCCTCGCTGCGCTCCAGGACGAGCATGCGGAGGGTCATACGGCTGGCCTGGATCTTACGCTTGGAGAGCCAATGGATCCCGTGCAGATGGGTGTTTATGATAGTTTCAGGGTGCTTAGAAATAGTATTGCGAGTGCGACGGGGATTGCGTCGAATTTATTGTTGTGCGATGAGATGCTTAAGGCAAGGCAGATGGGCAAATCGGGGCCGCCCGGAGGTGGGGAGGAAGGTGGCGAGTAATGATCAGCATCATATGCATCGTGTCTCGCCCAGGGCGTTCAACATCCTCTTTTGTAGCATTGTGCATAGCGATAGGGGTCCGGAAGACCATTGATGTAGCACATAGATCTGCGCTCCAAAGAGGGTATGAGTTGCCGCTTCCTATTGGGTCCGTGACTGCCCGAGACAGCCTAGCGTCTTCTTCTCAAGCCCACTTTCTCGAAGTCGTGCACAACAATAGATTCGATATATCGCACAGTATCTACTCCTGCGAATGCGCGTTGTTGCGACCATCTCGGGTGGAACATGGGCGACAATAGCAAAGATGCGCCCACGAACGCTCGAGGTATTCCCCAAGCCCCCTTCGTCGACAAGGTTGAAGACTACGTCTCCTCCCGCCAGGATGTGGAAAGATGTCTCAAGAACTTTCAAGAGATGATCTCGTGAGCCAAACATCTGTCTGGTCCGTGAGTATTCCCTCGGACGCGTACTGACAAGAATGCACAGTAAATACCAATTCATGCAAGCCAACACCGAGCGGCGAGCGATCGGCCTTAAGGACAAGATACCCGATATACAGAAGACGCTCGATACAGTACTGTTTCTCAAGTCTCGTGGCAGCGACGACGATGATGTGGAACCGTTTGAGTCGTTCTTCGAGCTCAACGACACGCTTTATGCTAAAGCTGAAGTGGCGAAGACAGATGAGGTGTACCTATGGCTTGGTGTATGTGGCGCGACAATCCTGGTGTGAACGTCCATCTGACCCCAGTGCTGACGCTACGTTAGGCCAATGTAATGCTCGCGTATCCCATCGCCGAGGCGGAGACGCTTCTCCAGTCCAAGCTCGAGGCCGCGCAGTCTTCGCTGGCGAACTGTGAGGAGGATCTTGACTTTTTGCGGGAGCAGATCACTGTAAGCGATTGACACGTGAGCTCACTGAAATTCATGGAGCCGAGCTAACATATTGTGCAGACAATGGAGGTAGCCACCGCGCGCGTCTACAACTGGGACGTGGGCATGCGAAGGAAAGAGAAAGGCGCCGAAGGCGGCTCTGCAAGTAGACAGCCGAATGACGACCCGAATGGATAAGTGTCCGTGCTATAGCTTTCACGCAAGCCCTGTAAGTACTGCTCAAGGCCTCAAAGTACAGTAACACAACGACCTGGTATCGTAAATTCATCAGGCCAGCCCAACCCAATCCCTCCTTGCCCGCGCAAGCCTTCGCGGCGCGCATGTGGTATAAATGACGACGGTAACAATCATAACCCCAACGGCGCTTGCTTGGAACGCACCACGCCACCCATCCAAACGCCAACGCTAATGTGAGCATAAGCTCGAACCCAGACGCACAACTTGCGCACTAATCAAGCATAATAACGTCAGGTTCCTCCTTAACCTTGACCGCCGTCTTAGAGGCAGTAGATTGTGCAGCCGGTTGCGAGGCATTAGTGGCAGTCTTGCCCGGCGCAGACTGTTCGATTGGAGCAGTCTCGCCACCGCTCTTCTCCACTGGGTCCGCAATGGATTCGAATCGCCGCATGACCTCGTCTAACTTCATGACCACGACCGCGATGCCAGCCGCATCTGCAATCGCCCCGTTCCCAACGCCGAACCATCCTTGCCCCTTTTCGCGCCACAGACCCTTCAGCGCCGCCTCGAAGCCCTCGGGCAGTATGGTACTTTCTGACCGAGGCGCGTGTTGCGTTAGATGCCAGAAAACCTTGGCTTTACCGTTCCTTCGCTTGGTGTCTGATTTGATGGAGAACTTGCAGACCGGCAGAGGAGCCCTGTAAGCGACTTCATACCAGACAATACCTCGAGCATGAGCGGTGGCAGTTCGCCTGGCGAGATGCGCCGTCTCCAAACGGTCGAAAGCTTGTAGTAGAGGTAGAGTAAGCGACAACGTAGAAGCGAAGAATATGAAGGAATTAGTAATGCGGGAATTCAGACACCGCTCGAGCATGATCATAATGCGTAAATGCGGGTTGCTGTCAGCAGGCTCAAGCTTCAATCGGACGGGCAAGCTGCCGTCGTTCGCAAAGGACAGTTGAGCATCGAGCTCCGGCGACTTGCTGTACGTAAAGCACAACTTCGCCAAGCTGACAAACGTGCAGGTGTAATGCAGTTTCTGTAAAACGTTGATGTAGCCGTCTAATCGTTCGACGCTCCTCAACCTCGTCTTGACCTGACCAAGCAAGGGCTCGCCAAACGGTGTTTGCAGCCGCAAGGCTAAGCCACCGTTGTCGTTCATGACGGTATCCGCACCTGACGTAGGTTTAAAATGTTGTCGCAGGTGTGGCAGCCGATCCTTGCCGATAGAAAGTCGCAGATCGTGCCTAACCAATGCTCGCTCGTCACCGTCGGATGCCGCATGTACGCTGCCATCCCGGCCATGGTACGAGATCCGAACTGCATCCCGCGCCCAAGGTTTCCAATCCTTGTCCGTCGTATCTCGCATGAGCGCCGAGAACTGCACAAAGGATACTTCGTTACTGTCAGGACCTCTTCTGTGTTTCACATCTGTCAGCGCGGACGCCTTCTTTACATCATACGGAACCTTGAGCTCGTCGAGCTGCCGTGACAGTACCAAGCGGGAAATCGTAGCGCCTGCTCGCCTTTCGACCCGCACTAGCGAAGCGCGAGAGATCTCCGTTGGTACGCCGAAGATGTCCGTGACGTCCAGTTTGTGTGCTTGGAGAACTTCAGTCGAGACACGATCTGGGTTATCCTGTGGTTTGACGCTTTTAAGCTCCATCACCCACCACGTCTCGCCGCCAAGACCAAAGGTAATGCCAAGACCCCATTGCTGACCGCAGTTTGGCAAGGAGAAGACTGAATGTTTCCACAGGTCGGTACCGAACTTCTCTTTCGGAACTGCAACGTTACGGATCGGTTGCCAGCCAACAAGCTCTGATTGCCGTTGATATAGATCCTGCGCCATGCCACACACGACCGTGGCGAGTAGGCGCGGTACGTCGACACTGACTTCACGATTAAGCACTCGTTCCGCACTTGCTGTTGCTCTACTAGGCGGCGCGAGCGAGAACTGTCCGCTTATAGGTTCCAGGCTGACCCTCAGTGGTGTACGGAGGGAGGGTATGTTCACGCTTAAAGCGCGATCATGCACTGTAGTGTCCGGGTTGGGCATGACAGCGGACAATGCGCTCGAGCCTGGTGCCGTACGGTCTTTGATGGTATGTAGTCCGTCCCGCGCCATGGCAAGCTTGCCAAAGCAGTGCTTGGAGATGACTTCCATAAGAGCAGCCTCCAGATTTAAGTTCTGCCAGTCAAACTGCAGCTGCTCGTCTCTGACTTCCTGACCTTTACGGAACCAGCGAACACACAATGTAGGAGTTGACTTCTTGTTGGAGCCAGACTTGCGTGTCCCACTGCTAATGCCAATCTCGAACCAGCTTTTTGGTCCTGGCATGCCGGCCCAATACTGAATGATCAGACTCCGGCGCAGACTCTCGATCTTGATGCAATCGAACCACTTGCTGCGTATGAGGTCCTGTGCTTGGCTGCGAAGCACGTTAATTTTGTGCGTTAATACAAAGTTGTGTAGGAAGCCGTAGCATCCTTGGAGGCATGCACGACCAAGTGCCTCGTTCGCTCTGGGCTCAAGGTGTGCACGTAGCTGATCGTTCAGTGTGTCCGAGCTAGGCGAGAATAGGAAGCGTACGTCGATGAAGTACCAAGGGCTAGCCGGATCCTCATCAGCTACCGAGAGATCCACTTCAAATTCCCCTGAGACGCTGAAAGTCGCTCGGCCGTTGGCGATTGTGTATTGATTCATAAATGGCGGAAGCTCGTCGTGAAGATTTAAACGTGTGGCAAGCGCAACATTCATGTCGCGCAGAGTGCTCAGAAGCTGTTTAGCAGATAACCGCTTCGGCGGGATATAGCCAAGATCCGGCACCCACGACGCCTTCCCGGTCGCTAACAGCTCCATGGCGCTTTCAATATTCGGCGCTGGCACCTTGAAGTCCAGCATCCTACGCTTCGTATGACCGATGGCTTCCAGAGTGTGCGCATAAGCCCAGCGCTGCTTGTCTTGCCATATCTTGATGTCAATAAGCTTGGCCATGTCCTCTTCATTCCGGCTGTAGTCGGAGAGGACAAGAGTCTTCGTGAAGCGGTCCCGCTGGTCATGCGCAAACTCCATGAACATGCGCTTCTTCCGCAGACTCAACTCGGATGTGTCTGTTTGATCATGTGGTAAAGCACCATTGACCTGCGGCGCTCCATCACCCGGCGCACCCAGTTCTGACATCTGTGTCAGTGTGGAGTTCAGATCCATGTAGCATTGCTGAGCTAGACGGTCCATTAGCTTGCCTAAAGACTTGTTATGCTCCGAGGTTCGCCATGACTGATCCAGCTGAGGAGGAAGATCCGCGTCTGCGAGCGCCATGTTTACATCGCTGTGTCCATTACCACTTACGACAGTCCCATTCATGGAGGGTACGCCGTTTGGCATACCGCCGATAACTTGCGGCGCATTGCCGTCAGAGTTTGTTTGCTGTTCTGCCGTAGCACGCTGCGTTTGCGCATGACTTCGGTCCTTCTTGAGGTCTGGCGGACCCGCCGCTTCATGCTGATCCATCTTCAGTAACCCTGGCATTTCATTCCTGCCGGCCGCCGGAGCCTCCACCCGCCCACCACCACTCCCCGCTCCCTCCCCACGTGAGCCGTCCTGCCGTCCGTTTTGCGACTCTATCTTGCCTGTCGTGCCTTCCGTATAATCATGCCTGGCTTCCTGTTCCTGGACGAACAACAATCCGTAGGGCTCAAAGTGCCGCTGATCTTTGCAATGTGTCAAGTGATGTGTCGTGAGAGATGTCGAAGTAAGCAGAAGTAGGGCAGAGAGGTGGTCACGCCTTCAAGCAGTATCCAGAAAGGTGTGAATGCCCAGTGCTTTGGTCAGTGATGTCAGGGTTCCAGAAAGAAGTATAATGGATGCCTCAGAGACAGTGCGGTCGCTCTCTTGCGATATGAGTACTCTGTTGTAAACGTCTCTAAGCTACCGAGCAGCCGTCATCAAACAACGCGAAAGGTGGTGTTGCGTTGCGGTGGTAGTAGATGATGTTCGTGCAAGAGCCAGCCGCGGGCATTCCAAGAGCGCATCGGCAAGCTAGGCGAGATGGCGCGCAGGGCACCGGCCTTCCCGTCATCTCTAAGCCTAATTCGATCATCGCTGCCGCAGCCGGATTGAGTCAGCAGGGCTGTCAGTGGAGTGACAGCGACCAATCAATGTTCACTCCACTCTCACTGCGTATACAGGACGTCGCATAGACGCGGTCTGTGTTGGCGGGTGCGCGTCCGCAAGCGCATTTGTGACAATACTACCATCGATTTTGTCACTCGACGATCGGGTAACGTTGCCAGGGTACAGCGCGTGGCTATTGTATACGGTCATCCCGTTGCTACAGGCAAGGCAGGTCGGACACTATTCTACCTGCAGCACGTCTCGATGTGACATTCGTGTCGCCGCCACGCAGCAAGCCCCTAGCACCTCGCTGTACGCCGTTTTGCTGGAACACATCTGCGTTGCGGTTTGCCTCAATCCACAACCTTTAGCATACGGTACGCCTGATGCGAAATCGCCTTCCTAACGACACCTAGTGGATCCTGTTTCTTTACCTTCTTCTCCACCACAACTTCGCCGCCTTCCTCAACATCCATATCTTCCACGGTCTCCTCCGCATCGGGGTCCTCAAATTGCCCGTTGTCGAGGAACATTTTCAGCTGGCCCTGACTGTACCCACTGACAAGCGCCGTACCCACTTCCGCAGCAGTGACAGGCTTGGGAGCAGTCTCGTCTCCTCTATTCGGCATGCCGTCGACGTAGCCCGCCCGACCACCGGCGAGGTTCCAGAAGATCAAACGTGGCATCTGGTAGCCATGCTTCTTGAACCCCCTCTGAATGCGTTTGTACGAAGTACTCCAGGCGCTCGAATCTCGCATGAAGGAGTTGGCCGTTGCCTGGTCGAACTGCATGTCGCTGAACACAAAGACCTGCTTGACCATCTCCTCTGGCTTCAACTCATGCTCGAGCGCCATAGGCAGGATTAACTGCTCGAAGACGGCGACAAAATCGGTGTTCATCCCCCACTCAGTGCCACACATGTACTTGACCTTCTCCTCGAAAGTGCGTTTGTCATCTGGCCCACCAACGCGCACGACCTTTGGGTTCGCACTGAAGGTGATACAAGCTCCGCCGAACGGTGGCTGGGTCACTTCAGCAAGGAGGAGTGAGAGTCCGATGGCGGAATCCATAGGGCAGGTGCCATCAGCGAAGACAGGATAGCTCATAGAGCCAGAGACATCGCAGACGGCAATAGAGGAGGAGAGAGTGCCGTTGTCTCTGATGCGTTGTACGAGGGTGTTCCATTGGCCGTTGCTGACCTTCATCTTCATCTGATTGAGCTTTGCGCCAACAAGTGCATTGATGCTCTTTGATTTGGACGCACCAGGTGCACCGAAGGAGTGGCGGGCGTCCTTCACTATCGTCGAAGGGAGTAATGTAGCACCAGAGATCTGGGACCTGCCCTCGGCGACATCCGTGATGTACTTGTCGAAGCGCTCGCTATCCTTCTTTGCGAAGAGTGACGAATATCGCGCCATAGCGAGTGACGGCACTTGATCGTACTTGATCTCGCCGAAAGCCTTGGCGGAGATGGGACGCTCGACGATCTGGAGGTGCTTACGCAGCGGTGACAGTGTCTTGAAGCGGTACGCCTCACGTGCATATTTGAGGTAGGTGGTGCGATCGCCGGCTTTGACAGTCGTCGGACAAATCTGGTCGAATGTGTAGAGCGCCTCGGCGATGGAGCTCACAATGCAGGTGTGCTGATCGTGCATCTCTTCCGGCGAGGGAGCCCATTTCCCAGCCAAGGTGATCTTCTTGATCTCCGCTCTGTCACCAGAGTTCAGGCGAGATGTGTCAAGCTTCAGCTGTGCCGCAAACAGACGGGCCACAGACAGGTGCAAGGCTTTGTAGACATGATCGCTGTCGAGCTTCTTGACGGCATAGTCGTGGCGCTTCGCGGTCCGAAGCTTCTTGTTGCCTCCTTTGGTCCACTCACGCTTGTATGGCTCCGGCGCCTTTACGTTCAGCACTTTGCTCGGCGTACCATCAACCTTCAGCTCACCGTTGACCGCCAATACAAGGATGTTGAGCAGGTCTTTCCAGTAACCGTGTGCCACGCCATACTTGATGTCGAACTCGTTGAGCTTGGCCTCGTCGTCAAGCTTCAGCCTCTTTGTTTCCGGTTGACTCTCCGGCTCAGGACCGCTGTCGATGAGCTCGAAGTCATCGCCGACTTCGCCGGTGCCCTTCTTGCGTTCCGCATCCTCTGCTTTGGGCGCCTTCTTGGGTATGAGTGGACGCACAAGCCAAGGCAAATTGACCAGCAGAGTAGCTGGGTGTTCTTGAGCAAGCCACCCAACCGCCCTATAGAAGGTGCCACGCGAGCTTTTGCCGAGATGGATGGACCGAGCATTCCAGATAATCTTCAATGTTGCCTCGCTGTCTTTGTCCCACGCTCTCTCAAGCACTTGGCGGAGACGTCTACTGGAGATGACGTCCTCTAGCTCATAGAAGAGGTCCACCAAGGGCTCTCCGGACGTACGATATGCCACATCCGCATTCTCGGTTAACATCTTACCATCACGCTCGTCGAGCGTAGGGATTGCTGACTTGTCGGAAAGGAGGCCGTCCATGAAACCAGAGCGCTCCGGGGCTCTGTCATCTGGTCGATCGTTCGTGGCGTCACCGTCGCTATTACTGCCCCGGGTAGGCTCGGCGTCTTTCTCGCGGACGGTAAGCTTGACAGTCTCCGTAGAAAGTCCCGACGCCGCGATATCAGCAATCCGTGCCCTGGCCTCAAGCAGGGACTTGATGTATCTGTCGAACTCGGCGGTTGATAACCGTAGCTCCGGCATGTCGGGAAGATCGCAAGGAAATGACGTGTCAATCATGCGGTGCACAGCCATGGTAGCAGGCTCAGTAGCAACCTCCATCTCGGTCGATATCGTCGTGGCCCAAGCCACGGTCGTATATATGAGAATTGTGCGGTCAATACGCAACTATCAGGTAAACACTGAAAGATGAAGAGAAGTTCTAGGAAAAGCCGAGGAAGGTGCGATGCACTACATGTAAGGCTCTCAACGTGGCAGGGGCGATACGAACGCACCTTCTCCCAGTTGACTCATGGTACAGTCCAAAGGCTGCCCAAGGCAGGAATCGCCTTCTTCAGACACCGCTGCACGGAAGCAAACCTTCACGAATCTGGAATCTTCATCGGTGTCGCTGCATGCTCGTCAGAGTAGACGGTGTTCTGCTCTGGTTGGCGATGCTCGCCTGCACGAAGCCGAGAGGTGTCTGCCTGTGCGAAAGTGAGGCTGCGTCGTTCGTATTCACCGCTCGCCCCATCGGCTTATCTAGCTGCGGCACATTGCATAAGAGCATAATGCTCTTACTCCGAAACTGACGTGACTCGAGTTTACGTTCCGCAGAAGGAGAGTCTTGCAGCTATGCGTGTGAGTGATGGAGCAGCAAACGATTCCGTTCGAGTCATCTTAGCCATCAGCAAAGCAATAGCCAAAGCTCGATTGGTTGGCTTGTACGGGCGCTAAAGGCTGGCTGCAGCAATTCAACTTATATGAACTCGTGTCGTTCCTCTTCCACTTATGCCCTCGCTGCCTTCAGCTCCAACACGGCAGCATCTCTGCGGGCTAACGGGCTTGCTGGCCCTTATCAGCCCCAGGCGCATACCGCATATCTGCTGTAGGCATTTAACAATACTATCTCCGTCACACGCGCATCTGCAAGCTGAGAGAAGGCATCGCATCTGCGTTGCGTATGTACTTCCTTCACAACCAAGTCAACGCTGAAGCGTCGTTAAGAGTATCAGGTCATTACACACTACTCTGTGCGACTCCAGTCAGTTTCCCGCTGCCCGCTTCCGCGCTTTGTCCTAGCACAATGCTATTAAACGGTATTTGCACCTCTCATTTCTTTGTTGATGGAATGTTATGCCCTTCCTTCCTTCTCTGCATTGTCCCCTGTGACCGCAGAATAAATACCATTCCACCCACCGAGACTATGTGGCCGTTAAGCAGCCTTGGGCACCGAGAGCCGCAAGCAGCCAAGTCTGCCTCCGGAGAAGCCTCAACAGCTTCCGCGCACCCACGGTAAGCCTCTTCCGCCTGTCGAACATCTGACTGACGATGGCAGGGACACGCCGCGAGCTGCAGAACCTCCACATCGATGCCAAGCCTTCTCTCACCTCCGGTCAGATCGCTCGCTCTAACGCGCAGACCTACAACTACAAAGGTAGCAGGTATGAGTGTGAGGCTAAGGAGACCAACAATGGAGCAGCCCAGCCGCTAAGCACAACGAAGCCCTCAAACTCGAGGCGGGCGCTCGAGGCCATCATCGGCGAGAAGGTTGTCAACGGTAAGTCAATGTATCTGGCGAAGTGGGCTGACCATCCTGCCGCAGATGCAACCTGGGGTCCTGTGGAGGTCTTCGGCGCTCAGAAAATGGCGGATTGGCAGGCTGAGAAGTCTCTGCTCGAGGACACTGAGCTTGGTGTCGACATTGACGAGGCTCTAGAGCTCGTGGATCTTGTCGAGGCAGGGCTGCTCGATGATAGCATTCTGGAGGCTGGGAACACGATGGCGAGTTAGTGTGATGTGCCAAAGATAGCAGGTAGGTCTCAGCCAGGACCTAATGGAAGTCCTACTCGCATACAAAGTCAATGACGTTTCACCAACAGACTTGTTGTTGTGTCGCGCAGACGCCACTCCTTGTTATTGCAGCGAACCTTCAAGTGAAGCGTTTCAGGAGTCTCGTCGAACCTTTCACACTGAAATGTAAACATCAACACCTTGCAGTGCTGCTCAGCGGTATGAAAGTTGAATCTTGCGGGGTGCGCCACGCTATAGACTGTGTATCAACGCTGAACGCAGCAATGCCATGCAATCAGCATACCCTTCGAAGCCCGCTCGTACTCTCCGTGCAAGCATTGCCCATGTGTTTGCTCATCAACCGGGACGTAATTATGTCAGGGGTCTGCTGCCACGACTCAGCCGCTGCAAACCGACCGGCATCTTCTCCGGCTGCTTGCCTAGACCAGCCTTGCGAGAAACTGCTCCTTCAACACCTCGTACAAGAAGTTGAACTGCGACTCTCCCTGTACCATCATCATGCGCTGCTGCCTTAGCAAGTCGACAGTCTCCGCAATTGGATCTGCGTCTGCGGGCACATTGTCAAGCTCTCCAGCGTACATCAGACTTAGTAGGTAGTCCAAAGCGATGAAGGTCCCGCTACGGCCCACACCGGCAGAGCAGTGGATGATGCGCGGATTGTCTTGGTCTGTTGACGAGAAGTCTTCAGCGGCTGATGAGCCATTCGTATGCGCCGCAGAGTTGCTAGAGGGTCCGCGATTCAAGCGAGCGGACAACCGGATCAGATGGATGAGAGCCTCTCGGTCTTCACCTTCCGGTATGAGAAAGTCAGGCCAACCGGAGAAGAGTAGATGGTGGATTTCTTTTTCCTGCGGTGCCGCAATGCCGGCTCCATCTCCCGTCCGTAAGCGTAGTCGCCGCACCTCGCTCCTGCTGCCAATATCCGGCTCGACTGAAAGCAGCTTGACATCCCCACTGAAGCCATCCGCAACATCCTGTTCGTCGGACAGAACCAGCGGTGACTCCTGCTGGCTAAGCGGATAGTACTGAAAGCACTTCTCCTTCCCACTCTCATGCGTTTGCGTGAGCATCACCACCACTCCACTATTACCTCGTACCTCCTCCGCCACCATACGCCAAAAGTGGCTGACATTCGTGTCCTTTGGCCCTTGGGTTGCGATGTATCTCCGCTTCCCTAGCCGGATAGGACTAGCATTGATGTAGTCGCTCATACCCTCCGCTACTTTCAGCTTAATCCGGTTCGAAGCAAAAGGTTCCACATTCAAGTATCTGTTGCGTGCCATGACCACGTCGCCGCCGAGACGCGACCATTGTGAGGGTGAACCTGCATCGCTGACGGGAATCTGGGTGCCTTGGAGGAGACGGTTACGCTGCTGCCACTCAAGGTCAACGAACTTATTGTGGATGTCCGCCTTGCTCTGGCGTAGGAAGGCTGGTAGTCTTGAGTTTGCAGCGGTGTCAGCAGCGGAGGGCGCCGCCATAGCGGAGAAGGTGTTTCGGAAGGCTGCAGTGCCGTCACGCGAACATGCGGCAGCCGACTTTGTGCGCCAGTGGATAGTGCTCGATGGTTTATGCTTGCTTAGCCAGACAAAGACACGTTGAGCGATTATGATAGCAATCCCCCGACCGGGATTCAGGTATGGCTCTTTTTGGTCGCTATGCACGATTGCGGCTCAGCGTTCGAGAAGGGAAGGAGTGTTTGAGAGCTCGGCACTGGGATTGATGAGAGCGAGGAGGTGTAAATGCTGACGCACCGTACAGTGTGAATGAAGAGATGTGGAAGACTTACGCCGGTCACCAGACCTGACTCGCTGGAGGCGCATATGTATGTCAGCTAATCGTTGGTTCTGTTGTAACTCGATGATGGAATTGGTGGGCGCATCTGAAACAAGCGCCAGCCACGTTCCCGGCCCGCCTGGACCCACGAAGGCGTGTCACAATGTCATCGGCAGCCCAAGTGCTTGGTCAGCGACTTGAGATGCATCTACAGACCCTAGCCTTCGTTGTTCCTTTCCATCATCATTGTTGAAAGTGGTGTCACCATGGCGCCGTGGCTTCAGGTCGTGGAGGCATTCCTGGTTCAGCAGCTTCTCCGCCAGCCCACCTTCCATCGCGCCGTGGAGAAGGTGGCGAAGGGTGTGCACCGGCTACGCCATGGTACGCCACCAGAGGAGTTAGGCGGCACGAAGCTCGATCAGCCTTCAGGCATGCTCGGCCACTTCCTGGACGAGGTCAAGACGCAGCTTGGCGGGGCGGAGAACAAGACGGGAAGCAAAGCTGGAGTCAACCTCGACAGCCGAGCGTTGAGCCATCAAGGCGTTAAGACCCCTGCGGAGCGGCAGGCTGCTCGTGTTGATGAGATGAATGCTGAGGCGGCGTGGGAGGAGATCCAGCGCAACGCGAGCCAAGGGCCAAAGCAGAGCCTTGTCGAGGAGTACGCAGATACTTTGCGGCAACAGCTTCGGGGCGGCAAGAAGTCGTGAAATGTGCACGTTTGGAAACGAACGATAGCAACGCCCATTATCCAAGGTGGCGAATATGAACAGGAACGACACAACAATACCGCAAGGGCAAGCTCACGTCCAAGAGACTGGAGATTGCAAAACCAAGATCAAGTGCAATCTGCCGAGTGCTGGTGGCGTTTGGCCACTCATTCCTTGATTACTACGACCTCCTGCTTCCGCAGAGATGCTTTGACGGCGTTTTCGCTTGCGAAGATGTCATCAATCTCTTCAAGCGATCGGCCCTTTGTCTCGACGAAGAAGAAGTAGATGACGACAATGCCCATGAAGTCCACCACGAAGTACAAGAAATAGAACTTCTGTTCAACATTAGCAGTGTGCCTACCAGCTTGACAAAAGCGGATCACTAACCCATCCGGAGTTCGTTATGCCGACCGGCGCAGCGTATGTGTTAACGAAGGCCACAATGTTGAGCCACAGACCGGACATTGCCAGCCCCTTACCGCGCGCATTATACGCCAAGACCTCAGCTGGGTAGAGCGCCTGGCACGGAGTCCAGACGAACGCGAATGCAAATAAGAAGACATAGACGAACGCAATGCCAGTCATGCCAAGATGCGGGTTCTGGTGCTGCAGTGCGGTGCAAATAATTATCATTAGAACGCAGAAACTGCAGACGGAGCTTGAGCCCATCAGCATGGGCCGGCGGCCTGCCTTGTCGATGAATCGGACTCCCAACAGGACGCCAAGGGTCATGACAGGGCTTTGGAGGGCGTTCATGAGCAGCTGCTGTTTGGTCGACGTGATGCCTGCTGTCTTCGCCATGAGTGGCATGTAGTAAGACGTTGGCGGAAGGTCAATCTGGCCGAAGAAGCCAATACAGAGGACCAAGAACATGCGGTAGCGGGCTGCACGAGTGTTGAATAGCTCGCGGTAGTCATACCAGCGCTATACGACTGTCAGTCTATCACTTTTCTCCGTGCTTTCGCATTTGAGAGCCTCGACTTACCTTGTCACTACCAGATGTCTGTATCGCTTCCCTCATCTCATCCATCTGGATGCGGACAATGAAGTGCTCGGGATCGCCTTCACCGTGATACTTCGCTAAGATCCTCTGCGCCTCCTCTTCGCGCCCACGACTCATCAGCCAGCGTGGTGACTCTGGCAGGAACCAAACGAAAGCCAGCACAATCACGCAAGGGAGGGCCTGTGTAGCCATCGGAAAGCGCCAGTTCAGCTCGCCCTTGGAGTTGTCCACGAGACCGTACTCGAGCCAAGTGCTGACAATTGCGCCAATGAAATAGCAGCCATTGTACAGACCCATCATGACTCCGCGATACGCAGGATGCGAGATCTCTACAGTGTAGGACTGCGCACTGGGACCGAGCATGACCGATCCGACACCGAGCAGAATACGACCAACGATCATGTCGCGACGCTTGAAGGCTGCAGCCTGTATGACTGTCCCGATCACGACCACAAGGTTGGCAATAGCCATGCCCTTGCGGCGTCCGAGGTTATCCGCTAATGGGCCTGCAACGAAGGAGCCGAGGACGTTTCCTGTCCTTACAGTGAGCTATGTGCAGAAGCGCGAGAGCGAAACCTCAACGCACCAAGAATATAAAGCGCCGCCAGAAAGCCTTGGCTCGACGCGACGTTCGTACCGAACCGCCGCTCGAAGTCCGGCAAGGCAGAGACGCCGCCGAAGGTGTTACCGTCGAAGCCGTTCGCGGCGCTGTTCATGAAAGCGACGAACAGGATTGGATAGAGCATCAACAACCCTTTGGACCACGGACTCGGCTTGTCTTGTGCAATCGCCGCGGCGAAGCGTGAGTCTTGGACGGCTTTAACCTCATAGTCGCCCTTCGCAACTGCAATATCCAGCTCAGTGGGTGACTGAACCTCTTCAATTTGCGTCGCTGTCGGCTTGGTCTCCTTGACGTCCATACTGGCGACGAACTAATCTGATGGCACGGAAGACCTTGGGTGTGCTTCTACAACGCTGCAGCAGTCTTGCCTGGGATATATATGCACGGCGAGTATAGCAGCTCCCAGTGATCGGCGCCAACATGCCGTGTTGCTCTTCACAGGGCAGCTGCGAGGTAACCATATTTGGTCGACTGGTTTCGCCCCGACCGGGACTGCGTGCCTTGGTTCCGGATACACGAAGACAGTGGCGGTCAATCCTCCAATCTGGTAGCAACATTCGGATACCGGCACTGGTACTTGGCTCGGAGGAAGAGCAGTAACCCTGCCCTTCGTACCGCTCGTTGGCGGAAGCGTAAGTGACTTCGCAGTAGCACAGCGCGACTAGCAGCCTTCGGACCACAGGCCGAGGCCGGTCTTTGAATCAATACTACCCCAATGGCAGTGAGCTGCATGCATCGTCGAAGCGCATGGAGTAGCAGTTGAGGCTGCAGTCCAGCCTTCAGCCAGAACGGCGGGTTGCGCATGGCAAGATCCTGCAGTTTGAATGGGACAATCGCCGATGGGCTAGTGCTGTGGCTCTACGTGGCATTCCTAGTTCTCGAGGGTCATGACAGATGCGTGGAGATACTTTGTGATTACCGTTTCGAAAGGTGAAGGGCGGAAGAGTTGGAAGAAGTACCGAACTACATAAAAGCGAAGATCACTCATAGAAGATCAAGCATCGAACCTCAATCGACTGCCGACCTGGTGCATCCTTCGGTGTGTTCGGGTCAATGAAGGCAGTATGTGGTGTCCGCAGTGCCAACCCTTGCTTGCCCTCCGGCATACCTTCACCTCTCGAATCGAAACACTTCAGCAGCATCACTTCATCAGGCGTCATGTCCTTCATGTAGTAGAACTTGTGCGCTTCGTTAGGAGCAACTCCCAGTGTCTCGCCTTTCACCTCGTAGCCCTCGGTTGAGTCGTGGGCGCTCGGATCAGGAAGCTTCTCCTTCCCACGGTCATCATTGTCCGTGACAGAGTCCGCGCGCTTCGGATACATGAGATCTGTGGGGACGAAGTCGCCAGGTGACGTTGACCGCCAGTCGACAACGGCTAACGGAAAGTCGGAGGCTGGATTCTCGATCGGTCGCCAGACATTGATGATCTGGTAGCGACCTTTCAACAGTTCCTCAGCCTCATCTGGCAAATGCCTTCTCACCCGTACAGCTGCCGCACCTGGAGTCTGGTCGACGTGGACTTGCTGGACAGGCTGTCGTGGTGAATCGCGAGTGCGACGTCTGATGGTATGGTCGAAGATGTAGACCTTCTTCACGCCAGGCAGTCTCTCCCGCAGCAGGTCTTCGACTTCCTTGTAGTAGCTCTCCCTCACTGCGGCGTCATCTGTAAACTTCTTCTCCCTCGCCGGCTTATTGTACACTGCGAAGCCAGAGACATCTGTGCCGAAGTCGTGCTCTCTGCCGCGGATATTGTGAATAGTTCGCTCATGGTCTGACAGCTTGAAAGAGTACCCTGGACCGTCAACCTTGGCCCATGGTTTGCCACTGTAGCTGTTTGGGTCAATATGCTTGAAGACTGCGGTTGTCATGCTGGCTCGTTGTACAAAATTCGACCGAACAGGGGCACGAGTCGTTGCTTGTAGGAGGCGCTGGTGGAGAGGAGTCGATCTCGGGAGCATACGAAGAAGAGGGATTCGGTCGTGATAATGCTGAATTGTTGGTTCTACCACTTACCTTATGCCTCGCCTGTACTTATATCCGAGAGCGGCAGGTCGAAGGCGTCATCGGGAATTAATCGGCGTCGACACACTCGGTGATCCATTGACTTCTTCCAGCGATTTCGCAGCGAGGCTTCCCCGATCAAGACCCGCGATGACAATTCGTGTGTACAATCCAGCGCTCTCTGGACAATGTCGGCGAAGACTTCTCACTTCAGCCAACTGTCTGATTATAGGTTTATCCCTCGGTTTACGGCAGTTAGCCCTTCACTCACGAGTCACGACTCTAGCGGCAAACTCCGCCGTGCACAGTCGCCGTTTCAAATTGACGACACGTCGATATCGCTAGGTCAAACACTTCCGGTACCCTCACCACGATATGGCTAGCACCAAACCAAAACTTTAAGTGGCAATGGGGCCGGGATGGTGAATGTAGATGAAAGGTTATATGAACCAAGCGAATGACTGTAAGAGAGTAGCGACATGTCCTGAGAGCCCCTTTTCGTCTTCCGGCCCAAACCCTTATGGCCAGCACTGCCAACGGTGCTGGTGCGGAAGCTGTGGTTCAAGTCCCCATCATCCGCTCCACAAGCACGCAACTTTTCGCCTTTAACCCATCTTCTGCCAGACGTCTAAGACACGGACACAGTAGCGGAACCAGCGCCGTTGAAAGCCTCCACGGCCATAACTTGGAATTGGGGATACGATTAGCGCTGCCTTAAATCAGGAGCACTCGATGGTTTCCTTACATTGTACGAGTTCCCGAAACCGTACTTGGCCCTGTAATCGATGGGTCAGCAATGCCTCGAACATCTGGACTCCTCGTTTTGCTCACCAGTAGGCGAAGTGGTTGCCCGTGGTTACTGTGCCGGAGCTGCGCTTGGACTGGCGGACAGACCAGTACTGCTTGAAGGTGCTGGTTCCGGTGATGGATGGCTGGTTGGTGCGGGTGTCAGTGCAGACATTGTAAGTGGCTCCGTCGGAATAGACCGTCCCAAGGCTCGTGGCACCAGAGCAAGGGTTGTAATTCCCGTAGTTCTCAACGATGTAGTACTCGGCTTGAGGAGAGTTGATCCAGCCGTAGACAGAAAGGAAGGAGCCAGATGAGGCAGCATTGTATGTGGCAGAGTAAGTGATAGAGCTTGTCGACAATCAGTCTTGTACCAATGCTCGAACAATACTTGACGGCCGCTTACCGAGCAGCGCCGGTGGACCATCCCAGCCCGACAACGAAGTCATTGCTAACACCATTCTGCCAGTACATGGAATAAGTGCCCTGAGCCAAATTGTAGGTGAACTGGCCGAGATTTCCGTTGTAGTTCTGGACGTAGTTGATGCCACCAGGGCCAGTCTGGCGCTCAACGAGACCAGCTTCAGCCACCGGCTCCGGCTCCGGGACTCGGGCAGCAAAAGCCGTAGCCAAGACGCTCACGAGGGTTGCAGTGATCTTCATGGTGATAGGAAAGGAGGTCTGCCAGACACTGAACGATGATTGTTACGAAAGGAGGTAAAGTCCGAAGGATGAGGTCTGGATTGAAACTGAGCTGAGATGCTGTCGCGCCGTCTGATACATACATATATCACCTTCAGCGACACCTACCCTCTTTAACCGGATGAGCGACCTTCAATTGTGTCCTGGGAGCACGAGATACTGCACAAGGTCTTGGTTGCTTCGCGGCTGTATGATTGCCAGGCTACTAGCCCACTAGAATATATTAGCATCAACATTTTGCCGTACTGGCAATCGAACTTGATTCGTATCAAGGGGCCACGGTGCCGACGGTGCAGACCGCAGCCAAGGTGGCAGGAGCGTGAGGCTTCCAACGCCAGAGTTGGCAGCACGGCACAACCTTGGATGGCACTTTACCGGAGCTTGTTAGACGGCGTCGCTTGGTTGTTGACAACTATCGAATGTAGTAACTGCATGTACGGCTCGGTAGCGAAATGAAGCTTGCCGACATAGTTGTAGCTGGAGCCGTTATAGTAATCAGAAGCACTGTGCTAACACGGGACTCGCCAGCAAGCGACGGCTAATTGCAATTCTATACATCCAAGTCAATAAAATCGTCTGGTAATCGCGAGGTTGAACACTTGGTGTTGTACAGCTAGAGCGGCTGAAACTGGGCCAGGTCGGCACATGACCACACTGCATATACTGGAAACACCCCTTCAGGCAACATGCTCGCTTGTCCGCACCGGCGAAAGGTGTTTGATTGAGCTGAATTGCTCGCACATTGTGGAAGTGCTGCGTAATGTCCTGCCTCCAAAGACTATTTGTCCGCTACACGGTTGTCAGCAGTAGAATACTTTCAGCATGTCAAGATGAGAAACGAAGACGAGGTATAACTTGAAAAGGCCTGGCCCAGCACGCGGATACGCAGGGTCATTTAAACGCAGTTTGTGATTGGTTGGCCAGTGATGCAGGCATTTAGGCTTGACTCCAAGCGCAGCCAAGCGAGCGCAACCGAGCGAATGGGTAGGCTTTTCTGCACGCTTGTCCGGCACCACGAAGATGACACAAGGAGCTAGGACCTACGGCATGACCACCCATCTGCAACATAAATATTTCCTCCACTTCTCCGCTGTACCCATACGCAGGTCAAAATTGCGGAGCTGTGTGTCTGGGAATGCGACTTCAGCCTGCTATCTCCCTGCGGACATAGTGCACAATCATGGGGTGAAGTCTAACAGTGCTACGCAAATGCTTGTTCCTCACTCATTCCTTCCGCTTCCACGCTCAGTGCAATCTTCCCAATCACACCGCTGCTTTCGAGCTGCTCATGTGCTTCTCGTATGCCAGACAGAGTAAGCGGGAGCATCTGCTGCATATGGCATTTCACCGTGCCGTCGTCCAGCCACTGCGCCAGCTGCTTCAGCATCTTGCCATGGCTGTCCACGTCAACATGGTAGTAGGGCTTCGTCCCAAGCAGCTCCCACACATACGTTAGGCTCTTCGCCATCCACTCCGTGCCGTACATCGGGATCTCCTTGTCTTGCACGATATTGCACACCTTGCCGAATGGTGCGCAGATGGCAGCGGCGTCCTTGATGTACTTCGCCGCCGGTGTATGCGTAATGAAGACGTACTTGATGGGCACCGGGAGTTGCAAGTCTTGGATCTGCTTTACAACATCTTCTCGGTGATTTACCGTATGTGTTGCGCCCATCTCACGACTGAAAGCTGTCGTCTCCTCGCGTGAAGTTGTCGTTACCACGACGGGTAATTTTAGGACGGAGCGAGCGATCTGCGAGGCCACGGAACCGACACCGCCAGAGCCATTGATGATGAGGATGCCAGCCTTCTCGCCTTCATGAATCTCTATTCGCTCTACAAGTGCTTCCCAAGCAGTGATCCACGTCAATGGCATAGCGGCGGCCTGCACGTAATTGAGACTCTTGGGCTTGTGCGCAACGCTTCTGCAGTCGACCAGCTGATACTCAGCATTGCTGCCGTGCCTGATAGGACTGCCGGCGTAGTAGACGTCGTCGCCCCGGCTAAAGTCTTCTACCTCATCACCAAGTTCTTCCACAATGCCAGCGCCATCGAAGCCAATGATCTGTGGCAATGAAGGCACACGCTCGTAATAGTCTGGATAATCGTCGTAGCTTCCCGCACGCACCTTCGTGTCGACTGGATTCACAGAGCAGGCTTTGACTCTGCGCGGTGGATTAGCCGGTACTCAGCTCAGATAAGTGTGGAGTGTAGCTACTTGATGAGCAAATCATGGCCTTGAGGCTTGCCCGGATGAGGCACATCTAGGGCCACAAGATTGTTGACCTCACCATACTTCGAGACTGCGATGGCTTTCATTCTGTAAATTCTTGGGTGGTGTTGCTTCGTAGCGATCTCTGCTGGCGCTCCATTGCGAAAGCCAATAGTTATCAAGAGACGACATCACCCATGTAGGTCGAACGTCAAGGTGGGTCATCGCACAACTAACGGGGACAAGTCCGAACGGTGCCTGAAGATCTCTTCGTGACATCTGGCCCTGCGTCGCTTGACCTATCAGCTCGCGCCGGGCGAGCTGATGCACATCGATATCAACGACATTGGATGGAGATCGTTCGAGCGTGGATGGGCATGGTCCTTCGGCCGCGGCAGAAGCCGGTTCAGCGCGAGTGACAGTGCTGCTCACGTAGCACATCGTCTGCATCTTGCCAAGGGAGCTCATACTACTTGATGCAGTGTTCCAATCAGTGATCTACACACCGCATGGATGACTTGTGAGTAGCATTCTTCTCATATTGCTGTACATTCGATTGTTGACAGCGATACACGCACCGACCACAGTTAGCGATTGTAGTGGCACTCTGTATCCACCGTTATTGACGGGTACCACAACTTTGCCGCTCTACAGGCCCACATGATGATCTCTGGTACCGTGTCTCATAAGCTGCTCTCGCTACATAATATATCTGTAGCCGGATTGATATGTGGCGACGCATCTCACAACAACAGAATACGAAGATCTTGTCGCTGGCCATTCCGAACCTACGAGCTCATGGTGCTGTGCTTCGATCTCGCCTGGCTGATTTCGTCCTCCTTCATCTGCCTCAACGTGCCGGTGGCTGCCACGCCGCCGGTCATCGTGGCAGTAGCAACCTCCGCCATATAGCCGAGCGAGCTGACTTCGTGCTTCCAGTACGAGATGTCTATCACCAGATGTTAGTACACGATCAACAAATGCAGAGTCCGTGTCACATACACTTGGCCTTGATCTCGATGAGCGTCATACGCGGGTCCTCCGGGCCGCCAGTGTGGACACCATCCTTGAGGTCACCGAACCATGCACCAGCTGCCTTGCTGTATACCTCCTTGATACGCGGATCCTCGTTGCTGGTTGACGTTGCTTCGCCTGTTACGCAGATCCAGTCTTGGGTGCTGGTGTTGTGGAAGATGACCTGAGCTTCCTTGTTCTTGTTGAGGTCGTCAAACTTCTGGCTGTTTCGGTTGGCAAGGAACAGAAAGTCGCTATAGTACACATCAGCCATATGATCTCCAATACGACTCCACGCATGCAGCTTACGGTCCGGTACGCTTCGCAACAGCCATGGCACGGGATACAGGGCCGATGCCGTTCCGGTAGGAGCCGAGCATACCAATTTTCAGCTTGTCGGCAATGGCGTACATATCCTCGAATTTCTGCTCGGTGGGTGTCTGGTCGTCATATTGCTTGTTGACGGAAGGGTCGATGCCCTTGTCAACCTCCTGCTTTGTAAGTCCCTCAGGCATTCTGAATGATGTGCTGCTGGTGAATGGACGGTGTGCTTTGACAGTAACAACTGGGCGAATAGTAGTGGTGAGTCTGGAACAGCGAAGGAGAGATCGTGTAAGAGACATCTGTACTGTATACTGTACTCTGGGTTCAAGTCACGCGCGCGTCATATACACCTCCTTCAACGGATGGTTTGCAGGAGAGGTGACGCGCGAAGCGGAGAACGCGCAGTAAATGAGCCGTCATATGTCATCATTGACTTCTGGGCAGCCTCCTTTCTATGCATCTCGCCCAATCCCTTTACGTGCCTTGCCTGTTTTAGCTTCTGTGGCGTGGCAGACGCTGAGATTCGGATGGAAGCTGTCTCCGTGCCCGAAATATTCAAGATGTCGAGGTTGATGCCAGCCGCATGGCGTGTTTGCAAACCTGCACGCTTAGCTAACATACAGCCTAGCCAAAAGCAGACGTGCCGACTTCACCTTAGCCGGGTTCCTGCAGCTCCTGCTTTGCCGGCGTTAAGAGAAGGCGTGCATCCGTTCACCACTGCATTGGCGAAGACATCTTTCATAGCCGACTGTACGTTTGGCTAAGCGGCCAGAAAGCCAACGACTTCTGCCACAGCTGCAAGTGCCGGTGATAGCGGCGTTTGATACATCATCGCAAGGCTCAACACCGTAGTTCTCCCGCCTCCCTGCTCCTACTCCTCTGGAAAGACTGCTATAAATTACTGTCTCTCGTCGCGCGGAAGCTAACCCCGTAGCCAACCTCAGCCCTCTTCACTACCCGGCACACAGTTTATCCTCTCGGTCCAGCAGCACCTCCGCGCCATGGCCTCCTCATACCCTAAGAGGAAGCTCGGCGACGAAATGGTTTCCGCCCAAGGCCTAGGATGCATGGGCATGAGCGGAGCCTACACCAGCTACGGTAAAGTTACCGACGAGGAGTCTTTGCAGGTTTTGACTAGAGCCGCCGACATTGGAATCACCTTCTGGGACACTAGTGATCTATACGGTCCGCACACTAATGAGAAGTTGCTTGGTCGCTGGTTCAAGGAGACGGGTCGACGCAAAGAGATCTTCCTCGCGACCAAGTTCGCCGTCATCATGGGCCCGAATCGGTCAATGACCGTGCGCGGTGACAGAGAGTACGTTAAGCAGGCCTGCCAGGACAGCCTTGAGCGGTTGGGTGTCGACCGGATCGATCTTTATTACCAGCACCGTGTGGACCCGAACACGCCCATCGAAGAAACGGTAAAGGCGATGGTAGAGCTGAAAGATGAAGGCAAGATCAGGTACCTTGGTCTATCCGAATGCTCAGCCCGGACTTTGCGCCGTGCATGCGCCGTGCATCCCATTGCGGCGGCACAGATGGAGTACTCTCCCTTTGCGCTCGAGATTGAGGACGCGCAGACCGAGTTCCTCAAGACAGCGAATGAGTTGGGAGTGGCACTCGTGGCTTACAGTCCGCTCGGAAGAGGCTTCTTGACAGGTACCATCAAATCTCGTGACGACTTCGACCAGGGCGATGGACGCCTCTTCCACCCTCGCTTTAGTGAGGCGCACTTTGGTGAGAATCTGAAGCTTGTGAACACACTCTCCGACATCGCTAGTAGAAAAGGTTGCACGACCGGGCAGTTGACGCTTGCTTGGCTCATGGCGCAGGGCGACAACATCATACCGGTGCGTAGCGCAAGAGCCAAAAGGCATACTCATTATGTTCTAGACATCGCTGACCGTCACCCTTCCTTTTGTAGATTCCGGGAACGAAGCGTATCAAATACCTCGAGGAGAACGCGGGTGCGGCGAATGTGCATTTGACCAAAGAGGAGATCCAGGAGTTTCGGCATGCGATTGAGAGTGTCGGGGGAGTGAAGGGAGAGCGGTACCCTCCTCAGGTCTTGGCCACGTGTTTTGCTGATTCCCCGGAGCTTAAGGCATAGCCTGCCCATGCACATCTAAACCAACGCTCAGAATGCGCTTATCGCGTCAATACTGGTTGATGCTTGCGTGGCGAACGCTTAAAACTTTTGCTTAGCTCACACGCCAGCATCCTCCGGCGCCACGTCCAGATTCCAGTCAATGGTCCCATCCTCTCCATATCTCTCCATCAGCCACGCATTCGCTTTCTTGAAGTGTCCACAGTCAAAGAAGCCTTTCGCCGCAGACAACGGGCTAGGGTGAACACTCTTGAGCACCAAATGCTTGCTGCTGATCTTCACGCACCGCTTCTGCGCCGGGCTACCCCAAGCCAGGAAGACTACTCCGCGTGTCCGCTTCGCAGCAACGATGTCTATGACCTTCTGCGTGAACTTCTCCCATCCTTTTCCGGCATGGCTGTTCGCTTCATGTGCGCGGACCGTAAGGCAGGTGTTGAGGAGTAGCACGCCACGATCAGCCCAGGGTGTCAGGAGCCCGCCATTCTTCGGTGGTGGCTTGAATTCTGGGTAGTCCTTCTTGAGCGCGATATACATGTTCTTAAGCGATGGCGGAGCGGGAGTCGGAGGGCGGACGGAGAAGCATAGACCGTGAGCTTGGTTGAGGTTGTGGTAGGGGTCTTGACCAAGAATGACGGCTTTGACGTTGGGGAGAGGCGTGTGGCGGGACCAGCTGTATATGTCGTCCGCCGGCGGGAACACCTTCTTTCCCGTCTCGAGTTCACGCTTTAGGAAGCGCTTGAGGTCAAGGAATTCACGACTCGTGACCTCATCTTTAAGCGCGCCGAGCCAGCTTTCATGCAGCGTTTCAATCTCGAGCTTGAGTAGCTCCTTCTGCTCGGTGGTGAGTTTCGCAATCCATGCTTCCTTGTCGAAGACAACTGGCTTCGTCTCGGGTGCTGTTGGGGATGAGGCTGGCTGCGACGGGTTGTTTGACGAGGTTGACGGGTTCGGTTTCGGCTGGGAGAAGAAGGATGTAATGGAACTGTTCTTGGGCTTCTTGGCAGCATCGGCAGCCAGGTCGACCGCCTTGCGTTTGAGCGACATTTTCGTTGAAGATGTACTGCTATAGCACTGCTGCAGATGGATGACAGACGCGGTGTCGGATGGAAGACGCGTCGATTGACGAGATGGCATCGGAGCGGGCGATCATTCTGCCGAGCCGAGCTACAGTGCTAGACCATGAGCTCGAGCTCACATGTAGACCTCCAACCACCATTAAAGTACAAATTCTCCACATCTTCGATCTCGTTCACAAACGCGACAAGCGATGACAGCTGCACGCCTGCCTTCCGTAATGCGGCCTCTCCTTTTCAGCCGGCCTGCCAACCTAGTCTTCCGATCCAGTGCCTCCCGACCAGCGTACCGATCGTTTCAGACAAGCAGGAGACTTTTACAGGATGCCGTACCCACAAGAAGACCTGTAGGCGCCTTCAGAGGAACGTGAGTGAAAAGCGCACGATGCGCTCCAAACGTGCCTTCGATCCTTACTCCGCTGACCTGACGACGACAGCATCTTTGGCTTCCTCCTCGGCTCAGTTCTGGCAGGAGGCGGCCTCTACTACTATGTCATTGACGAGTATAAGGTCTCGAATGAGCTACTGACGGAGGACATCTACGTACGCTAGGGTGATTATTAATGCGCAGCCTCGACGCTTACTGACGGACCGGCAGGCACTACAAGCAGCTGTGCAGCGATTAGAAGGGTACGTGCGAAGCATAGAAGAGGAAGTCAAGACGAGCAAGAAGTGAAGCCTGTCATGAAGACAAGTCAGCCAGCATAAACTTGATCTCCGATTCCAGGTGCAAATAAGCGGCACCATATTCATGTACAATGTATATACCCCAGTAACGCTCCGAAAGCGATCCAAGCCTGCACATATGCAATCGACACTTCGCCAAACGCCGGACACTGGGACTCGTCCGACTGTAACCGGCTCCGTTCGAGATCTAGGTCTTCGTCACTGCAACTCTCGCCTCCTCCACCTTCTTCGCTGCCAAAGCAGCAAGTTGCTCGAGCTGCTCTCTCCGCATCTTTCTGACATATCTGAAGAGCAGCACAAACAGCAGCTCCACCCTCTCCTTCGTCATCATGAGAATACCTTGCACCATTATACCTTTTACGATCTGTGGCGCGACGCCCTTGTATAGCCCGAGCGGGCCTTCCTTCTCAATAATAAATTGCATTACTTCAAGGAAGGACTTGAAAGGCTTGCCTTGTCGTGCCGGGGGTGGACGCGACTGCAGTCCTACTTTGGCAACAATGAGGGGTTGCGTCACGATTGTAGCGAGTGATTTGGAAAGAGCGCCGAGTACTACACCGATATCTCATTAGCTGGTGCTTGAAGGCTATCAGTGCAAGGCCGCGCTTACAGAAAGCCTGGTGAGGCTGCAATGCTCGATCATCCGGATACATCGCCTCTCTCAACCGCTGATACGCGCCATAGGTGATGGCGGGATTCACGACCAAGACCAAGCTCGCCTTAATACCTCTCCAAAGTCCCGCGAAACCATCCTCGCCATCGATGACCTCCTTGGCCGTCCCAAGCATACTCTTCTTTTCACCTTTCGGCTGAGTCTGCTGTCGTGTGGTAATGACAGCAATCGGGATCGTGAACAGCTGTGCCAATGCGCCCGCTACTGCACCCAAACCGAGCTCGACCGCCGTGCTTGGATGCTTCCCCTGACTTACCCGGTTCAGGTACAGGGTCCGTACGGTGCTATACCAGTAGAAGTACGCGAAGTTAGTACTCGCGACGCCGAGCAAGCTGCCCGCCATGCCGCTGTATAGGCCGACCAAGCCCTCGTCTTCTAGGATGGACGTGATTGCATGGATGGTGCCTTCGTAGTGCTTGTGCGTTGTGTCTAGCGCATCCCGAGGTGGGTCGAGCTTGTGTTGCTTGATCTGTACCTGTAGTCTCGTCTTAACGATGTCGAGCGGGTAGACGAGGGCATTTGCTAGCACGGCGCCGGTCGAACCTGCGATCGCCAATCCCCATGGCGGCACTTCGTTTTTTGCAGCCATTGCTGCGGTTTGGTGAGTATCGACGGAGTTGGCTGGCTTCGTGTGTGGCTGCCGAGATGACCGAGCGGTTGACGATGAGGGTATAGCGATAGGCTCGTGGGTGCTACCTCATATCGGTATCTCCCAGTTAATGCTGCTGGGTTACTTTTACTTCGTTGAGTGCTCGCCTTTGCATTGAGCAAAGAAGCAGTAGTAGGGCAGAGCCCGCGGCCTCGTGCGTTCTCATCATGAGTGTCCCGGCACCACGATCGCCCAAGCCGAGGTAAACTTGAGCCGCAGCATTGCGAAGCACGAGCCACATCGCCAGCTTCGACTCCGTCTTCGGTTGCCGAGACGACGTAATGAGCGTTAATCACGTGTCAGGTCTAGTCGTCGACGTACACCGTGGCATCTTGTAGACATGGTTGAGCATGATGAGCAAGCCCAGCGACGATCTGAACGAGCTTAAGCATGAGGCTGACCAACTGTCTGATCGCCTACTGAGGTCTGCAAGCAAAGATGAAGCGCTTGAGATCGCCATCCGGGCCGCGGAGACGTCTATGAAAGCCTTAAGGCTGACCAAAGATCCCAATGAGAAGGCGAAGCTCTCGCGACGGTTCGAGCAGCTGGTGCAGGAAGCTGAGCGGATCAAGCATAGCAAAGACTGGCGAGAGCGATTGCGAGCTAACAGCTTGCGGTCTCAAACCCACCATGAGTCCACCGGTAAGACGTCAGCACTGCTCAGAGAACCGCAGACGACACGCGCACTTCCCAAGTCTGAACAGATACTTCTTCTGAAGGCAGGCTTTCTCAATGGCTTCAAGTTCCCGCCTTGGGACACCGCACCGGCGCCAGACGAGTTCCAAGTTAAGGCCGGTGAGGGATTGTTTATGTGTGTTGCCCGCTGATATCACGCTTTTCCCTTTAGCTCTCAGCTGACGGGTCTCTTCAACAGAGACACGCCGGAGCTACCCTTGTCCGAGTTTCAAGAGGGCATGCTCGATGATTGGAAGCGGCCGCAGGATGCTCTTCCGCCACCATCATGGTTTCCGGTTGACCGTACCAATCTTGGCCCGAGCATGACCTTTACTCGACGCATCGATCTTGTGCAGGATGCTGCCACCGACTGTTCGGTCGTGGCTTCGTTGTGTGCTGTCGTTGCTAGAGCTGAACGTGGCCATGCAAAGATACTAAGGAAGGTCACTCACCCGTATGACGCAGAGAACGGTCGACCTTCGATGTCGAAGAACGGCAAGTACATAGTCCGCCTGAACTTCAATGGGTGTCACCGTAAGGTGGTTATTGACGACCGTTTGCCCGTGAGCCGCACCACCCAGGCCATCCACGTGGTAGACCGCCATAACCCGGGCCTACTCTGGCCCGCACTGATCGAGAAGGCGTACCTTAAAGTCCGCGGTGGCTACGCCTTCCCGGGAAGCAATTCCGCAACGGATTTATGGATACTGACCGGCTGGATCCCAGAGCAAGTATTTATGCAGAGCGATGAGCTGGAACCGGACCGGTTTTGGAAGCGTATCTTGACCGCCTTTGACTACGGCGATGTGATGGTCACTATGGGTACTGGTAAGATGACTGCGAAGACGGAACGTGAGCTCGGCTTGGCTGGAGAACACGACTACGCCTGCTTGGATCTGCGGGAAGTTGACGGGCAGAGGCTACTCCTCATCAAGAATCCTTGGTGCGAGGGGACAAGCTGGCGTGGAAAGGTCAAGAGCACGCAACGCAGCGCCGCTCAGCCCAGCGCGAGCGTCACTCAACAGTCTCTGATCGCCTTCGACGATGACCCTGGCCCGGTGCAGTCCTCACGCGATCTACTCAATGCTGACGAACAGTTGTCTCCTGGGACATTCTGGATGGATCTCGACAATGTCGTACAGCATTTCGAATCGATGTATCTCAACTGGAACCCTGGCCTCTTCGGATACCGGGAGGACATGCACTTCGCTTGGGACCTTTCGCGTGCAGGTAGAGCCGGCAATGTGCCTCGAGGGCGATTTGCGAGCTTGAGTGCACACCCTCAGATGACCGTCACTGCTACGCAGGGTGGCACAGTCTGGATACTTCTCTGGCGGCACTTCAAAAACGCTATATCTGAGGGTGCTACGGAGGAAGAGATTGCGGAGGGATGCTACGACATTGACCTCTGCGGGCATATCGCACTAGTCGCCTTCTCTGTACAAGGACGACGTGTACTGCTACCCGAGAAGCACATTGCCAAGGCGTGGTTCGTGGACAGTCCACAAACGCTTCTAAAGCTTGATGACTGCATGCCGGGACAAGTTTACACTATCGCTCCACTCGAGCAGGACTTAGCGGCTGTCGAACACACATTTACGCTATCGTGCTTTGCTAATTCGCCTCTGCTGCTGGTACAAGCCGCCGAGAGGTCACAGTATGCCCATACACTTACCGCGGCCTGGACCAAAGAAACAGCCGGAGGAAACGCACACAGTCCAAAATACTCGGTCAATCCGCAGTTCTCGATCGCTGTGCCGCAGAAGACGCGTATTAGCCTGCTGCTTGAGGCAATGAATGAGGACCTGAATGTGCATGTCAAGCTAGTGCATGGCCAAGGACAGCGAATACACACGATCCGGAATCGAGACATCGTCTTCGACAGCAAGGAGTACAGCCGCGGCTGCTGCCTAGCGGAGCACGCTGAGCTGGAAGCAGGCCAGTACACGATCGTCTGCAGCACATTCGAGCCAGACCAACTCGGTGTTTTCATCCTACTCATCGAGTCGAGCCAACCAACGCGAGTGGCTATGCTACCACGAGAGGGAGCGGGCCGTATAACGCTAGAGCTGAGTGCTGTAGCCTTCAAGCGTGGCGAGAGTAGAGTTGCTGCCCCATTAGCACCAAGGCGGCTTGTCAGACTCTACGCCGTGGTACGCCACCTCGACTCCGGTGGGGTCGCCAGAAGAGCCACCTCGGGTAGTCGATCGCTCGTGCGGTTGAGTATCGAGAGCGGCCGTGGCCCGAATCGACGGATTCACATCGCTTCTGGTGAAGGAGACTACGCTGACTGCGCGGGTGGCGTCGTCAGGACGGAAGATATTGAAATCCAGCCAGAGATGGTCACCCGAGGCAAAGATCTGTGGTTAGTACTGGACCGGATGTATGCGAGTGGTGAAGCGGAGGACGAGAGGTTCTCGGTGGAGCTGTTTGTGGACCAGCCTGATGCGGTGACTTGCGGCGTGTGGAGAGGTTGGGATGATTAATTGGAAGCAATGTCGAAGCTGCGAGAATTGTATTAGCGAGGCGCTGGTGGCTCGGTGTATGTGTATTCCGTTAATCAAATGCCGCGTTGAAAACGCTGGCATGGATGCGCAAGCTCACCTCCGGCCTTGGCAATAGGATCTCCGCACCTTCATCGTCGTCAATTGCCATACGCTTCGCCTTTGCAGACGCATCCTCACATTTGCACGTCAACCAAGGTTCGAGATGGCTTCCGTGATACCGCTCATGCCCTTTCTGCGCCCTCTTGGTCTTCCACGACCATCTACCATCCGACAACTTCTCTGCTACTCTACCACCTCCATATGCCACGCAGAGGCGCAAACAGCAACGCGAACAGCTCGAGTAGAGGGTACGTGGCCACTGCCTAAACCTAGACATGTCAATGTCTTGCGTACTGACGAGCCTGTGTCAAACAGATCCCAATCTCATCGCCTCCCGCAATGCTTCAGCCAGTTACCCCCCAAACACACTCAAGTCATTACCTCGACCCAAAGAACCACGTGCTTCTCGCCGCGCCAACCACCCAAGAGCCGAGCGCACATACCCGACACGCCATCCAACTCATCATCCCGTGACCGAACACAAACTCATCCCTGAGCCGGTGGAACCATTACCAGCCGATCAATGCGCACCTAATCTGCCATACTTCGTAACGAGAACGCCGAGCATGGAGCTACCTGTCTACCAGTTACGGAAGCGAGGAGGCAATATGAAGCTAACGAGGGTCAAGAAGGTTGATGGCAAGGTGGAGAGTCTGCGGGACGAGCTGAGGGCCGCATTAGGCTTGGGGGAGAAGGAAGCCGTGGTCAATCCTGTGACGAGGCACGTAATGCTTAAGGGGCACCTTAAGACGGAGGTTGACAAGTTTTTGAGGGAGAGGATGTTCTAAGCATGAAGCGCTGCAAAATATGGCCGCGTAGACTCTTGGTGCGTCTGACACGGTCCAGTACTCGCCACGCAGCTTTCGCTATAGACCGGACCGAGACAAGCTGTCTAGCCGTGCTTAGCAAGTGCTGTATTGCCGCATGCGTAGCTTCAGTCGGCGCACCAACTACTTTTGGTCTCCGACCGAATTGGCGGCATTGCTGCCAAAGGCTGACACATCCTCGGCATTGTCCTCGTACCTTGCTGCAACGCCCTGGTCGATGGGGACGAAACAGTATGCAGTGTAGATATACCAACGACGTCGATCAGCTTTACCGCTTGGTCCGCGCGGCAATTCGTACTGCCGCCGGCTATATCGCCAGCATCATCATATATGGCTTGTTGGGCGCTGGCGCAGTCAGGCTGCCCGATATTATGCTGCCGTTCCTCTGGCGACATGGCAGCATAAATCACCATGATGGACATGCTCTACGTTTGAGCAGGCATCGAGTAACATCACCCAATGCTGGTGGCGACGGCTACAAATGCACGCACAACAAGCTTTTCGCTTCACACTTGTTGATTGGAACATCGTGCATTGCAGCTGGTTTGCTGTTCTCGTGGATGTTCCTTGAGGCTCTGAAGCGCGAACTTGTTCATGGCAATGGGAAGCATGGTTGTGGTGATCGGGCGACGAAGAACTAGGCTCAGACATATCGCTCGACGTCGAAAGGGCATTCTGCGGACTTGTTCTTCCATGACTAGTGGCGTCGGATTTCGCTGCAGGATACGTCACATGCCTGCTGGTTCGGACAGAGCTCACGTCGCACTGCCTGGACAGCCTAGCAAGGGCCTAAATGGGAGACGGCAACGTTCTGGGGACATCCCACTACACTCGTGTTCAGACGACAGCATCAAGGGTGGAAGTGAGAAAGGCTGTTGATATCGCGAATGCCATCATGTGCTCCGGGAGCCTGATTGGGAGCGAGCTGGCACCCAGATTGGCGGCATCCAAGAGTGAAGTTGTTACTACCAGTCCTCCTCCTTTCACACCTGCACTTCACTATGCAAGACGATGAATGTTACACCTAATATATCCTTTCACCATACCGTTTCTAAGATGCAATCATTCTCAGTCCTCAGCAAAAGAGTAAGCATCTCAGTTTTCACTTACAACGTCGCTGTTCGGAGGTCTGTCGTATGCTTACAAGCTCATTGTTCACCTTCCCGAACATTCACATGTCGTTTGCCACCTTCAAGCCATCTGCAGCCTGCAAGGATTCACTTATTGCCCAACAACTTCCGTCAACTGCTGATCCAGACTTCGTGCAGAAGGATCACTCTCCCACAAACAACATTCAAATCATCCATAAACGACACCCGCTCTAGTTCGACTGCACTCCTTAAACATCCAAAACCCTTATCAAACATGCCGCTCTCGCAGAAGCAAATGGAGTATCTAGGCCTCGCTTGGCAGTGTTTTGACAACGAGCCCAAGGTGTGTAGCCAACTTACTCCATATATTCTTCTTCAGATGGAAGCATTGCAAGCTTCACCACGGGACAGACTGACCAAGTGTCTCGGCACTCAGATCGACTACGAGAAATTCTACCGCATTGCCGGGCTCGCCTCCGCCAACTCCGCCCGCGAGCTCATGCGCGTCACCAAGAAGAAGTTGAAGGAGGAGTACGGCGCTCTGAGCGGCAGCGTGCAAAACGCCAGCGGTGCCAACGGCGGCACACCAAAGAGAGCCACCCCAGCCAAGAAGACTCCGTTGGTGAAGCAAAGCAAGAAAGTCAAAGGGGACGACGAGGCCGATGACGAGGAAGGCGGGAGTGCGTACGAGGATCATTCTTCCGCTTCCAAGATCGCCAGGAAGCGCAAAGCGACTCCCGCTGTGAGGACGAAGACTGCGGCGCTGGTTCAGGAAGAGGAGGAGGTGGTGTCGGAGGTGGATGATGAGACACCGGTTATGAAGAAGATGCGCGCGAACGAGATCAAGCCTGAGCCCGAGGATGACTTCGACGGTGATTTTCAGTAAGCTGAGCGGCGTCCAACTTTGTGCAGTCGTGCCGACTTTCGACGGCCCAGCTGGGTAGCACAATCCTCTGATGGGTAGGAAGCTGGTGGTTGCTGCTTTGAAGATCGCGGTTCAGACATGATGGGATAGGCTACATTACCATAAAGCCTCAGGCGAATTATGACGGTACGCATGAGATGTACAATTCCTGCATGATCTTGCATGTCCGTTACCATACATGTTCACTGCACGTACCCCAAAGGTGGTGCCTGCGTTCGGCGAACCTTCTGTATACTGCCGCTGTATCCAGGCACGCAACACATATCCATCGCGCAGCGTACTATTCACACCTGGCAAACCCTGCCGAGAATGCTGCATTATTGATGGTGTCAGCCAGCTCATGCCTGCATGACCATATCATGCAAACCGCAGAGTAAACTCAGCGCTACACTGTCGGTATTACCCAGTAACAGCGCACCGAGAATCGCATGACCTTGCGGCATACCGTCCCATCTCGGCACGGACTGTTGAGTCTCATCATATTCACTTCGTGCCTCTGGCTGGCCGTCGCCATTGACTGTAGCACTTGGTAGGGCCCGTCCGTGTGCACCTCCTCTCCCAGACTTCTCCGCCAATCTCTTCATCATGCTCAGAGCCCGATGCGTTATGAGCTTGAAGGCCTCCGTATCATGCCCAAGAGCTTCACGTCCCTTTTGGCCAGCGGCTTGGCCTAAGCGGTCAACGGAGAGAAGTGAGGCCAGATGCAGCAAGTTGACAGCCCAGCCATCCTCGCTCTCAATCCAGGAGCGAGCAAGCTCCGTATCGTTGCCAGGCGCAAGCGATGTGAGAATGTCCGCCGCAAGCATGCCTTGGCATAGGTACGATTTGCGGACCTCAACGACGCGAAGCTGCACAGCGTTACTGGATGCGCCTTTCGAGCGATCGGGTAAGACGGAGATGGCGAGGGCAAAAGCTTTGGTAAGAAGATCGAGCGGTGACTCGGAAGCAGCGGACGAGGAGCCAGAAGCGGTGAAGATGCTTCGATACAACATCCTGTTAGGGTCTTGGCGTGCCAGCAGCTTGGCGAGACAGTCGACTGCTGCTGGCAGCGAGCGGTGAATTGACGGCACAAAGCTCGTGAACCGTAGAGTGCCGCCACCTTCTTGATAGGTTGGGCTTGGTTGCGGCGCAAAAGCGAGTAAGAAGTGGAGAATGTGGAGCGCGTCATCTCTGGTGGGAAGCTCCAGACTCTGCGTGATGTTCGAAAGGAAGGTGATGACGTCTTTGTAGAAGTCCAGCGTGTTGCAGAAACTGCGCAGAAGCATGTTCCGCGTGCCGACCAGTCGGATAGTGTTGCTCAGCCATCTGATCAGCGACGCCGACGTCAGGAGGTGATGGTTGTGCTCGAAAAATGAGAAGTTTCGGACTATGGTCGTGATGGCAATCAAGCGATCAGCTGCGCGGTTGAGCTGATATCCCGGCGTGCCAAAAGCTGGGACGTCTTGCAGTGACTCTGTCTCAATTCGGCTTCCACGCAGGATATCTTCATATGACGGCAGATCAAGCGCGTCAGAGACTTCAGGCGCTTCCTCCGACAATTGATCGATCTGCTCTTCGGCGCAATCAACAATCACATCGAGCAAGTCTTCACACTTCTCTAACTCGAAGTGGATCCGATCATCTCTCGAAATGAGCACCAGCGCGTCGAGTGCGTATCGTACCTCGGCGTGAAGACCTGAGGCCAGACTGAGCATGATGGCGCGCATGTCGATCACACCCATCTCGTCTACAGTAGGCATGGTCGGCATGTATCGTTGAATGGCGGTGCCCAATTCATGCAGCGCAGCAACGTCATAGCCTCCATCCGTTTCAATGCTCCGAACATTTGGCACGTAATTGGTGCTCTGAGGCTCCTCGCTTTTCATTACAGCGCCAACGGTTTCCTGCTTGACTGATGGTGAACGCTGTACCTTTTGGAGGGAAGCTGGCGATGGGGCGGGCATGGTCTGCAAGCCGGGTTGCGGCGTCAGCTGCTCAGGCTTCTTGACGCTGCTATTCCGGCGATGATGCATGATTTGCTGAGGCGTAGCCATTCCGTTCTGTGGTAGCTGAGCATGTGCCTGTACCGGAGTAGCTTGAGGTGGCGGCTGTGATTGCTGACTTTGCTGGAATGGAGTGAATGTGTTCGGTTGCTGAGGCGGAGGCTGCATCATCCTCGTTGGCGAAGACTGCGTCGGAGCGCCAAGGCCAGCCATTTGGTGAGCGTAGTTTCTTGCTTGCTCCTGCTTGGCCTGTGCGCGCATATTGAAATATGCGCGCTCGTACTGTCCAATGTCCCTATGGTAGATTTGCTTGAGTTCTTCAACGGAATTAGGAAGACCGAACTTGGTTGCTACGTCTGGCCACCGGCCGTGTCGCTCCACGTTATGAGAGCCACCGCCCTGGACGACTACATACCATAGCATGTACAAGTCGATGGGTCGACCAGCCACGACAGGTTGTATCTGTATTTGCCTACCTTGATTGGCAGCGTTGGTTTGCAATGCACGGTAGAACTGCTGCCGCTTGGCTTGCGTCTGCTGTTGCTGCTGAGTCGCAGACGCGTTCATGCCCATAGGTGTCTGGCCATTGGCCACTTGACCACTGGCTTGCTGACCGGCCATGTTGCCTCCTTGACTTTGCTGGCCTCCAATAGGCCGCGGCGGTACCATGCCGCTACGACGCATTGCTTCTTGTTGCTGCTGCAGCTTCATCTGGTACAGCCGTTGCGCGTTGACCTGCGCGACCATGTTGTTCGTCGAGCCTGGCATGGATGCGGGTGTGCCAGACATGTTCATGTTGTTCATGTTCATGCCCATGCTCTGGTTCCAGCCGGCCACCTGGCCCTGCTGAGGCATACTGGTAGGCTGGCCGGCTTGCTGCGGCGTGCTCGGCTGCATCTGGTTGGCAAAGTTGGCCGGCTGCTGTTGCGGAAACGGACTTGGTGATGCGTTCTGCATGCGCGACTGCTGCGCACTCGGTCGGTACTGCTGGTTAGCCATGATGGGTGAGGGCGTGGCATTGGTTGAAGCGGTCTGCTGGAGATGCTGGAACGGTGTCGGCGCATTCGCGAAGTTGCCGTAACCCGGTGTCTGTGAGCGCGACATATGCGAGGGCTGTGGTGAGCCCGCCATACCGCCATCATGAGCGCGCTTGGCGGGCACCACTGAGGTCGGGTTGAAGGTCTGGTTAGGGAAGGCCGGGGTTGGTGTCGAGCTGTTGCCGTTGGCGAGACCCTGTTGGAACTGCTCAAACTGATTCGGAAGGCTGTTGTACATCTGGGCCGGCGCAAAGGTGCCGTTCCCGTTCTGCCATTGGTTCATGGCGGTCGCACATGGACGACTGGTCGATCACTGCTGGCCACATCGTTAGTGAGCCCGTCAACAGCAGCGCCATGCCCTCATCACGTGCAGTCGTGAAGAGGACGACAGGGTCGGTAATGAGGGGATATAAACAAGTAAAGAGGCTAGCGCGCCGCGCGATGGGGGAGGAAGACGCGTCGAGTGACAAGATGGAGGGCAGGATGAGCGAGTGGGCCGATAGCTCACTCGGCTCCCAACCGTGCGTGCGATAGCCAGCATGCGCAAAGGCTGACGATGAGCGGGGGCAAAAGCACGGCAGCCACGACCCATTCCACAAGCACGCGATTGCGTCAAAGCGAGCACGCCGCACGTGTCATGTGCTGGAGTAGTGCCAGGGTAAGGCGAATGGTATAGAAACTCACCTCCGAGATACGCCGGCGAGCCGCGGGCGCGCGGTGATGCATTTGTCGCAGCGAAACGACGAGTCGCTGCAGAAGGGAGAGGAAAGGAGGCTCTCGGCAAGGCTGGTGAGAGACGCCAAGCCTTCGGCGACAAGCGTGATCCATCTTAGTGCCCTTCCCCCAAACGCTCGCCTGTTGAAGAGAGCGCTCAGCGACGCATATGGATGCATACACTCTCCGAAACGAATACTTTACAGAGAGCAGGACCGAGATAGACACAAAGCAGGCACTAGGCACATTCGTCGGCCCCGTTTGATTGGTACGGTAGCGTGCTCCAGATCGTGACATGCGGCAACAGGTGCGTCCGAGCGTTGAAGCCTAAAGAGGCGCTTTATGCCGGAAGGGAACAACGCCTTTCGTTCCACCGCCTGAATGATCGGACCATTCGCCAAGAGCGTGCGCTCTGTTGATGCCCTTTCAAACCAGCAGAGGGATTCTAGAAGGGTTCCGTTCGTACCGAAGCGTCGCAGTAAGTCCGACTTGCTGCTCCTCTTCCTTCTCAGTAAGCGAGGATCAGCGAACAAGCGAGCAGGACAGAAAGCGCCATTCGGTAGACTTCAGGCGACGGGGCACTTCTTCCCATCGCCGACCCCACGTAGCATGGTAATCTACTGCGGCACCCGCACCTTGCGTGAGCATCCAGTGCCAAGGCATTGGTTAGCTACCCTACGCTTGTTCCTCCCTTTCCCCAACACGAAGGTTAGGTTGGGTCGCTTATCTGACCTTTTATTGCCACACTGCAGCGAGCTGCTCTCTACACGACTACAGCACTACCTTCTGTAGCTACAAGCCAGATTCCCATTACAATTCTCTACCAGCATCGGTTCGCCCACAGACTCTCATCGCTGTCGCTACCCTTTCCTCTTGCAATACCGACATGCTTGGCTACCGGCCGCGGCTTGCGGCACATTCCGTCTCCGACAGAACAGTCAGCATCCGCAAACGCTCCACGCTACGAAGGTGAGATGGTGAAGTCATGACTGATGCATCGCTGGTGAACAATCTCTCTCCGTCGTATTATACCGATCCTAACTTCTTCGTGCGTGCTGCGCTGAACAACACATCCGTTTTCGGCAAAAACTTGCAGCAATTGCAGGCCTACTTTCTTACATACTCAACTCAAGTTTCAGCGGCATGTCCTGGTTTGGCGTTGGAAGTAACAACAAGCAGCCTACACCAAGCACACCAGAACCGTCAAAGGACGGTGGCTACATAGCGCCAGATCGGTCTGCAAGAGCGCAGTGTTGGGAGGGTCGCGATACCTTCTTCAAATGCTTGGACAAGCATGGCATCGTCGATAGCGTGAAGGAGGACGAAAAGGCCAGGCAAGCGTGCGCGCCGGAGTTGGCAGAGTTTGAGAAGTGCTGCGCTTCAAGTTGGGTATGAACAAGGTAGGCATGGAGGGGGGGGAAATTATGCTAATGCGCTTGGGTAGGTGACCTACTTCAAGAAGCGAAGAGTAATGGAGCATCAACGTGAGCTTACATTAAAGAAGCTGAACGCGGAGCATGCCACACCGCTGGATGCTTCGACGGCAGGCGGAGCGGGCGCTGCTGCTTTACGAGGAAGATGATGAGGATGCAAGATTGCATGCTTGCATAACATCAGTCCACTTTGGCGGGTCGAACACCTATTACTGCGACCTGAACCATCTGGCAGAGCTTAGTGCATTCCGAACTAGAATGTCGTTGCCCCTGACGCTACATCGTCCATTCGCAGTCGGTGCGAGAGCGATGTGTTTTCAGTCGCATGGAGATCGTCCGATCGGTACGAGCCAAAGGGAAAGGCCTGCTCAACACGAAACAATACGCAATGTAAAGCAGCGCAGGTGTGCCGGCGGCCTAAGACGAAGTCCAACAGCTGAGCGCATTTGGAGAGAAAGGCAGCATTGTGACGGTCTGCCGCTCAACGTTACTGAAGCGGCGACAGGTGCCAGAGTTGGTGGGAACATGGTCTCGGTGAGAGATCCGCTGATTGCAGAAAGTCCAATATCGAATATTCCGCTCTAGCATACCTACACTCGTCCGCGTCCGTTAGCTTCGTATTCTGCCCTACTGTCGAGACCTTGATTGCGATTTAGTAGCGTTTCAGATCTGGAGCGTCTACTCCGTGGGGTGTGGATTTAGCACCGCCGCCGCGAGGCTTGTCCTGCGTCACCTCATACAGACGGTACCACGTGCGCCAGACACACGAGCATCCTCCGTTCTCTGCCAATGTCCGTCGCTTTTCCGCCTTCATAGTCCTTATCTATCTGCAGTAGAACGAGCTTTTGTCCTTACGTTGCCACACTTGTCCACACATTCTCTACTTGGCAAGTGAGTCGCAGCGTCACTCTGTCTACCTGTAGCCCACGATGGTCCTAGGCAGGAAGTCGCCCACCGCTTCGCCCACCATCAACGGAATGACGGCCTCTTCAGATCATCTGGAACCCTCAACACCAGTGTCTGCGAGCTCAACTCGAACCAATTCGCCAATGTCGTCCGAGAAAGTGCAAGATGGCAAGGCACCAGACGACGTTAGCAAGTTAAAGACCTTCCTGTCCATTCTTAAACGCTTCATCGGTGTCACAGATATGGCCGCAGTGCGGTTCAGTCTGCCGGCGCAACTGATGGAACCCATACCAAACCTGGAGTACTGGCATTACCTCGACCGGCCCGAGACGTTCGTGACGATAGGAGATAGCGATGAGCCATTGGAACGAATGCTAGCAGCGTTGCGGTTCTGGTTCACGAAAGATCTGAAGTACGTGCATGGCAAGCCGTGTAAGCCATACAACAGCACGTTAGGCGAGTTCTTCCGCTGTTTATGGGAGGTGGAGGACTCGGCACCTGTACCAACTGGCGCGGGATCAAGCACACATCAGACCATTGGGACCTCAAAAGGCCAGTCGGTGAAAGTCAGCTACCTGACCGAGCAGACGTCGCATCACCCACCTGTGTCCGCCTTCTATGTGGAATGTCCGGATAAGGGCATCTCTGCCTGCGGATACGACCAGCTGAGCGCCAAGTTCACCGGCACGAGCATCAAAGTCACACCCGGCCAATGCAATAAAGGCATCTTCCTCACGGTACATCGACGGGGTGGTGAAGAGTACGTAATGACACATCCTGCCGCCTACCTCGTCGGCCTTCTGCGCGGTAACTTGCATGTCACGGTCTCGGATACTTGCTTTGTCACTTGCGAGAAGACAGGAATCAAGGTGCTCCTGCACTACCTAGAGGAAGGTTACTTTGGCAAGACGCAAAACAAGCTCGAGGGTGTAATATACAAATGCGATGTTTCCCGAGACAACACTACCAGGATCAAAGACGTGCCGGACAAAGACGTACTCGGCAGGCTCGACGGCACATGGACAGATAAGATCTACTACTCCGCTGGCTCAACCGACTTCAAGAAAGTCCCCGAGTCTGACCGCATCCTCCTTGTCGATGTGAACCCACTTCGTCCCGTCCCCAAAGTCTGTCCGCCACCAGACGAGCAACTACCGAACGAGAGCAGGCGCTTCTGGAACGATGTTACGGAGAGCATCATGGCGAAGCAATATAATGCCGCGACGAACCGGAAGCAGGAGCTTGAGGAGCGGCAGCGGGAACGAGCGGCGGAGAGGAAGGCACAACATAAGGAGTGGAGGCCGAGGTTCTTCACCCATGCGACCGAGGACAATGGCAGACCGGAGTTGACTGAGGAAGGGAGGATGGCGATGCAGGGGTTGCATGATGGGAGGTGGCATCTCGATCCACCGGAGGAGTATGGTGCGCTGTGATGCTGACGCAAATGAGACTTGAAGCTTGGCCTAGAGTATATACCAGTCGCAAGGCGTTCGGCGCTTTGATCTGTACGACATGCACTGCTGATGCGGATTCACCTGCCATGCAGCTGAGATCTGGTAGATACTCGGTGGAATGAGGACATGATGTGCGACACACGGTTACGGGCATCCCAATCGGATTAACGGTGCTGGCTTTGTGGTAGCGCCATCAGCAAGTCGTGAACTGGGCTATGAGGTAGAGATTTTGACACAATGCTTAGCGTGATTGGAAACGCGCACTCAGTACTCACATGATCGACTTAGATCCGCCGGTGCTGGCAGAAGGTAGCAAACAATAGATGACCTCCAACTCCTATGCTTGAACGCTAGATCACCAAAACGTCCTGCGTGACGGTTGCCGCGGCCTCTACGTTGCCCGCTAAAGCAAAGATCTGCTGCAGCGCAAACGCCGCCTCCATCGCGAAGTCCTCCGCTTGAACAGTAGTGTGTGCCCCGATGTGACCCTCGGAGCGCGCCTCTTCCTGCACAGCCGCGCTCATGCCAACCACCTTCTCGTAACTTGGAATCGCCAAATGCGTCAGGCCCAACACGTGCCACACCTTCGCCATGTTGTACTCTGCTTCCTGGCGAAGGATCACTCGATTGGTGGCAAGTCGCATGTCGTAGTAACGCCGCACAAACGACAACCCTTGCTGGATGCCAAACTGTCTGTTCTCTGAGACCCGCTTCATGGCGTTGTGAATGTATGTGAGTCCGAGACTCAGGATGATCGACGGGTTGTCCGGCTCGATCGCAAGGGCTCGCAGATAGTACGCCAGGGATGACTGCCCACCGTGCTTCGCTAACGCCATGATGTTTGCGTACAGAGTGAGCACGCCCGCATCGAGCTGGCCAGTCTCCGATCCATACCTATTGAGACGCGTTTCGAGAGTAGGAAGATCTGAGCCATGTGGTATCTGCTGTCGTAGCTCTGGTGGCAGGACCATGTAATCTATACCCTTCAGCGAACGTATAACGAACTTTTGTGTCGGGTCGAAGTCGAAGCCATTGTTCTCGCCGTAACATAATCGCGTCCCGCCTGCAAGGAGGTGAAAGGGTATGCTAGCTCGCGCATCACTTTTGGTAATGTAATTACGGGCGATATCGGCGATAGCGTGGCTGTCATTGAATTGCAAAGCACAGCAGAGTGCGACGGCATTGCTCATGTCAAAGAAGATTCGGTCGTAGTAGAAAATGGTCGCTTTCAGCAGGATGTCGTACAGTATTTCGTAAGACCGGGCGTAATCTGCCCGAGCGGCCCAGAGCAGGGCGAGGTTGGAAAGGATGCGGTGCCAGTCTCCGAGCAGTATGCCTTTGAAATCTGTCGGCGTCTGTGCGGCTAGGCGTGAGTTTTGATTGCCAGCATCGTCAGCGCTGTCATCCCTGCGGACTCTGGGTCGTCCGCGGGTTGGTTGCACGTTTGGGTTGCGCTCCTTGAGCGGGAAGAAAGCACGCTCTTGCCGGAAAGTCTCGGCCAATCCACCTGCGAGCTCTAGCCACTCCTCTGCATCCTCCCCGTCCATGTCTTGCTCTACAGACGGCCAGAGGTGCTCAGCTCGTTGATAAACCTCATCGACATCCGAACTCACTAGAGGTGTTGGACGCTCCTCAGCACCCTCTACCGCACCATTCGCTCCCTTGGGTAAGCGGTGAAAGCGCCTCTGTACGGGTGGAAGTGGTAGATCATGAGCCTTCACCACCTCTCGATGACCAAGACGGATTAACTCCTCACAAAGCGGCAATGCCTCTTCTTTCCACCCCTGACGTACGAACATCTTTGCCAAGTCCACCCGGCCTTGCTTGTTCAGCGGATCGGCTCTGATTAAGGCTCGAAGGGTATCCTCCGCGTCTTCATAGCGGCCAGTGCCAATATAAGCTTGCGCAAGTCCAAGCGAAACGACCTCATGTGTGCCTTGCAGGTGAGGAAGCATAGGCTCGTAGAATTGCAGTGCGTAATCGTACATGAGGTGGTCTTTCAATGTTTCGGACACGATGTCGAACAGATCAACATGATCGGCCATCTCGTTGGTGAACGCGAGGAGGTGGTTCAGATGGCGCATTGCTTCTTCGTGATGTGACATGCCCATTTTGACACGGAAGATGCCTAACTTGATGCGAAGATCAAGTGGCAGTCCCTGACCGAACAAAGCCTTGTCACGACTTGCCTTGCCCTGCTGGAATTCCCCGACGAAGACTCGTCGCTCCCCGTGGTCGATGTCAAACTCCTTGTCATCCCCTTCGTGCTTCTCCCAGAAGGACTCGTCTGCGCGACCGAGTATGTACCGAGCGAATCGCTTCACTTTACGAAGCCCGTCCTGAAAGACGCTAAGTTTGCGGAGGCCATCATCCCGAGTGGTACCGTGGCGGTCAACGAGTTGCGCATAAAGGTCGAGATGTGACCACAAAGCTTCGCGCTCCTTGTCATCCAGACCCGCGAACTCAGTCTTTCTTGCCTCGAAAGCTTTTTCATAGGCTTCCTTCGCCTTGGGAATGTCATCAGTCTCCCTAAGACAGAGTTGCGCATACGTCTCCGCGTTTTCGAAGTCACCAGGGTTCAGCCAGGATAGAAAGCTGCACTCATGGCGCGCTTTGGCATTTCTACCGACTGCAATTAGCATATCACGCATCCCTCTGCGTATGGTCGCTTGTAGTTCACGGTCTTCGATCCCCATTCGCTTTTGTAGATTGGCCGACATGCTGTAGCAATACAGCGCTTGGTCTGCGACTTCAGACCAAGATAGCTCGTGTCTCAGTACACTGATGGTGCGTTCTGCGGACTCGATCCACAGCGATGAATCCTTTGCGACGACAGCCCCAGTCATCAGGGCACCTACAGAGTCCGCTTTGCGATGGAGCTTCTCTAAGATCTCGGATAACAGAGTATGGGCTGATCGAACTTCCGGATTGGTCTGAACGGCTAGCTGTGCGGAGGAAAGGGCATCATCGAGCTTGCCTTCCATCAATGCCGAGATCGCTTGAGTTTGTAGGCCTTTGAACTCCTTGCCCGGGTCAACGGGTTTGCGCGGACCAGAACGCCTACCTCGCTTTGGCTCTCCTTCACCTCTGCCGCCATTCTGACCCCGCCCACGGCCACGGCCTTGGGCGCTTTTTTGCTGGATTCGCGCCTCAGCCTTAGCTTTGGCAGCGTCATGCGTTGTGCCGACGAGCGCCCACTTCCAGCTACGGCGTCCACGACCGCGTCCACGACCACGCGGCCTCCCTCGTACGCTCTCTGGTCCTGCGAGACCGCTGCTATGCTCATGGACGTTATCGTGGACATATGAAAGTCCGGGCCCACGATCCAGTAGGTCTTCGTCAAGTTCAAAGCCGCCAAGAGGGTCGAGGGTCTGCTGAAAGAACGCATTTGCTACAGGAGCTCCCTGAATTGTTAGGTCCTCCTCGGGGAAGGCGTGGTAAGTCTCAGGAAGCTCGACATGGTGCTTCGTATTAGTTTGTCCGAACCCTAGATTCTTGGTTGATTGCCAATAATGTTGTGCCGCAGCCTGTCGTCGCAACGCCGCAGCAAGCCCGTCGTCGCCCTCGCTAGGGGCATCATCCACATCCACATGCGGCTCCAGGGCATTGTCCGTGGATTCGGTTGTTGGCCGTTGAGAGTTCTGCAACCCGCGAAGCTCGTCAAACCTCGCCAATGTGGCTGACGACAGATATGACCGGCCCGGTGCCGGACGTTTGGGCTGCGCGGTGCGTTTTTGAATGCCGTTTGGACTTGCACGCTTACGAGGTCGTCCCGGCTTGCGTCTAGGCTCAACTGCAATTGGGCCAGCCGTGTCGGCACCGACAACATCTGCGCAGTCGCCACCGTCGAAGGTTTCACCATGGCCGTAGGCACCATGGTACCCATTCGCGTCCGCATAGCGGTCTGAGTACTCGTAGGAATCTTGATCTTCAATGCTTTGATCGACACTGGCATGCCGGGTCTCGCTTGCGGCTTCGGCTCTCTCGGGTCCGCCTACGTGATCATGCTGTGTGTTATGATCAAAGAGCAGAGGGGTTTCATTAAACTCTTCGATAGATATGTGATCATTATCGCCGTAATCATCGTAGTGATGCTCCGCATACGCCTCACCGGCATCGTCTTCTTCTGACATTCTGCTGTCACCCTCCGCTGAAGTGTCTCTGGATGCTGTGCCACCGAGGTCTGATCATGGATGCGGTTCGACAAAAAGCAATCTCCGCGCTGTTCAATGTGACGAGCAATGTCAGCGAGGTTCTTCGGAGGCCACAACGAGTAGCCTCGTGAACATCTGAGTTGATAGCTTTTGTCCGGGCTGGTGAAGCCGTGATTCGACGTCGAAATCAATCCAAGACTTCGGCAGTCGGATTCTGCACGACGGGGACGGCCCGAACTCAACCGCAGTTTCCCTATGAGGAACATCCGCATCCACGACTTTGGCCTTCTTACGGTTATCGCGTAAAACCCTCGAAGAGCGGCGATGGAGAGCCCGACAGACTGGACTGCTACGGCTCCCTTTTCGCCTTCGAAAGCCAAAGCTCAGCAGGCTCAAGCCAGAGACTGGGCGTCGGTGGATTCGTGGCTCGTTAAGGTCTACGGTAGGCGAGTACCAAGCGTTGAACGGAATGAAGAGACACTCCAGGTGCTGTTGAGTCTTGCAACCCGTAACGAGACTGCCGATGATCAACATGCAGCAATCGACCTTGTCGAGAAAGCCGCTCTCCGATCCTTGAAACGTCAAGATGATCTGGGGGACCGTGTCATCGAAACAGCCATGTGCTCGTTCGGTCTCGCTGGACATGACGGTGTACAAGCACTTGCTGAGACTGCTACCTTGCTTGGAGCGACCAATACTTTAGACATGGCAGCGAAGCTATGTGATCTCAGCACGCTTCACTTTGACCTCGAGCAGCAAGTCGAGCGAGCGGGTGCCCAGCGAGATACACTAACTAAGGAATGTAACCGAGCCATGCTAGCTCTGCAAGAGCTACAGAGCAACCAATTCCAGCATCCCGTCATTGTTCATGAGCAGATTGCCGAATGGAGTCGCAGTGCCAGGCAGCTCAAGGCCAAGCTTGTTGAATACGATGAGCGGTTGAGCGCGCTGCATGCTAATATTGCTGGCGAATCCCTCTGTGTCGAGCTCATGAAGCAGAACTTTGATCTCGAGGAACTTCGCCAGCGATTGAACATGATCAACACGGACATTTCACCCTTCCAGCATTTACCTTCCGATGGCACCTTGGCGAGGAAGGAACTGAGTGGCCTGAAGAACGAGCTGCAGACGCTGCTGTTGCGGCGGAATGACCTCTTTGAACAGTTGGTTGACTGAGCGCCGGGGTAAGATATGTCGCCACCCGGGGGTTTGTAAACTAAAGCTCGGAGCAGAAGGCTGCTATTTCTCTTGCCACCTGCTCACCGGCCTCTATGCAGTGCCAGTGACCTACACCGGACATCACGGTAAGCTTCTTGCTGGTAGAGCCTAGACGGTCGTGAATGTACTGGCAGCCTTCTAGAGGAGCTGACTTATCTTCCTCGCCGGCGAGAATAAGCACTGGAACCTTAACTGTCTTAAATCCGCCCGGAGGTTCCCTCATCTTCATGATAACATCGCAATGCGATGCGTACGAAGTCGGGTCTTGGCCAAGAATGAGCTCGCGGATTATCGCCCGCTGTAAAGGTGTACTCTTCGCATTGGTGGCCGAGGTAGGAATGGTGTTAGCCAACGGCTCCATGCCGTCTAATACGATCAGCAACGCATTTTAAACTCTGAGCGACCCACACAGACCTGTCTTGACGGTGTCTATACGGGATTGAAACATCTCTGGTTTCACAGAAGCTGGGTTGACCGGACCGATTGCGACAATGCCAAGTGGTCTATCTGGATGTTTCGCAGCAATTGTACAGACCATTGTACCACCCATGGAGTGACCAGCTACGACAGCTTTTGTAATGCTAAGATGATCCATGAGCCCGACAACGTCGTCAGCCAACTCCTCCAGCGTCAGAGTTTCACCTTGTGACTTTGACCGAGCCGCGCCATATGTGTCCAGCGCTATGCAGCGGTAAGTTGGTAAATATGCTATGACAGGCAAGTAGTAGTTTTGCGACGAGCCGAGCCCATGGATCATCAGTATAGGAGCATGGCCACTTCCACGGTTCGGCTCACTGTCCGTGGTGTCATAGTAGTTGATGCGGTGAGCGTTGATTGTGGCGTAAGGCATGGTGTCGAAAGCTTGAGAAGTGGCTAACGAATGAAAGAGAGCCGGGTCATAACGGTACTGCCCAGATTCAGCTTCTGGCGTCGACAATGCCTACCGGATGTAGCTCGGAAAACTACATGTACAGCACAGCAGTAAGTCTAACTGGACCCTGATTGAGTGTTCAGGTTGTCGCATCTTCAACATGTAGACCTCGGCTATATCACGTAGAATGTGATTCGAACGAGATCTCTTCGAGGCAAGACTGATGCATTACTGACAGGCTATCACTGACACACTATATCGGACCCCACAATCGAGTAGCAGCGTGCTAAGGTGGCTCTGATCATGCCACCTCAAGCGTTCTTCGGCCAGCGCTTAGTATTTAATGAGCTACTGACACATCGCCTCCAACACGCTTTCCACTGCAGACCTAGCAGATTATAGATCTCGAACCATCGCCTCGGAGGCCTTCTCAAACTCTGGAGACTTGTAATAGAGGTCTTTGATCGAGTCCTTCTCGGCACCCTTGACAGCGTCCGCAAAGTGGGCACCTGCAGCCGGATGATGCTGGAATAGGTGGTCCTTGAGCAGCCTCTGCGGAACCTCACCCATCCATTGGAAGAGGGAGAAGTCCTGAAACTCATCGGCTCTGAACAGTTCCAGCACCTCAAGCGGTTCGTCATCGGACAGGTTCTCGATGAAATGGCCCATGTTTCTGGGTATAACACCGACGTCACCAGCCATGTAATCGAATGTGCGAGCGTTTCCTTCAGCGGCGAAGACCGTGACGCGGGCACGACCGCGAACAAAGTATGACCACTCGTCAGCGTTCGGGTGCCAATGCATCTCACGCATCGCGCCAGGCTCGATGTCGAGATGGCCTGCAGCGACGGTCTTGGAGATGGGAAAGTTCCTGCTGTCCGTGATGCGAACCTTGCCGCCAGAGCTCACCTTTGGCTCCTGTTCGAGCATGTGGTGAGTGAAATTTAGCTTCGAGCGCTTGAAGGCAGCCGGCTTCTCCTTGTCGATTGAGTCGGGTACTTGCCCCTGGAAGATGTACTTCTCAGATAGTGGGATGTGGTCGAGCAGTTCCGGCGGGACACGGAAATTTTCGGACAGGACAGCGCGAGGCGTATGGGCAAACCAATCTGTCAAGAGAAATGTACTCTCCTCTGAGAAGTCGCCAGAGTCGAAGACCAGAAGGAACTCTGTGCCGTTGGGTCCAAGACCTTGCAGTGAGTGAGGATGGCCGGATGGGAAGTACCACAGGTCGCCGGCTTGGAGGTCATCAATGAACGAGCCGCCTTCGGTGTCAAGAGCCGTAACACGGACGCTGCCATCTAGTACGTATGCCCACTCGGCTTCTTTGTGCCAGTGGAGCTCACGGATGACACCTTCATCAAGACGCATATTGACGCCGGCGATCTCCTTCGATGTTGGCAGCTCGCGTACTGTCGTCTGGCGGGTCCAACCGCCTTCTTCAATACGCGTGTGCGAGTCCGCAAAACTCCTATCTTGTTGTTAGAAGGACATGAATCACATGAGCGTGGCCAAAACGTACCATCTCATGCTGGGCAAGCTGCCGTGGTCGGTGCTTGGTGGTCGAACCATGTCAGGATCCTGCTGTTCTCGCGCTTTGTTGCGCGGACCCAGCACGGTCGTGCCTTTGCCATTGCGCTAGAAGTAGATTAGCATCCTCTCCGTATGTGTTGATCGTTGGCTCTACGCCATTGCACAGGCCCCGCATTCTCAGGCTGCCTTATTGCTAAGAGTGTTGAGTGACTTACGAAAGGTAGAGGCTGCAGTCCTTCGCCAACGGTGTCGACCTTTCGGTCGTATGGGTCACTGTAATCCGGTGTGTACGGGTTCTTATGGTGAGAGCCAAGCGGATGCTGCCTGACTGGAGCCGCCAAGCTCAATGCCGGAAGCAACAGAGCTACGCTTGAGAAGTGCATCTTGACTCGGGGTAATCTGATCACTTGTTTCACTAAGTGGCTTGAAGATATTTCAGAGCAAGATATTGAACAGTGAGCGGATAGAGCGGCCACTCTCCCCTCTCCCCTCTCTTCGCATCATGGCCCTGGTCACCACGTACGTCACGATTTCGGCACGGTATGGACTAATATATCGCGTGCTATCTCCTCTTCAAGAAATCTGTTACGCTGCATTCCAAAGCCATCACAAGCAGCTGGTTGGGGCTACACTAGGAGCGTTGTCATGAGGTATCTTCCCCAAAGCCAACAGGACCTCGTACGGCTCATTGCTCAACCGGCGTCAACAAGCCCAAACTCTAGGGCCGAAGCGGAAGCTCTGGCAACCATTATTCAAGGCGCAAGTTGTTAGCCTAAAATCACAGTCAGAAGAGCAGTAGGCCACGTCAGTATATATCGATCGTTGACGATCCGTGTTCTGTCTGGAAATTCGTTCACTCGCCGGTCCATTCGGCAGTTTTGAGGTTTTTGACCACCGGCCCGCAATATCCGCATTAGCCGATTGCAACAGCAGCATCAGTTCAGAACCGCAACATCTGCGTCTCGGTTTAAGGAGCGAGCATGGCGCAGAACAACACTTATGGAACCGTTTCTGGTGGAGCTCGACATGGCAATGGTTTGCTCAATGGTGCTGATGCCGAACGAGCCGCGTTGCTCGGCAAGCCGGACGGTCATGACAGCCTCACTGCGAAGCTGGGGAGGCACATGACGAGAGACATCAGCAAATCGTGGGGTGATCTGATGCTGTTGGGCTGCTATATCATCACCGGACTGCTAGACAGCAGCAGCGTGCAGGTTTGGGGCAGCTTCGTCAGTATGCAGACAGGTAAGCTAGCGGACTCGTGTCGTTTGTGAGAGAGGCGTCGCTCACGTTATGGGGTCACAGGTAACACGGTCTATCTTGGCTTGGGTCTGGCAGCTCCTTATGCCAGTACTCGTTGGATTCGCGCTGGCATCTCCGTGAGCTGTTTCTGCCTTGGAAGTGCTTTCTTCGCTCGCTATCACCGTTACTTCGGCCAGCGCAAACGCTGGGTCATGGTATCGGCATACACACTGCAACTGCTCATGATCCTTGCGGCGGCCTTGATGGCGACTTTGGGTCCACAAACTGGTCCCTCGGGTGGCGTTACCGTCTGGGTTGCCGTACCTATAGCACTTATCGCTTTTCAGTCTGCAGGACAGGCTGTCACAAGTCGGGTGCTGAGCTACGGCGGCCTAACGAGCGTAGTGTTGACGAGCATCTACTGTGATCTGTTCTCGGATCAAAAGTTGTTCTCGGCTTTCACGGAAAACGTGGAGCGGAATCGGAGGGCTGCCGCTCCGCTCATGGTGCTTGTTGGCGCATTGGCTGGAGGCTTATGGGCACACAGCGAGTGGGGCATGGCAGGCGCCCTATGGACTGGTGTGGTGCTGAAAGCCATGGTGACGGTGGGTTGGCTGCTCTGGAAGGCTGACCCGGATATTTAAGCTTCAAGTCAAGGTCCACTTGCAGAAATTCGTACCCATTACGATCAAGCGATCTGTTACGTGAAACATCGTTTCGTATGGTGGTGCATTCTCTTCATATTTTCGACTTGATCTCTTCCATGAGCTTCTGCAGTCGATCTTTGTCTCCTTGCTGCTGGGGCCAATTGATACCCAAACCCTCTTGCTCATTCGGTTTTGGGATCATGTGGACATGCACATGGTCAACCATTTGATGTGCTATCCGGCCGTTGTTCTGCAGGATGTTGAAGTTCTCCGCACCTGAGGCTCGGGCTATCCGCGACGCAACGGGAAGCAGCTCGGTTAGGTGCTCGTCGGGGATGTCCGTGAGCTTTGCACCGTGGTGCTTGGGGATAACAAGCGTGTGGCCGTAAGCCAGAGGGTTTATACTGAATAGAAGGTGAGCATTAGTTGGTTATATGGCACCCGCGTGCAGCCTACTCGAGGAAGGCCAATGTCTTGTCGCTCTCGAAGACTTTCATCGAGGGTATATCACCTGTTACCGATTAGCTTGACACATCACGGCCTAAGCATCAAGCCATATACCCTTGATGATCTTGCAAAAGACGCAACTCGCAGCCATTTTGAACGCTGACATACAATGACCGACCTTGATGGCATTGCATTGAAGACGGTAGACATGGGGCTTACGCAGGAACGGAAGCGGGGTACGAATCACGAAGTCCTTTTACCTTAGCAGCTAGCATAGGGAGTGAATGTGCGACACACCGTCCATCGCCACTGTCGATGTCAGACAACCGCATATTGCATGGATGGCGGCACCAGCAGTATTACAGATAACCAACTGATAGTCCAGAAGACTGACCTACGACATGCTGCGCCTGAACACTGCACCATTTGCCTTCAGCCTATCGCAGAGCGTGCGGTGGCCGTACCATGCAACCACCTAGCATTCGACTTTCTATGCTTGGTGTCATGGCTCCAAGAGCGCGCAACCTGTCCGCTGTGCAAAGCCAGTATCACAGAGGTGCAGTACGACTGGCGGAGTCCGAATGATTTCAAGACCTACCACGTACCCCCGCCACCCTCTGCTGAGACCGGGGACACTGTAAGCAGGAGCAGGGGACATGGTTCACAAAGATCAACCCTGGCATTCGTACGAAGGAGATCCGGTGCAGGGTCGTCTCTTCACTGGGAAGAGGATCCTGCCCTTAGACGACGTCGCCATGTCTATCACGATCATGCCTTCAGCTTACACGTTGGCGCGAACCCCGTCTCCGGATATTGCGACTTCACACCGATAATATTCTCTGCCTCACCAGAGATGCAGAGTCGCGCTCGCGCGTTCCTGCGCCGGGAGTTGCGAGTCTTCCGCTTTCTTGATGCAGTCCCTAGTGGCGGAAGCCGTGGCTTCTTGATCGAGTTCATCATCGCTGTCCTCAAAGTAAGCGAGCCGAAAGGCGCAGATGGGCGCGCTGAGGACCTCTTGTCGGAATCTGTGGGAAGAGATAACGCGAGATTGCTGTTGCATGAGCTTGAAGCATGGCTGAGAAGCCCATACGCAAGATTGGAAAATTGGGATCAAATGGTGCAGTATGCCGCCGAAGGAAGGCCAGAGGGGACCGGCGCATATGGGCCGCGAGATTCCAAATATAATGGCGACGGGTAGCTGCGTAGAGCGAATGCAGGAGCTTGTGGAGCAGGCTCTGAACCGCATCCCACCCATTCCAGTCTTGAGCGAGAGAGCGCTTCCATATTCGACAGGTTCGGACGCCGCTGTAACGCTGATACGCATCCGGCGCACTACCGATGCTGCTGGGGCAGATGGTACGTAGATCTTCAACTGCAATTCAGATTCATTATTGTACATCGTAATGTATTGATAACTGCCAGGACTCGCAACACTTTTTGGGAGCTGGCAATATCGCAGCAACTGTCATGTACTCCTATACCTCGCGTAGACAACAATCACCGAGGCTCGTGAGACTTTCACGCGTGAAGCTCCCCTGCCAGCTCGCTCTGCCGTCCATTTCTGGTGTTTACTACGCGCGCCTGCCAAAGCTGGACAGCTTTGCGCCTTCCATAAGGGTCTGTTCACGCCTGCCTGCAACACTTCTCGACTTTGTTTCGCAACGAGCAACTTGCACTAGCGTAAGATATGCGCTGACCGTGCGACTCAACGTCATTTCGCTGCCAGGCGGAGGACGCCTTACAGTTCGGTTTGTCGTGGTTTCAACTTCAATCATCTTCGAAATCTAGACTTCCAGCTCTGACAACGCAGTTCCCTACAGTGAAGGACTCTTCGCTAGACGTGCTCCGCCACGATGTGCCTGACGGCGGGTTCACAGACTGCAATCGCCCTGGAGTGCTGGGAGAGATTGGAGGAACGAGAGGATGGGGTGTTTTGCGAGATTGACGGGCAAAGCCTGCACATTGCCGACGTTGTTGCAGCAGCACGGTAAGTTAAAGATATCCGACGGCCAAGTTGATACCAAGTGAACAGTAGAAGGCTGATGTTATTGAGATGTAGCCATGATGGCTTACCCGAGCTCGTCATCCCGGAGTCTGTCGTGAATAACTTGCAGAGTAGTGTGGACGTCCTTGCTGGGCATCTCGCAAAGGGCTGGTACGTATATGGCGTCAACACCGGCTTTGGCGGGAGCGCAGACACTCGAACCGATCAGATGGTGGCTCTGCAGGCCGCTCTTATGCAACTGACCCAAGCTGGCGTGCTATCGCCTGGAGACCGCGGCCTTGCGACCGGGACGCCCGTCGATATATCCAATGCGATGCCTGCCGCATGGGTGCGTGCTATGATGCTTGTCCGGATCAACTCGAACGTCCGAGGACACTCTGCTGTAACAGCAAAGACACTCCAGGCCGTCGTCCGTTTGTTCAAGGAAGGCATAACACCCGTGGTGCCGCTGAGAGGATCGATATCTGCGTCTGGAGACTTGATGCCATTATCGTACGTTGTAGGGGCTATGGAGGGGAACCCGGACATCTTCGTCCAACTGCAGATTGATGGCCAGCGCCAAACTGTGTCTTCCCGCTATGCCTTGGCGCTCCGGGACATTGAGCCTGTGGGGCTTGGTCCTAAGGAGGGTCTTGGACTCATCAACGGCACTTCCGCGTCCGCAGCACTTGGCTCAATTGTACTCTACAGGGTTCACCAGCAGAGCGTACTTACGCAGGCACTTACTGCTATGGCAGTTGAGGCTCTCGACGGGACGGCTGAATCATTCCATCCATTCATCGCGCAGATTCGACCGCATCCAGGACAGAAGGAGGCAGCTCAAAACATCTACGCCTTCTTGTCCGGCTCACAGCTTGCGCGGACTGGCGGAAAACATAGCCGTGCAGTGAATGAAGATCTCGCACAAGACCGATACTCGCTCCGTACCGCCTCGCAATGGATAGGCCCACAGCTCGAGGACATCGCCTTGGCTCACCATCAGATAACCACCGAGCTCAACTCAACGACCGACAACCCGCTTGTTGATGTAACGGGCGAGGGCGCCATCTTCTGCGGTGGCAATTTCCAGGCCAGCAGTGTCACTACAGCTGTGGAGAAAGCGAGACTTTCCATGCAGATGTATGGCCGCTTGCTGTTCACTCAGCTGCAGGAAATGGTTGACCCCACGATGTCCAATGGACTGCCCGCAAACCTTGCCTCGGACGACCCAAGCTTGTCCTTCACCTGTAAAGGTGTTGACATCGCTATGGCGTCCTACATGGCCGAGTTGGCCTACCTAGCGCAGCCGCTCTCTTCTTACGTCCAGGTTGCGGAGATGCATAATCAAGCAGTGAATAGCATGGCTTTTGCGAGTGCCAGATACAGCATGCAGGCTGCGGACTTGCTGAACTTGATGTGCGCGAATCACCTCTACGCATGCTGTCAAGCGGTCGACCTGCGAGTGTTGCACATGCTATTCATTGAGAAGGTGCAGTCTAAGATCATCGAGCTTGCCGTCTCACGCTTCTTCATCTCAATGGAAGGAGGATCTATTGGCCAATTAATTTTATCCTTTCATACGCAGATGTGTTTCAGCTGGAAGACAAGTAGCAAGCTAGATTTCAAGGACCGTTGCGCCAAAATGATTGCATCTCTCATGCCGCGTCTGGTAGAGCAGCTTGCAAAGGAGCCTGAAGTCACTCTGCGTGTTCTGGATGACTTTCGCCATGAAGCAACGACAAAAGCTTTCAAGATCTGGACAGAAGCACATACTGAATTCTGCAGAACGCAGCCAACAGCAGAATATCTTGGATCCGCGGGTGGAGCACTCTACTCTTTCGTTCGCGGCGAACTTCAGGTACCCTTTCATCAAGGTTTTGTTGAGCATCCGCAAGGCTCCAGCACAACACCGAACGGCCGTCTGAAGAAGACAATAGGCAACTGGATCTCGGACATTCATGCGGCCATCTGCGTTGGACGACTGGATGCTGTGGTCATGAAGCTTGTTCGCTCTCAGCTGATCGAAACGCGGGACTCAGCAGCATCCCAACAAGGGCAGGACCGTTCGTCTCAGTTGGCGACTTGATCTCTAAGAACCTGGTGAAGAGTGAAACTATACCGAGCATAGCACCGGCATCCGACTCGGGCATTTCTGTAATCGGCTTGCCGTAACCTAAGCGCAGTCGTGTGGGAGTCGGCGTTGAGGGGAGCCTCGCGGAGCCAGTGCACTGGTTGCTAGAGCGAGGCACAAGGTGCTAGTTCTGCCCAAAGGCGTGCCCTGTAAGTCAAGAGGCCGCCGGCGGTATGGTGACGCTGGTCCATCGCCTCTCATGCCAGAACTGCCGGTGCCCACAAGCATGCAACTGAGACAGTCACAATGTAGAAGACCTGTATCGATACTTGATAGAGTATTGATGAAAGCTACAAGGCTACCGAATCACTTCCATCAATCAGCCCAACGCCAGTCAAGCATCCTCTGTGCCGCACAACTGTATGATCGGCCGCTACTGCAGCGTGCGTCGGCTTTAACCAGAGCACATTAGCCGGTCCCCCCGAAGGTAATCGAAACTGAACATAGCGCCCATCCTAAACTCGAAAGTCATTGCGGTTTAATAACACAGGCTCTTCGAGCGAAATTTCCAAATCTGTTAATCAGCCTAGATTAGTGGGAGGTAGCAGACTGTAACCGCTACAGCAATCGGAAGTATCAAATCTTCACTGAATTGAGATGTCTCCGGCGTTGAACAGCCATACGTAGCTGAGCATCGACGTTGAGACTGCCACGCACTGTAGTGCGTGCCATACGTATTGCACAGCATGTCACCAGAGAACAAAGCCCCAAACGGCATACCGAAGTATTGGGATGGAGGTCTGATCCCGGACGTTGACAAGCACGGAGACAATCCGGCAGTAATTCGTCTCTCTGACGAGGAGAGAATATCTGGGAAGACCCGGCCCGATACCATTCAAGAAGCGCTTACCTACTTCCACCGGGACGGCTTTCTTGTCTTGGAGAACGTAATTGATGACGAGCTAGTTGACAAGCTGTATCAGCGCATGGTTGACGATAATGCCACCTTCCTCTCCAAGAAGCATATGACCTGGAACCAGGGTGCAGCAACGAAGAACGTGTCTCAAATCCCACCCTTGACACCCGAGTGGTTGCACCGAGACTTCTACGCCAACCCACATATGCTGCGTATACTTGAGAATGTACTGGGCCCGAGACCGGAGCTACGGTTCTTGAACGCCAACGTTGCGTGTCCCGGAGCGACCGGACGTCAAGCAGTGCATACCGATGTGAACCATCGTTTCCCAAGCGTTCCGTTCGGGATCGTGATGAACACGTATCTTCAGGATTCCGACGAGCATAATGGCGTAACCGAGATCTGGTGCGGAACGCACAATGCCTACCCGCATCCTGGGCAGCTGAAGCACAAGGAAAGCAGTTGGATACGAAAGGATCTGATCCAGCGCCAGGGCAAGGTTCGACCGCCTGTCCAACCAAAAATCCGTAAAGGCAGCATCTGCTTCCGTGATTTGCGCCTTTGGCACGCTGGCATGCCGAATACCAGCTCGCAGCACCGCATCATGCTGGCGATCGATTACTTCGCCGCATGGTATCAATGTCCGATGAAGCTGCAGCTGCCGATCGCGGCCAGGAAGCAGGTGGAGGAGGACTGGGGTATCTCAACGGTCGGTATCGAGTGGGTAGATGGTGAGATTGACAGTCTGGAGGTTCCGTTCTTTCTGAACATGACTCAGGACCCAGGGAGGTACTTGGTCCAGACTGAGAAAGGATTCGAAGACTGGCGAGCGAGAGAGACCGGTAAGTGGGAGTTTGACAAGGGTACAGTTACCGACCAGTGTTACTGGACACCAGAAGATTGATAAGATGTTGCGACATGCCTCATGCTCCTCGCTAAGCTTGCTGTCTGCGGTTTTACCCGGACTGTGAACTTTACGTGCAAGGGTTGGAACCTACTGTATATATGTCCGCAGCGCTATGGTGGAGGGTGTATGCATCCTATGATATGTATTGGTGTAGAGTAATCCTTTCCGGGGAACTAGCTTCGTAGCCAATCACGAGCTCGTTCGAGGCAAGGTTCAACTGCCCAGTTTTGGTGAAGCACAAGCATAAGTACGTTTTGGGATACATTCACTTGCAAAGACTCCATCAGCACCATCACCAGCCACTGCGATCCCTTTCGTTGTAGCCTGTCACTCAAAAGTGCTTTCCAGGCATACAACCTCTTGATGTGTGGCGCAGGCTGAAGGGCGCAGGCAGCAGGCGCCTATGGATGCTGCGCCCTCGTGATGACTCGAGACCGTACACATTGAAGGGCGACCCATTCAGTTCGATTGCACATAGGACGTCCTTCGATCACATTCATAGTAGTCCTGAAGAGTTTCCACCAAACCATCCCGCCTCCAGAAGTTACAGTCCATATCAGAAGCACAACCGAAAGGGAAACACACGATGGACAGTAATTTCGCGAACCTGAGCGAAGAGTTCGAGCAGATTTACCTTGAGCCCCAGAGTCTGACCTCTTTCCGCCTCTTCGACCTACCGCCAGAACTTTGGCTCCGCATCTGCGAGGTAGCAGTCATCTCACCCGTACCGGTCAATGTCACACGAGTTCCATTCCAGCAGCAGCAGGCGCAGCGCGTGCAACAGCCAGCCATCACGCGAACTTGTCGGTTACTCCGGCAGGAGGCTCTTCCAATGTTCTACAAGAACAACACGTTCGAAGCCTGGCACTTCTGTCAGCCGTGGACGTGCCCACGGCAATGGCTTTTAGCAATTGGCAGAGGGAATCTGCTTCAGATGGGAAGGTTGAAGATCTATACCCAGAATGACAAGGAGTTCTGGCAAGGCTGCTTCGAGCGTGCAGGTCTCAAGGATGTAGAGATCCGAGAAGTGGAAGGCGCAGAGGTCGAGGAGCCATGTCCGGCGCACAAGAACCATTTGACACTCGACACGGTGCTTGTGACTTTTCGTTAGGCTAGCAACGATGGTAGCAAGCACCACATTCTATGGAGCAACAGAACATCAAGCCAAATCGGCTATTGCTACATTACGATCCAAATGTCAGTACTCAGGAACCGCAAGTGCGAGTGTCAATATGCGAGTTGCTAAATCTGTACCTCAGTGCTGTTTACCCACCACTACTGTCGTCAAGCATATGTAGTGCAAGATCATGCATATGTCAATACGCTTCTCTTCTTCCCACTGTAGCCCTTGCCATCGTCTCTCGGCCGCAAAGGGAGCGTCGCGGCGCTGTATCTCCGTCCGAGCTTAGTCTCCACAGGTCTCGCTGTGGGAATGCTGTCGGATCTGCCGTGCTTCGAGGAAAGTTGACGGCTGGTTCGAGCGGCGGGCTGTGGCCTGCTTATACCGACGCACGAGATACTGTCGTCAGGAACAACCGTGCAAGTGTCGCCCAAACCGTCCGAGTCATCACTTTCATCGAGAACGGGTCGTGGACCTACGCCCTCCGCAAGCCATGGGTCTTGCGCAGCTGTCACGTACGTGGAGGCACGAGCGGCATCTCGAACGCGTGGTTCCCCCATTGCAGCAGAGTGTGTGGGCTTGGGGCGTGCCGAGCTCCCGATATCCGTAAGCTGCTCTTGGACCGAGCGACGGCCTGGCTTGACAGTGCCGTTACTGGATTGGTGGCTTCCGTGGGACTTGGTCCGATGAGAGTCCCAGGAATCATGCGATGCACGAGACCGTAGACTTACGCCGCTATCGTGACGCCTAGACGTTCGTCCATCGACTGTAGAGCGCCGAGAACGTGACGTTGGTGCTATCTGTCCAGAGCTCGCAGATCCTTCTGGGATCGTGTCATCGGCCGGTAAAGTGTAAGACCGTCTTACGCCAGCTTCCGGACGGTCTTCATCTGCAAACACCGGCCTATATTCGTGAGCATCCACGGTCCTAGTGCGTCTGGGCACTGACGGCCGACGAGACGCTGTATATCGGCTGACTGCGGCGTGTACCTCATTATCGTCGTAGTAAGTCCTAGAGTCAATAGCTGGCCTGCTGCGAGCTAGACTGAGTGGCGGATACTTCCTGCTTACTGAAGTCTTCTCGGTCGTGCTATACTCTCGGTCTCTTAGCGGTAGCTGAGAACCTGCCACGCTAGATCTGCGTGAAACGGCGCCATCAAGCGAATATCGGCGCGGTTGGGAGCGAGCGGCGTCAGAGAAAGATTGCTCGTCTCGCGCATTTCTTGCTTCAGCCTTCATGAAAGCCCACGCAACCGCAGCGCCAGCTGTTGCACCCAGCAAAGTACCGAAGAAGGCTTTGTTGGGAAACTCTGAATTCGAAGCGGACCTTGCGGGCAGGGTACGTGTTCGACCCGTTTCTCGTAGCGGCGCTGCAGAGGAACTTCGGGCGTACATAGAGCGCGCCGGCTGCAGGCCAGGAAAAGGCTTGACTGCCGAATCGGTGCCTGAAGACCGAGAGCGACAGTCCCAGGGATCCTCCTGATTGCTCATACCTTTGATACCCTTTCTCCAGCTTAGCACACGGCTATGCTCCGGCGCTTCAATGGCATGCTCATCGTCGTCTGCCACGGTCGGCTCTGTGAACACGAACTCAACAACATTACCGTCAAGATCCTCCACAGCAGCATTGAAGACGTTGCAATTGCGGTCACGGTAGCTTGGCGCACTGCTGGGATATGCGCCTGATCTCAGAGCAGCTGCATAGCAGTTACGTACAACCAGACGACTATCTGCTGCGAAAGCGATGTGGGTAGGTGAGACAGGGACACTGCCAGCCACTTAATGAGACGTGTGCCACTTGTTCGCAATCATCTTGGACTCACCGGCTAGGCTGCTGCGTCAGAAAGAAGTCCGCATTGTCCACACCAAGCCCAACAGAGTCTCTACTGTGTCCGATATACCGATAGCCGAGGGGTTCAAGCGTAGTAAGGTAAAATGATGTCGCCGAGGATATGTGTGACACTGTAAGTCCAAGATGCGAAACTGGCATGTCGTATCACAGAAGATGCTGGGCGAGGCGCGCGGGGGAAGCGAGAGTGGACTCCGCGCTGATCATTGCATATATGTTGCAGAGAATGGCTAGAATGACCCACTGGCCACCCTTGACGTTGACGAGTAAGGTAAATTGTTCATGACCATTCTAAAGATGTGAAGGAAGGTTCAAAGGTAGGGAATGGGAACAGAAAGAGAGTGCGCCGGTCGCAGCGATGACACGAGGGCATGACCTCGCGGGATAATGCTAAATAGCGTAGACGTCCATCAGTCTGCGACAGCTATCTAGCTCGTTGCTAGTAGGAAGGGCCCACTTAGACAGGACTGCAGTCACATCGAGCCGCCTAGCCCAGCGATAGCGAACGGGTGGAATGGAGTGGCGGCAATCGTGTTGTCACAGCCCAAGAGAGGTCCGTTGTACCAGTCGATGGCTCAGCAATGGCTAGAGGACGAATGGGAGCTTCTCCAGCTGACAGCTGATCCAAGCCCAGCCCGTCGTGCGCGAATATGCATGTCTTTCAACGAGCGACGCACGAGGCGGTCAAGCAGAGGCTGCCACGTTCGGCGCCTGCAGCTAACAGCACGAGGAGACGTGACTGGGCGGGACGGGCCAGATGCCGCACGGACTGCTTGGGTTCATGGCGTGACATCGAGACACGACGCATAATCTTGACTTTGTTCGCAACTGACTCTGAAGGTTCCAGGTGGACAACAAGGGAGTGAGAACGCAAGACTCTCATCGTCGCCAACATCGGAGTTCCCAATGGGTCGCAGCTCGCCGTTCAGCACTGTAGCCCATCTTCTCGTGCCCAACCGATGCGCTTTTGAACATCAGAGGCGGGGTTGACATAGATCCCGGAAGTATTGCACGATTGGTAGTTCATGTGCGCTGTAGGCGTCTATTGAGAAGACCTTCCCGGCAGATTGCTCGCGAGAATGGGTTGCATTAGCCAGCCGAAGACAGGTGCTTCCCTCTGCGGCAGCATGAGATACGGTCTAGAAAAGGTAAGGCTGCAATGCCTAACTAAAACACTGTCTGCCATCGCGTCACGTGTCGTCGCGTCACTTGCGCACCAATGTACAGTGCCTCAATATGCTCCAAAGAGGTAAAAGGCGAAGATCTGCTGACGACCTACCTCTCAAACTAAACGGACTCCGGCAAGCCGCTGACGAGGACTTTTTGCTCCAGGTGTGGGAGCAGATAGTTCTGCTTCACACCGCTGGTTGCCAGCATTGTCAGTGTCGCCGTAGGGACATTGGATGATTTTGATGGCTGGCAGCCGGATGCGGAGCAGTACTGCACCCATCGATTGGGACCTCATTGAGAAGTTGAAGGGAGTCGGTGTATCCAGGAGGCATGTTATGAGTGTGCAGTCTAAGCCGGAGAAGTGAACACTTTGATGGCTTTGGCATGACTGCATGTCTGGCAAGGCTTTGACAGTTATTGCTTTCTGCGTATGTCGCTTACCCAGCGTTACAAGCTTAAGGCGCTGTCAACAAATTGCCGCAGGCTTCCAGCAAGCATGTACTGTCAAAACAGCGAGACAAGCAAGCCAAACCAGTATCACGCCCAGCGCACGATTTATCCGGCAACAGCCCCCAATGCACAGCGGACCATGTTGGAGGTGCCTGCTTCGTCCGACATTGACCCCATGTTGTGTTGAAGTCATCGCACAAATCAGTCCTGTCAAACAGTTTTCACTGCACTGCAATCCGACGCAAGTCATACCTACCTTGTCCGACATACACCGGTCTAGATGTCCTTACATTCGCAAATCAACCCTTCTTGCCGTCTAGATGATGTCCCACACATCCTCTGCAGCGTGACAGAATTTGGCGCAGGCCACGCTCGCACTCAGGCTGTAGTTGCTGATACTGATAGAATCGTCCTTGAACTGGTCCGCGAAGGTGTCTGCACCTTTTGCCATAGCGCCCACGAACACGCACACACTTTCTTTGGGACCAAGGTCTGCAATGTAGTCGCGCACACGGACGACTGGTGCATCGAAGGAGAGCGTAACCTTGCGGCAGTTGGGAGGCAGATGATCCGTAATGGGGTTGCGGATGACCTTAAGAAGCTTCTCCGGTGACGTTGTTGAGCGGATCGACAAGTTATGCAGCAACTGCACCATAAGACCAGCAAAGCGCTTGAATGTCCGCGGGATGCGCACGGTTGGGCTTACTTCGATAAGAACTCCCTTGGCGGTGTGGATATATATCTGCAGCTTGCCGGCCTTATTGACTGGCGAGTCGAGCAAGGTAAGCAGGCACTGGTGGGTGATGTCGGGGCGTGCATCGCTAATGTCTCGATTCATCTTCCGCATCACGCCGATATGCTCGTCGCTGTTGAGCAGTGAGTATTTGGCTGTCTCCGGCTTGCCGTTCCTAGCTGGCGCGCCATGGGAAGCTTTGTACGTCTCGAGGCTAGCATTCGAAAGGACGACGATCAGACGCTTCGTGTCCTTGTCGCTTGACGGGATCGGATGGGCCTGCTCCGCGACAATCTTCGGCAGGGCGGGCGGTGGTAGTGACTGGGTCTGGGTGCCTGCGGAGCCAGACATGATAGCGTCAGCCATTGCAAATGCCTTGTTGAAAGGACGTTGCGTTGATGTTGAAAGAAGGGGAGGAGGCGCGTCGCTGCTGGTTGTGCAGCAGCGACGGCACTGTTGGTGACAGGAGGAGAGACTTGGCTTGGCTGTGCGCTGGCTTGTCTGTGCGAGGCCACGGATCTCGGGCCGACGACCAACCAGCAGCGGGCACGAGAGCGGAATTGACTCGAGTTCGTCACAAAAGGGTTGTTACTCACGAACTCGCTTTCTGTCGCGACCGTTGGGTGAAGGTCTCCTGCCGATGTAGCTGCTGTCACCCGCCGCGTCGAGGAGCGATTGTTCGAGTCTCTCCGCCTCGGGGCTGGCAATAGCCATGACGGGCTAGCGAACGGCTGTTAGAAGACGGGAGCCTGTATGGAGAGTTAGAGTTGGACACAATGCAGGCGCAAAACACGAAGCCTTCGTAGCGGGGGAGCAATTGGGCGGTGGAAGAAGAGTCCGAGGATGTCAGAAGAAGAGCCCTTACTCCGGCGGCGGAGGAACAAATTGCATCCACGACGCCAAGGCCCGAGTAGCCCCGAGGCCTACTAGTGTCACTGAATCAATAGCGCCTGGCTTCCAGAACATGTCCATAAGGCTCTGTATACTTGCTCTCGTCAGATGTTGCCGGTGTTCTTCTAACGGCCTTTCATCTAACGGTAGCTCTTCTGACGAGTTTTCTACTGATAACCGTCAGGTAAACAGCTATCAGAAGTTAAGAAACACGACGTTCTCGTCCGAGTGTCGTACGAACAGAGCGAGACGAGAGTGATATCCAACGACTGTTCTGGCCACTCGAGTAGCAGGATCAGATATCTGTTGTAGCTATTATATACGGCAATCCGGACGACTTGTGATACTAATCAGAAAGCTCGTCAGATACTTTTAGAAAAGGTAAATAACTTTATCAGATGAGTAGCTACTTCTAACGGCTTCTTCTGACGATACTGCTTACGTGGCAGATAAACTTCTGAAAGGAGCAAGTATACAGAGCCTAAAGCGGCGGGTTGCAATAGCATCGTGGTGAGGTATCGCGCATATTTTACCTGTACGTCCGTGACAGCATGCTAACAAGGTCTACCATCTTTAGTCGACGCTGTGCCGAAGAGTGCGCTCGGATGAGGTATAGCACGCTACAACCATCATGAGCTCTCGTGAGGAGCAGCAACGTTCAAAGTCATTCAGCTCACAATCCCTTACGCTTCGTCGGTCAGATAACGTCTCAATACTCTCGTCCGTTCACGCGAGCCTCACGCGCTGGTCAACCAGACTTTTCACGACCCCACATGCGCGTCGAGAATGCAGCCATAGGTATGGTCGCTGTAAAAAAATTTTTACATCTTACAAGTTCAGGTTGAGCTTTCCTACGTGCCGAAGGAGGCGTGTTTGGAGAACATCCACTGGGCGCGACATTCTCGGCATAGAGGGCTACATGTCAATGGGTACATATTGCGTTTTGTTGACCGTGATCAGAAGTTCACTGTGGTGTCGGAGTGGTTAACGAGTCAGACTTGAATCGTTTATCGTTCCAGATATCTGATGCCTTCGGGCGCGCAGGTTCGAGTCCTGTCCGCAGTGAGATGACATTCGTTTTGTCGTTTTTACTTCGATTGAGCAGCACTGCCTCGAGTTCAAGTTGTGGGTAGGTGTGCGTTGCTTGAAATCTCTCCCTTATATCTGCCGCGGTGAGGGGTAACTGCAAGCGCAAATGTTTCTAAACTGTCTCCTTATCTTGCACATTTAACGTTATGAGTGGATATTTGCAATGCTGAGCATCTGAGAAGTTTGTGTCATTCGGAGCATTGCTCGCTGGGAAAAGTACTAATTCCATTGCCTTACCCGCTTGGCTACCAACACAACGGCATGAATGAGCTTTTCACCTGGCAGTAGTCTGGCCGCCCGGCCTAGGATCCTGGAACATGGACGCTTAAGGTCAGACTCCCCTGAGCTCGTGCGAAGGGACTCAGATGGAGTGACGTTCGGGACCGTGCGGATCAAGGACTCGCCAGAACGACCTCAACTGTTCAAACGTAACACTACACGAGCCGAGAGCTCGAAGAGCATAAGTGAAGCAATACGCTTGGCGAGATCTCGTGAAGAGCAGGAGACTCTACTCGGTGATGAGGAGCAAGCAGATGATGATGGCTGCTACCCGCCCAGGAAAACGGATGCGCCTAGGACACCGAATCCGCACAGCTCCTTGCCCGTGTATACAACGATACACAAGATCCGGCGGCTGATCATTGCGAGCATTGGTAGGACGAGCTACCTGGAGAGCTATGCATTACTACGGCTAATGGTAAGTATGTAGACGATCCATATTCACTCGAGCAGCTTAAAAGTCCTCGCATCAATGTGACCGTTGTTCGTCCGCTTGTCGAGCACCTGTATGATCCCGATGACGTATCCATGGTTTATTGCCTGCTCGTCAACAGGATGCAGTTTCTCCGAGAGCAGTCGTATCAGGCTCATCACCAGACAGTCAACAACACCCGTGCCAGTGTGTGCGAGCTGATTGCAAGCCGTGTGCTACGCCGATTCGATGAAGATCATGAAGGACGACCGGGATTACTGATGTTGGCAAACGTGCTCGTCGCGGGCTTCGAGCCCTTTCAGAATGCTCCGCGCGAAGTGTACGAGCAGAACCAGTCCGCTCTGCATTGGACAGTTCGGTGGAAGTTGGCCCGACCGGAGTACGAGAAAATGCTTACGGCTCTGGAGGTGGCTATCGTCTCTGAAGCGAAGACTTTCTTGAGCACCTCAGCCTGCCAAAAGATCGTTGAGAACGTATACCGAGGTCGGATCATCTACACTCCAACAAGCTTCATTGACATCTTGCCGGACCACTACAAGAATCGAGGCATCTCAATATACGACCCGAGAAGAGCGCCGTACCTTAACCAATACCGTCTGATTGTGCCACGAACGCGTAACATTATCGAAGGCTGTCAGTTCGTTGTGCTCCTGGTGTTGTACTTCTTAATGATGGCGAACAAAGCCCATACCATTGGCCCTTCGCACCTCAACTTCACCATTTACGAGCTCGTCTTCAACGTGTACGCTCTTGGCTGGGTGCTGGACGAGATAGCAGCCATTCTCGAACACGGTTGGTCGGTACATACGGAAAACTTGTGGTCCTTCCTTGACATTACTTTTGTGGTCATTTTCTGGTGTTACTTTGGCGTTCGCATGCATGGCATTGCGATCAAAGGTGCCCATACCGCCAAGCTTGCGAACGACATACTGTCAATGGCGGCGCCCATCCTTCTACCAAGACTTGCTTTCTGTTTGATGCCAGAGAACATGTTGTTCATCTCGCTTCGAGCTATGATGGCTGATTTCGCCTTCCTGACAGTTCTGGCAGCCTGGTGCTTTGGCGGCTTCTTGCTCGCCATGCGCTGGTTGAGCGAGAGTCAAGATGGCTATATTCGACACAGCATCGGCACCATCTCCAAATGGATGCTGTGGATCTGGTTCGGCTTAGACGGGACAGGTATTCAGCGCTCGGCTGAATTTCATGTCATACTCGGTCCAACCCTAATGGTTACCTTCGCCTTCCTTGGCAACACATTGTTCCTGACTATCTTGGTTGCAATGCTGAGCAATACGTACACCAATCTCGCCCAGAACGCTACGGCTGAGATACAGTTTCGTCGCGCCGTGCTTACCTTCGAAGGCGTCAAGTCCGACGCGATCTTCGCCTACCGTCCGCCTTTCAACGTGATCGCTCTCGTTGTCCTGCTGCCGCTTAAGTGGGCGCTTTCACCTCGCTGGTTCCACAAGGTCAACATTACCGCTGTCCGCATACTAAATGCGCCGATACTATTCATTGTTTCGCTCTATGAGCGCCGCTATCTCTGGAAGCGCTCACGCTTCATTTCGCCACCACGCAAGCACAATTGGCTCAAGGCATGGGAGCGCTTTGGAGCACATGGCGACATCCAGGCGGTGTTTGACACGGACCCTCCGCAGAGCGTAATAGATGAAATGGACGACGTAGATGACATACTCGGGGGAGGTGATAGCGGATGGGATGATGGCTATGTCAATGCGCTGAGGGCACGACGTGGCAGCCGGACGGTAAGTGAGACGAGCGGTATCTGGGGTCGCAATATGAGTCGAGATCCTGGGTTAAGTCGTCTGAATGGGTTCCGGCGGCGAAGTACCATGAGAGATGAGATGAGCGGTCCTGATGGAGGAGAAGTCTAGCACTTAATCAATGCCACTTCTCGACGTGTGTGCACATGGCATGCTGCTGGCACAGAACCTGACGGTTGTCTCCACTAGTTTTGCCACCCGCCTACATTGCCTTTGTGCATCCTGTGCTGCATGACTCGTCCCTGTGACACGCGCTGTTACTTGTATACATGCGCGTCAGCGCGGCAAAGATGCTGTGCGACTTGGCACCCAACCAGCCGCCAAGAGATTCTTACGCGCAGCCTCCGAATGTAGCTGTAGCCACTCACCTTAGTATCAAGATGGACGATGGCGTGGAGCCGCGATCATGCGCTCAAGCTGACGACTTCAGAGGCACCCGCGTGGCACTAGCATGGTAGGTAAGGGACCTGTAAGCTAAATACTGCTCCACGGTCACAAGGGAGTTCACATGCACTGCTTCTCGGGCCAAACTGGTCAGCCTTATTCACGATGGTAACGCCAAGCACATCAGCGCTTCTCTTCGCTCTGCCTCAGAGTATGTTCTCTTAGGCCAGAGATAACCACCAGTCGTCAGTATGCCGCAACGTTATCAGCCTGGTTACCGAAGTGTAGCTTACTACGTGAATTGGGCCATATATGGCCGCAACCACCAACCACAAGATATACCGGCTGAGAAGCTCACGCATGTATTATATGCATTTGCAAATATACGTCCGGAAACAGGCGAGGTCTACTTGACCGATACTTGGTGCATAGTACTTTCCCTCACGCTCGTTGGCAAAATAGCTGACCCTCTACGCCATCGGTATTCAGGTCGGACACGGACAAGCATTACCCTTCAGACTCCTGGAATGAGACTGGAAACAATGTGTATGGCTGTGCGAAGCAGCTATATCTACTCAAGAAGCGCAATCGCAACCTGAAGATGCTTCTCAGCATTGGGGGCTGGACATACAGCTCAAACTTTCCTGCTCCCGCTTCAGAAGAGCAAGGTAGGCGGACCTTTGCGCAGACAGCTGTTCGATTGCTCAAAGACCACGGGTTTGACGGCTTGGATGTTGACTGGGAGTACCCAAAGTCTGAAGCAGAGGCCGAGGACTTTGTCCGATTGTTGCAAGCAGTAAGGCAGGAGTTAAATCAGTACTCACGCTCTGTCCCGGAGCAGCCTCATTTCCTGCTGACGGTGGCATCCCCCGCGGGCCCTTCGAACTGCCACTGGCTTAAGCTAAAGGAAATGGATCGCTGCCTGGACTTCTGGAATATGATGGCTTACGACTTCGCGGGGTCATGGGATCAAAAAGCGGGCCATCAAGCGAATGTTTTCCCTTCCAAGCAATGTCCCCAGGCAACTCCGTTCAGCATTGACTTCGCAGTCAAGTACTATATTGAGCATGGAGTGCAGTCGAGTAAGATCGTTCTTGGAATGCCCCTTTACGGACGAGCATTCCAAAACACCGATGGTCCGGGTAGCGGGTTTAGTGGCGTCGGAGAGGGATCGTGGGAGAATGGTGTGTGGGATTACAAGGTAGGTACTTGCACTGTTTGGTTCATAATGCACACCAAGTATCACCGCTCGATTGATGACACTGAACGACCACGATGATTGGATGGCGCCTCGACTGTACCATAACCCGTTTCGTGGTTTTGGTGCGTGGCTTTGGCGTCCTTCGACACTATGAGTGTGAGAAGCTTTTCATAACTTGATCTAATCTGACAGGCTCATGCGTCAAGCACCTTACAAGCGGACTGACACTGACATTGGTTGACTGGCCCATAGGCACTCCCGCGGCCCGCTTCGGAGCTTCACCATGACAATGAGGCAACAGCATCGTGGTGCTACGATCTTGGAACCCGCACTATGGTGTCTTACGACACTCCACAAGCTGCCACCCAGAAGGTAGAATACATCAAGCGGAATGCACTCGGCGGTGCGATGTGGTGGGAGACAAGCGGAGATCAGCCGATTAGCCAGCCTGGGAGCCTGATTAGGATTGTTGTTGAGGGCCTCGGTGGCTTCGAAGGACGGCACATGGAGCGCGCAGACAACGTGCTTCAGTATCCAGAAAGCAAGTACGACAATTTGCGGAATGGCATGCCAGGCGAGTAACAAGCCAGATAATACGAAACGTCACTCCACTTACCTCGTGGGCAACTACAGCCCCGTGAGAACCTCAATATCGACAATTTGCGGAATGGCATGCCAGGCGAGTGACAAGCCAGATAATACGAAACGTCACTCCACTTACCTCGTGGGCAACTACAGCCCCGTGAGAACCTCAACATCAAGTGATCTTCCGTTCGACGAGACGGGCATGCGGCTGCACGCAGTTGCTCGGGATCGAGCTCCGCGAATACTTTGCCGCGATGGTTCCGAATTCCAATCAACTGAAAGGCCGCGCGACTGCGGATGGGTTGAGCCCTGGAGCAACATAAGGTGGAAACTACTTGATCGCTCCGATGGCCTACACCGCACTCACGGCTGCCCCCTCAGAGTTGCTGGTGTTGTCTAGGGTCCTTTCGACCAGCATCGATAAACGACACCCTACCATCGCATCCATGGTGAACGCAACAGGAGAGTGGCTGTCCGAGTCCTCTCGGGTAGGACTTGGCCCGCAATCTGGCCTAACCTCGGATGAAAGGTGCATGCGCCAAAACACCAATTGGACAAGTCGGGCAGGGCCACAGTGCAGCTTGCTTGATTACCTGAGTGCACACGCTCAAGAATTGTACCTTCCACATTCTAGCACTGACCCCAGCTTTGTGTCCCGGATTCGAATCCACCTGTAGCTTGACTGTCCAACAAACGGCCTGTAGCCGTCCTCGCAGACAGCGGGACGCGGGCCCTTCAAGTGAAGCCGTCGCTTGATGTTTGTGTTTTGGGCTTGGTGAGGTGGTATCATAGTTGGATTGGCTTTGTGATAGTATGGCCTAATACTACATGACAAGCTTCTCAAGGTCCACTGCGGCAGGTTACAACTGCGCAACCGATTTTAGGTAGCCGGAAAGTACATACATGCCGTGGAGGAGGAGCGAATGCAGCTGACTGTCACTCGTAAGGCATGTGTCAGCATAAGCTTTCCCCTTTGCGGCAGAACCTTCTGTTATCGAGAGTGGATAAGGCGCGAACCGTCAGTCGCAAGATGCTCGCAATCCACTTCCGCGGCGCAAAGCTTCTATGCGAAGGCGGACGAAGGGCTGGCTTGCATACGCGGCCGATAGACGAACAGGGAGCGAATAAAGTTGGGCGTGCATGACATGCGCGTCGGTCTCGCAAACGTTCGCCTGGGCAGCAGTATACAAGACCTTGGTAATCATAATCCCTCACTCTCCACGGCGGAGCGAAAACCGACCGGCCCCGTCTCACCGTGAAGCGTTGGAACTGGGCCTCACATGTACTTGCGATCGTCCACTGCAGGGACCTGTGTGGCCGGTATCCGAGAACGTCGGGTTTATAGCGGTGCGGATATTGTCCGTTCGCGCCGCAGGAGGGGTGGTCATGAGCACCCTGCCATGGCACCGTAACGGAAGTAGGGCTGACATTGTCTGAGACTTTGTGGCAGCACAATCGCTCGCCGTGAGAACGCTGATCACACTGCATCGGTATTATGAATCCGCTTGCCGGAACCGAATGCCAAGGTGAGGGTTTCGCATACAGTCATTCGAGGCAGGAAATCATACCACCTTGAGTGACTGCGATTGGGTCAGCTGTCGCACGCAATACTCCATCGAGGATGTTGCGTGGGTCCTCCTCTCAATAGTCTTCGATGATAAACTCTCGAGAACGAACCTCGACATCGGGAAACACCTTCGGCCCCTGCACAAGATGTGAAAACGTGGCTGGTGAAAAGGAGGAGCTAAAGCGGAAACAATAAGCGTGTATTGAAAGCTCGCCCCCGTGCATTATTCAAGTTCTTCCCGAAGCGCATCCGACGGCAACGACCACCTTCGGATCACATTCCCTCACTCACATAATCGCAGAAGTGGGCCCTAAAACTTTATTGCACCCAAGCTCGAGGCCATCCTTTGGCTGGTGATTCCACATCGATTACAGATGAACTCCCGAGGATGATGCTTCGAGACAAACGGACTTAGGACGCTCCTCGGCCGTTTGATGGACCGCGGACTCATTGCGCCAGCATGCGGTATGCTTAGAAGGCAGAGCGCACATCTGTCGTCGGGCTTATATCGTTGTGTACTTTCCCGTCCGCTCGAATAGGTTTCTGCCTTTCGTATGTCACCTTGCTATCATAGCATGTACTAGTCGAACATACCCTACTCTTGACGCAATCACCGCGTTCTGCCAGTATTGGAACGTGGTTATCACCTGTTGACGAGACGTACATGCTCGCTCATTCCTCCTTGCATCTACATACTGGCTTTGCGCTCCATTCTCCGTCATCTCCTCCAATGCCCCAATCGCCAGTGACCAAAATGGCGCAGCCGATCAGGACAGACTCTCATGACTCAGCCGACGGAATTCGCAAGCGTGTCTGCAAGGCTTGTGATCGATGTCGACTGAAGAAGAGCAAATGCGACGGATCGTCACCGTGTAGCAGATGCAGGGTCGACAACGCCATCTGTGTCTTCGGGTGCGGCTGCCTACCTGCATGATATTTGCGGCGCAAGACTAACATTGTTTAGTGAACGTAAGAAGAGCCATGACAAAGTCTACCCTAAAGGCTACGTCGAGATGCTCGAACAGCAACAGAGTCAACTGGTGTCAGGCCTTCAAGAGATGTACCGGCGCCTTGTTACAGCACGGGCGTGGTCAGGCGCTCCCCTGTCTGAGTCCAACGGTCACCCCTTGACTCACGAGATCCTGGCGGCGCTCAATCTACTGGAGACGAGACAGGATGGAAGCGGAGAACTTGAGGTCTTCGAGGAGGACTGCCAGAAGCTACAGCGACAGCTTCTCGCGGATGGCGCTGGCTACGTTCGCAGGAGAGGGTCTTTTAGCTCCGACTCAGAGCACAGTCAACATGGGCATTCGCGGCCTGCTTCGATGCATCTGCCCAAAGGATCGATCTTCCGGGAAAGCTTCGCGTTCAGCAGCAACCCGGCCACACCAATGTCCCATAGTCCTGCACCAAAGCCAAAGCAATCATTTCCAGTGATTCAGCAGTCGGCACTCCAACAAGACTCGCCTGTCGCAAACGATCCGCAATTCTATCAGGCGGAGTGGGCATACCCTGATCTCCTGCGATCCAACCTCCCTACACAGTCTCTCGAAGCTCAGCAAACTCTGTCAGAGTTGGATGCACTGGGTATGCAGCCGTTCGATGTGCCAACAAGCTTCGATTACACCAGCGTACCCATGAGTCTGGATCCACAATACGGTCTCTCCGACTTTGGAACCGGGCTTGATCCAACGGATTTGGAGTTCTCTAGTTACATACAGATCCAAACGTGAGCTCCGCACCGGGTGGTGCAGGTCGATGATTGGGATCACCTCGTGTACTAATTGCGGAGAAGCTCAAGGCTACGAAGTAAAGGTCATCCGTGCAGCCATCGACGACTCGAGCATAGCAACCACTCAATGGTTGCTACAAGGCTGGATGTGTTTACGAATCGTCATCTTAGCATCAGAGACGACGAAAATCTGACGGCGCGGGTGAACGGCAAGCGGACCGAATGAGGAGCCGGATGGTGGTCATCGAGCGGCAGCTATCATTCGGGGCGATCACCACATCATGCCTTTGATTTGCTGCGTTCTTAGCGGACACGATGGGATATGGCGTTCAATGAGTGAGGCGGACACACAACTAGAGTTCTACAATGCATGAGACGGCTGTGATAGACAAAAACACGCTGCGCTTCAGGCGCTTTGCCGAGGATCAGTCCGTCGGTCTCGTGCAGCAATCACTTTCACCTTGCCAGCATTAACATACTTGGTAATGCAGAAGAACGACGATGTCATGGGGAGCACAAGGGCAACAACGCTAGTTGTTGTGGCGTAAGATTTTCCATTATTACAACGATAACGATGGTGGCTAAGTCGCGACTTGGCTTGGGTAACAATATTCGAGCCTCGTGGCAATCTGCACCATGTCCTCAAAACCGCCTACGATGCGCAAGAAAGGACATCTTAGATGCCTCTCCGGCCCGGTCGTTGAGAATTGACGATCGCCTCGTGACATGCGTCAGTGATTGTGGACGCCGCCGCTGTCCTCGTGGCGGCGGGAGATCCATCCCATACTACATGTGTTGGAGCATACCTTGTTGCAAACGATCGCCTTGTGCAGCCAGGCATCCCAGGTCCCTCGATGGGAAGCACTCAACGATATCATACCTACTCGAACGAACAGCGCAGAAGGGGCTGCATTCACTATTGACACCGACGCTTGCGAGGAGGGACCGAGGCAGTCAGGCGAAAGTTAAGTTACTCCCTACCAACGAATATCCAATAGTTCCAGTCCCGCCCTCAATTGCGCAGTCACAGCCATCCGGAGCTGCCATGGAGCATCCCAAGCATAACAAAGATGTTTCGTCCTGTTAAGAGAACCCTACCAAACATGTGGCCAGTGACTCCGTCATCAGTACCTTTTGCCTAAAAGCCCCTCTATTCTCCACTTCGTCCACAGGTGTATGCTTGGTGAGTACAAACAGCATGTATTTCGTGACCTTGCGCGTTCTACCATCGTAGTTGTTTGCATGTTTCGCTCGATCGCAAACATGGCTAGCAAGACATTGTCCGACTCCTTCACTTTTTTGCCTCAAGGGGCTATCATCCAGGAGTTCAAGATCGGTGGTAAGAACATCGTTCTTGGGTTCCCGTCCGCGTCGTCATACAAGACCAAGCACAATCCTTTCTTTGGCGAAACGATAGGGCGGGTAGCAAACCGTGTATCTGGAGCCAAGATCAACAGCTTGAATGGGAAGAGTTACAGTTTGGCCGCAAACAACGGACCGAACAGCTTGCACGGTGGTGCAGAAGGATGGGGAAAGAAGGACTTCGACGGACCTACACCGGTCAATCGCAACGGTAAAGAGTCTGTACTGTTCAAGTATCTTAGTAAGGATGGCGAAGAAGGCTACCCAGGAACTGTAGAGCTTAGGGTATGGTACCTTACAGGAGTAGAGAAGGATGAGGGCGTGGAGAAGACGAGCTTGGAGATCGAGTACGAGGTGGAGTTGGTTGGTGATGAAGTTGAGGAGACTGCGGTGAACGTGACGAACCATAGGTGGGCTCAAGCTGTTACCCGCGAGGAACTTGTGGACGTTACTGATGAAGCGTGCAGTTACTTCAACATCTCTGATGGTCCGACCATTGAAGGGACCAAGGTCATCATCTCGACAGATCTACACCAAGTCACCGACGAGCAGGATATCCCTACGGGTAAGATCGAGCCGTTCCCGGGTATTACAGCCAACCAAGAGTTCACCCTTGGCGCCAAAGAACCCGACCCCGATCATTGCTTCATCATGAATCCCGACCCAGCTTCTGTTCCTCTGGACACCCGTAAGGAGCCACTCAAAAGATTGATCAAGCTGTATCACCCGAACACAAAGATCCACTTCGAGGCACTCAGCACGGAGCCCGCCTTCCAATTCTACACGGGGCGCCATATCCAGGTCCCTGCCATGGACGGCATGCCTGCACGCGGTCCTCGGAGCGGACTGTGCCTGGAGGCAAGCCGCTATGTGGACGCAATCAACAATGAGGAGCTAAGGCACATGGTGGTCCTCAAGAAGGGTCAGACTTGGGGCAGCCGTACAATATGGCGAGGGTGGCGTGAGACTTAGATCTGGCTGCAGCCAAATGCATAGATGTCGCAGCAAATCGGCACTCACCGGTGACGACTCCGATGCGGACAGTCTTTGTAAGTGGTGCCGCAATCGGCATACCGTCTTTTGGTAGCTAGCGAACGCCACCATCCAGCAAAAGTCATGAAGCATTTACAAGCCTCGGCAATGGCAGTGTTCAACTCTTGGTGTCAGAAAGCAATGTGTCGACCCTGTGTATATCCTTGTATGGAGTCTGCCTCACCCCATCTCGCTCTACCGTCACCAAGGAGGTCTGGTAATCGGTTTAACCTTAGTAGTGTGGGATACAGGCACCGAACGGTACTACAAGACTGCGGAAGTAACGACAACACGTGCAGCAGTGTGCGCTAGAGGGTCATTCACGTGACGCCAGGCTAGCGAACGACTTCTGACGCATAAGGTAGGTTGTGAAGATATCGAGTTCGACAATCTGAACTACATTGTTGAGCATACAAGAGAACGTATGATTCCGTTGTTGCTGCACTGCAGCCTGACTGGCAGCCTGAGCATGCGCGGTGCACGTCACTCCTGCTCCTTGGTGGATTAAACCTCAGGACAGTCCCCTCATGTAAGGTGTTGTCGAGCGCCTAAGGCAGGATGAAGTGCGGCTTGTCTTCGTCTATTGCGCGTTGCGGGAGAATCTTCCATACATCACAAGCGCGCCGGGAAGTCTGTCAACCGACAGGGGCTGGTCCGATTTGCAGGCATGAAAGCGGAGCTCTTGCATTGGTTCTGGTGGCTTCCGAGGCTGCATGCGCATGCCTTGATCGGAAGGTTTTGACGAGCAGTGGGTGCTGTTCGTTCACTGAAGAACACGGTTACGGACTCTACCTTCAATACATGACGTCTAGCGCGTGGTTGGGGCACCGCTCCGCGGCCCCTGGCAGATTCCGCTAGCGTGGTTGGACTGGCAGAAGCTGTTATCGCCAGCTGCCGTATGCCTCGGCTTTACGAACGTTGTAGACCGCAGTTCAATCTGCATACTGATCCACTGGTAGAAGCTCTTCACGTTATCGTGATGGCCATACCGAAAAATTGAGCGTGCTGATGGCTGTTGAGTGACGGCTAAGCTCTTCACATTTGTGAGAGCTCCTGGGTCGTCCCGAGCTGAAGTACCGCCGTCGATGTGCTACCGTACGTCCGCCGTTTTTGGGACGACACCCCAGTTCCGATAGAGACAGTGCACACTGCTGTTCGCGACTAGTATGTGGCGACGCAGTGTTCGCCCACAAACGTCGGAGAGTCTCCACATGCGGTGGTTGAGCGAAGACAAGCTTTTGCGACAGTCGGTAGGCTGACGCCAGCGCCATATGCTATCGCGTCGGTGCGCACATAGCGCAGAAAACATGACGACCGTCATGCCTCGATGCCTGCATGTCCTTGACGTTTCAGCACCCAATCTCGCCGCTCTACGCTCCACAAGGGCAAAGTTTTGATATGATCGACAGATCGACCGTACCGGGAGACGGACTGCTCGGCTTCCGGTTGCTGTCTTCAGATCGCTCTCTCCGGTATCCACGGTAATAGCTCGTGATGCTAGGTTGTATCATCGTCCAGATACATTGGGGCGCCTTATCGTAAACCCAACTACAGCACCGCCACTGCTTACCGGTATCAATTTCACAGTTATGCAAACACGACGATCGCGCCGTGCCAGTACCTGGCGTTTGGTGTCCTCGGCAATTGCGGAGGATGTGCGACCGCAGCGGCCTGCCAGCGCCTCACTCGACAATTGTAGAAAGGTCGAGAAGGTCTTTCAGCAAACTGTGCCTGCACGCTTCGCTGTTGACGGTCTCCATAGCATAGACACCATCGTATGCGTACATGCTCAGTTGATTCAGGAAAGGTCGGAGAACGGTTATTGCAAAGTCGTCTTTCGGCATTGCCTTCAAGTCCGCAGTCTCCAGGCTGAAGTTCGCCAGCAATAAGCGACCTGGTATGGTCTTTGAAGTGTTGTTCGCCAACTCCGACGATGGCACTTGGCTTTGTCCGGAGTCTTCCTTAGCAAGCGCATCAGCGATCTCTTCGACCAGGGCGGAGGAGATCCGATCTATGGGCTGATAGACCGCATCGATCGTGTCGGAAATGTATAGCCACTCATGTAATTGGAATTCTTCAGGTGATAGCGCGATAAGCATGTCGAGGAACTTGCAGGCTTGCAGCAGACCTAAGTTGTTCAGTGCAGGTTTTGTAGGGTGGCCCCCAACAATGTCGGTAAGAGCATGCTGGAGATTTTCGTTGATTGTGGGCCATAAGGGTGACAGATGGATTGGGGTGAAGGCAAGAATGAGCGCTTCACAGAGGAGGAATAGGTCCGCTTTCGCGGCAGATGAAGGCGACGACGTGGGTGATGCTGTGAAAAGCGCGACAAGCTTTTCATCAAAATCATGCAGGTAAGCCACCCACGTGTTGACGGGTGATGCTAACAAGAGCAAACACATCCGTCTGAGGTTGAGTTGAGTCTTACGGTCAGCTTCAAGCCTGGCAGCGTTCGCCCCGACACCAAACATGATCCCTGCGCTCGAAGGGGGCGTCAAACGCGCCAGCAACTCGGACATCTGATCGTGATCCCGGACCGTCCACTGATGCAGTATCGGTAGCCATGCGTCTTGCATCTGCCGAACACCCGAAGCTAGGAGTTTGGGGTCGTTGAAAGCGTCCGTTACATCCTTCTTCCAGGCCTTAGAAGTGGGCAATTCCCTTGCCACTTGGAGCAGTAGTTTGCAGTATTCTGCTGACATGTTTGTTGGGAAGCCTTTGGCGTGTATTGGCGGCGACAGCAAGTTAGTTGTAATAGCATTGAAGGCAGCCGATATCTTATCCGGGTACTCCAGGATAGTACTGAGGTCAGGTACAACCCTCCTTAAAACCGCAGTTAGTGTCATGCTCTGGTGTCGAATCGGCACAGTCGTGACCTCTTGAGCCTCTTGCTCCACATCGGCTTGAGCCTCCTTCAATACATTTCCAGACGGCGTTGTTGTGAACGTTGCAGCTAGAAGCCTTTGGAAGTTGTCTGCGAGCTCCCTTCGCATCTTTCGCTGGTCGCCGAAGTTAGTGTTACCGACCTTGCGTGCAAGCATGTGGATGAGAGCTAGAAGGGGTGCCATCACCTGACGGTATGGAAGGGGATTAGCGAGGACATCTCGTAAGAACGCCAAGCATTCCGGCCACACTTCGTCCATCGCATCATCTTCGATAGCGTCTACATAGGCAAGGAGGAAGACTGCTATGTCGCTTCCCGCAAGATCTATTGTTTGTGTCGAAAGGCGGGATGCAGGTAGTGCCGAAGGATTTGCGCGGCTACAGATAGAATCCAAGATGGCAGGCAGAACATATCGTGGCGTAGAGGCCTGCAGGGCCTGAAGCAGCGTGATTGCGGCGGCTGCCTCCTCGTCTCGGCTAGCGGTCCGCCATTGCTTGATAACTACCTCCACACTTTCCAGAAGTTCAGCGGAAAACATCTGTTCCAGGAGGAACCGGCACTTGTTACGAACGCGCTGAGTCCAGTAATGCGCAGTCGCGGCACTGTTGCGGTCATAATTCGCGACTACTGAGCCATCATTGCACCATGCCCACATCGTGAGGTTTATTTTAGCAGCGTCTTGCAGAGCGAGGATGACAGTCAGACGGCTATTGGCTTGTGTCGTCTTACTTGGCGGACCAGTTGCTTTGAATACCCCTGCAGCGACGCCCCCAAGGAAACTCTGAGTCGGGGCGCCCATCCGAGGAGCTTCGTCAGACATGTCATCAGTGACCAAACATCTGTGCGCCCGAGCAAGAGTAAGATCCAAGCCTTCTAACAGGCCGATGATCGTAACATCTGGGGAGACAGTCGACGGTGGGATGTGTTGCCGGCTTAAGACGACAAGCTCTTCGAATGCCTTGCTCAACTCGCGACATAGAGTCTCCACCAGGGGGATAAGACTTGCGAAAATTGCATCTCCGTATAATGGCAAGACAGTCGCAAGAAACTCCACCCACTCATTGAGGCGCAAACGTGCCGCGCTGGACGAAAAGGCCATTTGCAAGCACTGCAATAGTTGAGCCGGAGGTGCTATGTTGGGAGCGTGTATGCCATTTGGACGCTCGGTCTTCGCAGCGCTTATGGAGGCCTGTTGCGTACTTAGAGAGCGTCTGTGGCTGTCTTCGCCTTGCGAAGCGACAGTCTCGGTGCCAAAGCGAAGGCGCAGCGCTGCGGTAATAAGCGGTAAAATGGCACCCTGCAGGATGTCATCTTCCTCGCGAAGACAGAGCATCATGCGGTCAATGAGCGCCCCATCAATCTCTAAGGTATTTTCTTTCGACGCAGCCGAACTCGTCATGATACTCTTAAGCAAAGCGATTGCTTTCAAATCAAGTTGCTTGGACGGCTGTGGTTTACGAGCTAGCAGCTTGACACATACGTGAACGAGCTCGCTCACGCCGTTTGCCGCTTGTTCTGAGCTGTCAGTGTGATTACTCGTCAAGCAGTCCCACGTCCATTCGCTTCCATGACTTAAGAGGTCGGTGAAAAGGGTGAGGGCGTATGCAAGGCTTCGTTCGGTATCTTCGCCAGTACGATCGTGCCTTGATTCGCGAGCATTGTGTTCGAGGTAGAGCCCAAACGAGTCGTGAAGCTGCTGAAACAGGATCGCGAATACCCTGGCTAAGCTGGGCAGCTGGCCCAACCATCTGGTAGTTACGCCGAAGGCTGGGTAGCCAACATCGTGAACAGTATCAAGGATGCGCAGCATCGGTTCACGTAGGCTTCGCAAGCGTTGGATAAGCTGCGTTGCATCTGGCACGTTCCATAGCGAGCTTCCACGCCGGGTTACACCAGTAGCATGCGCTGTGGCTTGAGAGGGTATGCTGTGATCCCATAACACTGTAAAGCGCCTGACAGCTTCCGTCTTGGATGCGGAAGGATTTCCGAAGTTGAAGCCAGCGGGTGGGAAATCGAGCTGCAAGAGCTCAAGCAACGCGACGTTGAGGATGTCCTCTGAGGCCACGGTATCGTTGATTCGCCAAAGGTGACGCACGGCTTCCACATGGTATTTTGGTTTCGAATGCGATAGGTGAGACCAGAGCTTCGCAATTAGGGAGCGAATCGACCGTGTGGTGATTGTGATATTCTCCGGGAGACGGGAGACGGGACTTAGGAGAACCGACGTGATTGAGCTGAGTATCGGAAACGCAACGGTGTCGCCAGCTTCCTCTCCAGAACTTGCAAGCCTGTTCTCCACAACCTGAAACAGCTCGTCAAATACTGCTCCGTCTACACTATGCGTCCTACCCTGCTCAATCATCAGCAACGTGACTGAGGCATGTATTATCTGCTCTTCATTGTGCCGTAGAACCCGAGCAGTGAAGGAGGCAATGAACCGGAGTGTGACAGCAGCTAGTGTTGCGTTATCGATTGGTGCGGGTACTCTCCACGCGCTGCGCACTGCGCGCTCATAGTATTTGCCCACGCTTTCTTGCAAATCCTCCGGTTCCCGATGCGTCAACGATTCTTCACCTGTTGGCGCTGGTGACGCCCGTAGAGCGGTTTGCGAGCCCAACTCGGCTAGGTGAGTTGCAAGGCGAAGTGCAGCGAGTCCACCATCGCCACTGCCGCTAGGGGCGTCCAAGGATTGACTGAGCAAGCTCGTGAGGAGGGCGAGCGCCATGGGGCCGTGTACATTAATCATCTCCTCGTCGTTGACGTTGAAGTGCTCGAGCACCCATACAACCAGCATCAAGGGTTCGGGATCAATGGTGCTTGTCTGGAAAGCGCTCTGTATCAGCGCACAAAAACTCTGCCAAACCAAGTTCGCTTCAATGCCATCGAAGAAAATACTGGCGCTTCGAAGCACCTCTTCAACGTCGGATGCTGATGATACCTTGCCATAGGCGTAGAGTGCGTTCATTGCAGTTGGGAAGATGCTTGGTAGGAGCGTGCCACCAATCTCCCAACGATCCATAAGCGAGACACAGATCCGAAAAGGCCGAGCTTTCTGAGCCGCTGACACGTCAGCGGACTGAAGCAGTCCAAGAACACAACGCTCGAGTAGGGACCGAGCGTACTGTTCAAAATACTTAATCTGCTGGCTGGTGGGGTCATCCGCCGCTACCGGGGTATCGTTTGAGGCTGTACCTGGTGATGCCACGTCGCTCACCTTAGCAGCCGGACCCAGAAACCAGGACCACAAGCGACGGTTGAGGCTCATATCCCTGCGCAGCAAGATGTAAGTTGCAGCAGCTGTCAAGCGGTCAGAATCCTTGAGCTCCGCCAGTTGTCGTATGACCACAGAATGCAGCGGTAACTTAGCCACCAGCAGGTCAAGGTAGCCTCGCTGGACAAGCGGATTTGAGTCAGCTAAGCCGCTCGCAAAGCATCGGAGGAGCAAGCCTGGTTCCGGAGAAACTGCGGCCTGTGCCTCTGCGGAAAGTACGCTCACATTGCCGTCCGCGGTGAAGATACTATCGTCATCAGTAGTAAGATTCATATGCCTAGGAGCGAAACTCGGCAATCGCCGGACGAGATAGTTGAGTGCTCCTTGTCTTCGCGATACGCTCGTTATGACACATAGGAAGACGCTCTGCCAATAAAAGCCCGCTAGTGCTCCATCGTCGTCGGCTTTGCTGAATTTGTCCTTGAGGCTATCAAGAATGCTAACCGCTCGCTCGAAATCTTCAGCGGTTTCGTCTTCCAGAGGTGGGAGAAGGCTGAGAATGAGCGCCTTCAGCGCTGGGCGTAACACTGCGTTTGACAGTCGCGCAATGTAATTCTCGTACAGCGAGTACACCACCGGTCGGACCGTAAGCGACGCAAAGCTTAAGACAGGAGCCAGACCGGGGAAGTAGTCACTGAGGTGATCGGACAGGTAAGCGAGCTACCATTGTGTCAGAGCGTGTATTGACTTGGAACGAATACACTTACACTGAACGTGGAGAAGATATACGTATATACCTCCAGGGCCTTTTGATGGACACCAGACGGTAGAGCAGGATTCAAACATTGAGCAAGCTTTGACGCTACCGCAGGGGTATGCGGCAGAACAGGTATGTCTTTAGGATGGCTCTGAATAGCCTGTAACGATGGATAAGCCCGAGCTCGGTAACGGACAGTTGCGTCGTGATGGTTACCTTGAGCAGTCTACCAAGGAAGGCAATGTAGTCGGCCCATTCCCGGGGGGCCGTCTCCCAGGAGGATACAGCCCGCTCGACAAGCACTCCATATCTTCGGAGGCCCTTGTCCGCCTTGTATATCTCTACGACACGGTCAGCAGGTTAGGGTAAAGGGTCGACTCTGGTGTAACGCACATACCGTCCTCGACCGCTCGGCGCGTTGCGCGCGGGACTGGCGAGGAACGGCCAGAACTGGTCGGTGACACCGAGCGGCCGCCGCTCATAACGTCAATGTTCATGGCATCGACCCAATTGCAGAGCTCGCGGACTTCACGCACAGCATCGCTGATGGTCGGAAACTGCTATGAAAGGACGACAGTTGTACCTTGCAAGTGAGGTACCTTTCTAGTCTGCTTCTGGTGCGGGCAAGCCTCAGGCAAAGAGGCAGCTATTCTCACCTCCTTGTCACGTTCGACCTCCACTCTTCCAAGACGATGGAGAGTCTGATGGCGTCAGAAGGACAGCAGTCATACATTGACTATTCTGCCATCACATCGGATCGGTTCTCGGCCAGCAATTATGCAAATCAGCTCATCCTACAGACTCACAATGCAAACGAGCCCTTGGATTTGCCCACGCCGCTGTCACGGGTCCTTTTCGATGTGCAAGAAGTAGACACTCACATCGACCAATTGACGACACAAAATGCTCTGCCAATCATCGAGTCCACCTCGGCGCGTGCTGACGCGAGCAGGCGAATCCTGGACGAAGTCGAGAGCCAAGTCAACCGCTTGAATGAAAGCTTTCAGCGTCTTCAACGGGAAGTCCTCCGGCGCTATGAAAGTGCCGAGCTAGTTCGCCTGGCGGCTGAGCGCCTGCTTCTGACTTCGAGAGTTGGTCGTGGAGTGCAGCGGGCGGTGCAACTTGGCAGGCAGCTCGAAGCAGAGATGGACAGTGCAACCAGAGGAGTGCAGAGTGCCATGGTTGGCGCCGCAATCACCGTACTGAGCATGAGACATTTGTTCACTTTGGCAGGTAAAGCCGAAGAAGCCGAAGGTCTCGCCAGAGTGCAAGTTGTGGGTTCATTGAGAAACGAGGTCGTGGCTCCTCTAGAGAGGACGTTGATCGCGAAAGCACAGCAGGTCGTTCGAGAGTTCAGTATGTCATCATTACTAGCATCTGGCAACGCTCATACAGGTCAACCCCAGAACCAACAAACATTTGCCCAGGTGGAAGACACCAAGAGCAGGACCACTAGCGCGCTTCACACGCTATACTTGCTTTCGCCAACGAAACCGGCAACATCTCTTGCGTCCTTCGAGCCGATATTGTTGATCTCAGCTCTGCAATCTTACCTGCAGACCGCTCTCACATCAAGCCTTGCTTCACTCGCGAGAGCTCTCGCAACGTTGCCACAGCTTGACCGGACTCTCCTAGAAATCTCCGCAAGATGCCAGAACATTGTTGCGCTAGAGGTGCTGCTCGAGGCGGTGAAAGCACCAGTCCATCCATTGCTGTCTCCTGAGGGACAACAGACTGGTACATCTGCCTCATCCAATTTTCTTACGCCTCTGTTAAGGCATCTAGACACTTCTTCACTACCGTCATACTTCTGGCGTAGTATGGCCGGGCAACTCACTAGCCGGGTTCAGGACATCCTTACTCGAGGAGGTGTCAGCGCTCGTACCCTACGTACTAACAGGGACCGAGTCCGGGATGCCATCAGAGAGTGCGTGGATCGAGGCTCTCAGCTGCCTGTGTCGAGCGCTGCTTTGGGTACGAAAGAGGGCAAAGTAGGCAGCTGGGAGCGTGAGGCTGCGGTCATGGTGCAAAGTGTGATCGGTCCGTTGCACCGCTAATGCTGTACTCGCGACAATCGTCGGAATGCCCGTTAATGCACAGGCTCTCGAGCTAACCTTCCACCGGTGTGGTGAAGTAAGGAGCCAGCTTGTAAGAAAGCGCCCAACAAGTACTCCTACCTCAATCTCGTCGAGAAACATGGCTAGAACGATACAAAGACGGAACGTATCCGCGGGTTTGTTCCACGACGACAACGAAGACAAAGTTTTTCGAGTCGTAAACTACACTTACATCGCTACGTACCGACACATACTAGATTTTCGATGCATCGGCGTATCGCAAGCGGCTATCGTCTAGCGAACCGCAAAAACGAGTGGTCAGCATCCAGCGCCGCCCTGAAGATGTCCCGAGCGCGTCAACACTTCTCCTCAGTCCACACCGCTTTCATTCGCCACTTCACTCTTCCTCCGCTCACTCCCTGCTACACTTCCCACATCCGCCAAACTCCCGCTCCTCATCTTCTCCCGCTCCAGCATCTGCCTCAGTTCCTCATTCTCCAGCCTGCCCTCCTCCAATCTCTGCCTCGCGCCTCTGCGATCCAGCAACCGCGCCTCTCGCTCCGCCTTCAGTCGCCGCTCGAGCTCCTTAAGTCTATGCACCCATCTCTGCTCACTTGGTTGGATAGGCGGCGTATTCAGCACGATGGGCTGCGGCGGTGGTCGATCGTCCATTGGCGGAGGTTGCAACTGTTCAACGGCTGACGTGGAGTGGTGGCGGAGAAGTTGCGCCATCATGCTTCTTGCCGGACTCGAGGGTTTGACTCCTGAAGCGCCCACGCTCGAAAGCCGACGAGCAAGGTCCGGGTTGAGCTGGGCTTGCTGATTGATCATCTGCTGCGCCATAGGACTGGGATGTTGTCGGTGGAACTTGAGCTCCGCTTTGAGGATCTTGATCTCGGATTTCAACTTCCCAACCTCTTCGCTGCCTTTGATACTGCGCGTGCTCATGGTGCGGCCGGCTTGCGGACGTTGCTGAACCTCTTCCGCCGCTTTCTCCGCGATCGCGCGTTGGGTATTGTGGACAGCCGACTCCAATGCATCCATACGGTCAATGCGCATTTGCAAGTTATGCGCTATGGTCTGGTAGTCGCGCTGTAGATCCTTCTCGATATTCTTCGCACGGACCTTGAAGCTGCCGATGAGAGCCTCGATCGTCTTAACGGCAGCGATGATGTTCTGGTTGAAGCTCGGCAGTTTGCGCTGGATGACTTCGGGAGACGGTACCTCGCCGTCTACCAGGCAATGCGACTGCGCCCAGTCTTGACCGCAAAGGGTCGAAAGCCGGTTCCACAAGGCCAGAAGGAGGTTATTGCGCTCCGAAAGTCGCTCGCGATATTGCTGCTCGAGTGCGGCCATCTTTCGCTTGTCCTGGCTGTATGCCGTCTCAAGCTCGAGCACCTTCGATTGGTGCTGCGCAAGCTCTCGCATATGATTGGCTTGCCCACGAGAAGCCTTCTCCCACTGCTCCATGTCATGTCGCCTGTTTGCACGCTCTTTGTCGAGAAGATCGGAGAGCCTACGGCTCTCAAGACTAGTGCTCTCGAGCAAGCCGTCTCGGTGCCGCAGCAAGCGATCCTTATCCGCGGCTTCCATCTTCGTACGATCAAGCGCGTTTGCCGTATCTTCGACGTCACGCTGCAGTCTCTCGATCTCACCGAGCATGCTCTGCTTCGTCCCGTTCGGCTCACCCAGCGCTGACCGGAAGCTCTGCTCCAGATCTTCGAGCTTCTGCTTCAACGTGCTCGCCTCGACTTCCTTAGCCGATAGCGTACGCCTGAGCTTCCTTACCTCATCTTTCGTCTTCGCGCTCTCCGCGTTCAGATCATCTAGCACCTTTTGCACCTCCTCCTTTGACTGATTCTCGAGTACGTCGCGCTGTTGCCGTTCTTCGACGATGCCTTCTTCGGTCTCACGCAGCTTCTCCTGCTCGTCTTGGATTGCTTGCTGCGCTGCGTTGAGTGCGTCTTCGAGCTCACCAATCTTGATCTTGTCACTTTCTTGCTCTTCGCGCAAGAAAGTAATCTCGGAATGCAGGCTCTCCTGCGTGATCTCAAGCTTACGGCTCTTTTGATCGAGCTCCTTACACTTTAGCTCCCACTTAGCGATCTCATCCTCTGCCTCCGCAAGTTGCTGTTCAAGGTCCTGAATAGTACGCATATTGGCCTGCTTCTCGTCCTCTAAGTTCATAACGCTCTGCGTGATTTCCCGTAGCTCGCCCTGAAGTCCTTTGTAGCCATCCGTCGCGTGTTCAAGCTTGCTCTGTGTCTTCTGATGGCGCTTGTGTGCCTCCTCCAGCTGAGCTTCTACACTTTCATTCTCTGCAGAGAGCTTGTCGATTTCGGCCAGTGCTTCTTGCTCGAGTTTCTGAAGCTCTGCTTCCTTCTCCTCGAAAGCGTGCAATGCTTCGTCACGCTCACTCTGCAAAGCGCGCAGATCCTGTCCCTGCTCCTCAAGATCGTGCTCCATCTGCTGGAAGTCACCTTCAAGTGCGGAGATGTATTGCAAATGGGTATTGTGCGCTCGCTCCAGCTCTTGGAACTTCAGTCTCAACTCGGCGTTCTGGTCGCGAAGTTGACCTTCTTTCCGATCCCAGTCATCCCGCTCAGCCTCTGTGACCTGCGTGACTTGAGTATGGTCGCTGTGCCGAGATTGTGGACGTCGATGTGCTCGCGAGATTGATCGCTCAAAGATGCTTTCGCCGGTGACAGACCGGACACCGTCGCTCTTACGCTGAAGGAGCTTAAGGTCCTCGATCTCTTGTTGCAGACGCTCGCGCTCACGATTACGCGATGTAAGCATACTGGTCTGCGCCCCTAAGTCACGCCGAAGCTCAGCATTCTCGTGTCGCAGCTGCTCCACAAGGGTTGACGAAGCTTCACTAGGCGTGCCATTGAAGCCATTAGTGAGATCAGCTGCGTCCAGTGCATTCGAATCGTAGCCGGCTCGGCTTCGTCGCTTCATCGCCCTGCTTGCCACGGGAGATGCGCGTTCAATGCGCAAGCTGGTCAGCTCCGCGCGTAGCTTGCGAATATCTTCCTCGGCCTGCTCCCTGCGGCCCGTCTCTGCGTTCAGGAGGTCCTGCCACATGTCCATGGTACCCTTTATGCCAGCGGTGTCCTCCCCGCGGGAAGCAGCCATGCTACGCATATTCTCGGCCATCTTGCGCTTCTCGAGTTCCTTGGTCATGGTCTCCTCGCGCAATGTCGTGACTTGGTTCTCCGCATGATCCAGCTGTTGGCGAAGATACAGAATCTCCTCGTGCATCTCCGCTTGCAGCGTCGGATCGTCATCATGGTCATCGTCGTGAACGGAGCGTCTCTGTCGCGCTTCTTCGAGGTCCTTCTGTTGCTGCTCGAAGTTACGCTCAACCTCCCGCACTTTCCGACGTAGACTCTGCGACTCCTTACGTTCATTGGCAAGGTCCGTCTGGAGCTGTACATTCTTGTCAATAAGCTCTTTGACGCCATCGTCCGAGCGACTCTGCAACGCTTGGTCGAGGAAGTGGATCTTCAGCTTGAGGTCGAAGTTCTCCTTTGTAAGCTTGTCAATCTTGTTGTTCTGCTCCTTGAGCGTCAACGTCCTCTTAGGTCGGTCTTGAGCAATACTTTGAGTCATGCCAGACGAGGTTGGCCGCTCAGGAGACCGATGCTTTGCACGAAAATCCCTAGCTATCGTGTCCGGAACCTGAATGCTTTCGACGCGCTGCGCAAGCACGGTATCAGTAGGCGCTTGCAGTGTCGAAGCATTTGCGCGCGGAGTCTCGGGTCTCTCTTCCTCGAGTCCGTCTAGATTGCCGTCGAACGTGGCCTTAGGCAAGCCACCGTTAGCAGCTCGGTTAGTTGGACGCTCGGTGTCACTGTCCCTATCTATGTACGATGCAACGCTGCCCAAGCTAGGAAAGCGCGACAAAATGCTGTTAGCACGTGTCTGCCGCGATGTCGTACTACTTGACATTGCGCCGCCAGTCTGAAGAGCATAGTCGGCATTAAAGACGTTATCCGCGCTTGACTGATCCGAGGTCATTGTTACGGTCGACCTCGATGATCGTTGGCTAGCCTGCCTACTGTTGAGTAAGCTCGGCCGTAGACGTGAAGGTGACATTGAGTGCACGCCGTTCAGGCTAAGTAGCGAAGGTGCTTCAGACTGTGGCAAAGGAATGTCCTGCGCCCTCGGAGAAGAGGCTTGTCGGATCGTTGAGCCTTTGGACACCGGGCGCGCAGATGGCGTTGTTGGCCGTGAGATGCTGGCAGAGGCGCTAGCTGCGGAGGCATTGCGAGCGTGGTTGCGGTTCGCTGCAGCCACCGCGGGTGAAGACGGACTCTCTGTATCGGCATCGTCGCGATCAACCCGTTCATCGTCTCGCTCGTCATCGAAGCCCGGTGCGGGAATCTTATACGCGTCTGGTGGGGTCACAGAGGATTGCGATTTCGGCGCGTTGCCATTGCTGCGCTTGTCGACGCTTTCGAAACGTTTGCCATTTGGCGGCGTATGTGCAGCACGGCCGAGGTTCAGATACGTGTCGTCCACCCCATGCCCGCCCTGCGCCAGTGGCGCCTGCCCTACCTCCGGGATGAAGCTGGACTCGACATCCATGAAGTGCCTCCTCATCTCCCGCTCGTCCGCAGTTTCATCGTCATCATTATTGGGTAGTTCCGCATTACGCGCAAAGCTCTGCTCGTCGCTCATAAAGCTGTGCTCGTCCACAGGCAACTCCGTCAACTCGCTGTCCCTCCGCTGGAAGATATCCCTCGCTTCAACATCGGCATGATGCGCTGCATGCAACATGAGATTGAGATGGTCTTCATCCACGCTGCGTCGTCCCTGCCTCTTCTGCAGCTTCCTTGGCTTCCTTCTTCCGGGCATGTGCTCGCCTCCATCCTCGACCTCTACCGCGGCGTCCATTGTACCGCTGGTTGGATCCGTGCATGTGGGGAGACCGTTGCACTACCACTGTCAACCCGCCACGGCGATATCCCATACACTTCGCTGAGTGAACACGCCAGGCGCAATGCTATTGCAGCGCATTGGACTAGAGCCAACGGCATTGACTGGGCTGAGGAAGGCGTAAGAGGTAATTGCTCGAAAGGGGACGGCGGCATAACTGATCAACGACCGACCGACAGGGGTGCGCGTTCCAAACGCGTGGGGAGCTGTGCACGGTCATCCTCGCTTCTCCAGCCCAGTCCAGCAACGGTCAGCTAAACTAAACCACAACAGGACGTACGAAACACGCCACGAGGCCTGGCGAACATCGCAGCGAGGTTCTACGATATACGATAGATGATAGAAAGTCTCAAGCACGGCATCTGCACCCAACGCCATCGTCATACTATAAGTCCCAGCGTATCCATTCACGCTTGGGCGGTATCTCTGGCACCATGTCTTTGAAGGCCTCATTGTCTCTCACATGATCATACACGCCCTTCAGAATAGCACCGATATCCCCGCTGTAGACTTCTGGCGCTGACTCCGCGTATTCGTTCGGCCTGTCGGGCGGACCATCAGGATGCCATATCCGCTCCCGCTTGCCAGTTTGCGGGTTTCTGAAGAACGGCACAGGCGGATTTTCTTCCCTGTCGTACGTGACTGGGTGACCTCCCCAGGTCATTAATGTCTTGCCGTCTGCCGTACGTGTCGTATGGTTTAACGTGGCTGAGATACCCACCGCGTCACCATTGATCAGGTGCCCCATATTTGTGGGTGCGGGTGAGACTCCGTTGGGCTGGGAGCTGAATCCGTTGGTACTGCCGAAAGCTGGGTGTGTCGCAGAACTAGACGGCGGTTGTCCAAACCCGCTGTTGCTTGGCTGAGACGGCTGCCCGGAGGGAGAGCCGGTAGGCTGCGAAGGAGCGCCGAATGCAGAGCCCGCCGTCTGACCAGCGCCGAACGGACTCGCGCTGCTCTGACCAAACACAGTCTCTTGGCCGAAGGAACTTGCCTGTTGCGGCTGGGCTTGAATGGCCTGACCAAAACCCGAGGGCTGCTGGTTTGCTGCTGCGAACGGGCTGGGGTTCGAGGCTTGTCCACCGAAAGGCGAAGCTTGCTGCGCAGGTTGTGAGGGCTGGCCAAAAGCTGTCTTCGGCGCGTGTCCGAACGCTGATTGTCCGAACGCTGGCTGAGAGGGCTGTCCGAACGCAGGTCTCTGACCGAGCGCAGAAGGTGCGCCAAACGCATTACCGCCGCTGTTGGGCCGTGCTGGCGCACCGAACGCGTTGCCTCCGGCAGGCTGTGAGGACCCACCAAATGCAGGCTTAGCGTCTCCTATCGCAGAGGGCTGCCCGAACGCAGGCCCACTGCCCACAGAGGGAGGCTGCCCGAATGCTGTGGCGCCGGCTGGTTGGGAAGGTTGTCCAAAGGCGGGCCTTTGCTGTCCGCGCCCAGAAAAATGCCCGAAAGGGGAGCTTGCGGCTGGTGTAGCGGCCTCGCCGAATCCTAATGCACCGCCGGAGCTTGACGGGTGACCGAAGCCTGCAGGCTGCGATCGAGCACTGCCAGCCTCCTTGACAACCTGATCGAGCCGGTTTGGATGTTGTTGTTCACCATCAATGACGTACTGGATGGCCTTGTCAATGTCGCTCAAGATCGCTTGAGCCTGTTGCTGGGCTTGGTTGCGGAGTTGGAGCTCTTGTTGTTGCTGGTAGGTGGTCAGTAGTGGAGATTGGAAAAGGCAACTGCTGACTTACATATTCGCCCAGCTTCCCTTCGCTTGCCGCAAGGTAGTACAGCACGCGCATCTCCTCCGGACTCTGTTCCAGGGAACCCTCTATCAGCTGGCGCGGCGCCTCGCGTCCAGGCCCGTATGCTGAAAGCGGCCATTCTGGTTTCTCACCCTTCGGTTGGTTCGATGGTGTCAGATCGGCTTGGATGGCTTCGCGGTCGAGATTGTACCTAAGTCGCCATTAGTGGCTGAATAAGTTGTTCAAGCACATGGCGCTCACGGCAGCTTCTGGTTTCGATCTTGACCAGGGCGGTCTATGGGACGATTAGTATACCGCCATAAGAAAATGTACGCCATCGCAGGCGGGTGGGCTTCGTTAGAAGATAGATCTTTGGTAACGGAAGGCAAAAGACTTAATCGAGTGAAGTGAGGTTTGGCGGATGTAGCAAAGACATCGTGGCCTTGCGGAACGCGTGAGACATACATCGATCTCCACCACCGCCAAATCCCCCAGACCGTGGCCGTGGAGCAGAGTCATTGGAAAGCGCTGCGAAGCGGTTGGATTGCGTGTCGCGTGGATGCTCGTTCTTGCACTGATCTGGCCTTTGAATCAGCTGAGCTGGAACAAAGCGGCATTGCTCATACACGTTCCACATACCACCAAACCGACACCGGCCTTGCAGAAAGAACTGACACACCACCATCTCCGGTCCTTAACACCACATCATATCGCGAATGAGCATGCAGTGCCGGCGAGTGCTGCCAACACTTGCACTCGATCGAAATTTCGGTCAGTGACTGTAATCACTTTCGTAGCAGCGACGAAGCTACATTCCCTGCCGCTTAGAGCCTCGAATTTAGAAGAGGAAGTGTTCGAAAGACGCAAGGGTGCATTCACAGCGCAGCTTCTTAAACGGCTAGCGTACTTTAGTCATCAAGTCTTGTCAGCCCTACGGATCGCCGACTTCCAACGCAAGTGAACGTGAACGTTGCAGCAAGAGCGTGCTTCCATCGAGCGCAAAGCATGACTGGTAAGATCGCGGCGATGAGGGAGCGTGAGCAGTCATCCAGCAGATGCGCCTCGTGAACAGGAAATCTTCAGCAACGGAACAGAGCTGTGAACGTACGTCCCACGGCCATCCACAGCCGTCTTCGCGCCGTCGTCACGTTGATTGTGGAGCCTGCAATGTACGGCTTGCTTGATGCACCCAGTCTCCGCTCTCACATTTGGAATATTCCTGGCCGGCTACATCACCGCACGCTGGGATCTAGTCACCTGGCTCTATGAGCTTGCCTTCTTCGCCTGGGAGCACGGAGTCATTGTACGCACACATATACATCGTGCCCGCTGGTTCCACAACGCTGATTCAAGGAATAGACGCGCGCATTGAAAGGCTTCGCGATCCTCACCATTGTCTTCTTCCTCGTTCTCATCCCCGTCGAGCGTATTGCGGCTCGCGAGGCTGAACTCGTCGGTTTCACCGCTTGCAGTCGATACAGTTTCGGGTCTGACTGTTCGCAGCATCCACGGCCGTTAGAGGGCGGTATATCTGCGCGCGAGCAGTTGAGGCGGAGAGGATCCTTCTGACAGTCTCCGCGATGGGATTATGACAACAAACAAACATGGCTTCATGCGCATCTTCTGGCCTTCAGATGCGCCCGAAGACGATGTACCAGGTGTTCTTGTAGGATGGAGGAACTCCGAGCTCGACATATTGGTAGTCAGTGTGTTGCAGGGGGTCGAGGTAAGCTTGTAGATTATGGAAGGTCGTCAGATGGAAAGCTGACCACAAGAAGGTGCGTAACGTCGAGCATGCATTGCGTGTTCAGTCATTGTTTCGTGGCAGTCCACAGCCTGTTGAGCGCATCACAGACCACTGTGGTGGGAGGGCTCTGCAGGTACTAGGCACGCTCAACCCGGCAAAGTCAACCCTGACGTTCGATCCGAAGCTGGTCGCATTACGAACAACTAACAAAGCGCAATTGCCTGTAATTGACTGCCAGGATGCCTTGTCCATTACGCTCCAGCTCATAGTCTTTGAGAAACCAGATCCGTCCCGGATGCAATATCTCTCGATGACGCCAATCACTCTGGCACTGGGTGACAAGCATGGGGCATACGGTAGCGTACCACCCTTTGACAAGATCGATAAGGAAGAAGAAGCAGAGAAGAAGAGGAAGGCGAAGTTGGTAGAGAAGCTAAAGCTGCATACCGTAGTCTGGCGTTCTCGGACGCCCAAAGAGCTAGCTCTGCCGAATATCGTCAGCCAGATCAATTGCTCCGCTGAGCTTGACGATCTTATGCAGAGCAACGTCGGCTTGATTGGCACACGGCTAAGACGCAAGCTGAGCGTCAGTGAACGGATGGTCGAGTCAGTGACAGACCTGTGGAACTCTGTACTCCTGCGCATGACACAGGTGTTTCTCGAGCAGATCTGGCCAACCGCGTCGCAAGTTTTCTTGTATCTGCTAATGCTGCATCGCATTGCCGCCGAGGCGGTCCTTTGCATCCTGGAATGGAGACCTATGCGGCAGTTAGCAGCCTTGAAAGACGTCTCGGCAACAGCTCAGCAGGTGGACATCCGCCTTCAGCAGTTCTGCTACTGGCCAGCTCAGTACATCACCTTGCAGCGGAGAGAGATGGACTGGAAGAGCACTTCGAACAACCAGCCAGAGTACATTCGCTTCTACAACAGTCTCTGGCTTGTCGCTAACGACATCATCATCGGCATCGCAGTCGGAACTTACATCCTCGAGAATGCCGAAATGGTGGCGCAGCAGATTGACAACGCCGTCAGCACCCTCACGATTGAAGGTCTTCAACGCATGATCAACTGGCTTATGGACTATCCCGCCGGGCTGAAGCTGAACAACGAGCTCGCCAAGTTTCTTGGTGACCTTTTCTTGTGGGTAATCAACTACTGGGATGGATATATGCTGCAGCTTCGACCTCTACTCCCGCTCATTGTCGGGCTCATCGGCATCTCGAGCTTCGCAGGTGCCAGCCTACCAATCTCGCTCTTTTCAGACTTGGTGTCGCTGCTCACGCTGCACATCTACAGCTTCTACATCGCTTCGGCGCGAATCTACAACTGGCAGCTCACCGTCATCATCTCGCTGTTCCAACTCTTCCGTGGCAAGAAGCGCAATGTTCTTCGCAACCGCATCGACAGCTGCGACTATGATCTTGATCAGTTACTGCTCGGTACCATACTGTTCACGCTGCTCTTCTTCCTGTTGCCTACGGTTGCAGTCTTCTACGCGACGTTCGCCGGCGCGCGTATGGCAATCATCGCGCTGAAAGCCGCGCTCGACACCTGGCTGGCTTGCCTCAACCACTTTCCCCTGTTCGCACTCATGCTGCGGGTGAAGGACTCCCAGCGACTTCCAGGTGGCATACGGTTCGTACTGCTCGATACTCCCACCGCGTTACAGGGCGTACGGAGCTCGCAAGCATCATCCCAGGTGGCATACGTCAAGCTGAAGGTCGGTGATTGACAGCCCACTGTAGCGGACCGAGATACTAACTGGAAACGTAGTCTGTACCTCTCCCGCTCTCACGCACCTTCTCGCAATACGCACAGCTCGGCCACCGTCTTCGGAAGCACTACCTGTCGTCTCGGGTCTTTCTCTGTCTAGTATCCGGCCAGTTTGTCCCGCCGATCCACCGCAAGAACCTGTACAGCTTACAGTACAGCATGCTACCTGTTCAGCGTGTCAGCATCAGGGAGCTGTGGCGCTTGTTGACGTCGCAAAAGCCGCTTGACCCGAGTGTCTCTGCCAACGGTCATGCTGGGCCTGGGCAGATGAGGGGAAGACATGGGCGGGCCAAGACGACGCGGTCATAGCAGTCGCGTCCGTAGCCGTGCTTAATCCTACAGATTCGAACGGTATGAGCAATGCTCAATCGCTCACGTCACCACTACCACTATCCGCATCAACCTGACCCACCATCTGCCCGACCTGAAAGACCTTCTCCATGGCCTCTCCGAACAACTCAGGTCCCCACACCTCGTCCTCCCTCGCCTTGCCTTTCCGGCTCAACCTCTTGCCCTGGCCTTCACCGTACGCATCGAAGAAGTCCTCATAGCTCATGATGACCTGATCCCTCACAGCAGCCACAAGCGTCTCACGCGTTCGCGCATCGTCCACGTATGCTTCCAGCTTGTTCCGCAGTAGCGGCACGTCTTTCTCCGCCAGCCCGCGCACAGTCCGCACGGCTTTCAGGGCATCGAACTGCTCCTTTGCTTTCGCTTGGGACACAGTTGTCGGCTCAATCGGCGCGGTGATGTGGCTTGCGTAGCCGCTGACGAACTCGTTGATAACCGTCCGCAGGCGACCGTCCAGCTCGGCCTTCGCGTCAAGCATGTTCTCGACGACTTTTGGGAGCAGACCGCCGCCTACAGCGCCGCTGACGAGCTTGACCCATGATGCGGGGTTCCAGAGACTGCCGCGCTCGCGAAGCTCGTAGAAGGTGTTTGTGACGGCGGAAAAGTCGAAGTCGACTTCGTGCGGGACAAACTCGATGTCAAATGCAACGATTTGCTGCTTAAGGTGGAGCAGGTGTACGATGAGGAATAGCCGTCCATCTTCGGACGTTTTGCTTTTGACGATCTGTTGACTCGCAGTGATGAGCGAATTAATGGTCGAATGCACAATGCGATGTGCCAGGTCGTCGAAGACTGAGCTGTTGACCAAGCGATAGATGCGTCGAAGCAGCCAGATCGCCTTACGCAGGGTAGGATACCATTGCTTCTCTGCCTTGCCAACATTGTCAGTTCCCATGTGCCTGCTGAACATGCTCTGTGCGTCGTCCGCTAAGTCCTCGACTGCACTTGGTGAGACTGGGGTCGGCGGTACAGATGCTCTCGTGCCGGACAACACAGGGCCTTTCTGGACACCGTTGACATGTACGGCAGCATGCCTCGGCCAATCGAGGTCTTCCGGCTTTGGCCTGTAGTTCTCGATGCCGTCTCGAAGGGCAGCGAGAGCTAGGAAGACTAGCCTCGTTTGCGCATCCTCCAGTGAAGGTTGGACTAAGCTCGCAAAGTCCAGCTTCCGTGGAGTGGGCGCACCATTTGGCGCAGGACTGTAGATGGCAACCTCCTCTTCATCGTCAGCCTCGAGTGTCATGTACCGTGCTTGTATCATGGCACACAGTTCGCACAGCTTCTCAAGCTTCGTCTCGTGTACCATCTTCGGCCGTAGATGATCGTACAGTGGCTCCATCAAGCCCTCAAGGAATTCGTACAGCGCGCCGTCCGTCTCGAACCATTCGCGCCAGAGCTCATGCTCATCCAAGCAGACGCCACGCATGAAGCTGATGCTGGCTTTCGCAAATGCGAGTACCTCCGCTTGTTGCTGTGTCGCCTCCAGCTCAACCATCTTCCTGTTGACCAGAGGAAACATCAGCTTGCCACGTGTGGCTGAGTACGACTGATAAAGCTCCCGGAGTAAGCTCGCATACTCCGGTTCTCGACCAGCATCAACATCGTCAGGCGTCGGCACCGCGCGCTTCTGTATCTCGAGGCCTAACGCCTTTAGCTCAGGAGCGGGGACCCGGAACTTCGCGTAGAGCAGTGCAGAGTGCGTCGTATCCTTCAGTTGGCCGGCTTGTATGCGTTTGCTGATGTCCAATGCAATGTCTGCAAGCGACTTTGTGAAATGGTGGCGGATTAGTGTAAGAGCACGAGTCAGCAAAAGACGGTAGCGGCTTCGATATGTCGCCGAGTCCTTCTGCTTTGGATGAGACTCCATGTAAGCCAGACAATTGTCGAGATTATGAAGCACCTCCGGGAAATTATCGCCTTTCACGAGGTTTGTGGCCCCTGGTGCGTTTAACCGGCGTGTCACCGGTTCGAGGAAGGCGTAGTAACGCGCATTCTCTTCAATGCCATCTGCAAGTGTTGACAGACGGCGTTGTTCTGCTACAAGAGACTCGCATTGCTGGCGGAAGGCGTTGGTCTGCTTCTCCACCAAGATGAAAGACTCCGATAACCTGGACAGATCGGTAAGCGTGCTGGTAGTCGACGCTAGCAAGTTGTCAAGGTGGGAGCTGGAGAGCAGCAGCTGCTCATGATACGACTGGTGTTCGGCATGGCTCTGCTCCGCAATGCGAGCCTCGAGCGCGAAGAAATCCACGTCAAAGTCCTGTCCTCGAGACTTCTTCAATGCAGCATGCTGCTGGCTGTCCCGGCTTCTCCGCCGCTCTAGAGGATATGAACTCTGTCTGAAGGCTCTCACGGCGTGGTAGAAGTCGTTGTAACTCTGCGCTCGTCGAGCGAGCGTCGCCTTCGGTGGGCCGTGCCATGCACTTTCGTCTTCGACCGCCTCTGGAATGGCCGCTGTCGCCACATCAGCCTTCGCTTCAGCCTATTACATCCATCAGAAACGCCGTACCAGCCTCCAGCAGTTTTGGGGCTTACGGGCTGCTGCAGTAGAGAAGGTCTTCGCTTGTGCTGCGGCACCTCTTTGGTCCGCGTGGACGTTGCCGTGAGGGTGTGGAACCAGGCATCGTCCATGCTGTCTGCGCGACCTCAAGGAACGCTGAACTCTGCAGTTACAGACTCACAATGCTCCCATGTTTGCTAGCTTCGACTCTCCATTGTCGTAGGATGCCGCAATGTGCTGCCTAAGGCATTCGATGTCTCACAGTCAGAAGCCAAGCCAAGAGTTCGAGCGCACATGCACTTGATGAAGAGCGGAGGAGCAGCGAACCAGCGCATACGAGAACCCCATAGACCCTGCGGCCCATATAGTCCCTTCCGCACACAGTCGCGTCACACACTCGAAAGCACCAGTCTAGGCATGTCGCGAGCCTTCGATTACTGCCCGGAGCGGCCGGAGAACATCGACACCATCCTCAACGGGCTCGATCGATACAACCCAGAGACGACCGCCGTCTTCCAGGAATACGTGGCGCAACAGTGCGAGAACCAGACATACGACTGCTATGCGAACCTGGCGCTGCTGAAACTGTACGTAGGAGTTGAGCGCGGTCATGTGGAGATGTGGTGATGATCAACAAACCACAAACGTTTCCTATTACCCGACAGGCCTGCTTGAACCCAGGCTTGCGTGAAGTCACACCGATATTAGCTCTATCTGAATGCACATACCCTCACGTGGCACTCTCAACACAGTCCAGACCGAGTCTTTGCTGACAACATGGCCAAGGTACCAATTCAACCCACACCTAACGCGCGATGAAGCGACGACCAACATCCTTGTCAAAGCTCTTACCGTCTTCCCAGCACCTGACTACAGCCTCTGCCTATCACTCCTCCCACCCTACGTCCTCGCACAGAGCAAACTACAACACCAGAACGGCGGTCCAACACCCACCGGCCAAGGAACCCTAGCGGAAGCCGTCCAACATCTCAACACCCTCCACACCCAACTCAACAACGCCCAATACGCCGACTTCTGGAACACCTTCGAAGGCGACGATATCTATGCCGACTTGGTCGCAGACGTGCAAGGGTTCGAGGAAGTGATGCGAGTGCGGATCGCGGTAGTCGTTAGCCAGTGCATGCAGGAGGTTCAACGGAGCGTGCTGGAGAGCTGGTTGAACTTGCGAGGCTCGAAGCTGGAGAACTTCGTCCGCGAGGTGTGCGCGTGGACAATCGAGGGCGAGAGCGTAAAGATTCCATCGAATAATGAGAATGAGGCGAGAGGGACGGTGGTGCGGGAGAATGTCAAGTTTGAGCAGTTTGGTCGGATTGTGAAGAGGGCGTATGAGCAGCCATGTTGAGGACTTATTTAAGGCATGGCGACAGTACGTATCGTCCACATCTGCCGCCGTGATGCGCACGGTTGCCTGACGTGCAACCTGTGAGAAGCTGTATCTCTTAGCGAGGCGCATGGGCTGGCGAAAACATGTTCTTCAGTGCCTTTATTGTGCGACACCAGAAGCTCCGGAACATGCCATTCACAATGTCTAGCTCACGATATCCGCCTGGAACGTACGTTGTCTACCTGATACGCATCGCTTGAAACAGGTCACCAACGTCTATCGAACCGCCAAACCACGACTCCGTCAGTGACCCCTTATACCAGCTCACTCAAGGCGAATCGCCTGCGAGAAGAGTCGATATTGCCAGCGTACTGTCGATTCGACAGTAACACATATCACTGGCGCCTCGTCACTTGCTTCGAGGACTGTCGCCGCTGGAGCCAGTCGACCCTCTCAAGCCGAGATCGTCTGCATCACGGTAGCCCTGCAAAGGCACATCCGATATCGGTTCCAAGGGATGTCGTAGCATCACAGATGCTGAAACATCGCGCGAATCTGGTGCCCCTGAGATATATGGCATATAACATAGCTCAGGCAATCATAGCTAGTGAACTGATGGGCGAACCTGCGCGGTCGGAAGCGCTAAACCAGCATATATTGATACAAGCTTTATACGCCTGCAATCTGCCGTAGCCATGCGCCACACCCGGTGAGGCTTCCTCGGCTACATGAAGTGAGCCCAGCGAAATGCTTGTAATGGCACGCCCTGAAATCTATGGGCGGATATCGAAGCCCACTTACCTTCGTCAAACTCCGTCATGATACTCAAGATGCAATACCGCCCTGCGCAGACACCCATAGCGACTCAACTATTGCACCATGATGTCCTGCTGCGCATGCTGCAAGTTCGCCGGCTTATCGGCAACCAGCTTCCCGCCGTCATGCTCCATTTCCATGTCGTGATTGCCGTTTTGCTGGCCGTTCGTACCTTCCGCAGCATCACCTTCTTCCGCCTCCTCCTCAACATCCTCTTCGTCGTCATCCTCGGATTCATTTTCCAGGTCTTCCGACCCAGCATCACCCTCATCCTCATCCTTAACATCAACTTCCATCTCCGCGTCATCAACCTTGACCTTCGCAGCCTCCTCGCCTTCACCCTCGACCAACTCCGGCGCACCTTCTTCCTCATCCTCTTCCTCTTCCTCCGCGCCATACATCGCGCTCTCGTCCTCAGCGGCATCCACATCCGGCTGCTCCGGCGGAAACTCCGCAGGCGCACTCTCCTCGCTATCCCACTTGATGGCGAACCGCGTCACTCTCGGCTTCTCGGCCAGGATGTTCCGCCGGATCTTTTCAAGCACCGGCTTGGCGGGCGGCTCGTTGGCGAGGTTCTCGTCGACGTACTCATTGTTGACATAGTAGCCCACGCGCACGAACTCGCGTTCGTCGTATGAGCAGCTGAGAAGGATCACGGTGACGCCAAGGATTTCGGTGGTGGGGATGCGCGCGGTGTTCGGCGGGTCGGCTTCGAAAACGAACTTGTTGACGCCGACAGGAATCGGTCCGACTAGGAGGCTGTCGAGCTCTTGGTCGTGCTCGGAGCTGGTGGTTTGGTTAGCGGACTGAGGCCTGACCAAAGCTCGTATATAGATGTCAGAGGCTTACGATGTGGCGGAGCCGACGTAAGTGAGCTTCCACTCAAGGTCTTTTTGAAGTGGCTCAAGGCACTCAAATGTGATCTCAAACTCGTATGGGGCGTCGAAAGGTGCTGGGTTGTTGCGCACCGTCACGTTGAGCAGTGACACCGTCGCCATCGCGAACTTGACTCCACTTCGAGTATAGTGGTGTGTCAGGAAAGGAGGAATTGGGGGGTGATGGTTGTGTGAGTTCAGAACGTTGATGGAATGGTCGATGAGACGTGTTTAGGGCAAGTACAAGTTCAACTTCAAGAGGACGCGTTCCGCGTAAAGTACCAAGTAGCGCGCTACGCTTGGGCCACCAGCGTTGTTCACGTCTCGAGCGCCAGTCAACAGAGCTATATCTACGACTTCTGTAACATTCGCATCCCTCTCGATAGCCGAGGAGCAATCATACCAGGTTGAAGCAGACTAGCAAGCCTCTGCAAGTGCTTTGACACTGGATGATCGTCGCCATCGCCTGCAAGCAAACAGGGAGAACCAGCTGCACGCTTCTCCAGTCGCGGAGAGGCTGTCGCTACGGGAGCATAAGAAGCTTCTTCGTAGGCACTGCCAGGCACAACAATAGAGGCTTCGTGTTGTGGTGAATGCGGCACATATATCATTCACTTACGCAACTAAGTCTGCTCTCTGTCAACATATGCTGACTCATCGAACGTGCCAAGATCGACGTAATCTTGAGAGCGCTCGGCGACGAATGGTGGGTTTGCACATCTCGCAAAACAGTAGCCGCAAGTGTTGGTCATCCTTTCTAAACACATAGTCTCTTCGCGCTCGCACAAGCTCCCGTTCGCACTGGTTACTCTGCCGGAGTAACGAACCTGCCATTGCATAACACGCCGCAGGAGATCCAGCCATACTACCACTTACACTAGCAATATGGACAGCTTGAAGCGCAGAGCTGATGATGATGTTGATGGTCGAACCGAAAAGCGCGTCAAGGTAGGCAATGCTAGAATTCGAGCTCTCGCGCCACTGACATTACCAAGGCGAAGAAGCAATGGCGCGTGCCCCGCAAGAACGATCGAGGTGCGGTAAATGCTCGGGCGATTCAGCCTGGGGACAGCGGCATCTGGGCTACTTGCAACAAGGGCCGGGAAGGCAAGTGTGTCGGAGAGCTTTACGACCTTCTGGCTGAATATGCTGAGCTGCTGTACGCGGATCAGCTGGCACCGGATGCCAACGATACAGTCGCAGATGATGATGCAGACGATGGCGCAGACATCGAGAGCAACATTCGAGCAGAAGTTGACGGTATCCGCAAACCTTCGACGATCCAGTTGTTCACCTCTGTGAAGGTGGATGTGCAATGCGGTGGGTGCCGCTGTACGCACTCGTGATTGCTCGCTGACATGCTCTCAGTCGTCTTTTTCAAGACCGTCGCTCCCGTACAGCCGGTCGCACTTGTCCAGCGCATCTGCGAGGACGCGCAAAACCAGAGAGCTCTAAAACGTACGAGATTCGTCAAACGCTTATCTCCCATGACTTTAATGGGCCGAGCTTCTGCGGAGGGCTTAGAGAGCGTCGCGAAGCAGGTTCTGGCGCCACACTTCCACCAGCAGCCATTTCAATCGAGAAGGGTAAGGAAATGTGCTTCCATACGGCCCTACGTGAAGATGGTAGGTGGAGCTAACGGTTTGCCATTCATAAGTTCGCTATACGGCCAACATTGCGAAATCATAACACACTCTCCCGGGATCTTGTCATAAAGCAAGTGGCTGGCCTTGTGGGGCCGGGCCATATCGTGGACTTAAAGAACTACGAACTTCTGATCGTAGTCGAATTGTATGCGGTCAGTATACGCTCATCAACTGCAGGCAGATATGCTACTGACACCTTTAGTAGAACATCTGCGGCGTTAGCGTCGTCAACAACACTTTCGAGGATCTGAAGCGGTTTAACCTGGCCGAGATCTTCGATCCGACAGCGAAAGAAGCCGCGGAAGAAGGCAAGAAGACGTTAGCGCAAAGCGATACTGACGCCAATCAGGGTACCGGGACTCCCGCCGTGATGACTACGCTGCCGCAAGCCATGGAGATCAGCTAAAGTCTGATGCCGGAATCGGCTACAAGCCCGAACCTGTCAGGTTCTACGAAGATGTCTCAGTCGTGGAAAAGGCAAGCACACGTGCAATTTCGGCCGAAAGAGCAGACGCGCGTCGTTGAAGGATGCCAGAGTCCGGTCCCTCACTCAGGACATGTGACGTTCGAAGCTTATCGGCCGTGACTATGTTGCATTCGCTTGCTCGAACTGTATCTGGCGCTAGCGCTACTAGCTACCGAGATCTGCCGTCCCGTCAACCCGGTCGTTGGGTCGATCCACGATAGATCCTTGCAAGTTGCACAGCTTTACCGCGCTCTCGGAGTCAATAAAAGTGACTAGGGAGGCATTGCACGCTGAAGGCTCGAAATGCTGCACAGTAATTTGTGAGTGCATACTCCGAAGGATGCATGGAGAACACGAGCGGCTTTGCCAGCCCACGCGTTCTCCGTTCGGTTTCAAAAGCCGAGAGCCCCACGAGATGGGAGTGGGTGGGCGGGCTCTCCGGCCGGCTAACGTTTTGCTAACCATCTCGCGAGTAGGGTCGTCATTATTCACCATTGACCGTCGGCCTAGCGGTAATTCGCGCTGCCGCCGCCACTGCGAACTATGCAGGGCTAACCAGGATCGCTCAGTGCAACTCTCTTGTTACTGAATCTTGCATTCCTACTGCCGCCTCCAGCGCTAGTCGTTGCGCAAGCCGCATGACAAGATCATGGTGCGGTCAAGGATGTCTATGCAGATGATTGGTCCCGTGGGCAACTTTAGCCGACGACCTAACGCCTGCTTAGGCTATCCTTAACGACACTACCAGAGTCTACCGGAGCTCATTCGTCTATCTACGAGCTTAATCCTCCCCCTTCGATGCGATAGACCGCCAGCTTCATCTCTCTGCATCGGCAATGGCGTGATTTGAGATTGTTTGCTGCACTAGAGCATTGTCCAAAAAGCCACTCTGCATTGATCGCCCACTAAGCAGCTTGCTGGGTCTCTCTATGGCTGCACGTATGCATCCCGCGTTCCCACACGAGTAAGCTTACTGACCACTCCCTCTATCACAGTACATAGTGGCGTGCACCAATGGCGTGGCCCCCTCAACTGTGGACGCGATCTCTACCATCGCACCCGGTTCTTCTCGGCAGCAGGATGTCGATGCGTTAAACATCTACTGCGTGATAACCATCTCCACCGGTGCCAAAACCGACAGCACTAGTGCGCGACCTATGTCTGCGACGCTCGGAAGACGGCGGCGGTATATGGATATGCAAGTGTCTGTTGCAGTCCAACATGAGGCGGCGACGCTTTCTGCCACACAGAACCACACCTTGTAACGGTCCATTTTGATAAAGAGCTACCAAATCCTGTACATCGTGGACGTCTGCTCAATCGCAAGAGACTACGGATTCGTCTACAACGAGCACACCCGACCGCAGTGACAAAAATCCTCAGAGCCACCGTCTCCGCGCAGTTAGGCCGATCGAGCGGTATCTGAACATTCACTCGAACAACTAGCACTCATCAGAAAATACAACCCAGCATGCCCAACGTTGCCTCCAAAGCGCCGGAGAAAGGCGCAGTACAGCGCGTGGCGAGCAACGCCTTACAATCGAAGGCTGTTAGCGTCGACAAGCTCAGCGGGTATCTCTTCCGCACATACCGTTTGACCACAACGAAAGGTTTCTTCTACCTGCTAAAATGTCGGCCGTCCCAGAACGTCAGACTGCTGCGGCACGAGGATGATAGACTGGAAATGGAAGCTTATGTCCTTCAGGCTCTGCGCAATCAAGCCGGTCTTGTCACTGCGAGACTCATCGAATACAGCAACACGAACGCGGCCATTGGCAGCAGATACGAGGTAACCGGACCCTTCGGTGGTTGCATACTAGCCGATATTGAACCGTCGCTATCCCGGCAAGCTCTTGCAAACATCGACAAGAGCTTGGGTGCACACGTCCAACTCCTGGCCACAGTCAAAGGATCTGTATTTGGCTCACTTAGACAAGCCCAAGGCTCTCCAGGTTCGCAGTCATGGGCCAGGGTCTTTGCTTCAATGCTAGAAACCATTCTACGCGACGGCGAGGACGCACTCATCAGCCTACCGTACGACGGTATGAGAGAGTTGGTGCGCAAGCATCGTGGCTCTCTAGATAAGGTTACGCAACCAAGCCTCGTCATCCTGGAGCTTTGCGCCGACCACAACGTAGTGGTAGATGCGACGAACCAGAGGGTGTCGGGTTTGCTCGACTACTCGACGGCGTTCTGGGGTGATCCCTTCATGTCGGATTGCTTCTATAGGCCCACTGCTAGCTTCGCGGAAGGCTTCGGCAAGCTACCGAATGGGGATGCGGATGAGCGTATCCGTCAATACATGTGCGTAGCTGCGTTCGCGACGCCTTTCTCTCTACTTGCTGACTATTTAAGCAGGTATGTCCTTTACCACTCGCTTTTGGCAGTTATTCGACACTGCTATCGACCATCGGAAGACCACGACGAAATGGAAGCTCGACGAGACCTGACGACTGCGATGCGCCAACTCATGACAGTGCCCGCCCGGTAATAACCGAAATGTGGCTTGTTTCGGACCCGAATGCTACCGACCCGAAGAGATAGCAGGCTGCAGAACACATGGGCGTCCCCGTAACGCACATGAGCTATGCCTGCATCCACGAGACGCAATGGAACGCATCTGCCTACGCGGGCGCATGAAGGCACGTCTGGTTGCATAGTATTCACAAAGCGAATGATGCCACGGATTGAGCTACTGTAGAAACGGCGGCTTCGATCCGTGGTCACGTGCATGATCAGAGCACCACTATCGAATAGCGTACCGAGAGAAGATGGTAGTAGGCCAGAGTTTTGGAGCGAACGCCTTCACTCGCATCTGGAAGCAGAGTGGAGTGGAGAAACGAATCCGGTGCAGCTTCTGTATGGATGCCTTGCATTACGAGGAGGCGTGATTCCGAGTGTAATATGGCGAAATTAGGGAGAGTTGGCATAGTCTGGTGACAAAGCAGATGCAGGCGGAGGCATCGGCAAACTAGTCGTGTCGAACGTAACCTAGGCCGGCATGCAAGTCAACGATGGGCTACTGCATCATGTTGATCCTCAAGCACTTGCTGGTCCCCTGAGACTCGACCCTCCATATTCCTACATTATGAGCTTTCCCACAACACAGAGCTAGAAAGTACCATTGTACAAGGCACTGAGGAGGATGCTAGATTGTGGTAAGGAAGCATACTCGCAACTCCGAGCACGCTTCATTCGGTATCGCAGACATGGCGCCCTTCAAGCCCTTTTCGAAGCTCATCGTCTACCCAAGTTCATCGCAATAACATATTATTCGTTACAGCATACCTCCTAACGACACACATGTAGTATCTCAACTACCTTCCTGGCTTACAACTCGTCGTGCTCCTCCACCTCACCATCGTCGATGATAGCGTCCTTGATCGCTCCCGCAGCCTTCGTAATCGTGTCCTTAATGCCCTCGGTCACGCTCTCGGACAGGTCCGAGGCCGTCGCAGCCGGAGCCTGCTTAGGCATTTGGTCGGTCTCTACGCCCTCCATGGTCTCTGCCTTCGAGCCAACATCGATCTTGTGCGAGCCGTTCTCACGAATGAAGTTTGCGAGGTCCTCGACCGTGCGAGAACCGGAGTAGTCAACAGGTGCGTCCTTCGAACCTGCCTTGAAGAGCTTGATTGTTGGAAAGCCGGAGATCTCATCAGGCACGTCATTGAGGGTGGCGTCAACCTTGGCAATGACGACCTTGTCGCTGTACTGCTTGAACATGCCCGCGAGCTCGTCATACTTGGGTGCCAGAGCCTTGCAGTGGCCGCACCACGGCGCGTAGAACTCAAGTAGCACGTCCTTGTCGTTGTCGATGACGACTTCTTGGTAGTTCTTTGCTACAACGACCGTCACCGGGCCTTCCTGCTTATCAGGGATCGGCTCAGACTTGACGCTGGGCTCAACCTTGCCGGCGACGAAGTCTTCGACGAACTTGCCGATCTTCTTCTCGCTCAGATCAGAGACCGACCCTTGCGCGGAGTAGGGGAACTTTTGATTCTTCTCCGTGTCCTGAATCGCGAAAGCTGGCCACTTGCCAACCTCGAGGTTTAGATTGCCGGCATGCTGGCCGAACGCCTTCGCATCGATCGTGGCAAAGTTGAGCTTGCCCTTCTGCTTCTCCGCGACAGGCCTCAATGCCTTGGCGAGGCTTTCACGTTCCTCGGCACTTTCGGAAAAGATGTAGGCAAGCGGAATGCCGGCCTAGGACAGCTAGTCAGTACTTGGACAATGACCACGAGCTTCCGCAATTGACACTCACCGCCATGTAACCAGCATATGTCTCAGGGCCGACCTCACCGACCAACGGGGTCGAGGCAGCCTTGGCGAAGTCGATGAGCTTATCCTTCGTAAAGCCTTCCTCGAAGACATTCTTGCCTTCGTCAAAGTCCTTGTACAGTACGATAGCTGGTTGAGTGACACCCTCCGCTTTCGCCAAAGCCTCGTCCGAAGTGGCACCGAACAGAAAGCTGTCGCGCAGCTGGTCCGCAACCTCCTCGTATGTGACATTGCTGGTCTTGTCGTCTGTGCTGAAATAGCCGACCAAGACGACCTTATCCGCGGTCTTAAACTCCTCGAGGGCCTCGGTGCTCTGCAAAAGGCTCACGGAGGGAAGGCTCTGCTTCGTCATGTAGGAAATGATGGCCTCCGCCTTGCGGGGCCCCGAGTACGGCGCAATGTTCTGCGGTCCCCGGAAGACCTTTAGAGTCGGATAACCCTCCACGCCATACTCCTGGCACAACTCTTGTTCGGCCGTGCAATCGATCTTGGCAAGAGGTATGGATTTATCTTTCAACGTTGTCGCTGCTTCTTCGTACTCGGGAGCCAGGGCCTTGCAGTGGCCGCACCACGGCGCGAAGACTGTCGCACATTAGTGAATTTTATTACCAAGCAGACGAGCGCTTTGGTGACATACACTCTGCGAGCACGAGATCATGGTCTTTTACGAAGTCATTAAAGGTCTGGCCGGTTAAGTCGTGCACATCGCTAGCCACGGCCAATGCGGCGAACCCAAGAACCGCCGTCGAGATCTTCATGTTGCACAGTTCGCGGCGAAACTACGAGGGCGAATAGAACTTAATGTTGTCAAGACTCGAAGCGTCAAGACTTGTGATTACTGATTATAGGCCTCACTTGGACAGCTAGCCGCTAACTTATCGCTTAGCAATGGCCAGCGGTCCGTCACTGTGGGGCTTCAATGGTGGCGGGGCCACTTGTCCACATGGCAAGTTGGAGTCTGTACCTGAAACGAAGGAAATCTCAAACCAACCGGATCAGTCATGTTCACAATCTCTCCAGCTCCCGCATAGGCGATCGTTGCAATGATGCTGCAGTGCGACACCCTTCGACAGCGGTGTCGGAGCTTCTAATGGATGGCTGTGAGACAAATCCCTCTCCGCTTAGGGTCTGTAGAGCTAGCGATGCAGATCACGAACAAGTTGCGGAAACTTGGCCAGCACGTAGCGATGGCGATGGTGCAACAGAGCCGAAACATATCAGATGCGAACCAATCACGTCGGCATCATCAAGATACCGCCCAGCCGCGAGCTCTCTGCTGCCCTTTTTTGTCGTGATCCTGTACCTGCCCTTGCAGCTGAAGTCCTGTCCGACGCCTTCCTCTTCGTCACACCAGACGTAGAGCGACGACCGCCTGCCGAGCTGGAGACCTGGCGAGCCCTGGCTTGATAGTTGGCCTTCCTATGGAACCTCCTACTACCCTTCGCAACGGACGCCTCCGGTCTCTTTGCTGCTGCCTCCCGCAACGCTTGTGATTTGGAGTCCGCAAACTTCGCATTGAATTCTTGGACCCTTTGCGACGGTTGGAAGTAGCCGCTAGGCTCACCGCCTTCATCATCTTCCTCACCGATGTCTGACGTGCCAAGGCTTCCGTACTCATCATTGTCCTCTTCGTCTCCGTCACTGACCAGGTCAATGACATTCTGCGCGTTCGGATCCACTGCCTCCTCGTCCCGGAATCCCTGAGCAACAAGCTCGTCATACGAACGACGGCACTTCCGAATCATTGCGCAGAAGACTTTGCCATACAGATTCACTTTCTCGCCGTCAATACCAGGTAATCTCGACATTTGATCGACGGTGGTCGTCCAGTTGATGGCCATCTGACGCAGCGTGCTGTCGGAGAACGGTGCAGAACGCAGCTTCTTCTGTATCACCAATTCTTGGCATGTCATCTTTGCGTCGTTGACGAAAGCTTCGACAGTCTGTCGGTGAAGGCCATCCAAGTCGTTCATCACAGCGTCGGTAAGTATCGGAGACCCTGGCTCACGACGTCTCTCTTTGCGATGCCGGCCACTCTCCCTAACCGGCGCAAAGCCCATGATGTCAAACGCCGTTTCACGGTCTTCGTCCTCATTATTGTCATTGTTCGCATAGTCTCCGTCCTCAGGATCTGATATGACAAAGCCGTCTTGCTGATACCCGTTCGCATGGAACATCGGTCGGCAAGCTGCCTTGCGCTTCGATGCGGCGGCTTGTATAGGTGACGAGACATTTGTCGAGAGCGGGGCCTCCATACGCATATTCTGGCTGATCAACTTCCGGTCCCCAGCATCATGCTTCGCCTGCTTTGACCGTTTCGGAACGGGCTGAGTTCTCCCAGCTCTCGGCGATGTTCGGACGTCTAACAGAAGGGTTTCCCCACCGGGACCGAACCTCCTGCAATCCTGACCAAGAGCGATATACTGGTTTGCAAACCCGCTCTTATTCATGACGCTGTCCTCGCGAATCACGTTCTCGCCAAGCAAGCGGTAGAAAAGACGCTCAACATTCTCCCGGCCCATGTGCTTGCCAGCCCCGAACTCACTGAGATCATTGTGGCCCTTGTCTTTGATTTTCTTGCTCTCAGACCCGCGAAAGATGTCGATGCAGTGTAAGACCGTGACCTTGTCCATTGACACTTTGCGAACAAGACTGATGGCTTGGGCAGCTAGGTCTGTGAAGTCCTTGGTTTCGAAGGTGGAGGTAGACTTGCAATTATCGCATTGGTTCTGGCATTCGTCCTGATGGAATACTTCACTAAAGTACGCAAGCACCTGAACGCGCCGGCAGTCACTACGATTCTCGCAGAACTGCACCATCTTACGCAGCATCTGGTGTTGGCGGTCTTTCTGCTCGTGGCTGCCTTCGCCATCGTCGATCATACGACGCAGTTTGCCGGCGTCAGAGTAGCCATAGAAGAGGTAGCAGCCGGAGTGCTTTCCATCTCTCCCTGCCCGTCCAGTTTCCTGGTAGTACCCTTCCAGGCTTTTCGGGATGCTGTTGTGGATCACAAAGCGGACATCAGCTTTGTCAATACCCATGCCAAACGCGATGGTCGCAACTATGACGTGGTAAGTACCACTTTGCCATTGCTTCTGTGCTTTGGACCTCTGCTCCGATGTCAGACCGGCATGGTAATGCGCAGCTTTGACTTTGTGCTGCTTGACAAGATCTGCTGCCATGTCTTCACAGTTCTTCCTGGATAGGCAGTAAATTATGCCAGACTGGCCGCGATGCCTCTCCTTGATCAGCGTGGCAATACTTTCGAGATCTTTTCCCTTGCTTTCTTTGGGCCGCACTTCGTAGTATAGGTTTGGTCTATTGAAGCTTCTTGTAAAAATCTCGCAACTGTCAATATGCAAATTGTGTATGACATCAAGCTTGACAGCATCCGTTGCTGTTGCAGTTAGAGCCATCACTGGCACCTCTGGAAACCTCTGGCGCACATTTCCTAGCAGCTTGTAGTCTGGGCGGAAGTCATGGCCCCATTGGCTGACACAATGAGCCTCATCGATAACAATGCGCGCAAGCTGACGGCGTTGATACAGCCGCTCAAAGATGCTGAGCATTGACTCGTTCTTGCTGAGCATCTCCGGCGTGACATATAGGCACTGAATGAACTCTTGGGCGTCGCGTTGACCCAGCGCCTCCCTGATTTGATTCTTTTCGCCAGCTGTACTTTCGCCATTTACCAGGAATGCTTGGATGCCTAATTCCAGAAGATGCTGCACTTGGTCCTCCATGAGGCTGAGCAGTGGTGAGACCACAACAGTAACTCCTTTGGTCTTGCCCGTAGTGATGAGAGACGGTAGCTGGTAGCACAATGACTTGCCACCTCCGGTAGGCATGAGGATGAAGGTGTCTTTACCCGCCAAGGTTGCGTTGATGGCTTGTAGTTGGTTTTCACGGAACCCTTTGAGCCGGAACCGCTCTCGTAATGCTACCTTGACATCGTGGGACCACGGATATCGGAACTGAGCCTCTATATCAACGTCCGTTTGAGACGTCATGCGTGACTTATTCCTGCCTTTCTTGGCACTTTTGTTGATGTGTCGATCTTGACCATTGCCCGTCGTCTCCGCGAAGACTGCCCGCTCTACTGGCCTGACGCGTAAAGCTGGACTCTTGCCAGAATTCTCGATGTCATCAGCAAACTCCAGCATGACGTCGTCATCGTCCATTCCGAAGTCATCCTCATTTTCATGCTCATAAGGCGCAGGTGGCGATCCCATCCGATTGCTAAACACCATATCGCTTTCGTCAATGAACCCTCCGTCAGCAGGCAGACATTCGTTAAATGGTCGCGCAATGTCGTGCGCAATATGGTTTGGCTGCCGTATGAGCGGGACAGGCGGCTTGTGATGCCTCTTTGGAGACATAACAGTGGCGATGGCCACCGGCGTTGACCGGTGTTCCTTCGGAAGGGGAGGAGGCGGCATCATTTGCGTCTGCGCAACTCTGCTCGAACTAGGTATTGCTTGGTCTGCCGCACCTGCGTCTCGAAGGCGTCGTGCAGGCGCTGAATTAGTCTCGGCAGGTTTCGCTAAATGCGCCGCAATAACACCCTTGCATGGCTGTAGTAGAATGACGCACGATCCTTCTAAGTCTTGCATTCGTGCCTTGCATGCTTTGTTCGCCGCTTTCGCCGCGTCAACGCCCTGCTGTGTCATGAGCGCACGCCTCACTGATGCGAACAGTTGCTCCTTCTCAGCCGCCAGAATCCGATAGTCGCTCCGTCTACTCAGTAGGGCCTTGATTGCCGCATTCTGCGAGTTGAGAGCCGCGATGTCGGCTTCGAGCACGTCCGCTTCCTCGAACTCATCCAACCGCCGAGCTGCAGCATCGCAGAGGTGCTCCATCTTGGCTTGCATGCCATTGAACATGGCTTGTATGCTCGCATCAGATGCTGCATAGAAAGCTTTAAGAAGTTCGGCATCAGGACCTCGATGCTCCTGAGTACTGCCAACATACTCACCAGGCACCACCATTGGAGCCTTCTGCTCCGAAGCGGACGTTCTTGGTGACATGAACGCCGTCCCGGAACATGGCGTAGCTGTCCTATCAGTCGCCGCCTGAACCAAGTGTGTTCCGGATTGCATGGTCGGTGAGCCTGGGGTACACTTAAGAGAAGCTTGCAGTGTGACAGCACGCTTTTTCGCACGCGGCGTAAGCCGCATGCCACTCTGGTGACTGTACTTTCCAACGAAGTCAATAATGTCGTCCTCCTCGTCATTGTTACCATTCTCGATGTCGGGTTCCTTCGTTGCTCCGAAGAAATGCGGCGCTGCAGCTGCTAATGGGCTTGGGGAACCGGCCACAGAGTAAGGGAGTGCTCCGCGAGTGGCTGGAGACACTGCCTTGGGCGCGAATGTAGAGGAAGGCGGAGGCGGCCCCTGCGGGTCTTCCAGCAGGTTCTCGATGGCAGTGAAGTCGCGGGATGCTGGACGACCTGGCTGCGCTTGTTTTGACGGTTCACCGGCCGCAAGGTGCGACAAGCCGGGCTCAAGCGCATCGCTCTTCCGCTTGCGGGATCGGCGCTCGCTATGGGGACCGGCAGGCGTATCATCTGCGGAACCCGCACCTATCAGACTCTGGGTCAAGTCCAGAATCTCCACTCCGGAAAACGTGTGAGCTTGAGGCAGCAGCGGCTTTGGTGGACCATGCCCAAGTGGCACTGCCCGCTCCGGCGTGACCGACCCTTGACTAGATCCGGCGAGAGACTGATTGGTGGCGACGTATAAACCATTTCGAGGCGATATGGTAGACGGAGGCTGGACGTTCAAACCGGGAGTTTGGCGAATTTTTGCCATTGCTTGTTCGCTCGTTGCTTCCTGTTTAGATGCACGTGCCACAGACACCAGTGGACGAGTTTGCAGCTCGACTCTTGTCAATTGTACGTCCTTAACAGTGGGGTGTCCAGTAACTGCGCTGCGCGTCGCTTCTAAAGCATCCGGTGAAGCTGAACACACAGGCAACAACTGGGCTGGTGGGGTTGTAAATGTGGTGTGAAGCAGCCAGGACAGATGTTCATCGAGATTGTGACGTGTCATGGCTCGGGCTCAGCATTCTTGACCTGACCAGCATTCATCGAGACCCCTACACTTGCCACATTGTGTTGTCTCTGGTACTGCCAATGAGGAGCTCTTAGGGTGCTGTACGAGCACGCGTAAGGTTCGGCGCTGAGTAGGGCCGAAATGCCAAGATGGTACGTAGTCACGTGCTATACCTTGAACTCCACTTTACACCGAGCGTTACACGACAACTGCTTGCGTGCGGCAATAGTGATGAAGAACAGGCGAAGGCTATCTGAGTGGGCAAGCACATGAACAATATGCTAATGCATCGGGGCAGCGGCGGGACGACCGATTAATGCATGGCGTCTTCATTAATCCTGGCTTGCATTCGAAGTGTGATCCTGCTCACTACCCGTTGGCAAACTAGATCGTAGCAACAAAGGTTGCTCTATCGATTTGGAAAGTGACCTTGGAGACTTCGAAGGCATCCTGACGCAGTTTTGATTTGGGAGGATTGACCGCACATCTCATACTATACGGGCTATATTACACAGCATAGGTGTACGCCATTGCGGGCCACTAACGGACGCCCGCAAGCCACCGTGGGCTGCTGCGTATTTGCTGCTGTTCGCAAAATCCCGAGAAAGAGCCTTCAAGCGACCGAAGCTGTGTAGAATCGCATCGCACAGACCAAGCTCGTTATTTCTAAGTTCATTGCAGCGCTTAAGATACGCAGCTGCAAACCCTATCATCTTCCGCGCGTAAGGTCCTGCGATCAAGAATCCCCGGTCCCGGATGACTCGCAATAGCCGCCGTAGTCAAGGCGCCTGGAGCGGCCAATACGAGCTAAACGAGTCTCGGCTTTCGCAGGTTCCACCAGGTCGCAGGTCGAGTTGAAGGCATAGCGTGGACTAGCGCGTTGCGCCATCTCGGGTTTCCGTTAACAACGACGTCCACTTCCGCTGACGAGACTTAATGTCGCACTGGGGACGATGTATTCCAATCTATGTACCGAACACCAAGACGTTCAATGAGGTAGTAACGATGCCACATGGATCCTGCTGAATGAGAACACATCGTCAGCGTTGAGTGTCTGTTGCGCTTGTCGTCAAACTCAGAGAACCATGTCATGTGGTGTCCTTCGCTCAGCCTTCGTTACATTACGAGGCACCTCCTCTTTCTTCAGTCTGCAGAAGCATGGCAAAGCATCTGATCTTGGAGGTCCTGATCCCGTCCGAGCACTCGCACGGTAGCGTTATGCAACTCATCATGCACCGTTTCCATCTTTTCGACGCCAATCTCGCAGCCTGACGGGCCTTCGGTTAACAGGAAGAGGGCTTCGAGCGACTTGGCATACAGAAGCGAGGGCTCGTTCTACTCCACCTGTGAACATGCCAGATTAGCCCTTTAACCCGGGTACTTATATGTATATCCTTCCGGCGCAGCATCAGTGGGTATCTGACTTTCGCTGTGTTCCTTCCTTCTCCTAAGTGGCATGATCTGATCGGGTACGGTTCTCTGCGTTGCTGCTTGCTTTTTGGGGGTTTTGAGCTTCAAAGTCAATGGCGGGAAGTTCTCGTTCTAGCAGTATCGGGTCGTACTTGTTCTGCATCGAAGGCGTGAGTAACCGAACATCTGGATGTCGATACCTACTGAAACGCCTCGCGAAGCTTCCGAAGAAGTATACATGGCAAGATCTGAAGGACTTGATACGACGGGAGGCGTCCCATGGCATATGGACAGACATGGCAATTTATCCCAATGGACGAACCGGAGAGGGTTATGCCAGAGTTCAGAGGGCCGACGAGGCCCGCAGTCTCTACAGTAAGGCACTTTGACGCAAACACTCGGTCGTCTTTCTAACCCAAGTTTTCAGTTTATCTTGTCGGTAGTCCCATCGAGGGGCGGAGAGTTCGCGTACACCTCTGGGATATTAGCTGCCCCGACGCCCGCTTCGTTCGATGCAACTGCGAAGACGGAACTTCCCCGCATACTGCGCAGGGACTCGAGGTAACACGCATAGCAGGCTCCTCTGGCTGGCAGATCGTTCCACCCGATGCACCAATGCAGCAACCGCAGGCTCCTTACCCTTCGTATTCGCTCTATCAGTCTGCCGTGGCTCCGTCCCATCGAACAGCAACCAATGGTTCGCATACGTCTCCCTTCCCTCCGGGGTCACTGGCCCAAACGATGTCCGATGTGCAATTGAGCCAACCAAGTCCTCATCACGCTGCCAATCTATACGCGCAATGCTATCCCACAACGCCGACATATCATCATCAACCATCTCGGGCGGCGTGGAGAGCACACCAAGCAGCCAATAGCCAGCCGTATTCACCTACACCTTACGCAATATCATCCACAGGTACACCGATCAACGTTGTCAACGGGACCGTCCGCACTGAGGCCCGTGGAGTGTTCGTAAGTGGTCTCAAGTTTGGAGCGCAAGGCAAGGACGTCGAGGCGTTGTTCAGTCGAGCTGGGCGCGTGGTAAAATGCGAGATGCAGAAAGACGCCTCGACAAGGAGGCCGAAAGGCAGCGCTACCATACTATTCGCCTCCGCGGTGGAGGCACGGCAGGCTATCGAGCTCTTCCATCGCAAGACCTACATGAACATGACACTGCTTGTCAGGGAAGACAAAGAGCGGACAGCAATTAGCCCGCCAATCGCCTCGCAAGCGAGCCGAAGCAGTGAGCCAGTGATAGTCAATGGTTCTCAGGTGCATATGAAGCAGGCTTGAGTGGGGTTATGCCAAAACTTCAGGGTCATGAACGGCGCTGAAGGGTCGGTCCGCAGATGTGCCGTTGCAAGGCTACAGCATTGAGATGCGTAAACTCCGTGGTTGGAGGCGATGCGGCGGCGTATGCGTGAGTTACAATTTGGTCCCAGCTCCAGCACGTGGACTCTTTTCTTGTATTGCGTCACAGCGTCCACGCGCGAAGACCTGTTTCTCACACTACATACAGCTATCGAAATATGCCATCATGCTGGGAGTAATGAGGCAATATTGTTGCATAGACAATGTGTCTCGTGGCTGAAGACAACATGCTTGACAGGCTGAACGACATGTGGGTCCATCGCTTACAGAGAAAGCGGCAAAACGCCTGAGGTGGCACAGCATTGACAAGCTTGGGTTAGGATCGTGCTCGCTCGAAACCCACGCCAGCACTTGCGTACTTCTATGCAGCGTTATTGTATCGATGTCACACTCGTTCGGGGCATCGCATGTATAGCCAAGCCTTAGAACAGACGGGCTAATGCACGTTCCCAATGCAAAGAAGGGTGGTTGTCCCATGGTACTGCGTATGATCTGCTACCGAGCCGCAACGCTGTGATTGTGACGGTGGTCCAGTCAAGGATAGCATAGCAAGCGGTATCATCTCCGCCTTCATTGTTGAAGGTTTACCATCAGCCACCGAAGGCTCAACCGCGTCTCAGTAACTGCCTACAGCAGCTTTCCATGCCAACATTCACGACATTTGCACGGCGTCGATCTGCGAGGCAATGGCTCGGTGACGACATGCATACTGCAGAAGTGGGACCCAATCAACCTCGTGAATGGACTCGAAATAGTGACTCACATGGCGCACAGCATTACTGTCGAATGGGCAGGGCCATTGGGAGGAGAGATGCATTCAGAGACAATGCCGACCAATCACAATACGTACCAGTCCGAGGACCAGTCTGCTTGAGGGCACCCTGGTCGTCTGAGGATCGCTTAAAAGCTGAATCCTGTACTGGTATAGGCACGCATTAAGTTGTTCGTACTGTGGTATGATGGAGACGAGAGCTTGACTGTCGGTAATTGCACTGCGCGAGCAGGCGAAGAGCAATCTCCTTGTCTCCCCAAAGCATGGGAGTGCGATGAGCACGTAAAGGTTTATATCGTAGCATATTCTGCTAGATGCAGACTGAGATGCTCGCCGAAGCTCATGTCTCGGACTTCACTGAAGGCTCGGGGTCCTAATGGAGCATGCCGTGTTGCCATTAGGGAGGTCACCGAGCATATCCGACTAGCCTGTGGTCGATCCATTTTCCAAATCGTCGTGCCACAAGACTGGTGTTATGGCATCATGAGCCTGGATTGACGTTGCATGACCCACGAAGTGGCTTGTATGAAGACGGCCCGGGATAGAGTAAGAGCTCGCCTTCTGAGTGCCGCATCCTCCCCGCGCAATGCTACTGTACTTTACAATCAAGATGTGACTGCGAGTTCCACCGGCCCACCTCAACCGGCAGTGCATTGGCGGCAGCATGCGACCGCAGAAGGGCGCGGGATTGCTCCTTGTCAACGGGCGTAGTCGACCTGAAGATAGGTTGCTAATGCGCTGTGGCGACGAGTCAATAAATCTCTTGACATTGCCGCCATTGGCTAAAAGCTCCTTCGGCCGTCTGTTGCGCGGGGAAGACTGTACGATGATATGGAACGTTAATAGAGCAATACTGTGCTGTTCCCGCGCAGATGTCTCCCAGCGTACCCGGCTTCGCGGTAACCGTTACCGGCCCGGCGCAAGAACCGTTTGATGTGTTGCCGGTCATGCGAGGCGGTTGTACCTCGTTGCAAACGAGCCGATGTGACTGGCGTCGACTTCTACCGATGCAGCAGCGGCGCCGCAACCCTAACCGAAGCGCCAACACGATTGCTGGGAAGCTGGCATTAACGTCTCGCTCGTGTATGATTGGGGCTCCGACTAACATAAGGCGCACCGCATTGTGTTCACATGGCACGCAGAGCAAGCCAGCCCATTCTCGGTACGACAGCATGCGCGCACCTCTCCCATCCCACGCACGCAGGCAACCCCTCACCTCCTTTCGCAAGCCAGAGGTGCGCATCGGCCTAATCGCCACTTTCGCGAATGCCTTTCGTCCGGACCAGTTTGTCAATCTTCTCTGCTACCTCACTCGGCTCGACAAACACGTGCCACAGCGTTTTGTCAAGATTAGTGAACGCACTCTCAAAACGCTCAGATGCATTCTTCTTCTCCTCATCCATGCCCGCAATACCGGTCACCTTCCGAATAAAGATTGCTTTGATCCAACCAGGGTATCTCCTAGCTGCCTCACCGTAGGCCTCAGGATCGGATTGGGTTGAGTCGCCAATACAGACGATATCTCGTTGCGGGAACCAACCGTGAATCTTAGCAATGCGGTCGTCTTTGTACTCTTTCGTATTCTGCTGGAGTGACATTATGAGTCCGCCAAGGTTCTGCCACGAAGCGTCGCGAAGTATGAGAGTCCCAAGCGGGTAGTGAGCATCTCGGAACTGGCGAAGGAATGGGTACAGACTATATGGCGATGCGGATAGGTAGAAGAAAGTTGGGTTGTCGAGGTCTTGCCTTATATGAGCATACAGCTCCGGCATACCCGCTACCGGCGCTGGTGTCTCCACAGTGAAAGTGTTCTGTAAAATGCCGATGGGGCTCGGAGTCTGCGTGATCTTAATTGTGTCGTCGATATCACTGATTACAGCCCATCCTTGTTCTTCCCCAAGCACCGTCCGGCTGGGCAGGCCAAACGGAGGCGGCAGATTGAGGGTATTGGATGTTACTTGTGCAGACGATGGCTTGAAGTGAAGTTGATGTAGAGCAGAACTGATTCCAGAGTAAGAAGACGGGCCCAGGGTCTGTTCTTCCTGGTTGTCAATCGATATGCGGACTGTGTGGCGAGGCAATACAGTGTCGAGGAAAGGTTCCAGACGGGAAGCGATTCGCTTTTTGGTCGCCACATCGTCCTCATCAAGCTGCAGTTGCTTGATCAACGCAGCGGTGACGCCGGCAACACCTCGTCCAGAGTTCTTGATGCTGGAGTCGAGCACATCAGCAGGGGTTCGGAGATGTCTTAAAGATACTATACACACAAGTAGCATGCTACGAACTCAACCTCCCATGCTCCAGCATCCGTGTCCGCTACATCACTCCGCTGTTGCGGGTTGGTCGTTCTCTGCGGCTGTGCCACATTCGGGTCGGCAAGCTCATGTCTGATATCCCCTAATTGCGGAACCTTGAAGGCTGTGTTGTCCAAGATCCAAACATTGTGCACTGCTGGGTCTATTGGTTTAGGGCGCTCCCAGGGGAAGACTATGGGGAAGCGATCGAACAAGTCAGGCAGCCATCCACGGAGATCGTCTGGCACCTCAGGCGAGAATGGCGAGTCTTTCTCGATTCTGCCACCACTCAAGGCGTCGACCGCGGCTCGTCGACCTTGATCGACTACTTCGCGAAGGAAGTCCATGAAGGAGCGACCTGGCTGGCGTAGTGAACGGAGGGGCTAGATGATGCCTCTGGTGACCTCTCAGGTAGCTCCTACCAGTACAGTAGTAGATTCAACCGGTGCTAGTAGCAATATACACGTCAATATTGACAAAGTTCCTACGCTTCATGTATCGGACAAGGAGCGCAGGCAGAGTTTCCAGGTACGTTCATGGCGGTCTCTCTTCTGATCTATCTTTTTCGTTAGCAAATAGTATTGCTGTAAGTCGTTATTCGATGTGTACATGTGTGTACGACAATCACGTATGAGGCTCCCACATTGTAGGGTGCAAAGCAGCCCTGCGAAAGCAGGAGAACAGGGAGGATCGATACTCGGCTTTACTTCGGGTCTATGATGGATGACTACATATAAATATCTGAGTAATTATTGTTTCGTGCTTGCTCAATTCGCGAGCTTGAACCAGTGGGACTTTGTCACCTCATTGGTTGTGTGCACAGCTCTCTTAGCTCAGTGGTAGAGCGTGGGATTGCAGACTGTAACCTGTAATTATCCTAAGGTCTGTCGTTCGATCCGGCAAGGGAGCTCACCTCTTTTGCATTCCTCCATGGTCCGATTTTGTATGACTTTTACTGCCGCGCGAAAGGGCTGTTGTTTTCCATTCGTCAGCGTAATGGTTCCGCTTGAATGTCGGAGTCCAAGGCACGACCGCTGTCCTTGGCGAGGAATGTCAACCACATGCACTTTCCGAAAGATGTCCATTATCATATACAACGTGCCACTTGCTCGAACAGTCCCTTGCCCATCACTTCCACGGCTGTGTCGTCAAATGTCAAGGTACAAGTAGTGGAGATGTGATACACTACACCGCCCGACTGTACGCGCTGTAAAACATATGCGGAATCGGTCCCTACGAGGACGGACTCTCGACGATGAGACTCAAGTACGAGTTGGAACATCCGGTCGGTACAGGATGCTGCCACCCACGCCGCATGTGTGGCATGCGAAGCAGACTGCTCAGCTCGCTCAATCTTACCGGCCTCTCTTCCCCGTTCTCAGCGTCTTTGGCCTTCTTCCTCCCTCTGACATGCTCGGTTTCTTCTAATCCTTGCAATTCGCCGCTCTGCGATTGTGATCATCGAAATGGCAGCTAGCGAACTTGACTACGATGACCTTGCTGCCTTTGCGAACGACAGCCCGTCTGCAGCGCAGCGTCGAACGCTTGAAACCTGATGCCTTCACAGGTTGGGACGCGGCTCCGTCGCGGGTTGGCGGAGCCCGAGGCGTGAGTCTGATAGCCAGGCCGAGGGAAGGTGGCCAAGACATCGGTCACAGCGAACCTGCCTTACAGAGACCTTAGTGTTTGTCATGCAACCTTCAGCAGCATAAGGCACTACTGGTGTCAGATAATGTTACGAAATACGAAGTACTATGGGGGAAGTAGTACACACTTATACAGATTATATCACCTCAAACGATATTAGCCTCGATATACTAAGGTATAGCATTTGGTTTAAGATCAAACTTACGTATACTAACGAGACTTCGAGTTTTTACCGGTTGCGACCGCTTCTGGCACTTGCAATTGCCAATAGCGCACTCTAAGGCATTCGTTGTGCTCGAGGTCTCGAGTGTCAGACTCTTCTATAGTGCTGTGTCTAAGCAGCGATCCCTATGCAGATTTTTAGAGAGACTTTTCTAATGCTACTAAGTGTTGAACGAAGATAACGAACTAATGTCGCCGGACTGAATCCTGACTTATGGGGTCTTTTGGGAACATGTTGTCGGATTTGGTCGTTACTCCGAGAGGAACCCTGTACAAGAGAATGTAAGGAATGGGGTTGATAAGGATGTTACTACCCACAAGGGTATTCGTACGTATTGACCACGGTGAAATTGTCCACATTCGAGCGCACCGCCTAGTGCAGCGCTCCCACCTGGTGGCTGGTAAAGCAAGGGCAGCTCGAATGATAGGAAGACCAACAGGTAGGCAGTCTGCCTGCCGTGCGTCTACCGGGACACTAAGAGAACTGGAGCGTGTCGCACCCACTTGCCACACACACATGAGAGCAGCGTCAACTCTCCGCTTCCAGATTCGAGGAGCACCATTGCGATGGACGTCTACGCGTAAGCGTAAGAGTGGCAGAGCTCGGAGAGCGGCACCTGTCGAAGTCATCGGGCTTGCACAACCTCGCCTCGACGTACTACAACCAGGGACGACGGAAGGAGACGGAAGAGCTACAGATGGAGGCAATGAATATAGAGAGAACCGTACTATAGCCTGAGCATCCTATCGCGCTAACGAGTACTGGCAATCTGGCGGCAACGTTCTGGAACTGGGCCCCGATAGAAGAGGGGCGAAAGATTTGGGATTTCACCCGCACACGCACACATCTAGGCGTCCTGGTATTATTGCATAGCACCTAGCACCTCGACAGCTCAACCAGCAAAGGTCTGGGTCGACCTCGATCGAGCAACCGCGTAGCCCGATCGGGCTTTGCCGTGGCTATCGCTGGCCCACCCGGATAAGGACATAGAAGCTACCACCCGCCCTCAATGACGCTCGAGGTACGAGGGGTATGTTCTTCAATGCCCTCTCACCTCGAACACAGCTCCTCCGCTTTCCCTTTTCGAAAACTCGATTGTAATATCGCTCTTCGACCCAAACGTACCGTTTTCCTAGCCAAAAGCCAAAGTACTCTTAACACGCGTGGAGCACTGGTGAGCTTGCTGACCGTTGACATACAGGTGCGAAAATTGCAACTGGTATGGTCTCAGCACCCGCCATGATGCGGCTTCGGCTCTTTTCGAGATGGGGTCTATTCAGTGACGATCAAGGTATCAATGGTAAACGATGATGCATGAACCGGTGTTCGACGTTCGCGGAGTCGTGACTGCTTCCTCCACCCTCTGGTAGCAGATTGTTGCTTAGTCGCTCCACTGGCTTGAAACAGCAACGTTTCGAGTCAATGGCGGGCAGTTGGGTTACGGAGTACCAGTACCGAGACGCACCTTCTCCGCACCAGAAGCAGGCCTGACGGAATGCTCGTTCTTATGACAAGCTTCCGGTCACATGGTCAGCGGCAGCAAGGTGTCTCGGTACAGTCTCCGGATACAGCTGCTAGACGGAGGCACTTCTGCATCTACAGGAGAGGAATCAGCACGCTCCAGACGTCGTTCTGAGATTATACGGTCGGAACTTGATCCACAGGATAATACCTGCGAAAGAATCCATGCTTCACCATACCCCTCACCGAGCCATGGAGGCGAAACTAACATGCGTAGTCATTGAACAACGCACACCATGTCTCCACACGCCATGATGTACGAGTCAGCCACCAACGGCAGCTCGACTACGACGACGACAACTACTCCATCCGCGAAAATTGCTACTATGCCGCATACCACGAGCATCCCCGTCGGCGGAGCCACCAAGCCGGAGACGATCGAGGCCATGGCCGGCAATTGGAGCGACTTCCAGTTCGCTCCCATCCGCGAAAGCCAGGTCTCACGTGCCATGACCAGACGCTACTTCGCAGATCTGGACAAGTACACCGAGAGTGACATTGTCATCGTTGGCGCTGGCAGCTGCGGGCTTTCCAGTGCTTATGTCCTCGGTAAGGCTCGTCCTGACCTGAAGATTGCCATCATTGAGGCCGGCGTCGCCCCCGGTGGCGGTGCTTGGCTCGGTGGTCAGCTTTTCAGCGCTATGGTCATGCGCAAGCCGGCCGACGCTTTCTTGCGCGAAATCGGCGTGCCGTACGAAGATGAGGGCCCAGAATCAAGCTTCGTCGTTGTCAAGCACGCTGCGCTCTTCACCAGCACTGTCTTGTCGAAGGTCTTGCAGTTCCCGAATGTTAAGCTCTTCAACGCCACGGCTGTTGAGGACCTCATCACTCGCAAGGACGGCAAGGGCGGCATCCGCATTGCGGGAGTGGTCACAAACTGGACGCTGGTTAGCATGCATCACGATGATCAGTCTTGTAAGTGAACTGGGAGGTACAAATCATTTTGATACCTGGACTGACCATTAACAGGCATGGACCCGAATACCATCAATGCTCCAGTCATCATCTCCACTACTGGTCACGACGGTGAGTTACACCAACCTTCCGTCCTTACAAAGTCCGCTAATACATCCATCATAGGTCCCTTCGGCGCCTTCTCCGCCAAACGACTCGTCTCCATGAACGCCCTCTCCGCTCTCGGCGGCATGCGCGGTCTCGACATGAATACTGCCGAAGATGCCATCGTCAAAGGCACGCGTGAAATTGTTCCAGGCCTCATCATCGGCGGCATGGAGCTCTCTGAAGTCGACGGCGCCAACCGCATGGGACCGACCTTCGGCGCCATGGCGTTGAGCGGTGTCAAAGCTGCTGAAGAAGCTTTGAAGGTGTTCGAGGAGCGCAGGGCTGAGTGTGCTCCGGCTGGTGCGAAGTTGATGGCTTAGGGTGGACACGGTCCGTTTCGACAGCTGAGAGGCGCGCGAAGAGCAGAGAAACAGTAAATGGTCCGTTTAAACCAGGAAGCATAGTGATACTAGATAACGCTCATTTCAACACGACTAGTATGCAGCATGCAATGGATAGCTGCCTTCCGTGATCAAACTGCTAAAGTGTGTCGTGTTTGCGTATCATGATGCCAAGGACATTTGAGGTGCATCTGGGTGGGCATGTATCTCATACTTCAATGGCTTGAGCTGCTGTCCAAGGTCCTGCCTCTTCTACAGTGCATACGCCTGATAACCGTGACAGGCTGAACATCCTGCTGTGCGAGGATCCGGACGTTCGAGCGCGACCCATTTGGTCAACGGTCACTTTCCGCTTGCTCGTGTCTATGTTTCCGCAACGCTTCTTCGTATGGTTCAGAACCAGCATGTGCCTGTTGCGGGCTAACCCCACTGCGGGCAAGGCTGATCGAGGACCTTACCTGAGGTAGCCTTGTTCCTTCGACATGCGATCCTAAACCATTCTCTTGCTGAAGCATGTTCACTCAGTTATATCACTCAAAGGTATTCGTGTGATCACCCTCCTTTGCAGCTATCTTTGCGCCTCGACATCGCATGTGGAAACCCACCATGGCTGCCCCCCACCCACAGACGCAAGTTCAAGTAAGCACATGCAGCAATGTGCAGAACCCTCCGCGTTGTTTGACACGAAGCTGACCCTCCTACCAGCCCTGTCGTTACAAGACCGGCAAGACGTTAGGCGCGGGCTCATACAGCGTGGTGAAGGAATGCGTGCACATTGATACCGGTCGCTACTATGCGGCCAAGGTCATCAACAAGCGGCTGATGGCTGGGCGAGAGCATATGGTGCGGAATGAGATTGCGGTGTTGAAGCGGGTCTCAATGGGCCACCAAAACATTCTCACGCTTGTGGACTACTTCGAAACGATGAACAACCGTACGGCAGCTACTAAAAACGTGCGATGGGTCGGCTGAGGCTTACAGTGCCGCACAGTCTACCTTGTCACCGACCTCGCCCTCGGCGGCGAACTGTTTGACCGTATCTGCCGAAAAGGCTCCTACTACGAATCAGATGCTGCCGACCTGATCCGCGCTACTTTGTCCGCTGTCGCCTATCTTCACGACCATGGCATCGTCCATCGCGATCTCAAGCCCGAGAACTTACTCTTTCGTACGCCGGAAGATAACGCCGACCTGTTGATTGCGGATTTTGGGTTGAGCCGGATCATGGATGAAGAGCAGTTCCACGTACTGACGACCACATGTGGAACGCCAGGGTACATGGCGCCCGAGATCTTCAAGAAGTCTGGACACGGCAAGCCTGTGGATGTGTGGGCGATAGGTGTTATCACATATTTCTTGCTTTGCGGATACACGCCGTTCGACCGGGATAGCAATTTGGAAGAGATGCAAGCAATTCTTGTCGCAGATTACAGCTTCACGCCTATCGAGTACTGGAGAGGCGTAAGCTTGACGGCGCGGCAGTTCATCAAGCGTTGCTTGACGATCGAGCCGACGCAGAGGATCACGGCGCACGAGGCGTTGATGCATGAGTGGATCGCGGGTCCGCAGTCTGGCCGCGGTGAGGAGGATCTGTTGCCGACAGTGAAGAAGAACTTCAACGCACGGCGGACGCTGCACAAAGCCATTGACACGGTGCGCGCCATCAACCAGCTCCGCGCCGGTGGGTTAGGGATGATGGACGGCATTATGTCGAAGCAGCCGAAGAAGATGGCGCCGAAGGAGCAGCAACCGGCTTCGGAGGATGATGTGCATGCCAATGGCCAGATGTCGCAAGACGTGGAGATGACCGACGCTGACGGCACAAACGGTAGTGCCGATAAGGTCGACTCCTTTGTGTTGGACCCGAGAGGGCATGGTAAAGGCCAGAGTGACGCACAAATCAAGGAGCAGCAGAAACGGATAGAGGAGACGCAGAAGGGTCTGTGGCAAGCTCGAACGTCGCAGAGAGCGTAGCACATTTTCCTCTTTGCCACGGCTGTCTTTGTTCCTCGGAGCATGCAGAATGACATACATGTTGAGTATACTGGACAGCTGCGACGGAGTTTGGTATCCGCCTTGACGGTGTCTGTGGCGGTCGAGCTTTTCAGCGGCGTAATCTTCGTCTTCGGCGACATGTAGCGACTGGGTCCACACACTCTCGGTCTCGAACCGCATAACCTCGAATCGTCAGTGGCCACAAGTGTCATGAACATCATACTTTTCATCGCAAGTGCCACTCTTCGCATTCAAAGTTTGCGTAGCACCGAAATTCGTTCGATAAGCCCTTGCTATGTTCCGGCTCAAAGGTGGTCATCCTGACACCAAGCTTGTCATATAGCTTAGAGATCAATTCGGCCATCCGCTCACCCGTACAAGACATGAAGCGCAGCCCGCCCTTACCGCCATCCCAGCTACTCGCGAGGAAGCGGACGGTTAACGCTGTCTTCGTCTGGCATTCTTCGGACAAGAATGGCGGATCGCAGATGATGCGGTCGAACTTGCCTTTCAACTCCGGAGGCGGAGAAAGCGGACGTTGGAAGTCGTAATACACAAAGTCAGACCCGAAGACTTCGAAGCGTCTGTCGTACTCCAACAATTTGATCGTTGGCTTTTCGGCGGCATCTTTCGCGTTCAAGAGATTCCGTAGGGCAACGTATACACTGGGCGCAGATACAACTGCAATGCAACTATGACCGTCTGCCTCCGCAAGAAGCTGCTCAGCTAACAGGCGAGCCGTGGCGTCGGTATACCAGAACTGTGAAGTCTGCCAGTCCTCGCTGAACATGTCCATGGAGAGGTGACCACTTGCATGTTGAAAGTCGGTCTCCGCTTTCGCTTTCAGCTCCTCGAACTGCTTGGTCTTGGTGTCCTTCTCCGCGAGGAACGCATTTAGCGTGGCCAGAGTGTCTGATGATAGCGTAGGCACTTCATCATCGTCATCGTCCATGTTTCTTGATTACAGCCCAGCCCAGCACGGTAATCCCACTCATGACCTTGGATATGGAGCGGTCATGTCATGATAGTGACTGCTCCAATGAATGAGATATTGCGGGAGTGGCAGAAACAAAGCGAAACAGAGCGAGTGGCGCAGCGAAGGCCACAACGGCCGGCTTGTCCTGAAGCCGACCTGAAGCGCGCGCATGCTGACACAACTCAGATCCATCTACCTCTCTCCATTTCCACCACCTACGTATTCGTCGTCCTCATATTCCGCCCGCCGCGATACACACCTCCTCCACTGCTGTCATTGACTGGCAAACTTCAGCAAACAGTCTATTGGAGCGATGAGTGGTCAGCGTTACGAGCGGGTAAGCAGTCGACTGCCCTTTCGCCTCCTTATCGCAGAGCCTCGGCACCCATAACAACGTCGCAAACTGACAGTATGCGTGTACAGGTAGCAGCAGACGATGTCGACGAACATGCGATTGCGCCTAATATAAACAACGATGTCCCGAACTCGCCGCCACCTTCCTTCCGCTCGCGTGCCAGCTCCGGCCGGCCTTCATATGATGACGCACACCAAAGCGAAGAGCAGCGGAATCTCAACGAGGCTTTCGATGCGCCTTCAGATGACGAGGACGACGAGCACAATCCCCATGACCAGCGAAGATTAATATCTGGACCGCAATCACCTAACGCCGAGACTCCGACTACAGATGAGGCGCAGCAGAGACCAGCAGTGGGAGCGCGGCGGGTCACGGAGATACCAGTCTTCCAGCCCACAGCACCTAGCGGTAGGGTTGTGGGCGGTGGCAGTAACGACGGCGTGTGGGCAAATCTGAACGCAAAGCCTCGCGCCGGTGACGATTTGGAGGAGAAACCGCCGACCTACGAACAAGCAGCCGCAGACGCAACGCCACCCTACTGGGAAACGACCGTGCTGTCACCGTACGCCTCGACCGGCAATCCGGACGATGTCTTCGTAGACGGTCTGCTTGTGGGCAGCCTCTTCTCCTTCGTCTGGAACGCTCTGATCTCCATGTCCTTCCAGCTCATCGGGTTCTTACTTACCTACCTTCTTCACACCACGCATGCTGCCAAGCATGGCTCTCGGGCGGGCCTGGGCATCACGCTCGTACAGTACGGCTTTCAGATGCGCTATGCGGCTTCACGTGGCGCAGACCCCGGCATGCCGTCAGCGCCGGTGGACGGCGTGCCAGACGATCCAAATGCGCATGACTTTGCTTCCAACCAGGTCGCAACCGGAGGTCCCGGCTCGCCGGTCGATGCAGCTGCTGGGCTATCGACGAGCGACTGGTTGGCGTACGTCTTGATGATTGTTGGTTGGTTTATCTTGATTCGGGCAGTCTCCGACTTCATGCGTGCCAGGAGGCAGGAGCAGCTTGTACGATCGAGTCCGGACAGAGGGCTTGGAGTTGCTGTCGTAGCTGAGGGCGAATCTCCGGAAACAAGCGCATAATGTTTAGTGTAACGCGCAGGCATGCAATGACTTTACGCAGTGCAAGGCGTTTCGGGCTTTGGGTGGACCTACCTTCGCGACGACATGGGCTCATGACTCGCCTTCTATCTTACGAACTTTTGTGGCGAGCATTATTCGTCCTTCGCATGCCTGTCAGTCAGTGCTCGATGCTGCAACTTCGTCAAGCACCTGGATCACGAGCGACAAGTCTCGTTCGACGTCAACCCGCCAACTCGCCACAGCAAATCTTGCCGCTGGCTTCCCTTGCCACGTTGTTCCGCTGATGTAGATCCTTCGGGAGGAGTTGATGCGTTTCACGAGCTCTGTGCTGAGCTTGTCACCTTTCGCCCGAAACAGCACGATGATGTAGATGTTTTGCAGCCTGCGGCATATCTCGCTGTCCTCGCCCATCGGGAGCAGCTCGAAGTATTTGGGCCTGGCCACGATCGCCGCCGCGATTGCTCTCGCGAGGCGTATCTGCCGTTCCATCATATCCCTGTGTCCTTGTCTACCGTACGCGGCGAGTGTGGCGTATACGGGTAGGGCTCGGAAACGTCGCGAATTCTCAATTCCAATGTTCAGCGGTGATGGAATGGCACGATCCGTAGACGCCGTCGTTTCTGACGAGGCAGTATTGAGGTATGCCGCGTTGGGGTTCTGAAATACCTCGATTGCGAGGTCAAGGCGCTTCGAGAGCATAATGCCACAGTCATACGGCTAACGTTCGCTGGAAGTCAGGGCTCCGTTAGAAAGTACGATTGATCTGTAGACTTACCACATTGAGCAATTTGTGCGCATCGCCAGCTATGGAGTCAGCAAGTTCTAGTCCTGCCACGCCATCCTTCACTTCTCTAAACTCTTCGCTCTCTGGCAAAACCCTGGCTAGTAGACCGAACGCGGCGTCGACATGCAACCAAGCCCCATACTGATCGCACAGCTCACGAATTTTACGCATATCGTCTCCATGAGTGGCAAACAATCCCGTATTAACCTCTGCGCAGGAGATAACCACGATTGATGCTGTACAATCCTGCTTCAAATGCCAGGCAAGCGCCGAGAGGTCGAATTGATGTAGCTTGTCCTTTCGACTGATATCAACGACGCTACTCCTCCCGAGACCCACGATTGAAGCTGCTTTTCGAAGCGACGAATGCGGCACGGTGGTCAGGATCTGAATGGACTTAAGACTTGCAGCCTTCATTGCACTGAACAGTCCAGCATCGGCGACAGTTGAAAGATGCTCGATCTGGGCTCGCTGCTGCGCTTCGTGTATCACGAACTGTCGACCCAAAGCCAGCCCTACAACGTTACTGGCAGTGGCTCCGGTGGTGAATGTTCGGTGAGGCCAATCTGCCGGATGGAAGTCCAGTAGCTCGCAGAGCATGGACGTTGCGCGGTCTTCGACGACGGTGCAGATGGTCTCTTTGGGCAGATGCACCTGAACATTCTGATCCATCTCGGTCACGACATTATCAGCGAAGGCTGCCGTCGGTGTTACGCCACCAGTCACAAAGCCGTAAAAGGTAGACGACTGTGAGGGTTTATTGAGTCCTGGAACAACATCGTCGCGAAGATGCCTGTTGGCAGTCCCTGTACCCAAGCCAGCCGACGGAAGATTGGACAGGAGCTTCGATCGGGCAGTCTCGACGTCATCTGGGCGAGGAAGGACAAAAAGATTACCTGTCTCTTGCGGAAGCTCAGCCGCCATAGTAAAACGGCTGAGGGGAAATGTCTCCGCTCAGGATTGATATTGTGAAGTAAACTCGTGTAGTGTGTCTGAACGAACGCCTTTGGCCTACTCACCGCTGCCTGAACGTTACTACCTCCGGAAGAACATCGACTAATGGCCAGGAGATTTAAGCGGACGGCAATATGCAGGGTGCTGATCTACCAGCTTCCGTTGACCTAGTCTTGTCCCTAATGCTACGTGTTGGCGCTGTAACGGACGAACAGTGTAATTGGACGCTTCAGGTGCTGGAGACGGAACAGCCCCAGACCTGATCGAGATGCGCGTATCATTGGGCCGGTACCTTCCGCTCCTACTGAATGTGCTTACGAGCGCCCTCTATGTACATGTATGGCACTCCTGGCTGTGTTACCATTTTCGATCCAAGCAGAACTTTACTAGCGATTGCGTTACTGGCGTCGCATATTTGGCTGAGTTGACTCACTCGATGTGTCGAGCCTTGAAGATTCAAGGATTAGCCCTCCTAGGAAGGCTGTCTCTTCTTCCAGACCTGTACTATGTCTACCGCCTTCCAGCAGCTGTAACACAACGCCACACGACTCGTAGCTCTAAGGCAAGTCGTGGCCAGCCGGCACGCCAGGCCGAGATGTGACGGGGCGCGCGACAGCGAAGCCAACGAGGGCAGTGCTGTCTGTCCTGTTCGGTCAAGATGTAATTGCGTGTCGCGCGGTGGCGTCGATCGAGTGCGATATGCTTTGTGTGTGCGCTGCAGTACTTCATCCTTCGATCCGCATGGTTTCGCCGACTGCTAGGAACTTGACCTCTGGAACCCTCTGCTCAGCCGTTGCCGCTTTTGCAGCTTTGTCCACGAGCATGCTGACCACTTCCTCCGGAGAGTACCGTGTGCCCTTGATCCATCTGACGGAAACACCTCGATTTTCTTTCGCCTCGTCATGTGCACTGATCCAATACCGCGCTCGAGTTCTCACGGCGACGTCGGTTCCGCCGGGCGCACCTCTGGCAACCAAACCACCCATAAACCATGGATTCCGCTCCGAATTGACGCAGTGGAACAGTGCAGTGACCGGCAATGCACTTAACTGGTCGAGGTGACTTTGCAGGTATGGAGCTAGTGCGGAGAAGGACAGACCATGTGGTGTATAGATGGCGGAGATTGTCTTCTCCTTGTGGTTGCGCGTATTGGCCCCAAGCTGCGAGTCGATCCGCGACAGAGCCGGACTCGGTAGGCGCGGGATGTCTGTCATACTGTTCGAGCGATCTATACCGAACATCGGTGCAGACACTGAGGCTGGTACATTGTTCAGCGTCTTCGTAGAGCGAGCCTTTCGCACCGTGTGTGGCTTCTGTTTCGTCGGCACGATGCTGGTAAGATCAACACAATCTCCATCGTGTGAAGTCAGCAAAGACCCCGGTGGTCGGTAGGTGATACCAATAGCATTGTGCAAGCCGGTTATGTCCCGCCTTGTAGGCACATTCGCAATCGTTATTTCACCAGCAGAGCTTGTATGAGTGTACGGCGCCAGCGGAATCTTGAACAGCGCATCTGGCTTTTCCGGGCAGTATGGTCGTATGATGCGAACAACGCCTGGCTCGAAATGTCTCCAACTTTCGATCTTCTTTGCCGCAGCTGGCGTCGCAAGGATCTGTGTCCGAGTGTTTTTTGGCAGAGAACATAACGTCTTACGATGGCAGTGATCAGGCTTATCTTGACTTATGATGATTACATCTGGTAGCTCCCGCAAGTCTGCCAATGATTTGACGGCGACCTTCGAGGTGTGCCTAGACACTTGAAATGTTGGATGCAAGATCGACGACTGGCCGGAGAGCCATGCTGGTGAAAGTGAGCAAGCATATTAGAGTCATCAGCTTGTGCAGAGTACACTAACGATCTAGCAATATTGTATATGCGCCCGGGAACTTGCGAACAATGTTGCCTTTCTTAGGTGCAAAAGCCGGCGCAAAGGCCAGCAAGAATGTCGTGTCATCGTTCAATTTCTCGACAGTCAGTGACATGGTGAGCAGGCAATTGCGCGCCCTGGCACAAGAGCACCGGCAACGTTGGACAGAGCGGGAGGGTCGGTGGAAGAAGCATGACAGAGTACAGGACGTGAAGAAAGGCGCAAACCTTTACAGTTCCGTATTATTGTGCTACATAAATGTGACAAATTGATGCACGACGGAACACGACAGGCTGCAGGCGACACCTGGGGTTTCTGTACGATGACGGAAAGGGATGTCTCTGCAGGTCCCAGTTAAGGCGCGAGTTCCGTTGCTGTGCCAACGAAAGGTGCATCAAAATGGCCACATCCACGTGCACAAGCGCATGCAGAGTGTCAAAACTGTAAGCGACCACATATCTTCGCTCCGTAGGAATGGTATGCAATGTGAGTTGAGATAGGTGCAGTATGTTGGAGCCGTCGTTCCCAACGCCATGTCCTGCACCCGGCCCACGGATAACTCAACGTCGTTCCTTTGTGGCGACCACGGACGACGACACATGCACGACCGAGATAGAGTACACCAGAGCGGTACAGAATGACCATATTAGTGCACCACCAAAGCGGCCACGAATAGCTGGCAAAAGGGCAGGACAGCTGGCCAACATTAGGATCTTCGAAGATGTTATTGAGTGCCAGGAGCTTCAGCTAAATGGGCAAGCGCAGTCTGCTCGGAATGTTCTCCTGGCGAGGCCTGCACAGAGGCTGCCCGCACATGCCGTTCACGGTGTCGGCAAACACGAAGCAGAAGATGAGGATAAGGAAGCGAAGGAACGTCCTTGCCACGTGACGGGCCATAGCCGACCGCGGCCGTCACCTCTCTTCGGTACACAGCGTGGCAACAACTGTCCACGAGGACGAGAAGGCCGTGGTCAAGAAAGTCCACCAAGGGACGCTCGACGTCGAACCATCTTCGTGCCGTCCGACGACACCACTATTCATACCATCCATCCCGGCGCGGATACTACGGCTAGGCTGAACGATACCTTTCATGTCCCTTCCTATGCTACCTGTATGCCACGACCTGACGAGAGGCAGCCAGTTGCAGAGGCAAATGTGTTGAAGACTTCTCGGCAGTCTCTCGCAGTCGCCCCGAAGAAGAGGCCGTTGCAACAAATATCGATCACGCAGAATAGACCTGCAATTCATATTGCAGGTAAGAATGGTGGTAAAGAGAACGCACCTCCGGACGCCCGCCTAGCGGTGGTATTAACGGAAAAGAAGGTTATGAAGGTGCCAACCGTGGAAATAGAATCTCTGAAGACAGCCAACGCCCGCACCAAGCTACACGAAGCAACAGCGGCATCCCAAGCGCGGCAGGCGTTTACAGTCCGCAAGTCTGTGTCTGTACTCCACAAGAACAGCGCCCACCAACAGCCGAACACATGTAGAGCACCTGCATCTGGACCCGGAAGCCTGACGATACGACCAGAGTCGCCGGTGGTGGTCGCTCAGAAGCCGAACAGGCCGGTACGCGTATTCTCTCAGAGACTGACCGGTAAACGCGCGAGCAGCAAGGCTGGACCGAAACCGCGAAATAGGGTCATGGAGGAGAACTTTCCACCTCGCCACTTGCTTCAGTATCCTGTGCTTTCAGAGAACGTTTCGGAGCACCAGCTCTACGACGATGGCTGGCTCAGTCACGAGGAGATCGCCATGACGGAATTGCTCAACGAGATCTTTACGCGTGGAGATGCAAATGCAACAGCAGGGTCAGGCATAGCGGCTTCGTTGCGAGAGCGCATGCTCGATATCTATCAGCAACCGACCGTGACAGCGCTGCACAGCCGGCTTCGAGCTTCGCTGCTTTGCGGTGCGCTCAGCAGGCCCAAGGATATGCCGTCGACGCCGGATCTCGTTCAGGACATCGGCTTGCGGAAGCGCTTTCTCCACTTCTGGCTGCATAGCTATAACGAGGACGCTCTTCAAGCCGCGGCGGAGGTCGTGGTTGGCAGGCAATCAACGTTGCAGGCTTGCGAAGTGGAGGGAAGCCTCGAGGCCATCGAAGGCGTGATTGACAAGTCGAAGAAGAGACGTGCGCTTGTACGCTTCCTCGAGACGTTCTTCGTCACGATTCAGGATATTGCCCCTGACACGAACCACAACAGCCCGGGAAACCTGGGCGATAGATGCTGGAGAAGGACGATACAGCGGAGCTTGCTCATGATATGGCTACTGGATCGTGCGAAGGCGGCTGGCATCGTCTGTGGCCGCTTGTTTAAGCGTAACTCCCCTTACAAGTCTTCTGCGGCAGTCGTACACGCCCTTTCTGGTTTACTGATCCCATCAATTGGAGACATTACGCGCCCTTTACGACACCTTGAGTACTTTGTGGACCATGAGCAGGATCCGCTGGATGATGTTGACTATCGCATCAGGAACCTCGCGGTGGACTTGCGGGATGGCATCCTCCTCACGCGGCTTGTTGAGCTGCTCTTGTTTAAGCAGGATCAGACTTCGCAGGGTGTACAGATGGATCAACCAGAGGATAAAGTGACCATTACGCTGGCGGATGCGTCAGTCCTTGGCACTACGTTCTCTGCTCATGATGACTCATGTCCGACGAGATCGCTTTCCCAACATCTTAAGATGCCATGTCCGGGCCGTGCGCAGAAGGCGTACAACGTCGACGTAGCGCTCAGTGCTCTGGCAACTCGGAACGGGCGCGGGGCCGCAGCAGGTGTAGATGTTTCGGCGGACGACATTGTCGATGGTCACCGAGAGAGAACGCTGAACTTTCTGTGGGCTATCGTATCAGAGTATGGGCTGAGACAGCTCGTTGACTGGGAGCAGCTAGCCGCTCACACCAGACGTCTTCACCAAGATGACACCGGTCCTGCGCATGGGTACGGATCCGTGGACGAACGGAAGAAGCTTCTCGAGCTCTGGGCGGCCAGATGCTGCAAGGGTACAGCATGCCAAATCAGTAACCTGACCACTTCTTTCGCAAACGCTAAGGCGTACCAAGCAGTCTTGAGTGCATTCAGCAGCATCATACCCTCTACCGACGGCGACCTATCAGCTTGCTGTCCCCCTAAGGCCCATTCGAGGCTTGAGATGCAGCTGAGGGGTATTGGCTGCAGTACGGCGTTCATCAAGCAATTGACAGACGCATCTGTTCCCTCGCATACAAGGACTGTCTCGAACCTTGCGTTGTTGGCCTCTCGTCTAATGCCGCTTGCCCGCCAGCACGACGCCGTCGTGCTCATTCAGCGCACATTCCGACTTCATCGGTTTCGGGAGACGTTCCGCAGGCGCGTGGTCACTACGCGGCTGGCGCATGCTTGCGCTGCTGTAGCCCAAGGAAGAGAAAGACTCCTGTGGGCTGTCGGAGTGCTGCAGCGGTCCTGGAGAGCTGTTCTTGATGCAAGGATCCGCAGATTGAACAAAGACGTAGAGCCTTTCCAGGCTTCGGCTCGAGGCTGGTCGGCACGCCTCCACCTGCGGAAGAAAAGGGCTGATTATTCGCGCGGCAACCTCCTGCATAGCGCAATGGGTGGGAGATAGCTGTAGATTGTGTAGACACGCCTAGCAGACGATGTGAGTCACGCTCGAATCACCCGCCTTGTCCCCGCCTCCTCTGGTAGCAGTCTAGTTGTAATGATGGTTTGGGTGGCGAACAATCGAACATTCGTAGGATGTTTGCTGTTACACCTCAGAACACTGCTCCTCCTATGATGAACACGCGTTCCTCTTCCCTACGTATCCACTGGACGACCCTGTTAGCACCTTGCGCTAGCTGTGCCCTTGTTGCCTGCCGTCCGGCCACGCAGTATAGCTCGAATAGTGGCGTTTCCCAAGCTAATGCCGTCGCGTCTTGCGAGATAACGTGCTGTACTTTGAGGTGTGAAGTTCGTGAATGCACGCTTTCGTGCAAGTCACCATATAAGCACATCAATCTCCGCTTTGCTACCAAACCGTGAAAATGCGGCTCGAAGGAAGGCATGGTGAACTGCACATTACCACGAGATTTGTAGAGGAAGTGGCGGAGGACGGTACCAGGCACGATATCCGAACACGAAGCGTGTCCTTTACGGATGGCAGTCTTGATCACGGTCATACTCCCGTTGTTAGTCAATTGCTGGATAAGCTCGTTGCGCATCTTGCGCAGTTCGAAGAATCCTTCCTTATCAGCGCTGATGAGCACAATGGCCAGCTCGTCATCGGCACCGGCAGAAGCAGGCCGTTCGTTGGCAGGAGCAAGATCACTGCCATCTGCAGTAGAGAAGAAGCTGACATACATATACAGGTAGCCGGTGTTGTTGAAGCCAGGCAAGCATATTGGAATCCAGTTCTCGCCACCGCCAGCTTTGACACTGCCGGCCTCAAACAACATGTTGAAGATGAGGTGCAAATCTCCTGGATGCAATGAGTGCTTCTTGGGCCGGACCACGCTAACCAGACGACCCGCAGCAACGATGAGGCCGTATAAAAGGTGCGGTGACCGTACTTTTAGCAGGGTGTCATTGACTGATCGTCTGTGCGTTTTGCGAAGGCGCAGACATTCAAGCGCGGACAGTAACGTCGACGGCGAGCCACGTGTGAAGCCGTCCGCCAGGCCATCCAGAAGAATATCCGTGCCTTGCAACGGCCGTCTCAGATCGGTTGATGGTCGTTGAGAGAACATCTTCTCCATGCTCGGCAGCGTTAGAGTTGACAGAATCTGCATATACAGCGACTCAAGCTGTGTTCGCAGTTGTGCGTCACTCTCGCCTAAACGACTGACTGCGATGAGATTGAGCGGACCTTTCGCTAGCATCACGAAACGAGCGTCACCGGCTGTGAATGCTCGCAAAGGGTCATCGGCGCCTTGGTAGAATGAGATGAGCGTCTGTGCAACTCCGATGTAGTGGCTAATAACCTGATCGTCGCCGTGCCGGCTATAGATGGGCTTGCCGGAAGCAGAGAGAACGAAGAAGTGCTTAAGCTTGGCTTTCCACAGCTCAAGAAGGTCCTGTTCGTCCGTACCGGCCTGCTTACCTGCAGCCACATCTTCGAACTCATGCTGTATCTGAATGCTGATAGGGTCATCTTCCAGCGTAACGGCTTCGAATGGATTATCTCGCTCGATCTGGGCGTTGAGAGCCTTCCACGCCGGCGTTGACGCGCTCTCTAAGACCTCGCCGATAAGGCTCTCGCCGTCAGTCCGAGTGTCGAGAGTCGGCGCGTAGCTCTTCAAGCTTGCAGAGTCATCGCCACCGCTGTCGCTGTTACCCGGAAACCGACCTATACGGGAGGCGCTTTGCCGTCGGGAGGCAACACGGCTGACTGGACATGAATGTAGACTAGCTGAGTCGACACGGTGTTGCGTATGGACGTCAGCCAGCGAAAGAGCGGTAGTAGCTTGTGAAAGCAACTGAGGGCGGGAAGCGCGCTTGGATAGGCGAAAAGATCCTACATTCGCAGTGGGCGATCGGCCTTGAGCATCTACTCGTGGTCGTGGTGGTAGTGGCGGTGGTGTTAGCTCGCGAGACTGCTCTAGAGGGTCGATGTCGCCATCGGCGGGCTTGCTATGCTTGTCATCGCCGGCCTTGTCGGGCGGCACTTGCGCAGCGGCTGCTTCTGATGTCGTTGCCGTCTCTACGCCATCGGCATCGGACATTCTTCATTGCTTGCATGGCCCTACAAAACGCGCAACATGATTGGAGAGGTAGCATTGAACTTTTGTGTTGATGCAAGAGTAGATGCCTGAGGTGTTCGCGTCACGCCTGCAGCCACTCTATGCGGTGGACGAGGGTCCGCTTTCTCTCCTTCGCTTTCACCATCACTTTGATATCTAGGTTGTAGTGCATAAGAGTCTGTACCCGCAGCCACGAGCTCTGACATACCCGTTCTGGACGAGGGGAAGATGCATGTGTCGCGAGGGTTGCGTGCCGCAGAACGCCTCCTGAAGAGGAGCTACTTCATACCGCCTTGAGCTCCAAAGGACGAGAAACATCAATCTTACTTCACGAAGGCGGAGGGAAAATCACCGCTCTTTCGATCTCCTAGTGTAACGAAACTCGGAAATATACTTGAAGTCCACGGTCATGGATCAGGTCAACGGACGTCCAAAGATCAAGGACGAGCGCAAACTGAGCAAGCGGCCACGTCTCAGCGGCGAAGCGTCCGCCACTATAGGTACGAAGTGTGCCGATGGGACTACAGCGGTAGAGGTCGACATCATGATCTTGGACTATCTCGCGTATCAAGCGATAACAGCGTGCTTAGCGGAACGCCAGCGAGGTGATCGTGAGAACGCTCGTGTCTCGCCTGCCCACAACCTGGCCATGACAGAGGCCTTCTTCCAGTTGTTCGAAGCCCAACACAAACCCGTCAATCTTGACGCCGAGCTCCGCTTCCGGTTGCTACTTCTCCAGCTTACAACGCTGTTCACTCAACGCTTAATCCGCAACCCTTCAACGCCTTCTCGGCCAAGCCTCAATGAGCTCCGCCAAAGCAATGGGATCCGTGCACGCACCTGGATTGGCAGTCCTGAGCGCATTCCGTCCGTATCGAACGATACTAACGTGTACGATGATCCGGCCGCGTTCTCCAAATTTGACGAGCTCGAGCGTAACCGCGCACACGTGCTCCACTCGCTCGGCATCGCCGCCGAAGACGAGCACTACGAGGACGCATTCTACGGCACTGCCGATTGCGTGGCGTTGCTTGACCTGCTGCCTCTCTTTATGCAGGTCTCGGCTGCCAGGCTCGCCATGATGGCTGTGAGTGTGACGGAGGTATGGATGCAGATCGCTGCTGCGTTCATGTTGCAAGCCTGTCTCGAGCAATATCTTGTCATTGGCGCTCAAGGCACCGACGCCATTGATGAGGCGTATGCATGGGGCTTTAGAGACCTCGACTCGAGCGCGCCGAGCGAGTCAAAGGCGACGGAGGGTGACGCTGAAGCATGGATCGATGAAGTCAATGACATGTTTACCGACCCTGTCTATGAGATCGAAGTCAAGCCATGGGCTGCAATCAAGCAAGTTCACCTCGGTCAGCTGTTTCCGCCTCGTGGCCCGGAAGTTGAAGTGCCATCAACTGATCGCAACGAAATTGACGCAAGCATGGGTGAGCACCGTGCACCAAACCTGACATCTCATCTTGAGTCAGTCGCCGCACAGCATCCTATAGCGGCCTTTGAAGAAAGCATGCTCAACTACCTCGAAGCACTGTCGCAGAGTGTACCTCAACCCGTACTGGCTCAGCTCGACAACGGCAGGCTAGATGGGATGTCCGCAAGGGAAACGAGGGAGTTTATTCGAGACTGCGGCGTCAGCACGGCACGCTTCTTCGAATCACCCTTTGGATTTAAGGCTCTGTCTTCGCAACATGGCCACTCGAAGGAGCAAGAAAAGGCTCAAAAAGCAAGACGAAGTGACACTAGCGATTAAATGTGATAGTAAGCATGCACTTGACGTATTCAATCAATCTCTATTGCGCGTGTGGAGAAAACTGCGGCAGCCCACTGACTCCGTCGTATCTACATCAAAATGCGTCCGTGCGCAGATAAGGAGGGACGTGCTTCTGAAGCGCATAATAAGCAGCTTCGCAAGATGGTAAACCGCAGAAAGACTTTTGATCGCAACTCTTCGATGAGCCATCTTTCTGTGACGATGGCACGCATAGACAGAATCAACGCAACATCGTTCGGCTTCTTCAGCCTTGGTGAGCGACATGTGCAGCCTCCAACGCCATGCGATGCCCTCTAAAAGCGTGCCGTCCCGGCTAGTACTCCGTCTTCTTAACCAGAGGAGTAACCCAAATAGAAATCGTTGCAATCGTAAACAGCGCACGCGCTTCGTCAGACGCACCCTCTTCTTGCAGCGCGCCCTCCTCCTTCCCACATCGCAGCATTTCATCGGAGCTCCAGTTGGAAGGGCTTGAAGTTGCTGTCCATCCCGCTACACCGCGGACACATGCTCATTCTGCCCCGGCTCTGGCCGTTGATGATCGCTTCCACGCAGTTGCCGCACAGCCCGCAGATGCAATTGGTGCAGGCGTAGCTCTCTTTCAGAACACTGAGCCTCCGGCAGCCGGCGCAGTATATCTGGACGGGAGAGGCGGAAGTGTACAAAGGCGACGTCGTGTTCGAGTCACCGGTGGTGATAGAGTTCGGGTTCATGATGTGGAATTGTGACCCCGTGGAGTCGGCACTAGAGGCGTGATGGTGATGGGATACAGCGGAAGAGAGCGAAGAGTCGACCGATGCAAAAGGCTGAAGGTCCGCCAGACCTGGGTCGGGCGGTGGAGGCGTGAGTGCGCGGTTCAGCGGTGATGCTTGGAAAGACTGGAACTGGGAGCCGAGTGCAAATGGAGGTAGCGAAGTGCGCGAGGCTGCTTGCGGTGATTGATATGGTGATGCGGGGATCTGCTATGGTCAGTCTGTGCAGCGCTCATGCAGCTTCTACATTGCTCACCGGTGTTAGATCTCTCGAGCCCTCCTCTTCGGTGGCGCTCGTCGCAGCATCAATCAGATCCTCCCACCTCTTGCCATACAAGGCTGCGGCGCTGCTGGGCTCGGCAGAGAAGGCTTTCCTATCGCCACTGTGCCGCTTCAGCTCTTTCGACCGCTTGCGCTCGTGCTTAGCGAGCCGTGCTTGTTGGCTAAGGCTACTCTTTCTTGGTCTGTTCGGCTGATGCCGTGACGTACTTCGCTGCAAAGGCGGTAGCGTCGAAGGCCGACCTGGCGGCGAGCCTGCAAGAGTGCTGGGTAGTAGGCCGGAGTGGTCCTGCAAACTGTGAAATGGATCATGATGTGACAACCCGCCTTGGTCTGTGCCAAGAATGTTACCATCCTCCAACGCAGGATCTACTCCGAAGTGATTGGTCTTCAGCTCGTTGTTCTGGTCGGCGTAGAAGTTCTGAAGAAAGTCCGCTTCAGTAACAGTCGGCGACAACTGTATGGAAGGGAACGTAATCACCTGTCCCATGCCATCGGTGTCTCCCCAACCTGCGGAGTCAGGCCGGTGGTAATGCAGCTGTGCCAGCGCAGCAGCCGCGGACGCAGCGGGGATGAGCGACCCACGCCGATACTCATCCGACGAGCGCTGCGCGGCTTGCATACTGTTGAAGATTGCGGCAGCCTCGGCGTCGCCGGTGGTGTAGTAACCGCCGTCATGCGAGCCGAGCGGCTGATAGCCTTCGAAGGAGCTCAGCCCTGCGCCTGCGTCAAGGTTGAACAAGGCAGGAGGCTGACCTGACGGATCGGTATGCTGCGACGGGGCTGGGGGTGGGAGCGTGACAGGATTGCCATGAGTGTCTTGTGGTGGACGCTCGTGGGGAGGGGTGTTGATCATGAGTTCGAAGCTGTCCTTGGTAGCCGGGAGCTTCGGAATATAGTATTCCGGATGCGCACGGCGGATGTGCTCCTGCATGGAGCGGAAGCGCTTCTCCTAAAACACGAGGCATGGTTAATTACGACGACTGTCTATCGAACATGAAGACGACGAGGTGAACTGAGGACTCACGCCAAGACATCGCTTGCGACAGCTCGAGCCATCCTGGTTGTGCAGCGGACAAACGACCTCATTGTTGAGGTCGGTGACAGAGAAGGTCGAGGTCAAGTTGGAAGCTCGAGATGATGGCGGCGGCGGCATTGCTCAAGCTGCACATGTATCCAGCAAACAAACAGCACCCGCGGCCGCCGGGACACGCAAGAGCTGCGAAGCTGTGACCGTGCGGAGCTGTGGTGAGGAGCTCGAGTAATGTCGTCGACCTGTAGGGCAGGTCCGGGCGGCTCACTGCTCACTCGATCGGGTTCGAGCTTGACGCTCTAGCAGAGCTCACGGTGGGAAGCTACTCGGTCGCGGTTTCCTCGCTCCCTTGCTCGCCCTTGCTTGCTCCAGCTTCGTTGGCTCCTGATTTGGTGGAGCTTGATGTGAAGCTTTGGCAGTGCCACGATGAGGCGCTCGAGTAATTCTCACGTTCAAGCTGCTATCAATGGTATGCGACCTTCTGTTCCGTGCGAAAGAGCACAGGATGCGAAGGAGGGGAGCGGGGTCTTCTGATGCAGCAAGCTTATCGCCCCCAATACTAGGCCTTTTACGTTCAAAGCAGTTGACCAATGAACGTCAGCAAAATGGCAACGGCGACACTCTTGTGCTGAAAGGGCCGAAGTCATCAGGGCAAACAGCCGAGCAACACGATGTCAAGTAAAACTGATTGTGAGGTGAGGTAAGGCGTCCCGTCAAACATGGCTGTTGATATGGGGCGTGCAGTAAGTCTGATGCTCGAGCGAGGTAGAACTCTCGCAGATATAATGTGAGCGTCCAGCGTCTCTGCTGGGCCCACGAGAATCACTCCTCTACATCGGGTATCTCACTTCGCCACTCAGGTAGGCGAGGGTAGAGGCGACCTGAACAAGTGACGCAACTTGATCCAGCATCAATAGACGTTGCGACTTCCCCGAAACTCCCTCGTCTCAGTCTGCAATGCTCGAACAAGCTCTGGGCCCGCGCCCGAGAGTGGGGTTACTCTGACTTGGGTGAGACGATAGGTTGCGATCGCCGACCGTGCATTGGTCGCTCGTAAGGCTGATACTGTATGCCTGGCGACGACGCACTTACTGGGTCCGCTATATTGAAGTTTCACCATGTTTGAGTAGTGTTATCATCTTCTTGGCTCGAGCTGGTCTCGACATGTCAGGCAACCCTTTCCGCCGTTCGCAAGGGAGCAGGCTTCCTGACGATGCGGCGCATGCGGACGCGGTGACGGCCAATCGTAAGCAGACCTTGAGCAGCGACAGCACGGTCATGGCATGACCTGGTGACACCGGTACTGATGATAGACAAGACATCGCAAATGCCAACACCAAGCCGAAAAAGAAGAAGCGAGTTGTAATTCAGACGCCGCCACATTCTCCCGAAGAGCCCAGCATTCCACGGAGGCTGTCGGACGGAAGGACCGGATCACCTCCACCACCAGTTATTGTTCGCGACGACCACGAGACAGACTCGACGACAACGGCCGATTCAGACCTAGAGCAAGCGCTCGTCAACACCAGACGCAACTCTGGCGGATCAGCTATCCCAACGCTGGCGGCATTTGGCGGCCAGTCCGGACCACGAGCGCCGTACAATCCATTTGCGAAGACCCTTGCGACGTCAGAGGCGAAGTACAGCAGCACTCAACCAGAAGAGAAGGGAGCAGATCGCACTATCAATGGAGATGGTTCAGATGGAAGAAGCGCGGGACGGCCGATGTTGGATGTAGATGCGTTCACGCAGATACTTCTGAAAGGGAAGGCGCCACCGCCTCATCCAACCTCAGATCCCGTAAATAGAGCGCCGGACAACAACAGCAGTACCGACACATCAACGTCATCCAGGCAGTCCACCTTCGATTCGATGGACGAATTCCATCCCGAGTCTCCAAGGACATCAATCGATGAACACCCAGACCCGGATGAAGAGCAGCATGCCGACGATGAGCACTCCAGCCTGATGGGTCCTGTTTCGTCCCGGCCTGTCGAGGAAGGACCACCAGCGCCACCCAAACATAAGCATGGCAGGGCGTATCCACAAACGGTATCCTTCGCGGACTTTGACGACTCAATACCCGCCACAGGCATGCCTGCAAGATTACAAACACCTCCTATTTCATCAGCAAGTAGACCAACCACACCGAGGTCGCCAAGTGATCTTAACAAGCCACTGCCGCCGCCGCCTGAGGAAAGGTCAAGCGTGGATGGGATAATGCGCCCATCGTCATCAACAGAAGCGCGTGGGACGACCGTACGGTCAGGATCAAGCTCGGCCGTGGATGAAGGTTTGCAGATCAAGAAGGCGCCTCCACCTCCACCCACGACTCGGAGACGGGGTCACGCGGGCTCTACGCATGGGCGAGGGAGAAGCAGCTCTGAGGTCTCCTCGACCTCCGTTCAGACATCCGTAGAAACAGAGCAGAGGTCAAAGGCTCCTCCAGCGCCACCACCATCCAGAAGGCTCCCAACATCATCCGACTCAACTTCTCCGGCATTTGATACGCAGCCAAGCATGCCGCCACCGCAAGCAACACAAGCTGCTCAAGGGCAAATGCCGCCTCCACCACCGTCACGTAGGGATTCAACGAGGACTGGCTCTTTACAGAACCCTACAGCAACGCTTGCGCCAAGCGAGAGTTTAGCACCGAGGGTCAATGAGAGGTCGAGCCCTACAGCCACGGCCAACAGTAATGCTCCGCCAGCCCCGCCACCCAGGAGAGGTGGAGGTAGCGCCTCAAAGCGCGAGAGCATAGACGGTCCGCTATCAGTCCGACGTTCTAGCGTCGCTAGTTCCTTACGGAGAACGAGCGGGCAAAGCATTGAGAGCGGCCACTCAGTGCCCCATGTACCTACCACAGATGTGTCCGCAGTGCAGCATGATGCTGCAAACGGAATGAGTTCTATATCTGATGAGGCAACGGAAAGGAACGTGTTAGCAGATCTTGACGCTTTTCAGGCCGAGATCGATGCTCTTCGAGCTCAAGCTGCCCGCAACGGCTGAGGCGCCTCTTCAATAAGCGGAGACGGATTTGCCATCAATGATGGCATAAGCGGACATCTATCATCCCGCAGACTTGCTGATAATCTGAGGAGGTGACACCCGCGACCAACCGGACTGCTTGCATCAGCCGCATGTTAAATGTTCTGCGAGCCATGAGCACTGCAAATACGAAACGTTCATAGCCGACCTTCCAGCGGAGCAGCTTTCTAGGCGGAAACTGCGTAAAGTGCAGGCTAGTGCCCGGCAAATGCACCAGCTTCTGGCGTGCAGATTACTGCTAGGCGAACTTGCCGTATTGCTTGCCGGTGCCCATACGTTCCGCGAATCTGGATCTGGTGGCGCTCGCTTGATGGTCGCCGGATGAATAGGGCTAACCATTTGCGGGGGCGGCCGTGGAGGATCGCGGGGCAGCCAGGGCGGTGACTGGTAGATGTTGCCATGCGATTGCATGGATACGCATCGAGGCAGCATGGCAGGATTGGCTTAAAGGCTTGATTCCCGACTTCACTCGTTCGTCCTTGGTCTATTGCTGCCTCGCAGTTCGAAATCCCACGTCCATCAACCGAGAATGGATACCCATATCGCCGATGAGAAGCTTAAGGAGCTACACGTTGAAGAGATCACTGTCAAGGTGCGCAATTGAGAGTCGTCAAGCCTTCCCTGGTGTGGACGACAACGCTGACAGGTTGAAGGCCAATGACAGGCACATCGAGCAGTACGAGATCGATCCAGAGGCAGAGAAGAAATTGTTACGGAAACTCGACATGCGAGTCGTCCCGGTGCTATGGTTCTTGTACATGCTTGCCTTCCTTGACCGCACGAACATAGGCATGGCTCATACGCTCTCACGTCTTGACGCTCACCGCTGACTCTGAATGCGCCAGGCAATGCAAGAATCCAAGGCATGACAAAGGACCTGAAGCTGGTCGGCAATGATTACAACATCGCCCTTTTCATCTTCTTCCCTTCCTACATCGTGTTTGAGATACCCGCCAACATTCTGATTAAACGACTCGCGCCGTCGACATGGCTGGCTGGGATCATGGTCTGCTGGGGCCTCATAACAATAGGGCAAGGCTTCGTGACGACCAAAGGTGGCCTGTTCGCGATGAGGTTCATGCTAGGCTTTTTCGAGGTGTGTCTACAACATGTGTTACATCTATCGAACCTTCAAACACAGAAATCGTGTCGCTGACTCGGTGCGATGTAGGCCGGCTTCTTCCCTGGCTGTGAGTGCTTTGCAGAAAGATTAATATACATAAATCGGCAACGCTGACATGTACTGGCAGGCACTTACCTTATTGCAATGTACTACAAGCGCTACGAGCTGCAATGGCGCCTTAATCTTTTCTTCAGTGGCTCGATCCTCGCTGGTTCGTTCTCCGGGCTTCTGGCTTACGGCATCGCGCATATGAACGGCATCCATGGTTACAGTGGTTGGCGATGGGTAAGTGGACTGCTCTTCGGACTGTTCTTCGCTTCTGCTCTAAGATTAAGCTGACGAGCTACTGCACAGATTTTTATCATCGAAGGTATAATGACCGTCGTCATCGCCATAGCATGTAAATGGCTTATCGTCGACTGGCCTGAGAAGGCGAAGTTCTTGAATGATGAGGAGAAGAAAATGCTCGTAGCTCGCCTAACCGCCGATGTTGCGGACGCGCGCATGAACCGACTCGATAAGCCAGCCATCAAACGCATCTTCTCCGACTGGAAGATGTACGTTGGGACGCTTATGTACCTCGGCGTGGTCAATACTGGATATGCTACTTCCTTCTTTACTCCAACCATCTTGACGGTAAGCCTCGTCCACGATCCATTGGTATGAAAACAAGGCGACTGGTAACTTATCCGTCCATAGGAACTCGGTTACAAGGCCGAAGCCGCCCAAGTACGCAGCATCCCGATCTTCATTGTCGCTGCGGTAATGTGCCTGATTGTCGCATTCTGCACTGATCGCCTTCGCCATCGCTACGCCTTCTGCATCACCGGCATCTGCGTGGCTACTTGCGGTTATGTGATGCTGCTGTGCCAGCATCGGATTCCAGTCGGCGCGCGCTACGCTGCCATCTTCCTCATCGTCAGCGGCGGGTATATGTGTCAGCCCGTCACGATCGGCTGGCTGCAGAATACTATGGGTGGACATTATAAGCGTTCCGTCGCTGCGGCATTCCAGGTTGGGTTTGGCAATATGGTGAGTAGCATCTGATGCTCACGTCCGGAAGAGATTCACTAACATGGTTCTTTTACAGGGCGGTATTGTGGCATCCAATATTTTCATCACGAAGCAAGCACCGGCATACCGAACTGGCTACGGGACAAGCTTGGGCTTGTTGTGGATGTGTGCTCTTGCTTGCACTGGATTTCTGATCGGTTTGATGATCGAGAACAGGAAGAGAGACCGTGGTGAGCGGGACTGGAGGCTTGACACGCCGGAAGCTGACAACTTGGGTGACGATCATCCACACTTCCGGTTTACGTACTAAGGTACATGATAAAAGATAGCATCTCAGATGTACATACTCCGCCGCTTAAACGCAGGCACGCAAAGCATATCCAGTCGCAACCGCTCGCATTCCTTACCCTGGGCCATGCAACTCCTCCAGATACTCGACTCAACCGACGTCTTGAAACCGTACCACCCTTCTCATGACTGGGTCACTACCGAGTTCGCTGGAAGCACCACGCCTCCGTTCGAAGCGACGCTGTCGGGCTTCTCGTGCTTCTCGCGCGCGCCACTCACTGACTTGCTGCTTCCGCTTCTGACTGCGACTGTATGCAATGGCGGGTGTTGGCTTGAAGCCAATGCCGTTGACGCCTTCGCCATCGTCATCCGGGCTTGTGATGTCGTAGCCCGTGATCTCATCGTCTTGCCAAGTCAGAGCGGCTTGATCGAACGAGTCGTCATTGTCCGACTGTGGAAGCGGATCTGAGTACGACGGATTATCACGGTTCACCTGATGGACATGGATGATCGATGCTGGTGAAGGTGGCGGCGATGACAGTGTCCGCGAATTGCCCGCTGCACTGCTTCCTTCTCGTCGCTGAACGACAGGAACGCCTGCAGCAGGAGACGTCCCTCGTGAAGGCAGCTCCACTGTGGCTGGAAGGCGCGAATGACAATCAGGTGTCTCTGCTATCTCGAAGGTTTCCATGACCGGGTTTGATGCCTTGGCATGCTTCGCCAATATCGGCGCCGCATTATCATCCGCTTTCGAAACAACATTTGAGGCTGGTAAATGTGCATCACGCTTCAGTCGCTTCTGTGGCGAGGGCGATATATCTCGAAACGAGTATCCCCCTGATGCATCGCTGACCAATGTGTCTGCATGATGGAGCTGTAAAGTGCGCAGCCTCTCCGCGACCTTCGACCTAGGACTCTCCGCACCTGTAGTACTCACACCTCGCTCAGGGGACGATTCATTGGGCAGCGAACTCGTGACGACTTGCACCAGCTTCGACCGTTTCCGCTTCGGCGATGGTCCAGTAGACGACTCGCTCTCCGAGCCACTCTGCGACGATGTTGGCAGCCGGAAAGGTGGGTTACGGGACGGTGACAGAATCATCGTCAATTGTACCAATGTATGCTCCGAGTTGTGAAGTGACCAGTGAGCGACAGAAGTGGGATGTACAGTACTTCTATGGCGGGGTCGAACGGTTTCTGTGGCGTGGTGCGAAGCTTGTCGAGCGCTACGAACGAGGCAGCCACTGTAGAGATCATTGTTCGGTTTCGGCTCATACTGTACACTGAGCTAAGATATGAGCATCTATTGGAGGCTAGAAACGCCCAATATGAGCGAAGGAGGCTCAGTCAAGATTAGTCATTGATTGTCCAGCTTGAGCGTGGACTTGACGCACCGGCAGGTGCAGGTCTTGACTTTGAGCTCCGCTCCAATGTATTATTATCCTCCGTAACAAGCTAAACACAACTGTTACATGGTGCGGTACTATCAACTCTGCACGGGATCACCAAGCCTCAGTACGTTCTAGACATCACTGGCAAACTCCGGTCTTTTGATTAGGTGAGAGATCCCATCCAATCTCACGGCTCATTGTGTGGCCGGTGACCTGAACACTCTTCCGCAAGTCCTTCTCTGATCATGAGATCCGTACCGGCGACGGTACTGTCAATCGGTCGTAGCACTTGACCGATGTGGCCACTCAGCGCCGTTGTCAAACGAGCCAAGATACGTTACATTTTCGTGCTCGCAACGCTGGTCGTACACGGATTCAGCGAGTACGCCGGTATAACAGCCCCGTCCATGATATGACGATCTAGTCCAAGCGATTACTCATGTTCGCCAGCACCACCATCCAGGACCCAGACACCTGCGCAAACTTCCTCAGAATTCCTGGGAAAGCACTGACGTTCGCGCCAGCCCTCATCGTATTGAAGGTACCCGCTCGACCAGCGTAGACCCAGCAAGCGCTGCCGCGAGCGAATAAGGCTTTCTCTGCTGTGGTACGCTCGCGAAATTGTTAACCAGCATGCGAAGCTCGACACCCTCGTTACCGCCAGGGAAGCAGTGACTGGCATCGCCGTATGTCTTATGACCGGAGCATCTCTGGGCAGTAGCCACAACCCTGCCACCAGTGATCGGTCACGGCAAGATGTCCGGGGTCCTGCTGCGAGCCGTGATGAGGTACAACGCCTGTGTAAACGCTGCTCGCCAGGATAGGCCCAAGCGCAGGCTAAGGCAACACAGTGGAATAGGAGATGTACTGTCTGAACATGGCTTGCCGTGAAATAACAACCATGTTGGCAAGATATTGCAGGCAGTGTTGATGAGTCGCTTTATCGCGGAGTATGAATACCTCGACACAGGCCGTGACACTTGATTGTTTGAGAGGTCCGCCTTGAGGTCCAGCTTTAGCGAGTAGTAAGCCTTCAAATGTACTTCTTGTGCGGATCCACCTGGTCCAGCAACTCCATCGACTTTTCGTACATGGCAAACACGATGCCGCCGCTGAGTACGAGTCGCCCTAGTCGTGGCACTGCTCCGGACCAGAATTTGAACACGCTCTCATTCTTCCAGATCTTGACAGCGCAGTCAATGCTGTTCTTGTACAGACCTTTGGAGTCGATGCTCTGCATACGTGTCTTGATAGTGTCGATGGGTTGCGTGGCGTAGACGGTGATGATACCCGCTAAGCCGCCGATAGCGAATGTCGCTGCAGTACCCAACTTCTCGCCTGGCGCAACGTATGATTGTGCTGCTTGCTTGAGCGACGTATAAGAGCTGAACCGTACGGCAGAGTTGGCGGCCTGTCGTGCCGTGGTGGGCACGAAGCCTTTGAAGAAGCCAGCAACGCCTTGCTCGCGGAATATGAGGGCGGAGCCGTGGAGAAAGCCACGCATACGCGGCTGAGCTCGTTTGCGATCATCGATCAACTGCGTCTTGATGCTTTCGAAAGGTGTCACAGCAACCAGACTCTCGGTCGCGCCTGCCAAGAAGCCCGATACTACGGTCATGGGACCGCTAATGTTGCCCTCGGGGTCTGACAGCATCTGCTTATACTGGTCGAAGGCAACGAAGCGGACGCCAGCCTTGATGCTGTTGCCGATGATGAGCGTGGTACAGCCGGCGTACCATTGCGGACCGAATGGCGGCCATGGAACTCTCTGACCACGTGCCAGCCGTTGATTGAGCTGTACGCGGGTCTTGGCGAACTCGGCTGGGTAGGTGATGGCGATCTCGACGGCGCCTGCTATGCTGCCTGCGATGACGGATCGTACGGGTGAAGGCTTCTCACGTGTCTGCGGAATTGGCGTCGTTTGGGCCCCAATGACCGGCACTGTCGTTTTGGGAGTGGACATGGTGGGTTTTGTCGGGGTAGCCGTTAGCGAAGCACTGCAGCTTCAATGTTGATGCGCGATTGCTCCTCCTCCAAATTTCGTAGTAATGCGTTCACGCGTCGCTACACCTTCCCTCCGCTCTTCGTCGGAATCTTGCTAGGCTCGAGCCCACTCGGCAATCTATCCGAGCAAACGAGCGCATTCCCCGCAATGCATCCTCGAACTGCCTCACGCTGACTACTCATACTGTCCAAACAATCGCTCTTGTGACAGAGGCCATGTGTGTACAGTCTTCATTACCATCATGATGTCCAGGAAGCCTAGCCTATTTGTAGGTGCCTACACCACCCTACAGGCGCTTCCTAATACGTCCGGATCATCGACGTCATCATGTCGCCGAGATGGGAGCACGCGACATTGCAAGCGATATCGAGGACGTGAGCGACGGTATGCTACGATAGCCGGCGACCATGGCAGCGATCACCATGACCAGCACCCTCCTTCCCAGCATTCTGAGCAGGCATGGCCGACTCCACTCAACGGCCAACAACATCCGACTCCGTACCAGATCTTTGCGATGAGAAGCACCGGCGAGTATAGCAAGGCCCGCTTCTATGAGATGGTGAAGGTCTACCACCCAGACCTCAGCAACGGCTCCTGCAACGTGGCCCACCACATAAAGATGGAGCGCTACCGTCTCATCGTTGCCGCCCACACCATCCTGTCGGATCCGGTGAAGCGAAGCGCATACGACCGCTTCGGGGCTGGATGGAACGGCAAAGCTGAAGTCACAGAAGCCGGTGGGGGTGCGCACCCGGGTCCCGGACCTTTCACACACAGCTGGGGCGACCACAGTGATCCCATCTGGGCGAATGCGACATGGGAAGACTGGGAGCGGTTCTACGCACGACGAGCACAAGAACAGGGTGGCGCTGAACCAGACCCGAAGACGAGGGTTCCGCAAGCTCCAGTGTACATGCAGAACTCATTCTTCCTCGCGCTCGTGGTTATGCTAGCAATTGCCGGAAGCTCCGCGAACTATGGCCGCGCGCAGGATGCGGGGACGTATTTTGTTGAGCAGCGTGATTTGATGCATGACCGCGCAGCGAAGGAATTAAGAAAGGTACGGCAGGAGCTCGGTGGGGTTAAAGGGCGGCAAGAGCGGATTGATTGGTTTGTGCGGCAACGAGAGGCAACGCTGGGAACCATGGTGGATGCAGACGTTGAAGCCCTGAGGGAGGAGAAGGCCAACCGGATTCTGCCGGACCGTGAAGTGTGTCAGAGCGAAGGCATCAGCGAGAAGTGAGCATAACATTGGTGGCGAGTCCAGAATTTGCGGGGACTGCCTTAGAGATGCCTGCTGGCCCTCTGAATTAGGGTTCTGGGCTCCTGCAACGAGTCCATTGATGACCGCGAGCTCGAAGGCAAGCTGCTGTGATCAGCAAGCCAACCAAGGCACGAGATGCCGGGCCCGGGAAAGGGCGAGGAGTATGCCACGTATCGGGATGCACCGGGAAGGAGGAGGAGAGCAGCTCCGCAAGGCACCATTGCTCCGTAACGGCCGGAGCTGCTTCGAACACATTATCGACTGTGCACGGAGCGTGGCAGAAGCTGCGGGCCGATGAGTGTTCGCCCACCAGGCGCAATGGTTACAGCTTGCGATGTGAGACGACAGCAATTGTGGGAAGTACTGGAGCACAGTCGCTATGCGTGAAGAAGAGCAACGCATATGACTGCATATATACAATTGCATACACGAATACATGGTCATGTAGTTAGTGGATCTACGGCTTCGGAAAAACTATCGGTCCGACTTCTGATGTAGAAGCTTGGACAACATCGCAATGATGAACGACTTTCGTACATCGGTTTCAGCAGACGTGAATTGACCGGTCATCACCCACAACGTACAGAGCAGCAGCGCTTCACGTATAGATATTCGAAGAGCAGCATCTCCCGTGCCAGCATGCTGTGTCTCCGCGCCTTCGCCCGCTCGGCGCCGCGAGCAACCTCTCGTATCGCCTCCTACAGCGCCAGAAGCGCACTCCGGCCAGCGACACGTCAAACAGCCTTGCGATCATCACGGACTTGTTCACTACCCCGATACTTCAGCATATCTCTTCCCCGCTTCGACGATGCATCGCAAGAACTCGCGGCGAAGCTGAACCAGGAGATCCAGCTCGAAAGCGAGGAGTCTTCCACCCCGGCCGAGTCCGACAGCAACATTTCCAACTTCCTCGGCCAAAACCCGCACTGGACCGTGCATGACGTGCAGGGGGAGCAGGAGGTTATGCTCACGCGCAAGTACGAGGATGAGGACATCACAGTGGCTTTCAACATCATGGACTTCAACACGCCGATGATGGAGGGTGCTCAGCAGGACGACGAGATGGACGATGCACTGATGGATGAGGAGGACGAATCAGTGGAGTCGGCGCAAAGCGGCGGTGCGAATACGAAGGGCAGTGTTAACCAGGGACGGACAAGTGGTGGCAACGTCAAAGTAGCACCGGAGGATCGCATTGCACCTGCTGATAGGGATGAGTTGAGGAACTCGGAAGACGACCAGGCGGGAGACGAAGGCTCGGCAGCGTTTGCGGCCAATGTCAACGTCCTGATTCAGAGGCAGAACAAGGTATGTTTGCTCGGTTGATGTGTGCAGCAATAGTACCATGACTGACATAGTACAGGGCGCACTTCGCATTAACCTTGTAGCCGACAACGGCGTCTTCAGCATCACTGGCGTCACTCACATCCCTGACAACAAGGTCAACAACAACAAGTCCGCATCGGAGATCCTTCGCGAGCAGCCCGAAGCGTTGTACACTGGCCCACCGTTCGCCCAGCTTGATGAGGAAGTGCAGAGCCTGTTCGAGAGCTACCTTGACGTGCGAGGCATAAACACTGCGCTCGCGCTGTTTGTGCCAGAGTACATTGATACCAAGGAGCAAAAGGAGTACCTCGGCTGGCTAGGCCGGGTGAAAGAGTTTGTGGAGTAGGCCAAGGGAGGATGGCATTTGGACGGTAGCGCAATTAGGACGGGAAACGGCTGATGTTGTTGGTTGCATTGTCCGAGTAAATACGGCGTTTCGGCCAAGGCTGACTTTCCGGTGTGTATAAGCAAGCGTATATCTACTTGTCTCCTCTCGCACGACTGCTGGCCAGACATGCACATGGGTGGTAGCAATCAACAAGACGTGGCGGCTAAGCGTCAAGTAGATTCCATCAGCCCCCTAGCCCGCAAACCCACCTCTCGCCATCTTTCGCGCACGCTGATCGCGGCGATTATGGTTCGCTCGGCTGCTTTTGTTCGCTTCCTTTCTCCGCTGGGCTGCAGCTGTGCTTGGATCACTTGATGGCCCTGCGACACCGCCAGCTCTGCCCCCACCACGACCACGACCGCCCCTCCCGCGTCCGCGAAAGCCACTGCTTCTGCCACTCTGCTGCGCGTCAGAGTCCTCTGTGTCCTCACTATCTCTGTAGGCCGTGCTTGCCAAGGCAGGCTGCGCGCAATTGAAATGGGTGAAGCGCTCCTCCAATTTCTTCGCTCTCCGCGGATCACGCTGTAGCATGATGGCCCACCCTTCAATCGCTTCGTCAGTCATGCCCGTCTCAGCTTTCAGCGCCGAGCGGGCTTGCCCTCGTCGTACATCGAACGTTCGGCCGAAGAGCTCCGGTGTTGCCTTGTACGAATTGAACAACGCCATTTCGTTCTCCTCGAGCGTAACTTTCGCTGCCGTTCCGGGCTCGCCATCCGGGTGCGCGGTATCGACCGTACCACCAACGTCTTCTACGTCGTAGGTGTCATCGCGTTCGTCGTCATCCGCGTCGAACGCGGCTAGAGCGGACAGAATGGCGGCTTTGTTGGGCTGCAACGACTCGGTTCGATCTGCTCTCTTTCCAATGTGCAGATGAGCGGCATCCGCCGTCAAGATTTCGTCGTCGTCAAAGACGTTGCGTCTGTCCGGTACGCATGGGTCTGGTGGCGGTGGCGTGGACCGCGGAGCTAAATGGTCTATTTCTTCGTGAGTGTCTGAGTCGTAGATCGGTGCCTGCTCGCTTCTTTCGAGACTTTGCAGGTGTGGAGGCAAGGAGTCATCGAGAAGGTGCGCCGTGACTTGCTCAACATTGTCGCCGTACTCGTCCAGTAACCTCAGCACGAACCCTGCGCCAAGATCGGGGAACAGGTCTTGTATTTGCCCTACAAGGCTCATCCGGTGAACATGAAGCTCGCCGTTGACGTGCGTGGCTTTGCGTTTACCCTTGGCCATCTTGCGATGACGATGACGATGACCTCGCTCGATGCTAGGCATGCGGTACAGCTCAAGCGTGTCTAGAAGCTTATGGAGCCTCTCCGCAGGCGCACCGCTTCCTGCTTGTCTCAGACGACCCACAAGCGGCGTATTGGTTATAAGATCAGCGAGCAGCGTTGCAATACTGCCCTGCCGATCGGCTTGGGCCTTGAGACCGTACAGGGCATCCGACAGCGCAGAGAGATTGGCATGCTCAAGCTTGACTTGGGCAAGCAGACCGAGATAGGCTACAGTCACAAGTGCAACCCTTTGTTTGTCCACTGCAAAATTCGTATATGCCGAGGATAGGGCGTCCATAAAGTCAGTTCCGGTAAGGAAGAAGGCGCCAATATCTGCCGAAGCTCGCATAACGGGCGCAAGTTCCACTAGTTCCAACACCGCAACACCAGGATCGGGCGACTCCAACAGTGCCGTTAGGTCTTTCTTCCGGTTCTGTAACGTGGACTGAATACTACTCGACCTGCGCTTCCACAAGGTCGCCATGAGTCGTGACAATGCAGCGCTTCGCATGTGGACACGGCAGACGTTGGAGAGGAACTTCCATTGCAACATAGTCGGCGGAACAGTGTCTTCTGAGATCATACGATCGAAGAGCATGAAGCATTGCCTGCGAAGGCTTTGGGCTTTCGACCCCGAAAGTGTGCCATCATGAGGTTCGGCAGAGGCGAGTTCCTGGTAGAAACGTGGGAGAAAGTCGACAAGATTATCGAGCCCGTCTGTTGCCAACTGTCGGAAGGATAAGTTTAAATACAAGTTCGTGACTATTAGCCATGCATCTAGACATGCTTCCCATTCCGGTGGGGCAATAGCAAGCCGTATTTCGGCTGGCGGCAGAGATGCGAGTGGCGGAGGGTGCAATCCATTAACCGGATGGTCCATCGCACAGTCAGGGACTTATTGAGCCTATGCCTTCACGGTAGACTTCTCTGCGGGCTACCACATTGCCTCTGTCGTATGTGCCTTCACTAAGCGGGACTGATGTGCTATATACGCCGCAATTGCTTACTCCGGCCTAGCGCGCCAAGATATAGAAGCCGCACAAACTTCACATTCCACGACGGCGAAAGATATTGTCTTCGCTCCTTACCGATCATCACTTTGCCGTGGCTCTTGTTTTGCCCGAGGTATGCAAAGAGCTAGGACAGCAAGTGGTGAAGACAGTGCGATACTAACGATATCTCAGTCGTGATCGGACCACCGCAGATTACAGCCACTCAGCCCAGATCTTAACGCACAAATACCGCCATCATGTCGTTCCAAGACCCGAAGAAGACGTCGCAGATCGACCAGCCAAAGATCCACAAGATCCGCATCACTCTTACTAGCCGCAAGGTCGCCTCGCTCGAGAAGGTCTGCAGCGAGCTCATTGAGCGCGCCAAGAGCAAGGAGCTGCGCGTGAAGGGTCCCGTACGCATGCCCACCAAGCACTTGAAAATCTCCACTAGGAAGACGCCATGCGGTGAAGGATCGAAGACTTGGGACTTCTTCGAGATGAGGTGGGCACAGTGCTGGCAAGTCGTACGGTATGATCTTGTGCTGATTTTCCTGCAGAATTCACAAGCGCTTGATCGACCTCAATGCGCCGACGGAGGTGGTGAAGCAGATCATTATCAACATCGAGGCTGGGGTTGAAGTTGAAGTCACCATTGCTGCGTAAATAGCTTGCAGAGGACCACGTTAAAGCACACAGTAGTTACATCTGCAGCCACAGGTAGCTACTACAACACGATGTTGAACGACGTTCTCCAAAGGTTCCACCTTCTGACTTGTGCATCACGGATCTTGACTAGTCCGAACGTCTCCTAGACAGATGTTGGCGAAGTGTAGGCGAGGTGCAAGAAGATCTTTGTAGACAGTAATGGTGTAACGTTTGATCGTCATGGACATTGCACAATACTTGGATATCTAGTCAAAACGTACCAACACGCTGCTCCACAGTAATACATAGCTGCTCAACCGCCATAATCTTAACCGCCAGTATTCAGTCCATTTACCTGCCGCCAATCTGGCCCTTAGGGATCGGCTTGATCCAGCAGAGCGCGAGGTTGATGCCAATAGTGATGAGACCGATGATCCAGAAAGATTTAGCGTAGGACTTGTGATAGCGGAAGATGACGGCGAAGACAATACCTCCAAGGTTACCGAAAGCACCAGTAACACCGGAGACAACACCGTTGGCGTACGGGTGAACGTGCGGTACCAATGAAAAGTTGTGACCATTAGCGCCCTCAAGGAAGAAACCCAGGCAGATACCGACGAGAAGGGTAAGTGTGTAGAGATGGTGCGGGTTGGACACGCCGATGGCAACGAGCACACATCCCATGATGATGCTGTAGCCGTGGAGTAAAATCTTCTTCGCCCAAGGATTGTTGCCCGAAGCCCTGTAGGCAATGTCGGAAACGACACCGCCAAGAGGACGGAAAACTACGTTCATGAGGCCAAACATGGCAGCCCAGTTACCCCTCCCTTGCAAGGAGAGCTTAGGGAAGTTGGCATGGTAGTAGTTGCCCAAGATGCTGTTAATGGAGAGCTCAGCGCCGAAAGTGCAGAAGTAGCAGCCAGCGGTGACGAGAGTCTGGAGGGAGAAAATGACCTTCGACATCTCCTTGAAGGTGGGTTTCTGGACAACCTCGCCGCGCGCTGTGTCGAGCATCTGTTGCTCGCCCATGGCGACCTCGTGATCACCGACTGTGCCGCGGACGTTGTCGAGCTTCTTCTCTTCCTCGTTGATGTCAGAGGGAGGTGAGTCGGCGCCAGTAGAGTGCTTGCCTTCGGTAACCGAGCCCGGAACGTCAACGACCGCACCCTGGACGCCGTGCATACGAAGATTGTTCTCGGCAGCTTGGAAACGATCCTTCCACTTTCCAGAGGGGGTGTCAGGGCAAAGCAAAAGAAGCGCAATAGCCACGGCAACGATCAGGATGCCGGGGACCACGAAAGAGACACGCCATGCCTTGTGCGTGGGAAGGCCGCGATGGCGAAGTGAATCGTAGATCGCAGGCATGACGAAGTAGGTGATACCGCCACCAGCATTACCAAGACCGGCTGTGAGGGAGTTGGCTGTACCGACGATGTTCTTGTCGTAGAAACCAGTGGTCCAGACCTGACATGGCACGAAGCTGCCACCCAAGATGCCAATGAAAAATCGAAGGGCATAGAGCTCGTTGACAGTGTATGCGGTACCGGAGAGGAATGTTGGGATGGCACCAATGAGCAAACACCCGGCAAAAGTGATCCGAGGTCCGACAAGATCACAGGCAGGGCCAGCAATCAAACGAACAATCAATGTAGCGGCCAAGGCAATGATGTTCGAGTTACTGACTTGCTTGGTAGACATGTGGATATCTGCGGCAATGACATCGCTGAGGAGCGGCGGGAAGGCGTACCTGCATACTCGTTAGGGAGGGGCGTCTGGGGTGCGCAGATAGGCTACGCCACAAGATGGGGGGATGACATACCAAGACAGGAAGGCGATCATGAAACCGAACCACGAGAAGAAGAAGACACGTCCGTAGACATTGAAAGGGTTGAGGAACGGAACCGATCGCGCCTTCCTCGTGATTGGATTGACTTCGGGCGCCGCTACCAACGATGCAAATGAGAAGGGCATCTTGTCCTATGTGCAAATGGTCTTGTGAGTGTGCAGTCGGTCAATTGCCGGAGGTGAAAAGTCCTTCTGTAGGGCGGGTAGACACTTCCGACCACGCGAGGGTGGTGAGTGTCTTGCTGGAGAAGAGATTGATGTCCAACCACCCGGTATGGCTTTGCTCGACTCTTAATACCATGAATGACAATTGACGTCGACATGCATCTCCGACGAGCTCTCGTGCCCAGCAATCTGGTACTACGCCCCCGAAAGAAACAAATCCGCGGATCCCCCAAACGGAGAATCTAGCGAGCGGCAGGGTATCGAAGCCGCACCCTAAGCCTGTTGGGCCTGTCCCTACAGCGTCTCAGCAACAACGATGCTGACTTCAAGCCTAGATCAGGGCTCGCTTGATAAGGCGAGTGGAGTCCGATCCACGAGAAGAGGCGTCGATCTCCTCGCTATCTCGCGGGTGTGGCAGACTGTCGCTACTAGTTTCGACCTTGATATGAACGTCTAGATTTGGCCCTGTAGATATGAGTACTTGATGCTTTTCCGCTTGCGTCAGTGCAGGTCTTCGTGTGCTACCTTATCCTTCACAAAATTCCAGAGCCATCCGGCAAGCTGAGTGCTCGATCATGGCTCTGCTAACAACGCTCGACGTTGAGGCGCTTCTTCGTGAGACGCTCCAGATTGAACTGTCCAATCACTCGAGAGATCTGGACCAGGCTTGTCCCCTCTGCACGGTTGCAATTGGTTGGGACGAAGTGCTGAAGAGTCTACGGAGACTGTGCCAGCGATGAATGGGCGTCGTTGTGCCTTATCTCTGCGGTCTGCCCAAAGCGGAAACGCCCATCCTCTAGCCGCTCCCTGTGCTGATAAGAGCTCTGCATGAGAATTCTACAAGATGCTGAGGCGGGCCAGAGTCTCACGAGCATTTCCATTTCCGCGGCATCGTTTGCTTGCATCTCATGTGCCTCGAAGAGGTGATACACCTCCTTGGACACTTGCTGGGCATCTGCGGCGCAGACTTGGAGACTTGCTTCTGCGATACCCTTGGCGGCTTAATGTCGGCAGATAGACCCCTCCATGGCGCGTCCCTTGTTCAGCCTCACCATCTTATATCTCGCCATAACCTTAGGCCAGTTTGGCTCAGTCAACGGATGTTGGCTGTGAGATATGGTGCTTCGCCTCGCGTCTTCGAGTTAGACTGTAGTACAGTGCGGCCCGTCCGCTTCCGCCGTTGTGTACAGAGTACGTATTGCTCTTGGCAAGCCTTCCCTCGGAGGGGAAGGGCTCGAGCTGTTTTCACAACCTCCCTCCCTCCTCCACACCTCCAGTGATGTGAATTCCACCTTTTGTCTCCGACGATTGCATCTCTTCCGCATGCCATCTAGTTACCCACCGCGCGAACGCTTGAGATGACCTCTATCGAGCGGGCCCGAGTGGCAGAAACGCTGTGCTGCTCCAAGAACTTGGCGCCATGCTCTGGTCCCCATAGCACGGTCTCCACTGTGCTGACCTCTGGTTCTACATCAAATCGCTCACGGCTTCTCGCGTCACAGCACGCACCTCTGGAATCGGCTCAACCGCTTCCGCGTTTGTTGATACAGACCTTGTAGAAAGCGTTGACCTTCGGGCCAGAGTTGCGGAGGACCAAGGCTGGGATAAGACAACTCTACGAACGTTTGCCCGGTGTGGACCTTAAACCACTTGGCAAGCAGTGGTCTACTGTGGTGTGCTTAAGGAGGCTGTGCACTTCGCACAAGGTGGTAATGATCAGCTTTGGATTACGCCTACTCCTGCAGCGTATGCAGCAACGGATGCGCTGCCAGAGTTTCACCGCTAAAGTCGGTGCTGGGCAGGAGCCACAGCATGGTTGCATACTTCCAACCAAGACCATACGCACTACACCGTTGTGCTGGCTGATTGCGACTTGCTGGTTGTGGGATCCATCACTTTGCAGATCGTCCGAATCACTTCTACAGGCCACATTCGCCAAGCACTTGGTACCAGACACGATGAAACGTACAATCCAGTTCACCAGCACGGCTATGTCAGAGCATACTTTCTGAGTAACCCACCGCCCATATATCAATTTGGAGCCCAAAGGTTGGTTCTATCTTTCTTTAGCTTTATCCTCGTATCTATCTGTTCACGGCTTCCGTCTTTCATCTCAAGTCCAGCCATGTCACAGCACATGCAATCACTAAGATCGCCATCCAAAGGCTCAGTCACGCCGAGTAGGAAGTCTTCATCTTGCTCCGGAATGACTCTGAATGTCGCCGATACTCGAACTAGCTCGACAGCTACCGCCAACATTGGCGACGAAAGTGCACTGGCTGCCCCTGCTTTGCTGGCAAAAGCGGACAGCCCACGCGAGGAGGATAACAGGACGTGGCTACAGCAATGGCCTGGCGGCTGGCGGCCGTATTCAGCACTGACGGGAGGATTTTGTCTCATGTTTATCAGCTGGGGTTATGTTAATGTATGGATTGATTATTTAATGTTTAGTGGTCGTGATGCCTTATTGACAACATCGGCAGGCATATGGAACAAACGCCACGTTCTATGACCATACGCTGATGCAAGGCTTGGACAAGATGCGGATCAACTTGATTGTAAGTTGTGATGCTCCTATGCACAGACTCGTTTTCGACTTTACAATGGAGCTGACTCACTGACTTCGCACTGCAGGGCGCGACGCAATGCTTTATGATACTGGGTCTGTCCTTCATCGTGGGACGCCTAGTCGACGCAAGTCACATCACGAAAGTTCTGACGACAGGTACATGTCTGGTAGCTCTTGGAACGTTTCTCTTAGCGATCGTTGATGGTCGAAGCTGGAGTCCTGACGCGGTCTTTTCATATGTCTGGGCCACACAAGGTTTCATCACTGGCTGCGGCATGGCTTGCTTCTTCGTCCCGTCCTCGTGGGGTATGTCCGCAAACAGCTGTTCTCACGAGAGACATGTTGCTAATCGCTTGGGACAGTCGTTGCAACTTGGTTCCACGAAATGAAAAGCACGTCGATAGGCATCGTCGCCACTGGAGCTAGCGTTGGAGGCGCCATCTTCTCCATCATGACCCGGTACTTGATCGAACAAGCAAGCTTCCGCGTAGCTTCCCTCTCCGTAGCGGCTGTCATGACGTTCCTAGCAGCTCTTGCCACATTCATCGCGAAGCCGAACACGGCACCCAGACGGGGAAGTCTCGAGAAGGACATGGACAATACGCCCGAGAAGCAAGAGCTCTGGAGAGCGATTACGGGCGCCTGGGACCGCCACGCTTTGAAGGACTCTCGCTTCGTTTGGGTCTCCGCCTCGACTGCCTGCATCTTCCTCGGATTCTATGCCATCTTTTTCAACATCGAAGACTGGGCGGCGTACACTGGCGTCGCCTACCGAGAGGCAACCCGCCCGTCTACTAGCTTCGCGGATGCAATTAAGACGTTCTTGCTTCTTACCGTCATGAACGCTAGCTCGTCCATTGGTCGAATAGCTTCAGCTGCGACCGCAGACCACCTCGGCAATTACGGAGCGCTGCATGTCCACGCTTTATGCACTGGGATCACGAGCATACTATGTCTGGTTTTCTGGGTACTGGCGAAGACTGTTGGTACAGCACTCGGTTTCGTAGTCGTCTTTGGCGCCTTCTCTGGCGCTGTAATCGGTCTTCCTCCGGCTTCAATGGCATACATTCTCGACAAGAACGATCCCGTTGCGCAGGCAAAGCTCGGGCAATGGGTCGGAATGATGTATACGATCGCCGCGCCGTTTGCCCTCGCCGGACCCGTCATCGCTGGCCATCTTATCTCCACATTCGGCTTCCTGAGCCTGCAACTATGGTCCGGTGTGTCTTTATTAGCTGCCTGCGGCTGCATGCTCATGGCTGTTCTCAGTCATCACCGTCACCTGTCGGCTAAGGCGGCGGCAGAGATCGAGGCACAAGCTTCGGTGAACGTCACAAACGATATGCTACCGCTCTCCAAAGAAGTACAGTAACCTTGGGAGGCTCGGGTGCAGCCGTGGGCAATGTGCCGACAGACCACAGAGAAGCTAATCGTTTGTGTTGCGGAAGGCCACCAAGCCGGTTTTGGAGTTGTGTCATGAATGCGAGCGGATATACCACACCGCATGCCAGTCATAATGGATATTGTGGTTCCAAGATGATACATTATACACCGAGATCTGTCTTCAGATAGCTTCATAGAGTAAGATTTTCCTACCCTTCCATAATATCGACGAATCTCGACATCTGCCGTGGTGGGCAAGAACTGCCGTAGCCACCGCGTGGCCTAGATGAGACACTTATGGGGTTCCGAGAACCGCGCCAGCGGTCCAGGCGGGCATATATGTGCCGTTCGATTCCAATATTAAGCTCTTCAAGTGCAAGACCTCGACTTCTCAGGATCGGGTCGAATATGTAGCGCGTAGAGGCATACTCCTGGATCCAACGTCAATAGATAACTGCATTGAAAGTTGATGGAAGATGCTGGTGGTGTGTCAGGTGATCAAACATCCTGCGCGCCCTATTGTTCGTTGCTCAATTTCGTGGAAGAGAGTTAGTTGACTGAGCCAGGTGAAGTGAAGTGACTACTCCACATATCAGTGGTTCCAGGCACCACTTGGTGCCCGCAAGGATGAGCCCCGGTTAGCGATCGCCTGGTTGATCACGGCAAACTCGGTCCTAAGGTCTCGTGGTCGCTCGGCCCACTTGCCGGCGGCTGATCATACCGCACCTCCAACACCGAGGTCGCGACTGCGTGTATACTCTGGCTCTTTGCTATGCGCTCGTAACATTACACTGCGAGCCTTGGTTCGTCGTGACTAGCGACATGTTTGCGCGATAGCGTTGACCCTGCGCTGGCGCTTGGCAATGCTGGCTGTAATATGGACGATGAAGTCTCCTTCACTCTGCACTCTGTGCACGAGTTCCAAGCCAGTGAGTCCGTAGGCCATCTAAGCATAATGACCGCTAACGTCGGAACGTAGAGCTTGACGACATTGTATCGAGTCCCAGCGAGACCAACGAGCTGATAGATGCCGCGCTGCGCTCCTACCTCGCATTGGCAACTAGCTTCAGGCGTGCGCCTACCGGTTGAGATTCCCAAAAGAAGAGCGCTGACACGTTGAAGAGGAATACTTGAAGTCTGAGTACGATCTTGCGAAGTATTGCTACAAACTTCTGGATGCGAAACTGTTTCAGGAAAACCAGGACTACGTCCGGCGACAGTTCTTATATTGTCTGCTTCAGGTGCGCCAAAAGCCTCTCGGTCTGGCCCAACACGTGGTTCTAAGGGTTGTGTAGGACGAAGACGTGGACACGCTCCACCTGGCAGCTGCCTTGCTGCTGTTTGATGGTCGCGCCCACGAGGCATGTTTCGAGCTCATGCAAGCCGACGGAGCGTTTGCGCGGTTAGTGGAGCTGATACGCAGCAAACGTGACGATGACATCGGCCTGCACAGACTGCTCCTCGAGCTACTGTACGAGATGTCGCGGATACAGAAGCTCGGCAAGGACGACCTAATGACTGTTGACGACTCTTTCATACTCTACCTATTCCAGCTAATCGAACAGTTGTCGGATGATGCTGATGATCCTTATCATTACCCCATCATCCGTGTGCTGCTCGTGTTGAACGAGCAGTATATGTGTCTTGCGAATGAGACTGGGTCTCCTGACGGCATCAGCGGCATGACAAACCGCGTTCTGAAGTTGCTCTCGGCCCACGGCTCCTCCTATCGAACCTTTGGCGAGAATCTGATATTGCTCCTAAATCGCGAGGCTGCCCTAAGCCCACAGCTACTTATACTCAAGCTTCTGTACCTGCTGTTCACGACGCCAGCCACCTACGAGTATTTCTACACTAACGACTTGCACGTGTTGGTGGACGTGATCATACGCAACTTGCTGGATTTGGATCCTGGAGCCGGAAGATTGGATGAGGAGAGAGACGGCCAGAAAGCTCTGCGGCACACTTACCTGCGCGTCTTATGTCCGTTACTGAAGAATACGCAGCTTGCCCGCGAAGGCAACAATTACAAGCGGGAGGAGGTGCGCAAGCTGCTGCACGTACTGGTAAACAGGTCTGTGGCGCACTTCGCTCCAATCGACGAAACTGTTATTCGACTTGTGGTACGTTGCAAGCAAATCGAGTGGCTCAGATCGGACGGTGAGGAGCAGGACCTCCAGATTGAACGGAAGCTGTCTGAAGTGGCGCCGAAGGATTCCGAGGTGGCGAAGAGGCTGTTGGGTATTTCACTCGAAGGCGCGAGCATTAGTAGTCTAAGCGTTGTCGATGTGGCAGCCAAAATCACCAAGGAGAAGCCAACCGTACCTGCTCCAAGGAGGAGGAAGAAGAAAATAAACGGCTCTGCAGCAAACGGGACGCATGGCACCGAACTGAAAGTGCCAACACAGGACCTCTCTGCGTCAATAACCTCGATGTCCGGCTCTGACACACACGGGGATGGCCGCAGTCCATTCGCGGACGACGCTGAGGCAGACTGAAGTTTCTGAGCCCACTTCATGATTTGTGGTGTACCTGTGCGGGCTGATGTCGTGCGTGATAGCAAGGAGGGCGCCACTCGACTGTCAATGTGTGCCCCTACTACAGCCTAGAGTACACTCAGTTTCGATGGGCGCGGCCTCTTAGAGTAAGCGAGGTGTCTGCGCCTTCGGCTCCTTGCTTGGTGTTCCCAACAAGCGGATGGCAACCATCTCACCTCCTCAATACGGGGGAGCAAGTTCTGACTGACGTTGTCAGACGATATGCGATGCCGTTGTTCACACATGCAGGGCGCCGACCCTGCAACATGCGCTACACTGCCGGCTGTTACAGAGCCGCTGTGGGCTCGGACGCAGGATCATAAAGCTTTCAGGCAGTCTACTGCACGGTTCTGCAACTCACAAAGCGGTGACACAGTACCTGCATCAATATCTGCATTAGGCAAAGCCTCTAAGGTGGCGTTCATCAGACCTTGCGTGAGCAGTCAATTTTGCCAAATCAAGTCCTTGTTGATGCGATGTGCAGCAGAAGAACAAACACGAGTAGATGTGGCAGCCATGGAGCGAGCAGCCATGCGCTGTTTGGTCACGAAGAGCGCCATGGCACTTTCAACTGTTACGGAGAGACTGACCATGCCATGAAAGCAAGCGAGTCGCTGTTTGATACGGACAACGCATCGATTGATGATTTATTCAAATTCCATGCCGGCATCTTGAAGACTGATCTGGTGTACAATGCACTGTATCACAGGTTAAACAACAAGCAGAGTCCACTCTGCGCGGCGTCCCCACAGACTTCAGTTACACGACTGCCGCTGCAGGATCCGGGGTGCGAGTTCGGTACCACCTTCAATCGACACCACACACCTACACTCAGGCTGAGACACATGTACCAATTCAGAAGTTTGACAACACTGTGCTCTCTGCAATGATCCGCTACCGCCATTTGGTGTGTCAGCGTCGACCTGGGCATCGGTTGAACCATGACTTCAGGGCCAGCATTTACTAGCACCAGGCATTGCATCCATCACACGTACAGGTCGGGTACCTGCCTTGCGTGATCGGCTGTAGCTGCAGTGAGTTGGGCTCAGCAAGGTCAACTACTCCTCCATGACGGAGAAAAGCTGTGGTAAAAACCAAACGTAGTACTATCGGCCTATCTTGTGCTCTACCTCCGGGCGTATCCAACCGTGGATACCCTGCGGACACCACCGAGTGCGCCACCAGGCCAGCGCATGTGCGAATGGACAGCTAGGCCGCGCTATGTCTGACTCCGTGACAAACGCCACCACTGATGGCCCGCCCCATGCCTTGTGCATGTTGATAGTACCGAGAGCCAGGCCTGTTGAGGACTTAGCGGGACACAGAGCGGTAGAGGCTGCAGGATGATCCACCTGATGGCAGGTACGATGCATGAGCTCTGCAGCACCGACATCTGTTCCACAGGTGCAATGCTGTAAGGACTGTTTTCACAACACTCTCGACAGCCACTGGTATAAAACCAATTCCCATCCTCCCGTGCTAATCGACCGTGCCTCACGCTCTCGTTCGCTGAGCCAACGTTCGCTTAAATCATCATCGTTCCGCTTCCATCGGTAGGGGCTGTGCATATTGCCCGTACTGTGCAGATCAGCGAAGATCATGAAGACGCTACGCCTCCTGTCTGTTGTCAGCCTGCTTTCAGCTGCTTTTGCTAAGCCCAGTCCGAGTGAGTGTCGTCATGCCCGTTGTTGCGTCTGGGATCTGCTGATACATAGCAGATAACGATCTTGTAAAGAAAGATAACTGCACCGAACCGTCAGCAGCAAGCTCTCCAGGTATTCAGTCAAGCACTTCCCTCACGCTACCTCCCTATGGCGGATATGGCCCATTCAGCTTCTCCAGCCAGCCCAGATTCGGGTCGGTCACCAGCTCAGTCTCAACCGTTTCTTCAAATACTTCATCCATTAGCGGATCCGAGACAGGATCGACGAGCAGTACATCAGGCTCCACAAGTTCGACTGAAAGCTTGACAACTTGGAGCCTCTCCACGTTGACCACTACGGAAACTCTGACTATCACGCTCACACTGCCTGTCAATACTTCCTCAACAATAAGTGGGTCGGTTACTCCAACAATCAGCACCAGCGGCACCTCTTCGTCTGCGCCCTTGAGCTCTTCGTTCGCAACAACGCACAACTCGACAACAACTTCAAGGAGTTCTCATCTGACCGGCCCTTCTCCCTTTCCGCCGTACAGTCCCCCATCATACGGGTCGTTTCAGCCGCCGATCAGCACCGGCGCCTCGTCTTCGTCGAGCCTTTCGACTTCGTCCAATGTAGGTTCAGTCACGCGAGGCAACATTAGCAGCTCTTATGGGTCATCCTCTTCTCCCATCTCAAGCACGGGAAGCAGCGAATTTCGCAACGCGAGCGCCACAACAACCTCAAGCTCGACATCGTTCAGTTACTCGCCTGTAGCTTCTTCGGCCACGGGCAGCAGTGAGTTTCAGAACGGCACCGCCACGACAGCATCAAGCTTGATGCCAATCAGCTCCTCGCCCCTCACATCTTCAGGCACAGGAAGCAGCGAGTACCGCAATGGAAGCGCTACGACGACCTCAAGCTCGGAATCATTCAGCTCTACAGTCTTGATAACTTCGATTACCGGCGTGAGCAGCAGTACCGGCTATTCCAATGCAAGCAGTATCACGACGGGTCCGGGTACGGGAAGTGGCTCTTCAGGAACTGGCATGTCACCCTCAAGCACGGACAGTAGTGAGTCGCATCTGAGCTTGATCAGTATCACCCCCCTGTCCACTCCTCCTACCTATCCATATGGAGGGTACTGGCCTCCCCATTCCCCAGTGACCTCCTCAGGCACTCGGTCTCGATGGAGTGGTACCAGCGGTGGGCCCACCACCTACTCCAACACATCCTCCCCTATGCCCACGATATCGCAATCTTCTACCGGCACTGCGCCAACGCTTTCTGTCTTGTCTTCAGGTGGCACATCGACAAGTCCACCTTTCAGCACCGGCACGTTCACACCTTCCGGAACGTCAAGCACCACTGTCGGCCCGGTCACCCACTCTAACACCTCCTCGGTGCCGCCGACGTCGGGCTTCTCCACTGGAACTGGGAATGTTTCGGCTTCATCCACGACTTACCAACCTTACACTCTTCCGCCGTATGGCCACACTACGACTACTCTCAGTACAGGCGTGACTAACCCAAGTTCGTCTTCAAGATCGAGCAGCACCCTCGTAAGCCCAGTTACCTACTCCAACACGTCCGCATCATCTTCATCGACAACAGTACTAACAACGGGCACGGGTACGGGCATCTCATCATCCAGAACCGTGCCGCCGCCCTATAGCCTGCCGCATTATGGTTGGTCAACTGGTCCCTTCAGTACCGGAGTTGCACCGTCAATCAGTTCCTCAAGGTCGGTCAGCACTGGCGTAAGCTCGTCAGCCCCCTCGCCGTCAAGCAGCAGCTATACTGTTGGGCCGGTCACGAACTCAACAACATCCATCATGCCGACGACTAGCACAAGCCATTCGCTCAGCACCGGCACCAGTCCTACTTCCACTTCACCCTTTACTTCGTCAGGCACACGGCCCGTGTCATCACCGACATATAGCTTATCACGAACCGGAGCCAGTAGTCTGTCGACCGGCGTCTCTTCGAGCTCTAGCACCATCTCGAACTCCACCACTTCATTCACGCCGTCGTCTGGATTCAGCACCGTTACGACCTTGACAACTACAACGATCGTACCGAGTACGACAACCACACAGACTGCCACAAACACGCCTTATGGCCCGTCACCCGGACGTTATCCTCCGCCACCCGGTACTTACTCACCGGACGGCAACCCCGAACCTCGTCCTTTCTGGTGGCACCCGTTCTTCATTGGAGGACAAGGGCGTGGTGCAGGTGGGTTCTAAGTTGACCGGTGGCTCAACCAATGCCGCAAAATTACTGTTGGCAGCGGCAGTATGTGGAACAGCCTACTGCTAGGCATTGCTGCTCGGAGCAGCAGTGTGGGTTTGTAATCTTTGCCGGTGCTTGAGGCGTAGATGTATACTTCATAATGCAGGCATCTGCCTTGACCTTCATCAGTCGTGCACTTCACGTGACCAGTTTCTCTTCGCCTAAGGCTTCAATGACTAGCACGCCTTGGCACGCTAGTGGATCTCTTGCATTCCAAGCTTGCGGCGCTCCTCCTTCGCTTCTCCAACACACATCAACCACATCTTCTCCGACGAGCGACAATATACCGACGTGCCTGCTGAGTAGTCACGAGAGCAGGCTCGAAGCTAAGTACGGCAACAGTAGGAGGATCAGGATCTACTGCTTCGCAGCCTTCTTTCACAGCCATCACATCTTCCGCTCACCGCACACCGACCAGCACCAGCACCACCCAGTCGACACTATACCCTCCATCTACCCACAGCCCGCACTCTCTCTAGACCGACTAGCACAGTCCGAACATCTGCAGACTTGATCTTGCCACAGCACCTCCCACCACCTTTGGCAAGCAAACTCATACCACGCCCTCTTTCACTGCAAAACACACTTTCGAGCACAGCACCTCCGCTCACCATTCGACTTTTCTTCCCACACTGAACACTGAGCACGCTTTCCTTGCAGCCGTCCGTGTGTAAGTAGAGGCACACAGCATATAAGCAAAACAAGCTCTTTTCCACAGCACAAGCACTGCAGCACTCTTTCCGCATTCCGTGACCTCTGAAACAGCCATGGCAGACATTCCGGAAACTCCAACTGCTACCCAGAAACGCCCCCTCGAAGAACTCTCGTCGCCGTCTGGGCCAACAGACCAGCCAGAAGCCAAACGCCCTGCATTAGACAAGATCTTGAATGAAGGTGGTGCCAGTAGCGCTGTGGCGGATGCCGCGGCAAGTGCTGACGAAGGCGACGCTCCAGCAGGAGAGGCAGGGGTGAGAGTCGTGAGCACTGTTGAAGGAGCTCCAGATGTTGCTGAAGCGGAGCCCGAGAGTAATCACAAGTTAGCCGATACTGTGGTGCCAGATGCTCCTACCAATGGCACTGCAACTGCGGGTCCTCCAATCCAGGCTGCGGGCCATGCGCCAAACACGTCACATGCTGGACAGAACGGTCGCTCAGGCTCACAAGGTCCAATGCCCTACCATAATCAGGACGAAACTGGGTGGCTGCACATGCGCGCCATCATCTCAAGCGCGGAAGCTGCGACTACTATTGGTAAAGGAGGTGAGAATGTTTCACAGATCCGCCGATTGGCTGGTGCCAAGTGTACCGTCAGCGAATACACTCGAGGTGCTGTTGAGCGGATCCTGACAGTTAGTGGCCATGTCGATGCAGTGGCGAAGGTAAACCATTCTACAAAAGTACTGCTCCGTAGGATTCGCTAATATCCAAGCAGGCATTCGGTTTGATCATCCGCACACTCAACCAAGAGCCGCTCGAAGAACCTTCGACACCGCAGTCCAAGACCTACCCTCTCCGATTGCTCATCCCTCACATCCTTATCGGTTCAATCATCGGCAAGCAAGGCGTCAGAATTCGCGAGATTCAAGAAGCGTCTGGCGCGAGGCTGAACGCTTCCGAGTCATGCTTACCGCTTTCCACAGAGCGCTCGCTGGTCGTACTTGGTGTCGCCGATGCGGTCCACATTGCGACTTACTATGTTGGTAGCACGCTCGTCGAGCAATTGACCGATCGCTTTGGCGGACCGGCTGCCTCGAATTACGCTGGCCGTCACGGGGGCCCGCAGGGTGTTGTGCCCGGCGGCATGCAAGTCGTCCCGTACGTTCCGCAAAACGCCGGCGGTCAGATGGGTCACCCAGACAGCTACCGCAAGCATGCACCTCCCCAGCAGCGGACGCCTGCTCCTGGCCCGTACGGCATGCCCTACATGCATGGGCAACCTCCACAGCAACAACCGCAAGCGGCTATGCCCTACGGAGCAGGCTCGCCTCGTGCACCCTACGTCGGCGCAGGCCCACAACAACCCCAGCCCTACGCTCACCATGGCGGCCCACCGCAACCAGGTCCTCACCACCCCCATGCCGCCGCGCATCCGCAACAACCACAACAAGGCATGCCAGGCATGGTGCCAGGGCAGCCGATCACGCAACAGATCTTTATTCCCAATGACATGGTGGGCGCCATCATCGGCAAAGGCGGCGCGAAGATCAATGAAATCAGGCAGCTCTCCGGAAGCGTCATCAAAATCAACGAGCCACAAGATAACAACAATGAGAGGCTTGTGACGATTACAGGAACGCAGGAGTGCAATCAGATGGCGTTGTATATGCTCTACTCACGTCTGGGAGAGAGCAGTAAGAATAGTAATGCTGTCATGCCGAGGTAGGCATGTTCTTTGACACGGAAGCGTGTACGATTACTGCATGTATCTGCTCGAACTCATTGCGATAGGATTGGCTAATGGACCAGTCTATGGTCAACAGGAACATGGTGCGGGTGCACGATGGAGAGAGGGCATCGTCACTTTGTTACATGCCACAGTCCCATTCCACAGATGCTACTTGCGGCAAACGCGCGAAACCCAAGACGGCGAGATCGCGGTTTGCTCGTAGATGTCTCGCGAAATGCCCGCTACCATACTGCAGGAAGTAACCGTGTGTGCGCACATTCTCCAAACGTTCCCATTGTATGTTTGCGCACTTCCGTACCGTTCGTGTCATGGCCTGGTATGTAGCTGCCGCTACCCTTCCGCTTGCGGTATACAGATGTGCCTTGTTTGGCTGCTTGCGACAAAGATAAGATAGAGGGTAGGTATGCGGCGCTAACGTCCAAGCAGCAGAAGCAGGACACGTCTGCGATCAAAGACATGTCTGAAGCATGCTGCGTCCTGGCATCCGACCTCAGCCCCAATATTACGGTCTCTCATTGTCCGCTCAACTACTCCCTGCAGAAGCTGGCAAGCTGGATACCCTACTAACACCAGTGTGGTACCGCCGCCTACCACCATCATTCCACGGCTCCTCCGTTCAGCGTTCACGAAGCATGGCCGTCGCAGTCACAGGACGCCCGATCGGCGTGCCGTCTACCGAGATGCCCTCGCCAGCAGCATCAGACACCTCACTCGCGTCCAGCACCCGACAAGGCCAGCTCGATACGCCACCACGCAGTCGCTCACGCCCGCGTCGCACCCCTTCCCGCATCCCACTTCGCTCAGCTTTCCGCAACATGACCGCCGTCGTCGACGTCTTCGTCGGCAACGACTCCGACAAGAACCGGGCGCAGATGAAATACACGATCCACAAGGACCTTCTCACCTCCGCTTCTCCCTTCTTCGCCGCAGCGTTGGGGAGCACCTTCGCGGAAGGTATGGAGCAGACGGTCCGTTTGCCGGAAGAGAAGCCGGATATCTTCGAATGGTTCCTGCAGTGGCTTTACACGGGCAGTCTGACTACACCGCATAATGGCGCCTACGTCAACGCGCCGTCTTGGATCATGACGCATACGCGAAGCCCGATGGAACATCCGTTACATGCCCGTATGGAGGCGGACTTTCAGGCACGGACGGATGGTGATCTGCGCAATCATCAGGGCAGTCCGAAGTACTTCCTCCTCATCGACCTGTATGCGCTTTCGGACCGCTTGCTCACGACGACGTTGTCGAATGATATCCTATCCACCATCGCGAGGCTGTCGGAGACGACCAACTCCGTCCCTACGCCGAGCGACACGTTTATCCTCTACGATAGCATTCGCGATACTTCGCCCTTGCGCACGCTTATATTGGATCTCTTCGCGTACAAGAAGACGGACAAGCTGCTTGAGACGCACAAGGACGATTGGCATCCCCGCTTTCTCCGCGAACTGGTCGTCAAGCTCAAGCGGCCAGGACCGGAGGCGATTGAGCGGCATAGTTTGGAGGCTTGGCGGCCGCGGAGCTGGAGCAGTACGAAGGGTTGTGAGGGGTGTAAGGAGGCGTGTCGGCCGAACGTGAGTGCCGATCGGTGCGCATTGTGCGAGAAGGTGTTTTGCGGGGATTGTCTGAGACGGCACGGTGGAGCGGCGCAGGGAGGGTGGTGTTTGCCGTTGGATACCAGTGGGTGCAAGCCGTGGATGGGTCGGAATTTGTGTTTGAGGTACCATGAGCATGTCGATGGGGATAGTTGTCGGTAGACTGGAGGTCCTCATTGGGATGAGCCACCTTCATGGTTTCTAATTGACGACAGGCTTGACGGCAAGAGGCCCGTCAAGTCACGGAATCTAGCCCTCACCCGCCGTTCAGGCTGCCAAAGAAGACGCACAGGGCTTTGCTGGCGCCATACATGCAGTAGTGCGTGACCTTGAGCCTCTCACCCGGCTTCGCAAGCTGAGCAAGTTGTCGTAGATCCGATGTCCGGGGCAGGTACAGCACTACGTCCTTGGAGATTGCGGCAAATGGCTTGTAGATATCAAGCAGCGAATACGGCTGCATGACACTGAGATCGTAGACTTCGTAGTCCGCATAAGTCGGACCTCCCCAAGGCGGACTGCCAAAGATGACGGCGTTCTTGCCCGCCTGCTTCAACCGCTTGGGCAGCTCCGCGAAGACATCTCCCTGAATCCAGAAGATCTTCTTCGCGACGCCGTAGACTTCAGCGTTGTGCTTCGCGCACGCCAAGACTTTCGGGTCCTTCTCAACAGCGAAGATTTGCTTCCAGCGGCCCGAAAGTGCGAAGGCGATCGTGTTGCCACCGGCTCCGCAGAAGGCGTCTACCAGCACGGTCTTGGAGGGCGGCGCTAGTCTCGCTATATCGGCGGCGATACGGGTGGCGACGGGTTCCGGTGTTACGCCGAACCAGGCAGAGTCGGTCATCCAGATGCCGTCGTCGTATTTGGAGAAGATGTTGTAGCGTTGGTGCCAGTATTTGGAGACTTCAAAGGGAACATCTGTGGCGGAGTCGTAGTGCTGAATCCCTTCTGGAGGGTCGGCGTTGGTGGTCATTATTGGACTGTGTCATCAACGCATTCACGCGGTTTACCGCACACGTGAGGGGATGGTGAGGGAAGATCTAATAGGAAGGCACGGGCACCGGATTGGTGGGGCGTGTCTGGAGGCGGCCCGCAACCCATAACCACGCAAGTGACGGCATTGTACATACGGTATAGTCGCGTGTTCGGTCGCGCTGAAATCCATTTCCTTTCATCGTCGTCGCATCGCGCAAGCCTTAGTCACGTCCCATTTACAATGAGCACGCCGAACAAGCGGCGCAAGAAGAATGACTATCACTCCTCACCGCAGCCGGTGCGAAGCCTCGACTTCTTCTTCGCGAAGCAGAAGGAGAAGCGCAACGAGGAGGCGGAAGCTGCCATTACCACCCAGGACCCGAACGGTATCGCAAATGGGAATGGGGATGTTGGGGTGGGGGTGGATGAAGAGTTGACCGACGAGCAATTGGCACGAAAGCTACAGGCGCAGTGGGACGAGCAAGACCGGCTACCACTAGCGGATGGACGCAACGACGGACCGGTAGCGAACGGGGATTCGCATCTTGATCCAGAGAAGCAGCCGCCAGACAAGGAAGAAGAGGAGCAGGCCGTGGACGTGGCGCCGAAGCACGAGGAGACTGTCGATAACATCGAAGACAAGCCCGCAAGCAATGCCTTCTCTGCTCTGGGTGGGAAGAAGTCCACCCTCTCCCTTCAATCAGCCACGGCCGAAGAGGACAACACGACGTATAACGTGCCCTTCGATCAGTCACCCCTCACGTTTGACCCGCAGACGCATCTTACCGAACTGAAGAAGCAGTGGGCAGTCGAAGGTGGATCTGCCACTTACGCCCTGCTCACGCACGCCTTTATTCAAGTCAACAGCACACAATCACGTATCAAGATTGTTGACACCCTCGTGAATCTGCTCCGGACTATCATTGAAGGCGACCCGGAGTCACTACTTCCCGCTGTGTGGCTGGCCACCAACTCCATAGCTCCGCCGTACATTGACATTGAACTCGGCCTTGGCGGCTCAGCAATCTCCAAAGCGCTGAAGAAAGTGTGCGGTCTTGACAATGCCGCGCTCAAAACACTGTACAACCGACACGGTGATGCAGGAGACGTCGCCTTCGAAGCGAAGAAGCGGCAATCGCTTACCCTCCGTAAGCCAAAACCGTTGACCATCAAGGGAGTCTACGAAGCCCTGCACAAGATCGCAAATGCCAAAGGCCACGGCAGTGTAGAAGTGAAGCAACGCATTGTCGAGCGCCTAGTGCAGGACGCTCGCGGTGCAGAAGAGAGCCGCTACATCGTGCGCACCCTTGTCCAACACCTCCGCATTGGCGCGGTAAAGACGACAATGCTCATCGCGCTCTCCCGAGCTTTCCTCCTATCCCGCCCACCAGATGCAGACTTCCCCATCAAGCCCACCGCCGAGCTCGGCAAACTCAGCAAGCAGAACCTCGCGGAAGCCTACTCGCCCGGCGAAGAGCTCGTCAAAGCCTCCTTTGCCCGCCGGCCGAACTACAACGACCTCGTGCCTACTTTATTGTCCGTTGGCATCAGCGACGAACTGCTCGTCCGTTGTGGTCTGGCCATGCATATTCCTCTGCGACCCATGCTTGGCGGAATCACGAGAGACATGGGCGAGATGCTCACGAGACTTCAAGGCCGAGACTTCAGCTGCGAATTCAAGTATGACGGGCAACGAGCGCAGGTGCATTGCGATGCGGCGGGTAAGGTCACAATCTTCTCCCGCCATCTCGAGGTGATGACGGAGAAGTACCCGGATCTTGTCGCCTTAGTCCCGCAGATCCGCGGTGAGGGCGTCAGCAGCTTCATCATGGAGGGCGAAGTCGTCGCCGTCGATCGCGCGTCAGGGGAACTGAAGCCGTTTCAAGTATTGGCCAACAGAGCGAGGAAGGATGTTGTCATACAAAGTGTAAAAGTGGACGTTTGTCTCTTCGCTTTTGATCTGATGTACCTCAACGGGGAAGAGCTACTCAACCGCAGTTTTCGCGAGAGAAGAAATCTCCTGCGGAGTCTGTTCGTGGAGATTCTGAATCACTTTACCTGGGTTAGGAGTATGGACGCCACGTCCGCGGACGGAGAGGCTGTGAGCGACTTCTTCAAGCAAGCGACCGATATCAAATGCGAGGGCATCATGGTGAAGGTGTTGGACAATCTCGTCAACCCCGCTCTGGCCGCGGACATGGACGTGGACGGCAACGACGAGCTGCCCACTCCCGCCAAACCGCCTCCCACGCCCTCCAAACCCAGCAAGAAGAAGAGCGGCGCCAAAGCGAAACCCACCGGCGAAGATGCAAGCACGGAAGAAAAGAAGGGCGGCCGCCGCAAAGCCCTCCTCGCCACCTACGAACCCGACAAACGTCTCGACTCCTGGCTGAAGGTGAAAAAGGACTACGACACCAGCGCGGCGGACACCATCGACCTGATCCCCGTCGGCGGCTGGCACGGGCAAGGGCGGAAGAACGCGTGGTGGTCGCCCATCCTGCTCGCCTGCCGCAACGAAGAAACCGGCACGCTTGAGGTGGTGACGAAATGCATCTCCGGCTTCACGGACGCGTTCTACAAGGCGAACAAGGAGAAGTATTCCGAGGATGGGGAGCATGGCAATGTGATCGCCCGGCCGAGCTATGTGGAGTACGCGGGGGAGCCGGATGTGTGGTTTGAGCCGCAGGAGGTGTGGGAGATGGCGTTTGCGGATGTGACGTTGAGTCCGACGTATACGGCGGCGAGGGGGTTGGTGAGTGAGGAGCGGGGGTTGAGTCTGAGGTTTCCGCGGTTTCTGAAGGTGAGGGAGGATAAGGGGATTGAGGAGGCGTCGACGAATGAGTTCTTGGCTGGTCTGTACCGGAAGCAGATGGTGAGGGTTGAGGAGGGTGGTGGTGGTGGTGGTGGGGGTGGGATGGGGCAGGTGCAGGAGGCGGAGGAAGAGGAGGAGGAGTAGGTGAAGGTTTTTTGGGATGAATGATGTACAGAATTGTAAATACCGTCCGACGAACCTCAGGCGGGATCTGGCGCCAAACGCCGCCGCCGCGCTATGCACGCCCCATCCTCTCTCATCGATGTCAGTTTCGCCCTACTCTTACAATACACATCCCATCCATCTTCCATACATGTATGATAAAAAACGCTTACGAATCCACGTCCATCTTCTCCCCATGCCCCGTGGCCGTCGTCTCAACCTCCTCCACGGTCACATACTTGCTCACCTCCTCCCTCGTGATGACCTTCTGCTGCAACACCGCCGTCGTGCCCCGCGCAAACTTATACCCCCTCATCTTCCGCTCCCGCTCATTCGGCCGCTCGAAATTCCGCATCATCGTCGTCTTTGCGGGAGTGATTACACACACGTCCACGTTACTGCCACTTCCGAGATCGTTGAAGATACCCGCCCGAATCGCATCGGCGCATAACCGCACCGCATCCTCGCGCTTCAGATCCCGCTTCCAGCTCGTCTCGAAGACACTCATCGCCGCCAACGAGCCGGAGCCCATGGTGACGTAGGGCAGTTTGTCGGTGGATCCGTGGGCGTGGACGGTGAATAAGTGGGCCCCCGTCGGGTCGCACCCGGCGACGACGAGGTAGGCGCCGATGTGGCCTTGGTAGCGGAAGAGGTGTTGTTTCAGCATGGTCATGACGGTGACGACGCGGGGCGGGCGGCCGGTGGAGAGGGCGTGGAGTTCGAGGTTGGAGGAGATGAGGGCGGTGGTGAAGTCGGTGTCGGCGGCCGTGCCTGCGCCCGCGCACCAGATTTGGGGGGAGATGTAGTGCAGTTTTTCGCAGTTCTAGTATCAAATCATCGTACTGTCAGTGTTGAAGAGGGGTGGTACAGAGGGGTGTGGTGGTGGGGCTACGCCGTACTTTGTCTGCTACTATGGGCCCACTGGTCGCGCGAGTGTCTGCTGCAATGACGACGCCGCCATCGAAGAGACAGCCGACGATGGTGGTACCGGTGGACGTGGCTTTGGGCAGAGGCACACCTTGGGCATGGAGGGCGAGGTTGCGGTTGTGGTTGCTAAAGTCGAAGCCCGGCATTGTGGTGGAGAGAAGGTGTGTATGTTGTGTTGTTCGTCGTACTGCGCCGTGTGGTGGTGGTGGTGGTTGTGGTGGTGGTGGTGGTGCTGCTGCTGCTGCTGGTGTATGGCTGGATGATGCGGCGGATGGTGGCCTGCGAACGCCAGAGGCTGTGTGAGAGAAGCTGACCAAAGTTTTCTACCAAAGCGTCCCGCCTTCAATCAATATGTGGGCGGTGTTTCAATCAATGCTTCTCAAGCTGCACGACCACGACTTTTGCAAGCGCGACACGCTTCACTAGCGAGCATCGCGGTGTCACGAGCGCCCGTTTGCGAGAAGTGAATGGTCTCGAATATATCCCACTTTAGCGACCGCCCCCTGCGAACATATATACCACACCTTCGCCAATCTGCTCGGCAACAGAGTCGGCCTCCACGCCTTGTCCTTGCAGCCACTGCAAGTCCGCTCCTTTCACACCACCGCCCTCCAACACCCTTCCAATCCCCTAAGCGCCTCGTCAGAAACACAGAGTCATTCGGAAGGCCTTCCGCCGTTACAATCGCATGAGGGTGGAGGGGAGATGGCGTTCAGCTTTGGAGGCGGGCAGTCGGCGCAAGGGGGAAGCGGCGGCGGCGGCGGCAGTCAAGCGAATGCGGGCCCAGACTTGGAGTCCATCGACACGGAGCAGTTGAGCTTCCAGGCCGTGTCAGGCGAGGACAAATTGAAGCTGCTCCCATCACCCTGGCCAAGCGACAGTCAACCACCAGCGTCAGCATCTCTACTCAGCATCGCGTCGAGCAAAGGCTTGGTGGCAGCTGCCGGCCCGGATACGCTGGTCGTCGCGAAGACGGATACTGTTCGGACGGCGCTCAGAGAGGGTACAGCGACCGGCGACAGCAAGATCAAGGAGTTCAACCCGGAAGCCACCATCTCCATCCCGCGCGTCTCGCAGCTCGCCTTTTCGAGCGACGAGAGTTGTCTGGTCATTGCGGCAGAGCAGGGGGGCGGACTGGCCGTCTACGACACCAATGCCATCACCACGGGTAGTAAGGACCCCGCATTCCAAGTAGGCACGCATGGGGTCAGTGTGCGACAGCTACTGCCCAATCCGAATCCGGCGGGTGATCTGGCGCATCTGTTTGCGATGGTGCTGGAGACGGGACAGTTGTTGCTGGCAGATCTGAAGACGAGGGAGCTTGCGAAGAGTGGTAATGGCAATCCTGTCTTTCACGACAACGTCACGTGTGCTTGTTGGTCGAGACTGGGGAAGCAGATTGTCGCTGGACGGAGTGACGGAACGGCTGTTCAGGTCGACCAGCAGGGCAATGTCAAGGCGGAAATTCCACTACCGCCCAGGCTGCCGGAACTGTCGAACGGTGCATCTGGTCCCATTCCGCTCACGTCGGTATACTGGATCGAGACGAACGAGTTCCTGCTGGTGCATACGCCTAATAACACTTCAGCCAACGGAGACGCAATGGCTGATGGACCCACAAGCGAGTCTATCATGCATCTGGCGAGGAGAGAGAAGGCTACGAGCACCAATTGGATCTTCCAAACAGTCACAGACCCGACACCTGCTCTACCCTTCGGTGGACGAACACCGACTCATCACTTCATCCAGCGGCTGAAAGACTGGCCTCCGAACCTCGACGACCTCCTTTTCCTCATCTCGACGCTCTCGACGGATGTGGGAATGCTGTCGAAGAGTAAAACGCCACTCAACCCAGATACACCCGTCAGCGGCGTCTACACCACCACCAACCCTCCGGATATGAGGCGAGCAGGAATGCCACTAAGCATCCTCGACAGCGCGAGTGATACTTCACCCATCGGTATGGCGATCGACTTGAGCGTCAAGGAATCGATTCCGCAGCCAATACCGAAGGATGAAGAGATCAGAGACTCGCCCACGCCCTTACCGGCTCTATACATCCTCAATAATGAGGGCATGCTGAGCGCATGGTATGTCGTCTACAACGACTCGATCCGGCAAAAGGTAGCCTTCCCAGACCTCGTCGCAGCAGGTGGCCCCAGACCGTTGGGTGAGAAGAAGGAAGGCACGCCCGCTCCCGCTCCATTCGGCCCCACAGGCGGACAATCACCATCACTATTTGGCAGTACAACGCCGGCCTCAAGCGCACCCTCGTCCGCCCAACCAACAACTTCCGCTCCAGCTTTCGGCGCATCCGCTTTCGGTACACCCACCACCCCCGCTTTCGGTGGCCCAACGAGCAATACGCCTGCTTTCGGCAGTCCAAGCACCCCAGGTTTTGGCGGAGCTTCCGCATTGGGGAACAACAAGCCCTCAGTATGGGGCTCCCAAACCCCAGGTACAACGGCTAGCAATGCGTCACCTTTTGGCGCAACATCAGCAGCAGGGAGCAATCAACCCACCTTTGGCTCCTCCACACCCATGGGAGCCGGAAGTGGTTTCGGCCAGGTAGGCGGATTAGGACAGACCAAATCACCTTGGGCTTCTTCTGCGCCCGCGTTCGGGAAGCCGAGTGCGCCTTCGCCTTCGCCTTTTGGCGGGCAGCAAGCACCGTTCGGCGGGAGTAAGGAGAATGGTGAACCGCAGAAACCGGCTGCTCCTTCTTCCGTCTTCGGCAGCGGCATGGGTGGGGGCCAAGGGATGTCCACTTTCGGCTCCCTTGCTGCACAAGCGCAGAGTGGGAACGAGAACAAGAGTCCCTTTGCCGCTTTTGCCTCGTCGTCCACGAAGCCTGCCGCTGTGTCTGCTGAGCCTTCGTTTGGTTCTACCGCTACCATTGGTTCAGGCTCTGGCTCCGGGTTTGGCAGTTTCGGCAGCACGGTCAACGCCCCGTCCATCTTTGGCACGCCGAGTTTGAATGGTGGTGGGGGCAGTGGTGGGGGGATGAGTTTTGGGCGACCCTCGAGTCTGCCTGTTAGTCGGGAGGAGACTATGGAGGATGAGGGGGAGAAGAAGGCTGGTGAGCAAGCGAAGCCGCAAGGGAGTGCTGGCTTTTTCAGTGGATTGGGGTCGAGTGGGTTTAAGTTTGCGCAGGGTGCTGGAGACGGGGAGAAGCAGACGGCTGGTAGTGGTAGTGGTGGTGGTGGTGGAGGAGGAGGCGGAGGCATGTTTGGATTGGGGAGTGGTGGGTTCAAGTTGGGAAATACATTCAAGGGCGATGGGAGCGCGAAGAATGATTTGCCGAAGCCGAAGGAGACGGATGGTGGGCTTTTTGGTGGCGGATTCGGGAAGGTGCTTGGGGAGGTCGAGGAGCAGCAGCCCACCACGCCTATCAAGCAGGAACCCGGGACGGAGAAGGAGGTGCGGCTGGAAGATGTGCCGCGTGCGAAACAGGACGACCCGTTAAGTTACAGCGCGAAGAGATTCACGGGAGATGTACCGCCGATGGATGTCCCTGGTGGAGAGACGCCGAGGAGGTTTGCGGGTGATGTGCCGCCGATGGATGTCCCCGCCGAGAAGAAAGCTAAGAGTGCGAACGAGGACCCGCTGAGCTATAAGGCGAAGAGGTTTGCGGATGACGTGCCCCCCATGGATGTACCTGGTGGCGCTGAGCAGCGCAAGAAGACAGAGGAGAGGAAGGTCGAGGAGGAAGCGCCTGTTGCTGGGTCGCCGCCGGTCGATCTGGGGAACGAGAGGTTTTCTGAGGTGGCTGAGGACGACGAGGATGTGCCTCCGGTGCCTGATGATGAGGGCGAGTGGGAGGAGGAAGACGATGGTGAGGAGAACGGGGGTGAAGAGGGTGATGAGCAAGATGATGATGATGATGGTGATGATGAAGGCGACGAGGACGAGGAAGACGATCGCGAGGTCACCGATCCCAACGCTCTGGCTGCATTCGAGTCGAGAGTCACGCCTGCTTCCCCGGTCCGCGCAAAACAGCAGAACGAGTCGACGACGCCAGCGACTGAGAAGAAGCCGATTGTGCCTAGTTCCACTCCCGCCGGCTGGCCCAAACCACCTCCCGTATTTGCACAGCCGGTGCAGGAATCACCTCGCTCGCCCAGCCCGGTGCGTGCGGTCACTGCGCCGTTGCAGACGGCTGCACCTAGTCAACCGTCCAAGTCACTCTTCTCGCCGGCCCAACCACCGCAACAGCAGCAGCAGCAGCAGCAACAACAGCAACAGCAACCGAAACGCATCGCCGTGCCACCGGCTAAACTCGCCCAGGAGCGTGCTCCAGTCAAGCCCGCAAAGCCTGCCGAACCCACTTCCGGCGAGCTCGAAGACGAAGACGATGCGCGCATCAAAGCAATTCTGGACAGCGCGCCGCAGCCGAGTAGAGAGGTCCCGGTGTTCCTCGCCCATCATGATTACGTGGGTCAGTCTGAAAAGCAAGGACTTGGTGGGCAGATCGAGAAGGTGTATAGGGATGTTAACAGCATGCTTGACACGCTGGGACTGAACGCGCATTCGTTGATGGGGTTTGTGGAGGGGCAGGCAAGGTTCAAGCGGGATGGTGCGAGAGAATTGGGTGAAGATGAGGAGGAATGGACGTTGGATGAGGTTGCTGGTTTGGAGGGGTTAGAGGATGAACTTAGTGATCGTCTTGAGCAGGGGAGGTTGCGGAACGTTCGAGCGCGGTTGGAGAGTTTGGCGGAGGAGGGGCAGGACGTGAATAGGTTGAAGATGAGGATGGCGGAGTTGAAGAAGCGGGTTAAAGCCCGCTCGGATCCGGAGCAGCAGGCTAAGCAGGACATGGCGCCTTTGACGGCTGAAGCGCAAGTGCAGCAAGCGGAGCTCAGACGGCTGGCGCAGAGGGTGCAGACGCAACTGGGCGAGGCGGAGGAGGCGGTGAGTGTGCTGCGGGCGCAACTTGCTTCCACGACGGCGATGACGGACGGCACGCCGGTGTCGAAGATGCCCACGGTTGAGGCGGTCACGAACACGATTCTGAAGATGACGGCTATGATCGAGCGGAAGAGTGGGGATATCGATGTCCTTGAGGCGCAGATTCGACGCTTGCCGGGAGGGCTTGCGGCGCTGAAGCTGGATGAGGATTACGATGACCAGCTTGTCAGTTCGCTGGGGGGAAGTAAACTGCTCGCCGCTTCACCAGCGCGCAGTCACACTCGCATGCTGGCGAATGGCGACGCGCCGGGTATGAACGGTATGTTAGGCTCGTCGACGCGCTTCCGCACTCCGCCGTCTGCGAGAATGAGCATGAGCATGAGCATGAGTCGGAATGCTTTTTCGCCTCAGGCGAGTCGATTGGGGGCCAGCACGGGCAGTTTGAGCGGCAGTGCGAGGAAGAAGCAGCGGTGGGATGATGTGAGTGAGGAGGAGATCCGGGCGTATCAGGCGAAGACGGGAAGGCGGAGGAGGGTGCTGGATCTGCTTCGGGATAAGGTGGAGGGGGGCGAGGCGAGGGTTGTTCGGTTGGAGGAGGATTGAAGTGATGGATGGCCTCCAGCACGGCTTTTGGGGGGGATATCTGTGGATATGGGCTTTTGCAGCGTTCTAGCGTGCATATTGTGCTGTATTGTCTTGATAAGATTGGAGACTGTACAGTAGGATAAGACGTCAACGAGCGAAGCGCCAAGCCACCGCTTTGCTAGCGCGTCATGAGACAGCGCTCAACCATCTCCAACGCCAATCTCCATACGCCGTACCCAAGTACCCAGGAATTCTCGTCTTGTTCTTCACTCGCTTTTCACTGCTGCTGCAAACCCTCTACTTTCCGCAAAAGCCCTAAGAACAAATTCTCTTCCTCACTCACATGCTCACCTCATCAACACCCTTGTTTGCGCACGTGATACCAAAGTTACGCATCTAACACACACACCGAACCTCCTCTGGATTGTAAACGATAGATGGCAACACCCGCCCACTGCGCCTACGCCTTTGAAGTCCTCGCGGCCAACTTCGAGCGCCGCCAGCCCTTGAGCTTGGCGCAGGTGGAGGAGCTGTGGGAGCGGTATCACGCGAGCGGCGCCGATGACGACGAAGACCAGGCTCAAAAGAGGAGAGACGATGAGGAGCACGATGAGGAGGAGGTGGAGATGACGGACGCGGAAACCGAGCAGCCCGTCCCCGCACGCCCGGCCGCCATCTCGAGGCTGGCGCGTAAGCAGGGCGAGGGCGGGGGCGAGGGTATCGATGTCGCGTCGTTGAGCGCGACGAGTTCGACTAGTAGCCTGCCCTCTACGAGATCCGGGGGTGCGTCTACACCCGGTAGCAGTCGGCAGAGTGGATCGGGAGCGGATACGCCGGCGAGTTCGCGCTCGTCGCTCTTCTCGTTTTCGAGTTCCACTTCCAAGCCGCAGCAGCAGCAGCAGCAGCGGAAACGGGAGGAGGGGAGGAGGAGGAGGGAAGAGTATCCGCTGTTCGTGACGTGGAATACGGTTTCGCGGGGTGGGAGCAAGAGTTTGAGGGGGTGCATTGGCACGTTTGAGGCGCAGGAGTTGGAGGATGGGCTGCGGGCGTATGCTTTGACGAGGTAGGTCTACGACAACACGTTGAGGTTTTTCCTCGTGCGAGCAGACGCCCGGCTAATGAGTGTATGATAGTGCCTTCGAAGACGCCCGTTTCCCGCCAATTCCACCATCCCTCCTACCCTCTCTCGCCGCGCACGTCACGCTGCTGACGAACTTCTCCTCACCTACGCGCGACCCGATGGATTGGGTACTGGGCAAGCACGGCCTGCGCATCTCGTTTACCGTGCATGGCCGCCGCTACGGCGCCACGTACCTACCTGATGTCGCGAAGGAGCAAGGGTGGACGAAGGAGGAGGCGCTGATCTCGCTCATGCGGAAGGCGGGGTGGAATGGGAGTAGTTCGGCGTGGGTGAAGACGTGGAGGGAGGGCAAGGGGGAGTTGGTGAGGTATGAGGGCAAGCAGGTGGGGTTGCGGTATACGGAGTGGAGGCCGTGGAGGGAGTGGGTGGAGAAGTTGGGGGTGAAGAGTAAGCCGCTGAATTGAGGCCGGCGGATGGAGAAGAAGAAGAAGACGTGCTTGCTTTGGTAGCGTGGCGTTGGTGTGATAAGGTCGTCTGGTAATGGTTGATCACATTGATCTCCCGCCGTAGAGGAAGAGCTATACGGTCAATTAGAAGGCCTCGAGCTTGTAAACTTCGTATGCCGGCTCCTCGTACGGGTGCGCTCTGGCCGGAACGTCAGTCTACCAACCCACGCGTGGAACTCGTGCGGGGGACACGTTTCTACTTCCTCAAAGCCTCGACTGCAGCCTTGGCCACACCTTCACCTGCACACAGCATCTCACACCGAACTTCTCCGACCTCCTCTACTTTCCCTACCATCCCGATGGCGGGCTTGGCACCATCGCCGGGTCGGAACTGACCCACGCCGGGGGTGGTGAAGCAGCACTCGGTGTATTTGCCTTGTGTCCCCGCGCCCGTGGCGAAGACGGCGGTTTTGATGGCCGCGAGGGATTGCGGAGGGGTGAAGAAGACGAGTTTGTAGCGGGTGACGAGCGCTGTTGTGGTCATTGTGGGCGATGTCAGAGGGCTGAGCGAGAATGTCTAGCCTCGTGCTGCAGTACGAGACATGGAGGATATACATATGGTATCACTTGGCTCGTTGTTTTCACTGGCGGAAGGTGGCAGGCATGTTCAGCGGGACACACACCATTGCAAACAATAGGGTGTACGCTGTGAGTCTCTACATCTCCACGCCTCTCACTGTCGACCGGCCACTGTTGGCGTTGTTGACAACATCGACAAGAAAGGAGCGAGAAGTGGTCACGTGCGCGTGCTTCGAAGTGAGGGGCAGCCAGTGACGTAGGGTACCTTCCAAGTGCGGGGCATCAACACAGCAACACAGCCGCCGACGCAACGTCACACGCCCCTGCCTCCATGGTCATTCCACGTCCCACCATGACATGCCGAAAGCCACTTTGCCAAGCGACCAAGTGCCGCCGAGGTTAGCAGAGCAAGTGGCGTCGGGGCATGATGAGGTGTGGAGAGGGAAGGGCACAGCTGGCTGGATCTAGAGCACTGCGGCTACGTCAAGTCGACAAGCCATCTCGATCCGCGTGCTTGCAGGCCAAGTGTCTCCGGCCAACCAGCAGTGAGGGTAGAAGCCACAGCTGGCTGTCTCCGATGCAAACTCGGCGCCATGTGATCAGACTAGAGAAGATGAAGGGGAGTGGGAGTGAGGAGCACTGCCCTGCCTTTACCCGTTCCTGCCCGCGGTGTGCCTGGCTGCCCGTGGCTGAAGCGACTGGAAGCTAACCTTACCTTACCGCACCAGGTAAGCTGTTCTTTCCCTCCACTGGCTGAGGGTCACATGCATTCACAAACATTGTGACGCGCGGATGACGTGCCAAAAGTGCTTCAGCTCGCTTGCATAAGAAGCTCCTGTGGTCGGGCTCTCACACTCTTGCTCCTACACAACCAAAGCACTCCATCCAATTCAATCTCACCAAACAAACCAATCCCCACCAAACCAAACCACCCAAACAACACCGTCAAAATGTCTGAGGGTGCCCGCAAGGATTTCACCGACAGTGTGTACAACCACCCGGACACAACGAAGCTACCCCGCTAACATGTACCACAGAGGCGTCTGAGAAGATGACCCCCAACGACAGCAAGTCGACCGTCGACAAGATCTCCGAGGGTGTCTCCGACACCGCCGACAAGGCCCAGCGGTACGCCATTGCCACAGCTCATACCTAACCAAGATTCCGTTCACTAACATTGCCACAGCGACCTCATGCCGGACGACCAGAAGTCGACCACCCAGTCCCTTGGCGACAAGGCGAGCCGTGAGAAGGACTCGCACTCCAGCAGCAACCAGGGCGGTTCCATCATCGACTCCGCCAAGGACATGCTCGGCATGAACAAGTAAACAACTTCTTCATCTTGCATCGACCCACCTCCGCCATCGTCGGCCACTTCTTCGCAGACGGTGAGCGTTGAGCTACAACAGCGCGACTCCATATTCAAAAAAGCCACAGAGCTTAGGGTGTTTGCTTCTGTATGATACCACGATAGCACCATGAAGCATGAGCTCTGCGTGAGCTGTTGACCCAATCATTCTTCCTCTCAATCGTGCAAATCATCCGTCTTAGGCGTATGTATGTGAAACATTGGTACAGTTGGTTGTTCTATATTATTCTGTGTTCTGCTATGGTTCTGTTTTGATTCTACACCTCTCTATGGGCGTAGTCGTTTCGGAGAAGCGAACAACCGCAGTCTATCACAGCATAGCCGTGAAACTTGACGACCCAAAGTGACGAGTCCACAAAAATCGTACGTCTTCTCCTACCACGAAAGCTACGATATGCCACACTTGAAAGAGGGTCAATTCCTTGCCCGCATCTACCCGCCACTACTCCAATGCAAAAAAACCCCACATCACGTCCCATCAATCCCAATCCCCTCTCTTACTCAGATTCAAACCCCGTTGACCTGCGGCTGCGGCGTCCCACTCACCCCCCTCGCCGCCACCGCCATTGTCGGCGCAGGCCTCGGATACCCATTCACCGGCGTCGGCGGCTGCGAGGGAGCAACAGCTGCATACGTCGACGTCGGCGTCGCCCTGCCCGAACCTGACTGCTGCTGCTGCTGCTGCTGGGCCGGCGCCTGGTAGATGGGCCGCGGCTGCACGTTCGCTGGGGAAGCCGTTCGGTGCGTTGTCTGCTGCTGCTGCTGCTGGAGATTGGATTGGTATGCTGCTGCGTTCGCTGCCGGGTTGTAGGGTCGTGGTTGTTGTTGCTGCTGCTGTTGCGGCTGAGTTGATGCGGATGCGGTGTTGTAATTGGTCGTGCTGGCTGGTCGGGGCTGGGTGTAGCCGCCGTAGTTGACTGGGGTGTGGCTGGTTTGGGGCCGGGAGGGTTGGTAGTATTGTTGTTGCCCTCCTCCTCCTCCTCCTCCTCCGTATTGCGTCGCACCGGGCCGGGTGTAGGACTGGGTTGACTGGGGGTTGTACGTGGGTCTCGGTGCGGTGCCTGTGGCTGTGCTACCACTGCCGTACGTGGACTGATTGCTGACGGGGCGTTGGGGCTGCGGTGCCGTGGAGGGGGTACGTGAGGATGTGTACTGCGTCGACGCGCCGTATCTCGTGTTGGCTGCTTGGCCGATGGCGGGTGTTCGTGAAGCGGTCGAGCTGTAATGTTGGCCGGAAGTCGAGCTGCCTCTGGTGAGCGAGGCGATGCCTGCTGCAGTAGCGATGGCATTATGCTTGGCCTGACGTGCCACTTGGTCTTCGTCCATGGTTCCTCGAACATCCTTGGCGTAGATTGGGATGAGGCGGCTAACACCGAGCTCGGCGAGCTGATTGCCGTCAAGCTTAGCCACCGCATAAGGCGGCAATCTCAAGATCAGATACGCGAGCTCGCGGCGCAGAGCATGGTAGGTGTGCACCTCGTCCTCTGCCGGCTCATCAGGCTTGCCCATGCGAGAAGCAAGCACGGGTGCTGGGCTGACTGGCGGGCGTGTCCCGGAGGATGAAGCTGACACTGTGGCGTTGCGAATACGCTGATGTGAAGCAAGCGTCTCGAGAAGCTCAGATATGGCGCGTAGAATGGCTTCAACATCAGTCTTCGATGTGGCCGGCTCGACGTCCAACATGTCTTGTTCGAGCTCGTCCAGCTCGTCAAGCACCTTGCCAAAAGCTGCATCGTCGCTCACATCGACATGCTGGACCGGTGTTGGGGCGTCTGCCGTGGTGGCATACTCATCGGAGAGTGCCGGGTCTATCGCAAAGGTCTCAACAAACCGCTGCTCGCCTACCTTCTGCCACCAAAGCAGACTTCTCGTTTCCGCAGGAATCACCGATTTCGTGTTATCGTGTGAAGGCGCGAAGCTGGAATACGCTCGCCTGAACAGCGCCTCCTCTTCCGCCGCTTGCTGCTCCTCCAACAGCGACACATCTGGGCGTTCTTTCGTGCCATCTGCACCGCCGCTGAGCGCCCGGTCACGCTGCTTACGCCGTTCCCGCGGTGACGACCCGTCAGCTGCATCGACACCGCCGTACCCAAGCCAGTCTCCGGTGGTCAAGCTTTGGACGGTGTAGCCGCCTTTCTTCGAGCCGCGACTGATGGTATCCTTGAACTCCCACGTGATGCTCGTATCGCGGGTGGATGATCGCTTGTGCGGCTTGGGCGGGTGCAACGCGGGCAGACTGTAGGGCGGTGCAAAAGCCTCCTCGAAAGTTGGGCCTTTCTTGCCGTCATCTAGCGGGGCAGGCATGATCTTCGTTGCTGTCAGCCCGTTCGGAAGACTCATCTCTTCCACCGGTAGCTCTGTCTTGATCGCAGCGTGCGTTTCTTCAATCACAGGATTCTGCATTGAGGAGAAGAGCTGCTTGGGCGTCGGAGCGTTGCCGAAGAGGGTGAGCACCGTACCCACTTTGCCAGAGGATGTAGGCTTGGTGTCTGCGCTGAACCCATTGACCACCTTGCTGGCGTCCAGCTTTGCGTCGGCGTGTATGCTTTCATACTGGAGCTCTTTGTCCACAGCGTCCGCGATGAATTGTTCGAGTGCTTTGGCTCGCTGTATCTGCTTGAGATCCTCGATGGACGGCCGACTTGCAAGCCTGCTGTCCTCATCCTTGACCTTGGGCCTCGTCGATGCCTCTATTGCCTTCCTTGCTAGTGTTGCATCGGTCTTGATCAAGGCTAAGGAGGCGTATGCACCCGCGGCGAGCTTAGCGGATATGGTCCTTTTCGGCGGTGACTCAGATAAGCGTGCCTTCTTGGTTGCGGGCTCGGCATATTCATCGGTGTCGATGATGGCATCGAGGAAGCTGCGCGTGGTGTCGTATTGTTTGAGCAGTTCAAGAATGTCCAGCTGCGTCTGTCTGCTACGCGAAGGCGCGCTTGCTGGTCCTTCATCATTCTTCTGTGGAGTCGCATCGCTATCGTCGTCCCGCTTGCGCTTGAGGGCGGAAGTTTGTAGGGGTGCGGAGGTGGTGTGAGGAGGCTCGAGGGTAGCGGGCGGGGTGAGGGTGCCGTTGGTGGTGGCCATGATGCGCGACGTGCAAGCGGCCGGGGTCCGCAGTAGAGGGTTGGCGTGCTGAGAGACGCGACTTTGCCTTTGCGCTCAAGCCCGCCGATGGCCGCAGAAGTGACAATGTAGTCGATCCTCTCACACTTCACACTCGCCAAGGACACCAGGCACACAATCGCTTTGACACCAGGTAGTATTGCTTGCCCTGTACAAGATAAGACGGCAATATGGGACAAGGTGGACTCTGCCACAAACTGCTGAGGGTTTCCGGGCGCCGGCAGCCCTTACATGAGACACAATCTGCCCGGCTGATTTTCGGTGAATCTCTGGCCATTGTGCTGGAGCATGAATCGCTTCTCCGTCTTGCTCGCTTTCAGCTTACAGCCATATCGCATCCACGGCAAGCAGGTGTACCCGTTGATGCATGCCACATGGAGGTCTGACGCCGCTTGGCCGGCAGCTGAGGCTGGTGCTTGTCAATGTTGGCCGCAACGCGCATCATGGAGCCCAGAAAGCTCGTGAGCCTCCAGCTGCGTGCCTTCCCCATGCGCGCAAGCGAGCATTCCACTCGCTACGATGCCGAGAAGGCGGGTTAGGAACAGCAGCGGCCATACAGGAGAGTCTTGGGCGTGACGATACGTCTGTGCATCATGCAGAAAAGCCTTCGCGGCTGCGAGACACGTCTTCAACCACCGAGATCAGGCAGCGAGCATGGAGAGATGACCTGAGGAAGGTATCGACTTTTGCAGACAGTCGCACTGCCAGGGCAGAACATGTTGCACACACTCCAGGCTTTGCGGATGGTCACATCAACCACCCTGACGACCGGGAGTTATGGGCGTCTGACGCAACCGATGCTAAGGTGGTCGAGCAGCCGCAGAGGGTACGCTCAACAGGCTTTAGTCTAAGAGCTCTCACGGAAAGCTATGTCTCGCATGTCCAGTCCTGGAAGGAAATCGGTCGAGCAGCTTCGGATGCTCCATTCGAGCTGACTCGCCACGAGGCCGAGTCTCTACATCGTAAAGGGCACACCATCGATGACATTGCAGCTTGGGCTCGCATAGTCTCCGCTGTGGACGCTTACGATGCAGCGAAAGACCTTGCTAACCTTTATGCCGTTCAAGGTGGGCGCGCGCCACCGCTCTTTCTCCCGTTGTCCCTGCTCCGTAGGCCACATCTCAGTGCGAGGACTGTCCGTGTACTCCTACAATTCCTATGGCAAGTGGGCGAGGATCAACGAGGAGATGCCAAGTACTCTCCGGTACTGGAACGCACAAATGTGGCCTTCACGCTGTTCATGCGTTTGTTGTGTCATGCACGGGAAGTCTGGCCATCCGCGGTTGAAAGCATCACTCGCCTCATGCTTCTGGATGTCTCACCTAGCAATACGATTGCTGTGGAGGCTTCCGCTCCAAGACTATCGCATCTAACGCTGCTGCTGAACAGAGCTATGAGCCTAATCGCGGAGCCTACGGCGGTCCAACCGTTTCGCGATGCACACTTTCAGCAGGCAGCGATAGTTCGCGTTTTAACCTACATGGCTGAACACGAACCGCAGATCCAGATCACTCGGGAAGGCTACCGTGCCGTGATGCGCATTCAGCTGACTCAATCAAAGACGACGGCTGAGAAACGGTGGGCGCAGCTAAAGGCGCAGTCCTGGCCGCCGTGGAAGCATGAACGTACCGCTATGGATTCTTTCATCACTCCAGAGTACGGCATGACACGTGTTGGGGTCACGTTACGGAGGATGCGGGAGGCAGGCTACGGTATGACGGCCTGGGAACGAGCTGCGGAAATGTACGCTGGTTGGGACGTTGACGGGACGCCTACCATCCAGACTCGCGCCTACATGCGAACCGAAGGCATACCTAACGGTCCCGAAACCGAAGTGTGGGTGGCGCGGATCTCTGCCACCCGCACGGCGCAAGAGGCATGGGCTGCTTACCTTGCCTATGAAGACGCCAAGCTGCCTTCGAATCCCGATGTCTTGCTCGCCATCTTTAAGAAGCTCCATTCTGAAGAGCAGCGTCAGGCGGAAGCCAGTGGCAAACAGCACGCTCGTAAGAGTAAGCACGTTCTGCCAGGAGACCGAAGAGAAGTCGAGCCTCTTCCGCCATCAATACACCTTTACACGTACACTCGTACTCCAGTACCCACCGTCGACAGCTTCCATCGCCAGCTCTGCATTAGCGGCGTAACCCTCTCGGGCCCGACGCTTGCGTTCATCGTGGCCAACGCTAGTCGACTACAGCTCGGCTTTCACTACCTCGAAACCAGCCCCTACAAGCCGGCAATCCATCGCATGCTCTCCCTGGACCCGCATGTCGATGCTAATGACATTCCAGTACCCGTGTTCACAGCTGTCATTCAGCTTCTCTGTCGCTTTCCCAATGTGCCAATGGCCAAGAAGCGACACAAGCCCCGTCCTATCTGGCCGACTTTCTATAGCACGGAACCTCTTCTTGTAAAGCAGAGCTTGAATCTGCGACATCCACTGGTTTTCGCTTTGGAACTGCTACATATCCGACGCCCTACCTTCAGGCCTGCTTGGAATGCCGTGCTGCGCGGTCTTGTGCATCAACAGACGCTCAAGTCGATGCGCTTCCTTGGCGAAAGCGGAGAAATGCAGGAATCCGAAAGTGACAGTGGTCTGGGCAATGAGAAAGGTGCCATCTTGGCCTACCGACTTGTGCGGCGAACCCTGGCGATGCTGCAGGAACTGCACGTGGACCTAGATATGTATGGATTCCACTACTTGTGCATCGCTGTCGAGAATGCCACCTTAGCCTGCTGCAGAATACTGCAGAGAGACATTGGAACAAACCTCGCGCAAGCGGACCAACATGTGGCCGACAGAAGCGCGGTCCGTGAAGCAGTTGACCTGCTTCGAAGTAGCAGTCATTCCAAGCGTCTCAAGAATGAGTTTGCCCTGCTCGTTGGCCTAGACACGGAGGCTTCTCAGACCACGCCAGCGGACGCCCGTCTGCCTCGCTTGCTACTTGCACCCAGCACGGCTGTATTGCATGCCTACGTGCGAGCCCTCGGCTGGATGGCGGACTACGCGGGTATCCTTGCCGTGGTCAAGTTCACGGTCGAGTACCGTATGGAACTACTCACGCGCCAAGCACAGGAGCGCAATGCGGAGGAGATGGTCCGGAAAGTCATTGTTGCCACGCGAGTATTTCTGGAGCGCAGTTGGCTCGAAAACGGAGATGGCGGTAAGGTGGTGAGGGAGACGGATCTGCAAGATGGTGACCGTCGGCTGCAGAATCTTAGACGCCTGCACCTGCCTGCTTCGGCGGACACTGTGGCGGAGGTACAGGCTCTCATTGAGACGGTGCCGGAGTGGCAGGGATGGGCGTCCGATGAGGAGGTGGAGGAGTATTGCAGTGACTGGAGGTTTCGGCACGTACGGGATATGTCATAGCCAATGTAGGCATCCCTCGCCATATTCCGATCATACTGTCTCCGACCGCCTGCCACGCAACCAGCATTGCAGCAGAGTCAAGGCGTCGGCGTCGTGTCAGAATCTCCGCGAAAGAGGCGCGGACATTGCAGTCATCTGCCCTAATTCTACATGTTCCTTAGCCATCCGGTGGCGGGAGCATAACCACGTACTCGCGCTCGCTGTCTCCAAAAGCTACAACATCGCCGTCAACAAGCTCAACGAAGCGGCTGGTGGCAATCTTCTTCCCGTTCAGTTTCGTCCCATTAGCACTCTCAAGATCGAGAATGTAGGGTTTGACTTTGCTGCTCTTGTCACCGTATTCGTTGGTCGTGCTAATGTGTCTGAATTGTATCACAGCATGCTGTTTGGAGATGCTCGGATGTTCGAGTAGCAAGTCTGTCACTTTCTGATCTCGGCCCACGAGCCAGACGCTCCGTAGGTGTAAATGGATGGTGTCGAGCAAGTCTTTCTTCTTGAAAACATACATGCGCCACTGCTGCTTCGGCTTTCGTGCCTCGGGCGGCTCATGGTATTTGAGCACTGTTGTGGTACCGGCCACGGTGTTTGCCTCTCTTGCCAGGAGACCGGTGGGCTTGAAGTTCGGCTTTTGCTTCACTGGCGCAGGCGCTGCGCCTGGGATCTCCTCGGTGCTGTTGCCCTTGAAAGCGTCGACTTGCGATGGCAAGGGAGCACGGGATCTACCTGGTGGTGAGCGTGACCGACTGTATGATCGTCTACGTTTCCGCGATGGTGGTGAGCTTGATCTCCTTCTGTCGTGTGAACGTTCGTTTGACCGTGAGCGAGGCCTCCGCCGATACTCCCGTCTATCGGGCTTTTGCTGACGGTCGCTCCGCGAGGATACTACGGAGCGATCACGTTCGTTTCCGCGCCGACGTAGCGATTGCGCGTCCGGAGCTTCACCAACCCCCGACGCTGCTTCGCGGTGGCGAACATTGCGGGACCTCGCATGCTCACGCCTTGGTTCACGCGGTTTCTCGTAGATAGAGGAGGAGCTTGATCTCCTTCGACCGCCTTCAAAACGACCAGCTTCCGAAGGCATCCTGTAGTTCCGCAGTTACGGCCGGTACGGACAGGTCCTGGCCCCGAAGTACCTTTACTGAGACTATTTCGTGGCTGTACGGGAAGATCCTATCAGGTCTTCGGCAGAGTTGGGTGCCGAAGGTCAGATGTCGTTTCCCGGCTTAGCGGATCGAAACACCCTCACCGGTGCTGCATAAACCTCATGCGAGTAAGACGGAAGGCATAAGGCTGAGCTTCCAGAATTGAAATGATCGGGGTGATCGAGAGGCCCCAATCCCCGCCAATTGGACCGGGATAATTTGACCGCTGTGGTAGCAATGAAGACTGAGTAGATTCTGACCGCTTGCCTACTCAGATGTCACAGGTGCACAGAACTCCAATCAAAATGTCAAAGCAATCCTCTTTCATGTGTAGCTATCTCTAGAGCCACAGTGATTCCGCGTGGGGCGGCAAAGTCCGCCCTCTCGATCCATCACCGCTTCACCTCTCCGAGCGCTTCCCAAGTTGAGCCTGCCCAGGGTTTTCCGTCACGGCACCATCACGGCACTCTGGACGAAGGCAACATCTCATAGCAGCGCACTCTAATCTCGTACGTTTCAGACCACGCCAGCGCCAAATCCAGCGTGCCGGGTCCAGCAGCTTTGATCCTTAGGCCCCTGCAAGATGAAGGGTTCGCATTGTCTGATGGCACGTCTGGTGCGCCTGTTCTGACCTCTTACCGTTCCTCTACAGCCGCGTTGGTCGGATGTTCTGCCAAAGACGCATACCAAGATGAAGGAGCATCGTTTGCGTTAGCGGTTCAGCCTCAGCGCTTATATGTCCGGTGATTGACGGTCAGTTACCATTTCAGCCACATCATTGTCCACATTCGCGCTGTCAATAGGTACTCGGGTCCCTGTCAATGTTCTTGATTCATACTCGCAACTTCTCTTTGACTCTCTCTGCTACCTTCCCTGTACTTTCACGGATACCATCTCTGCTCTGGCAATGTTCGGAACATGTCGTCCAAGTTCTTTACCTGGACGAAAGGCGACCGCAAGTATGCCCCAGAAGGACATCGCTCGGCTGGTGTGGTACCCATACCCGCCGAGTGTATCAGCATCAAAGGAATGGATCTCGAACAAGGAGCAAAGGTACGGTCAGGGCAACATTGAAGCATAATGGGCATACTGACGTGCTCGAAGGATATTGGCAGGTCCCGGCGCGAAGCAATACCACCGTCCTTCGATTTAGAGTCAATGTCGCCATTGCAGCATGCACCTGTGCACAACGAGTCTATCGCGCTACATGATGCTGCCGTGCAATCCGCGACAAGTCTCATGGCGGTCATGAACGACATGCTTCGCTCACCACACATATCCGCACATCTGTCAGCGCAGCGTGGTAACGGCCTTACGCCGATGTATGGAAGACCGAGATCACATACAGCACCATCTACACCTCTCGTCGAGGCACCATCTGTGGGACCGGTCGAACTACCCGGCTCTCTCCTTGCAAGCAAGCGCTCGATACTCTCGCTACACCAGTCAATAGACGGCACTGCCACCAAACCGGTCGTCCAGTCTCCGGTTCAAACTGCACTAGGTACGAGCATTGTGAGGCCCCGGAGCAGTCCGCAAGAGGCAACTTACAGCCTGCCACATGTTCCCGTTCGTAGTAGCGACGGGTTTCCACTTCAGACCTCCCTGTATCCATCTGCGCAGCTGTCACCTCGATCTCAAAGTAGCAGCCCGCAACGGTTCTCGAGAAAGTTCGGTAACGCGACGCTTCCAATAGCTGGCGATGATCTCTTTGAAACTCGCCATGTTGGAGAAACGATGCAGGCCGCAAAACGCCCCTCGCTGTATGCTGTCTCGTCACGGCTCTCTCAGCGCTCGAGTGTTGGAACAGGAAGCAACTCCTCTAGAGTCGGCAGCAGCTCGGCCGTACCGCAGCTGACAACATCTGTAACGAAACAGTCTTGTTCGCAATGCTCGAATTTACAGCAGCAAGATGTTGAACGGGCACTGCTTGAGCACATAACCATCATGCGATCAACGCACGAAGCTCACCTCCATAGCTTACGTGAAGCACACCTAAGGGAGCTCGAGTCCAGCCGCTCGTACATAGAGTTCTTGGAAAGCCGACATGGGCTCAGTGATCTGCGTCAGGGAGTCAGCAAGCGAGAGCTGTCTCTCGATACCTCGCATGTGCGAGTCATGAGTGACGAGATGCATAGTGCAGGAGCTTCAGCGACTACTCAACGATCATCCAGCTCACTCGAAAGTCAGAAGCGAGCGTCGCAAGAAGCAGTCGCGGAGGCAGAGGCGCTGAAGCGTAAGTTAAGCCTTGTGAGGAAGGCGCAAGCAGAGTCCGGTGAGGTACGTCGGGAACGCGACCATCTCCGCGATACGGTGGAGACAAGCGACCGTCGCATCATCCAACTCAAAGACATCATGCGGAAGTCCAAGGAGCAGGAAAAGACGCTTCGAAACACTGTTGCGGACCTCGAGGGCCGCCTCGCCGCTGCGAATATTGAGCGAACCGATGTCCTCGAAGGCTTTCACGAGGCCTCGCAGCAGATACTCAAACTTAGCGCAAGCGAACAGTCACTCAGGCAAGAAGTCCAGGATCTGCGCAGCCGGCTCATCCACGCCAATGGTCGGCATGCTTCTGACACGACACTTGCACTACCGGAGAAGAACAGCCAATGCCGTCCCAGGCACATTCGTACCAAGTCGGATGTCGGTGGGATTGCTGGCAACCAAGATCCGATCCTGCAGCAGAATCTGGAGTTGCGACGACTTCTGGCGGAGGCGAAAGGCAAGATCAGTCGCTTAGAGCAGATGCCACCAGTGTTACAGACAGATGCGGATGCCGCAAGAATGACACAGCTTCAAGCGTCATTGCGCGATCACAAGCATATGCTCGCCGTAGCACGAGCTGATTCAGAGCGATATAATGGTCTTCTACACAGCGAGTTGCGCCGACAGAGTCGCTTCGCAGCTCAGCACATTCAAGCTGCAACGCCGAAGGTTGAAGGTAATGCGTTGTTGGACGCCACCGAGAAGGCCAAGATCGTTTCCCAGTCTACAAGGACAGCTAACCTTGAGCAAGATATGCAGTCATTAGGACGGGAAGTTGAGTACTGCCTAAAGGAAATAGTGCTTTACAAGCTGGACGTTAGAGGCTATAGGAAGGATCTCAAGAAAGCGCAGGCGACAATCGCAAAGCTTCAGGCTGTACAGAGTGCAAGACCGCCCACGCCGGACGGTGACAGCGCATCCAGCGTCCATAGTAGCGGGAGTGCTGATCCGGAACGGCCAGCCGCACAAGATGGCGATGCGCTATCAGGCCTCGGGATTGCGCTTAAAGAAGGTCCAGATACAGCCCAGAGAACGGTTGCTTCCGCCACTGCTGCAGCGTTGAGATCCAAAACACCACCCCTAACGTTTACAGTCGGCAGCCCACCACACCGACCCAGGACACCCATGGGCGTGCACAAGAAGCTTCCAAAGCCGCCGTCTGCGCGTACGCCAAGCCCGTTGCCAGAAACAGAGCCTGCTACTGTGAAGCTACAAAGAGGCGCAACTCTTCGTTCACTGTCCGAGTCCATTATTTCCTCTTACGCCAAGCGTAACACGCCTGAACTGGACATCGGTGTAACACATTCGGCAGTCAGACAAGAGGACATACAAGCACGGCCATCGGGCTCTCACCCGCCCATGCCGGCAATGTCCGCAGCGCCGACTGATTGATACAATATCTAATGAAAGTTTGGCGTCATGTGTGTTTCAAGTCACTACACTAACGTGATGATAAGGAGACTGGAATATGGCAATATATAGCCGACATTAATAGATATAACGATGCTACTGCGACAGACGCTCAACGCCGCGCTTCTTACGTGCAGTTCGTGATCGTTCGTCATAGCGTCGTGCAGGCCATGATGTAAGTTAGTAGCCAGTGTACTACGGCGCTGAATCTCTATCACTTCCAGAAAAACCGGAACAGTCCGAACCCTTTCCTTCTCGGAGGAGAACTGCCCGCTTGATTGACGGGCCAACCATTGCCCTCAGCTTCGTGGTTCATCACGCTCATGGCGTCAAAGTCAAACGGTGTCGGCCATTTGTGCAACGGGATCTCGCCAAGCTTGGTGCCTTCTGATGTTATCGAGTAGTAAGTCGGCGTCGGCTTACGGCTCCGTTGATAGATCTCGGTAAGCGGTAGGCTGGGTAATGGTGGGACATCCAGCTCGCCAGGTGTTGGCTTGTATGCAGATCGAGCGTCGAGCTGGGAGGTGGACTTCGTGGACCGTAGAGCTTCCGATTGCTGTGGCACTGGAGACCCTCGGACTGGAGCAGCGGATCGCATGTGTCGAGGCTTTGGGACATCAGGCATCGAGTTCCAATGAGTAGCATGTGGGCGGGCGGCCCTGGCATCTGACGTGCAGATCGTCTCATACGGTGGTGGAGAGGGTGAAGGTGTGCTGCTGCCGCTTGCCATTGACTCTGCCTTTGATGACGTTCGACTAGAGCCAGCTCGTTTCCGACGCTCTGCTGGCTTTACAAGAGCAATTTGCGACGGCTTCGAAGAGTTTTCGATCGTGATGCGGGCAATGGTCGGTCGGTGGAGTTTGTTCGACTTCACAGGCTGCGCTGGCCGGCTATCCTGTCTTTTGTCGCCTGCAGAGTCGGCCCTTGACCTGGTCTGCCAAGCAATCTGCGGCAGTGGGAGGCTGGAGTAGCTAAGTGCTGCTGGCCTTGACTGTAAGATCCGCCTATACAGTTGCTGCAAGGCACGGCAGGTGTCGATGCGCGAGCGCTCGGATAGGCTGGTGAGCGAGTGGTAGTCCACTTTGACGCTCTTTCTGTCCTGCAGAAAGGAGGTGATGATGCCCACTAGGCCTGTGTTCATGTTGAGCAGGATCTCGGCCAGCGAAGTATGTGCAATAGCTAGCACTATTGTCAGTAGTGAAACATATCCGATAACGCGAGGTCGACACACCATCACCGAAAACGAACTGATCCCCAGCGGCTTGGACACTCTTCTGATACTCTCGTCCAATGTCTTCCGGGCCTTGCCTGAGCGATTTGCCAAGTCGAAGCTCATTCTCTTCAAGCTTTGCCACGTTCTTCGTCCGCTTCCCCCGTCTCCGCTTTTCCTTGAGCTGTCTGAACAAGTCAAGGCTGTTCGAAAACGAGGCTACGATTGACAGCACACAGCTGGACACATTAGAGTGAGCCATGCCAACAAGACCAGCCTGTCTTGGCCCCAAGTACCGGCGATGGACTACTGCTGCTTGCTTGTGAGCAGAAGATACGATACAGTCTTACAAAGTGGAACGAGGAGGCAATGCGTTGTCCCGAGGCGTATATGTGAGTTTGAGAACATGCAGCCACGATAGTAACTGTGCTATTGCGACGCCGCATGTACGGCCGGCCTAGGCTCGCTCGGAAAGGGCAGCCTTCGAACCAGATAGGCGCCTTACTTCCCCACGATATCCCGAACCGCTTTTGGATCGTTCTGTCATTTGATGGACCTGCATAGGTCCGATGCAGGGTGGCAAAGCTATAAGAAGCAAGCCCATTGGGCGAGGACGTGCCAAACTGAGACGGAGACTGTTCCTGAAGCGGGGCCGTCTGCCCAACCTTCGAACAGGACCTACAAGGGAGCAAAGATCGTGCGCCCCATCAGTCTCCACTGATCCACGTGGTTATAAGAGGAATGTAGTCGATGGGACAGCCGTTGTTTTGGCGTCATGATTTGGTGGCGAGAGATGATCGATGCAGGCATCAGACGCTATAGACCGCGTTAGAATTAGCAGGCAGTCTGTGCACGAATAAGGAAGGGCCTTAATGTCACGTGCGCTCGTGTCAATTGTCGTGACCGATACGTGCAGAATGCCAGTCTGAGGAGGTCGTGACGAAAGTCTTGTGGAAAGGTTGACCTCGTTCTATTGTGTTGCCCCAAACAGTCCACATAGCATGACGGCTCCGCCAATTACCCATGCCGGCCACCACACACTGCACACTACGAAGGCAGTGTAGACACCTTGAGCGACCACTCCTTTAGCCATCTCAGCCAGTAACCAGGCCATGTCCTTGCCAAGATGGTGACTCAGCGCGTAGAGGACGGCCGGGGGTGAGATTGCAACGTAAAGTATCGCGGCAGGCGTGGCAATGGCGATCATTCTGGCAGCGCGGCCTCCGGGATCTCTTGTGTGTTGCTTCGCCTCTGAGAAGATACTACCAATTATATGAGTGAAGTTGATTGGCGAAGCCATGAGGCCGATCACAAACGCAAGACTAAAGTTTAGCGTGGCAAGTGTTGAGAGTGCCGCGCCGAAGAGGAGCAGGGAGAACGATTGCAAGAGCTGGAGTTGCTGAAGAGAAGCACGGAAGCCGAAGGTGAGACCGGTAGCAAGTGCAACAGGAAGTAGCACGCTCAACCCACTCAGGATCCAGAAAGCGAGTGTGAGGTACTACACGTCTTGTCAGCTGGAGCAATATTCGCAGCAAATGATAGGGTAGGGTACCGAGTTCGTAAGATTAGCAACAATATAGACCGGCACGAAACTCACAAGGTAAACGCTGGGCACCACAACTGCAGGCAGCAGCATCTTCCTTTCTGTCGGCTCGGTTACCGCTATTGGGACCAGAGCAACGTCGCCACCCTGCTTCACGACCTCTAGCGTAGTCCCTTCGCGCTTCTCATCGGTACTGGCAGCTCTTGCGCGATCGCCGGCTGGAGAACGTCCGCTTTGAACCCACAGAGCAAGCGCCGTGAGCGTGAAGCTCCCTGCGATAACCATTGCTGCCGGCAGGTAGTTTCCAATGCTGACAAAGCGATTTGAGTGTAAGAGTATGTAGAAGAAGAAAGACTGGTGCAGGTGCTCCAAAAGGTTGTTGATGCTTCGAAACACACTCTCCGTGGTTCGGCCTAGACTCATCTCGTCGTGCCAACCGTCACCGATCGTTTTGAGAGTGATAGCGTCAATGTGGTACGGCATAAAGGCTGAATGTGGGCCGGTAGCATGACCAGCGGCCTGTGTGACGAGGCCTTTAGCGAGGGTGATCAGACGGTCTTTGTAACTGTCCGTGTGCGAGATCATGCCGTGAATGCTGCAGCCAATGCCCATCTGTCCACTAGCCACCTGCACTGCTGTGTTCAGGAGATCCAGATTCGGTAGTGCACCGTTTATTCCATCGTAGAGCACATCTAGCTTCTCAAATCGTTGACCCCAGGGTCCTGCTGGGTAGTCGAGGGCCACTGCTGCCTGGAGTGCCCCAGCTCTGATAGGTAGACTGCTGATGTTATGAGGGCGAGTTGATTCTCCTGCTGCATGATGGTACGCTGACACCCAAGCTTCAGGTCCGTATACGCTGTCTGACGGTATGAGAATGATGATATCTTTGCTCCAAATGGACCAGCGTTGGAAGTAGCGGGCCAGAGTCAGTGCCAACGCGACACCGGAATGGTTGATCTCGCCCTCAAAGTTCCTCCAAGCTGCAATGAGCACCATAGCCTCAGTAGCATCTGCTCGCGGGCCTTGTAGTAGACCGTAGACATTCGTGCCTGTAATGTGCTCGCCGGCGACCGTGAACTGAAACGGCTGCTGTGCTGGTTTCAGACCCACCTCTCGCAGTATATGCTCCAGCGCGTTGAGCCTGTCCTGCTCATCCCAGTGCGCAAGCTGATAGATCTCTTGCCGGAACGCGCGGAAGACATTATGTTCGCTCCCACCGAAGTACGTGTGGACTTGGCCGGGTAGAATAGCATTTTCGGAAACGTACGTCCCGCGCGAGTACTCGTTGAGGGGCAGAATGAAGAGCCATGCCACGCCGACAATGATGCATAGTGCGGAGAGGTAGGGTGGAAGTTTAAGGAGGATTGGCGAGTTGCGCAGGAGAAGCAGGCGGGCGGCTGTCGAGACTCAAATCAGTCGACGCTTCCTGATTGCTTGGAGGGTGTTGGTCCATACAAAGGCCCATTGTCGGTCTTTTGCGGTGTCATGCAGCTACTTTTCGCTGCCCACTGTGCATCGAAGACGCTGGACTGGATGATGACCATGCGGATGGTGCATGCGTGCGGCTCTGGTTGATTGAGTGACTTTCGGCAGGAGACAACATTCAGCCGCTTGCGTCAGGCGTTCCTGGCACGCGAGCAATTCGAACACATTTGCTGGACCACCCACCTTGAACGATCGATGTCGCTGTCAGAGGGAGGAAGTGAGAGGCCGATGGCCACTTCGTCCGCGATACCTGACGCCCGCAGAATACGAAGCTACTTCTTGCGACTGCCACTTGCGACAAGAGCGGTGCTCTTCCTGCTCACGGCCTTTTATGTGGCGCACCTGTTTGCGCCTGCGCTCACACACTGGGGAGCTTTGATACCTCAGGAGATACGCTTGGACACATGTATGTACCGTCTGCAAGGTCAAGGGAGAGATGACTGACACCGACTACAAGTATACCGGCTCAACACATACCCTTTCCTCCACCGTAACATCCTGCATTTCGCACTCAACTGCTTCGCCCTACTGCCTCTGCTCGAGCGTTTCGAGGCTGAACACGGCACTGTCGTGACGTTCATCCTCTTCACTGGTATGTTTGGGACACTGCCAGGTAGCCTCTATACGCTGCTCGAGCGATACGTTTTCCACCTAAACGGTGCCGCTGTAGGAGCAAGTGTATGGGTGTTTCTCTTGTTGGCCAACGAGGCAGTGAAGACATACAGATCCAACCCCTACTTCGAACTTGCAGGCGTCAAGATTCCCACGTGGACGACGCCGATTTTCTTCATCCTGGTGATCAACTTCCTCGTGCCGCACACGAGCTTCCTCGGCCACATGTGCGGCGCGGCAGTCGGTTATCTGTGGGGGCTGGGATATATCAGGTTCCTGGCGCCGCCTGATTGGGTGCTGAAGTTCATCGAAGGCAAGCTCAACCTACTTGGACGGCTGCCACACTACGTCAGTGTCGACCAGAAGACATACGGCAGGTATGGCGTCCTTCCTTCGACTGGGAACGCGCGTGTCGGGCCTGGTAGAGGACCACTCGGTGCGACCAACGGCGTGGCGCTGGGTCCGGTTGGAAGCACGCAGAGACTGGGACCTTGAGGTACCATCTCTTGCGCCACAACGGGTTACGACTCAAAGATGTATTAGACAAGTTCAACCTTTATCGTTGCGGGAGATCCGAGCACCAGATTTGGCTGGTAGCGATATTTCAACCTCCAGCCCCTGCTGGCGCAGATGCAAGTTGCTCTGTGCGATCGAGAGGATCTCGGAACCCGTAAGCTCTGCAAAGCGCGCAATGACATCGTCTGCTCAGCAGTATGTGGCAGTTACGGTATGTCTGACGCAAAGCGAATGCAGTGAGTGGCAACGCTAACGATACCGTGTGGTAGATGCAGGTAGCCAGTGAAGCTCCCTCCACGTCACGGGCTGCACGAGAAGCTTGTGGCACCTTCCAACGCGCTAGGCAAAGAAGCAGTCGGTGCATTATGACTTGATGACCTGTGGCACTTCTCGGCAGGTGTTGGTCATGGCTTCGTGATATAAGGCTGAAAGGGTTAAACGCAATGCGGCTAGGTAGCCCTCCTACATGAGAGTGTTAGCGGCATGCTCAATCTGGCCACGCTGGCTAGCAGTAATATGAGACTTACCATCTTCGACCTCCACTCTTCCGCCACAGGTGCACCGCTTCGATTGCGTAAGTCTTCGCGCTCAAATGCCGGCCGCCATCCACGCCACGACCGTCAGCCTCAAGTATCAGAGTCTCGATGACCTTTTCCTTCTCTACCTCCCGCCACAAGCCCCGAGCCAGCTCGCCCATGCCGTCTCCGGCCCCTGCAGTATCGACACCAGGCTCGCCAGCATTACCGAACTCGCCTTTTCCAAGACGGTACAGTAAACGTCCTAGCGTCTGAAAAGCGATGCACCTCTGCGCTGCATAGCTCGACCGCGACAGATGAGCCAGCTCGGCGATAGTGTAACCCGCCGCATCCGGCGCATCACCGTGATGATGCAGTCCAGCCGTTACTGGAACGATAGATGCAGTCTTCGGTGCAAGTAGCTCGCCAGTGAAAGAGAAGCGGAGGTCCTTCGCATTGAGTGCTGCAGCTAGTGGGTTGTAGCTGCTGCTTATACCTTCAACGGGGCGCATCCAGTCCAACTTGTCTGGGTCTGCTGGTAGCGATGGAAAGTATTTCTGGTGTAGGTCATCTAGGAATGACACCGAAGACGGATCCAGTTCTGGCGGTTGCGGCGGTCGAGGGAAGTGTATGCTGTCAGTATTGAGTGGCTCCGCTGTTGGCGCCTCGACTTCATTTTCGTCCGCAATCACATTGGCAAGGTCCTCTGACGGTTCGGAGAATCTCACCGACTTTTTTGCAACGTTGTCGGGCACTTTGCTTTGTGACGAAGTCGAAGCAGCCTGTGCAGTCACGTCGCCCTCATTACTGCCACTGTCGATATTCGACCGTTTGAGCAAGCGTTCGATGAAGGCAGGGCTGAGACTGCTAAGTAGCTCTTCGCGCTCTTCTCGAATTTGCTCTGGCGACATGGCTGCCAGCTGTTGCCGGTTTTCGTCGTCTATACGGCGCTTTTCCTCCTCGACCCACGATTGCGGCTTTGAGACCTCGCCACTGCCCGGTGGAGGCGCCGTCGGCGTGGTCAGGTCAACGGACGCAAGGCCAGGATTGATTGCCGCAGGCTGTGGATTGCTTCGTAAGCCAGCATGATGCTTCTTGAACCTGCTGTCGACGGACCGCTTTTGATGCCCTGGAAAGCCCGTGGCGCTCCTCCGGGTTGGAGCAGACGGCGGCTTCGCCGCTGTCGGTTGGCGCTCGAGAACATCGCCTACGAAGGGTGCAACAATGGGTACATCTACTTGAGCATCTGCAGCATCATCCTCAAGGTCGAGTTCAAATCTTTGCCCTCTAATCATGCTTGTGTTTGAGAGTTGCGAAGCTGTGTTTCAGACTTCTTCTGGAATCTGCAACAGGTGCATTAGCTTGGTCAGAGATTAAGGTTCGTGGCGGTAGCGGTCCGAGTCTAGCGCGCTCTTGAAATGCTATGCTATTCTGATCCGCTACAACATTTCTTTTATACATCGCTCAGGATGCAGAAGGATTGTTGAGTGATAATCGGAAATTGTATGAGTCCGAGCTGCTCGTACCACGGATGTGTAGAGTATGCCGTGGCGGGTGCTGTGGTGCAAGAGGCGCGAACACCTAAGCTCGCGAATAGCATTCGGCTGCAATTCACTATAGGCTGGAAAGGGTCCGCACTTGGTATGCCGACGACAGATTGCCCTGTGGGTGCCCGAGGGTATGGTAATTTATGCATGGATCCTCTCTGCGAATGCACTACGGGTACTGTACTGTATAGTGTTGTATACTACGAGCAGCGTGCGAGCGTAGATGGATCCCGCCCCCCGCCAGCCCTATCAAGCGTGCATGCCCGGGGTCCGCTAGCGAGACGCAGCCGCCGTAAAAGTTAGGCAACGTCACGGACGGGCGATGAACCAAACAGCAATCAGTCATGCACTCTTCTCACAGGCGGGGCTCTTGCTGGCTCGGGCCTGTGAAGGCAGGAGGGATGGCAGATTGGGGGAGTTGCCGGTGCCCGGCTTTGGTTAGTTGAGTTGTCTCATCGACAGCTTTCGTTCCCGTGCTGCCCGTGGCCGCCGCGCTGGCTTTCTGCTGCGCTCCTGTGCTCTTTTCATATGACTTTCTTGCCGCCCACTTTTGTGTGTATTCTTCATTCCCTACAACTTCCTGCACCTCTTCATGCTAATAGCCGAAGTGTTTTGCATCAAAAGAAGCGTTCCAGCCATCGATCATCCACTTCTTCCACCGTCACCGAGTGCAGCAAGACCTTTACAACACGATCATCACATCAATGGACTCATCTCGTCATTCGCGCACGCTCGTTTGAAGGATATTGTCGCCGTCGTGCCTTTTACGCAGTACTTGAACGTTTGGAGCGAGAGTTGACGTTCGAGCCTCCACCGGATTGGCTGGATCACCTCGAAATGCTGATTTCCGCCTAGCGATTGTTATAAGCCATAGAATACGGCTACCTTACATCAACACTGCGGGTATATACTGCTGGTACCTCTTCATCACCGGCTTGGCGTGTTCTCTCGTTGTTATACGGGATGAACATGCCGCCAGGCTTCGACAGGCTGCAGATGGACGGCGGGGCGGCTTCTGATCGATCGCCTTCGACCCTTTCCTCGCCGCCCAGCACCCCGCAAAATCACGACACTATTCGCGTTGCGCACCCTGCTCCTTCGCATGCTGGTCCGCTTTCTGGAGAAGGTGTAGCATATTCGGCGGGAGTATCCGCACATGCATCAAATGTCTCGAACACCGGCACACATGCACACAATGGCCAAGCACTTCAGCCTGCTGCTGCTCTGAACAATGGTAGTACTTCGGAAAAGCCTAAGAGGCAGCGCAAGAAGAAAGAAGTCGGCCCTGACGGAAAGCCTGTCGACGATGGCAAGCCGAAGGAGAGGAAGCCTCGCAAGCCTAGGGAGCCGAAGGACAAAACTGCTTCCAACGCTTCGCCTGCAACCGGCCCCCGCAAGAAGCAGAAGCTCGACGACAAGATCACACATGACATCGTCGCTTCTTCGCGCCAGCCGACCCTTACGGAGATGGTCAACGGCTTTCAACAGCCTAATCCACCCGTGAACACTCCGTCGATACCGCCGCAAATACAACATAGGACGAGCCTGCCACCACCCTTATCAAATCCTCCCACAACACGACCAACTTCAAGCGGCCAGAACTATGATCCAGTGCGCGGCTACGACCCCGTGCGTGCTGCTACGATGGAAGCAGCGCAGCAGCAACAGCGGCAAGCGCATCGAAACGCCAGCATTTCGAACGGCCCACCATTGACGCATCTGTCTTCAACCATGAACCGTGCGTCAGCATCGCCCTCGATTGCGAGCCTGATCGACCCGCCTTCAGCCAACTTCCTCTCGACAGCCCAGCTTCCACCGACCTACTCGCCACAAACAAACATGCAGCAACCGCCACCCTTTGTCCCGTCACAACCACAATCACCTACTCCGAAGTATCTCCCGCCTGCTGTTGCACCTTCGTTTTCACATCCTGCAAAGCCAAGGTCTCCGCCTCCACCTTCTCCACCAATGGTGCAAGCCGCAGTGCCTGCCAGCTTAGATGGCGCGATGGATGTCGATCTCGTCTGTGATGTCACAAAGCCGGAGGTTGAGGAGGTGAAGGTGGCGCCCTCCAAATCATCATCATCAGCGCCAACACCGAAAGCGGCGCGGCCAACGCCGCCTCCCGCACCCAAAGGAACTGGTAGCGGCCTCCTGTCGAAGTCCAATTTGTTCGGTGGTCCATCCGAAGGCGACACGACGGAGTCTCCAGGCGTCACCATCGATTTTCGCATCACGCTTGATACAAAAGGAGGCAATACCATCAACATAGCACAGGAGATTGCGAAACGATATGGCCACGACGCTCTAAATCCACGCGCGGCAGCGCACCGTGACCAAATGCGCAAATTGCTATCAGCCTCAAACCAGCAAGATGGCGGGAGCGCTGACGATATGTCGGTGGATCTTGTGTCTGAAGCGGGCGATGACAGCAATGTGGAGATGGGTGGCATGGACGACGAGAAAAGCGGCACTGGCGCCGACAAGCCGGTCAGGAAGCGAAGGAAGAAGATCGAGGAATACGACAAGGAAGATGACTTCATTGACGATACGGAGCTTGCATGGCAAGAGCAAGCCGCCGTGGCCAAGGATGGCTTCTTCGTGTACTCCGGACCTTTGGTTCCGGAAGGCACGACAGCGAACGTGGAGTCTGCTGCACCATCTGGTCGTGGCAGGGGCCGAGGTCGTGGGTCTCGTGGCGGTAGAGCCGCAGGCGCGGCAGCAGGGACGACGCATGCTAGTCTCGCAGCCGAGAAGGCCAACAAAGATGCTGCTGCTTCACCGGTCGGGCAAGCTAAGAGAGCCCGCGCGCGTCGCGCGACCGGTGCGCCCAGGAAGCCGCGGGCTACCAAGGCTGTGGTAGAGGCTGACAGGGAGATGAAGAAGACTGAACTGGAAGAAAGACGGATGCGCCAGCAACAGCAGACTCCACTGCAGAATATGCCACCGAGAGCAGGCGGACTCAATGGTGCCTCAATGCCGTTGCTGCCGATAGCATCGTCTATGAGTGCATCGACAGCGACTCCGCAGCACGGTCATGGTGGGCCGCAAGGGACTCCGGCTTAGTCGGGTGCGACTCAACTGCATCGATCACGTCTACGGCAATTAGCGCCAGCACTGCACAGGCCTGGAAACGCGCCGAACTCTTTACCGCCGCTCACGTTGCCTCTGCAGCAGAGCCATGCTATGATTGATTTTGCAGCCCATTGTGCTGCGGTGGTCCAGGGTAGTGAGGCCTACCACTTGCGCCCTAACGTGAACGGAATTGCACTGGTCCGATCGCGCGAACAGAGTGGAAGAGGCCGAACAGCTGCGTCTACGATGCCAGCAACTGTCTTGACGTGGATCGAACGAGGTTTCCGACGGGAGTAAAGGAACGCTTGGGTGCGTGGCGCTGCTAGTCTAATCAAAGCTATTCTACGAATTGCCGTAAGACTACGGTAAGCGGCTGCCTCATGCAGAGGGATCTGACGAGCCTGGAAGGTAGCTTTTCATTTAGTCCGCTAGCGTTGCTCTCGCTTCCACCACGTCAATGTGGACAACATACTATAACGGTGCAAACGAGTTATTTTAGCGTATCCATCTTGTCCACAACACTGCACATCATCCTCTCTTCTGCCAACTGAGCTGCAGCGGGCGCCATAGCATTACACCAGTGTGGCGCGATCCCACCAATTCATTCACATGACCATCCTCGGTAGAAAGGCGCTTACTCGACCTCGATTGGTAGTTTCTAGAGTCTGCGTCGCAGATAGACTGATCTGTCGATGACGTCTTTGAAGAAGGCGTTGATGCGTTGGGCGTGAAGGACTGTAAGGGTGTTTGTGCCAAGGAGCATGCGTTCGAGGAGGGCTGGGTGGTTGAAAATGCGGGAGGCGGCGCAGAGGGTAGTGTATTTGTGGGTGCAGTGCTGGCGGTCGGTGGAGTTGGTGATGATGGTGTCGAAGTAACGGTTTACACGATGGCTGCGGAGGAGGGTGGCGAGGCGACAGATGAAGCCGACCGACTGTGGTGAGTTGTGGTCGCACGTTGATCCGGTGTGCTTGGTTGATCAGGGGTTTGTTGCGGAGGGAGGGTCGAAGTCGTCGCCGCGCGGTTAACATCCTCGCGCAGGATCTGCACTTGCATTTCGAGCTGCGCAATCTTCTTCTCTTCACTCCTAAGTTTGAAGCTTTCGAGCTGGATATGCAGTTGGAGCTGCTTGGTCTTTTCCTCCTCAACTGGGTCCTCTATTTGTTCAACGGCGTACGCGCCGTATTGGTTAATAGCGTCGGACAGGAGCGGGCGGACGAGGAAGATTGCGACGCAAAGCCCAAGAACCCACCACCCCCAATCGCTCGACAGTTTGGATAGGTCGCCGAGGAGGAGAAATGTAGTAGAGGGAGGTGCTAACGGGAGAGTCGGAGTAGTCGGAGTAGTCGGAGTCGGTGCAGAGGACATCGAGTAAGGCCAAGTATTGTACTCCAGTGAAGGCTCATACAGTGTCTTAGTGAAGCCTCGGATGTGTTTTGAAAGAGTTTCGCATAGTAGTTGAAGGTAGGTAGGATAGCAGGAGAGATGCATATTGTTTGCTTGATTTCGTGGCAAGATCGCTTGTTCTGTTGTAGAAGTCGCTGAGACGGAAAGTGAAGTTAGAGCTCATGAAGCTAGGAAGTGGCCACGCCAGTTTGCTGACCATTCGCACATCGCTGTGACGGCGACGTCAGCGGGTTTCAACGCCTCTCGCTTCTGGCTTCCATTGACCCTCCGCCGCAACGGAGGGCCGGTCTTGCCACCCTGGTAATGCTGCACCGACGATGTACATTTTGCGCGTCAAGGCTTTCGAGCTCTCGCTTCGGCTTCTGCAGTGTGGCCCAGCACACCTGGCATACGCATGAGGTGTCCGACAAGCAATACATTCCACTCCTCACTCATCGCCTGCCCGGAGCATCCGTCCCCCTCTGCTCCTCTCTTCACCGCCGTCTTCTTCCTCCTTCTCCTTCGGCTTCTCGAGTCTGTGGTTCTGCTGATAGTCGACGATCCCATTCTTCGCCTTGTGCAGTCTGAGTTCCTGTCCTTCTTCTCCAGCTCGTCCAAGTACACCTCCAATGACCTGCACGCATCGCAGACTGTCGTCGTTGGCCGGGATCGGGTAAGTCACCCATGTGGGATTGCAATCCGTATCCACGATGCCGATGGTGGGGATATTGTTCAGTGCACACTCGTGGAGAAGAATGTAGTTCTCGGGTAGGTTGAGACAGACAACCAAATCCGGCTTCAGCACCGCTTTCTGCAGGAGCTGGTCCTCGAAGCCTTCAACCTCTACGTCGAGGTGATCCACAACCTTCTTCCGACATTTACCAAGGATCTGCTCGCCATTGGTAATGCTGCCGGGAATCCACTTGGTGAAGAGATGGCAGCCTTTGGCCATCTTGGCGGCTTTCACGACGACTCCAACCTGACCGTCTCGCGTGCCTACGAAAAGGACAAGCCCACCACGCTCGGTCACGCCACGCACGATCTTACATGCTCGCCTTAGGTACGCTGCGGTGACGTCGAGGGAAATGATGTGGATGGGGTCTTGTTCGCCGCGCACACCGAAGATATACTTGGCATTCGCCGGATGCCAAAGCGAGGTGGAATGGCCGATGTGGCTCTGGCTGGCCATCAGTAGCTCCAGCGTGATGTCGGAGGGCTTCGGTGGGTTGGAGAGTAGCTCATGCGGCTTGTAGTGGGGGGCGAGAGCGCTGCCCAAGTCGCCGGTCACGGCTTTCTGATGGCGGAAGAACTCCCAGTCGGCCGCTACGGTGTCATCTGGTGCCACTTCGCTGCGGCTGGGCAGGTTGTTGATGGCTTGCGCTTTAGTCGCATCTGGGCCGCCTTCCACATATAGTTGGTCTTCCAGGGGGTTCGTATACGTTCGTTCGATCTGGCTGGCGTAGCATCGTCGCCATGACTGGCGGAGGGGAGTCGTTGGCCTGGGGAGTGCGCGGCGGCCTGTACGTGCAATCAGTATGCGGTCTAATTCGAGTGAGTCGCTACGCCTTACCATGCCGCAACACCAACGATCGTAATATCATCGTGTCGTGCGTGTATCTACCCACACTTACTGTACTCGTTACTCGAGCCTCTTAATTCATTCCCGCGGACGCATAATTGACTTAGTCAGCAGAACTTGCTCGGCCTCGGTGAAGCTAGCACGAAACTAAAGAGGAGGCATTGGATGGCAAGGTAGACTTGAACGAGCAGTCCTTCTTCTCCACTCAACGCCGAACACATGTTATGCGAAATGCCGCTCGAGCTGCGGCTCACTGTGCGAACGCAATCTGGATCACCGACGACGTGCTAGCCGACGCTTTCAACCGCTTTCTCCGCGTATCACGCAGCTGTCGCCGCCATGGCAGCAACATCCCCGGTCCATTGGAAGCGAGGAGGCGGCAGGCACGACGGAGGATGGGTCTGGCAGCAACAGCGGCCGCCGCTAGCCCGTCCACGATAGACTTCGGAGCGTTGTTCGGGCTGGGAGCAAAGCAGCCGGATATGAGCTACAAATGGGAGCCTCCAAGCTTGCAGTTACCGCAAGCTGGGCTTTTGATCGGACCACCCCCGTCACCTCCACAGGCGCTGAATGAGAAAAGTGCACAGTCCCAGATCCGCTCTTGCTGGCGAAGACCTGCGGAAACTGCCAAAGTGGACCCGGTTGCGGCTGCCGTAAAGGCAAGCCAGTATGCCTTCAATGGCCTGCTCGACTCATTGGCCTCGAAGACGGAAATACGCCACGTGGACATGCTCAGAATCGAGAGGTTCCTGCAAAGCTCCGCGCACGAACCGGAAGCGTGCAATTTGCTTAGGCTTGTATCATGGCTCGAGTCACGAAGCATCTCCGAGCCAGCCGCTCGGATTCTGATGGTGTGCGCAGTGGACAAGATTCAACTGCAGACTATCAGTCTTCAGGAGGTCAGTGCTGTCGTGCAGGCTGTCCTACAGTGCGGCCGTACAGATTTCCTCTGGAAAGACATCGTCCGGATTTTGGACGCGCTTACCGAGACCGACTGCCATATTGCTGTCGTTCAGCTTTCGCAGCGGCTCTCTCAATGGCTCGTCGGTGAAGCCACCACGCCTGATCATGCAGCCCTCGGTCGCTGGCTTCAGATTTTAGACAACTGCCAACACACCAAGACTTTATCCCGCAGTCACCACAGCGTATGGGGGGAGGTCTACAGCAACATTGCTGCTGGTGCATGCCCAGTCCAACTTGCAACACATTTTCGTGACATTGAGGATGAGGACTTCGCACGCATCTTATTATGCTTTTGGGTACCGCACTTAGACTCTCCTGCCGAGACTCCGGAACGTATGGATCGTCGAGATCGAATCGTCTTCAGCTTTCCGGCGAAGTGGGAGCAGCCACCACGGAACATGGAGCACTTAGTCACCGAGTACGATTCGCTTCGCGCACAACATCAACAATATCTTGCTTCACTGACTCAAGATATGTACGAGGAGTCGCCTCCCTGCGCGACCGCTCAGATGTTTGGCTTACTCTCCAAGCACAGACTCAACTACTCAGGCTTGCTTTGTGAAGCAGTGGGCGTCCACAAGGCTAACGGCGCCTCCCGGAGATTATGGGCTCTACTAAGAGACTGTCGACAACAGCGTCCGTTCGGCATATCCAGCGACGCCGCCCAGGATGCTATCGGATACTTCCTGAGTACCGGCAAGGAGCGGGATGTAGAATGTGCTTGGAGGGTGTTCTCCTTCACGCCCAGCCTGTCGGTCATGCGGTGCTATGAGCTGCCTCTGAAACTCATTCAGCATAACCTTGCCACCGCGAACAGGATTTTCGATGCACTTAAGCGCCAAGTTGCTTCGGATATGGTTCCGCCAGAGCTTCGTCAGATCCGCAAGCTCTCTCTGCTCCCCGAACACATAGAACTGGCCCAGCTGATCGCGTACGCTTGGGCTGATCAAGAGAGATTCTCCAGTCGTGTCGCTTTTCGCAGGGTGTGGGAGCTTTACCGATTTCTGCAAGACCGCGGTGCGCCGTTGTCCCCATTGATATCTCGAGCGCTGGTCAAGGCCGGTATCACACGCTACATAGTGGAGCGTAAGCCGGTACCTCTTGCGCAGGTCAGGTATATCCTGTCTGTGGTGCACCGGGTGGAAGGACCAGATGCTGCACGGAGTTTGGATAGCTTGGTGTTTGACGTGAATGACCCGTTAAGATATTTGGGCAGTCTCGGGAGGCGCAACTTGTGGGCCGATGCACCAGGTGGTCATTTCGCGAAGGCGGCAAGGTGGAGGATGAGGCTATGGATTAGGCGCAACCGGTGGCAGCATCAATCGAATATCTCTCCAACTACGGGGCGATCCAACGTAGATGCGCGCCTTCCTGCTACTCGTACGGTCTGGCCGGAGGATGCTGGCTTTAGCGACGTGGAACCGGACTCGGACGTTGAGGGCCACTGGCGGCAAGATGTGGATGAGCTCACAGTAGCTGCTGTCAATGGAATACACGAGCATGCTGATGAAGGAACTAAGCCTTTGCGGAGTGAGGCTGCCGAGCCGCTGACTTCGGCCGACTCACAGAGTCAGAAGGGTGACGAAGGCGAGGACATACCTACCACCGATAACGACGCGGACCCCATGAAAACCCCTTCTCCTGGCCACACCAAGCCGATAGGTACCGAAGAGGTACACGTTTTTACTCCATTCTCGAATATGCTTAATGGCTCTCTGAACGAGGTCACAACAAGTCCTGACGAAGCCAAAAGCGGGCTTGTTGTTGAGAAGGGCTTCTGTACAGCGTCCGACCAGACCACAACGTCCCCATCCACAGCTTCTGTGAAGGTCGACCGTGCAGTTGGAGACAGACGTACACCGACGTCCGCTTGTTTTCCCCGATCGGCATTCTATATCCACCGTCCTCTCGACGGCATCACACAGATGCGTTCAGACAAGGCTTTGGCACTCGTGAGATTGGCTCCTGTAGAGGGTGCTGACAACAGTGAAGATCTGTCACGCCGGGATGAAATTCTGATGCCCACTGTTGGGAATGAGATACGGTTTGTGCGAGAAGAGAGGGGCGTGAACGCGGCACAATGGCAGGCTGTCCGACGCCAATGGATCAAAAGAAGGCAGTATTCGGCCCGTATCATGGACCAAGCGGTCCGGAATAGATGAATGCGAGAGTGTCAATGACTGTAATTGCTAGCCTTATGATACCCACACTCACGATAGTTTAGCTGATCTAAAACTCTCATGGATAGTACCTTGACTGCAACGCTTACGCACCATTGCGTGCTTACGAGATCAGCCGCATCGTCCATTCCACTGTCGCAAACGTTCCAGCACTGACAGGCATAGCTCTCAGCAGCGTCGGACCTATTCCTCTCCAGAAGCCCATCGCGCCTTCTTGCCTCCATGTCTGCGCAAAGGCATCACGCATGGTCTTGTATCGCTGATTCGGACCAAAGCCATCAGTCTGCATCTTCGACTTGATAACATCGAATGGGTAGCTGGCGATCCAGAGTACTTCGCCCGCGAGGCCGCCGTATGCGGCGATTTTCCACGTTGGGATCTCCTTGCGGGTAATGCTGTTGCGCTTGGCGTCTGACTGCATCATGTACTCGAAGCTCAGGAACCAGCAACCATAGGCTTGTGCTTCCCGAAGCCATGTTACGGAGGTACCTCTGTATAAGCCCATGGCCACGCTCGGGCTTCGCGAAAGCTTTCGGATGCAATCAAGCGGGCCTTGGTACAGCCTGCCAGCACCGTGCGGCTGCGTTTGCATGCGGATACGTACGTGCTCTATCGGCGAGCTGAGAGGTGTATTCGCAAGGCCAGCCAATGCGCCCGCAAGGTAATATTGCCCGTAGGTTAGCGTAGAGTCCGCCCCGTGCCTTGATCGGGCATTCTGAGCTTCAAACGCACGCCGAGCGTAGTTGAAGGCACCGAATTGGACGGACACGCAGGCTCCGATCCCAATCAATGGTGTTGTGGTACCTTTGTAGAAAGCAAGTGCACCTTCATTCGCAAGAATCTTCGTCACTGCGTCCAAAGCGCCCGTGTATTGCGAGGTTGTCTGCAAGCGAACCTTGACAATATCAAACGGTTGGCCTATCAGAACTTGAGCTATGCCTCCAACCCTGTTCTATCATTAGCCATCGGCCAGCTGAATGGCAAGAACATATGCATGAGCATACGCACGCTCCAGCGAAAAGATCCTTTAGAGCCTTTGAACTCTCCTCTGCCGCCACCACCTCCGCCATGGTGGCGGTGTTTCCCGTCTCCGCCGTCAGTCGATACCAGATTCTAGCACAGTGTCTAGGTTGCTGCAGTCATGACCGTTTCCATCACATTGTGCAGCCCGCAGCCCATATCTGCTTGTGTGCGCGTGCTGTGGACCAAGCCAACGCCATACTATGAAGAGTCGTTGTCAAATATCATTGCTTCCAAAGCGGAACGACATTGGCCACGACGGCTGGTCTCACCAACATGGTTTCACTTGATGCGCGGACTTAGTATGCAGATACCGGTCGCCAGCAACGGTGAGAGATAACTTGGTTCTGCCGCTGTAACCGTAGCCTGTATTGCACTGAACGTAAAAGCTGAGTTCGAGATCATATGCGTGTTCGCACAACACCCTCGACGACATGTGGCTAACGCCAGACGTATAAAACCGCATAACGGTCGGCCGGTCTGTTCCGAAACCTGGCTATCACGACCTCAGACATGACAAGCACGAGCGCTGACCGTAGCGATGACTCGGAACGTGCTTGCTCGCTAATCATGTCGCGTGAGCGAGTTCAGAGCACTCATTGGTTCCCAACTGCCCAGATAAAGGTCCCAACGGAGCACAAGGCGAGGTTCCTCGTCATCCTCCCTCTCGAAGTCTCAATTCCAAGCTCCCATCAGTCTCGTTCGTCAGACAACTTTGCATACTATTGAGAGCAACCAAAGCCACGACAATCGACAGCACAATGTCTGCGCCTCAAACCACCACCAATGCAGGCCAGGAGGACAGTGTTGACAAGGGTGCGACTTACCAGTGAAGTCTCCCTATTGCGCTGCTAACGTTCGTAAAGCCCTCGACAAGGTCGAACAGACAGTCGGCAAGAAAGTCGGGCACCCAGTGGACACGCAAAAGATGCGTAACACGAACGAGAAGTTTGTACGTTTGTGCTTCCGTGCCTGTCGTGCTCTATTGCCGCTGACCTCCAGCATTTGTAGACCGACAAGCTGAGAAGCTGGTTCCAAGGCAAGACCGGCAAGAACGTCCCGGGCAAGATTAGCAACTGAGGGATGACCCACGATTTCATTACATGCGTCCGAGAACTGAGCAATGTGGGCATAACGCGGAGGAGGAAGTAATGGTGTGCTTGTCTTCGCGTGCTTTCAGAGATACCACCTATGCGAGGCGACTGCGGATATATTTCTCCTTGACCGCAGCCACTTGAGCCTACAGCAACAACACACCTTGATCTGACGATACCAGCTTAACATCAAAAGTCTAAGCCCAGCGACTCCTTCGTCTCCGCTACCTTGTCTTTCTCGATGAGTCCCTCGATCACCTTCCAAAGCTCAGCTCGGATCGTACTTCTTGCGCCCGCTATCTTCTGCCACTTGCGGTGCTCAAGGTTAATTTCCTCGCTTTCTTTGAGGCTAACAGGCTTGACATTACCGCTCGTCAGCTTTTCCAGGCGCCCTGCCATTTCCGCCTTTGTTTGCTCGAGCGTCGCCACGGCCGTCCGGAGCTCTGGTAGCGGTACCTGCGCTGCGCCTCCACGGAGAGTGCCGCGTAGCTCTTTCTCCTCGGCCTTGAGCGTGGTCGTCGCGTCTCGTAAACGCGCGGCCTCAGCGTCCATCTGCTGCAACTGCCCCAGTCCGGCTTCGTCCGCCTCGTCCTGTATTGCCCATGGGTTAAGGAAATTTCACAAAGCGCAACATCGTCACTCGTACCTGGATGGCATGGTAAACGACCTGTTTCCCAGCTGCGCGACCTTCGATCTCCTTCCGCTCGTGCAAGTCTTTCAGCAGCTTCGCAGCCGCTGCCTTCGTGACGCGATTCCTGAGGTTTGTGCTGATGTCGATGGCACTGTACGGGCGGTTTTGTTTGCGCAGGTATTCGAGTACGAGCTTCGCTGACTGCTCGGGAGTGAGCTTGGCCTCTTTCTCGCCGTCTTTGGCGTCCTTCTTGGTAGGTGCCATGGTTCGTTGTCACTAGAAATGTCAAGCTGCAATGATACACATGAAGACCATCGGTAGGATGAAGCGAGGTGAGGTGGAGCGCAGTGAAGAAGGCCCTCGAACACCTACCAGGGAAAGTGCGTTTCGAGCGCACCTTCCACTGTCAAAGCAGGGGCGACCGCACATCTTCTGGACGCCAAGTTTCAATCTTCGAGCTTCGGGACTACCTGCTCTAAGAACTTACACATATCCCTCATCATGGGCCCGCTGATGGAATGACCCAAGCCCTCGTACTCGTGCTCTTCCACCGCGGTCACTCCAAGCCTCTCCAAGCCTTTCAGCGTCATGGTCCACACCCGTCTCGGGACAAGCATGTCTTTCTGGCCCCGAGCGAGGAAGACCGGCACCTCTCCGTGCGTTGGCGGTAGTCCGGCTATTGCCCTCAGGTCATGTAGTCGATGCCCTTCCGCCAACGGCAGGTACCCACAGAGGCCCACAACCCCAGCCATGCGGCCGCTGTATTTCTTTGATACGAGGTCAGTTATTAGACTCAGGGCGCAACCTTGGCTGAAGCCGCCCAGCACTATGCGCTGCGGCGGGATCCCCTTGTTCACACAAGCATCGATGAGCGTCTCAATGTAGGCCATGCTTTTCAGGATTCCGTCTTCATCCTCGGGCTCATCAAGCTCAGGTCTGCTGGAAGCAAACGGGGTGAGAGGCGTCGGACGATACCATGCAGTCTGCATTGCGTCACGGTCTTCCATGGCATTCGGTATGATCCAGTTCATGTAGGATAACTTGCCATTGTTCTGAAATTGATCGGCAATATCTGCAAGCGGGTCAGCCCGTTGTAAATGCATCTTGCGGTTGGCATACCCACTCTCCAAGCCTTCCGCATCGTCGCCGAGGCCATGGATGAAGATGAATGCAGCGCCATGCGCCGGGTCTGATGTTGGCTTAATAGCTGATTTGTGGATTGGATCTTCTCTCCCAGGAACTGTTGGCAGTGTCATACGCCTCGGACGGCCTGCCATGTTCACAAGCTCTCTGTTCCTATGTGGTAAATCAATAGAGTAGGTCATGCATAGGCAGACTTGAGCAACAGGCACTGATGAGCGTCTCCTACCCTTACGAGGACACTCACGTGCCCCGCTGTACAACGCTCTCTTCGTTGCAACAGTGGAGCGACGGACTAGCGGACCTCGGTGGTCAACGAAGCTTCACTGCGCTGTGGAAGTGTCTCCGAGCGTTGTTGTCATTAAGGCAGCTTTGCAGAGCGGGTGAACGCTGCAAGGAGCTAGACAGCAACCAAGCTCACCTAGAAGCTTGCAATAAGACATTTGATAGTGCTGTTTGTCCCAGTCTTAATTGAAGCAGTAGGCTGCTCCAGCCGGCGACTTTGTGCGACGAATCTGATGTGGCGAAGAGATGGCAGCAGCCAAAGTCACTGACGCTCGCTCGGCTTCGGTTGATCAGTCGCCTTCATGTGCGAAAGTCGCGTGCCTTCATTTTACGGCAAACCGAACAACAAGACAACTTATGGATCTCTGACCCAGCCAATATCAATATGGCAACCGGTCCGCTGCGCTTTCGGACGCCTCACATCGAAGAGCTGCCAACCACACAATCGAAGCAGGCCCCCGGTTTCGCTTGGATAGCTGTCCCTTCGGCAGCCGCGGACGACCCAGCGAAGAATTGGGGGACAACGAACCGGAAGCGCCAACGAACCTCTCTCGGTGGTCAGACAGATCAGCAGAGGGAAGCTCTGAGCGCAAGGCAGAAGCGAGAGATCGAGCGGAAGATTAATGAGCTCAACAATGACAACTCAAAAGACGTTCAGATAGAGCTATCCAAGAAACACACCACCGGCGCGACCAAAGTCGGCAAGACTGCCAACACGAAAAAGATCCTCGCGTCAGGCAAGTGGTTTGCGCACTACCTCGACGACGAGGAAGCCGAAATTGCGAAGACTGGACGACGAGATGGCGATGTCGAGCCTGCAGCTTCCGCGCAACGAGCAAGCAAAACACCTATTGCGCGTCGCAACCTCAGGGAGGACAGCAGCGTAAGCGGTAGCCCTGCACCAGTCCCAGCGCCTACTCAACCGTCGCCGCTGTCACAAAACTTGCAAAGTGCTCCTTTCAGCGCCGTGACTCTGCTTCCTGCCACCGAAGACGACGACGAGGATGTGAACCCTAGTCCGCCACTACCATCAGAGGAAGAGATCGAGGCACTACTTGACCACCCTCCGTTGACCTACAATGAGGCACGTTCCGCACCCCCGCCATCGACCGCACCGCCACCGCGGCGTTTCTGCGAGACATGCGGTTACTGGGGCCGAGTGAAGTGTATGAAATGCGGCACCATGACATGTAGCGTTGCCTGCAAAGACGATCACGACCAATTCAGGTGTCTGAAGATGTACGCTTGAGCAAGGGTGTTTTTGAGCAAGGCGATGTTTTTATGAATGGCATAACCGAAGGCGTTGGTCGTGCTTAGAGATACCCGGACTATGACAACAAATCTAGGTTGCGTGTGCGCCTGCTGGGCTTCCCCCTGATCACGATACTCACAAAGGGTGTAAATTGCGAACAAGGAGAGCGTAGCATCACCATGGTTGGCTTCGCCATGGCCACGATATAACGACTTGACCGCCTGAGCCACACCTCTTCGAATACTATTGGATCGTGGCGAGCGTAGGATAGCATCACTGCTGCACAACGTGCACCACGACCGAATTATTTGATACTCGTTGCATTAACGGAACAGGCACTACGCGCCGAGAACCTCGGTTCCTCTAACATGGCAACAATTACTTCAGGGTGCCAATCACCGTTGTTCAAACGTTTTTGCTGGCCGCTTCAGCCTCGATTTATTTTCCGATGTCTAAAGCTCCCCAGACCGCCACGGCCTTCGGCAGCAGTGGAGTTGCGCTACGAGTGCATGCATCAAGCTACTGATGTGGCGGATTCGAGACTGTGGCTGTGCAAAGTAGCAATGTCGATCACTCCATTCCCTATCTTTAGCGACTACCACGGGGCCACTAAGAGCTCACAGAAGCTCGGAAACAATGCGACAAGCGCACGTCGATCAGAGAAAGCCTGATGCAAAGCTCATGACCGGTCTCGATCGTCCTCTCAGCTGGACAAAAGCTGCAGTGCGGAGGCTACCGAGAGTGTCAACAGCGTAGTGGTGGGCAAACCCTCTATCGGGTGGCAAGGGCATCTGATCCGGTCACTTCAGCTCCCATCACCAGTGGCGACACGTTGCAAGCGAGGGGTCTTCAGGTTATGCAAGCGAGAAAAGCGAGCGCTACTCGTCAGTGCTGCCGATCAGCGTAGAAGAATTGCGACCCGTGTTTCCATGAATAGTCAAATGTGCATGCTTTCGCGTTTCATACGTACGGGGGTCTTCTACTACGACTGGTCTTCTCCATACGCTGTTGTGCCGCGCATCATGCACAGTCACGCAGATTGACCGCCTGCAATTGCATGTGGATGGGTTGCATATTGTGTCTCCGTTGTGCAGTCGTGAACTACCATGATCGAGCATGCTAGATCATATGTCGATCGGTTAGGTAGGCAGAGATCTCCTGATTGCAATGAGAACATGACTGAGGTAAGTTTGTCTGGACTATCTGCGCAAATGGGTATCTTCCTGCAATCCAAGAGCCTGCTAAAATTTGCTGCTAAGCGACAACCTGTTAGGTTCCGTCCGAAATAACGTGGTATTGGCCAATCGGCCCATTAGGTTTGTATAACTGCGTACTACCGTATCCCAAAGCGCCTCCTGTTGGGTATCATAAGGTATGAAATGCGCCAGTCATCGAAAGCGTGATGTTCGTTGCCCTGCCAAGGCTCTGGCGTTGGATGCTACCGAGCAGCGATAACGTGTATGGCATGCGCGCTCGACTGTTGTACACCTGCTCACGCTTGTCTGGTGATGCGTTGTCTGAGCGCCCGCGCTTAGAAGAGAAGTCGAAGCTCGTAGCCGGAAGAGAATGTGTTGTGCACCGTTGGGACGTCGCCATCGCATTGGATGTCGGTTGGGCCTGCATCCCACTCCCTCCTCATCCTATTCGGAGAGTCTGGACGGATCTCGCAGAACTCTGCAGTCATGTCTTGACCTTCTGGGAGCTCGCGAATGCACTCTTCGTCGAAGAGAATATGTAATCCATGCCTGCTGATTCGTACTGTTCGTAAGACTGAGGTCGGCTCGATATCGCACTTCATAGCCAGAGAATTGACGAAGTCTTTCAGGGTACGTTGCATCAGGTAGACGGCTCGGTAATAGTGGTCCTTAGTCGCGCGCTCTGCAACACGCGGCTGCACGTAGAAGCAAGCGACAGGTTTGACCGCGCGTGGTGGCGGGGGCTCATATGCAGGATCCACGCCGATTGCCTCAACCCAGCCAGGCATGCTATTACCATTCGGAGACAGCGTTTGTACCTTTACTGGCTGCTGATGTTCTAACGGGCTTGCCAGCTGCTGTGGTACTGCTGGCTGCATGTCCGTGAGGGCAGTTTGCGGGTTGCTGCGCCACTCACTCGAGTTGACGCGAGAAGGACCGCCAAATGGCGTCGGCTGTTGAAGGTTCGAGTCACGACGACTGCCGGACAATGACTGTGAGCTTGGGCTCGGCGAGACCAGTGAGGACGGTGGACCAGTATGCGCACTTTGCTGGTCCCACGCGGTAGATTCTGCGGTGTCAGTGCGTATCAAAGCCAACGTCTCACCAGAGAGCTTCACCGGGTACAGGTCCGGGTCATCTTGATCGTCTCCACGCAGATAGAGCACACTGATCGGCCTCGTCGAGGTGAACATATCCTGCAGCGTGACAAGTTTCACGTGTAAATCTTCTTCTGCGCTGCCCCTGCCCCCCGTCGACGTGACTGAAGACAGTGACCATGTCCGTCGGTGCTTCAGCACTTTACCAGGTCTGTCATCAACACCGACTCGCGCAATCGAACCGCGCTTGCGCTTCCCAAGGTCTCTCATGCCCGATTCGATTTGTGTGATTTGCTGGTTGATCTTGTCGATTGTCTTCTTCACATGAGCAACGTCGTTCGACAGCTTACGCTCCGCACCGTGGTCGCGGAATAGCTTGACCTTGCAATAGCAGACTTCTGGCTTTGCGGAGTTCAATGAGGGAGCAGAATGTTCTCCAAGCAACTCAGTCTTCGTGCAAAGTCGGACCGGGATGCCTTTTACGCCCTTGGAATGACTGAAATCTGTGGATAGAAAGTTGAAGCGAACCGAGATAGCGCACTCGGAACTTCCAGCTGGCGGACTCCAGACGACGCAAAAGCCGTCAAAGGAAGCGCTCTCGAGCTCAACGCATGGTCTGCTGAGATCCTCGGCATTGCTGAACTGGCCGGGCTCCACGAACTCAACAGCCTGCAAACGGCCGCCTCTTTGGTGGGCTTCGTTGGTACCACGCCCCTCTTTCCACAGTTGCCAACAGGCAGCAGGCTTCAGTCGCTGTTGTTCATCTTCAAATGAGACACGGACGAAAGTACGGTACTTTGTCGCTGTCGCGGGCTGTGATATCTGTGTGTCCACAACCGTAAGGGTGTAAGCGTGCCCTTTGTTCAGGTAGGTTACGGGTATTTCGTCGGCATGCTTAATCATAGCCGTAGGTGCATTGAGCGTAGCGTGATACCGGAAGCTGGAGACTGTTAGAAGTGTGCTACGGGATCGCTCTCCCCGTCATGGTAGTACTTACCTGTCCCCTGTCGGATGTAGGCGAGACGGGTGCAAGGCGTGCGCCATGGTCTGAGGACGGAATAGCATCTCCGGCGACCCAGAATGTTGCATCGGAACATCCATGAGATTGTCGTCCACCGGAGTTGTCTCAACTACTGGCCCGTCGAGCGAATCGTAAGTCGGTTGATGCGCGAAAGCATCCGGAGCGTAAGCCGGCTGGTGTTGCAGATGGAAAGGATTGATATTATGATAAGCAGGCTGATTGAGAAGTTGCGGCAAATGGGTATGATATGGTTGAAAGACAGCGCTTCCCTGGCCTGCGTGCAAGGCGCTTTCTGAAGTCGGCATCGAAAGGGGCGTTCCTAGGCCCATGGTGAAGCCAGGTGTGTGAAGGTCGCCGGCTTGATTGTGATACAGCGTGTTAGTACCGCCTGGTGTTGGCGTGTAGTAGCCAGGCATCTGGTTGGCAAACATGTTGAACGTGTGACTGTTTGGGTCCATCATGGAAGGAGTCAATCCAGAAGGGCCAAAGCGCCACGGTTCGTTCGATCCTCGTGGGGTAGAGTCGGCATCCTTTATATCGCTCGGGTGGGTATCAATTGCACTGTAAACGATCGTTAGTGACGAGGGTTCCTATTGTCGCACACAGTTTGTGTTGCGGGCCAGCAAGTTATTGTCCCGCGACAATAGCATTCGATTCGTACCGTGAGTGTAGCGGAACATCAAGCGCTTCCGCTAGTGAGGTCGCAACCTGCGCGGATGCGTTCGTGCCTGAAGACGATGGGTTGAGTGCCGGAAAGTTCGCCTTGAAGTTCAGGTATAAGTCGTCGCTGGGCTTCTGAGACGGCCTATGTCTCTCATCAGCGCATGTTCTCCACACTGCGAAAGCATGCTGCGCAGCGCGGCGGCCGATCTGTGGCTGCGGCGTGCATCTGCCACACTCATGCGTGCAGCGAGGCTTCATTGCTCTTCTACGCACCGGTTTCGAAACATCTCTGCACGTCCAAAGCCAGGTCTGAGTAGGATACTCTCCACGGTCACGAAGTCATGAAGAGAAGGAGGATGAGGTGTCGTCAGGCGTCAAGAGCGCACGGTGTCTGAGTGAAACGATGCGGAAGATTGGCATCAGCCACAGGCACCGCAGAAAGCGGGCACCTCTTCCTTTCAAATGGCGCTCGTCGGTTACAGGGATCCCTCCCACGCGTATCGGGCTAAAAGCGCTTGGTTCATTGACTGCACTCAAGTACCCACGGAAGATACCCGATGCATGCGGAGAGCGTCGTAACGTTTTTCACGCGGCAGTGTTAGAGGGGTCTCGTCTTCTGCGTAACGGAGATCATTACTGCATTCACCGCGAAGATGTGGACCAGACTGCAAAGCGTTGAGCCACATGAGCCTGCGCCACAGCACAGGAAGAGTGGAGTGCGGCACTCGCACCTGTGGCGTCGCAAGCGAGTCGCGAGATCCCGGTCTCAAAGCCAATCACGGTGCTCGAGCCGAGGAAGAAGCAATGGTGTGGAACTAGGGCTCCATTCCCGTCAATTGCAGCCTCTCCTCACCCTGTCCGACAGGCTGCCCACGCAATGGTATCTGTGGCATTGTGGCTCAGGTGCGTGTCTCAGGTTCTCGTAGCACTCCACGATGCTCGATCGGATTACCGCTCACAGTGCGCGTCAGGGTACGTTCGACCTTGCTACTGAGGTGAGTGACTGATCTTGGCGGTTACCGCTGGCGCCATGCATTGTGGCTAGTCACGTGTGCCCGGGCTCAAGAGAGCTCCCAAGCTTTCATTTCCCACAAGCCGCCCGACAGACTTGTTGGTGTTTCGTCTAATGTCAGACGAACACAACTTGCACTCGCTACGCAGTCGCTATTGGAGCTTTCCGCGCGCACTGCTGTTTTCTTGTTTATCCTTTCGATCGCCCGCGGAGCCGGCTCGATATAGGTGACCCTCGTAGCAGTTGATCTCCCTTTCTACCTTGTCGCAGATCAGCATGTTGGAGCATGACGTCCCGAGCCCGCACGCACTCGCCCAAAGCGCCACCGTACACTCCTCGTCCCCGCCAACCGAGATTTGGCTGTTGTTACGCCTCTTTGTCGATGAGGTGACCGAACACTGAAAACGTTCATTAGCTTTCAGCCTTGTTACGGCAGAACCTGGAGCGGTTGATATCAACGTTTCCAAGAAGGAGGACAGTTGCCGCAATCACCACCCAGCACGTTCGTTCGATCTATTCGTATCTTCATGGCGAAGTATTCATGGCCAGCATCGCCGATACGGAGATGCGAGCGTACAAAATGGGTGCGCGATAGTTACCCGCCGTCGGTGATGGTTCCCTGGTTGTTCCACGAAGGTTACTCTCAAGCACAGGGCAGTCTGCCCGATAATCGAAGGTCATGTGCGGCAGCAGTGCCGACGCAGGGAGGAGCCACGACGTGTGGCGCGTAAGCGGTCTGTGGCTGTGCAAACTCTTCTTCCGAAAATTAATGTTCCAGACCATGGTGATCTTTCTCTAAGCTGACGTGGTCTGACAATTCATCTGGTTACCTCTGAGTCGTGGCAGAGATGGAGATTAACCTGAGCTGCACAGTCTTACACACTTAGTTCCGAGACTCTATCGGCATTGCCAATACGGAGCGAACACATGCATGCATGTAACCCTTGTTGCATCAGCCACACTCTTGCGTCACGGGCGGTACAACGACAACTGTCCCGGGCCGTTGTACTGTGCCCCAGAAGCCGGTGCCTGTATCGCAATCCCTGAGCTGAAACAAACGGTGAAGTTCTATATTGCCTCCCCTGTCAATACTCATTTCGCTGCCCTGCCCTACTCACTCCGACCAACTTTTGCGAGGGTCACATGACCCCGGTTTCATGACCGTTGATCGGCGTACCGTCTCTTGCGGAACGGCCGATCAACGTGGGTACCTCATTTATTCCATGGTTCTGGCACCCTTGGTAAGGCTCTCAGCCCCATTGCAAGAGCACTGCGGTGCCTGCCAACTGCCTGAAGATTTTCCCTCCAAAAGACGCTTTGGCTTGTGATTCTGAGTACTTGACAGGCGCCGGCTTGACAAACGTATCATCACCCACGCGGGCTTGTACACTAGTGCACGCGGTACCAAAGCCGAAGGCAAACAGGTGGCAAACAAGGGTTGGCAGCTATGCTGCAACGCTTGGTGATGAGTATAATGTCCAACTGACGAATGAATGGGCAGTTATGCGCTCTTGCTTGGACGTGTGGACATCGTCTCAAACACCTGACGGACTTGGATCGTCGCCCATGGGATCCAAAGCAGCAAATGGTGGAACATTCTCTTTGCTGCTGTCGCTCATATCCGAAGCGCCCATAGATGGACGGAACTTTGATCGACACGAGTTGGTGGTGATGAAGTACCTATTGGCCGCGCTAGATCTCCCCCATGCAGGCGGTGGTGTGAAAGCAAGGAAAGTGCTGTCGTTGCAGGATCTCGATACATCGCGATTCAGCAGCCTCGAAGGCGGTGAACCGTAGTTGCTTCGCGAGTGTGCTCGCTTTCGCTCTCTGTTGTGGACTTGACCACTGTCTGCAGACTGGAATATGATGCTTCCCTCTCCTGACGTGGCCGAGCAGCGGAATGCGCGTTATGAATCGGTGTCGGTATCCTTGATGTCCGCCGTGACGTAGAAAGCGCAGACGGTGGAAACAACATGGTTTGTTCTTGATAAACGCTAGGCAACGCATCTGACTGCGAAGATGGTGCGTCAAGTGCAGTAGTTTCGCTGGGAAGCGGAAATGCTGAGAGAGAGACACTTCTGCGCAGTTTGCTAGCTTCGAGAGAGCTGCGAACAGCGGTTGTGGCGGAATCGCTAGGTACTGTTTCATTGCCCGAGTCAAATGAGAATCGGGAGCCTGACGTGTACGTAGTGTCACCGTGCGGGTGAGGCCTCAGTCGCTGGAAGAACCCAGATGCCATGGCCAGAAGAGACGGCTGTTTGCGGAGGCCCTTGGTTGGTGTACGCAATCTGCTGCGTCTCGGCGTCAAATCTGGCGTTGGCGGCGCAGCAGTGACCGTGATCTGAGCGGTAGAGCCGCTCGACGCGTGAACGGAGTGAGCCTTGGCTATGTCTAGAAACTTCGGCGTCGCTTGCAAGACGTTCATGTCGAGCCGGTACGAAGGCACGGGGGCGACAGTCGTGTAAGGCGCATGATGCGCATGACACACGGGGCGAGCAAAGGCGATGTCGCCGTTAGATGCTGTGGCGGCTTCGTCCGGCAGCAAGTCTCCAATACAGCTGAACGTCGAAAGAGTGTCGTCCGAAAGGCTTGTCTTCGGCTCAGAGAGCGTTGGCAGGCCCGTATCAAGGCGGCATCCTTCTGACGGCGGCTGCCCAAGTAAGAAGTCGGAGAATGCTGTCGGAGGCGTGCCGAAAGAGACATTGGTATCAGTGCAGAGGCTTGATTTCTGCGATGTCAGCTGAGTCGAGAGACGTCGCATCTGTACAGACGGGGACTGCTGTCTGCTCCGAAGGACCGCTGCAACACGTTAGCGACAAGAATCTGCACACAGTGGAGCTGAGTACACCTCTCTGATTGCTGAACGCCTTGTCTGCGTACCGCCAGCCGTGCTCCAGAACCTGGAAGATCGTCTCTAAACCGTCATCGGTACGCCCGCCAGCTAGCTCTAGCTGTTTGGTCCGCAAATGGCTGTCCTGGCGTGCAAGCGTGACCTCTGCTAGCCCCCGTCTACCCTGGGTAAGGAGCAACTCTAGGCGCTTGATTTCGGCCTTCAGGTCCTGGCGTTCCTTGGTCCATTGCTTCTGAGCCTGTTGAAGTCGGTGCAGGAGCTTTTCCTGCTTGAAATCTGCTTCAAAGAGCCGAGCATCCAGGTTCACTCGTTCGTCTTCGGCTAAGCGGAACTCCTCGAAGATTTGTAAGAGCACGCCGTTGAAGCGCGGGTCGAGGGCATCATACGGATCAGACAACAGTCTGCACATGACGGAGTCAATGAGCCGCTCTGCCGTCGGTTTCGGAAATATGCTCGCCTCTATCCACGATGGGGCCCTTGCCATAAACGAATCGCCTTCTAGCACAGTAGTGGATGTGTCCAGTGTTTGTGCCTTTCCAGGGCTACTGACCAGCGTAAAGTAGGCGGACTTCTTAGGCTTCAGACCTCGTCTAGACGGTGTGGGAGAAGCATTATTACTGTCTCCTTCCGGCTCCATTGGCGGACCAGGAAGAGCAGGAGTACGGGCTCTCCCGGGCTGGATCATACGGCGCCACTGCTGGATGTCGTTCATGCTTGCGGATCGAGAAACAGACCTATGCGAAGGCCACAGAAACCACAGATGGCAAGCTAACGGGAGTACAATGCTCAAAGAGCCGATGATGGGAAGTTCGGGAAAGTTATGTGACAAGTACTTGCCAACAAGATGCGGTCAGCTCCACATGCACGTCCCAAGAACCTTGTGCCTGCGAGGAAGGTGCACTGGGCTTCAACAGTGCAAGCGAGGAATGCAATGGGACGGTGAGACTTCGTCTTCTCCGAGGTCCTATGTCCTAAACCACCCAGGGGCTGCGTGAGGGAGGGTGAGCGATCGATGGCTCATGTGAATATATGCATATACTCATAGCAGCTTCAGTCAAGCCAGCGCGTTACACGGCTGAGTTACGAGACGTTTCCGGCATGCATAAGTATGGACAGGATCCCTCTATACATACGACGACCATCCCCGATGCACGAGGTATGTTGTTGCCTTTATCCTGCCATGCACAAACGCTGATCGTTGAACTGCGCCCGTGTTTGGTAATGAGGTGGCAAGAGTTGATATAGGCACGTTTAAGTTCCTTCAGACACCGTTGCATGGTCAAGCTTGGTGCTGTACACACATATGCCATGCTTGTTGGTGGGGGCTTGTGCGGCAATGGAAGACGGGAAGCTTTCGGAGCCATGGTGAAGAGGCCTTGATCATCGACATGAGTGTTGGTACGTCACTGGCCCGGTGGTGAGGACCCCTATGCTGGCGAAGCGCAGCAGCCTCCCTCAAAAACGCCGTAGACTCAAGGATCACCTTCATTACGCCATCGAGCGATGCTCGTTCATGCTGCATCGCGCTTGCCCTCCTTCACCTCCTTCTGTACAGGTGTCAGCCACCCGGTATTCCATCGCCTAAGACATCTTTCAATTCACTCACCAACGCCCTCATTGTACCGTGCAGCGCATGTCTGTGGTTTCTCCGGAACTTCGGATCTGTGCCTTTGAGCGATGGGTATCTGTGCGTCTTAGGCTTCTTGATCCTGGTTTGCAAGATCACATTAGCCAAATCCGCATACATGACGATGCCAGCAATGCTCTTTTGGAGGCGTGGAGTGCATGCTGGTGATATTCTCCATACCCGTTCTTGTGTGCCTTCTTCGCCTGATTATGCTGGGACGAGTTCTTCGATTCTGGAAGCGGTGTCAGTGCTGTCTGAAGTACATCCTCGTCTCTGAGACTCACTGGCCATGGCGACGGCTATGAAGTGTCAGAGTAATTGCTGTTGCCGCTGCTAGACGATGTCGCTCAATGTGCACGTTGGTGCCAATTTGATGTGCGCATACGGCTGTTCCCGCACGCTAGTGCTCTCACAAATTCGGCGTGCAAGGGCCATGCCATAAACACCGTCGAGTCGCTTCAGAAGTGACCGGGAAACCCTCGGGGTAGCAACGCCCGTACTTACTAGAGTGATCGTCGTAGGGAGAGTAGTCCTCAGACATCGATGGGGTAAGGTTATACAGGTACGGATGTTGTGCTTACGGTGAGCATAGCCTGCCAGCCGCAGCACACCAAACACAATGCAAGAATCATTGTAGACGTTGGGCATGGCCAAAGGATATGCGACGCCGTACTCGCTTCGCTCGCTATATGTGGCATTCGGGTATCAACAGAAGATCGTCCGCAATCAGCAATTGGGCTAAGACTGGGAGCTCGCAAAGCAACGCTCCGTATATGTGAACCGTAGGTCTTCCCCCAAGACCTTCGCCGTACTCGCAGACCCGAGGCGCGCCCCAGTCCACATCATCCCTCGTCATCTGTTTAAAGTCGTGCAGCGACGGAAAGCCGGTCACTATTGTCCGGGTTTGCCACCTGTAAAAGGCACGTCAGTTAGGAGAGCTCACATGGGCAGGCACTACTGTTACGCACCCTCAGCACTCTCCGTGAGTAGTCACCCTCATCCGCAATGCTGCCCTGACTATTTCTCTTGCCCGCCGTCGGATCCAGCCGCGCGTCGGATGTTTGGCTGTGCGCCGTTTGCGGCAGCTTCGGCTCCCTTCCGCCGCGTAGAAAGTCCACCGTGCCAGTAGAACGCTTGAATTCATGCTCCGCCGCTTGCTGCTTTCTGCGTCTGAGCCAGAACACCAGGCCACCTATCAGTGCAGCGATGATCACTACGCCCACTACCACACCTGCTGCGATACCGGCGACGCTGGTGCCGGGTTTAGAGTCTGCGGTAGGAGTGCTTGAGGGGTAGGTTGCTTGTGCTGCGGGTACCGTGATCATGACGGTGTGGCCTGGTCCCTCGCTTGTGACAACCGATATTGACGCGCTTATAGACGAGGTCGTAGTCGCGGAGGCTGATGTCGAAGTGGTTGTCGGAGCTGATGTTGACGTGCTTGTCGATGTGGATGATGACGACAAGGACGAGCTGGTGCTCGAGGTTGAGCTTGAGCTGCCGCCAATGTTCGGGACGCTCGATGATATGCCCGAAAGATACACTGACCAGAAGTTGGCTCCTCCACCTAGCGGGCAAGTTAGCATGAATAAAAGAGCGAGATCCGTTGTACTTACAATTCTCCTTGTCGAAGCCATTGCAGGGTACATTGCATTGTGAGTCATCAACCTTGCTGTTGGCTGGTGGCAGCGTATTGCCACACCAGCATGAGCTGCCATTGTTGGTGGCGAGCACCGCATCATTCTGGTTGACGCATAAAGGTTGACAGTAGCCAGAGGTTTGGTACATATAATCCCCTTGGTTGGTAAAGCCGCTTGACGACGAGAAGCATCCCTCGTAGGTCATTGTGCTGAGTCCTCGCTGTCTTAACTCTGCTCTTGGGCCTGCTGCCACGGGCAATAGTAGTGATCGGCCATGTATGTGCGCATGTGAGCTCGCAATCGCGCCAAGGAGCGAGAGAAGGTTTGGAAATGTTGATGGCATCGTGCCTCGCAGACTGCCGCGTTTACCGACGCAAGGGAGAATTCAAACGGACTGGCGCCGAGCCGCTGCGAGCTTTTGAAACGCTAGCAATGTCTGTCAGTCTCTGAAATATGCGGACTTCTGAACTCGCCGGCCATGTAACCGCAAATCCCCTACCGTACCTGTTCAACCGCAGCTGCCAGCAGCGCAAGCAAGCGTTCTCCGCTACCGCCTTTCGAGTGCTTTGTCACGGGCCTCGCCGCTCGCCGATTTCCCGTGACTATAAGGGATAATGAAATCTCTAAGTAGCCAGTGAATGCGCCGCTTGCTAAAGTTCGCCCGCTTCCGTTGTCCTCATAGACACTGCTGCCCTCCTCCAAGCGCCTTAACCAGTTCCTGAAGTCGATGGAAATCGCTTTGGTGATTTGACAAGTGAAGCAGTGTCCGAGGCGGTGGGATATGGTCGAGATGGATTGCTGTTCGTGTCCGTGTTTCAGAGTAAGGGCGTGGTCGTACTGAACAAAGCCCGCTGCTGCAGATCAACCAGTTTACAGAGACTTTCAATGAGCGTGTCGAACTCCGCAATGGTAAAGACTGACGATGATGCGCAAACACACCGCTCCGCTCAATTGGATGGTTGGTCAATTAGAGAGTGAGTGTCTAGGTCGATGACATTCTACAAGGCAGGAGTAGGAGCCGGCGGAGAAGATGAGGATCGTCGATGGGGAGAGGATGCGTCTGCCGTTCCTGAATGGCTGATGCACTACAAGGGTTTGGCGCAAGAAGCGAGCAAAGCCTAAACGCGCCTTGATGCAGGTACCATGTGTGCTAGGCGAAAAGGGGAAGACTTTGTGGGAAGCGGCCTGGTAACGACCAATCACAATGGTTGCACATCTATTAACCCCTGTGTTTCCCGCTGTCACTCTACAGTATAGTAACCATACAACCTTTGCGTCAATCGTTTCAGCTGCTGTATCCATAGGTACTTCATGCATGTGCGCAATGCCGTTGAAGAGATGGCCGGCAGTCGATGACACGATTAATACCCACGCGCGACGCACTTCGGGGTCACCGTGAGGCAGAATCAAGGCAATCAGCCAGCCGAAGCCGAAGCCATCGCTATCCGGGCCAAATTGACGGCCGTAAAAGGAAATGGAGGCGCACAGGGCAGCCGAAGGTTGCGTATAGCGACACCCAATGCGGCGCAAGGCCCTCGTAGAAGGTCAACCGTCTCAGCTCTCATTGCTTGTTTAGTTCGGATCTCTCGTGCTCATGAAGCCTCGCTCAGACTTATCGCACCATTGGTATCGAAGGCAACAATGAGTAATGCTCAACTCGCGTTGTTGATGCAGCCTGCCTGCGGCTCACGTGCCTAGTGTTCGCGACAGAGTGTGAAGAGTCCGTTCATGGGCGGCGAGTTTCGGAGCGCCCAAGCCACCCAACTGGGCCAGAACCTCCACATTGAGACTTGGCCGAACATAACGTCTCCCTCTGCGTAAGGCTGATGGCTGTGTTCGCCGATGCCACTGATCGTGCAGCTGTCAACCGATCGTTCGAATTCTGCGACCACACTTCATACACGCTGGGTATCGCTGCCGGCTCTCAGATTTTGGCGGGTTCTTCGTACTGCCACTCCAGGCCAGACCCTCTCAAGAAAGACAACCTCGGGACCGGTAGTGTCTCGAAAGTTACGGCTCACACTCAGCCGAAAGCAGAGCCGCACATTCGTCTCTATAGCGGCATCATCGAACTACAGGAGGCGACACGTCAGTGTAGTGATCTGGCCAGACCGCATCGTCGGAATCGTGGTATTTGCTAGCCAATAGCTTCATTCAAAGTCCGAACTTTGCTTTGATGACTGCTCAAATTATCAGCTGAGAATCAAGGACATCGCACCACAACACAGGACTTACTTCCAGTAGCAGCGTTTCTCTTCTGCCGGCGAACGAAGCTGCCCACCTCGTCCGCCCAGCTTGCACTGTTCTCCTCCAAGCTCTGCATACTATCGCCCACCAAACCTAGCTTCTCCGTGCGTTCTTGGATCTGTCGCTGCATGTAATCCCAATAGCTCTCCTGCTGGCCCGCAATGGCAGCAGCCTGCGTGTTCATACCCGCTCGGCCCTGTCGCCGAAGCTGCTCCTCCTCCGCCTTCGCTTGCGCAATCATGCGCTTGCTTGGAGGACGATTAGGCCCGCCAATCAAGATGTCCATGTCAGAGGGGGTGACGTACTGTGTACCGGTTACCCAGGACACCGCAGAGATAGTCGGTCGTGGCGGTATGAGGGCGGCAGGCTCGAAGATCTTGTCCCTTCCAGGATTGAGGGGCTCGCCAGTGCCCCATATATTGAGGAGGGCAAGCTCGGAAGGTCCTGTGAAGCCTAGAATGTGGCCGGTCGGCGTGATCACAGCATCTGGGAAGCGGCGGACATCGAGCTTATCGGCAACCGAGACGGCGGCAACCTCGCGAAGCGCAGGTAAGCTGTACGCTCGCGCATTACCGTCGCCGAAAAGGCCGACGAGTACGTAGCCTTGATCCTGGTGTCGTACCACGCTCGCTGAGTCGCAGAAGAAGCCATCAAATGACTTGTGAGCACCTTTGTTCGCCGCCGGCCGGAAGACATGTACGCTTGTAGCCGTTACCGCGACAAGAGCGCCATTGACCTTGATGCCTGATCGCAAGCCGCTCACAGCGACCTGTGACGCTAACGCCGGCTTTCCAGTCTCTGCGCTGATGGGCGCAATATGGACGACCTTGTTGTTCAGCACGAGAGATCCTGCATGCTGCACCGTGTATCGTCCGCTCGGATCGGGCAATATCTTGAAGGTCCCCAAGTGGCCGAGATTGGTCCCAACATGCAACAGTATGCTGCTGTAGTCTTCTCCGTCCAGCATCATGACGGAAAACTCCATTTGCGTCACCCACTCCGGTTTCGCTCCCGGACCGCTGCTGGCATGCTTTCGTAGAGTACCCTTGCTATGGCCCTTGTTCATGTCGTGAACCGAGCCGCGATATATGATAGCAGGCCCTCGCATGTCAAGGACAATAATGCCTCCCCCTTCGAAAGCTGCAGCCACAAACCCTACGTCGCTCATACGCACAGATGTAACGGGGCCATCTTGCTGGTTCAGTAGTGTAACGGGCACCATGCCTTCGGACAGTGAGGGTTCGACGCGGTCAGTGACGTTGATCAGGACGCCCAGCTGATCCTGCCTGACAAGTCCCACCTCCTTCCCAGCATTACGATTGTTTCCCCAGCGGAAGACGACGAGCTCACCACTCCGCAAGCCTACCGCAAGCTCACCACTGGCGCCTGCAAGACTGACGCAGCTAATGTCGACGTTGCTGAAGCGGCCCAGTGCACGCGGGACGTCCACCTGGAGCAACTTCTCATTCTCTACTTCATCTCCATGCCCAACGTCCCATAGTCGAATGGTGCCGTCGGCATGCGCAGTCTGAACAATATTCCGGCTTTCATACCTTCGCAGATGCCTCGGCAACTCTACGCCGCCGCGTAACATGGGTGGACCTTGCTGTCTTCGCTCAGTCATCCCAAGCCAACGCTCTCTGCCCATCTGTGCGACATTGACGCGTTTCAGAAATGGAGACACAAAGGTTAGGGAAGGGTGTAGTTGATTAGTGGGAGTAATAGGCATGCCAGATGGGAATGTCAGCGTCAGAAGCTCTCCGACAGCAAGTAAAGCTATGATAGCTATGGGATCGTGAGCGCCAGCGAAGTGTGGGTCGGAACGCGGAATGAGACAGAATTCAACTACTTCCGCGCCCGGCGGTGTAGGTAGGATGCGCTGCCGCTTGGGTGTCTCGAAGAATTGAGCCAAGAACTCCCAGCTGCTAGTCGTGTACGTCGGCGTCAAACCTAGCTCGAGAAGTGTCAAACCTTTCGTTGGCGATTGTGTAGACTGTCCGCCTGCTATTAGGATAGCTGTATCTTCTGGGTTCTGGTTGGCGCACCAGGCAACACGGAACAATGGCTCCTTTACTGCCGTCGGACCTGCCGTCGGGTTTATGTTACTGTTTGAGGTGCCCGGTAGCAAGATGTTGGTATCCGTTAGCGTCCTCGCCATGATCATACGCCCATCTTTGAGCGTGTCCCAAAAGACAAGCGAACTGTCTTCGTAGCCAGTAACGATGAAAGTCCCACTCGGATGCCATGTTGCCTGTGTCAGCTTCGGCCGCCGCGCCACGTTCCTCATCGCAGGATCGCCGTCTCCGCCGGGCGCTCCTCGTGGGATTTCATACTGGTAGAAGCGCAACGATTTGGCCAATTTGAAACTGTATATGACGGCGCCGTGTGTATAGCCGATCAGGAGCGTACCTACGTCTCGCGGGTGCAGCTGCAGAGTCACCACCGGAGACAGTCTGGCTCGCGGATCGACTTCGAGCCAGAGATTTGGAATCTTGAATGGGGCGAGTGCTTCTCGATCCATGTCGTATGCCAGCACCTCGCCGCTCTGCATGCCTAACAGGGCATAATCGAGCATGGGGTCCGTACATAGCACCGTGACTACGCCTGGTGGAGAGTGACTGGCTAGGAGGGTCTTCAACTCGAGCGAATACACAGAGAGCGCATGTTTCGTATCGAGGCAGACCAGCTTCTCGGCACAGAAATGTAGGGCCTTCACACTAGCTCCTCGGGTTGGCAGGGCAAGTGTGACTTGTACACGCTTCTGACCAAAAAGGTAGATCTGACCGGGGCCAAACTGTGAGCTCTTCGTTCCAACCGCCAAAATGGACTGGACCGGATCGTAAGAGAGACATGCTATCTGTGAGTTGACACCGAGGCGGGCGAGATCATCGATGTTGAAGAGTTCGGATGAGATGCCAGAAGACAGATCGTTTTGAATGCCTGCTTGCTTGCCACGGAGTAGGTGCGCCATCGTCTGTCATTAAACAACAACCGAGCAACATCGACAAACGTGCAAGTCACGGGTTATCTGCTCACGCTCGGTGCCATTGAATAAGCTCATGTGTGGCTGCGAAACCTACTGGCCTCGCTTGTTCGACCGAGCTCGTCGTCATATGCATGTGCTTGTACCTGCCTATTATAATGTTACACAAGTTGTTCAGGCCTGAGGCTGGACAAATTCAAGTTCGACAGCTACGCCCAGTCCACACTCTACCCACGATCGTCGGCGAAGGGAAACCGTGACGGCGACTACACCGGGTATCAAAGGTACAGTACGTCTGCCCGAATCCCTCTCCATCACAGCCATATACAACATGCAGCCTAGTTGATGGGCAGAGCAGTGTCTGCTCAGACCGCCTGCCGACACTTGCTTCACATGCACTGAGCATGCGGTATCTCGTGAACGAGCTGACAATGCAGACACACAGCTCAAGACTAGCCCCTAGGGGCCGAATCATCTGCCCAACATGCCGGCCATGCTGGACGACCCAACAGCGCCCGCCATATATCGCGTGTCAGGTGCTCCGCCATACCCTGTCCCCTACGGCCCACTCCCACCCGACATCGCACTCCGACAAGTGACGCTCCGAGACCGAGTGACAATAGCCACGCTTGTCCCATTTGCCTCGCCCCACCAGGTCCCTCATAAACTGACAGCATATCTCTGTGAGCTGCTGAACCGCGAGATTGACAAGGGCGACACCTACCCCATGATGGAGCCCATGCCGCTATCCTCCTTCGGCACATATTGGTTCGCCAACTTCGGCGCCGTCATGCTACTAGGCGACATCCAGAGCGTAGAGGAGGTCACGCAAATGGAGGAGCGCGGCGCCGACTGGGCGAAGGAATGCCTAGGCAGCTTCTACGTGAAGCCCAATTATCCCGGTCGCAGCAGTCACGTCTGCAACGGCGGCTTCCTCGTTACGGACGCGGCACGAAATCGCGGCGTAGGAAGGTTGATGGGAGAGTGCTATCTCGACTGGGCGCCGAGGTTGGGTTACACGTACAGTGTCTTCAATCTCGTCTACGAGACCAACGTTGCTTCGCTGCGCATCTGGGACGCACTCGGCTTCAAGCGTATAGGGCGAGTAAAGGGCTGCGGAAACCTCAAGAGCTACCCGGACCAGCTTATCGATGCAATCATTTTCGGCCGTGATCTCGGAGGCGAAGGTGATGAGTATGTAAGCGAAGAGCGCTTCGACAAGATTCGCTTCTACCTCAAGACAGGCTCGTACCCGAATGGCAGCGACCGGGCGGAGAAGTCCCGTCTGCGGAGTGCGGCGACACATTACCGGCTCGTGCCGAACATCAACGGTGGCGGTGACGGCGAGGAGGACAAGCTGATGCTGAAAGGCAAGGAAGTCATCTCCGATCCGCACAAGCAGTACGAGATTGCGCGGAACATGCATAATCTCAGTCACGGAGGCATCAACAAGACCACCGCGAGTATAGCGGAGAAGTATCACTGGGTGCGGATCAAGGAGACCGTCAGTGCGGCGATCAGGAACTGCCCCGAATGTAAAGATCAGGCGGCCAAGCAGCCGCAGACGTACACCGCCCAGACAAGGCGGACCAAGGACTCCGACACGCCCACGCAGAATGAGCGAGCACCCAGATCAGTGGTGGTGGCGGGCGCTGACGAACCGGAATTTGCCAGGTCCAACAGCCATGGCGACCATCAGCTGCACCAAGCCGCTGCAGGAGCAACGGACGGCGGCGTTAGCACTCCATCGCACCACTCCCTCATAACCTCACCAGCGCCGGCACAGCAACTTCAAGCGCCTGTGGCCCGCATGCACTACCAACGCAGCATGGACTACGGCGACGTGCCCGTAGACCCGCAGATTATGCGGAGCATGCACGACTGGGCACACCCGCCAGAGCATGGACACATGGATTTTGACGATTTGCCTGTGACGGGTCAACGTGGCACATTGGCTGACGAGCTCATGAAAGCGCATGCCGAGGATGGCGCGCGACTGCAGCGGGAGCTGGAGGTGCAGTTGAATGGTGAGCGAGGACAGGCTTACGCGGAGGCAGACACGAGGTAGTAGCTCGTCAATGCTAATGAGTTCCTTCTTCGCAATCAATACGGGATTGTAACCATATCCACTCGTCGACTTTGCGACTATGATTCTGCTTGCCCGCTCACGTGCCCTTCCCACGCTGAGCCCGCGGTCTGGCGGTGTTACACAAATGCAGATTCATGGCCACTTGACGATGCCTACCCTCGGTTTACGAGCCGAGCCGACTCACCAACCTTCCAAGCGGCAGCCTTCTTAGCTTAACTACCATAGCCTCGCTAACCCGATGCCGTACTTGTGGCACGCTCCACGGACCCGTCACCCCATCGTACCTGCTTCCTAGCCTTCCTCTCTTCCGGACTCCCACCAACGCGCGAAGCAGTAGAGCCTTCTGGCCCCGGGCCAAATTCTTGATCAACACGCTTACCAGCCTCGATACTCTACTTCGCGACCGCCGCACTGAGAACCTGCGTCCTGAAGAAGCCGCCCTTGGTCCGTTCGATCACCTGTTGATACACGCTAATGGGTGGGTGGTTCATGATGACTGTGCCGGCTTGGTAGTCGATCTTGGCATCCACCCGTGTGTCGCGGATGAGGTTCACGATCCACTTCTCGCCTTCATCCGAGCTCAAGCCTAGCCGAGTCGAGAGATCTTTGATGTCAATTCGTTGATGGATTTTGCAGTAACTTTCGGAGATCAAGTGTCGAGCAGCATCTAGGAACGACTCTGCCGCCGCAACGAGAAAGAAGTCGGAACGTAGGATTTCATCTGCCTGGGAGAGCGACTTTTGCGCCTCAGCGAAATCAAAGTCGACGTAAAGCGCTTTGACAAAGGCCGTGACTGGGTCGTTGTACTCGTATTGTTCCTGCCTCACAATTCGCACGAGGTCTTTGAGCTGTTTCTGGTAGTTCCCATACAAGAAGTTCGTCTTGTTTCCCGGCCGACTGCGGTTCGTGATTACAGCGGCGCACAGATAGCGCAGAATCCAGGGGCAGGAGACTTGGATCGTGTTGATGTATGGGAGACTGAAGAAAAGTTCCGTGAGCGCTTCGCGTGCGGGTTCGTAGTTGAAGAAGGGAAAGAGGGACCAATGGATGAGCCAAGTGCGGTGCTCGAGTTGCGCGAGCGGGTTATTGAATAACCGCGTATCGATTGACTCTTTGAGTCGATTCACTTCCTCCATCGCGCTCTCCCAGTTCGTGGTTAGGATATCGCTAGCGAGTTTGCCCCAGGTGGCGGCGTTGACACGGTCGTTGTCCGTCGACAGGATACGATATTGGTATAGCAGCTCTGACGCGCTACCGTAGTCTCCGCAGGAGTACTGAAACTGGCCGAACTCGTAGAGTTGTTCAACCATCTGCGGTGTCACGCCATGGGTGTCTTTCAGGTAGCGCATGTTGCTCTCTTTGTCGCTGCGCAGGTTGTTCACCACTTCCGCATCCGCAAGGAGGTTTTGGATGGTCTCAGTCTCCTGCTCGAAGGTGTGCAATTTCTCGAGCACTTGTTCTCGCTTCTGAGCATATTCTTGTGGCCGCTCAGAAAGGCCGTTGAGGCGGGCGTAGAGGTCGCCGATGAAGTCTGACATATTTGTTGTCTGGAGAAGGGAGTATTTGAGCTGCGTAATGTCGGTCGTGTCTTCATCTTCGGGTGTCTCCTCTTCGAGGAAGTTGAGCAGGGGAAAGACCAGGTGCCGGTCCAGGTTGGGGATGAGGTTTGGGAGGATATTGTATTGCTTCGCAACGTCTGTAGGGGCTTGCGCATTGCTTGCCGCGCCGTCTAGCATGTCGCTGGTGGTGGGTGGTTGTGAGTCCGCCATGATGTCTTCCTCCTCGTCGTGGTGGATGCAGCACTCACTAAACCCGCGTGTGGCCTCGATATATCTCTATATCTTTGGCGGCAGTGTGGGGTCGACGAAAATCGCCTGGCCTTAGGCAAACAGACTGCTTGGCCTTGGCACAGACAAGCTCCGTTGCTGTCGCTTCAAGCTGTTAGAGTCGCATTGAGGTGAGCTGCTAGTGCAAGCAGGCGAGCCGTCACTTCATCGCGAGACTCATACCTCTCCACTCCGCTGCCATGGCCGGCCTTCCCACCAGCAGCATGGCACTGCACCGCTCCCTCTGCCGGCCCTCCGTCCCCCTCACAACCTCCCTGGCGAAGACGGTTCTGGCAGCCACCCAACCACGGCGGTACGCGCACTCAGATATTGCAATCACACGAACAGGCAAACCCATCATACGCATCTCTGGCGGACGAAGCAGCTTAGGCGGCCACACAGTCACTGTCTTTGGCGCAACCGGCTTTCTGGGGCGGTATATCGTGAACCGCATGGCTCGCGCAGGCTGCACGGTTGTTGTCCCCTTCCGGGAAGAGATGAAGAAGCGCCACCTGAAAGTTTCTGGTGACCTCGGGCGTGTAGTCTTTCTCGAGTACGATCTTCGCAACACAGCGTCTATTGAAGAGTCTGTCCGACATAGCGACATCGTGTACAACCTTGTTGGCCGAGACTACCCTACTAAGAACTTCGACCTGGAGGACGTGCACGTAGAAGGGACGCGGCGGATAGCGGATGCAGTGGCCAAATACGATGTCGACCGCTTCATCCAAGTCTCATCACATTCCGCCCACCCGGACTCGCCATCCGAATTCTACAGGACTAAGTACTGGAGCGAGCGTGTGGCGCGAGACATCTTCCCCGAAACCACTATTGTGCGGCCCGCACCTATGTTCGGCTTCGAGGACCGCTTACTGCATCGCCTTGCGAACGCCCGCAATATCCTCAGCTGCAACAACATGGAAGAGCGTCTCTGGCCAGTGCATGTCATTGATGTTGGCGCAGCACTGGAGTCCATTGGCATGGATGACAGCACCGCTGGCCAGACTTTCGAGCTGTATGGACCGAAGGAGTACACAATGATGGAGCTAAAGCAGCTCGTCGACCGGGAGATCCTGAAGGAGAGACGTCACATTAACCTACCAAAAGCTGTTATGGCGCCACTTTACGGATTCTTGAACAAGGCGCTCTGGTGGCATGTTGGGAGCCGTGACGAGGTGGAGAGGGAATACCTGGATCAGTTTATCGACAAGAACGCAAAGACATTCAAGGACCTGGATATGGAGCCGGGTGATGTTTCCAACTTCACTTTCAAATATCTGGTAAGTACAGGCTTTGGTCTTCGTGCTGATATTGTGGAGCTTGGCTGACTTCTGCAACAGCAAGGATATCGCAGCTCCTCTTACTATGACTTGCCGCCCATGACGGAGCGCGAGAAGCGGGAAGAGAAGAAGTATTTGCATGTTATCGACGATCAATAAATACATCATTGCTGGCTGGAATTGTAGGCTTCACAATCGGTCGGCCATGTCGGTGCTCCACTACAAGCTTGAAAGGCCGACGTTGTATATAACTACCTCTAATCGCCTATTCGTGTCGTCACAGGCCCTGACAACCTCACTTAATGTCTTGCACCACTCATGCTACAATACTGCCATACGGTCGCACACTGTTCAGGCGGGAAGCTCGGCAGGAGGTGCGATTCGCTCGGTACGCATCGCTACTACGCGCCGAACCGCTGCAAGGCGCGACGCTGGGGTTGCGACGCGCCCCTTGGCGTTCCAGACTCGAGCTATCCGCTGGAACATATTACGCCTTCTACCCGCCATGAACGTAGGGCTTTCGAGCGCTCAAGGTATCGTGATAGAGCCCTCCCGTTCGATTTACATCTTGTCATTCTTTACATTAGCAACACTACCGTCATTCGTTTATGAAAGAGCGGGCTGGTCCTGCCACCTTGCCGATGCACATTTGACTTGCAGCATGATAATTTTGAAATCAGAGTACAAAGATGTTCCATACCACGCTCGCCATTAGCGCATTGCTCTCTATAACCACATACGCACAGACTAGCACCCTCTGTGACCCTCTCAACAGCACTTGTCCCCCTGATTCCGCCTTAGGAACAACGTACGATGAGACTTTCACCGCGCAAACGGTAGAGCTGAACCCCAATCTCTGGAATGTGACAGCTGGCTCTGACTTGATTCATTTCACGAACAATGGCGCTGAGCTGGCCATCTCCCAAAGCGGCCAGAGTGTGACTGCGCAAAGCACCTTCTACATCTTCTGGGGCCAGGTAGAGATCATCATGCAGGCGGCAAGCGGGACAGGCATAATAAGCACGTTCGACCTGTTATCGGATGACCTGGACGAGATCGACATGGAGATTATGGGCGGGAACACGTCGTGGGTGGAGAGTAATTGGTATGGATGGGGCGACCAGACGCAATATAATTCGGAATACCTCGAGTGCGACGGACCGCAACAGAAGATGCACAACTACACCATCGTGTGGAGTCAGGAGCAGATTCAATGGATTGTGGACGGAAACGTCTCGCGAATCGTACCGTATGCTGCTCCGCACCAGTACCCTCAGACACCATCAATCCTGAAGTTTGGCATTTGGGCGGGTGGAGATGCTACGGAGCCGGAAGGCACGATCCAGTGGGCTGGGGGCAAAACCGACTGGTCAAAAGGGTAAGACTGCGGATTTAAGCGTCAATGTCGTTAGGTTCCTGCTGATAAGCAAGACAGCCCGTTCACCATGACCGTCCAGAGCATCAAGATTACAGACGGCTCGACAAACACCAGCTCCTACGCCTACGGCGACCGCAGCGGCAGCTACAATAGCATTCAAGCCGTAGCCGGCGAGTCAACAGCATACAAGATCCTAAACAAGCAGTCAACCTTACAGTCCGTGTTGCAAATCTGGAAAGGTCTTTCAGAGGGCGCAAAGATAGGCATTGTGTGTGGCGTTTCTGGGTTCTTTGCGTGCGTAATAGTGGCTTGTACTGTTTGCTGCATCATTCAGAGGAAGAAGGGAAGGGCGGAGAAGGCGATTGCCGACAAGGAGTGGGATGCGCATACCAACGAACTTATGGAGTATAGGGTGAGAATGGCGAAAGGGGAGTTTGCAGTAGCGCACTTGACGCATGGCGAGAAGTCTTAGCATTGGCGTTTGGAAGCTTTCGCGCTGCTTTGGACTGCGCATGAAGGTTGGGGCAATGGATCGAAAATTGCCGTCTTCTTACTGACACGTTTGTTCATGGGCCGCTTTCATGGTCGTTATCTGAAGACAAAGAGCATCTATACAATTCTGGAGCCACGGGAGTCTGGAGTCACTACGACTGATCCATCTAACAGCCCGTCGCTGAACAGGGATAGGAAGTCCACAGACTTTTGAAAGGAGTTGCATCTGATGTTTTCCCACCAGAACGAATGTGAGGCACAATTGATTGCACTGAGAACTCAAGAAAGAGAACCCCATCAACATAACCTTATCGCGTTATGATTGCAAAAGTTGAAGATGGTTCTCTGGAACCGCCTTAGTTCACAAGACAGTCTAGGCCCTCCACCCTCTGCCACGTCTACATTGCGTGGAAGTGATGTCGCGCGTGGGATGTGTGAGGTCACTTCCCACCGAGCAGCCAAACGAACTCTGGTTGAGCTTAGAACAACCTTGACATAACTTTCCGCAGAGTCTTCAACGCCTCGGCAGCTGAATGTTGTAGACATGCTACGATTGGCCAACGATGTCACTGAGCGCAGACCATGTTTGTCTCAGATTCTCAATCGCACTGTTGCCCTGGCGGGTCTCTCTGCCGCCGATGCTAACGCTAATCCTAAGAAAGTCTCCGGCATCGAGGCTGTCGGGCAACGTTCCAGCTCCGCTATGCTAATCCCACGCCGCTTTGCCACTATCTTCATGCGCTCCACATCTGGAGAATTGTGTTTAGGAGATCACTCCGTCGGCGCCGTTGGCAACTCCACCGTTGTTGAGACGCTATGCTTTGTATCGGAAAACGTGCTACAACTGGTTGCTTCTGTTGTGCTTCTGTTACTGCAGCGAAGATGATTGAGGCAAGCGTCCCAACCACGGGATCTTTCTGCAGGGCAGCAAGATCTTGTGAGGGGTCAGAGATGCAAAGCCGGTACAACGTGCTTGCTGTGCTCGGGAAAATTCATGTTATTCGTGGAGCCCTGGCATGCAAGAACTAGACCGCTTCCCGACAGCTCACGAAACTAGGTCGACCAAGCATCAATCTCCTAACCTGCGAACCGACTTGGCATAAGCGAGCATTCTAGGCGTCGCAACTTCCGTAGGTGCAAGCGAGCGATAGGAGACCTCTTCTTATTGTGAGCCCGTAGACTCGTGAGCTCGCCGTGGTCAGCAAAAATCGTACCGCCTGGGCGGATCGGCAACGCACAGACGGGACCCCATCCACACCCCGACCAAGCCACGCAAGTGTACCGAGGACAGCTTAGTTGTTGATCGGATCAGCAAGGGAGTACAGCATTCAGCGACGAGCCTGAAGAGCGAGCGGATGAGCCAACCGTAGTCCTGTTCATTGCGGTCGAACGTACTGCCCTTCGAAGGGTTCCTGATTACGTTTTATCCATAAAGGTGCCTAAAGCTCACCACCCACGTCTCGTCCTCCAAGAAAGACGGAACAAGGGTTGTCACGTTGCCAGGCAGAGACGCAATGTACAGTGTTGTGTTCGCTGGTTACTATCAGACTACGGTCCATACCGAAACGTTGAGAGTGCCACACACGCCAATTCTCCGCACAATGTGGAGAGACTACAGCAGCCTGCATTCGTACGCGGAGGGCAGTGCCGTGTCCGATCGTACCTGAAACGGCCCGCTATCACAACGTTTGTGCAACGTGAGCAGTTATTATGCCTTTAAAGCATAAGGGACTCAGTAACATCGAGTTTAAGCACCATTTTTGCGCGCCTGCGTCGTACAAGTTCCACTCTACGAAGGTTTTAAGAGAAAGGAACATGGCTGGCTTCTGATCCTAGTCTTACACCTGCAGGATAGATGAAGATTGCGGAGCTTTCACATGCTCTTCAATAGACGGCGAGCCATTACCCCGGTCGCTGCACCCACACACCGGAAGACCAGTCCAGTCAAGTTGGTACACCTCTCCTCACGTTCCATCCGGTCTTGCCGAAAGCTATCTAGTGGTCAATCTGTGGCAATCTGTGTATCTCGAGCAGGTACGAAACGAGGGTTAAGCGAGCCACGCCATTGGCGAAGTAATTGTCCGAAAGTGCATACGCTGATGTGCATGCCATGCAGCTGAGGTCGAACTCCGACTGGATGCTTCTGCAGATACTTTCCGGAATGCGCGGTCAAACTGCATGATCGTTCCCTGTCCGTTCAACTGACTGTCGCAACATCAACGTTCTACGGAGGATTAGTCCGTACAGAGTGTCAGGTTTTGTGGACTCCACAGTACATTGAACTACATGCGTGCTTGTGAGGCGGCATACAGGGTCGAGAAAGCGTTTAGTCTTCTGAAGGATTGCTCATGGCTAGGGCACGTCATTGCCATGACTTTTGCACAAGACAAGCAAGGTTGGGCGGAGGGAGGGACATCGTCGGAGAGATTCACACAGCTAGACTGGTGCCGCGCAATGTTTTATCTGTCTTGTGAAAATCTGCCAGGCTCATGTTGCTGTGCTGGAAGCTCGATGCTATCCGTGGTATGGCAACTACGCGAGCATTGTTGGGCAGCAGCTTGTGAGTAGTGTGTCGGTAGGTTCCAGGATTGGCATCTGCCAATCGTCACAGGTCAGGTTACACGAGATAAGCGAGTGAGATGAGCGGTTGTGAGATACGCGCCTTGCACATCACTGATGAGATTCAGGGGAGCACTAGCACATCCCTGGCGTTGTTATGAAGAATGCTTGCCCGGAGCCATCATAGATGGGCAAAGGACGCAAATGGCAAAGCCGCAAAGACGGAAGAATACCCAAAGCTGAGGACCCGAGTACTGCGCTAAGATCTTGCATGAAGCGGGATCTATCGTTAGCGCATCAGATCTTGATCAGCCAATGACACGCTTTGCTCAATCTCCTCATCTTCCCGCTTTTCACGCTCACGGAATGCCCAAGGGGCCGCCGTTGTTGGAGGTAACAGCCACCTCATTTGCACTCGCAGCATCCAGGTATGTCCACTAATTATCAGAAGATAGGTTGGGGTTGCGATAACATCAAGGTCACCGCATCTCAAGCAAACGGGTGAGATGATGCAAGGGCAGCTAGTGCTGAAACCAAAGCGGATCTTCTCCAGCCTGACTTGTGCGGTCGCGAGGCGCTCGCTAGAAAAGTAGCCGCACGCCATGACGATGGGGTTCCTGTCAGCCCCAAGGCGTCCGTAGTGAGGTACGCTGGCATCAGACAGCCACTTCCCCAGAGATCGGTCGTACATGGGCGGTGCCAAAGGTTACACAGATCTCAAATCATTAGACAGGCATCATCTTCGAACCCAAGATTATCTCCGACTCTGGCGTCAGAGGGTTCGCCGATCTGCGGCTGCAGCACTCCCGAAGGTTTGTGACGGTTTCTCGTGCCCTGGCAGACGGCAAGCTAGCTGCGAGGTGGCCCAGATTGGCAGGAGAGGCAATGGAGATTGCGGTCCGGGAGTCTGCACCTCCGCCTCGCGATCGCGATCTGCCAGCTCGAGCTTAGACCCGCTTGCAGTGCAAAAGTGCCTCGGTGGAGCCCCCGTGCTTCCCTCGCGCACGGCGATGGCCAGAAGGGCGATGGTCGCAAGATCTAGCTTTGCCGTGCGGGCTGCAGCACGACGGCTTGTCTCCGACCCAATGCGCCCGCGCCAGCAATCGGACGGTATCTTATACCACTCCGCGCCCTGCGCAACACCCATCTTTCCTCCTCGTTGCACTTCTGCCTCAAGTTTCGTTGACGGCAACCCCTCTGAGTGACATTTGTTATTAGACAAATTCGAGGTAAAACTCAAGTTTGACTGATTGTATCTGTCTATCGTCTCGTCCCGCTCGATACATCTACTCGCCACCCACACAGCCGCCAGCAAGACACCCCGCATCCCAAGACTCGACGTCGTCTCACCTATTAGTAGCTTGGGATCCATCTCCGCGCGTTTCCGAACAACCCAACCAAGCGTTCGTTGCTATCAATCCATAACTGGACTCGGACGCCTTGAAGATCTCCCGACGCTGTAGACGTAAGCATCAATATGCCTCCCATTCGCAACGCGACGGCTCCCAAGCCGATGAAGACCGAAAGGACGCACGAGGAGAATCAAGAAAGGTGAGCAACCGCGATTCGACGTTGCAATGTTGTTTTCTTGCTGACCTCTCCCAGAGCTTACGTTGCAGCCTCCCGCAGGAGTGATCGTAGCTTGGAGGCCCGTGTTGAGAGCGCTCGTCGTGCTTCAGAGATTCACAAGCGCCGTACGGGGCGCTCTCTCAAGGTCGACGAGCAGAGTGTCCTAAATGAAGATATGTACGAGGAGGAAGACGATGATCTCCCAGCGCAGATGCGACGCCTGACCGCACACCTTTCGATGACTGGTGCCGGCGACTTCCACAGGCGCTTCCAGGCTTATATGGCGCAACATGTCGCCATGCGTCAACATCTCGGCGGCGCTGCCGGAGACTGGCAGCAGAACAATCAATACAACAATTATAATGGCCAATATATGAACCCCGGCATGATGCAGATGCCGCCGCAAGGGTATCAACAGCAGATGTATCAGCCACAGATGGCACAACGGTCGCCTGTCAATTATCGGCCGGCACCGTACCCAATGCACAGCAACATGATGCAGCACACCATGAGGCCGAACACGCACAGCCGTTCTATGTCCATTGCGATGCCACAGGAGATGGCCAACTACCAGCAGGCGCAATTACAACAGTCACAGTCGGCGCAGGTCAGCCCTGTAGAGGTCAAGCATATGGACGATCGACGAATGTCGTTGCCCGCGCATGCCGCTATGCCGCCAACACCGCAGTCGCATCGTGGATCTCACGATTCTCCATCCTTGTCGCGTACTGGCTCCTCAACAAACCTAGCGACACCGCATGCTTTCTTTAAGCCAACCAGCCAGTCGCCACCGCAGATGGCCGCAGTCCCTCAGCAGCAACAGCAGCCGTTCCAGCAAACCTGGTCCTCCAACACCAGCCCGTTGTCCATGACCTTGCCACCCAACATGGAGCAGGTCCTCGCCGACAACCCTGCCTTCATGAACGATCCTACCATGTCGGCCATGATGCCCCCTCAGAGTGGCATAACGCCGCGCCCAGGCTACTCATATAATCCCAATGGCAAGCCACGCGATAAGAGCAGTGGCTCTTCGCCCTCGCAGAAGGCTTTCGAAGGCCTTAGCCAGACGTTGATGCCATCGTCATTGGATACGGGCAACCTTACCATGTTTGACAACAGTGCATTCACGACGTCGCCACAGTCTGCCAACAATGAGCAATTCTTCTCGCCGCAGACTCCTCACGCCTTCGCCATGGGCTTTGACAGTGCTGCCACTGGTTTTGACATGTTCAGTGGCACCGGCATGTCATCGCAGAGCCAGAGCGGCCACGTCACACCGCAGGAAGTCGAGAATTGGAACTCCTTCCTCAACTTCGCCGATGACCCTGTTCTCGGATACGACTCAGCTGCTGTAGTGTGAGCGATGCCGTTGCACGCATACCACACTACCACGCTTCTGCGTCTTCCCATCCGTCCACACTGGTTGCCACCATGCCGCGTTACCACGTCCACGACGTCCATTTAGTCGTCATCATCCGCAGGCCGCCTGTTGTGGTCAATGGCGACGCTGGACAATCCATTACTCGACAGAATTGCGCGTATCCATCATGACACCATCATGATTGGCCTACAGCGCCTGTATCACTCACATCATTCGATTCGATACGATACTGTACATATACCCGTCTTGTCCCAAGGCCCTGGTCAAGTCTTGGGGCGATCACTTCTTAATAATGAGCTGAACGACGATTACGACTTGTACACGATTAATGGGTAGTACTGCTGGGCATTGTATCCCAGCACACCGCTGGGATGGCGGTCGGACAGTACGGCATGGCGTTCGCTGTAAGACCCAGCGGGTAGCACATCATTGCTGCTTCGCAGCCTTTGTATTTATGACAGGAAATCAGTCGCGGCGTACTAAAAGCAAGTTGCGGTCTAGCAACGTTCGTCTGGAACTGCCAGCAGATAGAGGGCGCAAAGAACTGGACTCTAGCTACAGCGTAGCTTAGATCTGCGTGTCACCACTCAAGTAATAGGAAAAACGTTCCCATCACTCACCTATACCTACTGTCCCGCTTCTCATACAAGCGAACTCGACGCATTATTGTAACTTGAAGTTTTTCTGCCGAGCTCTTCGATGTGTATGCATAGCCGACAGCACATTGCTGTCGTTGCGCACTCATAGGTGGGTCTGTCTCCTGTGCCGCTAGATGCTGAAGTCACCGACTCACGCCTTGACAACAAAGCAACACACTATCCAAAGAATGCCCGCACAGTCTGCTGCGTCTCCGGCGGCAGCCCGGCGAGCAGCTGATCAGCATCCAGCCCAGCTATCTGAACCAGTTTCCTAGCAGCGCCGACAATCCTTTGCGCCATGTTACCCTGCAACGTTTCCGCCTCAAGCGCCTGTGCCACGAAGGTGAAGCAACGCGCTGCGTGATTCATCACGGCGGGGTTTTGCCTGCTCAATAACATTAGCTGCCTGATAGGAGTTCACAAATTTAAGACTTAACACTTACCGCTCAATCAATTCAGCGAGGAAGGAGTACGCGTACGGCGCCGCCTCCTCATCGTTCACGACCGGTAACGTGTCCACCCAATGTTGCACCACCTCCTGCACATTCCCGACCTTACCATTATTGAAATGCAGAATCTTCGCAATACTCGCGCACGCATTCTCCGTGGCAAACGCATCCTCCTCGCCGCGCGCATTAGGCCGTTGCGTCACCTCAAACAATATCGGCAGGCTGGCGGCAGCAAAGTCCGCCCATGCGTCGCCGCCTTTATGCGCTGCGACGCCGGCGCCGTAGCAGGCGGCTTGGCGATTTGCGGGCGCGTTGTCCCGCATGCCGTCGATCAGCGGCTGGATTATGTGGGCGTGGTAGTGCCAGGAGGCGGGGCCGCAGAATTCGAGGACGTCGTCCAGAATGCAGAGGGCCCATTGGCGTTGTGTGTCGTCGTGGTTGGAGACGAAAAGGTCGTAGTAGTTTAGTAGCCGCTCCCAGTGGGGTAGGAACGTTTGGCCTTGCTGCTTGAAAACTGTGTGGAAGGCTTTGTTCATGTCTGAGAGGAGAGTTTGATCGTCTTCGATGGCGAATTGGGCCTCTTCGTCTGGCTCCTCGCCGTCTTCCCGTTCGGCGGCTTCGTCTTGTCGCGCCTTGACACGGGCTTGAAAGTCCTTGAGAACGCTCTCAGCTGACGTGATGAAGATAGCCATATGTTCATTCGACAAGCAGTCCTTGCCGGAGACTTCGACGGACTCGTAGAAGCACTGGTACATCTCCGCCAAGGTCTCGATCGCCGGCTCCGTCTCCAGAACTTCGAGCACCTTCTCGATCGTGCTTTTCCACAGACTCAAATACTCTTGTGAATGCACGCCATACGCGGCCTTGTACGAGCCGAGTAACTGCGGCACGGCCTTTGCCGAAGCTACCCTTACCGGATCGTGAAAGAAGAAGGCAAGTCCGGGAATGGCAACCTTCTCCATGATCTCAATGACATACGGCGCGAACCCTTGCTGAAGATGTTGCGCGTAGACGGTGATCAGCTCAACAGCCATGAACTTGTCGTCAAGCGTACTCGTCTTGATGCCGATGTACTTGCCCTTCAGCGGCACCAGCTCCCAGCCTTCTTCTTGCTCAATTTGCGCCACGTTATCTTCGTTCTCAAGGAGCTGAATATCCGCCTTCGCCTGCGCGAGCTTTAGAAGAGGTGCCATGACGGCTTGCAGATACGGTATGAAGTCCTGGCCAAGCACTCTGCACATGCGTCCCCAGCAATGGAGCAGATAGCTCTCTTGCGGGTCGTCGTCATCGGTGATGTTTGACTGAACATTGCCAAGCACGTTTACAAGGGTGATAGCATCTTGGCCCATACGCTCCTTGCCCACCGCGAGCGCAATCAGTGTGGCACACTCCATGGCCTTGGCACGCAGCAACCGCATTTCACGTTCGTTCGGTTGCTGCAACACGTTAAACAACAGTGGCATCAGCTGGCCGTACCATTTGCCAAACGTGCTCTCAGCGGAGTCTGCAACCGTCGCAATCGTGGACAGGGCTTGTTCTTGCACAAAGCGCTTTGGGCTCTGCAATAATTGCATGAGATTTTGTAATAAGGTGTCGAGGTAGGGTTCCAAGGTCTCCTTCTCCGCTTCTTCACAAAAGTTGACAAGTGCGGCGGCAGCATGCGATTGCACCCTTGGCTCTGAAGCGGAAAGGACCGTTATGAGTGCCGGAAGGACGATCTGATGGTACTTCGACTGCATGGTGCCCTTAAAATCGGTGCTCATCTGGCCGAGCGCATTGCACCCTGCCCACCTCACTCTCGGATGCGGATCTCTGAGCGCCGGCACGACAAGGTCTAACACCTTGTCGAGTTCACCCTCCATAAGCTCCTGGCAGCCTTCTGAGATGGCCGAGATGGCCATGAGTGCAGCGTGTCTATCGCGCCACGAGCCGGACGTGATCATGCGCGGTAACCAGGTGAAGGTAGGCGGAAGAATAACTTGGCCACCGAGCTTGTTAGCTAGACGATCCATCGTCTGTTCGCCAGCGACATGATTCGAGTCGCTTTCGTCAAACTCTACGTCTTCCTGCGCTTGCCATTCTTCTGCATCCTCGTCGTCAGCACCGACATCCGTCATCAGCGACAAGCATTGAGTAACCATCTCCGAAGTGTAACGTGGATCCTTTTTGCACATGGCAGGATTGCAGTCGGCGAAGGTTGCCATTAGTTCGAGCGCATTCTGTCTTGCTTGGTCGTCGAGCTCCTTGTCCTGGATGATACTGATACTGAGTTGGACGAGGTCGGAGAAAACGTTCTTGAACATCTTCGACGCAAGCTCGGCGAGCTCAATAACCGCCATCAGCGCTTTGGTGAGATTGTCAGAATCACTTGCCTCCTTCAGCGGCAGCAAAGTGTTCAGTATGTCTGGTATGAGCGCGTAGTACTTCTGCTGGTACTTCTTTTGCAGAGTCTGAAAGAAGGATGAAAAGGCTGCCATCGTCGCTACCCGCACTTCAACCGCGTCGTCTTTGAGGCCTCGCTGGAATACGTCGAGGACGGCAGCCTCATGTTGTCGCTCAATGATACCCGGGGCGCTTTCGAATATTCGAAACGCCGATTCACGCATCCCAGCATCAGGTGACTGACTTGCATGATGTAGAGCGGCCAGCAGTTCCGGCCAGGTGTCCCTCGAGCCGTCTGGGTTCAACACCTCATCCTCGACGTACTGTCTTGCAACTTCGGCTATGGCGTCCGCGATCTTGTTCCTCACGTTCGTGGCTTGCTCGGCAGCGTGACAGCGTAGCAGCATGGACCGGATCGCTGCGCGCTGGGCATGGTTGAGCTGCAGGAACTTCTCTTTCATAGAGCCTGACACGGCATCTTTCGTCGTCTTGTATGATGTCCGACGGAAGAGTACTGCCGCAAATGCTCGCATCTGTATCTTGTCAGGTAGGCGATTCGCACGAACCAGCTGCATCCTTACTTACTCCGTCGTCTTGGGAGCCTTGCATCTGCTCGGCAAGGCCCATGAAGAGCATGTCTGGCCGTTGCTCCAGCCATTCTGACTCCAACTGTCTCTCGCCTTGGCCTCGCGTAGTGTTGTCAGGAGACTGAAGCACTTGTAGCAATTGTGTCAAGGCTGCGTGAACCTCTGGCGGCAGCATCGAAGCCATCTGGACTGTTTGTGGGGAAAGGCTCGCCGCTTTGGATCTGAATCACTACCGCCGTTGCATGCACATACGCCGCATATGGGTGGAGGCGCGCAGTTAAAGCAACGAGATCCAACGCTCCGTTCGCGATCACCGTCTGCGAGATTGTCGGCGCGACAACGGCGTGTCAGAGAGGTATAATGCATGCTCCGTCGGAATTTCTGGAGATTTTTGGGGCAGTCAGGGTTCAGCGAGCGCGTCTCGCACGGACGCTAAAGTGACGTGCCTGGCGTCTCTGAACAACATAATCCGCCGCATTGTGGCGTTCTATATGTGGCGCGTGTTGATGGTTCACACACATGCATGCATCCCGTCAGCATGGAGTAGTTGTGACCGGCGAGGTCTCAATCGTGAGCTCACGATGCCAACAAGAGGGCGATCCTCTTGGGCTAAGAAGACGGCTTGGCGGCAGTGCAGAAAGGAATGGACAGCGTTCGGTATCATGGCAGCTTGGCAGGAATAAGAGGGACAGCAATGGGGAAGTTGAGATGGTGTCTTGGTCGTCAGCATCACCTCAAGAGAAGGCCCGGGTTTCGAGCGGAGGCTGTTGAGTCTTAGATGTGTCAGACGAGCTACATGTTTGACGGTCTTCACCAGATGAGAAGTGCCTTGGGGGGTGCAAGTGCGCCGGAGGAGTGAGCGAGAGTGAATGCAGCCTCGTAGGGCTAGCAACGGCGGCCCGAGCCCGACGGGCGACGAGTGAAACAGACGATCTTCTGTCATTCGCACACGCACACGCACCTTTCTCCCTCCCACCAAAGGCCACCTTTGCCCGCGCTTCAGCCGACTGCCCTTGCTGTCAAGTCTCACTCCCCTGAGGTGAATTTCATTATTCAACTCAGCCAACCAGCGACCAGTTGCCTGCCTGTGATTGTGAAGCCACAGTATCTTTAAAAGCGCACAAAGAATCCGAGTCTCGCTCGCTAGCCCGCCGACCGCTCGTCAGCCATTGTCAGACTCCGGCAACGCGCCTTCGCGCCCTCCCACATATCCTTAAGCCATGGCTCAACCCACGCAGCTCGCATGTAAGCCGCGCTTCTCTATATACGAACTGTCAGCGACACTAACCGCTCGCGACAGACCGCACGTCCAAGCACATCGGCCTCTTCGATGCTGCTCCGGTATATGAGCGACTGCCAGGCTTTCAAGTTCCTGAAGGCAACCTCAGGTGTTGCGTCTACTCGCCCGACGGACGCTTCTTCGCATGGGCGTCGCCTGACAAGGTCTTTGTTGTCGACGCCTCGGTAGGGCACGTGGTCACTGAGTTGCCGGCAGAGAATGTGTACGAACTCGGCTTCTCACACGCCGGCACTTACATCATCACATGGCAACGGCCTTCGAAAGATGAGAACGGTGATGCTGTCAAGAATCTAAAGGTCTGGCGGACCATTGATGACAACGCAGGCGAAGGCGGTGAGCGCGACGTGGTTGGCAAGTTCGTGCAGAAGAGCCAGACGGGCTGGAATTTGCAGTACACATCCGACGAGCAGTTTTGCGCGCGCTGCGTCAGTAACGAGATCCAATTCTACGAGAGCAAGGACCTGGGCACCGTCTGGAACAAACTGCGTCTGGAGGGTGTCACCGACTTTGCGCTGGCTCCGGGCGAGACTCATTCGGTTGCCGTCTTCGTGCCGGAGCGCAAGGGCCAGCCGGCGTCTGTCAAGGTCTTCAAAGTGCCTGAGTTCAGCGCACCGGTATCGCAGAAGACGTTCTTCAAGGGAGACAAGGTGCAGCTCAAGTGGAATCAACAAGGCACGAGTGTGATAGTCTTGGCGCAGACCGAAGTGGACAAGAGCAACAAGAGCTACTACGGCGAGACCAACATGTACATCCTCAGCGCCAACGGCGGCTTCGATTCGCGCATCCAGCTCGACAAGGAAGGTCCAATCCACGATGTGACTTGGTCGCCGAACTCGAAAGAGTTCGGGGTGGTCTATGGCTACATGCCCGCCAAGACGACCATATTCAACGTGCGTGCCGTCGCGCAGCACAGCTTCAATCTTGCGCCCAGGAATACCATATTGTTCTCGCCGCACGGCCGTTTTGTCATTGTGGCTGGTTTTGGGAACTTGGCTGGCCAGATGGATATATACGACCTCGAGAAGAACTACGAGAAAGTCTGCACGATCGAAGCGAGCAACGCAAGCACTTGCGAGTGGAGCCCAGACGGGAAGCACATCCTGACTGCCACCACCAGCCCAAGGCTGCGCGTTGATAACGGCCTCCGCATCTGGCATGTGGGAGGCGGTTTGATGTACCACGAGGAGATGAATGAGCTGTATCACGTCGTTTGGCGGCCACAGTCAGCGCTGCAACATCCGCTGGACGACCCTTTGCACCCAGTGCCGATTCCACATGCATCCGCGCTGGAGTACCTGGGCCGGGTGAAGACGCCGTCCAAGCCGGCAGGCGCGTACCGACCTCCTGGTGCGCGTGGGACGGCAACACCACTAGCTTTCAAGCGGGAAGACCAAGGCGGCGCTGCGTTCGTTCGTGAGATGATGTCTGGCAAGGAGCCGGAGACTAACGGTTTCGGGCCTTCCGCCGCCCGACGACGTGTCGTGCCGGGTGCTGAGAGCATGGAATCCAAACTCCCGCCTGGCGCTGTTCCGGGCGGAGGCGTCAGCCTTACACAAGATGGCGATGAGAATCTCACCAAGGCTGCGTTGAAAAACAAGAAGAAGCGAGAAGCGAAAAAAGCGAAGGATGCGGAGACCAAGGCAACAGGCCTTGCGGCGCCAACGGAGAATGGCGATAGCGGGCTCAGCGCCAATGGTACGCCAAACCGTAGCCCTGACCGGAGGGACCGCCCTCGCAGTCGCTCGAAAAGTGGGTACGAGGCCCCTCGCCCGCCATCAAGGAGGAGAGAGGGCAGTCGTATGCGGGACGGCGACAAGCCGAGAGGGCCACCCGTCGAGACCGCATTCGCTTCTCCTGCTAGAAAGACGCCCGTCGCTAATGGTAGGCCTGTTGAAGCAGCGCCTGAAGCCATGTTAGCGCCTTCCCTCGAGGTCACGAGTCCTGGGTCCGGCTCGCCGGAGGAGAAGAAGATCCGGTCGTTACTCAAGAAGCTCCGCGCCATTGACGACCTGAAGATGCGGCAAGCCGGTGGCGAAAAGTTGGAAGGCACGCAGGTGCTGAAAATTGGCACTGAAGTGCAGGTCAAGAAGGAGCTGGACCAATTGGGTTATACCGAGTAAACAGATAGATAGCCCGTATGAAAGGCTCGCTTCAGCGACCCTCCAATACTAGCAGTGACTGCTAATCATCATCCTTGCTGCCACTACGCCTGGCACTCTTCTTCGCGCTCTGATACTCCTTCATCCTCCGTCTGCCTGCCGCTTCGGCCTTCTGCAGCATCTCGACGCGCTCGACCTGCTCCGGGGAAGTCTCACCTGGCACAGCCTCCCGCCCGGCCTGCAAGATCAGTTCGTGCAGCCGCTTGAAGCAGGCATTGACATTGTCGGACTGCTTGCGCGAGTCGTCGGCTTGGATGACGAGGTCGCCGCTTTTGCCAGCGTGGTAGCGGGAGGAGAGGATGTGAGGGCGCAGGATGGAGGGGAGGAGCGGAAGGAAAGAAGATGTCGAGATGCGGAGGGTGACTTTGGAGGAGACTCTAGGAGGGTGTGAGGATGGGACGGGGAGAGTGATTGAGAGGGAGAGTCAGAGGGAGAGAGCCTACTTGTTCACGTTTTGCCCACCTGGCCCGCTGGATCTACTGAAGCTGACCTCTCCGATTGTGCGAGGGATGGTTTCCGCGTCTAGATTGGCGAGCCATTTCCGCGCTGCAGCGAGCTCTGCTTCCTCTGCTACTTGTCCGGCTGTCCGAGTGCTGGCGCGCTGAGATACGTAGCTAGGCCGTAGCGAGTGCTTGAACGCGTGGGGGTGTACTACATTGCGAAGCATAGCCTTGACCCACGATTCATGAGCCGGAAAGGACGATAGTTTAATGGCTCGCGAGTAGGTGAGCGGAGCTGCACGTGCACTGTGCCGCTGACTAAGATCTGGACGGATATTGCCGGCGCAAAACTTTGGACTGCCTTCTCCGCTGTGCGACCTTACCACTTCATTACACCATCACCATCACATACTCTACTCTACACGAGCCATCTTGTCAGGTCGTTCCATCACTCATCAATCCGGACTGCCACGCCTCCACAACTCACTGCGCGTCCCTTCCGATACTGCCACTTCTCCGTTTGCTTCACTCACCAAATTGCGCAGCCTTGTGTGCCGTATATTGAAGTCAACCAACTGAGCTTCATCATCCAGCAATCGCAGAATACTTCTCGCCAGACCTCCCATGCTTCGGCGCTCCATCTAAAAGCGCATTCGGACTCACTCCGTGGTCGTGTCATGACTGGTTCCACTAACTAGAGCCTGCTCCCTTACCAGGCGTGAATCATCCAACCCACCCTCGTCCTGCGCTGATGCGCCTTCTCATGTCTCCATGAACCCTGACCGCCCGTCTGAGCCACCCGAGGAGCCCTATCAGACAAGCGAAGTTGCGCTCTTGTCGCCGGCCTCGCCAAAGCCCATTCATTTCCCAACGCCCACGAACATCCCTGTGCTGGAAATGCAAACGGACGTAGAGTTCAATCAGACGGAAGCTCATATGAGCGATCCCGCTATGCACAACACGGAAGTCCGACCGGACTTTTGGCGTGCTCCGAACGAGCAGCTTGAAGAGGCCGATCACGCTTCGCCCTTCTCCACAGGTGGCGGCGACGCTGCAGACGTTGCGGACGAGGAAGGCGCTACCAATGAGTCGGATATACCGGGCAGCGACGCAAATGAAGCCACAGATAATACGGAGTCTTTCGCGAGTGGGAACACAGACACAGTCTCCGTTCAACTTTCCAACGAGCTTTCCCACCAAGCCAACGTCGGTCTCGAGGCTGCCTCTGCCAGCCACGCCTACCCCTACCAATCTGACGCCCTCGAACCTGCCTCAGATCCAAGTGCGCCGAGCCTTGACCCAGTAGCGTTGTCCGATCAAGCAAATGCCGCTGCGTCCGACCAAGCACTGCCCGCTGCACCTGCCTTCAACGGCAATGTGGACGTGCAAGCCCTGCTTGACACTCTGAAAGTGCCCCCGTCCGCCACAGCTCATACCTCCAACGGTGTGACTTCCGTAACTCCATCATCGCAAGTCCAACCGTCTGCGTCTGGTCTAGATGCGAGCTCGCCGTCGGCGGCAAGTCTTGGTGTCGCGCCGACAGGGCTCCCACCACGTCCGCCACCGCAAGAGCAACCGCTCATCCACCCAAATTACGTGCACAGTCAGCACATCCGCGATTACCACCCCCATGCTGCCAATCCGGCCTTTCAGCCAAATCAACAGCCCGGTGGCCCAGGCAATGTCGCAGACCCAACCTCGCGTAGCTTCGTCCCTCCCGTCCATTCGCCAACCAACCCATCTTCGGCCAGCGCGCAGCAAGGCCTGTCTGTATTCACCCCATTGTCTGCCACCAGTCAGCAGCCACATTCAGCGCAGTCCGCGTTCCAAACGCCCATCAGCGCCCAATCGTACACCGGCGCAGGTTACCCGGGCATGTCACCTACTACCACGACTACCCCCATTCAGTCCCGGCGAGAAGCCAAGCTCGCAGCAGGCGAGGTTCCTGGTGTCGAGGACAAGCCGTGGGATGCAGAGACCCAAGTCAAGTACGACCGTTTTATCGAGACGGAGCGGCAGTACGTGAGCGAGGGCCGGTGGGATCAGTTCCCGATGGGAAGCAGGCTCTTTGTCGGTACGCGCAATCTCGATGGCACCAAGACACGCCGGGACGAAGTCACGCTTGTCGACACCGACGGCGATGATGGTAGTACGGTTGCAGGAGCACGCGCTGATGGGTTGATAGGGAACCTGTCGAGCGAGAAGGTGACGAAGCGGGATATCTTCTACGTTTTCCACAACTACGGCGATCTAGCGCAGATCAGCATCAAACAGGCGTATGGCTTTGTGCAGTTCTTGAGCGCGGACGAATGTAAGCGGGCATTAGACGTGGAGCAAGGGAGACAGATCAGGGACAAGAGGATTCGTAAGTGTGACCGATTATGCATGAACGACACGACCACTGACGAGCGCAGATCTCGAGATCTCGAAACCGCAAAAGAGCCGCGCTCAGCCAAATCAAGGTCGCCGATCACGATCGCCCGACTTTGGAAGAGTAGGCAAGCCAGCGCCTGGTGTGGACAGATACACTTCTGGAAGAGGCGGGGGCGGCGGCGGCGGCGGCGGCGGCGGCTACAGCAAAGGGCCGGGTTACCGATCGCCTTCGCCACCACGAGGATACCGCGACCGCTACAACGACCGCTACCGTGAGCGCTCGCCGGACTATGGTCGAAGAGGTGGAGGCAGATACAGGAGTCCATCTCCGCGTCGCAACGAGGACGATGATCTGCCGCTGCCCCGACGCGCACCGAGCGAGGTGCCGGATGTGCAGATTATCGTGCTGGACACATTAGACCGAGACTTTATCACCTGGGTGGAGAAGGCGTTCTTGGCTCGCGGCGTGCGGGTAGATGTTCTCCTACTTTCACCAAGACTGAGCGAGCAAGCCGTGATTCGTAGACAGATCGTTGAGGGTGTGGTGGCTGTGAGCAAACTCACGAAACACAATCAGAATTCGGGTAAGATTGGCTTGCAGATCTTCAACCGGCAAGGCGGGCAGGGCAACGTGACGTTCGAAGAATATGACAATCTCGATCCGGCGATATGTGTTGAGCTGGTGTTGAGGGCGAAGCAGCAGAGTCAGCCTACTCCGGCGTATGGAGGTGGATATGGTGGAGCACAGTACGGCGCACAGTCTATGCCGCCGGCGCAGCAACAGCAGCAATACGGCGGTGGCTACGGACAGGCTTACGGCCAGCAGCCTGCTGCCGCACCGACTGGCTGGCCACCTGCAGCAGCGCCTTACCCGCCCCAAACACAGCAGCAACCTCCACCACAGAACCTGCAGAATCTTATCACGAATCTTGACCCGAACGGACTACAGAGTCTGCTGAGCGCTATGAACCCGCAGCAATCGCCGAACACGCCACAGATAGCTGCCTATGGAACGCCGCAGTCAGCAGGCTATCCTCAGCACCAGCACCAGCACCAACAGCAACAGCATGCGGCCATGGCGGCACTGCAGCAGAACCCACAAATGGCCCAGGCCATGATGCAGCAGGCTCAGCATCAGCAGTCTGGTACGAGTGGGGGTGGACAGGTCAATATGCAGGATATCCTGGCGAAGCTTGGGACGTACAAGCAATGAGCCCGCCGGTTTGACCGCCAATGGCGACTCCAGCAGATGCTGAAACAGGAGGATGGGGTTGACGTTGCTCTGCAGATGCTGTCGTCCAATAAACTCTTTGCTTCACTGCCACAAGCTACTGTACACAAATCGCATGTCTCGCGCCGTCGTGAAGTGGCCTTCACCAGGCCAGTGCTACCTGTTGGTATGGTGAACAATTCCCAAAATCCCGTGCTGTGTCACAATGCTAGTGCATTCTCAATGCATCTACAATACTCGCTTCGGTAAATCATCGGTAGCTGGCGACGCCAAAGCGCTGCATGTGACCTTGACCCTCAACTCCACGCATCAAGACTCGGCGCCTACGCATACAGAGCAAGTCCCAATAATCAAGCTGCGAATATGACTAGTCTTGTCCTGCAGTCATCTGCGTGGTGACCATGGAGCGAGGGAATGTGGACAGCAGCGCAGAATTGCCGCCTGCAAAGTATCCCGGCGAAGACACTCGACCAACATCCCGAAAAGAACTCCTTGGCTTCTATACCTACAGTTTCGCCGCGGAAGTCTTCCCGATATGTGGCTTAGGAGCCTTCATTCCCATCGCACTTGAGACGTTAGCCAGACAGTCAGCAAGTGCAGTCCTTGCCAGCGACCATAGCAGGCCTTGCGCACAGCCAGGCACTGAGAGGAGCTTCAGTAATGTCACCGCACGACGCAACCAAACGCCTCATGGCGTGCAATGCGACTTCCGGTTCTTCGGAACGTACATCAATACGGCCAGCTTCGCAATGTACACCTTCTCTGTCTCCGTCCTGCTACAAGCGCTGCTGGTGATCACAATGTCCGCCGCCGCGGACCATGGCCGCTACCGTAAGACGTTACTTGTTGGGTTTGCAATCGCAGGCGCCATTGCGACCATGCTCTTTCTGCTAGTTTCACCTGCAGTATACTGGCTTGGCAGTGTTTGGGCCATTGTGGGAAACGTCTGCTTTGGTGGGAGCTTTGTGCTGCTGAACTCATTCCTACCACTTCTCGTAAGAAATCATCCGGCCGCGAAGGACCCAAACACGTACACGTACCACAGTGTGCAACTGCCTGCCGGAGACAACGAGGTTAGTTTCCTTCTATGGTCCTACGTTTTGCAGCTACATCCTAGATCTCCGTTCCATGGCATCTAAAGTGAAAATCGCCGCCTCATCAGCGCTGACCACCATCATGTTTCCATTCCTGCACTTACGGTAACTCGCTTTGCGCCTGCAGATTACGTGGTTGGAAGTCCAGTTCGCTAATTGGAATCCGCAGAATCTCCAGGAAGAGTCGGCGGACGGTCAAGAAGCTCATCTGCACGACGTCGTAGACTCGACCGCAGCTCTGCTTCCTTCCGACGAACAAACAGCACCATATCCACCATCTGCCTCTCTGCCTTCACCACAGATGCAGCTTTCGACCCGAATTTCGTCTTATGGAGTCGGTACGTGGTCGCTTGACACATCCGCACTCACTTTGCGACATATCACTGACAGATCGGAGGCATTGGTTATATTGCCGCAGTAATCGTACAGATCTTGGCACTGGTCATCATCCAGCTCACAGGCGCCTCGCTGTACTCGATCAAGTTGGTCCTCTTCGTCATTGGGTTGTGGTGGCTATGCTTTACGTTTCCAGCAATGCTATGGCTCAGACCACGTCCGGGTCCTCCATTGTCCTCGGGCCAGAAAGGCAAGTCTCGGACTTGGCTGGCATATATGTGGTATTCCTGGGCAAGCCTTGCTAGAACCCTCGTCCGAGCCCGGAAACTGAGGGATGTGCTATTGTTCCAGGCGGGGTGGTTTATGATATCTGATGCGGTACGTGCCCAGAGTGTACAGTCCCACCAACGTCTCAAACAATGCTGACGGTTGCTACGTCTGCAGATAGCCACCGTCTCCGGAACCGCCATTCTGTTCGCGAAAACGACGCTGGGCATGGGCAGCTCGGCTCTAGCGCTGATCAACGTAGTCGTTTTCCTGTCTGGCATTGTCGGGGCCTTCAGCTGGTCAGCGGTTAGCCGAACGATGCACCTGAAGCCAGGCCAAACGATTCTGTTCTGTATATACATCTTCGAGCTTATCCCATTATACGGATTGCTGGGCTACATACCTGCGATTCAGCGCTTAGGCGTCTTCGGCCTTCAGCAGCAGTGGGAGATGTATCCTCTCGGTGCAGTCTTCGGTACGTAGCCCGGAGCCTTAGCCTTGCGTTTTGGCCGGTCGCTAATGGACCTTTCTTGGCAGGTCTCGTGCTTGGTGGCCTTTCCAGCTACTGCAGAAGTCTCTTCGGCGAGCTGATACCAGCCGGAAGCGAGGCCGCCTTTTACGCTCTCTATGCAATCACGGACAAAGGGAGCAGTGTTTTCGGTCCCGCTGTTGTCGGTGCCATTACCGATGCTACAGGCGACATTCGACCTGCTTTCTGGTTCCTGGCCGCGCTAATCGGACTACCCATTCCACTCATCTACTTAGTGGACCTCGAGAGAGGAAAGCGTGATGCTGCCGCGTTGGGAACATAGTTACGAGCCTTTTGCGGGTAGGCTTCGTGCACTCGCCATTGGAACGGCCCTCGTCGACGCACGACCAAACAGCCAGCGATGTGGGCCAGGCGGTGGATGTCAGGTCGGAGAGTCACCGACAGTCGAGTTTGCCCCGCTTTTGTACTCATTGATCGGACCGTTCCTATCAACAACGCGTCCGCTGCAGCCTACGGCTCCTCCGCGGGGGGCAAAACACGTCCAGATGATCACTGCGATCAGAGTGATCGCGGAAAACTACAATCGTGGTAGCGAGAGTCTTTTAGCCGCATCCGCGCAGGAGCACAATCATTGAACGGAAGGGTGTTGACAACCTCCCGGCAATCTTCAACCAGCAGCACGCCAGACAACCGTTGGGTATCTTGACTGGTGCGATTTAGCCATGACAGGCAATTTCGAGGACGTTGTCACTGCAATATGCGTACAGTAGAACCGCAAACGCGTGGTGTGAGGCTGCGGAATCGGGAGAGTGGGACTCAGCACGGTGCTTCGCGCATCATACAGGTTTTCTCAGACCAACACCACACCATAGAATTGGTGCTAGACTGGTGGCACAGTCGAATGTAAACAGACTGATGAGCCAGATGACGACCAGCACCGGAACCGGCGCAAGTAGTACTTCGGTCCTGCTCAGAAATGGTAATGCTACGAGCACAGTCAGCACATAGCCATCGTTTGAAGCGGATCTGTGACACACCATTGTAGCCTAAGAAGGTAATGACGAAGTAATACGACAATGCCACCAGATACATCGTGTTGCCAAAGAAGTTCGAGACCCAATAGTCTTGGGCGATGAGGGGCATGAGCAGGAATTGCAGGACATAGAGGAAGACCCAAACGGGTAAGAAGGCACGGATAGCGACCTGTGAAGCCATCAGTGACTGCGAAGTGTGAAATGTTTGCTTGAGTAGACGGCTGACATCGAAGCAATAGCCAAACTCAAGACCTTCCTCGCCCGGATTCGGAGGCGGCGGACCGAACAGGCCCTGCCGTCGCTTACCCAGCACTCGACCGACCAGAAAGTACATTAGCGTGGCCACGGCTAGAGACACACCAAGGAAATGGCCGAGAACGAAGACCAAGGCGACTTTGATCGTGGCCAAGGCGTGGCTTGCATAGGCGATACCCCAGGCGAGACCGGTCAGGAACAGGAATAGCGATAGAAGATAGGTGAAGGCTGGGTCTGGCCGGTGGTAGGTGTTCTTCGTCTCTTTAGATCGTAGTATCAGCATGATCAATCCCCACGCAATCGGAAGCGTGTCTGGCTGAGTACGAACGTTTCTGGCAGTCTCGTCAGTGTCATGCGTATGACGCAAGTGGATTGCTGGACGTACGAGGTAGTAGATATTCCGGAAGACCTTCTTCGGCGCGATGACCAGATGTGTCATCTCCCATACTGCCTGCATATCCTCAGCACGCATTCCAGAACCGATCTGTGCAGGTAAGAGACAATGAGCGTACCGTTTCAAAGTCCATTGACGTGAACTTGAATAGCCTCCGGAAGAAGGCGGGCACCCTCATTGTGCTGTTGCGCCGTTGACTGGACATCGCGACTTTACTTTGTTCTCGAATGCAAGCGTTATTGGGCCTGTCTCTGGTTCTGGTACTATCGTGGTCGTCTGAATGATACTCGCTGCTCCATAGCCGGACGGCTTGACCGAGAACTTCCGTAGCCGTAAACACACACGCTAGGTCTGCGGAGCGCTCTCGTCTGCCAAGCTTGTTGCACCCTTCACTTTATGCCACAGGACGGTGCTCCCGTCTATACACAACGTAGTCTTTGTTGCTTCACCCACCGGTTGTGGCGCCGGATCATGCGGGTCGTTCCGCTGGCGAAGCCTTCCTTCTGCCTCTGCACTGCCGCTGTAGCTCGCGCATTCCCAGAGCACATCTACCAAAGCATCATTCACCCCTGGGCATACCAGCTTCCATACTGTCAAAACTCACAATTGACTTGCGGGTTGATAGGTATATAAACGGGTACCGGGCCGGCATACATCAATCCGTTGCGTGCGCCCCTTACGAAGGTTTAACTTCACAGCCATCCTGCTCCCCCAGTCAGACTCGGCATCCACCTTGTCGATCTTGCTACACGCTTGTTTGATTGATACATAGGTGCAACGGCGGCGCGCCGAGTATGGCGGAGTATGACCCGTTGGGTCTGCCTGACATGATGGAGGACCAGCCCTCTCATGATTACACTTACTCCTACGATCAACAAGAAGATGCCGGCGATGAAGACGATGACTATGATCCGTCAAGCTTCATGACCGGCAACGGCGCTACCCAAGCGCCTGCTCAAGGTACGCAGATCGAGCAACCATCAGCACAGCCGGAGCAGCCAAGCAAACCGAAAACAGTCGGTGGCTTCATCATTGAAGAGAGCGACGACGAGGAAGAGTCTGATCACGTACCTCCACCATCACAGATCAATGGAGCGGAAGGCACGCAGAGCGGTCTTGGTGCCGTGGCAGTGTCGAACATAGCGGAGGGTGTACCTATAGCTAGTGAACCTACACAAGACTCTGCTGCTGCGCAAGAACAGTCCGCCAGTCTCAATGGGTCTGCTGCTATTGCTCCTAATTCCACCACTGATGTTTCTCCCACTTCACCCGCTGTTTCTGCCCCTGCTGCTCCATTCACCGCGCCGCAAGATGAGGGTAAGCATGTTGTTTCAGCTGCCGCGAATGGCACGCAGGTCGCCAGCGCTGTCGCCCCGGCGCCGAAGCCGACCGTCAACGGCACGAGTGCGCCTGCAGAGAGCAGCAATCCTATGCCACAGTCTACTCTGCAGCAGAGGTTGCCTCACGACAAAGTTGGCAGACTCGAGGACCGCATTAGGGACGATCCGCGAGCCGACACCGAAGCGTGGTGGGAGTTAGTACAGCACTACAAAGACAAGGATCAGCTTGACAACGCACGGAATGTGTATGTTCGTATGCTTGAAGTCTGGCCAACAAGTGTACGTGTTCTTTATCAGTACAACAATGAATTCATTGCCCCTTGGGAATCCGTGCTAACACCTTTTTCTAGCCCGCCGTTTACCTTTCCTATCTCGATCTCGAGTACTCAGACTTCGACCGTAATCACATTGACCAACTCTTTTCGGCCTCTCTGCCGGTCATTCCATCGTTGCCGCTCTGGACGAGCTATCTTTCTTACCTACGACGCGTGTTCCCGCTTGTGCCCGATCCCCAAGGTGACAACCGCAAGATCATCACGCAAGCCTTTGAAGCCGTTCTTGACACTGTAGGCATAGATCCAGATTCCGGCAATCTCTGGCGCGACTATATCGACTTCATCAAATCAGGCCCTGGCATGCTTGGTGCAACCGGCTGGCAAGATATGCAAAAGATGGACCAGTTGCGGAAGGCGTACCAGCGAGCCATCAAAGTACCCACTGAAGACTTGATCAAGTTGTGGAAGGAGTACGATAACTTTGAGATTACCTACAACAAGGCCACAAGTCGTAAAGTACTGCAGGAGCAGAGTCCGCACTACATGACTGCGCGCACTGCAGAGAAGCAGCTACGCAGCATTGTTGATGGCCTTCAGCGTGACGGAGGAGGCGGTGCCAAGCTGCTCCCCACGCTGCCACCACTCGAAGGGTGCGAGGGCGATGACGCCTTCGCAGAGCAGGTAATGAAGTGGCGTGCTTGGATTGAGTGGGAGAAGAGCGATCAACTTGTGCTCAAGGACGAAGAGATCTCGCTTTGGAGGAAGAGGATCGTCTATGCGTATAAGCAGGCGACGATCAATCTCCGCTTCTACCCTAAAATATGGTTCGAAGCCGCACAGTGGTGTTTCGAGCAGCTCGGTGTCGAGGACATGGCAACGCACGGGGAAAAGTTTCTTGACGACGGCCTGATGGCGAATGCGGAGTCTGTGCTCCTGACTCTGAAAAAGACCGATCATCTGGAGCAAACGATGCCGACAGACGGTGGTGATGAACAGATCATCAAGAATGGCGAGCGGCTGGATGCTGTGTTTGAGAGTTGTGTTAAGTGTCTGTACGATCTGAATAAGAAGCACACGGAGAGGAAGGATCGCACGATTGCAGAGGCCAAGGAGCACTTCGCTTCTCTACCGCCCGACGAAGCCGACGACCAACAAGCAGTAGCACGGGATGAAGACGACGATGAGCGCCATGGAGATGAGTCGCCCGTTGAGAAGCCGAAGACCCGCGCTGAGCAGCTTCAGGAGCGTATCAATGCCATCCAGTCCGCCGCCCGGATTCAGAACGAAATTATGAAAAAGACCATCTCGTACGTATGGATCGCCAAGATGCGCTCTTTCAGGCGCGTCCAAGGCCAAGGCAAACCGCAAGCTCCGAAGAAGGGATTCCGCGGTGTCTTCGCTGAGGCTAGACCGCGCGGGCAACTGGCGGCTGATGTGTATGTGGCGAGCGCGTTGACAGAGTGGCACTGCTACAAGGATCCGAGTGCGCTGAAGATTTTCGAGCGCGGCCTCAAGCTCTTCCCAACTGACGAAGGTTTCGCAATCGAGTATATGCGGCACCTTCTCTTCGCTGGCCAGGGAGACGTGGTCAACGCTCGAGTTGTCTTCGAGACTACCGTCACGAAGATCACTAACGGCAAGGGCATTACCGAGCAGGAGAAGAAAGCCAAGATTCGGCCACTGATCAACTATATGCATGAGTATGAGAGTCAGTACGGAGACCTTGCGGCGATGAAGAAGCTGGAAGCTAGGATGAAGGACTTGTACCCCGATGAACCGGAAGTTAGCAGGTTTGCAATGCGGTTTGATATGCCCGGAAAGTTCGACGGCATGAGTGTGCAGCTGATACTGTCACCGGCGCAAGCAAAGCCGAAGACAACGTTCGGGGCCGCACAGCAAAACGTACCGATGCTGGCAGTGCATGGTATAGCTGGCGAAGAGGCCATGCTAAGGCTGGGACGGAACGGACCCTACATGGCGAGCCCGAAGCGTCCGCTTGAAGACGATACTGACGCAGATACGCCTCGGAAATTCATGCGTGCCGAATCGCCACTGAAAGGGGCTGCGGGCAGAAGAGTGCAGGGTCACGTGCCCACCGGCTCAACCTCGAATCCTGTCACGAGCACGGGAACGGGCGGCACCATCACAGTCAACAGTGGTGGCAACAGCGGATACATGACGAAGAGCTACGTGCCTGCCACGTCTCCTGCCTACAACGCGGCCGCGAGCGCACCGGGGAATCCGACAGCACCTCCGGCCCAGTCACAGTTCCCAGGAGAGATCAACTACTTGCTCTCCATCCTGCCGCCTGCACATTCCTACAATGTCACCGTCTTTCTGCCAGAGAAGGTGCTGGAGTTGCTGAGGTATACGAACTTGAACAGGTTGGTGCGGTAGAGTACGGACTAGGCGGTCAAGCACTCGACGGCCCACGGTCTTCAAAGCACGGCAAGTACTTGTTGTACCGATCAGGAATTCTTATGGCGCGGCTGCTGCAGGTGCTGCGGCGCCTGGGCGTGAGCAAAGGAGCCTCCGCCGTTGAGTTTTGAGCATGCTGATAGTTGCTCTGGCGCCGGCTCAAATTGTACCATAATCATGAAATAATGAGTGGAGCCAGTCCTGAAAAGCTTCCACAGATTATTATTGGATTGTTCCGCACTGGCGATTGCACAAGCCCATACATGCTTCTCGTCGTATGCCATCGTCGCGCCTCCACGCGCTGTTACGCACGACTGTAACCGCCGTGCGGATGACCAGTGGTTACGAGCCTTCAACAAAGCTTGCGGTTATGGTGCAGGGAGTGGAATGGCTACCGTCAAAACCGTGCTGTTTTTGAAGGATCGAAGCTGGACCAGTCGAGTCTTGACAACTCGAGGATGTCTAGAGAGGGGATGTTGTAGCGCTTGCTCCCCATACACGGTGTGCGCATGAACAACACATCAACAGTCTTCACTGCGTTCTGCTCGCGGGTACCCCATACTCTAGTCCTCTGCAGAGGTGCATGTGTGCTTACCCTCCCTTGTGAGATAGGGCAGACTAAAGACTTCGTGATCATTCCCTGCTTTTGGAGGGTCAACTGTCACTCATCATGATCTCGCTTGCCGGTCTACCGATATCTACATGTGTCGTCCTCACTAAGCCCATGTTCGAGCTGTAACCAAGGACAACAAGGCGAGAAGCTTGGTCTCGTCGTATTTAGAAACATCTACTCGAGGACCGCCCCTGCGTGGGCAGAGTGCGCCCGTACTCCGAAAGAGGAGAATACAGCAAGCATATGGTCGTGGAATGGAGAACGGGAGGCACTCGTGATGCCAAGACAGGCTGCTTTTCCGGCAGCAGTTCCGCTTCCCATACAAACGAGCGATAGCCTGCATCTCCCGTCGTCAACCATCGATGATCTCAACATCCGCACCTCTAGCGCGCGATATGTAATTCGCAGATGATCACCATGGCGAGAAGTGCCAGGACGATTTTCATCGACACTTGGCCGCGATGCATGTGTGATCGAACCGCTCATCTCCGCCTTACAAGACAACATGAAGTGTTTGGCGCTGACAACGATGCCTACTCGTGAGCAGACGCCGGCGGCACAGACCTGCCACCGTGATGGAGTATCCGGCAAGTCACCACACGTGTGCGCGATCTGTTTCCGGAAGGCACCACGGCGGAGAACGCTTAATGGCTTGAGAGGGTCGCCTCCCAGACGATGAGCGCTTCGCTAAATTTCCGAGTCGCGTTTACGAGAGACTGGAACGGAAAGATCGTGGACTTGTACAACAAGTTCTACGGCCGTAAGTTCACCGTGAAGAACGTCAAGGACGGCTTTGCCACTTAGCGGACGTGGAGCTAGCAGCGATCTAAAAGCGCTGCTGTTTGAGCATACCGCAATAGCACAGGGCAAGTAGGGCTTCTCTGTCTCCTTCAGTCCGAGAGACCATGGATTTTTGTCGGGTTTTATGCCGTTATGGCATGATAATTTCGAGTCTAAATGCTCGGCGCAGTCACGCATCCGGAGCGTTGCCACGCCGTGTCATCAACATAAGATCACCTAGTGTTTTTATGACCCGAGCAGGCTATGCCTGGTGTGGTTCGGCGTCTTCCGAGGCTCGGGTCTGTACATAGCAGTCGCGGAATCCATGGCGATCCACACGCGTCGAGAGTGGAGGCTGCACGAACTGCATGTCTGGAGTACCGGCGCTGCGAAACCCAACCAAGCCGGATACAAAGGACTCCGGTTTCAAAACCAGCCGACTCGTGTTGGATCTGCACATCGTGTCGTAATGTGTCAAGCCCGCCATTCGCCCCGAAGGCTCCATACGCAGCATCGTATGCTAGACCGTAGGCTCCGGCAGATCGTACACTGCATGACATCTCGGAAACCCCGCAAACTTCCTGGTTCCGTCTTCCACATGACCAATGGACGGATGCACCTCGAAGCCAATATGCTGGTTTTGCAAGCCGAAGATTCAGCGGCTCGACTCAGTAGACCTCAAGCTCCCATCGGTTAGTTCAGACATGCTAGCATTGACCATGAGTGCAGATGACAGTCATGGTCGTCCAGATAGGGTTGTGGCATCCGCTTGCTGCTACGGTTTGCTTGTCGCCTCCTGCAGCTAATCCTTCAAGCGGAACCCTCAGTGCCACCAGACGCCTGGCAGATTCCGAATGGCTGTGATGCTGTGCAGTAGGATGAAGGGTGCGCGGCTCACAGTCCTTCGACTACACCATTAATGGCTTGGTGTTCACAACTTCGCTGTCTGTCCGGAGGGGTTACCTTCAAGATTCCCTTTCCGGATCCGAGCAGAGCTAGAGGAAGTTAATGCACGGGATGAGCTCCTCCTCGACCACCAACGGTGTCAAAAAAGCCGAGACTGCAGTCTGGGAAGAGTCTGTTCGTGTTTGGCCTCCCGAGCCATAGCGTAGGTGATATTGCTCCCACCAGCATAGGACCTAGACATGCTGGTGGGAGTGTCGGGAGGCAGCGCGCTGCGGACGTTTGTCGTAGGCTAAGGTAAGTGGAGCGACATGGAGTGCAGTCAGGATGGTCTGATGCATAGCTGACGCCCGCAGTCCATCATCTGTAGGCCATGGGTTGAGTGGTCTGCCGCGGTTTGCACGAGGCAAAGGGGAAGATTTTGTTACATCTTCGCCCGAGCGAGCTTTCGTATAACGGAAAATCGCTTACACGGAGGGTTGAGCTGCATACACGGGGATCTTCCAAAGGCTGTCCTACCGCGTCTCAGTCCCAGTTTAAAGCTGTACAGCCTTCAGAGTGTTCATACGCGCTGCGGAGCACGTGACATACGACCGGCAAGCTCAGGGTCGTGCCTGCCTTCGCTTGGGTGTGCCAAGCCAACAATGCTGCGGTTGCTTCAAAGCTTTCCCGGCCACATCATCCACTCTAGCAACCAACACCACTGGAGCAAAACACCAGCTACTCCGAAGAACTTGAACGGTACGTTGCGCTGCCATCATTGACAACCTCAGCACTTGATTTGACCCGTTTCCGAATGCTACATTGCTGTTAGCCCTGCCTGCAAACTTTGCCGCCTAGAGCACGCGTTCTCCCACCTTTCGCACCACTCAGCTACGACGGCGCGCATCACATCACTGACAAGTCTGAATCAGACACCAAGCACCAACCCAACCGTCCCATCATCATCAATCAAACAGGCTTCAGGTACGTCTTAGCATTGCCGCCGCACATGCAACCTTTCTCGATATCCCCGTCACCGCCACTTCCTTCACTCGCCATTGCGGCTTCTTGCTGAGTTCACTTGAGCTATCACGCCAGCTGTGAAATCACATGCAATCGGAAGCTCCCGTGCGAGCTGCACAAAAGCATTCCATTCCTCTGCCTAAACGTTCTACCTCTGCAACACCACCACCACCACCCTCATACCTCCACCACCTGCCGTCAACACACATCAACCATCTCCATCTCCATCCACAACCTCTCTGACTCCTCCCACAGAAAGGTGTACAGCGAGTCCGGCACTTCTTGTCAGCCTCGGGCACCGTTCACTGTACGTCAATCCCACGTAGCACCTCTGTTGAGCATCAGCCCTTCTTTCGCTGCTTGACTCGGTCAGTGACCGTTACTAACGCGTCACAATCGTAAGGCCAAACACAATCTCCCAGAAGCACCTTTTAATGTAAGTCACCCCTTGCACCCGCGACCTCAATGCATAACTGACATCTCCTCAGCAGGTGGTAAAACCATGGCTGGCCCAGCTAAGCAGCGCGCTGCCGACGAGCGTAGGCAACATGCCGCTCGTCAGCAGGGTTACGATCGTAGCACCACCTCCTCATCGTCATCCGGCAAGAACACCAGCGACGCTCCGCCATCACGGACCGCATCTAAGGCCCCATCAGTCGCCGGCTCCGCGACGAGCACTCGTCTCTGCGCTGGATATGACGGCAACCGTGAGCCAGACACTGCGAGCCAGTCTGGTGAGCGCAACCCGGCCACTTCGCGTGTCATCGTCGACCCCAAGAACTTCGACCTCGGCATGGGCGGCTGGTCGACTGTACGTAATTATGTCATGGATAGCAGCACTCCTGCTCGCCCTCATCCGTCAACTCTCGGTCAAGCCACCAAGATCGGCTTGAATAGCTTTCGTGTTACCAAGGTTCCGTCGAACGCTGTCTACCAGTTCGATGTAATGGTCAACAGCGGTAACGAGAAGCGTGGCCTCATCGAGAAAATCTGGCAATCCAAGGCTGTTACCCAGGCTTTGGGCTCGGGGTGGATCTTTGATGGGAACAAGCTTGCATGGTCAATGAAGCCTATTGACCGTGAAATTCGCATCAATATTGACCTCGACGCCGAGCAGGGTCGTCAGGTTCGTCCTGGTGGGAAGGAGAATAAGCACCGTGTTATGATCCGTCAAACGAATCATGTCGGCTTCTCTGTCCTTTTGTCCTACCTTGACAAAAAGGCTAGCTTCGATAATACTGGCCTCGAGGCGATCAACTTCTTGGACCATCTCTTACGGGAGTATCCTCGTATGCGGTTTACGGCGATCAAACGCAACTTCTTCGCCAAGGGCCAGAAGACGTTCGATCTTGGATCTTGTGTCGAAGCTTTCAAAGGTGTCTACCAATCGCTTCGTATTGGCCACGCGGGCAAGACGCAGGCTTATCTCACAATCAATGTCGACGTCGCCAACGGCACTTTCTGGAAGGCTTTGCCACTGACGCTCGCCATTGTCCAGCTTACCGGCCGTCGGGATATCAACGATGTGATTGCCGATCTTCAGATGCGTAAGGAGAAGAGTCGAACCTATACCGACCTCAAGAAGCTCAGGCGGGTACGTGTCCTTGCCCAGCATCGTAATAAGAAGACCCAAGGCAGGCCGGACGAATACGTTATTGAGCGCTTTGTACCGCAGGGTGCTCGCGACCATAAGTTCGACAAGGACGGCACGGTGGTCTCTATCTACGACTACTTTATGAGGGAGTACGGCATCCGCTTGCAGTACCCTGATGCTCCGCTAGTCAAGATGACCAAAGGCAAGAACACCGTCCTTCCGCTCGAAGTCCTCTCGATCAAGCCCAATCAGCGTTACGCGTTCAAGATGGACGAGAGGCAGACCTCCAACATGATCAAGTTTGCGGTTACTGCGCCACCGGAGCGCTGGAGCGACGTGGAGAATGGCCTGAACATGCTCAACTGGGCTGCCGATCCTGTGCTTAGGCAGTTCGGCGTAGAGGTCAGCCGCTCCAAGACCGTCGTTGATGCTCGTGTCATCAACCCTCCTGTTGTTCGCTTCGGCCTGGGCGAGGCTAAGCCCGGCACCAGCGGCCGGTGGGATCTCAAGGGCAAGAAATTCCTCACCCCCAATACGGCTCCGCTCAAGGCTTGGGGGGTTTGCGTTGTTCCTGGCCGTCGTGGCGGCAAGCCGGACAAGACCGTTGTCGAGAACTTCATCAAGGAATTTGTTAAGGTATACAAGATGCACGGCGGCAAGGTCGATAACCCCAACCCAACCTTCACGCTCGCGCAGGGTGACGACGTAGGGTCTTGGGTGACCATGACATGGAACCAGGCCGGCAATGCAGCTAATGCGCGTCCGCAGATGCTGGTCTTCATTTTGCCGGACAAGGACTCCACGACCTATGGTCGTATTAAGCGCTCTGCGGAGTGCCGTTACGGTGTCGTCTCGCAATGCATGCAATACGCGCATGTCATGAAATGCCAAGGGCAATACATCTCTAATGTCTGCATGAAGTTGAACGCCAAGCTTGGCGGGTCTACTGGTCGCGCTGTCGGACAGAAGTCAGGCGGACCTACCGGTCTGTTCACCGTGCCGACAGTCATCTTTGGGGCAGATGTATCGCACAGCGCTCCCGGCGGCCAGACTCCGTCTATGGCAGCATTGACTTGCTCCATGGATAAGCTTGGCATTCGCTACGCCGCGGCGTGCGAGACGAACGGCTTTCGCGTCGAGATGATCACTACAGACAATATCAACTCGATGATGAAGCCTATGCTTCAGGCCTGGGTGCAGAACGTTGGGGGCGGCAAGTTCCCAAGCCGCATTATCTATTTTCGGGATGGCGTATCCGAAGGCCAATACCAGCATGTGCTGCAGCAGGAGGTTCATGACATGAAGGCTCTGCTCAAGACCGCTGATCCGAACTTGAATATCCCGTTCATTGTGGTCGTGGGTTCCAAGCGTCACCACATCCGCTTCTTCCCAGAGCAGGGCAAGGGCGATCGTAATGGCAACCCGCTGCCTGGCACGCTTGTCGAAACCGGCGTTACTCACCCTTTCGAGAACGATTTCTATCTGTGCTCGCACGCTGCGATCAAGGGCACTGCTCGTCCTATGCATTATCACGTCTTGCTGAACGAGGTCGGCATGAGCAACGAAGAGCTGCATATGATTATTTACGAGCACTGCTACCAATACATTCGTGCAACCACACCGGTGTCGCAGCACCCGGCTATCTACTACGCCCATATCGCCTCCAACCGCGCGATTCCGCACGATCCGAAGTGGTCCGGCAGCAGTGACGGTGCGCAGACGGTGGCGAGCCGTCCTCGCTCCGGCTCTCAGTCTGGATCGCAGGGCAAGTCTGGTGGCAGCTCTTCTGGTGCTCCTGCGGATATTGAGAAGTTGTTGCCGATGCCGACGCAAGGCAGCATCCAGTCGGCTATGTGGTACATCTGAGCCACGGCAAACCAGCAACTGCGAGCGGATGCTTGCGTAACGGGAAGAGGAGACAAGGGCAAGCGGTAGAGGCTCGGCGAGTTTAATCGATGTGTTTGCTTTCTGATGCGATGGACCAGAGCCACTCGGCCTGCCTTTGCTGGTGGGCCGCTTGTCGCTTACCAAGGTGCTTGAGCAAAGTTATGATGCGTTAGCCCGAGACTGACTATGATGGGCTTGCTTGGTTGTGTGTTTCGTAGCTAGTCACAAACAATGAGAAAGGCTTTGGCCACCAAACCTGCGAACATTTCGCCATCACCACAGAAGTACACCATGCCTTGACGGAGCTGATGTGACGCATATGGGCGGCGCAACAGGCCGGACGGCATAACATAAGGGCATGAATAGCCACAAGCCGCGCCAGATCCACCAGCAAGTAAATACAAGATGCAGTGGTCACCGTAATATCGCCTTGAAAACCTCCACCATCTCACGGTTCGTAACACCATGCCGCGCATGCCAAAGGTGCAGCCTTCCTACCCAAACACCAACGCTAAGTCAATCGTCGAAACCTCAGCATGCCGCACCGCCCCTCCGCATCGCTCGTCACATATCCAAACCTCTAGCCACGTAAAACAACATATACGCCTCAGCACTGAGTGCCTCCTTCTCATCCACCTGCACAACCATGCTGTCATCGAAGCGATACCACTCGTGCTCGGCTTGCCGGCTGTAGCTGACGTAGTGTCCGTTATCAATCTTGCCTTTGTGGACGACGACGCTGCTGAGCTCGTATATGGGATCTGACGGTGTATATGCGCTTGAGTCCACCGTATCGGCAGCAGAGGCTTCATCATCCGGCGCATGACCGGTCGCTTGCTGCTGCGGTTTAGGCTTGTTTTTGCCACTGTTGCTTGGTACCGGGGTAGTCAGGTAAGGTGTGAAGTCCGCCGTTAACGGATAGCGGATCTTAGTCTCGATCTTTGTGCTTTGGGAAAGACTCTTTGAGTGGGAGAACCGCTTGAGGTGAACCGCAACGACCGGCGGCAGTCTGCCCAAGCTCAGCTTCTTCGTCGCCTCCTGGTTCTTGTCACATTTGCGGCAATGGTAGGAATCGGCGCTCAGCGTCTCGGCGCTTGTGAAACGATCAAGACACTCGGTCAGGTCCATTGGTAGGACTTCGCGGACGGTGGTGGTGCCGTTGATCATCGTAAGTTTCTTCTTCTTGACGCTGACGGCGGCACTGCGGATATCGAGCGAAAGGTCGAGGAAGGGATCGAGGGCTGTGGTGACGTTGCGGCAGGCCGTGCACGTAACGGTAGAGGTCAAGAGGCCGGAGAAAGCAGTGTGGATTATGCAGGAGCAGTCCTTCGCATCCTTCTCCGCTGCCTTCTGTTTGGCCTCAGTCTTGTTGTTGTTCTCCTCATCTTCCGCCTCGTCAGTCTCCGTGATCGCGGTATGCAGGCTGTTGATGAAGAAGTTGAGGAACTCATGCGCATCTTGCTGGCTGTACCCTGCCAGACCGCCACCGCCTTTCCAGCAGCCCTGCAGCATATGGACTGCACCATAGCCTTCGTGCTTCTCCTGACCGTAGAAGTCTGTGAAGATGTCGTCCAACGCACAAGACGTGCACGCTTCCCTTTCGCAGTCCGAGCTCTTGTGGCCTTCGCTCAAGAAGTAGCTCCGTATAAGCGGGTTGTGGACAAGCGATTGTAGGATGACGGACATGAAGCACGTCTGGCCCATGTTATAGAGCCCGCGAAGCCCAGTGGCGGCACAAGGGATGGTGGCAGTGTTGGTGGAGACGAATTTGCGGTCTTCGGAGCTGGCGAAGGTGGAGTGCTTGCGTTTCTTGGAGATGGCGTTGTTGCTGGTGCGGATCTCTTCGAATGTGGGATCGTAGACGAAGTCGCGGCACTCATGGCAGTATATCGAGCCGTTGCTGGACTCAACGGCTTGCTCAAGTCAGCTCAGACCAGTTCGATGCGCATAGCGGGGGCGGACGTACAGAAAGCGTGGTCCTTGCGGTGACGCTCGCGGCCTACGCCGATGCTGGGACATTGCAGACACAGGTATGTCACGCCGACGATAGTGTCCGTGCCAGCGCCACTCTTGTGAGTTCGATCGCAACTGTTGTCGTCCTTTCCCAACGCCTGAATGATGCGAGCGTAGCCTTCGGTGGCTTGCGTGCGCGCGGCCTGGAGGAGTCGCTTGATGTGTTCTATTCATTCCATCAGTTATGGCACCGGTATTTCGTGAGTGTCGGGTGAGTATACGGCATCCAAAGGTGGTTTGAGTAGGCGTCAGCGGCGTCTTCATCTCACTGATGGATCCCTTCTTCGTGGGCTTAGGCGTCTCCGCCGTGGCCGAAGTTGGTGTGAGCGTTGTCGTCGCCATCTTAATCGGTTCCCCCTCCCGTGCTCGCCTTGCCGTGTCGTTGTCGTGACCAAGATCACATCAGCCTTGTCACCGGATCTCGCGGAGATGCTGCATGCGAACAAGCATCGTCCACTGGTCTTGTAAGGCGAAGTCGATCCCGGCGGATGCTGTATATCGCTCCATATGCAGGTACTCTCGAATCCTGGGGTAGTGGCACGGTCCGGAAGTATCAGAGCGCCACATTTAGCGATGTGTGGCGCGCGATTGCGGCGCCAGTCAGCGATGAACCTGGATTAGGTGGAGCGGAATAAGGCATTTAGCACACCTACCATGCTCATCGGCTCGGCGACATTCAGATAGCTCCGCAGCAATGCCGTAGAGCGCTACAGTCACAGGTCGTTTCATGCTGTGACGGCCAGCTTGTAGCGCCTCGATACTTTAGCTGTTCGGCAACCATGGGAAGACGCGGCACGTATCCATCCAACCTGCTGTACTTCTGACTGGCGAGTACGGAATGGCCTATTCACGATGTCTGGTGCTTCTAACCTTCGCTCCGTCAACTCAAAATCATGTAGCTCTGCATGACCCAGAGAAAATCATTTATCTCTACATAAGACGCCTCCGGTTCCTTCATCAGAACACTCTCCCATCAAGAGTTCTTCAGACCAATAACGATCGGTACTCAGCGATTACAGATTAGCAATCCACTGTTGCCGGAGCTGGGACCGCCGAAGGATATAGTTCTGGTGGTGCTCCGTCAAACCCGCCTCAATTGTCCACATACGAGCGCACTGTCGAGTCTGGTTCCCAGCATCTCATGATCTCTATTAGTAACACGGTCGTCCGTAACTCCTGATACACTCAGCATGGGGAGCAATGTGTGCATGGTTGCTTGCAGTCTCCGTTCTTGAATCACCACGGGCGGCTAAACGATGCGCTTGGCGCTTGGATACCAAATGCGTCACTGTTTACTTCGTTGCTATGCAGCGACCAAATTTAGAGCCCTCGATGGCTGGGCTCGACCAGCCACAGATATCCTACCACCATGATTTCAGTGTGTGCATGCAGAGACGAGGGTTCGGGTGACTTGACTTTTGCGAGCTAAGCATTCTTTCTTTATCATCCCTACTGAATGACAAGTGCAACTCTCTAACTCCACGACGATCGCAGAGCGACGTCCACGCCAACGAAATCCGCTATTACAACCAAGCGCCTTCCTTGACCAAGTAGTCCTCGACAGAACGTACATACAACACGAAGCAGAGGAGAGGCGTTAGAGCACACTTTCGGCCGCATACCACAACCACGCGCACTCCCGGCCGTCTGGCCGTTGGAATCCAGCGAACATCCACCCATTCCAACCGCCCAGACAGCCGGTAGACCATCTCTACCATGGCGAATGTTCGCTTCGCAATCGGCTTGCAGCGCCTGATACCTTTTCTCGGATACCATCATGTGTTGATGATATTGATCGCCATCGCGATCATCCTACTATGTGCGTCAACCCTCCAACCTCACATTGTCGAAGATTGACTTACTGACAAGGATGATAGCGTTGCTGCTGGCAGGATGCTCCTCATCATCACCACTGATACCGGGGATCTTCCTCATATCGTTCTACTACCAGCAATATACGCCCACCTTCGACCCAACGCAAGTGGACCCGGGCGTAACAGCCGCAATAGCGAATATCGTCGGCCGGGCTCAGCTGGAAGTAAGAGTAGGCTACTTTGGCATCTGCGTCAACCCAGACGGCGGCGACTTCTTGTGCTCGAACAATGCAACGCTTCTAGCGGAGCAGGTCAGCGTGGACCAAGATCCACTGAACCTGATCTGGGTTGCTGAGACCTTCAAGAACGAAGTCGTCTTCCCATACCTGCTGTGAGTTCACTAGTCATTCGAGAAGGCCTCCCGTCCGCTAATGCCTGGTCCGAATAGCATCGTTGCCATAATACTGGCGTTCGTAACCTTCCTCCTCCTCGCCACCTTCCCGGGCTGGCACGAAGAACACGACGCCCGTACCGGATCAGACATCGACATCAAACCTTTCCCCTCCCGACCAGTCTCTCAAGTCGCACTCGCCCTCATCTTCATTGCGTCCATCTTCGTGCTTGTCAGCGTGCTGTGGCAGCATACTGCATCGGTGGCCGCTTCACAGATAGCGCAAGATTTCGGCAATGGATCAGTAAGGAGTGGAGTCGGCACGAGCGCAATGGTGTTGGGTTGGTTCGGGTTCGCCTTGTTGATCGTGGTGACAATTGGACTGTTGGTGATGATCTTGAGTATACATCTGCTGGATCGGTTGACGGACGGAGATTGATGAAGGACACGGGAGGAGAAGAGGATGGAAGCATGGCGGAAAACTGGACTGCGTGATCCAGCTTGCGCAAGCTTGAGGGGCTACATGACATACCAGCATCGAGGCGCGGAGTGCAGTTGCGACAACGTAGAAGGCTGAACTCGGCGAACGTTGGGCATGGCTGCCAAGTGGTAGTGATCGTCGCGCTCATGGTTGTACTGAGCGATAGAAGCCAAAGAAGCGGGCTATCACGAACTTGGTTGGAATTGGCGGCATTTGGGCGGCGCAATGGTATGGGGCAGTGGGGTTGAGCACTCACGATGACACGTTGTCTACGGACCACGAGGTACCGGAATGTGCAATACGAGGTTCTGTACAGAAGATTAAGAATGCAATGCCGCAAAATGGCTACCACGACAATACCTCCCTACGCACTGAGCTTCTCTTGCAATATACACTGGAAAGCAAAGACGTGAAAAGGTATAATGTAATGTAAATGCCATTCCGCACTATATACCAGCAAGGTGGTCAATATGCCACCTTTCCAGGCAATCCGCACAATTGCGCCGTTCCACCAAAGCTATCCGAATCTCTCTCAGCTTCTCTCGAAACAACGAGCGTCGGAAAGAGCTCTTTCCATCTATGGTCAATGCCAACTCCTGAAGCTAAGCTCAAGTCTGTAGAAACGCCATTAACATGCAATGCCGTTGCTTGTACGCGCCCGCAGCCACCCATTACCGCGCAACCATGATAGGGCGACACTGGTTACGGTTGTTACAAGTTGCGCCGATATGCCTCTTTCGAATACATTGTTCGCTTAGGGACCGTGTTCGTCTACTTGTAGTAGAACATCATCCGGCTGTTTGCACCCGCACCAACACTCGTGGCTGCCGCACCGCCGACAGCTGCGGTACCGGTCTGGCTGGTGCCAAGAGTGTCGTTGTTCATCCAGTTGGTCGGCTGCTGCAGCTCCATGAAGGCGACGCTGAAGCTAACGTACGGGCTGGCGATGATCGGTCCGATGATGAGAACAAGGAACAGCACGAACATCGAGAAGTACATAATGGCGTAGCGGATGACACGACGCTTGCGAAGGCGCGATTGCTTGAGCGAGTAGATTGGTGGGCGGATTTGACGGCTAGATGTCGAGTCAGCAACGAACATTGACCAAGGAGACTTGTAACCAAACGTACCTTGGCCTCAACCAGAAGAGCATGACCGAGTGGAACTTATCGACGTATGGGATAAGCACGGCCGGCAGCATGAAGAACAGCAGGAGATGGCCCAGCACAAAGTCCGAGGCGAAGAAGCCCATCTCGGTGATCTTGCACAAGAACTCTCGACCAGGCTGCGAAAGCGTGTGCCAGCCGAGAGTGTACCATTTACCGGTCCACCATGCTATGTTGGAAGTATCGGCACGGAACTCACGAGTGAGCGCCAAAGCAATGATTAGCTTGAAAATCCAGCGCTGGATGGCCGAGACGGCGATCATGCCAAGCAGAGTCTTCGTGAAGGACCATCCTTCCAGGAAGAATAGAACTTCGAAAAAGGCGATGAGCATGATGACGGAAATGGCGTGCGCGATGGCAGCCAAGACCGCGCCGAACTTCTTGCAGCACATGCTAAGTACCGGGCCCATGCAGCAGGCCATTGCGAAGAAGACGAACGCGACACCGGCGTTGACAGCGACGGGACCGAATGCGATGATCGCGATGCGGATTAGCGAGTTGGTCGGCTTGACTGTGACACCAGATTCCTGGTTTGCCGCAACCACACCAGTGCCGGAATTGATGTAGAGGTATGGGATGAGGGTTACAGCGACCAAGACGAGCGGGCCGATGATCTCGGCGAAGAACACGTTGGTGAACTTCGCGCGAGGCGTGTCGCCAGAGAGCTTGGCAGACGGCTCGCCGAGAGCCTTGCGCTTGAAACCAGTAAGGCGGGTACGTGACAGACGCACGAAGCCGATCCACGAAGCGGAGTGAGCTTTGGTGTTGCCACGGGACAGCCATCGCAAAAACTCGCGGTAGTCGATGAAGAAATCCGACCAGGCGAACTGGTGGGGGTTGAACAGGAACGGCGAAATGCAGAGTGCAGTGATAGACACCCAGAACCACAATAGCCAGTAACCCCACACCGTTATGGTGGCGAAGAGCAGCATCAGCATGAGCCGAGCGCCCAGGTAGATTGATGGAGCAGCGAAACGCGAGTAGAGGACACCGAACGGCATACGCGCAGTCGCAAAGCCACGACCAGTACCGATGTACCGAGCGCCGCCGAATGAAAGATCTTGCTGCAGAGAATAGGCGTAGATCTGGCAGACGAACACCTCGAACAGCGGTGACAGCGAGCTGAAGTGCTTGGCCAGACGTGTAGCGGCGCGCCAGAACCCACGCTCGGTCAACTCCTGGATCGTCAGTGGGACGAAGGAGATGAAGAAGACAATGAAGATCGAGACAATGCACCGCTCCACCCAGTTCATGATAGGAACCGTGTTGGCGCAGCCCGTCGGGTACAGCGGGTCGGTGAGCGGCACGTTGTGGTTGTAGTGACAAGTGATTGTCTCGTGGCGAAGAGCTCCTAGGTTGATCAGGCACCACATGAAGAGCTGCACCGACAGCATGATGAACAAATTGTTGATGTGGAAGCCCGGATGCGCGTAGTAGAAGGACAGGAAGCGATCCAGGGGAAGCTGCGTGCCGAGATAATAGTATTCGCGCGACAACATTTGCTCGCCCATACCGGTACCGATCTTGGTGGTGAAATTGAGGATGGAGCCAAAGCCCAAGTCACGACCCTTGCCGCACTGGTAGTACTCGCAGTGCTTTATCCGGCCACCACGAAGCAGAGCGTTCATACCGGCGTAGATGTCCTCATTCAGATGCAGACCCTTCTGCGCCTTGGAGACACCACCACGGGTGGTCATGAAGATACCGTTCAGGAAGTCAGGATGACCGTAGTGGAGCTTGCCACCAATCTGAGCCAGAGTACGAGCGAAGAGGGTACCGAAGGTTTGTTCCTTGCCAGCAGCTACGTCACCAAGGATACCAATGTTCTCAGAGAAGATGTATTCACGAGCACCAAGGATGGCAACCGGGTTGAAGTTGGTCGGCGGGATGCCAGGGGTGTATGGCGAAACGTTGTCGGTCGTCATTTCCTCAAATTCAGCGAGCACTGACCTGATCTTCAAGCACTCCTCAAGGTAGTTGTCCTGGTTGGCATCAATAAGCTGGATGTACTCGCCACGGTAGAAGATCAAGCAGTGATTCTGATTGTCAGATTTGCCGTCGCCGAGAATGGGGTTACCGGAAAGCAGGACACGGAACTTGGGACGACGCATGCCATTCTCCATGATCTCAGAGTGGCCATCGATGAGCGCGGAGTACAGTCTTGGATCCTCGCCATCGCTGGCTGGGGCCTCCTCGTCGAGATAGGCGATCTGCAGGTCGGGGTAGGCGCGAAGCAGGAACTCGGCATTCTCACGCTCTTCCTTGGAGAACTTGGCATAGCGTTGCATTGAAACGACGATCTTGAACTTGCGGCGAGCCATGCGCTCGAGCTCACGCTCAAGCTTGTCAGAGTTGCCACCGAACATCTGCACAACCTCTGGGTTCTCGACACGGTACAGCAGCTTGATAGCACGGCTGTAGTTCATGAAGCCAGAAATGGTGCGGTAAAGCGTCTGCGAGCGCAGCGAAGCCCAGATACGCGTACGGAGAGTGTACTCCGGCGCCGCAGACTTGAAGCCAATGCAGTAGAATGGAAGATCGTCGATCTTGCTCTTCTGGGTGTCCTTTTCAGTCTTGTCGAAGTCGCCGTTGAACTGCGACGTCTCGTCTGCGAGAATCTTGGTGTCCTTCACGAAGCAATCCCACTCGTGCGGATGCAGCTGCTTGAGGTACTCCAACATGGTGACACGTGAATACGGCTCGTCCTCGCGAATAATCTCACGAAGAGATAGCAGGATCTTCTCGCTGTAGTGCGGAATCATGACGGTGAAAGTCGGCATGTTATCGACCGGTAGCGGCTCCGGAATAGGTGTCGAGAGCGACTGAGCGAAGAAGGAAATACGACGCTCGGCTTCAGACATCATTGGGAAGAACTCGGTCTTGAACGAATGATCTTCCTGGGAGACGAAGAACGTGGGTGCACGAAGCGTACGCTTGCCCTCCTGCTCAGACGGCACCTGGTGGTACAGTAGCTTCTGGACGTGGTCGATAGCTAGCAAGTGCTCGCGGTACATCGAGATGACGATGGCGTTCCAGATCTGCGAGATGAGCACCTTTGGCTTGTACTTGATCTCCATGTCGGTCGTGGCCAGCACCTTGGAGTAGATGCGCTTCGGCAGACGGGAGAAGATGTTCCTCCATGGCGTCCAGATCGAGACACCAAGGTAGAAGGATCGTGCCACGGAGAAAACGCAGTTCCAGATGATGTACCAGAGGTAGGTATCCAGGAAGAACAGGATAAGATCCGTGAAGTACATGAGGATGAGCAGGACGATCGGCTGCTTGTAGCACAAGGTTGTCCCAATGATAGCATCACCGACACAATTGCGAATTTGCATGGTTGAAAGGATGCGAATCGGATCACGAATCGACAGGGTCAGGAAGAAGTAAGATTCGGACAACTTGGCACCGAAGACGAGAATCCAGAGACCGAAGGACATCCACATGTCATTGCCCTTTAGGCGCGGGAAGCTTGCCGTAAAAGTCTGACTGGCGACGTATGTGCGCCTTTTGCCGTTAAGGTAGCTGCCGAACAGACCGCCGAGTGGCATGATCGCGAAGAAGAAGAAAGTGGCCAGAGCGATGAGGAATTGAACCACACCGAGAATGACCGCGATCTTGCCGGTTTGCGAGATGCCGAAGATATAGACAGCGGGCGCAATGTTGATGACAAACATTCCGATGAGCAGAAGGAGGCGCTTCGTCAAGTGCTGAGCACCGGCCCATCGTCGTGGAACGTACAGCCACTCGGCAAGGGTAGCTCCGATCTGGATGATACAAGCCAGCGTACCGCCCAAGGCGACTGCAGAGAAATGAGCAGCCTTGTTCGGTTGATTGTTGAGCTGCTGCTGATAGTTCTTGGTGTAGAGCGTGGGCGAGTTGAACGCGGTGTAGAACCAGAAGATCGTGACGTGGATGACCCAGATACGGTTGAAGTTGGTGAGCATATGGAACCACGACCGGGTCTCCTTATAAGTCTTGAAGAAAGCCTTCTTCCAGACCACGTCTTGGAGGCGCTCGTACCGCTCCGCAGGTGGCAGATCGACAAGGCGGGTCTTATCCTCGAAGCCGATCCGCTCGATACCCTCCGGATACCAAAAGAGCTGGTTCATGTCGTCGTATCCAATGATACGGTTGTGGTCACGCTCCTTGCGGACGTACTTGCCTTCGTAGATCTCGTAGCCTTGGTCTCTGCAGAAGGTGTAGAGCGGTGTGATGCAGTTGTTGAGGTAAGTGAACTCCTCGACCGGCTCCACACGGTTCTGGCAAGCTGGCGAATGCAGGTAGTCATCTGCGCACTTGAAGATGAAGCACAGCGTCTCAGGCATGAAACGGACCTGATTGGCTTCACCCCAGCAAAGCAGGTAAAGCGCTATTTGACGGACACGATCATGCTGAGACATGCGGTTCATGCGCGTCTTCCAGCGGTACTCTGCGGCCTCGAGGCTGTTGTCGCCCTCCAGGCTCTCCAGAGTCGCCTCCTCGTTCTGTGGGTTGGCGTTCTTCTTGGCTGCCTTGCGAGCTTTCCGGGTGGCTCGGTTAGCTTTGCCCAGCTTCATGTTTGCAAAGCCAACAGCATCATCGAGGTCAAGGTGAGCGGCGAAGTACCACTTCCGGTAATTGGCATTCTCGCCACCTATGTAATCGGCGTGCAGTGAGAGCAGTGCTTGGTTTGGCGACATACGGGACGCACGAGAGTCGAGCAAAGTCATCAAGTGATCAAACATGTTCCGCATGCTGTCACGTTGGAAACCAAACTTGGCCGTGAGATCAAGGAAGATGTCCTCGATCTCCTCCTTAGAAAGCGGAATTTGAGCATCCGAAGTCCATGCTGGGTAGGGTTCTCTCGACCGTTGACCGGCAGGCAAAGCGCTGGTGTAATCCATTCCATAGACGGGAGTGGAAGCGCCAGATGATCGGTTGCCGCCGTATGAGACTTGCGATGACGGTGGGCGGTAGCCACGACCTTGGCCTTCACCATACGAGTTGAAGCGCTCGTCACCACGGCCATAGTAGTCCATCTCAGCCGCTCTAGCCATGTCAGATCTCATGGTAAAGTCGCTGAAGGTTTCCGAGTCCTCTTCGGAGTCATGACCGCGACGGCCTTTTCGCTGACTGTAGCCACGACCTTGCTGTTGATACTGGCCTTGTTGCTGGCCTTGGTCGTAGTACTGATCGTTGTAGTACTCATCCTGGTAACCCTGCTGGGCCCCGGCCTCATAGTAGCCATCCTGACCATAGCCTTCCTGGCCGGCCTGATAGTAGCCGTTGTCATCATAGTAGCCATCCTGCTGGCCATGTCCGTAGCCTTGCTGGTCGTAGTAGGCTTGCTGTTCTTCGGGATAATAGCCTTCGCCACCCTGTTGCCCCTGATGTTGTTGAGGGGCGTCCGGGTGGTGGGCGTACCCTTCGTCATAGCCGCCCTGTTGAGGGTGCGCCATGGTTGCGGTTTGTATTAGAGATTACTGTTCGGAGATGTCAGCATAAACGATACTTAGGCGGGTGAAGAGTCTTATGCCGCTTGGCAGCGCCCTTGTCTGAGACACATTCACTGCGGCTCAGAGCGTAGACACGTACCGATTCAAGCCTGAACCATTCGTCGGAGTATGCTCAGAGCGCGTATAGTCGGAGTATTAGCCTGCGTGTTGCAGGTTGGAGCGAATGAACAAGGGGGGCGTTGGTGAGGCCGCTGCTGCGTTGTTGATTGCGGGCTGGCAAAAGCGAGCGTCGTGGCTGTGGCTGCACCCGTGTTTGGATACAACGTGCCTTCTCTCTGCAAGAGACAGAAAGCAGTGACTGCCCGCTGACTTTGCGCGACTGCCTCTTCTCTGCTCACACGCTCACACTTGCACTGCAAATGTAAGATGTGATGGCGATACACACGAGGGGTGACAGTTGGAAAGCGGGTTGTTGCTGGGAAACCGCGCGTCGAAACCAATGCGCCTCCTTACGCTTGCGCGATGATTGGCGGAGAGGCGGCCACAAGTCCGATGGCAAGCTACCCGGCCCGGTATTTTGCAAACGGTGCCGACTTCTGATTCAGCTCCACCCCAGGTGAATGTCGGTATGGGTAGAGAGAAGGAGGGAGAGAAGGGGAGAGTGGATGAGTGGATGGAACGCACGTAGATGGCAGCCGTAAAGATTTGGCTGAAGGGGCGTGGCAGGGGCAGAAGTTCAAAAAGGGGACACTCGCGATTTTGTTAGGCAAAACGCGGACTTGTCGCTCGCTTGCTCGCCGCTCAAACTGCCCGGGATAAGGACAGGGCCACCCGCATTGAGGATCCTCTTAGCGCCACAGTCGTCCTGTCATCTTGCGCCAGTTCTCAGCAGCCAAACGAAGCTTTGCCGCAACGGCTTTTCCCTTCTGGCTTGTCCCTTCTGACTTCCCATCGCCATGTAAGGCTAGCCAGTCGTTGTCCCCTGCAACGACCTAGTCCATTTGCCCACCCAATTTACCCGTCGACTATCCTTGCAGGCCGGGCTGCATCGACGATACGGTATATCTCCGAATATCGCCATGCTCAACCATGTCAACGAAGCTACTGCATCGCCCGAGTGGCGAAAGGACGATCTTACTGCTATTTTTGCCTTAGACTGCGCTTCCGCCTCACCTAACATCATGCAACGCATGCAAGACCGACGACCAGCCCCGCCACATTGTGTCCCACCTTTTATTGCTCGAAAGAGAATGGAGACGTTGTAGAGACTGCCATGTGTGGCCACTTGGCAGCGCCCTCCTTCGAGAATGCGAGGCGTTCCAGGCGAAAACTGTTGGCATGCATGAGTGACACCAGTCGGATAGCGTTATCAATTGATGTATCGCTGAAGGTACAATAACTACATACGGGCGCAGTTCAACTCAACTGCATCGTACAAATGGGTGCTTCAGGACGTACAACCTGGACAAAACTTCAAACCTCCGTCTCGAAGACATTGTCCGACATGTTCCTGCACTAGTTCGGTAGTTAACTGCGAGTGGTGACGGCACCAACGATGTGGATGTTCTCGTAAGCCTATAGTATGCGCATAGATTGCGTTGCATTACTACGCCATGCTATACCTGCATGGCTGCTATCTGCCTCATCTTATGAAGTAGCGCCAGACTCACTGGCGCTCTCATTTCTAATGCTCCCGAGGGGCGCTGAGCAAGAGGACCGTGAAATTACCTGCCCTGAGATACCTCGTCAGTCCTGTTCCCTGAACCTCAAGATCCGTCGTGATCGACAAGAGATCTTTCCCGCGGCAGCCGGCAAGCTCTTGTGAAGCTTGTAGAAAAGCGTTGAGCCCACATTCTACGGGAGCGCGTGCGCGGGGATAGCAACCGCCACGCAGTCATTTGGCATTCAGCAAGGCAATCACCTCGAATCAATCAATTCAGAGACGATTCATTTGATGCTTACTCGGTTGTGATAATGATTGCGGCGCGGTTCGTGAACAGCAGAGGCGTTGACATCTTGGACGGCGGTCATGACGCGTTCCAAAGCCAGAATCTATCGTGCACCCCCCAGGAACACTTCGTACTTACAGTGTCTCCAATCAGCTTCGAAGCTGTTCACTGCAAGCGCGGCTTTCTGAGCATGTGGGTGGCGGTTGGTAGCTTCGACGCGCAAGCCGCCCCTCCGGATAGCCTTTGCCCCATTCAGAAGTCCGTATCCCTGACAATCCGAAACAACACACTTGCAGCTTTGTGTGCTGCGGCGTACTGTGCTCCTCTGCAATCTTGCCAGGGACACTGCTTACTCGAGAACCGTTCTTTCTTGGTGACGTTGTTCAGAGTGAGACTTATTGGGTATCGCTACTTCTTCGTACCATCGTTCAAGCAAGTATCACTCGCTTGACTTGCGAAGTGTTCATTTCAGGAGACAACACACCCCAACTTCTTTCCACCCACTCGTACGAAGCTTGACGGAAGTGCAAGCAACAACTCCATCGCGGAGAGTATTATATTGAACGGGACAACATGAAGAGCTTCAGCGTCTCATCCGTGGCGACGGCGGCCATCGTGGCAACGTCGCTGCTGGTGAGCAGAGCGGCCGCGGCCGTAGATCCCATTGTCATCAAGGGATCGAAGTTCTTCTACAAGACCAACGGCACACAATTGTGAGCACATAAACTTATCGTAGGCGCTGCGGTGGCTGATTGAGACAGCTTCATTCGAGGTGTCGCATACCAACAAGACTACAATGGCAACGGCACAGCCGGCTACGGCTCGAACGACCAGTACACCGACCCTCTCATCAACATCAACAACTGCAACCGCGATATCCCTTATCTTCTGCAGCTGAACACCAACACCATCCGCGTGTACGCCGTCGACCCAACGCGCGACCACAGCGCGTGCATGGCCGCTCTCGCAAACGCTGGCATCTACGTGATTGCGGATCTGTCTTCTCCCACTATCGGCCAAAACATTGACCGTAGCAACCCGCAATGGAACGACGGAATCTACGCGCGCTACACGGCTGTTGTGGACGCTTTCCAGAACTACACCAATGTGCTCGGCTTCTTTGCCGGCAATGAGGTGTCGAACGCGCCAAACAATACCAACGCCAGCGCTTTCGTGAAGGCTGCTGTCCGCGACATGAAGGCTTACATTAAGAGCAAGAACTACCGCACCATCGGTGTTGGTTATGCCACCAACGATGACGCCGACATCCGCGTGAACATGGCCGACTACTTCAACTGCGGCGATGCGTCGTCCGCAATCGATTTCTGGGGCTACAACATCTACTCCTGGTGCGGTGAATCCTCGTACACCGCTTCTGGTTACGATGTCCGCACGCAAGAATTCTCGACTTACTCCGTGCCCGCATTCTTTGCTGAATACGGCTGCAACAACGTCGAGCCGCGTCCTTTCACCGAGGTTCAAGCCCTTTACGGCCCGAACATGAGTACCGTTTGGTCTGGTGGTATTGCCTACCAGTATTTCCAGGAGGCCAACAACTACGGTAAGTGCGCGGAGAGCGGGAACAAGCTTCTTTATGCTGATCTTCATCCAGGTCTTGTGACCGTCAGTGGCCAAAGTGTTACCACCAACCAAGACTTCAGCAACCTCAAAACCCAGCTCGCCAGCATCTCCCCCTCGAGCGTCGCCTCTGCTAGCTACACCCCAACCAACTCTCCTCAGGCCTGCCCCTCTGTAGGCGGCAACTGGAGCGCCGCAGCCACCCCTCTTCCCCCAACCCCGAACCAGCAGGTCTGCAGCTGCATGTACAACAGCCTGGGCTGCGTTGTCGCCGGCAGCACTAGTGAGGACAACTATGGCTCGCTCTTCGGCACCGTTTGCGGCTATGGTTCCAGCGTGTGTGCCGGCATCACCAGCAACGCCACGACGGGCACTTACGGCGCCTTCGGCATGTGCAATGCCACCGAGCAGCTGGCCTACGCATTCAACAACTACTACGTTGGCCAGCACAGCAGCGCCAGCGCTTGCAACTTCGGTGGTGCTGCGACCTCGAAGGCTGCTGCGTCAGCCAGCGGTGCATGTTCGACTCTATTGGCCCAGGCTGGTACCGCAGGCACTGGTACCGTCACGAGCTCGCCTACAGGCACTGCTGCCTCCGGGTCGGGTTCGTCGGGCTCCTCTGGCTCATCGGCAGCGAGGAGCAGCAGCATGGCCGGCCCTGGCTCAGCGCCCTCCGTCGAGTCCGGCGTTTTCGCGATGGCCTTCATCGTCACCATCGCTGCTGTCTCGGGCATGGGCATGATTCTGTTGTAAGCGTAAGCCTCTATAGAATGTGGCGGGCGTCATTCGAAGTGCTTAAAAAGGAGAGTGCTACGTTGACAACCAAGCGATCAGGCGGCCGAATTCGCACAGCAGGCACGAGCACACGGTTGAACCTATAGCAAGGGTCAACGTGGGCAGTTCAGTAGCATCTACATGCACCGGCTCACGTCAAGTGGAGCATAGAGGAGCGTTGAGGCATTATTCGGGCATTGGCGAGGTGTTTTGCTATGGCAGGGAGTATGTACAGCTCCAACGTTGTCCAATGCATGACTGTTTTCCTTCAAGGCTTTTGCGCCTCCTAACACACCGAGCCTCAAACGTCTATCGAGGTGGGCTTTTCCAATTTGGATGTTAATGAGGGGCTGTGCCTGGCCGCAGGTCTCACCACGGGCTTGAAGCAGTCTTGGATGCTTGCTGCGCCAGCGAACATGCAATTGTAACTCGCGCAGATGGGGCAAGCATATGTCCTAAGGTGTCGCCGGGTCGTGTGCCATGAATGTCAAGCACAACGTTTACAAAGACGAGGTAGCAGGTGAATGTGCTGAGGTAAACAAGTGAGTGTGGCCCGCTTTCCGGTCATTCGGCGCCGACAGAGCAACATCCGCATTGGTAGCGATGTCCCGACTTGGTGTCACTCATGCACTATATCTTGGCGATCCATTGCTGATGTCGCCTGGCACGGTGCAGCGCGAAGCAGTACTGTTTCGTGTGTTGGACCATGGTTGACGGAGACTACAGAAGAGGCCGCCGCCTATTGTCCTGAAGCGCAACACCCCCAACTCCCCTCGTCCTTCGTCCCCGCTGCGAGTCAGCTTACAAACGACGCGTCGGCCGCAAGAATGGCAACACCATCGCGACAGCGTCCCGTCAGCGCTACATTCGTGCCGGGCGCCCTCGACGATGATTATTACATGCCCCCACCCATACCGGAGCTGGTCGCTCCCAACCCCCAGAGGTAACGCTCGCCAATATGCCCGCCTTTCTCAGGCTTGGTGAGAGGCGGAAGCGGAAGACTGACAAGAAGTCGTGCAGGATCAACCCGGAAATGTCAAATCAGATCCAAGGTGGCATGCAAAACCTGAACCTGCGTGTCACCAGTCCAACCAGTCCGCGATCCCGCAGCTACTCCGACCTACCCATACCGACCGATACGCCGTACCTGTCACCGTTCCCTAAGCCCATCAATCCACCGCCAAACGTCCCGCCATCAGATGATGAAGTCGAGACGACGTTGGAGAATGCGCGGAATGTCGTGCTCAACTCCAATGATCCCGAAATGCAGTTAGCGTGGGCCGCAGACGCCCTGGTGTATGTGGGAGTGTGTGCCGACAACGAGGAACGTATAGCGGCTGCCAAGCCAATTTCGGCGCGCCCTTCAACGCCGCGGATCGAACACGGTCTGAAAGTGGACGCAATGAACGTTGTCACTTTCCTAGCGGACCAGCATCACCCCAAAGCGGAGTTCTTGAGAGGCATGTGGCTAGAATGGGGCCGTTTCGGACAGCGAGAAGACAAGAAGGAGGCCTTTCGGTCCTACTCGAGAGCTGCGGACCGGGGTTACGCAAGGGCAGAGTACAGGATCGGTATGCTCTATGAATCATACAATGACCCAATTAAGGCGCTGCGGCACTACCACCGTGGTGTGGATGCTGGAGATGCTGCCTCCTGCTACCGTCTGGGGATGATGACCTTGCGAGGGCAGCATGGCCAACAACTCGATTATGCCAAAGGCTTGGATCTCATCCGTAGAAGCGCAGAGGCTGCAGACGAGAACGCAGCCCAAGGCGCTTACGTGTACGGCATGCTGCTTGCAAAGCAACTACCGCAGATCGAGATCCCGGACCGCATACTTCAACCTGACGAAGCGCAAGCGAAGCTCTACATCGAAAAGGCTGCTTACCTCAAGTTCGCAAAGGCACAGCTCAAGATGGGCTCTGCATACGAACTCGGAAGCCTCGGATGTAGTTTCGACTCTGTTTTGTCCATGCATTACAACGCGTTAGCGTCTAAGCAAGGTGAGGCGGAGGCAGACATGGCCCTGAGCAAATGGTTCCTTGTTGGCTCGGAGGGACTGTTTCCAAAGAATGAGGAGCTGGCGTACACATATGCTGAGCGAGCTGCAGCAAGTGGCCTAGGGACGGCAGAGTTTGCGATGGGCTACTTCAACGAGATCGGCATGTTCGTACCCGTCAACCTCGACAATGCGCTGCAATGGTACCACAAGGCTTCGAAGCACGGCAACAAGGACGCCAGTGGTCGCATCGAGGGATTGGCCAAGAAGCAGGTGCTGTCAAGGAAGGATCATGAGAACGTTGCAATCTCACGCATCAAGTCCACGCATGGGTCGCAGCACGGCCCACGACCTGAACGTCGTGAGCAGCAGCGACAGAACATTCCGAGTCGGCTTGCACAGGACACGACCGCAGACGAGGTGAGCGACGGGTATCGAAATGGTGGGCTAAAGCCGACAAATGGAATGCGGCTGTCTGGTTCATTTGTACAGCCTCCACTACGTGAGTCTTCAAGAACACCATATCCGCTTGACGACAGACCGCCCACTGTTCCACCGCTGGAGAGCAGGCCCCAGTCTGTGACGCCATATCCGATGGAAGATGGTCCGCCGATGCATAGTCTCACGCCACGACCGGGACCCGCCGGCGGCTTTCTCAATGCTCAGTCAACGCCACAAAGACCTGCCAATAGGACGGACCCGGAGATACGGCCAAGCTCAGCTTTTCACTTCAGACAGGATCCGCGCCCGGGCCCAATACAGAACCTTAATCAGCTACCCTCACAGACTAGGCCGCCCTATGGTGGCTACCCGTCGAGTGGTACCCTTCCTTCCGGCAAACCACTGCCTCCGCAACCACAACAACGATACGACTCGCATGAGCCGTACAATGGGCCAGCTCCAGCACAACGTCCTGCAGGCCACCGCATCGCGAGCGGGCCCCCGGGCATTCACACTTCCGCAGCTCAACAGATGCACCCACCAGAACCGCAACGCCCACTATTACAGCATCACCAGCAAAGTGCACCGGCAGCGCCACCTCAGCAGCCAGCGCAACAGAAAGATTCCAAGCCACAGCAACCAGTAGGGCCTAAGCTTGATATTGGCTTCATCGCACCACTCGAAGTCCGAGCTCACAAATACGGATCACAGGGCGACATCACTAACGTTACCGAACCGAGCCTAAAGCCGTCCGGTAGCATGCCTAATATGACTCAGCCTACGCGAGAGCGGACGCCGGCACCATCCCAACAACAGCAGCCAAAACCAAGTTCGAGACCGTCAAATAGTCGATTATCGCTGTCGAGCAGTGATGCGCCACGTCCTCCTCCGAAAGAGAGCACTGTGGCTCCTGCTGCGCCAGCATCGAAGCCGGCACCAGCAACAAAGCCGACGCCAGTCTATGCGCATCCACCAGCACCCGCCAAGCCGGCAGGAAAGGGTCCGAAGACTTTCGACGAAATGGGCATTCAAGCGCAGAAGCAGGACAGTGACTGTGTGAGTTGGTTCCACTGGCGGCGTGCGGAGAGATTTGCTAACAACATGTAGGTGGTAATGTAACGAAACAGGACGAAGCATGACACTTTCGATTGCAGTGATGTTATAGCGAGGCGTTTTGCGGGATGAGACGGCAAACATCACACATCGCCGCTGCTCTGCATGGCGTGGAGCATTTGTCATAGTGGTCGGCAAAGTCGCCAAGGACGGTGCATCTAAAGGGCATCGACACAGGGCTATCGATGCAAGCAACGCTCTGGTCAATCTACATACTTCCTATCTCGCTGCCCATTCCCCTCGTAAACTCACGCCGTTGGATGTACATAGTGTAAGAACATAAGCTCCTCGGCATGCTCCGGCCCGGCATGCAAGGGTCCGTTAGCTCCAGGTACGTCAGACTCGCAGGTGAATATCGTTGAAGGTGGGAGGATGATATGTGCGCCGATACCCTTTGCAGCCTTGTCTGCAATCCATCATCATCGATACCATGCGTATGACCCGATCACAGCCATGAGTCACCCGTGAGACGCACTGGTGCGCCTGGCGATGTCGACAGAAAGCCCACATGTTCCGGCTCGTGAATCTTCCCCGTCTCGTCCGCCTCTACACCCATCTGAAAAGCGAGCCTCGAATCCCTTCGTCTCAACACTAAATTACTTCACGGAGCCGGTCTCCTATACAGTGTCTGGGATAGTGCGGCGGTTGTCCGAAGACCAGGCTCCTACTCCTCTTGCCCGAGCCTTGAGCGCCAACTACAACGGCTCCATGACCGATCCGACGCTTGGGGTCTATCACCCACCACCGCAGCCCAAGCGACGCCTATCACCCTTTCAACCACCGCCGCTTACGCCTCTTACACTGAAGGGCTACAAAGACACTACCAAACACAAGTCGCGACTTCTAAGCAAGGCAATAGCGGAAGAGATACGGCTTCTCATACCTGCCCGCCTCCAGCTAATGGACAGCTGGAACCTGACCTACTCGCTTGAACAGAATGGCAGCACTCTCAGCACATTATACAATCTCTGCGACGCGCACCGCGGAAAGCGAGGCGGCTTTGTCCTTGTAGTCCGTGATGCTGGCGGAGGCATCTTCGGTGGCTACTTGACCGACGCACCGAAACCGCAACCTCACTATTACGGCTCCGGAGAGTGCTTTTTATGGCGAGCCTTCAGACTACCGGCACTTCCGGATCTTAGCAGTCTGCCGCCACCACCAAGCGCAGACACCACGCATTTGGGCCGCATGACAACGGTGGCCCTGTCAAGACAATCTTCTTGCGCGACACTCTCGGAAGGGAAGGCAAATGGCACGGGAGTCGGCGCCAAATCTGGCACTGCTACGCCGGAACGAATACGCTTCAAGGCTTTCCCGTACACGGGCGAGAATGATTTTCAGATTCTCTGTCAAGCGGAGTACCTCAGTTTGGGTGGCGGTGATGGCAAGTACGGACTCTGGCTAGACGACAGCCTGAATAGAGGGGTGAGTGATACCTGTCTGACGTTTGGTAATGAGGCATTAAGTGAGGAGGGTATGAAATTCGATGTCCTTGGAGTCGAGGTCTGGTATATTGGCGCGTGAGGAACCAGCCCACTCCAGGCATTAGCGAATACGCTATGGAGACGAAGCGAGCTGCATTGGTGTGGTCGCACTCTTGCACTAGATACCCTAATTTTCCTTTAGAACTGCAGAAGAGGGATGCATCTCTGGCTCTAACAATAAGCCGTGCACCTGGCATACGTCTTGCGATGCGTTATGTTCGCTATCACTAGACAATGGTATGCTATATGTTCCATCTCGTCCAGGATCACGCGAGGTTCGCGATAGCGAATACCCACTGAGCTGCTCATCTGGCATGCCTCATGCATTTATACTGACTAGAGTACAAAGATCTTAAGCTCGTATGGAAGGCTGGTGTCGGTCTTGCTATGCAATCTTGGCCCATCAGACGCCAGAGTACAACGAGTCGCTTAGCCAGTCATCCCGTACGCGCTCTGCCCGTGGCGTCTGCGTCCTCTTGCTCAACGAACGTATGAGCTCACCACCTCGGACGAACAGTTGCCGGAGTTTCTCGCCGAAGCGCTTGAAATGGAACTCAGCCTTGCCCATGCCAATGCCGTCGTAGGTGTGTGCAGAGCTGGTAGTGCCAATAGCACGTTCTGCGTTCAACGACCCGGCATCGTATGTGGTGCTGCCATCAAGGTACGCCAGGTCATCAGCAGGATCTAGTCGGACCGGCCTTGGCTTGGCCTTCATCTTAGTCAGACGCTTGCGGAATGAGGCACCATGGGCCCGGCGATGATGCTGCCTCTCCGAGCTGTCGTCCGAAAAGAATGAGCGCACCTCGTCAAGATTCAAGGCTGCTGGTGGAGTCAGGGAGGACGATGGATAGCGATCGCCTGGCTTATGTGGTAGGGTGCCGTCATCCGGGCGGCTTGCCGGCGAGGGCACGCTGCGCGTAGCGTCTTCGCCATGAGTCGTGCGGCTCAATGTGCTGAACCCGATCTTCTTTGATATCGAACCAATAATGGAGCGCCTAGAATGCTTGCCCAGGTGGTGGACATTGACTCCCGTGGCTTGCTCTGTGGTGATCGATGCTGAGCGGTCGAGGTTTTTGGTGATGGAGCCGATATCGATGCCTTTGGTAGTATCGGTAGGCTCACCGGAAGATGTAACCTCGAGAGACCTGCCGTTGCAGATAAGCTCTCCAGTAAGATCGCGCGTATGAGCTTCAGTCGGAACGGTGAGGTCTACTGGGACGTTAGTGCCAGCCCACGGGTAGTTCTCATCCTGGTTCCAACGTCTGCTGGCGCTCGAGATGATTAGAGAACGCTTGCTGCGGGTGATAGGATTCATCTCTGGCGGCAGCAACTGCTGGACTTCTTCCTCGCTCATAGGTGACTTGTGACGTACGAGGGCTGGTGGAGGCCGAGCAGGCTCTTGGCCAAGGTCTGATGGAGCGGATACGGAGCCGGTGAGGTATGATGCCTTGCCATCGGTGGAGTTGATCGCAGACACCTTGTCTGCGGAAGCAGACACTGGTAACGGTGGAAGCTCCTTGTCGGTGAGGAGCTTCCGTGTCGGCATCATCGAGTCGTGAGTGCCGTTCTTGACGATCTCTTCAGCACGCTCGGCAAGCGTATGGAAGCCTGCGGAGGTGCGATTAGAGAGTACAGTGTCTGGTCTTTTGCCATCGCCGAGCTGCTGGATGTCGTCAATGGCATGTTTAACATTCTCTTCAATTGTGGGTACGCTGTCGGCAAGGTGCAGATTGTATAATGCAGGCAGCAAGTTGGTCAGCCGCTCCGACAAGCCGCTTACTGATGGAATAGAGAGACGGTTGACCTGGTCTGCGACGTTCAAGAAGTCTTCCAGAGATAGCGGCCGGCTGCGTTGCTGTTCGTCGACCCCCTCCAGCTTGGTTGACTCCTGAACCTCAACGACGGGAATGCCATCAGCAGCCGGCAGATCTTTGGCGTCCTCCTCATCGTCTAGCTCGTCTACGTCTGCGCAATGGCTGCCGAAGTCCTCAGGCTTGCTGAAGAAGCTTGCGTAGCGCTCCCGTAAAGGCTCGGTACTCTGAGGGCGCTGCGGAGACGGGCAGTAGATACCAGAGAAGTCGCGACGACGGACAATCTCCATGGACCTGGCAGGTCGGATCTCAAGCGCCTCGTTCAACTTGTCGATGAGGTCCATACGACTGAAGTTCAGAGATGGCAGATCTCGGAGATCGGCCAGGGGACGATTGTAGTGGCGTGCAGCCCGGCGAGCCTTCGATTTCTCGGCGGACTCTTGCAAGCGACGCTCCTGCATGGCCTTGACGGCAGCGATGCGAGCTGGCAGGATGAGCTGCTGACTGCCGTTACGTGAGTCACTGCGCCTGCGATGCTCGTTGATGCTCATGTCCTCAACAGACTCTTCCTTGAGCCCAGGCAGGTGCGCGCTGCCAAATCTGCTTCTAAGACCGTTGCCGGACACGTATCGTAATTCTCCGTGCTCACACGACGGGTGAATTGAGTCGAAGCTTGCATCCTGGGGTAGCGGACGTCGTATGATCGACTTCACCTTGTTTATAGTGGGCTCGTTGGTATACTGGTCACGTTGAGACTGCGACTTGTTGATGTTCAGTGGCATGACCTGATCTGCGAAAGTCACCGAGTTGTGCTGCGCTGACTCTGGCCCAAGCCCTCTACCTCTGGGTAGGCGAGGTGGCGACTCGGGGTTTTCTGGCGAGCTGCTGGGCGGGATGGTGACAATCTGTGGCTTTCCAATCGTGATAGTGGTATTTGGCAGTGAGAAGCGGACAGCCACGTCAGTGATCATGTCGGAAGTTGTATTCATCGAGGTCTCCGCCATAGTGCTTAAGTCAGGAGGCAGCGAGTATCGGCTGCTGGTCGGCGTCTCGGTGTTTGTCAGAGTCGACTGTGGCAATTGCACTGACTTGGAGTATGTTCGAGGCGTGCGTGGAGTAGGTGGTGGTGCAGCCTCCGTTGACAATGAGCGATTTGGACTCGTGGACTCATCAATGGCGCTATGGTCGGTCTGCTGTGCTTCCCCAACACGCAGCGTCCCGTCTATTCCGAGGGTCTGCGTTTGAAGTGGACTGACTGCAGAGCACCTGCTAATATCTTCACCCGGTTGCAGTGGACTGACCGGCGCCCTTTCAGAGCTGCATGGCTCTGGCTTTGAGGCTCCGATCTGTCGCTGCATTTGCGGTACCCTCTCCCTCAAGCGTTGATGTTGCAACGTGATCGTGTCAGCGTCTAGGATGAATGGGTCCCGTGCCTGGGTTTCGTTGGACGTTGTTGTCGTATCCACTGGTACCGAAAAACGCAGAGCATAGTTGATGCCGGAGATAGCGTCCGGTGATGCGGTGACGGCAGAGCCAGTGGTGGATCCTTGCCGCCTGATGTTCGGCGTATCTGCAGGGCCACTGCTTGAGGCTGGAGTCGACTTTGTCGCCTTCGAAGACGTTGTCAGCTTGCTGGGCTCTCGCTTGATCTCCACCTGAACGTCGACCTCTGCAGTAGCTGCCGTGTCGGACGGGCTTGCCGCATCGTCAGCGGTGCTCGACGTGACAGCCAGTTCAGCCTTTACCAGCTCGCGCGTCAAGCGCTGCTGCAGCTTTGGTTTGGCTGGCGTACCGGAAAGCTCAGCTACCCTGACCGGCAAGGCAGGCAGTTCGACAGGCGCTTCGAATTCCTCGATGATGATGAAGCGCGTCGTTTCGTTAGCAGCAAGCTCGTAAGGCGCCGACACGTCGCCTTCAAGTGTAGTTTCTACAACCAGACGATCCGAGGGTTGGCCAAGAGTGCCATGCGCAACCTCGTCATTGACATTTCTTTTCGCGGCGGCTTGAGTTGCAGCCCTGGACTCAAGCATGGCCCTCACGCGCTGGACAAAGCCCGTCGGTGGCACTGAAGGGTGATGTACCTCAACTTCGGACTCGTGGACGACCTTCTCCAGACCTTCTGCATATTCGAAGTATCTTGCCGGCAGCACAGGATCGCTTGACGCGTCCGGCAGATCTGTCAACGCTGGGTCAATGAACAGTGGATCGACCGCAACTTGCGTGGTCGTCTGGTCTCTAGGCGTAGGAGGACCGGATGACGTGGGTGCTGTGCCAGAAGATGGCGGATCTGACGATGGCGGACCAATGTCTGTCATTGGAGTATCTGTACGCTGTGGCAAATGGCGTGCCATTCTCGCAGCGTTGTGGAACATCGAGTGTGCCATTGGAACAACATTTGCCAATGGCGGTGGACCGCGACGGTTCGCACGGTAAGCTGGATGCGGCATCGCATACGGCGCGTAGTTCGGACGCACTGGACCATACTGCGGAGGCCCGTAGTGAACCGGATGCGCCACGGGTTGCATCTGTTGTTGAGCCTGTGCTCTGGCCGACATTGGCAGGCCTGGGTCGGAACGCATATGCCGTGATCGGTAGGTGAACTGAGTTTGCTCGTAGTCCAAAATCGGAGAAACGGTCATGGTACGTGGCGGCGCCGCGCGGACATTGAGGTACTGTCCAGCGGGGACATTCCCATTGCCATCGTAGCTGTTGTAGCTCAGTGGCGGAGGACGCTGCATTGGCATTGAAGAAACACCCGAGCGTCCGCCAGCATATGCGTGAGGTGAGATTGGCTGACCTTGTGCGGACATGTCGCTGAGGGCTGGTGAGGGCGAACGGTACCCAGGTCGCTTGAGACGAGTTGGGTACACGTAAGGGCCCTTGTTGTCCAACATAGGGGGAATGTTGCTTGGGCGCAGTCGCTGCCCATGGCGTGGCTCGTGACCCGCGCGCTTCAGGCTTGTGGCCGAGCGATTGCGCGGAAGCTGCGTAAATGCAGGTGCCGAGGTCAAGGAGTATGAACGGGTGTCTCGGTGTTTGTCGTGTACTGGCGCCGGCATCTGCAAAATGGACTCGCCTGTGTTGACTGGTGGCAGTGAGGGTGGCATACTCTGCATGCTTGTAAGCGAGCCTCGGCGGGCGTAAGCAGTATTGTCGCTGATGCGGGAGGTCTGGGAGCCTGCGTAATGGTGATGCGAACGGGTGCCTGTTGGGTAATGGTGCGATGAGCCAGACGGTAAGGGCATCTCGGATGACAGGGAAGGCCGGCTTGCATGGCCTCTCCGCTGGTGTGAGGGACGCGGCACAGTGGGCAGACGGCCGCGGTTGAAGGAAAGCGCACCAATATCGCCAGTGTCTGTGCCGGTCTTGAGCATGCTGAGCACACCGGCACTGGATAGGGCGTCGTTGCCTCTGCCGCCAGCCGGAGGACCAGAGCGGACTGAGCCTGTCATCCCGGAGACATTGCTGGCTCTGCTATTGCGTCCGCTGACGCTCGAGACCTGGTCGGTATGAGGCATTGTGCCGCCTCTCGAGGCGTGTTTTCAAAGAGCGACTTCAACGTCCAAGACTGGTATCCAAAAGCGGAGCAGACAAGATGATCAGAATGTGGCAACGGGCGAAAGATGATGGGTGAGGAGGCGAACAAACAGAAATGCAAGCGAAGCAACTTGGAGAGAGAGAGAGAGCAACACGTGGCGGGCTAAACCTGCCATTGAGCATCGCGTTTCAGTGAAAGTGCAGGTGCTGCGTCGTAATGTGCCGCAGTCGCAGTTTTGCTGCCGAGGTGGAGGTTGGGTGGATGCAATTGTAGGTATTGCAGCAGCAGGAGCAATTTGCAAGAAGCGGAAGAGTGCTTAGATCGTGCCTGCCATGCTCACGTCAATGACGCAGTTGGCACGCTATCGGTTGCTTCATCTTGTTATCTGACGGCGAAGTAGCAGTTGCATCAAGTCTCCAGCATGCAGTGTGGAAGGATGACCTACTGTAGGGTATATTGTTGCTGCCCAAACACGCCACCGATTCAGCAACCGCCTCGCGCCTTCCATGCTGCTCGCCTCGCCTTGTCTCGATTGCAACATGCTTTACTCCCCTGCAAGTCCATGCCATGGCCCCAGCCGAAATCCGAGCATCTAGTGAGCGCCAGCCTTCTGTCCACCCAAATGCATTTGGGCTTGACCAGCGCTGTGTTGGGCAGAGGCCATGCCCTGTCCAATATGACTCTCCGTTGTGGGGATACTATCCTTGTCCTTCTCCCACGCCGCCGGTCGAGCATACTTCAGATCCTTCCCTAAAACAAGCAGTAAGCGCTAGGTTCTGCACGAATAATAAATCGCAACTCACAAGGCCCTTCGTCACTAAGCTGGCAGCCGCCCTTGCAGTGACACTTGCCGCCAAATTCTGCTGGCAGGTTCTCCTCCGGAACTTGACTTAACAATTCCGACTTATAGTTCGAACCAAGCACGTGTATCTTCGCAACCGTCACAGGATCTAGGAATCGCTTGACAACGCTGAAGATGCCGCTGAAGCCCCATGGCGCATTGATGATGTAGAGTTTACCAAGGCGTTCCGGGTAATAGTTCTGACTGACACCTGACGCCTTTTGCAGATAGGGATAAACCTGGTTCGCCTTGGAGAGTCCGACTCCCTTAAGGTCGAGGACGGTACAGCAGGTTTCGAGAAGTTGGCCTGCCTTCCTCGAGCAGGCGGGCAGACGCGGATCCGCAACCTTCTCGTACTCCACGACCAGGTTTTCCAGCATGCGCTCGTCAGTGGTGATCTTGCGTAGCGCATCCAGGTCGGCCTTGCCAAGCTGCTCGATGTATAGCGGTCTGCCGTCCTTGTCTGTCTTGTGGTAGTACTGCGGGTAGTAGGCGAAGACTTGCGCCTTCTCGTGGTAGTCGAACGTCCGTACGAGGTTGTCCACACCGCCGCCGAACTGTTTCCGCCACTGTTCGCACTCAATGAACCTGCCAACTCTTGTCAGCTACGGCCTGACAGTATGCACGTCCATCCAAGCCCTTACATCTTCTTAGCTAATTGCACGTCAAACTTCCTTGCGCGCAAGAAGCGAAGCATGGTCAATGTGTCAAGCCTCTCCTTGTACCCTTCCTGCTCCAACATCATGCGCAGTTGATGCACAGCAGCATCTTGCTCTTTCGTAGTATGGCCTGGATGTCCAGGTCGTGGATCTGGCGAAGTTGTAGGGAAGTCATAGTTATCGTACTTCGGGTCAAGCTCCATATGCGGGTTCTGAGCCATGTTGGCGATGGCGTGGTGACTCAGCTCGTGTAACCAAGATAGTGGTGGTCCCGCGGCCGAAATCGTTGTAAACTAGGCTAGGTGGTTGCGATATTGAGGCGGCCTCGAAGTCGTATCTATCGTTGCTGCGGAGTCGAGCATGTGTTCCCGCTCACATTCGATGTTGGCGTGAGAGAAAGTCCAGCCGCCAAAGCTGTGGCTGAAGCTTGCAATGACGCAGGGTCTTGGCGAACCCTGCCGTCAGTGGCAGCCCACGTTGACTGAGCCATTGGCTGCAAAGGCACCGTGAAGATCAGGAAGGCACAGTCAGGCGGATGACTACGCCAGGCACATGTACGGTCACGTTGCACGTGCCGCTGTATATACAAAGAGCTTGACGTTCCAGCTTCCCAGTCCAACTCTGCGCCGTACCGCCAGCGCCTACGCTACCTTGATGTCAAATGTGAAATAAAAGCCGATGGCTACTCGAAGAGCCTCCGCGAAGCGACAGTGGAACGTAGGGTATCAAAGTCAGTGATGCATCGCTCATGATACTTTGTGCCGGCTGGACTGGCTTGAGCTTCTGTCAAGCTCACCACTGCCGCGCATATACTCGGCGCTTGCCCGGACACTGTCCATATTCGGTCGCGAGCTGTTCGAGCTGCTCCTTCTCCGTCGCATCCGCATCTCCTCTGGGTCGGCGGGCGAGAGCCCGCTCACCCGCGCATAGAGGTTGAGAACGTCGGTCAAGCTGACAACCCCTGACAAGCGCCCGCTTAAGCTCGCACCCGGGATCTGCGCTGCGGATATGCTGACGCCAGGAGTGAGGCTTGTGAAGGGTGGACCAGGAGTCATCTCCGCTCCTTGACCATGTTTTGCCGGCGTGGCTAAGTGAACCGCCGGCGCCGGCAGATGCGTACTCGAATTTGCTACGCTAAGCGGAGCAGTTGCAGTATGCAAACCTGGTGACGGTGGCACGCTAGCGGAGGGTGAAGGTGGCTGTACGATCCACATGCGGTGGGAGCGAGTCGCGCAGAGTTTCGAGACGGTATGCGCCAGTGTGCTGACAGGTGTGACGTAGAAGACAGGGTACGAGTCTTTGCCATCCCACATCCCTCGTTCGGAGAGGATGACGGAGATGAAGTGGATGCAGCTCGACGAGAGAAGTGGTATGGAGGAAGTGTCGGTAAGTAACTGCAAGGTATGGTCAGCATGATCTTCAAAAGCTGGAGTAGGCGACCTTACCCTCACGTCAACGTGGCTAATGTTGCCCACAACGTTGCGCTGACTGTCCAACACGGGTATTGACGAGATCCCCTCATTGTGCATCAATCGTAACGCATCAGCAAGCGGCTTGTCACCATTGATGGCAAGGACTTGCTTGGCACCTAAGCCAAGTTCCTGTAACGAGCATGCGTACAGAGATTCCGTTGCTGCGAAGTTTTGATGGTTGTCCCAGAAGAAACGGACCAATCGTAGCTGACTGAGCACTCCTATAGCCTCACTTGTGCCTTCCTTGCAAATGATGACTCTGTGTGAGCCGCTACCTAACGTTTGCATCGCTGACGTCAAGTATGCTGTATGCGCGAGGAACTCGGGTTGCTCGCGAGCACCCAGATGCTCGTTAACGTCTCGGAGGGGGATGGCTTCACCGCTTCGTGCTCGCTCCGCAAGCTCTTGTGCCAGTTCGTCCGGCTGTGATAAGCCAAGTACCAGTAGGAGGTACGCGTTTAGGTCTGAGTAGTCAAAAGTACCGATAGCAGTCTTAGTCTTCGTTGACTCCCGAATGAGCACCACGTTCGGTGCGCCAGATTTGATCAGGAGCTTCGTGGTGTCTTCGATGGTTGTGTCGAGCTCAACGAAGCGTGTCTCGGCCGGGTCAATGATATCTTGAACCTGTATCGTCCGCCAATCCTTGCCCTTGAACCGCGCATCTTCCCCTGTTGCCTTCGATTGAGGAGTCATCAGTAAGTCCGTCAGTGCTTGGCCAGAGAAGGACTGTGTTCTGGAGGTTCTGGGTGAGGGTGGATAATTGCGGAGGTTCTCGGCGAAGCTAGAGCGATGTGAGACTGCCGGTGAAGGCGTAAGAGAAGAGTCCTTGCGAGGCGAGTGAAAGGGTGCCCCGCTGGACGGAACTTCGGTCTTGAGTGCGGCAGGCTTCAACACCGGCGACGACCTGCCTTGCTTGTTCGTGAAGACATTGCCAGAAGATGTAGAGGGCCTCGCGGTGTTGGCAGAGGGTATCTGGGCCATGATGGCGATTGGAAGGTGCAGGTCGGATCCGTTCCGATAGCGTGGCCAAGATGTTCAGTCCGGTATTACTTCAATACACAATGACTTTGTACCCGCGGAGCCTCATCTCTGCCGTCCACTGGTGGCTGCACTATCTGCGGACGGAAGAGTGGTGAACATTCGCCTTGCCAAGGAACGCCCCCTCGGTGACCTGCGCAAGCGCTCAATTGCGTCTGAAGCTAACGACCCCTCCCTCGATGGGGACCGAGGGGACGTGCACTTGAAGCCGTACAAACTACGACGGTGTCGCCCTCGGTCCGCGAAGCAGCTAAGTCAGTCCTCCTCAACCTGTCGAGTGTGGTCTTGTAACTACATCCATTGAGACCATCCCCAACTGCGGAGTGCGCAGGTCGATTGCCTTCGCTGACTGTTGGGACTTCACATCTGTGTGGCAGCAGGGAAGATGCGCGCCTTGTCTCGTGACATTCGATGAGTCAGAACCCACTGCTTATCAAGCGTCCCTGCTCCAGACAATCGCATCATTACGCTGTCCAAGACTAGTACCCGCATGGCTAGAAACGATTCTGCTTCTTGAGGATCCTCATAGTCATTACAGCCTTAAGCCTGTGGCAAAGCTGCATAGGATACTAGGACATCAGAAACACAATCGTCCGCTCCTGGGCACTATTTCCCCCAGCGTGCCAACTTGAAACCTAGCTATTGTGAACATGTCGCTGAAGGAAGCATATTCGCTCGCGCACACCGCGCAGTGTAGACTGCAGATGGAAGTCAATCGTCCAGAGCGGAATCTTCGTTTCGTTGTCGGCCACTTGATGCATTATGAGCATCTACGTCTTCGCATTGTCGAGATTGAGCACGATATCAGCAAGAGTGAACGAGCTAGCGCAGTCGCCTTCCACGGCACCGGGCACGTTGCGGACCACAGGCTTCAGCATAAGCCGTCAACCGGCCAGCTAGGCGGAAAGAAATCGCCACCTCCACCAGCAGCTGATTTTGAAGACGAGGATGATGATGAGGAGGACGATGACGACGACGATCACGAATTTGATGATGAGGTCGAGGGCATTGAGGAAGATCTTGGCCTCACACGCTTTCCATCAGCCACCGCAAACCCACCAAGAGCGCCGCCCGATTTGGTCCCGGACTACGCTGACGACGAGGATGAAGATGAAGACGAGCCTACCTCGCCCGAGGAGCCCGATCGGGCAACTCTAGAGCACGCAATGAAGGGCGAGAGTAACGAGAACCTGGCAAAGTACTACGCGTCCACGCGCAGTTGTCCTTGTCACGGCAAGACTGATGCGCCCGCATTGGGCAGAGTATGGGAGCTTCCAAAGAGTGAGAAGCGTCCTCATAGGGAAGGAGTGACGATCGCCGTGGCGGAGGTGCAAGCCTAAGTAATTCGAGGGAATGGGCGGGCGCCGAGCACAGCAATTGCATGTGTTTGTATCTACTCCAGCGTTATCGCCGAATTTAAGCAGTCCGTTACATCGCTTGTATATGCTAAATGCAGCCCAAGATCCGAGAGCGTGCCAGCACGGATGGTATTGAGATACTGTTGCCTCCACTTAAGCGATGAGGGCTTTAACCCAACACATAATCAACGAGCAAAATGGCAGAACTTCCACCCTAGTGACTTATTGACTCACACATGACCACTGTTGTACTGTGGGGGATGGAAGCATAAAAGTGTCAAACAACTATCATAGCTCGGGATAACTTGACTACCTGATCAACGCGAAATTATGCAGCAAAATTGAAATAGGAAGAGTACGATGATGTACAGAGGTTGAGTGCTATATAATATAGTCGATTAGGCAAGTGATATTGATCTATGCACGCCGCCGTGGGGTCTCATTACCAACGAGTGAAAACAAATGCCATCCGCTAGCTAATCTACACCTGCTGGTGTGCCTTCTCGGCAGCAACCTCGTCAGACGGGTCAGAGTCGCTGCGGTCAATGTTGCGCGACGCCGACATGCCTGCAAGGGCAGGGTCGAACTGAGGAGTACCTGGCACCTCGCCTGCCAACTGCTCGAGGGTGAGACGCTTGGTCTCCGGAATCAAGAGAGTGGTGAAGCAGCCGCACAACATGAAGAGAGCGTAGATCTCCATGACGTGGTTGAGCCAAGGGCTTGCGTTGCTTGGGGTAGCACCGCGGGTACGAAGAGTACCGATGGCGACCTGAGCGATGATTGAACCAATCTTGCCGGCGGCGGCAGAGATACCGTGCGAGGTCGAGCGGTAGCGAGTTGGGAAACATTCACCCGGCACAATGAAGGTGGTCGAGTTCGGGCCGAAGTTGAAGAAGAAGTTGCACAGAACGTAGCAGGCAAGCTGGCCGTGGTGACCAATTTTGTAGTAACCGAAACCCCAGATGCAGAACAAGATGGTGAGGAGAACGAAACCCATCATCTGAATTGGCTTCCGGCCGATGGTGTCACAGAGGGCGACGGTAACCCAGTAGCCAGGAATAGCGCCGGCGCAGACAAGGATGATGTTGCCGACAGCGATGTTGTACAGGTAAAGGTACATGTTGGGGGTGCTGCTGCCGTAGCCAATGGCCTGAAGAATCACGGAGTTGTTAAGGGACACGCCGTAGAAAGCGACATCGAGAAAGAACCAGGAACCAGCAGTGCCGAGAAGGACACTGCCATACTTCCACTGGCCGTAGTGGTGCGCGAAATCGGACCACGAGGCCTTCGGGATCTCAAGCTGAGGAGCCTGTTCACGCATGGTCTGGACGCGGGCAATCTCGTCAGGGACACCTTCGGGGGTGCTGCTGAGGTAGGCCTTGATGTCTGAGCCACCCTTGACAACGTCACGGGTAACATCAAAGGTGTAACGAGGAGTCTCGGGGATGGTGAGACGGTAGTAAAGAGCGATGCAAGCCGGAACAGCGCCGAAGCCGATGATGATACGCCAGATCTTGTCGACCGCAACGCCGCAAACACCGGTGCAGGTGCCACGGTTCTTGGCACTCTTGAGAGAACCCTTGAAGCCGGAAATAGCGATAAGAGCAATGATACCAGCAGCGAACTGGCCGATACCCTGCATGGCGAACACGGAGCCCATCATGGCACCACGCCACTTGGTAGTAGCGAACTCGGAGGTGATGATGGAGGAGAGCGGGTAATCACCACCGATACCGACGCCCATCAACACACGCCAGAAGATGATGACACCGACAATGGTGATGGCTGGCGAGCGAGAAGTGAGAGCCTGGGCGAGAGTGGCGAAGATGATGACGATGAGCTCGAGACCATACATCCTCTTGCGACCGACCTGATCGGCCAAGTAACCGAAACCAAGCTGACCGATAACCGTGCCAGCGGAGGTGGCAGCTTTGATAGCGGTGTCGGCGGAGGCGGGAATCATACCACGTTTTGCCGTGGCGATTCTGGTGCTGTTCCAGTAGACGACACCCAACATGGTCGTGACCATGCCGATGGCGAAAATATCGTAAGCATCAGTGAAGAAACCGATACCAGCGACAACGATGGCGCGAATGTGGTACCAGCCGAAAGGAGCCTTGTCGATCTCAGCAAGCGCGAGTCTGCGGCGCTCGTTCGGGTCGGCGATGTGAGCGTAGTCATTGTGGAAGTTGTGGAAGGCAGAGTTGCCTCCTGCCGTTCGGCCAGCCATTGTAGTTGTCGAGCTTCGATGAAGTGAAGTCGACGACAAGATATGGTACAAGGAAAGGACAAGTCGCCAAGGTTGAGCGTGACTTGAGTAAGGCGCGGGTTTCCTGGGCGCAAGGGGCTTCGTCTTTATCAAGGCGCAACGCAAGAGTCGCCAAGCGCAAAAAGACTCTCACCCTCCCACCAAAAAGCGCGGTGATACCATTAGTGCGAGGCAAAGCTCTTCGACACGGCTTCTGGACGGCACGCTAATGCGGCGGAAGCTAGCTCCTCGCCCTGAAGCGACCATAGTGGCATTTGGGAGGCCCCACCACCTTCTCTGACCTGCAGCTTGTAGCGCCCAAAACTAAAAGCAACGGCCAATTGCAAAGGACGACAGCATGCACGCGCAGGGTTATGCCAAGCAGCTATGACCTATTGCTGCAATTGAGTCGGCTGTCTTGCTCGATCCGGGCGGCGATGATTTGACGCGCCTTTCTGGCTGCCACGCATCAAACCGCGTCAAATGAGAGCCTCCAGCGCGTTGCCCGACCGTCTGGGTCTGCCCACTAGCAGCGATCACTCTCCGACATCTCTGATTCGAGTGGCGATAGCTCGAGTCAAGGGCCAGCGTCATTCGATGGTTTGCGCAATCAGCGCCCATAACATGGATCGGACGACGCGAGCTTGATCTCAGCGGACAAGCTACACGCTCAAGCCCCAAGACACGCTTAAGCAAGCCAAGGCGGTTCAGATGCCTGGCAAAGGACGTCACGCAATGTTGTACGCTGATGAGTTCCCTCCAACAGATTGCCATACAGACATCGCCACGAGCTTCGCTTTGCGGCTGACAATGCCATCGCGTGCCCGTCCGGCGGGCTTTGCAAGGATACTTCGTGATACTAAACCCCAGTCCCCTAGGGCTGTGTAAGGCCGCAGGCGGAGGAGGAGCGCTTCTTGCCTGGCACGCGTGCCTCGTTTGAGTGAGGCAACTCTTCATACGATCACGACCACAAACGGTGACAGGGTCCCCACGATGGCAGGGTCACTTTGGAGGCAACCCCGAAATTTGCGCTGATGGCCAGCGCATTTGCGCGATGCATCGCACCAAGAGTGAGGTCGCTCCGACCAATCACAGCGGCTCATATCACCACGTGCATGCTGATCCGCTTAGCCCGTGCAGACTCCATCTGCCACCCGCTTAACACAGCACGAATCCCACGTTCTCACAGCACCGACATTATGGCCGGCGGCGTTCCTTCGGCGCCTGTTAGATTCTATGTAATGAAAATTCTGCATCACGGGGCCATCGAACGTTTCGCAGTAGAACGCTCAGCGCTCGAAACGAGGGTACCAAGTCGTAAACCACCAACCGCACGGAGCTTTGAAAGCATCTTGAGGCTGCTAGCCCGGCCCGAAAAATGACAGCTTCATCTCCGACGAGACCTCCGTCTTGCAGTGCATCTGAAATAGCTTGATGGCTAGTCTCTGCCCCAGATCTGCAGTATACTGGCACATAGAAGGCTTTGCGAACATTGTCATGCACACAAATGATGTGCATGTTGTCATTGCACATGAAAGTAACAGTAGGCTCTTGCGTGAACTCCCGATTTACAGCACTACCGAGCGGCACGGTAGTGGTCCCATTGAACCTTAACTTCAAGGTTCAATGTGGTGGATCACTCCCGCTATTGAGACCCGCCAACGTCGGCTTCAATATTACTGTTGACATCCAAAAGCGACAACTGTTTTTGCGCCGTCAAGATCTAGAACACGCAAGTTTAATGGGCCAGAATGAAGGCAAGAATGGAACATACACCGGCTGCGTTGGAGAAATTCAAGCGTCCCGCAGAATTAGTGGTTAGATATTTTTGCTCCTGCTGCGTACGAGGTAGAGATGTTGTTCCAGCGCTACGCGAGCGCAGCTCCAAGCTCAACGTCAAGCTACCTCCACCCGCGCAAAGACCCAGTAACAGCGACCAGCTTATCCATGACAGCAGCTTCCAGCGGCTACCTACTACCTGGTAGCATAGTATGAAGAGCCAAAAGGCATGTCCAGCTCTACTGGAGGACAACTGTGGTTCACCCCTGGCTACTGCTTCTTTCCTCGGTTGATACATCTCGGACACACGGAATATCACAATGCGGCTCATCACTCGACGATCGATACTATAGGAATCCGCTAATCGGAGAAGTAGCTCTTCTGCTCATCAAAGAGTCTCAATCAACCGTTTTACAGTGTCCTCCCTGCCCATGTATTTGGGCTGCAGTCGCCTAAGCTCGGCTTGGATCTACCCGAACACCGGATGGTGATGTAGTCCCTTCTACCATCACAGGGCAGCTTATACGCGCCGGTAATCGCTCGGACGTCGTTGCTTCTGGAGATCAGCATCAACGCAAGGCTTATGATCGGCTGCGAGTTCGGATAGAGAAGTGCATCGCTAGGTTAGTGCTTGGCATCATCTGTTTTCGTACTTGGCTTACTGCACTGCTCGTAGGCCGAGCCCTCATCGACCCAAACCTACGTCATCCATACCATACCGTGACTATCACTGCTCAGACTGCGGCTCGCCGTGTAGTTAGCACGATAGGCTCACTACCACGAACAACGTTCGGTAACCCCAGCGCTTGATCTTCGTTCAAAATATTCGTTGTTGACCGTGAGTCACCATACGTATTGGACATGGTCAAGAACCGTACGTCTTAATGCATGAGCACGTTCACGCTCATCTGTATGAACAGTAGCTAGTCGACTGCGAACAGCCCACAACGAGGCGAACGAATGCTTTCTCCCAACAATGCTGGAGTTGGTAGGACAAGCCTAATCTAGGTAAAATACGACAACCTGCCTCAACCCTCGTTCTCTCCCTCTGTTTTTCGTATCTATCTGAACACGAACGTTGAACGGCAGAGGCAATGACCATGAATGAAAGGGCTGACCTTGGGCGACTGGAAGAGTACATGTCTGTTATTGGCGTCATCACCAGCTCAGCAGCTCATGGGTTGTGATTCGAATAGGATGCTGCCAGGAGACCAAACATCCCGAGTCATCGAGGAACGCGATACACCCTCGACGACATCGCAGCGGCTGACGCGCCGTGAGTGAGGCTGGGACACTGCCCGGTCTAAAACTGCGTCGGTGGGTCATGTGGCTTTCCACAGATTTTCGCATAACATCTTTGTAAACGCCCCTTTCTCGTAACCCCTATTCCAGTCTTTCAGCGCAGGCTCATCGCTAATAGACGGCCTAATCGACGAGCCTCCCAAGACGTCCTTCCGTCGCTGTCCCAATTACTCAAGCCTACCGAGTTCGAAGGCCTGATCACATCTGGCCCTGTTCCCAGCATACACCGATCCTTCTACATGACGCATGGCGAGGCCGTGGATATACAGTGCTATATGGTCCATGGTCGGTATGGGCGAGTTCATTGCTGAGCCTGTCTACATAGTCTTCAACGGTGCTCGCGCTGCTACAATGCACCCGGTCGAAGAGTATGTGGCCGGCGGGCGCCATTGTACGACAACGGGTTGTTATGCGATTCTTGGTGTATCTTATGAGTACTATTACATAAAACGCGAACGCTCAGAGTGCTGCGAAACAGACCGGATAGTAGTACACAACATGGACCCACTCGCGCCGCCCGGGCTTCTCTCGAGAAACGAACCTTGAGGACGTAAGTCAAGCAACCATCACCGCTCGGCCTCCTCTCGCCTCTCATTTACAGCACCTGCCATCCGCTTCCCGATCTCGTAGCTGCTGATCATAATCGCACACGCTGGCGCCACCTTCAGGCATCGCGCTGCCCAACCTTTGAATAAGCCAGTGGTGCCCTCGGTGCAGTAGATGTGCCACAAAAAGCGCGGCATGGTCCTGCTCTCCGGGAGATTCTTTTGTTGAGCCTTTGGATCATGCATGAGAGTTTGTTGGCGCGTCTTGCCCACATCGAACGGCGTGGTAACGAAAGCGGCTATGGCTCCCGATGTTGCACCAGCGATGAAAGAATCCATGAGCAGCGCTGAATGGGAAAGCTCGGCCTTGCGATGCTGACCCATTAAGATGGTTGAGTTTGTTCGAGCCTCGTCCAGGCGGTTGCGGCCGTACTCGTAGCCCCACCAGTAGAGTGCCGAGAAAGGGACATCTCTCCAAAGGGTTAGAGTGAGGCCTCGCCAGAGGGAGTGCACGCCTTCGTTGCCGACCATCTCTCTAAGTCCTGTAACAGTTTGCTTTAGGACGCCGCCTCCCTTTACATTCGACGCCTGCATTCGGGTGCGCAGCATCTCAATTGGACTGACTGCCACAGCAGCGAGTATACGCGCCATGCTGCCGCCAACAAGCGGCTGGTATGCGTCGCTCACTCTGCCCATCATAGGACTATGCTGACTCGTCCGCAACCAGTCGTAGCCCGCAAAGTAGATAACATTAGCCGGAACGGCCATCATCAGCGTCGGACTTAGACCCCTCCATAACGTCCACACGCCCTCGTTCCGCGCGATCTTCCGCAGTCCGTCGAGAGTGGAGTTGAAGGTGCGCCGTTGGGTTTCTTCTGCGGCGCAGTCAGAGATGATGCTCTCGTCGATGACGGCTGCGGATGAGGACGACGGGGAAGCGACGCAGAACTGTGAGTTGTTGTGCACCCAGAATACCTCGCGGCAGCAGGCCGTGACGCCGAGGTTCGGAGGGAGTTGTAGGAATGAAGGCAGACGGGCGGAAGGGGACGGACTTTGCTGGGCTTGGAGGCGGACGCGGACGACGTCCAGAGGTGTGACTGCAATACGGTCAGTGTGATCAGCTTGTAACCATATACATTTGCGACTTACCAAGCAGCGAAGTCAGGATGCTTCCACTAACGGCTGAAAGCATCTTCTGCACAATTGACACATTCGCACTGGTCGCTCGCGGCGCTGTGTGTGGCGCAGAGGGTACATCCAAACTCCCGGTTCCCGATGGTGTCTCTAATCTGTCATGTCGTTGACCCTGTGTGTGCACCGCCGCCATCTCGACTGTCCTTCGTGACACCCTCCCTTGCTCGATGCTCGCCTGCGCGGACGCGCAGTGAGCTTCTTTGGCGGTGCCAGTGATGGATGGTATGCTTTAACAACTCAATAGCTTTCTGAAACAGTCGTGGAAACTTGTGAGTGTCTGGACGGTAGTTTGAAGAAAGGGATGTTGAGTGCGTCAGTAATCTCGCCTCTTCCGTATGAGTGAGATGTTCATGACGAGAGTCGGCGGGAGCAAATCCTTATCAGATCCGCTTCGGCAGCAACCGCTCCGATCTTCGGAGATTGTTCGTTTGTGGACACCGGCCGGTGACGTTCGGCGAACCACTGCTTGACACAGTCATGTATAGGAGCGCTTAGTACGAGATGAAGGGTAACCCCATAACCACATTCTGAGACCTACATACTCTCACGACCTATGATAGTAAATCCTGATCGGACGTTGAGCGTGAGACAGAATGAGTAACCCTGTGCCTGAGACGGAGGCCGAGTTAGAAGCCTTCCGTCAGCGATGGCGGGAGGAAGTTCAGTCACGCAATAGGAGGCCTGAACGACCGGTGCACAGAGAGCCTAGAGAGCAAAGGCGGAAAGATGGCCCATCATATTCAGCATTACAGTCAGTGGCCGGCCCGTCCACGACCAAACGGGCAAACGTGCCGGACTACTCGGAGGAGATCGAGCCCAAAGCCTACCATGACCTCCCCGACAAAGAGGAGCAATTGAGGCTTGGCTTGGGAGGACAGGGCAATGATAGAGACATGTTCAGGGAGCCCAGTACGGCACTTGAACATTACGAGCGGGCAGTGGAGAAGGAGACGACTGGCCAGCTTGGAGATAGCATCAAGCATTACCGCAAAGCGTTCAAAGTGCGTCAACAGCTTCTCATCTGGTGTCGTGAAGATAGTTTGCTGAGTTGAGGCGCAGCTTGACGACGGCGTACACGAAGCCTACAAGCGAAAGCACTTCCCGCCATCTGCCTTCGTAAAGCCCAAAACAGCTAACCCCAACCCATCGAATGCCTCTGTGACGGTCCCGAACACCGCCCATCACTCGCTGCATGACAGTGTGGGCGGTGGGTTGCCACCTACATTGAAGCAGCTTGTTGCCGAGTTCTCCTCGTTACGTATCGAGCCCCCTCCGCCAGCCACTGATGCCTCGCCACCAGAAAGGTCTCGGTTCGGCGAGCTGCCGGAAGAGATTCTCAGCCAGATACTGCTAGAGCTCGCCATACAGGATGTCGCATCATTCGCACGCCTGGCGCTGGTCTGTAAGCGACTAGCCTTCCTGGTATTAACCGAAGAAGCTATCTGGAAGCGCGTAGCCACTGGCGAAGAGGTCGGGTTCGCTGCGATGCATTACGACTTTATCTGCGACATTGAAGGCTTCCCCCTCGAGGTCAACAACGAGATAGCACGCTACCTTGGCGACAACAATAACCCCTCAAGCGATCTGCCCATGGTTCTGCCGCCCACGCCAGAAGAGAGACAGCTCGCCTTCTCAGCCCTCACGGAAAAGCTACTCCACACCACCTACGCTTCCTCTTGGCGGCAGCTCTTCCGCCTACGACCCCGACTCCGCTATAACGGCTGCTACATCAGCACCGTCAACTACACCCGTCCCGGTGCCAACTCCACCAACACTCTCTCCTGGGGCGCACCCGTGCACGTGGTGACCTATTACCGCTACCTGCGCTTCTTCCGCGACGGCTCCGCAATCAGCCTCCTGACGACTTCGGAGCCGGCAGACGTCGTCCATCATCTGACGAAAGCGAATTTACACGACCACCATCGAAGCGACAGCATGCTGCCCAGCGCCGTCATGAAGGATGCTTTACGCGGCCGCTGGCGACTCTCAGGTCCCTTCAGCAGCGTCAAGGATCCCGCGAGTGGCGAGCCGGAGTTTGAGGGGGATGTGCATGTTGAGACAGAAGGCGTGGTGCCAAAGTATAATTATCGGCTGCTGCTTGCGCTGTCGCACGCGGGTAAGGCTGCGCGGAACAACAAGCTGGCGTGGAAAGGCTTTTGGTCGTACAATAAGCTGACCGACGACTGGGGTGAGTTTGGGTTGAAGAACGATCGGGCGTTCTACTGGAGCCGTGTCAGAAGCTTTGGGACGGGCTACTAACCCTGCGGACATTGAGCATGCTCGAGTGTGTGTTTGTAGCGAGCATGCATTGGGCGCGTTGGGACATTGCTCACATCACTAGAAGACTCCATCTGTCCGCCACTGCTCTCCGAATTCGCAGTCTGCTGGCACCCTGACCTCAGTATCGTAAGGAGTCTGACATTCTGAATTATTATACTTGTATTAGACTAAGCTAAAGACGTCAAGTGCTCAGAACGCATGAAACCAAAGGTTGGGTATCACAGGGTCTATTCTATCGTTGTCCCTCCGAAAGCAAGCCATGAAGATGCGGAAGGTGTCATAGGTCATCGCATTGTGCGTTGAGCGGTCGTCGTCCTTTACAAAAGCGCGTTCCCAGCCCCAGCCCTTTCCCTCCGCACAGCCCATCCTTTGATGGCGAAGCACACAATCTCCCACGCAAGCACAATGCCCGTCAGACCCATCGTCACGGTAAAGATGGTCATGGCGTCGAGTCCGTTGGACTCCACAGCCCACACGGTGTCGTGTGCGCTGACCATGAACATGAGCCCACCACTAGTGAGACAGAACGATGCGACCAGCTCGCTCGGCGGTCGAGCAGAGAAATGCGAGGTCGGTGGCTTCAGGTAGAGGAGAAGGTATGTCGCCGCTCTCGCAACGGCGAAAGCGAAGAAGAGCGTGCCCCACTGACTGTGCATCATCGTGCTCACCATACTGTTCTGGTGGTGCGCCGACATCATTATACCCAAGATCATGATGACAAGTGCCGGCATTGGGTTGAGGGAGAGGTTGTATGTCTTCGGCTCTTGCCAGACATCTTCTTCGGTCACGGCCGTGTCTCCGACCCGCTGATGTGCGGCAAAGCGGGAGGCGCCTGCAAGCTCTGCATCCCTGCTCTTTTGAACGACAACACCTGTGTTCATAAATTCACGAATCCACTTGGATTCGATGAGCATGCCGAGCAAGCCACCGCCAAAGAATAGCACGGTGATGCTGACATGCTCGAAGGTTTGTGGCGTCCATTCTGCGCCCGGGTTGTCGAGGTGCTCGAGGAAGACATTGCTGGCGCCGTATAGCCAGATCACGAAGGACTCGATGAACTCTGCCGAAGGAATGCGCGTCTTCCATTGTGGAACGACAGGGTAGTCTGGGCGAATGTTCCACGCCCATCCGAACTCGCCGAAGGCGCCCATCCACCTGCCAAGCGTGAGCAGGCCGTACCAGAAGAAGATACCGCCTTTGACAAAGTGCGCAGCAATGGAGAAGACCTGGACGCCGCGAGCTATGCCACCGTAGGTGATGAAGCCAGTGCAGAAAGCTGCGAATCCCAGGAGCAACAACACCTTCTCGAGGAAGGCCTGTGCGCCGCCGATGATTGTTGATGCGCGAGGTGTGGACATGCGCTGGACGTAGCGCGACATGAAGCGATCGATCCCATTGTTTCCCAGAAAGCCGCTTCGCTCCGGCTCCTCGATGTCACTATCACTATTGTCGTCTTGCTCGCCAGTCGGTGATTGGGGCTCTTTGGGCTTCTGGTAGACCGAGTCCGAGCTGTTCTGCCGGGAGCTACCCAGGCCCGAGTCTCTGGACAGCCTCATAGACTCTTGCTCGTTGTATTGCTGGAGCACGCTATACTGTGCCATGCTTGCGAGCGATGGTCTCTGCTCAGGTGCTGCGCGTCTGCTCCGGTAATCGCTGTACGCCGTGAAGACGGAGAAGATCGTCCAAAGGACAGTGACGGATGAAATGATCCATCCGAGAGGATGATGGGCGTTCTTCTCATACAGATCTGGCGTCGAATGGTTGTAAACAAAGCCAGTAAACATGCCTAGACCGTTGACGATGTGGAACAGCACCTGCGCAGGTAGGTTGTACCGTGACCGAGCGACACTGAGCAGAAGTGCAGGCGGTAATACGACGACCCAAGCAATGACCATAAGCGCAATATGCGCCAGTATCCAGCCTGTGTATTGGCCCAGTCTGAAATAGCTCTCGGGTTGTCCGGCATGCCCATCTGCGCTTGGCGACGGACTGCTCATATCCATATCCATGCCCATGCCCATGCCCATATCCCCGTCGCCATGACCGGCTACGAGTGGCAGCGCCCCTACCAGGAGCGCCGCAGTTGTTGCAACGACAATGCCACCCGCCCGCATTGATGTCCTGTGCGAGTATGCTCGTGTAGTGCCAACTTCTCGAATGCTATACCTTGGGCGGTAAGTGATCCAGTAGGTATGTTACTGCACAACGAGCGAGCTGGGTGATTGAGAGTTGGTAGAGTGTGCGCTGTAGTGGTTGGATCCTACGTGATCGGTCTGGCCAGTGCTGTTGGCTGGAACGCAAGGCAGGCGAGAAAGGTGTGAGAGTCGCAGGAGAAGGCAGGCAAGGCGCAACAATAAGTGAGAGGCGTGCTTACCGACGATGACTCGACAATATAACGGAGCCGACGGATGCTGCTCGCCATGAACAACCCCATCACGAGCAGAAGCGCAATGCGCCGATTGGCACTCCGCGGATGCAAATATGTCAGCAGTAGCAGTCACACCATGCGACGAAGGCGAGAAACTTCGCGACGTTTGACGTGATCCTTTGCTCACGAGAGCGCCGAGTGGCTGCCATGCAAGGATCCGTAGCGGACCCAAGCCCTTTCACTTCCTTCCGCGTGCTTCCGCCCTTCGCTGTTTCTCCCAGCCCAGTCGCGCATCAGGACTGCTCGCACGCGCGAGTGCCCGATCCCGATCGAGTTTCGTGATGTGTTCACCTGATCCAAACGTGCATAAACACGCCCACTACCAAACTGGCAAGCTACCGTTTCGGCATCGTTCAAATTGTAGCACCTTCGTCCGGCGCGGAAGCTTATGGCGGCCGAAAGCATTTTGTGCTCGATGACGTGCGTCGACAATACCCTTCTGTCAGCTCACCGCCGGCTACGACCATAATGCGGGCTTCCGTAAACCCCGAAGACTCGTTATTGAAACCGAGTGCCTGCACCGTCAGCCCCCGCAGCCACATCCTTCCCATCAAACGCCATATTTCCATTCGCGAAAGCGATATGAGTTGGCATGTGAGCGCCTCAGAAAGCATTTGACTCACCCCACTTCGTTCAGCCTTTGCCGGGCTGCCGAGGAGAGCTTAGAGCCTCATCTGTCGATCATCCAATCGGGGCGGGCAGAAATATTCAATTCCGTTCCGGCTGCCGAACAGAATGATGATCCATAACGCGAATATACTGAAACATGAAGGATATTTGCGAGCTTTTTGGGGCTGTTCTATGCTAGACTATGGTATACTCAACGCTTTTGGACTGATCACTATCCATCGAGACTGTCTACCACCTACGAGGATCGTAAGAGCATTTCTTGATACCATTCCTAGATGACCACGCTTATGCGACCCGGACTTACCGGACATATGGCGGATCCCGGCCCTCTCACGTTTGATCCGAGAGATCCCTCTGACCGCACAACTTCCGCAGAAGTCAAAGGCGACAGGGAAACGTCGAGACTGAGAGACCACGACGACGTTGTGCAGACGTTCAGAAGTTCACGACCGTAACGGTACACTGCCTGCGTCCTTGGAACAGCTAAAGGTGCCAAGATGAACTGTATAGTGTATTATACACATGCGGCGCAAAACATTGTCAGCACGCTTTTTATTCTGGCCGATCCTGCTACGACAGGGCACTGCTCAATCTCCGCTCATCCCGCAACGCGCACAATTTCTTAATCGCCTCGTCAACCGGAATCAGCTCGCCCATCTTCTGCGTCTCTGGAATATCCCGGTTCCGAATATTCACCGATCGACCGTCCCTCTCCTGTGCGCCTACGACGAAGATGAAATTATACTGCTGTAGCTGACCCGTGCGAATTTTCTTCTGCATAGTGTTGCCGCTGATGTCAATGTCGACGTGCATCTTCTGCGCGCGGAAGAGCTGCTGTAGCTCCATCACGTAGTCGTTGACGGCAGGCATGACCGGCACGATGAGGATCTGCCGCGGCGAGAGCCAAAACGGCCATTTACCTGCCAAATGCTCGCAGAGAATGGCGATGAAGCGCTCGAAGGAGCCGTAGATGGCTCGGTGCACCATCACCGGTCTTGCGCAGCCTGGTGTAAGTTCACGGCGGTAGTGGCCCTCTTCCTTCTTCACTGCCGACGAGTCCGGCTCCTTGTCCGGCGCGCTTCGGATGACGAGCTTCTGTTCTGCTTTCGCGTCGCCGTCTGCTGCCTTGGGCTGCGACACTTCGCCGTTGACCAGCTCGCGCGGGCCGGCTTGCTCTTCGGTGCGGTACTCCAGGTTGAATTGCTGCGGCAGCTGGAAGTCGAGCTGGATCGTGGCGCATTGGAACTCACGCTTCAGTGCATCTGAGATGGTGACATCGATCTTGGGCCCATAAAAGGCACCATCACCTGGGTTGAGCTCCCATTGAGTGCCAGTCTCCGCCTTGTAGTCGTCAAGCGCTTTCGTCAGCTGATCTTCTGCGCGGTGCCACGTTGCCTCATCGCCAAGGTGATTGTCCGGCATCGTGGACAGCTTCATTCTGAAAGTGAAGCCGAACAGGCCGTATACTGTCTTGAGCAGGTCAAACAAGCCTTTGATCTCTTGCTCAATCTGGCTCTCCATGCAGAAGATGTGGGTATCGTCTTGCATGAATCTCCGTACTCTGGTCAAGCCGGTAAGTGCGCCAGATGCTTCGTTACGATGCAGAATGCCGAACTCGGCCATTCGGATTGGCAGCTCACGGTAACTTCGCTCCCTGTGACCGAAGAGCAGAGCGTGACCGGGGCAGTTCATGGGCTTCAACGCCCATTGGTCCTTCTCAACCTCGAATGTGAACATGTCATCCTTGTAGTGCTGCCAGTGACCTGATTGCTTCCACAAAGCGGAGTTGTACATGTTAGGCGAGTTGACTTCGACATAGCCGCGCTTCCAGTACTCTTCTCGGATAAACACTTGTAATGCATTGTAGATGATCATACCATGAGGGAGGAAGAACGCCGAGCCGGGAGAGAGTTCGTGAAAGAAGAAGAGTTCTTGCTCTTGGCCAAGCTTCCGGTGGTCGCGCTTGGCCGCCTCTTCAAGCATCGCTTTGTGCTCGTCGAGAGCCTGTGTGACCGTCAGCAAAAAGTACTCATGCCTCGATCAGTTTGCAACACTGACTTTCTTGTCCGGAAACGATACGCCGTACACCCGCTGTAGGCTGTCATTCTTTGCATCGCCCAGGAAGTAACTCGCGCTGTTCTTCATGATCTCAAATGCCTTTATTCGCCCAGTATTGGGCACGTGTGGTCCTCTACACAAGTCAATGAGCGGTCCGCATCGGTATACTGTCGTCGAAGTGCCGTCGGGTATCTTGTCGTTGATGATGTGCTGCTTGTACTTGTTGTATGAGAACATCTCTAGCAGATCATCTTTGCTCAGCTCAAGACGCTCAAAGGGTTGCTTCTCCTTGATTGCCTTCTCCGCAATCTGTTTCAGCGGCTTGTAGTCTGCCGCAGTCACGGCCGCCATCTCCGGAAGTGCCATCTCGTAGTAGAAGCCATCTTGCACAGGCGGACCAATACACAATGCGCAACCCCATCTTCGCTCTGCGGCCTCACCGAGGATGTGTGCGCTGCTGTGCCAGAACACCTTCTTGCCTTCAGGGTCGTCGAAGTCGAGAAGCTCCAGCTTGCAGCTCTTCTCTAGTGGTCTGTCGAGGTCCCAAAGCTCGCCATCCACCCTTGCGATCACTGTGCGTTCGAATAGAGACTTGGAGATGTTGCGTGCGATACCTGCTGGAGTGGTCTCCCAGCTTTTGCCTGTTTCTGACTTGCCATTGGGAAGCTGAATCTCAATGTTTTCTCGTGGTTGCTTGGCTACCCACTCGTCTCGCTCCGCTTTCCTTTTGTCGAAAAGCTGATTTCTCGAAGCGAAGTATGAGGGCGGTGGGGTGAGCTCTAGCGGTCCGGTGCTGGCAGCCTCTTTGGGAGCCATTGTTGCGTGACTTCTTCGCAGGGTACCGGTGTAGCTTCGAAGGTGCTTACAAGCAGAGAGAAAGCGCAGTTGAGTCACCAGCGGTCGCCAGCACGATGTCCGTTGCAGCATGCGAAGTCAGTCATTGCTCATACCTGGAGAACAGTCATTCAATGCTGCACGCGAGTCAACGCGAAACGAACCAGGCTAACCAAGCTCGGAGACTCGCTCGGCGCATCGCCACCTCTCTTCGCCTTGCGACAGCACTTACATCTACCACCAAAGATTATCTGTGCGAGCACACGTGATGGCTGGCCTTTTACCTCGTGCATCGAAGCGATTACGGCTCGCATCCTCTCCTGGCTGGGTCTGCCAATCATGCCGCCGCTCCTTTGCCGCTTCATCTCGCCTCAGCCAGCAACAACAACAACCTGCAACAAGCCAGCATGTGGGCCAAGATGAAAACAAGACCACACACTTCGGCTTCGAGACGGTCGCTGAAAACATCAAGGCTTCCCGCGGTAAGCGAACCGTCAGACTTATGTCGAACAAGTTCTGACTTTGCCTACAGTGGCGTCGGTGTTCTCGTCAGTCGCTTCTAATTACGACACCATGAACGACCTCATGTCTCTTGGCATTCATCGTCTGTGGAAAGACCATTTTGTACGCTCGCTGGATCCCGGCATTGCAACTTCACCATTCGCAGACCAGGCCAAGCAAGGCCAAACAATCCTTGACATCGCCGGTGGAACAGGAGACATTGCCTTCCGCATGCTCGACTACTGCACTACCGTCAAGAAAGACACCACGACCAGTGTTATAGTCTCGGACATCAACCCGGATATGCTCGCCGAAGGCCGCAAACGCTTCTCAACCTCCCCTTACCAGTCCGCCGGCCGTGTTAGCTTCCTCGAGGCAAATGCCGAAGACCTTTCCGCCGTGGAGAGTAGCAGCATAGACCTCTACACAGTCGCTTTCGGCATCCGTAACTTCACCCACAAGGAGAAGGCACTAGCTGAGGCTTTCCGTGTGCTGAAACCGGGTGGTGTATTTGCTTGTTTGGAGTTCACGCCTCGGTTGAGGAATCCGTTGATGAATGCATTCTACAAGCGTTGGAGTTTCGGTGCGATTCCGCTGATTGGGCAGATTGTGGCGGCGGACCGGGATAGTTATCAGTATCTCGTTGAGAGCATTGAGAGGTTCCCTTCCCAGGAGCAGTTCAAGACAATGATTCAGGATGCGGGATTTATAATCCCTGGGCAAGGAAGTGAGGGTGGTCCGAGAGGGTGGGAGGACCTGACCATGGGTATTGCGGCGATACACAAGGGTGTCAAGCCGGCGTGAGACACGTAACTGCCGTCTGCTGGACACCGATCGAAGGCTGAGCCAGTAGCATATCATGTCCATTTAGAATCGTGTACAAAAACAATATGTACAACCGCCACCTGCGCTGCTATAGCGTCAAAGATCACCGCTTGAACGCAGCCCTGACGTCTTCCCTGCTCATCTCCACCTCTACACCTTTCTCGCCCTCCGTCGGCGGCCAGATACTCCTCACAGCATTCTCCATCCTCTCGATGGTTCTCTCGTACACTTTCTCGCACTCGCCACACACAAGCGCGACGAGGTTGCGCGAGAGCTGCTCCTCATCTGCCTCCCCGAAGTGTTTCTCAATGCGTTTCTTGAGCGTCTCGATGCCCTCGCGCACTCTCTTGCTATCGTACGATGAGAAGGTGCTGCGCGCCGCTTTCCGCGAAAAGGTCGGTCGAGAGGCGATAGCAGCAGGATTGGGGTGGGAAGCGAACTGGGAATCGATAGAGTCCAAGAAGTCCTGCAGATATTGTCAGTGCCTGCAACGTTAACTTGCGCACAAGTAAGCTTACCAAAAGTGGCCCCAACGGCCTCCGTACCACACTGCCAATGTAGCGGTCGAATGCTTCCGCCCTCTCCTTGTTCGCTTTAGCCTTCCACTGCGCCAACACCACCAGCCTGCCGCCCAAATCATCGACTTCCTCCACGTAGTGATTCAGATTCTCGATGAGCATAATCTGCGCGTACAGAGCTTCCTTGTCCTCATTGTCGTCGCCCTTTGAGGTCCCGGTCAGTGCCTTCAGCCCGCCAGCAACTCCATGCGCGCCCCCACTTGCCGCCGCAGCGACACCCGATTCCTTCGCAATAGCGTGTAAGTTGTCGAAGATAGCTCTGTTGAGGCGAGTGTACGTATCATCGACCAGTCTCCGGACATCCACCATTGTATCAGCAGGCCGTTCGTACTCCTCCCTCGCCACCGTGGAGAACACATTCTCCACCGCTGCGCAGAATTGCGGAAGCGACTTGACAAAACCAATGACGCCGCCTTTTCGCTTCCTGCCACCACGCACCCGCAGCTCTTCCACAGCGCGGACCTGCTCATCCACGAACCTTGACCAAAGACTGCGAAGCTTCTCCTGCAACCTCTCAATCAGCTGCAGGAGGAAGTCCTGGCCCGTCTCCTGTAGGTAGTAGGCATGCCGGCTGAGACACGCCATCACGCCCACACCCTGCAGCGGATCATCGGCCAAGCTCCACTCCAGCATGACGCCCATCTCCGTGGCGAAGAAGGCGAATATCTCGTCCATGACAGTCTGCACCCTCTTGGCCATCTCACGGTCTGGGTCTGCTGGTTTCGGCATACGCAGATCGATGTTACGGCCTCGTCGTTCCGGAGGCGCGGCACCGACGGCTTCCAGAAAGTCCTGGGCTTGCAGTGTGGAGGCATGGAACAATTCAGCGACGAAATTCTGCTCCTGGCTCACGAGCGGTGCCATCTCGTCCATCGCACCAGCGAACACTTCCGCACCCATCAGCTGGCCGGCATGCCGGCTTTCGGTCGGGCTGCGATTGCCACCGTTTGCGTTACGCAGCGTCTTCGCCAGTGTCTGCGAACGCTTGATTGTGAGCTTCCGCGAGGCCAGAGCCACTGCACCGCCCGAAGAGCCTGAGCCATCGTCTCGTTCGGCGTGCGTAAATAGCACCTCGGCGATCTCATCTGAAGTGGGTTTTCGCACCGCCCGTTTCCAGCCTGTCAGATTCTCCTTGAACGCGTCACCGTACACTGGCTGCGCCTTGGTGGAGTAGGAATGCAACATCGTCTGCCACGCCGGAGGGTTGAGGTCGCGCACGAACAGCATCAGCGGGCCATAAGCCCATAACCGGCCACGAACAAGTTCGGTCAGTACGTCCTTGTTCAGCTTCTTGCCTCCGGAAGATGCCGGGCGCAACAATCTGCCTCTCGCTTGTTCGAAAGATGTCGCGAAGACAGCGTCGAGATGCTGCGTGAACCGCTGCACAAATGCCACGACTTCGCGCTCATACACGTCACGCCTTTCTCTCACCGCCTTCATCGAACTCAGAGTCTCGCTCGCTGACTCCTCGCCCGCGGACAAGCCACCCCTGCTGCCCGGCCGTCCGACAGCCGTGGACCGTATTGAAGGGTCGATGGTGATCATAGCCTGCCACAACCGCACAAGACTGGCCTCCACCTCGTTCAGACCCTGTACGTCGCCGAGGTCGCCACTGTGCAGAACGCGCAGCTCCCGGCCATCCAGACTAAGCGTATCGACCAGCCTCCGCAGCTCCGTGAGCAGACCCTTCTGATTCGCACTCTGGACTTGCAAGCCCTGACTCTGCGCCTCGATGAACGCGACGTCCTCGTTGAGACTACCTAGCTCGACGCTATACAGCGTCAGAAGGCCCTCCAGCTCGTCGCACTCCGCAATGGCCTTGTCAAGCAGCCCTTCCACTTGGGTTACTTTCTCACCACGAGCAACATCGGCATCGCCGCTCAACCACGATACAGCTTCCAGTCGTCCTTGTTCTCGCCGAAGGTCCGCTTCGAGCTCCGCGAGCTTCTTCGGCTCGAGCGCGCGGTCGCTCCAGCCGAAGTCTTCGAGAAGGTTTTCAAAGTCCAGGCCTTTGTCTTTCAGAATGCTCGGGTCGATGCCTAGTGCAGCAAGGTTGCGCTGATGGTAGTTGCTGCGCCGTTTGATCTTGACTTGAGGCGTTACCTTGCGGACCGCTTCCTGTTGGTCATGCATCTCTCGTTCAGCATGCTCGCCAGCATCCTCAAGCGCTTGTTGCTCAGGTGTGCGGTGTTCTGACGCCCTCGCCGCCGCCTCGTCTGTAAGCTGCACAGGCGCGCGCACGGTCTGAGATTGTTTCGAAGCTTCATCTTGGTACGGCGATGTTGGGTTCTCAACCTCGACTGTGGGCGAACGAGCCTCATCCGCGCCCTGTACTCCAAGTCCTATAGGCTCGCCAACGCTGGCCACGGGTGCTGCAGCAGCTGCCGCCATCGGATCCTCTCTTGCCGCCGCTGCGCCAGGCCTTGGTACAAAACCACTAATACCATCAACATCTGTCGTGGGTGAAGCAGCGCCGGCCTCCCTCTCCGCCTTCGCGCGCAGGATCTTCTCTGCTGCGCCTCCTGGCCGCGGTTTGAACGCGTTCGCTGTCGCCGCAGCCTTCTTGAACCGGTCACGTACAGCGTTCTTTTTGATCATTGGGCCGAGGCCAGGTCGGTATTGTGCGGAGTCATCGGTTTCGTCTTCTTCTTCCGCTGACTTGTCGGTTGCTATGACTGCTGGTGCGGTCTCAGCAGGTTGCATTTGCCGCTCCGCAAAATCAACTGGACCAGCCTTCTGGGTCGGCGGCTCTTCCTGTCCCGGAGTCGCCATCGGACTTTGTTCGACAGACGAATCATGAAATGCTCCCGGAATGGCTAGCTTCTGCTCGCGTATGTGCTGTGTTTGTTGCTGGTCGCGACTTTGACGTTTGCTTCGAAGAGCCAACGGTTTGATGTCGGTAGACTCTGTTTGCGCGGTTTGCTGCCGGGAGGCCTCATCGTCTGGCCCTCGGAAGCTGCCACTTGGCTTGAGCGGCGCCGGCCGTAGGTCATCATGCGTACCTCGCTCGTTTAATGCCGGCCGTCTTCTGCTGCGTTCAGGTGTGGGTGGCGAGCCGGGTTCTTTGATCAGTGGTGCATGTTGCGTTTGCAATGGAGTTTGCGGGGTCGTTTGGTTGGTGGAAGCAGTATCTGGGCCCCAGTAGCTTGTTAAAGCATTGATTGCGGCTGCATCTCCAAGATCGAGACCAGCAGATGAGGCAGTGCCGCCAGTCGGTGGATGCCAGATGTTCCTTTCTTGCTGATCCCCTGAAAAAGACTGAGATGTTTGGATCGGCGGCAATTGCGGCGGTCCGGCGGTCGAAGCTGGTGGCTCCAGCTGCTGTGGTTGAGGTTGCTGCAGTTGAGGTTGCAGCGGCCGAGGCTGATCCTGTGAGATGCGGTGGTTCATCCATCGTTCTTTAGTAGAGGCGAACAAGCTCGCACCGCTGGTTGGACTGACTGGTGAAGCCGCGGCGCCGTTCGCCTGATAGGCTGGCGCCGGCGGCCCAGGTTCCTGCTCAGCGTCTTGCCAGCTAAAGCGTTCTGGAGATCGTTGTTCAAGCAGCTGCTCTTCGGGCACGCTATCCACGAAGGCTCGCTGCCTGACTGGACTTGCTTGTCGCACCTTCGGGGCCGCACTGGAGGCCATTGAGCTTACGCTAGGACTATCCTCAACGCTGACGATAGATGGAGTTTGCGCGACTCCAGTTTGCAACGAAGATGGTAAGGGTGTTCGTGGGCCAGGAGCTGGACTTGTGCCTGGCCTGCCCGCATACTCTCCTCTTCGGTCTTGACTAGGCGCCCGAATTTGTTCCTGACTCGCGAATTGGCGTGGTCCACTAAGCGGAGAAGGTTGAGCTGCCTCTCGTCCAGCGGGGAAGCGTGATGATATCGGTGCTGGGCTCTGGGATTGCTGTCGACTTTGCGGACTTGGATCGTGCAAGCTCTCCGGCGGTCCAGGTGACTGCCTATAGCGGCTCTCCTCGCGACTCTGTGGCCTCTGAGCGAATGGTGGCTGCGGTGGCTGCATAGGGCTCGCATCACGACTCTCCGCTCTCATGCCAGGGGCAAGGTTTGTCTGTAACTGCCTAGCCTGCTCCGGCGGAACAGTGACACCAGGCTGCGTCAGCTGCTGCTGCGATGGTGTCTGACCCAAGATGAGAGCCTTTTCCCGCTCATCGAAGCCTTTCAACTCCGGCACGAGTCCTTTGGTGTATTTTCGATATATTTTGACCGCCGAAGCAATGAAGAAGTCCTTCTCCTTACTCGTACCGGCCTGCCAATAGTATGACTTCGCGATAGTGACCGTGAACCCAACACTGCCCGCCCAACCCCGGTACTGTGCTTCTCGATCCGTCTGAGGCGGGTATGTGCCACTGTACGTCTCGATAGCACTAAGTTCCTCCAAATTCCACGTCTTGCCTATACTAAAGCTGCCATTCGTGTTCTCGCGCGCCTTGTGCATACGCACCCGACCCGTACTGCGCACTGCAATGATGATGAGACGCGGCTTCTTGTTCGACTCGGCGCTCTCTGGGGGCGCGGGCGCCGAGGGGTACTGCGCGTCCTCTATAATACGGATATGAGTGATGTAGCTTTCCGCGAGCTGGCCATTGGCGTCAAGCTTGCTGAAGCAGGACTCGATGATGCGGCGCTTCTCATCCTCGAAGCGTTCTGCGCGCGACATGCTGGACGACCCCATGGCACCGCCGGATGCAGCAGGGAGTGAGGTCGGGTGTGGTCCATTGGACGTGAGCTGAGTGCGGCCGGTCATGGCCATGGAGTTGGTCGCGATTGACGGATTAGAGCCGTTGCTCATCGTCCCGAACCCGTTCGCTATGGGTCGCGACATGGCGGAGCAGCCACGAAGCTTCGCTCCACAGCTCTGCTGTCCTCTGCGAATGCTCTACCTCCCAGCACCTCCGCCGGGCATTGAGCACCGAGCATCTCTAACCGGCATCGAGCATTACGAACCCCGAATGGCCGGCGCCTCGGCCCGCTGTCACAAGCCCGGGTTCAGAAACATTAAGCACTTCAAAGCGAAATCTCCTGCGACGGGACTGAAACACATTCGTTCGTAGTCATGCCAAAGCGCAAGCGAGGCGACGATGTTGAGCCTCACGATTATGAAGAACGTGAAGTGCAAGAGCGCCGACGGACTGTGCGACACAAGCTAAAGCAAGGCATCGTGCATCTTGGTCATGCCTTCAAGATCGCAAAGGGCTTCGAGCGACAGAAGCTGGGTCGAAGGCGAAGAAATGCCACATCGCAGAAGGACAACAGCGAGGCGGACGTACAGCGCATCGATGCTGAGATTGTTGCGTTGAAGGTGCGGGAGCCCCTCGCTGATGCACATTATGAGCAAATGACGGCGATCGACGGCTGACAAGACTGTGCTATTGCAAGACAGGCACTTGATAATGCGACTTGTGCTCATGTGTACCTCTACAAGACGTTGTCGAGGATCAAGGCTATTGCTCAGTCGCCATTTCTGCCAGAGGATGTTCGTAAGCCGGTCACACTTTTCTCGGACGTTGCAGCTCTGAATGTGCATGCACGACTATGCAATTCGAACCCGGTCAAGGATGCGCTGCCGCCTGTTCTCAACGACGTGCGGCGGACAATGAGTTTGGAAGTACCGATACAGAACGCGCAAACCAAGACGAAGAGAGTGCGAGCCAGCGACTCCCGTGAGGCGCCCGCATCGCTCGATGGCAAGCGTGCCCCAGGCCAGAAGCCCTTAAGACGTGATGTGGCCGCCTTATCTGGAGCTCCTGCTGTTGGCGACGAAGAGAAAGTCGGGCAGACGGTCGGCGACATAGCTTCGGAGAGCGATCTTGACGAATACAATGACCGCTTAGCGTCGTCCGGAGACGACGAGTATGAAGCCGGTGGGTCTGATATTGAAGACATAGAGCGTCAGCTGGAGCAGGAAGGCATTACCCGTAAATCCAGCAGACCTTCCCAAGCCCGTTATGACCACGCGGCAGACATGGCCGTTTCCGACGACGAAGACGCCTCCAGTGCCTCGCCAACACTGGAGCCGCAGAAGGCACCTGCGCCAAAGAAGAAGTCCGCTTTCTTGCCTTCACTTTCCATGGGTGGCTATATATCCGGATCTGGCTCTGATATTGACGACGATGATATTAATGGACCACCGAAGAAGAACAGACGCGGTCAACGCGCTAGACAACAGTTATGGGAGAAGAAGTTTGGCGCACGCGCTAAGCATCTACAGAAGCAGGTGCGCGATGCTGGATGGGATCCGAAGAGGGGTGCAACGGACGGCAAGGAGCCGCGAACGAAGAACAAGAAGATCGCTGATGTTTCAAGAAGGGGTGGGAGAAGTACCGACCGTGTGAGAAGCGTCGCCAAACCAATCGACAACGGTGTGAACAAGAAGCAGAAAGATAACAGTGGACCTATACATCCGAGCTGGGAAGCCGCGAAGATGGCGAAGCAGAAGACAGCAGCTCCTGCTGCGTTCAAAGGCAAGAAAATCACGTTCGACTAGGCAGGATGGTGAGGCAGCTCGGTCTCATAGTCGGCTGCTAGTGGAAAGACATTACGCGGCTGTCAGTGGCACAGCAACTGCTGTACCAGCAAACGCATTTCGGCCATTGGTCCCACATACACCTCGCATCAGGTCCGAGATACGGCGAAGAGGTAGGTGCCGCATAACGGGGAAAATGTGCAACGGCGGCCGATTGCGCCACACAATTGACCAATCAGAGACACTTGACCCTGAATATGCTAACATATAAGGTTCGTACCGCTTGCGAGCTGCTCCACTTGTCATGTGTATTCAATCTGTCGACCACGCTTGCTGTCCAGGCAGAAGGATAACGCACATGCTGTAAGTCTATAAGTCTCCTCGAATTTTCATACTCTCTTTGGATGCATTGTAGAGACATAACTGGCGGAAAGACTTCTACTGCTCCTCAAGCCCTCTTTGACACTTGCCCCGGGGACCGAATAGATCGTCCATTTACTCCAACAAGGACCCAATCTCTGAAATTTCCCCTCGATCAGCTCTCGCGACTATGCTTTTCACGCGAGATGATGCGGGCGACAGTAGCAACACCTTCGTCTTTTACCGATACTTACCCTCGGTTGCTGCAGCCGCCATCTTCACCGTACTCTTCGGCTTCACCACCGTCTTTCATGCGTACCAACTCATACGTTCGAGGACTTGGTTCATGATTCCCTTCCTCATTGGCGGTATATGTAAGTTCGAACCTTCAGGCAGTTCATCGTCAGCGCACTTCCATTGCAGAAGCTTAGCATGCTAACACCTCGCAGTTGAAACGATCGGCTACATAGGCCGCATACTGTCTGCCCAACAGAATCCGGGTCCCTACACGCTCGGTCCATTCATCCTCCAAACCGTCCTTCTCCTCGTCGCACCCGCCCTCCTCGCCGCAAGCATATACATGCAGCTCAGCCGCGTCGTGCAGCTCCTAGACGCCGATCAAGCGCTCTTCATCCGCCGCACCTGGCTCACGAAGCTTTTCGTCACTGGGGACGTGCTCAGCTTCCTGCTGCAGGCTGCTGGAGCCGGCCTTCTATCTTCTGGCGACGGGGCCAACACGAATACCGGCAAGGCCGTGATCGTGGTTGGTCTGATTTTGCAAGTCATTTACTTCGGCCTCTTCGTGCTCGCAGCTGCCATCTTCAATGTGAGAGTCAGTCGGCACCCTCCGCCGAGATGCGCAGTTGTGCCTTGGTGGAAGAAGCACATGTTTGTGCTCTACCTCGTGTCGGTACTCATATTTATCCGAAGCATTGTGCGAACCGTCGAATATATCGAAGGATACACCGGCTATGTGATGACGCACGAAGCGTTCCTGTACGTTTTCGATGCACTGGTCATGTTCGCGGCGATGGTGGCAATGAACGTGGTCCACCCGGGAGAGGTAGCGAAAGAGTTGAGGGGAGGTTTTAGGGCTGGTGGAGCCGGTGGCATAGAGCTGAAGAATGGGGCGAGAAGTCATGTAAGACCGTGGGTGTAAAGGCTGGACAGAGACCATCAAGGTTTCGGATGGCATGAGGAGCAGCGGCGCAGACTTATTGAACGGCAGGATCGGGATCACATTGCGGTAGGAGTATTCGGGGCTGTATATACATAGACATGGGACGGTATCCGGAGCGTTGACTACCTCCAAGCGGTAGTGATTGCGTTGCCTTCTGCAGCGTTTCGTATCAAGTTTAGATTTTGCTTGGCATTTCAGCGGACCTCAGATCTACTCTACAGTAACACACCATTCAACTACCACAGTCCGCGCACATGAAACCGCCGTTCACGTCATCCATCGCGGGCTCACTAGAGGTCCACGCGTCACAACGGAGTGCACGGCGTTGTTGAAGACGAGACTTAAAATGCGATGAGGTACGCATCAGAAACCGCAACTGCACCCATCGCACGAAGATGCAGCCCTTCGAAGCTTCAACGCCCAGCGCAGCACCACGATCAGGCATGAGAAAGTCGCGAAATGGTTGCGTAGCATGCAAGCGCCGCAGAGTCAAGTGCAACGAACAGTCACCGTGCAGCGCCTGCGTCCGTCGAGGGGAGCCTTGCAGTCTCGCCACCCTTACACCCGAATCAAGTGCGCATCAGATAGTATGTCTTGTTTTCCAATGCCGTTAGCTGACGTTAGCAGCAGCTGGCGAAGACGACACTTCAGAAAATCTTCCTTCAACGCGGGAATGGCTGCAGGATATGGAACTCATGCACCACTATGGGAACGTTATTCGGGAGGAACCCTTCGCCTCAGGCCCACAAGTTGCGCACTTATGGCAAGATACCGTTCCTCAAGAAGCCTTTAAACATCCATTCCTTCTCCACGCACTCTTGGCCCTCTCCGCACTGAACCTGGCTCATCACCATGATGTAGATGCAGCCCGCTATCTGCGCCTTGCAGACAAGCACCAAGCAATTGCTATCTCTGGCTTCCGGAACGCTCTGGCCGGCGAGATTACGCTGCATATCAGTGCAGCGCTGTTCGCCTGCGCGTCCGCGATCTCCCTTTCGACGATGGCACGATCGTGTGCCACGGCTGCCACAAGAGCTTCACCACAAGGTCTGGATGTGGGAGAGATTGCAGAGCTGTTCGTCCTGACAAGAGGAGTTTTGGACTTTGTTAGCGTTGCGCGAGCCCATCTCACCCAGACACCGATGGCCGAGATGTTCGAGGGGCATTGCGTGAGATCATCTAGCGACAATCGCATTGGGAAGTTCTGACAGGTTGCAGATGCCGGAGTCAGAGGAGGGCAAGACTTCCTTGCCGGAGCATGTGCGGAAGCGCTTTCGTAGCCTCGAGGACATGATTTTGGAACGCCATCAAAAAGCACCGGAGAAGCTCTCCATCGTCACATCTGCGCTCAAATACCTCGAGCTAGTCTACCGCGATCTGACATACTTTCTAAGAGTAGGAATGATCGAAGTTGGTGCAGTGTGGCGCTGGACGGTCAGTGGGATTGTCTCGAGCTGACTGCGACATGGCTAACACACACCGAGCAGACTATGGTCGATCACAAACTTGCGGGCCTGATCATCGATCGAGATCCGCCCACACTGATACTAGTCGCTCACTATGCTGCTGCAACAGTGAGTGCTCGGGAGTCGTGGCCTACAAGGCAATGGGGTGTCTATGCTCTTCAAGGCCTTAGCGAAATGCTCGACGACAACCTGCAACATTGGCTGGACTGGCCAATGCGACAGATTGACGATAGACTAGCATCTCTTCTCGATTCTGATTGACCGCTCGTACAAGAACGTATTGGAAAGACATGGTTCACAAAGCTGAGCATCTCCGGAAGCGAGGACGCAATTAAGACCGTAGTCCGGTGACGAGTCACTGACGTCCGCACCCGCTGAATGGTTATTGAGACAGAGTCCATTTGCTACCGCTTGCTCCAACGGCCTGAGACTCAACGGCTTCGCTTACGCAAGTTAGCTGGGGTTTTGTGTAACCACCACCCACCTTGACCCACTCACGTGCTGCATGCAGCTGCAGCTTCCCACCTACCTGGTCAGCATTGCATCCTGTACGACACAGCAACAGTGGGTACGAGGCGGCAACCGACGTCGCCGGACCCAGCTCTGCTGCGAGGCATTGATGCAGCTTTAAAGCCTGCGTAACGTGACGAGCGTCCCAACAATGGTACGTGCAGGCGGGTTCAACGACTGGCGTGGAAGAGGTTCTGCAAGACCTTGAGTTTACGAGAATGAAGTCGTGCACTTGCTGCTGCTGGCCGTTGGCCAGGCATACCGTTGAGCTTACATGGCTGCTTGCAGGTGTATGATCTCATGGCCGCCAACAATGGTGGGATCCGTGTGAAGGTGGCAATCAATTGACAGTGGGAGGATGTTCGTGCAGACGCAACGTGGTAAGGCAGCACAGAATGGGTAGGTATGTCGTACACTCCATTACATAGTTCTCTTCACACTTTGTCCTGTGCTAACCCCGACTATCCAGCCGCCGGGTATGTACAAGTGAGAGTGTTGCAAAAGTTGCCAAAGCCGCCAAAGCTAGATAGTCTGCGATATGGACAGGTATGTCCGTGGTAGGCTGTTTTTTGAGCCAATCCAAAATCTGCCGTGATTGGCCTTATGCCAAAGTCCATCAAACAATTCCGAAATATTTAGAAGCATTTCTGGTATCATGGTGTACAATATGCTGCCCCTGAACGCAGAACGCCATGCTAAGCAGAGAAGAGACCTGATGGTTGCCGTGCTGTATCGGCTTCTCGTATGTGGGGGCTCACATGCCCATTGCCTCGATTCTGTGGTGAAACTGTGCTTTCTCGATACTCCTCGTCGATCGTTCTGACGTCAGCGAGGTCGCACAAGTTAGGTCACGAGGAGGGTGCGTGACCGGTAGCGGCGAAGTCGGCAGAGGTGGAGGTGGTGGCGGCGGACTGTGAGGGCTTGATGTTAGGCAAGCTTCCCTGATATAATGGTGTCAGGGTGGATGCTCATACCTATTATCAGCGAAATGTGATTTGGTCCGCAACAGATTCACCACGCTTCTTCCAAACTTGCGCGCTTTGACGCTTGGTGTTGGATTACGTGAAAACATGCTCGCATCTTCTAGCTCGCGCACTTTGACCTCCGCATTGTTGGCAGCCATTTGCTGCGCTTGCCGCCGGATTTCCTCTTCCCATGGCTTGCGCATCTTGATATAGTCTTCTGGTTTGAATGGGGGGTACTTTGCACGTTCCGGCTCAGTGGCGGCAGGTGATTGGTGGTGCTGTGGCTGCGGCGCCACATCTGGGGCCGCGACCACCGTAGTACCGTTGCTTGCAGTGGTAGGTAGAGCTGGGCTTGGCGGTGCGTTCTGGGATCCGGGCACGAAAAAGGCGTTAGGTATGTCGAGTGGCGTCAGTTGGCCGTTTGGTATGGGGGACCCGGGTGGCGATACTGAAGTCGGTTGGCCCGGGGCTTGAGCTACGAATGCTTCGTTCACGCTGTTACAGTATTGCGAGTCCAAGAAGCGAAGTAAGGTCTGGACGTCCGATGCAGTGCTCATTGCACCCAGGCTGATGCGCACAACGCCTGTAGGCTTTCCAAGCATGATCTGAACAGGGTTTGAGCAGCGGTGGCCAGATGCGAAAGCTGCCTTCATTTCAGCAGGCGACCAGTTTAGATAGGTCGCCATACCGCCCGGATTGCAAAGAGAGCCGCTTCGGACGAAGATATTGTGGCCGTCCGCCGCTTCTTCCACTTGAGCATACGGTACCAGCGACCCATCTGCATGTTGGACGTTAATGGAGATTGTTGCTCCTTGCACGGAAGGATCGCCATAGACAGCACCTTCGTCTTTGTATATCCGGCAAAGAGGCAAACCGTTCGCATGTTTGAGGCCTGATAGTCCATTGTAAAGATACTTTGCCAGTTGTGCGGTGTGATGTGAGATGAACTTCATCGGATTCGCGCCGTATAATCGCTCATGGACGTTCATGGCGTGGTCTAGTGCGAAAATCGAATGAAATGGTAACGTGCCGTCTTCGAGCCGATCATGAATCGCAGTGTCCTTCTTCGCATGCCACGTATCGTTCACGGTGATAACCATCTCGACGGTACCACCACCAAAGTACTTTCGGTTCTCCAGCACGTGTGCTGAGGCCTTCCGTACTATAAGCGCGCCTATATTTGGAAAGCCGAAAATCTTGTAAAACGACAGCGCCACGAAGTCAGGTGCTGTCGATGCGTCGGACAAATCGAGTGGCGCTGTACTTGCAAGTGCAGCTGCATCCAGAAGGGTGTATGTGGCTGCTTTGTGAAACGACTTGCGGATGCGTCCGGGCCTGCGTCACATTAGCATATGTTGACTTCGGTGAAACCTACTAGATCAGACGTACCAGCTCAAGGGGAGTCGTCGGCCAGTCATATTGGACTGGCCGGGATATGCGAATAAGCCAAATTGGCGTGGTCGAGGCCCGCCTAAACCTCCGCTGTTAATCCAAATATCGACTTCCTCATCGCTTGTGAAACATCGGTGCATCTTGGTCGATTCCCTAACTCCGACTATTGATGTGTGCGCGTCTTTGTGGTACCCATACCATACCGGTGTATTGCTCGTTGCTGCGTAGTCACGAAAACACTCGATGACCATCTTGATCGCGGCCGTCGCATTCGCAACAAACACCAAGTCAAACTCGTCAGGGTCGGCGTTGAAGAATCGAAGTGCACGTTCTCTGATGGCATCCACTCTGTGGCCTGACAATGCTGATGGAGACGACGCTGAATGCGGGTTGCCGTACAGATTCGAGATAAGGTCTGCGGAAAACTCCTCCACCAACGACTTCGCATAGAGCTAGTATAAGCAGTCAGTGAGGGAACTGCCGCTCTCGCCACGCTTACATACCGTGGTGCCACCATGATCGAGATACGTCTTGCCCTTCAGTTGAGGATACTCGCGATCTCGGAAGGCCTCGACATCATCCGGCGTGTCTTCCACGCCGGAGACGGAATCAGCAGGAGAAGTGAGTTCGGTCATGTAATCATATTCAGGCTCCGAGTCACTGCCTGAAGACTGCTCCTGGGCTCGTATTTCTGGCGGGAAGAGATCGGTTCGCGGCGAGTCTCGAGATGACGTGCTGGTCGATTTGAAGCGCTTTGGGGGGGAGACGTCGGTAGTATCAGATATTTGTACAGCGTCCAGTATGTGTGCTGGTATGTCCATGACAACGAGGCTTCCAGAGCCACAAAGAGCAGTTTCACTATCTCCAAGAAATCATGATCAAGGGAAGGTGTTCCGGAGGTCGATATGGTGCCGAACTGCGGCAGTCCTCATTCAATCCAAAGTATCTTCCTGCCGGCCAAAAGGGTTGAGTGAGCGTCGTGAATATTGCAAGGTTGATACCAGATTGTCGGGCGTTCTCTCGAGGCGAATAGAGATTGTGAAGATGCAAAGGTCGCCGTTCCCAAGGTCGAGAGTCTGAGCACTCAAGGTGCGGCCGGAGGTCAGAACCAGGCACATCTATTGGCAGATCGATTGACTGAGAGCGCACCAAAAATGGATGGAGCTTGCGGCTAGTGGGAAAGCCGCTTGCGACAACCGGCGATCCCTAGGACACTTTGGGCTGGCGCCACGCCTGCCGAGCTCTGGCTATGTTCAGGGGATTGATCAAGTTCCGCGGCCATAATCAACTTATATTGGTCGCCGATCATATTGCGGTTCGCTATCCACCGGTGACAATTCAATGATGGTACGGTGTGTAGTAGGTGAGTCTACTGTCTAACCAATTGATCACCTGACACATTGGGTTCATTGGGATACCGCGGACAAATGCCAAATCTCTGCCGCGGTTACGTATCGATGAAAGGGTGTCTCATAAGCTTATGGTGCATGTAAGAGCAGCAACGTGGCTCCTGCGAATATCCGGACAGCGTGGTAGCACCACAACGCTCCCTCATAGAGTCTCACGTAATTGTCTGCATCGGCTCTGTATGTGGAGAAGTGATCTGCACCAGTAGACAGAAGCGAGACGGCGACCAAACAGACCTGCCGGCATTGTACAGTACCTTAACCCATCAGGGGCTATGGGTGCAGCTTTGCTTCACGGAGATCAAGCGACCAAGTCCCGCAAAGCAGGCACAAGCTGAATTGTGGTATCCACGCGGACATGGCATTCGTAGGGGGGAGCCTGGTAGCGTCGCAGAAGTGTGGCAAGACTTTGCATGTCACTGCGGCCCACTCCTCGGCTGGCAAACATGGTATACAAATTGGCGGAGATTTGGTCGGCGTCTATGGCAAGCGTGGAGCGACAACGGCGTGCTGAACCGAGTTTTCTGCTTTCCTAGTCAAGAAGTTGGCTCCGGAGCCACCCTTTTGACAGGGGACGCGGTGATCCGCAACCTCAGCACAGATGCTGTAGACGAGTGGCACAGATCTCGTATGGGAGCGCACGGTCAACGGGCGTTAAAGCATCCTTCCAACGGTTACCCGCATGCACGGCAGCCATCCGTGCAGGTGAAATACGTTTGAAGCTGCAGACAGCCACCATACTCTGTGATACAGCATATGCCATTCAGCTCGAAGGCTCTTGGTCTCCTCACGTCATGAGGTAGCCTCTACGTAGTGAGTCGGTCCGGATCAAACCCTCTCCTGAGACCTCATTGTCCGGTAGCTTCTGGATTTCGATATAGGCTCCTTTTAGACCTTGAGACATACGCTTGGCGCTGCAGGTACACCCGATTGGCATACGGCTCGCTTCGACCCTAAGAAGTCGCCGTTCCAGGGTTTCGTCTCAGAACAGGGGAAGAAGTCCGCGCCCCTGCCCGAGGGGGACTAGCGCAGCAGGGATGCGTCGCGGCCATGCAGCACTGGCGGTGCGCTATTCGACCACTTACCTTCCACCTGTTGAGCTTCCCAGAAACATTTCGGCACGCCCAAACGACTTGTGATCTCGAACGGAGCTGGGTTGCCCGGAAAGGAGGGCTGGGTACATGCAAGAAACGGGAGAGCTGGTCGGCGAGTCAAGTCTAGCGATCTGTAAACTCTTTATCCGCCACCCACCGTATGGAAGCCCACCGGGCCCGACCTGTCTGTGCTATGTTCCCCGTGACAGTACCTGGCGTCGATCGATAATATCCCCTCCCCACCCTCGTTGCACTGACCTGCCCTTCTCTTGTCAACGTCCGCCATCGTGCTGCCACTCTCTCCTTCACTGCTGCGTGCCGACCAGCAAACATTCACTTGCGCTAGCCTTCAGTCACTCATTGTTTGCCATCATCACGAGGAAGCAGGTCTCCCCGTTAGTCGTTTCTAGCACTATATCAAGGGTGCCACCCTTAACGTCAACCAACCTGGCTCTCCCGACCGCGATCGCGGATCGCAAAGGTTACGACAAGATGTCAGACATCGAGAAGATGATCGGTGGCGACTACGCCCAGCTCACAAACACCAACATTCGCAGCTTCGGTTGGAAGGGAGTCACAGTTACGGTCAAAGATCGACAATCACAACAGCCAAAGACGATCCTCTCAGATATCAATGGCATTGTCAAGGCGGGCGAGCTGCTTGCGCTCATGGGACCTTCGTAAGTATAATACTGCGCTGGCGCTGTGACTCCATTCACTGATAGCGCTCGCAGCGGTTCCGGCAAGTCTACTCTCCTGAACGTGCTTGCCCACCGCACAGCTACTCTGGCAGCTAGCGTCCGGGCAGCCATCTACATCAATGGTGCACCGGCCAACCCCAAAACTTTCCGCCGCATCTCCGCCTACGTCGAGCAAGAAGATGCGTTAGTAGGTTCGCTCACCGTCCGCGAGACGCTGAACTTCGCCGCCCGCCTGTCGCTGCCGAAGGCTGTCAGCAAGCTTGAGCGGATCCAGCGCATCGAGGCACTCCTTACAGCTTTCGGTCTTCAGAATCAGGCTAACAACCTGATTGGCACACCTATCAGGAAGGGTATCTCCGGTGGTCAGAAGCGTCGCGTGAGTGTCGCTTCGCAGCTGATCACGAGCCCAAAGCTCCTCTTCCTTGACGAGCCGACTTCAGGTCTGGACTCTGCTGCCTCGTTCGAAGTCATCTCCTTCGTCAAGGACATCGCAAAGAAGCACAATCTGATTGTGATCGCGTCAATCCATCAACCGTCTACGTCGACATTCGCCATGTTCGACAAGTTGCTGTTGCTATCTCAAGGTGGCACCGCATACAGCGGCCCGGTGTCTGAAGTCCAGCCATACTTCGATGCCTGTGGCTTCCCCATTCCTCTATACATGAACCCAGCAGAATTCATCATCGACTTCGTCAACACCGATTTTGCTCGCGACCGTAGCGAAGTTGATCAGCAGCTGAACATGGTTCACTCGTCGTGGCATAAGTCAAGGCTTGCCACTGCAACCGTGACAGAGCTTACGGATGAGATGGCCCGAAACTCGATGGACACTGATGTGAACGCCGAGGCCAGAGACGACTCTGCCGGCGCAGTCGCGATCCCGTTGGCGCTTATTCACCGCTCGTTCATCAAGTCTTACCGAGATATCATCGCCTACGGAATTCGTATTGCCATGTACATGGGTCTGGCTATCATGATGGGCACCGTGTGGCTACGCCTGAACCCGACCCAAGGCAATATCCAATCTTTCATCAACGCCATCTTCTTCGGCGGTGCCTTCATGTCCTTCATGGCTGTCGCATACATTCCCGCTTACTTGGAAGATCGCGCACTTTTCATCAAGGAGCGTGCCAACGGTCTCTACGGTCCGACCTCCTTCTTGATCGCCAACTTCGTCACGGGCATTCCTTACCTGTTCCTGATTGCCATGCTCTTCTCCATCGTGGCATACTGGCTATCGAACTTCCGGCCGACGGCTGAAGCATTCTTCACCTGGGTCATGTGGCTCTTCTTGGACCTGCTGGCGGCCGAGTCGCTGGTCGTCCTCATCAGCTCTATCATCCCCATCTTCGTTGTTGCGCTTGCTGGCACTGCTTTTGCCAACGGTCTCTGGATGTGTACTGGTGGATTCCTCGTCCCACCCCAGACGCTGAACCCCTTCTGGCGATACGTTTTCCACTACATTGACTACCAGGCATACGTAAGTTGACGTTTCACCTTCATCATCGTTCCATGCTAACAAATGCTCCAGGTCTTCCAAGGTATGCTCACGAACGAAATGTCCAGCCGGAACTACACCTGCGCCGCCAGCCCCACTGCCGCCAATGGTTGCACCTGCATGTATCAGTCCGCACTCGAGAGCGAGTGCAAGATTGCCGGAACTGCTGTCTTGAAGTCGTACGGTTACGGCCCTGGCAATAACACTGGCAGACTGGTCGGGATCATGATCGGAATTATTGCAGGCTACCGTACGTTTCTCACACTAATTGGCCAAGTACGCATCAGACAATGCTGACCTACATGCTAGGAATCCTTGGGTGGCTTGTCCTCTACCTGCGAAGGACGTGAGAGTAGGTCACACGAGTCGTGGGAATGCAAGCGTTTTCTTCGACAATTGTATATTGTAGGGTGGAGGAGTCATGCCGAGACGGAACAAAGTACCGCATGACGGAAGTACAAGGAATAATGACTATCCTTGAACATAATTCAGGGCAGAGTATGTGTCCTACGGGGCTGTCTCTCTGGCCAGACATCAGGGTATGCTACGATTGGCGTTGGAGGCTGGCTACTATGTTGGGCAGCGGGTGTAAAGGATCGCCGAACGTTACTCGATACTGTCTTATAAGAGCTGATTACCGTATATGGTATTGTCATACCAGCATACTATATTCCTTGTGTCAGAATGCGGCATCGCCATTCGTTCGAAATGCCGCAGCTCTTCCATTGAAGCATACAGTGAGCTCCTCTGCCACCCGCCAAGATCCAATTCAGCCGAACGGTGCATACGGCAATCATCCTCCTCGCCTCATGATACTTTCACATACATATTGCGCGTTTTGGAAATCAGGCCTTGTGATGAATTCGACTGCGGCTGCGTCAAATGAGACTAGGGTGCATCACCTGCAGGTTATGCAATGCGAAACGGCCGGGGAGCAGACAAGTCAGGAAGTAGCCCGCTGCAGTTGTTCGAGAGCCGTTGACAATCGTGCTTCTAGAGCCGCTCAAACACTTGGGATCGTTGCTGCCCAACGCTGGCTCCATGGCACCGCCTGATGCAATCCTTGAACCTGCGACGAGATGTGGAGACCATGTCGGTGCCGTAAATGCACCAGCCACCAGATGCTCAATTGCCGCAAACACATCTCAACCGGGCACTCGGCAGCACCGCAGCACGCAAGTTTGGCCCTTGCTCATCTTACGAAAGACGTGTGCTGTGCACCTGGTAGGCATGAATGCATCAATCCTCCAAACTTCAGCAAACACGCCAAGGCGGGTCGCGTGGTCGAAGCATGATCCGGCATCATAAGACTTTGACTGCAATCCTCACGTCCACAAGCCCATCCCGCCTTCTATTCTGCCACGGCTTGTGACGGCATTGGAGACGCGAGAAGAAAGTGTCCAAAGCTTCCTTCGGCAGCAGCAGAATGCCAACGTGCGCGTGCAAGGAACCGGACCTGCTCTCCGTTAAGAAAGCAGTGTCGCCCTTGAAGCACGGTCGCTGCTAGAGTCTCACTGCGACTCATGTCACTGTCGCAGGATCTTAGACGCAAAGTCTATGCGACAGCGTTCGAGGTCCTGCTAGTCCTGCTCACTGTCCGCCCCCATAGTACACGACAGGTATATAGTGGCGAATCGCAAAGCCCGTGGCCACTGCCCTTCACTCACCACGTGAAACCGCCGATTCTGTCTGCTACTTGAAGTGCCCCGGGGCACTAGGCTCTTGTATTCTCAGGCTTACGTTCTCCAGTCATTCTCAGCGATGGACAATGCAGTACCACAAGGCGCTCGGGCAGCTTGCATTGCTGTCGCCGTGTATTCAGTTGTCTGTCTGTTCTTGGGCCTCTTGCTGTTCGTCTTACTCTACGCCGACGGCCACGGAACAAAATGTGAGTCTCGCTGTACAATGGTTTGTATATTCAAAACTGATGTCGCAGATGTCACGCTACTCGCCATCTGTGTCTCCATCAACTCAGTCGCCTCGATCATGCAGCAGGTATACTACGCTTTTCAGTGGCGGCAAGTCAAGAGTACACAATTACAACAAGCGAAACTCAGCCTCCAGGAGCCTTACCTAGCTGCTAGTTCGCTCACCACAGGCTTCAACCTCGCGTGCGTAGAGATTCAGCTTTACTGTTCCACGTTGGTGGCGGTGTTTGCTATGTGCTGGTGGGTTTCCTCGCCTCTTTTCTTCTGTCACCGGGTGTGCACACAGCGTCGCCATTGTGCTCGAGCTCAGGGAGAGGCAGAAGTCGGGCGCGCTTACTCGTTCGTAGGGCCACCGCGTTAGCGAAGAGCATATACAACCTGCCATTGAAGTCCTTGACCGGCTGGGAGGGTGCCATTTCTGTCTGTGCAAAGATCCTAGCAGTGACATTAGCTGCTCTATTCCTTGGACTCTCTTATGCTGAGCCAGTCAGGCGCAACGTGGTTGCGTTTGTTGCACTCCGGCATGTACTAAGTGAGTCATCATGCCTCCGCGGAGTGGCACACGTTCGAGCACTTACATCTGATGTAGTCATTGCCAGCTTCGCTATAGGCATCGTGCTAAATATCATGATTATTGCCAAATACATTCACGTCAAGCACACCTTGAAAGGCATGCAGGACTCAAACACATTCGGCACAACAAGCTCGGCCTCCCATCGACACTGTTCACGTACCCGCCCTCTCAGGGGCATGATCGACAAGGTGCTGCTACTTCGATTCTCTATTGGCTTTCTGATCTTGCTTGCATACGAAGTCATGATAATCACGTTCCAGTTTACCGGGACTCGGAGGGCAGCACGCCTCGCCAAACAGGACGAGCCGGACTTTTTACTGTCGACATGCGTGACGGACATTGTTCTCTCCTTACCGATTGTGTCCGGCAGCCTTGTGCTGTTTGCTTTGTTCGGAACAACAGCTCATTTTCGAGAACGCTACTCTGCGGCTCTTCGGACGGCGTGCTGTTGTTCCAGGACCCGAACACAAGACCGCCGAAGAAGCGACGAAACTGTCAATATGTGGCAGTCGCTGAACTCGCTTGAGCCGAAAAGTAATGAGAGGCTCTCCGGCGATGCCAGAGCTAGCAGTGAAGGAGAAACTAGGTTCGCCGCCATCATGCGCGATAGCAAAGGGTTTTTTAGAGTCCACACGACAGATGGTAAGCTTGCGCCGCACAAGCAACTCACTCAACCTTGGCGGAGTGTGGGCTTGCCGCAGCCTTGATTTTCGTACATGGCTGAAAGACCATATGCTGAGTGCACTCGGAGTTCTCCAGAATTACTACAGAAGAAAGGACCATGCTTGTTCCGCCAGATGGGTTCGGGTTGGGCACATATGAGGCACGCTGCGGTAGCCGCAGGCATTCGCTACGGCAGACCAATCAGAGCGACGACTCGTCGATTGCGGACCGCGAGACGCGAAACAATGTTCAGAGTTTGGACAGCTGAAAAGTGTCACTGTCAAGGCAATATCGAGTCTTGGGAGTTTGTTGAGCACATTTTCTCGGCACGTTATGAGGAAGCAACTGCGCGTTGACGCCCTGGATGATCAAAGATCGCATCCGAGCTTTACCGCACATGACTGACCGACCTCTGCTCCCTCCGCCTAGTTTTCGGACGACTCAGCAGTCTCCACATCGGTATGGTGAACACTACCCTCCCACTCTACGCTCTGCATTTTATAAGTTCTGGATGTACCTTAGGGCCTACGGCGCCGCGGGCAGGCCAGCCGAATGCGCCTTGACAATGCTGTCGCGAGTCGGCGCTGGCAAGCTGATATAGTGCAGATGGCTCAGAAGCTGTTGTGGCAGTGCGTTCATACTGGTAGAGTGATTCAGCTCGGGAATGGGAATGCTCTTGAGCAAGTTAATCAGGTCAGCCTTTCTCGTGGTCTCCGGGAGCTTCAGCCGAGCAACGTGATCGCGATACAGCCTCTCCCGATCCTTCTCTGCCATTTTCCTCTCATTCATCACAGGCTCGCGCTTCCACTTCCGCTTGAACTCAGGCCAGTACAGTTTCGGCGTCGCATGTTCCGCCAGAAATGAAAGGTACGGTGCACGAGGATCCTGCTGCTCCATCTTCGCTCTCTCATCCTTGATCCGCGCCGCTTTCTCCCGCGCCCAGTCGTCCCAGACTTCTTTCCTTGCGCGCATGGTGGGCAGGACGGTGTAGCGGTCATCGTTCAGGATACTGTTTGGGCTGGTGTCGGCGATGAGACGATCCCAGGGCGTGAAAGGAGAGATGCGGTAGTCGTCAAGAAGGTCACGGAAGAGGTATTTGGCGTCCTCATCAGAGATGGCAAGTCCTTCCTCCTGTTCAGTTTGGTCGTCTTCCTCGTCACCGTATTCGTCGGGCTCCAGGCCGTAGTCTTGGCCCATAGCGGCAAGTTGATAGGCGATGTCGTCCTCGCCGAACTCCACTGGTTCGGTGTCCTCCACCTCTTCTTCCACGGGTGCAGCCTGGCCGTTTGCGATCGTGGGTGCATCATTCTTGTGGTCTTCACCTTCACTCTCACGTTCCGTGTCCGTGACCTCGATGTATTCGTAGCTCCCATCGCTGTCATATCCGGTGTCACCAACCTTCGGTTCGAGAATCTTAACCACGTGCTTGACATCCTGCTCCTCCGCATGTTCCGCCTCAGCCGCCAACTCCGCCATCATCGCCTCCTCGTCCTCCCGCTGCAGACTCTCGCTTCTTCGCTGCCTGGTCCCAATTTCTTCCTCGTCAGCCTTAGCGTTGACCTCGCCAGCTTTGCTCTTGTCCCTCATCTTCTCGAGTTCCTGCTCCGCCCATTTCGCGTTTGCATCTTTCTCGCGCTGCGCCCTTTCCCATTGCTCGAACTCCTTAACCGCAGGCCAGACATCCTGCGGTACTCTCCACAAGCTCTCGCGCGTCTTGGTATTATGCACGAAACGGCGGCCGAGCTTCGTCTTGACTAAGACCCAAGAATCGTGGCCAGGAAGAGCATGTTTAGTCTTAGGGCGGTCTTGAGCATTACGTTTGTCGAAGCGGGCGTCCCTGTGTCGTGGGTGCTGGTGCTGCTCGTGATCCGCTCGTAGTCGGTTTGGCGTGGTAGAAGGTAACCCATTCTGCTCGTTGCCATACCCGTAACGGTTGCCTGAGTCTTGTGCTTCGTCTTCCGCTAACGAGACAAAGTCGTCACCTTCGGCTGCTAGAGATGCCTTGAACCGCTTGCTCGGCGCCTCCATGTTGTGCTCTTGGCCCATCGTAAGGCGGTTGCTAAGAAATATGTCGGTAGCGTGAGGTTGCGAGGGTAGTGATGCGGACAAGCTTCAATCAATGTCCGGGCCAACCTCTACAAAATCAATCAATATTGCATGAAGTCCGTGCGCGGAAACGCAGCTCCAAGCTCGACGCGCCAGCAGCTCTGCCTTGTGTCGCACATCGACTGCGTCTCCCCACACAATATCTCCTGCGCTGAACAAGCACGATAAAAGCTTTCATAGTGGTTGCGAGCGTATTCGAGAATTTACCGTCACCATGTCGCGCCGCTACGATTCCCGCACGACCATCTTCTCGCCCGAAGGCCGCCTGTACCAAGTCGAATATGCTCTGGAAGCCATCTCACACGCCGGTACCGCATTAGGGGTCCTCGCAACCGATGGCATTGTCCTGGCGGCAGAGCGGAAGGTTACGAGCAAGCTACTAGAGCAAGATACCAGCGCGGAGAAGCTGTACATACTGAATGAGTACGCAATAGCACACGATCACAGTAATTGATTAGACCGTTTGACTAATGATGAGTGTCTTAGCAACATGATCTGCGCGGTAGCAGGCATGACCGCCGACGCCAACATCCTCATCAACTATGCCCGTCAAGCCGCCCAACGCTACCTCCTCACCTACAACACCGATATCCCCTGCGAGCAGCTAGTGCGTCGCCTGTGTGACCTGAAGCAAGGCTACACCCAACACGGTGGTCTACGTCCCTTCGGCGTCTCCTTTATCTACGCCGGCTGGGATCCGCAACGGCAGTTCCAGCTCTACCAATCGAACCCCTCAGGCAACTACGGCGGGTGGAAAGCGACCAGTGTAGGTGCGAATAATGCGAGTGCGCAGAGTTTGTTGAAGCAGGACTACGATGAGAACTGCGATCTGAGGCAGGCGTGTGAGCTGGCGGTTAAGGTTCTAAGTAAGACGATGGACAGCACGAAGTTGAGCAGCGAGAAGATTGAGTTTGCCACCGTCGGGAAGACGAAGCAGGGCACCATCTACCACCGATTGTGGGGTGCGGAAGAAATCGATGCACTGTTGAGGGAGCATGGTCTGGCGAAGAAGGAGAGTGAGGAGACGACGACAGAGCAGCGTGTTGGCAGCGCTGGCTATGCGGAGAACAGGCCGGAGACCTAGAGGACGGTGAAGTGGGAGGTGAATGTAGGATGACGTGCATTGTAAGATACCGCTACTGCTGCATCAGCGAGGCGTCAGGGTAGGGTCACGTGCGTAGTTGCCCCGATGCCGATTACGGAAGGAGCAGCACCCAGGCAGCGCGCGAACACGATCAAACGAAATTGGATCGAAGAAAGGAGATCATTACTTTCACATCTCCATACAGTAAGTCCACATTTACTCAACCGCTGTGACATTGTTATTGCCTGGTTGCCGCAATCTCTTGGTTAAAAAGCATAGCAATAATGGCGCAGAACTTATATCACTTCACAGCGCCGATTGCGCCAATGTGGCCATTTGCGGGAAGTGCATCAGGTGCTCTGGCGCAGCATCAACCGAGTCCGAATGGGGCTCCTTCGCCTAGAGAACTGCAACCTCTCAACTCTCCGCCACACGGATCGGATCCGGCGACGCCACTGCGTCCAAGCCGAGCAAAGCAGCCTCCATCCACGCGCACAAGGCGAAAATGGCGTCGAGCAGACAGCGACGACTCTTCGCAGGCCTCCTTCGCACCGTCTGAGCGACTGCCATCACCGGCAACATCAAGCCCGCCCAAAGCGGACACGCCACAGACCAACCGCTCGCTCAAGCAATCCCGTGCGCTAAGGTCCGATGCGCAGGCAGTGGCCAGCAATGTAGAGGTGGTACCTGCCATACCTCGCATCGGAGTCTCAGCAGCCGGAATCGATCTGAACTCGACACTCGCCAACCAAACACCGAACTTCAGCTTCGTCGATGCCGACCTGTACCATACTGATATTCTCGTCTTCGGCTGTACGAACCCACTCATGACATGCCTGCTCATCAAAAGATTTCTCCTCGAGAAGTTCGCTTCTGCGGCTGTCACGACGCCTAGCTTGCTGCGCATGGAAAGCCAAGACCTTTACCAAATTCGATCCAACGAGACGCACTATCTTGTTCTGCTGGAAAGCGCTGTGCATATGAATGCTAACCTCGGATTGCCATTAACCGTGTACGCGCTGATCAACAAACAAGATCACAAAATCCGCTGGTTCTATAGCATCTTCCGCTCCGGAAACGTGCTCAAGTCTCTATCAGAGCATGGCTGCCTTACAGAGAGCGTCAAGAAGCTCCACGCTCATTCAATCAAGCACAAACGCCTGCTTGTCTTCCTCCGCGAAGCCTTTCTCAATGCCGCACGCATTCCGGACGCACCCGACTACCTCGAGGCACAAAAGTTGACGGACTACGCTCTTCCAGTTGTGGACCCGGAGACGGCCTTCAACCGCATAGCAGCAAATGAAGAACTAAACCGCCGTACCCACCATCCCGATCTTACGCTTGGGCCGGACCGCTACGCACGCCTACTTGAACCAGTGGAAGCGTTTCTGGCGCTGAACTTCGAGATGACATGCGCGGCTTACTTGTTGGCGAAGCGACGCTTCTATTGCGCGTTTTGGAAGGACCTAGTGATGGCCCAGGACACGATAGGTGATGGGCGACGCAAGGTCAGGTCCGAGGCGGCGCATGAGGCATGGTTGGTGCAAACGTTGGGTTGGAGGGCGAGTAGGGCCAAGAGGATTGTGTTGGCGTGGAAGATTCTTGGCTTGCTTCAAGAGGATAGGTATCTTGACTGGTTGAAACGGGGCGGGATGTTTGAGGAGGCGTAGGGTACGAAGACAGAAATGGCGGTGCAGGTCAGGGTTACGGTGTGGACGTGCGAGTGAATGAAATTGGGGATTGATATGGATGCCCGTTGCGCTAAGCTTTGGCGATTCGACGTAAAGCATCTTCCCGAGCACGCCTTTCACCAACATGATAACACTTCGCAACAAGCCCTGCCTTCTTAACGAGCCGCTCTGTACAACGTTTGTCGACACTTCGATCCGAACTGTCTTGCGTTCCGCGTCCAGCGCACGCTCGACCTACCTTCCCCTTCAGGTTTCGCACTCCTTTGAGGTAGCCATCTCACGCATATGTCATGCCAAATACCAACCATCCCCATACCGCGCCTATCCTGGTACAGGAACCCGACCCACCTCGCTTCACCATCCTTCTCCACAGTCGACGAGCCGTTCGTCACTAAGAATCTTGACGCCGAGCATGCCGCCATCGTCGAGAAGCTCGCAGGCCATGTGAGGGACTGCAACGAAACGATAGGCCAAACAGACAAATATTAGCCCCGCGTGCAGCTCGAGTCTGATATGGCCACCATTGCCGCTCTTGAATTGGAGAATATATTGCTCAAGGCTCCCATCAAAAGCGAGAAGCAGGAAGGGTTGCGATGTGCTTCATTCGACCAGCCGTGGGTGCATGGTATCGGTCCGAAAGACACCCTTTACCTTTTTTTGCAGCACCTAATGCAGCACAATCTTCTTCCCAGCTTCCGTAGCGTCCTGCAAGTGTTCGATGTATAATCCGGTGACATCGCTATGGCCGAGGTTGTTGGGTAAGATCCACATTGTCTTACTGACGTTCATGAGCTCATTGTGGTGGCAGTCTTGGTACTGCCCAGAATGGAACACGAAGAGCTGGGTATGAAGGTGTTGAAATTACGGTGATGCGGTATGTTTTTGGCACCAACGATGGGCAGGATGGCGTACTTGTAGTAAGTGGCGAGCAATGTCGGCTTTGGTTCCGCTTGACTGCAGATGGACTGTATGCGGTGGGAGTATGGGTTTGCCGCATGTGTCTCGGATACTTTGTTTTGCGATGCCGTCGCTTTACGGGGGTTCGCCGAAGATCGAGACTATCTTTGGCCCAAGAGAGCCGAAAGTGTGCTGCAGGTCATGTTACGAGACTTGTAGACCCAGAAGGTAATCTTATTTTCCCAAGGGAGCATAGTCTGCAAGGCATGACTTCCGTGCTGTGACGGCGCTTTTGTCCCACCTCTCCACTGGCAGTCTCGCGTGGTAACGCCAGACAGGGTTTGAGTGCTGCGACACAGAGATCTTGAGGATATCATCAGCCCTCCTGTCTAAACACAGCCATCCTCATGACGCCATCATCATCAACCCAAGCCCTAAACATACCACCGCAGTTGAAATCAGCCACCACCTCACCCTTGCCCTCATTGAAGTCAATTCCAATGATACCGCCTTCACCCTCACCAGTCTTCATCCAGCGGTCCTCAGCACTCTGCTGCAGCGCTCCGTTCGGGCCAGCTATCGCCGTCACAGTGTGCTGTAGAGCAAGTATGCCGATCGACAAAGGCGAGAGACGGGAGAAGCGTGCCATGGCTGCTGCGGTGCGCGCGGCAGCAAGCTTCAGAAACGAGTCGCCGTTCCCTGTGCCGGACATGGCGACTGCACGTTGGTAGCGGACAAGCTTCGGTTGTGTATTGCTGTTGGTCTGAGATGGGCCGATGGGGAGGTATCCAGAGACCTGCGGTAGGCAGTCACCAATAAAGGCGGAAAGCATGGTAGTCCAGTCACGCTGGCGTTCGGATCCCGCTGCGTGAAGCCGAGAAGCCTCCCACTCTTCCGCCCAGAAGCCAGCACCAAGGGTAGGTGTGTCACCTATACGTCCAGGCAGCTTGTTGGTAAGCCCGCCTGTGGAAGTCGCCACGCAGATCGTGCCGCTACTGTCGAGAATTACTGCGCCCACAGTACCTTGAGGCAAGTACTGTTTGCCGTCCCAGCCTGGGTCTTGAGGCGCATGGCAGTGATTTGTGTCGGCCGTCTGCTCCAGGACGGTCGAGGAAGGGCTTAGATGAGCATTGAGCCTATGCCGTTCATAGGTCTCATCGGAGTAGTCCAATCCCAGCCCTCGTCGATGTTCTTGCCACCTACGCTTAGTCCAATAATAGCTTCTCGGAACCGTCTGCAGGCCCCATTGCTGAGTCAGTTGGTCGCAAATGGTACCTTGAAGCTGACAATGAGGTCCAGCACCTCCACCGTCACTAGCTTCACCACGAACAAGCATCTCCCGCGCGAGTAGAACTGGGTTCTTGGCTCTCGTCACGTTCATGACGCCGACTCCTCGCTTCCGGTAGCCTTTGCTGACCATCACCGACGCTTCGAGCTCATGCGTCTCCGCTTGCGTGAAGACGGCTCCATGACCGGCATTGAAGAGAGGGTTATTTTCTAGCAGACTTACTGCGTAAGCTGCAACGTCAAGAGCCGCTGCGTTCGGCTGCATTAGTAGGTCATTAGTACTTTGGAGAACACCTAGCAGCGCTTTACGGTATGCATCGTACGCCTCCAACGGGAGGTTCTCCCGTGTGATATTGCCCGCTCCACCATGGAGAATGATGCGAGGCTTGACACGCTCAGGCTTCCCCATCACAGACATTCCGGCAGCAGGCAAAATGTCAAAGAGAGTTGCAAGGCGGTCAGGTGGGTAGATATGGTAGCTACGAAGGGACTGCCAATGGGGGCGATTGGCGTCGCCAGATGAGGAAGGTTGGTGGATACACATGGCCCAAGTTCGGTCGGCGGAGCTCGGCCCGTCGGTTCCTGCGTCTTGTGGCTGGTGACGTGCAGGCTGTCGCTGTAGGCTTCAGCATAGTGCGCTCTTCTGTCTTTCATAGCACGCACTCGGCTTGGAGTGGTGTCCAGGTATTGATTCAGTCATACGGACATTTCACAGCTAGTCGGACCAAACACACCGTTTCCGCCATTGTTCTCCGGACAGCGCAGTGCACAAACCTAAGCTCAAGCCCGCGAAGAGTGGCCACGTGAGGCATCAAGCTGCTCGAACAGAGCTAAGCATCATTGTGATGAAGATCGGAAGCTGGTCGCCATGGGTAGTCGTCGCCGGAGTGTTGGCGGGCTGTCATGCGGCTGGCGAGTCTCATCCTAACCTCACCACCATCCACGAAGCCGGTCGATGCGCCATCAGAGGCCACTGCGGCAGCCAGTCTCTTTTCGGCAGCCAGCTACCTTGTCCAGATAATGATCTCGCAGAGGAGCCTTCTGTCGAGCTGCGACAACAGATCATCTCCGTGTGTGGAGATGCCTGGACGGACACGAAGGTTTGCTGCCGGGAAGAGCAGGTCGAAACGCTTCAGTCCAACCTTCAGAAAGCGCAGAACATCATCTCAGCATGTCCAGCTTGCAAGAAGAACTTCTTCGACCTCTTCTGCACCTTCACTTGCTCCCCTGATCAGAGTCTTTTCGTCAACGTGACGAAGACCGTACCCAAGAATGGCAAGTTCCTTGTCACGGAGCTGGATCATCTCATCAGCGATGAATATGGCTCAGGCTTCTACGACAGCTGTAAAGACGTCAAGTTTGGTGCGACGGGAGGAAAGGCGATGGAGTTCATCGGCGGCGGGGCAAGGAATTACACGCGATTCTTGAAGTTTCTGGGCGACAAGAAGCCGTTCTTGGGCAGCCCATTCCAAATTGACTTTCCACGACCGTCAAGCGAGGACTTTGGTGACATGGAGACGATCTTGGATGACCCGAAGCCTTGCAATAGCACGGACGAGCGTTACCGGTGCGCTTGTGTGGACTGTGCGGGAAGCTGTCCGGAATTGCCCAAGGTCGAGCAGGCGGAGCAATGTACCGTTGGACTTCTGCCGTGCTTGAGCTTCGGTGTACTCCTCGTGTACTCTGTGTTCATCACGCTGCTTGTCCTGGCCGTTACTGGACACGCTGCTGCAGCCAAGCGTCGCAAGAGCAAGAACGAGCGGCTGCAATTGCTGCATGATACTACGGCCGACGAAGAGGATGACGCGAGGGATGCCATACATATGGCGAGCTTTCAAGGAGACAAGCCAACCAAGCAATATGTGCTCAACACATACTGCGATCGCGCTTTTAGCAGGCTGGCCAGGACATGCGCACGGTTTCCCGCTATCACTATCGTGAGCTCTATCATTGTTGTTGGCTTGCTTAGTCTCGGATGGATAAGGTTTGCCATCGAAACAGACCCCGTGGGACTCTGGGTGGCTCCTAATTCGGACGCCGCGCAAGAAAAGCACTTCTTTGATACGAACTTTGGCCCTTTCTTCCGCGCGGAGCAAGCGTTTCTCGTGAACGATACGCAGCCATCCGGCCCTGGACCAGTGTTGAGCTATGAGACGCTACGGTGGTGGTTTGACGTCGAACGGAGAGTAGCAGCGCAGAAGAGCCTTGTCCACAACTACACGCTTCAGGATGTGTGCTATAAGCCTACTGGAGAGGCATGCGTGATCCAAAGTGTGACCCAGTACTTCGGCGGCTCTTTTGACCAGCTCGAAGAAGACGACTGGGCTGCACAGATACAGGACTGCGTGGACACACCAGTCAATTGTCTGCCAGACTTTGGCCAGCCGCTGGCGATTCAACGATTGCTAGGAGGCTACAACTACAGCTCACAACCGATCACAGATGCCGAGGCTCTGATCACCACATGGGTTGTCAAGAACCACAATCCAGGCGATCCTGATTTGGCTAAGGCGGAGGAGTGGGAGGAGAGTGCCAAGCTTCTGCTGCTCGATGTGCAGAAGGAAGCAAAAGACCGCGGACTCAGAGTGAGCTTCAATATGGAGATCAGTCTCGAACAAGAGCTGAACAAGAATACCAACACCGATGCAACGATTGTCGTCGTCAGCTACATCGTGATGTTCTTCTATGCCTCGCTCGCCCTGGGCTCCACTACGGTCACTGCCAACATGATCCTGCGGAATCCGAGCGCTGCACTAGTCCAGAGCAAATTCTTACTGGGGATTGTCGGCATCCTGATTGTGCTTATGAGTGTTGCGGCGAGTGTTGGCTTGTTTGCAGCTTTGGGCGTCAAGGCCACGTTGATCATTGCCGAAGTCATCCCGTTTCTGGTCCTTGCTGTCGGCGTCGACAACATCTTCCTCATTGTACACGAGTTCGAGCGTGTCAACGTTAGCCACGCCGATGAGCCGGTCGCCGATCGCATTGCGAGAGCTTTGGGACGCATGGGCCCGAGCATATTGCTATCTGCGACAACGGAGACGGTTGCTTTTGCGCTGGGCGCTGCAGTGGGTATGCCGGCTGTGAGGAACTTCGCAGCATACGCGGCAGGAGCGGTCTTCATCAACGCGCTTCTACAGGTAACGATGTTCGTGTCTGTACTTGCGCTGAATCAGGAGAGAGTGGAAGCGGGTCGAGCAGACTGCATGCCATGCCTAAAGATTAAGCAGAGCCAACCATCTTCCATGCCAAACGGCTATGGTGGTGCTCCATTCTCCGGCGTCGAGGAGGAAGGCTGGCTCAGCCGGTTCGTGAGGAAGACCTATGCCCCAGCCATACTCGACAATCGTGCCAGGGTCGTAATCATGACTGTCTTCCTTGGGTTCTTCGCTGCAGGCATCGCGCTCTTACCGGAGGTTCAACTTGGACTGGATCAGCGCATCGCGGTTCCGAGTGATAGCTACCTAATCAATTACTACAACGACTTGTATGACTACTTTGGGGCTGGACCACCCGTCTACTTCGTCACGAAGAATGTGAACGCCACCCAGCGACACCGGCAGCAGCAGCTATGCGGGCGCTTTAGCACGTGCGAGTCCTTCTCCTTAGCCAACATACTCGAGCAGGAGCGGAAGAGGCCAGAGATCAGCTATGTTGCGGACGCTACCGCCAGTTGGGTGGACGATTACTTGCACTGGCTTAATCCCGACCTTGAGGACTGCTGCGTTGACGGGTCCACTACCTGCTTTGCAGACCGTAACCCTGCCTGGAATATCAGCTTGTATGGTATGCCAGAAGGCGAGGAGTTCGTGGACTACGCAGCCCGATGGCTTCGGTCGCCGACGAGCCCGGAGTGTCCGCTTGCTGGACAAGCCACGTACGGAGACGCCGTTGTGATCAACAAGAACCGCACTACGACGCCTGCGACCCATTTCAGGACGGCCCACACCCCACTGCGGAGTCAGAAGGACTTTATCAACGCCTACGCCTCGGCGCGCCGTATTGCGAACGAGGTCAACGAGCGCAATGAAGGCATCCAAGTCTTCCCTTACAGCAAGTTCTACATCTTCTTCGACCAGTACGCCAGCATTGTCCGGCTGTCGACAGCACTTGTCGGCGCAGCGTTGGCCATCATTTTGGTCATAGTTTCCACTCTACTCGGCTCGATAGCCACCGGCATTGTGGTCACCATCACGGTCGCCATGATTGTCGTCGACATCGCTGGCACTATGGCACTCGCGAAAGTCTCGCTGAATGCCGTGAGCTTGGTGAACATCATCATCAGCGTCGGTATCGGTGTCGAGTTCTGCGCTCACATTGCAAGAGCTTACACCATCCCTTCCACCTCTATTCTTGAGCGTGCGCCAAGCAAGTTCATGAGCGCACAAAGCCGGTTTGGCGGCAGGGAGGCAAGGGCTTGGGCCGCATTGGTCAATGTGGGAGGGAGTGTGTTTAGTGGCATCACGGTTACGAAGCTACTTGGAGTGTTTGTCTTGGGCTTTACGCAGAGTAAGATCTTTGAGGTATACTACTTCAGGGTATGGTTGGCACTTGTATTATGGGCGGCTTTGCACGCGTTGGTGTTCTTGCCCGTGGCGTTGAGCTTCTTTGGTGGCAGAGGTGAGTTGTCGTCGACCCTTGAAGTCCTTGGGCCATCTCAGTACGATTCGCTAATGTGACGCAGGTTATGTTGATCCCGAGAGCGACGGTGGCTTGGAGCAAGATCTGGCGAGTCGGCGGTACAGGGCGCTCTTACCGGACGAAGAAGACGAAGAGGACTACTAGCTTTCACTTCGAGTGTGACTCAGGTGGCATTGCATTGCGATATCCAGAGTAGCATAGCGGATGACAGCTCATCAGAGACATAGAGGAATGGCTCGGTACCGAAGCGCCCACGACATCATAAATGTAATGATGCCACTCCCAGGTGTTGCCACCCCTACTATTACTCTGTAACTACAGTCCAAGAGAAGCACCCAGTGATAATCTATAACCGAGCCAGCGCCATGCGAAGAACAACGAACAACTCCTCACTCTGGTAGTGAGTACTTGTTCAACCTAAGCGAGTACCGGAAGATCCACGGTAATTGTTCAGCCGCTTGAGCTTGCCTGCGCCTCCTGCTGCTCGCACTACTCGTGGCATTCGCGACAGTGCTCAGGGCTGGATTGGTGGGAAGGCGTGGTGGCGTCACGCGTCGTGTCACTGACGGCGCTGTCGGTTTCAAGGTGGTCGGCGGCCGTGTAGGCTGCGTGCCAGGTGCAGCCTGAGTGCCCGTTCCAGTCTGCAGCGATGAGGTTCGATCGGCGCGCAGGTGAGCGTACCTGCTCCGGACGGTTTCTCTCTGGCTGTCTGGACAGTGAGCGATGAGTGTTGCTGCGAGGGTATCGGAGTCCAGCAATGTATATATGCGGGCGAGCAGCGCTAACGAGTCGAAGTACTCGTCGCTTGCAGCGTCGAGCTGATGACGGACTCCCACTGCCGCAAGACAGTGGTCCTTTGCATCGTCCAGCTGGTTCAGCTTTACGCTGTTGCGAGCAAGCAAATGCCGGACGTGGGCAAGTTGTCGCGCAGGCACTTGGTTATGTGCGCGAAGGAAGTTAACAAGGGCTAGCTTGCCTTCTTGACTGCCCACTGTCTCAGCCTCACAAACAGTGCGGTAGTATGCGAGCTGCATGACGTCGACTGGTTGACTCAAGCGTCTCGGCAAGCTGTTGATGATGTCCTGGGCGCTTTTGAAGCGGCCTTGAGCTGCGCAAAAATTGCCACTAGTGTACTCTCTGACGCCGTCCTCGAAGAGATCGTGGGCGAGCCTCTGGTGAGTCTCCTGTCCTGGTGATGACGCTAAAGCGACTTCGGAAAATCCAGAATCTGTACTGGGTCTGCCCGTCGGGGAGAGACTCGGCGATACGGGCACGTGGAGATGCAGGTCACGCTTGTGGCGTTCCAGACTCAGACTGCGTTTCAAGTCGTCTATAGTCTGCTTCTGCTCCTGGATGTTCTCATCCGCAGCAAGAAGAGCGTCTTTGTAGCTATTGCACCGTTGCTGCAGTCTATCGACGTCCTCCCTCTGGCCTTGCAGACTGTTCTGCAATTCTTGAAACCTCTGCTGATGGTTTCGTACGTTCCGGTGGGCCACGCGCACCTCAGCCTGAAGGTCTGCAAGCTTCGCATTAAGCGCAGCCTGCTCATTTGCCGCGCTTACGCCAAACTCGATGGCAGCAGTCGAAAGCTGCTCGCATGCACGCCGCAAGCTAGTGTGAGAGTCCGCCAATGTGTCGGCATATCTATTCAGAGTCGGGCTGTCGTAGGCATCGAGTCCGAGCCTTATCCTAGAGAGTGTTGGATCCAATGCGACGATGGTCTTAAGCGCATCTCGGTGTTTGGCTAGAGCTTCGTCCATGTTGCGGGGCACCATTCACTACGTGTAGTCTTGTGGGTGGTTGGGGAGCTTTACTTCTTGCGATCGAGAAAGAAAAGGCTGGGGACCGGGCGCGAAGATGAGGCAGAAGGGAGGGTAACGTGGGTACTGTACCAACCTACAAGTCTACAGGGCGACCTCAAGGGCCGCCCTGGGCGGTCTCATGGACAGAGAAGCCTGCTCGTCAGTCACATGTTACATGGAAGGGCGCCGCGAGCGCGGCCTGGCCAGTTGAGTTCGCCCGCTTGCGAATGATGAGTGCATGGCTATGAACGGCTCAGCTTCCTGTCAGTGACGGACGTCCGCCTTTTGAGGTACATGTGAGCAGTGAAGGTGGCATTGTTGGTCATGGAGCTCTTCCAGGATTGCTGGCGTTACCGTTGCAATGAGGGCGCAGCATCGAACCGGTGAAGCCTTGCGACCTTCTTCGTCCAAGGAATGACGTAAGGATACATCACCGGACCGGAGAGCAAGACACTTTCCCAAGCCTTGTGTGCCGACCGTGTTGACTATGTATCCTCGCCGGTTGAGCTGTCATACTTCACGCACGGTATTGCAGAGCGCAGGGTAACTGTGAAGACCATCCAAAAGCGGTTAGCGGCGACACACTAAGGTGCGATCGTATTGCTGCATGGTTTGGAGCTTTGGAGGCCAGCAAGAGCGCTCGGCGGTGCGTCTTTCAAGAAGACAATCGAGTGCGATGCTCCATGTAAGACCAAGCATAAGTTTGACTACAACTCAATGTCTTGTAGATTATCTGTCGTAGCCTGCCTGAAAGACGGGTACCTATGAGGTGTATCGCACATCACCAACCTTTGAGCTCGTTCAATTTCACCCAAACACCAGCCTTGGGCTTCATGGTGATTCCACCCTTGATCTCCAGCTCCCCCTTTGTCAACGGACTGCCCTCTTCGAAACTCGACTCAAACCTTCCGACCCACGCTGCAAGGATGCACGCAAACTCTGCGATCGCGAAACGCTGACCGATACACGATCTCGGGCCGTGCAAGAAGGTTAAGAAGGAATAGTTAGACTCTGCGCCTCCCTTGTTGTTCGCCTTGCCGTCCGCATCCAGCCAGCGCTCCGGCTTGAACTCCAAGGCGTCGTCACCCCAGAGATGCGTGCTCGTGTTGATAGCCCACGGGCATAGTATCATCGTAGTATTCTTAGGGATGAAATGACCATTGACTGTAGCGTCATTCTCTGCGATGCGCATGGTCATGCTGACGGGCGACCACAGACGCAGGATCTCGTGGACCACAGCGTGCAGATATTGGCAGTCGTCAATCTGCGCTGCGGTGATTTCGTCGTTGAGGGACGGCAACTTGCTCCTGATCTCCTCGCGCAGCTTAGTCTGCACTTCAGGATGTTTGCAAAGCAGGTACAGCGCCCAGATCATTGATGTGGCCGTAGTCTCATGGCCGGCAACGAGGAATGTCATCATTTGGTTCACCAACTCCTCATTAGTGAAGCCGCCAGACTCGAGCGCAACTGAGATGATGTCAACATCAGTGCGCTCTTTCTCTGTCATCTCCATCCGCTTCTTGGCAATCAAGTCACGACATACTTGCTTGATGTAGGCAGAGGCGTTGCTCATTTCTTTGTTTCGCTTGAGCGGTAAGGCCCGAACAAGCCAAAACGGAAGAAAGACTCCCATTAGCTGCAGTATGCGCCCAGCACGGCCTGGATTGAACACGTCACGATACGTTTGATTGAGCTTGTTGTTGGGGTCCTGGAGCGAATGAAAGTCTTGGCCCATACCAGATAAGCCAATGATATCCAGCGTTGCGCGGGAGACCCAGCTGCCCACGTTGATGATACCAGGTGCATGCTCGGCGGTCTCCGGTGCAGCCTTCTCCGGGTCAGTGGAAGCCTTCTCCGTCTTCTCAGTGGGTTGCGCAGTCTCTTTTGATGCACTGGACAGACACTCCATGAGTTCCCGCGACTTGTCCCAGAAGACAGGATAGAGATCCTTAACGTGGCGGTAGCTAAACGCTGGCATAAGGTTCTTGCGCTGGCGCTTGTGCTCATCGCCTTCCGCGAGCAGAATGCCGATGCCCAAGATCCGTCCAAGAGCGTTGCGGAAATGGGAGGGCTTAATGAACTCGTAATTCTTCGTAACGAGCACCTCACCCAGTGTCTTGGGGTTGGTCAAGAGTACCCGCTCCTGGCCCCACATGCTGTAACGGATGAGGCCATCGTTCGGTACCGTTTCGATCCATTCCCGCATTGGCTTCCCAGAGGTCTCTGCCATGATACGTTTCGTATGACCTGTAAACAACTTGCCTCCGGGAGCTGTTGGTAGGTCCCGGAGCGGGCTGAAGAAGCGCGGATAGAGGACCAAGAGGTATCCTTGATATGCCAAAACCTGGATTATGAACAAAATGGTGGCCGTCACGATGAGCCCAAGGGAGTACTTGGGCGCATATCGATCGACCGCGAAGGCTGCCACGGCGGATATCCCCGCCAGTTGAACAGAGGGTGGCATCCCGGCTGCGTAGATTGGTGCCGCCATCAGTAATCGTTTGTCAACGCTTGGGTTGGAGTGATAATCTACCTTGTATTGACTATGGGGCAGCCGTGAGTAATTTATGTTCAGATACAGAAACGGTACCAGGCTGCTAAGACGTCGCACATCGTGCCGCTCGAACGCCACACAGTCGTCTCGGCCTATGCTACGTGGAGTCTCCATGACGCCGTTACGGTTCGCGACCGGCAGCGGAAACACTGCTGGCCAAGCACTCCGTTGCACGCTAAGCAATATAAAGCGGCGAGCTAAGCGAAGTGCGGGTTGGCCAAGTTTCGTAGCTCGTAAATATAGTCACGTGGATGGGAGCAGTGTCGGGACGACATGGCTTTTCTTCTAAGGGATATGGGCTATTCGCAATGATGTACACCCAACAAGCTCCGTACTGTCGCCTTGATGAACCATGCTTCCCGCGCATGCGGGAAATGGTGTACCGCATATTGTCATAATAACCACATCCCTACGCCCAAATAAAGCTTCAGTTGCTCCGCTGGGCCATGGTTGTGCAGGCACACTGTAGGAAGTGGGAAGAACACAAGAGTGATTACGCGAACTATCTGAGCGCTGCCTTGACTGTCCCAACGCGATATACAGTCTTGAGTTTCCTGTGCTCGCTCTGGTACGCTATGTACAGCGTTTGCGGAGCTTCACCTCGCAATTAGTGCACTCGTACTTCTACCAGTGCCCTTCCGAGCGGCACTTCCCTTACTGCCAGACGTGATGGTCGTATCTGACTTTATGATCTTGAAAGTGTGCTCACATGGTGCGGTCTCTGCCCCGTTAGCTGATGGTGTGCCGCTGGGAATACGTGTGCTATAGTACCATAGCCTTCTACCGGCTGATTTCAAGCCACACACGACGAGGACAGAGAGGGTGGAGGCCTTGAAGAATGGTGAATGAGACAGCGTTTGCTGCTGTCGGGTGACGGCGTCTTGTGGTGTTCTTGTGAATGCATTGCTTGTTGTGCTCACTCTTGTAGGCCCGGCAGACTGCGTAACGTGGTCAGTGATCAGGCAGCAGAGGCAGGCTTGTCAGAGGTTTCGCTTCCGCTTCGGCCGTGCTGCGACAAAAACCTGCGCTGATCCCACGTGACCCATCCAGACCTACTCGACGGGCATCGAGCTTCACCCTCACCTCCAGGACTTTCTTCTCTCACCAACACCCTCCCATGAACATCCGTCAACCGACGATGTCGCGGCCAGAAGATCCATCGTGCCCGCCCGCTCCTCCCGTCCCACCGCTCCCTAGGCCTGAAGACTGGGAAGAGCCTGAAGGTTGGCCACTGCAGCGCGACGTAAACCATCACAACGACTGGACCAGGAACACCTCGATCAAGACCGCAAAGTGCGACGTCTGCAGTGAGCGCATCACTAACTACAGCTGGGAATGCGAGGAGTGCGGCAAGCGGATTTGTTCGGAGTGCGCTGAGTATGAATACGGCAACAGCGAGCCGCAGTACCGCTTCATTGCCAAAGACAACCTCGACAATAAGTGTGGCTGCTTCTACCAAGAGAGAGGCGGCCAGGCGCCATATCTTCGCAGGCATATGCTGTCACTCGATATCATCAAGCAGCCTCCTCAGCGCATCGAAGAGGATCTCAAGAACAGGCAAGAGAAGGCGATTATCAAAGAGAGGAAGAAGCGTAAAGCCGAAGCGATCGCCAGAGGTGAGAAGCCTGAGCCATATACGCCGAAGAAGTCAAGGAAAGCCAAGTTAGCCACCAACGACGAGCTTTTCCCCGCTCGCAAGCTGGCAAAGCAGAAAGCGAAGCAGGTCCCGGAGGAGCTAGCTGACTACACTCATCTTGAAGGCGGCACTACCGTCATTGTCGGTGCAGGAATCGTAGGGCTGTCGATCGCTCGAGAGCTGGCAACCAAAGCCAGTGAGAACAATATCCAGCACAGAGTTGTCGTGGTTGATATCCGCAGCAGTTACTGCGAGCTTGCGTCTGGAAGCTGCGCCGGACTGCTGACGGTGGACGGTCTACCGGAGGAGCTTGACTCTCTAGTGGAGCTTGCCCAGCCTGCGTGGGAGGAATTGTACAGCACGGCTGGCTTTCCTCAGGCAACAGACATGGTAGGTGGAAATGCTTTGTTGGTGAGCCAGGAAGGCGGCAAAGGCACGGACAATGGTCCATCGTGGTATGTCCAAGACGAGTCGGAAGTAATCGCAAAAGACAACTGGTCCATGGGCACCATGTAAGTCCAATATTTTGCCTCTGGCGCGCATGTTCAAGCTGACAGGTTCAGCAATACCGTCAAGCTCGGCCAGTGGCTGTTCAATGAGTGCCAGCAGCTAGGCGTGAAGTTCCACTTTGATCGGTACGTGTGCAGTACGACCCGGCTATCGGACCGAGACGTCACCAGCGTCTATATCTGCGAGGCTGCTAACGACCAAATGCGCACGAATGTCAAATGCCAAAATCTCGTTCTCGCCAACGGCCCGTGGGCATCGAAAGTCTTCAGCGGCGTTGCCAGTAAGAGCACAGTGAAGCTTAAGAATAACACCACGACCGCTCATTGGATCCGACTAGGGAGTGGCAAGCTGCACGACGGCGATAGGGTCGGTCTGCTGCTGCCATCTCTTGCGGCCAATAGCAGCGTGCTGCATGATAAGATTACCATGATTTGCCACTCTCACGATGCAGAAGCCACGGAGATTATCCTTGCAAGCGTCGACAAGCAATCCCATGATCGCATTCTCTTTCGTCAAGAAGCGCTCGACCATAACTTGAATGGCGGTAAAACCGACCTCGGCTTGCGTTATCTGCAGCAGCTCGCGGCCAGCAAGATTAGCACAGGTGGCAAAGAGCTCAGTCTGTCAGACAGCATGACCGCAGGCTCTTCGCTGGTCTCGACCGCAAACAACCAGGTACCGATCATTGACAAGGTGCGAAAGAGCGGTCTTGGCAGAGTCGGAACTGTGGAGGAAGATGACCAGCGGTGCGGCGTTTGGCTATGCTACGGCTTCGGTATGCACGGCACTACGCTTGCCCCCGCTGCTGCGAAAGTGCTCAGCCGCAGGATCTTCGGTGAGCCTACCGAAATCGATGACAGTAAGTTCGCCATACCCGAGTACGAGCTGCCGGTGGCGGAGATGGCATAGATGAAGACAAAATCAGCGGCGGAGAACGGTCGATGAGGTGCGAGAGACGGAGCCCTTATGGTCTGCGACATGGCCTTGTGGGCGATGACAGCTTGTGCTGAGTGGGTGATGCGTTTTCAGTAAGCCTGGCGTTCCATGATCGATTGCATTCCTGGAAAACTTGGGCTCCAGTCTGTCCATTTAGGGGACTTCCATCGGATGAACCTTCTTTTAATGGCATGCAATTCATTAAGATACGTTTTCCATAGCTCAATGGTATGATAACAACCTGCGTCATCCCCAGTCTGTATGACGAACATGGTGGCTTCCACCAAGGACATAGCATCCACCACCTTCAAATTGCCGCGCAACATAGCAAAGACCTTCCGTTTCGACGCCGATCCAGCCTGGCTGACTCCACGTCGTACCAACAACGTTGTAGGGCGGGAAGGTCAAACCCTGGCGCACGAGGCCGCTCCTAATGTACAGTATCGCACCGCCAACGCTGTCTAGGGGCATAATGGCGTCGTCACCAGAGCCTTGGATCACCGCTGGGACGAACAAGCGTGTATCGACGAGCGTCCTGACTGCGTCCTCACGGTCTCCGTCGGCTACTGGTCCAAGTGGTGTCTCGGGGGTAATCTTCCACGCGTTCTTGTCATAGTTTTCCATATTATGCTGTTCGCATCGAGCCGTTATTATGCCGGCAGCAGGAGTAGAGTCCGAACGAGCAAGCATTGTCTGCACAACATCTCGTGAGATTGCAGCGACATCGGCATCTAGCCAAAGGACGTGGCGCTCGTCTTCCAATGCAGAGAGCATCAAGTAGTTGCGCAAGGTCGCTAATCGAGCTCGACGGGTTAATTGGACTGCAGGGTTGTGTCTTCCTTCGTACGACACACCCTGGTCATCATCATCGCGGAGATAGATCGTCAACCGGGCCAGCGGCAAGTCGCGCATGGCTTTGCTGAACGAGTCAAACTCCTCGGCTGAGCTTGTCAACATCGCAACAGAAACTGTCGATAGATTCAATCGGGTGGAGACAAGCAGGTCAGCGAAGTCGTAGGCTCCTCGCTGACCCGAGCGGAAGTCGCGGCTCCACGAAGTTCCATCTCGGTTGAGCAGAAGCACCAGGACTTCTGGGTCTGCGGTTGCTAACTGACGGCGGAATTGTAACGTACCATCATGGAATGTACGCTGTGTCTCTAATGGTTCGGCGGCTGTAGGAAGCGGATATTGGTAGCCTTGCCAATGTTGGATGTCCAGACCCAGGCATGAGGCAACGGTACGGCAAGAGAGAGCGGTCCTTCTCAGTTCGAAGAATGTCAAAAACACCCACAACGTCACGATCGAGATCCCAAAGAAGAACGAATGGCGTTTGACACGGGAGAGCATGGTGGATGCTGGGAAGGGTGGCACAGCAGAACGTCAGGGATTCTCACAGCCAAGCTTGATTGTCAAAGCTTCATGTTCCAGGACGCCATGATATCGCACTGTTGCTCTGAACAACCATTCCTCTTACTGTATGAACACATCTAGAAACCCTGTATGGCCGAAAAGTAGGATCGAACAGCAGCAGTTGATGGTTCAGGGACCTTATGTCTGAAGTAACCGACACGGGCTGCGTAGGTCTCGACAACCACCTTGACCCCTCCGACGAACATTTGGCGTGAAACGGCAGGCTCACGCTCGCAATCGATCAAGCTCATATTAGAATACCATAGTTGAGCAATGTGGGACGGCCTGGGCGCTTGACGGAATGAGGAAGACTAATTGAAAGAACAGCGAGCCCTTTATGTTAGGGATATGCCATGCCCTTTTCTGTACGGTCTAAGATCTATCGTTGGGCTCATGTAATCAAGAAATGGCCTTCTCATCGCTCTGACCAGCAGCATCATCGCCAGCTACTGCTTTTCTCGCTCTCGCGGATGCTTGTCGGTTTTTGAGGCTCATGGCCGGGAAATAGAGGCCGGGATGAGCTATTGTCAGTAGAATGCAGGAAATGGCGATCATCCTTCGCAATATGTTAGAATCGTCGTTGACAAAACATGTGCGCAGAGCATCCACTTACCCTCCATCAAGTATCATGAACTCCACTTCGTTCTGCATCAGAGCGTTACCCCAACCGCCGGCCATTTCCGGAATGCTAAAAGTCACCAAGCCGTCAGTGAATGCATGCAAACAAGCCAAAAGTGAGCAGACATACCGGTATATGCACCGTATGAAGATGAACAAGAACGCAGCACTCGAACAGACTGCATAATAACGAAAACTCTTCGGCAATTGCCTTCCTTCTTCGACTTCGTCCGCGGTTACAGCTCGCTTGCTGTGGTGCTTGATGACCTGATAGGCAAAGTCACCCGCGAGACAAATGCAGACGAATTGCGTCGCCACCTGGATCGCTATGCCGGTCACAATCAGATCGTCTCCAATGTTGACCAAGTTGCTTTGTTCGCTTGCAGCGATGCCGCCGCCCGCGGCTTGCACGAGGATCGAAAGAGCATCGCAAGAGATGAAGATGGCGGTGTATAAGCCCGGCTTGATGCGAGACTTTTCAGCCCCGAAATAGATGACCAGGTGTTTCAAAGTCAGATAGATTCCCGCAGCCAGGAATGAGGGCGCGAGTACCAAGCAGCAAATCTGCACCTTGAAACCGTTAGAGCTCCATGGGTTTGCGTGGAGCATCAATCTGCCACCATATCCGATCGCTTCGCCTGCACAGCCAATGGTGACGGCGATGGTGAAGCCTCGCAGTCGGTGGCGGATACCAAGGTAGAGTTGAGCGAGCGTGCAGATGCTGAAGACCACCAGAAGAATGATGTTACCAGCCAAGTTCGGCCGGTATCCGTAGGTCGTTGCGGACACCGGGCAACGAGGGCTCACCTCGTAACAAATCTGGTGATAGTGGTGTGGCATCTCGTACACTATCGGAGAGATGGTTTTGAATCTGTAACAGATGCAAAGTCCTCCTCCTCCTATTGACAAAGTGCAGTGGATACATCCCGCTTTAACACCTCGCTTACGTACGGCATGTGAATAGCCGTGCAAAGAGGCAATTGTTAGGAATGCATAAGCGAAGGCCTCTTGCGTGAGCTCGGTACGATGAACGAGCGCGTCGCGTCATTCGGGTCATTTGCTAACCGGCATTAGCATGCCACCGTTTGTGCAACGGCTAGACGTCGCTCGGTGATTGATGGAGAATCGGCTGACTTCGTTTAGACGTTCATCCCAATAGCGCAGATGGAAAGTATTAGGTACGATTGATCTCATTAATATTGAAGGTCGTGGTAGATCGTGTAGGATTCTCAAGATTTGGGCGGTCCAAAGCTACAGAAGCACGACCCGCCGTGGTCTGAGCCTCCTTACTCGTACATAGTGTTATAGACACCCCAGGATTGTATTGCGTGAGACCGCGTTTGTATGGGCGGAGTGATCTCCGGTTGGTATATTGTTTAGAAGATGCCTGGGCAATTGGACGAGCGGTATTAGGTAGGTGATGGAGCAGGACGGCCTTCCAGCCGAATTCCGTCGGTACGATGTCCGACCAGCTCACAAGGAGTCGGAGGTCCGCTCTCCAGCCCTGTCCGGCAGCACCTCAATGGACTACTTGGCTATGGTTGGCGACCCATGGCTCGGTGGTACGCTACCGTTCCCAATTCGACCATGTGTATAGGAACGAACCTCGGCACGGATGGCTATTCGTCGCTTCCATCAAAAGAGGTACAGCATAAAGCCTGTATCCCTGCTATCTGTAATAGCCTCGCTGACGACCCAACTTCCCAGCCGGACCGGATGCAGCGCGTGCAAGACTCGCCGAGTCAAGGCAAGCTTCAGAAAAGCATAAAGTCATGAGTCGTGCTAATGTATGTGGCGCAGTGTGATGAAAGGAAGCCTGTGTGCAACAATTGCATCCGCAGAGGCACGCCATGCGAATGGCCCACTGGAGTAGCACAACCACCATCGCCTCCACCTTCTGTGGAGGCGGGCAGAGATGAGGCTTCTTACGACGCCCTCGATCTGGTGCTTATGCACCGCTTTGCCACTGTCACGGCCCTGGAGATGTCCCCTGCTGCAGAGGCAAAGCATGTATGGCAGAACATCATTCCCGTGGAAGCCCACTCAGCGCCTCTCCTCATGCACGGTATCTTGGCTCTTGCCGGACTAGACCTGGCACGCATACCATCACCCACTGCATCTACTTACCGGACCAGAGCGCTTCACCACCAACAGCTCGGTCTTGCAATGTTCCAGGAAATGCTGGTCCAGGACACCGCGACGCAGATGCATGCTATCTTCCCCTTCTCCCTTATGCTCATCATCATCACCCTAGCTTCTGCTCAGGAAGAGGCCATGCAGTGGTCAGTGGACTCGATTGTGAACATGTTCGCACTTTATCGCGGACCTCGTGCTCTGGCCAAGAGTAACTGGGACACCATCCGGGACTCTCACTTAGGGGCGTTGTTGTCCAAGGGTGACGCAGCAGAGGATCCTGGAGTACCAGAGGACCTTCGGACGCTGCTGGAAAGGCTAGATCGGTATTGCACCGACGAGGTTGCTATTGATGCCAAGAAAATGATCATCGCGGATATCGAACGGGCGGGACCCGCATTGGATCTCCGAGCGGTCGGCCACTGGCCTGCCATGGTTTCGGATCCCTTTTTCGCTCGCCTCAAAGCCCAAGAGCCAGGGGCTCTAGCTGTTCTTAGCTACTATAGCTTGGTATTGAATGCATTTCGGGAGAGGTGGTGGGTGGGTAACTGGGGTCGTATGTTACTGACTGCGGTTGATCAGGCAATGCCTGAGCTTGAGAAGAAGCGCTTAGGCTGGAGTGCTGACAATATCAAGAGCCTCTTGGACGTCCCTCGCGATATCTGAGTGAATATCACATTCTCACTTTAGACGATGCGTCAGGCAGCCCGCTGCCAGGCTTGCAACTCCTACGCGCCTAGCACCTGATCTACGAAGCATTGGCCATGTACATAACCACAAGGCTTTTTTCCAAGGTGTGTTCCGAGCATGTTGATACTGTTCAAGTGCGAAAGTGCCAAGCACAAAGTCGGAACCTCTAGCTATCCTACCTTACCTACGACTGTTATATTTCGAGGTTCGCATGTTCGTTCAGTATGCCGACAAAGCCGCAGCTCTCTTGCTCGTTGGCATAGTGCTGCGTTTACCTCCGTATGGATGTCCTCACCGTCAGGTTTCACGCCCTTCTTTGCTGGAGATATTGTAATACTGTGCTTGCTGAACCATGTCCGGGCCGAACGAAGCATGACGGTTCATCCACAAGTCATCCTAACCTAGACAGAACCTCGCTGCGAGTGTGGAGCGTGCGAATTATGCTTCACTAAGGAGACGCAACAACCAGCAGATGCTCGCCGATCACGCTTACATGTGTGCCACAAGTAGTCTGTCACCACGTGGGATGATACGGCGTTTGCTATCGCCGTACATAGATACCTGGGCTGGAATAGACTGCACTGACCCGCTTCATAACTGGCATACTAACAAGCGCTGGCTAACATAACTGGGCTCAATTAGCAGGTTTCGTTTTCCGGCGAATGCGCACTCGCATATCGCCGTCGATGCCCACCACTTGATTCCCTGCGTAGTTCCTTCTCAATGTCGGGAAGCTTGCGGTGCCCGGAGCCTTCGTACCGCTCCCACGGTCAACAAAGCTCACAAAGTCGATGTCGAAGTTGAGTAGCAAGACGGCAATGGTGCCGAGGACCTCCTGGCGTGCAAATATGCGACCTGGGCATTGATAGTGACCTCCTCCGAAGGGGAAGAACCGGCCCTTGAGTGCTTCGGCATTGCGTTTCAGGAAACGATCGGGCTGAAACTCATTTGGTCTATCGAAGAAGTCCGGATTCCGGTGTGTCATCCACGAAGGCGCCATGATCTGCTCGCCCTGCCGTACGGAATGGCTGCCCAGCGAAGTTGAGTTGTCGACCTGCCGTACCACCAGAAGATCAACGTACAGACGTAGAACCTCCTGAAAGGCGGAGTTGAGCAGCGGTAACCGGGTCAATGCTGGGATGTCTACGGAACCGTCTCCACGCTGCGCAGATCTCAACTCGTCCATCACCTGCCCACGGAAGCCTTCTGGGCTGGTCGGCGAGAGTAGGTGCAAGAGTAGCCAGCCCGTCGCTGGGGTAGCATTTGAAAGTATGCCGGCAAGGAAGATGAGATCAAAGCCTGCTTGAGCGTGTATACTCAATCCTTGCTGCTTGTAGAATTCATGGCGCTTGCGCACTACCTTTGCGCCAAAGTAAGGCTCCCAATCCAGATCTTCTCCATTTGCAGGGCTATGTCGATAGCCTTCTTCGAGCCAGCGCTCGAGCTTCCGTACGGTGGAATCTCGAGCAGCGTATGCCTGCCGAGCGAACAGCCTAGGTGTGCCGAACAACATGCCGAGCATGTTCTCCTCCCAGATTTGGTACTCGACTCCGAAATCTGGATACATCTCGAGTAGCTTCGAACCACACAGCGCGGTTGTGGATGCGCGAAAGACTTGCCGCCACAACCAATCGTAGAGATCGACTTCAGTCCCCTCCACCAACGCATCCTGCTGGTCTAGGTTGCTATTGAAGATCTCCATGAACTTGCTTGTCAGTGCATTGACTGCGGAGGTGCTCAAAAGGTACTCGGTATGAATCCGGGCCGTGGTGGATCTTTCCTTCTCATCTACATCGTATGGAAAGGCTTTGACAGCGTCTTCCCGCGACATTCCCAATACATTGATCCCAAGATTTTGGTCGAGCTTTGCGCGTGACACTTGACGACTTCGAAAGAGCGCAGCTATGCCGGCTTCAGAGAAAATAAAGTGCGTTCGTGTACCGCTTAGAATGATGCTGAACGCATGCTGACCATAACGGCTGGCTTGGACTTGTAGCCATGACCAATAGGCTCCGATGTTCTGGTTTGAGAACTGAATCGTTGATCCTAGCCCAGGTATTGTGTACGGCAAGAGAGGCGGAGCCGCTGGCTGCTTGTCCGCCCCGGCTTTGGCACGGTTGACTTCGTTACCGAATTGTATCCTGGTGGTAATGAATGTGTACAGACAGACAAGTGTTGCAGTCAGGACTAAGCCTGTCAGAAGCGTGCCTACTGCATTTAGCCATGGCTGCGTAGATCCCGAGATGGCGGACATGTCGCAACCGAGACGGCAGTCAATACTCAACGTGCTTTTGACGGATGCTGCATAAGGACGAAGGCCATGCAAAGCCCACAACAGTAGAACACGAAGCGCCGACTGTTATTTTGCGGTATATACTCGAAACCGATGCGGGTAGATGACACAGCAGCATGCGTTGATGGAGACCCACATTCGAACGGTAGGTCTAGCGTGAAATCAATGACCTCAAGGGGAACAGGAAGCGGGCACATTCAAAGTCCGCGTCCCGAACATTCTCCTTCTGGATTACTCTTACAGCAATCGTCTTCCATGACGGCCAGATATTGCTTCAGCATTGCACAATGAGGTGTTGGATCCGACACAAACTTGATTGCCAGTAGCGGTCTTCATATCGTGTTTGTCCCGCTGTACATACCAGACGGTGTCAACTACGGATCCCAGCTCTCATATGCCTCGCCAATTCTGCAGTATGCCCCTATCTGGGTCAAGGACTCATGCTTGGACAAAGCCATCGCCTATGGTGGGCTTAAGCACCTTAAAATTTCTTAAGTCACTGGCTGCAGCGAGCATAAGAATGCTAGCTGGTGAATGCTTATAACCTTTCGAGCACTGTGGCATTGATCTAAACGGCTGACACGAACGCGTACCCTTAGAACGTCTAAGTACATACACCCATGGCACTTTACCTTCGAAGGGCTGGTGCTGCTGCTCGCGCTTGAAATACGCCGTCAGACACCGCGGGGCCAGGTGCAGTCTTCTACTACCTGGCTTTGGATAATCAGTTTTGCCTTGCCTCAGGATAGGGTCAACAGAGCACACGGCCGGAATGATAACATGGATGCGCTCACCGATGCTGTGCTGCTACTTCCCGGCGCGTCAACAGCATAGCGTGCGATGAATTGGACGGTGTGCTGACTGGTAGCAGTGTGACCCGGGCCATAACCATGGAATTAATGTTCACGCTGTCTTGTAGCCAAGGGTTTTCGTGATGAAGATTGGGAAGACCGAGTATGCGACATTGTGCTGTGCTAGATCTTCGACTCCGCTGCTTGGTATCCTTGGCATGGACGTCCGTAAAGTCACTCGGCAATAACGCGTCAGAGCAACTTAGATGGTGCGAGGTGGGAACCGAGGCGACTTCACGAGGTGAGCTTTCTAGAGACCCAGGTTCTAGGCACACTCGCTGCGCTACGTACCCTCTACTCATGCACCCCGCAAACCCTCACGACTCTCCCGCCTTAGATCTTCAGGTACATCACACGTGAAATAAGGTCGCCCTATGTCACCTCGCATCGCCTGAGCCTGTTGTTTCCGTTACGGCCATGAGGAGGAGGAACAAACATCCTGAGGCCCGAGGTCCTGTGACTAGATGTCCCATTACTCCTCTTCAGGCGTATATAGGTAGTACTGCGCGTCGCCGTCGTTGCAAACGATTTGGTCTCATGCTTTCTCTTCCGCTTTCCGTCGCAACATGAAGCTTTCATCTGGATCGTTGCTCCTTCTTCCCATCTTGGTCGCTGCCACGCTTGCCCAGCAAGTCAATCGCACCTTGACCAACGGATGGGGCAGCACACCTACTCAACGCCACTACATCAACGCCTCTCAGGCCCTCACCGTGATCAATGCTGCCATACAGTACAGCAACTCGATCGGGTACCGACTTCCAACCGCCACAGCATAGAAGTATGCTGACTCCGCTTTAGCGTCCCCAACGACATTACCGTCCTAGACCCGAGTAGCCAGCTCGTGGCCTTCCTTCGCATGGATAATGCCTATCTTGGATCGGTTGACATCTCGATGAAGAAGGCCAAGACGGTCACATCGTTCAACGGTCTGTTCCCGTCGTACGGCCTTCTCAACCGGTCTCAACCCGGCGGTGATCTGTACGGAATCGAGGAGACTAATGGTGGTCTGGTATGCCGCTACCATGTCCGTGAGTGAAAGCTGAAGCTGACGATCATGGGGCGATCTAGGTTGTCTTCGGTGGCGGACAGCCAATATTTGATCCTACCGGTTACTTTATAGGTGCAGTCGGAGTCAGTGGAGGAACTGTGCAGCAGGACATCAACACGGCTGTGCATGCCGCCCAAAGTGTGGGGACGACCATCACAATGTAAGACACAGAACACATGAGCCCGTTCGTGCACTCGCTGTAAGCAGCCAGGAAGAGTTTTAGAGGGCGCCGTTGCTGCAGGTCGAGCGAATTAAGCAGGCGGAGCTTTAGCTCGGCGGAGACCATATGATCCAACCATCAGTTGCTGCGCGGCTCAAGTTCAATCGATGCTTATCACCCACCCATATAGAGTGCTTCCGATGTGATGCTCGCGATTCCAAGCCGTCGCGTATACGAGACGTTTGCGGGAATGCTATAAGTGCTCAGCACATCCGCATTACGGACTTGCGCCATTGACGGCGCGGTTGCTTCTGCCTACTCTGGTTCCCCTTCGTTCGTCCCTTCACTTCTCCAATCAGATCGTTGTGCTTTTTGAACTTTTCCTAGCTCTCCGCACTGCAAGTGAATTATGGCCAAAACTGCAGAGTATGCCCTTGCTCGTGCGTCCTTACCGCAATGTGTATATTCTTCCAAGACTCGTCTTTGGCAACTCCAATACGGAAGCAGACGGCATGGGACGCCCGCCGTGTATCTAGATTCGCCAGGTCCTCTACCTTGTTACCGCAGGGCTGGGTTTCAACTTGAGAAACAAGAGCACAGCATCTGTGCAGTCGATGACAACATGGCCGGATGGTGCGAGTGCCGTTCCGGACCGCGAGAAAGCAGTACCAATCAGGAATGTTTGCAATGCTGGTAACGAGTGCGGCCAAGCGTAGGCCTCTACCTGGACCATCGGAGCTAGGAATGCAGCTCCATTGACGCTGTTGTTGAAGTTGACTATGGCAACATGTAGTTGCCCGGTCAGCGCCATCAAGCTCGCGACGGAAGCTACCACACTCAGAGGGTTACCTGTGGGCCTCACGCGAGGTAGCTGTTCGGTATAACACCACCCAGCTCACCCTGTTTACGGTCATTTGGAGCCTTTTCGGTACAAGGTCCAATGTCTTAGTCACGTCGATATGTTCGTTTCTGGCGAAGTCAGGTGGGAACCCTACCTTGACAAGGATGTGTTCATGACGCTACAGAGTGTTCACATTGGAACTTGGTATTGCCCTCATATTCAACGACCCTATAAGCAGCTTCCTTGTCGATCAAAGTAGGCCTATCGACATTCGAGCTTACGGCGTTGGTAAATACACAGCGATCCTCTGGTCTACGATCGTTTGCATGCTAGGATGTACCCTCACTGGAATTGGCTGGCTGGGAAAATGTCGGCGCTAATGCTTGGGAGGCTTGAGCACATGGTGCGACGTGGTACGTTTGGAGGCGACAAGCTTAACGAGCGAGTGTGAGTGTGAGTTCTATTGGGTTTTGCCGCATGGCATGCAGGCTTCACCTCCCCACAGAGGGGATGTGCGCTCGTCTAGTGAGAAAGATGGGCGTACGTTTCGGTATGCGCCTGGGACGAGGCTTTGATAGCCCCCGTCATACCAGGCTAATGCTACATGTAAGCAGAAGAGCAAGCTTACCTTGATCGTCAGCCTCATTCCCTTGGCAGACCAACGAAGGGTTAGCGTTCCCCCGCTAGCGGTTGAGCCGCCAAACCCTGCGTCATCGGGAAGTCACGACAACGCCGCAGCGGATTTGCCATGCACGTTTAGCGCGCCCTGACGTTGACGTAGTTCTGTTACATACAGCGTCTCCAAAGCTTATTCGAGACGTGACAGACGCGGGCCTTCTGTCACATCTGCGCTGGTCAACAAGCAAGACTGCATTGCTTTTGTGATATGGACAACTGGGTATAGCAAAGAACCGTCGAGCTTGTCGCTTCCGCGACGTGGCGCTGTCTAGATCAACGGCTTGCCGGGCGGGAAAGCGTCCGAAGATCCGTATCGCAGACTGCTTTGTTAGACGGCCGGGTTGGCAAGATTACTTCATAGAGATCGTAGACTGGTTTGCATTGCTGTCTACTCCTTTGCATACTCGCACCACGATCAGAGTACCTGATACCATCTCACCACCATCTGCGTCATTGGCATCGCCTGCATCTTCGATTCGTAAGCGCGCATTACCGATCCAGGAAACTACAGCACTGTCACCGCACCCACGACCGACGCCGCGAAGCGTCAGCGCCATCGTTTGGCCTGGGCTAGAGCGACCGGATTTTCTGGCAGTTGTAATAAGCAACGGACTCCTGTCCGCCAAGTAGTACTCTCAATGTTGCGGAAAATCGAGGTAAGTGAGGTTTCATCGCCAAACCACTGCTGCGGTTAGCGAACCTCCATTGAGACGGGCCACGAACATTCATGTTCCTTGCTGCGAGCGTGCAGCATGGTGGGGAAGGGGCAGGAGGTGCCTGAGTCGCAGCCTCCTTTCTCTTTGTTGCGCACATGCAATATGACGTAGCCAGGCCCTACGTCAACTGCCAAGACGTCAACGGGAGCCATCCATCACCACACTGCATCATCAGGTCGGGTCGGATCAGTCACCTGCTCGGTTACTACCACAGCTCCAGCGTCAGCCAATCTCCTGGGCTTCACCATTCAAACGCCCAGCACGACCTCTAGCGGTGTCCTGAGCGCGTCCTCACACCCATACCACAAGTCTTACTCATACTACATTCACTTGACTGCACACCCACCTCCCGCACGTGTACACCCCCCGGCTCTGACCATGACTACCATACAGAACCTCAAGAACTTCATCCGGCATGGGAAGCAAGCACGCGACGGCCGGTCACCGCAGGGCGAAGCGACCACTCACGTCTCGAATGTCCACGCGCAGCAGCAGCGCAACAACAACTACGCCGCTCAGCAACAGCACAACCAATACGGCATAAGCGATCCTAATGTCTACGAGCACAAGCCACTTCAAGCACAAGCGCCCGCGCACGACTATTCTGCGCCCGTGGTAGACGGCCGAAATGTAGCCGCCAAAGCGGGACATGCTGCTGCTGGGGCTGTAGACCAGGCACAGAAGCGGAACCAGAAGAAAGACGACTACGACCCTGACGTACTGCAACGCATCGTGGCCGAGGAGCGCGAGAGCAAAGGTAAGCTGCCTAGGTACCCTGGCCTGGAACGATGGACGCTCGTGGAGAAGATGGGCGACGGCGCTTTCAGCAATGTCTACCGAGCCAAAGACAACCAACACCAACACGATCAGGTCGCCATCAAAGTCGTACGCAAGTTCGAGATGAACTCGACACAGGTATGTATACGTGCGCTGCCCTTCTACACCAGTCCCTCCCTTGCCTTATGTCGCTCGCAATGCCATTCGTGGGCATCACAGTACCATGCCAACACAGTGGCCCTAGGGCGTTCTACATCCGGACTTCGATAAAAAGGCGCCGAAGACAGTGGAGGTGCGCATCACTGTCCAGTTTCCATTACTCTGCGTTTGATTCACTGCCATTGCCGCAATGAGCAGTCACTGACGTCATCTATCGTAGCGTGCCAATATTCTCAAAGAAGTACAGATCATGCGGCAACTCGACCATCCCAACATCGTCGGCCTCATCGACTTCTCAGAAAGTCGGCAGTACTATTACATCGTTCTCGAGCTATGCCCTGGTGGCGAGCTTTTCCACCAGATTGTCCGTTTAACATATTTCTCCGAAGAGCTGTCACGACATGTGATTGTCCAAGTCGCAAACGCGCTGGAGTACTTGCATGAGGAGGCTGGTGTTGTGCATCGGTAACAATTCGCCTTTTGCCGCTGAGGTTGTGCTGTGACTAAACGTGCTTAGGGATATCAAACCCGAGAACCTACTTTTCTATCCAATTCCGTTTGTACCAACCAAGAATCCCAAGCCGAAGGGCCCAGAGGATGAAGACAAGGCCGATGAAGGCGAATTCATCCCTGGTGTCGGCGCAGGTGGCATCGGTACCATCAAGATTGCCGATTTCGGCCTGTCGAAAGTCATCTGGGACAGCCAGACAATGACGCCTTGCGGCACCGTCGGCTACACTGCACCGGAAATCGTCAAGGATGAACGATACTCGAAGAGTGTCGACATGTGGGCGCTCGGCTGCGTCCTGTACACACTGCTTTGCGGCTTCCCTCCGTTCTACGATGAGAGCATTCAGGTCTTGACCGAGAAGGTAGCGCGTGGCCAGTACACGTTCTTGTCGCCGTGGTGGGACGATATCTCGAAATCTGCGCAAGACTTGGTGTCCCATCTATTGACTGTGGACCCTGACAAGCGCTACGACATCAAGCAGTTCCTCGCCCACCCCTGGATCCGCCAGACCAATGAGCCAACCCACGCTGCGGCGGATGCACCGCCTCTTGCCACGCCTCTCTACTCGCGCCAAGGTGCACAATCCGCCGGATTTAACGACAAAGGACCCTCGCCACTTAAGCCCGACTTTGCCTATCTCGACGAGACACCTGGAGCCGGCCGTCGCCAGGACTTCCGCTCCCCGGGCGCTGTCAACCTCCGCGAAGTCTTCGACGTCGGATATTCCGTGCACCGCCAAGAAGAAGAAGGCAAGCGGCGCAAGAACTTCAAGCAAGGCTACCGTGGCGGCAACCCCATGAACAGCCTGAACGCTCTCGATGAAGAGTACGACGACGACGAGTTCGAGGGCGAGAGCGAGCCGTACAGTGCCAGTCAGGCCAATCCCCCGGCCAAGGTACCCAAAGCTGGCGGTCCCGGTGCCGATGTTGCGGCAATGGAGAAGCAAATGCGCGACACGAAGCTTTCGGCTGCAGCACAGGCACGACAGGCAGCTGCACCAAAGACAACCGCCGCATCGCAAGCGAAAGGATATGGACAGCATTCGCCGGAAGTCGCCGCGGCGGCTAAGCGGCAGGTCAAGAACAAGGCTGGCGCCTTCGAACTAAGTCTTGACAATGCGACGTTGCTTGGTCGGCGCAAAAAGCCCGTCGAACCAAGTGGACTGCGTCAGGAGCAGGTGGTGCAGTGAAGATTGGCAAAAGTCTTGCTCATATGGGTGTAAGTTGGCATGCACCTTGTTACAGATCTACGGCATGGCGAAAGGATGATCACTAAAAGGTATGTTTGACGAGCCGCATGGGTTTCCGACGAGCAAAGTATACGACTGTCTCTTCAGCATTGAAAGGCGCAATGGGCGCAGAGCGAGTTCAGCTCATAGTCAGCGCCGTTGGCGGCGTTCATAGAGATAAGGCGTGGATTGGCAGTGGCAGTGGCAGTAGGGTCTCTTGTAGCGTGTTGAAGATGACTTAACTTCTCGTCTGTACTCTTCCACCAGGAGTGACACGTATGTAATGTGCAGGGGGGAGTGAGTGCATGCTATTCTCAAGGGCGCCATGGCGTTGACATGGCTACGCACGAGCAGCTGAAGTCGCCCACCGACACCAGACTCACTTACGCCCATTACCCCATCAATCACTCTCATTGAGTCGCTCATTCTCCGCATACTTCCTCATCCAGTTCGGCACGCTCTCACACCTCTCCGCCCTGTCCTTCATATCACGTACCCGATCCATCATCCACCCGCTCGTCGTCCTGTTAACCGCCAACCCTGTATCCTCATCTACCTCCACGTCCCTCGCATCTAAATAATGACCCAGTCTGACACGTCGGTGCAGATGGCAGCGTCCGGTCCCGGTGGTGGAGTAGAAGAATTGCATGCATTCGTTCCACTCCTCGCAGGCGACGCGGCAGTTGCGCAGGGACTCGTGGGCCACCTGCTCCCAGTCGTGGAGCTCGGAGAAGGCGGTCTCGCGCTCTTCGTCGGACAGCTCGTCCCAACGGTTGTCTTTTAAGTAGTAGCCGTCATTTTCGATCGATTCTTTCCGTCCGTCGTTAAGCTCACGCCAGACATCCTCTTGTTCTTGCTCCTCGAGATCCGACCAAATGGTCTTCTTTTTGAACCTTCTATCCTCGTCGCCATGCAGGCCTTCAAGCCCGGTATAGATCCGGTCACGCGACGCATTGTCCCAGTCGCTCCGCGTGGACGCGATATGTGGCTCTACCAAATTGACGAAGAGGTCACGGTAGACATAGTGCGTTTCGCCTTTACCGAGCCACTTAGTCTCGAATTGGTACAGCGACTCGACGTCATGAGCTCGCATGTGATGCCATGAAATAGCGGGCTCACACCAGCGTTCTGGGTCCCACTCGAACCAAGTCACTCCTTCGCCGTACAAACCTGGAATACCGGTAAGATTGACTCCAGCCTCATACAGCACGGCACCGAGATCAACGTCGCCGCAGCAACCTTCGGCTGTCATTCGCTCCCATTTCGTGATGTGCTTGCGATCCCAGATGGCGTCCAGCTTACGCATTGCTGCGTTGGAGATGAAGTAGCCCATACCCCCGTGTGCGAAAGCGGTGTCGCCGAAGAAGTGTACGGCGCCGAGATACCAAGGCTTTCCCGGATCATATTGAGCCAGCAGTTCCAGCACATTGGGCCATGCCATGTACGAGTCAGCCTCGAGGAAGATGTACCACTTCGCGTCCGGCTGCGCCGCGTACGTCTTGTGCGTAATGGGCACGAACTTCCACTTGTCGAGATCCCAGGCCGAGCCGTGGGCTTGTGTTGTGATCTTCATCAAGCTCAGATCTTGGCCTTTGGCGGCGAGATCCAAGAGGCGGCGGTAGAACTCGAAGTCACGGTGGCTGTACTTGTATTTGTCACTGACGTCTTCAAGAGCGGAGTGGACGTGGTAGTCAGAGATGTCTTGCTCGAGGTCGGAGAAGATCATGTAGTTGGGCACACAGCGGAGCGTAGTCATGAGATGCTCTGGAAGCTTCGCGTAGAGCTCGGTTGCACCGGTCTTCATTGAGATGAGGAAGTCCTTCGAGTCGGCCACGACTGGGCAGTTGGCGGTGTTGATCGAGCTCGTAGGCGTAGGATATGACACTTGCTTGACAGAAGCGGTGGGGCGAGACTCTTCGTATTCCTCGTCGTGCGTTTTAGGCACCTCGGTGACATGATTGAACATGTGATCCCAATTGAGGGGCGAGCGATCATTGTCATCATCCTCTACCGGTCGTGGCGGTTCCTTTGTAGATTTTTGCAATGGCAACTCAGGTGCATAGTGTGAGACGACCTTTTCTGCATGCTCGTGAACTTCCGGCAAGTAATGTCTCGATAAGAGCATAATCATCACCACGACCAATGCCGTGGTGAGCACTTTCCAAAAGCTGTTTCGCGGCCATAGCGAAGTGGAGCGAATGATGACCATGCTGAATGCTGCTCGACTTTACGAGATGCGTCTTGCGCAGTATCGTAGCATACTTGGCAAGGAGACGGTGCTATACCCACTGATGACAGCCGGCGTAAAAGAGAAGGAGAGAACACTCACTCACCGTTCAACACGCAGAGACGGGCAGCATGCGAGCATTATCGTGACGTTGTTAGCCTGTCCAACCGTGTTCTGCAGGTTGGTAAGGCATTGAGGACTGTGCTATTAGTAGCTACTTTGGCGAGGGAGCTTTCACAGGTAGTTGTCGATGCATGCGGCATGTTGTGAAGCGGGGACACCACGACATTGGCTGGCTGTTTGCTGATAGCTGCAGATGCACGCGCACTTCGGGAGGATTTGTGACACATAGAACGAGGTGTTTGAAGGGTGAAGATTGAGGCTGTGTCTGGGTGTCGTCTCTAGTAACCGAGCCAGAGCTCCGTGGTTCGCCTGAGCTTGATGTCCCACGTCTGCGGTAGACCGAGCCTTTCGCATGGGATTATTGTTGAATGGCTGATCTCTAACGCCATATCCGGCGTTGAAGAGCCATGCGCGATTGCTGGATGTCCTCTAAACCAGGAGGAGCGTCAGGAGGTTGACAGGAAGAGGAGACTTATTGGACAAAGGAATCCGTTGTGAGCTTGGACATCTCGAGGGAGTGACGCCAGTTTCCTCGGCCCGTATGGCGGCCAAAAGCGCTCAATGTTCTCCAACCACATCAGCCCGATTCTCCAGCACCCAGCAGCTTCGTAGCAGCTTAGAGACCCTGAGTGATCTTGGGGAAGCAGTACAACACTCATGCTTGTCTCCGCAAGGTTTTCGCCATCTCCAGCAACACCCCAAGCCTCTCAACCCTTGCCACCTTCACCTCCTTCTGTCAGAAGGTGTTCAAGTGTCGATAAAGATCCGTATCCTCCTATTTTTGCACCCCAAAGCACCGCCCACCCACAAGGTCCATATAGACTCTCCCATCATCGTCCTCCACCCAACACCATACTCACGCGTTTCCCAATTGTAGCAAAACCCCTCGAACTTCCCTCCCTTCAAACAACACCACTCCATACACCCATCCCTCGTTCCACTAAACCATACCAGGCTTTCAGGCTCACATAGGCAGAACCCACAGCTTGTCGCCGCACTTTTCGGTATTAGGATGTAAATGGAAACGGTACAACCACCGTTTGTTGCGCTTCTTGTTTGCAAAGAGTATTTCTTCGTCGAATAGACGGTCTAAGATGCTTGTGGTGTTGCTGATGACCGCACTGAACTGACTGTCGACTTGGGATGCGACCAGCAGGTGGCGGAGACGTGGGCGGAGGCAGATCTTCTCCAGAAGCTCTAGGATGGCGAGAAGGCGTTGTAGTGCCATTGTGTGCTTCTGGAGTGCTAATTGAGCTGGGACCGATGTGCGTCGATAAACAACCGATTCTGATCTTGCGAAAACATGGTCAACAGACTGGCGGACTGGCAAGCATGTGAGAAAGGCGATATGGAGGCTAAGACATCGATTCCCACAGATCGATTTGGGCTACAACTTCACTTCGCTGGTATCACCTGTTAACAAGCAATCGCTATAGACTAGGGAGACAGCACCACCATCGAGCAAGTGTCTTCGCAACCGTAAGCATGGCAACAAGCTTTCATTACGACATCCCGGCATCACGGCATCACTTCCAACACGCAGTCGACCTCGCCAGACTCGAACATTTCTTCTCCCACCACATTCCCGTTGGGGTGACCGACCCGTCAGCCCCCAACAGAGATACCGCGGACTCCAAGCGTTGGATATCGTCGGGATTCAGACCCCGATAGAACGAGCGATTCCCATAACGACACCCACCCCAACGCTCATACCTGGCACCAACACCTGCCCGCAGCAGACTACAACACCCGAGACGACGCAAGATTGTTCGCAGCCAACCAAGTCTCGGCGACAGATAGGTCGTCGCGGCTGTTGCTGCGAGGTTGCCGGATTGCTTCTCAATTGATTTGCTTCGAAGCAATCAATATGAACATGACGTTTCGCGACGATGATAAAAAGACAACTAGAGGCTCAAGCTGGCGCGATTATTTCTGGATCGATGCTTGAAGCGGCCGTGTGAGTGGTCATGTCGGCAACGCTGTGGTCGAGTCACCACGTTGAGTCGATCTGGTTAACGGACAAGTTATCGTACCAACCTATCGCCGACCTTCGGGAGGCGAGGTGACGGCGTTGCTATGGAGCAAAAGAGCGTGCAGTGCGAAGTTGAACGGACAGACCCTATCAGCTAGATTTCAACCCGCCGCCCACTATTTCCCAATCAGTCTTTTCGCAATCACGACCAGCGCAAGTCAAACCCGCAGCAGACAACAACATACCATCCAAACCCGAGCTGTCTTCCTTACAAGACATCAATCAAGAAGGACTTTGAGCGCGGACACGCAACACGTTCAGCAGAACGGCCGACCCAACCCAACCCATGCGTTCCAGCGCGGATCTGAGATGGGGGAGAACTCAGTCCTCCACTCCCCCCCCCTTCACATGTCCGGGAGTGGGACAAAGCACGCCTTCGAAACGACAAACGACAAACGACAACCACAAGCGAAGCGCGAAAGGGGGGTTTTTCTGTACACGAAGGTTCTTTGCTATTTCTGTTTTGGGGCGTAGAGAGTGACACGGCGCGATTGCTGATATGTGGCAATTGTGTACTCTCATTTCTAGCTAGGGCACTCGTCACGTAACGTCACGTCAGGCCACGCTCTGGTTCCCCATGGCCTTCAGCTCCGCGCCTCCTCAGCACCCTGCCTCCCGATCGGGTACATTCTCGCCCGTTTCGCTTTCCTCATCATCACGTCACGCTCACGCTCGCGCTCACCCGCCTTCTGCTCCTCCCGATACACCCTCTCCGCTTCTTCCCACTCTTGCTCGGCGATGGCGTCTTGTTCTCGCTGCCAAATCGTAAGTCCGCGCGGTCCTTCTTCGAACGAGGACGAAGGGACGAGGGTGTGATTTGAAAGTCCCGACGATACTGATACTGATACTGATACTGAGGATGACGCCGATGACGAGGACGCGGAGTCGATGCCGTGGATAGGGGTAGGTCGTGCCGCACTACCACGCGTGTCCGCAGCTTGCGCAGCATGACGATACCGGCGAAAATAGCCTCGCCCACCCGCAGCTTCGGACCCGGGAGCACCCCACATCCGCCCGTGCCAAGGGGACACCGGCGACGGGACTCGAACGACCTCCTAGAGTTCTTCGTCCCCCTCACCATCCACCTCCATTCCCGCGGCGCCGCCTCCTTTCCCCGCCCCGTTCCCGTTCGCATGCCCATTCTTCCCCGCCGCCGCGAACCGTGAATGCTGCACCCCGACCCCCTCTGTTCCGCCCCCGCCCCCGACCGCCGTAGTGGCCTCCTTGTCGATCATCTGCCTCGTCACCGCGACAATGTTATCCTCCATCACCTGCTGCCCGAGCGACTCGATGTGCTTCTTCGGGTCCACCTTACCCACATACCGCGTCCGCAACTGCTCCTTCGTGAGTTCCTGCTCCTCCTTGACGCGTTTCTCGTACCCGTCCGCCAGTTTGGCGAGCTTCTGCAGATTCTCCAGGTTACGCGCGGATTCGGATTGGAAGTCCGGCATGGTTAGGCCTTCGGTCCAGACGGTCTTGTGGAGGTTCATGAGCATGTTTTCCTCCAACGCGGTTTTGCGGTAGCCGATGCCGATGCTGTAGTAATGTCTGTTCAGGCCGTGGATCAAGGCTTGGATGGAGGGTTTGTTCAAGTGGCCGAGATTGGAGGTGGTTTGGCGCGGTTCTTGGCCGAGCATGAGGGTTTGCGGGTTGATGAGGCGGAAGGCGTCGATGACGACTTTTCCCTTGACGGATTGGATGGGGTCGATGACGACGGCGACGGCGCGCGGGGTGAGTTGTTCGAAGGATTGTTGGGTGTTGATGTCGACGCTGGAGAGCCAGCAGCCGAAGCCCGGGTGGGAGTGGTACCAGCCTACCACTGTTTCGGGGCTGCCACATGCATTAGTGTGGCGTTCAGACGGAGGTGATGATGTCGGCTTACCGCCCTGTCTGCCGTAGCATGTCCATCATTTTTGTTTGGAAGACAGGATCGACTGCCTCGACGGAGACACCTGTGCCTGATTGGGGCATGGCGAAGACGTCTACCACGCGGACGGTGTAGTCATCAACGAACTCGCCCAGCATGAGACCCATGACTTCCATCGGCACACCAGCGCGGCCGTGGCGCAGCATCTTCAGTAGAGCGAGTGAGGAGATGTAGACCATTTCCGCATTGTCGATGATGTTGGTGTCCTGTGAGCGACCATGTTAGCACTGGTTCACGCGGCAAATTGTTTGGGAGCAACATTGTTTTGGCAAAGGACTTGATGGGGTAGGAAAGGCGCAAGCACGCGCGTGGCGCCACCTCGACGCCGAGAGGTGGGATTGGTGTTGCTGCGTCTTGGCCCAGCACCGTTTCTCCCATCGCCGGTCCCGTCGGTGGTCCATGGGTCGGTGCCGCTTCGGGATTGTCGTGGCATGGTGGAACTGAAGCGGTCTTGAAAGGTTACCGGCGCCGTGGAAGTGACGTGCCGGGTGGAGTGATATATACGTGGCGCACAAGGCACCGTGGTTTAGGGGGGAGAACGAGAAGTCCACGACGATGGCGTCCGCAAGTTGGCAGGAGCCATCAGAACAACCCGATTGCGGATGGCGCAGGGCTGTGGTGGAGGGTGTCGCACTTGCGTGATGTGGATGTCTTACCTGAGCAGGAGCTCCCCCGCCGCCACCGCCCATGCCTTGAGCGGCAGCCAACATCCTCGATAACCGGTCCATCGCACCTTCTTCACACTCCCTTCCCCCTAGATGTTGCCTGTACTATTCCGGAGCACGTGCGCAGTTGCTGGTTAGCGAAGCTGTCCGTGGTGCGCTTTGTATGGCCAAGAGCGACGGACAGGAGGTGATGAAAGTGATGAGCTGTGCGTCGTGGTGGTGGTGATGGTAGTGGTGGTCGTGTTGGCCTTTCTTCAAGGTGAAGGAAGAGCGGTGGAGATGGGTATTATTGTTGGTGGTAGTGGTGGTGACGGATGAATGAATCGCAGGCAGTCGATGGCGACGAAGCTCCGCGACTCATGAATCGTGGCGTCGACACCTCATGCAAACATTCATGTATGGGCCGACCCGCTCGGTGCTCGGCAGACCTGCCAGGTACACTTCTCGAGCTTCTGAAGGTAAGCCATGTGCTCAATCATACCATCTACATACTCTTTCTCTCATACCATCTCCCCACCCATACCCGCCAACCTCCGCAACACCCTCTATTACTCAGTCAAAGCGCGCAAAGACCACACTTCTACCACTCTCGACAGCAACACATCACCCACCACAGGCATAGCACGACACACATCTGACCAGGCCGACAAGGCCTACCACCTACCCCTCGCATACCCTTCAACATGGCCACCACCGCCGGCACCTACGCCCCCATCACCGCCTCCACCACCACCCCGCAACCCACCAAAGTCGCCTACTTCTACGACTCCGACGTGGGCAACTACGCCTACAACGCCGGCCACCCCATGAAACCCCACCGCATCCGCATGGCCCACAGCCTCATCATGAACTACGGCCTCTACAAACGCCTCGAGATCTACCGCGCCAAGCCCGCCTCCAAGCTCGAGATGACGCAGTTCCACACCGACGAGTACGTGGATTTCTTATCGAAAGTCACGCCGGATAATATGGATGCGTATGCGCGCGAGCAGGGCAAGTATAATGTCGGTGATGATTGTCCCGTGTTTGATGGGTTGTTTGAGTTTTGTGGGATTAGTGCGGGTGGGAGTATGGAGGGGGCGGCGCGGCTGAATCGGGGGAAGTGCGATATTGCGGTGAACTGGGCGGGCGGGTTGCATCATGCGAAGAAGAGCGAGGCGAGTGGGTTTTGTTATGTTAATGGTGAGCCATCTCTCCACCTAACCTGCTCTCTGACTAATATGTGATAGATATTGTTCTGGGGATAATAGAACTCCTCCGCTTCCACCCCCGCGTCCTCTACATCGACATCGACGTCCACCACGGCGACGGCGTGGAGGAGGCCTTCTACACCACCGACCGCGTCATGACCGTCTCCTTCCACAAATACGGCGAGTACTTCCCCGGCACCGGCGAGTTACGCGACATCGGCGTCGGGAATGGGAAACACTACGCCGTCAACTTCCCCTTGCGTGACGGGATCGACGATAAATCGTACAAAGATTGCTTCGAGCCGGTGATCCAGTGGGTCATGGACTTTTACCAACCCAGCGCTGTCGTTCTGCAATGTGGAGGCGATAGTCTGAGTGGTGATCGGTTGGGTTGTTTCAACCTGAGCATGCGCGGACATGCGAATTGCGTCAATTTCGTCAAGTCGTTCAACAAACCTACTCTCATACTAGGAGGAGGCGGATACACCATGCGCAATGTCGCTCGTACGTGGGCGTACGAAACCGGCCGGCTCGTAGGAGTGGAGATGAGTTCCGAACTGCCGTTTACGGATTACTATGAATACTACTCCCCGGACTTCGAGCTGGAAGTCAGGCCGAGTAATATGGACAACGCGAACAGCCCGGAATATCTACAGAGGATCAAAGAGCAAGTCTACGATAACCTGCGACGTACCCAAGCGGTGCCTAGCGTACAACTTCAGGACGTTCCGCGACAGCCGCTTGGCCCGGTGGTGGACGACGAGGAAGACGACCGCCTTGACGACGAAGAAGCGGACGCGGAGCAAAGCAAGGACAAACGGTATACCTCCCGTCTCTGGGACAGGAAAACGGAGCACGCGAACGACTACGACGAGATGTCTGATGACGAGGAACTGGCGGAAGCTCAGGGGGTGAGACGGCAACCGGGCAGGCCGAAGAGGAAGGGGATCATGGATTATCGCAACCCGCATGCTCCCGATGATGATAATAGCGGCGCTGTGACGCCTGTGGGGCGGAATGGGGAGGAGGAGGGGGCGAGGAGTTCGAATGGGATGCAAGTGGATGCTGGCGGGGCTATGCAGGTTGATGGTCCGGCGGCGGCGGCGGATGTGGATGTGGAAGAGGAGGTGGGGGTTACGCTTGGGGATACGGAGGCGGCGGATGATTTGGCGGCGATGAAGGCTGCTAATGGGAGTGCGACGGGTTCCCGTCCGCAAGACGTAGCGTCGAATGTCCCCTTACTCGGGGATGCCCCGCCTGGGGTTGCGGTGCCGGATCCGGAGTTGCAGGCCGAGAGAGCGCCTGCGAACGGCGCGGAAGCTGCACCTACCGCGCCGTCGCAAGCGGCAGCGGCGGCGGCAGCGGCCCCGCAAGAAGACGTCGAAATGGCTGATGCTGTGGCCAAGGAACGAGATGAAGGACGGCTGGAACGTACGCGGGAGGATGTGGATGCGGAGGTGGCGAGGGAGATGGCCGAGGGTCCCGGTGGGCCGCCGGCTGCTTAGAGGGCGGTGTTTGCGTCGAGATCTTACCGTAGCAGGAGCGAGGACCCTAAGAGTGAGCGCGGGAGCGAAAGTCAGGATGGAGATTGCGGACGCGCGCACGGTGAGAGCAGCCGGAATGCTCGGAGGGAGGACGTGGAAATGGCGATTGAGTACGCTGCAAGCGAGGGCGAGCATCGCGGTAGCAGTGAGAGCAGCGAGGATAGTAGGGGCGAGTACATTGAAGCGGCAATTGAACACGCTGCAAGCGAGGGCGAGAGCGAGAGCGACTACCATCAGAACAGCGAGAGCGAATACCACGACCTGCAGCGGGAACAGCGGGTATAGTGCGCGCAGTGAGTGCAGCGAGCGTACCGGCAGCACCGCAAGCAGCGAGAGCATCGAGAGCATCGAGCGCACGGAAAGCACTGGCAACAGTGAGGGCAGCGAGAAGAGCGACAGCAGTGCGACGCATGATGGGAACGGTCACAATGAGGCAACGCTTTCCCGCGAGCTAAAGGCGATAACGCATGTTCGCGTCTCCGTTATACTATGTTCGAGACTGATACGAAGCTCGAGCGGAGGGATCGGCGGGCGAGGAAGGGGCAGAATGCGAGGAAGAATACGAGAAAGAACACGAGAAGAAGTGTCGAGGAGTTTCCGGGCTAGATTGAGGGAAATTTGTTTGTTATCGGATGGGGCTAGCGATGGCGCTGGTGGTGCGCTTCTTTATTAAATGGGTGATGAGGGTGGGATGGGGATGGCGTCCAAGTCCATGCTATGATGCGTTGAGCACGCTGTGCACGAAGATCTTTTCTACGATCCATAGATGATGGCACGGCTGCGACGAGGCGGCAGGGGCTCATGTACCTGTAACTCTATCCACGTGGAACTTTTACGATACGACAAACAGTAAGACCTGCGATGCAGGATCGGAGATAATAATGCGTTGTCTAGCGATGCTACCTGCGCCCTTAACATCTCTGGGTATCGATCTTATCATCCTTCCGCAAGGTGTCCATAGCCAACGCGGATATCTTCCGTGCAAATGGTGTAATGTTACCGCAACCTCACCCGCTAACAGTTCCGACAAACACTTCGCAAAGCCCCTTCCCACAAAGCGCCTTCGCTATGCAGTGTCGATGTCAATGGGTCGCTCAACCAAAATTCCGCGCATGCCGCCGTCCATGAGCATGTCGGGCAACGTGCTCGAACGCCACTCTGTTCATCCCGGCCGATGGGCCTGCCGCAGGCGGGATGCTGACGGTCGAGATCGTCGGGAAATTGATCGCTTGTGAGCTGACGCTAAATGACTGACTTCCAATCATGCCTGCCGAAGGCGCCGGCTCGGACGGAGAGGCCACCGTGGTCGTCGCCATCGCGCTGGCGGTTACGGTGACCGTGAACGTGACCATTGAGGAAGCGGCACTACTGGGCCGCGGCGATGTCTGTGCGCTCGTGAAGAAGCCGCGGAATGATTGGCTACTGGGAAGGAGCGGTGTTGGCATCGTTGAGGCACTCGCGCTTGACGCCGGTGTAGAGGTGCTACCACTCGTCGACGTGGCGGTTTCGGCAGCGGTCACTGCAACTGTGGTTGCGTACTGCTTGACGGCGTCCAAAGCCGATGTGTACGCGGCACCAGTGAAGATGCTCACGGGTGCGCAGCTCGCCGGAGCGGTCACGGACGGCTTCGGATTGCCACTGGCGGAGCATGCACTGGCGAAGGTGCTGGCGATGGTTGCAGAAGGGCCGATGGTGCTTGTACCGTTTAGCACGTAGACAACTGGCGAAGTGGTATAAGCCGTGCGTGACTTGAAGTCAGAGACCGCAGTCGTTTGCGGATTCTCTTGCGCAAGTGTGTGCATGCCTGTGTTTGCCAGAATTGCCGCGTCGATATCGCTACCGCTCGCTGCAACGACCTCGAAGTCCGAGCATGTGGTGTAGTACTCGTCCTTGCCTTCGGGGTACGTGCAGTCAGCGTTCGGCTCTGTCGGCCATTGCCAAACCCAGTAGACCGTCAGTGTCCCAGCCACCTGTGATGTCGGAATCTGGAGATCAGTCTCGCACCACTGTTCGACGTTCGAACCCGGCTGGCCTTGGACGTGATCTGGAAAGAGGGTTTGGCGGTCGACAGAAATGTTGCCGCAGTTGATCTGATGACAACGACCGTCATCGAAGTTCTGCGCCGTCATTAGGAAGCCCTTTCCGTTGCCACCTGTGCCAGCCTTGTCCCAGGCCAATACATCGGCGATCTTCTCAGCATCCGATGGTTGCGTGGTGCCGTAAACGAAGACAGTCCCACCAGCAGTCGGCTTACCAAGTTGGTTCCATGGAAGCGTGACGTGGCCATTCTCCAAATACTTCATGGCAACGTAGCTGCCAGGCGTGACTTGAATTTTCGGATATGCAGGGTTGGTGTAATTAGAGGAGCGCTGCGACGGGTGGCATAGGAGATCGGATGAGTCGATGCGAACACCCGCTTGTGGAAGCAGGTAGTTCATCGTAAAGCCGTTATAGCCTGGATCTGTACGTGCCACGTAGCCACGCGGGAACCCGCGGTCGCCGATGTATGAACCATTAGAACCGACGACCTGGAACTCCTCGATCCAAGAGTGGGCGAAGGTCGATGGGAGCAGAGCGAGCGCTGCCAGAGCGCAGAACAGATTGATCGTTGTGGAAAGCATGTTGCTTAGAGCGAGAGTGTCGATGTCGGTGAAAGTCGCGAAGAAGGGTAGCGTCAGCTTCGTAGTTCAGGATAGCAATATCTAGTCAATGATTTTCGAGCTGGGGTTACTGAACTTGACGTTTCGAAGCAAGGTTGATGAAGGAAGGTATGGGCAGTGCCTGCAGCTGCGGGTATACAATTCGCAGCGAGTGTTATTGTTGCGGCCAGCGCTGTATGACAATGGAAAATGAACAATAGAACAATGAAGGAGAATGGGAAAAGCAACACGTCCACGCAGTAAGAAAGAGGTGTAGCTCACGCGACACAAAGGACGAGGGTAGAGCCGGACAATGGGCGGATAGATGGGGTGAAGTAAGGGTCGCATATGAGGTTTGTTACGCGTTTGCGCGACCATAGAGACAGGCGGGGCATGACCACTCTGTGCTGGGTAGCGCATGTTGCGAGATGACAAGATGGTGACAACGCATGGGTAATGGAGTGCTGGAGGCACTGAGTACACCGTGCTGTCATTGCACCCAGCAGACTACTTCTAGAATGGCGTGAGCGTACAAGGTTCGATACGGTCTCGGTATCGCGGAGTTCGGTAGCCGCAGACTGATCCTGCAACTGTTCCGTTTCGGAGATGTAAGGCTGTCCTGGGCGGCTCATGAGCCAGTGACTTGGAGTGTTAGGAGGCGAGGCGCTACATGAAACTGCGTGGAAGAACGATGTTGTTTCGGTGAAGGAGTTCAGATCGCATGCGCAAGTTCTGATTGGCTTACGGGAAAGGCTGGCCCGAGCGAGCCGCTAAGCCATTCATCAATGAGCCTTACTCGTGACTCTTGCAGCATTACCGTAAAGAAAGCGGACAACCGCATTCACGTACAGCCTCTTGTCACGCATTCTTCGTCCCAAAAAGCAAAAGATATAAGTGTTGATGAGGGTGGGACTCGAACCCACGAGGATTGCTCCACTAGTAAGCTTCCTGTCTTCGGCACAGTTTACACTGCCTGAAACTAGCGCCATAACCACTCGGCCTGTCATTCATCAATTAGCCAAGGCTTTTGATTGGAGAAATGTTTGTCAGAAACTCACCACCTCACCCAAGCAGAGATTGAAGGGCGGAAACACCCGCGCATCATATGTATGCTGCAAATAATCTGCTCGCAAGCCGAAAGGTCTAGAAATAATGCTTGTATGAGTAAGGCTCCCTCTCCAGGAAATATGATGAAAGTGACGTGGAGTAGTATGTAGGTACGCAAGGAGCCACACATGCCATGATGCAGCTGGAAGGCTGGCGCGTATGGACTATGAAGGTCCTTCGATATCGCAAATCACAAACCTCACCCCGAAGGATGATGGGTACTCGCCAGCCCACGGATAGTGCATGACTGCATGACGCGGACGATGCAAACCGCTCTTCGAAGAAGACCTCGTAGTTTGTCCGTAAGGATAGAGTAGCTGGTGCACCGGAATTGCTGGAATGAGAGAATAAGAGAGAATTGAAGGCTACAATATTGTACGCGGCCTATTGTTCCGTTACCTCTAGTAACTCCCAGTACATCTGTGTGATGCGACGGGGGAGGCAGAACGCGCCGAAGCAGGGCATTTGTATTGAAAATTGAAGCTAAAGGAGAATATATAAAAACTGCTTACTCAGCATAGAGCACTCGCTCGAGGCACGAAATGGATGTTTGTTTTGTGGTACACTTTCGACCTCACGCCTGCTGCCTTACCTAACCATTACAATCCTCACTCGTACTCAACCATGGCGGACACAGAGATGGAACTCGACGGTAGCCCGCCTTCCTCTCCCGATGCCGCGCGGAAGAATGGCAGCAGCGCCATGAACAATAGCACCACCGCCGCCAATGCAGTTGCGGTCCGTAGTATCGAAGGCTGGATCATCATCGCGACCAACGTCCACGAGGAAGCGAGCGAAGAGGACATTCAAGACATGTTTGGCGAATATGGCGAGATCAAGAACTTGCATATGAACCTGGACCGCAGGACAGGATACGTGAAAGTAGGAAGGAAGGTGCGGAAAGCAACACGCTGTACAGGCGCTGATTCGTGAACTCAGGGCTACGTGTTGATAGAGTACCCGACGCTCACCGAGGCGAAAGCGGCGATAGAAGGCGCGAACGGCGAGAAGTTGCTGGACCAGACCATTAGCGTGGACTTCGCGTTTGTGCGACCGCCGCCGAGCAAAACGCCCGGTGGGAAGGGTGGCGCGCCAAGGAAGAGTGGTGGGAGGCAACGTAGTATGAGTCCAGATAGGCGGAAGCGGGAGGAAGACGATGAGGAGGATGAGGGTGAATGAACGCACCCATCGGAAGCTTCAATTGGCTATGAAATACTGTTATATCGAGGCTGCCATTGGTAAAAGGACGCCCGACAGTTGTAGGTTTGTGGAAAGGCCGCTGGACATGCAATGACAGGCAGAAGGAAGAAGTAACGGGCCGGCTGTTGTCGGCAGTGTGTTGAGACAGGTCGAGGTAAGCGTAGACGGTCGTGCTGATGGCTAGTGGAAGCAATTGCTAACGTTCATGCAGAGAAAGAGAATGCATAAGCCAACCCCAATGCGCTGCTACTGCCACCTTTGGCGCAAGGATCTTCTACCAGTCCACCCTCTCTCTCGCAAACATTGCTAACCCGTTACACTATTGCCCGTTATTCCAGGCTACGCACCACATTGCAGCAGTAATCTCGTCTGATATCGTTGTCGAGGACGCTGCACTGCGCCACGAACACTAATCATTCTTCCCACTCACGCTACTACACACAGAGTTACGATTCCGGTCGCACATCATGCCTTGGCTTCCGCCTGGAGGACCCCCAGCGCCGCAGCGCGAGACTGGTCACTTCAGAGGTGATAGGCAGCCTGCAGACGATCATGAGCATCAGGACAACATTGACAACGCGCCGCAAGAAGCAGGCTCTGGCGTCCAACCAAACGGTCAGAATGCCAACGCTGAAGAGCATATACACGATATGCTCGCACGCTTGGATGACGAAGAGCGCGAGTTCCAGCGCAGCCTCGACCACGGGCCGGAGGAACCAGACTACTCATCCGTCACTGGAAGCTTTCCGAATCAGCGTGGCCCAGATGGTCGATTGCTGACAAATGGTGTGACTGCGCCGGTCACGGATGAACAAGAGCACCAGAGCCACGCGGAGGACGAGCCGCAACGTGCGGAGTCCGATAACCACGTTATTGCGAGCGAAGTTATGAGAGCACGACAGGTTGACAGACCGCAGAGTCCCCTCTCTCCTATGTGGGACATTCGGCGAGGCACCTCGAATGTACTGCGCTATGGCGTCCCTGAGGCCACTCCGTCCCCAGACTCAAGCAGCGGAATTACGGGGAACGGGACGCAGTCTCCACTCGCTCATCCATCTGTTGCACCAATTGCGAACGGGAGTCGGCCGGTTGCCCATGGTGATCAGATCGAGTTTCCGCATCTTCAACGGGGACAGCAGCAGCCCGAGGTTCTCCCGACTGTCACAGAGGAACAAGCGCGACGGGCTGAAATCGAAGACCTCTTCGACTATGCGAGACCGATATGGATGCATCAAGTCGCCACTGCCGTCAGATACGGGACACTAGCACGAATGCCGCAGACTATCGAAGAAACTCACCATGCTTGGGATATCATTCACGGCCGGCCGCTCCTGGAAGAGGCTGCCGCGCTGCTACTAGGCGTGAGGAACCCGCCACAACCGAATAACGAAGGACGATTTGCGCCTGCCACGCCAGCTGCAGTAAACAACACATTTCCTTCAGCGCCTCCGTCTGCGTCTCCGCCTGCACCTCGCGTTGAGGTAGATCCTGCCGGGGATGCCTATACGGGAGCGGCTGATTGGTCGGATTGGCCGGTACCTCCGGGCAACCCGGTACGTTATAATGACTTTGACGGCCTAATGGAAGAGGGAAGATTAGGAGGGAGACTGGCATCCACGGAGGGCACCACACTAGTCAACTCAGAACCTTCGCCATCTCGCCGAGTGCGCTTGGATCCAGAACGCTTGGCCGGCCTTGATGACGGCAGGCCATTCGAAGTCCACCCTCACCTGCGGACTGGTTCAGTCCATGACCCTGAAAATGCGCTTCCTACACCAGAACCTTCTTCACACTCCAGCGACTATCTCCGCACACGAGGCTCACCGCCACCGCATACGGCACGTCCACTACCGCCTCAGGCTGCGGGTCATGCTCAGGATCTGCGACTGTGGCGCATCACTCCGGGACCACCAATTCGTGAGCCCGCGCGGCGGAGCCCACGAAGTAAGCTGTCTGATGTTGTATTTGCGGAACCGGTCACCCGTCCGAGCACACCACCTACCGTCACAGCGACCAGAGGCGAGACACTCACATCTCCTGCTGCTCGCACACCATCGCCCCCATCCCCTCGATGTCCCCTCACGACGCAGAACTTGAAGCAGTTTGCGAGCAACCCCGAGTCAGCGCCACTGACATCTACGCAGCGTGTCCTAAGGGCCACGCCACCACGCAGGCGCGTCTATTGCGACGATCGGGATGACTTCATCGAGCCTGCAACGCCTGAAGCGGAACAAAGCGAGGAACCCGCAGATGAGGCTCGAGCAGAGATGCCAGAAGCGCACATCGAGCCGAATGTGCTAGAGACGGCGCTTCTGGCAGGATTACCGATACATTTCTCTGCCAACCTCAATGCCGAGCGAGGCACTGACGAACTACCGAGCAACTAGAATGTGCCCGTATCACTCAATGGTAGGAGTTCAGCTGTCCCGCCCGGGCCTGAACGGCCCATGATGCCGCCAACGCAGCCGTCGTTTCCACTGTCAACCCCGCCGCCGCCGACACAGGCGATACCTACGGGGCCAGTACCGTCCCATCAGAGCACACAAACAGATCAGCCTGCCTTGACAGCCAATCTGAGGGGAAAGAGCTCGCATGGAGCGCGCAGGCGACGACAGCTACTGGAACAGAGATCGAAGCCTCCTTCTGCACAAGAGCTTGCTGAGAAGCTTCAGAAGCTGAAAGAGGATTCAGGAAGAGCCGGCAATGCTTCTCCGGCGCCGACACTAGCGTCGCCGCCCGAAGAGAGCGGGCAATCGAGCCGGTCGGCCCCAGAGCCTGATGACCATCCGCAATGTGCGCGTGTATCACTTGGTCGGGAGATTTCTGACCCTGCGGAGGTACGCGAGTTCAATGAAGGATTTCATCGATTGCTGAGAGAAGTGCGGTTGGCAATCAACGCGCGCCGTGACCGTGACACAGAGCTTGGGGATGATCAGCGCAGTGCGAGGCAGACCAGCAGCTTAAGAGAGTTGGAAAGGATCAGACATCTGTGGGAGGCAACGCTTTCGAATGAGGAGTGGTCACGTTACGGCTCGCCGAGATTCACAAGACGCTCACACTTTACCCGAGCAAGTGACTGGTTCTTGCGCCGTTTTACGAACCAGGACGACGGCGCAGTGGCTCCGTTGGCTGAGTTAGCGCCAGCCCCGATAGCAGCAGAGCATGCTGCCCGATGGGAAGCGCAAAGGCGAGAGCTAGGGCTTCCTCTCCTGCCATCCATCGCCAGAGTTGCGGGTAGCGTCGAGACCAGGAATCCAGCTCCGCATCCAAATCCACGTCTGCTTCGAAGACGCCCAGGACGCGGTCCGTCTCGCGCGCAAGTTCCTGCTGCAGAGCTTGTCCGACGTTTACAGCGCCTGGTAGGTGAGGCGGTACTGTCAGACTTTGATCCACTTGATAATCTCCGCTGGAACCGGGAGATGGGGCGCTTATTCGGTCCCGGTTTGGCGGCGAGGCTTGTCAACGTGACGGATCGGTTGCCGGAAAGGGAAGATGGAGGTATCCTGACTCCTGTGCCGACAAAAGTGACAGGACCATTATCCGTGCCGCCGTCGCCCGTTCGCCTTGCGGACCGTCACCCGAATGGAGCTTCGTCACCTTCACGTCAAGTCCCACCAAATCGTGATAGGAGACGTTCGCAACACTTGGCTAAGAGCGGACCGGGAACCTTACGAAGTATATCGCTGCCGTACGAATCGCTTCCCATACCTGTCACGGTCGAGAGGCAGAATTGGACAGCTGGGGTAGCTGAAGCAGTTATTGAAGGTCCTCTCTCAACACAGGACGAGGAAGAGTCGGAGGAAGATGCAGCATCGATGGCTCCACGACTGATCTCACCCAGCCGCATTCGAAGAAGTTCCCGACCTCTGAGTCCGACTTCACCAGAAGTCGCACCAGCTCCGTCACAGCCGCACGAAGGCTCGATTTGCGGTGTACCCTTCAGAACCAAGGGGCTGAACGAGCTCTCGGATCCAACTGGAGCTGCTGCTCAAGGATCGGTGTTGTCGCAGACCAACGAGCAGGTTGGGCAAGCAGCTCAACCTGGCCAAGTCACAGACGGCCCCAATCTTCCCGCTCTGCCAGCCAGGCACGGACGACTACTCAGCGACGAGATCCACGATCTCTTACATGCAAAGACAGGCCTAGGGTTGAGAAAAGATGTCGCTGGGAGTGCGACTGCGAATCGAGATGACGGTTCGCCAGAAGCCGCTCGGGAAATTCCACTCCATGCTAGCTACAACATGCATGAGCGGAACGCAGCCATTGTCCATCAACGACGACGAACGCCAAACCGACGAGATCTTTCATGGAGCGCACCCACTGAAGTCACTGACGAACACCAGTAAGTATCATACGTACTACGCACGGGAAAAGGCATTGCAGACTAACACGCAATTTAGGTGGGTGGCGAGCACGACCAACCGTTTCGCATTCCCTGGCGGAATTGCCGCCAGAGATATCGCCCAGTCGTCGCAGGACGAACGTGCTGAGACACAGTCGCCGCGGAAGCAGAAAACTGACGAGGTAGGCGCTCCGAGCGCGGTTACTACACAGAATGAAGACAAACAATATCAATCTACGCATGACCAGCAGGCCACATTCGCGAGCGCTGCGGCAAGACTTATCAGTGAGCGAGCTAGCTTAGGCTCCACACCACCAACAATGCCTCAACAATTTGCGACTGGGGACGAGGCCAGAAAGCCAAGCTTTGAGACTTTAGAGCCGGGCCCATCATCGCTACGAACAACTGTCCAGGTTTCGCGTAGCCCGTTGTTGCCAGATGCGTCATGGTCTTTCGACAAGATCTCTGAGCGGCAACCAAGGCATGAGGGAGCCGCCCAAGCTCAGAGTCTACCTAGCCCGCGACTTCCACCGATAACCGCTGTTGCCCTACAGCCCAGCAACGTCAATACCGCCGTGTCCAGCAACCACGACGAGAACATATCTCCTACTGCTCCATTTGTTCTGGCCGCTAAGAGCACTGTCCAGCATGAGGATCAGAACCCCTCAGCAGGGCACAATCCTGCAGAGCGCTTACATGCATCTTCTGAGCAACCAGTGTCGAATGGAGCGGGCTCGGTCATCAGCGCTGCCGACATGAGTGTACAGGCAGAGTCGCACTTAATCTTTACCGGACCGCGCGGCAACTCCACCATCACCGATCCTGCTGCCCAAGACACCCCCAATAGGCGTGACACACAAGGTCTGGTGCAGAGTACATTACAAGAGTCGACGAAGCGTAGGAGTGAGGAGTACGAGCGTGAAGAGAGTCCGAAAAGGCAGCAATTGGAGTGATGAGGAGGTCGCTTCAAGGGTTCCGTTGGAACGTTCCTTCATTTTGTCCCAATGAAGCACGTTCGCTGCGGAATGAGATATACGGTAGCCTTCCTGCACGGCGCAAGCGCCGTTTGTCGCTCTCGCAATGTCGGAAACTGCGATGCCCGATGTCTCATAACTAGCTACTCTGCGTGGGCTGCAAAGGCCGTCTTTCCCGTAGTAGCCGCATGCTTAGTCAGCTGATCGGTATCATTGTCACGGAACGGGACGAGACGACACGCGAGGGCTTCGGTCTTCCACCTCCCAAAACTCCCCTCCGCTATACGTCGCCCAATTGATACCGCGTTCCGCCAGTCTTACTTTATTTGGCGGACGGAATATGGCATCGCCAATGGGCCAAGAATAGGAGTCTGACCACCCTACCACGCGCCCCGCCTCGCATTATGCAACCTTGCTTGGAGTGTCGCAACGATAGCCAGTATAGATCACCGACCAGCATACGGAATTAACAGCGCACCCTCGCCGCTCTGGCGGGAGGTACAACGTCGTGACATGCGCTCGCCATACGTGTGGCACCCTTGCACAGCAGCAGAGCATTTGCCAGTCTTGGGACTCTGCGCCGCTTTAACTCGTGCAGGCCAGACCGGAATCGCTACGGTGGTGATCAGTAAGCACCAGCATCAATGGATTCGTACGCCAGTTTAGGCCGCTAGGGCTGACGAGTCGACACTGACCCTCTGTTATCCAAGCGACAAGCGCAGACTTGCCGCGGATTGCAAAGCGGTATAAGCAGGCCGGCTTATCGTATGTCTAAGGGCACTGACTCTGTCCCTGGGGACCTCATCAGGCTCAACGTGTTACCGGGCTGTAAGCGCAAGTACTGAATCCGACGTCTTGCGGTTCAGCCCTTTTCATCTTACATACGATGATCCATTTGATCTTACATGTGACGTACCTAGTAAGTCGCCGCTCCGTATCTTCTGCGCTCCTTGCCTCGCTTTGTTCCGCCCCTCTCGGCCGTTAGATTGGAACGAGACTCTCGCACCTTGAAGAAATGTCCAAGCTCGGTCTCTCGGATACGAGCCGGCCTCCTACCATCTTCACTCACTTATCTTGTCTGTATGCTCTTCACTACGTCTGCAGCTTTTATATTTCTGCCTAGGATGTCTGGAGTCGCAAAGGCTGTAACAGCTGCGCTGGCAGCACGTTCGACGCAGAATTGGGGGTATGTTGCATCACGCAGTAACAACAGTAAGTCTTGTACGACGCTGGGATGACACTCAATGAATAAAAATACTGATCAAGCAAGCTATGTCCGTCCTTGGCACGCCACAAGCACCTCATCTGCCTCCTTGGCTCACAGACAACCCCATGCCGCAAGGCAAGCCATGGGGCCCGATGAACCAATGGACAAACTACTATACCACGACGCCGAACACTGGAGTTACCCGCTACTACGACTGGACTGTGTCGAAGATTCCATGTGCCCCAGATGGTGTTGCGCTTGAACGCTTGGCTGTCAACAATCAAGTTCCGGGACCTACCATCGAAGCGAATTGGTAAGGTACTGCTAGGGTTCCGCGTTATAGTGGCTAACCACCTTGATATTGATCAACAGGGGCGACTGGTTTGAGATCAAAGTAACGAACAATCTCACGGACGAGGGTACGGCAATCCACTGGCATGGTATGCTGCAGAAGGGTACTCCTTGGATGGATGGTGTGCCAGGATTCACGCAATGTCCCATCGCTCCAGGTAGGTGCTTAGTCGCTTTGTCCTTGGGAAAACGACTAACGATATTTTATAGGTTCGACGTTCACATATCGCTTCCAAGTAAGTGCGCCGCTCATCTGGAACGATTCATGCTCACTACAGTACAGGCAGACTTGTACGGGACGTCGTGGTGGCACTCTCACTACTCCTCCCAGTATGCGTCGGGGCTCGCCGGGCCTATGGTAATATACGGACCGAACCAGACTTCCTACGACGCAGACCTAGGCCCAGTAATGGTCTCTGACTGGTACCATCAATACTATGAAGAGGTCATAGACGCCTTATTCGCGCCTCTACCAGCCCCCAATATTCCAATGTCGGACAACAACCTCATCAATGGCAAGAACAGCTTTGACTGCTCGACTACCAGCCTGCCGTGCACACCCGATGCGCCGCTAGCGAGCTTTAACTTCACCAGTGGGAAGTTGCACCGGATACGATTTAGTACGTACAGCGCGCGATACAAGTCTCTCTACATAACGAGCCATTGCTGATTACAGTAATGCTTGGTTTCAGTCAATCCTTCTGCCGCCGCTACTCAAAAGATCACGATCGACGGACATTCATTCACAGTCATTGCTAACGATTTCGTGGAGATTGTTCCGTACGAGACCGACATTCTCACCCTCGCCGTTGGCCAGCGCACCGACGTCATCGTCAAAGCAACTGGCTCGCCATCAGATGCAGTATGGATGCGAGCATACAAGCCGCCGTTATGCTGGCCCAGCCATGGTGGCAATGAAGTGAAAGCAGCCATCTTCTACGAAAACGCTGACCGTTCGCAAGCGCCAACATCATCTGCAGGCCCCAATGCATACAACACATACTGCGGCAATGATCCTCTGGACAAGACTGTTCCGCTCATGCCTGTTGCGGCCGGTGAGCCGTCAGTCACCGAAGTCTTACCGTTGGAGTTCAAGTCAAATGGAACCAACCTGCTCTGGTACATGGCGAATCGTACATTCAGGGTCAATTACAATGATCCAATACTATTGGAGACAAAGCTTGGCAACCTGAACCTACCATACATCGAGAATGTTCACAACTACGGCACGAACGCAAGCCTGCGGTTCATCGTGGAGAACACTGGTCCGCAGCCTCATCCAATGCATATGCACGGTCACAACATGTTTATCCTGGCGGAAGGCAACTGCAGTAGCAACTCAACGGTCTTCGGCAATGATCAGGGTGCCTCGCAAGACGGCCACATGAGCGTCGACAAACGCGCCGCTGGTCAGTACGGTAACTGTTGGGACGGTACAATCACACGACCGGAGAATCCTCAGCGGCGTGATGTACACATGCTGCTGCCAGGACAATTCATTGTTGTGCAATGGAATCAGGACAATCCGGGGGCCTGGTCTCTGTACGTTATTTGTGCCGACGTCCCTAGGAACGTAAGCTGACATACTGTCGCAGTCACTGTCACATCGCCTGGCATTTAAGCGCCGGCTTCGTCTGGACTGTGATTGAGCAGCCGGACTCTGTTAGGAACGAGATGCAAGTTCCGAGCATCATGGCTCAAACATGCCGTGACTGGTCGACATGGACAGGCGATCATGGTGAGTTCACATATTCAGCGATGCAGAATCGCAACTGCTGATTCTATCGTAGTGGTGGCCCAGATTGATGATGGTCTCTAAGCTATTCGCAAAACCACTATGATGGCTGGATCGAGACAACAAGCTCTATTTTGATGTACCACTATGTACAACAGTACAACAGCCCCCACAGCTCAGCCTTGGACGACGCTATGCTACTGTGTCTGGATCCAGATTGCTCGGTATTTTCATGAACATGCACCACTTAGGGCGCAAAACTCTTCTTCCTCGTTTCTAACAGCCTAAGCGAACCAAGCGTGCGTACCGAACACCTGACCTTGATGCTCTAATTACATGCAGTCCTGGTGGTTGTACAGTTGTGCCAGTGACGAAACGCCACATGATCCTCACGGCCCGTCGGGTGCGGAGTCCCCTGCATGTCCTTCGTCTGGAGTACTGGCCCTTAACAATCTCCAGACTTCAGGCTGTGAGAATTATATTGAAGCTCTTGGCAGCGAAGCAGAACGTGTCCAGAAGGCAGAAGCACACACGCGCCGGTCTGCCATCGTGACCACATGCAGCTGTCAAACTGCAACTTGCTCGGTCCAGGCCCAATCTATTACTGCAGCCTCCCTTCATTCACTATTACTCTGACTACATGTCAGGCCATATTTGTGCACCCGATGTTCGAGAGTGCGTAAGTGTTTGAAGCTGATCAGTATATCCCTACGCTGTGGTGCAACAATCAAAGCCTGACTCAATATGGATAAACCGACTCGGCGTTCTTGTGCGCAACGACGGTCCGTATCCCGTCGTCGGAGTCACCTCAATCACGAAGACACCAGAGGATATAAGACGTGTGAAACTGCCGCTGCCTCTGCGACACCCTGATGTCGAATACCAGTACCTTCCTGCCTGAAACTGTCCTCCCCATTTCATTATGAGTTCACTCGCACTTTCCATTCTTGCGCTTGGCGCTCTCGTCCGTGGCCAGCAGGCTGGCACCCTCGTACGTCCAACATTGTACGTTTCTGAGGCATTGCTAAAGAATATCGATTCTAGACTGCCGAAGTCCATCCGCCGCTCACTGTATCCAACTGCACTGCTAACGGTTGCACCACCGAGAGCCACACGATTGTCTTAGATGCCAATTGGCGCTGGCTACACAGCACTACCGGTAGCACCAATTGCTACAATGGAAACACATGGGACGCAACACTCTGCCCAGACCCCGTGACTTGCGCAGCCAACTGCGCGCTCGATGGAGGGAACTACGCCAGCACGTGAGTAATACTCTTTTGTGCCCTGGTCCTTCCGGAGATCTGACTCGCTCTCATTAACATAGTTATGGCATCACCACGTCCGGCAACTCTCTCAGTCTGGGCTTCAAGACCGGCAGCAACGTTGGCTCACGCGTGTATCTCATGGACACCAGTGACTCTCAATACCAGGTGTTCCACTTGAAGAATCGCGAATTTACCTTTGATGTCGATGTGTCCGGCATCGGCTGCGGGATCAACGGTGCTTTGTACTTTGTTGAGATGTATCCCGACGGAGGGTTGAGTGAGTATTCGGGAAACAAGGTCAGCCCATATCCCTCTTTGAGCTTCTAGACTCACGCTTAGACTCAAGCAGGCGGGTGCGAAGTATGGTACCGGATACTGTGACTCTCAATGCCCCCAGGACATTAAGTTCATCAACGGAAAGGCCAACATTAATGGCTGGACGCCGGCCAGCAACAATGCAAACACCGGGTCTGGTGGTTCCGGCTCTTGCTGTACGCGCTTCACCAATTACGTGCAAGTGCCTATGCTGATGCACCATAGGCAATGAGATGGATATCTGGGAGGCCAATTCTGTGTCCGCCGCACTGACGCCGCATGTCTGCAGCGTCAACGGCCAGACAATCTGCTCGACTAACACCACTTGCGGAGCCGGCTCGGATAGGTATACGGGATATTGTGACAAGGTACGATCGAATGTCTGCGGCCAGACGAACGCTCCACTTACAATCTCAGGACGGATGCGACTTCAACAGCTACCGCATGGGCAACCATACCTTCTACGGACCGGGTGACACTGTCGACACCAAGTCAAAATGTAAGTGAGGCCTCGGTTGCGTGACGCTCTACTAACGGTCGTCCGTACAGTCACCGTGGTCACTCAATTCATCACGAGCGACGGGACTGACGCGGGCAAACTCTCCGAGATCCGCCGCTTCTATGTCCAGAACGGCAAAGTCATCTCCAACTCTGCTTCTGACGTCGCTGGAGTGTCGGGCAACAGCATCACGGACTCTTTCTGCGCCGCGCAGAAGACTGCTTTTAACGATACCAACGAATTTGCTGCGAAAGGTGGTCTAGCTGCGATGGGTGCTGCCTTTGATCGCGGCATGGAGCTGGTTATCTCCATTTGGGACGACTATGCGGTTGATATGCTGTGGCTGGATTCCGACTACCCTACGACTGCTGATCCGGGTGCGCCAGGGGTGGCGAGAGGGACTTGCGCCACCACCTCCGGTGTTCCTAGCGACGTCGAGTCGCAACAGGCGAACGCGAAAGTCATCTTCTCAAACATCAAGGTCGGTACGTTGTGCAGTACGTTCAGTGGTGGCAACTGCGGTGCGAGCGGAACAGGTGGCTCTTCCTCATCCAGCTCCTCCATTGCCTCATCGTCACGCTCGACATCTAGTACCGCAGCTTCCACTTCGTCGCGGACTTCCTCGACCTCGGTTCCTCCCTCCTCAACGCGCACTTCTTCCACCTCGACGCGTGGCTCCTCGACTGCGTCTTTGGCCAGGGTCTCCACGTCTTCTACTCGTACGTCAAGCATTTCTAGCAGCAGCAGCAGCCCAACAGGCACAAGTGTTGCTCAGCACTATGGGCAATGCGGTAGGCAGCATCATTGGCCCACCAAGTTTCGAAGTATTTGGCTAACCTTGGTAGGCGGCATTGGCTGGAATGGTCCAACAAGTTGCGCCAGTCCATACACCTGTACGGTACGTTACTTGTCACCGCCTCACCGCCACAACGCAATGCTGACGGTGTCGCAATAGGTGTCCAATGCCTACTACTCCCAGCTTGTAGCCTGGAACCTTGGATACTGCGGAAGATGCAGATGGAACGTCTTTCATGATGCGGGACGGCAAGTGTGCTCTGGACAATGTTCAACTCTCTCTCGCGACTGTCTTGCTGCGCAAGGAACTTGGCTTCGTTGATGCAGTGCGTGGGTTAGCTTTACTATGTCTTTCTCGCTCTGTGTCATGGTCAAGTACAGTATGAAATACACTTCATTACAGCTTGTCACCTTGCTGAGCTTACTTTCTTAATTTTCTTTGATCGTTGGGCACTACAATGCCTACCTGCTCCCACTCACCATCATGCTTCCCTCCTCGTACCGTGGTCGATGCCGACCTGATTGACTGGGAGGCCACGAGCTCTCATGCAGTGTCCGCCACCGGAACGCTGGTTCGTTTAGCCGGTATCGCAGGATCTTGTGGACACTCGTTCTTCCGCCATTTGCGTTGCACGAAAGACAGTGGGTCAGTCGATCGTGGCCGCAATCGGGCACTGTCCCCGCACGCGAAGTCCTCGTGCTCCTCCTCCGCTGTGGAGAACCCCGGGCCCTTGCAGCCAGAGCTTGCTTGAGCAGCACCTTCGTGGTAAGCAAGAAACGTCATGTCCTCCACGTTCCGCATAGTGCTTGACTTTTGGTTCCTGCAGGCACAGACCGGAGGGAGCGTGGTGCTCGCAATGGCGGGACATACATTAAGCTGACGATACCGCAGGTCAGCAGGTAGGTTTGCCGTGCTTTCACTTCCCTTGCGTTCGACTCCCATTCGAAGCTCTCTGTCGTGGAGTGTCGGTGCAGTCATGCTCACATTCGTCTCAAGTCTGCTTCTCGCAGCAACGGCCCTGGTTTCGGCGCAGACTGGTGGCTCGGACAACTTCACAAGCGCCTCCTTCAAGCCCTTCACTGGTAACCCATTCCAGAAGTATACCTTGACTGCGAACGGCATCAGTGCTTCATTCATTCCGTACGGCGCCAGAATTACGAACCTTCTTGTCAAGGACAAGAATGGCACATACCAAGATGTTGTGCTGGGTTACGACAACACCACGCAGTATCTGACTGACACTGAGACCAACCACACCTACTTCGGCCCAGTCGTTGGCCGATATGCGAATAGGTACGTTGAGTGCAGGTTGTCTCGGTGCGGTGAAGGGTCGCTGACAATACCCTCTTCAGGATCAAGAACGGCACTTTTACCATTAACGGCCAAACCTCACACATCCCGGAGAACGAAAACGGCGGCAGGGACACGTTACATGGTGGTTTCGTCGGCTACGACCAACAGAACTGGACCGTGGCTTCCGTCACCGGCAACAGCATTACTTTTGTGTTCTACGACCAAGCGCAGTCTGGCTTTCCGGGCGACCTGCTGAACGTGGCTACGTACACACTTACTGATGACGCAGCATGGATCAGCCGGTTGACCTCGATCCCCCTGAACGATGCCACGCCCATCATGCTTGCCAACCACGTCTACTGGAACCTGGGCGCCTTCGTTGACCAGCGCTCGAAATACGTGCTGAATGACACTCTGTACATGCCATACGCAGACCGTCTGATTGATATCGACGGCATCGAGGTCCCCACTGGTGGTATCAATATCACTAACGGCACAGCTTACGACTTTACCGCGCCCGGCAAGACTATAGGTCAGGATCTCTACACCCTCGTGAACTCGTGCGGCACCGGGTGTGTTGGCTACGACAATGCCTTCATCCTTGATCGTCCAAGATTCCAGCCCAACGACCCGGAGCTTGAGATCCTACAGATGTGGTCTCCGAGCACGGGTATCAAGATGAGCTTGGAGAGCAACCAGCAGGGTTTGCAGATCTACACTTGTAGCGGCCAGAACGGAACGATACCGGTCAAGGCATCTCAGCAGCACCTCGCAAACACGACGCACGTAGAGAAGTACGGTTGCATCGTTATTGAAGCCCAAGATGTAAGTTGCTTAGACCATCGTGGGCCGAGCAACGCTGACTCCATACCTAGTGGATCGATGCTATCAACCAACCGCAGTGGGGTCGTCAGGAATACCAGGTATATTCCCCCACCTCACTGCCATATGTGAACTACCAAAAGTACACCTTCAGCGTGTACAACTGAAGATAGCGCGCACAGGCCTCGGTCGTACCGTATCGTATATAGCTCGCTTGTGCACGAATGAACGTCGTTCACGATGTACTCCTTCCTCGTCCGTCTATGCCGCCGTAATCAACAGCTTCTCTGTCCCCACTCACTGGAACGAAGCCTACGCCACCGGGCCACCTGTAGCAGCCGCGCGTTGTCTTCCTCCCGTAGCTCCTGCTCACTCCTCTATTCTTCCACGTCGAACAGACGGTACCAGGCGAAAGCTCGTCGGGTATGCTTGTAGCGGCAATTAAATCCCTGTGCTCGCAACAGCTGACACAGAGGAGCCAACCGCATCCGCCTCCGCCTCCAGAAGAGCAGGAAATGTAAGTGAAACAACCTACAATCCAACACACACTCACTGACGTCGTTTACTTATCGGAACCACGAAGCAGAGATCGTTGATCCGTAAGCATTGCTGCTCTGTTGCCTGCGAACAGCGGATATACATAAAATATATGTTGGCAAATGATAACAGTAACGATGCGTTTGTATGATTACAAGACAGTCAGTTGGTAAGTCGGCACGACACAGTCGAACAAGCATTAGGAAAGCCAAGGACACACCTGGTCGCCTGCCAGCCGGCAGGGACTCACCTCATTTGCAACGCCAATTCCTTCGGCCATAGGCTGCGCTTCGCTGCGCAAGCCGGCGATGGCGTTTGTTTAGCCCATAACGCCGTAAGCCTCCAATCCAACAATCGACGGCCCGAGCTGCTGTTCAGCATGCAGAGGCTCATGGTCAGCACAGGCATCAACGCACGCACCTGCAAGCACGCAGCCTCAATCACTCCGCCACATTCTCAGCACTCTTCTCAGCGTTCGGGCCTCTCGAGCAGCCTCGGCACCCATGGCCTTCAAAGTCGGCATATCCTTTCAGGGATGCGTATCCTGCGGGTCGCGCACCACATCCTCCGTCTCCGCCGTGACAGCTCCGCTAATGTCGCCCAAGACGAACTCCGTACGCTCGTGCGCTAAGCGATCGAAACAATACTTCGGTCGCTTCGCAATTTCCTCCTCCAGACCGACGTTTCTAGCGTCGTCACATAGGAGCCTGGACTTCACGCGCTTTGATGCTGTCGATTTCTTGTGGGTTCCATCATCGACTGGAATGTCTCTGTAGTGCGGCCTGTAGTACGGCCTGGAGCGTGCCGCACTGTCAATCTGACCGCCTGCGTTGTCGATGACTCTCTTAAAGCCCGGGCTCGGCTTCGTAGGCAGCTCCTCGCGGTGCGTGACCTTCCGCTCAGGAAGCCCGTCCGGCTCACTCTTAGAAAGCACGTCCGGCTCACTCTTAGACGGCTCGTCCGGCTCACTCTTAGTGAGAACCTCTGGCTGACGCTTATTCCCTGGGCCCTCACGCTTATGCTTCGCTGACTCGGCTTGCTCGCTAATCATATCTTCAAGGCTAGCGTCAAAGACCGCTCTGGAGGTACTGTCCGGCATGAAAGCAGACTTCGACGGGTTCGAGAGCTCGCGCTTGATCGCGGGCGTGTAGTCTGTGCTGAATCTTGCTTGGTTGAGTGGCATACCACCTTGATGCATATACTGCATCTCACCCTTGCTGAGGTTCGGCGGATTGACGGCCGGACGCTGCGGTAGGCCTGGGACAGGCGGCAAACTCGAGACAGATGGTGGCAGATTCGGGCGGGCGCTTGGCGGGCTATTGGAGTCCGGCACCGTGGTCTGTGCTGGCGTCCGCGTTCGAGTGTCTGCGTTAAAAAGAGTGGTCGGAGGAGGACCGCGTCGGACGATAAGGTTCTGATTCGGCGGCTCGTTGTACTCTTTGTACAATGGCTGAATGTTTGCGTTTGCAGGAGTATAGTAACCGGGTGGCGGGTGGCGGTCTTGGTTGGCCGTAGCGCTGCCGTCTGGACCCATCCACGCCGGCACTCCATTCTGATGGAATACCTGGTTTGGGTCGGGTTGGAAGAAAGCATTGTGTGGTTGATGTGCACCGTTGCTCCGTGTACCCGCGGCAGGGTTGTCGAAGGCCGGCGGAGTGCTGCCGCGTGGGTCCATGAAATACGGGTGGCCCTCGCTCGGCTGCATCGCTGTAGCAGTTTCTCCCTCCGACCACATGCCGGAGCCTCTGGCGTCTAGAGCTGGCGTGGTGCTGGCCTTGTCCAACCCCATGCTGTCGGTAGACTGAGGGCGAGGGGAGTCTGTCAGAGAGCCGCGCGGAAGACCGAGCTTCTTCTCCTCGGCTCTCTTGGCTCTGAACTCCGCTAACCGCTTCTTCATCTCCTCTGGCGTCTCGGTCTTGGCCTTCTTAATGACGTGGTCATCGCTGTCCTTCTTGGCTCCAGTGCCGCCAGCTGGGTAGCGTGCGTAGTAGCCTTCTGTGACGCGTTGGATGTGAGCCTGCTTGAGCTCGTCCGGGATGCCTTCCATGCCGAAGATCTCAATACTAGGATCTTTGCGGTGAGGCAGGGCGTTCTCTACCTCCGTAATGGATTCCTTGTGAACCTGAGTTACATGAACCTGCAGCCCACCTACAGTGTCGAGACGCCTTCCACAGCGGTCGCATCTACAATGCTTGGCTTTCTGGTGCTGTCGGAGGATGGCGATGTCATCAAAGTCACGCTCGCAGTAATAGCACCATGGTCTCTCCAGCAGCTCTTCGAGGGAAGGCACCGCTGGACGCTTCTTCTTCGTCATTATTGCGGCTTTTGCTCACGACTCGGTCAGCAAAAGATGCCTCCAGATAGACAAAGTGTCCGATTGCACAAGATGGCACTTGAATAAAAGAGTCGACGGTTTCCGTCCAGCTGCAAGTGAAAGGTAAATGGAAGGACTTGTGAGCTTTGACCCGCGTTCGCTGCATGACTCGAGACTTGGCACCGTTCACGCCAGTTCACTTTTCTGTCCATCAACTCAGTTTCTCCTCTCGCCAGAAATCACGGCTCGTTCGTTCACGCTCACGGTGGATCTCGTCGCTCTTTGGCTCATGCCCGCAATGTACATTTAGTCGACAACTCAGGCAAGCTCGGACTCACACAACAGTTCCCTACATCACGCTGTAGCGTCCTTGGCCCTGTAAACTGGTCAATCGAGGAGACGCCTTGCTCGTTTCAGTTGCTGCCTTTCAGCGTTCTACGTTTCTTGGTATTTCGACGTCGAGCGTCAACAGTCAAGTGCTACAATGATGACGGATGTACAGCCTGGTGATCACGTGCATGCCTACAACTACAGGAAGTCGAGCTCACATTAGATGCAAGATGTCCCATTACAGTTAATTTATTCGATCATGCTATAGAACGATCTAGCTTTTGAATGCCAGGACGGCAATGCGCATTGTATCTGTGAAGGTGGTGGTCGTTCGGAGATACACATTCCCAGCTGCCTGCATCCATACGCATCGCTGAACATCGTGTAGCTTACCATCCCTGTGTAAAGCCCGTCTACCACACTCCCAGCCTTGTCAGCTGATAGGGAGCTGACCAACGGTTTGCCAAGATGAGCTGACTCGATCATATCCGCCTCCACCTGACTAGTGCATTGCCATATGTGGGTTAGACCTCTAGATGCCGCGTTAGCTCCGGCTTAGGTGATATCGTGTGCACTCCGCAGGGGTCATGGGTACTGAGGAGACCGAGGGTAGAGTCGACAACGAGCTGACCATCTTGGAGCAACCGAGGGTGGCGAGACCTGGCAAGCAGCATTGAGGAAGACGTTGCACCAAACTCTGCATGATGAAGCAGCCGGGACAGTAAAGGTCCAAACAACGACCGCTGAACCAATGTACACTGGCTATGGAGTATAGCACACCGTCTTCTGGTTCTGGGCTGGATGTGAACCCCACGAATGGGACCCATAACATCAAATCGGCATCCGAGTACTTGACTCACTTACCGCCCTCGCGCCTCGAAGATCTCGACATTCTGCCAGAATCTCCACCAGCTGGACACAGCGGGGACGAAGCGAATGGGCCGCCCATAAACGGCGCATCAAAGGTCCAGGTCGATGCGCAAGGCCGGAAACTCAACCCAAGATCATGTGTCACCTGTCGGAAACGGAAGGTCAAATGCGACAAAGTGCATCCATGCGCGAACTGCAATCGGCAGCATATCGAATGCGTTTTCCCAGCGCCTGGCAGGGCGCCGAGGAAGACCAGGAAGCTGGGCGAAGGCAGGGATAAGGAGCTTCTAGAGCGTTTGAGGAGGCTAGAGGGTGTCGTGAAGGGCCTAGGCGTGGAAGTCACGGACGGGGATGGCAACGATGATACCGACGGCGCAGGCGCAGCCGCAGAGCAGCAGAAGGCGCAGGATAGCGTCGATAGCAGCCCTGGAGCTGTCGCAAAGATGACAACTGACAACAACGGTGTTGTGTACAAACGGAGTACAGATCATGATCACGAGTCGAAAGCGCGCGCGATCGAGGAGCAGCAACAGCGACGGTTCGAGAACAAGTTCGGCAGGCTTGTCATCAATGAAGGCAAGTCGAGGTACGTCAATAATTCCTTCTGGGCCAACCTCTCCAACGAGGTGGAAGACCTCAAGGGCATCTTAAACCAATCGAGCGACGATGACGAAGACGCAGAGGTTGGTGCAAACCCCATGGTTGCCAACCATCAGGGCTGGATCTTCGGCTTTAGCTCGCAGAATGTGGATATGCTATCTCTGCATCCTCTGCCGGGCCAGATCGTGCAGTATTGGGAGCTGTTTAAAGACCGCGTGGATCCACTGGTGAAGGTGTTGCACATTCCAACCATTGAGCCAACGGTTCTGAGCGCAGCGTCCCACCTGTCGAATTTGTCGCGCGGCTTCGAGACCTTACTCTTCGCTATTTACTACGCCGCCACGACCGCACTCACGCCGCAGGACTGCTTGCTGAAATTCAACGAGGAGAAACTGATTCTGTTAACCCGCTATCGCTTTGGCCTTGAGCAGTCGCTTGCACGCGCCTCGTTTCTCACCACAGAGGAGATCGTCGTCTTACAAGCATTCGTCATCTTCCTGATCTGTGTCCGCCGGAACCACGATGCACGCATCATATGGACTTTGGTAGGGCTTGTCGTACGAATAGCCCAAACCATGGGCCTACATCGCGACAGCTCGCAGTTCGGCCTCTCGCCGTTCGAAACAGAGATGCGCAGACGGCTTTGGTGGCAGGTAGGCATTCTCGATACCCGCGCAAGCGAAGATCATGGCTGCGACCCTACGATCATCGAGCAAAGTTTTGATACCAAGATGCCGCTGAACATAAACGACGCCGATATAAGTCCCGAGATGACGGAGTTCCCGCCGGAAAGGCAAGGATGCACGGACATGTCATTCTGTCTCATACGATTCGAAGTCGCGAATACCTTCCGACGCATCAACTACGTACCTCCTGGACCTCCGAAAGCATGCGGAGACTTCTTCGCCAGCGTGACGCTGGAAGACAAGGAAAGGTGGATCACGGAGTGCCACCAGCGTTTGGAGGATAGATATCTTAAACATTGCGACATGAGCGTGCCCCTCTTCTGGGTCACTGCTACAGTTGCGAGATTGATGATGAGCAAGATGTGGCTTATGGTGTACCATCCCTTCCAGCGCCAAGACGGCGGTGTAAGCCTACCAGGCGAAACGAAGGACAAACTCTTCATCACGAGCTTAGAAAACATCGAGTACGCGCTGCTGCTGGAGACCGAAACGCGCACAATGAAGTGGGGATGGCTGTTCCGGACGTACATGCAGTGGCATGCGCTGGCGTTCATCCTGAGCGAGCTGTGTTGTCGCACGACGGGTGAACTTGCAGACCGCGCATGGACGGCCATCGAGAAGACCAGGGATGGTCGATGGGGCCGCCCCTTCGATGGTGCACGAGCCAGCCAGCTGTGGCGGCCATTGAGGAAGCTCTACCGCAAAGCCAAGGACGCCCGGCAGCGCGGTCTGGCTGAGGAGCAAACGATGCAACGCGGTGTCAACGGCGCTGCTGGGATGGGGATGCCTGCCCGAACGTACAGTCCCAACGCGAACCCGATGTTTGGGCACCCGAAGCGACCACAGGTAACGCGCGCACCGCTCAGTCAAGCGCAGCTGCAACGCTTCACACAAGGGCCGTCGTACGGCGAGATGCCGCTGGACAAGCACGAGCTGCTCAAGTCTCCCAGAGGCTCCGATGCCGGCGTGACCCAGGAGTCAGACCCTATGGAAAATTCGGGAGCGCGGAATAGGATCGTTAACGAGGTGGCGCATACTCCAACCTTTGGACAGGCTTTTGCTCTGGCTTCAAATCATCAGAACCCGCAGACGTTCGCTCCTACAGCTCTGAGGTGGGATGCGTCTGTCCCATCCATCGCTGTGGGACAACCATGTCCGTATGACCCCAGCAGCACCATTACCGGTGTCCTAGGGCCTGCGGAGCCTCCGGCAACCACTGCCATGGACATCTCCGGGTCTCAAGCTATTGCAGCTACTAGTGGATACAGTCACCCGCTTCGCTTGAACTCTTTCGATACGCCAAGTATGGATTTCGATGCGAACATGCTGGATCCCTCCGGCGACCTTGATTGGCATAACTGGGACGAGCTGGTGAAGCAGTTTGGCATGGACATCGACACTACTTTCGACCGGCGAGCTGGAGATGCTGGTTTCGATTGGCCTGTTGAGCAGCCTAATCAACATGGCTTTGGTACGGGCTTGAACGGAATAACGAATGGAATGAATCGGAAGGTCGGTGGATGATCATCATGAATCTGCTCTGCAACAATCTAGCAAGACGGCGTTGAATATCATCGTCTGGTGAACACATCGCACCATGACTGCCAATGCAGCTCAACAAACAGCTGGCAGGTCATCAGACGCTTGCCAGTCATCCGGCAGTAAGGACATCGCACACTGCTCCCAGCATGCTACCGACCGTATACCTAACACTCACCCTTATGGTCATACCGGTTTTTGCGACACTGCGTTGTATCCGAACGAAGCGATTTTGCCTGACCCGGTGCTACCCTAAGACATAACTTCCATCGTCATCTGCTGATACGAGAAAGTCAACGTCTCCGCAGGCCAGCCGTTCGAACCAGCCTGGGCTTGATTCGTTATATGCGCGTTGCCGAAAATGTAGACTACCAGCAAAGAGTTCGTAGGGTTGGCTGCAGACACGGCGGCGTAACCCAGTGTTACAGTAAGGGAAGTGCTCCTGACAGCATAGCCGAATAGTGCTGGCCTGTATGCATCCATTGTACGATCGATCGTGAGCTGGTTCAAACTTGTGGTATAGGAGACGATATTGCCAGCACCTCCCACGGCTGTCGAGCTAATATCCACCGACTAGTTTATGATCTAAACGTCGTCAGACTCAATTTGACATTTCATAACGATTCTCCTACTGGAACAAAGCTCTCCAAGGCACTGGTGTCTTTGGCTGGAAACCCGTTCCCCTCGATCGAAGTCTGTCCGGTGAACAGACTGTTGCTGCCATCATTGATTTGAATTGTACACCTCAGGTGATGATCCTTCTGGCGCTTCAGGCAGAACGCACGATAGAAGGACGCAGAGCACACCAATGGCAAGAACAGTGTGGTGCTCAGGATGAACAGTCGGGTAGCCATACTGTACCGCTGTTGTTGCGGTGTACAAGTTGTAGCGTATAATGGGCTCAAAGTCGCAAACCGCGTGCGTCGTCTTTGGAATGTGGGCGTAGCGGGAGCGCTCATACATCAACAACCTCGCGCCACAGTACTTTGAGCCATCTTAAGTACTTGTTTGACAGACCTTTCCTCATGAAGCTACACGCAGCAGCCGGTTTCCAGATCTCAGCAATGTCATGTTTGTAGACCAGTAAGCACGTCCACTCCCATCCCACCGAACTGGCCCCCGTCCAACATCCAGCTCAGGGTGTCAAACACTGGGTTCTCGCCAAATGCATCCCAGTTCAGATCAAGGTCCTCATCTAGGGCGCTGCTAGGAGCCACAAGAGGCGCAGCTGCTAGCGTTAACGCGCTGGGCGGCTGCGGTGTGTTGCGCGCTGTCTCCGCACCAGAAGCGATGGCGGTAGGGTGCTGCACAGCCCGGTCAAGATTGTTACGGCCCTCTTGGCCTACTTGCTGACGCCAACGCCAGATCGCATCATAGAGGATAGACAGTGAAGAGCGGCAGCGTACTCGAAGCTGCAGCGAGTCGTTCGGACCTGGCTTGTGCGGTCCGGCGTCACCGTTGAAGAGCCTTTGCTGGCTGGCGCCCGAGCTCTGCCAAAGCTGAGCCATGACTTCTGCAAGCCTCTGCGGTAAATCGTTTGAGCGAACAGACAGTTTGCGCAACGTTGCGACAGTCTTGGAAAAGAGGGTGCGGCCTTGCGGGATGTCGACATGAGATGCGTAAAACGAGTTGAGCAGCTTGAGCAGCGTTACAGCGCCGGCCAGCATCATTTGTTCAATATAGCGTGGAACATAATTCAGCAAGTGGGTCGGAAGCTCTTGAATGACTGTGAGCAAGGATGAGGCGGCGATGTAGACGTCGCGGAGATCGGCCAGATAGTTCGGCGTCGTAGGCTTGTCGAAAAATGCAGCTAGGCGGAGATGCAACGCCGCAGCCTTGAGATACAAGGTGTCGATGACTGGGGATGATTAGCGCCCGTAGATACGAAGTGACTGTCCAATGATCGTACCGCTGGAACGTGTAGACATTATAGTAACCTCCATTTCGTTGAGTTCCCTCGCATAGGCCTGGATCTGCAGACCACGCTGGGCGTAATCAACTTCCACGATGTGATCCCGCTGCATAGTAAACACCGTTCTTGTCACGGTGTCGCAGAACTTCTCTATCTGGCAGCGTGTGTGCAGCTCAGGCTTCATACGATCCAAATGTAGGCCGTAAGTGTACCATGCCCACCTAGACAGCGGTGGTTGACCCTGTCCTGTCGATACCATTTGCGCCACGACATTAACAGTAGCCCAAGTGTTGAGCCGATCGGCAATGTCCTCTTCTCGCAAGTCCACACGAAATCGACTGAAGTCTTGAGCATGACTGGGGCGGTGCAAACCGTATTGCATGGCGAGCTGGAACATGATCCCGCTGAGCATCATCGTTGGTTCCTGCGAAGTCGAAGAGTTCGGGAGCGGCCATGTACAGAGGATGGCAATAGCCTTGCAGACATGGTACACTTGCGGAACTTGCGAGAGAGTGGTCCACAGCATTTCCTCGAGTGGCTGCTGAACCTCAACGAGTAGCCCGGGCTTTGCTTCGTAACGCCGAGCGGCTACAGCTATGATAGTCCAATGAAGCAGCGGATGGAGGCTGTAGTAGGCTTGATAGGACCAGTCTGGATTAAGGACCGGCAGATACGGGTGGAAGTGGCTGAAATAGATGGCGTACAGATCAACAAGCTGCTCCTCGACCAGAGTGACATTTCGCAATGTCTTTGGCGAGGCACCGGGCGTAATGCTTGGAAATGACGTTGGTGGAAGCTCCCTGTAGCCCTGACTGAGATCCAACAGGCTCCGGGATGCAGCTGCTTCGCTGGGCCCCAGGAATGGCTGCCCGGCCATCTGAGCCACAGGAGCGCTGGCTGTGGGAGAAGCGTTGTACGATGCTGTCCCAGTGTAGGCAGGGCTGGTACGTGTATCGTCCGGGAGATGGTAGCCGTGAGCCTCGAACTGCACCAACCTGGCCTTGCATAGCTCGAGCTCGCGTTTCATCTCCTCATGCTCGGCGCGCTTGCCCAGCCGCTTGAAGTTGTTGTCAATCGAGCATTCTAGGCTGTGCTTGACGCAGCGCTTGCACGGCTCGACGACAACGTCGCCGGGACCTGCAACGACGTTACAGCGTAGCTGTTCAACGTTAGCTTCGAACACGAGCGGCGAAGAGGTCAACTCGGAGGAGGAGGCTAGGTCCCCGGCGACTCTGGATCTACGCAACGGACCTTTTGCTGGCGGCAATCATTGCACGCTCGCTTCACACCTGGCTGATGCTTGCCCTTGTCACCTAACGGGCTACCCGCACCCGCACTATCTCTCAGGCTGCTGCTTTCATCTCCAACAGTCTCGATCTGCAATGAGCTCCGCTTCCGCTTGCGAGCAGCATTGTTGTACTGGGGCGACGACGCACTAGGCGAAGTCTGTGGCGACTGTACAATGTTCGATGGCCGGTCAAAGCCAGTACCCGCAGACCACGACATAACGCAGTCGAACGATGTGGTTGATACCGCTGCGATATCGGGCGGGGTTGGAAAGCTGCGAAGTCGGACAAGATTTGGCAGGGGAAAGTGGGCGACTCGGGAGGTTTCGAACAAGCTCAATTAAAGTCTCGTTGAGTCATGGGGCGGGAGATGCGGGAAGCCTAGGGCACGGTCACGTGAACAGTCACTAGCCCAGTCCCAAGTGGACAATCCAGCATGATCCGAAATAGTGCGCGCTCGATTGCAGTCATCCTGCTGCATATGCACCGAGAGCGATACTCCGATCTAAGCGGTAATGCTGCTTCGAGCTGGGGGCGGCTGTTCCTTGCTATCGCGCTCACCGAGACAACGAGAGGACAATATGTCTCAAAGCGCGAAATGTACGGATGGCCATAATCACGCTCCCTCCTTCATAGCTCCACGACATCCTTAGCGGACAGGTGATCCTCGCATGTTATCTTACTCGCACATCAGGGAACGAAGCGGTCGGTGGCCATTCTTCCAGCAGCGACAGGCGGTGACAGTGCATTGATGAACCAATGCGTATTTGCGCCAATGCCCGTTCATCACCTGTTGACTTGGCTCGTGGTCATGTGGCGCGCATATCGGCGTCCTGCAAGAACGCACCGCGTACGAGCCGCCGTCGAGTAGCTCATTAGCTGGGCGCGAGTCTTCCGAAGGGGAATGCCGCGGCAACGACGCTTAGATACTGTAGTGTTTGCGAACTGGACGTATGTTACTATGAAGAGATTTTTATCGTCATCTGTAAGCTTTGCCAGTTTCACGGGAAGGTGTAGTATGGCTAGTAGCTCCACCGCAAATCGCTGCGATGGCAAAGCCTGTCTACTCTCGAGCGCCGATACTGAGCCATCGAGAGCTCTCTGGTCTCCTGTAGGTTATCGTTCTCTAACCATTTCGTTACTGGAGCTTTCCACAGACCCAGCAGTTGCCGGTAATGTGGGAAGAAGAGCAAATGCTTCTCGAGAGGCCGAGGAAGGCGTCCAGTGGTCCGAGCTTTACGCGCTGTTTCCTCCGCTAAATCTGCTGCCAGACTCAGACATACTCGTCGTCCCCTCTGTGAGCAATGTGATTATACCACGGTCGCCAGGCAGCCTGCAACGCTCCAGCATACCCAGATGATTCTCTGCTCGCTCCCCACAAGCTGCAGAGATTGCCAGCAGTCACGCTGTTGAGGGCTTTGAGCTCCTTACCCTCCCACAGTGCTCTCCCTCCAGCATTCAACCATGCCGCCGAGATGCTGGCGTAGCTTTCGCCGACTGTGGCGAGGCTCCTGATCAAGCAAAACCAGCCGGAGAGCCTTTAATGGCCCGGTGTGAGGCGAGCGTGAGCCCTCACTGCTTGCACATCAACGGCGCTTGCAGCGCTTCATTGACCGTCACGCTACTGACACACGTCCGTACCTCACGGAGAGGTGTCATCAATCTTCCCATCATCCTGACTGACAGAATCAGACCTTGAATAGCCATACACCGTCCGCGAGCCCCTCCGCCTGCCGCCGGTGCGAATTTAGCACTATCTTCGCCACGACCAACACAAAGCCACCATCATCATACAGCACAAGACTCGGGCTGTAAGCGTGAGCACCTCCTGAACAATAGTGACCCGCTACAAGGATGGCAGCGGATTGTGCGAAGCCAGTGTTTGAAGAGCTGCGCCCACCTCTGCACGAGGGATGGGCAGCAAATACCCCCTGGCCTGCATCATCAGCAACAAGGCTCCAGCATCGCTCATCGTGACCGTTTAGGCCTTATATTGATTTCAACGTTGCGCAACGTCGTCGCCCGCCTTGGGCCGGATAGACCTGATCGAGCCTTATTGGCCTCAGGCATGGAGACGTGACCGAAGGTTGCAGAGCGCGGCCGATCGACCATAGATTGAAGGTGGAGAGTGACCAGCCCACCGTGACATCTGATTACTACAGTTCCATTGTCTGCACTTTGGGGGAAGTCGCATTTTTGCTTGCTGTCGCTCTTAGCGATGTGCTGAATTCCAGGCTTGCTGACTCGCCGCAGGCTTCGAGCTCCTCAAAATACCATGGTGCCGCGTACTGGGACATACCCATTCCTGCTGACGGCTCCCCACTTGGCTGTTGAGTATAATAGACGATCTCCCTCCCGCTTACATTGCTCGATTTCGACATCGTGTCCTTGTTTCATGCTTCAGCACGATGCGAACGCTGGCCTTCCATCCAGCGAGCGATGCAGATCAAGACAGCTAGCTACGATCTCGAGACCACCTTCATATTGTTGGTTTACACGTTCTCATGGTGCTGCCGCTCGCTCAAGATTTCAAAGCAAAAATTTTCTTCTCTGTTTACACGCTCTGGCCCTTCGTCTGCGATGACTCGCAAGAGCCGCACGACATCTTCTGCATAGCTTCTTCATGTCTGTTGTCCTGTCTAACATTCACTGGTTGCATGGGCGACCCCATCTGCATTGGCCTCGTTGATTGGTTGACTGAGTCAGTCTTCTCCTACTGATCCTGTTTCGCGGAAATGGAATCTTGGCTGCATTCGTCTCTCGATCGCGGCAGTCTCACAGGATGGCCTCGTTGACTTCGTGTGTCCGAGCGAGCCTTGCCTCCGTCATCTTCTGCTGAGATTATGCGACTTGGTTGATGCTGCTAATATCGTCTAGGCCAGTCGAGAGATCGTGTCCCAACCTTGACGAGGGCGGAGTGAAGAAGCTCAGAGTACTCTTTTGGAGACCGAGCATCCTCTGGCTCGCAGGTGCTTGGCTGATACCCGCCACTATTCTGCTGCGCTACTACGTAGCCACCGAACTAGACTGGCCTCCGTGAGCCGCATGGCCGGTGTAAGTCCCATTCACTTCAGCAACGCCTGCCTGTCTAGCGCTACCGTGCGCTTTAATTCAATATACCATGCCTTTTGCGCCCGCAAACACGACTATGGCCTTAGCGAAGCTACGTTCCTTGAAACACGACGATATGCTTGCTTGCTGCATGGTGTGCTTTCTCTCACGCTGTTTGCTCGTAGCCGCTTAGTCCACCGGACGATGGATCTGGTGGGGCAAGATTGCGCTCACTCGGGATGGTATGCGGACATGCGTGAAGACCAAACACGGAACAGCATTGATTGCACGCGCCTGTGCCGTACTGCCTGCACGATTGCGATTGTGAGCCTCTGGTGGTGGTCAAACGCGTTTTCCGGGGAAGTTGACGCTGCCGCTCACTGGGGATCGTTGTTGCCTGCGCGGTCGGCACACTTGTAGATTGGTTGCATCGTGCGCTCCTAGTCTTAGCGGCAGCCGTAGCGGTAGAATTTGCGATGTGATCTCGAGCTCGGTACCACGGTGTCGTTAGGGGGGGGAGCATTCCTGGAGGGGCTAGCTGTGACTGTGCGGAGACAGTGGGCTGTTTGAATGCCGGTAGTTTCTGCTAGTCAATGCGATTCTGGGGGGCGTGAGCGGTTAGCGAGCTGCACTCTGGCATAGCCCTCCTTCTTACTTGTTGCGCTACTGCCGCTGGCCTCCAGCGATGCCCACGCTTATTGACGGAAGTGGATGGAAGGCGTGCAGCGTTGGTCGGCGTTAGTCGAAGATGTCACGACGTAGGAGGGGTGCTATGGCACCCTGAACTGGCTACTGTCAGCAAAAGAGAGAGTATGAGTGCCCTATTCATCCGGGTCGCGCGCGGAAGAGCCTAACAAGCACCGCCAAAAATGCTGCCACCATGATACACGAGCCGAAGCCGGACAGGGTTCGCGGTATATCTCAAGCGACTTGCGAGCTTTGACGCTCGGCGAACCAGTCATTGTGTTTGCAGCGTAAGATGCAGAGGGCACTGCTTGTGCAATGTGGTTATTTGTGTCTGCTGAAGATAAAGGTCTTACACAGAGCATACCAACAAAGCCGGCAAAAGAAGGCGGTCGTTACACAACGAACAACCACGGTACCAGGATGACCAATACAAGATCAACATGACCGAACCGATTCAAACAGTCTCAATCGATGTGCGGATCGCAGTTTGCCAAAAGAGGTCAGCAGATCCGCTGAAGATGGTACAGACCTAAAACTTCCCCCGGTTGCACCAAAGAATGTTCTCGCACGACTGGGGAAACAGTATCTCTGGGCGGGATGCCTATCAATATACAACATTCTGGATCACCAACGCTCAGCCAAACGACACGCCATGCACTCCACTATCCGAGCAAGCAGCACCGGTACACCAGAAGCGAAAGTATGTTGCAGAGGGGCATGCAACAAAGCGAAGGTTGAGGTCTGGCGCGAGAAACGCATTGCTGACGGAACAGGCAGTGCCAATGCGCTCAGACGCTGCCGGCTTAGCGAAGCCGCTCCCTGATCCAGCCACTAAGCCAGTTCTCGCCGGTCAAGCTGTTGGTGCTGCTGCATGAAGCGGCCTGCCATGGATGACTAGCGAAATCGTCACTCTCAACGGCAATGCTGCCTACTTACCCGACCGAGGAGCGGCACGTGTCCCACAGTTGGGTTCTACACGCCCGCAGTAGCAACAGTAAGTCAACGTGCTCGAGCTGAGGCAGTCCAGCCATTGAATACTCACCTGGATCTGAGTGCGAGCTGGCAGGGAAAAAACCAAGGCAAAAGAAGCCTCTGTTTCCCCAAGCTGTATCAGTGGCGAAAATAGCCCAACGGCAACCGCCATTGCTGGCGGCGGGAGGGAGGTTGAGTGGAGAAATATGTGTGCTGCTCAGCACGAAGAGAAGGAAAGCAGAATTTTCAAGCAAGAAATAGCCGTCCAGAGTGGACGGAATTTGATGGGGATGTCGAATTTTTATTGAGGCAAGAGCAAGAGCGAGATCAACGGTCAGGCAACATGGCCCTTTGAACGACGTAGATGACCGAAAGTTGAATTTGAAGGTCTGCCTCGCTGTTACGCCGCTCGGAGAAGCATCCTCGTCACGTTGACAGATCCTGCTTCACCAATCTGGCTTCAAAACTTCCCTAGCTATAACGGATCGTCCTGGCCACGCCTGCCGTTCACGTCTGGATACCCCAAGCTCCGAACACTGCTCAAGCAGTCCAATCACTTTACAACTCTCCAGCACATGCAAAGAGGACATTCCTTAGCACAACGCAGCAACTGCCAATCGCTGAATCCCACTTGGACTCTGCGCCTGCTTGCCTGGGGCTCTTTCGTAACGCTGTCGTCCTTCACATGCCTTTTCACATGAAGAGTGAACATTTGCTAGCGTTAACCCGTGAGCGACCAATTGCGGTGGTCCATCTGCCTTTGTGGGAGCCTCTGAAGCCTCTGAATCAGTTACATCCCCAAACCAATGCGTATTCCATGAGCCATCAAAGTTGACGGACATCTCGTGAGCAGAACCTTATCGGGATGCTGTGCTCTGGTAGCATCAGTCTGGTCAGAAGTGGCCACCAAATAGCATCTAGGATACTATCTTTGATGTTGACTCCGTGACCAAATGACGCGCCTCCCGCCTATGGATGCTGTAGAGTTGAAACCCTTCCTTTCCCGACTTTCCAACTCGATTACCGAACCACTCACAAAACCATACCAACAGTACCAACAACACACAATCACCATGCCTTGGTGGACGGAGAAGAGAAAGCCCGGCTTTCCCCAGCGAAAGCTCTGCCTTTGCCACCCGAAGGTGGCATTTGCCAACGCAGAGATCCGTTCGGGGTTTTTCGAAGTCCTCTCTACCGTTGTAGAATAGGACGAAGAAGATGAGTGTAAGCATTGATCACATTGAGCTGCTTCATCATTATCGAAAACTAACAACGGACAGGAGCCGCCGCTTGTACCCCAAACCGCCGCCCCAACACCACCCACTCCGCCACCACCAACGCCAACCTCAGCGCCTTTGCCTCTCCCTTCTCACCAAAAGCCGCATCCACCAAGCCCGCAACCTTCTCCCAACTCACAAAGCCAAGCTCTGCCACAGTATCTCTCGTGATGAGACGCGAGATCAACTGGTGCATTGGTCCGTCACGGGGATACTTCGTTGGCGCTGAGTACGGATGCTTCTTACGCTCATAAAGCTCATTTGTGATGAAAGGCTTGCTTGCCTCTCGCAAGATCCACTTCTCGACGAAACGCTCCTCACCCGGCAACCAACGGAGCTTAGTGGACGGAGGCAGATGGTTGACGTATTCGGTAAGCTTATGGTCAAGGAACGGCGTCCGAGCTTCGATTGAGTGAGCCATCTCCGTCCGATCGCCGAGACAAGTCAGGAAGATGTTGGGCAGATGGCCTTTAGACCAGACGTAAAGCGCTGAGTGCAGTGTGTGCCAATTTTTGTTGATGTGGTGTCGAGCTACGCCGTCAGGATTGGATGCAATTGTCATCTGCGGGTCACAGGCAGTGTGCTCCTTCTCAGTCCAATCTGCAAAGACGTCTGGCTGGAACGCAGTCATCGAGGCTACCGTTGAAATGCCGTTCAACATCCGACGAGCTATGCTAAGCTCACCAGTACTGGCTTGAGCGCCAATGCTGCGGTAATGCTCTTGGTCAGCCTCTTCCGCCGAATGCAAATTCGCCAATCTCCCATCCTCCGTCAGCGGGTTGTGCTTCTCCCAAGCCATGTCCGGCTCGCGCAAGTAATCGGGTAGAAACAACGGGTAGCCAGCAAAGATCTCATCGGCGCCTTCGCCAGTGAGTACGACCTTGTACCCAGCCTCCTGTGGCACTTCACTCAAAGCATACTTGCCGATGAAGTTAAGATCCGCGTTATGTTGCTCGCAATGCCAAACCGCATCTTCGAAGCGTTTCGCGAGCTCCTCCTCGTTCATCAACTTCTTGATGTACTTCACACCGAGCCACTCGGCAGTTCGATTGGCAATACTACTTTCATCAAACCCGCTATCCTCCTCGAAGGCGATGGAGAAGCACGTCACACGCTCATCCGCCGGAGCCGAGCCCATCGACACGTTCTGCTCCTTCACCAAATGCGTGACCATGCCGGCAATTACAGATGAGTCAATGCCGCCGGAAAGATAGACACCGACTGGCACGTCTGCGCGCAGACGTAGGCGGACCGACTCAAGCATTCGTTGCCTGACGCCTTCGATCAGCTCTTCTGGCGTCCGAGGGTCAATGGTACGCTTATCCGGATATGACGAATCCCAATACGGCCGCTCTTCGATGTGGCCGAATGACTGACACGTTAAGTAATGACCCGCCCGTAGCTACAAGAGAGTGCATCTATGTCAGCAATTGTCAGATCCGCCAAGATAGCCCCGATGTTGCAAGACATGCGCGCACATGGCTTGACTTGATACGGCTACAAGGGGCCAGCGGAACCAACCTACCTTCTGCACACCTTGAAACAGTGTCCTGGTGTCGTGGTTCCAACCGGCGTCCTTCAAGCTCCTCACATCCCACTGCGGCTCCCAGCCCAACGGCAGGAACGCCTTCATCTCCGCGGCGACCAACAATCTCCTCCCACCAGCTTTCGCCGGATCTGGCTGAACAGTCCAGAACAAGGGCTTGATGCCGTATCGGTCTCTTACCGCAACGAAAAGCTCACGCCGCTCATCCCACAGCACGCACGCAAACTCGCCGCGCAGATGCTCTACGAAGTTCAATCCGTGCTGCAAATATAGTGCAATGACGATCTCGGAGTCTGAGCGGGAGGTGAAGTGGTAATCGGTATCCTTCTCAAGCTCGGCGCGAATCCGGTCATAGTCGTAGAACTCGCCATTGACTACTGCGTGGATGCCTTGGGACGGCGCATTGAAAGGCTGCGAGCCAGAAGGGTTCAGGTCGTTGATGCTAAGGCGCACATGACCTAGCGCTACACGTTGGGGAACAGTCAGCGCTGACGGACGCAAGAGGGAAGTGAAAGCTGAGAAGAATGTGCTGGCCAGAGTACCTACTCGACAATCGTCGCTTATCCAGTCGCCGCAGCTGTCAGGTCCGCGGTGCTTGATCTGGGCCATTGATGCATCAAGCTCCTTCTTTACCTTCGCCAGGCCGGTATCTGGTTCCTTAGGAGCGCCATTGAGCGAGCCATTGGCGTGTTGGCTGCTGTTCGGGCCCGAGAGCGAAAGGATACAGGTAATGCCGCACATGGTGCTGGGCTAGATCCTGTGAACCTGGACCTTATGGAAGCGCTGATTGATGTTGATGGTGAGATAGGAAGCATTGGAGACAGGGAGAGCATAATGAGCGAACAAACGAAAGCTTGACGTGTTACCGCCTGCTAATCACTGTATCCTGTTTCCTACTGTCATTGTAGATAAGGCCCCCGATAACCGGACCCACAACGATCTTACAACAAGCCTGATGTCGACTTTGGAACGTACTTAAGCGTGCAGTAGTAAAGCAACGCTGGATGTGCCAACGGGAGATGAAGTTCGGTCTGCATGACGTCTAGACGGAGTCTGATTGAGTGATGTTGCTTGTGGCGCCCATGCAAGAGGGCCCGAGCTTGCTGCCGTGCTTTTCGGCGAGCTGCGAGCAACGTTGTCGATGAAGGCCACGACGAGCTCCGCCAAAGCACAGAAAATTTCCACCGCGTTAACAGAAGGTCTCGTTGGAGTCCATATTGCTCACCTCGCACCCCAACAGCTCGTCTGGCTACTGTGGTATTGGGAATGGTAACAATTTCTCCTTATCATCTCCTCCTCGCTCAACTGTCCCTTATCTAGCGTCTTCCGATCGGTCTATATCCCTTGCCTACCTCCAGTACAGCATCAGATACTCGTTATCGCGGCAGTGTACGATTTTCAGAACACAATACGGTGCCGAGTCGTGACGGCTTCTGATCTGTCACATTACTAGCGGTGCGATCCAGATAACTGCCCGCGTTGGCAGTCGGACCAACAGAGCACTTGTACGTGCTGTGACTTCCCTGGCCGGACTGCGACATACGACAATATGAACGGCTCATCAGATCGCCGACACAGTACAGCGGCAGCTGTTGAGCGTTGGCGTACCGGATCGCCTTCCGGCTCTGAGCGCCGCAAGCTCTCCTTCAACCCCGTCAGCGAATGGGGCCCTCCGGCCGCTCCAGAGGAGCCTCGCGGTGCTTTTGAGGTCAGCAGAACGAAACGGGTATTGCAAGTTGGCATAGCAGTCATATACTGTCTGCTTGCCGCGGGCATAGTTTTCGGATTCGCAGCTTTGAAGCCAGTTCTGGTTAAAGAAGGAGTCTACAAAGACACGTGCACCAAGCAAGAGATCGAGGAAGGTGTGTGGGTCTGCTATGAGCAAGAGTTGCGTCTCAACTTGATGTTCACGGTTGCGGCTGTCAGTACGAATGTCTGTGCTCTGCCTGTAGGAACAATACTCGACCGCTACGGACCGCGTATCGCAAGCATCATCGGCGTGGTGTTCCTCACGCTGGGTTCGCTGAGCATGGCCTTTGCGGGAGACCTACCATTTGATGCATACATACCCGGCTATCTCTTCCTCGCGCTTGGTGGACCGTTTGTCTTTATCCCGTCCTTTCAACTCAGCAATACTTTCCCAAGAAACTCGGGGTTGATCTTAGCGCTGCTTACGGGTGCATTCGATACCAGCAGCGCCGTCTTCCTGGTGTACCGGCTTACTTACCAGAAAACCAACGGTACATTCACGCTCAAGAAGTTCTTTCTCATCTACCTGATTGTGCCGGCTCTCATCCTCCTTGCGCAGCTTTTTGTCATGCCAACGGATTCCTACAAGACCGTTGGTGAGCTCGCGAAAACGGCAGAGGATCCTGCAGCCGATGGGCACGTTGACAACGACGTCAACGAGGAGACGGCGCTTCTAGGGTCAAACTCGGACAAGCAACAGAAAGCAGAGGAGGAGAAGGCTGCTCGATCGGGCGTTTGGGGCGCATTGCACGGCAGGACGGCCTGGCAGCAGATTCGCACGCCGTGGTTCGTGCTCATCACGCTCTTTACCGTAATCCAGATGACGCGGATCAACTACTTCGTTGCTACAATACGTACGCAATACACCGAGCTACTACACTCTCACGCCGCGGCGGTCCGGATCAACGAGTTCTTCGATGTCGCGTTACCGCTGGGAGGCGTCATTGCTGTACCTTTTATTGGTTTCGTACTGGATTATACCAGCACACCTTTTGTCCTGGGTCTTCTCGTTACAATCGCAACAGCAATCGGCATACTAGGTCTTGTACCGCAAATGTGGGCCGGGTACGCCAACGTTTGCCTCTTCGTTGTCTACCGCCCGCTATACTATACTGCAGTATCGGACTACAGCGCCAAGGTCTTCGGCTTCGCAACATTTGGCAAAGTCTATGGACTGATCATCTGTCTGGCTGGACTGTTCAATTTCACCCAACAAGGGCTGGATGCATTGACGCACAAGACATTTCACAACGATCCGGTGCCGGTGAACGCGCTGTTGCTGTGTCTGGCAGCTTTTGTTGGCGTGTTGCTTGTGGGATATGTGACGCGGAGGAGCTACATGATGGGAAGGGAGAAGCTGGAGGAAGAGGCAGAGGGGGCCCGTGAGGTGACGATTCCAAATGCGCATGAGTAGCGGGCAGGAACTGTTCACGGTTTAGCAAGGCGTTGGAGGCAGCGATATCCAGCTTGTTGTGGCGCCACAGCTACGTATAGGAGCGATATCGTCGTTTCTCCAAGTATTTATTGAGTTTGGGACGTATAGTGCTTTTCTGATACTGTTCCATGGTGGCGGTACCACCAGTCACGTGGTCCCTCGGCTTCATTTCTAGAAGCTCCGACGCTAGTGTGACGTACAATTGATATGCCTTCATGGACATCCATCTTCGCCATCATTTCATCCACACTCATCCTACATAGTATTTCCTCTCGGTCATCTACAGTCATGGCGTTCGTCATTAGACGTCCGTTCGCGATTGTCAACGCTCTGAAGCAAGCGCCAAAGGTTGCTCAACCAGCGTTCCGGAGCTTCCAAACCCAAGCGCAACAACCCATCAAGCAAGCCATCACCTACTCGAAGCCCGCCACACCTCTCCAGGCCTTCGCATCCGCAAGACAAAATGCCTTCCGCCAGGCTTTCCAACAGAGCAGCAAGCGATCATACCAGCAGGCTGCGGCGCCACAGAATCCGCTGGCGCAAGGCAACTTGACCCAGCGATTGCTCTATGGCGGCGCAATGTAAGCCTTACTTACCCATCACTAGTTGGTATTATTTTCCTGCTGACATCCGATCACAGCTTCGGTGGAACTCTTCTAGCCATTAACCTTGTCTTCAACCGCGAAACCCGCGATGATGGCGGCATGCCACCATACGAGCGCTCATACCTCAACGAGACCTTCCTCCACACCGGCCTAGGCATCGGTATCATTGGAGTCGCTGCTCGCGCTCTTCACGTTAACGGTTGGTCCTACCGACTCATGGCCGCCAACCCGTGGCTAGTGCTCGGTATCGGCCTCGTGGGCAGCATCGGATCGATGATGGTATGCCACGCTACACCTCCAGAGAACTACATGTTGAAGTACGGCTCGTGGGCTGCATTCAATCTGACACAAGCAGCGCTCTTGAGCCCGCTGATGTTCTTCCAACCTGCGATCCTGGCGAGAGCAGGCCTCTACACTGTGGGCATGATGGGCTCAATTGCGTTGGTCGGTGCGACGGCGAAGCAGGACAAGTACCTCTACCTTGGTGCGCCGCTGCTTGCTGGTGTGGCGATCGTGGCGCTTTCGGGTCTGGCTCCATTGGTGATTCCGGCAACGGCGACAAGGGCGCTCATGTGGACGGAGAATATCTGGCTATATGGCGGCCTGGCTGTCTTCGGTGGCTTCACCCTTTACGATGTACAGAAAATCCTGGCTCATGCACGCATGGTTCAACGCGGTATGATGAAGCGCGATGTCGTCAACGAGACGATTTCACTGGAGCTAGACTTCATCAACATCTTCGTGCGCATGGTGCAGATACTGGGCATGCAGCAGCGTCGGAAATAAAAGGTAAATTTGGGAGGTTTGGGTATTGGCCAGATTGACAAGTTAGCGGCATGAACGGGTGGCGTTTCAAAAGGCGGCGGAGCAGTATGCGCAGAACATGTACCACTAGGCTAATTCGCTCACGAAGAACATGACTCGGCTCATCACTCATTCACAGCTTTTTATTCGAGACGTGTACTCTGGCGTTAGCTTACCAGCGAGGTTCACGACCGCGCAAATACTTCCAATAGAGATACTGACCGGCGATTAAATTGATTCGTCTAGGTAGCGCATGTTAGCCGCAACAACACCTCCAGACCGTCGCGAAAGCGACTATATCCTCGCAGGTAGAGCTGTTTGCGGCAGTATCTGTCCAGAACGTGCTGCCGGTTGTTTGCGAACCTGGATCAAGCAGTGTCTGTTGCACCGAATGCATATAACGCCTATATCTTTCCCACTTGGACGCTGCAACAGAGGTTCCAGTAGCAGCGCTTTTCCATGCACGGCCTGGGTCTAAGGCACCGTCGTGACGGTCCTGTTGTTCAGGAAATCACTGAAGACACGGTGACACTTGCGGCAAAACCCTTCGGTTCGTTGTCCTCAGTGCTTCGCGCTTACAACAAAAGCTAATAGTCACATAAAAGGTGGCCATAGAAGCATCACGCTTCCTCAAGCTCTCCCCAGAGTTGTGGAAGGTGATCTAACAAACTACTTCTCCTTGCAAAGCAAAGTCGACATTGACCACGTCAACGCTATCAGAATAAGAGAGCCTGTCATGACGCCTGTCTGTCGGCTCTACCGCCATGAAGCAGAGAACTCACACGCCACTTCCGTCTCTGAACATAGCTGAAATTTCTCTCCGTTGTCCTCTAATTTCCACTCTTCTACTCAGAGGCTTATCTCAATGTCCGTGTGCGTAGCCTGACCGCGCGTCCAGATTATGTGGCCAGTGGGGCCGACGGGCTCCATGTCATTCCTTGGATCATGTTCGCGTCCCGCTGGCTCAAGAGCCTTAGCATAGCGGCAGTCAAGAGATCTGTCACCCCACCATAACCGCCTGCATATAGCCGCCATTTGACAGCGAACAGGCCGAACACAAGTACTTCCGTAACTGTCTTGAACCCCATATCAGTTACGGCTTGGAGCTTCTCCTCACCACTGTAGGCGCTAGAAGCTTCAAGTCTACAGCTCTTACATTCGAAGAACGAGACCCAGGCGAGTCACCCATGGTGATTATCAGACATGGATACGTGGGCGCTTTCACAAGTCTCTGGCATCCTGACCGTTTATGGTGTTCAGGAGCTGGGAGATGGGAGTGACGGTGCCCGTTTGGTAAGCGCAGAAGTAGTGGTAAATCCGGGAGAGTCATATGTGATGCAGAAGTTGCACTATGATCTAAAGATATGGGAGCGGGTAGGCCTGGCATTGCCATGTTACAGAGTTCGTCGACGCACTCTGAATGAACTGATTGTTTTGGGAGTGACTGCAATCGCGTCATGCCTTTGCATGACACCCCGTTTCGGTGGCACGCTTGAAAGAGGGTCAGTCCCTAGTATGTCGAACCCATTGACTCTAGCATGGTGGCGAAAGGGCTGCCGGACGTGCGTCGTAATTTGGTGTCACTCTTACTACACTACTTCGCAGTAGCCACGCCGGGCCAGAGAATCAATCATGCCGTAGACGCCATACTCGCGGAGTGCGCGCCTTAGAACCGCAGGTAAGTTGAGATTGAGTGAATGCTCTACCGCTTGTTCTTCTTCTCTGCCTCCCGCATGACCTTCTTCACAATCTTCTGCTCCTCAATCAGGAAAGCACGAACAATGCGGTCCTTGGTGCAGTTGGCACATCGGCTGCCACCATATGAGCGCGAGACTGTCTTCTTCGGTCGGGAGATGGTGGCGTATTCGCGTGGGCGGAGGGCAGGGATCTGTCAACCGGCGCAGTCAGCCTTTGTCTTCTCGAACACTCCCCGATCCTGATGCTGAGCCTTCAAACTGCGCATAGCGACGCAGACTAGAGGTATCGTGTCAACGTATGGGATGGAGGTCTGGACATACGCCTGCCAATTTCGTGCCGCAATCACCGCATTTCGGCGCGGTGCCCTTCTTCTTGGTGTTGAGGTATCTGTGCTCGCCGCCGGGTGTTCTGATGATGCGGACTTTGTTCGAGACGGTGTTATATGGCTGTCTTCTCCGCTATTGCCCATGTCGTTAGCCCTCATTCCTCTGCCAATGCTCTCTCCTGCGCTTTCCGTTGGTGGATCGGTATCGATGACTCGAACGTACGTATTTAAGTCTGGTGGACGGCATTGTGACGGTATTGAGAGATGTTGCTGCCGGGGGAAAGAGGTCGATGTCGCTGTCGCTTCCAAATTGAGGTCGCTTGCGGCGTAGATTTTTGGTGCGTGGAGAAGGCTTGGCGGAGCGACTCAGCAGCTGCTGCGGCTGCTTCCGCGTGGCGCTGCGGCGAGTCAAGCAAGCCTCAAGCGGGCGAATCGCAGAACTCTGCTCACACGAGCTCGCCACGAACACCGCGAACACTTCAGTTCCATCTCCCACGCACTGCGCAGATCACAGCGCGTACTCGACAGGATCATCGCACTACCTGGCTCTATGTCCGTGGCGCAGGCGAGCTCGGTTGTAATGCGCAGTGCAGGCGGAGCCTCGTAGCTGGGTCACCGAACAGTTTGCGACTGAACTGGAGTAAGAAGCTATGGCGTCTATCCCGCCGCCTCCGCCGCCAGGCTGGCAGCCACCTCCTCCGCCTGGTGTACCACCCGGCCTCTCATCGTCAGTACCGCCGCCACCACCTGGCTACAAGCCACCACCTCCGGATCCCGCTGCTGCCAAGCTTCAAGAGAAGAAGCAGAAATGGCTGCGCCAACAGCGCCAGCGTTTCTCCGAGAAACGGCGAGGAGGCTTTGTCGAGACGCAGAAGGCAGATATGCCGCCCGAGCATCTCCGCAAGATTGTGAGGGACATTGGCGACGTTTCACAAAAGAAGTTCAGCAGTGACAAGCGGTCTTACTTGGGCGCGCTGAAGTTCATGCCACATGCGGTGCTGAAGCTCTTGGAGAACATGCCAATGCCGTGGGAGTCATCAAGAGAAGTGAAAGTGCTCTACCACGTTAACGGCTGTCTAACTTTGGTCAACGAAATACCGCGCGTCATTGAGCCCGTATTCCATGCCCAATGGGCGACGATGTGGGTTGTCATGAGGCGGGAGAAGAGTGACAGGCGACACTTCAAGCGCATGCGTTTCCCGCCCTTTGACGACGAGGAGCCACCGCTTAGCTGGAGCGAGAACATTGAAGACGTGGAACCCTTAGAGCCTATTCAAATGGAGCTGGACTCCGAAGAAGATGCGCCAGTATATGGGTGGTTTTACGATCACCGGCCGCTCTCCGATACATCGCACGTTAATGGACCGAGCTACAAGCAGTGGAACCTCACATTGCCGCAGATGGCGACGCTGCATCGGCTTAGCAATCCTTTACTGTCCGACATCTCGGATAAGAACTACTTCCATCTCTTCGATCTACCCGCGTTTTCTACGGCTAAGGCGCTGAATGTGGCAATGCCGGGTGGACCGCGTTTCGAGCCGTTGTACAAGGACATCGATCCGAATGATGAGGACTTCGGAGAGTTCAATGCCATCGATCGCATCATATTCCGTGCGCCAATTAGGACTGAGTACCGTGTGGCGTTTCCGTATCTGTACAATACCCTCCCAAGAAGCGTGAAGCTTGGCGTATACAGTTTCCCGCAGACCGTCTATGTCAAGACCGAAGACCCGTCACTACCAGCATTCTACTTTGATCCGGTGGTTAACCCAATATCCAGTCGATCCGTGGCGCCTAAGAATCTCACCATCTCCCACGAGGACGAGATTTTCGGCAAGGGCAGCAACGAGGAGCCTGACGAAGAAGACGGTGGATTCAACCTACCGAACGAAGTTGAGCCGTTCATGGCTGACGAAGAGCTCTATAACGATGACACTGCGTCAGCTATTGCGCTTTGGTGGGCGCCGTTTCCCTTTGACAAGCGCTCCGGCAAGATGGTTCGTGCGGAGGACGTCCCGTTGGTGAAGCAGTGGTACCTGGAGCATGTGCCGCAGGGTCAGCCAGTGAAGGTGAGGGTGTCATACCAGAAGCTGCTGAAGAGCTACGTCCTGAATGAGCTGCACAAAAAGCCGGCCAAAGCACAGAACAAGCAGAATCTGTGCCGTAGCCTGAAGAGTACCAAGTTTTTCCAGCAAACGACCATCGACTGGGTGGAGGCTGGGCTCCAAGTCTGCAGACAAGGCTTCAACATGCTAAATCTGCTTATTCACCGCAAGAATCTGACATATCTACACCTGGACTACAACTTCAACCTCAAGCCCATCAAGACGCTGACGACCAAGGAGCGGAAGAAGTCGCGTTTCGGCAATGCGTTTCACCTGATGCGTGAGATTCTGCGCTTGACGAAACTTATCGTAGACGCACAGGTGCAGTATCGGCTGGGCAATATTGATGCTTTCCAGCTTGCTGACGGCATCCTGTACGCTTTCAACCACGTAGGACAGCTCACGGGCATGTACCGCTACAAGTACAAGCTCATGCATCAGATTCGCTCATGCAAAGATTTGAAGCATCTGATCTACTACCGCTTCAACTCCGGACCTGTAGGCAAGGGTCCTGGCTGCGGCTTCTGGGCTCCGGCGTGGCGCGTCTGGCTCTTCTTCCTGCGTGGCATCATCCCACTGCTTGAGCGCTGGCTTGGCAATCTGCTCAGCAGGCAGTTCGAAGGCCGTCACAGTAAAGGTGTGGCTAAGACCGTGACCAAGCAGAGAGTGGAGTCGCACTTTGACTTGGAGCTGCGCGCTTCAGTGATGGCAGACCTGATGGACATGATGCCGGAAGGCATCAAGCAGAGCAAGGTTAACACGGTGTTGCAGCACTTGTCTGAGGCCTGGCGGTGCTGGAAGTCGAACATTCCGTGGAAGGTGCCAGGCCTGCCCAAGCCGATTGAAGATATCATCCTGAGATACGTGAAGAGCAAGGCAGACTGGTGGGTTAGTGTTGCTCATTACAACCGCGAGCGCATTCGACGGGGTGCTACTGTCGATAAGACGGTGGCAAAGAAGAACCTCGGCCGATTGACACGGCTGTGGTTGAAGGCTGAGCAAGAGCGGCAGCACAACTACCTCAAGGATGGACCATATGTGAGTACCGAAGAGGGTGTGGCCATCTTCACGACGGCGGTACATTGGCTGGAGAGTCGCAAATTTCAGCCTATACCTTTCCCAAGTGTATCGTACAAACACGATACTAAGATCTTGATTCTCGCCCTTGAGCGGCTCCGCGAAGCGTATAGCGTTAAAGGACGCTTGAACCAGAGTCAGCGTGAAGAGCTGGCGCTGATCGAGCAAGCATATGACTCGCCCGGCACGACTTTGGCGCGCATCAAGCGCTTCCTACTCACACAGCGTGCCTTCAAGGAGGTCGGTATTGACATGAACGACAACTACTCCACCATCAACCCGGTCTACGACATTGAGCCTATTGAGAAGATCACGGATGCATACCTCGATCAGTATTTGTGGTATCAAGCCGACCAGCGCCGCCTCTTTCCACCCTGGATCAAGCCTTCCGATTCGGAGGTGCCACCGCTACTTACATACAAGTGGGCTCAGGGTATCAACAATCTCAGCAATGTGTGGGGTGTCGAAGAGGCCGAGTGCGATGTGATGCTTGAGACACGGTTGGATAAGGTGTACGAGAAGATTGACATTACACTTCTCAACCGCTTACTGAGGCTTATCATGGACCACAATCTTGCGGACTACATCAGCAGCAAGAACAACGTTCAGCTCAACTACAAGGACATGAACCACACAAACGCGTATGGCATGATTCGCGGGCTGCAGTTCTCGGCGTTTGTGTTCCAGTACTACGGCCTCATCATCGACCTGCTTCTGCTGGGGCTACAGCGAGCCACTGATATGGCAGGGCCGCCGAATGCGCCCAATGATTTCTTACAGTTCCGTGACCGGGCGGCAGAGACGCGGCATCCCATCAGGCTGTACACGCGGTATATTGACAAGATCTGGATCTTCTTCCGTTTCACCTCGGAGGAGAGTCGAGACCTAATCCAGCGCTTCTTGACCGAGCAGCCCGACCCTAACTTCGAGAACGTAATTGGGTACAAGAATAAGAAGTGCTGGCCTCGTGACAGCCGGATGCGGTTGATGCGGCACGATGTCAATCTTGGTCGAGCGGTGTTCTGGGATATGAAGAACCGTCTTCCGAGAAGCTTGACGACCATTGAGTGGGACGATACGTTTGCGAGTGTGTATAGCAGGGACAACCCAAACTTGCTCTTCAGCATGAACGGCTTCGAGGTACGGATCTTGCCGAAGAGCCGGAATTTGAACGACGAGTTTCCGGTCAAAGATTCCGTATGGGCGCTTGTCAACAACGAGACCAAAGAGCGCACCGCGCACGCCTTTTTGCAGGTGACGGAAGAGGATATCCACAAGTTCAATAACCGCATCCGCCAGATTTTGATGAGCTCCGGCAGCACGACGTTCACAAAGATCGCTAATAAGTGGAACACTACGCTCATCGCGCTGTTCACGTATTACCGCGAGGCGGCCGTCAGCACTGTCAACTTGCTCGATACCATCGTCAAGTGTGAGACCAAGATTCAGACTCGCGTCAAGATTGGCTTGAATTCGAAGATGCCTTCTCGCTTTCCGCCTGCTGTCTTCTACACCCCCAAGGAACTCGGTGGGCTTGGAATGATTAGTGGGAGTCATATCCTCATCCCCACATCCGACAAGCGGTGGTCTAAGCAGACTGACACTGGCGTAACGCATTATCGGGCTGGAATGGGAAGCCATGGGGAGGAAGAGACGTTGATACCGAATATTTTCCGCTACATCATTCCTTGGGAAAGCGAATTTGTTGACAGCAGTAGAGTAGGCGCAACCTGTCCCCAGGCTCTTCGAGGCATTGCTGACTTTTGCATCTAGGTCTGGTCCGAATACGCCCAGAAGCGTATTGAGGCAAACCAGCAGAATCGGAGGTTAACCCTTGAAGATCTCGAGGACAGCTGGGATCGTGGGCTTCCCAGAATCAACACTTTGTACGCTGCGATGAGCGCCTCTGTCAGCTTTTCCATTGCTAATGGTTGGAAACAGGTTCCAGAAGGACCGATCCACGCTGAGCTTCGACAAGGGTTTCCGTGCACGAGTCGAATTCAGCATCTACCGGTACGTGCTTTAAAGCCGCAACGCCTGCTCTCTTCGTCACTAACCACTCTCTCACAGGAACATGAAGAGCAATCCTTTCTGGTGGACGTCGCAACGGCATGACGGCAAGCTCTGGAATCTCAATGCATACCGTACGGACGTCATACAGGCCTTAGGTGGTGTCGAGACAATTCTTGAGCATACGGTACGTATCTACAATGCCTTATAAGCGTTCTGATGTCTTTCACACTGTAAGCTAACGAAGAATTTCTCTATCAGCTCTTCAAGGCGACCGCCTTCCCCAGCTGGGAAGGCCTGTTCTGGGAGAAAGCATCTGGCTTCGAAGAGTCGATGAAGTTCAAGAAGCTTACCAACGCCCAGCGCAGCGGTCTGAATCAGATCCCCAACAGACGTTTCACTCTGTGGTGGAGCCCTACTATCAACCGCGCAAACGTCTACGTCGGATTCCAAGTTCAATTGGACCTTACCGGTATCTTCTTGCACGGCAAGATCCCGACACTGAAGATCAGCTTGATTCAGATCTTCCGTGCTCACTTGTGGCAAAAAATCCATGAGTCTGTTGTCATGGACTTGTGCCAGGTGTTCGACCAGGAGCTCGATGCACTGGGAATCGAGACCGTGCAGAAGGAGACTATACACCCGAGAAAGTCATACAAGATGAACTCCAGCTGTGCAGATATTCTGCTATTCGCAAGTCACAAGTGGAGTGTTAGTAGCCCAAGCTTGCTGTATGACACCAAGGACAACATGGGCACGACGTCGACGAACAAATTCTGGATTGACGTGCAGCTGCGGTATGGGGATTACGACTCGCATGACATTGAGCGATATGTGCGGGCGAAGTATCTCGACTACACGACTGACTCCATGTCCATCTATCCATCGGCGACTGGCTTGATGATCGGCATCGACCTGGCGTACAATCTGTACTCTGCTTACGGGCAGTACTTTCCTGGCTTGAAGCAGCTGGTACAGCAAGCCATGGCGAAGATTATGAAGGCCAACCCTGCGTTGTATGTCCTGCGGGAGCGTATCCGGAAGGGGCTGCAGCTGTATGCGTCCGAGAGCAACCAGGAATTTTTGAACAGCCAGAATTACTCCGAGCTTTTCAGCAACCAGATCCAGCTGTTCATCGACGATACAAATGTCTACCGCGTGACGATCCACAAGACATTCGAAGGCAACCTGACCACCAAACCCATCAACGGCGCCATCTTTATCTTCAACCCACGCACGGGCCAGCTGTTCTTGAAGATCATTCATACTAGCGTGTGGGCCGGCCAGAAGCGTTTGGGTCAGCTTGCGAAGTGGAAGACAGCTGAAGAAGTGGCGGCACTTATCCGGTCGCTGCCGGTAGAAGAGCAGCCGAAGCAGCTCATCGTTACCCGTAAAGGTTTGCTCGATCCGCTCGAAGTGCACTTGCTCGACTTCCCGAACATCAGTATTCGCGCCTCGGAGCTGCAGCTACCGTTCCAGGCCGCCATGAAAGTGGAGAAGCTTGGTGACATGATTCTGCGAGCGACTGAGCCGCAGATGGTGTTGTTCAATCTCTACGATGAGTGGTTGAAGAGCATATCCAGCTACACCGCGTTCTCGCGACTGATCCTAATCCTTAGAGCGCTGCATGTCAACCAGGACAAGACGAAGCTGCTACTTCGGCCGGATAAGAGCGTCATCACTCAAGAACACCATATCTGGCCAACGCTGTCCGATGATGACTGGGTGAAGGTGGAGGTCCAGCTGCGCGACCTGATCCTGAACGACTATGGAAAGAAGAACAACGTCAACACCTCTTCACTGACCAACTCGGAGATCCGCGACATAATCCTAGGAATGGAGATCTCTGCGCCGTCAATGCAGAGACAGCAGGCTGCCGAGATTGAAAAGCAACAGCAAGAGCAGGCGCAGCTTACCGCCGTCACGACAAAGACGCAGAACGTGCGCGGCGAGGACATGATCGTCACGACCACATCCGCCTTCGAGCAGCAGAGCTTCGCCTCGAAGACTGAATGGCGCACGAGAGCCATCGCTACCAGCAATCTGCGGACTCGAGCGAACAATATCTACATCTCTTCTCAAGACATTCGCGACGATGAAGAGCACTTCACGTATGTTATGCCGAAGAACATACTAAAGCGCTTCATCACCATCGCCGATCTGCGCGTGCAGGTTGCTGGATACCTTTACGGTGTAAGCCCGCCAGACAACAAGCAGGTCAAGGAGATTAAGTGCATCGTCATGGTGCCGCAGGTGGGAAGTACGAGAGACATTCAATTGCCTAAAAATCTGCCAGAGCATGAAATGCTCAACACCATGGAGCCTCTCGGTTTGATACATACGAGCGCCGGCAATGAAACGAGCTACATGACCGCCGCAGATGTAACGATGCATGCGCGATTGATGGCAGCGCACAGCAGCTGGGACCGCAAGACCGTCACCATGACTGTCAACTTCACTCCTGGCTCCGTCTCGCTCTCGGCATGGTCATTGACACCGGCCGGCTATGAGTGGGGTGCCAACAACAAGGATCTGTCCTCCGAGCAGCCGGCAGGGTTCGCGCCTTCCGCCGGCTTCGCAGAGAAGAGTCAGCTTCTGCTGAGTGATCGCGTGAAAGGGTTCTACTTAGTCCCCGAGGACGAGCGCTGGAATTGGTCTTTCCTCGGATCCGGCTTTGCGGAAAGAGAACGCGGAAAGATGTATGTTGGAATTGGTATTCCTCGGATGTTCTATGACAGCATCCACAGAACGTTGCATTTTGCGGACTTCGGCGCTCTTGAGGATGTCTGGGTTGATCGAAGCGACAACCTGGCATAGGAAGGTTATCCGGCAGTGGGGGCTCCAAGCCTAGCGTATGGCGTTGGAGCGCGTGTAAGACTCATGGATGCCTACAAGACATCGATAGTGAATGCCGAGGTGCTGTATCACATCCAGAACCTCTGACATGAATCATTCAGCTTCTCTTCTCAACCTCATCCCGTCACCGCCGCTCAGCTTTCTTCGCAGCCACAACGCGTCTCTCCACTATCGATGGGTCAAGAAACGGAGATACGATGCGAGAGGAATCGAAAGCAATTGCTGCAGTGATAGTTGTAAGTTTACTTGTCCGTGAAGAACAGTTATGTATGTATACCATCTGCGCCACCCGTCTTCGCCGTGCTCTCTCGTGGTATCTCAAAGCTCAATTCGCCTTTCGCAGGCTGTGTCTCGGTCGACACATCGGCACTAACAGTGTTGTTTTTGGTCTCTTTCAATGGACCTTTTGGCCGCAAAGTCCTCTGCTTGTCTGCCATGTGCCGATTTGATGATTTCGTCATGTGTCGTGAACGGTCCAACGTAGCGCGACGAAGACGCTCACGCGGAGCCGAAGCCGTGCCGCGTCCTCCAAATCTGAAGCTTCCGGAGTCGACATCAAACACCGGGACCTTGTGTCGTGAAGGACACTGATCACAACACACAACACTGAGATGGCGAGCCGGTTGTCTCAATCTACCCCGATACGTGGTGTCTTCGGACAGAATGTGCCTTTATCAAGACAGACAAATACCAATCGTCTACGGATATGGCATGGACGATACTTCCATCAAACAGCATATAGAAGCGCACCTCCTGCGCCACCCAAAAACAAGGACCGTGGACCTGCAAGCAAGGAGGACACCCAGACGGACTTCAATGCTATGAACATTCTGTCAAGCATGCCAGTGCCTACTACTGCCATCGATGCATGCATGGATGACGGATTCGCATTGAACAGTGGTCTCAAAGTGACCGGGACCGGTGTCCTATTGGTGGGCGGCGAAGCGTTCAGATGGAGACCCTGGGCGAGAGCAGGCAGGAAGGAGGGTACGATTGGCTCTGGGGGCTTAGGAGATGATGATCACGGCATTCCGAGTGTGGGTGGATCGTTGAGGAACAAGAAGGGCCAGTTCGATGTTGATCAGCAAGCTTGGGGTGTGTTGGAGCTCGCCTGGCCGAAACCGGACCTTCTCATCTTGGGTACTGGACCGAACATTATGCCCATGAGCCCGGAGACGCGGCGGCGTGTCAATGAATTGGGCGTCAGGGTTGAGGTGCAGGATACGAGGAATGCAGCAGCGCAATTCAACCTGCTGGCCACTGAGCGTGGTGTACAACAAATTGCAGCGGCACTGATACCTATTGGATGGAAGGAAGGAAGATGAAAGACAATGCAGTAGTGCACGAAGCTTCACAGACGTCGCCAACAGCCGCCTACCATCACCTGGTAATTGTGCGGGCATCGTCGGCCTTCGCGACATCTCTCTTGACGACCTCACTGGTCGAGAGCTACCGGGTCAATCATGCATGATCGGTGGCGGGCGGTTTACAAGGACCTCACAATTCCGCGTAAGCATTGAGCCTTGCACGCCTTGCCGATATTGCCAGACGTGCTCCAATGACTCGGGCAACGGATGGGGCTGTGGAAGACAAGGCTTAAAAGCACGCCGATTCGTCAACGACATATTGTCGATCTCGTCACTGAATTCACTCCGCACGTCTTGGTACGGCACTCTGGCAGGTGGTTCGATTCAGCGCTTGCTTCATGTTTCATGTGGAGGCCACCAGTTCCGCCAAACGATTGGTAAGAGAGCCTGCGGATGTGATCTACATGCGCAGAAGAACATCATGACCCTGACCCACAGGGCGGACACAAGCTTGAGGGTATGCTTAATGGACAAGCATAATGCACACTCCTTGACTGACTCTTGTTGGGCATTTGAGGCCAATCAAACGGCTTTCGCCACAATGGTGCCATCTGTGACACCGGAATAATCAAACGTGTCCCATCATGCATCTCATGAGACAGATGTCAACCACGTGTGTCTGCGTGGCACATCGCACTACTGTGGCGCTACTGGTGGTCGGGCTCTGCTTACTGCGCCACTTCTGGACGTCGGAGATCAGCGACGTACTTCGGATGAACTATGGCATTCGCGCTTCAGTCGCACGAGCGCTAATCTGGCCTGTGCACGTGCGGAGACTGAACCTCGGATGTCACTTGTGCCGTCTGAATGAAATTGTTTCGAATGCGCTTAGTCCATGATCCTAGAGGCGTAGCAAAAGGAAGAGAAGTTCGTTTTGCGCAACAAAGTAAGCCTGACGTCAGACTAGCACTCACTTACTAGACCGACTCCGTCTCGCCTAGGCTTGCGATGCATCCGACGCTTGCAGCCAGGCATGTCACGCGCCCTCCTCACGGCCACTCGATCCAGCATAGCGGATCTGCATGCAAGCCTTCTCTGCTCGCGCCGTTGCGCGATTGACATCACAGCCAATAACAGCCCCCAGACCCCAGCAACCGTCACCTCAATTGCAACAGGCAGAACTGGCACTCTCCACGCTTGGCACCTGTGAAGCTCCCGCCCTCTCCGCCTGGGACTCGCTATGTGCTACCCCGCACACTTTCGAACCCTCGTCAGCATCACCAGCTCACGTCCCCTTGTGAAGCGTATCTGCTTCAGGCCGACTTTGACGCAATGCATCTACGTCAGGTCGTACTATGTTGCGCCGCATACGACACAGCCGTGTAGGCGACCCAAGTCACCGTTCGGTCAGAGTGTCCTACCCCTTGAATGGATGCTGTAAATCAGGAAGTGTTGCAGTGGCAGAAGAGCGGCTGTATGTACCAAGCTACAAGGGCAGATCACCCTGCATCTTCTTGAGATTCTCTGTGCTCTGAAGCGCTTCGAAGCTGTCACTGCTGCAGCCCACTTTGGACTCGGCATCCTGCTGTTTGTGCAAGCGTCCCGTGAAGCTTACACTTCTGACTTCGTCATCCGGTGTACCTACTGTTCGTATCTTTAACTAGCAGCTAGACCTTTCCCCGGATTCAGTGCTACTTGCTACGTATGTACCAACAGTCAGCGATATCAACATCACTAGCCACATCGTGAATAACCCGTCTACACGCTGCACTCGATAGCTGCCAAGGTTTTCTTGGACGGGTACCACTATATCAACGTTGCAGGGCGACAGGACCGACCAATGTGAAACTCCGCGTCCAACCAGAGCTTCTTGGAAAGCCATGCATGCATTATTTTCCGAGACGCAATACGCACCGAAACAACAGGGAGCCACCACACCTACCAAAAGGAGACGGCAGCTGTTGACCGGATACTAGCAATGTCGTATGTCTCACACCCGCTATTTGCGTTTCCCTCCGCTCCTTTTGCTGTTGACGGATGGTGCATCGACTGTGATGTCGACTTTCTATCCAGCATTCGATTCCGAAGCAATCATTCCTGGCTTCCCATGCGAGAACTGCTAATCCCTGACGCCTCCACCATAGCAACACTCCTGGCCAACAACATCACAATCCGCAGCTTAAGCCGACGCCTTCAGCGGGCAACCCATATTCGGCATCCCCAAACCAGCTTACGCTCCCGACGGGTGCTTCACCCTTTCAGAACCCGTACCAGCAACAATATACCTATGGACCCACGGCGCATCAAGTAGATCCGAATCAGTTCGCATATTCTGGTCAAGCGCACTATCCACACCACTTGCAGACCCAACACCAAGCGGTCCTCCAGCAGCAAGCGGCACAACAATCCGTTGCCGGCCAGAGCCCAACGAGCACTCGCAAGCGGCGGGCTTCGGAACTGGGCGGCGAGAGCGCGCTCTCAGCCTCATCGAGCAGTACCTTTTCGAATCAGCCTACTGGGCTGATGATAGGCGGGCTTGACGTCGGCCAGGGTGATCTTACCAACCAGCAGTCGCAGCTTCCAAGTCCAATTGTGAAGAAAGGACGCACGAACACGCCCTGGACGCCAGCTGAGGAGCAAAGGCTGAAGGCGTTGCGGGATGCCGGCAGCAGCTGGAGTGAGATAGCTAAGACTTTCCCGACACGGACAGAAGGGAGCGTGAAGAAGCATTGGTACAAAGATATGCATTATGCGGAGTTTGGTTGGCATAGCCCTAGTCTGCTGTCTGAGACATCGCTAACAGATCTGTCTTTCACTTCGCAGGCGAAGACGAGGTCAGCGCTTTCGTTCGCCTCACCGCGGTCCCTATTTCAAGAGGACAATAGTGGGCTAACCAACTCGCAGAGTGCGGCATTGCTGCAAGCGATCAAAGATTATGAGAACAGTAAGTGGAAGGTCATTGGGCAGAAAGTCGGTAAACCAGCGAAGGTACGAGTCCGAGCCTGGCTACACGATCTTGCTGTACCTGACATAACTGACGCTTGAGTGCAGGCCTGTGAGCAGTTCGCCAAGGAGCGCGGATGGAAAGTGTAGGCACCTACCTTGGCCGACGACAACGGTACCAACTCCTTGGCGACCATGAGCATTTTTGGTACGATGGTCTGGATACCCAATGCATCGGTGTGGATTCAACAGCAGTGTCCGTGGATGGACGGTACCTGGAGCTCTTGGAAGATTAGTAAGAAGGCGGTTGAGATCATTGCTCGACTTCCTCGCCATTTTTTGCATACATACTCCCAACTGCCGAAGTTTGTCGACGAGCCCGGGAGTAGAGAGTGTGACATGTCGGGAGCGACGCTCTAGGCGTGGGCGAAAGCATATTCGTCGCTATGGGCGATTATGCAGGACGGTGACAGACTTAGTACCACAACCATCATCTACAGTTGCCTCCCGGAAATGCGGATGTCTGATGGTGTCGGTGAGGTTGTCACATTATACGATCCATGATCTCGTCACCCCTCTATCTTCAACTTCTCCATCGTTCATTGGGTGACCCACCGTGGAGGCTTCGCTCACGCAGCACGCTAGCAGACCGTTCGAGCGCACATGGAATAGGGTTTGCGCCAAGGTTCGCAATTGTGAAATGACGATTGGTGCGCGAAATTGCCATAGCAGATTTGTGCGACTTCATCTCTATCGTAGCAGTATCTACAGTCGTTGCCTCAGGGCAGTAAACTGTTTAATAGCCATAACCCATAGTTGCATTGTTGACAGGCTGCTTTCATGCCTTTAGATCCTGCTGGCTTGAGCGAGTGAACGTTAACTTGTCACTGTGCGAGTGTGGAGCCCTCCACGACGATAGGCCGTCTACCGAACTCTTTCCGCCGGATCCTTGTCTATAGCGACATCCAAGTTTTTCTGGCGTGGAAGATGGCGGCCATGCTCCTGCAGCTACTTTTCTGAAACGCGTAGATCCCGTTCATTGCCGTCTGGAATTCGCCTCATGGCGTCCGGAGTCTGCCATTCTCGCCACTCTCAGGGTCCGCTTCTGGACCCCAGACAGCGCGGTCGAGGCGCCAGGATCGGTCCAGCAGTCTTGTCTGTCTATCAGGGTTGCACATCTTTCTAAAAATTGCATCCATTGGTGCACAGCCTCGCTCGCTTGTTAAGCATACTCACAACTCTGACGGGACTTCACGAGAATAGCATACGTTTCCACTCTCGTGGTAGCTCACGACCGCACTCATGATGCCAGACACACCACTGTGGCCAATCTGAAACAACACGCTAGGGCTCGAAAGGCGTGGTTCTGTCCCTAGCCGGACGCAGAGCCGTGCTTTTGTTCCTGGCCGATATGTGTGAACGTCCCTGTACACAGCCGATGCGCTCACTGGCCTTTCCACTTTCATGCTTGTCCTCTTCGGAAGGCGTACCGGCCTTGCACCCTTTCCTCGTCCCGCGTCTGTGGAGCTTGCTAAACCGTACCTGCAGACAGCCACGAGCGAATGTCAGTGCCGGCTTGTCTGTCAGGCACCGCTACCCTGGAGTTGATCTGTCGGCATGCTAGTCCGTCATTGCGCAAGTAGTCATACGCTGTCGTCCCCTTGGGCCAATCCAGAGGCAAAATCGCCCAAATTTGGACGTCTTAAGATGTCCTTTCGGTATCCTCTCTGCCAGAGTGGCGATCAAGCGAAGGAGTCCCTCGCTCCGATATGGAACGATGGACTTCCGATGCGGTAATGGCTCGCCATTCGTGCAGGCATCATGGTGGGTTAAGACTATCATCAGGCCACTTTCAAAGGTCTTGAAGGTTTGCCTCAGCATGCTGCCTTGTCTGTCGCTGAGTTGACTACATTCCTGTATCGCTAGCACGTTGGCTTTCATGTTGCTCCTGTCTGGGTTGACCATTATTCAAGACTTCTTACAACTCTAACTTGACCGCTACTGTTGACGTACGGCTGACTGACGGTCAACCGCCATTACGGCTGTAACGGTGATAACGCCGGCGCATCATTTGCCGAAGCACGCTGGCTACGATTTGGCAAGCTGCTTGGGCGCTTCGCTCTGGCAGCCCCTATGGGCAATAGCAACACTGGCGAACCCGTATCAACAGTTTCAATTCTCCTATGGCGCCCAAGGCCAAGAACAGCAGGAAGAGGAGCAGACGCCGGTGACGACTGCATCGTATCAGCAACTGCTCACTCAAGGTTTCCAACCTCAAGAGCAGTATCTGCCGCCGCAAGCACAGCAAACGGCGCAAAGCGCGCAGTCCTACCAGCAGTATGCGGTCCCTCCGATGCTGCCATCGCAGGTTACTGCGCCAGAGCCATCGTATGCTGTTGAACAGACGCAGATGGTGCCCAGTCAAATCCAGAGAGCGATGTCAATTGCTTCATCGTCGCATTACGGAACGCCACAAGAGAGCCCGGAGCTGCTACGGTACCAACCCGTCGCAAGCTCTGCGCGTAAGCGCAGTCACCAGTCTGATTATTCGACGTACGACTACCAGGGATTGCAACAACTTCAAGCTCACGCTGCTGGTTTGGGAAGCAGTCAAGTACCAGTCGAGCTCACGCCTCATGGCCGTCACGCTCAACTGCAGCCTGGCGCATCTGCGTACTATCTCCCATCACAACGTGCCTCGCCTGCACAGCAAGGTTATGCTACGCAGCAACAGCAACCTCAGCCGACACCGCAGGCGTTCCAGTCAATGCAGCCTCGGACACATCATCATCACAGACTACCGAATCAGCCGCCGCCGTCGAAGTCGCAACGCACGGGCGAATCATCAGAACATGGTCCGCCTAGCGTCGTCGGTCAAGCTGGGATGCCAACGCCAAGACCCAACCCGCGCGGGCCAAAGCTCAAGTTCACCGCCGAGGACGACGCACTGCTCATCGAGCTCAAGGAGACGAAGAATCTCACTTGGAAGCAGATTGCCGACTTCTTCCCAGGCCGCAGCTCCGGTACGCTGCAAGTCCGGTACTGCACGAAGCTCAAGGCCAAGACGACTGCCTGGAGCGAAGAAATGGTACGTGACACTGCCAGTAACGCAGAGTCGGAGGGTGCGGTCGAAGACGAACCTTGACCGTCACTGTCAACGGAGACTGCATGTATGGCTTGCTTTGCTTGATCGAACCAGATCGCTGACTGACTGTTTACTCCAGGTCCAGAGGCTGCGGCAGGCAATGGAAGAATACGACAACGACCGCTGGCGCATCATCTCTGGCAAAGTTGGAAGCGGCTTCTCCGCCGCCGCCTGCAGGGAGAAAGCCGAAGACCTCGAAGCTCAAGCAATGGCTGTCCCTCAATCAGCGACATCGACTACAGACCTGGGCCATTTGTCGATGGCAGAGCACAGTCTTAGCCTCACGATACCAACGGCCGGGACGATTGGGGCAAGCCCGGCGGGGGGTGATGATACAATAGCAGAGGGTTCGTGACCGCTTCTCCCCTACACTGCACTTTGAGGGCGCAGGCTCACGGCGTCAGGCTCTCATACGGCCGTGGACACTCCATTGGACAGCGGGATGGCATATTTCCGTTTTGACGTGCTGGCCACGTAGTGCTACCTCTCCATACTGTTAGCAGCAAGCGTAATGTGTGCACACAACGAGCGAGCGGCGATGGAATGGCATATCTGGTGTCGAGCGTATTGTTCTGGGCACGTTGTTGACCCGGGGCCGATCGTCAGATCGTCGGTCGTGCCGAAGGCGGTGATAATGATCGGTGGTACGCATAGTAAGAGTCATAACCTTGTCCCACCGAGGACAAACATACCGCTTTGGGTTCGTTGTCCACAAATACGAATTAAGGGTAATGACTGAGGCAGCACAGCAGGGTCGTCTGAAGGCATCCAAGCAAGTCCGGTAGGCAATAGGCGCTTGCTTGCCAACAATAATCATGGGTGGGAGGAAGTTGAGCCTTGCATAGCCGTGCAGGATACTGTTAACTTACATCCCAAACCCAACCTTCCCTTCGTCACCGTGCTCCCCACTTCGATAGAAGATAGTGTGCTTTGGTTGCAGGTATGATTGGTTGGTGTACGTTTCTTGCTGTTGGGTTGTCTGTACGGTGCCATGGTTGCTGTCGTCGTTGGCATAGTGTCAGTGGAGGCATGTATTCTGGTTCGTTCTAGTCCGGCTTTGCGCTGATGGAACACCACATCATCGCACCCTTCCGTTCAACTTCCGCACAGAAGCTGCGTGTGTTTACCATGAGGTCAGCAGAGGGGCTTGCGAACGAACTCTGTCCTGACCCAGCAGACGGTCAGAATCGCCTCGTTTGGATCTAGCGCTTACTGCGGAATGTCTCATTCGCTCACTCGGGTTTGCCATGGCGCACGGTCCGCCCCGAGCTTAACCCAAGGTCGCGAGCGAAGTTTGGGCCTATCAGAAAGCGACCCTAGCAACCTGTGTTATCGCTGCGCAATATGTTTACGGTATTAGTTGAGGTATCTTACAATATCTTTCAGTAGAATATAGATCCAAGGTGTTCGCGAAGCACCTGGATGTGTGAAGTGGCCGCGCGGTGGCTAACCCAGTCCCTTTTGGTGTGGGTGTCATCAACGCGTGTGCATCACGGATTCACGGGAAGCCAAAAGCACAAGCGAACGAACGGAAGGTCCAAGTAAGAACCATCGTCGCCGCTCAACCTGCCCACAATGCTGCAGCCATCTTCAAGATAGTCTGCCAGCAAGCTCCTGGCACCGTGAAAGTAAGGATTGCTGCAACCGTAGGCCCGTGTCCCGCTGTCGCGGAGCATCGATGATTGTGAGTATCACGTCGTAGGTTGTTGAACGATAAGCTGTCCGATTGGCGTCACCAGGAGCTAAAAAGCCACATCCCTCTGTTCACTAACGCCGTTAGCAGCATCCGAGTTTGTTGTGATGGCTTCCAGGTGATATTAGGTTGGGACGCTGTCGCGTCGGTGCCGCCGAATGTCAAGGTGACCGTAAGAGCATGATTCAGAGACCAATCCGGAGCGTATGATTGCCTTCCAGAGCCAGAACTCAAACTCACTGCGGACGTCTTAGGCCACACAGCAGCTTTTGGCTCCACTTTCGCGTCGAGATGCCCTGTCCTTTGTAAGGTTAACTTCACGCAGAACGATGGTAGCATACTTTCCCAAACTGGTGCTTACGGCTGTAAAAGTTGCCATGGCCCATGCAGCAGCTTGTAATGTCCGTTCGCAAAGGGATTAGTGTCGTAGGTCTCGATGTCGTTAAAGCGTTGTTCTCCTTCCAACAGCCATGTTCATACAGCATACACGATCTTCACCAAGAAAGACATCTTCAAAGCACCATAGCCAACACATCAACCACTATGTCTGCCACCGCCACCATGAACAACCCGGTCGAGACGATGAAGAAGGTGAGTCCACCGATGTACCTTCTGGGTCTGGATGTCGTGCCGTAGCTGACTCTTCTACCCATGGATATGCAGCGCACCGGCCGCCCAAAAGGATGTGTGGCCAAGAAGCCCACCCGGACACCCCGGGATGGCAAGTACCCGAACTCCGGGCTGCCGTGGAAGCCGCACGAGGTACGTCTCCCACTGCTGTAGCTACAGCAATCTGCTACCGTGACAGCGCTGACCTCCTCTATAGCTCGCGATCCTTGAGAAGCTGCGGCTTGAGAAACACAACATGAGCCACGAAGAGATCGGTGACCGGCTGGGTAGGACGCCGCAGTCGTGCAGGAACCGCTACAAGAAGCTTGTGGAGGCGCATGGTCTGCGTGCGGCACGCCTGCCGCTGACCAACCCCGCCCCGGTCGCCGCTGCGGTCCCTCGTCTGTTGCCGAGAATGACAGCTCAGTCTGCTCAGGTTGCGGATGTGGTGACGATGTTGCCGGTGGTAGACGCGCTGCCAGCGTTGGCGCCTTTGCCTGCTTTGGCGCCGTTGCCTGTGGAGGTACCGTTGCCGGCGATGGGATGGGCCCCTGTGGAGGGAGCGTTGCCGGCGTTGGCGCCGATGCCCGTTGAGGTGGATAGGGCGTTGTCGAGGGATTTTGTCGAGGGAGCCTTCGCACCGGCGCCATTCTGGGGCGCATACGAGATGCCTCAGCTGCCCGTTGGTACTGGGGGGTCGTTTGAGGACTTCACGTACTGATTGGGCATGCTTTCGCTGTATGTTAGTGTTTTTGTATCATGTTCTTCTCCTTCCAGTGATCCCTTATGCAGGGTCAAGGTATGGCAAGCCATCTCTCGCACAATACCATATTGCGCACATCAACTTGTCGGCATGTGCGCATGCTGGGTATAGTATCATCGAGCGTCTGCGACATGGTCCAGGGAAGCGCACGTAATCCCAGAGTCAGCGTCTATACCATGTAATGCTGTATTTGCCCCGGCAGCTCCTCCCTCACCGATGGCTGTGAGATATCGATCGGGTAGATAAGGTGAGCGCACGTAGTCCCAGTCGGCGTTTCCGCCCCGCGGTATTGTGAGGGCTACAGCAGCTCATCTGCTATTAACGGCCGTGAGATCTGAGAGACCTGAGACGTTGGTGTTTGGAAGCACCAGCGCTACGAAGCACTACGGTGGTATACTTACAGAAACTGCCACATGTCTCGCCAGGCTCCGCATATTAAATAGGCATTCCGTAGCCAAGAACGAAGACACCCGCCGTCTCGCACGTCCTCCAGAGGCCGGTTGGCGGAACACGACCGTCCCGCATCAACGAGCTCATCGAAAGCGCCTCGCCTATTAAAGCCGCAGTCGCCCGCCCTCACCGGAGCTGGTACAGTCAGCCCAGGTTCAACGTACATCGTGCCTAGACGTGTTATCAAGTTCTCCGGATGAGATCGGAATTTGCAGCCCCGCACGGGGGGGAAACGTGGAAATGGTGGGAAATCTTGGGTAAGTTGACTTTCTGTCCTAACCAGGGAGTGATGGCCACGGTAGAGCACTCGGACACACAGCCAGTCTTGCAATCGGGAGCGCAGATGACTGGTATGCCCATCCCGTGCCGAACAAGCGAACAATGCGCAGCTGAAGGCCACAGCGATGGACGTGCCGCTGATCATTCGACTAGCTGGGCTCATGCGGACATTTCCTCAGCGCAAACCATCGTACACCAGCGAGCGTAGCAGCGACGTGTCCTTTAGCACGCAGAACGAACTTAGACTCTTTGATCAAGCTGTACTGCGGTGCTGGTTATGACTTGAGGTCGCAGCCTGGGGTACCGGAGCACGTACTGTAAGTATTACATTGTGCGACCGGTGGGCGATGAGGACGTCGGGCAGCATGCGCAGCCGTATGGTATCGCAAGTAGCGAAATGAGAGCTAGCCACGGTCATGTGCGAGTCGGTGCCGGTGTTCACATATCGCCGTCCATGTCTACGCGTTCAGTATGGCGTGCGATAATGTATTGTAGGGTTCACGTGAGCGTGTCGAGTCCCTGCATGAGCTGGCGCGCATTCGGCTTACTCGCACTGAATTTGCGTCGCGTACGACTCTTTTCTCCCTTCCTTCCCTTGGGGTAAGCACTTTTCGTGTCCAGCACATACATTTCGCCTTGCTAATAAGAGAACAGTAGCCGATATCAGCTTGCCAAACATGCCCGGAATCGACGGCGAACACAAGGTAGACGGTCTTCCCTCCAAGCCTTCACAAAGCCAGTCAACCAGTATGGCGAACACAAGCATGACCAATGGTACCACCCACGAGGACCACCACACCACCACTAATGGAGATGCTCACGAAGACCCCGCTACCGCCCTCCAAGCTCTCTCCCATCACTACCCCGAAAAGGACGGCATCTCCATCCACTCGCTCATGGACTCGGACAAAATGGGCGGCCTGACATACAACGACTTCCTCCTCCTCCCCGGCCACATCGGCTTCCCCGCCTCCGCCGTCGACCTCACCTCCCACTTGACCCGCCGCATCTCCCTCAAGACGCCCTTCACCTCGAGTCCCATGGACACCGTCACCGAGGCCAACATGGCCATCCACATGGCGCTGTTGGGCGGAGTAGGGGTGGTGCATCATAACTGTAGTGTCGAGGAGCAGGCGGAGATGATTCGGAAGGTGAAGAGGTTCGAGAACGGCTTCATCACCGATCCCGTGTGTATCTCGCCGGAGACGACGGTGGCGGAGGCACGGGCGTTGAAGGAGAGTTGGGGATTCGGAGGGTTTCCCGTTACTGGTAGGTCACTTTCACGACTTTCTCGTGGTCTTCCCATTTGTATTTGCTGTTCTGATGCAACATTTCATTAACTTTCGTTCAACCGCAAGCGTCTCGGCCAGCGTGTCGGGCGCGGTGTGGATAATCCACCAACTCTGATTCAACACCCAACCTTAATTCCTGCCTGCATGTCTAATGCGGTGTGTCTTGCTAACAGTAAGCAATAGAGGACGGCAAGCTACGCAGCAAGCTCCTCGGTATCGTCACACCGCGCGACACCCAATTCCACTCCAACCTGGACTCACCCGTCACCGAGATCATGTCCACCAACCTCGTCACAGCCTCCCAAGGCATCTCCCTTGCGGAAGCAAACGACATCCTCTCGAAGTCGAAGAAAGGCAAACTCCCCATCGTCGACCAACACGGCAACCTCGTCTCCCTCCTCTCGCGCTCCGATCTGATGAAGAACCTACACTACCCACTCGCCTCCAAAGTCCCAGGTACAAAGCAGCTCCTTAGCGCTGCGGCCATAGGAACGCGAGAACACGATAAGACCCGTTTAGCGGCATTGGTGGAAGCGGGACTTGACATCGTCGTCCTCGACTCAAGCCAAGGCAACAGCGTCTACCAACTCGACATGATCACTTGGATCAAGCGCACATACCCCGACCTGCAAGTTATTGGCGGCAACGTCGTCACCCGAGACCAAGCCGCACCATTAATCGCAGCAGGCGTCGATGGGTTGCGTATAGGCATGGGCGCCGGCTCAGCCTGCATCACTCAAGAAGTCATGGCCGTGGGCCGTCCGCAAGCAACCTCCGTCTACAAAGTCTGCGAGTTCGCGGCACGATTCGGCATCCCATGTATCGCGGACGGCGGCATCCAAAACGTCGGCCACATCGTCAAAGCCCTCGCTCTAGGCGCCAGCACAGTAATGATGGGCGGACTTTTAGCAGCCACCACCGAATCGCCAGGCGCTTACGTGGTAGGCCCCGACGGCCAACTGCGGAAGACGTACAGAGGTATGGGCAGTATCGACGCGATGGAGGACCGTAAAGCCTCCGGCACCTCATCCAAAACCTCCCCCACCTCCTCCTCCACCTCTTCGCGAACCACGACGGGAGTCTCCAACACCGCCCTCAACGCCGGCACGGCGCGCTACTTCTCCGAAGGCGACAAACTCCTCGTCGCGCAAGGCGTTTCCGGCAGCGTGCTGGACCGCGGCAGCATTACCAAGTTCGTGCCGTACCTGATGGCGGGCGTGCAGCATAGTCTGCAGGATGTCGGGGTCAAGAGTCTCGGGGAGTTGCAGGCGGGGGTGAGGGATGGCGGGGTGAGGTTCGAGTTCCGCACGGCGAGTGCGCAGGCGGAGGGCGGGATTCAGGGGATGGTTGGGGTGGAGAAGAAGTTGTATGCTTGAGCTTTAGCCAGGCAATCGCTGAGTTGGTGGAGTTCTGTTCACGGGTTTATGATGAATTTATGCTTGGCGGCGGACAGCGCACGATAGGATGGTTGGGTTGGGGTTCGCTTTCTGGAGTGCTTTGGCGTCGCGTGATAGGAGCGAGTGCAGATATGTTACATAACAGTGGGGCGACCGATACGCGTGCCTGCCTTATGTGGTATGGTGTACTTTTCATACGAGAGCTCGTCTTTTGCTCGCGACATCATACTCACTTTGACATGTCGGCGAGCACACTTTCAGCCGTGGTTAGGGTAAGCTAGCGTTGCTCATTTCTAAACGAAAGGAAAACAGTCTGGCGGGTGGAATTGCGTTCCGAACATGCAATCACTCATTGGCCACGTCTATGCAACACCACGTCTTTCTGGGACGAAAACGCCTCATTATGGTATCCATCCACCTTCCTTAGAAAACCGTCGTAAATGCATAACCCAACGTAACCCTCATCATCATCGCATAGAAATAAGCGGTCATCACATCATGATCATCCACCCTCGCTCCTTCTCCGCCATCACCCGCCCATCCCACCTCGTCACCTACCCGCTCACCTCATCGCACTCCGACTCCTCCCATCATACCTCTGCTCCCATCGCTCCTCCTCCCGATCCACCTTCTTATCCCGATACTGCTGCCACTTGTTCTCCGCCAAGTTGGCCCCCAACCCGCCAATCACCGCGCCAATCAGCACATCGCGGTTCTTATGCTTGTCCCGCCGATGCGCGCCAAACTCTCGCCCCGCCAGTCCTCCGACCACAGCGCCCGCGATCCCGACGCCCAGGCCTTGGAGCGAGGTGTCGAAGTGCTCGTCCAGCTTTTCGCGCCAGCCGTCTTTCTCGCCCCGCTCGCGGTCGTGGGAGCGGTCGTGGGAGCGGGAGCGGTCGGAGTAGTCGTCCTCGTCGTCGTAGTCGTCGCGGTCTCGGTCACGGCGGCCGCGGGAACGGGAGCGCCGGTTTGTGGCTTCGGTTAGGTCGCCTTGGGAGCGGCGGTAGGGTGCTATTGCGCCGGCGCCGTAGGGGCCGTCGTAGGCGGAGGCGCGGGTGCCGTAGCTGTCCATGCGGCGGGGCGGGGCGTCTCTTGCGGGCTGTGTATGAACGTGTGATGTCAGCATGTGTTTAGGATGTAGTCGGATGCATCGGCGCAGATGGTACTGACGACAAGAGCTTGACTTACACCCCGATACCGCTCCGTCTCAATTACCTCTCTGTCATGGTAATCACGGTCATCCCTGTCATCATACCCTCTCCCACTCGTTTTGTATCGCCGTCCATCGCGGTCGTCGTAGTCGCTCTCGTCGTCGTCGTAGTAGCGACCACGTGGTGGCTGCTGCGACCTGGCGCGGTCGTCGTGGTATGTCGACATCCTCTCCTGGTGACGCTTGATAATGCGCGGATCGACGCGGCGCACGGGGTCGTCACGCTCGTTCTCGTACTGCGTCGTCACTCGGTCGGTCGTCTGGCTTTCGCGCTCGAGACTATCGCTGCGTCTGCGCCGGGGATCACGCTCGGGTGAGGGTAAAGCGTTTCTGTGCCTACGTCCGGTACTGCGTTGGCTGTAGGTGGTGGTACTCTTAGTTTCCTGCTGATAATTCGGGTCGTCACGGTCGCCTCTACGAGAAGACTTGTCGTTGTTGTTGTTGTTGTTAATATTGTTGTTGTTGTTGTTACTGTTGTCGCTGGGTTTCTTGCCTTTGACGAAATTGTGGATGTCGTCCCAGTAGTGCTCGGTGACGTGGTTGACTCCCTCTGCGCCCAACTCCACAAATGCTTCGGCCATCTGAGACGCTTTATTATGGAGATGGGGGTGGCCTCAGGCGAGGGGCGGAGCAGGGCGGATGATGCCACCCTCCGGCCACCGGGATTGGATGGATGAGGTCAGCTCAGCAGACTCGGAAGCGCGCGCACACACACACACACCCACACTCAGAACGTTCGCTGCAGGGGCCGAGGGCCAAGACTGTCAGGGCGAGCTCCTGCTTATCGCCTCTTCCTCTCCCGCACCGGTAATGTTCGCTTTCGGAAAGTGAGCGGAAGACTGAAACGTCTGCTACCAACTAAGTTGATCGGGTGGACGGCGATCAATTTGCGCGCAAGTCCGCCGTCTTTCGCTTTGTCTCGCTGCGTAGATGGCTGGCACGACAAATTGCATCGGTGAGTAGCTTGGCCCACGTCACAAGCGGGGCCTGCCTAAGCCGAGCTGCACGTAGTGAGCCTGGATGCACGAACGAGCATGACTCGAAGCGAAAGCGAAAGTGCAGAGAGGCTGGCGTAGGTCACAAGACCGCAACGTCTGTCAGCATGAACAATCTGCTCCTTCATGCAGCGTGTCTACGCTTCACAACGCACGCGCACTCGGGGGGGTAGGTGTCGACGAGGGAAACGCCAAATACGGTAGGCACGAAAGAGGCTCCCGTCTTTTAAGGTATACACGCTTCGAGGGCCACGCTATAGTAGCTACCTTTTCCCTTTCTCCAACTCTTCCACCTCACCTCATCTCCTCCCTGACCTCCCCCAACGGCGCAATCCTCCCCGCATCCACCTCCTCATCCCCCAACCCCGGTTCCTTCCTCGTACTCTCATTTACCTCACCCACAAGCGGGTCAATCTTGGCTCCACTCACCACCTCATCCCTCCCCACAACACCATGGCTGTCCACATGAGGCGCGGTGTGCTGATACTGGCCCCGGTTGCCTTCGGTCGGTTCGATCCGGCTTTGATCGATGTTGCGGTCTGAGCCTGCCACGCCGCGGGAGGAGAGGTCGTGGGTCTGGTTGTACTTGGTTTCGGAGTCGAGGGGCTGGATCTTCGCCCCGGAGATTTTCTCGTCGCTGCCAGAGGCGCCGCTGGGGGGTTTGTTAGCTGGTTGTGCTGCTTGTATGGTGATAAAGGTTCGTACGAAGACATCTTGGCTGGATGCGAATTTGTTGGTAAAGCGGTTTTTGGTCGCGTGGCTTAAGTGTCAGTTCGACTTGTTGTCTTTCAGCAGGGCTTCAGCGGCTCTTGTGCTTCGCAAGCATGCAGGTACCGTGATATAGAGAGCTCATGCAGACCCTTGCTGCTATGATGCCATGATGAAGACAAGGGAGATGGAACACGTGCATCTTGCTGCGGAGTTCGTATGGAAGAATATCTTGCAGATCTAGAGGAGGAAATGAGAAGACCTGACAGTCGGAAGGAATCCCCTGGCATGATTGCTCAAATCGCTAAGTCTCTGTCGCTTGTGTTTGATAACTAAGGAGCCTTCGCTGCCCAACTGTACCAAGGTATTTGGTATGTTGACCGAGAGCGATGCTGTGATGCTGTCAACGCATGAAAACAGAGGAGCTTTCCCTTTCAGATGGCATTGTAACTGCCTCCGAGCCATGTACATTTCGGACAGTAGTGAACTCTGATGGTGTCTGTGAAGCAGTGTTGGGAGTTGAAGCCGACGTTCTCCCGGCGCATCGCAACAGCCGAGGCGGACACACCCTTGCTGGTAAACACTCCCAGCTGTGCGTGCTCCTCGCTTTGCATCGCAGGCCAGATAGTCTAGGCCACATTTATATCACTTGGTAGATTCGTACAGCATACAGTCCCACGTCCGGGAAGTTGTCTCGCTAGCACAGCTCAATGTCTAGCCTATCACAAGCCCTCGAATCACCGCTCACAGTGAATGGATGGCACGAAGAGCAGCTGCCCGATCACGACGATCAAACTTCGAGCAAGCCACTCTCTGGCACTGGAGCTTCACGCCAGACCCGAAGACTGCAACTCCGCAATGCGGGTTTTCGTGCACCAGCCGTACCCTCACGCAAAGTGACGCCCAAGTCAACCTCAACGAGCACGAACTGGTCGGCTATGAGCGGCCTTCTAAGCGGGTCGGATGTCGAGAACCGATCACCTTCGCTTGGCGTAAAGACACAACCTTTGATGGTGGGCAAGAGTAGGAAGAGCAGCAGCGTGCTGCAAGAGATTGATAATGGTGGTGGAGTTTCGGTGGGCCGACCAAAGAAGGCAAGAGCTCACGTACCCTCCGCCCGCCTTTTCGACAATCACATCGACACCGCACCCGCCAGTGACAGTGCTTATATTGATCTACTTTCCTCTCCGCAACCGCCTCGGAGCACGATCCGAGCAAAATCCGTCCGGGCCAAGGCTAAGATGAGCAAGCCACGCCGTTCGGTAAGTGGTGAAGCGAGGATGTACATCGACCACCTCGAAGCAGAGCTGGCGTCCGTACAGTCGCAGCTCCAGGCCGTGAACTCGCCAAGTGTGACGCGGGAGAAGACTTCGCGCATGCGAACGCTCAATTACGAGACGCGGCAGCTGCAGGACGAAGTGGCGGAGTGGGAAGCCAAGTACGAGCAGCGCGTGCAAGAGATCGTGGAAGAGCACTGCGGTGTCGAGGTGGGCTTGCGAGCGCAGATTCGCAGGTTAGAGGAGGATGCTGAGGAGACTGCGTACCGGCTTCAGGAGCTCGAGGCGGAGGTGGAGGATGCGAGAAGGAATGTGGAGGCTGTTGAAGCGGCGAATGTGCAGTTGGAGAAGAGGTTGGGGATTATGTCGGAGCTGTTGGCTGCGTCGCCGGGTAAGGTTGATTCGCAGGCTGAGACGCCGGGTTTTAGGGGCAGGCATCGACGGCCGAAGAGTATGCTCCCTCGCTTTCCGACTGCGTCTTCACTGGTCGCTTCGCCGGAGAGGGCGGCGAGGACGCAGCCGACGTCGCCGTTGTTCACGTTCTCCCACGCGGGGCAGACGGTACCGCAGGGTTTGGAGGAGACGTCATCTTCGCAGTCTGAGGTGCATTCTGATGCTGAGTCTGTCTTCTCGGAGCGACAGGGGCTGAACGGTAGTGTTACCAGCCTCGAGGCTTCGGACGGCGGCATCCTTCCGTTCAACCCATGGACGCTGCAAGCGGTTCAGTCAGCCAAGTCGAGGCCGGCGAGACGAATGCGCCGTTTCGGACCAGGCACGCATGGACCTAAGGCGCTTATACTGCCTTCGACTTCGCAATGCGATTTCGTGCCTTCTTCCGCGCCGCCACTGGAAAGGTGTGAGACGACGCCCGCCTTCGCGTTTCCACTGCCGCAGTATGATAGAGGGGAGCAAGAGGATGGCAGTCCGAGTACCATGGTTGTGCGACGTAGAGCGTCCACGACTGCGGATCAGACTACGCTTGAGAATCTTGCTGCTTCGCCTTTCTTGCAGGTGCCGGTGCTATCGCCGTGCGCGGCTACAGCGGAGAACGACTTTGATGGAGGCGACAGTATGCTGTGTCCGCTTTCGGCGCAGTCGCAGGCCACGACGCGGGAGTACTCCTCTCTTGGATCTGCGGCAGGGCGGAATCTGATGGATGAGCTGTGGGCTGTGCGGACGGTCGAGAGCGCGCTGAGTTTCGAGGAGCCATCCCGCGCAGCAGAAGATGCGATTCCGTCGAACCTTGACGCTGAGGACACGACATTGCCGCATGGGAAAGAGGTCGCAGAGGGCACAGGTGTGCATTCTGTCTTGAGCACTGACAGCCGCATCCGACCAATCCAACTCCGCCAGCGAGCCAGAAGCCAGTCCGTCGAGTGTAACGTGTCGACCTGGCAGCGTCTCCACGCGCTCTTCGGCGATCTCAGACACGCGCCCATCGCTCTCGCCCAGCACGTCATCCAAAAGGCCGCATCGCGCATTCGCATCCCAAAGCCATTGCTTAACGTCCAGTGGTGGCTTGTCGGGGTCTTGCTAGGGCCAATGGCAAGGCGACGAATGCTCACTTCACGGTCTCAGTGCAACGAACGCAGGCCATTGTTGGAAGCGTATTCGCCGCCTCAAACGGGCACGGATGATGCCATGGCTTATGGCACGATGTATCATACACCTCCCGGTTCGCCGAAGCTGGTTGGCAAGACTGGTGGTGAGGGGGAGAAGCGAGTGGAAGGGAAGAAGTGCATGCATTGGACCAAGCATAGTCCGTGGCTTTGGTTGAAGCTGAGCATCACGCTGGCGTTTGCGGTTGGTGTTGCATTCAAGGAAGGACCGGGGTATTTGATGAAGAAAACATTGTGTGGATGCAACAGGAAGAAAGACCAGAGGCAACAGAGCGCTCTACTTGAGGCGTGAAGTTGGTGTGGACGATGCGTTTATACTTAATTTCGAATCGCGAAAACGCCTAATGGCGTGTTTCCATAGTTGTCCTCTTTCTCCCCAGGAGGTAGTTCGTTATGTTGTTGGACGGTCGAGTACAGGACGCTCGCACGTACCATGAGGTGAAGTATACACACTACGGACACGGCACACTTACTTCGCGCAACACATCGACCGCTGCGTGAGCTCTGTTCGCCCCATCGATCCCCAGTGCCCTCATAGCGCTCATCGTGACCGAACGTTTGCCAAGCATACCGATCCCTGCGCGTGACCCCGACCGCCACCAGTACGCTAAGAGGACCCCTCCGCCAATGGCGTGCATCTGCTCGGCTACTCAATGACTCGGCTGTTTGACCGAGGTCGGTGATACGGCTACTGTACTACAGTTTCGCGCTATCCCATTGCTCGCTCGACCAAATCGACGGGACTTTCGTACCTTGTGCACCGACATTGGTTGTGGTGTTCGATGTCGGGGATTGACATACGAACGATAAAGGGTGTGAGCTCACGTCACGATGTGCTCGTCCAGCCACTCTGCGCGCCTCCTACAGACGATGATGCTATTGTATGATAATCTGTGATAGCAATGAAACAGGCGCTAGTGAATATCCATTACCCATGTCGCTGGTGGATCTTCTCCACATCTGCACGAGCAGACCGGGACCTGCCACAAATGGAAGGAGCAGACGACTTCTTCTCCAGCGAAAGTGTCTTGTGCTTCGTGCATGAATGCACACTAAGATGCACCTCCTCCGGCGGGGGTGTCGCCCGGAAGGCGTTGCCGAGTTGTCTTCCTCATATCTTCGTGGAGCTTGTTCGCCGAGGAAGCGTGCGTTGTGCTAGTCAATGAAAAGGGCATGTTGGCCTTCGTAGTGGAGAGTTTGTAACGTTTCCGTTCTGTTCTTCGAATGACATCTTCCACGCATTTCATCCACCCGCATTGCGCAGATCGCGCCTCTAGCAGTAAATTGATTAGAAGGCTTGGCTGACATTCACCACGCAAACATCTATAAGATCGATTGCACGGATATCGCCTTGCTTCAAACGGCCTACCAATCCAGTGTACAGTGTTAACACGGCGCCAAGCGCTGCCTGTCGCTTCTGATCCGGTTACTGTCGCGCAAGCTGGAGGCGCAGGGATTCAGACAACAACGCAGCGCCTCGCATTCGAGCGCAGACTACGCAGATGTCGGTCGCGAGGAGAAGATGCGGCGGCGAGGATCTGGAGCGATGACGGGACTGCCTCGGTGGCGCGATCTTGACCCGCTGCGCGTCTTCCGAACAAGTCGCTTCTCATACCAGCGAGTGCCAAATGGTTCTCCCTTTGACTTCCAGCAGTATCGCTGGCCGTCGCCGGGCCGGCTGTCGGAAAAATGGCGATTTTGGTCTCGAATGTCAACCACGAGACTCATATGCTTTGCGATAGCATCCGTCGTGTTCTTGTCGTTGTTGGTTGGTGGAGGCTATCATACTGCGATTAACCAAAAGGGCAAAGACGTTGACGGCCGTTTGCCTTGGCAACACTACTACAGATTGGATGGTTACTACAACGGCGTACGGACGTTGGTGCCGCATTCGAAGTGGGAACCTGACAACAAGTACAACCAATCGATACCGCCGACACAACAGGATCAGCAAGAAGAGCTTCAACTTGGGAAGGAGCCACCTTTGAACGTCGTCAAGTACAATCCGTACCCAAACTTTGCATCCGAGGAGTATAGGAAAGATCATCAACCAGTGCAAGAATGCTTCCTCGACGACGGACAAGATGTACGAGTACCGGACGTCTACGCGTACCCAGGACTACCACAGCATATGGTTGACCCTTTCTTCGGCTCGTACAAGACGCTCGGTCTTGCGGACGATGTATGCTTCGAGCGCTTCGGCAGACTAGGTCCGTATGGCTACGGCTATAACGTAAGAGAGGGCGGAATCGGAATTGGCAACGTTTCCGAGCGAGCTGGAAGTGAGCAAGTCTTTGCGCAGACGGGCTACGTCAACTACACGAACGTCGACTGGGGATCTGCGCAGAAGCAATGCTTTGAGAAGAACAAAGCGCGCTTCTCGGTCGAGCAACCCGAAGGCAAGAAGCGTGTTCAGCGGCATGCTTACGTTCTGCGCACCTGGACCGGCTACCAGTACAGCGAATATCAAATACTATCATTACGCGCCATGATTGCTGAACTCGCGCTCAAATCCGGCGGCGAGTATGACGTACACTTTCTCGTACACGTGAAGAACAACTCAATACCTATATGGGCCTCCCAAGCCGTGTACAAAGAGACATTACAGAAAAACGTGCCACGTGAATTCTGGAACATTAGCACCCTCTGGTCAGAACTTCAGATGGTGAATTACTACCCCGAGCCCTTTCCGGACAATTTCGCCAACATGGCCGGCGCCGGCATCCACGGTGTCTACCGCTCCGCTCACTTCCCGCTGCAATGGTTCAGTCAACAGCATCCGGAGTACGACTTCATCTGGAACTGGGAGATGGATGTGCGGTACTCTGGCCACTACTGGGAGTTCAACAACAAGGTGGGCGAGTGGGCGAAGAAACAACCACGCAAAGGTCTATGGGAGCGTGGCCGCCGCTATTACATCCCGCATATCCACGGCGACTGGGCCAACTTCACATCGTTCGTCGAGCGCGAGACGCAGGAGAAGGATATCGCTACCAACGACATCGAGCGCAGCGGTCCCGTTCCGGTTTGGGGTGCCGTCCGCGACTTTGCCAATAGCGGCATGCTCCCTCCCTTCAACGCCACCCTGCCGCCTCACTCTTACGACTCCGACAACTACCAATGGGGCGTAGGCGAAGACGCGGACCTCATTGTCTTCAACCCACTTTTCGACCCGAGTCTGACCAATTGGGTTTTTAGTTGGGATGTCACAGGCTACAATCGCTCACTCCCCGTGCCGCCACGTCGCGCTGCCATCATCACCGTCGCTCGCCTCTCGAAACGCCTGCTGCAGATCATGCATGATGAAACCTGGGCCCAACGGCACACCATGTTCGCCGAGATGTGGCCTCCGAGCGTTTGCTTCCACCATGGACTCAAGGCTGTCTACGCGCCGCATCCGGTGTACTTTGATCGTGATTGGGAGTTGGAGCACATGAATCAGGTGTTCAATTATCCGAAGGAGATCTGGGATAGTCCGTTTGGGTGGGGAGAGCATAACCTGTTGGGCAGCTCTTTCTACTATAATTCCGGCTTCAGCGGGGCGTTGTGGAGACGGTGGTTGGGGCAGGCGGAGAATCACGAAGGCGGAAGACGGTGGGAGGAGGAGAGGACGGGAAGGATGTGCTTGAGGGCGACGCTGCATCATCCGATCAAGACGGAGAATGGGCCTGTCGATCCGCCGGAGGAGGGAAAGGCGTCGTGAGCCCTGTCTCGTGCGGGTTGGAATTGGATGGTGTTGAACGATAACGATTGACTTCATGAAAGTATGGTTATGCATAGCATGGGAGGGCACATATCGCGTTCTAAGAGCGCGCTTGCTCCGATTGTTGACGTCAAGCTGGTTTGCTAAAAGTAGCGCTGTTCGATCTGAGGAGAGCCCTCGGTCCTGTGGCCAAGTGCGTCGCGTCCATACATTGTACGTAGGATACAGAACAAGCAAGCAGTACGTGGACCTTTTTCAACACCATACTGTAAGGCATCAACTTTGAGTCGCATAGTATACAAATTCATGTGAATTTCAACCGACACACATTCATTGGGTGAGTGTCTGCTTCCGCATCGGGCAACTAGCTAACCACGTCTCGTACGAGAGCTCGCTTTGGAGCTAACCTGTAGTCGTATATACAGCTTTCCAACAATCTTCACTACACTAGAGGGCAACTAACTTCTCGTCGTATTTGCAATCTTCCAACGAGCTTAATTTCTCATCTGCTTTGAAGGAGCCAATAAACTACGATGGAAATATCACATGGGGCAGAGCCAGGTGGATCAAAGACCGAGTGTGATCCTTCGTGGACGGTGTTCGAGCGGCGATAGAGTGTAATTACGGGGTCAGTGTAAATGTCCGTAGGTGGGTAGGCGAATGCTGTATATAGTACGATCTGTCTCCCTCCTGCCCATACTCAATCGTGCGTCTCATGCAGTGGTCGGACATATTGACACCTCAGCCTCCCTTCCATCTTCCAAGAACTGGAAATCCTGCGCAAAGCGTCAAGACCTCCGAATCTGCAACTTATCCAACCATGCCAACCAATCTTGCCGCCTGGACCACCTCGAAGGGTAAGCAGGGCGATGCGCAAACCCCCTCGTAGTTGTGGGAGGCGTTACTTACCTTCCTACCTGTAAAACTTCAGGCTCGCCCATCGAGGTGAAAGAAGCTCCCATCCCCAAGCCTGAGCCGACCGAGATCATCATCCGCACGGCCGCCGTCGCTTTCAACCCGGTCGACGCCTATAAGTACAAGCTCGGCATGCTCATCACCAGCTTTCCTTTTGTGGGCGGCTGCGATGTCGCCGGGACAGTTCACGCGGTCGGCTCAGCAGTGACTCGGTTCAAGCCCGGCGATCGTGTTGTTGCTCTGCAGGACCTTGAAGGAGAGCGCAGCAACCGTGGTTGTTTTCAGCAATACTGTGCCGCGTTCGAGGCGCTGGCGGGCCATTTGCCGGAGAAGGTGTCCTTCAAGAATGGTTGCGTCCTACCGATGGGAGTCTGTGTGGCTGCCACCAGTCTGTTCGAGGGTTGTAATATGGGACTAGAGCTGCCGAAACTGGAGCCCAAAAGCAATGGAAAGTTATTAACCGTCTGGGGAGGAGCAAGTAGTATGGGTAGTTGCGCAATCATGATGGCGAAGGCTGCTGGGTACGAGGTCGCTACTACTTGCAGCGAGCGCAACTTCGAATACTGCAAAGGACTGGGTGCTGTGGGTCTGATGTGATCAGCTGAGTGTTGCAAATTTTGGACTAACCTCTATCAGGATCACGTCTTCGACTACAGCAAGGACACAGTTGTTGATGACATGGTGAAGTCGCTCAAGGGTAAAGACTCTGTCGGTGTCTTCGACGCCGTAATGTATCGGGATACTATGGTCAAGAGCGCCCACTTGGTTGATCAACTAGGCGGACGGAAGCATGTCGCCACTATCATGGTTGGCGTCGAAGGGCAGAGGATGCCAGAAGGGTTGCCGGAGGGCGTAACCACGAACTACTGTAAGCGAGACCCTGGTCCGACTCTAGCTCGCGGGCTAATTTTGTCATGCAGGCTGGGGGAGCATGATCAAGAACGACGACATTGGGAAGTACATCTGGGGCGAGTGGTTCACGCCTGCGCTTGAGAAGGGGCTGTTGCAGTGTAAGCCAGCACCTGAGGTCGTGGGTCAAGGGCTGGAGTCCATCCAGGAGGGTATCGAAAAGATGTTCAAGGGTGTTTCTGCCACGAAGCTGGTGGTGGAGATGGAGTGAATGTGGTCTTCGCTGGAGGAAGTAACCTTTGTCCAAGCTACAAGGGCTGGGTTCGCTAGGAGCAAGTCTGGAAACAACCGTTCTGCCATATCGCCGGGTACAGGTAGTGCTCGTATAGCGGGATATATATGATGGAAAAGCAACGAGTTCATAATATGCTGAGTTGGGAGCTTGGGGGATCGAACGTAGAATACTGTAACCGTAGAGCGTTGATACCCCACGCCGTTTCCCCGGAATCGAGTGAATGCAAGCACGAGCACAAGGTGAGTCCCCTGCCTTACCGTATCATCCTCTTGCGAACAAAGAAAGAACATCGATTGACCGCACTGAATCCATTTGAGCGCATCGAGCTGCAATAAGTCAGCCAACGTTAGAAGCTAGGCCCAACTTACAGACCTTCGCAACCATTACGCGTCGCAAGCCGTCCATCGGCGGCATGGCGAGTCGCAAGACGGACGAAGAGCTGCTCGCCGAGCTCGAAAGTCTTGGTCTCGAAGACGCCTCGGGCGCCGTGCCTCCCTCGACACAGTCTAAGGCTTCGGCACAACCGTCAGCCGCGCCTCAAGACGAGGATGTGTTGAAGGACCTACAAGCGCAACTCGCGACCAAACCAGCACCGTCTTCAAGACCCAGTACGCCGCGGCTGAGCTCAAGCACAACATCAGCTGGAACGAAGAGGGCAGAGCACACCCCTACCAGCTCTGGACCGCCTAGTGGCAGGAACAGTGAGGATCGGCTTCGCAACGCTACGGCGGCTACGAGGACGAGCGGAGAGGGCAGGCCTTACCACCAGAGCTTCACACCGGAGTATCAACAGCCTCAGTCTCAACCACAGCGTCATGAGGAGAAGAAGGACGGCGGTGGAGGATGGTGGGGCATGCTATCGGGTGCTGCGTCAGCGGCAGTGAAGCAGGCGGAGAGTCTGGCAAAGGAGATCAGTGGTAACGAGGAGGCTCAGAAGTGGGCTGAGCAGGTCCGGGGAAACGTGAAGAATCTACAGTCGCTTGGTGAGGTTGCTCCAAACATTCCGTCAAAGGAGTTTGTCAGACTAACAGAGCGTTCGTCGCACAGGCACTGACCTACGATCGCGCGCACTGCCTACCTTCACCTCTCTGCTGTCGCATATCGCTCCACCGATCTCGGCCCACGAACGTTTACAAATTCATACGACACACGACATCCACAACTACCCTTCCCTAGACCCGCTAATCTACCAGACTTTCTCCCGCATCATGGCACAAGTTGAAGGCGGTGATCTCATGGTCATTCAGCGAGGCAGCGAGAATCGAAGCCGCGCACGTGCAACGTCAGAGCCACAAGGCTACCGTGGCGGTGTGCTGGGCAGCGGCAACAGCTGGACCGACGCGCCATGGTGGCGAGACGAGCATGTCAAGCGAAGTCTAGGCGCCGTTTCGGGCTTGAAAGAGGGCACGCGGTTGGTGAGGGTTAGCGCAGAGAGCTATGCCAAAGACTTCTTCGAGGCTCGTGGTGGAGTTGAGGAGGCAGCGAAGAAAGCTACCGAGACGCTGTCTGAAACCAACCCAGTCCGCTCGAGCGACATCTTCCTCGCCATCCAAGCGATCAGCTACGTGGTAGAGAGGGAAATGTTCGCGGATGACGTTCGGATCGAAGACGAGAAGCCCGCCGTGGTTGAGCCCGAAGCAGAGGAGGAAGAGCTGATCAGCTTCGCTATTTACCTCCATGACCCCATGCACAGTCTCTCCTTTAGCACGCTCAGCCAGCCCTTCCCGGCCAAGTGGGCGCAGTGGCTTGATGCGAGCCCGCAGGAGGACGGGCTCCCGGACAGCATCATTGAGATTATTTCCAGCGGTGGCGTTGATCCGCGAGAGTGGGTTGCGGAGTGGATGGAGGAAATCCTCTCGTTGGGTGTCGGTGTTGTTGCGCAGCGGTATGTCGCACGGCGGATGGGCGTAGGTGAAGGTGGGATTGGAAGGGGGAAGAGGAGGGCGGAGGAGGAGGGAGTCGGTGGGGAAGCTGCGAGGGCGATTTAAGCGGTGGTTGCTTTGCGCTCCTTCCTCGTCCGGTCTGATTGATTCCAAGCTTATGACGCTCCGTGACGGAAACGGCTGTTGCCTTGTTGACTTGCTCGAATTTTCAACCGCACAAACGCACACGCTCTTCAACGCACCGATTGCACAAACAGTCAACTCCAAGCCATCCAGATACCCTTCTATCTACGCACTGAACCCGTACAACGCACGTAATCAGATAACAAGATGGCAGACTCAAAGAAGACCTCCGTGAACGGTTCAGGTACGTACCTCAGCGGGTGACTTGGGCAATATCCTTTAATTGATTCGCATCCCAAGGCGAGAAGCCGGACACAGCTACTCCTGGCAACTTCAGCATGCCATTGAGGCCTCGTCATGTTGGGTTGGCTGCGCACTCCTCAAATGAGGATACCGGCCCGAGCGTCAAAACGGGCGCAGATCTGGTCAAGAAGTACGGGGTTCCCCCAGGCGTTCTGGCAGCCGCGTTCCGGGAGCTGACGGAGAGAGGCCATCCGTTGACACAGGACGAGCTTGATGCTGTTGCCCGTAAGGCAAGGGAGGAGAGGGAGGCGCGGGAGGCGGAGACGGCGAAGGAGGAAGCGGTGGCCAACGGAGTTGAGTAGAGGATCCTGATCGCATCGGGAGTCGACAAATGCTCGTAGCGTTGACACAACCCTCATGACATGCTACCGCGTTGGGATGTGTCAATGTGTCTCTGGATAGAACTGCAACCTGCGTGTGTTCCCTCGTCTAGATTCGTCGTTGTAGGTGTTCATGGTTCTCTGGCTACCTTAGAACGCAAGCCTTCACTTCGAAATTTTGCTACAATGGTTCGTCTTCAACAATCAGATTGCACTTGATCCCAACGCTATAGCACCTTCCAAAGCTGCTAGACGATCCATAGATTTTTAGAATGGCTTCGACCACGGTTGACTTGAAAATTTGCCGCATCGTCATTATGTAGAAATAGAACTGGTCAACTATCCCAACGCGATAATGCCGTCAAAAGCTGCTGCAGCATCAAGAAGACCGTCTGCAGGCCGTGATGGTGGTTGTAGGATGCTGTTACATCGAGATCTCGTATTCTCGGCGTGGTAGCGGACGAAGGATCGCAAGCGCCACCGCCGTGATACGACATGGATGTGCTACTGTACGTACCTGCATAAGTGCTAAAACGGCCCTCAAGCGAGCCCGAGGGCGGAGAAAGGGTCAACGAACGTATTCACCTTTACGAGTGAGATACAGCTAGTATTAGGCTGCAGTAGCAGATACTGTCGCTGGCAAGCATTCACCCGAATCGATAAGGCCTCCCTTCTTCGAGGCGCAGAGCCCATCAGATCTCGTGAACAGCCACTTTCCTGCCAAGCCGAAATAGCACAAGCTCATGGATTTAGCCAGCGCTTGCGCATGCGGGCTGTCTTGGCGGCGGCACCCTGGTACCGTTTCGCGGAAGGCGTGCTCCCCAGCAACGGACCGCTGTCTTAAATTAGCCAAGGGCCAGTGGCGTTGCATCTCTGACGACGATCTTGGACGATGGAATACGGGGTGGGTCAACACAGTAATGAATGAGATAAGAGCCGGCTGTTTCCTTTAGATTCGTTCCGTTTGTCGATCACGACCCCTTGACCTTGCTCTTTCCCGTCTGCAACAACTAACATTCGTTTGTAATTCTCTTTCTCAACTACACAACGATTGTTATCGACAACCCACCTGCGCATCAGATCTCCAATATCAAAATCATCATGCAGAGATACTACGCCCCTAACAAGCAATATTCCCAACTGGTCGGCAACTCAGCAGCATTTTATCAATCAAACGCTCAAGAATTAGACCCCTACGATGACAGTGCGCGCAAAAGCTATGCGATTCCACGAACACCATCACCTGCTAAGACGGAGAATGAGGACCCTTTCGACAACAGCTATGAAGCGTACCGCGGTCAAGCAATGTCACGCCCTCCACCGACCGCGCCGCTCACTTCACGCAATCTAACCTCTTACGATCAATTCACTGGCGCACCGAAATCGAGGAGACAGCGTGAGCCTTGGAGTCGGCGACGAAAATGCGTTGTCTTCACCGTGATCGGCGTGGTACTTCTCGTCATTGTTGGCGTGGCGGCTGGCGTTGCGGTCGCGCTGTCGCAGAACAAGCCGTACGATTACACTTCGCTGTCCAACGTGACGGTGACGAACACGACCGCTTTCTGGTACGGCGGCGCAACGAGAGTCAACCCATACAGTGACAACAATGAGGCGCCGATGGGAACGGGCAAGGATGTGTACAAGTATTACTCGGGAGCATGGACCAACTTCCCTAACCAGAGTACTTGGATCTCATTCAACGAGATGTGGGCAGGTAACCTTCACACGTTGCAGCATGGTTGCAATGGATTTGGCAAATCGCAGAATTCGTGAGTGCCTCTCCATTCTCGCGTCCACTCAATCAAAGACTGACAAATCTGTCAACAGCGAAAGCAACATCCAATCGATCTACAGCGCCATCCAGGACCGCGCCTCTGCCTCTCTCGTCGATCATCGCTTGATCTTCGCGACCGTGCTACAAGAATCAAGGGGTTGTGTGCGCGTAGGCTCGACCACCTCCTCTACCGGAGTCAACAACCCCGGGCTCATGCAATCCCACAACGGACATACATTTTCCGGGGCACATGCGAACGAGTCGATCTACGCTATGATCCAAGACGGTACGCAAGGTACAGCGGATGGCGACGGCTTGGTGCAGAACCTGAACATTTACGGCAACCCGTATTCGGCGGCAAGAGGGTACAACAGCGGATATATTCCGAAGAGTGGCAATTTGAGCGAGGCAGCTGGCGCAACTGCTTGCTATGTCAGCGATATTGCGAATCGGTTGACCGGCTGGGCCAATGCTACCTCAACGTGTCCGGGCGGTGCATAAACGTCACTTCTTAGCCGCCATCAGAACTACCACCCGACGTGGCTATAAAGAGAGGCGTTGCGAGCAATAGTCTGTGATCTTTGGAGTATTTGGCATCTGCGTGCGTCTACAATAACTGAGGAACGCAACAGCGTCTTCTCTACGGGCAAAGGACGTGGAAAGGACGAGGGAGAACCATGGGCGCTTCGATCAGCACCTATACCAGGCGTTTAGCGGGCTGTACCCAGTGGTTACAGAGCATCAGGACTGACTCGGGCGGGGTTTGTGAGAGCTTGTATCACAAGCGCTCGTGCAAGGCGTCTGCAACATGGAAATGCTACGCTGCCATGATTACGATTTTGTATGTATATGTATAGCAGAAAGCTGACTGGCTGATAACGCCGTCGTGTTAATGACTACCTCGAAGCCTCAAGTCGCGCTATTATCAGCTCGAGAGGCTCAGTGACGATGGTTGTCGAATCATTCTGGGCTCAATGAAGACGTAACTTTAACAGCGGTCGTAACCAGTACAACCTTGGTTATACGTCGTCTTTTATAAGCCCGTCGGGCCATGGTCTGCGATGGGAGACTCGAGCATTAATGCAATGGGTGCAGTGGACCGTGGGGGTCGTCGAACAGCCGGCAGGCAAATACAGCGATGAACGTCTGCCGAGAGGTATCACGCTCGGTTGATTCTGTGCAATATGTCTGTAGAGTTGGGAGCAGCGATCACGAAGTCGGTCGCTTGACTTGTCAAGAATGGCCATTGTAACGCATCGCAGGCTGTATCACGAGCTCATGTACTTCTTCGACAAGATCCCGCCAACAGCATAGCTCCACCACTTCGATCAAACAAGACTGCTGGTTAACTCCTAAGGGACAGTGTGTTGTTTCGTCACGGCTTGATGTGTAGACATCGCACATGGCACACACATCGGGGTATGCTCCCTTAACTGCATGGACAACCTGTCGAGAGTACCAAATCGACAGAAGCCTGCAAGCGTTGCATTCAATGCCCATTCGATGCATAACAGCTGAAATTGGGGTTGCGCCGTGCTGTAAGAACTATGAGCATTGTGGAAGCGAATCGTCGGCGCATCGTGTCGTCGTCCGAATGGCGCAGGAGCTAGAGCTCATTTGGACGGTTGTGGCATGCTGACGGAGCTGTGATTCGCTGGGAGGCAGCCATTCCAAGGGAAACTGCAGACCAGGCCAAACCCTGAACCGCAAACAGCTTCTGACCACTTCTTTCGTCGGCCACCCACACCGTCAACAGCCACCACCAATATCATTGACCACCGACACTGCCCTCACGATGTCGGCCGTCTCGCACGGCGATCGTGAAAGCGTCACAACAGGGTTGAAGCGTACTGCATCGAACGCTTCGATGTCGTCGTCGGAAGAGATCACGGTCAGACCTAGGTCATCAACAACCAGTGATCAGAGCAGTAGCGGTGCCTTGCTCAACCGTCGTCATAATACTTTAATCGTCGACGCCATTGACAAACCGATGAAGTTGTGCAGCGTCACTAACGGCATGCTTACCATCAAGCTGTCCAAAGAGCAGTCGGCCAAGCTTTTGACGCCACGTCAAGCGACAACCGACAGAAACGTCGACCTTAACGGCGACGTCGACGATACTGATGGCCGCAACGCACGTGGCACATACTCCCGTAGCTACAAAGAAAGTCATCCTGAGATTGACTGGGTCCATCGCGGGCAGGGTAGATACTTGCCCGCAGACCAGATCAAGAAGGAGCCAGGTCTGGTGCCGGAGCGTCGGTCAAGGTACGTCTCGAGTGCAAGCATGTGTGCTGTAACACATCATGAACTCTCAACTTTGTACTGATTTAGCAATCTCGACAGTCGCGTGCAGCAGGTCGAATTGATTAACGACGACAAAGCCATCAAAGTCGAGCCGAACGAGCCAGGGACAGCCCCTCCAGCTAAGAGACAGAGGACTGCCTACAACTCAAGCTCGCATTCGGCGACCGATAGCACGCCTCAGTACGGTCTGCGTCAACGTAGCGTGACAATGCAATCTCCCTCAGCGAGCGAGCTGCGCTCGGCCCGCCTCGCACGCCGCACACTGCCCAGTATTGAGATGACCACTCCGCTTCGCAGCTCTTCGCTTCGCAAAGTTTGGTCTGTAGAGGATGACGACACTGCCGAAGAAGAGAGCGATGACAACGCCCTTACCGACGCTGCCCTGGATCTGGCCTCGGGCCGCGGCGAGCCGACCTACAAGATCGGTTATGTGAAAGCGCACCCTGAGGAAGTCTTCCACCATACCGGCAACGGCTGGTATAGAAGAGGCCCACGTCCTGCCATCAAGCCTAAGGAGGCACTTACCATCAAGGCTGAGATCAACGAGGAACGCCAAGCCCAGCGTCGCTTGAGCAGCCGGCTTAGCGACGGTCCAGCAAAGCCACGAGCCCAGCAATCAATCCACAAGACGGACCTCCATAACTGGCCTGGCGCTGAGTTTCATCACAAGGGTAACGGCTGGTACAAGCCTGGTCCGGATCCTAGGGGGGTCCGTGCCAGCATCTGGGTGCCAGATCCCACCGACGCCGACGCACGTGACAGCGGAGTAAACGACTTCGACGCCGACAGTGACCACGCCGGCGATGACGACAGCCAGGACGATTTCGACGGTCACGCGAAAGCCAACGGCACCGTAGACCGCAGTTACGTCGACGCACATCCGGAGATCGATTTCGTCCACCGCGGTAACGGCCGTTTCATGCGCAAATCGGACGTCGAAATGGCCAAAACCAGAGCCACGGGTTCAGCTACGCCCGTCCGTGAGCACCGCAAGTCACTATCTGCGCCTGAGAAGGAACCCACGTACACTAGGGAGTACATATTCAGTCATCCGGATGAAGATTTCTATCACACCGGAAATGGCCGCTACAAGCGCGGCCCTAAGCCTGACACAGCACCAGCCAATGAAGATAATGAGTCTGATGAGAGTGAGCGCGAAGACGATGTGGAAGAAGTCTTGCTCTTTAGCAAGGAGTATGTGGATGCTCATCCGGGAGAGGTGTTCCATCACCGCGGTCAAGGCCGCTATGGTCGCGGACCGCGAGTCAGTGCCGTGCGCGCTAGTACCGCGGCAAACGATGATGGCGATGATGAGGATGAGGGTGATGCGACTGCACGCTACGACACCGCTTACGTGAATGCCCATCCAGAGCAAACCTTTCACCACAAAGGTCAAGGTCGATGGGCTCGCGGCCTCCCGCCACCAGGCAGCCATAACAAGATCGCCATTCGCGGTCCTGGTGCAAAGGGAAACAGCATTAGGCCGTCCGAAGAGCTGGAAGTCCCGAAGAACGCGCCTGAGCTTACTGCCCTGGTGCTCAAGGTCGATGGTCCCGACAAGTTTCCAACACTTGAATGGCACTACCGCGGCGGCGGCAAATGGGGCCGTCTCACCAAACAGCAGTACGAAGAGATGTTTGAGGCCCCTTCGCCCAAGCACCGCGACATGTTGATCGACAAGAGCGCGCTTACCACCAACGTCCCGAAGCGTGGCAAGAAGCAGACTGATGGCCCGAATGTGCAACTGGCACGTGGGACCGATGTTGTTACCAAGCATACTGCGAAGCTGCGTGCGTCGGTCGATGTTGCTAACGTCGGCTTAGCGGCTCATCGCAAGCGCAAGCACATGGCTGAGCGCCGTGCTTCCGATCGCTCACCTGGCGCAGCGAATGTGACCGAGTCTCAAGCAAGGCCGCAGGCGAGGCAGCCTGCAGCCAAACCACGTATGCTTACAGAGCAAGAGGATCCGCTCGACGAAGTGCTACCGCCGATTTTCAAGGCGAAGGGATGGAGCCCGCCACCGATGCTTGAGGGTGAAGAGGATCCGATGGACCGCCAGATGCGCCACGTGTTCCCAGCTTACAATTATGACATGGTCCTTGAATCAATGACTAAGTTCGATCCTGTACAGCGCCGCATAGAGAAGCTCAAAAAGATTGCGGCCAACGCGGCGAACTTTCTGAAAACGATACAGGGTGAATACCTTGCGCTTGACAAGTACACCGCACCGTACGCAAAGGTACCACGCAAGCCAGCCAAAGGCGGCAGTGTGCCACTTCCGCAGGACACATTCGAAGATATGAAGGAGGCGGACCTGTACGACTATCAATTCGACCCACGCCGCATTGGTAACCAGGATCCAGATGCGCAGAAGATTGTGCGTGACGCCGAGGGTAGAGAGCTGAGGAAGAGGGCAAGGCGGGCAGGCGTTGAGCCGACCGACACTGTGCCGGGATGGCACTTCGGTGAGGCGGAACTTGCTGGAAAGAGACAGTCGCGTCAGCCAAACCGCTTCGACGGCGTCATCGAGGAGCCGGCTCGAAAGCGCGCCCGGATCACGGTCACTGGCGTCGACGGCGCTGAGAGTGTTGCCTCTTCCCGCGGAGCTACGCCAGCGAACGGGTACGATCCGAACGAATTCAAGCCGCCGACTTCAGGACGTTGGGCCGGGCACGTCCCGAAACGCATTCAGCAGCTCAGAGCTGGCAGCGAGTTGAGCCTCGGCAGCAGCGTTGAGGCTGCTGATGCTGGTGGGGTCAAGAAGGGCAGGCCGCTAGGCAGCAAAAACTTGCGCAAGAGGCGCGATGCGGGTGTTTCAAAGGGTCAACGCGAGAAGAAGACTACTGCGGAGCTGGAGGAACTAAGGGTCCGCATGGAAAATGGAGAGGATGTATACAATGAGGAGTCGGAAAGTGAAGATGAAGAGGGTGAGGAGCTGGAGGAAGACGAGGAGAAGGTGCCACGCATGCCGATGGTCACTGGCCCTGACGGCTTCCTTTACCCAGCTTAGACGGCTATGTTTGCGGCTGCTGATGCTTGGTGCGTTGCTATTGTCGGCTCTTGAAGCCCACCACAACCGTCTATGCTTGCGACATGCAAAGGGATGATGCTGTGTACAGGACGCTTTGCGGCGGTCTGGTGTACGATAGCTTATGTAAAATACCAAAAATGAGCATATACCGAGTAAACCGTCTGTAACGGAAACTGAGCGTTGCTACTGGTCCCGCCGTTATCCATGCGTCACCAGCACCTGGGAAGCGTAGAAGAAACGGTTGTGAACCTAGGTAAAGGGGGACAACTCGAGGCTTCTGATGCCGACGACGAAGCAACCTTATCGATGGCAGCGCCTGCTGTCATGGCTTATCTTAAGACACGGACATTTGGAGCGAGGCACGAAGGCGCTGCGGCTTCTTGAAAGATTGGTAGGGTCCAATGCAGGACGGGTAATGCGGGTTGAGAAGACTCGGTTCGTCGCGCTTGAACCGTCGAGCAGTTTTGCAGGAAGACCAAGACGAGATGGTGGGCTTGTAGTGGAGAGAAGCGTGTGTTGCGGGTTCGGGAAGGCTTCTATTCGAGGTCTAGAGAAAGACAAACGCCAATGTAGCGTCATCTAGCGTGGGCGAGTTCTCAGCTAGGGGCAGCATTTACAGGAAGCCTCGAGGTTGATGATGCTGCGACGACAAGCGTTCTCCATCCAAGGATAAGGTAGCGCAATACTCGCTGACGCCATGTTGAACGTCTCCACTACTCGTTAAAGTCATACCTGCCATTGGCACACTACTCTCGATTCTCTACTACAGCCGAGGTCGGGTTCGCGGTCAAACGTTGGGTCAGCCTTGCGCAATGTCTCATTCCAATGCCTGGGTTTCCAGACAACAATAAAGTCAGTTCCAGAAGCGTGGCATAGCAATTTTCAAGACACCACCACATATCTGGTACAGATTATGGTGGCCTCCACGTTGTCTTCATGTAGCCACATGTACAAACATGGGAGTATAGAGAGTGTTCACAAGGGTCAACTGAGTCGTAAATTGCCGCAAAAGCATCGATCTCTACGCAAGAACATGGGTCCACGGCGGTGCTAGTGCAGACTGAGACAAGTGCACGTGCGGACCGCCCACGCCGGATCTACAAGTGCCAATGTCCGCAGGGCTACTGTGCCGCCTCTCCCATTCCCACGTTCGTGGGATGGAACAGCAAGCAACAACCACGTCCGACATACTATGCTAGTCCACGCGTATTTGAGCTGACCCCGTCCTTCCTAGTCAGTGGAGGGGTGAAAACGACCAGCCGATCCTTGGCTTCTCAAGATGTTGGGACAGTCTCACCATCTGGCTGCTGCCCGACCGTTTCCTGAGGCTTATCGCGTGCGAAATGGCGCTTCACCTGACCGGACAGACTTACGCGGAGACCCGCAATCATTACGCAGGAAGGAGACCAGACGGGACGATGACTTCGAGTCCGACAACGAGGTGAAGGCCGAGTCTACAGCTGGACCACCGTCCAAACGGCAGAAAGTGGGCTTCGCATGCGATGCATGCGGTAAGTCCTACACGGAGAAGCGCGCGCTCGCAAGGCACAAACACACCGAACTTCATCGCCGTACTGTCGGACTTCCACCGCTGGAGAAGTTCGCGTGTACCCAGCCAGGTTGCAACAAAAGCTTCACGCGGGATCATGATCGCGCCAGACACGAGAACGAAGCGCACAAAGGCCGTAAGAGAACAGCCGCTAACGCCAAGGCGACATTCACCAGCGGACATCGGCAGGAAAGCGATGCTACTGAATCCTCACCCGAGGACCAGGGGATGCTTGGTGTTGAGGGGAGAGACTTTGTCACCACGATATCTCCAGGAAATGAGTGGAGCCAGTTCTCCAGCGAAATGGAGATTGACAGCGAAGCCGCCAAATGGCGAAGTCACTTGAAAGTCAGCAAAGTGTTGGGCTTAGGGTCGCCTGAGACTGTCACCATCTTGTCGGAGAGAGCGAGCAGCCGACACTCAAGCGAAATGGATGCAGATAGCGCATCGGCGAAATGGCGCAGTCATCTAAAAGCTAGCAAAATCCTAGGTCTGAGTCCTCCTGAGACGATGTCGCCTCACACAGACACAACATCTATCTCGCAAGGCTATCCTGTCAGTCCGAGGGCTGAGGTTCATCGTCAAGGGAGCCGTGTCGTCGGTGAGACCTTCTTTCTCTCGAGCGAAGAATCAGAGGAGGAGGTTGTGGGCCCACCAGCACCGAAGAAAAAAAGCTGGTTTCAAGCAGAGTCAGAGGATGAAGCGTGCGAAGCTTTGCGTCGGCCCAGTACTCAAACTAGTGCTGAAGCCGAAAGAAGCACGTCCAGCGTAGCCGACTCTGCGATTGACATGACTGATTCATCTATCCACGAGCCGAAAAGGCCTTCCATAACGACCTACGACTACCGTAGCGAGCAGCACGAACAGCGGGAAGCCGCCTCGGACGCGTCATCCTCCAGAAAGCCATCTGCGGAAAGCCATCGATCCGCCACGCAAGCGCCAAGGCGCCCTTCAACAAATGAGAAGTACCGGCCTAGCATACCGATCCGGCCTAAGATTAGTGTCATTCAGAAGAACGGCAAGAGCAAAATTGTTTCCCCAGAAGAGGGTTTGATCTGCGTCTTTTGCAACCAGCCGTTCGAGAGCGAACAGAGCAAGCTTTGGCCGCATCTTCAAAAGCACCTCGAGGCGTTCAGCGGTCGAACGGCCTATACCTGCGACGAATGTCAGATCGGCTTTGTCCACAAGTCAGATTTGCTTAGGCATCAAACTTGCGTTGAGACGTTCGGCCATTGCGGATATAGCTTCAACCACCAACAACGATGCACGGGACATCACTCACCCAAGTTGGACCAGCTAGAGAGTGAGTTCACCGATCGGGACAGCTTCCTCATCTGCAGCCAGCTTCGCCAGTGGGAGATCAAGCAACTACAACTATATATCTCCCAGATTCAGGACCTGCTCATGAAGCGGCAATCACAAGTCAGCAACGTCTTTTCGATTGAGGCGTTGATGGGATCACCTGACGATTCGTCCTCGATCTACGCCTTCAGCATCAATACCTATGTCTCTGCGCCGGATAAGCGGCAGAGCGGCACTATGGATATGGGCGGACTTCAGAAGCGGATGAAGCAGATGTCGCTCAAGACCACGCCTCTGCCTGAACGGCAGAACCCGAACAAAGCTAAGTCTTGATTGGTAGGGAGGATACAGCCTCCGAATGCTTACTGGTGTTTCATTTGTTATTGATTGTGGGTGGGAATGTACAATGGGAGAGCAGTCGGGCTTATGAGCCCGGCATTTCGGCAGATCTACTTCGTTAAGATACCCAGCTTTTCCTATACAGCTACGTCATATACATCTACTGCGGCGGCAGAACATCGAAGGTGTGCGCTACCTCCTTCTCCCACTTCATCTTGTCCTTGCCGTAGATTTCGGCGCCAACGTCAAAGTTCTTGCGGCCCTCCGGAAGCAGTGACGTACGCAGAATGATGGTGTCTGGACCCATGACCTGCTGGTGGTGGTAGATGTGGGTCGTGCAATGTGGGCAGTAGTAGCAGTCGACGCTGTTGCCGCTGTCACCCTTGTAAGTGTACTTGGAGGGCTCGCCGCCCTGGGTGATCTTTAGCGCAGACTTCGGGATGATCTGGCGCAGTCCTATCGTTAGCTGGCGCGTACCGGATTATGCAGTGCGGTCTGCCGTACCTGGTTCATGGTGAAAGCACCGCCGCCTAGGATCTTGCAGGTGTCGCAGTGGCAGAGGATGTGCTTGCTCTGCTCATCGTTGAGCGTGACCTCCCATTGGTGGTGCTTGCAGTGGCAGACGCCTTTGTAGGTAGACATTTTGAACTGATTGAGGCTTGGGAAAGGTGTATGCGATTCTCAAGTCTGGAGAGAATATGAGAGAGAGAAAGGTATACTACGCTCTTCCCCTCGCTGTTTATATGCTTTCTGACCCCACTGTCATCATCGTCAACTTCACCGCGGGGCAGAGAGGGTCCGGAAGAGATTCATTTGTCTTCGAAGCGTCCATTCCGGTGAGATTAGCTGTTGTAACCGCGAAAGTACCACGCGATGACCGTCTATCCCTGTTTGCACGTTCTGATTATGGCCGCACATCGCGGCCTTGTAGCAGCTACAACTCATTCGGGGCAATGGGATGCTGGTTAATTCCAAATTGCAGAGGAAGCTTGGCCTGGACTTGTTGCCGTGGGTCTGCGGAGACCGACCGGCGTCTTGGCGGGTTTTCGAGGGAACACTTGTTCGAACAGTCTGGGTGCTGTCAGCAACCAATACTCTGATATCGTTGACCAACTCAGCAGTAGGACTTCCTAGGAGCGTCTGGGACAGGACAATGGCACCAGGAAGGGCAAGAACAAGGAAGAGGAGGGAAATCATCGAGCTACTTGCGCCGAGCTGTGAGCCATGCCATCGCGATCACTGAGCTGGCATTCCAACGGTCCTCTCGACTTGCCAGTAACATGGTGTAGTAGCATCGAGTAGCTAGAGGAGAATTATTGTGTTGGAAAGACGGGAATCAAAAGAGTGTGGCAGACATCAAGGTGTTTTTCGCCGAGCTTTTGATGAGTAAACATACAATGATCCATCTTACCACTGACTGATCTCTTCAGCAGTAGAAATAGCTATAAGGCGTCTTTCGAGTCGGGAGGACGAGAACTGAAGTGTGCTAGGTATTGTACTCCACAAGGTCTGGCAAGGCTATTGATCCCCAGAGTCGGTAAACCACTCATCCCAGATACATATATCGATCACCGAGAGCACTTTAGAGAAGCGTTAAGTAGCTCAGCGAGACGGATATGATTGCAAAGGCGGTAGAGCATGGGGGAAAAGGTGTATACGACAGGATATCATCGATCGCCTCCCGCCAGCGCCATCGCTCGTGACGCTTTCATAATCCAGAAACGCCTGCAGTGCTGCTTATACCGATGAGAACGCTGACCGATCAAATCGTTCGCTTGGCGACCGAAAATCTCCCGCACACAACAGCATCCGCCCCAAACTGCTGCCATGCCGTCTCCACCAAGCCGTTCGTCGAAACTGGCGCAATCCCCACGCCACCTCTCCCTAGCCATTGCGGCGCAATGGTGACTATCACCGAGTTGACGAGCTCAGGCTTCGCCAACAGCGTTGAGATGACGGTCGCACCGCCCTCGATCATGACGCTGTTGATCCCTCTCAATTTCAACGACTTGAGGATATACTCCCAAGGGATCTCTGGGCGTTCTTGGCCTCGCAACTCCCCTGAGATCGGTGTCGCGAGGTGGAGCCGATCGCACGTCTCCTCTTCGGAGAAGTACTGCTTCCCATTGAGGTCGGCATGGATGAGCAGCGGTTTCTTACCTTCGCCCATCTTTGCTAGGCGAATGACCTTGGAATCTTTAATGTTCATCCGACGGCTGGGGTCCACAATGACTGGTCGTGGCTGTAGCCTATACAGGGCACTTGGGAGTCGACTGTTCAGGCCCGGATCGTCTGCGAGGACTGTTCCAATACCTACAAGGATGGCGTCGTGTCGTTGGCGTAGGTGATGAGTCATGCTCTTCGATTCGGAACCTGACAATGCTGTTCTCAAGCCAGGACCAAGTGCAATCATGCCATCGAGCGACGACGCGTATGTCAATGTGACGAACGGGAAATGATCGGTTTCATCGCCTTCAACCCTTGCTGTCTCGGCTTCAACGCTTTCATCGTAGGTATGTTGACGGGTTGGTAGATAGGGTTCGAGAAACTCGCTCTCAGCGTTCGAGAGCTCGTTAACTTCCATGACTTGTATTGCCCGTCATTCGATCTCGTAGTGTAGGCTGCGGGTTAGCGCCACTGACCACGGGCCGACCAGTACTCGTGATGTGGCTATTGGTGGCTGTAGAGATCAACGCGATGTAGGAGTCGATTGGTTGCCTCGATGTGCTCTCTCCAATCCGTGCGTTGTTTGCTCTGGTGGCGTGAAGAAGAGCCGCGAGCCCCAATTGTGCCGAACCCCGGACGGAGAAGGGCTGTGCCAAGCTTGGTCAGTCTTCGGTGGACCAGCGAACCACGCTTCCACAACCATAAGTCCGTAACGCCTCATGGGAACTTGGCGTAACTCGGCGTCTCGTACAATGTATTATGCCCGCAAGTTGACCATCTGATCCTCAGTACAAGCATAACTACGTGCTACAGCAGAGACCCGCACTTCTCTTCAACGGAAGAAGCACCCATCCACCCCCGTCTTACGAAGCATCAGCCTACAGGGCCGATCACTGCGCTAAGTACAGCGCCATGGATGCTCTACTCCGAACAGAATAGGGTGCCGGCCCCTTGAAGCCTATCCCGATCAAGAAGCAGAGCTGGCTGGGCAGCTTTGATGCGGTACCTGCATTAGCACTCTCGTCATGCTGTCAACCCGCTTCAAGCGGCTGAGACCTACCGAAGTCACCGCTTCCGCAACTGATTTGGGAAATAAGCGATACCCACCTTGTATAGCCTTCCAACCACCTTCAAGCGCTCCAAAAGCGTATGAACCACCGGACTCCAAGCACACAGCGCTTGTGACAATCGGATTGGGGCCAGCCTCCACGATATCCTGTTGTGGAGGAGACGGCGGGGATTAGTGTTCCGATGCCATGCGGAAATGTAGATCATTCGTAGTCCTTGAGGCTACTGGAATGCTCCTCCAGCCCAGAGGACGAGCGCCCAGAGGCACCTTCGGCCGCAGGTAGAGAAGACCGGGACTCAAACAAGCTAAGTCGCATGCAATTTATTTGATACGTCCAATCACAGCTATACCATCCTTCGCCTCCACATCCCTAAGTCCCGTCAAGATCCTGCTGATCGCATCATGAAGTGGGAACAGGGCCAACCATGGACCACTCTTCTAAGCCGTGCATACAGTTCGATCAGGTGCAGATGGCGGTATGCTGGCGCGACGCCGGAGTCCGGATCTTTAGAGGAAGATCTCATGCGTGTGTACCATATGTAGCAACCAGAGAAGCCCACTTTGTTTGAGCGCACCGTCTCGACTTCCTCCCAAAGCGGACTTCCTACGACCTCATCATGGTCTGGCTAATCTCATTCGTTGCACTTCTGGTTGGGTCTGCTGTCGCGCAGTCAAGCTTCTCTCCAGCTCGTCCTCCATCACTACCACTCGCTGTACGATCGCCGTACCTTAGCACGTGGTACGAAAAGGCAGCCTCAGGTACGCGCCAGGTTGAGATGCTGATCTTCATGTGAAATTCTAGGCAGGAAGCTGGCAGTGATGGCGGCAACGGCGGATACCTTGCTGGACAATGGTAGGAAAGGCATTATTCATCTTTTATCCTCCTGCTGATGAAGCCCTACAGGGCTACGTTCTGGGCAGGCGCGATCACCGGCTGGACCGGGATGGTGAGGGTCGACAATACTACATACACTTGGATGGGTAACCCAGACCCGCTCCCAACCGTGGTGACACAAAACTCTTTCTCGTATACCTCGACCCGCAGCATCTTTGCCATGACCGCTGGCCCAGTGTCCTTGAACATCACATTCCTCAGCCCTGTCACGCCGGATGATTTCCTCAGACAAAGCATGCCCATCACCTACATGTCAGTCCAGGTGCACTCAACAGATGGCAAGCAGCACAGTGTGCAACTGTACACGGACGTCTCTGCCGGTAAGCGCACATCTTTCCGGAGTGTCCGCCGACATTGTAGCTTACGCTTCCGCAGAGTGGACATCGGGAGACCGCAGTCAAGTTGCTCAGTGGCAGTACGGGGTCACCGGCAACGGTACCTCAAGCAATGGTAAGCGAAGCTCCCAATTATACCCGGAGTGGTCGGACGAGGAACGAGATTGGGCGAGAAAGGAGGCAACCTGGAGTAACAATACGTGGTCTGGTTCAAACTGGACGCACTCCGGTGCGAGTGGACGACTCCACAGCACAAGCTCAAGGCGATCGATTCTAACTTCAGCTTCCCTATCCCGTTCGCGGACGCGGTCAGCTACGCTGTCGATGACCGAGACTACGGGCATTGGCAGCCTTACCGAGACGTCTTCAGCGTCTCCGGCAGAGACCTCGGTGCCGAGCCAAAGCACGTCAGAAAGTGGAATCGTGTCGGGCAGCGTAAGCACGTCGGGCGGCGGAAGCACGTCGGGCGGCGGAAGCACGTCGGGCGGCGGAAGCACGTCGGGCGGCGGAAGCACGTCGGGCGGCGGAAGCACGTCGGGCGGCGGAAGCACGTCGGGCGGCGGAAGCACGTCGGGCGGCGGAAGCACGTCGGGCGGCGGAAGCACGTCGGGCGGCGGAAGCACGTCGGGCGGCGGAAGCACGTCGGGCGGCGGAAGCACGTCAGGCAGCGGAAGCACGTCGGGCAGCCAAGCGACGTCCGGCAACGGACCAACGTTAGGAGGCAGCACGACTACAGGCCTCAGCACGAGTGCAGGGTTAGGCACTGCGACCTCTGCGACTATTACAGCTTCAGGGACCAGCCCTTTGGCGACCAGCGGCACATCGGACACAGGCACGACCTCTGGAGCCAGCACGTCCTCGGGAGCCAGCACATCATCAGGACAGTCCTCAAGCAGCAGTATCACTCCTGGCAGCAACAGCACGGCGAGTAGCGGCTCATTAACGTCAAGTCAGACCGCTTCAACGAGCAGCTCTACTCCCGTTAACACGTCGCCTACCGCAACAGGCACAGCGTCTGCGGGCGGAATCGCGTATCACAAGTTTTGGAGACAGCTGCAACGAGAGTTCTCTGAGGAGAATCAACAAGCCTCTTGGGGCTATTGGTACTACGCCGTGAGTGAACTCATTGCCAAACGTATCGGAGCACTTGAGCTGACATCTGGCGAATCACAGACGGAGAACGTTCAAGGGCTGACATTCCAATCTGGAGAAGACGTCACTGTCCGTGGCCAGTTCACAAGCTCTGGCAAACTGAATAATACTGAGGATACCAACTACCGAGCGATCAACGATGCGTACCCAGTTTACAGCTTTGCAGTTGACCTCGGATCAGTCGGCTCAAGCGTTGTGGAGTCTGTTTTCACTCTCAACCTCGCACAGGAGAATTCGATCCAGTTCCAGAACGCAAATGGCATTCAGTCTCTTGCGACATACTGGACAACTTCTTACTCAGACGAGCTGTCTGCGCTTACCTTCTTTTACAACGACTACAGCAACGTTGCAAGTCTGTCCACTGCTTTGGATAACCGGATTGACACCGATTCTGTCGCTAAGGGCGGAGCTGATTACCTCACTCTTACCTCTCTTGTCGTGAGGCAAGCCTTCAACGCGCTGGCGTTCGTGACGAACGGCACTAGCGACTTCGTCTTCCTCAAGGAGATCAGTTCGGATGGCGATATACAGACGGTCGATGTTATCTTCCCCACTATACCCATCATCCTCTATCTGAACCCTACCTTGCTTAAGATGATGCTCGACCCCTTGTACATCTTTCAAGAAGCTGGCTATTTTACTCAAGGCACGTACGCTGCGCACGACCTGGGCTACTTTCCGAATGCCACGACAGCCGGTACAGAGGTGCAGCAAGTGGAGGAGAGTGGCAATATGCTCATCATGACTTTGGCGTATGCGCAGCGTACTGGCGACACGAGCTATCTTAACCAGCATTACGGGCTTCTCACCCAGTGGACGAATTATCTAGTCAACGATTCTCTTATCCCGTCAAATCAGATTAGCACTGATGACTTCGCTGGCTCTTTAGCCAACCAGACCAATTTGGCGCTCAAAGGTATCATCGGTATCCAGGCAATGGCCGTCATTGCGAACATGACTGGTCATGCGTCGGACCGCGCCAACTACAGCTCGATTGCTGCAAGCTACATCTCGCAATGGCAGACGCTCGGCATCGCGCAGGACGCAAGTCCACCGCATACCACGCTTGCCTACGGCATGAACGATACCCACGGACTGCTGTATAATCTCTACGCAGATGCATTGCTGCAGACGAAGCTTGTCCCCGTGGAGGTTTATCAGATGCAATCAAACTTCTACCCGACCGTGGCAGACCCCTATGGCGTTGCTTTGGATACTCGCCACAACTGGACGAAGAGCGACTGGGAGGTGTTCTGCGCAGCTATAGCAGCCCCTAATACCACTAACCTCTTCATCTCGGACATCGCAAACTTCATCAACGAAACGCCAACGAATGGTCCAGTCACTGATCTGTACGACGCGATCAATGGTGACTGGGCTGAAGGTACCGGTCACTTCCTGGACCGCCCGGTGGTTGGTGGATGGTTTGCTTTACTCGCATTGAACCAGACGGGCATTCCGTCGAGCTAGCAGGGGCATGTCCTTCTTGGCGCTGAAAGATATAGTGGAGACAACTGGATGCATATACTGGAGCACGTGGTATGCTCATGAGCCATGATTGTAGCTGTTACGAATTGGTAGCTTCAACTATTTTGGAACACTGAACAGAGTCTTTACGGCTCGGGGCATGTGCGCACAAAGGCGTTGAGATCTCCGTGGAACCGCACGGATGAGGTACAATAGGCAAGGCGCGCAGTGTCACGGCGCGATGCTGGCGTGCGCCTGTACAAAGCTTCATCTGGAAGGTGGCGAAGGAAGCACAACGGCTTATAACAGTCGGACAAGGTCCAGGCTCTTCCTACGAGCAGCCTTCCTGGTTTGGGGTTATCAGAGACGCCGATTGCTGGGACGTGGCTTGTTCCTCCGTCTCCGCTCGATGTAGACACCGCTTTCATCACTGCTCAGATGATACTGCCGAACCAATCGATGTACCTGCAAGATGAAGTGCGTCAATATTGCTTGCGTATCCATTCCCAAAGGGCGCTCTTCTGAGCCACGGCCGTAGGCTTCGGCGAGACCGGTAACCATAAAGTTGAAGTTCCGGCCCGAAGCTGTGACCGTTGTTAGCTATTGCAACGTTTGACCTTGCTCGGTAAGGCCTTGCGAAACAAGCGTGCAGATGGACGCTGCCAGAAGATTATCGAGATCTGCTGAAGGCGCAGCCAGTGGTTCCAACGGAGACACTGGTGCACGCCAGGGGCAACTACCGCTGCAAGCCACTCGCTTCTCCTATGCACAACAACCGCAAATGAAGGATGTTAAACGAAGGACGCCAGCGAGGAATGCTGTCAATTCGCCTTTCGGCCAATAGGATGCTCCGCATCGCGTCGTTCCCGGAGTTGATAGGATACCCGCACGCGAGAGCCGCTCAATTGTCTAACTCCACTCACAGGGCCGTGGGGGGCTCGTACGGGAGGAAAACCTTGCAACGCCTGTACGTCAAGGGTTGCGCCATGAGCATGAGAACCTTCACCGACTTTACGGTTCTCCCCCTTCACAAAGCGTGGGAGCAAGGTCTACAGAACATTCTTACGGCATCTTGTCAGGAGGTTGCGTTGGTATACGCGATCCAAGCCCAGGCCTAAAAGCGGGCAGGGGTGATGACGATGCATCAGCGAATGCCATGGATCGAAGCAAACTGCATGAGCACGTATTCTGTGACGAGGATGGCGATGCGCTGCTCCAACCCACGCCACCCTAAACGCCATAAAAACGCAATCATCTCAACGCGGCGGCATTGACAGATGCTATGTAGCTAGAGTCCGCAATGGCTTTTGTGTGCTGTGGATATTCCATTGGAGGCGCTCGTTTACCGTGAGCCCGGGCTAGGGCCCTGTCAGAAAGTGGCCGGGTTATCGATCGACAATATGCTTAACCGCCCTCCTGGGTCGATCATCCTTAGATCGTCATATGCGAGGCGTGCATGCAAGAGATCTGTCATACTTTGGCTAGAACCAACGTATCGACAGACTTCTGCCCCTACTGAGATGCTTGCCTCGCCTAACGAATGTTTCTATTGGCGCTTGCCAGCCTGCATCTATCAAGGAAATATCGTAAGCTTGTGTCACAATTGACGTGCTTTAGCAGCGCCAATGGCTTGCCCAAACCTGCCGGCTACTCGCCCGCCGCCGCTACTGCATGCGCCATGGTAGATTAGGTACACCACACAGGAACGCCTTTCCAGGATGCTGGCGCAGAGGCAGCTGTAACTCGCTTACTTTCTGCAGGTCTGAGTTCAGAATCGCACGCTGGCGTATGGCGATGACGCTTGAGGCACCTTCCGCCGTGGGATCGCAATCAACGGAAGCCTCACTGCAGGGAGATTTACCTGATGCCTTCCTCACCGCGTAAGCTCCCATATCAGGTCACCCAAATCGAACCGACTTCAAGAGTCCTGCGAACGTGGCTAAGACAGCAGCCTCCAACCCAAGACTCTGGTGCAGACATGATGTTGTGCTTCTGTCGCTCTTCTAGCTCGCATGTCGCAGTATCCAGTTTGCCGGTCTTCCCGACCTAGCGCGACTGTAGCTGTCGTGTCAGCATACCGTCTTTGATTACCTCAATAAGATGGCCACCCAGTTAGGAGAATACGGCCCAGTAGAACCGCATCCTCAGTCTTCACAAGGGTCTGCTGAGCTGATGCATGGCGATGGCGCTGCTGATCGACGCAAGAAGTTACAAAGCCGACAGCTTTTGTCCTGCACGAAGTGCAGAGTACGGAAGGTCAAGGTCTGTTGCAGCCCACAAAGTATACTGGTGCAAGCCTAACGCTCCCATAGTGCGATCGGATAAAGCCGTGCTCCGCGTGTTGTGCAAGAGGCCAATCCAAAGAATGCGAGTTCGTCGTTGGAGAAGGCAACGACTACAGTCCCATTCAGCAGTCATATGAGCTTCGCAAGCTGCGTGCAGAGAACCAACACTTACGCGAGCGCCTTCAAGCTGCGACGCTTTCGCACTCGGCTGGTGAGAATGACATCGGAGACGCAGGGCTCAAGAGCCCCTGTGCTGCAGGTAAAGCAGCGGGTGTCCGACAGCGCCGCTTCAGGACCGGAGAACGTATTGACAACCTGTACTTCGGCACGCCGGGCCTGGCCAACGTAGTTAATGACTTCGCACATTTGCAACTTGGCATGCAGTCACTTACATACACAACACCGAAACCGCTTCCACTACCGCGAGCGCAGGATATGTACGGTGCACAAGACTCCATGTACCCCTTCCCGGTCGTTCAACATTGGACTGGTGAGCACGCAGTCGACGGCCTTATTCGCGTCCTGCCGAAGCGGAATGAGCTCTTCTCAATCTTGGACTCCTTCCGACACCGTGCGCCGTTGAGCTCCTTCCCACACTCTCCCGAAAGTGTATCGAAGAGCGAAGTTGAGCGCTTCCTTGAAGATGTCGAAGGCAATTCGGTGAGGAGCCCTGATATGCTGGCCTTGATCTTCGTCACGCTTGCGACAGGATTGCAGATGGGCGAACATGATCGGAGAGGAGGAAAATGGGTCAAGGGTGCAATGGCGGAGACGATGAAACAGGCAGATCTCTACAGCAGGTATCGCTTTGCCTCGTCGAGCGCGTTGTACTGACTATATGTCCAGTCGCGGCAAGCATGCAAGCACTCCGTAACGCCTCATACATGAACCAGCCTACACTGCTTGGCATCCAGACTCTCGTCATAATGGGACCTTACCTCACGAACAGTGGCCGCTTTCTCGATGCGTGGACACTATTCGGCACTACCATACGCATGGCTCACTCCATTGGCCTGCACCGCAACCCACAATGCCTGGATCCAACGCGACCGCTTCGAGAGTCCATGATCCGCCGTACACTTTGGTGGTGGATGCTCCATATGGACCAACAGTATTCCGTCACGCTTGGAAGACCGCTGGGCATTTCGGGCGTGGGTGATTGTCCTCCGCCTGAGTCTCTAACAACGAATCCTACGGTCTTGCGACTCGGCGAGTTCGTCGATCACTTTACTATCCTGGCGCGGCAGATCTTGGGTAGCGATGGCATGATGAGCGTAACCAAGATCGATGAGTTTACCGACAAGCTACTCGGTCTGTGGGATACAATGCCGGCAGCGCTGCAATTCAATGAAAGTTGGTCGCGGAAGGAGACTCAGCTGCCGGATTGGCCGCTTCAAGTCACGTCGGCGAGTAAGTGGAAGGTGTTTGTGGGAAATCTCTAGACTAAGCTGACATACCGCAGCGCTGTTTGCCAAAGTCCAGTCATTCTTGATCTTACTAAACCGGCAGCGCATCGAGCGCACCCAAGCCTCGTCATCAGGCAACAGCTCGCCATCCCAACCCATGATGCCACCACCAGCCGCTCCACCAAATTTTAGCAACAACACCGTAGAGCTCATATCACATACCGCACCGTTGCGAGGGAGGTCACTAGTCATCATATCGTCGTTGCAACTTCTCAAGGCTTTCCTGTTCTTCCGTCACCGCGAGCCAGCGGTGCTGATCTGCTGGAGCGTAGGCCAGCAAGCCTTCAACGCCTGCATGATCCTGATCATCGACGCTTGGGAGACCGGCGACCTGCTGAACCGATGGCTGGTTGAGGAAGCCTTCGTCGTGTTCTCCGAGCTGGCGGAGAATGGAGTCCATAAGCTTGCTAAGCTGGCCGTCGACCGCATCTCTACAGGTCTAGCACAGCTCGGACAGCGTCAAGCGGAGCATGGGCGGCGACAATCGAGCGCGCAGCAACAGCCATTAACCTTGCAGCTGGACACGGCATCGACGACTGACCTGTCTGGCGACGCTGTCATGGGCAACACCGGGATGTTCTTACTCGAGGATTCTTGGCTGCAATCGTACGCTCCTCAACTGTTTGAGCCGCTTAGCTGGCAAATGGCTGGCAGAAGTGCTCTGCCCTCGCCGCCAAGCAGCACAGCCACCATCGGCGTGCCCTCGCCTGCCATACCCATCAGCCATGTCACTGCCGCCCCCTTTCCTGTTATATCTCCAACCTTCGTCTCCGGGCCAATACCGGTCACGAACTCACCGTACGCTATGGGCCTACAGCCACGGATGCCGGTCATGGGTCAACGCGGAACTTCATATCAACAGCAGTCACATCCATTCCCGGTGGGGCTCCCTTTCCAGCAATCGTCGAGTGCTTTTACGCCGATCAACATTGCCTCGCAGCAAGTACAAGGCCAGCACTCGCCGCAGACGCAGCAGTCGTTTTCTCACGCTAGCGGTCCTCGTCCGCGTCATGTCACTGTGGCGGCTAGCGCAGGTAGGGGACCGCAAGGAGTGCACAAGCTGAATCAGGTGCCTGGGCGCTCAGCGCGACGAACGAGATAGCGGCAGGGACTGGCTTCGCTAGAGAAGTTCGGAAGGCAGATCCGGTGTAGTTGACACGTGCAGGTGGGAAATTGATGGTGCGTTGGCCTATAGTGGACTCAATTGTCTTACTATTGCATCGATCGAAGCAAGCGTTGAGATGGCGCATTTAAAACCATCAGTAAACCTATGGATTCGTTTTGAATTCACTTTGAACAACCGTACTACATCGTCAATGCCAAGCTACGACATGCCAACAGAGGTGGTGCTGTGGTAGTGCGATAAAATGACGCTACGCTTCGCCCCTCGCGCACAGAACGAATATTTCGCGTCAAGGCAGGGCGAGCGACTGTTTCATCCGCTATGGCTCCGCCAAACTCGTCATAATATATAATCGAAGACTCCCACAGCGATCGTCAAGCGCATCCGCTCAATCTGCCGAGCGAAGGAAACCACAATGCCCCGCTGTTTCACGCCCCCCACTCATCCGTCTGCCTTTGATTCGTACCAGCCGTCCTCGTCACCCGGTAGCTCCAGACCTGGGCAGAGCTACGGTCCGGGTACCTATTCGCGGGAACCAGCGTCAATATGGAGAACATCTTAAATTGCAACGGTATACGCCGTCATGATTCCTGGAGAGCATCGAAGGACGTTTGGTGCCCTTCAAGCTTTGCCCACAGCAGATTGGAATCCAGACCTACCTCAGTTCCAACAGCAGAACCCGCAAAATCAACCGGAATCGAACTTGTTCAGTGCTGGGAAGGCTGAAGCAGACGACATGAACGGACATACTAACGGCCACGCCAATGGCTCCCACACCGCCGACACGTCCAAGCCCGTGCCACTCTGGATAGCAGGCGAGGAAGTGACCACAGACGCGACCTTTGACATCACAAGCCCATCGACGGGTGAGAAACTGTGGTCCGCCCACGGCGCCTCCCCCAAGCACGCCCTGCAAGCTCTCGACGCCGCCGAAAAAGCGCTCAAGACATGGCGGCGCGCCAAACCCGCCAAGATCCAGGAGATCCTCCTCAAGGCCGCCGACATCATGGAGTCGCGCAGCGAGGAGCTCGCGGGCTACATGATGCAAGAGACGGGCGCGTTGGAGGGCTTCACCCAGTTCAACTTGACCACGACAGTAGCCGACCTGCGCGATGTCGCGGGCCGAGCGGGCAATATCCTCGGCGCCATCCCCAACACCATGCACGACGGTCAGGCCGCGCTCGTGTTCAAGGAGCCGTACGGCGTCATCTTCGGCATCGCGCCGTGGAACGCTCCCTACATCCTCGGCGCACGCGCGTGGGTCTACGCTCTCGCCGCGGGTAACACGGTCCTGCTCAAGGGCTCCGAGCTCTGCCCCCGGACCTTCTGGGCCTTCGGCTCCATCATGAAGCAAGCCGGCTTGCCCGACGGCGTGCTGAGCGTCATCTACCATCGTCCCGAAGACGCCGTGGCCGTGACCAACGCCGTCATCGAGTCGCCCATCGTGAAGAAAGTCAACTTCACCGGCTCCACGCTCGTGGGCTCCATCATCGCCTCCAAAGCCGGCAAAGAACTCAAGCCCGTCCTCATGGAGCTTGGCGGGAAAGCCTCCGCGATCGTGTGCGAGGATGCGGATGTGGAGAAGGCGGCGTTCCAAGTCGCGCTTGGCTCCTTCCTGCACGCCGGCCAAGTCTGCATGGCGACCGAACGCATCCTCGTGCACCGCTCCGTCCTCGACCAGTTCGCCGAGGCGCTCAAGGGCGCGGCGGAGAAAGTCTACGCCCCCGCCAACGACGCGCCCGTGCTCGTCTCCAAGGCGACGGTGGAGAAGAACCACAAATTGCTGTCTGACGCCGAGTCCAAGGGTGCCAAGGTGCTGTACGGTGATGTGGCGGCGAAGGAGTCCTCCGCCTACCGCATCCGTCCCGTCATCGTGAGTGGGGTGAAGAAGGAGATGGATATCTTCTACACCGAGTCCTTCGGCCCGACGGTCTCGATCATCGCCATCGAGTCGGATGAGGAGGCGATTGCGATTGCGAATGATACCGAGTACGGGCTTAGTGGGGCTATCTTCACCGAGAGTCTGGGGAGAGGGTTGAAGATTGCGAGGGAGATTGATACGGGCGCTGTGCATATCAACTCGATGAGCATTCAGTAAGTTTATGAAATCTACGGAGATGTCGGTCTGGAAACGGAATGCTAACGAAGATCTCACTCACAGCGACGAACCTCTCCTCCCTCACGGTGGCGTCAAGAAGTCAGGATGGGGCCGTTTCAACGCACAATGGGGCATCGAGGAGTTCTTGAAGCTCAAGACGGTCACGTATATGGAGTAACGCTAAGAATTGATTGCATTCCGTCAAATTTCATCATCGATTTTACCTATTCAGTAGGCAAAGTATGCGTCGGACAATTGCCAACCCCCTTCGTATCCCACCACTGCCTCAGACACGCGCGGTGAAATTTGCACAAACATTCCATCCGTCCCAACTCGTCGCCCGGTTGGAACTCCTCAAAGCAGATGACGCACTCGGTCTGTTGACCGGAGTCGTCGATGCAATCCTTCTCCCCAGCGCGATAGACGAACATGCCCCTCGGACGATAACTCGTTGATCGCGGACGGGAAGAAGCCGCGTCTGAAGGCGCTGAGGTCGACGCAGCAGCTTCTGCGCCCGTGGAGGTCTGTGGGATTGGTGGCGGATGGGCAGCTGTGGAGGTGGATGGCGTGGAGCTGAAACGCGTCGCGATGCACTCTTGGATGTGCTTTTCGCGGACTTGCTCGCCGGGGGGCATTTCATTGCCGCAGACGGGACACTCGTCTTCCTCGCGGATCTGACGGCGGGGGGGTGGTGGTGGTGGTGGTACTGGCATTTGAGTGGATGGTCCGGCACCTATGGTTGGTGGTTGGGGTCTGTTGAAAGGTGGTATAGGCGCGGGGAGGGAATGTGCGTTGGTGGGTTGACTGTGCGACTGCGAGTGAGAGTGAGAGTAGCGATCGCTGACGGGACGACCAGGTGGGCCGAACATTGTCCTGGGGGCGGGAGGTGCGAGCGGGGTGGGACGGTCGTGGCGATCTGAAACACTTGTATTCGATACTTGCGGTGCAGGTACGTTGCGTGGAGCGGAAGCTGTTGCAGCAGGCTGATGGGACTGGCTTCTTGTTCTGCCTGTGGTAGGTGGCGGAGGTGGCGGCATGGGAGCGCGGCGATACTGTCCGGGCCCACTCACGGTTTCGGCGCTGGCGTTCCTCGCACCTTCTATCAGCGGCCGTGGCTGCGGACTCGCTCCGTCATTACTCCTCGTCGGCGCTGCATCAGGTGTCCACGGATCGGGAACACATGGATTGCATACCCTGACCACCTCACCGCCGCCTAGCGCTCGGCTGAATGGACTGTCGGGCTCGCTGGCTGCTGGCGATGAGAGGCCTGCCTCTTCGTACGGGTTCGGCGGCTGCACGATGTACTGCCTAGGTATCGTGATGCGATGTGGCGAGCATGCGGCGCAGACCACGCGGCCGCATTTGCGGCAGTGGTGTTTGCGGTACCAGAAGCTGAACTCGGTCTGGCATACTGGACATCGTGTGACTTCGGAGTCCGGCTGCCATTTGGGCAGGACGATATCGCTGCCTCGCCGCAAGCTCAACCCTGACGCTCCCGTATCATCCACACTGCTGAGACGAGGCGGGACAGCCGTTCGCTGCCGTGGCGGAGTGGTCAGGTCTATCGCCGTCTCCAGGGACCTGCCGGGCTGGTTCGGCGCAGAAGCAGCGCTCATAGCAGCCGGTCTGATGGTCCTACTACTCGAGCCGGAGGTAGCGGACGTTGCGTATGGGTAAGGGCAAGGTCGTCTCCCCGGCTCGTTCGACCCCGTATGTCTTCGTTTACGCTCGGCGGAACTCGAACGCTCTTCCGGCGTTGGTGGCTGTGGTGCAGCTAGTCCTCCAGTCCTCACGAACTCTTCCCACGAAATGTGTGTGGTTCTGTCGGGCTCGTGAACGAAGGTAGTCCCGTAACCAGGCTGATTGCTTGGTGTTTTGCGGGGATGGCTCATCGCTTGCCAGTGTCGCGTGCTCTCCCACCACTGCTGTGCCCGGTGGCCAAGCTGACAAATACGTGCTGGACTGCTGTAGAAACCTTTCGCATATGTGTACCTGGAAATCTTATCTGTCTTGATAGCAGTCTGACGATGTAGCAGTAGCAGTAGCAGATAACACACGGGGAACCTGGATGGGGGGATCAAGCAACAGCTCTCCGCAGATGGTAAGCTTCACGTGCCAGATGCCCAGATCCGATGGCGGCAGGGCCCGCAACTCAATCTACAGGCGGCTCGGAATAGCTGCGTCTAGATGGGTCGAAGGCCCAGAAACAGCGACATCCCGCTCATCTCTACGACCGCCGTCTATCCCATCAGAGTCAGGGTAGTCTGAGGCGGGCTGTAGAACAAGACTCATCTCCCTAGTGGCATGGTGTGACCTTGTTGGTTCACTCACTTCTCCAAGCTTGCAGGTCACATGCTAGCGTGTCACGGCGCTTCGGCCGACCTGCCGAAAGCGCACGAGGAGGGCGCGCATTGCTTGCGAAAGCTCTTGCCGCTCGTAGACTTCCATTCACGCATCGGGTAGCACACTCGTGCCTTCTTGATAAGTCACGCACAACATGTCATCAGATCCACGCAGGCGTCCGGCGGCGCAGCAGCCTCCTCCTCCACCTCCGCCTCCGCCAGAAACAGAAGCCGACATCAACACCGCTGGCTTAGACGGCATGGATCACTCAGGAACAGAGTCGCAGCAGAACACGCGCCAACGGCCGGGAGAGCCAGATGCAGGAGCAGGAAGTGGAGGCAGTGGCGGCTTCAAGCTCAAGTTCTGCACCGTCTGCGCCTCGAACGTACGCCCGTCATACCTAGCGTGACGACCCGAAGCCGGCCACTGACGGCAGTGCTGTAGAACAACCGCTCAATGGAAGCCCACCTCCGCCTAACCACCGCCCCCTCACCATACCCCACCATCTCCTTCGGCACCGGCTCGCTCGTCCGCCTGCCCGGCCCGTCCATCTCCCAACCGAACGTCTACCACTTCAACAGCACCTCCTACGCCGCCATGTACAACGAGTTGGCTGCCAAAGACCAGCGTTTATACCGCGCCAACGGCATTTTACCCATGTTGGAAAGGAACAAGGGCGTCAAGTGGGGTCCGGAGCGATGGCAGGACTGGCAGGTAGGCGTGCCGAGGGTGGGAAGGAGAGCTCCAACACCAGGGCAGAACCAATCGGAAGCCCAACGGGAGGCAGAGTACAAGACAGACAAGGGATACATGGGCACAGAGGCAGGTACGGTGGATATCGTCATTACGTGTGAAGAGCGGTGCTGGGACGCTGTGATCGACGACCTTCTGACTCGAGGCTCGCCGCTCAACAGACCGGTGCATGTGTTCAACGTGGATATCAAGGATAACCATGAGGAGGCGCTTGTGGGCGGGAAGGCGATCCTAGAGTTGGCCGATGCGCTAAATGGTGCTGCAGCAGAGGAGAGGGAGGCTTGGGGTCAGAAGACGGGTGGAGGGATGAATGGGTTTGATTCGGGGCATGCGGGTGCAAGAGCTGGGTTTGATGAGAGGGTGCCCGACATTCTGGCGGAGTGGCAGGAGAAGTGGCCCACGCTGCCGGCGCTTTGGACCTTGGCGTGGTTCTGACATCGCCATTCAAAAAGAATTCGCGACCCTCAGAGCAATGGCAGAAGCCGCCAACCCGCAGCCAGAACGAACAACAGGGATCGAGAAAATGGATATCGATTCCATGGCACTCTTTTCCAACTCAGCAAGGCGTAGCCTCGGAAGAACTTTGGTCCGAACGCCGTCTGGAAGCACCTTCCTGTTTATCAACAAGCGCTCGCTTTCCAATCGGACGCCATGCCCGCCTAGGTATGCAGTATTTAATGTGGCATAATGCGTTCCTGCTACAAGTGGCGAGTGGGCAGAGAAGTAAGGCTGTCCCGGACGTGTATCGTCGGTTGACAAAACCTGAAGTGCTTCTAAGCTTCGACGCACCAACTCGAGCGGAATTGGCATCATCGAGAACTTGCCGCAGATGGCGAGCGTTGATTTACATGTCAACGGCGCGGCAATGGACGCCGACGAGCCATCATCACAGAACATCTTTCCTGGCACCACGCTTCCGGAGAAGGCACCATCAGCGAAGAACCGATTGTCGAACCCGCAGATTCCGCCACAGATATCAGCTGGCCCGTCAATTGATGGCAAAAAAACTACCGTAACACTCTACGAGCCATCCTCTCTCGTAGATGACCCTATCATACCGGCAATGGTACCCATGATCAACGCAGCTTTCCGCGACCAGCACTTGCACTCTTCCAAAGCCGGCCGCATCATGCCTGCCAGCATTGATCGCCTGCCAAAGCACGAAGACTATTTGAAGCAGGTCGGCAACGATCATGGCACGTTCGTCTTTATACTTACGACGACTGAGACGGGCGTGCCTATCGCTACAGTGGCCGCGCACCGTTATATCGCGCCTGTGTACGTTGCAGTTCAAAACAGCGGGCGACGCACCGCTTTCGACCGCATGCGGAGGCCGGAGGGGATGGAGGATGCGGAGTTGTGGGAGGTTAAGTTGCTCGCCGTGGACGTTGCGTGGCAGAAACGAGGATTAGCTAGTTACTTGATGAATAATGTTGAGGCAGAGGTGCGGCGACGGTTTGTGGCTAGTCGAGCTGAAGCTGAAAAGAACGATGAGGCGCAGTCGAAGAGGTTGTGTATGGTGCTCACTACCGTCAAGGAGGCCAACCATGACTTCTACCTTCGAAAGGGGTATAAGCTCGACTACGAGACGAGACATGAGATAGGGTACCTGGGAAGTGAGACGGGCTTTCGAGTTGTGCATATGAGTAAAGTGATGGTCGTCTGATCCTAACCTCAGGCGAGCTACGTGGCGTGCTGCCTCTTCTGCGACTGCGCAGGTAAAAGATAGATCATACAATCCAGCGAGTGTCCTCTCCGCTTGCTGCGGCCGTACAAGCCTCAAACGCCACAGATGCGACCTGCTCAAGACTTCAGCGCTCACTCACATACCCCGCCGCCCTTCCTCTTTCCCTGTACGTTATCATACGCAAGACGAAACCACTATCCCGCTTCCACGCTCATCGAATCGCACCAGCCAGCAGCTGCATGGCTAGACCGCACTCCCTCGCCGCCGCAGCCTGCCTCGCCCCATTCGCATGTTGAATCTCCGCCAGGTCAGCATTCGCCTTGTCCACATTGTAGTGCATCCGCTGCCCATGTCCGTGAAGATGGTCCTTCTTACACTGGCACTTCCTCAGTTCGAGAAACCGTAAGGTACGGTTGAGGCAGCGAAAGAGCGCCTCCTTCAAGCCCGGCCTCAAGCTCTGATCCAGACATTCCGCCTCCCTCGGCCGATACCTCAACGTCTCTTCCTCCTCCGCGTGGACGAAGACGTGCAGGCCGGCCGCGCGGAAGCGCCGCGTAAACTCTTCGTACACTTCGTCGATTGCGCGCGCGAAGAAGTAGTGCTGGTACACGGCCGTTCCGCTCAGAGAATTGACGTACTTGGCGATGGTGGAGTTGACGAGCTTCCATTCGGGAAAGTGCACGGGGTTGAGCTCGCGTGGGGTGATCATGTCGTGGAGGAGGCCGGCTTGGATGTGGGACCAGATTTGGAGGAGCAAGGGCGCGTTGATGCTGAGCACGGTTTGTTGGTCCTCGGCCAGCTCCTTGTCAATGTCCGCGCAGCTGCGCTCGAAGTTCTCATAGGCCCTGTAGCGATCGTCGTGGTGGTAGACGCCGTCGGTCAGACCGTAGCGCAGGTCGTCGGCCTCGCGCTTGGGGAAGATCTTGGTGCGGCAGTGGGGGCAGGTGGCTACTTCGGGGCCCGGTTCGACGGTCTGCACCCATGTTAGAACGCATTGCTTGCACAGGGTGTGGTTCTTACCGCAGGGGAGAGCGATCAGGTCGGGTGCATCTTGCTCTCCGCAAATGCAGCAGCCCTCGCCATTGAGGATGACCGGTTCAAGCTTCGGTTCAAGCAGGCGTGTGGCGTCTTGCTTGCGTTTAGGCTTGAATCTAGGTTGAGTCCAGTCTCGCTCCTCGAACGAGGCGAGCTGAACACGAACGTGCCTGTATGCGCGGTCAGTCTGTCTAGTGCTTAGCAGAACCAGGTAGGTAAGCCAGTGCAGGGAAGGGTTTTCGTTGTGGAATTTGTGCAGAATGCGCAGCGGTAACTCGTATTCTCTCGCGTTCTCGTCCCAGACGCCGCCTGGGTGCAAGAGCTTGGTGACGCGCTTGAGGCGAGCCCACACGGTGACAACTCCGGAGGTTTCGTTCTGGACTTCGTAAGTCACCATGCTAACAGTGGAGTGGCCCATGTAGACTTCCACGACGCACATGTCCTCAATCAACGAGTGGAAGGCTACTTCAGTGGTGCTGAGCTCTAGGTGGCCACCCGGAAACGGCTGTGCTGCGGTGATTGTGAAGAAGCTCGTCTCCTCCTCGTTGTCCCGCCCCGCATGAGCCTCGACGGCGTTGTCGTGGATCAAAGGCAGCGGCTCGTAAAGGTGCTTGGTCATCGGATTGCCGTTCATGTCATCTAGACTGTAGCCACTCTCATCGCCAAGGAGGATGCTTAGGTCTGGGTACAATACCTTAGTCATGTGATGAGGCCTGAAGGTAGTCTTGCGAAGCTGGTCGTGCGCGACACGGATGGGGTCATAGCTGGTCATGTTGGCGGAGTAGGAAATGTGCGGTATGCTTGGATGCGAGATAGACGAAGATCAGGGAGTTGCTATGTTGTTGAACCGTAAGGAGAGGCGGCTGTCCGAAGAACGAGAGGACGGGTGGTTGGAGAGGCCATTTTAAGCGTCAAGGCGGTCAGTACAGACAATTCCATTCTGCTGCGGCACCTTCACGCCCACACTGTCCGTCACGCTGCTGCGAAGGCAAAGCTGCATAGCAAGATAAGTGAGATAAAGAAACAGATAAAGAGATGAAAGATGTGAATTCCATTGTGAGGTGGCAGAAATAAATGCTTTGTTATCAACCTACCTCGTTGAGGGTGTGTAGAGCCGCAGGGACAGGGAGTGGCGGCGACGGACTGGTATTAATCGTACGGTTCGGTGAGTCTCTTCGGTCGTCGGATATATCCTGGACGTGTATGCTAGGAGCACTCTGCGCTCATGGAGAAGGATTGTCCATCTGGGCAAGGAACGCACACCGAGCGAGGGCTCATGCATGCTGGAGCGTTGCTCGATGGCGGACTTACTCCGAAAAATCCGTGTGTTAATGCCGTAGAGTCGTATAGATATGTCAAAAGCTCTCACGTAGCGACATGAAAAACCTTGCCATTGCGTTGGCAATGTTGTCATTGTGCACATCCGCCAGAACCTGCACGGCCTTCCAATCCATTGTGTAGAAATGCTTCGTGTTGAGTGTGCACCATTGTCTCCAGGCCTGCTCGGCGTGTCACGTGCTATTTCGACACTTCTGCTAGACGAAGGTGGTCTCCATGCTACATGGACAGTGATGGTTGATAACAGGCGGTTGCCCAATGCGCACAATTTCTCTTCACTGCCGCATGCCATGCGTGCAATCCTCCTTCCCAACCACAGCCCGCACAATAGCTGCCGCGATGGGGCCACCAACCATGAGCGGCCAAGGCTGATGTGAGCTTTCTGGGCTAGTGATGATGAAGTTGCGTTCTGTGGTGAGCTTGCCGTAGCTGGGATGGAGATCCGTCACGTGAGCTCGGCCGAAGCCGCAGCGTGCATCGCGTGCATTCTTTTGGGTTTGTATAGCTGACTGTTAGTATGCCGATCATTTGCCTCCAGGCATCAACAATCTACGAAGGTTTGATTACTTTCGTGCTCTAGACGATGTTCGGGGAAGATGTGGCACCGGAAAGGTAGTATGAAGCCTGCGGTTTGTACGGATTGTAGAACTTCTGGCCATGCAGCAAATCTTGTCTGGAGAGGGACATCTTGGCCAATATAACGACTCTGCGTTTGCTCCCTTCCGATCGCGACCCGCCGTATGCTGGACGAGCATATGGGACACAAGAAACGCTAAGTTCGAAGCATGCTTCTTGCCGGTAATCAACTTCGTGCCGAGTGTCATCGCTGTTCTTGTGCTCGCCTGGCAGATCATCTGCCTAGCGACTTCTCGACAACCACAATGGCTTCAACCGTTCGTTCAGGAATACCATCAACCCACCGTGGAGGACATCGGACAGCCAAAGCGGAAGTGGACTATCTTCACCCTTAGTGTTACAGCACTTTCTGCAGTCGGGTTTGCGCTCAATGTCACATCGGCTATCTTAGTATGGCCGTCACTGACTGCCCCTCTCCCAGCAATGACATGGCTAGTCGCTGCTGGCTCAGTAAGTGTCTACATGCCGAGAACTGTGCCCTATACAGTGCTCATTATCTTGACCGCACAGGCGGTGTCAGACGTGATTGCTGTCGCGAACGGTGGCGATGTCTCAAGTGATGTCAATCTTGACATCACCATAGCGTCTCTCGTTATTGCGCTACTTGCAATCATTGTCATTCTTTGCATGCCCTTGAGAGACCCGAACATGCCAGCGAAGGAGATCAGCCAGACATTCTCGGAGCCGACATCATCACTTAGGAGCCCGGAAGACAACCTTAGCCTGTGGCAGTTCATGACAGTGGCATGGATGGCGCCGCTGATACGCTTGGGGAGCAAAAGGCAGCTTGAGGATGAAGATGTATGGCAGCTGGCGTATGAATTCCAGCATCGAATACTGCATGCCAATTTTCGCGAGCTAAAGGGTACAGTCATCCAGCGGCTGTTGAGAGCCAACGGGATAGATCTGGTCATCCTGACCTGTCTAGGCTTACTTGAGTTAGCGGCTAACTACGCAGTCCCTCTCCTGCTGCAGAGGCTTCTGGCCTCCATGGAAGACTTCGCAGCGCCTAAGAGGGCAGCTGCGACGTATGCCGGACTCTCCTTGGTTGTACGGCTTGTGGCATGCCAGTCGAGCGTCTTCAGCTTATGGTTCGGTCGAAGGTGCTACGAACGTTCGAGAGGCGAGATGATCACGATGCTTTACGAGAAGACCTTGGGTCGTAAAATGGCATTCCCACCAGAGATCAAGGACAAGACCGACGTCGCAAACGGAAAGACAAGGGCCGCCGCTAATGGCAGCAATGGACAGGCTGCTAAGCCCAAGCCGGGCAATGAATCCAAGGGTTTCATGTGGAACCGAGTGTCGCGGTCAATGAGAAACTTGCTGGCACGCAAACAAGACTCGGAACCAGTCAAAGAGCCGGCATCCATGGGAAAGATACTCAATCTAATGCGCAATGACGTTTACGAGGTTGCGCAGCGCTTTTGGGAGTTCCAGACACTGATCACCAAGCCGCTGAGCTGCGTGCTATCTATTGTCTTGGTGGTTCGCTTCCTCGGCGCATCGTCTCTGCTTGCCGTGGTACTTCTCCTAACGTGCCAGGTAATCAATGTGGGTATTGCACGTATACTGATATTCTACGAAAAGAAGCGCAGAGTCGCCACAGATGTCAAGCTCGAGTTCATCTCACAGTTCGTTGAGGCGATACGGCACCTGCGGTGGTACGGCTGGCAAGGGCATTGGCTCGACCAGATTCTCAGCGCACGGCAACGTGAGCTTAGCCTGAGAGTGAAGAGCAATGTCTGTAATGTGGTGGTCGCCTTCTTCAACACACTTGGTCTTGATCTGACACCGGTGGTGGCCTTCTTCGCTTATACTGTCATTGCTGGTAAACCGCTCAGAGTCGACATTGCGTTTCCAGCCATCCAACTCTTTCAGATGCTGACCATGGCGTTGCGCGATCTACCGAACTTGATCATCGTGATCACCAATGCGTGGGTAGCTGTGGGTCGTATCGAAGACTTCATGGCAGAGCCCGAAAGGCAAGAGATGACTACCGAGGCGCTTATCGGCGACAGCCTAGCCATTGAGCACGCCTCTTTTAGTTGGCCAGGCACGGAATCACAGGTTTTACGCGACATTAATATCTCCTTCCCGGAAGGCATCACCTTGATATGCGGAGAAGTCGCATCTGGCAAGACCGCTCTGCTGCAGGCGTTACTGGGCGAGCTCGACATGTCGGATGGCCAGCTTATCCGCCCTCGAGAGCCTGTTGGGTACTGCGCGCAAACGCCGTGGTTGCAAAGTATGAGCATCCGCGAGAATATTATATTCTCTTCGCCGTACGATGACAAACGATACAAGGATGTACTGGAGGCTTGCGCGCTGACTCCAGATCTTGCTGAGATGAAGGCTGGCGATCTATCTCTGATTGGTGAAAACGGCATCGGTCTGTCGGGCGGTCAGCGTGCCAGAGTCGCACTTGCTCGAGCCGTTTACAGCAGAACAAGAATATTGCTGCTCGACGACCCTCTGTCTGCCCTTGATCAGCAAACTGCAGAAGCCATTGTGCAAAAGTGCTTCGCCGGGCCGCTGTTGAAAGATCGAACAGTGGTGCTTGTTACACATCGCACGGATCTGGTGCTGCACCATGCCGCCCAAGTGGTCAGTCTGGACGCTGGCAGCGCTTCGGTGCTTGACCACGATGCTGCTCAGCATGACAGTCTCCGACGCAATTTGTCTACTAAGTCAAAGGGAGACGCCAGTGCTGACAGTGATCAGAAGCGCAATGCTGCCGCCGTACCGGACAAGTTCATCGAAGACGAGCACCGCGCGCAAGGTAATGTGCAGGCACGAGTGTATTGGGAGTACATCAAAGCCGGGAAGTTGCGGTGGTGGTCTGTTATTGTCCTCATCCTACTCCTTTACCGCCTGATATCCACCTTGCAAAACTGGTTCGTGAAGGCCTGGGCTGAAGCATACAACGAACGTTCAAGCGTTCTCCTCGTCCTCCTCCATAAGGATACTGGCGTGGTTAAACCGTCTGGTCTTTTCGGTAACCTGCCGCCTCCGGAAGCTGACAATCGACCATGGCTGCTCTGGTACCTTGCGCTGTCACTAGGCACGTCGATCACCTATGTCATCAGTCAAGCCTTCTTCATCGTCCTCGTCTACGTCGCCGGCCGGACCATGTTCAAAGACGTTATGGTGAGGGTCGCACACGCCACCTTCCGCTTCTACGATGTCACACCTATCGGCCGCCTGATGAATCGCATGACTTCCGACATCGGTGTGGTTGATGGCGGTATTAGCTACCAGCTTCAGAGCGTTGTGTGGCTAAGCCTGTCGTGGGTCACTTCAGTTGTCATCATTGCTTCCGTGACGCCAGCATTCCTGGTCTTCTCCGCTGCGCTTACGGCAGCCTTTATTCTGATCTTCAATCGCTTCCTGCCCACATCGCAAAGTCTACGCCGTCTGGAAACGGTGTCGCTCACGCCGCTAATGTCAAACTTCGGCGCATTACTGAATGGCTTGGCCACTGTCCGCGCCTTCTGCGCCCAAAGCCGCTTTCAGGAGAAGGTGTTCGACGTCGTCGACACTTTCCAGAAGATGGATCACTTCTACTGGAGCCTCCAAGCCTGGCTTATGTATCGCTTTGATGCGCTGTCTGCTCTTTCGACCTTCCTGATTACTATCCTTGCGCTTGCTACGGGTGTCTCACCTGGGCTGACGGCTTTCCTGCTTGCGTACGCCAACCGCTTCGTCACCACCACCCATATGCTGTGCAAACAGTACGGTCAATTGCAGATGGAGTTCGTGTCCGTTGAGCGGATTGTTGAGCTGCTGAGGCTGGACCAAGAACCTGGAGGTGACATTCATCCGCCTGCGTGGTGGCCCTCGTTCTCTGGCGATATCGTTTTTGACAAAGTAACGATCAGGTATGCTCCGAACCTCGATCCTGCGTTGTCCGACGTTTCTTTCACAGTCAGGGGCGGGTCGAAGACTGCTATCATTGGAAGAACCGGTTCCGGCAAGAGCACTCTCGCGCTTGCAATGCTTGCAACTATCGTCCCCGAAAGCGGTCAGATCCTCGTTGACAACTTGAACCTTGCCGAAGTTGACAAGCAGCTTTTGCGTACCAGGATTACCTTCCTTGCGCAGGACCCCGTTCTGTTTCCCGGCTCGATGCGTCAGAACCTCGACCCTGTGGGAGAGCATACAGACGAGGCGTGTGAACTCGTCTTGCGTAGAGTGTGCGAGCGTCAGGGCTGGAAGCTGGATACCAAAATTGAAGCTGGTGGACGCAATCTCAGTCAGGGCCAGAGACAACTCGTTGGCCTTGCTCGAGCTGTGCTGCGGAGAAGTGCGATCATCATCCTGGATGAAGCAACGGCGTCGATCGATCGGGAGACGGCGATGCAGATTCAGCAGGTGATGCATGAAGAGATGAAAGATAGTACGGTTATCACCATCGCTCATCGTCTGGAGGCGGTGAAGAACGCGGACTATTGCATCGTACTCGGCAAAGGCAAGGTTCTCAAAGAAGGCCCAGCGGCTGAGATGCTCAATGGGAGCACGGCACCATATGATGAGGCTTTCGCGGCCGGGGATGGATAAGTCGCTTTCGCTCCGCAGCGGTCAGTAGGTGTACGATCTCTCACAAAGCTACCACCCCGTAAGCTCCCGGTCCGTAAGCTCCCGGTCCGCTCACGGCGATGCCTACGGGCTGTATGGTGGAGGAGCTGGGTTGTTGCAGTACGGTGGCAGCTGGTAGTGCTCCGCTTGATCATTCCGCCGCAACAACCGTGGTAGGTGTTTCCACGGTTTCCAGATAAGCAGAACAAGGACAAGAGCAAGACCAAGCACAATTGGAGCCGCGGTAAACTTAGGACTCATGGTGAAGATGAGTACTTCAATGGTATCGTGCTGTTCGAACGAGGATGTATGGTGATAAGAGACATATCAACCAGTCCGCTGGAGTTCCCCAGGGTCCGCCGCGTTCCTTCCTTATCTGCTATCAGGCATCAATTTCAGTCAGATGACATTGTAGGTACTTGTAATATCGGCAACAAACCAACATTCGAGCTGGCTCCGGCGTGGGTCAGTGGTTCGCTGTATGTAGTTGTAGCCTGGCACTACATACGGGATGCTAATCGTCAGCCGTTCCTGACCTGTATATTCATGAATTGTGCTAGATCGATAGTCTTATGGGATCGATCTCATCTGTCGCTGCTGCTGCTCCTTTAGCCAGTCCAATGAAGTACGAGCTAACAGTCGGTAAACACAATGTCGAATAGGTGGACAATGGTCGTGACCGGCTAAGACCCCTGTACGGGCTCTACGCTTTTTGATTTTTGGTCACAGCTGTCCATGTTCACGAACCTCTACGATTTCCAAGATAGCTAGTCAGTGCCGTTGCAGACGTTGAGAGACTCATTTATGATGCTTTCACCGTTTGCATGCTACCATTCTATGCAGCCACGATGGTGGAATCAAGCTTCCGTACGCAAATCTCCACTAACCGCATCATCGAGCTTTTCAATGCACATTAGTATGCATCTTCAGCAACCCCTGTCGACCTTCTAAAACCTGACGTTTTCCCTTCCTTTCTCAGCGCCCAGCCTCTTACAATATCCATGTCAGCCTCTGACTCGGCCACCGGGGGGCTGTTCATGACTGTTCGCTGTTTCTGCGTCTCCTTATCAACGGACTGCAAAGGTTGATCATGCAGGGTATTACTCAAGTTTTGTCATTTATCGAGTTGGCCGCTGGGTTTGTCTATGTCCACTGCCACCGTGTCTCTGGTGTTCCACTGCCTCCAACTGGCGTGGACACGTTCTCATAAATGTCTCTGGCCAACGGCCATAGCTTGGAAAAGATCACAAATTGTTTGATTGAGAGGCATCTGGCCATGAACTGCTCAGATGTTGGATGGAGATGCCGCGTCGACTGTGTTGAGCGCCTTAGGTTCCCCTTGCTGGGAAAAGTTCCAGCTCACATATCAATCGAAACAGGGGCAGTAAAGATCGATACATCCGTCAGTCGAGCACTTCTTACTGCTATGCTGCTACGTTTGCATTGTCCTTGTTCAGCTTGCTGCAGGTCTTATACAATCATTCCGTCATCTCCCATCGAGCACGCCTGCAACCCGAAGGAGTCCCTAACAAAATCTAGCACCCGACGTGATGCACGCTCACGACGATTCATCCTACCTTGACTTCAATCCTAGTTGGCAGCTAGGAGAGTCGGCATGCAATGTACCACGTTCGACTTCTGCCTTCCACGAAGCTACAACAGTTCAAGAAAACATCGTTATAATGCTTTACACATCAATCTACTCGCAACGCACTGCTCCGTGCTTGGGCAGACAACGTGTCAGCGTCTACATAATCCGCATTTGTTGCCATTTTATGCATGAAGCCGAGTTGCTTCAATCCGCCACCAGACTTGACGCTGCAGCAAACGGATGAATTGGTACGCACACTCCCTTAAGCGACAATGCATCAGCAAACAGCGTCCCGAACCTTCATCAACATCTAACTTTGCCCACACATCACTCGCCACTCATTGCTAGTTCTCAAGATAGCGAAGTACCGCTTATGTTCGACGGTTATTACCCGCTGCATCCTATCGACACTTTGTGCGAGCTTCGGCCCACTTGGACAGATTTTGAGCTCTGGGAGGAGCATCAGGAGGACTGTTCCATGGAAAGAGCAGAAGAGTAGGCTTCGCGTCTTGGCCGATCGAAACAGACCCCGAAGCAACGACAGTAGGATTACGGTTGCTCTACGCTCGAACAAGATTACAGCACAATAACAGCACAATGCAGCAATTACGCGCAAGATGCTGAAAAGGCTTGAAAACGCCGCTAAACGATCGCAACCTCTACTCCTTTTTGCAGCCGCGCCTCACTTGTCGTGCATTACTTTCCGCCAGCAAGCGAGAGTCGCTTCAGTATGCGATCGGACATCATTGAAGGCTCGAGCCCGCTAGCCAGCCACAAGCAATGTTGCTAGCAATGGCAATCAGCGGTTCGGTGTCGCCTTGTCCGCTATGCGTAACAAGCCGTCCTCACCGCGATGAAACATCAACGAACAACGGCAATTGCGTTCCCTTCTTGACGCAATACAGCGGTCGTAGTCACACCGTCGGAACCTCGCAAATACCCAAGTTCCGTGGCGATTGACTCTGTATCCTTAACTGCGTATCATGGTGAGTTGGGAGTGCCCGAACTTGCGATGAGACGTGAGGATCTATATCGTTGGCAGAGACTACAGGATAGTTATGCAAGACGCTGCGTTGAGCGACGAAGAAGTTAGAGGACAGGATCGATAGACTTAGCTGTCGCACAAGGTGCAAAAGGTGTTGTGTGTGGGACAAGCTGTATCAGATACTTCAACCGGGCGCTAGCACCATCTCCAAAGCGTCGATTGATTGATCTGATCGTTGACGGCGACATGTCCATCTTGGGCATCGTTGCATTCGTCCCGGCGAGAACCGTAGTTGGCAAGCACGATGTGCTATGATCGTTACGTTCGGTGGTGCAGTTGTAGCAGACTGTGTAGATATATCACGGACGGGAATGCAGTACTTGTAAAGGTTGATGCAGTCAATACAATACCCGGTGCAGATGTTGTAGGAGGCGCTTCATCCATCGCAGATGATGTTGTCGGCGTTGTTGCTAAGGGTGAACGATACATTTGGGCTTGAGGGGCCGTGATACTGAACAATATGCCCGATGACGATTGATAGCAATAGACGATTGATAGAGATGCCGCTCTCGTTGTCAACACTGTGAGACTTGATAAATTGTCTCGAACTTACTTCCACATCACCCAGAACGAGGAGCACACGACCTAACGCGATACCTACTGCATGTTCGCATAGGGATGTCGAAGTCATTACCGTCAAGCAGTGAGCGCCCAATCCTTCGAAGAAAGAAGAGTCCTGCGCTAAACACCCGTTAGTGTCCGTAGCTTCGTCTTGCTCTCCGTCCAATAATGTCTCCCTCGATAGTAGCACTGTCTTGAATGGCCCAACGTTCCGTCAACACCTCACTTGTTCCTTCAGAACAACACCTATGTGCCTCCATATGCTCAGACATCTCATCAGGCCAGTACCTAGAGTCGTAACCGCAGAGGTCAACGTCCTCAAGGTTGATGCCCGACCCAAATCGGTCCAACACCTTGCCAGCTCTTGACCCCCGGACTCTTCCGCGCTCCTGTGTCAGTTGGCAGAATACCTAGACTAACATTACTCGCGAACGCTAAGCATTAGCGCGCTTTCGAAATATAAGAAGCTGTCAATTTCTCTTCGAAATCTGCTTTCCTTCCCTCCTCGCGGGTGACCTTCGGGGCCCATAAATGCTGCTGCTACACTTCTGGGCTCTGGCTGCCCGGGGCCGACCCAGGGAATTTTTGGAACACATACGAGGCTTGCCTCAAACCTTTCATCAGTGTCGTTGCCTTTATGGCGGCGCTTGAAGAAGGCTTATTAGTCGTTGTTGTTGTTTTGTCGTCGCAGTTTGCTCTGTGTGTTGGCGAGGGCTGGCGTTAATGGGTGCCTGTAACAGCACGATGACTGCATGAAGGAAGTCTACCGCTCTGCTGAAACATCTTTTCGTGGAAGGAGCTGCACCTTGTCGAGCGCTTGGTCCTGCGTCCTATTGCCGGAATGATTAGGTGACGAGGCAGACAACGCACCCGTGTCGCGTCACGGCTTCCAAGAGCAGCGCCCAGCTCAGCGAGCAGCGCGGACTTATTCAGTGTATCGCTACCAACCACATGCTTGATTAGCGACACGCACTGACCCGCATCAAAGGAATTCAAGACCACCTCCAGACTCTGTGCCGTTTCAATCTCGCTCACCCTCGTCGCCTGACCACTCTCGCCCGGCCCGCTATCTTGCCATTTCCTCGAGCAAGCTCTGAAGCCTACAACAGCCGCTATGCTCGGTAATTGCAAGCCTCTGCACTACCTCGAAAACAACGAGCTGCTTTCGCCGGCCAGGAAGATGTTACGGCTGTCTGGCAGAGGGAGTACAATGTGAGTCGGCATATGCAGGGACCTAGATGTTATCTCAGGTACTACAAGGCGTTTAAGCCTTCTGAGAGTCGCAGGAGTGCATCAGTACGCTACCTTGTTCGTCCTTCTGACTCTAGCACGATTGCAATCCACTTCGGGGGCTGCTGTCTGCGCTCCGCTGATCGCGTAGCGCGAATTGCGCTCGTAGCGAGTCATGAGCGTAGGACAGCTTCGCTGTTACGATTGTCAAAGTGGAACTCTGTCATCAATAGTCCCATCCCAACTTCGCCTACTCCGTTCTGACATCGTAGCTTACTTTTCGAGGGTATCGTGCCAGTTTACGATGGATGCTGACCGGATCCTCCCATTGTATGGTGCTCGACTCTTCAAGTGAGCTTCTGCTGGTCACCTCTTTGAACGCCAATGAAGACGCAATAAACACTCGCTAAACAATGTTCGACCTTGTTGCTTTTGTGGAGTTCTGCCAGCTGTTGGAGCGGTGAGTACATGTAAAACTCGTTCGGATGATGGAAGCGTCAATGGTCTGATAGTTTGTTAGACAGCAGCAGCAGAGGCGGCAGGTTGCGCCGCCATCAGTGCCACCACCAGCAACGTTTGCGATACGGGCGCAGACGATGCTGACGGGTTTGTAAGTCAGCCGCTCACCTCACGCGCTCGTCTCATACTTTGAGAGGTCAATCAACCGGATGGTAGGCGTGGGAAACATCCCATATGGCACAAATGGACCGCAACACCAGTCCATGCTCATATCACAGCGTTGCGCCCAGCCTGCATTAGACAGCATCAAGATACTATCGTTGCTACCGCAGTTGGACCTTCCCTGCACAGTACACCATGCACAGCTACCCAGATTGCCTCCATTACTGCTCCCATCAATGCGCATATTGAGAGCCACGGCTAACGTATCTTAGGGAGTTGTTGGTTGTACGGACGCATTGCTGGAGTCCGCCGCCTCGCAACAAGCGCTGAGATGGTAAGACAGCTTCCACACGGTATTACCTCATACAGCAGCTCTCTGATGCCGTCACATCACCATATGCATTGTGCCATCGCGATGATATGGGGGGACGCTTGACTTGAAGTCGGCTTACAACTCGATCACGTGAAGCGCGCCAGTTCCGCGCCCCAGCAAGTCTGGGGGTTGTTTCCGGACCACCATGCACCCGCACTTACACCTCTTGTGTTTACGCCGGGCACATCTTCATTTGCACGCTACTGACGCTGGCATTGCTGTTGAAATATGCGCGTCGCGCGTTGGCGATCATGGCTGATTACTCTTCGCCGCAGCTCCCCTCCCCTTCCGCCCTCCTCTCCACCATCCCGGCTGGATCGGCCGCGAAGAGCATCGTGTCGCGCCGCCCAATGGCGCATGCACAGCGCATCGAAGAAGCGACCGGGACGCCAAGAGTACCGCTGAGCGAGCTGCTTGGCAACTTCAACTACAAAACATGCACCTCTCCCTCCTCCCGGCGCAGCATTACAGGCGAGGCAATGACCAAACGACGCCGTATCGAGCTTGTAGAAACCTCCACAGTAAGCGTTGTGACCAGAAAGTCACGGAAGAGGCTAGATCCGGCAGTGGAGAAGCCGAAGAGGAAGCCAAAGGCGCCGAAGAGGGCGCAAACCATCACAGAAGTAGCTACCAAGGCGTATCGACTAGTCAAACCAGTAGAAACGGCGCCAACGAGCACCGTCAGCGAGTACTTTGCGTCCACGAAAGAGGTACATGAGCCTGCGAAGGCGGTCACCGAGGTGCAGAAGGCGAAGAAGCCTCGAAAGCCTCGATCCAAGCCCGCAATCACCGGAGACGAGCCCTCCAAAGCACCCGCGAAAAAGCCGGGACGAACAAAGAAGGCCGAAGCTATGTTGAAAGAAGCTGACCAACTACCGCCACTTTACAGTCCCGAGCGCGCGAATCGGCAAGCGCAGCAACAGCAGTTCCTTTTCGGCACCTCCAGCCAGCTAGCAGTCGAAGAATCACCGACATTCGTAAAGAAGATGCACACAGCATTGCTCGAGTCAGAGGGCGTGCCGGCGCCTACACAGATGGTGAGCACGCAAGCACTAGTCTCTCCAGCGCAGAAGAGCTATCTGAAGGTTCCTACCGCGCCGCATGGAACGACATTATCAGTTGGCCAAGCGGAGAGGGAGCACTGGTGCGCCGCATCGCGCGATGTCAAAGGCGAGTTGCTACGAGACGAGTCTAGGCCGAAGCATACAGGGTCAGTGCAAGCCGCCAAACCGTCGACTGCGAAGCCTGTACCGAAAGCCGCACCCGCCTCTGTAATCCACCCGTCACCGCCCAAGCAGGAATGGGTAGCTATAGATGACATTGAAGACGAGTCTCCACCTACACCGTCACCGCCGAGACGTAGAGCGTCCGCATCACCATCACCAGTCTTACCACTTGCTTTCGACAGACCTACCGCCCCACCGCGCTTGCAAGCTGCATCAAGCGCTAAGCCGTCTTCACCAGACGTGAAGGTTGGCTGTAGCGTTCTGTCTCATAATACCTCCCTGAAGCCTACAGACGCCCAATGGCAACATATCAAACCAACGCTTTTCCCGCAAGTTACAGCAGCAATCAAGAGCGCACCGCGGAGCACAGACCCGGAGAAACCGAGCTGGCATCAGAAGATCCTGCTCTACGACCCGCTAGTACTCGAAGACTTTACTGCTTGGCTTACTGACGTGCGAAAGTTGAGGATAGAGGTGCAGAGGCAGCCAAGACCGAAGAAGGGCAGGAAGAAGAAGGTCGACGTTGAGCCTGCGGAGAGTGTTCTGGTTGAGACGATGGAGGAGCCACTGCAGCATTGGATGGTGCAGAAGTGGTGCGAGGAGGGGAGTATTTGCTGCCTTTCCAGAGAAAGCTCGAGAGGCGGGCTGAAAGCGAGGTACTGAACCTACGTGTGCTATATGCAGGCATGGCGAGCCATCAGCCTTGCTAGCAGTCTTTGCATCTCGCTACGTAGTCAAGAGGGTGTAGTTGCGAATCGCCTGGATGTTCGCTTACCGGAGGCATTGCTCAGTCCAGTGAGCTCCTAAGCAGCTTAAAGGCATGAAATAATGACAAGTCACTTGCGTACATGCTCTCTATTGCAGTCTGTCACAACGATCTGTCTGTATCTCCAGCGTTTTAGCTAGGCACACTTTTCCTGCCGGTGTACCCAAACTCCATCTCCCTCCTCTCAACCCTTCGCTTCTGCGTCCGGTCCACAAACGCCAACACACAGACTGCCATGCCCAAAACCGACAAGGGCACGAGATTCCACTTCCAAACCTTCATCAGCGTCAAATGCGTGCTGATAATCGATCGATCAGATGCGCTGCTCAAAGGTAACTGCAGCATAGCCGTGAACCAGTTCTCCGGCGTCCAAGCCAGTAGCGCGTAAGCCACGAAGTTGGGGAAAGGCTCGTTGTGAAGCGTGCTGGCATACTGTATGTCAATTTTCTGACCCGCGTGAATGGCGGTCAAGTACATGGTGGCGATGAGAGCGGAGATAGTGAGGAGGGCTGAGAGGAGTGTCATGACGAGCCACAAGTTGTAAAGGAAGGCTGCAAACCCCTTCACATGGCCGTGGTTGCGGACGCAGCGGGAGCGGAGGCAGAGTGCCAAAATCCCGCCTAGGCCGATTGCGACGAAGACTGTGCCGGCGGCGCCGTTGGTGGTGTGGCCGTGATCAGTGAGGAGGTTGGCGGGTTTGCCGTGGAGGGAGAAGTAGGATGAGCCGTAGTTGATGTAGAAGAACCCGGTTTGTTGGTTGAGCCAGTAGACCATTGAGCTGAGCAAGGCCATTTCGAGAGCGGCGTCAAGCATGAGGATGGTCATGGAGATGTGCAGGAGAGTCGATATTCCCGTAGACATGGTGGTTGCAGTTCTGCGGCGCACGTTGGAGTCCTCGATGGGCGTGTATTGGGTTTGGATTTGGAGAGGTAGCATGGCGTTGTTGAGCAGAGGTCGATTGGCTGATGCATGGAAGGGAAGGCTCATTTTATGTACAAATGCAGACGAGTCGGTGAGTCAAGTGGACGATGAGGGCGTTGGCGCCGCGTATGCCGCAGCTTCGCCTCACAGTGAGGTCGTAACAAGGGTTACGGTCAAGTGCGAGAGAAGTCCGCTGAGATAAGAATGTTTGCTTGGCGGGATGGCGCAGGGTGGTATCGTGCAACCCTAGAAGCGACAAGTGACGGCGAGCGACAGCAGAAAGAAAATGACAAGTTAGAGATGTATGCTGCCCTGCAAAGAATGCGACCAAACCCCGGAGTAATGCACGTATGGAACAATATAACGGCTCTCACCTCGCCGAGTCCGCAAACCCGAGGGATCAAGATTTGACCCTCAATTGATACAACTCAACGGCGGAGCATAATAGGGCTGCCCACTCCTGTACGTTTAGGTCAAGAAGATTGTGCATGATGTATTTACGATCATGCTTACTGTGCTGATGTGAGCTTTGATCCGTCGTGGCTTAGAGATGAAACGCGCCAGAAATAGCAGGGCCTGAGGCTGCTTAGCCATCCCGACCTGAGAGCCCAGAATACACTGATCATGACGGATCCTGCCAGTCATGGGGACGTTGAACATTGCCAAGCACCCGAGCGAGATGATGCGAGCCGCGCATATTGCAAGTTGCATGTCTCGAGCAGTTGTGAGTGGAGATGGCTGTGAAGCCGACTGCAGTACCCTTGGCACCTGCCGACAGCTGCACGACGCTGACAGCTCGGCTAGTGTCAGCACCGTAGAGAATTGCGAAGAGGCTGCACTGTATAGCCGGAGGATAGAGAGCGTTGTCCATGCAATGGAATGCCAGATCTGCTATTAAGAACTAGGAGAGGAATGCGCGGGCTGTGATGTGAAATCACCAGCAGCGGAGCGTGCCGGTCGATCCCGCTGCATGTGAAGCTCGGGCGCAGACGTGAACTTTTACTGACCAGTTGAACTACATCTGTGCAACTAACATCCGCCGTTTCAGTCATGTTGAAGACGAGCACGCAGCAACTCTCGATGTTACCAAGATAGCAACGACATCTCCCAGCCATGCCTGCTCCACCCAAGCTCTCCGATGAGAGCGAGTCTCTCTACAGCCAAATGCTTAACGTGGCCAACGCTTCCCCGGAAGGCCTGCGGAAAGTCTTCTTCCAAGCTGATGTACAAATCATTGCCGAGGCGAACGCCAAGACCGTGGAACAACTCCTCGCACTCATCACGGAACTACAGGGCCACTGCCTTATCCGTACATCAAGGCTCGACCGCGCCCTCTGCTGGTCCACTCGCCCTCGCGATGCTGCCAAGCAGATCCTCGCTTTGGGCCACCCCGATCGAATGCTCTACGAGTATGTCGAGGATGCACACCGGAAAGGCATCTGGCTGCGGGACCTCCGCAAGCGGTCCGGTATCCAGGGTCAGTCTGTCGACAAGGCTATGAATCGACTGGAGAATGCGAGACTGGTCAAGGTCATTCGTAACGTCAAGTCGCCGATGCAAAAGACTTACTTGCTTTCGCATCTCATGCCGACGGATGATGTTACCGGTGGCAGCTTTTTCGATTCCGGCGACCTCGACGAGAGCCTGATCGATGAGATTAAGAACCTTATCATCTTCAAGGTTCGCATGGACAGCTGGAGCGAGCAGAGAGTGCACAGCAAGTCGAGGCGGGGCCGGTCACCCGCCGCTCTCGAGGACGGAGACGAGGTCGAGTACGAACAGCCAGACCATGCCGTCACTTCGCCGACTAGAAAGCGCAAGCGCACCAACGACATTGAGGACCTCGCCACCCTCAAGCGGCAATCCTACAACCCGGACACGGATCCATTAACCTACACACAACTCCCGTACCCAGCTTACTCCAAAAGCTATCCCACAACCGACGATATTATGACTTGGCTCAAGACTACCCCAGCCATCCGCGCCACCAAGCAAGAACAGCTTACCGTCGACGAGATCCAGCGTGTTCTTGATGTGCTGGTCTGGGATGACAAGCTCGAGAAGGTTGGAGCGGGCTACCGTAGTGTCCGCGGCGTGGTGTGCAGACAGCCAGGTCAGCCGTCCGAGTCTGACGAAGAAGATGGAGACGAGGATGGCGTGGTAGGTCTTCGCAAAGGGAATGGATTGACTGAGGCGCCGTGTGGGCGGTGTCCGGTTTTTGACTTGTGTGAAGAGGGCGGGCCTATCAATGCAAGCAGTTGCGTCTACTGGGCTGCGTGGATCGAGAAGAACGTGTGACGCGAGAACACCGACGCACGGGTTTCGGTGTAAGTATCACAAGTGCTTGTGAGAGCACACCCCTCCTGGGATCTTTCCTTTGATACATTGACTGTGCGTTACGAGCCTGGCGTTGTGGCCTATCGACCGCTCAGCGACATGGAATAGTGGTCGGGCGCTGTAACGATGGTTCGAAGTAGTGACTATCCACTCATAATGCTCACAAGCGCAGGGCCGGTCTCCATTCTCTGCTCTTATCCGTGACAGCTCCACATCACGCACGGCTCCAGCTTCCAACTGCCAACATTCGTTGTCCAGCGCTTACCATCATTGCCACCAACCACCCTAAGACAAGCAGATCCTCACGAGACCTCAAAACGCATCATACCAACACCTCACAAGGTACGCTCGCCAAGGCCCGAGCTTGACACTCTCCGCTACAACGACTAACGAACTCCGCAGTGACAAGTGCAAAAGAATGTGTATCTGCACCATCATAGAACACCGCTGCACCCACTGTGAAGCCGTACTTTCGCGCAGCTACGACATCTCCAGATGCGAGAATACACGCCGAGGGGCTAGGTGCTGCAACGTTGTCGAAAATGATCCAACGATCCAAGTAATCCGCACCACCAAATGCTTCCGGTGCAGGGAGCAAGACCACAAACTACATCCTACGAAGAACATCCGGGAGCGTTACTACAACCGTTAGCTGGCCTGTATCGGAGTACTGGTCGGGACCGGCACGGCGGTTGGGTCATCGAGCTTCCGGAGTAGCGGCGCTATGACTTAGGCGTGTCAAAGTTTGCAGCGATGAGCAGGACAGTGGAGGTGTTGTTGACGCCAGTTCATGCACATATGCGATAGAGTCAATGCATGTCGATCATGTATGATCCGAGCGGAGGTGAGATTTCTACGCTGCTGTATCAGTGACTAACTGTTCCTCACGGCGTCGTAATATCACTGTGCCTGACGACGTTGATCGTACGGGTCGCGGATTTGAGGTGCTGTGAATGATGCTCAAAGTTCCGTCTCACGGGTTACTATGGGCGTAGTCAGTATATGCCAGCATTCTCAGTCCTGCAGTTCTCTCTTCCTTTGCTTATATCTGCCGCAGGACTCAAAATTACACCGAAAAGACTGTTACACACTCCGATTAGGAAGTCCAGCGCTCTAGAAACATCATCAAGATCGTTCGAATTAGACCCACAACATCAAGACACCGAAGTCAACAAGAAGCGGCAACCACTGTATCACGATGTGCTACTTCCAATGCTTCTGATCTCACTGCCCTGGCTGCGGCAAGATCACAGGGGAAGGCACTAATTATGTGAATTACTGTCGCAATGGCAGCTTCACAAGACAGCAAATCTGTTCCAACATCCTGACAAGGTGGCGAGACGTCCTAGGAAAATGGTGTCAACCATGCCTTAATGCCCGTCGGCCATCCAGGTTGTGAGAGGGCTTTTAGGCGTACATTGTAAGTCCTGTGGGAGAGATGACAGAGAGTATAAGACTGCGCATTGATGGTACCTAAGAGAAGATGCCGACGGCTTGAGGATGGCATCGAAGTCTTTGCGGAGCGTACAGACAGTACGGTCTCGGTTGGTTGGTATATCAGGTACTATGGTACCAGCAATGTAACGGTAATTTGTACGCCATCGAAGCTCAAGAATGCGGCGAACGTGCAATACGGCTCGAAGGTGTCCGGCAGTGGTCACTGGTGGCAGAAGTCTGCAGATAATGATAAAAGTCGTTTCCAGCTCTGCGTCCTTACGCTTGATTCTGGTAGGGTAACCAAGCGGCACACGGACCGGCTCAGTCTCTTGCTTGTGCTGCAATTCGGACCCTTCACCTTCGTATACCAAGACCATCCCCAGAGTGCCCACAGAGTTGCTAAACCAACTCGATCGCTAACGATAACCCGACGATGCGCATTTGCGTGATCTATAGCGCTCGATGCCCAGAATGTGGCGTGGGAGCGGAGGCAGGCTTGCGTTTCCGGGAGTACTGTGATAATAGATCGGAGAAAAGACGAAGGGAAAGGCGATTCTGCGACAATGTTCGTACGAAATTTGAGCGCGTCAGAGGGCACAGATGTAGGCAATTTCGATAAGCCAAAGACGACTGTAGACGAGCGCAGGGTCGGTGATTGTGCCCTCGGGAGGTCGGTCAAGGACCCGGGACGGAGTGTAATAACCTTGTGAGTTGGACCAGTATGTCCGCGGGTGATCGACGTTTCGATGTCGGTGAATTGCTTCGAGGAGTGGCACAGTGGTGTGCTAGCACCGTTAGTACTGAATGGTTGGTCGGGTACACTCTGCACTATATTATGTCGGGTCATTTCTCTTCCTGTATTGCCTCTGAGCAATCGGTCCCTACTCAAGCCTTCACACGTCCTTTGCAGATTTAGGCGAAGAGCGAAGCTCGAACGTACCAGTCAGAGAAGTCACCTCAGGGCCAACACCGCCAGCAAGCATCGGTACCGCAACCCAAAGACCTTGATCTGGATACTGTTGCTGAGATCTGCCCAGGTATTTTGACGGGGCAGTAATGTGTACCAGCAATACCGTTGGCTATCACTTCTCTGGGTGCAGGAAGCTTCTTTCACCCAGTACGAGCCGGTCAAGTTGTTCAGCGGCTTGCAACAATACCAAGTGTGGAGGTTCCGCACGATAAGGCTACGGTCGTGCAGCGGGCGATGGGGCAAGCAGCGCAATGTCAATACCTCGTCGCGATTGCATGCGAGATAGCTGAATCTGCTACCCACCGACTCACAGGTGTCCGGTATGCAGAACCAGGAAGACTCCCTGGAAAGCACAAGGACATCTAATGGGAGGCAATCCGGGAAATACTCATGGTCAAGTGTGAGGTTGATGCACTCGTAGGTGACGGAGGAGCTTGCGCGAGCCTCACATGGTCGTTGCGTGGTTGGACTGTCTGAAGCAAACCATGGTGACCGCTCCTGCAGTGATCTCGGTAAAGGATACCTGCCGTGCCTGTGAAATTCTTGACTATTACAGGCCAATAAGTCACTGCATGTCGGGTAGAGTAGCGATCTCGAGCACGGCATTGTCAGTAACTTCGAAGCAAGAGGTTTGCGTATAAGGCAGCGTAAACGAGCTTACCAATGCGCCGTTTTGCAACACGCAAACCCGGGACTATAAGGCTTGCAGAGCCACCCTAAAGATCCACCGCTGCTACGGGTAGTCACAACATCTCGAGGTCCATGGTTGAAAGACGCGCCCACTGAGGCTTCGACCCAGTCCGTCCACGGCTGCCAGCTACATGATGTGCACCAGCACAACCACCAAGCACTGTTGCAGGCGATGTGGCTGCGTGATGCGCACCGAAATCGAATGGCGACGTTGTCCCCGCGCCACCGGAGGCAGACTGTGCGAGTGGGCACGCAACGGGTTCACGATGACGCTGCGTCAGCGCAGATGTGATCGATGCGAGCAGCGTGCGCGTGAAGAGGAAGAGAGGAGGCGACAAGAGGCGGAAAGGCCGCGACCGGTTGGTCCACGACCAATGCCGCCTCGACGGTGATAGACGAGATGTCGCGCAGTCGGCTTGCACAGACCGTTGAATAGGGTAGTGTAGGTGGCGAGGTGCCTTTTTGCTGCATTGTTGTATCCAACATATGCTTTTCCAGCTCACTTATATGTCATTTTAGACCGATTGTGCTTCCAAACTTCGTCTCATCGCATTTGACAACGTGAATGCTGTTCGCACATCCCGACCGTGTTGTGGCGATGACGATGGTAACGGGAAGCCACGACGGATACAGCGCCGATAGTGAATAGCAGGATGACCGCAAAGTACATATAGCGTCGTACGGTGTGAGCTTTTGCTTCGCCAGAGCAACCTCGACCGAGATTCTGCAACAATCACGCCGAAACACACACCCAATCGTCTCTCCCATTTGTCACAACTCGTCAGCTGTGTTCCCAACTGAAGATTGCATGCAAATGCTGATAACACACTCGCATACCTGTAATGTGCAGCGGCAGAACCACCAATCATCACTGCAGCCAGTGCGGCCGCATAATGGAACGTCAAGCAGTCTGGAGATGCTGCCCCCGGACGACTCGGACCGCCTTGTGCGCAAATGCAAATATTGATGGGTGAGTAAACATACCGAGTTACGGCAAGTGTTCCAATTGTAAAAGCGAGGAGACTAATAAGCCGCGGGCGGGCTATAGGAGCTAGGAAATGCTGAAGCGATAAGAACCATGAAGAGATTGCCGAGCGCATAGTTGTTGCGCAAAGGGATTCGGCGGCGGCGTAATTGTGGTACTGAGTGCCGAGTTGCTAAGAGAATGCGTTAATGTAGCCTTGAGGTCGATTGTGAGATAATCTTTGGATCCGAAGCCATGAGACCTGCTACTTCGTCAGTGAATACGTAGTGCATCGTCTATGCACATAAAGCAGTGTCAATCTTGCTACATCCAGCCATATCGATCATACAGCCTTCCAAAACAGCCAACGTGTCCGGAATATCACAAATTAACAATCCATAAAGCAGCAATCGAGCTCTCAAGCCACGCATTCCTATCTCTTTGCCACCAGCTACCCAAGGTCGTAACTACTACTTAACACAGTGTCCGTCGCTGGCGTACCGTACAGACTAACCAGGCAGCAGGCTTCCCCAAGCTCAAGCGCAATACAATGTGTACGTACAAGACCATCCAATGAATGTGCTGTCGCTGCATGCGAAACACGGTTCATATACAGAGTCGTACGATCTGGTGTCGCCTAGGGGCTCCTCATACAAGGATTGTGGAAGTGTACGCAATGAGACGGTAATGATGCGAGGGCGGAGCTTGTGTGCATGGTGCCAGAGCAATAGGGCGAGATGACGATTCCTAGCTAGACGGAGAGGGACGGGTAGACGGTCCTTGAGCGGTAGCGTAAGCCAGAAGATTGGACCACATCGGATGTCGATGCCAATTTGCAGTTGGTTGACGATGATTACTGCGAGCCGAGTAATGAGGAAGTCTGTGGTAGCTACAATGCCTTAGTGAATGTGTACTGTACACGCCGCGGCGTACAAAGTAGAACACAGTACTAACTTGCCTTCTCATTGTGATCAATTATACAGCTTCCCAGACAGTACGACTTTGCGACACTCGAAGACTTCAACCAGCCGCAGGTTCACGACCCAACCACCAGCGCACATAGTAGGTTACAAACACACACCATGTGTGTGTTCAGCACTGTCCAGTACATGTGCTCTGGATGCATGAACGTCACACTGTACAGAGAAAGAAGATGGTTCAAATGTGCATATGATCTGCGAGCGAGATACGGGTGCGCCAATACATACAACGAGGTTGTGCTAAGACGAGGCGAAGGTCTGTGTGCGAGGTGTCAGTACGGCTGACAGAGGGAAATACCGGGGCTGGCCCAGCTTACTATGAGCGGACCTGGGTGGTTGAGCATGCCAAGCAGGGCTGTAGCCCGTGCAACAAGGGTCGGAGTAATGCAGCAGCCGGCAACAGCCCGCCGACTACCGTGCTTTGGTGATTGTATGCCTAGTAATGGAAGCTGGTGATGGACCGGCGATGTCAGTGAACACTGGATAAATAGTCTTTTGCTACACACACGTAGCGTCGACGTTGCACTTTTCCTTTGTGCCTTCCTTTCGAGCAGCCTTACCGATCATCGCAAGTCTGCATCATCCAAGCGTTCGAAACATCACCATTCCTTGGACTATCGCTGATAAACATGAGTGGTGGCAAGCGAAGCCGTCACCGCCCGAACTCTGAGGGAAATCCAGAGCTGACACAGACAGACAATGGTCTCGCCGGATGCAATGTGTCGCATGGCTTGACCAGCACGCACGCCAAAGGTGCGGCAGCAGCTTCGAAGTCGTGGTCCAGTGGGATTACTGTGCGCAAAGAAACGCACCAGAAACGTGCCCGACTGTACGCAGTGAAATCACTTTCCCGCAGGGTCATCTGTGTCGGTCGTGTGGCAACGGATGTCGTATGAGGTAACGGGACGACATGATCGTCCTTGGAGATGGCTCAGAGATATCGGTGCATGATAGATGTTTTGGTTGCCACAGTTGGAGTTCATGGTTGAATGTGCACGCGTTCTATTGACGACTCCTTGCATGACACCAAACCCATGCGGCTATTATGACATGCGAGGTGTCGATCAGGTCAGAAGCTGAACACCTTCATAGCGAAGTGTTGCTCTTCAACAGGTCGTGTCGATGGTGAAAGGCCTTGTAGTGAAGGCCGAGACAGCATGTCGTCTGGGGCCGGGAGACGCTTCAAGTTAGACGGCAATCTCCGAGCGCGCCGCTAGCGCCGATCTCTCCACAGATCTCGCAGATCGAGTGATGTCAACAGAGCTTTCGTGCGCTGGCCTGGATCGTGCATACGCTCGCGATGCGCCTTGTTATGGATGGGTATCTGTAAGTGCACACTTTCGCATCGTCTGTTACCCGCGGCTACGTTGCGACGAGCGGTCCCTCTCATGTCTCGTTCAGCTCCACGCCCTCCTGTCGTCTCTATTTCGAACATGGCCCGTACAATGCCTCTTAAGCGCAAAGTGTCGCGCGCAACCTCCCCAGTCCGGCCGTCGCCAGCGAAGAGGCCACGCCAGGCGGAGATCGATGGCGATGCCTTCGCCGCCCCGGCGTTCAATCATACGCGCGAAGAAGAGCGGGTTGGCATCGTCCAGCGCGACTTCTACCCAGCCGAGATGAGCCATGAGCGCTGCGAGCGGTATAACAACAACGAGATACCGCGTCCGCTGGAAGTGCTGAACCGAACACTTGAGGAGACGAAGCTGCAGCGCCAAAGCGTCGCAGTCGGCGAAGCAGTAGTGCATTGGTTCAAGCGCGACCTGCGCACCTTTGACAATCGCGCCTTGAGCATGGCGAGTGCAAAAGCGAAGAGTAAAGGCGTGCCACTCATCTGCATGTTCATAGTCAGTCCGCAAGATTACCAAGCCCATCTCACCAGCGCGCCGCGAGTCGACTTCGAGCTGCGTACGTTGGAGGTAATGAAAGAAGATTTGGCGGAGAAGGACATACCACTATATGTCACCACCATCGAAGAGCGTAAGAATGTCATCCCACATATCATGCAGAAATGTGAGGAATGGAATGCAAAACACATCTACTGTAATATCGAGTATGAAGTTGACGAACTCCGCCGCGAGAGTAAGCTCGTTAAGAAATGTCTTGACCAAGGCATCTCCTTCACAGCCGTCCACGACGACGTAGTTGTTCCACCCGAGACGCTGGTAACAGGCGCCGGGAAACAATATTCTGTCTACTCCCCTTGGTTCCGCGCCTGGATCAAACACATCCATGAGCACCCTCACCTTCTCGATGCCTTCCCGCCACCGACACCTAATCCGCCAACAGCGCGCCAACTCTTCGAACCCATCTTCGCCTCGCCCTTGCCAACCACTCCACCCAACAAAAGCCTTACAATCGAGGAGCGGAACCGCTTCGCCTCCCTCTGGCCCGCCGGCGAACACGAAGCCCACTCTCGCCTCACCCGCTTCCTCCACGAGAAGGTAGGCAAATACAAAGAAACCCGCAACTTCCCCGCCCACAACTCCACTGGCCTCCTCTCCGTGCACTTTTCCTCCGGCACTCTCGCAGCTCGTACAGCCATCCGTTCCGCCCGTGATATCAACAGCACCAAGAAACTCGACGGCGGCAACCTCGGCATAACCGGCTGGATCTCCGAACTAGCGTGGCGGGACTTCTACAAACATGTCCTGGCCCACTGGCCGTACGTGTGCATGCATAAGCCATTCAAGTACGAGTACACCGACATCGAATGGGAGTATGATGATGCGAAGTTTGAGGCGTGGTGTGAAGGGAGGACAGGGTATCCGATTGTGGATGCTGCGATGCGGCAGTTGAATTACATGGGGTATATGCATAATCGGTGTCGAATGATTGTTGCTTCGTTTCTCGCCAAAGACCTTCTTACCGATTGGCGGAGGGGAGAACGATATTTCATGGAACATCTCATTGATGGAGATTTTGCAAGTAACAACGGCGGTTGGGGGTTCTCGGCGAGTACGGGAGTTGATCCACAGCCTTACTTTCGCATCTTCAACCCTTTGCTGCAGTCAGAGAAATTCGACGAAGGCGGGGAGTACATTCGGAAGTGGATTCCGGAGTTGGCCGGGGTGGTGGGGACTGCGATTCATGACCCGTATGGGAGGGGTGCGGGTAAGGTGGCGGAAAAGGCTGGGTATCCAAGGCCGATTGTGGACCATAAGATGGCCAGGGAGAGAGCGCTGGCGAGGTATAAGGAGGGGTTAGGGAGGAGCACGGCGAATCTTGGAGGTGGTGTTCATAATTGAATTTGATGATCAGGATAGTGTAAGATCCTACTGAGAGTGCTATCGAGCCTAGTTTGGCTGGTCAGCCTCTTCTGGTACAAGTAGTCGAGCAAGAGGGAAAATACAACAAGATCAGAGGCAGTCTATCTTCACATCAGAGTACATTCCAATCATTACATGTATCAGTACGGATATACCTTACTCACAGTCGCTAGGCTGTCATGCCAGTCTCAATTGGGAAGTGGCTTGTTTGCCTCAGGCGTCGAATCTGCGAGAAGCACTGAGTCAGCGGCAAAGCTGCCGGACAAGATGCAGAGAGGATCACAAGTCTCATCCTCATCTTGAACATCTGCAACACCTTCTCCTGCCTCACCCAGATAATCAACACCGCAAGCAAACATGGCCAACTACCTCGCCTCAATCTTCGGCACGGAACAAGACAAAGTCAACTGCTCCTTCTACTACAAAATCGGCGCCTGCCGCCACGGCGACCGCTGCTCGCGCAAACACGTCAAACCCTCCTACTCCCAAACCATCCTCCTTCCCAACCTCTACCAAAACCCAGCCTACGACACTCGTGCCCGCTCCATGGACGCTTCGCAACTACAAAACCACTTCGACGCGTTCTACGAAGACATCTGGTGCGAGATGAACAAGTACGGCGAACTGGAGGAGCTAGTCGTGTGCGACAATAACAATGATCATCTCATCGGGAATGTGTATGCGCGGTTCAAGTACGAGGAGAGTGCGCAGGCGGCGAGTGAGGCGCTGAATTCCCGGTGGTATGCAGGGAGGCCAATATACTGCGAGCTCAGTCCTGTGACGGATTTCAGGGAGGCTTGTTGTAGGTTGAACAGTGGGGAGGGGTGCGTGAGAGGGGGGTTCTGCAACTTCATTCATCGAAAGGAGCCGAGTGAGGAGATGGACCGGTCGCTGGAGCTGGCGACGAAAAAGTGGTTGAGGGCGAGAGGCAGGGATGCGAAGAGCATGAGTAGGAGTCCCAGTCCGGTGCCGGCCAACCCGAGATTCTGAGGGAACGTCTGAGGGCAGAATGGATCTGAGGCATCGAACAAGCTATGCGCGGGGTTTTGCGCATCGAGCAAGGACGGCATGATGGAGTGAGCAGCGTGCAAGCCGAGAGCTTCGCCACGTGCCATCTCGGGGCAACGTGCATTGCACATTGTGGACAGAAGTTAACGTCTGAATGTATAGAGAGAGAAAGCGCGCCAAGACTGCAGCGCTAGATGGTGGAGGGCACACGTAGGGTGCGTTCTGTACGTCGCTACTAGCATGCCATCAGAGGCTGACACGAGTAACCCAGAAAGCAACATATCTTATCCAAACGCGACCTTACTGTCTAGCAGTCATCTCACTCAATGCAGGAGCTTAGTCATGCATATCGACTTCTATGCATGGCAAGGATCCGGTAGCCATCAAGGTGGCAGAACACATCCCACAGACCCTTCGTCTGGCATTTTGCGACTCCACGCGCATATTCCACACAGCCATTTCCGTACGCAGAGACAGTCACCCTTCCCAGCCAACCACAATGTCCCACGAAAACGTCTACCACTCCCGCCCGCGCAATTACGGCAAAGGCTCGCGAAACTGGTATGATCCGCTCCTTTCCCACACATCGTCCCAGCATCAAAGAGCAGACTACTAACAGTTCGCTCTACTACAGCGTCGTCACCGGCGAAAAGAAGCGCGCCGGTCTCATTCGCAAGTACGGCCTCAATATGAGTCGTCAGGCGTTCCGGGAGAAGGCGGCGGATATTGGGTTTGTTAAGGTACGCATATGGTGTATTGCGGGGGGGCCATCTAAGGATTGGTGGGATCTTGCTGACCGGGTGTAGTATCGCTGAGTGCCACAAAGGCCGGAGCGAGAATGGTCAGAATGGTCAAAATGGTCAAAATAAGCAGTATGTTGGGTTGGACCAGTATGGAGTGTGATGTGGTTACAGAAGGCGCCGCCGCAGCAGCTCAACATACAGCATGTATATCATGTCATGGTTAATTACATTACCGTACCAGCAGTCTCTTCCTTTGCGTGGCGACATCGCAGCCGCTCGTTCGTCCAGTTGACGAACACGTTTGCTCCCTTCGTAGATGGCGCCCGCATCTTTTATCAGCGCACGACCAGCGGTTCTCTCTATTACCGCAACTTTCCAATTCCTCAACCATCGGTCCTAGTCCCATTCGTCTGCGGCGTCGACGTCGACAATGCAGTCACAGGTTCGCCTCCAAGATGCAGCCCATTAAGCACGCCACTTTTCAGCAGCCAAATAATAACCGCTACAATGGCAGCGATGATTATGAGGAAAGCGAGCCAGAAAAGCGGACAGATCCAGCGTCGGCGCGCGGTTTTGCGTTGTTGTCGTTCCAGCCATGAGTCGCTGCCGTCAAACAAACATTAGCGAAGTCGATGAGGGAGGGGGAATCGGAGAGGGGTGTAAGTACCTATGCTTCAACTCCGGCCTTTTCTGCTCGTCTAGATGTACGGCCGTGGAAAAGCGTTTCCAGAAGGCTGGGTCGCGGACGGCTGCCATTGCTTTCTTTCGATACAAAGCGTATGTTGATTGCCCGACTTGTAGTTGGATTCACAGCCTTGCGCCCTGGTACGGTAATTGTTCTCGGTTTGCTTGAGTTTCTGTGTGATCGAGGTGGGCTTGTTATAGGGGATCAACACATTGCAATCCAAAGTGGCAGGCTTCGAGAAGGTCGGGGTAGGAATGCAGGCGAGGGTTGACGATGTTTGGAAATCGTGGGATGAAAGAGTGACTCGGGTAAGAAAGTAGGGAAACAGTAACGACCGGCAGAATCAACAGCAGTGAGGGAGTGACGGGACGGTTTGTGAAAAGAAGAGATGTGACTTTAGTGATGAGCAGTAAAGCTATTGAAGTTGCAGTAGCCGTTGGTGGACTGCGAACAAGCTAGAACGCTCGTACCACGCGCCTCCATACCGGAGATGAAGCCTTTGCCGCAATACCACCCAGCCCCCGACGGCGGCAACGGGCCATCGTCAGTGCTTGTGCTGGTAACTTTTGCGCGATCTCGAGGCGGATGAGCCGCGTAACGGCGCCTACGATTCGGTCGTCTGGATTGGCCTTTTACGGATCAGGGTTGAGGTTCACCGTTGGTCTGCAGTATAGAATTTGTGAACGACAGCGTCTGACTGCTTCAGCATGAGCGGATCGAGATGAACGGTGCACATGGGCTCTGATATGAACGTGGGTCGCATAAGGGGCGATTTGTTTGATCTTCATGATGTGTGGCTAGGAGGAAATGGAAGGTGCGGCTGTGCGGAGATTGGCGCGGATTGGCTTCTGCGGAGCCGTGACGGCTCGTGCACTTCCTTCCAGACCTTCTGCCACCATTGCAACACTGCTACAGTGCATCTTAGCAACGCACAACTCTCAATTCCACACAGCAGCATAAGGTCTGATATCATGTCGAAAAGGGCAGAGATTGAGAGCATGGAAGTAAACCTATCCGTCGGAGACGGTCGTAAATATAATGATCATACATTGCTTAGCTGTCGAGATACATACTTTAAGCGTTGGAGACATACATTTTTTTCGCACGTCATTAATCTAGAGTTATGTACATTATTCTCATCCAACATTACTTTTCATAGCTCGTAGTGCTACTCTACGAGGTAGGAGCACGGCCGTTGTAGTCGTGACCGGGCGCAGCCGTGTAGTTGGCAAAGCAGTCGTAGTTGAAGTTGATCTGGTTGGCGCGGTTCGTGAGCGCAGAGATCATGGTGTTGAAGGGGCAAAGTCCGTCAGGGTCGACTGGGCAGCCTGGGTGCGAATCCGAAACTGGGATGACAGCATCATTGACGATGAAGCGGATCTGCTTGGTCTGATTTCTTGCCGGACAGCTCAGAACCTGAGTGGTGAAGTGTGTGGCGAATGGGACAAGCTTGCTGGCGACGAAGGTGTTGGTGCCCTCGTTGCCGACAGTGTAGTTAAGAGGAGGGCCGTTGAACAGCGCGGTGAAGTTGAAGGCGGTGAGGGCGTCGAGCACGACGACTTCGTGGGTGGCGTCGGCGTAGATGGACTGGTTGAGGGGGAAGTAGGTCGTGGAGTTGTCGAAGGTCTCGTTCAGGGCAGAGTTCGCCGGCGGGATGGTGTGGTTGAAGCGGGCAAGCCACTCCTCCAAGAAGCCCTTACCCTGCGCGGCAGAGACTGGGGAGCCGGGGCCGTTGTTGTAGTAGAAGGACTGCGTCGCTATTAGAACCAAACTTGGCGCGATGAGAGTGAAATTTGGATAAACTTACCAAATCAAAGTAGTACTCGTAGTTGAGGAAGTCATCAACTGTGAAGAGAGGGCAGAAAGCAGAGTAGCCAAGAGCGTCAGTCTCGTAAGAGCAAAGCTGAAGCATGGCGATAGCGTCGGTGGGGGTGAAGGTAAGGTTGCCAGTCACCTAGAGATCAATGGTCAGCGTTAAGTATTCGAAGAATGCGTGAGCCGTAGCAGGCACTCACCTCGGAGTTCAACCGCGCAAGCGTGGCGTTGAATGCATTGTTGGCAAACAGGGCGGCGACGGTGCTGCCAATGCTGCCACGGCTGGCAACGTTGGAGTTGTTGCAGACCTCGTACGGGGCACCGGAGTTGTTGACACCTGGAGTCTCAACCAGGATTTCAATGTTGACCTGGCTCAAGTACTCAGGGACACCAAAGAAGCCTGCGGCGAAGTTCTCGGCGGTCTTAACCATGCGATCCTGGGACTGCGTGCGGAAGACTGGGATGGCACCCTGAGTGGTGAAATTGTTGAGGAGCTCACCATAGAGCTGGCGGTACTCGACACCAAGGTTGAAGTTCTGGGCACGGCCGAATGGAGTGAGAAGCTCGGCACCGAGCTTGTAGGTCCAGTTGGCCAAGAAGGAGAGCTCGCCAGTCACGTTAAAGCCAACACGGGCGGCGTTCGCGACCTTGGTGGCAAAGGTGGACGGTGCAGCACCGCTTGTGGGGTAACGAGCACCATGGCGGTACAGGAGGAGCAGCTGGGTGATCGTGCAACCTGATGGGATCAAAGGGCTGGCATTGGGAAGGCCGTAGTCGGCAGACGAGACCGAGTACCACGGACTGAGGTTACCCCAGTATCTGGTGATGTCGAAGTTGTCACCGAAGGTGGAAACGCCATGAGGCTGAGGAGCGACCAGCGGGAAAGACTTGGCTGGGCCGTTGTTGTATGGGTAGGCCGGAGCAGTCTGGGCTGCAGCAGCCTCTAGACCAGTCGGGGTTGGGCCTGGGAAGCCAACAACAGGCTCGCTTGGGAACAGGCTCGGGTTGGCGCTCGCTATACGTTGTTACTATCGTGTAGCTTGTAGTCGCCCAACGTTTGCAACTCACTGCTTGATGGCGGGTAGACGTCGGAGACGGCGGAGCCAGCAATCCTGGAGGCGGAGACGGTGATGGCTGCCGCAGAGGTGGCATCGACCATCAAGGCCAAGGCGGCGACCTTGGCAAGAGAAGAAAGCATCTTGACGGATTTGGCGCGAGGAACTGGTGTAGACAAGAAGAGGCTTCGAAGCTTCAGAATTCTTGGGCGCGTCAAGCTCTATGTACCCAGCATTGGCAGAAGCATTCGCGCCAGGCACAACGAGCCATGCTCGTCGGGTAGCCTATCAAAAGCACACGCGCAGACATGTGTCTCGGCGGACCTACAGTAGCATGCACAAGTCGCTTGGTGCGTCGATCAAAGCGGAAGAGACTATGACAGAGTTGGAGACTCACTTTCTTTTGGAAAGGCTCCACCCACGTCATCCACCACCCATTACCTGACCTTAGCTCAACACGTGGGAGCGTGGTAAGTAAGCATGCTCAAGCGCATCGCCGCTTCTCACCATCAAGCAGCACAAGCCTGCGGCGTCGAAACAAGTGCTCTCAATACTCATGACCCACATCGTGGGCATTGCGGCTCAGTGTGGCTGCATTACTTCGGTCAATCTTGCCCTCGTAGCCGGTGAATAAATGGGCACGATGGGCTATGGCAGCGAGGCTGAATCGGTGTATGAGCTTGGCGTTTCCACCAAGGTCTAAGACACCCATCATTCTCGCCAACTCGATTTCCCGTTGCACTGGTGTTTAAACACTCGACCTGATCAACACGCTTTGACGTAGAGTCTTTCTTACACAGGTCAGATCGCTGTATTACATCCGCGCTGCATCCCACAATCCATATGCTCAGGCTATCTTGAGAGAAGCACCTCCGCATATTGAGCACCACAAGCTTTCCAAGGCTCTTGTGAGGGCTTGCCAAATTGCTTGTCGTTCGCTAGGCATTACTAAGTTTCAAGCATGGCAACCTCCTCCACGAGATAGCCGTTGCTCAGTGTCTTGAAGGAGGAAAGAGACGGGAGTCGCTAACTTATTTGAGATCATATGGGTGTGGAATGAGGTCCAAGCACTTCTACAACGGTGACCAAACAGCGTAGCATACAATCATGATCTCCGTGTTTAGCCCGAAACGCCTTGCCAGCTCATCACGCTTACCTAAAAGCATAGCTTACACCATCGGTCTAGGGTGAACCGGCTGCTGATTTTGTATCCCGCTGGCCTGGCTCTCATACGGCCTCAGAGGCACACCCTCGGACTCTCCAGGTCCATAGCTCGCTTGCCTTTCGTACGGCTGTCTCCCATACGCCGGCGGAGCCTGCGAGTAAGGGCTCAATCCAGACGTACCACCGGCCGGCCCACCACCCGGTCCATATTGCGGATACTGATATCCTTCCGGACCGGGTGGCATGCCACCCACGGGACCCATGGGTACACCTTCCGCCTGCTGTTGCTGCTGTTGCTGCCGTCTCTTATTGCGGCCACGACAGCAAATCTGCGCCGAAAAGCGTACAAGAAGCCAGAGGATGGCAACCATTAGTAGTATGACAAGGTAGGGAAGGCAGAGACGTGGGTTCTGTGCCAGCACGAAGCCGAGCGGTGCGTTGATGATGCCTAGGAAGATGATGGCGGGCCCGAGGTAGCGGTGAATCTTGCCGAATGTAGTGGGTTGTTGCGTCTTCTTGTAGATGCGGTGGTTGACTATTCCCAAGCCTAGTTGAAAAATCAAGCCGAGAAAGCAGAGGATACCGAAGATCTGGTGCGCGGTAGCAAAGTTTTTGCTCCGGTTGTACTCTGCGCTTATGATGATTCCACCCGCGGTCGCGCAAATGACGAGGAAGAGACCAATGCCTTGGATCACGGCGTGCATGATCACGCGTCGTAAGGCGCGTACAATGAGCGAGCCGAGGGGGAAGATGATGACGAAACTGAAGCACATGATGAAGCCGTGAATGGCGGGTGCTGGGTCATTGTCACCCGACAGGAAGCCGTCAGAGGCGTTGCTGGTGGTGTAAGTGTCGTTGCCGCCGTTAGGACGCGGCACGCCGGCGGTGCTGGAGTCCTTCGAGACGGCTTTTGAGAGGTCCATGGTGAACCCGCCATACGCGTCGTGACGGCGGAGATCTGCGGTAAGGGAGTCCGAGTGCAGATTCATACCACCTGTTGAGCCCGGGCCTACCGCGAAGATGAAGTCCTGCGAAGTAGTGCTCAGAGCGCCAGCGGGCCACTGCGTGATGTTGCTGCACACAGCATTTACAATAATACTGCCAAAGTCACCCCCGTAGCCGTAGCTTTGCACAGTGTTCCCATCTAACAGATCTGAATCCCACAGGAGCTTGCAGCTCGCATCGCTGTAGTAGCTCGGCTCGCTATGTGCGCTCGCCGTCCTCGGGCTCACCGTCACGCCCGTGCCATTCTCGCTCGCGTAAGCAACGAGCATAAGCGCCCCTTTCATCTGGTTGCCGAAGCCAACGCCCACCCAGGAGTTACCGGCGGGTGCAGAAAGGTGGAAGTAGACATCCTTTTTCGACTGGTCGATGTTGATCGCAAAGGTGAAAGATTGCCCGTCGACGCTCGAGGTGTAGGTGTAGATGGAGGAGGGGATGGTGGAGTTGGCGGCGATGGTGAGGTTGAGGAGGGCGATGAGCGGGAGCAGAATGCTCCATACGCTAGACATCGTTGCCGTTGTCCTTGCTCGCTGCCTCTAAGGGATTGTTCGCAGTGTCGAAAGCGCTCGAGTGTCAAGTAAGCGCAGGGCTATTGTAAGGAGCCTCCTTTCTTGGGCCACTCCGTCCCCTGATCGTTCACGAGGCTTCGTTATCCCACCAAGATGTACCGCAGCAGTACCGCAAGATGAAAGCGACGCAACATAGAATAGTTAACCTACCTGTCCCAATGCTTACTTGACTACTGTCTCCACGCGGCTGGAATGTTTCCGCGTGACTGTTGGTGAGCTGTGTTTCACGCATGCCAGAAATAGGGATAAGCGCTGTCACCGCTGTGGTCGACGACAGCCACAAGCGCTTGCCAAGGCCAATGGCTGCTCAAAGCGCTCCCGCCTGCACTCAACATTATCGCACGTTGCATGGCAGAATGTGTGTAGTACGAGCGTGTACGTGATGCCGATGGCTATAATATTCGATGGAGAGTACGAATCTTGTTTACGAGGTGCCAGTGGAGCTATGAGCTCTTATTCAGAAGACACAACAGTCCGAAGCATTTGCCCTTCCTCTTGATGGAGTATGTTGCCTACTTCGCTACACATTGCGTCCGCCTCGCGGTAGAATATGGACAGTCATAGATGTGGACTCAAGCCTTCTAATTAGACGAGCTAATACTCGCGAATCCGTCCACCGCCATTAGCCCCGTGAGAAAGACCTGCTGGGCACTCTGTGCAAATAATAGAACGGCGAAGCAGGCTGGCTTAATCTTCCGTGTGATGGGTCGTTAGTTGGAGATGCTCTGTCCAACCATCCAGGCGGACGTTGCGATTTGGTGGATGGTGAGAACAACCCTGGTCTTCATCCGCTCGTTGCGCTCTCTGGACGTCCAAACCTCGGAGGTATCTATCCGGACAGCCATGCGGACGCTGAGCTCCCGCATTTGGCCCGCTATGACTTATGTGAACATTACTGTAAGCAGAGGGGCGTGGGTATGTGTAATGCCCAGATGAAGGACGCGTGCCACCCGGCGAAGGTGAATGACGCCTGGGCGGTGAAGTCCAGCCTGGTGTTGGTGAGCAATGATGACAGCACTTCGCCTTCAGTTTCTGCGTCTCTGCCCCTTGCTACAAACTTTCTTCAAGATTCCCTCTCTCAGGTCCCCCTCAATTCCGACTCCATGGTTTCCCCTACTACCGCCTTCATGTCCTCCAACTTGGTGTTCAGCTCCTCCCTCAATTGCGCTCTCTCTGCGGCTTGACATCGGTCGCATGCGCCATAGTGAAAGTGGGTTACCAATTCCAGGTTCTTGCCTTGGGTTTTTCCTGAACACTTAGAATAGCAGTAGTCGAAGAAGACGGAGGTTCGGGCCGCCGGGCAGTCGCAGCTGCGGTGGACTGTGATCTTCTGGCATGTGGCAGTATTCGAATAATGATGTGAAAATCCGCTGTGAAAGGTAGGATATTCCGATCATGATGATGGTGAGTGCTGAGTTGTGGTGTATTGATGCAGGCGCTGCAGAGAAGATCAGGAAGCCGTACTGTTTTGTGCTTTGTGCTACACAACAGAGGGACAGTGACGTGGATGTAATGCACGCTGCCATAGCCAGTCGATGGTGGCATTCGCCAAGCACGGCTCTCCCATCACCGACGTTGACCGCACGACGTGCTGTGGCAGCATGACACCGTGCTGTCTCCAGTTCCGATGTTGAATTTCGTGCACAGTCAAGGTTAGGAGACCGCTTCCATCAGCTTTCGCACCGAACGCTCACCCGACTTTCGCCTCCAGCACCCGCTTCCCATGCTGCCTCACTACCTCGTCCAGAATGCCTCTAATCTGCCCACATCCATCCAGCCCCACGCTCACCATGGCCTCCAATCTCGCCATCTGCACCTTCGTCTCCATCATCAACACACACACCTTCCCTTCCTCTCCACTTGTTGCAATGCTCAGGAACGGCAACTCCTGCTCCTCGAGTCCATTGAGGTCCAGCAGCGGGTCCGAGTCGTCAATACTCTGATCGCTGGAGGGTGAAGAAGCGACAGTGCAGGCCGCAATATAGTCCGTCATGGGTATGCCGGCATCGATAAGCGCAAGCGTTGCAGCGTTGAGGCACGCGGCAAGCAGTGAGCCGTCTTGCGACAACACATGCAACCGCACCTCGACCACACTGTGCGGGTACAGATGCCCCAACACCACTCCCTGAAACGCCCTCGCGACGGTAAGTTGCAGCTCCTGCACCCGCTTCTCACCTTTCGCCCTCCTCTTCCGGTCCGTACCCGAGAAAGGCGTCACATTCACCTCAACCTCTATCTTCGCTTCGCTCGATCCGTCTCGTCCGGTTCGGCGCACTGGTTCTTGCGGGCCGGAGACAGTGGCGAGTATCTTAGTGTTGCCTTGTTCGAGGTAGGCGGAGCCGTCGGAGGAGGATTGAACGGAGAGGGAGGCGTGCAAGCGGCGGAGCTCGTTCCAACGGCGGCCGTCCAGGCGGAGGTGGGCGAGGGCGTAGGTGGAGGTGTCGAGGGGCATATTGTGTGAGAGTTCGGGGGGGGGTTTGCCGTAACGATGGATGGTCAGGAATTGAGCAGATCTGCGATGGCGGGGCGGGTTTGAGTGCTTGCAGATCCGGCGCGCTCAGAGTTTGCCCCACTTTGACACGATTGAGGTCATTCACATTAACATCTGCCGTATGAAGCGTACCTGGGACTTGACACCATGTCCGGAAGCCGTCCTCCAAAACAACGCTTAGCGTCCGTCGTAACTGCAAACTCGAGAGAGGAATCCGACCTACAGCTATGGCGAACGGCGACAGCGAAGGCGACACCGACGATTTGGATATGGTGCCTCGCCAGCGATTCAATGGACATGTGAGCTTGGATGACCCCAATAACAGCGTTGACGACGAGGCAGAGGATGTGGTTGAAGTATCTTCTGACGAGGTCGATGACTTCGACGGACAGCCTCCGCTCAAACGCAAGCGAGGCACACGCATCGCCTTCAACAATGGCGAGGACTCCGATGCGGCTTACCAGAACTTCAAAGACCGCAAGTCAAAGCAGCGTAAGGTGGCACGCGCGAGCACGCGCAGAGCTAAAGCGAGCGCGAAGAATGCTTCCATCGTTGGCCTCAAACCCAAGACGGTTGTGAAACTGAAGAGTCGTGGCGACAAGGCTTACGGCGAAGAAAATGATGAGGGTAAAATGCTCATGGAAACCACGCTGCCCGACTATCTTCGCAAACGCCGCAGCAGCTGGGATCGGCGACGTTCGCAATTGAAAGGAGCAGCCGGACTGCAATTACCGCCGGAGTACGAAGACGTAGATTTCTCGGACGATGAGCGACTGCAACATCTGCAGGAGCGACCACAGCTACCAAACGACATGGTGCAGCGCGAGTACAAAGACGTCGATTTGCGGTATTCGCTTGGCATCGTACCAGCTCCGATTGCGCAGTACCTTCGACCGTACCAAATCCAGGGCGCAGAGTTCCTGCATGAACTGTTTGTGTACCAGAAAGGTGGCATTCTTGGCGACGACATGGGTCTGGGCAAGACGATCCAAGTCATTGCCTTTTTGACTGCCGCTTTCGGCAAAACGGGTGATGAGCGGGACTACAAGCGCATGCGCAAAGTACGGCGCATGGGTGATGATCGCTGGTATCCTCGTGTACTCATTATCGCACCCGGTGGCCTCATGGCGAACTGGCGAGCCGAGCTCGACCGCTGGGGCTGGTGGCACACCTACACGTTCCACGGTGACAAAAAGGAGAAAGAAGCCGCGCTCGCGGCCGCTCACCATGGCCGACTCGAGATCATGATTACGACCTACGCGAGCTACCGCGGTCATGCTGACAAAATTAACGCCATCCGCTGGGACGCCGTTATCGCAGACGAATGTCACATAATCAAAGAACCGCGCTCCGAAATCACGAAAGCAATGAACGAGGTCAACGCCCTCTGCCGTATCGGCATGACCGGCACCGCCATCCAAAACAAGTACGAAGAACTCTGGACCCTGCTTAACTGGACCAACCCTGGAACCTTCGGGCCCCTCATGACGTGGAAACAGAGCATCTGCCTCCCGCTCAAGATTGGGCAGAGTCACGACGCAACACTTTCCCAACTTGCTCGCGCCCGACGTACTGCCACTAAGCTTGTCCAGAACCTCCTTCCGCAGTTCTTCCTCCGTCGCACGAAAGCGCTGATTGCGGACCAACTGCCGAAGAAGAGTGACCGCGTCGTCTTCTGCCCGTTAACAGAGACGCAAATAGGAGCCTACGACAACTTCTGCGACTCCGAACTCGTGCGCGCCATCAGAGAGTCGCAAGAGCCATGTACTTGTGGCAGCGGCAAGAAGCAAGGCTGGTGCTGCTACGCCGAGATATATGGGTACGGCAACTGGCAGCACTTCGTCTTCCCAGCCATGGTAACGTTACAGAAGCTTGCCAATCACGTTGCACTGCTCATTCCATCCGGCAACGAGCACGACGAGGACAAGCACGACCGGGAGCTGGAGAAGCTCGAGACAGCCTTACCTCATATCTGGAAGGATCTGTATCACAAGAGAGACAATATCATGAACTACGCCAATACTGAATACTGCGGAAAATGGAAGGTCTTGAAGAAGCTGCTCAGACTGTGGTATGAGAACGGCGACAAAGTCCTCGTCTTCTCTCACTCTGTCCGTCTACTGCGCATGCTCGACCTCCTCTTCAAGGCCACAACCACGTACACCGTTTCATACCTCGACGGCTCCATGCCGTATGCCGACCGGCAAGCGGAGGTAGACAATTTCAACGCTGACACCTCGCGCTTTGTCTTCCTCATTTCCACTCGCGCCGGCGGGGTTGGGCTCAACATTACCTCTGCCAACAAAGTGGTAGTCGTCGACCCGAACTGGAACCCTGCCTACGACCTGCAGGCCCAAGACCGCGCATACCGCATCGGCCAGACAAGGGACGTCGAAGTCTTCCGCTTGGTAAGCCAGGGCACGGTGGAGGAAATTGTGTACGCGAGACAGATCTATAAACAGCAGCAGGCCAACATTGGCTACAACGCCAGCGTGGAGCGGCGGTATTTCAAGGGTGTGCAGGATCAGAAGGGAATGAAAGGGGAGATCTTCGGGTTGGCGAACCTGTTTGCACCGGTGAAGGAGAATGTGGTGTTGAGGGAGATTGTCAATAAGACTAACGTTGCCGAGACGCGAGCAGGCGTCGAAATCGCGGGACTCGAGTTTGAGGCTAGTCAGGATGACGGGGTGGGCGGCAGTCCGTTGCTGGATGGTGAGACGAAGGAGGATGCGGCAATCAGCCAGCTCGCGGCTGAGATCATTGACTCCGCAGGCAGCAAGAGGAAGGCGGCCAAGCTAATCGCGAAGCGCAAGGATCCCGTCTCTGCGATTCTGGCGTCCGTAGGCGTGGAGTATACGCATGAGAATGCGGAAGTCATCGGGACGTCGAAGATCGAGACGAAGATCTCCTCTCGTGCTCAGAAGGCGGGCAACGATGTCGACTATGATGGAGACCGCGCTTTTGGGCAAGCATCGCAGTCGCAGCAACCGACAGGACCAGGCGGCAGATCGGGCGCAGGAAACTCTCACGCCGCTGGTGACGGAGGGGTACGATACAAGTACCGTCCGCCGGAAGATGTGAGGAGGAGGCAATTTTGCAGCATGGCGAGGCGGTTTGGGTATGAGGGGACGAAGGGAGTGGAGGAGTTTGCGCTGGTGGTTGAGGGATGGACGCAGGAGGAGCGGAGGCGGTGTTTGGAGAAGTTCTATCGCGGGCGGAGGGAGGAGCTTGAAGGTGACGGAGTGGTGGATTATTGATAATGGCATCGGAAATGGGTCGATTTCGTGTTATCTCTCAACCAAGCGCTGGAAGAGATGGTTTGGCTTGGCGTTGGTGGAGGGTTTGTTTTGAGTGTGCTTTGATTAGATACCATCAAGTCGGATCCACAGGTTGCAACCCTTGCTGCAGCGCACCCAGACTAGCACTTGGTCTTCAGTGTCTCCGATGTCAACAGATAGCAATGTCGTCTCAGCGAGGCAGTTGCAGCATAGGTTATCAATCTGTCACGCACAGTATTCATTGCGGCGCAAGTGTGATAATTCTCAATTGCCAAGCCATCGATTATCGTAGAGCAGCCCTTACCCATTGCCGCGAGGTTGTGCCCACTCGATGTGTTTCCGCTGCGCGAGTTCGTATGGCAAGCAGATATCAGGTCACTCTGCGCTGTCTGCCTCATCTTATGCACAGTCACAGGTTCCAGCTTCAGCTTCAGCTCCCTCCCCATGCTGTACTGCACTGACTCGTGATCGCGGTCGAGTTACGACCACGATGATGAAAATGGCAAGGACGAAGAAGGAGCCGGTGGCGACAGGAACATAGACTACCAAGCGTTGGCGACGTACCTCAGGGCTACAGCATTAAGTCAGTGACCGATGTCAAAGTGAAGGAGAGGCGCTGGTTGGGCGTGAGGCGTACAACAACAACCACAGCCATAGTAGCGTTAGCAGCAACAGTGTAATTGGTAGTACAAAGCAAATTGCAAAAGGTATTGCGCCGACGAGTGCAATGCTGGCGACGAAGCCGTCGAGGATAGAGTGATTGATCTCTCCTTCCGAGGTCTGAGCATCGCTGACTCGTGATACTGCTGGTCTGTCCGGTGATGAGGGGGGTTGTTGCTTGCTTGTCCTAATTGCAAGGACAAGCACTACTATGACGGCAAGAGGCAAGAGCATGCAGAATGTTGCTGGACTACAACTACTGTTCCGGCATATCAGCGGAGACACGGGTATGGGCTCAAGCCGTCGGGGTGAAGTACATCACAATACCAAAGACAACACTGGTGATGAAGACCATCCAGAGAAAGCCGAGGAATAGCACGGTGGCGAACACCATACCAATGCTAATCCAGAAAGTCTTAGAGAATGAAGGTTGGTAGATGTCGCTGTGAGTTTGGAGTGCGGGTTGTGCGCTACGAAGAGTGATCCGTTCTTGTATTGCGGCATCCTGTTCGTTGCTAAAGTTGATGAGCGGCGTTCGCTCAGTAGCTGATTGGGTCATGTACGCCAAGGGGGAGAAAACGGGGAGCGGAATGTTGCCATGTTCTGCAATTCACCTGCGACTACGCAACAAATACTCAGACTCTAAAAGAATTATGTTGGTTGTTCTATGTTGAAGCCTGATGATCAATCCTTCGCGCCATTCGCCAAGACGCTGCTGCTAAAGGCGCGGCAGTAGTGCGCCAAACAGACGGGAGCTCGGGCGCTAACGGATGGCTGCATGGTGAGGTCTGAAGAGTTCTGGGCAGTCAGAGACGAGAATGGCATGAGAAGATCAACCTTACTTTTCACGCCCAGTCTGATAGCATGCTTCCGCTCTAGCTGATACTCCATAGTGCGAAACACATGTTTGCTAGATGCTTGACGTTGTCGTGCTCTTTCGAGTGCTCTGCCCGAAAGGTCACCTTCCGGTCCAACACCGTCGATCACTGCAGAAGTCCATAACTCCCGGGTATGGAGGCTACAAATGACGTGTCATCGGTCCGCGAAAAATTCGAGTACCAGATGCGGAAGCTGAGCCTTAGACTGGGCGCCAGCCGGATATTCGCTGGATGAGCCCGTCAAAGATGAAGCGCAAGGCCACACCTGTTATGGTTACAAGAAGAAGTAGCACGACTCGTGACAGGACTGTTGTGCCATTGGCGGAAGGCGCCGGAATGGACTCTTCGTCGGTTGTGACCTCGCGGCTACTGCTGTGCTCCATCATGGAAGGGTGCTTTAGTACATCACCGGCTGCTATCGCATCGAGATCGCGGCGTGTAGTGGTACCCTCAGGCCATAGATGACTCGGTGGGCAGATGATCCAAACCATGACGGAAGCGACTACAACCAGATGGCCTATTGTAGCTGGCAGTACGGCAGCTGTTATGGGCATCTGTAGCCGATGCCTTGAAAGCCGCCGTTAGCGCTCCATCGCCGACAGATGATGGAACATCAGACGTGAGTACTATGAGACGCACAGTAGATTCTCTAGTTCTGTGAGGGCGACAAGTAAGATGAATAGAAGTCCACCAGTGCAGGTCATAGCAAGGATGGCGACAAAGACATCCGTCACCGGCCGTTTGGGAAATGTTCGCTTCTGTTCAAGCTCATAGGGAAGGTCTTGTTGCTGCTTGCATTGTAGTTTTCGTTCAGTCGAGCGTACGGCAACCCAAGTCGGTTCCATCGCACTTTCCTAAATCGGCGTCCTCTCGAGCGCGTTTTGCGATGTTGACGGACACCGAGCACAGTTCGAACGTTGGACTAGAGCTGACCTCCATTGCGACTACTCGAGTAGCTTAATGCGATCCGTAGTGAGGGCGGAGAAGGTGTTGGTGGCTGGCAGCTGTTTGGCTGACCTAATTCCTTCGAGGCAAAGCGGACCTGGGTCCAGGGGCGCAGCAGGGTGGTTCCGAAAGCAGACGGAATCTTGGACGCTAACGGCTGGCTGCATGACGACGTGGGAAGAGTTGCGAAGAAGACTAAACAAACGCTTAGGCTTCATATTCCTTTCCACCATGATCGCGACTTCGACGGTGGTCGGTACTCAACAGTCACGGGATAGCGAGCGGCTTGAGGGTGATGCACATTCGATGTGTACGACCAACTGACTATGCCAGTAAGATGATTGCGTCAGGATAAGGAAATCATGCTGTCTTACTCATTGCAAGAGCACCGTATCGCCCATTGATGGTCTTTTTGCATTCAGATATTTACACTGACACGAACTCGAAACTATGGCCTCACCAATGTGGGCTTACCGACGACTATGCTGGATCACTTTGTCGTGTTGCACGTTCCCACGTCTATCGCGCCGTGCATATAAGAAGACGGCGGAAAGACTGACCAGAAGAGACATGGAACGCCATACCCACAGAAGTTGCAGCAATCGAGCATTCCTAGGCACAGCACAATCCTTCCGGGCGATCTGAAGATCTGAATCTGAAGCGCCCTGACTGTTGGAAAGGACTTGCAATTCTTGAGGTTTTGCTTATGGCAGATTTGCTAAAACTTCACGCGCAACTGGTCTGCTGCCGCTGTGGCTGTACAGACCGCATGATGTGGTAGGCGCAACGATTCACATGGCTCAACACTCATCCTTGGGCTACCGTACAGTATCCCGTAGTCGCAGGACTTCCTTGCCTCTGATCTTCCACTCCAAATCATCCCAGCATGTCTGACGTGGTCACACCTCTGGTTGAACACAATGCTTCGAACCACAAATCCTAAGCGCTTCGAACACTTTTGGTCCAACACAGCGCACGAGAAGCAGCAGCAGATGGATGCAAAATTCTCCCTTGTTTATACAGTACAGGTCGGCAGAGGTAGCATACTTTGCGTAATTATCTCCCTGCAACCGAGGCGCACTGGGCTCTATCTCCGTGGTCGCAAGCAATGTACAATGTCGTCAGCTCCGAAGATGCCGCTGTCTGACTGCAACGCTCGGGTTCGTGATCATGGCGCCGCTGCTGCGCCATCATACAAGGTGATTCCAGGCGTAGTCAAGTATTTGTAGGCTGTGTTAAGAACACGAGAAGACCGAATCATTGCTGTCGTTTGCTGACTGATGGTCGTGTGAGATCTGGTGAGCATTGGGTGAACTCGAACATGCCCCTCTTCGTCATACGTGGGGCACTGTCACCCCGCGGTCGATATATGACTACCGAAACTGCAACTTTTTCTCGTCGTACATTTTGGCCCTTGCAAAACTGTAGTGAAGAATAGTCTTCATTTTCTCAGCTTCATCTCCAACATCTTCCACATCAAACTCAACAAAACCCGTCAAAACCGCCAAGATGATCGAGATCCCGAAGACAGACTCCTTGAAGGAGATGCTCAACCTCAAGGGCAAGGTCGTCGTGGTCACTGGCGCCTCTGGCCCGAAAGGTATGGGTATTGAGGCGGCTCGCGGTTGTGCTGAGATGGGTGCCGGTACGTTAACTGCTCCTTCATTCGAACGTCAGAACGCTGCTGCTCACACTCGAACATCCAGACGTTGCCATAACCTATGCGTCACGCGCTCAGGGCGGCGAGAAGAACGCGAAGGAGCTCAGCGAGACCTACGGTATCAAGGCGAAGGCCTACAAGTGCCAGGTCGACAAGTACGAATCAGTCGAGACCCTTGTGAAGGACGTTATCAGCGACTTCGGCAAGATCGACGCGTTCATCGCCAACGCTGGTGCAACCGCCGACTCCGGCATCCTTGACGGCACTGTCGAGGCCTGGAACCACGTCATCCAAGTCGACCTCAACGGCACCTTCCACTGCGCCAAGGCCGTTGGCCATCACTTCAAGGAGCGCAAGACCGGCTCTTTCGTCATCACCGCGTCAATGTCCGGTCACATCGCCAACTTCCCGCAAGAGCAGACCTCCTACAACGTGGCCAAGGCCGGCTGCATCCACATGGCTCGCAGCTTGGCCAACGAGTGGCGTGACTTCGCTCGTGTCAACTCCATCTCCCCCGGCTACATCGACACCGGCCTGTCCGACTTCGTAGACCAGGAGACGCAGAAGTTGTGGAAGAGCATGATCCCGATGGGTCGTGACGGCGAGGCGAAGGAGCTCAAAGGCGCCTACGTCTACCTCGTGTCCGACGCCTCCACCTACACCACCGGCTGCGACATCGTCATCGACGGTGGCTACGTCGTCAGGTAAGGAAGTGCTACACCAATAACCAGAGTGCCATGCACAGCAACCAGGCGCATGAGTCAGAAACTCCACGGCAACGTGCAGTCAGTACGAAGCGTCACATATGAAGGATCCAACCCCCGGTGCATGAGAGCTTTACACCGGCAGAAGTTCACTCTTAAGGAATATGTAGGTTAGCTTCGCACAGCATGGTAGTCTTCATGCTACCGAATGCAAATGAAATGAACTTGTAAACGTCACCAGTGACCTGTGCCTTCTTGACTACTATCGTGTAGGACTGTGTGTCGTACATTCCTCGTTATCTGTATTGCGCTACGGTCGTGGTGTTACAGGGGGCTATGCTCATACATTGATCGTTCGATTCAGTCCTCCAGCAGCCCAATCGCGCCATCAACTCTCGCCTCAATGATGTCGACCCACTTCCGTACAGCTGTTATGTTCCCCGATTGAAGACCTTCCGTAATGCCAGGATACAGCGCTCCAGCATACCCAGTCCAGAAGCCCGGCGCAAACACAACGTGCTTGAACCACGTTCTACCGTCAAGTCCCGGACTGTATAAGAACTGCCTTTCAAGGAGTTTGTACTTGGTGTTAGCCTTACGCACAGACTTGTACAGATCAGCGGCTGTCACGGTTTCCGTGTCATTTGTATGAATAGCCACGAGCTCACGGAGCTCAGCGGCATGTGCGTCAAAATTCACTGCGGCTTCGCGGAAGGAGTGCAAGGCCGTCTCCAGGCTGCTGAAAAGGTTGTCTTCATGTGCGGCGGAAGCGGTCTGATTGGCTTGCTCTTTGGCGTGGTTGAGATAGCTCGTAAGGGCGACCGCGTAATCGGTAGCGCCAAATCCGATCACTGGTTCTTCTACCAGCTTCACAAGAAGGAGGCCGAGTATCTTTGCCATGGCGACATGGTAGTGAAACCCGGGATCACCGTAGGTCTCCATCCAGTGGAATGAATCGTAGTTGCTGTGATAGTGATACACCGGGTCCGTTGGTGCCGTACCGAATTGCATTTCGAGCGAGGCTATACCGACAAAGTCTTGGAACGCGGTGAAGTCGCTGCCGGAGCCCATGGTACCAATGCGGCCATCCCATAGATCCCCCACCGTCTGGTTTGCCAAAGTCTGGTTAGGTGACTGCACGAGAGAAGTTGCCTCGACGATCAGCTTGTGAAGTAGCGGAGCTGCGCTGACCTCAAAGTTCGTGCCTTGTGCGCCAGTGTCAACGTTGAGGTAGGCAATGGTTGCATGGCTGAGCCACGGTACGTATTCTTCCACCCACTCGGTCGAGCCCAGGATGGCGTACTCCTCGCCGTCCCAGCTAGCAAAGACAATGGTGCGGAGCGGCTTCCAGCCTGCATCGAGGGCTACTTTGAACGAGCGGATAATCTCCATAAGGGTAGCGGAGCCGCTGTTGGGGTCCGCCGCGCCACCCACGATCCAAGCGTCTCGGTGATTCCCAATCACAACAACTTCATCCAAGATAGACCCGTTGATCACGCCGATGACGTTCCAGATGGGTGTCGTGGTGTAATTCTGCTTGTTCATGAGGTTCAACTGCACGTGGTCAGGCGATGGGCCTATGCTGTAGGCAACGCCCTTATAGCCGAGGCCACCAGTGTGCCATTTGGCGGAGAAGGATGATGCATTCGGCCCATGTCCGTTCAGAGCTTTCAGTAACGGGAGCGCTTCAGCGTATGACAGCGGTGTTGATGGTATGTCGGGCATTCTGCCCTCCGTAGACTCGCGTGGCGCACCAGGAAGTGACGGGTAGCCATGAGTGGTTGGATCGCCTGGAGCGGAGCTCAAGTACACAACGCTGCCTCTCTGCACACTGCTTGGATTACGTGCTGGGCCTTCCGGATATGGCTTGTAGCCATGCTCTTCCGTGATTTCACCGTCATCGCCAGGATCGGTGTATATCACTACGCCCGCCATGCCCAGCTCGCTCGCACGCTCAATCTTCAGACCACGGAAGAGGCCGCCGTATCTCATAAGGGCAATCTTGCCTTTCAAACTTATGTTGGCTGCGAGAAGTTCGTTGAAATCGTCGAACGAACCGTAGTTGCAGTATACATATGACGCTGTGACGTCGCCCGAAGCAGAGTAACCATGAAACACCGGCACGCCATCTGGAGAGCCTGATGTCGGATCTTGTGGAAGACAGTCTTCTGTCAGCGTGGCTTCGAACTCAACCTTGCCATCTTGCAGCAGCGCTAATCGATGATCAAGCGGGTAGTTGAGATAGACTTCGTAGCTAACGATGCTGCTGTTGAGGCCAAACTCTTCCCATCGGTCTCGGGTCCATTCTGCCTGGCTGCGATTCCGACCTGCAAGATGCATGCCAGACGTATGGTATCTGCTCCATTCCCGGGCTTTTGCTGGGTCTGGCGTCTTCTGAATGATATCTATAAGCTCTGCATAGCTAATGCCGTCGCTTGCTGGCCATCCTGCGTGCGGCAAATGTGCATCTGCAGCGTTTCCGGTAAGGACGCTCTGTGGTCCTGATGCTTCGGTCTGATGATCGCCAAATATGTCGCTTTGACCAGCAATAGCAATGCAGAGGAAGATGATGGCAAGGGTGAGGAGCGGGATGGTTATCAGTGCGATCGTGCAGAAGCGTCGCACCTGTGCTCAATTAGGTTGCTTCTGGGCTTCATCTTGAGCACGTGCGTACAGTCTGATGCGGATATTGGACTCTTGGCCGCTCTTCAACCGGCACCCGCTGCAGTAATGGCGTTCTTTCGCTTTGTTGCTGCTCATCTGGGTTCATGACGGCTTTCTCGTTCATGCCGTGTACCTTCGCGTCCGCTCAGCGCGGCTTTCTTCACCCTGCAGGTACCGCATATGAGACCGTCTTGTGCCAAGCGGTCCATGATGGGGAAACGCAAGATGATGCCGCTCATTGCATGTCAATGCGACCGACCTGCCGTTTCGAGCTTGCCCGAGAAGGCCCGAAGTCCGGCCAAGGGGGTCGATGGGGCCAAGAGTTTGTGGAGAGCTCCGCTGCCGTCTGAACCTCACATCGCGCACATTCCCAAGCCTGTAGCTTTCCCATAGTACGTGGTGGTCTGCGTACATCGCTTATGTGCTTGTGGTGCACTGAGGAGTACAAAGAAGAACTTCTTAACCTTCTTCGCCCTCTTCAAATTCAGAGTGTCCCACCATGTCTTCTGCTTGTCCGACTGCGTCTCTCGCACTTCACCTCGCTGGCCCGGAAAGCAAAAGAGCAGCAGCGCAGGATCTGGATCCTCTTGGGTCTCAATGAATTTTCGTCTCCACGCCTTGCTCGAACCGATCCAGGCTTGACAATCCAGTCCAGCTCTGAGGAAACGAATGGCGCTAGGACGGTCGCGAGCTTCATCCATGCTTCGCCATGTCCCATCTTGCCTAGTTGAGCTTCCCGGACCGGCTGGCAAGCTTTGCGTTGAGCCCTGTCGCTTGGAGACGAGCCTGGACAGACTAGCAACTCAAATACGGCGTGGGCCATCTCATGGAGCATCGTACAGACAACCGACTGGACAATGCTGTCTTGCCCAGCGTCAAGCGGTCGAGCTACTCTGATTCTGATCATTTTTCGACCTTTTCTCCACTGAGCGGTATGGCCGAGATGGTCAATCTCCTCTGGCCACTCAATATCCCGGTCGGATAGAAGGCCATCGAAGAAGATGGTGCTTGCGTGCTTGGTCAAACCGCCCATGCCGACCTCATAGACCTGCTGTGAGTTCCCAAAATTACATCTGCCGAGCTGGAGTAGCTCACGATTAACTGCCTCCAGGGCGCGTTGCTTCAGTCGCCTAGAGTGACTTTGGCCATTGCTCAACCTCAGCTAGGGCTTGCAGAGGCGTTGGCTTGTGCTGTGAAGCCACGTCGACGTATTACGTTGCTGAAGGGGGCGCGTTCCAGCTCGTATATGCAGTTACGGAGTCGGAGGTCTGGCGATCGAAACAAGAGCGAGTTGAGACTCCTGCTACACTCTGAGAGAGCGAAGAAAACCTCACAGGCACAATGCTCTCGAATGTCACGGAGTAGTGGCTTTGATCTCGTTCAAAGACTGCGATAAGTCATGTGGTTGTTACTATTGCTCGCACCAAGCTCGGAAGCTACTAAACGACCGGAGAGGGGCTCCTTGCATTACTGGGGTAAGGCAGCAGTCCCGGCGTATGTTCGGCAGACAAGATAATCAGTATATAGTAAGTGATTGATCGCTTGACGACTGCCGCCCCTGGGTCCGGCGAGGCCTTGGGGCGGCTCTGAACTTGGTACTACACTTCGCTAACTTATTCTATATCTTAGGGAGAGAGAGTGTCCTCAATGTTCAATATTGAGACATGATCGCTGACTGTACCAGAACAAAGTAAACATTCCTTCGGGTCTAAGTTTCTCTACCGCCAAGCGGGTTTCTTTTGCGTTTCAAATCTTAGGTCTCAAGCAGCCCTCGCTGCTTATTCTAATGTACAGCTATGTAGCTTGGTAAGACCCCCATTATGATGCTTTGTATCTGGACCAAACCTCTTCTTAAACTGCGTATCTATCACTCTGCAGCAGTATAGGACGGGAAATACGTTGAGCAGCCTCGGTGCTCCCTATCATGCTGCAACACGCCTACCACATTTACTGTTTGATTGACAGAACGCAAAACTATAGGCATCTTTTAGCCTATATGTGATAACACGAGGGGAGGATTTTTAGACAGCTGTGACAGGCTTGCTCTGGGGCGCTTGTTATTGATTCGACTCTGCGTTCCACTTGAGACGCAGGAACATGACGGATCGTTGCATCCTTCTACAACATGGCGGCCTACGGGGACGCGACTTATAATGCGCCGAGGAGTTCATCACGAGCAGGACTGATTGGTATCCAGCTAACCACACTACTTTCTTTGTTCCAACAAGCAGCTGACCTACGATAAAACAAAACGACATCCGTAGGAACCCTCGGGGCTGGAACTTGCGTGCGATCATTGTCATTGCATGCTGACATGCTTTGGATATTTCAGCGATCTGTTGCAGTGGACGCGTTGATCGGGTGGCTTATGAGCGTCGTCAGCTCTGAATGAGTACTGTAGATGGAGCCCTCTTCCTGGCAATGACATGGCCTTATGGCGTCCTCGCCAGCATGGTAAGACAAACAGCATGCATGTATGGATCGCAGGCAAACACCGCTTCAGCTATTACGCAGCCTTGCTCGTTGAACCTCCCCGAAGTATGACACCTGTCCATCTGCGCCTACGATCTCGAAATTGACCCCTCTCTCTCTCTTCCATGTATAGAAGGTCCAGGTACTCTTCCCGCTCCACTCGATACTGGCGCATCGCACAGACGTTTGCGGGTCTTGTAGCATGACCGCACTGCTTGTGCTGCATGACCCCTGTGGACCAGATTCCTGTCTTCGCGGAGCTCCCTCACCTTCGGCCATATAGTCCGGTCGTTCCTGCTCTGAAACGGGAATGCATAATCCTCAGCAACCCGACTCTGGATTTCTTCTATGAGGTCGTTGCAGAACTGATTGAGTAGGTAGCATAGACCGACGCGACGCACCCTAAGGGCGCAGGCTGCTTATGCGTACTGCCCGTACATGAAGATGGGCACAGCAAACCACGCATCAGATGGTTGGAAGTCCGTTTATGCATTTGAGCACATGTCCCTAATTGGGGAGGATTGACATTCGGGTTGCTGCTCGATCCGGAGCACACTTGGAGATCACTAACAAGAAATTGTAGCTAGTTACACAATTGAGGCGGGAGTATAGACGGCGGTGGTAATGGTGCATCGAGTGGTGGAGGTCCGGTCAAGGGGATCTCGCGGATGTCCAGACCACGACTATGATCAAATGGTGGTATTGACTAGCGGCTGAAATCTTGTTCGTCAAGTTCTACGATCAGGTCCGGCTGCATTTGAGCAAGATATTCAGGATCGTAGGAGCCCATGGCGCTCACTTGTTGTGTCTGGATGTTTCACCAGCTGAGGGGCGCATCGGAGCGATAAGTCCGGGATTGGCACTGTAGAGCGAAGACGCAGTGTCGATATGTATAGTGAGCGGCAGCAGTTTGCTATGGAGGAAAGCTGATATACTCATGTCAGGCGTGCTCAAGAAGGTATTTGAATCGTGTTCTGCGCATTATAGAGATTGTCTGGCAGCGAAAATGGTTCTCGTTCTGTCGCTTGAGGAAGCCGGCGGGCTCATAGCAGCGCTAAACACCAGCAGCATTTGCATATATATACACATCGAGAGCAGGTGCACCTCTCGAGCTCCGCTACTAATGTGTTGGAAGAATTAGCACATAGGACCGACGGTTCAGTGACTGGCAATGCACTTCTTGCTTAACTCGACAATGGGATAGATGCAAGAGACCTTCTCCGCCGGGCAACAGCATTAGTGACGGCGTGGTCTCCCCTAGCAAGATTGTGCTTTAACTGCTCCATAGGCCGCTTGATAATGTAGAGGAAGACGATGAGGACTCAGCATAACAGGGAGCAGTCGATCGGGCAGCAGCAGTAAGCTGTACGAGGAAGCTCAACCACGCGACAGCCACCAACGCGGTATCCATAACCGCGGCCGACAAACAGCATGGGGATTAGAGAAGCAAGCACCACGAAAGGCCATCAGCGACGTCCGAGACAGGACGCAAGTATACGTCGAGACAAGGGCGGTACATCATCTTAAGCCGCCGCCTAGCATCCCAACACCCTCCCTAGCAAGCTCTACCGGCCAAACCTTCACCACCTATACTGTTCGATAGAGAGTCTATCTTCACCATGAGTCTGCTCAACCATGCCGCCCAATAAGCAGCCCGTCGGTAGAGAGCGCACTGCAAGCCAGCGGGCAATAAGCGAAAGCATCAGGAGTAACCCAGACACTTACCACCAGGACCGTTTTGCCTGCGCTGTCTACCATAGCGCAAACGCACTCTGATAGCGAACAAAAAGGTGCAAACGGGACAGAAACGGCGATCGGACTGAAACTGCAGGTATCCGGGCATAGCGCGTGGGAAACTGAGCTAGAGAGCCGTCGCCGTAGCTTCCCGGCCATGATATGCTGCTTGCCGAGCACCCTCACGGCTTGTGTGATGCGACGAGACGAATCGGTGTTGCTGCAAAACGGTCCCGTGTAGTTGGGGACACAATAGTGACTCACGAGCAATGCACACTTGAAGTTCTCAGCCACTGCAGGCATGCCAAACTGGCGCACTCGACACTCGCAGAGAAGACTCATGACGACAACAAGTTACAGCGGTTGCAGCTGAAATAGGCCACCCACGAACCTCGCCAGCAGCACCCCTAGAACCCAGCCGCCCTATTAAAGATCGCAAGACCAGTCAAGCAGCGCTTCGACAACGCCTGAAATAACACAAGCGACGACATTGACGCCAGCGACAGATGACCGCAGTTTCGAAAAAGCATTCCATCTGACAAAGTCAGCACTAATTGACATACGCGATCGGCGAGCTTCTTGCCGGCTGTCACGGCGTGCAGCTCAAAATCCCGCCACTTGTCGAGCCAATATGTGGCCAGTGGCTCACGCATAAGGCAGAGGATAACGAGGTATGCGGCCAACAGGCTCACGCATGCTGATGGCAAAGATGGAAGTTAGTGGGAGTATGCGGCTGAAGAGCTCACGCATTGGAAAAATCGCTTCTGTTTGAGTCAGCATCAACAGCACGAGCCTAAGGACGAGCAGTATGGCCGGCTGTCACGGTCACAGTCTGTGGCACTGGGATTCCGCCAGCTTTGACGCTAGCATGCGACTTGTCAGTGACGCAGCACGACGCTTGGGGTCCAGAGAGAAGACAGTAGGAGACATGCAGCGTTGCAGCTCAGGCATGGAGGAGACAAGAAAAACGATGCGGCTTGACGCTCACGCACGGAAGAACAAGGAGAAGACAGAAAGTGCGGAACCAGGATCACGCACAGAAAGAAGCTCGAGGGTATGCGGCAATGAGGCTCACGCGCGGAAGTGGAGGAAGAAGGAAGGAGTGCGGCACCGGGCTCACGCACAGAAGGGAAACGCTAGGAAAACAAGCGGCGTTGGGGCTCACGCACGATCAAAGAGAAGGCAAGAGCATGCGGCACCGACTGGCGCTCACACACGAAGCAAAGAAGAGCAATGAGCAGCGAAGAGCATACGAAATCGAGTTTCGGTCCAGCATGCTATTGCGCTGTATGCTGCGATACATCCAGCCACGGAAGACCCAAGGTTCAAATCAAGCGATGGCTGGCAAGCGAACATAGACCATACTGGCGGCAATGGATCCTGTGAGCGTGCATGTCGACCTGGTGAGATGAATCCGGCAAAGACCACGGACTTACTTGGGACGGGCGCCTCGCCAAAGCCATCTTCCTTGGGTCAGGACCAACACGGGTGATGGCCAAGTCATTGGTGCGTGCGAACTTAGATGGGACGTACGCCTCACCAGTGCCGCCTTCCTCGATCGAGGTTGTAGTGCTAAAACTGGCCCCTACGAAGCGATCCAGGATGGCAGGACCAGTCATTACGCTAAGCCAAGGACTCCGCGCAGTACCAATGCCAGCTAGGTTGCGTTGCGGACTCGGGCCAGCGGTAAGGAGCAGAGCCGTGTTGAAGACGCTGCGTTTGTTCAAGTTGGTAAGCAGGCTGTTGATCTCTGCTCGCTCATGGTCTATATGTAGGGCAAGATCGGGGGCATCATCAATGGTCGTGCCTGGTAAGGTCAGAGGCAAGATTCAAACCGGCCTCGAAGGCTCACGGCAGCAAAGTACAATCTCGGGAGTACTTCCGCTACGACGATGCAGCCGGTGAGGCGTGTTGCTAAAGCAGACGAAGAACATATCACCTCGACGTGATCAAGCTGGGACTTCCGGGACCGAAGCCGGAGCAAGTCCGGCATGTTCGGAAGATCTTGAGGCGTGCGGCCCAGAGACAAGCGCCGGATCGGACATGGACAGGAAAAGTTGTTTGAGCCGTGCGATGTCGCAACGACCAAGACCCAGCTTGGGAGCTGGAGAGTGCATCGGACACATCATCGCTGAGCAATGACGGCACCAACAGCACTGTACCCACGTTAGACAACATAGCCCCCAAAGGATCGAAAAGTACTTCCAGGCATGCGATATCGCAGTGCCCAAGACCCAGCTGTCAGTCCACCAGCCGGAAAGCGCAGCCGGACTGCATCGCGCCAGCGTAAGGCGTAGCGGTACGGTAAGGGGACGGCGTGCGCATCACTCAGAGAAGATTCGGGCATGCGAGCGAAGTCGCAATGCCCAAGATCCAACTCGAGAGCCAGAGACCTTGGTGCCGGGCCCAGATGCATCGTCGCAGCGCAATGGCAGTACGTAACCGCTACATCTGATGCGGACGCGAGATCGGTTATGGACATGCACAGAAACGTGCGGCAGCCTCACATGACAAGCGGGCATTGAGTGGCACTCTCACGCCGGGCCATAGGCTCGCCGGCGTACAGACCCTACTGAGTGTCAGTCACCGCCAACATGCCGAGCCATAAGTTCGACGGTAAGCGAACCGGAAACCAGAGAGCCTGCTAGAGGTCAGTCGATGGCATTAGGCTGGGCCGCAGGCTCGCCAGCATCAAGGTAGGTTGATAATCACTGGTGTTCTGTCGAGATCAAACTGAGAAGGTCGAGTGAGCGGGCTATGAGCTCACCGCTAAGAAATGGCCAGAACTTGTGTCGCAGTCGTTGAGGGCCTTCGAACGACCATCAAGTCCGTTTGAGAAGTCAGTGTGTGAAGCGAGTTACCTGAAGTCGCCGCTGCTCCTGGTGATGTCGAATGACAACGTAAAATGCTGCGCTGCTCGTGATCTCGAAGAGAGTTTGACTCGGCAACAACTATGACTTTGTCGGCTGTGGTAGCGATGGTCATACCAGGGCCACAGGGTCGCCAAGATCAGCGATTAACATGCTCGCAGTGCTAACAAGGTGGCTACAAGTCAGTCTAGTCGTTCACCTTGAAGCTCTCGCCGGGCCGATTGGCTCGCCGACGGGTGTCCACAGGCTTGACTGGAAGGATGCTAGCTTGTGGTGTGTCATGGACTTAATGGGACAACGGCTCACCATTGCCAGTATCTATTTGCGTTAGTTCGCCGGATATCGAACTAAGAGCGTGTGCGTCAGTGTTTTTCAGCTCGCCGGCATGCACCGGGCTTGCAAGCATTGCGACATCATACAAGGCTCACCGACGGTTGTCGAGCCAGATGATTACAGCAAGGCATTGCAGTCGTACGGAAGCTGTCCTAGACCTGCCGGGCGTCCTGCTAAACATTGACCATCGTGGGCATGGTGAGGAAGGAGTGGTTATGTCTGAAAGTGCCAGAGATTGAGGAGGTTTGTGGCTCCCGCAGACACTTTCAATCGGAGGTGGTGTGATGGCGGCGAGAACGATCTTTTACGCTTGTTTTGGGATGCTGCCTTGGCGAAGGCGTCTGGATATCATCCAGAGGTGTGATCGAGGCTCAGCCGAGGAATGCTCCATCCGCCTTTCCAAAGCTGGCCCAAGCGAGCCGGGTCACGTGCCTGGCGCAACTTGCCTGGTAACAGCGTCGTCTAGCACCATGACGTTGCAGCCAATCTAGGAGTCGCCAGAGGTCATTCACAGCCTTCGAGTCGCCATCTTGATGTCACTCGAGCAGCTTTTGAAGACCAAAGTACGCATTGCTGAACTTGGGTAGCGGAAAGCGAAAGCTGGCGGCCCCCACGAAGTCCGACTCGCCATGAGGACGGCGAGGTCAGCAACGTCGAAAGTCTATGCGAGTTATGTAGCAGAGTGATATCGACGCGTAGAAGAGAGCTCCACCGCTGTTGAGCCTGCTGCTGTCGCCTTGAGCTCGGTAATGTACGAATTGCTTCAGCATCAGACTTCGGCTTTTGGCAGGCTTTCCGCGACAGCACGGCGTATAGACACCGCAGTGACTTGCAGGTGAGCGAAGCTGGCTTCCAACGCAGCAGTCTGCTCCGAAGGCAGTTATCAATTGCCAGCCGGTTGCTGTTGTTGAGCTAATAGGTGGTGAAGCTCGAAAGAAGCCGGCGGTCGCGAGCTCCAGTCTCGACTGCGTTGTGGATGTGTGGCATCAGTGAGCTACCGCTTCTTCCTGTCCTTCGAGAACCCACTTCGGAGCTCTTGCAGTGCTGTCAGCCGCTGTTGGTGGTTTACAGGTGTTGCTGCCGCCGTCTGAGGGTGGAGGAGTTGGTGGGCTTCGAAGTCTTTCACTTGCTCGCGGCGCTGTGCCAGGCATCGAGTGAGGGGGGACCAATGCTAACGAGCCATTCGTGCTGTTATGAGTGCTCCAACCAGCTCGTGAGTTGCGAAAGCATGTTGGTGATGCTGTCGTCGCCGCCGGCTCGCTAGTGTGCGAAGCGGAGGGGACTCGAGCCACGCTTCTTCCGCCGACGCCCCTAAAACCGCCGTCCATGAGTATCACGGGCATTAGATGCTTACCGGAGCTGCCTCGAGCTACCCGGACAAGCAATAGGTGTTGCTATCCTGTTCGGCGATGGCGGTGGAAGAGTGCGGCGGAAAGTGGACACGGAAGTGACTGAGCGCTTCACACCCTCGCCCTCGGCCTGCAAGCGTAACACTGCCTCGAAACGCACGGAAAGTGCATATCGAGGAGCAGGGGATGCTACAGGAGCATCTCCGCGAATGTTGAGACTTTTGGCGACCATGAGTGCGGAAGGTGGATGTGGTGGCCGGCAAAGGCAGGCGTTGTGAAGCGGAAGCTCTTGACAAGCCGACCGTCGCCAAGCCATATTGCATGCACTTGCCTTCCAGCATCACTAGACAATCGGCAGCAGCTCGATACATTAATCATCCCTCTGAAGATGCACAGACACGTCCTCCAACGGAACACAGATGTCTGTGTTGCGAAGCCAAGCCCCAGACCAGGAACGCTATAAGCTAAACCGACAAGCGATGCAGCTGTCCTCGTTCGCCGCTACTGCTACTGCTATCAAGCACACGGATCGAATACCCGGTCGGTCTTCCTCCTGTATCCACGCCTGATGAGCATACGGGTTTACAGACTGAGTAGCAGCTTACAACCCTTCTGTCTCCCCGCAGGCCAGGTAATCCTGCGAAATGCGACAAGGAGGGTTGGCACAAACGTGATGTCTGAACCAGCGGGTGTGACACTCGAGCAAGCGCTAGCAGAAGAAGAATCTGTTGAGTTGTTGAGAGCGGTGGTTCATAGCCAAAAAATATGCCCCGGAACTGCCGGTTGTGCAGAACTTCATCACCATCCATCATCATAACCAATCCATAAGCTTATGTACACGACACAGGCCAGTTGGCTGTGGAGAGTAAGGTCAATCCACTAATCTACGCATAGCCGACCATGGCCTTCATTCTCCGCCACAGCTCTTCCTTCATTGCCTGCCTCGTACCCGCAGTCCTGCCAGCAGCATCTTTGTTCTCCGCCGCTCGCCGCAAAAGATAGTTCAGACACTCGTACATACTGCCCCAAGTCGTGCATTTCAGCACACTCTCCTTGACTATCCTTGACGAGCCTGATCCTTCACCACTCTGCTCAGCCATCTCCGCCTGCTTCGCCGCCGCAATCAAAGTGCACGATACCTCATCCGCCATGCCCTGAAGCTGAGCGAAAGCAAGCGGCGTGAGCTTCTCGCCGAGACCAGCTTGCAGATTGCGAATAGTTTGCGCCTTGCGAACAGACTCGGCATTATGTGTGGCGAGGACCACGTTGACATTCGGCCAGACGTCCGCTCTCTCGCCTTCAAAGCGCTTGATTACGCTGTTGTACTTGCGCCTCATTAATGCTTCCGCGATAGCGTCGTAAGCCTCATGCGTCTTCTCGATACTTGGCCAGATTAGGCTCCGCTCTTCGCTGCCTAAGTAAGCGCCACGCACAAGCTTGACACCAAGCGTGAACCCTTGCGTCTTCGCCTCAGTCAGATGCTTCGAAATCGTCTCGGGCGTCTGCTTGAGGTACGCCTGGTAAGTGTTATACACCACACTTTTCCCGCCAAGATTGTACACCCTCTGCATAGCCATACACCAATTGTGGAAGCCGGACAGACTCCAGGTCTCTTCCGCTGCCGGCAGAAGTGAAACACCCTTATCTTGCGCTGCCTTGCACACGGCATGCATGGCCTCGCTCATCCGCTCCGCCGGCTCATCGTCAGCCTTCATCTTGCGCATCGCCGCTGCGCCCATGCCGCTCCACTTCAAGCCCACGAAGTCGCCTGGCTGAGCCATGGACACGGTCTCCAAAAGACGCTTCCTCCAGCGCGCAACGTCTTCCGCCTCGTTGCCTTCCGCATCCTTCAGCACTTCGAGCGCGTACTCCAGGATTACGCCGCTGTATCCTTGCTCTCTGAGTTCGGCGGTGGCTTTAGCAACTTGCGCCGGTGTCTCGCCGGCACAGAACTGGCGGTAGAAGGTATGCCACAGTAGCGATCGGATGAGCGGGTTGCTGTCTATCCGGAAGAGTGGGCTCTTGCTCTCCAACATGCGGCGAAGTATGCTCGTGGAAAGCCGCAGTAGACTTGGCGAAGACGAGACGCTTGTGATCAGGTATGTGCGCAGCACCTGGGACAGCGGGAGGCACGACAAAGCGGACATTGCAGGAGCTGCTGTTGTTGTGTATGCTTGACCTCGAGATACCACTGGTGAAGCAGTAACGGCTGCGGACGCATTAAGCACAGCATCCTGTCCTTGCCGCGGCGAGGTGTGTATCTGTCTGCGCCTGCTTGCTGTTGGCGCTTGCTGGGAGACAATAGCGCAGCAAACAGGTCTCACATGCTTCTGTGCCACTGGGAACAGGATGCTGGCTTCCAGCTGCGGTCTTATGTTAGCTCTCATCTTGAGGAACGAGAAGTATTGTATCAATGCTTCGAATGCGGAGAAGGAATGTATACACAAAGAAAGAATACTCGGGTACTTGCAGAGGCTCCCAAAGATGTTGGAAGAGAAACAAGGGCAATAGGCGACCTTATCAATGGTTATCATACCATTACCACAAGCTCAACAAGGACGGCTACCATCGGGCTTCGCAAAGACTCCATCTTCGTGCAGCCGGGCAAAACGCGCGCCCCGCCGCAGATCCGTGCCCCTCATGGCGCAAACAGTGGGCGGCCTGCCTGATGCGGCATGGCTGCTGTTGGTTCGCCAAGCGCGAAGGCGGTTGGTGAAGTTCGGCACAAGGTGGGGATGAAGGCCGGAATTGCCCCGACGCAATCAAACCTCACCTCGACTATGCTCGACACTTGTTACACGCCTGCAGGTGCACATACGGGTTGCGAGGCCATCAAACTGCCGCTGATACGTAGTTTAGAGGTTACAGAATGGCCTGTGGACGCAGCTCTGCTTACCGGACTTAGATCGCGCTGCAACCTGATGGAAATATGTAAGCGTCCGTATTCCAGCGGTGCAAAGTCCGCGATCGCATTGATATACCTAGCATAAAGCATCACGAGAACTATCTCCAGGGTAGTGTGATGTTGTGAGTGGTACCAGGGAGACTTGGTGTTCTAAGATCCGTCATGATGTTGCAGTAGGTCAACAGTGCGACAGTAGCGGACGGCACGGACTATTTCGATAGGTTGGGCGTTGTAATTTGTCGCCCGTACGAGACCTGCACATATCAGCACCGGTCGAAGATCAGGGTGCCTGTAAGCTGGACCTACCCTGAGCGGGGAAATAACGAAAAATTGAGCTGCGTTCAGGCTCGATACTTTACCCGTCAGCATGATTTTGACAACGGGTAGCGGTGGTGAGTGGAAGGAGGTGATAACATAAGATGGCATCGGCCGTGATGCAGAAGGTGAGCATCTACCTACGCATTGAGACCCGTTCGGAAACCTTTGATAACCTTCACAATGCTATGCTCATCAAGCATGTCAAGCACTCCCTTTTAGTATAATCAAAAGTCTCTTGTTCCGGACACGCCAATATAAGTCTCTTATGTACGGGGCGAATGGAAGCTTGAATGCATTTCAAGCATCTTACTGTGATCTTTGAGCAGATTGTATCAATCTTCGAACAGCTCTCGCGGACAATCTACATGGCACTTGCAGATAACACGCTCACTGTCAGTGCATAAGCGCGCATACTGCTCTTCGCCTGTCAGAGCGGTTCGCTACCCTGCTGCTACGCCGATGCGCGCGCGCCAGGGTACTAAGTGAATACAGGATCCCTGGTTAACAAGCCACCCACGGTATTTAAGGTACCCGCCTTACCAAGATCCATGTCGTTGTCGGATTACGGTATCGGCATGCCTTCCATGACTGATTGCCGGACGTGGGCTAGGGAAAGGGAGCGGGGTTCGTGGTCGTAAAGTGAGCACATCCGCCATGAGGGAAGGCAGACATGCTTTCTACAGCATCCATTGTACTCACGCGCTCCTCAACGACTTTGCCGCCAAGATGTATGGCTCCGCGCTAGATGGCTGGGTTGTTGTATCTTAGAAGTAGGCCGAGCCTTTATAGATTGTTGTCAACCTGTGTGGTGGTAGAAGCGGACATTCTTCCTCTCGTTCGTCGCGAAACGGCCAAGGACATGGTGAGTGGTGGGTTGGAATGCCTTCAAGCCCTGCAATGCCGACATTGAGTGTTTGTCCGTCACGCTTAAAGTTCTGGGCGTAGTTGAGACCGCCACGCACTCTACGGTCGTTGTGAACATCGTCGCCCGCAGTTTTGAGGGAATGACAACAGATGTATCTACAAATATTGGCTGTCGACTAGCTCTGTCGGATGTTCATATCATTATAGATATGTAGGCAGCCTACCTTCAGGGGGCTCGGTGAGCGTAGCTGGCTCCCTAGAACTGGTCGGAACTACACTCCCTTCAACTCAAGCCGTTGGTGTCAATCTATGACTGTGTCCCGTCAAGAATGGTTAAGAACCCACTAGCCATAGCCCAAGCAACCACAGACACTCGGGTTGCGAGGGGGCTACTGGGGGCATAGTAGACTGCAATTAGAGAGACGTACATTTGCTGGAGGACGAGAGCGTGGAAATCTCTACACCTACACAAGCTTGGACCAACTTCACCTTTGCAAGCCACGTCATATTAATTACCGCGATCACATGCTCCTGGGCTCACAATCATCGATATTATAGCTCAGAACGTTTTTACCTGCCATCACCGAACCCATAGTAACCCGAGTTAGACAGATTTTATTCACGTTCTCCACCCCCGTCGCAGTGCCAGCGAACATCCGTAAGCAACCTTCAACTCTTGTAGTCGAGAACGCTTCTACAAATCGTCAGATTATCGTCATCTCCTATCAGCCCATCCAAGACACGTGTGGACACGTCCATGGTACGTCAATTACTGGAGCAATCAACAACGCATCGTCCGCAATAGGCGAGCGACAGAGAGACGGCCTCCTTTCTCCATCCAGCACCATTATCTCCTCTTCGCCGCGCAACAAATCAAGCAAAGTGGCACAAACAAAGGCCGAGCACATAGTCTAGTGGGCTGTCAAACCGCAATACCAAGACATGATGTCCGTGATATTGATCTGGTTATTGGATGCTTAGCGGAGCACTGTGTAAGTCCACCCAGTCGCTTTAACACTATTCCGAAGACGTCCATTGCATTCCACATCATGTATTCGACTCGGTGTATCCACCAGCCTCCCCCACAAGGATCCAGGTTTGGGGCTCCATCGTTGCGGAACCGTCACCGGCGAGCTCTTTTCCTATGCTCTGCCCGAGGACAATGTCATCCGAGAACGATCGATGTCAGGATGACCGAGCATACAGGCGCCGCAGAACTCACAACTGAGTTGACTAGCTCGTTCGGTGAATGCGGATGGACAATGGCTAACACACTCTTCTCTCAGCACAGACGTCAACAGCAGGGCTGACAGCTGTTGCTTCGTACTACCATTACTGCGCACTGCTTGCCCCCCCCCCTTCCTCACCCCACCCCATGGAGGTTTCCGAAACACCATGCTTAACCCCTTTGTCCTGAGGCAACGCTGCTTGCCGCAGGCACTTACAGGACCGCCATCCTGCCTCGATCTTGGATCATGTTGCTAGCGTCAGAGCAAGCTGTGTTCACTCACAGCGCGGGAGTCACTCGCTTGACAGAACTTCGCTCACCTCCGCTGGCGCATCATGTTCTGTTGAATCAAGATTCCCAAGAATAGACACCAACCGGCATGCCAAAAGCTCAGTTTGATAGTTGGGCTGCAGTAGAAGGTCATCGGTACATATATCGCAGAACATACGCAACAGTAACGACGTCTAATTGCTTGTACGAGTACATCGAAACGTCCTGGTGTAGGTGTCGCTCATGAGGCCGCCGGGACAGCATATACGAACTGCCTCTATCTTTGGCACGCTGTAATCGACCCAGTTTTCTGACGGCGGATTGGTAGGTCTCCGCCGTTCAGCTAGAGTCAACCATGACTATGTCCTGTGAAGAGAGCAACAATGTCAGCAGAACATCACTCTCCTGATAGCGCTAATGCACGATAAAGTCAGGTGCTGCTAAAGCTTACACTGCCGCCTAGCTAGGTCAATGGTCACGAGCTCGGTCATTGCTACAATAGGGTCTGGTAGAGGATAGTCTGCACTATGACGGAATCGCTAGCTGGAATCTCGCAGTCATTGATCCTACAGAATTGGAAGAGTCGACGAGAGCTGTGCAAGAGGTTGTATTGGTCGTTCAGATGTTGTAGCAACGATATGATCGATGGGTTCTGATAAGGCGGCCCTCGGCTGCAGTGCCTTGACCAGCAAACCACGTCACCGCTTGCCACGATTCATTTCTTGCTCCAGATCAGAAGACCGTGTGATTGTTTGACTCGCCGTTGCGTGCCTTTAGCGCCTTTCGGAATTATAAAAGTCTTCCATTCAACCCAAGCCCAAGCCTGAGTCTTGATTAAACTTACCGTAAGCACCTAACCCCCCCTTTAATGTTCAACCTTCAGGCAGTCCGCTAATGTCCTTAGCAGTCGCTGCGGATGGGGCGATCACGACTACCTTCATCCTGGGGTTGGTTCCTTGCATTGCACCGCGCTTGGGATCGGACCACAAGGCGGCCCTACGGGGAGGCGCTGTTAGCGCAATTTTTGCTGGTCTACCTTGCTGCTTGCAACAATCTTTTTGATGGCTGGCCTTGCTGAGGAGCAAGGTCTCTGAGAAGAAGTTCTTTGCCATCGCATTACCCTGACGTTCCGCCACTGTGACGTGTCGAAGCTACTATGGCTGCGACGAGCGATCACGATGGGCGGGTAACCCGAGATTGACTACGACTGAGCATGTGTAATTTGAGACCTCCCGCTGTCGTGGAAATAAGGTGCTCGGTTGTGATGATCAAGGTAGACTCAGTGCATCCGTGGGGCGTTCCGATGCAGAAATCCAACCCATACCTTTTCTGCTCCCTCAAAGCTCGCACCCCGGAGCCTTGACCGACGAACTCTCCTCGCGGTGAGCTCTTAAACCGCTTAGCAGATGGCACGCTGTAGCGTTTGTTTGACTTTTTCCCTTGCTGCTCTCAGCCCCCCTAGCAGCAAACAACAGTAGCCGGACCATTCTGGGGTGGCACAGTGCTACGCTTGATGGACTTAATGCTCTGTATCGTATCACGCTGATCTGTGAAGGACACAAGATACAACGTCGTCCTGGCTGTGTAAGTTTCAGGGGAGAACACGGGCAGCGGTGATCAGTTCTAGGGTTGTGTGATGGGACTTCGGTCGATGGACGCACCGCGGCCGTAGCGGGAAGTACAAGCAGATGGCGGTGCGATATGAGAAAACTTGCCATAATGCTCGTGACTTGTCTTTGTGAATTGTAAAGTTGCAACCATTTCGGTGGAAGCGGCCTGAGATTGACGCTGTGAAAGAGACGAGAATCGGCGGTTAATGCAGTTATCTGAAGACTTATGTATCGCCCTTAATGTTTTTGTTGTTGTAAGGCGGTGGAGGCTTGGGGATTTACGCGGGCGGCGGTGGATGCAGTGCAGGTGTGTCTAACTTTGGCCTTACAAGTGCTCTGGAGGGCAGCTCGTGCCCCTGTTGCGGCGTAACCCGCTGTTGTGAACCGATTCAGGGGCGTATTATGAGTGAAGCTAGAACAGTGCAAGCCATGAGAAGTCCCAGACCGAACGCGATCGCCCAAAGAGCAGACATTCAGGACAAGCAAATTCGGCAGACGACTTGCAGAAGAAGAGTCATTAATGATGCCGACGAAAAGACGAGGGTGTTGCAACTTTGTTGTGAGAGCGTAAACTCGTTGACAGTATTCGCAGGCCGGAAGAGTGTAGGAAGGCTTAAGGAGACGGTAACACTGTTTGACAGCTGGACAACGCGTACAAATATCGACACAACAAGCTTTGATATGGTGCAAGGATATGATTGACGTCTCGCATGACCAGCCCCACTGTATCAATATCATTACAAGCTCTACATCTAGTCCGTCAAACACAACTTCATCCTACACTACCTCAACGCGAGTCCATTACCGCCTCCAATCTATCGACATCTATCGTTTGCATGTAGGTCGGTCGCAACCCGTAAGAATGCATAATGAACCTTCACGGCTGACGCGCACTCGGTAGGCCTACCGCACCATGACAAGCCGCGATCAATCGCTCAGCAAACATCACAACCGCTCAGCAAGCATACCAAACGGAAAGTCCCTCCTTCACCCTCACTCCAGTAGCGGTGATGACTCCGGACAACGTGCACTCATACATGCTTCCAAGCATAGTTTTCAACGCTGAGGCTCCCGCCACTGGCGGTTCTGTCCCCTGTCTGAGTTACTCATATCCTACGCAGTTGAAGATTGGAACAATAAGAAGCTGACCTCTCTTCTACGCTCTGCGTTCCGACGGGTATCTCGAACGACCACGACACGACCCTAGATACGGAATCAGCGCCTTTCCAGCTCCCAGCACGAAGCCTAGCAACACCGGAAAGTCCACCCCACCCTCACCCTGGTTATGATGATATCCGCACCAGCTCCTCGCCATCCGTCTGACAATCCTCGTTCCTCTGCGGCCATTTGCTTGCGACTCGGACGAGTTTGTTCGCTGACGATGGAAAGACTGCTTGCCATAGGCTGCCAATCCCGTAACCGTTCCGCTTTCAGAACGCGCCTGCAAAGAGTAAGCAACCTACTACCCCGTTATACACATAACAATGATGAGCAAAGATATTGTCACTACTTGCTGAGCCTGCTGTAACGACATCGACATCTTCTGCCTCTCCGCCCGAGTAACATTCCCATCACGCTTCCGCTGTCGAGAATGCCTAAGGTTTACTGACTCACCTGCCAATAGGCCAAGCCTTATTATCAACACACTAGTCCCGCCGGCAAACATCCTTTATGTTGCAGTCAACTCATCTCCCTCTCTTTCTGAGCTCTGGGTCCCCGTCAGTTGACATGTAGGTTATCGCTCCGCTACGCCCATCCTCCAACACTCTCACCACGGTGAGAACAAGAACGAGCTCTCTAAGGCGCTGTGGCTTCGCCGCCTTGGCATATGGATCATCTTGGTCGATTTTTCAACAGTCCAATGCTGGTCCTGTAACCTGGATCTTCGTGCGTCCGCACAGTGCAACGAGGCCATGATGTTACATCTACCCCTGAGCAGTCTGCATGATGACTAAACTTTGCAGTCGATTTGCTCTGCCATGCTTGCCCTGTTTTGCTGCTGCGCTGTATGCGAGTGTAGACATTGCGTGGCGCGGGGAACCGTATAGAAATCTGTCCGCCTTAGCGCGCCTTATCGAGATATAGTTTCCGGCACGATAGTCTTAGTCGTCCTGTCGAATCGACTTAGCATTCTCGACGCAAAACCAGTTGAAAGCGAACAAACCCGATGGGTGATGTCCTCACTGCCTAGTAACGCCTTCTCTGCTCTAATGATGACGGCAACGGTTAAGTCTTCCGAACACGACTTTGAGGGACCACCTACTCCTCCATGACCGACCTGCAATCATGCCATCCGGCCTCCCATGACTTGCCCGCAAGACGCATTGTACAGTGTCACTGTTTGGGCACCAGCATCGCCATCTCATGGCAGCATCGCCGCCCTCAGCATCGCACGTCGGCATACAGCCTCTATAACCACCCGCCGTCAGCATAATGCGACGCTTACCTTGTTCGGTAATCCTCGCAATACGCTGCGGCAGTAAAGTATGTCGAACATGTCTCACTACCTTGCATGCAGGATGATATTTCTTGTTGGAATGATCCGCAGCCTCCGTGCGATACCGACACACAGAGGCTTAATCCTCTGAAAAGACTTTGACCTGAGCACTGTAGCCCAAAAAACCGTATCGAGTATCATCCGCTGAAAATTGAGCAGTGACGGGTTGGGATACTTCGAGACAGCGCGAAGTGCTCGTAGCCGCAGAGCGAGGAACGGCGGTCGAGCAGAGCAGTTTTGCTTACGCATTGCGCATGTTACACGGTGCAAGAGACAGTTATACCGGAACCCGCGCTACTTCAATGTCGTCGTGGTGCCCTCTATGTTTGGGGTCGATGTTGTTGCTGTCGGACACAAGCGCGAAATTCGTACCCTTTCTTGCATCTGACCACATACCGTGCATCAGCATCTTCAGGTTGTCTGCAGCACACCTTGCCCCAGCTTTGAAAGGCCTGCGGTGATTGGACAATTGGTACAGGTGAACCTTCATATCGCGCACGTCTTATCCGTGACAACAGCAGAGAGGGAGTACATTGTAGTGCGGTCGGGCCGCATTAATGCTCACGTGAGCCGGGGATTTTCGGATCCGGACAAGCGCAGATGCGTTCGGCTCCCGTTCGATCAATTGGGTCATTGTCTCTGCTCATTGGCCGACAGTCTTATCAGTCGCTTCTTCCACGACGTTTTTGTTTCTCTTTGTCGCTTCACATCGCTGATGGGGCATAGCATCACTGGTGCTCGCCTCCGCTCATTTCGCGATCTCTAGCACTTCCGTTTTCTGCGCGAATCCGCGCATCGACCGTATCAACAGCGCAACCCGCCGGCGCTCGACTTCAGCCTCCGGTTACGCAACACAGATGCCGCGAGCGCCAACGCTGATAAGCACCCCATTCACGCCGGCATCGCACCGCGCCGGACAGCGTCGAACTCTCTTCGATGATTGAACCTGTCGCGTGCGCCCCCGCCTACCTGTTCAGTAAGAGCGTCCCTGTTCCAGAAGCGTGGGCTGTTCCAGCGCTTGTCTGTCTGCGGTAAAGCGTCCCGCTTCCTTATCTTTTTCTCCTGCAAAAACATCGGCGACCACCGCGGCTGCCAAGGCGAGAGTCGAGATGCCTGATGGTTCAAAATGCGCGATCGCGCAGTGTAATCTCATGTGAGCGCGCTCTCTCGTTTCCGTTGCTGCTCTTCTCTCTTTCCGTCGATTTCGAGAATAGAGTTGCTCGTGGTTGCGGGTTCGAGATCGTTTCGCACTCTCATCCCATCACCGTCAACCCCGTAGATCGTGAGCAGCATCCGCCCACCATGGCGTACAATGCCTACGATGTCGAGAAGAACCAGGGCTACATAGATAGCGGCGCATACGGTAACCTCGAGAAGCGACATGGCTCCTACGTCGAACCAGATGGCGCGGTACCCGGCGAGAGCTTCGAATATGGCACCGGGATGCGCGCAAAGCTTATGCGCATGGCGGGCAAGCTTGGTGTCGAGCAGAGAGGCATTGAGCGCGTGCCCGAGAACGAGCGGACAGACAAGGGCATCATGGCGCTGTTGAACGTGTCGACTATGGTACGGTCAAGTGGGAGAGGCATTGCGCCAAATGGCGGCTAATACTGAAGCAGTGGCTCTCCGCCAACATGGTCGTCTCCTCCTTCGCTCTCGGTCTGCTGGCAAAGAACGTTTTCTACCTCGGTGTCGCAGACGCCATGCTCGTCATCCTCTTCTTCAACCTGATCGGACTCTTTCCAGTATGCTTCTTCTCATGCTTTGGACCAGTATTCGGCCTTCGCCAGATGGTGCTTTCGCGGTTCTGGTATGGCTGGTGGGGTGTAAGCGAAACCAAAACATTGTTATGAGGTAAAGAGATGCTAACTCGCTCAACAGGTGAAGTTAATTGCCATTTTCAATGTGCTAGCATGCATTGGCTGGTAAGCGCCCCTTCTGCTCCCGCATGAGATCTCGCCCCAAAGTCCCAAAACGAGTCCGCAATCCACAAATCTTCCACCGGCCCAAGCTACCACAACCCCTCCTACACCACGAATACTAACGCAAACGAATCAGGTCTGCGGTCAACTCGATAGTAGCCGCCGAACTCCTCCACGCTGTCAACACGGACGTCCCCGGCTATGCCGGCATCCTCATTGTCGCCTTCTGCACCTTTTTCGTGACCGTCTTCGGCTACAAAGTTGTGCACGCCTACGAATTCTGGTCCTGGATTCCGTCCTTCATCATCTTCCTCATCGTACTCGGCATCTTCGCGCATAGCGGCGACTTCGTGGCAATTCCATGGGAGACTGGTACCGCCGAGATGGGCAGCGTGCTCAGCTTCGGCTCCGTCATCTTCGGGTTTGCGATCGGTTGGTCCAGTTATGCGGCCGATTACACTGTCTATCAGCCCAGCAATCAGAGCAAGGTGAAGGTGTTCGGATGGACGTTCTTGGGTCTCATCTTCCCGCTGCTGTTCACGCAGATGCTGGGAGTCGCGGTCATGTCTGCCACTGCGCTTAACGATGGCAACAACCGTTATCAAGATGGCTACGACGAGTCCGGCACTGGCGGTCTTCTGGGTGCCGTGTTGATCTACCACGCCGGCACCTTCGGCAAGTTCTGCCTCGTCATGCTTGCACTCAGCACCATCGCCAACAACTGCCCGAACATCTACTCCGTCGCGCTCACCGTGCAAGTCCTGGCCCGTTGGGTGCAGTACGTACCACGCTTCCTCTGGACCGCGGTAGCGACGGGCGCCTACATTGCCATCGCCATTCCGGGATACAGCCACTTCGAGGCGGTGCTCGAGAATTTCATGAACTTCATTGGATACTGGTTGGCAATTTATTGCTCGATCGGCTTGACGGACCACGTCGTCTTCAAGCGTGGGTTTGGCGGGTACAGGCCCGAGCTGTACGATGTGCCATCTGAGCTACCACTGGGTATCGCGGCGGTGTTTGCGTTCTGCTGCGGTGTCGTGGGCATGGTCGCAGGCATGAGTCAGGTCTGGTGGGTCGGTTGGATCGCTCTCCATGCCGGTGAAGCACCGTTTGGCGGTGATGTCGGCTGGGAGCTCGGTGCCGCTTTCTCTTCTGTTGGGTACCTGATTGCTCGCCCCATTGAGATGAAGGTCTTTGGTCGATAGATGAGAGTTGCCACGCACTTGAGCGTCGCAGTTTCTGCGTGGCAGATGTTCATGCGACATGATTAGCTGTTGCGCCCGGACATGCGAAGTTCTTGATTCGGCCTGTACGTATGTATGCTACCAAACTACCATTCCACTGTAGATTTTGGCTATGTGTTCAAGCAACTCTTACAGTCTATAAATCTCTGCTTTGAGAAAAATAAAGTAGAGAGTGCAGACGCTGCACCAAGGCGGAATCCTTCAGGCTCACTGGGCCACTTCAATGCCTCCGCGATTCGAGACTGCGCAACCCGTCGGCGCCATCATCAGCCTTGACCTTCTCCGCCAAGGCCACATCCCCACCCGTGACACCCCTCACGAACTCGGGATCGGGATCATAGAGCATGACATGGAAGTGCTCGACAGCGTGAATACTCTTCAGCGCCGCCCAGTTGCGGAACCATATCACATCCTCCCTCCCACAATTGCTGACGAACACTTCGTCCACGAAATCGTTGATCTGTCTTCTCGCCTGTGGCGTGAGATCCGTCGTGCTAGGATCAGACGGAAAGACATACTTCGTCCAGACAACCAGGTGCACGATACGGTGGTCCACGCCATAAGGCCAGTCGTTGTACAGGATCCTGTAGTCAGATGGATTTTCGAAAGGTGCAGCTTTGGGGTTCAGGTCGGTCCACTGTAGCCGTTCTTGCATTGCGAAATTCATCACGCTGCCGTATTGCTGGACTAGCTCGACGCAGTATTTGCGGTATAGATGGAGTTGGCTGCCGAGCCGCAGGAAAAGATCAAGGCGGTTATCTCGGATGACTTGCTGCACTTCTGGCCATGTCAACCGGTGGAAAAGGTGGTCCGGTGTACTTAGTACGGCACGTTCTTTCTCGTCTCCGAATGCATATTGAAGGTAGCCTGGGCATTCTGCGGTTTTTTGGTCGACTGGCAGATTCACGTTCCAGAATGCGGTTGGGTCGTTGCTTGTGGTCTCGGTGGTGGTAACACCTTTGGTGACGTACGGCATGGCTTTGAGGTCGTTGACAGTCATGGTGATGTTCTCTCCTCGGACTGCTGGCAGTAACTTAAAGTAACGACGACAGCGGCAGGGAGCGTAACGTAGATGTGCAGTGGGACAAAGCGTTGTGCCTTAAAAGAACCGCCTACCTGCAACGGCTTTCGGACTCGCATGGCTGCATGGGGTGATATTGCTACGCAGGTGGCACCAAGTCATGTTTTGCTGTTCCTAGATACATATGTGAGTGCCGTGAGTGCACCTCGCGTGAGATGCGTGTCCCGAAGACTATGGGCTTCCTATTCCTGGCGACGAAACAGAAGGTTTCCCTTACGGTCGAGGGAAAACCAAGCTTTGTGGCTTCAGATTCCGAAACGGTCCAACCAGCCAGGCACAGCCGTCCCATTGGCTGCATCGCGGAAAGACATCCTTGCCAGGGGTTCCTGCAGACGCAAGTGTGAACGCGCAATTCGAGAAGTAGGCGCTGCACACTTTCCGAGCGAACATCTTTCTTTTTGCATTGCATCCCACTTTGGTTACGACTGACTGTAGTCACTCTTTCGAGAAGCATTGGGCGGTCTTGTGGGACTCGGCAAAGGGAGACGAGGAGAGCGGCGTGCAGCAATAACAAGGGCGAGGGTATCTGAACTATATCTCAGACAGGCGAGCGGCATAGCTCAGCACACTCCTTGGTTCCACGAGACCCAAGTCGTCTATACGACCGTACGACGAGCTTGCAAGACCATTCGCACCTTCAACCGGCCCGAGAAGCTTCGCAGCACTCATTCGGAGGCATTGCATGCCTACATTCCAGCGCTTGCCGCACGAATACGCCTATCAACTTCAAGTCGCACATCATGAGCCGACCTGGGTTTGCTCCCTCGGCATCCATGTCAATGAGCAGTAACGACAGCTTCGGGCCACGTTATGGCGGCCCTTTGGGAGGCACACTTGCAGATTCGCCGTACTCGGGTGGCCCTTACGGCGCGGCGCAACCACGACACGCTTCACCCTCGGGCTCACAGCATCCCAGTAGCGGCACAGATATGTCGCGACCATCGGCAAGTGGCAGCAGCATCGGTCGACCAGCATCATCCGCAAGCTCGGTGGGCCGATCGAGTGATGGACGGATGGGCTTCGCGACCGGCCCTCCTCCGAACAGAGACAGCACGAGAAGCTTCTTCAAGCCCGAAGCCGAGGCGCAACTGCAGCAGCATTACTACGTGCTGAGAGACTATCTAGCCGCATCTTTGCGCGACGACCAAGGCAATATGCGTTCGCAGAAAGCACGGGACAAGCTTCTCCGCTTGTCCGTCACACAGTTTATGGAGCTGAGCACAGATGTCTACGATGAACTGCTCCGACGAGAGGACGAAAGAGGGGCCAGGCAGTCGAGTATTCCACGCTCGCTGCCGCCCAAGACGAACTTCCACCCAAAGCGCAACCAAGCCCGACAGAAACTCTCCACCCTTCCAGTTGACCGTTTCCGCCAGCTGGCAACGGACGTCTACTACGAGCTCGAGCGACGTATCCCGCGCTTCGCGGGTCAAGACATTGAGCGGCCTGCCAGCACCGCCAGTCATGGCAGCGGCCGCGCACCGAGTCGCAATGGCATGCGGCCGCCTCCCGGTGCATACAGAGGCCCACCGCCAGGAGCTGGCAGAAACGGCTCCATTGGCGGACCCATGCCAGGACCCCAGTACCCTTCTTTCCGCCCTGCGAGTCCGGGACCTGGCATGCCGCCGCCAGGATATCGACCAAGCACAAGTGGCAGCGATACTTCGAACTATGGGCGCCCGCTGCCCAAGACCTTCCAGAGCAACGTCATTGTGCCGAACAAAAGTACCATGGTTGAAGATGACCAGATGACAGAGCCAGGGGAGGAGGATGCCTTTGCGCTTGATAAAGTGCTGTCTCCTAGCATTGGACCTTCGCCTATCAGCAATGACCGCTCGCCTCTTGCTGGTGACCGCTACTTCGAGGAGCCTAAAAGCATGAGTGCGGATCTGGACAAGATCAAGGAACAGGAAGCAGAGATTGGAAAGCTAAGGGAGACAGTTGAAGACCTGCAAAGTCGTGTGCTGGACAAGCAGCACGAATATGACAGTCTGAGAGAGACGCTCTCTGCCAAGGACGAGGAGTTTGAGGGAGCGAAAACGACGATTCTTGAGCGGGAAGCAGGTATCGAATCCGAGCGGAACGGGTGGCACAGGCTTCGCGAAGAGTTAGAGCAGAAACACATCGATGCTCAGCGTCTGCACGACGAGCTCTCACGAGAGCTAGAGCAGCTGAAGCTCAACAAACAGCAGGACGAGCAAGATTCCCGCTCTCGACATGAGCGGGAGCTGGAAGGTCTTCGCTCTCAACTAGGCAGCTCCCACCGACAGACCATAGGCGACTTGCGGGTCCAACTAGGCAATGTTGCGCAACAGACCTCTGACCTGCATCGACAGCTACAAACGCATCAGGCTGAGAACGAAGAGTTGCGCAACCAGCTCCATTCCGCACATCAGCGACAACAAAGCTTAACCAGTAATGGCGAGCATGAACGCCGAATCGAAGCGTTGCAAGAGGAATTGACCGCGCAGCAGAAGCTGACGAATCAAGTCCGTGACGAGGCGATGATGTATTTGCAAGAGATGCGCGACCTCAGTCGCCAAACTGACTACGCCGTCGAGCAGGAAGAAAGACTAGCCCAGCGTGTTGCGCAGTTGGAGCGGGAAAACGAGGAGTGGCGACATCGCTATACGCGCGTCAAAGCCCAGAACAAGAGTCTTCGCGCCTCGACGATGGGATTAGCGCTTCCCAATGCTTTTGACGCGAACAGTCTCCTCGGTGGCGGGAAGGAAGGCCTAATCTCTGATGCAGGGTTGGTGAGAGATGTGGACATGACCCGCTTCCAGCTCTCCATCGACGAACTTCTCCGCACCGCTCGCCAGCCGGAGCAGAATGAGCGGATGCTGGATGGTGTCAAGAATGTCGCTCTTGCCGTGCAGGGGCTCACGGCTGCGGTCGTGAGTCCGCAAGGGTATCCGACACCTTCGCCTAGTCCGCTGGGTCCGGAACGGGATGGTGGTGCGGAGAGTGTGGCGAAAGTCAAGGCGAGGGTGAATGGGACGGCGAACAGTCTCATCACGGCTACGAAGCTGCATGCGAGCGCCATGGGTTTGAGTCCAGTTGCGCTAGTGGACGCTGCGGCCAGTAACCTCACTGCGGCGGTGGTGGAGTTGGTCAAGACGGTGGGTATCCGGCCTTCGGAGGGTCATGAGCTGAACTCGGAGATTGGGGAAGATGATACAGAGGTCACTATCGACGGACCAGGTGATCATCATCATCATCATCAGCAGCATCTGCGGGACGAGAGCATGGGTTCCTTCTACAATGACTCGCCATCTTACTCGCCTGCCCGAGGATTGCCGGGCAGAGGCTCAGAAGTCCATTCGCCATCACCGTCGGGTTCGGTTAATGGCGTTGTGACGCCGAGCTTGGAGATTAGCAGCGAGACGCCGCCTCCATCGAAGCCTGCGCCGCTGAATCTGGGGAGGAGTAATACTGGACGCAAGAATGGGTGGTTCGGGGGTTGGGGAAGAAAGGCTAGTGAGGATGAGACGGCGACGTTGGCGCAGACGCATACGCAGAGTCAGGCGACGGAGAGTGGGAAGGCGGTAACGCATGGGCAGGGACATGCGGATGGGGTGGCGGAGGGGTTGGCGAGTGAGGAGTATGATCCTTACCGGTAGTGCATCTTGCAGGTTTGGAGTACATGGTTTGGGCTAGCTCTCGGAGGTGTTCGTGGGTTTGGCTAGGTGTTCTGCAATAGCATTGGATGGTGTTGGGATAAGCCGCCATGGCTGTCGGGGTGCGGTGCTTGTGGGCTTGCTTGTACTCAGCTGAGAAACGAGACGGGGTATTGCCATTGGAACATAGATGTGGTAATGTATGTACTCAGCAGGCCTGGTAACCAGAAGCGCCCACAATCGAGCAGCTCCATAGCTATAGTACAGCTTCAGCCTTCCAGAGGGAGACTGCAAGCCGTTAAGAAGCCGTTGTCGCGCGCGCAGCTGCAACGGTGCTCACCATGCAGAGGTGGTGGTCTTACAGCCAGCCTCGAACGTGAGCTGACGTCGGCCCGCTTCTGCAGGCGTAGCTGCTACGGCTCGCTGACGAGGTGGACGCTGAACACGGCCGCCACCATGTCCTGCGAGACATGCGACTCCTTTACGCTGTCCTTGTGCCAAGCTCGGGTAAAATAATTGCATGAAGCATGAATCGTACGAGGGGGCGATATCGTGCGCCACAGCCGCACTGTGGAGCACGTAATTCCCGGCAGTCAAGTGCCCGTGGCGTGGCCAGGAGACAGAATGCAGATCACGGGCATGTCAGCTGCAGCAAAGCACTGGCGATGTATATTAAATAGAGCTCGCCGCTCGTATAAGGTCAGCCATATATGCTAACGTTGAAGTTGTCATCTCTCGTTCTCTCTTTCCTGCACTCCAGAAGCAAAGGATCCGACCCGTGCCTCGTTTAGCCACCCTGCACCGAAGAATCTGGGGAAAAGAAGCCGCCATCTCCGCTGCGCAGCCAATCACGGGCGTTGAGCGACGTGGTACCTGCGCAGATCTAGCGATTATATTTTCTTGCCGTCCAGACGGGACCAGGGAGAGACGGCAAGCGTGGGAAGCGAGAGCGGTGAGGCACTATCGCAACGCGGATCCGTGGCGGTGGTTGGGAGCGGGAGACGGCAGGGCAGCGGTTCTTGGTAACTTGGAAAGCTGTTGTGTCGTTCTTGCTTTGACTTTGACCTTGTTCCTGCCGGTTGCGATCTTTTGTTTGGTGGAAGACGTCACTGTGGTACCACTGTGTGAAGAGGCGCGGAACTGAGCATTGCACATCTTGGAAGCTTTTGAGAGAAGGAGCTACTGGTACAAGAGCGAGTGTGAAGAGATCTTTGGTACAACAATAAGTTACAAAAAGAGTGAAGGATGAGGTTCGCGACTGCTTGAGACGAACAATACCAAGCCGCCTTCCGCGTACGAACTCGACCTTGCCTCGACACCAGCTACACCTCTTAACGTTGGACGACGAGCTTCAACATGCTCAACTCGCTCATACCCACACGCTGGCGGCGTAACCTCGAGCTTCCCGACTCCGACAAGCCAGGCTACTACAACCGCCAAGTCACGCCGTACGTACAGGCGCTTTCGCACACCGCATGCACCCATCCGATCCACACCATAGCATTCGTTGCGGTGCTTGGTAGTGCATTCTACGTCAACTTGCTAGAGTCAGGCTTCTTCCAGCCTTCGCCGGCGGCGCTGGGTAACCGGGTCGATCTCGATGCGCTCTCGGCAGGGAGCAGGAGACTGCAGCTTGGGCCGGAGACTGCATGGAAATGGCAACTCGAGGAGAATGGCGTAAGACATGTGTCGGTGGACCATGACGAGCTAGCGCTCGTGACGCTGGCTTTTCCGGCCAGTCAAGGCGCCCTCTATGCGGCCCCAGAAGCAGAGAAAGTCCCATTGTTGGAAGGCGGCTCTGCGGAGCTACTACCCTCAAGTTCGAACATCCTCCTGGGCATTTCCTCCGATGTAACGCTGGCATACGCCATGCCATACGCCGAGGTGCCGCAAGCGCTGGAAAGCATCAAGGAGCTTCCGGCTTCCGGCTTAGTTGCGGCGCAGGATGACGAGACGGACGATGAGCCAAAACGGCCACAATGGACGTTACGAACCGGTAAGCGCTCGACTTCATCCAACGGCATGCTTGAATGGGCAGAGAACTCCTGGACGGCCTTTATCGATTTACTGAAGAACGCGGAAACACTCGACATAATCATAATGTCTCTGGGCTATTTCAGCATGTACTTGACTTTCATCTCGCTTTTCCTCAGCATGCGCCGCATGGGCTCCAACTTCTGGCTGGGCACCACTGTCCTTTTCTCTTCGGCATTTGCGTTTCTGTTCGGCATTGTAGTGACGATGAAACTGGGTGTTCCGGAGAACGTGGTCTTGCTTTCGGAAGGCGTGCCGTTTCTGGTTGTAACGGTAGGCTTCGAGAAGCCGATCGTACTCACCCAGGCCGTGCTTTCGGCAGCTTTGCAGGCAAAACGGCCGAACCCAAACGGCAACGGCAATGGAGACGCACCGCACACTATTCAGAATGCAGTGCAAACTGCTGTCCGAGAACGTGGCTTTGAGATTGTCCGCGATTACGCCATCGAGATCGCCATTCTCTGCGCTGGCGCGGCTTCAGGAATACAGGGCGGCCTGAGACAGTTCTGCTTCTTGGCTGCTTGGACGCTCTTCTTCGACTGCATCCTGCTGTTCACCTTCTACACTTCCATTCTGACGATCAAACTTGAGATCAACCGCATTAAGCGGCATGTCGCTCTCCGCAAGGCGCTCGAGGAGGACGGAGTCAGCCGGCGGGTGGCCGAGAACGTGGCGTCCAGCAATGAGTGGCCGAAGGACGAGAGCATACAGAGCTCCGAAGGCTACAGCATCTTTGGCCGGAAAGTGCGCGACAGCAGCATCCCTCGCTTCAAAGTGTTGATGGTGACAGGCTTCATTTTAATCAATGTGCTCAACCTCTGCACCATGCCTTTCCGCGGGACGCGTAACAACTCGCCTGTCACCACCGCAGGCTTGTCGAGCGTCGTAACGCAGCCACCGATGGACCCGTTCAAGGTTGCCGGGAATGGCCTGGACTACATCTTCAGCCAAGCGAAACGCAACGACCAGGCCATCAGTGTCACAGTATTCAACCCCATCAAGTACGAGCTCCAGTACCCGTCGGTGCATCACGCAGTCAAGCAAGGCTCAGACTGGTCTCTCTTCGACGGTGACTACCGGGATGGTGTGTTCTCCGCCGTCGGCGGCAGGGTCGTGGAGAGCCTACTCAAGAGCTTCGAGGACCCCGTGCTTAGCAAGTGGGTTATTGTGGCTCTGGCGATGAGTCTGGCGCTCAACGGCTACCTATTCAATGCTGCACGGTGGAGTATCAAGGATCCTGACCAAGAGCAACATGATAGCGTACCGGAGGTCACCGTGCAGTCCGCGCGCCCGGTCAGTGCGCACAAGCACAAGCCGAGCATAAACGGGGCGCTGGTTGCTCCCACCACAAATGGCGAGCCGAAGGAGCCTGGAGCAGAGCCTCATGAACCTAATGGATCACGAAAGCGGACACGGGAGGAATGTGAGGAACTTTTGCGCGAGAAGAAGGCACCCTTACTCGACGACTCCGAATTGATCGATCTATCTCTGCGTGGCAAAATCCCTGGCTATGCGTTGGAGAAGACGCTTGAGGATAAGACACGAGCTGTCAAAATCCGACGAGCGGTCGTCTCGCGAACACCAGGTACGGCGGAAGTTACGTCCAAGCTGGAGAACTCATTGCTTCCGTACGAACACTTCGATTACGACCGCGTTTTCGGGGCCTGCTGCGAGAATGTCATTGGCTACACGCCGTTGCCGCTTGGTGTTGCTGGACCTCTGACGATCGACGGCCGAAGCTACTACCTACCCATGGCAACGACAGAAGGCGTCCTCGTGGCAAGCACAAGCAGAGGCTGTAAGGCTATCAACGCTGGTGGCGGCGCCGTCACAGTTCTTACAGGCGACGGCATGACTCGCGGTCCTTGCATTGGCTTCGACACGCTTACCCGTGCAGCTGCGGCGAAGAACTGGCTTGACAGTGCGGAAGGACAGAAGGTGATGCGTGAAGCGTTCAACTCGACCTCACGCTTTGCCAGGCTCCAAACGCTAAAGTCCTCGATCGCGGGAACGTACGTGTACGTCCGCTTCAAGACTACGACGGGCGACGCAATGGGCATGAACATGATCTCGAAGGGTGTCGAACAAGCGCTGAGTGTCATGCGTAACGAAGCTGGATTCGAGGATATGGCCATCATATCTGTATCCGGAAATTACTGCACCGACAAGAAGCCTGCAGCCATCAACTGGATCGATGGACGCGGAAAAAGCGTTGTCGCTGAAGCTATTATTCCGGCAGAGGTTGTCCGATCGGTGCTCAAGAGCGACGTTAACGCGCTTGTTGAGTTGAATGTTGCGAAGAACTTCATCGGCAGCGCCATGGCGGGAAGTATTGGAGGCTTCAATGCGCACGCCGCCAACATTGTTACTGCCATCTTCCTCGCGACGGGTCAGGATCCAGCGCAGAATGTTGAGAGCAGCAATTGCATTACTGTTATGAAGAAGTAAGCCTCCTACTTCCTTTTGTGTAATGATATCGTTCGCTAACACCTTCGCAGTCTCAACGGCAACCTCCAAATCTCCGTCTCGATGCCGTGCATCGAAGTCGGCACCATCGGTGGCGGTACAGTTCTCGAGCCTCAAGCCGCCATGCTCGACCTCCTTGGCGTTCGCGGCGCGCATCCTACTTCACCAGGTGACAACGCACGCCAGCTTGCACGAATTATCGCAGCCGGTGTGTTGGCAGGTGAGCTGAGTTTGTGTTCGGCGTTAGCCGCAGGACATCTCGTGAGGGCGCATATGGCGCATAACCGGAGCGCTGCGCCGTCGAGGGCACAGAGTCCGGGTAGGACTGGATTGGCGATCACCACTAGTACGGCAGGGCAGGAGGCGAGGAGGTGAAGGAATGTTTGTTGAGCTACCGCATTTTCGCGAGCGAGGAGTTTGGGGGCATTTGAAGCGAGCGAGGAGCCGCGATTGTATATATTGAGCATACCTCGCCGCAAGGTGCAGGCTGAGTAGCGTAAGTTACGCATGTAATCTGCCAAAGTCGAACTAAAGAGGTTGACATTCGAGTTGTCTCTACCAGCTACGTCCGACAGCTACAGGGCACGAGACCGAAGGAGTCATGCGCACGATGCCCTCCCTAGAGTGCCTGCCTACATAGGCTCGAGGTTCAGGAATGCTTGTAGTGCTAAGAGTCGCGCCCCTAAGCATAAGGATCAACATACCTCCTCCCATCCACGCCCCTACTAACCGCCCTCCTCGGCCTCTCTCCTCCCCCACCACCACCAGGACCATCACCCTCAAACCGCGTCATCTTCGGCCGGCCTTGCCTCCTACCCTCATCCGGCGGAGCACCCGGATACGCATCCACTTCACTGCCGCCACTCATCCTTCCTCCTCGCCTTACGCCGGGAGGAGGATATCCACCATTACCGCCTGATTGGTCAAAGGATCTGGACGGCGGCCGTCGACCGTCCGCGTGGAGAGGTTGACGCGGGTTGTGGATTACGCTGCCTCCGTCGTCGTTGCCGTCGTCGTAGGCGTACGGGGCTGGGGATTGGTCGAAGCGTGGGCGAGGGGGTGGCGGGCGGCGACGGTCGTCGTCTGGTGGAGGACGTCTCCGGTCTTCATCTGGTGGAGGGCGGCGGTCTGGGCTCCGGTTGTAGGGTCGAGCTTGACCCTGCGCACGACGGACAGCCTGTTGTTGCGGTGGGGGCGGACGTTGATTCTGCGGCTGCCGCGCCACGTGCGTAGCAAACAATGGTGACGCGCTAGGACCGAAACCACCGCCTATCGGAGGCGTTGCACTGTTCTCTTGTGCCGAGTTTCTCCGTCCAGATGGCTCGTCGTAGCCTTCGAAGTAGTCGTCGTATTCCTTCTGGCTTGGCGTAGGCTCGTGGCTGCGCGAGTGCCTAAGATGCGCTTCCCGCGAGTCGCGCTTGTGGTTAGGTGGCCTTCCTTGTTCGCCTCCACGATGGTTGTGGTGATGGTGGTGATGTTGATGAGGCGGTGTCGGACGTGGCGAGTTATACATGCTACTCTCGTCTGCGTCCCAGTCGTCGTCGCCGGAATTAGGTGTGACAGGCGGACGCTCAGCCTGCTGTGAGCTTCGCCGACGGCGGTGTCGCTGCTCATGTGGCGAAAGAGCGGAACCATTGTCATACGTTGAAGCTGCCGCTGGTGGAGCCTCCTCTGGATAACGGTTAGTATGTCGATGGTCCGGCAAACTACGCCGTCTTCGATCCCGGCCGTCTCTCTCCCGGCTCGCTTGCCTGCTACCTTTACCGTCCCACAAATGCGGGCTGCCGATGTTGCGTATAACATTACCCGCCGATATCGCAGCTTCCTTGCCTTTATCCATCATAGTAGTCGGCCTTGGACTGATCGCAGGCCGCTTACTGTTTCGTCTTACAATGCTCGGCCTGCCATCTACATGCCTGAATAGCGGGTTGCGGAAATAAGCCAACGCCGGCCCATGACTGTCCACACTGCCCTCATCATCGGTCAACCTTTCCGCTCCGTCCACATTCTCCGCCGCGGCAGGCCGATTCCGCAACCTCCTCTGGTCCGCCTTCTCCGCCTCAATCTCGCGCATCCTCTCTTCCTCTTCCGCCTCCTTCCTCAGACGTTCACTGACACCCTCATACCAAGCCACCATGTGCTTATCCGGTTCCATCGGGAAGCACCGTCTCGGCAGCACCTTCGGAAACGTATCGCCAGTATCGATGTCCTTGACATCCCACTTCTGCACCGCCTCCATCATGAACTGGCTATGCTCGTCTGGGCCCAGCAATAGCTGGATCGTCTGCCACATGATCCAGCCCTCCGTCTTCAGCGCCGGCACAGTCGGGTCTGTGAAAGCTGTTCCATGGCTGAAGTTTTGCGGTTGCAGACTGTGTAGACATCCTAGCGACTTGTAAATGAAGGAGATGCTATCACTTGGCGTGCCGAGGAAGAGCTGGTCATAGTTGCCATGCAACTCCCGGTAGAAGTGGGCGATCTGGTCCGGGGTCAGGTCAGATTGCTGGTCGAGGGAGCTGGCGCCATGGTCGGCGGCGGAGTTGAAGTGAGTGTTAATGACCTGTTTCAGGCCACGGAGGAGTGACTTGAAGCGATCGGTGCCGGTCTTGTCGGGCTTGAAGAGGTAGCCCCAGTAGGCGTACGCATCGCTATCGTCGATGGCGGGGACGGTGTCGTGGCTCTCCGGTGGGGTTGCTGGGGGTGGAGGTCCCGAGCGGGGTATCTCCTCGGTAGCAGGTGTGATGGGCGCTGAGTCCGTTGCACTCATTCTTGCCTAAGGTCGGTGAAGGCTGACCTACGCGAGGTACTTGTATGGTAATTATCGTCTGAGCAAGAGTCTCCGCCTCAGCTTCCAAGCGGCATCTTTCCCTTGGTGAAGGTGACCACGGCAAGTACTGTTGTACTGAGCGGTCGACATGCAATAGCTTCAGCTGAGCCAGCCTCGTAGATGTATCGCATGTGCATCTAATCGTGCCTGCACTCTGATGTCAAACTGTGGCGCAAGCGAAAGCTGTTGTGGCGTCGCTGGACAAGGTACGGTTACATGTAGATGCACGTTCATGTCCATAGCTTTAATTCACTCAAACCATCATCATCATCAGGCACCAACAGCACGTATCTATGTTGGTAGACCATACAATCTCATCGCGACGCTGCCAGTGAGAATGGAACACGCTACGCTCGCCACTATCGCCTGTGCAGCATTGACGCACATAGACCACGCTCGTCACGTAAGGCTGGTGAAGCAGGCTGACCGTGGGCGGCCTCCTCTGCCTATAGGCTGCGATATATGCATGCAGGCGGTGGCTGAGCTCGGTAGCTGCATGTAGCCTTGTCACTCTGGCAAGAGCACTCCCACTCCAGCCTGATCTCGTAGCACGCTTGACCTCTCCTTTCTCAACCCTTCTTCGTCCTACAGTTCCTGAACGTTTTTGGGCAAGAAGGTCGGTCACAGGCCCACCATGTCAGGCGCCGAAGCAGTGCTCGGCGCCGTAGCCAGCGGCGCAGGTCTGATGTCGCTCTCTATGGACCTACTGGACTCGGCGCAGAAGTTGAACAAGTTCTTCCACAACGTCCGCGACGCTCCGCAAACGGTCAAGGATCTAGCTTTCGATCTCGAGACGCTATCATTAGCTATGCAAGACCTCGAGCGGCACAGACAGCAAGATAAACACGACTCCAGGCTGCTTGATCGCTGCCTCGTGCGCATACGTAGTTCCACCTCCGCGATCAGTCGGACGCTAGATGAGATGAACAAGCGGCTCCAACAGCGTCCCAAGATTGGAAGAATGTACGCTGCTTTCAAGGAAGAGGATCTCGAGGACCTTCTTGATAAGCTTGAGCGGGCGAAGACATCTCTGATGTTCGCTTCTAACATGTATTGGCAGTCGCGGAACGGGTCGAGAGCTGAGAGTCATGCACAACAGCAGCAGGCGTATATGCTGCAACTAATGAGTCTTCAGACGCAAACGTTGCAGTCTTTTCAGACGCTGCATGCCACTGCTACGATTCAGCTGAACAGCGCGAGTTGCGAGTCTGCCAGCGCCGCTACTGGCGGCCTCGTTCGTACCACTTCTGGTTGCGAAGCCCGTGACGGCACGATCAAAAGACGAAAACGCGTTGCACCGAAAGACACAGCATGGAAAGCAAGCTATCGCATTGACCTGAGCTTTATGCGGTCCCTGGGCCTGACTGGCCGTATCTGGAACATTGCCATGTCGCACGCGGCGTGCGGCTTCAACTTCAACCTCACTTCGGTCACCGTACGCGGTCAGGATGCTAAAATCTTTAGGCGACTTGAGCACGGTGACATTATGGGCGTACAGGAGCTTCTGTCGAACGGCCAAGCGTCTTTGCATGACGTTCAACCAAATGGCCGGAATTTGCTAGAAGTGCGTTTGATGCCTTACATGATTGTCCTGCACTGACAGCCATTAGCTCGCTGTGAGAGATGGCGAACTCGACGTTTGCCAATGGCTACTGAGCAAAACTCTAGCTTGGACGATCAACCCAGACGCCTTGGCTATGTTCTTCTTCTCTACAGAAAGCTCAGCATCCGAACAAGTCGCCTTTGCACGACTGCTTCTCAAACTAGATGGGTCCGACATCGACTTCATAGACGTCTTTCTTGATAGATCGGCAGACCACACGACAGTTGGGCTCACCTTCTTCCTGCGCTGCGGCTCACTCCAGGCCGTTGAGGTTATTCTTCAGGACCAGTCAATACCTTTAACCTCTTGGACATCGCAAGAAAGGCTTGTATTGGCTAGACATCTTTGCGCCAACAGTGAGTTAAAGCCTGCTTTCATACGATCAATCATACCCGAAGACGCCAACATTGTAGGGCCTACGGTCTTTGATTCGACGGCAGCCGTAAGATTGATGCACGACGTGATAAGGCGGCTCGCAGACTCCGAAGATGACGATCTTGCCGGCTGGGTTGATATTGTCAAGATTCTCCTACTGAATAGGCCTACCCTCGCGTACGGCCTTAGTAGTATGGCACACCCACTGGCGACATTGATCATTTTCGCTTATTATGCTGGTCCCGAAAGGCTAGTCCATCTCTTAGAGCTTTGGATTACGATTTTGCGAGATATTGGTGTAGACTTGCCGGAGTATGTCAGACTGGTAAACAACGCGATTCGTGATGCGCCTGAGAAATGGAGGCTTGACCACTGGAATGCAGCAGTCCGGGGTCTCGTCTACGGTGGTGAAGACCCCGGAGCGTGGGGTCTCAAGGTTCGGAAGCACGTTGAGCTGTGCATCTACCGGCTACACGAAGTGCCTGGTGCTTTCCCGTCAAACAACCCAGTACCCAAAGTCATATGCTGGAGGCCAAGTGAGGATGAGGAACAAGAAGGGCATTGGGAACATGTTAGAACATTTGATCTCTACGGCGAGGCTGGCATAGATCTTACAGAGATCCGGCAACAACAGAACGACCTGTTTGCGGCTCTTGTGGAGGCTACACAGGACGATGCTGGTGCGCTCGCAATGCTTCTGGAGCGATCCCGACCACGGCGCCAACTCAGACGGTCATGTAGTCTCCCTGCTCTGCGAGTAGTGGATGGCGCGGATTGGGCTCCAGATCATGTTGTCGAGTCATGGAGAGAATGGCTGCCCGATTACCACTTCTGCCCTCTTGATTCAATTCACAGGTATGGGTGCCGGCAATTCTACTGTCTTTCGGGTAGGGGCTTGGAGTTTGTCTGGTCTCTCCGCGACTGTATTCGTGGCCTATCTGATCTTGACCAGTCGTTCCAGGACACATGGCAATGGGAAGAGTGCAGCTTCCTTTACGATTACCGTCAGAAAAATGAAACTTAAAAGATGAGTGCCCCACGAAGGACGAGAAGTGCTGACCTCCAAGCTGAAGAGTTATACGCACCGCAATCATCGGGCTTACTAACCACCTCATCAGTCAAGCGGTGCATGGGCAGTCTGACATCATCGGGGTTCGTTCGTTGCGCTCAGCCTTGACTTCTCTCCTTCGGCCAACCTGCTCGGTCGCGCCGGTGCCGAAGTCGTGAGATGGTACGTCGCCCTCTCTCCACCATATGGGACTTCTCCGTGCTTATTCCGACATGCACCAGATGGCCAAGCTCAATACGAAAACCAGCGCCTTTTATGGATGTGGAATGTTTTCGTACATCCCAGCTACCATTGAGACCATTCCTTACGTCGTTAGCATTGGCCCATTGATAGAAGCTATCGTGCTGTCTGCCTGAGAGCTCCGAAGGATTACTGCCAATTTGATTAAATCCTCCCGCTCTATCCGCGCTGCGAGTCGAGATATTAACGGACTAACGGCCCGACAGCTCCGTATACAACCCTGAATGCAGGTCGACATGAGTGCTGCTAAGGGAGAGAAGAGAACAAATGGCAGGTTTCACAGCATTTGATCTACATGATTGCCACGCATGAGCCGCTGCTCTCAGCAATCCTATGATACTTGCGGACACTCAAAAACTTCACCACGGTTCAGCATTGCTTTCGTCATCTACAACCCGACCATGGATCTGCTCCTTCACCCCAGTAGCCGCAATCACCAATGCTTTGGCGCCCTGCCTCGGGTCTTTCGCGCCATGATAGTAGTTCAAGTTGGTGGCTGCAAGAAGTCAGTCAAACACCGGCCAAGACGAAGGAAGAAGTTAATGCTCACCGCAGTATCCCGGATCAGAAGCAGAGACAACGAAGCCTTCAGCCTCCAAGGAGCGCGCATAATGGATCATGACCATATTCTCGGCGGTCTTCGTCGAGCGATACAACGGATAGTTCGCGCCCGACATCTCGCCATCAAGTGTTGCAGCCCACTCCAGCGAAGACAGAGCAGACGATGTGAACGCAATGCGCTTGCCACCTTCCGTAGTCGACTTCTTAAGCAACGGTAGAAACGCTTCCGTAACCACCGCAGCACCGAACAAATTCGTATCGTAATGCCGATGATACAGCTCCCGGAGCGTGGGACCAGTTCCGTCCGCATTGGCCGCTTGCTGCGCGGCGATACCGGCATTGTTCATGAGGATGTCGAGGTAGCCATACTTGTCCGCGACGTGCTTGGCGGCAGCTTTGATGGAGTCGTCTGAGGTAACGTTGATCTGGATGGGCTCGAGGTCGTGCTCGGAGACTTTGACGGAGTCGTCAGCGACGAGCTGTTGGATCGCTTTGTGTGCTTTGTTGAGGTCGCGGCTGCCGAGGAAGATGTGGTATTTGCCGGTGGAGGCGAGCTGTTGGCTGGCGTAGTAGCCCAGGCCTTGGTTAGCGCCCGTGACAAGGACGAGGAGTTTGGCTGTGGTGCCGTTGAGCTGTTGTGTAGACATTGTACAAATAAGTTTCGTGAAACACAAAAGTAGGTTATAGAAACAACTCCGAGGGATTGATATGGATTTCAATGATTATACGATATGCCCCCCGGCAGGTTAGCCATTACATCCGGGCAGCTTTTCAGGGTCTCCTGGACATGCCGTGCTTTTATCTCCATATATCGGCAACGACCAGACTGACTTCCGCGCTCCCTCGAATACATTGGGGAGAAGATCTCACTCGATGATGCCGCCTTGGGTCCTAAGGTGCGCAGGGTATCAAAGCACGTAAGTGCCGCAGCAGCAGGTACGATCTGTCCGTCCGAAATTTTGCTGCAAGGGTTCTCAAGCTCCAAACTGGCGCAGTGTCAATAGCCGCCTGCGGCAGTGGCAGATATGCTCCGGCGTCAGGACGCCCTTGATACCGCTGTCCCAATAAAAGGTGGCCTCCACGCTGGCACGCAAGACTACATGTACAGTACTGCCATTCCAGCGCAATAATGGCTATTCAAGGATATGACGCAAGACGCCACCAATGGTCCGCGCTCGTTCTCGAAGACGGGAAGCTTGCGTAACCCGCGTCGCTGCTAACCCGAAGTTGTCTAGACTCATGCAACCCCAAACGCTCTCCTGTAGCCACCACCAACGCTTCATGTTCCATCTGTGCTTTTGTTCATCACAAACCTCACGCCTTTTTCTATCTGCACCTTCTGTTGACGGTGCTGTTCAAAGCCCGCAGTCCATTCGCTTTTTTATTCTCTCATCTTCCTCAAGTCTAACATTCCTGGGGAGTGAAGGCGTCATTAGTTTGTGTTTGGGAAGACGCATTTGCCAGAAAACAAAACAGCCTGTGCGCTGGTTGCACGAAGTACAGAAGATCTTGCCATACACGCTCGATCCATCTGCCTGCTGCCGCCCCAGCGCGTGCACGAGCGCATCGCCACCCTCCCGACTCCGATCACTAATACGCTGGGATGAAGCCATCCTTCAGCGCCTCCGCTGCGATCGCGGCAACTTTCGCCCTCAGCGTCAGCGCAGCGAACAGCATTCCGACTTGCGGACCGAATCAGCTATGCCCTTCCAGCTCGCCATGTTGCTCCCAGTACGGCCAATGCGGTGTCGGCGCATACTGCCTGGGCGGCTGCGACCCTCGCTACTCCTACGACCTACAGTCCTGTGTGGCAGCGCCGACATGCAAGAGTGGTGACTTCGAGCTTAACTCACTTGACGATGTAAAGCCGAACACACAATACCTTGGCGACTCGAGCACTGCCAACTGGGTCTCGTCTGGCACGCCAGTCGTGTACAACAATGAGAGCGTACTGTTGACGATGGCGCCGAACACGGTTGGCACATTGTTGATGAGCACACATTATGTGTGGTATGGAGAGGTCAGCGCGACATTCACGACGAGCCAAGGTGCTGGCGTGGTCACTGCATTCATTATGATGAGCGACGTGCATGACGAGATTGATTTCGAGTTCGTCGGTGTGGATATGACGCATGCACAGAGCAACTACTACTTCCAAGGCATCACGGATTGTAAGTCTGGTTTCGAAGCAGTCTGGATGCAGAATAGCTGACCTGCATTCTCTAGACAATAATGGAGCGAACTTGTCCGTCTCCGACACGAGGCAGAACACGCATACGTACACGTTCAACTGGCAGCCGGACTCGCTTACTTGGGCCATCGACGGCAATGTCATGCGCACATTGAACCGCAACCAAACGTACAACAGCACCACGCAGCAATACCACTACCCGCAATCACCCTCACGTATTATGTTATCGCTATGGCCAGCCGGCCTGGCGTCGAACGGCCAAGGCACGGTTGACTGGTCCGGCGGTCTGGTGAACTGGGACAGCCAGTACATGCAAAACGGCTACTATTACGCGGTGTTCAGCGATGTAAAGGTGAACTGCTACAACCCACCAAGCGGTTTCAGCAACAACCACGGCAGTGCGGCGTATTACTACACTAGCGGCTACGGGACCAATGATACTGTCGCTACTGGCAATAACAACACAAAGCTTGCTTCTTTTCAAGCAACCGGCGACAACCCAAATTATGACCCGAATGCCTCGGCCTCCGCCAGCGCGAGCAAAACGTCTGCCTCTGCCACCATGTCCGCCACACCGGAGACCGTACCAGGAATTTCTGGCGGCGGCGCGCAAGGCAATGCTGGCGCTGAAGACGGGTCATCCGGCTCGTCCGGATCGTCCGGCTCGTCTGGCTCGTCTGTAAGCTCTGCGGGCGCCAGCCAAAGCACTGGCAGCTCGGGGGGCTTCTCGCAGGGTGGCGGAAGCACAGGTACGAGTCAGGCGCCGAAAGTGGTGGCTGGCAGTGCTGTGGCGTTGCTCGGCTTCTTTGTCGCGTGTCTGTTGCTATGAGCAGGAAAATGTAATGTGTAATGCGGATTTTGGGAGGCATCTAGTGCATAGCGGGTGCTGTTCGGTTCGGCGTCAGGGGCGGGTGTCAAAATGGAAGTGGGCGGCGCTGCATGATCTCGGCATGTGCTTTGTGTCAATAGTTAATGTAAGGGCAGAAGTAGCACGTCTTCTTGCTCAACTCGCTGTTTACGCAATAATTCGGTGCCTTAGGCTCTCCAGTTCGCTCACGCCAAGATTTGCGGCCACACTTCCGCTTTTCGATGCACATTCGCGACAGTGAGCATACGAACTTGCGTATAGCGGCCAAACAAAACACCACCCCTTGTATCCATCAACAACTTCAACCACCATGGAGAACGAACGCGGTGACCTCGTCGACCTGTAAGCGCTGAACCCGGCACGGTCCCTATCAAATCACTTCTAACACAACTCATGCGCTTCGCAGCTACGTCCCTCGCAAGTGCTCCGCAACCAACCGCATCATCAAAGCCAAGGACCACGCCAGCGTGCAAATCAGCGTCGGCAAGGTGGACGAGAACGGCAGGTACACCGGCGACAATCAGGTGTACGCGCTTTGTGGGTTCGTAAGGGCGATGGGTGAGGGCGACGACTGCATGAACCGGTTGGCGCAGAGGGATGGGTTTTTGAAGGGGGTGTGGAATGCGAGTCGGTAAGGGGGTTGTTGTGTGGGAGGGGTGCTTATGTGCTGGGAGTAGGTTGGTGGGTGTGAAGGGAAGGCCAGAGGTTGGATTGGGCTGACGGTGTACAGGCGCCATGACGACTATACTCTGAGAATTGCTACTGCGATGTTTTCGATGCGCTAGAGACTGATGCGTTACGCACGTCGAAAACCGATACAGCAGGTGTTCGTCCTGTATCGGACCCATCACGTCTATCTGCCGCAACCTCCGCTTATCTCAGTTCTCATTTTCACGTTTTGCTCATACCTGGCAATATTTTCTGGCGCCCGAAGAGTACCTCCTATCCAGGTCAACCATGCGTCCGGCTATCAAACGGCCTTCTCTTCGCCGCCTTACCCATCAGGTAGGTCATGGAAGCAGAAGGAAAGGCGTGAGACAGGGAAGACGCTGGGTTCTTCGGAAACCGCGTCATGCCTTGTCCCACACTCAGCCCAGATTGATCGATAGTACTCGCCTCGAAAAGTCTGCTGTCGTTGAGCGTAATGGGCAGTGCACACAGATACGGGCGAGACACTCAAGCTTCGAACACTGGACGTCATGTTCTGCCATAAGATTTTTGAGCTCAAGTTCCTCACGAGCAGTCAATATTATTTCACTGCCCATCAAAGTGAGTCACGCTGTATCAGGAATTGCTCAATCTAGTGCTAGCACTGCGAAGCCTGAAGTCCATTGATAGCATATGGCTCACTCTGACAAGGCATGTCGTCGTCCAAGCACATTCTCTCAAGCCGGTCTCATGACATTATATGATCTCGAATACGCCTTCGTAGTCGTACGTAGTACAGTAAAACCATCCATCTTCTTCGCATTTTCCTTAATTAGGCTCAACCCATCCGTCATGGTAAGTGATCAACCTCCAAGTGCACACTACTGCCCGCGACCACGTGAAGAAACCACATTTTGCCGAGATGAGAGCCGAGACTCCATGCGTACCTTACCGACATCGTCTGAGAGTTGCAGAAGCTGTAGCTTTGGTTTGAGACAGAGATATGTCCACAGTCAAGGCGGGTAGCAGTAGCTAACCAACAGACCAATAACCGCCGTAGGAACACCAACCACCGGAGAACACGCCAATGCATATCAGCGCGAAGACAACCGACTTCCAACCACGCCTCTCAAGACATCCGCTTCAGCCTCCGCCCTCGCAAGTCTCAACTTCAGCGCATCCCTCTCCCTCGTCACGCTCGCTAGCGCTTCTTCGAGCTCCGCCACCCGATCGACCTTACGTTGCCGATAACGGCGCGCAGCCTCTGTATTCCGTTTGCGTTTGCGAGATTTATCTGCGGGCTCTGGTGTAGCTGATTCCGAACGTGATTTCTGCAAGTCTAAGACAGGAGACGCGGCGCGACCGACAGATGACCGGGAGGTATTTGAGCTTGTTGCTGTCGAACTCGGGTGACTCGCTGCAAGCTCTGTGTACCCGTGTCCTGCAGGAATGCTGGTCCCCAGAGATTTGGCTTCGTCAATCGCAAGGTAGGCGGGATTGCTAGTTATGGCTGGCGTTGTTGGACTGGTAGCAAGATACGAAGGGTTGGCGCCGTACTTCACAGCACTCATGAGCGGCTCCGAACCGGCAGGATGTATAGCAGGTGGCAAGAAGGTGCTCCAGTCAAAGTCCGAACTCCAACATTCTAAATCAACAAAGAGGTCTGAAAAGTCTTGGTCCGAAAGAAGTGGTAGCGCGGCGGTCTCCTGACTGTTGCCAGCAAGAGGTCCTTGAAGCGAAGACGGTGACGGTTGCTGCGACTTCCATGTTTGCAAGTTGAGGACGGCCTCGACAGAGGCCGGTTAAGGGGATCAAGAGGGAAGGCTGGTTTGAGTCACGCCTGTGGCGTTTGCAGGTGTAGAAGCAAAATCTACGAACTTGGGAACAGACGGGTTATGTAGTGAGTCGGAGTGATTGAGCATGCACGTATGACTCATTCTGAGTCGGCTGGAGCATCGCTTCAATGTGGAGACCGGATCTCGCCGATCAAGCTCCAGATCTGCTTGCACATGCAATACAATTCCTACGAGCCTTACCCGGACCAAGACCTGGCAGGGAACACAACAGCGACTGTGAAAGGCACTATACATCAGCAGGCAGCAGAACCAGTATCACTCGCGGCAGGTCGAGTAGCATTGCCAGATCCTACTCAGTCCCTCAGCCAAGGCATCATTACTATGACACACCCTAGTCCGTCTTACGTGCCCATGCGCCGTTCGCTATGCATGCTCGCTTCTCCGGCACACCAACGCCACGCTATCTGCGTAACCGCTGCCAATTAACGCCGAACTCTCAGCCAAACAACAATCCCGAACGACGTTTGCGGGCGGATATCCCATTGCCGTTACCGCCCTTCCGCCGTTCTTCAATAGAATATGCTCGACTTCGTTCGCTCGTTTTCCTGAGTACTATTATGCAGATGCTGTGTCAGGTCCATGACTTGACGCACATGGTGCAATGCAAGACCTTCGCCACGCTTGCTCGCCAGGAGTTGTGCCGTCTTAAGGATATTCTTGATCTGCCTCCCGTTCATATTCATGTCGCTCAGCTGTGTAAGGTCTTTCGCGGTGATGACGTGTGGCAATGTACGCTTGAGATGCCGCTCCTGAGCATCTTTGCTTGTCTGCTCATCAGCGGTCCCTTCAGCGGTATCAGCGCCATTGACCTGCACAGGTGAGACTATAGGATGCGTGGTCGGTGGCTTCGCGGCCGAGACGAGAGCCTTCTGTGGCCGCTCACGGGCTGCAGCCTGCGCAACATCATGCTGGTCAAGAAAATTTTGCCATACGGTCCGCCTGCTCTTTGCATCCAGTTCTTTGTACTGAAGGCTGATATGTATTCGGCTTTGAAACGCTGCATCGAAAGTCTGCACACGGTTGGTCGTGAGGAACATGATGCCTTCGTAGTACTCGAGAACACGCAAGAAGATGCTGACCAGCTTATTTCGCTCCAGCTCATGCAGTGACCGCTCTTCCAAGAAGACGTCAGCTTCGTCGAGGAGAAGAATAGCGTTCCACCTTGTGCACATATCGAGGATGCCTTGCAGCTTAGTTTCGACATGTCGCGGATCCAAGCCCAGGTCGCCCGCAGACATCATGTACAAGGGCACCTTCATCTGCTCTGCCACAGATTCGGCAGTGAGAGTCTTGCCCACTCCTGGCGGGCCGCATAGCAGGAGGATGATGCCGCGCCCCTTACCCTCGATGACATCGTCGAATTGGCTGCGATAAGACTGTTGGGTCTCCGTGAAGCTGAGCACCAGTTCCTTCTGATTGGCAGGCAGCACCAAGCTGTCAAAAGCACGAGTGTTGAACTCGATATCCTGAACGGCATTGACGAAGAGCTGGAGCCATAGCTTCTCCTTGAGAGCATAACCGCGGACCAAGGGCGTGCAGATCATCCGCTGCTCATCCGTGAGTGTCACACGCTTGCTTTCTTCGTCCTCTTCATCAGCAAAGAAGCCATCAGCGGGCATGCCGCCATCGTCGTCATCGTAGCCTTCGTCATACTCGTCTTCGCCACCGTAATCGCCGTGATTCGCGATTCCGCCGCCTATGCCAGCAGCTAAGGGTGTATCCTTGATGTGAAGAGCCGTGACAAAGATTGACATGTTTGGGTTGAAACGGTTCCAGCCATGAGTGTCAATGACGATCCGGCCTTTCACCGTGTATTTTTCCTTCACACCCATGTTGCCAAGCCGCCAACCGACGCCGTTATAGGCTCGATAATGAGATCCAGCAAGCGCCTCCACCTTACCGCCGCGCAGGATGAGTTTGTTTCTCAGCTCGTCTTTGTCCCCATAAAACTCCAGTGGTAGCGTAGGAAGGTTGGTGATCGGCCGGGTGCCCTCAAATGCTGGAATCGACATGTTGAGCTTGTTCGTTCCGAAGCGTGTGCCGTCAAAATCGATGTACTGGCAGGTCAACCAATATACGGGATTTCCGTTACGGTCCTGGTGTTGCGTGTAATCGTCAGCAATGCTTCATACTGCGGCGAAGTGGTATGCGCAGTAGTACGTACTTGACCATACTTCGAAGAATGCAAGCGGAACACGCGGTCTTGACCCTGCTGCTTGCTGAAGACGAACGAGCCAGGCTGGAAGAGGGTCCACATGTGTTCGTAGGTCATGACTTTCTCCTTGCGAAGGTCCGTAGCTGCATCTATGGTGTCTTTGAACTCTTTTTCAAGCAGGTCATGCAGAAGCTCAGCGTGTTTCAGTCTTTCGCCAGCCTGCTCGTCGCCGCTTGAAGGAATCTTCCCCTGACGAAGCTTGTCGATCGCAGCCTCTAGCTCTGGCCATCTATGTATAAGCGGCTCAAACCGTCCAGAGAGTTCTAGACGCTTCAGACCGACAGTGACGCCAGGGTAGCCAGCCAGTACATCCTTCAGCAGATCCTTCAAAAGTGGGCTCTGGACGACGATAGAGTGTAAGCTGAGGACCTTCTTTGGGTCATTGTAGACCTTGACATGGCGGACGATGATGGCCCACTTCTCGCTCTCCGCGTCTTCGGCGGGCTTGCCAAGGTCTTCGGGTAGCGTTGTCTGCCACTGAAAGCGTCCACGCTTGTCCTCTTTACCGCTGTAGAGATGTTTCAACCCAACAGACATGCCTGGGGAGGTTGTCAGCATGTTGTTGCGTGGCGACTTATGACGGAAGATGCGAGGCTTTATATGGGAAGTGGGAAACGACACGTTCAGACAAAGTATGTGTCTGATAGAGGTCACGCGAGACCCAGTTCGTTGTTTCAGTTGTGCATCCTCAGAAACATGACGTTGCACAAACGATCTTGGGCGGCCTGAATGCTTGCTTGTGGAGCGGCTGATTCCTGGTCGCTTGCGATCTACGCCAGGCAAACGAACGGCACTATACGTGCAAACAATCGCAGGCGTACTTACCAACTTCCGCCGGATCAAGCTTTACCAGCTTCTCTTCTTTGGGAAGCTCATTAGATGGATCGCCTGGGACGGTAGTCCCGTTGACCGGCATTGATCCCTTCTGATCAGGAACGGAGACCTGCTCATCCTCCGACTCCGAGTCCTGCTGGTTCTGCCTTGAGCGCGCCATTCTGCGCTCGTATTGCGATGCAGCTGCTCGCCGTTGTTGGGCTCGTATATACCGAAGATGTTGGCGTCGATCGTCGTGTTCGGAGTCGTAGTCGTAGTCAGGTTCAGAGTCGAGTGCCAAGAAAACGTCCAAATGGTTGCTCATGAGGATAAAATAAATTGCATGCCCAAGAAAAAGGTCCGAGTTTACGACTTCATTAAAGTTGATCAAACAGGAGGATGACTCCGCCAGGCTGCAGATGTTGTAGGCTACAATTGAGTCTCCGACTTTACAGCAAGACTAGCACAAGGCAACAGTGAGTATAGTCATACGCGGTGTTGGCGGACGCCTCATTCGACATGGGACTGGCTATGTCTTGGTTGGCCAGAACTCGCAATGAGGAAGGGCGGCGTTTGTATGCGTGACAGGCGGCTGAAGTGGGCCGTGAGGCTGAAAGCTCCGCACAGCCACCCCGCGAGTCATGGAGAACGTAACAAACTTACGTGATAGTAATATACGTACAGAGTCGCCAAGTGGAAATTTGTCGGACTTCGTTACATACTGCAAGACACGCCGCAACACCTCGCTAAGTCAACAGCGCAAAATGACGCCAGGAAGATACCAGGGGCTCGATGTTATCTCATCTCCCCGCGGCCTGCCGGGTTACGTTCACGCCACTTCCTGTCCCTCTCTGGTCGACCTGGTCGCATATCTTCTTCGACCTGCTCGGCAAGGTCCTCCATGACAGATTGCCTCGGTAGCTGATCAAGCTTTACCCAAGGCGAATTCCTCACATACTTCAACTCATAATCCAGTTTCTTGACCATCAACTCAAGCTCAGCGTCGGTGCAGTCGTTCTTATGCAACCTGAGGAAGGCAGGAAATAACTTGCCGTCCCCATGTGCACGTCCGCTAAAAGCCTCCGGCCGTGGAACAAGATCAAGTGGGATTCGATCCGGCAGGTTAGCGCCATTATCAGTGGCGAGCGCAGTCTCATGGCACCATGCGCGAGCGACATTTCGTGCGGTGTAGCCGCCGCCGCCAAGCAATAGCAAGGGCAGGCGATGCCTCTTCACGAAGTTCACGCACTCCCCATGCTGCTTAATGTTGATATTGAACTGCCCCAAGCGGTCGCCGCCGAGACTGTCTGCTCCACACTGCAGCACGATAGCGCTAGGCTTGAAGGCTTCTATAGCCCTACCGGTCACACTTTCAAAGACGTACCTATATTGCCTGTCATCTATGCCACTAGGTATGGGTACGTTGAGGGCGAAATGCTCGCCAATGGTGCCTTTGAGCCCGACGTCAGTGACGTCGCCGGTACCAGGAAAGAACTTGTGCCCAGTATCGTCGTACGGTCCATAGCGATGGTACGACAGAGTCATGACCCTCGGTTGCCTTTGGAATGCTTCCTCAACGCCATCGCCGTGATGCACGTCTATGTCGATATACAGAACCCGCGCGTAGATCCGTAGCATGTCTAGGATGGAAAGCACGATGTCGTTGATGTAACAAAACCCAGAAGCTTCGGATTTGTGAGCGTGATGGAGTCCACCAGACCAGTTTATTGCGATATCACTCTGTCCGGATGTGAGCTGGTGGGTTGCACCAAGCGTAGCACCAGTATACAAGAAAAGGTATGTAGACATGCCGTCAAAGACCGGACAATCTGCACCCGGGCTCATACTGAGATTGAAAGGCCCTAGGTCCACGGTGTCGTGTTCGTGCCTTGGGGGAGTATGTGCAGCGAAACGTGGCACCTCGCACAGCTGCGGAAACGTCTGGGGACTGACCTCGGCAAGGAAGTCAACGTAGTCTGGGTCATGAAAGGCACAGACCTGATCCTTGCCGGCTGCGACAGCCTCGTAGGTATCCATGGCATATTGTAAGCCGTAGCTCAGCACGAGATGCTTTGTAAGGGTCAAGCGCCATGGTTTCATCGGATGCGTCTTGCCAAAGTGCATGTCTTCCACACGGCTGTTGTAGTGGAATGACACCTTATGGCCTTTTGGCCGCGTGATGCCATGCTCCTCCACAGCCCGCATGATCTTGTCGTTGAGCTCTTGATCCCGCCATAGCCGCTCATCATCGTCGGTGACTGGTGGTGTGACTGGAGTATGGACTGGATGCGAGACCGAACGCGCATGACCGTTAATACCGTTGCTGGTGTCGTAGTGTGGAGAGTTATGGGCAGAGTGCGGAGATACACCGCCGTGGCCAGGCGACCATTGATGGACTATCGCGCTGTTGATGTCTGCGCGAGGTGTGTGCGATCTCGACATAATCGCATAGTGACTGCGGATCCGCGAGGTCTGGATCCGGTTTCAAAAGTGGAAGCGATCGTAACCTCTTATGCGCGGCGGTCACGGGCGGCTTTCACACTGCCGTCGTCTTCACGACTTTAGTCTATCAAGGTCTGTCTCTCCAGCAGTTCTTGCAGATTCGGCCGCCAAATCCTCGAATACGGCGCGCAGTTAGAGTTGCGGCTCTGCGGAAGGACACTGTGGGGTGCGTCAGCTCAGCCACACTTGCGGCAACACCTTACATGCATGAGTATGGAGATCGCCATCGGACACCTTTTCTTTGATCAACAACTTTGTCATAGGCTGCTTTTTTGTCATAGGCTGGACGTAGACTGGCTCTCTTCGGTGGTGCCTTTTGAGTGACGAGACGCTGGCGGTGACACTATGAGTCTTGCATTGCCTGAGGACGCGGCATCGGTGCTGGAGCAATTTGTTCACGATGGTAATCCAAAATTTATGCTGTTCACTTATGGAATATATTTCTTTAACGTCTTCACTTAGTGGCGAACACACCTGCCGAAATAACGCATCTACTCGAGGAGATACAAGCAAAGGACCTACAAATTGCCGCTTTCAAGGACGAAATTGCTAAGCGGGATGCGCAACTTCAGAAATGGGTTCGCGTCAACGGCGGCCACGTACTCAATCCCAAGGAGGAAGCATTCTCTAGGACGATCAACGACTGCTATGACAAGTGCGAGATCTTGCAAGCTGAGAAGTGTGGCCTTAGTGAGAAAGCGTTAATCGTGCTGGAGCGGCAAGTTAAACGTTTCGATGTGGGCTTGAGGAGTCTAGCCTCCAGAGAAGAGTTCCCGTCTGACTGGAATGGCCCGAGTCTGCTGTCCGGTGCTCCTACAGGTGTCAGCACGCCGGTGCCGAGTATTGTAACGAGCGGTCCACTGCAGGCTGTTTCTGGAAATGTTGGAACCGCCGGCGGAGCGCCGAACATTGCGAATGCTGCGCAACTCCGGCTGGCTCAGACGTCAGCCGCCGCTAGGACCACCCAGCAGACACCGACAGCCAACATGACCCGCAGCCACCGCGAGGGCAGCACAGACGCGAACAAACGCCGGCGGCCGAACCCTACATTAAGCACACTTCCTGCAGCATCCAGCAACCTCCGACAATCTTCGCTAGGGCCCGGCACGCCGAAGGCGGGTACACCGGCTCCAGTAGCGACCTCTTCTCGTGCTGGTTCAGCACAGCCATCCCGTCCTGCTGCGGTGCAGAAGAAGGCCACAATGCCGCAACCGAACCGTAAGCTCGCACCACCACAAGCTGCAGCTGCTGGCCGTAAGAGGACACGACCTAGCCACAAGAAAGGGGATCGTAGGCGTCAACTCACCCGAGATCGTGCAACACCATCCACCAACGCCTCGATTTCAGATGGCGAGTCTGATAGTGCTTCTCCCACACCGTCCAGCTTGCCTAGGAGCCAGGCGGACGGTGCAGGTGAGCGGCCATCCCGTCATGCTCATGCTGCGGAGGACGAAGACATGGACGGCGAAGACGACGATGATGCGGTCTACTGTTACTGCAAGAAGCAAAGCTACGGAAACATGATAGGATGCGACAACGAGAACTGCAAGCTTCAATGGTTTCACTGGAGTTGCGTGAACTTGAAGAGCGAGCCGCAAGGGGAGTGGTTATGTCCCGACTGCAGCAAGCTCCCGAGGAGTGAGGTGACTTTGCGGGCTGAGGACTAAGCGACGTCAACCAAAGGGACTGCTTAGCATACAGTGCGGTGGATGCGGTCATTCCTCTGACACCGTACTTGTGCTCTGGCGGCTCTGCTGTCGCGATCGTGTCGTAACGAAGACCCGCGAATAAAGCACTAAGACCGAACGGAAGAGCAAGGCTCGTGCGCTGCCTATAGTGTAGGCCCCGCCTATGGAAGGCCTGCCGTCCTGGCGGTAGCTGGAGGAAGATGACATGCTCAATGGAAGACCAGCATGTTCAGAGACACCCTTCCTGCTATTCGAGGTGCGAATGCCATCCTGTTGGCGGCTCACCATAAGGGCTTTTGCAACTTCACATCTCGGCCCTGACGCCTTGCTGCACGCTATGCATATTCTACTTGCAAGTCGGTGAAATAGCGGTTGAGCTTGATGCCATCCATATAAAAGGCTACATATGATCAAGAACGATTGGCAGTGGCAACTATTCAACATCCGTATGACCGTAGCACAAACGTTCGCTGGCGGACCGTGCGCGTGCTACGTCTTACTTCTACCGTAAGATCCGTAGGTATCATCGAGAACGATGCGGTGTGAAGCCCCAAGCGCAAGGCTTGGCAAAGTCACAACCCCTCTTCAAGCTTCTATCTAGACAGGCTCATACGATGCGCGAAAAGTACATTGTCGACGAATCCGGCAATCATAGTACTGATATCATGCCCAACGGGCCACCTTTTCAAGTAGCTTCTTCGGCGAGGCACGGTATGGCTTCATCTTTCGCCGAGCCAGCGCCACCAGGCCAGGAACGCACATATCCACAGCCTACTAAGAGTGGAAAGGTCGCTTTCCGATGCGCATCGAGTGGTGTTGAGTGCGAAACCGCGTACTACATCTATGGCGATCTCTCGAGCGGGCGAACGCCTCTTGTTGGGGTCCATGGCGGGCCGGGAGCTGGGCATTCGTATCTGCGGCCTCTATCTCTACTCTGGGTCGACTACAAGATTCCTGTAGTATTGTATGATCAAGTCGGGTGTGGTGCATCCACCCATTTCAAGGGCACCAAGGGCGACACCGAACTATGGAAGCCAGAGCTGTTTATGAACGAATTCGAAAACCTGATGAGCAAACTTGAGATCACGCAGTACGACTGGCTGGGTCAGAGCTGGGGCGGCATGCTTGGGGGCCAGTTTGCTATTGAGCGGCAACCGAAATGTATGCGCAAGCTCATCATCTCGAACTCCCCGTCGGATATGAAAGTCTGGGTCCAGGCGGCGCAAAAGCTGCGTGCCAAGCTCCCACAGGACGTCCAGGAAACTCTCACACGCTGTGAGAAGGAAAGGAAAACTGACACGGAGGAGTATCAGCAAGCGGTCATGGCATACTATGACAGGCATGTCTGTCGCACGATTCCACGCCCGGCTGAGTACACGGAAACGCTGGAGTGCCTAGAAAATGCAATGGAGGTGTACGAGACCATGAACGGTCCATCGGAGTTCTTTGTCACGGGTTCGTTTAAGGACTGGTCTATCACTAATCTCCTGCACAAGGTCACGAAGGAAACATGTCCGGGAGGACTACTTGTGTTAAACGGGTATTATGACGAGGCCCAGGACGAGACTTGTGAGCCATTTTTCACGAAACCAACATGTCGGACAAAATGGAAGAGCTACGCGCTTAGCAGCCATCTGACGACGCTAGAAGAGACTGAGCGATATGTGAAGGATGTTGGAGCGTTTCTTCTAAGCGATTGACGTGGATAGTCTCCCGGCCAAGCATAAGACAGCTGCGAGGCCCGTGCTTTGACGCTTTGAGTATCGATCTTTAGAAGGCTCTCATCGAGTGATACCTCTTCCACTTCGCACCATCTTCCCAGCCCACTCATGTGTCTAGCATAGGCTTTCATGGCCCGAAACTGTATTACAAACTTCTATGCAGATGCGCAGCCACTCTACATGTACCCAGATCTGTAAGCATCATACTCCTTGATACACCAAATGGCTCCACCGCGAGCCTCTTTTACGACGAAGAGGATTAGTCAAACTACGTTCGTCATCCAAGAACACGATGCGTACGGAGAACACCCTCTCATATACGTCAAGATCTCTCCCAGGGCAAACGTGATTGTCCTATCAGACACTGGCTGTAACGCTCCAAGCGACGAGCATCTAAATGGTATGTATTATGCTTCCCACTCTACAGTCCTGCCAGTCCTCTCATAACTTGTAGACCGATACACTAATCTTCGCCGCTATTTGGGGCATTATCCGGTAACTGATAACAACGGCAAGCCACTGAATTCACAGAGCAGCCGCAAATACATTATCATTTGCTCTCACTGCCACTTTGATCATACTTTGGGCATTCCCAGCTTCGTCGAAGATGGACAAACGGCAGACATCGTGGCCTCAGCAGCGGGTCGCGACTTCATCGAATCGGACCTCGACACACACGGCCTGTTCAAGTACATCGGCAAACCAGCTCCGAAGTACACTGTCACCAAGTGGGCGCAAGCCTTCGAGCGGCTGACGTACCCTTTTCATGCAACACCCGACCATGATGGTGAGGTTGACCTGGGTATCACGGTGCTCCACACCCCTGGCCATACCCCAGATGAGCTGGCTTGGTATGACCATGATGAAATGCACCTGTATGTAGGCGACAGTTTCTACCGTGAAGGCGAGGACGGCATGCCGATCGTCTTTCCCAAGGAAGGCAGCATGATCGAGTGGGTCTTCTCAATGCAGAAGCTTGCTGTTTTCGTCCGGGCCGAGAATGCGCGGGCAGCCGACGACGCCACATCAGGCCCGGACGCTAGCGACGCCGAGGATGAGCAGGAGGAAGGCTGGGTCAGCGTCAGCGCGGCGAAGAAGCCTCGTCGTGTTCTCGTGTCATGCGCACACCAGACTTATGCGGTAGATGGAGCTGAGATCCTGGCGGAGCTTGAAGCCTTTTCCTTTCGTGTGTTTATTGGGAGGGTACCTCTCATCAAGCGGCAAATAGGCCTTGACGGACAGTTGTACTGCACGTGGCGTGAGCCTGGAGAGAAACGAACGCCCATGAGCATCAAGGCGCCACTCCGGCTATTGGAAGAAGCTCGAAAGTTCTTTAACAACAAGCTAGAGCAAAAGGCAGAGGGATGGGGTTGGGTCTAACGCTTCAAGTGGATGAGGAGGTAGCGACAGCTGCACTTGCCTGAACCGGAGGTGCGTATGTGACCGCACCTGCCAACGCCCGACACATATCTCCACTTCTCAAACCCACCCCGGCTCAATGGCGGCATGGCTAGGCAGCGTATCTGAGCGACTTCCTGCCCAGACATGCCCTGTAACGTCCGTATCGCAGTCCTTACGCCACGACTTACTATCTCCTCGGTCCATGTTGAAGACCGCTCCATCCGATGAGGCATCTTTCGTCGGTACCCAAGCTGTCCTCGTGTTCTTTGAGCAGGCTGGAATCAGCCCAGCTTGCCCACGACTGCACTTTGCGCGGACATGTTGCTTCGGACTCAAGGCCACTGCCTATGTTGAATCTGTACGTCTGACCGGTGTACGTAGTCCATCTCGCTTGAGAAGCTGGACCCTCTCGTCCAGTGCTGAGCCTTACGGCCGGTGCTCCGCAGCAGCACCACCAGCGTCCGTGACTGGCTTGCTGGTCTCGTCTGCGCTCTCCTTAGTCCTCCCCAGCGGTAGCTGCTCATCTAGCTTGTCAGTCTTCGTCAAGGCCTCTTCCTGTCCACTAAGCAGAGTGTGTACGGGTGCGTCGAGCTTATCGCGGCCTTTGAGGAAGTCGAGCTCCATCATGAAAACGTAGCCGAGAAGGTTGCCGCCCAGTTGGTGAACGAGTGAGCCGGCCGCTGCAGCGCTGCCACCTGCCCAACACTGTCAGCTACAGAGCTCGTATGCTTTAACATGGAAGCCTACCAGTTGCGATGATGTCGTCCACGATCACCACCTTCGCACCAGGCTTGATTGCATCCTTTTGCATCTGAAACACATCTTCTCCATACTCCTTCTTGTAGGTCGCCGTCGCGCACTCTCCGGGCAGCTTGCCCTGTTTCCTCACCGGCACAAATCCAGCTCCTAACTTCAAGGCCAGTGTAGGGCCGAAAAGGAACCCTCTGCTCTCCAGGCCCACAATTACGTCGACACCATTGCGCTCTCCAGTCTGCGCGCCGAAAGCGTGGGCAATTTGAAGTTCCAGCGCTTCTATCAAGCTCGAATGCAACGCATGAGAAGCAAACAATGGCATGATGTCTTCGAATAGTATACCAGGCGACGGAAAGTCGGGGAACTGCCTTAGACCGTTCCGTAGCTTCGACTTCAAGCTCGCCAATTTCGGACCTACTTCAGTACCGGCGAATTCGGAGGAACCGGCGGAAGCGGCGGTGGGCTCTCTTCCTTGGGAGGCATCTTCGTAAACGCCACCTGTCTTGCCGTCAGGCGCGTGAAGCTTCGGATGCGGTTTCGTCTCTGTCGGATCAGGCTTGGTGTCGGGTGGATGTGAAGCAGTAGACGGCTTGTCGCTCTTCTGAGTGCTGGGCTCAGTGTTGGCAGGGTGTCCGTGAGGAGGGTGAGAGTCGAAAGAGACAGGTTGAGCAGACATGGCGGAACGGAAGGGAAGGAAAGATATAAGAGTAAGCGGCCTTCTCCCGATAAAGAAATTCTTCCTTGCCCTCGTACCGAATCAATGGACGGTACGGTGTGAGCAGGGGCCACGGGTGGGTTTGAACTGTAAGACCGTTGTACGCCTTCCGTTGCTTTGCATGCAGGTTGCAGCAGGCAGTAGTGCACACAAAGCGGTCTTCGTTGATGCAGAAAGTTCTGTGGGCCCAGATGGTGACACAATGAGCGAGTGCTTTTCGGCGTGGGTTACGTTACGCCGTGCAATGAACGACGAGCAAACTGCTATCGCTGAAGGATCGAGTGGCTACAGAAGCAGTGAACGGCCGAGGCGAGGACAGCGTTGGCAAATGGCGGTATGTTTTACACGTGTTCGATGCGAATGGCGTGCTAAAACTGAGAGTTGAGCTTTCATCCCACCTTTCTTCCTCAGCGGGCGACATGCCGTGACGGCAACACCGAATGAGCCCTGAACGTGCATCTCATGGCGCTATCTTGGTCTGACTCAATGTCGAGTGCTGCGATAATTGAACCCTCAGCTATCGGACCGAACAGCGCCTGCACACGACGGGGAAACGAAGTGTTGTGTGCATTCCTTTCTGGTCGCTGCCATCAATCAAATGCTTCCAGAAATCTTCGCTGCAAGCCTTCCGCAACGAGAGCGCCACCGATAACTTTAAGCAATATCCCGGGGTTGGAGTTAGCGGCCATGATGTATCGAAACTCTATTCAGTCCACCAAAGCCGTAAAACTTCGCGTGCGACGCGTCTGCGTCGCATCACCACAACCTGCATTCACGACAGCGGCACTGCCATCGGGACAACGAATCGTATGTGGACCGCTATGCTTCTGTACAGTCTCTCGAGTAGATTTGTACTATCATTGTGTACTTACCTCCACTTACCGTCCCGAAATCTGCCGACAATCGGTTGGGATGGGCTTTGGTGGCTCGCATGTGAACGGCGCACCTTCATGGCATCTCATGCGCGATAAGGTCGATGCTCGTTGACGTCGGGTCATTAGTTCTCCACCGTCGTGGTGTCGCTGGCGACGCGTCGAATTGCGCTGTCTGCAGCCAGGCGTTCATATCACGCCTCTATCTCTCAGTGAACGGACTTCGTCCCCGCTATAACCTGCTTCAGCGAGCACTTCCGCTGTGTGCTCGCCCAACGCTGGTGGCCGATCCCTGATGCTTGCCTTGGTCGCGCTGAACTTCACGGCAGGTCCAATGCCCTTCCACTCGCCGCTCGTGGTGGACCCCCAAATCATTGGCTGCACCATGTCTCTAGCCACTGCTTGAGGGTGCTGAAAGGCTTTCTCGATGCTGTTCACAGGACCATATGCCAGATTTGAGCCCTCCAGAACTTGCAGCCACTCGTCGGACGTTCGGGATGCGAATACAGCATCAAAGATCTCGTCCATTGATGGCCGATGCTCCACGCGCGCAGCATTCGTGGCGAAGCGCGGATCTTTGGGAAGCTCATCGCGTCCGATTGTCTTTGCCAACACCTTGAACTGCCGATCGTTGTTCGCAGCTAAAGCAAGCCAGACGCCGTCTTTGCACTTCCAGGTATTGTAGGGAACGATGCTGGGGTGTGCTGCACCGAATCGCTTACCATCTACAGCCATGTTCAGCCAGTTGGCGCCCACGTTGATGAGTAACGACAGCTGGGTCTCAAAGAGGCTGGCCGAAATGTACTGCCCTTCGCCGGTCTTGTCTCGATGCCACAATGCCGCAAGTATGGCGCCTAAGAACGTTGACCTTCACGATCAGCGCTGTCCTGGATAGTAAGTAGCGTTATGCTCGAAGCATTGCTCACCATGCGTGTACAAGCCAGTTGACATATCGGTCATGCCGAGCCCTGGTCGCACAGGCCCGCCATCTGGACTGCCCGTGATATGCATCAAACCGCCCTCAGCGGCTGCGATTGCATCGTAGCCTGCGCGCTTGGCGTAAGGGCCGGATGATCCGTAGCCGGAGACGCTTGCATAGACCAGCCGGGGATTCAGCTGTTTCAAGTCGTCGTAACCGACTCCGAGTCGAGCTGCACCTCCCGGAACGAAATTCTCAACAACCACATCGACGTTTGCGACGAGCTTTTTCACGATCTCTAGAGCCTCCGGCTTCTTAAGATCCAAGGTAAGACTTCGCTTGTTCCGGTTAATGGCGGCAAAGTAGAAGCTCGTCGGTCCTGCTTCTGGCTTCCAGTGCGCTGCTTCGCCTTTTCCCTGCCACGTACGGGTTTCGTCGCCTGCTCCGGCTTGCTCGACCTTAATCACGTCCGCACCATAGTCAGCCAGAATCTGTGTGCAGAAAGGCCCTGCCAGTATGCGGCTGAAGTCCAGGATCCGGATTCCTCTGAGCGGGCCACTGGAATTGTTTTGGGTCGTGCTCGTTGATGTGTTTCTTGCATTTCGAAGAAGCAAACCGTTACGGTTAGGTTTGAACGATGCTGAGGTCGACACTCTTACCGTTGGGAAAGGCAGCGTTTTAGCAATTCGGTTGACGTGACAAATGAGCGTCGACGGATAAACCATAGCATGCGCCTAATCACCTCAGAAGAGAGATAGGTACCAGAAATCCACAACCGAGGAATTGGTGTTCTTTAACGTGGTTGATCGGTAGGCGTGCATGCGTGAGCGGGGCGTCGTCTTGAATCTCCGAGGTCGCTGACTGCACATTATTGACCTATACGCAGTGGTTTAGAACACCACCACTGCAACATTGGTCGTGTTGGAGTCCAAGATCTGTCTCGAAGCGCGGTTGGAACTCCACAACAAGAGACTTTAACAATCTTCACTGAGGAGCATTGCCCGGCCATTGATTATACTCAACAAGCCTGGGCTTTCTTCGCCAGTCATAACATCGCCATTTTACTCGTGGTGTCATGAGGCTTCTCGAAGAGAATGTTGAGCAGTAGAGCTGCCAGACTGGCTCTTCAGCCATCCCGCAATGGTTGCATACGCGCGAGCACCGCCGGCAGCTGGTCTCCGTTCGGCAGACTCATCGATCACCGGCCTGCTGTCCCCCACTCCAAGCGTACCTTCGTTGCAAAGGCTACAGAATACCTGCCCATGTATGCAGACTACAACGAGTCACAGGCCACTGTCCGGGAGTCGATCGCGAAGATCTGCTCTCACTTCCCGGAGTCGTACTGGTTAGGTATCGATAACGCAGCACGATGGCCCGACGAGTTCCAGCAGGCAATCGCCAAAGCCGGCTGGCTGGGTATTATGATGCCGACAGAGTATGGCGGAAGTGAGCTGGGGTTGTCGGAGGCCACCATCATGATGCAGACTATTGCCGAAAGTGGTGGCGGCTATACCGCCAGCAGTAGTGTGCACATGAACATCTTCGGATTGAGTCCGGTTGTCAAGTACGGCAACGAAGAGCAGAAGAAGCGCTTCCTCGTTCCGCTCATTGACGGCAAGGAGCGAGCGTGTTTTGCCGTGACCGAGCCTAACACCGGGCTTGACACGCTGAAATTGCAGTCACTGGCAAGGAGAGACGGTGACGACTATGTACTGAAAGGCAGCAAGATCTGGACTTCCACAGCACAGGTAGCAGAGAAGATCCTGATCCTTGTCCGCACGACACCGCTCGAAGAGGTTAAGAAACCGTCGGAAGGGCTTACGCTGTTCTATACAGACCTGGATCGGTCCGCGGTCGCTGTCACTGAGATCAAGAAGATGGGCCGCGCGGCCGTCGATACGAACCAGCTGTACTTCGACAACTGGCGTGTACCTGCAGCGGATCGTATTGGCGATGAGGGCCAAGGGTTCAAGCTGATCATGCATGGCATGAACGCCGAGCGGGTTCTGATTGCTGGTGAGGCTGTGGGGATCGGTCTCGCCGCCCTGAGACACGCAAGCCGCTATGCTCGCGAACGAGTCGTCTTCGGCAGGCCGATCGGCAAGAACCAGGGCATCGCTCACCCACTCGCGAAAGCGTGGTGTCAGCTAGAGAGCACGCGCTTGATGATCATGCAAGCTGCGAAGATGTGGGACGATGGATTTAGTTCGGGAGAGTATGCAAACGCCGCGAAGTACCTTGCCGGCGAGCATGCTTTCACGGCCTGCGAAACGGCTGTCTGCACGCTAGGTGGGTTTGGTTATGCGAAAGAGTACCATGTCGAGCGTTTCCTGCGGGAGGTAGTGATCCCGCGGCTTGCGCCAGTGAGCAGAGAGATGTGCTTAAATTACATTGCGGAGAAGGTCCTGGAGCAGCCGAGATCATACTGAATGGCCACGGTCGAGAGAGTGGCCGCAACTGTACACCATGCCAGCTGTGCCTCATTTAGCGTGCATTGTGTCTTACCTGGCACTTTTCGAAGCGCTTCGCAGATTGATGCTTCAACACAAGAATCTTCGCACAACCGCGCGAACTGTGTCGTTTCCAAGGGCTGCGACCTTGCAGTCGTTTTGGAAGTACAGCCTGAACAGGCACCGCACAATGATTTGGACAAAGATACATCTATCTGCTGCGGCTAGACCTTCCAAGGCTCCAGCCACTAGCTCTGTGCCGTTACTACGTTCATACATCTATGCTATTCCTTCTGTTCGCCGCAATCGATGCGCTGTGCCTCGATTGGCGACCCATGCCGCGCTTATTATGACCACCTTTGCTCCAAAATCTGCTACGCCTCCTCTCTGGCACCCGGAGAAGGCACCTAATGCTCCAGCAGCCTCAAGCTACCCTGCACCACCACGTTCTCCAGGATCGACCCTGGTGGGATGTCGATCGTGCTGCCCTCCGTAGCCACGATGATGACGGTGCCCTTGAGTACAACGCCACGGCCCAGGTTGACCGCACCGGTGATGGTAAGATGGTCAAGCTCGAGAATCTTCGGAATGGACGAGATGCGGGCCTGGAACTGCGACACCTTCTTGAAGTCGTTGCCGAGCTTGATGAGCGGCGCCGGGCCAAAGCGGCTCGGGTCCATGAGCAATTGGCCGTGCTTGAGGGTGTAGAGATCGGACTTGACGAGCATGAGATCGGAGCACGTCTTGACCGGCAAGAAGCGCCGACGCGGGACGTTGACACCGTGGCCGTTGTTGAAGTGCTTGATGGCTGCACCCACCGCAGTCTCGAGCTGGATAACGCTGATGTCCGCCTCACCTTTCTTGTCCGCGGGAATGGTCTTGCCGTTCGGGATGATCTCCATGGCCAGCTCGTTGTTTTCCACGACGCGCTTGACGGCACGCAGGTTCATCCAGATGTTGTTCGTGTTGAAGTACTTGAACTTCTTGATCGACTTGAACTCGTTGACGTACTGCTTTGGCACCTGCGCAATTTCGAGCAAGCGCGCCGAGCCCTCGTAGTCAATGATGGTACCACCCTTGACATCGGCCTTGGTCTTGTCTGTGAGCTCCATAATGTATTCAGCCTTGGTCTCCACCATATGCTGCAGAATGTTGAGGTCCACAACGGCACCAAGGTTGTCGGCGTTCGAAAGGAAGACAATCTCGATGCCACGGTCGAGCAGCTTGTCGAGGACGCCGGAGTTGTAGAGCGACTCGAACACGTCACCGTGGCCCGGTGGGTACCAATCTGAGATCTGCGAATCGGCGGTCTTGGGAGCTGGAAGGAGCGAGTCTTTTAGGATACGTGGGTAGCGCGACTGGTTGAAGGTCATGATGTCGATGTTGTGGCCCTCATACTTCTTGATGATGTTGGCGGTGTCGGAGTCGGTGTTGAAGGAGTTCATGAGCACGAATGGCACGTTGACGTCGTAGGTGCGGTTCAAGTATTCAATCTGGCGGACGGAGAGGTCGAGGAAGGACATGCCATCGCGAACTTCAATGACAGACTTTGGACCGACGCAGCCCATGGAGGTACCGAGACCGCCATTAAGCTTGAGAACGGCGAGCTTGTTCAGGAACTCAACAGACTCCGAGTTGCCAAGGCTGTTGTAGTCCACGACCTGCTCAGGCTTGGGCGGCGCGATGCGGTTCCAGTCAATCTCGTTGCCCTTCGCCTTGTCGTTGAGATAGCGGCGGAAGAGCGCAAAGAAGTTGTCCATCTCCGTCTCGAAGCGCTTCTTCTCCGAGGAGTCCTTGACTGTATCTGCGAGGTTGTTGAGCGCATTGCGCATCTGCGACGCGGCTACCGATGTAGAGGTGTTTTCGAAAGCCTGCTCAGTGATAACGTTCATTAGCTTTTCTGGTATTGAGAGCGCCATGTCTTCTCTGCTGTCTTCGCTTCTGCAGTGCCACTGGATGGTAGGAGCATGTTGCGAGCTGGAATGCTGAGGTTGCAAGACCCGGTGGATGGCGGTTTTACTGCTGTTGTACCATTTGCAAACAAGCTCATCTTGCAAACGCATCTTTACAGACAGCAAAGAATGTCGTCCTCGCAGCCATACGCCTTCCAGCTTGGCATCTCATTGCTGCCGAGCAGGGCAATCGGTGTGACATGGCAGTCGCCGGTTGAGGTGCCACCACCGACGCACCACTCGCACCTTCTCCCACACTCACCAGCTTTTGCCTGCTTTGCCTGCCTTTCAAGCTCCGACGACAACGGTACGACGGGGTTTTAAAGTAAGAAATGCCCGCCCAACTTACCACATGTGATTGCGACTTGCCGTGATGTCTTCCGGAGAAATCGCCCTCCGTGCCATTGGCAGCATTCTTCAGGTGAGCCGGAACGGCGGACTTGGTCTGGGCCATGTCGTCGGTAAAGTCTTCGATTGTGGTTTTGGCGGACTGCTGGGTGGTGAAGTTGTTTGTTTGTAAACGATGAAGCCCAGTTGCTCACAGATTTAATCTGGAGCACTATGCGGGGGAAGGTACGTTACGTCACGGTGAGTAGATGTCACCGGCGTGAGCAGTAAATGCACGAGCGAAGAGGGATGTCGGTGATGGGTAGGAGTGATATGAGGAGTGGGAGGTGATGGCACGGTAGAGAGGCGCCACGAAAGATATGGCTGGTATAAGAGCAGAGTCTGAATCCCATCATAACACCATGCTTTCCTACACCGCACCCCACCAAAGCACGCTTTGACCCTTCATTTGCTGCGAGCAGAGCGCGGCCGCTAGTCCCAACCCGCGAGACCTTGAGTCGTCGTCTCAATCGCCCTGCAGGTCCGACCCCATTTCTGCCGCCGATGGGGCATGGAGTGGCACGATTGCGTCGAGACTGGTCTTTGTGTACTCGCCACCTGCAATGAGCCGACTAGCCTGTACTCTCCACAACTCAGCGATTCCCTGACAATGTGACACCTCGCCGTTTCGAGCAATAATGTTGACGAACTACCACAGCTTTCGCGAAACAAGGCTGTAATCTCTGCAAACAGGCATTCCGCCCCGTAAGACAGGGAAGCAGATGATCGCCACACGCACTATGTGCACACCGACTATGGGTGGGTATCTGGGTTGTTATTCCTAGCCAACTCTGCTACAGAACGCCCAAAAATTGTCCAGAGTTGGTGCTGGTGATACTGCAGTACATATGTTGAAACCCACCCTTCACGATTTGAACTGGAAATAGATACACCAGGATGTGCTGGTCTACGATTCGAGCCAGAGTCACGGCATCCTCGTGCGGGTCCCTGCTTCGACTCGCGGCCGCGAAGCTTGACAACGTGCCGGATTAACAGGCCGGAAGTGTTGCCGGCTCGCACATACCGCAGACTGGTTCGGCCGCATTTCGTACGCTTTCCCGACCACAATCTCCGCTAGGGTAGACTGTACAATTGCACGGCGCAAACAATACTATAGGCAGTATGAGAATCTCTACATACTCCCGAAGACTTGAGAAAGATGTAGCATTGCACGTCATGGCTATGGCGCCGTTAGTGGCCGTTGTGCATCCGAGGCGCCATCAAGCCTCATCCGCTCTCATAGCATCCGCAAAGCACAAGCTGTCTCTGCTCCGTGATCACCGTCCCTTAGGCGTAACAGTCTTGAGCAATGAACGCTACTTATAGGCATGGGCGCAACGCAGGTTGATTACTTTACACCTCACATGCGAGCGGCACGCCTAACGAAGGCTCACGAACCTGTCGTAGGTGTTTTCCTCCAAACTTCGACAGACGGCGCATCCGCAAACGCAATTGCGCGTGGTTTCTTCAAACGTAGTCGTACATGCGAGCCTGGCGCTTTCCGAATGAGCAAGTGTTCCTGCAGGCTCTGCATTGTAGCCTCCGCAAGCGCTTCGAGCGTCTCGAAGAAGGTATCCTGCAGGAACTAAAGACCTGTCAGCAAGGCCTAGCATACCTGTGCAGGGCTCATACCTCGGCAAGCAGACGGTCGATGGCGAACAAAGACTCCATATCAAACGCGGCATCACTACTGCTATCTGCGCCCTTGTTTGGCGACAAGAGAAAGCACGTCAAGGAAGCCTCCACAGGCTGTCTCGCTTGCCGCTCGTACGCGTTGACTCCGACCAATACCATACAGCGCGAGTTGTTCAGAACGAACGCTCTCTGCGAGACTGTAGCCTTTCCCGTGGCATCATAATCCGTAACAGTAAGAAGAGAGATACCGCTTTCACTGTACATGCTAGCCTTCGGCAGATTGAGCTCTACGACAGCATTGGCCACACTGAATGCCCCCTCGGCCTTCCTACCCATGTCGGAGAGGGTAGACTGCACAGTGAAGCCGACGTCCTGCCACTTGAGCCCAGCGTTGGTGTCTGCATGGTCGGCACAGCCCTTTCGGATGCGCTTAGACAGCTCGCCGTAGTGAATCGTGCTCGCATTAACTTTGTCCTGACTTGCGGCGGAGCTGAAACCTGGGTCTGCCATCTGAATGCGGATGCTGAGCAAAGCGGGTTGCTCCTTGTCTTTGCCCCAGACATCGGGTGCTATGACTCCACGTGGCAGCTGTAGATTTTCGATGCTTACGATGTCGCGGTCGGGCTGGTCTATTGGGCGCCCCCCGTCGATTTGCTCCATCAAATGATCCATACTCATCTGGGATTTAGTCGCTCATCGTGAATTTTGTCCACTTGAGTGCACGAGCGATAAGTAAGCTACTTGAGCGGTCAACTGTCAGACAATTACGCATTAACACTCTCGACTGTGCCTTGCTATGCTCGTACGTACGGACCGTACAGCTAATGTGATCAATGGAGATGCTACTGCGTGGCAACGACGAAGCCAGGGGACATTAACACTCTGCGCGCACGGACGTCCTTCAAAATTCAGTCGCCTACACTTCGCCACTACTTAGCCCGGACTACGAACTGCTATGAACATTGCAGGATCACCATGTTATACACTCGCTGGAAGATGCTGAACTCGATCTGGATTCGCTATGCTGTTGACCGCTTTTAGTAGGTGTGCTCGCTCATGCGCCGTTGCCGTGAAGCACGCTTCTCACTTGCTTTAGAGTCATGATTCAGACAATATCAACCCTCATCGGCCCATGCGAATGACACCCGCAGCGATCAGCTTCTGGATATTCATGGATATCTGCGGATTGCGCATGTGCTCTTGTAGCGCTGCCGGGTCGCCCTTCGCTTGCTGGAGGATGGACTGCATGACTGGGTCTTGCAGTATGGCCATGATCTCCGGGTCCTATCAAGTTCACGTCAGCATACGGCATATTGTGTGCGGGCACATTGTTAGGATACTCACCCTCTGTATCCGCTCCTGCGTCTGCTCCTCCGATTCACCCTCTCGCGCGGAGAACTGCGCCTGCAACGCCTTCTGACTCTGCTGCTCAATCTCCCTCGCGTTCTTGTGGTCAGCATCGTGCTTCGTGGCTTCCGCACAAGCATCCAAACATTTGTTGTACTCTTTCATCGCGAACAAGGCCTGCGCTTTCCTCAAGTACGCCCGTACGAAGGTCGGATCTCGCTTGATCGCTTCATCGCAGTCCTGCACCGCAGACGGGAATGTGAGCAGCTTGATAAGACATGCGGCTCGGTTTGAGTAGCCGCGTGGGTCATCTGGTGCACGTTTAATCATTTCGCTGTACGCTTCTACCGCAGCGGGCCAGTCGGAGTTCTTGAACTTTTCATTACCAAGTTCGCGTGCCTCTTCAGCTTTCTGTGGGTCGAGGTACGCATCCCTCTCCGCCTTGATCTTGGCCTTCTCGGCTGCGCGCAGCTTGTTTAGGATTTCGGGTGTTCGGTGCTCGGTCAAGCTGCGCTGGTAATATTCTACGGCATTCGCCAAGTCGCCCATCTTCTCATACGCTGAACCCATGCGACCGAATGCCTTGGCGATGAGCTTGAAGTCGGCAAGTACCTCCCGGCCATGCTCGATTGCTTGCTTGCAGTCGGCAATGCAGGCTTCGTAGTCACCCTTCTCGAAGTTGGCGGCGGAGCGGTTGGTCAGATATGTGATGTCCTTATGTAGGTCCCAAGCTTTGGTGTAATGTGCTATTGCCTCATCGAACTTGCGCGCCTTGTAGCAAGTGGTGCCTTGCGCCTTCTCCTTGTCCGCCTCTTCCTTAGCTTTCTTCGCAGCAATTGCGTCCTCGTCCTCCGCCTCCGGTTCAGGTTCAGGCTCAGGCTCGGGTGCTTTCTGTGCCTCCTCCTTTGGTGCCGATCTCGCATCAGGCATTGGGACGTCCTCGCCATCTTCCTCCACCTTCGACGCACCGGCTTCCGACGCCATCTTCGCCGCATCTTCACCAGTACCCACCGACATGTCTATGCCCATTAGCACACCCATTACCTCCAACATCCGCATGTCGCTGAACAAGTCTGTGCCCATCGCATTCGGGTTGTTTCGCATGTTCTGTAGCTTGGCCATGAATTGCGGGTCTGCCAGGTATTTGCTCGTCTTCGGATTCGCTGCGAGCTTCTGAATCATCTGCGGATCCTTGAACATATTGCCCATGCCGCCCAAGCCACCTGCACCACCGCCCATTCCGTCCGCTTGAGCCTCAGACTCGATCGCTCTCTTAACGGAATCCAAACCAGATTTGGCTTGAGCGTTCGCAGGATCGAGCTTCAGTGCTTCTTCATAAGCATCCATTGCACCAATAAGGTCGCCGGTGCCGTGCATGGCAGCGCCCTTCCTGCTCCAGCCTTTCGCCCAGTCCGGCTTGATCTCAGTCGTCTTGTTGGCATCCTCGAGCGCTTTATCGAACTGCTTGAGTGAAGCGAAGGCTCCCGATCGATTCGAGTACAACACGTGATTTTGCGGTTCGATCTCAATGGCTTGTGTGAAGCTGTCTCTGTGGCACTCATTAGCTTTGGCTTATGATCGACAGCCCGCAAATATTGACATACACTGCACTATTGAAGTCCTTGGCGGCGAACGCCTTGTTGCCAGCATCTTTGAGTGCGGCAGCCATTTCGTTAGACTAATCAATTATACTCGTCGATATAAAGTCGGACAATTGGTTAAAAGGTGGTTTTGCAAGTGCACGCAAGGCTTCTACAACTACATGTATATGCACACATTCAAGCTGGAACTTTCGACGCCCAAACGTGGAGCAGCGTCCAAGCTCCATGAGGCTGAAACAGCGCTTGACTGCCTTAGGCTCAGATTCTCATCAGCTCCATCTCCGACTTCACGTCAACTTACATGTACACTTCATTACGTTTCGTTCACCCAGCAATTCAGCCTGAGTTAGTTCAGTGTAAACGCGTTGTCCGAAGCTAATTCGACCATCATATCTCTGGTATCTGGCGATTCTGAAGTAGACCACGACCTTGAAGACCTTATCCTGTCCAGCATCCTCAACGGAAAATAGTGATAACAGTGAAGCTTTCAGCTTTTCGTACTGAATGAGTTCCGCAACATGGACGATGCGGTGCGCTGTATCTAAGGCGCATGCGCTCTCGCCGGGTCGAAAGCGTGTCACACCCCAGACCTTGAGTCTTCTGCCGGACTGGCTTCCACCAATCTATCCAGCCTCGCAAGCACATGATGCGTAAAGCGCAGCGCGGGCCCAATCTACTCGCTTGTGTACTGTGGTGTACCTTAGCAGCCCATTACAGCAGCAGAGCAGGGGTTGAATAAGTATCGTGCTTCCACTATTTCCTCGCATTAGCTGCTCGTATCACCCCCATGAAGCGCCGGTCTAGAGTGACTAGAAGCTACTCCGCGCCACTATGTCCTTCAGAGCTCGAATTAAGCGTCCGCAAAACGTCAAAACACCGAGCGGTGCCCCAATTTTCGTACTCGCAATACCCCATTCGTACCTTCTCACTGCTGTCCATCCCACCTATTACGTTTATGGCAGCCTAAAATCCGTACGGTGTCCCGGCGTACGACTGCGACCCGGCTTTCAGCCGCCTACTGGGCGGCATGATCCACCACCCACGCCAGGCACCTTCGAAGCCTACATGATGCATTCTCTAACTCCACCTGGTGCTTGCGATTACTATTACAATGACGACCCTGGCACTGGCGGATACGTCGGAGATGGTACAATCTTGGACGACTATGACGGTCCGAGGGCGCACTACTACGGACCAAGCCCACATGCAATTGGGGAAAGCGCACACGAAACGCTCTTCTCGGACCGCCTTCTTGAAGACATGGCCGTAGAACCTGGCATCGATCTTTCGCCACGTCAGCTTAACTTCGACAAGTATCTAGGGATGGACTACGGTCCAAACTACGGCCCTAGTCTGCGTGGTACCTGGACAGATGACTACGTGCGGAGACCGTCGCTGCTTACCGAGCCGCTTCCACACGGTATGATACCGAATGCCAGGGTGAGCAGAGCACTGTATAGGTCTATAGAAGTTTTCTGAGGCGTAGCTGACCCCTCCCACCCACCAACAGCTAGGAAAATATGCCGATCCATTACACGAAAATCCCTCGAGCGAACGTGACCGGGCTGCAACCCTTCCATGCCGCAGGGTGCCGTTGGATATGTTGGTATTGATGAGCCGAACATGTGGGGACACCCACTGGGTCCGAGGATGTATCCGGCGGAGCATATCGATGACTACTCGATACAGCAGCGTACCGTTGATCCGGACTGGAGTCCGCCGCCAGGTGAAAAAAAAACTGTGTTATGGCGGTGATGCGCTCTTGTATACTGATTAAAAGCGCAGACTATGGCGGCAGGTTCTGGGATGAACGACTGCGCCCTTACGGATACTGGGGATAGAGCTAGCAAGCTGGACGACAGCCTACTGTGGGCGACCTTCAGTTTTAACCTCAGAACAATGCTGGGAGCTATCAGGACAGTTCGCAAGGCGTCCTAGGTCATCCTGACCCGATCACCTTCCTTCGGAGTTGAGACATGCTAAGGATCATTTACCAAGGAATGTTCTCCCACTTATCCTCCTCGTCCTTCCAGTGCGTGTGCGTGCCGCTTTCTCCATCTTTGCCAAGTAGCGTCAGGCGTATCGCATTACGTGCGCCACCTTCAACACCGCCAGCCTTGAGCCAACTGGGTACACCTGCAGTGCCGAAGTCGTTGAGTGCGGTCGCCTAGCCACAGGTTAGTCACGCTGCTTTCTGCTTAGATTCGAAACAATGAGGCCATGGACGTACTCTGAGACCGGGACTGCATGCATTAATCCGCATCTCTTTACCGTAGCGACCCCAGTAGTACAGCATGATCATGTTGAGCGCAGCCTTACTGGCGGAGTACGCTGGCCATAGTGCATTCATGCCCGGTATGGTGTGATTCATTGTCAGGCTGCCGAGCGACGTCGACATGAAGACAATGCGCGGATTCTCAGCCCTCTGCAAGAGTGGTATGAAGGTCTCGGCAGTCTCCGCGGCGCCAGCGACGTTAGTATGCATCGTCTCCATTATGGTCGCAGAGATCGGTCTCCGATCCTGTCCTGCTTTCTGATTGTGCATATCTGGGTGAGCTATGCCGGCCTTAGACACGAGTCAGCTTCGAAGCTTCACAAAGTACGCTTGCACTGCGACGAACATTGATATGCAGCACGTCGACCCTACCGAATTTGGCTTCCACGGTCTTGGCCACTCTCGTGATCGAGCTGTTGTCCGTCACGTCGATTTGGACGGCCTCGCAGTTCTTCGAGCCCTCAGCGTGGAGCTTCTGCACCGCTGCCTCACCCTTCGAGAGCGTGCGGCTGCCAACAAATACGTAGAAGCGGTCTCCATGGTCACGTAGGAGTTGCGATACAATCTGGAAGCCAATGCCCGTATTGGCGCCAGTGATGAAGACGATCTCTTGGGATGATGAAGCCATATGCTACAGTGATTGGGAGGCTGAGAGAATAAGTAGGCTGGCTCTGATGGTTCGTTCTAGCGCTCATATGCTTCTTCGAACTACACCGGCATCGAGCAGCCCTTATGTCCATGGTGATGACCATGACGCATTCGGATGCACAAAATGATCAGCTATCATACAACTCTTTCATGCGCGCGGTATGAGCAGACCGGATAAGCCCTGTCTTAAGTCCGCGAAATCTGCCAGTATTGCATGGTCGAGCCTGCAATGAGCCTTAGGCGCCTTGCAATGCTCCAACACCTTATGGGCACGATACAGTGCCAGAGACATAGAAACATCAATAGCTCGAAGCACCGTTATGCGCTGGGTTTGGCAAGCCTCGTGGTAGCGGAGCGGTTGAGACTCCGGGAGTCTGATCTAGGCAGCGGACGGAGACCCTGAGCGTAGTCGCTTCAGACAGTCCTCTAGGGGAAGTGTAGCCTGATCATGGCTGAGGCAGCATCTTATGTCGGCGATGCCGCACACTTGTACAGAGCACAAGTTGTCGCACTCGCAGGCTGTGGAGGTGGAATTGCCTAACGTGGCGTGGTCGAGGCCCTGCATCCCGTCTCTGCGCTATTGCTGCACGAGGGCGCCCGCTCCCGCAGAGCTTGGCTTCGATTGGTGGACCCAGATAACAGGAACGAGCAACGGGTGGAATGCTTTCCTCTACAATGCTGCACTTATCCTCTCCACAGCTACTGTTGAGCAACGTATAGGCTGTAGCCCTTGGAAAGCTCTATTCCCACCAATGCTCTAAGGTATGCGACTGGCCCTAGCACGGCCATCGACACCGCGGCACTGACCCATTGACGCTAGCTTGACGTCGCGTCGCGGTCCAAGCTCCTCTCAGCAAGCAAGCTGCTGCGCGACTGTATGCGCGAACAAGCCACTCTCTCTGCTTGCGCTGCCTGACCATTGCACCACCATCTCCACGTTCGTGCTCACTCTCTATAAACCACCTCTGCGTCGGATCGGCGAACCACCTTCCTTTTGTGTAAACTTCCCTTGCTCGTACCTTCCCTGTACAACTACTCTATGGCTTGTAGCTGGGCTGAACTCTAAGGCTTCCATATCAGACCTCGTTTGCAGCTCTTTGTGCGTGTTGGGAGTAGGTCAACGGCCAGCCCAGGGCGGCTCCTCACAGTCACGGTGTATACGGTCGCCTCGGCGACGGCATTGGAGGGGATGAGCGGGTACGAGGCGGAGCGGCGCCAGCACGCTGCGATGGAGGCAGCGAAAGACCCGAACAGCGCGGTGGATGGTGAAACAGCAAAACAAGCGATCCTACAGGAAGCTAGGGATGCTGGCGCCCCAGTCATCATAAATGACCCTAGTCTAAGTCCAGCAGAGCAGAATGCGCGCTCAAAAGCTGTATTGCTAATGGCCCCCTGTACGGTGGTGTGCGCGCTGACAGGAGCTATAGTCAATGCCACACGTCCCGCACAAAGTCGCCGCCTTGGTCAGCGATCAGGATGATGGTGAGACCGCCGGCTACGACTTGCCTGAGCCCTCGAAAGACGGGGCCATTGAAGGTCCGGTCTCGCCAGTGGAGGAGGATGGTCAACTGATATCCAGAGACGAGGCGGAGAAGTGGAGCCACGTCGGCGGCGCTCCGCGCTTCGGCAATCCCGGAGATCAAGACCAGAGCGCCACCTTGCTCGACCATGAAGACTTACTGGAGACCAGGCTTGACGACAAGCTCTTCGGCGATTGGTACCATAATACGGCAGTCATCATCTTCGCATGCCTTGCGTCGTGGACGGTTGCTGTATTGGGTGGCGGACTTGCGTGGGTCTTCATCATCATGGCCTTCTGCGCCACCTACTACAGGACGTCGATTCGACGGGTCCGCCGCAACTTCCGGGACGACATACAGCGGGAGGTCGCCAAAGCCAAGCTGGAAACCGAAGTCGAGAGCATCGAATGGATCAACATCGCTTTGATCAGAATGTGGCCAATACTATACCCATGGATTGGCAACGTGGTGAGGGACTCGGTCAATCAGATCATTAGCACCTCGGTGCCGGCTTTCCTTGACAGCATGAGAATGGAGAGCTTCATACTAGGTACGAAGCCGCCTCGTATGGAGCATGTCAAGACGTATACCACGTCGGAGGAAGACACGATCATGATGGACTGGAAGTTCAGCTTCACGCCAAATGACACTGCCGACCTTACTGCCCGGCAGCTCAAGCTCAAGATCAATCCAAAAGTCGTGTTGGAAGTACGCCTCGGCGTAGGGTTGGCATCTAAGGCTCTCAAGGTTATCGTTGAGGACATGGCTTGTTCCGGACTGATGCGGATTAAGATGAAACTGCAGCTTGACTATCCATTCATTGAGCGTGCGGAGCTTTGCTTCCTGGAAAGACCGACGTTCGACTATAAGCTCAATCCTCTTGTGCCGCAGTCTTTTGGCTTTGACATTAACTTCGTACCTGGTTTGGAAGGCTTTATCAACGAGCAGGTGCATGGGAATCTTGGTCCGATGATGTACGCTCCGAACGTCTTCCCGATCGAGATCGCCAAATTGCTCGCCGGTACTGCTGTTGATCAAGCTATCGGCGTGCTCTCATTAACCTTCCACGGTGCTCAAGGCCTTAAGAACACTGACAAATTCGCGGGCACGCCTGATCCGTACGCGACGGTAAGCATCAATGACCGCGAGGAGCTTGGACGGACGAAGAAGGTAGACGGAAACGCCAATCCACGGTGGAATGAGACAGTCAATGTCATTCTCACAAGCTTGCGCGAGCCGCTCACCATTACTGTCTGGGACTTCAACGACATTCGCAAAGATAAGGAGCTTGGCAAGTGCGTCTTCCAGCTTGAGCAGCTCGAGGCGGACCCTGAGCATGAGAACCTGCAACTTGAAGTGATCTCATCCGGAAGGCCGCGTGGGATTGTGCAAGCCGATATTCGCTTCTTCCCAGTGCTCGAGGGCAAGAAGCTCGAAGATGGTACCGTTGAGCCACCACCGGAGAGCAACACCGGTATTGCTAAGTTCACGGTTGAGCAAGCCAAAGACCTTGACGGCACAAAGTCTATGGTTGGCGCATTGAACCCGTACGCCGTATTGTTACTCAACGGCAAGGAAGTCGCCGTCTCCAAGAAGCTCAGTCGAACCAACAGCCCTGTCTTCCCAAACGCGACAAAGGAGATGCTCATCACGGATCGCAAGACAGCCAAGCTTGGATTGGTGATCAAAGACGACAAGGACCTAGCTATTGACCCTGTCATCGGCACATACCAGATTAAGTTGGATGACATGATAGACCTGATGAGCAAAGGCCAGGAATGGTACAATCTCGCTGGTGCCAAAACCGGTCGCGCCAAGATGCTACTTCAGTGGAAGCCAGTTGCGCTCAAAGGCGCACTCAGCGGTAGCGGCGGATATATCACGCCAATCGGCGTCATGCGCTTCCACTTCCAATCCGGCCGGGATCTGAAGAACCTGGACAAGGTTGGCAAATCTGACCCGTACATGCGGGTTTTGCTTTCCGGCATCCCCAAAGGCAGGACTGTGACTTGGAAGAACAACCTCAACCCTGAATGGGACGAGATCTTCTACGTGCCGGTGCACTCGCCGCGTGAGAAGCTTGTAGTGGAGGTCATGGACGAAGAGACCACACAAGACGATCGTACCATGGGTCAGCTCGAAATTGCTGCGTCGGAGTATGTAAAGCTGGGCGAGGATGGTCGGTATCTCCCCCACGACAGCAAAGATAAGGTAATCACAGCTCACGTCCGCATTGGCTCAAGCGCGCCAAAGGGCACGATCAACTTTACCGTGGCGTTTTACCCATGTTTAAACGTCGTTGACCCAGAGGAAGAGGAACACGATATGGCGGAAGCCAAGGCGAAAGCCGCGGACGCGGAGAAAGCAGCCACCCAGGCAACTTCTTCGCCTCAGCACTCTCGCAGTCACACCGCTGGAACAATTGCGAGTGTGACGAGTGAGAAGTCTACGAAGCAGGCACAGGGTGAGGCTGAGATGCGGAAGGCGCTTGCTGAGGGCGAAGACGAGCAGGTAGAGACCAATGAGGTGCAAGAGGCGAGCGTGCCCAAGGTTCGAATCGGACCAGAGGACCTCACTAAGTATGGTACGTACATTCCTACAAAGCGTCCATTGGCCGTAGAAGCATCACTGACAACCCAGCAGAACCCGGCGTGCTGATCTTCAGAATCATCGACGGCCAGCTTGCCCATCCAGACACGCATCTGGAAGTCGTTATGGACGACAATCTGTTCCCTGCTTACAGCAGCGCCAAGGCTCGCAGCACGAATTTCACTTTCAATGAGACTGGCGATACGGTGGTACGAGAGCTCGATCTCTCACGCATCACGCTTCGCCTCGTCTCCGGCGTGAACCGCAAAGGGGAGGAGAAGGACGACCCCATCAAGGCCAAGATCACCGGTCAGACTCTGGACGTGCTCCGCCGCTGCCTCTACACTCCTACTCAAATATCCCTGAGGGACGATCAAGGCCGCGTGAGCAAAATCACTGTCTCCATGCGTTTCCTGCCGATAGAGATGCAGCTCGACCCAAGCGAGAGCTTCAATAACTCCGGCAACCTCCGTGTCGATGTACTGGATGCCATTGACCTTCCTGCGGCCGACCGGAATGGCTACTCGGACCCATTCTGCCGCTTTGTGCTCAATGGGAAGGAGGTGTACAAGACGGAAGTTCAAAAGAAGACCTTGCATCCGGCTTGGAACGAGTTCTTCGAAGTGCCAGTGCGGAGTCGGACGGCTGCCAAGTTTGAAGTCAACGTCTATGACTGGGATTTGGGCAAGACAGCAGACTTCTTGGGCAAGGCAGCCATCAACCTTGACCTGTTGCAGCCACTAGAGGCACAGGAAGTGACCTTAGGCCTAGATGGCAAATCTGGGTCCATCCGGCTTAAGATGCTCTTCAAGCCAGATTTCGTAGTGCGCAGCCGGCAGGGTTCTAGCACATTCTCCGGTACTTTCGCCGCGCCTGGAAAGATAGTCGGTGCGCCCGTAAAGGGCGTTGGCAAGGGCGCTGTATTCGTTGGCGGTACTGTTGCCAAAGGAGCAGGCTTCCTTGGCCGCGGCTTCAAGCGAAGGACGAACAGTGGCATGCCGGCTTCGCCTTCAGAGGAGGGTGCAAACGGCGGGCTCGAGGACATGCATGAGACAAGCATGGAATCGACATCTCCGGGCCGACCAGAGACCGCGAACGGAACCGCTCCCCACGCCAACTACGCCAATGGTGACGGTGCGAACAAGGAGTTACCAGCAACTCCTGCACCGGCGCATAAGCGAGTTTCGAGTTATGGTGGCATGTCGCAAGCAGCGGGACGAGGCGAGTCTGGCACTGCAACCGTCACCGTTGTCAGCGCGTCTGGCTTCGAGGGTGATCCGAAGCTAGAGGTGCACGTCTTGCATGACACACCTAAGGGCCTGAAGAAGGTGGTAGAGACAGACCACCACAAGGCCAAAGATGGCGCCGTACACTACGAGGAGACAAAGAAGATTCAATGTACTGCTGATTCGCAGTTCCGGGTGCAAGTCCGGAATCACAAGCCCTTTGGCAGTGACATCCTCGGCGAGGCGGCCTTCTTCATTAATGACCAGGCGCAAGGCGGACAGCAAGATGTTAAAGTCGGCAGCGGCACAGTTGTGTTACGTACGAGCTTCCAGTCAGCTGACGCGGCTAGTATGCTGCAACCGCCAGGTGCCGAATCGCCTGCAAGCAGCAAGAAGGGCGGCTTGAACAGGTTCATGACCAGGAACAGCCGGAACGTGACGCCGTCTGGTTAGCAAGCTAGTAGCGAGCGCGCAATGGCGGCTCGGAGTTTGCGGGCATTCTCTGTGCATGCACCGCGTGATGGGAGCGAGACGATGAAGGAGGGAACGCGGAAAGCGTACTGGCAGACACGAGAGACGTTCCGCAAGTCTGTGAGCAGTCTTCGCCAAGATAACCACGGTACTCTGAGCGGCTATGGCGTGGACTCTGAGAATCCATCTCTATTTCAGGAGAGCTTGGTCACTTTACGGGTCCAGCCAGTCGAAGATTCAATTCGCGCAAGTCGAAGCCTCGACGGGCTAAGGCGAACTTATTTTTTGCGGTCGAAAGTGCGTTAGAGCGGCGGGTTATTTGTTCAAACTGGGGTGATACCAATACAGCGTCTTCCTACTCCAGTTTATAGCTGTGTACTTGTGTCAATACTCGCTCAGTGTTCAAAACCCCGATGACACTTCTCTTAGGTGTGTAAACGTGAAGGCGCAGTGACAAGGACTGCAGTGCAAAAGGTGTCTTTGGTAGAATCTCTTTGTCTGCGTGAGTATCTGCCTCCGCTTAAGTAACATTGCCGGACTACCTGTCTGAACGCCTGCCGAGCGTTACGCGAAGCACAATGTCGAGCGCTGAAACCATTTACATCACCACGCCAGAGTTGGACGCAATACGCGGCCATAGCTCAGCAGCCTCCTTGCCGACTGGACCAGTGATCGCTGACCCCTTCATCTCGCCCTTCGGGTTGACAATCTACGGTGTAGAGAGTCAGCATTAATCCATCCGCACTCACTTCATTCGCAGCCATCCACAACTTACCACGCCCGCGTTGTCCTCAAAGTACAAGAACACGCCATCCTGCCGTCTCCACGGCTTACTCTGTCGCACCACCACCGCCGGCATGACCTTCTTCCTCAGCTCCGGCTTGCCCTTCTTGACGGTCGCCATGACCATGTCGCCCACACCTGCGGCTGGAAGACGGTTGAGGCGGGCGCCGATGCCCTTGACGGAAATGACGTAGAGATTACGAGCGCCGGAGTTGTCTGCGCAGTTCATCACGGCGCCGCTGGGACGATGTTAGACGTAGCAGCCGTAAGAAATGTGCTATGGCACGTACACTGGAAGAGCGAGGGTCATCTTGAGCTTGTTGCCCGAGGCGGCACCACTTGGAAGAAGTCAGCGCTGTTTCAGTCTGCAGTGAGGGCAGCTATGGTGGATGCATACCCTTTACCAGACATCTTGAAGTGGTACGAGAAGTGATATTGGCTGGTGTTGTGTGGCTTCTGCGCCTTGACAATCTGTTTCCGCAGTCGAGATGTTGGAAGTCTGTAGCGGATTTTGCCGGTGTGGGTTGCGACGCGCACGGGCCATCAACGAAATCTTGGCATCAGAGTCGCGCCAAGAAGTGTGCCGACGGACTAGGTACTGAAATATCTGGCCGCTCAAGAGTGCTAAGAGTGTAACGCTCTACAGGAAGCACCAAATATACGCTCAATATCTCAATCGCTCAAACACTTTTTGGTCAACCCAAAAGATCATCTAGCCCACTACTGCCTGAGCCGGCCGGATTCGTGCCGTTACTTGACGCCGGGGTAGGCATCGCAGCCGGAGCGTTAGCGCCGTACAGTCCAGCCTGACTCTTCTGCTTCGCCATATCCGCAATAGTCGGTCCCTTCTGCGTCGGCGTGCCAGCCTTCTTCATTCCGCTGCCGCTGAGCAGCGAGGCGAAGGCATCCCCGCCGGCAGCCGGTTTCTTCGCTGCGGCCGTTGAGCGACCGCCCACGGAGGCGGCTGGTGAAGTGACGCCAGACCCTGACGCACTAGCTGATGACTGTACGGATGTGAAATAATTCGGTCCTGAAGGCTGGTAGCCGGAGGATTGCTGCTGTACTGGCACCGGTGGCGGAGAGAAGGCGGAGTAGTTCGGGCCTGTGGAAGTGCTTGTTCCAGATGCCGATAGCGGCGACGTCGTCGAGAAGATGTTGCTGAAGTTTGCTTGCTGACTGCCAGGCTGTGGAGAAGGCTGTGCAAACTGTGTGGTGGAAGAAGGGGAAGCTGTCGAGACCGGCGGCTGCAAAGAGCTGTAATTCGGTTTTGGTATGCTCGGTGTTGGAGCGGCTGGGGCCGGTGTCGCTGATTGGAAGTCGTCAAAGTCATCGTCATCGCCTCCTATAGTGGTTGGAGCAGGCGGTGACAGGACAGCTGAAGCGCTGGACGATGCAGCCGCTGTACCATTTGAAGGTGCAGCAGGCTCATCGCCAAAGTCGAATAGGTCCACTTCCGGCGCCTTAGGCTTGACAGGTTCCTTCTTTGGCGTCCGGCGTGCACTTGCTGTTTGGTCCGCTTTCCGCCTGCCTGGCGGAGCTTGTGCACCTCCATCGTCGAACTCATTGTACTCCTCAAACTGCTCAGCACCGCCTCTCCGTTCAGGCTCGTCGTAATCGTCATTGCTTTCCCCGCCAAAGCCGCCGCCATCTCCGTACACGCCGCGAGTGGCACCACCATACCCGGCTCCAACACCAGAACCGCTCTCGCTGCCGAAGCCGCCATACCGACTAGCGCTGCTGCTACCACTCATACCAAGGCCTCCACCACCCTCATGGCCGGAGTACTTATTCCGCGTTCCACGCGCTTTCTTGCGCTCAGCTCGAATCTTTTCCACATCACTCAGCAGATCAGTGAGCTCCTTGCTTCGATTACGCACGTTGATGCCCTGGTCCTTCCCATTAGGGTCAATGTAGTGAAACTGCCGCAACATCTTCAGCAGGCTGAGATGTGATCTGGCATCGTCGATCACACGCTCGCTGCCGTTCTTAACAAGAAACTCCATGAGCTGCAGCGCCTTGTATATCTGGCGCCACTCTTCCGCGGACTTTTCGGTGAAGCGCTTGTAGATCATCGGCATGATCTCGTTTAGCTGCTGGCTACACACCCGTAAGCACCTGCGCGACAATATGGAACTCCTGTACAGACGCGTACTAATTGGACGTCGCGTTTGCGATCTCCTGCATTAGGGTGGAAGACGCTCCCCAAGGTTCATTGTTCGTGGCTTCTCGGACTTTGGCCTCCATCTCGGTGTAGTTCTGCAAGCGCTGGTTAGCCGACCTCCTACCGTTGATGTTCTGATCACCATACCATAACCGCATTTTGGACCTTTCGGATGCCGGCCTTTACGTCGTACAGCGACAGGTTGCTGACCTGGTTTCTGATGTCGTTCCAATCCATGTCGGCGGCACGCGACAGCAAGCCTACCAAGCTACTACAGTACGAGCGGACGAAGTCGCGACGAGCAACGCAGGCTAACCCTACAAGACTCAGAAGTGTAGCCTATAGTATATGGATTGTACAAGCCGTAAGAGCTCTTTGTGTGCCTTCAGATGCTCGTCCGTCAATGGCGCTCAGGGGCGCTTCGGCCCGCATATGGCTTCCATCTCTGCACTCTAACACGAGATGGAAGGTTACTTTTTCGCCATCAAGTTTCATCACATACGGCGAAGGATCTGCATAGGCGGCGCTGGACCTGTACAATACGGAGGGATTGTATTATAAGTAGGTTGAGTGCAGCAGTGGTGCCTCTAGAGCGCCGAAACAGAGTCGCAAGCAGAGTCGCCTGCAGAGTACAGAGACTGATGATGCCTAGCTGAGGGCTTGCTTCGATATTGATCATACCCGGTTTACATTGTGAGTCTCCCTGAAGCAGACTGCACTACGTCCCACTCTCGGAAGACGGCGTTCAGCCTTTGGTGCTGCTATACATTATGGCTGCTGCTGCTGCTGCTTGCCCGGAGGAGGACCTCCTGCCAAGCCTCAGCCTCAGCCGGCGGCGCAAGGCCCCAGAAAGTGAGGTCAACGACCCTGAAAGCTCATTCACTTGTGCATCAGTGCCCCACCACGCCACTACCCCGCCGACGTCTCCCTCAACGAAGAGCCCCTCACTTGAACATGTTTTCGTTCAATACCACAGCTCCAATAACACGACAACTTCTTCGACAACCTCTTTACTCAAACCAACACACTCTTCAACGTTCATTCCACGCCACTGCCGCCAACATGGTTGTCAAGTGCTACTTCGACTGCAGCTGGAACGACCCCCGGAGCAAGGAGAGTACGTGTTTGCAAGACAACCACGAGACGAAAGGGTGCAAAGCTCACTAACTTCTTGCAGGGAAGACGGGCCGTATCAACTTCAATCTCTTCGACACAGATGTTCCGAAGACCGCTGAGAACTTCCGTGCTCTGTGCACCGGCGAGAAGGGGTTCGGCTACAAGGGCAGCAAGTTCCACCGTGTGATCCCGGACTTCATGCTCCAGGGTGGTGACTTCACTCGCGGCAACGTCCGTATACAAAGTGTACTCTCCCCATTCTCACACTGACACGCACTAGGGCACGGGTGGCAAGTCCATCTACGGCGAGAAGTTCGCCGACGAGAACTTCAAGCACAAGCACACCAAGCCCGGTCTCCTCTCCATGGCCAACGCCGGCCCGAACACCAACGGTAGCCAGTTCTTCATCACCACCGTCGTGACCAGCTGGCTCGATGGCAAGCACGTCGTCTTCGGAGAGGTTGCCGACCAGGACTCGATGAAGGTCGTCAAGGCCATCGAGAGCTGCGGCCAGTCGAGCGGTTCCACGGGCAGCACGAACCCGATGATCGATGATGCCGGTGTGCAGTAAGCTGGCGCCGCGTGAAGTGGGGAAGACTGAGCAGCAAGCGAGCGTGGAAACACACAGACGAGGCAGCATCAGCGGAAAACAATGCGGTGCTGAGGGCTGGCTGTTGCTGTTATGCTAGCCTCAAAAAGTAGATTGCATGTAGCAGACAGGATGCTTCTCTTCTTACATGCATCAGTACCATGCCGTCGTTCCTGTCCTCTTGTGTTCGTGCCGTACCTCCACGTATGTGACAGGCCATACAGCGGTCCTATGTCGTTCCACTGATGTATACTTTACGTTCCATGACCTTGTGCTCTTGGGAATCGCATGATTCATTCAAACATCCTTAGTGGGCATTGAACAGCAACGAGCCTCTTGGGCATCGGCCGCTTGCATCGCGCAATTAGATAACCCCGCGTTAAGCTCAGACCTGAACCCGACAAAGACCCTGTAGTTCTAATGCTTATCGCAGTTAAGCGTATTGGCTAAATATACCAATACGGTAACCGCTCGTATCAACACCAGCCGTTCAGCCAGCCCCCTCCCTTCCTCGAGCTCAGGCACGCGAGCTGTGGCATTGCATTTGCCACGTTGAGCAGCGCATTGAATGGAACCTGCGTGCTCTTGGCACTTAGAAGACTCGCGGCAGGGAACGTGACTAAATTGCACGAATGCCGCGTCTACAATACACAGCGTCGCACAGTGATAGACTGAAGGCCAGAGATAATGGCTGAGAACGGCGAAGTAAAACGTATGAAGTCGAAGTTCAAATGGGGCAAGGTCTTCAAGGAGAACGAGACGCCGCCTCAGTCAGCCAGTACTGAGCCCTTCAAGCTTAACGAAGATGTTGTCGACTTCCTTAAGCCGTCTACGGAGAAGAGCATGCGACCGAAGATTGATATCGCGATAGCACAACGCTGGCCAGCCGCGAACGAAGCTAAGGTACTTGACAAGGAAGGCACGAGCTTACCAGAGTGGACAGGGTATCGGAAGCCGAGGCGGAGAGAGGGTCTTGCGGTGGCCTTCGTTAAGACTGCGCCGGAGGTCGTTGGCGAGGGTGGAGACGATGCGCTTGAGCCGCCGACGGAGGTGGGTAGGCAGAAAGCGGTTATGCCGCGATCTGTGTCAGCGCGCCAGCCGGCTCCGCTTGACGACAACATGCCATGGCCTGGCACGGTCGCGCAGAGGCCAACCACTGAGGCCGCAAAGGCACCGACTTCGCCGGAAGAGGCGGTTAGGCCACCGCCTGTGCGGAGGGCTGGAACGTCTCACTTCGAGATGTCTGCGCCTATGGAGCGAAAGCATGCTTCACCATCACTTCCACATATTCTACCGCACAAGCCCAGTCTTGGCCGGACACCAACGGGGTTTCTCGGCCATATGCAGGAGACGGCTCACGAAGACTCCGACGACGAGACGTATGAGGCTCATTCATGGAATATACCAATGATCGACACTCAACTAAACGGATCGCCGTCCGGCTACAGTTCGTCGGATCCGTCGACAGCGGGAATCGAACGTAGCACAAAGCTGTCAGCGGCGCCAAAGTCGCCAGTGATACAGCGTCGACAGGATATGGAAGCTGGCGAGGGCATGGTTTTGAGGCGCGCCAGTAGTATGGAGATCAAGAGTGAGGATGACGGAGAATCCGGCCAAGCTGAACCGGTAGTGCAAGCTACTGGTCTGTCAACAACATCGGCTACCAGCAAGCCTGTGAGGACAATATTCAGCCCGGGCGATAGTCTCTCGCCGGACTCAGCGCTCTCTCCGCTCGGTCCCTCGCCTTTTGCAGACCCAATATATATGAAGCGCCGGTCCAGAGATGGCTCGCCTGCTTCTGTGTCATCTCAGGGGCAGACTCCAGCAAATCAATACATTCTCCCACCATCTCAGGCTTCCCGGGTTCGTGCTCTACCGCAGTCGGGTCGTCAATCTGCTCCAGCAGCTACCCAACTAAGTCAGACGCGCGGCAAAGCACCCTCTCCACAAAGGGGCGCGACGGAGCAACCCAGCTATATGCGCCACGCGCCAGATAACCAACCTCAGTCTATGTCACCCTCGAGACAGTCAACTAACAGGGAACATGCTGCGCCAAACGACATACAAACAAGCTATATACGTGCAGTCCAGCCGGAAAACGGACGAACGGCGGCGCCTCTTCCGGCTCCTACACCAGTCACGACACAAACGATGAGTGCTACGACCGACAGTAACCGCAGTGGATCACACTCTCCAGTGCTAGACCGTACCTTTGATGCGCAGTCGGTGCCGGAGAAGCCACATCCGCTGTTCAATCAGCCCAGCCACTCCAGCGGCAGCGCCAACCGCTTTCCTGGGTCTTCCAGAGCTGGTCCGAACAGTCAACCCAGTTCTCGCGATGACGCGTTCCCGTCCCCTCGTGGCCGCTCCGAAGGGTCAGCAGAAACCCTACCTCGCAGTCAGTACTCGCCGCACAAGCGAGAATTGCCAGCCTCCGAGGTGCAAGCTTCGAGTGCAAACCGTCCGTCACCCGTATCTCGACAGAGTCCGCACGGTCGCAGTCCGCCAAACGCCCTACTCTCTCCCGCTCAACCTACGCCTTCTGCTCTCTCACCTGGTGCGCACATTTCAGCCTCCAACGACTACTTCGCTGCGCCACCAAAGCCGCAACCAGCTCGCTCTCCGGCAGCCACATTGCGACAAGCCGACACGCCGCGTCCGGGCTCATCAGACTCCGCGCGTTCTTCCAACCGCCCCATACCTTCTTCTCAGCCACCTGTGAACAACGACCACGCTGCTAATGCCGCACTAGCTGATTTCGCTGGGCGCGTAGCTCATATGAACGGCGTCTTCCGGCTTACAGCTGAAAAGGAGCGCCCAGCTGACCAATGTACGCCGCAGGTATGGCTGAGAGCGGGCTTGTGGTGGTACCTGAAGGGCAAAGCCGGTCTCGAAAGCCTTCTGCAACAGCGACAGCAGGAACCCAATCTTCACCGTGATTTACTGATACAGGCGCATGTTGATCTCGCGAAAGCTTGGTGGATCTTGTCGGATCACCTTCAACCATTCGATACGCTTGAGAGCCAGCCGGGTGCACGCTTGCCGCAAGGTGCAGAGCAGCAGCTTCAGCAGTCTGTTGCGCTGTTGCGCAGTCACATCAAGTCATTGTCCGCCTCTATGATTCGCAGTCAGCTGATGCCGCCCGCACAGTCGCTTATACAAGGCCAAAATACTACTATCTGGCTTCAGTACCCGCGCTTCAATGCAGATGCGGCTACCGTACTAGGTAGCTATGTAACAAACACTATGATGCAAGGTGGCCCATCACCCGCGATCAGTGCACTGGAGGTGTTGCCTTTGGGCGACGATCGCACCACATTCTGCTACGGCCGCTTTCCGGTCGACCTGTCGCTGCATACGGACGATGCAAACACGGATAGGGTGGCGGTGCCGTGCATGCTGACAATGCTACGTGACAAGCAAGATCTCCAGCCTAGCATCGTCATTTCCAGCCAGTCCGCTTTGGTGAATCTAAGGCTAGGACCTCGCCACGGTCCCGAACGAGGGCCCAGCTGGCGCGACGTGTCCTGGAGGTCCGGCTCACACAGCATTGGCATCAGTCTTCCTCGCGGCTTCGAGGTGACTGTACGCATGCAGGAGCGTGACCTTCGCACTTTGTGGAATCTCGTCGAATACGCGCGAAAGGTGCAGCAAAGCCTGGCGGCTGAAGCGAATGAAAAGCTCGTGCATGAAGTCAGCCTTGCCGAGTTACAGTATGCGGACTCTGCTGGGTCTCGCGCCTTTCCGCAGGAGAAACTCAGCAGCTGCTCTGCTTTCGTCTTCGAACGCACAGCAGAGCACGGTGACGGAAGATGGCTGCGAAAGAAGCACGATGGTTTTCGTTTACTGCTAATGACAGATCCGTCGCACAAGTCGCTAAGCAGTGTAAGTCACAAGATCGGCAGAGGCTTACCAATGTTTCTTGAGTTCGTTACGGATGCTGCTGCGCAAGGCACCACCGCCATGGTTATCCGCATACAGGAAGATAAGCGGCAGTGTAGGTTACTCTTGGTATTTCCGGATTCTGCGAGCAGACAGGCATTGTTTGATGTGCTCAATGGCATCAGCATCAGCTCGGATGAAGTCATCGTCGCCAAGATGGCCTTGACGGGCCTTAATATTCAGCCTGCTTCATCAAGCGACGTACAAAGTCCGATCGCTCATCCTGCTCTGCACAGTGTGCAATGGCAGGAGCTGGGCGTTACGAATTGCCAGCCCGACGATCCGAGTCCGCGAGCACCATCCACTACCGGATCAGAGAGTCTGCGTATTGTCGCAAAACATGCCGCGGGGTGCCTCACCGATCGACTCAACCTTGGGAAAGGCGAGCTGCTTTTGCGCCTGCCATGCGCTGACACTGCACTGCCAGCTGTACAAATCCTGCGTAATGCGCAAGAAGACTTGGCCATGTCAATCGACAGCCGGCATGTATCGCAAGGAGTAGCAAGCGGCATGACGGAGCTTTTAGCAATGGCACAGAAGGAGATGACGATCCGTACCTTCACGTTCGCGACACTCACCGACTTGCATGCCTTCCAGGCCTCAATCACCGGCTGCACAGTGCGTTATGACGGCATTGCCAGCACCTTTGGCATCTCACAGCGAATGATGGTCGTACCCATCTATCAGAAGAAGCAGGCATCGGGCGTCCGCCTTCAGGTCGTCGTACACAGTACCGTTGCCCAGGTGCTTGTGTTCATGGAAGATTTCGCTCTGGCCGAAGCCTTGTGCTTCCAGGTGAAATCCACAGACACTTTTGAGCGCATTAAGGGCGACAGCAGGAACAAGAAGTGGGCCATCAAGTTCGTGGATGCCAAGTTCAAGTTACCTCAGAAGTGGGATCGAGGAGGGCTGCCCCGGGAAGAGGCTGTGAGGCAACGGTTTGTCAATTTGGAAGGCTTAGAATATGCTGAAGAACATGACGATATCACTGTTGGCTTTGATACAGAAGAAGGTATGTTCTTCCAACACATTAGTGTTGCACCCGGATCGGCTGATGTTTCACAGAGCGAGATGTATTCGCACGAGCACTCCCGGCTGCCACGACCGTAAGCCGTGGCATCACACTCAAACGACGGATATGACAGGTCCTTTTGACATCGCTGTGGCATTGGCGACTGTATGATACCCATTTGCAGCGTTCTTGCATAGCGATTGGCATGTCGCCTACCCCACGCATGCGTCGGCCTTATCGGCTTTTGCAAGTTAGTAGAAACCTACGATGTACATGCCTTAACATAGCAGCTAGACTTAGCTACATTACAAGCTGCATCATCTACGCATCTCGTCTCAGCTACCCGCCAGCACTGCTTCACCCTCCAGATTCTGAGGCCATGGCCAGCTCCAATGGCCACGGCAATCCCAACACAACTGGGCTGAGCGTACCGAAACCGCAGCAGCAGTCCTACGCCTTTGCAACCCGCGGCGTACACGCAGACGATGCAATCCACGAGTACACCGATGTAGCACCAGCACTCCACGTCTCCACCACCTACCGATATCCTTCTGACCCAGACAAGCTTGAGCCGGTCGATGACCTCGATATTCCAGCCCGCGAGCCCGGCGGAGTGATACCGGGTGATACACACGTATACTCACGCCTGACTGCACCCAACAGCTCGCGGCTAGAGCTCCTACTCACATCTATCGTGGGCGCGCCATGCTTGACATACAACTCCGGCTTAGCAGCCTTCCATGCTCTGCTAACGTACCTTAACCCCAAAGTAGTGGCAATAGGAGCTGGCTACCATGGCTGCCACGGAGTGCTACATATTTACCAGAAGCTTACAGGCTGTAAGATCGTGGATTTGTTCGATGAGAAGAGCTGGGATGACGAGGGAGCGGGCTGGAGCTTAGGCAAAGGTGACGTGGTGCATCTGGAGACTCCAGTGAATCCAACAGGCAGAGCGTTCGACATTTCGCACTATGCGGAGATGGCGCACAAGCGAGGTGCCATCTTGACGATAGATGCTACGTTCGCACCACCACCGCTGCAAGACCCGTTCAAGTGGGGTGCGGATTACGTTATGCACAGCGGAACCAAGTACTTTGGTGGCCATTCAGATATGCTATGCGGCGTCATTGCCGTTGGGAAGAATAGGGAGGGTTGGGAGAAGGACTATTGGAGCATGTACGGCGAGCGGCTACACCTGGGTTCGGTAATGGGAAGCATGGAGGGCTGGCTGGGCGTACGGAGTTTGCGGACGCTGGAGTTGCGGGTGACGAGGCAGAGTCAGAACTGTGATAATATTGTCGCGGCTCTGAACGCCTGCCTTGATGGCTCCGAAGCGGACGAAAAGGCTTGTGCGGTCAAGTCAGTGCTTGCCAAAATCGAGCATGCTTCGCTGCAAACGTCAGACATGGCTTGGTTGAAGAAGCAGATGCCGAATGGATTCGGACCTGTCTTCAGCATCTGGTTCAAGACGGCTACACAAGCACGGAGATTCCCGAGCAAGTTGCAGCTCTTCCACCATGCCACGAGTCTAGGCGGCGTCGAAAGCCTCATTGAGTGGCGAAGGATGAGTGATGACACAGTTGAAGAGACGCTCTGTCGGATCAGCGTCGGTGTGGAGAATTGGGAGGATTTGATGAATGACTTGCTGGACGGCTGCGTTGCACTCGCTAAAGAGGCGAAGTGAATCACCTCGATGCAGAGCCGTTCGTGCCACCACATGGGACAGAACCGGCGACATAGATTAGCTGAGTGCCTTTACCAGGACACGCCGTCTAGCGCTACCCTTGAATGCGCAACAGGTTCGGCAGCACGGCTCCAAGGGCACGCCTGCATAGCTGCTCGACTAGTATGCCGCTACGGCACCGTCTCACCGCCATAGAGTGTAGCGCTCGACACTCGAGGCGATACCCCCGCGTACAGTGGGTGCATTCTCCATGAGTGTCCGACCAACCACGCTCGAGGTACGCTTTGAAGCCAACAACTGCTGCACCGTCACGGCTTGCCGGGTCACCGTGCTACGCGCTTGAACTATTAGGAGGGATCTCTCACGCTTCTGCCATGCAGAGAACGGCGTCTCGAAGAGAAAACTCAGCAGCGATAACACATCCTACTCATGACAGGAGCTTGTTGACGGTCATCAATGCAGGGATGCTGCAGCTTCATCGAGCTCATAGGTATCGTAGGTGGTCTATAGTACAGCTCATCCTCCACTCTCCATGTCCCAGAACGCCAAGTCATGATGCCAGCTAATCTCATGTTCTCATCACGTCTCAGCATCAGTGTACGTTTCCGGCCCGTAGGTTCCCATCCGCTCTATCGGCATGTTAGGCCGCCACTTCTTCGGTGGCTGCTGCGCCGTCCCATTGGCGCCCTTTCCGTCCGCAATGCTCATGCCGCTGAGCGCTTGCGGTAGAGACGACGCTGTGGCCTGCGTCTGTGAGGGCTGATGAGTTGCGCCATCGTGCTGTGGGATGCCAGTCGTTCTTGGCGCTGGCTGTCCCTGCTGTGGGAACATATAAGTCGTATTTGGCGCTGGCTGACTTTGCTGTGCGGTGCCAGTCGTTCTTGGCACTGGCTGTTCCTGCTGCGGCTGCTGTGAGGGTTGCATTTGCGGCTGCGACTGCGGTTGTGGTGGCTGTTGCGGTTGCGGTTGCGTCTGCTTCTGGCTGTGCTGACGGTTGCTCATCTCTTGACTGGGTAGGATGGGAGCGATAGCGAGTATTTGCTCGGTTTGCTTCTCCGGTGGCGCGTCATTGTCAATTTGTGCGCTAATGATCCAGTCCAGCTGTTCTTCATCGCCTGCCGGTGCCGCCTTGAACAGCTTCGGCTGCCAGACATGGCCTTCTCCGCGCTCGGCTGCTTCTCGTCTCTGCTCGTCTTCGACTTTCGTCTTCTCGTCTGTTGCAGTCTTCTGATCCGCCTTCTTGATCGCTCGCGTGGTAGGGTCCCACAGGCGCTGGCTCTCGTGCGGTCCTTGCTCGTTGAGTGGACGTGCTTTGATGGCGGTCGGCTTCGCACTTGTGGCGTCGAATAGAAGCTCCTTCTTGCCCGTCGAGAGGTCTTTGATGTACATCTCGCCATGCCAGAAACCGCTGAGCTCGTACAGCTGCTTCCCGCTCTTGGTCTCTTTGATGCAGCCGCCGATTGCGTTGTACGTGCCGCCAACCCAGCCTTTCGTCTTGAACTCGATGTCGGCTTCCAGGCCAGTCTCTGGGCAGCGTACGACTGCCTGGTCACCAAGCTCGTACTTCATCTTGCCGAAGAGAATGCCGCGGGCGTACATGTTGGGTTGAGTAACGAAACTGCAGTCTTCGTTAGCTATGTCGGTCATAAAGCACACTGAGTGAAGTGTAGCTGCTTACTATCGCTCTCCGCGGTTGAGAAAGCGCATGACGGCTATCCCTTCCATGAAGCTGCCGACGCTGTTGCCGAGAAACTTGGACCGCGGCTTGAGTGTGCCATCTATGCGAATCTTGTGCTCAGGTGCCATAAAGAAGTAGCTACTCTTGGGTGGGTGATGGCATGTCTGTTCCGCCACATAGTACGCTCTAGTGCCGTCCGGGTAGTCCCACCAGCCAGTGAAGGTCTCGCCGAGGATGGGGTTGAGTGGTTTCTTGACACCTGGTGGCTTAATGTGCCAGCCTGATAGGTAGAATTTGGTTACGGCTACGAATCGCTGGACGGGGTCGTCAATGGTGGGCATGGGGAGGAGTGTCTCGGGGTGTGCCATGAAGTTCGTTATACGTTCCAGCATGCTCTTCGGCTCGAGGATGAAGGTAGGGAGGGTGATGCGGCTGAGGTCGGCACCGGGACGGAGCTGAGAGATGATGTGGGAGATGACGCTGCTATTCTCGCCGGACACAACCTCGACATCATCACCATTGTCGGAATCACGTGGTTCCTCGGCGGAAGAGCGGTTGCTGGCGAGCGAGTTCTTGCGGAGAGGGTTGGAGAGCACCATCACTGCGACCGCTCGAGCAGGTACTGGAAATGGTCCCAGAAGGCGTTGTTGGCGATGGGCAGCCCGAGGTCGCTGCGAATGGGTATAGGTCAGTAATGAAGGTGAGAAGGAGGCATTGCAAGTTGAACTGGAGAAAGTCAGCGCAGCAAGCAAGCAAGCACGTGTTTCCGCCAAGCCATGGTTCGCGTCCGCGGGTGAAGCGCTACGTCATGCGCTAGTGGGATGCGAAGTCTTGGCAGGCAAGCTCCAGGACTTCGGGAACGTTTTCAATACTGCGGCTGCGACATCATAGCCTGTTATCTCAACGAGCAACCGCTCTCATGTGCTGCTGTGAGACTGTTGCAGTCTCTCGTGCTGGAGCTTTGACAGTGTGGTCCGTGCCTAGGAGTACTGCTGCGGAACCAGGACAACAGTCTGGGCGGTGACGGTCAAACTGTCACTGATCACTTGGCAGTATCTCAAAACGACAGTATATGCCACTGGAGGTCGTGTGGTGAGTTGGCAACATTCGAAGACTGCGTGCCCTGGAGATGGATCGTTACGTTGAAACGGTTCGAAGCAACGGAGCCAACGTTGACTGTGTATCCTGATAGGTGCTCGTCCGGCTTGACGTGCTTGCTTGCTTGCTTATTGCGCTTATGGGAGGTGTTCTGTGGTGAACTTGAAACGGTAGATGGGAACTTACACGTAGTAGCGATAGAGTTGGAGCTCTATCTTCCAGTCTCTGTGAGCTTTCGTCAGTACTTGTTCATCTGAAACGGCAACAGAGACTTAGAGCGAGACATACAGCGCCAACGGGTCCGGCCGGACGCGTGGAGTGCACGCCGTACACGGCGGCAAGAAGCTGCCGTCCCGCGGCCGCACCTCCCAGCACTGCATCCACCGATTCCTACACTCAGGTCAGCCATATATCCCATTTAGTAGCTTTGAGTTGCTGTGGTGGGCTTACGGGCACTGCCACCACGGCAACCACCACGGGCAGCCCGGACACTGGCGGACCCGAAGGTCGTGTGGCGTGTGCCCTGCTTGAGAAGGCACGCTGTCAGCTCGAACGTTAGGTGATGATGAGGCGTCTAAGCTTACTGTACTGGCATTTGTATCCGCATGGGTGGAGGCATACAACAAAGCACACTGTGCCACGTTAGCAGGTGGTTCCCCTGAGATGTTATGATGACGCGATTGCAGGCAAGAACACGAGATTAACAAGAGCATCATTGTACAGCTGATCGATTGTTACCCGTATATCTTAGCTTCTCAGGAGCATGAGCCGGTTGATGAGGTGCTGCGGGGCTAATGATTTCTGAGCTTGGGGATCTCCGGCGAGATGGAGTGATGTGGTTGTTGCATGCTCAGCCAGAGCGTAATGACGGTCGCAACTGCGAGCTTGCCCGGTGCGGCAACCCCATAACGATGGTGAAACCCCATTGAGATTGTAGAGCGGCATTTGTGTCTTCGGAAGGTGTCTGGCTTTGCCTTTGCAGCGGCCAGCCATCGAATATGTGGCCAGGACACGATTTCCGGAGACCGTCCGATGGTGAATACAGACGAGCCTAAAGGGAGGAAAACGTGCTTTTGCAATGCAGGGAGGTCTGTGAGTTGGATGGGAGGGAGTACGTACTCTTCGCGGCTTCGTTGCCAGAGAGAAGAAGGAGGGAGTCACATCGTGAGCTGCCAGGAAAGAAACAACAGACGGCGGAACTTGCCGTTGTCCGTTGCAGGGGTCAACCGCCGCCAGGGAACCCTTAATGTGACCACGAGGGAAAGCAGCTAGCCCTAAAGGGTGAGAGGCTGTTGACAAACGAGCAGAGAACAATCTAAAACAAACCTCGCGCGAGGATATTGTTAATCGGCCGAGAACGGAGGACGTGGAGGAATCACTTCGAAGTCGCGGACGACATTCGATCCCAGATGCGGCGTCACGCAAATCAAAAACGCTCCGTGGAGACAGAAGGGTGAATGAGATGCTGTAGCAAGAGGAAGACGTAATCGGGGACGTTCAGACAGAGTGAAACACGAGGGGCCCAATCCATAACATCCGACCAAGCAGATAGTCATAGAGAAGGACTGTGGCAGACTTAAGTACTCTTACCACAGCGCCCACAACTGAGCCAAGGGCGTAACAGACTCGTCGCAGCTGACGAACGGCCAATGCTGGCAAAGCCAACCGCGTATATGAGATAAGTCTGGTGCTGCTCTTGAGCAGCAGGACAAGACCAAGCTATGTTGGGCTCTAGACGATGCTTCTTAGACGTGGCATATGCTCAAGACCGGACAGCTACACTCATATAGCGGCCCTGCGATCGAATGCACCCCCAAATTTGTCTATCTTTGAGCGTAATTCAGTAAACGGAGGTAAGCGGCCATAAGCAGCAAACTCCCTCTGACAATGGTCTGCAGCCATAGAAGTGGAGAGAGCATACACCAGCGGAAGGGTTTACCATACCACAAATCAAAATCCCATCTCGAGGAATCATCGTGAGACACAAGAAGACAGTAACCCGTCCGCAAACTCATCTCAATTACAGCGCACGGTTGGTGGCAGATCACACCGAGAGCAGCCAAAATGTGGAGCCTTCTGCGCCGTCTGTATGGCAGTCCGCTGATCATCGGAGTGGTGGCGCAAGCGTGAGTATAAAGAGCAGCTAGTGGTAACGCTTCGCATAGGCCGGGCATCCGGGCGCGGGTGAAGTGTTGATCTGTGGCGCCACTTGGGAACCCGTTGCGCATTCAATTCCTCGAGCTCATTGTGGCAATATGTTAACGAGCACCTCGGACAAGCGGCCCTGAGATGGCGGACGGCGGTCCTGCAGGCCACGAGGCGTAGCGAAGACACATCGTGACGGATACTGAGAAGCGCAGACTGTAAAGCTTGATGGACATGTCCGGATGCGCGCTTGCGTAGCAGGCATCGTAGATGTAAACGATAGGTTAGAGACATATGTAGCTACAGAAGATGTGCAGTGCAAGTAAAGTTACGCCAAGACTCAAGCGGAGAATATGCCGCCCGAGGTGATGTGCCTTGTCCGCGCAGTACGGTCAATGCATGGTCGGTGAGTTGAGCTGATGACATGAAAGATGTTTGAGGCTCTTCTATATATCGTATATCTGCTTTCAATGACTTTCTGTGTCGATTGAGTGACTACAAGGCATTGTGTCAGCGTCGCTGAGCAGAAGGACGAGGGCGCTTGCCGTTCTCTGCCTCCAGAGGGTCTTGGCATAGCCAGCGCCGCATTATCTCCCCTTTCACACTGAACAGGGTGCATGTTGTAGACTTCACCTTTTGCGCCAGCCGCGTGGCACAGTGATCTCGCAGGAGGCTTCGCGGCGCAAGTGGGCGGCTCGCTAGCCGGCAGCAGCTCACGTAGGATACCTTGACTGGCATAGACCACCAAGACCCATTTCCACGCGGACCTCCGGCGGCGATGGCATCAAGCGGTAAGGCTGCGCTGATAGTGGTTGATCTGTGAGTCATGATAGTAGTCTTCGCGGGCGGCACTGCCCCGCTGACGCTGAGGGCACACACAGTCAGAACGACTTCTGCCCGCCTGATGGCTCGCTTGCAGTCGCGGACGGCCGTGACATCGCGCCAGCAATCAACGAGCTTCTCGAGTTGCCGTTCGCACTGAAACTGGCCACCCGTGACTTTCATCCGCGGGACCACGTAAGCTTCGCGAGCAATCATACAGGCAAGAAGCCGTTTACGGACTCGCATACTTTCACGAACCCAGAGAATCCGGAGGAGAAAGAGACCACGTATGTCAGTCTATGAGTGGCAGATCTGGAGCACAGAGAGCTAACGCAGAGGGTACAGCCTGCTTTGGCCGGATCATTGCGTCCAAGGGACACCTGGTTGCGAGCTGATATCCGAGCTGGACACCTCGAAGCTTGACTTCGTGCAGGATAAAGGCCAGGACAAGCGCGTGGAGTCGTACTCGGCCTTTGGGCCGCCTTTCCAGAACCCAGAGATTTCCATGTCAGGCTTGTATCAGCGGCTGATCCAGGCTGGCATCACGGATGTCTTCTGCTGTGGCCTGGCTTTCGACTACTGCGTAAAGCACACAGCTGTCGATGCTGCGAAGAAAGGCTTCAAAACGTATGTAATTGAAGATGCCACGAAGGGCATAGAGCGGACGAGTGATGGCCACGCCGCAACACTCGAAGCGTACCGGGAGGTTGGTGTCCGGGTGATATCTACAACGGCCGAAGAGCTCCAGAACTTTGGGATCGCATAGACCATACCACCGGCGTTCAGTTGATGAACAAAGCTCTTGCACCTTGATGGTCGTCCGGCACTGCAGATCGCTGACCTCTTGCCAGAGCAGCAAACATAAACAAACAAAAATCAGTGACCATTTTTATGGGCAACAATGAAGCATGATCGGCCTGAAATGGCAGGCTCAGAAACGCAAGAGAGAGTGTGACAGGAAGATGCAATTGCGTAGAACGATGGCCTGACAAGCAGGCCGCGGCGTCAGGGCTGCGACTACTGCTCAGGTTGACCTACCATTGCAGCCGTGGGAGCTTGAAGCTGGTCGATTTTCGTCTGCTGCGGGCTCCGTGTAAAGGTGGTTCCTCTTCGGAAGAACCACAATTCCATGCTGGTTATCGGACGGACTCGCCCGCCTCATGCCCAACATTCAAGAAATAGGTCGGTTACTCTCCAAGCGTCCGCTAAGGTAGGGATGGTGATTGCAGCCGTGCGATGCTCGGCGCGACAAACGGTACGCGTGTGCGGCGATATGCGCATCGTCCTCTTGCCGCAGCCGGCTGCATTAAGCCTAAGAAAGCTGCCACAACAACGTCGCGAACGCGCCGGGTCGGTGATCACCCGGCGCATGGCCGTTGTGCGGGTCCACGGCGGTCCGCGTGAGATGTTGCTCATCAACCTACAGCTTCATTCTGTGAAGCACTTGCTCTCGTTCTCACTGCCGTCTCGGAATCATTTGTTGGACTGAATCGTCGCCAGCCCAACCACGGGTGATACGCGTTGGTGCGCAGATGCGGAGCGCCAGTCGTTTGTCTCCTCGAGCGTCGGTAAGTGTCCTCTTGTATTCCATTGTCGCTGCTATTCTTGTGCTTGCATCATAGCCCGTTGTAACGAGTTGAGCTCACATATTAGGGTTGCTGCCGCTCATTGCGAAGTTTGCTGAAAAGCGGAGCTTGCATTCTTTGGCATCTGCGCAGTTCTTCGCCCGTTTGCGTAGCATAGCTGGCTTTGGGAAATCCATGCTCTTCCGCGTAAAATGCTGCGCGGGTCGAAGAATGAGGTTCTGATCAAAGGACGGCCGGCTTGCATGGGGAACAGCAGCAGGCGGTTTCGAAAGCTTTGCACATCAGAAGCGCTAGTCAGTGTTTTGCGGCACATTTGCCGTGTATATGCTCTTGTCTTGCATGCCGATGGCGACCTTTGAGAGTTTGCCACTTATGCGTGCTATATGCTCGAATGATCGCTTCAGCGCATGCAGCGTCGGTTTGCTTGCTGGAGAGCTTTGCCACGGGATGACTTTGCGGTTATATGCATCCTTGATTCAAAGTACAGCGGTACGCATCTATGAATATGACGCGACGCCGTTATATCAGTAACAACAGGGAGATCGAGCAGGGCGCAGTCAGGAAAATGTGTAAGTTAGTGTCGAAGTGCGGCTCGGGCTACTTAGCAACGCCTTTCAACCACACCTTTACTCGAACCTAATTTCTGTAGGGGGCAATGGTAGGGCAACGAGACAATATACTGCGGCATCGTGTGTTGAATCGGGACGCCTGTAAGTCTGTTACAGTTGGCGCTCAGAGAATCTTTAATCAGGATTGATGCCTTTGCGGCCTCGCCACGGCCTCTGCAATTGCACTGCATAACATACGCATGCGATTACGAGAGCCGCCTGCGAAAGGTTCGACGGCACATTGTGGCTTCGCCTACCAAGATTGTTGACTGGCGAGACCCATCACAGGCGCTGCTGGGAGATTTGATAGTCGTTGATTTGTAGGTATCCTAAGACGCCGCCAATGGACATGGCGATGGCGGTAGGATGCATTCCGATTATCAAGCGATACGCACCGACGAGCGCGACGGCGTTTCATCATGGCTGATAATGGTGGGGGAAGAACGGTCTTGGGTGGAAGATTGCTAGGATATCTTGTGGTGTTAGAGTAAAGATCTCATCGCGGTTTTGGTATAGCATCACTTTTATAGCAAGGCAACATTTTTCTTTTACCTCACTCTCAACCTCAGCAACGAGCTCAGTAAGTTATCTCATACACCCCATGCCATGAATCGTCAGCTCCGTGCGCAGTTGATGCGCTGCTGGCACAAACAGGAGCTCGCGGTAGCGATTGTGTGGAGATAAGTATCGCTGTCGACATCATAGCAGAATAATGTGGGCCACCCTAGCCAGCTGGATCTGCCTCTTTCTCTGGTGCTGTCTGCTTCTGCTTCTGGTCGCAGCACATGCTGCTCGGCCTGCGCGGCCAACTCGGCGACAAACCGATCCCGCCACGCGCGGCGTGGAGCGAGAGCTCCGCAAGCGACAAGACGACTACGACCGCGGCCGCCCGGAAGCACGGTCGAAAGGCCCGAGATACTGAGGTATGTTTGCTGGTTTCACTTCGATCTTCAGCGTATTTTGTCACCTCACGAACCTTTGAGTGCCATGGAACCCAAGATGAACGCTTCAGCATCCCGGATAGTCGAATTGATCCTATACACCTTCTGGATGCGATCGATATCTTGCAGTCTGGACAGACGTCCATCCTCGAAACGAAAAGGAAGCCCATCAACGTTACTGAGAAGGTGGGTTTCGATTGAAGATCGATCGCCGCCTACTTTGATCGCCAAGATAGATTCCGTCGATTCCTCAACACCAAAGCGTCTAAAAGATTCGGAGATCTAGCTGAAAACATGAGCAGGAACCTCACAAGACAGATCGAAACCAGACACTCACGTTATTGTTCACGGACAGAGAGAACACAATCTCCGAGTGAACGTTTCTACTCTTCAGCCGACCATTAATTTGGTCGTTGATGGCTCGGAAGCAGGCTGCCAATACTTGGTCTCTTGACGAGATGACCGCTGCATCGAGGAAGGCATACTCGAAGTCTGTATTACCGTTCAACAACTGCTGTCGCAGGAACGGCGCATTCTGAACTGCGGCGAACAGGCAGATGTGCAACGGATATCCGTCGAGATGGGGCAAAATCACAGTCTCCATTGCACCGCAATACCAAACTCAGGAAATGATGTTTGTGATGACCACGCTACACAGACACCATTAGTACTGCTCGCATCACGACTGGAAAGGCAGTCTATGGTTGTCTCTCCTCAGCACCCCACTGTCTTTCGACGGCTTGGCAGCCGCCGTCGCGCACGGACCGGTCGCGCTTTCATAACATCTCCGTCTTCGCACATTGTCGGCTCTCACCGCGGAACTTACCAGTACTGACAAGACGTTAGCGCGCCGCGATGTCGACCAGCAACAAGCGATCAGCAGATGGAGAAGCACACGAGCATGGCGCCGCGCCGAAGAAGCAGCGCGCGGTAGGCGCGCGCACTGGACAGGCATGCGACCGCTGCAAGGTATGTGGACGCTCCGTTAGACATCAATACGCGCCATCGCTCACAACACCAGGTTCGCAAGATTCGATGCGACGCGCGAGCGGGTGGCTGCTCGCCGTGCTTGCAGAACAACACGGAATGCAAGACCACAGACCGCATCACCGGCCGCGCGCAGGCGCGAGGCCATGTCGACCACCTTGAGAACGAGAATGTCAACCTGCGCATGTACATTGCAGAGTTGACGCAACAGCTAAGGCAGAACAACATCGAACCAGGACCCGCACCAGCAACAGGTGCGACTTTTGAGACGCCGAGCAACCCATACGGCCAGCAATGGGGTTCGCTACAGAATGGCTTTGCACAGCCAAGAGCACATGCAGAGCGCCAGAGCTCCATCGCCTCGCTGTTACCCGAGTTTAGAGCAGGATGTATTGGAGACAACTACCTCGGCGTAGCTCCAGAGAACAATTGGCTCAGCCCAATTGAAGGCACGTCTCTATCCCTCTTCGGCACCAAGATCGACCTCGCAGAGTTCATGCTACCGGAACCAAACGCGGATGCAGAGGCTATGTCTTACCAGACCTTCCTTGTCTACGCATTTGGCAACGCCAAGCAGCAGGTACACGCGCCAGCCATGCCGCCGTACGAGCAATGCAAGCAATTTGCCGAGTACTACTTCCGCTCAGTCGCGTGCTTCATACCGATGCTCCACAAGCCTCATGTCATGCAATTGCTGGACAAGATCTACCAGGAAGGATACCAGCCCTCAGCCGCCGAGACTGTCATGGTCAACACCATGCTTGCTATCATGTACTTCCAATGGAGTGCACGCAACGAGGGCGGCGAAGCCTCGCGCCAAGCTTGTTTCCAGCACTACCACTATGCTCTCACTTTCGTGCCGCAATTATTGATTAGCCATAAACTCGAAGACATTCAAGCGCTGGCGATGATCTGCGCTCAGCTGCGCAACCAGCCACGCCCAGCCGCAGCTTGGATGTTCACCAACATGGTGTTCGGTGTCGCCGTCGAGTCCGGTCTTCATCGCTCAGCAAGCGCGTGGCCAAACTCACTGGATCCGCATACTATTGAAATGCGAAAGCGCATTTTCTGGTGCCTGCTCCAGCTCCACGTCGGTCTCAGTGGCAGGCTTGGAAGACCCATGCCTATCCGCCTGGAGGATTTTGATATCGAGATTCCGTCACCCGTTAACGATAACTTACCTGGCGAAGCGAGTACTTCCTCCTGGAAGAAGTGCTCCTTCCGCGGAGGCCTCGAAGGGTTCAAGATGCTGAGAATCTTGATGCAGGTCTACAGCACCATCTACTCGATAAAAACATCGGGCGGGCCATACGACGTCACGGTCCGTCAGCTCGAGCGAGACCTGCAAGCGTACGAAGAGCAGCTGCCCCCGGAGCTGGCCGGCGGCCCAGAGACTGTTCAAGAGGACCGTGTACTTGCGCTCTACCTGCAAATCGCACTCACCGAGTGCCAACTACTTCTGCACCACCCAGCGCTGTGTCGCACGAATTTGCCGCACGTTGCTGCGACGAATCTCGATGCCTGCCTTGATGCGAGCAACAGGATGATGCAGGCCGCATCACAGCTCAAGCAGCTGAAGAGCCTCGATACCACGCCGTTTTACACGGCGAACTTCCTCGCCGCAATCTTCACTACACTTTTTGCTTACACCGAGAAAAAGGACAGCCTGTCACCCGCCGACTTCGCTAAGCTACGCCAGGACATGGACACCTGGCTTGACGTGCTCGGTCCAATCGGCCAGATGCTCGGTACAGGCCTTCAGCTCCGGACCACCATCTCTACCATTGTCGACCGTCATCTTGCAGAGATTAGCGGCACCATCGCGGCACACACGGCGTCCGCGGCGGTCGCATCCGCTAATGGCACCTCTGATGATGCAGGCCCAGGCACTTATCAACCGCCACCTACCGCCAACGAATACTACAACTACGGCAACTATGTCACTCCAGCAGCCCCGGTGCCGATAATGAATGGATCAAGCTGGGATCCCATGGCTTGGCGCAACTTCGCAGAGAACATGATGAGCACGGCACCAGCTTCCCATATCCAACAACAAGGTCAAGCTGCGGCTTACGCCAACGGGTTCATGTCGTCGATGAATCAACTCGGAAACGGCGCAGCTGGAGTAGGCGCCGGTATGGCATTGCCGGATTCATCGCAGACGTGGCCGTTGGTGCAGTACAGTCATCTTAATGGTAATGCGTAATGACAGAGACACCAGACCTATTTAGCAGTCACAGGCACAGCGATGCGTTGGTATCAGCTTTCCCTGTCGTTCATAGCTTTGTTAACGTACTGCTCCGGCCTTCAGCGCCACATCTTCATTGTGACCACATAGCGTTTACCTCAGTCGGACATTTCTCTGCGTATCTGCTAATCGGTGAAGTCGGGAACCGGCCGACTTTCCCTCATTCAGTAGCTCCAGATACTCGTTCAGTTCGCCTACCATCTGCGTCTGCCGGACTGATGGCCATGTATTGACCGCTCATTAGTCTTGAGAACAGCCCGGGGTACGGCCAGTCGGTAGCAGTACACCTCCGTCCATCTTCGCATGCCACACGCCAGTGTCTAGCTGATGGCAGGAGCTGAAGCTTGCCATGGGAGCGTTGTCGGGCAACGGCCTCACTAACGCCGTCTTCGTAGTATTCCTGGTACTATTGACGTCGGTACTTGGGCTTAGTAGCTTGCTATCTGTACCCCTATAAGCCCGATCAGGCCAGCGCTTAGCCAATAAGGAGTGGGTGGGTTGGGCTGATTCTGGGGAAGACCAGATGGCCGTCCCGAGAATCAATAGAAAAACAAGGAGTACTCCTCAGCCGTAAGCACAGACTGTACACGTTTCAACCCTTGCTTCCTCGCACCTTCTCCCTCGTCGCCATCTGTTTTGAGAGCGAGACTGTGACGAATTGTTACAGTCGCCAGAAGCCAATCGCCAATGTCAGAGGGAGTCCGCGCACGCTCAAGGTCACTTCTTTCGGACGACCTGAAAGCAGCGCTCAAGCCGGCACCACCGCCATCGATACCTGCAAACATGAACACCACGTGAGATTCAAACGATACCCCTCCGACACGACCACTTTGCGCAAAGCTAACACAAGCCTCCAGCGAGCCAAAGAACCCGCTCAAGAAGCCCATCCACCCAGCTGCCATCCATTTCCCCATCGCATTCATTGGCCTGGCAGTCGGCCTCGACATCCTCCACGCCATTTCCGGCAACCTCCCGGCCGCCATCGCCAACAATGTCCCGGTCGCTACGGACCTGACGCGGGCATCCTACTTTCTCCTCTCGCTTGGTCTCCTGACCAGCATTCCAGCCGTCATCACCGGCGTTGGTGAGGCCAAGAAGGCCATCGATAAGCAGGGCCTGTACGAGAAGGATGGCAAGACCATCAAGCAGAAGTTTAAGGGCGTCATCGCCCATGCCATTGTGAACGACATTGTCATCCTTGTTATGGCGTATGTGTGGTATGCCCGTCGTAGTGCGGCGACCAAGACGCTCGCTGGCAAGATGGGCCTGGGTAGCGTTGCAACGGCCGAGGCGGCGTATGCGCCCGCTATGTGGATGGTGGTTGTGGAGGCGCTGATGGGAGGTCTTCAGCTCTTTGGTGCTAACATTGGTGGCTCGCTTACTTACAACTATGGTTTCGGTATGGCAATCGGCTCCGGTGGCAAGAAGGCGCAGTAAAGGCCTTGAACCGGGGATGGAGAGGGTTATGACGAGAAAAGGTCAGGGCGATAGATACGGGTGAGGGTGCGAAAACGATGATGTGTGCTCTCATGGAATGACAGGAGACTGGATCGCCACGGTGTTCGGCCGATATAGATCGTTCGTGCTCTGGTCTAGCTATGTGTGATTAATCCTTGGCTGCCTCCCTCTGCCTTACCATAGCCACCTCACGTGCTCACGTGGAGGGCAACAATGAACAGAGCACCGTGTCATCGAGTCCGTGACTTGAGCATCTTTGCGAAATATCAGAGCGACCCAGTACGCTCGTGGTGGCACGACCATAGTTATTGCATAATACGGCAGTGTGCGCAGAGTGAATTGCGGCCCAATGCTCGCGTTCCACGTAGCATCATCGCTTCTGAAGTCCTGTGCAATCTACACCGTGGTCCGGGTCGTGGTGGCACGTATGGGGGTTATTGTGCGAAACATACTCATTACAGACTCGTCTGCTCCCTGATCCGAATGATCTTTTCTCTCTCCACGCCTCGAAGGTCGGCTTTCGATCTGCCAGAGGGTCTGCATCATTTGATGCGCGGCTTTCACATCGAGTCAGGTCGGCCTACGCAGTCGGATGGGGCCTGTGATATCCTCAAGGTGAATATTCTGGGGCACGGGGTTGCCTTTCTGCATGACCTCGCACACACCCTCGGCGCGAAGTCTCCAGGCTACCTCTCGAATCGATGGCATGGCATCACGCCAATTGGCGTGGCCTAGGCTGTTCAGCTCTTCGGCACTGAGAGCGCGAGCAACTTCTGATGGGCAAAGCGTTTTCGGCGGCTCTCTTTTCGCCAAAAAGTCTCGCAGATGCTCTTCGACAGTGTTGCGAGCGCCTTCATCCATCATCGGCATCGATGTCGTTAGTGACTGATGCCTTTCCGTATCTCGGTATCCATTCCAAGCTGATGAGCTAACAAAAGCGTTCCACACCCTCTAAACCGGCGATTTCATGAGAGCATTCAAGCGGGGTTGTGGGCACGACAGCTCGACCCGTGCACACGGACGTTTCATTGCCCATCGCGTACTAGCCCGGCAGGTCTGAAACCGCGGCCTGATCGTGTGGCTCGCCTTAGCTGCAAAAGCTTTGGTTCACGAAGTCAAGGCGCAGCAAGACCGGAATGCCTCGATCAGCTGGAGGGAGCTCTGCTGGTGTAGAGAGCTCTCCATGACGATCGTACGGTCCTCCACCTTCTTACAACTGCAAGTTCTGTAGCTGGCCGTTTGCCGCTGTCAAGAAAGCAACGTTGCATCGTTCAAATTGCTTGTTTCCTACGCACGCGGCCACGAGGCCTATTTATAGCGCGCCTGGCTGCTGCTGGCGGCGCATCGCATTGTAGCAGCGCGCATATCCTGGGCTGGAGACTTTCTGCGATCCACCGACAAGCATCCGACGATTCCTCGAACGACTGAAATGAGCTCTTCGTTGTATTCTATCGACGCGGCCCAACTTGCATCAACAACGCACCGTTTGGACTCGATCCTTTCCTGGCTGTAGGAACACTTCTTTTGCTGAAGATTTGGAACGAACATCTTGCGGGCGGGCACGAGACCTTGCGACCCGATTTGCGACTTTCGTCTCATCACCATGGCGGATGTCCTCTCACCCCCAGCACCTTCCTCCTCCTCCACCTCCGCACCAAAACCTCCCGAACATGAAGTTCAACCGGATGCGTTGGCCTTGATGCCACAGCCTCGACAGCGACCTTGGGAGCGACACCCCTCTTACGGATCGCAGCGTATGTCGACACTATCGCAGCAGTCGCGAACATCACGCTCTCGTCCTGTATCAACTACGACTACTTTGTCAGCGTTACCATCGAACCTGCCATATGCAATAGTTCGAGACTTTGCCTACCCACAATACCATCCAATGCATTATGGCCCACCGCCGGATGCTCGTTCAGGCACTACGACACCGGGTTCGGAGTGGAGCAGCAGCCGTCGTTTATCCGACCCGCCAAATGCTGCGAAGAGCTCGTCTGGTCAGGCTGGTGCATGGACTGCAGGACCGTGGGCTGGAGACGGTGGACTGTATCACGAGCCGAATCCGACAAGTGCTGATAGCGAGCACGAGGCGTTGCCGACCACGAGCTTCGGCGAGCCTGACTACGATGCTGGGAGCGAGGACTTGGGTGGCACTACTAGGAAGAGGCACCGCAAGTCTAAAAGCTTTGACGACATCTCCGACTATGAGCGTGGCCGCAAACGAGAGAGTGGGTACTCGAGCCGCTATAACAGAGACACCGAAGTCGAAGGGGGCAGCGACCACCTCTTCAGCGGACAGCAATCGGACCTTGCAGGCCGTGATACTTTGCGTCAGAGTCGCAGCTATGGCTACACAGGCCCTTCCACTGCAGGGAACGGCGGCAACAGACACGACTCACACTCTCAGACCACGCTTGCTCGCAGGACGTACAGTAACAATGGCCCTCCTAGCAACAACGTCGCGGAAGGCCATCCTCTCCTCGACCAGCGTCAGGAGGACATTGACCTTGAGAACGACATGCCGCTTGACTCGGAGCCTCTGCACTCGACGTCATTGACTAGTCCTCAGCGCACTAGCACGTGCCCAGAGGACGAGGAACTCTACGCCGGCCGCTCGCTCGCCCTTTACGACTTTGTGCCCCAGAATGCCAACGAGCTGGCTTTACAGGAAGGACAGGTGATCTGGGTGTCGTATCGCCACGGGCAAGGATGGCTGGTGGCGGAGGATCCACGGACGGGAGAGCAAGGGCTGGTACCGGAAGCCTACGTGCGTCTTCTGAGCGAGCTGCCTCACTACGATGAAGCGACGGGCAGGTTTATGGACCTTGAGGAGGGTGAGGATGACACTAGCCCCGATGGATTGGAGGACGCAGAAGCTGCCAATGAGGCCGATGGCATCCCCAACCTTTCCGCGAAGGTGGAAGAGATGCGCGTCGACGAGGGCTACGGCGTGTAAATAGTGCCACCATCCTACCATGACAGCCTTGTTGTGGACCATCATCGCCATCACGGCATCATATGACCTCGCAACGTTCACGGGAACGTTCATAGCACTGATCGGACTCTGTCGATTACATCGCACAACGACAATATGCCTTCAACAACCTGTCGCACCTGCAGCACCACCTAATTACTCAATGTACCTGGGAAAGCTGGAGCAACGCCCAGAAATTGCCGACCAGATCCCACAATAAACAATCGAGCTTTAATAATTCAATCACGTCGCAGCAGCGTATCACAGCTCAATGCTTGTGGGATATGCACAATACGATCAGAAGTGTGCTGCACAAATCCCGCACCGCTAATCCGTCTTTGATACGTGAAAGCCGCCACAGCAGTGTACTCCTAACGTACGCTTGGTGAGATATGCGCACCGGTTCCAGGATCTGGTTGCGATCTCGCAAAATGAGAACTGCTGTTCACCATACCATCTCCGGTATAGTAGTTTGTACCTAAGTTAAGCCCGAGGAATCTTGCATATCTCCTAAGGCTTCGATGTTGTAGCTGCCATATCAGCATCTCGTCGGCGCCGTACTATGAGCTGAGGCGACCGAGCATTGAATTGATATTGTAGCAGTTGATCCAAACATTTTGCCGCCTAATTTGCGGGACAGCAGCCACTTCCATTGCGGTACGTGGGCGCTTGCGTACCAATGTTCTTGGAACGCTGTCACTGTTTGTGATGGGGAGTTGCTTGGTCACGATTGTATGCATATTATGCAAGCAATGTCCCGCAGAGACCGAAGCCTCGCTGTAAGAGATACAAACTACATATGCTTACCCATTCGGACCTTGATCAAGCATGGTCCCTGCACTGCTTCTCATGTCGGCAGCACGGTCTACGCTCGCCATGCGTTCTTGATCTGACTCCGAATGGAAACTTCAGTGAAGGAAACCCCAACTTTGCATCCTTCGTTGCTTGCTTTGATAAACGGTAGGTACATCCGTTGTAAAACATTGCTGCTACCTGTCTAGTTGGGAACGCGTTGCTTGTTGTCATTCGTGCCTGCCTGACTGACACAATGAAACACGGAAGCTTGGACTTCCCCACTCAATACATGCAAGCTCCAGTCTTTCTGGATAACTTCGACGTTGTGCATGCTGTACGACAACGTCGAAAATGGCGGGTCTCAACAAACTCCCGCAAGAAGTCCGCGACAAGGTACTGCGCACATTCCACCACCATGGTCCTGCAGTAGCTAAGCCACCAACCTTCAGGTGTATCGACTGTTCCCGGGGGTTGCCTGGATCGACGTCGCTCAAACATTCCCTGGAGTCACACCCTTCAGCGTAGAGCAACCAGCACTGAGCAAAACGTCGCGCCAAGTGCGCAAAGAGTGCCTCGATGTCTTCTACAGCAAGAACAAGTTCCTCTTCGACCTTAGAGGCTGGAAGCACGACAACTACCCGCCCAGATGGACGCCGCTTAACATCTACGAGAAGTGGATCACAGCTATCGGAGATGACAACGTGGCCCGCCTCCGCAGTCTCAGCATCGTGAGCCAGAACTTCAGAGTCCACCTGACAGTCTCCGCCGAGCAGCCACAGCTCTCCTTCAAGTTCACCTTCACGTGGTCGAAGCCAGTGGAGACGGCAGACGGTGTACCGCCACACCTGGGGTTTGAGGGCGTCATGAAGCACGCTCCGGAAGGTCTCCAACGCGTGCTGGATGAGATTCATGCCAGCAGCCCCGACCGCCTCACCGTCGATGGCTTGCTGCGCTTCGTCAGGTGCGTAAAGAACAAGGAGCCACCGGGCTTCGAGAATTGTCCGGGGTCTTACGGAGACTGGTTGTACTGAGGGCTCGTTGCCTCCACACGCAGAACGACCGAAGGACTCCAACCGTTTCTATGCAACCGTGGTAAGTGCATCGCAACGATCACCTGGTACCACCTCATCTCCGCTACAGCAGCATGTGCTTGAGCGAATGTTGGCAGAATGTATCGTTGCTGATCCCAGCCTGCCAGGCAACTTAGGCTACCAGGGTGCCATACTACCATCAGGTGACCCAAGCACGTGGCCGAGCACGAGAAGGCATCTCGACAAATGTACCGATTGCGGCTATCATCGATATACACGAGGACATGATTAATGACCAGCGGGCACCGTGCTGCAAGCCTGTGGTGAAAGGCGGCAAAGGTTGTCCGCGTGTAACATACGAAAATGTACTTGTAGCTTCCTACAGCCTTCCCCAGTCCATCGGCGTTATATGCACTCATCGGTCAATGTGAATGGAGAACGAGTGGAAGGCCGATGGCTCTTTCAGCCTCGACCCGCTAGAGTGCGGCCCCTGCATTTACGAAGTAGCCTTAACCGGGCCGCGCTCGGTAAAGGATCCAGATCCTTAACGAGCCTTGTTCCTCACACCACGTGCCGTTAGGCTGAGGCGTTCAGCCCCGACCATTCCTATCGCAATCGCCAAGGCTGATTGTAGTACGCGCAGGTAAGCTTGCAGTTTCCACGTCCTCCATCTTATCCGCTCGTTGAGTCGCTATTTCACCCGACGACCATGCAGTAGCCAAGTGAGAGGGCGCTTCCTTCGCCAGCAGTATCCATACGCCCACCAGTAAAGGCAACGTAGTGCGATCACAGACCGTCATTGGGTCCTTACGGTCTGATCCGGACAGGTGATCTAGCAGGAGAAGGCTGGTAGAACAGTAGGAAGCAAGGCGGTGGCGGCTATGGCGAACACCACGACCGTTGCGGCGCCCATTGCATGGCAACCGTCAAGCTACTGGGACGGTAACGATGGACTTTGGAACACCTTCGTGGTCAATGTCGGCACGCCTCCACAACAATTCCGCATCCTGCCTTCAACAGCAGGACAAGAGACGTGGCTACCAGATCCTCAAGGCTGTCAAGTGGCCGATCCATCCAACCCTGGATACTGTGGCTTTCTGCGTGGTACATTGCCCGTTAATGGTACGAACAGTTCAGGTTTCAGCAGCAAACTTAGCAGTAGTTGGACTCTGATCGGTGCCTACACTCTGGACGCGCAAGTAGCCGAGCTGGGCTATACCGGCAATGGTCTTTGGGGCTTCGACACTGTTACCCTCAATGACACGAGCTCGACGTTAACGCAGAGCAAGCAGGTCGCAGCAAGCGTGCCAGATTTGGATTTCTGGCTTGGTGTTTTTGGATTGGGTCCAAAATCCATCAACTTCACCTCGTTCAATGACCCTATTCCCAACTATATGAGCAACCTCGTGAGCAGTAACAAGATCCCGAGTTTATCGTGGGGCTACACGGCAGGCGCACACTATCGCGGCGATCAAGGGCCGGCGTCATTGACGTTGGGCGGCTATGACACGAACAGGTTTGAAGCGACAAACATTACTTTTGACATGGATTCAGACAACTCGCGGCCTCTCCAAGTAGCAATTCAGAAGATCATTGGTCAAGACACGCTTGCGGGCTCTGCAATCAATTTGCTACCAACTCCCAAATGGTTCTTCATTGATTCCACGCTTCCACACATATGGTTACCGGACGACGCGATCAGACAGTTTGTCAGGAGCTTTGGCTTGACGTACGATAACAACACCGACCTGTACCTGATCAACAGTACGATGCGAAGCAAGATGCTACAGCTGAATCCAACAGTGACCTTCTTCCTTAGCAATGCTACTTATTCAGGAACTACGTACACGCAGAACATCGAGCTTCCGTACTCGGCATTCGACATGCAAGCAAGCTATCCATACTACACGAACGCAACACATTACTTCCCAATTCGGCGAGCTGCAAATTCCTCGCAATACACGTTTGGCCGAACCTTCCTTCAGGAAGCGTACCTCATTGCTGACTTCGAGCGCTACAACTTCACTGTTGCGCAAACCGCGTATGACAATGTATTGACGAAGCATCTCGTTGCGATCGAGAAGCCTGTCGGCAACAACACCTCAGGCACGCAGACCTCAACGCGAACGTCGAAAGGTGTGAGTGCCGGCGCAATAGCTGGCATTGTGATTGCTGCAATTGCCGGCATTGCGTTGATCGCGTGGGCGATATGGTTCGTGATACGCCGCAACAAGCGCAAGCACCAGCCCGTACCTACTGCCGATCCGGAAGAACCTGATAAGTCCGAAGAGTATTCGCCCGACAAGAAGGATGATGCACACCGCGGCTCCGAGTTGCCGTCCGAGAATGCGTTCTCTGAAGCTCCGGGCAACGCTGCGAAAGGACAAACCAGCGAGCTGGCAACCCCGCTGATTGGTGCTGAGATTGAAGGCGATATGGGCAGATTCAGAGGCAGGGCCGGCATGCATGAGATGCCATCACCGCCTGTTGGGCATGAAAGCAAGCTCCTCGCGGAGGCGCCAGGTAGCGAAGCGCAGAGGTATGAATTAATGGGCAGCGAGCCAGCGCTGAAGAACAACGAGGAGACGAGGCCTTGAAAGTATGAACAAGGCTGCACCACTAGTGCCAGTGCCAGAGTATCTTCGCAGGTGTAAGATGCCAAGCACATCAGAGTGCCGGTCGATCAACCATGTCTTAATGGCGAGCTGCGCAACTGGCGTCCAGTACTCCTCACTGCGTCGGGCCGATTGCGCAACACTACGACATCGTCATAAGGCAGGATCTGCCGCAGCGTGAGCCGGAGAGGAGATTCGTCCAAACTGCGCAGAATCGGGCACTACCCCGGACAAGCTGTATTCGCGGGCGTTCGATCGACAGAAGTCCAGTCCTGGCCTGAAGCTCATACGATCACGCGAGACCACTCTGATGGCATCCGCCATCTCGAGCCAGGCTTTGCCGTGCGCACTACATCCTACGGTCTCCCTCTGCTTTTGCTTGCACTCAGAGGAGGCGCAGTTGGTGCCATTGCATGCGTACAAGGACCTGAAGGCATGAAGAGCTTCGTGTATCAGGTCACTAAGCAGCAATGATCGATAATCCTCATTGCCAGTCGCGCTGTGATAATCGTTGTGGTCGATCTCGATCAAGGCTATGCGCTTCACGACACTGTCCCGCTTTCGGACCGTTGGTGTGCACAATCCGATCGCATCACCTGTTCTGGCGCACAAGTCGGCGTCTAACTCGATCTCAACTTTGTCTGGACCGAGCGTACCGAAGAAGGACATCTCACCGAAAAGGTGCATTGCGGTGTAAAGCCCGGCAGGGTTATAGCAGCTGCGGACCGATGATTGCCAGGTCGGCATCCACTCATTCCAGATCCGCAGCGCCTTCAGTTGCCTCCGATTTCACCTTTCTCTGGAAACGTACTGACGGCGAGTTGAAAAGTTCGTCAGGATCGTGCGCACACTCAACCAATTTGTACTCCTCGCCATCATCACCCATTTCCACCCCAATGTGTGCGTGGCGTGGTCCGGACAGAGTCCGAGATGGCGCGCCAGTGGCACGAAGCATGGCAAAGGCTCTCTCGCGCGAGGCGGGTATCTCCAACGGTGACACCACGTTGTCATTGGCTTGGTAGTCGCTGCGGTCTAAGCCGGTGTTCCCGCGAGAGGTCTGTAAGGTTTCGAGGTGCAGACTCTGAAGCATGGCTTGCCTTCTCAGGCTCAGGCTGGGATTAGACCCATGGCGCCCACCTTGTCCTTATGTCATACCAACCGTAAACGGCAAGTCGGCGCCGGACATGACTGGTCCATGTTGCTGAGTTCCTATTGGGAAGATGTTTACCCACGATGAGTGGCAGAGTGTGGGTAGTGTGGAAGATCGGTCGGGAATTTCTATCTATTGTAACCGTTAGCCCTCCGGTGGGTGTTCGATGTTTGGTGGTGCTGGACGACAGGCAACAGGCTGTTGGCTGCCCATCTTATAATGTGAACACCTTTAGCCAATGCTGTGTCGGTAGATCAATCTTTGAGACGTCTTAGACTGTCGCTCCACCTACTATCGAACTCGTCATTATCGCATACAACAACATCAGTCGCATGTGCAAAGGGTTTGTGAAGCCGTGAACATGAGCTAATGTGTTTTGACTCTGCTCAAGTACTTTTAACGGTGATTAATTGGTCTACAAACGAACTTATTGTAGGTCTGGGAACTTCCTCAGGTAATGACTAGGACACTCATAGCCACCCGGGTTCTTGTCCAGATATAGCTGATGGTATGTCTCAGCGTCCCACCACTGACCGGCCGGCAGAATCTCAGTCTTGATGCCGCCCTTCCACCATTGCTCGTTCGCCTTCTTCGTCACATCTTCGGCGATCTGCTTCTGCTCCTCATCGTGGTAGAAAATGCCTGATCGATACTGAGAGCCAGTGTCCGGGCCCTGTCGATTCAGTGTTGTCGGGTCGTGCATCTTGTAGAAGTATTCAATGATGGTGCGGTAGGATAGTTGGTTCGGGTCGAAGACGATTTGGCATGCTTCGGCGTCTATTGTACAGGTAATCAGCGCCCAGTCTAACCTTTAGGACAATGCGCAAACTTACGTCCTGTCCTGCCGCTACACACAGATCTGTAGGTTGGGTTGTCGACGTTGCCACCAATATATCCAACTCTGGCGTCAAGCAGTCCCTTGCTGCCGAAGTCTTTGCGGTACATGTGCTCGATGCCCCAGAAGCACCCTGCTGCCAGTGTGGCCTTTTGTGCGCCCTCGGGAAGGTTCATGCTTTGCGCTGATTGTTCGGGGGCGAAGCGCATCGTTGTCGAGGTGAAGGGTCGTGTCAGTCGCTGGAAGATTGAAGTCATGGTGAAGGCGCCGAGGATGCCAACTAAGAGCAGGAAGACTTGGGTGATTGGCTTCAGTTTGGGAAGTATTGAATCTAAGGAAGTAGAGGGATGGTGCTGTAAGATGGTTTGGGCCGTCTGAGTTGGTGAGGTTGTCGACAAAACACACTGATGTCATACATAGAGCCTCCGCCACCGTACCAACTGTGAGCTTCACTTCGATTCCACACGAGATTAGATGGGCCACTTAAAGGAGTCTCCATTCACAGAAATGACGGTTTGAACATTATTTGAGTTGGCTACCATAGTTCGAGCCCAGGACACGACTTTTAGTCTCTTGTCCTCTGCCAGCTGTACCAAGCAGGCAACTCTGCCATCATATGGGTATCGTAAGCAAGAACAATAACCCATTCAATAACCCTAAACACCTGTCGCTACAACGCTCCGAGTATCCTTCTTTACAAGTTCTCCGTATCTTCGTGTTAGATTACATAACGATGCACTTGCCATCTCCTCGACTCCTCCAGGTGGCCATACTCTTCGTTTCCAACAGACTCTCGTTGCCGCCCCCGTTCATCTGATCGTCCGGATAACCGCCGGGCATTAGGTTCATCGACTTCTTGCGCTTGAAAAAGCCTAGCTTCTTCGCCCGATCCGTGCTCGCAAATGCTGTCTTGTTGGAGAGGCTGCTCTTCCTGCTATGCCCACGAGCACTCCCGGGTGGTTGCAGGCCGGTTGCACTAGCAGCCGGAGGATGCCAGGCCGTGATTGGATGAGCCACCGAGCCTACCTTCTCAGGCGGTGCTCGGAGTGGCACGTGGTCGGCTGACTGCGTAGGAGGGAAGAGGGATGCTGACGCCGCGGCTGTTCGGAAAGCCTCCATATGTGGCGGCAAGCGTCGTGCAGTGCTTACACCACCAGCTGAACCTGGCGGAGGAGAGGGACTTATGCTTGATGTAGCCATGGAAGATGACGTGCTCGGTGCCCGGTTGGGAATGGGACCATGACCCGGTGGGTTGAGGAGAGAGGTAGAGTAGCGGTAGGGGTTGCCAGAGGCATGCTGGGCGCGACTGAACGGAGTCGATGGCGGAGGCGGACGAGGCACGGCCGGCATGATCGCATCCCATGGTACGTTCTCTGGCACTGCCGCTGAACTAGAGTGAGAGCCGTTCGCTAGATGACCTGGCCAATTTTGCTGAAACCCGGACCCATTGACTGGACTCACATTCTCCCACTCCCCAATCAGACTCGGTGCTGGACCACTGCCGAGTGGTGAGATCGCGTTGCTGTAGGCTCTTTGCAATGAGCGAGGCATCGAGTTGATAGAGTTAAACGTCTCGCTCCTCGCTGGCATGGTGGCGCTAGGATTCCGCATTGTCGCAGGAATTGCATCTTGACGACGCTGCGAAGCCACCGCATACGTGGCTGCCGCCGTTCTGAAAGCTTCTTCCGCGCTGAAGTTCTCTGCAATAGCCGCCGGCGCAGTGAGTGGCAAAGTCGATGCCGAACTCGGTGTGCTGCCGTTCGCACTCGTGACGATCGATGGCTTAGACGGGGCCTGCAGAGGGGCGTCTAGGCCAGCCATAGCTCTGAAACGACTGGGTAGAGGCGCGTTCGGTTCTTCAGTATACTCCGGCAACGGCAGAAAGTTACCGCTCGAGTCGACACTGACGCGCTCTTGATTGCGCTCCTCCAGCGTCTGGTAGCGATGACGCTGCGCATTCGATGCTGCACGTTGCATGCTCGCGCGGCTTCTGGGTGCATTCTGCGCATATGGCTCCTCGAAGACCTCGCCGTTTTCGTTGCCCTCCGCTAGATGTGGCAGCGACCTCGACGCCTCCGACTGCACGGACCCGATGCTAAGTAGACTATTGCGGTTCGAGCCACGCGACGTAAAACCAGAACTTGGACTGCGCATTGGCACCCTGTTGCCACCGCCAAAGGTCGTTGCTGCCCTGCCTAGGGTGACAGGCCTCTGACTCAGTCCGCCGCTCTTAGTTTGGTTGACCGTGCGACGCCTCACCAGCGCGACAGCATCTGCGACGTCTACCTGTTCCTCTTCGAGCATCTGGGGTTGGCTCTTGCCAAGCGTCAGACTGAAGGTCTGACCTGGCTGACCTGCAAACTGCGGATCAAAATCAAACAGAATGATGCGGCCACCTTCAATATCGTCAACCATTTCCTCGCCCATTTCTTGCTCCACCACACCGCCGGGGCTAGTGACGATAAGCCTGCCTTGTACTCCGTTCTGATGCATGCGTGGTGCAGGCAAGTTCGCCGTACTGTACACCCAACGGGCCTCACTGAACGGACAGCCGTAGCCTTCATCCAGCTCGTGATCGATGGAGTGCGCCTCAACCGTAGTCTCATCGTCTCCGACTTTGTGCGGCACAATGTACAGTCGGATTGTGCGGTCATTGACGATCATTGCGATGGTATCACCATACTCATCAATGGCTGGACAGCTGTGTATGGCTGCGCCGAGACCACCGCAAGTAGAGAGAGGAGGCGAAATCACAACCGGAAAGTCGATGTTGCCATACTGCATATCGCCAATGTTGAGGATGCCGAAGGTGTCTGCCAAGCCGTTCCAGGCGAACACGCGGTCGTTGCAGTTCTGACGGTTTTCGCGCATGAACATCGCGTGGCTGCTATTGCGGATATTCTCGGGATGTAGCAGGTCCGCACACCATGCCTCTCTGAGCTCCTCGTGTGTCGGGATGCCGTTAGGCGCAGCTGGAAAGACTGGCACAGACACCACAACCGTGGAGCTAACGTTGATACGCGTAGTCGTTCCGAGCAGAGTCGACCCGTCTTCCGAGAAGGTTAAGCGATCCATCTTCTGGCTGCGTACCGCTCTTCGATCCGTAGGCAGGGCACCCGGGTCTAAGCTGAAGATCTCCACGCCGCCCTCATAAGCCGCTGCTAGGAGACCTCCAGTAGGCGCAAGCGCGATGCAGTTGGTCGGAAAGTCTGTCTTGATTGTCTTCGTCCGTCTCAGGCGCTGATGGCCGAGGTCGTAGATGTTGATCGTGTGCTCATCTGCGAGTATCGCCATGGCATTGCCCTCGTCGACGATCTCGACCGCAAGCGGCCGCCGCTTGAGCGCGTAGTCCTGGCTGATGCCAACAGGCAGAGCCGCAGTCTGTAAGACATACAACCGCGCGCTGTTGTACGCTGCTATCCGCCTACCTCCCGGTGAGATACTGAAGCCAAATGCTTCTCCGCCTGGAAAGCCTGCCGATGCTGTCGCCACTTCTGACACCAGCTTGATGATGTGAATTCGCGGCCTGTTAGGCTCGTCGTCTTGAAGTGACTGCCAGCTATACCGCACTCTATCCTTGTGACTGGGTATCTGTGTGGTCTGGTGTGTCGACAAGCGTGATGAACTGCGAGGAGGTAGTGGGCCTTTCGCAACGGAGCTTCGATGTCCGTGCCCATTGATTGCGGGAGTGCCGTTACTCTGCGGTGACGAAGGGCTTGCAATGGCTGGGCTGAGCGTTTGTGGTGATGTAGTCTCTGCTAGTGCTATGGGAGTTGCCATATCGCGGGCCTCATCTTCGAATTCATCATCCTCTTCGTCTTCCTCATCGTCGCCATCGTCTGCTGTGGTCTGATGTGCCCAAGGTTGGACAAATGGATCCGCACCGTGTGCGGCTTCCTCGAATAAGTGATGGCCGTTGGAGTGCGCTGATTGTGTGGGAGGTGATTGCCAGCTCTGTTGCAAGAATGGTGACACATCCGGCGGTGTTGCTGGTGTTGGCTGCAGGGAGCGGACCTTTCCTTTTCCTAGTGCTGAGTGCGTTGCGCCACCCAACAAAGCATGCGGCGGTCTTTCTCTGTCCAAGCCTACCGGAGACGCTGCAGCCTGATACTTGAGTGGTGCAGTCAAGTGAGCTTGTAGTTGCCGTCTCGCATCCGGGCCGAGCGTTGGTTCTGCTCGCGCATCCCCCACCTCGAGGTCGTCTTCGTCAAGGTCACTAACCTCGCCGTCCTTCCAGCCAGGATCAGGACTAGAGCTCATAACATCCTTACCTCTCCGCACAACCGCCGCTTCGTCAACATCACCACGCTGTACCGGCTCAGGGCTGACACTCCGCTCAGGCAAGTTCCTCAGCGGCCAGTCAGGCTGGTTGTGCAGCCCCGAGCCATCCATCTCATTGATCTCGCTGACGCTCATCTTCCGCTCATCCTCCTGTATCCTCTCCCTCGTACTGTTCCATCTCGCGATCATTGCGCCATGCCCACTTCGTATCTCCGCGTTGCCTGAGGAGAACGTTGAAACAGGCATGTTTGTGGCGTTTCAAGCCGATGGAGAGCTCGCGGATAGGGTGGAGTCATGCAGTAATGCTGATCGCCGCTGAGCGCACAAGCAATGGTAAGGCTTGGCCTTGTACGGCGTCGACGTCGTGCGACCGCTTCGCCGCGCCCACTTGGCCAGGAAACGACCGGTTTGCGCAGATCTCACGGTCGGGTCGTTAAGGCGTCCTCAGGGTCAGCTGAAGGCTCCTTAACCGTGCATGGTGACAGAGCCTCATTACTTGGTTGCTGTAACAAGTTTACCTGGCACCATCGTCATCGATAGCAGTGCCGTATACGAGAGTGAGACATATGGCACACTTGGGCCAAGCTTGACTCTACGATAAGATTGTTGAGACATGCGCGCACTTCAACTTCACTCTCCCGTTCTGCGCGTCGACAGAAAGAGGCCCCTCATGTACACTAAAATTAGGCTCCGCACCGTGGAGGCCTGCCATCCGGCACGCGCTGTTAACCTGCCGGGCTAATGCACAGAGGCGCAGGTACCGACCCGCTGGGTACTTGGTTTTGGGGGAGAGAACTGGGAGTGCAGACCATACTATTGGTCAACAAGCATATGAACAGTGAAATCTTGAAAGGCTCTTCCCAACAGTTGCGGTATATTCTTCGTTGAGTAACATGGTCATACGTTGATCTCATATCATGTCCGACCCAACCATACCACTTTTACAGTCCCTTCCACTTTTCTCCATCGTCCTTCGCATCGTATACGAAGCCCACAACCCTACGACCAACCTTTCTCGGCGGAGGAATAACGACATGATCACAAGAGCCCTTGTTCTGCGCCGTGATGCTCTTAGCCAGATCTCTCATGACTTCTACCATTTCCCTCTGACCCGACATCATCTCCCTGACTTGCGCGGTGACAGCCTCGAGCCTGGCATCGGTGGTTTGTTGGACTCGTTGGTGATGTTGTGCCAACTGCGCAATGGCGTCAGACGTAGAAGCCACAGAGACCTGCATGCGCTCTGCCGTGGCGCTCTGCTTCTCACGCATCGATTTAACGTGCAGAGCATTAGATTCGGTGACGGCTTGGATCTTACTGAGGTGAGAAGTCAATGCCGACATCAAGAACTTCGGGTCGCCGAAGCTCGGCGGTTGGTTCTGTCGCTCAGCTTGTTGTTCTAAAGTGGCGTGGATGCGGTTGAGACGATCGGTCAGTGGCGTGAAGTCGATGTCCGTCGATGTCTGCGGAGTGGTTTGCTGCACTTCGACAAGGGAGCGGATCTGCTCACCACTGTTTTCAGTAGCGGTCCGGATAGCTTCCAGGTGTTCCGCTAGTGGGTCGAGATCTACAGACGGTCCCGGTGCGCTTTTGTGCGTTTCGATGAGATGCTGTAACGACGCTTCGTGGTCCTTGGAGCACTGCACCAACGCTCTCAGATGGCCTTCAAGTGCATCGAACTTTCCGGCTAGCGGGTCGAGAGCCACGTTGCTGCCTGCTTCTACCGCGGCGCGAGTGCCCTTCTGTGCATCAACAAGCTCTTTAAGCGCTTCAGAATCATATTCAGCCCATTCGCGAAGCGACTCCAGATGCTCGTTGACGCCATTGAGCTTATCCGTGATCGGCAAAAATTCCGGCTGTTTGCCGTCGTCCAGTACAGCATCCCGCAGTTTTTCCTGGCCTGCAAGAAGCTGCTTCAGGAGCGTGTTCGTGTCCTTCGAAGTTGTGCTCGTTGACTTGACATGCTCTGAAACTTCAGTAAACTGCTCCATCTTGTTCAGCAGTGGTGTCAGATCTATCTTGCTACTCTTCTCTATAGCTGCCCTCATGTCTCGGTGAGCGTCGATCAAGGGCTGCAGGTCAAGCTTCCCGTTGCTCTCTACGGCAGCCCTGGTAGCGTGCTGCGCTTCGAGCAGAGGTTGTAAGTCGATCCGTCCACCCTCAATTGCCGCCCTTGTCTCCTTCTGCGCGTCGACCAGAGGCTGCAAGTCAACGTTACTGCGGTCGACCAGCGCAGCCTTCAGATCTCTTTGAGAATCGATCAAAGGCTGCAAATCGAGCTTTCCATTGCCTTCCACGGCAACTCGTGTAGCATGTTGTGCGTCAATCAAAGGCTGCATATCCAGGCGTCCAGTCTTCTCAATAGCCGCCTTGGTGTCGTTCTGCGCATCAATGAGAGGCTGCAGGTCTAGCCGTCCACTTTTCTCAATAGCCAACTTGGTATCATTCTGCGCGTCAATCAAAGGTTTTAGGTCCAGCCTCCCATGGTCAACTACGGCAGCCTTCAACTCTTTCTGTGCGTCAAGAAGAGGCTGCAGGTCAAATTTCCCACTTGCTTCTATTGCGGCCCTCGTCGCGTTCTGCGCGTCAACCAGAGGTTGCAAGTCGAGCCGCCCACTCTTCTCAACAGCCATGCGAGTTTCTCTCTGCGCTTCGACCAATGGCTGCAAGTCCAGCTTGCCGTTCTCGACCACCGCACTCTTCAGCTCTCGCTGCGCGTCAAGCAACGGTCGCAAATCCAGCGCAGCCTGCACTTCCTTCTGTGCTTGAAGCAGCGGCTTCAGATCGAGCGTCGGCTGGCTTCTGGCATGCCTGTTCCCTTCTTCAATCGCGTTGTATATCTGCTCCAAGTGCTCTCCCAAAGGCGCCAAGCTCTTCTCTCCAGTGTCGCCGCCTCTCTCTGCACTGTTACCAGCAGTCCCGCTATCCTCACCTTCGCTCGCGAAACCAACCAAAGCCTGCATGTGCGCCGACTGCTGCTCAATCGCGGCATGTATCTTCTGCAGATGCTCAGCCAACGGCGAAAGATCGACCGATTGTTGTACCGGCGCCTCCTTGCCCCAAAATGGCGTGCTGGGCTTCGACTCGGCACCAGTACCTTCTTCCAGTAGTTCTTTGATCAGTGCCGAATTCTGCTCGACTGCTTCCTGCACTCGCTCCAGTCTTTCCGCTAGCGGTGTGAAGTCGATTTGAGGGCGCGTTTGCTGTTCTCGCTCAATGGCTTGCTGCACTCTCTCCAGCCTCTCCGCTAGTGGTGAGATGTCCAGTTGGGGGCGCGAATACTGTTCCTGTTCGATAGCTCTCTGCACCCCTTCGAGTCTCTCATGCAGCGGCGACAGATCAATTGGCGTTCGCGTCTGTTGTCCTTGTTCGAGTATGTTGTGCACCTTCTCCAGCCTGTCCGTTAGTGGCGAGAAATCAATCTGAGGGCGCGTCTGCTGTTCTTGTTGAATTGCTCGCTGCACTTGCTCCAGCCTCTCATTCAGCGGTGAGATGTCGATCTGAGGTTGTCCACGCTCAAGTACGTTTCGCACGCTTTCCAGCCTTTCCGTCAGCGGTGAGAAATCAATCTGCGGTCGCGCGTGGTACTCTGCAAGATCCTTCGCGCTGTCTTGCCGCTCACTCGCAGCCTGCTCCATCAGCGACTGGATGCGATCGAGGTGCGACGACAATTGCGACATGTCTAAATAATCATTCTTCTGTCGGCTGGCGAGTGCTTGCAAGGAAGCATCCAACTTCTGATCGTTGTCGGATTGCCTCTTCGCCATCCTCTCCACATGTTCAGAGTTACTCGCTAACAGCTCGTTGATGCGGCTAAGGTGGGACGACAGCTCGCCTGGGTCGAAGTATCCGCCGTTGGGAATGTCTTTCGGCGCAGACGGTTGTGCTTGTTTCTGCGCCAGGGCAGCAACTTGATTTGTATTCCTCTCCACCGCCTCCATCATCTTCTCAAAGTACTCCTCCATCTTGGATATTTCATTGCGCACGACTTTCACCTCCCTTCTCACCTGCCCGACCACTCCACTCAACTCAGGACTTGCGGGTGCGCCTCCGCCGAGCATGTTGCCATTAGCATCTTGCACTGGTATGATGCCCTGCGCTGCGCCTCCGAGACCATTCTCCTTCGTGTCGGAGAAGCTGATGTACATCCATTTCGTCTTGAGATGCGCAAATGCAGCATGTTTCCATGCTTTGGTGAGGATTTCGGGCTCCCGGAAACTGAAGAGCTGTGGACCCGGTCGGGTTGAGTCTGGAAAGTGTGCTTGCAGTAGATGCCACCATTCGTTGGCAATGCTGGCGTTGGCGAAAGTAAGCAAGAAGCGCGATTGCAAGTCGTCGCTCTGTCACCAGATTTCGAACAGTCAGCATACCGTCACCATGAAGGGATGCGCACGTGGCGAATATACCCTCCGTGCATACGCGTAAAAGAGGTTGCCTTCCGGACTCGAAGAGAGGGGACTTGTGAGCGCCGGCTGGCTCACTGGTCGAGGCGTTGGTGTAGTCGGTGGCCGCTCCGCTCTAGGCGTGCGCACTCGCGGAGAGCCATTGTCTGACGCCGAGGCTGTGGCTTCGACGGTGGTTTGCGCATTTGGTATGGATTTCAGGTTACCTGTTGTGCGCCTACGTTTGGGTGACAGCCAAGACATCTCTGGCGGGAGATGTGAGGGTCTAATCATACGGCGCGGTGATGGACGAGGATATAGGCATGATCGCCTGGCTTATCTACGGCTTACGTCCAATGCGGCGAGAACATGGGTGGCAGGAAGCTCATGGGTCGGTGATGGATGCAGGGTGACGTGGAGACGACAGGACGATGCAGCGCTAGGGCGGATTCATCCATGACTTTGATCAAGCACGTCTTCGATGTTGTGTCCGACATATACCACCAAATCCGGTCGACTGCTTAGGGTCGACTCTTTCTATGTGACAGCGCGGCGGCAGCATGCTGTCGGCGTAGATGCTGTGCACGAAACGGACAGCGAACGGCCTCCGACCTCGCGCAGCATAGTCCGTGTCTGATACCCTAGTACGCTCCCAACCGATGCGATATCGAATCGATGGAACCGGTGGGATGATTCGTATCGAAATTATGTTGGTGCGTTGGCGACTGCGACCGGAGCAGTTGTCTTTATGAACAATGCAAGTATAGAGCCTGAGAACGTGATCACAAGAGAACCGTCAACGCTGTCATAGCGATACGCAATCGTTTCCAACAACTGATTACTTGCTCAGTCGAAGCACTTTCGGCCATTCGAGGACATTGTTTGATTGCAGGCCAACTAGAATCGTTCGGAACTCGCTTATGCTCACGCTCACACACCCGCTCACGCTCACACGCCCGCTCACTCACACGCTTCCACTCACTCACCGCCGACGACCCCTTGAGTCAACTCGGTTCACTCGGTTGCTTTACATTACTCGCCGCTGCGTGTCTTTAGCGCCGTCTGGAAACATAATGAGTGATCGTTCCCCTTTGCCAAACCAGAGCTCCTTTCTCCATACTTGAACGTAGTCCCCAAACCCCCCTATAAGTTTGAACATCAAGCTAATACCTTTCACAGACCTTGTTGGGAAGCGGCTGCTCACGAATAGCTTGCTTCAGTTCGGACCTCTTGCATTGCACCGCGCTTGAGGCTTGGGCTCGAATCTCCTACGGGGGCTTCGCCGGCGCAATTTTTGCTGGTTCAATATCACTCTTTCATCAGTCGCCTCAGCATTTGCTGGGTGCTGGAGAAGGTTAGTATCATTGTCTGCTGTTTGTGCCATCGCGTGGGTGTGAGTGGAATGAGTGGAGGCTGCGGTCGTAATGGAGTTGTGCGCGTTTGTCTTCCTGTCACGGTGTATGCGTGGATGGTTCCTTGTCATGGTACCTCGAAACAGGACGATAGTAAAGCATCATGTTTGCCATGGCAATATAGCCGCTTCGAGTATGTGCACCACGCGTGCTGAAGCGAGCTCGCACTCCTCGGCGATTCGACACGTCTTACGACGCATTACAAAAGAAGGTGGGCGACTGGAAAGAAGATGGATATGGATACTGTCCACGCGTCTCTGCCCGGCCGCGCTTGTGAACACGAATGTGTTCTCACCTGCTCGCTTGACTGCACATCTGCACCCTCTCCCTGCCGAGCTAAAATCGATTGGATGGACAACCTTCTAACGAGACATTCACGAAAGGTAGCCATGAGAGCGAAGGACACTGGCGGTCTCTGAGCAATCCTCTCGACCTTGGTGCCGAGTACGACGCAGCTCCTCCGCACGCAGCGCATACCTACATTCCCCTCGCCGCCGAACCATCCACAGCGACCAGAAAATTCACTACGAGCCATCACCAGAGAGGTGGGATAGATCTACAGAACAAGATGAGGTTGATGGGTAAGTCTACGGGCCGAAAGAGCACAATAAAATAGGAGGAGCGCAGAAGGATCCGGACCGGACAATACGGTGGTACAGAATCTGTGGGTTAGCTGAAGGGAGGAGCGTTACAGCTTCTTGGTCACGACAAGGATAACTTGGGACTATTGGACATCCAATGTCCGACGGCATCCTCGCGGGAGCTCCCAGGCACAGTCTGTATCCTGGAGCATTGTAGCCGAGTTCGCTCCTCGACAAAGTCATAGCACATTTCAGATGCAGTATCTTCCTCCTAGGAGAAACATGCCACTGTAATAATTGAGGTTTCCTTACTGGACTAACTGTCTGAGCCGTGACAGGTCGGTCATGCGGTAGGGGTAGGATTGGTAGACTGGTGTACGTTCTCCACTCAACCCCAGACTGGCCCTGCTTGACTACTGTTCACAACACCGTCTTGCCGTTGATCGCACCATCTGTACATGTAAGCACCAGCGCATCAGAAGCCTTGGCCCGGAATACCTGATCCCGGAAAGTCGCAGATCCGCTTCCGAGCGGCCAGATATATAGACCGACTGCTCTACGATCTCTCACAACCCTAACACGACGCGTGACTCCTTGGTACTTACCACACGTCGCGTCAGCTTCGGCCATTCTGGGCGCCGATGTTAGCGAAGCAAGCCCTGAGTACCAATCTGGTCAATGTTGAAGCTTCTCTAGCTTGACAACCAATAAAGATTGGAAATGAGATTCACGAAGCAATCCCAGCTAGGAGGCTTGAGCCGGCTGACAGTTCATGAACTCGCTCGTGCATCAGATCGACGCCAACTGTACAAAGGTATAAAGGTAACTGATTCACCCACAGTCTCACTCTCTTCGATCACAACATCTTTTCTCTTTTACCCACCCATCTCGCGTTAAAAATGGGCAAGCTCATCGTGGTCTGCGGTGCAACCGGGCAAGTAGGAGGTTCGATCGCGCGCCGCATGCTCAAAGAAGGGTGGAAGGTGCGCGCCATCACGCGGAACCAACAGGGCGCCGCGGCGAAAGCGCTTGCAGCCGAAGGGGCCGAGCTGGAGTCGGCGGACTTCGACGACGTTGCATCTCTGACCAAGGCTTTCAAGGTAAGGTTGCAAAGCGTTTCGCATCTTCGTGTACCACCGCTGATGGTCCGCAGGGTGCCAATGCAGTCTTCGGCCTCACGCAGTTCTGGTCAGTCGCACCGCAATGTGACCCTAGAATAGGGCTGTACTAACATTAAGCGCTACTGATTAGGGATTATATCCTACAGCTCGGTCAGAAGGGAGCTGGCGAAAAGGAGTACCAGCAAATGCTCAATATTGCTACCGCTGCACAACATACAGAAGGACTCGAACATTTCATCCTGCACAGCTTGCCCGCGGGCGAGAAAGTGACCGACGGCAAAGCCTTCTGCGCCCATACAGATTACAAGGACCATGCGGTCGATGAGATGAAGAAAAGCATGCCGGAGCTGATGAAGAAGACAACGTTCCTGTGGATGGGTTTCTTCAGCAGCAATCTCTGGACGATGCTTCGACCCGTGGAAATTGTGAGTCGAACACTACGCACTTGTTCGCTTCAGTGCTTGTTACTGATTCTCTGCGCAGCCCCATACCTACGGCGGCCACGTCTGGCTTCAAGCCTGCCCTGCCGACACCGTCATGTGGGTCAGCGATGTTGAGAATAACGTCGGTCTAACTGTCAAATACATCCTGGAGAAGCCGCAGATTTCGACGCCGGCGAAGGTGATTTGTACGCCGGTCGAAAAGGTAACGATGGCGGACGTGCTCAAGACTTGGACCGAGGTTTCTGGCAAGCGTGCGGAGTACATCAGCATCTCGGAAAAGAACGCTGCAGGTATCTTCGGTATCCACGGACAGGAGATTGCGGATCAATTCAAGTGGAACTCGATGGAGACAGATTGGGCGAAAGGGTACCATGCGGATTTTGTACCCGTGGAGGAGCTGGGGATCCCGAAGAATGAAATACTGAGTCTGAAGCAGTCTTTCGAGGCGAACAAGGAGAAGCTGTAAAGCAGATAGGAAGAACGTTACCGTACTCCGCTACGACGTCAGTATTCGTAGCACATGTATCTTGAGCGTGACAAGGTAGTCTCCATGTAAGTCGTAGGAAGACGAGTTTGAGTCGGAACAGCCGGATTGTGAGCTCCATCCGACTGCGGGACAGCGCTAGTGGCTAGCCTAACGCTGGGCACCGTGGTGTCATTAGGGTCGAGTCAGCAGCTCTCACCGGCGCACACGACACTCTTGCCTGCTCTCCATCATCACATAACACGATTGATCGGTTCTCTGCCGAGAGATACATGATAGAGCAACGTTGTGCCATTGTCTACAACGTGATTGCCTCGATTCGACGTCCTTATCGCTGCCTCCCCACCGCGAGCGGTCCGTAATTCAAGCTACTAGGGCTGCCTCACCTCCGACACAGCAAGCGGTGCCTGATGTGTTTCCTTTGTGTCATGGGCTAGCCGGCGCTTTACGAGTCACCTGCGGTGCTGTCTCACGCTTCACTCGTCCCTTCACCACACCACCTGGATAGTTCGATATCCTTAGGTAGTAGACGCTGTCACTAAGGATGGATCGCACCGAGATGCGCTTCACACCGTCCACCATACCGTCGTAGCCGCAGTGCTTAGAGTCACACGGAAACGATTGCCTGCAAGCAAAGGTACTGGATCGCACATCAATGCACAAGCACTTCAAGCAATATGCACCAGCACGTACGCTCAGCGCCGCGCAGTGCATCTGCTGCCAACAATCTTACAACCAACCCGGAGCGAACGAACAACCCGAGAGAAGCACCGCCGCAGAGGACAAGATCAAGCGTAGATTTGGCGTCTTATACGGAGAAGGCAGGGGCCCAGATGGCTGGCGGGGGTGGCATTAGCGAGCAGCCTCCACGTTCACAGACACAGGGAGGCACAGCAGCTGGCGCGCAGCCAGATAGGGAGAGTACCAAGCTCAATCAGATCATTCAGGTATGCTGAGACATATCCTCTACACTTCCGAGGGCGAGCCCCGTAATGCTGATCAAGGCTACAGCATTTCCACACCAAAGCAGCATTGATGATATCCTCCGCTAGGTCTAGCTTGCCGCAATGGGAAACCGGAGACGGCAAGATCAAACAGGATCGCTGGGTAAGCAGCGCTCCTCTTCGATCGCTTCGAAGCAGTCTCCTGCCACGATAAGGATGTTGCTAACTCGTTGCGCAGTTTAACATCATCATAGATGATACTGAGGTGCTTCTGCGCGATCTACAGGACTGGAAACGGCCCGACTTACCAGACAGAAAGCCACCAGCATTAGTCATCGATGTGTACCTTGATACGGTCAACATCAATCCCAACCAGGTTGTTGTCGCCGTTGATGGAACTGGTAGGAGATGGGACATATCCGACGCCTTGTCTGCATCTTCAAGTGCAAGTCCAAGTTCACGCATAACTAAGGCTGGCGGCAAGAGCATGGAAGTACTCCTCGAGCGGTGGAGGGTCGAGCTCCGCGACCAAGATTCTGTAACTTCTGCAGAAGCTAACGACCCGCTTCCAAATGTTTACAAAAAAGGTGTGGTGCTGTTTCGATCGTTATATACGTACCTACGCTTCCTGCCGGCATGGAAGCTTTACCGTCGACTTGGACGTCACGGGGCGAATAATGGTGGCCTGAGGCTAAAATGGCGGATTAGGCAGGGCTTGGCAGGCGATGGCAAGGGCGAGCCTTTCCCTCTTCTCGTTCCTCGCGATGAAGCATACACTCGCCCAATCAGCTATGGTGTCTCATCTCAGGGAGCGAACGACACTATTGAAGACACAGAAACTCACGATGCTTACACCACTGGTAACTTCACTCCGTTGCGGACTCCGGCCGGGCCACTGCATATCAGCGTCGATTATCGCTCGGATTGCCAACATTTCGACATCGCATCCTCGGAGGCATTGCTAAGTTCACGTTTCTTGCATACCGACGAGGGTATGCCAACGATGCTACAACAAGCCGGACGCTCGCTGCCTGGAGCCAGGACACCCAAGCGCGACATTGACACATCTTCTCGCACGGCACCACGCCAACCGCGAGCACTGTTGGGCGCATATGGCAGTCTCAACACATTCCACGCTACCGGAAAGCGGGAGTCGCCGGTCACAGTGTTAAGGCAGCGGCAATCCGAGGATGATGTGGAAGCGGACGCGGACACACGCTGGACGCCCAGTCCTGCAAATTTCAAGTCGCCATTCAAGGCGGGCTCGTTGGGTAGCTCCTCTGACATGTATCGCCACGCCCGTTCTTCAGAGGTGTTCACAGAAGCTGTCAAGGAGGAACAGGACCAGCTGAAAGACATTGGACGCATTCCGACTCACTCACGCAAACCGTCGTCCATACAAACCTTGCCCCAGCAAGCACTCCGCGTCCCACCGCACTCGCTACCTAACGAGACGGCTATCGCCTCATCAGGATCGTCAAGTCCAAGAGCGCCGCTGCCCCGTTACACAAGTGCATTCGCCGGCAGAACTAAGCGATCGTCATCCACTTCTCAGCCGGACAAAACCAAGGAAAGCGGTGGGAGCTCGGCAAAAGGCTCGTCATCCGACCAAGCAGCTTCCGGCACTAAGAGTGACGAAGATGACATAGCTGACTTCATCCGCCTTGTCGAGTCGAGCGCCGTTAAGGACGCAAACCTTACCAAACCGCAGCCTCGGCACGCTGTGGACTTGTCTCGCTTCAGCCATCTACGAGATACGTCCAGTCAGCTATCCGAGGAGATGGAATCTTCTCTTGTGCTCAGCTCTACGACACCGCCAAGTCGCCGGCTTAGCAATGTTCCCGGTCTTTCTACGTCGTCAAGCCCATCGTCACGAGCTCACGCGTATGCGCCGCCCGTGCGTTCGCGGCTAAGTACGCAAAGTATAGCTGAGGAGGCTAGGATACTACCCGCAATACCAGCGGATACTGATGAAGGAGATGAACCTTTTATCTTCCAAACGGAAGAATTATGACACTGCACATAGAGTCTTGTCGCATAGCGTAGCGCTTGACATCACTAACCTCCAGCCTTCTTTGCTTACAACTTTGCAGTATGCGTACTTTCAAGCGGCACCAGCGGCTTGAAGCCAGCGTACCCTTGATCCCTGCATTCCACTAATTTCTCCCTGTACATTTGCAGGCCGCCAAAAAAGAATCTTAGGCAACGCTTCTTGCCTGGTATGTTGGCTCCGAAGATCCAATTGTCCTGCGAAAGACCATGTCAGCACACAACTAGATTAGATTGTTCGCCCATACGCAAACTCACCTCCGCTTTCCAGAACAGACTCTTCGCAGCCAAGTCTTCACAAAGCTTCGAGTACTCCCTCTCCGCCTCATCCGTGGGCTCAACGATCTGCGCGTTCGCCTGCTCTGCTCGCTCTATCAGACCGGTGATGAACTCAACCTGCGCCTCGATCGCCGGCGGCTGGTTCGTGAAGGCGCCTTTGGGTGCATTGATCATGAACAGGTTGGGAAACCCGGGCATGCTGACACCGAGGTAGCTGGTCGGCCCGGTCTCATCCCAAGCATCCTTCAGCGACCTCCCAGACCGGCCGTGGATTGCGATGCGCGTATAGTTGCCTTCGACCGCGTCAAAACCAGTGGCGAAGATGAGCAGATCCAGTGCGTGCAGTCTACCATCGGAAGTTCGGACGCCTGCCGGCTCAATTCCTGCGATGGGCGTCTCTTTCAGGTCGACGATATCCACATTTGGTCTGTTGAATTGCTCGAAGTACTTCTGGCCGTTGGAGGCGTTGCCGTCGCAAAGCGGTCGGCGCGCATACACGTCGTGAGGCTTCAGCTTGCGTGCCTTCTCCGGATCCTCGACTATCTGATCAATTTTTCGCCGTATGAAGTCACAAGCTCCTTCGTTGGCTTCAAGGTCAATGGTGATGTCGTTGAACGTCCCGAACATGAAGCGGAAGCCGTTACCTTTCTGCCAGTTCTCCTCGAAGATGCGCTCACGATCTTCGGCACTGACGTCGTGGTAGGAGGTGGTGCTCTCTTTGAACCCGAACCCCGTGATCGAATTCCTTACCTGGTCGAATATGGCGTCCCAATTATCGTTGATCCACTGACGATACTCTGGTGTGACTTTCCGATCACCTGACGGGACGCTGTACTGCGGGTGGCGTTGGAAGCAGGTCAACGTCTTCACTTTCCGCCCAATCTCGGTGATGACCTGGACTCCGGTCGAGCCGCATCCGATCACACCAACCCTCTTACCGTCAATATTGTAGTTTTTCGGCCATTTAGCGGTGTGATGAACGTCACCTTGGAATGTCTCTAAGCCTGGAAAGTCCGGTGAATTGACAGCTGATAGCAGACCTAATCCAGTGATTAGATACTTTGCCGTTAGCACCCTGTCACCAGTAACAGTAAGCTGCCATGCGCCAATTGAATCGTTCCAATTCGCCGATAGCATTTGGGTGTTGAACCGCATGTGCTTCCGCAGATCGTGTCGTTCGACCACATGTTGGAGGTAGGCAAGCACTTCAGGTTGCTTAACGTAGTGTTCCTTGAAAGGATATTGCATGAGGTCCTCCTTGTCCCAGGAGAAGCGGTAGACGTAGCTTTCAGTATCGGACATGGCTCCAGGATATAGGTTTGAGTACCATGTTCCTCCTACATCGTCGTTCTGGTCGATGACCAGGCATCTCAGACCAATGGCGCGAAGGGCATGCAATTGGTTGATGCCAGCAAAGCCCGCTCCCACAATGACAGCATCAAGTTCTTCGGACATATTGCAGGCCCTTTCGATGATGAGATGAACAAGGGGTTGGCTTATTCGATAATATTACATATCATTCGAGACACAGTGAGCGTGTTCACCTACCCTCGGCTGAAGAAAGTCAACAACCTGTGTACCTCCTCTAGTGCGGAGTCACGCCATCACTGAGACTCCTTCATCTTCCGCCGAGCGCACTCGCCACTAAGGAGTGAGAGCGTGTGCGTCGTAGCAACATCGACTATCACAGCCCCGGCGAGATTCTTCGTGACGTTCAAGACATGGAGAACGCATCGAGCAGAATCTCACCGTCGATGACTTTTGTCACGGTCAAAATGCGTGAGAACGACATTGGCGTCTCCCTGTCCGCCAGACACTTCCCGAACAAGTTGCTGGAGGCACATTCGACATATCACGATGCCGGTACGCTGTTGATCGCAATGCGCGAAAACAGTCATCGCATGCTGCTGATCTACTTAGCCTCCTTCTGTATGGCCGCCTTGACTTCTTCAGTGAAGCCGCGCTTAAAATCATCCGGCCCTCTGGTAGGCTTCCAACCCAGCTTCTCCCGTGCAACAGTACCCTTGGTCCTCGAGTTTGAGCTCATGGCCAGCTCCACGATATGCGGGTCACCACCGGTAATGGCGTCCGCGGCTTCTTGTAAGGACACCGATCTGACGTCCCGGCTTTTGATTCTGCCGGCTTCGTAAGCAGCGTCAGCGACGCCTTGAGCAATGTCCATCCAGGTGTGCCGGCCATTCTCGGAGAAGATTGTGCCCTGCTTGCCCGTTGGAAGGTCTGCACCGCCTTTCTCGACAATGTTGACGAGGCAGAGAGCGTAGAGCTCGGCAAGGTCTCCGACATGGACGTTGTCCCAAACACCCTTGCCGTCTCCGGCTACCATGGCGTAGCCTTTGGCAATGCAGGCGTTCACGTACGCGGGGACCTGGATGCTGCTGACATTGAACTCGCCAGTACCGACACCGTAGATGGTCGGGCTCATGATGACGAGTGTTTTCACGCCCAGTTTCACGCCTTCGTCGATCACACCTAGCTCGCTGGTGCGTTGAGGATACAGCTCCTTGTCATTACGCATCTTTTCGTAAGCATAGATATCATCCTTGGAATCGTCAAAAACTCTCTCCGGGTCATCCTCTACGTAACCTTTGCTAATCGGCCTGTCCGCGAGATTGCTGGTTCCTGACGTGTGGATCATCCACACATCCCGACCGGTCTGCTGCTTTCGCTTGGCCAACCCTTGGACCAGCGCGGCTGCGGAAGCTGGATGATAGCCGATGGTGGTATTGATAACGATATCATGTTGGGAAGCGACTTCGATAGCTCGGTCGGTGTCGTCAAGGTCTTTATGCAGCACGGGCTTGACTCGGCTGCCATACTTGGCATTCAACTTTGCTACTCTATCTTCACCTCGGACAAGGCAGGTAATGACCACATTTTTCAGTGCTAGATGTTGCGAGTCCAGCAGATGTGTCAATATTGAGCCACCACTATCTCAGTATCAGTCTTTGCACAGGCTTTTTGCGCTCCTCATACGACCAACATATATCCTGTCGCCCCAGTAAGCAGAATCGCGGGTGCTGTGTTTGACATTGCGCTCCAAGTATTGTGTAGAGTCGGCCTCTCCCAAACTCAAGACAAAACGTTAGAGTCTACCCTCTGTAGTGAAATGTGTCTTACACGCTTCTGACTTCATACAGAGGGATCGGCTATTTAGGCAGATTAAATGCCGTGCTTGCCTATCTGGGAAGCCAGACGCAGTAGCTGACTCAGGCCATCAAGGCGAGCATGGATCGTTCCGGGTCCTTTCGGCTCCGCGCGACGAAAAGGCGGGGCGGATGAAGATCGCTTGGCGAGGTGTAACGTCATGCTAAAGATAGTTCGCCGCAATCGTGCCAAGTCTCAAAGTCATGCGACAACTACCGTTGACGCTTCTGCTTTCTGTGTCACCGGCGTAAGACAGAGCATCTGCTGATTAGTTATAGCGATCGGGTACGGCCCAAGGTATGCAGCGTCAGGCGGCCTCTCTTTCTACAGCCTTCTGTCGGGTGTAGCGTTCCCGGGGCTTAGCAGTGTCCTTCAGCCAAGCACAGCCTCTTTCGCAGGCTCCCTTCTATTCCTCTCTGCTCCACACTCGTGCTCCTAACAGTCTCCATTACTAAACCCCTACTGACGACGACTGCTCGCTTGCTTGATCGAAGGGCAATACCGACAAACAGCAAGTTGGGTCACATGGCGGCGGCGGAATATTATAATCCAGGCGGCGGCGGTGGCATGCCGCAGTCGCAAGGCCACCCTACTCCAGTGCAGCGTCCACCGATGCCTCAGGGCAGCATGAGCTCGTTACCATATCCTGTCTCGGATGCGCCACCTCCATACACACTCTTTGCAGACCAAGGACGACCGCAAAGCCATAGCCAACCGCCACCCATGAACCGACCACCGCCGAGTAGTTATGCCCCTCCACCTCTCAACGGGTATCCACAAGACAAGCCGGACTATAAGCCAAACTACCCACCGAACGGGCAGTATCCGCCGCAGCCAAACAGTGTGCCGTACCCGCAGTCACAACCACCACCCCAGCAAGGCTACCCTTACCCCAACGGCATGCCTCCGGCAATGTCTACAGTGTACGGTAATAATTCCAACCAACGTCCAGGCTACCCGCCACCAAGTGTGTCGTTTCAAGACAACTACGACGACTACGACAAGCGCAGCCGCAGCAGAAGTCGGGACGGAAGGCGGCATCATCACCATCACCGCCACGACCGACCGCAGCAGGATCGGAAGAAGAGCGGCGGCACCGCAACATTCTTGGGCGCTGGCGGCGGTGCGATTATTGGAGATTTGATATTTCCTGGATTAGGCACGGTGGGAGGCGCTTTGCTAGGCGGTCTCAGTGGCCATGAGTATGGCAAGCAGCGAAGATCTTACAGCAACCCTAGACCAAGGGAGCGTTCGTATGTTGACGACCGGGACTATTACGAAGACGGCCGCGACGGCAGGGGACGTAGAAGGTGATGAGATGATGTTAATATGGGCACAATACGCTACGACGCCGGACGATCGTGCGGTGCGACTTCTGAAAGATATTAGCAAGGCGTTAGCTAGTAATTGAATGAAGCTTTCTTTCTCTGCGACGACGTGCTCGTGCCATTCAATCTTGATTCACTTATAGCTGGGCGTTAAGTGTTCGCGTGATACCTGGAATCCGCTGCGGCAAACTTCCGCTCATGTTTCCGATTTGGGAACATCATCAACTCAACTGTGCATTGTCATCTCACCTGCCCAAAGTTGAGATGGCATGCTCGTTGCGTGCCCTGCTTAGCTTACCAACACCGTTGCGGCATGTGCTATCGTCTTTCATTGCGCAAAAGCGCGCATTCTCAATAACGGGACTTGCGCAAGCCGGCCATGAGAACCCACTGGTAGGTGAGCGAGCTTCAGATACAGGGCGTACCGGTTCTTTGTGTTGCGACAAACCGTGTATAGTCTCCGCTGCATAATGGATTCGTTCGTTGACCGCAGCATAGGGTCTTCCGCGGTCAGGAACGCCACCTAACCTAGCAGCGCGTATGAGGAGAGGTACAGTATGTGTCAACCCCTGTACGACCAGAATCTGTGTATCTGACACGTCCACAGGCCTTCCAGAAAAGCGTGCCATCCCCAGTGTCGGCAAAGTAATCGCCGTCAGCAGTGCCAAAGGTGGCGTCGGTAAGAGTACCATTGCTGTAAACCTCGCACTGGCCGCCGCACGGCAAGGCATCGCAACCGGCATTCTCGATGCGGATATATATGGGCCCAGTATACCGACCCTACTCAATGTAGGCACAACTACACCCTCCTTGATATCTCGTCGGAGCTCACCATTGCCTAGTTAGAAGGCCTTGAACCCGACCTTGACCCAAACAACCGCTTGCTCCCACTAACAGCGTACGGCATCAAAGCAATGTCAATGGGTTTTCTAGTGCCCCAGGACAGCCCAATAGCCTGGCGCGGGCTCATGGTGCAGAAAGCAGTGAACCAGCTTCTGTTCGAGGTTGCGTGGCCGAAACTGGATTTGCTGGTGTTGGATCTCCCACCAGGTACTGGTGACGTGCAGCTTACGATCACACAAAGTATTGAACTCACCGGTACGTTTACACGACATACGCCGCAGGGTGTTTGTTTAGCGTTGGTCGCTAACGGAGGTAAAGGTGCCATCATCGTCTCGACGCCGCAGGATCTAGCACTCCGCGATGCGGTAAGAGGCATCGACCTCTTCCGGAAGGTCAAAGTACCCATCTTAGGTATGGTGCAGAATATGAGTACGTTCAGGTGCACGAATTGCGGGCATGACCATGATATCTTCGGGCTAGACGGTGAGCGCTCTTTCTACGCCTCCCAACTTCCCTTTGCCGAAGCTGACGTTCAACAGGAGCACGCAGGAAGTGCGAACAGCTAGGCGTGAAGCTGCTTGGAGACATTCCGCTACATGCACAGATCTGCCACGATGCAGACACTGGCAAGCCGACCGTTGTTGCCAACCCGGAAAGCCCTCAAGCACAGGCTTTCAATTCTATTGTCAGCGAGCTGGCTGCAACACTACCCTTGTAGTACACGGAAACTGTGTGGAGCTTGCAATCAATGCGGCAGACTCATAATATGCGCTGCTCTCTATGCTTCCTGTATAGCGTCCTTTCGCACGTCACCAGCCGCCGTTGGGTATCACTTGTCATCATCGTCCTCATCCCGCCTCGCTATGCCTGCCGAAAGTACAATGCATGATCCAATACTCGTAGCAGCCACCACTTCCGGGAGCACGCTGACACACTCATCACCTCCGCAAATACTGCACCAGCTGCTGCACCTTTTCCTTCGTCTCATCCGACAGTTGATCGTCTGGCGGCCCCAGCACCTTCTCAAAGACAGGCATCAATCGATCTGTCAAGCCCATAACAACCGCATTCCGCTGCTGATAGAGTCCAACGATCATCTCAAACACCGGCTCATTCTCCCTAAAGTCTTCCTTCAGCGGCAGAACGTCCACAAGCCTAGGTAGAACCTCCTCAAGCGGCACATGCTGCGGCGCCCTCCTGATCATCCGGCTAACACAGCCCGCGGCATTGTCCAGCAGGCGAGCGTCATCTTCACTCGATGTTGAGCTCCGGCTTGACAACATTGGCTCCAAAGCGCCGAGGATGGTGTTGTAATTGCCCAGCACCTCCCGGTCTTCCTTGCTGTGGTAGCATAACATACCCATAGCATACGCCGCGTTGCTTTTGCACTCAGGATCTTCGTCCGTCAACCGCTTGAGCAACACGCGCATCAAGCGTTGTGTATAGGGTGTGCAAGCCTCTTTCATTGCGTCAACGCATTCGCCGATGGTCCCCACCGCCGCAGAACGCTCGTAGCGCTCTTGACTTGAAGTGTACTTCAGCACGGGAGTCTCAAAGACCTTCCATAACTGCGCGAACTGCTCCCCGAGCGCCTCGGCGAGGGCAGTAACGGCTTCCATCGCGGTTTCGATGGCCAGCCAGTCGTACTCCGCGCTCTCCTCAACGAGCACCTCCGGGTCGTCGAGATCATTGTCCACTTGGCAGGGATGTTGCTTTTGCAGTAGCAGCAGTAAGACCGCTGTGGCTTGCTCGAGTGGTGTGGTGTTGCCGGATGTGAGTGTAGGGGTTAGAATAGCTGGCCCACAAAGCTTGAGGGTAGCGGCGAAGTTGCGGTTGACTTCTGTCACGGTGGCCCTGTGGATACAGTCAGCGCCTGGTCTAAATATCTCGTCGTTGTGCCGTATATTTTGAAGGATTGCCGATATCAGAAACAGCCTCTACGTTTTCACAGCACTTGCCGTAGCATCTGAGTGAGCTGGGTAATAACGGAAGGTTTCTCATCACTTAGGCCGAAAAGGGAGGAAACGACCATAGACATACCTGTCAACCTCCTCCTGCCACAACGCAAGCGTGCCATTCATGACCAAGTCGCCTAGCTTTTCTAGATCCGCGCTCGGCTGGACTTTGACCGGAAGGCCAGGTTGCCACTTCTGCATGCCGTTATCTGCCTCGGCCAAGGTCCATAGGGTGGAATAAGCGCGCCAGATCGAGCTGACGGCGCTTTTCCGGACGCCTTCGAAGCTATGATCAAGCAGTGGGAGCACGACCTCGATCGTCTTCTGCATGTAAGGCAAGTACTTGCTTTTCGCGTGTGACAGAATGTCACCCACGACTTCAACAGCGATCTCTTTCTCCATGGCCACCGCAGTTACAGCGCCAAGATCGTCCCAGTCGTCTTCGTCGTCCTCCGCTCCCTCGATAAGGGCCTGTGCGACAAGGTCTTCGCTGATGTCGTCATCTTCGTGCTTGCCATTAGCACCCGCAACACGAATCTTCTTGCCGGCGATCGTGACTTCCTGCCCAATTAGGTCCGAGGCTTCAGCGCCTAGGTCGATTTCTCCATCCGTCTCCTCCTGCTCAAGGCAGTCTATGAGCGCCTTGACGACACCTTGAAGGAATGGCTCAAAGTTCTCTTCGTATACTCTTGCCAAGGTTGACCAGAGAATGTAGCTTGTTTCCTTCAATCTCTGATTATCCAGCTTCAGGCCTTCTTCGCTCGACTGCATGAGGGGCTGGACGTAAGGCTGGAAGGCCTCTGCACCGACAGCGCTAGCGATTTTGCCAAGCGAGTCAAGCACGATGCTTCTAAGCTCAAGCTCAGCCTCGCTGTCCTTAATGGCGATATATTGACCGAGGCTTTGCATGGTCTGCTTGAAGAAAGGTTCGAATGCAGACTCGGATGCGCTCGCGATGGCGCCGACAGCACTGACGGCTGCCATCTGCACCTTGTGGTCGTCGTTGTCAAATAGCGTAGCAAAGCGTGGTACGAGATCGTTAACGTAACGAGCGGCGTCTTCTTTGCTTAGTCCTTCAATGAGCGAGTCGACAGCCATGCAAGAAGCTTTCAAGATGTGGGTGTTCAGCTCATGCTCTTTGGTGCCTTGCTGTGAGTTCCGCATGCCCTGCAATGCCAGGTCGAAGTTCTTGATTAGTGCCGGTATTAAGCGCGCGTGCTCCTTCCCCATATCCTCTGCCAGGTCATCAGCTAACCGCGCAACGCTGTTAAGAGCCGCACTTCGCACGCTCGTAGCTGGATCTTCTAGCAGATGCAGCACAAGAGGCAGGATCTCGGATAGTTGTGTGGCAATGAAGTCTGGAGCGCCCTCGACGCACATGCCTAGCGCCAAAATACCTGCGCGCCTGTGGCTCGCATCGTTACTCTGTACATACGGTCCGATAGCTTTCAGTAGCGGCACAGCTACCTGACTCGGCGGTAAACTTTCGGAGAGGATGTCGAGCAGCCCCAAGGCTGACCGCGCGGGTGAGATGTCGTCTTCGTCCGAGGGTATCTCTTCCAGTTCGGTGGCTACTTGCAAGCACATCTTGGTCATTTGCTCGCCAACCTTCAAACTCTGCACCTTCAATTTGCGGAAGCGCACACATTGCATCAAGAAGCTGAAAGCCTGCGATCGCACCTCATCGTCGATGTCGGTGTTACTCGCGACCTGCATGAAGAACCGCAGTAGATCGCCAAAGTGGGCACTAAGGAAAGCGCTCTCGTAACTCAACAGCTTGTTGAAAACGTCGAAAGCCTGCATCGTGTGCTCCTCGTCGTCGGCCTCGATCGTGCTCTGCAGCACTCTGACCATATGCGGGATGGTGCTTTGAAAGCTCTTCAAGCTTTTCGTGTCTTCATCTGTGTCCAAGACCATGGCCAGTTCGGAGAGCGCAAGCATGGTGTTGAGTCGAACCTCAACAGACTCCGGGTCCTGGATCGTTCGGTTAAAGAGAGCGAGCATTTGACCCATGTTCTCTTGAAACATGTCGGGCATTGTCTCCAGCAACGTATAGATGATGTACAACCCAACCTCTCTATGCCGAGCAGTCTGGCTGGTGGCAGCTTGCTGCAAAATGCCTGGGAGTTCCGACCATTCGCCATCTTCTAGGTCTACTTTGGCTATAGCTGCAATCACTCGGGCCTTGCTGTGCCTTGGCAGTGGTTTCTCCTCATCGATGGTCGATTTGAGCAAAGAGTCGCGAAGTTGGGGCTTCTGTTCGTTGGGCACAGCCGCCCAATGCTTGCTTACAAGCTTGCGTGCTTCGACCGCGGCGAGTTGTCGAAGCTCAGGCTGGCTGTGCGAGATGATGATATGTATCAAGGCCGCAACCGACGCCGGAGAGGTGTAGTAGCTTTTGTTCAGCTGACTTGTCGCTTGCTTTACCTTTTGTGTGTCCGGCAGCAGAAGTGCCTGAAGCAACGACACGAACTCCTGCTCGTCCATGCTGTCCAGTGGTGAACGTCAGTGGGCGCAAGGAGAGTCTCGCAGTGTGTACTGCGAGGATTCGCTACCAGCTCCGAACTTTTTGAGAGCCTCCACTCGAAATTTCGCGCTTGGGCCAAGCAGGGTCCGTCGGCAGAATCGCGCCGCGACAATTTCAGCCTCAGGCACAGGTCTGGCAAACCTCAACTTTGTCCCAACCACGTGTTGACCGTCCACGTCATCTTACATTCGTGTAGAGCTAAGGCTGGTTCCTCGCGGGTACCAAGACGCGCCCGGTATGCCGCTACCCAGTGACCAGTCCCAAAAGTAGTGCAGCCATTGGCGGGCGCACCATCTCACACGATCTTACGCCCCACGTGCAGGCTTCTGCTGCTGGCAACTGGATCTGCTTGACGGACGGTGAACTGTTTTTGTGATCCACCAACAACGGAGGCGGACGCTATGTCTAGTGCCTGCATCATGTCCGCCGTCATGCTGAGCAATATATTATCACAAGCTCCCCAAGCTTTGGACAAGCGCGTCTTGTCATTGCTTGGGAGCTCTTGTCTGTTTACCGACGTATAGGATGCTTAATCTCTTCTTGTTGACCGTGGCCGGGCTCGTTGCCCAGGTCCTCGCTGCGCCGAACGAGCGGAGGCAAATTGTGAACAACACGATCATCACTGACATCAATACCATCTCGCAATACTGGGGTAGGAGAGGCTCCTTGGAATGGCTAGAAATCGCAAACTGATCGATCAATCACAGGTCAGATCAGTCCATACACCGATAACGCAGACAGCTACTTCGGTGTCCAAGACGTCGGCCTTCCCAATGGCTGCCAAATCGAACAGGTGCACTCTCTGCAGCGTCACGCCCAACGCTTCCCGACCAGCGAATATGACGACGGTGTCAATGACGAGAACTTCGCCGCTAAGGTCTTCAACTTCACCTCGACCCATTCTACCTCCTTGTTCACCGGCCCGTTGACTTTCTTGAACACCTACCGCTACCAGATGGGCGAAAGCCTGTTGACCAACATTGGTGCGGCGACCGAGTTCCAGGCGGGTACGACCTTCTGGAATCGCTACGGTCGGACACTGTACAATGCTTCTGCTGGCCAAGTTGTCTACAATGGAAGCTATGCGAATGGCACAGCCAGGCCTAAGCCCGTTCTCCGAACTACCAGCCAATCCCGCATTGAAAACTCTGAGATCAGCTGGGCTCTGGGCTTCTTCGGACCGTCGTTCTATCCTACGCCAATGCCGAACTTGACAAACTTCGCCAACGGCTCGCTATTCGATGTGGTCATCATTCCCGAGGGTGGTACCGAGAACAACACCTTGGCCTCCTACGACAGCTGCTTCGAAGACGATCTTCAAAGCGCGGATCTCGGCGATCAGGACCTGATCCATCAATATGTCCCGTTGTATATTGGTGCTGCTACCCAGCGTATGCAGCAGTATGCTCCAGCAGGCTTCACCTTCACCGTCAATGACACCTACGCCATGCAGTCCATCTGCGCGTATGAGACTGCTTACATCGGCATGTCCGACTTCTGCGGTCTCTTTACAGAGGCTGAATGGCAAGGTTTCGAGCAGACGCTGGACATTGAGTACTACTACGATTACAGCTTCGGCTCGCCAACGGGCCGTGCACAGGGTTTAGGCTACCAGCAGGAGCTTCTTGCACGATTGACCAACCAATACATCACGTCCAGCAACAGCTCGGTCAACAGCAGCATTACCAATAACGCTGCTCAATTCCCGCTTGGCCGACCGTTCTACGCCGACTTCACCCACGACGACATCATCGTCAGGTATTGTCTACCGTCTTCGTAACCACAAATATATCGCCGCTGACCACTACTAGCACCCTAACCTCCATGTCCGTCGACTACTTCCGCGAACACCCAAGCCTGACCCAATACCCACCCGACCCGAACCGCCACTTCATCCTATCCCACCTAACACCATTCGGCAGCCGTCTCATCACCGAAGTCATCGGCTGCAACTCCGCAAACCCTGCCGCCATCCACAACAAGCGCACCGAGTACTACCCAACTCAATACGGCTACAACCCAGCTAACGCCACCAACAAATTCATCCGCATGCGTCTAAACAACGGCATCGTCCCGCTCAACACTATTCGTACGGGTGAGTGCTTGGGTCGAACGGACGGCTTGTGCAGCTTGCCGAATTTCTTGAAGAGTCAGTACGAGGCGGAGCAATTGGCGAACTACCAGTTTGCTTGCTTTGCTAACTACACGATTGTCAACCCGTATAATGGGAACGATTATGATGGTACGATCAGCAATACCACTGGTGGTATTACCGTTCATCCTGGTCAGATTACGGCACAGTACCTCGAAAGCTTGTGAGTGCGCGATAAATGGTAGGACGATGGACAGTCATGATTTGTACGTCGTGATGCCTAAAAAGACAGATAGAGCTGCTAATGGTAATTTCACGTTCAGACCACAACGATCGAACTAGCATTGATGGCCGTCTGGAGCTGTATTGCCGTTCATTTCACTGTCGGCTGGCTTCGCTGCTCGGCAACCGCTTTGGGAAGGTTTATGCAGAAATGCGGCTCCATCCCGCCAAACGCAGCAAACCTGGTATGACTGAATACTGTCAAAGCTGCTGTGTCTACATATGGTTGGACGACAGCGCGATACCGTCCCCGTCTCTCCTCGAAAGAGACCAGCATTGATGCAATTGCGGTAGGTCGGCAGAACCAATGCTTAGCGGCGGGTAAGTTGCGCCTTTTGCGAGTCATCAACGTACAGAGTAAGGTACCGTGTCAGGCGTCCCAACTTCTGAACTTCCCACTTCTATTCGATATTGTACGCTCTTTACACGCTCTTTTCAGATCGGTAACATGGCGACCATAACAACCACCGTTGAGCCCGAGACGCTTGAGCTACAAACTCTCCATCCCTCTGGCATCCAACCAGCGGCCAAGCACTCAGCATCTCCAACAGCACAGCAATTAACACTTACAAGTTCGGAACCTACACCATCCTCCCGAACAACAACCCCTCTCACTAGGACTCGCGCTATTATCGTCATCACACAGCTTGCCGGCATCAACTTCGTCTCCAGTTTCGGCAACGGCCTCCTCACAACAGGCCTACCCGCCATCTCCGCTTCCCTCTCGCTCAAACCAAATCTGCTCGTCTGGCCCGCATCCGCCTTCTACCTGACCAGCAGCAGCTGTCTCCTCATCGCCGGCTCCATTGCCGACATCAGCGGGCCGCGGACCATGAATCTGATCGGCTGCTTCCTCCTCGCTTGCTTCATCCTTGGCAGCGGACTGTCACGCACGGGTATCGAGATAATCATGTTCCGCGCCATGACGGGTGTCGCAAGTGCCCTAGCCGTGCCTTCCGCAATCTCCATCGTCTCGACATCACTCCCAGACGGCAAACCCCGGAACATCGGGTTCGCATGTCTCGGTCTCGCTCAACCCCTCGGGTTCTCCTTCGGACTGGTGCTAGGCGGTGTGCTGATTAGCACCATCGGCTGGCGAGCAGGCTACTACATCTGCGGCAGCATCACTTTCATCCTCTTCTTCATCGGCATCTGGTCGCTCCCACCCATGCCCGTACCTCAAACCGAAATACCTAAATGGAAACGGCTAGCCACCGAAATCGACTGGATCGGAGGCGCACTAATCTCCACCTCCATCGCCCTCCTCTCCTACGTTCTCGCCATGCTCTCGGTCGACCTAGACCACATTCGTCACGCAAGCAACATCGCCTTACTCATCCTCAGTCTTGCCTTCATCCCGGCCTTCATCTACTGGGTGCACCACCAAGAGAAACGCAACAAACCCGCTCTAATCCCCAACTCCATCTGGTCCAACCGCGCCTTCAGCAGCATGTGCACCATGATCCTACTCGTCTACGCGACCATTAACCCAATGGAACTCTTCAGCAGTCTCTTCTTCCAAACCATCCAATCCACCACCGCGCTGAGGGCTTCGCTGCGCTTACTCCCCAACCTCCTCGTCGGCGCAGCCGTCCACCTCCTCACGGGTCTGATCGTCGACCGCGTGCCCGTCCTCTATGCCGTCCTGATCTCCTCAGGACTATGCGCGCTATCACCACTGCTAATGGCAATAGTCAACCCGGCATGGCCGTACTGGTACGACGCTTTCTTCGCTCAAGCTTTGTCACCCGTTAGCGTGGACGTCCTTTTCACGGTTGGATTGTTGGTGGTCTCCGATGTCTTTCCCACGCGCACACAAGCTCTGGCTGGAGCGGTGTTCAATACGCTGGGACAGTTGGGGAGTTCGATCGGGTTGACTAGTATGGCTGTCATTTCCTCTGCTGTGACGCAAGATTCGGGCTACGCGGATGAATCGTCGAAAGCGGCTATTATGGCAGGTTATCGAGCAGACTTCTGGACGATGTTCGCTTGTATGGTGGGCGTTTGTGTGATTGGGGGGTGGGGGTTGAGGGGGTTGGGGAAGGTCGGGTTGAAGAGGGATTGATCGAGCCATAGACACGGTTTGATGGCAAGATGTGAAGAACGCACTGTCCTTGTTTGACCACACACGATACCAACTTTATGATCCGCCGACGCGTGATAACTCACGGTACCAAAGAGCGACGGTAGTTCACTAACGTAAAAATGTCCAGGCTTTCACTGGTATGTTGGATCAGAGACTCATGCTGACTGGATGAATGCTTTCACACACAATGCAAATAGCTCGCTCTAGAATCTCTCGTTGCTTGCGGTCGTTCAAGCGAATTTCGCGGCAGGCTACTATAGCACTCATGATTACTTGCATGCCTAGTATCCGACTGTTCGTCGAAGTGTGATAGCCTTGTTGTTACTCAGTCGGGCATCATGCCGGATCGTACTCTTCCTCCTATGCTGCTTCTTAAGCCGACAAGACTCTCCGGCGTAGTAACCGGTGTTCGGCAGGGCGGTTCTAAAGTGGAGTCAGGGACGAGGGGCCCCAGATACACGCGAGTCATGCCACACTGGGCTTTTTAGGCTGAACACTAGTCTGCTTGGTGAACTCGTGACTGCAGGTAGTCAAGCATGTGCGTGCCGAGGTGGGCATTCCAGCACCTCCTCTGCAAGGTACCTTCGCCTTGACTAGGATGGTGTGCTTGATCCGCGTAGAGATACTCCGCATCAATCACAGCATCAACGCATACGTACCTGAAGTGATGACTGAGCTGCTCATTCCTGGCTGTATTGTAGCCCCAGTATTGGACTGGATTTGATTGATGAAGATTGGTGCTGGCTCTCAGTCTTGAGTCTGCAGGACTCCTCACCCTGGTATGATCGACAGGGACTCCTCCAAACGCTGCATCAGCTAGGCCAGGAGACGGATATGCAATGCCGGCATGGCGCGGAGGCTGACAGTACGGTTAGCGACACCTGGGCCAGGTGACCGCATCCTTCACCTGCTCCCGCAGTAGTCTCCATTGCAATTATCCGGCGGCATAGACATCAGCACGACAATCTGATGGATTTAGCGCACTGCAGTGGGCTGTTACAGTGCCACAACATGTAGTTGCCGACAAGCGGGGAAGGTAATAGTAACGGTGAGTCCTATAAAGCGGGCGTCCAAGTCCCCTATGAAGGATGGAGGTCAAGCCAAATCGGCGATTGCCACACAATGCTTTCGACATTCCTGACTGCCTGCTCGCTTCTGAGCGCAGCATTGGCGACTCCATGGGGCTACAATCAAGGAGGCGCGCCATATGGAGGCCCAGCGCCTCAGAGAGGGGGTGCACCAGGCCCGCAGCCCCCAACTCCCCCACCTGATACCAATATCTTCAACAACGTAACCGTGTTTGCGCCTCCGGCAAGCTGGCCCAATCACGGTGGTAGTTACGCCCGCTCGGTCCTCCTCAACCAGGACTGCGAGCAGGGTACGCCGACGTTGCTTGCAACGGCAGCGTACAGTCCGCCCGATGGAGTCTACTTCATCATCTACAAAAGCACCGACTATGGTCAGACGTGGACCAACATCTCAAAAGCATACTTCAACGGCAACTCTAGCCTGAGCGGCGGCATTATCTTACAACCTTTCCTGTACGAGCTTGCTCAACCTTTCGGAAAGTGAGTATCAATCCCGTCAAACTGGTTTCACCTGGTTGTTTTGAAGATCGAATACTGACCTCCCGCAGATACAAACCTGGGACTGTTCTTTTGAGTGGCAACCTGATACCGGGCGATTTTGCCAGCACCAACATACAGCTCTACGCTAGCGAAGACAAGGGGATCACATGGGAGTTCGTGTCAAACGTCGCTGTGGGCGGGCCCCCGAACACAGATAACGGGGCCCCGTGTGTGTGGGAGCCGTTCATTTTGGCTTACGACAATCTGCTTAATGTCTACTACTCGGACCAGCGTATGTCTCTGGCGAGCAGAATACAACGTGCAAGGCTGACAAACGCAAAGGCGATCCCAGCTATGGGCAGAAGCTTGCTCACCAGTCAAGTACGGATCTTACCGAATGGGGACCTGTCGTCAACGATGTAGCTTATGCCAACTACACGCTGCGGCCCGGCATGATCACCATGGCTCAGATCGGCAACGGGTCCTGGATGTGCTCGTATGAGGTTGGTCTTTGGACGGATGCTGCTGGAAGCAACGAGAGCGCGCCTTATGCCACTCATTACAAGATTGCCGACTCCCCGCTCGACTTCGGCAGCGTGGGCGACAACCTTCTTCGGACTAACACCGGTGGTGTCTCAAGCGCTGGGCCATATACCGTCTGGACGCCTGCAGGAGGTCCGCACGGGACCATAGTGGTCAGCGACAGTACGTATGATCAGCTGTTCCTAAATACGAACAATGGCGATCCGAGTGCGTGGCAGAACGTTACAAGCGGTCACGGTGTAGGCTACACGAGATCTCTGAGGGTGATGCCTGGAAATGGAGGAAAGACGGTGCTGTTGCTTAATGGAGGCATGTATGGCCAGAACTCTACCATCTTCACGGCGGGCGACTACGTCGTGCCTGGTGCGGAGGGCAGCGGGCCCGGTGCAGAAGGATTTCCAGCTTGCAACTTCAACAGCGGAGGGTACGGGCACGGTGGCGGATGGGGCAACTCATGGTAGCCGCAAACACGTTGTCGAAAGTATAAGCACCAAGTGCTGCAGCAGATGGCCCGGGCATAGCATAGTTAGCGAGCTGCAAGGCGGACAGATACTTCCTTGTTCATCTTACAATGATGTGGGACTAGTCCATTGTCGTGCCTGAGTTGGCTTCACTTTCTTGACAAAATCAACTACCGAAGTTTATGCGACTTAACCTCCACCAGAGCGCCAGCCCGTGATATGGCAGATGCCGCAGTCACCAAATGGGCGTGCTGAGATTACGATGCAGGAGGTGGTGTAGTGGGAGGCAAGGGCGCGCGAACACCGCAAGCCATGCGCTCGTATCGGATCGCTGGAACCGACCCTATAGCAGTCGTGCCCGCAAAAGCTTCATCATGCGGTTATCGACAGGGAACTCCTGAAATAGATTTGTGATATGCTCGTAGAACACGAGTTGCCTTTTCTTCAACCGCGAAACAGTGCGCATGCGCAGGCGGCAACGCAACACCATCGTACGCCCGTACACAACAGCGAAAAGGAACGGGGTGAGTTCGTTACAAGCGTCATCATATCTGCAGGAGAGTTGATCCGAGAAAACCTAGTAAATCGGGTTTAGCTTACTCCGCTACTCCCGTCGAAGCTACTGTACGCGGCACTCCCAAAGAAAGCTCACTTAACTTTTTGCTCATTCAATGCGACTCCTTGGAAACCCACGCTCTCACCCCTACCATATCTGTATACAGTGGCTTTGAACAGCGCATTCACACGGTCCTTTCCTGGCAACAACGACGCTAGAGGTACGTTGCATTGTTTATCGTGACAGGTGCCCCGTGCGAAGATGGCGAGACGACGGATCAGATCACGGTCCCTTAGATCCAACGGCTATGGTGGAGAGGCGCGAAACGCTGTCTCTTCCTCTCAGCGACGTGCTCGTAAAGCCATTGACTTCGACTGACCATGTCGTGCTGTCCAACATAGTCTCCCTCCACTTATAATGGCAACTACGACGCAATGAGCGCTCCGCTGCGCAGCGCCTGCCAGGCGCTCATTCTTGTACTCGGCATCCTCTTGCTTCTACCGACGGTCGCCCGCGCCGGCTTCATCAACTTCGACAATTGTTTAGACCAGCAAATTGTCAACTCAAAGCCGCTGCAGCTGCAGTGGATACCGCTATGGGTGGATGCGAAGTTCAATCGATCAACTTATACACTTAATACAACGATATACGGGAATGTGTCGGGACAGCAGTTTGTGGGGACGTACCCTTCACCAACCGACCCGCAGTGGAACGATCCAAGTCAGTCCTTTGGCAAGATTGTGAGCATCGGATCGAGCGGAAACTACACGACGCTGTTGGCCGATTTCAAGGTCTTGACGTACGACGCCTACAATGCCAAGGCGGCGCAGTTCTGTCCGTCTGTTATAAACGGCACATGCCCGCTCGGCCCTTACTTCAACGCCAACGATACCAATCCATACACTCTGCCAGCTTTCTCCATCCAGCATGACTTCGGGGGCACTTACTCCTTTAGCTCGCTTCAAGGCACCATCCGCGTGATCTCGGGCGATACTGGTGCACCGAGTCTGGCATGCGTCAACACGAACATTACGCCGGACCTTGGACCAACGATTTCAGGCTTGCTTACATGGCTACCAGCAGTGATTCTGATTCTCAAGGGCATCTCGACACTGTCCGCTGCCATCTGGTCACCGTGGGGTAGCGCTGATATCTTCCGCTGGAGCAGCAACTACGGCAGAGATCCGGACCAACTTCGCTTGGTCACGCCAGGTTTCGGAGACTGCCTGCAGTATATTCAATTTGTTACCTTGACTGGAGCGCTGTCGCTGCAGTACCCGGGTTTCTATCAGCCAGTTGTGAGCCAGACGAGCTGGTCACTGTTGCTATTCAATGAGAGCTACGTCACTGGCGGCAATGGTACGCAAAGTCTTGTCGATGGGATATACACCTTCAACGGCACCTACGGCATGACAGCGCTGTCTCAACTGATTGGTATGACCTCTGTGGTCGATATCTGGGCGTGTATGGCAATATGGCTTCTGGTTGTGGCTGGAATTGTCGTTTTGCTCTGCCAGCTTGGCTTCTTCGGACGCTGGGTCTACCGGACTGTCACCAACACCACGGAAGAGGATCTCCGTCAGAAGAACTTGCCATTTACGCTGGGCAACTTGATTCGCCTCCTCTTCAACTACTTCATCCTGCCGATTGTCTCACTGAGCTTGTTCCAGCTGGTCATCTCGGCCTACTCGCCCGCCAGTGTGGTAGCCTGCGCTGTCGTCTTACTCGTAATCCTGATCGTGGCGGCCGGCTGGGTGCTCCGCATCATCTTCACCACTAAACCGCGTACCTACCTCTTCGACGACATGCCGACAGTGCTGCTTTACGGACCGCTTTACAACACCTACAGCGACAGCGCGGCGCCATTCGCGCTCGTCCCAGTCCTCATCACCTTCATGCGCGCCGTGGCGCTCGGAGCCGTCCAGCCGAGCGGTATCGGCCAGATCATCGTCCTCGCCATCTGCGAAGTGATTCTCATCCTCACTCTCAACGGCTTCCGCCCCTTTCAAAACCAGACCAGCATGAACTCCTACCATACCTTCTTCGCCATCATACGCCTCATCACCGTACTCCTCTCCATCGCCTTCGTACCCTCACTCAGCGTGAGCGACGCACCCAAGGGCTGGATCGCATACACGATCCTTATCCTCCACGCTTGTGTACTCATTTTCGGCTTCTTTGTGAACTCGCTGCAGACGCTGGTGGAGGTCATAGCGCGCTCCTTCGGCGTTGGCGGAGATTCTCAGACCGGCGCAGTGAGAGGTAGTATCTTGAACTGGCGCATGCTCAAGAACCGCAAGACTCCGCCAGCGAGGGGCGACAGGGGTAGTATGACCAGCAACGCGGCTATTCTACAGGATACGGACGGCAGGAGCGCTTATGCGGGAGGACGCAGCAGGAGTATATCGACGAGCAGTCAGCAACTGCTCAACCAAATGACGGGTGGCGGCGGTGCACCAAGCGTAAATCGGTTGAGTGGGTTTGAGAACTTCTCGAGCGGTGGCGAGCTTGTCAGTTCGCCCAGCGCGGATACGGATAATGGGCAAGGTGGGTTCACTTTCTTGCCTTCTCCGAACGGCGAGGAGTCATTGCAGGGTGTTAAGCCTGGGCTTGTCGAGCGAAAGGATACCGAGCAGTCGTACTATCGGCCTCCCCGACCGAGACGGCTCACCTCAGACTTGTTCGCAACTCCAGGAGGGAAGACCAGGCCAAGCGATAACGGCGACTACCCTTATAAAGATTCGCCGGACCCGACCGCTCACAACAGAGTTAGCAGCTACGAAGGCGGTGGCTTCCCATTCACGCCTGGCCGCGATTCACCCGCTCCTGCGTACTTCCGGGATGCAAGGACTGACTCGGCGGAAAACCTACCGCGCCCGGATTATTCCGTGCGCGAGATGGACCAATACTATCGCGGAGCCGCACTCTCGGACCAGCCGACGAGGAAACTGAAGACTGGTCCTGCTGACCCAGAAGGCCCCGCTGCAAGCGCGCAGGGCTGGTTTCAAAAGCTCGTGTTTGGCGCGAAGGGAAAGCAAAAAGAGCCTACCAAAGGCTTTGAGGTTGTGAGGTCGACGCGGGTTCCACGTCCGCAGCAGCCCGAAGATGGCATGGTCGTGGACAGCCCTGAAGGCATGGAAATGCAACGGAGTCCGCCAATGAGGTTAGATGAAGGACCCTACCAAGACTCGCCCGAAGTGCGGCAGGGCGACTTCCATCAAGCTCATGCTGGAGCGGAACGATTTCTGCGTGCGGATGAAGAGCAGCCGCAACGTGCCTTCAGCTTCGGCTTCGATCGCGCGACTGAGGACATCAACAACCGTCAAGACAGCGTCCGACCAAGCCACGACGCAGGCGCCACCGCGCAAGCCATGCATCCCGGTATGCGCGCCGAACAACCTAGCCTACGCTCCCTCGAGCCTCCCTTCAGGCCCAAGGCCAGCATGGAGTCCGGTAGCGATTATGACCGAGGAGCAGCCCTCACTGACGGAGGTCAATCAGGGAGGCACTCTCCCAGTGACTACGAGCGCGGCGCACCCACGACCGACGGCGGTCCATCAGCGAGGTCCGCGTACCGCATGTCGGACGCCCCGTCCCTCGACCCGATAGAGAGCGTTGGCAGCATCGACCTACCTTCGCGCTTCAACTCCCATCGATCAGCGGGCATTGATGACATGACCGGATCAGACGGTCAGGGTTGGCTAAGAGCGGTGGATAGTCTGACCTGGCGACACGGAGCCGAAACTCCGCCCGCGCCGGTACGACAACCCTCCTACTCAAACGTCTACAACCCCTCTGCCGCTCGTGGCCTTGGTCCCAGTGTTCCGCGGAGAAGCTCAAAAAGGACTCCTTCGCAGGATATCTCTGGTCTGGGTGAGGGACGCGACGGCGAGGCCTTTGAGCACTTCGACGCGAATGGCGGCGGTGGGTTCGACGAGAGGGAGTCTGGGCTGTTGAGTATCCCACCAATGCCAGATGAGCGTCCGGGAAGCTTCGCTAGCGTGAACCACCACCGCGCAGCTGACAGCATCAGTCGGAACAGCTTTGGGGCGAACGCGGCGTTGCAGGGCGCAAGTGCGGAGTTCTTTCCGGAAGGAAGGAGGAGTATGGGGCATTGAGGCGGTTGTCCGCGAGACCGAAGCGGCAAGGCTAGGCTTACCATAGAGTCGCACACTGGTCGACAGCGTGTGATCTTTCTCGAAAGGCTTATGTTGAGTACACGACGGCTGTCCTGTTTAGCGTGGCGTCTGGGTTACGGGACGGATTTTCATCCGAGAGAACGCATTTGTCGATGACGCTTGCATACATAGTATTAACTCAAAGCTCAGGCTTGCACCAGATAGAAACGTGTATTGTATACACCGTGCCATGGCATGAAAGGAAAAACCCGTCAGATCAAACCTCGTGCGGCCCTCCACTGCGCCCACGGCGTCTCCCTCCTCGCCACAACGGCATCCTTCCACTCCCCGATCGGCTTGGTCGTGTCGACAAGCACCAGATCCCCTCCCAAGCACAACGCCCCGCCACAACACGCAAACAGATCGCCAATGGCGAACCCGAGCTTTATCTCAATCAGCGGCAGCTTACTCTTGACTTGCTGCGTGGGGATGTCACCGTAGAACAGACTGAAGTGAGGGCGGTACTCGCTTCTCGCCCACGCCTGCGCCTTGGCCTCGTCGCCACCCAGCACCGCGTCCTTTCTGCAGACCGTGGCGAGTTTGGTCAAATTCGCGTTCGCTTTAGTCGCGATATTGCACTTGCGGAAGAACGGCTCCTCGGCGTGTAGTTCTTCGAGCTCGATAACGACTTCATTGTGCTCCGCTTTGAAATCGGGAAGCTGTAGACTGTCAAGCCATGCTTGTGGCGACTTGTCCCCAAACACCTTCGTGGCGTCGATATCTGATGTGACGGTGACGTGCGGAGGGAAGTGGTTGATCTGGCTGTCGTCGGAGACGAAGATCCGGGGCACGGTCTCGCTGATCAGTTCTTGTGCGGTTTTCGTGAAAGGGCTTGATGCGTGTGGGACGAGCCAGAGCGAGTACCCGGGCATTGCGGTTGTACGAGTTTTACAGGTCGTGGTTCATATCAATCTCGATTTCGATTGACGTGCGCGCGAGAGTACGAGCTTCATCAGTATGTGATGTGATGGTTCGCCTGCTGCTCAGTTTGGTTCAGAGACACCCGCTCGGCCGAAGATCACATGAGGGGATCAGCGACTGGGCGTGGTGTGGAGGGCAACGAGCTCAGCATTTCTGCCTTGAGTGATTGGATCGTGCAAACAAGTCACTCAGCTTGTACGCCAGAACGGATCGTCAAGGCAAGTGTCGAGCATCCGAGTAGCGTCCGCAAAACGCATGAATACCAGGGACTTTCACGGATCCATATCGCCCCACGGACACACGCCTCCAAGGACAAGCGTTTGGGTCAGGCAGGCGGGAAGGCATATTGACGCAGATTGACGGGTGCCTCCATTGATTTCTATCTCCACGTACAAGCATTCACCTAGTTGTCTGGGCTCAAGCTGGACGAACAGAAGCGTGTATTCTGGAGTGAACGAGGCCTTCACGAGCCCGCACAAGATAGTCCTTCCTCCACAACCATGATGTAAATGGCATATCCTAGCAGACCCCAGCCTTCGCGCGTGTTCTACCATGCAAAGACCAGATACGCCACCCACCCAATGCTGTACAACTCAAAGCATGATCAGATTCCCAATCGGCACGCCCATACTCTCAAACCAATACCGTCTCTTCACCGCAAACCCGGCCCTCAGCTCCTCTCCTCCCTCTCCTCCCTTCCCCCCAGCATCCCCCCATGAATCCGCCACCTCCCCCATCTCCCTCTCCCTCCCCGTCTTCGGCGCAACAACATCAACCCCGCCCCCCACATCAACAACCCCCACCGCCGCCGCCGCCGCGCGGAAAACCCGCACGTTCCCCTCACTCCCCTCAACCATGACCATGCCCAACGGCCACCTCCGCTCAAACCCACTCCTAGTCTTCTGAACGTGCTCAAGCAAGGGCCTGATCAGTCCACTCCCACTCCCATTCCCACCACCATCGCCATCACCATCCCCACCTTCCCTACCAGCCCGTTCACCTTCCGTTAGAGCCTCCGGCACCGACAGAATGACCACGAGCTGCAACCCCGTCGCACTCGGGGCGGAAGAAGGGATATTCGCCAGTTTGTCGCCGAAGCTGCACTCCCCGCGTTTGATGACGAGGATGTTGTAGTTTTTCGTGATGGCGGCGGGGAGGCGGTGGGAGCAGAGCGTGCTGTCTAGGTAGAAGATTGTGGGGTGTGAGAGGGAGCCGGGGGGGAGGGTGAGGGGATCCGCTTCCGGGTCGACGTTGGAGGGGTCGATGGTGGGGTAGAAGAAGGAGGGCAGTGGTGCCGCGCCCGGGCCTGTGGGGAGGATGGCGGGGATGAGGTGGCGGGTGAATTTCTGCTGCGGTTGGCCTTGCGGTTGCTGTGTCTCTTGCTGTTGCTGTTGCTGTTGCTGCTTCGGTGTCGCTGCTGATGATCCCGCTGCTGATGATGCTGCTGCTGGTGCCGCTGGCGCCGCGGTAGGTCGAGCCATACCGCTATACCCCGGACTCGCAGCAGCGAGGAGATGGGCAAACACCCCCTCCAAATCCTCCCAACTAAGCTGCTTGCTGTCGCCGTTGCCATCCTGCACCACCGCACCGAGCGGGTGAAGCGTGTCATTCTCATGCCGTATCAGCCGGTCCTTCCCCTCCTTCCGCTCCTCGTCCCCCTCCTCCTCCAGCGGCTGCGAGCCACCCTCCGACGACAAATCGACAGGCACATCAACAACCAAATCAACCATCTCCCCATCCCTCACCCTCCGAAACCGCTCATCCCCCACCGCAACCCCCCTCAACGCCTCCCCACTAATCAACACCTTCTCATCCCTCCCCAACGCCCAATTAGCAATCCCCTGGATCCTATACTCCGCACCAGCGCCAGCACCAACTACAAACCCCTCCACTCCCGCCACGCCACCACTCCCTCCACCGCCATGCTGCACCATACTCAACCGCACATTCGACAGACTACTAACCACCACCCCCTCCGCCACCTTCCTCAATGCGCCCAGCGGCACCAATCCCTTCGCCGCCACCACGTCATCCGCCGGACTCAAGTTGGGGAAGGTGAGGGTGCTGATTTTCGCCTCTTGCATCGCGCTACTGACTCCCCCCGGGGGAATGAGGTTCGCGGGGAGAGTCCAGGGGTAGAAAGTGTAGTTAGTCGGGCTTCGGACGTCGGCGAGGGAGATTCCGGGGCTGTGCGGGGAGGTTTCGAGGAGAGGGGAGGAGCGGGTGGCGGTGACGGGGACGAGGTGGAGTTGGGCGAGGGCGGCAGCGTGGAATAGATCTGCTCGGTTCGCCACATTGCTCACCGTAAGCGGCAGTGGCGGGGAGGGAGATGGACAAGTCGGCGCGACGGCGTCGGAATGCAGTGTGATGCCGTCCGAGGAAGAAGCCTGCCGGAGAGCGTCCGGGATGACGAGCGGATGCCCTTCTGTCGTGAAGACTACTGGTCGATCGCCGCGGTTCAGCGGATGCCCCGGCGTGAAAAGAAGGTAAAGATACTTGGCCGTCTCCCCCAAGAAGAAACTCTCCATCCGATCCCTCTGCTCGCCACTCGTTACGTCGCCCAAATCAGCCCAACCGCATTTAGTCCAACATCGTCGTCGGATATCCCTCAGCGCCATCTCGCCCACGTGGAGATACCACGGATCCCGCGTGGCTTGGTAGAGATAGTATGTTGATTCGATGAATTCTGGTCGGCCGGCCCAGTGCTTGAAGGAAGGGTCGATGAAGGAGTTGTGCGCCATCCAGCGTTCTGGCAAAGCGGAGTAGCGCGTCCAGAGTGCGGCGTAGAGGAGGTGGGATTCGATGGCTTCTTCTAGTTCGCCTGCTAGGACTAAGAGGCCGGGGTAGTAGGCGGAGAGGTTGTCGATCCAGGTATACCTTGGCGCGCCCGTCAAGAGGTCGGTGGGAGCGTAGTAAGGGTGCTTTTCGATGCCGGAAGAGCGGTAGACGTGGCGTTTTATACTCGAGTGTGCTTCTGTCCACGCTTGCAGAAAGCTGGAGGGGCCGTGGAGAGCGGTGTTGTTTGTGTCGAAGGGGAGACCGGACAGGAGGATGGAGGATTTGAGGGCGTACTCGAAGAAGCTGTCGATGCCCGCTCCGATGCCCGCGAGTGGCGGCATGGTCCACTGCCCGCTTTCGGCGTCAATACCGCCGCCGATTAAGCCTACGGCGCTGCGCCGGTTCCAGACGGCCCAGAAGGCGGTTTTGGCGAGGTGCTCGAAGCGGGTGTCGCCCGTCAGACGGCTGAGGGTGCTGAACTCGAGCACAAGGCTGCCGGCGCCCGCGGAGCAGGTCTCGGTGATGTCGCGCGGATTGGATGAGGTGCCGTCCAGGCGGCAGACGCCTTCTTCGGCGTCACGGTAGAAAGGGATGCCGTGACGGAGGTTGACGCGAGGGTACGGGAGGCCAGTTGGTGTGGTGAAGGCGGGGAGGAGGCGGGAAGCGAGGTCGTGAGCCAAAGCAAGAAGCTGGTTGCTGTATCTAAATCCAGCGGGCCAGGGGATGGTAGCATTGCCGTGCTTGTCTGTCGTCCATGCCGGAGTGTAACCGGTGATGGGAAGCTCGCCAATAGCGAAGAGATGCGCGCTTAGCAACCCACCGACGCCGCGGATGGTGGTTTCGAAGACTTGCACCTTGCTGTCCAGATCAAAGCCGCAGGCTCGTTTCCCGCAGCGGCCTCCCTCCGTGCCGTCACCGTACAGCTCCACAAGCGCTCTGACCCCATTCTGAAAGCCGGTGAGGGCTTGCCTGGCGTGCTTCGGGTTGTCATCGCTCGCGAGGATCGCCAGTGTCGACAGCGAGTCAATCAATGTGACACTGTAGTTGCCCAAGACATCATTCAGGCCTATATCTGTCGGATCGTCGCGATTCCGCGTCTGTGGTTGGCAAGAGATGGGCTTCAATTCGTCCTCGGGAAAGGCATGGTTCATGTAGTTGTCGAAGCCATGCCAGAAGAGGTGTTTAGCGTCATCGCTAACCTCACCATCCCGCCGTCAGTAAGTGGTCACGTGTTCCCATCTGGTCGTCGTCGTCGTCGTCTTATTCACTCACCGGAGTGTGGACAAGAGGTCATCGGTCATGCAGCGAACGGGTATCGCTAGCCCGGCTATAAGCAGCAGTGCGATGTAGAGTGGCCATAACTGCGTAGTCGGGGATGGTACGCTGGCCGGGGAATACAGAAGCATGGAGGGGGCGCGGTCGCGGTCATCGAGGCGCGGCCGTCAACTGCATGTGGTTATGGTGAGCTTGTCGCGCGACCACCATGTGACTCGGACCGTGGTCGCTATCGTCACGCGACTGCACAGGGGGCGTTGTGAAGAATTAAAAGTGAATGCTTGACGTAACATCAGTCCTCTTCGTTCTGTTGCATGTGAATGTCTTGGCAAACGATATGTCTGCGGAGTTTGGCGGAGGTGAAGCTTGCAGGTTCCATCGGGGCAACAGTGCAGAAGACGAGGAAGCTGCGAACCATCCATCATCGAGTCACGTGCGTGAACAGCATTCAAGAAGCGCATGTCTGTCATGATGGAGGCATGAAAAGCAATGCGCAGGCAGTCGCATCAGTACAGTATTGAACAGGTATAACGCATAATAGAAATGCTGTCCCGCGTGGCTCTGAGAGCCATCCGGCCCTCTTCCACCTCCCTGCGCATCTGCCACCACACACTCCCCGCAACCGCATTACGGATACGAACATACGCCGACCGGCCGAAGCGACCACCTCCACCTCCACCACTCGGCGCTGGCAGACCTCCACCGAGAGCGACGTCTTCCCCCCCTCCACCACCTCTCCCCAGCTCTACCGGGCAAGCACGACAGACGAGTCCAGGCACGAGCTTGCCCCAAGACCAGACATGGAAGGCGCAAGATGGCATCAAGCTTGGCGGTCCGGCGGGGGCAGCGGCAGGAGCAGCAGCGGGAGCGGGCAAGCAAGATTTGGGTCCGGCATTGAACACGTCCAGCGATGACCCGAACGCGATGCCTTCATCCACGTCAGCCACAGAGAGTATGAGCCAGCCCCGGTCACCAGCGACATCAGCAGCAATGCCAAGTGCGGCCAATGAGGCGAATCGAAGGGAAGATGTGGCGCGCATGACCACATCGGTGGACGGCACGCGACCGCAGGACGCCAGTATCAGCCAGGCTCCACTGGATGAGGAAGGCAAGACGCAAGAGCCACTGGCGCAGAAGGCAGACGTGGACGAGCCGACGGCAGGCAGCATCAGAGACCGGGTGCACGATGCCCAAGCCAAGGCGGAGAACACGCCTCCTCCGCCCGAAAGCGAGGCAGCAGACCCACCACCACAACAGCCCCTCCCCGACCTACGGCAAGGCATCCCAAGCACCTTCGACTTCGAGTTCGGCGCGGGACGTAATCAACAACAACAGCAGCAACGCGACAATATCCAATCGGAAAGACCCTCCGAGCAACAAGAAGGCGTAGACGTCACCACCACCCCGCCGCGAGAAGACCAACGCGAGCGCGAACAACGTGACTACGACCGCTCCGCCTACGAAACCTCCCTCGACCGCCGCCGCGCCGCAATGGCCAATTGGCTCTACGCCGGCCTCCTCTTCTCCGTCCTGGCGGGGGCCTTCTATCTCGCCCGCCCCTACGACATGCGGGAAACCGCGCCCTCCCACCTCGCCCCCGACGACGCCACCGGCTGGAGCCCGCGCAAACTCTACGCCCGCATGCGCGCCCGCCTCGGCTCGCAGGTGGGCTATTACACCGAGCCCACCTTCCCGAAACTCCTCCCCGATATCCCCGAAGCGCAACGGCAGCCTTACACTCTGGTCCTGAGTTTGGAGGATCTGATGATCCATTCCACGTGGGATCGCAAGCATGGCTACCGCACCGCCAAACGGCCCGGGATCGACTACTTCATCCGCTATCTCTCCCAATACTACGAGCTCGTCCTCTTCACCTCCGTGCCCCTCTCCATCGCCGACCCGGTCATCAAAAAGCTAGACCCCTACCATTTCATCATGTGGCCGCTGGGCCGGGAAGCGACGAAGTACGAAGGCGGCGAGTACGTCAAAGACCTCTCCTACCTCAACCGGCCGCTCAGCAAAACCATCATCATCGACACGGAAAAGGGCCACGTGAAGAACCAGCCGGAGAACGCGATCGTCCTGCCGAAATGGAGCGGCGACCCCAAGGACGCCCACACGGGCGACCTCGTCCGCCTGATCCCCTTCCTGGAGTACGTGGCGACGATGAGCACCGACGACGTGCGCCCCGTCCTGAAATCCTTCGAGGGCAGCGACATCGCCGCCGAATTCGCCCGCCGCGAAGCGCTCGCGCGCGAGAAATTCCTCGCGCAACTCCACGCCGAACGCGCCAAACGGCCCGCCTTCTCCATCGGCTCCCTCGCCTCCGGGCTCGGGGTCAAGAATGCCGGGATGATGGGGGGCGGCATGGTGTTGGCGGACGGACAGTCGGTGGCCGAGGGCTTGGCGAAGGGGAAGATGTTGTCGGATCAGATCCGCGAGCAAGGGCAGAAGCAGTACGAGGCGATTGAGCGGCAGATTGCGGAGCACGGGGCGCAGTGGTTGAGGGAGGAGGAGGAGGAGCAGAAGCGCATGATGGAGGTGCAGATGCGGGATATGAAGAATGCGCCGGGCGGGTGGATGGCCGGTGTATTCGGTGGTGGGGCGAAGAAAGAGTGACGGTCCTAACTATATGGTGGGTAGTGGCGGGAGTGAGACGGAATCTTCGCTCTGTTTTTGTAGGGATACGTGTATGCATCGAGCAATGGCGTTCGGGTGAGTTGAAAGCAATGGGAAGGTTGAACGCGTAGAGGCGTTGTTAAGCAAGCCGGCAAGCGAGCCTGTGAAGATGTTCGACAGTGTGTACAACATCAGATCATCGAAACACAGTCTCTGTAGCTTCCATGAGCGTTACAGTGGCACCAGCTGGGTCGGTAGCATACTGGCAGACTGGCTTCGCTCCCGTGGCGGACCCAAAGGCATAATATCAAAGAAACCGCACCCCAGGTTGTGCACCGCTTGAGGTATATGTAAGAGCGGTGGCGTTCGGGTAACGGAGTAACGTATCGACACATCCATGCGACAAGGCGACGCGAGTTTTCTCCGTGCGTCGCCAAAGGATGACTTTTGCAGCGACTAAGCACCTCCTCATAACAATTCCATCTTCGCGGTCAACACTACGCTTCGCAAGAACTGCTGTCCTCATCCTCTCAACTCCATCGCAATCAAGTCCCTCTCTGCCACGCACAAAGCTAGCCTTCCTCCTCCAAGCCCCTCGATCCCTTTCTTTTCCACAGCCTATATATTACAACTGCATGCCACCAAACTGCCTCTCAATATCCCCCGCCCTCTCCACGCCCTCCGTCGGCCGATGATGCTCGCCACCAATACCCGCCCCACACGCCGGACACCGGGCGAGTTGCATTGGCATGCCGCACTCGCCGACGGTGAAGGGATGGCCGTTCGCACACCGATACCAATGCCCCGTTCCGTGGAACTCCCTCGCCATCACTTCGACCACCATCCGCATCTCACCCGCCGACAAGCCCTCGTTCAGCATACGGCGTACGTCGACGATCTCATCACGGAGTCCCCTCGTAGGATTCACGGCTTCACCGTTGAAGCGGTTGCGAATCTCCTCGGCATCGCGGAGGTGCTCCAGCGCCCCTTGGTTGAGCGCGTCGTTGCGTAATTGCAGTCCAGGTTTCTCTTCTTCGGCATTGTAGTCGTACGTTCCGCATTGCATGGCAGCGAAGCGGGCCCAGAAGATAAGGCTCTGGACGCCCTCGCGGACACTGTGCGATGCCACTGCTTCGTGGGCCACTTCGTCGCATTGCGCGCGGTTGTGGGAGAAGTCGACCTGAAGTATGCCTTTGATTTTGCCAGCGGTAGTCCTGTCGTGCATCTTCATGACATCCGTGATGATTACCAGGTCAGTCTGGATAAGCAGGCAAACAGCCTGAAGACGCTCACGCATCTGAAGCATGTCGTGGGAGAAGCTGAACTCGGCGATTTCGGCTCCAGTGTTCTGGCGCCTCACAGTCTCTACGGAGTCGCGCACCCGCTGGTACGGCTGCTCTTCTTGGCGTACTCTGTCAGCGAAGGCTTTGATGTTGCTGCGGAGTGTGAAAAGCTTGCGATACCGGTTGCTCGTCTTGAGACGCTTTATGTACTTGACCTGGTCAGACGGCGAGCCATTAAGCCTGATGTCCTGATGCGGCTTTCTCACTGTATCCAGTGTCACTAGAAGCGACTCATGCTCCTCAGAAAGACGAGCAGTGAGATCAGCGTAGGTCTGGTCGGACCATGCCTTGAGCTTCTTCGCGCTCTCGTCCAGCAAAGCACGCCTCACGATGCGTCCATAACGAGCAATGTTGCGAAGCGAGCCCCTGCAACTTGGGCACACCTTGACCTCAGCTGAAGAGAATGGTTCCACGCTCTCATTCAATGCGAGAACGGTGCCTTGCTCGTCCAGCACGTAGTGGTTCTGCATGAACATCGCCCCATCCATGGTGTCGACTCTGAAAATGTGACCGCACGCAGCGAAGATGCATGGGTAGAGGTCCAGGTCAGTCTCGCCGTATGTCTCCATCATGATCATGTCGACAATCTGCTCTTTAATCTCGTTGGAAGCGCAACTCTGGCAGAACTTTGCATCCGGGCACACTTCACCGCAGAGGGACGGGCATTGGCAGCCGCAAGCCAGCAGCAGCTCACAGCGTTGAGAGCACGGTAGCCAATCGCACGGGGCCGAGCACGGTAATTTGCACCGAGAGTGCGGGCAGCGCGAACCACAACGAGGCTCAATGCATGGCGCACAAGGCTCAGAGCACTTCTTGCTGCATCGACCTAGAGTCCACTGATGTTAGCAGCGTCTCGACAATGGCTGAATGGATATCGTCATTGATGTTCGTACCATGAATGCATTGATTATCACAAGGGGCAACACAAAGCGGACAAGGATCCTCTCCGTGGCATGTTGCATTGCATCGATGGCTGCAGGTGCTGTAATCCCGGTTGCAGACTTGCTTACAAGCCCCGTGCTTGACGTGAACAGGGCCTCCATCATTTGCATCTTTAGAGCGGCACTTCCAGCATGCCTTCTTACACGGGTGGCCGCACTCTAACAAGGAACCGCAGATTGCAGGGCAGCGGTATTCAGGTTGTGCAACGTCGACGTAGCAGGGCACAGTCACATTATGATTGCAACCCGGCACCGTCCGCTTCACCAGTACGTCGCACAGCACCTTCGAAGAGTCTTGATGCTGAAAGCAGGGTAAAGCGTCTGTATGGTGACCACATCTGAGAATGAGATCAATGCCTTCAACCAGCTCTTCACACTGCGGTGGACAAGAATCGCCGCATACTCGCGGGCAGTTATGGGAACAGCCTGCTTTGGGGCGCGTGCAAGGCTTCATGCAGTAGACTGCTTGGTGAAGCATGTCAGCGTGGCATTTACTCACACATGCGTGTCCACAATGCAGCATGTTCGTGCAGGGAAGGTCGCAGCCAGCCTCGGGCGACAAGCGAACGAAGTCGTCCGGGTTTCTGACAACAATAGGAGTCTGGGGGTGCCGTGGGCAGCACAGTCCAAGGTCGTCGCCGAAATTCCCGTCCGTGCGGAAAAGGTCAAGAACTTCCGCCCACATGGGTACCTCAGCCATAGTGTCGGCGTTACCGATTATGTAGAGTCCGTGCTTGGCTCGCGAGAGAAGGACATTGATTCGGTTGGAAGTTCTGAGGAAGCCGGGCTTGTTTATGTCGTTGGATCGAACCAGGGACACGACCACGACCGTAGCCTCCTCTCCTTGGAAGTTGTCCACAGTGGCAACGCGTAAGGCCTGCAGCAAAGAGCCTCGAGCGATAGATGCACGGCGAACAACTGCATCATCCTCCGTCACCGCCTCCAGGCTACCGTCACCCTCCCTCTGTAACTCTTCGACATCTCGCTCGTTCAAAACGATGTGAAACGCGGAGCTCAGCTTTTGCCGGAGCTTCCGGAGTTGCCCCAGATAGGGCGTGATGATCGCGATCTCTTCCGATCGGTAGACACCCTGTTGCACGAGATGCTTTGCAACGCCGGCCACCATCTCCACTTCATACTCGTTGGTATGAGACATGGATGGGCCAACACCAGCGTCCTCCTCGTTCTCTTTGTGTGCGTGATTCAGCCAGAACGTACGCTTGCGCATGCCAACCACATCCGGGTAGGTGGCTACCAATGGTGCGTCTTGTAACTGCGGGTAGATCGTCTTCCGAACAAGTTGAGAAATTGACGGATGCATGCGTCTCTGGACATTCAGCGTGGAGAATGGCAGCGGCTGAGCCTTGAGGTCTTTGGGCTCCACAAGCCGCTCAAACAGCGATATGTCGAGTGAGTACTGGGCGCCACTCCTACTTTCGCACGACAAGTCATAAGACTGGATATGAGGCCGTAATTGGCAATGGTCTCCAACGAGAACGGCATGCTCGATTGAAGGCAAAAGAGCGGTCAGTAGATGCGACTCCAGCACCTCGCCGGCCTCCTCACACACGAGCACCTTTGCACCAGTTTTGCGGAGGAGACCAAGGTGACGCGCCAGCCCGCTCGTGGTAAGCCCAATTAGATTGGCTTGCTGTAACACACGGAGGTCCAGGTCAGACCTGATGATGTCCAGCTTGCTTTTGTGCTCATTGTACTCTGCGAGTGCTCTCCGCAGCTTATCTTGCAGATCGCTGGCAATCTCTTGCATCCAGGAAGTGTAGACAAGACGGCGCTCTTGCCCAGTCATGCTGTGGACGTGCACTCCAGCCAGCTGTCCGGCTGAGCGAGGGTTGTTATCGCCCCATGGAGCACCTCTCAACCACTTCTGAAGTGGGGTGTTGTTGCGGGTATATTCCACAGTCTGCCAACCCTCCTCGTCCGTTTCACTGAACAACAAGAAGAAATCATCCGGATGATAGTATTTGAGATGCTCGCTCATCATTCCTTCATCACCAAGGCGGCCGAGACTGACTAGGAGACGGTTGATCTCCCTGGCATCGTCATCAACCATCTTCGTGAAAGCGAATCGATCTTTCTTCTCTGTCTTCGTCAAATCGAGGCACTGGACGACAGCCCTTAGATTCAGATCTCTGAGACGCTCAGGCTTTGATGATCCTCCGATACGAACTATGTTGGGAAACCCTTCTTCTGCGAGGCGCTCAAGACCCTGATCTAAAGCATGGTTGGTGAAGCAGACCCAAATGATGGGCCCGAGGCTTCCGGCAGCTTTGTTACCGAGCAGTATCTTGGCAAGCTGAAGTACCGTCCAGCTCTTGCCCGTGCCAGGCGGCCCTCGTATCAGCGCCAAACTGCGGGACAGCGCGGAAATTATTGCCCTAGCTTGACTATGGTCGAGCGAAGATTTGGAGGTAAGTTCGGCGGTCGCGGCCTCGATGTCTTCTCCAGGAGTGAAATGGAAGGGAGTCCCATGATGAGTGATTCCAGAAAGATCGTAACGGAACCCAGGCCTTGTAGCGTACGTTGGTGGATCAACGTCGACTTCTCGATTGGGATTTGTTGGTGTTGAAACAGGTGCAAGAATATGACGAAATGGTATGTCTTCTGGCGACTTGCTCATGTGTTGCATGGCTTCAAGCGTGGGCTTGAAAGCCGGTAGTATGACGCCAGGAAATTCGACAAGCGAAAGCTCCTCACTGCCGTCTCCGAAGGTATGATCGAGCATTGGGAAGATATCCAATTGTTGCACAGGGCGGGCAATCACGTGTGCTCGCTCCTTCTCCGCATGAAGGTTGTACTCCTCATGGAGTGTGACAATCTTCTCTCCAGTCTGCATGTCCTTCTTGCTAGAATTCGGCTCCGGGACAACAACCAGGAATATAGCCTCACCCGCAGAGTTGAGTAGGCAAACCAGAGCTTCATTTCCCAAGCGCTTAGAGCTCTGCCACCACTCGCGGCGCTGTTGCTCACTTGTTGACCAGAGAGTTGACGGCTGGTCGAAACCCAGAGCGAATTGCATGCCGCCGTGGGCGTCGAAGGTAACGTCCAAGACGACGACATTCTGGTAAACAAATGTCCGCGCTCCTTGGCGCTTACGCTGGTGGCCGCCGTTCTGCGCCTGCGGATTCTGCAGTCTCTCCAATTCAATTTTAGCGCTGTCGCGCAATTGACCAACGGTGTCTTCACGCAGCAGACGAAAGTGGATATCGAGGAGACCCTCGAGCCCGCCAAGGTGTAGTTCGCGGGGGTCTGCCAGAGGTAGGTATTCCGTACGAGAGCTCTCGATCTCTTGCCGCGTAGAAAGGACGGAGATGTTGCAAATGTTCTCATTGTCATTGTCGTGCCTTGGGCCATCGTCGGACAAAGCACCAGGACGCTCGCGCGCTAGCTCGAAGGTGAACCGCGGGCCTGCGGTCCCATTCTGGCCTTGATTCTCTGCAAGTGCTTGGCCGAGGCCTAGCCTTTGGTTGACACGAGAGAGGTACTTCCGAGCCGCAGACATGTAGTATTGAACGCCATCGGGAACGTCTTGACCGATGACGACTGCGATCATCTCTGCCACTGTCTTCAAGCCGTCATGTACCTGTGCTTGCGTGTTGACTTCCACGAGTTTGTGCAGTGCTATCACAGTCGTCTCGATGCCATCGATCGCAGCTGTGTTTGGAGCGTTGCCGTTGGTGGGATCCGTGAGACCAAGACATTGCAAGTGCTTTACCGCGGCAGAAAAGAGCGCTGCAGCACGTTGACCGTCACCACCGTATAGGACGTTGTAGATAGTCATCAGGCGCTGTTCAAGAAGGAGTGAAGCCATGACGTTCTTGTGTGTGATGGCTTTCAAGAAAGGTAGAATCTGGCCGTTGAACAAGCGGCTCAGCTGAGCGTCGTCCAAGTCATCGTAGTGCTGCTCACTGACTTCCTTTATCCGCACACAGCCGCCTGCAGAGGCGAGCAGAGCAATGACTTCCTGCATCGAGCCCACCTCACCGCTGGCGAAGGTGGCGGGCTTGCTGAAAGAACTTGGGCAGAGCCGGCCCCAACTTGCGTGGTGGGCCACGTGCGAGAATCTCAGGGGTTGGAATCTGGTAACGCCACTCTGTGAACTCCCTCGCAGTCGTGGATAAGGTCGCAGTAGTACTGCCATTGACGCCTAGCGTAGCTCGTAGAAGGTCAATGTCTTCTTTGGCGTGAGAGTACGTGCATTGCTGGCCCCTCCTACAGGTGCCCGTCAGAAACGGCTCGCATGCCCTGCGCTTGAAGTTCGGGTTGATGACATGCGCGTATTTGCAGTCCTTGCCGTTCTTGCAGGCACCGACCTGAAAGAAGCGACAGGGCCTGTTCGCGTCAGCCAGCTTTCTACACGTCATCAAGGGGCAAGGACTCACCACCCGCCATCTTTTCCTTCTCTATCACCTCTCACTCTCAACAAGATACCGGGGGATGTGAGCTGGTAGAGGTGCGAGGTTGATCATTGAGCTGTAGAGGCGGTGCGTCAGCTGTATTTGTCCGCCAGGCTGAAACCGTGCGTCAAAACTGTTTCGGTAAGCTTGTTGCTCGAAGCAAATCTCCAACACACCAAGCGCTATCGCTGTGTCACTCTTGTGTTCAGGAGTGCAGCAGTGCAAGTACCAAATTCGACACATGCGCACAGATTAGTGGGGACGTCTCGGAAACGCCAAGCTCTACAAACGGAAAGCACGAGCCCCACTTTCCTTGCGAGACGCCGTTCTGTAGTTCGTGGATCAAGACGTTCACGCCATGTGAGTCACCAGCAATTATACCCATGTGATGGGCGATCCTACAGCATTGTACCGACTTTAAGCACGAGTCCGTACAGAAGGTTTAGATGGTAACATTAGATACTCACTACCGTAGCCCGCTCGGTCTTCATGCTTCATTTCGATCGACCTCCGCCAATGTCTTGGCCCAGCTGCAAACCTCCGTTAGTACTTTGTGAATCAAGATAGTACGCAGAACAAGACTCACCCGATACCCGCCAATCTTCTCCCACTCCACCCTCTGCCTTGTAACGGGCAATTGCCTCCTTAAGCCTTTGAAGCTACCTAAACATCGATGCGTACAACGGTCAGCTATTGCGTCGACAGCTGTGAAACGATCTACCCATCGCTCCGCTTAACTTACCCTCCGCTAATGTCGTGAACGCGCGGTTCAGCTCCTCTTGATACTTGTTTTCCGCCTTGGCAATTTCCCTCACCACCGCATCTGCACCACTGCTGCTTAACTCTACCTTCTTGCTTGTGGTCATCCTGACATTGCCATCCTCGTAGTAGTGCACGTCTACCTTGATCGACCCAGTCACGCTGTTGGATGACAGATTGAGGTGGTAGGTCGAGCGCCATCGGCCGTTCCAGAAGTTCTGCGGTGAGTACTTGTTTGCAACGAGTAGGATGGCGATGCTGTTGTCGCTAGGAAAGATGCCGATGGTTGACGAAGGAAAGTGCTCGGCGGAGGCGGCTGCGAAGGACTTGTGGAGCGAGCGTATCGTACCTGCATGCGGTGATTCGATGGTATGTTGCTCCTCATCCGAAGCAGACTATGCCGTGTCAGCTTCGCAGCAGGAGTAATGATGGACGCTGATTACCTGCGAGGTATGGTCGACGCGGAAAGAGATGCTGTGAGCTGTGTCGTAGTACTTATCCTCTGATATGGAATTATAGGGTGTTATGAGGGACTAGAACTCATCAGTCTGCGGCATAATGATCTGGAACAGCCAAGTTATACTGCTTCTCCGCTCTTGAGCTTGACGATCGCATATTGCGCTTCATTGTACTTCTTGAACGCCGACCCAAGTGATTGTATCTCTTTTGGGACGAGTGATTTGACATCTACATGCTTTCCTTAGCATCGGGGTACGTGTGGAGGTCGATCACTATGCGATACCAGCCAGCACATTGGATAGCTGTTGCAATCAGCATAGCCCCAAGGTGACCAACACCGTCTTCTTACCAACCTCTCCCGGCGGCGCTGATTCGATGAAGGACGCTACCGTTGACTGCTTGGAGGCCATATTGCATGGATTGTGTTCTCTAAGGCACTATACCGACATCCAGCATCGAAAGCGTGAGGTTGCAGCACAAGTCTTGAGCCTTAGGCATGAACGGCTCGAGTGCCGACGAAGAAGGTGCGACGGCAAGAAACAAGCATGCCTCACCTCACCTCACCTCTTCCCATCGTGCAGAACGTTACCACTCTCATGCCGCGTTGGCATTCACCATACCAACGTGGAAACGTGGGAAGGGGTGGGACGGAAAAACAGTTCGACGTGCACCGATGGGGTTCACACCCATCAATGCGCCCGCTTCAACAGCGAGTGCTTCAGTATCCGCTACATCCCATCGTCCAGCTGACCATACACTGCAACCGGAGGCCGACACTTTTCGGACTCGGTCTGTAGTGGCAGGTTACCCCGGTCGGCATGAGGTGAAGGCGACTTCCCTTGCTATTAGCCAACCCACCGAACATAGTGCCCGAGAAGCTGCCGACCGCGGCGGCAATCGAGCAAACACTGGCAATGCAGACGTTAGTGCTAAGCGGCGGAGAAGCGGTGATGTATCGGAAAGCATGCCGGTGAGAAAACGCGCCCGTGACAACGAAAGCAGCTTGCAGCGTGGCCGAACGAAGCAGTCCTCGGGTTCGAAGAGGACGACGGTCAAAGGCCCGCCGAGGGCACCGAAACGCCATGGTGCAGAACTGAATGCTGGCGTGCGGTTGGAAGAAGTCGCCGTCTGTGCGCCAAGAACATCCATGCATTCTCTTCATCCACTTGGCCAAATAACGTCACTCGAGGCGCTCAAAGCCTCGCCGGGCCATGGTGCGGTACTCTACAATAGCAACTCAGGACTGCCAACTAACAGCATCGGCCCTGAATTTGCAGAGCCAACAATGAAGCATGCCGGCAACCAACCGACCGCACAGCCGCAACATCGTATCGCTAATGAGCCCTACTGCATCTTTCCGGTAGAGGAAGAAGATGAGTTCGGTCTGCTATTCGAGTTACTCGCGGAGCAATTGCAACCTGCAGCTGTCGATGCAGACGCCAGTTCCGTCTCCCTCGGTACTGCTCAGTTACCGACCCCGGCGCCGCCTGACATTGCAGTACATGTGGCGCCTACGCGTAAGCAACCTAGCAGGCAAGCCATGAAGCAAGCAGCGCCTCTGAAGGCAGCGGAGACTGCGGCCCCGTCTAGCCCAGCCCATGAAGCCATAATTGAGGCCACAGAGAAAGCAGAAGAACAAGCTGGTGACTTAACGCCACCGGCCCGGGAACGCAAGCAGAATATTCGAGACGTTGCCGATCCGAATGATGATTACGGCGGCGCATTCCTCTCTGAGACCGACAAGCATCTCCTTGCGAAGCGGAAAGCGGTGTCTGAAAGCACGATCAAGCCGATTGCTCGACAGCCGTTTCCGTCTGCAGTGCTTGATCGCTCACCTGTCTTAGGTGCAACGTACACGACCGTGCTTCGTACATGCTTCCGTATTGGCGAGGCACTCAATGTCGGCTGCCAAGCCGTCCGCACCAGCAAGAATGTACTAATTGAGCTCTATGCCCGTGTTGCACAATCATGGCGCGAAGAGAAGCCAGGCCGGCACCAACACTTCGTCCTACATGATCTGTATCACGACAAGCCACCTTACCTCACTGGCACTTTCGACTTATGGGACCAGAGCAAGCTGTGGGACCTTGACAGCAGTGCCTTCCTCGTACCGACGCAGGATGGCACCATGTGTCGACTTGTCGCACAAATGCAACGCGAGGACATGAAGTGGAAGCTCAAGATCTTCAGTATCTGGCAGGCTGACTGGGAGGATGTCGACTCTGTAGCCGGAGTTTATGCCAAGCATATCGTGAATGATTTGTGATGTAGACCGGGGTGATAGCGAAGGTGCCAATAGATGGGGAAGGGTTCGGGAGGCAATTACGACACACGCATATGACGGCATCATAGAGGACGCCCTGCCATGCAGTATATATGCCAACGGTACAGCCAAATGGAAGCCCTAACGGAGCAAGTCCGGCTGTTTCCTCTTTCGTTCCAACTGCAATGCGGGGAGCTCCACTCTCACGTGGCATTGGTGAGGTCAAACCGAACTTTGTGCGCTATGTACATGTAAACGTCGGTGCAAGTGACGAGTTCCTGCACCGCAAACCCATATGATCCGTACACAAGCATGGAAAGCGCCATAGACACCATTGATCCCACCGACGAAGCTGCGGTCACACCCTCCAAATCTCGCAGCTTCTCCGATCCGCCCAGCGCCCAACTCGCGCCATCACCCACCTTCCGAGAGCGGGTACGGCAAGGCAGCAAGGACGACCATGCACTCCCTCGTACCCCCGCCGGCCAGGGTCACTCTTCCGGCTTCCACAGGCCGGAGTTCGTCGCTCGCGGACTGTCGTTGCAGATGCCGCATATGCCCTCGCCCGCCCACTTCAACCGCACCGCTGCTCCTCTGAGCCCGAAGTTGGACGAGCGTGACGTCTTTGTGCAAAATCAGGACCTAAGTGCAAGCCCGGCGACATCATTACCTCGACATTCACGCGGCTTGGACTTTGCGCGGGCGTGCACCAATCTGCATCATACGACCATTGCGGAGCAAAGCTCGCCGGATTCCAGCCCGGTCATTACGCAGCGAGGAATGGCTATACCGTACCGAAAGGGTAGCGTGAGCAGTATGATGCTCGATTCGCCTGCATTTGGTGGAAGTGCCGGTGCAACATGGGGCGCTCCGATTACGCAAGAAAGGAGTGTTGTGAGCAGCTCGGTGGGCAGTGTGAATATGATGGCTAGCGACAGTGAAGGCACAGATAGCGATGGAGATGCGAGTATGGGCGGTGACGATCAGGAGGACCCCATCTACACTACGCCGCAAGTACACAAGTTGCAGAACCCAAATGCACCCACGCCGTTTCAGCCTGGACCGCAGACGCCTGGCGGAGGGATGTGGGGCAACAGCAACTTCAGTCCGGCGCAGGCATCGCTCATGAAGACGATGAGGAGGACACGGCTGCACAAAAGCAGTCGAAAGAGCCGCAAGAGCTCCAGCAGCGCCAGTAACAGCGGGTACAGCTCGCTTGCCTCGCCTCGAACCACATCTCCACCACCTATGAGAAGCATCGAAAGTGCGGCTACTACGCCCGGCGGGGGTTACTTTGCTTGGCAGGCGAATGCGACAAGGAGCAGACGTGAGAGCTTGGCACTGGGTACAGAAGGCATTCATTTGAGCAGTGGTAACGACAGCGGAGACGAGGCGTCACTTACAGCACCCAGCACGCCCGGTGTTGTACGGCGACCGGTGACTCGACGAGGTAACCTGCTACCGAAGACGAAAGGCTTCGCTCGTATCCGAGCTGCACTGGCAGAAGAAGCAGCGCCCGAAGTAACCGAAATCCGCCGAGAAAGCGAGACAATACGGCAAGTGCGCGAGCGCGACAACAGCGTGGTAGACCTCGATCTCACCCACGAGGTCCGTCCTGGCACCGCCGAATCAAGTCCAAATTTATTACCTGCTGTGCCAGAGAGTGCTCAAGAAGACTTTGGCCAAGAGCTTGACGGAGATAATACTGGCAACCAAAAAGGCCTCGGCATGAACTTCGCCAGTCACGCCTCCCGTAACAGCGGCGGGCTGGACTACTGGAACCGCTTCGACCCAGCGATGCGTACACCACCACCTCCTACCTTCAACAGACAAAGTAGCAGCATGATGTCAGACTTCAACATGGACTCTCCAAACCCTAACGCCCCAAGTGGCATCCTCAATGGCAGTGACGCGTTCTGGCGGCGTCCGCGAGCTCGGAGCTCTGCCAGTGATGCGTCGGACGCCTTCACGGCTCCCACGCTCAGCAACACTACCACAGCAGCAAATACCATCAATGACGACGTAGCGCTGAAGAAATTCAAACGCCGCCGTGAAGATGACTTTGACATTGCTACCATCAAGCGCCGAGCCGTCTCACCCGGCATGAGTGCTCAAAATAGCCCTGTGCTTATGCACTCGCCTTCGCAGCGTGAGGGCAGTTTCGGTGGGGCATGGGGTCAGCCTCCGGAGAAGAAGAGGGACGGCGGGCAGTTGTCGTCTGCGGGCTCGGATTCTAACGGGCACCCGCCACTGCAGACTGTCCGGTCGAATAGCGGAGGAAGTGTAGTAAATGGTATGACGCCGAACGGTGGATTGCCAGTTCAGGGGAAGAAATTGGGGTTGCAAGGGATGGTGGACACGAACGACGGACTGATGAAGATGAGTATCGAGTGACGAGTGAGTTGAAAGAGATGGTTTACGCTTATGTAGGACTTGTTTCAGCGCGGCGCTGGGGTATATCTACGTCAATCTTAACGTTACGGCTAGGCATTGCAGAACGCTACCCTCTGAGTGGCCAGAGATCCCTGGCTTTCGTTACTGGGAGTGAGCGTCGTCACCAGACCTGGCACAGTGTCAGAATGGGCGGTGCGCAGCGCAGGATGCATTGTACGCATGCGTTATCGTGCTCCATGGCGGTGCACTTCCCTTGTGTACATGTATCAATCTTGTATCGATGCGTCTGAAGGTTACTTCTCTTGCAGGCTGAACTGAGGAGGTCGTCTTAGTAGAACTGTGGGTGTGCTAAATACGTTTATTTGTTTCTTGTCATACGGCGATTGTTGTCAAGGCCGCAGTTAACGCACTCTGTAAGCCTGGAAGCAACGAGACAAGATCACATCATATTCAACCTCATCTTTGGTAGCTCTGCACTGCCGCAATGTTTGGAGCATCGGTAGGCGACATACCATGAACAGCCGCCTAAGGTGGCCACTTTACCAACCGTTGCTGAGTCGTCCCAGAAAAAGCCATTCTCGGCCGTCACAGTCCAGATCGACCGCTTGACAGGCGAGCAGTACGAAGAGGACGATGTCAGCGGTATCATAGATCTCGTCGAGGTCATTCGCATCCAGGAGTCAGGCCCGACCGAGGCGGCGAGAGCGCTTCGCAAGAAACTGTACGCCTAAGCAATTCGTTTCATGCAGTATGGTGTCTCTGACCAAGCGCAGCAAGTACGGCAGTTCTCACAAACAGATCAGGGCACTTGTGATCCTCGATGGACTAATACAGAACGCCGGAACTCGCTTCCAGCGGGCCTTCGCTGATGAGCCACTTTTAGAACGACTGCGCCTTATGCCTCGCGAGGAGACCGTAGACCCCGAAGTGCGTCAGAAGTGTAAGGTACTATTCGTACAGTGGGCAAATGCCTACAAGAACACGCCCGGCCTTTCGCAGGTAGCGAACCTCTACAAGGAGCTACCCAAGACTCAGCGTCCAGCAGCGGCCCGTCAAAAAGTCCTACAGGATACCGAGCTTCACCACGACGAGGAGGACGAGATGCCACACGTGCACCCAACGCCCGCTCCAGCCACCCACAGCCGTTCTTCATCAAGCGTGCAAACGCACACTACACCTTCCAGACCTGTCACGCTTACGCCATCATCTTCCGGCTTTTCCAAAGGCTTAGCGAAAGGCAAAGGCATGTTCGGCTCCAGCAAAGGCGGCTTCAACCTCGCCAAGGAGAAAGACAACATGACCAACTGCATTGCCAGAGCTTCCATTGCCTCCACTAACCTCATCAACGGCCTGCAGCTGGTCAATCGCGAGAGCCAACGAGTGTCTGAAAACATGGAAGTCCGCAATCGCTTCGAGACGTGCAAGACTCTGCGGCGTCAAATTCTGCTGTACATTCAGCACGTCGAGTCCGACGAATGGATCGGTAGCCTTGTGAACGCCAACGACGAGCTCGTGAAGGCGCTCACGGCATACGAGATCATGGACCGGAGCATCGACGATGACAGTGACAGTGATCTGGACAGCATCACCGCTACTTTACCAAAGCACGCCCGGCATATCTCATCGGATACGCAGGCCCAGCTCGAAGGCTTGTCGTTGGCAGAGAAAGCGTCAGCACCTCCTGTGAAGCCACCTAGACCGGCACCGGCGCCGGCAAGCATACCGATGCCAGCCAAGCCAACGTTTGCGCCCAAACCTAGCAACAACGATGAAGACGAGGACGACCCCTTTGGTGATGCTAATGCGGCGCCGACACCCCAACTGTAAGTCTGCCGTCGGATACAGCTTGTTTATAGGGCAGTCACTGATATTTGTTCGCTTGCACAGGGAGAGACCGGGTATGACGTGGAGACAGGTATAACGGAATACCTTGAGTTAGGACGGCCCATCTAGCGGCGTGGTGACACCCTACGACAGCCCATTGCGGGGTGGGGTTTGCTACGCCAGCAAAGTTGGTACGGTACAGACAGCGATTGCGTTAGGAGGTCATCATCTGGGAGGTGCTGCTCTTCTGGAGCACTCGTCTCTCACTGGTTGAACCAGACCCCAGGGTAGAGCGTGAGCAACAAAGTCAAATGGGAGACGCCACGATCTCTCCGCAGAGCTGATGTGTCACGCTGGTAGTCATCAATCCTCGCGAGTACAGGTACATGAGGTAGGGTTTGCGGCCTATGACCAGCAGTAGCACAACGCTGCACGGTAAGGGAAATTCAGCAGACATGCATCAATCGTGATTCGTGATCCGAGACACCTCAATCAGCTGTCATGGTGTACCCAAAATCAGTTCGTGCCGCTGAACCGCATTCACTTCCTGTAGTCCTCCGCCATTCAGTCTAAGGTGCCGTCCCTCACATGACGGTACATGGAATGCAGCAAAACTCGCAGTCACTACGACTGTGTCAGCTTGACACAATGGAGTGGGAAGGGGGATCTGAAAGCCGCACCAGTTCGGACCGCACGGGATATCGATGCATGGCTTCGTAGGTACCGGCTTTTTGATCTTGAGAGGCTTGGCGGCCACAACAAGCGTGGCGGGTGAGTTGTGTTGGCACATTGTGGTATAGTAGTCGTTCTTTGTCGTACTTCGTTTTGCTTCCTCTAATACAGAGTCAGTCAATGAGCGACTGAAGCTGAGCGATTGCCACTCCGCGGAACGTACACGATGATCAAGGTGGTATCTGCCGCTCACAGCAAGTTGTGACGATGGTGAAGAAGGTGTAGATGGTCAAGGTACAGTAGGCCTACTGGAGCTGGACCAAGAGTTTGAGGCTGAGATGGTATGTGTTCGTCAGACGCTCCTTCACTGCATGCCTTGTTCGTAGCTGCAGGTGCTTGACCGAATCGTATGCAACGACGCGGCCACTGACGCAAGCGCGCAGCGCATTTGCGGAAGTGGCTCGGTAGCAGGATGTTGACCCAGATTCCTGCTTTCTGTTGTTCTTAACCCCCTAGTCTGGTAAACACGTCGTACACGTCGTACAAGCGATCAGTATTCGGGGTTATCTCAATCCTAGGCGGGTATAAGCAAGGTGATTTGCCATTGTCCGTATGCGCACTTCATTTGCTAATACTCTCGTTGCTCTAGCGCATCTCATCCCAGCCGCGTTGCCGAACATCAACTACTTACCATCTCCCGCACAGCACAGCAGTCAGCCAACAACAATCGAATCGCGATATCAATCATGAACTCCAGCGCTGCTAGCGGTACAACGAGCCACTCTTAGAAGGAACGCTACCATTTCCACCCATTGAACGTCTTCACTTGGCACGGCGGCATCAAGGCTTGGTGGTACACACAGAAAGCGAAGCGAGCATCAAAGAAGGCAGCAGCGCATAGTGGTACTGTCCCTGCCACTCTTCCAGGGACGACAGTTCAGCCAACCTCTACACCCGCTGCTCCCGCCGCCCCTCAGGCGCTGACGAAGCCAGTCAACCCCGTTGGCACTACGACACCAGCAGCTTCTGCAACTTCCGCACCTGTGCCGGCGACGCACTAATGCCTCCCTCGACGACCTCAGCGGCGTCTGCCACCTCCTCATCATCACCCATCAAGCTCTCGGCTGCGAAACCTACAGGTGTGAAGCTGCCATGTTGGTGCGGGGATGACTGCCAGTGCTGCATCATTCCCTGCACGATCATGTAGCACGGCGTGTGATGGTGGTAATGAATGTATGGCCAATCAACTATGATCCTGAGATCATTAATGGACGCTAGCGGGACGGAGTTTGACTATGCGCAAAGTAGCATATGTGCCTACGCTGATCATTAGATATTCGTCCGCTAAACCTACAGCCCCGTTGGCGTTGTCAAAGGCATACCAAGCATAAATCTACAACTCATCCGTTACTGATCCCTCTCAACCTGACGTTGTTCGGCCTGGTTAGGGACAGGCTCGTCTCCACCTCGTGTTCTCTCCACCCTCGACAATGCCACTTGGTCCGGTTGTGTTGTGTCACCTCCCCCCAATGTTGCTACCGGAGTGGGCTCGGTATCTGCCAAGCTATCTTTCTGCACCTGCTCACGATCAGATATTGTGCCCTCTGCAAGGTCTACGGCTGGATCATCGCGATCGAGATCCTTCTCCGCGTTGGTCCCTTCACCGTCCGTGTTTTGGCCGCTGGCAGTAGCGACTCGAACCTCGATCTTATTCTCCGCTTTGGCGTAGACCCTCAGACCGACCACACAGACCGCATTCCACGGCTCGCCCGCAAATTGATCATTGTCGTCCTCGCCAATGATGATTAGGTCAGGCCTCGCAATCTTCCTTGCCGCCTCGCGCTCGTCGTCACTGTGGATAGGCGCGTCCAATTCCGAATCCCAGCTAAAATCGGCATCGTCAAACTCTATGCCCGGAGGCCCATAGTTCGCATCAAAGGTGTTTCGCCGTTCCGGTAAGTAGTTTGATTGGGGTGGCGGTGGCAACCAGTCACTCGGTGGTGGCGCCGGTGGTATGCCATACATTCCCGCCAAAGGGTCGCAAACCCCCGTAGACCGTCTAGAAGGCGCTTCTCGCATGGGAAGTGGTTCTTGCATGCGTGGAAGGGATCCCAGTGAGTCGGGCATAGTCCTCCATGATTGGGTGCGTGAAGGTGGCTCTGATGGGAAAGGCGCGATGGAAACTGATTTTGTAGGCTTTGCAAGCGGTCTTAGAATGTCCCTTCCTTCGTCACGGGCCATAGAATCAGTGCGTGCTAAAAGCTCTGGAGAAGGTGCATCATCTCCTATCCGTGACTTGGCTGGCTCATTGGACGGAGGCTGTTCGCCATCAGCATACGCAGGGGTTGCAGGCGTCTCCTTGATCTCGAACGTGCTGGCTTCGGCACTAGGATCCCTGTTGGCCTTGGTCTTCTCCGCCTCTGTATCTGAAACCGACTCCGTAGCGTCCTGCTTCGTCTTGGAGTTCGAAACGGACGTCACCACATCAGTGATTGTAGAGGAACCACGATTGACTTCCGTCTCTCCCGCCTCGTCGTCAGCGTCGGCGCCGTCACCTTCGCGCTGGTCCCTTTTACGCTCTTTGGCTCTCTCAGCCTCTTGGGCCCGGCGCTTTGCCTCAACCCGCTGCATCCGCTTCTTGTCTATGAGTTCATGCTTCTTGCGGGCTTTGCGTATGGTCTCCCTGTTCGCTTTGGCTTTCTCTTTCCTCTCTGCTCTTCGCTTTTCGTTCTCTCGCTCCGCCACCAGTTTGTCATGCTCAACGACCTGCGCCTTGGCATGCGCGAGATCGTAGCTTAATCCAATGGCCAACAGTTTCTCTCTTCTGCCGTGGCTCATGGTTCTGACCACGTCTTCGGTCTTGAACTTACTGGGTATGCTAGCGATTAGATGTCGACTGTTAGTGCTGCTTCGAATAGCATAGTGAAGGTATGCTCGGTATTTACTTACAACGTGCCTGTGACCTTCATCATTACAATATACGTTCCGGGCTGCAGCACAACCTCAGTGCTCACGGACCGATACATGTCGTACGAGCTAGGGCTCCGCACCAGGTAGTCCGGATCTCCTTTCTTGTGCAAACGGAAAGAAAGCGTATAGGTGTACTGGCCTTCTAGTCCGACAAAGTACCGGTCGTCCAGCTGACTCAAGACTACCACCACTTGTCCCTCCTCGGCAATGTCGAATTCGAAATGTGTATCGTGATAATCAATGCTCCACGGTATGGACAAGCTAATCCACTGCTGCGTGACCTGCCACGACTGATCGAACAGCCTCGTCCGGTCAAAATGCTGGTAATTGTCAAGCAGATCTTCGTATGATATCCAAAAGACGCCATCGTCGCTGAATTTGTGTCCTAGCTTATCAAGCCAATGCGAGTTCCACTCTTCGCTTCCATCTGACCAGGCGCCTTTCCATTCCGTGTTGCCCCATGGATTCCTTAGCTTCACAAGCCTCTTGCCGTCGACTTCTCTGGCCTCCATCACAGAGTAAGCATGTCGGTGCTGGATGCCCCTCCGGTCGCCATCGAACCCACGCGATTGACCACAACCAAAAAGAAATTGTCTATTGACCTTTGAGAGCTCGTTTTCCCAGAAGTCCTCACGGCTCAGTATGTCTGTAGCGTGGAGCTCGCTGGTGACGCCACCAGTCAAGTCTTCGATAGCCTCGCCCACGAAGCCACCTTCTACGGCAAGGTAGTCGCCATGTGCTTTCGCAAAAGCTTTCTCCAATAATGGTAACCACGTCTCGTTGGGATCACTACATTGAGCAAAGTACAGCGCCTTGCTACCTGTCTGAAAGCGCTTCTGGTATTCCTTTTCTACGTTTTTCGGATTCTGCACAGAGATCCAATTGGCGATGCCGTCGCTGCGGTTACGATCCTGCCGATCGTAGAAGTCCTCGTTCATCAAATACAGCTTGTCGTCAACGACTTCGGAGTACCACGTGCCATCTCGATGGAAAACGAAGCCATACACCCCGACTTCCTCATTCCTCGCAACACAGATCTTCTCAATCAAGCCTTGGCTGTTGCTGATCGTCCCAAGAGCAGACATGAGCCAGCAATCACCGTTCCGGCCTTGCCGCACGTCGTTGGCACTAGGCCCGGCGATATAAAAGCGTGGATTCTCGAAGATCTCATTGACGCGCTTGACGCTCTTGGGCTCGAGCTTTTTGTCGTCCTTCATTGCAACCAGACCTCGCAGACAGTCCGGAAAGGTGGCTTGGTAAAAGTCTTGCTCGATGTCGAAGTGAGGATCACGGTACTTCTGATTTACACGGCGACACTCCTTGACAATCTTGTCAACCTTCTGCCGACATATACGTGCGGCTTCTTCATAGCTCTCGACCGCATTATGACTTCCTTCATCGGCGTCTGGGCGCTGTCGCAGACGCTTCGCACGGTAGTTGTCGGGCAGCACCGAGGATATCTTGCCAGGCCATGCCGATTTGAAACCCGACCAGAAGTCATTGATCACCTGACAGTCAGCGGATTAGCGAGCTAGCTTGGTCTTTCGAGCTGAACAATCCCGAACGTAGTCTGCTTACTTCTTGCGGCGGTTTCTGGCAGTCTTTCGTCGGTGGTCGTGGTGGCGGACGCAGACGTCCTAGGATAAAAGCACGATTGTTACTAGGTGGCGGCGGCGGCGGCGCATTGCTCTGTTCGTCGTCTGACCGCGATCCAATAGAGCGCGGGCGAGAAGGCATCGTGGGTATACATGCTGGCGCGACAAAGCGTAACTCCAGGTTGTCTATCCCAACGTTGCACGCGCTCTACGCAGTAAAACCGGTGAAGCATGCTGAATGATCACCCCACCCTGCAAGGCTATCGCCTTGCCTTCGTGCAGCGGCTCGACACGCCGACGCCTTCAATGTGCATTGCGCCCCGGCCCATTTGGTGGCGTGACACCGGTGAGCAAGCGCTCAAGTGGCGTCAACGCTAAGTTGGAGATTTTGGGGGCGATAATATGTGTACCCCATATTTCAGGGAGAGGTAAATCCCTAGCATAGAATGTTGCTGCCTCGTTCCCAAAGGATTATTGAATCTCTACACAATAGCCGCGGCATCGGCATGTTCAGTGACTATCATTCGATCCATGAGCTTTAACGGACGGGAGGCGGACGAAGCACGAGGGACAAAACGCCGATGAAAGCGTACGCTACGCGACTGCTACTTGGGTCTCAAATGTACAAGCTCCTCCCGCGCCATGGTTACTTCCTGGCTTTGTTCGAATAGCTAAGGCTCTGTATTGAAGTGTTGACGGGAAAATGCTTGCCCATTGGAGAGTGCACATACGCGCGGCTGGGATCGGAGACGGTGAAAGAGATCGTATTGGGCGCGTTCATTGTCCAAGCAGCCCTGTAAGCACGCGCTTACAGTTGTGCGTCTTGTTGTGTGTCGTTGTACCATCCGTCATCCCAAGAATTGTAGTGCGGATGGTCTCTAAAGCCCACGCCCACACCGCCATCTCGTACATTGGCCATTAAACTCTCGATGAGTGTGAACGCTCCGTCTTCCATGACAGTAGCGATCAGTAGGTAGGTGTTCACGATGTGCGTATTGTTATGAATATTGTGCTGCGTCTGCGTATTGAACCATCTCCACTCATGTCGAAGGAGCTGGGTACGCTCTTTGGCTGGGAAACCAGGTCGCTCTGGCAGAGCTTTGCAAGCTGCTCCGGCATTCTTCTGTCGTAGTCGTCATTGCGGATTGATGCATTCTGAGTGCCACCATTATTGGAGTAGATGATCACCGGATCCATTTCCTTGATTGCAGGCATGGACGATGTACGTACCATGAGGGCCTGCGATTAGATTGGCGTCAAACTGTGCGATTGATGTAGGTTTAACCTGCCTCACTTTATGGTCGTATCCAGCTGCGTCGCCTCGAAAGGCTCGACTGCTCCTTTCTTTCGCTCTGTCAAGTACTGTGGCTGCATGCTGCGATGCGTACACGGTACTCGCGAATTGCATGAGGTAGAAGTTGACAGGACCCGGTGATGGCTTGAGGTGGGAGTAAACAGGAGATCTGCACACAATGAAGCTTCCGTTTCCCTTGACAATCGGTGCGTCCGTTGCCTTGCAAAGTAGACCTCAAACGTCAGGAAGAGTCGAGACACTAATCTAGTCTGCCAAGGCAAAGGGCGTTCCGGCTCACTTGACAAGCGTAGCTTTGTGCGGGCCACAAACACTAGATGCTTGCTTACAGACGGGAGGCACGCTATGGCGACCTCAATCGCAAGCCACAGGAAAACGTCGGTAATCATGCCTTGTATCATGCTCAATAAGGACTGCCAGTGACCTTACCGCCGCTGACACCATTGGCGAGTCCTCAGCGCGCACCCAGAACCCAATCATCAAAGTCGGCGTCGTCGTCATCGTCTTCTCCCTCGTCGTGTGCGTGAGCACGCTGTCGTGAGTGCGCAGTCCCAGAGACTGCTTGTCCTTGACCGTCGCCACTCGCTCCAGCACTGTGTCGTAAAGCCTCCCGTCGTTCTCTGAGTCGTCTGACTCTCTCCTCCAACCCTGACATCTCGTCAAATTCTTCCTGCAATGCCACCGCAGCGTCCTCTCGTTCGGCCTCAATCTCCGCATCACGCTTTCCGCGCTGCGTACTTTGCTCCTCTCGCGCTCGTGCAGCGATTTCTTCCGCACTTAGTGGCGCGGCGGTTATCGTAGCTGCAGCGGTTTTGTTGGTAGATGGTGGCATTGAAGCTTCCATCTCCGCGAGCTCGCGTTCAAAGGCCGCGAGTTCGGCTTCGTTCACTTCGTCCTCTGCAATCGGGACCTCCTGACCAGTCCGTACGGAGTCTTGAACAGCTTTGGGAGCTGGTTTGGAAGCGGCTGCTGGCGTATATGCTGTAGAAGAAGCTGTCTCGGCCAAGGGTAGGGCTGCTTCTTCCGGCATGTGCTCGTTGTCTGAAGGCTTTACCTCTGGGGTAGAGTCCACTTCGCCTTGGCGAGCACCGTCAGTCCCGGCAAGATTGTCACCATCGACGGTCTCCTTGGGGCGAGCTCGCTTCCGATCCGCCTGCGGACTTTCTACGCTTGAAGCCTTGCGTTTCTTTCCGGTAATGTCTGAACTTCGACTTACTGCTACATCACGCTGTCTGCTTGCACGTAGTGCGTGGCCGGTCGAATGCAGATGGCTCTGCCATGATGCTTCGGACTTGACCAGAGTTTCGCACAGGTTACAGAGCAGTTTCCCATCACCAGTGTATGAGGCATTCGGATGTGTAATTCGCCTGCTTACCCGCTCCGCCCTGAGCATAGAGCGAACATCGGCCATGTTGCTTCCCAACACAGCGTGCCAAAAGGATTACACGTAGCTGGAGGCTCGTCCAATGGAGGCTGACCGAGGATACAATTGGGCATTGCATTCGTAATGCCACCATGACTCGTGAAGGTTTCAGGTTGATCCGCGGGGAGGCACGCGGCTGAGAGAGATCGACGTCAAAGGCCGAGGGGTCGGTACCTGCGTCCTGCCCTGCCAGCTTCCAACTTGTTTTGTTTACAGTTTACCATTCTGCCAAGCGCCGGTCGCTCAACACATCCAGCTCTGAGGAGTGCATCAACGATGCAAAGACACGACACGTCAACACTTATTCACGACGTTGGAACAAAACGAGTGTGAAATGGAGAAGGCAGCGACCAAACAGACCTCTACGAATGACACTAAGAACCAAGCAGCAACACCTGCCCGTCTAAGTACGCCAAAGGCGCCATCTACGACGACGTCTACGACGACGTCTACGAAGACGAGCGCGCTTGCCGCTCGGACGACTGGCAGCACCATTAACAAGCCGCCCACGCGACCAACTGGCTCCTCGGCAAGGAAAACGCCGGTTCGCTCGTATGATGATGCTGCCTCAGTCACATCTGGGGATGGCGACGAGAACAGACGACCGCCAAGAAAGTCCACTGTTGGTCGTGCCAGCACGAGACGAACCACTCTCGGCGGCAGTGCTGCCACAGTGCCGCCCAAGCGACCAGCAGCTGCACCACGGACTAATACGGCGAGTCCCACGACTTCGAGACCTCCTACCACAGCAACGCGGCAGACAGTGAAGTCGCCAACGTCATTCTCGTCCGTGTCAACGAAGAGCAGCGGCAGCGTAGCCCGATCGCAACTGACAGGTACTATCTCCGAGGAGCCGGAACTGGAAGCCGACGATGGAGCGCCCTCGGAAGCTGGTACAGCACGACACCCTTCGCCTCCGAAGTTGGAGATACGCTCTACGAAGTCTGAAGCTCCGGCTCCCAAGCCACAAGCAGTGTCAGACAATGAAGCAACGAATCGACCTAGACTGACTTCTCGACACTCGCGCACCCAGTCTGCAGTGATTGGCCGCCGCCCAATGACGGCACCCACGCCAACATTAACCACCCACGAGCAGAGCATGCGAGAGATGGAAGTTATATCGAACCTGTTACGTGAGAGTACGAAGCGCGATACGATGTCTGTCGAAATCAAGGACCTGAGAGCGGAGATAATCCGACTGGAGCAGCAGAACCACAAGCTTTCCGAAGCAGTAGCGAAAGGCGCGCTTAAGCACGACACAAGCGCAGATGCGGCGAAGGCCAGAGCCGAACTTAAGGTGATGCTTACGAGCCAGCACGAGGCAGAGATGGAGAAAGTGAGCAAGGCACACAGAGCAGCGATGGCTTCACTAGAGTCTACACACGCGGAAGAACTCACCAACCTGCGCACTGAGTTGGCGACCCAACGTAAGCAGTCCTCCCGCCTCGAGGGTGTCGAGACAAAGATCGAAGCTGTCGAAGAGGCGTTGCGCGAGAGCAAGAAGCGCGCTTCGCACAACGAGCACGAGCTCCACCAAACGATCCAGCAGAAAGAAGCAGACCGCGACAACCTCGCGCACGTCATCGACGACTTACGGCAAGAGATCGACCGCTGTCAGATCAAGTTGAACGAGGATGTGGCAAAGCAAGCAAAAGAGAGGAAGGAGGCGCAGAAGCTCAACGAGCAGTTGCGTAAGGAACTTGAAGAAGAGAGGCGCAAAGCCAAAGCTATTTCGGAGCAGTCAGCGCGCGAGAAAACGCAAAGCGACGACCAGTTCTCGGCCAGCCTCAAGGAGGTACGGCAACAGGTTGAGGAGGAGATGGAAAGGTTGCGCCTGGCTGCAAAGCAAGCCGAACAGGCGGCAGAGAAGCTGCAAAGAGAGCTCGATGATGTGCGAGCAAAAGACAGCGAACACTTTGAGAAGCATCGTGTGGCGCTGGATGACTCTGCAAGCACGATCCAGAATCTGCAAGACGAAATGCGGAAGCTGAAGGATCAGCATCTTGAGAGCTACGAACGACAGCGTCGACGCGCCGACGACAGCGACAGCACCACGCATTCGCTTCGCGCCCAGGTGCAGACCCTGCAGCAGATGCACAACAGCAGTCAGCATAATAGTGAGGAGCTTTTGCGGAAACATGAGAGCATAGTTGATGAGCTTCAAATTCAGATAAGCCAGCTTCAGCAGGGTGGCACCGAGAGCAGCCAGGTTGTGGAAAGCTTGCAGACACAGTTGCGGGAGCTGGAGCAGCTCAGCCACGACGCTCAGTCTGGGCACGAAGCCGAACTTACCGACCTCAACACTGTAGTCGAGAGCCTGCAAACCGGAAGTAGTAAGCTTCGACAAGAATACGCAGCATCTTTATCAGACAAAGACCGCGCAAGAAGCGAATCCAAGGCAATAGCCGAACAACTGCAGACTAAGGTTATACAGCTACAGCACGAGCTTGAAGATGCACGCAAGTCAACAGAGGAATGCTCGAGGAGCCTGCACGAAACTATCGCGTCGCTGAAGCAGGAAAGTGAAACGCTTAAGACCCGGAACGAGGAGCACGTTGCAGCCAAAGATAGCGAAATTCGTGAGCTCACACAGGTCGTAGGATCGTTGCAGCTGAAAATGGGCGAACTCCTGTCTCAAGCAGAGGACGCAAGCTTAGAGTGCGAGCAGCATTCGAGGGAGAGCGCAACTGTCATAAAGACATTGCAAGACGAAATTCAAGCGGCGCAACACAAGCTTACAGATGCGGGAGACAAGCGAGATGCTTTAACTCAGCACGTGCAAGCCTTACGAGAGACTCACGAAACGCTTGCGACGAAACACAAGGACTTGGAACGCGATCATGACAATCTCGCCAACAGCAATGACAGCCTCCATGAAAAGGTGGATGAGCTGCTGACGTCGCTCGCGGAGGCCGAAGCCGCCAGGCGTACCGCCGAAGCATCGCTGTCAAGCTTAAGAAATGAGACGGAGGGCTTGCAAAAAGTATTCGAGACCTTCCAGCAAAGAGCCGAGCAACAGGAAACCGAACATGTCCAGGCACTAAGCACGCAGAAAGGCGAGTTAGAGGAGATGCACTCGGCAGCATTGACCGCTCTGAGGGCCGATCATGCTATAGAGCTCGATGCACTGGAACGGCCAAGCGCGAACGAGAACGCCGCCATGGCTCGATTGCGTGACGAGGTAGATGCCCTTGCTGCAGAGAGGGTGCAACTACTTGCGAAGTGTGACGAGCACGAAGCCGCGATGAAGCAGCTTCAGGACTCTGTCAACCGGCTCAGACACGAGCACGCCAACGCCATCGGAGAAACATCCACCGCGCACGAGGACAAAGTGCAGGCTGTAATGGACCGTCATGCCGAGCAAATCGCGCTGATCGAAGAAGCGGCTTCACGACGCGCCGAAGCGGCTGGCACTGAACGCGACCGCGTCCACGAAGCCGCTCTCGCCGCCCTTGAGGCAGAGCACGCGGAAGCTTTGCGGAAAGCGACACGCTCTCCAGCAGTTCCTGTCGTGCATCCGCAGCATGAGCCTGAAACACCCGCGAAGGGCTTGTCACATATTTTCGTCAACCGCGCTGCCACTGGAGATGGAGAGGCAGAGACGCCGGCATTGACTGTTGAGGATGGCACGCCAGGATTGGCGGAGACACCGTTGGCGTATGCGTCGGAGGACGAGGTGCATTCGCCAACGCCGTTCTATCCCAGAGACGGAAGGCGGGCAGGCGCTGATCATCACAGTGATGGCAAGCGCAGTGAAGATGACCTAGAACGCCGAAACGTCGAGCTCGCGGCTCAATTGCGATTAGTCCAAGAGGAGTTGGCTCATCTGAAGAACGCGGCTGCGCCGCCGAAACCTCCTAACTCTTCGAAAGAAGCATTAACGAACATTAGAGATCCTTTTCTGGATGCCAGCACAGGAGTAATAGCTCGAGCAGTACAGTCAACTTCGACAAGCGGCATTTTCTCCCCCCGCCACAGCTACTATGAGCGGAGTTCTGACGCTCCACCAATGACACTTGAAGGCACGCTGGAAAGCATCCGTGTGCAGACAGAACAACTGCTGGAGGTCAACGAAGACTTCATGAACGAGCAAAAGCGGTGGAGTCGCAAATTAGGGCTGCGAAGAAGTCCAGGCGTCGGGAGAGCTAGGGGTTCGTTCACGGGATCAAGGACCTCGCCAGTGACGATTGCATCTTAGGAAGGGTATGGCATGATTGTTGGAGGGCATTGTGGCCGCGCTAGACGAGGATATTTCTGAACACCGCTCGTTTGGACGCCTGTTGTATCATGACACGCTAGAGTTCCAGTGTTGGAGTAATGTACGCCTTGGATGGAAAGCTCCTCCTGTGCAGCAGATACCATCGAAGCCAGTGTACTGCAAGAGCAATGCGAAGCATACTCTTGCCTCTTGACTGAAATGAGCACGCCAATCGTAGCTCTGAATACCGGTGTTCCCCCATTCCCTGGACGCAGGACTCGGCCCACGCCACCGGATTATTCTCATGGCCTGCAGCTTGACTGTTGTGCGATCTAATATGCAAGGGCGTGGGCGTACATTCAGACGTATGCCGGACCACGAGCGATGCAGTGATGCAATCAGTGACTATGTTCAGCATACAAGCGCACGTCTGCGATTACAAACTGTGACTGGCTAGGAGTGTGGTGGTCATCCCACGCCTTGCTCTGCAGGAGCGTTAGAAGTGTCCGCAGAGCTGGGAGCGTGGGTGCTATGACACTTGGCCTTTGACAGGCTTGGCTTGTTCATGTCATGCAATGGCAATACAGTGGCACTACGAAAGAGAAAAGGAGTCGCATACGGAGAATCAAATTTCTACATTGCCAGACACAGCCGTCGGACACCGCATGGTACATACTCCTACTTCGCTCCCAGAAACGACATTGATGTCGTTTTTGATTCGTCGATGTCAGCACTTGGTCGATAATGTACGAACGTTACACGTCCAAGCCCGGATCACGGGTTCGCGACTAGTGATGCAAGTCAGCGTTTGAGGCTGGAAAGCGAGACCCTATCTCCTGCGCCGCAACAGGTTGTATCTCACTAAGGAAGGGTGGCAGAAAGACAACGAGCTTCTGTGCGTCGATATTGAGGCGTACCGTATGTGTGACACGGCTGACGTCGGTCGTGTCACGAGGACGATCATCGGGATGGATTTCCCAGACCCAGAAACAAGGTCAGCACACCCCATCTCAAACCATGTGACATCTGCGTCCACGTTCCCGCTCTTCGCTTGAAGTGACGCCGGCAGGGGACGCAGCCAGTCTCCGGCTTCGAGGGCGCCACCTCTGATTGTGACAGCCCTCCCCAGCCGGGAATGCGCGGCATACGTTGAACAGACTCCGTTTGCGAGAGGCACCTGACCGCCATGCAGGGAGCCGCCGACATTTGCCATAAGCCCCTGTCGTGGGGGAGTTGGAGACCGGAGATGAAGCCGGGACGATCCGCTGCCTTGTGATGAGATTCGCGGCTTGGCCATCGCCCATCGGTGACGAACAGTGAAGATCTTCCTGCTTTCATGGAGGCGCGTCATGTGCATCGTCGTCAAGCGCAATTGGATTCGATCCACTTACGAGTGCTACGGAGAACGTCCTTACAGAGCATTAAAAGCATAGGTGTGCAGACCGGTTAATTCCACGGCTAAAGAGTTTCAGGCCCAGATCTACTTGGCAGGTACCTCAGACTCCACCCAAAGCCGCGCAGGCTAGAGGTATAGGTGGAGTACTTTCACGCCACAATGCGGGATTGCCTTTCGCGCCTGTCAATCGCTGCAGGATCCAGACTCCTGCCTTGAATCATTTGGGAGTGTGTAAAGGCACAATGGCAGGTTCATCGGGCAACGACGGGCGCGAACAGGTCGAGTGCAACAAACGAAGGATTATGCGGTGGGCACCAGATGACCGATGCGCTGGCAGCGAGAATGCACATAGTGGGCTGCGCGTGATGTGGTTCGTTCTTGGACAAAGGTTGGACAAAGGACTGCTATTCGCACAAAACCGTCACAGTTGCGACTAAAAGGCGTGGGCGTGTGCGAGCTGGTTGCGCATTGCCGCTGGCCTATGACATATCACATTCTAGGGAGAGCACCGCAATGCGATTTGCTCCTCCCACGCCGATGCCCGATGTATGTCACATTCATTCTGTGTTTGGAGAGCGTAGCCGGACAGTGTCGCTCGCAGGATCCCATCCCACGAATTCAATGAAGTCAATGACCTTGTCTTGTGCGTTGTCGAAACTTCCATGTGAAGCAGCATCAGCAAAATCCGCCAATGACAACGAGCAGTCGTCTCGCGTGCAGGCAGCGCCACATATGGGCGCCTGTTCCTCCCCAAAAGCATGCGTCGCCGCGCCGCTCTGGCAGCAGACAATGCGAACAAGATGTTCAACGTTCTGGACATCCCAGATGTATGAGAGACGATCTAGCGGAAGGAGTACACTAGCAGCAGCAGCAAGATGCCCCATGTCAGAAAGGATGGTGTGAGGGTCTCGACTCGAGGCATCCGATCACGAGTAATGGCCCAGATGGCAGGTTCCGCGCCATAGACACTTCGCCGTCCGCATCCCAGCCATGTGGTGAATTGCCAGAAATACACCGCAGAGGACCCGACAGCATCTTCGGGATGGCGCTCAAGTCCCGTGGGCTTGCAGCAAACCGCAGGCTGTACCTGGTTGCAGCACGTCGTTGGCGCATCTCGTTTAACATAGTAGCATTGCTGTACGATGCATGAGCAGATGACCATTCGGGCAAACCACTGGAGGAGAGGCGCAGCCTCTTTCAGCTACTGATGGGCAGAGTTGATGGACGAATCGCCGAGCCGCATGTGTCTTACTCTGAGAACAACGGCGTCGGTACGCTTCGGCCCATGACATTCACCAGCCGTCTGCGACATTGACATGACAGCGATCGAGAAGTGCGGTCTGCAGCCACCACTTCATCTCTATCTAGGACAAGACAAACACGGAGAGTGATCGTCTTGAGCCAAAAGGTCGGGACGCGCTTCCGCCGCTGAACTAATGCATTACGGGGGGGATTATGGGAGTGCCGACCCCTGGTTGCGAGGGTGATACCGCAGCTCAAGCGGTTGCGGTCAAGGTGCCTGCAGCGTGTAATCAGTCGTTGCGAGGATGTCCGTCTGACAGTCACAATTACAACATGGAGTGTACACAGTTACTTGCTGTACGCAGTTGCATCAGAAGACGCCACCTGCAGCGCTGATGGGCGAGCGGCTTTGCCCCCACGCTGCAAGCTGCAAGCCGAGGTACCTCGTCCCGATGGCAGATACCGAACTTGCTTCCGATTGCCCGTTTGCAAAGTCGAACAATACAGTTCAGGTGACACCTCCCAAACGAACGCTACTCTGGGGATTAACGGAAACAGCTCGGATAGGCTGGGTTCAGCAGCTAACGGACTGCCGTGGTGTTAATCGCGACCATCTTCCGGGAGATCTTCCCCTGCCCGTTAATGGAGAAGAGTCTCGTTAGAGCGTAGCATTAAAGTCTAGCAACGCCTACCTCCGTATGCGAATGATCAAATCCTCTGCGCGTCCTGGTCCATGCTTTTGCGGGTGGTGTGTTCCGGGACACTAAGCCCATTCTCCCGGAATGTTGGCTTTTGGTAGTAGATGCAAGCCCAGAAACAGGGCTGCTCTGGCGCGGCAGCGGTGGGACGCTTCGGTACTGCGCTGTCATGTCAGACCTGCGTGCTCTCTTTATGTAGTAGCAGCCTCCCTGTCCCGTTGCGGTGAATGACAAAGGCTCTTCTCCCACACCTGGCACCACCGTCGCTGCTTCACACGTTCACCGCCACCGCAAAACACGAACACGAGAGTATTCGTGCAAAAGCGGCGAAGTCGCTTCCGTGATCGTGTTTTAGCCGCGGATTGGAAAAGACACGGGCCTAATAACCCATTTCGAGAATCGCCGATGCGCAGCGCTGTACCTAAGTACTCCACAGCGTGGTGCTTGTGACGCACAAAGCCCGCAAACAACCCTTTGAAGAACCACGCGCTCAACACACCATCTGGACTGCTCTCTACCCTTATTGTCGCTCGCTATACGCGTGCGCAGATACCGCCCACGATGCCGTTCAGACCAGAACACTCGCTGTTGAGGGTGGAAGTCCCGGCGCTGCATACAATTGATACTAGTAGTGTGGAGAATCTCTTTGGAATGGTAGGTCCAACCAAAGGCCACCCAAATGTAGCCATGCGGACTGACTTTCTCTCTCGCAGTGGTCACTCTTTTCAAAAGCATCACATGCGATGGAGGACGGCAAGAGGCTGGAGAACTTGAGCTGGCGATTATGGAACCGAGAAACATTCTGTTGCGCGCCCGAGTCGCAAGCGCGCTCCACCCTCTCGCCACGATGTTCGTTCACGCCCAAGCCGAAAGCAGCAACGACCAACATTCCAGCAGTGCCGGAACTGTCGACCAGCTTTGACTCGGCAGTGTCAGATGACCTTAACGACGAAGACATGTCATCACTAACCGCCACCACAATTCCAAATACACGGCCGAAGCTGCGAAGAGACGACTCTACAAGCAGCACAAGCAGAGGTCGTGAGAAGCATATTACGCCCATTGACCTGGAGAAAATTGTCATCTCCATCAAAGAAACGAAGCAAATCGAACCGATCGAGCTGCCGATCGCGACGCCTTCCATGAGATTCACTAACCCACCTTCCACCCATACACCGCAGAACACTTCAAGCGACCGTCAATGTACGCAATCCTCGCAACAGGCCAATACATTGCCACAAGTAGAAACATCACAACCATCCATCCTGGAGTCTTCCGCATCTACCGTCGACACCAATGATTCGCAAACATCGCAGTCTCAAATTGTAGGCTCCGAGGACAGCTCCAGCACCGAAATGAGCACTCACAGCGTTGTCCGCGGCTTCGTGCCTGGTGGCGCACCTTCATCATACCGCTCACAAACCCATCTTGCGGCTCAGCCGACGCCGATACTGAAGACGTCGCCTCAATACCAGCAATCGCAACCTCCAAAGAAGAAGGCACCAATGTTCGTCATCGGCACCTCATCCGGCGATGACGAGAGCTCACTAGAAACACGGTACAAGAGCTCACTCTCCGACGGCTTGAGGCGAAATGATGGCAGCGACAGTAGCAATGGCAGCAGGAAGCAGACGACCTTTAAGGACGAAGTCGCAATCGGCAGAGCAGCAGAGCACAGCCCTGTATTCGAGTCGGATGACGAAGAGGACGAGATCTCAGAAAGCGCCATTGAAGAAGAGGATGACTCGTCAGACTGGGAAGATTCAGATGAGCAGAGCGGTCCGTCGTCGGTCAACGAGAAAGAGCTCTTCCAGCGAGTCGACTCCAGACCGAATCTGACCTCGCGGCGATCCCTTCTAACGACACTGATGCACGAGCCTGATCGCGCGAAAGCGCTACAAAACGCAGCTTCGAGATCCACTCCTGCGCTACGCCGCTCTCGTACCTCAACACCAAACGGACCTTCAGTTGCCGCCTCGCCAGAGCCAGGCGTGCAACTACCCATGCCTGGCACAGAGTCACGTCCTCAACCTATTATCATGACTACATCAAACACACATACACCACAGCTAGCTCTCTCGCCACGTACAACTCGTCGCAATATGCTCTCTACTGAACTGACGGAGTCTCTTCGCAAGAATCTCCTCTGGGAGCGCCAGCATCGAAGTACCGGCAATCTTGCAGCACTCAAGCGTAGACACACCGCCCAGGATATGACGAAACTGAAGCAATTGCCTGAACCAGTGGCTCTATCGCAAGGCGAGAGATTGAAGAACCTCAACAACGACTATTTCCATGCCGGCCTGCAGGAATATCATGCCAAAGGCTGGTGAACTACGTCAACATATTGTTTATTTCCTGCGTTCTAGCCATTGATCTTTGAAGGCGAATAGACTTCAAGCGACAGCATACAACCCCTGGATGGGTTCCAGAATAGCATCCTCACGGGACTGGGTATGGCGCATGGCTTGACTGGCCAGTTACGGCATTTCGGGGGCAAAATTGCAACTTTAAGATACCAGCATCGGCACTTTACAGTTTCTACGGCCGCTCACGGCTGCTCGCAACACGCATGGTTGCGCCGGCAGCCACAATGTACTACCAACAGCAGTATCACAACAAGTGAGTGTACTCATACTGGGCCGCACTAGAGAGACGACCAGCCATGCGGTTGGTGATCGATACTCAGGAGACGGCGCCGCAATGGATGAGTATGTGGCGCCACTAAGCTGCCCTGTTCGCATAGTAGATGGTAGCCAAACGATAATGCAAAGAAGCAGCGTCGAAAGGCACTGCTCTCTTCTCGCTCACACCTTGCCCTCCATTTGCAGTGTTCCAGAACCGGTGAGAGCATGTGAGCGCAGACCGCCCATTCGAGTCACTTTCAGCGTGCATACAGTGATTTACAAGGTGCAGCAGCCTTGCAGCAGCCTCGCAGCGCCAGCACCGGCGCTTCTGCAAGCCATGCAGCAGCCAGGATGAGCACTCTTCGTTCCCATTTGCCATTCGCAGTCAGCTGTCCTCTATCCTGCAACCGCGGTTACGGAGCACACAACGTTACAGCGCGCGGTACGACACATGTAACTCCGAGCTCACGCACGATACGTGGCCTCCGGTTGTTGGGATAATGCAGCTTAGTTGAACAGGCTTGCAAAATTCGCTTGCGAGAACGAACTGACCGAGCACTTACCTCAGGCTGTATTGACTGTTGTCATGTCCTTCCCACTCTGGTCCCACCGGGACCGTATTTGAACGCTGCTACTCCATGTCCATGCCTCGACAGCCTGCTGGTTCCACTTCGCCGAGCAGAGTGTTCACTATGGAGATGGGCCCGGTGGAGGACTTCGCCGCTTGCTCCACCCGGCACATCTTTGGTCGAAAACTTTCGGCTCGCGCTAGAAGACTGTCATCGGGCGAGTCCGGTATCGAATGTCCTCGTGAGTTACGCGTCGCTTACCTTGTGTCTCCTCAAAGTCTGATGAGTGGACTCGGCTTTACTGCGTTTGGCTGTCGCACTGACCGAAGCGTGCAAAGCCTTGATGCAAGCGCACCAAGCTCGGATGACAAGGTTCTCGCGTGATCCTGGTACGCACATGATATTTACCTGCCGCGTCCATGTATACATGTACAGTACATGTACATCCAGAGCCGAGCCTTGAAGTGGCTGAAGGTGTGGAAAGTGCTCCCTGACTCGAACAAAGCGCCACAGTAGAGATCTTGCTGCGCTTCTTCAAGACTTCAGCACCTGTATGCATGTGTGTGAAGACGTGGGACTTGAACAACACTTCGCTGCTTTGGACAAAGACGTCAGTCCTGTCGAATCCTCGTTTGCTTGACCACAATCGTTTGTGCCCTGCAACAGCAGACTCCTGATATTGATGCAGCGATCCATCTAGACACCCAGTTGTTGTCGCGCTTGTGTTGACGAGCATTCATCGACAACTGAGCGAGGATCACGCCGCGCCTCAAAGAGGAGATGGCAGCAGCCTCTAAACAAGAAATGACATCTCAAGACGAGGCTGCTTCAACAGCAACCTTGCCGAATTCGACGAGAAAGCCAAAGGTGTGCCATTTCTACAACACCAAAACCGGTAGGTGAGAGTTCCAGAACTGCTTCGTGGGCAGAGACATGCCCACCTTCTGCACTGAGCGGCCTTCTTATCATGGCAATTGCCCATGATTTGACTCTTTCTCTTCAGGTTGTTGACCTATACGCATAGGCTGTCGAGCAGGAAACGCCTGTCGCTTCCTCCACGTGCAAAACCAGGAGGCGCATGGCAAATCCCAACCGGTTGCTCAAGATGGCCAACCCTCAGACATTTGCACTGTGCCTTTCGAGGCGCAAAGCTCAAACCAGACTGTCACGCGGGCAAAGGTGGTTGCTAGGCCTGTACCGCAGGCAGAGACAGCAGACCCGCGTGCTTTCCAACTTGCGCAGATTCAGCGTCGCTTCAAGCCTTCAGTTGTTGAGCGCGAAGATGCTACGGTGCTTACGTTTGGCATGAAACCTTCTGATCCGGACTTTCCTTACGAAATTGACGAGCTTGAGTGTGTTCTTAACGTACCGAAAGTCTTTCCAGCTGCGGCAAAGCCGCAACTGCGAGTCGCTAACAAGGATATACCGCGCGGCTTCCAGATCAACATAGAGCGTGGATTCGACGCCATCGCTGTCGCTACGCCTACAGCTACATTGCTTAGCATTATGAACCGACTAGACCGGCAATTGGAGACGATTCTCGCAGGTCGCACGGCGGAGACTGTCACGATTGTGCCAAACAGGCTGCCGGTATCAGTCAAAATAACGACGCCAACCCCCATTGCTGATAATGTACGCAATGCTGAGCCCAGTGTTGGACAAATTAGACCAAGTGAGGAGGAACGAGCTGCCGCGCACGCAAGGCGTCAGGCTCATACTAGGCAGCTGGAGGCTCGCTTCAGCCGGCTACCGTCTTTCCACAAAAGTGCCGATGGTCAGCTATATACCCTGCCATTGCTCTCACAGAAGAAAGCTACGTGGCCACCCTCGCTGCAGGCGCTTGCAACTTTTGATCTGCAAGTCTCCCAGCAATACCCTCTTGATCCCGCAACAGTACGTCTAGTAACCGATAGCGAGGATGCCAGAAACGTTGAAGAGGCCTTCAAAGCCTTTTCCCGCGCCGCTGGTGGTCTTTCTTTGACCCAGCTTGCGAATCACCTCGTCCAGCACCTGCCGGACATGGCGAAAGCGCCAACAGCTAACCTCTCAGGGACTGCTCCGCTGGGAGTCAAGCAGTATAGTGCTACAGCCCCTCCCGTTCCTGAAGCGCAAGCTGAGCAGCAGCCTTTGGATTCTGTCTCAGCTGTCCCGCCACACCAGTCTGCCACAGGCGGAATCGGAGACCGCACACATATCCATATCATACCTCGCCCGCCCGAGTGGGGTCAGCAGCAAGCGGCTCATGATAGCAGCAGCGACGACGAGACGGACAGCGATGATTATACAACAGATGAAGCCGAGGAAGCTGGACATCATGACGAGCACGGTGACTCGTCTGCGCCTGCTTCGACTCCATTAGAACGTGGTATTTTGCTGTCATTCCCACACATGGAGCTCTATGGCATCGAGCTCCTGGAAATCACATCACTCTCTATAACGATCAAATGCGAGCGCTGCAAAGACACCATGGATGTCCAGCGTCTGCGCAGCTACTCTGGAGACGTAGCAAGCATGCGGCAAGAGACCTGCAAAAAGTGTGCAAGCGTGCTAGCTGTCGGCTTCAGAGCGGATTTGGTCCATGCCAATTCCGTAAGAGGTGGATATTTGGATCTCGACGGTTGCACCGTCATCGACATGCTCCCGAGCAACTTCACTCCCACATGTGCCGAATGCTCAACGGCCTTACCTGCGCCAGGTGTGGTCTCCGTAAGGGGCGACTCAAGCTTCGCAATCTGCAGAGAGTGCCACCGTAAAATGAGTAAGCCTCCCATTTAGCCGTTGAAGTTGGAATGGACTAACCTCCCAAGCCTTCCGTATCGTTGAGGTGAAGTTCCTGCAGGTCAGCGCAACCGCCAGTACGTATTATGACCTGCTCCGAATAGTGACGAAAGAAGCTGACGCGAGGGATTAAAGTAAGAGCAAGCAAAGCCTTTGGCCAAAAGAAGGTACCGTCGCCTGCTCTCGAACGCACATCCGACCCTTGCTAACAGTCCTCAGAAAAAGGAGAATCTCGGCATCACAGCTGGCACCCAGCTGCCCCGGCGCGGTCGCTGCTCGCACTATGCAAAAGTCTGCAAGCACAACCACATCTTGATCATATGATACCTTTGGCTGACCGCTTTGGCAGAGTTACCGATGGTTTAGGTAAGGCGCTGATTGAACCTCCCCACGCCGTGGCGAAGCGCCATCGTTGCTGGACGTGTCTGAACGAACAGTGCGCTAACGGAGCTGCAACCATGTAGATTCTCCTGCTGCTCGAAAGTCTTCGCATGCGACCGGTGAGTAAGCGCAGCGAAGCAATGGAGACTCCTCTACATTCCTGCATCCGGAGAACGAACCGGACATTGTCTAGAACCCAGTAAAACCACGACAGTAGCGCTGACATGGCGTCGCAGTTGTCACGATGCAGCTTCGGACCATGCAAATGAACACGCGAATAGGATGATATGGTAAGCGAGCAGCGTTGCATTTCCACCCCAGCCATATCAGGCTTCCGCGGACGTGCAGTTTCTGTACCGGACCAGTGGTCCGCATAATTCCACATTGCAGATTCGGACACAGATTTGGACTCCGCCGACTTGAGTAACTCTGCTGACGCACCTCTAGTGGTTACTGTAAGCTTACGCACACCCAACCCAACCGCACACGATTCGGCTACTGTGGCGGTGCTCTTTGCAGGCCCGCAAGCCTCGTCTCGGGGAACCACATACGTGTTGACTCATGTTCTAGGCTCTCGGGAACAGAACTTCAGGCCCGAAGACTGCGGTATCTGCCACGCAGATCTGGTCGGCAAGCGCGGCCGCGGCTTCTGGGAAGGTGGCAAGGGCACAAGGGATCCCGTGCGGATGAGCAGGAAAGGTAGGACTTCTGCTGTCCGGCACAACGTCAGGCTGAAACTTGTACTGACGCCTGGATAGATCCTCGAAAGTACAAGCGGAGACTTGGAACAAAGCCGAAGACGTGAGGGGCCTTGGAGGTTCGCCAGGCAATATAGGCCTTCGGCAACTGCATAGAAGCGTGTTTGGGGACCGTTTCCACAGTGCTTCGATCGCACTGGCGAGTACTCGAACAAGCTACGCTCAATATCGGAACGTGCAGACCTAATGATAAGTTCAATAGTGCCATGGCAGCTGACCACGAACTCGTAGATGAGTCTGTTCGGATCCGTTGTCTGACAAGGTCTGCGACTTCGACTTTAGTACATCGTATCTGTATCGCTCGTTTTACATATCGCATGCAGATGTCTATGCTGACGAAACGCCACGCTATGCAAACAGCCGCACCGTGCTTCCAGCACACAGCGAACAGCATGCTCATCTCACGCATTCACGTCTAGAAGTCGTTGTCGTCGCTGCCAGCAATGATGACATTGTTGACTTTTAGCACCATCCGACACAGCTGCGTCGCCAGTAACAACTGTTGCCGCTTCGAAATCAGCGGATCGATAACGAAGTGCTGCTTCATGTCTGCGCAATTCGTGTCAGCCTTGGCATATACCAAAACGCTCGATATGTGAAGCCGACTTACCATTGCTGCCGGTGCCCATACAGTCCACGCCCAACCTCCCCTGCCCTTCTCCCTTCCCTTGCCGCGCCTTAAGCTCCGACAACGACTCAATAGGCGACAACCCACTATTCTCCGCCAGCGCCATGGGAATTGCATCCAGCGCCTCCGCAAACGCGCGCATACTATATTGCTCCAACCCCGTCTCCCCCAACGCCGCCTTCTCCACCGCCAACGAACACGCGATCTCCGCCGCGCCGCCACCATACACAATCCGATTGTCCTTGACCAGATTCCGCACCACGCAAAGAGCGTCGTGGAGCGAGCGCTTGGCCTCGTCAATGATCATCTTGTTGCTGCCGCGAATGAAGCATGTAACGGCCCGGCTGTTGGCGCAGTCCTCGATGATGACCATCTTTTCCCGCGTCGTGCCGAACGACATTTCGCGGACTATGCCCGCTTTGCCGAGCTTCGACGCGGACAGGTCTTCAAAGCGCGGGACGATGCGGCCGTTGGTGGCAATAGCGATGAGTTCGATCTCTGGGCCGCCGACCCATCGGACCGCGGGGAGCTCGTTGGTGAGGAGGAGATGGTTCGCCTCGTCGTCGAAGCCCCATTGACAGATCACGACGTTTGCGCCGGTGTCTTTGATCTGCTTAATCATCTCGGTGAATTTGGCTTGTTCGTACTTTTGGAGCTCTTTGAACTCTGATACGCTAGTGATGTCCAGCTTGTGCTTCGTTTTCGGCTTTGGGGGCTCGAAGGCGCAGGTCAAGATGGCGAGCTTGGCGTCCTTCACTTCGCTTGGCATCTGAGGATGTGAAAAGTCCTTGTCGACCACCACGCCGTTGACGAGGATGCTGTCTTCGAGCGAACCGCCGACTTTGCCGTCGACCTTGATTAGTTCGAAGTCGACATCCTTCCGCTCGAGGTCGGCTACCGAGAGTACAGCCTCTACTGCCATGGCGGCGAATTGGTCGTGTGCTTTGGACACGATCTTGCTGCCCAGGGAAGTCTTGGCAACGCGGGATAGATTAGTAGTATCTTGTCTCGAGAAGGAGATGGTGTCTGATATCTTGTCCAGCTCGGCGACGGCAACCTCGCAAGCTGCATCGTAGCCGTCTGCTATCCGTATCGGATGGATGCCCTTGTCTATGAGCTCTGCGGCTTGCTCTAATAGTGCGCCAGCCAACACGACTACACCCGTCGTGCCGTCTCCAATCTCTGCATCCTGTGACTGTGATAATGAAACCAGCAGCTTGGCGATGTGGTTGCTAATCTCCATTTGCGACATAATGGTGGCGCCATCGTTGGTCACGGTGATGTCACCGTCAGGCGATATCAGGATCTTGTCCAGCCCGCGTGGCCCGAGTGAAGTCTTGACGATGGAAGAGACGGTTCGAGCGGCGAGGATGTGCGACTTGACCGCTTCGATGCCGTGACTGCGCTTCTTCCTGCCTTGATCGCGTACGATGATGAAGGGCCGCCCGGACTCATCTTTCGCTATTTGTGCTGTACAGATACGTTAGCGGACAAATCCCACAGCATGGCCAGTGTGGTACAGCATCGGTATAAATGGGCCATACCGTTGCTCAGATCGATCTCTGTACGCATCGTCAGCACTTGCTTGAGTCTATTACGTGTTGATGAATGGGCGATTGTCTCTTACGCATGGGACCTGCCGCCATCCTGACTCTGACACTCTCTCAATTCACCCCAAGCAATTCGTTCACTTTAGGCAACTCATTCACTGCCGACCGCAGCTTTGCCAGTATCTGATTCTCGTTCTCGTTCTCTTCCACATGCGAAACTCCTCTTATCTACAACAACACGACGAAGTCTTTGTCTCTCACCAGAGTTCTTTGCAGGGTGGGTGGTAAGGTATGTGTCCGCGCAAACAACACCATCTCCATCTCCATCTCGACGTCTCGAAAAATCCAGGTCGCGTGGAGGTGGCCCAAGCTTCCACTTCTACGCGACTGCGCTCCAATGAGCGCATCTTCTCCATCTCCTTCATCTACTCATTGAACACTTCACTTCACTTCACTTCTCTCGCCTGCACCAGCCTACTTCCCTCGCATCTCCGTCCTCATCATTGACGCCACGTATGAAGGACTAAGCGTAGAGGGCGTCAACGCGTCAAAGCTACCACAAGTGGAGCAACTGTAACCATCAAGCGCGCCAAAGCCCACACCAATATGCCACGTGAGTCTACCACCCGTCAGGTCCGCTCAAGGCGTTTACTGACTATCAGACAGCTGCGCTATCCGACGACGAGTTCGACGACGACGACGATGTCCCCGACCAGATCCCCGCGCGCCAAACAGCCAAGCTTGAACCTAAGCTGCCCGACGTTGACGACGAAGATGGCGAAGAGGATGAGGCGGGCGAAGAAGAGTACCGTGTGGAGAAGATAGTGGCTCACGGCTTCGAGGAGGACGGCTCAGTGAAGTACAAGATCAAATGGCTGGGTTACGATAATGAGGACGACATGACATGGGAGCCTGTGGAGAATCTGTATGGTGTGAAGTAGCCTTGGCTCCGTCATGCGAGTGCTGACCGTGACTGCAGCGAAGGCGCGCAAGACGCGCTCAAGGCATACCACAAGAAGATCGGCGGCCCACCGCAACTTCCGAGTGCCATGTTGAAGAAGGGCAAAGGTGGCAAGCGAACAGCAGAACAAGCCTTCGACTCTCCAGCTCAAGCGTCAAGTGGTAAGAAGCGTGGCCGGAAGTCTGCCAACGGCACTGCGGAAGAGCCAGTGGAAAGAAGCCGCCAGCTCCCCATCGGCTCCTGGGACGACCATGTCCTTCGCGTCGCATCTATTATCGAAGAAGCTCTCGAAACACATACCTCGAAGGGAGTGAAGGTCGAGAACAGGGAGCTCATCGGTCTCCTTATGTGGAAGGACAACGGCCCGAAAACCCAGCACAAGATGAACATATTACGAACGAAGTGTCCGCAGCGGTTGCTGGATTATTATGAGCAACACCTGTAAGTCCTCAACGTCCTCAATGGAATGGCGAGCTGCTAAGCTTTGCAACAGGAGGTTCACGGACTGATCGATGGCTGCTAGAGTCTTCGCGAAGGAGGAACTGTAATCGTTCACAATGGAAGCGATTCTCGAAGGAGAGAACCGGAATGAAAGCTACGAAGTTACTTCGAAACTCCCAGCGAAAAAGCTGGCGTTGTCCGGTACGCTCACAGCACAACGTTGTGCTTACAAGCAGGACGCGAACGGACGTGCGACACCATGAGCTGTTGCTGGCCTCGGTCGCCTTGCTGCTGCTACTGACAATGGCGACCTGCACGATCATGTCACATGCCCGTGTCTCCGGAGTACATTCATTCTCCATGCAGCATGACTCGCAGCACAACACCCGCGGCCAATCAGCGTTGTCAGACTTCCTCAGCAACGCCGAAACGGCAAAGTCGGCAACGCAATGCGCCGCCGGCAACTGCAGGCTCTAGATATGACTGTTGGTGAGTTACTTGAATATTTTTTGGTCTCACACGACTCCATACGTTTTCTGTAAGTCTTTCCATCCACTCTACAGGAAACAGAGAAGCATAGCATTTTCTTTCAAGTGTCGTGCGTGAAGCCGACATCGCTCGCTTTCCCCGCCACGTTTTGGACCCATGGTATCTCCATAGCATTCTCCATAACAGCGCCTCGGCTCGAATGCGTGGTCAGCAAGACGATGACACTTCCACGAAAGTGCCGGCTTCCGCGTATCCGGAAAGAGAAATAGACAGCGCGGCTACTACACTAATCGCCAGCGCAGCGTCGTCGAAGTCCCACAGCTTCGATGAACGGCGCAAGTATGCGGATATAGAGTTGGAGAAGTTCGACGCAAAGACCCTGCGTCGCGACGAAGCGGATGAGCGCTTACTGGACCATGAGGACGATGACGATGAAAGGCATGAGCACACGCTCGCGGACGAAACGGCAACCTTGTTGAACACCATCCCAGAAGCGGCCGAAACGGCACGAGTCGACGAAGGGGAGCCGCCGGCACCACCACCATCGACCGACAAGAAACGAGATGGACCGATCTCATGGTCTGCCCTCCCGGCGAAAGACCAGCTTGCGATCCTCACGCTCGCACGGTTGGCCGAGCCGCTTGCGCAGACGAGCTTGCAGGCATACATGTTCTACCAGCTCAAGTCCTTTCACGCTCCCGGTCAGCCTCCGCCGTCCGACGATACCGTCGCAAGACAAGCGGGCATCCTCTCCGCCTCCTTCGCTGGCTCGCAGTTCTTAACAGCCATCATTTGGGGTCGCCTCGCTGATAGTGCTTGGTTTGGCCGTAAGCGCGTGATCTTGATTGGCGTACTCGGCACCGCAATTGGGACCGTAGGTTTCGGCTTCTCCAGCAGCTTCGCAATGGCGGTCTTCTGGCGATGCATGGGTGGCATGCTGAACGGGAATATTGGAGTCATGCGGACCATGATCAGTGAGATTGTGCGGGAGAAGAAGTACCAGAGTCGTGCGTTCCTGCTCATGCCTATGACGTTCAACATCGGCGTGATTATCGGACCGTTGCTGGGTGGGCTGTTGGCGGATCCAGTGGGCAGCTACCCTCATCTGTTTGGTGAGAATGGAGGAGGCTGGTTGCGGACCTGGCCGTATGCGTTGCCGAACGTGGTGAACGCTGTCTTCTTGTTCTGCGGCGCCATGAGCGTGCTGCTCGGTTTGGACGAGACGCACGAGTCGCGCAAGGATAAGCCGGATTTCGGCCGTCGGGTCGGAAAGTGGATTGCTAGAAGTGTGTTCCGACGGAGACACGAGCAAGCGTACGAAGCACTTGCCGGGCACGAGACTGCTGCGGAGGATATCGAGCTGGAAGCGGCGCGCATTAGCCACACCAAGCCTCCTCCGAGTGTTCGCCACAGACTGCCATTCCGCCGTATCTGGACTACCAATGTGCTGTTCACCCTTGTCGCTCACGGCTTACTGGCTATGCACGTCGGTACCTTCAACAACATATGGTTCGTCTTCCTCTCAACGCCTCGCTATTCGCCAGGCACTACGAACAACGACGGTAACAGCACGACGCTGCATCTCCCGCCGGGCTACCACCAACACTTACCCTTCACTTTCACCGGCGGCCTAGCGCTGCCCCCTCCCAGTATTGGCACCTCTCTAGCGATCCTCGGCGTCATCGGCATTAGCTTGCAGCTTTTGCTCTACCCAACATTGAGCTACAGACTCGGCACGCTTACAAGCTTCCGCGGCTCGCTTCTACTCTTCCCCTTCTCGTATCTACTCGCGCCTTACCTCGCCATGATCCCATCCATCAACCCGCCACCCGGCCAAGCCAGTGGTGCGCTAGTCTGGATCGCAATCACGGTCGTGCTGCTGATTCAGGTGACGGCGCGGACATTCGCACTGCCTTCCACCGCCATCTTGGTGAACAATAGCTCGCCTCATCCGTCTGTCCTGGGTACAGTGCACGGGATTGCGCAAACGGTGAGTTCGGCGACGAGGACGGTAGGCCCGGCCTTGATGGGCTGGATCTATGGGATTGGCCTTCAGCATGGCGTTGTTGGCACGGCGTGGTGGTCTATGACCGGTATCGCGGTTGTTGGGGCTTTTGCTTCGTTGTGGGTTAGGGAGGGGAGCGGGCATGAGATATGGCTTGAAGGGGAGATGGAAGAGGAGGGGAAGGGGTAGCTTGAAGGTATCTGTCTATCTGCCTGAAGCGCTCTGTGTTTTCGCGTCTTATACATTTCCCCATACCCCGTTTGGATCTTGGTCTCGCGCATCTGGAGCGATGAATGAGGGTTGGGTTCAGCATGACCGTTTGGCTAACAACGGGTTCCAACGGTCGGTCGCACCGAAACATCTTGGCGTCTTTGAGATGGCATGCAGGCGGATCGTCGGTGGCGCACGACCCCTCACACAGCTCGCGTGCCCGTTTCAACACGTCCATTATTGCACTATAAAAAGCAATCGTGCTTCATATGGTCATCACTACGCTTTCGACGGCGAGAGCTCGAGCACGAGAAGACATCCAAGCACTGTCGTCACTGATAAGTCGAGATAGCGTCCGCTAGAGCCATTGGCAGGCCCTAGCGACATCGGCAACTAGCACCGGGTGACTCTTTTGCGGCGGCATGCAGAGTTCACGATGCTGGGCAAGAGCGTCATCTGGAGGTCGCGGAGCTGTTGTTTGACACGACTCGGTCTCAGACGAAGTGCATATTCCTCTGCATCACCTGCTGTTCTATTCAGTCGTGGACGTGCTGCCACCATGCCCTTGAGCGGACCCTTGGGATCGCTACCTCTTCCGTCATTCCTGGAGAAGCGCTTCTTCTCTTCAACGCCGCGGATACGGAGCTTGAACGTTGACAACATCAATCAGAATGTGCGCAAAGCACAGTACGCCGTGCGTGGCGAGCTGGCTATCAAGAGCGAGCAGTACCGCGCCCAACTCAACAAGGGTGAGGGCAAGGACCTGCCGTTCGACTCTGTCATCAGTGCAAATATCGGCAACCCGCAGCAACTAGACCAAAAGCCCATCACATTCTTCCGACAAGTGGCGAGTATACTGGAGAACCCGCTGTTGCTGGAGCAGCAGGACGTCTTGGAGAAGCATGCTGGCTATAAAAGTGACGTGTTTGGGCGCGCGAAGAAGCTGTTGAAGGATGTCAAGAGTGTAGGCGCGTACTCGGCGTCACAAGGTGCGCCTGGCATACGACAGAGTGTGGCCGACTTCATTGAACGAAGAGACGGGTACCCTGCAGATCCGGCCAACATCTATCTTTCTGCGGGAGCCAGCTCTGGTGTCAATACCTTGATGAACATCATCTGCTCGACACCTCAAACCGGCGTCCTGGTCCCTATTCCTCAGTACCCACTGTACACTGCCACCTTGACTGTACTAAATGCGAAATGTGTTCCGTACTACCTGCACGAGGAATCGAATTGGAGCACAGACCTTGAGGGTATAAGACAAGCACTCCACCAAGCGCAAGATGAAGGTATCGATGTACGTGCTATTGTGGTAATTAACCCTGGTAATCCCACTGGCGCATCTTTGAAGCCGGAAGACATTACCAGCGTGCTGGAGCTTGCAGCAGAGGAGAAGCTTGTTTGCATTGCAGATGAAGTGTACCAGACAAACGTCTTTGAAGGCAAGTTCCATAGTTTTAAGAAGGCTCTTCGAGATTTGCAAAAAAGCGAGAAGAACAGCAATGGCAAGTTCAGCAACGTGGAGCTCGCAAGCTTGCACAGCATCAGCAAAGGCATGGTCGGCGAGTGCGGTCACAGGGGTGGGTACTACGAGATGGTCGGATTTGATCCAGAGGTAAGTGTTGCTGGCGTCGTCCACATGTGCGGTGCTGACGATATCACTTAGGTTATTGCACAGGTCTACAAGTTCGTCTCTATCATGCTGTGCGCTCCAGTTATCGGGCAATGCATGGTCGAGATGATGGTGAATCCACCTCGAGAAGGCGACCCTTCATACCCTCTCTACAGGGAAGAGTACGACACTATTTACAAGAACCTCCTCGCTCGGGCTCAAGCGCTTTACAAGGCTTTCGAGGAGATGGAATGCGTTTCCTGTCAGTCTCCACAGGGTAGCATGTACCTCTTCCCATCCATCACCGTGCCTCCGAAAGCCGTGGAAGCGGCGAAGCAAGCGGGAAAGAAGCCGGATGATTTCTATTGTCTCAGACTCCTGGATGCGACGGGCATCTGCATTGTGCCTGGTAGCGGGTTTGGACAGAAGGATGGCACGTTGCACTTCCGGACGACGTTCTTGGCACCTGGTACCGAGTGGGTTGGACGGATTACAAAGTTTCACCGGGAGTTCATGGACGAGTATCGGTGATGCTCGTCCCTGCATGTTGGTCATCTGTCTCAGCTTTGGCGTTAACGGCGTTGCTATTGCATAGCGGGGTCTTTGCGCTCGTCGTGTTCTTGTCTGGACGAATTACGACCGAAGGGCTGCGATATCTGGTCCGGATCTGCGACCGGATTCCCACCGATATGTACGCTGACATTCCCATACGACCTGGAGGAGCTGGGCACGGACTAGTCGAATAGAAGTGCCGTTGCGTTGTACGAAGGCAGGCCAGGCAAGCATGTAGATCCCCGCTTCTTCACGCAGTCTCGGCAGATCCTGAGCATGGCCGATTACCCGATCTGGGGCGTATTAGCAGCACGACCACATGTACATACAGTAAACTCTGGACGGGCACTATGCTTCTTGTTCTTCGTATAGACTACTTAGCCATAGCGCAAACACGACGCGCCTGAGCCAGTCTAATTCATCGCCTCAATCCCAATCACTGCTACGACATACACAACGTCCATCATGCCTGGCCTACTCAGTCAGTCACAAGACCCAGGAGGTTTCTTCCAGGTCAAAGGGCTGCACCCAACGTTTGGTGCAGAAGTCCACGGTGTCGACTTAGCAACGATCTCGGATGAAGCCTTTGCGGAATTGCTCACTCTCATGGCGAAGGTAGGTACGCGTTACAGTAAGCTGCAGACTACCGCTCAGTCCCTCTTATAGTACGGCTTCCTTGTCCTCCGAGACACGGGTCTAGACGACACAACACACGTCGAGTTTTCGCGCCGCTTCGGCGAACTTGACGACATTCGGCCCTACATGACCGGCGGTCGGAAACCGCGCTACGAGTACTACGAGCTCTTCGACGCAGGCAACGTTGACGCCGATGGCAAACCGCTTGCTGTGGATAGTCCAAGGTCTCACTACGGCAAGGGCAATGGCTTCTTTCATGTCGACAGCAGCTTCAATCCTCGACGCGCCTCCTACTCTCTCCTGCGGGCGTGCCGTCTACCTCCACCAGGTACGGGCGGAAATACCGACTTCGCGGACAGTAGGACGGCATTCGACACTCTGCCTGACGAGCTCAAGCAGCGCTTACTAGACAACCACTATGCTGGCTGCCATTCATTGCATGCAAGTCGCAAACGCGGATCGCCAGAGTTCTTCGCCGACCTCAAACCGGAGGACTTCCCCATGCATCGGCATGCACTCGTCCAAGTACATGAGTCATCTGATCGTATGAATCTCTACATAGGCGCTCATCTCCATCATATTAACGGTTTGTCCGATACCGAGAGCTGGCAGTTGATTTGGGCACTAACTGGGTGGGCTACGCGACCGGAGAATACGGTAAGTGTGGAGTGGGAGAATGAAGGCGATCTGATCATTTGGGATAACCGGGCTGTTTTGCACCGTGCGGCAGGTGGCAGTTATGAAGGTAAGTATGCAAGAGATCTGAGACGTACTACGGTCCATGATGCTTCCTCAACAGCCTGGGGGCTCAATGAGCAAGTGGATACACGGCCTGGGTTCAACAGTAATGGAAAGTCGCAGACCGCTAGGGCGCTGGGGGTTTGATTACTGCAGTACCATGGTCGAGGACTGATAGCTACAACGTAGGTTGCACCCTAGGTGTTCTGTACCCACGTCGTTGGAAAGCCTAGGTCGCCAAGTCTTGTTGAACAAAGGTATCAAGCACTGAGGTAGGGCTTGACTGACATCGGGAGTTCGTGCAACAAGGTGAGTGACGATATCTACTTACGATGGTTGACCGCGGTCAATGCGAGTCCTCTGGATACGGATGCCTAAGGACAGGTGAATGTAGTGTTGTGAATGACAGCTGTGTTGCGCTACGCAGCCCAGAGTCACTTGACCTGATAACACTTTACGAAACTGCTTATCCCCAAAACGGACGTCTTCCAGGCTCTCGATTGCTGCATTCGATCTCCACGGCAGAGGAGCCAGAATCGATAAATCTTGAGCCAGCCGCAGCCGCGCTGGATAGCCATGTGGTCCGTACTCGTGAGCAATAAGCAGGCGACGAAGCGCAAGATCGACGATGTCGGTGAAGAAGATGTGTCATGCAAGAAAGCTGCTCTCGAAGTAGAGCGGGTCGAAACCAACCGGATCAAGGAAGCTTTTGAGACATGGCAGTTGACGCATCAAAGAGCTTTGAAGGCCGACAGACAATATGCTGTTGATCTGCAACTCGCCTCCAACCTCAACTCAAGCGGTCAGCATCCAGAGCTTGCGGTAAGCATTTACGGATTTAGCTACGCCTATGAGATGCTACCTATGCTGATCTGTTTACAGCGGGAGCACAATACCAAGGCTAGGGTCTATGGCAAGCCTCGACTACTCGCCCTGCCAGGGATTGCGCGGAGCAACATCATCCGGCACAGTGTTGTGAAGAAGACCGGTATACTGATCGCAGCCAACGATCCGGAATCGGATGCCGAGCCTTGCCTTATGTCTCTATGCCAGCAACTCCGTACTGAGGCGAGTCCGATATATTACCGAGAGAACAACTTCGTCATCTACATCCGCAACTACGATATCGACTCCCTACTACCATGGCTGAAGCGCGCCGACAGCTTCAGGGATGGGGATGGGACACGATTCCACGTCAATGGAGCCATGGAGCTGGTCGGCGGGTATACGAGGTGCAATGGCATTATCACCATCCACACAGACGGTCAGCCGCACTGGGCTAACCTCGTAGAGTGGCTACGGCTTGCCCATGCCGGCGAAGTCATTCCATTGTGCGACAACTGCGAGGCTACCGGTTCTCAGATAGAACAGGTCAAAGGCGCCTTTGACCACGTTATGCAGGCCACGGCAAGCTGGGAAACAGTCGCAGAGGGTCTCAAGGGTGTAAGGCGCATCCTAGGTGCAACCAATCAAGGGTGGTGGGTGGATCACACATCATCCACCCCGACTGACATTCAGTCGGGCTTTGATGTCGAAGAAGAAATTAGGCCAGGGCTCCCAGTGGCGACGCAGACCAGCTTCGTGACTGCGCAGGAGCCCACCCGTATTATGCCAGATCACGGCTTGGGTGACGTAGAATACGAATCGCCTGGACTTTCCGTGTCTGAGATGGCGGACGACTTCGACTTCGTCGACCATGCGAACGGCATATATTGATCAGGATTTGCCATGGGATGAGGAAACGGTAAGGTTCGGCGTAGCGACACGGCAGGAGTCGTTCCCACGGACGGTTGCGAATATTGATGGAGACCTAAACTGTATGCTCGCAGCATGAGGCTGAGTTGCTGTCATGCAAACAGGTCGCTAGAACGCTTCGAAAAGTCATGTACTGTCATTCATGATTACATTCGCTCTGCTGGGCTTCAAGCATGGGTCTTGAAAAGCATGCGCAGGCCGCTGGGCGCCTTCGTAGCCTTCTCTCTGCTCCCACTCTTGTTTTTGCTACTGCTGCTCCTGCTGCCGTGCGCACTGCCTGTTGACCTTTTTCTGTGCTTCCTACTTCCGCTCGTCGTCTTCGGTTTCAGCTCAGCTTCTGTTAAGCGGCCTTCTTCAATCAACGTCCTGGTAGCCACCGGCGTGATGAACTCGCCGTCAACGCTAGTGCAGACACTCTCGGCTTCAGCTTCGGTAATGCCGCGCCGCCACAGCTCAATTCGATCAATCTCACGAAGCTCATCCATCTCTGACACCTGGCTCGGGCTGTCTGGCTCGTTGGCTACAAGCATGGGTTCGACGCGCGAAACACCGTCGATCAGGCGCCGCTCGTCTTTCTTTGCTTGAATCTTCTTGATGATCTTGTAGCCGCCGAATGCGATTATCGTAACGCCGACGCCGACACCTACTGCGATAGCAAACTCCGGGCTGGCAAGAAGAGCAAGGATGGCAGGAAAGGAGCCCTTCATCGACATAAGAGCACCTGGGGCAAGCTTGGTGGCGAGATTACTGATCTCGCCCAACGTCAGTGCCACAGCGGCGAGGTTATCCGGGTTCTTTTGCAGGTTTTGGATAATGGCAGTGGCGGAATGTTGCAAGCAATTGCACTCGTCCAGCAAGCGTTGTAGACCGCTCATCTTCGAGCGCAGCGCAACCTCATCGTCGTACTTGCGCTCTGGAAGCGGCGGTGGTAGCTCACCATAAGCGAGATCCATGTCTATACCATCGTAGCTGGCATTTCGAGAGTGCAGCACTGGGCGGTGGCGATGGAGCTCTTCGAGGTCTGAAGTGTGTCTTCTTGCGAGCTCGCCTATCCGCGGTTCTGCCGTTCCGAAGTCACTCGTTTCACGGCGCAGCGGTGATGGTCGATGCGAGCGCTCTGGCGAAGGCAGTTCGTTCGTGTAGAAGCTGTCAGAGTATCCGCGTTCGACAGGCGGGCGTTCTACATGAGGTTCAGGAACTGGCTTCCGTCTCACGACATTGCTGCCGTCACGCCTGGTCCTAGAACCCTGCCGGGAGCTCGTACGCGCTTCCAAGTCATCCGCCAAGCTCAGTGCTTCCAGCTGTCGCCTCGCATTTCGCTCGCCACTTCTACCGGCCTGGTCGCCCCTCCGGAAGGCGAGTAGCTCCGCTTTCTTCTCGTTGTAGGCACTCCTAGCCTCATTCCACACATTGGCAAGATTCTTCGATGTTTTCACAACCTTGCCGGACTGGTTCACAATCGTGATCGTCTGTCCAAGCACCATGACTGGGCCTATCGAACTCCAACTTGACGTAAGTATGGTGATTGCCCAGAAAGCTCCTGTTGTCTCTCAACTTGGTGCGATGCGACTATGCTTGTACAGTGTAGTTACTTGAAAGACTTGCTATAGTCGTATGTACAAATCGGTGGTCCTAGTAGGGCTCGTGCGCCCAAAATTGACAAAGCTCGGATTCGAACAAAGATCCTTTATCAGACAATGGCTGCGCAAGGTGAGGAAGCAGAATCGAGGAAAAGGGCGCCGGGATAGAGTATCACTTCACAGCCAACCGGAGAATCGGCGCGAATTAGTCCTCAAATGAATGGCCGGGCAGCGAATGGCGTGTCGATTGAATCTTTCGTAGGCTCTTCACTGACGATATTGGCGACTTTGCGAGCTCTCCACCGTCTGGTCTCGGATGTTGAGCTGGCAGCCCGCGAGTGGTCCGTCGAAGTGATTGGACGCCTGTGGGATCTTCTAGATTAGAGGTACCTACAAGCCTGCGTGAGTGGATTGCGGACCATTTTGAGGGAGAAGCAACGCATCAGTGAACATATACATTGGGCATCGCAGGCCACAAAGGCCGCGGCCGTGGGCTAAGCAGAGACATACATTCTCCCAACAGCTGAGCGGTCAGCGACGTCGATTGACTGACAAACGTGGCGCAAGCTCTTGTGGCTGGGGCGTTGCGCTAGCTGGAAAAGGGCTCATGCACGCGAAGTCTAGGCCTAGAAACAACATGAATGAGAGCAGATTGGAGGTCGTGGCAATGCAAAGCAGCAGGCTTGAGAAATGTTAATCACACTTGGTATAGCGCGAAATTGTAGCTTCTTCAGGTACGAACCTCACACACGCCGTGTAGGGGACATCAGTCGTGAACCCAGTCTGTTAGCCATGTAACTCCATACCCACCAAGTCCCGTGACCGCCAAATGCCCATCGTTCCCAACCGTAGCTGTTGTTCGTCGCTTGTGAGAAAGTGTTATAACGCCGGGGCTATGCATACTCCGAAACGCAACACCAGATAGAACACTGCGGGTCTGTCGTTGATTCAGGCTCCACAGATGCAGTCCACCTTACGACAAGTGGAAGGCGCCCTGCCCTTCTCTGATAGCGACTCCAAGCCTCTCCTTAAGCACTTCCATGGATGTGTAATCTGGCATCTTGAGATAGTTGACGCACGTCATGACACTCGGCAGGTAGTCGTCCGATGTCAGAGGCGGCTCGCTTGGCTTGCAAACGACAGTGAACATGGGCGTGAGAGCCTTGAAGCCTACGAAACCGTTAGCAACATAACAGCATAGGCTCCACTCAAAAGCACTTACCTCCAATCGGCAGCTTCGGACTGCCCGAGACAAACTGCAAGAAGTCACGCTTCGATTGTGGTGAAAGCTCCGACATAACTTGCAGCAAGTTGCGGACGCTCTTGCTGTCCAAGTTGTAGCCATGGTCCGCCTTTATCGAATCCATGAGCGTTTCAAGCGACCAGTCCTCCTCCACACGACCGAACAGCATAACGAGCTCGTCCGGCGTAAACGCCTTGAGCGCCGAGTATGGGAAGACTTGCGAGAAACCTGCGCGGAAAGCGTCAACCTGCCTCTGAACACCAGAGCCAAGTGTGCAGTCGACAACAGCGTTAATGTATTGTCCGACATTGTCGACGGTGACATTCGTGCTCGAGCCGCGTTCGATGAGGTCGATGTGGGGGTAGCCTGGGAGCGTGAAGTCAAGACCCAGGTCCTCTATCTTCGCATCATTAATACGGATTTCGTCGATCTTTTGCCGCTTCTGAGACGCTGAAAGCCCGTCATCTCCCTCAATACGCTGCTTTGCGCTGGCGTACTTCTTCAGCATCTTCAATGCTTTTGCCAGATCCTCATCGACAGCAGCCACCGCGCCGAGAGACGGCGCTACTGTTGCCGTACCATCACCGACGCGGAAGAATGTTGGATTGAATGACACATCGATGATGCGAGAGTCAATCATAGAGCGCGCGATAAACTTGCCGAGCATGGTGAAGAGATGCAGCACCTTCTTGCCGTTCTCGTTGTTCGCCAGAGTCTCGTCCATGGGTGCTGGGAAGAGGCCGCGCCTGCCGAATGCATAGTCGCCGTGGTCTCCGGAGTCGTTCTCGCGCCAAAGCTTGGTTTTCTTCTTCGAGAACTCCTTCGAAACGGTTGAGTAGAACTCCAGCGTCGGGCCAAGACCGGTGCCGACCTCCTCGAAATACTCGACCTCGAGAATGCTCTGCGAGCCACCATAGAGCTCCATAACCTTTATGGCGGACTCGAGGATGCGAGTACGCGAGATACGGACCTTCTGCCGCTGCAGTCTCCCAAGGAACGGTCTATCATCTCGGTTCCGGTGTCTCGAATCGTTCTCAGATTGCGAGCTTTGCCAGCGAGCCATTGAGCGAGCGTAGCCGAATGAGGTAGATTGCAGGAAGAGATGGCGTGTCTCGAACGGGAAGAGGAACGGGTAGAGGCGAGCCAAGTCTTCGCTCCAGCTTGGCAAGCATTGGCTGGCCACAATAAGAGGCTCCTCAAGCTGTCGATTGAGCTTGGCTGTCAATTTGGTATTGACGAATTGCGACAGAGGCTCTGCGTTGAGGTGGACTGGTTTCTTGTTCTCCGCCAATACATCATCCAGGTTTGCGTTCAGATCATGCAGAATACTCATCAAACGCAGAATGCCAGAAGTGATTGGGTTCTTGTCCAGCGACGGCGGCAGCCCATTTTCCTGCGACAACGGTGCGACTTCCTGCTGCGGTGTGAGAGCGGTACGCTCTGCTGGCGGCGGGCCCGGAACGCGTTTGAAATTGATCGTATGCGTAGCATGCCAGATATTGCGTGCGGATACATCATCGCCATGTGTCTGATTAAAGTGACAGGCACGGTAGATCGTGGTCTCGCTGGAGATTGGCTGGTCATTGATGCTGAATTCAATGTGCCAATCCTGCGGCGTTTGCTGCAATGCAGAAGCGTACGACAGAGCTCTGGTGGAAGAAGTTGGGGTCGACAGCATCTCGCGAGCCAGAGCCAGTCGTGCGGAGGCCGACAGTCGGTCTTTGTGAGTCGGTGTCGGCACCCCGTGGGAAGGAGTGCTGACGCGCGCCCCATCGTCCGTTCGAGCAGTAACCTTGCCAGAGTTGGCGACCTCTAAGTTTACTGCGGAAGGATCTGGCACATCCTGTCCGAGTCCGCCTTCTTCGAGATCGTCCACGAGCGCCTCAAGGTCCGCTTCGATGTCGTCATCATCCTCGTCCTCGATTTGGGCTTCATCTGCGCATTCCAGTGGATCTTGCCCATTTGCTTCGGGCTGCGCTGGGTCCGAGGGTACCGGTGGCGCCGGGACCAGTGACGATGGCTGCGAAGAGTGCCTCCTTGAGGATCGACGCAATCGGCTCGTCGCATCGTCAGGACGGTTGGCCTCTGACGGTACCGTAGGCTCTGACTTGCTGGACTTACTTCTTGATGGCTTGCTGGACGCTGTCCTTGTGGGCAAAGAGCTGCCAAGTGTTGGTAGCACAGGAGGCGGTGGGCCAGAGCGCGCACTCCGGCCAGCCATCACTGCAGCATACGCTTCCATGGCACTGGAAATACCTTCGCGACGGGCACGAGGCGCTCGCTCCGACAGGGTGATGCGGGGGCGTAGATAGTCGTCCAAAGCTTTAAACGTTGCGATGGCATGGATGGAAACCATGATGTTCCGGAAGTGACGTGGAATCCCCGAGTCGTCGTCAGCAATAAGCTTCAGACGGAGCTGCTTCGCGAGCATGGACGCTGCGCTGCTGCGGTTGCTGTCAAAAGCATTGTGATGAACCGTGATGACCTCAAAGTGCTCGGCGCGGCTGAGAAGATCTTGAAGCTTGAGCACGAAAACGCTGAATGGGGTGACTGGAGATCCAGCTGCACCGGTGGCGATCTTCGCTTTGCCATTCGCGGACATGAAGACCTCAAGGAAGTCTGAGCGTGCTTCTGTCGCGGCTTGCTCATGCTGATCATTGAAGAGTGCAAGGAGGACTTCCACGACACCAGACGTCATCAACTCGTAGCTTGTAATGCTCTCAAGCGCATCACCTTCGAAGTATGTGGCCAAACGCTTGAAAAGCTCCATGCCGCCCCGCCCGGTATGGCCGCTGTAGCAGGATGTGAGCTGGGAAGCCAGGCCACGAAGATCGTCCAGCACACGCGATGCTTTGTCGCGCATATCTGAAGTGCCTTCATTTCCATGAGCGTCGAGGAAGCGCTTTGCACGTTGCGTGATAACATCCTGAGGGTCATTGACATGACGTGGCCGTGTCGGAGACGGCTCAGACTCCACTTGTACACGGTCCTCCGCCGCATCATCATCCTCTTCGTTCTCGTCCTCGTTCTGGAGACGCCGTGCAATCTCTTCACGCACGTCATCTTTCTCCTCATCTCCTCCCTCGTCCACCTCGTCGTCATTGTCCTCCTCGTCATTGTCCATGTCTACTTCAATCGTGGCCGGTTCATCACCCTCAGGCTCGGGATCGTCGTCATCGTCATCATCGCCACCGTCGTCTTCGTCCTCTTCTACCTGGCCGGCAGGGTCTTCGACAGAGACGGCTGATGGATCAATGGGCGTATCAGCCTTCAGCGGCCGCTCGGATAGGCGAGAAATCTCTGCCATCACGCCTTCACGGTAGAACTGCGGTCTGTAGATGGCCTCCAGCCGCTTCAGCAGTAGCTCAGCGGCCTGCAACGCATAGGTGACAAGCGAGCTATTCTCTTGCTGCGAGAGAATGGACGCCAGGTGCGAAGCGTATGTCATACCCCTTAATGCTTCTTCGAGTATCTCAGTATCAAAGTTGGAGAGCATCTTGAGCTGAGCAGTAAGTACTTTTTGCCGCACGCTGAGATTGACAGTAGACGTGAAGGCGTGCATCAAAGTTGGAAACAGAATGACCGCAAAACGCTTGACCTCATCTGGACAGTCTTTCAGGAGCTCTAGCTTTGTGTCGTTCGTCGAAGCTTTGGAGCGAGCGGACATAGAGACGTGGTCCGATGGCGGGTAGCCTGCGTCGTAGATATCGTCCAAGAACATCAGGCCGTCTCGAGTGACCGCAGGAAGAAGCTCGCAGACGACATTCAAGGTTTCGAATATTTGATCTCGAGGTGTACGAATAACAGCTTGCATGATGATGTTCTTGTCGATCTTCGATGCAGCGTCGTTGGTACCATGAGGCGCGGACACACCAGTCAAAATCTGATAAAGTGTATCAACAACGTTCATCTTCAGTAGCTCGACTGAAAGACGTGGACTTGCACGAGCAGTGGTAGAGAGTACGCGCAAGAACTGTGTATGGATGCTCGGGCCAATGAGGTTCGTTGAGCCGGGCAGCAAGAGACGAAGAATGGCCTTGAGTAGATCGGTGCTGACGAGTTCCTCCAGTCTGCTCTCTTGGTACTTGAAGCTATCGACTATGCGTGAGACACACAACGAGGCTTGCTCAACCACCTTCTGATCGCTACTCGAGAGTGTGTTGAGCAGTATAGGCATGACATCGCGCACTGTCGGAAACGAGTCCTCCGGTATGTTACGACAACAATTCGCAGCAGTGGTGACGGCCGTCCGTTGAGTGCTGGTGGCGAAGAAGTCGAGGTAACTCAGACATGCCGTCAAGCCGCCCTCGCGGACTATGGACGATGGGAACTCGACAGAGATCTTCTCAAGCGTACTGAGAGCTTGCTCGGCTAGATCAATGAAGTGAATTTCGAGCAGCTTCTGGCACAGTATGGGTACTGCGCCACCGTAGACTATGCTCGCTGTGGCGGCTGGTAACGCCTCCATCATGTTCGCAATGCAGCGGCATGCAAGCAGCATCATCTCTGGGTTTTCCTCACCAGTGAATTCGTTGGGCTGCATCAGCGTGACCAGCTCCTTCACATATTGATCTGGTTGGAAGTGGCCGGCGAGATTATCCTCATTTGACACTAGCAGAAGCTCGGACAGATCTTGCAACGCTATCAGTTGCACGGACGGATCTTCTCTCGTCTTGAGCTGTTCTAGTATGGTACGAAGCCGTCCGGTTGTGCTCGACATTATGCCGCTCAATGCTCTGAGACTGCTAGACAGGCCAGAGTGACCGCCATACAGCCGAGGGTAGCCGGCACTGAATGGATCTTCCCTCTGAGCCATCTCGTCAAGCTCTTCTTCGGTATAGCGTTTTGGCATGTCGTTGCCGGCCTCCGCGCCTCCACCTGCATCCTGCCTCGAACTTTCTTCTGCGGGTTTGTCGTGTGAGTCGTCCACCTTCTCATCAGCATCCTTCATCAGCACATCTTGATCCTTTCGTGAGCCTTTCTTCGATCTACGTGACCCTGATGCCCATGCCGAGCCGCTTGAATCCTCCTTCGACTTTCTCCGGCTGGACTTCCGCTTGGATGAATCACGTGGAGTTTGCTGTGGTGACGACTCGCCTGACGTGCCTGATGAAGGTCCGGCGCTGGACATAGCCGTGCTTGCCTTCTTAGCCCGCGGCTGCCGTTCTATCACCGGGACTGATGGGTCTGCTACGACACCTGCACCGCCTTTGGCCCGTTTGCTTCGGCGGAGGGGTGGGTCGGTAGTGGGAGCCTTACGCTTGCGGACCGTGCTCGGTGATGGAGGCGGTGGCAGTGAAACGGTATCGTCAGTGGCCGTGGGTGACGTTTGATGGTTACTGGCGGGGTGGTCGACGGACTTTGCAGCCGAGCGAGTAACTCTAGGCGGCATGGGTAAGTGGAGGCTCGCTTAACTACCGTATGTGACGGCGGATAGCGAGCCGAGAGCTGCGTGGTGATGGTGCCGAACGGTTACACAGTGCCGCTTCGGAGGAAGTTGACAGTGGTGTATGTGTGCAGGATGTCGGAGGATGTGTCGATATTGCAAGTGCGGGTGGTGGTGGGTTTCGGGTGGTGGGATGGTCATCGGTGGAAAGCGTGGGACGTGCTCACCTAGAGAAGTCTGTACGTAGCGAGTGACGTGAAGCAGTCATTTGGCGAGGTCATTCACGTGCGGGACAAGCCCAGAAGTAAGTGGGGAGGTGGAGTGCATCAAGGTGTCCAACATGCTGGCACAAGGCACGGTGAAGATCGGTAACAGCGTTGGCTTGGCCTGCTGCGAGTGGTGAACGCGGCTCAGAACCTTAGTCATGTGTCATTCTCGGCGCCTATTGCTGCCTTACCAGGCATCATTTCGTGCCTTCCTTTCGAAACACCGACTTCGCCTCGGTCCCGCTACCTCCTTCCCTTCCAATCTCACGTCGACAACGGCCGATATGGCACGCATATACCCGCACCACACCGCACCGCCCAAATGTGGCCTCATCATTAAGTCAATGCAATATCGTTCATTGAGCCTACTGGTATCAAACCAAGCTTCTCCGGATCACTCATGGCTCTGAAAGATATATCCTACCTCCATCAAAGTGGGCACATTCTGCCATCGCCGGCCATTAAGCGCAGCTGTCTATCTTGGTCGCTTCAGTCCCCCTGTTCGCCTGGTCGATCCTGAACCCCGAGCGCTCCTGTAGCTCACGGCTTCACTGCTATGGACCAGTACTTCTCGTTCCTCCGACGGCCACGCGTGTAACACCACGCACTGAAGTCAGAATATCCGCGGCTAGTACTGGATTACCACATGCCTGTCCGGACCAGACCGGTATGACTGTAAGCAACAATCAAAGTGTCTTGGGTGCCGGGATTCAGCCGAGAAGGGTGAGCTAAGCTTATCGTTGCACTTAGGAAAAGGACAAGGCTGCAACTTCCACGTTTCATTCACAAGATCAGCACAGCAGCAAACAGTTGGTAGGACATAGAGGTGAATTTGCCGACTCAACTCCAAGACCATGTGTTCTCTTTCCTCAAAGACGCAAGTGGCACTTCCGCTTCGCGGCAATGGACTACGGACCATCAGAGGACACTGCAGCCGTACAGGCTGTGTCTCCTACCGGGCGAATCACCCTAAGAACACTTTTGGGAGCGTCGTCATTTTATACCGGAAGATGATTGATGCTATGGCTGCTTCCGCTAGCCTGTCAACATTGCAGCATCCAGGCTTCGACGCGTCCGTAGACAGCGTAAATCAATCCTTCTAAGTTTAATCAGACGACAGGCGCAGACCTGCCGAAGCCAACTCGGCCTTGACGAATGCAAACTAGTACAACTCTTGTCGGTCCGGGGTAGCTGCGGGGCGATATGCGGGGTTTGTATACAGTCGCAGATGCCAGCGAGGTCGAGACGTACCTGTTACACATGCCCACCGTGAAGCTGCTAAATGTGGTCTGTGATCTCTCGGCAGCCCGACCAAACACAAAGTTACAACTCTGCGGGACATTGCTCAAACGCAAAGCGAAGGTTCTTCTGGTACTCACAGGAGTCGCACTAATACAATATGCATCAAGACGGCAAGTCTGCGAGACCGAAAGTATTGATACCAGAGAAGGTATCGCCAGACGGCCTTCGACTGCTGCAGGCTGCTCTTCAGGTCGACGAGCGGAAAGGGCTTAGCGCGGAAGAGCTGCTCAACATCATCAGCGAATATGATGCCCTCATAGTAAGTACTAAAGTCCAACGTTTTCTACTCCAAAAGCCGCTCAGTCTTTGCAAGGTACGTTCGGAAACGAAGGTCACAGCGTCACTCCTGTCAGCTGGAAAGAAGCTTCGGGTCGTCGCCCGCGCTGGCGTTGGAGTCGACAATGTGGATTTGGAGGCCGCCACGAAATTGGGCATCATCGTCGTAAACTCACCACAAGGTAACATCAACGCGGCCGCCGAGCACACCATCGCACTCCTTATGGCAACGGCACGTAATGTAGGGGCTGCGTGTGCAAGTCTGAAGGCTGGCAAGTGGGAACGGAGCAAGCTGGTCGGAGTCGAAGTTAAGGGCAAGACGCTCGGTATCTTAGGTCTCGGAAAGGTCGGCCTTACAGTTGCTCGTGCTGCTGGTGGGCTTGGGATGGACTTAGTAGCATACGATCCTTATGCCAACCCATCATTGGCCGCGTCGGCGAACGTTGAGATCGTTCCCACGATGGACGAGCTCCTCGCGCAAGCTGATTTCTTGACCATACACACGCCGATGATTGCTTCAACCAAGGGCATCATAGGTGCCACCGAGCTTGGCAAGATGAAGTACGTATCCGACGTCCCGCAGAGGTGACAGTCCGCACGCATGCCGCAAATTACATGTAGTCAGTCCCCGGCATGCTGACGATGCTTCTGCACAGACCTACCGCCCGCATATTGAACGTGGCCAGAGGCGGCATCATCGACGAGACCGCATTGCTTTCTGCTTTGGAAGCTGGCAAGATTGCAGGCGCTGCGGTAGATGTTTTCACATCCGAGCCACCTCAGCCTGGCGATGCAGCTTCACGGCTCATCGAGCATCCCAACGTGGTAGCGACGCCTCATCTTGGTGCATCAACAGTCGAAGCGCAGGAGAATGTGTCAATCGATGTATGCACGCAAGTACTTCACATACTTTCCGGGCAGCTGCCGCGCTCTGCCGTCAACGCACCAATCATCTTGCCAGAGGAGTACCGCACGTTACGACCGTTCGTGACGTTGTTGGAGAAGATGGGCAGCTTGTACACCCAGCACTTCTCGCCATCAAACACCGCCCGACGTCTCCGCACGTCTTTTGACCTTATCTACGAAGGTTCACTGGCGTCCACCAACACAACGAAGCCACTCTTTGCGGCCTTGGTTAAGGGCCTACTCTCACCTATCACCAGTGCCGACAGTCTCAACATCAACATCGTCAACGCGGAGCTGGTAGCTAAGGAGCGCGGCATCCTTGTGAACGAGTCACGCAGCCGGGACAAGGTCGAGCAGGAAGGCTATTCCGCCTCAGTCACGCTTCGCGCGCGTTTAGACCCGCGGTCTCCGTCCGCCAGCCGGACGCAACGGCCGGACCCTATGTTGACGGCTACAACGGGACGAAGGCGGGCAGTCGACGATCAAGTCATTACTGGCTTCGTCTCGAATAATACGCCGTACATTTCGCGCCTGGGCCGATTCAGCACCTCCTTTGTGCCCGAAGGTACTCTACTGATCTGCCGTAACTATGACGAGCCTGGCAAGATCGGTGTCGTAGGCGGACGGCTTGGTAAGGCTGGGGTCAACATCCGCTTCATGAGTGTTGCTCCGATTGATAATCTTGGAGAAGATGAAAGCTTAGCAAAGGTCGACAGCGTCACTGGGAACGGTGTGGCGAGGGCGGCGAAGGAGGCCTTGATGATTCTCGGCGTCGACCGCGCGGTCGAAGGCGAGGTCACACGAAGTCTAGTTGGCGACGAAGGCGTGCTTGAGGCTTCGGTCGTAGTACTCTAGCGGTTTGAACCGAATGTTCACGCGGTTGCTGCTATACACGCTTTTACAACGCATCAGCTATGACTCACAGATGGCGCTTCAGTACTCCATAGCCTCTTCGAATAGACCTCTGAGCTGCTCCCTTTCCTCCTGCCCACCTGAAGTATCCAGACTGGGAGCCAGCATTAGCACTCTCGCCTGCGGGATCGTACCCTCCACCAATCCTTCGACATGCTTGTTCTTGAACCCCAGAGCTTTGAGACCTCTTGGCTGATCGCCAAGTCCCACGAGGAACTCCGCTAATGCTTCCGACAGCACTTCACCTGCGCTGTCCTTCTTCACCTGCGATATGTCCACCCCAAAGACCTCGGCCGCTGCCAGATGTCGCTCGGGGTTCGATGCGCCCGTGAACTTGAACACAGCAGGTGCAGTGACTGCGACCGAAACTCCATGCGGAATAATTGGCGTCGTGACTTGGTAGCCGGCATGCTGATAGCCTGGGTTCTGGCTGGAGATGGGATAGCTCATGCCGTGGCAGAGATGCACGCCTGCGTTGCCGAAGCCCACTCCTGCCAGCGTGGCGGCGAGGAGCATGTTTGACTGCGCTTCGAAGTCATCGGGATCCTTGACCGCGCGGGGCAGGTATTTGACGGTGCTCCGGAGCGCCTGGAGGGAGAAGATGTCAGAGATCGGATTGGCGCCTTGATATGCGGGCCGGTTGATCGGGTTCGTTGGACGAGGTATGCGCTCGTAGTAGGGAATGGCTGTCCATGACTCAAGGCTGTGGCAAAGGACGTCGAGGCCGGAGGAGGCGTGAACGGCGGAGGGCATGGTACGAGTGTTCAAAGGGTCGCAGATGCCAAGGGTGGGCTTGAGGTTGCGGTGCGCGATACCAGTCTTTGCCTTCTTCTCGACCAGATCGAAGATGGCTGTGCCCGTGGTTTCTGAGCCGGTACCGGCTGTTGTTGGTACTGCAATGAGCGGCTTCAGCTTTGCCGTAATGGGCATACCTTTGCCTAGTGGCGCATTGACAAAGTCCAAGAAGTCTGCGTCTGGGAAGGTGGTGTAAAGGTTCATGAGCTTGGCTGTGTCGATCACGCTGCCACCTCCTACAGCAAGGAAAGCATCTGGGGCGTATGGCTTGGCGAACTCGATGGCCTCTCGTATGCTGTCGCGCAACAAGTCAGTACTTCCTCAGTCTCCCCAGCCCCTACCATCGAGCTTACGAGTAGTCCTTCGGTTCCACTCTGGTCTTCGAATACACTTCATACGCAATGCCCTCCCTCTCCAAGCCTTCTGCGACCTGCTTCATCGCGTCGAGCTGCAACACCGTGTTGTCTGTGACAACCATGACTTTCTTCGCACCGAGATTGGCAAAGTCCATGCCCACTTCCTTCGTACAGCCCGGTCCAAAGCGTATACTACTCGCGGCCATCTCGAATCTAGCAACATCAGCCGACCAAGCACATCAACCGATCACAACTTCGGCCAGCACATACGCATATTCTTTCTGTCGTGACGTGTCCACAGGCGTTGCCAGACGCCTCCTATTGCCGGCAGGCGGGTTGAGCGACGGATGTGCATTGTGATGGTGTTGTGGGTTGGAATGGCATGGACAGGAGCTCGTGCCCGAGTTCACAGCGCGAAGCAGGTTGACGGCACGCTGGGCTCTTGTAGGAGCGACTCTGATGGACGCCATTGAAGATGATAGCAATTGAGAAGACCTTGATGGCGCTTTTCTTGCGGCCTGTAAAGTGCTTCCAAGGTGGGAGCCAAAACGCTCCGAACGCTGCACAAGCAGTTCACTCGCGCCATTGCGTCTTTGCCGCGGTTATGGTCCGCCTCGGTGCGAGGGGTGTGCTTGTGGATCGACTAGTGAATGCGGGGCGAGGTCGATCGGCTGCAGGGTGGAAGCGGCAGGGGAAGGCGTGGCTATTGCGGAGAACAGACACGACGGTACGAAGTTCACCATCCTCCGCGTCCGTGGCGCGCCCTGAAGCACTCATCTATGCGCTTCGACTGCGAGCGGCTGTGTATAATCAACATGTCACGCCAGATCCGGAAGGCTGTAGACAGAATTGATTGGTAGGGGTGACGGCAAACTTCCGTAAGGTAGCCAAGACCTTCCATGATATAGGGAGGCGTCTCATGGGTCATCTCCATTTCAAGTTGCTCTTTCCTTCTGCCATCACCGTCCGCATTCAGGCGATGCATTCTCGTTGATCATTGGCGACTTGAGGACTTCTGGTTCAGAGTGCTGATCTTCTTCAATGGCAGCGACAGGCGGCAGCCGAAGAGCCAAAGGTCTAAGCGATCAGGGAACGGGATTGTACGAAGCAGGCCTACGCTTTTGGCAGAAGAGCTATGCCGGTGATTACCTGGGTTTGGTGTTGTTGTTGGCAGCATATCTGGCTGTCCAGCTGGTTGCGGAGCCCTTCCACAAGATGTTTCGTCTGGACAATGCGAGAATACAGTATCCCCATGCTGAGATGGAGACGGTACCTGCACGTATGTCTGGTTGAATGTGTTGATATACTGCTATTGGTTTGGTAGAACCCTTCTGGTGTTTCATAAGCTGACTGGATGCCCTCCATCACAGTATGGCTCTTCATATATGGCGGCGCCGTCCCTTTAGCGACTCTCATCGTCTGGACCGTCACCTTCCGTCCCAGCATCCACAAAGCGCATGTAACGATCCTCGGCCTCGCGACCACCATCCTCCTTACCCTCATTATCACGGACATGCTCAAAAATGGTGTCGGTCGACCACGCCCAGACCTCATAGCACGCTGTAAACCCGCCGACTCTACTCCAACGGACATACTTGTGACTTGGAAAGTGTGCACAGAGACACAGCATAACCTCTTACACGATGGTTGGCGCAGTTGGCCGAGCGGACACTCGAGTTTCGCATGGTCAGGGTTGGGATACTTGGCGCTATTTCTGGCCAGCCAGACCCATGCGCTGCGGGCGAGGGCTAGCCTGGCGCTTGTTCTGTTGTGTCTGCTGCCTCTTGCCGGTGCGTCTTTCGTGGCGATCAGTCGGTTGGAAGACTACCGGCACCAGGTCGAGGATGTCATTTGCGGGAGTTTGCTGGGTATGGGCATCGCCTACTTCAATTGGCGGAGATACTATCCGAGCCTGCTGAGCGAGTCGTGTGACGAGCCGCACGCACCACGGGGAAGCGGCAAGTTGGGCGCGAATGGCGGGTTCCAGCGGGTGAGAGATGAGGAAGAAGGCCGCTTCAGTATCAGCGACGAGAGCGGTGCTCGAAGATGAGGGATTGTACCAATACGGCTATTTCCTCGCCAGATTCTTATGCAAGACATGCTCCCGGATGAAGAAGCTTGTGATGGACGCCAAGACCGCGAAGCCCAGCACCACCACCCAAACGCCTCTGAGCGCCTCAACATATGCTTCCATGACGCCGTCACGCCACCCTTCTGGTAGATGCTTGATCTCATCTACCGACTCCCGTATCCGCCTGATTTCGTCCGCAGCGCCAGGCAAGGGGCTAAACCGATCATAGAGCCGCTGCTGCAGTGTGTTCTGGAAGACTGCGGAGGCAATGGTAATACCAATAGAGCTACCCGTTGAGCGGAAGGCATACGACGCAGACGTAATGACGGCCTGGTACTTGTGATCCACAGCCGAGATCAGAGAGATCAGTGTAATCGTCAGCATCGAGCCGTAAGCCGTGCCTTCCATAAAGAGGTAAATGAACGGTGGCGCATCGGGCACGGTAGCATTGAACGTCCCCAGGATGAGCGAGGCGGACGTCAAGCTCAAGAGCTGTGCGAAGAGGTTGAGTAATCGGTATTTGCCGGTCGCGCGCATGATCAAGCCCGACCCGAGCGATCCCAAAGCAGTGCCGACTGACTGCGGGATGAATAGCGTGCCGGCACGCGTCGAGCTGACTCCACGAACGACTTGGAAGTAGATCGGTCCATAGTAGATCAGAGCGAAGACAGACATGGTCATGAACCAGTTCGTAAGGCAGGCGGCCATGACGGATTGGTTCAAGAGTAACCGGACTGGTATCACTGGCTCGGCGGCAACCCGGTCCTCGACATAGATGAACAGTAGCAGGAAGATGAAGGACAGCGGAAGCGAGACGTAAACCAGCGGATGGTTCCAGGGCACAATGTTGCCGCCACTGTTTAGCCCCAGCAAGAGGAGGACCAGGCAAGCCACGAGGCAGAAAGCGCCGAGGAAGTCCACACGCTTCAGCTTCGACTCCTCTGTCTCCTTGACGGGTACTTTGACCGTGAGATAACCTGCGATGCCGGCGACCAGGATGAAGGGAACCTGGATGTAAAAAGCCCAGCGCCAGCCGATACTGTCATTGATCCCACCACCGAAAACGCCGCCCAGACCCATACCCATGCCAAAGACGATGTTACCGATGCCTTGCCAAACCCCGCGTTTGCGCAGGGGAACCAGATCACTACCAACAAAGGTGGAAATTGTATTGAGGCAGCCACCGCCAGCGCCTGCTACGACGCGGCCAAGGATCATGACCCAGCCGTCGGTGGCGAGACCGCAAATCAGCGTCCCGGCAGCGAAGAAGGTGATGGCGAAGACGAGGCCTGCCCGGCGTCCGTAGATGTCCGTAAGTTTGCCTGAGAGGGGTTGGCAGGCTGCATTTGCGATCAAGTAGCCAGATGCTATCCATGAGAAGAGCGTGCCAGAGTGAAAGGATGCAGTGATGGGACCTGACAAGGTTGCTACGATAGTGCTATCTGTTGGTTTTATCAGCATCTTCGCAGCATAATTTAGAGCCTACATAGCGCACCTAATGCTGCGAAAAAGGTACTCAGCCACAGACTGCTCATCGTAGCCAAGAGCTGCTTTGTACTAGGCTCATCCGCGACAGGCGTGGCGCCAGTATCGTGCTCTCGTCGTTCCTGTTCGGCTTGCGCTTCTATCGAGGCGTTCGCGGGGTCTGGAGGCTCGTCATATTGGTTTCCGAGCAGTGGTGTCCGCTCGTCATTGACGGGCAGTGGCTCTACCACTTTAAGATCGTCCTTTGTTCCAGCCATGCCTTTAGAAGTACTAGATAGAAGAATAAACGGCAGATATACATAAATGTGACTCTAAGTTCTAAATGCCGTGCTTGTCGTAGCTGCTACCTTGACCAGACGAGCACACAGTACCTCTTCTGACGCGAACTACTGTCAGTATGATGGTAGGTCCTAAGTGCTGAACGCCGCAGCAGCGATTGCCTTATGAGATTTCGCCTCGAATCGGAGGTTGTTGGCGTGGCCGAGATAGGGTTCGGCAGGGATCATGAGCCGCATACCCACTCATGACACCCACTCTTCGCCTAATCGCACTGGCGTCATACAGTCGGCGCGCTGGCATGAGACATCGTTGCGAGAAGGGCACAGCACGAGCAACGGAGATGAAACATTGCATGGGTTTGCTTTACAAGGCGTATGTACAGTACACTTTCAGCCCAACGCCACGTTACCCCCATTCGGTGAAGGGGCACCCGTTTACTTCTTCTTCTCCTCTTCCTTCTTCGGCTCGGGCTTGGGCGTTGGCAGCTTCATTGTGTCAGGTTTTCGGTCATGGCCAGGACCCACTTGCTCCCAGGCAGCCGTACCACCCTCGAAGTTACGGAATGCTTGGGTGAGCTCTAGCGGCTCGACCACGATTCGCTTCTTCTCCTCATCGTATCTGATCTCAGTGTAGCCAGTCATGGGGAAATCCTTCCGGAGAGGATGGCCGTCGAAGCCATAGTCGGTCATAATTCGCCGCAGATCCGGATGGTTCACGAAGAAAACACCGAAAAGATCGTAAACTTCGCGCTCGTACCAGTTTGCACCGTCATACAAGCTGGTGATGCTGGGTACGGGTGCCGCTTCATCGGCGTACGTCTTCACCCGGATACGGCTGTTGTGGCGAACGGAGAGCATGTTGTAGACGACCTCAAAGCGTTGATCCCGGGTAGGGTAGTCAACGCACGTTATGTCCATGACCGATGTGAATTCGGCGGCGGTGTGGTACTTGAGGAAGGTGAACACGGGAATGACGCCAGAGGGCGGGATGAAGATGGTGAGCTCGTCCTTCCATACGGAGAATCTGCAGGCTTGCTCAGCATAACGTCTTCGTACATGCGTGGAAAGCATGCTAGACATACTGTTGGATGTACTTTGGCAGACATGACAGTAGATACTGTCCGTACTGGTGTAGCGACTTTCCTTGCTCTACGAATTTGTCTATACGCGGTGGTTAGCTACGGCCGACTTGGTCTCGGAGGGGGCTGTCGCACCTGCTGGGTTGACAATTGGCGCGTGAAGTCTGCCCTGCGGCCCTCTCTGTGCGTGTCGCATGTTCGGTAGATCACTGGTATCGCTCACGGGCAGACTGCCCTTGTCCGCCGAGGAAAGGTCTCCTTCTCCCCTTCGTCTTGCTGAACTCGCAAAGCACCTCCGCACCGCGCCCGTCCGCACATCCTCTCTTGCAGCCGTCACGACAGACCGCAACGGCCGAGTCAATGAGCGTGCGGCCATGTTGTTGGCTCCGTCAGTGACCACTCATTGAAGCTATAGCGAAGCGGGCGTGCAAGCTTGCCTCGCTTTCCCCGAAAGACGTCACGTGTCTGCGGCAGCAGCCGGGCGCCACCTGCGCAGGTTCCGAGAGTTGCTTGTAACCTCGCGCGGTGCCGACAGTGCTTTCTCCTAAGACGTGTCGAGTTGTTCCATCAATCTCCCCTTCCGCACTGCCGGATATTCGACCGCTACCCATCGGCGTTCCATCAGGATTCCATGCGAGACTTCCCGTCACTCTCATCCAAGGCTCTCCTTTGCACGGTGTGAGCTGTTAGACACCAGCAAGCTGGCTTCACCATCGCAGACTTCACACACGGGTGCGCTTCTCCGGGCACCTCATACCCGCCCTTCACGCATCAGCATACCATCTCCCATATCAAGCACGACGTTATGTCGAGAACTCAGCAGGACCAGTTCATTGATGATGACGAGGAGGAATCATGCCCCCTCTGCGTGGAAGAGTTCGATCTCACGGACAAGGGTTTCAAACCTTGTCCGTGCGGATATCAGGTGAGAACGAGACAAACACCATCTCGAGTTTGAGTTTGGCAAGCTGACGATATCGCTAGATCTGCCAGTTCTGTTACAACAACGTCAAGAACAACATGAATGGCCTCTGTCCTGCGTGTCGACGTCCGTATGATGACAAGAACATCGAATACAAGACCATCACGCCTGAGGAAATGGCCGCGCATAAGGCCCGTCAAGCACAGAAGCAGAAAAAGACACAGGCCGCTCTGGCGAAGGAGAAGCAAAAGGCCGAGGCCGATTACCTTAGCAAGAAGCACTTGGCTGGCATGCGTGTAGTTCAGAAGAACCTCGTTTATGTGACGGGGCTCAATCCGACGACACATGAGGACCAGTTGCTGCAAACGCTACGAGGCGATCAATACTTTGGACAGTACGGCAAGATTATCAAGATTGTCGTCTCCAAGGCCAAGGATCCAAGCCATCCGCACTCCGTCGGCGTATACGTTACGTACGAACGCAAGGAAGATGCGGCATCATGCATAGCGGCGGTGAACGGTAGCAAGAACGGAGATAGAACGCTACGAGCGCAGTTTGGCACGACGAAGTATTGCTCAGCCTACCTTCGAAACGAGACGTGTACCAACCGGCAGTGTATGTTCCTGCATGAACCGGGTGAGGCCAACGAAAGTTACTCGCGAGCCGATTTGTCCGCACTGAACGCAGGCTCAGCGCAACACCGGGATGAGCGAGCACCGCCTCCGCAAAGTCAGCAGCCTGTTGCTTCTGCCGCCCAGCCTATGACCAGACAATCCAGCGAGCAAAGTCATGGCTCATTGACCGACCGGCCCGCGCTGCCGTCGACAGCTTCCTGGGCATCGAAGCCGCTGCAAACAGCGCCTAGCCGAGCCGAAAGTCGCTCTACAAGTGGAGCAATGGAAAGCCCGGCAATCGTTCATGCAACGCCTGCACATCTGGACGTGCCCACCGAAGCAGCCCCAAGTCAACCGCCTGCCGCAAGTCAACCTGCTGCCGCACCCGTACCGTCCGCGGCTACCACTACGCCACACCAGACCCGTCCGCGCAAACCTCGACCTTCTTCGCCATTCTCGGACATGGTAAAGAACTTTAGTCTCGATGACTTCAAGTTTGTGTTCTCCCTTTCATCGCTCCCGCAAGCTGAAATCGACATCATCACCAACTACCCGCCCCTATTCGACAACAACGGCGGAGCCAGAAGGCGTATCCGGCGGCAGCGCGAAGAGGAGCAGCGAAGAATGGAGCAAGAAGCTCAGGCTCAGGCTTTTCAGCAACCGCCACCACAACCTATCGAGCAGCAAACTGACCATGAAGACATTCAAGATTCGAGTGCAATGAGTGGCAGCTTACAGTTAGGCGGCGAACCTGAGGACCGACAATCCCAAAACGCGCAGACTTCGAGCGCAATACGTCCGCCCGGTCAGGATGGCGGACTGGATCCGAGGTTCCAGTTCAACGGTGGTGGCATAACGAGTCCATCTGGCTTCAGCGACCGTGGTCTCACACCTCAACAGCACCACCAAATGCTGTTACAGACAATGAAGAGCAATGACCCGGCGTCCTACGCCCTTGACAACCACGCGCAACACTCGCCATTCCCGCAGCAAGGCTCAAACCCACCTGGCCATCAGCGCAACGTGTCTCGCTTTTCGTTCGCAAACGACACTGCAAGCGCGTCAGCATCCGTGAAGCCTGTGGCGAACATGAAGATTATGAACCAGCAATCTTCGATCCTTCCGCAACAAGGTGGTTTTGGTGGGCAGCAAGGCAACCAGCAGTTCTTTACCTCGAATGTTCAAGGCCCGCCACCTGGCCTTAAGACAAGCGGCACGCCACCTGTCAGCGGCGGCATGACCTTCGGACAAGGTCATGGCTTTGCAACGGGTGGCCTGCAATATGGCACCAACCTCGGGCCCCAACGCGGAAACGCTAACGAAGAAATGATGCGCAACCTTCTGCGCGGCGACAAACGTGAGTTGCAGCATGCTTTTACTTCCCCTCCTAACCATTATAGCACAGCCTCCACACCGTACCCGCCAGCAGCAGCAGCCGGCGGCCAGAGTGCTTTTAGTGGATCCTTGATGCAGAATCCTGCAGGCTACGGCAACAGTGTCTTCTCCGACGGCGAGAAGAGCAACACGAGCCAACGTGGAAAGAAAAAGAGTAAGAAGCACAGCCGCCAAGGGCACGCTAACACCTCGTCCACCTCCTCTGGCTTCGATCTTGGTTCCGCGGATCACTCCTCCATGCTACAAGGTCGCTTTCAGGCTGCTGCTGCTGCTGCTGCTGCTGCTGGCGGTCTACCCAGTGCAGGCGGTGCAGGTGCGAGTGGCTTCTACGGCTCGAGTGCGGGTCTGATGCATAGTGGCGGCGGCGGCGGCGCTGGCGGTTACAGTGGGCGCTGGTAGTGTTTTCTGCTTCGGTATGCAAGGTGTTGGTGGAACGGGGTCGGCGGCACGACTATAAGTATTGCCGTGCTTAATCGAACCGACTGTAGCATCACACCACAAGAAGGCGCGTCAGAAACGATCCCTCGAATCACGATCTGGACATCGGAAAGGCGTTGGGGATTCAACAAGGCAAGGTGTTCTCATTGCATGTTCCATCACGCTTCGACACTTCATGTACGTATGCTTACAGCGAACCTTCACATAGGGTCAGCGGCTGATAGATGAAAAGATAGTGTGTCACCTCATCTCCAACCGCTTACCTCGTCCATACCTGAAGCAAGTGACGCCTTGAGAACGACCTTCGCCTGCTGTTGTAACTAGCTGCGTGTTTCTTCGGGTAGTCTATAGCTTGCTGCGAGGTGGACCCGCCGCACAATGCGTGGTTCGGCGACTGTGCCGCCGCCAACGGCCAGAAACTAGAAGAGGAGGAGAGCCGCGCACCATCGCATCTGCACCGCACTGCTTAACATTGAGACGTCCAACCTTGAGCAGAACCTTCTGTGCTAACGTTGCCTCTTTAGCCGAGTCTGAATTCCCACCCTTACCGACGCCATCTCGTCAAGCAAGCATCCAACTGGAGAACGTACCACCGACAACCGGTTCTCGTCACTCAACACCGCCCGTACCGCCAGGGTTCGAAGGGCAGTCCGCGAACGAGGACCGACGTTCTGCGACCACAGTGCCTCCTGGCCTGATCGTCAAGCCAAATGCCTTGCCAAATCTGGACCTGGAAGGCCCAGTGAGCAGACCTGGGAGTAGAGCGAGCCTGAGACGGCAAGTAAGCCTGGCTCAGGTCGTACCGGCGCTTCCGTTGAAGCCCGGTAGTAGGCCTGGGACGCCACGACTGCCTAGCTCAAGGCCGGCAACGCCATCGAGAGGGCTGAGTGAGATCAAGGTATCGCAAGCGCAGTCTGTTCAAGAGACGCCGACAAGGGCACCCAAGGCTGCTGCGCAGGTGGCTATCCCAGGGACTGGGCTCAAAAGTTCACATGAGGCAGTGATGCCTTCTTCGTCAAAGGCACCAGCTCCTGAACCTAATAAAATAGCAAGTCCCGAAACACCAATCATGCCGGACCAAGCTCCAAAGGCAGTACCAGAGCCCTCTGGTTCGAAGCAGGAGCCGGCCAAACCTGCGGAGATGCGGAAGAGTTCAGCGCCAACAGCTATGCAGCCAGCATCTAAGGGCATGGCTACTGTGCAGGCAAGTGATGCAAATGCTGCACCAGTAACGCCGACCAAGTCGGATGCGAAGAAGGATGAGGGAAGCAAACGAAAGCACCCAGGCAAGCTTGATATTACAGCCGCCGTCAATCAGACACAAGACGAGCCCTCTGCTGTGGTGGCCAGCTCCTCAAAGGAAATTCCGACCGACGTAAGCACGCCGAGCAAACCGCAAGTGCCTATGTCGAGGACGCCGTCTATCGCATCGAAGCCGGAAAGTCCTGGCGTCTCGTCTCCCGCTATTAAAAGCGCACCGCGAACATTAAGAGTTGTTCAGACTCCCAAGGCCGAGACGCCACCACCACAGCCGTTCTCAACGCCTGCTCTGCCCACGCCAGGAAGCGGCATCAAGTTGCCGTCACGTCAGCCGAGTGTCGCTTCGATAAATCCACCAGGGACACCCTCGAGCGAGCAGATCTCGATATCTGACAACATCTCCATGACGGACACATCGCTCTCTCGAGCAAACTCCCCGCCGCCAGGCGCTACGTCTTCGCTAACGACCGGCATGGTAGGCTCAGCGCCTGTGCGCACAAAGACGAAGAATCAGCTCAAGAAGGAGAGGCAGGAGCGAGCAAAAGCCATAGAAGAGGAGAAAGCCAAGCAAGACGACACTGTCAAGCCTCCTATGCCGGAAGAGTTAACACATCAGGAGGCGATCATCAGCCGCAAGAAAAAGGCAAAGAAGGAGAAGGAGCCGAAGGCCAGACCAACGAAAGTTAGAGAGATCACGGAAATGGCGGAGACCACACCGACAGCGAGTCGCCCTGTGAGTCCTGGTCAGAAAGCAGCAGTGCAAGAAGAGAGCCAGGTGCCGAAGGTTGAACGCGTTGCAACCCCAGTCAAGGCGCCGATGCCGGCTCCACCTCCACCTATACCCGCTCCACATGAGCCCTCTCCGCCACCGACACCGACTTTGACTGCTGCGAGCTTGCTCGCTGAGCTCAAAGCGCAGGCGCCGGAGATCCAGAAGTGCATTGACAGCCTGTTTCGCACGCCGACAAGCGCCCATTTCAAGGCCAATCAGAACATTTCGTCTAAAGATCTACACAACCCCGCCTTCTGGAAGTCGGACTGGAAGATCAATCTTACGAAAGATGAAGTGGAGGCGCTGCTCAGGGGTACAGTGCCTGCTGTGCATTACGGTGGGCAGGACGGGCGCGTTTGGGACCGAGGCATGGTGACTCCGTCGGGTGCACACCTTCGGGCGTTGACCGAGGAGCTGGAAGCGAGGTTCCTGGACTTGGAGAAGGCACTTCGCGAGATGCCGGAAGACCTCCGCTTCCATCCCAGCAAACCCCAAAATGAGATCAAATTTCCGAACATCGACCTGGAGGCGCTGAAACGCAGTTTCGACAATGCATCGACGCGTGGTCCAAGCGTGATGGAGCAGATGGTTCAGGATGGCGTGCCGCTTAAGAAGGGCGCATTTTTGGTGGATGAGGCGAGCAAGTACATTAACGAGTTCGTTATGCCGCCAGCGACGCCGCCCCCTTCGGCTGCAGGTGCGAGGAGTGGCCAGCAGACTCAGGCGGGCACCGTGGCTCCGGTCAACCCTGAGCAGCAGATCGTACAGCACAGTCTGGAGATTGTAGAGCGGCAGTTGCTGGAGGCGAAGCGCATAGCTGAGGAGAATGAAGGGAGGCTCAAGAAGCTGATCAAGAAGAATAAGCGGCTGCTGGGTCTTGGTTGAAGGAGGTTATAAGATGCGTTCACCGTGATGGCTCAAGGCCTCCATCGCTGGGAAGCAAAGTTACGATGGTATAGCGCCGTCGCCACAGCGCGGAAAGAAGCTATTGCTCGGAAGTAAGATTCATTACTACCATGTGCTTCCGGCTTCCTTCGTATTCACACTGCGCACAGAGTCCGTGAATGACATTCGGCGGTTAATTGCCCTCTGCTACGCGTCGTTTGACCCAGCGACAAGCGAACGGTGACACTAGAGATTCGAAGTTCTCAAGTTCCCAATACGACAGTGATACAGACAAGTCCACAATGGCCCAACAACAGCCTGTTGATGACAGCATGGCGGAGGAACAGCCACCCTAGATGTGTCCTCTGACTCGAGGCGTAGCCTGGCAGAGGCTGCTTCAAGCGCCCTGCAAGCTCGTACGTCGTCGTGATCGTGAGTTGGAACATACCGCTGATAGTTCAGAAGGCAACATCGCATTGGTAAGCGGTGTTCCAAGCGACACGTCAAACGATGAGATTGCTCGTCGTCGCCTTGACTCGAAAAACAAGTACAACCAATTCACAGCAGCGTCAGAACTGCGACGGCAAACCGTTGGGTATGTGGCGAGTCGCACTACAACCATGGACGAAAGCCTTCGCAAGATCGAGGATGAGACAGAACGTCAGACGATCACGCGGGCTAAAGCAACGATGATCAAGGACCACAAGACGGAGATCGACGGGGCCAAGAAGGATATCGAAGTGCAGCGCCAGTGGGACGAGTACTTTGCGCTGGAGAGGGACAAGGAGCCAGGTGAAGCTGCCGAAGCCTCCACTGCTTCTGCGTCACAACCAGACAGTAGGGTGTAGGCACAACGGCACGTCGTCACCGCGCAACCTTCCGGCGGAAGCTCAGCGTGGTATCCGGTCAGTCTGTAGCGCTTGATCGGAGACGAGCTCTGCGAGGATGGTGACTCGTCGTTCACAGGGTATGCGCGGCCGGGTCAAGCGTTCAAGTGCAGCACTGAGGGTATCAATTAGGTACATGAATGCGAAAGCACAATGCGGCTCCGCCGCAAAAGAGATCTTGAAATGGGGCAGCCAGCGTAAGGGAGTTTCCCGTGACGCCGACGCTATCATTGAGACGTGACTGCGTCAACATGGAATGAAGACAAGCGTGCAATATAGGATGTAACTTGGTCAGGCGACAAGCAACCCAGCAAGCCATGCGAATGCAGCCACGCAAACAACATCCAAGCACAGCTCCGAAGCATCCCCAGTCGATGGTATGATCGGCCGAGGACTCGGCATAGCCAACGTACTCGACGCAGCACCAGTGCCCAACAGGCTAACCGTGCCGTTATAGTAAGGCGTCAGCGTCAAGCTTGGACGCACGGACGACGTCGTAGTATTTGCGCTCATAGTCGCGTACGCGGTCTCTACCACTCTCATTACTGTCCTAGTAATCGTATGCGTGGTCGTTGCGGTGCCGCTCGAGGTAGCAACTGAGTGCGCGAAGTCGGTAGCGGTTATGCTAATAGACTCGGCAGAGGGTGCCTGAGCTGCGACAAAGGCTCCGGGCGAGAAGATTGACGCAACGGCGATTGCTGTTGCCGACCAGCTTCGAATCCGCATATTGTAGTGCAGACGTTGGAATGTGGAGAGTGGTTCGCAGATCGAGGTCCTGCAAGATGACGGATCGCTTGGAATGCTAGGTCCAATCTTGTTTGTTGATGCAACCCAATAGTGCCGGAAATGTGTATTGACAGTCGAAGAGAAACCGTGGCTCAGTACACAGTGCCGCAACTGTGTGTCTTAATCCAGGAAACTCTCGAAAGTGAGACGTCTTGTTCGTCGTAGAAGGTATTCCTCGGAGAGTTACCGTTCGTCGGTGAATTGCCTCGTCCGGCCGTAGTAGGTGTCGATGTCAAGTGGATGCAGTTGATGACTGTAGGTAATGACAGTGGTCGTCTCAAGTGAAGTGGCGACGATGAGTAGCTATGCGGACGGCAAGAAGAGCAAAGAGAGGGAAGAACCGAGCACAAGCGCTAGCGAGGACACAAGAACGCCGACCAATACTATATGCATACCAGTAGCCGTTGCAGTCATGTGGCCAGACTGTGAGATGACATGGCATTTCGTGCAATGTTCAACGGTGCCATGCAGTGCCAATCATTGCCCTAGCGCTGCCGGGCGTGGAAATTGCTTCGAGCCTTAGACTTTCTGTCGCAAACACACCGATTGGGCCTAGCGCAAGTTGGGTCATACACTATGTGCCGAAGTGGTGATATATCGCTGTCCCTCGACCAGTCTATGGAACAGCGTTGCCGATGTCGATGTAAAGCGTACGATTGCTCAACATCTCATCCTGACTGATCCATGCTAGGTGCTGGGAGAGTAATGCCTTCGGAGAATATCTAGAAGCGCTTAGCCTTGTCTGGAGCTTGTCTGGTACCTGCATGCTTAGCGCTTCCAACACCCCAGTCTCCCCGGATTCCACCCCACGCTCCAGACTATGCCGCGGCCGACCGTATGTGTATCCAGCTCGCGTGTGTCCTAGGTCTAGAAGGTCATGCAAAGCAGTAAAATAATCAGCGCTGTAACGATACCTCCCAAAAGAACGCCTCGCTAACCATCCAGTACCGCTAGCCCAAGACGCCTGCAGGCAATGCCCGATAGACGCACCCGCGCAATGCTTCTCCACAACCTCACTGCTCCTGCCCGCCTGCCAAAACACACGGACTTCACGCACTCACGAAGACTTACCATGTTGGTCGTTTATCACACGCTCTCCCATAGCCGACGCGCAATCATGTCTGGCGACAGATGCTCGTCGACATTCGATTGATCCTTCCTTTGCTCTGTCTGCTCCTCTGTCGAGTCCCGCTTCGGATCCGACTCGACTCCAGCAAAGCTGACGCCTCTCTTGCCGGGTTTGCGCTGTGAGGAAGGTCGCGACGACTGCTCGATCGTAGTCTGCACCCGAACCGAGCCCGTCGAACTTGAGGGATCAGCCGGCTTCTGCGGGCTCGCGCTCTTCGCTTGCGGGCCACTCTGCGGCACAAACTTTGGCGGTGACGCTGAGGTTGACAATTTGCTCGTTTCGCGGCTCGGTCTCGACCGGGACGGTAGTGTAATCGCAGACTTGCTCTGCTTGAGCGCTGTATGCTGCTGCTGAAGCTGTTTCTGCGGACTCTGCTTCTGGAATAGCCTGGGACCTCGGCACTTCTGCAGGCGCTCAAGGGACTCTGCAATTGGGTCACGGAATTTCTGTACCACTTTCAGCTCGGTGTTAACGGCCTTGAAGCGACCCTGGAAAATCTCCGGTCCAAGGCTCAACCCGGTATGCGCATTTAACCCGCCTCTGCCATCGCCCCCTAGAGCTGCCAGGTTGAGATAGGACTTGAGCGTTTCGTTGCGACGGTCGTAGATGTGGTGTGGCACCAGTGGCTGCCTCTCAGCTGCAGCTTCGCGATCCGCGAGCGCCTTGTCGTGCATCATCCTCAACTCAATCCTGCTCCTCCCTAACGCCGGCGTTGCTGCACCAGAAGACCCTGAGATTGTCGATCCAGGACTGACGGGCCCAGCGTGGTAGGATGTGTCAGTCGACCGCACACCTTCAGCAGCTGGCTCCCTCTCAGGCATGTTGTTACTTTGAAAGCTGCCTGTCTTTGGCGTACTCATTGCCGCGGTGTTGCTCCCACTGCCGGTAGACGGGTGTGATGCGCTTGGCAAAAAGCGCGATACAAGTTCGCTTTCTTCCGAGGGCTGATCGTGTGCACCGTCTTGGCCGACAATGGAACGTGAAGAGCGCAAGGAAGGCGCGGGTGAACCGCGTGAACTGTGTACATCGTCGAGTGCGCTGATCGAGCTCACTAAAGCAGGAGCGGGTAATTGAGCGCTGGTCAGACGCTGTACGGTAGGGTTAGGGTGATCTTTGGCGGCATGGACTGGGCTTCGTGTCTGTGATTTCGGCTGCATGGTCGATTGCGGCTCGGGCTGCAGTGATGGCGGCAACGGTTCGTGTGGTAATACAAGCTCTCTCATTTGGCTGGGTTCGAGCGTATGAGGACTGATAACATCGCTTTCATCTGTATCCTCTTCACTCGCCGCGGGAGTTCGATCAGCTTCTGGTCTTGACTGCTGTACCTCTTCCACAGCTTCTCTAGGTTGTGTAGTCTCGGTAGTATGCAGGCTGACGCTCGGATGTTGTGGCTTGCGCGTTGATGGCTCGTCAGGTGGCTTGTCCACGACAACGCTCGTTCTCCGGGAATGCTGCCTGGTACTGTACGGACTCGCGCTCGCGCTCTCCTCAGTCCACTCGTCCTCCTGCATTCCACTGCCGTCCATCTGCGGCGCCGCGTTGTCATCCGACGTCTCTTCAGCGCTCCCGACCGCGAAACCGACTCTCTTTGGCGCAGCATTGGCCTTCTGCTCTTGTTGCTGCCTTAACAGCTCTACCTCCTGCTCGTGCAGATCCAATTCCACACTCTTGCGCTTACTCTTCTTGCCCTTCAAGCCGGGACTTGGCGGTGGCTTCTGGTGGCTGCTCGTCATCCCCGCCAAGTTCTTCCCGGACTGCAGCCGCGTAAGCTGGCCATGCGAGAAGTTCTTCTTGAGCTTCGTTCCGGACCGGTTTCGCGGCAGTTCATACGCAGTCATGTTCCTCCTGATTGGTGGCCGATCTTGTTCGTCCAGCGAGCCTGGCAAGCGGATCTCGGTGTCGCCCTCATGGCTCCGGTTGCGTGTGTGGTGCTTTCGCTCGTCCTCTGCATGCTGTACACCCTGTGCATGCGCTGCAGTAGCTGCAGCTTGCCGGCCCATCTTGGCCAAGTTCCGCCCGCTGCTGTGATTGCGCGGGAGGACAATCTTGGCGTGTCGCTGCCTTCCGGCAACAGCATGGCGGAGAGGGTGGTGCTCGCCGGCACTGCCAGGACTCAGGACGCTGTTCCGTGAGCCGCCGTGTGATGACTGACTGCTGTGCCGCTTCACTATCGATGGCCGCTGTAGCGCGCCACTCGTGCTGGAGCGCGGCGACACAGGCATCGCTGCGCCGGCCGCATTGTGAGGCGAAGCGACCAGCGCTGGTGAGGGCATGTTGTGTGAATGCTTTACCGCCTGTTGAGGAAGGTGCAGCCTAAGTCGATGTCGGGGAGTAAGGAAGGCGATGGTGTGCGCTGCCTATGCACGGCTATTCCTGGCATACGCCGGCGTGGGAGTTGTGCATGGTTGGCACATGTACGACGTCGTGGCGTGGGCTGCCGCGTGTGAGGTGTGGATCAGCTGGTCGGCAGTTGATCGCTTCAACGGGCTCTTGTCCTGTGCATGAAGCTTGCGGCGACTCCATCAGCGGCCTCGGGAAGTGGGGCACATTATACCTACTATATTCACTTGTGCATCTGTCACGTAGTAACACCATCATATATAGCGTACTGAATCAATTGCACAAGCGTTGGCTTGGACAAGCAGCTCTTCAGAGCTAAATGCCTGCACACATCGCTTATTAAAGACGAACAATCTGCCCGCATGGCAACCTGGCCCGCAAACACCATGCTAATGTAGCAAATTTATCGCTATAAACGTAAATCATGGATTTCTTCCTTCACGCCAACAACACGATGTCGCGACTTGATGATGTCCGCAGCCTATATGGTTCGTTAGCCTCGTCTGCTGTTTTTCCTACAGGACCAGCCTGAAGCGGTTGTGAGGACGACCGTACCTTCTCCGCCACTGCATAAACGGTAGCACACAAATTCGTGCTTGGGATCAAGGGTATCACGCTGGCATCCACCACGCTCAGCCCTCTGGTCCCATACACTCTCAACTCTGCATCTACCACGCCCCCCAACTCCCGCGGTAACATGGCGCATGTGCCGCTCTGGTGCCCAATCGTGCTCTCCGCGTGCTCGCGAATGAACGCCTCAAGCTCTTCATCGCTCTGCACGTTTAGTCCTGGCGAGTGCTCGTAAGGTCCCAGCGTCTGCATGGCGTCGGTCTGATACCATTGGCGCGCGCGGCGGTACATCTGGGCGAGGACGTGCGTGTCGAGCGGGTTGGCGAGAGTGCCGAAGTCGAGGCGAGGCGTGCCGTTTGCCGGGTCGGTAGGGTCAACGGTCACTGTGCCCCGAGAGAGCGGCTTTTGCAGGATGAGAAGGCAGTAGGCATCCCCAGCCAGAGGCATCTCGATGAGAGCCGAGGTGCGTGAGGACATAGCGTGGACGATCTGCTGACGTTGTGAAAGATAGCCGGCTAGAAGGGTAGGGTCAGATGCGTAGGCGGCTGGGAGGTGGTCGTAGGGTGCTTGACTGCGGACGGATGAGACGAGGGCGTCAGTGTTCGGGTGAAAATCTGCGCTTGGTAAGAAGGCGACGGTGTTGTGGCCGCCAGCGTATGGGCCTGTCGGTCGTGTCAGTGTTGGCACGAAATGCGTGCATTGTCCGCAACAGGAAGATCCTCACCTGATCGGTCTCGCTCGAACTGTGCCTGAGCCTCGGCGGCGAAGGTGGCATTGTTCGACATGTTGTTTGGATTGAGGTACATGTCAGTGGTGACTGATCAGACCACGGCTGTCAGCAGAACGTCCCTCTCTCGCCGCAATGATGTTTAAACACACATTCATAAGCCAACCCGCTAGCAGGGTGATCCTGCAGGTTCATACCAACACCAGGAAGCTCAACGCGAACTTCGATTTTGGCCTCTTCTAACACATGCTTTGGCCCAACACCGCTCCTTTGGAGGATTAAAGGTGATTGCACACCACCAGCTGCAAGTATGATTTCCTTCCTAGCTCGTACGACTCCGACATCATTGCCATCGCGACGCTGAAGCACGATACCGTGAGCTCTGTGGTCTCTGGAGAGCAAGACTGAATTGACTCGGTATCCCGGAAGCAGATGGTAGTTGCTCCGTCTCAGGACCGGGTCGAGGTGGGCCGTAACAGCATATGATCGCGTTTCGGTGTTTGGATCTTGCGATCTCGGAACCCAGAAGCTAGTGCCGAGGAGTGTTAGCTGCCCTGCAATACCCATTATTCATGCAGTTCTTATATACACTCACATGCCGAAGGCATCTCCACCAGCGCCTTCCCGCGATTGCTGTACCCCGAGCTGTTGCCATCCTTCAATCTGCACTTCTGTTTATCAACGTCAGCTTACCACCAGCACAGTTCACTTACTCTCGGTGGCTCACTTTGACCAGGCCATGCCCAAGCCGGATTGCTTAGATGTACCGGTCCCTGTTCTCCGTATGCCGCGTCCTCATCCCACGACGCGTTGTACTCCTTCTGCAGCATCTCCCCGGGAGGGGTGAACGTAACACTTTTGCGGAAGTATGGCAGCAGATCCTTCCAGCCCCATCCTACGTTGCCTAGCTTCTCCCACGCATCGTAGTCCTCAGCGGCACCACGGTTAAGAAACATGCCGTTAACGGTAGATCCACCTCCAACGACTGCTGCGGCAGAGACTTCGGAGGTGCGGTTGTTGAGACCCTGCTGAGGTACTGAGGAGAAGTTGAACATGAGCTTAGGATCATGGAAGAGACCGTGCGAGGCGTCGAAAGGTTGCCAAGGACGAGCTATGAGCGGGTCGTGGCGGTAGAGATGGCCATATTCGACGACGAGGACGGTGTCATTGCCTTCGCTGAGACGATTGCCAACGGTCAAACCAGCTTGGCCTCCACCCACGATAATATAGTCATATTCATCATGGAGGTCACCTGTGCTGTAGACAACCCCGCCCCCTCCCTCGCCTGGTTCTCGTCGCTTGTTTGAGGCTCCAGACGAGAGTATTTCTTCGTGCCTTGACAGAGTATGCTGGATGTGTGAAAAATAGGAAACTTGTATGATAACAACGAGAGCAACGATCGTGGTTAGGATGCAATTCCTCGCAAAAACGGGATGAGGCATGATGGTGGGATTGAGTGTGAGGGAAGTCACCTACGATGTTTCTCGTCCACTACCATGTATACATATATCGCCCCTGAGCATGCAGCTCGCTGGGCGCCAAGTTCTAACGACGAGGTCTCACATCGTAGTCCATAGAGAGACGAGGTCGAGATAATAAGCTCCGAGCCACGGCTTTCCCGTTGCGTGTTGCTGGCGTAAAGTCTAACACGAAGCCGCTCCTGGCCCTGCACCAGCGGGAAGCAGCCCCTCCAAAATACATCCAAAATGTGGTAGTGTAAAGGTACCTTCCGTATCATCCAAGCTGTGGCAGACACACGCACCATGCGTAGCTCATGGGGAATGGACCGGCACTCCAGTACAGCCAAAACCGTGCGTTTTCCTGACAGGGAAATGGTTGTTGTCGAACGGAAGGAAAGCTACCGCACCTTGGCAACCGGCTACACCCATACAATGAGACAAGGAGATACAGAGCCTCAAACGTCAAGACCCCTTCCCTCTTTCCTTCCCTTGAACAGCATTGCTCGGAGCGCACCAAAATTGCGGCGGCACCGTTAGTACCAGGCAGTATTAGCCATCAGCAGAGGCTACATGTCATACCGAGGCTATACTACGCACCTCATTTCGTCAGGCGAGCTGTACAGCACAAAGTCGAAAGGACATCGTGACGCTTCGGAATGGCAAGAGGACTGGTTTCACCGCTGTTGATTACATTGGTGCTCACATAGCCACAACGCGGCTGATGCTGTCCGCCTGACGGTGGAATCTGTAATCTCAAAAGGCGATATGCAGCGGTACTACCTGCTGATTGTAGCGGAACATGATGCTACAACTGATGCAATCCCGCATGAGAGGAGGCTTTGCAGTGGGGCCGAACAAACCTCTTTCCACCATGTATACAAGTGAGAGTGTGTACCGCAGTTGCCAACACTTGGGTCGCCATTGATCAGAGGTTGGACGAGTTCTCAATCCTCCGCGATACACGCCCAGAGCCCTAGTTCAACAATGTCTTCACCTCAAATGGATCGTTATGGGTCGCAAAAGACGACGAATGCGCAAACCATCGTACTCATCATGATGTCTCCCAAGCAACTCCCCGATCGAGCTTTGGAGAAGCGTGTTGCCACACCTTTGGGTATGCCGAGCTTGAACGGTTCTTCGATGAGCTTCTTGCGCCGGTACTATCATCACACTCTCGTGAGGTTGTTACTTGATAAGCACTGCTGATGGACATCCCTGACCTTCAGTTGCACACTCTCCACAGCTTCGGAACGAAGAGTTCGTCTCACATCTTCTCCAAGTATAGTTGTTCTTGTCAGACAGATAATCCAGCTTAGTTATAACTCTGAGTTCGCTAAGCACGGCGGCCGCTGTCACGGATTTCGTTGCGACGTTCTGGAACGCAAGTGACCATGAACCAAACTATGCCAGGGATTACGGCGACCTTGTCCTGGTCAGCCAAACACACTGGCACATCGAGAACAAGACAGTACACTCTATGATGGGCGGCGGCATCCTTTTTCTCTCGCATAAAATAAATACTGCTAATCTTATTGCAGGCGCCTTCGTTTGGGAACTTGACCTACCCTGGACCGTATGAGTAGGTCTTGTTGACCGCTCAATATCGTACCGAGCAAACAACATATATATCTATATGTACAGAGCTCTGCTTACGTAGCAGGCGTGAGCCTTCGAAACACCTTGAAGCTCATCTATTCGTCATCATGCCACATCGCTCGTACTTGCCAGTCGCTCACCGGCAACCCCAGTCTTCCCTTTGCCACCTTTAGCGCCACCACGCCCATGCCTCCTCTTCGACGTCTTCGCAGCGGCAGCGGCGCTCTTCCGCTCAGCTTCTTGTACCCTGGCACTTTCCTTATTCCACCACTCCTGAAACTCCTGTTCCGCTTGAATCTCCGACAAGTCCCTTTTCGCCACTGCAGCTTTGACCTCATCCTTAGCAGCCTGCTCCTGAGCCACGATCTCGGACATTGATAAGCCAAGTATTTGCTCTACTGGCGCCTGATGTCGTATGGACTGCGGTATCGGCTTGCTATTGGAAGGTTGCCGTGGTAGCGGACGATGACTGGATGCTGGCCGCGCAGTCTCGATAGTTGGCACCGCCTTCGAGTCAGACACGCTTCGCTGCTGGAGGGCGCTCGAGCCCGTAGGCCCGAGGACAGGCGTCTTAAGTACCGGCGATTGGCCTGGCTTGGTATTGGCAACAGTTTGTCGCATCGTCAATTGCGGCGTGCTCAAGCCACGGGCGTTCACTGGCTTGAGCGGTTCATTCGGACTTTTCTCGTGGAGAGCAGGTCGTAGCGCAGGTGAACGTTGGGTTGGCGGCGTCTGCCAAGGGCTGCCAGCCGGTCTCAATGCAGCTGGCGGTGTTGCTTCGGACGGCTTGTTCTCAACCTGCGCGACGCTGGGTGGGTGCTGGTTCTGCTGCATGCGTTTACGGTCCTTCTGTGATACACGCGACGGTCCGAGTGAAAAAGAACTTGGTGTCTCCGGTAAAGGTGGCATTGCAGCCGCCAGACTCTGCGAGAGGTAAGATGTCCTGGTTGATGCCGTTTGCGCCATAATATTCCTTAGATCTGTTCTCGGACCTGGCAGAGGCGTCAAGCTCCACGGCACAGCGCTGTTGCTCGGAGGTGTCTTGCCACCAACGGTAGGCGACTTCGGCGTCCTTGGCGTGATGGCGCCAGGGATAGAGGTTTGTGGCTTCAGCTGCGGCGAAGGTAAGGCTTTTCCACGGGAGTCATACCATACTTCTTCTGGTGGACTTGATGCAATAGGTTCCAGGCCGCGAGGGCTTGTCATTGGTCGAATAGCCGGAGATGGCTCCGGCGTAGCAATATCGGACTGTCCCTCTTCATCCATGGCAAACATCATGTCTTTCGTGGATGTTTTGCCTTTCAGCGAGGGGCGCTCGGCATCTGCTCTGTGCTGCACGGTGGACGATCGCCTGCGGGACCGCGCCTGCAGCACCGGTGATGACAGTATGTCTTCACCAAACGATCCTGGAACGAAATTGTCAAGGTCCTGATGCCGGGCTCGCACAGCAGCGGCATCAATTCGGCGCTGTCGAGTTTTATCCATCGCGGCCGCAAGCTCCGGATGACGTTCGTAGAGCAAGCGCTCGGGTCTGTCACTTTTGGCAAAAGGCATGCATGCAAGCTGGTTCTCCCGAACAACCACATCTAGCTCTGTAAGAAGCTCCTCATCCAGCGCATTGAAATGATGTCCCTGCAACATCGCTTCCATGTTCAGACACATGTACTCGAGCGCAGCATCCTTGAATTCACGCACGGAGCTGGGCGAGATTGCATTCAACAATTCACTGACGTTGCGGACATTGACGTACCGGCCGACCGCGTATTGGCATATCTGCGACAGGCGGTCCAGCATCAGTTCGTTCGCTGCGCTCATGACGTCCACCACAGTGTCCAGAAAGTCGTCAACACCAATAGAGACGATATCGTCAAACAGTTCGGTTCCTGTATCTGCATAGATATGCCGCAAAACAAGTCGAAACGTCCTGCTGCTGATATGGCTGAGGTCGACCGTCAGAGCGTCCTCCGCGCGCCCTGTAAGCCAACGCCCTCCGGCGCGGCCCATGAACAGACCGTCAAAGAACGGACAGCGAGCACACAGAAGCGCACTGTGAGCTCGGACCTGATCATCCTCAAGCTGAATCGCGATATCGCCGTCGTAGAAGAACGCTGGATCCGCGAACGCTACCTCGAGGTCTAGATCCAGACATGGTTTTGGCCCGACCATCTGGCGCACGGCTTGCTCCAGCTTTGCCATGTCTAGCTTTGATGCCACCTTCATCAACTCGTTGCGTACTTGGCGGTAGCGGAAGGTCATCGGACCAGCACGTGGCAAATGCCAAAAGTCGATGAAACTGTCGGTGTACAGGTACACAACGAAGTTGACGAGGGTCAAGCTGTCGAGGCCTTGGAACTTGATCACGGCTCGACCGTCCTTGTCAAGCTCTGACACTGCAAGATCTGAAACGGTGAAGGTGCTTGTCTCGCAGAGGTCCCGGAACCCACGCCGCAACACCTTGCTTCTGCCTGTAAGCATAAATCTGTTCACCGGGATCGTAACGTCAGACGCTGAGCTAGAGATTATCGCGTCATAACTGTTCGGATTGCCGCCCATTCCGTGCTTCACAAGGTTCAATAAGTCCTGCTCGATATCCTTGCTGTCCAGTATTGCCTGCTTCAGTACCTGTACCTCGTCCATCTTCTTCGAACCTTGCCAGAAGCGCGGTCGGTCGTCATCGCTATCGTGTCTTTGACCGTCCACGAGCAGCTTTAGCGACAAAAGTGGCAAGAGCTCCGTCCGGAGATGTTGGTCCTCAACCACGATCTGCGTCCTGAGCACATCGCAGTCTTGCCGAATCGCTGCATACGCTCCATATGCGGAAGCTCTTACTGCCAAGACTCTGGTCAAACCTGGGATGCGCGAGAATTTGTAGTCTTTCGGCTTGTATTCGCCTGTCCCCGATGCAGTCGCGTCTTTCAGATGAGCTCGTTTGATTCGCTTCCAGACACTGCCTTCTTCCGTGGAAACAATGATTGCGCCATCCGCATCAACGCCTACATCGCGTGCGGCCATGCTAGTCTTTCTTGGCGACCAAATACGCTGCGGCTGGGTGATTGCACTACGAATCTTTGCAGGATTGGTAGTCGACGCTGTAATTTGATTGTCGAGACGCTGGCTGATGGAGAACGTATAGATCTCGCCTCGGCTGGACATGGCGCAAATGGTATCACCTCCACCCGTAAGCTTGACGATCCGATTCGGTACCGAGTCGTAGTTAGTGAGGAGGAAACTTTGCTTCAGAAAGTAATTGCTAAATGTGTCGAGCGGAAACTGTACCCTGGCGTAGCCGTAGTTTGCGAAGACGAAGACTTCATGGCTCTCGAGTAGACATACCGTAGCCTTGTCAATCGCGCAGACGGCCTCAATAGGAAACGAAAAGAGAGAGGCAGCGACCTTGCGTGGTGTGGTCTGCATCTCCAACGAGCGAGCGTCGGAGTCCATAATTCCCAGCTGACCTTCATTCTTGCCAAACGTGAACAGTGAGGACGGAGTGTAAGCCACCGAATGCACGCGTGAGGCTGCGATGCCGGTGACAGTCTCACGCTTGAGCACGCCATATATCTGCCTGGGAAATGTGCTGCACGGATCTTTGTCATCGGCAGCAGCTTTTGGAAGAGTGTAGCCGAGCTGACCGAAACCGTTGTTGCCCCAGCTAAAGGTCTCGCCTTCCTCAGACAGCGCAAGAGTGTGGCCTTGGCCGAGCGCGACCGACACGACACGCTTTCCAGCAAGAGAGCCGCCTTCGACGCACACGAAGTTGAAGCGCGTTTGTTCGTCTCCAGTACCGAGTCGGCCGCTCTGACCGTGTCCGCACATGTAAAGGTTGGCCTCTGGATCATCAGTGAGCACCGCGGATGATAGTTTGGCCATCTGCACCTCACGGATAATGATCGGTTTGCTGCGCACCACAAATGGCAAGTCATCAAGCCAGCCTGAGGCGGGTGCTACGGGGCTAGTGACGAAGGAAGGATCGTGAGCAGACCATTTCTTAGCAGTCTCAGCGACATGCTCGCTATGGAAACGACGAACAAGGTGCTCCGGACGTCGTAGAGTAATGCGCTCCGGAAAGTGCCGGTCGTCCTGATCGCCAAATCCCAGAGACACATTTTGGTTGCTGCCGAAGGTGAACACTTGATCTCCGTTAACGCTATGGACGAAGATTTGGCTGGTACGGTAAACGTCATCGCCATCGCCAACCATTGACGGTCGCTCTTCGTCACTGGCGTTTGATCCGGATCGCGGACGATTCGTCTGCTCAGGCCTAAGCGTGCGATCTTTGATGGTAGCAGCATAAAGGTCAAGAGGACCATGACCTTCCCTGTCCTTAATTTTGACCAGACCGATCGTTTGATGCACATGGCCTGTTGTCCTGCCAAGCGCATCGCCTGCGTCGCGCTCAAGTATTAGTCGAGCAATCGCGATGTTGCCAAAATAAAATGCGCGATGAAGAGCAGTCCATCCGTTCTCGAGATCCTGCACGTAAAGATCGATGTGCGCATGCTCTATCAACGCCGTCGCAAAGTACAATGCATTCTCTGTGGTCGTAGAAGCGACAAGATGCAGAAGGGTCCGACCGCAAGAGTCGCGCCAGTTGATATCCGCTTTCGTCAACGTCGCTCCATCTGCTCGTCCTCCGCTCTTGCGGCTTTTGACCGCAAAGCCCGGTGATGTACCATACTGCTCCGGGCTGCCTAGCACCGGCCCAGCATTACTACCTCTTCCGGCGCTCAGTCTGGTGTTGTACACCGAGTTTTGCAGAAGCAGCTGCCGAAAGGTATTGACGTCGTCTTCATAGTAGGCTTTCCACAGACGGCTGCTCATGTGCTGAACTGGACAAGCACACCAAGGAATGAACCCTGGTGCTTCGACAACGCACCCGCCAGTGATCTCGACCGGACCACAGGCGTATTTAAGGTGCTATGACGAAGCCGAGGGTACGCTCCGAGGTGGTTGGAGTCCTGTTAAGATAGGGGTTTCGCTATCTTCACGTGCGTTGCGCGCAATGAATGGTGCTGATCGCTGGTTGTCCGCTTCAACGTAGAGTGGATGACTATGCGCGACTCTAAGCTTGTCGAGGGACTCTGGTTCGCTCGAGGGTGGCGTTTCCGGTCCAGAATATTGATGGAGTCTTTGTCCGGTTGTCGCCGCCGAGCAACCCTTTTCACCTGCTGACTCACTTGACCGTCTTACGCAGGATGAGTTCTCTGCTGATACTGTTGTTCTTACGACGCGCGAGAGGCCAAGATTGATGTACACAACTGTCAGGTACAGTCAGGTGGGATGCGGGATGCGCGGGCGTGTGATGAGGTCGATGCCCCGCCCGATAACGGGACCTATCAACGCGCGCCTCTCAGCACGAGGGCCCGAGGGTTAGCCGCGAAATTCGTTACACCCTTCACCCCACACAAAGCGGGTGCTGCATTCAGCTGCTTACACTTTGCAGTTGAATAACTCAACAACCACACATCCAAACAAGTCAAGAAGTACACCATTGGAAAGCGCGTGCAATTCTGCACATGTAATCTGAATATCGACCATGCCAGCCACTCCACCGCCGAACAATCGCGAAATGAAGGCGAGACGCGAATATGACACACCTACGAAGAATCGCGTCCTAGAAGCGCTTGATATGGGAGCCTCCCATGCAGCCATTAAGAAGAAACACGGCCCCTGCAAGCGTACGCAGCTAAACTGGAAGCATCAGACGAACCAACCAAGGAGATCTAGTCGTAATCGCACCGGCCGGCCTCGCATAATCGACGATATAACATTCAGAAGGATGCGTCGATTCATCGAACGAGATTTCCCCTATAGGACGACTACATAGGAAGAAGTGGCCAAACAACACCCCATTGACGATCGAGGCACTCGTATAAATGCTGACACAGTCCAACGAGCGTTCGCAGCTCGTAGTTATCACAAATACACTGCCTTTCAGAAGCAGTGGATCAGCCCCGAGAATATCGACATTCGGTTCGCCTACGCGAAGGTTATGAAGAAGCAACCACGTAATTTCTGGCACTATGTTGCCTTCTCTAACGAGACTCACTTCAACAAGGCTGTAAGAAGAGCTGCAAAGGTTATACGACTGCCTGGTGAGCGATATAAAGAGAGCTGTACACAACTAAAGTATAAGCGACAGAACAACTAGTTACACGCTTGGGCAATGGTCGGCTATGGCTGGAAGAGTTCCTTAGTGTTCTACGACTCCAACGAGTCCGTGAATACCGAGTTACAAGCAGTGGTGCGTGAGAAACTGCAGTTAGAAGCGGAACCGGCTATCGTCGAAAACACCCTTGAAGAGGAACGCAAACTCATAGGAGAACACACTGGTTGCAAGCACCGTTGCAAACACCCTGAACACTACAAACACCTCTGCTGTAAGGCTGGCCACAAGAAGAAGGCTGCCGGCAACCTTAACCGGCTACAATACACATGTTGGATACTCAATAACCATATCGAGCCTACGTTGCGTTCGATCCACACACGCCGCAACAAGCTAATACTGCTTAAAGATAACGACGCTTCCTACGGTATAGGAGCTTCTACAAGCCTACCAGCCCTCTTTAAGGACTTCCTGAAGCGTACGTATGAGTTTGACGTCCTTGCCAATGCAGCTCGATCCCCTGACCTCAATGTAATTAAGAACGTGTGGAGGATGATCAAATCGAGGCTGAAGGAATGCAAGGTGACCTCTACAGAGGAGATGAAGGCTACTATCATTCATATATGGGAGAAGGAGATCGAACAATCGTCGATTGACCGGATAATCGACACTATGCAGGAGCGGCTGTAGGAGTGCTACGCACGTAGGGGAAAACCGACTCCATAGTGAATTGCATACTACACAACCTAGTCCTAATGCAGTAACGACGGCGAGGTCACTTTGGCTTCATCTTCTAATATATGATATAGCCCTATATATGCATTGCAGCTGTCTCAACTACTATGGGAAGTACTAGCAATTCAAGACACGAAGCGTGCCAAGAGCGGGGGGGTGCAGCGACTTTCGCGGCTAACCCTCGGCCAGAGCTCCTGCAACCACAATGCCACTATTATTGCTATGTCGCGCATCAGTATTCCCGGGGTTCTGCACGCGTTAATGACCCAATGGCTAAGCGCGTGTCTGGCATGGCGTATACCTCTGAGACCGATGAAGACGCAGACACAGAAAGACGAGATCACGCGTATTACTTGCATGACGGTCCAAGGGGCAGTAGAGTAAGCCGAGGCCGGTATAATAGTGCCATGCAGCCTTACACGAAGAGTGGCTTGCAAAGTCTCTTGGTACTTTGCTCTTGCTATCGGTACGACGGAATGGCACACGCCCAGCTCAAGTCCTCTGATCGACTGCGGAACCCACCATATACCCTTTTGCAACGCCAGATCTCCCCTCTTCCATCAACGCGCCCTGTATCTTGCCTTCTGCGTCCCGTTCGTACGCAATCTCGTAGTCGCTACCCAGACCCTGCCAGGTGCGCTTGGTGCGCAGATACTCGGCTGCTGGTGAGACTGCACCGTTAACTAACGCCACCTCTCCTTTCGCACGCTGTACTAGGGCTGAGCTGGGTGTGGCATTCCTTGACGCTTGCGACTGTGCAGTCGTGCCGTTTGATCGGCTTGCTGATGAAACCTGTTTCTGACGTCCCATCGGCCGGGACTGTGAGACGTAGCGGCCAGTGCGAAGATCGAACTCTGGCTCTTCATCTGAAGGCTGATCATCCCACGTGCTATCTTCGCCGTCATGCTGACCACCGAACCCATCAACTGTACCTGGCATTTCTTCTGCGACGTGCCCAGTAGCGCTCATGTTGTCCCCACGCTTTAGCAAAGCCGCAAAATCTCCAACCCACTCCCCACCCCACACCCTCTCCCTGTCGTCCGTCAGTGCTACCTCCAGCTCGAAGGGCGTAATAATGGGCCGGTAGAAGTCCTTGCTCTCAACCAGGCTGCTCTCCCAGCATCCAATCACCACCCAGCCTCCAATCTCGGCGAAGTTCGCCACTTTAGCCGCATTAACTTTGCCGACGACGAAAACGTAGTATTTCTTGCCCGCGCGGGTGATGAGGTCTTGGACGTGTGAAAGTGCGGCCATATAATTCGACACCGAGAGCGTATTGATCAAGATGCCGAAAACGGGGACGGTGCTCAGACGGGTAACAAGAGCGTAGCGCCGCCGAAGCAGTGCGGTGCTTGAGGCGGGCTGAAGTGCGCTTTTAGTTGGGATGGAAGCATCGGTGGGGTAGATGTGAATGCTCTTGACGCGAGACGAAAGGGTGAGAAGAAGCGAAGTAGGCGGAGTTGAGATATGGAAGACCGAATACTCCCGCAGCTTCCCTGGCTCATCTCTCACATCCGTCGGTACCGTCCGGTTGGGAATGAGGGAAGATGGATCGCTGAGTATGTCTGTTACGCAATATTTCGTGTAGCCTTCTTCACGTAGTCGTTCTCCAAGGCGCGACAAGTGGTGATGGTACGGTATATCTGCCAACAAGCACACCCTCTCGTCTTGGTTTGGAAAGGTTCGTATGAAGCTGGTAACCGCCGCTTCTTGGTCCAACGGCTTAGTAGTGAAGACGTAGATTACAGGCAGACGCGCAGTTGGAGACAAGCAGGCTCGGCCATAGTGCACGACAACCTCAGCGTCAACATGCTCTGCCGCAACCTCATCCACGCAGCAAGCTCCGTAGGATGTGTCCGCGAGGATGCATAGTTTCGCCCCGATGCCATCGTCACAAGTGCCATTTCCAGCACCATCACCCTGATCATGGAGTCGAATTGCTTCGACGCCACCTTCAATGACATGCACGGCATTAGATGGTGGCCGGAGTCGGAGCTCATGCTGAAGCCTATCGAAGACTCTAGGCGCATGCACTAACATCTCGTCCGGAAATTGCAACGCAATTCTTGTCCACCGACCATCCCGGATCTCGTTGACGGTTCGCTGAATCTCATACTGTACGTATAGCTGCTCATCGTCCAGCGGTAGTGGCGGAATGATCGGAGATTCTTCTTCAAATATATGCTCCGCAGGCGTCGACAGAACTGGGGCTGTTGCATACATTCCGGATCGGGTTGCCTCTGCTACTTTACGCAGGACTAATGTAATGTCATGGAAAGAGGCGCTATAGAAAGGAATTATTTTGTGATCTGACTTCAGCGTCCCACCACTTTCTTCGCCGAATCTAGTACGCAGGAAACCGATTATGGCTGGGAAGGGGATTATTCTGCGTCTCTACCAATGCTATAGACGGCCAGAACTCAGGCCAGTCTACGAGACACTGGACTTGATTCCTCTTTCGACGAGCTTCTGTTGCGTAGGAAGACGAAATGAAGGGGAGTTTCATCGATAAGGAGCATAAGCGGAGCTGTTTCCGCGTATCGAAACATTTCGCCAGCCGTGGTCTGTTTACCTTGCAGTAAACAAACGCGACTTCTGTGCGTCCAATCTACAGCATCTTGCGATTGAACCTTCCATGAGCGAAATGCTGCATTGAGTCCTGGATTGCATGAAGTGCTCACTATAGCACCTTATCGTTAACACATACAGCTCCATTGCATGAGATAGCAATCTTAAGTCAACGCCCAAGAGTGCACGGGAAGATGGCGCACTCGTCCGCTAAATCGCACCTCTTCAACCAACTATCCCGAAGCCGCACAAGCTCGCCGCATGTTGACGAGTACGCTACTGCGGGTAGCTTCGACGACAACAACGACCACATCATGCACTCCACCCTGAACATGGGAGACGGCACAGCTAAGCAACAGACGCCGCTCAGTTACGGCAAGCGCCCAGATTATGCACCCTCCGGAAACGGCAGCGACAGCAGCACAGCAGCGTCTATCGAGGTTGGGCGCGGTATAAAGCAAGGTACTTGGAATGATGACGCCGACATGTCATCGAACCTCATCCTGGACTTCGGCGGAGACAGCCAGTATGAGATCACGGGAACACCACCGATCCGTCCTCGCAACAGCTCACGGAAAAGCCACGGGCAGCTGAGACGAGGTGCCTCCATTAAGAACGCGATGGGAACGGTAACCGGCAATGATACCGTCAAGGCCACCGTTACCCGCAGTACAAACCGTCGCTCACTCTCCGACGCGCTTGCCAAGTTTGACAGCGTGAGCGATGAAGATCTGACACAACCCACCGCCACCTTTAATGCGCGCAACACGCGCTTCACGCGCTCACGTCAGGCTTCGGCTAATGTCAGCGGCACGCCCGTACGTTCGGTCGCCAATAACGTGACCGTACAGTCCGCCACTTACACCGCCAATTCCTTCATGCTCCCGGACCTGCCCAACATCTCTGAGCTCGTCTCCGGGACTCGCAAGGATGGCACGCCAGTCTTCTCCCGTACGAGCAAACCTCGCTCGAGATTCACTTCCGGTCAATACAACCCGTCACTGCAACATGCAGCAATCGAAAGCGTGCCAATTCCGGAGGATGAGAAGGCTATCTTCTCCTCTCTCCAGCTGCTCCAGGATAAGATCGCAGCGCTGGAGATGGAGAAGTCCGAGGCGCAGAAGCGCGCCGAGGAGTACGAAGGCAAGATCATTGAGCTGCGTCATCAACTGGAAGTGGAGCGCCGCCGACCAGATAGCGCATTAGGTTCGGATGAGGAGAGTGCCACGCGCGAAAAGCGACGTATGGAGAGAATGGAGCTGCAAGTGGCCATAAAGGCTTTGCAAGACTGCCTAGAACGCTCTGAGCGGAAGGTCAGCATCGGCGACATTTCTGTGAAGAGAATAGCGAAGGAGAGGGACGATCTGGTCACGCAGATTGGCGTGGCGTATTACAATAATGAGGAGCTGAAGGCGGAAAACGAAATGTTTCGAGAGAGCCATGCAAAGCTGCAGGCCGAGAACGATGATCTGCACGAGGTGGTGGAGAGGTTAAGACAAGAGAATGCTGCGCTGACAAGCCAGCTCGGCAAGAGCGCTGTCCCGTCGCGAAATCCAAGCGCTCAACGACAGGCGCAGGAAGTACACAGCAGGAGAGAGATGAGACCCGCAGAGGAGGAAGACTTGGCATCTAAAATCTCCCGGGAGGTGCACAGGCAGAGATCTGAAGCGATGGCTGCAAAGGCAGGCGCTCAGGCCTCTAGCCGTGCGAGGTCCAGATCGAAGTCGCAGCAACGTCACGCGTCGAGTGGGAGAAAGCGTAAAGAGTCCACGCAGAACGTTGATGCCACGAGTGTCGCGCCAGATGCAAACCAGAAGCCTGGGGAGGAACTGTCTACGCAGAGGACCTGCGACGAGCGTGACACTATGCCAAAGACCACTCCTGTAGATGCTCGCCTTGACGAAGGAACTAGGGACATTACCTTGCTTAGCTACCAAGATCCTGTTGAGGTAGCCGATCTCCGAAGAAAACTGGAAATGGAAATGGCCGCGCGGCACGCAGCACGACGTGAGAAGCGTAATGTTTCGGCACCTTCGCAGACACAGAAGCAATCAGAAGAGACGACCCGTTCTGCCGGCTTCGGCATGGTGCGCAAATCATCGCTCAAAGAGGTCCATGCTGGTCAAGATGACGGTACTGGTCGCTTCAGCCTAACCGGAGGCGGTGCGAATGAAGCAGCCAAGGTCGCGAAGACTGTTCGCGTCCAGTCGCCGCACACCTCAGATGCGTCGCTTCTGCCGCACCAGCAGCAGGATGTTGAAGCCGGCGATACATCGATGCTCAGTAACACGAGCCGGAGCCGTCGCCGTACAGGCAGTGCAGCGGAGATGACGTCGGCTTTTATCCTGCCGGACATCACATTGCAAAACTCTCAGCCTCTGCCGTCTGCGATTGGCAACACTGACAAGTCTTGCGTTCACCACAATGCCTCCACCTGCACAGTCTGTCACCCTGGAGACAGCAAACTCGAAATTCCAACGCCGCTACCAGTCACGGATCGCGAAATGGCGCAGGATCCAGACCTCACGACAGCGACCATCCGTCCTTCGCAGTCGCCTGCTCTGGCTCTAGCGACTGTCCTCAAGAACCTGGAAGATGAGGTGAAGCACCTAAAGGTGCTGCTGGAAACTCAACAGCGCCGTTACAACCAGCACGATCCTGCGCTTTCGAAGCGCCAGCGTACCGCCACGAAGTGCAGGATCGAGCACCTGACGGCCGCCATTGAAAAGCGAAGCGATCAGGTGTATGCCCTGTACGACGTGCTCGAGGGGCAGAAGCAGGCTGCGGATGCGCAAACCCGCAATGGAGTTGCGATGAAGCCGATGCAGGAAGAAGAGGTCGAGGAGACTCTGATGAGCATCGGCATTGATCCAGTGGAGTGGGCGGGCCGCGTGGGCAGGAAGGCTCCCTTTGGCCTGGATGGAGCTGACGATCTCAGTGACGACGAGGATATGCCATGGGAAGGCTTGAGCGAAAGCGAAGAAGAAAACGGGATTAGACCTTTTGAGAAGAGGAAGAGCGCTGCATTTTGAGGCGCCTTGGATTAGAAGATGTTCAGAAGCCCTGTTGGATTAATGAACGCCTGGCGTTGGGGTGAATTTGCGTATATTGGACGCGGACGTTGCTTTGGTGGGGTTGGGACTTTTGTATACTCTGGATGGCGCCGTTGGTTTCTTGCCGTCAAACCTATGAACAGCAGCGGTTAGGTCTGAGTCTCTGAGACTTCTAATGCTGGCTTTGACTCCCAGCCCGGTGAGCGGTGGGTTGAGTTGGCCGGCTGACGGTTCTCTGATTGTACTCCCTTCGATAGCACTCATTCTTATCTGACAGACTGTGGGCAAAGAAACAGTAAATGATGGACTGGTTCCCTCAGAAAGCAATCGGACAACAACCACAGGCTTGTTGGGCCCGTGGGTCCGCTTGAAGTCGTGCCACGCTCTGCTAGCGAAGCACGAGCCTCCGCTCCACGCTCAATGACTTTGAGTATGGCAGCAACCGGCCCAATCCCACCGATATGATAGGTTCCATGTTGGCGCACCGTACATGCCCGCTTTAGCACGACAGCTTACTTACTCTCCTCGATTGCAGACTCCCGCAGATCATGCTGAGAGGTAAGCGGTTGATTGGGGGGGGATTTCGTGCGACGCTATGACAGCGTCTTCTGACACTCCGGTGCCTCACTCTGCCAGACGCTAGCGGACCTCGCTGCTCAGTTTGGGCCGACGACCACGGTTTGACTCATCTGGTCGGAGATGACAGTGTCGGTGTCCCTTCAGTGGAATGCTGGGAGTGTCCGTAAAGACTGCCAATCAGCCCGAGAGCGTTTCGACCAGATGCACGAGCAATGCTAATGCCCCTCCTGTCGCCCCATCACCGTTCTAGCTAAGATTTTCCCAACCCAACAACAAAGCACTACATGTTCTTGGTGAGATAAGTCGTAAAGGGTCCGTGATAGTAGAGTCTGTGAGCATGTCAACACCGCAGACGGCTTTGTCTTCCAATGGCGACGAACATCATCACGTCAAGCTTGCCTGTCAGGGCTGCCAAAGGAAAAAGATCAAGTGCGATCGTACCTTCCCTTGCGGACAATGCACGCGATCCAACCTTCAATGCATACCAAGTACCCGAAAGCCGAGGGTCCGACATGGTGGCAAACGCGCTGTCGATTCAGAACTTAGAAGCCGCATCACTAAGCTTGAGAGCCTTGTCGAAAGCCTCAGTGGAGAGGTTGGCTTGCAGCATACGCCTGAGCACGACGAAGATGCAAGCAATGAAACACACGAAGCTCCAGAGGTTGATACTCCTTCCCGATCAGTGGGCAGGTATCTTGGTAGCTCTTTTTGGGACTCACTGAGTACGGAAGTCCAAGCCATTCGAGACGCGCTGGAAGAAGACCAAGATGCAGACGGACCAGACGCACATTCGAATGAGGACAAGTCCGGCTCGGGAGCTCCGCTTCATACTGGCAATGAATTCGATTTGTTGATTTGCCCTCCTGGGACAACATATATTATGCCTGGAGCGCTGAACGAACCTCCCCCACCAATGCAGCAATATCTTTACGAGACATTCATCGCGAACGTGGACCCAGCGTTCAAAGTCTTCCACACCCCAAGTCTTCGTGCCTTCTTTGAGCGAGGCGCGCCTTATCTCGGCCACGAAGCCACCGCGCCATGCAATAAGGCGCTGAAGACGGTTGCTTGGTTCGCTGCCGTCAACACCATGACTGACGAGCAGTGCCGAACGCAATTGGGAGGAGCGCGACTAGATCTGTTACACAAGTATCGTCGGACGGTAGATGTGGCGCTCGCGCAAGCTGACCTCTGCAATACCACGGATCTTGCCACCCTGCAGGCATTCGCAGTCTACCTGGTAAAAACAAGCTAAGCTATAACGAGCAGCAATTGGCTAACGTACGTAGGTTTCCATCCGAATGACAGACCTCAGCCGTCGTGTGTGGTCTCTGACGGCTCTTCTAGTCCGCATAGCTCGCGCCTTTGGTCTCCACTCCAAGGCACCTGCTCGCACCCCTTTCGAGACCGAGCTAAGACGCCGCTTGTGGTATTGCATTCGCTTTGTCGACGCTTTTGCTGCGCTTGATCGCGCGACCGAGGTTATCGTAGATGCCAAGTCGTTCGACACTCCGTTTCCCAACAATGTAAACGACACCGAGTTCGACGAGAACTCCCCCAGCATTCCCAACCACGAAGGGTGTATCACTGATATGGGCTTCGGGTAAGCAGACCGTTGTGTTCAAACCCGTTACGGTTGCCTGATACCTAGCTAACCTAAACACCCTGCAATGTCTAGATTGCTCGTATACACCGCGGTCAAGGCTACGCTACGGATGACCGTTCCAGAGTACAACGCAACGGGCGATACTTGGCAGCGACGGCTAGACGACGCGCGAGAATGGGGTCGGGACGTGCACGAGCGCTACTTACAACATTGTGACATGTCCAAACCTTTCCAGCGCCTCATCTACTACATCGGAAAGTCGATGTCCGCATCTATGGTCCTTCGCGCTGTTCGACCCGTGCAGCGGCACATGTCGAGCGTGCCGCCCCGCATCGACGATCCGTATGTTCTTCGCATTGCTGTCGACTGTCTGGCAGCAAATGAGCGGATATATACAGATCGCGAGTTTGACCGATGGCGGTGGCTTATCTGGGTGCAATGGCATGCGCTAGCCGTCGCATTGGCTGGGCTCTGCAGCATTAGGGGAACGGAACTGGCTGTTGAGGCCTGGAAGCAAGTTGAGACTAACTACGAACGCCAAAACAAAGTACGTATTCCACAAGCTTGAGGTCTTCCTAATTGTCCAAAATACTGCTAACGAGTTCGCCTGCACTGTGCAGCTGGTGGCCGACTCTCAGAGCGGTAAGTCGAGCGAACGGTCGAATCCATCAACATTGTCTGGAATACAGCTGACTCTATCACTCAATGGGCTATAGGCATGCTCTGGCGACCAATTGAGAAGCTTTACAAGAAAGCGAAGGCGTTCAGTGCCGATGGCAGAAGGGAATCGACCGCGCAGTCTCAACAACAACAGCGCCAACAGCAGCGTCCACCGGAAAAGTTTCTCATCCGTCAACAGTCTCCCTTACCATTGAATGGAACAACCACCACGGCTAGCCCATTGTACGCAACGACCGGCATTCATCCTCAACAACCCCACATGCCAACCGGCGCGGTGCCCATGGATCTTATCATGTCGAGTCCCATGGACTTCAACTTCACCTTAGAGGGCGTATCCGCAGGCATGGTGCCCATGTCGTCAGGCGATGTATCCTGGCTTGACTGGGAGCGGATCATGGATGACATGAACGCGGATGCTACGGCTGACTTTAACATGAACTTCGGCGGGACCGACGTGAGTCACAGCAATGTGAACATGGGTGACCTGCAGCGACCATTTGCGGTGCCAGACGGTCATGATTGGCCGTGCAATCTGCATCAGAATATCATGTGATCGCTGAATCGGCACGGCATTGCAATGCCGATCGCTGAGATTCCGCTTGCACGGCCCGCTGTACCGCCAGTTATGAACAGGCTAATCTCAACTCAAGTGGCACCTCACCTTTCACTCTTTCCCAAGCATTCGCATCTGAACAGTTGACAACACCATGACGAGGGCTCAGTGGCTCGCGGATCTTGAGGAGAATGGCTACGTGGTTATACCTAACGTGATCCCGCAGTCTTCGTGCGATACATTTCAGGAGCTCGCGCTGCAGTGGTTTGACAGGAAGCACATCGCAGGTTGATACACCACTGATGATGAGTGCAGGCTCGAGTCCTTCCACGGCTTCAAGCGGGACGACATAACTACATGGACGGACGAGCATCTACCTTTTGGCGTGAAGTATGCATAAGCTATCTTCCTTGCGGGCAGATAAACTGATTGGTACAGAGGCGGTCTGTACAATCGATATTCAGTCAACCATGAAGCCTTCGTTTGGAAGATCAGAACGTACGAGCGCTGTCTCTTAACTCCAACGGGATGCTGATTGGTAGTTGAAGCGAACCTGGCATCATCAAGATCTTCGAACAGATTTGGCGTACGGACGATCTGATTGCATCCTTTGACGGCATCAATGTTACTTTGCCTATCAACGCAGCCACTGGACGAAAGGATATGGAACCCACCAGTAAGCTGACGGGAATGCCACCCCCGAGCTACCACCCAGACTGACGTACTCCAGCGCCGTGGCCACGTAAGGCCTTTTCAGATCAGGAGCAACAGTGCAAAGGGCTCACGATGCTGCAGATATTGACCAAAACCCACGAAACGTCTCCGAGTTCCAGCTCTATCAAGGCATTGCAAACCTGAGTCCGTCCGGTCCGCATGACGGGGGCTTGGTTGTTCTTGCTGGCTCTCATAAGCTCCATTCGGATTTCTTCTCAGCCACTGGTGGCTTCAAGGAGTCTCAGAACCTCGGTCACGGCAAGAACGGCTATGACTTTACAGCCGCCGAAGCCGATTGGTACCGACAGCAAGGTTGCCGAGAGGTTAAAATTGAGGCAAGCTCAGGGAGTCTCATTCTCTGGGACAGCCGGACCATCCATTGGAACAGCACGCCGTCTGGGAGTCAAATTCGCTTCATCACATACGTGTGCTACTGTCCAAGAAGCATGATGAGTGCCGAGGATCTTCAGGAGAAGCAAAGAGTGTTCGAAGCTCGAAAAGGCACCACACACTGGCCCGTGAGCAAAATCGACAGTATTTAATCCGAGGCTGTACTACGGAGCTGACACACTGTATGTGTAGAACCAAAATGTTATTCCGGCCGAGCGTAAGGACTACAAGTTTGCACTTCCACGAAGGCCAGATGGCAGTGTAGATCCGGCCAACCGTACACGGCCATTCCACGAACCGGAAGACTCGCCTGCTGTATTGAGACTGGTTGGCATTCGAGCATGACAGCGCAGCGAAAACCGTCCACTTCTGATGATTTCTCGACTTTAATTTATACCGCGCATTCTTAAAGCCTTCTCTTGTTCCGCAGTCAAGCCAACGACCTGGACGTTGATGGGTTGGAGGGTCAGCTAGGTTTAGACAATCACGATGGGAATTGAGCATTGCTCTGCTTACCCCTTTCAGAATATCATCCCTTGCGTCGAGAACCACATTTGGTCCCTCGTAGCCTCGGGTGCGCTTGTACAGATACCACAGTGTCAATAGTATCGTACAGCCGCCGGTCATGGCAACGGCATAGTTCATGGTCTCCGCATCTACGGGATTGACGTATGGAAACCTACATTCAGCACCAGTAGTTAGCTTGTAATGTCGCGAATGAGTGGCATACAACTTACATATATATGACGCTGAAGACGATAATGTACGCACATGCAGTGCCTGATACTGGGTAGGCGATCGAATCCGGCATCCAAAACGGACCAGGCCTAAGGTTTTTCCTACCGCTGAGTATGTGCGGCAGTATGGCTGCACAGTATGATGCGCAGGTAAAGATGGCGAAGCTGCCTACAAACGCCGTGAACGCGGTGGCGTTCCCGACATATATTGCGCCAACGATCGTTACTAGCACACCGCATACCAACTGTGCATGGAAAGGATTCCGCCATTGAGGTGAGACTTGCCGGAGCCAGGGGCTGAACGGTGTAGCATCGTCACGCGCGAGCGTCCAGAGCATTCGACCTGCCGTGATGTAGGCACCCAAGAGGTTCACAAACTGGTCCAGCAGGAAAAGAAACAGGAGTCCAAACGTGCCGCCAGATGTTCCCATGGCTTGTTGAAACATTGCAGCCAGCGGCAAGCCAACGATAGTCGACTCGAAGACGGCGTTCAGGTCCGTTACGGCATAAAGAGCAGCAATGTAGAACACAAACGTCGAGATTGCGCCGATCGTCATCTGGGCCAGGATACCGTACGGTATGTTTCTCCTGGGGTTCGGTATCTCTTCGCACAGGTGGCACACACCGTCCGGAGTTCCTATGGCATATGCCCCGTTCAATATGCCCATCAGGAAGACAAAACCGTTGCTGCTCCAGCCTGTAAGGTTCTGAAAGTCCGTCCAGACAAAACTGTTGCTAGCGTAGCCTTGTCCAGTTTGACTCGGCATGATTGCAAGTACCAACGTCGTGATCAAGCATAGGAGCATTAGCAGTACGCCCATAGCTGTAACTGTTCTCGCAAGGAAGCGCTGTCCAAATAGCACTATTGATAGGTTGATCCAGGTGACCACGACATAGCAGATGAAGATGTGCCATCGCTGCAACGCATACTCTGGATGATAGGTGCTGTATAGCGCTATGATGGTCTCTGCGGCGAAGAGGCTGGTGCTTGAGGTGCCAAAGATCCAGGCCAGGAAGTTCCACCTGGCCAGCGAGGTCAGCACATGCCACCACTGTATATAACTTGCAAGGGTGGAGTACCAGCCGGCGTAGAAGCTCACAACCTTGCCATACTTGCCAGCCGTAACCGAAGACCAGTGATATACGTTCGCGGAAGAGGGAAGCGCGGAAGCAAGCTCAGCAAGTGAAGCAGCGATTGTGGCGTAGAAGAGGACCGCCGCGATCAGGCCGTACATCACACCTGGACCTCCTCCGTTGTACAGTCTGCCAACCATATGAGCACTCCCACTTGCGCCTCAGGAAAGATCCACCGGCAAGACTTACGCGAGGACAAGCGAACCGCCTCCTGCACCCCAGGCGTTGTCGGACAGGACAGCCATGCCTGCGATGCTCCAGAACCTATATCACAGCGAAAGCCATTGTTAGCAGGCTTTTCCTTCAGAATCCGCAACGGTCAGAGTCATGATTATTGCCGCCTAGCTTCCTATTCCATGTGTTATGCTCGTGCTGCTTTCGCTCAGATAGGCGACGTGTGGTTGTGTAGCATTGCTGGGACGAACGACGGGTGCTTTACACCGTCCGGAGGCCGTTGACTATGTTTAAGATGCTCGGACATCTTCGGCTAGGCCAATGGCTGTTGCCTGTTGGGAATGGCGACAATGATCAATCACAATGACCTTCACCAACACCTACCCGAAGCTCCGGTCAAGTTCTTGGACATGGCCAGATGCATTGACGAGGTCGCCGTCAACGGGCTCAACAACCAAGCCTGAATCGCCATCGAGCTGCGGCAGTGTATTCTTTTCGTCTTTGGCCTCCATAGCGGATGTGGGTGACAGACTCCTCCATACGATTGACGGGAGAAGAAGAAGGAGAACAAAGGGTACCTTCCAAGAGATCTAGGCACCTCGGATCAAGACATACTTTTCGATCCCGCAGTGTTGATACAGCGCGTAACCTTACCTAATGCGCTCACCATGCTATTGGGCGAAGCAGCGCAGCCAAGATAGCGGCCGTTTGGCGCTGGCCGGTATCGAAAGGGACCCTACTGCCCTATCGTAACAGGCTTTGCCGCGTATATGAGGCGAGAGTTACGATCATTGCCGCGAACTGCACGTTCCACCATACGGTAGTTACGATAGACGGACGACAAAGGGTAAGTGAAAGCCGTAAGGACGATGAGACTTCTAGATTTATCAGATAGAGTATCGACGTCCGTGCGCTCAAGAGCACCAGCCTAATAAGGCAAGTGGAAGCTATGGAACGAGGGTTAATCACGGTAACCTCCATCGCGCCGTCGCTTGGCTACGGAATCTCATATCGGTATTCCATACACGCGCTAACTCGACGCATGGCGGACGCTACTCAACAATTCTTGGCGACGCGAGCGAGCAGGTCTCGTGCTTCCATGCCTGAAAGGTGCAGCAAATGATGCTCGAAGGGCCACAGTAATGTGCCACCCTCCGTGCCTTCGGAAGCGGGGACGACGATATATGTCACTACCTAGCGGGGACACTAACATTCACGCGTTGAACGAACGCTTCACGTGACACTCGTGACACTCGCTCTCGAGCTAGGATGATGAGTTACAGGCACTCGTGGTGAGGAGACTGGAGAAAATGCCCGAAGCTATTGCGATCGCGACCACCAAACGTAAGATCCTAGCCGCACTACACCTGCAGGAGCCAGCTGCGAAGCGCGTGAGACACAGCAGTTCCACGACCAGCATATCATTAAACCCGGGAAACGGTAGCCATAAGCCTTTACAGCCTCCCAACTTCTCGCCGTGGTCCCAAGAGCGGTTTCTCTCCAGGCTGAAAACGTTTAGCAGTGTCAGTCTGTGGCATCCGAAGCCTGACGTTATCGGGGAGGTGCAGTGGGCGAAGCGAGGATGGGTATGCGTGGATGTCAATACTGTGGCCTGTCGTGGTGGCTGTGAGAAGCGAGTGACGATAGATCTTGACGTGGTAGAGCGACCAAGCACAGTAGATGACGTGGATGACTCATCGGACAACGACGGTTTTGATGAGCGCAATGCTGTCGAAGCATCCCTTGTCGAGCGTTACCGAAAGCTCATCGTGGATGGACACGCAGAAACCTGCCTGTGGCGTAAAGGAGGATGCCGGGACGAGATCTACCACTTACCCGTCGTTATGCCTGGTGTTTGGCAGTCTGAGCTGAGGATTCGCTACTCTGCCGTACGCGCAATTGAGAAGTCCATCAAGGATGTCAATCTGGAGACCTCACCCCTCGACGGCTCAACAATGCTACCACCAGGGCGCTTACTCTCCGAACTTGCAGACGTGCTCGATGACCGCGAAGCGTCCGCTACAGCAACCGAAGACAGCAGGATTAAAGCACTGCGGATAGCCTTACATGGCTGGAAAGGCTCATCTGAATCAGGCAATGAGCTCCTATGTTGTGATGCTTGCTTTCAGCGCGTTGGCCTCTGGATGTATCAACCGGGCTACAAGACGTTTAGCCCAGAACAAGACGATCCGATCAATGACATTGCCGCAATTGACTTGGCGGAGATGCACCGGGAGTACTGTCCCTGGCGCAACGCGGACACGCAGAAGGCTACTGGCATCCTGGAAGGTCTAAACGCAAGCCAAATCTTGACACGAGTCGTGTCGACGTACGCTCGAGCGCAGAGACGGAAGACTGATGCGGTGCACGGTTCGGTGCAGACGCACGACATAGACGGCCAGACGGAGGATGAGACTGGTCCGGATGAACCAGTCTCGCCCAAGGTCTCAGCAGAGGAGGTTGCAAGGCAGGACAAAGAGCGCGAGTCTCGACTGCGCAGACTGAAGAGCCTATTTGCAATCAGGCGACGACCGAAGGAGTAACATCGTGCACAACATGGAGGTGTTCCCATCCCAAGCATGTAGTCTCATCTCGAAACTGTGCTGGGCAAGCAGCAGCGTAAGAGTAGCCATTGACCTTGAATATCAGCCTGTCGTTAGACTCGTCTTGCACGGGTATGGCTGCGTTCGGAGGTGGCAAAGCTTTCGAGGGCAAACTGTTACTTCCGTAAGACATTCCAAGTACGTCTTCCTGTTCCTCCAGCGCCCTTCCGTAGTCGGAGTCATAATCGAAATCATAATCGGAATCATTATCGAAATCTTGATCAAAGCCAGCAGTGTGGGTTGTCACCGAAACCGGTACCATTGGGCACACGGGATCTTTTGTTGATGGGGATATGGTGTTGGGCTGATATCGCTTGCAGGAACAGCTTTAGCGGTTCGTTTGACAGATGCTGAGCTGGGTGAGGCTCTTTCGCAAGAAGCGGATGAGGGCTTGGAAATGGATTGAGGCCTGAAAACGGGTGAGGAACCGGATGCGGATGGTGCGCTGGCGATGCATGGTGGTTGGGGATTAGGATAACGGGTCGGGATCGAATCGCTGTTCCCAGGCAGGTTATATTAGCCAAGCAGCTCTATTTCGGACAGACAAGCTTGAGGGCTGACTTTCTCGTTGAGACTGTCCCTCGCCTCGGTGCTTTGCGGCCATTGACGATGCTGTCGGGCGTGATCGGCAAACTCTCTTGTGCTGTACGGTTTTTGTAGGTGTCAAGAAGTGCAAGGCTGTAACACAGAGTGGGGAGGTGTTCCAAACAGCGATCCGGTAGTGAATGGTGCCTGTGAAGGGAAACGCACTAATGCGGTCTTAGACCGATGTGACTAACACAGTTAGCAGAGATATGCAAGTCTTGAAAGACAGCACCAACACGCTCCCAAAAGACTTTCTAGCACTATGCTAAGACCATGTAAACGTGGGAATGCGAGTACCATTATGTACGAACGGCCTTCGGAATTGGAACGGTCATCTGATCCAGAAGGGAGCAATGACATTGGCTTGCAGGCATATTGTACTGTACAGTGGTGTCTGGGCGCTCGCTACAGATCAGAGAAGGAGTGCTTATTGATAAGATCCCTTGTACTCCCATTCTCACTTCTTCCGCTGTCATCACGAGCTGGCTCAACCTGCTGTTTCACCACCGTGACAACCTTGATGTCTTTTGGTGAGCCTCCAAGCTCGTCGAGAGCAATGCTGTTGCGACTGCCTCTGCTCACGCACATGCCGTGCACTGGGGCACCAAGTGCATCCAGCGCCAGACTCCGCTCGACATGTGAGACTCCGGTGTGATGCTTGTTTTGAGAGCCAACCGGATAGGAGCGATTGCCAAAGGTCTTCGGGAGGGCTTTTGCAACGAGTGCTTTGAGCGTGGGGAGACAAGAGCAAAGAATGCCCGTGTCCAGTTCGAGAAGGCTCCAGACTGCGGGTAGACTATTGTTGTAGCTCTGGTCATTGAAGTTTTTCGAGACGGCGTAGATGGCCTCCAGTCGCAGGATGGAGACGATGCAGGTAAAGCCACCGAGAGCGAAAACACACATTAGAGCGATCTTAGGACGCTTAGCGATGTTTAGCTGGTTGATGAGTGGCAAGGGTAGGATTGCGATCGCGATGTCGGTTACGATATTGACAGCGGCATTGGCGAACCTGAGATCGTCAGCACACATAACGGCACACGTGCAGATGCGAGAGCTTACCACACGGATTCTCTGTCCAAGCATTTGGCGTTGGTTATGGTTATGTCCCAGTATGCGGAGACTGGGCGACAGAAAAAGATCGAACTCCAGAATGCCCAGTTGGCGTGTATAGTCGTTGCCGCGATCACGCCGTAGCAAGCCATGCGGAAGCCACGCTGCGGAAAGATGCGCAAGTACTGGAAGAGAATCGCTAGCTTCGTAACGTAGAGACCCAGGTTGTAAATCGCAATTGACGCATAGAGCGTCTTGAGGAAAGCTAGCTCTTCCTGAAAACTGATAGTCCACTGGTGACGTCCGACGCCCTACGGAGACGATTGTCAACGGAGTGCCTCGCTGAGGGCGGGAAGGATCTCAACTCACGTAGCGGATCTCAAGACAAGTACACGCCGCCAGGCCGACTGCGAGAACTGCTGCTACGGCGATAATAGCGTCGTCGAAACCCGCATTGCGGGCTAGGCTGAGGCGCGTAAAGAGGCGGAGCGCGGTCGAGATGACAGCCAAAGATGTAAAGAGAACGCTGACCACAATCACCGCTGCCCCAGATGCATGACCGGAGGGCGCCATAAGGGATGTATGTCTGTTGTTGATAGACGGACTACAGGTGAGGCATCCCACGATTGTGATAGTTCGCCAGCAGGGCACTTCGGTTTCGGCCGTGATGGAGCGACGAAGTGGCAGTCCAGGTCCGGTCACTCTCAATGTCGCATGCGGAGAAGGGGATACACTCTGCTTTATCTCTGGTACTTACCAGATCGGCAGAGCCCAATGATTGCCGCGAGACGAATGCAGACATGGGAGGCGACCGGGATGACTCGTGGGCAGAAACCAAGGTGCGGCATCTGGTTGCTGAGGAGGTGGCGTCAAGGATGCTCAGGAACACAGCGAAGAAGCTGGGCTGTGCGATAAGCCGTCTTCTAGGCGCATATGCGAGCCGGGGGCACAGAACGTGCGCGCGGTCGCCTCGGTTCTGGGGGTGGTCTGACATTCGCCCTAGCCCCTCGCTGTGTGGTTGGAAAGTCGCACTAATGCAGAGCGCGTCGTCAATGCACAGGGTAATTTAGAACACCGTCAACCGGGGCAGACGTTCCGCTCACGCCTTCGCTTCCGAAATCCAGTATCCCACCAATCTCCACGACCTGGAGTTGTGGGGGAAGGAGAAGCGAAGGGAAGCTCTCTTTAGCCGGTGAGCCATATTTATTTGGGACGTCTTTCATGCCAGGCGGTCAAGGAGATGATGGCATTACTGATGAGACATCTCCCTCCCTCCTTCACGGACCAGGGTGAGCCCAATTCCCCTGGCAAGGACCATTTGAACCGTGCAGACGGCATGAGTCGATGCACGCCTTTGCTGCCATAACGTCGCAAGCCCATTGGTCATGGCATGCAGTACAATGCTTGAGGTCTGCTGACTGAGCGTGATGCCGGCCCCTTTCCCGCGTTCGAACTTGTTCGTACTTCGTATCTCGCTGTAGGGGCACTCTACGATCAACGACAGCTTGAAACATCAGGAACTGGTCTGCAGTCTGCTACTATAGCTACATCCACGCGCAGATCTACTCATTGCGATGGGAAGCTACATGGTGTTCCAGTCTTAGTCTGGCACTGACCCTACGACATCAGTGTTCGATTATCTCGGGTGGTCTGCTCCACTACAACATAATCTGAGTACAATCAGGACAAAACACTCCATAAATAAGACAATCTAAAGCATTACCCACCCATTCCACTGCCGAGATGTAAACACTTGTGACGGTCCTGTAACCCTTGCTTGGGATAACCAACGCGCTGGTCCCTCGGTCCTACGAGCATTACACTGTTCCGACAGTTATCGTCCCTGCTTAACGCTTCGTAGCGACTACGGGCCACTGACGAGGTATGCCCTCAGTGGGATCGTCAACCACTGGAGCTCACCACGAGCATACAGCTTCTGCGTGTGACAGACAGGACCAGGGAACATGGTGGAGTTGCGAGCTTCCCTGTTCAGAATTTAACATTGCTATGTATGGTTGTGTTCCCAGCGTCAATTGCCGTCGGCTTGACCACCCATGGTCAACAGACTGTGCTGTAGCAAAACTCATTCCCAGGGATCTGCCACAGTATTGCCATATCACAATCGCCCCTCAAGCCATGTGCTCTGCCTGCTTCAGCTTATCACTCTTGCCCTTGATAAAGCCGCTAAGGTCACCGACTGGTAGGGTCAGCGGGAAATCGACAGATTCGAGTACCATGGAGAACCACTAAATAGGTCGATTAGTACTGGCACACACACACCGTTGCAGGTCGACATACCAAATACCAAGCGACCATGCTTGCAACAAACGCGAATGCAGCACCGACAACTCTGGTGGCAGTGGCTGGTCCGAGACCATCGGCGGTGTAGAAGTAGCTCGCTGCGAGGCATGGGAAGGTGACCGTGAAGCACACCAGGATGATCACCAGGCAAATGTTCGTCCGGAGTGCCGCGATAGCGTACAATAGACACAGCACCGCCATGAAGATCAGAAACATGGCGAAGCTGTTGTAGAAGCCCGCCGGGTCGTTGCCGTAGCCGTTCACCGCGTTGAAGAAAGGCGTCAGGGTTGCTCCAAACGTCCCCCAGAAGCCACCGAAGGTGAAGAATACCGTAGCTGGATACGTGTTCCCTAAGATCCATTCACCTACGGCACCGAAGTACAGCAGGATGGCGCCACAAAAGAAGTATGCTCCAGTATCGGCACTAGCGTTGCCCACGCCAGCGCCAGCCCCGTGCCAGCCCATCAGCATGATTGTTGCTGGAGTGTTGGCAAGCAGAAAGCCGCCGAGGGCAATTGGGGTCGGGTTGGCAAAGGTTAGGCGAAGCTACCATGTCCCACAATCAGTATGTGCGTCAGAGACCAGCATAGGTGCGTCGCGTACCTTGCCGGCGACTGCTTGCTCGGGAGCGAGGTAGAGCTTTTCGAAGTGCGAAGGTGTTGGCTTGAGGATGTTCTCCATATGTTCGATGTTGTCCATGTCCGCTTCCTTGACGGGGATGCTATCATGGTGACCGTTCGCCATGTTTGCTCTTCACTAGCTTCAGGGAATAGATCAAGTGCTGGACGGTAGGTTGGAAAGAACGAGACCAGATGAGCAGGTGTTACAGCACGTCAACGCTGATGGAGGCACCGATGGATCGAATGACGAACGGGGACCGGCCAACGTGTTGTAGCACTCGAGCGAAGATAGCGTGAAGATGCGTCTCTCGACGAGCGGCTCCTTTCATCTTGTACTCTCCTATGCCACCTACCTTGTCTCCCCCTCACATGTACTCCGTAAAGCCAGACCTCCACCGTGGAGGTCCATGCACGGGGAAGTCCAGAAACCCGCTCGAAAGGCCCACATAGCGACGTATACCGATGTACCTTATAGCAGTATACCGGCGCAGACCACATCGAGCCAACAGCCTCATAGTACTGCAGCTGTTGTGGCCTGGAAATAAGCTAGGAGCACGCGCCATGTCGCAACTATGCGTCAAGAGGCTGTTCTTCTAGGATCAGGTATAGCTGTCCCCAAGGTCGAGACTCCTGCAGAGTTCTGGCAGTGTCTCGCAATTGGCTGAAGGACCATGCACAGCAGGGTGTCCGCGTGTCCGGTGATGAGGTTATTGCCGGCGCGTGCGGAGACTGGTTTCTCCAGGTTTCAGTACCCCGGATCTCCACAATGATCGATCGCAGTTGCAAAGGATAACGGTGATCAGGAGAACGAGAGTCAATTTGAACCTTGGTCAGTGCTGTTGAATAAGCTCCTCAGTTGGCCCGTACACTGTTATTTTGCAGCTCCAAACTTTGCATTCAGCAAAAGTTCCTGCCGCAGTCTCTCAGCGTCAATCGAATCACTAGCCAACTGATCGGTCACAACATCTGCTCGTCAAATCAACATTCCCAACGCTGTTGGCGACGCTTGGAGACTCTATCGTCTGCATGGCAGCTCCACTTATAACGCCAAACCCAGGGTATCTTCGCAATCACCACGCTCGAACGCTCTTCATCGACGACCAATCGGGCAGCGCCCAAGGGCCACCTCTCATGAATGACATGCCCTCATCTAGGTCGATGCACAGACACTCACTGCCTACAGAGAGTCAATGCCCACCGACATCGCAAACGCTCCGCTTCTTGTGATCACCAGTATAGTGCTCGATATGGTCTTGGCCGTCAAGTCGTTCACCAGCCCCTGGTACCTCTCCTAGCCACGATGAGCCTGTTATCTTCATGTGCTCCCTCAGCTCATTCGTAACCCTCTCGACTTCCTCGTTCAGACCGAGGTAGTAGCGCAGGAAGTCGCCGACCTCAGTGTTCTCGTGGTTTCCAACCAGCTTGTCAGCAGCAGAAGGATCTGATGAATAGATATTAACATCAGCGCCGCTATGACCGTGGGTCGTCCAACCAGTCTGGGCACGGCGGGATACCATATCTGCGAATTGGTAGGCTGCGGTCGCCGGGTCTTGCACAAGGTTCTCGATTTCATCCTGGCCCAAGTCATGGATGCCCAGAGTTTCAGATACCAGCGCGGCAATGTAGGCAACTGTTTCGTCACCGGTCGGCGTTGGCTTAGCGTGGAGATGCTGATGGTATTCATGATCCAAGTAGCTTGCGGAGTGGCTGGCGTTGGCCAGCACGCCCGGGTACCAGAGGTAATCCGGATACGCCGCGTGGAGCTGTCTTGCTGTCGCAAGGCCACCGGTCTCATGATCAGAGGTGGAAACCATCAGCGTCGGTGTCTCGGCGTCGCGGACAAAGTCTAGTACGGCAGCCATCGCTCTGTCGTAGGCTTGGACCTCGTGTACCTGGGCTGCGGGATCATTTGCGTGACCAGCATGGTCGATCCTAGAACCTTCGATCATGACGAAGAAGCCCTGGTCTTTGTCTGCGGATGCAGCACTGAGGGCGTCCAAAGCAGTCCTCGTCATCTCCTCGAGCGAGGGATACACATCGTCTTGGTATCGGCGATCAATCTCGTATGGAAAGTCAGTATCGGCGAAGAGACCCAGCATAGGCAGCTCGACGCTGGTGCCAAGGTTGTCGAAGTCTTCACGATTGCTAATGTAGCCCCACCCCTTGTCCTGCGCAAGCTGAATGACATCGATATCGTCTTTTCGGCAGCTGCCGTTTGCGCTGCTTGGTAGAAAATGGCATCTACCTCCGCCAAACATCAAGTCTACCATGCGACCTAGAGGATGCGTCTCGCCCACCATCTGCATCGCAATGCTGTCTTCCATTTCTCTGCGTCTAACATGGCTGACGAAGACTGCAGGTGTAGCATCGGTGATCCTAGTCGTAACGACCAAGCCAGTTGTATAACCCATCCGCTTTGCCGCTTCCATAACGCTGCCGCAGGGCGAGTGGTCGGGCAGGACGCTGATGGCGCCGTTGTAAGATTTCCGACCGCAACTGAATGCCGTCGCCCCAGCCGCAGAATCAGTGACTAGAGACGATGTACTGCGCGTCCTGCTCTGGCCGATGAGGTGCTGGTCGAGGATGAGTGTTTCATCGTATGGTAGCTGCTCCGAGAACTGGCGCCACTCTCGTGTTAATGTTAGGCTTGTTGGACCCATACCGTCCGAGACCATGAAAATGAGGTTGCGTTTCCCCGAAGGTGCCGCAGTGTTCGGGCTATCACCGCCTGCTACGTCTTTCGTATTTTGATAGACGACCGCTAGCACCACTACTGCTACCGTTGCCAACAGTGCCCATAGGAAAAGTCCAACCTCATGCCTAGATGGGTGGGTGGGTCAGCTGTGCCTGAGACTTTCGCGATAGGATAGGCGCATTGCTCTGCATACCATCTCTTCTTCACAAATGCTGTTGTGCTCGCCTGCTTGTGCGCGGGTTGGCCCGTAAGTAATGCATCCTCCTCTTCTATGCGATCATCCTCGGCGCCCTCTGAAGGGGTTTGTTGCGCAATGAGCGGTTCCTGGCCTCGCGCGGCCATGATGGCCGGAAATGGATGTGGTTGGGTATGACTGTTAAGGCGTGGTATTCAGGTTGATAGGTCAAGGATCGCTTTCGGGGATAAGCAATTGAGTGGTCAACTTAGCGATTGAGAGGAAGCATCACGATGTAAGGGATGACTGTAGGGCTGTCACTGTGACTGCATACCCCGTGGCTGTTCGATAGGCTATGTTTGGCCTGAGACAAGGGTCCGGCGCGATGTCCCTTTGTCAGCCGCAAGGAGATCTTACCACATCGCTTACTCCTTCACTTTTACCGTTCAGAACATCTGAGAGAATATGCAGTTCGCCTCCTGGTGATTTCCCTTCCAAACCCGGGGATCTGTCCTGCGCTCTACGAAGAGAGCTACCTTTCCACCAAAATACATGCGGGTATTCACAGCTCATACTCATTTGGAACATCCGTGGCCAGTCTGCAGGCCGCAATTGTACGTTCTGCCTTAGCGATGCAACTCTATCCAGCAAGTCTCCTACGCCGCGCTACCGTACCTGTGACCCGAGTCCACCCATACCGCATCAGACCGAGCGTGCCTGTATACCGCCGCTTTTTCTTTGCCGCAGACGCCATGCGCTGAATACAAAGCCACAACCCTCTATCCTCATGACATCTGTTAGTCATTCCATGGGTTAGTCCCGCGGACTCTTCGTATACTATGTTCCTTGTTACGGGTGACCCGCAGGCTTCCCCAAACTACCCTCCTCGCGCACAGGTGAAGGCGAGCGCACCATCCCGCTCTTCAAACCGTGCGCATCAGACGCGGTCTCTTGGCTCATCATGGATGTGATCTGCGCCTGCGGAATCTCACTCCTCGGTGACATCGACAACGCCTGCTGCACGCCCATCTCCTCCTTCGCCTGCCGCGCGGGGCCGGGTTGCTCATCCTCATCGCTACTGCTTGCTGCCCCATCCTGCTGTCCCCCGGGTCGATGCCCACTACTGTCCATACTCTCCCGGCGGAGCCTATCCGCTTTATCCTTCAGCACTTTCGCCTCCTCTGCTGCTCGCTGCGCTCGGACCTGCTTCCTCCACATCCCCGCATACCGGCCCTTCAAGGCTAGAAGCTCAGAGTGCGTGCCGCGCTCTGCTACGCGCCCTTCGTGCAGAACCAAGATCTGGTCGCACATCGTGATGGTGGAAAGACGATGGGCGATGACGAGCATGGTCCGGCCTTTGGCGAGCGTCTTCAGCGCTTCCTGGATATGCTCCTCCGTCTCCGTGTCGAGTGCTGCAGTAGCCTCGTCCAGAAGAATGATCCTGGGGTTCTTAATGATAGTACGTGCTATGGCGACACGCTGCTTCTCGCCGCCGGATAGCCGCAGGCCGCGCTCACCCACTTTCGTATCATATCCATCTGGAAAACCTAGGATCTTTTCATGGATGCTGGCCGCTCTGCACGCCTCGTATACCTCCTCATCCGTAGCAGATTGTCGTGCATACTTCAGATTGTACATTAGGCTCTCATTGAAGAGCACTGTATCCTGTGGCACCACTCCAATGTGGCTTCGGAGACTGTCGATCGTGAGGTTCTGAACTTCCTGAGCATCAACCTGGATCGCGCCAGACTGGACGTTGTAGAAGCGGAACAGCAGGCGAAAGACTGTGGACTTGCCGCCACCTGACTCGCCAACCAGAGCGGTGGTGGTGCCTGGCTTACAACGGAAAGTCAGACCCTGAAGTGCAGGCTTGCGGGCGTCGTAGGAGAATTGTACATCCTTGTAGCGGATGTCGCCTTGGCAAGAAGGCAGGTCAATGGCGTCAGGTGTATCCACCACCGTCGGCTCCTCCTTGAAGAGCTCCAGCATACGCTCCGAATTGATCATGTTGTTCTGGATCATACGGTAGAACGTGCCGAAGAAGTTGAGCGGACCTTGCAGCTGCGTCATGTATGTCAACAGCGTAACGAAGTCGCCGACCTTCAGCTGCTTCGTTGTGACTTGGTAGGCAGCAATGAAGCACGCCACTATGAGCCCCAGCATGAAAACCAGGTTTTGCACCGTGTTCATGAGCGCCAGGGAGAACGTCACGAGGTATTCAGCACTCTGGTACTTCTTGACCGCGTCACGATAACGGTTGAATTCGTAGTCCTCGGCGTTGAAGTACTTGACTGTCTCGTAAGACATCATAGAATCGTTCTTCACCGCATCCTCCTCCCGGCTCGCATTCGTCGCTTGCCGGCGAATGTCTGCACGCCACGATGCCATCCGTATGGTGATGTAGATGTACCAGAACGTGACGACCGCAATGACGAGCGCGTAGTATGCGTCAAAGTTGATCAGGAAGTACACAATCGCCACACCAAGATCGACCAGCATGGGCAGCACGTTGAACGTGACCGACTCCAGAAACGTATTCAGAGACGAGCCCTTACCGAGTGCGGACAGCACTTCGCCCGTCTTCTTGCCGAGATGGAAGTCCAAGCTGAGCATATGCACGTGCTCAAATGCAGCCACGGAAAGCTCGCGGTAGGAATACTGCTCGATAGGAATCCAGAGCACTTGGCGCGCAGCTCCCAGCAGGCCGTTGGAGCCTTGAAACACCCGGTAAGTGATGTAGAGGCTGATTGCAGCCCACGGCATACGCATCGGCCCCTTCTCGCCCGCGAGGATATTGGTGATGACGCCGGCTTGGTATGGGACGAGAAACTGGATGCCTCGCTGCGCAAAAAGGATGATGAAGCAGATGACAAAGTTGATTTGCAGCTTGCGATCCTTGTATGGCCAGATGTACGGCAAGAAGATTCCGTAGGCGCGGATGTACTCCCACCAGCTCCGCGAAGGTGACTCTTTCGGCCTTTCCCATCCCGCTGGTGCGTCGTGCGGTCCTTTCGGCTTGCCGTTACTGATGCCGTAGCCGGTACTCGGTCTCGTAGCCATGCCATTCTCCGCTCCTCCTTCGGAGAGTAGCCCTGTCTGCTCGTCTACTCCTTCTTGCACCTTCTTCTTGCGACGTTGCAGTAGCACGAAGGTTGTATAGAACAGCACCAGCCCCATGAGCAAGACTATGCGCACCAGGTCCGATGTGACCTCCAGAATCTCCCAGTGCGTCATCTCCCGCTCCAACTCGCCGCCTCTCGGATCGCCTACCTTTGGTTCTCTGTGATCTTGCGTGTAGACGCCAAAGGATGCACCTAGCAATATGATCTCCATCATCAAAGCTACAGCCCATGTCATGAGGTGCGCAATGGTCGGAGAAGGTCTAGTATCTATCATCATTATGAGCAGCAGTGCGTACACCATGAACGCGCCGACGAGGTATATCTGCAGAAATCAGTATCAACTCTTCATGAACATCATGCCGTGTATCTGCTCACCGTCGGCGCCTGTCCACACCACCATCTCTGCTCTCTCTCCACCAGCGCATGCACAATCACCACCACAACATTCGCCACCAGCGTGGCCAACACTCCCACTGAAAGCCACTGGAACAGCAGCTTCCGCGGCTTACTGAAGTCCAACGAGCTTGGTACTACCGATGCATTCTTATTGCTCTTCCTGGGCAGCGGCTTGCCCCCGGGTCCCAGCTGCTCTGGCTGCTTGCTTGCCTCATCATTATCATTATTACGTGCCGTGAGTATGCTTCGTGCCGTGAACACCGCAAAGTACAGGAGGAGGAGTATTATCGGGTACGCAACCTGTAGGTGGGTGAGGATGTTTTGCGCCACCGGATTTGACACCCATGGCAATGGATTAGTTAGACCAGGTCCTCGTCGTCCCGGTGGTGGAGGGCGGTTCATATTGGTAATGCCGTTGGTTGGCCGTTGGTATGGCGCACAAAGTCCCCTCAGTCTCTTCCAGCAAAGCCCCGCTAAACTGAGCACCGAGCGGTAACGACCGACCGAGGTGGAGGTGAAGAGAAGGGAAGAACGAAGCACACACGCGAGATTAGCAGAGGAAAGAACGGTAAGAGCGCATGATGCTGGCAAGGCAGACTACCTTCACCCGAGCGACGGCGTGGTGCATGTGAGCAGAGCAGTGTCACGCACTACGAGCAGCACCGCACGGCACTCTTCTTCTGGTGGCGCCGGGGTAGCTCAGGCGGCTGACTTGTCCCTTGCACACGCCCATGCGTTGGTCTTCACTAAGGGCACAATCGGTGCTTCGGCGAGTTTGCCTATAGGGTACGCTAGATCAAGCCAGACCCGCTCGTGCCGAACACCTGCACGCAGTATGCTCGATGCGGTTATTGAAGCTGTCGAGAGCTTGTACGGTGGCGTTCGACGAACCGATCAACATGCTCGACATTGCTCACCGTATCTCTTCACTACAAATAGCGGACTCAAATCAACGTGGCAAAGTTGCCGATGATGGGATGTCCCTGGTTCCGGTCACGAGGTGTACGCGTAAAAGCTCTAATATTGTGGCACCGCGGCGTGAGCCGTTGCATTTAGGTTACAAAGTCTACAGAGATCGTTTCGTACGATCTCGGTCGGTCCACCTCGCCTGCTGATCGGCGTGTTCTACCGCTTCCACATGGTCAGGTCCCATTCTTCGATTGTTCCATGGACCACCACGCCACGTCAAGCGTCCAGGCTCGCCACCGCTGTCTCATCAGCAGTAACCGCCACAAAACGGTGTCGGCATGTTGCCATCGACTCCAATCACAAACGTCAAGAACTTGAAGTACATGATAATGTAACCGCCTCGAGTGCCGGCACCAGCACCGGAAGGCTCGCGTCGCTGAAGAATGTCGTAGAAGCCAGTAGTGCACAGCTCTAACGTCAGTTGCGACGACCCATTGGCCGCATAATTGTGTACACCCAAGAAGATCGGTTGACCGTCCGAGGGGGCTTGATAGGTCGCGTTGCGCCACATCCCACCGCTGACGGTCGCATCGTCCACTGCCGCGCAAAAGCTGTCGGTGGCGCGGTTGAGATCGTCTTGAGTAGCGTATGAGGTGCCGGTGTAGGTACATTCCCAGTCATAGCTAGACCAGGCGTCAGTAAAGCACTCCCTATGAAAGTGCGTGGGGAAGTCGAGACTTACTCCCAGCATTGGTTGTCCAGGCAGTTCGACTCGGGCGCGGCTTCACGCTTGCTAATGAGGTTGGCCTGATCATGCTTGTAGCCTGGGCCAAGCATGCAGTGCTCGCTCCTCTCACCGAAGTGAGCAACGCGGCAGTCCGTAGTGCAGCTGGTAAGGCATGCGTTGACAGTTTTGTACGCCATAGCAAGGGCGTCCTCGCAGTAATAGATGGTATTAGGGAATTCAGACGGCGTGCCGAGCTTCCCACAGCCATCAGCCGGAGGGAGAGGAACAACCAGTGCCGTCACAACTTGCATTATGATCGCAAGTGCCGCGAACAGAAATTTCAGTCGACATCATCTTCACCAGGTTCATCGTATCCCTTGCCTGGTAGGCGTGACTGTAGGGTGCTCTGAGCAGTTGAGTCACACAGCAGTCGGGACACAAGCAGGAACAGGATGATTGAGGTCAGCATGCAGAAGATGATGATATCTGCGGTAGGTAGCATAGGGTGAATATATGCTTAAGAATTCGTTTGCTGAAGTTAACCCCAATGAAGCTTGTATGACCACGTGAAGCATTGAGTTGCCCGTCCATTTCGAGTAGTGGCGCGTGCTCGGGTGCAAAAGTAGAAGGGTTGACCTCGTTCTGCTAAAGGTCGGAAGGTAAGCATGCCGCGCTTTCGTCTCTACACACCTCAGGAATGTACCTTATGCGGACCGCCTAAGGCTTGACTCGTGGACATTTACGACGCACACAGCCGCTTCGTACTTCTTTGCCGAAATCCCATCTACCGGTACATGTCTTATTACACAGCCATTGCACGGAAAGCCTTGACGTTGTATTGCCCGTCGTGACCAGATAGTGGGCTACACCCGACAACAGCACTTCCTCAGCCAAGCGACATCAATCCTTCACTGCATGCCCACGAGCTGTCATATTGAACCCATGACCCATGCATGGGAGGGCTTCCGTGCTGTCCAGACGTGCTGCAACAAGGTTGACCTTTCGCGGCATGAGCTCCAATTTGCATATGAGCCTCTCGTTCCTCATATGGACTTCATCGTTAGAGTGTTATCCCGCCTGGTTCCTACCTGACCTGCCATTTGGTCGTGCAAACAGCACAAAGTGCCGTGAGAATGCCTGACGAGCTGGATAGCGCCGTTCTGAAAACCATGTAGAATTGGTAGATTTGCCATAGTCAGTCTTCCAGGCGCATCTCACACCGGTTCAGCCTGAGTGAGTTGCAAGTCGTCCGCCACGAAGCACTCCAACTCCGCTACCGTGAATTCGGTGGCAGCTCCGAGCGGCGCAACCGGTGGCAAGATCTCGAGAACTTCACTAGAAGCGTCTTGCTTCTTCAGCACTGCTGGCATCAGCGCAGGCTTGAGAGGCAACGGTGGAGGCGGCATGAGAACACGGTCTCGTCCCGCCTTCTCCACGGATCTCTCGACTTCGAACATTCGGCACGGCTGCCCATCGTCCAGTTCTCGCGATATCTGCGTGCTGCTGCCAAGCTCGTCCAAGAAGTCGGCAAGGTCGTCGCTTATGGTAGATCGTCCGGGTTTGTTCGCTGAAGCGGACTGTACCGTGGGACTTTGCTTGGGATGCTGTTCTACTGTTGCCGCATTTAAGACCCGCAAAAGCGCTTCGTCGTCGACAATGTCCTCTCCATAGTCGTCGTCCTGCTTAGAGTCTGTGCTCTTCACATTCTCCTTGTCGTGACTGTCTGTCGCCTTGCCCGAGCCAACACCGCCTCCAAGCTCCACCTTCGCTTCACCCTGACCAAAGAACGCACCCAAGCACACCTGACTGCCCATGAACCCGAACCGGTCGCAGCGCCTGTCTCCGGACTCTGCTTGCTTGACCTTCGACCGCTCAAGTTTCTCCCTTCGTTCCTTTTCCTGCCTCTGCTTGACCGCCTCAGCTCGTCTCTTCTCCCGCTCCTTGACTCCCCATGCCCGCCGATCCAACTGAATGGCGCGATCGAGCTGTTTCTGCTCTCTGTCCGAGATGGAAGGCCGATCACGAGATTTGAAGGAGGCTCTAGCCTGCTTCAGCGTTTGAGCCTTGCATCGAAGCGGAGGCGAAGGCATGCCGGTGTGCCGTCCATCACAGTGATCGCCAAAGCTATAATTACATTGCTTTGATGTAGAAGGCACGTATCAACATCTCCTTCGCGCACATACAGTGATTGCAAGGGTTAGGGTTAGGGTCAGCACCAAGATCTCTCCCAGGGTTGGCGGAGAGTGGCTGCGGCGGGGACAGCTAATTTCTGTATGTGATTGTTTTGAATGCGTGTCATCGTCTCTACTGAAACATCCGGTAGTTAACCACATCAAGGTGAGACTATGCATACCGGAAAAACAAGTGTACTCGCAGCCTTCACGTGGTTCTCATATACGAGCTCCGGGATGCGTAGCTGCCTTCTGCACGTAAAGCCATCGCTTAGGCCACATGCCGTATACCGGGAAGCACCGGCTCCTTAATGCCAACGCCGCCATAAACAACCACAGTGCCCCTGCCCGACGCCTCGCAGACCCCAGATACTCCAACAAACCTGCCCCAAACGCCCAATTCCAGAACACCCCAAATGCAATCCCATAACCACCCTCATCACCTCCAAGCAGCTTTCGTCCCAACACTACTCATCCTCCCCGGCCCTACTCCTACCCCTCCACTTCCCGTCACAACCGAACTAACCCTCGCATGCCCTCTCCCTCCCCCCTCCCTCGGCGTCCCTCCTTGCACACCAACACCAACAGCCGAACCCTCAACCATCGACCTCCTAACCGCCACCGGTCCACTCCCTTTAACCACCGGCTGCGTGCGCGGACTCAACACGCTCCTCAGCGCCTCTTCCCGCTCACTCTTCACCATCCTTCTCGCGTGGCTGGCGGAGAAGATGCCCGAGTCCGGGGGTGGTGAGTCACGAGAGGAGGCGGTGGGGGAGCGACGACGTTGATGCTGCTGCTGCTTGTTGGAGCCGATGCTGCTTGAGCGTTTGAGTTTCATGGCGGCGCGGAGCGTTTCGTGGTCTAGGCCGGAGAGGGCGGGTTTTTCCGTGTCGGTTTCTGAGGCTGAGTGGACTGCTTCGTCCGTTGTATGATCGTGACGTGGAGGTTGTGGTTGTGGCGAGCTTGATTGAAGGCTCTGACGGGGACGTGGCGCCGAGTTCGCAGCCATTTCTCGTAGCGGACTCGTCTCGTCTTCGCTTGAAAACGCCCCGAGTGAGAGCGCAGGCGGTGCTGGAGGTGGACTGCCATCGCCCCTCTTCGCCAGAAAGCCCGCCGCGAAGCGTCCAGTCCCTGCTTTGCGGGGGTCGCTGTTTGGCACAGGCGCAGTAGGCAGCGGACTGCTTCCCAACCCAACTTCATCTTGCAACAGCGGCGTAGGCGGAAGCACACCCGTACCATCCGGGTCCTGCTCCTGCTCCTGCTGCTGCTGTGGCGGCGAATGCAGCACCTGCTTCGGCGTAGTCTGAAACTCCACAAGCGGCTTGCCACTCTCCTCATCATCCCGCCACCTCACCACGCGCTTCTTCCCGGGACTCCTGCCCTTCTTCTTCAACGGCGTACCCGCAAAAGCGACCCCCTTCCGCGCCCCGCCAAGCTTGACGCGCCGCCTAGGCGATGCCGTAGCTCGAACGGGACTGGAGTTGATTTCCGACACCTCCGCAAGCATATGCGCAGGCACCGCGCTGGCCATTGCCAGAGAGGGCCTGATCTTCGCTTTCAGCGGACTGGCGCCCATGAGCGGGACTTGCTTCCTCTTCCTCGGCGTGCCGGAGCGCGTTGGCGGGACAGCTTCTGTAATCTGCAGTCCGCCATCCGGCTTGATGACCTGGCCTGTCGCTTCGGTACAGCTCTGCAGCAGCTTCCCTAACACGCCCCTCGCAGCCGCCACAGCATCCTCCTCACTCATCTGCATGATCTGGTTCAAGATAGCAATCGTCTCAAAATGCGCGGTCAGGAGCACCTGCATCAACCCCACCTCCGCCGTCTTCCCATCCTCCAGCACCGCCAAATTCGCCTCCAACTCCGCCCGATCCTTAAGCGCCTCAACCTCCCTCCTCAACCCCACCTCCTCAAACCCCTCAGCCACATACCCCTCAAGCCCCTGTAACTGCCTAACCCCATCCAACAACGCCGTGTCAACCGCCCTGGCCCAGTTGTTCCTCCCCAGCCTCTGATGAATATGCTGCCGACTCCCCTCCAACTCCACCAAAATCCCCTGCGCCGCCTTCCGCATCACCACCAACGCGCCCACCGGCTCCTCCCCCCCTTCCTCCCCTCTCACTTCGCACACCCGATCAAACGCCCCAATCCACCCACTTATCGCGCCAATCCTCCTCTCAATCTGCCTCAACCGCCTCAGATTCCCGGCCCGCTCCCTCCGCTCCTCAGCCGAATGCTCGTACGCCGCTCGTATCCTTATCAAACCCTCATGCGCCACCTCCCCCCTCTTCATCTCCGCCTTCCGGAACTTCACAAACGCCAACTCCTCATACTGCTTCTGCTGCGCCGTGAGCTCATTAATCCGCACCATCTGCTCATCAATCTTCTTCAAGTAATCCTTCACGTGTCGATCCACATTATACACATTCCGCACACTTTTCGTCTGGATGTTTTTCGCGCGGTTGGCGTAGCGGAGGGTATTCTGCGTCTCGTCGAAATGCGCGCTGCTGGGGCTGACGCAGACGATCATGACGGTGCGGCAGTTGCCGCCGAGGGAGAACTTGAGGAGGCGGGTGAGCTTGCTGTTGCGGTAGGGGACGTGGTTGTGTTTGGAGCGGGCGTCGCAGAGGGCGTTGATGCAGGAGCCGAGGGCGAGGAGGGATTTGTTGATGTTTGCGCCTTCGAGTAAGCGCTCGCCGCGGTTTTTCGTGGCCGAGGCGCGCTCGGAGCCGGCGAGGTCGATGATGGAGAGGGTGGCCATGGTGACGGGTTCGTTGGTGGCGGAGGCGTTGCGGTCTTTGAGGCTGATGTTGACTTGCAGCACGGCGTGGGAGCGGGAGGAGGTGGCGTTGGCTTCCGTAGGCGACTGCGTGCGGTTGGTGTTGCCGCGGATGACCATGTCCATGACTTCGGCGACGTTTTGGGGCTTGTGGGAGGAGAGGCCGGCGACGGAGACGGCTTGGTTGGCGTCTTCGCGGAGCATGAGGCCTTGTTTGCCGCCTGCGCCGGGGCTGAGGAGGTCGCGGATGGTCTCGTTATAGATTTCGAGGTAGGAGAGGGTGATTTCGGATTCCTTTTCGGACTGTAGGTCGTCGACTCGTTCGAATAGCTCTTGCATTGTGAGGAAGATGATGCCGGGTTGTTGCGCGGTGCCGGTGATGGTGTGTGTCTTGCCGCAGCCGGTTGCGCCGTACGCGAAGACGGTTGCGTTGTAGCCATCAAGCACGGAGTCGAGCAGACCCTTTGTGGTGGCCTCGTAGACGTCGCCTTGCGTGGTGTTTTCGTCGAAGACGCGGTCGAAGCCGAAGGTCTGATCTTTGACGCGCTTGCCGGTGGGTACGACGGAGCGGCTGAAGCGTTGCACTGGATTGTCGTCCGGCGGGTCGAAGACTCTATGCACGATATCAGTGAGGAGGCTCATGGCTCACTCTGTGGTATATGGACAAGCATACAAGCACTTCTCATCCACCACCTTGATCACGCTCCTGATGCCCTTCTGCCTCAGCTGCGGCGTTGGTACGGCCGCCAGCGATCCGTCACCCAGGAACAGTGGTCCTTCATCGCTCTTGGTGAGCTGTGCCGCTTCTCGTATGGTAAACGGCCGCACGCGGACCGTCACTTGTATGCTCGATGCGCCGTCTGTTGCTCCCACCATTGTGTCTGCTCAACCGATTCACCAGCGACATGCGCAATTGCCTCGTGCCGCGCTCAAACTGTCATAGGTTATATCGGCCTCTTATTGTGCAATGGAAGTAGTGCATACAGATGGAGTGCGCCGGTCATGCCCTTCTCTGACTGGCCGCCAACTCTCCAGCGGGCGTTGATGGCGGCGTTGACAGAGCGGGTCTTGCCGGTCGCGAGGGACGACCAGATTGGCAAAGCTGATTGGAGACACCCATTGCTTCTCCCTCCTCACCACCACCACCGCCACCGCCACCAACACTACTATTCTCCATCATTCTCAATACCGTTTTCGCTCGGAAGAGGTCGTAGTCCATGTGGAGGAGCACCCCCCACACGTCCGCATGGGAGTGTGGAAGAATGCCTGTCCGTGCCGCACCACAAAACAGAGTGTCTTTGCCTCCATCGACCCTAAGAGAGTGGGCGCACAACATTTGATGCTGATCCTCCATCAATATTGACCCCTTCTGGGCCTTACACCGTCCATGTTTTGAACAATCAGCGGCGGGCGCACATCAGTAAGAATAAACACAACCACCATGTGCACGCCAGACCTCCCCTCCCCAATTACTAAGCTTGACGTCGATCGATGTCCGCTTTCGTTAGCCATTGGAGCTTATGGACCCTCGGTCGACTGCCGGGCAGTTGTGCAATTGCACCATCTCTACGTCCTCCTCCACATAATAATGCCGCCAGCTTCGCACTTATTATATCCAGTTAAGTATCGCTCTTAATGTTCTCTTGCCTCCGCATGACTGCTACAAGAAGACTCTCCTCCCTCTCCACCCAACTCCGCACAGCCAGCACCAGCACCATGAAGGAAGCCGTCATTGCCAAAGGGCCCAAAGTCCAGATTATCGACTCATCCATCCCCACCCCCGGACCCGACCAAGTCGTCACCAAGGTCATCTTCAGCGGCAGCAACCCCAAAGACTGGAAGCGGCCCGAGTATGCAGGCGACAAACCCCCCATCAACCAAGGCGACGACATTTCAGGTATCGTTCATGCCGTCGGCGATAACGTGTCCGAGTTCCGACCGGGTGATCGCGTGGCCGCCTTCCACGAGATGGGGGCGCCGGGTGGGAGCTATGCCGAGTACGCACTAAGCGAGAAGCACACTACCTTCTATCTACCGAAGAAAACGAGCTTTCAAGGTGGGTGACACTGCACTTACGCATCAGACCACAACCCCTTCCCTAACCCATGTCTATAGAAGGCGCAGCCATCCCTCTCGCCGCCATGACAGCAGCCCTAGCCCTCTTCTACCGCCTTGCCCTCCCCAAACCCGACACCCCGCGCCTCGACTCCTCCCCACCCCTGCCCCTCGTCATCTACGGCGCCTCCTCCGCCGTCGGCAGCTACGCCATCCAGCTCGCCCAACGCGCCAACATCCACCCCCTCATCTGCATCGCCGGCCGCGCACAACAGCACGTCCGATCCCTCATCACGCCCGCCAAAGGCGACACCATCGTCGATTACCGGCAGGACTCTGAAGCCGTCGTGGAAGGGATACGAAACGCGTTGCCGAAGGGAACGAAGTTGGAGTACGCCTTCGACGCCGTCTCGGAAAAGGGCAGTTACCTCAATATCTGCAAAGTCCTCGACCCGCAGACCGGCAAGATCACGCTCGTGCTCCCCGGGAAGAAGTACGAAGAGATCCCCGATACCATCCAGCAGACTCTCACGCGTGTGGGCGACGTGCACGCGGCGTATGGCGATGATTTGCGGGATTTCGGGTATATCTGGTTCCGGTACATATCGAGAGGATTGGAGGAGGGTTGGTTCAAGCCGCAGCCGCAGGAGGTGGTGCCCGGTGGGTTGGAGGGGGTGGAGACGGGACTGAGGAATTTGAAGGAGGGGAGGGCGAGTGCGGTCAAGTATGTTTTTGAGGTTGGGAAGACGCCGGGGGTCAGTGGAGCGTGAGAAGGTGTAGTGGCTTTCGGTAAGTAAGCTTGGCACTTCTTCTATCTTCTATAGAAGGGCAAGCTATAACTTCGCATCCCCCCCACCAATCGCCTCTTCTCTCGATATCACCGCCAACCTCCTCGGCCCTTCCTTCCGAAACTCCACCAGCACACACTCCTCACCAACACCCCTCCGCCCCGTCTTCGCAGCCTCCAGCTCGGGACCAGGACGATTCAACCCCAAAATCACCCGTCCATCCTCTCTCCTCTTCCCACCCCTCGGCGCCATGACGGTGGGGGAGATGCACTTCTCCGTCCATACTGGCTCGCCGGTCGTCTTCACAAACTCCAGTAACCGTTTCCGCCTTGCTTCCAGTTCCTCTCGCGGGAGCTGTGAGCGGGATATACGACCGTAAGCTGTAGGTGAGGGTAACGAATCGAAATGCTGCGCCACCTGATGCAGCAAGAAGAACTGGGGCGGGAAGAGGATAATACGGCCTTCTTGTGCTAAGCGGAGCCAGACGGACGCGGGCAGGAAACGAGCGGTCGTGTGCTCGAGCCCGCCATCGGTCGTCGGAACCGGAATCCGCACCCCTTCCTCTCCCTCACCATCGCCATCCGCGGAAGAGGAGTCGGAAAGCGGCGTCGCCGTCAGCGTGGGCAAGAAGTAGAGGTACATCTGCGTGGTGAACCTCTTCGGCACATTCGTCGGCGTCACCCAACGGGTAAAAGGCGTCAGACCCTCCACGTCAGCCCTCCCACCCTTCTGCGCCAACCACTTCGTAAACTGGATTTTATTCTCGTGGACCAGACGCCGGCCCTCCTCGCGCTCGGGTTCGGATACTTCGAGTAACCGGCCAAACCCATTGTTGCGGGCGAGGAGGATGCCGGATTCCTCAAAGGTCTCCCGGATCGCTGCTAGACGGTAAATTTCGCTGTCGGTATGCCGGTCTACGGACTCCGGGGTGGGAGGGTGGCCGTCGTGGAAGGGGGAGATGTTGCCGCCGGGGAAGACGTGCGCTGAGGGGAAGGATGATGACTGCTTGACTCGCTGGAGGAGGAGGACTTGGTTGTTGGGGGAGACGAGGAGGACGCTGGAGGATGGCCGGGGGGTGGAGGGGGCCTTTTTCTCTTGGGACATTGTGAAGCCGTTTGATTCCGTTTGGCCGCGGAGTGCTTCGGTCAGAAGCTTGTCGTCGTCGTTTGGGGTTGGTTGTGACGTGTGGAAGATGGTTGTGGTGGCGATGGTCCGGAGGTGGGTTGGAAGTTGTAGAATTGTTGTCCACAGGCTTCTGGACGACAATGTCGTACTACTTGCGCAGCTTAAAGCGGACGGTAACATGACAGATTGGGTCGAGATATAGACTATGCGGTTGTCAGTTCGCTTTCAATGAGCGCGATGCGCGGGGATTGTGCCGAGGTGAAGTTCAGCTGCTCGGCGGAAGTTCGGCGAGGAGACTGGGAAGTTACCGAGCCATTGAAGAGTAGTGCGCGTATGAAAGCGGCCAGCTTGAATCAGTCCAACGTTCAGGGAAGCAGATCCAATAGAGCCAGGTCTTGTAGCTTTGAGAGGTGGTCAAGCTTCCGCGGCTTTCGCGGTTACTCTTGGGAATACTTAAGCTGCCTCGAGCACTAAGTGTACATGACTGGCCTTTACCAGCACATTAACCGCTGGCTGCACCGTCGCTCACTGTCACTCTCAGAACACTATCTTGTCTATCTGTACTCCGCCCGCACATAATCCGCCATCGTCTTCGGCTCGCCCGCATAGTTATGCGCGCCATCCGCATCCAGATGCACATCGTGTGCGCCGTGACCGTGCCCGTGAGCATCATGGCTCTCCGGTGGCCCCACATACTCCATCTTGTAAGCCGATCCGCACTCCGGGCATCGCTCGACGGGACGGTCGCGGGAGACGGTGAGCCAGAGGACGTTGTGGGAGTCGGCGGGACTGCCGGTGCAGCCTAGGTATTGTTCGTCGCCGAAGGATTTCACCACAATTGGGTCTTGGAGGGTCCCTGTACCATATCACGTTGTGTCAGCATGGGGTTGGGATGCAGTGTAGATTGATGTAACGATTTACCTCTCCTGCTCGCATCGAGCGGCCTCATGTCGAAGATGTCAACACCCTGCATCTTGCCGAGGATTTCGAGACGCTCGAGACCGGTTGCTTGCTCAAGGTCGGTGGGGACGGTACCGGGAGCGGCGCCGGGGGGGAGGAGGTCGGATTCTGACTTGATGTCTGCGCGGAGTATTCGTTAAGCCGTGACTACCACCTCTACGTCTCTATACGCTTCCCGCTTCACTCACTGTCGAGCGGTGTTATGAGGCTGTCTGATTGACCCGGTTTCGGGTTGCCGGAGTCGGGGCGGGCATCTGCTGCTACACTGGACTTAGCGACGCAATCAGGTGGAAGAGGTTGCGGTGCGTACAGCGGACGACGGTCGTGGCGAAAGAGCGTGTGGCGGCTGGGCGGAAGACGGCGCGTCTTGCCAGCGCCGGGGCTGCTCGGCGGAGGAACATGTTGGCGGTTGAATGTGTTGCTACTCTCTCTTCAAACGTTGTCTGGCGTGCATTGAGAGAGAGCTCTCCTGCCAGCCCGGAAGCTGCCGATAAGCTTCAGCCCTACGTACAATCTGCCTTAGGCAGCATAACGACGGTCCAGGCAACAAGACACTGACATTCAATTCCACATAGACGTGCAGCGGTCTTCTTGCTGCAGGTGTGTATGCCGCATGTGTCTCCTTGCTCCTATCGAAACACCGTACAATCCTGCCTGCGCCATGTGCTACCTACAGTACTCTAGTGAAATTCTGGAAGAGTGGTTGGAGTAGAGCTGCAACGGGCAACTGGATTGATCGACTACTTAATCTTCTTCGCCTTCAGCCTGATCGTCTCATCGTTGACGAAAATCCCCTTCCCCTTATACGGCTCCGGTTTCCGCCACTCTCGAATCTCAGCCGCAAACTGCTTGACCACTTGCTTCTCGATCCCCTCCAAGAGAATCCGCGTAGGCTGTGGCGTGCTCGCCGTAATGCCCTTCGGCACTCCCAGTTCGATCGGATGCGAGTAGCCAACCTTGAGGGACACGAACTTCTGACCAGGGTACTCCGGCTGCTTGGTGACTGCGGTAGATTCAATGGTCGCACGATACCCTACGCCGACTAAACGTAGGATGGCTGTGTGGCCTTCGCTGACGCCGAGGATGTGGTTTTGGAGGTATGCGCGGACGGTACCTAGATCCAACAAAGTTAGCTCTATAGTCCAGATAGTAGTGATAGGAATAGCATGACATACCCCACATCTCCCTCTGCTTCCTATCCTCAGCGTCCAGAATACTCAGAGTACGTATCCCAGTCGCATCGTCGCCCAAAACACTCATGTATGGCGGTATCGCGACGCTCAGTGTGCCTTTCGGTCCCTCAATATTCACAACCGAGCCTGGCTGTGTGCGGCTAATGCCGCCGGATCGTCCAGAAGCTGCAGACTGAGTGATTGTGAACTTCACCTCGGGCGGTAGTGAAAGCGGAGCACGGCCGATCTTGGAGCGGCACTGGGAGGTGGTGGAGAAGGCGGAGGTCTGAGGGTGGGAGGCCAGCGCGGGGACCAGGAAGGATGGTAGGGTGGCATGTTGCGCGCTGGTTGTCGCGAAGACGCTCTGCAATGCGCTCGACGACGGTCTGCGACAACATCGTGCGGTCGCCATTGTCGTATGTTACAACAGTGCAGTTGGTCAGAGCAAAGGGTGTGCGATACCATCTGGAGGAGCACGGGGTTTCGCGTGCGAAGCCCGACGCGGCAGTTTCCGGCAGCACCATTGCCCGCGTTCACTCCCGCCGCCCGCACGTCTTCCTCCCTCAGTCACCCAACCGCACTATCAAACCAGAGCTTCCGCCCGTTCACTTCCCCGAACAGCTGCTGCCTTCGCCAAGCACGTGACTGATGCCTGCCTCTTTCTGGCTTGCTATATAGATATCCACACAAACCCCGAGCTTGACGACGAAGCGAACTGACTTTGTCTGCCATCCAACACTCATCCCTACCACGTCATGCTAATGAAGATATCATCCTAAGTATCGTATTCATCCACGGCCACAGCTGCTCCTACCAGCTCTTGGTCTTCCATATGCAGAGTTCACAACAACTCTGAGGAATCCGTTCCGTCTGCTTGTTTGCACTAACGGCTCGATCACCATGCGTGTGTCATCTGCAGTAATGTGCCACGGCTCTCTGTTGTTTGCGGCGGCGTCAGCTACACCAAGCGTCTATGGTAGGTCAACAAGTGCAGTCTCATAATGTGAGCAATACTAATCAACGTTCTAGCGGCAACAGGTTCCCCAAGTGCGTCAATCGAGATCTCCGCAGACAGCGCGTCGAGCCTCGCCAGCTATGGCTTGTCACAGCGACTTCAGGATGCCAAGAACACGATCGACAAGATCCCGAGCCTTCCTCTCTGCAAGCGTACGGCGATCAACACTCTGCTAACCACCTGCGCCGAGCTCAAGTCCGACTTCTCCGATCACAGCAACTCCCACATCGAGGCACGCCTAGATGCGGAGAGAGGCGCCTTCGCCGTCCGAATGGCTATTTGCCAGCTGGAGGGCGACGGCGTACATATCCCAGACGCCTGTCGGATGTTCCTGCCCACAGCTGCGAACACCGAGCGCAAGCTGTTCTCCGGCATGCTCAGTAGTCTTCCCTTCGCCAAGCCGGTGCCCAGGTTTCCGGACTACGAGCGCGATACCGTATTGCACCTTCCAAGCTGCCGGCAAGCTCTGCACGATGAAGGCAAGGCTCAAGGCTGGCAGGTCTATCTGCACCACCTCCAACAGGCGGCGTTCAACTGCTATGCCATGCGTGGCGAGACCGAAAAGGACGAGGAGGTCAACCTTCTTCGAGCATTGCTTAGCACCACCGGCGACGTGGAGGCGGCCATGCGCGATGCCAAGGAGGACTTTCTCGAGCTGTTTCGAGACCTGACGGTCAAGTCTCGTCAGCACTTCGTTGATGTCTTTCAAGACAGCGACGAGCATCTTGAGACCGTCCAGCGCTTTATGGCCGAGTGGCAGTCTAGCTCCGAGCAGCTCAAGGAGAACCTGGAGAACGTCAAGGTGGGTTTCCAGCACTTGCACGACGACCTCGATCAAGCCAGCAGCAAGATCCAAGACAATCAGCGGCAGCACAACGAGCTCGCTACCGCTCAGAGCACTCACTTGCAGCAAGCGACCGACCAGATCATCGAAGTGCGCGAGCTCCACACCTACATCCTCGAGCTAGTGCAACAAAGCCTACTGCAAGCACTCTTCTCCGCGACCAACGAAACCGCGCTCGTCGTGCAGCAAGTCAACGAAGCAAGCAGCAGATTCATCGACTTCACAACCAACATCAACGACCTTGACGAGCAGATCAGAGACATCAAGGAGGAGACGAATATGTTGAAAGACACGCTTGACACGTTCACGACGTGGCTTGGTGGCAACCTCACGAGCAGTGCTCGCAGTCTGGCCGTCTTCTCAGCCTACGCAGTCGTGTATACGTGTTTCTTCATACCGCTCTGGCAGAGGCTCGTGAGCGTCCCGTGGTGTCTGTTTCCGGCTGTTGCTTGTGGAGGTGGTGAGCACACCCTTTTGGGAATCCTCGCTATATGGAATGACATGCTAAACCGTGTAACAGCCCTAGCATTCCTGTCGACCGTCTACGAGCAGCCACACAGCGTCATCGCCACAATGCTTAGCAACCCCTCGGCGGCAGACTGGTTCGGTCTCGGAGGCTGGGTCCTCTTCGGCGTTACAATCACCGCTTTCGCCGCTGTCTCCACTCTCGAGCGTCGGAGAAGCCAGTACCGCAGCAAAGCTCGAATTCGCGACACGGTGGGAGAGGCGAAGATGTTGACCTTCAGACTTCCTGTGAATGATCCAAGAGTGATGGAGAATAGGCGGGTGACGATGTCGAAGTGGCAGGTGTGATGTGCTCGTCTTAATCTGACACTTGTTGTCAAGGCCAGCGTGCTGGCATAACGAAAGGGCGGCGTGTGGGAAGGGCGACGGTGCGGTAGGGTGGACGGAGTTGGCTGCACTAACGCCTCCAGCTACAGCTCTACATGGGAATGCGGGTGGGTGGATGTTTCGAGCATTTAGCGGGACTGATATAAACCAGCACGACTATTCTCTTAGCCACGAAAAGTTTGAACCTTCCCTTGCTGCCGCCACGCCATGCACTCTTCAACAGCACGACCCTCACTTATGCCCCACCTCTTCCACGGGCATAGCCTCCACATCCGCCACCTCCGCCGCCTTCGGCCGAGGCGCGACATTCTCATCCTTCATAAACGGAAACGTCAAAACCTCCTTGATCGAGTAATTATTCGTCAAGAACATCACCATGCGATCAATCCCCATCCCCCAACCCCCCGTCGGCGGCAACCCGTACTCCATGGCCGTCAAAAACCCTTCATCCAGCACCTGCGCCTCGTCGTCCCCTTGCGCCTTCTGCCGCGCTTGCTCTTCGAAGCGGAGACGCTGGTCGAAGGGGTCGTTCAACTCGGTGTACATGTTCGCGATCTCCTTCTTGCAGACGAAGGCTTCGGCGCGCTCGCAGATGCCGGGTAGGGAACGGTGGTATTTGGCTAGCGGCGACATCATTTGCGGGTGGCCGGTGATGAAGGTGGGGTTGACGCATTTCTCTTCGATGAACTCGCCCACCAGCTTGTCGATCATGCGGGAGTTGGTGAGGGGTGGTGTACAGTCTACGCCCGTCTTGGCCAGCATGCGCTTGAGGAAGGCGTTGGTTTCCTCCGTGTGCAGTTGGTCGCCAGGAGGGAAGGCTTCACCGCAGGCTTCTTCAAGTGCGGGCATCATCTCTATCCTCTTCCATGGCCGTGACCAGTCGACGTTGTACGTCTCGCCATGCTGCGTGATGAAAGTGGTTTTATTCGACCCGCAAATCTCCTTCACCATGCCCTCGACGAGCTCTTCGGTCCGGTTCATGGTATCGTAGAGGTCGGCGCCTCGCTCGTAGAATTCGCAGGTGGTGAATTCGGGGTTGTGCGTGAGATCGATGCCTTCGTTGCGGAAGAGACGGCCGACTTCGTAGACTTTGCGGAAGCCGCCTACGATCAGCATCTTGAGCGGCAGCTCGGTGGCAATGCGTAATGCTAACATCATGTTGAGGTCGTTGTGGTGGGTCATGAACGGCTTGGCCGTCGCACCTCCGGCGTTCTTCATGAGGATGGGTGTCTCCATTTCTAGGAAGCCGTTGCTGTCCAAGTAGTTCCGAACATATCGAATGATCTTGGTACGCTTGATGAAGGTATCCACGGTGCGCTTGTTCATTATGAGATCGAGATGTCGGTTTCGGTGTCGCTCTTCCTGATCGCGGAAGCCGTAGTGCTCGGAGGGTATCTGGTGTAGACAAGGAGAGAGCACAATGACTTCCTGTGCGAAGATGGACAGCTCGCCGGGATTGTCTTCTCTCTTCGGGCTGGTGCGTCCAGGAAAGCCAATCACACCCAACCAGTCTCCTCTTCGGACAGGATCATGCTGATCGGCGAATGGCTTCTCGCTGGTGTTCTCCATATTCGTAGCCATAATTTGCACTTGCGCTCCATCTGCCTCGACCTCATAGAAGCGTAGGTTCTCGCCCGACGTTCGGATGTTGTACACCCGGCAGATGACCTTCACGGTGATCTCCTTCTTCGTCTCGCCCTTTTTGAGGTGGCCAAACTCCTTCTCGAAATTGGGAAGCTCATAGTTTTCCTCGAACTTGTGGGGGAACGGGTTCATTGACCCATCTTCCTTCATGCGCTTGATGGCCCGGGAGCGGATCTCGAAGTATTGCTGGGCCATTGTCAGTCAACCTCGAACACCATCAAGCCGCAGTGCCAACACATAATCTGAACCACGACTACAACTGCTCGCGTGACTCACATTAGGATTCAGGTCTTCTTCAACCGGTCCAGCCTTGCGCTTGGGCGCTGGAGGGGGCTGTCTCGTGGCCTCCCGTTCCGCCTTCTGCTTCTCCTTCTCTCGTTGCTTCTGCCGCTTCTTCAGTTCCGTCTTGGACACGTATTCGCCCGTTTCCTCATCCAGCAGTTGGTTCGCAGTAGGCGCGCCGTCCGCCGTCGTCATTTCTTGCACCTTGTCTGCCACATTTTGCACCGCATCCTTCACCGCGTCCGCGGTCTGTTGGGCAGACATACTGGAACGAAAGTGAGTGAATCAGCGCAAGTCGATGTCTATGAAACAGCCATTGATCAAACAAAATATTTCGAACCAGAGCACAAGAGTGTGGGGGAGTTTAAGTAGTGGGGCCACATATTCGCCTGAGGCAGCAGAAACGACGGAAGCGACGACAACGACACCAGCTTGGCTAATTAAAAACTTGCACCCTCAACATCACCCGAACCAAACGGTTGCCCTGGCCATCCTCACGTCCCACTAGCATTCAACCTCACAGCAAGCGCCGCCAAATCCGTCCTAGCATTCACATCCTCATCCAGAATACTCCGCAAATTGTGCAGCTTAGCAGCGTCCACATTCGGATCCGCCTGGATGATCTGCTGTGCCGTCGGGTCCATCAGTCTCGGCCCCAGTATCTCCGCGATAAGCGGGTTCCCATTTGGCGGGAGCTGCGGTTGGTTTGATAGCGGGAAGGCGAGCGGAGCCTGCTGCTGCTGTTGCTGTGGAGTTTGCTGCTCGTATGGATTTGGTGGGAAAGCAGCACCAGGCTGTTGTCCGACAGGCGCGCCGTACCCGGCCGTCGGCATGGCGGGGTGGTGTTGCTGGCTCGGTGAGAAAGTGGGATTGTTTTGGTTGAGAGGTGAGCCGGCCGGTCCAGGTCCGCCCGCGCGTACATGTTGCGGAAGATGTTGTGGTCCACCGTTCGAGACTGACGCCGTTTGCTGTTGCTGCGGCTGCACAGCCGTGTCCACCGCGGGAGGCATAGCCCTCGCAATGACGAAAGTTGCGAGCAGCATCCTCTCCTCCGCTGGTGACTTGAGCGTGCAGTGCTCCAGCATGTTGACGTGCTCCGGCAACCCTTTACCCTTCTCCACCGGGATGACGTACAGATCCTTGACGAGGGGCGGCTTGTCCTTATTGATGACCGCGTAGCGCTGGCGGCTGGAAAAGTACATGAACACTCGGTTGAAAGCCTCAATGTCGTCGTAAGCGCTGAGTGCAAGCACTGACACGTCACTAGTCTGGCTCCATTGCAGTCCGCAAAGGTACTCCTCCGCTTTGGGCACGGCCAACCTACCGTCAACCGTAAGCTTCGATGGGAGCATCTGGCGCCAGGGAGCGGTCGACGACATATCTCTTCCCGCCACCCAGCGTGCATTTACCACCGGCTCACCTTCTCCCGCGTGCACAAGCTTACCGCGCCAGACGACGCCGTCGGTGAGGTCGGATGGTTCATACTGCTCGTCATCATCTTGTAACAGGCGGTCGACGTCCGGATCATCTTTAGCTCCGTCATTTGATGCTTCCGCCTGTATCTGCATCGAGCTGCGCCGACGAGGTGGAATTTGCATGGGTCTCCGACCTGCAGCCGTAGTCGGTGACTGCGCGGAGCCCGTAGTCTTCTGCCAAATGTTATTGATGTCAAAGTTGGCCTGGCTTGACTCTCTTCGATCCAAGCCTGGGCCTGCCTCTGTCGCAGTTCTCGCGTTGCTGTCTTGCTGACCATCCACGTTCATCGGCACATCACTACCGTCTTCGGCGATGCTTGTTCTTTCCCGCACAGGCTGAATATTGGCGGCAAACTCGCTTGCAGCCACCCGATCCTCTTCAATCTTCTCCACACCCTTGTGATCTTGTCTGAAGCGTGGGCCCTCTTCTTGAATGGCGACGGCTTGCCGATCCAACTCCTCCTTCATTCGCTTCCGTTCTAGCTGCTGCTCCTCAGAAGCCATGTCTTTGCTTTCCATGGTCGCCAGCTCGTCGGCAGTCAGCGAGTCTTCCAGCAGGCGCTCCACGAGTACTCTGTTTCGCTTAAGGTTAGCGTGCAAGGCGCGGAACTGCGCCTTGTACTTCTCCTCCTGCGGCCCGCCATGGTTTTGGTACAGTGCGTATTCGATCAGACTTGCGTGACGCTCGCCGATTGACTTCGCCGTTTGACCATCCGGGATGCGGTAGCCTGCTTTCGCGCGCTCGCCGATATCCGTAGATAGGACGTCACTGAGAGCCTGAGCGATCTTCTTGCGGTCGTTGGGCAGCTGATCAATCTCTACAACAGCCGTCTCCGCGTCGACAATGGCTTTGCTTGTAGCTTGCGAAGACTTACGCCGTTTGTCTGCTCGTCTCGAAGATACCACCGGCTGCTCCTCGGAAGCATCTTCCTCTGGCACGATTTCTTCCAGTTTCCGCTTCGTCCCAGCCTCTTGCGAGTCGCTTGCTCCAGCCTCTGTCTCGGCTGGCTCCACTACCTCGCCATCTGTGTACTCTGCCTTGAGGTACTTCGGCTTCACTTCCTCGCCGTCCTTAGCCTTCCCCTTCCTCCGACTGGCAGACATCTTTCTCCATTGCTTGAACTGCGTCTGCCGGGTCTCCCAGATCTTTTCGCCCTTGGCGAGCGCAGCCAAGGTCTCTTTGTGCTCCTCCGGCCTGCACTCCTCGCAGAAGTAGTGCTCGGGAAGCTTAGGATCTCCCTCCGGAGGCTCTCCCATACAGACATTGTGCTGCCAGCTCAGACAGGCTTCACAACCAATGAATTCCCATGTACTCTTCGCATCCGTGTCGCCGCATATGCAACGAATTTCGCCTTCCTCGTTGTCCCCTTCGTCATCCTCTGCCTTCTGCGCGGCCTTCTTCCCCTTCGACTTGGTGGTCTTGGCGCCCTTTGGCAGCGTTGGGGCGGGTGACGAGGAGGCCTTCGCGCTGCTGTGTGTACCCTTGGTCGCGCGACCTGAGCGGCGTGGTTCATCTGGGATGCCTTGTTAGCGTCATGTCTGGGTGATGAGACGTATGTACGCCACTATCACAGCATATGTGTGACTCTGGGATGAACATTCACGCCTCGGATATGCGGTTTAGCTTACCAGACATGGTGGGCGCTGTTTCTGCGCGCTTTCACGCGCGGACGCTGTTCTGGCAACGAACCAAGGGCTGCAATGGTGCGAGACGAACACACAAGGAGGCAGACAAGGACTATGACTATGCGCAAACGACTCTCACACAGGCGCTCACGGCGCGTTTGTAGAGTCTAGATACGATGGCCGATGAGCACTCCTTGGGAAAGTCGCGCCTGACGGCCACCGGGATCCTCCAGATGCACCGAACAATATAGACAGCCTGCACGGAAGAGCGATGTGGTACGCTCTACGTCTCGCCGTCCACCTGCCTGCCCACTCCCGGATTACCAAACACGCCGACGAAGCCGTACCGTACTTTCACTGTTACTCGCTTGGGTGCGCGCGTCGCTATCGGTCTTGATTTGGTTCGTGCAATGCCTGAGCGATCGCACTATCGGGGGTGTTTGCGCGTGTGTGGTAGGCGAAACAGGCGATGCGTGTTGTCACTGCGGCAGTAACTTGAGGAGGAGATTGCGCAAAGGTGGAGTATCTCGCCAAGCCTGGCCCAAGCTCTATATTACATCACGTGATCCGACATATCACTGTTGAAGTGCTCTCTCAGATATAGTCTCGATATTCCGAAAGAGGCGCAGAGTAGACCCGGTTTCTGCGAAGCCACCAAACTACGGCTATTGTGTAACATAGCTAGGGATAGCGCAATGCTTTGTTCAATGTAAGTACGTGCAACGATCACTGCCTAATGCCATAAAGCGTCACGCCTTTCTCATACGCGTGCAGCGCGGGTGTGTTCATATGGGAGGTATGGTGGCGCATGCTGCGGATGTATGACCTGTCGTCGACAGTAGACGACAGCTCTATGAAGGTGCTTGGGCTTCCTATGTAGTAGTTTGCGATCGTAAGAAAGCAATCGTCCGGATTTGCATTCAGCGGACCAATTTCTATGACACGAGTACTTCTCGCTGGCATGAGCCAGTCAGACTACTACAAAGCAGACATGGTCCCTTGGAGTCACTAACGAGCTTGAGCATAAGAGCTCATGTTTCAATCACATGCGGAGTGCTGTGAACTGCCACCAAGCAGCCTGACACTACCCTGACGAGATCCTCTGTGCATCAGATCTTATGGCGGATGGCCAGCAAACCATCTGGGAGGGATATGAAGCCGACCCGGGCGGTTAAAGTGCTACAATACAGGTAAAGTAAGCAGTCCATGGCAGAGCTTTCTAAGCATATCAGGAAGCGTCTCATCGAGATCGGGACAGATCCTTCCAGAGCCGACAAACCCTCGACCACATGGGCAGAAGACGGCTCAACGCTGCTCAAGATGGTCGTGAGTATGTCGTAGACATCTTTAGAAGGCGCATAAGACGAGCGCTGATGTATATGTTTGCAGCCGAGGAAAAGAGAGAAGCAGCGTGATACGTGGGGGTTGGCATCTGGGCGCACCGGCTTTGCGTGAGAAACCGCGGATGAGAGAGGTGGTGATTGCTCCCAAGCCTGTAAACCTTGGTGAGAAAGGCTTGAAGAGCGAATTTCTTTCTTAAAATTAGTTTATAGGTTCGAGAAGTTGAAGACATCGCAAGACGTAAAGAACAGCCTCTTGGCGCTTGAGAGAAACGGCCTGGACAGAGACATCATGCATGATAGGTTGTACTAATGTTCCTGATGCGAATCTGGCTGCACTGAGTTGGAGGTTGAGGACCAGGAGGCGACATCGGCGAACGCTGTAGGAGCCTCCGGGGAGTCTGAACAGGTAGTGCTCCTACAGAATGAATCATCTTTGCACTTGTCGATCGAGAGCGTGTTGTTCCACAAATTTGGTGCGGATATGGAGACTGGATCAAGCGAAAACACCAACAACTAAAGAAATGCAGCTGACGTCGAGCGCACGAGCCGTTTATAAGGCTGAACGGAATGTCAGGCACGCAGGGCCTCTGACGTTTAGTAACAGGCATCTAAACTACGAGCAGCCTCGATCGCCAGGTGAATATTGAGCGTATGCTGCTCAATGCTTGGAACTCATAGACGTTCTGTATAAGCAACAACACACATCGGAAACCAGATCGAGTCCGTAGTCTCTGGACTTCGTACGCTTGGTAAATCCACGGCGACGTCTTCCACCCACGGGACACGACTTACAATGTCCCGCCGAGCACCTGTAGGCGCCGATGCGGCGGAGCGCAACCGCTCAGCGTTGAAGACCTTGGCCAAGCTCGAACCGAATAAGCTGTGCGCCGACTGCAAGCGCAACAAGCATCCCCGATGGGCGTCCTGGAATCTAGGCATCTTCATCTGCATCCGCTGTTCCGGCATCCACCGCTCGCTCGGCGTGCACATCAGCCGCGTCAAGAGCGTCGACCTCGACTCATGGACCGACGAACAGCTGGCGAGTATGGTGAAGTGGGGCAACAAGCGCGCCAACCGGTACTGGGAGCACAAACTGGCGGAAGGGCATATGCCGAGTGAGAGTAAAATGGAGAGTTTCATCCGAACGAAGTATGACTCGAAGCGATGGGCGATGGACGGTCCGATGCCGGACCCAAGCACCCTGGACGAGGCAGGGGATGTGCAAGCGAAGGACGACGATGACGTACCGTTGAGCGTGGTGCAGGAACGGGCAAGGAGTGGCAGTGGAAGGAACGGTACGCTGCAGCCGCCTCAACAGCCACGAGTACGTCCTCAGGACGTGGATTTGTTTGGTGACCCAGGCTCTGCTCCTCCGGCACGACCGAGCACCACAGAGCCAGCAGTCAGCAGACCTGCACCGCCCAAGGCTCAGGCTGCGCCGCCGAGACAAACGAAGCCTGGCGAGAGTCTGCTTGGCCTGGACTTTTTTGGTGGAACCCAGTCAGCGCCACCACAAAGGCCTTCAAGCACCGGTCCGAACACTACGGGCATGCCAGGGAGAACGGATTTGAAGCAGTCTATTCTCTCGTTATATGCTTCGAAGCCATCACAACCACAGCAGCCGTCTTCCAACATGAACGCCTTTGGTGGCATGCAGTCACCGCCGTTAGCAAGTCCATCACACCAGCAGTCAAGCACTCAAGCATTGGGAGGCCTGGGTGACGCTTTTGGCTCGTTGACCTTCACCTCACCGCCAGCGCAGTCTGCGAAGCCCTCGCCCTTTGCAGGACTGTCTTCGCCGGCCGGTCACTCACGGCAGCCGTCTATCCCCAAAACAAACCCGCTCAGTGGAGGCAGCTTCTTCGATGCCAAGCCTGCGCCTCCGCCGAAACAGGCGACCTCGCCACCAACGCAGCAGAATGCAAGCTTCGGAGGAGATTTCGGCGACTTCTCTGCGGCAGTTTCGTCGCCTGCACCTCAAAATACTACAGCCAACAAATCCCTGGCTCCTGCAAGCGGCCTGGGCGACCTTTTCGATCTAGCGTCACCGACCATGCCAGCGCCTGCTCCACCACCAAAGCCTTCCGCCACTTCAACGCCGCTTACAGCGAAGCCGCCGGCACCGATACAGGCCAGCAGCTACACGAACAGCACGGCATTTAACCTCTCCAGCCCGACTCAGCCGCCGGCACCGAAGCCAGCGCCTGCGGCACAAACGAGCAGCATGTCCAGCTTCACCAACATGAACAATATGGATGCTTGGGGTTCCAACGATGCTTGGGCAACGCCTGATCCAGCCCCTGCACCAGCGCCTGCACCAGCGCCGACTCAGACTTTAACTTCCATGCCGCCACCGCAGACTCAATCCACGAACTTGAACGCATTCAAGCCCGCGCCCGCACAGACGTCAAAGATGGAGTCTCCCTTTGACAGTGGCTGGGGCGATCCGGAACCGGCACCGGCACCGGTACCCAAGCCCGCGATGACTGCGCCTGCGCCAGCGCCAACAACGACCGGTAGCAGTAGTAGTGGTTTCGACCAGAGCGCCGCCGGGTTCAGCGTGCAGCAGGACGAAGAGTTTGGTGGGTGGAGTCATGCAAGTCCGGTTGCGAGCACGACGGGTCCGAAGCAAGGTGGGCTTGGTGGGAATGCTGATGATTTGTTTGGTAATGTCTGGGGCTGAGGTGATGCTCTTTCCGCAGGCAGGTGCAGGTGCATCTGCAGGTGCCGCAGGCGAGTCAGTAGAAGCGCGGAGCGATCGTAGATCCATTCGAACTCGTCCGCCAATCTTCCCGCTGCCGTCCAGGATTGTCTTGGCAACCTTTCCTTATTACCAAAAGAAAGTCACAATCCACCAAAGCACCACCACCGTCGCAACAATAATCCCCGCTAACTTGAATATTGCCACTCGGTTCCCCTGACTCGCCATCGTGCCTAGCCTCCTCGCACTCGAGCGTAGGCTGTCGCCCATGGTTGAGAAGGTCTCGGTGGTGGAGTCGAGGACGCCTTGGTCGCGGGCATTGTCGTAGATATCGATCGTCACGCTGCGGAGTTGGGAGACTTTGGCGCTGAGGGCGGAGAGGGAGTCATTGTTTTGCCTGTGCGGGTGTTCAGCTCTAGTGGGTTGGTGAGAGATGGTTCAGAAGGGCGTACCGTTCGCGGTCGTAGGCTTCTGCCATGCTTGCGGTTGCTTGCAGATGTTTGAATGAGTGGCGCCGGATGCGCAGGGAGCGGCGTCGCGGTTATGCGGTATTGCCTGATTAGCTACAGTACGGGTCTTGGTCTTGAGCGACTTTTCAAGCACCTTTCCGGTTGTTAGTCAGTTGGACTTAGGTACATACGGCGTATCTTCTTCGTTGGAAGTAGCTTTCAATGTTCAATCGTGAGGGTCAGCTGCTTGCGCCACAAGCCTTGGGATTTGCGTCACCCCAGTGGCTGTGCATAGCTGTAAGGCTGCAGCGGATGTGTTCTACATGTACACATATTCTAGCTGTTCGTCCCACAACTCGCTGCCCTCGCTTCGTCGGCACTCAGGAAGGCAGTCGTCGCAGCCATGCCACCGTTCATTAATAACCCGTTGCCTTCCTCCATGCGGAGTATGTAACCCCAACATCACCGCTGCCCGCTTCGTACTCCCCCACCCAATGGTCGCAAGAGGCTCTAAGCTGTATGTGTGGTACGCTGACCATACGCGACCACAGGTGAGTGCAAAAAATGCGGCCGCATCCTCGCATCCTTCGTCGACCCACGACAAGCCTTCGGTCCGGACAAGATTATCCCACCGACGATCCTACAAAATGCGAAAGGTCTTGCCATCATGACGGTCTTCAAAGCCGGGTTTCTAGGCTCAGGTCGTTTCGGTTCAGGAGTCGTAGTGGCAAGACTATCCGACGGCACATGGTCTGCGCCCTCAGCCATCGGCACCGTTGGAGGCGGCTTCGGCGGGCAGATCGGCTTCGAACTTACCGACTTCGTCTTCATTCTCAACGACGCCAACGCGGTCAAAACCTTCGCACAAGTCGGCTCCCTCACCCTTGGCGGCAACGTCTCGATCGCAGCAGGACCGGTCGGACGGTCCGCGGAAGCAGCCGGCGCAGCCTCTCTCAAATCCGTATCCGGTATCTTCGCATACAGCAAAACCAAAGGTCTCTTCGCAGGCGTGTCACTTGAAGGCTCCGCCCTCATCGAGCGAAGAGACGCGAACGAGAAGATGTACAACCAGAAATACACCGCCCGGCAGCTATTGGGCGGCAACGTGCCCGTCCCGCCGCAAGCGGAACCATTGATGCGCGTACTCAACAGCAGGATTTTTGCCGGTGTGGGTGGCAGCTACAAGGACGACGCCATGTACAACGACGTCCCCATCTACGACGACGCGCAGGAAGACGTAGTGTGGCAAGGTAGGGCCGGCTCGGCGTTTGGCGAGGGTGTACGGCAAGACCGGACTGGTGGTGGTATGGCGTCGCCCACGGGAGACGAGTACGAATACCGCGATCGACCTACTCGCGCCAGCACGTGGGCGGATGACCCCTACGACCGCGCGTCCAACCGCTTCAGCCGCGCGAATCCGAACGAGACGTTCGATCGGCTAGAGAACTCAAGACAACGTTCTTCCACGTTTGGCGATCAGTCGGACTACAACTTCTCGGATCGGAGAGGGCCGGCGCCTGGACGGCCGTCAGCGCCCAAGCCCGCGTTTGTGTCAAGGCCTAGTGCAGGTCCTGGCCAGGCTGTGGCGAAATTCACATTCGATGCGGATCAGCCTGGTGATCTGGGGTTCAAAAAGGGCGAGATTATTACGATTATCAAGCGGACGGAGAATGAAGCGGATTGGTGGACGGGGAGGATAGGGAATCGGGAAGGCATTTTCCCGAGCAATTATGTGGAGACTGTGTGAGAGCTGGTAGGGTAGAGACCGGAAAGGACGTCGTGGTGAACGACGCTATGGCGAAAGGACTTGCTTCCGGATGACGCGGTACCCACGGCGTAAGCGTGCTTCGAGCCTCGCATAAGGCTCTGGAATGATGACGAAGATTGCATGGCGTTTGAGAGGGAGTACCAGAAATGTGCATATTGTAGCCTTGTCGAAACTGCAAATCTTCCGCACAACCCCGGACGGGTATTGAGAGTAATGCAGCGAGTTACAACAAAAGGGGGAGTGACAAGCTTGTGTCGTACATGGCTGGTGTTGTGTGCAAGCCCGGATACCTTCTCCATTACTCCCCCGCCGATATAAAGATCGCGACCAACGTGAAGCGACACAATTCGTCACGGATATAAGAGAACCGAAATGACCGCAATGCGTTTCCAGAACAGCGGTCGTATCGATAAGGCTGTTCGGGCAGGGTTGAAAAGGAGCGTCGCCGGCTAATGCGGCCTCGGCCCTTGCACTTACGTGCTCCAGCCTTCGACCTTGGGCTCGCCGGCCAGAACACTGATACGGTATATCGAAGGAGGTTCACCAGCCTGCTAAGCGATCTGAAATATACGGATCGCTTCTTGGCTTCGCATTTTGAAAGAGACGAAGCCTGGTATACATCAAAACAACGTGCGGCTCAAATTAAGGTGCTGTCCCTCATCGCTTGTCCTGCATAAGCGCAGCATGTCCACGCTAAGGCAGGTACCCGTCTCTACCGTCGCTCCGTCTGTATCGCCAACTTCGCTTCCTTGTCCCATTTGCTGTCCAAAACAGGTGGGTCTCGGACACGGAAATGGCGACAAGGCCACGCGACGACCGAGCGCCGTACGACTGCAAGGTGCTACTTCCGCCCTTCTTGCTGCGGGAGTATGCATCTGACAATAATCCCTAAGCAGTCGTGCACACTGACGCTGTGTTCTTTCCATTTTTCCAGCCTTTCGTTAATTTCATTCCGAGTCTGAGACGCAGTCACGATGCGTCTCGACGTTCCGCTCATTACCGTTGCGTTTCTGGGAGCAGCTACTCAAGCTGTTCCTACCCGACCTGGCCCGCCCATTGGACCGGGAGCTGATTACGACCGCCAAGAGGACAGCAGCAGCCTTTTTGAGATTGAAAGAGAGATTGAGCGCCTGGAGTTTCGATTGAAGCATAACCTGGAAGAGCTTGCCTTTGTACAACACTTTCACCATCGTCCACCGCCACCAGCAACTCAGAGTCAGAGCGCAGCCTCGAGCTCGACCTCACCGACAACTCCTGCTGGGAATGCGATCGTGACTGCCTCGATCGACAGTATTGCAGCGGCTGTTCCTACCCCGTCAACCTCGCTCACATCAGATTCATCTGTACTGTCGACTTCTGCTGCTTCAACGCTTACATCTGCGGTTTCCTCCTTCTCATCTCTGGTGGCTTCCTCTTCTGCGGTGTTCTCGGATCCATCGTCATCACCACTGCTGAACTCCTCTTCGATTTCGTCGACGGCGTCCCCTTCGACTTCGCTTACGGCTTCCTCCTCGACTCTCCCGACAGCTGCTCCTTCGGTTCTCTCGACGGCTTCCTCTTCAACATTTTTGACGTCAGCTTCGTCACCGACTTCCTTGTCGACTCCCTCTCCGACTTCCTCTACGACTTCCTCTTCGACAACCTTGCCGGCCTCTTCTTCAATCTCGTCCTCTACGAACGCCATTTCCTCAATCAGCTACGCAAACTCAACGCTCACAGCGACCAGCAATCTAACTTCGTCCATCTCGGTCAGCGCGCCGTCCATTTCTCTTCCTACCTCGGTGAGCGACACCACAGCGGCGCTGCAATCGCTGTCGAGTTACGCTGCGTCGCTCTCAAGTGCTCTTGCATCGGTATCTTCCGTCAATGCGACAGTTTCTACGACTGCGACTCCCACATCCACTCCGCTCGCGGCCAGCAGCTCGACTCTAGAAGCTGCGCTTTCTTCCACGCCTCTGGCATCCGTTTCTACGAGCACAAGCACTCTATCCAGCTCGTCAATTACGAGTAATTTGACAACGGCACTCGCCGCTTCCTTATTGATATCCCAGACAACGTCCGCAAATTCGAGTGTTGCGTCTTTGCCTTCTGTCAGCGGCACTCCGCAAACAACGACAACTTCTTCGATCTCTGCGTCGGCATCCACTATCACCACTACTCTTATTCTCACCGTCGCGCCTGTTTCTGCTGCTGATCCCTCGACCCCATCCGCCCTTGCTGTTTCCAGCAGCCTCGCGCTCCAGAACACTACTTTCTTAGGTCTTGCCAGCTCGAGCATTCTTGCTAGCTCGAGCAGCCTTGCAGCTTCTGCAACTATCTCCGGCGGAACGGCTACCACGACCTCACCTTCCGTGAGCGGCACTGCGATCATGGCCCCGACCGCAGTCGCCAATGCTGCGGCAAACGTGACGTCCACAGACTACTGCTCGTCACTATGCGCTTCTCTCAGTTTTGACACCGAATATGCAACGACTCCTATGACTTGCCAAGCGTACCCAGCAAACACCAACATCACTATCACCGGTGGTCAGGCCACAGCAGGATGCGGCTCCGAGGTGCTTGCTCCGGTGGATCTGTGTCGTGTCACCTTAACCATCACGACCAGCGGCTCTTCTGAGGCGTACATGGAAGTCTGGCTTCCAAGCAACAGCAGTGGCGCCTGGAACGGCCGCACTCTAAGCACTGACAATGGTGGCGCTAACGGCTGCGTCCACTACGTTGACATGCAGTACGTGACAGGTCTTGGCTTTGCTGCTATTGGTGACAACGGCGGCCACAACTCCTCTGCGTTCGACGGTGGCTGGATGTACTTCAATAACGAAGCCATTCTTGACTGGACATATCGTTCACGCCACGCCTCGGTTTCGGCTGGCAAGCAGGTCGTTGACCAATTCTACGGCCAGCCTCCGAGCTACTCGTACTACCTTGGATGCAGTACTGGTGGCCAGCAGGGTATGCACTCCGCGCAGTACTTTCCAGACGACTTCGATGGCATCATCTCGGGATCAGCTGCGGCAGACATGAACCATCTGCAGGCTTGGAGCGGACGTTTCGTCCAGCTGACAGGCTTGAACGCTACCGACCCACGATTCCTCACCCTCAACAACTGGGTCTACGTACAGGGTCTCATTCTCGATCAATGTGACGCAGCACTTGATGGCGTCGATGACGGCATCATCGAAGACCCGACAATCTGCGAATTTGACACCTCTGTCATACCTGTGTGCGAAGACAGTACTACAGATACCGATCAATGTTTGAACTCCACCCAGATCAGCACCGTATACGACGTCTTCACCGAGCTCTACGACACCGAAGGCAACCTACTCTATCCGGCGCTGCTCTACGGTTCGCAAGTCGACGCGTTCCGCCTCGGCCAGTTATCCGGCTCCATCCAGGCCATTTCCAAAAACTGGTATGGTGGTGCCGTCTGGAACAACAGCTACTTTGAGCCACTCAACATGAACCAGACGGACTACGCACAGGCTGACGCAACGGACTCCCTTCATGGAAACACTTCGTCCTTCAACGGCGATCTCAGCGCTTTCAAGGCTGCGGGTGGGAAGCTACTCACGTACCATGGCATGGCTGATCCGCTGGTGTCTGGTGGGAACTCGCAGCGCTACTACTTGAAGGTTGCCAACGAGATGGGCCTGGGTAATGGGGATCTCGACGAGTTCTATCGTTACTTCCGGGTTTCGGGAATGGCTCATTGTGGAGTGGGTGGCATCTCTGGTGCCGGCGCCTGGATGCTGGGCCAATCTGGCGCCGCTGCCGTGGACGGTGTTGCGGATAACATCATCTGGAACATGGTGGATTGGGTCGAGAGTGGCAACGCTCCAGACACACTGACGGGCACGAAGTTCTGGTATGATGAACCGAGTCAAGGTGTGGAATTTAAGCGCGCACACTGCCGGTTTCCGTACAGAACAACCTACACGGGTAGCGGAGACTGGACGGATCCGACAAGCTGGAATTGCTCGTTCATTGAGGACTGGCAGGATTGCGGTGTTGGCTCACATCCCAGACTTTGTAATGTCGATGGCTCATTTTCATGATTTGCGGGAACATGGAATGGAGGGCAATTCATGTCCTTCACACATTGCGCACATAATGGATGCCATGTAAAGCATGTACAGAATCAGATAGCATAGCATAGCGAGGAATACACTGTACGCATTGCCACCACGATGAAGAACTGGAGCTGCTATATCTCCTCTGGCGATTGCAAGCGGTGGTCTGAACAGTACATTGCATCCTTACAATGTAGCGCCCTTCCCCAACTCAGGCAGAAGCTGCAACGGGCAGAACGGTTGACTCTTGGGTCTGCGAATCGGCTCAACGGTAATTAATGAGCTTGGAGGTCTTCACGGGACAATAGAATTGCTTGCTTGCGGACTGTTGCACCGTTGAAGGTCGCAGAGTTCTTGGCCCCTTTCGGCTTGGAGCCATGATTGGCTGCAAGGGACCGCGTCTCGACCACACCTGAAACTCCATCACGTCGCACTAGGAAGCACACTGCTCTTCCTCAAACGTCCACAGTGCGACAGCCGTAGGCGACTCAGCTATGAGCAGCCGCGCGCTACCGAGGCCCAGGCAGTCTGCTCTTTGCGCTATGCGCCAGTGAACGCGGCGACAATAGGCGCAGAGTAGGCTACTATTGTCACTGCTCGCGCACGACACTCTTTTACCCGACCTCACCCACAGTCATTACCTGCATGTCTGTCATAGACACCTGCGCCGGCCGCTCCTGCTTCCTTCTTTGTTGGGCTTGACATGGCAATGTGCCGCTGAGGACACTCATTCGCGGAGCTTTGTTCGCTTGAGACCCGCATTGTGAGGCACGACAAAAGAACAGCCTGAATCGGCCTCGTCAGCACCCTCACCGGCAACATCAGTCTCGGGGAGCAACAAGACATCGCGGCAGGCCCCGTTTAAACGACCTCACGACTCTCATTTGACAGTATAGTAATCTCAACACTCTGCGGGGCAGAGCATTACACGCGGAAGAGACACCCGCACGTTGCACTACGCAAACAGAGGGAAACACAAACGCCAAGGTATCAGCTGGACTGAGGCACGATTCATATGCAAATAGCATAACGCGAGCGAGAATTTCTCTACGCTTCGCAGGAGAGTAGTGCAAGCCATGGGCTGTACTGGGGATCGCGAGAAAGGCCCGCCTGAGCACACTCAGAAATGGGACTTCATCACTTTGAGCGACTTCCGGTCGACCTCGGCTTGGACACCGATCGGATATGCTTGGGTGTGGTTTATGGCGATTGTGTCTATTGCGGTCTATGCTGTCGACACCTTCACTGCCGTCAATCTCCTCGCCTTTAACAAGTGGAGCTCGCAGATCAAGCCCGCCATCGACTTCAAGTACAGCAAATGGATCTTCGCTGCCTGTATCTTGTTTTCCTGGTTGCTGTGTTTCTACGAGTGGCTGCGCGCCATCCGTGTCATACGCAGAGGCGGTGTGGCGGAAAGCTACATGGATCCATTGGCCGTCACGCTGCAGACTATACGGCCGCGAGGCTGGCGGAGGTTCCTCGTCTTCACGGAGTTGACGAAGAGCAAGAAAGGTGCGGATTACGTGGCCTTCTTCGTCTACTTTGCGTTCAACGGCGCGATTCGAGTTGTTCTGGCCGAAGGGCCAAGACAATTCGTTAACGCCATGACACTGTACGCTGTGATGAATGCGGATCTGGTCGTTCGCGGAACACCGACCAATCACCACTCTTCCATCGAGCAATTCTTCCTCAATCTTGAAGCGTTAGCGGACAAGAACCACGAGCAGGCGGTCATCCTTTTCTCCATGCTGTTCACGCTTGTTATCTGGGTTTTCAGCGCATTGTCACTTATTATTGCAGCAATAATGTACCTCGTCTTCCTGTGGCACTACATACCGCAGCGAGACGGGCGTCTTAGCGTTTACTGCAGGCGCAAGATTGACCGGCGGCTGGAGAAGATAGTAGAGCACAAAATCAGAGCGGCCATCGAAGAAGAGGAGCGCAAGAAAGCAAAGGCTGAGATGAAGGCTGAACTCAAGAGGCAAAAGACCGGTGAGGTGCCACCTCTCAAAGAACCGAGCATCAAGCAGAAGTTGCACAGAGCGCCTACTCTGCCGCAAATTGGCGAAAGCCCAGAGCTTAAGCAGCAGAACGAACTGTCCAGCTTCCCACTTGTAAGACAGGACACTAACGCCACCGTCGCGACGCTGCCACGCTATGAGAGCAGGCCACCAACAAGGGATGGAAGCCAGCATAGTCTGCCGGCAATGCCGAACACGGTACACAGGCCTAGCATGCCCTCGCGGAACGGTACGCAGGGCTCTGCATTCTCAAACACAAGCTACGAGTCAAACGCACCGCTTCTCGCCAATGCTGGATACGCTGGCGAAGGTGGCAGATCATCCCCAGCTCCTAGCATGCCGCCTCCAGCCTTCAGCCGGCAGGCCTCGGAGGCATCCTTCGCAAGGCCAGCACCGCCGGGACGAACCATGACGCAAGGAAGCTCAAATGCTGAGCGTTTATATATGCCCATGTTGAGAACGGACACCGCAGGGTCACAGCAGCGTCCATTCTCTCCTATCGCAGCGACTGGGCCAGTGAAGCGACCTCCACCAGGGGAACGCTTTCCGGTACGATCGAATACTGGCCTCAGCTTCGAGTCTGACCCACAGTCTGCCATTAGCCCACCGGCATTGGGAGGCGCATGGGAACGGACTTTCAACCCGGCTGCAGGACAGAATCCACGACATACGAACCAAAGTCCACCCTTCCACCAGCAGGAGAGCGTGGCGTCCTCAATGAGCAGACCATTTTCACCGGCGCAGCTGGAGAGACGCCCGACCTATGGTAGTCTTCGAAGCCAGCAGAAATCCTTCAGCAGGCCAGTGCTACGCAATGCACCCGACTTAAGCACTGAATGGCCCTTCTCTGCTGTCGAAGAGCAGAACGCGCCAAGTCTCGCAGAACGTGAAGCCTACGAAATGACCGCGCAACCAGCAGGCCACTACGTTGCCTTCAATCCGAGGCTACACTCCACCACACCGGCACCTCCTCCGCTTGCAACGTCTTCGGCATACGTGCACCCAGGGCCACGCAGAAACGTGACCGTTACTGGTAAGCACAGCCACAACGCTCCGGTGCGAGAGCTTCCGCAGCGCAGTGCTACTGCTCCTATTGACCCGCGGCACACGATCGGATACGCCGATATCATTAATGATTATGGTGAGCTGTCCGCGCGGAACTCGATTTCGCCGCCACATATGCCCGCTGTGCAACACGCAAGTTCAGTGTACTCGCAGTCGCAATTTCCGAGTCCAGTCCAGGCGCGCTTCGCAAATCCCACACACTTCGAAGAGGCAGATGACCGGCTTGCAGACGAAAGAGGTCTACCGCCAGTGCCAGGCCCGAACATTGATGGAAGGAGCGATAGCTGGATTGGAGGACCGGAGAATAGGTTCTAGGCGTAGCATGTTAGATACCCAGTAAATGACTTACGTACTCTTGACCGCCCGTCGAGGGCCGGAACGCATCTCTTCTCGTCGTCAGTGAATGGCCGCCGGGTGTTTGCTGGCACATGAGGGACAAAGCCGTTGTCATAATACCCTCCAGGCGCCGATTCCTCGTGCGCTGGACTCTGCCCCATCTAGAAGATCCACAGATGAACACTCACAGACCATTGTTCATAAGCTGATACTCCACCGCCTTACCGCACGCAACCATGAATCTAACGAAGGCGATGGACATCGACTTGAATCGTGCTTCGCATATGCCAAGAATCCCAGCAAGGTCCGCCAGTCTGTACGGCGCAACGTCCCGGCGGAGTCGATGGGCATGGATATGGATGTGGGCATGAATCTTCTTTCAACCGAGCAAAGTCTAGATGCTGGACTGGGGCAGGAAGTCGCCAAACAGGAGGACGAAGAAGCATGCCGACATGCTGAAGCCGCCATCTTAGCCTTGCGCAGCAGGCGGCCGCAACTGACGGCCTTAGCAATCTAAGTTTGCAAGATCGAGAGGGCAAGCAGCTCCCCTTGTCTGTCAATAAGCATCGCCCATCAGACGCTCCGATTCCAGCCCTCGGTGAAGTCGCAGGGACGGATGAACATCTTCGACGACCTGAACATGACATCTGAGCAGGCCGCTGAATCTCCGGTCGGCTCACTCCGAGGCTTGCATGACAACGGTGAAAGGTGGACAGAGACCTGGTCACCAGAGAGGCGTTTGTCGCGTTCATGAGGAATAAGAAGCAGACCTGGCAAAGCTTTGGTCAATATATCATGTGGTGTGCTGAATCCGTCCACCACCGTGGCGACGGTTTGGGCGTCAAGGACTGGTCATTGGAGACGCTGACCGAGGTCAGTGGGCTTGCCTGCGAGATTGAGCGATCTGTGGACAGGTTCGTGAATCGACAAGAGTACGCTGGCTGGGCGACGTTGCCGAACAAGGATATGGTGATCTGACTGTGGAGACTGAGGGAAGTTGGGTTGCAACCAAGAAGTAGCGCAAGGCGAATGAAGAGTGGGAGGAGAGAATGCTGGAGAGGCAGCTGGAGGAGGCTTCTGTCGCGGCATGAAAAAGGCTGAGCAGGTCAACGGTGTGTGGGACTCCCTCCTGACGCTATTCAGCGATCTCACACGTGCGAACAGTAGTCTCTTTTGGTGTTCGTGCCCCTCTATGGAAGCAGGGAGGGCGTGGCCGAGCTCCTGGCGAACTGGACCTCAACTTCACATTCACATTCACGCGCTAAGAGCGCACAGACCGACAGTGTAACACATATCCAGCACTGCTTGCTTTGGCAAACGCACCTTCAGAGACACCACTGGCACCGTATCCAAAGCAAGTCACACCAGCACGATCACGGTCCTGCGCCTCAAACTCGCTTTAAAGACGACGCACACACCTCTGTCAGCCTCCGCTCCCACCAACAGTCACCGGACCTCCACCGCACCGTCAAGCAAACTTTGCTGGAAGGTCACGCCACTTCACGGAGCAACTTCCCACAATCTGCATGATAGCCATCCTTCAACAACCGTAAGGCCTGTAAAATCGTCGCCATGGATTTGCAGTCCTTTGCCGCGAACCCTCTCATGATGGGCTCCGCCCTCGCCCTCGCCTTCGTCGCATACTTGTTGCCTTTCAACATCTTCATCTTCGGACAAGACGATGAAGAGCTCGAAGATTACATCGGCTACTTTGCACTCGCGCCGGCCTTCACAGCCGCTATGGTCATCTTCCTTCCTTTGATCTGCGTAAGCGACTTCCTGTTCGCAACGCTCGACCTCAGCCTGAACTTCCAAGCATGTCTGACAATCGGCTGCTGGGCAGCGATGACGATCCTGCTCTGCTGCCTTGTCGACCGATATGTTCTACCTGAGATAGACGAATATTCTCTAAAAGCGCCAGCTCAACCGCAGTCTCCGCAAGTCGTTCAGACTGCACCGTGGCGTATCACACAACAACGCGACACAACACGCAGAAAGCCAGCCCACGACCCAAAGCTCTTACCATCTGACATCAGGACTGCAGAAACGAGCGACTTCTCCAATGAAGAGCCCTTTCAACCGCAGTCACAGGCTCTGCAACCCGCACAGCCGTCGCCGCCATCTCTCACACAACATCACGGTAAGCCAGTCGAGAAGTCAGCCGAGGAGCCACAGCATTCACCACCCGATGTCAAGACTTCCATAACGACCACACTCTTTCATGAAGAGCCAGTCAAGCATGAGCCTCTGCGAGTCGTACAGCCTCCGCTAGTGGCTTCTTCCCAGCGTGGCACAACCACCAAAGCGTTAACCCTTAAGCCGCAATCTCTGCAAGCAGACATCGAGGCCCCCAAGACGAGCGTCTTCTGGTATGAAGAGCTACTTGGGCCACTGCCTCCGCCAATCTCTCCCACACAACACGACACAACCATGGAAGAATCAGCCCCCCCGCTACAACTTTTGCAAGCAGAATCAGAATCTCCCAAGACGAGTAGCTTCCTGAGTCCAGAGTCACCTGAGCGGCTGCCTCGACGGCGGCAGCTAGCGACAACTTTACTGTACGGTCAGACACCCGGAAAGCCTGTGGTTGCGACGCAGCTCATACCAAAGGAGAAAAAGCTTGCGCCGAGCCCCAAACGGCGACGCTTAGCACCCTTCGGCTCGTACATATCAGCCACCGAGGCCACTACCTTGCTACAATCCGTCACACTCTCGATTTCATGGTGGAAGACTAATTGCGGCGTCGACGCCACGACATGCTCTTTCATGTTGGATGCTGCTGAAATATTCCGACGGGAATTGGAATTGATCATCAAGAATGAAGCGCAAGAGCCCAACGTCCCAGTCGCGAGCTCGGATGGTGATGACTTCATCGGCACCATAGCGCCATCTCGCAAGCTCGCTGCTGCTGAGATACCCATCCTTCCCTCGACGCCCACGGTCGAAGAGAAGCCGCAAGAGAGCACGCTCTCAGCTCCGGAGGCAAAAGAGACTGTTCTCATCGCCGCTTCCGCTCCGCATGCCCCTCCGCCTTCTGCTGAGAAGACCAAGTCGTACTCAGCTCCAACAGTCAAGAAGAATGAGCCGGAAGATTGCCGCATCTCAACCGCGCGGCCGGAGGATGATGCCCTTGTTGGCGGCACAGGTCCATATGCGCTGCCACTTCCTGCTGAGAACGTCGAATCTGGCGCTCTGGCTGTTGGGTTAGCTGACATGCAAGAGCCCGCCCTCTCCGGGTCTCCGCTCCCCGTTCAGCTACCTATCGAGGGGACATCACCCTCTGCGCAGCTGGAAGGTGAAGAGAACGCTCGTCATCGGCGCTCGGCGTCTGGCTCCAAGCGCATCACCAAGCCACGCCGCAAGAAGCGACCCACCGGCTTCTCGGCCAACCGGACCTCCGCCGCTATCAAGCTGGTATTTGGCGATGGCGCTATTGTTTCTCCTACGGCGCCGTCTCCTCACGAGATTTCTCTGACCGTCTTCGAAGATGAAGTCGGCGAAAACAGTACTGTAGCTCCTACGGCAACGTCTCCTGCGCAAACGACGTTGGCGCTTCCCACTCTGGCGATCGGCGTTGACGCTGTCGTGGCTCCTGCGGCATCGTCTCCTCACAGTCCTCTGGCCCTTTCCGAACATGCAGTCCGCGCTGACAGTACTGAGGGTCCTGTCGCGCCATCTCCTCCCCTTACTCCGCCCGCCCCTCCCACTCTAGCAACTGGCGCTGATGCCCCTGAGGCAAGTGCGGCACCGCCTTCTGTGGCATCGTTTGTTCCCCACAGCTCCCTAGCGACTGATCCTCCCACTACTCACGAGGATGTGCTAATGCTCGACTCTGTGGCTGAGATTGCAGTGAGAATTGACGCGCTTTCACTCGATGATGTGCAGATTATCCAAGACAGGGAGATGGCTAACATAGCAGCGCAACTTCGCGTGCTTTCTCTTGGGAATGCTGCACCGGCAGGGCTGCCTTCAGAAGCGCCAGAGATGGAGGACAGCACTGCATCCGAGGGCGATTACGCCATGCTTGATGCTCCTATTCCAGCCGTTGAGGACTTGATCGCGTATGCAGAGGACGTGGAGATGGAGGAGCAGCCGCCGCTGCCGCAACATGAGCGCTCCAAATCGCAATCCCTGAGCCTCCACGCTATTGCTGAAGCTCCTGCACCAGCCATGGAGGTCTCAATCGCGAGTGCTGTGGAGTTGGAGATGAAGGAGCAGCCGCCGCACGGTGAGCGCCTTCCATCGCCAACGGCCTACGATCACCTGTCCCCGCTGCATCAGGGTCCTCGGTATGCTACTGAGGAGGCTGACAGCATTATCAAGTCTCCTTATGATGTGGAGACGGACGCTGCGCCGACCCCGTACTTCTCCGACAATGTCGGCTCGCAGTGGGTGCAGCCTGCCACGTTCTCAGCAGAGCAGCAGCGAGCAGAGCAGCATATGCTGCCCATGGGTACCACTCATGCCAGCGGCATTGCTGAGGGATTTGGGAACCCTGCACCGCCGACTGGCGATGCGCAGGTAACCTTACCATCATTGCCAGGTGATCAGGTGCCGATACTACCTATGGTTGCTTCTACAGCGGGTCAGGCTGCTGGGATGATGATCGATCCGCAGCTGCTAGCCCTTGACGTGGCAGGACCTCAGCCGCCAACGCCTAGTGATACGGTCTTGGCGAGGCCAAAGGCTCCTCTGCGCAAGCGCAATGCTGGTGGGATGCGGCACCTGCCTGCACCAAGACCTGCCGACGGACAAGTATCTCAGCCGCAACCGCCTGGCAATGTGGTCGCGACACCGCCACAGGCTCCTAATGGTACCGGTAACGCCGCTGGGATGCCACAGCAGGCAGCACCGAAACCGGCCCGTGGGCAGTCGTCTCAGCCGTCAGTGCTTGGCAATACGGTCAGGACAACGCCACAGGCCGTTTTGACCAATGGCAATAGCGCTGGGATGCCACCGCCAGTACCGACGTCGGCCGGCGCTCAAGCATCCCAGCGGTCAATGCAAGGCAATGTGGTCTCAGCGGGGCCACAACGCGCTCCTGGCAACGTCAATAACGCTGTGAGGCGACCGCAGCAATCGACGTTTTTCTCGGAATTACTCGAGTCGGTTAAAGTGAGCCCTGGAAGGATGTTTCCGCGATGAGAGGAGGAGACGCAACGTGCAAATCTCTCCCGCAGAACCGTGCACTGAGGTGCTACCGACACAACCCCCCGGACAAGTCGCCGGGTCGCGCGTGTTGGTAGGTCTTGTCCGCTCACAGCAGCATCGGCCAGATGTTGTTCTGGTCACGAGCTGTGAGAGTCACGGGCAGTTGTACAAACTTCAGAGGGTGGTATGTCGGGTGATGTGGAAGGGCGCCGGGCAGGCGAACTGTAAGGGAGTTGATGGCAATTGAGTGAAGGTGGACTATGGTGGGGATTTACGATCATCGGACTGATAAGGACGTTCAGCGGGCTGTCAATAGGCTAGTAACGGATTTTCAAGTGAAGCTGCTCAATATACAATCGTATCAGCCGGCTTTGTTATTGCCTTGCCCTGATGATTTGTTCTCACTTTAGCCCGACAAGCCACGTTCAGCTGACCGCAGCTGCGTTGTATGGTATATATTGCATATTGCCAGATCAAGCCTTCAATCACTGGTCGTTTAGCTCAGTTGGTTAGAGCGTGGTGCTAATAAGCCCTGAATTGGGTGAAATTGATACGCCAAGGTCGCGAGTTCGACGTACGATCAAACAATTCCCGTTAACGCTCCGTCAATTGCTAACCATCTTGTAGCCTCGTAATGACCATTATGATTGATATCTTTTTGTCTGGCCTCAGACGTGTTGATCGAGACTGGTGGGTTGATCATTCGAAGATGCCATGGAATCTCATTTTGTGCTGTGTTTGATGTGGCGATGTGCTTGTACATACGCCTCCAAACAACAGGCTCGGTGGTGTGAATGTATGTTTGCCAAGCTTCTCGCCAAGTCCGCATACTCCCTTTTTGGGAAAGCCGTTAGCGACACCCCCTCCTTCCAGGTTCGCACGCTTCGCTGTTGTTTGTCAGAACTCTATCGTTAACGAACGATGATTGGCAGTGACCATCGTGTATGTTGCCTTCGTCAGCGCGCTGTACAGTAATTGAAGGTGAGATGCGCACGCCTCGCGGCTATCCTTTGCGAAGCAAGAGTGTGAATTTGCTTCCCAGTACTCTACCTTTTATGTGATAAGAACCAGAGCTCTGTTTCGTACGTTCTCTACATTGGCGCAAGCGTGATCATGGCTTTCTACCAAGACATGGACTGGCACGAAGGGGAGCAGGCGATCCAACGGCTCATGGAGGTGCCTCCTCTTGACAACCCAACCGTCCCGACGCTGTCACCCCAACTGGCACGGCACCTACAGATTGCACCCCTCCTAGCGCTTGGGACCGTCGACGACCAAGGCCAGCCTTGGACGACGTTGCTAGGTGGCGAGCCGGGCTTTGCGAGGCCACTCGGAGACAGTATAGTCGGTCTTCGATTGCCGGTGACTGGCCAGTTCGATCCGGTGATTGAGCAGCTTGTAGGCAAGGAAGCAGACGGCGAAGTCAGACGTGCGCAAGGAGAGGGTTGCCTTGTCGGCGGGCTTACCATTGATCTAGAGACCCGCAAGCGTGTGAAGATGAACGGCCGGATGATGGCTGGTGCACTAACTACCATCCAGGACGAGGTGACGGACCACCAAGAAACAGTTGCTGAGATGCAGCTTGTCCTTCGAATAAAGCAGAGTCTTGGCAACTGCCCAAAGTACCTCAACAGCAAGCACATCACCACTGCCTTCGCCCATCCCCAGCTTGTTAGCGACTCACCGTTACTGCCAGAACCCGCACTTAAGCTCATTGGCCAGGCGGATCTCTTCTTCCTCTCAACCTCACAGAACGACATAGACATGGATACTAACCATCGAGGCGGTCCGCCTGGCTTCATGCGTGTGGTCTCTACCGGTCGAGAAGGACCAACATCCATCTGCTGGCCCGAGTATTCCGGCAACCGGCTGTATCAGAGTTTGGGCAACATGCACATCAACCCACGTTGCGGGATCTGCGTGCCCGACTTTCGAACCGGAGACATGCTATACTTCACTGGCCGGACAGAGACTTTGGCTGGGGAAGCAGCAAGCGCACTCCTACCTCGTTCGAACCTTTGCGTCAAGCTCACCATTACCTCGGCGCGCTACGTTACTGAAGCTCTCCCGTTTCGGGGCGCTGAGGGGCCGCGCTCACCGTACAACCCTGCGGTAAGATATCTGGCTTCAGAGAAGAGACACACGGCCCTGCAGGAACAGCAAATGCAGCAAGCTACGCTGCTCCAGCAGACGAGGCTCACCCCCACGATTTCACGCTTCAGATTCGCACTACAGAACGCGGCGTCGCACATAGCGGGCCAGTACGTCACACTAGACTTCTCACGACACCTGGACATTGGCTACAGCCACATGCGCGATGATGATCCGCGAAGCATCAACGATGACTTTGTACGGACATTTACCGTTAGTAGTCCGCCTAGCAGCTCGCCTAATCCTGTGCAGAGACTCAAGGATGACGAGTTCGAGATTACTGTCCGAGACGTTGGTGTGGTCACGAGCTTCCTCTTCAAGCACGGCAACGAGGCCGACCAGCGGAGGTACGGCGAGCTTGAGGTGGGCGTGAAAGGATTTGGTGGCGACTTCGCGGTCACACAAGCTGGTAGCGAAAATGTGTGCTTCATCGCTGGTGGTGTTGGTATCACCCCCCTCCTGCCCTCGCTTGGAAGCCTCGATCTCGTCCACGTGAGGGTCTTGTGGTCCCTGAGAGCGAGCGACATCGGTCTCGCTGTGGACACGCTTCGGTCATCGCCAAAGCTCGGTCACTCTTTGTCGCTGTATCTGACCGGCGAGAACGAAGATCATCTTGCAGAAGTTTCAGCACTGACGGAGACTGGCGTGGACGTAGTGCCGAGGCGCATAGCGCGATCAGACATCGCTGCTGGAGTGAGCAAGTATTACATCTGCACAGGCACTTCGATGCGCAAGCGGGTGATGGAGTGGCTACCTGAAGAGGAGCTAGTCTACGAGGACTTCAACTTCTGAAGACAGCAAGACCTTGCAGCCTGCGTGATGCTGGATAACCTCTGCAGCGTATTGGCCTTCTTACCAGGCGAATCAACCCTTCTCTTCTCGAGCAATCACCAAGCCCTGCCGCCAAACCTGCTATCATGTCTTCCGCCTCAGCCGTGAATCGTTACTGATGTTAGTGCGCCGCGGCGGGTCGCTTTACGCCACGGTGCCCTTTGTGGGAAGTACTGCCTTCAGCCTCCCCAGAGCGTCTTGCAACTTCTTCTGCTCTTCAAGCAAGCTGAGGCGGACTCTCTCGCGCGCCGGATCTTCAGCCAGTAGCTGAAGGCAATGCTGCTCTTCGGTGATGCGGAGCTCGGTGCGCAAACCGTCGCGGAGTCGACCAGGGAGACTGTTGATCAGGCCGAACTCGAGGTGAACGGCAATCGTATCGAGCATGCGGGCGGAAGCGAGATCGTAGTAGGCCAGCAACCTCGCAATGGCACCGAGCTATACGCAGGTTAGCAGGTAGGTCGTTCTGTAAGTGATCTTTGTCGCATACTTCGCGGTTGTATTCGTCCGCCTGCCCACCCAGCTTCGATTGTAACTCTGCGCGCTTTTTTTCACGATCTGTGCCAACCGGAACTTTCTGCCCGTCGGCTTCCAACCTGTCGTAATGCTCGTCGATCAAGTTCGTGAGTCGGTCGTGTTGCAGCTTCGTTTCGATTGCTGCTTGTAGCTTACGAAGCTGATCACTTGCATAAGTGACTGGCTTGTGTGTCTCGCACTGAAGCACGTAGCGGATACGAGCTTCCTGCTCTATCCACAACGCCTGGAACAGCCTGGACACTACTTGCTTCGATTGCGTATATAGTTGGGTCTTCTGCCGCTTTACCAGCACCTCGTCAACAACCGTTGTCGTAAGCAGGCGTAGCACATGTGTCTTGATGTCTCGCGCAAGGTAAGCGACAATTGTGTCCCAGCTTCCCATCATCATAAGGACAACCTGTTCGGTAACCTTTGGATGCAGCTGATCGGGTATGCCGGATCCAGATCCGCGGTCATAGAGTTCCCGGAGCTCGTCAAGTGTGAGTGTGCCCTTGGGTATGTCCATAGTTGGCTCCTTCTTGATACGCGACGAGCGCGGTGTCGGTGTCTGAGATACAGTCCGGACGGGTAGACCATTGTTGCCTTTGCGAATCTTTGCGGGTGTTGCAGCACCTGGTACGTCGTTATCGGATTCGTCAAGTGGGATCGAAGGCCTAATGTAGCCCGGAGTACCGAGCATGATACGCGGACGAGCATCTCTGAAGCGACGAGCTGCGTCTTTGAGCAGTGTCTTGTATTCTGTGCGAAAGTCATTTCTGCCTCCGTCGCCGGTGAGGTGGTGAGTGGTCGTATCAATTAGACGGTGCATTTCACTGATCACCTCGTAGGTCGCGGAAGCTGGCGCCTCGGGAAACTGCAAAAGCGTCTGCGCAATCTGCAGAAGTCTGTCTTCGACACGAGTGATAATGCCTGGCAGCTCGTCTAGAATATGCGTAGTCAGGTATTGCGAGAGCGCCGTCCGCAGATTGAGAGTACCCAAACGATCTGCGAAAGGCGAGAACGTCGTGCTCCACGGCTCACGGGCAAAGTATTCTTGCTCTAGCCTACGCGCATGCGTATGCGTGACGTCTCCAGCTGCGAGCTTGTCTTGGGAGAGCTGTTTCGTTACAAACCAGCCTTTAGCGAGGGGGAACTTGATACGCTGAAGAACAAGCTCAAAAAGGCCATACTTGCTGGGTGGAGCGAGATCAGCTTTGGTAAGCACCCCCATACAACGCCCTTCCGCGCCACATTGCCTAACGAACTTGAACGCGGTGGAATTCTCGATATCTTGATCTGCAGAGCAGGCTAGCAGGACTAGCGCTTGCTCGTCAGTAAGGTAAAGCTTGATGAGTCTCTCGACGAACGGGACAAGGGAGTCGTCCCCGTCTACAACGTTGATTGCCCCAGGAAGATCGTAGAAGCTGAGCTCTGGCAGGCCTGGCCCATGTATCTCAATGCTAACGACGTTCGGCGAGAACTGAAGGGTAACATCTTTGATTGTCGACGACCCGCGAGAGTCCACTTGGTCGGGCCTAGAGCTCAGTATGGCGAGCTGAGCGCGGCGCAAGACGGTTTCCACTTGAGCTTTGTCGTACACTGTATCGAACTCGATCGCCTCCGGCTTAGGCAGCTTGACCCAGTGATCGAACTTTGTTGGGTTACTGCCTGCGACGGCTTTCGGGGAGTACGCGTACGTCAGGTGGAGGGAGACACGGCAGCTGAACGCGGGCTCTGACGAGCTGGATGCTGACGTAGTAATAAGGAACGGACAGCGGGTGCAGGTGCCTTCGTCACGCTAAGAACAGTCAGCGTTGTACAAGACCGTTTTGAATGCGTTAACATACAGGGACGGTAATGTCGCAGATTGCCTCAACAATCGAGCTCTTGCCAGCCGATTGATTACCGACAACTACGAACTTCGGCCACGACGGAATAGTTGCGTCAATGTTGAGGGCTGTCAGAGCCTGGATGAGCTGGATCAAACTGCGTGAATGAGAAGCAAGCTCTTGTAGAGCGTTTCCCGTCGCTGGGCAAGATATCAGCTCGATAGCTCAGAAAGAGTAAGGCTTTCGCAGGCGCACGTACTCTCGGTGCCAGAGCTTGAAGGACCGCCTTGCATATCGACATCCTCATTGGCGATGGTGTTACTGCTGTAGCTTGCAGGCTCATTCGCTGCGAAGCTCGGGTTGATGCTCGCTGAGCCGTTGGGCACGGTGTAGATGCTATCCCTCATTGTGATTGGCGTAGCAAGAGGTGCGACCTGGTCGTTAGAATCGTCCGATTCATGCTTGATCCGCGATCGTGTCATTCTGGGCGGCATTGTATTAGCAGCATGCAGAGGGAGTATGGAAGTTGGTGCTGCAGCCGGAGAGGAGAGGGCGGTGGAGATGCGTAGGAGCAAACGGCGTGAGGTGACGTACGTGGGCGAAAATGCTAGGCAGCAGCCGAACCTGAATCAGGAAGAGAAATGGGAGAAGTGTGAAGTGAGGTGAAGCTCACCGATGCAGCCGGGGAAGGTGGCGATTCTGGATGAAGGGTCTCCACGAGCGACTGCGATTCATGCCCAAGATGACAGGCAAAGCTCTTAAGAGATGTGTGTACTCTCGAGGTGGAGGAGACACAAGACGGAGCTCAACGACAAGGTAAAAGTGACTTCATCCAACGCCCTGCTCTCTTCCGGAGTTGGTATGACAGGGGTTCACTTACACTACCCCTCCGCCTCGATAGCACTCACTCGCTTCTGACCCATCATTCGGATCATCCGTTACCGAGCTTGGGGCAAAAGTTGGATATGCTGGGACAAGTGGCACGGGTGCTGTGGGATCTGGGCGATGAGCGATAGGTTGGGCTCTCCGTCTCAACTGCGGTGGTTGCGTGAGCTGACCTCAGATTGAGTGCTACTTCAATGAAATCCCATTTCAGGCGGTTCAGCTTTACGGAAAGATCACGAAGCCCTCAGATTGCACTACGGCGCAGTCGCCCTCATGGCGTAGGAGACTGTTAGGGAGCCATAGAGCGGCGTGTGAGTCACAGTCGCAACAACGGATCGCAATGTCGCACAAATGAAGGTGAGACCGGCCTGCTGCCGCCTCGTAGCAATGGCTGTGGCAGCATCAAAGTGGTGACGGGCATTGACACATCCTGTCTCTTCACGGTGACTGCTGTTGTGCTTGACGGCCGTATTCTCGATGAACGTGCGGCTTCTGCAGCTCAGTCTTGACGTCAACGAAGGATGGACAAGGTCGAAGCCTTGCTCTTGCATTTGACATAGGTATGGCGTCGCTGCGTGGAACACGAGACGATCAAGGGTGGAGCGTGAGGCAAGGGGAGAGAAGGTTGGCGTTGACACACGTGGAACCGTTTGCACGGTATAGCGCACGGGTGCCGCTACTGCAGGGACAGACCGAGCTAGAAGTCCCGTGGCTTGCGGGCAAGGAGCTCACTCGATTGGGAAACACGAGGATCGAATTATTTTGGTGACAGCTTGCATTACTTCTCTTTCCTCGGGATCGTAGAGCGTGAAGCAATAGCCCACAAGAACAGCAGCCCCCTACAGGCCTTAAACAAGCCCAAGCAACCGCAAGCATGCTGCAGGTGCCAATGCGCGGTAAGAGCGGTGGGACACCGAACACAAAGGCGGTCATACTGGTTGGAGGACCAAGCAGAGGCACACGGTTCCGCCCGCTCTCACTCGACTTGCCCAAGGTGAGAAGCAGCACTACTTCGCAGAAGACAGCGAATCTCGGCCTAACATGAGCAGCCCCTCTTCGAAGTTGCGGGCCATCCCATCATCTCCCACTGCTTCGCCGCCATCACCAAAGTACCCGAAATCCGCGAAGTCTTCATTGTCGGCTACTACGATGAGGCGGTCTTCCGCGACTTCATCAAAGACTGCTCGCGGACCAACCCAAACATCGCTGTCCGCTACCTCCGCGAATACCAAGCCCTTGGCACCGCAGGAGGTCTGTACCACTTCCGTGATGCCATCCTCAAGGGCCGACCGGATCGCTTCTTCGTGCTCAATGCCGACGTCTGCTGCTCCTTCCCGCTCAACGAGATGCTACGCCTGTTCGAGGAGAAGGATGCAGAGGCGGTTATCTTGGGCACTCGGGTACCGAACGATGCCGCGACGAACTTCGGCTGCATTGTCAGCGACGCCCACAGCAAGCGCGTGCTGCATTACGTCGAGAAGCCGGAGTCGCACATCAGCAACCTGATCAACTGCGGCGTCTACCTCTTCTCCACCGAAGCCATCTTCCCGAGCATTAAGAGTGCAATGAAGCGCCGCAGTGACCGGCCGCGCCTCGTCAGCTACCCTTCCTCCGACGCGCTGACGGACAGGCAGACGTTCCCGCAAGAGGATGACGACGATGGAGAGACCAACGAGGTCATTCGGCTCGAGCAGGACATTCTCTCCGACCTGGCAGATAGCCGCCAGTTCTACGTTCTCGAAACGAAGGATTTCTGGCGTCAGATCAAAACCGCTGGCTCCGCCGTGCCAGCCAATGCGCTATACCTGATGAAGGCGTTCCAGACGCAGTCGGAAGAGCTCGCCAAGCCTTCCGCCAACATCCTCCCACCGGTCTTCATCCACCCAACGGCGACCGTCGATCCTTCGGCGAAGCTTGGTCCCAACGTCAGCATTGGCCCGCGTGTCAATGTTGGCGCCGGTGTGCGGATAAAGGAGTCCATCATCCTCGAGGACTCTGAGATCCGCCACGATGCATGCATCTTGTACTCGATCGTTGGCTGGGGCAGCCGCGTCGGCGCTTGGGCTCGCGTGGAAGGCACGCCGACACCCGTCCGTGAGCACAGCACCAGCATTGTGAAGAATGGTGTGAAGGTGCAGAGCATCACCATTCTCGGCAAGGAATGCGCTGTCGCCGACGAGGTTAAGATCCAGAACTGCGTATGTTTGCCGTTCAAGGAGCTAAAGAGGGTAAGTCGGATCTCGCGCTAGTCTGGCTTTGTGATATGTGTTGCTGACATTGCGACAGGACGTCTCCAACGAGGTCATCATGTAGAACCATCTCCATTCGGAAGCAGACCGTGCACAACGCAGCTCTAAAAGCACCACTAGACTTGATCATAGCTAGGCATACACGTATATGTCATGCATCTAGATTGCATCTTGACTTCACGAGCTCGATGGAAGCGGGAAATCGTTCTCGATGATTCAATCAAATTGGAGGTATGTGATCGCAGGTCAGTCGCTATCCAACCAATCCGGCTCCGCGTCTTCATCTTCTGGATCGTGAGACAACAGGGAGCCTTTATCACTGTGCTCATCAGAGGCAGCAGTATGTGCAATCCCATGGGCGACACCCTGTGGTCTCGTAGGTCTCGCATCCGAGACTGTAAGGCTCGCTTCGTCCGCTTGAGCATCATGGAAAGCATTGCCAGGTATGCTGGAGTCCGCTTGGTACTGTGCTGCCGCTTCGGATGTTGCATCTACGCAGTGCGTGAGGCTATCACCGATTGACACAGTGGGGATGATGGCCTGCTCATCCGCGGCAGTCCCAACGATGCCACTTCCCAAAGAAGTGACTGTATCTCGGTCATCATTCCCTTCGTTTGATGGTAGAGTCTCCACATCCTGAGTGATATCGCCCATGGCCATTGCGTCGTTTTGCGGGAGGCCGTTGCTCTGCAGAGCATTCTCTGGTGCGGGAAAGGGCTCGCCGTGCTCTGCGGCAGCATCCTCCGCCATGAAGCCGCCGCCACCATATTCCCATGCCTCTGGCGAACACTCAGCCGTCACGTGATCATTTAGGTCCTGTACTGGTTCATGGTCGGGTATAAAGCCACCATCGCCACCATCGTCATCGTCCACTGCATCTTCCGCGACGAAGCCACCACCACCACCACCGTCTTCACCCGCAACGTTTTCGTCTCCCACATCCTCCACGATCCTGCGGCGGCTTCGAAGCACCCGTCTCGGAGGAGAGGCGGCGGGCTCCGGAGTGGAGTGGTCGAAGCCACCATCAAGCTCCTCCTCATCGCTCTCCTCGAGCTTAGCTCTTCGCTTTGGTGTGGCCTTGGTGGACCGACTGAGCTCTTCGATAGAGAACATGCCCGCACTTAGCAACGGCCTATCATCATTCCCTTCGAAAGCAGCAGCAACATCTTCCGATAGTGCTCCTTCACCTTCATCTAAAACTGCTTGGGCTCTGCCCTTACCCTTCCCCACGTTCGCGGAAACATCTCCATACCCCTCAACCCTCTCCTTGATGCGCAGACCCTTCACCCACCTAGCCCACACCGTCAACGCCACCATACTCCGCTTCTTGCACTCTTCCATCTCCCTGTCTGCCTCCAAACCCTCTATCGCCGCTCTGACGGCGTCCGCATGTTGCTCGGCTACCACTGCTCCCTCCACAACCGCAGTGCCCTGTCGGCCCTTGAAGGTGAAGCCTACCACTGCGTCCGCGTAGTCGATGCGTAAGACCCGGGCAGCATTTGCGGTTGCCGGGTGGCGGATGTGCACGCCGCCGGCCGGTACCATGGACGGTACGTAGATGTCCAGGTTCCCATATGCATTTCGTGGCACGCGGCCACGCACGACCGGTGGTGGCACGTATAGCTCGGTCTGGCTGTACGCGTAGATTGCCGTGGACGTACTGTGGTCGTCGACCTCCTCGTCTGCAGGAGAAGCACCTCTTGCTCTAGCCGTGCGTCTGGTCACGACATGCTTCAGCGGCTGCTCGCCCTCCTTTACCTCTCTTCCAAGCCGGTACCACTTATCTGCACTTCTGCAAAGCAGCACATCCTTCCGCCGAAAGACACTCTCCATCCTCGGTTTCGCCGCCGTTCCCGCGTTCACCTTGCCAACCTCTCTCCGTGGATGCACGACCTCATGTCGTCGTAGATGGCGTTCCAGAGCATACAATGGATGATCTTTGAAGTCCTGAACATTCTTCGGTAGACCTTCTCGTGCCTCCCTTTGCGCCAGCTCTGCATCCTCCACCTGCTCGCGATCTGATGGCGCACCTCGACGGCGAAAGAAGCGAAGGGTCTTCTTCAGCCAGTCTAACCCGCCTTCTGTGGCCTCAAGACGCTGACGACGGGTCTTGGCATTGTATGCCCTGGCGTAGCGGCGAGTGACATCCCTAGCCGCACCATCAGCTTCGAAAGCAACGGCGTAGCTTAGCTGGTTGAGATTGTATGAGGCCGGAGGCTCGATCTTGCTAGGCTTGTTGAAGGACTCGGTCACAACAGGATCAACAGGCACCCACTTCTGGTGTGCGGCATTGAAGGCTTCCACCCAGAAGACCGGGTAGCTCAGTTTGACCACGGGCTTCTTCATCTCCCGAGGAGGTGTTGCTGGCATAGAAGCAGACGCAAAGCTTGGTTGACCGAGCCGTCTGCGCACCGAAGGAACCTTGCCAACGGTCGAAGACGACTTGACCGAGATATCGTCTGCACTGACATCGCTGCGATCCCTATCTGAGTCCATAGGATTGATGAAGATGGTTGGCTTGACTACTTTCTGCGGCGTGGCTTTAGTCGTAGACGTGTTGAACGGCAGGCACTGGAGCGAGCAGACGAGCCTTGCTCCGACGCCAACTGCTCGAAGTAACGCGCAGAATAGCTGGTTGCCAGTGTCTTGCGAGCCTTCGAGCTTCTTGGACGCTCTTATAAAATCTGCCCGGTCCATGGGGTTGACATCCGTCTGGGTTGGCGGCTCGCCATCAGCTAGCCACTTTGCTTTCCGCATGCCGGATGCAGTAACTTTGAAGCGAGTTCGAAAATCTGCAGTAGCTTGCTGCAGGCCCTCCATGAACATCCTGTTACGATCGAACTGTGACTCCCGAGTATTAGCACGAAGGTAGATCTTGACCTTCTCCGAGAGGAGAAGCTCGAGGTTACCATGCACGACCTCATCGTTACACCAGCTGTTGACGTAGATGCAATGGCCGAGTAGACAGAGAACATGCAGCTTATGAACCAATAGCCGGAGCGCCTTTTCTGCGGAGGAGATAGGCTTACGCGTGGTCGATGACCGAATGTTCGGAGTCTCCGGCTTGTCGACAGAAATGGAAACGTCGGCCAAGCCATCGTCTGGTTGAGCTGCATCGCCGGAGGCGGTGGGCTGGTCGAGATCGATATCTTCAAAACCGAAATCGCTTTCATCCGAGTCACCCGATGAAGCTTCGATCGTTTGCCGGCAATTAGAGAGCGCAGTCGGTCTCGCTCCGTTGACGCTACTGGCTTGAGGCGTGGCTACAACGCTCGGATTGCCCGCGCTGTCCTGTAAGGACTGCGGACTGCTCCGGTTCACTGACTTCGTGACACGCCGCCGCTTCAAGGGTCGGTCTGCATCCTGGACAGGGTCGACGACAGCGGCCTCGGCCAGCAGATCTTTATAGACGTCGGCTTCCGTGGTCTCGCGAGCTCGTCGAGAGCGGCGCTGCGGTGCTACGTTGTTTTCTCGACCGTTAGTCGCCCTGGTACTACGTTGACCTCTGCTCGGAGCCATGACTGATGTGGTAATACTGAATCGCTGCGAACGCGACAGTGTCGCGCGCTCATGTGATGTGGATCAGTGCTTCATTGCCCCGTTCCCACCAGATTGCGCTGCTTGTGCGGCTATTTGCCAACACTGCTCATGCATGTAAAAATCAAAGCAAGATGACAAGCTGATAGTAATTCGCCAGCGAGCCAGATCTTCCGCATAAGGGGGGGGAATATCTGTATCTGATTGACGACGTCTGCGCATGTTTGACATGTGCGCTGCATCGACACGGCGGCAGCGGCATCGGGCCGAGTGACTCGCGTTGGTGTGAACGCACGCGCGGGCAGCGGCGTGTTTTGTTGACGCAGGAACAGCAACTTGCACCAATGGCCGGATACTAACAAGAGATTAACACCACAACACCAGCTCCAGGACAGTCGCCGGCAACGAGCCAACACCGCAGGATAGCAACCTTCGGCCACGCTCGTGCGAGCGGCACGTCGCCCGGCATGGAGAACTACCAGAAGATGGAGAAGATTGGTGAAGGTCAGTCGGCGACTAGCGGGTAGACATGATGCTGTATAGAATGTGTGTTGATGTTGCTAAACAGGGACGTACGGCGTTGTCTACAAAGCCAAAGATCTTACCACCCCGGACCACCGCATCGTCGCCCTCAAGAAGATTCGGCTCGAAGCTGAAGATGAAGGCGTCCCTTCCACCGCCATCCGCGAAATCAGCTTGCTCAAAGAGATGAACGACCCCAACATCGTCCGCTTACTCAACATCGTGCACGCCGACGGTCACAAGCTGTATCTCGTCTTCGAGTACCTCGACCTCGACCTGAAGAAGTACATGGAAGCTCTTCCCGTTTCCGAAGGCGGTCGCGGCAAGCCGTTACCCGAAGGTGTCATGGCTACGCGTGCGGGACACATGGGCCTCGGTCCGGAAATGGTCAAGAAGTTCACGCACCAGCTCCTCTCCGGCACGCGCTACTGCCACGCCCACCGCATCCTGCACCGCGATCTCAAGCCCCAGAACCTTCTCATCTCCTCCTCCGGCGACTTGAAACTAGCCGATTTCGGCCTGGCACGAGCATTCGGCGTGCCGCTACGGACATACACCCACGAAGTCGTCACGCTCTGGTACCGCAGCCCGGAGATTCTGCTCGGTGGTCGGCAATACAGCACAGGGGTAGACATGTGGAGCATCGGGTGTATCTTCGCAGAAATGGCCACGCGCAAGCCGCTCTTCCCTGGCGACTCGGAAATCGACGAGATCTTCAAGATCTTCCGCATTCTGGGCACACCGACAGAGACTGAATGGCCCGGCGTAACGAGCCTGCCGGACTTTAAGAGCAGCTTTCCCAAATGGGAGAGGAAAGCCGGGGAGGAGGTGATAAGTCCGGATGGCTGCAAGTTGCTTGGTGACGAAGGCTTGGATTTGCTTGAGTTATTGCTGGTCTACGACCCAGCCGGGCGCATTTCGGCAAAGCAGTCGGTGCAGCATGCATATTTCTTAGATGGGAAGTTCAACAGTGGGAGGGTGAACGGTTTCCATTGAGCCGTGTGCAAATGCGACGAATTAGGCAGAGGAAGGGTATGCGATCATGATGCGACGATAGAGGGTAAGCTTCTCCAGAACTGTGTCTCTTTTGTTGGACAGGGCTGGCAGTAGCCGAGCATGGAGCGTGGTACGGGCGTTGGGCGCCGGCAGCATTGAGCACGCTGCTATTGTCCACTATGGGGAGCATTTTGCGGCAGAGTGTAATTTAGACGAGGGCAGTTGAGTGACGACATGCATCTGTCTACAAGTCGATTGTTGTACCATCTTATGCTGGAAACGAGATGCAGTCATCGTTCGGCCTTCGGACCTGTATTGCTAAACGGGTTGCTCGCTGCTCGAGTGTTTGCGAGTAAGCGTCGTCGCAAGGCCTCCCTCCGCCCTTCTTCCCGTTTGTCTGATCGTCTAGGTAGCGGCGATGCTGTCGACTTGTCAAAAAGTGCCTTGCGGCTGGCCTCATCATGCCCATCATGCTCCTGCACCTCATCATCCACGCCAAAGCCCACCAGCTCCGCCCTCCGCGCATCCTCCTCCGTCTCCGGTAACAACTCCATGTCCGTGCCTAGACGCTCCTTCAGCGCCTGGGTAGCTTCCTCATCCCTCTTCCTCTTCTTGCTCTCCTTCCGAAACTCCGTCCTCAGCCTTCGGTTCGCGGCGAACGGATCTTCCCAGTCTCGCTTACGCGCCCGATACAACTCTTCAATACGCTTCGTGTTGTCCTTGACCGCCAGTTTCTCCTCTACCTGGCCTTCTAGCTGCGCGAACGCATCTTCACGCCTGCGCTCGCGCTCCGCAGGCGTCAAGATGGGAATGCCGCCTTCGCCCTCACGAAGTCTGTCATCGTCGTCGCCGTAATCCCGCGCTTTGCCGCCTTCCGTGACCACGTAGGCGGTATTCTTCGGGTCCGTTTGAATGACGATGAAGCCGCCGCAGGCGGGATGGCGCATCCGAAAGCTCCTGTCGCTGGCGTCAGATGTCGCCCCATGGCTACCGTTCAACCAGCGTGGTCACCCACCATATCGGCGTGGTATAGTATTTCCCTGCCCTTTTCTTCTCCGCATTAAACCTCACGCCCTGCCCGATAATCGCATGCGGCTGGCACGTGTGACACCAGACCTACAACTCGGCGGAAACAGCTTTGCTTAGCTTTCATGCGTGACATCGCTATTTCAACATTTCACCGTACCGCGAAGGGCATCTCGAAGCGCACGGTCTGCGTGCCGTCCGCTCGTAGGGTGCCAGGCGCTCGTTTACGGTTGAGGCGGTTACCGGAGGTCGTGCCCTCCTGATCGGGCGGCACGTAGCGGCCCATGTTGAAGCCTTGCATCTTGATCGCTATGTGCAGACGATGCTGCAATCATTCGGCTTCGTATAGGCGAGTTGGTGTACGTTGTGAGAAAACCCCGCGAGTAAAGGAAGAAGTGTGCCAAAATGCGAAGGCGCGCCGGATCTTGCTGAGTCAGCAGAATCCGACCTGCTTCGCCATTTTACAAGCAACGTCGACCGCATCCTGTCAGCGTCCTCTGCCACGTACATTCGCTGATGGCTGACGTCTACTCAAGGCTCAGTAACGGGGCTGAGCATTAGTATGAGGATCTCATAGAGGTCACACTCGAAGACGTAGCACCAACTGTAGGCGCAGGAGCATTCTCTCAGCGAAATACAGCCACCTTTGTAAGACGGCCCTATCAGTCGATCCTTCAGTTTCTCCTAGAGGCCATGGCTTCGAATCAATGTAGGTGGTAGGGTCAGGCGCGAGTTCCTTGAGTTGGACGCCGTAACAGCAGGTACTCTCCTTCGTTGCTGAATTGCCCACCTGCGCTTCCTACCTTACTGCGCGTACTCTATATGCATATATTTGTTCATTCTCTTAGGGCTGCCCATGAACACCAACATCCTACTTTCAGCCCACACGTCCCCGGAAAGGGTGTATATCTAGCTCGATGTGATCGCGTCCTATCTGCCTCAGACTGAGCACCTCCTGCGTTAACGATACCGATTACTACAACGACGCAAAGCCCGTAAGCGGAAAGCAACAGCCGGCAAAGCATTTCTACGCCATTTATCATCCTGCGCGTTTCTTTGCGCCTGTGGAAACCGGAGCGATGACCAACAGCACGCTGCAAATCCAGCTGCAGAACCAAACGAGCTCCAGCACAGTCTATGCCTATATCAGTAAGTCGTGAATAGCAATGTCTTCGACAATGCCATTGACACTACAGTAGCTGGCACTGCCCTGAACAACAATAATGCCCTCTTTCTCTTGCAAGCCGATGGGAAGACGCCATACTACCCGCCGAACCCATCCAAGACTGGCACACCTATCAACGCGAACACATCCATCTCTCTAGGCGGCCCTGGCAGCTCGGTCAGCGCGACTATCCCTCAGCTTGCAGGTGCCAGAATCTGGTTTTCAGTAGGCGCCAAGCTCGTCTTCTACGTCAACCCCGGTCCAGGCCTGGTCGAGCCCAGCATCTTCAACCCTTCTGATGCCAATCATAACACGTCTTTCGGCTTCATGGAGCTCACGTTCAACTCATCCCAATTGTTCGCCAATATCAGCTACGTTGACTTTGTCTGCCTGCCAATAGCAATGACGCTCAAGGATTCCTCTGGGACGATACAGCATGTCTCCGGCATGCCATCCAACGGCCTGCAAACCATCGCCACTGGCCTGACGGCACAGACGCAGAAAGACGGCTATCCGTGGAGCTCCCTCGTCGTGAAGAATGGCAGTGGCCAGCTTCTGCGCATTCTGAGCCCCAATTCCGGCATACTGCTGAACCCGAGCTGGTTCCAAAACTACTGGACGAACTATGTCAATCAAGTCTACTCCCAATACACAAGTCAGAAGCTGACGGTCAACACACAAGCTTCGTTTGGCAATGTGGCGGGCCAAGTATCCAACAATTCCCTGAGCTTCGGCCCTGGCGGATCGTTTAGAAAACCCTCCGCTGCCGACATATTCAGCAACTCATCCGGGCCATTCGCGACGGGCGGCAATGCGGAGACGAACACCTTGATTCCTCGACTTGCGGCAGGCTTCAACCGGAGCATCATGCTGTCTAGCAACACTGTACCAAACGGGGCTACTCCGTCGCAGTACTACCAGAACGCTACGACCAATGTAGGTACAATCCCGGTGCAGCTTGATGAATGTTCCGCTAATTGAGACGCAGCACTATGCGCGCATCGTGCACGTTACGAATCTGGACGGTGGTGGCTATGCGTTTCCCTACGATGACGTTACTCCGGATGGTGGTGTGCCGCAGGAGGGCGCCGTGTTCTCCAGCACACCTGCGTTGCTCACTGTGGTATGCGGAGGGGCCAATGCTTACAAATGATCATGGCTGTTTGTTGCTGAGGTCGGCAGAGAAGCGAGCATTACTGTATATCCCTAAACCACCTTTTCGTTCAGCCAACCTTTACAACGGCTTGATGGATGAGACAAAATGAACGTAACTTGTCGGATTGGGCCCCAACATGGGAGCGCTGCTCGAATCTAGCCAGCTGTCTGCCCCGATTGGAGAGGACACGTTCGCAACAACCGCAGGCAGCAGCTTTGTTGGAGGATCAGGCACAAGTTCCACGTCGCCGAAACAGTGCAGCAAGGCCAACTGGCTCAATGGCAGTTGGAGTATAACATCCATGCTATGTATTCGATGAAGCATATCCTTGGCAAGTATCGGTCCCCTCCTGGCGTCCTTATTTCTCCTTACGACAAGACACCATGACCGCAATCACGGATAATGTTGGCGACGACTTTGAGGTTGTCGCTTCACCAGCTGAAGATAGCACGAGCAGTGCTAGATCCGTTGATGCCGCTCTACCTAGTCTGATATTCAAACCAGCTGCCCCTACAACATCCGCCAAGCACACAATCCAAGCCAGAGACGACACTCCTATGGCGAGGTGTAACCTACAGCTGCACACTATCAAGCTCCTTGAGACCATCATCATCTACCTTTTCTTCTCCCGACCAGTCACTCTTGCTCTCGCTGCAGCCTTGGCCTTCTTCCTGCCGCCCTACTACAACATACCTGGCTACCACGTCTTTCCGGCAGAACTCGTGACAGCGATCAAACAGCAGGTGCACAAGCTCCTCGAATGGCTTCGGGCAGAGTCGATACTCCTAAACGACTTCGTCATAGCGGCAAAGGCGCAAAGGCGGTATGTCACTTCAATGCAACCGTCCTATGGCAACTGCGAATTGCTCGTGCTGACACTCCGGGCAGATCAAGACTTGACTTCCACTACAAGCTAAAGGCTTCTCGCGACGGGGGGGACGGGGGCCGGCGTCTTCGCATCTGCATGATAGTGGTCTTTCTGATCGGCATAGTTCTTGTTCTGGCGGTAGCATTCTTCTTATCTAGGACGACGACGACGACGACACGTACAATCAGCTACCAGGAGCACTACTGGGAACCGTGTACTGGTGACGAGCTGTAGTCAGGTGTAAGTAATAGCGACCCTACGAAATTGAGCGCAAGCGAAGTTTGGGAGAAAGACCAAGCCAAAAGCACTCATCAAGCCGCGCTTCTTCGTACACGGTAAGGCTCACACCTCATTTCTGGCAGAGATGAGTCAAGGGTATATAGCTATCGGAACTTATTCTGCTTATTTATGACCATCCTGCCACCTAGTCGCTATGCTCGTCCAAGTACTGCTATAGCTCGATCAGGCTTTCCTCCTTCGCAGCGACGGGCATGTGCTGCGGCGCAGCCGGGAACGCTTCCTGACCGTATCCGGCCCCCGCAACAGGCGCCTGTGGCCATTGCTGCACTGGTGCAGCTGCTTGCTGTTGCTGCTGCGGTTGCGGCTGGTAGTATTGATGATGGCTTGCTTGTCGTTGTAGTGGCGGCTGAGCAGAGGCTGGGGCCTGATACTGCTGCTGTGGAGTAGGCTGTGAGGACTGGGTATACTGCTGTTGAGGCGCAGGAGGTTGGTTCTGTTGCTGCACAGGCGGGGGTTGATGATACAGCTCGGGACTAGGCGGCTGTTGCTGAGCTTGAGGCGCCGGGGCTTGAGACGATTGCTGCTGCTGCTGCTGCTGCTGCTGCTGCTGTTCGTTGTAGTAGAAATTCGCTGCGGCGTCCGCAGTAGGAGGGGAGATTGCTGGGTTGGAGGACTGCGAGCCGTGGCTTGGTGCATATTGAGGAGATGGTTGCGGGTAAGCTTGATGTGACGGGTCATGAAGCATGCCAGTTTGCTGATGGCTTTCTAAATGTGGCGCTGGCTGTTGGGATGGGTAGGGTGTAGGCTGCGATTGTGGATATGATTGTGCTTGCGGCATATACGGGGTCTGAGAAGGTAGTGGTTGTTGCGAGTAGTAATTTGCTTCCGGTGGCGGCGGTCCGTAGTCCGTGAGCCTCTGCTTTTCATACGACGCATAAGGCGCAGGAGCCTGCTGTTGGGATGCATAGCTTGCATAGCCTGCATTCTGCTGGCCGTACCCGTCCATCTGGGGCGCATTGCCGGTATAATAGCTCTCCATCCCGTCAGGAGCTTGCACGTTTTGTGCTGATGGTATGCTTGGGTACATGCTCGATCGCTGCGGTTGCCCGTACCTGCTCGAGGTGTATGCGCTGGCCATGCGCTCCTCCAACATGCGGTCGTAGTAACGTACAACCGTCGATAGCTTGGAATGAAGATCGAGCAGCGTGTCGTGCTTGCTCATTGTCTCGCCATACGTTCGTGCCAGCTTGGGTCGAAGTGTGCCGATGCTTTCGTACAGCTCCTGGATCTGCGGTTCTCGCAAGATTGTGCCAGGTGGCTGATGCTGCAATCGGTCGACCAGCGTCGCAAAGAGGTTAATGTTCTCTGCCTCCACCGGTGTCAGCTCGAATTGGTTGTTCGGCCGATATTGAGAAGGCGCGGGCGCTGTGCCTGACGAAGCTTGCGCTTTCAGCTCCTTGGCGTGTCGCGTCTTCTGCGCCTCCATATCTTGCAGGCTCGCCGCAATCGCCGCCTTCAAGTCGGCATCCTCCTCCTCGACCTCCTCCTCCACGGCCGCCTTTGCAGGCGGCTTGCTCGTGCCGTTCGTCTGCGGCTTGAACTTCAGCATCGCGCTTTGCGGCACATAGCCCGCACCCGCATGACCTTTGCTGTCCTCCAGGCTCATCTCTAGAGCTTTCTTCAGGTCCGCATCAAAGCTGTCTTCGGTCACTCGTGCACCTCGCGGCTGCATGCGTGACGACTCTCGGCTCATCGTGCTGTCCTGCCACAGCGTTCTTTTCACTCCACCAGCGGGACTTTGCGGCCCGGGAGTGCCTCCAGATTTCGCGACCAGCTTTGCGTAACAGCCATCATCCACCCTTACAGGCGTCATAATGCCAAGGTGCGGTAGCGGCAGGCTCTTACTCGAACAGTTCTGGTCGAAGATGCCACCACAATTCCTGCAGTGATGCTTTCGATTCGTGAGAGTAAACTTTTCCCGACACCGCATGCACACATCGCTATCTGTCCACTCAGGTGGCGCAGTGCTGTCAAACATGCTGCTTGCGATCTCTTCTCGCGGCGGGAAGTTGAAGCCTTCATGCTGTAACGTGCGGTATACTTCGGAGATGTAGCTCAAGCTCTCCTTCCCTTGCGCAGCACCCTCCCACGTCTGGATCAGCTCCAAGATCTTCTGTTTGACATCTCGGTCTCCCATACCACCAGCATCATAGCGGACCAAGCTGACAAGGTTATCGAGGAAGTCCCGGCTTGCGACCTCTTGAAGGAAGTGGCTACCGCCGTTCTTCACACAAGTGTCTGTCAGGTTCAAGGCGCTTAACTGGATGTTTGGGTTCTTGTTGCTGATCCGCTTCTTAAGTAATTGCGCGGCGGTTTTGGCAGGCACTTGTTTCGAGCGTATCACATCACTAATCTCAATGTTCGTTACCATGTCTTCCAGGGAGCTTGAGGTAGCCTTTTCGATTTGCTGGTCCAGTTCCGCCGTGGCGGCCGGCGGGCCCCAGAACAGCGAGGTCATCCTGAGCTGTTTATGCGGCTCGCTGATACGAAAGTGTTATTGGAAACAGAAGTCTGTATGGGCAGGTAAGTGATGAGGCTAACAGAGCATGTGACTCTTCGTCAGCGATAACGTGGATGGTGCAAAGACTAGGCTCGGCATGGATAGAGTGTAGCAGTAGCTCGCTATTGCGTGTGTTTCAACAGAGTGTGTGCCTAGAACATGTATGTAAGGCTGGAGCTTGCATGTGGCTTTGCCCCCTCCGTCATCATCAACAGCGTGGAGTGCTTGTGGGGAAAGACATTATTAGCACATTTGACATCTACAGCTTCTTTAACGGTCGCAACTCATTCGATTGAGACACACAAGGCAATACCTCAAGCACAGTTCAGCAAGAACCCACGCAAAGTGCTTCGCGACAAGCCCGCTTTGCCATCCATCACAGCAGCGCCACGCGGGCACCGAGGCTACAGTATCCGGCCGCTTGGTGTGGAAATCGTAGATCGAGCAAGCAGTGTCGTTTGATAGACCGAACTGTACCTCAAGGTACACACTGCAACGCTATGCAAAGACACCGACTTGCATCATGAGCGCCGTTGCGCCACCACCGTACCCGACCGGAGGGTCTCCCGCCTACGACCCGCGCTCTCCACCAAACAGCAGCGGCGAGCGAGTGTTTGCGCATCTCGAGGATTTGAAGGCAAAAGCAGCGGGTGGCTATGACCCTCAAAGCCCGATCACAGCATTGGTCAAGGCCGGCGAGACTGCGTTGGAGCAGGCCAATACGCTGCTCAATTTTCGGAGACCTGACCTCGCTTTTGTCGAGTACCTGCACGCCTCGGAGATTGTGATTAATCTGATACCTCGCCACAAGGACTACACTCACTTCACGCTCGATCATCCGGAGAATGCGAAGAAGCTTCACTTGCTGCAGAAGAAGATCAGTGCCCAGAATGATCAATTTGCGAACATCAAGGGAATTATTGTGAGCAACAATAATCGGTCAGGCGTGAGGCCGCAGGAGTCACAGAATGGGCACATACGTTCAGAAAGTGTGCCAACGGCGCAATCGCACACATCAGACATTCCTACAAGTGGGCAGGCAAGTGGTCCGCAAGCACCAGGACAGAGGATCAAGCCAACGCCAAGCCCAAAGCCGGAGAGTCTCCATAGCCGGGCCATCTCGCACGCCACTCCCAGCGGAGCAAATGGGCAAACATCGTCTGACGTCTTGAATGATCGCTTTGCTCGATTACGCATGCTTGACACTTCGCAAAGGCCGCCGTCCCGAGAGTCGAACGCGTCTAGCGTCCATAGTTCGCCTGTCAGAGGAAGTGCGCTATCTTCGTTCCCCAATGCGGCAGACTATGGAGGCCGCAACTCTTTCGAGCCACTATCACGGACTACCTCCCTTGTCTCTTCTTCTGGAAAGCCGCAAGGTCCTCGTGGGATGCCGAACGGCAACGGTACAATAATGCCGCCCCTCGCGATACCGAACCTTCCGCAAGCCCCTCCGACTGCATACAGTCCTGCCCGCAACATGGAAACGACCGGTAATATTGCACCCCCACGGCATTCTGCGAGAAGCCTAGCCGGCCCAACCCGACGATCTTCAATGGCGCTTACATCTTCGGCCTCGTCGCACGCGCCCAATGGGCCCTTGGAGAACGGCGACTATTTCCCAAATCAAGCCGCAAATGGCAGGCCCAATGGTACAGGGCCGCGAAGAACATCCGTCAATGTACCGATCGAGACTGAAATCACCCCGGAGAAGCTCTTCGATTACTTGCAGTACTTTTCCGTGCTCCTCATCGACTTTCGCTCCCGTGAAGAATTCGATAGGGGACACATACTGGCGACGACCATCATGTGCGTCGATCCTCTGTCCGTGCGATCAGGCATGAGTGCCGAACAACTAGAGAACGCTCTTGTCATATCTCCGGAAGAGGAGCAAGGCATGTTCCACCAACGAGATCAGTACAACTTCGTCGTCTACTACGATGCGTCAACGCAGTCCGAGAGCTCCCTCTCACATCCTGTAGGTCAAGCTCAGACCGGCCTGAACTATCTCCGTGAGGCTTTATACGACTTCAATCAAGAGAAACCATTGCGAAGACCCCCGATGCTACTCAAGGGAGGGCTTGAAGCCTGGACGGACATGATGGGGGTGCAAGCGCTCTTGACCTCTGACACCACCACGAGAGCGAAGCAAGGTAGGCCAGTGGCAAGACGGCCGGTAGCGGGACAGTTGAGAGTGTCGAAGCGCCGCATACGTGACTACGAGCCCTTTAATCCGGAGGAAGAACAGTTCTGGCGCGAAAAGGCACGTGTGGAGAGTGTTGCGCTGTCGCAGCCGCCAGAGTTGTCCGAAGACGGTGTACGCGAGACTGTTAAGGACGGCGACGAGGAAGACGCAGAGCCGTCCACCGCAATCCGCGAGTTTCTCGAGCGCTTCCCGGATGCTGGCAACCTTGACCCGCAAGCATTTGCTCGCCAAAAGCCCACGAGAGCGCCGCCACAAGTGCCCGCTAAGATCCCACTCTACCCGTCTGCGCCGGCGCCGTCACAGTTTCCGTCAGTGCCAGCGCGTCCGGCGCCCGCTGCCCCTCGTATGAGCTACCAAGGAGTTTCCGACAGACAAGCATCCGGTAGCCAGCCAAGCGCCAGAAGCACATCGAGCCAACTCACACCCTACATCCCGCCAAGGCTCTTGTCCACCAATCTCCGTCTGCCACGCACAGGACTGGTCAACTTCCGCAACACATGCTACATGAATAGTACGATCCAAGCGCTTTCGGCCACCACACCGCTCTCTGTGCTCTTTTTGGACGACGGCTTCAGGTCGCAGGTTCAAGCGGAGAACTGGAAGGGCAGCCATGGCCACATGACCAACATCTACGCCAATCTCATTCGCAATCTATGGAAAGGTGATGTGGAAGTCGTCAAGCCTTCCACGTTCCGAAGCCTTGTCCGGCGTCTAGCATCTCAGTTCGACAACGAGGAGCAGCAAGATGCGAAAGAGTTCTTTGACGTGGTCATCGACACGCTGCACGAAGATCTGAATGTCAATTGGGCAAGGACGCCACTGCAGGCGTTGACCGAGCAGGAAGAGGCGAAGCGCGAGCGCATGCCGAAAGTGTATGCTTCGAAGATCGAGTGGAGTCGCTACAATCACCGCGAGCTGTCTTTCATCTACAATCTCTTTGCGGGCCAGCACGCCAGTAAACTGACGTGTCTCGAATGCAACTTTACTTCAACAACATACGAAGCGTTCACGTCGATCTCAGTCGAAATTCCACTAGACGCGCGCTTTTGGCGCAATGGCCGATACCCCACCTTGGACGACTGCTTGCGATCCTACTGCTCTGAGGAGATGCTGACACGCGACGACCAATGGCGATGTCCACGATGCAAGACTTTTCGCGAGGCGAAGAAGCGCCTCACTTTGACACGTGCGCCTCAGTTTCTTGTCGTGCATTTCAAGCGCTTTGCCTCGCAAGGCCGGCAGAGTCGCAAAATCCGCATACCGGTTGATTTCCCGCTTAATGACTTCTCGCTCGACCCGTATATGCTGCCGCAGCTGACTCCAGAGGATGCCAGAAAGGTCGCCGATCTGTATGGCGAAGATGCGCCCAAAACTGGCCCGGAGATGACCCCGCCTTACACTTATGATGCATATGCGGTGGTGAGACATATCGGCGCGACGATGCAAAGTGGACATTACATCACGGCGGCTAAGGATCAAGGACGGAGATGTTGGCACATGTTCGACGATAGTAGGGTCAACGACTTCCAGCCGGAACAGCTGAGGGGCGCGGATGCCTTGCAGAACGAGCAGGCGTATATCGTGTTCTATCAGCGACGACAGCCTGGAGCACCGACGGCGGCGACCGTGCCTGGTTTTGGCGCTCAAGGGAAGATGTAATGTTTTGCTTGCGCCTGGTATATGTTGGCGCGCTTAAAGTTCGTGATAGCGTTGAGCGACTGCATCTGGGTGGCGCTGCATGTAGCGTATGAGAATCCTCGATACCGGATCTAGAGATTTAGGGAATCCTAGAAACATTCTGCGCAGTGGTATACCACAATCCTGACTTCCATGCACCTTCTCTCACCGTGCCTCTTCTGAAAGCGTTATCGGTCTTTGTTCTGTCAGCTTTCGCCGAAGCTCGGTAACAGCCGGGCGGAAGCTCTCGTCATGTGGGACTGGCACCCGAGCAGCTTGGACATTGGTCACGCTGCGCCATCACGACAACCTGCTCCTCACGCACCTGCCCTCTGCTATCTCGCTTCCAACTTGAGATCTGTCACTGACTCAATAGCAAACCTCAGCCTTCAAGGTAGCCATCAAAGTCAATCGGCTAACCCACGATTCGTTAACCGGCAATTGCATCCTCCACACAAACCTGAGCAGATAAGCCCGTCTTCCGGACTACTAACCCGATCGAGGCTCCGAGCATTACAGGCACTGTGACGAAGTCTACACTCACGACTATACGTTGCTTGCGTGAGTTGTGGTTATCTACGCTACCACGCAATTCTACAAGACGCCAGTGTAGCAAAGCCTGGGCGGCAAGCACAGTGGACAAGAGTCACAGAGGGACACCCTACTTGATCCACGGAGAGGCGGCGGCGGAAGGCAGTAGGCAAGATGAGCAGTCCAAAGCGGAGAATTGAGACGGATGTGAGTATACCACTTCGACCACCAGAATCACATGGATGCGGTGCTGACGGTTCCTTTGACAGGTCATGAAGATGTAAGCGACTAGCAGAGCTTCGGTTGTTTGCCTGGTGCTGAGTGATACAGGTTGATGAGCGATTACGAGGTCACACTCGTCAATGACAACAGTACGTAGCACCTTTCTGGCACAGCGTTTTTAGTCGCTGATGTTGCAGCACGTGCTGACTGATCCGTCTCGACAGTGTGCGTCCTTGCCTGCAGACGTTGGATCGAACACGCAGAGCTTCTTCGCTAACCGTGATCGCAGGCAAGAGTTCTATGTCCGCTTCAAAGGCCCAGAGGAGAGTAAGTGTGAAAGAAGAAGGGAAACCGTCCGACGTGCTGACATTCCCAACAGCACCCTTCTCTGGTGGCCTTTGGAAAATACACGTAGAGCTGCCAGACCAGTACCCATACAAGAGTCCAAGCATCGGCTTCGTTAACCGCATCTTTCATCCCAACATTGACGAGCTGTGTGTTCTGCACTCACTCTAGTTGACGTACCCTTCAGCTAATCAACATCGATGTAGGTCCGGCAGCGTCTGTCTAGATGTAATCAATCAGACATGGTCACCCATGTACGACATGATCAACATCTTCGAGGTTTTCCTGCCGCAACTTTTGCGGTACCCGAACCCAACTGACCCGCTCAACGGCGAGGCTGCTGCTCTCATGATGCGAGATCTCAAGAGCTACGATGCAAAGGTCAAGGGTAAGCATCGACCACTTGGATTGCTCCGGAAGCCTTATATGCTAATCGCGACACAGAATACGTTGGCAAATATGCGACGAAAGATCATGTCGACGATGCCGGCAACGACTCCGATGACAGCGACGAGATGAGCAGCGTTGGCAGTCTTGATGAGGACGAAGAAGATGCACAGCCTGCCGGCACAATGGACGAGGTGTAGTCCCTGCGAAGAGGGTCTACTGAGAAGCCACGAAGTTGCACGTGTTGTCAGGCGTCCCGGCTATGGGCACGGCGTTAACATTGCTCGCTGGTGTGTTAAAGTGCTGTACTGGCATGCACAAGTGCTCGGATGGAGTCACCTTGTTAGTCTAAGTCGCTTATAACTACCATAACCAACCTTAGGTTCTAGCCTACTGCGTGGATTGTGGAGCTTCCGTCACCGAAAGATTGACCGATCAGTCGCCGCCACGCACTAGAACAACTGTGGTTAGAAATCCGGAACATGATGAGTAATGAGACAACCCAGACCCGCAAAGCGGCCACGACACGAGTCTCTCGCACTAAGGAACCCCTCTGTTGAGCCCTTGCCTATAATAAGCTCCCAAACACATCATGAACGTTGTGGCTTCGGCCTAGAACCTCGTGAGAATGTTCGATGCATGCCGCTGTGCCGAATCTTGGCTCACGCTCATGCGTGTAGACGAAAACGTAGTCGCCGAGCAGCGGTATATGGTACATCCTTCACGGCTGGATTGGCCTTTCCAATTGTTGTTGGGAGTTACGCTCGCGTACGGGAGGTCACGCAGGGAATAAGAAAGGGATGGGTCAGACGCCGAAGCTTGGGACCGTTCCCTTGATCAAATGTGAGTGCCGGCCGCTCGTAGGGCTTGCTTCGGATATATTTCGCTAACCATGAGCCGCCGATCAAAGCTCCAACGCTGGTCAACCCCTGCAAAAAGTGTACGGAAGGCTTGCAATGCACGAGAGGCAATTGGAGCGCTTAAGACGGCCAACTTCTGAGACGGAGCTTTGGCTGTGCATAGGGTTTAGCGGGCGGAATGGGAACGTGGAAGCCATGCTTTATTTGCCCGTTTGACTCGTGTCTCGTCGTGCGGCATTCTCGTGGGTTGATCTGTCGCAGTGCATGCACATTGTAAAGTTTCTGCTAGGACTCATCGTTGATCGTTGATCATCCTGCCGGTGCTGGCGTGATTCCTGCCAGCTCCAACAAAGCAGTCCGACTCTCTACGAAGCTGCTGCCCTAGTGTATGCAACAGGCCTGCATCAACTGCGTCGACTGCATCAACCTCGCGTGAGAGTTGACTTGACTCTGAATCGGCTCGCGCACCGCCATAACCCCGGCTGCCCATCTTACCACTTCACCGGAACTGGCGAACTGCCGTGCGACTAGGTGTAACAACTCTACTGCGGCCCTTGACGTATATTGAAGAGACGGTACGGCATAGCTGCAGCGCTTGCAGCGGGGGGAGTCGAGCCATCATCACAATCTACAATCACTAGGTTTTGGCGTCGGATTGCGCACGTCGACTTGAGAAGTGCGGTTAGCTTCGGCAAGAGAGTAATTTAAGAGGAGCAATGTGTTGGAGAAGAACAAGGTAGCCGGGCCCGTCCAGAGAGTGTTGGGATTTTCCTTGGGTCTCCGTAGGACTTGCCTGTCTTTACCGAATATCAGCCACTCCATCAATGGGCAACACCAATGGCAAACCCGTTGTCCTCACTGACGAGGTCAACCTCAATCACTTCCGCCTACTGCGAGTGGTGGGCAAAGGGGCGTTTGGAAAAGTGCGAATTGTGGAAAGCAAGGATACGGGCTTGACGTTCGCGCTCAAGTACATACGGAAGGATGAAGTGGTACGGTCGGAGAGTGTGCGCAACATCATACGGGAGCGGAGGATGCTGGAACATCTGAACCATCCGTTTCTGTGCAATCTGCGGTACAGCTTTCAGGACATGGAATATCTGTGAGTGGGCTTAATGTGGCGTACGGCTTATGACACCGCTGACATCCATGGCAGGTACATTGTGCTAGACCTGATGAACGGGGGTGATCTTCGCTTCCACATTACACGAAAAACCTTCACTGAAGAAGCAGTCCGTTTCTGGATTGCCGAACTAGGCTGTGCGCTAAGATACATACATCGGCAGCGCATCGTGCATAGAGATGTGAAGCCTGACAATGTACTCCTGGATTCGGAAGGCCACGTGCATCTGGCAGACTTCAACGTAGCGTCCGACTATACCCCCAACAAGCCACTAACCAGCAAGTCCGGAACCTTGGCCTACCTTGCGCCTGAGGTCTATGCAGGGAGAGGCTACGGTCCAGAGGTGGATTGGTGGTCGCTTGGCGTGCTCTTCTACGAATGTATCTACAACAAGCGACCATTCGAAGCAAACCATCAGGAGCAGCTCGGGCAGTCGATCATCAAGGCCGAGCCGCCATTTCCGGTCACGATGCCACCAGTCTCAATGCCTTGTCTGCATGCTATAAGCTCCCTACTAGAAAAGGACAGAGCACAGCGCATTGGGGCTGCAGGTTTCCGGACGTTTACCGACAACCCATTCTTCAGAGAGATCGATTTTGAGATCCTCGAAGCGAAGGGGGTGGAGCCGGTATTCTGCCCGTCTAGCGAGAAGACAAACTTTGATGCTACGTACGACTTGGAGGAACTGCTTCTTGAAGAGGCGCCACTGGAGGCACGGGCACGGAAGCAGAAGCCTCGTGCAGAGCTGAGAGATGACGCAACACCTCAGGAGATCAGGGCCGATGAGCTGCACAGGATGATTGAAACGATGTTCGAGCCGTTCAACTATACTCTGGCGCCGGAGTCAAGGAGTCCTGTCACCACGACCGCATCGCCAGCTTCAGCGTCCGCATCGTCCCCAAGGCGATATGCGCGCAGCGAAAGGGACAGATCTGCCGAAAACACAAGCCAGCAACGACACCGACAGCCAGAGACATCACGCTCAATACCAACGCCTAGGTCACAGACGCCGGGAAGTAGTTCCAGAACACTATCCACGACTCACACACCTGACGGATCGCCGCCTTTACCCGCGGCCGCGTTAACTACAAACTTCGCAGTTCCACCCACGTCACACCCGCAGTCTGACTACCTCCCATCCGTCACCTCACATCCCTCGGTGCCACACGTACCAGGATCATCGCACCAGCTTGCGGAGCTCCCAAGATTACAGCAAACGCGCACTGTCCGCTACGAGGACACAATATCACCAACAATGACCTCGTCATCGCAAGTGAGGTCGCACAGGCCGAGAGGCAGCACGAGAAGCACATCCATGGGCGGTGGCGTGCAGGTTGTGCTGAACGAGCAAGGCAGCTGGAGCGAAATGGCGAATGCCAGTCAAGGCATGGTTACTCCTGGGAGTGAGCAGAAGTTTGATAGGCCAAACGGCATGCTCGGCTTCCTCGGGAGGAAGAAGGGACGAGACAGGAGTCCAAAGGGGAAACCAAAGGAGAGAGGTGTAATTGGAAAAGAAGGCGCTCGCGTCGTTATCAGTCACGGCTGAAGCACACGATCATGGATGGTGTCAGTGGATTGATGGAAATTACGGGATGGTGTCTAGTGGATTGATGAGCGATCATGCTTGATCATGAAGGCTTACGACGATGCACTGACAGGGACCAAGGCGATCACGTGCAGCAGGTAGATTGAGGGCAAGGAGAGCTTTGCAGACAAGAGCACATGAAGCTCGGGATGGCAGAAGCTACTTTCGACCACCCCTGGACGCCCTGCTGCGGCGACAGTAATGGCGAAACCACAGGCCTCATCTATGACCCGGTTTACTGCACGAGCAAAGCAACCAGCTTCCGCCAATCGCAGGTCTCATTTTCTGGAATGCAGAACTGGCTGCTGTTATTGCATTAACAAGGCCGTTCTGCCTGAATAAGGCGCGTCGATTAGACATGCACGAGGCTGCTTGAAGCATGCATCCCGAAGGAGTGCTGTAACATAAAACGGCAGGCTGCTAATGAGACTACCCTCATGGCAGAACCATCGGCAATAAGGCGCACGAGGACTCGCCTCTTGCTAGTCAGCAGCAATTTTGCTTTAGAAGCACGCGTTCCAGATTTTCGTGTCTCGGACAGCCAGCGAGGCATCGCTACGTTATTGGCGAACGACACCGTGATGGAGCTCCATGCGCACCTTACTCCGACGCCTTTATGTCGCCGATGACTGGCTCCAACAGTTTCGGCACCAACACCGCTGCGTCACCTCTGAAAAACCAGTTCCCGTCCATCCAACCTCCGGCAGGGCGGTCGGTCTCATCCATGTTGATGACACAGACTCTGGCACCCCTCTCCCTAGCCTTCTCGATATATCCGGCAGCCTGGTTCGAATGTCAGCGGTGTGGTGGGACGGATGCATGTCTCTTAAGCACTTATACGTACCGGATATACCTTAGCCGAGGTGCCGATGACGAGCATGATATCGATGTCATTCGGATGGTTTAGGAAGTCCTCCGCAGCTTCGAGGACGTGAAAAGGCAGGCTCTCACCAAACCACACAACGCCCGGACGGAGCAGGTTGGTCTTACACTTAGGACAGGTTGGAAGATCCTCCCGCTTCAGGGCAGGCAATGGAATTTGGACGTCGCTTATGTCCAAGTCGTTACCTTTCTGCTTAGCTTGCAAATGATCACTCACCTCCTTCCTGGCTTCGTTTGATGTCGGGTCCAGGTCTGAGGTTGGGATCTCGAGGGCTGGAACGACGGGATCGGTAAAGTTCGTTTCAGAGTATCGGCACACTGCACGATCTACGCAACGTAGTTCGAACAGAGTTCCGTGGAGAAGCTGCAGCTGCTTCATGGGATGGTTCGCACGTTGCGACAGACCGTCGACGTTCTGTGAAAGAGTCATGAAACCTGGCATCCTCCTCGCTAGTTCGGCAAGGGCATAATGCGCAGGGTTGGGCTGAGCTTGGAGGGCCATGTGTCTCCGGTAGTTGTAAAACTGCCACACCAGGCCAGCATTTTTGTTAAAAGCTTCCGGCGTCGCCAACGAAATAGAGTCGTGCGTTCTCCATAATCCACCGGCTCCACGAAACGTGGGCAACCCGGAAGACGCGCTCAGGCTGCAATGTATGGGATGCAAATATCAGCGGAATCTTGAACAATGGTCGGTGACGGTGGTCTTCATCTTCGTACCCGGCTCCGAGGAGGGCGAGAATGCGTTTGGAGCTCTTTAAAGCCGTATGAAAGGACGCGAGATCCTCTTGACTGATCTCCATTCTCCGAACTCGAACACTAGTCGATGCTTTCCTGGTTCTCTGAACGTTGATAGCTATCTGATATGAGGGTTTGACGTTACAAAGCACAGCTTGACTAAGAAGTGCAGAGCATGGCGAGCAGCGATAGATGCGAGCACATATTGCTGCTGCTCGCGTCAAGTACATGGAAACAGTAAGCTCACCACCTCTCTATTGCTTGCTGCAAGCAGAGCTGTGCCACGGTGGAAGCAGGGCAATCTTCCATTCACAGCACGTTACGAAACCGGCCCGCACCTCACGCCAGTCCCAGACGGCAAGCACAGCCGAGAATTGCGGCAATTCGGGTTCATGCTTCTAAATGTTTGCTTCGAACCTAACAATGAGTCGCATACTATCACCTGCCTTGCGAACAGCCATCGGTCCACGATCAAGAGTCAGTACTCGGCCTGCACTTCTGCAACATGGCTGCGCTGCAAAGCGTGCACTCGTGTCGGCGGCGGACTTGCGTTTCGGGCAGCCATTGCACGAGACGCATCCGCATATTATCGCAGCTGGGGATCTGACACCTGGTATCTCTGCCCTAGAGTACCATCACCGACGTGCAGCCCTAGCTAAGAAGCTGCCTCGCAATAGTGTTGCCATTGTGGCTGCAGCGGGTGTCAAGATCAGGTCCGGCGCCGTCTTCTACGAATACCGGCAGGATTCCAACTTCTACTATCTGACAGGGTTCAACGAGCCGGAAGCGGTAGCAGTCATTGAAAAAGGGTCTTCCGATGTTATGTTCACCTTCCACCTCTTCGTCCGACCGAAAGACAGCAGAGCAGAGAAATGGGACGGCGCGCGTTCGGGTGTACAGGCCGCGCAGGATGTCTTCAATGCAGATGAGGGCAGAAGTGTCGACGATGTTGAGAAAGTGCTTCCGAAACTTCTGAATCCTGCAAGGAGCGTCTACACGGATATTGGCTACGGAAACCGCAAAGAAGGCGTCTTTGCGAGGTTCATTGCCGGGTCTGAGCCGAAGGTTGATGGCTTAGCGAAGCTGCTTACAAGCGCCACGGTGAAGTCATTGCAGCCCATCATGAACGAGCTGCGCGTTAATAAGTCAGACGCTGAGCTTAAATGTATGCGGAGAGCTAGCTCCATATCCGGCGCCGTCATTACTGAAGCCATGCGTAACCAATACTCCAGCGAGAAGCAGCTTTGGACGGATCTGAATTACGGTTTCAAGACGCAAGGGCTTGATGGTGATGCTTATGTACCGGTCATTGCGGGCGGCAAGAATGCTCTTAGCATACACTATGTTCGCAACGATGCTCTGCTGAACACTGGCGAGCTGGTGCTTGTTGATGCAGGTGGAGAGTATGGCGGGTACATCAGTGACATCACACGGACGTGGCCCGTGAATTCGCGCTTCACGGGTGCGCAGAGGGACATGTACGAGATGATATTGAAGGTCCAGAAAAGCTGTATAAGCCTGTGTAGAGAAGACGCGAACATGAGTCTGGACAAGCTACATCGGGTCGCTGAGGACGGCTTACGGAACGGCCTTGGCGACCTTGGGTTTGATATGTCCGGCTACGCCCTGGATACACTCTTTCCGCATCACGTAGGCCACTACATCGGCTTGGACGTGCATGATGCGCCTGGATATCCGCGCACGGACCTTTTGAAGGAGAACCAATGCATCACCATCGAGCCTGGGATATATGTACCGGACGAAAGTCGCTGGCCTGCGCACTTCCGTGGGTTAGGCATCCGCATTGAAGATTCTGTGCGGGTAGGAAAAGATCAGGTAGAGATCCTGACGAACACCGCGGTGAAGGATGTACAGGACATTGAGGCACTACGTGGCTGAGTCGCATATGTTGCCGGCTCAGTCATTGCCTCTCAAACCCAGGCCTTTGGATTGAAGGTAGATCCACTCCTTGGCCTCCACGCCCTCCTCGTTTTGGTCTTCTGCTGGTGGGATCCCGCTACCCTGCAATGTCTTGAGCTTGCTGTGATCTGTGGGCCGCACGAAGTAGACGATGCTGTAGCGGGGCCACTTGCCCTGCTCTCCCGGAGCCGGAATAACGCGGTGCCGACCGGAGCAGAGCACACCGTTGGTGAACTTTACGGCGGCGTCACCTAGGTTGACGATCGCGCATCCCCGCTTAGGCTTGACCCATAGCCTGAACATTGATGGGTGGAAGAGTCAGCCCTGCCTCAGATGGTCATTGGGATGATCAAAGCGCTTTGCTTACCACTCGCCAGGCACATCAGGTTCCAACGGACCGGCTTTCCTTGCAGACTCTGACCAGACTTGCAACCCTCCCAACCAATTCATCAAGATTGTGATGCTTGGAGCACGTCAGCTAACGCATACTACACCGTCGCCGAGGGATCGACTCACGTTCCGAAATCAGTGTGTGATGGCGTTTGGATCTCTGGCATTTCGGCGGTCTTCCTTGGCGGGCCACGAGTGAACCGAATGTGGTCACCCGCAGGCTCCTCGATCACGTGCCTGCTTCTAATCTCCTCACGCGGCACACCTAGATTGAAGGAAAGAGGAGTCAGTTCCGCCTCAGATACTCGCAACGTGATCTGCACACGCTATGCGTACCCAGCTTGTCGGCGAGGATGTCCATAATCATAAGACCTGTGGCATGCGCAGCACGGCAGTAGTTGGCAAACAAAGGCTTGTGCTCGATGATAACCGAGGGCCACTCGCGCGACATCTGATTGTCAGGAACGATCATGTCATTCTTGCGAACATTGAAGAACTCCGCTGTGTCCGGCGTGCCTAGATATCCAGGGTATGAGAGTCAGCCATATTTGAGACAATCGCGAGGCGATGTACACATTGCTGTGCTTACCGGATTTGTCGGCATTCGTTGCGCCCACTTTCTTGTACCTACGCAAACGGTTAGATGACACTGAGATACTGGCTGTTGAGGTGTAGGAGGTTCAGATATGTCACGGATAACCACGACTAGATCCTTACCCGAAGAGCTCTTTGTTGGCCTGCTTGTACTTCAGTTTCTCTTCCAGCGGAAGTGCAAACGTCTCCTCGGCAGCACGCGCGACATCGTCTGCACCATAGAGGATGGTATCGCCTCTCTCGGTGCCAGCTAGTTCGAGATACACAAAGCCGCGACTCTTGAAGGCTTCAAAAGCCCGGTCAATTTCAGCCTCGTCGCCTTCCTCTAGCGTCCTGAGGGAAATGGTCTGTAATTCGACCGTCGGAAAGTCGGCCCCTTCAGGGAAAGGTGGGTACTGGTTGGGAGTGAACTCGGTATACTCCTCCTTGTGCGGCATTGTGTTACAATTGGCGTGAACGACTAGAACTGTCAGACAAGATCAAAAGAGTGGAGTGCTATCCGTCAACGCGTACGTCGTATGGTTCGGACGTGGCTTGACTGATATACTCGATCTTCCAGCCCTACCTGTCGATGATTACAGGTTCCGCACCCGAGCTGTGGATTACGGCAATACTATAGCAAAGCTTTCCGCTCTCCAAGGTTGGTGTTGTGAACAACTCTGCACACAAGTGAAAGTCCATTCGACAACACCAACCTTTTGACTTCCGCGCGCGAGCGGGGGTTGGAAGGACGCAAGCATCGCCAATCGAAGCTTTAGCTGACGGTGTTCTGCGGAAAGCTTCCGCGGTGCCCAACAGCGATGAGGTGCACCAAGGTCGAGCCAAGTGCTTCACGATGCGTATAGGGATCGCACTTGAGCCCGTCTGATAACAGACGGCTGAGCATACCTCGCAGTGTGCCCTGCTACAAGTCGGATCTCGCTATCTGAGCCGTATAGCATGCTTGTTTCTACAGCGGCGTTGGGGAACAGTAGCCATGACCTCGGGGACGGTCGTGTCATAGCCTCGGGTTCTCCTGGCGGGCAGCGGCGTGCAACAGAAAGATTTCTCCCACTGCTCGTACAGCCTGGCACAAAGAAAGCCTACTTCTTAACGTCCGTCACCGGCACATCCATCACTCGTTGGTGTCCATTCCCCGGAACCGCGGGGCGCATCCTCAGAAGAGTGGCGTCTCCACAATCTCCACGTTGGCGGGCATCGATGACGCTTCACCTTCCTTGTCTTGCAGTCTCATGCCGATCAAACCAATGCGGCTCAAAAATGTATCCTCCTAGAGCACGCGCTGTCAACACACCGAGTGATTCAGTGTTCGGCAGGTGATAGCCGAACCGTCATCGAGTACCAGGTTCAGGTTTCCCCTACTTCCACAATGCGATCTTTTAGCACTCCTTCCTGTACCATGTACTCCTTCCCTACCATCACCTTCAAAGCCCAGCCAGACTCTCGCTAGTCAACCGCACTCACTTATGGCTCCAAACGGGGCAGTGCACCGCGAAGACGCTCGAGGGCATCGCTATCCTGATTATGGTGGAAATCCTTTAGCCCACATTCTCTCCAACACCGACTCTGTGCGACTACCAGCCTTTGGAGGAGCTGCCCAAGTCGGTCTTTACAAGCCGCCCCCATTCCAATTTGGCAACCCTGTACCACTGGGTTTAAGTGGCTTCGCATTGACCACTTTCGTACTCTCGTGCATCAACCTCGGAGTCCGCGACATCAGCGAACCCTCGATCGTAATAGGTCCGGCGTAAGTCAAGGGTCTGCATTCCACGGTTAGAATTCACAGACTGACGGCTATATCATAACGCAGGCTGGTATATGGAGGCTTCATCCAACTTCTAGCGGGCATGTGGGACATAGCACTGGGTAACGGTAAGTTCGTGTACGATAGTGCTGGTGTATGCGGCTACTAACAGCGTATAGTCTTCGGAGGGACAGCTCTAACGTCCTACGGTGGCTACTGGTTAGGCATTGGAATTATTCTCACCCCAGGAGGCTTTCGGATCCAGGCATCCTACAGTCAAGCAGACTTCTACGCGGCATTCGGCTTCTACCTCTTCGCCTGGATGATCTTCACCTTCCTACTCTGGCTTTGCACTTTGAAGTCGACGGTGGCCTTCAGCAGTCTGTTCTTGACGGTGTGGCTGACATTCCTGTGTCTTGGCGCCGCCTACCTAGATGCGCAGAACAATGCGAATGCCATGCCAAACGTTGCTTTGACGAGAGCGGGGGGCGCCTTTGGCATGATCGCGGTAAGTACATTTGAGGTTGCGACGCCGAAAGAACTTGGTGCTGCTCACGAAAGATGAAGCTGACTTGCACAGAGCTGGCTGGCTTGGTACAACATGCTCGCTGGCCTTCTCGATCCCTCAAACTCCTTCTTCATCATCCCAGTAGTGCATTTTCCGTGGAGTGATAAAGCGCGGATGGACCGGAAAGCGAAGGCAGAAGCTGAAGATGAAGGTGTATAGTTAAGACAGCGTACCGCTTAGAAGAACCTATCGCGTTCTGCTGACCTTGGTCGGTCGGCTGTTTAACCCCGTGGTCGACATCAACAATCGCTTGCCGTTGACATTGGTTGTGCCTTCTTTCCGAGTCGGACGGCCGAAGGCAGTGGCCGCACCTTTGTGAGGCACCAAGGCGCCACCGTTTACTCGGCGTTTAGAGTCTCGATCATCTTCGTCAGCCTCGCCCTCTGCATCAGCCTCGTCGCCTTCTTCCTCTGCACTAATGACCGTGCCTGGCTCAGGCGGCGTTTCGTAGTCTACGAAGCCCGGGTCATGTACGGGCGCACCGGCATGCCTTCGCATTGCCCCATTCACGCCTATGACTGCACCGTTGAGGATCATGTCACCTGCTATTTGGTCCTTCACCGGACGATTTTGAGCAGCTTTTGGGTCGTCCACACGCATAGACGGCGCTGCTGCTCGTCGCAATGTCGCTTTCACCGTACTTCTCCACTTGCTCAGCAATGCGTCAGCATTATAGCTCGCCTCCGCTGCAAAGGAGTGTCGGTGAGTGCTATCAACATCCCGCAACACCGCGACGGGCGCAGAGATGGTTTGTGGTGGGTGTAGTAGGTACTCGCGTGGCAACTGATAACGTGACATGCGGTCAAAGTCGGCCTCGAGATGCCGAATCCGTGTCTCGGCTGCCTCCAAGCGCAGCAGGGCTTGTTCCTTCTGCTCTTGGGCTCGCGCGAACGCTCGCAAACTCTCTATTCTCCATGCAGATACTCGCTCCGACTCCGAAAGGGACTGCCAATGCTCGTATGCATTCTGCACATGCGCTGATTGCTTGAAGTAGGTAGCTGGCGGAAAGGACTCGTCAGGGTTCTCCGTTTGCCGCAATTCCCGTAGCCGCGCATTCATACGTCGAGTCAGGCAATCGAACTGCATCTGTCCGGGAGGGTCTAATGGCCAGGATTCAAGACCAGGAAACGGCGTGGAGCTTTGCAATGTTGTAGGCGCAGGCAGGATTGCGAGGCATAGGCCCGGGAAAGAGAGTGAGAAGAGATCCACGCCCTCGAACAGCTCCTTCGTGTCGGCTTTCTGTCGCGCAGCTTCAAGACTAGCAAGCAATTCGCGTAGCGCCAACTCCGCGGTACGACCAACTTCGGCATCTTCTTGGAGTTTCAAGATGGCATCTTCATCAAAGCTCGGCCGCTCCACGCGCTTCCCCGTGTCGTCACGGCGCATAGCCTGCATGCGCTCGGCCTGTCCACTTGGAGGTACCGTGTCATTCCTCGATGGCGCTCGAGGCGGTAGGTTGTTGATGACTCCAGTCGCCTGCCAATTTGGCGCATTGAGCGACGTCTGCATCGTCTCGCCATCTTTAATGTTTATGGGTGAGTTGACTGGGCTGACGGCTGTTACTCTGGTCTGCACCTTGACTGGTGGTTTGCGGGTGGGCGCAGGAGTTGCAGCGTCGCTGTTGCTGCTGTGTCGCCTCCACTCGCCAACGTGCACTTCTGAAGACGGCTTCGATATTGCCTTGGGTTGTCGTCGCGTGATGCCACCTCTGATCTTCTTGATTTCTTCCACATCATGCACTCCATCTGGTGGTTTCGGATTTCGTGGCTTAATGTATAGGTCTAGATGCCTTCCTAGGCTAGAAGAGGTGAAAGCCTGGCCGCAAAATGGACAGTGCTTGTCCTTTGCAAGCTTTGGTCCCGTTGATTCCTCTGCGGCATCATGTTGCGACGAGGGTGTCGACGCCGCCGTCTCCATCTCCTGCCTGGCGCTCCATTCTGCCATCCTGCTGTTTTGACCTGTCACCGGAAGCGCTCGTTCCTCGACTTAATGCAACCCCTGGTATTGCGCAACATTGCCCATGCGACTCTCCCTCATACGCAGCACTGCGCAATGGTCCGAGAACATTTAAAGTACTGATAACGTTGAAAGTACGACTGAATGGCTGCGGCGACCTCTCGATCTGGGTCATACATGCATCTCCTCTAGCATCCGCGGACTGGTCTCCTAACTCCGTCTCCGATTTGCAGTGCTTGAGCAGCGGGCCGAGGCCGGCACTACATTGCACTGGGCTCACAGCACATCGGCTTCAATTACGGTAACAGTAAAGTAGAGAATCTTGAGCACAGCTACATCGACCGTGGAGGATAGAACGGCCCTTCTAATCATTGACTGCCAGGTCGATTTGATGACACCATCACTGTTTCCCATGCTGATAGCCCATCAAGAACTACTTCGCGGAGTTGATCGTGGATGCAATACCTCACATCACGCAGCTGCATGACTTTATTCAGAGTAGCTCAAGGCCAATCATCTGAACCCAACATGGCCACACCAAGGAAGACCTCACACCGCCCTACAACAACGAGCTAGTCCGAAGATGGGGACCAGATGGTTCGGTTCATCGAGGCAGCAAGGACTCGGAGCTCGTACCGGACTTGCCTCCACTTGTTAATGACGAGCCTGTAGTCCAAAAGATTACTTACGGTGCTTTTCCATCAATACTAACTTGGCGTCACTGCTTGAGGAGCGCCAGGTATAGCGCGTTGTCATCTGCGGTGCAATGACTAAATGTTGTTGTAACACCAACGGCCGCAGTGCCTTTAATCGTGATTATGACACCTGGCTCGTGTCTGACGCGAGTGGGAGTGACACCGCTGAACACCATCAGTGGGTATCAATGTATTTAGCTTCGCCTTCGGGCGGGTCATGTCCACCGATGCAGTCATTAAGCATTTGAAGCGAGAAGGCGCCTGATGCAACTACGAGTAAGCGAAGGCCTGATATAGTTCACTGAGCTGATGTGTCAATTGCAATTGCAGGGTCATGGTAAGGACACGGAGGCTGCAAGCTATTCTAACAGCAGATGCATGGATCACGCCACGCCATGCTATTCCCCCTAAGCCAATCGTCGCTAAAAGCATTGCAATGGTCTATGTGGTATCTCTGAAGATGAGGCCGCTAGGTTACAACGAATACCCATTGCGAAGCCGCCAAGGAGTACGAAAGCCTTGGCGCAAATCCTGCTAAGTTCTCGCGCGTAACATTCGTACTCGGGCTTCCTCGCTATCGTGCATGCTGTCCCGGTGAGCGCGGGAAGGCTGCGTCATGGTCAGACTGGCCAATTCTCTTGTTAGAGTCTGCTGGCTGCTATTGCTGTGTGGCGAGCCGCCTCCGCTCTGTCGGACATGGACTTGACCAGGCCTTTGTAGACCAGGGCTTGGTGGTCGGCTTGTGGCTTCAACATAACTGGGCGGGCCTGCCACGTATGGCGTCACCGCTCCTGGTGTGCGCAGCGCAGCTCCATATGACGGCACACGCGACAAGCTAGTCATGTCGTAATCTTCTACATAGATCTCATCCACGTGGTCGTCGTCGGACGTTCTCCGTGATATCGGCGCACTGTTAGGAGTGGAGTTCGCTCTTGATGAGAAGTGAGAGGCGCGGGCAGATCCGGTGTCATGGTTCACTTCCGGTGACGACTCATCCACCAAGCCTGGGGCAGGAGAGTTGCCGCCGGACACACTGTCCGCGAACCGGACACCCTGTGTCCTGGCGTTGATGCTATGTCCTCGTGCTTGCAGGTCTGCAAGTCGTGCCTGCAAAGCCGAGGGCACTGCACTGCCATGATCCGACAACGGCGAGCCATCTGAATCACCGTTTGCCACGCCGTTCAAGGACGCCAGATTGTCATGCGAGCCTCGTCGACTTTGCGCTAACAGCCCCGCGGGCGTGTTAGGACCACTGCCTGCGCGACTCATGTATCCGGAGGGGTCTATGTCACTGTACATTTGATCCAGCTGATGCAGACCGTACTCCGGTGGTGCCACGACAGTCGTCTCGCCCTCGTTCAGCTCAGCATCTGAGGCGCCGTTTAGCGCTCCGCACACCTCATTCCGCTCGTCGACGGGCATGTTGGGAGATATGAACAGCTTGACCGGCAACCTGCACACAAGCTGTGAAGTGTGACCCTCCGGATTGTGGATATTAACCATCAACTTGAAGCGGTGCGTCACGTTGATCTGGTGCGAATCGACATCCTGCCGGCAGTGGTGCAACGACTTCGGTAACGGTAGCGTAGCCTTGAACTTGTACATCTCATCGGACATTGTAGGATTGTCGGCAGTCTCGTCGTCGTACATCACCTTCGACTCTTCGGGAAATTCCATGTCCGCCTTCGCCACTTCTGTCTCCTCCGACTTGGATCTATCTCCTCGTACGTCCGGCACCTCGCTAGCTTGTATTCGCTTTACCACAGTTTCGACCAGTCTCAGTTCGATCTTGCCCAGCTGCAAGCCCTTCTTGATCGGCGAGAGCTCCACATCGGCCGTGATTGACGTACCGAAAACGATGGCGTCGGTGGGTATTGATATGCTGTACGCGATCTTGTTCGCCCATATATCTGCATTGACCCGTGATCGTGTCATTTCCATGGCATCTTGACCGAGTGTTCGCACCAAGCGAATGTGCTCTTGCGCAAGAACGTCTTTGGCGTTCCAGCCAGGCCGTGACACGCTCGCATGCAGGTGATAGACAATGTATGTCTCCTTCAAGCCCTCCACGCTCTCCGGCATCGAAGGTGAGAGCTCGAATTCAAACGGCCACTCCATTGTGCCGGCCTTTACCTTGTGCGAGGTCTCAATGCCGAGTCGCTGCTCCTGATTCCAGAATAAGCGTTTGTCTGTAATCTCACCAGCGCCGATACCGCCCGTAAACCACCAGCTAATCTTTCGTTTGCCTTCCAGTCGTACTTTCGGTTTGAGGATGCTCATCGCTTCCGGCGCTGTGAAGCGCACCCGGCCCGTGAGTCGGACAGTCTGCGCCTCATGCTCGCCGCCATGGAAGACGATGAAGCGAGTGTCAGGTATAATCTCTAAAGTCGGCTTGCTCCGTCCAGTGCTGCCGCTTTGGTAAGTGCCACGCGGTGTCGGCACCATGGCCGGTGTTCGTATGCCTGCCTGACCAGGCCAGTTCAGAGCAGGATGTGTGGCCAGTTTGACGTGGGCGCTTGTGGTAAGCAACAAGATCGAAGTAGGCCCTTTCAGAGATACTCTCGTCTACACGTAATAAGGTTTCACCATGCAGGGAGATAGTAAAGGGCCGGCCCGGCGTGCTTTATGGGAGACCTAGGTTGGTCGCCGCTCACCAACGCACAGTCAATGCGCTGGAGCCTCGAATGGTGGAGCGCTTGCGAAGAGATGTCGGAACGATCAGTCGTATCTTACGAAACAGTACCAGTGGGTACACAGCGGGTCTTCCGTTTATGCTTCGCATGCGACTCAGCTCGCTCTAACGACGCCGGGTAAAAGCAGTGGCTGAGTTCTACAGCGAGGGGGCGGTAGTAAAGGGAGCTGGAGGGGACCAAGAACATTGATGGCATCTGGCGACTGCTATACATACGTACCGCGCAATGTACGTCCTCGCTTTGCCGTTATCGCAACGCCGCTGAAACATATCGATTGCGCGAGGTGTGACGCTAGAATTACACGCCACAATTAGCAGTGGGGCCGGCCATCGCCATCCCTGCAGCTTCCCAAAAATGCTTGCGAGGCTTCTCCCGCCGCCCGATGCCGATGAGAGCCCGCTCGCTTTGCCCGTTTCGAGCTCGCAGGGCTGGCAAAGTTTGCGAGAACGGTCGTTGGGACTCTTGGACGCAAGACAAGAGACTTCAAGCGGTTACGGAATACGACCCCAAACCGTAGGCGAAAACGTATGTACGTTCAAGACAGTGTGTGGACATAGTTTGCTCCAAGATGGCCAAGCCCACACTCCACTGTACAACGTGGGGCTCACAGTCACATGCCGAGCGTTTGCTGGCCTCACATGTCGCCAGCTCCCGCAGCACTTTGTTGCCTGTCGTCGCTGTCCTTTGGACGGTCCCATTCGCGAACGCGCCCTGTATCAGACATCAGTAAGTCGTGCACCGTGCATTCGGCCGTGCATACATACCGTCTTTGCTCGCCGTAATGATGCAACGCTCCTCGAAGCCCAACCAAGTTAGCGGATGAGTGTCCACCACCTTCGACATCACGGGAGGCAGCACAGCCGTGCTCCTCATCGGATCCACGGGATGCACGCCCTGAGGCCGCGTGCTTTCACCGTCGACACCGTCCGCTTGCGACTGCGTTCGGTTCGAATTACTCCGTAACCTGCCATGAGATTCCTTCCTGTTCATCGCGAAGTGGCTCGATACGCTAGTTCTAGGCCGGACAGACATCGCCTTGGGCCGCCCAAGCATGCCCACGGAGAAGTCCCACAGCAGTAGCCTGCAGTCTTCGCCTACGCTACCAAAACGATAGTTCCTTTCATCGCACCGCCATGGATCGAACTTGACATCCGTGACCCAGGAGTCATGGCCCACGCAGCGGGCCACGAGCGCTTGGTCGACAAGGGACCAGATGCTGACCAGGTCGTCTTGTCCGCCGGTAAGGACATAGCGGCCGTCAGGAGACCACGTCACGCAAAGCATTCCACCGTAATAAGATCGGTATACGTCCAGCACGCGCTCATTGATGTAGTCGAAGATTGTCAGACATCCGTCATCGCAAACCACAGCGAGTAATTGGCCGTCCGGTGAGAAAGCCATGTTGTTGATTTTCATATTCGACATTTGATATGCTGCTATGGGGTTCGTTTTCTGATTCTTCGACTGCACGCTTTTCTTGATATGGAATTTTGTGCTGGGACTGTCATTCTCGAAGCCGTTCTCGACCGAATTTAGCTCCTCTGGCACGAATTCCGCATCTTCTTTCTCCTTGTCGTACACGACTAGCGTGCCATCCATATGGGCTGCAATGAAGTAATTCTCCTTGTGCGGGAGCCAGAGAATTGTCGAAATCGGAGACGGATTAATCACGCCGTTCTTATTCAATCGTGCATACTTCTGCGAGATCGGCTCGTACCAGATGATGTCACTCGTGTTGAAACCAAGAATGACATCCAAATGCGCTGTTGACTTTGTCGCCTCGTTGACATCGTGGCATAGCACGTGCGCTTTCGTGAAGAGAATCTTGGTCATGTTCTCCGTCTTGACATCTGACGTTAGGTCAAGCCACATTAAAGCTCGGTTGCAATTTGCAAACACCATGAGGCCATCCGGCGACCGATCGCTCAAGCGCTTTTGTAACGCTTCATGTGGTATCACTCTCGAAACGTAGGACGAGTTCGACTTCACAATGTTATTCTTTGGCTTCGCTCGCTGATCCTTCTTGCTGTTCTTCGCCGGCGCGGGACGCAGCGCATCGTTGTTGTCTCCAAAAGTCGGCATGTGCGCATAGTATGACGCTGAACCGAAGCCATTCACAATCGAGCCTGTATCGCTCTTTGGGCTCTGCGCTTCTTCTTGTATGCTGGGCGGTATTGGCGAGCGACCGCTTTGCCCTGTCGTCATTCGGAACAGACTCTGTGAAAAGGGCCGCCGTGGTGCAATGACGGCTGTTGAAAGCTTGGTTCCTGCAGTTGGTGGGCCTGTGTTTATCGCCAGAGGATTATTATTCGGTTGCGGCGCATCGCTCGGGTGCGGCGGCGGTGTCGCCAGGTGCATGTCATCTCGAAGGACATACGTGCCTTCGCCGACCACTAGCTGATACTCAGGCCCGGTCGGATGATCCAGCGTGTTGTTCGTCTCCAGCAACGCGCCAGCCGGCAGGCCTGTGTAGAAGCCGCCATTGGGGTAACGCGGCGGAGGTGGAAGGACACTGCTTCGGCGTACCCAACAGTCAGCAGACTGTCTTGGGCATCGCGCATCGTGCGTGGGTGCGCCTCTGACGAGCGCGTCGCAGATAAGGGCGGTCGCTGCTGCAAGAGTGTGGATCTTGCTTCGGGAAGATTGACATACAACATCGTGTGCAGGCTGATGCAGCCGGTTGGCTGTCCGTTATCGCTATCTCTCAGCTGGCAACCATCTGCTCATCCTCCCCACCACGATCATCCAGCATCCACCGTTGGTAGCACGTTGCGAACATAGAACTCGACAGGTCACGAGACAAGAAGGGTAGTTCGATTGGTCTCGCAAAGATACTCGGCCGGGAATGATGGCCATTGCCGCTGCTGGGTTGTCAGCCACATTACTGTGTGCGGCAGGGCGGGGCACTGGCGACCGGGTAAAGAACGGAGATGCTCTTATTGCCGTTATAGGATGAGGAAGGAGAGGCGAGGTATGGGATGAAGGCTGGGATGGCCGTCACACCTACACCCTATACACTCGACCAGCAGCCAGCGCGTAGCGAGTGTGCACGAAGAAAGCATCTGGCATTTGCCTGTCTGGATCACAGAAGAGAGAGAGACTGTGTCTAAGCGGGATTAGGTTAGCTGCTATCCACTTCCCACGTGTCGATCATCATTGCAGCAGCAGTAGCTACGCTGTGTCATCGCCGAGCCGCAGCCTCTACAGAGAAGCTGCGCAACATGCCGGATCATGGCTACAGGTATGTGGTCTAGCTTCTAAAACGGGCACGTTGTGATATTGACAAGGAGCAGTTCGAATCTGTATCTGCGGCGACGAGAGCGTCGGCAAAAGCTCGCTGCTCACGTCCCTCGTTAAAGACACATTCGTGCAGTCCCGGATCCAAGCAGTCCTGCCGCCCATCAGCCTACCCCCGACACTTGGGACGCCGGAGAATGTCACGACGACGATCGTGGATACCTCCGCTCTTCCGCAAGAGCGCGAGCATTTGCGTAAAGAGGTGCGGAAATGCAATGTCATTCTTCTCGTCTATAGCGACCATTACAGCTATGAGCGCGTCGCGTTGTTCTGGATGCCCTACTTCCGGTCGCTAGGAGTAAATGTACCCGTGGTGCTATGTGCGAACAAGAGCGATCTGTGTCCGGCCGTGACAAGTACAGCTCAGATAGTCACGGATGAGATGCTACCGGTCATGGCGGAGTTCAAGGAGATTGACAGTTGCATCCGGACCAGCGCACGGGAGCACCATAACGTCAACGAGGTCTTCTTTCTGTGTCAAAAGGCCGTCACTCATCCTATTGCACCTATCTACGATTCCAAGGAAAATAGCCTGAAGCCCGCGGCGGAAGACGCCCTGAAGCGTGTATTCTACTTGTGCGACAAGGACCAAGACGGCTTGCTCAGCGATCAGGAGATCCTCGACTTCCAGATGAGATGCTTCGACAAGCCTCTGTCGGCTGCTGACCTTACGAGCATCAAGCGGTCCATATGTCGTGTTCCATCTTTCTCCGGCGAGCCAGAGAAGGATGGCATTGACATGGCTGGTTTCCTCAGCTTACACAAAATGTTCGCGGAGAAGGGCAGACATGAGACCATCTGGATCATTTTGCGCAAGTTCCAGTACTCGGACAGCTTGTCGCTAAAAGACAACCATCTACATCCGAAATTCGACGTTCCTGCTTTCGCATCAGCCGAGTTAAGTCCTGCTGGCTACCGCTTCTTCGTGGACCTGTTCCTACTTCACGACAAGGACAATGATGGTGGTCTAAGCGATGCAGAGTTGGCAACCCTATTCGCACCGACTCCAGGTATGCCAGCATCCTGGGTCGATTCTGCCTTCCCAAGCTGCACTGTTCGCAACGAGGCGGGATTCATCACGCTGCAAGGTTGGCTTGCACAATGGAGTATGACAACCTTCGTAGAGCCAAAGACGACTCTGGAATATTTGGCCTACCTCGGTTTCGAGTCATCGGACAACAAGGGCACGACGTCAGCCCTCAAAATCACTAAAGCTCGAAAGCGGCGGAACAAGCTAGGTCGCGTCGAGCGCAGTGTCTTCCTTTGCTACGTGCTTGGTGCGCCACACTGCGGAAAGTCAGCGTTGCTGAACGCGTTTCTCAATCGACCTTTCAACACCACCTATCACCCAACCATTAAGCCGCAAACGGCGGTCAACTCGGTCGAGCTGCAGGGCGGTAAACAGTGTTACTTGATCTTGGAGGAATTGGGCGAGCTGGAGCCTGCCATCCTGGAAAATCAAGCTAAGCTCGACGCGTGCGATCTATTGTGCTTCACGTATGATTCAAGCGACCCGGATTCGTTCGCGCATATACTTGACCTGCGGCAACGGTACCCCGCCCTGAACTCTCTACCTTCAGTGTACACCGCGTTGAAAGCGGATCAGGACCGTGCAGTCCAGCGGACAGAAATACAACCGGACAGCTACTGCGAGGAGGTGAAGATGCCCAAGCCTCTGCACGTCTCCGTCAACTGGACGTCGATCGGCGACTTCTTCGTACATCTGGCGGAGTGCGCGACGCTGCCGGCTCAAGCGCTACCCAAGTCGGAAGAAGAGCCTGTCGACCGTACTCCCATTTACATTGCTCTTGGCGCCACTGTATGCGCGAGCGTGGCGTTTGCTTGGGTCTGGAGGCGGAGCCTGATGCCACATTAAAGTTGCAACGTGGGCGCCGTGAAAGGTGCATTGTTGGAAAGGCGTTGGATCAGACAGCATATGATACCCACCTCAGTCTTTCAGCGTAGATATCTGTCCCGAGATGCTCTTGCAGTTACCCTCTTCAATACTCAATGAATACTTCGATGTGAGTGAGTAGCGCTTGAGCTCGGCGCCGCCTACATGTATTCGAACACCCTTTAACCTTCACAATTTAGGTTGCTCTAAGCGCAATTGCTCGGACGTCCGTGCAGCAAGCGCCTCGATGCGTAATGCGTGCTGCCGCTTCTGCTCGCATGTCACTGTTCACTTGCCGTACAATATCCACTCCCTCACCACGTAATGATCGCTCTAACGGTACATCTTTCCTAACAAACATGAGAGTGGCGTCGCTGTATCAGAGGCAACACAAGCGAAACACGTGACAGGCATCCGGTTTCACGGAGGCGGCATCCGCAGCTGGTCTGCAAGTTTGGCGGCGGCTTACAGGGGTGCGCGGGAGCATTCCCACACTGCCTTGCCTCTTGATGCGGAGGAACGGGGCAACATGCAGCAGGTGAGTTCCGTGTAGCGAGACTCTGTTGTTGGCATGCATGACATGGGCACGATACGAACCTTCAAAACAGACATTGGCGTGGCTTAGTCGCACCCGCTGACCTGATTGCTCCTCCGCTGCCAGTCTCCCACAAGGCAGGCAGACGCGGACCATCTACCGCGCGCTCGCAGACCGTACAAGGCTCACGTGCCGCATATCAGCATCACCGACAACGACCATCATGTCACCGAGGCCATAGGGAGTTACTACGATGAGCAGAGTCCGACGCACAACAAGCGCGTTAGTCACTCCAGCCCCAGCACGACCACGAGACCGTACAGCTTCATGCCTTCAACGAAAGAAGTCATCGAGAGTCGGGGGAGCAAGCGGGGCGGGGGCTACTTTGACATGAAGAGCAATGGCACGAGCCCGACTCGGAATCCTTCCGAAAGGGTGCGGTCAGGAGAGCAGACATTGAGTCCGGTAGAGACTGGAAGTTTATCGCCCATCTCGGTGCGACGTATGGGTTCGGTCGAGACGAAGAGTAGCGCTGGCTCTCACGGTAGTGCTGGCCAGGTGTCACCTCCTCCTCTCACTCGCCAGGCGTCGACAGAGACGGCGATCCAGCAGTTCCCGCTTAACGATATTGACTACGAGTCAAGTCCGGCGGCGGTGGCACAGGAACTTAGCAATCTTCAGGCGATACGGCGCATGTCAATGAATGTTGACAATGGGGACCCGGATCTGGCTGGGTTCGGCACGGTGGTGCCAACACTTGCTCCGAAGCCGACAGAGACAGATGAGAGCGATGCATCTCAGCTATTCTGGGTGCCGGCACGATTACACCCAGAGCTGGCGCCGAAAGAGTTCAAGACGTTCATTGAGGACCGCGTGGAGAAGATCCGAAGGAAGTCGGGAGACAGTGACAGCCTGTCAGTGGAAGGATTGGATCGGTCGGGTTCCGGAAGCAGCAGTCTGAGACGCAAGAAGAGTATGCTATCACATCAGATCGACACGAAAGGTGAATACGAGGATGGCGCGGAACGGTTGGAAAGAAAGCGTTCTAAGCGCTTGCAAATTGATGGTCAAACGACTGTAGCCAACCTTGCTGATCTGGAGTCGCTGGTGAACGATCCCGAGTCTTTGCGGAGGCGGCTCAGTCTGGACACTGTATGCCGTTCGCAGGATTCAGGGATTGAGGTGCCGCCGACTGAGGACATGCCCATATTGCCTCCCGGTGGTCAGACACTGAAGCGCTCCACACGCACAACATACCGTCGGGGCAGTCTCAAGAAGGGCGAACGGGTACCTTTCTCGAAGCGTGCGCAACAGCGTCAGACGGACCTGTCTGATGCCGACGAAACACCAGCACAGTCTCCCGTCGTGGCCAACATTGATGAGCGAGAGCCGATTCTTGGTTTGACTAGGGTTCAGACTGAACCTACTCCGCTGCCAAGCTCCAGTGAGACGGGCGCTGATTATATACCCAGCGCTCGTCACACGGCACGGCGGAGGGCCGCACTCGGTTCCAGTCAATCAAGCGAAAATCTTGCCGGCATTGAGCCTGCACGTCAGAGTCAAGAGCGGCGCCGGTCACCTCCACCCAGACCATCGCAGGACGAGGAGGAGTATTTGGCGGGCCGTAAAAGCTCGCAGCAGCCACGACAGTTCCAGTCACGGCTTGCAACGGGAGGGCGTACTACCGCGCATCTACCGGGCTACACCAACACTAACCCTTTGCCGCAAGTCATTGAAACGCTACCCGACGGGACGAAGATCCCTATCGGCCCGCTTGTCCAACAGATTCCTGAGCGCAAAGCATCTCATGAGTTTCCTCGGGCTGTCGCCCGCGCCGGAGCGCACGTGCGGCCTCCAGGTCGGCCGTCTACGCTAGACGACCTTTCAGGGAACCCCTCTCCACTCCCAGGACACGGCGCTACCCGTACCGATGCGCTGACTATGGTCCCAACCTTTGAAGATCGGAAGCCGGAGCGGAAAGACAGTACGCGGAAAAGCAGCTGGAAATGGCTCATCGGCACAGATGACGAGGAGAAAGAAAAGGAGAAGAAGGCCGCAAGGGAGGAGAGAGCTCTTGATGGAGGCTTATCAGCCGCCGCCAAGGTCAAAGCAAGCAAACTTTCGAAAGCACCTGCGGAGAAGGCTCGACTGGATGTGTTACAGAACTCGATCGATGGCACAATACCAGCTCGGGGCCGAGAAAGTATTGTGCTCAACCGAGCCGACGTGCAGTTGGACGACGAAAGGAAGAAAGAGAGCAAGAAAGCGGCTGAGGCTCCGAAGAAGGATAGAGACACTGGTTTACTCTCCGCCATCTTTGGCGGGAAGAAGAAGGCGTCTGATGGCGACCTGAAAGACAAGAAGAGAAAAGCGGATCGTGGCCTTTCGCCTATCCCTTCACCACGGATCCTGAAGCCCGACATTGACTATAACTGGACCCGCTTCAGCATTCTGGAGGAGCGGGCCATTTATCGCATGGCACACATGAAGTTGGCCAACCCCAGGCGGGCCTTGTACAGCCAGGTCCTACTCAGTAACTTCATGTACTCGTACTTGGCGAAAGTGCAGCAAATGCATCCCCAAATGCAGATCCCGTCCGCTCAACAACAGCAAGCGCAGCAACAACAGCAGCAGCAGCATCAGCAGAAGGCGGCGCAGCAACGCAAGGATGACCAGCCGGCGGAGTACAGCCAGTACCAACGTTGGCAGGAGGTAAGTGAAGCGATGATATTCCAGGACGTGCGGTAAGCTAAAACACCATTTTAGCAACAGGCGCGGCAAGAGGCGCACACTACGTCTGGTGGCCGACCCAGCACCGAAGTAGGGGGAGGTGCTGGCGCCTCTCGAACGAGCTACGAAACGGACGAGCATTCGACAGCAGGTTACGACCACCGGGATTCGGAAGAGTATGGCAATAAAATCCACCAATATACCGATAACAGTTATTCACGCGAATCCGCGCAAGCTAGGGCTAATGGCATCATGACCGGCGGCATCTCGAGTGCATCACCGCAGACATCGGGATACAGCGTAGCCAGTACGCACGACTATCTCGGATATCACAAGGATGAGCAACCATTTAGCGCTGGTGCGGATGGGAGGCTTTGGGACGATGAGAAGGCGGAGGGGCTATGGTGACACTGCTCGATTACGAAGCGCTGTCACTGCCGCTACGCCTTACGGACCCGTTGCAGCAATACCACGACGAGCCAGCATATGAGGGGCCTGTATTATACACACATGTCTGCCTATCTGTACATGTACGTGTTATCTCCATTTGGGGAGATATATGACGGCGGTCACATTTCGCTTGGCACGCACGACCACTCTCTGGTGGATATGTGCCATCACCGAGAATAGTGCAGGAGTGAAAACTGTGGGAACTGGCGCCTGTCCCTACCCAATCAGGCCAATGCTACTGACAATTTACGCCATTGTGGTCTATCGGGCAGCCGTTGTCGATCGCCATCTAGATTGACCGCTTGCAGGTGCATGTGAGCACGCGAGCAGTTTCGTAGATTTGTTCGAGACCCTTGGCGCCTCGAGCACAGCCACGCTGCACGGTGACGGCATCAGTGTTTTGGTTGTAATTCTGTCCGAGTATATAATACTGAGTGGAGTTCTTTTCCTCGATGCATGCCATCGGTTCAGTTCGGCGTCTCACAAACCATTAGCGATTCACTCTCGGCAGCATGGCTTCTCACCAAACTTCCAATCTGCCGACTCGCACGCCAACCAATGCCACCGACCCGGACGATGCGATTCCCGACGAGGATAGCAGCGAGGTCACGAGACTGTTTCATGAGCGTCTGTCCGCGTACAAGCACGCTTGCGGTTACCTCGAAGACTATGTCGGTGCGACGGAGAAGATGCAGCATGCCCATGGCAAGGAGTATGAGAAGGTGCTGAAGACGGTCAGCCATCCGCTGAAGGAAGGCCACCACTTCGAGCAGAACCTAGGCGGCATAGCGGGCATGTTCGACAATCTCCGAACCAACACCCAAGGCATCTCCAACAGCCATTATGAGACTGCTAAGGCATTGAAGGGAAGCGTGCTGCCAATATTCGAGAGGTAAATGAACAAAACTTGTGCAACCCAGGAAACTCTCCGCAGCCCGCTGACTTTCATATTCAGATTACATTCCGAGATCAAGAACAAGACGAAGGAGCTCGTGAAAGGCGCTGGCAAAGGCGCAAAATCAGTGGACAAGGCACGAAGTGTTTCACAGAAACACATCGAACTCCTCGGACAACACACGGCGGCCTTCGATTCAACTGGTGGCCACATCAAGTCGACAGAGGACCCGTACGTCCTCCAGCGGCAAGTGTACCACCGCCTGAACAAGCAAGTCATCGAAGAGAACAGCAATCGGGACGACATGATTGCTGTGCAAAACTCTTTTGCGCAGTTTGAAGCGCACATTATCCAGACAATCCAGAACGGTCTTTCGCAGTTCAACCAGGTGGTCACCCACCAAGCGGAACAGACACGCTCGATGTACGGCGATATGGTTGGAACAGCCCAGCGCATCCCGCCAGACTTCGAGTGGAAGGGCTTCTTGAACCGCAATAACGCCATCCTCATCGATCCGAATGCACCGAAGCGAAGTCTAGAGCACATCGCATTCCCGAACCAGGGTCATCGCTCCACTCAGCCTCTAATTGCTGGCTCACTGGAGAAGAAGGGCAAGCTTTTGAAGAAGTATGACACGGCTTTCTATGTCGTCACGCCGTCCAAGTATCTTCACGAGTTCGCAACCGACGATGACTTCTCGAAAGATCCATCACCGGAACACAGCTTGTACTTGCCCGACTGTGAGATCGGTGCTGTCGATGGGAACAAGTTCACCGTCAAGGGCAAGGATACAAGCAAGGGTGCTTTGAGCAAGCTGTCTCCGTCTTCCACATATCAATTCCGGGCTCACACGCCCGAGGATGCAATGAAGTGGCATCGCGTTATCAGCTCTGTTGCCGGAGGCACTACGAACGAGATGCCGGAGACCAGCGCTCCGAGCAGTCCGGTGATGGGCAGGGGTGAGACTTCGTCCGCCTTCTCTGGAGGTTCCGATAGCACTGCCACAAACACCTTGGCGGAGAAGGAGGCAGCTGGCGCCCACCACGGAATCTCTACCGCGGACAGGGCATAAGCGCAGCATTCGAACGGTGCGGAGTGGGCAAGATTCAGATGTATCTGATACCCGTTGTTAGCAGTACTAGGCGAGCTTATAGTATCTAATGTCTAAGTGAATTGTCAACAGTTTGCACCGTTCTTTGACGAACTAATTCAGAGCGGCTGATATGGTTCCCGATGCGGAAGTTGTGGCGCTAATCAATACCACGTCATAATGCTCGCTTTTGGGAAGCTTCCATGTGAGCTGTTTCAACATAGAGGATCATACTACGCACATTACCTCAAGTGTCAGTAACGCAGACGACTAGAACTTATAATTTGGCTCTATTCATAGGATAACAACGTGAGTAGCCTCGCGGCTCGTCAGGCATAAGCTAACAGCCAATAGACGACGATTGTGCAGTCATTGGCAAGCTCGCTTCGATCACAAGATGCGGACAGTCTTGCGCTTCGCACGACCGCAGCCGGCAAGGCTACCTCGGCAAGCACCTCCCGTGCTTGCGACCAGATCGTTCCGCACAGCGCAACAGCTCCGTCTGAAGGAGGATAAGCATCAAGACCCCGAGGAACTGGACCGGATTAAGCACGAGCAGGTCAAGAAGCAGGAGAAGGGCGAAGGTCACTGGCATGAGGAGTTGGCGTCGGGCTCAGAGAGTGCGCTTAAGGCGGAGCGGGAGAAAGTGCACGATCACGATGAGCACATGGAGGACTTGCAGAAGGAGACCGCTGGGAAGCATGAGAAGGACCACGAGCATGGGAAAGCTGAACATTAAGGACTGATCAGGCGGGTAAAGTCTGTAAATGTAGCGATTGAACTATGGCGTTGTCAGTACTGTTTCCATGCAATGCTTGTGAGTGGGTTGGACCCTGCCTGTCACAAGATCCACTGGGAGATAACAACTGGACGATCGTGCACGGTTAGACATGGATCGTTAGGGCAGGAGATAGCTTGCAAGAGAGAGCGCTTCGTCAATAATTAAGAGCTTTGCGGATGCTATCATACACGCGTACAACATCCGGGATGTTGAACTTCTCGTAAGCAAGTCCCGGGTGTGTGCTCCAGCCCGCCACCCTTTGCACCGGAGCCTCTAATCGGAGGAAGCAGCCTTCCTGAACCGTGGCCGCAACTTCAGCGCCAACGCCTGCATTTAGCATGCTTTCGTGCACGATGATGCAGCGGCCGGTTTTGTTCACTGATGCCATAACCGCCTGTCTGTCCCAAGGATAGACGGTCCGTAGATCGACGAGCTCCACAGAACACTTGAAGTCCCTTTCCGCCGCGGCGAGAGCTGATTGGCATGTATAGAGCGGCGTTCCGTAAGAAACGATCGTGACGTCCTTGCCTTCCTTAAGAACCTCTGCTGTGCCAAGCGGCAGAGTGTAGGGTTCAGCAGGGACATGCTCAACGGCTGCTCGATAAAGGCTTTTAGGCTCCATGAAGATGACAGGATCGTTGCAAGCTATCGCACCCAGCAGCAAACCTTTCGCTTGAGAGGGTGACCGTGGGACGACCACACGCATCCCTGGGATATGTGTGAATAAGGACTCAGGCGACTGTGAGTGGTAGAGGGCGCCGTGACCGACAGCGCCACTCGGCATACGGATAACAAGGCCTCCACAACTCATACTGCCGCCGTTACTGCCAGCCCGATACCGACATTTGGCGGCCTCATTGACGATCTGGTCAAAAGCTGGAAAGACGTAGTCGGCGAACTGGATCTCGGCGATGGGCCGCATACCCTCCATAGCTGCACCTATGGCGAAGCCAACGATCCCTTGTTCTGTCAGCGGCGTATTGAACACTCGATCTTGGAACTCGGTTGCAAGGTTCATCGAGCAGCGGAACACGCCACCAAATGCAACATCCTCGCCAAATAGCAAGACCCGGTGGTCTGATCGAAGGGCATGGGAAAGCGCGGCATTGATGGCTTGGAACAGGTTGATCCGGCTGGTCGTACCATTGCGAGCCTCGTAAGGTAGTTCCTTGTTGGCCAGCGCTGACTTCGCGCTGTGGTGTAGCAATGGGGTGGACGAGTAGTCGGTTGGTATGTTAAGGCGAGCTTTCGGTGCGTGAGAAGCGTAAGTGCGCGCGCGGGAAGAGCACAACGCACGGGGGCTCCATCGTACGATAGGTCGAAGCATTGGTATATCACATCGTGCATATCTCTACTTGTTCGCATCGAGGAGGTAGATGAGAGGGAGCACTGCGGTTACAATCGGCTTACGGTAAAACTACGGCCAACGGGTGCTTACATAGCAGTATTGAGCTTATTGCCTTAATAAGCCTCGCGTTGTTTACGTTGACCACCAGAAATCTTCACGTCGCTACGTCGTTGGCATTGTCCAAGCGATACTTTTCGTACTTGCCGCGATCAGTTCTTGTCTGTATCTTCCGATGCGCCCTCCATGAGCGTTAGACAGGGTGATGACCCGCGTGTTGTGGGAACAAACATCACTCAAGCGAGCAGTCAGAGCATGACCTGGTTGCATCGCGGAGTTACTGAACAACGATGCGGCACCACCATTCAGTCAGGTGTACCCTCCAGCTCCTTCACCATCCCTTGCTCGCAGGTATCTGCAGGTTCTCGATGGCTCCCTGCCATCGTGAGGTATTGCTTACTGTTCATCCGAACCCGAGTGATGTGGCGGCTTGAGGAGGCGACAAGATCCTCAATGCGTGCCACATTTCCGCAGGATTGCGCCGGCGCACTCGAGGTATACCTGAGGCGCAGTGCTTTGGCTGCAGGTCTGTGCAAGCGCAAGACGAAACCTCGCCAGGCTTCTCAAGCGCATTGACCAGTCCTTGTGCACTCTGCGAGCCCTACATGCCCACCTGTCAATGCATGTTATTGCGATCGCGCAAGCATTACGTGCATGGGCACACACCCGGTAAGGTCATGCAGCTGCGGACGGTGGCTTAAGTTCGCCTAGCGCAGTGAGGACTTGGCGGAGCGACTCGGTCTTGGTGTCGACGGCTCACCCTTATTCGCGTTGACAGAACAGAGCGAAAATATCGGCAGCACGCAACGAGACATGCTCTTGGATAGATGTCTTGAGGGTCAGTGTCGAGCCTTGCGGATGCAACGTCGTGCTGTGTTGATGTCCCATTTGCCGCGAACGTTGCGAGGCGCAAGAGCACCCAGGCGGGAGTGCGGCTGTGCCAGGCTGCAAGCGCTCCCGCCCAGTCATGCCTCCCATTGCCCGTTTCATCGAGCACTCTGTGACTCCTCCCCAAACATTGAGGCCACCTTGACGGCTTCGGAGCCGGGGGCAAGTCTGGCAGCATTGCTCATCAGATGACCCACCGCAGCATGGGTCTCAGTTCGCCCTCTGGGGCTTGGGTGCCTTGACTAGTTCGCAAAACCAACATTGGCTGCCTTCCAGGCAGACTGGGTATGATATATCTGCCTTTTTCTTGCTTGCGCAATTCCTTTCTCCAATAGCACACTCTCATACGACGCTACTACTGTTATTCGTCGACTCTCTTACAGCCCTGGTGCCAGCACTGGTTGCTGCCCAACAGGACTTTCCACTCATTACTAACCCCCAGGGGTACATCGCTGCCTAATCACCTGACATTCACGCCTTGCCACTTAGTCAGCATAAAGCCATTCGCAACAATGCCTTCTCAGCGTCGTCAGCAATACTCGACAGTCGAGGTCAGGCCAGAGGCTCTCAACGCCAAGTCTGGCTCCACGCCTGCATCGCCTGGTTCGCCGAAGAAAGTTGCCTTCGCACCATGCGCGAAAGCCGACTCCAGAACGTTGTCCCCCGTCGAGGCATGGTCGCTGTACTATTTCGAAGCGCATGCAGTCCAATGCCTTCATTGCCGCAACCCTCTGGACATGCATCTCCATGGTCGCCGTCTCTGCGCAACTGGTCACAGCTTAGCTCAAGACGTCGCTGAGCATGTCTATCGCCAAGATGGCGTCGTCTATAGCCGGAAGAAGGACAATCACAAGCTCGTCTCTGTTGAGATACCACCTCATTACACACAAGTACCCCAATTCCTACGTGTGATGGAGCGCGGTCTCCGGACTACACACCGGACTGCACCAATCATAAACTATGACCCGAACTACGTCGTCTCTCCTCGCCGGACGAATGAAGCCGATGCATATGAATCTGACGATGACAGGACAGAAGTGATCATCAAGCCGGCCAGAACAGAGAGCAAGTCGCATCGCAAATCTCGCCACGAGTACAGGACTGTGGTGATTGACGAAGATGTGGAAGACCGGTCTGCTTCGAGGCCTACGCCAGGACCCAAGGAACGAAGAGGGTCAATATACTACGAGGATCTGGCTAAATCAAGGAAAGAAGCTTACCATGTCGAAATCCGGAAGCCGGAGGGCGAGAGAAGACGGCCTGAGCGACCCAAGAGCGGGTTTTGGGCATGAATATGTTTCTTCTAGCAAGAGCGCTAGCATCCAAGGCAATTCTACAGTGCTCCGGTACTGCCTCAATGTATTCATGTCACTTTGATATTTAACGTATGAGTTTTTGCTCCGCTGTGACACTATTAGTGTATGTAGCTGTATGCGGAAGATGCTATCTCTGGGCAGAAAATCTCTTTCGGCTCCGTTGGATACCTATGCTACACTCGTGAAGAGCATCTGTGCCTTGGCTATAATATAATCAACAACTCGTACATCGCCAAAGTTTGAGCGTATAGTCATGCCTAGCCGTGGAGGTCCTCATTGTTGGGATTTAGGCCGCCACTGTAGGTGCAGGCGCCAGCAACCGCTGGATGTCCGCCAACCGTCCCGCCTTCGCTTTGTCGCGCTTGCTGCCTTTCTCGGAGAAGGCAAGCTGCATCAGCTTCCGCTTCTCTGCCTGGATCTCAATCGTGCGCTGCTCGATGGTGCCATCCATGATTAGGCGGAAGACGCGGGTCTCTTTCCTCTGCCCAAGCCTGTGCACACGGTCAACAGCCTGGTCCTCAATAGCTGGCGCCCACCACGTGTCCGAGAGGATGATCTGGTTCGCAGCTGTGAGGTTCAGGCCGACGGCACATACGCCAAGTGAGGCTAGCATGATGGTGCATTCCGGATCACATCCGAGCGCTTGCAGTGCCGCATCGCGCTGAGTAGCGGTCATAGTCCCATCCACCCTACAATATTTCATATTTTCGCGATCAAGGCGAGCTTGGACTATATCCAGGAAGCGAGTCCACTGAGAGAAGACGACAGTCTTGTCGCCGTTCGCGGAAGCCTTGGTGGCGGACAGAATCTGCATCATGGCCTCCAGCTTACTACTGGACTGAGTCAGATCTATCTCATCGTCTGCGCTGTCGTCGCCGCAGTCGTTTGCTGGTCCGACCAGTACGCTTCCGTCGGGAAGGTCCGCGCGGCACATCGGACACTTGTGCTGCGTCTCAATGACCTTACTGATGCATTCCCGTCCGAAGACATGCGCACACGTCGTTATGACTGGCTCATGGAGACTCTCCAGACATACCGGGCAGTCTTCATGGCTCTCAATCTGCACTTGCAGCATGTCCTGAAGTGCTTTCTCATTCTCAGGGGTCAAATCAACTGTCTTTTGTGCCTCCAGCTGAGCAAGCAGACTCGTGACGCGCTCACCGCAAAGCTGCCAATGGTTGCAGCATTGACGCATGCGGAGCAAGATCTCCAGTAGATGTTGATATGCTTGGACCTTTGTCTCACCCTCACGCGGCGCTTTTCTCCGAACATTCTTGAGAAGGCCGCGCGCCTCGGTAACGAGCGCTTCGTATCGCTGCTTCTCCTTGTCAGTGAATTGGATTGGGTGCATATACTCGTCAAGCTTCGGTAGGCGAAGGTCGATGAACGCCATTTCCTTGTGTCTACGCAGAGTGAAGGCAGCCATAATGGCTTGCAGCAGGTATACGGCGCTTGGGTCCCCATTCCGCAGCGGCCGAATAAGGACACTGTTGAATACAGCAAGTTGATCGGTGCCGCCACTAAGGCCGACGAACTTCAATAAGCTGTAGAGGTCCTTCAATGAGTTCACGATTGGTGTACCAGTCAAGCACCAGCGCGAGCGCGACACTAGCCCATTCACTGCAGCAGCGCCCTTGGAAGCTGGATTGCGAACGATGTGTCCCTCGTCGAGGATGATGCGTCTCCAACCCACACTGTACAAGCCCGAGGAGCGCAGTTTCCGCTCCGAAAATTGGTCGAAGCTGACTTTGCCGCGAGACCCAAAATCACTGGCAAGTGTCTGATACGTCGTGATGATCACGTCGTACTGCGTGAAGTCGGCGGCCTTCCATGATGATACCCTGCCTGCACCGTGGTAAGTGTGAACCTTGAGCGCTTTGTCTTGATGCATGTGGAGATTGATCTGTCCGCTCCAATTTGACATAACACTAAGAGGCGCGACAACGAGAGTGGTGCCACGGTCGTTAGATTCGATGTCTGCAACCATGAGCGCGATCATCTCCAAAGTCTTGCCAAGACCCATGTCATCAGCAAGAATGCCCCCACTGGCCAGCCTGGGCTCGTCTTTCTGCGGATGATTCGTCGCAATGTTAACGAATGTATGGCTGTCGGCCTGTCTCTTCCACAATTGGACCGTGTCCCTAGATCCTGAAGCTGGCAAGCTCGGATTTTCTTGATGCAACAGCCAGCGCAGAGCTTGCAGTTGATGGGGCAACATCTCGGTCTTGATGCCGGAAGGCCTGGTCGCGAGCGGCATGTTTCTCAACACCTCCTCTTGCAAGCCATACTGGTCCGTGGCTGATCCTAGCTCTCTAGGATTGAAGCGCTGCGAGGCCTCTACCAGGTCTGCTATGATCGGCTGACTACTCATGCCAGGCATGGATTGACTGCTGTACTCCGAACTTTGACCACTTGATGGTATGCGCCGGCCAGTACCACCAGCACCGGCAGCGGCACGACGAGCTTCAGCAAGACGCTGCTTCTCCTCCTTCTCGCGAAGCCTGCGCTCACGCTCAAGTTCCTTCAAACGCTCTTTCTCGCGTTGTTCTGCCATCTTAAGCGCCCTAGTGGGGAGCTTGTCGATGGCCATCCTCTCAACCAGGTGACGACCAGCGTCCGTGCTGGGTTCAGGACCTAGGAGATCAACGGAGAGATCGCAGTCGAAGGTCCCGATGGTGCTCGCCAAACGCCCTTCGACGTACAGCCAGCCACGGTCCATGTAAGGCGCCAGCTTCTTTGCGATACGTCGCGGTATGTGACCTATCTGTTGGCCCGCCACATTGTCTACACGAATGGCATTAGTATCATAGGGATTGCCAGGCTCACGCCGCATAAGGATATACTCTCCGGGATTAGCCATCCCCCTGTAGTACCTAGAAACCACAAAGACGGGATCAGCATTGTCGCACACTACAGACCTGCGTTGCGCTTGAACGGTCTACGTACCGCACGCCCACCACCTTGGTAGACAAGTCGCCGTACAGACATAGCTCATCATTGCCAGCGGCTTCCTGTGTCGAAGATACTATCTCGTCCACGTCGACCACGTCGTTGGCAGCCTCGAGCCAGGCTTCGCGCTCTGTTTCGGTATGCTGCTGAGGAGCTAGTTGGCTGGATGGCTCGTAGACGTGCTGTGAGCCACTATGAAGGCTGCTACTGGGTGCCACCGCACTGCTGGCGGGTGGCGTTTGGTACGCTCTAGCAGACTGAGGCTGCTGGCCAGTATGGCGGCAAGCGTTCAGACCCGCGGCGCCCTTTGGGACCTTGAGAGCAGGTGCCTCATCTTCCCTGGAGCTGCCGTCTTTGGTCAGGTCAATATCGACGCGCTTACGTTTCGCATCTGTGGGCTGGTTCGCCATCTTGATATTTACGTTGCGCTCTATCAGCGCCTTCGGTGCCATCTCGGACAGAAGCTTTTCCCGAGCTGCGCTTTGATCATAACCGTGAACTTAGGTTATGAGTGTTTCGCAAACCTAGCAGCTGCGCTGGTGAAGCACCCGGCTTCCATGTGTGGAACCATAAACAATCGAAAGAGGGCGTTCGCGACCATGGCGCGTTGGCCACGTGACTGTGCCTCAACTGATCAGTCCCAGGATGGAAGTGTGCGGAGAAGGTTGACTGGTGTCCCTCGAAAGCTGCGACAGCACTCGAACGTTTTGCTGTCTGCATGCATGTGTCGCAGATCACTGATGGAAGATGTAGAGAGGAGCTATCCCCAATCAGCGCTGTGTAATCCTGCCTGTAATGTCGGCGTAATAACTGGAATATCCTATATTGATGTCATACACTAAACGAGAAGGTAAGCTTTAGGTGGCTGGTAAACCCACTGATACTTCATACCTAGTCGCCGCTGCAGCTTGTCGCACTCTGTCTCACAAGTGCACCCGACATGGCTCCGAAGAAGCGTGCTACAAAGGCCAAAGTTGAGCAGGAAGCGGATGGAGCGACGGAAGCAATTGCCGACGAAGCGCCTCCAATAGACGAGCCTTTAGGCGAGAATCAATCACACGATGCGGAGCCGGAAGAGACAGTCGAGAAGCAGCAGCCCAGTAAGAAGCGAAAGAAGGCGACCAAAAGCGATGAGCCGCAGAAAGCTGCACGACGGTCTGGTCGTGGTGCGCCGAAGTCTAAACCTTCAGAACAGCAACTTCTGAATTACATGCTATCTCATGATGCCGAAGAGCTCTGTCGTCCTGAGGACGAGACTGCGGATATCAAGGAGCGTGGTGATATTCGGACATACTCGTCCAGTGTCCTCAGTCCGTTCGAGGAGCTCCTCTGTGCGGCCGTACTCTCACGGCCCATCTCTCATCGGCTAGGCTTAAGGACCATACGGACGATTCTGAACAAACCTTACCGGTTCATCTCCGCGAGGGCAGTTAAGGACGCAGGACCAGAGCAATGTCATGAGGCGGTTTGGGCGGCGCATACGCAGCACAAGCAGAAGACCGCCGAGGAGATAAGCCATATTGCTGATGTGGTACTGGAAAAGTTCACTTCGACAGATGACAAAGAGGGCAGAGAGTTACGGAAAGTGCGAGATGAATGTGGCGGCGACATTGACAGGGAGCGCGAGCTCATAAAGTCTAGTGTTAAAGGCATTGGTAAGACTGGCCTCGATATCTTTTTCAGGCGGGTGCAGTGGCAGTGGGATAGTGCATTCCCGTTTGTGGACGATCGTACAGCACGAAGCCTTCGCAACCTGGGACTTCCAGATGACAGCAAGGAGCTGGAGAAGCTCCTCAATGAGCACTGGAGCAGTCTGGACACGAAACACCTCGCCGGAGGTGATAAATCGCGGAAGCAGAAGAGAGCCTTCGTCGTCCTGTTGGAACGAGCGACAGGCTCTGACTTGGAGAACAAGACTGAAGCAGTGATTGAGGCTGCAGCTGGCACTGCGTCGTAGAGACCTGCGGATTAGATAACATCTGATGTATACTAGCGTACTGCGACATCCCACAACGCGACTTTCGTCGAAGCCTCAACACTTCCACGAACCTAACCTGAAGCGAAGTAGACATTCCCGCCACAAGGCCAGAGGTCCATCTCGGCCAGCTGCACAGAAGGGAGGCCAGTCTTTGATTCTCAGCTTGAAACAGTATTGCTATACCTTTGCATTGATTCACGCTCCTGAATGAAGAGTGAACATAGGCGGACCGCAAGGGGAGAAAAGTATCACCGACATGCGGACGGCATGCTCCTCTTGCTCCCGCCCGCAAAACTTGCCATGTCCACTTCAACCATCTCTCATGCGTCTCACGCTTTGTAGTCGGAACGTCGTGCGCATGTGTATGACAGGTAGGTGCGCCACGATGCTTGCTGCTGCCAGTATGACGCTAGTGTGTTGCCGTACTGCCAAGCGGACCTGCTCGGCTGCGAGTTACGGTCAGTATGTTTCCTTTCAACATTTCAACAACAAGTCCGCCATGTTACAGACTTTCCTGCTTGGTGCACTGGTGGGATGTCCGTGATAACTCACAGACAGTACTACAGGAAAGCATCCATTGGTGAGCGCGCATAGGAGGCAATGGCGGACTCGAGCAACGCCCAAGGAGGACCTATAAGGTACCCATCACCGCAACAACAGCAAGGTCTTCCATTCTACCAGCAGAACACGCCTTCTACGCCGTATCAGAATGCGCCAGATGTACAACAAGAACCGGGGCCGCAGGGAATGTCTGAACCGTTGCGCGGGACATCGATTGGCGACGATGCTCAGCTACGCGGTCTAGCGAACATGGTTGGCGTTTATAACGAGTACGGTGGGCCTATATCGCATGCGCATCCAGGTCAGGAGACGCCGCAGCCGCCGCCTTCCTATCCGCCAACCACAGATCAACCTGTCGCTGTGTCCTTGTCAATCCCTCCGAAGCAGAGGGAGCGCACAAAGGTGAGCAGAGCGTGCGACGAGTGCCGGCGGAAGAAGATCAGGTGTGATGCCGTTGATGAGACCGGGATTACGGCTTGTTCGAACTGCGCAAGAACAGGCGCGATATGCGCGTTTAGTAGGCAGCCTATGAAGCGCGGACCGAGCAAAGGCTATATTAAAGAGCTCGCCGAACGACTCGACAGCTTGGAAAGTCAGGTCCATTCGCCTGGCGGGGCTGCTGTCTCGCCACAGGCGCGATACGAAATCCAGCAGATGCAGCAGGTCATTGCTGCGGAGGGATATGGCAGAGATGTGCGGTCTTTGCAAGATGCTCCTCATCCTAGAGTTGGCGAGAAGAGATCTATTGACGCTGTGGAAGGTATGCATGATGGCTTGAGTACGACACAGGCACCCACCGCACAGATGCAGCATGCGACCAATCGGAGTATGCCACCAAATGCCTACACATCCGACCAACCTTTGCCACAGCAGCCCTTTTGGCGTCAAGGGTCGAGCGCCAACCGTCAGGACAACGTCAGCTTGCCATTCGAGGCAGAGACTGGACCGGCGACTGTTGCCTTCGATTGGGATGAAGCAGTGGTTGACGAGTACTACCGCCTGATCCATCAGACCTTTCCATTATTGCCCAGCAGCAAGCACCGCCTCCGTCAGCGATTGGCAAGCTGCCCTGCATCGCTACGTGAGGCGTTTCTTGCAGCTCTTGACTGCTTAGCGCGTACATTCCCGACGACCACTTTGCCACCCAGTGCCAACGATTCCCAGGCGCTCAAACGTGCAGCTGAATTGCTCGCAAGGTATCCATTTGACAACCCCAGCAGTCACAACAACGCGACGAACCTGCTGTATCTTCAGACTCTACTCCTGATGGCACTTGAGAGCGACAACCACGGCCCTGCAACTATCCGCGGTCAAGCCGGCCCTTCGCGCGCGGAATGGCTAGGGCGCGCTGCCGGCGTTGCAGGCTTGCTTGAGATGAACCTTATCCGGCCTGGTAATCAGTCAGTCATGGAGGGCGATCCTGATAGCGAAGAAAGACTTGCCAGGAGAGTCTGGTGGGTTCTTTTTATACTCGACCGTTGGCACGCCAGTAGCACTGCGGATCTACTGAAACTGCCCGAAAACAGCGTAGTGCTCCTACCGGAAGATCAGATCCTGCTGGGTGAGAGCACCTACCATCTTGCACGTTTGAGCTTCATCATCGGTCACCTGGCGGCCATACTTACCACAACTAAGACACCTACTACCGATGTCATGGCACCATCAAATCCCGCAAGCTCCCTTCTTGGACTGACGCTCGCCGGAGAGATCGACCGTTTTCGTGAGAGCGTGGAGTCCGTCTGGGGCTCTCTGAATCTTGTCCACCTGTCCTACCATCATTGCCATCTACTTATTAAGCGTATGAACCCGCAGACAGAGCCGACGGAGTTGGTAGGCCACGCGGTGAAAGTGGCCACGGTGCTGAACAGCCGCATGACCCCAGTCACTCCGCTAAACCATCATTTCGCCGCCCTCAGTGCAATGACTCTCTGTGAGCTCTGCGATGTGCCAAAGACCAGGACGGAGGCTTTGCAGGGGCTCGACCAGATGATCGAATGTCTTGGTGAAGGTCGCGGGTTAGCAGGCAAGCAGGAGAGTGAAGGATGGGATGGAGCAATCAGAGAGTTGGTAGTCGGAAAGAGACAGCGAATGTTGCAGTCGATAGTCGAAAATGGTATCGCAGATGGTGCAAGAGGTCTACAAGGCCTGGCTAATGCTGCCGTAAGCGAGGGGAACAGAAGTGGCGGTTCTGACGATGCCGATCCGGCATTCGATCCTACCATGATAACTAGGTATGGTTACCTCACGGCGCTCGGGCAGGGAGTCTTCAAGACGCGATGATAGCGACGCGGCGCATATCCAAGGGCTGAGCCGAGGCTCACTCCAACCTACGATACGCGACGGCCAATAGTGCGTTTTCGACGGCGGGGAATATGAGTAGAGCTTCGATCTTCGATTTGGGTAGAGGAGTGAAGCTTAAAGCCCTGCCATAGAGAATACTGCAATGTGACGACGCGGCTGCCCACTCTTCCTCATCTGGAACTGCCGTAAACCTCGCTCCGCTGGTACGAAAGACAGGTCCCAAGTGTTATCGGCCTGATCTTCCCCGCATGACGACATGATGGTTTGAGATCTGTTAGACGAGACATATGTAGCGACCTGAGCTCACAGGTGTCCCCATTCCCTAGAGGTGCAATGCACAAAAGGCTGTGAGTGATTTTGCAGTGCAGTTGTTGGGTCTAGATTGAAGGCGGAACCAGCACGCACTCAGCGCCGCGCCTCACTCCCGAAGAATCCTCGTCCCCGATTTCTCCCGAACACAAGGCGAGTCAGGACTCTGGAGCAGGCCAAATTCACCAATAGCGTCGCGTCTACGGCATTGGAATCACTAGCATAGCTTGTCGGCAACTCGTCTCGAGAGGCTGTGGAGAAGGTTAAGCAGCGTTTATTGCCCTCACTGTTCCGAAGCATGACGACCTCTGATATAAGACCCCAAGTCGCCCGCACCTTTACACCTTCGGTCGATAATACGAGCGAATTTCTCAAGGCACAAGTCTCGAAACAATCCAAGAACAACTTTCATTCGTCCTCCTTAAGAACTCCACTCAATATGGCTGCGCAAGCTGTTAACAAGACGGCCCTGCACCCTGGAGGTGTCGAGTAAGCCGCATAATCATAGACAGTACTCTGACACCGAGGACTCTGACAAAACTGCTCCAGGCCCAAGGTCGAACACACCGAGCTTGAGGAAGAACTTCACGAGCGAGCCCACATCGACTACGACCGTGTCGCTATTGTTCGTCCCTCCATGAGTAGGCACAGTAGCCGGCCGGTGCTGATGGTTCTCTAGATCGCCAACCCTTCAGTACCCGCACTATACGAAGATGCTCTGGTGTACGAGACGGGCTCGGCCATCACCTCCTCTGGCGCTCTATCAGCATACTCAGGTGCCAAGACGGGACGGTCGCCTTCGGACAAGCGTATTGTGAAAGAGGAGGGATCAGAGAATGAGATCTGGTGGGGGCCCGTTAACAAGCCAATGTCGCCTGATGTAAGTCTACTACGAGCGTTCTTTTGGACGAACACACGTATTGAGCGTGATCACATTTCACGCAACGCGCTTTTGGCGGGGTACAGCGTGTACGTCATGGCTCGTGCACTCCCACTGCCGTGCCTTTGCCCCGCCGGGCGAGATCGGCGACGGGCCAAGTCACGTGTCACCGCACTAGCTGTCTCTCTCATGTTCGTGAAGATGCAGTACTGACAGGGACGATAGGTCTGGCGAATCAACCGAGAACGAGCAGTCGACTACCTGAACACTCGCAACCGCATCTATGTCATCGACGGCTTCGCGGGTTGGGACGAGCGATACCGAATCAACGTGCGGGTCGTCTGCGCTCGTGCCTATCATGCCCTCTTCATGCGCAACATGCTCATCCGCCCATCGCGGAAAGAGCTTGAGCACTTCCACCCAGACTATGTGATCTATAACGCTGGTGCCTTCCCGGCCAACAGGTTCACCACCGGCATGACCTCGTCCACCTCCGTGGCCATCAACTTTGCGGAGAAGGAGATGGTCATCCTCGGAACAGAGTACGCAGGTGAGTAACATTGCATTGTGTGGTATCTGAGTTCCCATACTAATGCTCCACTAGGAGAAATGAAAAAGGGTGGGTGATCTTCTTTCCTAATGTTTGGAGGTTTTCAAGTCGCGCGAACTGGGAACACGCTGCCATAACCATAATGCGACTTCACCTGTCGTACAACCTGGACGTCAGTCGAGATGAGGCCGCTTTCGTGGTCTTCTCAGCGGCTGCGGGTTGAGGCTCGTAAGAAAAGGCTTCTCTACTGCGACGTGTGCGACTACGCCGGAGGCGATGCTAGCAAGCTCAGAGACCACAAGAAGACGAAAGGGCACAAACGCCGGGTCCAGGAGCGTTCAGCAAACGAATCGTACAGAAAAAACTGACCAACTCCCAGGTATATTCACCGTTCTATTCTATGAGATGCCTGTCAAGCACAACGTTCTTACCCTTCACTCCTCCGCCAACGAGGGCAAGGACGGCGATGTCACTGTTTTCTTCGGCCTTTCTGGCACCGGCAAGACTACCCTATCTGCAGACCACAAGCGTGCACTTATCGGTGATGATGAGCACTGCTGGAGTGACAAGGGCGTCTTCAACATCGAGGGTGGCTGCTATGCTAAGTGCATCGGTTTGTCTGCCGAGAAGGAGCCAGATATCTTTAACGCGATCAAGTTCGGCTCCATCCTGGAAAACGTCGTCTTCGACCCTACTACCCGCATTGTCGACTACGATGATACCACACTGACCGAGAATACCCGCTGCGCATACCCAATTGAATACATCGAAAACACCAAGATTCCATGCTTGTCGACTAACCATCCTTCGAACATTGTGCTCCTTACTTGCGACGCTCGTGGTGTCTTGCCACCGATCTCCAAGCTCACCCCCGAGCAGACCATGTTCCACTTCATCAGTGGCTACACGTCGAAGATGGCCGGTACCGAGCAAGGCGTTACTGAGCCCCAAGCAACCTTTTCCTCATGCTTCGCTCAACCATTCTTGGCTCTGCACCCGATGCGCTACGCAAAGATGCTTGCCGATAAGATTCAACACCACAACGCAAACGCATGGCTTTTGAACACTGGTTGGGTCGGCGCGGGCGCTGCGACTGGTGGTGAGTCCGATGTGTGTGCGGAGTGCTTGAAACAAAACTGACTGGTTAACCTTAGGCAAACGATGCCCTTTGTTCGTGACCCTCCACCGTACCTCGATGTTCAAATACTGATCCTGCACAGGAAGTACACTCGTGCCATTCTCGATGCGGTCCACAGTGGCGAACTCGCGAAGGCTGAGTACGAAACTTACGACGTATTCAATCTGCATGTACCAAAGGCCTGCAGCGGTTCGTGATACACAGCCTGGGTTACTTATTTGCGACATTGCTAACATAACACACGCCATGTTGTAGGAGTTCCAGATGAGATACTCAATCCGAAGAAGAGCTGGTACGCATTCCAGAGTGCAAAGGCTTCGTGCTCCCGCGAATCACTGACACGTATACAGGACGGGAACAACGGACTTCAAGGACGAGGTTAACAAGTTGGGCCAACTGTGAGTGATACTGGCTACATTGAGCTAAGCGGCGTTCATTGACTGCTTGGCAGATTCAATGAGAACTTCAAGAAGTACTCTTCGGAAGCGAACGAGGAGGTGATAAAGTAAGTGTTCTTCTGCTGCCCGTACATCTCGAACACACTGACAGATATCCTAGGGCTGGCCCACAGGTGGACGGCTGATGGTAAGGATGGTTGATGGCGCATGATGGCATGTCCCTCGGTGAAGGAACGGCTGTTACAAATTTGTGCCTGCAAGCGTATGTGAACAGAGTCAGGTATGAGCAAAGCGTGCAAAGTAGTAAGCAGCAGATGTCGGTCAGAGTAGATTCGTGTCTGCTGAATTTATTGGGTACGCTGTACATACAGAGCCTAGTCAAGCACATAGTCTCCTAAGTGCTCGCTTCCATCAAATCAGTTTCTTCCCTCGGGCTTGCACTGGGAAATGGGACACCCGAGACGACAGATGAACGTGAGATTGTGTTGAATCGTACCGAGCAGTTTGGCCGCAGTGGCCTCGCAGCCGCTGAAAGAACGTTGCTACAGAATACGACTCGCTTATTTCAAAGGACTACCAAAATCAGACCTCGGAGTTCCTGTGCGCGTGACACTGCCAGGCTGACGCACCGGGCTCATCTTAGGCGTTTCTGGGAGTAGCAGACGGCGACCGTCTTTCTCAATATGCGGGACTTTGAAGTCCATCCTTCTGCCCTGTTGCCAAATGTCGTCCATGACCTCTTCCAACGAGCCATCGTCAACGAACTGCAGGTACTTCCGCCAGAGCTTGTATGCAGTCCGGGCATCCTCAATACTGTCGTGCCCCGCAGCCAGATCCTGCTGAATGTCTTCCTCTAACACTCGCCAGGCGAGGAAGCGGAGCGACAGTTTCCGCTGACTTCGATGTCCAAGTGAGAACAGCTCCTGTGTGTCGATGACTTGGCATTCTGGTACGTGTATATTGATTGTTCGGAAATCGCTGGACAAGCCGTGGCCGATGAAGTTGCAGCCAAGATTGAGCAACACCCACAGCTTCTTGTAGACTTCCTTGAGACCGACCAGCGTGAAGCGACTAACACCAACGGTAAGATCGCCAGGTTGTAAGCCAGAGTATTGCGTCAAGTAGTCATCCACTGGCTCGTCGATGGCAATGTAGTCATCCATGAAGGGCAGCTCAGGGTACGGATCATCTGCACGGAGTACGGACACTCTTGCCAAGCCGGAACGAGCAGGTCGAGTGATCGTCCTCGAGCCGTCCGCGCCCATATCGATCTCTTCGCGCAGCAGACGAACAAACTCTGCATCTATCGCGCAATGCGTGGCGCTGCTCGGTACAGGTTCTTGGCTGGACAGAGGTTGAAACTTGTAGAAAGGTGTGGAAGCCGGCTGAGGTACGCTACGGTATAGGATGCTGGTATCGATGGTGGACTTCCAGCTGGAGTCGATCACGTGCGACTTCGACTTGACTTGATACGCAAGGATAGAGGGCAGCTTCCACCGCGGGTCAAAGTGCAAGGCTTCCTCTGGCATGATCGGGCGCACTAGGAAGTCGTTGATCAACTGCCAATCGGAGGAGCGTGACTCGTCAGCGTCGGCGATGCTGGCGTCAACGGCTAACACGAGATGCGATTTCTGCGCCTCACCAGCGGCCACATCCGCAACCACGCCTACCAATTCGTACACAGTAATGGTATGCCTGTTACGCTGAAGATGGTGCTGCAAGTCTTGCCCTTCGTAACCGTAGAACTGGCTATTAGCGTTGATGATGCCAATCTCCCGCGGTAGAAAATCCGGCGTTGCCCACAACTGTCTGGCTTCGGGTGAATGTATTGCGGTGTTGATCATAAGTACTGCCGGCATAGACGTCACAACGCGACGCGAGGTGATGGCCTTGTAGCTCTGGCATCGCATACACCAGCCTCGCTGTTGATCATACCGATGCACGGAATCCTGGAGTAAGCGAGTAAACGTATGCCGGACAGCTCGTGGCGAGTTCTTGGCTGGCTTGGCTGGATAGATCAAGTCATGGGTGTACCAAGCCTGCTCTTTTGCATCCTCATAAGAGCAGTGCATGCATCTACTGAAGGCGCTCCCTCGAGTGGCAAACGCTCCCTGCATTTCGCCGCCGTTACTAGCAATCCGGTGGTAGTTGTCACTCAGCCTATTAAGCAGAAAACGATTGAGATTTTGCACCATGACTGTAAGTGGAGTATTGACAGTGCGGTCCTCCAGTACTGCTAATGTCGACGCTCCTGGCTGTCTGGTCAAGGCTTTCAGGAAGTTAGTGGCTTGACAATTCTGACCTTGCGCCTTCTCCAGCATGTCGATCAGAAAGCCCAGCTCGCATAGTAGACAGCTGTCATATACACAGTCTTGTGCGGTATGCTTGAGCGCCAGGTTGCGAGCTGTATTCGTGAAGCGAAGGAGCTGCAGCAGCGGATTTGCATACGAGTTGACGATGTGCGTTTCAAGGCCAGAATACTTGGTTTTATTATAATATCTGAAATCGAAGTCGTCCACGCCGAACTTGCTGTACTTGATCTCCACAGGCCGATAGTAAGCCAAGACATCTAGTGGACCACTGGCACCGATTGACATGCCGCTAAGTGTTCTGTTGATGTCTTCGCTCAGGCGACGCTCGGCTTCGTGATCTCCATTTTCTGACCTCGGCTTCTCACTGAGGAATTTAGGGGCGGCCAATGCCTCATGGGTTTTGCTTGAAGCTCGAGTGTTTTGTATTTGACACCGCTTCGTCATGCGAGAATTCGGGCCGACCAGCCCTATGTCGGTCTTCTGAAGGGTCGCTAACAGCGCCTGATCGAAGCTTATAGGTGGCGCCCCAACCTCATGGACAAGACTGTTAGGCCAGCCAGAAAGAAGCGCTTCACGGTAATAAGGCATGCCGATAAGGTTGAATGGCAAGTCCGCGGCCCAGTCGAGGTGCTTTGGAGCCATTTGGGGGTCGGAGAACTCCGTCGTCTTGCTGTACTCGGTAAAGTGCACCTTCGAGGGCGAGGCCCAGAGAACTAGATGGCAGTGCGTGTCGCTCATAGCGAACCCTTTCCCAGATGGCATGAGTTCCAGACCCGTCAATTGAGCATCGAAAGTCTGCACGTATCTCATCAGTGGTACGTCTGGGTTCTGTACATCGACAGAGTTGATCGCTCCTGCTTGTGATACCACGATGCAGGTCGATGACAGTTTTGGATGCAGTCGAACAAAAGCAGCACCTTGTTGGAAGGCAATAGGCGCCGCAGGCCTTTGATGCTTCAGATCATATACCCTGACCAAACGCTCAAGACCAAGCCCGCCGTATTGCTGGTGAGCCCAGCCGCAAGTCAATAGGTGGTCTCCCCTAGCGTCCATGTCATTGACCGTGCCAGCATAGGCTTGCCACTTATGCATGATAGCGAGGCTGTAAGGGTCAAGTAAGCATATCGACCCATCGTGTGCTGCAGCGCAGATGCAGGTAGTTGACCGTCGCATCATCGTATATGGTATTGCCGCGACAGGCGACAGCGTTTCGATGACCAAGCCCTTTTCGACATCGATCCGGTACAGCTGCTGCTGGCAGCCAGCGACCACGATCTCGTCATCACGTGAAGCTCTACCAGTGAAGCTCATACACCGCAAGTCTACCATATCAGGCTGACTGATATGCCATTGCGACAACCCTCTGCGGCTAGCGCAGTGCACACTGCGCGGCGAGACCGAGATGACGCCCTTTTCGCAAAACAAAAACTGCTTGACAAGTGCATTACCGGGCGCACCTCGTGGCGCGGTGTTAGCATGGCCTCTGTAAGATGTGTAGCGCTGCAGCTCTGGCCCGTAGAAAGATGTTACGCGGCCCTATCGGGGATGTCAGACACGAGCACGGTTTGCAGCTACCATTCGACGCTGCCTGTTCTCGGTTCAACCCACTCACATACTCGTTACCGGTCCACAGCAACTCCTGTGACGTGTCAAATGCGAAAGTTGTCACTGGACTCGATGGCGCGTTAGGCGCGGGACCTGGAAAGGCGACCCTTATCTGCTCCGCCCAATCGGCCTCCATCAATGATGCCGGGCTCTATCATAGCTAACGACAGTTACTGCTGGGCAGTTGTGACCAAGTCTGTACGCTTGAGGCTGCCAGCAGCATCGAAGGAAGTAGCTCCGGCACAGACTCCGGAACGTTCAGACACCGCTAAAGGTACGATCACGTGAGTTGTCACTTTACCACACATATAATACAGCATGAAGTAACGTGCGTAGGTCTGGACTCAAGATTGTCCGTATGGTACGCTTTGGCGTACGGCTTGCGGTGTGATGATACTTTACACGCTTTGCTTGCCCATGCCTAACTGGTGGGGCAGCACATTGCTTCAATGCCTCCTTCTAAAACACCGTGCAGATGCGACAGCAGTCTGCTGCTCGGAAGCCATGAGCAGCAATGCTAGAACGTAATCGTAAGCGTCGCTAGAAATGCACATGCGTCGCTTGCTCTCATCATGCGTAAGCGTATAACCAATCCGATTCGAGCGCTTCAAGCTCGTACACGTAACTGTGGCGCCGCTTGCGCCACCCTATTCCGGTGCGTCGTTAGTCTTGTCTTCTGCATCCAGCGGTGCCGGACTCGAATGGCGTTCGCCTTGCAGTACGGTCTCGTCAATATTGGGCCAGTCCCGCTCTCGGTGCTGCTTACTCGCTAGTTCTGGTAAGCTGTATGCCTTCCGCGATGTCGCTTCGCCGTCGCCTTCGCCTTCGCCATGCTCTGATCGCTGCTTCTCCTGCTCCGCCAACATCCGCAGCTGCTCCCGGCTCTGCTTGCTCTCACCCTCTTCCTTTACCGCCGGGTCGTCGACGGCAGCAGCGATTTTGACGCCTTCTGTGTCCGCCACGTGACCAGGCGCAGAGGTAGGCGGCTCCTGACTTGGCTTTGTTTTCGCGTCGAAGACATCCTTCTGCGCCTCGTCGAACCAACCACCACTTTCCCACCGTCCTGGAGCGTACAGATTGGCCCGCCGGACGTCTTCGTTAATAATACCAGTCATAATCTCACTCAAACGGACGAATGATATCGGCTTCAGGATCCAGCCATCAAAGCCTGTGTCGATGTAAATCTGCCGTTCCCTCTCCACGAGTGAGGCTGAGACGGCGATAATCGGTACTCGCCCATTAAGCGAGGCCCGCATCGAAAGAAGATGTGTAGGATGGGATTTTTCGAACGACCGGATCATCTTGGCGGAAGTCAGACCATCCACAATGGGCATCTGAAGCGCAATGTCAGTATGCCATATGGGTGCGGATTTTGTGCAGGGGGCGAACTCACTTGCATGTCCATAAGGATGATGTCGAAGAAGCCTGACTTGTCCCCATAGGCACTTGAGCACTCCTCACCATTGACGGTGAGATAAACTTCATGCCCAAGCTTCTCCAATCGTTTCTTTATGATTCTACTATTGACCGGGTCGTCCTCTGCAACCAACACCCGCATATGGTCCGCTGAGACTGGCTCCTCCGACTTCTCAGGCAGCCCGCTGTGATCACTATGTGGTATTTCAGACGCCGCAGCTGACGCGATTATTTGAGGGGCAGTGCCTCCTGGCGATGTTATGCCGTCATCCGGCACACGAATGGGCCGCACAGGCTGACCTTGCCCTTCAATAAGAGACTCGCCAGGCTTCTGAACGTGCTGCTCGCGGAGCTGCTGCGGCACGGGTGACATATCGAAGCTCGGACCACGACGCCTCATGGGACTGCCGCTCTCGTCTATGCCAGCCGTTGTATGCCGCTTGTCGAGTTTGGGCCGGGACATGGAGGCTCCTCCTCGACTGCCGGGACTACTGGTCCGTGAGATACCTTGCTCCGTCCATCCTTCCACCCGGTGCGGCTCAGAGATAGCATCGATCAATCGGTCAGCTTCACTCTTACCGCTATGGGCAGAAGTTCGGCTGACGTTACTTTTACCAGACATGATCGATCTCAAGCTTTTCCGACTGTGAACACTCTCCGCACTGTTTTTCCGTGACACCAGTCCACGATCCTGGCTGGAGGCTCTTTTTGAACCTGCACTGCCACGATCGATAAGCGTCACCTCACCCTCCAGCGCCGTAGGCGGCGTGGAGGGTTGGGCAGAGGAGTCCTCGGCTAATGGCGTCGCCGAGCCCACAGAGGACTCGGGCGCGGCTATAGCTTGCTGCCTAGGCTCGTTGTCCGGAATCTCGAAGGGAAATTGAATGACAAAGCGTGATCCTCTGCCTTCTTCGGATTTCAGTCGAAGTTGACCGTTCATATTGCGCACGACGCGAGCAACGACGGCCAGACCCAGTCCGAGGGTCTTCGCTTCCTCTTTCTTCGATGGGTCAGGCAAAGCGCCAGCGTTTGGCGCAAGCGCATCATTTATGCTCGAGTCCCCTTCGGTCTGTACCTGCTCCAGCTCCCGAAACAGCGCGTCAAGCTTCTTGCCATTCATGCCCACGCCGGTGTCGGAGACCGATACCTCAATCTCGCACCGTGACCCTTCCTTGCTGGCAATGTACATCTCGACTTTGACGCCACCATCACTGGTGTTCTGAATCGCATTCGCCGTAACGTTGCTAATCGCCTGTCGTACTCTCCGCTGGTCGCCAATGACGTTGTGCGGCAGACCTGGGTGGTCGACGACTTCATATGTTATGTTCTTGCGTCTGGCATCTCCCTTGAACATGTCCGTGGCCTCAATCAGCATAGCCTTCAGGTCGAAAACCTCATCTTTCGTCAAATCACCGCCCTCTTCGGTTTTAGTCAGGTCGAGTAAGTCGTTAATCACATAGATGAGCGACTTCGATGCCGAGTGCGACTTGGCAAGGTTGTCCCTGGTCTCTTGGTCGAGCGATCCTTCCAGAGCAATCTCGAGATAGTTGATAATGGCATTGAGGGGTGTGCGGACTTCGTGCGCAGAGTTGGCAAGTAATAACCGAGTCAATTGCGAGTTCTGCAGCGCGGCTTCCTTCTGCCGCCATACCTCAATGAATTTACCATAGACCAGACAAAGCACAGCGGCTGTCTCGATCTCTTCCTCCGTCCACTCTCGGCACCTGCCGACTACGGTTTCTGACCATAGCTTGAACGATTTTCGTGGCTCAAGGTAGCCTTCGGTGCCCTCTTTTATGAACTTCTCGTACGGGTTGCCAGCCCACTTTACTTCCTTGAGCTGACCCCTCCGGAAGAAAACAATAAAGTCCTGTCCACTGACTGACAGCGGCACAAGCAAAAGACCTGCAATAACGGTGAAGCCAGGTTGATACCGCAAGTCCGGAAAGTCTTCCCGTATATCCTGCGAAGTCATGACGTTCGTGATGCTTCGCATCCGTAAATATTCCAGCATTGCTAGCGCTTCTTGACTTTGCTCGAGGTGCCCAAGGATCTTCGTCTCGTCGCGTATGCTGAGTAGTCCAAAATCTGCGTCAAACAGCTTTAAAAGATCTTCGCTTGAGGCAATGATATAACCGGACGGATTGTTCTGCGTTGGTACAGTATTGATCAGCTTCCTTGCCTGCAGTCTTGAAGCATACGACAGCCGCTCTATGTTGCGTGATGCACTATCTCCGACCAGTCTACACATCTTGCGTATCGGGAAGGACACCCTCATGCCTCTCGAGCCGTAGCCATGGCACGAAATGAGGCCCCACAGCTCTTCGAATGCATTGATGGAAATCGACATGCTACTGCGAACAGCCATGTTCGCAAGGTACTTCAGGTGGATCGGGCTCATGGCGCGCAAGTAGCTGTACGTCAAATCCAGCGGATGCTCCAGGTCCTCGACTGTCCGGCATACCAATCGCGCCGTTTCCAGATCGCGATCGTACAGCATGCGAACCTTGTTGACCTTATACAACTCACGTGCCTGCTTTGGAATGTCCGATGCGGGAAAGTTCAAGCCCTTATACAGATCCTTGGTGGCGCGAGGGTCAACCAACTCCGTGACGACCCGGCCATTCCAGGCTTGGTCGAACTGATAGACCATGACGCGATGAAAGCCTGTCAGCTCTTTCACAACGCCCACTAGGATCTTTAAGAACTTCTCGAGATTTGGGGCGGCGGCAAGTTGCTCCTGCACCTGTGACATAATGTTGAACACCTCCATCGCCGCCGCCTCGCCTTTCCGCTTTCTGGCTGATCGAAGCACTCGCAGAGGCTTGCTAGCGTTGTGCGTGCTTTCCGCGAACTCCTCATCTGTCGGCTGTGACTGCATTGTGTCTTCGGCCGGTTCCGGGGTGCTCTCATGGGGCGGGACTAGTGGGTTCACAGGGTCGTCTTCTAGCTCGAACTCGCAGATGATGAGGTTCGGATGCCTGTCATTGATATGCATGGCGCACCACATCTTCTGGCTCTTGCGCTGAGGCGAGCGTATTGACATTGTGAAGACTTCAGGTCCATTTACCATGACGTCGGCATCCTCATCGCGAATAAAGTCAACATGGTCCAGTAGGTTGTCTGTCTGCTCTTCAGACAGAATGTCGGTGAAGCTTTCGAGAGCAAATAGTTGCTTTGGAGTGTAGCCGATCAAACGCTTCGAGTTCTCGCTAACGATGCGGACGAGCAACCGGCCTTCTGACTGCTCTTCCAATGCTACAAGGAGTCCAAAACCTTGCACAGCGCCTGGAATGTGGATTGGCTCATCCTCGCAACGCTGCAAAGTCTCCCCATCTCGACCTGTGACAACGGCATGTCCGCCTTCCGTGATGACGTGCTTAAAACGAGCCGTGACCAGGGGGCCAGTCTCATCCTGTGTGGTTCTGGTACTTCTGAACGAACCAGATCGGGAATTTGACGGTCGGTCCTCGGAGACACCGCGTGCAACCGAATCACGGTCCGCGGTGCTCTTATCACTGCTTGTGTCGCTCGAGATGATGTCATTGAAGGTCTGAGGGTTATGCCGCTGCTGGGGCGACATCCGCGGCGCATCTAATGATGATTCAGCCGTAGATGATGTAGAGCCCTGCCTGCTTTGCGAACCCAGTGCGGGTTGCCGTGCTCGAGGTGAGGCTGGACGCTCCACACCGGTCTGCTGGAGGCGAGGTGGAGTGCCCTCGTGTGAGTAATCACCACTAGGTATAGACTTACGGCGCGCCTGTGCAGCATGCTGAAAGTATGAATCGCGCTCACGTTGTCGGGCAGATGGCGTAGGGTTTGGGTCAACTGATACCACAGATCTAATGGGAAAGACTCTGTCGGCAGCTGCGGGGCTGAGTTGTCCATCGACACCAGAGGTCGGTGACCGCATCTGATCGGCAAAGTTGACATGCTGCTTAGGGAACGGCTCTTTGCCGGCCAAATTGGGTCGTTGGGAGCGGGGAGACGGTGGCGCTCCTTGCCGTGACGCATCGTGTGCAGGCTGCGATGCTGATTGTTGGAACTGGTCCGCGTCCTTCCGGATTGGAGTTGGAGTCCGCTCCGAGGACATGGCTCCCACTAGGGGGCACGGCGGTTGCCCGCCTGGTGTGTTTTCTGTTCAACCGTATTTCCCGGGTTTATGTGTCCGATGTAGATAGTAGTGATATCTTCTCGTTTCGCGATACCACCTCCTCACGTGCCAGCACCGTCTTCTGTCGTAAACTCTACCTTCAATGCAACTTCCTCCAAGTCAAGGTGTTCGCCACCACCTATCTTCTAGGACCTATGCCAACCCCGAAGACCCGCATCAACACTTCCTCCGGACCTGCGTATAATCCTGGAATAGAAATACCGAGCTGGCGTCTACTGACGGCTAAGTGGCGCACCTCAGGCGACAGCGTGGGTACGGGAGACGCAATGTGCGGGTTTGAATAGAGTGCGTTCACCCGTCTCGCGCGCTGCAGCGGGAAGGCGGTAGGGGTCGCGCCTGCAAATTACAAGGTAGCGATGCGCAAGGAAAGTGTCCGTCGTGTCGTTGTTGCTGCATAGGCAGTTGTCTGAAGGCGGTGTCCAACCAGCAGGGATCGAAGGAGACTGCCGTGATGCAAGCAGCGTGGAAGTGTCACTGCGCGCCAAAGGTTAAGGTTCGGTAACGCGACACCAACCAACCCTAGCCCCGGTAACGTATGTGGCCGAGGGAGACAAGCTTTCGACTTATCATCGATCAGTATATTGCTTTCGTGGCGGCCCGTGAGGAACAAATTAAAACAGCGCCGTTCACTTGAGGAAGTTGATGGTCCTGTTAACTTGCATCCGATAGACAGACGGCAAGTTCATAGCGCCTACGAGCTGGGGAAATGTGTTATCCAGCAAGAGTGGCCATTGCGTCGAAGTAGATCGCCTCAATCACTCGGATGCTGGTCTCTCTCCCTGCCAACCTACCGCCTCAACCATGATTCACGCCAAACCCTCAAGACGTGGCGCAGGTAGATGAAGCTTCAGTCTTATTATGCATCGACGATTGCATGAGGGCATATACATCCAATGCATTTACTGTAGAGACGCTTCACCTACCCTCTCCCGGTCGTAATCCTCGTGAGTCAAGAGGGTCACAGCACGGCCAAAAAACCTCATCATGACGAGTTATCATATTTGCTATGGATGTGTGAGACTGGCGAGGACCTGCCGGTTGCGAACTTCATCGCTCGTCGAACCGCTTGTGTGAACAATGGCCGTAACGCTTCAACAGCCATGCCCATCGTTTGTCCCTAAAGCACATCACTTCCAGGTCACCACAGATGAGCCGATGAGAATCCGCCACAAAGGTCGAGGCCTTAGCGTCGAACCCTGTGATGGTTATTCCCCGACAGCACCCGTTGCTCGTACACGTAGGTTACCTAAGCGGTCACATGAGTAAGTTGAATCTATGGAAGACACCTGCGGAGTTGTTGGTGGAGACGAAGAAAGTCGACCTTGTCATCAAAGCCCTCGCTGGAGATTTTGTGTCCGGATCGTGCGCACCAATATGAACCAATTAGTGCGGACTGCGCCACGACCTCCCTGATCGGTGGGCGGGAGAACGTGGTTCAACGGCCGAGCTGTCATTCGTGGTCAGAGGCGTCCTTGCCAAGCCAAGAGGCGAATCAGCAACAAGCGATGTCTATCGTTTCTGCAGTACTCTCTTTGCAACACTGCAAAGAACGCTTGTCAAGGCTCTGATGGTTTCAAAAGAGTGTACGTGAAGCACTCACCTTGCTGCACTGCTCCCAAGGCACAGAATAAAGCATATCCATGGCATCTTTAAGTCGGGGACAGCTTCTGTGTCACCGCGCAACCAGTTCCCGCGACGCACCAAGGTCCTTGCGCATCACCGTACCTGACATTGACGCCGCCGATGATGGACGGCCTCGAGAACTCAATGTCCTGTTCGCGTCCACTGGCTGCGCTGACTCGAGGATTGTCACCGATCTGTTACATCGCATAGCAGAGCTGCCTGATGTGAGACTCCGCGCCATACTCGATACCGCTTTCAAAGGGCAAGACCTGATTCGTGCCGCCTCGGAATGCATGACCATCCCCAACTCGCTACGTGGACATCGTATGCCCGTGGAGGACATGGAGCAGGAGGCTGCAGAACTCTGCGACTGGGCGAACCTTCTGGTACTTGGACCGATCGATGCGAACACCCTTGCGAAGATGTTACACGGACACACCGACAGCTTGTTGCTAGAAGTTCTGCGGAGTTGGAATGTCAGTAAGAAGATCCTGCTCGTGCCAGGCATGAGCCAATTGATGTGGGAGAACCCAATGACGAAGAAACAGCTCACAAAGATCAGGAGGAAGTGGAACTGGATCCAGGTCTTGCAACCGATTCTCTGGTCATTTCAGAACGAGAAGAAACTGTTGGACACATGGGAGGCACCTACGGAAGAGCTGGTGGACACCGTACGAAATCAAGTTGATCTTATGAACATTGGCAAAGGCATGGACGTCTCGCCGTCAGCGCGTGCAACCTTTACGCCACGCAGAGCAGGTACGCAAGGTCGCGCGGATTGTTTGCTGCCTCCCGAACTGTGGACTATGATCTTCGACTTCACGGGAGACTGGGAGTTGGCGCAGAACATGCACGTCTACACCAATCTGTCTCCGCCCGCGGAATGGACGTCGCACACAAGCCCACAGGGCCCACGCAATTATATGGAGGCTCTCGAGCTGACCATACTGCGCGGAAACCTCGCAGACGTTCAGCACTTCATTGCGATACATAGTGTGCCGCGATGGTTGAGCAAGCTCTGCATCAAGCTCATCATGCGATTTGCAATGACGCCGCTACTAGCACATCTCGAAGCGAATCACAAAGATTTATTCTGGGCGACCTTCGGCCATACATTCCTACCAGACAAGGCCAGCAGCGTTTTCGGCAAAACGGAGATTCTGGAGTTCTGGCGCACGTCGCCAAGCTTTCTGACGAAAGAGTACAACACCGAAGCACTAGACGGCGCGTCTAAGGCTGGCTTTGTAAATGTGCTAGAGTGGTGGCAGCACTCCAGTCTTCCGCTCAAATTTACTGAAGCTGCAATGGAGCAAGCGAGTAGTCAAGGCCATCTGTCTGTATTGGAGTGGTGGAAGCAGCAGTCTACTTCGGTTGACGACAACACCACTTCCGTCGACTCGAGTAAAGTCCGACTGAAGCCAGGCAAGAGTATTTGCTACGCCACCCAGAACGGTCAAACAGAAGTTGTACGATGGTGGTTACAGTCCGGCATTCCGTTTCCACACGAGGATACTGTCGCCAAGCTTGCGTCAACACATGGCCATGTTGACATCTTGCAAGTCTGGCACGATTTGAAAGGTAGTAAGATCATCTTCGACAACCAAGTGCTGGTTGGCGCGACGAAGATGGGCAGTGTCAAGGTGTTGGAATGGTGGAAGCGAAGCGGACTGAAGGTCGAATACAAAACCTGCGATGTTGAAGAGGCGCTGGAAGATGGCGACGAGGGTGAACGTGGGCTGGAAGTGCGCCGTTGGTGGGCGAGGAACGGTCTGAACCTTGGTGTTGGGACGAGTGAATGGATGAAGACGAAGTACCTGAACTCTTGAGTTGTTGCGAAGCGTTTGAGCGTGTGTATGGTGTTGGTCGGAATTAGGACGGTGTTTGCATTGCATGGTGTCATTCGCAAGATGGACTTGCACGTGAAGTAGACTATTAGACTGATACATCCACACGGTGTCGACAAACATGGATTGATACAGTACGTCACTACGCCCGTAGCCACCCCGTTTTGACCCTTGCGAACCGTCTGCTCGCTTGTGCTTCAGCTTACATGTTCTGACGAACACAGAGAGTTGTAGGGGAGCCCAAACTCATCCCGGCAGACAGATAATCGGAGTTGGGAGCAATGGGCGCTCGATGTTCGCATGGTAAGACTCTCCAGTGGACTTCAGTACCTTGCTCTGTCAACCGCCGTGGGGTGGTAGTCGGATGTGGGCATGACGTGGATGCGCACTGTCCCTGGACATTTACCCATATGATGAATTCTGGCTTCCTACAACAATTGGAGGCAATGGTGAGCACAACAATGGTTCCGTGTGATTGCGTAAGACCCGTACAAAGCAGAAGGGGAGGAAGGCCTCAGTGTGCCTGCCACACCCAGAAGGGTAAGGTCTTCACTGTTGACAGCCGATCGTCCCGCAACTGCCGTTCCTACCATGCCCCTCCTTCTACACTTGGCTAACAACTTTGCCTACCGGCACAGTTAGCCGGAGACATTGCGGCTATGCGTCGCTGACGCAGATGGAGCGGGCACTTGAGCGGCTTCCACGCGCGTGAATAATTCGTAGAGGAAAGGGCGACGATAGCGCTATTTAGCGGAGGGCATTACAAAGCTGAATGGACAATGCCCGTCTGCTCGGTCCTACTCGCAGCATATAAGTCTAAGTATATTGTGAGTGAGTGCAGCGTGATTTGAGAGGCAGTACATTGTCGCAAGCTTCCGATGGACGAATGACGTTCAGTAATATCAACAGCACCACTGCAATCTACGCGGCAACTATAAATTCGAGAAGGGAGCGCAATGGCCACATCGACCTTACCTTCAGCCGAAGCGTCACCAGTTCAGTCCAATCTCAAGGGAAGCGAGTTCGAGGAGAAGCATGGTAGAGGCCTGGAGGAAGTAGAAGAAGACGATGAGGATGAAAGAACAAAAGGTGCACAAGTCGCCGAGGCTGGACAACCAGATCCTTTCCTTCGAGCGCCGATCCAGCAGATGCGAAGCCATTCGTCCGCGCGTTCAGCCCGCTCGCACCATTCATATACCGACGGCTACACCCACTTCACGCAGGAAGATGAAGAGAAGCCAGCTGGCGGTGAGCAGGGCGAAGAGGACCCGGAGAAAGCGTTCGAGGTTCGCTTCGATGGCGAAGCGGACCCATTCAGCCCACGGAACCGAAGTACCGTGTCCAAGTGGTGTATTGTCCTGATACTTGCAAGCTCGTCCATCTGCGTTACATGTGCGTCCGCTCTCTATACGAGCACCTATGCGCAGCTAGAGCGAGACTTCCATGTCAGTAGAGAAGTGGCGACCGTTGGCTTGACGACTTTCGTTTGCGGCCTTGGTCTTGGACCTATGTTCCTTAGTCCGCTGTCCGAGTTCTACGGACGACGTATAATCTACCTATGCGCATTCGGCATGTACTTCATCTGGCTGATTCCCTGCGCTGTGGCGAACAATATCGCTACGATGTTGATTGTTCGCTTTCTGGACGGACTCGCCGGCAGCGCCTTCTTGTCCGTTGCAGGAGGCACTGTAGGCGACATGTTCCCGAGAGAAAAGCTTTCAGCTCCGATGATGGTCTATACTGCATCACCCTTTGTTGGACCAGAGATCGGGCCGGTGATAGGTGGGTTCATTAATCAATTCACGAACTGGAGGTGAGTCCGTTGATGGCCATTTTCAAATCAACTCGTGCTGAGCATGAACGTCTAGATGGAGCTTTTGGGTTCTCGTTATATGGTCCGGTGTGCAATGGCTCTTGATCTTTGCATTCGTGCCCGAGACGTACGCCCCGGTCCTCTTGCGCAGAAAAGCGATCAAGCTTCGCAAGGATACAGGAGATGATCGACACAAAGCGCCAATCGAGAGAATGAACCGCTCCGTGGTGAAGACAGTACTGTGGAGCTGCATAAGGCCGTTCCAGCTACTGTTCCTAGAACAGATGGTGCTCAACCTTTGCTTGCTGTCAGCTATTCTCCTTGGCATTCTTTACCTCTTCTTCGGAGTAAGTCTTGCGGAAGCGTGTCCCGAGCGACTTATGGGAGCTAAACGTGGGCCTAGGCTTTCGCGATCATCTTCCAGAACAACCATCACTTCAATGAGTGGCAGACTGGACTTACTTTCATTGGTATTTTTGTCGGAATGCTCATCGGTGTTGCTTGTGACCCGCTTTGGCGAAGGAATTGTACGTTGGACTGCAGCTTGTCCACCACTGATCCATGCTAACTGCGTTGCATAGATGAACGCCTCGTTCGCAACAACAAAGGCAAATCTGAGCCTGAATACCGTCTGCCGCCTACCATTCTGTACGTCCTGCTTATACCTTTCCGACCGTGTCCGCGTTCGAAATGGTCGTGCGCTCTCTATGCAAAGCTAACACGCGCGTGCAACAAGGGGCGCAGCTATCGTACCCATTAGTCTATTTGGTTTTGGTTGGACCACATACCCATGGTGAGTTACAGGTGATTGAACTCAATTCTGGTACTGTGCGAGCAACGTGCTGACAAGGGCTTGAACTCAGGGTTCACTGGATTGGTGCGTCCTACCGATGCAAACGGTACGCCGATCGAAGTACTGACCAGCGTGTTAGTACCCATAATATTCAGCGCGCTGTTCGGCCTAGGCGTAAGTAGTCTGACTACGTTTCGAACGCAACAGAGCGGGGCACAAACAGAAGTTAACGATGCTACAGAACATATTTTGCTTCGGCGGCATATTTACGTTCCTAGTGGAGTGCTGTAAGCTTGCCGCCATTCCGATGCCGGCAATTTGCAGGCGTCTAGTAAGACTATGGTTCGGAGATGCTGATACTTGCGTCCATGCAGATCCACTCTATGCAGCATCAGCGCTTGCCGCGAACAGTTTCGCAAGATCTTCCTTTGCAGCTGCGTTTCCGTGAGTACAAGCTACATTCATCTGATACGAAGGAATATCATGTCCGGCTAATAAGAGCGCATCAGACTATTCGGTATCCAAATGTTTGACAGTAAGCCACCCAATCACGCATACGAGTCGTTTCTTTGAAAGGCGATCAGCTGACGAGCCGACTGCAGAGCTTGGCTATCAATGGGCTTCTACCCTCCTTGCATTCATCGCATTGGCAATGACACCATTCCGTAAGTCAACTCAGCCTGGGATGGTTGGATGTTCACTAACCTTGGCCATCTCCAGCCATCCTGTTTTTCAAATTCGGCAAACGGTTGAGGGGGGGCTCTCGCTTCGCGCAATCTTCATAGGTCAAGGAATGGTAGTAGCCCCTTGCGGATAGATGGCCGAGCTTGCCATTGCGAAAATAACCTCGTGGTGTAACCACGCTGCTTCCAGCATCATGATCTTGCCGTTCCGTTCGCTCTCAGTCTCCAGATCCTGCCATGGTAGGAACCTCTGCCACGTGATACGGCTTGAGCAGCGGCGGCTGCACAACTTCATTGTTAGATGCGGGAGATCTCTGTGCAACGTCCCAGGAGACCAGTCAGATCGCATCTTGTGCGAACGCCACCGCGGCAAGGGCGCAAGGGTGCTCAACCTCCCCGAAAAGGCGGTGACAGCGAACGTTGCCATTGTGAAAGCATGGCAGACAGGTCTCGAAGCTGTAAGCAGCCTCTTTAGGAACGTAGGATGGGTTATCATTGTGACAAGTCTCTCGTCAGTAAGCAATGTAAGGCAAGGTTGTAACAGAAGCGTCTCGAGCTGCGAAACGGGTTCGGCCCGTCGGATGCAGATGCTCCGCTGACGCGAGGCAGGCACATGCTCGCTCTAGCTTCTCATGTCCTGCGCGAAGAATAGGTTGGGCAAGGTAGCGCACAATACGAGCCGGTTCCACTACAGTGAGCGTGGTGTGCATCGCGGTGCCCTTGCCTACGCGCAATTCAAAGACGTCAGGTACCGGACCCTTGGAAACGCAGCTCGAAGATACAAGCACACAAAACGTGCGCGCTGTACCCATTGGCCCAGCAGTATGGAATGAAAGTGACTCAAAGAGGAAGCGAGCGTCGTACAACCTTCTGCGGAACAGTCTGCTGGGTCCCCAGATGCTGCCCCATTCACGTGCGCTCTCACTACTGAGCACAGCGCAAGCGTCCCATCCTTGATACTCCGGTTAGGGTGCACTTGCGTACGCCGCCTTCGCTTATTGGTCTGGCTGGCGTAGCACTGTGTGGCGGATTCAGGCACGTTCTGGGCTGCCATTAGCGAAGAGGCAAGAGCATTTGGCCGCACAAGGTATTGATATTGCAGGAGGTGTTGCGGGCCACAGCACGAGTAATGCGGTGTTGGGTGTAACTGCTTTCACTAACCTGTAGCTGAGAGCCGAGGTCAGCTGAAGCCGAGTAACACGGCATCATTATTGCAGCTTGCATTGCACGTGTGGCCAGACGCCAACAGAGCGGAAGACACTCCTGCGCTTCTGCATCGCAATTGGTCCGGGGCTGCTATTTCAGTGTAGCGGGCTCGCCACATCTGGTCACTCACTGGCGGATAGCTGCCCTTCACGGCAGCAGCAACGTGGGTCGCGCAACCCTTGGCGGCTGAACTCCGTAGTTCCAAGGAACGTACGCTGCCAGTCTGCGCGACCCTGGGTTTGATTAAGATGTCATCCGGCGCCGAAGATGGGTCCCCTTCTCCAGAGCCTGGCATTGAGCAAGAAGTGGGCATCATGGCGGAGACCAAAGTTGAGCGTCCTTCTTCCGAGGAGAAGTCACCTTCACAAGCTAGCAATGGCAACAGTCAGCCTGCTAAGCCGAACGCAAAGGACCCGTCACGGCCAAGAAGGAAGAAGGCGCGGCGAGCTTGCTTTGCTTGTCAGCGGGCACATTTGACCTGTGGTAAGGGTTGAGCTGAGAGGACTCTTTGATGCATCAGTGACGTCTGTTGATGGACTGACAAGCATTTGCAGGCGACGAACGGCCCTGCTTGAGATGCATTAAGCGTGGCCTGCAGGATCAATGCCACGATGGTGTCCGCAAGAAGGCGAAGTATCTGCATGATGCGCCCCCGGAGGCACTTATTCCAGGCTTCGCTGGCAATTACCTCAATGGAGGTCACATGCCCACAGGTTCCGGGGCCCCCCCCATGACTGTCAATGGCGCAGGCGTCGCTCAACCCGCCTATTACTCGCCCAATGCCCCTGCTCATTACCAACACTTCCCCCAAGTCACTCAACCAAGCCAGATGGCACCGCCGTTAATGGAGAACAGCAACTTGACAAGCGACTACACTTCTCAAGGCAACGTCGAAACACCGCCTCGGTATCGGTCGGCGTCAAGTCAGCAAGTCTCGCCCGCTCAAGATATGACAACTCATGTAGACGCCGGTGCTACGCTTGACACCACCGGACCGGGTTCCTTCGATTCCTCCTTCTTCGATGCGAACGATCCCGCATTGTTCAACTTCAATATCTCTGACCTCAACTTCGGCAACCATTACGGAGCCTTGGAGTTCGGAATGCTCGGTCACATGTCCGGTGCCGTAGGCACTCCTGAGGTCGATATTATGAATCCTATTGGCCAGTATGACGGTTCCTCTGGCTTTGCCGGCACGTACGGGTTCAACCAGGCCTTCCCTTCGTGGCAAACTATACCGAACGCTGGATCTCGCCAAAGCAGCTCTACCAACATCTGGAACCCGACCGGTATGGATGCCTTTGCGATAGCTGAGCCAAATGGCATGGGTCAGAGCCCACATTCGCAAAGCTATGGATTGTCACCGGAGACGCAATACGCACAGCCGGATCACTCTAACCAACAGGATCTGCTTAGGCAAAGCATTTCGCAAGCTCAGCAGCAGCAGCGAAAATCGAGCGCGTTCCCAGGGAACCCTACGCAAGACCCGTCTCGCAAGCGTCGACGCGAGACCGCTGAGATCTACTCTTCTGTGCAGGCACCATATTCGTATACTCAAGGTTTTCACGCACTCACCGCATTCCTGCAGAAGCGCTTCCCTCAGAAAAAGGTGCTTCGCATCGCTAAAGCGCTGGCCGCTATTAGGCCATCTTTCATCTCGTGCAATCAGAATCTCAACCACGATGATTTGATCTTCATGGAGAAGTGCTTTCAGCGGACGCTGTGCGAGTATGAGGACTTTGTTAACCATTACGGCACGCCGACCATAATTTGTCGGCGGACTGGTGAAATTGCTGCAGTAAGCAAAGAGTTCTCATTAGTTACCGGCTGGCGCAGAGACGTGCTGCTTGGGAAGGAGCCCAATCTTAATGTCAACGTTGGCGGCAGTATATCTGGTACTCAGACCGGCAACAGCTCTCGCGGCGCTGCAACACCACGCCTTGCAACTGCCGAGATAGATACTGGCCGGCCGCAGCCCGTCTTTCTTGCAGAGCTGCTAGACGAGGACAGCGTTGTCCGTTTCTATGAGCACTTCCAGGAGATTGCCTTCGGCGCGTCTAGAGATGCAATCATCGGTGAAGCTTGCTCTTTGCTGAAATACAGAACGAAGCACGATCCGGGCTGGGGTCCCAATGATAATCTAATCGACGATGGCAACCGAGTCAAGAGACAACATGATGGTAGGGAGGAGTCACTCATCAAAGGGGAGGCTGGGATGAATACTCTGGGTGAGAGAGACGGCAGGGTAGAGTGTTCCATGTGCTGGACTGTGAAGAGAGATGTTTTTGACATCCCAATGCTCATTGTCATGAATGTAAGCTCGGTCACGAAACGCGTTCGAAATGGACGATCTCGGCTAATAGACACAGTTCCTTCCTATTATCTGATGACTCTACAGCCCGCTATCAACTGCCGGTCTATGTATGAATAGCCTTGAGCACATGAGGGATGCCTCTGGCGGTAAGGCTTCTGATCGATAACATGTCCACCGCTGGAACGGTGGATGGCGTCGCGATGGCCGTCATGTCGATCAAACGAAAGCCAATGAGACCGGTCAATCCGTCAAGGGACAACGTCGTTGGAGGGATGACCTAGTCGGTAGTAGTAATTCTTCAGGAGGTAAAACTGACAAGCATTGTCGCGCCTACGCTTCTCACATCGAACCCTTCGTGCACTATTGATCCCCTTCGCAAGTCCCGCCATCATCACAATCTTGTCACAGTTGGTGTCGATGACCGTCATGGCAAAGGCTTTCCATATCTACAAAGACAGTCCTTACACATCTATCCCTCTCAGGAAGCGGAGACCGCCACACTCTCGAGAGGTCGGATGGGTAGCCCTGCAAGCCCAGTCGACAGTGGTGATTGAAGGGGTCCTGCAACAAGGAAAGGACAGTGTGACCATGCAATGAGGTCCGAAATAACGGCAATGTGCAAAGTCACCGATGCTTCCCTGTACTCCACATCGTTGCCGCTTCCTATCGATCGGCGCCCTGGTCTATCACCTCAAGATTAATGGCCCCCACCATTGCGGTACACACTAACAATGATCGCATGTCAAGTGACAGCGTCGAAACTTGCGGGATTTGCGCAACCTCGCGAAATCGGTTTGCGCAGCCGCTTGATTCACTATGGCCGCGAAGCGACCTGACGGTCCTCGAGAGACGGTCGCTGGTCCGGACGACGGACCGCAACCACCATTCCCACTGAAACTTAACGGGAAGGTCATCAAAGGGTTCGGGCGAGGCAGTAGCGAAGTGAGTGTTCCGTGTCTCGTTGCCTTGCTTTGTCCTAGTGATGAGCGACACTGGTTGGCACGATGACACCGCGCTTGCGTGGATGACCATGATGCAAGGGCTGATAGCTTGCTCTGCGGCTATCCGCTGTCAACGTCCTGCACGTTGCCGCTGGTCAGCCAACGTGCCGACCACGTTCATGCCACCACTCGAGTCCATCCTCGGCACATCGGGCCAGTAATAGCCCGCATGCAAACGCCCTTGCTTCCCTCCCTGCAAGCTGCCGCTGTCATCTCCAAACCCTGAACCATGGCTTTACCATGCTTTCACTCTTGGTCATGAGCTTGACTGTCTCGGTCACAAACACACTCGATATTGCACAGCTGACACTGGTAAACCTCGCTTAGCTCGGCATTCCCACTGCGAACATTCCCCTTTCTGGCCTGTCCGTTGGCGGGCACGAGGACATCGAATCCGGCGTGTACTACGGTTGGGCGGGTCTTACTCCGTCCGCTGCCACGCGCCAGCATGCACAAGGGTCGGAGAGCAAGTACCACCACCTTGGGTCACACATGAAAGGCATGCTTGCCAAGATTGCCTTCGGCGGCAGTGCTGAGGATGACGAAGAGGAGCGAAGAAGCACGTGGAGCTATGACAAAGGCGCCGTGTACCCAATGGTCATGTCCATAGGGTACAATCCTGTGTATAAAAATACGGTGCGGAGTGTGGAGGTCCATGTGATGCACCACTTCGAGCATGAATTCTATGGAAGCCATATGAACATCATCATCTTGGGGTTCATCAGGCCGGAGTATGACTACGTCAGTAAGGAGAAGTTGATCGAAGACATCAAAACCGACGTCGAAGTGGCAGGGCGCAGTCTCGGGAGGAAGGCATATGCGAAGTATGCCAAGGATCCTTATCTGCTCGAGTTCGAAGGGAAGGGGGACGTGGCAAGCTAGCGGAAGGACTTGTACCTCTAATAGCTTCGTCTTGCGGTCAACTACCAGCCTTCACTTGGTTCCGCGCATGGCAACTATACTGCGGCGGTCGACTGTCACTACGCTAGAATCTCTTTCACGCACGCTAGAATCTCTTTCACGCGCCGCCCTTGCGCTTAGCGTACTTGTCTTTCATGCGACCTGTGTACTGCCGATCGTCTTGGTTGGCTCATCACTCACGTCCTCAATGCGTCTTTGTGTACCGCTGGCACCGGTATTGCCACCCTCGAGCAGCTCCGGCCCCTGTGCATCGTATCGAACTGTCCGCTCGAGCATCGTCTCACCCATGTTCTGGCTGGCCTGAGTGATGGTAGTGCCTGACGGATTTGTCTGATCTTAATGCATTGTTCGCTGTCCGGTCGTTTGGCCATTGGAGGTGCTGATGTTAGAGGAGCAGCTATAAGACGAGGGAAACATCCAGCTCGCTTGGCTAGACAAGGCGGCGCTGTTTTAGTTCGGTGCCATGGAAGGCTTCGGTTTGTATCAATGATGCCCAAATAATGTGCTTTGGAGCCAGGACACGAAGCGGCCAAACGTGCACGCGGAACATGTCCGCTGTTCATTGCGCCTAATAAGCATTCGATTACAGCGATGATGGATGGCTTGCACAGAAGTTGATGCATGCATGATACTGGTCCGACAGGTTGGCGGCATAATACAACCATGACTTGAGACACTCTTCGACGCGTTGTAGCAGTATGTATCAGTCACGATGGGCGCCCAAGCCGTCACCAGAAGAAGACAAGGTAGGTATGATTGGGGCGATGTATACGTGCGTACCCGGTAAGCATGCTAATGATGTGTTTCAGTCGGCGGAAGCTCCACCGGCATCAGCATTGTCAGCCTCTGCGAGTAGCTTCTCACCCGTCTCTCCCTCTGCCCCTCCGCAAAATGTCCCTAGCACCAACGCCTTTGAGCAAACCGGTACTGGGCAGGATGACCTCTTCGGTGATGTTGTCCCCGTCTACGGCTCGATGCGAGTACGTTCAGACGATGACCTATTCAGCGAGGACTTCACTCCGGTTGCGCAATCTGTCCTTGAGCAACCGCAGCTAATGCCATTCCGCTCTAAAAGAGAAGGTCCAAGAGGCAGAAGAAATGCGGGTGGAAGAGCGCGAGCCGAAGGAACCTACTCTGTCCGCGGACAGCATAACGATGTAGCTGGGTCCGCCGCTGGGCCCGCCAATGGTAACACGGAATCATTGCCTCGAGCAGCGCCACCAGAGAACGCACCTACGGGTCCGCGTAAGGACACTGTCGGAGCTGTGCGCGGTGACAGGCATGCAACAGGTGGTCTCCGCAAGCCAAAGCTCACCGAAGACGAGCTTGCGGAGAAAATGGCGCGCATCACGCTACGCAACGAGGAGCTCAGTGCCGCACATGCTCGCGCTGAAGCAGATGCAGCATCCTTTGCGGAGCGTGAAGCGCAGGCAAAGCACGTTTCAGCGCAGAGGCAGCGTGAGGAGCGTCGAGACAGGCAACAGATGATGGGTGAACGGGAGCGGAACCGAATGCGGAAGCTAAAGGCTATGGAGGGCAGAGAGTGGGATGCAGAGAAGCGTGAAGACGACTTCCAACGTGGCGGACGCTTCGACAAAGCAGGTGGCTTTGCTGGAGACACTCAAGACTACAGTGACGGCCGAGAGTACTCGTACCGCGAACCCAGAGGCGGCCAATCGTCCCGCGCCGGACGAAGAGTTGGCGATGTGGCAGCAAGAGCTCAGACTGCACCGCAGAAAGAGGACTTTCCCGCGTTATTGGCAGCACCCAAGACCCCGGCCGTTGCGAAAGATGCGAGTGCTAGTGCACAAGCAACACTGAGTACAAGCGGAGATGTAGCATCGTGGGCGGATCAGGTCGAGTCGTCGACCACGTAAATGTGCGTCACCCAACAAGAACACTCATTGATACGGTCACCGGTGTGCATCGAATCGTCGCTCGCTCTCAAAGCGATTGAATTCATACAGAGATGAGGACACACGGAAGGTAAGTATTCACTCTCCCGCATACGTTACATGCTTGTAAGCTAATGACCAGGCGCAGATTTCGACGTGGAGGCAGACAATGTCGTCTCGATTCCGAAGAAACGGCAATTGTTGCAGGATACCAAGCATGACTCGTGGCGGGGTCGGCGGGGTTTGCCCCAGGACGAACGCCTTCTAGCCGGCAACTGTTGCGACTCCATTTCCGCGCCCAGCACCCGTGGCTCAGCATCGGCAATTATAACCAGCAATGCCTTCACAGTCTAAGAGTCTGCACACATTCTACTTCTTGTGTCACTGTTTGCGACTCCATTAAAGCTAACATACGCTTACCGGTCTCACAATGGCGCCTCCAACGGCTGTTGTCACAGGAGCTGCCAGCGGCATTGGACTGGCGTTAACGAAGTATCTCATAGAAAGAGGATGGCGAGTTGTAATGGCCGACGTCAACGAGCCAAAAGAGAAACTGGACGGAACCACGTTCGTGAAAACTGACGTGTCATCCTGGGAGCAACAAGTGACCATGTTCAAGCGAGGCTACGAGTGGGCAGGCCGGCTTGACTTCTTCGCCGCGAACGCAGGCATTGACGATCGAGACGACATCTTCGCATCAATCTCGAGCGATTCGACGAAGCCGCCCAAGCAGCCGAACATGAAGACTTTCGAGGTCAACTTAATCGGGAGCTACTACGGCATCAAGCTCGCGGCGCACTACATGACGCTCGACAGCAGGGCCGCCGGTAAGCCAAAACCTGGAGGCAAGATCGTTGTTACGGCATCTGCAGCTGGCCTCTATCCCTCGCCCTTCGCGCCACAGTACGCTTCGACGAAGCACGCTCTGGTCGGTCTGGTGCGCTCGTTAGGTTCTTTGTCTGCTCCCGTCAATATCCGCATCAACGCTCTATGTCCAGCATTGGTAGCGACGGGATTGGCCCCTCCCGGGCTACTGGATTCTTTCAAGAAAGAGCAAATAACGCCCATGAGCACGATGATGCAAATCTTCTCAGAGACTTCTCTTCTCGACGAAGTGCATAGCGACACATGGGCCGAAAGGGGTCCGTCAGGCCAAACCGTAGAAGGAAATCTGGAGGAACTCATCTGGCACGAGCCTCCTGGACGTGCTGGGCACAGCAACTACGACGACGAGGAAGGGCAGAAGGCCTGGGCCAAGGTCTATACTGAACGTAACAGGAACTTTGCGATGCAGGACTGGTTAGGTGAGAAAGTCATTCAATAGCCTTTGGGTAGCGTTGAGCTCTCACTGCCAATCACTATGTTATATGAATGCCTGCTGTGTAGACCCCTCTACCTACGCATGCAAATGTGCTCTATCCTAATATGGCAAGACTCAAAACCTCAATTTGTCGCAAGCTCACAACATCAATATCACCGCAGCCAGAAGGCTTATCAACGAGGCCGAGATGGACCAGTTAAGCGTTAGTGCACCGCTAGTTGTGACCTTAACCTCCGTCAACTTCATCTTCGGGACGAAGTTTGCCGGCGTGCGTGTGTTCGTCGTGCCATTCCAGCAATACCTCTGGAAACACTGCGTGCAGACTTCCGGTACGGCAGTGCCCGTTCTGTTGAGACTGCGGCTCAGGATGGCACATCCCACACATGCTGGCCATTGCTTGTCAAGCGTTCCATTCCCCAGTGTAGCGCCATTGTAACCGTTGAGCACTATGGCGTTGCGCTCGGTATTGTTAAACTGGAGATCGTAGGTCGAGACGTTGCTGTTGTAGACGTATGGTGCGTTAGGGAGGTAGACGATGAGAGGTGCCTCCCCCGTGATATTACCCGCATCGCAGCCGAAGAACGTGGGCCGGTCGTTTAGACCCAGATTGACGAAGGTATTGATGTCTGGGATGGATGGGAAAGCAGTGTGGTTTTGGATGGCTGATAGGCTTCTCTGATACGTTGCGACGATCGAAGCGCCATTCGGCCAACCCGGCGAGGATGCATTGGTTGGCCAGGTTGTGTTTGTGTCGGCAGATGAGTCTATTGCGAAGACTACATCAACGTGTCGTTGTGGCTGGATGAGTGGATGAAACGGGATGACCTGATTGTCCTCACCGCCGTCAACCAATGTGAGCTGCTGTGATGAGGCGTAAGGATTGGTATCAGGATGGTAGTTGTAGAAAGGGTTGACCTGCGGGACAAATTAGCGGACGGCAAATGTAATGGAAAAGATCATCAACAAACCCAGTCGGCTATGTCATTATCCGAAGACGCGAGAGACGACAAGATTGCTTCCACGGCGTCCTGCAGCGCGGTCGTGAACAGTCCCGTGGTGTTCGTGCCGTTCACCGTCGTCAAGATAACATTGAATAAACTTGAGCTCGTTCCGTACACGAACCCAACGTTATCGAAGCCAGTCACACATCGGTCGTTGGAGGTCGGCCGACCGTTCGAGAAATTCGTGCCAACATATTGCATGGGTGCAAAGCCGTAGATTGTCGGATCGAACGTGCCGATCTCCCACGGATCGAGGGTGAAGATCGTGGTATTGGTAGGCACCAATGTCTCTCCGGGCTGTCGGCCATCCGCAACAATCAGTGGCAAAGGCACGCTACCGTTCGTGAAGAAGTCTTGCTGGGCTACGGATGACCATGTGTATGAGGGACCGCCGTCAGTATCATTCACCAGCTGATACGACAAAGCACGGCCCCAATAGTCTGTGAGCGATACGTCGAACCCTACATCTTGCTTATTGTTGACTGCTGATTCAAGGCTGGGAATTGATAGGAAGGAGAGTCAGCTCTGTCTCGGAATATGGCGCTCGGAGCTCACACATACGCAATATAGTAGCCTGCGCTATTCACAAGCTGTATGCCTCCAGATTCCGGACCTTCGAAGATTGTTTGATCTAACTGCCACAAATCACCACTGGTTGAGCTGTCGGTATCTTGCGCCAGTATTCTATCGACGGACGTGAAGTTGTTGCTGTACAGCGATCCAACAAGCCAGCTCCCACCAGACAGTCCGGAGAGGTACGTCGTCGCCTGCAGGAGGCCTCCAAGCTGGCCAACGCTGGTAGCATTCGGTGTGCGATCGTCCCAGGCCTCTAAGTATCCTGCACCATTCAGCATGGCTCGGTAGCCACCACCTGACACTGCAATGCCGATGTTTGGCAAGGCGCTGGCGTTGTTTGCATGTCGGTTGAGGTAGCTCGTCGTGTCCAAGCCCGTAATGTTCATTCGAGCCAGCAAAGTCCTCATCGGCGCAATTGTCGCGTTCCGGCGCAGTTGCAGCCAAGCAGTCTCGTTCGGCGACAGACTGGTCGCGGCTCTGACTGACGGCGTGTTCGAGGGGCAGCTGTTGACTTGCGGCGCGTATCCATATGGGGCGTTCGCTGGGAAGCCGCGAGGTGCAAGCTTCGTGTCGGACTCGGTGAGCACTCTTCCTAGCGTTACGTTAGACTTATTCCTCGGCTACCTCGACGCTTCCGCCATACCATGGCTCTCCGGCAGTAGGCACACCGTGGCAGCTGCAGCAATTAGTGATGCAAACCTCATAGCTGATACGACTTGGACTAGGTGGATAAGGGATGACAGTATAAGAACCCTGTACTTATCCCAAACGCTATACACCTGAGATACGCTGGTGCATGATGCCGTGGCAATGTTGCGTGTCGCCAAGCGTCTTCGGTTGGTGACGGGAGAAAGGAGAGGCTGCGTGACGCCCAAACGGTCAGTCTTGAAACCTTGGAACAGCCCGCGGCGTGGCTTAGAGCCACCGTGCCTGACGATCTCTGCACATGCGTTCACTTTTCACAAGTCAATTATCAGATTGGATGCATGCTCTTTCACGCCGGGCGAACATGCGTAAACAGTTCATTGTGCTTCAACAAGTGGATCTCGTCTGACGATGCGATTTCGAACTGTTTGAGATCTCTACCCAGGATGCGGCAACATGATGCTCAGCCACGATGCTCGGCCACGATATGCACACCGTGCTCTTGCTCCTACATTGGATGAAAGATCCTTTGGAAAGATATGTCACAACTCGAAGTCATCTACCACCACCTGCAAGGCCGCCGACCGCTACCTCGTGCCCAGTATCTGTGATTTGGACGTAACTCTTCGTTTGTGACACCCCTTCATCTCAGTCTCCTCGGCACAACACTCCGCTTGGTCGGCGTAACTGGGTTGTCATTGAACGTGTAAGGGCCAAAGTCGGGCGAACCACCGAGCGTGCCGAAGATGTCACCTGAAGTGAAGGTCAGCCAGAATGCATACGGACATGATTTGACACTGACCAATGTAGTTGGTGGCGTTGACCCCCGCAGCGAACGTGCCATTCCACCCATCCAGGATTCCAGTCACCACTTGAATACCAGCCAGATATATATTCCTTATCGACGGCAAGAAGGCGCCCTGATTCGAATACAACAAGTTCGTCGTTGCCGCCTCTCCGGGCCATGGCCGGTCGAAGTCGCTCGCCGTCCGCATGATGATGATACGAGAGAAGTCGACAAGCTTGTTAGCTGCCGCACGCAGAAGGGCTTCCAATGTAGCATTGTCCTCCTGCGCCGTCGTGCAGTATACACCGCTACCGTTTGTGACCAGAGAAGTGAAGTTACCGAATGCGGTTGAAAGGATAACACCTGAATAGTAGACATCGCTAGTTGCTACATCGCATTCAATGACTGAAGGCGACGAAGCACCAGCAGTGTAGATGCTCGCTGAAGCATAGTTCGCGCGATATGCCACGGCATCAGCACTGTCGTTCAGCGTTGCCTGACGCGCAAAGCTTGCAGCGATATGCTGAAGGTTCTGGTTCAGCTCAAACACCTCGGTGCCTGTGCATCGGAGGTCATTCTCATCAGTAAAGACTCATTGGCCACGGCAAGCTAGGCTCCTTATCACCTACCATAGATGGACTGCGGATACTGATCGGCCGAATAGGAACCTTGAGGGATATAGCCGGACGTGTAGTTGGTTGGTATTTCGAACTGGGAGATCTCGTACTGCAACGCGACCTGAACGGCATACCGAGCGAAAGTAACGCTATTGATTGTTGCGACCTCCGGATTTACACCAGCGATACCTGCCACCATGAAGTACGTTGTGGTAAGGTCGAATCGGGGATAGCGAACTAGCGAAGCGATGGTGGTTGCGGCGTTGATCTCACTCTCGCCGGTCGTAAGCTGACAGACGTCGCCGTCTGCCGTACAATGCTACATTTGTTCGTAAAGTGTTATTGATGTCACAGAGAGTCCCGGTGTGCTTGTATTCACTCACAGCGTCGGGAAAAAGAGGCGAGAAGCCCGGAACGGTCACATTAATGGCAAGGATGTCAAATTCCGGTATGCCATACCACACGTCGCCTTCCGGGTCGAACATGCTGATGATGAACACTTTCGGCTTGACAACCCATTCTAGAGCTCTTTCTTCCAGTCTTGCTGGTATAAGTGCGGCCGACACAGTTGATAGGAATAGGGTCGCCACAACGACGAGTGAAGAGAACGTCCGCATTGTTGCTGAGGCTGTACAGCTGCGAAGTGAAGAGAGGACAACGAAATTAAGACTATACCGTCTGGTACCGGCGTTGCAGGGCATATATACTTCTGTAGTCTTGTGCGCCGGTTAAGAAAGCGGCGCGGTGTACGAGACTGTAACTTCTGCCGTGCAACCTCTATCGCGGAGCTCACCGACCGCTCGAAGCTAAACTTAAGATGGGATCGCAGGAACAGCTTGGCAGGGCTTGCAGGAAGAGTTGCACGATTATCGCGGAGGTGCTGGTGGGATTGTGGTGCAGCGTTGCTTATCGGTGGGGATTTTCGTCGGAGAAGTGACGTCGATCCGTACCTGCAGCATACTACCTCCAGTTTCAGCCCTAGCGCATGCAGTCTGCAAGGGCCATGCGATAGGCATCCAGCAGTTCAGGCTTGATTTTGTAATGCGATAGCACAACTTCTGACTGTGCATTAACGATGCGACCTGTGGTTCGCAGAGCTGATAACGTTGGTATGCAGCTCCAAAGCGTCCGGCGACCGTTGACTGCTTGGCATCGGCCGGTCGCGCTTGATAATGCTGACACTTCGGCTGGCGCCTGTCGAGGTAGTCTGAGGCCGGCTCACACTGTGTCCCATCGAACAGTCGGACGTTCGCATAAGCCGCCGCGCTGTGAAGCAATGACAAGACCCGCCAAGTGCACGCCAAGCAACATCATAGATCGCCGTAGATCGTGCGAAAAGATGCCGAAATCGAGCGCCGCCAAGGCGAGTAGAGGGTACAACAACCAGGAGTTGGCAGCGTAAGGCGCGCAAGGTACCGTCAAGGTGAGAACCTTCGCAACGAGGAGGCCGATACGAGCGATGTCGACGGCGTTGAGATGCTTTGCAAGCATTGGAAAGCGAGCGGGTCCTGATGCTATTGGTGGAGCAGGCAGCAACAAGCGTGGACTATGCGGACGCTCGAGCTCCCCCGGTTTTGGCAGCTCGACTTTCGACGGTCTTACTGCGACGGCGCCATTAATGGGACTTAAAGGGCGGCTGTGCCCTTCGCTGCGACTTGAGTCTCGCTTAGCCGGACTACGAGGCCGCAGGTCTTCATCACTGGAGTCGCGCCGACCTAAAGACGACAAGCCTGGTCTGATATGGTACGTTGAGTGCTTGCGACTCTGTGGCGTTGGTCTTGCAGGCGAATCAACCGATGAAACACGCGGGCTAAAGTCTTCACCGACCGCTTCGTTTACATTGCCTCCACGAATGCTCTCCAGGATGTCGCCAGTGCTGGGACGCTCATCGGGGTCCACACTGAGCAGACGCTTCAGAAATCGGTACAGCTTCTCTGGCAGATCTGAGCGCGCTCTCGCTTTGTCATCGAAGCCCGGCCAGCTCGTGATCTCTACACGAAGCTGATCGAGGTCTTCTGCCTCTTCATTGATGTCGTCCGCGTTGCTGTAGGGCAGGCGAGCGAAGCACATGAAATAAACGCACATACCTAGGCTGAAGATGTCAGATTTCGTGGTGAAATTGCCGAAGATGCCATCAGGTGAGTCTCGGCGGAGAACCTCAGGTGCGCAGTAGGAGATGGTGCCCGTGGCGCCTGTAGACCTGCGTTCGTCTCCTGCTGCTTGTACTTCGCCGAAGTCCGAGATGAGCACTCTGGTCTTCGTGCCATCGCGTTGCAAGAGGCAATTGGATGGCTTCAGGTCACGATGTATGTAACCTTTGCTATGTAAGTGGTGTAGACCGGCAGTGATATCGCGGAAGAAGGAGAAGATCTCTTCGAAGGTGAGCTTGCTAGGGACACGGACCTCTCCGGTCGTGTCACTGTCACCTCGTGATCTGCGCCTTAGGCGTGCCTTCAGTGTTTCGGCTGTAGTTGGAGCGTCCTTCGGACCGTGTACGTAACTCTGTAGATCGCCGCCATCACAGTACTCTTGAAGGATCCATAGGCATGGGATGCTCGGCCCAAATCTGTTCGGCTGATGGTCTTCAAGCCAGACGAAGTGATACTGCACAAGATTGCGATGCTGTATGCGCTGCAAGAGCTTCACCTCGACTAGTACTTTCTCTAGCCAAGCTCTGTCGTTGCCCACGGGCACACGTTTGCAAGCATATTGGCCAAGGGATACACCATCCATGAAGTGCTCCACCAGCAGAACCACGCCATGACCACCACGGCCAAGCACACCTTGCTCCACGAAGTTGCGCTTGAAGAAGTCCGGGCTGAAGGCTGAGCTACTGATACCCTGTCCACTGGTGGCAGAAGGTGCGCTGCCCAGGAACTCAGAGCCAGCAGGAGGATCGGCGCTACCACTGACGTCCCTCGAGCGTCCAGACCGAAGAGCAGCAGGGAAGAATCTCCGGCTTGGTGTGTTGCTACCAGAGGCCTCTGGGGTGCCTCGATGGCTGGCTGCCAGCATGGCAAAGTACTCCGGGTCCACATACTGTCGCTCGTGGCCAAAAGCGGGGCTAGGGTAGTCTTCGTCGTCGTGTATCGCCTCATCGCGGTAGGGTCGACGGCAAGTTGGGCACTCAGTAGGCTCAACAGCTTGCTTCGACGCGTTACGGACTTGCAACTGGCGTGACTGCGCGTCGTATACAACTACAGCGTTACCGCGTCGTCTGTACCTATGTGAGCGGAGTCGGTATCCAAGTGATTGATACAGAAGCCGTACAGCACAATCTCTCGTTGGTCGTTAGCGTAGGGTATCAGCGACATTGTCTGCCGCGGTGGCGTCTGGTCGGCCATGTGTGCTGATATTCAAACCGCATACTCCGAGCCTAACGTAGCGACCCTAAGCTTCAGGAGAAGCTGCCCGAATTTGCTATGGCAAGGCTCGGCCTTGTGAAATATGTTCGAGACCTGTATCTCAACCAAATCTGTCATTCACGTAGGTGCGACTTGTTGCCTGAAGTGGATGTAGATTGGGTGCAGGATAGAAGCTCGCAACCGTTTCAAGCATCCGAACCGGAAAGCGCCACGTCAGTGGAGCGTGATGTTTGTCAAAGCACCACTGTCGGCAGAAAGATGCTTTGTATCCGAGTGACATGCACGTATACGTTGGGTTGATTTTGGTGTATGTGTTGCATATGATCACATTTGTAGTGTACACAAGCCGCATCATGCCGCTCAACAGAGCGTGCCTTCCTTCTTCATCAGGGCAGGAGTGAAGATCGCCGTTTCCTCAGCGGTAAACCACCAGCGCTATGCAATTCAGATGCCGTCAGCCCGCCAACGCCACGCATGTCTGTCATCTATTGTCTATGACACACTCGCCGCAAACAGCAACTCGCTCGCTCTGTGACCAATGCCAGCTATCATGCAGCCACCAACCTCCCTTCGCTGCCTGCGCTGCTGGATTGTGGTGGCGGAGGGGGTAACTCGAGCTTCGTGTTCTCTGCCATCATCCTCTGGAAGCCGATGCCCACGCCCTCAATGACCGCAAGCAGGATGGCGCAACCTATTGCGCCGTTCCGGATTGCTTTTGGTCCGCCACGAACTGCTAACGAGCCCCCAGTAAAGAATCCAGCGATGATGGCATTCCATGGATCCTCTTTCTTCCTTATCCCTTTCACTGCGCAGTCAAACGTGCTGAACATGCCACCCCAAACGCCAAAGTTGCCGCCAAGTACGGGTGCGCGCGCTTTGATCGCCGTTATTGCTGGAACGTAGTGTGTTAGCAATGTCGCATACAAGTGATGCATACGATGTCGTTACCTCCTATTCGTCGTTCACCATAAGGGCTGTTTCTGAAGCCTTTCACGCCATGCCATACTGCTCCTCCTATCGCCTGCATCCACAGTCAGTCCTTGTCCGCGCCTAAGCTCAGTAGGTGGTGAGCCATACTCCCATACAGAAGGCGCCTCCAAAATCTGACAATGCTACCCATGGACATGGGTCTCTCGAGTGGTCCAGGCCGCGAGTCGATTGTGCTGAGTGTGACATGGTGAACAGCGACGGCTAGACGCCACAGCGTCAGTCAAGGAGACTGCAACTGACAGATCTTCGGAGAAAGGTGATGGTAGTAACGAGGAAAGACACTTTATTGAGCCGTGAGGGCGCTCACACATTAACAAGTCGCATGGGCATCTGTCACAGCTCTCGAACAGTATTTGCTGCATGATGCGCTCAACCTCACCCTGTCTTCTCCGACTACAACGCGGAACCTCCCGCACTTTCACCCAACCGCGTTGAGCACCTGTTCATCAATTCGTGCACTTACTGAGGCAGCGGCTCACCATCTGTACCAGCCAATATGGCTCGCCTCGCCCAACCCAAGATGTCGCCGGTCTCCAAACGAGACGGTCGGTTGGGTGGCGTGGACCGAGATGGTGAGCTGCTAGACGGCAAGATGCGCCGCATGAGCCTGCATCAACCGCCGCCCGTTACTGACACAACGTCGACAGGAGAATGTCCCATATGCAAGTCCACTCGCTACATGAACCCGAGTCTGCGCTTCCTCGTCAACCCGGAATGCTACCACAAAATGTGCGAATCGTGCGTCGATCGCATCTTCTCCCACGGCCCGGCGCAATGTCCTATACCCGGCTGCAAACGTACTTTGAGGAAGCATCGTTTCCGGGAGCAGACATTCGACGACATCAAAGTTGAGCGGGAGGTGGACATTCGGAGACGGGTCGCCAAGGTCTTCAACAGGCGTGAAGAGGAGTTCGAAAGCCTGCGCGATTACAACGACTATCTCAACGATGTGGAGGACATTACCTTTAACCTCATCAACAACATCGATGTCGATGAGACCACCAGACGCTTCGAAGCCTACCAGAAAGCGCACGAAAAGGAGATCGAAGAGAATGCACAGCTAGCGGAGGAGGAGAAGCAGTCCTTCTCCGCTATGCAAAAGATGGAGCGGCAGCAAGCCCGCGAGCGGCGGGAGGCCGCAAAACGTGAAGAAGAAACGGATCGCAGGGAGCTGGAGGAGAATCGGAAGGACATGTTAAAACGGCTCGCTTCGGGCGCAGATGCGGAAACCGTCGCTAAAGAAGGGCAGCAGGTTCAGCTGAAGAAGCGTATGGATAGGCAGGCGGCAGCCGAGAGGCAGCGACAGCTCCAGGTGGCATCAGAGGCTCGGACCGGCACCGCCGGGATCACAATCAAGGGGCTGAAGGCGAAGCAGAAGGCGGAGCCGGAACCGCCGGTGGATCCTTTCGGTGGCTTCCGTTTCGTTGACAAGTATTTCGCGCTGCAGAATGACCACGTCTGGGAGGGCATACAGGATACGAAGAAGGATATCAGGCATACTGCGGGCGGGTATGATATTGCCGACTACACTCATCGATCGCTGGTGGCCGCGTTTTCCGGGCTCGGCGTGTTTATCGCAGACGAATTTACCGAGCGGACTAAGGCAGCGCAGGACGACGAGGCTGTAGGGACTGCGAGAGCAGACATCGGCCTGAAGGACGCGCAGATGGTGGATGCTGCCTGACCGCCAACCTTCACTCACGGCGTCTGCATGTGGCCGAGGAATTAGCCCTCGATATATCCTTGGATAGCGTTCATAGCGAGGCGTTATGGTGGCCGGATGGGTTGCTCAATGGCCTTTAGTAGCGGAACCTCCAGCAAGACGTTACGAGCACATTTCCGATCACTTGCATCGTTAATAGCCTCGAGTGGGCTGAATCAGAGATGCTTGGATGTGCCTTTGTGAGCAGTTCGTGGCCTCATTGAGCAGACTGGTGTAAACCCTAGTTATTGATTGCCGCCGCCTGGCTTCCTAAAGTCCATGAAGACGATTTCCGTTGGGCTGGGGATACAGAGGCTTTGACGTATGCAGCATCTCGAGACAGCATGACGCAGGAGAGCATGCTCGGACAGCCATAGCACCCTATATCCCTTCTATGCACATGGGAACAACTGGCAGCTTCAACTCAGTTGCCACACTTTCGAAACTCGACGAATGAACGGTCGCCCCTACAATAGCACCAGAAATGGCAACTATGCTCGAGATTAACTCGCCCATTAATACAGCCTACACTACCATTCAGGTATTGGTGCAACGGCATCCACTCGCTCTCTTCCCGTCATCTCGCCAGATCGGCATCTGCTTACTGTGGCTTGATACGGGCAGCTTTGAACCTGCTTACCTTCTTCACCTTACCGTCCCGCACCTCCATCAGCTCACCGAGCTCCTCATCTTCGTCAAGGTCGGCTTCAAAACCACCCTGCTGTCGAACGATGTCATTACGCCGGCGATAGTACTCCTCCGCGAGCTGACGACGCTCAGCCACCGGATCAAGACTATGCATTGAGGACGCGAGATTAGGCTTGGCTGGCGTTGGTCGCTCTACAAGCGTGTCTGCCAGCGTCTGACCTGCCTGGTAAGAGGCAGTGCTATCAGCATCTGCATCATCCGCAGGCACGGCCCGTGTCTTCTTGGAACGGGTAGCTTTTGCCGGCGTGCCTTGCGCGGGCAGTGAATGCGATTCCGCTGTCGACCGCTCCGCAATGGTGTCTGATACAGGCGGGGCGTTCTGGCCCTCCGTATGCTTTTGCGCCTTGAGCAGTGGGCTGCCGGGCACTGCAACGTCCAGATCCTCCGCGAAGCTTACGCGCTTCTTGCCGCCAAGCTTCTTCTCGCTACTGTCAGAGCTTGCCGATGATGTGGAGGTTCGCTTGTTGCGGATAACGAGCCGGCGTACGTCGCTGGGGTCAATAGCCGCATCGACATCTGCAAGCTCTGCATCGTCGGGTACTGGTCCTAGGTTGCCAATCAGGCGATCCTGCATCTCAAGCATTTGCTTTCGGTAGTCATCCCCAATGACCTTGCCCTTTGTGCGGCCGTACTCATCTTCGTCTTCATCGTCAGAGAAGCCACTTGTAGATGGGGTGTCTTCGTCACCAAAAACAGAGGAGGCAGTCCAATGTGAACTTGCGTCATCGAACTCGTCGTGCGCTTCGTCATCGTTATCGTAGCCATCGCCGTCATCGAGGTCCATTTGCGCGACAACGTGGCCAACCTCATGCAAGTGATAGTCAAGCATCTCCCGCCGCGTCGTCGCATGTTCCACGGACTCACTTCCTGGCAGGACAACATCCTCCGTGATTACCTCGTCATCGTCGCCAATCGTCTTGACCCTATCGCCAGGCTTGAAGGAGGCTCGAAGGTCCCTCTGCATCTCTGTGTTCGCGGCACCTGGTTGCGTAGCTTGCGCCTGCGGTGATGCTGGACCCAGCGGCTGTGCAGGTATCTCCTCGACCTTGGGTGAAAATTGCACGGTTCTTGTATCAGGAAGAGGAGCAGCGGGCGCGATTGCAACCTTCTCCGCAAACGACACCGACTTTTTTCCGTCTTCGTGCTCGAAGCGTATGATGTCCGGTACAGCCTTTGTGTCTGCGGTGAAGGAGACTGACTTCTTCCGGATGGAGGGCCGCTCAGGACTCGATTCGTCATGTGTGGAATCTCCTGTCGGTAACGTAGACGTTGGCCATGGGCGCTGATCATTGTTCGTTGATGCTAGACTATGCGAGGCGGTAATAGGCGGGCTGCTGTAGGTGATTGCAGGCTTCAGCGGCACTTTCGCAACTTCCTCGCCGCCTTCTACACCACCTTCAAGGTCGCTCGTCGTCAGACCCGCGTTCCGTAGACTATCTACAAGCTTACTTTGCTCCGCTTCTGGCTGTCTGACACGACTTGAAACAACATTATCGTCATCATCAAGAAGCTCTTCGATCTCAGTCAGTGGCAGACCCGTTGCGGAGTCCCGAGTTGCCGCAAAATCGAACTCTTCGAGCTTCGCTTCCCCTTCGAAGAACCGGCGTTGGATCGTTTCGACGTTGCGCCGAACGTACTCCTGCCGGCGCTCGATGTCTCGTATGATCTGGAGCGCAGTACGAGGGGATCCCTTATCCAGGCCGGCTAATTCGCGGACGAGACTCTCATTGACGAGCTCGCCCTGGTAAGTCTTGGTAAGGTCCAAAAGCGCGTCAGGTCCGACGTTGGGCAAAGCGTCTTGAAGTTCTTCCTTAAGGCCTTCGTACTCAGCTTCGAAGGTTTGCCAGTAGGTCAGGCTTTGCCGCAACTTCTTCAAGTTCTCCTCTAAGGCTTGGCGTTGCTGGTCCACTCGGGAAAGATCTGAGGCATCCATGTCAATCAGTGAGACCACACAATCTGATCTACAGCCAGGTTGGTTAGCGGCAGGTTGCGATACGTAGTAGAGAGTGCCGCAATATAGCAGTGTGCAAGCATTCTCAGCACAGTGGCTGTGTACTCGGGCACTGAAGCGGAGGTTGCGTGTGATGCAGGGCACAACAGAAAGAGCGGAAGCGTTGGAAGTGCCACGCTTAAAGAGGCGTTTGGCGCAACGCCTCGGCCCGCCTTCCGCCAACTGTACGAAACGGTTGGGTCGCAACGGCGGCTCTAAGACTAACATGCACTTGCGGTAGACGAGTGAATATAGAAGTTTGGGTAAGCGATACGTAAAGAGCCTTACACGCCGAATCAAAGCTGTCAAGCACAGACACGGCGATATGATCTAGGCGTCTTACGCAAAACTCGTCGGTGACTGCTTCGTGTCCATCACGCCATTCGAGCCCAGAGACTAGCCGTGCAGTAAAGCCAGCCAAATAAGGTAGCCTCTGAGTACTTTTCCTCCTCACTGCAGCAGAGGATCTCTGAAATGCTTCTGGAAGTTCGCACGCTTCTCCTTGCCCCACTGATACCGGTTTTGCGCCCTCTCCATGCGCTTCTGCTCCCGCTTCTCTACAGCACGCACTTCGCGCTTCTTCGTCTCGCTGACACCGATCATGCCCAGTCCCCCGTTCGCACGACTGACGAGCTGTCTACCACGACCAGCGCCATCCGTCTCCGTAGCCTGGCTGCTCGCCTTCTCTTCATCGTCGGCGTCCGAGCTATGGCGGCCATCCTCGAGCAGCCGCCGCTCTATGCGCTCTTCGGCAGTTGGGTGGTTGCGCAGGTTCTGGCGATAGTAGGTCCGGAGGCTGCGATGACCCGCAGTCCTGCCTGATGGTAGGTGGAGCTCGTAATCGTCGTGATAGACGGCCAGAGGCGTATGGTGTGCATGAGAGTGATAGCCGTCAGTGTTCCGGTGCGGCCGAGGGTCGTTATGTGAATGGTGTCGGTGTAAGTCTAGCTTCGCGTATTTGTGGTCTTGATTTTCAATGGGAACCGAAGTAATTTCGTCCGTCGGTACGGAAGACAAGGTGCTGTCACTCTCCCAACCGTCTTCACCGTCGTCGTCCACCATCTCGTCTCCGTCCGAGCCCTCCACCGTAGTCTTCACGGCGCGCTTCACACCGAGACTGACTCCGCCGTTGGCTGCAGCCTCTGCATCCTCTTCATCAGGCTCCTCATCCGAGTACGTCGAGCGGAAGTCGTAAAAGTCGCCAATATCCATCTGCTCCTCTTCTGTACTGTAGGCAACCATACAGTGACCTCGGTCACGCATATGTGTCTGCACACCAGATGCAGTGTGCATGCCTTTGTGGCAGAACAAGCAGGTATGTAGGACATTAATACTCTCCGATAGATAGTTCAGTAAGCCATTAAGATCCACCAAGTAGTCTTTTTCCGGAACAAAGAAGCCATGCTGCCTTGACATGTGCGCCAGGTTTGAATCCGTGGCTGGAGAAAGAAAGTTACAGAACAAACATTGCGCCAAATCTGCCTTGTGCTCATACTCCTCATCTTCTTGCATTTCTGAATCATTGGTAGGTCCATTGAGCGCGGTCGTAGGCGATGGTCTCGAGGGCCGTGGTAGAACGTCATCCGGAGTATCCTTTAGACCCGTATTTTTGATGGCTTCTGCGACTTCCTCAAACTCCTCATCGGCTGCCTCCGCCTCAGCGTCAGCCGCGTTTAGAGTGACCGTACTCGCCGTTGTGCTTGCAGTCTCCATTGGTTCGCCAAGCGAGAAGGTTGAGTCTGCCATGCTCTCCGTCTCATTGTCACCCCTCGCTTCGAGCCTCGCAGTGAGTAGCCGATGCTTTTGGCTTCCCAGATGGTTGATATATGCGCCTTCGCTATAGTACGTCTTCTCGCAGGCATCGCAGCGTTTTTCGAAACTTGCTCTGGCTGCCGTCGCCGCCGCTGTGGCTTTGTTTGCCAGCACTTTCTCCGCGAAGATCTCGGATGTCAGAGGGGGCAGAGAGGCCACACGCCGCTTGAGGTTGTAGCGATGCCAGTCCGACTGCATGTGCGTGCGCTGAAGATCGCTGCTGCGGAAGGCGACCTGGCAGGTGTTGCAGGTAAACGGATGCGACGAAGGTGACATGGTGGAGGGTGCCGGTTGTGTTTGGGCGAGAGCAGCCATGACTAGGTATGCTCGCTAGATCGGATGCGGTGTCTGGAGATCATGGACACGGCAAGGTGGCGGCGAGTGCGGGTGTTTACGAAGAAGATGAAAGTTCGTGGGCTTACGTGCGTCTCGAACCGAAAATGCTTGGGTAAGCCGACAGTGACGCAAAGCCGAAACGCAGCGTCGGCGCCACACCGGATTGGGAAGGAACAGCCAAAACGATCGAATACCAGAGGTATCGACACCTTGCAAGTCCCTCCGGATCTTGACATTGCAGCAAGCATAAGGATACTGCCGGGAATGGAGTTTTGTCGTTCGAGAACGCGGTGGCATTGTCACGCCTTTCGTGAAACTCCGCTCTACGACTCCGAATCAGGCTGACCATGACATATCAATGATCCAGGCCAACTTCGGCCCTGCCCTCGTACGGCTCGAATAACTCCTTTAGCGGCGCCCCGTTTATCAAGTCTTCCGCTCGGTATTCAACATACGTCGCTACCCTTTGAGCAGTATTTGAGTGGTGGACAATGAAGCCTTGCTTCATTGACTCGCCCCATTTACCTGGCGTCAACCTGAGGAACTCGCTGACCGCCTCTAGCACATACGTGCCCGATCGTAAATGGATCGCACTGTCAGGTGAGGCGCAAAACGGTCCACCATCATAGAATGGACACTTCACGATTACATATTGTTTATCGGTGCTCTCGGGGCGCTACCTGCCGGTTTCAGAGTTTGCTCGAAGACGCCGCAGGACTTCGGCATGGATGTGCTCGCCTTCAGCCTCAGAGGCGTATCGCAAGATCTCGGCTTGTCGAATAAGAGTGGAGAAGAGTTAGCTTTGCAGCTTATGCTGTGCCACCGTGCACTACGCGTTGATATGCGCAGCGAATGCGTGATCACCGTCAATGCAAAAGTATACCTGGCCTCAGCCTCAAGATCAGCATTACTACTCCGTAGAGCTTTACAGAGTACGTAGAACTTGCGCCGGCAAAGGTGACAGTCCCCTATCTCTCTACCCTCGACAAGGACTCAGTCTCCGGTCGTTTATCGTCCTCCGTATCGTAGCGGAGGGTGAGATGGCCACCGCTACCTTTCGAATGTTTCTGAATATGAGGCGTGTTCTCACTAACATGACCGGGACGTCTACGATCTGACGCAATCGTTCAGCCACGGGCATACCCTCATAACCTCATTACAAACGCAAGGCCTGGGCTTGCTAAATATTGCATAGTTCTTTGTCGGCAGGTACATCAAGATTGGCGAGCGAGCTGCAGTTGAGACAATGCATGTTTCGTTCAATCGCAGATCACTAGCTTGTGCGAAAGTTCTCTTTGAGCATCTCTGCATATACTAGACAATCACTGATACTCATATCTTGGGCTTGAGACCCATGTTGATGTGAATTGTCTTCGGCTGAAGATATTCCTTGAGAGCCTGCAAAGGTTGACGTCAGTGATCTCTTCAAGACCCGAAAGAAATTGAACTTCAAGACTCGTACCTCTTTGCCGCTCTCTCGACCGACGCCGCTTTGTTTGAAGCCTCCAAACTATGCAACGTAGCCTCCTGGTTAGCAAGTCATTCAGTGGCGGAATTCTAAATACGTACCGGTGTCTGAGGTGATGTATTGAATGCCGAGTTGATCCCCACGGTTCCTGCCTCGATCTTGCCAGCTACACGCAGAGCACGAGCAATGTCTGATGTGTATATCGTTGCTACCGCGGATGTTAGCATTGTCGCCGAAGGTTCGGCCCCGGTAGCGCGAAGGACCTACAGCCGAGTCCGTACGTGGTGTCGTTTGCCAAGGCTAGCGCTTCTTCCTAGAGCACAATTTTTGGTCAGCACCTTTCACAATCTAGAGATGGTGGTCAAGGTAGCGTCAGCTGCTTGCCATACCTCAGTCTTGAAAGTCTTCACAGAGATCACTGGTCCGAAGATCTCATCGGTGTATACCTTCGACTTGACATCCGGATTGAGAATGATGGTAGGCTGCACGAACGTGCCTTTCTCGCCTTTACGTGCGCCACCAGTGAGGTACTGGACGCCCTCGTTCTTCCCGTCGGACAGGAAGCCCATAACGCGATCGAATTGCTTCTTATCAGCTAGCGGGCCGAACAATGTGTCCTTGACTGAAGGATCGCCCATCTTGTCTGATGCTTTCTCAAATGCTGTCTTGATGGCCTCGATGAACTTTGGCGCAATGCCCTCTTGAACCAGGACACGCGAAGCTGCGAAACAGATCTGGCCGGAGTTGCGAAGAAACGATACAGAGCTGTGCTCGACGGCATTATCAAGATCGGCATCATCGAAGATCATGGCTAACAAGGTCAGCAGTTCTCCACACGATCTGGTGCGACCGTACAGCGTCCCACTTACCTGGACTCTTGCCGCCGAGTTCAAGGGAGACATGCTTAAGGTTAGACTTGGCGGCCGAAGACATCACCTGCCTGCCAACTGCGGCTGAGCCAGTGAAAGCAATCTTCGAGATCTGCATGTGACCTGCGAGCAGAGCGCCGACTTTTCCCGCGCCCGCGACAATGTTGATGACGCCGGGCGGAAAGCCGGCCTCTTTGATGAGTTCACCATATGCCGCTAATCCTAATGGCGACTTCTCCGAAGACTTGAGAATGAACGTATTGCCCGTGGCCATCGCCGGAGCCATCTTCCAACCCGCAAGGACGTGGGTACCGTTCCAAGCACAGATTCCGGCGCACACTCCCAGCGGTTCATACTGGACGATCTTGTAGGTCCCGTCTTCGTCTGGCGGGTAGCTCTCGCCGGCGACCTTTCCTGCAAGGCCGGCATAGTACCTCCAATTTGCTACCGTCGATTTGACAAACAATGGCGCCAATGACATGGGCTGGCCCATCGCCAGAGACTCAAGCTGACCAAGTCTCTCAGCATTCTTCTCGAGCAGATCGGCAAATCTCAACCTATGATGGGAAGGACGGACATGTTAGCGACGGTCCCTGACGGCAGGCAGGGCTTCTGCCCTTTCATCAGGAACACACATGATAGCTGCACGCTTTTGTCCAGCAGTATTTCGCCACTTTGGGAAGGCTGCTTTAGCCGCAGCGACTGCATTGTCAATGTCCTTCTCGGACGCGGCTTGCACTTTGTCGGTGACGAGGGAGTCGTCATTGGGGTTGTAGATACTCAATGTCTCGCCTGAAGACGAGGGCACGTACTAGAAGGCGGTCAGTGAATGCTGCTATGGAACAGTGTTCAATATGGTGTCAAGGGTTCGCACTTCGCCGTTGATGAAAAGATCAGTCTGGATCGACATGTTGCTTGATACATCGAAGAAGACGCAGCGGTTTTGAGAGAAACATAACTGCATACATACTGCATTGGTTAACAACTACTTGACCAGACGTAGCCGCGGGGTGAGCGTGTCGGACGCGTAACGACCGAGGTCTGTAGCGAGCAGCGTCTTCATTCGTGCGGACCCCACCTATGTCGAGCTTCCGTTGGATGGGTTATGGGCGACAGAGTGCTGGCTGCATCTTGATGGAAGTCGGTATCGCTGTTGAAGCGGTACCATTGTTCATTGGCCACTGCATAACTGGCAATTCGTGTGGCACAGCTCAGTGGATTGATTGTGAAGCCAATGGCAGCCGATGGAGTTGCAACTCCCATAGCTTGTGACACTTCTAAGATACAGTGTGCGAAGACTCACGCCTGAAGATGTGCTCAAGTCCTCGTGCACTTTGAAGAGAGGCAAAGGCGTGGAAACAGTCTGGCCGTTGATACACGGCTGGTCGCTCAACTGCTGCCTGAGGCGGTGCGTAGCATGTCAACAGTAGTCATCGTACCTTGCACGGTTAATAGAGATTAGTATCAGGCTGCAATGACCGCACTTCTTTCGGATTACCGACTCTGAAGAGGACACACTGCGTTCGAGACAACGGCATTTTATCAGCCTGAGGTTGAGCCCGGCGGAAACGAGTCGTTTGCCGTTTTCGACGAGCAGAGCGAACGAGCCGTGGGCATTCGAAGGTAGCCTGAATCCTACCTTCATAGGCTGCTTTCGCATGCTATACACGCAACCTCCTTGTTCTGAGATACTCGTAGTCATCCATTGCCGCTCGCACCCACCTTTCCACTTGCGGGCTCAGCTGCTCACCGAACTCGGTCCGCCAGGGAATGGCGATATCCTTCAAGGTCTACAGTCGCAGAAGTCTTGCCTTGAACGATGCCAGTGGAAGTGTAGAGTGTCACCGACATCTTCTGCGCCACAAGCGGTAGAGCATCAAACTGCTCCTCGTTAACGGACTCCAGTTTAACACATCCATCCCACTCAGCGCACACCAGCGAAGCATAGTCGCTGGGCTAGCGATAACATAATATGCATCAATCACAGTAGGCCAGCTACCCTTCCCTGCATCTGGTACCTTTGGGCCATAATGTTTGAACTGGTTAATATAGAAATCGTACAGAGACCGGGCGTGCTGGTACTGCATTGCTGGAGCCATCTTACCACGCGATCCTTTGATGGTACGCAGAGCACTAGGGGATGTCTATGCGGGATGCCTGATCAGAGGAGTAGGCAGCCATGTCCGCATATAACCATCTGGCATTGGTGACGTGTTTTGCAGCGAATGCGTCAAATGAGTGCCGTGGTGCCCGGGCAGATTGACAGACCATGGCACTCGTTAGACATCTTTTGCAGTGTCTCCCTTGACGCTGCGAAGGCTGTCCAGGGCGGTAGGCTCGAACATCATGACAGGATGCTCCTTTGCGAAGAAGATCTTGTTCTGCTCCTCCGCCGCCCGGACGTCCTTGTCATCGAAACACCTCTGCAGCACATCCTTTACCTTCTTGCATTTATCCGCCGTCCAGTCGGCAGAGCGCGGCTTTTCGTGAAGCCGCAGCTTGTCGTGTAACAGTGCGTATAAGGGGTTAAAGTAGTAGCCACCGAATTGACTTAAAGTCATATTTGGTTGATCCGAAAGGTTTAAGAATGCGTTTGAAAAGGTTGGATGCTGTCCGTGGGCATGTGAGTAGGAATAACCTTCTGTGGCCCGGAGAGGTCGTGCTTGAAATTGCCGACATATCTGACATGCCTCATTATCTAGTAACACTCGGAACGTCTAGCACGCCTGTCCGGTGGCCGTGATCCGTGGTGCCATCATGCCGAGTTCGTGTACGAGATAACGAGGGAAGTAGCCCTACCACGAATCACGCCAAAGGATCGGTGTGTCGCATTCTTCTGAACTACCAAGTCATGGCTCTCAAATACTACATCTGCGCCGATCAAAGGCTGGTTGTAAGTGTCCCACGCGGTCCGGCGAGGCGCGCAATGTTTAGGTGGATCTTCATAGAAATTAGGTGTCCGCCGGCGGTGAGATGAATAACCCCAACCGAGTGCCGCCCACTCCATGTATCCCTCTGCATTCGACCCTTCACCTGGACGTACTACAGAGTTGCCATACCGTTCTGCCGTATACATATGCACAGAAGAGACGCCACCATTCCGACTTTTTGACGCTGGTAAAATGTTTTGGCGGTTATGGGGCTGCGGTACCAAGTACATTTAGGTAAGTTACAATGAAAGTCTCGATCGGCAGAACACCATCCTGTCGCCATCGACCATCGCCTTTTTCGCGGCCTCTAGTATTGTTACATGCGGTGCACGCGCCAATGGTATATCGCAGCACCTCGCGAAGAAGCTCCTCCAGCAATGCTGCGCCGACGCCCAGCCCATTCGTCCCACGCGCCATGCCCGCCCAGGATATGCAGCAAGATCTGTGCATGTGAACCGCAAGCATGCAAAGATTTAAGCGGCGATCGAGCGGGAAGCTCGCTCACCAGATGTTCAGGCCGATGTATTGGTGCTGACGCCGATGCCGACAATCTTTTCATCCGTCCTGATGGCCGGCTTGTCGAAGGTTATGGCATTCCTACCATTGGCTTCGTTGTTCGGCGTCGGCGTAGCCTTGTTGTTGGACCAATTGCTCCAATCCCAGAACTTGCTCTGATTGGTCGTCGGGCCACGCGGTGGTGCTCTCTCCCCGGTCCACTGCGCTGTAGGGTCTTCCTTCTAAGAATCACCTGCGCCAGCAGCTGGGGCGGGCGCCGTAGTGGAGCTGGCAGGTGCCGGGGACGCACCATCCGGCTTGCCTGCGCCTCCTCTATCTGCGCCACCACGGCCACCGCGCCCACCACGCCCTCGGTCGCCTCTGCCGAATCCTCCTCTGCCGCGGCCACGACCGCCCCGGCCCGACTCGCTGTCGCTGCCGGTCGTAGCACCGCCAGCAGAATGATAGCCAGCCCTGCCTTCTCCAGCCGCACCTCCGCGCGGCGGAGCGCCACCTCTGCCACCAAAACCCCAGCCAGCACGGTTGCCGCCGAAGTCGCCTCGAGTATGGCGATACTCGGCAAACTTCACCGCTTTGTGCTTCTCCTTACCCTCCTTCGCCGGGCCACGCTTTAGAACGTCTTTCATCGTCTCTGCGTCTGCGAAATGGGCGATGAACCTGGATTGACCCGCCTTGTCGACACCCACAATCTTCGAGGCATCTTCGGGAGTGAATAGCTGGGACTTGACATCATCGACACCTTGTAGGTCGAAAGCGCCAGTGATGAAGATGCCCTTCGACGGCTCCTGCGGCTGTTGTAGAGTCGGCGAAGGCTGCGGAACGTTGTTCAGTTTGCTCTGAGGTGTCTCCGATGGCTTGTCGGCCTCAGGAGCAGCGCCATTGGTTTGCGGCAGGTTAGTGATGGGTGCGGTTGTGCCATTGGCGGTAAGCGGTGCGCTGGTCTGCGACGGTGGAGGTATCGCTGTTTGTACTGGCTGTATTAGAACAGGCTGCTGCTGCTGAATCGGCTGCGGCTGAGTTGCTTGCTGGAACTGCCTCTGAGCCAGGGGCTGCTGAGCACTTTGCTGCGGCGGTTGCTGGTTGACGCCGGTCTGCTGCGTAGCAGGCCTCTGAGGTGGTGGCCTGACTTGCTGCTGTACCATTGGCGGCGGCTGCTGGCCAGGAGTCGGGAGGCTTCCGCTGGTTGGGGCCATGCTGGAGTTTGACGGCGCAGATGGTACGGCGTTTGGCCTCTGCGGCGCCTTTCCGCTACGATGTGAGAAATTAAAGCCTTGAGCACGCATCTCCGTCCCGATCCGACCTTGGTCGATGTCAAGCACAAGCCAGCCAAACGCAGCATCTGCTAGATTGAAGTTCCACATGTTCTTGAACGCTGACTCATCAACCTGACCGTTCGGCGGACCGCCACCGAACGGGTTGCCACCAGATGCGGTGAGTGGCATCTTGGAAACTAGATCCAGAGCCAGTTGCAGTAGCTTGTTTTGCGCCTCATTCTCTTGGACCGCCGGTTCAACTTCGTGCTTGACTGTCTCCCACACGTCATTGAACTGCGCTTTTGACGCGGAGAGCTTGCCACGGTAGTGATCGAGAGACGGGTTGACCGAAAACTCGTTGTATGAGCTTCCGTAGCGGAAATGCAATCCCGCCGATACCGAGAAGTCTGCCTTGAGCGTAACGGACAGCTGGTTCAGCAAGCCTTCTCGCGCAGGTGAAGCGTGTGTGACAAGCAGGCGGGTCTCTGTTGGGTCGTAGACGCGGTTTGCGGTGTCAATAAGTTCACCGATCTGGAGCAGTGTCGTCCACATGGTCCCTTGTCCGCCAGCAATCGTTGTCCGGCCTTCACCGTTGTCGAACATCTTGTGCATGACTACGGCACCGCCAAGACCCAGAAGACGCAGTTTTACACCGCCAACATCGAGCAGACGCGAGTGCGATTCGTCAATGATGTTGAGATTGTCAATCCTGTATTCGCCGGAGCGTAACTTCTCTAGCACCGACACATCTTCGCACGCTCCCCACACCGTATACACGGGTACGTCAAGCTTGTACGTCTTGTTCAAGAACTGTGGGAGCTCTGAGAGTGGTAGGCGTTCACGGTGGAAGCGATCCTTGATGGCTTGCTGTGCGCCTGAGCGTGCTATGTCCGCTTTCACTGGCTCGGAGAGTAGAGGCGAGTATTGAGCGACATGTTTGAGTGTCCTGACACATACTGTCAGCTCTGTACCGACTATATGCCACCCCGGCGTCACATGACTCACTTCTCAGCTATCCGGTCGAGCGAGGTCTCGTCGTAGAAGCCGAAGTCGCCAGTGTGGATGATGCAGTCTGCGTTGGCATTGCGCGCAAGATCGTTCAGCTGCCTAAGGTTGCCTGTAGTCTAATGTGAGCACGTGCAGAACGCCAGCTATACCGCAAGCGTCTCGCATACCTCTGACGTCGGCTATACAGAGCACTCGAGCATGGCCGAGCTGCTGCACGCGACCTTGGTTCGGCTCAAGCGGCCGAGCTCCCGGCACTGGACCGCTCACGTTCGGTGGAGCTCCGTTTGGCATATACGCTTGGGAGTAGGCTCGTGGTGCGGAAGGAGGCTGCTGCTGCATGGTATATGAGTTTTCGCCTGCAGTGTGTGCAAGTGCTCATCAGGATGTACTCACAGCCATGGGTGGAAGGGTAGCTTTCCGGGGTTGCGTGTCGGAGTTCGGGGGTTTCGAGCTTCACAGTAATGGGTGGCGGGGAGGTCGTGGGAGTATATCAGGTGCAGGGAGTATTAGAGCGGGTTAGAAAGCCTGGAAGACTGTATGGCTGTGAGCTGCTTGGTGTGGAAGGAGAAGGTGGACGTTTGCAAGTGAGCCATATGCGCCTTCCTGTTCTCGCTTTCTGAGAGGTCTTGCCAAGGAACCTACTGCGGTACCAGCCGTGTAAAGTCCGTGCGCCGTACGCCACGATATCCATTTCGCGTCCAACCACCACACGTTCACATTGCAGCCTCTACACAACAGTCTATTCCACACACGCCCATCAGCGGCGAGCACTTCAACATCGCCAGCCGCTGTCACTTCACCCTCCTTCATGCACCTCTAGAGGACCCTGTTGGGCTACTGTTGCCTTTTCCGGGTCCGCAGCCACGTGAGGTAGGTACTTGGTCTGTTTGCGTTGCATTGTGCATATCATCCGGCACAGGCAGACGGGCAGGTCTGCGGCAGACAGGCTTCAGTGGAGCTTGGAAGTATCCAGCAGACAGCGTTGTCGAACAATCTCCATCATCCGTCCGATTCACAGTAGCGTTACCGAACTTTCAGCGGCGATCGAACAGCACTGCAGCACGGGTTAATCACTTCTACATGCAAACCGCAGTGCACAAAGGGACCGTCTCACTTTAACACATGTTAGTCACGAGGACTCGAAGAGCTTCCGTTCAACACATCCATTCTTGACTCAACGTCGGGAAGATTTCATGCGAAAAGTCTATAACTTCACCATTAGTTACCATGGATTTGAACAGCTCTCCGTTCCTCCAATCCGAGGCCTTCAAGGCTTTTCTACGTAGTGGTAAGTATCAAAAATATAGTTTGTGCACTCGCTGGGCAGACTGACAAGGCTTCAGGCAAATACGCACAGACGGCTGCGCAGCAGGCCGAACATCTTAGAAGCTCCGCTGGTACGTACTACTGAACGGGCTCCTAACGTTCTGTCCTTACTCCGTCTCATCTGTAGGTATTAATGCTAGCAAGCCAAACGCAGAGAGTCGGTATGGCGGAACCGCAGGTGCGCCTGCTTCCTCTCCCGCTTTGGTGCATGTGGCAAGGTTTGATGACTTTTGCAGGGTTGCCGCAAGCGCACTCGACTGCGAAGCGATCGATGCCTGGCCACGCTCGAAGCAGCAGTTTCGCAGCTCACACACAGCCCATCCAGCGAAAGTATGCGCCGCCATTTGCGAAACAAGGGCCAGCTGAGGGCGCCAGTGACCAGCGTGCTGCATGCAACAGTGCTCATTGGCCTCAGCACAATCCAGCTCAGCGTGGTCAAGGTCAGCAACGTCAAGCGCAGCAAGCTCAAGGTCAGCCACGTCAAGGTCAGCATGGTCAAGGCCAGCAAGGTCAACAGTCGGTGCCAAACGAACAGTCGGTGCCAAACCAACCGTCGGCACCTGAACAACAGCCGGCGCCAAACCAACAGCCAGCGCCACAGCAACAGCCAACTGCAGAGGTTCAAGCCAAACCGAACAGCCCATCGGCACGATACATTCGGAGCAAGCTCTGCACTTACCAAGTTGTCAAGCCGATCATGGAACGCAAGCACGACCCTCGCAGTATGACCGATGGCGTCTACCTCATCAAGAATATCAAGAACGGTCACGTCCTGGTCGAAAAGCGACTCACGCTACGTAGCTTAGCTCGGCAACAGCGCATCGCGGCTGAGATTGCCGCTCTCCGTCAGATCGTAGGAGGTGGAGCCCCGTACAGCGTCAACTTCCTTGTCGATGAAGCCCACGACACACTTATAAACTGTACCAGCCTCATTCTCGAACACTGCGACCGCGGCAGCTTGTGCGATGTCATTGAGAAGAGTCTTGCGGAGCGTATGCAGCTTACGGAGAACTATGTCTGGCATGTACTTGCTGGCTTGAGCAAGGCCTTGCTCTTCATACATTACGGCTTCGATGTGGACCGTGCACACATCCCGGAGCCAACTGATTGGAACACGCTGTGCCATCTTGACATCAAGCCTGCCAACGTCTTCCTCTCGAGCGTGAACACGATCGGTCCGTTCCCGCGTGTCGTTCTCGGTGACTTTGGCTGCGTTGTCACTTACAAAGACATCTTGTCAGGCAAGGCGTACCGAGACCTGCAGAAGCAAGGTACTCCCGGCTGGTTCCCACCTGAGATCAAGGCATCGTCTTTCGGAGGTTGGGACGGCAAGTACGGCATGCCGACCGACATTTGGCAGGCAGGAGCCGTGATGCAGAGCATGTGCCGACTGGTGTCCAATCCAGATATGACTTCGGTTGAGAAGGGTCGGGCGTGCGGTCGCCTGTACAGCCCTGAGTTGAACGGTGTGGTGAATGCGTGCATGCTGAAGGATATCGCGAGGCGGCCGACCGCGAAAGATTTGGCCATGGAGCTGAAGGCTCAAACGGCGAAGCGTGGGTTGCCGTATGAGCTACCCAGCACGAAGTGAAACACGACAAAAAGAGGTAGAGTGTGTCAAAGTGTGTGTGGAATACAACGGAGGCAAGTGCTGAGGCACCAGAGAAATGGCAGGGATCCGCGCCTTCCAGTAGCACAAGCAGGAACTTTGTTGGCGAGCATCTCGCACGGTTGATTCACGGCCGACCAGGATTCGATCTACAGATCGGAATGAGCGTCTCGGAGACCATGTCGTACTCTTAGCCTGTACTAAAGCTGATATACAACAAAAGCTTGATACCCGTTGAGCATGAGGTTTCGAGCCTACTGTTGCGAAGTGCCTGTGTAAGAGGAGACTAGGGGCTCCCAGAATGCGGTGCTTCTAAGTGGTTGACATAGGTTCATCACGGGCAAGCCAGCAACTCAAGGTACCCAGCATCGAACTAACATTTAGCGTTATCAGCGCGCCGAGACCGTGGAGAAATCAGATCATCTACTGGGCTCTAACACTAGGCATGCTTCAACAAAGACTTTCCTGGGCAAGCTGCTAGCCGTCATAGCTCTCGCGGAACTAACGAGGCTGCGTATGGCAGCCATGGTCAAGGGCTGCAGCAGGTTCGCTGCTCTCTCAACAGGAGCCCTGATGGTACTGTGACAACAAATCTCCACACCACGACTGTCGCGGAAGGGGGTGGAGGGAGCGGGGGCAATTCGGGCGCGAGTGAGAGAAGGGTGGAATTGTAGAGGTTATGAGGGTGAAACGTTCACAAATGCTCAAACACATTCCGATTGGATGGAGACGTACAGTAGCAAATTACTTCGTGCTTGTTTCGGACTTCGATCCTCTCCTCAAGAGCTTGTCAACGAACGATTGACCGTTGTCGGGGCTTGAGCCCATTGACCATGCGCTGCTCCTGCGCCGCTGTTGACCTGTCTCGTCATCAGTGCCTAAATGCTCCACTAGGAAGATGGTACGACACACTCTCACTGCTGCTGTTCGATGGTGTAACTTCAAGCTTAGCCACATCTGTAGCGAACCCTGAGACTCGTTAGAGTGGGACAGTGGTCTCCATGCTTGTCAGGGCAGACGGACTCATGTTGCCTGCGCCACCGATACCGTAGGACCGCCGCCGCTCTGCAGCTACATTCGGCTCCATGCTTGAGCTCTTGTTGCGCAGCTCGACCAATGTGTCTTCTGTATCAGCGCGCGAAACGGACGTCACGCCGCTGTTGCTGACCAATGTGTCTTCGCTTGGTCTTTGGTCTGCGGAGTACAATTGTCCGCCGGGAGTGGCAACGAAGTTGCGATCGAGAGACGGAAGATGTTGCTGCTGTCGCATCACCAGGCTTTACTTATCAATTCTCTCCATAGCCAAGACGGGAGGACAACATTGCGTGTACGTCTGAACGGCATGCAGGGAGGCACAAGCTTCTTGTAGCATCTTGGCAGGTGTATCTCTGTCCTACCACTGCTGTCATACGAAGTGATCAGCAAGCACAACCTCCCACAATGGCTAGAGCTTGCTTGTGGAAGAGGAATTGGACAGATAAGTCTTGGGCTCTAGATTGGCCAAGCTTTGACAGAATGCGGAGTGTGGAGCGCCCCAGAATGCTTGAAATGCTTGATCTGGCAGGCGGCAAAGAATCCGCCTGACTACGGTGCGATCGGTGCTGGGTCGCCTGTAGCCTGACGTAACCCTTATCGGCACATCCTCACGCGCTCAAGTGGTGTTCGAAGCCCAACAGCACCTGCGCGTAACTCAGCGCCCTTCTTGTTCACCCTCTAGTAATACTCCGGTAGACCTAGAGATGCAAAGTCCGGGATAGTCTGGCTGCAGTTGAAGTCTCTTTGGTACGCCAGTGCCGGCAAGACACCAGCCGCCAGCCCGGCCTTGTATGACCACTGATACGCGCTTTCGGTCTGCCATGTCCAGTAGAACCACCCCCAACCCTGCTCGAATGAGTGCATTTGCGCTTCGGCAAACATCAGCAGCCATTGCTTATACTGCTGCGACCACGCAGAAGGGCCTGCATTCGCGTTCTTGCAGCTACACTGCGGGTTGTTTTGAGTCGGACAGGTTGGCGAAAGCACCGAACCATTAGACGACCCGCCAGGTGTATCCGCCATGTTGAGCGTGCCTTCCCAACGAGATCCTATACCAACATTGTTGAGATACTGCGCGCAATCCGTGTCTGCCTGACTCCACTCGCCGCACAGGGTAGGACCGAAGCCGGTAGCCTTGTTTGTGGACCGAAGCGCTTGTTGTGTCCAACCTCCGCAGGCAAAGTTGATCTTATCGTGGTGGTTCAGCACGATTTGCTGAACATTAAAGATGACGTACTGGTGCACGTCGAGAAGTAAGTTCGGCTGATTCTGCAATCGGCCTTGCCAATTGTCGAGGCCTAGGAAGCCATCACCGAAGACAATGACGCCCGTATAGTTGTTCGAGCGTACGGTACTGATGGCGTGCGTCGTCCAGTTGAGGACTGTGCTTACATCGAGCTCAACCATGCGGGGCTCGTTGACCAAGCCGTACATGGCGATGATGTTCTTGTATCTAGGCTGCGTGAAGAAGGTCGACAGCTGGTTGTGTATGGCTATCGTACGGTCGCCGTTTAGTTGCCCGTTGGTTCCGTTCAGCCAGCCGATCACACCTTGCCTGCCGGAGTGATTCCAGCCGTTCTGCGAGCCTGGAGCACCGTGCAGATCGAGGTTGATGCGTAAGCCGTACTTTCGCGCCCATTCTATACCACGGAGAAGGTAGCGGAATGAGACGTTGGCCACATACGGGTCGGCATCGTAAGTCACAACAGCCCAGTAGGAGAACGGAATGCGGATATGATCGAAGCCGGCCGCTTGAATGTCAATGAATGTCTGTTCAGTAACAAACGATGAGTAGTGCTTTTCAAGCATGCTCTTCGCTCTCGGCGCCCCAAGCGTTTGCGTAAGCGTATATTCGTCTATCACGTTGTCGTGCGTAGTGTAGCCGCTGAAGAGCGAAGGTGTGAGCACAGGTTCAATGCTGAGCCAGCCGCCAAGATTGACGCCGTGGACGGGCATGGTGCCATATTGCCAAGCTTGGTTAAGAGGTGGTGTGTTGTTATTTGCGCTCTTGCTGTCATCCCAGGTATTGTTAAGACCCATTAATGGTAGATCGCCAACCATCTCGGAGGTGAAGGTGACGTTGAAGTCGGTTGTATCGTACCAGCTGAACGGGTCCAGATATGTGCCCTGATATTGCTTCGGTATGTCGTTCTCGGACATGCCGTTAAGGTTGCTATTTCCAGGCTGTGTCGAATTAGTCGAAGCGCCGCCTCCTCCGCCGGTATCATTCTTCTTCGAAAGCACGATGCCGACCGGGATAGCAATCGCAAGTACTAGAACAAACGCGCCGACGCCGATACAGATGTTACGCCAGCGCTTTCGTTTGCGCAGACTCTCGTCATATTCTAGATCACTACTGCCACCATTGCGTCTGCGCACATCATCTCTCCACTTTTCCTTCTCGCTGAAGTACGTCTGTGATCCGTGTTCAAGCTTCTGCCCGCTCACTATCCTCTGTCGTTCCCGACGTGGCAACTTGTCGCGGTTGTACACAAGATCATCGGAGCGTGAAGCGGAGACTTCGGCCTCCATAGCCGCCAATCGCTCCTGTTCCCTCCTTCGCCGTTTGCGCTCTCTGTGTTCTTGTCTCCTGCGCTCCCGCTCCCTCTCGCGCTCCCTGTCCGCATCATGACCTGCTCGCGGGTTCTCTTTATCGTACCGGTCTCTTTGTCGGCGGACGCTGTCGTACTCGCTCCAGCCCAAATTCTGGTTGAGCTGGTCTAGCTTCGCCAGCTGTCCGGCGGAGAGCGGCGCACTTGCTGTCGTCCTGCTACGATCTGATGCTGGCTCTTTTGATACCCTTCGCTCGCCATGGCCGCTTCTGCTCCGGCGGGGTTTCGTCGGACTGGGAGATGCGGATTCTTCATAGTCGTGCACATGCCGACTTCGAGGGACTAGGTTTCCGTCGGAGTCTGTTCGTTGATGTGTCCTCCTGCGACGTTGCCGCCGAGCTGGCGAGTCACGGGGAACGTTAGATGAGGGCGGCATGCCCTGATATGGTTGCTCTCTAATCTGAGCATCTCTGACATCTGGAATGTGCTTCGGCATGATCCACGTCAGGGCCTGGACTGTTTGGCTCTCAGTCACGGCAGCAACAGCCTCCCGTCGGCCCGCTCGTGCGATAGTTCAGCCACACCCCTCTTGACGCCTCCTACACGTAGTGCAGTCCCCAATAGTTCGAAGGGTCCTGTTCTCGCACCCGCATGGACGCGAAGATAGCATATGATGCTCTAGACAATGGTTGCTTCCGGAGGTAGTTTGCTGTATCATGCATATCGTGCGAGCTACTGAACCTGTTAATCAACGGAGCAAGAAGTCGTTGGCGCTTATGACAACATCAATGTCAAGCTGCGGGCGATACTACTGCGACAATCTGCGAAAGAAGAACTGTTTGCACCGATGCTCACAGCTCTGGGGAGAAAACGTCGGAGCCACGAGCTGTGCTGTTCTCACATGTGTTCTCGCTGCAGTGACTTGTGACAAGTCCCTCATCCGTAGCTTGACTACGCTCTCTATCATGGCCTTGCTCACGACCGATGCACATGTATCAGCCGGGCACTACTCCTGCCAGGCGTCTCAGGGCGCTATTACCGCGCGAAGCACCTGCCATTCCATGGGCGAGGCAGGCCCGGAGTGACCGAGCTCTTTTACGTCAAGAACGATACCACAGGCACTACTTCTCCTTCTTCTTCATCTCTCGGTACTCAACCACTCTGGGTTTTCTGTTGTGCTGTCCCTAGAGAAAGCGTGGCTAACTGCTGTCCTCTCATTGATTACGCCTGCCTGTTGACTCCTTCGCCAAGATGCACCTTTGGCTTTGGCCACTCCTATCGTTGATCGTTGCCACTCGTGCTCGGCAGTACTACCTGCATTCAGCACTCACCGGGCCATCCTTCCTCGACAACTTCCACTTCTGGACCGCCGCAGACCCTACCCTAGGTGCGATGCAAATCATCGTTTATCTAGGGCATGGCTAACTTCTCCGACTGTAGGCTATGTCCATTACGTCAACCGTACGATTGCCGAGCAGAATGGCATGATCACCATCGCTGGCAATGCCACAGCTTGGGGCGTAGAAAACGTGCAGGTGCTGGATCCCGACGCTAACCTCGGTCGACTGAGCATCCGACTCACCAGCATTCAAAGTTGGACTCATGGCCTCTTCATCATTGACCTGGCTCATATGCCGCCGAACCAGTGCGGCAGCTGGCCAGCCTTCTGGACGCTTGGTAGCGGCCCTTGGCCAGCAAATGGTATGGTCGGTGCGCCATCTCCACAGCGAATACTGACGCTGGCAGGCGAGATCGACATTGTTGAGTACACCAACAATGTGCCGAACAACCTCATGGCACTACATACTTCCGGCTCGCCCGCTTGCACAGTCGCTGGGTCAGGACAGACTGGCACGCTACTCACTGATAACTGCGCAGTACACTCCACTCCGTCCCTGCCGGCATTAGCTTGACTGACGTATCTCCAGGCTGCCGAAGGCTACACGGGATGCGGCATCTCTGCTACCGTGCCGAACAACATTGGTTCTGGCTTCAATGCCATAGCAGGCGGCATATATGCAATGGAGTGGACGTCGACAGCTATTCGGATATGGTTCTTTCCACGTAACGAAGTTCCTCCAAGTATCCTGGGTGCAGATAGCGTCCTTGGTCCCGATCCAGCTACATTCGGTGTGCCAATGGCCAACTTCGAAGGAGATTGTAACATCGACGCCCATTTCTTCAACCACAGCCTTGTCTTCGACACCACTTTCTGTGGCAGCTATGCGGGCAACACGTGGCAAGGCGATAGCTGTCCAATGGGTGATCCGCAAAACGTAAGCTTTCATAGGTGCCGTCACGGAGATTGATGGCGTTAGTTAACCGCTCCAATTCAGGGATGGACTTCCTGCGAGATATTCGTCGCAGCGAACCCGCAGGTTTTCAAGGACGCTTACTGGGAAGTCAATTACTTGAGGATCTATCAGACTGTGCTTGGTCAAGCAGCCGCAACGTCCAGCTCCTTATCTTCCGTCATACCTGCGGTCGCTACAAGTTCAGTAAGCACTGCACTTAGCGGCGCAGAAGGGAGATCTACGATGCCGAGAGGGACCGTGACGCCGACTACGACAGCACCCCCACCTCCGGCGTAGGTCCCATACATGACCGGATGAGGTACCATCTCGGCGCAATTCCCTTATCACAACGAACAGCTTGGCGAAGGATGTGGTATGCTGCGACCTCTGCAGGCAAACATGCATCAACCGTGACTTATTGCGAGTCATCGTCGAGATCACAGCGGGCACCATGGTGGATGCGGAGGGCGCGGTAGTGTTAGCAACCAGCATTGGTGTTCCCGGGAGGTAACAAACTCATGTAAGTCTTGTGCGGTCATGGCGGGCTCTAAGAGGACCGTAGTTCGTGTCATAACGGCCAGAAAGCTGGTGACGTTGCCATAGTATGGCCCGGCTCAACTTCTAATGAGATAGTTCTCGAAGCATCACAGCCAGCACATTGAGCTCACTCAACATAATGTGACAACTCCGTCGCTTGAGTATTAGGTGTGAAATCCGGTATCCAGTCATCCAGACCGGTGAGTCCGCCCTCAGGAAAGTCATAGTCTTTCATTGAATCAATAAAATTCATGATTTCGTTGTCTAATTGCATTTCGTCCTCACGAACATCATCGTTATCCAATGGTGCTAGGTTCACTGAGTCGGGTGATATGGACGGTGTGCCGGAAGAATGCCCCTGTAGATCCGGCACCAGAAGTGAAGCCGCTGCAAGCGCAGAAGTAGTTGCTGCCGGATGAACTACGCTCTCAAAGGCAACCCTGTGACCGCCATTCAGCGTTTCCGGCGATGCATCACTACTGCTTAGCTGCTCAATGATGCGAGCACCTGCTATCGCCTGAGGCGGCCTTGCAAGTTCCCGTAAAACGTTCCGGTTCTGGCCACCCACATTGGAACTGGGTCCGCTCTCAGTCTCGATCATGTTTGGATTGAGGCACCACTGGCGGAGCTTGAAAAGCAGCGCAAGGAAGATTGCCGGGACTCTGCACCGGTGCGGACCGACGACACTTCGCACATGGAGAATGATGCGATCCATGATCCCTTCAACCTTCAGACTGCTGCGTACGAGAACCTTGCCAATTCTGCTGGTTGAGCTAGAGGCGGAAAGGCAGAGCTTGGCCAGAATAAATGCCCCGAATGAAACCCGAACGTAATTGAATACTGGAGAAGCGCGGAGGCTGTCAACGTCGATAGCCAGAAAAGTGTTGAGCAGAGCATGAGCGTTGGTGATACACTCCGCTATTGCATCGGCCAGCACCTCTGTCGGCACGTCTTGCGTTGTCAAAGGCTGAATAGTACCCATTTGGTAAGGCGCTTGGAACTGCAAGTCGGGTCAGCATCTTTTCCCGACGACGACATGTACATTTGTTGGTGACTTTCGTCTTCGGGAGAACATCGAGTGGATCGCTGCACGCATGCTTGATGCGGCCCGCTGAAGCTCCGAAGCAATGATCAATGATTGAAGTTGGTGAGACCTACATCGTCTGGACTGTGCTCTATGTGCAGTGCAACTTCCTGCAAATGGAGCCGTAAGGTGTAATACATGATCATCGCGGAGCCATTGCAGATCTCTTGCGGCACCGATGCATACCAAGCAGTTAAGCGCTTATCGAAATCCTTCCTCATAAGCTGTGTCCGCAGATCTGCAATGGACGCTATGCCGCCGGGGTCCGTCAGACAGAAGCTCACGGTGAGGTCTTCGGCTATCATAGCAAGCTTCGCTATTACGATCAAAGTCCCATCGGTTGAGACTGTATCCGGCGAGCGTTCTAGGTACTCCAGACACTCTCGCACGTAACTGTTCACTGGTAACATATTCGGTCTCCGCAAACTCAGTGACACACCAGCGCAGATCATATAGACGGCTAAGAATGTCCGCCTACTTTCTAGCGAGCCTGTACGTGGGCTCGGATCACGAGAACGAGGCGTCATACTCAGATCCGGATTAGATGGATCCTCTGCGGGATGAATCATAGCTTGCTTCGCGGGCTCACGTCCTCGTTCTGTGTTGCCTAAGCGACCTCGATATTGGACAGGCCGCGTACCTATTCCGATATCCATGGCCATGTTCGCGGCCATCTGCATGTACTCGTAGTACTTAAGCTGACCGAATTTGGTGGGAGGATGGTACCATGTTGCACTGATTAGCAAAGCTTGAACAAGCTCCAGTGACTTCTCGCTCTGCATCAAGCTTCGAGTCGCATAGGCATGGAGGATCTCCTTGTCAAGAGTAGCCGCGAGCTCGGAGTCATCCTTACCAGCAGCAGCAGCAATTATCGCGAGAAAGAGTGTTGGCTTCGACCGGCGCATGTCGTCGGCAGTAGTCGCCGCAGGAAGGGGTATGATTGGATAGTGCGGAAATAGATCTCGACGGTACGTGTCATACAGCTGCCGAGCCGTAGCCATTGAAAGCAGGCCACGGTCTACGACATCATTTACCGCCGCTTTTGTAGACGCTGGAAACTCATGTGGGAGCAATGGCGTTGATTTCTTGCTCGATGTCTCTGCATGTACAGTGGCGTCGTCTCCGCTTGGCCGATTCATGAAGATCTGCTGTTCCCACCGTATGGAGCTCCCTGTCTGCGTCGCCGTCGGGTTCGATTGCTCCGACCTCTGGCCCTGGAGCGCCTCTTGAGGCTTCTCTGAAGGTCGTGGTATGGTAGCATCTTGTCTCTGCTTGAGCATCGCTCTCATAGCGCGCATCTCACGCTCGAGCTCTGCTACGCGCGTGTCTGTACGTTTGCGCTGTTTGCGCTTCCGAAGGGGCGTGAAGATGCATGGTCGCCCTATTCTCGCACAGCGTTGGCAGACATCTGCGTTCGTCTCGTGCGGCAGACATCGGACCTTCTGGGAGCGACAGTGCGCGCATGCTCTGTGCGAAGGAGCATCTTGCCCGTCTTCGTCTCCAGGTGGGCTAGCCATGTGCGCTGCTGGTCGGGACCACTCCGAATGTGATTGGCGCGAGACTGGCAAAATCACCAAGCCGAGAATGATTCCTCCATGGGATATGTGGTCCCACACATTAAGGCTGCTTCACGGCCTGAGAAGTACATCTGACTCTGAACGGCTCTCCAATCCAGGCACGACGGGCTGCGAAAGAGCTATGGATTCCGTGACTAACCCGAAAAGGTTGTACGCAACCCCGCAAGGTGGGCACATGCGATCGATGCAGGGCTAAGGTAGTGTTGTTTGGAGAGGTCGGTGGGTCAATGCCATTGCCGGCTAAATCTTGGACCAGGTTCCATCCGCGTTTGCACGACCGCGATAACCCTCAACCGGCGGTCCTCAGCAGTGTCGGATATGTCGGGTATCATGGCCAAGCTATGCTACAGCATAATGCTTGTCTCATTGCCTGGTCCGACTATTGTTCATTGACGCGCATATTCACATTAATCCTAAGCCTGCGATGTAGACGTGGGACAACGCCGCGCGAGGTCCGCAAGCAGTGGACTACCTGACGTATCCACCATACTGAGACTCGTCCACAGAAGCAGGAGTAGACAATGATCAAGAGGGATATAGCAGTGAAGCGGAACAGGAAGGAAATAATCACCGCGGACTCGCCTTCGCAACCTTCAAGGTGAGAAAGGACCGGCGACAGTCGTGGTTCATTGCGGTACATTGCAGGCAAGCTTACTTGCGAAGCGTGTGCAAGTGTCCGAACACCCAGGAACTGACAGAGTTCTCACGTGCGACGCACCCTCGCCCTGGTGGCCTCCACAATATCTGAAGTTACTGCAGACATGAACGCGTGCAATCTGAAACGCAACGATGGGCCGTCAATGCCCGGCGTATCCAGACCTGGCGCGAGGAACAAGGTATGTGTAGGAGGACATCCATATATGGCAAACCTCTCCGTATGTGTTTTGCAAAATACAAAGGCCAAATGGCCTTGCCGCTTTGAGGCAGAGTACAGTACTAGTGTTAGCGCTGAGGTGTTCAAGACTCTATTCAGGATAGGAAGTCGCGACCGGGCAGTGATGCCTGGACGCGACACCGCTTGACTTCAGTCCATTGCGTGACTTCATTTCACTTTCATTCCTTATGGCATCATTACCGATTCTCGACGCGTCTGTCTCGTTCCGGTTTTCCCTCGCGTGGTCAGTGAGCTGTGACGGCACATCTTGCTGGCTCACCCGTTACTTTGCCACGCTTTGCCGCGTGTTATACACAACTGACGAAGCTAGCTGGTCGCTCACTGGCAAATCATGGAAGACTCCCCCAAGCACGGTGGTCGGCCTGAAGGGGCATCAGGCATCGACGCTTCTATGGCAGACTTACACAATATCGACGAGTCAGGAATTCATGTGCCTCTACGGCAGCCAGCACAGAATACCGTTGAGATTGCGGATGGTCAGGACGGCGGTCTTGTGGTTGACAGTCGCCAGTGGGCGGGTATCATACCGGCGTTCACAGACGAGCCTCCTGCCACGCCAAATGTACTAACCTCTCCCTTCGTCCGCCCTGTCGAGGAGCATGCACCCCACATGCAGGCCTTCGCATTCTTCAGACCCAGCAAGGTCCAGCTCGACATGCAGGGCACCAGGAGAGGGCCGGCCGTAGCAACTGGTACCGCCACCGCTCGAACGAGGCGTAACAGTGTCTCCCAGAGTACGCCTTTCCTTGATGCTGTCGCTGCGGCACGAGACACTGACGAGGGCTAGATCGATTTACCACGCCGAGTGCCGACCACTCCGTCACTGACGATACTGACCAATCTCAGCCGCTCGGAGTACGGAAGGAAACGGAATTGCTATCGTCGCAGGCAGTACAGTCAGCGACTGCGCAGCATCTTGGCTCACTCTTGGTGACGGGCAGGTATCCCGAGCAGCGACCGCCACATTGGTCCACCCGCACTGCAAGCGATCAGCCAAGTGACCCCGCTGAGATCACGAAGGTCTGCAGAGTCGATGATGTCGAGACTTCTCACCCACAAGCGGACATCAACGGGCTCGACCCGGACATTAGTGCGGCACCATGTACTGCGAACTTGGAGGACGATGCCGCGTTAAGCTCGCGCCACAGCCAGCTCCGTCGGGAAACGGCGGCTGCAGCTATGCAACGGCAAATTGTGCACACCCCAGCACCAAGATCGTCACCACCGCCGCAGGCGTACGCCAGTAGGATGACGCAGCGCTCCAAAGAAGGAGCCTCGCAAGCGAATGAAGACTGCCGTGAGAAAGCTGAACCTTTACCGCGGCGTAGCATGGCTGTGTCACAACCGTCGAAGGGTATAGTGGAGCCGGAAGACATCGCAACGGCACCAGCCCACGACGACGAGCTGCATAGCGACGAGTCCAGCTCTGAGATCAATGACTTTCTGAACATAGTCTCCTATCAAGTCCACAAAAAGCAGCGAACCGAGCGCTCCCGCTTCGCGGTTGAGCGTCAGGGTCTGCAAGACCAGCTGCGTCAGGTTGTACAAACGAAGCAACTCTTGCTGGAGCAACGTAACAGTCTGCTGCAAGAGCGGAATGGGCTAACAGCTGCTGTTAGCCAACAGCGGAGCAAGCTAGCGACTTACGAAGCGAAGATGCAGCGCTTGAAGGTGTTTGTGGACGGTTTAGGCCACGACATAGACGCGCTTCGCAGGGAAGCGGGCATCAATAAGGAGAAGAGTCAGCAGCTCGCATTAGAAGGCGCTGAGTGCAAAGCCGAACAGGTGGCATTAGCTGAGCACATGTTCGCGTGCGCTGAGAAGTCTACTCAGCTTAAGGACGTCGCACTCAAAGCCTGCCATGCAGCAGAATCAGAATTGCAGGGCGCCCGTCTCCGGACCGACTATCTCGAGAAGCAACTCGATGAGAAGAGCGGTATGCTTGTGGAGGAGAGGGACCGTCGTGCGCAGCTCGAGAGACAGATCATTGCGACGGCTCGCTCCGATGAACGTATCTTGCAGGACACGAAAGGCAGCAATGATCAAGTGCTGGACCAGCTTTATATCATTCATGCGGCACTGGAGCACGATACGGGCCTGAATGATATTTCCGTGATGGTAGAGAAAACGTTTGCCGCCATTCAGGCACTCACCACACAACACAGTGCTAACGCTGACGACATCGAGTCGGTCAAAGCGCTGGTAACCTCACTGTCCGAAAGGTATGTACGGCATTACTATGTGTTTGAACTGTAAGCTGATCTCTTCCCAGTGTTACAAAAATGTCCGACGCAAGCAGTGTACTTGTCGCAAGCGAAAAATCTGCGACACACGCTGCTCGCGATTCGCTCGTGAGCTCATGCAAAAGCTTGCAAGCTGGTTTAGACAGGCTTGAGCAGCTCATGCAGCAACATGCTACCGAGCAGGGCCAACTATCCCAGCTGCGGGAGCAATTGGCCGACAGTAGCGCGCGGTGCGGTACTCTGCAAACACAACTCGAAAAAGCACAGAGCTCCTCACGCGCAACCGTTGCCGTAGAATCTGGTTCACCACCCAAGCAAGGTGATGATGCTAGAGAGCTTGTGGGAAAGCTAAGGGCCGGGTTGCAAGGTGCTCAAGCGCAGCTTTGTGACCAGACTAAGGACATTGGCCAAATAAATGCTGTCAATGCCGATCTACGTGCAGAGGTAGAGCGACTACAACAGCGTCTTAACCAAGCCCAGAAGGAGATTACCGACCTTGATGCGCAGCGAAAAGACAGCGAGAACAAGCGACGGAAGGAGTTCCAGCGATACGCTGAGGATCGCATCACACAGACGAAGGCCACGCTCGAGAACGATCTCAAACGTCTGACAGCGACGGCGAGTGAAGTGCCGCCACTCCAGAAGCAAGTCGAGAACCTGAGCCAGAAAGCTAGCGAGCTGGCCATGAGCGAAAAGCTGCTCACGGACCAGAAGCGGGAGTGTCAAAGGCTGCAGAACGAGCTCACGGCATTGAGTGCTGCGCGGAAGATGCAGTCTGCTACGCAAGCACAGTCCGAGAAGGTGGCAGCACAACTTGCAGCCGCACAAGCCAAGCAGCGCGAAACGGATACCGAGAAAAATGCACTCATCAAACAGGTTGCGGACCTCGACCAAGCTGTGGCAGTCGCGCGATCGAGCGAGCAGGCATTAAAGGCGCAGCTCGACGAGCATCAACGCAGCACTAGGGAAGCCCTCGCTGAATTGAGGGCCAAGCTTCATGATGCAGAAGCTGCGCACTCGCGCTCCGAAACGGGTGTGGCACAATTGAAGGACCAATGTAAGCAAGAGGTCGAGGCAGCAGCAACAAAGGCCGAGAAGCAGACGCTGGCCCTGCAGCAGAGTCTGGATGATGCACGACTTGTATTGAAGAACAAAGATGCGGATCATCAGAGGTTCGAAGCGGACGTCGAGCAGACCTGGCGCGTCGAGCGCGACGAGCATCAGAAAGCACTGTCTGTGGCTGGGAACGAGCTTGCTCAAGTCGAGACAGAGAAGAACAAGGCTTTGGCGGAGGTGAAATTTCTACGACAGCAGATCGAACAAGCTACCAGAACGACAGGTGTGCGTGACGTTCGGTTGTCACTACAACAACTACCGACTGACAAAGTGGTCACGGCTGGGGCTCGTAATCATGTCCTTTCAATTGCCGAGGGCATCACGCCAAAGGCAAGTCAACAGGAGCAAGAGCCACCGAAGCCTCGTAAGAAGGCAGACCGCACAGCAGACATGATTGTTGATTCTGCTCCGGTGCCTGCTGCAGAGATTTTGCGTCACGTCTCACATACGGCACCTCGCGGTGCTGTCGAGATTCGTGGACCAGTTGTTGAAGAGTCTCAGGAGCCGGAGCAGTCGAAGCTGGGGCATGACACAGCAGTGCACAGCTTCTCGTCTCGCACAAGCCTGCTAGCCGGCAAGTCTTCTGACAATGACGAAATGCTGGACTCTGCTTCGTTCGTGCGGTCGCAGTCGCTTTCGCAAACGACAAAGAACGACAAAGTTCAGCTGCCATCATTTGTTGCCTTCAACAACAGCATGGACTCCTCGCAAAGGCCAGAGTTCCGTGGGACGTCTCCCACCGATTCAGTGCCGCCAGCGCATCAGACCGGCGCCATCCCTGTTACTCTTCAACGCAGCTCACAGAAAGACCGTTGGCAATCACAGGACTTCACCGTCTTCGAGGAACCGCAGTCTTCGCAAAAAGTGGTTGGAACACAGCAAGCTCGGCAGCTCCTGCGAGGTGATGTCGACTGGACTCAAGAGGAGACGGAGCGTTATACGTACCGCAAGTCGTTCCCGCAACCGAATAGCGCTTCGAAGGTGGTGCACCGCGAGCGCTCCGGTACCCACGACTCCGCTCAGGAAACGTCCAAAGTGCGCGGCGAAGGCAGGGGTTCTGCCGGAAGCCTAACTTCGGAACGTGGGTCCAGCAGCTCGTCAGACTTCATGGCCACTGTTAGCGGCGCGCGCAAGATGACCACATACGACACAACGAGCGCATCGGCGAAGCGTCGCTCATCACGGCCGCTTGCCATGCCCACCGCTGACCCGCGCCTCACGAAGCGCACTGATTCGGGCTCGCTAAAGCGTGGGTTCGAGATAGGCATCCAGCAAGGACATGGGCAGGAGCGAAAGAAGCGTAAGGCTATCGAGGCAGGCTCGGTGTCTGGCGATGCAAGCCGCAATATTCTGCGCCCGGATGTACGCCCATCAATGGCCGACCTGATGCCTGCTTCGACGGCTCGGTCTGGTCCCGCCGCCGCCGCCAGTTCCGGCTCGTCATCGCGCATGCGCACCCTTGCCGGCGCATCTTCTCGCGGTGGCCGAGGCGCTAAAAAGATGTCGAAAAGTAGACCCCCTTCGCTTGTTCGCCTAGCGCTGGGTAGCTAATTGTTCGTAGGTGACGAGTTTAGCGCGCGCTTCTCACAAGAGCTTGCGCGCTAAGCAAGAAACCACTCCTCACCGCGGATGCATCCACCGGAGAAGGTAGCAAATCATGGGTTGGAAGCAGGTCCGCCGTATGTGATAAAGAAGCATGATAAAGTGACTGCTACTACGCTCGATTTCGTGCGATCAGAGGGAAAGTTGTCTCGCTCATGGGTATCTTACTGTACGCCTCCCAGTATTTCCAGTTCTCATTCCGCGTCCCCTCCGTCACCTCGCCTTCAATCTGACACCCACTTTCACGGCCTCTTGCCAGTCACGTGGCGTTCCTCCATTCAGTATGAGTCTCGCCCATACGCGGCTTCATCTTGTTCGCGTGCGGAGGATTCGGCAGCCAACTGTACCAACATCGCCGGGCTGTATGCGAGTTGAGTGCGGCTACCACAAGGCCAAGAAGTATCATTCTGCTCATTGTTGCTCCATTTACTCTCCCGGAACGCTCACTTGGACCCGCCGCGCTTCTGCTCCAGAAACAGGACCTTCTTCTTCACTATACATAGGGCGCTGTCAGCGACTCCATCTTTGCAGGTAGACGATGTGCTTGTGTCCATACCGACTGGATCGTACTTCAGCATGCTCAAGGGTCGGTGCTGCCGCGGCCGCGTGAAGGTCATATAATATCCCGTCATTGCCATTGAGAGGAGTCTGACACTTATAGTACGCGACTTGGCTGTAAGGCGACGGTCAGTGTTAGGTGTGAGTTGGTAGAGTCGCAAACGGCCTCATACCTTTCTTCGCCATGCTCGCGCGCTACGACACTGTGTCCGCACTCTCTTCGAAAGCTTAAGTGAGTGCGGCCTTAAGCTTTTAGTCGGACACAGGTAGGGACGTCGTCTAAGGTATAACTTCTCCAACGCTAGGGCTGCGGATTCTATGTACAGTGAAGTGAATCTATGTCCAGCCATATGCGGGTACCTGCCTAGAAGGGTTAGGAGCGCTCTGGTCTTAGTGCCTAAGGCAGCAGTACTGTTCCCTGGGCATGGCGCTTCGCGTTGCTGCTCGACGCCTCCGTACTATGTGATGTTTTGAGGTGAACCCAGTGCAGCGTACGTAGAGGGCTACGCATTTCCGCGTCTCTGCGACTAGCATTGTACCTTGAACTTCTGTCCCCGCCACGTGGTAAGGCCACACCATGCACTATGAGACCTAATCTGCGGATACTTTTGACAGACGAGCGCCAGGATGAGGTCAAAGCGGAAAACGCCGTTATGACACCTGGCGAAGGAAGGGGGTACACACAAAACGGAGAGGGGCAGGCACCCGAGCATAGAGGGTTGAGGAAAGTGGGAGTAGTGTGTGATGTTCGCAAGAGCCACCCGTAGGCTAGCCTTTGTTTGAAACGCTATCTGCTCCATCGTCGGCAAGGGCCAGTGACCCACCGCTCGCCTCGAAAAGCATATCCTTCGCGCGGCCCAGATAGCCACTGCAGACGCTTCAAAGAAAGCAGTAACACTGACAGCGGCTCCTCCTCCGTTGCTGCATCCGCCGCTAACACCCTGCCTATCCTCCGTTGCTGTGAGACATACAGCAAGCCCCCCAACGATCAACAGCAACCACCGCAGTCCAGCCAGGCGACGCCACCACCAACAACCATTTCCACCACAACCACCACCCCACCATACCATCATGTGCAAGTCGTCGAGCATAGCCACCGCCCGTACCTGGTCAAAGGACGGGTGGATGCCGGTAGAGGAGTTCGGCAGACCATACTGGCTAGGCGGCTCCTTCTGGTGCACCATAGTCGCTTCACCAGAAACCTCAAGATCACCGTCGGAGAGAGTGGAGAGATTGTTGAGGAGTTAGAGTGTCAGCCGCCGACGACAGAGGCAAGAGTCGCTTGTTGAGATCGTCGAGCCCGTCCTGTCCTCCGATCCATCCCATCACGCCGAGCCCGTCGATCCTCCCTTCCACCGCACGCGCCAACACCCGATGCCTCTCGCACTCGCACTTCCTCTCGCACCGTAGTGCGTCAAAGGCGCGGAACGCCATTTACCGTGCCCAGTCGTAATGTGGTTTGGAAGTCAGATGTGCTTTTGCACATGTCCGCTGATGAGTCAAGTCGTGCCTGTTCGCCTGGACCAGTCGCTCATCCATATGACCAGTGTTTGCAGGTTCGCAGAAGTCGTCGTAGTCATCTCGGCCCATCACCGCTTCGCAGCAGGTGATGGTTGGCAAGCACTGATGTGGGTCGTTCACAGCGTGTGGCGAGCTGGTGACGGTGGCGGTGCTTCGTGCCGGAGACGTATGTGATGTGACTGACTCTGCATGATGTTGGAACCTGAGGTCTGGCTTCTGGCTTTTTGCGACAGTGATGGTGGTCTGGCGGGTGGCTTGGACTTGTGACATTGTGAAGTGGGTCGAGGTATGTGTTCACGACCGCGCGGACATGGCGACATCTTGGAAACTTCGGACTAGGCGTGTCGAAGGGCTGTGGTGGCGCTGAAGCTGTTTCGAGCTGCCTGCGATTGATGCAGGTGCGAGGTGCTATGCAGCGCGCCCATTCGACCGGTGATGCTGCTGTCGGAACATCTCACTGCAATGAGGGTCTTCGATACAGCGCTTAGCGAGTGTGTTATTGTTTGGTTAACGAGAGTGGTGTTGGCAATAAGCGAAAGTGGTGTCGTTTGTTAAAGAATGTGGTGGTTCATCCGCGCAAAGGCGGGCGCAGACGGTGCAGAAACGAGTGTGTTGTTGTTTTTGGCTTTAGCCGACCTTGCCTCTGTTGGTGCCAAGCGGCACCGGTCGGCGGCTGTGAGGGGGTTGGGACGGACCCCCTTAGGGAAGGTGCGGCGGTGATCTTGAGGTCCTGAGAGCGGATGGTGCACCAGGAGGTCGCCGCTGTCGCCTAGTATGGAAAGCCGTCTTCCTCTACCGACATCCAGTCCGTCCCGTGTCCAGGTACGTAGTACTTCTTCCCACATCCGTACACCACACGGCGCCACTAGCGCCGTGGGTGGAAACGTGGGACGGGAAGACCGCAGACGGTGACTATGCTCCAGGAGTTGCACATGGTGGTGATGGTGGTGGTGGTGGTGGTTGTGATGGGTTGGTTGTTGATGTTGACGTCGTCTGGTGAACTTCGGTGGTCGCTTGTTGATCGCTTTAGTGAACTTGCTGTATGCTGAGGAGAAAAGAGAAGAGAAAGAAAATCGAGATGAGAGGGGAATGGTACGCTCTTTATGCCGTCGCACCGTCTGTCACCCGATTCCTTATCACATAAGTACGTCCGTATCACTCGTGGACGATTACCTCTCCTCACGCTCATTCACCGCTTGTAGGCTTACCTGCTGGATTTGTGATCGTACGGTATGACTTACATCCAGTTGGGAGCGATCGTACGACAATCCAAATGCTTACTCTTTCCCATTGTCATTGGACGCTGTCAAGGGCTTGTTGGAACGTTCTGATTACGTGGAGTGAGAATGTTTTCGAGAGTACTGGGCAATATGTCAGCACAACCTCCGCAACATTGACTTTCCATATGCTGCTAAACGGGCCATTGTGCCATTTTCGCTCATTACTCACGTGGAATTGCCAAAACACCGGCCTCAATTCCCATTCCAGCATTACTGCAATACGCTGCCATGGCGGCTACAGTAAGGTATCTCACGGTTGTGAGATTGAGAGTGTGTGCGAAGCTGCTCGATATATAGACGGTTCCAATGTCGTGGTTGCGCTCATATGCGGCTGTGTCGGCGATTAACACTCTGCAAGGGCTTGCCATTTAGAGTTGGCCTGATGACTACAGGATACTATGCGTACATCCAACGCCGTTCTTGTACCATATGCTGCTATCAGAGCCCTGGGCCCATATCAGCATAAGCAATCGAACGGGATTCCGAGCCAGAGAGGGCGTGCAAAGGCGAGCGAAGTGGGCGGATTCTCAGTTTCATACCTCTGCTTTGTACGCCTTGGTGTTGGCTATGACTCCATATGGTAATGCGCGACTTTCGAAATCTGTATTACGAAGGCGGAGTAAGCCAGTGGTACGATACTTACTTACTACAGAGTCAGCTTCCCGCCCACTTTGCAGAACGGCCGTCTCCGCCAGTCCACCGAACAGTATCCCGCCACAGCAGTTCTCTACCTGCGATAACCCCCTTATGGTGGCCACTTGCCAGGAGCATTAACAACCGCCCTGCTGAACTTTGCGATCAACCCTTGCTTCTCCGACTCCCTCCGTCTCTGCGCCGACGCAATACCAGCACGATCCGTTATTGGCGCAGCATTCATAATGCGATCAAACTCATCATCCTCGGCCTCACCAACATCCGAACCAGATTCTGCGTCAGAGTCTTGGGGCAGTGTTTGGATTTGCTTACTCTGATCATGCGGTCGCTGAATGCGCTCAGGTATCGTACGATCTTCTTCGTGGCCAGTAGGCTTAGCCGGGTTGGCAAAGGGCTTGGATGCGAGGACCCGCTGTCGGAGATATGCCATTTCCTCTTCGTCATCACTGTCCGGTGGCAAAGCGTAGGGGTCGGAATCTTCGTTTTCCGCGTCCTCCTTGTCTCCTGCATCATCGGCAGGCTGCTCGCCAGGCTTGGGACCCCCGAGCTGAATGCCGCCCATGCTGCTCGCATTACTGTCTCCGCCCTCTTTGTCGTCATCTTCATCGTCTGAATCATCGATCTGCCTCCGGTTCAGGTTCCCTCCCTTCCATGCATCATCCGCATCCCTCTCCCTATCCTCACGATCTTCCCTCCACTCATTCTCAATCTTCGCCAACCACGCCTCTTCCGCCTTCTTAACTTCCTCTTCATCCTTACATGCCGCGTATCGCTTGAGCACAGCGTCGTTGATCTCCAGAAACGCTTCCCCGTAACTAAACGTGCTGAGTATCTCCTCCGCCCAATCTGTATGGCCGCAGATAGCGAAGCAAGCTGCGAGCGCTTCCACGCAGTTCAGTCGCCACGGCCTGCCGTAGTTGGTAGGGTTCGCAGCGATCAGGTACGGTAGTAGCCGTGGATTAGGCCCTCCGATGCGACTGAACGGTACTTCTTCGATGCGCTTCCAGCTCGCTTCAACGACTGCTGCGCCGTACTGCTCCAGTATCGGTCGATCGGCTGGACTGAGGAGATTCTTCGCTTTCGGACTGACCACGATGCCTGCATGCTTTTGTCCGACATGTAGTTCTCGCATAAGCCCAAGGCGCATTAGCCGCTTGCCGGAGCATCGCTTTGCGTCGCAGTGATTGAGATCCCATGCTGCCGCTTTGAAAGATGGTCTTTTGTTGCCACCCAGTCCTTCCTCTCGGTCTGGGTGAGTATGTTGGGCGTATGTACGTGCTGGACCGTTGGCGTGCTTACGTCCCTTGTTCGTCAGGTCCTTCTTGTGGCGCACCATACTGTTGCAAGCCTGTTGAAGTGTTGGTTTAACGATGCTTAATTACCATGTTGTCATCCTGGTGGCGGCCGAACTAGAATCGATTGATATGCCCATGAATGCACGTCATTTCAAATGTGCCTGCAAGCGGATCGGATCGGGCCCAGCTCAAAGCACCTCAGCAGTGTTCCGCTCTTAGGGAAGGCTCCATGTAACTGTGTGCCGGTATACATCGCTCACACGCCCACTGATCTCGTGAGCCCATCAGGAGGGTTACAAGTGTACCCGCCACCATTGAGCTCTACTTCGCGGGTCGCGCCCGCACTCGAGACGACAACGCTTCCAACCCACCACAGCTACAGCGCTCAATGGAGGCCGCTAGCGCGAGGTATGCAGCTCGCGATCGATTCGCCTACCCATCAGAGGCTCCCAACGCGACGCCGCTCCAGCGGTACATCCACAATGCCTGCTCGCCCGAAAACTTTGAGCCGAACCTGGCCCTCTCCTTGGAGATTTCCGACCTAATCAACGCAAAGAGAGCGGGAGCGCCAAGAGAAGCCGCCGTGGCCATTGTACAGTATGTGAACGCCCGTAACCCAAACGTATCACTACTCGCCTTGAGTCTGCTCGATATTTGCGTCAAGAACTGCGGCTACCCTTTCCACCTGCAAATCAGCACCAAAGAGTTCCTGAACGAGCTGGTGCGACGATTCCCCGAGCGGCCTCCGATACGGACGACGAGAGTACAGAACCGTATACTAGAGCTTATCGAAGAATGGCGGCGGACGATCTGCGAAACGAGCAAGTACAAGGAAGATCTAGGCTATATCCGGGACATGCACCGCTTGCTCAGCTACAAAGGCTATGTCTTCCCGGAAGTACGGAGGGAGGATGCTGCGGTTCTCAATCCCAGCGACAATCTCAAAAGTGCAGAGGAAATGGAGAAGGAAGAGCGAGCGGCACAGGAAGCGAAACTGCAGGAGCTGATACGGCGTGGTACTCCGCACGACCTCCAGGAAGCGAACAAGTTGATGAAAGTGATGGCCGGGTACGATACAAGACATAAGACGGACTACCGAGCGAAGGCGGCCGAGGAGGTGGCTAAGATCCAACAGAAAGCGAAACTGCTAGAGGAGATGCTGCAGGGCTACAAACCAGGCGACGAGATTAAAGAGGGCGATGTCTTCGAGGAGTTGGCGAACGCACTGGCGTCAGCGCATCCGAAGATCCAGAAGATGTGCGAGGAGGAGAGCGATGATACGGAGGCTGTGGCTAAACTTTTGGAAATCAATGACAGCATACATCGAACGATCGAGCGGTACAAGCTTGTGAAGAAGGGCGACATTCAAGGCGCGAATGCTATTCCGCGAGGCACGTTAGGCATAAGTGGAGCTGGCGTGAAGAAGGGACGGGACAACGAGCTATCTCTGATTGACTTTAGCGGGCCAGAGGATGCGGCAGGTTCGGCGGACTCGGCGGCAGATGACTTGATGTCTGGCAACCAACAGTCACCGGCACCGAAGTCGCAAGGTAACTCGCTTGAGGACGACTTACTAGGTCTGAGCATGGGTGACGGCACCTATGGCCAGGGCGGTGGCATTTCGCTTGGTGGTTCTTCGAACGGCACAGCAGACATTATGGCGCGCTTCTCGCAGCCATCACAACCATCACAGCCGTCTTTGCAGTCTGCACAAAGCGATCTCTTTTCATCAACTGCCCCGTCACCACAGCCGCAGTCCCAGGCAGCTTCGAAACCGAACTACGACAGTCTCAACCTACTGGGCGGCCTAGGCTCAAGACCGACGTCGAAACCTGCAACACCCGTGCCTTCTTCAACACAACCATCACAACAAGCAAAGCGCCTCTCCGCCGATCCTTTCGCCTCCCTAGCTACACCGCCGCGGCAAGCCTCACCCTTCCAATTTCAGCACTCTACTAAGCCGCCTGCAGCTCAGCAATCGTCCGGCTTCGACCTGCTTGGCATGGGCGACAGCAACGGCACTTCGTCTCATGCAGCCACAGCCAACGCCGGCGGCGACGATGAGTGGACGTTCAGCTCCGCACTACCGGACCAGGCATCGGAGATGACAGTGACAAACAGCAGCATCCGCACCGTCTTTAGTGTGAAGCGAGAGACCGACTCGGACATTGTGATACAGAGTCGAATATCCAACTCCACGGCCCAGCCCATCTCGGATCTGACCTTCCAGCTTGCTGTGACAAAGGTACGCTCTCCCCTTCCGCGCCCCGATGGCGGCCCGTGCTAACTTTGTTTACTTTGTAGGGCTATACACTCAACCTGCAACCACAATCATCGCGTACTCTATCACCGAACCAACAGAATGGCATTACGCAGACCATTCGATTGCAGGGTGTGGAACGAGGGAAAGGCACCGGCGTGAAGATGCGTTGGCGAGCTAGCTATTCGTTGGGTGGCAAGGCGGTGAATGAGCAGGGCGAATTGACGGGCTTGGGTGTTCCTTAGGATTCGATAGACCTCCAAGCAACGTTCTGCCGCTCTCATGTAGCTGTTGGAACCTATCATGGTACCCGTTCGTGCCCTTAGTGGCATCAGAGGCCGTGAAAGCGTCGGTTAGGGTTAGTGTTTGGGTTAGCTATGCGATCGGCGGCCACAACATTCTATGAGCAAGGTATACCCGTGTCGCTACCTGAAATGATTGTCAGTGTTCGCAAGGTACCGTGAGAATGTTACACGGCGTGGTGATGCTGTTGTGAGGGTGTTTGTAGGGTGCGCATTGTCGTTCCAGCAGAAGATGGTGTTCAAGTACATGCAGAGGTCCCAACACGAGCAGGGTCACACCCAATGCCATGTAGCACGTTGCCCACAATTACCGCGAAAAGCGGGACGACCTGGTGACCCGACCTGGCATGGCAGGGCATTAAGATTGCTCTTGACGCATTGCAATTCACTGAAAGTTCCAAACAATGGCTATACATGGATACGCTGCGTCTATCTAGCCTCCGCCGCCACTGTATGGGCCGGCCGGATCTGCTGTGAGCATAGAGCTCGCGTTCTTAAAGTCATCACGCGCCATCACCGTTCGCAGCGACACAGCCCTCGTACATCCACTCCTTCCCACCTCACCCCAACCCAGCCCTGCCAGACCTCATGACCTGCTCGACCGGCATAACAGTCCCATCATGCTCCCTGCCCAAACCAGTCCCAGCAGTCCACCCCATCTTCACCATAAGCTGATGCCCAAAGTTCTCTCTGCCGAGCGCGCTGGCCCCAGCACCCACAACCTCGCCATTACGCAACCCTGCCGCACCACCATTGAACCCTCCTCCTCCTCCTCCTCCACGCGGACCCTTCGCAGCAGCCTTGCCAGCCTGCCGTCCCGCTTTCTTCCCCTTCGACGAGCTGTTGACGAGAAAGCCTTTGTTCGAAGCGTACATGACCTTGCTGAGCAAAGCCTCCGAGTACTCAACCCTCTGGCTGCTCTTGTAGATTACCGTGAAGCGACCCTTTCCACTCCCAGCGCTCTTGGACTTCAAACCCAGCGCTGACGAGACCTGATGCATCACCTTGCGTTCGTTCTTCGCCATTGGTGGGAATGCTCGACTCTGCTGGCCGTCGTTCTGCAAAAACGTCCGCAGCTCGTCCTTCACTTGTGCCATGGTCATGCCCTGCAGGTACTTCTGACTCAAATCGGCTTTACCGCTCCTACCGGATGCGCCGAGCAAGCCTTGTGCGCGCAGTTCTTCACGCTCGAGCTTCTTCTGTCGTTTCTTCTTACGGTCGTTCTCCCAGCTTTCTAGCATATCTGTCTTGAGTTCCACGTCGGATAGCTCTTCCAGCTCCGGCGGCAGCTTGCCTTTCCGACCCTTCTTGGGCTGGCGAAGTGATGGGCGGTCGAAGTCCATGATATCGAAGCCGCTTTCACCGTATTGCTCGACCGTGTCCGCCAAAGCCGAAGCGTCTGGGAAGCTGAAACCACCACTACGACGTCCGCCGCTCTTGCCACGCCGGCTAGGACGCGTCAAAGCCATGTTTGACAGGTCCCGTAGACCGGTACGCGCGTCGTCCACGTCGCCAAAGCCATCGATGTCGCCCTCCGCGCCGAAGAAGCCATCATCGATGACAAGATCATCTGCATCAATGCCCATCTCTTGCTGCTTCGCAAGCAGCCGCGCAAGTTGCTCATCAGTCATCGCATCCTGCCGCCGCTGCCTGAGATCCTCTTCGTCTTCCCACTGCTCTCGCTCCGTGTAGTCGAGGGCATCTTCTAGCTCGGAAGACTCAAGTTCGGAATAGTTGAGCTCGCCGTCGTCGTCAGAGTGCTCCTCACTATAGTCTTGCCCGATCGGCGTGTCGCTGTCTTCGGAAGAGTCTGCGTCTTCCCATTCACCTTGCGAGTGCTCAAGGACCATGTCGTCAGCGACCCCTTTACCGTCTACCACCAGTGACGGCCCGCCAAAGGACTGTGCCGTCACGTGATTGTTTATGGTATCCGCAGCCGGGTGGTCTTCACTGTCAAGCTGGGCTTTCAGGTTCTCCATATAATCGATGTAGGCGGCTTCTTCCGCTGCGTCGTCTTCAATGTCAGAGATGACAGCGTTTCGCTGCTGCCTGTTGTCAAGCTTACGACCGCGCTTGCTCCGCCTGTTAGGCTTCCGAGTCAGATCGATCTCGTCAAGATCAGGTGCAGGTGTTCTGGCCTGCCTCTTCTTTCGTAAGATGTCCTTCATTTCCGCCTGCAGGGTGGCTATTGACTGTTCGGCACCAGCGTCTTTCGTCGGTTGCGCGAGTCTGACGGCTGACCCGCGGATTGGCATCGTCTCGATTGCGTTGAACTCGGCGGGAGAGGGGTTCAAGTCAGGCCGAGCCTTGCCCTTTCGCCAATATGGAGTTGACGGCGCAGGCTCCCACATGTCAGTAACTGGTTCGGGAGGCTGCGGCTGCAGCGTTGGGTTCGAGGCTGCCCAACCCTTTCCGGGCAGCTTGTTGCCAGCCCACGGATCAGCTACCGGAGGAGTTTGCTGAAGCGCTGCTAGCAAGCCGTCCGTGATATGCGGGCTATGCGCTCGTGGCGTATCATTGGGCGGTGCTTCAACAGCATGGTCGGCACTCAAAGGGGCCGCTTGCTTGCCCTTACGGCCGTGAAAGACTACAATCTCGGAGTCTGAGTCTGAAGGTGCAGGAGGCGGCGAGCGCCGTGTTCGCACCTTGTCGGAGTGTTTGCCATTGACAGCAAGACTCGGATCTCCTTCGGTATCGATAATAAAGAGAGGCTTGACCGGAGATGCTGGGCTGTGGATGTTCATACGGCCGATTGCGGACTCTGAGAACTCTAGCTCAGACGTTTCGATAATGTTGGTCTGGATGGTAGTCTCATCTATATCATCATCACCAGCCTCTTCCGATTCTCCGCCTTCGTCCTCGTTCTCATGCACCGCATGGTTAGCGTCTGCCTCGGATCTTGACTTAAGCTTTGCGTTACGTTCGGTGTCGGGTTGTGCACTTGCGCTCACAAACCCGATGGTCCTATGCCGCAACTTGAATTGTGGATCGGGGGCGAAGGACCGGCTTTTGGTCTGCGTGAATCCTCGGAATGTTTGGCCGTCGTCGTCTGTACTACTTAGCAACTATTACGAAGCATCATCGCAGCAGAGGACTTGCCGCTGTCCGGCCCGCCATTGTATCGTGCTCGCTTTCCTGCACGTCCTTGCTTGCTTTGCTTCGGCTTCCCTTTCTTGCCCATATCCGCCTTGTAATCGCACTCTCAAAGTGCAATGCGACACTACAGGACAAGCTTGGCGAGCAAGCAAGAAAGAAAGAAGAGTAGCGTAAGTAGATGCGAGACAGTTCGCCATGCGGACAAGGGTAGATGATGCAGTCGGCGCATGTGGAGAATCCTGCGTTATCGATTACCACCCCGGCACGGTTCAAACCGTACTTTGCATTGTGTCTTCTTCAGGCGGTTGAACGATGGACCAACGATTGCGCGAAGCGCTTGCGTGACATGCTTGTCATCCGCTAGCGATGGACAAAGTGTTTGTATATCGCTCAGGCTTGAGCAAATGAGTTGACTACGCTCAAGCACAGAGCGAGCCACTGCATCCAAAGCTGCGACTGTAAAGGATTAAAGTTAGCTACGGAGCGACACGAACGAGCCGTATGCGATCGGCCGCCGGGCCGAGGGTTGACGGTAAGCCGAATCCACAAGCTCCCAGGCAGCCCTCGTGCCCTCCATCTCCACCCGCGTCTCAGCTCATCTGTTATCAACTACCTAGAGCTTGGTCTTCCCTGTCTAACGCCATAATGAACAATACTACCGACTTCTCGCGCTTGACCAAGCGGATCGTGCAGCACTTCTGGGACCCTTTACCGCGCAACGAGGACCCCGCAGGCATCATATTCTGCCTTGGGCGGCGATATGACCCTCGATATCTACAAGGCAGGCAGCTCAAGAGTACTAGCACAGGCAATTCGCCCTCTGCGAAGTCGGAATCTGAGGTGTCGCAACCGGACTCGGCGGTTGTGATAACGGATGCGAATCAGAAGCGGGAAGAGTCCGCAGAGAATGGGAAGGATGATTTGTCCAACAGCCAAATGGACCTATCGCGAGCTGAGGAAGAAGCGCTCGGCTGGCCAGCAGAGTTCATGGACGACATGGAAGCCCGAATATGGCTCACTTACCGCAACAACTTTCCGCCTATAGCCAAGTCTAGCGATCCTAGTGCTGGTTCTGCAATGTCTTTCTCTACCAAGCTTCGAAACATCGGCAACTCGGGTGGTTTCACAAGCGACGCAGGATGGGGCTGTATGATACGTAGTGGGCAGACTCTGCTTGCAAACAGTTTAGCCACCCTCAAGCTCGGCCGGGACTGGCGGCGGGGACAGAAGGAGGATGACTACAAGCACCTCATTTCGCTCTTCGCGGATACCCCAGAGGCACCTTTCAGCATCCACAAATTCGTGGAGCATGGCGCGCAAGCTTGTGGCAAGCATCCTGGCGAGTGGTTTGGGCCGAGTGCTACAGCTAGGAGCGTACAGTGAGTCATTCTCACCCTCATGCTCTTGTGCATTCTATTTCTCTCAGATATGCCAAGCTAAGACGGTCAACAGGGCGCTCACCGAGAAGTATCGAGACGTCGGCTTGCGAGTCTACGCACGTCCCGACGACGGCGACGTCTACGTCGACTCACTCTTCGCTACCGCTGGCCAGATGGACGCAAACGACGAGTTCCAGCCCACCTTGATCGTTCTCGGCATACGACTGGGCATCGACCGCATCACGCCCGTTTACCACGCCGCTCTCAAGGCAACACTCGAAATGCCGCAATCGGTCGGCATCGCAGGCGGCAGACCGAGCAGCAGTCACTACTTCGTCGGCCATCAAGGCGACAATTTCTTCTACCTCGATCCGCACACTACTAGACAAGCGATACCGCAGAATCCATCAGCCGAGGATCTTGCGTCGTGCCATACGCGTCGATTACGGCGGCTAAAGATCGCGGAGATGGATCCCTCTATGCTGCTTGGCTTTTTGATCCACTCGAAGGAGGAATTCGTCGAGTGGCGGAAGGCTGTTGACGAGATTGGGGGAAAGGCCATTATCCATGTGCACGATAAGGAGCCCAAGTACGCCACGGGCAATGAGCGACCGGAGGCGGTTGATGAGGTCGAGACGTGGGATGAGGCTACGGAGGATGATGCTGGCGATGAGAATTGACGACGGGTCTGAACGAATTGCACGAGATACTGAAGATTCTTGTAAGCTGTCCGCGGATGCATAGCGTTGGAATGAATAGGCATTACACGCCGTGATTCGTAGTAGCTGGCTCTGCATTGCACCATCGCACCTTCTATCGCACATACCGTCCACCACATGTTTCGACATGGACACTGTTCTCATCGAACCCTTGCTTGAGCCTGACAGCTTTGGAATGTGCTGGTGTTTCGCTCTTTGAACGCGAAGTCGGCACGCTAACGGTCCGTGAACAACACCCCTTGTTCTTCCGCGTAGAAATTATCAAGTGCATCGCGAAAACTGGAAACAGCGGCTCTCACCCTGTGCAAGTTACAGAGACGAAGCAAGAGGATAAATTCCAGGTGACGTTGAGGAAGGAAGACGAAGTGATGTATCAAGTCATGCATTCGCGCCTTCTTCTCGAAGACTCATCGCTGCTGTCTGCTGCTACTGTACAGACCCATCATGGCAAATGCAGGCCTATCCTTTGCCGCCTGCTGCAGCAGCTTCCTCTTCGGAGACCCCATGGTATCAGCAATGTAGAGAAATAGCAGCATCATGGAAAACACCCCAGCCCGTGATCGCATTATCGCGCACTCAGTTAACGCCCACCATCATGACCATGTTGAAAGAACACGCAAGCAACTCGTGACCAAGCGCTTACTTCGTGGAGGAAGAGTACTTGGTGACGGCCTTGGTGCCTTCGGAGACGGCGTGCTTCGCAAGCTCACCAGGTAGGATGAGTCGCACGGAGGTCTGGATTTCGCGTGATGAGATGGTGGACTTCTTGTTGTATGCGGCGAGCTTGCTGGCCTCGGTGGCGACGCGCTCGAAGATGTCGTTGACGAAGGAGTTGAGGATGGACATTGCGCGGTTCGAGATACCGGTGTCTGGGTGCACCTGCTTCAGGACTGAAGGAAAGACGCGTCAGCGGGTGCGAAAGTACGTGATGAGGAAGGTCGGCATACCCTTGTAGATATACGAGCTGTAGGTCTCCTTGCGGGTCTTTGTCCTCTTCCTTGGGTGTTGTTAGCGAGTGTCTGAGATCGGCGCGCGAAGAGTGGGAGCTTACTTCTTGTCGCCTGAAGCGGGCGCGGTCTTCTTGCCAGCTTCCTTGGTCGCTGGTGCCTTGCCGGCAGTTGTCGCGGGCGCCTATGAAGGTGTAAGTGATGGAAGTGAAGGCGCGGTATCAATTCATCGCCATACCTTGCCTGCGCCGGCTGGGGTCTTGGAAGCAGCTTTGGGGGCCATTTCGAAACGGTTCTGGCCTGGAAATTGGATGAGTTGGATGTGGTGGATGAGATTGTTCGAGTTGTGTTAGTACTGATGTGAGGTGAAGGCTGCGCTGAGTGGAGTGTAAGGACGATGGCTCCACGGTGCAGAAAGCGGGATGTCACGCCTCTTATACGGATGCTCGGCAAGCGCCGCCTGCTAATCACTCGCGTTGTTTTGGCTGCTGGCGCACAGGCCACTTTCGCGCTTGGGAATTGGGATTGATAGCACGCCCCGCATGGAAGCGGCGACACTTCAAAAGCGAGCACTCGCCGTCGTCGTCGCTTTCTCTTCCTTTCCTGTTCCTCCAACTACACGCCTTCCATCACCAGCGATCCATCCATTTTCAGCATCCGGCACTTTCGACTCAACCGCATCACCCAATCCAACCAAATCCACCCCATTTCAACTCCATCACCATGACGGGCGGAAAGTCAGGCGGCAAGGCCAGCGGCGCGAAGAGCAGTGCGCAATCGTAAGTCCTCCTCTGCAGTCACTTTCGAAGTGGTTTGACGCCTTTGTTCACTCACAACACGCGTCTTCCGCCCTCATCCCTACCGAGCGCAAACTGACATCATTTACAGCCGTTCATCCAAGGCCGGTCTCGCATTCCCAGTTGGTCGTGTCCACCGTCTCCTCAGGAAAGGCAACTACGCGCAGCGTGTCGGTGCCGGTGAGTCACAACGCCTCCCAAGTCCGCCACTTTGCACATACTGACCTTGAATCAGGTGCTCCGGTCTACCTCGCAGCCGTTCTTGAATATCTGGCCGCTGAAATCCTCGAGTTGGCTGGCAACGCCGCCCGTGACAACAAGAAGACCCGTATCATCCCGCGTCATCTCCAGCTCGCTATCCGCAACGACGAGGAGTTGAACAAGCTTCTCGGCCACGTCACGATCGCCCAGGGTGGTGTACTGCCCAACATTCACCAGAGTAAGCTCCACCATCGCACTCAGCCTTGTCCATCAACCACTAACATCGCATTCTTTCAGACCTCCTGCCCAAGAAGACCACCGGCAGCAAGGGTGCCGCTGGCCCAAGCCAAGAGCTGTAAACGCTTTTCGGTTCATGATTTCGTGGTTACGGCGTCCAAGGGGTTGCTCGGTCGAGATGATAATGGGGTTCATCACGGCGGGTATGAGCACTGGACACAGTGCCTGGTTTCGTTATTTGCATGGCTGCGTCTGATTTCCGGCAGCGGAGAAAGCTGTACATTATGCCCATGGCGGTGGTAGAGGCCAAGGGCAGAGCTTATGATGATACCAAATGAAGCCTTCTGATCAGTCACTACTCGTTCTATAATGCTTTCACCCTGCTTGATCGTTTCGATTGCATGTAAGACGTAATTTCTACGGCGCATGGAGAAATGAGGTGTGAAGATGCTCTTCCAGACATGAGGCGCAAGCAAGCATGTTTGATCTCCAGCTTTGTCAGGAAACACCCCATGCTTGAACCTCACTCGCACGGCAGCAGCGTCCACCACGACATGTTAGCAATATGCGCAACAAGCACTTGGACGGAACTACGTGAGGCAGATTGGATCTTTTGTACAGGGAATACAGCACGCTAAGCGAACATGCAGCGAACCATCTAGATGTTGTCGTCGTCCGGGCTCATACAAGAAGCATCTTCCGCGGGTCTTCGATATACTGCGCGAAGGCATCAGCATACGACACATCCACAACATGGCCACGAAAAGTGTTCTGCTTACCTCCTTGATCTTGACTAGGAAAGTCACTGCTTCGCGGCCGTCCAGTAGTCTGTGGTCGTATGTAAGAGCGAGATACATCATCGGCCTGATTTCAACCTTGCCAGCGATGGCGACCGGCTTGTCCTTGATGGCGTGCAGGCCAAGTACGGCGGTCTGCGGAAGGTTGATAATGGGTGTGCCCATCAGCGAGCCAAAGACGCCCCCGTTGCTGATGGTGAAGGTGCCGCCAGCCATGTCTTCGATCGTGAGCTTGTTATCGCGCGCCTACACGGATTAGCCGCAAGCTTCACAGGTCCTACGTGTTCTCCGCTCACCTTCTTGCCGAGTTCCGCAATCGCCTTCTCAATGCCAACCATGTCCAGGCTTTCCGCATTACGCACCACAGGGGTAACCAGACCCTTCTCCGTCGCCACCGCAACACTGATGTCAACGTAGTCACGGTACACGATCGTGTCACCACTACCAGCGCCCTCTATACTGGCATTGACAGCGGGAATGTCCTTCATCGCAAGCACGGCCGCCTTGGAGAATGCGCTCATGAAGCCAAGCTTCACGCCAGTGTTCTTAAGGATCTCATCCTTGTACCGCTTCCGCATGTCCATGAGCGCAGACATGTCGACCTCGTTGAAGGTTGTTAGTGAGGCAGCGGTGTTCTGCGACTGCTTGAGACGCTCGGCAATGCGCAAACGCATACGGTTCATCTTCACCCGGCGTTCTTCGCGGCTGCCATACGGTGATTCGACCTTTGGCGACTGTTCGGAAGGCAGCTTCTGAGGCTGTTTAGACTCTTCTTTCTGCTTTGGCGGCTCCGGTTTCGATTCTTGCTTTGGCGGTTGAGGCTTGGATTCCTGCTTCGGTGGTTCGGGCTTGGATTCCTGCTTCGGTGATTCGGGCTTAGATTCTTGCTTCGGCTCTGGCTTTGACTCCTCCTTCTGGCCGTCGGGCTGCGAAGACGTCTCCTGAGCGCCTGATGCCGGCGATTTGGGTTCTTCCTTGCCCTTCTCTGCCTTCTGCCCTGGCTCACCGCCAAGCTCTAACCGCACGAGGTCCTGTCCAACGGTCACGGTGTCTTCCTCCTTGGCCAGAAATTCCTTGATTGTGCCAGCAGTAGGCGCGTTGACAGCCACATCGATCTTGTCGGTCTCGATCGTAGCGATTTCCTCATCCTGCTCTACGTAGTCGCCAGGCTGTTTGGAAAACTGTTTCAGGGTACCCTCCGTGATCGACTCTGCCATATCTGGCACCTTGACAATTTGCTCTTCTGTAATACTTATCAGTACTTATGGGTTCGTACTCTCCACGACGTCACGAACCATGGCGATGACTTGACAAGCTGAAAGGGCGGGACTGGGAGATAAGCGCAGGTATTCTGCCTCAGAGTTAGCTAGGCTGTCTATCGCGCATCTCTACCTAGGCATGACTCACTGTCGCCGTTGTAAGGCAGGTACGAGACGTATAGGCTGTGAGCTTAGGCATCGTAGAGAGCTTCTGGAGCCCTGCGGGAGCTGGCGTAGGATGGGTCTTGCGCCAGCGGCGAGCCGACGTAGGAGTTGTGAGCTTGACATGACCTGAGGGCGGCAAAATGCCTTTGACTGTTCCTCAGGACCAAGTCAAAGTGTCAGTTTAAGGATGGGTGGAATGAGAGAGGTTCGACGCTGAAAGCGTAAAAGGTTGGTCTGCGTTTGCAGACGGGAGCATTGGTACAACGCAATGTGGCCCAAGCTTTCAATTGCCGGTTCCCTCCGCCCTGTGCTCGTCTCGGTCGTATCAGCCACAGCCATTGCGGGCTCTTCAGGTACGGTACGTTACGTTAGACGGTAACTTGGCGCGGCGTTCAACAGCGCCTCGAGCGAAGGAGTCGGACTTCTAGGACACGAGACCCGGGGCGTGAGCCCATTGAAATCCTCACAATGGCCGCAAAGAACGAAGTCCTGTAAGGAGCGCGCTCACTATTGCTTGAAGAACACATACTGAGTTTGGTGCAGCAAGCTCTATCGCCGCTCTCTGAAGCTCGCACTCGACTGGGCTATCCATCGACACTTGTGGAGAGGGCAGGCAGTGTACATTCGATCACTCTTCGAAGCGAACAAGAACATCACGCAGCCTAGACAACAAAGAGTATGCACTGCGGCAAGGCGAGGTCGGACAGGGCACGATCAAGCCTTGGTACTGACATGCGTTAGGCACTTATCGAGGAGACAGAGGGTATACTGGAGAAGTGGAAGCACCCAGATCCGTATAGACCGCCTACAGCACCGGGTGGCAGCAAGTACGAGCGCAACTTGCCCGTACCGACTACCGAGCGTATGTATCCGAGGGGACATCGTACGAATACTGCTGACAACTCCCAGCACCACCACCTATGCATGTATAGGCAGTGCAGGAACGAGGAGTTATGGCATGTACATAAGGCGGCATTGTTTGCACATAACCAACTCGCAAAGCATTGGGACTGCGGTCCAACGAATATTCACGATCCCATCCATTAGCCGCCAAGTATTCAGCAGGGCCAAATGAACAGTGGCTGGAAATGTAGAAAGCTAATACTACAGCATTGGGCGCACGTTGTCGTTAGCTGGCGCGCCACCTCCCCTGCGCAACTCAACCCAATCCCGAATCGCGCTCACAAGGCCATCGACTTGCTGCACGGTGTTGCCAGCATGAAGACATATTCGAATACGCTCAGTTCCTACAGGAACCGTCGGCGGCACGATGCCTCGCACGGTGAAGCCTTTGCGTTGGCAGTAAGCCGCAAGCGCTTTCGGCTCGGATGACAGCACGGCAAATATTGGCGATTCCGGACAGTCTTGCGGCACTCGCAGTGGTGCACACATACTGCTCTCCGGGCTGTTCATGTCTACCAGTGAACTCTGCAAGGTGAGCAACCTCTGATGTAACATGTGGATTAACTGCCACAGACTCCGTGACAAGGGTTCCGCCTTCCCTTCCATGAGAAAGCTGTACGACGCTTTGATAGCCGCCAGAGCCGGGTACGACATGAATGTTGTGTAAATCAAGGGCCGAGCATAGTTGATCAGATACTCACGGATCGTCGGACTGCAGAGCAAAATCGCACCGTTGCACGCCATGGCTTTGCCGAAGGTATGTAGTCTGACCGTCATGTCCCGCTCAAGGCCAAGCTGACAGACCAGACCTTTGCCGAACGATCCATACAGGCCGGTTGAATGCGCCTCGTCGACAATCAGGTGGCCGTTCCCAGCCGGTAGCAGCTGCTTGATTAAGCGAACGATCTCCCGGAGCGGCGCTACATCACCATCCATGCTGTAGACGGTCTCAACGGCGATGAAGACGTTGCGCCTGCCCTTTAGAACCTGGATATCGTCACGAACAATTTCTCGGAGTACGTCCCTCAGCGCAGACGGATCGTTGTGCGCGAAGGCGACCCGCTTTCGCGCCCGCGATAGCTTCATACCATCATGCACGCTTGCATGGATGAGCTCGTCATAGACAATGACATCTCCCGACTGTGGAAGGCACGACCAAAGACCGACATTCGCATCGAAGCCGGAGTTGCAGAGCAGGCCAGACGGTGCGTTGTGGAAACTGGCAATCTCCCTTTCGAGCTTTTCGGCAAATGTCGAGTTGCCGTCGAGTAATCGTGAGCCTCCGCTGCCTGTGTTGGTCGGTCCATTTTTTAGCTCGTTGATGAATGATTGTCGTAATTCTTGATTTGTCGCTAATGACAGGAAGTCGTTGGACGAAAAGTCTACGGCATTTTGGTTGTTGGTTGTTAACGATCGGATTGTCGATGAAGATCGCCTTCTGTCCAGACTCCTGTTGATTGCATCCTCGAGCCCCATCACCTGTACCGCCCTTTGCGTGTTCCCTAAGTCTTCCACATCAACATATATCAGTCGTCAAATTTGAAGGGAAGTGCGGGCGGTGAGATTGATTGTGCCCCACACCGAACGCCAATGGTCATCGAATCCTCAACCGCGAGCCTAGGCACAACAAAGGCTATATTTCTTCTTTCCTGGATGTTCTGACTCTCTTTTCGTTGTGCGGCGTTATGAGGCAAGTTGGGTCTGTACTGTGGCCGAAACTGCGGGTCCTGCAAGTGTACGGTGCAAACACAGGCGTTGGCAAAACAATCTTTTCTTCGCTTCTATGTCAAGCGTTCCAGCGACATTTCCCGAAGGTACATTACCTTAAGCCGATCTCTACAGGACCGCTCGACGAAGCGGATGACCAGTAAGTCACATCTCACCCGTTCATCCACTTGACATACTGGCAGACGCTATCTTTGCCACACGCGGTATCGGCATTGATTAGGGTTAGTGTTTGGGTTAGCAGAGAGACCAATGAGCATGTAGTGATTGAGTCCTAGACATGTTGCGACACTTGGGCAGAATACACGAGCGAGATGCCTCTATCAGTTCTCTGAGCCTGTAAGCCCACATATCGCCGCTAGGTCGTCTTCCAAGGTGCGCCACCCCAACCTTTGTCCCAGCTTGACACCTCGCTGATTGCTCCCTAGCCCGTTGCGGACGCGAATGTACGGACGGCGGTCCATGACGAGCTGCGAACCTACGCCACTGATGAGGATGGTATCGCCATCGTCGAGACGGCAGGCGGAGTGCTATCGCCGTCACCCAGCGGTAGCTCTCAAGCCGACCTCTACCGGCCCCTGAGGTTACCCGTCTTCCTGGTTGGCGATCATCAGCTAGGCGGCATCGGCACGACCATCTCTGCGTGGGAGTCGCTGCGTCTCCGGGGCTATGATGTCCAATCCATAGCATTGTTCGCCGAGGACAGGTACGATAATCATACCTACCTCAAGAGCTACTTCGCAGAGCGGGACGTCCACGCGTTTTCAATACCACCACCTCCGGGGCGTGATGCCGATGCCGTTCAAGATGCCGAAGAAATGCGGAAGTACTACACAAGTTCCAGCGATCACCGTGCAGTCTCCGACTTCACCAACAGGTTCCTGGAGGCCCACGAAATGCGCCTTCGCAACATCCAGCTCATGCCCTCAGAAGCCGAGCAAGCCATCTGGCACCCTTTCATGCAGCATACCGAGCGATCGAAGGACACGATCGTTGCGATCGACTCGGCATACGATGACTATTTCCAGACATATACCACCAAGCGAGCCGCCCAGCAAGCCTCGAGCCCAGAAGCACCGCTTCTTGTACCTGCATTCGACGGCTCAGCCTCATGGTGGACGCAAGGCTTGGGCCACGGTAACCCTCGACTTGCACTCACCGCAGCGCACGCGGCTGGCCGGTACGGTCACGTCATGTTTGCGGGTGCTGTACACGAGCCGGCCCTTAGGCTTGCGCAAACACTGGTTGAGAAGACGGGCAACCCGCGACTGAGCAAGGTCTTCTTCACAGACAACGGCAGCGCGGGCATGGAGGTTGCTGTCAAGATGGCTTTGCGGGCTGCTGCTGTCCGGAATGGCTGGAGTGCTGAAGACGACATCCGAATCCTAGGCTTACAAGGCAGCTATCATGGCGACACGATCGGTACGATGGACTGCAGCGAGCCAAGCATTTACAACAAGAAAGTCGAGTGGTACACAGGGCGCGGACAATGGCTCGACTTTCCCCAGGTTAAGATGCGCAAGGGGCAGTGGGTTGTCGAACCTCCTGCCACGTTCGAGGGGGCACTTGGCGAAGTGGAAGAGTTCGAGAGCCTAGCCGCGGTTTTCGACCTAGGGAACAGAAGCCAGCATCGCGATTTATACAGAGACTATCTCAATGGATGGCTTGCCGAGCAAGCGCGACAAGGCACCAAGTTCGGCGCGCTGATCATGGAACCGATACTGCTTGGCGCAGGCGGGATGATGTTCGCAGATCCGTTGTTTCAGCGCTGCCTTGTTGAAGCTGTGCGTAAGCAAGAGTCCAGCGCGACTTCAGCCCGTGGCGAGCACGAGTGGAGTGGTATGCCAGTGATCTTCGACGAGATCTTTACGGGCCTGTATCGGCTAGGCCGCTTCAGCGCAGCCAGCTTCCTCGGTGTCCAACCAGACATCGTAGCAAATGCCAAGCTGCTAACCGGTGGGCTGTTGCCTCTCTGCACCACCACAGCCAGTCAATCAATATTCGAAGCTTTTCTAAGTAAGGATAAGAGCGATGCATTGTTGCACGGACACAGCTACACCGCACATGCTGTCGGTTGCGCAGTTGCTAACGAGAGTCTGGGAACCATGATGAAGATGGAACGACAAGGCGCATGGACAACCTTCAGGGAGAGCTGGTTGCCATCGAGCCATGGTTTGAGCCTGTCTACAAGCTCCGGTGAGGTGTGGAGCATGTGGTCGAATGCATTCCTGAAGGCGATCTCGCACCGGCCGAATGTCGATTATGTCTTTGCGCTCGGATCTGTTCTCGTCATTGCGCTGAAGGATCCCGCCGGGGCCAGCTATGCTTCAGCCGCCGGAGCCGGCCTGCGCGACAAGCTATTTGCTGGCGACTCTGGCGACGAAGCTGTTATCCATTCTCGCGTCCTTGGAAACGTGCTGTACTTGATGGCAGCAATCAGCACTAGTCGGGAGACCCTTGAGGCCATCGAGGAGAAGGTCTTCAGCGCGCTAGAGTAAGCCTGCAGCCAGCTTGCAATAACCGCCATATACGTTTACCGAGCCGTCAATATCAGACCTTTACTCCTTGTTCTCCTGCGGTCTTATATATCCACTCCACAATCGGCTCGACATCTACCTTCTTAATCGGCACTCTATGCGTGCCGTCCCACTCAATGACCGTCGAGGTCTTTGGGTCATGATACTGCTTGAGCATCTTCCTGTGCAGGTGCAGCCCTCCATCATTCAGGCCATGTACATGTAGCGTTGGCAAGCGTAGAACATGCGGACTCTCTCCTTCGTAATGGAAGCCTTCGCTGATTGCGCCAGCGGAAACGCATGCTGGACTCTTGCTGTACTCGCAGAAGCTCACCAGCGGACTCCTTCCTGCCAGTAACACCGCGAACTTGTAGTCGGTATCTGCCTTGCCCTCCTTCTCCATACGTATCTGCTGATCGTACAACAAGCTCGCTGACAGCTTTGCACCCTGGCTGAACCCCATCAACCCGACCCACGGTCCCGTCCCTTGATCTTCCTTCTTCGCAGTGTTGATGCTGTACATAACCTCTTCAATCGCGGCATCGTCGTCAATCTCTGGATGCTCGGGCAGCCATCTCAGCCAGCGTCGGAAAGGGCCAAAGTCCTGGAAGACAGGCACTATGCCAGGACCGGCGTCGCAGAAGAACGGTCCGTCGGCAAAAACGAGGCGGAAGTCGGGTAGATCGCGGATTAATGAGCGGGCTTGCATGCGGAAGATCTCGCCAGTCACGCCGCCACCGTGGAGGCAGAGAATGCGCGGAGCATCGAGTTTCTCTCCAGTAGGTGCGGGTGTGTGGCCTCTTGATACCGAGTCTCCCGCCATTTTAGCGGAATGTCGCTTGCGTTGTTTAACGTTCTCCAGCTATCGTATCGTTCGGTTGGTGAATGTGGCTCGCCTTGTGGCGCCGCAAGACTTCCAATGTTCACTACGGGCGAGTAAGATGGCAGACTATTCTTTCATGCAGCGTTACGAGGGAGATGTAAGGAATAGAACCAGTACTTGACCATCTGCGCCGTGCTTGAGCTACCAGCTGAAATGCGACGTCGGCGCCGACTGTGAGAGTGGAGCTCCGGTGGGCAGTCCCAACACTCTGTCCTTTCGGCGGTGAAGCAACAACAACACGAGTTATATATCTTAAGACGACAACGCTTTCCCTGGGCTTGAGGGTGTCGCCGCAACAACGCTTGAGCAAGGGATCGTTCGTGAGTGCGGCATTGTAACTTCGGTAGACCAAGCGACAGAGTTGCAACACCATTGCCGATCCCGACAACCACCCTCGACCTCCGCACCTCCATGGGCTGCATCCAAGCCTACCTGGGTATTTTCATCATAGTCACATTGCTCTGCGCTGCTGTTTACGAACCGGAAGGGAGGGCGAGTATTCTCTCATATTCATCTCTTACTGGCTACATCAGTTCATCGCGTAATTGATGCCCTTTCGTCCCTCTCATCTACTGGAATATTACCATTCTGTTATAAACCGTCATGGCGCCCAAATATGAGCTACATCCTGAGCGCAAGTACAGCATTGCGATTGTGGGAGGCGGCATTGGTGGGCTTTGTACTGTCAGTCACGCGATCAACTTCGCTGCACAGGAAAGCGACTGATCGAATATGGATCGCAGGCGATAGGTCTGCTACACCAGGGCGTGCCCGTACATATCTATGAAGGCAAGCGCTTATGGTGAAGTTTTGATCACGACCACAAGAGTAGTGCTGACAGACACCACAGCCGCTCCTGCCTTCGCCGAGATAGGCGCAGGCGTCTCGCTGGGCCCCAATGCCGCCCGAGCCATGAAATTGATCGATTCGAAAATCTATGATGGCTTCTGCAGATGTAGGACGAACAATAGCTGGCCGGACAGACAGCACTACTGGTTCTCTTTCCGCAAGGGTGAGGACACGAGCAGCAAGTTTGGCACGCGGTTCTACGACATGTGGTGCGAGACGGGCCAATCGAGCGTTCACCGGGCGCGCTTTTTGGACGAATTGGTGGCATTAGTGCCTAGCGAGATCGCACACTTCGGCAAGCGGTTGGAGAGCGTGCAGGACAAGGGCGACAAGGTCATCATACGCTTCGGAGACGGCACCTCGGCTGAGCATAGCGCACTGATAGGCTGTGATGGGATTAAGAGCAAAGTCCGAATCGCCCTGTTCGGCAACGACCATCCAGCGGCGCATGCGGTGTTTACGGGCAAGTATGCGTATCGCGGATTGATCCCCATGGAAGAGGCCGCGAAGCTTATGGGCGATGAGCTGGCCAGAAATAGCCAGATGTATCTAGGGCACGGTGGGCATATCCTCACCTTCCCAATCGAGCAAGGCAAGACAATGAACGTTGTCGCATTTGGCACGAAGGAGGACGGCAAATGGGAAGACCCGGAGTGGGTGAAGCCCCTGGATCGTGCGCAAATGGAGAAGGATTATGAGGGCTGGGTCGAAGCTACAAGGCAAATTTTGAGCCTGATGCAGAAGCCGGATATGTGGGCACTTTTTAATCACCCGCCCACACCCACGTACTTCAAGAACCGCGTTTGTATCCTCGGCGATGCCGCACATGCGTCGGGGCCGCACAACGGCGCAGGTGCCAGCCAGGCCATAGAAGATGCTTTGATCATGAGCAGGGTCATGGCACGCGTCTTCAACGCTGCGGATGTCCCTCGCGCATTTGCTGCGTATGATAGAGTGCGGAGGCCTCGCTCTCAGTATCAGGTGAAGATGGCGTATGAAGGCGGCTTGCTTTATGATCTGCAGTTGCCCGGTTATATGGATGACTGGGACAAGGTGAAGGAGTTGCTGTCTACCAAGCAACATTGGATCTGGAACCACGACCTCGAGGCTGATATCAGGGAGGTGGAGCGCATCTTTGCCGAGGAGACTGCGCGCTTGTAGCGTTGCAGCCGGCTGCGCTACTTTCCCTTTTTCACCCATCTGCAGAAGCTGAGCAGCTACGGCACCCACCGGAGCCGCTCAGGACCACACGAGCGAGAAATGATCGCAGGAGAGCAGATCGAAGGCGCCGCCAGTCGAAAATCCGTAAAGTACGAACAACACCCCTCCATGGCTATGACGCACCCCTAGGCGGGAACTGGCTGTCCTTTGCACCGCCATGATTGTCGACCCTCAGAAACAGCAGATTGCTCAAGGCGATCCAGCTTCCATTCCATGCATCTAGCCTCTGCAACGTTTCCGCGTCCTGAAGGTTTGGCAGCCAGTAGCCGCTCTCGTACTCCTTCCTCTCCTGCTCAGTTTGCTGCTCAAGAAGCGTGAGTCGTGTACTCGCCGGCCTGCCAGGCCTGCGCTCTGCTCTGAGCTGCTCGATCTCCTCGGAGTTACGTCCCAGGTACTCCTCAATAAGTTCCTTGATGCTTGTCATGTCCAAGGGATTCAGCGTCTCAGGCAGCCTGTCTTGGAAGAACGCAACTCGTTCAAGCCATTGCCTGTTGGCCTTTTCGCGAGTCGAATTTAGCCTTGCCACCCGGTCATCTCTGTTTGAAGCTTTCCGTAACCGCCTGGCATCGCGACTGTTCTCGTGCAACGAGTTGATCTTGGTGCCCTTCTTTCTCGTTACCTGTTTCTGTACTTTCGCGAGCTTCGACGGCATGACGATCGCCTAGAGTTTACCTGTAAATTACAGTATCTGATCTTCATGAATTTGGATTTCTTGTAAGAGCTGCGGTCATTCTCGGCAAGTGCGGCCGCTTGTCCGCTCCCCACGTTGGTCTCGACGCGTCTTCCAACTCCCTGCGCGTTCCCATCCAAAGATATCTGCTCATGGTAGACTTTCAATGATCCAGGTACCCATAGCGCAGCTGTGCGGTATTGAGGAGATGGTCGCCGTGGTAATGTGATGCATAAAGGTCGCCGTGTAGACACTCAAAGCCGACTAGCAAGACCTCCGCAATGGGCATACAAGGTACGTTCTCATCGCATTGCAGTAGACGGATGCAATACTAATCTTCTACAGGCCTTCTGCCGTTGCTCAAGAGCATACACAAGCCAACACACCTTCGCAACTTCGCCGGGCAGACTCTTGGGGTAGACGCATATGGTTGGCTTCACCGAGGTACCATCTCCTGCGCAATTGAGCTGGCCCAGCAGAAGCCGACCCGCAAACACATTGACTTCGTACTAAACCGTGTACGCATGCTGATACACTTTGGTGTCTCACCCTACCTGGTCTTTGATGGCGACTATCTACCGAGTAAAGCGCACACGGAGAAGGAGCGGGCGGCGAGACGGAAGGAAGCCAAGCGGGTAGGCCTGGAGCTGCTCCGCGTAGGGAAGCCTGCACAGGCGTACCAGGAGCTGCAGAAAGCCATCGATGTCACGCCGCTTATGGCCCGAGAGTTGATCGAAGAGCTGAAGCCGCTGGGTGTGTCTTACGTCGTCGCGCCATATGAAGCCGACAGTCAGCTTGCCTACCTTGAGAAGCAAGGCATCATCTCTGGCATCGTTAGCGAGGACTCGGATCTGCTGGTGTTCGGCGCTAAATGCCTCCTCACCAAGCTCGACCAGTACGGTGAATGCGTCATGATCCGCCGTCAAGATTTCACTTCCTGCCGAGAGGTCAGTCTGGTGGGCTGGACGGACAGGGAGTTCCGTATGATGTCCATGCTTAGCGGTTGTGACTACCTGCCAGGTATTGAGGGTCTGGGCGTGAAGACGGCCTACCGGCTCGTGCGCAAGCACAAGGCAATCGAGCCGGCTGTGAGGATGCTGCAATTTGATGGCAAGAAGAAGGTGCCGCCGGGCTACTTGGAGGCCTTTTCGAGGGCCGAGCGGACTTTCTTATATCAGTGGGTCTTCTGCCCGGAAGCACAGCGTCTTGTTAACCTCAACGCACCTCCAGCGGAGCTGGATGTTGCAGGCATGCCCTACATAGGCCAGTGCGTGGAGCCAGAGGTGGCGCAAGCGGTTGCTGCTGGCGAGGTCGACCCAAACACAAAGGAGCGACTGCACCTGCCTTCCAGACCGCACTTCCCGTCTTCACGATCAAAGGTGGCAGAGACCAATGAGAAGCCCGGCGTGCCAATTACCGACTTCTTCAAGCCTACTGCGCAGGCAAAGACAGTGGAGACGCCGAGTGAGAAGCCCGGGAAGGGCATCACCAATTTCTTCAAGCCAACACGCACACCTCTCGCAGAGCTTGATCCGAACTCGTTCACGCCGTCTCCAAGTCAGCAACGATTGCTTGCAGCGCAGCACACAGCCTCTTGGTCTGCATCGCAAGCCTCCGCTGCTCGCCTGCCCGTCGTTGACCGTATCAGTGGGCGAAGTGTACCGTCCTCGGCACCGCAACCGAGCCGCCGAACGGCCAGTGCACCTCTGCCTGCGGCCTTGCGGCACTCGCCTAAGAGGCAACGTCTGTGTTCAGACAATATGTTCGCTGCGGCCATGGATGGCACTGTCGGCTTGCCGTCCGCTACTAGTCGGTTTTTCTCGAAGCACGGCATGCAGCCGAGCCCGTCGTCGCGCAAAGCCTCCCGCCAGCGCAAGCACGAAGAGTTCGAGCTGTGGTCTGACGACTCTGCCGCAGAAGCTGTCGCTGCCATGACTGACTCGCAGGAAGCAACGGAGGCAGTGAAGACGTCATCTCCGAAGAAACGCAAGAAGCTCGCCGTCTATACGGACCATGACCAAGGCGAACCAGACCAGGTGGCTACTAGGCATGCTGTCGCGACTCAAGCCGAGCTCACTGTATCCAGCAAGGGCGTCAATACGGCTTTTAGCGAGTACAGGACGAAGTGGGCGTTCAAGGCGGATGGATCGCCAAGCACCCCAGTGCATAGAGCATGCGCAGCTCAACAACGACCGCCTACACTGATTGGCAGCGAAACGATCGCTTGCGCGGCACCGCCGCTCCAGACACCATCACAATACGGCGAACCAGACACAAACTCACCATTACCGGAGACGCTTGTTGCTGGATCGTCGCCTGTCACAGGCCCTATACCGTGCCATGACGAGGACGAAATACCGGACGAGGAGTGGCTTGCGATGGAGAAGCGTTCAGCTGTACCATTGCCTCGCGCACAGTGTCCGGGTAGCGAAGACTTGCTGGTGCCCAACAGTCCCAGCAGTGGCAGCGACGATGGCAGATGCAGGCCGAAGCTGGATATTGGACGTTTTGCATTCACCGCATGAGTATCACACAGGTCGGCTTTAGCAAGTTTTGTTGTGGAAGTGTACGATCGACGAAGCTGAGTGCTTGTTTCGTACCGCAGCATGCCATGAAGACTATGTTTTTGGGAGGCTTATGCTAATGTCACCGCGTTGTCCTTCCTAACCAAAACTTCTACCCTAGGCAGTACAAACACCTCAGCGCTTCCATGACCTACAATGTTCGGCGCTATTGTCTTGTATTCATGTTGCCCAGACTTATTCCGTGCGGCTGCACGGCCTCTATTGACCGCCTGCGCCACCAAATCCACACGCATCAGCTTCAGCTCGGATGTCGATGTCTGCTCGGACCACCCGCGGCATGCACAGGCGGGGCAGATGTTGTACGTCTCCGCCCGTACCATGGCACGGCGCATGGATATGTGTGCTGTAATTGGCCTTCTGCGGTACGTCATTCCGATTGTGTGCCCGCATCTGGACATTGCAAAACGCGCTACACTACTGTAGAGCATGTGATTGCATGGTTCACGCGACCTCACACCGCATAGCGCCAAGCTCTTGAGTGGTCGGCGGGCTGCTGGGCGGAGACCGCGGAATAGAGTCGGTGACTTTCCACTGTGGCCGCCTTGTCCCGCATCAGTAGTGGTCTGGTGTTCGCAGCTCGTTATCTGACCCACCGGGAGCTGTCTGAACAGAAAGCTAGCTTGGCATACTCCTTCTCGATCTATCATTTAGGTCATCAGCAAGCCTCCACTGTCTTTCAGTGACACAGCGGCAGACCGTTGCTGCGTTACTCTGCGAAGCCAACCATATATGCCCTTTTGACACAGACCCTTCACTGGCATACGTCACGAGAGAACAAAAAGAGTTCACACCTCGCGAGCACACTCCCGCACATCCGAGCGGCAAGCGCTGCGAGTGATTGAGTCCTGAGCTGTCGTCACTACACCCAAAGCATCTTCTTCCGCAACTCCTGACGCCGCGGTGACCCTAAGTGTGTAAGTCGTACCACGCGCGCGCCTGCAGTAGCCATCATTCCATCATTGCAAGCGAAACACCCGTGGCTGCACTCCCTGTGCGCATACCCACCATGTCTACACCTCAACACGCCGGCGCAAACACTGGCGTCTCGGACTTTGCGCAGGCCAACCCTACCATCTCCTCACCCCTGGCGCAGTCTGCAGGACAGCAAAGTGCGTTCCACGAAGACCTCGACTCGAGCCAGCGCGGCGACTCTTCCATCCAAGGCACAGACGATGGCAATGCCGGAGTGGGTCGATCGGCTTCGACTGCGACTACGGCTGTATCGGTGTGTATTGAAGGCCGTACATCCACTTGCTCTCAGAGCCACTGCTGACCGCTACATCCTTGGCTATGCAGCCTCAGGCGCCGGCACGGAGCAATACGCTGAAGAAGAAGGCCAGTATACGTCGCACAGGCAGCCTGAAGCGGAGTGGAAGCCGCCGCAGTCTGGCCGCCGGCAGCGTCAAGAGCGTGGGTGGAGTGGAAACGGGGAGCGATGATTTCAACAGCGTTCTCTACACGCCCATCCCCACGCAAGGCACGCCGACGGAGGTCTTGGCCAACCGCTTCCAGGCGTGGCGACAGTTGCTCAAGTCGTTGATTACCTACTTCCGCGAGATTGAGGACTCCTACGACACCCGCGCGAAAGCGATACGCAAGGTGCAGAACACGATCGCCAACATCGCACAGCCGTCGATCTTCATCAGTGAGCACGGCTTGGGCGATGCCACGCGCATGCTGGACGATTACCACAAACGCTCCATCGCCGAAGCGAACAAGTCGCGCGACATTGAGAACGACGTTATTGGTGCGCTTACTGGTCTGCGTGCCGATCTGGGACAGAAGATCAAGGAAATCAAGAGTTTGAGCGGCGACTTCAAGAACAGCGTCGACAGGGAGAAGGAAGGCACGAAGCGCGAGATTGAGAAATTGCAGGCAGCTTTGCAGCATGCGGATCACGAGGATGGTGGTGCCACCGGCAAGAACGATCCGTTTGTCGTACGCCTTGGCGTCGACAGGATGGTCGAAAGGCAGATCGACGAGGAGAACTACCTGCATCGGGTAAGTAAAGCGTTCACCCGTAGCGTTGTCGACAGCATACTGATCCTCGGCAGGCATACCTCAATCTGGAAAGCTCCGGCCGTGAGCTCGAGTCCATCGTCGTCGGCGAGATTCAGAAAGCTTACAATGCTCTCGCCGGCATCCTCAAGCGCGAAGCGGACGACGCCTACAACGTCGTCGAGCACCTTCGCAGCGGACCGATAGCGATGCCCAAGGACCGTGAGTGGCTGCAGTTCGTCATCCACGACCCGCACTTCGTCGACCCCAACGTGCCGCTCCGCCGTATCGAAGACATCACATACCCCGGCAAGCATCACCCCGCAGCAGCCGAGGTGCGTGCCGGCATGCTCGAGCGCAAGAGCAAGTATCTCAAGTCCTACACGCCAGGCTGGTACGTCTTGTCGCCCACCCACCTCCACGAATTCAAGTCGGCGGACAAAATCTACACTCAGCCGCCCGTCATGTCCCTCTACCTCGCGGAGCAGAAGCTCGGCTCTCGCTCCGAAGAAGGCTCGTCCAGCAACAAATTCATGCTCAAGGGCCGTAAGTCCGGCGGCGGCGTCCACCAAGGCCACAACTGGGTCTTCCGCGCCGAATCCCACGACACCATGCTCGCGTGGTATGAGGATATTCGCAACCTGACCGAAAGCACGGGCGAAGCGCGGAACGCATACGTTCGCAAGCATGCGCGAAGCATCTCGGGAGTCAGCGAGCGCGGGACCGTGAGTAGCGACGGTTTCGAGGACGATGAAGCGGATGCAGAGCCCTACCGCGCCGATGTTGCCAGCTTGGCGGAGCATAACCCGCCGCCGACGGAGGAGAAGCAGCTACGACCGCAGCCAGGTGAGTGAGTGCTGCCCCTTTTCATTGCATGCCGCACTTCAGCTCAACCTCCGGCTGACTATGAACATTTGTAGGCGGACGATTCCCGTCTGATCTCCAGGTGCCAAGGAGAGAAGCAGCCTTGAGTCATTCGAGTGGAAGCTCCGAGCCGGAGAGGGAGCTTGTTGCCGCCGCGGGTGTGGTGCCCGGATCGGTACAGCAGGACTATGCGCCGCATGGTGAGGATCCGTACAGGCTTGAGAATGTTCCCGACGAGGAACCCACGCCCGGTCCCTCGACGAAAGAGTATGGGTACTATGAGCGACCTGCCCCGCCGGCTGCGGTGCCTCAGCACCAGTACCAGGAGCAGGAGCAGCAGAGGAGCGTTCGTCAACCGGAGACCTACCATCCAAGGAGCCAACAGGAGCCCCCGGCGGAACAGCAGCCGGTCATGCAACAAGCGCAGCGGACGAACTATCAGCAAGTCCCTCAGACCACGCAAGCGCCCCAAACTTCGCAAGCTCCTCACTACTCGCAAGTCGCCGAACGCTCGCAAGCGCCTCAGCCCTCGCAAATTCCTCAACCCTCACAAGCACCTTCCTTCGACGGCGCACAAGCGGACAACCCGGAGTTCACTCCCGCTCCACTCGATCGCCACAGTAGTGTGTACGGCGAGTGGATGGCGCCTGCTGCCGCTGGAGTTGCAGGTGCTGGTGCCGGAGCCTTGGGCGCGGATTATTGGCGTCAGCAGCGGGATCGAGCTGCCGCTGATAAGAACAATCAGACGCAGGGCCAGACGCAGAGGCAAGTGCAGCCACAGATGCAGAGCGAGATGCAGAGAGAGGAGCCTGCTTCAGCTTCGGCAGCAGGGCTGGCAGGATCGAATGTGCCGGAGGAGAGGGATGTTGGGGCTGGAGGGCGTGAGGGGGATAGTGTTGCGTACTCGGCTGGTGGGATTGTGTTGCCGATTCGACAGCACGAGCAACAGCAGCAGCCGGTGCAGCAGCAGCCACCAATCCCGCAGCAGGAACGGGAGCCTGTTCGGCAGCAGCAGCCGATCCAGCAGGAACAGCCTTTGCAGCAGCAGGAACGGCAGCCCATTCAGCAGCAGGAACGAGAGCCTCTTCAGCAGCAGCAGCCGATCCAGCAGGAACAGCCTTTGCAGCAGCAGGAACGGCAGCCCATTCAGCAGCAGGAACGAGAGCCTCTTCAGCAGCAGCAGCAGCGCGCTCTTCAGCCGCAACAGCCGTTTCAGCAACAGCTACCTTTTCTACAGCAGCAGCCTGTTCAGCAGCTGACCCCATCGTTCCCGCAGCAGGAGCAGCAGCCAACGCCATTCCAGCAGAATCAGCCGCTACCGCAAAGGGCTGCCCCATCTACAAGCACCTCGACGACAACGACTGGTAGCGTCGGAGGCGGCGTGGAGAGAAGTGTTCGTGGTGGCAGTGGTAGTGGTAGTGGTCTGGGCGGCCTCGAGAGCAAGGGTGCCCACGAGACCGGTCGCTTTCCCACGGTCGTAAGGCACGACACGGACATGACGATCAGTGCGTTGCATGTGCCCGGTGAGTTTCCGAAGCGGACGTAACGTAACGTAACGTAACGTAGCGGAATTGGGGTGGATGTGGGAGGTTCAGCGTGGCAGTTCATCGCTGGTGGATGCTAGTAAGTTGAGGTAGCTCTTTGGGACCAAATGTTGGCGATGTTTTTTGGTCGTTTTAGTCGCTTCTTCGAGTTCATCTAACACTTCCCCCTCGACCTCCTCGCGCCGCTCCCTTCCCAGCTCTTCCCACGCCGGAAAGAGAAGCTCTCGCCCCTGTCGTCCCTCTTGCTCCGGCAACCCTCCCAGCTCGTCCACTGCCACGCAGAGACGCTGCCCCTCGTCCACCAGATGGCAGGGTATTCTGCCTCGTGGAGCCGGCGGTGGCGTGAGCCGACGGGGGCGCGGAGAATTTACTCCCCGGCTTCTTGGTGCTGGTGGGCGGCGGGTTGTCGACGAAGGAGGTGTCGGTCGTGAGGAACGTTGCGTCCGTGTCGGTCGCTGTTGCTACGTCTTGGCCTGAGGAGCGGGTGGGCGGTGGTGCGTTATGAGTGTGAGTGTGGGTGCGGAAGGGTGAGTCGGCTAGTTGAGGGGAGGTTGTGTGGGTTGTGGCGTGGCGGGCGAAGGATTGGGGGATTGGTGCCTGCAAGAGTTATGAGTGTCAGGCAACGGTGGGCAGTGTCGTTCGGTTGAGGGGTCAGGTTGAGGTTGATGGGGAACGGGGTGGTTGTACCTCCGGGAAATCCACGCAAAAGGCACTCATATTCATGCCGTACAGAAACGCGCCGAAATTCTCGTTGAAACGACCGAGACTCTCGTTCAGGAGTTGGAGGTGCATGAAGTTCGCTTCGAGATCGGCCATGCTGTCGCTTAATTCGGCGAAGGCGGGTTCGAGCGCCGCGAGGGGGAAGTCGGGGTGGGTGTTGTTGGTGTTATCGAGGGCGCTGGCGGTGGGGGTTGCGTGGGAGGCGCGGAGGGAGGTGCGGGAGGGTGGGCGGAGGGGGGTGGTGGGGCGGGAGGGGATGGGGTTGTGGGTGTGGGCGTGGGAGCGAGAGTGAGAGCGGGAGTGGGAGTGGGAGGGGCCGGGAGTTACTGCTGTTGTTGCCGCCATTTGTCTCGTGTCGACTGGATGGGTGATGGGTGGGAGTATGTACCGAGGTGTGATTGTACGTTCCTGCCTCATCTCCTGTAATGCATGAGTCTCGTGTTGGAGGAAGACGCGTCGTGGCCCAAGCTTTTCCACAATTCTGCCCCGCTTGGCCATCGTCATGACGTAGATCTAATTGGCGACAAAGTGCAGGAACGATGCGGATACGGATGCGGATGGCAGTCGCATCCGCCGAGTCCAGTCAGCAGATGCAGATGCAGATGCACATGTCGCTCATGCTTTCATTATGCGCATTCGGTGTAGGTGACCGCCTCCTCCTCCCATGTCCGCTCCCGCTCGTCATCGTCGTCTTCTTCTTCTTCTTCATCGCCGACCACTACTCCAACACTCTTCATCCCCACTAAGTCGACATCCCATTCCCCTTCCCAACATCCGCCACACTCACCATCGCATCCGTAACGACGTCGCCACTGCCACCTCCTCTCCACTCCACAGTCGCTCTCCAGTGACCACCATCTCTATTGCGGTGACACTCGTATTGCTTGGCGGCATTGGATATCAAACCTTGCGACCCGAGCGCGCTACCTTGAGGGACGACAACGACATCGGCGACGTCGACGCGGTAGCAGGTGCTGCCAGCTTCACTTCAGCCGCCATGGCCGCCCGACTCCCCCCCGGACGACCCGGCAACCTCACCCCCGACCAAGAAGCGAAGCTCAAAGAGATGTGGTCGCAAACCCTCGACATCTTCGGTGTAGGCAGAGGCACATCGGAAGCAGCCAACGGCGCCGCAACACCCTCCTCCGAAGCTTCCTCCTCAGACAAGAAGAAGAAAGGCCGGTTATCCCTCTTCGGCAAGAAGAAGGGCGGCGAAGGCGACACAACCAACGATACAGCGGACAACGACAAGCACGGCCAAACGCGGGAGTTCCAACAAGCCCTCGCCTCTCAAACCCCCGAACAGCTCCGCGACGCCTTTTGGAGTATGGTGAAACACGACCACCCGGACGCACTCCTCCTCCGCTTCCTGCGCGCGCGCAAATGGGACGTCCATGCCGCGCTGATCATGCTGGTCAGCACGATGCACTGGCGCAGTCAAGAAATCAGCGTAGACGACGACATCATGGCCAAAGGCGAGCTGCACGCGCTACAGCAGGAGACCACATCGTCAAGTGCGGCGGAGAAGAAAGAGGGCGCCGACTTCATGGCCCAACTCCGCATGGGCAAATCCTTCCTCCACGGCACCGACAAGGACGGCCGACCGTGCTGCTACGTCCGCGTGCGACTCCACCGGCAAGGCGAGCAGAGCGAGAAGAGTTTGGAACGCTTCACCGTCTACACCATCGAGACCGCCCGCATGCTCCTGCGCCCGCCGATCGATACGGCGACCATTGTGTTCGACATGACCGACTTCAGCATGGCGAACATGGACTACACGCCCGTCAAATTCATGATCAAATGCTTCGAGGCGAACTACCCGGAATCCCTCGGCTCGGTGCTGGTGTACAAGGCGCCGTGGATCTTTCAGGGGATTTGGAAGATCATCAAGGGTTGGCTGGATCCGGTCGTGGCCTCCAAGGTCCACTTTGCCTCCAATGTGGAGGAACTCACACAGTGGATCCCGCGGAAGCAGATCCCGAAGGAAAACGGCGGGGACGAGGAGTGGAGGTACGAGTACGTCGAACCCAAAGAGGGCGAGAACAGGCAGATGGATGATGCGGAGGCGAGGGGGAAGCTGGTGCAGGAGCGGATGGGGATGGTGAGGGGGTATGAGGCGGATACGTTGGCGTGGGTGGAGGGCAAGGGGAGTGCAGGGGAGGAGCGGAGGGCGTTGGCGGGCCGGTTGGCGGAGAATTATTGGCGGCTGGATCCGTTTGTGCGCGCGAGGAGTCTGTATGATCGCGTTGGGGTGATTGGGGAGGGGGGGAGGTTGGAGTTCTATCCTAGTCATGCATAAGAGGTCTGATCTGGGGGATCGAAATCAAATTCCGACTCGGCCTACGAAACCCCTTGGTGCGATGCGCAAACTCCTCGTACACGACCTGTAAAATCTGGTCAAGCCCGTCGCCAGGAAATCATAAAGGCACATACTGCCTGTTATTTCACGGCGGCGAACCAGCACAACACATATCCCATTCGTTTGCGCGATGCCAGATATCACGCGCATTTTTGCTGGGTAAGCGGGAGAGGCAACCATTGGAATGGGGGAGAGTTGCCATGGCGCCCACGAATTCGATCTACATTCCAGTTCCTCATCCCCCGACCGGGCACAAAGCTCATAGATCGCAATAGTCTGACCGTGAGTATGCCCGTGCCCGGCAAAAAAAGTACCCGGTCGTCGCTCTTCTTTGATTCAGCTCCCCATCGCACTGGGTGGTTTTCCGCAGCCGCTGACGTTCGCCACACACTTCTCAGACCCGGACCCAGGTTCGTTCTTCAGGCTTCAGAGCAGCAGCCGCAGCACAGATGGACCGCACGACGTACCGAACCGCCTTTGCGGCCAGCATGCTCGAGCGCGCCATCACCGAGAACGTGACGGCGTGTCCCGCGCCGTTCGTGAATGCTGAATTGTATCCCCCTCACGGCGGACGTAAGTCAAACCATCCCACGCAAGCCAACCGACACCCTCCAGACCTCACACCCAGACTAACCACCCACCTCCGAGGACCCGTAGAACTCGACGCCCGCTTCTGCGCTGCCCCAGTCCCAGGCCTAACCTGCTGCCTCCCCTGCCCCATCAGCCAATGGGTCTTCAGCTCCTCCTTCCCCACCCAAGTCCCCGCCGCCAACTGGGTCGCCGTCCCCTCCTTCATCCTCACCTCTCTACTCCTCCTCACCTACGCCTTCCTCCCGGAAGAAAAATCCCACCGTCACTATCTGTCCATCGGATTGACGGTTAGCTTGTTGTTGATGAGTCTCGCGTTCATCGTGCCGTTGAGCACGCGGCCGCACCAGTGCCGCGATGCGATCACCCCGAATAACATGTACACCGATATGAGTTGTGCGTGGAGCGGGGCGTTGTTGCAGGCCGGGGCTATGGGGACGGCGGTGTGGAGTTAGTATTCCATCCATCCTCCCCCCGCATCAATCCCACCACCACACAAACGCAACCAACCCTTACTGACGTCCGTTTGGATTTGAACAGTCCTCCTCCGCTCCATCTGGACCGCCCTGCGCATCATCCTCGACTTCAAGCGCACAGACCTCTTCCGCACCGTCTCCCTCGCCTTCGGCATCGGCTTCCCCGCCCTCCTGCTCGCCATCGCCATGCCAGTCACAGGAGTGTCGTACCGTCTTTGGGACGTCTGCATCCCCAACGGCACCGAAGCGTTTGTGACCTGGTTCGTCTGGCTGATTGTTGTGGCGGGGCTGGCGGGGGTTATTTTGATTATCACCGTAGGGTATTGTGTGTGGAAGTTTGCGCTTAGTGCGTTGGCGGGTTCGGCGAGGGGGCGGATGAGTGTGGATACTAGTGATTCGGAGGCTGCTCCGGGGAGTGAGAGTGGGAGTGTTGGTGGGCCGGGGAAGAATAGTCGACGTCGTGCGATTGGGCGGCGGAGAAGGGTGGAGTGGGGTCGGATCAAGAGGGTGCTGTATTTGCAGTGGCGAACGGTGGTGTTTGCGTTCATCGTCACCAACGAGACGATTTTCTTCGCATTGGTGTTTGTGTCGCAGACGGCGGCCGTGCAGCGGAATATCGGTGGGATTACGCCCGAGGATGAGGCGTGGGGGATCTGTTTGATCGCGACGGGGGGCGATAGCGATGCGTGTTTGGATCAGAGTAGTGGGTTGGGGTTGAGTGAAGGGAGGGTGGTGGCGGTTTTGTTGTTGGCTGCGGTGAGTACATTTCGTTCTCTTATCCGTGCCCGTTCGGTGCGGTGCTGGTTTGCTTTGCGTGTACTGATGTGGTTTTGGGATGATAGAGCCTTGGTGCCACGCTAAGTCTGCTCATGATCCGCACCTCCATGTTCGAGGGCTGGTACGAGCTCCTGCGCTCCCCTCGTGCCATGCGCAAGCAAGTTCTTGGTGTCTTCCGCACGCGCCGGCCGAGTCTGAGTAGTCAGGATGGGGATTTTGTCATGCAAAGTCCGAAGCATGTTAGTCTCGGTCGACCGCTGGGAAGCGAGCAGCCGGGTGCGATGAGTTCCAGTGGAGCGATGAGGCAGGGTGATACGGGACTGAATGCGGCGTTGGAGGAGCAGAGGCGCGCGAAGGGACCGGAGGATGTGATTGAGGATGCTGAGATGGCCAAGGTGGAGAAGACGGAGGAGAAGGTGCGGAGGGAGGATGAGATGCTTGGGTGATGTCTCTGCTGTGCTTCGCGCGTGTTGTTCGAGCGTTATACGGTTGTGGTGTTACAGTATGTTGCATTGTAATGGAGCTGTCTTCTTCAGAAGCTTTCGGTGTCCGCCTAGTCAACCTTGAGGCTGGTGGTAGTGGTCTGTTACCCATGCGCCAGCCGCCAACATTCCACTCGAACGCCATACACCAGACACCATCGCCAAAGCATAACCCGCATCAATGCATACCGGATGGGAGAGACGGCATGCGCTACCCTCTCCCGCGCCCTCTCGGTGCACCCCTTCCTCTACTGCTGAACCCACCGCCACCTCTACTCCCTCCAAAGCCACCTCCCCTAGAGAACCCTCTCCCAGGCGCTCCACCTCTCCCCCTCGGCGCACCTCTACCACCCCTCATCATACCTCTCCCACCTCTACCCCCCGCCATACCCGCACCCCTCGGCTTCTTCACCTTCGCCGCTCCCGGCAACGGCTTGGGCTTGGGCAAGAACTTCTCCAACGGTAACAGCTTGTCACCACCAATGTAGAACTTATCTCCCGCCTTGAATGAAGCGGCTTGGATGCCTTCTTGTGGTTTGATGGTGAAGTAGACTTGATTCAGCGGGCCGAGGATTTCGTCGACTTTGCCGATGGACTGCTTGTTTTCGAGGTAGATGGGCGCGTTGAAGTAGGGGATTTTGGGGTTGACGGACGAGCAGACGAGCTCGCCCTCGGTTGCGTGGAGGAAGGTGCCCATTTCTGCGGCGCATTAATATCAGCCCTGATCGCTGGATTTCTGTAGGATTACCATACCTTGCACGGTGTCGGGTGGGCCTGACTGGAAGCCTCCTCTCCCACCTCGAAAGCCACCACCACGGCCTCCTCTGTCTCCGCCTCTGAATCCGCCTCGGTCTCCTCCTCTGAAGCCCCCTCGTCCGCCGCCCCGATCACCGCCCCGTCCTCCGCCACGGAACGACATTGTGTTGTTGTCGCGCTGCTTAGGCGACTTTGATGCTATGTTTTAGTGGTGCGGAATTGCTATGACTGCATGCTTGAATGTGCGCTTAGATGTAGACTTCAAGCTCCGATCGAAGCTGCACAATTTCTGGTCGAGATCTTGGCGCGCAGCTTGCGGAGTTGTCTTGCTGCAGCTGATTGACTGGGGATGACGGGCGCTAACGGATGGCTGCATATGCGAGCACCCCATAACCACTTTCGATTCATGCTTCCATCGGTCACCAACTTCGGCTTCCCACTGGGTGAGCGCACCCTCGAGTTAAGGCGTCTGCGTTAACATCTTACCGTACCTACTTCGAATGATGCTGCCATGAGCGTGGTGCCTCGTTCGGCCTTCATGCGAGCCTCAGGTTAGCGACGTTTTGGCGGGTTCACAGCCTTGCCAGTTTTGTGCGACGCAGACGGCAACGTGAGGATGACCAAAACCACTCGCAACACCGCCGCGGCGACCGAGGAATCCTTCCACAAGCATTACTCGGCCATTTGGGGTGGAGTGAGATGGCAAACTTCATTGTACCCAGCACTATCTGCACCCACGCGTTACTGCGCGCTGGTGAACCGATACGTGCCCGCCCACGAGGCTCGCCGCGCGCTGCAGAGCGGAAGCAATGAGCCAGGTGCCCTCCCTGAGAGCCTGCAGCAGCTAAACTTTCCTAACGTTAGCGTAAACGACGGTAAGAGTGCGCAGGCAAGTATCGGTCCTATTTGCTATGTTCGCCCAGCTCCCTCGTCAGGTGAAAAGGTCTCGCGCGTGGGGAGCACTGCTGCACCGCTTACGTTCCCGCCACCTCAGCCTGCAGGTTCTACTCCAATGCAGCTATTGACTCATTGGAACCTCGATGCTGCTTCCGCACTGGCAGTCTCGGTGCTGAATGTCCAGACCGGCGACAGCGTTCTCGATCTCTGCGCAGCTCCTGGTGGGAAGTCCGTGGCTCTGGCGCAGAGTATGTGGCCTCACCTCCACGCCGATAGTCCGGTCGAGCCCTCCGGCAGGATGACGGGTAGACTGGTGTCAAACGAAGCCGACGGGAGGCGGCAAAAGCGTCTTGCCGAGAACTTACAAGCATACCTGCCGCCGCAGTTGTTCAAACAAGGTGCAGTCTCGTGTACGCGTGTTGACGCTTCCATCTCCGGACCCTCACTCAATGCTCTGCTGGCCGGAGGCAGCTTTGATAAGGTGCTTGTCGACGCGCCTTGTTCTTCTGAGCGACACATCATTCATGCTCATCTCAAAGCCCAAGGATCTGGCAATTTAGCACCGGAAATGGCAAACTGGAGGTCAGGTTCTTCGAAACGGCTTGCGAAGACGCAAGTGGAGCTTTTAATGACAGCGCTCAAAGCGGTTAAGATCGGCGGTCAAGTTATGTATGCTACCTGCTCTATCGAGCCTACGGAGAATGATGGTGTGCTTGAGAAGATGCTTGCGCTGGTGGAGAAGGAAGTCAAGAAGGGCGCCAAGTGGACGGTCAAGCTTGGCTTTCCAGGTGCTTCTGGAGCGTCCACGATGGACGAGCAGCTGGAACAGTGGGCGGAGCGCACGAAGCATGGCTGGATGGTACTACCCGACCACCCTGGTGGTGGAAGATGGGGTCCGCTGTACTTTGCGCTTGTTACTAAAATCGCTGGCTGAGTGTTGCACTGACGATGTCAGAAATCTTGTCCGATGAGCGTACGCGGAGCAGACAGACAGATTATCACAGCATGTGCTATTACCCGCGAACTATAACAAGGTGCAGTTTGCGGGTGCTGTCTCCTTGTGCAGCGACGGTTACAAGCATGTCTGACTGGCGGGCGAGCGACGACATTGGGGGCTCTGCTTCGGCTGCATCAACGGCTAGTGACAGCGGGGAGCACGAACGCTCTGATACCGTCATTTCATGTTCAGACGGTTCGGCAGGCTCTTTCACCGTACGACAGAGCGCACTCTACGCTGACATGCCATTCTTTCCAACATCGTTATGTCTGTCGTTGCGGCACAGTCTTACCTGTTGTACAGTCGAGTAGGGTGAATGACAGCCAGTTGCCATGCATCATGTTGTGCCTAGATGTTCGACACACGGAGATCGCTGGTTATTATCTCGATCTATCGTCTTTGACAGCTCGCAGTCTCCGCTATAGCACAGACAGCAAGCAGGATCGGATAGGCTATATCTCAAGATGCTAAGAGCGAAGCCTTTACATAACCTCATGCCTATTGCGAGAACTAACAGGCTTAGCTTGTCAGCCCTGTGCACCCGCGAATACAAGGCATCGAGATGTCAGCCATAACCAGTGTCGGCGACAAGCAGCATGATCAGGGGTGGAACGTCCTGGACCGGGTTTCGGAAGGCCCTGTGGCCCATTGCGTTGAGGGACTTGGTGGTCACCTTCCGTTTGGCTTTCGCCTCTCGCACCGTCCGCACCCTATGGAATTCGAAGAGCTCGGGAGTCCAGACGAGGAAGACGCAGCATACGAGGTGAATCTGGGGAATGAGTACGTTACCTTGCGTACTTTCCCCAGGACTATCGAGTTGTGTCTCTTTGCTTGTCCTCAAGAAGCCCGCAATGAGGAGCACGTCGGCCCGCAGACGTTCGAAATGGTTCGCAAGGTCGTAGTCTGGGATCCTAAGACCGAGGTCGGTACTCAGATCGATGCGCGATTCTTGTTGGAACAACGTTTGAGACGCGAGGCGGCCAAGTGGGTTGCCCTGCAGAAAGCGTGAGAGAGCATTGTCGGTTGGATTAAGCTTGATGCGGCAAAGGCGACCTCTGTGATTCGTCAAATTCCGTCCCCTGCTGGCAGAGCTCACGAATCGCGGCAACGCAGAGGTGAAACATTGAGTACTTCGGATCGACCACGCTTTGCTTTATCTCGACTTCAGCTTCTGATGGCGAGGGAACGCTGCGAACGAGCCAAGGGTTCCGGCAGCAAGGAAAGTAGTGCGATGGCAGCGGGCAAATATTCGCAAGCTATGCTGAATGCGAGTGAGAGCGCGCTGGCGACTGTTTACATCGTCCACACGTACTGTCGGCGGTCTGACCTCAGCACGGCCGAACTTATACTGAATCACTGTTGACCCTGATTGATGAAACAGACGCATAGTCAACACTCCCAGAAGAGGTCGTTAGGAGCTTCAGCAAGCGAGGCAGCGTGCCGGAATGGTAAGATGGCTCCTTAACGAGATGGCAGCATGAGTCCCAACGAACATGACAAATGAGACAGCGGATGCAGCGGATGCAGCATTGAGGGAGGTTTTCAAGGGTTGGGACAGGATTGAGCCAAGACCGGAGATCTGGGAGGTCTGCAAACGTGAGCTGCAAGACGTGTAGTGTTGGCGAAGGTATACAGTATGTTATGCAGCGCGTATCGATGCGGTTAGTACTAGTCGGCCTCTCCCGCAGCCACTTCCGCGCTGCTGGAACTTAATGTTGATGCAGGAACGCGGAGACTAAACCGAGGATAAGCGAGTGCTGATTGCTCTCGTCTTACCAACGTCTCGATCGTATCTCCTCGTCATGTAAACACCTACAGGCGCCGGCATGGCGTCAAGGCTAGGCCTTCGTAGGCTTGAAATCGCAGCAAAATCAATACTACACCCAACCGCTGTGAGATGGCAGCCAAGCCCCTGTATCCGCTGCCAGCGACGATGGCAGTCCATCTCCCAGAAGATCGGAAGCGACAGGGTCCACTTCCCTGGCGCCGTCAACTCCCAGTTTACAACCCAGCTAGCCTTCACCCGTCCCGCCGACCTTCCTGGCATGCCCACCTACCGCATCCTGGACCAAGAAGGCCGCATAGTAGACCAAGCACACGCTCCCCCGGATATTGAGACCAAGGAACTGCTGAGGATGTACCGCGACATGGTGTTCGTTAGCATAATGGACATCATCATGTTCGACGCACAGCGCCAGGGTCGGGTCTCATTCTACATGGTCTCTGCGGGCGAAGAAGGCATCGCAGTCGGTTCCGCCTCGGCTCTAAGTCCCAACGATCCTATCTTTGCGCAGTATCGCGAGACGGGCATCTTCCAGTACCGCGGCTTCACGCCCGCAGACTTTATGGCGCAATTGTTCGCTACCAAGGATGATCCGGGACGGGGACGCAACATGCCGGTGCATTACGGGAGTGCGAAGTTGAGGATCCACACGATAAGTAGTCCGCTCGCAACGCAGATCCCACAAGCGAGCGGGGCGGGTTACGCAGTCAAGATGCAGAACTTGCGCAACCCGACCGACGAGCAGCGGGTGGTGGCGTGTTATTTCGGCGAGGGCGCGGCGAGCGAGGGTGACTTCCACGCTGCGTTGAATATCGCGGCCACGAGAGCATGCCCGGTGGTCTTCATTTGCAGGAACAATGGGTTTGCGATCTCCACCCCAACATTAGAGCAGTATCGCGGCGACGGAATCGCCTCGAGAGGCGTGGGGTATGGCATCGATACCATCCGTGTGGATGGGAACGATATCCTAGCAGTCCGCGAAGTCACGAGACAAGCTCGCGAATTGGCGCTGCAAGACAACGGCCGGCCCGTGCTGATCGAAGCAATGTCATACCGTGTAAGCCATCATAGCACTTCAGACGACTCCTTCGCGTACCGCGCCAAAGTCGAAGTCGAGGATTGGAAACGCCGCGATAACCCCATCACCCGTTTGCGGAAGTACTTGCAAGGAAAGGGTCTGTGGGATGACGAGCGAGAAGCTGCGTTGCGGAGTGACGCGCGGAAGGAGATTCTGGAGGCGTACCGGAAGGCGGAGAGGGAGAAGCATCCTCCACTGAGAGCGATGATGGAGGATGTGTATGAGGAGATGACGGAGGAGCAGGTCGGGCAGCTGGAGAAGATGAGGGGTTTGGTGGAGAGGTACGAGGGGGAGTATGATGTTAGTCGCTATGAGGAGGGCATAGCTGGGCTGAGATTAAAGGAGGTCAAGCGATGATTCTGCAAGGCGCAAATCGAGTCACTCTGTTGAGTTCATGACATCTTCTATCGCCGCCCAAGCTGCCATCTGTCGTGCTCGTCTCTCCTTCTCCTGCTGTGTGTCCATAGTCTTTGATCTTCCTGGCGCATCGGTATCCACATCCATAGCCTCTCCACCCTCACCTCCGTCACTCGGGCCACTCAAACCGACCTCCAACAACTCCCTCACCTTCGACTTAGCCTCTCGAACCCTCTCAACCTCTTCCCTCATCCTCTCCACCCGCTCCTCCATCATCCCAATTAGCGTCTCCCTCGCCTGGTGCGGCCTGTACCTATTGATCGCCTCATGCATATTCGCCACCAACACCTCGAGATCCTTCGTAGTGGCTTCCCATCCCTCTGCTGGGTTTTGTGACAGATTGCCGACTAGTAGTAGAAAGGTTGCAAGGTGACTTCTCGCTAAGGAGATTAAGTGCGGTCCCGGGTTGAGTTCTGCGCCCGGAGGTAGTAGGGATTCGATGTTGAGTTCCGCGAGCGTTTGCGAGGGGGCGGAGAGGGAGCGTGAGAGGCCGAAAGCGAGGAAGTCGCTGGTTGTGGGTGGTGGAGGTGGTGGGATAAGGTAGCGGAGTTCGGTTGGTAGAGAGAAGATGTCGATGTCATGATGAGGTTGGTCTTGAGTGCTTAAGTCAGGCTGGTGAGTGGATACGCCGGCTTCCTTGCGCAGTTTGCGCAGGTGAGCGAGGTTGTCTGGGGTAAAATGCTTGTAGAAGGGCGGTGGTTGAGGGAAGGGCGCTTGCATGCGCTCTTGCTGTTGTGCTTGAGCTTGAGCTTGACCCTGCTGTTGGTCTGCCATTATCGCGCTATACCGTGGATTTCTTGCCCGTCATCCGCTGTACCCAAAGGAACGTAAAGAACAAGTGCTAATGGAGACAGCGCGCTAACAATCGTAGCGTGACCAGATCGGCAGGCACGCAAGCTGCCGCTGTGGAGCCGAGAGTCTAGCGTCTGGGGTAATGACGTGAAGCCAAACAGAAGCTCTTGAGCCGTATTGAGATTTCAATATTCATCCCTCGAACCTCCAGCCACCATTTGAGACGTTCAATCCTCGGACGAAGTGTACAAGATGCACCGCGTCAAGAACGTGCAGTACAACGAGGAGGACCTGTACGACGACGATGAGGTGGACGAAGGCCAGGGAGAAGAGCAGCTCACACAAGAAGACCGCGACAATTTCGCAAACCTCACGCCAGTCGTGCGCGCAGAGCTGGAAGAGGCAGGTTTGCAGGCTTCGGACAGGGAGATACAGGATGCGTTGTGGAACTATTACTGGGATGTCGGAAAGAGTGTGAATTATCTCAAGAACAGCCGCACGCCCAGACCACAGCGGCAAGCCAGCAAGAAGGATGCGAAGGCGAAGAGCAAGTTTGACCAGGCGGCGGAGAAGGCAGGTAAGTGCTACACTTTTCCTACGTTTGAAGAAACTGGCTGTGCTGGCGAGGGTTGGGTGAGAAAGTTCTCAGCGGCGGAACGAAGAGGTGGGTTTTGCTACTGCCAGCGTCACTGTACAGCTATGCGATGCTGACTCCGCACTACCTAGACTTTGCGATGCCACCTTTATCGGCTGCCGAGTGGTTCCAAGGTGTTCCATGGACCGGACTATCTCCCAGCATCAGGGGCAACCTTGTGCCAGCCGAACCTGTCAGGCCACGTCCGCGACTGCTCGGTGGCTCTTCCAAACTTGCCAAGCTCGCGGAAGAGCGGCGAAAGAGAAATGCCGCTGCCGCGGCATCACCGGAGGTCGAGGTTCCTGCTAGCAATGGCGCCTTAAGCGCCCTTGACCGCCTTGCTAGTATCAAGGATGGGAAGGAGAACGACAAGCCCGCCGCCACGACGCAGGCGGAGCCACGAAAATACCCGATCAGGAAGAAACGCGAGCCAACGCCGCCTCCACGAGAGCCGACCCCGCCGCCAGCACCAGCAGAACCGCAAGAGGAGGCGCCTGACCTTCGAGCCTCACCGACGGCATTTGGACGTACACTGTCAACAAGTCCGCGGCAACATCCGACTTCGACTATGCATCTCAAGGACGTACTTGGCGCGAGCAGCCAGAGCGATCCATTCAATGCACCTTCACCAGACGACGTAGTCATGCGAGCACAACAGCACAGCAAGGGTCTAACGAAGTGATATTACGCAGCTAACAAGGATATGCACAGCTGTATCGAACACATCAACCAAGCAGGCGTCCACAAAGGGCCTGGAGAGGCAGACCCAGGCGCTCAATCTCGACGCCGATGCAACCCCTCAGCAGGCGAAGGTCCGCTCGAAAGGGCTGGACGTACCGAGATTATGGGCGGAAGAGAAGTCAAAGCGAAAGCCGTCTGCTGCCTTCGTCGTGATAGGTCATGTCGATCACGGCAAAAGTACGCTCATGGGTCGGTTACTACTAGACACCGGCGCAGTCGCACAGAGGGATATTGACAAGTACGGCTCAGCCATCAAATCTTGATTTGCATACATGCTGAGTTTTGGCAACGTGTAGATACCAGAAAGCGGCCACCGAACTCGGCAAGTCATCCTTCGCGCTCGCATGGGTGCTCGACACCGACCCACAAGAACGCGAGCGTGGCGTTACAGTCGACATAGCGCAACATCACTTCTCCACTGACACCGCGGACTTCACAATCTTGGACGCGCCGGGACACAGAGATTTCGTGCCGAACATGATTGGTGGCGCCGCAATGGCAGATATGGCCGTGCTGGTTGTTGACGCGAATCAGTTGGACTCGGGCATGAAGGGTCAGACGAGGGAGCATGTATTACTGGCGAAAGCGGTAGGGCTGAAGAAGGTTGTGGTGGCGGTGAATAAGATGGATGATACGAAGCCGACTGCGTGGCGCGAAGCGGCGTTTGAGGCGGTGAGGGACGAAGTGCGAAGCTTTTTGACGACTTCAGGCTTTGGAGAGGAGGATGTGCTGGTTGTGCCATGCAGCGGACTTGGCGGGGAGAATGTGGTCAAGGCGCCGTCGTCGATGGGTGCCGCAGCTTGGGTGGCGAAGTGCAACCCGACCCTGCTGCAGGCACTCGAGCGATCTATCCCGTCCGAAACTGAGTCGAAGACCGTAACGCAACCTTTTCGGATGCAGATCGCGGACGTTTTCCGCGGCAGCATACAGAACCCTCTTTCAGTCGCTGGACGTATCGTAGCCGGCCACGTGCAGGTCGGCGACAGCATCCTCGTCCAGCCCAGTGGCGAAACAGCCGCCATTAGAGCCCTGGACGTCATCGACGAGCCCAGGGACTTCGCTGTTGCAGGCCAGATTGTGACACTCCATCTGCAGGATATCGAAGCACAGCATCTCCGCTCCGGCGACGTGGTTTGCGACCCAAAGCGTCCCGTACACCTGCGCAAGAGCTTCGAGGCTGTAGTCGAGGCGGTCGATCCGCTACTTCCGCAAGCCGTGGACATACATATCGGACGCCTGCACGCGCCAGGGCGGATCGAGCGTCTAGTGGAGGTCATGGGCAGTGAGACCGGGCGCAAGAAGCCACGAATTGTGCGGCAGGGACAGAAAGCCAAGGTGAAGTTGACCTTTGAGGATGCGGCCTCGAGCGGGTTTCCGCTTGTGGATGGCGAAAAGGTCGTGCTCAGAGCAGCTGGAGCGACGGTGGGGTATGGTGTGGTAGACGCCGCATAGCGTGGGACTTGATACCTCGTCGCTTTCGACGGGCTCAAGCCAGAACATGGCGTAACTACCGATGCCTTGGCGGAAACAGCAGTCGACCTTCCATTCCTCCATCCACCATGATGTTCATCCCGTTCACATGGCCGCTCAAGGTCGGACTGGCGATAATAGCAATCTGGCGCGCGATGTCCGCCGGCGTGGCGACTTTCTGAAGCGGCGTCGTGGCCAGCGCGCGCTCGACGAAAGCAGCGTCCTTAAGCTTCTCCTCAGCCATGGGCGTTGCTACCCAGCCGGGATTTATCGCGTTTACACGACCTCGCGGCGCAACGGCTACGATTTCGTTCTTGAGTGACGGCACAAGACCGTACATCAATGCGGCTTTCGAAGCAGCGTAGTCGCCGTGCTGGGCTTCGCCGAACTTGCCCGCGGTACCTTGGAAATTCTTAGCGCTCTGTCTTTACGGTTCGGAAAAGAAACGGCGGGGGGTGAGGTGAGACTTTAACTTACTCCCAATGAAGATGATACAGGCACTGGCTTTCTCCTCCTCTGACGCTTTCCTCAGCTGCTGCAGGAATGCCCGACAAAGCAGAAAAGCGCCTGTCAGGTTGACTGCCAACGTGTTCTGCCACTGGTCCAAGGTCATGTCGGCAATGGGCGCATCGACGCCTTCCCAAATCCCATGATTAACAACAAGCACGCTTACCCGCTTGTTGTGGTGCGAATAGGCCGCTTCGAAGAGCTCATTGACTGATGCCTCGTCCCGAACATCGGCCTGAGCTAAGCACATTCCCTCAAAGCCTTGGAGGTTGTCCGGTTGCCTGCGGCAATGAGCGGTGATTGTGGCGCCAAGTTGGGCGAATGTCTGCACACTTTCGCGCCCTATGCCGCCAGCGGCGCCGGTCACTAGGACGTGGACGTTTTTGAGGCCGAAGTCGAGCGACATGCTGATACGTGTCCTGTAGTGTCTGCTGAGCCGAGAGAAACAATACACGATCTACCGTTATCAAGCTGACGATCGGACGCTGAAACGGAAGACCGTATCTCGACTAACCTCCGCGTGGACGATTAGATGATGGCTACCGCGTTGTGGCGGACTGTACTATGCCGAGTTGGTTTGATTTTGAACCGCACCGTGCAACCTACCTCCCTGCCAACCCCCGATAAAAGTATCTACTGCCCACAGCCTCTCTCGAACACTGACACCTGAGCTTCGATAGATTCACAAACAATTTAAGATATTGATGTCCTGATGGCAGAGTAATGTTCGAACTCGAGGTGATGGCCAAGCTTTCGCATGCATGCACGGCGGGATCACCCGGCGCGAAGGATCGGATTACCACCTCTACCATTGTCGTCCACGTGCAACATCGCGAGGTTGTCGTTTGCCGGAGCTGTTCTGCACAACAGCCATGTAGAGCAACCCTTGTGGCGTGCGATGCCATGAGCCGTAAGCCGAGCAGCGATAAGGCGCATGCTTGCCAGTCGCACAGCATCCTTCAAGATAAGTGGAGAGCAAAACTTCTTCGAGCAGCACGATCAGCGCAAAGTGCATAGGGCTGCCGCGTGCTGGGTATATCAATGTCTCAGCCTTCTCTAAACCTGTCTCCTTTCATTACCTTAGCGTGACACCACACCACTAATTAAGTATCAGATCTCTTTACAGCGGTACCGTACTTTATCATCATGGACAAGCATCTCGGCGCCCAAGAGCCTCCTGAGGAAGCAATACAGCAGCGCCACGAATCCGTGGCAAACACAGATAAGGTGCAATTGAGGCTCAGACGTTTCGATGTACTTGAGCGCTGCTGACTCTACAACCTGTTGCTCTCTAGACCTTCTGGTAAGCAGGTTTTCCAGCATAAAGCAGGATCGAAGTTTGAGATAGTGCTAATATTCATGGCCAATCTTAGGCAGCGTATCTGGCCCATCGTTGGCTGCGGTGCCGGCCTCTTTTCGGATGGCTACTTGAACGGGGTCATCGGCTCCGTTAGCACCATCCTTGCGATCCTATACCCTACGCAATACGTCAACAGCCCTGCTCAGTCCAACGTGTCGTCCATTACTTTCGTTGGCACGCTGATCGGCGGCCTTATCTTCGGTTTCACGTCCGATCACTGGAGTCGCAAAGGGAGCTTGCTGGTCTCGACCATCATTGTGATTGTTTTTGCCGCCTTGTCCACTGGCAGTTACGGTGCCAATGGCAGCATCTCCGGTCTCTTTGCTGCCTTGACTGCTTATCGTTTCTTTCTTGGTATTGGCATTGGAGGCGAGTATCCCGCCGGCTCTGTGGCGTGCGCGGAGAGTACAGCTGAACTGCGGTCTGGCACCCGGAATCGCTGGTTCGTCTTGTTCACCAACGTCCAGATCGACTTTGGCTTCGTTGTCGCGGCCATAGTTCCCATGATCGTAGTTTTGATAACGACGGAACAACATCTCCACACGGCCTGGCGAGTGTGCTTGGGTCTCGGTGTTATACCGCCGCTCTCGATTCTCTACCTGCGAATCAAGCTCTCCGAACCCGAAAGCTTCAAGCGTGGCACCATGGCTAGAACGAAGACGCCGTGGCTTCTTTGCATCAAGTTCTACTGGTTCAGGCTCATGGCTATATCGCTAATCTGGCTCCTCTACGACTTTTCTTCGTACTCATTCGGTCTACTCAGTTCCCAGCTTCTGACTAACCTCCTTGGGACCGATTCGCGGCTGTGGGTCAGCTTTGGCTGGTATGTAACCGAACGGCGACACAAGCACCCGCTATCTATGCGAAATGCTAACGCAGGCAGGAACATCCTGCTGAACTTCTTCTACATGCCTGGCTGCATCGCTGGCAGCTGGCTAAGTGACTGGGTCGGCCCTCGGAATGCGCTGGGATACAGCGTCCTCGCGCAAGCCGTGGTCGGCTTCATCATGGCCGGATGCTACGGATACCTTGCCAAGGCGAAGTATGTTGGAGGCTTTGTCGTCATATACGGACTTTTCATAGCTCTCGGAGAGCTTGGACCTGGCGACAATATCGGTCTGCTCGCCTCAAAAACCTCCGCAACCGCCGTCCGTGGCAAGTATTACGGGATCGCGGCAGCCTTTGGCAAGATTGGTGCGTTCGTGGGCTCAAAGACGCTCATTCTACTATACAACAAGTACTACTATGCCGGCGAAGTTGTTAAGGCCGGCCAATACCCCTTCCTGATTAGCTCTGCGTTCTGCGTTGTCATGGCTGGTCTGGTATTCTTCTGCCTGCCACATGTCGGTATGTCTACCCAAGCTCAGCTCCTGCTATGACATAACGCAATGCTAACACCAATCCGCAGGACAAGATACAATCGAAGAGGAAGACGCCAAGTTCAAGATTTACTTGGAGAGCCATGGTTATGATACAACTCAATTGGGACTCCAGCCGAGCGAGAGCACTGAGCAGATCTTACAAAGGGGCAAGGAGGATGTAGCTCCTTAAGAATCGTTCATAGAAGGCATTCAGGAGCGGATATGCTACCCTACCGAGACTGAAGTACCACTGAATCGCCAGTTGCCCCTCGACTGCAACTCAAACCCTGCCTCAGAGCACGTTATGGTGGGGCTTTGGTGGGGCTCAAGTTTTGTGTTCCTGAATTGTGAACGTGAAGCTCAAAGCTGAGCACATGCTTCGCTCGTCTGCCATTTCCCTCCCGTTGAAAGTGTTCGTTGGTAGAAGATATATACACATTGCTTCTTGGAAAATGGCAAAAGCTGCGGAACGGTACGATGGTATGCCACTCTAGCCCGTGCCCATCATTCGGCATAACGACCGCTAATGGCAGCCTCAGAGCCAATCCATATCGCGGTCATCGGCGGCACTGGCCTTCAACACCTCTCCGGCTTCACCCACGCAGCTACACTCAAGCTCAGCACGCCGTGGGGCGAGCCTTCATCTCCCGTCTCCGTCCTCCACCACCCTTCTCCATCGACCGGCAAACCCATCCCAATAGCGTTCCTTTCGCGACATGGCCTCCATCACGAGCTTGCACCCCACGAAGTGCCCAACCGCGCCAACATCGCCGCTCTCAGAAGTCTTGGCGTACGGACGATCATCGCTTTCAGCGCCGTCGGAAGCCTGCAAGAGCAGATCAAGCCGAGAGACTTCGTCGTGCCGGATCAGATCATCGACCGTACGAAAGGTGTGAGACCTTTCACATTCTTCGAGGGAGGTATGGTGGGGCATGTAGGCTTCGCGGACCCTTTCGACCCGCCTTTGGGGACCTTGGTGCAGAAGTGTGGGCACAGTCTGGCCGGCGAGGACATCGTACTACACGACAAGGGGACGGTAGTCTGCATGGAGGGCCCACAGTTCAGCACGCGTGCTGAGTCGAACCTATACCGCTCCTGGGGTGGCAGCGTGATCAACATGTCCGCATTACCCGAGGCCAAGCTAGCCAAGGAAGCGGAGATTGCGTACCAGATGATATGCATGTCGACCGACTACGACTGCTGGCATGTTTCCGCGGGTGACGTGACGGTGGAGATGGTTATGGGCAATATGAAGGCGAATGCGGAAAACGCACGGAGGTTTGTGGGTGCGGTGCTGGATGAGTTGAGCAAGGAGGAGCATAAAGACTTGGTGATGGCGACGCACCTGCAGGGCAGCATGAAGTTTGCGGGTTCCGTGACGGCACCTCATGGACGGAGCGCAGAGGCGAAAGAGAAGATGCAGTGGCTCTTTCCGGGTTACTTTGACTGAGCTCGTTCGACTGTACAGTCGTAAGCATAGCAAGTGGCGCACGGTGGAAGCTTTCAACAAGTTGGGCGGCATAAAAGAGCGTATGATACCCATCCCGCAAAGACACTCGAATGCTGAATTCGATTAAGCGACTACATCCGGCTCACCATCCCTTTTCACTCTCCTATTGCTTTCAAACCAATGCCTTACCATCGCCTTCCGAAAACATCGTGCTCCTGCAGATTCCTGACTCGACCTGCCTTCAACACGGGGCTCTTCTGACTGCCCGCAGTACCGACGTCGTTTCTAGCAACAGTCAAGCCATCAGAATCATTCCCGAACAGCCGTTGGTCTCCGCCAAACTTCCGCCACATCTCGCGATCCTCAGCGTCATGTTCAGCTCCCGACACAGCAGCATCGTGCTTGAACAAGCCTAGGATCTCTTGCATGTTCAGATTGTTTACGCTAGTGCCGGTGCCTTCAATGGCAGCCTTGGCAAGCTCGCGTTTGCGCTCTTGGAGGGCGAGGATGCGCTCTTCGACGCTGTTGGTGATCGTGAGACGGTAAACCTTGACATCGACGGTTTGGTTGAGACGATGCACACGGTCGATGGCTTGCTCTTCGACGAAAGGATTCCAAAACGGCTCCACTATGACCACGCGACTTGCAGCGGTTAGGTTGAGGCCGAGACTGCCGCATTTGAGTGAACAGAGTAGCACGCGAGTTTTGGGATCGTTGCGCAGGCTGTGGAGAGCGGCTTCGCGAGCGTCGTTTCGCATGCTGCCATCGTAACGCACGCATCGTATACCTGAGGTCTTCAGGTGCGGCTGAATGAGGTCGAGCATTGTGGTGAACTGGCTAAACACGATGGTCTTGTGTTTCGACTGTTCAGCATGCAGGATACGCAGAAGTTGCCGAATCTTCGTGGAGGGCCTGGGCGTGAACGCGTCCTCCTCACTCAGCGCCCCGTAGGCGTAAGCACTGTTTTCTTCGGCATTCGAGGCGGAGTCGGAGTCGTCAGTGCCGTCCGAGTCGGAGAACTCATCGCTCTTCGCAAATTCTGACTTGATTGGTGGTCTCCGACGGTGCGCTCTTGGTGGCGAGTCCTCGTCATCTTCCTCGTCGTCCATACTCCTTTGAGAGTCGATCGAGCCAAGGGTGTCACCTCCTCCTTCAGCGTCTTCGTCGTCCGTTCCGCCTGCCTTACCAAGGTTGATAGCCCGCTCCGGCCCATCTGCGATCCACTCGCCCTCCTCATCGTCGCTATCGGCGGGCAGCTGGTGCCGCTTACGCCTCACCGCCGGTTGCTTCTGCATATTCGCAGTTCGTGTATTCTTACGACCCTGCTTCATCATCGCAAGGTCCGCCTCGCATTCCGCGCATCGAACTGCGCCGTCGCGCGCTTCCTGCGCAGAAAGCTTGATCTGGCAAACGTCGCAATGCTGAGTCCTTACGCTCACGCCTTCCATTAGCCTAGTGAGATCATCCATATCGTCACGAACGTTATTGTGCTTCTCCATAATTGCCCGGCTTTGCTTCTGCGCCTTGGCAGTCTCCTCGTCCTTGCTAGGGGATCGCTCAATGAGTAGAAAGTGATCGCAGGCTTGCCGCAGTCGCAAGAGCAGTACGAGCGCACCAATGTAGTCTGCACCGCCTTTACTGTTCATCATTTCCTTCAAGCGCGTATCTGCGCGGTTCTGCAAGCGGTCGTAGCATTCTTGCTCAGCAGCATCGAACTGGCACTCTACGGTCACCACTTCACGCTTGACGATTTGCATGCCGCCTTGCTTTAGAGCCGAGCCCTCGCCATCTTGGATCGTTTTGTTGCCAAAGTTGAGTGCGCCGGATTGCTTGAGAATATCCTTGGTTCGGCGCTTCATGAACGCTCGTAAGAACCACTGCAAGCGCTTCAAAGCCAAGCCACCACGACCATTCTTCATCGGCTGCATAATATCAGACTTCCACTTCGGCAGGTTGCAGTACGGCTTGATGCGCAGGAACTTAATCAAGGACTGCAACTCATCCAAATTATTTTGCATGGGCGTGCCCGTTAAGCACCATCGGTACCAGCTCTCGAGTGCGTAGCATGCCTGTGTGGACTTCGCACTGCGGTTCTTGATACTGTGTGCTTCATCGAGCAGGATACGGTACCAGTGTACGCCCATGCAGCCAATTCGCGTACCGTCGACAATCTGCATCTGCGACCCAGCATGTTCAGATGTAAGCGTCTGGTAAGTAGTGATGACAACATCGTATTTGGCCAGCTCCTTTGCAGACTTCGTACGACTGGGGCCGTGATGGACAAGCACACGGAGAGCATGGGAGCGGCAGACCTTGTCTTTGATCTCGGCCTCCCACTGCTTGATCAGTGCCAGTGGCGCTACTACCAGCGTAGATTTGCTGACTTGCTTGCCGGGCATTTTCTGCTTCGGATGCTCTGGCTTCGCGCCTGGAGCTGGACGTGGATTTGTAAGTACAAGCGCGACAGACTGCACGGTCTTGCCTAGCCCCATATCATCTGCTAAGATCCCGCCATGAGGTAAGACCCCGTTCCTCTTTGGCCCGCCTATTTCTTTATCTATCATCCACGAGACACCCTCCACCTGATGCGGGAGTAATTTGATGGTCATGCCTTCGACGGTGCCATCTTCCTCGTCTTCATCTTCTGCGTCCTTCACGACATTCAAGTTTGCTGCCTCTTCTTCCTTCACCTTTAGTGAGGCCAGCTTGTCAGCCAGGCCCTTGGCTTCGACGTCTCCGCCTTCACGCAGCGCGTTCTTAGCGCGCTTTCTTAGGCGTAGCCGTGGCTTCTCCTCTCCGTCCTCAAACGCGCCTTCCAATAAATTCTTGATGTTGTCGTTTGCTTCGTTCGCATCAACATACGCGTAGGGATCTGACTGACCGAATGTGTTACGTTCGGTTCGGAGGGCTACATCCGGATCGAAGTGGTCGCCATCTTCATCATTGGTTAGGTCAACAGTCGGCTGTGCTGCCGTTGGGCGTTCACTGTACGCATGTCGGTCCAAGGAGGAAAACTGCGGCCTTGGTGGTTGGGCCGAAGGGTAAGGCTGTCTGTAAGGCGGGTTCGACGTGTTCTGTGGCGGGTTACGAGAGGGTACTGTTGGTAAAGGCGCTGAAGTGATGATAGGCCGCTGTCCGGGTAAATAGAAAGTCCTTTGCTCAGACGAAGGTAGAGTGAGGCTGGTCTCGGCCTCTTGTGCTTGCTGCGCTGCTGACGACAGCAACTGGCGGTTCGGTGACGGCTTGTACACTGGCTTCTTGGGAATAAACAGGCTAGGTGATTGCTTCCGTAGCGGATTGCGCAGCGAACTCGCCTTGCCGAACTCCGCTTGAGGCTGTGGTCTCAACGACGAGAAGTCAAGCTCATCTTCGTCTTTGGTTTTCGGCTTTGTTAACGGAGACTGCATCTTTGCGCTAATGTTGGCAAGTGGTAGCCGATCGGGCTTCTGCGGTGAAAGATACTGCCCGGAAGAAGTGCGACTCGGGTCACGCTCTTTGACCATGTTCAGCAAGACGATCAATCGGCAGGTTTACACGTGGTCGAACGCGCGAGGTCGAACGCTGTAGCTGATATCGCTCTCGTATTCGTGAATGACGCTCGCCAACAAACAACCTGTTGCCTCGGCGAAGCCGGTATTGTTGCCTTAGGCATTAATATCTCCTAACCTTTTGGCCCCGAAGACGTGACTTGATCAAGCTGAGCTACTGCGAGCTCGCAACGCATTCGGACCTCGTAGCTCACAATGCCGACTCGAGTGGACACCGAGTGTTGTCGCCGTGACACAGCATTGTGCGATGTACTCTACGTAGCTCATTGGCAGGCGCGGTATGAGTCTGGCGCGTTACACGAGCCCTTCTTCGCGAGACGAGCGATCGCTTGTCTTTCACTATGGCAATCTCAAAAGCGCAAAAACAAGTATTAGGCTTGCGCAGATACTGCCCGGCAGCGGGAGCAAAGGCGTGGCGATCGATCTCATCGAGTCGTTCGTCAGCGGCCGAGGCAAGGGACTGTATGATGCCTTGTCTTACACCTGGGGCAGCGGAGAGCGTAATAAAAATGTGACCTGCAATGGCCGGCGTCTGGCCGTCACGCAGACGCTGCTTGAAGCTCTCCAGCGTTTCCGTGACCCGGTCAACACTGTCACGCTGTGGATCGATCAGATATGCATCTGCCAGGAGCGCATCAAGGAGCGCAACCAGCAAGTGTCAATGATGGGAGACATCTTCACGAACGCGCGCAAGGTGATCGTCTGGCTTGGCGAGGATTATGACGACAGTGCTGCAGGTATGACACTTGCGAAGCATCTTCTGAGTATCGCTCAGAAACCCAATGTCTCCGGGGAATTGCAGCCGCAAGATTTCGACGTTCATGGCCTGCCGAAACGTGGTCACAAGAAGTGGAGAGCTCTTGCGGGTATTTTGCGGCGACCTTGGTTCTGGTAAGACCGTCTCGGCATGGCTTGCTGTGAGGTCATTACTAACGTGTGTAGGCGCACGTGGGTCGTGCAGGAAGTCGTTCTAAATCCGATGGTGGAGATTGTGCTTGGGGGCAATATGCTGATGTGGGATGAGCTTGCAATCGTCGTGGCACTACTTGAACGTCCACTACCGAGTGTGTGGCAGCTCGATCAAGCTATCTCGATTGATGAGCTACCATTCTCCCGGATCAATCGCATCCGCATGCGACATCGAAGGCAACTCGTTGGCCTTACAACACCACCGGCGGCTTCCGATACACAGTTCGGCGACACCTTCACCCCAGGGCCCGACGTCATGGAGTCGGACAGTCATACTGAGGATACTGAATTGCTTGATCTTCTCTTACTATCACGCGGTCTTGGGGCCACTGACCCTCGCGATAAAGTCTACGCGCTTCTCGGATTGGGAAAGCATGATATTGAGCCCGACTACTCCGACGCGAACACCGCTTCTACAGTCTATGTGGACTTTGCGATGCAACAGATCGGCTTAGTCTCTGCTCTGCGACACGAATGTAGTGCTCGGGGCGAAGAGTTTGAGGCACATCATCGCGTGTTAAGGAGGGCTATCGTTCTGCTAGGCTGCGCCGGCGTACCGAATCAGCAGCTGCCTTTACCTAGCTGGGTACCCGACTGGACGGTCAATCTCGCCTGTCGTCCGCTAATCTTCGGCGGATTATCTGGGAAATACGGCGCAGGCGGTACGAAGCCGGGTCTGTTCGATTGGGACATAGAGCAGGGCGCGCTGACTCTGAGTGGGATCTTGCTCGACGTAGTCCGCGAAATTGGTGCTATCAAGCTTGACTACGACTCCTCACCGGACATGCCGTTACTCATTCGCCAGTGGTGGCAGGAAGCTCAGAGCATCGCCGTTAGGCGCATCGCTCGCTCACCCGGAAGTACAGGGTTCACAGATGCTTTCGAGGCAATGCGCCGTCGATTGAGCCTGTGCAAGCACGGATACTACGACGGTGACTCCTCTCATGGCCGACGCGGCAGTTTGCTTGATGAGGATGATGTCGTGCATGATTCACCACACAGCGTTTCGCAGACTCTGACTCTGGGTCCAACGCGAGGCCGAGTGTTCTTCAGCTCCTCTACCGGATATCTCGGTCTAGCGCCATACGGGACCAATGAAGGCGACCTGATCTTCGTAATACGAGGTGTCGATGTACCATATGTGCTGCGACCGAAAGCCGATGCTTATGAGCTCGTCGGCGAAGCCTTTGTGCAAGGCATTATGGATGGTGAGGCGCTGGCGATACCGCACCTCATCTCCACAGACATCTTGATACGGTGATCGATGACGCTCACGGCCTCTTTGCTGGCTAACAACCACCCCCTCCACCCAACTAGCAGCCTTGTAACCACCAGAGGTGCATTGAGCATCTGGTATGCAGCAAAGTCGGGCCTGTTCAGCATGACAGAGCTGACTCGCATCAATAGGCTGCCTTCCAAGTGGCCAATGCAAGGCTCTGGAAGCTCGGTCACCATCGCAGAAGGCCGCTTTGTGTAGACGTTTTCACCCGTTCAGTCGATCAGTCCGAGGCGAAAATTTGTCTGACGTTCAAGTTAACGCGCTTGCCCTTCAACCAGCCCCTGAATGCTGCATATGTCTCGTTCTCCGCTTCGCTGCCGATAGCGGGCCAGTCCCGCAAACACTCTGGACAAGTGTCTGCAAGCACCTTCGGCACGCCATGCCAGGCGTATCTGCTTGTCCCACTCATGAGCACAGCATCACCAGAGCGTAGTCTGATGGCTGCTGTATGGCTCTGGTACTCAGCAGATATTGGTTGGGCCTGTCCATCTGCGCACGGTGGGGAGGTTGTGGCAGTAACCTCTTCGACCGCGACGAAGAATATGGCATCACATCCTAGGCTGATCGACACAAGTGGCTGCGCGCACGCCTCGGAAACATCACGATGGACGCTCAAGGTGTCTCCCGGACTGTAGATGTTAACAATCGCTGCTTCGGCTTTCATCGGGAATGCGTCCTCCACTAGCTTTTTGATGTCGGCTGGAAAGGAAGGCGGTGCGCCTGGCGGGTAGACCTTGTTCGACCAGTCGTATTGTCCACCCAAGGTGATCCAGCGAAGTTTCTTGTTCAGAAGCTGCGCGGTTGAGATGCTTGAAGGAGTTGTCTTCGAATTGTGATTCAGATCAGAAGCAGATGGCCCGAAGAATGAGGCATCGCCTTCACGCGATATCAATTCGGGGGAATAAGAGATATCGTAGTGTAGGTGTACATTAGTCTGGTGGGATGGAACAGAAAGATCACGGTGCAGAAGCTTGTTTAGGACTTCGGCTTGGACAGGCGGAGGGAGGAAGGTAGGGTAGACGAACAGGCCTACCTTGCGGACTCAGAAGCTGAGCCTACCGTTGTTGCACGTTTCCGGACTCACCAGGCATGTTTAGCACCTCAAACGCTTCTGCCACGTTGACCCTTTGCGCTTCTGTGTGCTCCGATCCGTGGGCAAGCGCATCAAAAGAGCCTTGGCATTCTTTACTGTGGTCATTATGTGGCTTGCCTGCCTTAAGCTCCACTCTCCTAACATGATGGCGCAAAGAGCGCTCATTGTTGAAGTCTATAAGGGCTGGATGTGTGTCGAGTAGTGTCGGATCTAATTTCTGCCACTTCTTGTAAGTCGCTTTGATGTGCTCAGGTGGCTTCGCGTGCGCATCTGGCGGCTTGAAATCGTCCGTATCCGCCGACATCGTTGTGCACTCGTCTCGCCAACATCATCCAGCTTACTGCTGTGTCAATAGCGCCAATACTACCACTGGGGCACGATATGTGTTCTGGGGAAGAGATGGCGCGTGCAGTGCAGAGTACGAAACGACCGTGCGTTCCTGACGCAATGTAGACCCCTCGGCGCGTCTTCTGCGACGCGTGCAGAATTCGAGTCTGACGATTCCCACAACCTTGTATATAAAGCATGACTACCGTTTGACTATGCCGCGAAGGCCGGTCAAGGTGCCACAGGAGCAACATTTCGACGCCCTGGAGCCACCTCTACGGCAAAGGCGCTTCAGCGACCGGAGGAAATCCGTGAGGCCCGCGGCTCACAATAGGATATCACCGCTCACCAAAAGCCAAGCGACATTAACCCAAGTTGGATGGATCAACACTCCTCAAATTACGGGGCATGGCATTTTCGGTATCTCGAGTGACGAAGAAGGAGATGCTTACGGGGAGACACGCCCGAAGAAGCGAAGAAAGACCAGCTCGAAAACGTCAGAACGTACCGAGAGCCAGCCTAGTTACACGCAAGCCATAAGGAGCGCGCCCTCCAGAAGAGCTGATCGTCTAGCCCGGTCCGCCGGTCTAGAATTTGAGGTTTTTGAGGATGCCAACGAGCCTGCAGGTACCCCAATGGAGGCTGTGGCAAAGCGACGCACAAGGCGAGCAGTCGATCGCGTTCAACCGACAGACTGGGATCTAGAGGATAATATTGGGTGCGGCAGCCCGATGGGTACGAAGCAGTCGCCTGAGATCCCAAATAGCTCCTCGCAGGCGGAAGGCGCCGAGAATGCCATGCCCAGGCCCGCAACCACTATTATCACGCCACGCAATGTCCGGTTCGTAGAAGTACCATCATCACAGAGTCCTGCAAGTGTCAAGCTCTCTTCGCAAAAGCCCTGGCGGTGCAGGATGCGGAGCCGGTCACCGTTACAAGAACGGGATGCTAATGTACGGACTCCGACCCATGCTAAGACACAGGATACCTCACATGCAACCCCCGACAACAAGCATTATCCTGCTTTGGAGGAAGAGTTCGCAGATGCTGGGACTGGTAGCCCCAAGTCGATCGCAACGGTGACGGCAGAGCCTGCGCGGACATTGAAGCGCACAACCACAGTGCAAGACTCACAGTGTGATGATATTGACCTCAATAGTGCGCAGGACTCTGGTAATTCTGGATGGTCTACCACTGATAACTTCTTCGGTCACGACGAGTGCTTGGGCCAGTATCACAGCATTGACTTAGACGATGGTCTGTTCGATCCAGCATATTCCGCTTTGGACCGGGACGCTGCTCGTTTCGCCTTACGAGCCCAGACTCAAGGACACACCCTGGTACCCCAAGTCAGTAACAGCACTGACACTGAAGATGATGGTCTGCTCAACGATGAGCCGGAGCAAGGCTTGCCAGCGCTGGCTGGAGATGAGCGTCCCGCGGAGGCGGGAATCGTGAGCGCTGAGGGGTGTGACGCCGTGGCTGCAACGCAACCATTAGAAGCCAGAGTTGCCACGCCGTCAATGGAGTGTCGGCCTACTACCAAGCCGTGGTGCGACCACCCATCGCTCGAGGAGGAAGAAGAAAGAGTGCCATCCTCTCCGCCCTTACCGCGGCCATCACAAGTCAGCACAATAGTACCCACTCAAGCATCGGTTGTTGCGCCATTTGCGAAGTTCCTAGAGGCTACACCAGTGCTCAACTCACCATCGAAGGCGGCACACTCGTGGCACGAGACTGCGTCTAGCTCGCCTCTACCGCTACCGCCCTGGAGCTCGCCGGAACGGGAGCGTTTCGTGGAATTATTGGCAACGGAAGGAGAGCAAGAAGACGGACTACCAGATCAGAATACAGTAGGGACTCTGCAGAGCCTTGTGGACTTCAGCTTGCCACCTCCTCCGCCCATGAGCTCGAGCAGTGGCGTGCGATCATCTTCGCTTGGAGCTTGAGCTTGCTCTTTCTTTATGTGCAGGATAGTGAATCGCAGTCGAACTGCCTGTGAATTTGGAACAGCCGGATGGATACTATAAGCACTAGGCGTCGCGCTCGGCTCATAACACTACCGCTCAGAGATCGTGTTGGTTTGTCGTGAAATAAGTCACGTACTTTCCTCTCCTGGCGAAGTTGGCATGCCAGGAAAAGACCTCATCTGCGAGTTTGTGCCGTGGTGTCTCCTCTCGTCCGTATACACTTCTCCATCTCGATCGCTGCTCTCCTCACCCGGAATGCTTGCCTTGCAGCTCAACATCTAATGTATAAGTCGTGAGTGTAGTTGAAGCTGGTGGTCACTCACTACAGTGATACCCCCCGTGACTCCATAACAAGCGCCCCGCACGTCATCGCGAACGATAAATAGCTGACGACACAATGATAACAGAAGTTCATTTGAATTTGTGTCGGTACGCTGGCGGTACTGGACGAGAACAGTCCGTCGATTCACGTAGCCAACACACATCGACTAGCTGCACCATGGGAATACCGTTCTCAAGACAGATCAATGCCGCCTTCGACGAGGTCAGCCCGCTCGTCGCGTCAGGCTTCCAGGTCCTACAGACAATCAAGAACATCGCAATAATACTCGCTGTAATTCAAGTCTTAACGGTCTTATTCATTGCGCTGATACTAGGGGTGCTTGTGGCCCTACTCGTTTCAATCAACCCAGACCTGGAGTCGGAACGCCAGGCTATCGTGACACCGTATGTGAAGGTCGGTGCGCATGGCATAATGCGACTTCAGCAGTATTCAACGCCGTTACTTATTGCTGGCTGTGTCATTCTGCTGGGCACTGCGCTCGGTGCGGCGGCTGGAGTGTATCTCACTTCGAATGACTTTGCGCGGTTGGCTGAGATGGAACGAGCGCCTAAGGCGGAAGGGCAGAAGGCTGGACAGAATGTACCTGAGGCCGATGAGGGCTGAGAGGGGTAACGAACAACAACAAAGCACTTAGGGACTGACCGCGGGCTCATGCGCCACTGATAACGCTTCCCTCGTAACCGGCACATGCACCCTACTGTTTTGGCAGCCTTGACCCTTGCCGAGGAGCCTGTGCATATGCATGCGCGCTGGAAGCGACCAACGCCCCTTGTGCAGCCGCGGCGCAGAGTCGCAACACCTCACATGAGCTTGGCGAGCCTAAGCTGCATCTCACGCGGCCGTACCATACAGCAGTCCTGATGTCCGCTTTGCAGCGCTGGTACACCGGTTAAACGAATGCGGAGATGGAAGCTCTGCCGAACAGCCACTAGACTCTGTTGTTTAGTGGTTTGAACGTAGAGCGCAGGTGGATCCCTAACATAGTCGCTCGAGCATCCCACGTCGGGTGATGCTGTTCTGCCGCCGCTCACAGTCCGTTCAACATCCATCAAGGCAAAACGTCACCGTTACATCACGGCAGGACGTGCCGCCATCCGGTCCGGTTGACCTGAAAACTGCAATTGAGGTCACACGGGAGTAATGGCGCGTCGACATGACTTTAGCTGTAGTCATTAGGTCCTCGCGGCCCTTGAAGCGAAAGATGGTTGGGGGTTTTGGTGCTGGTATCTGGGAACAGATGGTCTTAGAAATCGTTGAAGTTCGGGATCGGTCAAGGCGGGCTGTGTGCCGCTCGAGATAGAGTATTGAGGACATTTTGTGCAGGTGGAGTCCAGATGGATCCAGAGCGAAATGCCTTGCCCTGTTGTATTGTACCAAGCGAGCCAAGAAATGCCTCGACTGTGGTGAGTAAAGTGAGCAAGCCCTACGGGGGCGAGCTACCTAAGCATGCTGCCCATCTCCATTAGCCATACCGTTGACCGCACGCTTCTGCAATAGCATGAAACCTCTAAATAGCTCCTCAAGCCCTTTCTCGGCTGCATCTCCACTTAACGGCAGGACAGCGCTGACATACTGATCCGGCCTCACCACAATCAAACAGCCTTTCTCTTGATCGACCTCTCGGTTCTTGTAAATCTCACCGAACCCAAAGCCATAGCTCTCTTCATCCGTGAAGACCTTCTCGTAGTCCTGAATGCCAAAGACGCCTTTGTGCGGAAGTAGCATCGAAGGGAGGTCGTTGATGACGATGCTTTTCCGCGGTTGCTGCAGCACGGCTCGGACGTCTATGACGCTGTCTATGTCGGCTTTGACGGGCGTATATTTGGGTAGGAGATGATTGTACAGGTAATCGCAGGTCTTGGAGATTGGTGAAGATGGTGACGTTGGGTCGGCTTTATCGCCGAAAAGAACTATGCGCCACCGGCCGTCTGCGTCCATAACGTGTCCAAGGTGCACAGGCTTGGCGTCTGCTAGCCGTAAGACTTTGGCTGAGAGGAAGCGCTTCCCGATTTCAAAGCCCTTGGCGAGTTGCTGGTGAGATGTATCGGCTGATGTGAGCATACCGGGCGCATATCTGGTCTCAACGCCTGCCATGAAGCGCCCCTGCCGCTCGAAGTACGCTTGGAAGACGTGTGGATCTATTGCGTCTTCTGCGTCGGCGCCGTCCTTTGTCTTGGGCTTTGCGGCAGACAGGCGCGCTATCTCACGATCGAAATCGATGAGCAGCTTCGCGATTGGTTGCCGCTCGTCGTTGTACGTATGGAGCAGCTTTGGATCCAAAAGACCGTGTAGTACACCAGCCAGTTTCCACCCAAGGTTGAAGGCGTCGTTCATGGACACGTTCATGCCCTGACCGGCTTTTGCGGAGTGGGTGTGGCAGGCGTCTCCGGCGACGAAGACTCGCGGCGAGCGCTCGTTGCATTGTGCTTCTGGCACGTCATCGAAGTGGTCTGTCAGTCTTTGACCGACTTCGTACACGGACCAGTACGCGATATGTCGGACGTCGAAGTTGAAAGGTTTGAAGATCCGCTGCGCCCTATCTACGAGCATGTCGGCGGTGACATTCTTGCTGGCAATGCGCTCGTTTTGCTGCAGCTTCTCTAACGAAATGTAGAAGCGAGCGAGGTAACCGCCTTCGCGCGGTATGAGGACCATGCTCCCTTCGTTGGGCGAATGTATGGTCGTTTTGAGTCGGATGTCCGGAAAGTCAGTGACGTACAATGCGTCCAGCACACCCCAAGCTTGATTCGCGAAGTCGCCCTTCATCTCCAAGCCCAGCGCTCGCCGCACGCCACTTCTTGCGCCATCACAGCCGACCACATACTTTGCCCTGACTGTCTCCTTCTGCCCCTTGTGAGCCTCATCCAGCCGCTCGACTGTGACCTCAACCGGACCACTCTCCGGTATCTGCATGTCCACCATCTGCCTGCTGTAGCTTGGCTCTAGTCTCGTCGGACTCCACTTCATAGCATCCAACCACAAATCATGCAGTCTTGCCTGGTTCAAGATGACGTGTGGAAATTCGCTAAGACCTTCCTCCGTATCCCGAATCCTGCCTGTTCTATGTATACCCTTGCCATCCTCGGTCGGAGTCCAGAAGGTAGTTTCGTTCACCCAATACGATTCTTTCAAGACCCGCTCACTGAACCCAAACGCTTCGAAGATCTCTACCGTGCGGCATTGCAGACCGTCCGCTTGACCTTGTTGCAGGCGCCCATATTTCGACTCAATGATACGGGTCGTAATCTTTGGAAAGCGGGCGAGCTGCGCGCCTAGCAATTGACCGGCTGGGCCAGCTCCTACGATCAGGACATCCACTTCCTCGGGTAGTGAGGACTGGAAGTCCGGCTCTTGCTCCCCTTCAAATTGAAGCTTTAGGGGATCTTCAGAACCCTTAAAGCCATTGAGGTGGAACTGCATGCCGTGCTCAAGATTGGGAATTAAAACAGGGTAGAATGGTGCTGGAATATGAAAGCTTCCTACTGACTAGCACACCGCGTCTCTGGGTTGTAACGATCGATGTACAAGGGACAATAAAGTGCTTCAGATACAGTAAGGCCATGCGTCAAGAGCAGTATACACCAGTACTTGGAACAGAGTGCCGGTGGAAGATGCCGCAGGAGGATGGTGTTGAAGCAGCTGAAGCGGACTTGGAGCCCCGCCTTCCGCCTCCACCTTCTAACGGTTGGAGAACCATCCGCGTCCGTACAACGGAAGCATTGCGATAATCGCCGTTAGGCTCATTCACATGCTGGTCTTGGTGTCAAAGTAGCCAAACCCTTCGTTCCGAAACCTGGGGGCAGACAGTCCACTGAACAACGTTGTGTGTTCGACGGTTTGTAAGCCGAGCGCCATGCATTCATTCGAGGCGCATGAGGACACCTAATGAACAAACTGTCGACCTCCGTGATACCATGGTACTGTCCATGGGAGGTGCGCGGGCATGCTTCTCACATCGTCCAGGCGACTTAGCGATGGAGTGATTTAAAGCTCCATATTGGATTTTTGTCGGACAAGGATCCGGGCCAGTTTCAGCTCGCTACCGCACGTGACTTTCCAAGGCTGAAACGCTTGAGCCAGAGCGTCACTGCTCGAGCGCACTTGTCATCAATTCTACAATCACACAACGACGCAGCGTTCAATCATGCAATGTTTCCCCTACAACCATTACTGTCGCCAAGTCGGCCATTGTATGTTCCGAGGCCTCACAAGGAGATGACGTCAAAAACCACCTCACAAAGTCGCCGGTAACGCCGGCCGCACGGGCATATCTGCCTACCACAGTGACACTTTAATTGTACAAATACTTTGCGCCCTGGCCGACACAAGCTTGAGTCATGCATGCAGAAACCCGCCTCAAGGACGAAAAGGCATCAGGAATCGCATACCACGCTCCCCAGATAGGCTTTCACATCGGCTGTCAGGAGTGGGGCACCCCCAACGGCCTATCTCCAACGGCCATAAGGGATCGACAGCGTCAGAGCCGCCGCAACCCCGCCAGCTCTGCGCAAACGCACTGCATTGGGCAGGTCGGGCATGCAAGATTGCACAGGCGGAGCAGTCGCGTGTGCCTTCCAAATGAGCTACAAGTAGTACACCTGCGAACCAAGGAGCTGGTAGATATGGTAAGGTTGCTGTCTGCTGTTTCCTTCCAATCGTAACCCTTTCCTACTCACCTAAGCTGCTACGACAGAATGTCAGATTGGAAGCAGAAAGGCAAAGAGAAGGCGGACTCTGTGCTAGCCCTGATACCCAAGGAATGGCGCCTTGACAAGATACCTTCGGTGGAAGAGCAGCGAGATGTCACTGGACCCTACATTCAGCAGTTCCTCTCGGAGGAAGAGATAGCCATCACCGAAACAGACGCTGTTGGCATTGTCAAACAGACGACTGCGGGAGCATGGAGTGCTGTTGATGTTGCCAAAGCGTTCTGTCATCGGGCAGCGCTGGCACATCAACTCGTCAACTGCTTGCATGAGATCTTCTTTGACGCCGCCATTCAAGATGCGGAGAATGCAGACAAGTACTTTGCGGAGCACAAAAAGCCCATCGGTCCGCTCCATGGCCTGCCCGTGAGTCTGAAGGACCAATTCCACGTCAAGGGCGTAGATACGCATATGGGCTACATTGGCTGGATCGGAACGTTCCAAGGCAAGAAAGATACAGGTAAAGAGAAGGTGTTCGAATCAGAGATGGTCAAAGAGCTTCGAAGCCTAGGCGCAACGCTGTACTGCAAGACATCTGTACCTCATACCCTGATGTGCGGAGAGACGATCAACAACATCATCGGCTATACCTACAACCCCAAGAACCGCAACCTTGCTTGTGGAGGCAGTTCCGGCGGAGAAGGTGCACTCATCTCTTTGCGCGGTTCACCTGTCGGCTTCGGCACTGACATTGGAGGCTCCATTCGCATCCCTGCTGCGTTCAATGGTCTGTACGGCATCCGGCCTTCGCATGGACGGTTACCGTACGAGGGCATGGCGAACAGCATGGACGGTCAGAACAGCATACTCTCGGTTGTTGGCCCGCTTGCAACAAGTCCTGATGCGCTCAAACTCCTTGTTCAGGGCTTGTTGAGTACCCAACCATGGCTGCATGATCCTCTCGTCAATGAGCTACCCTGGCGCGACGAAGCGGAACTGGCCATCCTCGACCCGCTGAAGCGCATCAACACCCAGCTTTCCTTTGGTGTGATCCGTCACGATGGCGCTTGTGCGCCGCATCCACCCGTAGCTCGTGCTGTTGACATGGTTGTCCATACACTCAAAAGGCTTGGCCATAACGTGATAGACTGGAAGCCTACCGTAACACACTCCAAGCTCGCAGAGATCTGCATGAAGATCTGGAGCTTCGATGGCGGCGCCGATTGCCTCGCTGATTTTGAACTGTCAGGCGAGGATATGGCTCCCCAAGCCATCGTAAACCCTGCGCCGCAAGCGAACGCCAGCGATATCATGGCCGCGAACATTGCGAAGCGCGAGGCGCAGAAGGCATACATGGAGTACTGGAATAGCACGGCCGAAGTGAGTGGGACTGGAAGGCCGGTTGATGCTGTCATCAGTCCACTGGCGCCGTTTGCGGCTGCGAGACCTACCATGTATAGCTACTATGGGTACAGTGTGTGGGTGAACGTGCTCGACTATACGAGCGTCGTGGTGCCAGTGACCAATGTGGATAAGAATGTGGATAAGAAGGCCGAGGGGTTCAAGGCGGTGGATGAGACTGACCAGAAGACTCAAGATCACTGTAAGTCTTCGCTTAGCCAACTCCTGTCCGTAATAGATGCAGCTGACATTGCATACAGACGATCCGGAGATATATGACGGGGCGCACGTTGGCGTTCAACTTGTTGGCAGACGGTTGCAAGAGGAGAAGATGATCGCTTTGGCGAAATACGTCGGGGAGGCAATGCACGGGACCAAGTAACGAAGCTCGGCAGCACGCTTCACTGCCCATACCTTCAAGATCTACCAGTTCAGGCCGAATCGATAGGGTATCGGTTCGCAGAACGAACGATCGAGCATCCGGTCTAACTGGCAGACCATGTTCTTGTTGTACAGCGTGTTACTGAGTGCCACGCAGCTGGCGTCCGAGGACTCTCCCAGCGATTGCGCCTGGCATTCCAGTCGTAGCAGGTAAGACACCACTCCGTCGTTCTATGCATGACATGATGTCCGTCCTTGACCCAGTGCGTGAGCTTTTGCACGGATTTTTCGTATTGGCACACCGTCTCAGCGTTTGCCGCGGTCCTTGCGCGCCGCAAAACTTGCCCTCGGACTCTCACTCGTGATGAACAACCGTGCAGTCACTTCCGACATAGCACGCGAGCTTAACAATCGTACATTAAATTAGGGGCCTGAAGCCTCTCCGCTTCGTTCGACGTTCCGGAACACTAGCTCTCGTAAGAGTAGTCGAAAGCGACATGAGGGTTCAGTCGAGGATCGGGGCAAAGGAACGAAGCGAAAGCCAGATGTGCACGCGACATTGTTTTCATACACGATCAGCATTCCGGACTGGATATAGCGTACTATCAGCCATGACTCCCATAGCCTTACCAAGCTCTGCCGGAGTCTCCGGCATCGGGCAGTCTACTGGAGCATCTATTGCGATTAACAGCTTACTAGAAGGCAAGGTAGGGTCCATATCAACTCACTTATATTCGTCTCTTTCGTTGCATAGAACGACGTAAAGATGTCCGAGGACTGGAAGCCGTACACCCTACCGCGGGATCACACCGAAAGCAACCGCCTAGATGCCGAACATCGTGGCTACAAGGTCAATGTCGGCTATCTACTTCATCCGCGAATTCGTGAAGCACTGCCTACAAACGCTCATGTAGCGGAAATAGGGACTGGCACCGGCATATCGCTAAGAGACCTGGCCAAGGAATCGCCATCCTCGTGGTCCTTCACCGGCTTGGATATGACTGATTAGCAATTTCCGAAGGAGCGTGACGGCAAGGTAGAGTACGGCCTACTGAATGTTCTTAAAGATGTCCCAGAGCACCACAAGGCCAAGTTTGATGTTTTCCATCTACGGCTTCTAATATGTGGCTTGAAAACCCGAGACTGGCAGAAAGCCGCCCGCCATGTCCTTGATCTGCTGAAGCCAGGAGGCTGGATACAATGGCAAGACAGCAACTTCCCGAATCTAAAATGTTACAACAACAAGCCAGGCGCTTCCCGAAAAGCGTGTTCTGGTCTTTTGTCTCCCGTTCTGAAAGCCTTAAGCGCACAGGACAAGTTCATGCCACACTCTATCACTGGGCTAATGTCGCTGGTGCAGAACGCTGGCTTCGAAGACTGCGACGAAGATGTCAGTTCGTCAGACCGAGTTGCGGAGACTAGAGCTACGAACAACGTATATCAGCAGGACGCTGTTACGACACTAGGAAAAGTGCTTGCTCAACAGGGAGCGATGCCGGGCTGGACCAAGGAGCAAGTCGATGCAGTGACGGCGCGATGCATTGAAGAGCTGAGGGATGCTAAAGTTTACTGGCGATGGGACTTCCATATTGTGACAGGCAAGAAGGGGCCCTAAACGATCTCTTTGCGACCTGGCCACGCGCATATGTTGGCCGTACCTGACTAAGTCATAGTTAGTATATGCCAAAGGTACAAACATCAACGGTCCGCCCTGCTCTGGCTTTTTGATCGGTGTAGTCGCCGGACGCAAGGACTGCTGTACATCTGTCCAGAAAGCGTGAATGCCTTGCCCACTGGCATGTTCAGCCAAATGCTCACCATCCACCTCGCGCTCGTGATTCAAGGTGTTCTCAAGAAGTAGGGGTAGCTTGTCTGCCTCTCCAGCATCACTGCAATCGAACAATGCCGCCATCCCACCTCGCGCCCAAAATCGTAGACACCCGAACCGCCTATACTAGGTTATACGTGGCCTTCCGTGCTGGATTCACAAAGACTTCGATCTTGGTATCCCTAAGCGGTTACCACTCGGCTTGCGTACGTACTGTTACGAATAAATGATCAGCAACGATCACTTAGCGATAAGGCAGCGACGCGCAGTGGCGCTGACCTTCCCATTAGTGGCATATCTCACCGTGGAAAGCTACCGTGAGAAGCGTCGAGACTGGCACAGTACGCTGCGGATGCAGCGCGCTCTAGCCATGTTATCACAGGTAGGACGTAAGATGGGTACTCGTCAAGCTTGAACATGATCTGGGGCATCCATCTCAACTGTGTAAAGTGAGCATCGGTTGGTGTAAATGTCTAAGCGTCCTTTCCGGCGTGATATTGTTACGGAATCGACAGAAGTGATGCTTATTATCCTAAACCATGTTGATGATTGCCCTATCTGTCCCAACTATGAGAGCGCAAACCTGCTCTGTAAGCTTGGGACGCTAGGTAGTGGTGACATTTGCCATTGATCCCCGTAAGTAACCCTACCGTATTGTCCTAGACCGCTTGAACGCTGCAAAATCCTTCGTCATGGCATGCCCCGTCTGCAGGCCTCAATGCGTCATCGTCTTACCAAAGGTTTGCTGCATCTTTTCGTTGATTTCTGCTCTGGCAGACTTGATGCTCGGATGAACTCTGGCAACAACTTCCGGCGGTGCTACCGCGAGAAGGCCCTGTCCATCACCAGTAATGATCTGACCGAATCGCACGCGCTGATGGCCAACCTGCTTGATGAGGTCATCAACGGTTCCATTGTGAGCGGCTGCCGTCATTGGGGAGCGGAATGCGTGAGCGATCTCAAACGGTCCAAGGGACACTTTCCTCCCTAGTTGCCAGAACCCCCAGTAGCTCGGCAGCACGAGCACCACGCAGATAAGCATACTGGCAAATGCTCCCCACATGTAACCAAAGTTCGTCGCGTAGTGCACGCTTTGCCGAACTAAGATAACGTCCTTGTTGATCGTCATGGGCGCCACACGCTGCTCTGTTTCGTTGACACCGGGGTAGTAGGGCGTGTAATCGCTAATGTACGGGTCTGTCGCAAGGGAGAACATGATCTGATTGATGCTTTGCATGACGGGACCGACAGAACCGATGGAAGCGTAAGCCGCGGTCTCGTTGCTGTTGACGGGGTCTGTGTAGGTGTAGCCGCACATGTCAATCTTGCTGTTGTTCTGCTCAGGGCTGGAGTAGAGGTATCGCTGTGCATTGCCACTCTGATACAAGTAGTAGCCTGCGTCGTCATCGTAGCTCAAACTAGCATAGCCGGCGAAGTACTCAGTGAATGCTTGCTCAAGGCCCAGCAAGCGAGCAACTGGGTCTCCAGTGTTGTTCAAGCTGGGCTCATAGACGTCCACATACGAGACAGTCTCGAAGCCGTTGAGCTGCTTCGTACTCAGATTGTAGACTCCGAACTCGACTTCTGGCTCGATTTTCCCATAGCCGTACCAATAGTACCAGTACTCAAACGGCATGAGTTGGAGGTTCATCGAAGGGGAGAGAGATCGGCTGCTTGAGCGATCGATACTTCCTTCGTTCGAGGTGTTCGTGACCATTGCGGGATACTTGATGACGGCTGGCCGTAACTTGCACGACTGTTGCGTTATGAAGCCAGGACATTCCTGACCCGCAACATCCGTGGCATTCGTCCAAGTGATATCCATCTGTATGTAGGAATACCCAGTAACGTCGTGTAAATCGCTAGTGAAGTCATCTGTGTTGCCAGTAGAATCAATGGTAGTGAAATTTAGGGAGAACAAGGGAGGGATGGTTGCCGAAGGGTCATCGCTGCTGGATGAAGAGGTGTTATCCGCAGCAGAACTCCCATTATGAGCATCGTACCACGAAGTCACGTTCTTTGTGGCCTGGCCTAGATTTATCGGAGTTGTCACCGGCGCCGTGCAGTCATATTCAAACCCCGCGGCGGACACGTTGAGAAAGTAGTATCCGCCACAGTCTTTGCAGTCCAGGGCTTTCGGCCCGGCGCCATAGGCTGGCAAAGCGCCGCCATTTTGCTGCCAACTGACGATGTCCCAGTTGACCTCTTGGCTGAGGGTGCCGGGACCGCCCTTTTTCATATTTGCATATCCGGTGACAGGAAACGTTGAATTGGCATAGATTGCAGCGGTGTGATTGAACTTTGGGGCATCGATGTCTGTATATGTGTAGGTCGCTTTCTGCATGACTATTAATTGTTGACCATCGTCGTCAGCATGATCCCGGACAGAAGCAGAAAGCAAGGCTTGGGATGCCGTACGCATGTTATCAATGATGGTGAGCTTCGTCGTCAATGCGGCCAGCGCAATGAAGTTGAAGTATTTGAGCTTGAACAACACCTAAGGAAGAGCAGTCAGCGATCGAGTGTTGACGGATGTCGGAGATGCCAAGCCATACGTCCTTGAGCGACATGCTAAAACTCCAAGATCGATGCAGTTGTTTGATCGTTGCGCCTTTGAGGACCTGCCGCCACCAAGCAATCTGTGCAACGTCGTCAGCACTGTGCTCATCATCGTAAAGTTTGGCGTGATTGCTACCGCGACGCCATTGGCAATGCAAATGCCGTAGCAGATGTTTGCCACACTGTTCAGCCCGGAAAGCAGGACGTTGGGCGCTATTTGCGTTGGCCAGATGCTTGAGGATTGATCGTTCGAGACCTGTAATACAACAACTGAGCTGATGGCGCAGAGGAGGACCATGCAGAGCGCTCCGAAGCCGATAATAGGAAACTGATTGAAGAAGCCGGGTCGCCATTCGGGGTCATCGAGGTCTGTACTCTCATGGTCGCCGGCAGACGAGCCCAATGGCGTGATGTTCTCAACAAAACCCTTCTTGTACCCGCTCTCCAGCTCCACTGCTTCCTCAGCCCTAGATAGCTCGATGGGTGTGGAGCGCGCGTATCCCGAAGAAGCAGACATAGCAACGTCTCTAGGTGAATGTAAGATCAAAGAGTGTTACGGCAGATATCGCCCAGCCTAAGAGGAAAGGGCGACAGAAGATTAAAGGTAAAGGGACGTATCCCAGGATTTCTTATCACTAGTCGACTCACCTCTCGCGAAGCATTGTGGCTGCCGGGCACGGCACGCTTACAGTAAAAGCGTTGCAGGCGAGATCTAGAGGCGTTAAACCTGTGGAGCTTTGGACACTCTGGTCCAGGCACGACAGGCGACGCTACAGTCCATGCTTGCCTGTTCCAGCGACTAGTCTCCTGAAGAAGGCTTCTGGGGTGCCAAGTGGCTTGCACGCGAACCAAGTCTGTCCGAGAGCATACACCATGGCCCCTTAGATTGAACAGGATCTTCAAGCATGGATCAAGCCTGCTCGGGGACTCAGCGATAGGTTGTGAGACATTCGAAGGGCCTACCGCGAGCCAGACCACTGGTTGGGGATCATCTCCAAGAGCAAGATAGCCGATTACCAGCCAGCGCCTGCAAATGGTCCGGTATAAGACGTGGAGCTTGGCAGAACTCACAATTGCGCAAGCCACAATTCCGGAGTGTCCACCGGGCCAAAGCGTATGTGTGGTCTTAAGCTTCCTAAACTGACATGGAGCCCCGACCGACCAGCGAAAGGGGAAACGGTCGAGGGATGCTGCCAAACTTAGGACAGGCACCAGATCCGCTTTCCCCGGAAAATCGCGTTTGATTGGCTGTCCTTGGCCCAGGGTTTGGACTATAGCAGACTACATCTCTTGCCATGTGGCTCGCTTCCACACGATTGGCAGTTTAACGTTTGCCGTGCCAAGACCTTGTGCAGTGCTGAACGGGCGGACGCGCAACAAGACTGATGGGCGCGCCACGCTGTCTTGGTCTTGTACAACAGCGACAACTTGCTGGCCAGGCGCTGTTCCCATTATGCAATAGCCCCTTTTAAGCGTGCGACGAGCCTGAAACAGTACCGACGCCTATTTAATGGCCTAAGCTGCGGGAAGCGTTCTACGCACGCCACGAGCTCGCTTGATGAAAGGCAAGTTACTGGCGCTGGTAGGTTCGACCGGCCGAGGCGTGCAAGACTCTAGACAGCCCGTAAGCATAACAAGTGTTGAACAGTGCCGTGCGCGCCAACACCTATACTCTCTCCCTTCCATTTGTTTCAGTACGTTCCTTTCGGCGCCCCTCTACGCTCGTTCTAGCCCAGGTTGAAAGGGATCATATATGACACCTTTACCGCTCACTGCCACGATTGCATCTGACATCTCATACCACTCCGAAACTAAAAGCAACATGTCCGACATTGAGATGGGCAAGAAAGGCCCGAGTGTGATTGTCACTTCACTCGACATCCCATCTGAGCGCCCGGTGCTTGGACGCCGCAAGACAACCGGTGATATCGCTCTTACCGCAACACAGCTACCCTACTCTGGGGAGCAAGATGCCCTTACGAAGGTCGAAAAAGTAAGCAACTCCGGTCGACATCCTGGTGAGGGGCTGTTACGAACTGCCGTCTGACCATTTGCAGTTCTTCACGAAGATCCGCGAAGTACATGTCCTCACCAAATACAGTCTTTATGTTATTCCTGTGGCTGCACTGCTCGCCATTCCTCTCATACTTACGGACACGATCTACGCCGACGCGCGAGCCGGAGGAATTCGCCTGCTCGGCATCTTCATCTGGATCGAGGTCATCTGGGTCGCGCTCTGGCTCTGCAAACTCATTGCTTCTATCGTTCCCTACGTATTCCAGTCGACAGCCGGTCTCATCAGCGCCGGCATCAGGAAGTACACCACCGTACTCGAGGCGCTAGAGATTCCAATATCGCTTTTCCTATGGTCAATCGTCAGTTTCGCCACAATCCCCATAATCTGCGTCCTTGACCAGGATCGTTGCAATGCCAGCTGGCTTACCACTCTCACGACGGTGTTCAAAGCTCTCATAATTGTTGCCGCCATCTTCCTCGCTGAGAAAACCCTTGTGCAGCTCGTGGCAATCAACTACCACAGGAAGCAGTACTCCACCAAGATACAAGAGAGCAAGAAACTCATTCGCCTTTTCGATTTACTGTACGACGCATCACGTGCTCTCTTCCCAGAGTACTGCAAAGAGTTTGCTGAGGAAGACGCTGAGATGCAAGGCAACACACTGGCCGATGTCAGAGACACGCTTGCCCATGCTGGCATCCAGACAAGGGTCTTCAACGACATGGGAAGGGTGCGTGACAAGGTAACGGCGGCCTTCGGAGCAATGGCCAGCGACATCACCGGCAAGCAAGTGTTCAGCGCCACCTCTGCTCACTCCATCGTGCTGGAAGCTCTAGAGACAGAGCGCGCCTCTAAGGCGCTAGCCCGAAGGCTTTGGCTCTCTTTCGCCGGTGAGGGCAAAGATGTCCTACTTAAGCACGACCTTATCGAGGTACTCGGCGTCAACCGCAGCGAGGAGGCTGAAGAGATCTTCCACGCTCTCGATCGCGATGGGAATGGAGACGTCAGCCTCGCGGAGATGACACTGCTGGTGCTCAGCATCGGACAGGAACGTAAGGATAGAGCCGCCAGTATGCAGGACATCTCTCAGGCCATTGCTGTGCTTGATCGCTTGCTCAGCTTGATCGTCGTGGCTTCCGTTGCATTCATATACGCCACATTCTTCAGCAAGACCTTCTCGGCCAAGACCGCCCAGCTCTGGACCACGTTTACCGGCCTTGCATTCGCTATTGGCGGGACGGTCACCGAGTTCCTCGCTTGTGTGATCTTTCTATTTGTCAAGCATCCTTACGATGTCGGCGACCGAGTCGACATCAGCGACGTCGAGCTTGTCGTGCAGCACATCAGCCTGATGTACTCCGTCTTCCGGCGCGTCGACAGCGACAAGGTTGTGCAAATACCGCACAACGTAGCCAATTCTCTCTGGATCGAGAATATCTCTCGCAGTAAGCAGATGAAGGAGAGAGTAAGCATCTGCGTCTCGCCCGCAACGACCATCGAGGACGTGCTGGCTCTCAAACACGAGCTTCACAAGTTTGTCAGTGCCGAAGAGAACAGACGCGACTTCCGGCCAGAGATGGACATTGAGCTGCGCAACCTTAACGACCTTACCAAGCTTGAGCTCAGAGTTGAAATCCAGCACAAGTCAAACTTCGCCAATGATCATCTTCGCAACGCAAGACGCAACAAGTTCATGGTTGAGCTGCTTGCTGCCTGCCGCCGAATTCCGATTGATCCGCCTGGAGGCTCTGCGCCAGTGATGGGAGATCTCACGAACCCGCATTACAGTGTAACAATTTCGGAACAGGAAGCTCACGCGGCGAAGGCGAAGCGTGCCGAAGATGCCCTTGCGGCCAGACTGTTCCCAAAGGGCACCGGCCTGCCGAGCTTTTTGCCTGAGGGTGTCAGCTCCGCTGTACAGAACCCGGCGGCAGCGATGATTGCAGGTCTGACGGGTCGGAAGCACTCGGTGGTCGCATTCGAGTCAGGCATGCGGGGGGCGAATGACGTCCTGCCCAAGAGTGGCTGACCTTGATGGTTGTTTGATGATGGTTTTAGCGCACTTCACATAGCTGGTAATGAAGGATGAAGGATAAGTCCACACACCACTGCTGTCTCGAGGTGCCTCACTTCCTACCGGGTACCCTTACCGCATATGATCTTAGAACCTGCCCGATACTCGGTGTCCGCGTCCCGCACCTCGTCACATACCCTCCGCAAAGTCTCGTTTCCAGGATAAGCTGTGCTTCCCGGAACTGCGAGTTTGTCGCACACCACCATAGGATCTCACTCGCTCCATTTTTGTCAGATGCACATAACCTGTAGAGCCATCCCAGATCGGCGCTCCGTTCCAAAAGTGCTTCGCAGCCCATGCTAGCCTATCGACAGCACACCATTTTAGGATCCAATGGAAGCATGAAGTTACAGAGTTCGGTGGACAGAGTCGAGAGTATGCCGGAAGATATGGTGAACACGAAAGAGGCAACAAGGACCGCCACATGCAGTCTATGTTCACACGGAAACGGATTACTTGGTGAATCCAGTGATCTACCATATTCGTACGTAAGCAAGTACTACCCTAAACCTTGCTCTTGTCCGCGCCAGCCTCATCCTCGGTGAAATTGATGCTGACACTGTTCACGCAATGCCTTTCATCCGTCGGAGTTGGATATCCTTCTCCCTTGAAGACATGGCCAAGGTGACCGCCACAGTTTGAGCACACAATCTCCGTCCGTTCCATACCGAATGTCCGGTCAGTGTGCCTCGTTACCGCCCCGGGTACGGTATCGTAGAAGGCTGGCCATCCGCAACCGGACTTGAACTTCTGCTTTGCGGTGTACAGCGGCGCATTGCAGGCCGCGCATGCGTAGACACCCTTCTCCGGGTGGTGCTTATCGTACTTGCCCGTGAACGGGGCTTCGGTGCCTTTCTCCCTGATGACGCGGAATTGTTCTGCTTGACGTCAGCAAAACCTAATCACCTCCGTGACTATTACCAGCCATATGCTTACCTGGACTTAGCTGAGCTTGCCACTCGCTGTCACTCTTCTGCACTGGATGAGACATATTCCGGCTTTCGGCAGTACTGAAGAATGCGCCAATAAAGGGGATCGTGGGCATAGAAATGCTGCGCAAGGCAGTTGTTGGTCGCAGGCCAGTAGTGTTGGTGAAGGGACCTGGAGCGCGATGAAGGGTGGCGTTACTGAAGGCGTACAGTGTGCGCAAGATGGTTGCTGGCGACGGGAAGCGCATTAATGTGGCAGCTCTGGTGTAGAGACCGCGCGTGGCGCAGTACGGGTATCAGATGTGTTGGTGTCTGTTAGACTAGATATGAATGTACACTATATGTCCAGAGTTTCTAGAATCAAACACCATCGCCGGACCAGACGTCATGACGGCTGCTTAGGTAAACATTTTCTAGGGCGCTAACGACGGCGCCGGATCGAGGCTTTCCCGCTAGAAGATTGATTCACGGCGTCTTGCGTGCTTGTGCTTGGTACTAGCGTGACTGACAGTCACCGCATTCCTTGGTAACTGACAGTGACTCTGCTTGTATGTGAGTTCTACCAACTTTAGGAACGGCCGTGGACGACAATGTCGAAAGTTCCACCGCAGTCAGCGCTGGCTTTCCACAAGGGGAGCCAGGTACAGGCGCTGGCTCAGCATACTCCGTACCAGTCTTCTACTGCGAGCTCAGAGACAGATGATCAGATAACGCCCGCCGAGTTGACACGACAGCCGTCTCGAGATTTCGGTGATCGACAAGATGCTGTCCCGTCACTGAATCAGAGGCTTCGCCATAATAGCAGCATACTTTGCGTTGTGGTAAACGAAGATACTCTCTATGCCGGCACTCAGGGTGGCGAGATCCTTGTCTACGCTCTTGGGACGTTCCAGCGGAAGGCCACGATCGAAGGCCACAAAGGAAGTGTGCTCGGTCTGTTCCTCAGCCGCGATGGGGAGTTGCTCTTCTCTAGCGCAGGAGACAGGATTGTGAATGTCTGGAGCACCAGCGATCTGTCCCGGCAGTACACTCTACACTCGAGCTACGACGTTGGAGACATCTTTTGTATTGTTTACTCCTCTATTCTGAGAACGGCGTACATTGGCTCACAGAATACGACAATTCAATGGTGCTCCCTCCCTCGGAAAGGCAGCAAAGCACACGCTCGTCCGCAAGCTTCGCTCAATGGCAGCCACAGCTCGTTTTTTGACTCCCTCGATCCTACTGGCGTGCGGACTCCGCGAGCTAATGATCTAGAACCAGCACCGAGGCATGCCAGCGGAGGGGAAAGCGTCGCCATCGGCAAAGAAAATGTGAGACACTTTGCGCATTTTGGGTACGTCTACTGCATGCAGCTGGTGAATGATGGCATTCCAGAGTCGGCTGGCCAAGAAGTGCTGATCACTGGAGGTGGCGATGGCCTGGTCAAGCTGTGGAAACTTGGCGAGGGACGGCACGGCGCACCCGAAGAGCTCTATCAGCTCGACGATGGTCGTGAAGAAGGTCACAGCATACTTGCGATTGCTGTGGACGGCACGTTCCTCTACAGCGGCCGCAGCGGTGGCGAGATCGATGTTTGGGACCTTGAGACTCGCCAACTTGTGCGCAACTTGAAGGCTCATCGTGACGACGTGTTGACGCTAGCAATCGGCGGCGGCTTCTTGTTCAGCGCTGGGGTAACGGGATACGTTCGCAAGTTTGACAAGCAGTATGGGCTCAAGGCAAGGTTAAAGGCCCACGAAGGTCGCGTATTGACTTCGGCTTTCACATATCATCACCGCCGACCGCTTTTCGTCACAGGTGGTAGCGACTGTACCTTGGCCATATGGGATATTAGCGACTGTGTTTCTCCGAACACAGCTGCAGCAAGGACGAGCAACGAGCAGCTTATTGATTGTCTACGCCGATTTGTAAGCTATCGCACCGTTTCGTCGGATCCAAGGTATATGATGGAGTGCCGTAAAGGTGCCTCCTATCTCCGTTCAGTCTTCAAGAACTTCGGCGCCGCTACAGAAATGCTTCCGACATCTGACCCGCACAATCCCGTAATTCTCGCGCGCTTTCGTGGCAATCCAGCCACTGCGGTGAAGCGCAAGAAGATACTGTTCTACGGTCATTACGATGTAGTTGCTGCTGAGAATACTGCAGGAAAGTGGCTGACCGATCCCTTTGTGATGGAAGGCATAGATGGCTATCTGTATGGCCGCGGCACGTCCGACAACAAGGGACCAGTTCTGGCCGCAATCTTCGCCTGTGCCGAGCTAATCGGCGACCAAGCGTTGGGATCTGACATCGTCTTCCTTATTGAAGGTGAGGAGGAGTGCGGTAGTCGTGGCTTCGAGAAGGCGGTGAACGCAGCAAAGTCCTCGATTGGCGATATCGACTGGATCTTACTGGCCAACAGCTACTGGCTAGACGATAGGATCCCGTGCTTGACTTACGGGCTTCGCGGCGTTATCCACGCCACTGTGCAAATTGAGAGCTCACATCCTGACCTGCATTCCGGCGTGGACGGCAGCAGCCAGCTGGATGAAAGTCTGAAGGATTTGGTCATGTTGCTCGCAACTCTCACTGGCAGGGATGGCAAGGTCAACATACCCGGCTTCTACGATCCCATTCCCGATTTGACCGCTGGCGAGTCTGAGCTCTACCGAGACATCACCGCTGCTCTAATCCAGCGCAACCCGAACCTTGGCCACCCCAATCAGCTAGCTGCAAGTCTGATGCACCGATGGCGGGATCCCAGCTTGACAATACACCGCTTTCAGACTTCCGGCCCCGACAACGCAACCATTATTCCACGGTTGGCAAAAGTGGCGCTATCAATGCGTTTGGTGCCGAACCAGGATGCGGTCAAAGTCGCAGCCGCTCTGACACGTCACATGCAGTCCGAGTTCGCGAGGCTCGGCTCCAATAACAAGCTTACCATCACCATCGACCACCTGGCCGAACCTTGGCTTGGTGACTGGAAGAACGAGATATTCAAGAGTCTGGAAGAAGCCATTATGGAGGTCTGGGGTCCCCTCGATGCTCGACGGCGGTGGTCTTCGGTCACTGGGGAGCGCAACCCACCGGCTTTGAAGCTTGCAATTGCTCAGCAAGCACGGAAAAGCACAGAAGGCTATTTCAGTGCCACAAAGCCAAGCCCAACAACGAGCAGTGTGCTGGCTAACGGGAGCGTCGGAACACCGCTGCAGCCTCTTACACCAGTGGGTGAAGAGACAGTTCCCTCTCGGAAGCCTAGTGAGATCGAAGACCATGCTGTCCACGATGCTATTACGGACACCAACGACGCCCACCACGGCATGCAGACAGCGGTGCAGCACCCCCGCAAGCCTCTTTACATCCGAGAGGGTGGCAGTATCCCAGCCATTCGCTTCCTGGAGAAGGCGTTTGGCGCTCCAGCCGCTCACTTCCCATGTGGGCAAGCGAGCGACAGCGCACATCTAGACAATGAGCGTTTGAGACTAGCGAATCTATACAACAGCAAAGAGATCTTCAAGAGGGTATTTCGAGACTTGCCTTGCAAGTGAACCTCTCCACGTCTTCAGCAGTGCATTGTTGCAGTGTGGGCGGGCTTCACTATGCTTGCGAACGAACGAACATCATCTGCTCTGGAAAGATGTCTTGCTTGTGAGAGTGAAACTTTCGCTCATCGTGCCGGCTTTGTGTTCGCAGAAGGGCAATGCAAGGCTGCAAGTGGCGCGATTGACAGTCATCGACTGGCGCCACTCCTTTCTCTGGCGTCTAGGCAGCTAGCTGTACGACAGCGCCCCTGACAAGCCGACAACACCTTCAGTGATGGAACAGACACTGTTTCCCAAGATGGCGTACTTGGCTTCAATACTGGCGACCTTGAAGACGACGGCAGACCCCAGAGCACAGAACATAACGTCAATGCACCGTGGTCTGCCCTTGTCTGTTGCTCTAAAGGCTGCGGCAAAAGCAACACGCTGGGTTGCATGATTGGGAACCATCTTCTGCCGGATCCTCGCACTGGCGTGCTGCCGATGTCGCCACCCGGCGTTGCGTTCCACTATGATGTCCATGCTTCTGGGTCTTCGGTCGCAGAAGTGAGGAGGCTGTGTAAGTGAAGCTTGAAGGCGCTTCGGAGCGTGACTACATCAATCCACGAGCGGGAGAGAATGCTTGAGAAGATCTTAGACCTGCAGCTTGTCGACGCGCTGATTTTTGGCGCCGTCAGCGTATGTAAACATGGAGTCTAGATCCGCGAAGAAGCTGTTTCCGAAGTGAGAAAGATGGAGGTCAGAATGCAGTTTAGGACAAGCGAGGAGACATTGATGACTGTGGACCGGGACCGTGATCTTTACCGTGGCAGAGATGGAGCCACTGACGATAGATAGCCATCTTCGTTATCTGATTGTCACTAAAGGGCGCTATTGCTCTACCTATTGTGCCGCCTCAGACGGTCAGCAGACTAAAACATGTTCCCGTTCCACCCTCATGGAGGCATATGGCGCCAAGAATGTCTGGGCTGCCTTTGCTACTCACCTGTCTTTGCTACGTTAGCTTCAGCAAATCATTGGATCAAGCGAAACTTCTGTGTAATATGGGAGCGCTGGTTCGGCGCGGCGCATCAAGAGGCCAGCTTGCAGCAAGGAGTGACTGTGACCATTGTACTATGTCGAACCCAGTATGAGTGCCTCGTCTTATAGTGTTGGGCGTTGTTCCTCAGAAAGGTGTCGTGCAGTAGCCGAAAGGTTCGGAGGGGAGTGGTCTGTCTCCGACATGGTTGAAAATACTCGATGTGTGATGATACCTGACGATGACCATCAGGAAGGAACCACGACGCTCTGTAGTAAGCTGCGTAGATGAGGTTGGCACGCTGCGACTGGGACGCGGTAATTATGCAACAACGTACTGTACACCTCGTCAAACCGTTCGCGAACACGGAGCAATCTGCAGATACATTGCCACTTTCATACCTAGCAAGGTGAACCGGGGACCGAGCAAGAGGTCTAACCCGTGCAATCTGCAAAGTCAATCGGAAAGTCATATTGGACATGAGATGTGGGAAACTCATGGAGTACCAAGACACGGCTGGGGGCGCAATCAAAGATGCTCTTATGTTTTCCCAGAGCCTCGGAAAGCTGGAAGGCGAGCAGCGACCGTGCAGCGAGTATAACAAGATATCACACTAAAAGATATTGACGTTTTGGAAACGTATTGTCGTCCTCGCCCGGTATCATATGATTCGATCAAGCAGTGGTTGATGCTCGAACAGGCCGAGAGGCAGGCTGAGGATGCTGCGTTCATACGTGCGATCTATGCACGAATGCTTCGATGCGCGGGTGGTTAGATAGGTCTATTGTCCCCCAACTTCTGGAGATACGCTGTGCTTCAGAGCAGAAGCGTACTAAGCGCGTAGAATGTATGGAAATCTTTGCCGCCACATGCGGTGACACAAGCCTCCCAACCTTTAGCAATATTGGGACCAAGGACTTCTGTGCGTTTGGTCTAGATGTAGCCTATCAACACAAGGCTTAGCTGAATGGTCCGACGTCGTCCTTGATCTGGCACTCTCCGTTAGCGCCGTGCATCGGAAAGCACACGCCAAGCTCGAGAGCTATTTGCGTTTGATATCTCACCCCTGTCCATGCGAGCTAACACTATGTTGTCATCGCATACATTACAACTCTCAGTTGTAGCAATCAAGTGACGATCACCAGTAGCAATGTTGAGATCGGGTCGGGTTTAAAACCAGACGACGGTTGCGGGTGACGACACAGTTCATGCTTGGAAAAACTGTCTGCGCCGCGCGTGTCGTCGGAGTATGCCCCTTAGGGCGGCTGTGGCTGCTTCTTGGCCCTTTCCGGTAATGCACCAACTCGTCCCAAGAGATAACTTGCACCGCTTTTGAAAGGAGAAGACCACCGCCAGCCCCGGATCCCACCGTCGAAGCCCTACCGTCTCCGCCCGGCCTAACGCAGGTACAGCCGCATCTAGACGCAGGTACTGTACACTACAAGCCATGACCCTGAGGCTAAAGCTTTCCAGAGTTACGCCTACCGCTTGGGTGCTTTGACGCCTCAGACTGTCCCACCGTGTTCTAAGCTGGCCGATCGTGGCGCGATCCACCTTCTCGACGGAACGGTGCAGCGTGGATTCTTCTCACAGGTATGCGCTACCGCTATGGCGTAGAAGACGGCGCCTTGTCACCCACATACCGTCGAAGTATATTCGGTAAAGGTCTGCGATCTTACATCGCTGTGCACTTTTGCTTCGTTTATCTCCTGGTCCTCATCACGTGGTCTTTAGAAGTTCGAGATCACCTATGGTGTCTCGTCCTTCGTCCTCTCTTTCGTGAACTGCATCTCCACGTACCTGTTTGTCCTTGAAGACGTCCACTCGCTTATAGCTGCGCAGTCACTTGACTTGCTGCGGCGTCCATTCGTTTACTATAATGTCTTTCTCCGTTCTTTCCTTGTTTCTTTCGGCGCTCGCTACCACAATCATGGCGCAGACCAGCGTCACCTCGGCCTCCGGATCTTCAGCATCAGGATATCCCACCGCGGACAACTTCACAGCATGCCCGTCCTCGGTGGACTCGTTATGTACCTACCAGGGCCAGACAACCTTCTGTTACGATGCCACTTCCTTGCTCTACACCATTACCTGCGGAATGTCTTTTCAAGGGACCGTCATGGAAGCAAACAGCGCTGCGGATGAAGGGGAGGCGGACGTAGCGAAGAGAGACTACTTCAGCAGCCCATATGTGACCTTGGCAGATTGTCAGAGCGCCTGCGATTCACGAGCAACATGCGAGGCCGTCAACGTACTGGATGGCGCAAGCTGTCAGATTATGGATACAATTACTGGCATCAACACGAGTGCGCCTGGCGTAGTCGCTGCGTATAAGGGATACTGGGGATACAACACCACAATCCTTGGAGCTTACAACGATACCAACTCCACGGCGTACAATCTCACACTTCCAATGGATCTCAACTCAACCTCAAGCGAGTCACCCAACAGTACGGAGCCCAGTTCAAGCGACGGCACCACCTCAGACAACACCACTCCAACTGACATCTCTCCGGAAGACACCTCAGTCTCTTCGGACGACACTTCCGACGCTTCCGATGATATCTCAGATTCAGAAGACGACGATTCAGAGGCTTCTGACGATAGTTCAGACCCTTCAGACACCGCTGATTCAACAATTTCCGACGAGGCATCGGGTGATAGCTCAGATCCGGCGAACACGTCTGATGACAATGTACCTTTGGCCACAGTAAACGCGACTTATGCCGCTATCAACGTCACTTCCGCGTCAGTTGACTCTGACACCGCGCCAACCACGACCAACCCGGCTTACGTTCCTTCGGGTGTCAGTGCTACTCTTGGATTCGGTTTTACGACAGTGATGCCCCTCGGCGCCGCTGGAACCGGGTTGGCGACGGATGCGTCCCTTACAACGCCGCCGCAGGACTTCCCTGCACCCAGTGCCTTTCCGGCGTGCAATTCTGTTCAGTGTTCGCTACTTGGTACTCCGTCAACGCCTTTCTGTCACGACCCCACGGTGCACCTGTATACGATCAACTGCGGTTTGATCTTTCAGGGCCAGACAATGCTTACGATCCCGAACTGGCAAGCTGATTTGGACAACTGTGCAGATACCTGCGACATTGTCGAGAACTGTCAAGCTGTGAACTTCAACACCGCCAATTTCTCCTGTACATTGGTAACCGGCGTCACGGGCATCGATTTCGCCCCGCAGTTCATCGGGGCGTGGCAGGGTTACTGGGCGCAACAGACGTACGGTGGTGCTAGTAGCGGCGTTGCACCGACTGGAACCGCACCTTCGCCATCATATGGCACGTCTGGTCCAACCATCAGCAGTGCCAACGCTACCACCAATGCCACTATCACATCAACAACCGCTAGTCAATCGGCCAATGCTTCGGCCGAGTCCTTTTCTGCTCTGGTTTCTGGTTCGGCGACGGTCAGCTCGAATGCTACGGCTACAATAACCACGGCGCCTATTCGGACGGGTGCCACCAACATTGTGTGCCCGTCCCTTGATGGCGACAATTACTCCAATGATGGTAACACCACCTACGTGATCAACTGCGATCAAACATACGAAATTGACGGGATAGTCCTTGATACCCTGTCGATTTTGAAGAAGCGTTCCGACGCTGTCACCTCATGCATGGCATCCTGCGACAGCAACGCTCAGTGTGTAGCTCTTACTGTGGCGGGAATTGAATGCACACTGTTCAGCTCAGTTGTTGGCCTTGTCGGGAACGTTGGGTCGACTTCAGCCTTGAAGGTCGTGAGTCTCGCACTCAACACCACCGTAAGCTCTGAGTCGACCAGTGCCACTAGTACGGTTTCTTCCGCGCCCTCCATCATGGCAAACAGTACCGTCTTGAGCCGTCCTACGGGCGGTATTTCGCCGCTTACGAACAACACAGTGCCATTCTGTGCCGAGACCAGCTGCCTTAACAGCACTGGGGTACCAAATTACTGTACAGACTCGGCTAACCAGCTGTATACCGTAAACTGCGGCATGTACTTCCAGGGCACTGTGGCCTCGGTCGCAAACGTAAGCTTGAGTCTCGACGCTTGTTTGGCTTACTGCGACTCAGTACCTCAATGCTTGGCTGTTAACTGGGATGGTACACAGTGCTCGGCCGTGAGCGTCGTGACTGGCATCGGGTACTCTGCGAATTGGACGGGTGCTTGGGTCGGGTATTGGGCAACGCCAACGCAAGCTCCGGTCAACAGTTCGAGCGCCAACAGCACGATACCTCGTCCTATGGTGACTGCCGTTAGCGCCTACCCGACGCAGTCTGCCGACAATGGCACCATGCCATCTGCGACTGGTATTGAAGCTAGTGTATCGCCAAGCCCATCTGCGAACTCGACTATGTCTACGATATCGACATCGTCGAGCCCCCTTTCAACTGGCTCCACAAGCCCGTCAAGCAATACGTCTTCGCTTTGCTCAGCAGACTGCAGCTTGGAAACCTGCACGGACCAGAGTGGTCAGCTCTACACACTAACGTGCGGTAGTGCGTACACGGGCACCTTCATAATCACCGCATCAAAGCGCGATTCGAGCTCACCGTCTCTCCTTGACTGCGAGGCGACTTGTGGTGGGATGGATGATTGTATCGCTCTCAACTACAACACGCAGTGCTCCTATCTCTCTGCCGTAACTGGGATTGAGGATGTGGCAGGATCTGTCGCTGTCTACAAGGGCAAAGCTCCACTGGTGTCGACCACAACTGGCTCTGCCTTGATAACAAGCAGCACTGCCACAACATCAACCTCGACCGCTTCATCTCCCACAAATGGCACCTCAATCGAAAATGCCACCTCAGTTGCAACACCCACGAGCTCTGGATCCAACAATACATCGGGCTCGGCAAAACCAACTGGTGCTTTCAACCCTCCAGTCAATCAGTCATCAATATGCTCAGCAACAGACTGTGTCGCTACCTTCCAGCAGGGTTTCTGCGAGGACGAAAGCGGCTTCGTCTACACATCAACATGTGGCATCGCCTTTACAGGGTCTATCCTCCTCAACCAGACCGCCTCAACCATGAACAAGTGCCAGACGATTTGCGATGAGAGCAACTCATGTGTCGCAATGAACTACGCATTCGGTCTCTGTGTCTATCTCTCGTCCGTGACTGGGGTAGAGCAAGTCAACAATTCATTGGCGCTTTGGAAGGGTAAGTTATTCCATGTCTGTTCGATGGTTCGGGCTAACTCTGGGTAGGTTTGTGGTACGGAGCAGCTCCCAGCAATGACTCCGCCGGCAATCGTACCACTGGTGACTTTATGCCCCCCGAATCCCCCTCGTCAACAGCTCCCGCTACAGTGGCAAAGGTGGATACGACGTCGTCCTCAACTCTTGGAGATTCAACCAGCAGCGCCAACCAGACAGCGCTCGTCTACACTGGCACCGCGACTGTCTCCAGCTCGACAAGCACAGACTCAGCGACGAGCAGTACATCGACTGCCTCAGCCTCCGCTGCACCCACATCCAATGCAACGTGCTCATCCGTAAGCTGCGTCACGCCCTACCAGCAATCCTTCTGTCAGGACGACTGGAATACGACATACACTATCACATGTGGTACGGCTTTCGAAGGCACACTCTTGCCAGGGCTGTCGGTTGGTCGCAGAGATACATTGTCGCTTTCGGATTGTCAAATCGCTTGCGATGTGCAAAAGTCCTGCGTTGCGCTCAACTATGATGGAACTGATTGCGTCTATCTCTCCAGTGTTTCAGGCCTCGAGCAGAGGAACGGCTCCGTGGCTGCTTGGAAAGGGCTCTGGGTTGGTGGCGCCCCGGGTAATCAAAGCAGCTACAACAATGACACGGTGACGGTTCTGCCATTCCCGCCAAACGTCACACTGCCGTCTGGAGATTTTGCTGTCCTGTCGGTCAACATCACCGCAATCCCAACTGCACCGACCAAAACAAATAGCTCTTCAAGCACGGTTTCGAGCCTGCTTACCACGAGCACATCTACTGCAGGCAACAGCAGCTCCAGTACTTCGAACTCGACGGCATCATCTTGTGCATCATTGGCCTGCATTGCACCTTACCAGCAAACTCTATGCCAAGACTCGAACAACATCACGTACAACGTCACGTGCGGTGTTTCATTGCTGGGTACTTTCATCACCACTGGATTGGTGCGTAGAGGCTCGTCACTTCTGGACTGCGAAACAACTTGCGACATCTATGATGACTGTGCCGGTCTTAACTTTGACGGCACGTCTTGTGCGCTCCTCTCATCAATAACAGGCACGGAGGAAGATGCTGGCTCGGTTGCTGCAATTAAGTCATCGTCTTCGCCATCGCCAAGCACCTCTTCGACCACTAGCAGTATTACCGCTGCTACTGCCACAGCTGCGACCTCTGCAGCGTTGCCAAGCTCATCTGCCGGCCCAACAGGCACCGATTCATCCTCGTCCTCTTCTGCAGGTCCTGGTAGCGTTTCAAGCTCTGCAACGTCGACGAGCAGCTCTTCCGCGCCGCTTACGACGGGTAACGCAGGGTACACTGCTGCTGCTAACAGCTCGTTCTCGGCGCCTTCGTGCGACGTACCAGCTGTTACAACTTGCGCTGCTGGTCAAGGTCTGGGAGCCAGCACCTTCTGCAACGATGCACGCAATCGAACATTCACTGTGACATGCGGTATTGCATTCGTAGGCGAGACGACCTCCAACACTGTCGCCCCATCCCTCTCCGAATGCGAGGGTCAGTGCAACTCAGCCGCAGGCTGCGTGGCTGTCAACTTCGCCAACGGAACGTCGTGTAGCCTCCTTGACTCTATCTCCAGTGTAGCAGACGCACCTGGCTCGTTCGCGGCATATCTGGGTCTGTGGATCGGCGCAGCGCCGAGCTCCAACTACACTTCCAATTACACTACTGGCGGCAACGAGACCTATGGTGGTGGCAACTACTCGTTCCCGGTCATACCTGGTCGTAACTCGACAATTGATCCAAACGTTCCTGCCGGCAATGCCTCCGACCCCACTGCAAGCCAAAGTCCGTCAACGAACTCGTCAGACCTGTCAACGACAGTGTCAACTGCTAGCAGCTCTCTGGCTGCTGCATTTTCAGACTCTTTGTCACCGTCTCAGACTGAGACAGTGCCTGCTGCCAGCTCACCCACCTCAGCTAGCTCGACAACAAGCAGCCCGACCGCAGGTGCGACGCAAACCGGGTCTGTCGCGTCGAATGCGTCATATCCTCTGTGCTCGAGCGACTGCAGCACGTCGAACGGAACCAGTTACTGCTCGAGCAATCTTGGGACGACTTACTCAGTCAACTGTGGCTTTGCTTACAGTGGAACGGTAGTTAGCCAGGCCATCTCCAAGAGGCAGTCTGCGGCGTCGAGCTTACTGGACTGTGAGACTGCGTGTGACGCTGGGCAGTCGGACTGCGTTGCTTTGAATTTTGCCCACAGCACCTGCACTCTTTTCAGCACTATCACCGAAATAAGCAGCGCTGATGGCTCCATTGCCGCTTACAAGGGATATTCGTCCGGAAACAATGCAGTGAACAGTACAAGCGGCGGCAATGGCACCGACAGTTCAGCGTCCACCAACTCAGTGTCCAACGTGGCATCAATAACGGCCATTCTACCGTCACAGTCTGTCATCTCTGCAAGCGTACAGTCATCGTCGAACGCGAGTCCTTCGGCGGGGTCTTCCGTTTCGACGATATTATCATCAACCAGGAGCAGTTCGAGCACAATCACTTCGAGCGCCACCAGCAGCCGTGTTTCAAGCGGCTCTGGCACACAGGGTTCGACTGCATCGAGCTCACGTACCTCTACCGCATCCTCAAGTCGCCTATCGAGCGCTTCTAGTAGCCGCTGGCCTAGTTCTTCCTGGTCCAGCCGCACTAGTTCATCAACGGCCCTCACCAATAGCCGCGCGACGTCAACGTCAAGCAGAATCTCAACAACCACTTCTTCGCAGAAGAGCTCCAGCAGTGCAACAGCGACTGGCAGCTCGTCGAAGACGACAACTAGCAGCGCTTCGCGCTCGCCTAGCGGCAACCTCTCCAGTACGGCGAGCCGTACCACCTCAGCATCTGTACTTCCGTCCAGCACGCTTGGCGGTTCATCTGGGCAAACCATCCTATCACCAGCATCGTCCTCAGGATTATCGTCTCCTCAGTCAAGCAGCGCCGATCCTGGCGTGAGCTCAATGACTGCGGGCACCGCTACATCGACGGCCACGAGCGGAACTACCTCAAGCCGGACAATGTCCAACACAGGTTCTGCATCGAGTGCCACAATTACCTCAGCTACAAAACCCAGCTCCGCCACTACGCTAACAACGTCGACGCGCTCGAGAACAACGACCCAAGTCAAGCAAGCAACGTCGACGGCTCAGCCAGTAGACTCCGCAACAATGATCTCGCAATGGATGAAATGGATTCAGCTAGAATGGAACATCGCGGAAGAGAAGGTGAAAGAAGGCATATACCCCAAGCCTCCGTCAATGAATGCCAAATACACAAGCAAGTTAGGTCACCCTCTCGTCTGAAGGTACGCCATGGCTTCCTGACGGCGGGCGAAGCTAATGGATTGAGTACCAACATGAATCGGCCTCGGTTTCTTTGATAGAGCGTTCAGCGTATAGCGACTGTGTACTTTCGCTCAAAAACATACACATTTAATGTACCTTGCCACGAAGTCAATGTTTCTCACATTTTCCGGGGATCCTGTAGCTTTTTGACTGAGGCTTCTGGCGAATGTTTAGCCGCTTGGCAGCAGGTTAAGCGCGGTAGCAGCTCTCACTTCTCAACCTAGTCGAAGTAACTTGCCGAGCGAGGAGTCGTCGCTGCCGTCTACTCTGCTTGATATCGGCGTTGTATTGTTCGACGTTGTTGTTCGGCATTCCCAGCCCCAGTATGGGGCTATGCGTCCTTCCGGTCCTCTGCTTGCTGCCTTCCGCTTCCTCTTTACGCCTGCTATCTTGAGTACACTATATCTCTACCTGTTCCCGGTCCTTCAACAATGCCACTTTCCTGTCGCCAGACGGGGGAAAGCGGCATGCCTACTTCCAGGGGCAGAGAGGCAGGCATACCAGTGGGAAGAGAAAGCGCCATTCAGGTTGCTCGCACTGGCTGATCCGCAACTGGAGGGTGACACCTCTCTGCCTAATCCGAATGCATCTTTGTTGCCGAGCCTTCAGCGCTTTGGAAAGGATTCTTTGGTCACTATCACCACCGGCCTGCTTCGGAACGATGTGCCACGAGTGTTACAGGCTTCTAGGAAGCGGTTGGATCTTTGGGGCAACGATCTATATCTAGCACACGTCTACCGCACTGTGCGCTGGTGGACACAGCCAACGCATACCATAGTGCTTGGAGATTTGCTGGGCAGTCAGTGGGTTGGCGAAGATGAGTTCAGCAAACGAAGTGACCGCTTTTGGAACAAAGTCTTCAAGGGTGCTGAGCCGGTGCCACGAAATATCACCGAAAGTAGTGGGAGAATAGAGGTTTTAGGTGCGGATGCGCGATGGACGAAAAGAGTTATTGCGGTAGCTGGCAATCACGATATCGGTTACGCTGGCGACATTGACGAGCAACGCATTGAACGCTTCGAGCGAACTTTTGGCAAAGTCAATTGGGACTTACGCTTTCGGCTAAATGCATCCTTGTACTCATCGCTACCAACTCAGCAGAGCTGGCTGCACCAAAACGTGTTCGACGCAGCGCCACCTGAGCTCCGCATAGTCGTCCTGAACTCGATGAACCTTGATGAGCCGGCGCTCAAGCCTGAGCTCCGTCAGCAAAGCCTTGACTTCCTCTCTGACCAACTCTATGCGAGACCACGCAATAGCAACGCAGCTACTGTGTTGCTGACCCATATACCCCTGCACAAACAAGCCGGCATCTGCGTCGATGCCCCTTTCTTCTCGTTCTTTCCGCAAAACCAAGGTGGCGGGATCAAAGAGCAGAATCACCTCGGCCGAGAGATAAGCTCTTATATCCTAGATGGCCTTCTGCCAGATGGCAAGAACGCTGGAACGGCAATCATTCTCAACGGACATGATCACTATGGTGCGTAATGGAAGAGCGTGATTCTTGCTCGCTGTTTTCGATATCACTAATGGTTCTCCATTTCGTATTTTAGGCTGCGACACCTATCATCACCGGAAACCATCTGCCAGCGAGGCGAACTCGACGAAGAATGGTTGGCAAGCCTTGCACTACGTGCTCTCTGCCTCCGAGCGCAACAATTCGACTAACACTGGGCTCCGCGAGATCACCGTGCAGAGTATGATGGGCTCGTTCGGTGGCAATGCAGGACTCCTTAGCGGCTGGTTTGACCGGGAAGTTGGTGAATGGAAGTTCGAATATGGTGCTTGCATTATGGGCGTACAGCACGTATGGTGGGGCGTGCATGTATTGGATATCATCGTGATATTGTTGGCTGTGGTTGGTGTGGCTTCCTTCGTCATGGAAGAGCGAGCACGAGTCCGCCCAGTTCCTAAATGTTAGGCGCCACGCTTACCAGCGGAGCCGGTCTGATCGACTTTCTTCCTCCGATCCCACACCACCTGCTCATCCTCGTAGCTGCCACCCTTTTGCCGTATTTGCCGGATGCGGTGTTCCGGGATGAAGTCCTCGTCCTCCGTGGCGGCCTTGCCCCAGTCATGCAATGATATCCACTTCAAGCCTTCGAAGCGATCCTCGTAGCCGACTTCGTACTCAATTCCGAAGTGAGCCGGGTCATGACGTAGTCGTGAAATTGCTTGGCTGGCTGTGCGGAGCTTTTCTGGGCTGTCTGCGCTTCCTCTTGATGCTGATGGATGGATCCAAGCACTAGCGGGTGATGCGTGGTGCAGCGCTTGCACCTGTTCGCGACTGCGCGGTCGTAGAGTGATCACAGCCTGCCCAGGCGTCTCAGCAAGTACCATAAACTCGGCCGACCCTCCGAGATCCTTTCGCAAACCGACGGTACAGCAAATCGACCCATCCGTGTCTTGCACATTGTGTGGCCAAATATGGTAAGTTAGGGGTTCAAGCTCCGAAACGAATCCACAGACAGCGCGCGGAAATGTCTCGCTGGCCATTTGTTTCCAGGCGCTGGAGACGTAGCACTCAGCCACGATGGCGACAAAAGCCTCGTGTGTATCGAGCCAAGCCTGGAAGCCTTCCTCCGGCGTAACATCGAAGTAGTGGTCGCTTGCTCGGCCAGATAGTCTTGCCGTCTCCGCTGCGATACGAATCGCTCCAGCAGTGCTCTCGGCATACTCTCTGAAGTCGGTCAACACTTGCTGCAGTTTCGGTGGATGGCCGTCAGAGTCAATGGCGTCTACCCGCTTTTCGTAGACACCACTGACTTCAGCCATTAATGACTCATAGTCCGTAAAACCAGCAGCTGGACGGCCTATAATACCCGTGGAAGACGCCCATGCTCTGATGCACCAATATACGGCACGTAGTTGTGACCATCTTGGATCACTACCATGATGAAGCGGCGTTAGTCAGGACCGTAACTGCCAACGGTTACTCTACGGGAGCAGACGTACCTCAATCTCGAAGCGTAGGCGACTGCATCGCACAATCTGCCATAGTGTCCCAAATTGAGCTTACTAGCTGTGGTTGCAGATGGAGCAAGAACGCCAGAAGGAAGCGCTGACTGGTGAAAGGCTTCCGGAAGCGGACACCAATGTAGTATGACCTCTGCAATCTCGCCCACAATAGAACGCTCGATTGCGAAGTCGATTCGAACAGTGTCATTCATTGGTCGAGCAAAGTCCTCGATATTATGAGCCTCGCCATAACACTGCCAGAAGGTCTTAGGCCGGTCCTGACTGAGACAGACAAGATATATATCCTCGCCAGGCTGCCACAATCCAGCAGCATAGGTGCCAGTGGCGAAAATGTATCTCTCAGGAAAGGTCCGCCGAAAATCAGACGTCTCGTTGGAGCCAATGTGGGAAAGGTCAATGTAGGTGCAGTTGAGCTGTTTGGCAACGCAGCGTATCTTCTCGTGGGCGTTCGTAGCGTCCGCCATAGCCTAAAATTCACTATGCGTGGCAATCTTGGGTTGTCTACAGTATGAAACAAAAAGAAAGGGAAGATTGAAGGACAAGGTTTAATGCAGTGCCTAAACGTGACTCACTGCATAGCCTTACCGTTTGCGCTTCTAGTCATCCTTAATGCAGACACCGACACCCCATAACTCACTCTAGAGATTCTGCTTGGAGTCGGGACAGATCGACTCACGACGGTCAGACCATGCTTTGACCCAAGTCCCACCTTTCACGTGAGGTTGGCTGTAGCGCAGGATGTAGCTGTAGCTTAAAATAAGCCATGGGTGTAGTGGCTTGCTTGGCAGCTTATTCATCGCATCTCCGCAGCTTCTGGCGTGCTTCTGATGCAGCGGGCAGGACGAGCCGGTGTTTGACCACAAAGCTAATCCTTGCTCGCGGGGCCGATGGGGTAGATGGTGCGGCCGAGACATGCCATCTACCACCCACACCCACAGCCTCCTCCTTGCTTGAGAACATCGTAGTCCTTCAACGCCGAGTGCGAACTTACTTCTATCCCTTGATGACGACAACAATACCCAGGTCTCAGATGATCAGCCGCACCGGCCGTGACCAAGGCTTCTTTGGAAGCGCAGTTGGACTTCGCTGACTTAACCCACAGTACGATTGGCAGCATTACAAGGCATTGAACACGACGTTATCTATTCTTCTATGCCTACTGTTGTTACTATGATCGGCGGACCCTTCTGAGGATAGCCCGCAACACGCCAGCAGCATCGGCTGCGCGCATGAGAGGAATATGCATTAGAACAACACACCGCTCCGATACAACAGCATCTCTTAAGACTACAAACATTGACGGTATCTGGCTACAAGATAGTAGTGAGGCGCAGTAGGCGCCCGAACGAACAAAATGCGCCGCCAGCAGTTCCGCGCTACGCAGAACGCCGTACGACTTGGCACAGTGGCTTCGGATCCTTCTGCCCTCATATATAGCTACGACGCCAACGTCAACCCGTCACGACCAGCAAAGTCATCGCCCTTGGCAAGCTCCACTGTGGCTGGGCTGCCACTTGAGCTACTGGACCGCCTAAAGGCTTTCCCGCTCTTCCAGTCTGCGCCTGAGTCTTTCCTTCTTAGCATTGGGAGAAGCTTACGACCGAGCATCTACCAGACGTCACAGGAGATCATCCGAGAGGGTGACGATGCAAAAGCTATGTACTGGTTGGTGCGCGGAAGCGTACGTGTTACGAGCAGAGATGGCGAGTCCACGTACGCCGAACTCAAGCCAGGCGCCTTCTTTGGTGAGATTGGCATCCTAATGGACGTGCCCCGTACTGCATCCATCGTGGCGAGCGTCCGTAGTATGGTAGTCAAGCTGAGCAAAGAAGAGATTCAGAAGGAGCTGTTAAACTACCCTGATGTAGAACGGACGATCAGAGAAGAGGCGCTTGAAAGATTGACGATATTGGAGCGCAAGAAGAAAGAGTTGACACTGGCGAACGGTGAAAGCTACGGCACGGTTCGCCCACCTACGGCGCCACGAAAGCGTTCCCGCGACTGGGTCGCTGGCGATGTTGAGATGGGCGAAGCCGGCTCGCTTGCAGATGGCGAGGTACTTGCCAACAAGCGCAGGAAGTCACCGTCTCCGGGTCTGGCAGAGATTGCGGCGATCGCCGCCTCAAGCGCACTTAGCGATCCGCCGCTTACAGTTCGTGGACTGCTAAAGGAGCTGCCATTGTTCGCCAACCTGCCAAACGACATCTTACACTTTCTGGGCGTCAATGCACAGCCCGTGACTTTTCCACCTTTCACTGAGATTATTACGCAAGACAGCGCCGGTCGAGATGTGTATTTCATCATCAAGGGAGACGTGGAGATCTTGATCAATGCACCGGATTCAAGAAGAGGCTCAGCGGAAGCCAAGGCGAACGGCGCCATCTCAGCAAATGGTGAGCGTCACAGGCAGCGTGTAAGGGCGCGCCTGAAGGCTGGGCAGTATTTTGGTGAGGTCACCAGCTTGTCCCTCGCGCCTAGGCGGACGGCAACTGTGAGAAGTGTGCACTCTGTTGAGTGTTTGCTCATCAGTGGTGAAGTGCTTGATCAGTTGTGGCAGCGATGTAGTCCGGCTTTGCGGGAGTCAGTGGAAAGCGAGGCCAAACGCAGACTCAGTGCTGCAAAGAAGGACGATGATATCGTAATGTCTGACGCAGGTGCTGAAGATGGGTCAGATGTGCCCGTGACCATGGAGTCGATTGCAGTCGCTGATGCGGATGCCTTGAATGCCTGGCGTAAGGCCTTGCCTACCGTCACTTTCGAAGAGCCTGTTATAGAGCCTCCAGCAACACCTCCTCAGCAGATGGAACCTGTGGACACCGATCCTTTCTTCAATCCAGATCTCGACAACGTGCGCGCGAAGTCTCGGCGGTCTTCACTGGCCCCACCACCACCTGGCAGTGAGAGCCTGATCTCCAGCTACACTGATCTACAGCGCACACCAAGTCCACCTGGTGCTCTTCGTATGCTTTCATCTCCACTAAAACCGGGAGCCCGATACTCGCCTGGCCCGACCTCGCCACTTCGCCTCTCACCTACTACGACCCGAAGACCGAGCCTCGACCGACGGCCTTCGAATTACGGAAAGGGACGTCTACCGGACTCTGTACTTGTTCTGATCTTCCAACATCTAGAGCTATTCGACTTGATGCGCTTCCGGCTCGTATCGATGCACTGGTGGGAGTTCCTGAACAACTCACCGGACATCCTCCGACATTTAGACTTGTCCATCTACAACCGATGTGTCACAGATGCAGTCCTACGTAATATTATCGTGCCGTTCGTTGGCAACAGACCCCGCGAGATCGACATGAGTAACTGCTTTCATATTACGGATGAGGGTTTCAGAGCACTCGCTGAGGCATGCGGCGAGAGCGCGAAGATGTGGAAGATGAAGTCTGTTTGGGATGTGTCTGGCCCTGCTGTTCTAGCCCTTGTGGACAAGGCTAAGGGGCTAGAGGAGATCGACCTTAGCAACTGCCGCAAGGTCGGCGATAATCTCCTCGCGAGAGTAGTCGGTTGGATTGTGCCGGAGAAGTCCGCAGTACCACCCCAACCTATACAGCAACCACCGAACGGGAAGCGACCGCAGCCGAAACGCAACAACTCCTCACAACAAGCCTTGCAGGTGCAAGCAGATCTGGCACAACCACCTCCCGGCACCATCATCGGTGCCGTGAAGCTCAAGAAAATAACCCTCAGCTACTGCAAGCACATCCAGGACCGCAGTATGGCACATCTAGCCGTCCACGCCTCGGAACGGCTGGAGAGTCTTGATCTGACGCGCTGTACCGGTATCAGCGACGCTGGCTTTCATTCTTGGGGTGTATACAAGTTCCAGAATCTGCGCAAGCTGATCTTGGCAGACTGCACGTATCTGTCCGATCAAGCCATTGTCGGCGTTGTTGGCGGATGCAAAGGACTTAAGGAGTTGGATCTCAGCTTCTGCTGCGCTTTGAGCGATACGGCCACCGAGGTGCTGTCGTTGGGTCTGCCCAGCTTGAGAAGCTTGAACATGGCCTTTTGTGGATCTGCTGTATCGGACAACAGCATGAGGTGCATTGGTTTGCATCTTCTCGAGCTACAGTACCTCTCGGTCCGGGGTTGTGTGCGAGTCACCGGTCAGGGCGTTGAGAGCGTGGTGGAGGGATGCCGCCAGCTTGAAGAGTTCGATGTCTCGCAGTGTAAGAATTTGCGCTCATGGCTTGATCGAGGCGGCATCGAGAAGGTTAATGTGGCTGGTCGATCTGTGATATTTGATACGGTTGCGGATGGGACGTGGAGGGCTGGTGGACGATGAGCACGCATACCTCTAGCGTTATATGTTATGCTTCCGAGCGAGGCGCGTGGCGCGATTACTGGAGCTGGTAGACAGCCTGCTGTTTGATGCCGTAGGGATTGTTCCCTTGTGGGCGAAGTACACCTGGTGAACGAGGCGTAATCAGTACTTTCCTGCTGCCTTGCTCTATACCCTGTGACAAGTGCGCGAGTGACATGACGGATCACTCAAAGACAAGATGCTCAGGGTCTAATGCAAGGTACAAGACTCGGAGAGGTCCGCGTTTCGCTACACAGAAATTGGGACGGACGTCGTCCTGGATATAAGCGCACGGAGAGCGTTCCCGGTGTACTGCCTGCTGAAAGCACTGCCGGATAGTGACCGGGTGGTGAGCACCCGAAATCACTGGAGGATAAGCTCAGCATGGGACTCTGACCGAGGCATGTTGGCCGAGGCGGATTGATTGGTGCGTTAGGTAGGTTTGGGGCATGAAAATACCTGGGTGGTAGTGAGCGTGCTCTAGATCCGACTGATTCACTGCACGGTCACGTGAAACGGACAAATTATCCACCAATCACCTTCCGCATCGCACCTGGAAAGCAGCTCTATTGCCTTTACAAACCCCCATCAACTCCACCTCACCTCTGCGGGGAATCGCTCAGCGGCAGATTCTTGTGCTTCTGCCTGCCTGTTCAGCACGAATGCAGCAGCTTAAAAGGCTGCTGTTGCCCGTCCTGGACCATGATGCCTTCTCCTCCATCCTGTATCTTGAGTTTACGTCCGGAAGATGCTGTTCAGAGCATCCATAGTCGCACTGCTGCTTAATGTGCTTGGTGCCACCGCAACGTGGTCAGCATACCAAGAGTACCTTGCGAATCTGCCTGCAAGCCTGCCGACCTCGAAGGCCGTTGCGAAGCATCCTAGTCCGAGGCCTGCCTTTGGTTTCCACCCAAACCCGCCCTTCGCGCCGTTTCCCCACTCGCCATCGAGGAGCAAGGTCTGCTACGTCCAAAGCCACAATGATATGAAGACGGACGACTCTGCGTACATCCTTGCAGCGCTCAATCAGTGCAACAATGGTGGAACGGTAATCTTCCCAGTGAATACGACCTACGTTATAGGCACCGCATTAAATTTGACATTCCTTCAACATATCGATATCGGTACGACTCGAGCTTCCCAAATGGCGACCAGCGGTGACACTGACCTTTTGCAGACATACAAGCTTATGTCCAATTCTCCAATGACACCGACTACTGGCAAGCTAATGGTTTCTATCAAACCTTCCAGAACGCTACGACGTTCTTCCAGCTTGGAGGCACAGACGTCAACATCTACGGCGGCGGCATGCTTGACGGTAATGGCCAAATCTGGTACGATCTTTACGCGAAGAACATCTACATCCTTCGACCCATTCTGGTTGGGACCATAGGCTTGAAGTCTGGCTCTATCTCCAATCTTAACCTGCGTTACTCGCCCCAGTACTATAACTTCGTAGCAAACAGCACAAATGTTGTGTTTCAGAACCTCACCATCAGCGGGTACAGCAAGAGCAACAACACGGCGAAGAATACCGACGGCTGGGATACCTACAGATCCTCGAACATCGTCATTCAGAACAGTGTGATCAACAACGGCGACGACTGCGTCAGCTTTAAGCCCAACAGTACCGAGATCTTGGTGCAGAATCTCCATTGCAATGGCAGTCACGGCATTTCTGTTGGCTCTCTAGGCCAGTATGTTGGAGAGACTGATATTGTAGAGAACATCCTCGTACGTAGCTGAACTATTTCTGTGTTTCATGCTCGCTAACCGTGCAACAGGTCCGCAACATCTCTATGTCCAACGCTACGGACGGTGCTCGCATTAAGGTGCGTATCTGACGGCCGTGATGATTCGTCCGTTGTTCGAGCTCTCGCTGACTGCTACGCTCTTCGCTTTCTAGGTCTGGCCCGGCTCGCCCTCTGCGCTCTCGGGCGATCTCCAGGGTGGTGGCGGTACCGGCCGCGTCACGAACATCACATACACAGACATGGCGATCAATAACGTCGACTACGCCATCGAGGTCACCCAGTGCTATGGGCAGAAGAATCTCACCCTCTGCAATCAGTATCCTTCAAGCCTTACGATAAGCGACGTCACAATCAGCAACGTGCACGGGTCCACCAGCAAGACATTCTCACCCATCAGCGGTTACGTCGTTTGCAGTAGCCCAAGTGTATGCAGCAACATCACACTAGATGATATTGCTGTGTTTGCGCCCAATGGGACAGAGAACTTGTTCACTTGCGGCAACGTTGACCAGGGCTTGCTGCATAACATTAGTTGCACTGCTACCAACAAGGGTAGCAACTAGAGCTGTTGTCAATTTAGTAGATATGATCTGCATTTAGCAGAAACTTGCAGGGTCATCTCAGTCCTTCACCCCCCCACCGACCCGTTGCGATACCTTCCTTGGTCGTAAGCCTTAGCCTTGTGTCATTCATCGTCAGTCAGCATCGCACCAAAGCTTGTAGGGTGCCCATATAGGGTTCCCACAACAATAGCGCGCTCAAGTGGCACCATGGACGCTCTAACAGCCATTGGCTCAGGACTAGTTCAGAAATTCCATGCTACAGTCTGGGATTACCTCTGGATGATAGTGCGCTCATATGACACCATCATCCTGCGACATCTTGGACATCGACGAAGCTTGTGGGATTCAATGCTAGGGCTCTCCACCATCTCACCACAGGACCGCTCTCACATAGCGCTATCATCCGTCGATGATTTTACCAATACCTACGGGCTTGGGATGGCAAAGAAGCTTCCCTAGATTGAATCACCTGTAGACTATCGTCCCACGACAATTTAGGAACCGTTCATAGCTGTTAAATGACGACACAATGCTGCGGCGCAGATGAGAGGCGGTCGTTCGGTGAACGGGGGTTCGACTGCATTGTACGTCTATCAATAGGAACGCTCGCAAGAACGGCACCAGAAGCAGCTCAGTGGGAGTAAGCATAGCGTTCCAGTAGATTAATGCCCGTAAGCACTCCCGAAGCTCTGCCCTACATTACTGCTATACCGCCGACTGATGCCCATTCTTCCCATACCCAGCGGTGTCGACATCTGTCTAACAGCCCTTCTCGAGCCACGCCGGACCATCAGTGGTGCAGTTTCCTGTCTGAGATTCATCTCCGGTCTCGTGGGCGTCTCGGCTTCTTCTACCAGCGCGTTAGAAGACACCGTATCTCTACGGTTTAGCAGACCCGGTACGGAGCCATAGGCTACCTCGTCGGCTTCCTGAGCTTGGGACTTCGTCGGCGCAACTGCAACTGGCTCATGTTCTGTGGCTGGAGTTTCAGATACCTCCTGCACGTCCTCATGATCGCTAACGTCGTCATCGTCGTCGCCGAATCCTTCCCCCTCTTCGAGAAAGAAGATTGGGACAGCCGCGAGAATGCCAATAGCGGTAAATGTCCAATAGGGAGCGATGACAAAGCCATGCTTGACACCCACGGTAAACATCGCACCTCCAATGGCCGGGCCGGCTGCACGGCCAAGGGCTGCAACAGAGGTGGCGAAGCCGTTCAGCGTTCCTAGTACGCGGAGACTGGTTGCCGAGTTTGTGATCAAGATAGTGCTGCAGGGGTACGCAAAGATGGAGCAATTCAGCTTGACCAATCCTAAGCCGAATGCTACGGCAATTTGAGCCCTTTGGGTCGGCAGAAGGGCTGTGAAAGGCATGGCGAAGTAGACCAGCGGGAATGTGCAGGCCGCCGCCTTCAGACAGTTGAGTACTCCGAAACGGCGGGCTACGGGTGGGAAGACGAAGAATTGGATGATCATGCCGACGCAGCCGTAGCCGGTACTAAGGAGGCCAATGGTAAAATGGTTCAGGCCGAAACCGCCAGCGAAGCGGAGGCGATTATCCTGGGATGGTGGTGTTGTGTCCAGGGACGGAGGATTGTTGAGCAGAGATGGAAATTGCATGTAGACCGGAAACAGCTGATCGAAGGCCATTGTGTGCATGGCGAGTAGGGTGTAGACCAGAAGGTTCAGGAGGGACTGCTTCGTTAGAATCTCTTTAAAGGACGGTGGCGCAGGTGAAGGTTCACTCGGCTTGGTCCCAGTAAGCTCGTCGTAATCGTGATCATGGTCGTCCTTAAGGAGTGGCTCGTCCTCCGAGTCACATGCGATCTCGGATCTACGCAACCTCAAGACTTCCTCCAGTCTCAAGACATGCGATTTCGCGAGCTTCTTGATCTTATCCCCGATCCGCAGACCGAAGTCTCTCCGATGTTGCAGCGTCTCGAGCGTCTCCTCAAGAAAAAGATACCCGACAGTAATTCCAATGGCGAAGAAAACAGCCGACACTATATTAGGCGGCGCATATGGAAACCTCCCAAACAAGGCCTTGTCTCTTCCATCTTCTCCGGGTTCAACACCGTAGGGGTTTGCCAATGCTCCACCGAGCATTGGTCCGAATATCGATCCGATATTCCACACCAACGGCATGATGGAGAATGCTTTTGGTTGCAGCTCCTTCCATGGCACCATTTCCGCCACCGTCGTCCGGATAATACCAACATTCCCGTTTCCTGCACCGGCTAATGCCCTTGCCAGGAGCCCCATCCACAACGTGCTGCTGAACCCCCACATGAGTGAGGTTAGCATTGTGGCAGTGAGGCCCAACAGAATAGCTGATTTCCTGCCATAGCGATCACTGAAGCGGCCCCAGGGTACACCCATCACAGCCTGACATAGGGAGAAGATGGCGGTTGCGAGACCTGCCCATTTTCCAACTTCTCGTTCAGGAATCTGGAAGGAGCGAATCATCTCGGGGAGGTAGGGAAAGAGCGATGTGGAGGCGATGGGTTCAGCAAATCTGCAAATGGCTGCACACAAGTCAATTCCGCCGCACAATGTACGTTTTGAAGCACAAATCTACGGACCAAGTATCGTGAGCTGTGACACCGGCATCCGCCGCTCACGGCGTGCCTTTCTTACTGTCATCCTGAATCTAATGCGGATGAACTCTCTGTCCCGTAGTCTTGTTGCTGCTTGATGAGAGCTTGGCAGAGGCACTTGAGCGGATACATTATTGCGTGCATGTCGAAAGATAGGCACATCCAGATCGGTGAGCTTGTCCATCGACACGAGCAAGGGTTGAGCATCGCACATGCAGTCAGCACTCCCCGCTTTTGGCCCCCTGTGACGAGGAACTGATGCGGCGGGTTTTTACTTTCCAGACGCATGCATATAGACATGTCTGATGCATCGCATACTGTCATGAAGCCATCGTTTGATATACCATTAAAGCAAATCGATGCTTGCGTTTGAGAGCACCTCATCACGCTGCTCCGTGCCATGAGTCCAGTACGGTCTGCTTGACGTGGATTACAATACATCCGCGGGACAACATGTATGGTCTCACAATCACTTGCTCTGCATCTCATCAGAGGCCAACGTCTAATCCATCTTGATCTCTTCGACGTTCTTCGCAGACGTAATGAGCCCGGCTGGTACTTCCACCCCATTGCTGCTATAGGAAGTATTTCCCTCCTCTACATCCCGCCCTATCAACGTCTGCCCCTTGTAATCCGTACCCGCGTGTATTCTCGATAACCGCTCATTGGCGTTCCTCTCCGACGTCTGCGATGGCACCAACCCTGTCACATCGTCCAGGAAGCTGTACGCCTCTTCACCGTGGATCGCATCATCGCCAAGCAGCAGCTCTTCCTCCGTCATGCGCAGTTTGATGCGGCATACGTACTTAATGAACAACATGATCAGGCTGGTCCAGACGACATTCCAGCCAATGATGAAGAGAGCGCCCACAATCTGGACCCAGACTTGGCGACCATTCTGGTTGATCGCACCGCCTGGATTCGTGTCGCCAAAAGAGTAGACGCCAGTCTCAGTGGCGAAAAGACCAGTCAGGAAGCCGCCAAGGACGCCGGCTACCATGTGCGTGTGTGTGATTCCAAGGGCATCGTCTACATGGTGCGTGAAGAGAGTCCACTTCTTGCCCGCAATGTTCATGCTGAGCCACGGCAAAATACCGGTGCAAAGCCCGATGATTATCGCGCCCCAGCCTGCCACGAACCCAGCAGCTGGTGTAATCCCAACGAGACCAGTGATCATGCCGTTGATTGCGCCAATTATGGACGGTTTGCCGTAGAAGACGAGATCCATCATTGTCCACGTGAGCATGGAGAAGGCGGTGCAGACGTTGGTGTTGAGTACGGCAACACCGGCTGCTGGAGAGGCCGCATAGGGATCACCGCCATTAAAGCTATATAAGCAGAGTCAGTATCAAATCTACTAGAAAGGCTTGCTTGTTACGCACCCATTCCAGCCAATCCAAAGAATGCCAGCACCCACCATCATCACCAGAATGTTGTTGGGTTGGAAATTCTCGCGATCTTGCTTCAACCGCGGTCCAATCCACCAAGCTCCGACGAAACCCGCTGTACCAGACGAGAGGTGGATAACGTAACCGCCGGAGTAGTCCAAGACGCCCAGCTTGAACAGGAACCCGCCACCCCAGAGACTGTACGCACCGATGCAGTAACTGAACGTCAGCCACAGCGGCACAAACAGCATCCAAGCGCGGAAGCTCATTCGAGCCAAATACGCTCCCGCGATGAGAGCCAGCGTGATCGCAGCGAAGACGAATTGAAAGTATATCATTGTCGCCTTTGGGAAGTTCTGACTCAAAGCCGCGCTAGGCAGGACCGACTGCACGATCGTTTCATCAAAAGTCAGGACTGGGCCTGGTCGGCCCGCAAAAGGTAGCATATATTCCCCGAATGCGACCTTGTATGCCCAGATGACCCAGCAGATCAGAACCATGGCGAAAGCGTAGAAGACCATGAACATCGAGTTGATGGCCCACTTCTTCTTGACGAGGCCTGCATACAGAACACAAAGACCTGGTACCGATTGCAGCGCGACGAGGGTTGCTGCTGTCAACTGCCAGGCATTGTTGCCAGTATCCAGCCAGTCTGGTGTCACAAGCTCGGTGATGAGCTCGGTGACGTTCTGCGCCATCGCGGCGGCGATTTACAACGTTGGCCACCGGAAGGCGAACGTTAGGTATGGAAGAGGGTCCGGTCAAGATACCGGCTACTAGATCGTGCTTATGACCAACCGTTCAATCTGGTTAACAGCTGAAAGCGTTGTATCAGGGTGGCTCCGAGTCTCAGAATTCTTACACCAGACGACTGTCAGCGGCGCACACGGTAAGGTAGGCGAGAGAAGCTGCACAATGGCGGCATCACGATCTTTATCTGCAAGCCCTGCCGAGACGCGATCTCAATCTTGGCTTCGAAGCCTAGCATGGTGGGTAGGCCGGTCCATCTAGACTCTGCGAAGCGCAGCCATGTGGTAAATGCTCGCGTGGGAGGACACGCTTCGCTCCAATCAACGAGTTGCGTTCGCGGAGACGCAAGAGCGATTTGGAAGGCTAGCGAGTAATCTCCCATCTTGTCGGCGGTGGTTTAGCGGAAATTATCGCCGTGAGCACGGCGGCGACCTCGGGTTGACAAATGACGGTAGAGATGCTTATCGCAGCTTGAACAATAACCTGCAGATGAGCATTACTGCGGCGCGTGATGCCGCGGCTGCCGTCGTACATTTTGCTTCCGAAGCCCGAAGAATGCCCTGCCAGTGAGCCCGGCGCCATCGACTTCGTGCAAGCTTGGAGGTTGATATTGTTCGAGTTTCACATAAAGGCATAGCGTGTCGCCGCACACTCCATGTGCGTCGCACGACGCGGCCGCCATTGTCTTGGGAATGTGCCATGCAACACCAACACTTAGATAACGCATCAAGACGCGGACGATGTAGCTTCAGGAACAACATATCCGGCTTGATAAAGCCAAGCTTCCCTTAACGCAGTGCTAACGTATCAAGCAAATGGAGCGATCCACCGAGAAATGCTTAGCAGAGACGATAGATTGCGGAGACGACTAACGGGAACTCGTTATCAGAGTCAAAAGTCATGGGCCGCAGAAGCTCGCTCCACTCTCTGTGGCTTATCCTGAGGAAGCCCATTGGCTCCACAACTTCACCTCTAGCAGACGCCAGCTCTTGGCAAGCCTTGCTCCTGAAAATAAATTGTAAGTGACATCGCACCTTCGACAGGACACCAACGTCTGTGACTCGACCGTTTCTTCTGCGCACAGTTGTTGCTGTTTCCGACCAGCTCAGCGCACCGTTCGTAGCTCAATCCCTAGGCCTAGACGCGTGCGACTGCACTTTCGCTGCGACGTACGTAAAAGAGACCGTAGCCTTGCCAAGGAGTCCAAGACTCCCTAGGATTGTACCAAGTAACCTACAGCTTCACCGGTGACTTCGTGGAGGCTGTGTCCTTCAACTTAGGGTAGGATATATAAGGCTGCCCTCATAACGCCTTCAGGCTGGTTTCCGTCTTTCCCATCTTGTCTAGTTACGGGGTATTTCTACGGAACTCGAGCGCTTCAAGATGCTTGCAGTTATCATCACTTCATCGCTTTTGCTCGGCCTGGTGTCGTCGCAAACATGTAGTCAAGGCTCCGCGTATTTTCCTACCTCAGGTTGCGGTTGCGTAAGTGAATAATTGTCACGTCACTAAACCATCAATGTCAGCTAGAACTAAGGGGTAAACAGTGCTATTCAATTGGTGCGGCCGGCTGCTATCAAGTGACGAGTCCGACGACGGGGCCTTGGGGATGTTATCTTACTCCGCCTGGTTTGGTGGGCACTACAGTAAGCGGTACACCAGTTTCCGCATCAGCCTCGGCGACAGCATCCACGTGTTCTGCTGGCAGAGTGCAGTGTGGCACAGGCTGTATGCCGAGCGGTGCTTCTTGCTGCCCGGACCATGGATACTGTCTGTCTGGCACTTACTGTGTCGCAGCTGGAGGAGGTGACTATGGCTGCTGCGACAACGGTCAGACCTGCTCTGGCGTCCTCAGCGCTTCCAGCAGCGCACGCACGAGCTCCGCTACTGCTTCGGCTAGCACCTGTGCCGCTACCAGACTTCCGTGCGGTACGGGCTGTATGCCAAACGATGCTTCTTGCTGCCTTGATGGCGGATACTGTTGGGCTGGCACCTATTGTGTTCCCATTGGTGGAGGAGAATATGGCTGCTGTACAAATGGGCGGACTTGCAGCGGCGCCGGCGCCTCTAGTTCCTATGTTACCGCTACGCCTGCCTCATCGACAACATCACCACGAGTGTCGGCGAGTACCACGTCAGTGACCGCCACGTCATCGGGAGCGGCCGGGAGCACGTCGAGCTCGTCTCCGCCCGCATTGACACCCTATGTAGCTTCCACTTCCCGGACTAGCACTCAGACCACGTCAATTGCGTCTCTCAGCCCACAGACGACAAGTCAGGTAGCTGCGCAGGCGATGGGAACTGATGGGAAGAGCGTGGCTCACTGGGTATGGCATGTTATACTGGGAACTGTTGCCTTACTTCTATGATTCCCGACCTGATGAGTACAACCATGCTCCCTTACTGTCGATAGTGTCGTCTTCAGAGCGCTCATTGAAGGCGAAAAGAAGTACTCCCCACCTTTCGGCACCACAAACCGATTGATCCCGGATAGCGCTAGTGGTCGTGACGCATCTTGTGGATACAGCCCTCTCATGTTGATAGTCTTCTGACTGTTGCTCTGTCCCATGATTGCGTCAACACCTGCGCCTTCGCTTGCGAAGACAGCCTGGTTGGCCCAGGTCTCCTGAATGAACTTGAAACCCTGCGAGATATTGCTCTGGTAGCAGACGAATAGCAGCCCACGCTCTCCTGTCGGGTCGGCATCGACTTCGTTGCCATAAGGAATGCCACGGCGCAGAATACGGAACTGGTTGACGGTCGCTCGACCAAGATCACCACGAGGATTAGTCTTGCGGATGTGGGCGCCCATAGGGCACCTAAAGTCATTGCTGATGCTGTCAAAGTCAAACTTGTTGACCCGATTGGGGTCTGCCGCCAGATTTCTGTCGTCAAAGTCCGGAGACAGCTGGATTGGGCAGCCACTCTTCCATCGTCCGACCAAGCGTGAACCTAGCTGATCTGACCACGTACCAAGCTGATTGGAGGCATCGACCAGAAATTTGTTCCAGTCCTGGACATTCTGTTGCAGCTTCCGGAAACAGAGAAAGCTCCCATCTATCATCCAAGCTGGGCGCTGGCTGGCGAAGCGATCGCCGTTCCGCCCGCATATGAACGTGCCATGGCTGACAATGTCTTGACCAGGAGTCGCCGTGTCGATACCCTGGACGGCTGGTTGCGAGACCCCATCCATATATCCGAAGCTGCTTCCAAGGTTAGGAATGCTTATACGTGTAGGACTCTGGGACTTGCATACTGCTCATGGCCTTTCATCTCGCCCGGTCGAACCTTGCCGCTCACTCTATGCACTTCTCCCGCAGACGGGCCGAAGATGCTCATGATAGTCTGCAGCTTCTGGCTGCAGATACCGTCATCACTGCCGGCGGCTAGGATGACTCCATGTACGTTCTCGGGATGCAGATACACGTCCTCCCATGCTGGATCTGAGGAGCCGCTTCTGAGGGGATCTGCAAGCGATGCTGCACCCGCCTTCATGCCGGCGTCAAACGCAGGGTCTTGCGTGTTAAGCTGGATGTTAAGGAGGACACCAGACATCCACATCCAGTCAACGGGATGCCACATCCGAGGCTTGCGAACACGTCACCTTCTGCAATCCGTGGCAAGAGAAAGCGATATTGGCGCCAACGGCGGGTACGATGCCACCGCCAGCATTATTTGCGATGCCGCTACGCAAGTCTTTGACATGTGTTGTGCTCGCGATTTCATTCGAGACCTGGTTGAGACGCTGGCAGAAGCTTCTTGGGTCGTTGATGGTGAAGAAGAGGAACGTCTCACTCAGCTTTGGCAGACCATCACCAAGGATGTCTCCCTGTATGTTGTCTAGGTTCAGGCTGTCTGTGGAACCCATCGCAGGCGACAGATGCAGATGCCGTAGTGAGAAGCAACGCACGAAGCGAGAAGTTAAAGAGCTGACCACAGCACAACTGGAAAGAGTAATCTTACATTGCAAGAGATATGAAGAGTGCTACTCCTCGACCGTACTTATAGCCACTTGTCTCGCACGCCACAGCGGGCATACGGCACCCCTTCTGGGAATGGGTGTCAGCTGAAGGGTTCCAGATCCGAGTCCTCAGCACTCCACAAGCACGGGGTAGTATAGTACTGTACCACGCCCATGCGCCTCTCCGCACGGTTTCATGCATTAGCTCCAGAAGCAGGCATCTGGTCAGGTGAGGTTGAACTTGTCGAAAGTTTGTGCGAGCTCAGATTGCGGAGAAAACTGGTCTTCGCTACAAGCCCGAAGTCTGCTGGTGTTCTGTGGCTGGCTGTGCCAAGGCACTCAATGCAACAATGGGTGAGTCTGTAAAGCTGTCCACTATTGTTACGCTCAGGTGTACAGAGCAACGGACACAAGCACCCGTACGTCGTCGCACAGCTATACTTGGCCAATAAGCAGCGCGCTGGTCTGCTAATCGATCAGCGTGCTCGCATCTCCACAGCATGCAGGTTTACGCTCTCCCTATCGCTCGTAGAATACTCCCAACATAGCTGTGTATCGGTCTTGCATGCGTTAGTGCGAAGAAGAGCCGCTCAGTCACCTCGTCGTCAAATACACGACCCAGCAGATCATCTTCCGATGTGGTTCCAGCCTTTCCTTCCTCGATAAGTCCAGCCGTCTCTTCCGATCGTGGCATGAACTTGGCAATATTGCGTAAAACCAGCGCCGCACTTAACGACACGCCCATAGCGTCGTTCTTCTCGTCCACCAGACCTTGCAGCGTCACTTTCTCCGTGCTGGAGGGCGTTTTCTGATCGTCCGGATTGATGTTGTGTTTCTTGCCTGTTGAATCGTCACCGTCTGGAAGGTGAGTCTGAATGTGTCGAGCGAAGAGCGCTGTTCTGGAGACTTTGCCATCCACGACAACGAAATCCGACGACGTGCGCTTGCAGCCAGCCCAACGACACCGATACGTTGTCTTGTCCGCAGCTGAGAAGTCGAAGAGCTCACCGATACTCTTGATTGCCGGCGCAGTGATCCCATTCGTATGAGGATGTCCTGCCACGCCAGTTGCCGATGCAGGCCGTGAGATAGGTGTAGCATCACCCTCCATTTTTATGGCCGCTCGAGGCAACTGCAAATAGTTGCCCAATATATCCTTAAGCATCTCTCGGCTGTCTCTATACCACTCCGCAGACTCCACCTCACGCGTAATAGGACCACTCACGATACCAGTAATTGGATCGCGTACGGGATCGGCGGCCACCGTGATCATCCAACGGCACTTCTGCAGGTCCTTGCCTTTGTCCGCCGCACCTTTGCCGCCGGGTAACAACCCCGTATCTACTGGCACCTTGCGCGACTTGATGCCCTTGATAACGTACTTGTTGCCGCCCGCGACCTGTGCCGTGGCTCCGACGAATGTCGTTGACACGTTTTTGATGAACTCGCCGGCAATGAGATGTTGGTGCGTGGCGTTGTAGGGCGCAAACGTGCCTTGGTATGCTTGCCAAAGGCTAATCTGTGTCATCTCCGAGTCACGGTCAGTTAAAAAGCACATACGGAGCCATTCCGAGGAGCGTTCGGGCTCGTCCAGCTTGAGAAGCATCTCCACAACACTGCGCGCAAGCCTTGGTACGGGATGGAAGGTTCGATCTACTTCCTTCTCTTCAGAGGTGGGCTTGGCATGCCGCTCCTCCTTCGTGCCGAACAGCAACAGCCGGCTGAGATGATGCGCCAATGCTTCCGCATCGACGTTCTGCAGCAGATCGTCTACATTGTCGGCAAAGGATGTGTACTGGAACAAGAAATCAAGGCAGGCACTTTTGAGCTCCTCGTCATCGACCAGAAGCCATGCTTGTATCCGCTGCAATGTCTCTGGAGGAATGTCGTCAAGCCGTTTCGCTCCGGGAAGGTGCATCGCAATTCGAGCGATCGTGCGCAGAGCAATGATGATGGCACCACGGTCTTGACCCTCTAGCTGAGCAAGTAAAGCGTGATAGAGCGCATCATTCGTGCCGACATCGCACCAGAGTAGCAACTGCTCTACAGTCTCAAGCGCATAATGCTGCAACTCGACAATGCCAGGATGGTGTGGCAGGTTCAATACTACTGCAAGATAGTCTCGGACAATGGGCATGCCGACGAGGTACTTCGCGTTCTCCTGCTGTAAGCACATGTTTCGGGTGACCAGCGCAGCTTCTGTGATACGGTTGAGCTGCGACAAAAAGGCGGCGTCGTCGAGTAAGTCGTCTGTCACCTTTGGTATACGATCTTTGAGCCGGCGTATGATGTCCGATGTGCCACGAAGACCGTTAAGCATTTCATCATCCAGGTCCATCGCGTCTTCGTCATAGCTCACGTCCCAGTCGACATCATAGAACAAGCCGCAGACCTGCATCACCTTCTTCACGAGCGCATCCGCCAATCCCGGAAACTGATCGAAGCGATATCGATCTCCCCGTTCGTGACTGATCTTGACGAGGTGGTGCAGGGCGTACTGTTCCTCTTTCTCAATGCCGCTCTGCAGAGCTAGCTGAGCACGGACGTAGATATTTGGCCCGATGAAGCCAGTGCCCGGTAGCATAATATTCTTGTACTTCTTTGCCAACGGTCCAGCCATAGCCTCGGCTTTGCGCTTACGCTCGTTACGATAGTAGTCAGGGTTGTTGGCCGGTGTAATGACAGGCTTGAGTGACAGCGGGTATGACTGAGACGGCTCGTAGTTGGCCAGGGTAGACGTGGCGCCATTGCTCATACTGCTCAGAGCACCATTTAATCCCGGAGCTGGAGAGATGGTCGCATTCATCTGGCCACGAGTCTGTCGCCCTGACGCGAGATCCGGCTGAAACAGTACGCGCTGTGGTGGTGCCTGCCTCAAGCCTCTTGACGTGCGTCCGCCTGCGCTGCCCTGATCGTCGGCTGGATCGGAGATCTCCTGCTTCGGCGTTTTTTGCTCGGGGCTCGTCTCCTCCTCTTGTTCGCCTGCACCAGTCCCTAGGTTTAATTCCTCCTTGGTTGGGGGTCGCGAGTAATTCTCCAAAGTCCGGCCCATCACGTTGCCGCCCTTGGCCGTGACTTGCTCCAGAATCTCCTTTGGCGGCGGCTCTTTCTTCCAGTGGTTGCTGATCTCGTATGCACACAAGTTCTTGTAGTAAATGTTCTTCACCTGGAAGGCTTGTGCCGCAGTATACTGGTTCTTGCCGACGAACTCTTCCGCGAACCTCCGCCACATTAACGGCTTGGCCTTCGTATCAGAGCACAGGTCATAGCCGCCTTCCTCAACCACACGCTTGTAGAGCTGGAATAGGTCAATGTGCCGGACGCCAACCTTTGGTTCCTCCTCGAGCGTAGTTCTGCGCAGTATGCGAAGTCAGCTGCTGCCGGGACACGTAGGTTTGAACCCCAGGCACCAACGTACCCTCGCTTCTCATGGTACTCGGACAGCTTCTTCATGAACTCTTCTCGCTCGTCTGTCCGGTCAATGCTCTCGCCGCGCTTGGGCGCCATGTTGCACGCTGCAGCCCTGCGTCGCCGGGTCGCACAACCGCCTCCTACGACTTCATGTACCCCGTGCCAGATACACTGTCAGTGCATTGCGCGATGGGCCTCCTACGCAACAACGTCGAGTATTCGGCATGAGATGCATACAATGCACCTGCAGCACTCCATCGTGAACGCGACTCAAGATTCGCGAAAGCAAGGGTCGCATCAGCAGATCGGCTCTTTCCGCGCCGGTGCCGCTCCAGCGGAGACGCTTACGAGCATTCACTGGCTCCTTCCTCACGGGGTGCTTCGTGTCTATTCGAACGACATGTCAACGACCTCAAGCAATCGAAGCGGCGAAGGTCGGCATTGGCGCAGCATATCAACGCGAATCTACTGTAGCGTTTCCACTGCTCTTATAATGTAATCGTCGCCATTCAACATGGCGACGGATTTGTGTCTTCCAGTACTGAAATACTCGCATGCCACCGGTGTGCGGTCTGACAACACCATTGCATGGACTCACCTGCAAGCAGCAGACCTTTTCACCATTGTCAAGGGCAAGAGCAGAGCTTACGCTGATGAAGACTTAAACCTACGGGTGATTCATGGCACTGCAGTTTTGGTCCGTCCATGTCGACACTTCTCTGTTGCAACTCTACAACAACCGCTAATGGCAAGATGTAGGCGAGTGTTGAGATATCAGCCTACATCAACGCAGCAAGCGATGCACGGCGCGGCGCGCAACAACATGGCGTTACGCCCCAAGTGGATCAGCTTCCCATCTTCGGCATTACGAAGGAGTCGCTATTGGCGCTCCGATACAAGCTGAATGATGGAATAGTAAGCCGTACAAACTGCTAAACTACCGCAACCTGACGTTCGGTAGGCTCGTCGGATGCAGCTCCGCTTCGAAAGTCCGACTCACTGTCGCCAGGTTGTTGATGCTTTCATTCGCCGCGGTATGGACTTTCAGCAACAGCGTCCAACAACCGCCCGGTCAGGTCCAGGAGATCATGCAGACCGTCCACTGACGATGAGCTCAAGTTCTCCCTTTGTCGCCAGCGGTAGGCCGACGACCTCTCAGAGCAACTTCCGCCCTCCTACAGCGCTGGACATCCTTCCGCGTCTGCCAACCTCGCGACCTGAGATCGATCGGCAGCCGCATCATGACCTTGAGCTGCCGCCTCCACCTCTACTGGTTCGCGACGAAGCAGCTGCGCCACGCAAAGTTGCCGCAGACCGTCCCACCACTGCGATGTTCTACCGCTCGACCACTACATCGTCACAGCAGTTGATCGATCGGGCAGCCGAAATCAGCCGCAAACCCTCCAATCTGAATCACGAGCGGCCATCATTCCGGTCTCATGCGCCAACGCTTGATGCGACTCCACAGTTTGCCACGGTGGAGCTGACGCCAGGGCCTATGATTGACACGTCACCTTCTTTGACCACTACTTCCCACATGCCACAAAGCTACTCGTCCAGCATATCAGAGCCTATTCCGACAGCGCGTTCATCCGATCTTGCAGTTCCCAGCCCCCCGAATACACGGCCTTCGACTTCTTCTACTTCGCTTCCACCAGAGAACTACGACCATGAAATACCACCAAGACGAGAGCTGCCGTTCAAGGTGCCAGAAGGCAGACCTAGCGGTAGGCTGCAGAGCCTTTCCAGACCCCACAGCTCAGCCATGACATTGCCGCCCCTACCAAAGCCTAAACTCACGAAAGAAGAGTCTGCGGCTTTGGCGCGTCCATACAGCTCATCTTCCGTTAAGCAGATGCACGACTATCGCCCCAGCACAACCTCGCCACTCAAGCGGCCTGCAGCCGCCGTAGAAGAGAAATCCGTGAGACCACAAATCATGCTCCGGCCTGCGGCGAAGTCGCCTGAGGCCCCTATCCCAGCGCCACAGGAAGCTCGGCCTTTCCAAGTCTCACGGATGGACGACCTGCTAGCCAGCAGAAAGCCGTTAACGGAACGCTCCGCAAATGCCCAAATCGGTCGAACGGATAGCCTGGCTGACGCTCCTCACGAGGTGGTTGGAAGCCCTCAAGCATCGCCTGTCAAGAGCGCCGCTACTGTCCTCTCTCATGTGGAGCACGCGGCCAATCAGCCGTCGTTACTGCAGACAGACGATCGTGAGTCAGCAGGCTCACTCGAGGAGTACGCCACGTTAAGCATGCAAGATCGCCAAGCTGTGCTGGAGGACTTCATGATGGCGAATCTTGAGAACCCAGCCTTTACCAAGCTCTGCGAAGACGTCGAGAATTGTTGGCGGAGGATAGCTCTGGGACTGTGAAGTGTTCTTCTCGCTGAGCTTTCAAAGCTCGCATAATTGCTTTCTATCTGGTCATAGTCCCTTACTCTAGCGAAACAAAACCCAACAGCAAGTGCAATGTTCAGCCATCATCACTGCCAGACATGCTCGGGCTGGGCAGCTCAAACGTAGCAAGCCTCTTGCCCTCGCCTGGCCGCTTCGAGAAAGCTTTACTCGTCCTTGCACCAATAGCACCGCCAGGGTGATTACGGCGAAAGGCCTCACTCGTCCTTGATCCTGCGCCGTGCAGCTGCTCAGCAACTGTAAGAGCCAGCATATCTGCCACAGCTAACGCGGCGGTGGTGCTTGTCGTAGGTGCAGCCACGCCGAACGACACTTCTTCCTTCACTGGGATGGGCGCTGGCAAGAGAATGCCATCGTCTGCGTCGCAGAGAAGCTTGCATTGCTCCGGTTGCATGTGAGACGTCAACGCCATAATCCTTACTTGGTCCGGAAGATGCGGAAGTAGATTCAGCAATTCGGGTGTGCTGCCACTGAAGGAGACGAATAGTACTACGTCCCCCTGCCGAACGTCTCCGAGATCGCCATGGATGGCCTCGCAGGCGTGCAGGAAGCTCGAACTGATGCCCAGAGATTTACAGGTGGCGGTCAGCTTCTGGGCAATGTAGGCGGACTTGCCCACGCCGCAAGTTATGAGTTTGCCTCCCACGTGGTGAGCTCGAGTGACAGCATGGACTGCCCGCTGAAGACCAGACTGAGCGGCAGAGTCCGTTTGATAGAGCGTTGCCAAGGCGGTAAGCGCAGCCGCTTCGGTGGCGAGAACGTGAAGGGCACGACTTTGTACGCTTCCGCGGTCGGCTTCCTGTGATGGCAGCTTATGAGCTTCCACAATCGAGTTTTCGGCAGCAGCAGAGGTGCGTCGTCGCTTGCTGATCGGTTTAGCACTTATATGACCGAAGTCGTCCGCTGCTGCTCGCTTGATAGCCATCGTCTTGTGTTGGCGTTTAAGCAAATGAGATGGAGAGCGAAGTAGGCAGACGATAGGTCAAGGCAAACCCAAGTAGTTTACGGACTGAGGCGGTGGCTGCCTACCGTGACTTTCCGGTCTAGATTTGCTTACATATTCGAGACGGTGGATCCCGGATAAGGGTGGACAAGCCACCGGCGACCGCGATCGCGACGAAAGCATGGACGATCGCGTCATCGATAATGTGAGCTGATCTGGCATGCCGCCACGGACAGTGAAGTCTCGCTCTTGGCAATAACTACACCAGGCTGTAAATGACATGAAAATACACCTTAGCGGTGGCGCTGGTTGTGTCGAATTGCGTCTTAGAAGGAAGATCGTCAGGAACCGTCAACGTGCCGAGGTTGATGCCGATCATCACCACATCGGCCTACGGTAGCGGCTTCGCACCTTCCTTCGGTAAAGCGAAACGAATAAAGCAGAGTGTATATGCTATTGAACACTTCGATTGGGAAACATACAGCAAGCAGTACCCTCCCACCTACCTGGAGCCAAGTACAGGAGGAAACGGCCCTTAGTGGTGGAACAAGCGGCGGTGATGACAGGGAATATAGAGATTTGGGACTCTCTGGTCTCTGCGACCTATGGCCGTATGTAGCATTGACAGGAGGATCAACAGATTATAAACTTACAACGTCTTTTCCAACGATATGATCATTCGGAAGTTGAGGGCCAGAAGCGTTGCAGGGCTATCATCCCATCTCGGACAGTACATTGTGGCGTTGCAAACAATTTGCGATCCGGAAGCATTACGCATAGACAGAAAACAGCGTCTCGGTACTCCAAACCGACAGGCGGTATATGATGCACGGTGAGTTAGATGCCGAGCGTATGTCAACAACAAGGAGTATGATGTGAGGTTAATGAACTCTTCGCCGGCAGGTCTTCGTGTCCACGTTGAAAATCTGTGCACCATTTCCGGCTCGGTTGTCATGGGCCTGAATAAACTTCTTATTGCGGAGGTGAGTGCGAGAAAGAGCCAGTGATGAGAGGAAGAAGCTGAACCGGGGTTGCTAACATCCATAATTGGTGTAAGCCCAGCAGCAGTGAAAATCCGCTCGACCGAAGGGATCAGAAAGCCCACGTGGACCATCGAGCAGACGAAGCATATGAAAGCTGGTCTGAACGGCCAGTATCGTGACCTTGTAGGTAGAATCACGCTTCTCCGTGCTCCAGTAGAGGTATTCGATCGTAAAGGCCACAGAACTCTGCCTGCCTGCCTGCCCGCCTGCCCGCCTGCCTGCCTGCCTGCCTGCCTGCCTGCCCGCCTGCCTGCCTGCCTGCCCGCCTGCCTGCCTGCCTGCCTGCCTGCCTGCCTGCCTGCCC